TTTTTTTTTTTTGACAACCAAAAACCAAAAAATTAAATTTATTAATTTATGTGAATTTTTTTTGATTTTTTTTTTTGTTTTTGGGGCAGCCCATCCAAATTTTTTCAATTTTAATTTTAAATTTTTGTTTGAAAAAAAATTGTTAATATTTGTTTTTTGAAATTACCACAACTCCATATCCTTTCTTTAAAAAAAAAAAAAACATACAACAAAGTAATATTGTTAAATAAACATAATCATATTAGATAGAAAAAATTGTATTGAATTTTTGTTTTTTTTTTTTGAGGCAAAAGTTGTAAAACACAGTGTTAAGAAAGAAGAGTAAAAAGTAATTTTTCAAATCCATAATAAGATTATCAATTATATTACTTATTGTATCATTTATAAATAAAAAAACCATAAACAAATAAATAAATAAACAAATAATTAATAATAATAATAATAATAATCAACATCACAAATATATAGTAATTTTATATATAAATAAATAAATCAAACAAAACAAAACAATCAAATTGTATTTTAGTATTCTTTTAAATCATCTTCATTTTTGTTGTAATAAATATATAAAAAAAAACCAAACAGTCATTTTAAATTTATAAAATAATATGGCGTATGTATCAATTCATAAAAAAAATAGTAGTAGCAGTAGAAATAGAAATATTAACATTTTTGAAAATGTTTACATTTATCTCCGATTATTAAAGTGAAGTACATATATTAGTAGGTCGTGCTCAAGTTTTCACTTACTCGGCAGGAACAAATAATTGGGTGCCATCATCACAACATCCAGCGACATTGCTTTTGTATCATCACCAAACAAATAACACCTATCGTATCATTGCCAGAGGCTTCGAAGATCCCAATGTAATTTTGATCAACTTTTCCATAACAAAGGAGGTCACCTACAAGCTCGCTTCGGCCAACTTCCACACATTCTCTGATCAACGCACTCACTATGGTATCAACTTTTCGACAAAGGAGGAAGCCGACCAGTTTGGAAGCGGATTTGAGAATGTATTAAAGCAATTGAAGAGCGGACAGTCACCACCACAACCACCACCCCCCTCATACCCAGCATCGCAACCAGTACAACAACAGCAACCACCACAGATGCAACTTCCACCACAGATCAACAAACCCGCTGCATCGGCACCACCACAAATGCCAGTTCCAGTTCGTCCACAATCAACCATCCTCAACAAACCACCCGCTCCACCAGCCGGACCACCCGCTCCACCAGCTGCTCCACCCGCACCAAAACCACCAGCACCACCAGCTGCTCCACCTCCCCCTGCCGTTAGCGGTGGTGGTGGTGGCGGTGGAAGATCCGGTCTCTTGAGTTCAATCGAAGGATTCTCAAAGAACGGTTTGAAGAAGACTGTCACCGTAGACAAGAGTTCGCCACTCATCGGAAACAACAATGCATCGACACCAGCTCCAGCTCCATCCAGTGGAGGTGCCGCCGGTGGTGGAGGTGCACCCAAGGCAATGATGCCAATGGGTGGCGGTGGTGGAAATATCATGGCTGAAGCCATGGCAAAGCGTGCCGCCATGAAAAAGACAGCGGCACCAAAGGAAGATCACACACCACCCGCTCCAGCACCAGTAAAGGAACAACCACCACCCCCCGTCAAAGAGCCAAAACCAGCTCCAGTCACCGCCTCAAAACCAAAGCCACCACCCACCATGGGACGTCCATCACTATCGCCAAGTGCATCACCAAGTTCCACCGCATCGACACCATCCGCACTCTCTGACGATATGCTAACCTTGAAAGAAGAGATCCTCGCCGAATTTAGACGTGAACTCCAAAAGTTTAAAGAAGAGATTCTCGATGCAATCAGAAATCGTTAGAATATCATCATCATTATTATTAATAGTATTATAAAATCAAAACAACAACAACAACAACAACAACAACAACAAAAAAGAACCTTTAAAAATATACATTCATAAACATATCTATAAATAGAACAGAAAAACTCTATTTATAAATATTTATATATATCTCTCTTTCAATCTCGCACTATATATATCTTTAAATTAATTGATATAGAATAAAAGAAAAAAAAAAACTAATAAAATATGTTCAAAAAAAATTAATTATATGACTTTATTTAATGGCTGGTTGGTTGGTTGATTGATTGATTGATTAAAAAATATATATGAATTTATCTATTTATTCCATTGCTTGTTCTGGATCTTGTTGTTGTTGCTGTTGTTGTTGCAAGATATTACAGTTATAACCAAGAGTACCGCAACTGTATAGGTTCGTCAAACATTGATTGAATGGCTCACCTTTGTATTCCTCTAAACTCTTCACAGACCATTTGGGTGGGTATGTGTTATCAGAGCTTGGTGGTGGAAAAGTCACTCTCAATCTCACCAAGTAAGGGACGGAGCAGATCTCATTCACTCTTTGTAATCTGTCTTCGTCGGTGAGCTGGTCAAAGAATCTTTCGGCGTTGGCTCCCAACATTTTCTCTACGGTACCACTAAAAGCATCGACCAGAACCGAACCGGTTTCATCTTGCAGTCTGAATGTAGCTCTATAGTATTTGATTTGAGGTTGTCCACAATTGCAGTTCTTCTTCTTGCAAGCAGAACATCCAGTGTATTGACTCTTTTGATCATTGCTAGTTAGCGAGACGTTGGAAAGTGTTGATAGCGTACCAACAACAACGTAGTTCTTGGTCAAAATAGGATCGTTGCCCAAGTTGAGTTGTGGTAGTACTTCAACAGTACATCTGATTGAATCTTTGTCGTCGGAATTGCCGCCTGCAACGTATGACTCCGAGAGGCACTCGGCGTCGTCACCGTGCGAGTTGACCCACATGAGGAGATTCTGACACTCCTGTTGGAGTTGTGGTGGATTGACTTCGTAGGTCGACGAGTATGTAATACTGGCGGAGCACTTGGAGAAAGAAGAGATCTTGGCCGACTTGATAGCGATGATATTACCCTTATTTAGTTGTTTGGAGATAGTCTCGGCTTGTTGACCAAAGGCAGTGACATCAATTGATTTGGCAGAGGTATCGAGAATTCTGAAGGTGCACTTTAGCAAAGTGGAGTTGGCATTGTCGGTGTTGCTTGTGGCTTTCCTGTTGATGGAGGTAGTGCCACTGACATTGGATACATAACCAAAGAGGTCGATTGGTGGTGAGTTGGTTTCGTTTGCTGCTGGTGGAGTCAAGTCGGCGATCTTTACAAAGTTGTAGAGTGTGTGAGCATTGATAGGAGCGCTGCTCACGTAGTACTTGGTGTTCTCTGTAAAGGTCAACTCGCATGGATGTGACAATTTGTTAAAGTTTGGATTCTTTGGATTGATCTTGAAATTCGAGAAATCATAGGTGGAACCAACATGAATAGCTTCATCGATTTGAACACAGAGATTGTTTTCATTGTTTCTACCAAAGATTGTTACTTTAATTTCATTTTTCTAAGTTAATTAAATAGATTAGTTTGTTTGTTTGTTTGTGGTTTAGTTTAGATTGTTTTAGCGTATGTTAGTTACCTCATCACTGTCATCGATCAACTCTAAATTCAAAATAGAACCACCGGAATTGCTGTTATGCCATTGCTTGATAGTACTCTTGGCACGAACGGTTGCACGAATTGTTGGGTTTGATATTCCATTGCTGATGTTTTTGATCTGTGTAATCATTGTGTCCATTGAACCGGTAGGTGGAGAAGAAGTTCCAGCATTTGATCCTCTTGATTGATTCGATTGTTTATTTGCCATATAGTTGTTATTGTTGTTGTTATTGTTATTCATATTCTTGTTGTTGTTGTTGTTGTTGTTGGTTTGTAGAGCTGATTGCTGTTGTTGTTGCTTTTGATAGGCTGGATGCAATGACACTGCATTTCCAAAGAGTGAACCAGTATGACCGATTACAGTGTAGCTCAAGATTTGGAAGTAGAGACTCTTGACAATCTTGAATTGATTGACCTTTATAATTGTAAACTCTCTTAGATTTGGATCAACATTTTGTGTTTGAACATAGAATGGGAATATATTGGCTGTATCTGATAATAATAATCTAAAGAGTTAATTATAGATAGTTATTGTTGTTGTTGTTGTTGTTAGTTATATAAAATCAAAAATATAGTAAACTTTTATCGTCGATGTTGATTGATACTTACTCAACTCTCTCTGGTTTTACTGTAATTTTCTTTATCTGAAGAATGACATTGCTTGGTGAAAACTCTTTGTTTATATTATTCTGATTGACGTACTCAGTAATACAATTGGGAATTGGCATATTCATTTTTAACTAATTATTTAAACTGTTTTAGATCTAATAGCAATAAATGATAATAATAATAAAGATTTGTACAAAATAAAACAAATAATATCTAAATATTTAAATAATTTACAGATTGATGTTTTTTTTTAAAAAATATTTATTATTGAACAAAGTTTTTCTCATATTTAAAATGGGCGGGAATGATTTTTTCAATTCAAAATTCAAATTTCTTAGAAATATTTCTCAAGAACTTCATTTCTAACCGACAAAAAATATAAAATTTATTATTCCAAAAAATAGATAATAGATTAATTTAATCATTAATTAACAATGACTTTTAATATTTATATATTTATTTTTTGATTTGATTTAATTTAAATCTACTTAGAAAAATTAATTTGCAAAAAAAAAAACATTAACAACAATATTTAATCAAGTTCGAACGTGGAACTGTTTTTATTATTTATTTTATTGTATTACTTTCAAAAAAAAAATTGGATGCGATCATTGACTGATTTAAATAAGTTTGTTTTGTTTTATTTTGTTGTGATCACAATCTAGAGTCATAGAGATGAACAAAAAAAGACAAAACCCAATTACATCTGGCTTGGACCTAGAGGGAATTTAAGAAGTTGCAACAATGCTTTGATAATAAACCTATATGTTCTTAAATAATAATAATAATCATCAACAACAACAACAACAACAACAACAACAACAACAACAGCAGCAGCAAAACAGTGACAACAGCAACACTAGATTAGACAGCGATTGAATTGAATGTTTTTTAAAACAAATGGTTATTTGAATCAATTGACTATAGGATACAAGGATTTTAGTGGAAGAAGTTTAATGCGAACAGCGAAATAACCCATCTTCAAAACCAATCTCTCAATATCTAACACGAAACAAAAATAAACAATAACAACTACCACCCACCTAACCATCCAAACACACAGTCAAACCATATATATATTTTTTATATCACTTTTTAAAGTTTGAAACAACATTCACTTTTAAGTGCGTAATAAATATTTATTAATTGTGCACCTTTTTCTTTTTTTCAACCACCTTTATTAAACAACACATATGTTAGTAATATTCAAAAAAAAAAAAAATCCAGATTGCACTTTATTTCCAGATATATAAATATATTCCACTGTTTTGGTTCTGCTCAGTGCCATCGGAAAGAGCAAACTAAAATAGTAATGGTAGGCTGATAGGTCTACAAATTGGATTGTGATCACAGATTGCAAATCAACGGATGAGATTCCCACATGTTTACAAACAAAGGGTTGGACACACATACACACAAACACACAGGTAAAAGTAGTTTAATAAATCGCGAACAACTATAACAATAACAACAATAAAAAATAATAACAACAATTCAAATTCAAATTAAGTTTGAGAGATGACCATTTAAACTTATTTCTATTGAGACAATCGATTGTGCTAATAACAACAATTGTTCATATTATTTATGTGTATTGTGCAATGTTACAACTTAAAATGAACAATAAAAAACAACAACAACATCATCATCAGCAGCAACAACAACACCAGTACCTAAAGTTTAATTGCTACTCAATACCAAACAATTTTACTACACACACTACCACTTCACACTTGACAATCAAAAAAAAACTAAACTAAATAAAATGTATAGTTTATTCTAATCATCAAAATTTACTCTTATTTTTTTTTTTCTGCTCGATATAAACTTCCACACAAAGGGTGGGGTAGTGAATTGTTGAAAATATAACACATCACACCACACTCATTCAATCAATCAATCAGTCAACACATACTCACCCACACTCATTTTTTTTTGTTACATCCATACAATTTTGCTCATAACAATTAAAAAAAATAAACAATATGGTGTTTGATGATATTCATGATACATATATATAAATATATATACACATATATATTTTGATATGAGTGTGTGTGAGTGTGTGTGATGAATGAGTGTGAAAAACATATGTTGTTGTTATTGTTGTTGTTCTTCATGTGATTTATTTGCAAAATTAAATTATATATGTCAATTATATTACTTGCTGTTGCCAATATTACTTCAATCATCACAATTAAAACAACTGGCACCACCATTTATACCTCACTCTATATCACTTCCCTCACACACTCAAACTCACACTCACTCTAAATATAATTCACAATAACAAAACAAAATAATAATATTATTAATTATATTTTAAATTAATCATTCTATTTTATCTTAGTAGAAAAAAAAGAAAATTTAATAGTAATAATAAATAATTAAAGATATATAAATTTAATTTATAATTTCTTTATATACATATATTATATATATACTCATTTGTGTTGGTTTTTTTTTCTGGATTGTTTAAAAGTATTCAAGTGAAAGAGAAAATTATTACAAAGGAAATTAAATATAGTCTTTTATCATTTTTACAATCACAAAAATAGAACCTTAAAAGTACCGGTGGAATTCAGGATTGATCAGGAAAGAGACAGACTTAAAATAAAACAAAACAAAACAGAAAATTTTTTTTTAAGAAACAAAAAAAAAGAGTGAGATCATTATAATAATAATAATAACAACAAAAATAATAGTATTGGTACCGATAGATATAAAAAGAAGTTAGTGAATTTGAAATAGTTGTTTTTTGTTGATAATATTAATAATAATAATAATAATAATAAAATTTAAATCTATTTTGTTTTGTTTGTTTTTAAGATTAAATATTAATAGTTGATAAGTAAAAATAATTTAATTAAGGAGTGAGCGAGAGAGAACACACCATAATTTCAAAAATTGGTATCACAACAACACTTACATCTCAAACACCATCTCAAATTTTTCAAAACCAAAAACAAATTAAACAAATTAAACTTTTTTAAAAGTTTTGACAAATCATTTGTCGATCAATTTTCCAGCTTTTTTGTTTTTCAGTTATCCAATTACATTTCCATTCATTTTTAATTAATATATTATTAAAGATCGGACAAACAACAACAAAATTGTTAATTAAATAATAATCAAACAATCATCGAAAAAATATAATTAATTTTCTTTTAAAAAAAACACACAATTAAAACAATGCTCTTAATCGAAATTTATTAATAACAAAAAAGTTAAAAAAAATTTAGAATACACACCACCACCACCATCATCATCATCATCCTAAGCAATCAAATAATATTTTATTTATATTATAAAACAATCAATTTTTTTAAAAACAAAAACACATTTAATTTATTTGTTAGTAAAAAATATATAAAAACAACTTATTTTTTTTTAAAAAAAGAATTATAATTTCTAATGTATATAAATTAAATTTTTTTTAGATATATATATTTTTTAAGAGAATTGAGAGTGATAGTAGAAGAAGTAGAAGAAGACGGAATAGAATAATTGTTTGGATTTCGATTGAATTTGAAATTCATTCATAAAAATATATAAAATAATAATAATAATAATAATAATATAAATAGTTAATATAATAATAATTATAATATGTCATTAAAATCACCAATAACAGCATCTTCTTCAACAACACAACCCGAACCAGATTTACATTCAAATTTTAATGAGAATCTTATCAATCTCGTTGTTCAGAATCAGGCGCTAACAGCCAAGTCTGGTTCTGCGGTGCCCAATCCATTACCAAAGCCACCGAGTTTGGTACAAAAGATTCGCGATCTAAAGAATGGCGGTAACGACGAGCTTCTTCCCGGTATCAATTCATCAAACTCCAACAACAACGATACAGAACAAAACAGTGTGAACAACGATTATTCATCTTCTGCAAACGATGGCAGTGGACTACTTCTAAAACAAACAACTTCCTCTGAAAACGATGAATTCGAAATAGATTCCACTACAATCGCTTCCAATAATAATATTACCAATAACAACACCAACAACAACAATAACAATAATATTCTAAATTCCAGTTCTTCGGCAACAACCACACCAACAAACACCACTAAACCGACACTGGAAAGTTCAATTAGTTTACAATCACTTTCAAATCTTTCAAATTCCACTTCGACTTTACCGTCGCCGTCACAGCAAAGTCTTTTTGTAAATAGCAGTCATTTCAAGAGTTCACCTAATCTCTTGGTTAAACAAAACGGAGCAAATCCAGTTGTTGCATCACCAACCAACAGCAACAGCAATAATTCATCGTTGAACGAACAGAAACAGGCATTGAGAAATCCAAAGAAATATAAATCCATCTCCACCTGCGAGTTCAAGTTGGAAAGCAAACTGGTCTATCCACCACTTCCACCCGTTCCACATATGGTATCTTCGAGTTTGCCCCCACTTCCACCCATTCCACCCTCGGCACAATCCTCGAGCTACCTCAACACCAATTCCACACCGCCATTGACGTTGTCGTCGTCGCTCTCCTCCAACTCTTCGATCAACAACATCGACTCGATCCTTCTGAACAGTCTCTCGAATTCACAGAGCGCCAGCAGTGTAGTTGTCACCTCGACGACCACCACGACCACGACCACCCACAACATCGTAGTGACAGCCAGTCCCGAGTCGACCTCGTCGGCGATCGCACTCGACCAGCCATTGGACGCATCGTCCTCGTTGTCACCCACATTGAAATCACACTTTTTCAAGCTCAAATACTTTACACAACCGACAAGATGTCGATTATGCGAACAATTCATTTGGGGTGTCATCGGAAAGCAGGGTCTAATGTGTTCGGACTGCGGATTCCCCACACACAAACACTGCGCCAATAAAATCTCGACAAACTGCAACAGCTCACCACCCATTAGAAAGAGTCGATCCGCCAACAATGCATCGTACGACAAAGAGTTGTTAAAGTTGCAACTAGATAATCTAAATAACAACAACACCAATGGCAATGGTAATGGCAATGGATTGGTCGATGAGAATAATACAGGTAATGGCAGTGCCAATGTATCACCAAACAAATCAAAATCAACAACGACTTCATCATCATCGACAGAATCAGTCAGTAGTCCAGCCAGTCCAGTTTCACCAACATCGTCAGACGGCAAAAAACTGAGGAGAAGCAGTGTGGATTCTGCACTAAGAGATTTCCAACAATCATTTAAATCATTAGTTGCAGAAGATGAAACATTAATAACATGTAAGATTATAATATCCATCATAGATAAAAATATATTATTCAAAGTGTTTAGATTACTAACTTTTTTTTTACTATTATTATCAATCCACTATTTGAAAAGATTATAGTTGTGGATATCAAGGATCAGTTTTGAAACACGGTAGATTATACTTGACAGAACACTTTTTATGTTTCTACGATAATATAGTTTTCGATAAGACAAAACAAAGACAAAAGATAATACCAATCTCAACAATCATTTCAATCGAGAAGAAATCTGGTTTGGCACCAAATGGTATACTTATAAAAACTAATGAAAGAGATGTAAGTTTGATTAATATTAATAATATTTTAGTTTGTTATCAATTTGTTATTAACATTATTTATGTTTTTTTTTTTTAAATCATCCAAGTATCAATTTTGTCTATTTTTACATAGAGATGAAGCATTTGATGTTATGGAAGCATTGATGTTGTACCAAGAGAAACAACTACTAACTGAGAGTATCATTCAGAGAAATGTTAATGGATTGAAACAAGCACTCAGCCAGAGAAAGACTAGAAAATCCACCAGTACCAAGTCATCAAAGCGATCAAGGAGTGCAGACGGCAATGTTTTCTCTACTCTCAGAACACCAATAACCTTTGAGGATCCTCCAATTGTAAATGTCATCAAACAAAACGATACAGAGATGTTAAATTTACTATTGGAATATTATACTCAAAACAAATCGGATGAAATCAATCAACCAGATAAGTATGTTTGACTTGAATTGATAATCATTATTAATTGTCAAAAAAGATATAAACAAAATTAACTAACAATTAAATCCCTATATAGAGAGGGATATTCACCACTACATGTTGCAGCTTCCAGTGAGATAAGTGACAATATGATGATACATATTTTGAAGCATCCAACAATCGATGTCAATGTGAAGAATATGGATGGAAATACACCACTGCATTATTTCTGCCAGAAATTCAGATCGCCTGAATGCCAGAAGATCGTTCAGATGTTTATTGAGAAGGGTGCCAATGTAAATGAGCAGAATACAATGGGTGAGACACCGTTGCACAAGGCCATCTTCAATCATAGTGTTCGTCTGCTGATGGTGCATGTACTTCTAAAGAATGGTGCCAACATCAACTTGGTCAACAATGCCGGTGAATCTGCACTCCACTATGCCGTCAGATTGGGTCGTCTCGACGTTCTCAAAACCCTGATCACCTCTGGTGCCGATCCAGCTCTTGTTTCCACCAAGCAGAGAAAGACACCACTCATGTTGGCCGAAGAAAACAATTGTCCAGAGATTAGTGATTTATTAAAGAGACTGGAATGTAAGTTTTTGTAAAAAAATATTTAAAACAATATTATAACTTGATAGCTAACTTACTTTGTTATGGTTGTTTAGTTTTAATAAATTCATTATCATCGAGTGGATTAGGACAATATAGAATGGCATTGATTTTAGAGGAAATTACACAAGAGGGTGCTCTAGCCAGAATCGATGAGAATATGATGGCTAGAATCGGTTGTTACGATGAGGATCAGAGAAAACAGCTTTACGGTTTGAAAGGAAAGAAGTTCTTTGGTACGGTTCCAGCTATTACACCGGGTGCAATGGATCTGCTAAAGGAGTTGGAGAATATGGATATTAAGAATGGCAAGTGGATTATCTCTCAACACGAGCTAGAGTATACCGATAAGATTGGTTCCGGTGTTTCCGGTAAAGTCTACAAGGGTTTGTATCGTGGTCGTGAAGTTGCCATTAAAGTACTAAAGTCGGCGGATGAAGCTCATAATCGTGAGGAGTTCCTCAAGGAGTTCCACGTGTTGGCATCGCTACAGTCCAATCTTATCGTTGGCCTGTACGGTGTCGTTCTGGAACCGAGAATCTGCTTGGTGATGGAGTATTGTTCGAAGGGAAGTTTGTACCAGGTTCTCCACTCTGAGAAGATGACTTGGGAGCGTTTCTTCTCGTTTGCCATCCAGCTTCTGAAAGGTGTTTCTACACTACACAAGTCGGAGCCACAAATTTTGCATCGTGACATCAAGAGTCTCAACTTTTTGGTGACACGCGACCTACGAATTAAGGTGGCAGACTTTGGATTGTCGCGTTTCAACACCGTCTCCAATCAACTCACTCTCAACAAGACCAGAGGAACCAGCGCCTATTGCGCGCCAGAGGTGTTCCAGGGCAAGGAGTACAAGGAGCAGAGCGACGTCTACTCGCTGGGTGTCGTCTTTTGGGAGTTGATATTCGCGTTGATCAACGGACGCTATCTCCATCCCTACGGTGAATACAAGCGAATGAACGCATTCCAAATCATGTTGTGCACATCGAATCATAACCTTCGTCCTACCATTCCACTCAACTGTCCAGAGTCTGTGAAAACGCTGGTGACTCGATGCTGGGATCAAGATCTCTTGCTCCGTCCTACCTGTACCGAAGCAATAGAGATTCTTGCCGCTTGCGAAGTCGAATTCACACAGAATCAAAGTGCATGGAATGAAATACTAACCATGAAAGATGAAACCAGTAAACATCTCTCAATGGACTCATCGCTCTCACTCTCTGATGCTTCAGATTGATAAATAATAATAATAATAATTATTGAAAAAATACAAAAAAATACAAAAAAAAAAAAGAAAAAAATCTAAATCAAAACAAACAAAATCGATCACTATATATAACTTCTAAATATATTTTCTAAACTATATATTTTTGTACAAAATAATAAAAAAGTTTAACCTTTTAAATTCTCAAAATTGGAAATCTCTTAAAGTTAAATTGATCATTCAGTACAAACACTCAAAAAAGTGGTATATTGTCTTCATTTCTAATAAAAAGAAAAATAATGTAAGGTCAAAGAATTTTTTATTTTAACAAAATTATTAATTTTTTTATTACCAAAAATAGTTATTTTTTTTTATCTTTTATTTTAATTTTTTAAAATTATTGTTAATGCATAGAATTTAATATAAAATTAAAAAAATAAAAAAAGATCGTTCCAAATTTATATTATTTTAATAAAATAAGTATGGTAACATTGGACATTTTATTGATATGTTCAAAATAATACATCTGCCATCTTTAGAAAATGAAAAATGTTCTTTTTTATTATTTTCTTAAAATTGTTTTTAATATTTTTAAAAAGATCTTTTGAAAAATAATAATAAAATAAAGACAGTGACAATGATATTACAATAAATCTTTAAAAAGAGTGTGGTATGTTTTACATTTTAATTAGTGGGTTGTTTTTATCTTTTGATACCAATTTTAGAAAATGAAATAGACAATTTAAATAAGTCCAATAATTGACATCTTTTGTCGCTTCATTTAGTCAAGTACTCTGGCTATGGAATTGCTGTGACAGCCGACGATTCCTCTCGACGACACCCACACTCTACTACTCGCACAACTCTTTCCTCATAGAATCTTTTGTGGATGTCCGATATTTTGGATCTTCAATTTCACCCCCATTTCCACCACACCAACTATGCATATAAATTGGTCATTGAATTTACAACTCTTTTTTATTCTACAAACAACAGCTACAACAACAACAATAAATTGTTTCTACAATTACAAATTAATATAATACCAAATATATTCATTTTTGTTAATTTCCATTTTATTAATCTCTTCACCAGCCAATTAATAATAATTTAACAAAGTTGTTTCTATTTTTTTAAAACACTTTATCAACCTCAACAAATAATTAATTTAACACTTATAACAAATAACAATTTTTAAATCACAGAATAAATATAAATAATATTTATCAAAGACTTTTACCATGGGTTTCTGTTCAAAGGTCGGTCTTGTTATCTTGGCCATTATTTTCCCTCCCTTAGCCGCCCTCATCTGTGTAGGATGTAGTGGACATTTCTGGCTCAATGTTTTGCTTACTATTCTTGGTTGGATTCCAGGTAAATATTTTTTATTTATTTAAATTAATTTATTTATTATTTATATTAATATAATAATTTTATTTTTAAAAAACTTTTCTTTAGGTGTGATTCATGCTTTGTATCTTGTTCTTTCAGGAAAGCATCATAATCACCACAGTTAAACATTCAGAGAAGCCAAACTTTCAATAAATTTTTAAAACTAAATATTTTAATATATCTACCTTTTGTATCAAAAGTTTATTTTCATAATATTAAAGAAAAAATTAGTCTTTAATACAAATAGTTCAATTATTTTTTTAAATACTAAATATTTTAAAGTTTTTTTATTACCAATAGTTAATTTTATCTTTTTTTTTTGTTTATATATATATAAAAGAATACTCAATCTTTAATCTTACATCCCAAATCACTATAAATATATTAATTTGTAAAAATGATAAAATTTGAAAAACAAAAAATATTTAATTAACTTTTGCTTTAAACTAGTTTTTCCTTTTAGATAAAACATTTATATATGTATATCTTATATTTATAAATGAGGGAAAAATTAAAAATGAATATGAGGATGTTAAGTAATACAAAATAGTAGATTAAAAGAAAAAAGACATGACCTCTGCAATATTTCTGTTGGATTCTAGAGGAAAGGAATTGATATCTAGAAACTATCGAGGAGACATACAAATGAATGTAGTTGCTTCCAAATTTATATCAAGCGTTTTGACTAAAGATGATTTAGATAGATTACCAATAGTCGAACATGAAGGAATCTCCTTTATAAATGTTAAATATAATGATGTTTATTGTAAGTGAATGAAGAACGATTAATATTAATAATAATACTTTTATAGATTCTAAAAGTAAATCTAAATGAATTGGAGGAGGAAACCGTTAGAGATAACTTTGTATTGATATACGAATTGTTGGATGAGATGATGGATTTTGGATATCCACAACTGACTAACCAAACTGTACTTCAATAACACATTACACAAGAAGCAAACAAGAAAGAAATTAAAGATATATGCCAGTTTGCGGCTTTGGTCCGGATTGGCGAAAATCAAATAACAAATATGATAAGAATCAAGTATCTATAGATGTATTTGAACAATTAATATGTCAGTATGTAATCTATTAATAATTTAATTTAATCTAATCTAATCGAATCTGAATATTAAAAATCATACATACAAAACATTAGATATCAAGAGATGGCAATGTTTTGAATTATGAAGTAATAGGCTCGATCAAAATAAATGCAATGCTATCTGGTATGTCAAGTCTAAAGATTGGTTTTAATGATAGGTATATCATTAAAGATTCATTAAAAAGTAAGTATAGTTTTTGAATATATATAATCATTAAGAGTATTTAATAAACAATGAACAAGAGTATAATACAGAAGAGATAAAGGATATAAAGCTTCACAAAAGTATTAGATTACCAAAGTTTGTGAAAGAGAATACTCTAGTTTTTGTTCCACCAGACGGAGAGTTTGAGTTGATGTCATATCGTATCGAAGCAATAACCAAACCATTGATTTCAGTCGAATGTATCATAACTCCAGATTTTCAATTAAACAACAACAACAACAACAACAACAACAACAACAACAATGTACAATATATAATTCGAGTAAAATCATTGTTCAAATACAACTTATTTGCCAAGAATGTTATTATAATTATTTCATTGCCAAAAGATACCGATACGATAAAATTTAGTGTACGTAAAACCAAAGTTAATAGAATTAGCTTGATATTAATTAATTAAATGATTATATAAAGTCTGCAAAAGGCAAATGTAAATATGTAGTAGAACAAAATGCTATTATTTGGGAGATATTAGAATTCCCTGGTAACAAAGAGTTTGTAACGAAAGCACACTTTGAACTGGCATCATCAAACATGGATGACTGCTACATACTTTGTAATAAATCATCATCGATTAAGTTACAATTCGAATTTCAACAAACTATTTCGGGAATTCAAGTTAGATATCTTCGAATGTCTGAGCATGGTGCAACAGATGACCAAAGTGTGCAATCATCTATTCGCTACTTAACAAAAAGTGGTGACTATCAAATAAGAACATCATACAATTAAAATACACATATGTAAAAAAGAGTTTGAAACCAAAGGTATTACTTTGTCGATACTGATTTTGTTATGTATTTTATTTTATTGTTATATTAATCAAAGCTTTCTTCTGTGTCTTCGAACTCTCCATTAGAATTTTCACCATCAGACTCTATACCTTTGTGATCTACAGCTTCACATAGATTATTTTGAATGAGGTAATTCTCGATATCTCTATGTTGGAAATAGATTGCGTTTCTAATTGCCTGAGGTGTGCATCGCTCGAATCTATTTTGGTGGAGGAATTGAATAACCTCCAACCTTCCATATTTACATGCATTGTCGATACATCTAGCACTCCAGTTCTCATTGGGTCTATTCTCGTGTATGAATTTAACGATCTCCAAAGTGGTATGTCCGATTACATGATGGAATGCCGACCAACTCATTCCCTCTGTTCTGTTTTCGTGTAAGAATCTAAATATTTCAAACTGTCTTTCCTTTCCAGCATAGGTCATTGCTCGTCTGGTGCAACCTTCAGTTCGATTCTGATGTAAAAATTTGACAATGTCAAGAGAGAAACAAGCAGCACTATCCATTGCTTCAGCTCCTATTAATTCCGTTCTATTGGCATGGAACCACTTTACCATCTCCATTGGTAACGTATCATCTTGTACTTTTGGCAAATGGAGGTAGATCGTGCTCGATTGAACTGTGCTGTTTGCGTGCAACCACTTTACTACTTCGAATTGATAGGCTTTGAATGCACTGATAAAACATCCAGCCATACTTGTCGAGGGTGAGTTTGTTTTAGCCCATTCCAAGATCTCAATGAATCCTCTGCTGCTAAATGTTTGAAGCGCTAAATTCGTTAAGTGTATTTTACACTTTGAATTGAGAAGCCAATTCATTGTTTCATGATTCATAGAGTATTTAAACTTGTCCATTTCGATTGTTTGATTTTGATAATCAATGTAACCGTTGGCGTCAAGCCAGTGGATAACATTCATCTTTTGACCCTCCAGTGCGTTATCAACCAAACTATTTACAATGGCTGGTTTTCTATTTACGATCAACCATTCTAGTGTTTCAATATGACCACCTTTAGCTGCGGCATCGGCAGGTGATCTGTTGAATTCGTAGTCCAAACTGACGAGATCCGATAGATATTTGACCAGTTGGAGATGACCACCTTCTGAAGCTTCCACCAGAGCATCGGCAATGTTAGGCAGAGTGTTTGTAACTGTCTTCAAAATATAGATGACCATATCATAATATCCTCTTTTGGCGGCAATCGACAACCAACTCATAACAGAGTAATTCGAGCGACTATCAGTATTGGCAATTGCATCTTTTTGCTCAATGAGATATTGGACAATGGAAAGTCGATTCGATCGAACAGCTGAAGTGACTAATCTCACCAGATTCTTGGGTTGCTCCGATTGCATATAGTGATTTACAAATTCATGTTCATAGTTGTATTGAATAAGTAGATCTGGTTGAGCATTGATCATCTCTGACCAACTATAACTATAGACAGCTAGACTATCATGTAACCGTTTAATACTTTTAAATATTTGGTTTCTAATAACTTTTTGATTGATTAAAGATTTAAATAAACTGTCCATCTCCAAAATGTATATTTATTATTATTATTATTAAAAAAATAAGATGCAAACTAATTTACTTGTAAATAAATAATATATGATATGGTATATAATATTATTTGATTATTTGAAAAATGATTAAAGAACCTGCAACTGTTCTTTAATTTATAGTTTTAAATAAATCATTTTTATAAAATTAAATATATATATTCTTCAATGAAAAAGCCTGGTATCCAAACATGATTACACAAATCTAGGTCGAAAATATTTCTTTGGCGGCAAGAAGTTTTTTACGACCTAATACATCATTAAAAAAAATACCAAACGAAGTAAAAAAATTAATTTAATAATGTTTATAACTTCATACCAACATATGTATACATATAATATTTAATTTATTATAAATAAATTTTGTCTGTTGAAGATCATTTTAAATGAGAATAGTTTTACAAAAAAATTAGAAATTAAATCGAACAGATATTTATTGACACTTTGCAAAAGATCTTAAATGGAATTAGAACACTGATAGTATAAGAATTTAATGTAAGTTATGAATGTTTTAATTCATAGATCTATCTTTAAAAATTTTGTATAAAATGTCAGTGATTATAAATTTATCTCATATCATATTAAAACAAATAATTGAATATCTAAGTGATAATATCGATCGAATATGTTTCAGTTTAACATGTAAAAGATTCTTTCATGAGAGAGAGAAGTATTTGACGTTCTGTGTTGACCAAAGCAGTAAACTCTTTCTTCTATTGGGAAGAAAGTTAAGGTTTTATATGAAGTCTTACTCTGCGCAACTCGACCACTCATTAAACTCAAAGAGTCCTTGCTATCTCCACATAGGCTCAACCTCAAGAAAAACAACAGATTATTATATTCATGAGAGTAAGTAAATATTATATTCTTGATATATAAAGTAATCAGCATAGCAGTCAGTAACAGTTGTTGTAAACTAAAACAAATTATCTATATTCTATCTATCTAATAATAGGGAGATTAAAGAACTATGAAATACCTGAAACAGTTCAAACCATTGAAATTGAAGATTCTATGAAAGAGTGTTATTTAAAAGAACTAAGTTTATTACTCGAGAAATCAAATGTAAACAAAATGTGTTATCATAAATGGTTGGAGGGTGGAGCTCCTCTTTCAACGAAATTAACATCGATTCGGTGTTTCACAGCGTATTGGAATGTGTTAGGCAAGTTCTGGCATGGATTGACAAGCATTGATATTCCTAGTCAATTTCAACAGTTTACACCAGGGATGTTTCCGCCAACGCTACGCTACTTGAAATTCGGTTCACTTCTCTGTGAAATTGAAAAAGGTTGTCTCCCAGAAGGATTACTCGAGCTTCATATAGTAGAGCAAACCGTTTGCCAGAAATTCGAAATGGGAATACTTCCTGACAGCTTGAAAGTACTGACCTCCGAAAGCCACTCTCCAGCACGTTTTGCAAGAGGTTCAATACCTCGAAATCTTGAGACGCTACACTTCCGAACCTTGTGTGACGAATCACTGGAACCTGGTGATTCTCTTCCTCAGACTTTGTCAACACTACATGGAGTACCTGCCTGCTGGATTCCTTGGATAAAGCGACTCTCCAATTTGAGAACTCTCTCTCTCAAAGGGAACTACTCAGAGAAACTCAAGTTGGAAGTAGACGATATTCCAATGGGTGTAACTGATCTCACTATATTCGAGTGCCAACTGAGCCACGACTGCATTCCACTGTCTGTGAAAAAGCTAACTCTTGACGGTAGGTGTAAGCCAATGTTCACACCAGACACTCAAAACGATTTCGATGAGTTGGTGATAAGAGGTATACAATTGTACGAAACCATCGAATATCTAAAAGTGAAGAAATTGAATCTCAAGTCGTACTCTGGCATTAGGGAATTGGTTTGTCCAGATCGAGTGCTGTTACGTGGTGTGGAATCGATTGAACTGCATATCTTTAACTTCTCTTCAACAATTGAATTGAAAACCGATGTTCAACCTCCAATTCTATTCAAACATCTAATGGCAGCAAATTTCTACAATTCCTGCAATATCTCACTTTTACTCAGAAGATCCACTCTTTTCTCAGAGTATACCGTCGTGTCTTCCGATGAAAAATACTACAACTACCAAATAAGAGAGATATCCACAGGATACTACTGTCTATTTGGTACATCATCAAATCAGATTGTATCTTGTATATTTCACGAATCAGTAGCAAACCTTGTTCTTAAGAGTATAAAAAAATAATAAGTTATAACCAGGCAGGTGAGCGAGTTAATCATTCAAATAAACAAATAAATAAATGTATATCAGCAGTGTGAATTTTAATCAACGTGGAATTATAGTTTTATTTGTTCAATTGATAAACACTAAATCATGAGTACGAATTGCTCACTGTCATTCACACTGAATCAAATTTACTCGTTCCCCACACAGTATACTAGAAAGTAATAGATGTACTTTGTTAAGTTCAAATTGTTTAATATTATATATAGTGGTATCTGTTAAATTTAGTATTTACACTCAAATTTGTTAAGTTACATTAAAAAATAAATATAAATATTGATAAATTTATATTGTAGAAATGAATCAATGCATTTTTGATTGATGAGGTAATTTTAATTTTAGAGTAAAGTTATTTGTAGGTGATGAATTGATCATGATCAAAAACTAATACACTAAAAACAGAGTAGTGATCACAATGTGTATATATGATGTATACTTTTAATCACTTAGGTTAAATATAAATGAAAACCACACAGGCAAAAGCTTACTATTTCAAATTAGATATATAATTAATAATGAAAAATTAAATATAACCATATATATACAAAATGAAACCACCACAACTACAACTACATATTGTTATTCTTCATCCTATCACTACATCGTCGAATTGATACCTCTTGTAATATATGTAGTTTAGAATGATTAACCCACCAAAACTATTAATAGAACACAACACTCATTCATTCGCAAGCTAATCTAGAATGACAAACCAAATTTAAACAACAAAACTAGCCATTTCAAGCGAATCTCAACTAGTAATTGTAGAGTGACTCCCTGAGATGGTATTGCTTATCGTTTTGATGTTTGATGATAACAAGATAAGTTTGTAATTATCATTATCAATATACTTTTTGTTTTTCTTTCTTTCACTCATCACAACTCAACTCTGTTGGTGGTGTGTTGTTTATGTTGAGATGGACTTGTTAGCATGAACCTATCGTATCGATATTAAAAAAATGAATATATATAACAAAACAAGAAATAATAAAACAAATACCACCTCACATACCACACAAAAAAAAAGATAGACAGACAGACATATAATAAAATCAACCACTATAAAGGTGTGCACATAGTTTTTTGCTTGCTTATCGCATCAGCTAAAATGCTCAAATGTTTCAATTTCAATTAAATTTGGAAATCAACTCTACTTCACTCCTCCACAAATGTTTATCAAGTGTTTAAACAGGTACATACCTTGTTAGATATCATGATGTGTGGGTGGTCTTGTTGCAACATACATGTGTGTTTGTTTGTTTTTTTTTTTTAGTTGAAGTGGTTGTGTTGTTAATAACCCACCCATCTCATTATCAAAACAATCATTAAATTGAGTGGGAATGAAGAAAAAAAAATAATAAATTAAACTCACCTCTTTTTTTTTTTTTTTTTTTTTGTTTATTCTATTTTATATATATTGTGCTCCAATTAACACACTAAACAAAAAAAAATCAGATCATATTTATTTTTTATTTTATTTAAATTAAAAATATCACTCATTCCATTTTCTACTCACTACCCTTATTTAGGATTATCAAATAAACAATATATTTAATTAATTTATTATTATTATCATTATTATTTTTATAGGGACATCCTATAAGAGAGTGAGTGAGTCAATTGTTTGTTTGTCAGATTGAGTTTGTCAATTCAAAAAGCCAAATAAAATAGAAAAACATGAAAAAAAACCAAAATAAAAATTAATTAAATTGAAATAAAAATATACAAATTATCTTTTTTTCATCTATCCTTCAACACAAACCAACACTACACAAAAAAAAACAAAACTCTTCCATTTATTTATTTTTATTTTATTCCCAACTTATATAGTTAGTTAATTAGTTAGTTTTTATCATAATTTATTTTATTTATTTTAATTTAAATCAATATTAATATCTATCTATTAAAAGAAAAAAAAACAAAAACAGATATTTATTTTATATAATAGTAATAATTATAATAATAATTTAAGTTAGTTTGTTTTTTAAAGGTATGATATTATTATTTATAAGTTAATAATAAATTTGATCATTATCAATCTTATTCATAATAATCATAATCATAATCATTATAATCATCATCATTACTGTCTATATATCTATAATCACTTCTCAACAAAATAATATTCTATAGACAAATAATAACAATAATTCAAAAGAAACCAATCTCACGAGAAGAAGTTCTTCTTTGTACACAATCTATTTCTAGATTTGTCTATTTTTTTTTTTTTTTTCATCCATCCAATATCGGTATTAATCTTAAACAGGTCACTCATTCACGCCCTTTTGATATTGATTTTTGCTATTTTTTTTCTATTTTTTATTTTTGCAAAAAAAAAAACTTATTTAGCTTGTTTTCTTTTTCTTTTTTTTCTTTTTCTTTTTTTTTTTTGAGTGTTTAAAAAACAATAAATTTTGCTGTTTAATCTCAATTACTTCAAATTCTACCACCCAATTAAATAAACATACAAATAAAACTTTGTTGTTATCACTTTTTTATTAGTTTGTTTATCTCATCACTTTTTTATTTTTTTATTTTTTTATTAGTTAGTAGTTAGTTAGTTAGTTAGTTAGAATAATACATTATTTTAATTATAAATAATAAAAACAAAAACAACATAAACAAATAAATAAATACAACTGTTGTTATTATTATTATTATTATTATATTTAGTATTATTAAAATTCATTTTAGTTAACAACAAAAACAACATAATACTTGAATAGGTTATTAAGTCATTTTTTATTTATTATGATATAATCAATATTATATACATCATTTGTCATCCATCTTTTTTTTTAGTTTATCACAATTATTTTATTGTTTTTTTTTAGATTTATTTTATCATTATTATTTATTAATATTTGCGTTATTTAGATTATTTCGATAGAATCAAGTGAATTACATTTGAATTATATTAGTTAGTTTAGTCAGTCAATCAGTCAGTTTAGCAGTAATAACAAGCAAGAAAGGACTAAGCAAAAAAAAAAAATACATCAGAGTTTGATGAGTTTGAGAAGAGTTACAAAGTAGAAAAAGAAACAAACATCATTACACTTTGAATATTCAAGTGCTGATTTCACAGGTCATAGGATTGAAGAGATACTCGTGCAGAGTATAAGCTTAGCCTAAAAGACCTCCCTAGAAGCTACAGGAATTTTTTGTTAAGACAAAACAGAATCTTCTCCTTCTAGAAATGCTTCCAAGTAAAAGAAAGGATACATATTCTTTTACCGAGTGTTCTTCAAAGAGGAGAATATCAAATGTAAGTGTTATTTTTATTTATTTTGATGTTTGTTTGACTTTTCAAAAATTTTAACAACAATCTTTTTATTATCATTATCTATTTATATAGAGAGATATCACAATGGAGGATGATGATATGTCATCGCCAATTCCATCACCAACTTCAAGCAATCATTCATTTATGGAAATTGAGCAATCCATTATAAATGAACAAGAGTACATTGTATTTTGCATCGATCTCGATGAAGAGATAAATTCTACTTTCAAGCAAACGGTACCACGTCTCGATCACATTAAGAAAGCGTTGTCACTGTTTGTGAGAAGCAAACTTAGACTCGATCCAAATACAAAGTTTGCCATTTGCATACTGAGAGTATCTGCCATCTGGTTTATGGATTTCACAAGTGAGTTCAATGAGATCAAATCTAAACTCAACTCACTCAAACACGGTGGAAAATTCAACGCATTTGATATGACAACTCTATTTGATACACTGTAAGTAAACCAATCTTATTATCTTATTTTCTCAATACTAATAGTTTATTATTTATTCTTCAAACATTTTATTTTAATCACTAGTGAGAATACCTATAGACAAATTGTAGAGTCCAAACAATCTGTAAGACTATTGCAAACCTCACAATCGTCAGGTCCATCCACTCCTGTTCCAATGAGTTGGAACTTACGAGTCATTTTTATCTACTCACGATCCAGCATCATTCCACAATATCTCGGTGGAACTAACAGTTTAGATTCCCTAAAGAAGAATCCAAACTTTTCATTTGAATCAATTTATATGTATCATATTTATCATACTGATCATGGAAAGGTAAGTTAAAGCACAAGCAATCGGTTCAACCGATTATTAAAATTATCTTATCACTAATCAAATACTATTTCTTTTTTCTTTCTAATAGATTGTAGAATCAATTGGTCAGGCTACAAAGAATATTTCAAAGATTTCCGATCAATCGTCAATTAGAAAGTTTTATTATTGTTTTTTAGGAATATTATTCGTACCACCTTCACAAAGACCCTTGACACCAAAGTATCAACGTTTCCCTGTGGGTCTCATCAATGAGAACTTGGATCGACTCGGTCCATGTGGTAAAAACATCATCACCGGTAAAGCCAACCAACCTCCCGCCTTCTTATCGCACCATCTCATCCAACTTCCTCACATTCCAGGTCATCAACTTCACACCCCATTGATTTTCCAGATTCAAACTCATCATCATCATCACCAGAACCAACAACAAGCACAACCTCAACAACCAAATCAACAGGCACCACCACAACCACCACAAAATCAAGTTCCAGCTCTTGTTGTACCAATTTTACCACAACAACAAGCAGCACCACCACCACAACCACCACAAAACCAACAAGTACTTAATAATATCAACCAACAACCACTCAATAATATTCAACCAAACCCACCACAACAACAACAAAATCAAACACAAGTTGAACAACCTGCTCAACAACCCCAACAACCCGTAGTCGAACCTCCTGCTCAACAAATTGAATTGGCAGCTGAACAAGAAAACAATGAAAATATAGAAATACTTCATGCTGAAAATGAAAACACCAATGAACAACAACAACAACAAAATAACAATAATTTAAATAATAATAACAATAACAATCCCGATAATAATAATTTACAACAACCAGCTGCACAACAACCAGCTGCACAACCTCCCCAACAACCAGATCCAGTTGCAACTATTCAACAACAACAACAACAACAAAACCCACCTATTCAAATCGCCTTGCCACAACCAGTTCCACCACATAACAATATTTTCCCTCTTGTATATTACCCATTTTTCATTCAAAACCCCAACGCCAATCCAGCACAACCAGAGAACCTCATTATTGATCCACTTCAAATGTATAACCCATATTCATTTGTAGTTCAAGGTCAGAATCCTGGTGTGATCAATCCTCAGATACAACAGCAACTTCAACAACAAGCACAACAGCAGGCACAACAACAAGCACAACAATTTATCGCATCAAAGACCGCCAATAAACCCAATCAAAACCTTCGTTCATCATCGGATGGCGAAGACTCTGCTGCACTGCCATCACTCGGCTCGATGCTCAAGCCATACATCAACAGTCCACAATTCAGCGATGTCGTCTTTGTCGTTGGCAAGTCTGAAGACTCGGACGGCGAGTTGATCTACGGTCACAAAGTAATTTTGAGTGCACGCTCCAAATACTTCAAGGCTTTATTTACAAACGGTATGAGAGAGTCTGGTACAAAAGGCGAAATCGTTGTACCCGATGTTTCAAAAGATGTCTTTTTGGCACTTCTCTGTTATCTTTACACTGACGATCTTACACCGATGGACGGATCACCATCAATGTCGACCACTGGTTCTTCCTCCTCCTCCAAATCATCTAAACCACCAACCTCTACTACCACTACAAACAGTAATAATAACTCTGTTGGTACACCACCATCGTCTTCCACTCCACCGGCACATGGATTCTCTTCCACTCTATTGACAGAGCTGTTGATACTCGCCAATCAATATATGCTGGATGGACTGAAGATCAAGTGTTGTGAGCTCATCGGTGAGACTTTGTCTGTCAACAACTTGGTGTCACTCATGAACCTCGCCAGCATCCATGAGGCCACCGAATTGAAAAACTCGTGTATACTCTATTTCTACAGTAACCTTCCAATCATTCTTAGGGATTGTCTCTTTGAGAACGACAGCAACAACGAAGGTTCTGAAGCACTTGGCTTCCTTATTGTCGACTACTTTAGTAAAGTCTCTAAATTATCATCGACCGACGGCAAATCAGATGACTCCAATAATAACCCCGAGCTCAGTGCAAAGAATTTTGAAGAGTTGGTATCTCTTTTTTAATCCTATTCATAAAACAGAAAAACCACATAACAATAAATATAATAAATAGAAAATATAAATCTTTTTTTAAGTTGTTGTTGTTTGTGATGATGACTTTCAATCCGATATCGGTTAGGTGGAAATTGACCAGAGTGACAATTTCTTAATAAAAAAAATATATATTTTTTATTGAATTTGTGTTGTTTGTGATGTTGTTGTTTTTTTTTTGATTTTTGATTTTTCGAACCAACAATTCATTTGAAAATTTGGTGTAAAATTAAAAGAGCCAACCACACATTCATCTCAAATCTATAACATCGATGTTATAGAATTTTACAAAAATAAAATCGTTAGTGGCTGTGACCAAAATTTTAAAGTGAAAAAAGAAAAAAAAAGGATATTTATAAAATTTTATTAAAAAATATCTTAATTTCTCGAATAAAAAAAGATTCTTATATTCGAGAAAAAAAGAAATTTCAAACAAAATATAAAAAAAATTGATCTTTCGAAGGATGGAAATGAAATCTATAAATATCTTAAGAATGAATACCTCAATCTTAAAAGAAACTTGAAAGTATAAATAGATTGCTTGTAGTCTATTCAAAACAAATCAATCAATCAATATAATATAAATATTAACTTATATTCAATCAAATAATTATATCAAATAAAAATGTTGTACAAAACCATTCTAGTTCTTTTCTTACTTTTAGCTGTTGCATTTGTAAGTGTTTTATAAATAAATTATTTTTTAATCTATATAACTAACATTCGGATTTAATCTATGTTTTTATTTAGGCCATGAAAGATGTAGAATTTACTGACAGTCCAACTTTTACTGTCGGAACTATCAGTGGACAAGATGCCCCAGTCAGTAGTGATGGTGGAAGCGATGGTCGTCACCACCACCTTCACCATGCAGGAAGCAGCAGCAGCAGTGATGGTAACTCTGGAACTGGTATCACTGGTACTGGAAGCAGTGGAAGTGGTTTTGTTTATTAATACTGATTATCAATATCAGAGTCAGCCGCAACAATAAATTTAATATATATTAAATTTCCATTTATTTATTTCTTTTAATTAAACATCTATACAATGCAATATATTTGAATAAACAAACATGATTTGTCAATGAAGTTGTTTTATTTTTATTTAATATATAATTAATTTTATGAATTTAATTAATTCTTCTAGGTATCTAGTTGAGGTGGTGGAGAATGTACTATTTCTTGTATTTTATCTACTATCTCTAGAGTATAAATAATCAATCTCATGTTAAAAACCTCAATCTTCACCTCCACCTAGATAACCAGAATCCTATATTAGCAGAGACATCGAGGGCCACAAAGTACATCCACGATTGAAAAGTCTTTGTGCTACTTCTGGAGATTCCTCTTCCACACTTTCCAGCAACTAAACACAGGATTTTTATGAACTCACCAACTATCAACTTGATATTCTCAATCTTGGTTTGCCAATTGGAATTTGGATAAGAAACATGAGCTACAAGCTTGAAATTCTAACTATTTTTTACAAATGGTATCTTTATTTAGTTAATATCTATCTGCAGAAATAAACAATGAGCATTTCAAATATTTATTTTTTATGTTTAGATGTTTTTTTTCAATTGAACAAAGATGATAAATCTTCCCCAGAATCCATTGAATCCAGATATTCTTCTTGCTTTCTTGGTGGTTGTGGGGGTGTTGTGATTTTGATCATTGGACATGGTGGCTTTATATTTAATTCGTCTACATCGTCAAAGAATGGGAATCGGTATTCTTCATTATCGCACCTCACTTCGTTGTCATCGTTTTTGAATGGAAATTGGAATATTTCTGGGATCGCCAGTGTCGACAGTAAAGATTGATTGTTCGGAGCACTTCCATTCTCTATGATCTTTACATCAATTGTCTTTGAATCCTCTGTTTCAAATATATCCAAATTGAAATCTTCTAACTCATCCAACTCTGATTGCAAAGACTTTAGCATACTCTGAGTATTTTCAAACTTTATATGACACTCTTCAAAGTTTCTATGATACTCTTCGATCTTTGGCTCTATATCGTTGATATCTTTGACTTCAAAGTAGGGAAATTGGAAATCTTCTGTTTCCTCCGCCTCTAAGTGATTCGTGGTGTGTTGATAATCATAATTCCGGTATGTAGTATAGAGTTGGTGTGTTGTCTTCATATTCTTATAAACACACAAACACCAACCTGGAAAACAATCACAATTTGTTTCACTTTGATTTATCTCTTCACACATTTTGTTTTGCTCTTTTGCCTGTTTTAAAACTGGTTATTTATTAATGTTTTTAATTATTTATATTGTTCTTCTTATTATTATTATTATAATTATTATTTCTGAAATTCATTTTAACTTATTTATAACTGATTAATATTAAATATAAAGTGATTAAATTAGTTTATTTATAGGTATGCTGAGTATGGTAAATAATTCATTTATGTTTTTCTCATAATTTTTTTGAGAAAATTGACAAAAAAAAAATCTGAATTTTGCGATTTGTTAAATTTTTTTCTGTTTCTCAAGAGAATAAATCATTTCTCATATATCATTTCTTGGTTCATACTAGTCTCAGCCAATATTAACTTGTGTATCTTTTTTGTTATGACAAAGAATTCCTTTTTAAAAAATATATATATATTATTACCTAATAAGAACTCATTTCATTAAGTTTTTAAAAAAACTATTATTTTAAATATTAAGATTTTTTTTTAAATCTCTGAAGGTTTCATTTTCCTTAACCAAAAAAAAAAAAAAAAAAAAAAAAAAAAATCTGAATAAAAAGGAGAGGATACAGATTTTTGAAAGACTTAAAAAACTGATTAAAAAAAATCGAGATCTTATTCCCAAATAATTAAACTTTTTTTTTTTGGTTTCAAGAAAAATGAATCATCTTTTTTCTCAGCTTATAAGTTTAATGTACACGTCACTTTAAACAACTTTTTATTAGGTTTCAAACTGTCCTGATAAACTTTATCTTCCTCTAAAACAGTTAATCATTTATAGACTTATTTGTATCTATTTCTCCTCACAATATATTTTAATAAAGCATTCTTTATTCAATGAATAATAACAAAACTATTAGTCCTGAAGAAAAAGAAAAACAGAGAAAAGGATTTCAAATTATCTGTGTAGTCATTTTGGCAATCTATTTTAGATCATTTATTTACTCATTAATAGAATCAACTTTCAGCAATACAATGCTTTACTTAAAGTTAGGAACATTGTTGGCTGTTTTTGCCTATCTTACAAACCCATCAATCAAATCATTACATGACCTTGTTCACAAACATGCTGACAAAAAGGGTGCTTTCCATGTATGTATAGTTCTAACAAAATAGTTCTTTAATAAACATTGTCTTACAATTCTCAAATTATTATTCGCAGGGATTTTTCTCTAGAGTACTAACAAAGATTGGCCCAGCTCTTGGAAGCTATACAGTAAAAAACTTCTATGTCTTTACATTGATAGTACAAGATAAACTCATCATAGGTAATCCAAAAGTTTTAGCCATTGGAGCATTTGGAAATTGGTGGAGTCCAAGCAAAATACAACAAGAAATGATTGACGCTCAAAAAAAAGGCAAAAAAGTAGCAAACCAAAGCACACCTAAAGAGAGCTTTTTAAATAAATAAATCATATTCGCCACATATTGTTTGGCGATAGTAACATTCACACTATTTTTTAATCAACAATGCAGAAATGAATAGTCAGATTGTTGATTAAAAAATAGTTTTTAACATGTTATTGGGGGTTTTTTGATTATCTGGGGTGTGTGAACATATAAAAAAGGATTTATAAAATTTTATTAATTTAAAAAAAAATTCTGCTTCTGCCAAACAACCATAAGGTTTGTTCATTTTTTAAATAATATTGATTTTCATTATTATTATTATTATGATGTTAAAATAAAACAAAAGAACAAAAAAAAAAAACATTACATCAATCATTATACATTATAAATAAAGAGTTGTATATAAAAATAACGATCAACGTTGTTTAATCAAATAAAATGGATTCCAATGCATTTGGTGATGGCAATAGATCACGAAGTACGTCTTCCTCTTCATCTTTAGATTCAACTACAGATTCAATGCCAGACGATGAAATTGCATATGATATGAATGATGAGAACGCTCCTTTTCTACAGACGAACGCCAACCAAGTATCCTACGGATGGAAAAACAAGCTCTCAAGTAAATACTTTTTATTTCAATTATATTCTTTCTGTTTAGCTGCTCTCTATTTAATAGTAGGTATTGTTTTTTTTTCTTTTGATTTGATTAGATTTCTCTATCTCTCTCTTTAATCATATAATTAAACATTTTGATTATTTTATCATATGAAAAGGTAGCGATATTATTACCATTCCTCAATAAAAAGATATTTTCAACCTATAATTTTCCTCTGACTTCTAGTTTCCTTCAGACACTTGGTGCGGCGATCATATTGTTCATCTTCAATGTGATACACCACTTCCATCACAAAAATGATCTACTCACAAAGAGTAGTATATTCGATAAGAATATTCTATATAAAAGGTATGTATCATTCGTTCTGCTCATTCAATCACGGATCATAGTTAAAAAAGATTAGATCATATGATGCATTTTAAGAATTCAACCAAAGTACAAACAATCAGAACAGAATTAATCATCATTATAGTGATAGGTGGTCATAATCAATCCTAAAGAGTAAACAATTCTTTCAGGTACAACCCAATTCAAAGTTTCGATTCAGTTGTGTATAAAAAGAATAATAATCACTCATACCATATTCAATTAATTATGTATAAAGAAGGATTAAACTTTGACTATCGTTACTTTGATGATCATCACTCTATTATGTTGAATTGTAGAATTCTAACTGATGATTCTTTGACCATTTTAAAATATAATATTCTTATTCTATTGATTACTAACATAGATACAATCAAATTTTATTCATCTTTTATATTATTTTAGTATTACAATGATACCAGTATCGATTTGTTTTGCAATAGTGATATCATTAACAAATATAGCACTTTCCATGATTCCAGTTAATTATCATGTTATATTTAAATCGACCAATGTAAATATATATATAGAAAAAGAGGAATTGATTCCTAAACTCATTTGTGACCTAGATATTAATTAAATTTATTATCTATTAATCAAATTTAGATTGTATGGGTTGTGTTATTTTCATTTATCATTCACAAAGAACGGCCATCTATTTTCATTATAATCAGTATTGTACTTCTGATGACAGGTACTATCTTATCTGGATTGGTATTGGAAAAACAATCATCATCATTTTTGCCAATATTTATCAATTTATTGTCTTCGTTCTTTGAGAGTGTCATGTTGGTTCTCTTGAAGTGGACATGCCAATTCCTATTCAAAAAAGATGAGACCATCACTGTTTTAGAGGTAATTTATATATTAATTGCTTATCTCTTTATAAATTGTATTAATATTTATTATCTATGTTAGATTACATTCTATAAAGTTGCAGAAGGAACAGTTGTAATTTTAGTACCAATGTTTATTATTGAACATATTAGAGGATTTACAATTATTCCATCACTTTCAGTTTCCACTGTATTCTTGGTGTTGGCGGGTGTCGTTGTCACAATGGTTTATCAATCTTCAACCGTTGGACTTATTAAGAGTTTATATGTAACAACAGTTGGAATCATTACTCAAGTGATTATGTAAGTTTATTTAGTTTTGATTCTATTGATTTCACACCTAAAAATCCATTAACTAACTTCTCTTTTATAATACAGTGTTCCACAAATATTCTTATCAATAGCTATTTATCACAACTTTCAGTTTGATGCAATCCATATAATTGGAACAGTATTGGCAATTTTAGGTTGTTTAATATTCACTGTTTACAATTGGTATGCAGTTAACTACAAGTCGAATCAGATCATTGTAGAATCCAATAATGATGAACCACAATCACAGATTAACTAAATCAGTTAATTAATATTGTTGTATTCATCCAAATAAAATTAGAATGTTTTTCATGTTGTAAATAATAGATCTTGATAATTGACTACTATCATTAATTATATTTTAAACGAAGTCTTTTGAATATGAATGTTGTTTGCTGTATAATAATGAAAATATTTATAAATAACAAATTTAAATTTGTGAAAAGAAATTGATAATATTGATTATTTAGCTATTAATAGTTGTTATGATATTTTAGCTTCTTGATATTTGTTTTGGTGGTTGAATTAAACTTCTTGCTCTTTCTCGTGATGAAGATGGTGGTACAATATTGGAGGGTGGTGTCTGTTGTTGTTGTTGTTGTTGTGGAGGTGTTTGTATAGGTGCTGGTGCCTGGAATTGAGATTGAAGCAATTGTTGTTGTTGTTGCTGTTGTTGGATGATACTTCTTAAATTATTAATTAGTTGTTGCTTTTGGTCCAAGTAGGTGTTAATTGTTTTAAGATAGGTATCGTTTGTCATGTTTCTATTCTCAAAGTGAGCAATCGTTGTCAGTTCCATCTTTAAGATTCCAGCCAACTGATCCAAATGGTCACGGTGATGATTTACATAGTCAAACTTGGGAAGAGACTTTGGTGTGCTATTCATGTTCTGTAACATTTGATGTGCAGATTGGATTGGTTGTTGTTGTTGTTGAATTTGTTGTACTTGTTGTTGTTGAACTGGTTGTTGTTGTTGAATTGGTTGTAAATGTTGTGCAGAAGTTGAAATTTGGGATTTTGTTTTTGGCACAGCTTGTGGTATTGTTGGTGTTGGTGTAATATCAAAGTTATTATCGTTCATATTATTATTATTATTGTTGTTAATATTATTATTATTATTATTGACGGCTGAGACATCAGGAGTTGGCACTGGACTAGTGGCCTTGGTGAGAATGTTATCGGGTGGTGGAAGTGGTTCTGGAATATTATAGGTTTGAACTACTTTTTTGGTTTGGCTCTCCGATCCACCCAACTCTTTGACACGGTTGGCATAACGAAGGGTGTTCAAGGTGTGTTCGGACGACAAGTTGTTCGGAGAGACGTTTGCAATCATAACGGTTCTCGAATTGCCAATGAAAGAATCCTTCAATACCTGGGTGAGTGTACTCTGACGGAATGGAGTGTGTTTCGATGCCTGGTCCAGTGCTCTGATACATTCTTTCAGTGCCAGCAAACTCTTGTTGATATCGGCACCCTCCTTTCTTGTCTGTTTGTCATTGTCATAGGTATCGGAGCCACGCTCACTACCAGCCAAGTCAATGAATGAGAATTTACCGTGCAGCTTTGTTGTTTTGATATTTTTGAGGGAGATTTGCAAGATGGCGTGCGAACGCGACGAGTCGGCATTGACACCGGTCGATCCTGTTGAACGAATCTTGTTACCTTCGTCGACACTGTTCATCAATTCCTGGGCGTTGGAGACATAACGCTCACCAAGTCCAGAGATAACTACGTTCTTTGCTTCGTTCTCACGACACTCTAACTTCTTACGATTGTGAAGCAAGTCAAATAGTTTGCCTCCGTAGATCTCAAAGAAGCTGACATAGACTTGGAGCTGATCGGCAAAGTAGGTGTTCAAACGATGGAATATATCACGAGCAGCAAGCGCATATAGACCATCACCATTACCAATCATGGTAAATGTCTTACCGGAACCGGTTTGTCCATAGGCAAAACAGGTGGCTTTTCCTTTGTGGAAGATAGAATCGACCAATGGATAGGCAGTGTGCAAGTATACTTGATAATTATCGATATTCTCATCAAACACTTCATCAAAAGTAAACTTGTGTTTATCAGTGTATTTAGTCATATCAAGTTTCACCCTAAGTTTTTGTAGCGAATATTATACGTGTTAGAGAATAAAAAGAACAAGATATTATATGTTAAAACTAAACATACTTTGGTTCATGAACATGTAACTCTTTCTTTCCACTGGTCTCAAGAATATCTTTTTCATTTCTAGCGATTTCTTTCTTGTTGAGAGGTCTCTTTCTAACACAGACACGAATACGTTGACCATACTCAGACATATCTAGGTAGAAACCTGATTTTGGTTGTTGGTTAGAGGTGACTGATGGTGTTGAAACTGGTTGTTGCTGTTGCTGTGGCTGTTGTTGAATTTGGACATTCTGGAATTGTTGTTGTACACTATTTGTAGTTGGTATGGTTCTAGAGCTATTCAAAGGTGTTGGTTGTTGTTGTTGTTGTGGTGCAATAAATAATGGTTGTTGTTGTTGAGGTATTATATTCTGATAGGATACTCTCGATTCAGAAGCAGGTATATATTCTTGGTCAATGAAATCATCTTCCTCTTCGTAGTTCTCCTCTTCAATGTACTCCTCATCGTCGGACGGTTCCAAAATGTTGTCTTCTACCTCACCGAGATCGTCTTCGTTTTCATAGATTTCGTCTTCTTCCTCTTCCTCTTCATATTCAAACTCTGGTTCCTCTTCATAGAGTTCTTCTTCTTCTTCCACTTCCTCATCGTCAATATAATCATTTTGTTGTTGTTTTCTTGAGGAAGGAGGTGTAGATGGATCAATGAAATCGTCATCCAAGAAATCGTTTAGACTGTTCTTCTTGACATCAAACTCCATTAGAAACTCTGAGGATCGACTGTTACTGTTGTTATTGTATGATATTTGTTGTTCGTTCATTGCCTGTTCTCTCTTTCTCAACATCTCTTTAGCTTGTTGAACTGGATCGAATTGCTGCTGTTGTTGTCTCGATGACACTGGAGCACGAATTTGTTGTTGTTGCTGTACAAATTGTTGTTGTTGCTGTTGCTGTTGTTGTTGGACTAACGATGGTTGTGGAGGTGGAGCGACAACATTGGTTGGTTGTTGCATAACTGGTGAGGACATAGTTGGTGAAGCACCACCACTTCCATTTCTCTTCAACTGTTGTAATAAATGAAATAGTTTCTTTCTATCATCAAGCGAAGTAACACCAACCAATCCTATAATTATTAATATTAATGATAATTATAAGATTAACTATTATTACCCTAGATTTTGTTATTATTAAATCAATTTCAATTCGATTCAAATCATACCATAGTCTTGCATTGTAAACATTAAGAATGATTCACAAGTGACTTTTCTCTTGATGAAATTAGGATAGAACTCTTCCAACTGTGCGATTTGCAGCCATCTTAAAAGCTGCTCTTGATCTGACATCTATAATATTAATAATAATAATACAACAGACCTCTGTTTTATTATTATTTATTTATATTAAATATAAAAAGATTGATAATAGTTTGAATAAAACAAAAGATAGAATCTAATCTACTTTTTTTTAATTTTTATATGATAAGAAATTGTTGAAAATAAAAAAGAAACAAAAATAAATACAAAAAACAAAACTTAATTTTTTTGATTACAAAAAAGAGCGGGGAGTGGGATTCAAATTTTTTGAATTTTTTTTTTAATTGTTTATTGTTTTATTTATTTATTATTAATTTTTTAAAAGTTAAATAATAATTTATTTGATTATTATATATATATGTATTATTTTTACAATAATTTGTTGTTTGTTTTAATGACAACAAAGTTTTTTTTTTTTTTACATGATTGAACATGATTTTCTTGATTGCAAATCAACTTTCAATTTCTTTAAGAGTTTTTGTGATTCTTTTTCAGAGTTTAAGGTGGAGCTGTAGTAGGCACCGCTGAGACGATAGATGTTCTTGAGCTTGTTCATGTCCATTGTCTTTAGTTTCTCTGGATCGACTGTGTCAGTCTTGAGACAGATCACAAAGATCGGTGTGTCTGGTGCACGTCTTCTAATCTCATTGATGTAGTTGGGAACACGCTCGTAACTATTGATGTTGTTTGGATCGAAACACACTACGAATGCACTGATTCGCTCGGCTTGGTAGTGTGTAATGAAGTAGCGTTCTTCAAAGACTACCTTTTCGCTGAGTGGATTCATCTGGTTGGTGAAGGTGGTCTTTCCTATCTTGGTGTCTCCCATTATGTTGATCTTTGGAACACCTCCGTTTGGCAAGACGATTTTTCTGACGAGTGAAGTGGTATTGAAGAGATCGGTAAGAGTGGTAGTGGAGACAGTACCGTCGGGATAAGTGAATTTTGGATCGACTTTGTCTGGGATGGCTGGTGGAGTGCTCACTGGAAGTGAACCAGTGGTTGCCGATCTACTGCTTGAGCCATTCGGAGAGCTATTGAAAGAATCGGTTTCCGAATTGTAATAGTAGGTCGGATTGGATTTCTTGTCCATAGAATGGTCGTACCATGCCTGTTTGACTCTCATCTTGGTTGGATATCCACGTTGTTTGATGATAACATTTTTCTTTGGTGCTGGATCCTCGACAACAGCAGTAGTAGTGGTTGTTGTTGTTGTGGTTGTTTCAGCTGGAGTTTCCGCTTCGACAGTTGGAGTTTCCGCTTCTTTCTCTACTTTGGTGGAGTCGATTACTGTGAAATTCTCTTTATTCAAATCAGTGAGAATCTCTGTCATCTCTGCCGATACACCATTCTTGTTGATCTCAGTTTGATATTGTTTGAATTTCTCCTTGGATGCCTCACGATAACAGATTGCCAAGAACATCTCGGTGATCAACGAGAATTTGTTGAAATTAATACAGATTCCACCGGTTCTCTCTGCGATCTCCTCGTAGAATACACAGCTTCCGAGCGCTTTGACACCATAGATCTTTACTCCCATATCGAAAAGATCGTCACACTCCTCGAACCAGTTGATGTTCAAGTCGGTATGCGATGGTTCGTGTGGCTCACAATCTCCAATCATAACGAATGCTTTCGAGGTGTGTGGAGACCATGTCAAATCTTTGGCTTTGCGGAGTGCCCACTCGTAGGCTTCCGGTGCATCGCCACCACTTGTCGATGGAACACTCTTGATGAATTTCACCAGTTTATCGACGTCCTGAGTCAAGTCAAGAGTGGTCAGAACTCTGGTTCCATCACAGTAGTCACCAAGACCCATAATACCGATTCTGATATTTGGAATATCTTTCATGAGACGACTGACTGTTTGCTCGACTTGTTCTCTAACCTTTCCGATGATCGAAGACATCGAACCGGTGGTATCGAAGCAAAACATAATCTCAACATCCGATGAGATCGATGTCTCAAGGAAACTATTCAACAATGCATCCTGATCGAATTGAGTGTCTTCCGCTGGTGTTTCATAGTTGTCGCTACCACTGCTGAAACCCTTTGACTTTGAAGGTTTCTCAGTGAGAACCAATTCCAATGTATCCAAATTCTGTAAAGTCTGATGGAGAACACTATATTTATTGATATTGGCAGTGTCACCTTGTTTTCTAACGTCAATATTATGAGTTAAAACTGCTGGAACTGCTGAACTTAATGAATTTCTAATTTGACTATAAAAAATGAAAATGCAAAAAAAAAATTAATATTTGGTCAAATTTCGTGATGGTTGATTCAAAAATGGATCGATTCGATTGATCATTGTTTTTTTTTTTAAATTTTTAAAATAAAAGAATTGATCATTATTTTTTTTTGTTTAATCTTACGTGTGTAAATGTTGAATAGTTAAACCATCATTATTTGGTACGGATACTTGATGTTCACCTTCATATATAATAGTGAATTTCAATTCCTTGATAACATTCATATGTACAGTTGTTTCCTTTTTAATACCACATGCTGAAATTGGTCCTTTTGATAGTGGCTCACCTATAAGAAATACAAAAGTTTAATTAATATTTTAATATGATTTTAGTTTCTTTTTATATATTAAATAATTACCAGCAAATAATAAATTAAATTGGAATCTCTTATATTCAGTTCTCTCTGCAACCTTTGAGTAGATAACTTCAGTATCATCAGTTGGTTGAACATCCAAAGAGAATGTAATAGTTGGTGTCTTAATTAAGATTAACATTGTGTTGTTTGGTATTTATTTGTTTAAGTGCTAAGAGAATATATATATATTTACAATAAATAATTAATTAGTAATAATAATTATCTTTTATCTTTCTATTTAAGAATTAAATAGTTCAAAATGATTTGAAATCTTTATCATTCCGTTCAACCTTTAAAACATAAAATAAAAATCTAAAAAAAGATTAAAAGATGTAAAAAGCAAAAAGTTTGATCAATTTTTCATTCAAAAAAATCCTTGAAAATTTTTATAGAAAATTTTAAGAGTGGGTGGGACAAAAATAGCAATACAACATCAATCATTCAATTTTTGTATAAAATCGATAAAACACATAAACTTAAGAATTTTGTACAAATTTTAGATATTTATTTAAATGTTTTAAATTAGAATTGAAAAAATACATTTCTATTATTTTTTTGTTGCATATATATTTGGAAATTAATTTAGTAATTTTTTTGATTGTTTTTTTTTTAAAAGTTTATTTATGATTGTTCAAATAACACAATGAGGCAATAATTGTTCCAATTGACCATGCTTGAGAATCACAACTATCTCTACAATAAGCACCATCTCTGTTTGTGAGTTCTGGGAGTGAAGCGTACGATGATTGTTGGATGTAAGCTTTGTGTTTGGAGAGGAGTGCTTCCACCTGGTGAGATACAGTGAGTGATGGCTGTGATGAGAACTTGATGGCGCTCTCCAGGTAGAATCCATAGAGCCATAGCCACTCTGGTCCGTTGTGGTAGTTGAATCCTTTGGCGGTGGGACGGTACTCTGTATCGAGTGAATTGTCATAGTTGGCGTGGTAGTCAGTGTCGTTGGGATCGAGTGTCTTGACACCGAGTGGTCCAAGCAAGAACGACTTGCTCAAATCCAAAGTCTTTTGTGCTTTTTCACGGTTGAAAAGCTCCGGTGCAAACGACATGGCGACCAGTTGGTTCGGTCGGAATTGGTAGTCGGTGTACTGCGAGGAACTTCCAACGGTATCTTTGTAGATATAACGTCTTCTGACAAAAGAAGTATTGATTTTGTATTTCTTATCTTCCGATGAACTTGGAATGTAGTAGAACAACTCGAAATTGTCTTGGATCAACTTTTGCCATTCGGAGAACTTCAGGTCTGAGCCGCTCACTTTGACCGAGGAGTGTGGATAGATTCCGGATTGGTTGATCTTGGCCAACCACTTGAGAGTGGAGAATAGCATGGCTGTAATTTCTATGGGTGCACCATCACGTGGAGTAGCTGGATCTCCATAGTTGTGAGCCTTGGCCGACTCTCCCATTTTGTCCATCCAGGTTCCACAATTGAATTGGTTACCACCGTATAAAAATCCATTGTCACGGTTGAGAGTGATATTGATGTTGAATCCCTCGTCTTTCATCTTCTCATCGATCTCACGACCTGCGAATGGCTCACGGAATTTGATTCCCTGGGCGTGACACTGCATGATCTCTTGAATCAACTCGGCAACGGTGGAATACGGTTGATTTGGATCCGATGGGAACAGACGGAATACTCGGGTGGCGAGGAATGTCTTTCTTTCGGTATCGGAAGCGAGCAGATCAGAGTAATCTTGGATCGATTTTAAGTACCACCAAGTGCTGTCTCTGGCGTTGTAACGTGGACGATTTCCGCTATCCAAAAGATTGGGAATCAAACCGAATTGCGTGGACGATCCATAGCCAACGATAAGTTGTTTCGCCTCATCCAAACGACCGGTTGACAACATAACACCCCTCAACGCGATGAACGTATCTCTTCCCCAACTACGCATATATCCAGCACAGAAATGTGGAAGTCCAGCACAGAGAGATGCCTGTGGATTCTTGAATGACTCGAGTACAATTGGATTGTTAATGAGTGGAGTGCACACTCCGTAGAATTCAATCGATGCTAGAGCCAATGCTTTGACGAACCAGTTGGATTCAATGACAAACGGTGACATCAAACTGATGGCTTTATCAACGATGGAACGATAGGCAGTGAGAACAACAGCATTGAAATACTTTGGAATGAAATGGCGTGGAATCTGTTTGACCAGCCAGAAGGAATGGTTGAACCATTCGATCAGTGGTTTGTAGGCTGGGTTGTTGTTGAGACGCATCATGATATAATCCATAGCCCAGTTACCTTCACGAAGATTGTTACACAGTGGATGACTGAGATCGTTCCACTCGCTGATACGATTCAAAATGGTAGCGAATCCCTGAATACCACAGAATGGAAGTGTTCCATAGTTTGGAATATTATATCCACCTCCACCATTGACACGCTCCTCCTCTGGATGCTTAAACAAAATAGTATTCATATCCAACAATGTAAATGAACGAATTGCATTATCCAAAGCACTCACTTCACTCAAAGCAACATCCAATTGATTCATAGCAGTTGTGCATTCCGCCGGTACTTCTCCTCTAAACAAAAGTATAGCACCAGGTGGGAAATCTTTAAGTCTAATTGGAAATAATTAATTTTTCGAAGGTTAGTTTGGATTGTTTAATGAATGATAATTTACTTACTTTAATTTTAGATTTCTCTCTAAACTATAATCATTTTCAATGTAACAATATTTATCAAATACACTGTTTCCATAGTAGGTTTCAACGTCAATGTTTACACCGGTCAAGAGTTGATCGTTTCTATGCCAGTCATGGCTGTTTGTAATTCTTGCACCAACGATAAACTCTGTTACTTTGCATGGGATGTTGATGACCTCTGGTAGGAGGATATCCTCTGGGTTGTCGACAGTGAATGCTGTGTGAGCAACAAGGAATACCGATCGGTTCAATTTTGGTGAGAATCTCTGTACCATTATCACATTGTGCTCCTGATGAATATGAACCTCACTGTATTGATTGTCTGCCATTTCAACATGTAGTTTGTTTAGCAATGTCTTTAGAGGGAACAAACCAGATTTGTTGTCACCCGATTGCTTCTGGTAGGTACGAGTTTCATGAACAAGATCAATAGTGGATGGATAGATTTCATCGTAACCGTGAGTACTTCCAATGGCCGATACAGTCATGGCGACAATAGCAGAGTTGGGAAGAGTGTCGGCAACAGTTCTCTTTTGTGCCGGTGTCTCATTGTCGTGAGTGCAATCCATAAAGAGTGCTGGTGGAAGATGAGGTTTCAACGAGTTGACGTCGTATGGTTGATTCGACACCGAATGGAAATGTCTTCCCTCGACAGTTGGCGAGACAAACGAGGCAATTGGCTGTCCTCCATAACGATGACATACACGTCCAAGCTCCCAACTATCGTGACATTGCATTGCTTCACGAATCAACGAGTTGATACCCAAACGCTTGACAAATTCACTGTCTGCCTCTTCGGAACCGGTGAATAACTCGCAGGTCACGTAGATCGTTGGACGGACTGCACGTGCGGCGTCCAAGAGATATTGAGCGACGTTGATTGGTGTGGAATGACAATTGTCAATACGAATGGCGTGGAATAGCTTGGCCATTCTCTCGGTGTAAGTTCTCATGTGTTGCCACAGCCATGGATTATCCTCTGGTTTCTGTCCGTATCGCATCTTCACACAATCTCCCCAGACGATAACATCACGACGAAGATAGGCGCGAGAATCTTTACTGGCGAAATCTACGGCTGGATTGTAGTTGAAGATCCAACCGTTGTTGGCGAGAGGAACACGACGTCCATCGTCACACTCCACAATGGTGAAGTAGCTGGCGAGCATTGGCTTCGAGCTGGAAATTGGTCCGAGACGTGGTCCGTGTGCAGCGAGACGCTCATACTTGATACGCTCACGAACATTGTTGAGAATGGCATCATGGTCACCGTCGTACTCACGATAGAGATTCAAATTGATAAGACGCAACAAATCTTCGTATCTCTGTTTCTTCTCCTCCATTGTGTAGTTCTTAAAGGTTGCATTTCCATTGAGAAGTTTAAAAGTGAATTCCAAATCGATGGTCATTGAGAAACGTTCATAGTTTGGATTACGAATCAATCCTTTCTTTTGAATTTGATTAACGAGATCGGCATTCTCATTGGCATTCTTTGGTGAGATTGGCATGAATGGCGAGTTGAATGGCATCTCTGGATTGATAGTTGGAACGGTAGCCGGATACTTTTGGTTGAATGACTCCATCTCACGACTGACATCGAGTACGTAGTATTCCCAGAGCTTCAATGGATTCAAACAGCTGTCACCAATGTGGGTAATGAGATTGTCGAGCTGCTCCAACGATACGATCGAAGTTCCTTCAATGGATTTTGAGTAACGGTTGAGTGCTTGGTCAACCTCGACTGCAGCTTTGAGATGCGGCGAATTGTCGGGATTGTATCCAGCTTCCGGATGTTGTTTCAACCAATTGGAGTTGAAGGAAGTATGATTCCAAACCAAGTCGATCATCGATATGCAACCGTGGTTGCGCTCTGATTCGCGAATCACCTTTTCCAGTGCGTCGAGACGTTGGTTCTGATCGGCCGGAGCCTTTCCAGCTGGCCACAGACTTGGCGCGATAGAAAGTTGGTCAAAGATGGAATAGCAAGATCCCGATGCACCGATCTCTTGCACCGGAGTATAGTGAATCATATTGTAACCGGTTTCCGAAGCAGTCTTTATGTAATCATTCCAGCTATCCAGAGTTCCAAGACATTTGGTAAGAACGGTCTGCAGCACGATTCCATCCGGTTGAAGAGGTCGTCCGTTGATGGACAGGTTTGGATGAATCTGGAAACTACCGATACTACCACGCTTCACAATCTTCTTGTCAGAAGACGGCGAGGAAGGTGCGCTCCACTCGAGATAGTAGTCGAAACAGCCGTGGTGAGTGATTTTCAAGTTGAAGACGATATCGTCGTGGCCGTTGTAGGTTGTTGGTGACTTGATGAGGCTGTACTGAGTACGCGAAAATTGAGCGCCACTCGCCGGGTAGTTGCAGTAGAGTTGCGGTTGACCGGCAGCCGCTTCCAGACCACACGGTACCACAATCCTCAGTGTGCCAAAGCGTGGCAACACCAAACCCTTATTGGAGAATGGTGGCTCACTACCTGTGTTTCCTGTGAGTGTAATAGAGAATACATCGGATTGTGATTCTCCAATCTTTTTTACATTATTATTATTTGCTGTTGTTGAAGTTGACTGTTGTTGATTTAACATTATACCAGTTTTATTATTATTATTGTTGTTGTTGTTTGTAGTGCTGCCAAGTGCACTTTTATCAGATTGATTGTCAATCATTTGAAATTTTATTTTTTTTGAAACACTCTGAGAGCAAGCAACTTTTCAAAATTTTAATTTAAATTTACAAAAATGGGAAAAATGATTTTCAAATATTATTAATTTGGTGATGTCCAAAAAAAAATAGTATTAAATAGATCACACATACTATTATACAAAAAAAAAAAGAAAGATTGATTCCAGAGTTAAATTACTATTTTAGAAATTAGTTTACTAGAATAGAAAGAGGGTTTGAATGCGAGAATAGGTCAATTAAAATGAATTAAAAGTAAAAATATTAATAATAATATTGTTGTTGTTTGTATTTTTCTTCTTACTGCTATTCTGTTACTTCACTTACAGTTTTTTTGTTATTCTTTCTTTATGTACTTTTTTGTTTTTTAATATAAAATAAATATTTAATTATTTATTTGTTTTTTTGATGTTTATTTGATTTGATTATTTTATTACTACTATGTTTGTAAAATCATTATAGTAATAATATATTACTATATATTATAAACAAGTTGATAGTGACAATGATTAATGTTTTAATATGATCATTCACTCTCAAACACACTCACTTTTTAAAACAAACTACACAAAAGTTTAATCAAATGAGTTATTGAGTTTGTTTTTGGGTGATTAATAATGATCAGTCAGTAACCCCATTTTTTGTATCTGCTGTGAGCTTAATATTAATAAACAAAATAATCATCCATATCATATCACACATTAGTACTATTAAATTTAATATGCATGATTGAATAATCGAAAGTTCACAGATATCCCAAATGGGAACCTTCTTTACTTTGCTGCTTAATTCAATATCAAAGTATAAAAGGAAAAATGTTATCAAAAAATAGTTAGATATATATTAAAAAAAGGAAAAGATTACATTGTTTATTCTTTTCTTTTTCTTCTTTGTCATTCATTACACTATTAATACAAATAAATTTACTATATATTATTTTCTCTTAAACAAAAACTATAACTACATGTATATTGTTAAGTGGTATGATCGTTACTACCACTCTATTATTCTATTCTATTCTATTCTAATTCTTTTCTTGTTTGTTTGTTTGTTTGTTTGTTTGTTTGTTTGTTTGTTTGTTTGTTTAATCGTCTTCGTCTTCCTTTGGATCGAAAATCTGTGGCATCATTTTACCTAATGATTCAGCTAGAATAGTCTTCTCTCTGAAATGTGCACATTAAAGAAATTTAGATATATATTAATATATTGTTCTCTTGATTGATTGATTTAATTGATTTAATTGATAATAAACAAACCTTGGCATATCAGAGGTAAACAATCTTGGTGCATAATATTGTAGTGTCTTAACCAATGGATGAATCTCGTGTTCCTCTGGCTCTGGTAGATTGCTTACATCATCGCAACACTTTTCGAATCTATCGAATGCAGCCATACATTTAATAGGATTATTCTTATTTTCTTGAACACTAGTTTGTAAATAAATATTTATATTAATACCTATTGATGATGGATGGTTTGATTTTATATATACCTACCATGTAAAGAAATGATGAGCATTGATCTCACATTGACCAATATTCTTTGTTGAAAATATATATTTATCTTGATCTTCTGACATGTTTTGAAAATTAATATATAAGTTTTGTTTGTTTTAAAAAATAATTAAGATGTTTAGTTTTTTTGATCAATCAAATGATCAACATAATCTGATTTTTTTGATGAAAAAATAAAATAAAAATCAATAAAATAACAAAGAAATTCAAAAGTCGATTTTAATTGTAAACTCTATGAAATGATTGTAACGAATAATAATATTTGATTTTATAATGTTTTTAAGTTTGTTTTTTTTATTTGTTTTAGTTAATGAATTATTACAATTAATTGATTTATTATTATAGTTAAACTCGAGTCTAACTATTCTCTTTTTTTTTTTGTAATTTTTTTTTTTTTTTTTTCTGATTTTTAATTATTAAATTATTATTATTCTGTATTTTTGATGTTGTAAAATATATATGATGTTGTTATATTATTTAATGTAATTCGGATGGTTTAACCAATGGCTTCTTTCCTTTTCTAAAGAAGAAATTGTTGGTAAAGACACGGTTGTGGAATCTAAGATTTCCATTGTAGACGTAGGAGATACCGAGTTTGATAAAGTCCATTGGGATGTACCAGAGCAAACACCAGATCCAGGCAACCAAACCGTAACCCCAACCGCAACCTTCAAAGTTGGTTCTGTCTCCGTCGTGTGGATATCCTCTGAATCCATAGACACCAATAAAGGTGGCGATGATTTGCGAACCGACAAAGGCAATCGACATGAGTGCACCCGGACGTTCGAGGTAGGAGAATCCTTGGGAACGAGAGACAAAGATTGTGGCGAGACCAGAGATGGAGACTTGCAAGTAGATGAGACCACGTAACTCATTGTCGTTCAATGTACGCAAGTTGAAGGTGTCCTCGAACCATGTGGTGTCGTGGAGCAGCGCAAAGAAGACGATGGTCGATCCGACCAAGTAGAGACCGTAGCACAAAGCCATGATAAATACTTCCTTGAGATCCCATCTGTCTGGAGTGGAACGTGGACGTACTCTGTCCTTGGCGATTGTCAACATGGTTCCGTCATTCAAAATGGCAATGATAACAGTGGCGATAGTTGGGAAATAGAAGTTCCAGGCGATGGTCAAGATACCGAAAGTGACACAGATACGGACAGTTGCAGATACAGAGTAGATAACGTAGTTTCTCATACGTTGGAAGATCTTACGTGAGGTGATAATGGCGTCAATGATAACAGAGAGACCGGACGAAGTGAGGACAATGTCAGAGACGGAACGGGCGGCATCGGTGGCACCGGCGACGGCAATACCGATATTGGCTTTCTTGAGGGCTGGAGCATCGTTGACACCGTCACCAGTCATACCGACGACGTGCTTACGCTTCTGGAGTGAGTGGACAACCTTGTATTTGTGTTCTGGCCACATCTCAGCGAAACCGTCGGCCATTTCAATCAAGTCAGATCCCTTCATACCGAGATCGTTGTGCTTCAAGTAGGGAATGGTGAAAAGATTTCCACCCATACCGAGACGTCTGGCAGTTTCTTTGGCAATGGCAAGTTGGTCACCGGTAATCATCTTTACACGTACACCCATTTCCAAGGCACGCTTGATGGTGTCTTCAGTGTCGTGACGGGGTGGATCGAACAATGGAATCAAACCTTGGAATACCCAATTCTTGAATTCCGGTGCGTCGTCGGCACGAGAAACACCGATAGCACGATAACCTCTCTCTGCGAGATTCTCAATTTCCTGAGAGACCTCATCGTTGAGTTGGTCTTTGTTCGATGCTTGGTTCAACATGATTTGTGGGGCACCCTTGGCAGTCTTGAATTGCTTACCGTCTGGACCTTGAACGAGACCCATAGCTTTCTTGTCCTCTGGATTGAATGGATAATGCTTGAGGATCTTGAAGTGGTCGTAGTCGAGGTTTGGATAGGTCTTGTGGGCGTATTCAGTGGTGGCAATATCGATGGCGTCACGATCGTCACCTTCGGAACATGCGAGATACGCTGAGAGAATAATATCCTCCGGGGAGGTTCCTGCGAAACAGAGTGGAGTGTCAACGGTGAGAACGTTCAATGTCAAAGTACCGGTCTTATCAGAGCAGAGAATGTCCATACCGGCCAACTCCTCAATAGCAGTGAGACGCGAAACAATAGCTTGTTTCTTTGAGAGCTGAGTGGCACCGATAGCCATTGTCACGGAAAGTACTGTTGGCATAGCAATTGGGATACCACCGACCAACAAAACGAGTGCGTTGTTCAAAGTAGTACATTTACCTTCACCGACACCGTTACACTTTTGGTCACGAGCAATGAATTGAACGAGCAACTCAACGACCACCCAAATGGCAATGAAGCTGATACAGAAGAGACCGATGTTACGAAGAACTATTTGAAGATGACCTTGACTCTCGGTGTTTTGCACCAAGTTGGCAGCACGACCAAAGAAAGTGTTGACACCAGTGGCTGTTACAATACAGGTGGCTTCACCTTGCTTCATCGAGGAACCAGAGTAGACTTCGTCACCGATCTTCTTGGTGACCGGGAGTGACTCACCAGTGAGCGAAGACTGATCGATCTTGACAGACTCACACTCGAGAACACGACAATCCGCTGGAACGACAGCACCGATCTTCAAGATGATAACGTCACCGGGTACCAGCGACGTCGACGCCACCTGATCCCACTTTCCATCTCTCAGTACTCTAGTCTGAGAAACCAGTGAATTCTTCAATGCCTCCACAGCATTACCTGCAGTGTGCTCCTCGTAATAACCAATAGTTGCATTCATAAGCAACAAACCTACAATCAAAATGAAATCTACCCAATCGAGCAAGGCAATCGACACAATAGCTGCCAACTCCATAGTCCAAGACAGTGGATTCCACATGAAATATAAAAACTCCAAAATTGGATATCTCTTAACATCTGGAATCTTATTTTCACCATATTGTGCAGTTCTATAATAATAAATAACAATTAGTAATTTGTAATGGATTGAATTTATAATTAAAAAAATATAAAGACTTACCTTTCTGAAACTTCAGCAGATGATAAACCATTTGGATTGGCTTTCAACTCCTCCATGATAGATTCCAATGGCTTTTGAGCCTCCTTCTTACGTTCGAGTGTCTTTCTGTAGTTCTCTTCCTTTTCTTTGGCGAGTTGGATTTGAGTTTCAGAGGGTGGCTCGAATAGTTGACGACGCAGTGGAGTACGCCACGACTTACGGTAGTCGTAGTTGGTGGTGGTAGTAGACTTTGGATCGACTTCCTGGGTGTTCTTTGAGAATCCACTGAATGTCTTGGTCGATGCGGCAACATCTTCCGAGATGAACGGCAGCTCCTGAAGCGAATTGCTACGAGGCATTTCAATCGAAACATCACCAGTACGTGGTGGTACATTTAAATTTTCATTTTGATCGATTGGCTGCATTTCAATTCCCACCGATTTATCGGGGGTAATATTATTATTATTGCTGTCAGATGGTGAATTTACCATTTTTGTATATTTTTGTTTTCAACTAATAACTTTTTTTAAAAATAAAGTTTAAATTAAACAAAAACTAATATTATTATTATTATTATTATTTATATTATCGAGTAGTTTAGTACTATTGAATTAAATAATCTAAGCTCTCTTATTAAATTGATGACTAAAATCAAATAACCTATTGAATTTAAATGAATTTGAATATTAATATATTTATTTTAAATTATTATTATTATTATTGATTAAATTATGTTATTTTTAAAAGTCATTATTTATTTATTATTTTTTTACAATCCTAAACTATTTATATATATATTACAACATATGATTATAAAACGAAAAACAAATATTTTATTATATTGAAATTATAAACATCATATGTAAATAAAACTAACTAATAATTTCTTTTATAAAAATAAAAACAATATCGGAAATTTTAATTCAAACAAATATGTTTGTTTCAATTTTTGTCCTTGTTTCTTTTTATTTTTTAATCTATCTATTTAGTTCATTTCCAACACTCTGACTGCATTTCTTACAATGAGCACCACAAAAAACGATAAAATAAATAAACACCATTATAAAACACTAAAACAACTTTGGTTTTTGATTCATTTCCCATGTCGGTGATAGTCTGACTTGATAGAATAAAAAAAAAAAACACACAATCACACACCACACAATAAAAAACAAAATAATTAAATTAGTCGTTTTATTAATACACATATCTAAACAATACATACATATATAAATTATAATTGAAAATTATATATTTATTTATTATTATTATCTATTGATAAACATATATATTATATTATAGTAATATGAATATTTAAATTTTTAAGGGACTGATGTTGATATTTATAAATAGAGATTGATTTTGATTCTTTTCTAAAGAAGTGGAGCAGAAACCAAACTTTATTTAAAATAAATAAAACGACCAGAGTATGAAAATAATAAAGTGACACTGAGTTGTGTGCTTGGTCGATTTTATTAAATATTTTTTTTTGTTTGTAGATCTACTTGTTGTTCTTATTTTACCAACAATTTGGATTGTAGGAATTGTTTGAAAACAAGGAAACAAGTAAAAAAGCACAAAAATCAAACAACAACAACAGCACAAGTGACAAACAAACAACCTAAAAAACAAGTATCAGCTGGACTGCCAAAAAAAAAAAACAAAAAGTGTGAATGCATTACCATTTATTATTATGATTATTATTACTTGCTGTTGAAGTGAAAGTCGTTTTTTTTTAAAAAGTTGCTTTTGTTTTATGATTTGGTTTATTAATGAGATGTGATATGAACATGTTGGGGTATGAAATAATAATTATTAATATTTAAATGCTGCTAAAATGTTGACAGTCGGGATCGCTTGTTGTGAAGGTGTATTTGATAGTCTCAAAGTCTGTAAAACACAAAATTGGAAATCATCAAAAAAAAAATATAGTGGTGTGAAAATGTCAATAGTGATGAGTTTTAGTTTTGGCAGAAAAAAACAAAAAAGTAATGGTAATCGTTGTCATCATTTATGTTTCCATACTATATGACACACATCATCACAAAAACAAAAACAATTAAAAACTAAAAAAAAAAAAAAGATTAAGATTTTGCAAAAATGAACATTTTATGATTTTTTTTTTATAATAAATTAAAATATCATTCTTCTATTCATATATTCATTCTTTCATTAATAATGACCCATTAACAACAACTCTTGTTCTGATGATCATAACTTCATCCATCATGATTGATTTCAATGATTGAAAGAATATGATGTAAGATTTCTTTTAATTTTAATTTTAGAAATGAAATCGTAAAGTATGAAACTATCACACTTTCATTATTATTATTATTATTATTAAAAATAAAGTTATTATGATTTATGATTGTTTGTTTATTTGTTGATTGTTTGGTGTATTGCTTTTAAAAATTAATGCGTTTATACATACAGTTTATGATAAATATGCTGCTTTAGCTGCTCGTTATACTTTTGTTCTGGTGGCTTTAATTCCATTCGATGCCGGCTAAATGTCGGAAAAGGGAATTGAAAACACAATGGTAGTTTAAGAAAATAAAATTAAACTTTGTTTATAAATATATATATGAAATAAATAAAAATAAAGTTCTATTTATAAATAAATATTATTAGAACCTAAAACAAAATATTATTACTGAATTGTAGTATTATTAGAAATATTTTATCTAATACTATTATTATTATTATATTTGTATTAAATAGAAGAATAAAAGAATGAACGGATGTTTTTGGTTACTAGTCCAATTATTTATAGTTTTTCAATCGTTTCTCAACCGGTTGATTTCTTTTCTACAATATTAGAAACAAGTAAGTTTCAATTCAGAGAGTGGAGTGGCTGTTGTTATTTTTGTTGCAGAGTCTGAAAGTCCAACTTTTACTTAAGTGTTTAAGACAATAGAGAGAGAATTGAACGAAAGTGATAACTAGTGAAATGAATGTTTGGTTACTAATGTGGTGACACTCACTGATTCCTTAATAGGTAAGTAATTTTAGAGAAAACATCTTTGAAATCAATAGCCTAAAACCACTTTAATATTGGCCATTGGTAAACAATTGTTACGAGATCTAAACTTATTTTGATGACATGTCCTTAAATGATCATAAGTGAAACAGATGCATTCGTTGTTTTGTCACACAGCTAGATGACTATAATATGTTGGTGGTGGTGGGTTAAAAGATGCATTCTAGAAATTCTTTTTGTTTTTATAAATAAATGCATTTTCACACCACCAACCACCCTCTCAAAGTTTGTTTTAAAAAAAAAAGTCGAAAATTTTGAAAAATCGATAAAATAACGTGCATTCATAGAAGATTGGAATCACACATTCATTTTCAATAATGACACACATTAATATGATACTTACCCAGGGAAATCTTGCTAAAAACAATTTTTGTGAATTTATCATGTCCCGATTCCTTTTAATTCAAAAATATATGAATCACCAACAACAACAACAATGATTGTGTTTTCAGATCTGCTTCGAATAAATGATGAATTCATCATTCATTATAAATAAATAAATGTTAACCACACTTCTCATCAAAAGCAATTTTATAAATATATAACCTCTACTTTACTTTATTAGCGTGTTTTTGTTGATACAGTATTTTGATTGAATCAGTGTCGATAGTTCATCTTGTTTTGGATGGTGTCCACCTCTTTGTTGCCCAACACTCTATCTCAAATGAATTACATTCCAATTGATCCAGATTTACAGTAAATAGTTGTTGTTGTTGTTGTTGGTGCTGTTGGATTGTTGTTTGATCAACATCACAAGCGCCACCACGTATTACCTGTTTCGTGTAATGCATTGAACCACCAGGATCATTTTTATTTCTTTCATTACTATTGTTGTTGTTGTTTCTCACTATATTGAAGATGATAGTACCCTTTGACAAAAAGTTAGTTATCTTTCATTTTCATCAATCCTTTCTACCTGTTATATCAACAGATAATCAAATGATATACATATAAATACATAAATATTATATATAAGTAGTATATAACTTCTATATAGTTTATATAAGTTGTTAGTTAAGTTACCTTTGCAACAGATTCAGATACACGATTCATTCTACCCAGGTTTACCCAACTATCTGATATTGTATTGTTTGAGTTGTAACTGTTGTCTTCTCCATAACTACTACTACTACTAGAAGTGGTGTTGTTTCGTTCATATTCATTTAGATACTGGACAACCACTTGATATTGAGCATGCACCAACTCTGGTCTTAGTTTGTAAAGTACGAAATCGCAACCATACTTTAAACCTGACCTTGGTATCCAACCAGTCGATCTAAAATGATGATATGCGATATAATTAGGTAGAAATCTATCGTCTTCTTCATTGAATAACTTCCAACATTCTTCTATTGTCATCTAATTTAATTTTAATAAATAAATAGAATTAATAATAATAATAATAATAATAACAATAAATATAATAAAGTTATACATACAGACGTTAATATCTTTTTATTTTTATGATTACTACTATTTAAACTATCATTATTATTGCTATTATTACTACTTTCAATGTTATTTTTATACTCGTTGACTTCTTCTGTTGTAGGTTCTCGTAGAATAGTTAAACAACCAAGACCGTATAATAAATAAAATGCCTCATATAAACTTAATTGCATATCTTCTTGAATATCATCTTCCGTAATATCATTATCATTATTGTTATCGTTGATTCTTTGATATTTTAATGGTTGTTGATTATCATTACTATTGTTTGTATCTCTTATAATATCTTTGTATCTTTTTAAATTTTTAACGTGAAATACACCACCTCTTGATGAGTCATCTTCATCTTCTTCATCTTCTTCTTCTGTTTCTTGATGAGATTGTTGAAGTTGTTGTTTGATTTGATGATAGATTGGGTTTGATCTTGAGAGTGTTCCTTTACCAAAACAACCTCTATGATAAAGATCTAAACCTTCATCGAAACTCGGTATCTTTACACCGTAACCTATATATATACCATAGTAGTGTTTAATATCACCGGATGTTGGTAACAAATTCAATTGACTATTATATGAATGATGTCTTTTCTTCATTGTTATTATCACTACTATTAAAATAAAAACTAGTTTAGTTTTTTTACATTCTTAAGTTGGTGCGATCAGCTATCATGATAAGAGACAATCAGTATAATATTAATAATAATAATAATAATAATAATAATAAAAGAGAGAGTCTCTCTAACTTTCAATTTTAAAGGTTTTATAAAAAAAGGAAAGGTTTATTCATACAAATATTTCATCTGTTTGTTTTAAAAAAAAGAAGATTGTGATTGGTTTGATTTTGTTTGTTTTGTTTAAAAAAGTAATATTATATTGAGTAATTTAATATTTCTCACCAACACAGGCATCCTTCCAGAAAACAAAGTATTCGTTGGCATCATTATCCTTCTTGTATGAGAGGGCGACCATACCTTCGGCGTCGAGGTTCTCACCTTGCCAGAAAGTGTATTTGTCAAACTCTCCGAGAACCTTCTTGGCGTACTCTTGAGCTTCCTTCTTGAAGGTGTCAACACGGGTTGGGTTGTTGGAGGCCAAGTATGACTCGACTTCCTTCATGAAACCCTTCAAGTAGGTGAGGTAACCCTTCTTGTCGAAGTTGGTGGCTTGGAGACGGTGAGCGTCGACCAAGTTGTTGACGGTGATGATACCAGCATCGGCAACACCTTCAGTCTCTTCACCCTCTTCGGTGGATTCGTTGGCACCAGTGTCAACCTTAACGTTCAAGTCCTTTGAGACTTGCTTGGTAGTGACTTCATAGACAACACCGAGATCGGCAATTGGGAAAGCATCTGAGAAGAGCTCGTCCTCTAAAAAGCAAAACAAGTAGAAATAACAATAAAGTTAGTAAATCTAATCTATTCCTTCTTTTTCAAAAAAATATTCTACTAAAACATACTGTAATAACCTAAGATATCTTTGTAAACTCTCATTTTTGTATATGGTGTTCAATCGAAACAGATACAAGATACCTAAGAAAAGTTTTTGAGCAGGGGTGTTGGTCGATGAGTGTGGAGAAACTGCCAAAATTAAAATTTTATTTATTTTTATTTTTATTTTTATTTTTAAACTGAACTTTCAATTTTGGTGATATCGGTGCTAATCTCGGTTAACCGAGATTTATTAATATCTCTTTGAATTAATTTAATATATTGAACACACTTTTTAATATAAAATAAATAAAAATAAAAATATATTGTGTTGCTGTTGTTATATTAATTTTTTATTGAATTAAAGAAACAATCTTTTTCTTTGTTGTAGGTAAAAGTTGGTTTGGTGGCAGTATCTTCTGAATGTTTAAACCATTTTTCTAAACTTCTCATTTTGATTGGTAAACCTCTTTGTTTGATAGTGATATTGTTGCTGTTGCTTGTCGAGGTAGTGGTTGTTGTTGTTGTGCTGGCGTTAGTCGATTCAACAACTTTGAAATTCTCTTTTTTCAAATCCGATAGAATCTCTGTCATTTCAGCAGATACATTGTTGTTGCTATTGATTTCCTTTTCAAATTTGTTGAATTTCTCCTTGGATGCCTCACGATAACAGATTGCCAAAAACATCTCGGTGATCAAAGAGAATTTGTTGAAATTAATACAGATTCCACCGGTTCTCTCTGCGATCTCCTCGTAGAATACACAATTTCCCAGTGCTTTGACACCATAGATCTTGACACCAAGATCGAAAAGATCGTCACATTCCTCGAACCAGTTGATCTTCAAGTCGGTATGCGATGGTTCGTGTGGCTCGCAGTCTCCAATCATAACGAATGCCTTGGAGGTGTGTTTCGACCACGAAAGTGACTTGGCTTTGCGGAGTGCCCACTCGTAGGCTTCCGGTGCATCGCCACCACTTGTCGATGGAACCTCCTTGATGAATTTCACCAGTTTATCGACATCACGTGTCAAGTCAAGAGTGGTCAGAACCTTTTCCTTGTCACAGTAGTCACCAAGTCCCACAATACCGATTCTGATATTTGGAATATCTTTCATGAGACGACTGACTGTTTGCTCTACTTGTTCTCTAACCTTTCCGATGATCGAAGACATCGAACCGGTGGTATCGAAACAGAATACAATTTCGACATCCGATGATATCGATGTTTGAAGGAAACTCTGAATCAATAGATCATCGTCCAAAGTATTAACCTGCTCCTGGCTTTGAAGATTACCCAAAACTATTTCAATGATATCCATATTTCCAAGATGAGCATGAAGCAATGCATTTCTTGCAAGAGCAACTCCACCTTTTTTAATATAGAAATCACTTTCATTTATCTCCAAAATTGAATCTGACAGATTCTTTTTAATTAATCTAAATAATAAAGGTTGATTTATTAATCACAACTACTGCTATTAAGTTAAGAAATAGGTTTGCTACTAGTACTTACACAATTAAATGTTGAATTGTTAAACCATCATTGTTTGGAATCGTTAGTTTACATTCATTGCCACCAAAGAGAACGATAAACTCAAGTTCCTTCAATAGATTCATTACTACTGTGCATTCTTCTTCCAATCCGCTTTTCTCCAATGTGTTGGATCCTTTTGGTAGAGGTTCACCTTTTAGTTAATAAATAGTAAAAAAAAAAAAAGTTAATAAATGATGATTGATAATGAGTTGCTTAGTGGATATTTAATACAAACCATAGTATGTTAATTCGAATTGATATGTTTTATATTCTGTTCTTTGAGCAACTTTATCATAGAGACTACTTAGTGAATCAGTGGTTAAGAGATTCTCTAAAGTGAAGGTAATGGTTTCAGTTTTAATAATTAGCATCATTTTTGATTTTAAAAAATAAAGAGTTAAAGTATGAATAGATATTCGAAAGATTATAATGTAACTGATTAAGTAAATATATATATATTGTTTGAGTGTATTGTTTAAAATTTAATTATATTCTTACCTTTATTGGGTATTTATACTTAAACTTGATCAACAGTGAAGTTTAGTGCTAAATTTCAATGTCCCATCTATTTCTCAATTTTACATTACCTGTTACTGATATTTGTTATTAAATCTCATGAGTCAGAGTGATTATTACACACAGTCACACATCATTGTGGAATTGATGTGTTTTTTTAAAATTTGTTTGGTCTTAATTTGGGCAAAAATTTTTTCTTTTAAAATTATTTATTTAATTTAATTTATATACATTCATTATTATTATTTTATTATTATGAAAGACCACCAATACAAAATGGTTCTTTGGTTTGTTGTTGAAGTATTGGTGTTGGATGTCTTATTTGTTGGTGTCTAAATATATATTCTTCGATGTATCTTGCTCTATTGTTGTTTAGTTCTTTAACAACTTGCTCTCTGTAGTGTTCATGAAGCTGTGAGATAATGTCGCTGCGAGAAGAAGATGCCGGTACTATAATATTGAGGGTGTCGGTGAGTAGCTTCAGACTCTGTAACTTCATTCCCCGCAGAAAATCAAGCAGATTGTCCTTCTTTACTTTCTCATAGTTTCTTTGGATTTTATCTACTTGTTCTTCTACCGACTCTGCAAATCCACATTCACTCAACAACGAAGCAGTAACAGCCTTATCCGAGCCATCTGGTATAGTAATGTGTAGATTTTCAGCTATTTCCAATAACCAACTAATCTTTACTTTTAATAATTTCTTTCGAAGATTTGACATTTTATTTATATATAGTTTAAAAAAAAAAGTATAAAATAATAGTTAAGTTTGTTTTAATTTGTTTGATTTGATTAAATATTTACAAGAAAAGGAAAAAAATAAATAATAGTTATAATAAATTAAACAATTAATTGTTTTAATAGTTTAAAATGGAAATTTATTTACAATTTGTGAGGTACAAGATATATATTTTAATGATTAAAATAAAAAATAAAAAATATAAATTTAAAAGTAATTTGAAAAAATAAATGAGGATGGAATCGATTTTAAATGAAATGATGATGAATCAAAGAAACAAAAATGATTAAATTTGAAAGTTATGATTTAGTAAAAAGTCGAAATACAATCAAGGACATGTCCTTTTTTTTTTTCCTTTCCAAGATCTAGATCTTTTTTTGGTTTGAATAAAAATTAAAATTGAAAGTTGGTATTGAGGGATGGTGACAGATACTTTAAAAAGAAATCATTGAATTCATTGTGATGGTAAATTTTTTCTTATTTTTTTGATGAACCAGGTTAAGAATGTTTAAAAATTTAATTTTGTTATTGAAAAATAAAATAACAGTAAAACAATCACTAAAAATAAAGTAATTCTATAAAGTTAGAAATAATTTTTAAAAAAGTAATAAATGTATTCTGTGAATGATCAAAATTGTGTGGTTAAAAAAACTTTGAAAAAACAAAATTGTTTCAAAAAACTTGTGTGATTCATATGATCAATTTAAATTAGCAAGATCTTACACCGATTATTTTTAATGTTTTGCAGTTATTGAAGAAACATACAAAAATAAATAAATACTTATATAATATACATATAAATACTTGTGTAATGTATTTTATTAATTCATGACTACCTAAATTAGTAAGTTTATCAATGAATTGATTTATAAATATGTTCATAAACCGCATTTATGTCGGTTCTCAAAGAATGTGATTCTAGAAAAATTGTAAAATACATACCTCAACCATTAGTATTAATTCTGTACTTAATTTTTATATAAACATACCGAACAATTGAAATAATAATATATTCTTTAATTTTTTTGAAGATTGAACAAAATAATAAAAAAACACTCTCTTAATCATTTTTAATTTTACTTTTTTAAATTTATAAATTAAATCAAGCTTACCAGATGGACTATACGGAATCTATATGTTACTACAAGTGCTAGCATAGAGAATTTAAAAGAATCAAGATTGCCTTAGTGTTGAGTATGAATACTTAAAGACACCAAGATTGGTTGGTCAATGAGTCTCTGAGTTTGGTGGTAAGGTTTGGTCATCAGAAGGGTGCTCTTCATTATGGAACTTTACAAGAAAGTTGGTTTTGTTTTGGATTTGGTATATAGCTACAACCATATTATTAAGTATATTCTTTTATTTTAATGTATTTGCAGTAATGATCTGACATACTGTATACATTGTTTCCTTTTATTTTGTAAGAGATAATATCAAAAAAAAACAAAAAAAAAAAAACAAAGTTTAGATAAATCTGATACATGATGTACAATAATATGCAAATAACAACAAAGATTGAAACTATTAATCTTTGACAATTATTAATCAAATTCGTATCTCCAGATGCTATCACAAAAGGAAGATTACTCAGTTGTAAGACCTTTAAGTCTATTTAAGAGTTCACAGGTGCCTACAAAAATATGTCTTTGCCAAATAAATTCAAAATTTTGCAAGAATGATCGATTTTTATTTTTGTGCAAATAATCTCTTAGTTAGAACAAATAAGTCGATATTTATTAGTTTTAATAAGAAAATATATATATTAATTTATATAAAGAGGATTTAGGACTCTTTGAGGTTACATTGTGTTATGGAAGAATGGATATTTGTAAATTGAGAAAATTATCTAGATGATCAACTTTTTTGTTTTTGTTTTCAAAAACACTTGCCATTCACAAAGAACATTCTAGATAATCAAATCAATTAGAATTAATGAATTCTGTGTAGATTTAATCAGACATAACCACAACCCAATAAAGAAATCATTAGCTGTTTTACATTATTTTATTATTATTTTAACTATTGATGCTAGCAACAGTTAACAAGATATTTAATTCTTATTTTTTTTTTTAATTTTGTTTTTTTTTAATCAACATTTTTTTTTATTTTATTTTTTTGCAATTTGGGTTGAAAAATAAAGTTTTGACAACGAGGTTTCAAATTTTGACAACGAGTAATTTATTTGTTTGTTTGTTTTTTCATATCTCTTAGTATTCACACCTATATCACCAATAGTATAGTTTTAGTTTTGCTATTGACACCTCTCAAACAACAACAGCCCATTACTCTTACTTTCAAACTTATTATCAATACATTAGAATAATAAGAAGCTGCATCACCAAACCACCGAATCGAATCAAATCAAACTAACCAACTAGCTAGCACCTAATTACATAGCACTACCCTTTTATTCTTTAGCCTTTCAATCAAACATTCACAATATTATTTAAATTTTATTTAATTTTATTTAATTTTTTTGTTATTTTTAATTTTTAATTTTTTTTTTCCAAAATTATAAATAACGTATTCCTTCCTTCATTCATTCATTTAGTTTTGTTATAGTTTTGTTAGTTTTATAATAATAGCTTGTAGCAAGTAACAATTAAATAATAAAAACATCATGTCAACAGAGGCAGAGACACCAGCAACAACTTCAATCGAAGAGGTATGTCTTACACCAAATTGTGGAAAGAAGGCATCGCTTCACTGTCCAGTCTGTGAGAAACTTAATCTACCAGTGGCAAATTTCTGTTCTCAAGAGTGTTTCAAATCATATTGGCCAATTCACAAGATCAAGCATTGTATGTTTAGTTTATTATTGTTAACATGAATACTCATGGAATACCGAATTGATATTTATTGACAATTCATTCATTCATTCACTTATTCCTATAATCATAAAGTGACAAAGGAAGAAAGACAAACATCCAATGATGCATTCAAGAGAATTAAATTCACAGGTAAACTGAGACCATCCAAAGTAACACCAAGAAGAGCACCGCCCTCTGGAGTAACTCTACCAGACTATGCACTCGATGGTATGTAAGAATCTCTTAATATTTTAATCAAATTAAATATAGTTTTTTTAGTTAGCAGTTTTTTTGACTGACATTTTTTGTTATTGGTAACTGTAGGATTTCCACATAGTGAAAGAGCAGCAGACAAGAGAAAGATGCCAATTCCAATTCACACTAAAGAGGAGATTGAGATTATGAGAGAGTTGTCAATCAAGGGTAGAGAGGTACTCGATATTGCAGGTAGAGCAGCAAAAGTTGGTGTCACCACAGAGGAGATCGATATAATTGTACACAATGCGTGTGCCGAGCGTGGATGTTATCCATCGCCACTCAACTACCTCGGATTCCCAAAGGCTTGTTGCACATCGATCAACGAAGTCATTTGCCACGGTATTCCAGATTTGAGACCACTCGAAGACGGTGACATTGTCAATATCGATGTTTCACTCTACTGGAAGGGTTTCCATTGCGATTTGAACGAAACCTACTTGGTCGGAAACGTCAATGAAAGCGGAAAGAAATTGGTTCGTGTCACCTGGGAGTGTCTCGAAAAGGCCATGGCCATCATCAAACCCGGTGTAATGTATCGTGAGCTTGGTGACATCATCCAGAAACACGCTCATGCCAACGGATTCTCTGTTGTCAAAAACTATTGTGGTCATGGTGTTGGTAAATTATTCCATGGTCCACCAACTATTCCTCATTATGCAAGTATGTAATATTATTTTGTTCATGAAATTATCATCATTATTTTATATTTAATTTAACAATTAACATTTTTTTTTTTTATTAATCAATCAATTAATAGGAAATAAAGCAGTTGGTGCAATGAAAGCTGGACATATCTTTACAATTGAACCTATGATCAATGAAGGTACTTGGGAAGATGAGTTGTGGCCAGATGAATGGACTGCCGTCACTGCCGATGGTAAGAGATCAGCTCAATTCGAACATACAATCTTGGTAACAGATACAGGTTATGAAGTACTGAGCGCAAGAAGAGATGGTTCAAAATATGATTTTCTCGAATAAATAATAAACATAACGTGTATTATTATTATTGGAGATTATTACTAAAAAAGATGAGAAAAATATCAGATTTTATTAATTTATTAACAAAGTTTTTCGGGTTATTAAAAAAGTAAATCTTATCTTTATCTCCAAAAAAGAAGTTGAGATTTTAGAAAAATGTTACATAGTTTTTTTTTTTTTTAGTGAAATTTCAAAATCGGTTATTATATTTTTATCATTGAGTTTTAATAGGGGTTCTAATACAACCATCGACATAGTGGTTGATTTTCGGACAAAGATTCCAAAGTCCTATCTAGATTAAAACGAATCACCAACCATTGATATTTTAGAATCTTCGATTATCGTTTCATTTTGGAACATAATAAAACAAGACTTTTCTTGATAATAAACTTTTCAAGAAAGATTATCATTGGTTTGTGTCTATGGAACAAAAAAAAAAACCTCACATATCATAAAAATGGAAAATATCAAAAGAATTTATCCCTAAGTCATGAATCAATCTAAATGGTAAACTATATTTAGATCTTTCAAATTCATTGGAGAACTTGAAAAAAACATCATTTGTATTTGGAGTCCAATTTTTTGGGATTTTATCATCATAATTATGTCAAAACCAAAAAACCAAAAAATAAAAAATAAAATTGATTGGTCAATGTTTTTATTATAAACATGATCCATGTTGTTTGTGAAAAAACTAATGTTTCCATATTAAATACAAAATCTTGATGGGTTACATGGTATTGATGACTCTTCAATATTAACAAACTCTATGCCATTTAGTCAATAGTGTCAATGAAAAAAGGAAATTTGTTATAAATAAATTGAATTGACCACTTCTTTCTAAGATATCACCTTATAATAATAGATTCAACTAACCAACCAACACCACAAACATATCACAGTGCTAGAAAATTTCAGTAGCCAGTGAAATTTTTTAATTTTTTTGTTCTTTTGTTCTATCATCAAGTGGTGGTGGTGAAAAAGAAACAACACAATTTCTCAAATCTCTCTTTAACAATATACACAATATTTAATAGGTGGTTTCTCAATGACAACCACTCTAGATTGGAATGATCTTTTCAATTGAACAGAACCTAAAAACAAAATAACAAAACAAAATTCCCCAATTTTCACCACGGTTAATTTCTTGCTTGTATAGTGGTCTTGCTACTACTATTTTTGTAGGAAATCAAATTAGAGTATGTGTTAAAAGAAAAAGGAGTGACTTGAAAGGAGTGGATATATTCAAGAGGGAATTTATTGTAAAAATTTAAATTATTGAATATTGAGTGAAAATAAAACTATTTATATTGCAAGATATGTAGTCAATAAAGAATATCATTTAATAATTCACAAATATATTTAAATATATACAAATTTAATAATCATTATCTTTAAATACAAAACAATATTATCTTTTATTTGTAATACTTATTTTACTTTTTACATTTTTTATAAAAATCCGAATTCCATAATTAACTTTCTCATATTATCTATCTATTATATATGCTTTTATTCATTCTTATTTAATATATTATTTTTCCGTATCTAAAGTGTTGAACTAATCAAGATTGAAAATCTACATTAAATCGTTAATTAAAAATTCTTTCATATTACATTGTAAATTTATTTCTCACAAATTGAATTTAATTTTTTTTTTGTTTATATCGACATCATCAAATTGTTTTTTACACACAGTTGATTATTTCGTCATAGTGTTGTTTCATTTTATGTGTAAATAAAAACCCACTACCACACATTCATCAACACACACATTGCCATTTTTCAAGCTTAAACAACAAGTCCAATTTAAAATCAATAAATTCGCTATCATTGTTTTCATTTAAATAACCCTCATTATTTATTCAATTTTACAAAAATAGAAGGTATTTCCCTTTTAGTTAAATTATACACACATCATATTTATTGATTTTTAACCATATCTTCAAAAAAAAAACATTGTATAAAACAAATATCAGAGTACAATTTTACTCTTTTGATTAAATAATTTTCTATACATCTATTGATTAAATAATATTTACAATAGTAATAATAATAATAATAAAAATAAAATAAATTATAAAATGGAATATATAAATCCATTCACTCAAAATATAATTCTAAAATTATTGATTCAATATAATAGTCTTGATATTGAACCAATAGCAGATTCCAATTGTAAAAAAATAAATTTATTGGATGACCCAGTTTTCAATGAGGAGCCAGCTTCGATCGATGGAATTCCATGTTTAGATAAGAGAAATGATGATCTCCTACCATTTTTATCTTTTAGAAAAAAATTACTCTCTTTGTCATTGGTTTGTTGGAGATGGTTCAATTATGTCTCCAAACAAATTACACATCTCTCAGTCAAGTTGGTCGGTGACAATCTGCTCTCTTTTTCCGGTCCAATCGTAAATAACAAAAGGCAGTGGAGTGTTCCATTTAGACTTCAAACTTTAGAATCTAAATACTCTCTATATCAATCAAAGAATATTATTACTTTGACAGTTTTACTCGATAGTTCATGCCAGAGACTGATGACCTGCAATGAAATCGCCAAAATCACTCTGAATTCCAACCTTCCAACCAAATTGAAACAAATGATTCCAACTCTACGAAGAAAGAAGGCCATCGAAATACTTAATTTTTCCATTCACAACCTCTATACCAAGCTTGCCAGTCATCAACTTTCATTTGTAAATCTTATTTTCAAGAGATGCTACCAACAGCTCGGTCAAAAGATAGTCCGTTTAATGAATAATATCAAAGTACATCAAACAATTGTTCAAGATCTGCATCAACCCACCCTTGAGAATCTTCAAATAGACTTACCGAATGAAGTAGAAATTGTTCCACCAGAAAACCTAGTCTCTACTACACTATTATCGAAATTTACTTGTTTTGAAGATGAAACCATTTACTTTAGATATCTGCAATCAATCAATCCCAAAAATCTCCTACTTTCATTTTCCGACAAATCAAGTGAAATTGGAAAACATGCTTTATATCAGCAACTATTCACCGTAGAATCATTGGAGCACTTGCTGATTCAGTCCGATTTTGTGGAATTGGCAGACCTTGTAGTTGGTTTAAATTCATTCAATCTGAAAACACTCAATTGCAATATTCTATATCACCAAATTATTCAAGATTGTAAATTAACTGATAATCGTCAACCAATATTTAATAATTTCTTCCAACTCCATACACCTGCCGATCCATATCACCAGACCGAAAATACCTGCCAATGGACAAGTACAACTCCAGCCTATCATTACACCAATATCCGACAACATGTTGCATCCTTCTGTGATTCCATTGCCAAAAACAAAAGTATCGAAAGTCTCACACTAGGTAACTACTGTTCAAATTTCTCACATAAGCGTGCATGTTTCTGCCATGACACCGAAGATAATTCCATTCCATCGAAATTAAGAATGCCGCTGTGTCCTCTTCTCAATGAATCATTTGCCAATGCAATCAAGTCAAACAACACCATCAAGAGTTTGACTCTTTCCAATCTGACCGGATTGGTGAATGAAAGTTTCTTTAAAGCTATGGAAGCCAACAAGTCTATCACATCACTATCTCTTATCGATTCAACTCTCCAGGATAATGCCAACATCACTCAACTTGTTAAGCTTTTGGAAGTCAACAAAACATTGAAATATATCTCAATTGCCAACAATCCACAGATCGACACTGGTAAACCTCTCTCTAGAATATTATCACTCAACAACAGTATTGAACAAATCGATATCAGTTTCAACCAATTCAAAGATCTATCAACGTTTGTCTCACAAACCAACCACTTTAAACCAGATCCAAAAGTCAAGTCGATCACACTTAAAATCAATGGAAACAATACCAACTTTAAATCAGAGATCTCCAAACTAACACCTTCTCATGTATCGGTGGATTTCTCAGTCAACCAAAAAATTATCAACAACCAACAAAATCAACACATCAGCGGTATCAACTCCATTTTAGATATTGAAAATTTCGATAAAGAATTAAAAAGATTTAATTATTTTAATTAAAAATAACTATAATAAAAAAATAAACTATTTATTTTTTATATAAAATTTAAAATAATTAAATCAAATCTTTAAATATTTTCATTTTTATTTCTATTTTATAAAAAATCAAGCTATGACCAATCAATTTTTGTCGCTGGTATTGGTGGTTTTATGGTTTTTTTTTATTTACCTCCTAATATGTTTTTTCCTTTTTTTTCCTTTTTTTTCCTTTTTTTTTTTTTTTGTTTTTTTTTTTTTAGTTTTTTTGTTGGTTCATTGATGAAACCAACAACCATTTGGAAAATCAAATTTTTTGGTTTATTACCTATCAAAACAAATTTAATTGACTTCCAACCAATAACATAGAATTAATTTATTAATAACAAATTTCTATAATAATACATAAATATATATTTCGAATATTGTAATACCATAGCTTGGTTTTGTTTTTTTTTCATACATTAAAATAAACTCAAGCAAATAAATTCTTAAGTTCAATATTAGTAAAAGATTGGTTGTCAGTGCCAAAGATACTGGAATAAAGGTAATTAATCATATATTTAAGTACGATTACGAATTGGTTTAATTTCCTATTCAATCAATCACATTAAAATGTACAAAGAGGCAATAATATTGTGTTTCAAAAATGAAAACTCCAACCAAAAATCGATAAATAATCATCTTGCAATTTTTCAAACCAAGTATAGATAATAAATTTCAAACTATTCATTCAGTAACAATCAACAATCTACGGGTAAAAGGATTTTTAAAATCTGATGTCATCTATGTTGTTTATGTATCAAAGAGTTGGAGATTGCGTTAACTCTTCTATCATTCACCAATTTCAAAATTACTGATTAATTATAAGAATTCATTTTTGCCAATCAATCATCAATTCCAATTCAACCATCAAATTACCAATGGTCATCTATATGTCTGTATAAATATCGAATACAATGATAACTTTCTAATTATAATTATCATTTAAATTTAAAGTGTGTTTGTGTTAATGATTGAAAATAATCGTCCACCAACAGTCATATAATTATATAGCTACCTACCGATCAAAGAAAAAATAAAACACACACACACACCAAATTTCAATCTACTATCTAACTTGAAATGATAAATCCGCATCTTCTATTCATTAAACGTTTCTCTTTGGAAATATTATACGGATATCCGCATTTCTGAATTAAAATCAAAACAATGTCCAATCAAATCCTCTAATAATTCAATCCGTAAACTATTTGAATGTGTTATTACATTTTTATTTATTACTACCACTATCAATCGAATAGATTCCACATTAAACACAATATATATCATTAATCATATTACTGCTATAATTAAAAAAAAAACAAAACAATTTGAGTTGTGAGTTTGTGTGTTATAGTTATTATTAAATGTATTGTAGTGCTAACCATATAGTGTAAATATGAAAAATACCAAAAGAGGAAATAATATTAATCAATATATATGGTGGTTGTGTTGGTGAACCAATCCATCAAAAAAAAAAACAAAACAAAATGAAATGAAAAAGTGTGTATGTAATTATATTATTATTACTTTGATAGTTTGTCAGAGTAGGTGGGGTAGTGGTAGAGGTGGTAGTGGTTGTGTTGTAATAAGGTAAAGGGAAAAAGAAGGATTCTTATGTAGTAACAAAATACAATACTAGTATGTAGAAGCAACAACCAAAAACAACAACAACAACAACAACAACAACAACAACAACATGAAACCACTAACATTTCAGAAGCAACCACTATTAATACAATAGCAATAAACCAACAACCATAACAAAATTAATTCTACATTTGTCCTACCTATATCAAATTATCCAGATAAAAAAAAGTAGATATTAAATAACATAATTGTTTTTAATTTAATCTTTCTATTGTTCTTTTCTTTTTTTTGTTTTTTTTAATTTCCTATTCAATTTGATTTTTATTATTTAAAAGTTCTTAGTTTGTCATTGGTTTCATTTTTATATGTAAATATCAAGTAACTTACTTATTTGTCAAAGGTGACTTAGTATGTATTATAATACAGTTGTCGTTTTTGTTGTAGTTGTTAAATAGATTTGTATAAAACAAAAAACATAACGAAAAAAATAGTATAAAAAATACAATAGATATAGATAGTCAGATAGTATACATATAGAGTTGTTTGAACACCACCAAGTTCAACGCTTTAACTTTTCAACACTTTTACACTTCTTAAACACAACCTTATAAGGTACATTCATCGATATATAATCTAATAGTTCAATAAGAATAATGATTAGTATCAAGTAGTTGAATGCGAAAAAAAAAAAAAAAACAAAATAAAACGATAACAAATTTCCAAAACAATAACAATGCAATTTTTTCCAAAGAACTTCAAACCAACCATCATTAATTCATTTTTGAAAAAAATTTTAATGTTTGTCTGTTCAAGTAATCATTTTTTTTATTAAAATTCATATGACTTTTGTCATTTTTCAGCGATTTATCAACATCATTTCTAACCTTTTTTAAAATACAAAATTTTCATGAAAATTATAATATGAGTAGATACAATAGTCGTTGATTTCTAGAAATTGCAAAACAAAGTTTTAGTAAAAGTCTTACTTTTCATTTTGGATTTGGAAAAACAAAAATTTTTAAAAAAACAACAATTAGATATTTTTAGAACTTGGTTTTAATTAGCGTTTAATTTCAAAAAGACACAACCCAAATTCAGTAATACAACTATAACCAACATCATACTTTGACTTTGAAGTCTAATATATCTCAAAATACCATCAACACACACACACACACACAACCAAACAACCAAACAACCAAACAACAAACAACACACACATACACAAACAATTGTTATATTATAATAATAATGAGTAATCTAGAGGAATCAACAGAAGATGGTGGAGGACAAGTAGAGAATGATTCTAGAGAACAAGATAAATATCTGCCGATTGCCAATATCATTAGAATTATGAAGAAAGCACTTCCAAACAATGCAAAGGTGGCGCGCGATGCCAAGGACACCGTGCAAGACTGTGTCTCTGAGTTTATCTCGTTCATCACCTCCGAAGCAAGCGAGAAGTGTCAGCAGGAGAAGCGAAAGACCATCAACGGTGAGGACATCATCGCCGCCATGAATGTACTCGGCTTTGAGAACTACATCGAACCGCTCAAGGTTTACTTGGCCAAGTATCGCGAGAACGAGAAGCGAGAAACGCTCTCTGCAAAGAAGTCGCCAAAGAAACAACAGGCCGACTCTGTATCGATGTCACCACCATCGTCGCCAACACTCAGCAGCAACAATTCAACGACAACCACATCAACTACTACACAACAATATCAACAGCAACAACAGCAGCAGCAACAACAGCAACAACAACAGGTAATGCACCAAGCACAACTTCCACATCCTCTTCAACAACAACAACAACAAGTACATCATCAACATCAACAACATCAACAAGTACTTCACCAGCAACAACAACAACAACAACAGCAAGCACATCATCAACAACAATTGGATCTATCATCAGGTTCAACGACTACTTCTCAAACAATTAATAACAATATGTATTTAAACCAAGTACCAGATTCACTTGACAATGGATTTGTAAGTATATTAATACTTATTTACTTTATATTATAAAGGTGTAGTAAGACTAACAATATCTAAATTATATTAGAATCAATACTATTATAGTAAACAGTAATGAATATAAACATATCTTTAAAGTAGTAATAACAATAATATAATATAACAACAAAAGATATTGAAAAGATAGAGAATAGAATTGATATAGTAACAAAACAAAAAAACAATAATGATCATAGATTATAGTAATTATCTATAACAATGATTTAAATAATCTATTCCTCTCTTTTTTTTTCTTTCCTTTCATTCCTTTTTGATATTCTAGTAGAATTTACAACATATATATAATGTAAATGAAGTAGTAGTATTATTACCTCACATATAACTCATATAACTCATATAAACAATCAAATCACTTCAAACCAAACATATAAAACTCATATAACATAAAATCAACAACAACAACAACAACAACAACAACAACAACAACAAAACAACATTATTATCCAACAAACTATATTATATATATCAAATATATCTACTTGTAAAATAACTTAAAAAAAAAACAAATAAAAAAAAAAAAATATATTTATAGTATTATAAAGTTAATGGTAATAGACTGACTTAATATTTAAGTTGCAAAAGAAAGATCATCGAGTTTCTATTGCAAAATTAATTAATATAATCAAATGATTTATTTCTGTTGCCGCTATTGTGAATTTAAATATTTAAATAAATCATTATGAATTTAATCTATTGTAGTTTGTCTCAGAAGATTATTAAATAACATTTGATTTATTAATATGATTGGTGAGATCACTGTGAAGTAACAGAAGATAAACCAATTAAAACATTTAATGATACACCTATGATAATTCCAAACTTTATACTCCGAGCTAAATAATCCTTCGATAGCCAAAACAATGAGATCGGTCCAAAAAAGAATCCAAATGCCATTCCAAATATCAATTCTAATGAATCTCTGACAATATTGGTTTGAAGTGACATGAATTCCAATTCTTCTACAGTGTCTTGATTCATTCTAAAGTTTTCCTAATAAATCAACAGAATCATATATTAGTAATTACTAATGATTATTATATTTCAAAATTTAATTACAAAATATATACCATTTCTAATATAATATCATCGTTTGTTCTAAAAGAATTGGTTGTTGGATCGTATAAAATATTATTATTTACATTTAAAGAGGTTGGTTGTGATGTTGATATTGATGGTGTTGGAGGTGTTGCATTGAGTATTGCGTCGTGTGGTAGTTCTGCGATGGTCGGTGACAAGTTAAGAGGTGCCGTTATCGAACATATAATAAAACAACCGTTTGTAAGTTTTGATTCCTCAATGCTATTACTATCGATTAACATCTTTCCATTGTAGATCAATCTAATTTTGTGCGCTTTCTTTGCTTTCCTCTCGAGTATCAACGATTTAAGATGATCGATCGTATCCTTAGGTGATACATCTACAACAAGTAATGTATCTTCTGCATTCTTTATATTAAGTTTTATATTATTACTATTATTATTACTATTACTACTACTACTACTACTACTACTATTTACAGCTATATAGTTTTTATTGCTATTATTATCATCATCTAAATCAATACCTATATTCATTATTATATAAAATATAAACAATTAACTAACTTTTAGTAAAAAAAATTTTTATATTAAAAAAATGCATGCAAAAGAAAAAAAAAGAAAATTAAAAAGAAAAGTTTAAAAAAACACACATAATTATATTTTTCAAACCGATTTATTAAACATAATAATGAAATTTCATACAATTATTTATTATAATTTAATTATGTGTATTTTATTTATTATGAACGAATAAATGATTTTTTTTATAATTCATTTATTCAATTTCTTTATTTTTTAATAAAAAAATACTTTGATTTAAGATCAATAAAAGACAAGGTGATTAATAACGAAGCACATTATTTAAATCTAAAAATGATAAATCCAGAAAGTAGATTTGAATAATCATAAACATTTTCAAATTTTAATAAGCAAAATAACTGTTATTTGATAAATGAGTGCATTAACTTTTATTTTTGTTCTATAACATCAAAGTATAATTATATATGATCATCTTTATTGATTAATTAAAGCATTCTCCAAAAAAATCTTTAAAATTCTTTTTTTTTTTTTTTTTTTTTAATTATTCATTTTATCACAATTAATAATAATATGAGTGAAATAGTTAATCAGAGTAATGTTGGTGATGAACAACAGCAACAACAACAACAACAGCAACAGCAACAACAACCACCTCTAACAGCATCAACTGTAATAACAAATGAAATAACAAATATTACAAATCAGAATGATATATATAATATACTTAATACACAAACTGAAATGTAAGTTATTACTAAAATGAGAAGATCAATAACAAAGATTGTAGATTTAACGTTATTTATGTTCAAATGGTTAACTAACTCTATCTATCTATAAACAAAAATATATATATTATCAACATTTTTAGTTTAACTAAACAGTATGAAACCAATAATGCATTACATCACTTTAATGACTACAGTGCACAAAAGTATGGTCAACTTGTAAATGATTTCGAAAAGCATACAAAGATGTTGAAAGAAATGAAGAAAGATTTAGATTATATCACAAAGAAAACAAAGTATATATCATCATCGTCATCACAACCAATCACTCTATGCTTTAAACAAGTATAAATATTAACTATTAATCAAACATTTGTATTCATTCAATATAATATTAGAACATTACAACATATATTAAATGAAAAGTTTCCAAATATTGGTGTAGTTCAGAATGATTATCAAGTAGAGGATGATTGATCGATCTCAACCATTCAAATCAAATAAATAACAACTCCTATTGTACATTATTTAATTAAATCAAGATAAAATTATAAAATTATATTAATGAGCTAGCTCTAGACACTCTAAAGTTGCGAGATTTGAGGTTTATGTTTAAAGGAGATTGAAGTGTCATCAACCAAAATCAATGTGTCAGTAGATATGGAGAGACAATAGAATACTTTAGTGTGGTCACCGGTGATTTAATCATTGATCTGTTTGTCAGACAGAGAAACTCTAAAACAATGTTTAAACAAGAGGATCGAGACTTAAGCAAGAGGTATCCATTATTCATTTAGCATTAGCCTCTATCTATTATGTACATGCTACCAAAAAAAAAAACAAATAATTTAAAATCGACTAAAATGAACTTTTATAACTTGACCTAAAAGACATCTATTAATGGAGCATAGTTTATTCAATATAAATCATTCATTTGTTTAATAATTTGAGATACAATAAAGAAAATTCTATTAAGCCATTTTAAAATAGTAATAACCAACTGACTGAAACTCGTGATTTTAAAAAAATAAAATTACAACTTTTAAAAAAAAAATCTTTAATTGTTTACTTATTTATTTTAAATGATGAACAAAGATTTATTTTCATTAGTGTTTAATAACATAGTTATAAAAAAGTTAATATTTAGATATGTTGATTCGCATCTGTGTCAACATGTTGGAGGTCATTTGAATCATGTAAAATGGAATGAATTGTTAAAGAGTCCTTGGGTTATGGCCGCCTACAACTACCTTGACTTTCTTAAAGTGTATTTGGCTGAAAAGACAAAGATACCAAATCGTGACCATGAGAAGTATGTTCTCTTCAATGCAATCAAGTATTCGTGTTTGGAGATGCTAGTTTACTTGGTCGATCATCTAAAGATTCACAAGAGAACCATGGAGTATAGTCCTGCAAATAACCAATACCTCTTCAATCTAAACAATCTGCTGTATAGCTCTGCGAAATGTGGAAGATTCGATATAATACACTATCTCTTAGAGACATTTCCTCAGTACGAGTGGGCCTATCACAAAGCTATGGGTCCAGCCATTGTGTCGGGTAATTTCGAAATGCTTAAATTCATATTTGCCAAATATGAATCGACATGTAACGACTCCTCTAACACTCTTTTGGATCCTACAAGTTTGTTTGACTTGGCAGCAGCAGATGGAAGGATCGAAATCTTGGAATGGTTGGCCACTGACAAGCAGTTGTTACCATCTCACGGTGACAGTGGTTTGTTTATAAAGGCAATATCTAATGGTCATTTACAAACTTTGGATTATCTGTTGAATAAGTACAATCATTTGGCTAGAGATACTAGTATTTGGGTGGATTTGGCTGCTGCAAACAATCAATTTGAAATGGTGAAGTATATGTTTGACAAGGGTATTAAAGAGTGTTCAACTATGGCCATGGATCATGCTGCATCACATTCCAACCAAGAGATGTTGGAATGGCTGCATAAGAATACAACTGGAGGCTGTACAGATAGATGTATGGATAATGCTGTAAAGTTAGGCTGTCTTCCAATGATTAAGTGGCTTTACGCCAATAGAAGTGAACGATGCTCAAGGAATGCAATTACATATGCTGCTATTGGAGGTCACACTGAGATATTGGCTTGGTTGTGCACAACCTTACCCTCATACTTTGAGTTTATCGATGTTATAGAGAAAGCAGTGGAGTATGGTCATGTCGACACAGTTCAGTGGTTGGTTCAGAATAGACAAGTAAGGATTACTAGCCATCTATTTGGTATAGCGGTCAATATTAATGACTTTGAAATGCTCAGATTCCTTCATGAAAACTCAACGGATCAATGTAAGTCTGCATTGATCGATATAGCTTCCAACTACGATTCGTTGGAAATCATTAAGTACCTGCATGAAAATAAAATTGGCAGGTGTACCGACCTTGCACTCGAGAATGCAGTCAAAGCAGATAGACTACATATCGTGAAATGGTTGACCGAAAACAGAACTGAGGTGGCAACTTGCAATGCATTGGATTATGCTGAGAGTTTGGAAATGGTCCGTTATCTACACGAAAATTCAATTGGCCAATGCACTACAATGGCTATGGATAATGCTATATACACTGAAGATGGTACGTTGCCAATCGTAGAGTATTTGCATCAGAATCGCACTGAAGGTTGCTCTGACGAATCATTCATCTTTGCAATTAAATACTGCGAATTGAAAATGATAAGATTTTTATTCAAACACAAACCAGAGTACCATCACCATATTTTGGATCGATCAGTAATATTACATCTCATAAATTCAAATCGTACAACAACTCTAGATTGGATATTTGAAACCATGAATATAACAAAAGAACAACTCATCGAGTATAGCAATTTGACAGTAGATAAATCAGTGGATATCATTAAACTATTTGATACTCATATCAATAAAATAACTTAAAATTTTTTTAGGATTGCAAACTATTTGTTTAAAAATTATTAGTTAATTGTTGAATAAAGTTTAATAACAATTTAAGTTTACAGATTAAATAGAGTACAATGAGCAGTTAAAAATATAATAATGTTTATTTATTAAAATATGCTCTCCATTTTTTGAGAAAAAAAGAGGCGATTAAGAAATTATGAATTATAAACTATAATGATTATTGATAAGTAACAGAAACAATATTGAAAGTTGGATTTCTATCGGATTTGGTGATGAATCCAAATTTATACTTGGAGTCAATTGCAATTTGATTGACATATGATGGTAAGGTAAAAGTAGATGGTTGTTGATTGTTGTTGTTGATTCTGACAAGATCCCAAATCGAAGAATCATCACGAAGTTGGACTGATGAACTAAGAATCAATGATTTAATAACTTTGTTGCTCTTGTTTTCAATGATTCCATCGAATTGATAATAATTGATATTGTCGGTTGTCCATTGATTGATAATATTGCTTGAAATTGTGATATTATTGTTGTTTGGTTTTGGTGTTTCAGTGACAACATTTGTGTCATTGCATGAACATCCAAATTGTGAATTCTGATTGAATGAAAAATAAAATGTGTATGGAAATGAAATATTTTGCACTTCAATTGCCATTGATGATGAACAATATGAAAGTTGGAATTCCAATTTGATTCCTTTGATGTTCATGCTGACTGCTCCATTTCTTGAGATCAAGAGTGATCTTGCATCAGAGAATGGTAATGATACTTTATTGACATCGAATGGTTGTCTCTTATTGCTTCTCGAACAATCGACATTGCTGGATGAAATTGAATTGAATGAATTGATATTGAATAGATCAGATGAGATTTGTGCTGAATACAATGAATTTCCAATCATGTATGAAACTGATCCTGATTGTTCAAAATTGATAACTTTGACACCAATAACTGAGCCATTAAAGTATTGTGCCAATGCATTGTTTGAACATTGTCCATTAACATTGTTGTTGGTAATGAATAATAAACAAATAAAAACAAAAATAAAATTAAAGTTGTTCATATTTAAAAGCTTTATAAATATATAGTAATTATTTTTTTTGAGTATATATTAAGAGTTAGAATAATTATATATTTATTTGTATTTTTTTATATTTGTTTGTATTTAAATGTATTTATCTATAATATATCTATAATTGTTAATTTGATTTGATGATAATTCTCCATTTTTAAAGTACTATTTATATTTAAAATAAATAGAATATTTCTAAATAATTAAAAGACAATATATCAATTTGATAAACAATCACACAGATACCAAACGAGTGATTGATCATAAACAACCTTTCTTAACTTTTCTTTTAAAAAAAAAAAAGAATTATCAAAAAAAAAAAAAAAACTATTTTAAAATTTATATATTAATATAAAGAATATTTTATTATTATTTAGTTTGAAAAGAAAATATTGATCGATCCTGATTGTAGACTCTTTGATGAATCTCTGTCGGCACCAATGATAATATCTTTCTTTCCATCATTGTTTACATCAGCCAAAACCATTCTGAAACCGAATCTACTATCTTTTTCCTTATTATTTACATAGCTACCTCCATCGACAGTGGTAACTGATTTGTTGTTATTCGACTTATCTTTAGCAGGTGGGTTGATTGTGTATTGGTAGACTGCACCGGATCCTGTCGATATTGAATCGGTCCAGAGTGGCGAACCAATATAGAGTGTTGGTACACTTCCTTCGAAGAGATCCATGGCCAGTGACTCACCGAATCTCGAGTAGCTAGTGTCACCGGTGACCTGTAACAACACTTCGCAATCTGCCAAGTCGACATAGCCAACGAGCGATTCAAAAGCAATCAACATTACTTCACCGACCTGCTCTCTCAATTCGTAACCACGAGTTGGTAGACCAACGACCAGTAGATTCTCATTCATTCCCATGAAGCTTCCATTGACAACTTGGAAGGTATATCCAAGTTTATCGAACTGGTAATGACCGATCAATGTGAACTTTGGTTGCTTTGGTTTGGAAAGCTGGAAACCAGTGATCTTACCTATGTTCATGAGATCGCCATCTTCGTGGAAAGTTGGACTACCGACCAAGAGAAGTCCAGAACTAATGGCGGCGTGATATCCAAACCATTCGAAAGCGGTGGTACCAAATGCTTGGAAGTTGGCATCTCTCTCCAAGTCGAGTGGGTGTTGTGAACTGCGCTTCTCTGACGAATAGAATATCGCTAGTTTTCCTTGTTGGTTTGGACCGGCAGTTGGCATACCGATAATCAAATCTTGATGACCATCGTTGTTAGCGTCACCTGTGAAAAGCATAAGACCTGCCTGATCCTGGAAGTAGGTTCCGTTGATGGTGATCGGCGAGGATTGGTCGATTGACCATTGCTGTCCATTCATCTGTCCCAAGTAGATAAAAACTTTACCAAAGTAATTCAAGTCGGCATTGGCAGACGATGGTGCACCAACAACCAAATCAATGACTCCGTCCATGTTGAAATCCAACAAGACAGTGGACCAACCGAAACGAGCATGTATTTCATTGCCACAGACCTTTCCATTGGCGATTTGGTTGATTTCAAATTGTGCCGAGTTTACAAAACGTGAGCTATTGTTCTCACCCATCATGATGTAGTACACACATCCGGTTTGCATTGCACCTGGAACACCGTCACCCGGCGCCGATACAATAAGGTCATCGAAACCGTCGTTGTTCAAATCGTGCGAGATCAAACTACGACCGAAATAAGAGTAGGCGTTCTCACTGAAAATGGTAGAGTAATTCGTTGGAATATCGTTCATCTTGTTGTGTGGCTTAGGTGGTACTTTGAAACCCAATTCAATTGGATCGATTGGATTCATCGAGATCAAGTAGTTGTTGTGGTGATCCTTGAATATGTCCATTCTATCGATGAGAATGTTGATTGCATCGTCCGAGAAGTGCTCTGCGATCTTTTCGAATCCGTTACGACGGTGACCGTGACTGAATGATGGATCCGGCTGGATGGCACAAAAGTTTCCAATCTTCTCGCCCTCAAGCCAACCCATTAGAACTGGCCAACAGTAGCTAGTCCAAACAGCCATATCATCGAGACCACCATTAAAGTAATCTTGGTAGTGATCAATGAGGAACGGTGATTTCTCGGCGATCTCTGGATACAAGAAACGACCTCCAGTCTTCACAGCCATAGCACCAGCAAACAGAATTGAATTACATTTTACCAATGCCAATTCTGTAACAGTAGTATAATTCATTTGATGATAAATATTCTTTACATCTTCAACTGGAACATACCATTCTATATTAAAAAAAAAAAAAAAAAAAGAAAAAATAATTATTTAGTAACTTTTGAATAAATTTAAAGTAAAAATATTTTTGAACATACCATCTTCTAACCAATCTAAATTATAATTATAAGCTAATACAAATTCACCTCCGGTATCAGCATTTTCATGGGCAACACTATAGGTTCCGTTGAAATCCTGGCCAGCCATAGAGGCAATCAGACCATTTTGGTCACCTGCAATCGAATGCCATGAGATGTCAGCAACTTGATGCGACATCACACCCAATAAAAATACTGCCAATGATTGTGCTTTTGCATTCCATGGTTGAGTATAAGTTGCCAGTAAATATTCACTTGCATTTCTTAAAAATGGTGGCTAATCAATAAATAAAATTAGATTTCAAATATTAATATTAAAATTAAAAAAGAAAAAAGCTTACCCAATGAGCAGCTTCGGATTCAGCGGCGAATCCACCACAACTGTATCCCCAATCAGGAAATGCAGCACCTGCTTGAAACGATGCCAAATTGTTCAAAATCATCTGTTGGAACTGTGGATACTCTTGATTTTCAAAGAGAATTTAGAAATTACCACATAAACAACACACACCCAACAAAAATTATTTTTTTTATTATTGGGGATATACAATATTCCATTGATTTGAAATTTGGCAATAGGTTGGTGTATTATATTAATATCAACAGTAATCAAATAAAAATTTAAAAAAAAAAACTAAAATTTCAATTCCCAAAATCCAAGGTTATTTTATCAATCATTCTTGCATCTTTGTGTTGTCACATAAATAATAATCATATTTATTATTATTATTATTATTAGTATTATTATTATTACAACAAATATTTATAACTATTTATTATTATTATTTTTAACCTTAAAATTTGGGAATTAAAATTTTAATTTTCAACATACCTTTGAAATCAGAGAAATTAAAAGCACGTCTTGCAACTTCATTGTGGGTTGTCATGCCACATGCATCAACTACATTGTTGGTACTTAAAAATATCGATGTTGTTATAAATATACCAATTACTACCACTATTATCAATGGCAGTGAATGGAAATACTTCATTTTTATAATTATTTTTATTAAATTATTATTAAATCTACTGTACTACTACTAATATTATTATTTTAATTATGTTGTTTAAACTATCTTTCTATTCTAATTATTTAAAATATTAATATATTATTATATTAAAAAGATGTATAAAAATTGATAAATCTGAATATGGATGTATTATCAAACTAGTTAGCAATGAATTAGGAAATACACTAAAAATATTATTAGATAAGAACGGTGGAATTATATACAAATTTAAAAAAAGGAGATACAAGCAATTAAAACTTGCCAATGTGAATATAAAACTATAAAAAATAAAACAAGTCACAGTGTACAATTTACAATATTATAACAATGGTTATGAAGATAATAAAAGATAAGATGAGTATTTATTATCTATCAAAAAAAAAAAGAGAGAATATGACAACAAAACAGAATTGACCTGTGAGAGTTTGAATAAAATGATATCACTACACTACACTACTATACACTCAGAGTTGTATTAACAAAAAAACAACAACAATATTTATCTATTACTCTTTTTAATTCACTTCGCTCTTTATTTCACTTTCACTTTCACTTCACTTAACAGCAACAACAACAACAACAACAAATATTATAATATTTAATTAATGATTTTGTTTATATATTGATATATAAAAATAAATAATGGAAATTTTGTGTATAGTCTAAATTTATATAAGGGAAAAATAGGTATTGAGATCACATGTTCCAAAATTGGTGGTTATCTAATTGAAATTAAATGTATTGATGTTTAATGTAGTATCAGAATAAAGAAGAAGAGGAAGAGGAAGCAGCAACAACAAAAACATCAACAACAAATAAAACCTGGGAAAGAGTGTTTATCTATCTGTCTATGTTTGTAGATTGTGTGCTGCTGACTTTAATAGAGTAGATTGGATCGTTGTTAAGAGGAGTGAGAATGAGCGGAGTGAATTTAATGTGTTAAATACGGAGTTTTGTTGTTTTTATGTGTTTATGTGTTAAAGTGTGGTGTGAGAGAGAAAAAAAAAAAGATATCCTTGTAAGATGAATATTGAATAATATGTACAAATAAAAATAAAAAAAAAACAATTAACAAAAACTTTTTAAATAATTCTTTTAGTAATAAAATAAAAATGATAATAATAATTATAATAATTATATATACAGATAAAAAACAATATAATGTGTTATGTTGTGTTATCAAATCAAAAACAAGCATATATCACCTCCCCTTTCTCTTTTTCTCTATTTTTTGATCCATTCAATTTCGAAATTTAATTAACCCCCTTCTACACCTTTTTTAGGTATTGAATTTAAACTTGTTTTAAATTCACAAAAAAACTATTATTGTTTTTTGTTTTTTTTTTTAAACTAGTATCACTCTTTATCACAAACAAAAACTTTTAAAAATGAATAAATTATCTGTGATAGAATTAAGTTATAAAAAACACAAATAAAATGCTGGAATCGTATAATAATAAAAGTAGGTTTAACGAATGATTTGATTCCAATTTTAATGGTTGATAGATCAACATCTTTAAATTTGTTAGGTGTTATTAACTATAATAAAAAAGTTTATCATAGGATGAAATCCGACGACATATTAAATTTTAAAAACAAATAAATAAATTTAGAATACATACATTAATGTTAAAAATAATAATATATGAATGAATAAAAGAATAAAAAGAGTAAAATACTTTACTTTGAGTAAGTTTGAACGGCTGCTTCTCCACTCCTGTAAGAGAACAATATCAACATTTTGGGCAATAGAAATTATTTCTTTATTATTAATTCATGTTTTTTTTTTTTTTGACTTTAATAGCTGATCATCAGCTTTCAAAAGTCCGATTTTTTTTTTTTGGTGGTTTTTTGCACCCCTGCAAAGGGTTTTGTGGGAATCGGAATCAAAAAAAAAGATCTTTTTTTGAAATCATAATTTTGGTTTGGATCACCACTAATATTTAGAATAAAAATTAATGAAAACTTCAGATACTATTCATAACAACTTCTCATCAAAACAAGAAATAAATTAATTTAATATTAAATTTTAAATTAAAATTAAATAAATTTGAATTGTTTTGGATAAGTTTATTATTTAACTATTATTAACAAATGTTAATACTTTTCAACAAAAAAAAACATCAATAAATATTTAAATTGTTTTTTTTTTTTTAAAATGAATCACTCATTTTTTTTGTTTAAGCGATCTGATGGAAGATAATAAATATATATTATTAAAGAAAATAATTAATAATTTAGTAATAAGAAATATTTTATTTAAAAATGTAAAGTCAATTGCATTTTGTGGTTGTAATTCACATTACAGTTGGTCGAATTTGATTAGGAACCCTATTCTACTGGTTAGATACAACTATATTGATGTGTTGTTAAATCAATATTTCAATTTGGAGGAGAACCTTCTAACGGATCTCCAACAGCGATACAAGTTTGTTACATCGGTGTTCGAAGCCGAGAGAAGTATCCGAGTATTCCTTGAGGAAGCAGTACAATTCAACAGAATCACTGTTTTGCGATATCTCTTTGATGAGAGGAATCTCAGGTTGAGGTCATTCAATATGAATGACTGCAGATGGACTGACATTGCTGCGCGGCACGGTCATTTCGAAATGGTGAAGTTCATCTACCAACATCCACTGCTGAGTGGCTACTGCTCTAAAGTCAACGACTCTACGTTCTATGAGGCGGCCAAGACTAACAATGTCGAGCTGATCGAATGGTTGTCAAAGAATATCAATATCACCAAGAACCCGATACTCCACTTTGTTAGCATGGAATCGATGTCTCCAATTGAATGTGCTTCGAGCCACGGGAACTTTGACATGGTAAAGTGGTTAGTGGTGAACAGACCAAAAGATAAACGGCTAAAAACAGTAGAGTTTTCTCTCGCCATCAATAGACTTGATATCATAGAGTGGTTGGATAGCAATGGCTATATCGATCATGCTAAAATAGAGATTGATTTAGATAGAGTGCTACCGACACTAAATGAACACTCTATCGAATGGCTAACCAACCCAACTGTTGACTTCAAGGTTAGGCTCAGCAGTCAGTCATTTGCAATTGCAGTATCCTCAGGTCGATTGAATATCGCTAAATGGATCAACGAGAAACACAAAGAATATGTTAAAGTTGTACCGTTATTAGATGTTGTTGGATCGTATCACCTCGAGACAATCCAATGGCTACATCATAACAAATTCCTTTATAGCGACAACCCAATAGGTGAACTATTGATACCAGACAAAGATACACCAGAAGCACAACCTTTTGAAATGATAAAATGGATTCATGAGAATAGATCCGAGAAGTTTAGCTTGGCCACCATGAGAAGTGCTGCATGTTTCTCACTGGACATCGTCAAGTACCTCCATAACAACGTTGGAATGAAATCCGATCTTTCATATGCAATCGAGAATGCAGCTAGATACCAACAATTGGACATTGTAAAGTTTCTTCATGAGAATACGTCGCAGACTATCAGACCAAATAGATTCCACAATATTATTGGATCGGCTGGCTTGGAAGTTGTTAAATTCATTCATAGCAATAGAAGTGAACGACAATATTGGACCCCGAGAGTTATGGATAAAGCGGCCAAACATAATCATTTAGATGCTATTAAATTCATGAACGAGAATAGAACGGAAAGATGTACACAACAAGCCATTGTATATTCAATTTATTTTGGTCACAACGATATCACCCAATATCTATTGGACCATAAACTATGTGAATACGATCACTACGTTACTTTTAAGCACGAAGGTGGAATCAATTTTCAATATGAAACTTCAACTTTTAACAACAATTATGATTTCTTAGATAATTCTGAAGATTTTGTTATTGAATTGGAGGATGACGATGATGATGATGATGATTATTCATCATCAGAGAGTTCATTCGATTAACTAACCACACTATTAATACGATATTTGATAAAATAATAAATATATAAAGATCTTTTAAAAATAAATATCTTGAGATATTCAATCAAATGTTCATTTCAAATTCTGAAAAAATAAAAATGGTCACATGATTTTATTTATTTTATTATCACTCCTTCATGTTATATGTATATATCTAAATAAAAGATGGATAATCTATTTAAAAATATAATAAATAATTTAGTCATTAGAAATAAAATATTTGAATATGTAGAGAATGATTCGATATGTGACTGTGCTTTTCATCATGGGTGGTCGGTTATCGAGAATGATCCATATTTACTCATTCAATATAATTTTATCGATATCTTACTCAATCAGTATTTCACTAAGAATGAAAACATTTTAACCGATCTACCACAACGATATCGTACCAGCTCTGAATTGGCAGCAGAACAACCAATCGAAAGATTTATAATAAGAGCAATTAATTACAACAGGTTATCAGTATTGAAATTTTTGTTTGACACAAGAAAGCTGGTGTTAGTATCATTTAAATATATAAATGTCTGGATTTCATATGCGGCGCAACGTGGCTATTTAGAGATTGTACAGTATCTCTATCAACATCCACAGTTTAAAGTGTATTTGAACGAAAAACATAACAATCGTACGTTCTATGAAGCCAGTAAATCCAAGAACATTCAATTGATTGAATGGCTTTCAAAGAATGTAGAGCTTAGTGCGAAACCAATCAGCTTCAACTCGTCACCGATTGAATGCGCAACTCAATTTGGAAATTCAGAGATGGTAAAGTGGTTGGCCTTGAACCGACCAATGGATAGTAAAGAACAAGTGGTAGAGCTTTGCATCGGTGGTAATAAATTAGATATTTTAGAATGGCTTGATTCACATGGTTTTATCGACAGAAACATGAAATCAATCAATTTAGAATTCGTAATTGAAGATATGAAAGTGGAAACTATCCAATGGGTGTTAGATTCTGATTACCATATCAAATTCGGTCAGAGAACTTTCTCTTTTGCAGTATCGAAAGGTCTTCTCGACTTTATTAAATGGATGGATCAAAGAGATAAGAGTCTGGTTGGTAAACAGGATTTACATATAGTTATCAACTCCTATCAATTTGAAACAATTAAATGGCTTCACGTCAACAATTACTTCATAGAAAACGCTCCGCCACTTTCAATATTGAGAACACCCGATAGTAAATTACCAACAACACTACCTCTGGAAATAGTGAGATGGGTTCACGAGAATAGGACCGAGGGATTTTCAGAATATTTTTTTGAATGTGCTGCTATGTTTTCACTTGAAATAGTAATGTTTCTGCATAGTATTGGACATGGTAGAGTGATGTCAATGGCACTCGAATATGCAGCTAGATACCAGAAATTGGACATTGTACAGTTTCTTCATTCCAATACACCAAATATATTGAGAGCATTGAAATTTCACAATATCATTGGAAGAGCAGGTTTAGATGTTGTTAAATTCATTCACAACAATAGAACTGAACGATGTTGGACAACCCTTTGCGTTGATAAAGCATCGAAAAATGGTGAATTCGAAGTGGTCAAATTCTTAATCGAGAATCGTACAGAAGGATGCACACAGAAAGCAATTAGATACTCCAAATACTTTGAATACGATGAGATCACCAACTACCTATTGGATCATAAACTATGTGAAGATGAACCATCAGACGATGATTTCGACATTAACTCTTTGGAAAATACTTCAATAGATGAAGATGAAGATGGATCAGACTATACTGAAGATGAAGATGAAGATTTTTAAAATATACAATGACAGAGAATCTACATAATAAAGAATCAATGAAACATTTAATAAAATTTAATTAAAGATCATTGACAAACAAGTTAATAATAACAATTTATATTTACAGATTAAATAGAGTACAATTAGCAGTTAAAAATATAATAATGTTTATTTATTAAAATATGCTCTCTTTTTTTCTCAAAAAAAGAGGCGATTAAGAAATTATGAATTATAAACTATAATGATTATTGATAAGTAACAGAAACAATATTGAAAGTTGGATTTCTATCGGATTTAGTGATGAATCCAAATTTATACTTGGAGTCAATTGCAATTTGATTGACATATGATGGTAAGGTAAAAGTAGATGGTTGTTGATTGTTGTTGTTGATTCTGACAAGATCCCAAATCGAAGAATCATCACGAAGTTGGACTGATGAACTAAGAATCAATGATTTAATAACTTTTTTGCTCTTGTTTTCAATGATTCCATCGAATTGATAATAATTGATATTGTTGGTTGTCCATTGATTTATAATGTTGCTTGAAATTGTGATATTTTTGTTGTTTGGTTTTGGTGTTTCAGTGACAACATTTGTATCATTACACGACAATCCAAATTGTGAATTCTGATTGAATGAGAAATAGAATGTGTATGGAATTGAATTATTTGCAACTCCAATTGCCATTGATGATGAGCAATATGAAAGTTGGAATTCCAATTTGATTCCTTTGATGTTCATGCTGACTGCTCCATTTCTTGAGATCAAGAGTGATCTTGCATCAGAGAATGGTAATGATACTTTATTGACATCGAATGGTTGTCTATTATTGCTTCTCGAACAATCAACATTGCTGGATGAAATTGAATTGAATGAATTGATATTGAATAGATCCGATGAGATTTGTGCTGAATACAATGAATTTCCAATCATGTATGAAACTGATCCTGATTCAAAATAGATAACTTTGATACCAATAACTGAACCATTAAAGTATTGTGACAATACATTGCTTGAACATTGTCCATGAACATTTCTGTTGGTAAGGAATAATAAACAAATAAAAACAAAAATAAAATTAAAGTTGTTCATATTTAAAAGTTTTATAAATATATAGTAATTATTTTTTTGAGTATATATTTATTAAAGAGTTAGAATAATTATATATTTATTTGAATTTAAATGTATTTATCTATAATTGTTAATTTGATTTGATGATAATTCTCCATTTTTAAAGTACTATTTATATTTAAAATAAAATAGAATATTTCTAAATAATTAAAAGACAATATATCAATTTGACAAACAATCACACAGATACCAAACGAATGATTGATCTTATACAACCTTTCAAAACAAAACTGGCTCTTGCCTGTAACCATAAATCGAATAAAAAAAAAAAAAAACCAGTGGTTATAATATCTTTTTTAATAATATTATTGTCTTTTCTATTATTTATTTATTTGTTTTTTACTTCTATAAGGAACATTATTTATTAAATGTATCATAATGTGAACTGCTAATCATTTGTTTATTTTTTTTGATATGATATAATTTAATTATTTGTTTATTATTTGAAAGATTATATAGTCTATAAACATATAATATACCGATTATATATATATATTAGTTACATAAGATAGGTGATAATTTATATTCCTCACTAATCATCATTCTCTCTTCGTAGTTATAGTTGTACAGATAGAAGGAATACATACACACAAATACCGATGACTCAGCAACTGTACTCTTCCTCCTCCTCTTCCTCTTCAAATCAAGAGCATGCACACACTGAACCATATATCGACTCTCTTGCGCTCTCATCACCAACAAATCAGTCTCAACAGGAAGTGCTTGAGGTAGTTAAAAGGATCAGAGGTTGGTCGAATAAAATAGATTTTTTGCGACAAGTATGACTTTATTTGTATTGCAAGAAATATAACTAACATCCTCATCTATATCCAGATAGGATATGTTCCCGATGGAGGAGTTGAACTTGGACCCATCAACCATAATACTTTTATAGCAAGAAGACAAAAGGATGGAGAGAGATCTGAGTTCAAGTCGAGGATATGGTTTAGAGATGGAAGGGCATGGATCTATGAAGTACCCTCAATGGCGCATTCATACACTGTCAATGCGATCAATATGATGATATGGGTTCAAACATTCCCAAACCAACATTTGTTGCGCATCGGAGGAGATGCGACATTGATCCTCCAACCAGGACATGCAAATGCTGAGCCAGACCAATCTTTGCAACCTCTTCGACCCAATGTCCCCAACAATCATTCGGCAGATGGACATGGAAATCCTTACCCAACATTGGTCATCGAAACAGCCAAGTCTCAATCACTTCCAGTGTTACATCAAAAGTGCCTCGACTATTTCATGGATCGTGTTGCTGCTGTGCTTCCTGCTCCTGGTGTCCCTGCTGTGGCTGCAATACCAAGCACAATCAGGATCGTTATTGGTGTCAAGATCTATCCCAGAAACAATGGAGACTTTGCGATGCTTGTTTTGTACTATCAGAATGGTGCAGCAGCAAATCCTGTCAGGATCATCTCTTGTGGAACGACACATTTGGATATCACCAATACAATCCAAAGACACTTGCCTCCCATATCTCCACCTGGATATGCTGCTCCTCATGGCTATGAAGGTGTCATGCCTCCAGTTGGGCCTCCTCCACCTGTAGCCAATCCAGCCAATCCCCTCAACCTTCAAAATCCTTGTAATGCACTTGGTCTTCCACTTTACCAACTCCAGATACCAACTGTTGAACTGTTCAATGGAGCACCACCCTTGCCACCAGGTGTCATTATTCCTCCATTCTATGCTGTAGACCTGCATTCCATCCAACAAATTACCAACCAAAAACTCCCGTGATGAAGCATCCAACTCTCGCAGAGCACTTTGATCCAGTAGTCTCCAACAACAATCCAATAAAGACAATGTATATATTCCTCATCCAAATCATCCCTCCAATTCTATCTCTCATCACAATACAATCACTCTCCATTCACATCCTTTCCTCACCTCCAATTGTGATTGATCACAATGATTCAATGATGATAATAAACAAAGACTTAAAGGTGTGAGATGATTCAAATTCTTTTATTGATTAGAGTTGGAATAGAACGACCGGTGAGAGTTCAATAACAGAATTAGTTCTATTGCTAATGTTGTTGTATACATTTATTTGTCTTTTCTCTATTACTTAAACTCTTTCTTTCATTTCTTTATTTAATATTAAATTAATCTATTTGGTTCATTTGCAATCATGATCAGTCGACCAATTTTTTTTTATTTTTAGCATTAATATATTAGTATTATTTTTAAATTTAATTTATAAAACAATTATTTTAATTTTTTATATTCAATTCTTTCTTTTTTAGTATTATTATTTGCAAATGAAAACGACTATGATCTTATTTAGCTTGATTTAAGATTTACTGTATCTTAGAAATTATTCATTTGAAGTTCGAAAAAGAAATCTTTTAAAATAAAAAAAAATTTCAAATTTTGGCGCATTGTAGTTGAACTTATTTTTAATTTATTTATAATTTTAATTTATTTTATAAATAAATTAAAATATTATTTTTTTTTTTTCATTTTACTTTGATTGATATTATTTAATAATAAATTGAAATAATAATAAGATATGCCAAATAAAAATAGTACTATAAAAGAAATGGATACACAACAACAAAAGCAAACAGCAACAAAACAACAGAAACAGAAATCGATTATCGATGATGCCGATAAAGACTTTTATGAGATTTTGGGTGTAGCCAAGACAGCATCAGATTCAGAGATCAAGAGAGCCTACTATAGATTGGCAAAGGAGGTACATCCCGATAAGAACGACACAGACGAAGCGAAAGAACAGTTTCAGAAGCTCGCCAGAATCTATAATATTTTGAAGGATCCAAAGACAAGAGAGTTCTACGATGAACACGGTGACACTGAATCAACTGATTTGGGTACATTCTCTGGCAAGGATCTCTATGAGGCATGGTTGAAGCAATACGATATAGTGCGTTTGACAGAGGAGAAGATTGCTGACTTCTTCAGTCAGATTGAGAATGAGAAGAAACACAGAGGTGTTCAAGTTAGTACTGAAGAAGAGAAAGATCTAATCGATTTCTATAACAAGAAGAAAGGTGATATGAAACTGTAAGTAAACAACTTTTTATAAAGTCATCAAAAATCAATCAAATGCATCATTAACTTTTGTGGTTTATAATAGAATCAAAGAATATGTATTCAATTGTGAAAAAAAGAGTGATGTAGTTAGAATGTGTGATCATTTAAATCAACTGATAGAATCAGGCAAACTTCAATCATATCCAATGTTTTCTAAAACTGCAACACTTTCAAAGAAATCAACTACAACAACAACTACCACTACTACTGTAAAATCAAATACTAAACCAACAAATAAGAAAGAAACAACTAATAATAATAATAATAAGAAAAAAGCTAAAGTTGTAGTGGATGAGGAAGAAGAAGAAGAAGAGGATGAGAATGTCGATGATTTAGATGATATGATGAGTGAAGATGATTTAGCAGATGACGATGCTTATGAAAACGATGACTATGAAGAAGAAGAAGATGAAGAAGATATTAAAGTTACTAGTAATAAAAAGAAATCACATTCAATGGCAGCCAACAATAAAAAATCAACAAAGTCATCATCTAAACCCAATGTTGGGAAGAAAGCAACCACTCCAAAGAAATCAATGAAAAGATCACAAAGTGCAAAGAGTGCAGTTAAAGCAAAATCATCTGCAAATAAATAAAAACAACTATTCATTTTCATTTTTTTCTAAAATGCAATTGTTGGGTTCAATTTCGAGAAGGACCCGAACATAGACCCGGCCATTGTTTATACAACAATTGTGTGAAATTGAATAATGTGGTTGTTTGATTGAATCCATTGATCGTTTGCTCTTTGATTGATTTTCAATAGAGACTGTCTCTATGGAACAATCAAATCTCCCCAATCATAAAATAAAAATTAAATTGTATTACAACACTTTACACCAAACTTGGCATACTTGTTATTGATGATGATGAAATTGTGTAAAACATTGTTCATTTTTTTTGTTTTATTTTAGAAAAAAATTAAGGTGACACCCCACATCATTTTAGATATTTCTTTTTTTTGATATTTTTTTTTTATTTTCATTTTTTTTTAGATGAACAATACTTTTTTTTTTTTTTAACCTTTTCACCCCAGATATTTTTACTAAAAAAATGGCAAAAAATTCCATTCAAGGTGTTCTATTTTTTGCTATTGAAAAAAAATATTATTGTTTTTTAATTTTTTAATATTTTTTTTTTTTTCTGCTTACTACTGTAGAATTTACATCATACTTTTACCGACCGGGTATATAAAAGGGGGCATCACTACTCTTTAAATTTCATCACAGCACACACAATCATCTACAAATAATTTTATATTTCATTCCATCTTACATATATAATAATATCTTATTAGACTATGGAACAAGGACCAGCTATCATTGACATCGGTCGTTTCTTGGCAGATCCAACCTCTGCTGAGGCACTCGAAGACTGCAAGAATCTCGTCAAGACCTTGCAAGAGACAAGTTGTCTTGTCATCAAGAGTCCAAAAGTAAATGAAGAACAAAATAGCAGGTATGTTGCCATACAAAAAAAAAATTGGTCGACCAAAAATGGTTAATGACGTCATTTGAAATAATAAGATAAGATGACAATATATTTATTAATAATGCTGAAATTACTATATTAAAAATTTAGATTTTTGGATATGATGGAACAATATTATGAACAACCAACTGAAGCTTTGATGAAGGATGTTCACCCAGAGTGGAGCTATCAATTGGGTGCCACTCCAGAGTTCACTGAGAAGCCAAGAGACCATGCCGATGTTATCAAGGCCCTCAAGCCACAATATGCTGCTCATGCTCCACGTGGTGCCGATCCAAAGTGGCGTTTCTTCTGGCGTATTGGTGACAGACCATCTGATACCGCCTACCCAGAGCTCAACTGTCCACCAGTCATCCCAGCCAAGTTCCCACACTGGCAAGATGTCATGGACTCCTGGGGATCATTGATGCTCTCCTCGATCGAAACCGTTTCAGAGATGATTGCCACCGGTTACGGTTTACCAGTCGACTCGATCACCAAGATGATGAAGAACGGTCCACATTTATTGGCTCCAACCGGTTCAGACTTGAAGAGATTCGGTGATTTGGATCAAATTTTCGCTGGTTTCCATTACGATTTCAATTTGTTAACCATCCACGGAAAGTCTCGTTATCCAGGTTTGTACATCTGGTTGCGTGACGGTACCAGAGTCTTGGTCAAGGTTCCACCCGGATGTTTGTTGTTGCAAGCCGGTAAGCAACTCGAATGGATCACCGGTGGTGATATCATGGCTGGTTTCCACGAGGTCGTCGTCACCAAGGAGACCCAAGCTGCAGTCGAAAAGGCAAAGGAAGAAGGTAGATCGTTGTGGCGTATCTCATCCACCCTCTTTGGTCACATCGCCTCCGACACCACTTTGAATATTCTCCCACCATTCAGCAATGAGGAGAATCTCAAGAAATACCCAGCCATCCTCGCTGGTAAACAATCTGAAGAAGAGTTACAAATGATTAACCTCCAACAAAAGAGTTAAAAAAAAATATGTACATAATCATTTGTTTTTCCCCAACCTCTTTTTTTCAAACAACATCGCAATAATCAACTTCACATAAAAACCCAATACAATATTGAAAATTTGGTTCTTTTTTATTCCACACAATATATAAATAAAATATGTATAAAAATTATAAAACCTAAAATTAATTTAGCAATCATTCTTCTTTCGATTATAAATAAAAAGTAAAAAGTAAATCTTTTACTATTTTTTTTTATTATTATTAATTAATTATCTTCCTTTCTATTCTTTCCAACTAATTTCACAATTGATTCATTTATAACAACTCTTTGCTTGTAGTTTTCTTTATATCTAAAGTAATAGTTGTTCCAAAATTGAATGTCTGAAAGGAAAAAGTTGTGAAAGATTGGTTTTGGATCGTCAATGAAGAAGTAATTGGTAAATTCGATTTCGTTTGAATTGAGATACATCCACAAACTAGCAAGACCTCCATTTCTCTTTGTGTATAAAACACGTTCTTTTTGATGATTGAATAAAAAGGTACCATATCTACAGTTATATACAGATTCTAAAATTGTAATTAAGAATTTTTCATTAAACTAAATTTTTAAATAGAGAAATGAACAGACTTATTAGTATGAAGAATAATAATAAAGTAATTTGAGTTATAAATACCTGGAATGTAGTTGGGAACAAGTTGGTTAGTTGCCAAACGGCATCGATAAACATTAAAAATATAGGTGAGAACTCTTCGTCATTCTTTTCATGGTGAACATGTGCGCAACGATGAGTGAATTGATGACCAAAACTCAACCATTCCTTCTCTATGAGTACTTGGAATCCACGGTAGGTTCGGTAGTATGGATCCAAAAGCAGTTGTGAAAGTGCTACCAACTGACTGGTTCTGTCCCAACCGTCGCTACAGTGTGTCAAAACCGAAGATCCTTTCTTGTCAACCATTTCCACCACGATGTTGGCAGAGTTGATGATCTGATAGATGTGCTCCAACCATTGTGTTCCATCGAGCATCGACAACCAATTCGACGTCTCTGGTAACTGAATCAGGTTATACAGTTTCTTGTAGCTATCTCTCATTACATGGATATTACCGATGCCAAGGAATTGGAGTTCCACGTTCTGATAGAGACTGGTATCTTCGTGACCTTTTCCAAGTAGTGTGTTGGCCTTTGCATTTGCCATTGGACGTGAATCCATAACGTAGAGTACAGGTGAATTGGTGTTGGAGCGAGTTATGATATTCAAATACTCTTCATCTTCATTGCATTTCGATTTGAAGATACCGACTCTTGGCTGACTGCAACGTGTAATCGTGGATTTATGTGTCTTGTGAATCCAACAGATGGCTGGCACACGACCCTTTTCACGGAACAGCGAAATCTTTTTCAAATCGTCATCGGTTACGGTCACCGGTACGACAAACAACGATGGGTAGGTCGGACATAGACTGTAGTCTCTGTTGGCGTAGGTGATACGCCAGTTGTCGACCGGGAATTGAAGACGAAGGAATTCATCTTCGACGTTGTAGATGGTGTCCAACGATGGGTCGTAGGGTTCAGCATTTGCAAATGCAAACAAATCGGTGACTTCGTAGCTCTCCAATCGATTCTTTATCTTTTCCCAAATCGATGGATTGTTCAGTGAGAATACACATACACGGAAATCCTTACAGGTTATCTCTGTCTGATTGTTATTGAGATGCTTCAACTTTGATATCGAGGTAATCGGAATATCACAATCGTCTTTGGTACCAAAGTCATCATAGGAAGAGCGGTTCAAAGCTTCGAAAATCACACGGTAATTCGTTAGATAGAGTGTACCTTTCTTCATTTGACCTTGGACATAACGATCACATGTAGTTCTATTCTCAATAGATTCACCTGCAATAGTAATTGGAATTCTGGCACCTGCAAACAGCTCTAAATCTTTCATAACCGTTGAGTTATTAGATGGTTTAAATTCCAAAATATCCTAAACGTTTAATAATAATAGATGATTGATAAGTAAATAGTTTTAAACAATCTGTGTTTTATATATCTATAACTTACAATATGATTATCAATATTTAATACATTGAATGATTCTACATTATTAATACAATCGATAGAGTCTGTTCCCTTTACCAAGAATAGTTCGTATGATTCCAGATCCTTGGTGGTCACAGTTGTACTTGTGCAGTTGTCAATGAGTAGTTGTTTTAGGTCGGTGATCATGGTGTATTGTCCGTAGACAACGATGAATGTCTGTAGATTACAATAGAGTTTGATGGTATTTCTGAAACCTTCGACCAATGTCATCTTGCAGATGGTCGGTGTCGGTTTGAATTCGACGACGGCTTCGTTTGGCAGGTTGTATGATTTGAGTGTACGGTGACCTTCCATCCAGACACCGGATCCACTCTTTTGGTAGTACAAGCAGAATCCAGAGGATTCACTCTGGTTCTCAAAGATTGTGTTACTCTTTGCATTGATACTGGTGATACTTGATTGCTCAACGAGTAGTGGACTCGTTGGTGATACCATTGGTTTGGCTGAAATGCTGTTCCTGTTCGATGATAGTGTTGGACTGTTGGCTTTGCTACCTGAGGAGGAGGAGGAAGAGGAGGAAGTGTTTCCACTGTAGTCAGAAGAGAGCGCAGGTGAGAGTGATGATGTGCTTGTAGACATGATAGATGGTGGTGGAGTCGTTGCCGATACAATCGATTGAATGATTTCATTGACAGTTCTATGTGGATTAAAGTGGAATTGTCGGTAGGTTTGATGAGATGGGAACAGCACTGTAAGATTGTATCCTTCGTCCTCATCATCGCTATCTTCAGATGCGCCATCCAATATCAAAGTGGTCTGTGACAGTGTCAGAGGATTAACAGTGGTAACCACCGAGTGAGAATCTACACTCTTTTTCTTTTGTTGTTTCGCTTTGAAAAGGAAAATTGAATCTTCCAAACGATTTTGATTGTTGAGTTTACAGTTTGTCAGTAGTTGTTTGTGTTGCAGCGGAAGTGGACGTGTATCACTCGATTCCTGTAGATAAAGACCAAATGAATTTGGATCAGTAGATGATGATTGTTGTTGTTGTTGTTGCTGCTGTTGCTGTTGTGTTGGATATATATATTGAACGATAAAACATATTGCATCGTGCACAGTACTGTTCTCACTAAAACACAATGTAAAATAACTGTGAATCGGTTCTATCCATACGAGTAGACTCGATTGAACACCGAGCAGCAGTGCAGTTCTCTTCTCAAACCGCAGTGCAAATTCAATGTATTCTTGTTTGACGGTTTCCTGGGTGATGGAATCGTCCATTGCCAACCGCTTGATGTGAGCGTCCTCCGAGCTGTTGATCTTGGCTTCCCAGCGATCCTCATGCGCGTGTATCAGCTGGCAGTTTGGCAAAGCCGATGGAAATTGGCTTTCAATACGGTGAACGACATCGTAGACCCGCTTGTGTTGTGATGGCAGTGCGAATTGCCAGCCACTTCCGACGTGACCGATTCCACCAATCGGAATGACAGAGCCGGGCTGTCCGTTGTTGTGGTTATTACCGCTGCCACCACGCGAAGGTGAACCAATTGTGAGTGTTCTACTCGCTTTAATACTATCGACAATCTCAGTGATCGAGTTACTTCTGGAATGTGGAACGTTCTCACGTAGTAGTGTTTCCAGCTGATTCGAAGGTACGATCGTCTTGTAGAACCATCTTGGTACGGAAGTTTCCAACTGATCGACTTGTCGCAAGTCGAGATACTCTCCATTGCCAATGTTATAACTCATCAAGCATTGATCATTAGCCAATCTAACTCTCTTTTTATACATAACACTACTACTCTTTAGCTTAACTCTATGACTACTCTTTTCATTACTACTATTATTATTACTATCTAAACTATTTTTATTATTATTATCAGTGTCACCAACCAAGTGATCATTATTTGATTCAGAATGACCATGAGAATGACCATGATTACTATTACTATTTGTGTTGTTGTTGTTATGAGATAGTATCGATGATGATGATTCTAATGGTTTAAATAAAGCATATTCCTCCATATCCGATATCTTCATAGATCTTCCAGTTTGTTTGTAAAAGACAGTGATCTCACCAATAGTTGTATGTGAATCGACGTTGATTGTTTGACGATCATCCCATGGGTATATCTTTATATAAACCACCAAAGGTCTACTTTGATATGGATTTAAATGATCCATTACCACAGCCTCACTTCTAAATTAATGTTATTACACAATGATTAAATAATATCTATCTATAACTTTTAATCTAATCTAATCTTTGATAATTAAAACAAATTTAAGAAACTTGTGAAACAGTGAGTAGTTAGATAAATCTATAGATAGATTTATGATTTTTAGTATTATATTATTGTTATATATTTATTTTTAAAAGTGTAGTGATTTATTATTATTGTTTGCAAAAATATCTAACAATGGAAAATTTTTTAAAAATAAAAATAAAAAAACTTTTTGATTGTTTTCAAAAACAAAATCCCAGGATCATACATACATTCTCATTTAATAAAGAAGAGTTAGTAAATAATAGATGTGAATATCACCATTTTTAAATATTTCTTAATTTTTAGAATCATTATTCTATTCTATGTTTTTGTTTATTGAAAATAGAAAATAATAATAATAAATAAGTTGTGCAAATGCAAAGTTTGGTTTAGTTTTTAATTATTTGGTTCTTTACAAAAAAGGTGTATAAAATATATATTTATTATTATTTATCTTTAGTTAACTTTAGCTTAAGATGATTTCAAATGATTCGTTATCCATTCTTCTAAATTAATATCTTCGTTCTCATATTTTTTAATAAATGGATGATTCTAATATTGAATTGAATTGAAAATTAGTAAAAAATTGATAGATTGATAAATGATCATGTGGTTATACTTACTAGTAAAGTAGATGCACTTGGTCTATCTTCTGGTTCCTTTTGTAAACTATTGGTTGTTGGAATAGATAAATATTAAAAAAAAAAGATGATTGGTTAATTAATTAGAGTGGGGTTATTATTATTGTTATTGTTATTGTTTTTTTTATAAAAAATCTTACCAATCAGAAATAAACGAACAAAACTCTTTTGAAAATCTATCGGGTGGTGGTACTGGTGCAGGTTCTTTCACGATATAGTCCATCAATGTCCAGAATCCAATTCCAATATTTGGACCACCATCTGTGTCACCGCTACCACCGCTACTGTTGTTATTATCGGGTGGATATGGGAATCTACCAATTGCACACTCCAGCATGGTTAATCCCAGACTCCAGATGTCGGAATCGTAGGAATACGAGCGACCACTGATACGCTCCGGTGACATATAGACAACGGTGCCTACCCATGTCACCGCCTGCGACAATGTATCGTGACGCTGACTACTCACGCCAAAGTCAGAGATCTTCGCTTCACCGCTCGATGCACTGATCAAGATATTCGACGGTTTGATATCACGGTGTATCAGATGGAGCTGTCGGTGCAAATAGAACAGACCTTGTAGCACCTGTTTCGTCAGCTTTGAGAGTATTGCCTCTGGTATCACCTTGACCTTTGCCAGTAGATCAGTGAGTGATCCACCATCCATGTATTCAAGCACGATGTGTATGGATCCATCGTTGTAGAATGCATCGTAGAATGAAACGATGTAGGGACAGTGTGTCTTGTGCAGCGTCTTTAACTCCAACAGAATCTGTTTCCTTACATTCTCTTGTATATCGAGTGTGACCACCTTTAACGCCAAATAACTATTCGATTTCTTGTGATACGCCAATTTAACAACACCACCTTCTCCTTTTCCTAAAATCTTTACAACCTGTAAATCCGATAGTTCTAAAGATAACATTTCATATTGTGGTAAATTACTATTATTATTATTATTATTATTATTATTATTATTACTACTACTATTGTTATTATTGTTATTAGATTCATTATTATTCTTTACATTATTATTATTATTATTGTTTGTACTAATACTATTATTAATATTTTGATTATTTGACTTATTATTGTTGTTGTTACTATTATCTAAAGATTTATTATTTGTACCAATACCTAAATTACTATATCTATTTGGATATCTTCTTCTATCAGTAAAATTGAGTGGACTGTTTCTTGGTGATTCACCTTTGATGAGTAAACCTTTTTTGTTTATTGCTAAATCACCTTCTTTAAATGTTCCACTATTTGTTCTATTTAGAATTACCAAAAAAATAATGTTAGTTTAGGAAAATTGTATTTGAATTAAATTAAAGTAGGTAGTTACATACAATGAAAAAGGTTTATCGGGATCATTTGATGAAATAACAAAATTATTGAAACTGTTTGATATATTTCTAATCTCTCTTTCTCTTTCCCTTTCTCTTTCTGTTAATTGGTTACCTGTACTATTCCTTATACCACTACTAGTAACACCATTGTTATTATTGTTGCTTAGTGTTGATTGCGATGATGATGATGATGATGAACCATTGTTTACATTATTATTCGATTGTTGAGTTGAAGTTGAAGTTGAAGTAGAAGTGGTACTTGTTGTTGTTGTTGTTGTAGCAGATGATGTTACAGGATTAAATAAATTTGAACTCTCAATGGCATTATCGACAGGAGTATTAGGTGAAGATGTATTACAATTAATATTGATCTTTAAAGATCCTTTCTTTGACTGAAACATTTATCATTAAAATCGATTATAAGAAATCTATATACATTTATTTACTAATACTAAAGATCTATACTATTGTTATTTAAAATATCAAAATAGGTTACTAATTTGAAAAAAAAAAAAAAAAAAAAAAGTGGGTAGATAAATAATAAATGAAATATTTGTTATTATTATTTTGGATTTGGTGGTAAGAAAAACAAACAAACTGCGAATGAGTTTCAAAGAAAATTATATTTTAAAACAATTTGTAAATTGTTGTTTGTTGTTTGTTTTTGTTTTACTTTTTATTTAATTGCATTCAACTGTTGTTTGTTGTTGATGTTGTTGATTTCATTGCAAATAAAATATAATTAACATTGGTATTGTTGATAAGTGACCAATTCATTGTAAGTGGGTTCATGAATAAACCAGAGATATCTTTAAGATTCACTTGGTTGCCAGATAGATAGGATTGTAGATCCTCTGGTTTAACGTATTGATCCCAATGATGTGTACCTACAGGTACGAATTTACATATGTATTCTGCTCCAACAATTGTAGTTAGATATGCCAATGTAGTCTTATTCATTGTTGATAAAAAGAAGCATCCTCCTGGCTATTATTAAATTATTGTTAACAATTTATATTAGATTCTAATTCATAATTATATATATATATATATGCTTGCTTGTTTATATTTACTTTAATTAGAGATGTACATTGTTTAATAAATTCAGGTACATTTTCAACGTGTTCAACTACTTCCATGGTTGTTACGATGTCGTACGATGAGTGGTGATCGATTGCATGTTGCTCGACTGTAGATTCAATGTATTGGAGTGTGTTGCGATCGATGTTGTCAGAGAGTGTTTTATCTTGTTTGGCATGTGCAATTGCCATCGATATGTTATTGCCAGCAGCATCGAGACCAACTACATCTGCACCCAATCTACTGAATGACTCTGTTAGTAAACCAGCACCACATCCGACATCGATGATCTTCAAGCCTGCCAACGATTTACCACTACCACCACCACCACTAGTTTTGATGACACCACTCTGTTTCAAACGATCAACCATATATTGAACTCTAACTGGATTCATTTTGTGTAGTGGTCTCATCGGTCCATTTATATCCCACCAATCTTTTGCCATACCATTAAAGAACTTTATTTCCTCTTCTTTCATTGAGCTGAAAGTATTCTTTGTTGTATTACTATTACTATTTACATTATTAACATTGTTTGTACTATAATTATATGATCTATAGTTTGATATATATCTTGATTTAGTTATTAAATTACTTATATTTTTGATCATTTTTTTCATCAGAATGTTTAAAAAAAAAAAAAAAACAAAATGAATATCAGATCAGAATTAAATGTGAACATTAATGTGGTTGATCAAATGATTAGGTCATTTGTTTTTTTTTTTTTTAGTTTTATTTGTAAATAAAAAAAAAAAAGATAAATATAATATATTTGATTCGAATTTGATTTAAATTTGGTTGTTTAATATAAAATTCATATATTATCTATATATAAATTTATGATTATATATAGGTGTGGTTTTATTGATGTTATTGTTGTTATTGTTGTTTGATTGATAATGTAATGTTGTTTGTTATTAAGCTTTAGCTAGTTAGTTGTTTTAAAAATAACTGTCTTGTGGTGGTGTACGTTGAGTTGTCATTACGGCTGAATTGTTTGCCATGCTGGATCTAGATGACGATGGGTATTTGGTACGGTCACGTTTAATGTAATTGAAAATAGCGAGACCAATCAGACTGACAGTGACCATTCCACCCACTAGACAAACGATCATAATGATTTGCTTTTTGGTTGGTGCACTCTGTGAATCTGAACATTCTTTGACATCGACTTCAGTGTCACTCGACCAGATCGTTTCTCTTCTGCTATTCATAATCGAAACGGTATAAACACCATCGGCCAACTCAAACACTGTCTCATCAGAAGTGACCTGCTTTGAAATATTCGCTCCATCATCCGATTTCAAAACTATAGTATATGGTAAATTATTTAAACCCGGTTGATTTATATCTATGGTAATTGTTAATTTACTGCAACCAATCTTGAAAATCGGCGACAGACTGGCAGCTCCATATGAAAAATCTACCACTAAAATCGTCAGAAGCATGAAAATTATTTTATAATTATTACTATTATACATTTTATTATATCTAAATATTATTATTATTATTATTGATTAAGATGAAATTGTATTGTTATGATTTACTGTGTAATTACTGGGTTAAAAAAATAATTAAATAACAATATTAGATGAAAAAGAAATAAATCTAAGATATTTTTTTTATTTATCTATCTACCTTATTCTTTTAATTGAATTGAAATTATCTACAAATAGAAATAATTAATAAAGTAAAAAGTGTTTGTTGATTATTGATGGTGCAATCAAAACAGCTCTCTACAGTTTGGAATAGATTATTTTATTATTTTTTGTTTTTTTTTGTGAACAACAACGCATATTTTGTCTTTTTGTGATATCATTCGCATCTACTATTCAATCCTCTATGTGGACATACATTTTAAAAGATATTTGATTGGAGATTTGTCTCTTTTGTTAGTTTAAACAGCCCAAACATTTACTAAACCACTAAGGTACCCCACAATTTGTAATAAAAATCACCAAAATGATGTGTTTTTCCCCTCTAAAAACTCTTGGATAGTTAAATTGATCAAAAAATAATGATTTTGTGAATGAGGGGTGTGGTTTTTTTTAGAAATGATTTTTTTTTTTCAGAATTTGGAGGGGGTGACCTCTCGCCAGATTCGAAAAGAAGGACCACTCTCCTCATATGGATGCATGTCATTGGTTAAACTCGATGATCTGTATTATCAACCTTTGTGATTTATGAACCATTGAAAAATTATAAATCAATTTAAAGATTTTTTATGATTTTCCTTTTCAGATAGTTGAAACTCTCTTATTTTTGAAATTAAAAATAAAATTGCAATTTTATATGGTAAATTTTTTTCAATGATAGTGGTTGTGGCTGTTTTTCAAGAGAATAAATCATATTAAGGCTTGGCACCAATTTAAAGTTTTGTAAAAAAAAAACAAAATAAAACTACCATTTTTATTATTATGGCTGTTTAATATAATAAACAACAAACGGATTGTTGTGGTTGTTTGGTTGTTTGTCTTTTTTTTTTTTTTTAAAAAAAATCTATTCTCCGATTATATAATCAATATCATAGATTAATCTGGCTAGTTCTTCCATGGTATTGGCGTTTAGGCAATCGGGAACATGACGAACAATTGTTGTAAGTGCATTGCAGTGATGAATCAATGTGTAGCACATACAACGTTTGATGAATTGTGATGGGTTTTCATTGTAGACATCCAACCAAGTCTTTTTAGTTGTTGTTGTTGTTGGTTGGCTAGTAGTAGAGGGCACTTCGTAGCATTTCAAAAAGCTGCGCAACTTGTTCTTATCACCAGCGAAAATGGAGAGGTGTAGTGAAACCAATTCGTAGTATCTATCACCAAAGTTTGAATCACCGAAATCGATTAACTTGTTTGCTTGCCAAATCTCCTCTTCCTCCACTTGTTCTTCCTCCTCGGGTAGTGAGGCGGTTGCAGCTTGTTTGGCTTTTGTAGGTTGTTTCTTTGAATGGATGCTCAACTTTTTGTTGTTGGGTGTTGGGTGAATTTTAAGTTGTTTAAGGTTGAGCTTCTTTTTCTTGGGCTGAATGATAATGTCACCTAGAATATTTTCATCAGTGAGATCACCATGAATATAACAAGGAGGAAGTGTCTTGTCGATATATGAATCTAGATCGACCGGTAAGTAAGCATCGACCATCTTGAGTAATTGAGTAGGTAATCCACCCCAATTCCATAGATTCTCTTTGGTATTGGCAAGTAACTTGTTCTTGATATGTAATCTCCAAACACTCCAAAGATCTGCGCTGCTGCTGTTGTCTTGATTGAAATATGGATTATTATTTTCCATGTTTAATGGTAGATTATGAATATTCATCATTAACTTGGCAAGCATTGGTATTAATATTTTATCATCTATAGTTGGTGGTATCTCTCCATCTTCTTCATCTTCATCATCCTCCTCTTCTTCTTCCTCGGTAGGTGGATATGGGAATGGTAATTCATCTGGTACATCTTGAACATCCTGTAGACTTGTACCATCGAAAAAGTTGGTAATGATATATGGCCATTTCCAAAGCATTGACGATTCGGAATCATCGACCTCTGTTTTCTTTGGCTTGAAGTTTCCATCTAGTAAATAACCGCTTCCAAGTAGCGATGGTGTGATTGATGCCAGATATTGATTGTCTTTGATGAGCGAGTAGAGATGACGTTCACGAAGGAAACTATCTTCTCCACCATACTTTGTACAGAAAAACTTTACAACATAGTTTCTATTTACAAAAAATACAGGACTCTGACCAGACTCACTAGAGGCGACCTGGAAATCATCGGCAGTGAACGATTGATTTGGAAAGTGTCTCGAGAAGACCTCTTGTACCAATGGACCCCAATAAACAAGATCAGAGAAATCGTGTTGAAATTGTGAATTTGTCAATTCAAACTCTTTGAATTTACTTTCAAACTCTGGACGATCCGCTAATAATAGTTTTTTAAAATCATGATATTCTTTACCATTCTTTTTATGACCACTGTTATTTAAATGAATAAATAAATTGGATTAATTTAAGATTACAATTATTATTATTTTTACACTTACATTAAATCATCACAAACTTTAAGGAAATTTTGTGAATCACAAAAGTTTTGAGTAACAGCAATTGATTCCTCAAGATCTAATAAGAAAATGATTATAAATATTTTGATAATCTGTTAATTTTTTTTAATTACTTACTTAAAACCATGTGCCACCAACCACCAGGTACAAATATAGTTTCACCTGGATATTGAATAACTTCGATTGGTCTTTGATCTGGTGGAAGATATGGGTAGACTTCGAGCAGCCAAAGTAGGGATGCAGGACCACCATAGAACTTTTCATCGACGTCGTCCATTGATACTCCGATTGGTGTGGAGGAAGGTGGGTACATGAGCCAACGTTTGCATCCAGAGACAAGACTGTTCCATGCGCTCGTTCCTGCTGGGTCGATATGCCAAGGTGCACCAGAACGAGGTGGTCCTATTACGATCCAACGGTAGTGTGGACGCTTATCGTTTTGAAACTGGAAGAGATCCTCTGGGAAGAACTTGCTCGGTACTTTATATTCGTTGAGCATTGCCGGTGCTTTCTCGCCAAACGATTGGTCAAATACATAGAGTGGTTCCTCATCGTTTTGTGTTGCCATGTACTGAACATAGTCGGCGAATCGCATCGGGATATTCTTGTGATCGCCATGACTAATCTTGAAACAAACATCTCCGAATCGTTCGATCAGTCGTTGTTTTGTCCATTCAGTGTTGGCTGGCCAGTCTAGCTGACCGTTGGTGAACACCATTGGGATGGATGGACGTTCGTATCGCTCTACAAACTGTTCATAGGTCAAGAGCGATGCATCGCACTTGTCAACCAAGCCGGAATCCTCCACTTTGAAGTCCTTGATTTGCATGTGTCTACGAAGCCATCGGGTGTAGATCACCATCGATTGGAACAACGGGAAGTTGAGTTGTGCCATTGGGAATGCAGACATGTCACGACCATTCGAATAGAGGTATTTCACTGCCGACAGCTTCCAACTTATGTAATAGACAATGTTGCCGCGCTGTGCAGTGTTATTGGTTGTCTCTCTAAAGAATGCATCCATCCAAAGTCGATCATCATTCAACATCACATAGAAAGCAGGACTGACTCGTTGTAACGACAACAACTCTGGTACTGTCAGCTCATCAAAGATTGCTTCCAACAAGAATGTATCTTCCAACACTGATAGATATCCAAGACCATCATTTCTAAATTTACATTCTTTATTCTCAAAGAAATTTCTATTATTTAATAAACTTAATTTCTTTTTCATGTGTGTGTTTGTGTGTAAATAAATAATTATAAATAAGTAAGTATATTTAAAAAAACAATGAATGAAATGATAAAAAAAAAAAAAAAAAAAGATAAATAAAAATATTAAAAAAAAAAGGTATAGATATCTGAAAATGAAATTCAATTTAAATAAAAATTAAAAATTAAATTGTTGTGTAATCCCTAATACCTAATATATTATTATGATGACAATGAACTTATTGGTTCAAAGAAAATAAAGAAAAGAGTCGTAAGGATGATGACAAAAAAAAAAAAAAAACCAATATTTAAAAGGTCAACAATCTTTTTGTTTAGACGATTTAAAGATAGTGGTGATTCGATAATTTTGAAGTTGTTTGAAGATAGTTTTTTTTTTTTTTTTTTTTTTTTTATGTTGTTGTTATTTTATTGTGTATTGATTTGACCATTCAAATCGATCAAAGAATAACTTGGTAATTAAAGCAAAAAAATTGATATTTTTAATATTTTTTTTTAAAAAAGACCCACAAGTCATGAGCATTCGACATGATTTTTTTGAAAAAAAAATTAATTAAAAAAAAGATATTTTTGTAAATGTTTACAGTTTTTTTTATTGGTTCATTTAAATTGGTGTTGTGTGAAGAAAAAAGGAACAACTTACATCAAAAAAACCCATGACAACCTGCTAATCTTTGAAAAATAAAAACTTGTTTGATAATATAATAATATCATTCATTTTTTTTTTTGTTTATTTTTTATTATTGTTGATGATGTAACACAACCTTGTGTAGGAGTATCGTTATTATTAAGGAGTCAATATTAATTTTTTTTTACCTTCAAATAGAACAAGTTTTTCATTCTAAAATTCAATCTATTTTTTTTTCTCAAATTATATAAAGTAAGTAAATATATTAATTAATAAGTATATATATATTATATGTATATAAATTAATCATTTTTTTATTATTTTTAATAAATAAATTTATAATAATATATATTAATTAATCTCTATCTATTTTAAACTTTTAGATCTAATTATACAATGAGCGGTTATCCACCCCCAGGAGGTTATCCACCACCAGGAGCTTATCCACCAGGAGCTTATCCACCACAACAAGGTTATCCACCCCCAGGTGCTTACCCACCAGGTGCCGCCTATCCACCAGGTGGTTACCCACCACAACACTATCCACAAGCCGGATATGTAGCACCACCAGGTGCATATCCACCAGGTGCATACGCTCCACGTGGACCAGTTCCAGGTGCTTACCCAGTTGGTTACACCGGTGCCTACGGACATCACGGTCACCACAAGAAGTACAAATACAAGCACAAGAAGCATGGATACAAGGGATTCAAGAAGGGATTCAAGAAGTTCAAGAAGGGATTCAAGGGATTCAAATAAACAATTCGGATTGGTGATCACTACAATCAATATATAATCATAAGAAAACTCCTATAGATCTAGAAATAAACAATGATTAAAATGTTGTATAATAAAATTAAAATAATCTTATAATGATATATATAAAAGTGTGTATGAGTGTGAGTGATGATCACTACAAGACCTAAAAACAATGATTAAATGTTGGTATCAGTGGTACTGGTAACATTAGTGGTAACAATAATGGAGTTGGAAGCAATCTTGATGTAGGTAAAAAGATTGGTTCGGGTAGCAATCGTAGCAATAATACAAAGTCAAACGTTCAACCTACATTGAATATGAAATCGATCATATCACAATATCTATCAAACAAAGATCTTTCAACCTTTGGTAATGGTGTTCACTGGTATTGATCGTCTTGCAAGGCACGAGGATGAGCTGCCAATTATTATCAAGTTTGTCAAAGTTCTAGAGTGTAAAGTCGTTGGTCTATTCCCACCTTCTGAATATTTGATTGCCATCAAATCTGATTTCTCTGGTGCACTATCCAGAACCATTACAGAGATTAGAGAACACTGTACTCAACTTGATCAAACGCCGATAATGATTGACAGTCACACCAACATACTGATATGTTGTAAACTACACTGCCAATCTCAATGGTATATTCGATAGCCGATTGGAGAAAATTCAAGCGTACATTGATTCTTGCCTGTCCTAGGTTTCTCTTTGTAATTAACGATTTCACCTATCTATTCCCACTAGAATCTCTAGTGAAAGCAAGAAGATTCAGACAATAAATGAGAGTCCTTATGAATTCATACCGTATTGACAAGTCAATTAAATTTGCTTTGGAAGCAGCCAGGAAGAATAAGAAAAAGTGAGATATTGATGGTAGTGGTATTCAGCGAGTCGTCCAAATAAAAAGAGAAGAAATATTAACAATACTATATCAAATCAAAGTCATATCAATGTGCTGGATGAATTAATCGATCAGAATGCAAGCCTGGTTGATTAAAGAGGTTGCAAATCGATTTGTAGTGTCTCCTTACTTTCAATGTTAACTGTGGTATATTGGATGATGCAATTCATGTTCTACTAACAGAGAATCACAAGAAAACAATTTTTTGAAATGCAAATACAACTGTTGCTCAAAAGGATAGAGATTATGTCTCAATTTTTTATAAATACTAATCATTTTCAAAGATCAAAACTACAAAAAATTTATTACTTTCTAAAACAAATAAATGAATATGTGTCTGATGATTTGATACATCTGTCCTGTTTCTGAGATTTTTGCTGTATATTTATTAGTGGTTTATATTACCTCAAGTTATATTTGAAACTAAATGAATGAAAATAAACTAAAGGAAAGTTTCTTCGTTGTATTTAAGTATGTGTAGTGACTATGTTGAGTAGATAAAGTTGTTTCATCTTCAATCTGGTACTTTTTTGAGTACTAATGGTTGAAATGTTTTTTTTTTTTTTTTTTGTTAAACAATTATAAATTTGTCTATTGTTATTGATTTGAGTGTGTTGAGTCAAATACTATCACAATTAGATTCCTTACAACTGTAATAAGGATGTACAATGACGTAGAAATAATTTTTTTTTATTTTTTTTTAAAAAGTTAAATGTAAAACTGGTTTGTTTATATATCAAATTTAGTTGAGAATGCATTTTAAGTAAAAAATATTATGTGTTTTAGTATATTGATGACAAGTGAGATATCTTGTACAGTTGTCGAATAGCTAAAATAATAAAATTAGTTAAACAATATTATTTATTCGTCGATCTATATCATACTCTAAAATTTCCAAAAAATCTGGGAATCTAGTGCATAAGAAAGTTAGTCTAAGTCTCCAGCTCCATATTAAATTAAATCGAGAAAAGATTGAATTAGAATCTACCACTTTCAACTTAATCATAGAATGTTAGTTCTTCTATAATCGGGAACTCCTTTCTTTATACTATACTCTCCTTGTTTTATTTTCGTTTCATCTGTTAAATTACTTTTCTAAAAAAACAATATCTTAGTTTTTGTAAAATCAGTTAAAAACCTTTACATTTTGAATATGAAGAAGAGCCTAAAAGGTTTGTTTTTGTATTAATTTCTGAAAGTAATTCCTTAATCCTTTATTATTCTTCTAATAATGTTATTGATTTTTCATTTTAAAAATGTATTGATATCCTTTTTTTTTTTAATGATTAAACAAATTTTAAATTTTATTTTAAATATAATTGTAATCTTTTAAATATATACTCTTTTTATACATATAGTATTTGTGTTCAGTGCTGAGTTAGTTTTTGATTAGTTTTTCTTTAGTCTTGAAACTGTTGAAAATTAGAATTGTATTTTAAACCAATAACTTCTTGTGCCGTTCAGTAATCCAAATCAAGTATTCCACAAATCTTTTATCTTTCTGTTAACATTTACTGGTATCATTCTTATATATAATATAAACACGAACTAGCAGGTTAATATCAATACCTGCAATTTGTTGACTGATTATGAGTCAACAAAGTCGGAGTTCATCATCAGGAACGCAGGCGGTACATTCAAATTTCAATACAAATGATAATGCCATCTGTCGGGATCGAACCAACGACCTTAAGATCTTCAGTCTTACGCTACTACCAGCTGAGCTAAGACGGCTTATGTATATGAATCATATCCAAAAATTACATGTCTCCATATGGTAAACCAATCCTGGAACTTCCCACCGCCATACCACCTCACTATCCAATAAACGAATAACATAAAATCCATTAGAATTCTTCAAGATAAGAGAATACTTTAAAAAATACATCTCTATAATAGCCAAAAATTTAATATCAAACTCGTCAATAGGTTGTAGAGTCGTATGGAGTTGCCTCTAGTGCAGATCTTGATGGTAGTAGCAAATATTCAAAAGAACGACTTCACTTTGAAGGCCATCTTAGCTCAGCAGGTAGTAGCTAATATCTTTATTGTTATTAATAAAGAAACCAGTAAAACAGTCGTTCTCGAAATAATCGATTAAAAATAACTCTGAATAAATAAAGTAAAATTTGGATCTCATCAATTCTCCTTCTGAACTAAGCGATGTCGTTGCTTTATTCAAAAAAGAACAAATAAATGTTAAGGTTCTACAAAGTTTGTTAATAAAAAATTGTTGTAAATTAATTTATTTGAAGATAATAATCAATTGTGATTAGAGATTAAAATATAACACACCCTGAGTAAAGTTTGATTAGGTAAAATTTTAAAAAAATAATAAACCACCTATCCCCTTCAATAATTGATTTGTTTGAGTTTATCCCATTAAAAAATGTTTCATTCAGATATGATTATGAAAATCTTAAGCATCTATTAAGAGACAGAGTAAGAAATTATTCCTTCATCCCTTTAGTTATAATTTCTTTAATAGATTTAAAATGGATCTATTTTCAAACTTGAAAGTAATGCAGATAAAGATTTGTAAATAATTATAAATAAAATACATCTAAAAATTTCAAAAAAATTATTATAGATCTCAAATTAAATGCTCTTGTTAAAATAAGAATCATTATTCGAAGTAGCAGTCATCAGATAGAGAAATCTACCTACCATGGTCAATTTCTTAGGTACCACCACTGGTCAGTATGTTTATGATAGATCAATCAAATATATATTGGTTCCAGAAAAAAGTTGTCGTTCAAGATAATATGAAAATCAACAAGAAATCAATAAAATCAAAGTTGAAAATGATAGTAAAAACATTGGAAATAGTTTGAACAAAAAGTGTGGAGGTAGTGTTGGTATGAGTGGTGACAATGAATCTGGTAGTAATCGTAATAAAATTGGTACTGGTAACATTAGTGGTAACAATAATGGAGTTGGAAGCAATCTTGATGTAGGTAAAAACATTGGTTCGGGTAGCAATCGTAGCAATAATACAAAGTCAAACGTTCAACCTACATTGAATATGAAATCGATCACATCACAATATCTATTAAACAAAGATCTTTCAACCTTGGGTAATGGTGTTCACTTGTATCGATCGTATTGCAAGACAAGAAGAAGAGTTGCCATTTATTATTAAGTTTGTCAAAGCTCTAAAGAGTAAAATCGTTGGTCTAATCCCACCTGCTGAAAATTTGATTGATCAGATTTAACGGCAATCAAATATGAAAATGAGAATATAAAAAAATAAATGTAAACTATGACTATTTAAGTTTAATATCATTTATAATAAAACTATTATTGATTGTCAATGAATATTATTAATTATATTTGTAGTGATTCCGATGATCATCCAATATAAATAAACTTATGAATTTATTCAAAATCTTAACTTAAAAGATAATTAAATTTATAAAATTATAAGACAAAATGTATTTTTTCTTCTATTGTTAGAACATTCGACCAACTTATATTAAATTAAATAAAAGGAAAAATAATTCTAATTTTAAATTTATATTTAATTGTGTAAAATTATAATATTTATTGTATAGGATTTATGGGGACTGAATTATGAACTATAGATTGCCGAGAGAGATACTCTGATAAACGGTATTCTAAAATTATAGCATTCTGATCTAAGTTGAGTTGAGGTCCTATAAAGTAGAGTATTAGAATAGTAAAAAAAAGTTAAAAATTTATTTTAATATTCACATACTCGATCTATAGAGAAAAGCAAATTCCTCCTAAATTCCACTTTGTGCATTCACGGCTGTGAACGTAGGAAGATTTATTGGAACCAATGGCGCTATGGAATATCTATATTTCTCAAATATGTTCAATATAGCTCTTCTCTGGTGAACTATTAACAGATCGTTATTGAAAAGAGTACTCGAAGTTGGATACTATCTATTTCTTCTTCAATATCTATATTCATTTTTTTCAAAAAAAAATAAAATAAATTAACCTACGATTGTCTTCACATATTCGTAAAACAGCCATTGATTCCAATAAATCTTCCTACGTTCACAGCCGAGAGTGTTTTAAATAAATTTTCCAAAAAACTGGTTATTATTCTTGCAATAAAAGAATAAAATCTTTAAAACATAATTAAAATTAATATTCAATAAAAAAATTTTAATCTATAATCTTTAAATAGTATTCCATTTCCAATGTCACATCTCTAAACTATCTTTAGATAATTGATTTATTTTAAAAAAAGTTTTTTTTTTTGAAATGACTTCAGCTCTAAAAAAATAAACATAATTGATAAGCACTTTTTTTTTACTGCAACATCCATCAAACATTCTATATGCATCAAATATTTTGTTTTATGTGTAAAAAGCAGCTTGCTTTCACAAATGAAGAATAAAAAAAGACAAAAACACAATTATACATATATCAAAATGCAGACTAGTAATAAACAGCAGGTGTTTCAAATTGGAAGAGGTTACATTAAGTTATTACTTGAAGTGCTATATTTAATATATGGTTCCTTATCATAAGCTTGCTTTGTTTATTCTCTCAATTGTTAATGATAGTTGATTGAATTATAAGAGGTGATTGATTTAGATAATTCAATCAACTATCATTAACAAACAATTCGAGGTGATTCTAATTTCTTCTTTATTCTTTGTATTACGACATCTATTAACTATATTGTTGTGAGTGGTAAGAATCAAAATTAATTCTCTCCAACAAACTACTACTGTTTATTTTTCAATTTTGACCGATTTTTCAAACTGTGGTTTCATTGTCGGGAACATGATCACGTCTTTAATGGATACATTATTTGAAACGAGCATGACCAATCTATCAATACCCAATCCCCATCCACCGGTAGGAGGAAGTCCATACTCCATAGCATTGCAATATCCTTCATCGAGAATCTGTGCTTCGTCATCACCTGTTTGACGATCATTCGATTGTGCCATGAATCTACTTCTCTGATCGACTGGATCATTCAACTCACTATATGCATTAACCAATTCTTTACCACCAACAAACAATTCGAATCTCTCTGTAAATTGTGGCTAATTAATTTAAAATTATATAATAAAAAAAAAACTATTTAGTCAAATAATTTAATTTATAATAGTATTATAATATATTTACATTATCTCTATGAAGTTTAGCAAGTGGACTCATTGCACGTGGATGATCAATGATAAATGTTGGTTGTATGCAAAGTGGTTCCAAGAAATGTGAAGCTAAACTATCTAATAATCTTGTTGGTGTGAATGGTGCTGAGTAGTTTACTCCATTTTCTTTACAAATTTTAATCAATTCTGGTATACAATCTAAATAGAATATTTATCATTATTAATTTAAAAATAATAAAATTAAACTATTATTATTAAACTATAGTTACCATAAGAAACAAGATCAGAAGGTAATTTCTTTCCAATAAACTCTTCAATCTTTGGAATAAAATGTATTTTGTTAAATGGTGGTGTGAAATCGATTGTTATATCATTGTTTGATGGTAATGGTATTTTATAACTTCCAACTGCATCATATACCATTTCTAATAAATAAGATAATAATTAATTAATAAACAATTTAATAGCTATTATTATAATTTACTTACTTGATAATAAATCCTCGGTTAATCTAATCATTGTATTATAATCACCATATGCTTGATAGAGTTCACAAGTTGTAAACTCAGGGTTGTGTGTCAAATCGATACCTTCATTTCTAAATTGTTTGCCGATTTCGAATACCTTGTCGAATCCAGAGATGACCAGTTGCTTCAAATAGAGTTCCGGTGAGATACGCAAGAACATGTCGAGATCGAGCGAGTTGGAGTAGGTTTGGAATGGTTTGGCATTGGCACCACCGACATTCGTAGAGAGAATCGGTGTATCTACCTCGAGGAATCCACGCTCCACCAAGTAGTTTCTCAAGAATGATATCATTCTCGAACGAATAATAAATGCATTACGAATCTGCGATCCATTAACCAAGAAATCTAGATGTCTCTTTCTATAACGAACTTCCTTATTCATCAATCTCAATGGAATAGGACGTAAACATGGTGTTAACAATACTATTTCTCTTGGAACAATACTTAATTCTCCAACTTTTGTCTTTGCTGGAATACCATTTATCTCTATATTTGATTTAATAATATTAGTATACTATTAACAAGTAAAACGATTAAATACTACACTACACTTACCAATTATATCACCCTTTCTAATGGTTGTTATGGTTGTTGAGTATTTAGTTGGATCTTCGTATTGTTTGAGATCTGCCATGATTTGAAGTGAATGACCATCGGATATGATATCGATGAATGCCAACTTTGAACTTGATATTCTTACAGATTTGATACGTCCTGCAACAGTAACATTAATGTCGGTTTGCTTTGATCCAGTAGCAATCGATTCAAATTGTTTTCTGAAATCAGCAACTGTATGTGTTAGTTGTCTCTCTTCAGCAGCATATACAGTTCTACCAGTGATTTTCTCATAGTTCTTGATCATTTCATCTCTAGATTCAGTATATAATTCTTCATAAGTTTCAACTGATTCATCATCTTCTACTTCATTATTATTATTACTATTATTATTGTTGTTGTTGTTGTTGTTGTTTGACAATGAAAAACTAGATGGTGAAAAGTTACCACTAACACTTGTAAAACATCTTGTAAAATTATTATTATAATTATTAGTGGTTGATGATAATCTAGATTTAAATGTATTAAGAGTGGTAATTGATGATCTCGATACTAATGATGATCTTATTGATAGTAATCTACTACCAATATTATACATTTTTCAACTATCGGTGATTGCACTGAACTACTGTTAAAAAATGATAGAAAATGAAAACAAACGATTTATAAAAAAAATATCTTTAAAAAAAATTATTTTCATTTTTTTTTTTCTGAAAGTTTGATCAAACTTTTGCAAAAAAAAATGAGACATCAGATTTACCCATTTTAGCGATCTATCTTTTTCTTTTTTTTTCAAAAAATATTAGCAATATTAAAAAAAAATTAATTACTATTAATAAAAAAAAAAAAAAGGATAATAATATATTTATTATATTATATAAATAAATAATGAAGATGGACTTTTTTTTTCTTAAATAGAAAAAAAAAAATTATAACCTTTCCATATCAATTGTTATAACCTTCGTTTTTTCGTGCTGTCATCTTCTGCGCTATCATAATTATCGTCACTATCATCATAGTCATCATAATCATAATATATACTATAGTTATTGTAGTTGTTATTATTATTATTATTATTATTATTATTATTATTATTATTATTATTATTATTATTATTATTAAAGTTATTGTTATAGGTATTATTATTATTATTATTATTGTTGTTATTATTATTATTATTATTATTTATATTATTATTATTAAGTGGTAGTATTGGTAGTATTGGTAAATGTTCTGTTGGATTTAATAATCTATCTAAACTGTGATTTGCTTTCGAGAGTCTCTCTTTCTTTTTTTGCTTTATATACTTTAAGCCACATGCATTACATAATGATATTCCTTTTTCACCTTTCCGCCATTCTGTTGTGTTTGTTATACCACAAGATTCACATTTCTCTGGCTATAAATATTAAATAAATAGATATTAGTATAACTATAATAATAAACTAAAATATATCCTATTTCTGAGATCTCTTGTTGTTTATAGTAAATATTTGTATACCTTTATCCCTGGTGGTCTACCTTTTTTCTTTGCTGGTGCAGGTTGTGGAGGAGGAGTTGTATTAGTACTACTCAAACTTGAACTAGTATTTATATTATTTGTATTGTGTGTATTTACTAATGGCGGTGAGGAGGGTGTAGGTGTAGTGGATGGTGTTGTTGAGCTTGATGAAGTTGTTGTCGTTGTAGTTGTTGTGGTGCTGGTGGTGCTGGTGGTGCTGGTTGAAGAAGTCAAAGAAGAAGAAGTTGTTAAAGTTGTATTTGTTATTTCTTGTTCATTTTCTTGATGAGATTGTTCAAATTGTCTTTTCCCCTTTATTTAAAAAGTATTTATAAAAATAAATAAAACAAAAAATTAATAAAAAAAAATTATTTAAAACTAAATCATCAATCTTATTTCTTTCTAATTAACTTTTTTATAAATCATACCATCATTTTTCTAAATAAATAAAATAAATAAATAAAATAATATATTATTTTATATTAAAAATTTATATAGATAAATATATATAAAAACAAAAAATCTATTTATATATATTATTTATCATCTATTTACTGTCATCTATTTACTATCATCTATTACTATTTACTTGATTAAAAAACTCTTTTAATACACAACTTTTTATATATATTCTTCTTTTCTTTCCTTTCCTTTCCTTTCCTTTTCTAGCTAGCTTGTTTTTCTTTGTTCTTTTGTAAAACAGAGTTACTACTGTATTAAATTGTTTTTCTATTTTTGAATCAGTATGTTCAGAACTCTGCTTCCACACTTTGTTTGTTATGAATTATCAAGCAATGGATAGATAGGAGTCTTTTCTTGCCATTAAATTAAACACACACAACAGTTTCAACCAAATTAGTATCTGCTGAAAATGAATTTTCAAGAGATTTATTTTTATTTACTTTTATTTTTTCAAAAGCATGCTTGCTTCCCTCCAGTACAAAAAAGATATTTTTTTTTTTTTCACGATGTTCAGGTGTTTGTTTTTTTTTTTTTTTTGTTTGAGGTAGTTACCAACAAGAACCACAATGATGGCTAAAAAATAGATCGAAATTGGTTTGGGTAGACAAAACAACATAACGTGCAAGATGGTGGTTTTTTTAATCGGTCGTTTACAAATCAACCCGATTTTTTTAAAAAATAACAAAAAAATCCAAAAATTTTGAATTGGTTTTTGATTGAATTTTCATTAAAATCAATTAAATCATTTAATCAAAATTGATCAAAATTTTCAAAAATAGCTTTTCATTCAATTTTTGGAATCAATTTTCCTCATTAACTAAATAAATGATGAGTCAAAGGTCAAAAGACCTAAAAAAAAACATAAAAAATCAAAAAATTACAAAAAACAAAACAAATCGACCCCATGACAAAATTACAAACAGAAGACAAACTAAAATTTGTTTGAAAATTTTTTCTTCTAGATCGATTTAAAAATGTTTAAACATTTAAATAATATAAATAAAGTTCTGGATCATGTCCTTAAGCATTTGTTTAAAGAAGGTCCGACTATTCCTTCTTTAAAGCATAGGCCTATTATCTACCAAATTATTCTCTTTTTAAAAAGTTTAAAACTATTTTTAATAGGAATTTACAAACGAAAAAAAGTTTTAAATCAATTTAAAATAATGAAGTGTTTACAAATATGAACCAATGTTGAAAAGAAACTAAAATTTAAATATTTGATAAGTGATATTCAAAAATAAACTAAATCTTAAGTTAGTAACTATATTTCTTTTTTTCTTTTTCTTTTTTTTTTTTTTTGTAAACACATTGTTTTTCCTTTTTTAGCATTACTTTGAAAGTTTGGTCATATTTGCTGGAGTATTTTTGTAAAATTTTTTTTTATTTTATTTTTTTTTTAAATTTTTGATTTTTTTAAGATATTTTTTTATAAGACTAAATATAATAATAATAATAATAATAGTTGTTTATAAATAATGATGATCTTAATAAATACGAACCGTTGTTTGATAAGACCTTTTGTTATTCTGGATATAGATGACTTTATGAGTTATCGAAACAATCTAGAATGGATGAAATTTCAAGGATTCAAGGGTTTGACAAAAGAGGAGTACACAAAAGAGTTGGTGACAAAATATATCACTGTAGAGCATGATGTTGATGATGATAGTTGTGGTATCAAAAAAGGAAGACAGTTTGCAATAATAGATAGAGATTCACAACGTTTGATTGGTGATATCTACTTGAAACAAGATCAAGAAGGTCCTAATCAATATTGCTATTGGATCGGTTATACTATTCATCCTGACCACTCTAGAAGAGGTTATGCTTTTGAAGTAGTAGATGGTGTTATTAATTATCTTAAACAACAACAACAGCAAAATAATCATGATGATAGTAATAAAACAACAAATAAATTAATAATAATTAAAGCAGGAATAGATCAAAACAATAGTGGATCAATTAATTTAGTTAAAAAGTTGGGATTTACTTATTTGAATCATGAAGATGGTGAAGATATCTATCAATTAACATTGTAAATGTATGTACAAAAGTTTTATTTGTATTTGGAAAATAATCATAAAAAAATGGTTATGTTGTTATAATATAATATGATGATGATGATGTTGGTAGTTAATAGAGGTTTGGTACTCTTTGACTGTGTTGTTCATTATAAAATATATTTGAAAAATAAAAGTTATAATCATTTTTGTAATATTGATCATTGTAGTTGTTGTTGTTATTGTTGTTGTTATTGTTGTTGTTGTTATTGTTGTTGTTGTTATTGTTGTTGTTGTTGTTTAAAATTGTATTTAAGCTGTGTTTGTTGTTGTTGTTTGTATGTGATGATAAGTTTTGTTGATTGATATAAACTTGTTGTTGTTGTTGTTGAATGTTTTTGTTATTGTTATTATAGTTAATGTAGTTGTTATTATAGAAGTTATTATTATTGTAGTTATTATTATTGTTGTTGTTAGAATAATTGTTATTACTACCATTCATATAATTAACAATTGTATTATATAGTTCAGTACGACTGTCTATTGGAGTTGTAGGTTGATAGTAGGCAAGTAATGAAGGAGAGGACGACCATGATGGTGTTGTAGCAGCGTTAAAGAAAGGAGGTGTTGTACTACCGGTGACTATTTGCCAAGATGTTTGTTGATTCATATTTGGAGAAGTAGTTGTAGTATTAGTAGTAGTAGACACCCACAACGGCTCGGTAGCGAAGCTTGGAGAAGAAGAAGAGGAAGAAGAGGAAGATGGTTGATCACCGCCGCCGCCGCCGTTTATTATATTTTCCAAACTATGTTTTTTCTTACTCTCTTCCTCTGCCTTTATTTCGTTCCTATCTCGTAAGCCACAGCGGTTGCAAACACGATTACCAAAGCGATCCAGCCTCCACTCTGGCGAGTAAGTAATTCTGCAGATTACACAAACGACATCTTCCAAATCGATTTTAGTACGCTTCTTTCTATGTTGTTGGTTGTCATCACTCGATGGATTTTGCAAGTTAGTTGGTGACACCGGTGCAGTAGTAGCACTATTAACGGGTATGGATGTTGGAGTGGATTTACGAGCATTCAGGAATGTCTCTAAAGACGCTAATCCTTTGTAGGCAAGAGGTATATTTACATCGAATGCTTTCCTAAATATATTATAGTTTGTCCTATTTAATTAATTTGTTTATTAATAAAACATATGTTGTTTATTTTATATACAGATAATATATAATTTATACTTACAAATAAATTGCTCTTGCTTTATTTGACTTAAATATTTAATATTTAGTTTGGGGTTAATACTTGCTTCTTTTTAACAAAATAAATCATAAATGTATTTACCATTTTGTTTGATCCTGGGAATAGATCGATCAATCTCTTAAAAAGTAAAACAAACAAGATATAAGATTTTGTTGGATCAGTTTTTTTTTAAGTATATACATTTGAAATTCCTTTTGAATAAGTAGTTTGACGGTCAACAACTAAATAATAGTAAATAGAATCAAAAGTTAGAAGCTGATAAATACAGTAAAATTAATTTTTGTTACCTTTTCCGAATAGGAATCGCGTCTACCCAAGTATTTATTAACGATTCTTATGAGATCAGGGTAGTTTACATTGAAATCGTTAGATTCTGCATGAGAATCACTTGAACTAACATCCATAGTAAAATCACTATTATTTCTATCCATTGTTATATCTAATAAAATAATAAAATATGTTTATGTTGAAATAATTTTGTTTAATAAAAAAGTGAACAATGGAGTGAATCCTTTAAATAACTTCTCTTTGTAAAGTAAGCACAATATTGATTGAATTAAATTTTGCAGTGGTTTATTAAATTAAAATGATTTTTTATATCAACTAACACCCCGCAAAGCAAAACTCGCCCATTGATCATTTTCAGCCTGAACTTTAGTTGCAAAAAAATGTACAATTAAAAAATTGTAAGGGTTAGTATGATTTGATTTGAGTGTGCGTGTTGTTATTTTTTAATTTGGGTAACTTTTTATTTATAAACAGTGATTGCATTCAATCAATGAGTGCTACACCATTGCTTTTCCTAATTTTTTTTTTTTTTTTTTTTTGATACCCCGATTTTGTTTGATCAAAACAGTTTTGGCAGAAGTAGCAGAGTTTAATTTCCTGGAAATAGTTGAAACTATACATATTAATTTTATATTTATTGGAAATTTAAGATTCTAATATTGAAACTGCTGCATTTATTTTGTAAAATGGGATCAATGATTATCCCTTTTTTTCATCACCCAATCAAAATTGGTAATAACTCATATTCAAATCAACCAATATTTCTTTCAACTTTATCCAAATATTGAATTCTCAATACTAATTAAAAATCTAACAAAAACAATTTATGTTTTTAATTGAATTCGTTCATCTTGATTGGATAAACTTGATCTAAATTATCGTTTAATATTTATTATTTTTCTCTCTTTCATGTTTCATTTCTATTTTTGATAAACTATTGAGTATGTTTGTATAGACTGGCATGACATCGTAGCCTCTACTCCAATTGATAAGGTTGAGATGATCGCACTCGTCGAGGACGTTGAATTGCGATCCCCACTCTGCAGATTTCAAACTGACCAAACCGTCGTTCGGTCCTTCGGCTGCGTCGAGAAGTCTTCCGAAATAGTAGAGATAGTTGAGTGGGTAGTTGAAATACTTGGTTGCGCCATAACTTTCGTACTGTACATGTGGCACGTCCAACACCTCAGGATTGAACACCTCCTTCAAAAAATGAGGTGATAGATTATCGATCGCTTCGAAAGGTATACCAATCGACTTGAACAACTTCTCAATTCGCAATTTTTGTATGATATTCAATGTTGTCCAATCAGCAATATAACTACCTCTATGTGGTGTAGACAATGTTGTCTATTGTTCAAACATCAATAACAATATATTAACAAATAAGTAAGTAAGTAAGTAAGTATCAATAAGTTTTTTTTTAATTTTAAAAAATGACAAAGAAAATAAACATTTTGAAAATATAATACAATATTGTAATTTGGAAAATGGTAATTTATTATAAAGAAAATTAAATACTATAATAATACTTACCAATGAAAGTATTGAACCTTTATAATCTAGTTTATTGATGAGATATCGTGCATCCAATCCACCCATGCTATGCGCCACCAGATGAACTTTGTCAGTGTTGTATTGTTTGAGTGCAGCATCCACTTGTAACTGTATGTCTTTGGCTCGGTTGGCAATCGAGTCGGTAGGATGAACACGTGTAGCGACCACTTTAGTACCGACAGCAGTCAGAGGATCAACAATATTATGATAGTAAATGAACCTGCCCAACTCTTTAAATCCAAAGAGTCCATGTAACATCAACACCGGTTGTTTAGGAACACCTCTAATACTATACTTTAATTGATCAATCGTCAATAATTTCGATATCTTTGAATATTCATACAACATTTTTTGTTAATTAAATTAATTACAAACAAAAAAAAAAGAGATATTAAATTAATAAAAAAAATTAATAAAAAAAAGATTTATTAAATTAATAAAAAAAAAAACAAAATTTTTTATTCATTTTTTTTGTATGAAGCTCAACAACACATCAAGATAATCTTTCATAACTATTTTTCATTGTTGAATTTAAAAATAAAAAATAAATAAAAAATATGTTTTAAAAACAAAAATAAATAAATAAACGTTTAAATTCCAACATTTGCGCAATTTTTTTTTTATAAGCAAAGCTTTTTTTTTATTTATTTTTTTTTTGTTGAGCAAAAAATTTTGTTTTTTTTTTTCGTTAACTTGAACAACCAGTTAAGAAACATAACAAAACAAAAAGGAAAGGAAAGGACTACATTTATTTACTTAAATATAATCATTATCACTCTTCATTTATATATCATTTCAACTTAGAGTAGAAGACGACTACGACGACGACTACTACTACTACTATTACTATTATTATTATTGTTTCGATAAAAAAATAGTAACTCTTTGACAAAGACATAATAGAAGTACAAAAGTGACGATCCGGTACCAACGACGACGAACGAGAACCGAAGAACGAACCGACGACTACGACGACGACGACGACAACTACGACGAGTACCAATTATAATACCTTGAGATTCTAGATTGTATTGAAACAACAACATCCCCCTCTAGGTGCTTAGTGACTGACTGACTTGTTGACATTTGGTGCTAGAGCGCGCTCTGTTCTGTTATAATCATTCAATTTATATCTATATATATATACGAGTATATCATCCTGTGACTGACAGATCCCCTCCTTTGTGACCTTTTGAGCCTGACTTTACTTGACCTTGACCTTGGTAGTAGAGAAAACCTGACTAGATTCTTGCAAATTATTGTTGACAATACATTCAAAGAGGTTAGATAGTATACTATTTTGATCTGAATAGAACACTCCCGACAGATTAATTGTTTTTACCAAACAAAATCATCTGAGCTGCACTGAACCAGACCGAAACTGTAAGTGGACAGACAAAGACAATACAAAGGTAACAATACAAAAAAAAAAAAAATAGGAACTACTTTCAAAAAAGATTCGCTTCTATTTTAACAACAAGAGTAACAAACAAACTATTACGATTTTTTTTTCGAAAAGGTATATATATCTATCTAAATTAAATTATAAAGATAAAATAGAATAACATATATTAACATAGATAATTCTTTTGTAATATAATAACTATAACTATTAGTTAGGTAGTTGGTTTATATATATATTTATTTTATCGGTTGATAATATGGATTGGAATAGTAATCAATCATATAATCAAAATATGCAAGGTATGCAAAATAGCGGTATGCCCAATATGCAAGGTATGCAAGGAATGCAAGGTATGGGAGGTATGTCCAACATGGGAGGTATGCAAGGAATGCCAAACATGCCCAACATGGGTGGAAACATGCAAATGATGGGTGGTGGTAATCAACCGAATCAGCCACCACAACAAAGAGGAAATCCATCGGGTTTTTCAAATCAACCACCAAATTCACAATCTGGTAATATGTTTGGTTCAAACAGTTTTCAAAGTAAGTTACAAAATAAAATATAAAAAGATTAGAGGTGAATTTAATATATTAATGTAATTAACAAAGATTATCAAGGACAATATTCTGGTAATCAAAGTTCACAATTTCCTTCACAAAATCAATCACAAAATCAATTCCAACAACAACAACAACAACAACAACAACAACCACCACCACCAATGTCTGGAGGTTCCGGTGGTTCCGGACAGAATCAGTATCAACAGCAATTCGGTAATCGTATGGGAGGTGGCAACCAGGGAATGGGTGGCCAAATGGGTGGTATGTCTGGCCAGATGGGCGGAAATATGGGCGTGAATCCAGTGATGATGGGTGGCTCTAATATGGGTGGCCAAATGGGTGGTATGTCCAATCAAATGGGTGGTCCAAACAAACCAATGTCCTCCAACCAGATGCCCGTTGGACAGATGGGTAATATATCTCCAATCGGTATGGGCCAAATGGGTAATGCAATGGTCGGACAAATCGGTAATCCAATGGGTAGCAACCAGATGGGTGGAGGCGGTGGCGGTTCCAGTCACCAGATGGGTGGCGGCGGTGGCGGCAACCAGATGGGTGGTATGCAAGGCCAGATGAGTAACATGGGTAACCAAATGGGTGGTATGTCCAACCAAATGAATAGTATGATGGGCGGATCCAACATGTCAAACAGCAACATGAGAAATGACAATGATTATTCGCGTGGTGGTTCGAGCGGTGGTAGCGGCGGAGGCAGCAGCAACTATCGAAACGATAACTACAGATCAGGCGGATCGTCCTCCGGTGGAAGCAACTGGAAGCAAAACACACGTACCTCGAGCAGTTCCAACAAACACGACAACAAATACGACAACAATAAATCTTACAAGAAGGACAGAGACGGCTACGGAAGCGGTGGCTACAAAGACCGTGATGGTGGCTATGGCAGTGGTGGCGGTAGTAGCAACTACAAAAATTATTCCAAGAACAAAGACAGCGGTGGATATAAACGAGATGACTCGTCTTCCTCCTCGCATTCCTCCTACAAGAAGAAAGATTCCTCCACATCGTCGTCCAACTATGAATCATCATCGTCGACCTCTGCAACTTCCGCAGCCACACCATTGGACCGCGACAAGAAGTATATGGTTAGAATCCCCTCACACTCTTACACTCAGGTAGATTATGATTACATGCAACTCAAAAAGCTATTCTCTCGATTGTACATCTCGCCAGACTTTTCACGTTTGGTAGCGACATGGGTAGAGATCACCAAAGACACCAAGTTGAACCTCGTCCAACCAACTCCATTCGTATTGGATTCCAAAGATTTCAACATCGAGAAGATCAGAGTAGAAGAAACATCGATCGGTAACAAAGAGCAGAATCTCAAAGACAACATCAAGTACAATGCCAAAGTCATGATGTTCCAACAAGTGACACCTGTCAACCAAACCGCACCACTCCACATTAACAAACGACTAAAATTCTTGGTTGCCAAAGAAAACAAAGATATCTCTTGTATCGGTGGTAGTTGGAATCCAACTTTAGATGGTAATGATATTAATGATCCACAAACTTTAATCAATACAGCAATGTAAGTAATTAGTTATAAAACAAAACATATAATTATTTAAAGGCAGAAACTAATAATCTTTTTTTTCATTATCAAGTCGTACAACAAAAGAATATACTCAAATAGATCTTAGTAGATGTAATAGATGGGTAAAGTTTATGGAGATTCATTATTATAGACCACCAACTGAAGCTATGGCACAATTCCAAGAGATCACTGTTATATTTGTACCGGATTTGACAAATATCACTCCATTTGATGGTAAGGAGCATATGAAAAATAAGGTTACTACAGCATCGCCAACTGAGAAATCAACTGAATCCAACAATGAGCATCATGAGGAGACCGATGATGGAGAGGAGAACCACCCACCTGCAGGAAACGACACCGGAGACTCTGAGAAACCAGCAGCGTCCGATGAGATCGTTGGCGAAGTCACAGGAGAACCAAAAGATAAGGATGAAATGGAGATGGCTCCATCATCGTCGGTGAGTGCATCGTCGAACGACCAAGAATCACACCACCACAATCAAACATCGGGAGGCATACAATCGCCAAATAGCAGCTCGTCACAGTCTGTCAGTGCATCGACAGCCACTGCCATTAGTACCGCCGCCAACGGTAGTGACGATTCACATAGCTGCTTCTCAGTGACTACACCCAAGTCTGAGAATATGAAATACCGTTCTATGATGTTGTCGCTCGACGGTCTGCTCGAGTACGACGAATCCGACAAGTTTGAGGGAACTTTCGAAGCATCGCTATTCGGTGAATTGTTCTATCTGATGCTCTGTAGAGATTTCGGTAGTTTGATATTACAGTCGATTTTATATTTCAATCCGGTCGTTAGTGATTCTCCAACTGCTGCTGCTGCTGCTGCCGCTTCCACTACCGAGGCTAGTGGCGACTCTGCCACAGCCGATGCCTTGGGTAAGAGAAAACGTGATGACAACAATACCAATGATACATCGTCGTCATCCACTGAGGAGCAACATCAACACACAACCGGTTCAGTGTTGTCACCGTCCAGTGCCGACAAAAAGATTGCCAAAACTTCTGAGGAGCAAAAGGATATCTCTGGTGGACAATCCAACAACGGTGAGCAGACAACCACCTCTGAGAGCGGAGTAAACGGACATTCACCGGTCAATACCTCGACAGACAACAACAACAACAACAACAACGATGATTTGGAGGAAGGTGAGACTAAAAAAGATGAGCAATCGACAGTCAACCAACTAAAGTTTGGTGATGCCTTTGAATTCTACGACCAAAACTCCTCGACCTACTTGAAGAGCGAAGATGTCGAACTAATTATCCATAACCTAGGATTGTATTGCTCAAAGTCTTACGTAATGAAATTAGTTCAAAAGGTGACCACTGAGTATTCAGCCAACAAGGGTCGTGTCTACTACAATCGACTAATACATAGCAAACCAAAAGATAGCAATGATTCATAGACATAGATATATACATATAGATCACTAACCACACTCAACACTCAAATCATCATCATTAATAATAATAATAATAATAACAAACCAAACAGAGTATATTTCAATTATATAATATAATATTTATAAAATAAATTTAAAAAAAAAAAAAAAAAAACAAATCTAATTGCAAACATATGATCGTTTTAAATTTCCTTTTATATATTTTTTTAGATATTTCTTTCTTTCTAGATGATCATGTATGATAAAAATAAATTATTTTTTAATATAATAAATAATTATTATATATTTAATTTGATTACACATTATATACATGTTGATCACTTTATATTTAGTTGTAAAAAGAATAATAAACATGTAGAGTATGGTAGTTTTCTAGTTGATAATCAGTTGTTTGACAAAGTAGATTTCAGTGTTAGAGTTAAAAATATTAGGAATTGGTCTATCAAAGCACTACAATTTGTTGTTGAAAAATATAGTGATCAAATAGAGTTGTTTTTAGAGTTGTTCGATCGTTACGATACCAATCGATCTCTACCACCATTGCCATTCAACAATACAGTGTTATCAACAGCCATTAGATATGCTACCACCACAGACTTTGAACTTGTCAAACAACTGTTCAATCGTTATCCATACTCGATCGACGCCAACACCTATGGAGAGGCAGCTGCCTGTGGAAGAATAGACATTCTAAAGTATCTTTTAATAAACCATCCGGCTGCACCAAACATTGGAAAGCAAGCAGTCATATCAGCATGTAAATTCAATCAATTGGAATCATTGAAATTCCTGGATCACTATGAAAAGAAGAAATTGGATGAATTATCGATGTTTCCAATTGAAAAGATAGTTCGTTTCAATGTTGAAGCTATGGATATGGCTGTGAAAAGTGGTGCAACAGAGTGTTTCAACTATTTAATGGAGAATAGAAGTGAAGGATGTACACATCGATCAATTGATCATGCTGCAGAGATAGGAAGTGTATCGTTAATCAAAAAACTAAGGTCAAACTATCCAGATCTTTGTTGTTCAACTCAAGGTTTTTCGGTTGCTGCAGAGAATGGACATCTTGAAACAATTAAATATCTACTGGATAATCGAATTGTACAGGGTCAAGGTTATTCGCAAAGTCAGGCTGTAACGAAAAGTACGAATCGTCTACCGATATTCAAGTATCTTGTGGAAGAAGCACGTCAGCCATTTCATATAGTCACAGCTGAAATGATCATTCGTTGTCAATTGGAATTCCTAGAGTACCTTTTTAGCAACAAAGATCGATTTAAAAATCAAATTCACACTGGTATGCAACATATGGTGTTGGGTGCCGTCATTGCCAACCGCTTAGACTTTCTAGAGTACATTAACAAGCAGAAACCTTTGAAATCGTATCTATCGGAGCTCAATATATTGCCAGTTCACATTTTGAGAACCGAGAACGTGGAGATTACCAAATTCTTCTTGAGAATCAGTCCATCTATTTTCCCAAAAGTAATGACATCGTCGGTCAACTTTTCCGATCCAAAAAAACTGTATCAAGTGGTAACAACTCTCTCTGAACACAATATCACATTCAATCCCAATGTAGCACGTGAATATGTTTGTCAGGTATCGGTGGAAATGTTCCAACACTTTGAAAAGAAATACAAATTCTCGAGCCGTGGTAGCCACTATATCGATTTGGCTGCGACCAAAGGAAATCTAGAGCTCTGTCGGTATCTCTACGAACAAGGATATCCAGTTGGCAAGCAAGTCATTGATTACGCATGCATTGGGAACCATTTCGATTGTCTAAAGTACTTTTTGGACGTGGTTTTCAAGGAACCGTTGACGGATCCATGGGTAATCAACTATGCTATTCAATCAGACAACCTCGAGCTTGTCAAGTACATGGCCAATCGATTTCCATTGCTCCATCCAACCATCAACGGCATCAACGAAGCCATCAAGAAAAATAATATTGCAATGCTAGAGTTCCTAATAGACCGCTATCAATACCAATTATCTCTGATGGACCATTCATCGAAATTCACACTCTACTTTAATGATGATCTCAATTCCGATATCATTCATTGTGTGTGCACCAAAATACCATATCTATTTGAACTATCATCAGATTCACTCCACAACATAGTCCGTAAATCATCCAACTTTGATTCAATCATCATTTTACTACACACTTTTAAACCGAAATTGAGTCAACAACTTCTTGAACAAGTTGAATCTTTAGATACTCTCAATTTCCTACTTACAAACTCTGACCCTATTCCAAATCATTGGATTTCCTCACTTATCAATTACGCAGATCTCTTTACTTTGTATCATATTTCAAATTATTTATCTTTATACCAAACTAAACAATAAAAATAAAAAACTGTACTATAAAATATTTATTTGTTAAATATAGAATAAATTTGTGTATACACAATGTAATATATTTTTAATAAAGAACTTTATTTTTATTTTTATTTTTTAAAACTATAATATATATATATTGATGACTGAAGATTAATTGATTGGTTGGTTGATATCTAAAAATATTTAATAATTATTATTATTATGTTTCTTTATAAGCTTCCCATTTAATTTTTTATTGTTGTTGTTGTTGTTGTGGGATTGGTTGGTTGTTTTATTGGTAGCTTTCGTACAGATCTAGTTGGTTCCTTGCAATGCGAGGCAAGGAAAACAAACTATCCTCGGAATCAAGGAACCAACTAGGTATGCACGATCATATGATCTAGGAAAATGGTACTCGGGTGGAGTATATTAACATTGATTTCACTAGGCGCCAGGCGGCTGAGTGACGGGCAAGGACTCAAACAATTGTTTTCGTTGTAGGTGGGCTATGGACCGTCAATTCTTTTGCCGAGGTGGTTCTAATTATAGTCATACTTTGAGACTTTGAGAACCACCTCGCCACTAAGACATGTCGCATGGCGCCTATTGAAATAAAATGCTAATAGACTTCATCCGAGTAACATTTGCATAGATCATACGCACTTTTTTTGTATGGTAATGAATACATTCATTCCATTTAAAAAGTAAGTTGTTTTGTTGTGTTTGGTGGTGGTGTTGTTGGTAATGGGTTTTTTATGAAAAACAACAAATAATAATACTAAAAATATATGGTAACTATATAAAAAATGATTATATAATAATAATGATAATGATAATAATGATTATATAAAATAGATATTGGATAGCTAAGAATAGTGGACGATTGGTTTGCGAGGAGCACACACTTGAGGCACTTGTGAGTTGAGATATTTGACAATGGCTGACATTGTATCTCTGTTGCTGCATTGGGCTCTCCATATCTCGTCACTCATGTAATAGAACATGCCATGTTGAATGAGCAATAAGATAAGTAGTTCAAGTACTTTCATGGCAACTTCATCCTTTGACCGTTTAAGCTCACAGATGATGACCTCTACAACATCTGCTTTTTTCTTGTAGTTTGAAAATGCAGGACCAGTAATGTAAGGCTCAATCTCCAATCGGCTATAGAGCTGCGATAGTGTCTCATTGGCTACTGAGGAATCGAGAATTCTACTAGTAGTACCTGGTTTTGGAACGAAATCATACTAAATTTGAAGAAAACAAAAAAAAATTAATATCTATTAAAAGTGCATATTAATTAATTTGGATAAATAAAACACTTACCTCTGTGGTAACCATTTCAACAACACGATATCCAAGAATCTTATCTCCAAAGCACTCTTTATTTTCGAAATCATCTGATTTGGGATAAAGAGCACTAACGATGATTTTATCTTTAATAAATTTATGTATATACTTTTTAATCACATAAATTTCATATTCATAGTCAGATAATGTAATATCCATATCCATATATGTTTGTATGTATTGCTAAAAATATTATAACTTTAAAAAATTGGTTTGATCAAAATAGGTGGAAGGGAGTGAGTTAAATTTGCAAACTTATCTCCGATTGAAATATTCAAAAAAAAATTTCTATTGAAATTAAACAAAAAAAACCCACTTTGGAAAATGGCTTGCAATTAAATTTTTGGATGTTCCTCATTTGAAATAAATTTTATTTATTTTAATATTCATTGTCATCATTAAAATTCAAAAAGGGTGTAAATATTTATATATATTTAAAGTGTACGTCATTTGGCACCTGATTAAGGTACCACTTATTGGCATCCAATCTATTGACCGCGGTTCGCTGTCCACAATTTTTAAACAAACATCATTGATTTTATTTACCAATATTTTATTTTGTTATTAATATTTACCAATATTTTACCACTATTATATACAAACAGAAATAAGAATTGTCAACAAGAAAATGATTGCTATATTATATTCTTTTTATTTGTTAAAACTCTTATTAAAGAAATTGTTTATTTTTAAATGTCTCCAAAAAGTATAGCAATTAAGATTATAGATGAACAGAAAGATCTTAGTGAAAAAGAAAAACATGATTTGGGATTAGAAGTTATAATTGATAATGAGAAAATTACTAATAGTGTTATCTCTCACTATCAAAACCCACATTTTCTTAAACAACTCGCATCTGACATTATATTAAATAAAAATAAAGTAAAAGAGTCAGAAGATAAAGAAATAGAAGATGTTCTTAAATTTGAAAAGTATTACAATATAATTGCACGTATGTTTCTAAAGAGTTTTTATATCGATATTATATTAATAAAAAAAAATCTTATTTATAAAGCTAAATTAACACCTAGTATTCCCATATCTTTAGAGAAGAAGAAGAAGGAACTATTTCTCAACCGAGATGCTGAATTTAAACACATGACCAAAACTACAAGAGAAGTACTCAAACTTCGTTCGACTGTGGGAAACTGGAGCAAACATCCCACTTTAAAGCCAATCATGATTGCCTGTCAAAAGAAAGGAATGGGAAAGAGTTCACTGGGTGTGAATTTTCTTGAAAGATCCAATGACGATAGTATCAAGAGTCTCGAGTATCTGTATATTGATTTTAGACTTTTCTCATTCGAAAAAGAATTCCAAAGAGAAAAAAATAGATATCCAAAGGAATATTGGGTCACAGCTATTCAAGATGCTCTTATTGAGACAGTACTCAATAAGGAACCAACAAACATCAATGATAATGATGATATTCAACTGAACAATACAACATTCTCTCATTATTGTAATACTTTGTTCAACAAATACTTCTTCCACTTTGACAAGATCGAGTCTATCTTTAAACAAGATCCAAAAGAAACAATAGATCTTTTTTCCGCTATTTGGAATTGTGTATTTCATGTAATGGTCAGTTTCGGAAACCCTGTCTTTATTACTTCAAGTTCTCCTTTTATGATTTCAATTGGAAAACCCAATACATATAACAGTATTTATTCACATACATATGTAGATTTGATTCTTATTCACACATTGGAAGAAGATCATGTCAAACAACTAATGAAAGATAGAAATTTGGAAATTAAAAATGATACTCTGAAATTTATTATGGAAGTAAGTAATATTTTTATTCATCAAATTAATAATCATATTAACTAGGATAATTGTAGTTTACGGCTGGTGTTCCAAGATTAATCAATCAAACATTGGATTATATGGAGATGAATGGTATAAAGGTCACAGAAAACACCAACAAGAATATTAGAGATTATTTGAGAGATTCTAACAGAACTTTGGGAGAGTTGAATCCATTTTTATTGAAACTCAAAGACAATCAAAAGATTTTATATATCGAGTTAATAAGAGCTTGTGCTCTGGGTGTAAGTTAATGGAACTCAAACAGTATCAAAACATTTTAACTTTTACTTACATAAATTAGATCATTAGCTTTCAGTGGAAATCAAGTCAACTCAATTTGAATTGACAAGTGATCTGATTGGACCACTACACAGTACAGAGATTTATTACATTGATTTTATCGATTTCTATCGTTTCCATGTCTCACCAATTGACGATAATCATGTAAAGTTAAAGCTTCCTATGGCAACATTCAGTGAAATCCAAGAGTCACCCTCGTTGGATGAAGATACAAAGAAAAAACTCTCCCTCATCTCTCCTCTCTTCTATGATAAATCCATTGTTGCTTCAGTAGATCCATTTGAAATATGCTTCAAGTTAAGTGTTTCTTCAAAAATGATAAATGGATTAGAGACTGACCATTCTTTCGAATTTCTTCATGTAAGTAAACCATTTCACAATCAATTTAAAAACTACTTTTGAAACTATCTATATCATATTTAGGACACCTGGATTGGCAAACATAGTTTTTTAAATGATCAAATTAAAGTTAGTAGATATTATCCAATTATTCGGGCTCAAAATATGACTTCACCAACAATGACATTTGATAAGATGAATGAAATATTGGAATATATCAAAAGCGATACTGATACTATTAAAGATCTCACTTACAATTACAATTTTGAAACTCTATGGAGAATGTCAAATACCAATATATTGTATGAAACTGGTCCCAATTCGGAATCTCAAGATTTTTATATAAAAATCAATGATAATTTAGGTATGATTACTAGATTTAAAACTTATATAATTGCGAGTTGACTTTTTTTAATATTTTTAGGTGTGTCGTTTGCTCTTTTGCAGAGTGGATCTAAAGATCCAATTGGAATATCCAGTATTGTAAGTGAATTAGATAAATGTTACTGGGGAAGCAAATCACCAAAGAACAATGGTACTCCAATTCGTATGGTCCTGGTTATTGTAGCAATGAATTCTGAAGATGCTCTTCGTTGTGGTTGGCCCAGATCACAAAATAATTTATCAAAGTATACTGAATTTGGGAGCATCTTTTATCCAGGTTTCGAGCTGCAACAAAAAGTGTTTAAAAGAGACCAATCTCCGAGTGATGGGTCAAGAAAAAGAGCAAAAACTGGTAGCTTTAAGTATGAGTATCCAAAAATCCCAGAAAACATACAACTTGTCATTCTCGGCGAGGAAGGTGTACAATATTTAATTGGTTCTTTTACCTACAATCTCTTGAACCGTCATCAAAATACAAAACAATTCCAATTCTAAGGTTGTTCATTAAACTTTAAAATATCCAACAAATCCTCCTCAATTGATTACCAATAAATCATTAAATACATTTTAGTTAACTTTATATTTATGATCATATCCAAATTAGATAATGTTATAAAAATGATGCAATTCTCATCGAGATAGATATAATGAATATATTTATCCTAAAATCTTCTCAACAAGGAAGGTGTCATCAATGACAAATTAATTCCAAGTTGTTTCGTACAAACTTATATGCACTTAAACATTTTTGACCAAACAAACTAAAAAGAATAAATTAGGTTTTTATTATATCGAATTCTTTTTAAAATGGAGTTTATTTTGTGATTGTCAAATATTTTTTAATAGCTAGAACTTCGAGTATTTGACGATGGAATTCAAGACATGATGGGAATAGTATATTTAATGATAAATAGTTGTTAATAGTTGTTTTACGATTAAACTTTTTACTCAATTTTTTTTTTTTTTTTAATATTTATATTTCGTACTTAGAATATTTTCAATCCGATATAAAATCAAACAGAAGAAGAAAACCAGAGTACATGTTCTAGTATTGTTATGTTGAATTGGTTAGCTTAGGGTCAATATTTTTAGCTCCAAATCGACCGTATTAAACAATACAAAAATAACTAATTTGTAAAAGACGAGTAACGACCTTATTTTTCATATTTTTGAATATTTCAAATGATGGGATTTTTTTTTTGGGTTTCATTAAATACTAACGTTACTTATTTTTTTTTGAATGAACACTTATTTAAAATTCTTCTTCTTAGCATATATTTGAAACTATTTCGATAAAATTTTAAATAGATAGTTTATTATATCTATATATTTTAATAAATAAAAAATGTTTTTTATTATTATTAATATTTTGTTTAAATCATTCATTATTAGAAAAAAAACATTGATATTAAGTTTAATTGTTTAGTAAATCTTCTTGCTAAAGTGATAGATAGTCAAGTTAGTTTGTTATCTCACTTAAACAACTAAAGACATTATCACCATCCAATCTTAAAACTGAAATTCGTGGTGGCAAAATTTAAAAATTTGAATTTTTGAAAATGCATTTTGTAACTGTTGGAAAATTTTTATTGAGAGCGCCACTAAACAATAATAATTTTGAAAATTGGATGATCATCGCGTGCACTACCAAAATTGATACTAATATTAATAATAATAATATCCATTGACAATCAATAATAGTTTTATTTATTAATTAATATAAATGATATTATAAATAAAATAATATTATTAAACTTAAATAGTCATAGTTTACATTTATTTTTTATCACATGATCATATTTATTTATTAGTTTAGTTTAGTTTAGTTTATAAAAATAGAATAATATAATTTAGTATAGTATAGTAAAGTTAAAGTATTTTTGTAATTATTAGAAAATGTCAGTTAGTGATTGGGAGAATGTCAAAGAGAATATATTGCCATTGAAAGGTGGAAGAGATCCATCGAAATTGGCAATGTGTACTCAACAACAAAAGAGTGCAAACGAAGATAAAATCCAACAAGAGAAAGCGTATGTATATTTGTTATTATCGTAAGATAGAATATCATATTGATTACTATTGTTATTATTTAGACAATTTGAAAAGGAATTAAGTGAATATAAAGGTGAAGATCCATTGGATATATGGTCAAGATATGTAAGATGGGTACAACAATCATTCATTGGTGGAAATATGAAGAAGGAATTAATAGTTTTACTGGAGAGATGCACAAGTATGTTTGTTAACAACGAGAAATATAGAAATGATCAAAGATATATGAAATTATGGATTATCTATGTAAGTATTTAATATATTTAAACTTTATCTTTTTTATTTATACTAAATGGTTTTTAATATAATAGGCTGATATGTGTAGAGATCCAATTGAAATTTTTAATTATTTGGAAACCAATAAAATTGGTTTGACTCTTTCATTGTTTTATGAAGCCAAAGCTATTATATATGAGAATAAATCGAATTATCAGATGGCCGATCAATCGTATCAGTTGGGATTGAAGCGTCAGGCACAGCCGTTGGACCGTCTCAAGAAGAGACACGACGATTTCCAGCGTAGAATGGTTGTAGCCATGAGCAAGTCTGCCAAAGAAGGTGGTATCATTCCATCGTTGTCCGTTGGTGCCGCCGATTCCGTTGCACCAAGAGCTGCCCTCGGTACACTATCCACCCGTGAAGCCGTCGGTTCCGAAAGAAGATCTGCTACAGCCACCGGTGCACCACTGGGAGCGTCATCGTTGATGTCTTCAATGTCCAAGTCAGGTACACTCACCGGAGAAAAGAGAAAAGCACCGTCATCCAACAGTGGAATGGGTGGATCTTTCCAGATCTACAACGACGAGAGTGGTGTCGGTGAAAAGGTGGAAACCAACTCTAAATTCCTTGGAAAGTCTGGCAAGTCTGCTACCGAGAGTGTTCGTTGGGAGGAGCTGGAACCAGAGTTAACAAAGCACAAGGAGAACAGCCAAGCACCATCTCGTTGGAACGACACTAAAATTGTACAGAAAAGACAAAAGAGTGACTCCGGTCCATCGTTTGAAATCTATTGTGACGCTGACATTGACCAAAACCAACAACACACAGCTGCATCGCCAGACAAGTTGGCCAATTACTCTAGAAGCAATACTGTTGAGCAAATTCAAAACAATCCACTGGCCAACCACCTCAAGAATAGTACATTGCTAAGCGCATCGGTTGCTTCATCCTCAGTGTCCTCTGCATCGGCTGCTTCTTCTGCCACCGCATCATCATCCAAGAAAGAACGTGTTGGATATAAGAAAGAGTTGTTTATGGTTGGCAATGAAGAGTTGTCTTTTGAAGAGATTCGTGCCAAGAATTGGAAACCAAAGAAACCAACACCTGTAGTTTCAGCTTCTGCTTCTTCTATGCCAGCTGCTCCACAACCAAAGCAGATGGCACCACCATCTCCAACAATGACAATTCACACCAAAGAAGCATTGAAACATGTTATGTCATGGTTCCACTCACCGATTGCATTTGAAACCAAAGCATCCAGTTCCGTTGCACACCCACCAAATAATAGCAACAACAACAATAACAACCAACTCGACGATGACCAAAAGCACCTTGACAATCAAGAAAATATCGATCCAGCTACATTACCAAATCAACCACAACGTCCAAAGATAACAAATGGAGATATCGTAAAGAAAACATTATTTAGTAACGATGAACAAACTGAAGATTTTATAATTTAGTAAGTAATAATTTGATTTTATTTTAATTTATTATTAACAATTTGTTTTCCATTTAAATTACTTATTAATAATATAGTGATCGTGGTGATTTAGTTCATACACACGATCGTATAGATCAATATATTAAACAAGAGATACAGGCTTTCGAAATTTTAGAGGATCCATCTTTATCCAACAATGTAAATACCGATCAACAAGCTCCACCCAATACACTTACCGAAAAGATAAAATCCTCTGCTTTCCAAGCTTCCTCTGGCATGGGATTCAAGATCTTCCAGGATGAAAATGTTGCTTCTGCACCAAAACCAAATCCTCTGTTTGGTGGAGCTGGAAACAAAGCCGGTGGATTTACCATCTTCCAAGATGAACCAACAGCAGCAGCACCAAAATCTAATCCATTGTTTGGTGGACAACAACAAGCATCGTCAGGTCTGGGTTTCAAGATATTCCAAGATGAAAACCAATCATCATCCAAGCCAGCCGCAAAGTCCAATCCATTATTTGGTAACAATGCAGGTGGAGGATTCTCTGTTTTCCAAGATCCAGAACCAGTCGTCCAAACCAAACAACCAGCTCCAAAATCCAATCCATTATTTGGTAACAATGCAGGTGGTGGTGGATTCACTATTTTCCAAGATCCAGCAGAACCAGTTCAACCCAAGCCAGCTCCTAAAATCGCTTCTCCAGTTTCTGAACCAACCATTGGCTACGGAGACAAGACAGAGTTGATTGAATTAAAATTGGTTCCAGAGAGTGGTGTTGCCGAACCATACAATGAAGAGAACAAGGCAATGCTTGAGATGTGTGTATCTCAGCATATGGCCACCATTGAATCATTCACCGATTACTCCTCCGACCCGATGCCAAAGGTCAACAACGGTTTGCTTCCACTCGATAAGAGCAATCCACTCACTGTCAAAGAGCATCTCACTGCCGACCGTAAGATTCTCAGTGTAGAAACCGATTCGATGATTATGGTCGCCAAGATTAACCAACCCGCTTCCGTCTGGGAGTTTTACAGCCAAGGCCAATTGGTTGCGCGTCTCGCACAAAACGAAGCCAACGAAAAGCTAATCAACAAATTCCTCTCTTTCTACTCGGTCTACCAGTTCTCTGACGCCAGTGTATCGCTCATTGAATATGCGCCGGCTGGCACACTCGAACAATTGGTCAACAAGGTGAAATCCAACGGAAAATCGCTTGAGGAACCACTGAAAATGTTTTTGGCAATCGATTTGTTGCGCTCGGTCAGTGCCATCCACAACGAATATTTTATACACGCCAATATCTCACCGCAGAACATCTATCTGTCGTTCACCGACCAAATTGAAACCGAGTGGACATCTGCCGCCGTCGGTAGTTGGATCCAGAACGGTCTGAAAATCGGTGGATTCAGCCGTACCATAGACCTTGAGATGTACGGTCTCGATACGACCTACAATGCGCCACTCGCCATGTTTGCCAGCCATGGCTTCCCAGTCAGCGTGCTGAAGAGTCGAAGTAGCTGGCGTCACGATATTGACTATCTAGGCATTGCTGGAACACTATACTTTATGGTGAGTGACGGAAAGAAGCTCGATGACTCAAAGGTCGAGTGGAATGCCGCCACCGCCAAGTGGAAGCTGTGCTCGGTCGCCACCGACCTCAAAGCAACACTCAGAATTAACATTTGGACAGAGATTATCGAACAACTCTTGAACGCAACCAAACAAATTTCACTGGCAACATTACAACAACAATTAGAGAGTTACTTGGAGGCCAACCCCGCCAAATCCAAAGAAATCAAAAGATCATTAAGAAAATTAAAGATTGAATGTGATAGTTAAACTCGATTCATATAAAATCAAAAAATAATATATATTTAAATAATTTTTGTACATAAAAAAAAATAATAAAAAAAAAATATTTTAAAAAAAAAAATTATCTTTAATTTGTGATCACATTTCGTTTTTCAGATTTCTTAAAACTAAAGTGGGGTGGGTGATCATTTTTAAAAAGATTTATCAATATTGATATATTAAATAATGTTAGGTAGAACATATAAACAAATAATAAACAATAATAATAGATTGTTTACTCAACATTGTAGATTTTCAACGGTTGGTTCAGCACAGACAACAGGAAATAAAGTTAGTTTTAAAATCAGTAATAAAGCAGCTGCAGAGAAACCTAAAACAAAAACAATCAATGTCAACTCTGTAAAGGTTTTACCGATCGATGCTAAACTATCATCAACTAGCTCATTCAATGCAAAGATTGTACCAGAGACAAAGATTTTCAAAGGTGAAATCTTATTAGAAGGAAGTATGTTAACATATATTATCATCATTAATAATACTGATCATCAACTAATCACTACTACTTGTTTTTTACACTATAAATAGTTAAAAATGATGGTACTTCATTACGTTGGTATAAACATGTTGGATATACATTTGATGCAGAGAACAACGGTTATTTACCATTGCTCGATAACAGACCAATGAAAACTGTCAATAGAAAGCTATTCATTGTACCAACCAAAGAGATTGCTATGGCTATTGCAACAGAGTGGATGGTTCAAGGAAAATATATTATGCCACATAGATTACCATTGGTATGTTTAGAAAGAAGTTATAACTTTAACTATGTAGTTAAATTAATTGCTTTATCTTTAGACAACAGTTGCAGCGACATGTATTGATATGAATCCAGAATCAAGACAGAAATGTATCGATGAATTGATCGGTCATCTTGCAACCGATCAAGTTTGTAACCGTGACTCTGACGAAACTCAACTAAAGAAACTTCAAAACGAAGCATTCGATGACCTCTTACATTGGTCATCCGATTACTATGGTAAACCATTCTATTTATCATTCGATCTCGATCTTTCAAGACATCCACCATCATTATTAAAGGTAAAAAAAGAAAATGAATAGAATCAAAGATTATTTACACAAAACCACTTATTACTTAAGATGATACTAATCATTCATTGAAATCATTATATAGACAATTAGAGAACATTTAGAATCAATGAATAATTGGCAATTACTATGTATGCAAACATTGACCACCAGTACCAAATCATTTTTGATATCGTTGAATTTGTATTACAATCGTGTACGTCTCGACAAACTTTACAAGATTGTTGCTTTGGAAGAGGAATTCCAATCAGAGACATGGGGTAAGATCCCATTCGGTCACGATCTAGCGGAAATGGAAACTTTAAATGAAATTGCTCCAGCTCTCTTTGTATTGAGATCAATCGACCCACTACCATTACCAAATAAACCAAAAAATTAAATGATATCAATGTTATTATTATAAAAATCATATTACCAAGATTTTATTTATTGTCAACTTTATTATTATTATATTAAACTTTTTTAAATCCAGTTCAAAAATATGAAAAATCATTACAATTAGAACCTTTCACCTATAAAATCAATTTTAAAATAATCTTTTATTTAAATTTTACCTGTAAGAGATTACAATTCAAAAATGGTTGGAAGATTATAATCTAATGAATTTATTAATTAATTTCATTGATTTAAAATCGACTCTAACTTAAAAAAAATTAAAAACAATATTATTAAATAAATGCACTAAATGTTTATTGTTACTTAACTTTTCGTACTAAATTAGTTATTTTTAGTTTTGATCTACAAGTAAATGGTTAAACGATAACAGATTAATTTTATTTGTACTAACCAGGTCTGCAAATCTCACTGACCACCTCTTAAACAAAACTTTGCAAATTTTTTTTTAAAATTTTTAAAAAATTGATTTTTTTTTTTTTTTGAAAGTGCAACATCCTGAGAGACTTTAAATCACTTCAGCAACATACACATTATTGATATCTCTATTTTATTAATTAATTAATAATTTTTTTAAAAAAACGACTATTTCATTTAGATATTAAATATTGGTTTTATTATTACTTTATTGGTTGGTTAGAGAGACAAAAGAGTTATTTATTGATAGTGTGGAATAGAGGTTAAATAGATTGTATTTCTATATTTGTTAATTAGAATCTTGGTTGAAAAGTAGAATAAGATGTCGATAAAGTTAAGAGATTTGATTAAAACTGTCAGAGGTTGTAAGACTGCCGCTGAAGAGCGTGCTCAAGTCGCTAAGGAATGTGCTGCTATTCGTACTGCTATTAAGGTATGCAACAATCAATCAAATCAAATCAGTCAATCAATCGATAGATAGATAGATATATAGATATAATATGATGGATAGATAGTCTAACACATATATTTGTTATCTTATGTTATTCACTACTACTACTACTTAATTTTACAGGAAGATGACATTGATTCACGTCAAAGAAATGTTGCAAAATTACTTTATATTCACATGCTTGGATATCCAACACAGTTTGGACAGATGGAGTGTTTGAAACTCATTGTATCACCATCGTACTCTGACAAGAGAATCGGTTATCTTGGTTTGATGCTTCTTCTCGATGAGAAACAAGAAGTACTATTACTTGGTACCAATTGTATGAGAAAGTAAGTTAAACAGTTACATGTGATCAGATCAGTGGTGGAATAATATAATATATATTAATTTGGTTTTTATTTATTTATTTATTTATTACTATTAGTGATTTGTTAAGTCCAAATCAATTTGTAGTCGGTATTTCATTGTGTGCTTTGGGTAATGTATGCTCACAGGCAATGGCTAGAGACATTGCACCGGATGTCGAAAAGTTGCTCTCCAACACCAATCCATACATCAGAAAGAAGGCTGCTCTCTGTGCAATTCGTATCCTCCGTAAGGTTCCCGATCTCATCGAGAACTACATGCCAAAGATCAAGCAACTTCTTTCTGAGCGTAACCACGGTGTTATCCTCACCGCACTCACACTCATCATTGAAGTCTGTGAGATTGATCCAAATCAAATATTCCAATTCAAAAAGGTAACCAAATAATAACTTTATTAAGATTAATAGTTATTAATACTTACTAACATTGTTTGATATATATATATATATATTTTTATATCTATAGATGGTACCACAATTTGTTAGAATCTTAAAGACATTGGTACATTCTGGATACTTGCCAGAGCATGATGTCAGTGGTATTACAGATCCATTCCTTCAGGTCAAGCTGTTGAGATTGTTGAGAATACTTGGACAACACGATCCAGAGGCAAGCGATACAATGAACGATATGTTGGCACAGGTTGCTACCAACACTGAAGGTTCAAAGAATGTCGGTAACGCTATTCTCTACGAGTGCGTACAGACTATCATGTCGATCGACTCTGAAAACGGTCTCAAAGTTATGGCTATCAACATTCTCGGTCGTTTCCTTTTGAACCGTGACAATAACATTCGTTACGTTGCATTGAACACTCTCTCTAAAGTTGTCAACACTGATATTCAAGCTGTACAAAGACATAGAAATACTATTGTTGAATGTTTAAAGGTAAAAATAGTTAATAATAATTTATTATCAATATATATATTAATATAATGTTTGTTTATTTTATTTTTAGGACCCAGATGTATCAATTCGTTGTAGAGCATTAGATTTAATCTATTCATTGGTAAATGAAACCAATATTAGAGTTTTGGTTAGAGAGTTGTTGAATTTCTTGTTGATCTCTGACTCTCAATTCAAACCAGAATTGGTTGCTAAATTATGTATTGTTACAGAAAAGTAAGTTAATTGCGTTTAAATGATGTACATTTTAATCAAATTAGTCTAACTTACTATTATCAATTAATCTTAAAGATATGCACCAACAAAGAGATGGCAAGTAGATACAATTCTTAGAGTAATGTTGATTGCCGGTAACTTTATTCCAGATGAAGTACCATCGAATTTGATTCAATTGATCAGTTCAAATCCAGATCTCTCTTCATACGCTGTTCAAAAGCTTTATCTTTCATTAGTATCCGAATCTTCTCAAGTAAGTAAATAGTTTGTTTAAACCGATCAAATGTATAAATATTAACTGATCATTTCATTTTAGCAACCATTATGTCAAGTAGGTTTATGGTGTATTGGTGAATATGGTGATTTATTGGTTGCAGATAAATCACAACTTCCAAAGGAAGAAGATGGTTTGGCAATCACTGTCTCTGAAGCACAAGTTATCGATCTCATCGATTCAATTCTCAAGAATGCCTCTACCAATCAAACTACTCGTCAATATGCTTTGACCTCTTTAATTAAATTATCATCTAGATTCTCTCAATCTTCATTAAAGTAACTATTAATATTGAAATATTTAATTATATTTATTAATCAAATTCGACTAACATATAACAACTATTTAAACTATTTTTTTAGTCGTATTAAGAATATGATTGATAACTTTAAGATTAATATCAATTTAGAGTTACAACAACGTGCTTGTGAATATTCAAGTTTGTTTGGTTTGGATCTAAAGTCATCGATTCTCGACAGAATGCCTGCCATTGAGAAGCCAGAGGAATCACCAGCTCAAAAGGCACAACCACATCAACAAAATAACAATCACAATCATCAATCAATTAGCAACAACAATCATCAACAACAACAACAACAAGAACCATTCGGTACTCTCTTGTCAGAGTTGAATTCACCATCCACTCCAGTTCCAACTCAAAATCAACAACAACAACAATCGACCATGTCTTTACTCGAAGATATCTTTGGTGCTCCACCAACTCCACAATCAAACAACAGTAACCAACAACAACCAATGCGTTCTCCACCAACCAATAGTAATAATAACGGTGGATATGGTGGAGCTAGTTTATTGGATTTGATGGGTGATACTCTTTCGCCAACTTCAAGTTCTTCACCTGCACCATTGTCCGCTGCTCCACAATCACTTGTATTCCCAGTTTACCAGAAACACGGTCTCAACATATCGTATGACTGTAGCAAACCAAACGCAGATCAAGTCAATCTCACTCAGGTGGTGATGCTCGTCACCAACACACTCGCTTCACCGATTACCAATCTCTCGGTTAAAGCAGCCGTTCCACAATACCTAAAGATTCAATTGCTTCCACCCTCTGGAACCACTGTACCACCCAACAACTCTGGTGAAGTCACTCAAATCGTCAAGGTACTCAATACCTTACAAGGACAAAAACCAATTTTACTCAGATTGAAATTAGATTTTACTGTGAATGGTGAAAATATCAGTGAAATTGCAGATACTCCTTTGCCATCCCAATTCTAAAAAACTACAATAATAATAATAATAACAAATCAATTAAACAACAAATCAAATCAAATATCATTTTTAATCATGACTTTTAGTATAATTATAATAAAATAAATAAAATGTATTCAACAAAATTAAATCAAGTAGTTTAGCATGCCCAAGTGTTTTTTTTTTACAGGTTACACATTTTTGAAAGGCGCCTGACTGACCACATGAAAAGTAAACAAGTTCAATAGTCGCAAACACTACTGTCTACATTTTATTTTACACTAACTTGAAACTCATCAAAGTCATCAAAGAAATTCAGTGGTATTTTTGCTAAATTAAGGATACACATTTATTGAATGGGAAATTATTTAGAGTTGTGGGACGGCCCAATCACAATCACTTTCGATTTGGATTAAATTTACACCTCTTTGGACTAAAGCATAACCCAATTGACCCCAGTAGGTACCCCATGAGTTACGAACGATCCAGTAATCGATACCATTGAGAGTACCCCAACCGACGATAGAGATTTCATGGTTGATTTCAGTGCTTTGACTGTTGGTGGTGAATACACCACTGCTGTAGCTTTCGAAAGCATCTTCAACAACAACACCACAGGCAATTGATCCTATTTAATAATTAATGGTTAATATTAATTATCAATTTTTTTCAAAAAAAAAGTTGGTTATTACTTACCACGAGCATAAATTTCGGCCATCATTGCTTCAGTACCGTTGACAAGTCCATGTTCTTTGACAAAGTATGTGGTGTAGGTAGTTTGAGCAAAACATTTGGCGGTTGGATCGGAAAGATCGTAGTTACAGTTCTTGCAGATACCCTCGGCATTGCATTCGTTGTCGATGGCTTCGTATGGAGCGCAGGTTTCGTCAGATATGCCCTTATTAAGTATGTACTCATATGCTTCTGTGGGGTCTGTTCAATTCTCAATCATGTTAATAACATCTAAATGTCTTTTTTATCAAAAATACTTACCACCACCATCGCAAGAGTCTCCAGAACCCATACAGTTCAACAAAACTTGAGGAGCCAAATCAATCTCTGGGAATTGAGCATTTCTGGCAATCTTGATTCTATCTCCTAGGGCAGATGTAGTTCCGAAGGCCCAGCAGCTACCACAGTACCTGTACGAGGTGATTAATGGATAGTAGGTTAGTCAATCAGTCACATAAAATCTTTGTTAGAAAAAAAAAAAAAATTTTGGAAAATAGGTGAGAGTAGACTAGAATACATCATCCAGCAACCATTAATCACCTCGCGCACCACAGTACCTGGATTGTGTATTCTATCTATTTTTGAGTAGACTCTCTACAACTCATATAACATTATCACATTTGTTCGAACAAATGTGGATTACTTACTGTGGTAAATGTTGATTTCTAGTGACAGTTACGAAAGATCTTGGTGCATCATATCCTTCAGAAGTGATATTTCTCCAACTATATATAATAGGTTTTAAAAAATTAATTAGTTCACGAAATGTCTATATAAATATTTTTTTTTTTGAATAATTAAGTAATTACTTACTCGAAATAACTTGGTAAATCCTCATAATTGATGTAATCGGATGGAACTGGAGAAATAACGTGAGTACGACGTTGTTCAATTGGTTTACGCTTGACACATGATTGATGTGCAACCGACATTGAAACGCAAACAACCAACAAGGCTGCAATAAATTGAATTCTCATCATCTTTCTAATAGATAAACTAAACTATTAAGTAAATAATCTGTCTATCTTTATAAATCTAAACAAAATAATAATAACAAAAAATGATTTCTTGATGTTGGAATGTCAAAAAAAAAAAAATATTATGATTTAAAAAAAAACAGCTAAAATAAAAATCAAAAAAACGGTGTGTCATGTGAAAAACACCATTTTAAATTTTATCGGAAGTTGAAAAAAAACATCTAAAATTTTTTTGCACATTCTATTCATAATTTTATAAATTCAACTTTTCCTTTCCATTTTCTGTCGAATACAAATTTTTTGTATTTTTTTCAAAATCACAATGTGACACTATTTGACAATCAAATAATTCCACAGAGGTGTTGGATGCAAAAAATAACAGGTACTGTTAATTCAGCTCCAAGATAAAAAATATTTAGAAACTTGGTATCTGACACATTCGAATGCACAATAAAATCTTTGTATTTTTTTTTTTCGTTATTAATACCAAATATCAAATTAAAAATCATGGATTACTTTTTTTTTTAAATTGGTCTTTTCGATAATAATTTAATATATTTGATAAACAAATATTCCACACGCGTTACTTTACACAGATCACCAAGGAAATGATAAAAATTACAACTATTAATGGGTGTGGGTTGTCCAGAATCTCAAATGAGGATCAATACAATGATTCCACAAATAAAACGAACGTATGTAGTGCTATTATAGACAATTCTCACTCATTAGTCAAAACAGTCTAGACAAAGAGCATTGGGATTGTAATGTATGCTATCACTGATTTATCTTGATTGCCATATATGACACAGATAAAAATACTTTTTTTGTTGTATTTTTAAAATCTTAACAAGCTCGTTATTTTTTACCCGCAAAATCTAGACAGTTGGTACATGAAGATCTAGAAAGCAATGGATTTGAACACGTCGATAGTGAACCCAAAAAGACTTACTCTGTTTTGATCAGTTTAGGCATTTAATGTATAAAGAGACCATGGTTGCCAGTGACAATCGACTATTCCATCTCCTAGGTTGCAACCAGATATATTGTGTACATCCCACCTAGCTCGCTAGGAAAAAGATTCACTCCAACCTAGACAACTCTCATTAAATGGTGTGTGGGCTGAGTCTGACGAATTCAATAACCAGATGGGTTATTCCGTGGCGATTGGATCTAGATTCAATTCGTGTCGGGATGTCAAACAACACCTCTCGAGATCTACATGTTACTTGATGATTGTTGGGCTGGTTGGTGTTGGCTAGCAGTTGTTCTGTAGCTGAGCTCAGTTGGTGACTGGGTTGATGGTCGGTTACAGTAAGTTGGATCTGGTCATCCAAATTGTATCTCAAACACTGATGTGTTTGATAAGGGAAAGCTATGAAAGTCTGCTCTTAACCATCTAATTGCATCCTCTCCGCTTACATCGACTTTTACCAAACCCAGAATTGTAGATTATCTCGGTTCCAAAGAAACCATTCATTATCTTTTGTTCCGGAATGTTTCTATCAGTAGTTTTTAAATAGTACTATTATTTAAAGTGTGATAGTATTTTAAAAATATAAATACAACTAGAGAATCATCTAGATATAATTTTTTTAAATAACAACTATCTCTAATTAAATTAAAACTGAAGATACCAATAATTTTTTTGGTGTGTGACATTTTTTATGAACTTCATTGTTGAAGTGGTGACCCCCAAAAAAATTCGAATTTTTCATTCAATTTTAATTTTTTTTTTAATAAAACAAAAAAGTCTTTTTAATTTTTTAATTCATTCATTGTATTGTATCTTTATCTATAACAAATTTAAAAATGAGGTAAATATCACTACTATTATAACTTGTTTTAACAAGTAACAAACAATTACAAGTTATTTACAATGAATAACCTTGATAATATTACAATTACTATAGTAAACATCCAAATGTAGCCTGGTCTGAACGTCCAGATAGTGTTTTAATTAAGATCGATGCCTATGATGTACAAGACGTAAAGTATGAATTCAAACCAACCCATTTCTCATTCTCTGGAAAGGTTGGTAAAGAGACTTTGTCGGTCGAACTCGACTTGTTCAAGGAAGTCGTACCAGAGCAATGCGGTGCCAATCTTACCACAAGAAATCCAACATTTTTGGCCAAGAAGAAGGACACTGGATATTGGAACTTCTTGCTTGCCAACAAGGCTAAATCAAAGTTTGTAAGTGTCGATTGGAATACTTGGGTCGACGAAGACGACTTGGGTGAAGAAGAAGAAGAGAACCCAACAAACCAATTCGACGCCAGCAAGTTTATGAATATGGGTGGAATGGGTGGAATGGGTGGAATGATGGATGGTATGATGGGAGGAATGGGTGGTATGGGAGGAATGGGTGGAATGATGGAAGGTATGGACGATTGGAACGAAAACGATTTGGACGATATCGAAGATGCCAGACCAGAAGATGACACCATGGACACCTCCTCTGCATCAACCGGTAAAGACAAAGAAGAAGTAGAAGACAATAAAAAGACTGAAGAGACCAACATCAACTCTGTCGATTAAACAGTTTAAGAAAAAACAAAAATAATATTATCTATAGATACATAATATAACTAGATAAGAAATTAAAAAAAAAAAATGTTTATATAAAATGTACAGTTTTAAACTACAACACAAACAAATAACAGCTTTCATCATTGATATAGATATATATATATTTAACAAGTTTTTGTTTTTAGTTTGGTTTTATTATTATAAAGAAAAATCTGTTTTGTTTTGTTCTATTCTGTTTGTTTGTTTTTTAAAGTTTAGATTTGTGATTGGTTGAGTTATTATTAATCTAATTAATCTAAATCAGTTGGATCGAAATCTTCATCTTCATCACCGTCTTCTCCACCAAGTTTTGATGCAAACATCATTGCTACTTGTGCAGCCATATCACGTCTCTTATCATCAGGTAGATTCTTCATTTGCTCTCTGACATTCTTTAGTTGAAGTAATGTACTCTCAAACAAAGCAACCTGATCGAATTCATCATTCAATTTCTTCATATCTTCTTCCTCTACAGCATCAGTTGTCGATGTTGTAGTTGGTGGTACTGCAATTCCTTTGCCAAAGAAATGCTCGATCGACTTTAGTGATTCATTTAAAAACTTTGAATATTCCTGTTCATCTTTGCTAATATGTGTAGCTGCTACAGTTGATGCTAAATTATTGATTGTCTTTATATCTTTTTCCAATTGATCCTCCTCGTCTTCATCTTGATTTTCCTCATCTTCATCGTCATCATTTAAAGAACCTGTAGGTCTATTACTTGTTTTATATTCCATTTGATCCCACATGGTTGTTTCTAAAATCTCTTTAAATCTATCGATTCCATATTTTATTCTTTGATCTGAATATAGATAAAGTTATTAGTAAATGATATGATAAAAGATCAAAGTTAATATATATATATATATATATGTTACCTTCATCATTATCTTTTTGTGATTCATATGCTCTATGTTTAATTTGATTTAAAAAGAGTAATTCGATTGCATTCTCGATACACCATTCTTCAATGGTGTTATTGTCAACTTTGATTGATGATGAGTCTTCAGTTGCATTTGAAACCTCCATTAAAATGATAGATTCATTACCATCTGATTGCTCAACAATCTTTGTTACAATACTCTGAATTGCTTTGAATGATTTCTCCTAATATTAATTAAAATGATATTAATTATTATTACTAATATCTATATATCTATATCCATTATTACATACATTTGATTGATCAAATAGTAAAACAATTAAATGACATGGTTCCTTAACAGAGTTGGACAATGAACCATCTGAAATCTCGATTGTCTTTAAATTTACATCACAACTATAGTACTTTGTATCGATATGATAAACATTGCTATTGACATTATCATTCCATTCTATACCTGTAAACACTGTGTTATATAAACAAAAAAAAAATTAAGAATGAATATTAATATTCATTCATTTCTCTAAACAACAACAACAACATCATATTATCAAATTATATTTTACCATCTTTAAATAGTTTAAAACCAACATCACTTGGTGATATTATATTTACTTTATTACTCATTATATAAATTAAATAAAAAAAAGATATAATAAAATAAAATAATAAATTTAAAAAAAAAATAAATCAATAATGTAAAAATTAAATTAAATTTAAATTATGATTTTGAAAAAAAAATATAAATGTAAATTTAAAAGTAAATGTGGGAGAAAAGATTAATTGAAGTGGTAATTAATGATTGTTGATTCAAACTTTGATCGGTTGTTGATCATTCCTGTGTTTTAAAATAAAAAACCTCTAGAGCTGCAAATCTCATATCGATTTGTTTATTCCCAATGATCATTCAGTGTCATGTTACTAACCAACATTGTGTTTTTTTAACCGATGATCAATCATTTTGTGTGTTTATAACTGCTGTTGCTGATGTTACTATTATTGAAGCTATTTGATTAAAGTTATTTTATTTATATTATATATTCTATTTAATAAACTGTCGTAAATTTTATTACAAGGTGGTATTTTGCTTAAAAGTGATGTCATACTTTTGACATTCTGCTTCGTTCTCTCTGAATCCCTTTAATCTTTGTTGTACATTGTCATATTGCATAAAATAGATAGCTGGGAATGAAATTGCTGCCCAAACTGCTGTTGTAACTTTATGACGACCTATTTGTATATTATTATATAATGTATTATAAATTATATTAAACATCAGTGATTCACTCACTATAATAATAATAATAATAACTATAATGATAACTATAATAATAACTATACATACGAGTTCCAATATAATAAGCAGTGGTCATGACAGATGGAATAGCAATAGCTTTTACATAGTCAGAGAATCTAAAGTTGGCAAGAGTCAATGAATTCGATGGTTCTCTATCGATGACTGGGTAGGCTGGCAATACAACCTTCTCAATCGATGACTTTGATGCAAGTTGTCCAATAGTCAATGGTTCTGATGATTTCGATTCCATTTTCTTTTAATTTATATCTATAGTATTAAAACAAAATGAAAAATGTTATAAAAATCACTCGAAAAGTGATCACCATCCAAATTTTTTTATTTTTTATTTTTTTTTATTTTTTTATTTTTTTACAATATGCATCATCATATATATCTAGATAAACCATAAAAGTATGAATAGAATAATGGTTTTTCTGAGTAATTTAAACAAATAATTATTCAATTCATTTAGATATAAAAAAAAACTAAAAAAAATATAAAATCAATTTTTTTTTTAAAAATTAATAAATTTGTTTCTTTTTTGCTTAATATAAGTAAGTTTGTTATTTATTTGATTTGACCATAGTTAGTTAGTCTCTAAGAGAATATATAGATAACGTTACACCCAACAGAGAAACTGAGTTATCAAACTAATGACACACGAAAATTTTTGAAAAAAAAATATAAAATAAAAATAATTTTTCAATTTTTGAAAGTGCCAAAATACAAACTTCAAATATTTGTTATTATTATTATTATTATTTAATTGATTATTTATTTATATAGATATTTATATATTAATAACAATGTCAGACACACTTGGATCATATAATTATACATCAGAACATATCAGTTTCATTCAACAAGAGATAAAAAACTATTTAGAATGTGATGATGTCTTATCTGTAGGTTTATCAATCAACTTTTTATAACATAAACATATAAAACTATCTCCTTTGTACAACTGTCCTTTATGTCACACGTCTTTTGTTCATCATCATCTAAAATCATGTTGTCATGTCATGTCATGTCAATGTTCTTCTTTGTAATGTCTAAAGTAGTTAGTCATTGGAATGTAGTAATAGTGTCGTCAGTCACCATCATCAAAACAAAACAAAACAAACTGTCATTTTTTGGTCATGATTGATAATGCACTTCATTTCGTTTGATGTCATTTTTGTTAGTAGTAGACTACATATTGGTTAGGCAATGCATTCTAAGAGAGAGAGATAGATAGATAGATAAATTAGTGAATGAGACATTGGATAGGATTAGTAAATAGTGCGATTAATTAATTATATTTTATCATTTTCCAGGAATACATTATTGTTATGGTTAGAAATAACAAGACAAAGAAAGAGATCTCCGGTGATCTAGCTGATTTCCTATCGAGTGATGCTGAAGCATTTGTAAATTGGCTGTGGAATTTCATTAGAACCTACTTTGTTCAGAAGGAATCGACACCGATCGCCGGTGGATCCACCGATCAATCTTCAAAGAAGCCAACATCCAGACTGCTGGCAAATGCAGTACGACAAGCAACTGAAGACACAAAGAATGCTATTCCAGCGGGTGATATCGAGTTTCAAGATTCTCAAGATTCAGATCCATCCGACGTCAACGGTGGTTACAAAAAGAGAAACAACAACTATAACAAGAATATCAATAATAATAGCTACAACAATAGCAATAACAACAAACCATCGAAATACAGTCATAGCAATACAAATAAGAGTACATCTTCACCACCCTCTTCACTCAAAGTCACATTCAGCACATCGCCATCCGACAACCGAAAGAGAAAGATCAACACTTCCATCGATGAAGATCTGATAAACAACAGCAACAGTGCAAGCGTTGCCACAGAGGAGGATGCCGATGAATCCGAGACCATCAGAAACACAAAGAAAACCGACAAAAAAGAGAGATGCACATATTGGCCACAATGCAAGAATGGTGATTCTTGTCCACGTTATCATCCAACAATTCAATGCAAGTAAGTATAACTATTTTATTGATTGTTAATTGTTTTTGATTTCTAACACGCACACACTCTCTCTCTTTGTAACAGTTTATTCCCTAAATGTCCATACGGTGAGAAATGTTTATATATTCATCCATCTATTCCATGTAAATTTGGTCCAACTTGTGCCAACTTTAGTTGTCCATATAATCATCCACAACGAACCATGCACGCCTTCGAACATGCACCAGTGCCATGCCGTAATGGTTTTGCATGCCCAAACAAAAAGTTTTGTTCATTTTCACATCCACCAGTAAGTTTTAATTTTAATATATTATCAACTAAATTGTTTATTAATCATATAATTCTTTTTATTTTTTGATAAATCTAGATTGCTTGTAAATATGGTGAAAGTTGTGCATTTGGTAAGAAATGTACTTTTTCACATGGAAAGCCTTGTATGTATGGTGTATCTTGCACAACTCCAAACTGTACCTTTAGCCACAATCCCAGTACCGATGTTAATCCAACCTTTATTCAAAAAGAATGCAAAGTAAGTACAAATAATAATAATAATACAAATAGGAGTAATGTTATAACTTGATTATTAATAATTTAAAAATGATTTTAGTTTGCAAAGGAATGTACAAATGTAAATTGCAAATACTTACATCCAGAAAGAGAAAACACTGACGCTTTGTCAAGTACTTTGCCATCGACTCCACCAGCCCAAGAAGATGCCATCATCACTGATGCCATTGAGACAGTTCCAGAAGTATCAAACTAAAGAAAAAGAGTAATAATCAAAACATTACCCTTAAAGTCATTCAATTGGATAAAATATAATAAATCCATTATTCCACCGATATTACAATGATTTACATCGGCAAATGGTAGGACAACCAAAAAATTAAAGTTGATCCTTTCCAAAAAAAAAAAAAAAGAAACAAACATACAAAACAATTCAGATCTTAAATTCAATCTTTATTTAAGTATTTCATCTTTACAAAACAATTGTATTATGTTATTCATTGATTTTATATGTATTGTTAACAAAAGTTAATATTCTCTCATCACTTTTTGTCAACAACGATTGATACTACAGCATCAATTAGTGCACTGCCAACACAAATTTATATATATTAACACTTTTATATATTATTACTTTCAATTGCACACAACTAAAGCAAATATATAAATAAAAAGGGAGATCTAATGTAAATAAAGTATATGCAATAAGCGGCTTTTTTTGTTAATATAATAACTATTATTTCGGATATTAGTTGTGTGATATTATTGAATTTCTCTTTTTTTTTTGAGAGTATATAGTATGTGGTTATACCCTGTAAAGAGATACCTAAAAATAGTCTTTTTTCTATTACCATACTACTATACTTTATAAATGTGTTGTATTTTTGGTTGATCAAAAAATAATACTATATAATGGTTTTGGTTGTCTTTAATCAATAATACCCAAACAAAACCAATACTTTTATATCGATATAAAAAAGTGGGTATTAAAAAATGTGTATATGTGTGTGATGACAAACATCTCTTGAGTTGGAAAGGGTGTTATTAAAAACGTGTTTATTAAAAGGGAAGGGTGGTTATTGATTTTCATTTTTTTTTAATATTTAATAACATGATGATACTACTGTAGTTGTTGTTGTGGTTGTTTTATCTTTATTCTTCACTTGTTTGTTTGTTTGTTTATTTATTTACAGTTGTTTGTTTTAAACAACATGTTCATCATCTAACAACCTCCATAGAAATAATATTATTATTATATATCCAATTATTTACCTTATTTATATTGTTGGTTCAAAGAGTGATGGGTATACTAAATAATGTTAGCTTCTTTTACTCACCTGCCAATGTGTTGTCGTAGATAGCTTTTCAAATGATGATGTTGAATAAGATGATGGAATAAAACACATATGTATATTAAAAGTGGTAGTGGTAGTAGTGGTGGTGATATTGTTTGTGATTGTTATGTGTTGGTTTCTTTACGACAATCGACTAGTATAGAGTATAACCCACCCATACTTTCCACCTACCCTGCTACTATTCCACTTCTCACTTTTAATATATATGTTCAACTGATTTCAATCAGTACTACTCTATTTTATTTAATAAATCGATTTATTATACAATTAATCTGCTAGATAAAGAGGTTAATTTATTTTTACTTTAATATATAATAACATAACATATATTTATATATAGATAATTTATAAAACTATATATTTTGTTTTTTTTAAAGGAATCTATATATCTAAAATCTATATATAAAACATAAAGAGGAAATGGATCAATTACCTAATGAAATATTATCAACTATATTTAAACAATTATCGTCAAGGGATCTATTATCAATACAACACAGTTCACATCAGATGGAGAGTATCGTAGACAGTTGTAATCACTGGGATTCCATTTACCAAAAGTTTTGTCCGAGAGTGTTCAACTCTGCACTCCCACAACATAAACAACACTTGAAGTTCCTGGTGATCAGATTTCATCCTTGGGGATATCAAAATGAATTCCTATGGTTGGTGAAATCGCTCGATAGCTTCAAAGACTCGAATATTAGATTCACCATCATACATGTTATGCACGAATATCTCAATCAACTCAACCAACAAGCCAAACAAGATATCATTTCATATCTACAACCATCGGAATTCATTGAGCAACTCATCAGAATATCGAATGACTATAAAAACTTTAATCATTTCTCCAATCATACATTCTATTACAATTCACTAAATTATATTTTAGAAATCATAATGAAGTTAATGGAAAGTAAGTAACTTTAAAAATTATTGTTGAACTTGCTGTTATTTTAAATACTAATTTCTGATATTATTTAGTTTATAATGAATCAATTAAAGTATATAAATTCTTGAATTGGATAATGAGTCATTTAAATGATGATAATATCAGTGATGGACTTAAAGAGGTGATTTTGAATATTGTTTATGCATCAATCAAAATGTCACCGGAATTGATTGGTTCCATTTACTTTAATGAAAGAATGAAAGAGTTGATGGCTCAGAATAATACTATATTTCACAATAGAGTATTGGAAATCATCGATAGAATCATTTCACTCAAATTCGACAAATACATACAATCAGACTTGATTGCCTCTATCATTCCAAAAGTATACGATCAATCATTAGATCTTAGAGTAGATACACTTAAAACAATTGAAAAACTATCAAGAAATTGTATGTAATTAAATTAAAATATAATAATAATAATATTAATATTATTATAGTAAACTAACATAATTATTATTAATTTTAAAGTAAATTTAGTTTCAATGTTATTTAAACTTGGTACCATTGAAATATTGACACAACTTTTAAATGAAACATCAAATCTTAGTTTGATAAGAATTGTTATTGGTATCATTATTAATATGACAAACGATAAGGCTACCATTGGATCTCTAGTGGAAAATGGTATCATACCACTGCTACTTCAACTTTTAAAATACTATCCAACTGACTTAATGATACAATATAATACCATTAAAGTTTATAGTATATTAACAGTATCAAGTATGTATCAATTATAAAAAAGGATATAATTTATATATTTGAAATTGTTAAATCTAACTTTTTTTTTTAAAGGTAATTTACAAGAAGCGATCATTGCATCAGGTGCCCTTAAATATATTCAAAGTGCATCGAGAAGATTCCCAGAACATCAAGATTCAATTAATGAATTATTCTTATTTTTAAATAGGAAAAAGAATTCTTTAAACCTATAGTAATAATATAAACCCGATTATTTAGTTAAATTTCTTTATTATTTATTTTCACACTCAAATCAAAATGTCCTATAAATATTTTAAATAAAAATTATCCCTGAGATTTATTTTAAAAATACAATACAATGTTTTCAAATTCCGATTGAGAATTAAATTAGCGGAATTGGTTTCATTGATTTTATTTTACTGTTAATTAATTTCTGTCTTTTTGAAAACTTTGTACCTGTCTCTTCACTACTATTGTTACCATGTACATTATTATTATTACTATTACTATTACTATCGCTACTATCACTATCACTATTGTTTCTATAAGGTGTAGATATAAATAAATCATCTTGATTGACTCTCTTTTGTCCTTTACTTTCTTGATTGTGATGTGATTGATGTTTATGTTGTGTTGTTGTCTTTTGTTTCTGACGATTATTATCCATTGATTCAAAATTAATTTGGGTTGCAATGAATTTATCATTATTGTTAGTTTTGCCAAAATTATTCAAATTGGATAAAAACTGTTGCTGTTGTATATTCAATATATAGAAATCATCTTCTTCGTCTCCAAACTCATATTCTTCATTCATTATATCCATGTTATTTAATTGTATCTTTTCATTTTGAATTTGATGTTGATGTTGATGCTGTGGTTGTTGCTTTTGATGATGAATTTGATGTTGTGGCTGTTGTTTGGGTTGCTGTTGAATTTGTTGTTGAATTTGCTGCTGAATTTGTTGTTGTTTTGGTTGTTGCTGAATTTGTTGAAATTGTTGTTGTTTTGGTTGCTGTTGGACTTGTTGCTGTGGTTGTTGTTGAATTTGTTGTTGTTTTGATTGTTGGATTGGTTGTTGTGGTGGTTGTTGAATTTGTTGTTTTGACTGTTGAATTTGTTGTTGTTTTGATTGTTGTTGAATTTGATATGGTTGCTGTTGAATTTGTTGTTGTTTTGGTTGTTGCTGGATTTGTTGTTGTTGTTTTGGTTGCTGTTGGATTTGTTGTTGCTGTGGTTGTTTCTGGATTTGCTGTGGTTGTTTTGGTTGCTGCTGAATTTGTTGTTGTGGTTGTTTTGGTTGCTGCTGGATTTGTTGTTGCTGGATTTGTTTTGGTTGATTTTGGATTTGTTGTTGTTTTGATTGCTGTTGAATTTGTTGTTGTTGTGGTTGTTTCTGGATTTGTTGTTGCAGTGGTTGTTTTGGTTGCTGTTGAATTTGTTGTGGTTGTTGTTTTGGTTGCTGTTGAATTTGTTGTTGTAGTTGTTCCTGGATTTGTTGTTGCTGTGGTTGTTGCTTTGGTTGTTGTTTTGGTTGTTGAATTTGATTTACAATATTATTCTGATTTTCTTCAATCTTTTTCTTTGAAATATACTCATATTCAATAAACTCATATGAATAATTGTCAATGAATTTACTCTTCCTACCGTCGGTATTATTACTACTAGTACCATTGCTATTATTACTATTCTCTTTATTATTATGATAGAAATCATAATAATTTTTAAATATTATCCTTTTTTGTTTAGGTTGTTGTTGAAAGTAAACCAAACCATTTTTACTATTACTACTATTATTAGTATTGTTACTACTACTATTATCAATATAGACATTGGTATTAGTGTTGATCCGGTTTTGGTTAATATCAATGTCATTATTAGCATCCAGAGTTTCTTTGATCAATGCCTGAGCATAGGGCTGGTTGAATGGCATGAATTTTTCGGTGGTGAGACAATTGATTTTGCCATCGGTGCCTACCATGACCAACAACATCTGAGCACCAGTCAGAGTACTCAGTTCTTCGAACTTCTTTGTGAGACCTTTCTTTCGTTTGCATTTGGTTATCTTTCGTTTATTCGAATCTTCGATGAATCTGATATCGGTGCATCTTGGTTTCAGACCACCATTGTCAAGCTCATCATCATCATCATCACCACCAGCACCACCACCAGCACTATTATTTAGCATGTCATTTGTAATCGGCGAAGAACTAGTATCGTAATCATCATAATATTTATTTTCCATCTTTTTGATTTGACTTTGAAATATATTTATTGATATATATAAAAAAAAAAAAAATAGAAAAAAATAAAAAAATAAAAAAAATGAAAAAAGAAAAAAATAAAGATAAAGATGACTGAACTTAACTTATTAAGTTATTTATTTTTAATAGAATAATAGTAGTACTACTTTTTATATATATATATGTAAGAGAACAAATATAATATCTCGAGAGAGAGAACACAAATTAAACTAAAAAAAAATAATATTTTTATTGTAAAACAGAAAAATAACGTAAACCTAAAACCCAAAAGGCTGGGAGGCGTTGATTCGAATGTACGAATGAGTAAGTAAAGAGAATTAAAAAAAAAAAAATGTGTCAATGAGGGAGGAGGAATGGGGTATGAAATCAAAAAAAAAAATTAATAAATAATTCAAAACCCAAATGAGGTAACTAGAATAACCCTATTTAACAAAAAAAAGACCAAATTTTTCGCTCACTTGCTTTTTTGTGTGTCAAGTTACCAAAAATTATATTTAAATCTAGATAAAATTGTTGTAAATTTTTTTTAAAAAAAAAATATTCTGATTAGAGCTGGCTAACCACCCTTGCATAACAAAATTGAAAGCACATGTTTAAAATAGCAACTTTCCTTGCAACATTGCTACTTACTCTTTTGTTTTTTTTTTTTTTTTTAATTTATTTAGGTTACAATTAACTAATAATAATAATCTTACTATTTATATAACTAATCTTATTTCTCTAAAAATAATTAAGTAAAACTAAAAAGATTATTATTATTATTTTTATAACTAACAATGAGATTAAATTTGCAATAAAAATTTAAAAGAGATGATCGGTTATTTTTCTTGCACAATTTGAACAAAAATCTATGATAAAAAAAAACAAACTTTGATGTAAATTTTTTTTTTTTTAAATTTTAAATTAAAGTTTATTGGTTTTTTTTTTCATTCTTTTGTTGTTCACTTATCGTTATTATTATCATTCTTAATATTATATTTTAATATATCGTTGTTTTGGTTGATTGTCTGATTGATCGATTCATTGATTGATTGATTGATATTAATATCATTCATTCATTCATTCATTTTGATCTATAGATCATTAATAGTTTGTTAGTTGATTAGATAGATATATAATAGATAGATAGATAGTTAGTTATATAATCTCTATTGATATTTGTTTTGTGACAAATAAAAATGAACAGTCAACACTATCATGGTGGACATCATCAACAACAACAACAACTGCAGCAACAACCACAACAACAGCAACAACAGATAGTACCAGCAAAAGTGAAGAAAGGTTATAAACTATAAGTATCAAAACAAATACAATAATCACATTCAATTCAATACAATACAATAAGGACTGACATTATGTTTTGTTGTTTTGATAATAATTACATCGCATCAAAAGTTGGTTTTGGATATAGATGTTGATAGATCTTTGGTCGAAGGATATACAGAGTTGATTATACAGCCACAGACTCGTAAACTCAGACAGGATAAGATTAGATTGAACTGTAGACAGATCGTTGTTAGTCGTGTAGAGGTAAACAATGTTGAAGCACAGTTCACACTGAAGAACTATCTCGAGTGTATCGTTGGTTCACCAGATGTACGTGATCTCGACACCTTTCAAGCATACCATCGTGCTGCCACTCATGCATCGGAAGAAGGTGAACTCTCCATTGAAATACCATCAAATGTACAATTCTATGAAATCATAACTGTAAGTTGTTGTCAACTAATTAAAGTGTAAACTAGTTTTGTGATTAATGTTTGTTTGTTTGGTTAACTTTAAAACAACACCAACTTTATAGGAAACTATAAATCAGGTTGTCGATGAAAATTCAAAAGATGGTGGTGTTGGAAGTGGAAGTGGAAACAATAGTAAGTTGAATGAAAGTACAAAGGATCTGTCGTTGTCTACAAGTGGAGCAGTTCTTCCCAGTACCGGAAGCGGTGCGGCACCACAGACAAGACAACACATACAGTTCTCTCCGTTGTTTGTAAAGGTGTATTACAAGTTGGCGTCGCCAGCCGGTGGGGTTATGTTTGTCAAGCCCGATCTAGTGGAGTGGCCAACGAGACGTGCTCATTGTTACACAGTTTCTCAGGCGGATGGCGCGCGTATGTGGTTTCCATGCTGCGACCAACTCTCTGAGAAGTGCACATGGGAGCTTGATCTGACTGCGCGCGCTGACCAGGTGGTAGTTGCCACCGGCCAACTCTTGGAGAAGGTCGCCAGCGAGGATGAAACACGCAACACCTTTATCTATCGCCAGGAGGTGCCTACTTGTGCTGCCGGTATCGGTATGGCAGTCGGTCCGTTTGAGATCTATCCGGATCCATTCCTCCACAGTGTCAACCACTTTTGTCTGCCACACCGACTGGCCGATCTCAAGCAATCGGTTCACTTCTTCACGACGGCATTCAAATTCTACGAGGAGTATCTCGGTTCTTCTTTCCCCTATAGTTCGTACAAGCAGGTGTTTGTAGACGACGTTCCAACCAATCAGAATAGCTATGCAACGCTGGCAGTACTGAGCACTCATCTCTTGCACTCGGCGCGAATCATTGACCAGACCTTTGAGACACGTTCGATTCTCTGTCAGCGTCTGGCCACTCAGTGGTTCCTCTGGTACATCGGACCAAAGACATGGTCGGATCTCTGGCTGTCCCAAGCACTGTCCGGACATCTCTGCTCTATTTTCCTGAGAAAGATGTTTGGAATCAATCACTATCGATTGCAACTCTCAAAGGACATTGAATACGTCACCGAGCTCGACAATGGAACTCAGCCACCGCTCTCCTACGAGCATTTCAACCATCCAACAGAACTACTCTCTGAATTCCAACGTAGAAAAGCACCTCTTATCATCTACATGATTGAGCGACTCATCTCTGAAGACGGTCTTCGTAAAGTACTGAACAGCATGTTGGTCTCCCAAACTGGAAACGAACCCATAGAAACAATCATGCCAACCAAAAAGTTTTTGAAAATGATAAAAACACTCACAGGACAAGATTTAAAGCAATTCTCAGAGAGATGGATGTAAGTTGTTAAAGATAATCGAATAGTTAAAACAAAAAAGTATTAACCCGCCAACAAAAAAACTTTATTATTTTAGTTTTGGAAAAGGAACACCTCATTTATTATGTGGATTCTATTTCAATAGAAAGAGACATCAAACAGAGTTTGCGATGAAACAACTTGCTGCGAGACCAGAAGACAAGATAACGTCACCCATTACACTGAGGATTACAGAGTTGGATAGAACCTACGAGCATATCATCAATTTCGACGACGATTGGAATCAATACGACTTTCCTTGTCACTCGCGTAATCGTAAGAGTAAGAAGAAGAAGATTCGTCACGACGACGGCGAGGAAATGGAAATCGATCTCTCACAAAAGCGTGAGACACCACTACTCTGGTTCCGTATCGACCCAGAGATCGAATGGATTCACAAGATCACTTTTAAACAACCGGAATACATGTGGGTTCATCAGCTCGAATTGGATCGTGATGTGATCGCCCAATCAGAGGCACTCTGTGGTCTAGCCAGCTTCCCAACACTCTATTCACTACGATCGGTATTTAAATTCTTTTGTAATCAAAAACAATATTATAAAGTTAGAATGGAGGCTGCATTAGTCATTGCTAAAATTGTAAGACCAACAAATATAATATCAAAAATAACAGAGTTTTTTCTAACATCATTTGCAATTATGAATAATAATGTATAGTCATGTAAAGAAACAAATTATGAAGGATTGGAATTAATGATTAGCTATTTTAAATCACAATTCTATGATCAAGAGAGTGGATTGTTGGATGAAAACAATTTTACAGATTTCATCAATTATTACATTCGAAAGATCATCCCTGTTTCAGTTTCATTAATGAAAGATAAAGATGGTAGAACACCAGCTGAGGCCATTGAATTCTTGGTCGATTTATTAAAGAATAATGAAAACTCTTCCAATCCTGTAAGTTTTAATTATAAATAATAATAATAACATAATCTTTAATTAGTTTATAAACTAATCAAACATATTATTTAACTATGTACTTTAATTATAGTTTTCAGATAATTATTATTTGGCATCGATTATGTCATCGTTGGCCAATGTAAATACAAACAATGATCAACTCATTAAATCGATGCATAATCAGATTGTCAGATATCTAAAGTTTGACCAACTGTATCCATGCTATCGAAATACGATCACCATTGCAGCGTTGCAGGCACTCTGTCATTTCCAGACTATGAAATACATTCCAGTCGATCTACAGATCTTCCTGAACCACACTCAATATCGTTACTTTGAGGAGATCAGAAAGACTGCTTTTTCTTGCTACTATAAACTTGCCTACCTATTCCCAACCTACACAAACTATCCTCCATCTATATATTCATCATCCACCACCACATCCTCTTCAACTTCAAAATCAATTGTTCCATCATCATCTTCGTCTTCATCAAGAACTTTACATTTACATTTTATTTTAGATTGTTTTGAAAAAGAGAAATCTCCATCAGTAAGTAAAACTAAACAAGTGTATCTATTGATATATTATATGGTGAATGAATACTGACAATCTAATCCAATCTAATTTACTATATTTAGATGAAACATTTCTTTATTGATCTAATTAGTAGTCCACCTATTTCAATGGAGGAAAGATCATATATTTCAATCTTTAAAGACGATTATCATTTAATTGATAGACTATGGAGTATATTAAAGTAGGTTTCATCTCTGTATACATTTCAGAATTAACACTGTGAATTCATTTTTGATATTAAACATCGTCATTATCATTTTTTGTAGTTCCAATATGACAGCTTATGATTTCTTACTTAGATTTAGTATTCAAAAACTATACAAGAATTTCTATGGTAGTAACACTCCAATGATTATCGTACACAGAAGAAAGAAAGCTCCATCATCCAATATCAAACTAAAGGCAATCGTTGGTTCTACATCAAGTCAAAAGCCACCTTCATCTCATCATTCTAGAGTAAGTTTTAAATATTATTTTTTTGGCGCCAGGTTTTTTATTTTTATTTTACAATTCTTATATTAATTTATTAATTAAATTAAATTATCAGCATTCTTCAAGTAGTAGTAGAGGAGATAGAATATTATCACATGTATCCAGTAGTTCGAACTCTTCATCCTCTGTTTTGAAAAAGAGAAAACAACCAGAGGAATTTGAACCACCACTAAAGATTCACATCAAGGTGGAAGCGCCACCACCAAGTGGAAATCAATCACCTCTCTCACAAACCAATCACTCTTCACATTCACCAATGAGTAAGACTGAAGAAAATGTTGGTGGACATCATCGTGGTTCCAGTGAGAAGGATAGTCATGGACATCACCACCATCACCATCATCGTAATAGCGCTGGTTTACCACCAGGAGGTAACACAGGAAGTCTTGGTCCTTCTGCCAATAACGATCCATTCAGCGGTGCTTCGGAAACCAAGGAAGATCTACTGAAGAAACTTCTCGAAAGCGAGGACTTTAATGACGATAATGAATTCAAAGAGTTCTTGGAGTTGTCGCGTGAAAAGAAACATCGTAAGCATCACCGAAGTGATAGATCGTCGCGTGAAGGTCACCATCGTGAACACCGTGGCGACCACAACGACCCAATTGAGAATCTCGACAAGGACATTGCTCGTGATCTATCGAAGGAGCTCAATCGTGAGCATCGTGGCAAGGACAAAGATCTATTTGGTGCCATTCTCAACTTGGACCTGGAGGCAGACGAGGACTTTAAGAAGGATCTCGATTTGATTGAAGATCTCGGATCGCGTGAGCTCAGTCGATCGTCGAGAAACAGAAGTAAACATCACAGTAAACATAGTGACCATCATCGTGGCGATAGAGAAAGAGAGTACAGAGATAAGGAAAGAGGAGAACATCGTAGTAGCATTGAGAAGAGTAACAGCGAACAATCTTCTCTTTCAACAACAAGACCTCAACAACCACCATCTGGTGTCATCCCACCGCTTGACGAAGAGATATTGAATATTGAAAAGGATGAAGGTTTAGTATTTGGAGGCAGCAATACCAATGCTAATAGACTTAAAGATAGAGATAGAGAGATGGTTCCTGTTGGTGGTCGTCCAGACAACAATAACCAACAACAACAACAACAACAGCGTAATTCTATTGAACATAGAGGTGATCGTGAACATAGAGATCATGGACGAAGTGAACATAGGGAGAGAGGTGAGCACCGAAGTAGTGAGCGTGACAATCGTGAGCATAAGGATGTCATTGGTAGACCAGAGCGAAGCGAGCATAGAGAGAGAGGAGAACGTGACAATCGTGAACATCGTGAAAGAGGAGAGCGTGACAATCGTGAACATCGTGAAAGAAGTGAGCGTGATAACCGTAGTGGTGAATATCGTGAAAGAGGTGAACGTGACAATCGTAGTGGTGAACATCGTGAAAGAGGTGAGCGTGACATCTCCAGACAAGAGAGAGATAAATCAATTGAACATCTCGTTGGAGAGAGAAAGAATGATAAAGTTGACAGAGAACTCAGAGACAGAGACAGAGAGCACAGAGAAAGACCAGAGAGAGGTGAACGTCCTGAGCGTCCAGAGAGGGGAGAGCGACTTGAACGTCCTGAACGTCCTGAACGATCTGAAAGAGGTGAACGTCCAGAGAGAGGAGACCGTCCTGAGCGTCAAGATCGTATGGAAAGAAGTGAACGTCCTGAACGTCCAGAGAGAGGAGACCGTCCAGAGCGAGCAGAGAGAAGAGAGGAGAGAGAACACCATCGACCGGAAAGAAGCGAGCGACCAGAACGCGGCGAAAGAGAGCACCACCGCTCAGAACGTTCAGAGCGAGACCGTGAGCACTCTCGACCCGATAGAGAAAGTCTTAGACAGGAGCGTGAGCGTGAGAGAGAACGTGAACGTGAACGTGAGCGCGAGAGAGAAAGAGAGCGTGAGCGTGATAAACACCAGGTCATCGAACACACTCACGACCCAGTGCCCTCCAAACCCGAACCAAAAGCCAATCTCCGTATCCCCATTCGACTTCCAAAGAATGTTGGAGCTGGTGGTAGTAGCGGCAGCAGCAACAGCTCTACAACCTCATCGTCAAAGGAAGAGCAACACCAGGCACCACCCACCGTTCAACATCCAATCGATAACACAGCTATCGATATCAATATAACATCACCACCACCACCTGTACAAGAATTGAAAAAGAGAATCGTATTTAAATCTAACACCAACAATAACAATAACAACAACAACAATAATAATAATAATAGCACACCACAAAAGACTGAATCAATTACATCGACCACAACTACAACTACAACGACAAACACTTCGTCGACAACACCCAATCCACAAACACCTCCAAACAATACAGGTGACAGCAATCCAGCACCAAAACCTAAACTTTTGCTTAAAATCAATTTGGGTGCAAATAAGATCCAAAAGGAAATTTAAAGCTAATAAGCGAAATAAACAAATTCGTTAAATCGTTAAAAAATAGAATGCTGTGGGTGAATCTAATTACCAATATTTATTTTTATTATTAATAAAAAATTTAAACTCCAAAAAAGTTTTTTACCAAAAATAGTAAAAAAATTAAATCCAATGAAAAAAAAAATGTATATCTTTTAAAAATAGTGAAATTCACACACTCAATCCTTATTAGGATGGTAATTTAATTTTTAAGAAACATTTTTATAAAGTGTAGAATGAAAACCAACCTTATAGTTATACTCTCTATTTTTTTTTCATAGAAGTAGATAGATCTCATGACATCCAAATAAGAATAGTAAATCGACAATACTTTAAAGATATCTTTAATTGGTTTTGCATTTACAAAAAGTTTTTATTTTTTTTTTAGTTTCTTTAGTTCTTTTTTTTTTTTTTAACATTAATAATAATAATACTTCAGATAAAATAAAAATAAGAATAAATATTTGTTTATATATATAATACTTGGATTGTTTTTAGTTAACCTCATCCTTTTTGTTTTTTTTTTATTTTGGTTGGAATTTATTTCCACCATTTCGGTTTAATATCTTTATCTAGATCTATAATAATAATAAACTATTAAAATAAATTGGTATAATAATTAATCTATATAGATATAAAAAAAAAATGTTGATTAAAGAATAGTAAGTTTTTGTAATTAAAAAAAAAGTAAAATAATATTAATATTATCTGTTAATCTAGTCGAATAGTTCTTCCAATGACCTGTGAAGAATATAATATAGGTCAATTATATATGATAGCAAAGAAGAGTCAGTCAATGAGCAGAGGTGAAGGTGTTGAAATAGTAAAGAATGAACCATATGAAAATATGAATGGTAAAGGCCAGTATACACATAAAATATTCCATTTGAAACAGTAAATATCTATATTCTTTAAATATTTTAATATTTTTTGTTAGTAATACTAATACTTTAATATAAAGAAAAAAATCTTTGCCTGCAATAGCACTGGCACTTCTACCCAATAGTATTAAAATAGTAGAGCAATCTTGGAATGGTTTCCCTTATTGCAAAACAGTATATACAGTAAGTAAATTGTAATAAATACAATTTTTTTTAATTTACTTACAAAATTTTTAAATAATAGTGTCCTTTCTTTGGTGATAAATTCTCAATTAGTATAGAATCAGTGCATAAAGATGGAAATGATGACGAGGAGAATGTATTTGACTGCTCTGAGGATATTCTGAGTCAGAGAATAATTGACCATATCGATATCGCCAATGACCACATTGAAAAGAAAGATTATATTAAAGAGGAGGATCCACGGTTCTTCTTGTCAAAGAAAACATCCAGAGGCTTACTAAACACTCCAGATTGGATGGTATGTAATAATATAAAACAATCTATTGATTTTTCTTTTTACTTATGCTTTTTGTTGAAATATTTTTTTTTAGTCAAGAGTATCTCCATCAATGACATGTTATAAATTAGTAAAGGTGGAATTCAATATTTGGGGATTCCAAACTAGAATTGAAAATATTATTCATTCTGTAAGTTATAACCTCTTCTTTTTTTTGTTTTTTTTGTTAAATCAATGAATTTCTTTTACTAACTTTCTAAATTATTTTATTTAGATCGGACTTAGAGATACTTTATTGAAATCTCATAGGTCATTGTTTTGTTGGATAGATGAATGGTTTGGATTGAACATTGATGAGATTAGAAAGATTGAAAATAAAGTTGTAGAGCATCAACACCACCAAGAAGAGTTGCAGGAAATTAAGAACATTCTTGCTTAACTATAATTTCAAATAATAATAATAATAATAATCATTATTTACTTTCATCATTAAAATAAAAACCTATAACTTAACCATATGTTTTATGTACATAAACAAAAAAAAACAAATTTACTTTATTTATACAATTTACACTTATCTTACTTTTTATAAATACTAAACTAAAGTAAGTATTTGGTATACTAATTATTTTTGGTAGGATCAATATCTGGATGATACACTATTGCTGGTCCACTTATGACAACTGTCTCCTTGCCTGTTTCATGACATATCGCTATACACTTGGTGTCCAACGTTACCTTTTGGCCTTTGATGCTTTCGACTTTGACCTCTGCTCTGATCTCATTACCAACATATGCTGGTTTCAGGAAGTTCAACTCTTGTTTTATATAAATACTACCAGGTCCTTCAAATAATAATAATAACATTTAATTACAAAAAAAAAAAAAAAAAAAAAAAAAAAAAAAGTTAACAAAACAAATAACAATTAAATTTATATAAAACAAATAAACAACAATAAAAACAATAATAACAACAACGCAACAACAATTAATAATAATAATAATAATAACTAATAGTCATCTATTTTTTGTATAATTATAATAAACTTGCAAACAACATACCAGGTAATTGAGTTGCAACTGCTGAAGATAACATTGAACTAACTAAAATTCCGTGAATGATTGGCTTTTTGAATCTTGTGGTGGCGGCATACTCTTTGTTGAGGTGTATTGGGTTGAAGTCACCAGACAACTCTGCAAACGTTCTCACTTCATTCTCACCGAATCTCTTTGTCAATTGGGCAACATCACCGACATTAATATTCAAACTCTTTCTTGCACTACAAAAATATCTTCTCAACATCACTCTACTCCACTATTTCTCTAAAATCTAATCTAATCTAATATAACATATAACATTGTTGTTGATATTCATACTATTCTCTTACAAATTCATTTGTCAGTCAAAAAAAAAATTACAAAAAATTTTAAAAATTTTTTAAAAAAAATCAAAACTAAATTAAAAAAAAACGACTTTATTCAGTTGAATGGTCGATCCCAGCTTACACTGTTTAATTGAGTTTGCTGATGTATTTATTATAAATTACTTTTTAAAAAAAAAACAGAATTCTCATTTCATTTCATAATTTGTTAATATATATATATACACATATAATTACAATACGCACATATAAATATTATATAAAGATGAAATCAATTTTAAAATTAACAAATAGTATCCCTAGAAATGGTATTTCTCAGACTATGCAAGAGTCTTTATATGGTAGTAGATTATCGGTGACACCACACTTTTATAATGTACAAAATTGCAGATTGTTCTCTTCGAAACCATCGTCGTCAGATGGCTCTGATGATAAAGTTAAACCAAAGAGAGGTAGACCATCAACTAAATTTGAAAGAAGATCATCATCTACATTATCCTCTACAAATAACACAGATAACATTACAAACATCAATAACAACAACAACATTGTCATTGAAGATCAACAACAACAACAACAAAATCAAGATTTATTAAAAACAGATATTTCTACTTCTACTTTAACACAACCACCAACAACAACAACATCAACTACAACCAAATCAACATCAAATAAAGCAATAAATGATAATGGAAATACAAGTCAACAACAACAACAACCAAAAGATAGTTTGAAAAATACAGATGGTATTGCTTTGAATTTCAAGATGCCAGATCAGAGACCAAGAATGGTCAGTGTATCAGATGATATCATGGGTGAAGACTCACTGCAACCAAAAGAGATTGTTACCGAGCTCGATCGATACATCATCGGTCAGGCAGAGGCAAAGCGTGCAGTCTCTATTGCACTCAGAAACAGATGGAGAAGAAAGAGATTGGATTCATCAATCAAACACGATGTCTATCCAAAGAATATACTTATGATCGGTCCAACCGGTGTCGGTAAGACTGAAATTGCAAGACGTCTCGCCAAGATTGTAAATGCACCGTTCGTCAAGGTAGAGGCAACCAAATACACAGAGGTCGGATTCCACGGTCCCGACGTCGACTCTATCATTCGTGACCTCGTTGAAGTCTCGATCAACAACATCAAATCAAAGATTGGTTCAACACACAAACAACAAATCGATCAAGAAATCGAAAAGGAAATCATCTCTTCATTGGTTGGTCCTACTTTTCAAGATAGATCTTATGATGATTTAGTAAAGTAAGTAGTTATTAGAGAGAGCGATAGAGATAGAGAAAAAGAGAGAGAGAGAGATTTACATTCTTATGTTAATTCATTTTGACTAACAAACAAACACAGATTATATAGAGAGAAATGTTTGGAGAATATTCAAATAGAATTAGATTTACCATCTAATAATGACTCGAAATCAGTGGATGAAGAGATCATTCCATTTGCAAAGTTATTCAATATTCAAGTAGAAGTCAACAAACCAACAAAGAAGAAAACATTAACTGTTGCTGAAGCAAGAAATACTTTAGAGAAAATGTATGTTTATCTTTTTCTTTTAATATCTATATTATTATCAATTTAATTAACTCTATTTCAATACATAATATTAGCTATAAAGATAAAGTTATTGTAGCACAAGATGTAACTAAATTAGCAGTTCAATCAGCAGAGCAGAATGGTATTGTATTTTTGGATGAAATCGATAAGATTTGTACAGTCAAAGAAAGTAGTCATAGAGGTGGCGATGCAAGTACCGACGGTGTACAGCGTGATCTGCTTCCAATTATTGAAGGTTGTAATGTAAATACAAAGTATGGAAATGTCGATACTTCAAGAATCCTATTCATTGCCTCTGGTGCTTTTCACTCTAATAAACCTTCCGATCTTATAAGTGGTAAGTGCTACAAGATATTCTTATTTGTTTTTTGTTAGTTTGCAAACTTTTAAAAGTAAAGTTTACTAATTGCAATTAATTCCAATCAATTCATTGAAAAAAAAACAACCTATAGAGTTACAAGGTCGTCTCCCCATAAGAGTAGAACTCAAACCGTTGGAACAACACGATTTCTTTAGAATCCTGACAGAGCCAAAGAACAACCAGATTCAGCAACAGGTAGCACTACTCAAGACTGAAGATATCGATTTGGAGTTCACTCAGGATGCTTTGCAAGAGATTGCACGTATTGCATTTGAAGCCAACGCTCAAGTGCAAAACATTGGTGCAAGAAGACTTCATGGTGTCATCGAGAAGATCGTTGAGGATATAAGCTTCAATTGCGACACTCATAAAGGTCAAAAAGTCACTATCACCGTCGATGATGTTAAGAAACACCTAAGCGATCTAATGCTAAAGACTGATCTATCAAAATATATTATTTAAACAACAACAATTTACAAAAAAAAAAAAAAAAAAAATCCAAAATGTAAACGATTCCCCCCTATATATATTAAAATTACAATAAACATTAAACAACTAAAACAGTTTGGGAGTTCATAATAATGTATACAATTTAATATCCTAATAAATGAATATTTGCAAAAAAGAGTAAAATTATTACTGAAAAGAAAAATGCAAAGATAGATCTATAACCCCAGATGGTCTGAAAGTTGAACTGCTAAAAAAACCATTGCGAATCAGAAAATTATGAAATATATTTGGATTATTATTTTACAATTTTCTTTATGAGACATGTTCTTTTTTTAAATTGAAAATGTAAAACAAATTTTATTTATTTAATGGGTGAAACAATAGTTTTTCTGCCAATCACACAAAAAGGTAACAACTTTTTTTCTACATCCACCACATTTTAACTTTGAAATTTAGATTATTTGTATTTTACTTTAAATTCAAATGTTTTTTTTTTTTTTTTTTATTTGGTCATCATAGATATAATCTTGTTTACTCTGTAAAATGTTGACAATTTACAAAAAAATAAATTTAATATAAAGTTCATAACTGAGTAGTGTTAAAAGGTGGAATGAAAAAATGAAGTTTCTTGAACGGATTAATGAGTATCTCATAATTATGAGATATGTGTTTTTTGTTAGATTTGGAAGATTTTGTTCAAATTTGGGTTGATCTGATGGCTGCAACTAGTTGGGATCCTAACATTCATATGAAAACAAGCAAAAATATATTTTGCTTTTTATTAAACAATGTTAATTTTGATTTGATGTCTACCGAATATTATGATTTTTTTGATTTTAGTTTCTTCGTTTGATTTTCGTGTAGAATAAAAGCTCGCAGTATAAGCCATTTTTTTGAGAAAATTTTGGTTCTCTTCACACACCAACACCACCATTCAATCAAAACCTTTTATTGGTCTTTGCTTTTTTTTTTGTTGGTTGTAAATTTTTTTTTTTTTTTTTTTTTAATAAGTTTGAAGCGATAAAATATATGAGCAACAAAACAAACTCATGAGCATCAAGTTCGCTATCATTTCACTCCACTATAAATAGTGTTATTTTTCAAATCTCATCAGTTACTTATTAACTACACCGTCATCAAAAATCTATTATATATTTGTAATACAGATAAAAATACCACAAAAATTATTTTTTTTTTGATTGTTGACGAAGCAATCAGAAATACTTAACACAACAAATAATTAATATATTTTGTCATTTTTTTTCATACCATCCTTTTTATTTTAACTAATTTCATGAAATTATCAAACAACTCTATTCTGTTGGCCATTTTGACAATTTTCGGATGTCTTTGTGTTGAGAGCACCGTTGTAGATCCATGGATCTTCGAGTCCCGTCATGAATTGTACAATTCCATATTGAATGGAACACATTTGCCATCGATTTTCGGAAACGACAACCAAGGCAATTTATTGTGGGGACTACCAATCCAGTTGGTTTGGCAGTTCAATTCCGGACGTTTGGAAACGACCACTCTTTCGTCGCAGCAACATCGTATCAATGAGAGATCGTGGTGGGCATCAATGAACTACTACCTCTCGGTGATTCCATATTTATCAGCGATGAACCGTGGACTCGTTCCAGTAGTGGAAATTGCACCACCAAAAACTTACCCAAATTCTCTATTCTGTCTCACCTATGCCAGTTGTGATAAATCGGTCATGTCCAATTGGGACAATTACTTTGATGCCTACATCCAATTGTCACACAACTCCTCAGCACTGACCCTTGATCAACTCCTTAAAATCATGTGGATTGCCCACACCGGTAGTATCCGTTACTCTGGCTCGAGATTGACCGACTACATCAATCTTTTGCCACCAAAGGAAAAAAATTTTGGAAACGGTTGGGGTAACTTTGTTGAGGTTTTGGACATTGTTGGATTCAATACCAACTTTACCAATGTAAATGCCCTCGGTGTCAATCTACCACCACGTATGCTTTCATTGTTTGACTTCCCACCATTCATTCACGATATGACAAGACCACAAAACAATGTTGCAGCATCGATGCTCACCATCAATGACATCACCAAGCTTCCATTGGTATGGAACGGTGCTTTGGAAACTCTTCGTGGACTCGAACTCATTCCACAATGTCACGATCTAATTCTTCATGAAATCAACGATTTTATCACTAACCCAATCGACACCATTCTTGAATTGCTTGGAAAGTTTGTAACTCTCTGTGGTGCTCTTTAAAAATCAAGTACTATTGTTTACATTACCTAACAAGTACCATTAAATAAAATATAATTGTACGAGTTACAAAAAAAAAAAAAAAAGTCTAACCACCAAAAAACTTAATCAAATATCAATTTAATAGATTCTTTTATTGATATTATAACAGATATCTGTGTGTTGTGTGAATGTGAATTGTAACAAATAAAAATTAAAAATTAACAGATAGATATTTATTGTGTTAAAAAAAAGAATAAAAATGGTGTCATTGATTGAATATCTGTTGCCATTATTACTCTCCAGTTTTTTTTATCAAAATAAAGAAAGACACTTTTATCAAATTGAATAAATTGGTGGGAAGTGTAGATTTAACTTTTCTAAGGAAAGATATAAATATCCTTTGTTGAATGTGACTGGGAATATGTACAAAACACACAAATAAAGAATAAGTTGGAGTAATGAAGTTAAGTTAACTCTGACCACTTAAATGTCTCGAAAAAAAAAAATAGTGTGTCGCGATGTAGGTGGGTGTTGTTCTTATATTGGGCCTCAAATTCTTTTATAAAAATAAAAATAAAAAAAGATATATACGTTAGCCATAATATTTATTCTTTTTTTTTTCAATTAATTAAAAAAAGAAAAAAAATGAAAAAAAAAACGGTGTTTCGTTTCTTTGTTTTGTTGCGTGGGTGGGTGAGGCTTTTTAAAACAACAAAAAGATAAATAATAATAACAGGGTTTTAAAAACAACACACAATCAATAACAAATAAAAAAAAAAACCAAATTTTTTTAAAAATAAAAATAAAATATCTTTTTATGTTGTTTGTTTTTTTTTTTGGTTTAGAAATAATAATAAGTTGTTGTGTGTGTACTTTTGAGTCTTCTTTTTTTTTGAATTAATATTTTTTTATTTTTATTTTTATTTTTATTTTACGACGAGTTGTACTCAGTCTTTCATTCATTTATTTTTCTTTCTTTTTATATCATTACCATTTTTCGTTATCGTTGTTTTGTGTTGTTGTTTATTTCGTTGTTGTGAAATAATACAATACTTTTATAAAAGTTTACAGTATAATTACAGTTACAAGATATAAGTTTGTTATTTTTAAGATATAATATTCTTTAATTAATTAATATATTCATATATATATATTATATATATCTTTTGGAATCAGTTCTTCAATCTTAACTCCAAAGTTCGCTTCATTACCACGCAATCGAAAAGACTGTAAAAATAAAATATCAATTTTTTTAATTTTTTATAGTTTTTTTTTAATAAATTTTTAATAATTATCTAATATTTTTCCAACTATCATATAATATTTCAATCAAAGAGTACGCTTATCAGTCTTTCTCAGATCACCTTTGGAATTTTTAAAAAAATATAAATATATAAAGTAAGTACAAAATCAAACACAGAATCGATTAGAAATAACAGATAGGTGAGATGGAAGGAAGGATGTTGAACATCGACATCATTTAAAATCAATCCTCAAGTTCAATTTATCATACCTATCAACCAAGCAATCAATCTTTTAAAGAATTTTATTTCGTTTAACCCACACACAAAAGAGAAAAGAATTTATTTTTCTTTACAATAACATAAACAAACAATACATGTTTTTGATTGTATTTTAGATTTATCTTTATTATGTAATGATGATCTTGTAAAGGTGGATGAAGATTTTTCAGAACTTAACACATACACCACACCAACCCACCACGCCTTCCTTTTATGAACAAAACACCCCATAAATGAAACTCAAAAATGACCTTTAAGCATTTTGCCTTTCTAAAAAAAAAACCAAATCTTTCAAAATGCCCACAAAATACTCATTAAAACTACAAATGTTCAATAGAAATATTTAAATATTTCTTTCAAATACTTGTGCATAGTATTACTATTTTCATTTTGATGTTGACACATTGTAATGGCAATAATAGCAATTAGTTTATTGGGTCAAAAAAAATAAACAAATGGGTTGGATTTTTTAAAAATAAATAAATATAAATATTTATATTATATTTATTGTATTTATCTTTAGAATAATATTAAAAAATTAAATAAACATAAATATTATTTACAAGTAATGAAAAATTATCATATTTCAAAGAAGAATAAGAATAATAATAATAATAATTGTTAGTTACAGTTTATGCTATTAATTATTTATAAATAAATTTAATAAGGAGATTAGAGATTACTAATTTTATATTACAGAGATACTTAAAATTAAATTTAATTAAATTGTATATCGTTATATTTGTGTGTTGTTTTTTGTTTTAAAAATAATATCCGACACTTTTTATCTCTAAATGAAAATTACAACTTCACCACCCCACATATTTTTACAAAAAAAATTAAAATATATAAAAAAACAATGAAATTTGTATATATTTGTAAAATAGTATTAGTAATTTCACTTAGGAATTACTCATATCTATATGTTTCAACTGAACATGCATAATTGTTTTAATGTTTTGCTTTCTTTTGTTTATCATTGATACCCTACCTTTATTTGGGTACCACAATACTGCAAAAACAAAAAAAAAACAGAGATGTAAATAAATAAATATATTGGCTGTTTTAAAAAGAAAATGTTTTTTTTTTTTTGTTTTAAAAATAACTTGTTAAACATCTCTAAAAATGATAAAAATATCTTATGTATAATAAATAATTAAACAATAACTTATTAATTTCCGGTTTCGTATCTATTACAACTGCAACCAACAACACATGAAGTACAGACTCACTCACCCACTGTTGTTTGTCCAACCTCTTGTATACCTCTTTTACTCAAAGTAATACAAATTCAATTTCAATCTCTGACCTTTTTTTGTTTTTATTTTACATTTGTAATTTTTCTTTAAAGAAAAATCTTATTTTTTTTTTATTTTTTTTTCATTATTTGTTTTTTATTTATTATTGTTATATATTTTTATTTATTACAAATAAATAAATAAATATAGGTAAAATTTTATTTATTTCAACATTGACTTTGCAGATATTACTATATTTATTAATAATAAATTATAATAACATATTTCAATAACATATAACAATATTGTATTATAATAGTTAAAATAAAATATAATTATATAATTAAAATATAATATCGTATTATTATTATTATTGCTTGCTTATTTATTTGTTATTTCAACTCAATAATCATTTCATTGTATTTTCAAATAGATAGATAGATAGATCTCGACAATAAACACACAAAAAGTAATACTTTCGTTTTGTTTAAAATTTTTTATTTTATAACAAAGCAGTATTTGTAGATATAATTATAACTTAACATACCATCTCTGATGTATTTTATTCGTTTAATCTTTTGGTAGTCCTCAGCACACACAGGGATCTACCTATTATCATTCTACTCTTTAGAAGAGAAGTCTCCTAACCACTTTTCTCACTCTCAAACAAACCCCACCACTCTTCAATCCCCACACAACACACTCACCACACACACAATTTCAAATATTGTACAATTACTCCAAAATATAAATAATATTAAAAAAAACAAATAACTGACGAACCAATAACAATAATAATAATAATAATAATAATAACTGTAATAGTACCACTCTAAGAAGTGTTAACACTACCACCACTCTTTCACTTCACTGCCATTCAAGAATCAAGAAACTTTAACTTTTAAAATTCCATATTCTTTATTTGTTTGTTTTCTTCTTTTTATCTCTCTATCTGTTATCTATCTCTTCATAGGGCACTACCACCAAATTCAAACAAACAAACATCAACTTCATTATTCATTCCTAAACTTAACCTACCACTAACAACAGTATAGTTTCGCTATTTGAACTATTTTGTATTTATGACAACCAATAATAATCAAATAGATAATTAGAAGATAGATAAATAGATAGAGTTAATAGATTATTGATTTAAATCAATCAATATCAAATCACATCCACACTACAACATTTATTATTTAACTTATTCACCGACAAACAAAAAGAAGGAACAAAATAACTAATTATTCTTTATTCTTTATTTCTTAAAAAAAAAAAAAACCAATTTAATATAAATATTATTTATATCTGTACTTTTAAAAATATAGTTTTTTTTTTTTCATTTCTTCAAGTTTGAAAACAAAAACCAAACGACACTAAAGTGAACAAAGATATTTTTGATCAAAATCAAAGTATATCAGCTGTTTTTTTATTTTTTTTTTATTTTTGAAAAACAAAAAAAAAAATTATTTTTCCAAAAACGCAACTTCACAGACTCACATAACACACCCACCAAAACAATATGGACCAAGTTAATTACGCTCCTGCTCTCTCAACAGGAAATAATAGTGGTGAACAATTCGCACCACAGAGACAATCAACTACACAATCACCAACAATGAACTCTCAACAACAACAACAACAACAACAATCAGGAAACAGTACTCGTTACGACGATGACCACTATTCGTCGCCACCCTCCAACTACTCCTACTCTCCTGGACGTTCTCCAACCAGAGACTTGTCGAGCAGTGACCACGACACCTCTTCAAAGCGTGAGAAAAAAGACTCTGCTGCCTCCAGCTCAAATAACGGACCTTCGGCAGTGTCTGCCTCCAAGGGCTCCACCACCCAGTCATTGAACGGCTCCTACTCCTCACCATCTTTCTCCTCCACACCAACACCCTCCACAATGTCGCCAATGCACACCAGTGCTCTCTTGAACTCTGACGTCAAGAAGGAAGACGACTATCGCCACAGAGCCCCAGATCTCGATACCAAGAGCCCCTACGATGAAGATTCGAAAAAGAGAGATCGTGACTCAAGAGACAGTAGAGACAACAGAGATAGATCCGAGCGTAGCGATAGAGATAGAGAGAGAGACCGTAGCGATAGAGAGCGTGACTCAAGAGACAGCAGAGACAACAGAGACAACAGAGACAGATCGGAACGTAGCGATAGAGATCGTGAAAGAGAAGGAAGAGAACGCGATAGAGATAGATACGATCGTGAAAGAGATAGAGAAAGAGAGCGTGAAAGAGAACGTGATAAAGAACGTGACAGACAAAGATCAAGAGACAGTGATAGAGATGACAGAGTAAGAAGAGGAGATAGCAGCTCAACCAATTCTCCTTCAATGACTTCTTCACCCGCTCTCAACAGAAAATCATCAGATGTCAAAAAAGAGTTATTATTATCACCATCATCAACAGATAAGAAAGTAAAAGGTAAAAATATCAATATTAATACAACAAATAATATTTATAAAAACTAATTTTTTTTTTTTTTTTTAATAATTTATTAGCTGAACAAGTTCAAGAGTCAGGTGAATCTATAACAAAACATTTTAGCCAGAAAATAACAGAACTTGAAGCTGTAATTGCAAAGAAGAATATATTATTACAAAAATATAGAAAAACGTAAGTAATTTTAATTAACCAACCAAGCACCTAGATATTAATAATTCATTCTCTGCTATTATTTAATATATATTTAGATTATTAAAATTATTTGAAGATAAGGAATCTGGATCTGATAGCGAGAGTGATTCTAGATCTTATTCTCGTTCACCATCAAGATCGGCCTCATCTTCACCAGCACGTTCATCTTCAGAGTCCAGATACTCTGATACAGATGGATCGGACAGAGAGCACCGCCCCAAGAAGAAGGAAGGATCCAACTATCAACAAGGTAGCCATTCTCAACAAGCATCGGCAAACCAACAATATATTTTCACACACGAGAATGTCAACGAGCTAAAGAGAAAGAATGAAGACATCAAGCAACAGCCAACACCGGACGGAGGTCTCAAGAGAAGAAGAACCGGCTCCAGAAAGAATACACTGTGGTCTGCAGAGGATGATGAAACCTTTGCTAAAGCCTATAACAAATACGGAAAGAGTTGGAAGACCATCCATAGTTTGCTCCCAGGAAAGACCCGTGAGCAAGTCCAAAGTCACGGTCAGTACTTGATCAGAATCGGTAAGCTCGAAGATCTTCACAAGGACGGTAGAAGAACCAGACACCAAAAGCCAACACCAATCATCCAAGGATCCAACGGTGGCGGACACCATCACCACCACCACCACAGCAGCCACCACAGCAGTAGCAACATCCATCACGGTAGCTCCCAGAGTGGAAGCAACGGTGGTCACTACGGCGGTACCAACGGATCCTCCTCAATGAAACAAGAGTCCCACTCGAACTACTCTAACAATAACTATGATGATAAGCCATACGATTCACCTTATACTCCAGAGTCACCAAGAGACGACTATGATGAAGACAACGAAGTTAACATTGGACAATAAGCATCCAAGCGCCATAGCAGTTTCTATTTGAGACTATACTTTTTTTATAATATTACTATTAATAGAATATATATACACACACACACACCTGCACAACCACCTTACTTTAATATTAATATATGTACAACAATCATAATCAACACCCACTCTTACTTATCAAAACCATTACCGATCACCAACAAACCAACTCATCACCTTAAGGAGAAGAATAATCCCACAACAAACAAAATACAAAAAAGAAAAACAAAAACAACAAAAACAATGAAACTACATTACAGCTAAACATTGGCACATTGATAACTTTAAAATAATCTAAATTAAAGTGTTTAATATTATTTTGTTATTTTATAAATTATTACTTTCACTATATTCTTTCCTTCTACCAAACTGACAACTTCAACATCCTCTTCATTCCACTCCAAACAACAACAACAACAACGATATAAAGATCATATCGTTGCGCGGTTGTAGATTTGTTTCGTCAACCTACAACAACAACAACAATAATAATAATAATAAATTATAGCAACAAACCAAATATCAAATAAAATATTACTTTAAAACAATTAATTATATGATTGATGATAATAAATAAAATTATTTATTTGATTCTTATTATTATTATGATTATTATTATTACTTTATTATTATAATTACAAATGACTACTAATTAAGGTATAGACCTTTAGGTGCATTATCGGGAATACCAACTAAATCAGTATCAAATAACTCTATGAATTGTTCGTTTAATAATCTAACTTTACTACCTGCAAATCTTCTATATTCCTCCAAGATTGAAGTCAAATTCCATCGTTGTAACTTTCTTAAACATCCAACGACAGTACCTGTTCTATGTCTACCAAGATTACACATGATATGTAGAGGATAACTATCTGGATCCAAAACTATCTTTAATGCCGAAATAACTATATCTTCTGATATTGGATTCCAAGGATTCGTATGTGTATCCATTCCTAAATGTATTAATTCTATATCTTGATCATCGCAAAAGTTTACACTATAAATAATGATGATAATAGTTTATAATAAGTAATGATAGGTTAAGATGAATTGTGAGTAAGATGATTGATTGATTTCCTTATCATGCAGATTGATCTTGTTGTTTCTTTGATTCTTACAATTGTTGAGAAGGATCATCGGGTGCTAAAAAGATAATTTTCTTTAGTTGTAATTTCTCTAGAAAGGGAAAGTTTAACTCATTTGGTTGACCTGATCTATATAAATCATCTGCGACCATACCAAAGTTTAGTGGTGGTATATGATGAGCCATCTATCTGTATGTGGTATATAACAAATAATATATATATATCTATATTTGTTATAACACAATAATTAATCTGATAATGACATGTGACGCAATTGCGCTAAAAAAATCAAAAAAAAACTAAAAATCAAAAAATAAAAACAAAATAATGAACATTCAAAATATTTATTATCATTATTAAAAATTACTTTAGATCTATAGATTTTAATATTAACATTCTAATGTAATACTTTATTTTATTTTTATTTATTTAATACTAAAACTAATTATTTAATTCTATCTTTCTTTCTTTATTGAAATTTTAAATCTTTCAATTTCTGTAGGGAGTTTGTTCCAAGCAATCTAGTTTCTTTTGACATTGTTAGCATTTTATTCTCCAAATCGTATATTTTCGATATTATATCTACTTGAATGTTTGAATCACTATTTAGTTTTATCAAGTTTGTTGATTCATTTTTAATTATTTCTACTTTAATTCTAATTTCCTTCTCAGTCGTTTTGTGTCTAAACCAAGCGAAAATCAAATTAATCAACAATAGATAGCAACGATTCTCTCTTTTCAATTGATCCTTTTTATAAAGAAGTTGGGAAATTTCTTGAAAAGAAGAAGAAATATTGTTTTTTGATTTCAAGGTTCTTCCAAAATCCATAGTGGTTACACTTTCCAATTTCGATATATAGGATAAAAGATTATCTACTACTTCCATTCCTTCTTCAAAATTAATCTGTAATCTCTTTCTTTGGTTCCCTCCTCCGTTCATGTTATTATTATTGTTAAAAGAAGTATTATTTAAGAAAAAGATATTCTCTTTATCTTTTTGGACCATCTTTTCCAATTTCCGACCTTCAAATTCAAAGCATGAGTTCTCTTTCCAACTATGAGTCAATAGAAAAACAATATTGTTTCTAAGAGAGTTTGGAATAATCTGACATATTCTATCATTTGAATATTGAATCTCCAAAGTATCCTTTTGTAGGGATCCATTTAAAACAATAACAATACATTTTATTTGTTGTAAATGTGAGAATTGCTCTAGTATCTTAAGGGTATTGGCTTCTTGATTTCGGGGTGAAAGTGAAATTGTGGGAAAATCTATAAAAGTATATATATTATCTATTTTTTCATTGATATCGATTGTTGTAAGATTTATTTGATCAACCGACGAAATTCCTTTAATTTTACAAAATAGTAGTTTGATAAAATCTGTTTTTCCTACACCTCGTCCACCTAAAATGCATATATTATTCTTTGTTTTAATGTTCATAGTGAATAAATTAAAAATATTTGTATTATACTGAGACCTCTTTAAATAGAGAAGTTGACTTGAAATTTTAATTTTTTTTAAAAGAGTTATTTTATGTTTTCTATAGTAAATTGGAATTTTTTTAAAAATTTAAATGTATTAAGATTTAATAAATTTATTAAAGCTTTAGTAATAAATTCTAAGTGTACTCTAAGAAAACTTAAAAAATTAATTTCATTTTAAAATATATATAGTAAAATACTGCAGTGGGAAACCAAAACAAAAATGAATTTATTGAATTTAGTATTTAATTTTATTCTCATTGGAGAAACAGTATGTATGAATACTATCTAGTATTGAAACAATTAGTTTTAATATCATTTTTATCTAAATTAAATAGGGATCTGGTAAATCAACTTTTATTAATTTGCTTATCAACATAATCAGAGGAGGCACTTTAAATAATTTAAAGATAGGAATTCCAAATAATGTTTATAACAAAGTAACTGAAGAATTTGCTCACTCTGAGAAGGATATTAATATTACAAAGAAAAGCAAAACCACTAAATGTATTTCTTACCTCTTAGAATCAGAACAATTTGGATGTATCTTCAATTGTATAGACTCTAGAGGAATAAATGATCCAGATGGAAGAAACATCGATAATGATTCCATTCTACAAATTTTAGAGGAAATAGGAAAATTGGAAACTATCTCCGCTATTGTCATTGTGCTAAATGGAGCTCAATGTATAGAAACAATCAATATCCAGAATTTGTTATCAAAGATCAAAGGAAACCTTACAGCTTCTCTCTCAGAGAGAGTCATTTTTCTGATTACTAAAGGATGGAATAATAGTGTTGATTTATCTAGTTTTCAAGAGTATTTAAAGCCAAATCGATCAAATGTCTTTAATTTAGATATGTCCTTCTTTTCTAGTGAGCCAAAAACATGGGATAGAAGATGCCAACAAAGAATGGATATGGATTTCGAAGATTGCTCTAATGAGTGTTTAAAGATACTTGACTATATCAAGAATCAAGTACCAGTGAACCCTGGAGAAGTTCTAGATATCAAGAAAAGAAGAAAGGAACTAGAGGATATGTACTTTCAGGTTAAAGTATCAATCAAAAATAATTTAGAAACAAATAATGAATTGACCAAGCTTAAAAGCATACTGAAAGGTTTTGAAGATAACAAAGAGGAATTTAAAAATCACACCTTAACTACAGAGGTTGATAATTTTGTTCTTGAAGAGGTAAATTATTATTCGACAATATGCAAAACTTGCTACTATGTGTGCCATGATCATTGTTTTTTACACGAAACAAAAGCAATTGGAGATAGAATATTCAAAAATTGCTCTTGTATGGATTCCGAATCTAATTGCCAAAAGTGTCCAAAGAAATGTAGTTTCAATCACCACTATCATGGGAACTTTGCAATGAAAAAAGAAAAGCAGACTCTCAACAAAGTGTTACATGATACCAAGAATGCATATGACAAAGCTCTCACTGGTATAGTTGATACTAATTCTAGAATAGATACTCTAAATGAGAGTATAAAGGAAATTGAAAAGTCCATCAAACAATATACAGAAAAGTTTGAAGTGAATTGCAAGAAAATCAAAAAACTTTGTCCTGGTTTTGATTTTGTGGAGGAAATGAAAGTGAATGTAGGTCAAATGGAGATTGAAGTATTAGGAATACAAGATATGTCTTCAAATAAATTATATAAAGATATGATAGAAGCAATTAAAGTAATAATTAATACACTTCAGCCAAAGAGTATTATTTCAGTAAAACCTGTTGATCTTTAGAAATCCTCTTACTAGGAAAGCAAAACATTTTTAGAATAAATCTATTGTCTTTTTTACAAACCTATTTTAGTCTCTACACTAGATATTTTTTTTCTTTAAAAACAATAGATATAAAGATATTATCTATTTTCAATTGGCTAAAAAAGATATCATATTTTAAAAAGTGAATAATGATAATATTAATAGATGTTACAATAATCAATAAAATTTTCCAAAAATGTGGGAATAAACCAAACTAACTTACCCTTTTGGAATTCGATTTTCAGGAATTTATAAAACCATCTATTCTATCTCTTTGTGATTTTCCTTACATCTTTGGAAAAAAAAAAAAAATTTTTAATTAAAAAATGTTTTGAATTTTATCTTGGGGTTACAGATAAATGAAAATGCTTTTTTGGAACTTTGCACCAGACTTTAAACCCACACAATCATTAATTTTTATTTTTTTAAAAAATCTTATTTTTTTTCTTTCATTTTTCTCTAATTCCAAGAAATTGAAAATTCGCTATCAATAAAATGACTTGTTTTTCATTTCTCCAATCAATTAATTGATTGACCAATCAATCATATAACTTAATTATGGTTGGTGGTAATAAAAAGTCAAAACATATCCCGCTGAAAGAGGATATTGATGACAGTTTTGACACGATTGAACTTTCGGAGAAACATAATCCACATCTCGAAAAGATAAACGATGGAAGATTCTCCAAAGTACATATTAATAGCATTTTCACTATTTGTTGAATCTCTTTTATTAATTAAAATCTATTTCTTAAACCTCTACAATAGAATCCAATCGATGATGCGTCGATATTTTCAATTTTTACATTCAGGTTTATGAATCCTTTGATGACCATTGGAAACTCAAAGACCTTGGAGATAGAGGATGTTTATCCCATAGGAAGAGAAGATAGTTCTGATCATCTCACAGCTAAATTCAAGCAATACTGGGATGTCAATTCCCAAAGTGTTGACAGCATTAATCAAAGTGGAAGCACTTCTAGATTCCAGATGTCATTGTTAGTCCGATCTTTATTATTTGTCATCGGAACAAACTATAGGAATTCCTATTTCATCAAGTTACTCTCTGATATTATCCAATTTGTGTATCCATTCATTTTATATAAATTCGTAGACTTTATCAATGATCCCGATGAGCCTTTTTACAAAGGAATCATCTATTCATTCGTTTTATTACTTGCCTATGTTTTAACTACAATACTCAACAAGTATTATGAATTTCGAGTAAACAGAACAGGATTTAATGTAAAAACTATGTTGGTTAATTCAATATTTAATAAATCTGTAAGTATTAAACTAAAATATTTATTATATCCTTTTCTAATATTAATATATTTTTTTTTTAATAGTTAAAACTATCAAACTTTGCAGGTGAAGGCAAAACTAAAGGAGAGATTATCAATCTATGCAATTCCGATGTTGCAATGATTCAAACCATATTTATATATGGTCAAGAAACACTATCTCTACCATTTCAAATTATCATTGCTTTGGCACTTCTTATTAAACTACTCGGGTGGAGTCCATTGATTGGATTCTCGACACTACTCATTTTCACACCTGGTGGTTCTAAAGTAGCTAAACTTCAGTATGGTGCTTCACATAATGTCAATATGAAACGTGAGAAACGTACATCTCAAATGACAGAAACAATAAGTGTAACTATTTTTATAAAAACAAACTATTAACATAAAAACTAACTCTTTTAATATATAGTCTATCAAGTTTATTAAATTAAATGGATGGATTGAAATGATGCAAGAAAAGATAATGTTTTTAAGAAATGCGGAAGTTCAAGCACAGAAAAAGATGAATTATATTACTTCACTTCTGTATTTGATTCATTTCCTTACACCAGATGCTGTTACATTGGTTACCTATTGTACATATTCATTACTTGGTAATGAATTAAAGTTGAATGTAATCATGTCTTCATTATCATTATTCTTTATTTTGAAATATCCAATTTCGTAAGTTATTATATTTATTTTTAATGATATTATGGATCGATTATTAATATCTATTTAATAAACTATAATTAGAAATGTACCACATTTAGTTGCTGGATTAATGATGGCAAAATCATCAGTTGGTAGAATACAAAAATTCCTCTTGATACCAGAGGTTGAGAGACCAACCCCATGCTATGATGGAGTGTTACACTATGGTAAAATGAATAGCCAGCCACATATCAAAGCAAATAATTTGTCATTGGTAATTAAAAATGGTACATTCCAATGGAGCTCAAAGGATTTCGATGATCAAACCGATGATTCATCTAAATCCATCTCACTCACCGAACAACCGAAAACACCTTTGATCTCATCGGTGCCGGATGAATCGACAAACGCAACAATGGAAATCAAAAAGATGTTTAGATTACAAGATATCAATTTGAAATTAGCAAAGAATTCATTGTCTATTGTCATTGGTACTGTGGGAAGTGGTAAGAGTAGTCTACTATCTGCAATTCTTGGCGATATGAAGATGAAAGATGGAGGATCGTTATCTGTAGATTCAAATATTGGTTATGTTTGCCAGACTTCATGGATTCTGAATGCTACACTTCGTGAGAATATCTTGTTTGGCAAGGAGATGGTTGATACAAAGTATCAGAGTATTCTTAGGCAATGTGCATTGTTACCGGATATCGAGATACTACCTGCCGGTGACCAAACTGAGATTGGTGAGAAAGGTATCAATCTCTCTGGTGGACAAAAGATGAGAGTTGCAATAGCAAGAGCAATCTATCATGAAGCGAACCTCTATCTATTGGATGACCCACTGGCTGCACTTGACTATGATGTTGCGGTTCATATATTCAACAATGCCATCATCCCACTTGCAAAGAGATCTACTGTGTTGTTGGTCACACATCAATTGTTCCCATTGGAACAATCCGATCAAATTATAACAATGCAGAATGGACAAATCAACAGTATCGTTACATTCGATGAGTTACCAAAGGAATCTTTGGAGATCTATCAAATAAAACAAGAGCAACAACAGCCACTTGAACAACAAGATGAAAACAATCCAACAGAAAAGAAAGAAGCAGTTGTTACAACGAACAATACAAAATCTAAAATAGTTGAAGATGAAGATAGGAATGTAGGAATGGTTTCAATTAAAGAGTATATAGATTATCTTAAACATCTGGGACCATACTACCTAGTGATATCCTGTACTCTGCCATTCGTTCCACCTTTACTATCGATTCTATCAAACTACTGGCTGACTCTCTGGACAACCAAATGGGTCGAGGGAGAATCATCACTTGGCTATTATCTTGGAATCTACTTTGCCTTGTCAGTGATGACATCGATTACCATTTTCTTCCAAGTCCTCATGAATATCTTTGGTGGATTGAGGGCATCTTCTGTTCTCCATCACAAGGCATTAAATAGAGTGATGCATGCACCTATCCAATTCTTTGAAAGCAATCCTGCTGGCCGAATTATCAACAGATTCAGCTCTGATATTGCGAAGCTCGACTATGCATTACCGGTTCATTTTGGTGAAGTTAGAAATTCATTTTGTTTCTCCATTGTCATGGTTGTCCTATTTTCTGTGGCATCTCCCTATATCCTCATCCTTCTCGTTCCAATACTCGTTAGCTTCTACTATATCAAAAACTATTTCCTAAATAATGTAAGAGAGTTACAGAGATTGGATCAACTCTCACAATCACCATTAGTTTCTCACATCAATGAATCACTCAATGGAATATCAACAATCCGTTCATTCCAAAGCATAGAAAGATTCCAATTGAAACTCAGTAATCATCTCGATACCAACATTTCAATTGCATTCTCAGAGTTTAGTGTATCACAATGGGCATTCTTGAGAATCGGTATGTTGTGCTCTATGTTTGTACTGGGAACAGGACTATCTGCAACATTCCTCAAACACACATTCTCTGGAGCTGTCATTGTTCTTGCACTCACTTACACTGTTCAACTCTCACAGCGACTGACAATATTTTTCAGATTCTTTACATCGGTTGAAACTGAAATGAACAGTGTACAGAGAGTGTTTCATTACTCTGATAATCTACCACAGGAATCAACGTATGCCACAAACATTCCAAGTGACTGGCCATCCAATGGAAAAGTCGAATTCATCAACTACTCAATGAAATATAGAGAAGATCTTTCAAACTCTTTGAATAATATCAACCTTTCCATCGAAGCCGGAACCAAGATTGGTATTGTAGGTCGTACTGGTGCCGGTAAAAGTTCACTTCTCTTGGGACTGTTCCGTCTGAATGAAGCGGCCACCGGTAAGATTGAAATCGATCGGCTCGATATCTCATTGATAGGTCTATCGGACTTGAGATCTCGTCTCACAATCATTCCACAAGATCCGATTATGTTCAACGGAACACTGAGATACAACCTGGATCCATATGGACAATTCACCGATCAAGAGATATGGGATATTCTCGAACGAATCCAAATTAAAGAGACAATAGAATCGTTGGACATACTGGTCTCTGAGGACGGATCGAATTTCTCGGTTGGACAAAGACAATTGTTCTGTTTGGTTAGAGCATTGCTAAAGAAATCAAAGATTATTGCACTGGATGAAGCAACTGCATCGGTAGATCAAACAGCAGACGCACTCATTCAACAGATCATCAGAGAACAATTCGAAAACTCCACAGTCATTACCATTGCACATCGTCTCAACACTGTCGCTGACTATGATATCCTCGTCGAGATGTCAGAAGGTAGAATCAAGCGTATCGGTAAACCATCTGACATCATCGAACAAATTGATATTAATTAAGTATCACTTGATACTTGATTGAAAGTGTTGTTTTCAACAAATTAAGAATAAAGTATCAAAAAAATAACTATAACAACTTTATTTTTTTTTTAAATAAAAGCTAAACAACAATAATAATAATACTAATTATCTCCTAATTGTACAAAAAAAATATCTTTTTTTTTAAAAAAAAAATGAATAAAACAAATCATTTTTTTATTTTTTTTAGAAATTAATTAAACTTTTTGATTTTTACCACTAGCTAGTTATCCAGTTTATAAATATATATCAGTTTATTTAGATATATAAATATATATCAGTATTAAATCGTAGATCAATTTCGTGTAGTTTTGATTCATATCTAGATTAATTAGGAATATTCGCGAATATAATAAAAGATATGTCTGTGATTTACACTGAAGATTTAAGAAAGCAACTAGAAGGTATGATCACTATTTATTCTGACTGGCATTAGATTGAATCAATAACACAAATCATATAAAATCATCCTATACTCGACATTTATATAGAGTTTGCAAAATCAGAGAATAAAGTAGTCACTCCAGAGTTGATGAGTATCATTGAGAATGTAGCAAAGACTGGTGTAACTTGGTATGAATCATTCAATAATAATAATAATAATAATACTATTGAATAATATTGATAAACTAATTATATTTTTAATATTAAATAATAATAATAATAATAATAGTTATCCATGGGTTCATTTAAAGGAATTGGTTTATTTTAAACTATCTCAAGTATGTATAGATGAACACAACTATATGTGATGTGTTTATTGAATAACAAACTAATTAAATCTATATATATTTTAGATATTCGATATTTTCGAGAGTAATTGTAATACAGATATAGGAAGTTTGAGCAATACAAGCAGTAACAATAGCTCAGGAACATCATCTCCCAATTCAAACACAGATCAAAAGAAAACATCATTGCTCAGCACACAACTCATCAACTCACAAGAGATGAAGGATGACGAGATGCTAAAGATAAAGAATCAACTCAATCAATCAGGTTTAATAAGAATCAAGAATCAATTCCAGAATCACTTTAAAGAATATAAAGAGTAAGTCAATAATAATAATAATATTTGTATTATTGATCTGATTATTAAATAAGTAACTAATTATTGATTATTGATGGTGATTATTATTGTTATAGACCACCTTTTACAATTCAAAGATTATGTGAATTAATTGTAGACTACAAAATATATACATCGTTCAGTAAATATCTGTGTGCGGTGGAGAAGATGGGAACTGTCACATCTACACTTCCACCATTGACACCATCGGAAGTCATCGAATACAACAACAACCAACAACAGCAATCGAGAATGATTGGTACTGAGAACAACCAACAACAACAACAGCAGTCAAGTTCACCGCCAACCATCGATATCAACAAGCATATTGATTCACAGACTAGTTTTATCGCTACAACTACCTTTCCAATGAAGTCATCATCTTCACAAAACGATGAGGAAATGAAAGATATCGATGAAGAACTATAACATTATTTAAAGACAAAACAACTAATATCCTATTATTATTATTATTACTATCATCGATTGACCTCGACATTAACAACTCTGCTCGCGTCTCATCTCCAAAACTCCACCTCCAACCACTCTACTACTTCTGCATCCATCCCATCACCATCATCATCATTACTTGTTGAAACAAAATAATAATTAAAAGTAAAATCCTATTGTATAATATAATATAATATAATAATACATTTTTTTATTGGTATTTATTTATATACATGATATGTTGCATATATAGTTGGTTATTATTGGGAATGATAAGAATATATGAGAATGATAAATCTATGATGTTGTTGTTGTTGTTGTTGTTGTTGTTGTTGTTGTTGTGTTTGTTACACCTCTCTTTGCTCTAATAGTATTTAGATATTCATGTATCTCTGGTTGTAATACTTCCAATCGGCATGGTTTAGCCTCCAAAACACACTCTGGTCTTTTCTCAATAACAAACTTGACTATATCGATATTCCTTGATCCAACTGCATATTGAACTGCCTCGTTTGCAGTACATCCCTCTGTTCTATTGCTGTGTAAGAATTGTAAGACATCCAAATGTCCAAACTCAATCGCAAAATCCATTGCCTTTACTGTACAACCTTCACTTCTATTATTATGTAAAAATTGAACGATATCAAAGAATCCTCTTAAAGCTAATTATATATAAACAACCGTGTTTGTTAGATATTTGTTTGTTTGTTTTCTTTTTCTTTACAACTACATGTACTTACATGCCAAGTTCATTGCATCGACAGTGGTTGGATCAGTTCTATTGACATGAAGATATTCTACTACAGGGAAGTGACCATATTGTGCCGCACGCTCTATTGCTCTTCTATCGTATGGAAATTCCTTCTCGGTTAGGTATTTGATGATCTCGAGATTACCTCTCTGACAAGCGTAGAGGAAACAAGCAGAAGTGCCAACTTGATTGCATTCCTCTTTCAAAAACTTTATGATATCGATATTGTTGCCAAGACATGCAAATGTAAGAGCATTATGTGATCCTCCTTCCGTTCTATTCTTGTGCAAATATTTTAATAACTCTAAATTACCTATTTTCGCTGCGTTATCAACCTGTAGGTTTTAATTATAAAATAAAGATAGATATGATATTCATTTGATTAATAACAATTATAATTATACGCATTGAATAAACATAATACATACTGCTGATTTTGTACATCCCTCTGTTCTATTCTCTGAAATAAACTTAACCATCTCCAAATTTCCATTAATACAAGCATAATCAATCTTTATAATATAGAGATAATTAGACAATTAATTGATGATATTATAATGAATGAATGAATGAATGATAACCTACAGCATCTGTTGAACATCCTTCTGTTCGATTCTCATGTAGATATTTTACAATGTCAATGTAGCCTTTGTAGGCTGCGTAGTTCATGGCATGAATGGTAGCAGGCAGTTTCTTTTCGGTGAGATATTTGACGACTTCAAACCGACCAAACTCTGAAGCCATGTCAATGGCTCGTGTCGAACCACCTTCTGTACGATTGTCAAGCAACCACCGTACAATGTCGAGGCGTCCTTCTGCCGCGGCGTTATTGACTGCTTCGACTGTCGCACCCTCACTCCTGTTGGCATGCAAGAACTGTACGGTCTCTAGACACTGCTTGGCAGCTGTGTTCATTGCAGCGGTGGTTGCCGATGCCGTTCCGAGCGGTGTCATATTTAAATACTTGATTACCTCGAGATTACCGGTGGTCGCTGCCTGATCGATACCCGATACCGCCATGTATTCCCAGTTGGCTTGGCAGATCGGTTCGAACACCGCTAGCTCTCTGACGTGTGCACATATCAAGGCGAGCGCTTCTTTAGTGTAGGTAAGTGGTTGCTTTTTCTTTAGAATTTTGTCTCTTAGCAGTCCATAGAAACCCTTCTCACAAATCCATTGTGCAGTGTCGATTTCATCATACTTTTTCGAGCCGGACGTCGTTAAGAAATCAATGATAAGTTTCAGAATAACTTTGTTTCTTATAATCTGATAGAATCTAGATGTTCTTATTTGACTATCACTTTCATCCATTGTTGTTTGTTTTTATATATCTGTAACTTTAATGTAGCCAGTGTTGTTACAACATTAACCAATCATTTGTCTGTCTGTGCTTCAATGAAAATTGATATTTTTTAATAATAATAATAAAAAAAAAAAAGATTTTTGATTAAATCAATTAAACTATTACCTAGAATTTGAATTTATTAAAAAATAAATTCAACACAATTTAAATAGATAATTAAGTTTATTTTTATTTTTTTATTTTATTTTTTTTAAATCAAAAATACAAATTTTAATGATATCTTAGATTCGCTGAAGTTTTTAAAGGGATAATGTGAGCAATACCCTTTTCAGAACACACACACACACTAACTTTTTTTTTCAAAACAACCTTTTTCCTATTTTTTGAATTTTTTTTTTAAAAAGTTTTGCAACATGTTTTGGGTGTATTAAAACTAATATTAGTGTGATTGATTTGGTTTTTAATTCATTGTTATTTAAAAGATAAAAGTAAAACATTGATATCTAAAACAAAACTGTCAATATCACAATCAATTAATTAATGTATATATATATATGAAAATAAAAAGTAAAGTAGAATAAAAAATAATAGTCATTTCAATAATTAGAATAAATAGATAATAAAGTACTAGTTTTATATATATTTATTATTTAAGATCTATTAGCTCAATTTAAATCAGAATAGATAATATATTCAAAAAAAAAGATAAAATAAAAGAAGAATATGAGTAATTCAGGATCTTTAAACGCACACATCGATCAAGGCGATCCTGAACAGATGTTCAGAGTGTTGGAGGTGATTGGTCAAGGTTCGTTTGGATTGGTATGCACATGTATAAACACACAGTCGAATAAAGTGGTGGCAATCAAGTTCCTCGAGATGGAACCGGACAACGAGAACAATCAGTCGCTGAGGCGTGAGATCACCATCCTCAAGAACACTGCAGAGTGTCCCTATATAGTACAGTATCACGGTTGCTACCTGAAAGACAACAACCTGATGATCGTCATGGAGTACTGCGACGGTGGTTCCGTACTCGATATAATGCAGATGTGTCAGATCAAGCTGAGCGAGCGTCAGATCGCCGCCGTACTCTACAGCATCATCGAAGGTCTCGTCTATCTCCACTCCAACAAGATTCTACATCGTGACATCAAGGCTGGCAACGTACTACTCAACCAAGAGGGTAAGGCTAAACTCTCTGACTTTGGTGTCTCTGCAATCCTTGTCAACACTGGTTTCAAACAGAAAACTGTTGTAGGTTCACCGTATGTATAAATAATTCGCTTCTTTTTTTTTTTTCTTTTTTGATTGTGTGTTGCTAGCGTGTAGTGTTTGGTAGCGGTGTTGGTTGTCATCACACAACAACCCACCATTATCACTTCACACACACACACACACACACAAATATTGATTATTTTTGAAATTTCTAACTCCAATCCTTTTTTTTTTTTCTTTCCACTTTTTTTTTATTTTATTTTGTTTTTCCAAATTTGGTTGCCACTTCACATTCATTCGCTCACTTTTTAGATATTGGATGAGTCCAGAAGTGATTTCAACACCAAAAGGATCGAGTGGATATGATTATAAAGCGGATATTTGGTCGTTGGGAATTACTGCGATCGAGATGGCAGAGGGTAAACCTCCACATTTCAATTTGAATCCAATCAAGGTCATTTTTGTTATTCCATTCCGTCAGTCGCCAACACTGGAAACACCGGGCAACTGGTCGAAGGAGTTCAACGATTTCATTTCGATATGTCTGAATAAAGAGGCTGACAAGCGACCGAGTGCACGCGAACTGCTGGATCACCCGTTCATCAAGATGGGCAAACAGGACAAGGACGCAATCATTTCGGAACTCGTCACAGACTGCATACCAATTATGGAGGAGTACAGGCGTCGAAAGGCAGAGGAGGAGGAGGAAGAAGAGACACACTCGCAGGGTGGCGTCGAGAAGGGTACTCTCCTAAAGATTAACACTGTCACCAATCGTGCCACCGTAATGAACGGCACCGGCAACGACGGCACCTTTATACAGCATCCAGGCAGTGGAACTGGTACCGTTGTTTTTTCAAGAGGCAACACTGTAACATCTGATAACTGTAACAATAACTACGATGAAGACGACGAAGAGAATGGTGGTGGCGATTTCGATACTGGCTCCGTTGTTTTTAAGGGAGAAACTGGATCCAGTCTACAAGAGAATCTAGAGAAACTGAAACTGCAATACGAAAAACAACAACATAAAAATGACGATAGTGATAATGAAGATGGTGAATTTGATTCCGGTTCAGTAGTTTATACAAAAGAATAAACTGATAAATAATAATAATTCTAGGTAAAATTTTTTTTAAAAAAAAAAATACATATATTTTTAAAACAACAACAAACAACCAACAAAACACCATTAGTCATTTTAAACCAAACAAACCAACCAACCTAACCAAACAATACAACTAAATTTAATTATAAACCAATTTAAAATAAAATTGAAATAAAAAAAAAAACAAATAAAAATTTATTTATTTATATAAAGATATGTACTTAAACCATTTATTATTTATATATATATAAACTAAACTATCGTTGTAAAATGTAAAATTAAAATAAATCAGAAATCAACATCGATGTTGGTTTGTAAAACGATCAGACTTTTTTCGTAAAAAGTTGTCCCCAAATTTAACCGGCAAAATTTTAAAAAAAAACAAAGATATCTCTCTTTGAATTAAGAATATACCAAACCAAAGATACACATTCATGATAGGAGTTTAAATATTAATATAGAACTGAATGAGAAATTTTGTTGACAATCATTTACTTTAACTATTTATAGAATTGTTAATTTGAACAAAAGAGTCAAATCATTAAAAAAAAACTTTATATTGATTAACTCTTTATCATCTCGTTAGCTTGTTTCTTTTATTTTCAGTATTAGTTTATTAAAAACGTGAACCTTCTTCACAAACATAGCTCTACTGTTATCCACCAAAAAATTTTAAAAATTTGAAAATTTGTTTCCGTTATTTTTTTTTTTGTCAGATTAAAATTTGGGCGGGTTGTAGATTTTAGGTTGAACTATAGTTTTTTAATTATATTAAACTTATTGATCAAATATTTTCTAATTATCATTGTTTTTTTATATACTTATAAATTAAAGAAATAAAATAAAATAATCAACAAAATTGTTTAATTTTACAAATAAAAAAGGATTTATAAATATAGAAAATAAGATGACATCAAGACCAGTATTTAGTGCATTGAATAACAGTCAATATGGAAATCAAAACAATGGTACTAATAATCAATATAATATAAATAATGGCATTGGTATGATGTCCACAAATGGAAAGCAACAACCAGCAATTGGTTTGTCTTCAACCTTGAAACAACAACAACAACAACAACAGCAACAACAGTTACAACTACAACAGCAACAACAATTACAACAACAGCAACAACAGCAACAACAAATGATGTCAATGAGTGTATTTTCAACACCAATGCAAACACCAAAGGTATTTCAGACGCCAGCCTCAAAGCTATCGATTGCACCCATTCCAATGGCATCACTCAACTCTTCCATTTCATCGGCACCATCGTCAGTCCGTTCAACTATCACAGGAGTACCACAATCGACAACCAATCGTTTCAGTGCCGCTCCACTAAATCAGCCAAAGATGTCACTCGGATATACAGGCATGTCTAACAACAACAAAAAATCAATTCCATCCATGTCAATACGTCCATCTTCTGCACGTGTAGAATCACGACCCATCTCTGACAAAGAATTCCAGAAACAGTGTACCAATCGAATCGCCACATTCCTCACATCCAACAGCTATCCAAACCAAATCACACCAAAGACGCTCAAGTCGCCATCCGGCAAGGAGTTCTACGCCATGGCTGAATTCATGTTCCTCCAAATCGATCCCACCTTTAAATTCACAGCTAAACAAGACGATGAATTGATAGCTTTTTTCAAGATCATTCGTTATCCATTCCCCATTTCCAAACGTAATTTGACATCAGTCGGAACACCACACACCTGGCAACATTTGTTGGCTGCACTCTCATGGCTGGTCGAGGTCATTGAGTATGACAACGCCACCCAAGTCGACCCTGAAAATGACCAGATGCAAGTAGACGAAGATCCATTCCTCCGCGAGTTCAACCGCCACGTTCTCCATTTCTATACCACCGGCTACATGCATGGAAACGAAGAGGATCAGGTCGACCTTTTGCTCCAAGAGTATCACGGTGGCAGATCGCGTCAGCTCGAGGCAGAGATTGAGGAGATGAATGAGAAAATCACCAGTCAGAATACACACATGGAGGAGATTAGAAACGAACCAAACATCACCGGTGAGCTTCGTGAGAAGATTCAGTCGACCAATGAGGATATTGTCAAGTTCCAGGAACATGTTGATCGTGTAAACAGTGGAAGATCGTCGTTGGAGCACAGCATTGAGACTCACACCGCACAGTCGTCGGAGCTTCAAAACAAGTTGGAGCGATTGCAACAACAGAAATCGTCACTCGAAGAGATCATTGCCGAGCAACAAAAGAGTTCGGTCGATGCTAAGATTCTCAACCAGCGTCGTGTCCAACTCCAGGAGGACATCAGCAAGTCACAGAAAGAGAGAAATCGTTTGGAACGATCCAAACAAGAGAAACTCACAGAGATCATCAACATCATCTCAACCATCGATGGTTACATCACTCAGTACAACGAGTACGCTAGAAACCTCAATCTCCTCAAGGCAGACGGTGACGACCAAACAAACACACGTAACTACCAAATCAATTTCGAACACAACAACGGTGATGTTACAATAACAGACTTGAAGAAAGTAAAGGTAAATATCATAAACACAACTTTCAATTCTAAAAAATATTTAAACGAACTGGTTTGTTTTCTATTATAATTATCACTATAATTTAGAAAAACTTGAAATTATATATTGAAGAACAATACGAAAAGATAAATACAACCGAAGAAGAAACAAATAACAAGAGAAATGAAATGAAACATTTAGAGGATGATTTTGCTGACAAGCAACAACAAAAGAAGAGATCGGAACAAAAGTTTTCAACAATGGAAAGTACTTGTAAAAGAGAAAAAGAAGTATGTATTATTAAATTATTATTATATGCAAAATATAGATTAACATTTTTAAACTAATTTGATAATTTATTTATTTGAAAAAATAGAAACTAGATAAAGAGTTATCAGTGTTGATGGATAAAGTTGAAAAGAGACAATCGTCAAACAAAGAAATGAAAGAGTTCCTTAGAAATGATCTTGATCAGAAATCAGTTAGTTTAGATCAATCAAAAGAGCATGTGCAGTTACAAAAGGAATACATGAGTAAATTGGTAGTGGATTTGAAGAGTAAAGCTTTGACATTCTTGAATCTTACCACTCAACACCACGATAATTTGGCTGTTAAAATCAGATCTGTTTTGGATCACATGAACCAACATTGTAAATCAACTTAATTTAGTTACAAGTAAAAAAATAAATAAAACTATTGTACATTTTATATTAAAAAAAACTAATAATTAATAACAGATAGAACTGTGATAAAGTTATTCAATCAACTAAACCGTAAAGGATTTATTAAAAAAACTTAATAACTTGTATCATTTTGATAAGGTAATCTTTTTTTGAAATTGATCATGATGGTGATAAATATGGTCTATTTCCTGATGGACATCTCAATGAGATCTATAGAGATCTCTTGAAATTATCATGAAAATACGTATGATGGTGTGACGGTGGAGCATTTAGCGGTTCACTTTCATATTTTGATGGTTTTTTCTCAGATAGTTTTTTTATATTTTGATGCTAAAAAAAGATTATAAACTAAACCTTTTTTTTTTTGCAAACATTATATTTTGTGCAAAGGAGGATCAAACATATATATTATGTCCATTCTTTTAAATCGGAGTGTTTGGTGAAGATCATCTTTTTTAATTATAATAATAAAAACACTTTTTGCAAAAAACAAAAAAGAATAAATCTAGATATCAAATCAACAAGTGTTGATATGCTTTCACAGTATTCCCAAAAATATCAGTACTTACAGAGTGTTCTTCCTGATTTCTTTATTTGTAATACATTCAATAAAATATCTATGATTGATGTTGATGCCAACAACCACAACCTAGCATTTTTTAATTATAATAAATTTTATTTATAACCAATTCATTTTAACTATTGGGCAATTCAAGCACATTACTTTCATGTTGTTGTAAAAATTGATTTTGCCCAGATCAAGTAAGTATCTTCCATTGTATTTTGAGGATGATTCAGAAACAAATCCACTACATCAATATACTTTAAACAATTGTTATGAAAATGTAAATCAAAACATTGATGTAGCTCCGTGGGTCTTTGATCATCTTTGATTCACTGCTGATTCCTCAAAATGAGCAACTTGTGGTGGTGATGGTTTCTGACTTTAAATCAAAAGTGTAGATTCTTTTCTTAAATATTAGTATTTTGAAATTTGATGGTATTGAAGAACCCTTAAAATGCTGGTGGTGTGAAAAATAAAGAGGGTTTTAACATCCAACAATGAATCATTGTAATTCTAATACTGGGTGCTCTCTTCAGCCTGATTGTGAGTTTCTGGTTCAATTAATATTAAATTAAACAATGAGGTACACTGAGATTCTATAGACCATCAATGCTCGCCCATCAGTGTCAGCCTAGACGCTCTGTATCGAGCATTTAAATAAATATCCTGGGCCAAAACAATTACCCCAAACCATTTTATTGGCTAATTAATTTTAGGTTCACTTTTAACAATCGCGAGAAAAACCAAAATCATCAACAGCAAAAAAAAAAATGATCTATAATTATTGCTCTTCCCAACCACACCACATTTTATTAAAAAAAAAAAAAGTGAATAAACTAAAGGGCGAAAGATATTATCGTTCATTCATTTTTTTCAAAATAAAGTTAATTTTAAAAAAAAAATTAAACAAAAAATTCAAATTTCTCTGCAAAAAAAAAATCCTTTTTCGATATACTCAATGTGCTTTTTTGATGAATAAGTTTTAACATCACCTCACCTCCCTAAATATATATATTTGTGTTTTGTGCAAAACAACAGTTTTGTCTTTTTGTTCTTGTTTGTCCTTTTTTCGACTTTTATATATCTTTCTATTTATTTATTATTTATTTATTGTAAAAACAACAAATCTTCATCATCATTTTTTTTTTTTTGAAAAAAAGGTCAAACAGAACTATAAATCATTCACTTCACACACACTTATTTCTCTTTCGATAACCATATGACATATTATGACACTTTGTAAACTATTCGTCTATTTATTATAAAAAATAAAACATAAAACAAAAAAAATAACAATATACTATTTATTAAACTTTTCCCCAAAACACATATCATATACTATTTATTATAAAAGACCTACCAACAAATCGATTGTCTTTCGCACACAAGACAAACACAACAATATACTATTTATTTATCTATTTATTTATTATACTATTATATTATCCTACCCTATTTAAATCAGTATTATAATAACTATCAAAATTCATACACCAACCAATTCAAAAAGTATAGCATCAACAATTTTAATCTAAAACAAAAAAAAAAAAACAACAAAAAAAAAAATAAAGCAATCAACTCCATCTGTAACATATATTATTTATTTATTATTTATTAAATTAGTCTATTTATTATAAAATCAAAAAATCCAATAAAGTTCGACAAAAAGGTAATGTACACCCATGAATCCGAGTTTCCAACCACACACCTCTTTCCAAACTATCTGTTTTTTCAAGGATGGTTGCAAACAACTTTGCTTGATTTAATAATAAACATTCAACAAAATCGATTTGCCAATGTGTGTGGTCGTTTCGTTTCCACCATAGTTGTGTATTTATAAATCTTTATTTTTGACACACCTCTGTTTGTTCCTATATTTTTATCATCCAAATTTATATTTTCATTCATTTCATATAGTTTCTTTGAAAACGATAAAATTATAGTGTAGTTGTTATGTTATAATAGTTTTATAAAGTAGTAGTAGAGTTTCATAAATAGTTGATTGGTGACTTTTCGTTTTTGTTTAGAGCTTCACCATCAATCAATCAATCAAATAAACAAACAAACCAAACAGTCAAAAGACTATGTTGTCTATTTCTGTTTGATGGTATTTTTGCTTTTATTTTTCTCCCTCGAATCTCTATGTGATTTTCATCAAGAGTGTACTACAAATGATTTAAGGTTACGACTCTATTTTAGATGTAAATTTAAAGTAATAAAATCACCAGATATTAGAGTAACAATGGTACTTAATGTCTAAGAGATAAATAATGTTGAGTTTGTTTTTGAGATGTGTGTTTGATTCACTACCATCACAAAAATCCAATATATTATAACAACACCTTAGAAGTACTAATAGTAATAGTAATATAATGATTAAGAACACACCAAACACACACACACACACACACCACACATAAATACTTTTCAAAAATTGTAACCGCCACCACAGGGCTGTTACTGTAAAAAAAAATAGTAGTAATAATTATAACATCACTATTTTTTTAAAAAATTTATTACTCACTCACACTTTGGGAATAGGATCACACTTCACTCTCTCACCAATCCATGCCAAATATATTTTGGAATACTCATCATAAATCGAAGTGTTTCTTGATCAGTGCCAATGACTTGTATTCATCAACATCACATCAAACTTGAGAGGAAATTATTTATAAACAATTTACTGTTACAATTGTTGTTTGTTTGTTTTCTGTTCATGGCGACCATTTATTATCACATTTTACCTCCATCATTTTCTACCGCCTCCAGATTTAATGATATTAGTTGGTTTATTTCTATAAGTGAGAATAGACGCCACAAAAGTAACAACAATTATAAATTCTCTTTTAAAGGTTGGTGGTTCTTCCTTTATATATTGTATTTAATTGTTATTTCTTTAACTTGTTTTCTTATTTATAATTATATTTCAAACAATTTGTTGGTCGATGGCAACTGTATATAAATTCAAAACACAATAATAATAATAGCATCAACAACAACAACATTGATTCACATTAAAATACTTTTTTTTTTCAAATTTACAATCTAAAGTTCAAAACCAATTTATATTTATAGAATTCTACAGAATTCAAATAGTATTCTTATATATATTAATTGTCTGAGTGGTATGTTGTTTTTTTTAATAAATAAATAAAAGTATCATTTTCACAATCATTAAAGACTTGACAAGATTTTCTTAAATTCTGAAACAAGTTTCCTCGTTATGATTGACATTATCATTATATTCTCTTGTAAAGAGATTATTATCCTTTTTTAAATATATTTGTTTCAGTTGGCAGTACCTTTTGTTGTAAAAATCCATCATCACAAAAACAACACTGGTTTTTACCAATATAGAAAAAAAACGAATGCAATCCTAATTTATCATTTAGATTGGGGTTATGATGTTGAAAGGTTTGGTCATAGTTATATAATAGGCATAAAGTATTCTTATACTACAACCTATAGGTAATTACCAATACAACAACTTGCTCCTTTCAATATCTATTTGATGATACTATAATGATGAAATTAATCGTTCAGAATTGGTTTCAATCGAATATCAATGATTTCTGATGATTTATACAGCACAATTAATGATTTTCCAACAACACCACCATCAATAAGAATATAACAACTTATCTTCTACCACTCAACAAACTATTACTTTATTTATTTTTATTTAAAAGAGAAAAAAAAAACAAAGAAATTACATTATTACTACCACCACTTTCATCGTTTCTGACATGATAAATAATGATCATCAATCTTGAGAGAGTGTGTTATAGATTTATCAACAAAACAATAAAAATTGCCGTTGTTAGTGTGTTGTGTTAGTGTGTGTTGTTATATATTTGGTGCTTGTGGTTTCCATTTTTATATCAGTGGCGGGGAGTATTTCATGAACTATCCACTCGAAATTTATCATAAATCGATTGGTTAATCAATATATATATATTTAATTTTAATATATATATACGACAATACAAGATATGAAGTTATTTTAGTAGAAAGTTCATTTTATAAAACAAACTTAAATAAAAATAATAATAATAATCATTAATAAAATCAAACTATAATCAAGTGCGTGTGATATTTGCAAACAAACTTTATTCAATAAATTTTTATTTTGTGATACTGTAATACCAATTGATGATACTCGATAGTAGATATATCTCAATGATGTTGTTGACCTTCTCCTTACGGTCTACTTCAACACATTAACAATAAATACCTGCACCATCACCTTGTTTAAATATTTCTAACCACTAAACAATAAATTTCCTTCTTTTCTTTCTATTTTGTTTATTAACATCTATGTTGTTATAAAATTACTTTTAATCTCAGCATATTAACTTCATTTAATTGACTAACAAAATTATTATACTATTTTTATCAAATTAGTTAGTTAGGTTCATTACAATTAAAACAAATATTTTAGTAAGAAAATTATAATAATAATAATCAATCATCATCATCATCATTTTTTTTCATTGCTATTTTCTTTAGTTATTCGTTTTAATTCAATCAAGACAAGAAGACAAGACTATCACATTACTGGAATATATGAGAAAATCCTTCAATACCATACAACATTTCATCTTGTTTGTTCCCTCCTTTTTTTATAAACCAATCACTCGTTTAATTTTAACTTCACTGTTTTATATGTTGACCAGTCAACTTTCGTCACATTCTCACCACTCGGCATATTAGATCAGATGTTTTAAATTCGTTCTTTCGGTTGAATGCAATGAATACACTGATTCTTTGCACAACAGCGTCCATTCAAATAACAACCAAACATCAACACAATTTACCATCTGACAAGCTCATAAAAAGGGGGTGAGCCCTGCAAACACAAAAAAATATCATATTTATGTAATCAAATACCTATTAATTAAATTTGTGTTGTCGTCTGATTAATTGTTGTCGATGCAAACTCATCATTCACTTAACCATAATTGTTAACAAAAAAAGAAAAAAAAAACTTTCGAAAACTTGCCTCACCAATGCTGGGCAAAGCTTTGCAAACAAAAAACAAAACCTTTGCGCATCATGCTGGCATATTGTGTGTCTCGATTATTATTTTATTTTAATTTAAATGCAAGAGATCTCATAATTTTATGAAAAAACAATAATCTTTAGTTTTCATTTTTTGAACAAAAAAAAAAAAGGTTTTTGATTTTTTCAAAAAAGTTCTTGCATACTGTTTTTTTTTTTTCGATGTCACACCCCTACAGCCTCTGATCAACCTATTTTTGTCAAAAAATAATGAAAATGAAACAAAAAAAGATTCAATTTTAGTTTTTTTTCAGCTCCATAGATTTTCAAGATAAAAACCAAAGTGAGCCCCCCACTAAATTATAGAGTCATCATTGATGAACAAAAATTTGTCAAAAAAAATATCAAGGTACCACAGCCTTATATCCTTTTTTAAACAAAAATCATCATTTATAAGATAGTTTTTTTTTCATTTTCTTTTTTGTTTGAAAGTTTTTTTTTTTTTTGATCAACTACTTTAAAGTATAGTTGTTGACTTTTTGTTGATTTATTTATTTATTATTTATTTATTTATATATCAAAAACAATTTCACCAATCACCAAAGAGATTTGTTTTTGTTACATACATTAACGACTCACTCAGTCAATCAGTCAAAGCACACGCCCCATCAACCTCACTCCCCCCACCACACACCAACAACCAACCACCAAATATACAATCGATCATTGTATAACTTATATATAAGTTTCTATTTATTTTAATGTACATAATAATATAAATTTAATATTCTAAAAAGTATAGATATAGATAAATATATGTCTGTTACATTGCAGTGTTTGTTTCAACCAATTAACTTTTTTTTTTGCTTGGCACACACCATTTAAATTAAATTTTGTTTTTTTTATTTTATTTTTAAAAAATTTTGTTATTTGTGGTAATATCTGTTAAAGCAGCATATTCACAGGCAAATTAGGGTGGGTTGAATGTGTGGTTTTAGTACAACATCAAACAACACACATCAACCACACTATTGTTCTCATATTCATTTCAAAATTCTTTCATATTCAATTAAAATTGAAAAAAAAAAAAGCAAAAATAATAATAAGGCTTCAACACACAACACACACATACAGATTGATTAGTAAAATCATCTTTCACATCACCTCAGCAGGCAATCAAATCAGTCATTGATCTAAACACACTACTCACAAGTAGCTATATATATACATATTTATAAGTTAGTTGTGTAATTTAGCAGTTATACTGTGTGTTTATTTTTTTTTTTTTTACTTTTCAGTCATAAAACACTTTCCAATTGATTCTATAGATATACTTACTTGCTGAAAGTGTGCATAATCAATCATCATATTGTTTTTTCATCTAATCCAAATTCATTTCATTTCCGATCAAAAAAAAAAGAAGAAATTACAAATTAAATTAACTTATATATTTTTTATTCTTTTATCTAATCTTATTAACAACTATAGTTCAATTGTCAATAATCTATTTTCCAATCAATCAAATTCAATCAAATCCAATCAAATTCCAATCTTTGAAATAATTAATTATCAAACCATCATCTGGAATTACAAATCGAAATTTTCATTAATTAAGATTTTCTGGTCAAAATTTAAAAAACACTCTCTCAATCAATTTCAACACCCAAAATAGTTATAATAGAAAAAATAATGGAAGATCCAACTTCAAATGATTATTTAGACACCAGTTTATATCTATCACTAGGATATGACGGTAGCTCCATTGATTCACTGAAGCCTGAAACCAATTTCTTTGGTTCGCTCGAATCGATGGACACTTCCTCAACCAACAATCTCAACCTAAACAACAACAATAATAATAATAATAACAACAATAATATTAATAGTAATAACAACATTGTTATTACACCTGTAAGTAGCTCAACATCAACACCTTTGATGCCATCCAGTAATCACCAACCAGTCAGTATTAAGGAAAGCAATAGTAACAGCAGTGGCAATCTCTACAATCAACAAGATCCACAGACACACGAACACTTTCTTAAGTTGCTTTCCCAAATTCAACAAACTCAACAGACACTCAATTCCTTCCAGACCAACCACGATTTCATCAATGCCCAAACAGCAGCAGCTGTCGCCGCATCATCTGCTCATTCTGCCAACGGCATCATTCAATCGTCACCAACATCATCCAACACCACCACACAACAATCATCATCATCGTCATCACCATCTCAATCCTCTGTTTCAATCTCACCAATTTCCCTACTTGGTGATAACAATACCATCATCACCAACAACAACAACAACAACAATTCAACATCCGATTGTAACAATAATTTATTTAATAATAACAACAACAACAACAACAACACAAATGTAAAATTGAATTCATCATCAGCACAAAACTCACCGAATCTAAGTGATATTCAACAACAACAACAACAATCACAATCAACCGAGGCAACCATAACCATTTCAATGCCAACCAAAAAGAATATTAAGGCATCGGCAATTGCTTCACCACCCAACTCACCACGTAAAACCACAAGAAACAGTAAAGTAAAACACAAAACTCAACAAGTCCAACAAAATATCCAACAAGCCACTACCATGCCTGTTATGATCTCACCAAATCCGTCGGTGCCACCCTTCAAGTTGTCGGGATCACCACCCTCGTCGTCACCACCACAGTCACCACTCACTCCACCACCTCTGCCACCAGTGACCACCAAGAAACAAGGCAGAAAAGCAGTGGTACCAGCAGCACCAACCGGTCCCTCTGTTATTTCGATCATCAACCAACTGGGATTGCCAACCAACAACACCGCCACCACCTCCAACAATCTCTGCAATTCATCGAGTAACATCTCGATCAAGCAATCGGTTGACAGCATCCCAACAACCACTACCACCACCACCACCAACAACGAAGATAAAAAGACAGTTTGTCTATCGTTCCTGAAATACTATTTCAATGTTAATCCATCATTATCAACACCAACACTCCGTAGATCTCTCATTCTTTCACTCTATGTAAATAAGATTTCACAAGAACTTCGATATAGAAGACCAAACGATATGGCCAACCTATGTGTAGTTCTCTACGGTTATTTATTCTCTTCATTAGATGATGTAAGTACTACCATTGCTTTTAATAACAATTACAAATATCTAATTAACAAATTCCATTCATATTCAAACAAATAGAATACCATTAAAGAGTTTATTGCTGCTCATTCATCAAACATTCCAAAGTCTAAAAAGGACGATAAGAAACGAAAGAGAAAGAGAGACAAAGAAGAATATTCAAGTGACAAGCAACAACGTACTCCATTACAGAAATCTGTTAATGGTGTATCGAACACTCAACAACAACAACAACAACAACAACAACCTACTGCTTCACAGATAATAAGCGATGCCAACACTTCAGATTGGCCACTCGCACCCATTCAAACCACACCATCCTATTTCGTATATGATCTAAGCTCTGCCACCTCGCCAGACAACTCCAACGGTGTTCTCTCACCAACCACTCTGTTGTCGCACGGTGGCAATAGCTCGCCAGGCTCATTCATGTTGTCCGACAGCATGCCAAGCAGCACAACTACCAACAACGGTGACAACACACCGTCACCAACCACCGTCATCAATCCCTCACCATCAACATCGAACAGTACCACCGCACTAACAGCATCGAGTACCGCCATCGAAAATACCGACGATGACGATACTCCCGTTTCGCTACACGATGCGTTTGTCAACTGTTTGAAATCCTGTACGTTACTACCATTCCTCGAGTTTAAACCGGTGCATTCCTTAGTTGCCCCGGCAGATTTGCCAATCACTGACTTCTACTACTCCTACGATGATTTGGTGCGTTGGGAGAACGAGTTGAAAGACCTCAAACAGAGTGTCAAACAACATGTTCAACACCAAAACATCCAGCAGAAGCAGCAACAACAACAACAACAAATTAATCAACAACAACAACAACAAGCTCAGCAACAAGCTCAGCAGCAACAACAAATACAACAAGCCCAACAACAACAAATCAATCAACAACAACAACAACAAATACAACAAGCTCAAATACAACAACAATTATATCAACAGCAACAGCAACAACAACAACAAATTCAACAACAACAACAGTTATATCAACAACCATTACAACAACAACAATATCAAACACAACAACAAATTCAACAACAACTACATCAACAACTAGCAATTACACCGACACCGATGATCGATGATAACAGTTGCAACTGGAAGATGGATCCAAAGAATGGTGTGCTGGTCAACGTATTGGAGAACGACGATTCGTTCATCATTTACGTAGCCATTCCACACTCTCGACCAAACACACTTAGAGTAACCGTCAACCAGCTGGAAGTGATCATCGAAGGATGCGTTTCCATACCAGATACCATCTACCTCCCCAATGGCGCAGAGATGGCCATCCCAGTTGGAGCATTCCCTCTAAACTTCCAGAAGCAAGAGTTCTTCATCGGTCAATTCACCAAACACATTCAATTAAGCTCACCAGTGTCATCGTCTGTCGTTGGTAAACGTGAAGGTGTAGTTGTTATCATCGCAAGAAAAGAAACAACCTATCAAGTAACTCAATTCTAAACATCATCATCATCACCATGTTAATTAACTTTAAAAGGACCAAAAAAAAAAACAAGAAAAACAAAAAAAAAAAAACCTAACAAACAAAAAACATCATACATTATTTATTCATTGTAATTTATCGACATACATGTAATTCAAATTTAATAAACAAACTTATTCAAACAAGTAATTAATACTTTAATAACAAAAAAAAACTTTTTTTTTTTTTTTTTTTTTTTTTTTTTTTTTAAATTGTTATATTTATATGTAAATACTAAATATCTTTTTGTGAGGAATACCTGGTTTAACAAAACATTAATGTAATGATTTACAATAACTAGACGACTCTGTAGATATCAAATTTATCTTTAAAGACTCTGTTTATCATTATTTTATTGTATTTTTGAACATTATCCATTTATATTTAAAGATAATTATAAAAAATTTCAAGATATGACTGAGATCATTTTGAAACAAACACCTATTTCTTATTTTGAAACAAAACTAAGACTATTCGAAATAAAAGATGATCTTTTAAAAACTTGAACTTATTAATAATGAGATAGATCCGTTATAACTGAATCAAAGTTCAAATTTTTTACAAGGTTTTACAAAAAAAAACACACATTATTACAAGTTCAATTTTAACAATCACATTCACATTGTAATCTATATATAATAGCAATATTAATATTAAATGATTATAGTATAAATAATAAGAAAACTAAAACTAAAACAAAGAAATGAGTGAATCATCTCCGACTATAAATAATAATAACAATAATAATAATAATAATAATACCGAGCTCAATAATAATAATAATGGAAAGGTAAATGGGCATTCAAACAACAATAGTAATGCTCTGAACTATGGTGATTTCAAAATATCTATTTCAATACCACCTGATAATCCACCGATTGCTCGTGTCGATCAGAATGGTACTGAATATCATTCAATGTAAGTAATTTTAATTGTAATATATATATATATATATGAATGATGATGATGATGTAGTAATGTGTGATCAAAAGAAATGAATAGAGTATTAATGTATCGATTTTTACAATTTACTATAGTAAACCTACGAATGAAAGTAAATTCATACAGGTGTTGAATCAGATAAAAGAACAAGAAGCATATCAAAAAGAATTGAATAGAAAGAAGGAATCGTTGTTGGAGAGTGGTGATACACAACAGCAACCACAACAAGGGCATCAACATCATTGATCAACAACAACAACAACAACAGTTACTTCAAGCCAATCCAATGATTGAATTTACAGATAACATGAACTTGGCACGTATCGAACTCGAACAAATGATATTCCTTATCGATATGATAAAGAATGAAAGACATATAAGTCTATCGAGCATCGATAAACCACAAGCATCCGAACAACGTGAATTAAATGATGCTGTACAACAAATTTCTTTAAAACAAAAAGTAAGTTTATCATAACATATATGAAGAACAAACAAAACAAAACAAAACAAAACATTATTAACTATTATATTTAAAGGCATTGAGTGATATGGGTAATAGATTGATTTCAGGTGCAGCAAGAATGAAGGCATCGGTCGCCACTGCTTCGTCGTGGTGGAGTGATGTTTCAACGTTAAGATCAAAGTGGAGACTGAAAGGAAAAGATTCAATGACAATGATGATTCCAACAAACAAAGCAAGTACAAAGAAACTATCAATAGATTATGGATTTTATACGTGTAAGTAGAAAAATACAAAATATTTGATTTAATAACTGTACGTTTTTTTTTTGTATAAACTAATAATAATGATGATTATGATTATGATTATGTTATAAAGCTGGATCTATTGTCGATCAAACAGAAGCAGATCTTTCAAGAGGAAATAAAGGTGAAATGAATATAGAATTCCCTAATCTACCATATCCATCGGCTTTGAACAAACGATTGTATATCAGCGTAAAGTCGAGAGATTCAAAGACATTCTCTAATAACTCAAGCGGGCAAATTCATAGACTTCCAGTTACCGATCACAGCAAATCATATCGTGAGTTTGAACAGTTGTTGAACCGTGTAGACACACTGCCACTTGAAGACGCAAGAAAGTTATCATTCTTAAAGTGTTCAAATCTCTTGAACAAAGCACATAAATATCAATTCCATTCAGAGTTGTTTGATAGTGTAAGTGTGTTTGACATTATCTATTACACCATAATATTTAAATTAATCATTATATAATTATATATATAGTTAAATAGAGAAGCATCAATAGGAAATACAGGTGAAATCGTAATGTTGACAGAGAAGGAGATAAGAATAGAGTGTGGTGGTTTGAATTTATTTATTGGAATGGTGGATCCTAAGAGGGATGAAGATAGCGAGTCGATTGGTGGTAGTGCAACTGCAGACGTCGACGAGAGAGAAGATAGAGAGCGTGACTTGTTGGTTTTATCAAGATGTGAGAAAGATAGCAGCAGTAGCAACAACAACAATAATATTGATGGTGAAATGACTATGGAGCAACAACAACAACATAGATTGTTGTTTGTGCTGAAGACGTCGTTGAAGAAGATATCGACTCTGCTGTTGAAACGCTCACAGAAACAGCTGTTTATGAGTACTCACCGTAGAACACCAAAGTTTGTGTTTGGCAGGAAACTACCATTGCAACCGAACAACGATGAGTTGATTGGCAAGTCGGCGTCGATGTTGCGACACATGGATATGTTCCTCAGGATCACCAAGGTGTTGGAGTTTATCGAGAGAACACTGCCGGTGCGCATTAAATACACTCCGGGTGCACCGATCTCGTCGTCGCTCATCATCATCAGTCTGATTGAATCGGTGCACTTTAACCAACCGATGGTGGCGATCGAGGTGGTCATCAAGCAGTCGCAGGTAACCGTGGTGCAAGCGCAATCCAAGTCGATCTCCAACGACAATGAATATCTGGTCGGTAGTTTCATTATCAATCTGATACAAAGCTACTTTGTAGAGCAGATGTCTAACAAGCCGACCATCGGTTCACTCATTGACCTAGAGGAATTCGAGTCGGAGCTAACCAGCAGCAGCAGCAGCAACAACAATGTATATCAACAACCACAACAACAAAATACTAAAAAACAAAAACACTCTTCGACATCACTCATCAACTTTAATGATCTTACGATCAACAGTAGCATTGGAACAACAACAGCGACTACAACGACAAACAACAAAAATCATAAACATATGAATGGAAGTATTAACAATCGATCATTAGCAACAAGATCATCATCATCATCATCGTCCTCAAAGAAAAGAAATACACAACAATACTTTCATCCGCAACTAATTGAATTGATTAAATACTTTCAAATTATAAACAGAGAAATAAACATACTTTAATTTCTTTCAAACTTTTTTTATTTTTATTTTTAATTTTTAATTTTAATTTTTTTTTTTTTTAAGAACCAGGTTACAAATGCATCCCTCAAATTCAATTACAGGGAGAGAATTGTTAAAAAATAAAATGCTAATCTAATTGTCAAGTCTTGGAAGGTGGAAAATCGGATTAATATATCTTGATATTTGTGATTCAGGTGGATTAGGAGCATGACGATGAATAAAAAATAAAATGTAATGATTTAAGTAATTTTGAATAATTGGTATAGGCCTATGTTAGAATAGCACACAATTTTCTGTGGCCAATCAATGAATTAATTAATAACACAAACAAGTGTTTTTGCTCAAACAGATGAATGTGGATGGATTGATGGATGGATGGATTGATGTTTACCTCCAGACTGCACAATGATGTCTGAGGTAGGTATAAACTACATCATTGTTTTTAAACACAAAACAGCAACTTTACCTTCCAATTTATTTTTAAATTTACCTCAAAAAAAAACAGTGGAGAAACCTTTTAAAGTAAAAAAAACAAACTTTATGTGTGTTCATTGGTCAACAATGATCATTTTTTAAAATTCACCCCACACCCATCCATACTTGGATGATCCAAATCAATTTCGATTTCACTAAATCTTTTTCCCCCCACACCAAACTATTTTTTTTTCAAGTTCTTTGTGATGTTTGGGATTGAATTGTTGTGATTTTTTCACTCTGAATTTTAATGAGGCTTCGTAAAATGATAAACCGCCCCAATGTTCATTTTTCATTTTTATTTTAATTCTATTTTGGGCTAATGTGTTTGTAAGTGGTGACCATGATTTAAACCTCATGAATTTCATCTGATTGGTTTGTAGTAAAATGAAATGTTTTTAATATGTTTTGGTTTGACTGACTTCCTGACTGTTTGCAGTTAGATCTGTTTATCCTTTTTACATGATTCCTATTTGCTGAATTATCATAATGATAAAATCAAAGTCACTGATATCCTTTTCACACTAAACATCTTGTTTTTTAATTTTAAATAATAATTTTATATATATTATTCTTCTTTTTTAAGGGAATAAACTTCAAAATAAATATCATTCAACAACTACAATAACAATGAACAGTATCTTGTAAATATTTTATTTTAACCTCAAAGAATAAAAATCATATCTATCAAATCTATAATAATCAATAAATTCGAAAATCAACAACAACTTTACTTTTGTTGTAAATAAAAAAAATAATAATAACAAACTAATTAGATAAGAATAATAAATAAGAAAACATACATATAAATAGAAAAAGTTTGAAAAATGAAGAATAGTTATAATATATATATAATTTTATTTATATTTATATTGAATTGTCATTATTTTTTATTGGTAGATTCTCGTATGTAATAAATTGAAATGATTATTCATTCTTTAAACTTTAACAAAATAAATATTAATTTTTTATTTTAATTGCAAAATTTCTATAGAGAATATTTCTGGGTATAAACAAAATGGACAAAATCTAACGATTTCTTTTACGAAAAATCATTTATATAATATATCAAGAGTGCAAATAGATAATTCGATAAAACCATTTTCTTATTTGGATGACATCCAAATCACTGTACAGTTTCCATGTCGATCTTTTAGACAAAAGTTAAGTGTCGAGTTCAATGGATCATACGGATCAGAGATTCTCGTTTACTTGAAGAGCTATATAGCAAACATCACTGCAGCGCCAGTCGATGGTGGATTTATTTATTTCGAAGGTTGTTACTTTGATGGTTGGGAAGAAAACAATCTGCTGCTCTACAGCAACAACAAAAAGAATCTCTGCGAAAACTGGGCAATCAACTCTAGACAAAAGTCATACTGTATAGTGGCACCTGGCGCAGGCAAGAACATATCGTTCTACATGACAGAGAAAGACGGTGTCACCAAGATGACAGAGTATTTCTTTAGCTACGAGCCACCCATTATCGAAACCGTGTCGCTTGCCAACAACAACTACACCGTAAATATCAATGGCAGTGGATACTCAGCGCCACTCCAGCTCAAAGTCAATGGAAATCTCTGTGCCAATGCAACCATCAACAATTCAGGCTCGATCAGTTGTTCGTACATCGATAGCAAACCACTGAGTGACATCAATGAGATTCAGGTCGATCTCAACGTCGCCAACCAGTCGACGCAATACAAAGGTGAACTCTACCAGCCTCTGAATTCAGCACAACAACTCCACCCCAATTTTATCTTTACAGTTTCACTCGCTTTTATTATATGTTTATCATCATTTTTATTTGATTTTGAACTCTACTAATATCAAATAACAACAACAACAACAACAACATCCGCAAATCAAATTGATTCATCTTCATTTGATCTTTTTTTAAAATAATAGAAAGATATTCTATTATATTTATAATATATATATATTATGTAGCATCATTCATTTCACAACCACACACCATTCTTTTTTTCATTCCCTCTTCTTTTTTTGATGTATTTTGTCAACATCAAGAGAATCGAAATAAATCTAACTAACATTATTATTATGTAAAAACTAAATATTAAAACTTGTACTACTAGTTTACTTTACTGATTAATTCGAGTAGTGATCACTATTTTTATTAGTTAACTAATAAAAATTCCAATAGATTTTTAAATAACCCCCATTACTCACACCTCATTTAAATATGAATCATAATTAAACTATAAAATTGTTCTGACTTTTTCATTATGTGGTGGGTGTGGTTAATGTGGTGGTGTGAATTCTTATATTATCTACACATATATTTTTTGTGCGTCTTTGTTTAAATTTTATTCATATTCATTGTGTTCTTGGTACAATCTCACAGTCCACTCCAAAAGACTGACTTTTTATCAATTTATTGAATTGTACAATAAAAATAATAATAGAAAAAAATTATAATTGGACTGCTTCTATCATTATTAAGATTAAATTAATATTAAAACTACTAATATTTATTTTTTTGTTTATTTAAAAATAAAGATAGTTTAATAATTAAATAAATAATAAAAAAAAGTTTGAATTCAAAGAGATCTTATTTATTATTCCATTACTGCTGCTCAATATAATTATAATAGTAATTTTATTTTAAAATACACGGTCACTGTATCTACCAACAACACCTCATAGATAGATATTGGTTTTGTATTATTATCATTTTTTTGTTTTTTTGTTATCATTCAATCAATAAAAAAAAGATTTTATAATAAAATTATTAAATATCTACCTAATTACCTACCATAGAGATATATAATTACGCATTATCATTCAATATTTCAATCTGATTGAAATCTAAAAGCTATCGATTGTAACAGCAATAAAAATAACAATAAAAAAAATAACAACGACAACAACAATCACCAACAACTATATTCAAACTAGTTCTTCTTCTATTATTATTCTATAATATGTTTAGTTAGTTTTTTAGCATATTTATCTTATTTGTAATATATTTATATTTTCATTTTACAAGTTATAGAATAATTTTATATTTATTAAGTTTTTTTAAAGAAAAAAATGTTTGAAAATACATATTTACCCTCAATATTATGGGGATTGGTTGTATTATTAATAGCATTTATTTTAATATATCCATTTAAATTTTTAAGTATAATTTCAAGATTAAGGTATGTTTGTAATAAAAGAATTAAAAAGAGACTGGAAAAAATGTTGGACATTAATAAATTAATATTTGTGTTTTACTTTATTTCTCTTCTAGGATAATAATAGAAAATCTTCCTTTGATTATACAGAAAAGACACAAGATATTTCCATATATGTATTATTTAAAAGGGAATGCAAATGTATTCTCTTTGATTGATAAATTGCCGATGGTAAGATCGAAACTACCACGGCTTATCGATGAACTTCCAATAGTGGCACCACATCTCGAGCTCATAATGCACGACCACAACTTTGACAAGCTAGCACCACACATCGACTTGATTCTCGATAATCTACCGAAACTGACACCGTATCTCGATGTTATGCTTAGACATATCGATTCGATACTTCCGCACTTTGAGCTATTCATCAAGTATTTCGACAAGTTGGAACCATACATTCCCGATCTCGCTCCGTACTTTGATGATCTCTGTCAGTATATAACTATATTATCGCCGCATCTGGATACTCTTTTACCGAATTGTCGGGCGATGCTGCCTTATTTCTCGAGACTCTCACCGTATATTCCTCGGTTGCTACCGAACACCTATTTAATACAACCGTACTCCAGACAGTTGATACCACATATCGACGTGTTACTTCCGCACATCGATGTTCTCCTGCCGTATCTACCGACGTTGCAACCGGTGATGCCAGAGATCATTGCCAATATCGATGTGCTGCTGCTGCACATCAATGAGATCACCGCCAACATGGAATCGGTACTGCCATACACCCGATTGATACTGCCAAAGATCCGTCTGATATCGCCATACATCCCACAGCTGATGCCGCACCTGAAGCTACTGAGTCCGCACATGGAACTGCTAATAAAAAACTGTGATCACATCGTTCCATTCATTCCAACGCTGATCCCTCACGTGAAAACACTGATGCCCTATATCAAGATTCTGTTGCCACGCTCCAAGACACTGTTGGAGTCGGCACACATCATTCAGCCACGAGCAGCAGTACTACTACCCTACAGTCCAAAGCTGCTGCCCTACATCGATATCCTAATGCCTCACAGCTCACTGTTGATCTTCCATTCACACAAGCTGATACCACTGGTCAACCGAATCTATCCTTACATCCCAGCGCTGATGCCACACTTTCATCTGCTGATCAATCATATCGACGAGTTGCTGGAGAGTAAATTCTCATTGCTTCCATATATCGATGATATACTTCCACACATACACACAATCATTCCCTATACAAGTATACTGCTGCCATACAGTGAGAAGTTGGCACCTCACCTCGGCTATCTCCCCAAGTATTCATCGATACTGTTACCATATTCTAAATTCCTTCTTCCACACATCGATGAACTGTCAAGACACATGCACGAGCTCTCACCCTATCTACCAGCGATATTCCCATATCTTGGCCAGCTCATGGATAGAATCGAACAAATAATACCACAACTCGACTATCTCGCACCTTATTTACAATATATAATACCAAATCTAGATGAACTTTTACCAAATATTGGAAATGTAATGTATTACAAATTAACTACACTAAGAATAAGAATATCAAACAAAAATGATTATTAATATTTTTTAAAAAGGTATTGGATAGAAATAGATCGATAGTTCCTTACATACAAGATTATATATATTCAGCACAGGCTGCTAGAATGAACTACGGGTCGATTCAAACTGAAAGAAATCAATCGATGAAACATATACCACCACCACCACCACCACCGCTAGCAGCAGCAGCACCAGCATCTCTTCCTCAACCAGTGATCAACCATTACTCTATGAATACCTATAAACTAGATCCATCGATGCCTCCAGCCACTCTTCCTATGTATCACAAGAAAACACTTCGTGAGAGAATCAAAGATAAATTTAGAAAACATCACGACAAAGATGAAGACGATATAGCTGCACTAAATGATCTAGATGAGTTCAATCACAGACAAAACTTAATCTCTATTCATAATAGTAGAGCAAGATCACCAACCCAATAAATTTAAAAAAAAAATAGTGTAGTTTATTTTTTTTTTTTTAATTAAAAAAAGTAAAAAGGAAAAAAGGAAAAAAAAAAAGAATTTGATTTTTTTTGTATTCATTTTATTAATTTTACAATATTTGTTTGTTGTTCTTTATTTTATTTATTTTTGTTTATAAATCTAGTTCATCTTTTTATTATTTTAGTAAAATGGTTAAATTAATATTTCATCTATTAATACCCATCCACTAATATTACAATATTTCGAGCATTTGCAACACTTACACAAATAATGACTTTCAATATCATACAAACAAAGATAGTCGATTGGCTCGCAATCTTTTCATATTTTTACAATTATCTTATTATTATTTTGTTTTTTTTTTTTTTTCACCATTGTTGTAACAAAATGTTTTTTTTTTATAACAAGTGGTATACATGTTTTATTAAAAGTTGTATTAAAGTTGTAACAAAATGTTAACAAAATGTTAACAAAAATAGGCTCATTGCTTGACTAGTTATCCACATGATTTGTTAATTTATAGAAGAAGAACATCAGTGTGTTTTTTGCATCATCGCCGTAGAATTTTTCAAACAAAATGATTCGTTTTTTAAAATTCTTTTTGGTGCGCACGTGTATTCCGCTCGTCTTTAAAATCATTCACAAACTTTATAGATTTAATTTTATGGGTTGTAAAAAAAATATAAAATCTTTTATTTTTAAATTTAATATAAATCTTTACAATGAAATAATCACATCACACCGCATTGTAACAAGTTATTAACTTAATCCTCTATCACCAAAATGCATCATACAAACTTTTTAAACAAATGTTTATGAACTGGTTTCAAACAAATAATTCAACCTCACAACATAGATTTTAGATTTTTTAATCAAAACATTGGATTAGTATTGTTGACAAAGTAAATAAATGTCTACAATTTATAACAAAACAATGAATAATATCATATTGAAAGAAATAAATTATCATATTTCCAATGTTGGATTATTTGAATTTCATAATTGGTTCAGGCAACTTTGTTTTTCGTCACTGTGTCCCTATCAAGTTTAATACATATGAATGTTGATCTATTCAAAACTATACCACTAATTTGATAGATCGATAGAACCATCACACTAACACATATAATGACATTCAAAATCATAATAAAGAAGAAGTTGTTCAATTACAATAGATTTGGATCAGTTCAAAATATATCACAATTTATTTGTTTCATTGGTAATATTAAAAAAAGTTAGAAAAAATTGGTAAGAAACAATTATTTGACATTTTTGTTTCAATAATATAGATAACATAAACACTTCAATGACTTTATTGAAAAAAATAAAAAAAATAGGCACTTTCTTGATAAGTTATCAACATATTTTGTAGCTAAATTAATTTTCATGTCAGAATTTTAAATGTTCGTTTGTTTTAAATTATTTTTGTGGGGGTGAACATACAATAGTCTCTAAAAACATTCACATCAAAAAATACACAGTAAAAATAAACTACTTGTAAACAAATATGTCAATTAAAAGTTTTATAATCATTCTATTTGCCAACTATATGATTTATTCTTTTAAAAACCCTTTGGACAAGATTATAAAATAATAAAAGGTCAAAAAATAAGTTATTTTGTTTTTTTTTTTGTTTTTTACCAAACCAGTTATTTTCAAGGGTACTACCCTTGGTTACTATAAAAATAAGTGATAAAAAAACCAATATAAAAGGCAATTTTTTATGTGTTATCCAATGCCAATTGAGATTTTTATTTTTATTTTTTAACTAAATTTGATTCAAACTACCTCCATATTTATATGTGTGTCGTTTCAGATTTTAATAATTAGGAATGTCTTGATATTTATTTTTTTAAAAAAAATATTTAATGATCTACTAAGGTAATCTTTTAATAATTATAAAAATAAAACTTGGTTATATTAATATCATTGTAATTTACACTTGTGATACACCCCAACTATTTTTATTTTTGAGTCATCTTTCGAGCAACTTCACTTCTTCGGTAACAAACTAGATCAGACACACCCACACTAGTGGTGTATTGAAAAAATCAGTACAGCTCATATGAATTGAACTATAATCATTCATTTAAAATACTTTTTGGAGGGAGTTCCAGAAATAACGAAATTTATTTTTGTCTTTTCAAATGGTACCATTTTATTCAGAATATGACTATTTAGATCAGAGTTTTTAAATATATTGGTTGATAACCAAAGTAACTAAAAATTATTTAATTTAATCAATAACCAACTTGTCTCATTATAAATAGATGTTCTAAACATATTCGATTCATTTCTATTTTAATATAATCCAAACAAACAAATAATAAATAACACAATGATATCAAATTTCGACAAACTATCAATTGGTCAGCCAAACAAGCCAGTAAACCCAAATGCTATGGCTACACCACCTCCACAGGGATTAAGTCCAGAGGCTAAGCTTATGCAAGTTGCAACTGGATATTGGGCAAGTCAGTGTTTGGCTGCGGTCATCCGTCTCGATATTCAAGATTGCTTCAAGAACGGTCCTCGATCGATCTATGATATTGCACAAGAGAAGAATTGTAATGGTGATGCACTCTACCGTTCAATGAGAGCTCTTTCAAACATGGGAATCTTCATGGAGTGCGAAGAAGATGGATACTTTGATCACAGTCCAACAACTAAAATCCTGGAGAATCCAAATGGTTATATCAATGCCCTAAAATTTGAAACCCATCCATCTGGATACAAGTATGTATTATGTAAATAAATATTAATTTAATTGAAAACAATTTTGTTTAATTAATACTAATATAATATTAATAAATTTGAAGATGTTGGTCAAATTATTTCGAAACTGTAAAGAATGGTGGTCCAAATGCTCATGAGAATTTCAATGCAAAGAACATGTGGGATGTTATTCACCAAGATAAAGAGTTCAATGCTTTGTTTAGCCGTGCAATGGGAACTTTCACAAAAATGACTACTTTTGCAATTCTCAAAGAAGTTGGTCATGAATTTGCAAAATATGAAACCGTTTGTGATGTCGGTGGATCAAAAGGAGTGTATGTTATCTATAATTATTTCCATTTCCTACATGATTAATATTAATTTAAATTTAAAAATCAGTTTAATGAATGAATTATTGAAAATCAATCCAAACATTCAAAAAGGAATTTGTTTCGATTTACCAAGTGTTGTTGCTGATACCAAATCCGAAGACAGTAGATTCTCTGTTGTTGGTGGAAGTTTCTTTGATTCAGTTCCAGAGGCAGATTGTTATACAATTAAGAATGTTCTTCATGACTGGTCCGATGAAAAGTGTATTGATATTCTAAGAACCATTGGAAAGTCAATGAAACAAGGTGGAAAAATCTATATTTTCGATTCAATAATAAAAACAAAGAACACTCCATCACTTCCCTCTCTCCTTGATGTTCGTAAGTAAACATAAAAAAGAATTAACAACAAAAATTTTCATAACATAAAACTAATATTTCATTTTTTTAAAACAAAAACAAATAAGATATGATGCATATGTTTGGTGGAAAAGAAAGAAACACTAAACAATGGAATATCCTTGCTGAACACTCTGGATTCAGAATAGAAAAATCTATTCCTATTAATCAAAACATTGGATTAGTATTGTTGACAAAATAAAATATCATATTTAATTAAACAAAATAAATGTAGATATTATAAGTATTTCAACTGAAAAAATAACTTTCTGTCGAATACCAATATTAAATTAAATTATAATAAACAAACATGGTTGTGTAACATCACACAAAAAAAAAAAGAAAGATTAATATTATTTGAATTGAAGAATGAGGCAACGAATTTTTTCTAGCAAATAAAGAAGAGAATTTAACTGACAAACTTTAATTTAATAATGTTTTTGATGATAATTGCCTATGAAGATTTAGTAAAAGAAATCAGGTGAAGAAGTAGAACAGATGGTGATATAAAAAAAAAAAAAACAAATTCTTAGCTTTGAGAAATAATCTCATAAAATTAAATTAAATTAAATAAAATTAATTAAAAACAAAATTGAATAGCAGTAAAATAGTTTAATCATGATTTTCGATATTTCTTTTGTTTTGTTGATGTTGTTTTTAACTACAACTAAAAGTAGGCAGCCCATTTTAGTCACGCATAAATCTGATTCAGATTCTTACCCACAACATAATAACGCTCATTTACAACCACACTACAACCAACAAACACAAATCCATTAAGATAATTAAAAAAAATGTAAAAAAAAAAAGTGTATTCAATTTCGAATTCAAACTAGATATTGATTGAAAATTTACCCCCAATCTCTCTTTGCATACATGTCAGATCACCAAAAACAGAAAAAGCTGAACCAAAAACATCACGACCTCAAGAAGAATATTTAAATAAATAAAAAATGAAATTTAATTTAGTATTCCATACATATTTAATCTGCTAATTGGAATAAATAAATGTTTTAATAATTATCTAGTATATAAAGAATCTTTTTTTATTTAGATAACAAAAAAATAACCAATTCAATTTTATAATTTACTGTACATTCATTTTCCCAATTTAAAATCAATAAAATTATTGTTTTATTTTTTATCACGTAATCATTATTTTATTAAAATAATAGTAGTCATCATAATTTGTAGATAGATCAAATTAATTTTCATAAGCAACAACTAAAAATACACTTAAAAAGCACACTCCTGATCTGTAAAAACAACGAAGAAGACAAAGACGACGAATAGTTTATCTTCAACAAAAGCAAAGCATATTAGCTACCAACCAATTAATCAACTTAAACCAAATTAAAAACACGTAAGTTAAAAATTGACATTTATTTTTTAATTAAAATCGCACAGGGTAATTGTTTTTTTTTTTTGTTTTTGTTTTTTTTCTAAAATTTTTTTCAAAAATAATTATCATTATTTATTGTTACTTTTAAATGTCATTATTTCCAACTATTATAGTATAGTAGAATTATTATATATCATATATATTAATTAGTAATAACAATAACAATATTAATAATATAAAAGATAGATAATCTTCTACTTATTCCTCTTCATCATCTTCAACTTCCTCTTCCTCTTCTTCTTCTTATAAATCTGTTTCGAATTCAGAAAGATTTATAAAAAAAAAAAAAAAAAAAAAAGAAAAAAGAAACAGTTTGTTTTGTATGTATATCGTTTTGTCATTCATTCATTCTTTCTTTCTTTCTTTTCATTGAGATGTCTTGTCTATTCTCTTTATCTACTACTACTACTATGCTCACTGCAACACACACACACAATAGCAGCGTTCAAACATATATATTATGTGAAAAAGTTTGTATGATTTCAGCACAGCATAAGAATATTCTCTTTGGACCCAAATTGTAAATTCTACCAACCAACCAACTAAAACAACTCAAAGTAAAATAATCATCGTCGTCGTCAAGTTAAAGAGAAAGATAAAAGACAGAATCTTCGATTTTTATATTAGAATATAGTTAATACCACTTTACAATCAACATTAAACAAAATAATAATAATGCTAATAAGACATACACCTGAAATAGTAATATTATAAAATAATAATCTATTGTATTTTTTCATATTTGATCATCGGTGGTATTAAAATAGATTTATGTATTGGATGAGAAAAAGATAAATTTTTGTTAAAAGTTTATCATCTACATAATTGGTTTATCGCATGCTTTTCATTAATTGGTTATGAAAATCATATCATCTACAAATTAAAGGACTAAAAATGATAATTTTGTTCTAATCTATATTATATGACTTTAATACCACCACCACAAAAAAACAACAAAAACATTGTCAAAATCGATCAAAACTTTATGATAATTCATTTAATTTCACCAAAACAATAACAAACCTTTTTCCCTGTCCGTAATTAATAATTAAAATAACAATAACAACAATAACATCTTAGTTGTTTTGTTTAGATTGATAGATAGTTAGAAAGATATGCAAAAATCGACACACCAAATATATCATATTATATTTTTATTACTATTATAATCATGTATGATGCAATTTTTATTTGCATTTTTTCACTTTATTCTGTTTTGTTTTACTGAGTGTGTTTGCAATGTGAGTGTGTGTATGTTGTTTGTTTAGTGGTGGTGTATTATCTTGGTAGTGTGTGTGTAGACAAAAAGTAGTAATAGTTTATAAATTATTTTAAAAAAACAATTTTCTCTCTCTTTTGCTTTTTTTTCTTTTTCTTTCTTTTTTGTTTTAATCTTTTTTGTCTGTCTATTCCATCTGTGTCTGTCTTTGACCTACACCCATAATAATCGCATTAGCGTTAAAGTAATACACTGCCATTCTATTAATTTGATAGTGAATTAAAGTAAAAAGAGGAAAAACACATTTTTTGTTAATTTGTAGATGATTCTCTTTCTATTTCATTTTGTTTTATTACTATTTTCACATTATTATGTTAAATCATTATTAGATTAGATATATCTTTTGACCAATCGTCACACCCAGAATTAGTCATTGGAAAAATAGCAGCAGCACTTCTAGATGATAGACAGGACTGGTTGTTGATTCCAACAAACACAACATCAACTCACTCACTCTACCAACAACAAAGTGGTGTATTTTAAACTTTTATAACTTGGCACAACTTTTTAGTTTAATTATAAATTAGTTTCATATCTTTTTTGTTTTTTTGTTTGTTTGTTTGTCACTTTTCACTTTCACACCTCTCATTTGTCTGTCTGTTAGTTTTTATTTTTATTATTAAAATTATTGTTTCTTTGTTGTAAAGTTTCTATAAACACCAACAAATTATAATTGTTTTGTTTTGTTTGTTTGTCTACTAGATTAACTTTAGTATTAGAACATAGAACCATTGACTAATATCAAACCCCTCCTCTTATAATTATAAACCTACCCAACCAATTAGTTTTTTTTTTTTTGAAAGGAAGAAGATTTACTCTTTTCAAACCTTTTGTATTGATATCTCTTCATGGGCATGTCAATCAAACAACACACACAGCAAATAGAAGGCAGCAGCAACAGCAATGGGAATAGCAGCACAGAGTGGATAATACAATCGACAACTTCACCATTCCAAAATAATACAAATAAAAGATTTTCATTAGGTAGGCAACAACAACTACAAGACGAAGACTATAATCAACAACAACAACAACAGGAGGGAGGAATAATAATAGGAGCAGCAGGTTTTGTTGACATTATCATTGAATATCCAACAATAGTTCACAACAATTGCGGAAGACGAAGACTATACGCATCATCACCATCATATTTTTACAATCCACCACCACCATCATCATCATCATCATCAAACACTAACCCCATTTCCAAACCATATTTTTCTCATTTCAAACGATCAGATCCATACATGGAGCACCAAAATCATTATTCACCTCCCCAGTCACCTCTCAGTGTATCTGACCCGATGACTGGGTACTTTCAAAATCTACAATCACCCGACATCAACATTAGAAAATCAGCTATCGAAAATATCATTACAACTCTGTCGAACCCAGACAACGAGAAACTTCTGAGAAGCTATATAAACAACATCGTAGTGTTAGCTACAGAGTCTCCATTCGATGAAATTACAGAGTCTTTTTCAAATTTATTAAAATCTATACAGGTAAACTTTGATCTTTTTAACAAGCTGCTATTAGTGCTAAAAGAAACATTAATAATAACCATTCACTTTATTTTAGGATAAATATCATATACCAAAACAAAAAACAACATCGTTTATAAATGAAACACAATTACCACCATTAAATACGAATGATGAACTTACAAAGAGATTGTTCCAAGAAGTGTTTTTACAATCGGGTCGAGTAAACCATATCGTTCGTCTGTTGGGTTGGCACCCACAATATCTGGAGAGATTTCTGTCGAGTTACAATAAAGTGATGAGAGATCCAGGACCTCTTCCACTACCTTGGAGAAATTATATTGGTATTTTATCGGCAGCACGTTACAACTGCACCTATCTGGTGTCACTTCAGGAGCATGAGTTCCTCAAGAACAACGGTGATCCCAAATGGCTACAGGGTATCGATCATATTCCTCAGAAGCTAAAGAACCTTCTGAAAATTGTACAATTAATGGCACACCAACCCTGGCTGCTGCCCAATCTCGACCTGGAATACCTAGTGAAAGGACAGGACGCATGGTCCATAGCGGAATTGGTTCAAGCAATGATTTTAATTTGCACTTTTCTCTCGCTGTCTGGCTTTGTGTTTTCCTGTGGAATTCTACCAGAGTACGGTCTGTCGCAGGAGGAGAGACCTCAGTTTTCACTGAATGACAGTGACTGCGAAGTCGAAGACAGCTCAGCATCGGAAAACACCATTAAGGTCATGGAGTTGCTCATGAAGAAACGCTCACAGGAGGAAGACGAAGAGGACCAGGATATCGATCGTCAACAAGAGTTTCACAATGCAGGAATGGAGTCTGGCCCACCTTTCGAGACGGCCAGCAGCAGTAGTGGCGGCGGTGGCGATTCCGACACGGGAATGATCGACCTCGAACGATACATCGGCAACTATACAATGTCTCACACCGACTTTGACGTGTCATCCCGTGAGTACACAATCTTCTCCATTCAGGACTACAGTTGGAAGGAGCACGGTTACGAGTTGGTCAGTCGAATCTTCCCGGATGCCGCACCACTGCTCGACGAAGAATTCAACTTCGTGTACACAATGACCTATTACCGATTTAATAACAGTACCGATATCGATACATTACCATTCAGACGTGCCGTTTGGTACTATGTACAGCGTGTTAAGGGAATGTGTCACGACGACTACAACTATCAGGAGGTAAACATGTTCCTTAACCGTAATCTCAAGTACTATGTAAAGAAGGCAGTTTGTTTCCCAGACAACATCACCAAAGTCGATTATTCAAAATTAGGTTTTGATTTGAAACCGGATGAAAAGTGTCATCTGGCATTATTAGCTGTATGTTCTCATAAACAAGCAGCTCTTTTATATGGATTATATACAGTTATGTGTTACCAAAATCGTAGATAGAATTTAACAACAACAACAATAATAATAACTATACAAATATATTATAAACACACACCAGCACAAAAACACAAATACAAAACAAACAACAGTATCATTGAAACCATTTTTCCCGTCCCACTCTTATACAAAAAAAAAGAAAAAAACAAAAACATAATCCATCTTTATCACAATAAAGGAATTAGGTTGAACTAGATTGCCTTTTAACAAAATAATAATGAACTTAATTATTTCTTTTCTTTTTTTTTTTTTTTTTTTGATTAAAAAATTGAGATAAATAAAAGGTTATTTTTTATTTAATATGGTTTATTAAGTTAATTATACATTTAAATATTACAAGAAAGGATTACCAACTTCATTTGGTTTTGGTCCTTTCGTTAGTTGTTCTTTGGTGATTGCTTTATGTCCGATCTCCTTCTCTACCTTGATATTGAGATTTTTCTGTTTCTTTATTTCTTCTTTTGCTTTCTTTTGTTCCTCTTTCTCTGCTTTCTTCTTCTCTTTCGCGACCTGCTTGGATGATTTACGCTTCAAGTTAAAGTCACTACCTCTCTCAAACGATGCACCAATGTCATCCATCTTTAGAGATTGTTGTTGTACCTCTGTATGCTGGGCAATAGCAATATTCTTTAGTTCACCGAGAATCAAACCCATTTCATCGAGTTGCTCATCCTCTGTCTTGAGCCAATGCGCCTTCTGTATGTAAACATTGTCTTGCAGATCGTTTTCGTTAGGTGTATTCATCGGTCTCATATTGACCATCGATGCCTCTGCCTTTCCAGAGTGATCGGTAGATGGTCCCCATAATCTAGATGACAAACCTCCACTTTCCTCTGGCTCTGCTTTTCTAGTTCTTGGTCTAGCGCCCATATTATCTGGACTATTGTTGTTATTGGCAGCACCCTCTGTAAATGGATTGTTTTGATTCTCATTCATTTCCTTGATATCTTTAATTCTCTTTTCTTCTTCCTCTCTCAATCTTCTTTCTTCTCTATTCTTATAGATCTTTTCATTTGCAGAGTGTCTATATTTAACATTTTCAATATCACTATTTATTACTTTCTAAAAAATGGATTCAAAATTCAATAAAAATTGTTAACAACCAATTGATAGCTAATTCATTTAAACTATACACTTACAGGTTTATTTTCCTTGATTGGTACATTAACCTTTTTCATATATTTCTGGAATTTCTTATATTTACTTAGTCCTTTTAAATGTCTTTTTTGTTTTTAATATTAATATTAATTTGAATATTTAAGATTGTATAATTAACATACTGTTCATTTTCAAGGGCTAGTTTTTCGATTCTATTCATTTGTTCACCTTGAACACCCAACTTTACAAGAGAATCTACACCTGTTTCATGTGTCTCTCTAAGAGTCTGTAGCATACGAGTTGTTCTGTCAACATTTGAATATTTAGCTTCCCATTCTTGAACGGTATTTTGGATCTCTTCCTCTGATCCCAAAGGTGGTGGCATTGGAGTATAAGACATATTTTAAATGATAAATATATTTAAAGAAATGACTTGTTCTAATCTAAATCTTAATATTTGGTTTTTTTTGATAAACTATAGTATAAAAAAATAATCTAAATTTCTTGATTTTCTGAAACCAATCTAAAAAAACATTCTAATTCAATATGAACTAAATATATGTATTATTTATTTGTATAATTAATTATTATTATTATTAATATAAATTGTTACAATGTAAATGTAATTGTGTAAAATAAAAGATATTAAATAAATAAATAAATAAAAACAATGAATTATTCGTTATTTTAAATTAAAAATGAAAAATGTTGTGTGTTTTGTGGTTAAATAGACAACAGATAGGTTATAAAGTTGCACAAAAAATGAAAAATGGAAAAAAAAAAAACAAATTTAATTAAAAATTATTTGTTCAAAGTTTTATTTTCAATGGTTTTTTACCTATTTTGGACAGGTCGAAACTGTTATTGCTATGAACCAAAAAATTCTAGAATTGTATTAAAAAAAAATAATAAAAAAAAAAAAATAGTATTTTAATATTTGATTTAATATTTTTCGATTAGAAAAGTATAATATATTTAATTAGATTAGATTTATGATTAGAACATTCTATTAAATAAAGAGTTGCCATATTTCAATATTTGAGAAGTTATCATTTACTATTTACTTTGTATTTTTTATTTTTTTAACAACTGGACCAGACAATTATTCAACTTCCAGATGATATCCAAACATCGATTCATATTAAAATGAAGAGATTGTTTGATATGCATAGATACTACGTAAATGTTGATCAACGATATTCAAAGCTCAATTCTCAGAAATATCACCGAGAATGGAGATCAAATTATAAGAATCAAATAAATAAATTGTTCAAGATTATTATTGGAGCTCATTCAACGGTGAAATTAATTTATTAGCTCATGACCTCAATGAAAATACCTATTACTGGGATTATACAAAAGAGATACAACAAAACAAAGTGTCGAAATAATTATATCCCACATTCACTGCTACATCTATTATAGACTTAATGAATTCAAAGATCTGTTACTAAAATGGTGAAACCACCATCTCATATTAATAAGTCCTTCTTTCACAAACAAAGAACCACCAACTATTCCTCAGCTAACTAAAGAGGAGCTAGTCAATTCTTTAAAAACTATGCTCCCCGAAAATCCCAAGTATGACCAATATGATTTCAAATCGATTACCAGAGTCTCGTTCTTTATTAAAATTTCTAAATAAATCAAACTCTAAAGATTAGATTCTAAGTGGATCTTTTCAATTTTTAAAGATCCAAAAAAATCAAGTTAAATATATTATTAATCACCTTAATAACATCGAAAATCATCAAATATATCTTTTAATATCTTTAGCAAGCATGTCCTTCGATTTCTTTTTTTTTTTTTTTGTCAACACGTCAAAAACTTTTTTTTTTTAGTAACAAAAAAAAAAAAACAGATCAAATTAATTTTATTAGATTAAGTAATCGACAGTTAGTTATTTTGTAATGATGACTATAGTATTCTTAGAATGAACGATAGATATCAAATAATAAAGAGTATAATTATTATACCGATTCTAGTATTACTAGTGGATGCAACTATGCAGTATAATGATGATGATCCTCTATCAGATCCAAAGCCAAATCCAAATGTAATCAAGAAATATAATTCAATCATGGACTCGAATTGGGTATTGAGATCATCATATCTTGTATTATGTAAGAAGATATATTTATAATTAATAACATTAAAAGCTATAGCAAGCTAACAATTAATTAATACTATCTTTTGTATAATTAGTAATGCAAGCAGGATTTAGTTTATTAGAATCAGGAATGGTTAGAGCAAAGAATACAAAAAATATATTAGTAAAAGTATGTTGTTTGATTGGATTGGATTAACAAACAACAAACAAAACAAATTATTTATATTATTATTATTATTCTTAGAATTTAATTACAACAGCACTGGGTGCGATTATATTCTTTGGAATTGGATATAGTCTATCGTTTGACAGTGGAAAGAGTTATTCCAATCCACTGATAGCATGTTGTAGTTTCTTTAGTTTGGAGGAAGGCGATTACTATGTTTGGGTTTCGAAATGGGCATTCTCATCGATTGCCTGTACTATTATCAATGGATCGGTCTCTGAACGAACCAAGATCGTTGCCTATTTGATTTTGAATACGGTGGTGCCTGGAATCATATACCCGCTTGCGGCACATTGGATTTGGAACGAAGGTGGCTGGCTCTATCAACTGGGCGTCGTCGACTATGGCGGTGGCATTGCTGTGCACGTACTCGGAGGAACTATCGGGCTGGTCGGAACGATGCTACTCGGTCCGCGACTCGGCAAATTCGATCCGGAGACGGGCAAGCCGCTGGTGCTGAGCGAGCACAACATAGTGTTGTCATCGATCGGCACGCTCTTCCTGTGGTTCTCGTGGTACGGACAGCACCCGGTGTTGTACGGTATGGATTTGAACAAGAGTCGTATCGCTTCGCGTGGCGCTATCAATACTACGCTGTCTGGATCTATCAGTATGGTCACATCGTTTGTGATAACAGTGGTATCGACGAAACGCTACGATTTGAAGATATGTATAAACGGACTGCTTGCCGGGTTCGTTGCATCGTCGGCGTCGGCAGGTTTCATCGAGCCGTACTACAGTATCATCGTTGGAGTGGTGTCGTCATTCATCTTTATTGGATTCTCAAAGTTGTTGTTGCGCTACCAAATCGACGATCCCTGCCAGTCGACATCGGTTCATTTCGCATGTGGAATATGGGGTGCTGTTTCCTGTGGATTGTTTAGCGATTCTTCACTGCTCGATGAAGTGTACAAGAATCGTGAGAATCATCAATCTATAATCGAAGGTGTATGTATAGATAGCTAGATGACTAGTAGATAGATGGATATTTTTACAAATATATTTGAATCAACTAACATCCAATCCAATCTCATTATATTCAAAAACAAAAAAAAAAACAAATAGGATTTTAAATTATTAGTTATACAATTAATTGGAGTATCAGCAACTATTATATGGTGTACGATATTGGCATATGTAGTTTTTAAGATTTTAAAGAAATATTCATTGTTGAGAGTTGATTCCGATATTGAATTAACTGGATTCGATAATGCACATCATGGTGGTGCTGCTTATAATTATAGAAGTTAGTTAATATAATCAAAAATAATAATAATAATAAAATCAAAATTGTAAATATATAATCATCTTTTTTTTCAAAAAAATATCAAAAAAAATAGAAATAAATAAAATTAATTGTACCATTAATGAACACCTGACAAACCGATGATCATGAGAGTTGTTCAACCAACAATCAACTAATTTCTTTTCATTTATTTTGAAAAAAAAAATAATATTTTTTCATGTTTTTTTTTTGTTTTGTTTTTCAGTCTCTTCACTAAACACCACAAGTAAATGAAATAAAAAATTGTGCTTTTTGTTGAAGGTCACATCCAAATCAACATTATTAATAATAGAATAGTAATCTTAGTATAATTTACAGACAGATTGATTTACTTTTTTTTTTTTTGAACACATTAATTATAATTCGATTTAAATAATCAATAGTTTTTTAATATTGATTAATTATTATATATAAATAATTATATATAAATATTGTATAAAAGTAGTAATAGTTAGTTTATAAGTATAGTAAAAATAATAGCAATAGCAATAGCAATAGCCATAGTTAATATTACAGATAATAATAATAATAATAATAATATTATTGGAGTAAACAAAAAAATAATATTATTAAGGAAAAACAATAGAATTGGATTAAGGTTGTTGAGAGATGATTAGTGCAAAGGATTTGGTGACATTGCTTTCATTACTGTCGGAAGAGGATAAACCATTGGAGACAGTGTCGACGACATTCAATAGAACGTTCAATAAGAATGATCATTTCAAGACTGGTTGTGCAATCTACACCATGTTGAAGGATGGTTTCATTCGAGTGCCTTCACATCGTCTCAACTCATTTTACATACTCTACAGTCTATATAAACACGATCATCCTACCATTCAACAATATCAAAGTATAACTTCTTCACAATCGAATTCTTCATCATCTTTGACAGATAACAGCAACAGCAACAACACCGATTCATCTGATAACAATAGTGGGAGCAATAACAACAACAACAGCAATAATAATAGTATCGATACATCATCTTCATCATCATCACCTTCAACAACAACAACAAACCCATTATCAGAATATCCAATTGTATTTAATCCATTCCTTCCAGTTTTTATTGATGAATTAGAAAAGCATCAGAATCAACAGCAACAACAACAACAACATGCATCAAAGTATCTGACACCTGTAGAGAGACAGTATTTAATACAATTCTTGACTCATCTACCTAAAGATGTAAGTAACAGAAATAGAAAAAAAAAAAAAAAAGAAAAAGAACCTACTAAGCTTACTGGATATCCTATTTATTTTTAGTTCTCGAAAAAGACACCAAATGAAGTTGAACAACAAACAGTAAACAGTGAACTAACAACACCAGATTTAAATGAATATAGAAAGTTCTATTTGGAAAGACTTGCACACCATTCATTCCCTTCACTAAGGAGTATAGGTGTATCGCCAACTTTATTTTTTCCAGAACAACAACAACAACAGCAGCAGCAGCAACAGCACCAACAAACAATACCACCAGCACAACAACAAACTAATACATCATCATCATCATCAACATCATCAGTATCACCGAAAATCAATAGTAAACATAATAAGAATAGTAATAACAAAGATAATAGTAGCAGCAGCAGCAACAACAGTAACAACAACAGCAATTCCATACAAGATATAAATATACAATCTAAAGAGTTAAGCCTTTTTTCATTCGAACCTAATTTTAATAGACCACCTCCACCACTTTATGAACATACAAACGTAGGTTTACATTACATTCTAAATACTTGTTCTTACTAATTTGAATGATGAATTCAGATGATTTGGATCAATACTACGATAACACATGGATTATTATTGAGTCCGACGATGGGATTCACTTCCGTTACAAATCCAAAGAGATTGGTTAGAGATCTTATGTCAAAGGCAATCAGAGGCAGACTAAAAAAGACACAAATTCAACAAGTATTTATTAGCTTATTGCTATTGTGAATATGAACAAGCAAAGAAGAATCATTACTAATGATTATTTTTGTTTGTTATTCTAGATAAAAGCAGAGTTAGATGCAGATCCAAAGTTAGTATTGTACTCTGGATTGGTACCGAAGAAACTACCGAATCTAGTGGAGAACAATACACAGGTTGCCATCGATGCGCTACTTAAGCTGATTCACTCACCAGACTTTAAGGATTACTTCCAAGAGTTGATCTCGATGGAGATGAACTATCGATCGATGGAGGTGGTCAATGCTCTCGCCACGTCCGTCGAGCTACCCAGCCACTTCATACCGATGTACATCAGCAACTGCATCACCACGTGCAACAACAGCAAAGACAAGGCAATGCTACAGCGATCGGTGCGTCTCGTCTGTGTCTTTATACAATCTCTCATCAGAAACAACATCATCAACATCAAGGATCTATTTGCAGAGGTACAGGCATTCTGTTTGGAGCACGCCAAGATTCGTGAGGCAATCGGTCTTTTCAAATTGATGACTGAAGAGAAAAATAATGGAAATTAATAAACTAAACTAACTAAACAAACAACATCAGACCCGACAAAGACAAAAGAAAACAACAACAACAATAATAATTTATTCATGAATGAACATATGACAACAATTATAATCAATCCAATAACATAGATATAACATTAGAAAGATCTCACAAATAACTAATTACAAATAAAATAAAATACAAAAACATTACATTCCCTTCATAATTATAAAATTCAAGATCGATATTAAACTATCATTTTTTTTTTTCTTTGATCAAAAAAAGAAAAATATCTGTTCTATGTTTTTTTTTCGTGATCGATTTCACGAAAAAATAGAAAAATGATCGTGATGAACAACAGTGTCTTCTAAAATAATAATTTATTATTAATTTTTTTTTGATTTTCACACACCCAATAGGGATTAAAAGATTTTCACATCGATGGAGTTTTTAATCGTGACTCTCCACTCATTCACCTTTTCGAATTGTGTTTGTTTTGTTTGTTTGTGGTTTTTGGTCACTATTCCAATTCCAAAGACAGTTTAATTTGATGCTTGTAAACAAATAAAAATAGTATAATCATAATATAGAGTAGCAGTAGATTGAAAAAAAAAATGGGAGAGAGAACACCCAGTTCCTTAACAGGAAATCATACTTTTGATATACTCGTTTCAACTGCACTGGCTCTAAGAATAACCATTAGTATGGCGATAGCCACAATGTGTTCTGCACAGGCTATATTCGAGATACGCTATCAACGTCAAAACCTAACGAATCTACTTAATCCTAGATTTATGACATTACAGGGTTTAATTTTTTTTAACCTGTGTATGTATTTTATTAGTTTCAAAATAACTACATTTAATATATGTATATTCTAATTACTTATTTTATAAAGTCAGATTATTATATGCAGTATTTCAATTTAAAACAAATTCAGATGCTACCGGTTCAATTTGTGATTATTTGGGTATGACTGCACTCTTTTTTGAAATGTGTGCATGGGGAATGATTGGTAGTTATTGTAAGTAATATATAGTAAAGCACTTATATTAATCCAAACTAATTTATTGATACTTGTTTATAATTAATAATAAATAATAAATAGGGTGTAGATTATTATTTGCTTTATTCACAGTTAAACCTTTGTATACAAAAAGGGTGGTCAATGCGACATGGATAAGCATGGGCTTGTTTGTGTTCTATTGGATTGGATATTGCCTTTTGGCTGGTTTCGTACCAACACACGCACCAACATTCTTTACAGCTGGATTCCTAACGTTGCTACTTGTAATTGGTACTATTTGTTTTATTTGTAGTTTCTTTTTGCACAGACAAATACAGTACAAGAAGAACTTGCTGACGGAGCCAGTGATGAAACTGATCCGGAGAATCAAGATCTTTTCAGTGTTGATCATTTTGGTGTTGGTTGCCAATCTCAGTCGTGATCTCACCTTTTATGTGATTCTGCGTATCTCTCTGGAAGATCCAATCTATCATCTGTCCAACACGCTCACACTGGTATTCGAGACGTTTACAGCGGGTGTCATGATGATCGCCATTGCAGAGATACCGAAGAACTACTTTCTATTCCGTTCGATCAGTCCGAGTCTGCTGAGTGGCAGATTCGGTGCAAAAGTATCGTCGTCCGACAGTCACAATCACAGCAGTAGGAGTAAAGGAGAAAACACATCATCATCATCACATTCACAATCCAATAATTCATCGGGTGGTTCGTCTGGTGGCGGCTCTGGTATCAACTCGAACAACAGCAATGGTAAATGGTCAAACAACGCCAAAAAGCCTTCACGAGCACAAACCAATGCAACCTCCATCTCAATTAAAATGGGAAATCTTTCACATAAACAAAATCATAATGGCGAAATCAATATTAACAATAATAATAGTCATGATAATACAACCTCAACTTCACCACCACCAACATCGACTTTAACGGTTGATTCAATTACAATTTCACAGCAACAAACTGATTCTACAAATCTAATTCCAAAACTCTCCAATCATAATAATGAAGATTTAAATGTTACTACCACAACAGTAGCAACATCCATTGACATTCCAACTGTAATATTTAACGACGATACCTGTACTAATAATAATAATATTAATAAACTGACTTCTGGTGGTCACCTTGAAGTTTGATTCGATTTTTTTAATTTAATACTTTCACAAAAAAACAAAATATTATATTGTATTTTATTTTTTTTCTATAATTTCATAGGTATTAAAAGCATGGTTGAAATAACGTTATTCCTTTTAATATTTTATTGATTAAATTAACTGGAAGCAATTGAATTACATTTTAATTTCTTGTCCTGGAAATAAAGTTGAGAGTGCTCTGATGATCTTTAGATTTGTTTTTGGATTCATGAGACACTTAATTATTTCGAAAGAGTGAGACATGAGATAAATTTGTTCAATAATTGTCTTGGTTGCAATATCAATTTGAGAAATATCAAGTAGATAAGCATAGTAACCGATATCTAATCTACCAGAATCCTTTATTACAACTTCTAATTGAATCTCTGCGAACAAATCGTAATATTTCTTGAATATATATTCAATGATTGGAGTCAATGCTTCAATGATTGAGGTTAGTAGAATTGAATGACAATTATCCCTCAGGTCCGAACGATTTGTTATATTCTCCAAGAAGAATTGAACCATTTCCAAATCGGAATTTTGAATCGGTCTGAGTTGATTATAATAGAACTCGTTAAATAATCGATATCTCTCCATGTGAAAAACAGAACGGAATTTCACTCTATATGAAATTCTAGTGCCAGAAGATATTAAATAGCGAAGCACTGAAGGATCGAATCTCTCTATGATATTGGATACATGTTGTGTGTTGAAGGACAAATGTGAATCTTTAATCTTCAACAATATTTGTATTTGATCTTCATTCAAATACTCGCATAAATCGACGGTAAAGTATTTCCATAAGATGTTAATCTGATGATTATCGATTTCTTTGGTTCGATTTGCCTCGAGAAAATATACAACATGTGAGAGATGGGTAAATCGATCTCTCTCAATTTTGAAGAACCTGAGGCGTGCTAATGATTCAGAGTAATTTGAGAGAGTTCTAGGATCTATCATGTGACATTTCTTTAGGTATTTCAGATACTCTGGATCTGGATCTTCATTGTCATCGATCGCAATAACTATTTTGATCAATGATACTATGTCACGAAAAACAAAGTAACTTTCATTGTAGGTGGTATATGCATCGGCTAGACCACAATAAAGATCGAACAGAATGATTCTAATACGGTCATCTCTCGAGATCTTTGTAAAGGAGTTAACTTTCTCCTCAGCCATTCTCAAGAGAGTCTTGCTATATGCTCCAGAGTCAAAGATACCCAAAGCGAACTGAATAGACTCTAGTGATTCCGTCAACGATTGACTTGTTTCTTGAAGCAGTGTCATTTTAATGTAGTTCAAAGCCTGTAGAATAAAAGAGGATATCAACAGCTTTGGGTAAGCATCAAGATGTCTTTTAGTGATAGATTGATCTCCAGCAAGTAACAAGAGTGTACACAGACAAGTTGATTCTGCTTTAGCAATGAGTTCGTGTTCCTCAAGGAATGAAATAAACTGGAGGTATCTATTGCAACTGAAATGCTTATGAAACTCTACTTTAAGTAAATGTTGGTCGTGCTCACTGGATCCATAGCACTCTCTAAAGTACACTGGCCTCTTCCGAAATTTCTCTAATATGTAGAGTGCAATCTCTGGGTTTACCAAAGCCAACGCCCTATTAATGAATTTGTCAACATCCAACTCTAGGTGATGATCGATAATTCTTTTCGCAATGTGGTTGTTGTATTTGATAGCATGTTCAAGGAAATAGTTCTTCAATGATGGTGGAAATAGGCGATCTCTTGAAATGCTGTCGAAATAGGTGTCAAACAGTTGATTATCGCCATGTTCGATAATCGTAGTGCCAGTACTGTCGATATCAAAGAACCTAGAATGATCGTCTCTATTTATTTTATACCAAAGTAAAGATAGATAGCCATGTTCTAACATCCAATTTCGATTTACAATCTGATCATACAAAAGATTTGTTGAATGTAAAGGTCTACCAACTTTTATGATATATTTAAATAGTTGTTTATTTTTTAATATTAATTGGAAATTTCTATAAAGTCTTTCTTGATCCATTCCAAGCAATATATTTATAAAGTTGTGTGTTAATGAGAAGAATTTTGATCTTTTTCAAGACTAGAAGTTTCTGAAAAAAAAAAAGTTTGATTTATTTGTTTTTTTTTTTATAAATTATTGTCAACCAACAAAAGTAATTTAATTTATTCCTGCTGATAAATCATTTGATAAAGCAATATTAAATCTTATTTGTCCTTCTGAGTTGTTTGCAAACTCACCATCATCTACAGTCTGTTTGTTCAAGCTAAAGCAACTTTGTTTTGGTAAACGGTTGTAATCACTGTATTTACCGATTTCATAACCTGGTAAAGTTTCAACAAATATACAATAGTTACCGGATGGAACGTTGTCAAAGGTATATCCGTCATAGTCAGATTTTGTAATCTGACTCATGATTATTTGATCAGAGTCTGCATCATAGAGACTGACCTCCACACCGGCCAAGTATTCCTCGTCAGTCTCATGGAATCCGTTGTTGTCACCAGAATCATTCCAAGCGAATCCACCAATTGAATACGACTGTCTCTCATAGACAGCGAGATTCAATCTAACTTCACCTTCTCCATTGACCACAAAATTATTTAAGTTTAGATCGTTCAACTGAATACATTGTCTTCCATCCTGGGCGAACTTGTTGAATGGTGATTCTGGCGCAATCATATAGTTTCCGTTGATTTGTATTCTGCAACACACTTCTCCTGGTAGCAAGAATAATTTCCATCCACTATACTCATCTTTGATTGCAAATTCACTCATGAACTGATTTCCTTGGAATACAGTGACGTTGAAACCATCAACATATGGTTCACCCTCATCACGAACACCGTTTCTGTTGGAATCCACCCAGACATATCCACCAACTAAGAAACCAATTTCATCTGGTCCTCCAAGGAAGGGTCCAGTTGTTGTATCTGTAAGAGGTAAGCCGGTACCAGAGGTCATTCCCGTGGTAGGTAAGACTGTAATTTCAGCTGTAAGTGGAATGATTCCTGTTGTGGTAGTCAGTTCTCCTGTTCTGGTTGTAGCAGATCTGGTTGTGAAAGATATTGATGTAGTGGATGTAGTGGATGTAGAAATTGTTGATGTTCCCGTTGTGAAAATGTTGGGTGGTAAGCAAACTGGATGACGATTGATAACAAAACACTTAGTATTGATATTGCAGTCAACGAATGTACATAGATTGATACATGTTGGCTTAAGTTTTTTATTGTCACCTCCATGGCAACAAACTTCATCTGGTCCACATTTCTTAAAGGTACATTCATCTATTCCTGGCGGTTGTGTGGAAATAGGAATACATGCGGCAGTACCAGAGATTACCGCACACTTGTATCCTTTCTTACATCTCACACCATCACATTTATCTCTTGGTGGAATATAATCTGGACAACTTCCAAGCAAACAAAGAGGTTTTCCATGTACCGATGCACAAATGTAATTGTGTGGACAATAGAAATTCGAGCAAACTCCATACCAACCAGAGCTTGTCCATGTGCCTGTGGTCGACGATGAAGTGTTCATACATGTAGGAATACCATTTTGGTTTACACATTGCAATCCTCCATAGCACACCACTCCATTACATACGTTTCCACCAGTTGTTGTTCCAGTAGAAATCGTACCTGACGTTGGATTTGGTCTGATACAAGTTGCCAATCCATTTATTTGGACACAAATTAGACCATTCAGGCATTTAACATCCTTACATACTAATGGACCAGAAGTACTTGAAGTGCCTGAGGAACCAGAGGAGGAGGATACACCTGATGTGGAGGTTCCTGGTTTTACACATGTGGCAACACCATTTTGATTTACACAAACCAAACCTCCAAAGCATCTAAAGTTGGCACATACTAAATCTGATCCTGATGATGAGGATGATGATGATGATGATGAAATCGTTGATCCAGATGATGATGTTCTAACACAAACTCCCATACCATTTTCTTCTACACATTGCATACCGCCAAGGCAAACCATTCGATCACATATATTCCATGATCTTATACCTTTAATTGTTTGTTTTTTTTTGGTAAGTAAACTATTTTATATTCAAATAAAAAAATGTTATAATGTTATTTACCTTTTAAAGTTATTAATAGTAATAAAACTATTAAATATTTCATGGGTGTTGTAGTTGTTGTCTAAAAATATATAAATAAAGATTTATCACTTCTTATTTTATTATTTTCTGGAATATAATAGATGTTTTATCATTATTGATATAATTATATAGTAATTCATTATTATCAAGTAAATTCAAACAAAATATATTTTATTAAAGTCTACTCTCCCTTCTTTTTCAACATCATTTGAATATCTGAACACCTGTAATGTAAAAGCATACTTTTTCATTTCACTTTCAACCCCCAAAAAAATGTATAAATCAATATTTATTTGTGTGATTTTTATTCATTACAAGTATGTGATCATACATAACACTAAATAATTTAACACTAAATTCAGTGGTGGTGATGATATAAACACAAAAGAACATTGTCAATAATAATATAATAAAGATTTTGTTAGCAACATTAATTTATCTAATCTTTATTAGATTTCTTTTTGCTTGTTGTAGTTGTAGTTGTTGTTGTGTTGGTTGATATTGTTGAACTAGTGTCGTCATTGTTATTATTGTTACTACTTGGGATTTGTGCTGGATAGTTGCTATTGTTGTTGTTAAGTGTGGTTGAGAAATCCTTGAGCAATAAGAGTACTGATTCCAAACTATCGATGAGACCAATGTGAGTGTAATATGGAATGGTATGATTGATATCCTTGATTCCGAGCCATCCGAAAACTGTTGTGATCTTTGGTGTCAAATCACCAAGTACATTGAGAGTGGGCGAGAGTTGGAATTTCTTTTCCAAAAACACTCTTTTCTTCTCGGGAGGAGGTGGCGCTGCAAAGTTCAACGGTTTCGAAGGATATGCACCGCTGACACTGTAACGATCTGAGCGTTTCGGATGTTGGTGCAGACTAGAAGAGAGAGGTTCCAGGTTATTGAAGCTAACGTTGTGAACCATCTTGGTATTTTCGACACTCGATGCCAAATAGTGTTTATCGGCGTTGGCTGCGCTACTCAGTAGTGGACTGTCGGGAGCATTGTGTAGATGCATCGGTGGCGTAGCGGAAGCAGCCGATTGTGAGGACGGTGTCAGATCGGTGGCAGCTTTAATATAGGTCTGAACAATCTCTCTGATATCACTGTAGAGCGAAAGGTTGACAGAGATTGCAATCGAGTCAGTGAACTCCGTGAGATAGTAGAACTCAATGGTGCGATTTGGATGTTCAGTGGTGTACATAATGAGACTTGCCACTGGAATCTTGACAATCTTGGTCTCATTGGCGCCACGCGAGAATGGATCTCTTGCCCATTGTGGAGCGGACTGAATACTGTCTTCCGACATCTTGGAGATGTGATTCTGTCCCAAGAGGATGGAGAGTTGTCTGTGAATCTCTTCTTTCTTTTTGCTTTGGTCGAGAGTGATTTGATAGCTCTCCAACGAGAAGTTGATCCACGTCGGATCTTTGATACTGTATCCAAAGAGAAGGATTTGAAGATTCTTTCCTTTCGCTTTGATCTGACCAATAACAATCTGTTTGGCACCACCACCACTCTTGCCGGCACTCGAAGATGACACGGTGGAACTTACATCGTCTCTTCCTCCTCCTCCGAGACTGAGGAATTGGTCGTCGTGAAGATGTTTCTTGGCGGACAACAATTTATCACTGATGATTTCATTGATTCTTTTGATGATCTCAACGATCGAGGTGATTGTTTCACAAGACAACTGGACTTGTAGTGATCCACAAGATATTTCAGTGTTGATGTTTCTTGTGTCGTTGACAATAGATTCGTTGATGGGTGGATCTGAGAAACGGAAATGAATGTCACCTGCACGTAGTTCAAGAATCTGAGACTGATTGAAATCGAATGATATTCTGATGGGTGAAAGGTAGGCAGTCCACATATTGATTTCCTTGACGGTGGACTTTAGTTTCCTGTAGGGCTTACGCTCGCCAACAAGTGCAACACCTTCGAGCTCGATATTTCCTTCCAGTTTACCGTGACACAACATGGAGATTGGACCAGTGTACAAACTAGTATAGAACAGTGAACCACTTACTCCTTCCTCTTCAGATGGCGAGAATACAGCACAAATACTATTGATCAACATATTCGACCTACTAATTGGAAGGAAATCAATATCCATTCCAAGTGATCCAAGTTTCAAAGTAATATAATATTGTGGTTCTTGAAAAAAAAATGTTAATATATTAGTTTGTTTTTTCATTATCTTTAAAGGCGATGATAACTTACTATTTTTCTTTAGTTGAGATGGAGATTGTTGAATTTGCTTTTGTTGTTGTCGCTTTTTAAGTGGCGAAGGTGGAGGTGTTACGATGATTTTCTTATTTGAACGTGGTACCCATGCGCTAATGAGAATGATTATTTCATCGAGATATTTGCTGTTGAAGAATCCATGTGCGGTTTCGACATTCAGTAGAACAGAGACTACAGGTCCATCTTCTGTAATACCGTGAGCGGTTCCAATGTTGATTTGTAGACTTCTCATGATCATACCGAGCCGTTCATCAAGGCTATTGGAATGCATAATCTTGAACATCATGTTATTCATAAACAATGTTCCGTTCATCAACAAGACACGTTTGTTTGCTGCAGTCGATTTGATAATCGATGACAAGAAGATATCGAGTGTACCGATTTCCACGATTGCCAGAATCTGATCGACTCCATTCAGCAGTACTTTGGTTGGACTAATTCTAATAGTGCAAGTAACAGAACCAGGAGTCGTAATTGTACCACTGTTATCATTGCTATCCTTCTCTTTCTCCGATGTTTGTTCACCATTGGTATGCTTGACATCGTCATTGAACTGTGCTGTATAACTAGATTGAGGAGCGTTGTGAATGAGGTCATAGAGGAAATGAGTAAAGAATGGTGTCAACTTGATTTCCTGTGAGTCTAGATACAACATGATATTGGTCTCTGATTTCGACTTGGGGCTGGACGGCGTAGCAGGAGTCAAGACATGGTTAGTTGAGATCAAGATTGGGGGAAGTGGGAAACACTCTTGATATTGATCAAAGTCTTTGGTATTGGCAAAGGTAGCGGCATTCTTGTCGAAACTATCCATCATTGGTGAGTTCTCCTGTGAGAATTCTCTGTCGTCTTGGTCATCTGAAGAGCTGGCATGTTTGGTAAGACGCGCCTCACCAGTGGTTGTCTTTAAAGTGAACTCAATCTCTAACCTATGATTAGAAGGTTGATTTGTCTGCTGATTATTATTATTATTGTTGTTATTGTTGTTGTTGTTGGAAACAGAAGAAGATTGGGACGATTGACTACTACCTCCAGATGAATTACCATTCACACTGTCACCAGAGATATTCTTTATCTTTTCTTGTCCGAGAAGAATGAGATCTTGGAATGCGACGATGTAGTAGAGTAAGTTGGTATCTAGATGTAGGAATAGACCAGAGGTTTTCAATTGAACCATACATTGTACCAATTGAGATTGGAGAACCATGACAATTTGACAATCTCCATTGTCAATGACAGCACGATTTACAGCCGGTAATACATGGATAGAGTGAAGCTTTGAAGGGTGATAGTTATCGACAAATTGTAAAGAGAACTTTGAGAATTTACAATCACCAATCACTTTTATAGGATTGGTAAGCATGCTTGAGGATTTCTGCTTGCTCTTAAGAGGTTGGAGCATTGGTTGTTTGATGGCCACACCATAGAGTGTGAAGGAACCAAGTCCGACAACCAGAGCAGAGGAAGTCGATCCCTTCTTTTGCTCATTGAGAGGGATACAAAGAGAGGTATCAACAATCTTGAGATGCAACGAAAGGTTTGTCTCACGAATCGGCAAGGCAGATGGCAATTCCATGTGGTTGAGTGCACGCTTGACTTGCGGAACGGCATTGGGAATCTTTGCCAGCTTCGAAGAGGTATTCTTGTAGGCTGTCAAGTAGAATAGATAGAGATCGGTTGCTTTGTCGATTGCCCATGGTTGGAGAGTGACAATCGTCTTGCTAATGACGATCCACACGTTTTCCAATGGACTGGTCTTGTTGGCTGTGGAAGCAGCGATTTGCACTGGAATGACTTGACGGGTCTGGCTGGTTGTTCTCATGTTATTGGTGAATGGGAACGATTGTAACACGATGTCAGTGAACACACCTGCCCATATTTGAGTACGGATGCTGTGGAGACGAGAACCTGTACCGACAGGTGGTTCCAGTGCAACGTTGGGATCGGAAAGAATCAAAGACATTCCTCGCAGTCCAACACGCCAATTGAACTCATTGTTATTATTGATAATTTGGTTGTTGAATTGAGTGAGATGATCTGAGAGTCTAACATCAATGACACCAGTGGAGAGTAACAACGATGACTTGGAATTGACAAACAGTATTTCAACTCCGCGCAACACAAAACTGAAATTATAGTTAATGTCTTGGAGAATTGGTGGCATTCTAGAGTTTGTTGTGGAGCAATTGTTCGTGTTGATGTGATTGGTATTGCCAACACCGCCTTGTTTCTTCTCGGCATAGTTGATATAGGCATCGAGAAGATCGTCTATCTCCTTAGAGAGGGTGGTACGCAATACCAAGATATTCTCAAGGAGTTCAATTGAGAGTGCATTCTGGATGAATCCAATCTCCAAGTTGGCGGTCAACGAAGGTCGGTCGTTGCTTACCAAACCAGATCCGGTCTTGAGCAAACCAAATGCTTTGATTCTTGGCAACATGAATGGATCCTTGGTGAGAGTGGCACCCATATTGTTGCTATCGGTCAAACCTTTTGGCTTATGGTTGGTAGTGCCGTTGTGGTTGCCGTTGTGGTTGCCGTTGCTATTTGTCAAGAATACAATTTGATGTTGATGTAGCTGCACGTTGAATTCCAACTCGGTCGGGGTGAACTGACTGAGCGATGCTGTGATTCTCGATATATGATACTTGACTGGCAACGATGAGATTACATCGGTTGACAAGATGATATCTTGAAGATCCAGCTTGATTCTGATGGGAGGGAATTTGATACTCTTCAAATCGAAACTTGTGGATCCAGTCGGTGGATTTGGATTGACATTCTTCTTGGCACCACTGGAGGTTGTGGCGGGTGCAGATGGAGTCGGTTTCATTTGGTCGGGAGGTGTCCAAGCCTTAAGGAAATCCTTTAGTTTCGGAAGGAATCGATGTGACATCTTGAATGGAAGATCGGCCTTGCTAAATGTCATCATCAGATCATATTTGAATGAAAATTCAATGTAGTCCTCTCGCTTTCCCGATGAGTTGTGTCTTGTCTTTTTCTTGCCAATCTTGAAAAGCACTTCGTTGAACATTAAATTCTGAAGTGTTAGTTCAATGATTGGCTTGATAAAGTTTGTAGTTCCTGCGGCTGCAGCTGAAGTGGAGGTGGAAGTTGGAGATGATGTATTGCTAGAAGTTGGAGTACCAATGTTTTGTGGTTTAGTCTTCTTTGTCTGGTTGATAGATGACTGATCCAACAATTGGAATTGTATCTCTGGAATAGAGAAAATACAAGAATGAACCATATGGATATAATCACCGTTCGGTCTAGATTCACTGGCAGCCTTCTTTGACTTTGAAGTACTATTACCAAATTCATTAAAGACAAACGAAAGATTCTTGAGAACCATCTTCATAACACCATCATTCTCTGTGAAAGCACGACAATTGATCTCTTTGAATGAGAAATGACCATGAACTGTAATTGTCAATATAGAATGATTCTGATTTTGATAAATAATCTTATTCTTATTAACTGGCTTATTGTTATTATTATTATTATTGTTATTATTGATATTGTTACTATTAGCTTGTTGTTCTTTTGCATTGGCAATAGCAGTTTGTAATCTAGCTGAATTTAGATTGGGTGAACTTGCTGTTGTCTTGTGTTTGGTAGTTGTTGTAGTACTTGTTGGACTAGTAGTTATGTTGCTAGTATTACTTCCACTTGCATGATGTTTAGATGATTGATCTTGTTGCACTTCCATTGATGATTGCTTTGGTTTGATAGCTTCTTTCCACTCGTGAGAACCGAGAATCAATTCCTCGCCTCTGAGCACATCCAGTTTGGTTGAGAGAACTTCGTGTGTTGTCAACTCAACGAATGTGATGAGATCCGGCGATACTTTGAGTGAAACCTTTTCACAACTGGCGAAAAAGTTGAAATCGAATGCCGACTTCGGAACTGCTCTGTTTATAACGACAGCTCCATCGGTCGTCGACTCGTAGATGTAGGTTGCAAGCGCACCTCCAGCAACGGTACCAATCGACAATTGATTCGAAGAGTTTATCTTCTCGGTGACAACCGCCGCAACAATTCCAGCGAATGAAAACTGTAGATTCAAATCGAATGCAGCGCTCTTTCCAGCGGGCGGAATAAACACTGTTTTGATTAGTGGACTCTGGAACAAGTGGATGAGGTCACCACCTTCGTCAATCTCGTAGATCTCATTGATTAGCTCTTGGAATGCTTGGTAGGCGTCGTACTGCGCTTCCAGTCGGACGTCGGCGACAATCTCATCGAGATGGGGACGCTCTGCAAATTGCAGGAAATGTCTCAGCTTTGAGATATCGCTCCATCCCAAGCGATGGATCAACGCTTCGTCACCGATGATCTCTTTAAAATCGGGTGGAATGAATCCAACCTTTGAGTTGTGACTCACCTTTTGTCGGATGATTGCCGACGAGGTGTGGAGGGATCGCGTCTTCACACGGAGCAGCTCACCGATGAGAGTCTGCAGTTGTCGTGACCACAACTCCCTGTATCGCTCGATCACATTGGTGAGTGTCGATATATTGTAGATCCAGGTGTCCACCACTCTGAAGATAACGGGTGGCGAATCACTAGTACAGAATATCGATATGGGACCAAGCTGCACTGTGAAGGCGCCATTCGGAAGACCGGCACTTGACGACACCAGCTTATCGGCTTTCTTCGATTGGAACTTACCTTTGATATCGATATTATCACTACCTATCGATACGATAATACGTTGTTGCTGTTGCTGTTTGTTTGTATTTGAGGAATGGTGATTGGAGTTATTGTGATATTTCGCCATGAGATCGGCTGGCAGACTATGTCCAGTGGTGTTGGCGCGAATACATCCGTGGATCGACTTGATAGTGAGTGATGTTTCGAATCCACAAAACTCCTCGTGAGCAATCAGCATTGTCGTAGAGGAATGAGTACCAAGTGAATCAGAGGCCGGCGAACGATGTGACTGTTGTTGGCAAACACTCATAAACACTTGGAGTTCTTGCATCTCAAGTTCGGTTGTGTAAGGAATGGCCGGCTGTTTGTTGAGTGTCAGTGCTTGTGTCCAATGGAGGTTGAACTTGTGCAGCGATAGAGTCAATCTAATCTTATTGTGAAGGTATTTCTTCACTTTAAACTGCTCAGAGATCGTTCGGAGTTGGAAGTTGTCAAGCATGTAGTCGATCGATGGATCCTTGGCGATGAACGACTCCACCAGTTCTTCGAGGATGGTGATAATGACCGGAGTGGCAAACAGTTCGATATCTCTCATGATATCTACCACTATCGATGTAGTGGCGGTCTGGTCAGCGTGTGGATCTGCTGGACCATTCATATTGTTATTATTACTCTTTCCAACACTGGAAGGACGACGATTGCCATATTTCACTGACAACTTGTGGTTGGGTGAACGCTTGGGAATCGGTGGAAGAGCACCACGCGACTGAATATACTTTACAAACGATGAGGACTCTTCGCCTGACACAGAGTGTATTGAACCGTGAGGATTGTCAGGGTCTATTGTTGGTCGACCGATAAACGACGATGAGGTACGAAGCCTCTTGCTGTTTGTCACCTCAACAAAAGAACTTGCTCGAGAAGTTGAACCGAATGCATCCATACGAGCTTGTGAAAGGTTGAAGAAATAGTTCCTCAAATGATGTCTCAGAGCAGAGATCTGTGGATTGATATGATTGTTTTTGTCCTGTTGACCATAGTCCATATTATTATGATTGACATTGGTGTTATTGTTGTTGGTATTGATGTTGTGGTTATTGTTTGAAGTGGAAGGTTCCTCTTGAATATCATCCAGCTTGTTTGCATTTGTATCTAATTTGGATTGAAGGATATTCTTTAGGTTGTTGGTACTGCAAGATACTCGCATTGGCGAAGCTGCCGATGCTCGCAGTGGGTTGGAGCTGTTGGTGGAGGGGTGTAAGCCACCAGGGGTGGTTGGGAAAGGTGGGAATACAGAGTTGGAAGTATGATAGAGAGAATCATCATGACTGGAAGCAAAGACATCTTCGACTTGATCGTCATCGTCGTCGCTATCCTTGATGGATGACTCAGGTGTTCTAAAGTCAGAGTCGTCCTGCGAGTCGTTGTCGAGAATAGAGGGACCGGCATCTGTATCCAAGTCTTTACTGACATCCAAATTGGAACGACTAGATTTCATATGTTGTCCAATGCTTGTTGTGCTACTGGAAAAGTATGAATCGTACTGTGGCGAATTGGTTGTCCACTTTAAGATGTGGTGAGCGGCACTGCTTCCAGTTGGATAGAGAAACGACGACTGTTGTTGCTGCTGCTTCGGTGTCGATTGCATCGATCCAATCTTGGGAGTCGGCAACTGTTGTTGTTGTGGTGAAAATGTAAATGGCGAAAGCGAAGTGACGGTGGTTTGCGACTGTGACTTTCTCGGAGTGTTGGCAGTGTATTGCAGACCACTAAAGATCGAAGGAATGACAAAGTCATTGTCATCCAGCTCATCGTCGTCGTCTAGCCAAAGGAAAGAAAGCAGTCGACTCTCAGCATCATGTTTCAAAAGGAACTCACGTTGTCTCTCTGAATCCAACTGCCAATTCGGTTCTTTGTTGTAGATACTCAGATTGGCACTGATTTTCAACTCACCAACCTCTGCCCATTTCTTCTTTTTGTTTTGATTACTATTGATATTCTGATTGATTTTCAAATTAAGATTCTGTTGCTGTTGTTTGCTATTACTATTTACACATGGAACCAAACTCTTGAATGAAAACTCTGGTATTTCAATGGCAAACTTCTCGTGTGACAATTGGTCAATCAGAGAGTTGCTGTGCATCAAGATACCGGATGGCAGTCTAATCTCTGAGATATTCTCTGAAGAGTAAAGATACAGTGAGATTGTGTTGACTGTGAATTTCAAGATTGAGTAGACAGGTTCGATTGTTGTTGCCAACTTGGTGGAGAGTGCATTGTCCTTGTTGAGAAGATGGAAGAAGAAGTTCTCCGACCAGATACCCATCGATGTGATCTGACTGACCAAGACATGTCCACTTATCGTTCCAATATGGATATCTACAAAGTCTGCATAGTTGGCCTGTAGAGGTTGAGGACCATACAGGAAGTGAAGCTTGAATGTAAAGTCATTGATCTGGATGTATCGCGCCAGAGTATCGCGTGCTGCTGCTTCCTCAACAGCAAGTTCCTCTTCGGTAACCGGAATATTAAGTACGAGAGGACTGAAATCCGCATAGAGATCCAAATAGGTTGGTAGATATCGAATCTCCAACAGGAATTCATGCAATCCAACTGTTGCCTGCTGTTGAGAACTATACAATCCAAGTGGAAAGAATACAGTTGCATCTTCCAGCGACAAACTAACATAGATTTCCAAGCCATTCGACATATCTTTTTCATCGTTGACTTGAGAAGCAGCCGTATCTTCTTGTTGCTGCTGCTGCTGTTGTTCTTTCTGTTTGGCAATATTATCTTTGTATTTCTCGAGATTGATAATATGCGATGTGTATCCAAAGAAATTGTTCTTTAAGAACAAAAAGTAACGAACGTAGAAACCAAACAGTTTGACGGATGGATTCTTTCCGTGGATGTTGAGAACCACCGAATCCAAATAGGAAGGATCGACCTTTTGGTAGTAAAGATATTTACCGGCCAGTGTGAACTCGTCCGACGTGATAAACTGTGACGATCCTTCGAGATAGTTGGGATCAATCGAGCCAATGCTGGTATCGAGTGATTCCGAGTAGGGATCGACTTCGATGTCTTCGAGATGCTGACGAATCGTGTTGTAGAGCGGGAGTATCAGTTTCAGCGCCAGTTTGGTCACGGCAACATTAAAGGTGATCTCAGTCTTTGGCGATTGGAAAGCAATATATGGCAACAGCAAATTGGCTTTCAGCTGCGGACCTGTAAATACAAAGTGTGCGTTCTCATCGAGATTGTTTGGTTGATTGATAATGTTTTGTTCATTGACATTGCAAAACAGCTTGAAATTCGAGAGGATGAAATCAAAGTTGAATTTTCGCGGCACAAACATTGTGATGTCTACGGGTTCGCCAGCCGACCAATCGCTACCGAGATCTTTCAGTAGCGCTATGTGGTCGGACAGCAAGAAGATCTGTGGCGAATCGATGTTGAAGCTACAACGCCACTCGGTGAGGTGATTCCACACCAGAGGATAATCGACATTACAAAACATCTTGAAACAATTCGCATAGAGTAGCTGTGTGTTTGTGACAGACGTCGAGATGTTACAACGATTGAGAATCGCATTCATTATCATTGTAGAGCCGGTAGACTTTACCGTGGTGAGTGGCGATATGATATTCAACGTGGAGTTGTCCTCCATCTTGATATCGACCCACGCCGGCTTACGAGCTTGCAGCTCCTCGAGTGTCAGATTCGCATCTTTCGACGGCTCACGGAATGGAATACGGAACGTTGAATTCTTGGCAAAGTTTATCAGTACGTTGAACGATGCATACGGTCGTTGCTCGCCAGCAACTGGCCTGTAGACGGGCGGTGTCTCGTAGTCGACGGGGAAGAAGAATCGATGAAGCAGCGCACGGTTTCTGTCTGCCCACGGTCCGTAGACAATGAGAGTCGACGATTGAAAGTTGATATCGACACCCCACTGTGGAGCTAGAAACTCTTTGAAGGCACCGGTTGTGTGTTCCGGCGTGTTGGGAACAGGTCCGGGTATATCGCAATAATACTGAATATGCACCTGCGGAGAAGTCAGAATAGTCTGATGCTTTCCATAATCGAAAGTAATAGTGGATTGGTCGTCACTTCCATCATTGGAAACACCTTTTCTTCTCGGTAAGTTACTCGTCTCCAAATCCTCATCGGCACTAATAAAAGTGAATCTAAAATCCTTGAAAACAGATTTAAAACTTTCAAACGCATATGAAACAAAACTAATGTAAAACAAAACAACGATAGTGTGAATTATTAATAACGAAACACACTTCACAAAGATGAACTGAACTGAACTAAAGTTAACAAACATACTCTTCTTTTTGTTGACGTTCAACATATAGCTCTTCTTCACCATTATAATCTTTGTTGGGAATCAACGACATCTTTGTATTGGTGATATCCATCGTTGTGATTTGTCGGTAGTAATCCAACTCTGGTATTCTTGCCTTTTAAAAGTTTGTTAAAATTAAGATTAGATTAGAGTTATGAATTTGGAGAAGAAGAAGAAGAAGATCTATAGATAGATAGATTAAGATAGTTACTGAATCAGTTGTATATATTCCCGATGCTTTGTCAAATAGCATCACTAAGATGGTCGGTAACTCTGGGTTGCTAACCATGAGACAGCCTTTGCGAATCGAGAGTGAAGAAGCAGAGAACAAACGATAGAATCTAGGTATTACATAATCTTTTACTGCTGGTAGACGCATCAGTTCATCAACAATATCTTTGTTTGTATTACTATTGTTACTTGTATTCGATGAATTCAATCCACCATTTCCACTACCATTGTTACTGTTAACTGCAACACCAACTCCATTGACATTCACATTGACACCGCCAACATTTACATTTACATTGTTGTTATTTCCATTTCTACGATTGATAACACTCTCTATATGATCATATCGATAACTATTATTATATATTAAATACTCTAAACCTTCTAAATTTATTGATAATCTACATGGATATCCCTCTTTGTTTTGTTTTTGATTGATAATTAAGAATTAGTTTGTCTGTCTGTTTGTTTGTTTGTTAACTAACTTAGATTGTTTAAACACATACCATTTATATAAATTGATTGTCTTGTTTGTTTACGCCAATAACGGAATGTTATAACACCCTCGACAACGCGAAGAGTTGTATTCTTTGTGGCGAATTTCAAACCTTTGAAAATTACCTTGCCAGATAGCAATGAGATGTGAATAGAATTGATTCTAATGAAGGTTCCACGTGGTAAGAGGAATGCAGATATACATTTCGAAATGATGAATCCTAGTGTCAACGACGAGAAGAACAACAGATACAATATAAACACTCCGAATATCGCAGAGAATAAACTGAAATAGAAATATTCGAGTGCCAACATTCTTTATCTTTATCTTTTCAACAAAAAAACAAGAGTTACTCCTACTAGTAGTCCGAACAGTACATCTGGATTGTATCTCTTTATCTCTTTATCTCTTTATCTTTTTCTATCTATAAAAAAAGAAAAGATATACTTGTATAACTCTAACTCTAACTTTAAATTAATAATTTAATTTAAAAATAAATAAATAAATTATTTTTATGTTATTTTATGCTATTGATATTGTTGTTGTTGTATTTTTAATTAATCTTTTAATGAAAAACAACAACTTCACACAACATATTAAATATAAACACTATGTAAAATAGTTTAAAAATTTTTAATATATATTTACAAATATTGAATTTGAATGAAAATTAATAGATATGTGTGTGTTTATCTAAAATCATTTATATTAGTGTCGATTAAAAGAAATTATTGCTTGCAATCGCGATTGTTTATTTTTTTTGGTTTCTGTTTTTTTTTTTTTGGGCAAAAAACTATATCTATTGACTTTCTGTAAGAATCATGATAGATTACATTCTTTTTTCAATAAATGACAATGATTGAATTATAAATGTATTAAATCTGTTATTTTCAATCAATCTAAAATCTTTATAAGATTACCAAAGTAAAGATTTTAAGTGGATCAGTTCAAGTCTAAATTTATTATATGAAATTCAATTGATTTGTAAATAAAATATTGTTAAACAATCATTTATTTACAATAGATATAAACTATTAAAATTGTTTTGCTATTAGAAACCTAAACCACCAAAACCATCACAACCTCCACAACCGCCACAACCTCCACCAAAGATATTAACATCACCAAAAATAACATTGGTAGTTCTTCTTCTTCTACCCCAACCAAAGTATTGCTCCTGAGAGTCAGAATCAATCGACGATTTACCAATGGATCCTGCAATGTCAGAGGAAGAGTTGTTTTCCAAACCAGAGAATGAATTACCCAACAATGAAATTGATTCTATAATTTAAAATAATACTAATATTAGTTTTTTTTTTTTTTTTAATTAATTAAGTATATATTTGAATATATACATACTGATAAGAGTCATTTTAATTATTTGTAATTAAATATTTGAATATTTGATTTGAGTGATTTGAAACTACTTTGTTATCATAAGTATTTATACTAAAGCAAACTTCCTAGAATATATAAATAAACAAATGACATTCATTTAGATATTTGATAGTTTCTACTTTAAGTTCAAATACATCAATTCATCAACTCTTTTACAATCACATTAAATTAATTCAATAAAATACAACAAAAAAAGAGATTTTATTATTTTTATATGGAAAATAATAATAAACACGGAATTATTATAGTTGGAACTTTCACCTAATTTTGTTTGAGTGAGCATTTAAATTAACTGAAGCATTGTTTCTGGTATTCATTTGATTGATAGATTGATTGGCATACAAATTCCAACTAATATTGATTATTCATTGTTGTTTTTAAAAACAATAAATAAATGTATGTATGTCAAATTTTAATTACTATTATTATTATTATTATTATTTTATGTATTATAACATTTTACAAATGAATCGACTTGAGTTCTACAGTGAGGACAAATTGGATTTAATGTACTCTTAATGACGATGGCGCATCTCGCACACAATCTATGACCACAACTCGACCAGCAAACTTGTTTCTCGTGTTCTTGGCAAATACCGCAATATCTTTCCTTATCCAAATCCGATTCCAAATCTCTGACTCTCTTTATGTTGTTTGCTTCCAATCTATGAAGTCGATCTTCAAAATTCATCATTTGATCATTAACCTAAAAAATAACAAAACAAAACAAAACAAGAATTAGGATATGTTATGTTTGTTTTCTATTTGTTTTTCTTTTTCTATTATTCTTCTTCTTACCCAATTATTTAAATTATCTAAATCTTTCTTTAATAGTTTGTTCTCGGTCATTATTAATTTGTTTTGTTCATCGAGAGGCAGAGGTGTTCCGGTGTCGTCGGTCAGTCTGAGTGGGTTGGTAGTTGCACTGCTTGGCTTTGGCGGTTGCAGTGGCAGTCTGGTGGTGACGCTGCTCGACGAGCTGGATGCACCAATGCTCTGATGTTGCTGCTGCGGTGTCAGATAGGATGTAGTAGTGGTGGTGGTTGTCATGGTTGTGATGATGGTGTCACCCGATTCTTCGTCGTCTTCAATATCGATATCGGGATCGTCGTCGTCGCCATCCGGTTTCTTGAACCAATAGTAGGCGGCAGCTGCACCGGCCACCACCGTAGCAGCCATCGCTGTCACAATAGCAGTGGTTTTCAGACTATCGGGTTTCACCTCGATATCCAACACCTTTTCTATCTTTATAGGTGCACCGCCAGTTAGGAATTTAAATGAATATTCAGGGTCTAATGGATCCATTATTTATTAACTTTTTATTATTTTAATAAAAATAATAATAATAATAATTAATTATATATATATATACAAAAATGCTATTATTTTAAGGATTGATAACCTTTAAGTGAATTTATAATATGAATATATATAAATATAAATATAAAATAAAAAACAATAATAATGTGAAGAGGGTTTAATTTAATATGCGCTTTTAAGTTTATTAGTTGTTGTTATTGTTTGTTGTTGTTGCTTTTTGTTGGTTATTAGAATTAGAAATAATAAATTTATATACAGATAAAAAAGATAAAAAAATAAAAATCAATGAAATTATACAATAATAATTAACCAATCATATATAAATGTATATATTCAAAGTAAACAAAACGCTTTCTAATTCTAATTATAAAAAGAAAAGGAAAAATAAAGTAAAGATCCTTACGAAAGTAACTAAAACTACTTTTAGTTAGCGTATTTTAAGTTATTAAAAGTAAAGTTGTAGTAATATTTATATCGTATGTACCTTACTTCTACCTTGTTTTTCCCCCTTCAACACAAAATAAAAAATATAAATAAACAAGTAAATTGAAAAAGAATAATATTAAAAATATATATATACAAGTATTTAAAAATGGAACTTTAAAGTTGATATGAAATGAAAATATTGATGATTTAATATATAATTATAAAGTTATTAATTGTAGAACATCTATATATATATGAATGATAATGAAAAGAAATCTCTAAGATTTAATTATAAATAAAAAGTAAAAAAAATAAAATAAACAACAGTTTGTTTGCTTGTTGTTTGTTTGATTGATTATTTAATGATGATTTTAACTAAGTTCGCTTTTTAAATCTAAAGATATATATAATAATAATAATGTTCGTTATCGTTATTATTATAATAATTTGCTAAAGAGTGTATTGTGTGTGTTTATTAATAATTATGCTTTGACAGATTTCTAATCAATTAATTAAGGAAATTAATGAATAAAATAAAAATAAAAATAACAAAACAATAAAAAAAAAGTAAAAAACAAAGTTATTTGTTGATGTCTGTTATAATTATTTAGTTTCTAATGATTTGCATGCATAAAACTGATAGAAAGTAATTGTGTGTTTGGAAAAAAAATACCTAATTAATGTGTGGGAGTTTTGTTATTGTTTGCACCACCCACAAAGATTATTAACAAATTAATTTTTTTTTTTTTTTTTGATGCGAAATCTTCTTTAGCACATCCCAAAATAAATTAGAATGGGAAATTTTGTTCACTAAAAAACCATTATGTTTTTAAAAAAAATAAGTTATTTTTAACTGTTTTTTTTTGTTTAATTGAATAGCATAAATGAATGGTCACAATTAATTATTTTTTATTAAGTTTGAGGTTAAATAATTTAGTATAAGTATAATATTATTACAATGACATAACATCTGATTTTATCTTTGGGAATAATGCTGTTTTTTTTTTTTTGAAATGAATGAAAAAGTTCCAAAAGAGAATTTAGATAGTTAGTAAACATTTCTTTTTTTTTTTTTTTTGAATATTCTTGTCTTAATGATTTAATTTTACTTACATTCAAGTTTTTCATGTAATCCTCTCATCTCTTCTGGACAACGGATGGAATGAATTTGCATTCCTCTGTCGAGTATGTCTATCTGCTTTTTGAGTGCCAACGCCAGTTTGTTGGAGATTTCCTTGTTGACGTCGGGGCCGGCGGTCGGACCGAGGAACGCTTCCTTGTAGAGGTTGATACCACCGTTGACTGCGGCGTCGATCATACCGTTCAGCGCCATTGCCAGTGGGTTCAAGTTGAGTTGTTGGTTCAACTCGTACTTGCTGATCATCTCTTCGAGATCGGTCGTCTTTTGAGTGACAGAGTTCAGTGCGTTCTCGACGGGCGACACCTCGACTTCCTTCTTCTTGATGACTTCGGCACGACGATGAATCGTTGGGAACGTCGAGTCGGTAATGAGGAAATGGTTACGAATCCACAAGTCAGCGAATTCGTTTCCTGACTTTACTGTTGTCTTTTTGAAGGGTTTCGAGTAGACGAATACATTGACGTTGTTGCGCTTGAGGTAGCTTCGTGAGTTGGCCGGTGTTCCTTCGATTACCGGTCGTGTTCGGTTCTCTATTTCCTCGCGACTCGAAGGGTTGACAATTGTGATGAGAAGATACTGTGCGTCGGCATTGAGAATCTCCTGAGTCGGCTCCGATGTCGATTTGAGCAGTTCTGCATTGGGGAATTTGGCGAGGATTCTGCTGGTAAAGTCAGAGAGACGCTCCAGCTCGAATCCTTTGTAGAGAAACTCCTTACCCTGAATGGTCTGTGGGAATTTGCGACCGTAGTAACCAACACGGAAGTACTCAGAGTAGAAACGTTCGGTACTGAGGATTCTCTCGTAAAAGTCGGCTTCTTGTGATAGCACTTCGGAGAGCGCGCGGAAGTTGTACTCCTCTTCGTATTGCTCCTTGAGATCCTGTATCAGTTTGACACAGATCTCCCATGCCTGTCCTTTATCGAGATACTGAACGGCGAGTTTGAGAAGACGAATCTTTCTGTTGGTGGCAGTCTCCTGTGGGAATGTGTGAGGAGTCGGATGATCGGGTGTTGAGAATGTAAAGGGTGGAACGGTGGTCGTTCCCCATTGGTAGAGATCGGAATGCAACATAAAAGCATGTCCAGCCTCTGTGAAGTAGCTGCTGTTGATGTGTTGGTTGAGTAGCTCGTGGAGATACTTGATGTAGGTATCCTTACGATCCTTAAAGTACTCCATCATCTTCAAAGTAGCAATGGTACGCTCCTCTTCAAACGAACGATCGTTTGGTAACGTTCTGAAATCAAAGAGTAAACCTAACAAATGATTGATATTATCGATGAAGCCTTTGGCTTCAGTTCTAAACTTTTCGTCCATAACCTCGGTTTCGGCAAAGAATGAAGATAATCTGACAGTGAGGAAGTTTCTAAACAGCTGTTCATCTGCTTCGCCAACTCTAATGATAATTCTATCCAAAATCTCAATTGTCTTGGTTTCAACTCTTCTAAAAGGTTTCTTATCACTTGTAAAATCTAATTTCATAACTGAGAAGAATAGATCTTGAATTAATTCATCAACTTGATGATCTTGATGCTTTAATTGTTAAAAGATATATTAGTATTCTATTCTTTGTTTTTTTTTTTTTGTTTTTGAGTTATTATTTTTAACATACCAATAATGATGCAAGTAACAATGGCACAATATGTTGAACAAAATGATTTTGATTGGTTGACATGTATGACCAATTGTCTCTAATGCTAACGATTGATTTAGTTCTGATTTCTTTGATGGACGGACTTATGTAATGGTGTCTGTTGATACGATTCTTGCTGGATCGGAGGAATGGAGAGAGAATAAGACTGAACTGGAGAGTTAGGAATGTGTTCCACATGTCTAGATCGGACATTTGCTGTTGTAGTGGTGAACATCTGTAGATAAAGGTTGTGAGGATGGCAACCATCTTCATTGTAATGCGATGGTGGATCAGCTGCATGGTTGGCCAGCGACTTGTGAATACTTGTCTGGTCATCCATCCCTCTAGGATTTTGAGAACACGTCTCACATTGGTACGTGTTGTTTCAATGTGACTGTTGTCAATGATATACTTGTTGGTAATGCCAAAGTCTGCCAGGTAATTGAAGATTGTCAGTACCGAAGTGATAAAGAAGGTGGTGTCGTAACTCAGCGAAATGTTTGAAGGTGTAGAGTTGATCTCTGACATCACAGAATCGGCCAGTTGCATCAACTTTGGATAGAGTTTGAGAATGGTACAAAGCGATCGTTGTTTGTTGTCGGTGTCTTTGATATGCTCCAATGACTCCAAAGCCAACGCCAACAACTGACTGGAAAGACGATACTCTTCTCCCTTATTCATAAAGTGGTGATCCATTGTGTTGACCAGTGTTGGCAAGAGATATGGGATTGTTTCACCGTCGAGAGGAAGCGGACCAGAGAGAATCTGGAAGAAGATCGTAAGCTTGTAGGAATTGAGATGCTCTTGTTTCTCACTGATGTGCACGCTCTCAATGAACTGACAGAGAATCTCACAGAGTTGCTGTTTTCCGAAAAAGTTGGTCAATCCTTTCATCATATTGGCAAAGTTTCTCAGAGCGAGTGTTTGGACTACGATCAACTGTGGTGAGTTGTTGGACATCAGCTTGTTGAGAATCGCCAAAAACTCTGAGATGTCCTCACGCCACTGTTGATCAGAATGCTCCGAAGACAGCTTGTTTCCACTCTGTTGCTGCAGGAATACAATTCTAGACTTGACAATCAGCTGGAAGATATAGTCGAGTGCTTTCAAAGTCGAAGAGATCTTGGCTGATTCCTTTGAGGAGAAGTCTTGCATGTGATAGGACAAACAGTTCAAGAGATGCTTATGCGCCATTGCACCACTGAATTGATTCTGGATGTACTCGTCCAACACTGTTTTGAAGTGTTTGAAACGATTGGTTCTCTCGTCGGTCAGCAAACCAATGATGAATACGATGGCATTGTAAACAAGCAGTGCAACCGGCTCGACAATAAACAGAGAACCAGCGGTACTGGAGTCGTAGATCTTAAAGAGTGCGTCAATAATTCCAGTGAGATTACGCATGATTGAAATGGAGTCAACAAATTTAAATTTGTCCAAAATCGTTGGAATCGATGCTTCGTTGGATTTCCAATCGATCAACTGTGAGATGACTGCATGTTGGACGAATTGGGTGGTGTGGAAAAGTGACTTGATTTTCAACGACTCGTTTTTGCGCACTGAGAATTTCGATTTGTCTAGCTTGTCCGATTGTGAAGTAAGTCCCGATTGTGTAGCGGGCAAGTCCTCGGTGATGTAGTTGTTGGAGATAGTGTCTGACGATGCTTTGTAGAGCACCAAACTGTGGTCGCCGTTCGACAACGCCACTTGGTCAGCGCCACCAAGTTTGAGGAATGCAAAAGCAAAAACATTGGATTTGTTGGCTTTGGATGAGGCACTTCTCACGGTGAACAATAAGTGAGCCTGGAGGAATTTATCTGGACTTACATCGATGTGAATCATTTCATTCCAGACTGGCGAAGTAGATGTGTAGACAACTGTCTTTAGCTCACTGACCAGCTGTGAAGCGGAGCCAAGTGACAAACAAAAAGGAAGGAAATCACCATTCTCCATACGAACACGTACCGATATCTCTATCTTTTTGCCTTGCATGAATTTACCACTGTCCAAAGTGATGTACAGTTGATGCTTTCTTTCATTGAGCACTACTTTGTGTTCCAATTTTTCAGCTTTTGGTAACTTGGCTAGATCCGACCACTTTTCCAATGATTTCTTATATGGCTGATCATAAAATGCTGTAGAGATTTGCAATTGATATTGAGCACCTACAGCTGGTTTCGGTACTGGTTCCACACCATTCTTTTTCAATTCTTCATCATTATTACTCTTTGATAAGACTATTATTGAAAAAAATAAAGTTAATTTTCTAAATAGAATTAGATTTGCTTTTCAAAAAGTTATTATAACTTACAATCTGGAATTGTTGAAAAATTGACATCACTTGATGTTGTCCAAAGTGAAAGATTATATTCTTTTTCAAAAACTCCTATGTTTTGGTCGGAGAATGCAGAGTGTAACTTGAGAATGGCACATGCAAATGGACGTCTAAAGTCGGCGTTACTAACTTTTTTGTTTTGAGTGTCGACGGTGCTACTGAGATCTTTCATTGCTCCACGACGTACAACACGAACGAGCAGTGCAACATCCTCTGTAATATCCGATGGTTCAATATCCTTGAACAGTAGCTTTGTGAAAGCCGGTGCTTGTCCTTCGTTCGAAATCAAAGTGATCTGCTCGGAAATGGCTCGTGCCTGAACGAAATTGTATAGACTAAAGTAGAATTCCAAATTTTTTTGGTGACAACCGAGAGAAATTTCGTGAGTTTTACATCGACAACCAGTTGTCCGTACTCCCACTTTCCAGTGGCTCCACCAGCGGCGTTACTGTCAATCTCACTACCGGCAGTCTTGTTGCTAGCTGCCAACTTGTCGGTTTTGAATGAACGCTTCTCACCAATCATGTGGTAGTGCTCACGCAACAACGTGATAGGTGAAGCGGTCTCCTCGCTCGTTAAAAGTTGTCCAGTTGTTTTATTGGCAACGAAATACTCGATTCCTAGCTGTGCTCCGATCGACTCGACCTGTTGTCTCAACTCTGCCTGCAACTTCAAAGCGTTCGATGCATCGACTTCTGAGAGCAGACGATCCTGCACCAACTGCATAGCTTTAACACGTTCCCTCAATGCATGCTGTCGTTTCTCCATATCCTTAGACTCGTCTAGATTGTCCAGCGAACGCTCCGAGTTTTCCATGAGAATCTCCATGACATCGCTGTGCAGATGATATTCGGACACCGAAACAATCCTGACAGCTTCCAGTGGAAATTCGCCTGCCTCACTCCAACCATCGAGTCCATGCTTCATTCTACCGATACAATTGGTTCCAGAGGTGCGTTCCAAAATCACTAGAACATCGCCACGCATGATGGTAAGCGATTTGTTGTTGGGAGCACGGTAGTCCTTAACACAAACTGCATAGTCAGCGTTGGCAGGTGGTTCTGCGGAGAGCGGTGACATTGTCTTGGTGTTTCCAATGGAGAATGCACCCGACTTGTAACCGTTGTGTCCAATGTACGAGCGCTTGTCATGGCCACGCTCTACAACCTCAATGATATCACCACGCTTCTGTGTGAGTGTGATAGAGTCACCGGATTGCGATGCCAGCACTCTCAGTCGCTCACGTTGAACCGACTTTGCTGCGCTAGCTTGAAGATTCTTTGTGACTTTGATAGCGATTTCCGATGTCTCGCTATTGACAGCCTGTGCAATTGGAATGGTCGACTGTGACAAACTAGTTGGTGCAACTGGTTTCCATTGTTTATTAATCACTTTCTTTGGTTGTCCAACACCTGCATCTGGAGTTGACGCTATTGAAATAGTTGTACTATCACTTGCTGATAACAATACATCTGGTGAAATAATAACTGATTTTCTTTCTACTGCAACTTCTATTGGTTTGTTAATATTATTATTATTGTTGTTGTTGTTGACTGTTACTGGTTCATTGTTGTTGTGAAGATCAGGTGATTTGACTTCAGAGTTTTTATTTACAGGTGAAGAAGGTGCTGCCGCTGGTGTTTCAATTGATTGTGTTGATGGTGTAGAGGTTGGTGTGGGTGAAGCTGGTGGTGTGATTTTTGGTTGTGTGGTTGATAGTGGTGCCAATGTTGAAGGTTGTGAAACTACAGGTGCAGGTTTTTTAATAACAAAGTTTCTAGCTGGTGGTTTTGATGTTGTATCAGTACTTGTTGCTGGTGATTGTTGTGGGAATCTATTCAATACAGATGGTGCTGGTTTTATTGTCGATGATGTTGGTGTTACTGTTGATGGTGTTGTTGGTGAAGGTGTCACTGTTGGTGCTGGTTTTGGAAGTGGTCTACTTGCAGGCGATGCTGTTGTTGATGCTGGTGTTGATGTTGTTGGTGCTGGTGTTGTTGATGATGATGGTGTTGTTATTGAAGGTGATGATAATCCTGTTGTTGATATTGGTCTTGTCGCAACAGGTTTCAATTTTGCACCGAATGGATTTGGCTTAACAGCACCGTCATTTCCACTTTCATTGTTGTTTGATAAATCAGGTGACGACTTCTGACTACTAGAATTACAAGGTATTTGTACAGTTGATTTCAAAACAGGCAATCTATTTATTTCTGGTCCACCATTTGTATTCGTACCAATTGGTTGTTTTGGATTACTCATCGCACACACTACCCAAGAACTCTATAAAACTGACTAAAACTAACTTTCGAATTTGGTAATTACTAAATATATATATATGAAAAACAAAAAATACAAAAGATATCTAAATAAATAAATAATATTAAACTTGTGATTATAACAAACAATCAAAAAAAATCCTTTTGCTTTGATTGATTTGTGGGTGTTTGGCGCATACTAATTGGCACTGTGGGTGTTTTTTTGGCTTTAGTTATTTTTTTCAAGCACCAAAAAAACCAAAAAATAGGTTAAGATTTTTTTTATTTTATTAAATATTTTTTATTTCAGATCTTTGGCAAGGTTTTTTTGTTTTTTGATCTAAGATTTGTGTGGGTGTCCAGCTGGGGGTAATAAAAATAAGATTTATCAATATTCGATTTTTGTCGCACCACAATCATAACGTATAGACGGATCGCTGTCTTCTATTACTGCCCACTGATCATTGTCGATAGAGTATCTGTGATTCTTAAATTGTCTACCATGTAGTAGATAAATATTGTGTTGAATAGTTGTGGTTGTTGTGTTTGTTGTTATTGTTTGTATTTCTTTTAGGTATACCATTGATGCCGGTGGAGTTTGACGTTGGAGTGAATGAGCGAGTGACTGAAGTTTGACACGCTCGCCAGTCGACATGGTGATGCGGTGAAAGTGGAAGTTGGCATCGAGAATATAGAGTTGGTGGTGATCGGTATCGAAGCATGCCGATCTGATTCCATCGAATCGGTAGTACTGCTGGTTGAGAACGTTGTAGGTGAAGGTGCGGATATCTAGTCTGAGCAGTGAGACTGGCGAATCAGTGTTGTCCACCAAGAAGACGTAGACAGCGCCGTCAAAGTAGAAGGGGAACATGTACCGAAGCAAACTCGAGCTTATCGCTCCTAGAATATCGGCGTGCTCCACTGCCATGTTGCTATCGACGTTGTAGATTACGAGGTTGGCGCCACACAGCAAGTAGATAGTGGCGACGCGGTCGTAGCACGCCGAGACGTTGGAGCCAAGCTTGACCAGCGGACCGCTCTTATCCCACTGTCCGGTGACGAGCGAGAACCGCGAGAAAGAATTCGATGTCCAAGTTCCCCCGAATACATAAACAAAAGAACGAGCACAAACAACCGAACCCATCGTATAGATCCTTATGTTTTCATCGTCGTTGGTCACCAGTTTACGCCCAGCAATCTAGCGAAGTGCTGTTGTTGAATATATCATAGATATAGGCAACGGATCTACCATCATCAATTCCAAATGAAAAGATCCCTACTCTAGGATGAGGTTGCTGAGTAGTACTCATATGTAGATTGTTGTTTACCGCTGTCGTATCAGAAATACCAACAATACTATTTGAAGTATAGCTATAGCTGTGATCATTACTCTCACGCACCAAATCAAAACAGAAAGCAAGCATATTCTTTAGATCATTGACAATATTGAGATTGAAATGTACTTGATAACCAAATGGATAATCATATTTAAAATTCTTATACATTGTAAGATATTGATATATAATACCCAATGATTTACCATTTTGATTAGAAAATAAACTATCATTACTATTATTATTACTAATATTACTATTGCTATTTGTAAATAAAGATGTTTTAAAAACATTTATAAAATCATTTATATTATTTATACTATTAATACTATTTATAATTGATTGTAAATCTATTACTTTATTATTTATATAACTATTATTATTATTATTATTATTATTATTATTATTATTATTATTATTATTATAAAAAGATGATGATGATGATGATGATGATGTATATTTATCAGATAAAGATAGACTATCTATATTACATTCCATTGAAAATGATCTAATGATATTATCTATTGATTTTATTTCGTTGAGTAGTGAGATTACAGTTTGCTGTGTCTTTTCAATCTGCATCTTGATTGGTTGTGTTCTCTTTTCAAGTTCATTCTGTATGTACTGTTGTAATGATTGATAGAAATCCACAATCGATTGCTCTGTACCAATTAAACTACGATGACAATCTACTTGTTGTTTAAGTAATCTCCATAAATCATTTAATCTACCATTCATATATTTATAATTAATTATATTACTATTGTTATTATTATTATTATTATTATTATTATTATCGAAATTTGATATTAAACTATCTAAATCTTCAAGTTGATGTCCATTGTGTTGTGAAACAACACATCTTGAACACAGTAGAGATGTACATGTCAAACATATATACTCTATAGACTTTGCATGAACTAAACAATTTTGATGTTGATCCATCATCAATGATATATTATTAATGAGCTAATATTTGTTGTTTGTTCACCAGATCTATTTTTGATTTAAAAAAAGTTAAATTCTAAACACCTTTTTACTTTTCTCAGAAAAGTGATTCAAAATACAAGTTATTGTTTGTTATGTGTTTAAATTTACAGTTTTATTTTTATTTTTATATTTTATTTATTTCCTTTTTTAGTGTTTTTAGAATTTTTGGAAGACTAAAGTTACAACTGTTGCACCCAAACTAAATGCAGATGAAGCAACAACTTTTTGAATAAATAAGAAAAAGAAAGAAAATAAGAAAAGTTAATTTTTGTTTGTTTTTGATTCAAAAGAAATGAAATGAGTGAATGTTAATAGTAAACTATTATTTATGTACTTACCAGTTGCCCATCCTTCGAGTGGTCCCCATTTAGAACCGTCACTCGAACCTACCAATTTGTCACGTTGACCCAGTGGCAAACAGAGAGCTCCAAAGTTATCGTTGTTGCTGCAATCGATATCGATTGCCTTTGGCAGACCTAGAAATATGAACAGCGAGATGAGAGTGAATCCCAATGCAACTGGTACAACGATCTTTGGTACCAAGTGAAGCATCTCTGGTAGTTTACCAAACAATCCGACTAGAATGAAACCTGCTGCAATGACATGCATACACCAAGCCATGATAGCAAAAACAAAGGTAGATTGAAAAACTTTCAAACTATGAATGAGATCTGTCTTGTCATCGAAAGGAACTGAAAAGGAAACAGTATAGTTTTTATATGGTTGATCTTCAATCTTTATAGTTTTATAATTGTAAATTAACTTTTCACCACTATCCAGTTTTGTTTGATACCATGGTCCTAAAAAAATAATTAAAATATTAGTTAGATTTCTTACTTTTTTTTTTTTTTTGAAGTTGAAATTATATTCATTAATATTTGATCTTACTTGTAAAAGATACAACTAATAATGCAATAGGTACAATCAATAAACCTAATATAATAATATTTATTTTATTCATGTTTAGATTAGATAATTAAATAAAAAATTATAATGTAAGAATGAAATAATGATTATAAACAAGTTTACAAAAATATAAACGAAAATATCTGACTAAAAAAAACCTATTTTTACAACAATGGTATCACGCAATTCCATTACCCATTATTTTGAAACCAAAACAACCCATACCATTACGAGACCAAAAGGACAAATATTAATTTTTGAAAAAATATCGATCGTTTTACTTTTTTCCTCTGGTACCAAAGCCTATTTTTTTTTGAAACCCACTTCTTGTTTTACTAAAATTATATATATTTAGATTTGATGGTCAGTTAATTGATTATTTAATTAGATATTGTTTTAGGTTTTTTTTTTTTTGTTTTTTTTAAATATACAAATAATTTATTGTAGCTTTTTTTTTAATTTTTTTAAAGTTAGCAATCGTATTTGTGTTTTTTTTGACTAATAATATAATATTTTGTTTTTCTAAATTAAATTATAATTTAAAATAACATTGAGATAGCGATGACCATGATGGCAACGAAGGTGAAAACAAAGTTGGTAGAGAGGATCGAAGAACCATTGACACAGGATGGTGAGTAATCGCTGTTACACTTTGGGTGGATGGTCCAGAAGGTTTCGTTACCCTGACCTGGACACCAGTTTCTGAAGACTTGTGGGGTGGTGACATTGGTGAGGACTTCACCGATGATCTCAAGAGTAACATTACCGGCATCGTTCAAACCGTAACCGTAACCGTTGATGAAGTTGGATTCAACCAAGATTTGGGACATGCAGAGCTCACAGTACAAAGTCTTGACAGAGGTACCGTAGATGACCTTGTCGAAACCGGCCCACATGATGGCAGCTTGACACATTGGACATGACTCACCGGTGGTGTACAAGTAGTATCCCTTCCATGTGTTTTTCTTGAACTTCTCGGAACAGGCCAAGATAACTTGGGTCTCACCGTGTCTGATGGAAGAATCCTCACCTCTGTTTCTGTCCATACAGATAGTGGTACCGTTTGGATGAACGATCGAAGCAGTGAAGATGGCATTTGGAATCTTATTGTTGTGGTAGGTTTCGTTGATGGCATATTGAGCAATTTCCATCATCTTGGCTTCGTGGAAAGCCAATTCAGCAGCTGACAAATCAGCTGGTAACTTGACAACTGACTATTAATGAGCAATTTAATGTTAGTTTGTTTGTTATCCAATTTGACTAATCTAAGTGTAGTTAAGATATATATATTTATTTTACTTACTGGTGAAGCAGTTTTCCAGGGTGAGTTGGAGCAGGCAGAGGAGACTGCAAACATAACAGCCAAAATAGCGAAAATATATTTGTACATTGTGTATTATTATTATATGAATACAATAGATATGTTATTTAAATGATTGAGAATGACGATGAACTAGTTCAGATTTAAATATTCAGAGCTTTGGAGAAATAGAAATAAAAATAAAATTTAAAAAATATTATTTTTTTTTTGTTTTTGTTGTTGGCGCTTTGGGTGGTGAGACAGACACAGGATAACTGGTCAGTCAGATGAAGCTGAAACTATATCAAAGAGTAAAAAACTCTATATATGCGTATATAGAGTGTATACCCATTTGGTTGGTCAATAACTTTGAAAGAATTCAATCTCGTGTGTGAGTGCGCCAATCTATCAAGTGTCAAAACGCATCAATATTTATTTTGCTGTATCCGTATTGTTGATGGTCTTTTGTGTGATTTGTGTTTTTTGTGTTGTTGAGAACAGAACAGTTATCATATTGAATCTAATCAAATTTGGTTAGTTGATTGATTTGAAGGGTTTGGATTTGAAATTAATTCCTTGAGTTGTTATTTTTCATTTTTTTCAAATTTTACTTTGTTGTCTTTTGTTTTGTTTTCACAGCATATTCTTGCATAGTATATTTTGGGTGTTGTTGTTGGATTGTTGTGGGCAAGGCAAAGAAATGAAAGTGGGGTGGTCATGGTGACCTCTCACCCTTCATCATAGACAATCAGGTATTCTGATTTGTATATTTTAGGAAAAACAACTACACTGAGATTCAAAACGTTTTATTAACCCCTCCAAACCTCCCAGAGTGTAATAGTGAAATTTTTGAACAACAACCAATCAGAACAATCGTGCAAATATTGTTTCAGGGAACAAATTTGAATTTTTCGTTTTTATAGAAAAATCTCGTTTCATCACACCTAATTAATGAAAATTTTTATCGATAATTAACTGATTAGCTGCACCTACCTCAACAAAACATGTTGATAAATCTCTTTTGAGCTAATGTCAAAAACTACCCAATCAAGATCAAGTGGAGATGATTGAAACTCGGAGATAATTAATTTATTAAAATCAATAATATTCAGTTCTATGGTTTAGGTGGTATTGTATAGTTGAAAAACCAAAAAAAAAACTAAAAAAAAAACTAAAAAAAAAACTAAAAAAAAAAAAATAGTAATATTAAGAAAAAAAACAAACTGTCATAAATCTTATTGAATAATGAAAATAAAATAAACCTGGGTGATGCAAATAAATCACTAAATATTAAAGTTGCCCGCTGATTTAAGAATGACTTTTATTCGTTTTTTAGTTTAAGTACTAAACCGTTTTTTTTTTGCACTATTTGTCTTTATGACTTTAATCACCACAACCGAATGAATAGAATTGATTGGATTGGTCAAAACTTTAAAAAATCAATCAAAAAAAAAAAAAAAACAAAAAGTTTTTGACATCTTTAATCCCTCACCATCATCAATGTTTTGCAAGCTCTGATCAGAATTAATAGTTTATTTTTTATAAAAAATTAATATAACTCTCTATCATGATGATAAATATAATTAGAAATCTTCTTAATTTAGATGTCTAACAACAAACACCTAAAACACACAGCAGTTTTGTGATTAAACATATATAAGGTTGTACAAGTCAATTCTTGTTATTTTACTAAAAACAGGAAAGTCACACACACATGACACACTTCAAATTTCATCGGTAACTGATTGGACTTGTCCAACCAAGCCAATCTATTTAAAGATCGTGTCATTGTTGTTGTTGTCATCGTGTGATCACCATCAGACACATGTCAACTTTATTTTAGATCAGATCTTCTATGATCATTTTTGTGACATTTCAACCAACTACTAATTCAGTTTTTATCTCAAAATACTACTCTTTGAATAACTATTCATTTCTAATAATATTTCTGTACATAAGATAGTTTGTATTTATTATTTTTATCTACATTATTATTTTAATTATTTATGATACAATTTCTAAGTGATAAGAGAAAGGTCTATTCTATCTATCTTTAAAAACTAGCTATTTTAATAAAAGATTATTATTATAATTTAACTGATGGTTGAAGTTCAATCATGATTGATTTGGGGCAAGTGAATGGGTGGGTCAATAAACTAATAAAATAAATAATCTTGATGGTGGACCAATTTTCAAAGAATGTAAACCAAAAAGATGATTTTGTTGGGTTTTTTTTTTTTTATTTTAAATTAAATTATATTTATTTTTAAGTTTAAAGTTTAATTAAATTTCACTGGTTTTATTTAGTTTATATAATATTTGTAATAATTTGAAATAAAACAAGACGAAATGTCAGAAACAATTAAAGGTAATTGGACTTCTAGTAGTGCTTACAATCTTGATCTTGCACTGAAAGAGTCACGTGAATGGATCGAAGCTGTCATCCAACAAAAGTTTCCATCCGATGATTTTCAAGCATCTCTAAAGAATGGTTTATTTCTATGCAAGTATGTCACATATTCGTATGATTTGGCATTTTAATAATTATTAATCATCATTAATATTTTATCTACATTTGTAAATGTAAGGTTAATCAATCAAATAAAACCGGGAATTGTACCAAAGACAAATCCAGCCACTACAGATTTTGCATATCGTGAGAACCTCTCGTTTTTCATCAAGGCAGCCAAACAATTGGGATTGCGTGATACTCAGTTGTTTGAGTCATCTGATCTCTACGAAGCAAAGCGTATTCGTAATGTAGCTATCAGTCTTTATTGGTTGGGTCGTGCAGCTCGTGGAATCAGTACCTACAAGGGTCCACAATTGAATCTACTGGCTTTCCAAAAGATGAATTGCTCGGCTTGTAAGAAAGCAATTAACGACAACAACTATTTGGCTACTTTGACACAACAATATCACACTTCATGTGCTGTCTGTTGCAATTGCAGTTGTAAATTGGATCCAAAACAACCATTCTTTATGGAAGGTATGATAGTTTGGTGGTGGTGATGATATTGGAAGATGGAGGATTAGAGTAATTTAAGTGAGAGGGAGAAAGAGAAAGAGAGGTGAGAAGTGATTAGAAATATTAATTTGATATTTAATAACAAGTTGGCTAATATATATCTGGTTTTTTTAGGTAATAACATTTGGTGTCAGAATTGTATGGTTGGCGCAACAAAGATTGGTAGTGGAAGTGGAGCTGGAAGTCAAGCAAGTGGTGGAAAGGCTGGTCATGGACATAAGCATGATAATGAATGTACTGGATGTCATGGTTCATTGGAGAATGGTTATGTTCCAGATGAAAAGGATGAGTCAAAGAAATACTGTACTAAATGTATCTGTGATCTATGTCATAATCCATTGATTGGAAATTTCAATGTTGTAAAGTAAGTCAACAACAATCAGCTTATACTCTTTATGGATGATCAACTTACCAATCATATATAATATATTATTGTTACTTTTAGTGGTGAAAAGATTTGTGATGATTGTAGTTGCTCTGGTTGTTCAAAACCATTGAAAGAAGGATTCTTTGAGGAAGGTTTGGCAAAGTATTGCGAAGGATGTAATGATCAAAACAATAAGAAGAATCAAAAACCAACATTATCACCATCAACTGCAAAGAAGGATCATGATCATGGACATGGACATCATCATCATGAACACGGACCAGGTTGCAGCCACGATAACAAACCAAAACCTTCAACAACCACAACATCCAATAATAACAATAATAATAATAAGAAAGGATGTAAGGAATGTAATAAGCCATTGGATACAAAACAAAAGGTTGGTAATGATCGTGATCTCTTCTGCTCACCACATGAAAAAGAAAGATGTTGCGGTGGATGTAATCGTGAGGTCGAAGGACAAGTATTACAGGCGATGGACAAATCTTGGCATCCAGATTGCTTTACATGCAAAAAGTGCAGTAAGGATTTGAAAAAACCAGGAGAAACCATCCGTAAAGGTGCCGATGGAAATCCATTATGTGGTCCCTGTAGCAGTGGTAGCGGACCATCCAACAACAATTGTGGTAGTTGCAACAAACCAGTTGTAGGTCAAGGTGTTGAGGCACTCGATAAGAAATGGCATCCCGCATGCTTCAAATGCTCCGATTGCAAAAAGACTTTGGGAGATGAGTTCTTTGAAGTCGGAAACAAGGCGTTGTGTGATCCATGTTACAATAGTCAACCTTCAACAGGTGCGAGTGAGGGATACAATCCCAATGATAAGTGTGCAGGTTGTACCAAACAGCTAGGTGTTGGAAACGAAGTAACAAAGATCAACAAACATTTCTGGCATCGCGGTTGTTTCAAGTGTGACTCTTGTAATGCTGCTCTTCAAACTGGATACTTTTTGCATGGAGATGACCGTCCTCACTGCAAGGTGTGTCACGACAAGATCGAAGCTTCCAAGTCTGACAAATGTCCCAAGTGTAACAAACCCATTCTTTCTGGTGAAATCGTCAAGGCATCCGGAAAGATGTGGCACAAGGCTTGTTTCTCATGTTTCAAATGCTCCAAACAAATTGGAGATGGTTCTACTTTTACACGTTTCTCTAAACCATATTGTAAACCATGTTGGGAACAAGAAAAAGCCAAATAAACAAATAATAATAATAATAATAAATTGTATTTTTATTTCCAAAATTTTAAATGTTAATTCATTGATTTAGATAAATATTTTGAAATTTCATAGTTTCCGTGAGAGTCTGCTTTATCTATCATTTCTGCTTTCCATTGTTTACTTATTTTCACGTTTGCCATTATTAATGAAAGAACTTCCAGTGAGCGAACTTGTAGGAGAAGTCCTAACGTCCAGTCAATCTCTTTGAAAGTGCTAAACAAAACACTAAGGAAATCCAAACCGCCATTGTGGAAAAATAGGTATATGGTATTGGGACAAATATCAAACAAGTGTGAAGCATGCTTACAAAGACATAGGAATACATCATAGTCAAGCTCTGAATAAACACTCAAGATAATACGTTCATCTGGCTGATGTTCAACTCTATCCAATTTTATATATCGCTCTACTATAAACTCTGTTATTTCCAAACTATTTGCTTTTATCAACTCTTGAACAATTCTGATATTTGGATTTATCTCTGGAAACTTATTTGCCAAATATTCCACGATTCTAAAGTTCTTGGATTTTATCGAGGATTCAATTAAATCGGAACCATAAACCAGATTGACAGATTCGACTAGATATTTCAAGACATCAAAATGATTTCTTATAATAGCTTGTGTCACTGAGCCCTTGTCAATAGGATAGCCGTTGCGATGGAGATATTTGACAAGATCCACTAATCCTACATTCGTAGCACGTTTTGCATAATCTGGAAGCTTTTCCAATTTATAATTCTTTTCAAAGAAAATAAACATCTCTAGCGATACCTCTGCAATGTAGGCTAAAGATTGAATTGGATTGAAAGTGATCCCATGCTTGGCCAATAGTGTAACCAATTCGAAGATTCCATCTCTTGATTCTTTGGTGACACTGTTGGGGGCAGGCATCACTTTAGGGAATGATTTCTTTGATTTATTCAATGCATATTCAACGATTTGCGGATATTGACAATAGGCAAGTCGCTGATGCTCCAATAGTTTAACAGAGTCCAAATACTTTATTATATCCAAATTACCATTTTGCTCTGCAAAGTTAGCTGTGGTTCCTATGTATGTACGCATCGATGATGATTTCTTTAATATCTTATTCTCAACGAGAAATTCAACCAAACTTAACCCACAACATTCAAGCATTCTGTGTGATACGTGTGTGCATGGAATCTTCTGATCGATCACCAAATATGAAAGTACCTCTAGACTGGTGGCACAGTGTTCGATGAATGTCCAATTTGATATTTCAATTTTCGATAGCAACTTGTTATCTAAAATATATTTGAGAATCTCAAGTTTAACATCCTTCGCTCCTTTGATTGCATTGTTTGAACATTCTAGCTGTGGAAATCTTTGTCTGATCGCTTCTACAATATCTAACCTTCCAATCATTAGAGCACCATCTAAAGCACCGTGAGTACATCCTTCAGTACGATTCTCCAATAGATAGTTAACACATTCGAGTGATCCACCTGATGCAGCAGCATTCAGAGCTTCCACATTAAATTTCACAACATTATCACTTGGTAAATGAGTGAATAGCTTCTTTTCATATTGATCCAAGAAGATAAGAGTTTGTAACTGTCCATGTCTACATGCAGCAATGACTGCATTTTTACCAATTTTGGGAATCTCTCGGAATTCAATCATCATATATTGAATGATTTCTGTTCTTCCGTGCTCAGCCGCTGCTGCATATGTATTGGTATCTATTACATTGGTGAATCGATGGAGTAGAAGCTTGACCAATGAGAAATCTTTTGTTGCATGCTTGATTGCTGATGAAAGAACTATATTGTTGATTGGTAGTGGTCTCTTAGGATCAACGTATCTATCAATCAACTTTTCAATGAGACCCACCTCATTACGATGTTGAGACACCAGATACTCCAAAGACAAAGTAGACCAACCAAAAACAGTGTTTATTCGATATTCCAGATTCATCTTGTCAAACAAACCATTTTTAACAAGATAACCTGCATACTCAATATACTTTGAATTGGCTTTACAATAGTATTTGAAATGTTTTGAATGTATAAATTGACATATTAAATTGAATAAATAGGTATTATTTATTATTTTAAAGAATAAGTTTATCTTATTATCTGTCATTTTGTTTTTTTAGTATTAGTTAGCTAATATTTTTTTTTTCAAGGCAGCCAGATTTTGTTTTCTGAAATCAGAAATTTTGGTGAATAATTGAGGATGATAAATATATGATATGATTTAGAATATTCAAAGAAGATTTTTTTTTTGTTGTTGTTATAATATTAAAAGAAATATAAATATTTATTGAATTAAACATTTTGGTTTAAGAGAATGTTTACCAGCTTTTTGTTGAGCCAATTTCTCATTTTCTTTGTAGAGTTTCATTCTTTCTTTGTAACCTTCTGGGTCGAGTTTCTGCATGAGTAGATCTTCGAGCATGAAAATAGTCTCTGGATTACGAACAAACACCTTAGTCTTACCCTCTTCAAACTCATCGGCTGGAATGTCTTTGGAGGCACGGACGATCTGCTCGACAAACTCTGGAATGGTTCTGGGTGGCACGTCAAAGATCTTTCCGAAACGGTCGAGGAAAATATTCTTGTAATGACGGTAAGCATAACCGGCACGCTTTACCTTGATGTTCTCTAGCAGACCGAGATACTTTACTTGATGCTCGACACGCGACGACACAAAGTTCATCGGTTGTTTACGGTCGTTCGGTTTGATACAACGGATATAATGTGGAGTGCAAGCCGACAGACGTTGAACGAGGTAGTTGGCTGATTGACGAATCTTGAAAGATGCGGTAGTCGGTGCTTGTTTGTTGTCCATCATGTTCTCTGGGAAGAGACCGGCAATGAATGGATAGGTGGAGGTTTGCATACAGCATACAATCGAAGCATAGAGATTATCGTTATTCTTGAAACAGAACTCCTCGATATTGTAGGTTACATCACCTGCATAATGTTTGATGGTGAATTCGTCGTGTCCAATGAATTCGAGATGTGGATGTTGAATCGATGCCTGAAGTTTTTCGATGAATTTGATGTCGGCGGTTGCAGAGTCGACGGCATGCACTGTCTTGCAGACGTCGTCGAGAACACGCATGATTCCAGGTGGTTTGTTACCTTCGATCAAGTCACACACGATCTTATTATCAAAGAAAGAGATGTCCTTCCACTTCATACCTTCTTCGTGGTACTCACGTTGCTCACCACGCACAGTCAAATCAATGAAAATCTGTTGTAGACGCTCGTTTACATAGTTGATACAGAACTGTTCGAAACTGTTTCTCTCGAAAATCTCGAAACCATAGATGTCAAGTACACCAATAACCTTGGATTGTCCATGGAACTGCATGGCAGTGTTGATACGTGCTACAATAAAGTCAAAGACACGGTCGTACAATGTTTTGGCGAGAGCATCACGAAGACCGGCAGCTTGGTCCGGATTCTGTGGAACTGCATATTGAGTGTGACGAACGGATCCCGATTGAATCTGACGATGGTTCAACGATTGTCCGAGGAATTGTGGATCGCAACCAAGTAGAGTTGCAGCCCATTGCAATGGATTGGTATCGATGACTTCGGCTGGTGGCTCACCTTGGAATCGGATATTACCGACGTGGAGAATGGCAGCTAGGATTCTGAAAATCTCTGTTTGTTCATCCTTTGAGATTGCAACGGTCTCCATGGCTTTGCAGACCTCACGGAAGTCGGCACCGTCATCGACGTCCTCGACAGTGGTACATTTCGATTGTGAGAGGTAATAAAATGCAGAGGCATCGGTCAATCCCCATTCGCTCTTTGTCGACTGGTCGAGTCCGGCCAACATCTGATAGAAAATATGGAAGTTTCTCTCACCCTTCTGTTGGAATGTTACTCTTGTCTTTTCGAGCAAGAAAGTTGAGATTTGTCCACCGACCGGTGCGTTGTTACTATCGAATTGAATCTCCAAATACTTTCCGAAACGCGAAGAGTTGTCGTTTCTCACTGTCTTGGCATTTCCAATTGCCTCCATCAGCGGATTACTATCTAGAATTACACGCTTAATATGTTCTACATCGACGGTACCTCCACCTCTTCCACCACCACCTCCAGATGGAGCGATACGGGGTGGGGGTCCTCCACGACCACGTGGAGCTGGTGCTCCTCTTCCTGGAGGTCCGCCACGACCTGGTGGTGGAACAACAGTTCTTGCTGGTGGTTGGTAATCATCGTCACCACCGCCATTATCACTTCCATAACCTCCAGCTGGTGGAGGTGGAACTCTAGGTGGTGGGGCTCCTCCTCTGGGTGGTGGTGCTCCTCTTGGGGGTGGTGCTCCTCCTCTGGGTGGTGGCGCAGCAACTCTGGGTGGTGGCGCTCCTCCTCTTGGGGGTGGAGCTCCTCCTCTACCTGGTGCACCGCCTCTTGGTGGCATTCCACCTCTACCGCCCGGCATCATACCTGGTAATGCTCTACCACGACCTGGCATCGCTGGATTGTCGTCTGCTCCACCGTCGTACTGTGGTAGTGAACCGCCACCACCACCTCCTCCCATCGCCGATCCATAACTGTTATTTGGACTGACAGCAGTGACATACTGAAGAATCAACTTAGCGGAAACAGTCTTTCCAGCACCAGATTCACCTGAAATAATTACACATTGTGATTCGTTATCATCCACTAATCTTCTGTAGGCACGCTCTGCCAATTGGAAAATATGTGGAGATGCATCACCACCAGATGCATTTTGATACATCTAAAATAATAATAATGGTGATAACAAAATTTTAATATTGATTTCCAAGTTTCTAAATCTTTTTCTTTTTTGATATTTACTTTGATAAACTCTGGACCAGTGATTGGAAGTTGTTTGTATGGATTGACAGCAACCAATACCTCACCGATATTGGTATAAATCAACTCTCTGTCGAATCTAGCACCGATTTGATTGGTAACTTCACCATTTGATGGTGATGAAACCAATACCAAATCATCTACACCAGATGAAAATAAACGAAACATTGTTTTTTTGGTTGTTTCTTTGTTTTGTTTTTTTTAATTTACAAATAAATAAATAAAATAAATAAAGTTATTATACAACAAGATAAATAAATAAATAAATAAAATTATATTGATAGATATCTATATTTTCAATTGATTTTTTTGGCTATTATTAGAAGTTTTTATTAAAATAGAAAATTATCTATTTATTATTATATATCTTCTTTTTTGCTTTTTGTTATTTTTTATTATTTGGTAATCAATTGATTATAGTAAACTACTACTATGACACTATATTTGTGGAGTGTGTAAATGTAGAAATAGTTATTATTGAAAATATGATAGTTGTTGGGGTTTGAGATTGATTGTTTATTATCAAAATAAAAAGTAAAAAAAAACGATGAATAATAAGCTGCAGCAGTTTTTTATTGTTGGTACAAAGATCAATCAGTCAATCAATGAATGTGTTTAATTTTGCTTCCCATATTACACTTTTCTTATAATATTTCATAAAAATTTAAAAATTTTGGTGGGTTTGTTTGTCCAACCCAATTATTTACCATCCATTTTTGCAAAAGGGTTTTTTTTTTTGAATTTTTTTATAATTAATTAATTTTTACAACCAAGCTTATTTGTAGTCATCTAAATAACGGATGTCCATCATCATGAACAACTAATTCATATAAATAGACATATGACAAAATTTTTCATTAAATTAATTTTATATTTTTTTATCATTTACGCATTAGTTTTGATATAATAATTTCATTCAATACAATTCGATAGTAATTATTAATTAATAAAAAAAATGTAATAAAAATTAGAAATAGAGAGAGGTCAGATGCTAAAGAAATGGGAACAATCAATTGCAAAATAAAATATCTTGGAAGATTTTAAGATTTTTAATTTTTTTTTTAATTTTTTTTAATTTTGATTTTTTCATCCGGATTTTAATCTTATGGAACTGATGCTGTTGATATTACCATCCACAAACAGAAAGAAAGTTATAGAAAGTTAGAATCATGAGTTTAATCAGAGCATTGATATTTGTTTGCGTAGCTGTCAACCTTGTACACTCAATTCCAGTTATTCCATATTCCTATCCACTTTACAAACAGGTAAGATTTCGAAACAATGTTTAATGTTGCTTGTAATATGTAACTAAAGATGATTAATCTATTAATTGATTGATTTTATAGTGTGATCCAGCATGGGGTAATAATACAATTATTACAACAACAGTTTGTGAAGTAGGTTGTTTGATGTCATCGGTATCGATGTCGTTGGCAGGAAAAGGTATTCAAGTCGATGGCCAATTGGCTACACCAGGTACTCTCAATGCTTGGTTGAAGACCAACCAAGGATACACTTCCAATGATGAGTTGGAGGAGGGTGTCGTTGCAGAGTTGCCAGCTGTACAATGGGTCGGTCCATCGATTCCAGGAACCTCGCTTTCAATGGAGGATATCGCCGAACTCCTCAACCAAAGAGTCACTGTAATCTTGAACGTTCTCAATGGTGGTCACTTTGTACTCTGTGTCGGTTACGACAGCGATGCACAAACTCTCTACGTCAACGATCCAGGTTTCCAAACCATCTACTATAATTACTCTGATGTCGTTGGATACCGTATTTTCAAGATGAATCTCTAATAACTTTAGAAAATAAAATTAACAATCAGAATCCTCTTTTTTCATTATTAATATATAATTAATAATGATTTGGAAAAAAAAAGATAGATATAGAATTTTAAAAAAATAGTTAAATATTATGGATTTTTTGGTTTTATTTTATTTTTATTCTTGTTTTGTTTTTTTAAAAAAAAGGGGAAGTTTATGAACGTCCTCCACGTCCACCTCCGAAACCACCACGGCCTCCACCACGACCTCCACCTCCGAAACCACCACGTCCTCCGCTGGAACCTCCACGGCCACCACCACGACCTCCACCTCCGAAACCACCACGTCCTCCACGACCACCAGCACCGCCACGTCCTCCACGACCACCGGCACCACCACGACCTCCACGTCCACCAGCACCACCACGACCACCTTGTGGAACCTTAGCCTTTGGTTTTGGTTCCTCGAGGAAATTCTTTAGTGGTAATACAGAGAATGGATCGCAAAATACTTTATCGTCTGTCTTGAAGGTTGAAGCTTGAACACCATTGTCCAATTTAACGTTGAAAAACTATTTATTATTATGAATAGATATGTTAATTAAAATGAAATTCTGAGATAGATATTGTTGTTGTTGTTAACAATCCAAATATTATTCCAACACTTACTACTTGATTGATTGGTCCGAAAATTTCACTAACTTGACCCAACTTTTGTTTGTTGGAGGTGAAGACTCTGCAGTTGAATTTTGGTACATCGGCATGAGTTAATTTACAAACAATAGTTTCTTCGCATGTATGTGTGAAAGCTCCAAGTTCTATAATTAAATAATCACACTAATTAATAAATAGTTCATTTACATTCTTTCATATTCTATCAATTCCAATCCATAATCAATTAACCAAAATTATTTCTTAATCTGTAGTTATGATAATATCAACCAAATCCAAAAAAATAAATAAATAGATAATTATTTGATTGATTGATTGATAGATATGAATCAAATTATAATTCAAAGAATAAACCTACCGACAACTTGATCTGGGATGGCATCACCGTCACGATTTCCGTAACTACCACCACCACCACGACCACCGTATCCACCGGATGATCCACCACGACCTCCACCGTATCCACCACCGGAAGATCCACCACGACCACCACCGTATCCACCACCGGATGATCCACCACGACCTCCACCGAATCCACCACGACCTCCACGGCCACCACCACCATATCCACCACGACCAGACATTTCTTTGCTAGGTTTATATAATTCGAGTTTGAAAAAAAAACGGTTGTTGTTTTGTTGTTGAAAAAAATCTAATCTAAAACTAATTTAATTTAGATATAGATTTGTAGAGTTGATTGGGTTTGCTGTTGACTGTTAATCAAACGATTTCGGTCGAATTTGAGCTAAAGAATCGAGAGGAAAAAGAGAAGAAATCTCTAACAACACTTTATTTAAAATAAATCGAAAAAACTTGAATGATCAATTGGTTGATAATCAAATTTAATCTGTCGTGTTGTATTGGGTTATTAGTTATTAATAAGATAATAATAAATAATGACACAATAGATCGATATGAAAAATGATTAAAAAAATAAAAAATAATAAAAAAAAACTATTTCAATATTAATTCGTTCGTTTCAAAAAAAAAAAATACAAAAAAAAAAAAATAATAAAAAAAATTAGAAAAAGAAAAAAACAAAAAAAAGTTTTTAGAATAACAACAAAGGAACCACAAAAAGTTATGATTTTCCTAAGCTCACTCTACAACGTTACTTCTTTAATCTTGTTTTAGAAAAATTTGTAAAAAAAATAATAAAGATAAAAAAATATCCTTTTAAAAGAAAACTAGTTTGATCATCTTTATAATTATTATAATATTCCAAAAAGAGTCATATGATCTCACTAATCTAATAAGTAGTGATGGAACATAAATTATTTAGTAAGATATTCTCAAATAAGGTGTTGGCTAGACAAATTTTTGATAGTGTATATTGGATTCACAGAAATATTGGTAAATACTTGATTGTTTGTAGATGGAAAGAATTGAATTCCAACGTCAAGTTGATGATCCAATATGGTTTTCTAGATCAGCTTAAAGATTATTTAGAAAATGTACCACCCTATCTTATTAGAAATTCAATTTACCATGCCATCAAAGAGTCATTGTTGAATAGCTGCTATCCAATGCTAAGTTATATTATTAAAGATTTGAACGTGAATCCCTACGATTATGTCAGTAGATCGAATGTCTTGCTCGATTTGTCGTTGGGCGGCAGTCTAGAGTGTTTACATCTGTTGGAGGAGACACATTCATTTGCAAACGAAAATTTCTATCACTACCGAGAGAGTATCGACCAGTGCTCGTTTAAAGGTAATTTGGATATTATGAAATGGATAGCAACAAGAGCCGAGAAACACTTTTGGTCAACCGGTTTGGACAGATACTTGAGCAACGCAGTCATTGGTAACCATTTCGAGGTATTGAAATGGTTGTTTACCAATTTCGGACGGGTTGGAGCACATCCTGGAGTCAAGATAAGCTCACTTTTTGTTTACAATCGTCTGGAGATGTTGGAGTGGATGATCGCCAACCGCTATATTGAGGAACTTAGAGTCAGGTTGACACCAATGATATCCGATCGCACAATGGAGCACATTGAATGGTGCCTAAATAATAATTTCCAAATAGTTCTAGAGTATTCGGCAATTGTTCATGCAGCCAGCTTGGGTAATTTGCCACTAGTCAAATGGATTGATGAGAATGTTGCTAAAGAAGACTATTATGTTGATCAGGCAATGGAAGCTGCAGCCAAGAATGGACGTCTTCAAGTTTTGCAGTGGTTCTACTCCAGGTATACCGAATTATCTCCAAATCCACATGTCATGAATGTCGCTGCTGCAAACGGAAAACTGGAGATTGTAAAGTGGTTGCATGAGAATAGTAATCATGGTTGTACAAAAATAGCAATGAACAAGTCCAAGTGTTTGGAAACTCTTAGATGGTTACATGAGAATCGTACAGAAGGATTTACCAGAGAGGCAATCGATGAATGTAAATATAAATCAGTTGAAGTGATTCAATTCCTCTTGGACAACAAAACGGAGGATTTCACAGAGGTTGCTGTCACCAATGCCCTGACAAACCGACAGTTTGAAGTATTCAAAGTTCTGACACAACACGCCATAAGTTGGGGAATGGAAATCGATCTGAATATCACCGCTCTACAATTCGATACTCTATGTGCTCACGGTCAGCTGGATTTCATTCAATATCTATACGAGTGTAAAGAGGTATTTGGTGTGATGGTGACAAAGAATTCCATTGATAGGGCTGTTCAGAACGATCAATTCGAGGTACTCAAATACCTAGATTTTATTGAGAACGAAGGTTGTACAAATAGTGCATTGTCCTATTCAATCTTGGGTAACAAAGTGGAGATATTCAAATTTTTGACAGGGAAAAACTATGTGCAATGGACCAACAGACACTTTGTGGATGCAATCTCTTATTCAAGCTATGATTTGGCAGATGTAATGATTGCTAATCTATGCCCGGATTTCGATAGTGAAAAGGTGATGGAAATTGCAAAGAACTATTCACAGTTGGTAGCTAGAAATGTTAAACTTTATCTAGACCATAAAAATTTGATTTGAATGCAAATAAAAAATATTTATTTTTTGAAACCTCTAAAAAAAAAAAAAAAAGAATGTACACATTCTTCTAGTAATCAAATCTAAATCAAGTCAGTTCTTTAATGAATTAATTAAATTGTTATTTTGGTATTAGCAATTACATTTAACTCAAAAATAAATAAATAAAATAAAAAATATATTCATAACAAAGATAAAAATAAATACAAAAATTATCTAAAGTTTATTGTATAATATAAATTGGGTTGGTATCTTAGTCTGTAAGATAAATTATCAACTATTATTTCAAAAAAAAAAACAGGTAAAAACAAAACTATTCATCTAATTATCCAAACCCAAAAAAGTGTGTGGGTTTTTAAAATAATTGCAATAATTTTATTGATTTTTTTATATTTGTGTGAAATTTTGTTATTAAAATATTTCATTTTATTTGTCAATCATCATTAAATTAATATCAATTTATTTATTTTTAGATTCTAAAGTTTTGTATTAAAATAAACAACAATCAATAACAATGTCAAACGTAGCAGTATATACTTCATCAGCAACTGGAATGTTGAAGATCAAGAAGGATCAACAAGCTTTGAAGACTCTCTTGGAGGCCAAAGGTATCAAATACATTGGTATGTCTATCAGAGCAACTAGATTCTAGTTTTTTAAAACTCAACTCAATCACAGAGATTTATTAATAATTTATTTTACAATATATAAATATCATCATGATTATTTACTTGACTACTACTATTTCTAGAATATGATGTTGCTTCTGATCAAGAGAAAAGAGAGCACATGAAAAAAGTCAGTGGTAAAACCGAACTCCCACAAGTATGTGTTATCATTTGATTTGCTGCAATCATCATTTATTCAATATCTATGAATCTTGATTCACTAATTACTTTTTATTTATATATTTTAGTTGTTTGTTAATGATAAGTTTGTTGGTAACTACGATGACTGTCAAGCATTGGAGGAAGTCGACCAATTCATGGCTCTCTTCAATTAAAATAATAATAGGATAGCTTTGCATTTCCATTCAATTGAACAACCAAAACCTATTGGATGAATTTTGCAGTAAATAAATAAAAAAAATCTTGTAAAATGGAACATAAATTAATTGTTGTTGTTGATAAAATACAATTTGAAAAGTTTATTTTAATTAATTTGGTTTTTTAAATTTGATTTATATATGATAAATAATATATTACTTTGTTAGGATTGGTTGGTGGATATTTAGTTGTTAGTTTTGGAAAAAAAAACTTTATAAGTTGTTGTTGTTGGTGGAGTTGATTGATTGATTGATTATTTTCGCAATTTAAATATAGCTATTATTATTATTATTATTACTCTATTCATCATCAGTTAATTCTACAGCATCACCTTCATCAAAACTATCGCCTAGAGTGGATCCAGATGACGTCAGATTTCTATTTCTCATCATATGACCTTGATATACTGCGGGTGAAGTGGAATCTTCATCGTAGTTCCTTGGACTGACGGGTGGTGCTTTCTTTGCTGCTGGTGATGGATGATTGTTGTTGAACGATGGTGATTTGGTCATGTTGCTGGAGGATGCAGAGGTGCTCAGTTTGTTGGTTACGGGGATCGGCTCGAAAACGGGTGGTCCACCGAAAATCTTTTCAAAGTTTTGAATGATCGTTGTGATCACCATGTTTCCAAGTGCTATATCCTCGACGACGATGTCGGTCTGCGACACCAGAATGTTGGGACCAACAACGGTTGCCAAATTGGCAGGTCCCATCTTGTTCTTGGGATTCAGTGAGATTTGATTCAACAGATGAATGAGATGATGCAGCAGATTGAAATTGTGTTTCGGTAGCGAATGGATGATTCGGCTGACCTTGTTGATACGCTCGTCGGGCGACTCGATGTTGCACACATCGATGAACTCGTTGTAGCGACTGTAGGTGAGAAGCGGTTCTGGCTGCAACTCACGGAGGAACAGCTTAACGAGATTGCAAACGACGTGCACATCGAATGTGTTTGCCAAGTTATAGTCTTTGCCGTCGTCGATCATCAACTTGTATTCGACGACCTCCTTCTTTGGTCCGGACATACGGAAGAGTCCCTCCTCCTCGATGCGTCCTCTAATCACCTGGAATGCCTTGGCCACAAAGATCGGGATGCTAGTTTGGTCGCGAGTGATCAACACAGAGAGATCCTCGCCAAACACCTTTTGTTTGAGAGCATCGCCCGATTTGGCTGGCGACAACAACATCGACATACGCACCTTTGATTTCTCGAGTTCTGCCTTTCGCTTCTCGACGTAGAGTCGATACTCGTAGATATCCGGTATCATCTGGGCGAGCCATCTGTATCCTTTCTGGAAGAAGGTGTGATAGGTATCGAGATAGTCACACAGCTTCTCGACAGTCTCAAACTCTGCAATGATATTGGTGTCGTTCAACTGTGTTGAAGTATCGATGCCGATCAACTCGAAATCCTTTTTCAGCGTATCGCATTCCTGTTCTTGTTCTGTGATCTTTGTTGGTTTTACACTCTTATTCTTCTTTAGATTGTTCAAATCCGATAGCGATGCATCGTAAGCAACTCTAACTTTATCATATTCTCTTTTTGATTCCTTGATAATTTAAAATAAAAAAAAAGAAGTGAGTTGAGTGATTAGTTATGATGATGATGATGTTGATGATATTATTAATTTATCACAACACACTAGCTTGTGTGAACATTTCAACTTACTTGAGCTTGTTTCAACTCTGTTTTAACCATCTTTTTAAGTGGATCACTGACATCGTTGACCAACGATGAATTCAACTTTGCCTTGAGATCTTCGAAGCCAGCTTGAAACTCACCAATCTTTGAGAGAATACCAGAGAGAATCACTAGATCCTGATAGTTATCTCTTACATGGACACTATAGTCAATGAAACTGTCTGCCAACTCTGTACCATCTTGAATACTGACACCAGTACTAACTGTTTCCTTCTCAATTGCCTTTGTAAGTTTTCTTAAATAAAATCTTGATTCTTGTACTTGCTATTAAATTAAATTTGTTTTTTTTAAAAAATTAATTTAATAAAATAAATATCTAGTTAGATTATCTTTGTTTTTATATAAAGATATCATCTTCTAATTATACATACTTTTTCCAACTCTTTCATTTGTTCAGGTTCCAGAGTGTTCTCTCTGCTTGATGTCTTTTCCAAAACATTTTGTTTTGTTATAGCAAATGTCTTTTTAAATTTCTTCATTCTGCTCTATATATTTATATATATTTTGAAAAACTAAAATGATAATAAACAAAGTTAGAATCACAAAGTTAAATTATTTTGTTGTTTTAATAATAATAATAATATTGAGTTGAATGATAGTCAGGTAAATTCAATAGTGAAATTTGTTAAAAAATAATAATAAAAAACAAATCTAAATGAGTGTGTGAATGTACATACAACTCAAAAGTTAAAAGCTAAGATATCTATTGTTTGTTGTTGAAATGAAGGAGGAGGTGAAGTTTTTGAATTGAATTGAATGTCAATAGAAGTCGATTTTAATCTTACTTGTTTGGTTTGATGAAGTACTACTTTCTTTATTTTATTCAATTCTAAGATAAGAGTATTTAAATCTAATAAATAATAATAATAACTGATTTATCAATTTTATTTGTTTAAAAATAACATAAAATATAAGAAAATCGATAGGTTTTGATTCAATGACTTTTTTTAGATTGAATTATTTGAAAACACAGATAAGATAGTTAAAAAAAAAATGAGTACCACACTAATCCAAAAGCCAAGAGTGTTATTGCAAAAAAAAAAAAAAAAAAAAAAAATTGATTTTTTTGGAATTGTGTGTTGAATAAATCTTTTTTTTTTTTGATTACCACCAAATACGTTAAAATATTCAATTTTTTGTAAAGTGGTTTGGGGAAAAATACATACACAAACAGATAATAATAATAATGGTAATTCTATTTTATCATACCAAACACATAAAAAATATTGATCAAGTACATGATCATCAAGCTTTGTATAAATAACAATTATTATTATTTATATGTACGAAACGATATGATAGGAATAAATTTATATTGTTATTGGTTTTTTTATTTTCTTCCTTTTCAGTCATTCTATTCTTATTAAAATAATAAAATAAAGCATAATTAATTTATAATATGTTGGAAAAACAATTATTTTCATATGTATTGAATATTATTTATCTTAGGAATAAAATTTTTCAATATGTTCAATGGATAAATCGGTCGGTACTGAAATCAAATAGGTCGGTTGGGTGGAATGGTTTGTTGTCGGATCCACTCCTCCTAATACAATATCAATATGTAGAGCAACTGAAATCACAGAGCTCAAAGAATGCTATGAAGAAACTCGATAACTATAGAATCTACAAACTGTTTCAACTGGCGATCCAAGTCGGGAGTCTTGAGATAATTCGCTTCCTCTTTGAAGAGAAACTGTTTAGATTCTCGTTTTATCACTATGGTGAATGTTCGTGTTGCGACAACCTCTTGATGTACGCAGTCAACTACCACCTCAGAGACGCCGTTGGACAGCCGCGTCTCGATGTCATCGAGTATCTGGTGACCGAAGTCGAAAATAAATATATGGAACCAACCACCGGTAAACCCGTGAGATGGAACTACAATTTCCGATGGAATATATTCAAAGCGACTGATCTCATGATTCTGCTATTTCGTTTGGCACCACTCAAAATGATTTTACGCCAACGTGCCAACCAAAACTACAGTTTCACACAAACCTATTTAGAATATTTCTATCATCATCAAGAATCATCTATAAACAAAATATCTTCATCAATTTATGATCATAATATCGATTAATAAACATATATTTAACTTTACACCATATACTTTTCATAATTATGATTTTGGACGCGCCAAATTTTTTTTTGAATCAACACACACTCGCTGAAAAAACAAAAAAAGTGGTTGAAAAATGAAACAAAAAAATTTCAGTAAATTTTGCAAAATTTTTAATTGCACAAAAAGCGTATGTGAAGAAATGTTTGTTTGATTGTTTATTTTTTTTTTTAAACAATAGATATAGCAGTTAGATATAGATTTATATAGTTGTTTAAAGTATAAAAATGACAAAATGTATACATACAGATTGTACTATGCACTTTGACAGACCGTTTCATTTGAAACGTCATGAAGAAGATGCTACTCATTACTGCAAGAATGCTGCGGAATGCGAGAAAAACATGGCGGGAAGACCTTCGAAACACAAAGATCCGACTCCTCACCATTGTGAGCCGTGTAACGCTTATTTCAGCAGACCAGAGGATCTCACCAGACATTTGGGATCGCTTAAGCATCGGAATGTAATGTTGGAGGGTGTCAAACAGGTTCAGAATACAGAGTATGATGTCGATCAAACCGTCACCAATCTTATCAACGGCATTGCAGAGCAACAGCGAGAGATGACCGACATAGAGAAACTCGAGCATCTCCATCAAACTCATCCAATTACCATCATCGTTGCCGACGAAGATGAAGGGACACACAGTGGTATCTTTGTTAATTTCCTTGCTGTCTTTAGAGATTTACTTAAAGATCATAAATTAATTGTAAGTAAGATAAAAAAAAAATAGAAAAGAAAAAGAAAAGAAATATATATTATTATATTATATTTATTAATTTATTCATATTCATATTTTCTTTAGAAAACAAATGTAAAAATAACATTAAAACTTGGATACAAGCTATATCATGTCGGTAATGGCCAACAAGAGAAGACCAAGTTTTTCGTTTGCGGAACCATGGGAATAGTCGATCCGGCACCTCCATCGAATGCACAATTCAAAGACAGACCATTCATTGTCTATCATGGAAGTGAGGATATCATAGAGTTTGTTACAAAGCTGCAGCAACTGGCCGATGAAATCAACATCTATTCCGGTGAGAGTTGCATTCCACTCGATGGAGTGAAATACAATGTAACGATAGAGTTTGCTGATCAAAGTCCGATGGCTGCCGACACCACAACAGGCGAGTGTGAAGTGTACTTGGAGAATCTTTGGTTGCATAATCACGAGCATCATGGCGACACCACCGTTGAATTTACAGACAGCAATCCCAGCTCAAAGAGTATTACAAAAGAAGAGCACCACGAAACTGAGCGAGAAGAGGAAGAGAATAATGATGCTGCTGATAATGATGACGACGACGATGAGGAAATAAGAAAAGTACCACCAAAGAAACGTGTAAGACCATCAAAGTCAAAGGCTAAAGAAAAAGATGAAGAGATAAAAAGTCCAAAGAAACGTGGAAGACCTTCAGCTGTAAAGAAAGAAAGCGATGAAGAGGAGGAGGAGGAAGAGGAGGAAGATGAAAGAAAAGAAAAAGAGGAGTCAATGGAGGAAGACGAAGAGGAAGAAGAAAAGGAAAAGGATAAAAAGAAAAAATCAAAGAAGAAGGAAAAAGAGAAAAAGAAAGAAAAAGCTAAAAGAAAAGGAAAATCAAAAAAGTCAAAGCAAGATGAAGAAATCGATATTGAATTTACAGAGGGTGAAGATGATGATGAAGAGGAAGAAGAAGAAGAAGAAGAAGAAGAGAGATCATCTAAACATAAACAAAAGAAATCAAGAAATAAATAGATTAATTAATAAATAAATAAGAAAATATATATTATATTATAAATTAAACTTATTATTTTTTTTTGTTTGTTGTAAAACATTGTTTTATTATTTTAATTAATTTGTTTTTATTGAATCAAGAAAGTTGGTTTACCAGGAGCTGGGAGTGCACCCTTCATACCGGTGGTATCAGCGATCTCTTGACATTCTACAGAGGTCAATTCAAGTGCTCTGCAAATGTATTCCATGTTTTGACTGATGATTTCTTGTTCGTCGAATGGCATGGAGGTATCGAGGGCTTGTTTACCTTCGGTCTTGAGTTCACCTTCAATCATTCTTACGAATGCCATGATATTTGAGAGTTGTGGCTTGAGTTCATCCATCTTCTTGAGATCTTCGAGGATTGCGCTGACATCCTTGGTGAATGACTTGTTGGCATCGTTGTAGATGGTCTGGAGGTAGAGCAAAACGGTTTGTTTCCACTTGGGGAAGTTCTTGGTGATGTAGATGGTTGCCTTCTCTGCCTTGGCGTCGGTCTTTCCACCCTTGTTCTTGTTCTTCAAGAAAATACCGACCTTGTTACGTGCTTCAGAGACGGTGCTCTTGAGGTAGTCGTTGGTTCTCAAAGCGAGGTAATCAATGTTTGATGACTCTGGCCAACGGGCGGCGAGGATAGATCCCTTACCGATCATGGAGAATACCTTTTGTGAGAAATGTGGAATGATTGGGAAGAGGAGAATAGCTTGAGTTTCGATGTACTTGAAGATGAGTTCACATGACATGTTCTCGTTCTTTGCCATGGCCAACTTGTAGTGGTCACGAACGTTGAGCAAGTCAAAGAAACAGGTGTGCAATGCCTCACGGAATTGTGACTTGGCGTAGGCTTCGTCGGCCTTGTTGATGGCACGATTCATCTCACTGATAAAGATGACGTCTTGGAGACGGTTGGATTCACCGCTGTACAATTTGTCCTTCATGTCGATCATCTCTTGTACCCATTGGACTTGAGTGTGTACCTTGAACAACGAGGTCAAAGCTGTCTTGTCGACAAAGTTGGCGTCTTCAATACCGTCACCGGCATCGGCCAAAGCAATTCTGGTACCGTCGGCAGAGAATTGTTGGACGGCGTCGAACAAGGTGAGGAAATTACCACTGGACTTGGACATCTTGGCACCATTCAATTGGACGAAACCATTGGCACGAATACCCTTTGGTTGCATCTTCTCTGCAAAGATGGCAGCGTGGTTGTAGAGGAAGAAAGTAAGATGGTTTTGTACAAGATCGATACCAGAGACACGGAGATCCAATGGATACCAATAGTTGAACTCACGCTTCAATACGGCAAGAGTGTCCTTGGAGATTTCGCAACCCTCTGGGTATGGCTTGTCCAAGAGGATGTGGTCCCAGACGGCACGGGTCATTTGGGTGGCGGCGATACCAGCTGGACCAACGACCTTACCGTTGAAATCTTGATGCAACAAGTGAGCAATGGTGTAGAATGCCATGTAGATGGTAGAGTCAGAGAGTGATTCAATCAAGAATTGCTCGTCCCATGGCAACTTGGTACCGAGACCGAATGAACGAGAGCAAGCCCATTGATTCAACCAACCTACAGCAGTCTCAAAACGCTTCTTTGTCTCTGCAGAGAAGAGTTCCATCGATTCGAGAGTCTTGTTGACTTGGTCACGCCATTGGGGATCGTCTTCACCGTAGTTGATGTACCATTGGTCGGTCAAAGCGACGACACACTCGTCACCGGAACGCGAGATGACTGGAGTGGTTGGTTCAGAGTAGTTGCAAGCTTGTCCACTCTCAATCAATTGGTCTTTAATTGCCTTCTTGACGTCCTGTACTTTCTTACCGGCATGCTCACCAACAATCATGATACCCTCAGTGAAACCACGGAGATAGCAGACATCTTTGGCTTGGTCGAGCAAAGCACGATCATTCTGGGACTTGATGTTCAAGTCTTGATAAGCTTTGACAGCGGCGGTATTGGAATAACCCGGAATATCGATGATTGGAACGACTTCGAATGGGAGAACCCACTCATCCTTGATACCAAACTTCTTTCTCAATGGCTCCTTTTGTTTCAAGTCGTGGAGAGCAGCATAGTCATCGGGAGCATCCGATGGAACCGATGTTACAACACCGGTACCCTTGTTCTCGTCGATCGACAACATTGGCAATACATAGACGACCTTGTTGACGGCGAGTGGTGCTTTCAAAGCGGCACCGAGCAATTGGTCACCGGTGAACTTGGCCAAACATGGATACTTTCCGGTCTCCTCGGTCAACTCTTGGTAAGACATATTTCTGGCGGAACGTTCAGTGCAGATGAACACCTCACCATTCTTCATTTGGAAAGCACCGTACTTTCCGGTTGGGAGGATCCAACAATTGGTTTGTCCGTACATTGTCTCTGGACGAACGGTTCCTGGCACCAAGTAGATCTTCTTTCCGGTGGCAGCGACCTCCTTGAGACACTCTGGCACTGGCTCGAGAACTTCGAGCTTGATCAAAGTGAAGTTGTTTGGTTGGACACCCTCACCGGATGCACGCTCGTGATCAGCGCACTGCTGGTTGTCGGTGGTCGACCAGATCGAGTAACGCTTTCCGTACTTGACCTTTCCGAGCTCACGCAATGTCTCGAATTGCCAACGTACGAATGAATCGTAGTATTGGTTGACGTCGGTAGTGATGAAAGAACGACGCCAATCGATACCCATACCGATGGTCTGGAGATCGGTCTTGCAGTGTGGTGGGAAGTAGTTCAACCAGTAGGCAGAGTCGGCAAACTTTGGAATCTCCTCGTCTGGAATGGCCATGCTCTGCATAATCTGCCATTGGTATTTGGCGCCACCGGTCTTGGCTTGTACCTTTGACTTTTTCGACTTGAAAGCCAATGGATCGTCTTTCTTGGCGACGGCTGCTGGCTTCTCTTCGTCGTCGTTCGTCTCCTCCACTGGGAACACGGGTGGACAACCGAATTGTGCCATTTCATTCTTTAGTTTGTCGGCACAGACCTTGATTGGCATACCGGTGCAATGGAATCCGAATGGGAAGAGAACACGCTTACCCTTGAGACGTTGATACTGACACATAAACTCTGCCTTTGTGATTGTGAAAACGTGACCGATGTGGAGTCTACCGTTCATATATGGATATGGGAATGATGCCATGTACTTTGGTGCATCTTCATTCGATTGGTTCTCTGGAGCATCCACTTCGAATGCCTTTGTCTCTTCCCATTCCTTTTGAATCTCCAATTCGTAATTTCTAATGAAATCAAGTTTAGCTGTTGACTATATAAATATATTCCGTGTGTGTGTGGATTTCAAAATCAATATCAAATTGAACCACCTCATTATCATCTCTTATCCTATCACATTCAATAACAACTTACCATTTTCTTCTTGTTTCGTTGATATTTATTGTAATAATATATTGCTATAGAAATTGTTGATATAACGATTAAAGTATTAATAATCTGTATTTGCATTTTTGAGAGTAGTGTTTGTTTTAACTATAATTTGGTTGATTGATTGATTGATTTGATTGTTTATTGTTTGTTCATTTTGATTATTTACTATTATTATTATTATTATTATTATGATGTTGTATTTCTTTTTTTGTTTATTTGTTTATCATTGGATTGTTTTGTTACCTTATGATATATTAGTTTAATCGATTATATAGTTTTTAGGTTTCTACCAAATTTAGGTAGATACAATGGATGTGGTGAATGTAATGTGGGTGTGGTGATTTGTGATACAAATATTTAATGATATTATTACTAGTAATAATTAATCGGAATTTCCCAAGAATATTTAAATAACTATAATGCTATCTATCTATTCCTTAAGATGATTTTTTAAAAAAACAAAACACACACTTAAATTTTGTTCTTCATTTAAATTCAAACTTTTTTCACAATTTTTTTTTTTAAAAAACGTCGGTCAACAAAGTTGGTTTTTAAAAAAACTAAAACAAAAAAAAAAACCATATGCATAACTCTATTAATAAAGTATGGATTCTGATTTTAGCTATATTATATAAATAGATGTAAATGTTTCAATTGTGTGTTATTAGTTATGATTTTAGTTATTTTTTTTTTCTAAATGTTTTGTTTTATATTATTTTTTTTTATTTTAATGTTATTTATTATAGTATTATTATTATTAATTTGAACCAATAAAGAATTTCAAAAGTCCATTCATGTTGCTTCTTAAGCTATCTGGTTCGTGTTGGAAGAAATACATCAGAATGGCAGATGCAATCATAAATACTAAAACTTCACCATTCTTTATATAAAATGCAAATCCTCTGGTTGCTGCCATCTTCCACATGATCTCCAATGTTTGATTCAAACAATATAATGCTAATTCTGATCTTCTACTCTTTCTCCTAAACGATTGTTTTGTTTTAATATAAATAGAAAATATGTTAGTTAACCAGCAGCACTGATTGATTGATTGAATGGTTGGATGATAACATGCAAAACCAAACAACAAATAATAATAACAACAACATACTCTATTAAAATTGATAATAGACCAGCAAAGAAACCGCTAATTGCTGCAATCGATTTGTAATCTCTTCCACCAGCAAGATATTTAAAAAAGCAAATGGCCGATCCGAATGCACCGGCATAAGTACCAAGGAATGTTGATGATCTAATGATTTCAGGCAGTGATCTTGTAATAATAAATTTAAGTCTGTAGAGTTTAAATCAATCAATCAAATCAGTCAGTCAGTCAGTCAATCAATGACATTCAATAAAGATTGGTTAGTAATGTGTATTTGATCAATAGTGATGCGATGTGTGTTGTTATTTGATGCTAAAACCAATAATACATACCCTTTTCTTTTGAAAATGATTGTAGGTATAAGGAATAGTGGTGCATATAATTTGAAACCAGCAATGAATACTTGTAACCAGATTTGTGCCGCCGCCAAAGTACATGATTTGCTCCATGGATGTATTACTTTACATGATATCTGTTCTACAATTTGATTTGGTTTTGATTGTGCTGTCATTTTTAACCTGTGTTGCTATAACTATTAGCTGTGCTAAAACTATTAACTAATTATATTTAAACGACAAACTAAATAATATAAATATATCTAAATATACACAAACAACAATAATGAAATTTCAAAAAACCTTTGGCTGAATCTGTTTGCAAATTATAGTTGTGTCAAAAATGAGCAAAAAAAAAAATAACCTAAAAATTAAAAAAAAAAACGAATTTATGATTGATTTTAATGTTATTGATTTTTAAGTTATATAAATATATAAATAGATAGTTCTCAGTGAAAAAAAAAACATATACAAACAAAAACAAAAAAAAATTTGATTATTTGTTTTTAATAGAAAATATTTATATTTTTTTAGTTATTTTTTTGATGTATTTCGGCAAACAAACACTTTTTTTTTTTTTTTGCTGCAAATTTCAATGCAATAATAATATCTCAAGAAAAATTTGTCGGCAATTACTTTCATTATACATTGACTTTTTAGGAAATTGAACTCACTCACCAAAGAGTGTTTTGATATTACAACTTCATTATAAAATTTTATAAATTAAATTAAAAATCATTCTTTTTACTTTTATTATTAGCTAATATTAATTAAGAGTATTATTAAAAAATGATTTGGAATGTTCGTTGGCGTTTGTTTGTTTGTTGGTTGGTTGAATTGCGCTTGTTTTGTTGTTCATCATTAGGTTTGGTTAGAGTTAGAGATGTGTTGAATAGGAATACAATAATAATTGATTGGCTTGTATAGTAGTAGGATCACAATATACTTTTGAAGTGACCAAATCCATAAGTTTGATCGTTGCATTGATTATCGTCTCTTAAATAGTTGTGTGTGTATAGTGTATTTAAATGGAATCAACTATCAATTAGAACACTTAACCATCGCTGTTATGTTCTTCAAAAGTTAATGTTGATTTTGATGTACAATGCAATGCATATCTGTATTTGTATCGCACGCGATTTCATCCATCCCCGTTCTACTTTAAATATCTTTCTTCCTCCAAAAATGAACATTTTCTATATATTATTATTATTATTATTATTATACTTCTAACTATTACTATTACTTATTATTACTACTATATATATTAAACAACATTAAATAGTAATACTATGAGAAGAAAGTATGTCTTGGGTTATACGAGGCAACCAATACAAATGCAATGAGTGGTGATACAATCATAGCGAGAAGTGCACACCATATTCCCTTGAAGATATAGAACGACCACTTCAACACCATGTAGCCATCGGATTTCGTTGCCAAGAACACAGCAACCAAGGTAGGTGGTGAGAATACACAAACACCCAAAACACCAAATATAATAGCTCTTTTAATTATAATCTTATAATTTATACCTAAAACGTTTAAAAAGTAGAAAAGTAGATAACAAACGTCGTTAGTTAGTACATAGTGTATAGATGTTGAGACTATAGTTATTATAATTATCAATTCTTCTTCTTACCAGTAGGAATCCATGATAGACATGGATGTTTTAACCAACGTTCGTCGATCGGTGATATCATCTTGCCTTTACGAAGATCAAATGTAACGAGGAATGATGAGAGGATACAGGTGATCGTTGGTAGAAGGAAAGAGGTCATGATGATGTCAGAGAAAATGCAGGTAAGAGAGCCAGTAAAGACGATGGTGGCACCTTCGCCTTTCGGGTAGATGACCCACGCCAAAAACATATTGATGAAAAAGTTGATGATGCCAGAGACCACTCCCTGTGCGCCAAAGATGTAGAGCCACTGCGCGTTCGTCAGAGGAATCCTATTGTAGGCCCAGCCATACTTTGACTTCTCGGGATACTCCATACCGTCAAAGTCTTCCTCAAGCTCGAAATGTACTGTTTCTTCACTGTCGAGTATCATCATTCTATTTTTATAATGATTGTGCTGCTGCTGCTGCTGGTAGTCCAGAGGAGGTGGTGTGAAGAGAGCTCTCTTTAAATTTCTAAAAAAAATAAATAAATAAAAATAAAATACCAACTTTAATACTCTTCTTGCAAAATCAGACTATCTAAGGCTGTTTTGCAGGTTACTTTCAGATGGTCGAATGAGTTTTTTTGTTGTTGTTGCTGTTGTTTGGAGAATGATAATAAAAGATTAATGTGGTTTTAGTTTTGAACTTATCGAAAAAACTTCAAAAAAAACTAAAAAAAAACAAAAGTGATAAAAAAAAATTAAAAATTTCCCAATATCTTAATATGATCTACCCTATCTTCTTTTGTTGTTGAACTGGTTTTATAATGAATTTTGATATTTTCGTATATGAGGACGATGACTATTGAGATGCGATGTGGGTGTTTGGAAGGTTGGATAAAAATAAATTTAGTGCAAATGTAAATAAATAAAAAAAAACAAAAAAAAAAAATAAACAAACAAAATAAACCAATATTTATTTATTTAGCTTTTTGTTTCTTTTACTAATAATTATTATTATAGTTATTAATGATACATTAAAGTTATATTATAAAATAATAAAAGAGTTGGTTGGTGTTTTGCTAATGAATAAAAATAAAAACCAACAACAAACCTTTATAAGTAATTTTTACTCATAACGAATAAACTTGCAAACAATTTTAAAAGGAGTGAGTGTGGTGGTAGTAAATTAAAATGAATTAATTTCACTAAGAAAAAAATAATACAGTTGTGTGTGTATTTAATTTTTGTTTGCTTCAAACTGAATGAATATACATTAAAAAATGTTTGTTTATTTATTTCATTGTCATATATATCTCAGTGTTGTTTTTTTTTTTTTAATCTTTAAAAATATATATTGTTCATTTATCTATTTGATAATGTTGATGATAATCTAGTTGTTTAATTGTTTCATTTATCTAAAGGTAGAGCAATCGATTCCCATTGTCCAAAGAAGTTCCTTCTTCCTAGACAGATATTGAAATGTAGGAAACTCAATGCAAGCAACTCAAGCGGAGAAGTTCATGGAGAACTTTACAATGCACAACTCTATTTACTTGAGTCGGTTCTGTAATTACCTAACTCTCTTTACTGCATGATTATACATACTTTGTAAACATTTACAACTTGACCAAATCTCAAACTTATTCCCATTAGTAAATCAGTAAATCTTATATTAATTATTTAATACTAATTTTATATATTTTAAAATAATTATTTAAATATTTTTGGTACCATAAGAAAAAGAAATAAAATGTTTATTTTTTTTGATTTAATAGTTGGTTTAAAAAAAAAAAAAAAGGGGATAGGAGAGAGAGATTTACCTTATTATTGAATATTATATTATTCATTTGAATATATGTTGAATTATATATGTTATGATTCAATTTAATTTATGTTGATTTGGTTTCGCAAAGGGTGTTCGTTGTTGTAGTTGTTATTTTTTAGTTTTTTTTTTTTTAGTCAAGTTTGTAAGTGTTTTGATTTTTACATGTAAGAAGTAAGTAAGTCATTGTTGTTTGATTAGTTGTTGGTTACTAAATATATATATGTATAAAGGTTGATCAGGTTAGGCGCTTGGCATTGTTGTTGTTATTGTTGTTGCTGTTGCTGTTGCTGTTGTTCCTCTAACACTTTACTTGAGTGGAGTACCAATGTCTTTTCCTCTTAACTTTACACCCAAAACCTTCTCCATCTTGATCAAGATTGGTACACTTGGAATGGCGGAACCATTTTCGTATGAATTAACTACTGAAGTGGTTTCGTAAATCTTTGCAGCCAACTCCTTTTGATTCATACCGAGTTGAGTACGTGCCTTTTGAATAGCCTTTGGCACTGATGCCTTTAACTCTGGAATCTTGATTGATTCCTCTTCCTCTTCAATCTTCTTTGCATTGAATTGTGAAGATCCTTTATTTGTTCCTGCATTATCTATATTATATATTTATAAACATTTTTGATATTTTAGTTAGAACCAATAATCCTAATCATCTATTTATTTTTATCTACATACATTTCTTGGCAATTTCTGACATTGTTTTGTTTTGTTTTTGTTTATATAATTTAAATAAAATTAGGAAATAAAGATATTTATATGATTAAAAATAATAATATTGTTTTTGTAATTTTTGTTTTGTATGAATTTATTATAAATAAATAAATAAATAAATAAATAAATATTTTACAAATGAAAATGTATGATTTGAATTGTTGTTTAAAATTTTTCAACACCATCTTTATATATTTACCCATTGAAGTGAATTGGGTGAAAAAACATTGAAAAAAAAAAAAGAAAGAATTTTTTTGTAAAAAAAATTTGAACTTAGGAAAACTTTTTCTTAAGGTTTTCTCTAGCATTCCGAAATCAGATCATAAGATTAATATCATTTTAATTTACAAGCATCAAAGTTCAAAATTAAGAATTAAAAGAATCATCAATAGGAATTTTTGTGAATTCTCATTGAAATTCATAATTGGTGACAAATGAACATAAAAATAACTGACGACAATAACAATCAAAAAGTTAATAATAATAATAATAATAGTAATCAAGAAAATAGTAATGATGATGATAATGGTGATACAGTTATAAATGTATATAGAATCAATCGAAAATATCATTTTGTTTGGGATTCATCTGGTATGATTGACTTTAGAATTTTACTACTAGTTTTTTTTAATTGTAAATGATTTTTAATAATATTATTGTTTTTTTTTTTTTTTGATTGTTTATTGTTGTGGTTATTATAGATGCATATCTATTGAGAAATAAATATAGGTTGGTTGGGTGTTTAATTGGATTGGTAGTGAATACTCATACTTTGGGTGGAACGATTCCTCTGTTGCTGTCGGTAGAAGAGGTTGCATTGGGTGTTGGACAGCGATGGCTTAGACTCATTGATGAAGATAAACTTGCAATTCCACTTCCAGAGGAAATAATAAAACTAAACGAAACAAGAAACTTAGATTCAAAAAGACAAATCGATCAAATAATTGCAAAGAAACGACAAAAAGATCAACAATTCAAAGATACAAACAACGAGAACAGTGAAAGTAACATTAAAAAGCAACAAAAAAAACAAAAGAAATTAGAGAAACAACAAGAGAAACAAGCTAAACTTAACAATAATAACAATAATAATAATAATAATAATAATAATAACAATAATAATAGTAATATTAGTAAAAATGATAGTAATATCAATAATAATGATATGGAAATAGATGTAAATAATGATAATAACCAAGATAAACAACAACAACAACAACAACAACAAAAACAAACAGAGTCAAAAAATAAGAATCAACCACAAAATCAAAATCTAGAAGGATTGACACATATAAAATTATTGAATTCAATACAAGAAGTGTTAAGATATTCTAAAGATGAACAACAACTACAAGAACAACAACAACTTTTGCAAATTCAAAATATAGGTGAAAGTGTGGGTGGTGGTGATACTAATAATAATTATAACGATAGTGATAAAAGTGAAAAGAAAGCATCGATTATAGATTATGGAGTGTATATGAGTTGGAGGTCGAGAAGATCAGAGGGTTCTGTTGTGACATTCGGTGCATTGTTGCAGCAGATGTCAGAGATTGAATTACTGCGATATTATGTGTTTGAAGACTTGTGGAAGCGTGGCTACTATCTTACGAATGGCAGCAAGTTTGGTGGGTCGTTTTTAGCATACCCAGGCGATCCACTCTTGCATCATTCGGAACTGATCGTAATAGTACGCTCGCATACCCATGCAATGTCATCACATGAACTCACCACCATGGCAAGATTGGCAGTCAGTGTCAACAAAACAACTCTACTGGCTACTGCAATACCAAATGACAACCAACAACAACAACAACCTAATCAACAAACATCAGATACTAATCATAAACAAAATTATAAAATTGACTATTTAACATTGACATGGGAAGGTGTAACATAACAAATTATCAAACAAAAATCAAGCAATAAAAATAGATAAAAATCTTAAATTTGGTGCTTTAACTTTAATTTTTTTCTTTTTTAACACTATGTTCTTGAATTTTTGATCATTGACATTCAAAGATTGGTAAAAATCACTTTACACAAATTTGATAGAAAATAAACTGTTATTAAATTTAGGTTCTTGTGGGGTATCTAAATGGGGTAATTCCTTTTTAAATTGAAGGTTGTTTTTTTTAATGAGATTGAGTACACCTAAAGTACTTTGAAAGAAAAATGAAAAAATATAAAAATTATTGTTGTTTGCATCATTAACAGTTCATGATTGGTTTTTTTTCAAATTCCGTCGGTGTGGGAACTGTATTTGATTTCTTTTTTGCACTTTGATTTCTTAGACCATTCACACACTTTGATCACTATTAAAATTAAAATTAAAAAAAGAAAATGGGAAATTGAATTGTTTTTTTTTTTTTTTAATTTAATTGTAAAACAACACTTTTATGAGGTGATTCATTTTATTTTTCATACGCAACTTACTCTATATCATACTATAGAGATAAAGAATACCTTCTACGCACAACACACAAATTTACAACCAACTCTTTTTTTTTTAAATAAATAATTAAAATAATAATAATAATAAAAATAGTAATTAATTGTAATAACAAATAGTATTCATGATCTATTATTTATTTATTTGTAATCAATGAAGATTCAATAATATCAACTTTATAGAATTAAACCTATTTATTATACAAGTAAAGTTAATTCGTTCGTTTAAAGCGCAAGAACACTGCCAATAATCCAATTATACAATAACATAACATAATAAGATATCACATCATAAACATACAAGCTTGTAGATAACAGTAATTCAATTTTAGTATAATGGTACTGATATAAATAGATCCCTATAGACGAATGAATGTAAAATAAAAAGATTTCACGTCTTTTATCAATCAGAAAGATAAAATCTAAAATGAAAGATAGATCCGATGAAGATATAATAATATTATTTTTAACAAACCATATCATCATCAACATAAAAATGTTTATTACTTTACTATCTTATCTATCAATCTTCTGTTTTTAATATTCATACATCTTTATTATTAAAAATACTTGTCGATTCCAACCATATTTGTACATAATTCATTAACGACACTGGACATAACTTTTCCATATAAGTAAATAAAAGAATCATTGAAATTGAAACGATAAATAAACACAATAATTAATATCATTATTATTTCACAAACGAAAACAAATAACAACAACAAACAACAAACAACAACAACAAACAACAAAAAAAAAAAAACAAAATACATACCATATTAGATAGTAATGTATACATTATCAACTATCGTTTTTATTATTTTCAATATTTTTTTAATTGGCAACACAAACGACACACCACCACAAGTTAACACACACTCACACACACCACACACTCACACTTATATATATATATATATTACACCATCACCACTGAAAACCTCATATACAATACCAACCTATAACCATATACAGTAGCAGACTTGAGTACTGGGAATTGCTTGGCACTGTAAATTATATCATCAAACATCACCAAACTAGATTGTTGTATTTAATTTTATTTCCATAATTAAATTAATCAATAATATTTTTGAACAATTTATAAATTGTATTGCATTCTATGTATTATGTTTATGATTTTTTATTATCATAAACATCATCATCATAAACATCATCATCATTAATAATAATAATAATAATAACATAATATTTTTCTAACATTTTATTTAATAAAATTATAGATTCAAAAGTAAAATACTTGCAGATTCTCATACATCACTCTCAGAGACACACACACCTACACAACAAAATAATCAGCATCTATCGAAATTATTAATACAATTTCGAGAAATTTCACTTGACATAGTGAAATCAAATCAAATCAAATCAATCACCACACTGTCCATAGTCAAACACCACAATAACCCTCCCTCCACTTTTTTCACTGATAAATCATAATAATAATCATATTTATATTAATTAATAGTTTAATTAAAGTCATATAGAGAAACAAAAAAAAAAATGACTAGTTCTTTTTGGAAAGCATTGAAAACTATTTTTATAACATTTGGCAACCACCAACATCAACAACAGAGTTTAGAAAAGCGTAAACATAAAAACTCTAAGCACAAGCAGATAGATTATTCATCTTCAATCATTGATGATTCTTATTTACATTCCACACCAACTACCCCACCAGGTTTATCATCACCAAATATTAATTCCATAAATAGCAACAACAATAATAGTAATAGTAATAATAATAATAATAGTAATCAACTGGATCATAATATTAGTCATTTAAATTTAAATAATCCACATTTATGTCTGCCGAATCATCATGATGTTTTAGAAGAAGATATGATTGAATGGCCACAATGGGCAATAGAGTTGGGAAAGAGACGCGATCTACAGTTGGTTTCAAGAAATGGAATGGACGTTGATGCAAATCGTATGCAAGCCGGATTCAAAGGCAGAAACTATGTATATCAAGATAGAAAGTTTGTCACTGCCTACTATTGGAAAGGCTATAGCTCGATCATACACGACCAACATTTTCCAACCACCGATATAGAGATGACCGAAGAAGACAACAACTGCAATCACCCATTTTCCAGCTCACTAAACATAAGCGATCGATCGCTGATAGGTTATATATTTTGGAATATCAATTGTGAAGGACCCCCAGGATGTGTTCATGGCGGTGCTTTAGCAAGTGTTTTCGATGATAGTATGGCATGTTGTATACGTTATTATTATAATAATAGTTATGATGATGATGTTGAAGAAAGTCAAGAACAACAACAAAACCAAGAAGAAGAAAATAATAATAATAATAATAATAATAATAATAATAATAATAATAATAATATTTTAAAGATAGATAGTAATAATAATAATAGTAATAATCAATTTAAACAAAAGAAATATGCAGTAACAGCAAATCTATCTGTAAATTATAAAAAGTTTGTACCATTATTATCTGTATCATTAATAGAGACCAAAATAGAGAGAAGAGAAGGCAAAAAGATCTATGTAACTTCAGTCATCAAAGATCAAAACGGTTCAGTTAGAGCAGAAGCTACTGCCATATGGATAGTCGTTAATATGTCTTCAGTGATATCACCATCACCATTATCAACACCTCTTACTCCAAGTACACCGTTTGGTTCACAATCCCCGAGATAATAATATTAAATAATAATAATAATAATAATAATATTTATAAATTTCACAATATTTATTTTAATTAATTATTTTTAAATAATAATAATAATAATAAAGAATAGATATATAACTTTAATGTTTTTTTTTGCAATATAATTTTTAATGTGTTTTATGTTTATATGATAGATTGATACATAGATAGTTAAATTAAAATATATAAATAGAAATCATAAAGATAGATATAAATATTTAAACCACATTGATATACTATACACTATCCTGTTGTGATTACAACAAACACAAGCAAACACATATAAATAAAACTTAAAAAACACACACTTTAAACCTTAAACTTAAATGTGTGTCTGTTTATTACTGAATAAACATTATTTATATAAAAAAGGTAGAAAAACATAATAGTGTTTTATATAATTTTACTTTGGAAGGTGGTCTACCAATTTAATTTTAAATATTATATGTTTTATTTGAAAATTTATTAATAACAATATTGTTTTAAAATGGTGTGTTAAATTTTATTACCATTGAATTGGATGATGATTGTGATTGATCAATATTTGCATTACAAAGATAAAGGGTAAGTGAAGTGACAGTGTTGATTGATCATGGGGAAGTAGTAGTGGACTTGTACTCACACACCCTGATCTCTCTAACATCAAAGAGCAACAATCAACAACAATAACAAATCTATGCCATGTCATTAAACACAACACTCCACAGAACCATTTTATGTTGTTAACAATCTCACACACTACCTCCATCACCACAACAAAAAATAATATAAAATAAAAAAATTTTAAAAAATTGATTTTAAAATTTTGCTTTTTAAAAAATGATCAAACATCAGTTGAAATTTTTTGTGTTTATCATTCACTTTGATAAACACAAAAATCGGTGCAAACATCAAACATTCATGTGAATCGACAATTTTTTTTACGATAAGGGTTCATTTTTTTTTAAATGATCTCACCTGTGTTGAACACAAATCTTTTCATTGTGTGTCAATTCATTCAGATGGTATTAATTTTTCCTTTGTTGGACTTTTGTTACCTTTTGGTTATTAGCACAGATCTAGATATCACACAGCGAGTTTTGATCATTAATATTAATTGCATTACAACACACCGATGTCCTCCTCGATGTAAAGTTTGCATATATTGATACCCACATTTAATTAGTGGGTTCGTATTTACAATTATTGAAAATGTCTGTCGATTGATTTGAATGTGTTTGACCATCAACTATAAATTAAATCATTCTATCTTATCCAGAAATGTATAATCAAATAATAACAAATAATAGCAATAGCAATAATAACTATAATTATAGTTTTAATTTATTAATTAATAATAAACAACTTAATAATAAACAAACTTTATAATAACCTAATAACTAATAACTTTTAACTAAAAACTAATAACTTTAATCATATTATTTATTTAATCATATAATTATTTATTTATTTATTTATTTATTTAAATCAACGAAAATAATATTAAAGTAAAAAGTTAATATTATAAATATTTATTTATTTATTTATTTTTAATAATGGAACAACAATATAATAATAACAATGAAAATAATGATAATCATTATGAAGATTTGTTTAATCATTTAAATTTCTTAAAACAAACCTCTATAAATAATATGTTTGAATCATTGTTGGGTAATACCAATCCAATCGAACAAAACACTGTTTTTCCTGATCAAATATTACCATTTGATATCCAACATGATATGATGATGGATGATCTCCATTCAGTGGAGAATATGGACTCTATTAGAATGGAAAGACTTTTATTACAAGACGAGTTGGAGTGTATGCAAACAAACACTCAATCAATGTACTCTTGTGATTACTCCTCCGATGAATCATCGGATCCAATGTCTGATTTTGAAACAAGCTCAGTAGAATGGAAGCTGAATGAAGTCAAAGTGATATCATCTCTACAATCAATTGAATTCCCAATCTCTATAGCATCATCCCCATTACCATCAACATCAACCACTACCACCACAACCACAACATCAACTTCAAACCCCAATCCAATTTTTTATAATAACAACTACAACCACAATTACAATAACAACGCCAACAATATCAATTATAATAATTTCAATTTACAACCAAAACAAACAAATTCAACCCCATCTTCAACCAACACCTCACCCACTTCCACTTTAAGAGTTGCAAGAACACCAATCGCTCAGAGTATCCCATCACCAAGAATATCAGCTTCTCTCACCACCTCTAATGGTGCCGGTCCAGTAAAGAGAAGTGAAAAATCATTGAAAAAGATATGTGATATTCTGTTGGATGAATTTAGAGATTGCAGTAGAATGAAGATGGATCTCGAGACACTCAAAACAAAATTAAAAGTCAATAAACGTAGATTCTATGAAATTTTGAACGTCATGGAATGCCTTGGTGTCGTTACCAAAGAAGAAAGAGATACATTCTTCTGGAATGGTCTTCAACATATTCGTCCAAATATTATCTCAATCTATGTGAACAGTTCAGCGGAATTGAATCACAGTACCAATGGTTTTTCAACATCAGATGCTTCAAGTGAAACATCCGAGCCTTCTATCAAATCGATTTCTAATCTCTGTCACCTATTTATTAAATTGTTTTTCTCAAGACACCAAGTTTCCATCGCTGATGCCAAAGAAATCTATAACTTGGAATCTATGCCAGCCAAATGTAAAAGACTCTACGATATAGCAAATATTTTGGACAGTCTTGGTATTATTGGAAAAGTTCCAAAGACTGGTTCAAAGCAATACTATCAATGGTTAGGTCCTCCAACTATTGAGGAAATTTTAACTTCTACATTGTAAATAAATCGTTGAAAATGTTTTAGTTGATCATTTATTTGAAAAAAAAAAAGTGAGAAATCTTTTTTACAAAAATCTACAGTACAACAATCTCCAACAACGGTCGATAAAGATTCTCTTCAGTGATGATATTCATGAAGAGATACAATTTATTAAATTATTATGATCTTGGAATACAAATAAAACTACCATCATTTTGTGGTATAATTAAACTAAAACCAATTTTAAGTTCCGCTTTATCCACTTTTGTTTCAAATGCAATCTGAAAATTATGCTATCTTTACTGCCTTCTTTACACCACCATTAATTTGACCTGCGAACCTATTTCTCTTCTGAAACAAGAATACTAGCAGGATATTGAGATTCCAAGTAAGTTCCAAACTCTGGAAGTGAGACAGAACCAAGAACGACTGTGGCATCTTTAACTTTTAAACAATCGATCTGAAATAAGGCGTTGTGCTTTAACAAAGAGCAAATCAAGTTCCAGTGTGATACCATTGAGGTGCATGATCTATATCAGAGAATTGAATTCTATATTAGTCCATTTTTAAAAAAGAATCAAGTCTTTATAATAGGAAGCAGAATAATTAATAAATAATAGAAAAGTAAAACAATTTAGTAGTTGTGTATGAAACGAGAGCTTGGTTAGAAGCAAGTGATATGATTTATCACAAAAATGAAATAATTAAATAAGAAAGATATTTCAGTATTAAGCAAAAGAAAGATAAAGAATAATGATAGTGAACCAATAGTAAAAAAAGGGTAAAGATGGAGGAAGTCCAATTGCCAGTCGAAAATCAAGTCTTTGAAAAATAATTTAAGAAGTGAGTTGTTTGATTCAGTTGAAATTCTAATTGTAGGTTTTGAAGGCGTATTGTTTAGAATATCTAGAAGAACAATCTTAAGTTTACTGTATAATTCAGAGTTGTTCATAGAATTAGAAATAAATTCTAACATCTGATTAAAATTCGATTGATCAGAAAATATTTCTACATTTAAATTAAATCTGAATTAATTCTCTATTCATTTTCTTTACTCTCTACTAATATATCTGACCATTCCTATTTTAACATATAAAAGTTTGTTTGAAAAAAACAAAAAACTTAAACTTTTTTGGTGGAAAAATTCCATGTGCTATATCACTTGTTTTGAACTGGGCTAAGTTTAAAAATGATCCAAAATGACTAGATCCCTCTTTTTATAGCAGAAATTAATTAATGATTTAAAGAAAATGGATTAAAATTAAATTAAATTATTTGAATATCAGTAAAAAATGAAATAAATGCCCGCCTTTGATAGTTCAAAGCATCTATTGAATGAATTGTTGCCAAAGATTGTGCAGAACTAATCCTCAGGTCCCCCTTGAGTTTTTTTATTATCCATCAAATGTTTATTTATATAATGATACATACAACTGGCTCTAACTAATTCTTTAATACTTTTGCGGAGAACTTCCAGTCATTCCATTTATTTCTAAAGTATAACAAAAGATCATAATCTGTCAAATCATCAGCACCCTAAAAATTTTTTAAAAAATGGTTAACAATCTGTTTTTATTTTTATTGGTCTTCCCTCAAAAACTTGATTTGTCAAATTGCTCATATTATATTTTCTTCTTTGTTTGTTATAATGATATATTTAACTTTTCATTTAGGTATCTTATTCGAATTGAGTTGGGTTGACCTTACCTGACATGATGGAGCTACCTAGCTCGTTCTCTGGGAGTAACAACTCACCCAATCCACAACTTGGACCGGATCCGAGCAAACGGATATCGTTGGCGATCTTCATGAACGAGACGGCGACAGTGTTGCACAACTGACCTCGACCAGTGGTTGAAGTTGGAGTCATTATTGTTATTTAAATTTTTATAAAGTATTCATATGAGTACATTATTAACATTTTTGAAGAACACACTCAAATGTATTTTATTGTTTTTCGTTTATTGACTAGCGAGGAAAGTCGATGTGAAGTTCAGGTGTATATTAATTCAATTTTAATTTTTTCTTCCTCTAATCTCCCTTTGGTCTAGTGTGAAGAATTTCCGCCTGCACGCGAAAGGCCGGGTTCATTCCCGGAAGGGAGTAACTTTTATTGATAACTATCTGGCGCATGCGGTAGAAATATTTTTTTTTTTTTTTTTTTTTTTTTTTTATAGGTATGTTAAAACTCAACACACTTCACACACTAACAGTACAACACACACTCACTTACGTCAGACATTGTACCATCAAAGTAAGTAACAACTATCAGACGAATGACATCTCCCCAAATATATTAACAACAGTGGCTCTTTCACATAATTGTATGTGATTTGTGACTCTCTCTCTCCCAAGCGGTTACTGTTGAAATGAAGCATAAGTTTAAATCTAATTGGAATATATCCTTGCAACTACGTTCCACCTCTTTATACTGTTGTTCATCAACACTCAGCTATTGTAAGATCTATTATATCCTATTATTTAATAATAACTATATACAACAAAGTTAATGTTTTATTGCATATTTCTCTTGGCCTGTATGATAATGTAAATTTAATATTGTATGAATATAAATAGTGAATTAATTGTCAATTTATATTTTGGTGTTCAATATTTTGGCATTTATTCATATTTATTTGATATTATTAAATACTAATTTAAATAATTCTAGTTTCATCTATTTATAAATAATTAAATAATCTTTGGGTACTCCATCCTCTAGAGCACAGATACTCGAGCAATAGACTTTCAATGTCACATCTTTCTTTTTGCTGATGCTATTTGAAGGATTTAATTAATTAATATTAAAGAAGTTATTTATATCTCATCTTATATTGCTCTTTTAATCTTCTATGATATCTCAGGTGAAATAGACAATATACACCAGTTCTGAGATAAACAAGAGAATATTGCTCACATTGAACTTTTTTGGGTGAATAGTGCTGACATCGTTTCTTGAATAGTCTTGATTGTTCATTCTTTGTAACTCCAGCTTGCAGAGCACAGACACTTGAGCAGTAATAAGTTTCCAGCTTGACATCATTCTTTAGGTAGACCACAGCTTCATTACATACTGAACAATACTTTGTTTGGTTGATCTCTAGTTGTCCACAGTGAATCTCAGCATCGTCTTTATTAAAGTTATCTTCACAATAATCATTATCGATTTTAAACATTTCGACACTGTGGAGTTGTTTGATTCTAATTGTTCGAATTAACAATTAGAATATTAAGATTAATATATAGTTTTATATAAAGAGGAGAGAAAGTAGGATGACTTACTTTTCAACCAATAATCTATTTTCATAAGTGATTGTTGTATCACATCTGGTATTAATAGTCTGGTTATGGAAATCTCTTAGGAGTATGAAACAAGCATCATCCAGGATCCCACGTTGATCATTGAATCCCAGAATTCTGGCAGCCTCTCCGATTACAATATCCACATTGGATTTATCAGCCCAGCCGTAATATAAATCCTTAAACTCTGGCTTTTGTTTGACAATATCTTTAACTATTTTTGCTTTTCTTTTTCTATTATAATTGATGCTAGTAGTTGTTGATGAAGATTCCTGACTATTATTATTGTTGTTGTTGTTCTCATCGTCATCACTATTATTAATGTTGTTGATATTACTGCTATTATTATCATTGTTGTTGTTGTTCTGTCTGTTGGTAGTGGTGGTGGTTGTCTTAGGCCATGTTACAAATTCCATATCTGAATAACCGATATCTATATATTCTTCATCATCGATATTATTATTATTGCTGGTGTTGTTGTTGTTGTTGTTGTTGTTGTTGTTGTTGTTGTTGTTGTTGTTGTTATTGTTATTGTTATTGTTATTATTATTGTTGTTGTTGTTGTTGTTGCTAATATTATTATTTTTATCGCTATTACTATTATCATTATCATTATTATCTGCCGCCAACTTCGATCCAATATCTTTTTTAGAATTTTCAATAGCAACAAGAATTGTTTGATCGACCTTGTATCTGGACATAATGAATCTCATATACTCTCTAAATTGCCTAGCTTTCACCAAAGCATCATAGAGAAATCGGTATGTTGAATAATTAACTATGAATGGAAACCACAAGGTAGGACCGAATGGAACGTAACTGTCAGATCGTTTGATGTGTTCATTGATTTTATCAAACTTGCTTTTGAATACTCCATCAAGATATGCCATGTATATTATAAATAGTAGTATATTTTCGTCCTCCATTGCCGCTGACATTGCTTCATTTACTTCATAACCCATATGCGTTCTGATCTGGATCAGAGCCTGAAGGAGAGCTCCTGCAAAGTCTGCTTTAACATCTTCAAGATAGGCAGGAGGTGGGAATAGACCGACAAGTAAACATTTGAGAGACGCTGCCAACTCGCGAAATACGATCAATACCTGTGAATACCATCATCCATGGTTTGAGTAGAGTTGTATCAATTCTGTACTTCTCCAATAACTCTGACACTCTGGAATTAGTCTGAACAATGTCAACAAATTCATCTTCTTCGTCTCTATCACGATCCTTTGGCTCTGGACCATGGATAAGAAACTTTTTAGCATTTGTTATTAATGCATTAACAAAGAGAATTTCATTATCTAGAAATTATTATATTATTAATATATATTCTTTGTTTAATTAATATTTTAAATTACTATAACATACCATCTTTCTTTTCAATCAAGTCTATTGGAATCTTCTCATTATTTTGATATTCACTCTCTTCTGGATCTTCATTCAATGGTACCTCCAATGTCTTTGAATCCAATTTCTTTCCACCCAAATCCATTAATGGATTGGCTTCTTGAAAGTGGGATACACTAGCACACTTTGGATTGGGTGCAAAGAGTTTGCCAATCAATATTTGGTCATTGACAGAGGTACCACAAGAGCGAGATGTCGCTGATACACGAGAGAAGCAAACAACATTCTCAATTGAACCATTCAACCTTTTAAAGATGTTTTTAAAGTCGGGATCTGTATATACATTCTCAATGAAATGTTTGGTAACGAAATGACGCTTGGCATAAACACCATGCTCACTTGACAATTGAAAGTAAACCTCTCCAATCTTCTTGACCTCCTCGTAGAGATCTCCGAAAGAGATATCAACCCTCGTGTAACCAAAGGAAGAATCGGTTGATTCAAACTTGAATACCAATTTCAATCCAAAGTCAATGAGATATGAGCCAGATGGAATCATTGGTGTATGAATATGTGCAACAAAGAGAATAACACTATTATTTGTAAAGTGGTCAAACATTTCGAGAATTTCCTTGGAGTGTCTTGAAATCCGGTCCAAACCAAAGACAATAACAATATCGCGAAAGTCGAGGGCCTCTTTAAACTTGATCATTTGCTCTCTAAACTTCACTGGATACCAGAATGTACTGACTACTTCCATAATGAATCTCAACTTGTATGAATTGACATCCAAGTTTGAGGTTGGAAACAAGCTCTTCTTGTTATTTGTTGTCAACTTCATGTGCACCGCCATCAAACCTGTAAACTGGTCCAACAATTCGATACTTGTGTGTTTTCCACTTAGTGAAGACTCGCGTAGGAGATAGTATATGTTATGACTGTCACTCTCGGCAAACATCTTTCGAATGGTATCTGCATTGAGCACATCGTTGGTTGACTTGGTATTCAGCTGCTTCTTTCCAGATTTACCAGATTTAACGAGCTTTTCAGTTTCTGATTGTCTAAGAAATACAAGAGCATTGATGACAGTAGAATTTAATTGTCTTTGGGTGGACATTCTATTCTTACTATATATATTTTCGTTACCCTTTTTTGGCATACCATTTGTAATATTGAGATAAACAACCTTATTTAAACCGATATACTGGAATCTCCTAGTTTTATTATAATAATCTAGAATATTGGTTAGATAAATTGCTTTTGTATTAAATAGATGATTGCTTCTTAATAATTACCTAAATTTATAACTTTGTTGAATGCCAATATGAAACATCCTCTTTTGGAAGCAAGAGTACCATCTCTTATATCAAGAATGGATATCAGATTAACATGATTCGATGGTTCAAAGAACTGGTATGGAATATCCATATAAGATGGAATAGGATCATGTTTTGTTCTAAAGTATACCAGTACCATCATTTCTGATTTGGATGTTAATTTGGAGAAGAGATAATTGATACCAGTTTGAATGTAATGACCATTGTCTGGATTATTTGGTACCTGTACAAGTATGAGAAATCGAATAAACTTGATAAACTTTTCATCCAACCAGCCAAACTGTTCAAGAAATTCGTCGACTTGTTCTTTTGCTGGTAATACCAAATGGTTATTCTCGACATGACACATATCAAACACAAACTTGCACAAGATGTATTGAATGCCACATTCATGTGGGATGGAGGGGAAGCACAGAGGAAACAGGTAAAGATAGTTGAATATAGCTAATAGATGTAGATCATTGATCTGAGAGTGATCTGTGAATGTTGGAGCGGTATCTCGATGCTTTTTCATAGTTTCATGTACTTGTAAATTGGGATGTGATAGTAAATTGGGGTGTATATGAGAATTGTTGTCAATCTCTATTGTATCCTCTGAGTTGGCAGTGGTGGTGGTGGTGGTGGCGGTGGTAGTAACGATAGTGTTGGTTGTTGGTTTTACCTTGGGTTCCATCGAAATAGTTGATGGCTTTCGAATGCTTACTTCAAAGAAGTATCTGTTCTCCTCCTTCTTGAGTTGATTGACGATAGAATTTGGATTGTTATCTGTTGAATTCTTTGTATTTGCCAATGTATCTTTACCAGCAGATGAACTGACACGACGTTTGGGACCAACAACACGACCATGATATCTATCAACTGAGAGAGTAGGGTTGATACAGTGGCCCAGTCCAATATTGCTACGGTTGATTCCAGATCTATAAGTTACTGATGATCTAGTAGTATCTCTAGATACCACCTTGGCAGATACCTTACCAACTCCCGATTCTGTCTCTGTTTTAACTACAAGCTGATTACTATTGGTTGATGGTAAATTATTCTCAGATCTTTTCCAATCTGGAATCCTATCGATTGCACTCTGAATTTCATTGAATAGATCTATACACTTTAGAACTTCAAGATCATTTCCAGCGACCAATATATATTTGATATTATCATAGTTTACAAACAGACACTTTGAGTTGAGGAAATTGACAATAGTGGGTAGATTGATTTGAACTATATCAACAACTTCAAACAAACATTTTTTGATAACTACAAATTCATCTCTTTTTTTTTTTTTTTTTAAATGGTCATAATAATTAATTTTTTATTTGTATTTTTTTAAATAAGTTTTTTTTTCTATTTAATTCAAATCTTACCTGTATTAATATCTTCAACTAGTATTACATTTGGTAGAGGATCACATTTAAATCTTTAAATAATAAATAATTTAAATAAATAAATAAATTTTTCAATAAATATAAAGTATAATTTTTCAGCATGGCAACATCTTTACAGATAAATGAAATCAAAGAATTGAAGTTGATTTTAACTAACAAACCCAACTGATAATCCAGATTAACAAGAGATTTAAATATAATAAATTTAAGAAATAATAATAAATAATTTAGGTAATAACTAAATAAATTTTGCAATAATAAATAAATAATTTTTGTAATAAACATTATTTGATTTAGGAATGGTGTATTTATTTGGAAATACTTCAGTATTGGGTTTATCTAATACGCTTGAAGACACGGGTGTTTCTTCTCTTATAGTTGGCACGACGAGATGGTCTAGCCTTTCCAGAGGTACGTGGACCCTTGTTTCTGAGACCTCTAGCAGTGACACCAGCTCCGGTGAGACCACGGAGTTCACGGTGCTTGTGAACTGGGTTGCAGATCCAGTTGTAACGAGCGTCGTTACGGACAGCTTGGTGAGAGTGATCGACCAAGATGACTTCGTAGTACTTGTAGGTGGAGTCTTGGTTGACCCAGTATGAGTTGAGAACACGCAAGTTTGGACAACGACGACCGACACGCTCTTCAGCAACACTTCTCAAATTTCTTGATGGCTTCAATTCGTTGACACCATGGGTCTTTGGCTTACCACCAGTACGACCACCTGGGACTTGTCTCTTTCTACCTCCACGACGGACACGGATACGGTAGACTACGAAACCTTGAGTGGCTTTGTAACCTAAACGTCTGGCTCTGTCTGGACGTGATGGATGAGCAGCACGATGGCAGACTGGCAAGTTTCTGTATTCCCAGCATCTGATTCTGAGAAGGAAACGAACAGCATCAGATTGCTTCTTCTTGTAAAGCTCCTGTAAGTATTTATAGGCACCTAAAAATTTGTAGTAATAGTAGATTGGTGGATGGATGATGGAGAGTTAGATTAAAATGCACATAATTGATAACTTGAAACTTTTTCAGGATATAACATCATCATAGAGTTTGTTGATTGACGATCGATTGTGATTCCTTCTAAACACTATCTCGTAACTAACTCTAATATTATTGTATGCTTATCTATCCAAAAAAAAGTTATCTATAAGGTAGATACACACCCATTCCTCACTATGACCAAAGAGTAAAAGAAAACTACTTTCTATCGTTTTGTCAAAGGTAATCCATAGAGGTGGTGTGTCAGAGACTGAGCAGAGAGTATCGTCGGACGCAGACCACACAGAAAAAACTAAAATTCAAAAAAAATGAAAATTCAATTGTTGAAAAGAACTTCCTAAAAAAAGATTTTTTTTAGCCTCTCTCAATAATTTATTTTTGAAAATTTGGAGGCACAGTTAATGTGTTGTTCAACATTAACTGGTTACTCAATTTTCTTATGGCATTGTGTGAAATGATTATTACCCACTATTTAATATGATTTGATTTTTTTTTTGATTATCATTATTTAAATTAATTAATTAAACCTCATTGAGTCATCATTTTATTTTCAATTTCATACAACTTATAATTAAATTATTTGTTTGTTTGATCTAAAGTTTATTAAAAGCTACGACTGTCGAGTCATTCTGGTTGATTTAATCAAACTTTGTTTTTTTTTTCATTTTTTTTATTTTTAAACTTTAAATATTTATTTAATATATATATACAATGGTATGTTGAAAGATAAGAAAGAAAGAAAGATCATTTATATCATGGGTTTAGTGTTAAACATGTATTAATTTGTTCTCTAATAATAATAATAATAATCGTGATTATTTTATAGAGTGTCACTGATAGATGCATTGGATTGTCATTGCTATTGTTTAGCATTACTGTATTTGTTTATTATACTGCTTGGGTTATTCTTTCGGTATGTATATTATTATAAACAACTAATGAAATGATGATCAATTGAATTGTCGATTATGGATATTAATATAGTTGTTTCTTTTAAAAAACAAACAAAATGATATAGCCATTCATTGATAGCGATCATTGGATTCATCAATATTTCTTACCAAGAGAATATGGTATCATTATTCCTTTGATGTTGGTCGTTGTTGGTTTAACAGTTATCGGAACATTTTTAGGTTTGGTCATGGTTAAATCAAAAAAGAAATAAACAAATCGGAAATATATAAATAGTAATATAATTAAAGATGTATACAGATCAGATCAGTTTAGTTTAGTTTAGTTCAAGATGATTTGTTTGGAGATATTTTAAATTATTTTATTTACATGAAAAAGATGATAGTTATAGATTGCTAATTTTCTTATTATTAGTTATTAGTTACTAGTTATTAGTTATATATAAGTTATAAGTTATTATTTATGTTGTTATTGTTATTATTATTAATTATTATTTATAGATTATTATTTACAGCTATGGATAGTTAATGGTTTTTATAGATTTAGATATCATTATTTGTTTTGTTCAATTATCTATTGAGTTGATATCGATACTATGAAACCATGAGATTCTAACGAGTGCAGTACATCATCTATATTTGGATTACCTCGAAGTACGAGACGGTCTTCATCTACGGAAACATTGCATTCATTTACACCTTTTGTACTGTTCATCAATCGATACACTATATCTTCACAGTGTTGGCACATCATTCCTTTAATATCGATTAATGTTTGATCTTTATTATCCTTTAAGTTTATTAAAAAAAAAATAAAAATAAAAATAGAAATAAACAATTTGTTAATAAACAATTATTAATAATTTTTTAAAGTAAAATTACTTAAAATTAAACTTACTATTGTATTAGTTTGTTGATCTTGATCTTGTTGTTGTTGTGTTTGTTGTTGTTGTGTTTGTTGTTTTTGTTTAGCAGGTGATGATAAAAGTGATGAGAATAATGAGGAGGATGATGAAGTTAGATTGGGTGATGTATTGTTTGAAGGTGTTGTTGATGATGAAGAGGATGTTGATGTCGATGTCGATGCCGATGTCATTTGATTTGAAGCAGCAGCAGAGATTGTGGTTGATTGTCTCTTTGCTTTGTTCGATGCTCTCTCAACGAAATGATTCAACCACTCTTGTGCTTCGTCCATTGTCGGTGCTTGAAATTGATAGACACGTCCTTCTACGGCCAGTTCAATCTGTGTATTGACTCTAGTTGGCATCTGTTTCATGTTGGCAAGGTGAATGATATCGATTGGCACCCTATCATAGGCACTCTTAAAGTAACACAGTTCATTGTTATCGTACAGCACGAACCAACGTTGTTTCCATGACTTTACAATACCACCTTGCTTTGTCAGCCAACCTTCCTTCACAGTGACTCTATCTGTTGGATCAAATTTCATTTGATTTTTAAATAACTTATTCTTTTTATTTTATTCAAAGACTATATATATATAATAAATCTATTCTATTCTAAATTATTCTCTATTCTTTTTTTTATATACTATTAATTAATTGTTAATGATAAATAATCATAGTAATAATAGTATTATATTTATATATATATATTTATATAGAATGAAAAATAAGGATAGTGGTAAAAGTAGGTGATGTTAACACAAACAATCAAATTCAATTTGATTTGTGTTTCACCAATCAATGTAGGTACAAAGTGGGGTACAATTAATTCCACCTTTTAATTATTTTATCATGATATTTTAAGTTCTTTTTTTTTTTTTTTTTGTTTTTTGATTTTTTAATCGTTCCAAATACCAGTCCTCAAGATCTCTTCATTATTTTTTTTTCACCATATTTCTTACGATTTTTTTTTATTTCATCATGAGATTTTTCTTTTTTTGTAAAGGATTTTTCACCTGGTATCGAAACAGATCTTTCTTTGGCTTTGGTTACCACCATAAACTTTCGTTGTTTCTTTAAATCTATTGAATAATTTACAAGAGTATGAAAATTCAAATCTTTAAAGTACCTGTTTCAATATAAATTTGTAGATATGCGATCTCTATTTGTATTCATTTAATTCTATTTCCTATTTTGGTTTTTATAATTTTATCTATTACTAAAAGGTTGTTTGTTAAAAACTAACTAACATTGTAAAATAAAGATTTATTAAAAAGATTATTTATCATCGAGTGAATGTAATAAATTTCTGATTGTTTCCCAATTTGATATAAATGCAACGAATCTTGTTCCGGTAAGACCATACACCAAGAATGATGTTTCATTTAACCTTTGAATGGTGTATCTACAGATACCTGGATAGTAGGTGACTCTGTTGATAGATTTTGATAGTTGTAATGGTAGTGTACCACTGGTCGAAATGGAGGTCAATGACGATGGCCAATCCTCTTTACCACCGGTCACAGCTTTACCACGTTCAGCTACTTTTCGGAAATGGATAGTCTCCACCGATGAAGGAATGGTTACCGGTTGTTCTGCGGTGTTCTCTCTCACTCGAAGAGTTTTGAGTGAGCTTGGCATCTCTGGAATCTCACCTTTATAGCCACCTAGGTCCAGTCGCTGCAAACCAGATGGTAGCGTTACATATTGGTCTAACGGATAATCAATAGAATTATATGGCAAAGATAGATCGGTCAGACTTTCCGGTAGATTTCCAAGCACGAGGTTGTTATTATACAAAGTAGTGATATCTAATGTTTCCAATTGTTGGAATTCAGTGAAAATGTTGGCTTGGAATTCAAATTCACCATTTATCCTCAAGTATTTGACTTTCTTTGGTATAATGTCAGTTGTGATTGTTTTGTAGCTGGTACGATTCGATAGAATAAGATGAGTTACACAAGATGGAATATCACCAGGCTTTATTCGATGTTCATCGAGTATCTTTATCTGGAGAATTTCAATTGATTTCAGATCTGCAATGTATTTTAACCAATGACTTGAAATTGAAACATTAGTGAGACCCAGAGGAAGTCGTGCAGAGCTGGGAGTATCTGTGATCGAATTGTAGTAGGTCAATCTCTTGAGATTGGGTGGCAGCGATCTGATATCAATTTGATGGTTAGGAGCACCCAAACAGGATAGAGATGTCAGAGATCTCGGTAGTTGCAAAGCATCGATAGCATTTTCAGAGTCTATATACGGATAAGTCAATTTCTTAAGATTTAAAGGTAGTCTTGACTCATCTATATGTCGTTTTGATTTGATCGATCGGATATTCAATGGCAATCTTCCTTCAACCAAATCAAGCTTTCCAGAGAATTCAATTGATTTAATATTGGATCTACTTATCTTATCAATTGAAATTTGATTGATTTTCGAAAGAAATTCGATTTCTCTACATGACGTACTAATTTCATAGTTTTCAATGTCATCTGAATTATTTATTAATATAATAAATATCCTTCTTAATATAAAAAAGTATAATTACCAATATTTAAGCAATCATCATAGTCACAGTGAGTATATCCTTTTTTTATATACTCAAGACTAGTTTTCTTTTCATCGTAAACTACCAAAGATTTAATAGATTTAGATTTGATAGATCTTTGAAATATATCCCTGTATGAATTCAACTTGAAATTTCCATCGATACCAAATAGATTGTCGATTGATTTTATCATCTTTGAACAATTGAACCAAAGATATTTCTCTCTCTGATAGAACCATCTCTTGCAAGTCAAACTGAAACAAATCCTATCTACATCATTGTCTATCGATTCAACTATAGCTTTTTAGTAAAACAAAAGATAGATTTACAAAAATATGATTATTCTCAACTATATCCATATTACTTTTATTACAAATATTCTATAAAATAAAAATAAAAAAATGTTATCAAAAACAGTTGAAAAAAAAACACAACAGCAGTTCCCTCATGATCATATTTAAACAAATCTACTTGTATACAAGTAGCAGTATAACTATTTTTTTTTTTTTGGTATCCAATTTGTTCAATTTTATTTAGAATACAACTTGTTATTATTTAATTATTGCTTTTTTGTTTTTTGAATATTTGATTTGTATGAATGATTGGGTGTGTTTTATGACAAAGATGAGTGGATTGTTGTTGTTGTGGTTGTAATTATTTAATTAATGTATATACCTTCAATACAATGAAGTTTAAGCTATATATTCGTATTTTCTTTGATTTTGGTTATCGTCAGATGTTCTCTTAATATATTCTTGATCGATGAGGTATTCGATGGCCTTCTTGATGGTTGGGATCTTTGGAGTGAACCACTTGCTGACCTGACTGGTGGTTTCTACGACGAGATCGTTGTGAGAGAGTACCTTCTTGGATTTCATAATACGTACAATGGCAGCTTGAAGCTTGAAGTAACGTTCCTTCTCAATCTCGGTTTGTGAGACGGTTTGGGCACCCTCAGAGGTCTTGGTCTCACCGATCTGCACAGCAATGTTACAGTTGACCTTCATCTTCTTGGAGGTGAACTTTGGATTGACAGAGAAGGTGGTGTCGTTGGTCCAGCTCTTGTAGTCTGCATTGTCAGATTCGATGACACCGATCTTGATGAGTGACAACAATGGCAAACGAATGGTGTTCTCATCCAAACCAATGGTATCAAGAATTTGGAATCTGGTGATCTTATCACTCGAGTTCAACATCAACAAAACGGCCATTTGATAGGCAGTTGTTGTCAATTTGTAAACCTTGCCTTTAACTTGACGGGAATCAACGTCGGCTCTGGAGAAATCATACAAGAAAGTCAAAACTCTACCCTTGTAACTGGATTTGTAGAATTTCTCAAAGTAGGTCAAAGATGGAAGCATTTCAGTTGGTGGTTTGAATGGTGTAGTAGATGTCTTATTAGACAATGACCATGAACCATTTGTTAATACATAAAAGTTGAATGTATCTAAAAGGATTTAATAAATTAGTTATCAACTCTTTTTTAAAAAAACAAAACAAAACAAACAAAAAAACTTATAAAAGTAAAGCTACTTACATGGTAGAGTTAAACCTTGATCATTTAGATAATTTTGGAAGTTGGTGTTGATATCTTTACACAATCTCATATCGTTAATCATTCTTGTCAATTTAGTACAGTAGTCGAAACCTTGGTGAGCCTTGAGCTTGTTGATCATGGAAGCTTCGGCATCTTCGCTTGCAGAGAGATCCTCTACGAGTCTCTTTGACAACATCTTTTGGTAGTTCAACATGAAAATATCCTTGTCTGGGAGGTATCTAAAGAGACAAACGGCCTCTGAGAGTTTGACTTCCAACTCTGCTTCGTCACTGATGTGATATGGACCCTTTCTCAAGATTTGATCACAGAACTTTGAGAGGACCACTGGAATGTTTGATTCCTTCTTACGCTCGTCGTAGGACGCTGGATTGTTGTTGATGACAATGGAGAACGACTGGTCCATGGCCGAGTGGAAACGAGAGTCATTGTTGAAGCAGTTTTTAATGAGACGGTTGAAACGGTTCCAGATCTCGAGCAAGATCTTCACCAAGACCTGTGGCTTCTCCTGTGCCTCCTTGAGATCCTTCTCGATCTCCTTGAGACCCTCGATCTTGATAAACTCTTGGAGCTTGACACGCAGTGTCTCGAGATGGTCGACACGAAGCAACAAGTTGTACATCATAGTCAACTCTTCTTCCTTGTTCTCGGTCAACAAGTCCAAGAACTTGTTGGCAAACTCCTCTTTGTAATCTATAATCAAAGTTTGATTCAACAATGGATCCAACTTGTCCAAGGTGGAAGCAGAGTGCATAAACTTTTGTACTCTGGCACGTTCCTCTTCCACTCTCTTTGAAATGTGCTTCATGTATCCCGGAATACCATTCTTTGCTACATAGTCCAACGACTCTACCTTGTAGAACTTTTCAGTCTCTGACAAGAATCTTGCTTCAAAGTATTGTTGGTATACTTCAAGTTTATTCTTTTCTGGACCCAATTGTACTGTTTAAATAAATAAATATTATTAATAATCAATTGATTTTTTATCAAAAGAATAATCAATCTTTTTTTTTTTCATGTTATACATACCATAACACTCTAAAGTGTCAGCCAATACTTGGAGATTTGAGGAATCTCTGTCTTCTCTGTCGTTTTGAATGATCTTCAAGAGAGAGGCTGATAGTTTGTTGTTTAATTTATCAAAGGCAGCTTTCTTCCATGCATTGAGACCATCTTGCATAATCTTTGATTGTGGTGGACTGCTTTGCGATGGACCTCCAGTACCACTGACTGGTGTACTTCTACTAGAGTTATCACTTGCATAGATTCTATTCTATAAGATTATAATAATAGATTGTTGTTTTAAAAATAAGTAACCAACTTTGCTTTTTTTTTTTTTTTTTTGCAAATCTACAAAAAAAAAATATTTTTTTTTTATATAATGATACATACAACTGGTTCTAACCAATTCTTTAATACTTTTGCGGAGAACTTCCAGTCATTCCATTTATTTCTAAAGTATAACAAAAGATCATAATCTGTCAAATCATCAGCACCCTAAAAAATTTTTAAAAAATGGTTAACAATCTGTTTTTATTTTTATTGGTCTTCCCTCAAAAACTTGATTTGTCAAATTGCTCATATAATATTTTCTTCTTTATTTCTTTTTTTTATATATAGTTATTCTATGATTGTTGTATGTTTGTTTTAATGATATAATTACCTTTATGATTTCAGCAGCTTTTGATGCTAAAAGATTTTCAATCTTTGGATAGAAATCCTTCAATACACCATCGTTTTGAGATGAACAATAGTTATATACAATGCTTTAATTGATAATAATGGATGTTAAAAAACTTAAAATAATAATATTAATAGATTTCAATAAAACCTACGTGTAAATAGCCATATAAGTTTGATTGTTCAAACCCTTATTGAGGTGAACGAAAATATCTTGGAAAGGCTTTTCACATGATTCCCATAATGATTCAAGTGTAATATTTTGATTGTTGTTGGCCATCATTTATCTTTTCTATTCTATTCTATACTTATATTTATATGACTAACTATATTTATACTATGGTTGTTATTGTTGTTGTTACAAAAATAAAAAAATAAACAATACAAATGATTGATTTAAGTTGATATTTTTAGTTTAGTTGATATTCTAATATAATCTATTGTTTATCTTCTAATCTAATATGTTCTCACTTCTCTCTCTATCTGATAAAATTAAAAAAACAATACTATGAAAAGAGTTAGTTACAAACTAACACACAAACAGATATAAAAACAAAAAGAAAACAAAAAACTCAAAAAAAAAAAACCAAGATTGATTTTCCTCAATTTAATTTGAAAATTTTAATTATTTTTAAAAAAAAAACAAAGATTTTTAAGAATGAGAATTTTTTAATAATTCTATGAAGATTTTTCTAAACTTGTTGGTTCCAATTTTTTTGATCAAAACGTAAATCAATAAATAAATTAACAAATAAATATATAATTATTATTAACAAAACAAGTTCACTTTAAATTAATATTAAAAAAAACGATGTTTTATGAATTATAAATGTTTCTTTATTATTTTGTTTTTAATTTTGATTTTTTTTTTTAATTTTTTAATTTTTTAATTTTTTATTTGCTTGATTTTGTTAACACAAAACAAAACATTCAGATTATGTTTTAATGGGTAGCAGAAATTTCATTGTTTTCTTTGTTGTTGGTTTTGTTTTGATAGAGATGATGTTGTTTAGATCAGCGACACGCTCTTTGAGTTTAGTTTCAGCCTCAAATATAGTTGGTGCCAATTCAAAGACTACAATGTCATCTTCATTCAATGATATTCAGTTCGATCAGCAACAAAATCAGTTTTGTTCACTAAGCGATAAGAAATGTAAACCTTGGTATGACAATTAGTTAATTATTATTTATGAGTTTTAGTAGTTCACAACAAAGTTATTTATTTACCTATCTATCTATTCTTTGTTTTATAACATAAAAAAGTGAAGGAGGTGATGTATATAAACTATCATTAGATAAATCAAAAGAATTACTTGAGAAAATACATAAAAGTAAGTAAACTTATAAAATAAACTACAATTGATTAGTATATATTTATTTAGTTTATTAATATTTTTGTTTGTTTGTTTATTAATAATAATAAAACAAAAGATTGGACACTATCAAGCGAATCAGAACCATTTAAAATAAGTAGAAAATGGAGAATGCCATTCCCTAAATCAGTAGAGTTGGTAAATTCCGTTGCACAGATAGCAGAGGATGAAGGTCATCATCCAGATATATCAATTAGTAAGTTATTTTATATTAATACTAATATATATCAATTGCAAGTAAGTTATATATACTTATTAATATATATTGCTTTATATTTAGAATCATATTGGAATTTAGAAATAGAATTATATACACATGCTTTGAATGGTTTGTCAGAGAATGACTTTATTGTTGCATCAAAGATCGATGATATACCACTGGCAAGCTATGAACCACCAAAAAGAAAGAAAGCTATAAATACTTCTACATCTTCATCTTCATCTTCATCATCATCTTGAGAAATAAATATAAAAAAAATAAAAAAAAGGAAAACTAAACAAACTTGGAGTGTGTAAAGATAAAACTAGTTTTATTTGTAATAATATTATTATATTATATTATATTATATTATTGTTATTTATAAATATATAAATGTTAATGAAAAAAAAGAAAATTATTATTATTAAAGCTTTGATATAAAGCTAACTAATCTTTGTTGATATTCTTCTGGTGGTACGTTGTCGCTGGCTGGCATGTGGAGTGGTTTCTCATTGTCGATGGTCCACAGTTCCTTTGGTTCTTTGGCTGCTTTGTACAGTTGTACGGCGTGTGAGTATGGAACGACTGGATCGGCAGTCGAATGAATGATAAGCAGTGGTTTCGGTGAGATTTTCTCGATCATCTCGATAGGGACGTCGCGCGCGCTCAAATTCGACTCGGAGAACAACAGCTTTATCATTGTGAATCCGGTGACAATGTCGATCAGCATTTGTGGTGGATTCGTTGGGAGAATCGCTTGGAATCGTTCGACCGGCTTGAATGCCTTGACTCCCTCACGGAGGTTCTTGTAGATGTTATGTGACCATGCTGCGCGTGGATGCATGTAGCTCGCCTCGGCGATGACTCCGTCGATGAGGTCGCGGTCTTTGCCGGCGGCCACCAAGACACTACCGGCACCCATCGACATTCCTGTGAGGATGATCTTCTTTGACTGCTGTGGATAGTCGCTTCTGACGACACGGATGGCAGCACGGACATCCTTGTGTTCACGCAACGAGTAGCCAAGACCACGACCGACTTGGTCAATGTCACCCAAACCGTCACGACAATCGAAAATGAAAACATTCAGTCCAACCTGATTGTAAATCTTGATTTGATCAAAATATTGGTATTTATCTCTACCTGATCCATGTACAACGATAATTGTATAATGTAAATCTGATGTAATAATAAAATTTCCAGAAAGAATAAATATTAGTTTTGGAATGTTTTTTTTTTTTCAAATAAAAGATTTCAAAAAATTTGAAATAGGTAATAATATTTACCATTATCAGGTTTGGCTGGAATCCACCAACCACGTATCTTATGATCTGAATCGAATGCTTTGAATTCAATGTTGTCGAATTTCAGAGAGTGATGAGTCAATGGATTACCCTCTCCAATAATAATATGTCTCCACCATGGGAAGAACAGTAATGCTCTCGAGGTAAAGAATGTGAATGCACCCATCAACAAGCTTAAAAATATTACCATAACAATTGATCCATTGATTAAATAATTTAAAAGTGTTTCAAACATCTTTTTGTCTTTTTTTTTGGAATCAATCTAAATATATATATGACTTTTTGTAATGTTTTAAACTGTTTTTTTTCTGATGTTCAATGAATATATAAATATAAAGACTGACTAACTAATAATTTAAATAAATATATTATAAAACTAAATTTTAAGAAGAATAGAATTAGAGAATTAGATAAAACATTGTTTTATATTATCAATAGTTAGAAAATATAAATAAAATAAAAAATCTACCTACCATATATGACAAATAGAGTTACCCCAATGTGCTGATTAAAATAAAACTAATTATAATTATGATTTTGATATGTGTGTGAAATTATGTGTTTGTTATCGGTAGATTGGATTTAGATCTTGTTTTTAATATATATTATCAAAATTTGAATGATATGTAATTATATAGTTATAGATAGTATAAGTGTTATAGAAAAATGTTATTAAATCAAGAATAGATAGATGTGGTATTGGTTAGATTAAAAATCACTTTAAAAGTATTTTTTTTTTTTTCTTTTTTTTTTTTTTTTAATTTTCATACCAATTTTTTTTTAAATATGCATATTTTTTTCATGAAAAACCGATAAAAGTTGTAAAGAGCATGATTGATTCGCTATTTTTGTGAAACATTGCTGCCCAAAAGCAATAAAAATACTCATCAAAAAATTACCACTTTATTAATCTTTGCAATAAAAAAAAAAATCATTATTTTTCACCAGAATAGAATAAAGAAAATCACGAATCTCTTAAAAAGTAAACATCTGATGAAGTAGATGATTCATTAAAATAAATATTGAAATTAACTAAGTAGTAGTTCATTCATTAATATTTTAATTCATTTAATTTATCAACTATTAATAATATATATTTTTTTGTTTTTGATTATTAATCTTTTTTTTTTTTTAATATTTGTTTATTGTTGTTTTGGAGCACCATTTGGGAAGAATGGTTGAGCTCCTGGTGGATATAAGTATCCATAGTAGTTTTGTGGGTAGTAGGTAAAGAGTGGTGGATAGTTGTTACCAAAGAGACCACCCAAGAAATTATTGTATCCACTGTTTCCACCTAAGAATCCAGAAAGCAAACCACCTATTTTTAAAACAAAAGTTTATAATCAATATCTGTAATATAAATGATTGATTGATTGATTGTTGAGATTATAATAATTACCTTGGTCAGTTGGGTATGGACGACTTGGGTATGGTTCGAAAAAGAATGGCCAAGTGAGACCAGCTTTTTGGATCAATTGTTGTAATCTTTGTTCCTTAATGGTATGAGGTTCGCTACCTTGGATAATGGATTCGGCTTCCTGGACCCATTTCCATTGTTGTCTTGCAGCTGGTACTGATTCCTCGTTAGCATAGGTGAATGCTGCAAATGACAACACTACCAATGTCACAATTAATAAAAATCTCATATTTTTTTTTGAAAATAAATATGAATTCTATAAATCTTTATCTTATTTGCTATATTTATTAAAAAACAACAAAAAACAACAAGTAAAATAACAATTATCAATAAAAAAAAAAATCATTATTACCTTAACAAACCAGAATTAAATTATAATTAATTTTATTTAAATATAATATGAATATATATCAATATTGAAACTAATGTAATTTTATTCATACTGAATGATCATCATTATCTTGACCCCATCTACCAATAGTAACACACCTACTTACTTTTCATTGTATAACAATGATCAGTTTGCTGTTGCATAAGTAAAAAAAACAAAAGTTGATGATACCACACAACACACTCTATTAAATTATAAACTCTATCACTTCATTATCATTACTAGTTATATAAGCGATTTGTGCTACTGTACTGTGTTATTGTTATACTTAAGTATCAAATATAAAAATATTATTTAATTTAAATATCTTTTTTGCATGTTTGTTTTTTGACGAACGAATGGAAAAAAAAAGATTGTTTTTTTTTTTCATTTTTATATTTATTTTTCTCTCTTTTTTTTATTACTCTTTTATTCTATTTTAGAATAGTTTGTTTGCTTTAGCCCGATCACCATATATATATTGTAGAATTAAGCTAAATAAAACGATAGTAAAAGAATGAGTGGGACTGCAGCTAAAAAGACAACTTTAAGCTCAATCGAGAGTAGATTAAGAGCAAACTCAAATTGTAAGTTGTATTGTTAAAAGATAGAGGTTTTCAAAAGAAGATCAGAGAATTGATTATTGTACACAATGAAATGAAACTAACACTCAATCAATCAATCAATCAATCAACATAATTGATACCAATTATCATTTTAATATAGGGATGAGTTCTGTTGTTAATTTAATAAAAGATCCAAATGCAATATCAGAGAATGCATCGTTTTCAAGTAGATTAAATAATGAAGCTGCATCTTTGAGTGAAGCATCGTCTTCGAGCACTGCCAATTCAATTGCACCGAATTCAACAGCATCTAATAATCATACAACGACAACGACTACGACAACTACAACTACAACCACCACCACCACTTCCAACACCAACTCAGCCAACAATGTAACAGATAAAAAACAATTAAAAGAGATTCTTAAAAAACAAATTAGTGATATGAAATTGAAAAGACAAGGAATGAAATCGAAATCATCTGAAAATAGTTTAACAAACAGTAATAATAATAATAGTAATAATAAGTATAAAGATATAGTTACACAGCCAATCAAAAAACAAAAGAGTGCCGATGGAAGTAAAAAAGATATTTTAATCAAAGAAGAGGAGATGAGTGAAGATGATGATGAAGATGATTATGATGATGATGAAGAAGAAGAAGATGAAGATGATTATGATAGTGAAGATGATGAAGATGAAGATGACGAAGATGAAGAAGATGATGAAGATGAAGATGAAGATAGTAAACCAACTAAAAAGATAATAAGTGTATGTAATAGTTGTATAAAACAAAATAAGAAGATCTTTATATTAATATCTTCTTATTATTATTGTTATTAGGGTGATGATTTACAATTTAGTACATTTGATTTCAGTAGTGGCGCGCCAGTACCAAGTTATTTGGCGGTGAAGAAGAATAAGAGCAAGCTATCAAAGGAGGAGTTGTTGAGACGTGCAGAGTTGAGAGAGAGAATCATAAAGAGAGCGGAGCAGACCGGTGAGGGAATTGAAATTGCAGAGACTCTAAAGTGGTCGTCCGCTCTCGACAAGGCAAAGGGTATCAAGGTGAAGGACAACGTTGCACTACTGAAGCGTTCCATCAAGAAAGAGAAAACCAAGAAACTAAAGAGTGAACGTGAGTGGAACGAACGAAAGAGAGACGTCGAAACAAAGAAACGTGAACGTATCAAGAAGAGAGAAGACAACATCAAGAAGAAGATCGACAAGAAGAAAGAAAGAAAGATGGGTGGTCCCAAGAAAGTAAAAGGTGGTCCACCAAAGAACAAAGGTAAAGACAACAAAAAGAAACCTGGAAACAAAAACAAGGGCGGTGATAATAATCAAAAGAGAGCTGGTTTCGAAGGTAAAAAGAAATCATTCTTAAATAAATAAGAAACTATAGGATTATTATTATATATAATAACCAATTATTATTATCTGAAAAATATTTTGGTTTTTAATATGGCAATTTTTATTATTTTTGTTTTGTTTTGGTTTGTTGGTTGTTGTTTTATTTTGTTTTGTTTTGTTTTGGTTTTGTTTTGATTTTGTTAACTATATGGTTATTATTATTATTATTATTATTATTATTATTATTATTATTATTATTATTATTATTATTATTATAAAGTAATTAATTAATAGATTCTATAGAATAGTTTTTAATATCTTTTTTTTTTTTTCTTTTTGGATCTATTTAAAATTTAAATTTGAATAATTATTAATGTTAATCGTTTACGTATGGTATCTTGATTTCAGCGTGTGGACATTCTGGACCTAGATTTCCGATTTGCTTTAAACGATCTACGATTGCTATTATGCTGTTAAATGTAATGTCGACACTGTCGATCGGTACGAGATACTTGAAACCAAGTGGGAACTCCACGGATTGTGTGACATCTTCACGTACGACACGCTTATGTGTTGGCTTGCCCGATTTGATCTTTGAAATGGTGAGAGGCGTACGAATGGGATCGTTCAGCGAAAGACGAATTAAAAATGTATTCTCTGGACGACCACGTAATCTACGTTCGGAAACATCACGTGAAATATCAAAGTGGAACCACTTCTTCTTTAACACCTCTGACATCTCTCTGAGAATCGGTGCTGCACCGCTCTTAAAGAATGGACCGAACCACTTTGTCATTAAATCGAATCTCTCAATATTAACCATTCCATCGTTTTCATCATCTGAATTTGTTGAAACTAAATTATTGTTGTTGTTGTTGTTGTTGTAGTTGTTGTTGGATTTCATTAAATCAATTAATTAATTAATCAATCAATAAACTAAAAAAAGTTTAATCTTTGTTTGAGACTACTTACCGAATAATTTTGAAAGTAATTTTAATTCTGAAATATCTACACCAACGGCCTCTGAAAGTTTCAATGCCAACAGTGACCACTTTACATCCTCGGGTGAACCAAATGATGCCTTCCAAAAAGCAGATGCACTTGGATCGCTGATTGCTATATCTATCAACACTTCGTTCATCTTTGCAAACACCTCTGAGAATGATGGTCTTGCCGATGCATCGTGATCCCAACATCTACTCATCAAATTTGCCAATGATCTTGGGAAATAATTTGGTATTGTTGGTCTTAATCTTTTATTACAAATTGCCTTGAAAATAAAATAAAGAGATAACTTAGTGATGATTTGAAATATATATTTATATAAATATATCTATATAATTATTTATACATACATCTGAAAATGGTTCCAATTCAGTATAATCTGGGAATAACTCTTCACAGGTAGCCAGCTCATAGAGGATCAATCCAAAGCTATATACATCTGCTTTCTCATTGAATTCCTGCTTCATCATTACTTCCGGCGCCATGTAGAGTGCCGTTCCTTTGGGACCACGCTGATCGGTGGTGGTGGTACCAGATTTCAATACCTGTGAGAATCCAAAATCCGTTATCTTTACTGTGTTGTCTTTGCCGATCATCAGATTCGCCAGTTTCAAATCACGATGCAGAATATTACAGATGCCGTGTAGCCAATTCATTCCGACGGCTGCATCGTGTGCCATTTTCATACGTTGATAGAGAGCGGGTGGTTCGGTACCGTCGCACGGATGTATGATCTTTTCGAGATCGGAATGCATCAGTTCCGAAACGATCATAATCTTTCCGGGCTTGGTGCATGCACCCATGCACATAACAACGTTCGGGTGGAAAATCTGCTTCCAAATCTCAACCTCGTTCTTGAATGCCTTCAACTCTGACTCGCTCAATGTCTGCTTCTTTGGCACCTTGACAGCCACCTTCTTTCCACGACAGGTTGCACGATACACCTTACCATATGCACCGCCACCCAAATGGTCAACTTTTGGGTCGAAAATGATTTCCTCTGGTGGAATCTCTGGTGGTCCTGAACTTTTATGACTATGATGATGATGCTTTTTATTATATTATATTATTCATTTATTAATAACTATATCGATATTATCATGAATCATTTTTAGTTATTGATTTGACTTACTTTTCTTTTTTGTGGATCCGATGATGAACTACCAGTGCCACCACCGAGAATACTAATCAATGGAACTGTGGCTGGTTGTTGTTGCTGTTGTGTTGGAACACCAATTGGTGGATTCGAGTGAACTAGTGTGAATGGTTGATTGTGGACGATGGTTGTGGTGGTCGTCGTTGGTAGATGTTCTGGTGTACCAGCATAGTTGTAGGAATCACTGTAGTTGTCAATTGGCTTTTGTTGTTGCTGTTGTTCACCAATTGGTGTGCTGCTTCCACTTGATTGTTGTTGTTGTTGTTGTTGTTGATCAATGAGTAGATCACCGAAATGTAACTCTAGAAACTTCATTTTCGATTCGATGGTGTCTCTTATGGAGACGTTATCGATCTGCTGTTGTTGTGGTTGCTGTTGTTGCTGTGGTTGTTGCAAAACATTCAGGATGTTCTTCAGCTGCATATAGTAAGATGACACCTTCTCTCTGTCCGAGGGTGGATCGGAATACAAATAGTTCTTAATCAATGCATAATCCATATTTGTATATGTTGATCGCTACTTATTATATTCTATTATATTATTATTTTTGACGATCCTGACCAAAAAAAAAAAAAAAAAAAACCAACTTCTTCAAATTCCAAAATATAAATCTATTAATTTATAAATAAATAATCTACAGTATTTAAATGAGTGAAAATGTAAGTATTGTTTTTTTTTGTGATGGATAAAAAAAAAAATTCACCACTGCTGAAAGTTACCACATACTAATCAAAAGTTTTTTTTGTTTTATTGAAAAAAAAAAAAATCAAAATATCAAAATCAAGTTAAAAAAAAAGATCATTTAAAATATTAAGTTATATCTTTTTTAGAAATTGTTTACCATAGGTATTAAACATTGTTATTGTCACAATTCTTTTCTCTTTTTTTCTTTTTTTTTTATTAAGAAAGATGATGAAAAAAAAAAGTTAAATAGACATCCATCCAATCTAACTTACTTCGATTTAAATTAAATTATTTTGAAAAAATTATTGTTTTTGGGGTGAATAGTATTGAATGTTTTTGAAATGAAAAAAAATAAAAACTACTATTATTAATAATTGAAATATATATATTTATTTTCAAAAAGATTTAAAAATTAATCTTTATTTATCTATTGTTTTTTTATATATATATATTTATTAATTCTTTTTTTTTTTTTGTTTTTTTTTTCGTTTTTTTTATATTTCTTTCTGTAAATAATTGTAATTAGAAACTGTAACTTTAAAGTGTTAAATTAAAAGAGGTCATCATCGGTTTTGAAGTTTGTTAGTTTTTTTATTATTTATTGGAAAATTTAATAATAATAATAATAAATAATCATAAAGAAAACAAAAACCAATATATTAATATAAAATTTCAAATGTATATATATAATTAAACTATAAGATAAGTTAAAATGATATCACAAGATAATAATCAAGATAGTAGTTGTTTAACAACTACCACAACAACAACAACATCATCATCATCAACTACTACAATTACAGGTGGTGTTGAAGATTCCCCAACGATGTCAACAACTACCACTCTTATCAAGGAAGGTGCAAGCACAATCATTATCGATTCATCACCACTTAAGAAAGAAATAGAATGCACAAAGAGTGTCGTTGTTGTTGTTGCTGCTGCTGCTACTACTACTACTACTGAGGAGTTGTTGCAACAAGAGAAACCAAAAGAAGCGGAATTGGTTAATATTTGTGCAAAATGGAGTGGCAAAGAGTATAGAGTGTCTGTCGAGCGTAGTGAAACCATAGCCGACTTGAAGAGAAAGTTGGAATCACTTACGAACGTACTGATCAAGCGTCAAAAGATACTGGGATTATCAAAGGGAATGCTACCACCCGATGAAACGGTCATTGGTACTCTCAATATACCGGCGAATCACAATATCATCATGATGGGCACACCAGAGGCAAACATTATCGTACAGCTGCCAGTGGAGAATGAGAATGTGTTCAACGATCTCGAATTCGACTACATTCCAGACTCTGATGAAATATCACATCTCGAGAAGAATCAAAACAAACTCGTTAAATATCGTGCCAAAGCAGAGATCTCTGTCATCAATCAACCACGCACCAACAAGAAACTATTGGTACTCGATCTGGATCATACCATTCTCGATTTCAAAGATCAAGATGTAGCGAGTAATTAATTAATTTTGTTAATCCAATTCTGGAGATATAGATATAATAATTTGACTTACCAAAACTATTTTTTTAATTGGAACAACAAACAACAGATATGAAAAGACCTTACCTTGAGGAATTCTTGAAATCATCATACGAGGATTACGATATTGCGATTTGGTCACAAACAAGCTGGAAATGGATTGAAATTAAATTAACAGAATTAGGTTTATTAACAAACCCAAACTTTAAAATAGGTTTTGGTATGTAATAACATTAATCAAACCGCATCTGTTTGAAAGGTTTAATAATTAAATTAACTATTAATTTTTAATATTTTCCTATTCTAAATGATTATCATTTAGTTCTTGATCAGACATTGATGTTTTCAGTAACTACATATCGACCGGTACCAGGTAAAAGTAAAGATAGAACTAAAATCAAACACCAAGTTAAAGCGTTGGATATCATTTGGAGTCATAAAACACTTGGCCAATATTATTCAGCTCAAAACACTTTACATGTAAATAGATAGGAAAAGCAAGCACATCTGTTTGGATTAGTATATTAATTTAAATGACAATTATCATTTTTTATTTTTATTTATAGGTTGATGATTTAAGTAAGAATTTTGCAATGAATCCAAAGAATGGTGTACACATTCCAGCGTTTAAAAGAAAAGAACCACGGTCACAATCAGACAATGTATTATTATTTTTATCAAAATACCTAAAGATTGTAGCAACTGAGACTGATTTAACAAAATTAAATCATAATGTATGTATTGCTTTAGAATGTTTGGAATCAAAAATATTAAGAAATATCAATTCTAATCATTCATTACATTACATTTCTCAATATTTTAGGAATGGACTAAAAAAGTTTAAAATAACAGAGAAAATTGTAAAAATGAATAACAAAACAAAATAATTACCACCAATTGGAAAGAAATATCAAAAATATACTACTAAAGAAAGAATAAATATTTTTGTATTTAAATTAAAGATTAATATCTGATTTGAATAATGTTTTCTGCTAAAATTATCAACAAACCGAACGAAACCCACAAAAAAGTCATGACAACCGATGAATCACATTTGCTAATTTGATGATTTTTTAATTTGACCAAGAAATTTCAAAATTATTTTTTTTTTTTAACTTTTTTAGGAAATTGATAGGAATTCATTAATTTTTTAATTTTTATATAAATTGAAGCTAAGTTGGTAAAAGCATTAAACAATAATTTAGAAAATGTCAACAACTACTACAACTACCACCACAAATTCAACTGATTCCAATAATGTTGGTGAAAGAATCACCAAAGATAACATGGAGAGTGTTTGTAACACTTACAGAGATGATTGGCCTGATTGGAGAAAGCATCTCTATCATAATGGTTGGGCTGTTGTTAGAGATGTTATACCAACAGAACGTTGTAAGGTATATAGTGATTCATTCTGGGATTGGATAGAGAATTTCAATACAGGTGTAAAGAGAAACAGTAAAAAATCATGGTAATATATAAAAACTATTTTTTACAATTAATCAATAGTTAGTTATTAATAATATTAAACTATAATAAATTAAATTGAATTAATAGGGAGACAGGAAGTTGGCCAAGTAGTATTCATGGTATCTTACAAAACTATGCATTTGGACAGAATCAATTCGTATGGGATATAAGATCTGAACAACCAATCATCGATGTCTTTACACAGGTGTACAATACAGATCAATTATTAGTAAGCTTTGATGGAGGAAATCTTTCGAAGCCCGTAAAGAAACAAGATAAAGATTGGTATCACTTTGATCAGTAAAGTATTAATAATATTATATTTAAATCTTTTGTTGGAATCCAAACAAAATATTAATTACTTTTTCGCAATTACTTATTTTTTTAGGGGAAGTAATAAATTTGGATTTAGATGTGTACAGGGTTTCCTTAATTTGAATGATTGTCAAGATAACGATGGTGGATTGATTCTTTATCAAGGATCACATCTGAAACATGACCAGTATTTCACAGAGACTGGTATAGATTCAAAGGGCGATTGGTACAAGTTTGAGGTTGAACCTAACGAACTAAGTTATTTCAAAGATTGCAAAAAGATCAAAGTAAACTGTAATATTGGTGATATCGTACTTTGGGATTCGAGAACCATTCATTATGCATGTGCCCCAACTTCAGATAAATGCCGTATGGTAGTTTACGTTTCTTATCAACCAGCATCATTGATATCGGAGGCCGATCTAGCCAAAAAAATCAATTGTTTCAACGAGAAGAGAATGACATCTCACTGGGCAGCTGAAAACATCAAAATGTTTGCCAAGAATCCAAGAACCTTTGGAGACAGCGATGTCATCAATAAATTCAGATATGATGAGGGAAGACTACCAACTCTTACACCAAGAGCTCAGCAACTAGCAGGATTGGTACCATATGAAAATCAATTTGAGGATCAATATGAATAAACTTTATCATCATTATTATTATTATAATAATTAGTTAATATGTTTTGTTTTAGATCATCACCAAACAAAGAACCGATCACATAGTTTAAATAAATGATAAATTTGTTATTATTATGATAATTGGAAAGGTACGTTTGTTTATTGAGTATTCACTATTTTCTTCTTTGGTCTTCCTACAGGATTTTTCTTTAGAGTTGGTGGACGGTATTGAAGTAATAATTGTTTTCTTGAATAGTCGTTCCCATAGGTTATTTTGGAACGAGCAAACTCTGTTATATTTAGGTAGGCACCAATCTTGATTGCATAGTTGAAGAAATCCAAGTTTTCTTTGTGTGCATTGACAAAGAACTTTGCCAACATTTTATCGTATTCCTCTTGAGTCATTTTGTTCATCATGTACTCGAGGAGATCTATGTTGAGTGAAATGGGAGTGCCCATCAAACTCTTGAAATGCAACGACAGTTTGTTTTGTTGATAATAGTATTCCGCTATTGAATTATCACCAAAACCTAGACGAGTCACCAGGCATTTTCGATATTTGTAAATGGTTTTCAAAAAATCCAACGATCCAAAGTGCTGTGCTTTCACCTCTAGTATATCGATCTGTCTTTCGGTCAATAGTTTTTTGATGTCTTCAAAGAACTGTGCATTTCCAATGTTGGCGATTCTCAATAGGTTGTCGGTGTCCACAGCAAAGATCTGCTTCTCCACCATGTAGTTGAAGAGTGCAGCGTTTGAAAATTCGATTGAATACATTCTGAGTGGCAGTCGAACTAGGTAGTTGTATCTGTTCTCTGGCACTAAAGTGTAGATCATATCGACCAAATAAAGATATTCAGGACGTCTGGCAAGGTTTAGCATCATATACTCGGTGTTTTCCATGTGGAGGGGGACTTTATCAACGCACCACATTCTGATCACCTTCTCAATCAGTTGAGGATCATCATAGTTGAACTTTAGTGGATATTTGAGCACATCTGGGCCTGCAGTGTCCAACACTTTCAATGATGAAACATAGCTGTACTGGCCATATTTTCGAAAGTTTGGAAATTTCGCCATAATAAATTGAATCATTTCAAAATTGTTTTTACCTCTGTACAACCCAATTCTAGTGAAATTCGGATGAAGCATGAAAAAGGTTTTCAATTGATCCACAGTACCGAATTGCATGATAGCACGGTAGGTAGCATGCGTGTTGCGATTGGAAACGTATGGAATGATACCGGCGTCACAATATTTAATTACTTCTTCGAACCACCTGCAGTGGCCTGATGGAGGGTGATCGAAATGAATCGCGAAACGCGAAGCCAGTTCGAATACCGCCAGTACCAGAGGTGTCGGGATCATGAGCGTCGAACAAACGATGCCAAGCGACAAAGCGGTATCGAACGACTCACGAACATTTCGCATTGCCGTCTCGTACACCTCGATCTTGTCGATATTGCCAAAGTTCTTTGGTGCAAAGTGAATCATAGTATCGAGAATGGCATCGATATTCCTGTCGGGATTGTCTCTCTGATATTTCAGCATCGAAGAGACAGCCTGATGGTTGTTCCAAACGTAACCGGGAAACATTTTTCCTATCAGCTCGAGGTTACAGCTTCTGGCAATGATTCCGGTATATGGCATCCTAGCTTTGATGTTGACAATCATTCTCGAGAGCAATTCAGGACCGTGCTTAATAATATCTAGCAGCTCATCGCCACTGAATCGTCTGACCATATCGACCGCCTCCGAGTAGTGGTCGTAGTACTCGTCCACAATCACCTGACCCATCTCATTGTAGAACGGTTCACTGAGCAGAAAGAGATAGATACTGCTCGATCGCTTTCTTGCATACCCAATGATATTTTTGTTCTTCGAGCGATACAAAGAGTAGTTGAAACTTCGTGAGAATTTCACTGGATACACTTGTTTGGCGAGAATCCTAAAGATCTCCAGCGAACCATTATCAATTGCAACATAGAGAAGATGTGGTTCCAAGAAGTATTCTCTTTTTTCTTTGTAAATCAATCTGAATATATTTATATCTTTACATTTTCTAACAAATGAACTATATAAAAAAGTAAAATAATAATAATAATAAATGTTAACAATCAATAATGTAATAAAGTCATTTTCTTTCAATATTCCAATCTAATCTTACGTAATTGCAGAAGGTGTAACAGTGATTGGATGATTCAATTTCAATCGATAGGGTATGAGATTGAAACGAGATTTGTCGACAATGACCGAGAGGCAATTGAAATTATGATATTTATAGCCTGGTGCAAAATAGGGAACGGCATATCTTTTCATTTTGGAAACAATCAATTTAAACAACACTTTTTGCTTTAAAACAGTATAGATTGGATCTTGATGGTGTATATTATTATATAGTCTTTTCTTTTCATCTTTATCATCAACTACTTTTAAAACTATATCTTTATTATAACTTGTTTCATTATTATTATTATTATCAACATTACTCTCATTATTTATATTAATTTCAATGATATCATCATTATTATTTACTTTGTTATCTTTATCATCTTTATCATTATCAACATTACTATTACTATTACTACTACTATTATTATTATTATTATCTATAGTTTCACTATTTTCAATTTTAACTATACTTTCTTTATCATTTTCTAAATCAATATTATTATTATTATTATTATTCACATCTTTGATTTCATTTATTTCTTCTTTATCTTTATCTTTATCTACATCATTATTACTTTCTACTACTACTACTACTTCTGATTGGTTGTTATCTTTTTTATCAATAATAATAACTTCTTTATCATTATTTTGATCTACACTAAATATATTATTTTCTATTATTTCAGTGTGTTCTATTTTAATATCAATATCAATATCTTTATCATTGTGAGTATTGTTACTTTTATCTACAATATTATTAATATTATTTGAATCTAAAGGTTCATTATCTTTAGTAACTTTATGATTATTATCTGTTTCTATCATTGATATCTTTTGAAATGATTCCATGTTAACTTTATAACTTTTGAAGCTCAAATTAATTAAAAATCATTTAATCAAATGAAAAAAAAAAAAATTTAAAATATTAAATTGCAAATTTGAGTTTGAGTTTTGATTGTCCAATGATGATAGTTGTTTAAAAATAATATTAATATGTGGTGTAAACATTTATTTTAATTTCTTTGAATTCAAATGGTTGTTTTTGTTACTGTTAAGTAATGAACACACTATAGTTAGTTAGTTTGTTAGAAACAAAAAGAGTCTAATAAAACACAACAACATGATGATAATCCTCGCACTGCAAATCCAACTTGCGACATATCGAGTATACGATTGTGACAGATCACCGATGATACCGTAAAGAGTAGTTGTGTCGTAAAGATGAAGCAACTGTCGAGTGTAGTGGTGAGTTGTTCATTGAGTTCCTCGGAGAGTGTGTTCTGTGAGGGATCCGCTTGGAACTGCGTAAAGATATTCCTAATCTCATTGATATCCTGTGCAATCATTTGTGCGGGGATCACCATCTGAAGATCGTGCTCGGTCGTCGAGTAGATAACGAGCGATTGAATCGACTTTTGAATCGATGCCAACAGCGGCAGAACAGTGCCTTCGTTCGGCAGCGTAAAAGACTGTTGATTGCTGTTGGACTTGTAGAAATCGATCGATCCTCTCAGTTGTTTCGCTGCGCTCTCCACTAGCTCTCGCTCGATATCGCCGTCGAGATTCGGTGTCACCTTGGACATCACCATTGAGCCCGTGGTATTCTTGATGGACGACAGTTGCTCCGCTATGATCTTGCCCAGCGTCATTAGATTCTCTGGTGATTTCTGTGAGTCTGCTTCGCCGAGCATCGAGAGAACCAGGAACGATTTGAAAGTTCGCGATATCAGCAGACACGAGTCAGAGAGTCGACGCGCCAGCGCCGGCGAGCGACAGCCAAAGACGCGCGAACTCACCTGAGCGTAGAGTTTGGCGGTGTTTGTCAGTATGCCGTTGGGCACGGGTGTGCGATAGGTAATGGCATTCATCACCAGTTTGCATGCCAGTGCACACTCGGCTATGCTCCGATTGATATCCTCCAGTGTTGTTTCCCACCAGCATTGGTAGAGCCACTGGAGCGAGCCGGTCAGCGCAGCCACCAGTCGGACCACCTCTGACTGTTCGATTCGATTGAACAATCGCAATTTGATGCCATCGCGAACGTTCTTCACACGTTCATTGATTGTTGCGACTGCCTCTTGATTCTTGGCGCTCTCCATGAACGAATTGTTGTTGGCGTCGCCAATGATCGGAATGAAGTGAGCCAACACATTTCCACACTCGTCGACCGCACGCGAAATATCGTCATACCGAATCTTCTCCGAGCAAATAGAGACTATTGAGAGTTTGTAGACAATTTCCATCCAGAGAATCTTGATGTCCTTGACATTGGAAAAGTCATCGGCCAACAATGAACGCGGAACCACATCCAGCTGGATGGGTCGCACATACGTCTTACCGGATGCACTGACAACCGGAGCTTGTGCAACAGTGGAAATAACACCTACAGCTAATGGCTTCAAGGGTGGTGAGAAACTAGCTGGTTTGGCTGATGATATAGTTTGTGGTGGTTGTTGCTGTGGTGAGTGTTGTGATGTCGCCTGAGGAATGGAATCAGCTGATCCACTTAGATTTGCATTGGGTGTCGAACTTGACAAGGAAATTGAACTCATTTGAGTGTTGATCGTTGAAGAGAGGTTCGGTGATGATTGAGCAGTTGGACGAATCGTTGTTTTATTATATTTCCTTTGGTAAACTTCTTTCCAGGTGACCTGGAATCGCTTTGGTACCGTCTCTAACAGACGATCTATCGATTTGTGATCCTTACTCTCTGATGATAGATTCGCGCCTTTCTTTAACAACATAATAGCAATTTCCTCTTGTTTCTCTACTGTAACAGCTTTTTTCAGTGATACAACTATAGGCTATATATAATTAAAAGTTACTTTTACAATCAATAAACAAGTTGTATTATCTTACGACATTTGAAAATACATACGGCTTCAAGATATTTTGGATCTTTAAGTTCTATATTTGCACCGTTATCCATTAGATAGATTGCTATTTCAGGTTGGTCACCTTCAATTGCCCAATGTAATGCTGATCTACCCTCTTTTAAATAATATTAATATTAATATCAATTTACAATTTAACAAAAGATTGATGATCGATTGATTATCATACCTTTATCTAATTGATCAACTTTGATTGTTGAAGGCACATATTTCTTGATTGTTTTAACATCACCCTTTTTAGCTGCCTTCCATATATCCTTCATTTTTTTTTTTTTTCTAACTTGTTTTAAACTTTTGATTTGAACGAATGAATATATATATATAATTATGATTTGATTTATCTTAAGTTCTTTTTTTTTGTTTCTTATTCGACAAGTGATTTAATGTTAATTATTCTGTTTTGTTTATATTTGAATGTTTTGTTTGATCAAGATTTATTAAAAATAATAAATATAACTAATAGTACAAAATTTAATAAATAAATAAATAAATAAATAATATATAAAAAGTGTGGTAAATTAAATGATGATTGTGCTGAGTGTGTGAATGCTATACAAATATATATGTTTTTAATGATTTTATAAATTAAAAAATTACCACATTGTTATTTGATTAAAACCCATTGGAAGTACCCAAAATTAAATTCTAAAAAAAATTTTTAAACAATGTGGTCAAAATTTGGGTCATTTTTTTTATTTTTTCATGAACATCATTAATATATAAGGATATTATTTATTTCTTCTATTTTTTTTTTTGTTTTTTATCAGTCGATTTAAAAAATTTTAGTTTAGCTCCTGTTTGTTTTTACCAAAGTTTTGGCGGGAAAGTTCAATTCTATGGCAGAATAAAAACCAAAAAATGATCCTGCATGTCGTGAGGCTTACACCACTTTAACCATTTCATAAACAGTTCAACCAATAATTTATGGCGGGAAAGTTTTAGGAAAACTCCGATGATAATGATTATTAAAAAATGAATCAGTATATAATGAAAGGTATTTGGAGGAAACAATCATTTGTTACAAAACCAAACAACTAAAGAAGTAATAAGTAAGAAATGAACGTTGATTTAAATCAACTTATCAAAACAATCAATGAAAGAGATATAAGAAAGGTGTTGAATCAATATAAAGATAGAAATGAATTGATCAATGATCTATTCGGTGTCTTGAATTCAAATTACACTGATAAACAAGTATGTAATCAAATTATACTTTTATTTATATATTTATATTTATCAAAAGTTTATATTTATTCATATTCATTTCAATAACAAATAGATTTTTGACGATTGTTTCTTTGTTTTGAATCATATTGATTCTAAAATCGAGAATGAAACAAATACAATTTGGAATGATTTATCATTGACCACAAAGATCGACATACATTCGAAATCATTGGATCTTCTTGCATTGAATTGCAATGATCTCAACACACTTCTCTTTGAATTCATCAAAGATCTCTATCGTAATCATAAAAATGAAATTGGTAAATTAATTATATTTAGTTTATCTAAATATTATAATCATATAAACTAATCACCAAACATATTTATTTAATTACCATTAAATTAATGATAATAGATGAACAACAGAATATATTAAAACCAATATGGAAAAGATTTAGAAAGAATAAGGATTTAGACTTTAGACTTTCATGTTTGAAGTTGATTGTTTTGATTCTCAAAGAGGAACCATCGAAACAACGTATAGAAGAATTCCTACCAATTGCTGCTTGTATCATTGAAGTCAGTTTGAATCGAAAGAATGATCATACATTGCTGTTTCTCGAACAATGTCGCATCATTTTTTACTATTATGATGACCCTAAAATAGATGGTGATGATGAGTTTATTTTCACAGTAAGTATGATAAATCAAATCGAAATAAACAATATTAATTAATTTAATTTATATTTAGATGTTCGATGAATATGTCAAGAGTAAATCATTCAACCAAACAATTTTCAACAATTTCTTTGAAGAAAGATTAAAGTTGGCTGATTCATCAAGATTTCATTGCATATGTAAGTTTATTTATCTTTTATATCTCTAGATTTATTTTAATTAGTTATTTACTTTCTTTAAAACTATTATACAAAATAATTAGTTGATTGTTTAGTATTTAATTATATATCGCAAGCTATCAAATACAATCTCTGGTATGTTCAAGATATCAAAGAGAAATACTTGAACTGTCTTTTCTCACAATATTTAAAGTTGGATGATAACGATGTTCAACAATGGGAGTCAGAGGTAATTTAATAGTTATATATTTATATTTTTAAGAAGATATTAATCAATTTAATTTAGAAAGGATATGATCTTACTGATTTAAGCGAACATTTAAGTTCACTTATTTCATCAGGCGAAGAACCTTACCAAAAATATAAGGAGTTTAGAGATCAAGTCATTCAATCTGGTGATTGGAAAAAGTTGGCTGGATTGATGGATTTATCATTATTCTTTTCACCTGAAACTATCAAAGAGTTAACTTTTATTGGGTAAATATTATTTTTTATTATTAATAAAGTAAAACCATTTCCCTAATACCAGTATTATAGTACTTTTAAATCTATTTCCAAATACTTTACTCATCCACAACCAATTGTAAGAGATCAATATCTATTGATGGCTAATAGTTTAATCCATAGTGAAAACCCAACAGAAGAAGATACCACCGAGATATTGTATACATTATTGAACTTGAAAGAGAGTCATCCAATTGTTCAGAAAAGAATATTTAGCATTTTGAAAACATTCATTAAGCTTGAAAATTCAGTTGTTAAAGAAAAGTTTGTTACCATCATAGAAACATTTGAGAAGTATCTAAATCTTCTCGAGCAGCCAAGACCCATCGTTTTAGGTGTTATAGATTTCATTAGAATTATGGCCGATTTCCATTTTGATAGAATTTCCACTCGTGCCAAATCATATCTTTCACTCCTCATGTCAATCATTAAAAGCGATCGATTCGTTTCATGTAGTGAAGTACTTGGCCAAGCTCTTTTAGCAATCAGTAAGCTCATTCATAGATCGATTTACGAAGTCAGTCTAGAATCAAATGAAGATTCAGATGATGAATCAATTGATGAATCTATGGACGAATCAAATAATGATTCAGTTGATGAATCAATTGATGAATCTATGGACGAATCAAATGATGAAGCAAATGATAAGTCTATGGATGAATCGTTCGTTCATGAATCTCTTGATGAAGATTTCAAAAACTCGTTGGAAGCCATGGAAATCATAAAGAAGTATTTGCCACCTTGCGCCACCAAGGAATCAAAATATTTCACATGTTCTATGTATTTGTTTGCAGTAATCCTTCAAGAAAAATTCCAACCATACTATGAATTTTTCATTGACAACCTTATCGGTATTCTCGGATGCGAGCCAGATGGGAATATTGAATATAATGCACACGAGTATTTTGATACCACTATTATCTATATTAATTACCTTTCCTCCCAAACACAACCATCAATCCAACCTTATGTTGACCAATTGATCACTGCACTCTATAAGTTCTTCAGCCATCCTTCTTATGCAAATAAATCAGCTAAAACAATTTCACGTTTGTTTGAGACAACAGTTGAACACTATAACGAAACCACAGATTTCAATGACAATGAAGCATTGAGAAAAGCTCACCAACACATAGCAACACTGCGCAGTTCCATTGTTGGTAAACTCCAAACAGTGAAAACCAAAAAATACATTAAAAAGAATGTTTGAAGAACATATTAAAACATTATGTAAGTTGAAAATATTAACTTTGTAATTTGTAACTAAATTAATTTATTTTAACTAATTTTAATTTGTTTATTTTTAGATTCCATTAAACTATCGAAACCTATGAATTATCAATAATATAGTATAAAACATTTAAATCAAAAAAAAAAGATTCTATAAACTTAAAGAAAAAGACTTTTATATTTTAACTTTAAATTGTGTTATTTCATTTTATAGGGTTTTTTTTGGTAAAACTTTTTTTTTTTTCAAAAATAATGCGAAAATGCACATAAAAGCTGTGCAAAATTTTTTCATTTTTTGGGGAGGCATAAAATGAAATTCCACAATTTAAATCATTTTTTTTTTGTGTATGAGTGTGTTCTATTTAAATCACCCATTTCATTGTGTCAAGGTGATTAAATTTGTAATTTTGTCTATAGGTTTAATTTAAAAAATTGATGTTTTCGTGTTTGTAAACAAAACTTAAATATAACACATATGATTAGGCACTATCTAATATGAAATAGGCTACATTTAAATAAAAAATTGCTGTGAATTTCATACTAAGTGCGAACTGGAGTTTGGGAATTTATATTACATTTTTTAAAATGTAGCCTATATCATATTAGATAGTACCTAAAAATCTAAATATTAACAAAATTTTCTTTTTGATTTATAACTTCTCCAAAACTTCTATTTTTATTAATTTTTAAAATAAAATCAAAAAAAAAGGTATAAATAATGAAAAGTTTTTTATTAAATTTAATCATTTCTCTTTTTATTTCATTAATTTATAAAACTAAACTCTAAAACAATAAAATGTCTGCTTCCTCAGTACCTGGCACTGAAACATATAACTCCACTACTCTTAGGGATCTGGCTGGAGGTGCTGGTGATAGAATCCTTGACAAGATTAAAGAAAATCCAATGAATATCATTCCAATCAATATGATATGTGCTGCATTGGATATTAAAGATCCATTCGAAGTCATTGCCCATTTTGAACCTGACAAAGAAGATGTTGGTATTATGGTTAATGCATGCATGTAAGTTAATTAAAAAACAATAATATTTTTTAATCCAGATTAATAAAAATTTTTGTTACTATTTAGTGGTGTGATTCCTGTCGTTGGACCTATCTTGCAAGGAGTGTTCTCTCTCTTTTGGAAGAGAGCTGCTGAATCAAATGTTGTTACCAAAGAAAAACTCAAAGAAGAGTTGGACAAGCTAAGAAAAGAAATGTTGGCCGCTGTTGCTGGAAAGATCAAAGATAGTGAGGTCAAACAATGGACTGAAGTCTGTGAAGCTTTCTTGAAAGGATTGAAGAAATCTTGTAAAGTTCTTGGTACTCATATCAATGCTCTTAAACATCAATTTGCTGAAAAACAATGTGCCGATGAACAAGTTCAAGAGGCCGTTCGTATTGATTTGGCATTGATCAGTGACAAAGCATTCTCACTTCATGAATTCTGTGATTCCGAAGAATATATCAAGTTTACCATTGGATACTATATTCAATCACTTCAAATTTACACTGCAGTTTTAACACTTCAAGAGGTATGTTTTAAACATTAGAAATTAAAATATTTATTTAAAAAACGATATCTAATTTATTAATTTAAATATTGACAATAGGCATTCTGGTATCAATTAGGAATTAAACCAATTTTTGTTATTGGTAAACCAGCAACTGATAAAATTGATGCTGTTCCATCATTCGCACAGACTATGCATGAAGAAATTATGCCAGCTCTCAAGAACATTGCCCGAGGTCTTTCTAGAAATGTTCGTGATGGAGCTCAAGCCAAAGGAGTCGACTTGAAAACTCTCAATCTACTCTTAAAGAGTGATCGTTACCTTTATCCAATCCCATTGATTGAGGCACCCGTTAAAATGCCAAATGTAGCCAAGTGTCTTCGTGAGGTTGAGGGTCCACAATGTCCAGAATGCAAGGTACCAGAGCATACCGGACCGTTTATCTTTAGAATTGATTGCATCAATTTTAGACCGGAAACATCTGCTGAAGATATTCGTGGTTATCGTAATATGTCTTATGTTGAAGAGCCAATAACCGGTTGCAAAGGTACCATGTCAGGTATTTCTGCTGCACTCACAGTTATCCTTCCCAAAAAGAGAACCGTTCAAATTCGTTTCGTTGGTGAATATGATAGTGGTTTCACTAATCTTCCAATTTCATGGACCACAAACAGAGAGGCTGAAATTATGTCTATGATGCCATTCGAACATTATAGAAGAAATGAAAAACCTATACCAGCAATCAAGGAGGAAATGGGCATTGCACAAGTTCCAGGATTAATGTTGATGATGAACCCAGAGACATTTAAGAGTGGTATGACTTACACTGAAAAGATGAAGGATATTGAAAGAATTACATTCATCACCGATCCATTTGATGATTCGAAACGTTATGCAAAGATTTTGTTTATTGAATTAATCATTCAAGATTAAACAAACACAACTTGAGAAATAAATCTCTTTCTAAAAACTCTAAGTTTTTAGAATAAAAAAACTAAATAAATGATTGGATTTTTATATGATTAGTTCTTTGTTTGTAAAGTCAGCATGATGCTTGCTGATCTTCTTTTTTTTTTTTTGTTTTAAAAGTTTATATGATTTGATTTATCTATAAATTCTTTGTTTATTTTCTTATACGTACAACGATTTAATAATAATAATATATTAACGGTCATATGAGAATTGCAATGAAATAATTTTTGAAATACAAAACAAAACTGGCTCTTTCTTGTAACCATAATTCTAATAAAATAAAAAAAACCACTCTGATCACTTTAACCCCACTAATTTTTGAAAAATACTGATCAAAAATTATTCCATTGCACTTCTCATATAAAAAAAAAGTTTCATTTCCAAAAATTTAATACTATTAATAACATTTTGTTAAGTTTACTCCATTTACCTTTTTACAAACAGTTAAATAATAATAATTTATGGCGGGAATGTTTTGGAAAAACTCTGATGATAATAAATATAAAAATGAATAAGTTAAAATTAGAGGAAACAATCATTTATTACAAAATCAAACAACAAAAGAAATAATAAGTAAGAAATGAATGTTTGATTGTAATCAACTTATCAAAACAATCAATGAAAGAGATATCAATATAAAGATAGAAATGAATTGATCAATGATCTATTCGGTGTCTTGAATTCAAATTACACTGATAAACAAGAATGTAATCAAAATTACTTTTATTTATATATTTATATCAGATGTAAATATTTATTCATATTCATTTCAATAATAAATAGATTGTTGATGATTGTTTCTTTGTTTTGAATCAAATCGATTCTCAAATCGAGAATGAAACAAATACAATTTGGAATGATTTATCATTGACCACAAAGATCGACATACATTCTAAATTTTTAGATCTTCTTGCATTGAATTACAAAGATATCAACACACTTCTCTTTCAATTCATCAAAGATCTCTATCGTAATCATAAAAATGAAATTGGTAAATATATTGATTTTATATCTTTTAAACTAATGTTCATAAAACCTAATAATCAAATTATATATTTAAATTTAAAAATAATGAAAATAGATGAACAACAGAATATATTAAAACCAATATGGAAAAGATTTAGAAAGAATAAGGATTTAGATATTAGACTTTCATGTTTGAAGTTGATTGTTTTGATTCTCAAAGAGGAACCATCGAAACGTAAAGATAAATTCCTACCAATTGCTGCTTGTATCATTGAAGTCAGTTTGAAACGAAAGAATGATCATACATTGCTGTTTCTCGAACAATGTCGCATCATTATTTACTATTTACATAAATTATTAAAGTTGGCTGATTCTTCAAATTTTAAATACATATGTAAGTTTATTTATCTTGGATATATCTAGATTTATTTTAATTAATCATTTATTTTCTTTAAAACTATTATAACCATTATTAAACAAAACAATTAGATGATCTTTTATATTTGATTATTTGTGGGAAGCTATTAGTTACAACGCCAAGTATGTTCAGGATTTCAAAGAGAAATACTTGAACTGTCTTTTCTCACAATATTTAAAGACGAACGATAAAGATGTACAACAATGGGAATCAGAGGTAATTTAAAAGTTAATATATTTTGGTCCTATTTTTTCAGAAATATTAATTTATTTAATTTAGTATGAATATACTCTTTCCCCTAGTATAAACAAATTTTTAAATTCATTTACTTATCAGGCAAAGAAGAGCTGTACCAAAAATATAAGGACCTTTGAGATCCAGTCATTCAAACTAGTGATTGGAAAAAATTGGCTGGATTGGTGAATCTATCATTATCAAAGAGTTAACTTATGTTGGTAAATATTTTTTATATATTAAAGAAACCTCATTTCACTCATATCATTACGACTATAGTGCTTTTAAATCGATTTCCAAATACTTTACTTATCCAGAACCAATCGTAAGGTAAGAGATCAATATCTATTGATGGCTAGTTATTAAACTTGGATAAACCCCCAACAGAAAAACATACCACCGAGATATTGGACACATTATTGAACATGAAAGAGAGTCATCCAATCGTTTAGAAAAGAATATTTTACAATTTGACAACATTCATACGAATTGGAAACTCAGCTGCTAAACAAAAGTTAGATACCATCATAGAAACATTTGAGAAGTATCTAAATATTTCCAACAACCAAACACAACCATCAATACAACCATATATCGAACAGTTGTTCACTGCACTCTACAATTACATCGACCATCCCTATCATACAGAAAATTCAGTTTCAACAATTTTTCGTCTGTATGAAACAACAGTTAAACACTACAACGAAACCACAGATTTCAATGACAATGAAGCATTGGAAAAAAGCTCTTCAATACATAGCAACACTGCATAGTTCCATTGTTAATAAACTCCGAACTTCGATTAAAAAAGAATATTACAAGTCAGATATTATAAAAGAAGAAATTGAGAAAATAAGTAAGTTGGAAATATAACTGGAAGTATTAACTTTTAGATTTTATACTAATTTTAATTATTTATTTTTAGATTCCTTTACACTTTTGAAACCTGATTGGAATAGACATCTTGTACTAATCGATCTATCTATATTATCTCACTTTACTCTTATCGATCTAATAATACAACAATAATAAAGTATATGTTAAAAATCATTTAAACCCCACCGACGTCGATATTTAAATTTAATAAAACTATTAAATTTTTTTATTTAAAGAATTTAAAATTTTTTGACATATATTTTGGTTGTAGTTGAGAAGTATTAGATTTAGAAAATATTTGTAAAAGAAAAGTAGGATATCTAATGAAGAAATCAAATAATGATAATAATCTCCTTAAGGGAATTGAACAACAGTATGATTAGTTGTTTCATTTTGAATTAATCCATCAATTTGTACTATAGTTGAATGTCTTCCAATATTATATCTAACATCGAATACAAAATAATTTGATGGTCTTAGGTTTGCGTAGAAAGTAATTTCCTTACATGGAGCGATTCTAGAAATAGGGAAGTGTACAACTCCATCAATTAGTACTCTAATTCTTGGAGCCAAAGTAGGACCATTAAAGTTGATGAATAGTATGATTCTATTATATGGTCTGCTTGCTCTATTAATGATAAAGGATTGAGCAGTTTGACCACGATAATCGACATTGTAGACTCCATCTAGAATTGCACCTTGACGATTGACTGGCCATGTTGCAGGTCCAGAAAGAATTCTTGCAAAAAAGTGGTTGACTACAAACTTAAAGCTTGGAGCATTATCATAAAATCTTGGAATTTGACAGACCCAATCTCTTTCATTGATATTTAAATGAAGACTACCACCCGGGAATCTCTTTAAATCAAGGTAAGCAAAACTAGAATACATCATATAGAGATCTGGTGTAGTTTGTCTCGATATTATTGAGCTGGCGAATGGAGTAGCGTAATTGGCAAATCCAAAGAATGATTTGTCAATTACATTTTCAATTCCATCTGGAACGGCAGCAATAATATGGGATGGGAATCCCCATTCACGACCTTTGAAAAAGATATCTCTCTGCATAAGAATATAGAACAAAGCTGTTTGAACGATATGTCCAACCATAATTTGTCTTTGGGTGACCGATGCTCCAACTGTCAAGAAATAATCCAGACATCTCTCAATCTCGGTTTTGGCTAAAGCATGTGATGTTCTAATTTCCAATCTCATATTATTGGCACTGTCGTTGGTTGGAACTGGACCTGGAACACCATCTTCCTTAAGATACGATGGAATTTGTTCATCACTGAGGTTACTCCAGTCTGAATTGTGAATTCTCTCATACCAGACTACAGCTCTGTGATATCTATCACATGTTGTCTTCATAACTCTAAACATATGATTGGAAGTTTGGATGATATGATTTTCGAGAGTTTGTCTGATTAAATTCTCCATCTCAACCCTAAACTCTGCCATATGTTGAAGGAATGTTGCTTCAGTGACAAATTGTGGACCTACATTACCACTTCCTGAGTCATTGGTGGTGAAGGCACGACTCCAAAGATCATTAAACAAAGCAGCGGCAACTACTCCAATTACAGGTACTTTAAAAAAATAGATTAATATTAAAACTCTCTATCTTTACTTAAAATTATAATTATACTTACTGTTTCCCAACATTCCAGAGATAATATCACCAATAATATTCATAATTCTACTTCTTGATGGTGTTGGAATAAGAAGATCTTGGACATCTCCAGTAGTTTCGAGGTTTTCTTCACTCTTTACATTAATCAGAGTCAATTCATCCAACTTTTGAACTGGTAATTCTTGGGCAACTATTTCACTGTTTTTGGCTTCCATTAGTAATTATATTTATAAATTTAATAATTTAATTTAGTTGTATTGAACAATCATAATATTATGTTCCAGTATTTATACTTTTTTTTTCAATACTGTATAAAAGATATTTATTCCTTTGCATAGTAAGAAGTAGATGGCGATTAATTTGTAAAAAGGTTGAATCATTGAATTCAATCATTTTTGTTCTAATAAATATCTTTTTCTTCTATTTTGGTAATCATTTGACTTCCTTTTAAATAAATATTGAACCAAGTTTCAAAAAATGTTTCATAAACATTAACAACAAGCCAAAGGATTGTTTTGAGATATAAACTTAAATTCGATCGATGGTTTAATTTACAAAAATATTAAAAATCTGCTTTTCAAAACTGTTTAAAATTAATTTTCAAAATTAACAACAAGCCAAAGGATTGTTTGGAGATAAAAACTAGAATGTGATCGATGGTTTAATTTACAAAAATATTAAAATCTTCTTTTCAAAACTGTTTAATTTTCTTGTCTAGGTTACATTTTTTCACGAAAAATAAAAAAGATGACTTTCCACATTGTTTATGGGGAAAATGATTATTTCATAATAGTAGTTGCCATTTTTTGCTCGAGTAAAAAAAGTTAATATATATACAAATTCGGAATCACAAGATTACACAACCTCAATGTTTTTGGCACAGTTCAGTAAGGATGAATTCAACCCTATTATGAATTCTTAATTAATAACCTTTTCAATATTCTCGAAGACGATTCAGAGGCTGATGAAAATTGGGAGGAACACCATGACTTCATTGAACAAATAATTGGTTTTATTGATGTACTTTCCTACCGAAAACAACCAATCAAACCTTTTGCTGAACAATTACTAACAAGTTACTTGAAGAAATAAAAAAAATAAGTAAGTTGGAAATATCGAGATTAACTTATGAAAGTATTTAAACTAATTTTAATTTTTTTATTTTTCCTTCAGTTCCACCAACGTTGTCATATAAAACTCGCTTCCGCTGAGAGATTAACAGGTATTGTCACCCATTACCTTGACCTTGATGACACCACGCTCCTCCAAGATGAATCCATGAAGATGCGCATTAATTTTATAATAAAAGTAAAAATTAAAAAGTAGTGGGGTTATTGTGATCATATGTGGTTAAATAATTGTAAAGGACAAGCATTATATTTCTCAAATTGGAAAGCACCACAAGAAGATCCAAACAAAATTAAAAAGAATTCATGGCATTTGTAAGATTTAATGTAAATGATAGTTTAAATAATTAATATTAACTTGTATTTATTATGTTAGGGCAATTCACAACACCAATTTACTTTTAGATGAATTATGGGGAAATGCAACAAGAAACTATCATAGCCATACTATTGTTTTCTACAATAAACAACTACTAAAGAGAATCGAAAAAGTGTTCCCCAAACAATTTGAAACAACATCAAGCCAACCATTTAGAAAAGGAACCGATCTAAACAATCCATTTATGTATCATCAGTTTGCAAAGAGATATTATAATCATTTCAGACCGGATCGAAAAGATTACTACTCGGTACTAACCGACGACATTGAAAAAACACAGAAAACAATGCACAAAATACTTTCACAGAGACCTCACACCGTCTGTCTCAACGATGGAATGGGTACACCACCAGAAAGGTGTTGCACCAATATAAAGATAGAAATGAATTGATCAATGATCTATTCAGTGTCTTGAATTCAAATTACACTGATAAACAAGTATGTAATCAAATTATACTTTTATTTTATTTATATTTATCAAAAGTCAATATTTATTCATATTCATTTCAATAATAAATAGATTGTTGATGATTGTTTCTTTGTTTTGAATCAAATCGATTCTCAAATCGAGAATGAAACAAATACAATTTGGAATGATTTATCATTGACTACAAAGATCGACATACATTCGAAATCATTGGACCTTCTTGTATTGAATAGTAATGATCTCAACACACTTCTCTTTGAATTCATCAAAGATCTCTATCGTAATCATAAAAATGAAATTGGTAAATATAATGTAATATAATATTATTATAATTAATCATCTAATATATTTAATTATAAAGATAATAGATGAACAACAGAATATATTAAAACCAATATGGAAAAGATTTAGAAAGAATAAGGATTTAGACTTTAGACTTTCATGTTTGAAGTTGATTGTTTTGATTCTCAAAGAGGAAACATCGAAACAACGTAAAGAAGAATTCCTACCAATTGCTGCATGTATCATTGAAGTCAGTTTGAATCGAAAGAATGATCATACATTGCTGTTACTCGAACAATGTCGCATCATTATTTACTATCTGCCTGCATTTAAAATTGATGATGACGATGTGTTTATTTTCAATGTAAGTAGAAAATCAAATCGAAATAAACAATAATAATTAATTTAATTTACCACATATTTATATTTAGATGTTCAACCAGTATGTCAAGAGTAAATCATTTTCAAATTAACCAAAACTATTTCTCGTTTGTATGAAATTGCAGTTCAACACTATTGTGAAACCACAGATTTCAATGACAATGAAGCACTGAAAAAAGCTCATCAACGCATTACTACACTGCGCAGTTCAATTGTTGATAAACTCCAAGCATCGCAATACCAAAGTTACTATAGAGAAATGATAGATGAAGAAATAAAAAAAATAAGTAAGTCGGAAATAAAAGGATTAACTTTTAAATGTATTTAATTTATTTTAACTAATTTTAATTTATATTTTTTAGACTCCTTCCAACTTTTGAAATCTATAAATTATCAATAATAAAGAAAATACTAAAATCTTCATAAACAAAAAAAAAAAAAAGATGTATATTGAGACACAGAAAAAGTGCACAAGCCAGAAATGGCCGCCATATTACAAACAGCTTTTACGGTGTAAAAATCGCAAACTGTAACGTCTCGACATGGCGGTTTAGTGCATTTTTGCTATGATTTAATAATAAAAATTTGTTTTTTATATTATACAAAACTAAATAAATGATTGGGATTTTATTTGATTATTTAACCTCAACGAGCGTTTCTTTGTTTGTAAAGTCAGTATTGTTGTTGGTGATGTTGATATTGCTTTCATTTGGTGTACTATTGCAACTGTTGGCACTTGGGAATTGAAGAAGTTTCCAGTGGTTTGGTAGTTGGTCTATTCCACCATCGTTGTCATATATCTTGCTGTCGGTTGAACCTCGCTTACCGGTAAGATAGTAACTGATCATATCACCCTTACCCTTGACCTTTATGACACCACGTTCCTCCAAGAAGAATCCACGCTTCAGCACCTTACTGACTTCTTTTGTGACTTGGATCTTTCCGGGTGGCGCTGAGGTCTGCATTCTCGAGGCAATATTGGCAGTGTCACCCCATACGTCAAACTTGGCACGCTGTATACCAATGCAACCGGCTACACAAGGACCAAAACTGATTCCAATTTGAACATTGAGATTCTCGTCGATATGCTTCACATAGGCCTTGGCAGTGAGTGCCATATTCGCCATGTTGGAGAGGAATATTTTTGGCGACTGTGAAGTGTTCAAACCAGACACAACCATATAGGTGGTACCAATGGTTTTAATTTTCTCTAGTTCATAACGCGCCAATTGACCATCGAATATAGAGAATATGTAGTTCATGTGTGACACCATAACGGATGCTTCCAATTGGACAGGCAACTTCTCGAAACCAATGATGTTGATAAACATAATGGCAACGTGACTATACTTTTGGGCAATCAACATACCGTTTCCTTTTCCTTTACCTTCCTTCATCAATCTCTCGGAAATCGAGGTGGGCAATATATTTCCAAGCAGTCTCGAGGATCTTTCCCTTTCTTTTTGAAGAATCAATCCTTTATATTTAACCTTGGATTTAATAACCCATGCTCTTCTCATTCCTAGTTTCATACCGTATGATGAACAGATTTGGATGATCAACACAATTATTATGCCCATATAATCGGTACCATAAAGATGTTGAGTTAAACTTGGTGATAAGAAATACGCACATATGAAAAAGAATGCTAAAAATAAAATAACAATTATTAATATATAAATTATGGATAATGATGTTAATTACTTACCAAAAATAAATATATTTAAAAATGCTACAGATATAAAATTTAAAGAATGGAATACATTTACATAGAATAAAGTTGCACAGACGCGAGTCAATGAAGAACGAGCCAGTGGATTATCATAACGAAGTAATTCTAGGATAGTTGTGATTCCAAATACCAATAACAATAAAAAGAACATCACTTGGTAAACATAGACACGTTTAAAGAATTTGATGAAAGACATGGCGAAATAAAGGATAAATAACAGTCCCATGGCGAGATAGATACTTCTGGCACCAAACACTGGATTTGATCCCATCAGATAGTCGTCCAAGTAAAACACAACATGTAATACCACACCGATTATAATGAAGAATTTCGTCTCGAATACAGTACTGTTGATTACATATTTATGGTACTCCATCTCGACGAATAAATTACGGAACTGGACGATCCAGTGGTTCAACTTGGTGTACTCTTTGAAATAACGATCGACCTCTGTGTTCTCGATGGCATCTTCCTTGGGAGGCGATATCATATCTTCTTTTCTGAAAAATCCATGTCTGATTGGCCTCAGAATGATATCACCGAGCTTTTCATTCTTTCGACTTGGTGGCTTCTTGATACTCATGTTTCTTGGTGTCGAAGCTGTGCTGGAAGGCAACGACATCGACGACGACGAAGCAGAGCACGATGTTGTGTCAATGGAGATATGTGTTGACTTTTCACCGGTTGTGGAATCAAACGATACGACTTCCTTGGTGAATTCATCTTGGTTACCAAAGAAATTTGGTTGGGGAGGTGCCAAACTCATATTGATGGTTGCACCATTACTTGTAATATTGGCGCCATTATTTTGATTTTGATGTTTGGATGATTTTATAAAATAAGTTGTTACACCGAGACTACAATCCAGATTCTCATTGAGGACGTAGTCATCCAAGTTCAACTTGTCAAGACCTCTCTCAGTGATATGAATTTGACCGGCAGAACCATTCTGTTCCAGAGTATGAGCCATGGCAATAGCTTCACCCCAGACATCGAACTGGAATTTCTCACAACCGATAACACCACCGATAACAGATCCGGTAGCAACACCAACTCTTATTTTTACCTAAATAATTTGTTTTGATTAATATTGTATTTTTATAATTATAATAGTAAACATACCTGAACATTTAAACAATTATTTGATAAAATTGGTAATCTTAAAATATCGATAGCAATATCAACGATTGCTTTGTAATGAAAATTGTTTTCGATAGTAAGACCACCGGCACATACATAGGCATCACCATCGGTTTTGATTTTCTCACATTTGTGAGAGTCGACTACCTTATCGAATTCGGTGAAAACTTCATTCAGCAATCTAACCAATTGCTCCGGTGACACTCTTGAAGCTAAACTGGTAAACTCGACAATATCACAATATAAAATTGAACCTAAAAAAGATTAAAATTTTGTTAGTATTAATTATTTTAAGTATTTTAAAAACAATCTTACAATCTGGAAAATCTTTGGAAATTGGTGGTAATGGACTGTTGGTTGATGTTAAATAATTATTCAGAATATCTAGATTGGCGGTTGGAGTATAGTCCTTCATCATCTTTATAACGAAATCCGGTAGGATGTTGGAGAGTAACTGTTCAGATTTTTCTTTTTCAATCTTTAAACTCTCTGCTTTCTTTTGTAATCTTTTACTATCAACAAAACTCTGAAAAAGATAATTATTAATTATTAGTTTTTGATTTTTTTCAAATAAATAGTTTTAGGTGGTTTTATACATTACCTCTTTTCTGGATTTTTCTAAAACATAAAGATGACTTGATCCCATAATGAAAATCGATAAAATATATAGGGTGTAGGAGATCAAATTGATTCGATCCAGTGAGGACTGTATCAGTAGGAATATAATGAAACAAGAGGCATGCATTAAATTTAAAACAACCATCCAAACAAATAGTAGACAGCCCAGTGAATAAAGACAACTAAAGGTAACAGTATAGAGAAACAACATATAGGTGGTGGTGGTAGACTTGTACTCCAGTAGTATAGTGATGAAAAATGTTGTAAATGAGAACAAAAAGAGTGGGTGATACGACTGTTTGTAGAAATTCTTATTCTTTAGGAAACTTAGGAATATTGAAAATGCAAAAACATTAAAACACAACACTCTGACAGCAATCAACATAAACATTGCTGGTTTAGTAAAACCATATGATACACAAAGAATTCCTATTAAATTGGTAATCTAAATAAAATAAAATTAAAATAATAATAAAAATAATATATTAATATAAAAATTAATTTATAAATAATAAATAAAATATTATCTTTTTTATCTTACTCTTAATAAAAATATTTGAGAATTATAATGATGATCCAAGAATTCAGATTCTAATTTACTTGGTAATCGAAGACTATATCTATGAAATAAACTCTTATTTTGATCAACTAAACTATCATCTAAAAAAAATAAGAAATAAAATTTAGTATATAAAAAAAATATAATTAATTTTTAAATATTTACCTGCTGATATTACTAATGGATGATTATTCCAAACTTGTGGATTTTCTATATCAACATTGGTACTCAATGAATTGGCAACAGAGTCGGCTCTGCTTCTTGTTGTTGTGGTAATTGGATTATGAAATGAAAACATATTTTTAAATGCCAAATGTGGCGTATTTGGTCGACTAATATTATTAGGGTTTTGTGAAGAAGGACTGCTATTGGATGATGATGTTGATGATGGTGATGATTGTGAAGTTGTTGTGGATGTATCTATACTACTATGGTTATTGTTATTATTGTTGTTGCATATTGTCAGAGTGTTGGTGGTGGTTGTGACGATGGTGGTAGGAGCAGAGGTTGGCGGTGAGCTTACACCGACGATCAATCCACTCGATCCACAATCGGATACCTCAGCCGAGCTGCTGAGAACATTGCTACTGCTACTATTATGTACAATTGAACCAATTCCACTGGATATCGATGGTGCCGTTGGAAGATTTGCATGACTGTTACAACGATAGTGGCTGATGCCGCCGCTGCTGCTGTTGTTGCTATTATTTACTGCAGAGTGAACTGACGACGAGGAAATCGAAGACAGTGGTGCAGTGTTGAAACTGGATCCATAACAAGAGTTGTTCAGATTGATGATAGAGGTAGCTCTTGTCATGGAAGACTGTGTTTTTAACATTGATGCCCTTAGTGAAGTCATGTTATTTTTGATTGATTAAAATTATTATTTTATAGATCAAAAAACTTCTCTAAAATAATCATAATTAAAACTTTATTTGGAAAAATAAAAAATAAGGAGTCTATTATTGTTTTTTTTTTCAAAAATATTATTATGGCAAATAAATTAATGAAACTACTATCTATTTTTCCAAATTTAAATAAAGTGATATATATTATAACTACAATAAACTAAATTAATTAATTTTTATAAATATTATTTAATTTTTTTTTATTCTAATAAATTACTAATATTATTTTTTATTAATATTATTACTATTACTATTATTATTACTATTAAAATTATTATTATTATTATTATTATTATTGTTATATTATTCTATTTTTGATTGAGTGCATGACAAAGATTTTTTTGTCAAAAACAACATTTGGTAAGAATAATAATAATAGTAATTTATATAATTAAATATGATGGAATTATTGATTGTGTGATGGTCTAATACATTATCATGAATAAACACTAAACTAATCGAGACAAAACAAAAATTTTTATAAACAAATAAATCAATTATGTGTGTATTTGTGGTTAAAATATAATTATATATATATTGTTATTTTTCTCGTTGAATTTGGATGGATAGAGAGTTGGATTTCTCTTTAGTGTCTGTCAATTAGTCAGTCAGTGAGTGAGAATCTAGTTTTATTATTATTATTATTATTATTATTTTAGGTAAGTCGTTTTTCTCTTTGTTTTTGCTTCACACTCTTTTCACAATCTCTATACTATGCTATTATTGTTGTTGTTGTTGATATTGATGGCTAGTTGGATGGATATACCATACATTAGTTTTATGTCTATATGCGACTACTCCAAATCAACTCAATACAAAACAATACTATATTAGTATTACTACTACTACTACAACCAACCACTAGCTTCTACTATTAATATTACTATTACTATTTCCATTCGATCATACACACAGCCACACAATCACTCACACTCACATTCACACACAGATAAACACACTTCAACAAGTAGTAATAAAAATAATAATAGAATTGATGATTTAAATCAATTTTAATTAATTTAATTTTTTTAGATTATTAATTGTCGTTATGATGATTATTTATTATTCAAGTAGTAGTAGGTAGGTGATTGATTGATTTGGAGTGTTTACTTTGTTTTTTTGGTATTATGTTTGATTGATTCCAGAACAACACCACCGAGTTTATATATTGAATACAACAAAGGGGGCAGACAGAGGAAAACGTGAGAAAACTCAGGAGACGTGTGTTATTGTTATCATCAATTTAATTTATATTTTATATTTTAAAATATCATTATTGTTATCTTTCAAAAAAGATATTTAATGGAGTTGAATTACCACTACTACCATCTCTAGTACTATAACCACAACCAACAAGAAATAAAAATATACATATATATATCATCAAATACAATTGTCGTTATTGGTAATTATTTAACTAAAGTACTTCTTTCTAGTAGTAGTATCATTATAATTTTTGATTTGGCAATATAATTATTGTTTATGGCATTTGGTATTGACTCTTTGTACTCTAATAAACAAAAGAAAGTAAGTGTTTCTTGGGTGGGGATGTTTTGCTGCATTGGTTACTCTAAACAAAATTGATTTCAATATTGTATCATATTAAAAAGAACTGTCAGCTGATATATTTTCACAAACACTCACACATAAAAATTCAAGGCACAAACAAACAATCACAAACACACATTCACATCAACACAATCAAATCACCAATTAAAATAATAAAAAGTAAAGTTAATTCTGGAAATGATAATATTAGATCACATCTCTCTACTACTATATATAATATATCGGTAATGCAATTATGATTCAGCTTAATGTTTCTTTTTTATATTATATCCACATTCTGATTCACTTCACAAACACACTTATCATTCGAAAGAAGAGATGAATTGAATTTATAAAATGATAAGATGTGTGGTCATTTCAAGTATTATAAGGAATTGCTTGCAAACAAACATAATTAAATAAATAAAGAACCACTTTAATTGGTTTTATTTGATTGTCAGATAGATAAAATCAATCGATCACTAATTAGTCGGAATATAAAATAAATATATATTAACAAACATACAAAACAACCAAACAACCTAACCAAACATTTGAAAACATTGATAATACACTAATAATTTTACTTATAATGGTTATTACTACTGATTTATTTATTTTTTACGAGAGTGATTGTGTGTAAATGTTAGTGTGTGTGTTGTGTTGGTTGTTGGTGATGTAAAGTATATATTTCATACTACTTTTGTATAAATGAATAAAGATGATTATGACTATAGAAAAACTAAACCTATGGTGTGAAAAATATGTGCTGAATAACAACAAACTACTGATTATCGTACAACTATCTACTCTGATCCGAAAAGCATTATATAAAAATATGTGTTTAATTATATATATATTCATATAAAGTACACACACAATAAATCTCATGTTCAATAAAATGAAAGAGATAATTGATTAAAATAATAAGTAATAGTATTTTAGAACAAAACACAAATTTTGAATTAATCTATTAATATATGGAGATTTATTGAATTGTTAAGAGTAGCAGTTATTATTGCTATTGTTAATGCTATTAAATATCATTTATTATCCAAACTACTACCAACTAAAAACATTCAATCATGATTCTTTTATTTTTGTAAAATGATGAATTACTGATAAAGATCATCTATTTTGTCGATTCTACCAGCAATCACAACAAAGAACAATCAAATAAAGAAAACAAATGCATCTAATAATAATACTAATTTTAATTAACATAAACCAACTAAAACTAAACAAAAAATGAGTAGTATCTGTCCATCTAGTAATTTAATATTCCTTAAAACTATCGTTACTATAATTAATTTCATACTTGATCTATTTGTATTTGTTTTTGTTTTTAAAATAAATCTCTAAGAAGATAGTTGTAACTACCAGAGATTATTACTAACTAACTAACTGACTGACTAACTATCAAACAGACTTTACAACTAATTCAATTCAATTAAACTACATTCTAAAACTGATATGATGATGCTGCTGCTATGCTAAATAACTGACTGTCGACAAAAATTTAAAATCTTATTTCTTTCTTTCTTTCTTTCCTTTTCCTTTTTAACAAATATATATAATTTTAAAACAAAATTATTTGTAAATCGTATAAAACTGTTACTTTTGTTTGTGAATATTGTTGTTTGCCTGTTTCTCTGTTTGTTTGTTTGTTTGTTTGTTTATCGGTTTGTTACTTTATAAATGGACATTTACTTGCTGTTAACTAACAACTAGTTGCATATGTTATCTTTTTTTTTGATTATTTAATGTTTTTGTTTCTTTTATGTTTTTTTATTGATCTTTTTGTTTTATTATTGTTGTTGAGCCTTCTTTTGTTCTCTTGCTTCTAATCTTGAATGATCTTGAAGTGTTTCTACATCGACCTCTGATGCCGGTAGATGTACATATCTTACAACTGATCCTCTAATAAAACAATTCTTTACTGATAACTAAACAACAAAAAAAAAATTTAAAATGAATTAATAAATAAATTTGATTGATTGATTGATCAATTGATTGATATGTTAACTATTTATATTGTTGATTGATTTAAAGCAATGAGTTCAACTTTGAGCTATGTGTGTTGAATGTTCAATCATTTGTTTGTTGTTTGATTGTTTGTTTGATTTTAAAAAAAAACATACCATATATGGGTATTTATCTTCTTCTTCTACTCTGACATCTTTTAATTTAATATTTAAGAACTGATCGACTGACTGCAAGAGACCTGTAATTGAAAGATCATTCTTTAACTCTACTGTAATCTCTTTTCCTACTAATGTTTTATAGAATGAATAAAACAACTGTACAGAATAAAACACACGACGAACGAAAGAATCAAAAATATAAAGTTAGTCAACTGATCATGATCTTCTTTCTTTTATAATCTACTACTTTATATTCATACCATTTCACTATATATAACTATAAAAATAATAAATAAATATACAAAAAAATAACAAGATATCTTTTAATAGAATAAATTACTACTAATAATAATTTATTTTTTTTGAAAAATTCAATCAAATTAAAATTGAACATGATTGTGTGTTGTTTTGGTTCGTTCATAACTTTTACATTTAATATCATGGTCATAGACAGATCTGAGGTACTGCAACTATTGATGATATTATATTTTACATATATAAATAAAGATATGAATTTTTATTGTTTTATTTATTTTTTTAATTATTTTTTATTTTATGATAATGGTGTTAAATCTTTCAAACCTCTTAATATGGCATCGAGTGATTCAATATCTGAACGTTTCAATTCTTTGATCTCTCTATTTAGGTGTTTCGATATGTTTAGGATCTTGTTGAGGTCGTGTTGATCTTTGACGAAATTGATTGCGACACCGGAACGACCGAAACGACCAACTCTACCAATACGATGTAAATAGGTGACAGGGTCTGGTCTACCCTCGACATCCAGTGGAACATCATAGTTGATCACCAACGACACCTGTAGAACATCGATACCTCTCGCCAAGATATTGGTTGCAATCAACAGCTTGGTCTTACCCTCTCTAAACAATTTGATCTGTTCCATTCTCAGATCTGCAGAGTCATCACCGGTGATCGACGACACTGAGAATCCTTCAGCACGCATCTTTGTTGCTAACTGTGAAGCTGTCTTTTTTGTCTAAAAACAATACAACAATTATAATAGTTGGTTAAAATGTGTGTCAACAAAGTATGTTTGATTGTTTGATGGTTTGATTGTTCCTTTTAACTTACATGTACAAATACAATACTTTGTCCAATACTTATGTATGAATAGATATCAGAGAGTACCAATGGTTTGTTCTCGGGAGTATTGCAGTCGATATAGAACTGTTTGATCTTGTCGACGCTTAGCTCCTCTTTCTTGAGTCTAATGCTAATGTTTGGCTGTGGAACAAACTCTTTGATATATTGCTCGACGCCCAGCGAGAATGTTGCAGAGAACAACAAGACCTGTACGCTTTTCGGTAGGAACATTTTGATTTTCATCGATTGGTCATTCATTCCACGTTTATCTATCATTTGATCGGCTTCGTCCAATACCATCATCGCCACCTTTTGTGTCGGAAGTATTCGCTTACTCATAAGATCCAACAGCTTTCCAGGAGTACCTACAATTACTTGATTCTCTATTTTTTTAACTAAAGTATATACATACATAATATTATTATTACTATTATTATTATTATTATTATTATACTAATCAATGTTGAATGTAATTACATTTTTGTTCGGCAATAACTAATAGTGGTTTAATTGAAGAGAACTTTCCAAGTGTACAAACTACACCATGTATTTGAATTGCCAACTCTTGTGTCGGACATACACATATTGCTTGTGGAAGTGGTATTGAAGGATCGACTGTATTAAGCATACCCAATGAGAATGCTGCTGTTTTACCTGTACCAGACTGTGATTGTGCTATTAAGTTTTGTCTTTTTTTTTTTTTTTTTTTTTTTTTTATAACATTATTATTAATACTATTATTATTATTATTAAGTTATAAAATAGTTAATATTTACTTTAAATCAATGATATATGGTAATGCAGCTTCTTGAATCTTTGATGGTTTATTAAATCCTATACCATATACACCTTTGAGAATCTCTGGTTTCCTAAAAATATATATTTTGAATGAGTACTACTACTAACTATAATGATTATATATATATATATATATATATATATATATTATTAAAGAATAGTTACAATTTTAAATCTTCGAATGTCTTTGCAGAGTACAAAGGTGAATTAGGATCACTCTGCATAACAACCAATCTTGTATTGTAATCATCGAGTTGATCTGATTTAATCAATCCTGATATTGGTTCTAAAGAAAATAAAAATAAAATAATGTTATTATTATTAATAGCTGGTTTATGTAATATTTACTTTAAACTATAAAACAATTGTTTTTACTTTACCTTCTCCTTCATCTTCATTCTCTTGTTTTTTATTTGGTGATGTAACTGTTGTTGGCTGTATATCTTCTGAAGTGTTGCTGCTGCTGTTATTATTGTCATTGTTGTCGCTATTGTTACTACTGCTGCTCATTCTATTATTAAAGTATTACGTTTATTATTATAATAAACAACAATCAACTCAACTTTTTTTTGTTCAATTACTTAATGAGATTTATAAATTGCTTCAATTTTTTTAAAAAAAATAAAAATGTTAACATTTTGTTAGTGTATTTTTGAAAATAATTTCTCGGGTGGTAAAGTCGTTTTAACAGGTAGTCATTGACAATGAGCATGCTTGTCATTGACAGAAATAATCCATTAACCAAAGTGTCAACACATTGTTTGAAATTTAAAAGATTTTTTATTAACTCAATTGAGTAAATAAAAAATATTAATTTTATTATTTTGATAATTCTTTTTTTTTTTTTTTTAGATTTGAAGATGTAAAATCTGATGAAATCGTACATTCTTTATCGATGATCAAACAAAAAAAAAAAAAAAAAAAATTTAGCTAATTATCAAATTAAGGTTGAACAAATGATTTATTAAATTCAAAGATTTATGTTATTTTTGTTGGTGTTTTTTTTTTACAAAAAAAATGAATTAAATTCGATTTTTATAAAGATCTCTCTCAACAGAAAAACTATGATCTCCCCTTTTTTATTTGCAAAAATAATTAATGATGTGATAAAAATAAAATGACTTTCAACAAAAAACAGCAAACATGTCGTTTTTACATCATTTTTTGAATATTTTTGGGTGAGGATATTGGGGTGCAAAAAATTGGGGTGAAGCTTGAAGCTGTGTGTTGGTAGTGCGTTTGATTGATTTTAAATAGATTATTTATTTTGAAGAGGGCGCAATGCCAACCTATCAACTAATGAAATCACAAGAATAATCCATACCACAAAATAACAACATTGTTCATTACCACCATACTCTCAAATCAAATCAAATCAAATCAATCAAACTAAACTACAACATTTATAAATAAATTTCTTAGCAAACACAGTAATACATAACAGACAGATACATACACATATATTTTATAATAAAAAATTTAAAGTAGAATAGCTATTCAATTAAAGTTATACATATACAACAAATAGTGTTCTTTGGTCGATTTTATTATTGATCACTCTCATTTTTGTTTAATCAGTGGTGGTTTTTTTCGTTCTTTTTAAGTTATTTTACCCCATTTTAAAACTAATGTTCATTGGCAATAAGTCTATTACTTTTTGTTAAAACACCCACCCCCTATCAACTTTCATTATATATCTTTCCATTCAATTTGTGTTATTATCTTTGTGAGTTCTTATTTATTTATTTTTATTTATTTTATTATTAAATTTATTTATATTTTTAATTTTATTTAGTTTGTTTTATTTAGATTAGTTCTTTTTGTTCTTGGTCAAAAATTCTTAAAATAGAAAAATAAGAAAAATCAAAAATTATATTGTATCAAATGATTGTTCATTTTCATAGCAATCATGTTTATTTATGTTTTTTGTTATTTTTGATTTCGAGTGTGGGTTTCACGGAACTCTCTTTGGCTCTTCCAGGTGTCACAACCAGACCTAAATTACAGATACCAGAGGCACCAACACCATTCTTCAATAAAGAGCATATCAAGCGTGTCGAAAAGATACGTTCACTCAACAGTATCGATGTACTGTCAAACTCTCATTATAGAAATAGCAACGCCGCAAAGAACAGTGTCTTGGATGCCACTGCTACCACGGTTGGCGAACGTGATGCTCTCGTCGCACTGTACGACCAGTGTGGAGGAAACGACTGGACCATGAAATCAAATTGGAAAGTCTCTGATCCTTGTACCAACAATTGGTACGGTGTCATTTGTAACCCGAATGGCCAGGTGACATCTCTGATTTTGGAGGAGAATAACTTGGTCGGAAGTCTACCACAGCAACTAGAGAATTTAATTCACTTGGAATCAATCATTTTGGATGGTAACCTACTTACTGGACAGATTCCAAATATTTTCGAAACAATGACAAATTTAAGTGTAATACAATTACAAAATAATTTATTAGAAGTAAGTTTTACAATTATTTAATCTATAAATAATTTCAAATTAATTTTCTTACATTTTATTTATCATTAGGGTGATATATCATGGACAGAGAAACTACCGTTGAATATAACATATTTATGGATTGCAGGTAATCAATTCACTGGTGAAATACCAAAGACATGGCCAAAGTATACAAAGTTGGATTTAATCTTTGTTGAATTGAATAGATTGGAGGGTACCATTCCAGAAGAAATTGGAAATATGGAGAGTTTAAGATTATTTGATATTGGTTTTAATAATATTATTGTAAGTTCAAAATTAATCTTTTAAAAATGTTTCTAAATATTAATATTTATTTTATTTTAGGGTTTTATTCCAGAAACAATTTCAAATCTAAGTAAATTAACACATTTTTGGGCATATGATAATAAGTTATCTGGTAATTTACCATTGTCTATCGGTAATATGTCAAATGTTCAAATGATAGAGTTTACTAGAAACAATTTATCAGGTGAGATTCCAAGTAATATCTTTAACCATAAAACAACATTTCAGAGTATCAGATTAAGTGGAAACAAATTCCATGGATCACTCGATTTTGTTTGTGGTTTGACCGATATTGTCGAAATTCTTTTGGATGACAATCTATTCACAGTATTACCGAATTGTATGGACTCGGCACCAACCCATTTGGTAGATTTTGTACTCTCTGGTAATCGTTTGACCGGTACCATTCCAGAGTCTTTTGGTAACCTGACAAGTCTTAGATTTATCAATTTCAGAAATAATAATTTGAGAGGAGCAATCCCCCAAAGTCTCTCTAAATGTGTCAATCTCTCCAGACTGGATATCTCTGAAAACAGCTTCGATTGTACACTCTATGAAGTTATTGGTCCAGTTAAAAAATTATCTTGGGTATCTATCATTTTTAAACAACAACAATATAAATTATCTAAACAAAGTTTATTAATTAATTTATTATCATTATAGATTAGTATTATTAAAGCAAATGATAATAATATTACAGGAGAGTTTATTGAAGATATGTTTTGGGATTCCGATTCAGAGAAAGAGTTATTAAAGAGTATTTTCATTATGGATCTTTCAAACAATAAGTTGTCTGGTGCAATATCCGATTATCTCTCTTGGATGCTATCTTTGACTCACCTGGATCTCTCTTACAATAATTTTGAGGGACCTATTCCAAACGTATTGAACTACCTAAGCGAATTGTACTTGGAGGCGAATCAATTGAGATCCGAAGATGGTGGTATTCCGACATTTATGAAACCTTCCCTGAATTTCATAAGAATGGGATCGGACAACTATGCCTGTCCAACACTCATCGGTAACGCTTCCGATATGAGAATCACCATCGATCCTGCCTACTACCACTTTACACTTTGTTCTTGTATCGCTGGAACTACCGGTGTGAACGGATCCTGTAATCCATGTCCAGATCATGCAATCTGTAAAGGCAATGGTACCAATATCATTGTTCCACCAGGTTACTATCCTGTTCCCACTTTTGACGATCCTAAATCACTGGTACGTTGTCCAACCAGTAATTTCGGTACAACTTCATGCAATCCAGATGGACTCGATTCGTACCAGTGTAAAGAAGGATTTACCGATCGTTTATGTGCACGTTGTGTATCAGGTTATTTTACTAAAGGTGTTGACTGTGTAAGATGTCCTGAAAATCCAAGTAAGTATAGAAATATATATATTTTTAATCAACTTATTTAACCTATATTTAATTAATATTCCATTATCTCTTTTCTAGAATCTGGTATTATTTTTGCATTTGTATTATTAATATTTATATTATTATTTATATTCTTTGTCTTAACTGATCCAAAGAGATCACTTCCATCGGCAACTCGTAAAACCATTGTATTTTATTATCAAGTAAGTTTTTAAAATTAAAATATTAAAATCTCTTTTGAAATTGAATATTAATTTAATTTATTTATATGAATAATTATAGGCATTGAATTTATTATTATCTAAATTATCACCATGGCCAAAATTATTTGGTTTCTATTTCACATCATCTAGTTTTATTAATTTTTCATTTGGATTCTTGTGTATTGGTGATATTTCGAGATGGCCAAATCTATTCTTGGTTATTATTTGTTTGCCACCGGTGGTAGCTGCAGCCACATCGATATTCCTTTTCGTTATCTACTTGGTTTACTTCATTAGAAAGATTCCATTTGAAACAAGATGGTTGAGATCATGCTTCCGTGTCAATTTGGTAGTTCTGAATTTCCTCTATTTACCACTGTGCATCTATATTCTACAGAATTACAGTTGCACTGCCGATTCCTATAGTGGCGATAAATACATGTCGTTCTTCCCATGGATCAACTGTAGTGAACCGGACGGTGTCTACCAAGACATCTTCAAGGTGACAGTTGTGGCCACCATCGTCTATGTCATCGGTATTCCAGCGTTGTTCACAGCGCTGCTCTTCCACTATCGCTCGAGACTGGACGATCCGTTTGTATTGTCATTCGTCGGATCACTCTACATCGACTATCGTAAATCGATCTACTACTATGAGATCATTGGTTTGGGTCGTCGTTTCATGATGGCAGTCTCACTGGCTTTGATCGATCCAAAGTCTTCGTTCTCAGTGTTCGTCGTGCTCCTGGTAATAGGTGGTTCAATTATCTCACAGATCAGTCTGCGTCCTTTCATCTACAAGATCTCCAACTACTCAGAGTTGATCGGTATCAGTGTGTTGCTATTCAGCTACATCTGCATCATGATTCTCTCATCGATGCAAGCAACCAATCAATACGATGGAATAGGCATTCAAATTATATTGGCAGTGGTAATCATCGGTTACACTGTCTACTTAGGATTGCTATTCCTCTTCAGTTTGAAATACTTCCTGCCAAAGAAGATACAGGTCAAGTTGGATGAACGACTCTCAGTTATATTCGACCGATTTAGAAGATGGAAGATCCAGCGAGATCAACAAAGACAGCTACAAGAGGAAGAGGATGAATTGTTCTATCAATCGATAGATCCTATCTTTAAGCGATCGAGTACAGCCAATCTGATTGATAACGTCACCAACGAAAGCTACGGAATCGAGCTAAGACGTAGAAACCCAACACTTTCACAATCGACACCGATCGTTCCACTTCAAACATCAATAGCAGTACAGAGCAGTCCACCAAAGACATCTAGTACTAGTTCACCTAATCTCTCCACACTACAGGAGAACATCTCCTCCAACGAAAAACAACCTTCACAAACATCATTGACGAATAGTAATGGTAGTACAAATAGTAATAATAATAATAGCAATAGCAATAACAATAATAATAATAATAATAATAATCAAGAGCTTATTAATAATGATAATGAAATTAATAATGATAATCAAAGAGTAAATTAATAATAAAATATTACTAGTTATATAGATCATAATTTAATATATTTATTTATACATATTTTTATTGTTTATTTTTTATTTATTTAGATTGATGATAATAATAATAATGGTAGTAATGTTATTAAGTATAAAAAGTTTGTTTTAATATATGAAGATGATGAAAGGTCATCATGAAGTAGATATTCATCGTGTTGATTAGCTACATCAACTCTGATGGTGTGAATTTTGGTATCTGTGGTGATATTACATTTGATGTTTGTAAAATTGCTAATCTTTGGTAATGTACACTTTGTATTTTCGTTGATCGTCACCGAGATTGGCTCGTTGAATCCAGATCCTTCAATCAATAGAACATCGTCAACCACACTTGCTGATTTAATAATTGGTTCTTCAAAGGATAGTCTTACCACTTTGTTAATGTCAGGTGGCAACAAACTTTGGTTAGCACCATCACCACTGAAACTATATTGATAATCATAGACTCCAGCGCCACTCTCTAGAATGCAACTGATCTCTTCATTTGATTTAACTGTTACATTGTTACATATTAAATTGTTTTTGCTATTTACATTGTTATTGGTGCTGTTGAAATGTATATGCGTAATCTTGGTATCGCTTTGTAAAAGGAGCTGGTTAAGGAAACCACCAGTTAAAGTTATAGGTGCGATACCTGACACTGGTATTTGGTCTTGGTTGTTGATAAAAGGCTTCAATGTTAAATCGATTGATTTCGAAGGTATTCTATTGGTGCTTACAGGATCAGGTTTAAACTCTATCTTTACTGTTGCAATGTTATCACTCATGTTACTAGGAACAGTTACATTCATATCCCAATAATCGTTAAACTGAACAAATTGAGCAGCTTCTCCCTTTACTGTTACACTTGACACTGTATTACCAATATTAAAACATAGTGATAACTTTATAATATTTCCAATCTGTGTGTAATTTACATTAGGAATATCATCTAAAATAAAGCAATGATATTTATTAATATTATTAAAATAAATTAAAAAAAAACTTAAGACTTACTTAAATTAAATGAATATGAAACATTTGCAGTATTAAGTGTATAGGTTCCTAAGAAATGATGATTCTTATTTTCTTTATAAAATATATTGAGTTGTGATGCACTACCTGTTGCATTGTTTAGATCAACTAAATGAAAGATAAAATTACTACCGTCATTTCCATTGATTTGAGTTTCCTTTGTGAAATTGTTTTTATTTTCTGGATCATTCATATAAATATTTATATGGTCATTATAATAATTAATTTTAAAAACTAATAATAATAATAGAAATATTGTTAGTAGCTACTAATTAAATATCAAATTTAAATTTTCTTACTAAAATCGTCACAATATGATAGAGATATAAAGGAATAAATAAATATTAAAAATATTGAATATATAATTTTCATTGTTTGTGAATAATGTTAATTATTTGTTTTGAAGTGTAATATAGTAAGAAATGATTTTAATTAATAAAATCAAAAACTAATGCTTTTAAGATCTAAGATTCTTTCTTATCATATTAACATAACAAAAAGATTAAAAACTTTTTATTTTAAATAAAAATAAAGAATGTATGAAAACAGTGAATTTGAAATCAATTCCAAAAACAAGGAATTGATAAAATAGGTGAGGACATCATTAACACACTGTTTGATGAAAAAACAATACCACTTGAAAATCACAAACTTGTCAACCCTCAGACAAACCAATCAAATTGATCCTAAAAACGCAAATGCTTTTACCCCCATCCACAAAAAAACTTTATCCACCTTTTTCAAGTTCTCGGAACTTTATCAACAGCACCACACACTGCCTCTTCACCTGAATCAAAAATTTCAAAAAATGAAAAAATTAATTTTAATTAAAATTAACATTGATTGGGAAGAGGTCCTTCCTTCCCTCTCTTTATTATTGTTGTTGTTTTTAGAATGACTTGCCATGCTTAACTGCGTTGTTGTTGTTGCAAAAAACACAAAAATAAAAACAAAGGTAAAAGGAAATTCCAATCGGATGGTTTGATGATGACCGATGATGAGACAGAGGAATTTTCTGAACCTGAATTAGAGTTACCCGTTGAGGAGGAGGTCGGAGGATTGTTAGATGAATGAGATTCATCTTTTTGGTATTCCACCCATTGATTTGCTACATCTACTCTTAGCTTATAGAGGACCGTCACCTGGGTGTTGCATTTTATATTTGTAAAGTTACTGATTGTCGGTAGACTGCATGTCTTATTATCATTGATTGTTACTATTATTGGTTCATTAAAGCCTGTTCCATTGGTAGAGAGAACACCACCACTCTCTAAAATAGTTGAACTAATTGATGGTTCTTCATATGAAAGTATGATTGTATTATTATTATCATAACTATTATTATTATTACTTATTGTATTGGTTGAAATGAATGTATAATTATATTTATATGATCCTGATCCACTTTGTATATTACATTCTAACTTATCACTTGTTATAATATTAAGATTTGAACAATCTAATGTTTGATTTTCATTGGTGAATCTTATAATACTACTATTATTGTTGTTATTGTTATTCAAAGTTGATAGAAAACAACCTCTAAGTGAAAGTGTATAGTTTCCTGCCACTGGTATTCTTACATGGTTTGATGGATCGTCAATCAAACTAGGTTCTAATAGTAGTGTAAGTAAAACATCTCTTGATATCACTTTATTCGAGTAGAACTCTAGAATGATATCATTAACAGTGATGTTACATGGTACCTCTATGACTATGGTCCAATTGTTATTGAACAACGTGAATGGAATCGGCGTGTAGTCTTTGGTGACATAGATCGATCTTAAACTACTACCCATATTGAAATTCATACCAATAGTTACATTATTCTCTACTTGTGTTTGATTTAAAGGATTTGGTGGTTCAACTTTAAATTTATAAGAAGATCTGTGTTATTATTATGTTGATTCAATCTAAAATAGATATATATGGGTACTAATAAAACTTACATAAATAAACAGTGTATGGCAAACCACCACCAGGATAAACATTAATTGTTCCATAGAATGGTATTTTCGGGTTATCTTGGAAATCAATAGATATTTGATGTGTTGTTTTATTAATTGGATCTAAATCGACATATTTAAACACAATACTAGTGTTATCATCAGTGAAAAGTCTAGTTCTATTTGTGAAATAGCTATCTGGTAGATTTGAATCACTGTTCAATGTTAAATTTACTTGATTAATAGCATATGATACAATAACTATAAAAAAATAAAATAAAATTATTAAAAAAAATGAAAAAAAATTTACTTGTCTTTTACATACATCCTTTAGAAGCAACACCCTCTATCTTTAAAAGGAATAAAATAGTGATAAAAGATAAAAACAATTTATGATACATTATTTTTTAGTTATTTGTTAATTAAATTAAAACAAAAAGTTACTCTGTTTAGATCTTCTATTTACATATTTTTGATGGTTGGACTAAATGTGTTATTATAATAATTTACACTTTATTAATAATTTTAACCATTTTTGATCAAAAAACAAAATCTTGAATCTTTTTTTTTTTGTGAGTAGTTATCATCTCCATCAAGCAGATCTTTAAATTTTGTTAAAGTTTAATTTTTTTGTGAGTAGTCCACTAAATAACCCAGTTGGGTTGTGATTGAGTAAAAAAAACACACCTCCTATGTGATCACCATTGTAATATTGGGAAGTAATAAGAATAGTTGATAATGTACTTAAAATTTGATTGATTTTAAAATTTTTTTTTTTTTTAATCAAAGTTATAATCTTTTAAGAAATTGATAACAAATTCATTTTTTGTAGTTTTAGCTAAAACTTTTAATCTTGATCGGTCAGTGCGAGGATTTTTTAACAACCAATCGATAGCGTCTAAATTCGATATGTCGAGCTTTGACAGACAAGTACTTATTTTGTTATCGTAGAGTTCATGTTTTACCAGTTGATGTTGATCGAGATATTTAACCATTTCAAGATCGTTGTTCTCCAGTGCATAACCAAGTGCTTCATCAGAGCAACCTTCTGTCCTATTTTCATTTAAAAATCTAACGGTTTCCAAATCTCTATTCCTAATGGCGTTGTTCATAGCAAACTTTGTACAATGGGTCGCAGTTGGATAGTTGGCATGAAGATACTTAACCATCTCCAGACAATGTTTTCTTCCACAAGTAATATCGAATGTATTCTCATAGAATCCTTCGGTTCTGTTGGCCGCCAAGAACTGGAATGTCTCTAGTTGCCCATTGATGGCAGCATACGACATTGCATTGGCAGTGCAACCCTCGGTTCGGTTGTAATGAAGAAACTTGACAATGTCAAGCGAGAATCTTGCAGCAGTGTCGAATGCCTCCTTGCTGAATCCTTCCGTTCTATTCTTGTGGAACCACTGTACTGTTTCCAGAGGTCGCGAAGCTGGCAAATCACTTGGAATCTGTCGAGACAAGATCTGTACTGGTTTGCCACCGATTGCACCTTTCTCGTGTAGCCACTTTAGAATGTCGAGTCGATAGTTGGAAAACGCATTGTACAGCGCGATATAGGTGAACGATCGGCATTTCTCGTAGAGAAACTTGACGAGGTCAAGCGAAGATCCACCGCAAGCAAGATCTACATCGGCAGCAGCGACTTGGTATTTTTGTTTCGAACTACTGAGCCAGAGGTATGTCTCCTGGTTGGCATTCAATCTCAGACCTATTCTCGGTGGTTGCAGACAGTATCGCTCCACTAGCCAATCGGCAACATCGTAGACACCGAGTTTGACAGCTTTGATAAATAGACCCATCTTTTCGAAATCGCCTTTCTTTATGTTTGTCTGTAGTGTATCGAAATCACGTTGTTGTAGTGCATCTTCAATGGTTACAATCTTTTGATTCTCGCTTTGTTTGGCGGCGTAGAAATCGAGTTTCTCTAGTGTCACATTGTGAAGATAGTCGATAATTTTGAAATAGTAGCTCTTGTTGATCACCGATTTCATATAGGCGACAATATCGAACCTAGCCAATTCAACAGCAAACTTTATACAGCTGAGAGACAGCAGTTGAACACGTGCGCTCTCACTCTTTTCGAACATCAGCTGTATGGCTTTGAGACGGTCGTGTTTGATCGCCGTCTGTAAAATACAGTGAATGTCTCTATCGAATAGATAACACCTATAGTGATAGTGGTCATCGGATTTACAATCCAACCAATAGTATTGTAAAGCATCGACATAGTCATATGCAATCAATTGTTTTGGTTTACCAACGAGTACCGACCATGAATATACAGCTAATTTTAGATTCTTATGAATATTCTTTACTTTTTTGAATATCAATGATCTTATAATATAATTTTTAAATAAAGAATTAAATATTTGATTTTGCATAATATTAATAATTGAAATAATGATAAACACAAAATAATATTTTTTAATTATGTTCACAAAAAAGATTATTTTTTTTTTTATTGAATAGAAATAATGTAGAATTCATGATAGTTGGATATCCAACAAATTATTTAAAGTTTTTTTGTTATTAAAGTTTATTCATTTTAATTATCATATATATATATAACAACATCATTGAAATTCACTCATTTAGATCTATATAAATCATTAATATTCATACATAGTATTAAGATAGAATAGATAGGCTTATCAGTAGAGGAGTGTTGATCAACAACAGAACAATTAGGTGAAGTGAAGTTGGATGGTTTTAATTAATCACAATCAGATTTGAAATTACCTTGATACACTAATTAAGTCATTGTGTAATAAGAGTTATAATGTATAATTTTAAACTTTTCACAGGAGAGCTATATATTTGTAAAGTAGAAATCAAACACTGCAGTGAAACAACATTAATTCACAATGATCATGAGACTTAGAGAGGCTCAAGTTACAATAAGCTTCAAATATCAAATAGAAGAGCAGTCATGTCGACAGTGTTAGAAAATAGCGCACGGTCAGGTTTTATGGTAATTGGTGACCTTAGAGTGGCTGGTTTTAAATTTTACAGCCTACCTCCGACTAATATTAACAGAACAGATCTGCTACATGGCATAAACCACAATAGCAACAATGAAGAGGCGTACAGGATATTCAAACGAATGCTCTTCTTTCATTGTTTTGCGACAACATCGGGATACCGCTTGCGGGTAAGCAATATTAAAAATATTTGAGTGCTCGGACCTGGAATCGAACCAGGGTTAGGAGGACCACAACCTCATGTACTGCCACTATACGATCCGAGCTTTTGATGCTGGCCATTATTTATAAAAAAAAATAAAGTTAAACCTACTTGATTGTTTTATTACATTTGGTGACATCGTCAGTTCTTTTGGTTTAATTACCTTATCAAAGAAAATCGAGGAAGAGATCTCCAACGTGCCCTGCGTATTCAAGCATGATGTACTCTGGTATCAGTATAACCAAACTCAATATCCACTGTCAATCATCAAGTCGTTACAACTCCAGGTGCAGTCCCTGGTATAAATAAATAAAAGATACATCCGGAGAATATATAGCATACTAAGGCAAGAACTGTATTTGTCTTCAACTTGAATAATCTTATAGTTTCATTATTGGAAAACTCAATAAATATAAATTGGAAGAAGATGAAAATGTTTATAATTAAATTATTAATTTAAAAATACTTAAATAATTTTAATGTATTACTTTTTTTGAGTCTCAAAGTACAATTCCATCCTTGAATATATATGAATCTTTGTGTGACATCTTAAAATACAATGTCAATCAATTGATTTTTGATAGAATCTCTTACCAATGTATGCAAATTCCAAAAAAAAAAATTGTAAACAAATCTGCATCTTATCAAAACTTTTTGTTGAATTCTATTATAAAAACAAAAATAACAAGATGTCACTGAAATAAAAACTATCAATAACACCAGGTCCAATTATCTGTCTTTTTGAAACGATATATGCATTATCATAAATATAAATTACTTTCGAAGTAGATCGCTCAAAAGTTTTAAGACCTTGAGTGCAAAGTAGTGTAAACCATTAAATCAACAAATAGTCATATTAATTGTATAGTTCTAATATATACCATACCAAAAATAAAAAACTTATTTTTTTAATTAGAATATAAATAATGTTTTAGGTGTTGTTTTTTTTAAAAATAATAAAGATTATTTTAATTCTTTTTAAAATAATAAAGACAGATTTGTGAAAAATCAAACAACAAGTTAATAATTTACGACCTCACAGAACAAAAAATATCTTAATTCGCAATTATCCAAAAAAGAAAAAAAAACTTTAAAAAAAAAAAACCATCATTAATTTAAATCATGGATTCATTAATCTTTCATTTTACTATTCATTTCTCTATTTATTTGTTAAACAAGTAATTTAGTAAATGGCTACAATTGATCCACCATTCAAATTAACTGATGGGTTGGTTTTCAGATTAAGATCAAGAAAAGGTTTAAAAAATAAAGATGATCTTCCCGATTGGTATTTAGCCTATAGTGAATCCGATGGAACTCGTATGTATTCGTATTTTCAATACACACACACAGACACCACTTCAAATTTGTTTGTTCAGTAGTTATTAAGATTCATATAATCATCATCTTATCATTTAGTAATCAGTAATGGTGGATATAATAAATCATCGGAATGGATGTTGAAAGCCGATCCAACAAACGAAGGTGTCTTCTCTATAAAGGCTGCAAACTCTAATCATTTCATTGCGATCAACGATGCTCTCGAAGTGAAAACTCCACCACAGGCCAATCCAAACACCAAGATGAAACTGTTCTTCTTGGATACTGGTAAGGTGTGTGTCATGAGCTTCACCCACAAGGATAAAAAGAATCGTGCAGGTGGTGCCGGTCCACATCTGGGTGTGCAACCACGTGGTGAACTCATAGGAAATGCAGGTCGTGGTGAGTGGGGACAATTCGATTTCCTTCCCACCGATCTCGCTGCCAACAACACAAACCTCACAAAGCTACAAAAGTCGATTGCACTCAACGCTCTCCCACTGTCCGATCCTCAACACGAAGCGACTCAACTGCTCTTTAACCATGCGAAACATCGTGAATTGTTCTACGGTCAATTCATCGTGGAGACAAAGCCTGTCTCTGTTGCCAAGGCATTGTTGAACGCCGATTTCAAACTGCCAAACATGAAGGTCGATAAGTGGGCGGTGTTCTGTGCAGCTCCACCATCGCCAATGCCAAGTCAGAATGTGAAATCTGCCTCTCTAAAGGTATACAATCTAAAGAATGAATTGGTATCGGGATCCGATATGAAACAGACAGAGAATGGCCATTACATGTTGAGATCTATGGTTCACGGTTATCCACACAATATCACTGCCAAGTATGAAATCGAAGCACAACTGTACTCTATGACATTGAAACGTGCTGAACCAGGACAAATGATTCCACCGGTTCCAATGATGGGTGAAGAGCAACGTGCATACCATCTAAAGAAGACCAGTCTGATGGATTTCGATAGTGTAGTATTCCAAAATTGGGTTACCAACAATCGTCTACATCCAATGCCAACCGAAATCGGACCAGAACCACTACTTTGTTATGCATATCGTGTATTCTTGTTCATCAAGATTCACTTCTCCTATATCTATGCCAAGGATGTAAAATCAAGAAAAGCATCCGACACTATTGTACGTCGTGCTACCGATTGTGGTGGATTCTGTATTTTATATGCTGCAATTATGAGGTAAAAAAAAAAAAAAAAAAAACAATACAAAAACATTTAATAACTAACATGTTAAATTATAATAATTTAATAGAATGCATGGTATTCCTTGTAGATTATTATTTGGACGTTGGGCAGCAACTACTCCTGAACCAACTGGAAACGTTCATGTAAAAGGTGAATTCTATTGTGATGGTGTAGGTTGGATTCCATACGATCCAGCGTCGGCAATCACAAACGACCATACAGCACCTTACACCAAATGCTTTGGAAGCAGCGGTGGTAACTTTATTACTATGCACTTTGACCACAACATCCAAGGTCTAGAGACAATCATTCAAGGCAAAAAGAATATCGAGTTTTCACAGGGTGTATTTTACTATGTATCGGGACAAGGTAATTTTGAGAAAGAAAAACTCCACTCTAACTTGGACCGTAAACACAAACTAGAACCAAACATCACAAAAGATACGCTTTCATTTGTAATAAAATTAATTCTTTTTCTTTTTTTTAAAAAAAACTAAACCAAACATTTCCTATTAATTGAGTATTCTTATTCTATGAATATTTTGGTTAAACTCAATCCTTTGATGTTCAACATTTATTAAATCTTCAGTGCTGAAATTAAATCAAAACCTTCTCTGCTATCACTTTCTCTACTATCACTAAGAAAACGTTTCTTTTGTTGTTGGTATGATGGTGTTGTGTTGGTGATCTTGATCGTGATCCTGAAGGTGAGCTTGATGGTGAACTTGATTGTGATCCTGAAGGTGATCTTGATTTTTTTGTTTTAGTTATATCTCTTTGATCTGCATATTTGACAAATGTTTCAAAATGAAATCTAATTAACTAAATTTTCAGCCCTTCCTTTAAAGTTTTACTCTCTTTTCCATTATATTTCGCTTTTTTTTCTTCCAAAGTCAACTCATTAAAAGCCTTGAATTCTTTTAGTGTATTTTCATCTCTGAAACTATGAAGTGCATTGGCTGCTAATGTTCCGGATGATCTTCGATAGTTTACGAATACGGCACCTTGAGCACCTTCGCCGATATCTAATCCTATTGGCAACATTTCTTTAGAATGATAATCCTTGTATTTCCAAGGTGGGTCATTCAATAGTTTTGTTTCAAGAATGATCATTTGGCAAGAGCTTTCATAAATCTTGAGATGAATGCTAAAGCAGGTGAAATTGTATATACTTACCAATAGAGCCAGTACATGATTTCTGAGAATAATACATATTCCTCCACTAAAACAGACGTTCCATTCTTTATACCTTTCACCAACAGGAAGAAAAGCCAATTTTGAATGATCCATTTGACTTCCATATGAAGAACCCCATTTAAACTCTTGGTTTCCTGACTGGACTGTGTAAGTTGTCCCAAACTTTGCCAAATTCACTCTATTTGCATACTCGAAACCTTCTTTATCTCCTAGATTCCATGTGATATCAGAATTCTCAAGTCTGACTTTTCTCCATCGGCAAGGAGAGGAAGGCAAGGCTGATGGGTTTCTTCTTTACATTCTTTTTGGAAAAGATTTGACCATATAGATCTTATGTCTTTTACTCTACTTGGTTGTCATTTAATGAAATATAAAATTTTCAGTTGCTTGCACAGTAGTTCTATCATCTAAACTATCGACATCTTGGAATCTCTTTGAACCGTGTCTAGATGCTACTGTACCTCTTTCTAGATCGGGATTTAAAGCACTGATAAATTTTTATCATTTCGTCAACTGTGTTTTTTTTAAACAATATGCAAAAAAAAAATCAAAAAAAAAAACTTCTTATTATTATTTTTTTTAATTATTCAAAAAGATGATCATTTTTTTTAATTAAAAAAAATGGATAAAATATTATTATTAAAGATATATAATAACAAAGTAATTTGTAATATAATATTGTATTATATAAATAACATTAATTTATTTAAAAAAAGTTTTGTTCATACGATTTTTCATTCTGATTACACAACCTATAAATGGAATGATTTAGTTAAAACACCACGTTTGTTAGCAGGTAATGGGTATCTTCAACTAGTGATGCGATTTTTCGATTTGAAATTCGGTAACAATCAAAGTGAGTTACATAAATGGCTCAGTAGTGAACAAGGTGCACAAGTCTATGTGGCGGCAGTGAAATCAAACAATCTAGAGATTCTAAAGTATCTGAACAAACTGTATCTGACACAGTATGATCTTTTGAGTCCGGCTGCCAAGTACGGTCGTTTGGACATATTGAAACATCTTATCGATACGCAAGCCGGCTGGGATTTCTACAGGTCGTTCGTGGTGGCGCCGCTTTCCGGTAGTCTGGAGGTCATGCAATTGTTGGCTCCGCTCATTCCAAAGATAGTGTATCCCTCGATGTATTCGAATACTGCGTTCGATTCCGCTGCCAAAATAGGTCAAATAGATATGATTGAATGGCTGCAAACGAAAAGACCCAACGATAGAAGCTCCAGTTGGATGTATCATACCGCCATAGAGTCAGGACATCTGCATGTGATCCAGCATCTTTTGGAGAATAACAGAGACGATATCAACTGTCAAAAATACGGATTCACAATCTTTGATTATGCAGTGTATTGCAATCAATTTGAAATACTTAAACTCTTACATTCCTACGGTTTAAGAAAAAACGTTGGTTCTCTCATTGAGATCACTATGAACAACAATAACTTTGAAATGCTAATATGGTTGGTTGAAGTACATAATCATAGGATTTCAGCGAAAGACATAGAACATGCAACTGAAAAAAATAAACCAAACATGTTGTGTTATTTAATTGAAACTTTTCAAAAACAAAAACAAAAACAACAACAGCAACTACAATAAATTCAACACTTTTAATAAATATTTATAATTCAATCTAATTGTATTATTTATTGATTTGTCTTTTTAGTTAATCCTCTTGGAATTAATAAAGTTGGTCTTCTTGTAGGAATATTTGCTGCTGAGGCAGTTGGTTTTGTTACTTGACCGGCTGGTATTGGCGCTTTGCCACCACCGGGTGGTTTCGATCGAGCGACATTCAATATCTTGCCCATAAAGTATTTTTGATTCATCTTGAGTGCTTTCTCTACGTTCTCTTGATCCGGTAAATCCATGTAGGCAAACGGTCTACCACCGGCTTTCGATATCAATCTGATCTCTGTCCATTCGAATCCTTTGCCAGTGAAGAACTCTTCCATCTTCTCTTTGGTAACAGTCTTGGCCAAATTGTTGATAAACAGTGTTTTACCCTCGGTGTTGGCATAGTTAATTTCCTTGCCTTCTTCGGTTTCGGCACCGGCACCACCGGTTGTCGTATCCATTGGTGTGATACCGCCAGCAGCTTCCAACTGTTGTTTCTCTTCTTGACGACGTTGTTGATGTCTCTTGGTGGAGTAATCGACCTTTAGTTTGAATCCCTGGAGTTCGAGACCATTGACTTGTTCCAGTGCTTTGGCTGCACTCTCACCCAGCTTGTACTCGACGAAAGCAATACCTTTGGAACGTCCTTTCCTATCGGTAACAATCTCTGTAAGATCCAACTCACCAAACGGTTTGAACAACTCTATCAATTGCTCGACAGTGGTTGCAAACGATATATTGGAAACAAATAAAACTTTCTTTAAATCAATCTTTGGTTTTCTTTCTTCTCTTGGTGGTTTACCATTATTATTATTATTATTATTATTATTCTTATCACTATTCCTATTATTCTTTGTTCCTTTTTCACCTTTTTGTCTCTTTCTATCATTATTACTATTTGATCTTTCATCAGTCAACTTTCTCTTTCTCTCTGCATCTTCCATACGTTTCTGTTCACGTGCCATATTCTCTGCGATTACCTTTTCTTGTTTGGCCCACCACTTTTGGTAGCTAGAGAGTGCATGTTGCTGTTGTTTCAAATCACCATACAAACGTTCGAAATCTATCCAATCTTGGAATACCTGAGCAGTGGTATCTTCGGCATGTGCAGCTTCACCATAGATCGTTCTACACTTTTCGAAACCAGCACATTCCAACTCGATATCAATATACTCTGTACATATATAATACTGCTTATTGAAACTGAGCAACAAATCAAATTGTTTTCTCGATTCCTCTATCGATTTAAATTGTCTATATTCAAACTTTGCCCAGAATAATAATAATTCACTTATTACCATTGTTACTTCTGTTGAATTAACTATATATAAAATAAAGACAATTAATATTAGTATTATTATTGTTTTAAATAAAAAAAGTTATTAAATATATTACATTGTATAAAATAATCATAATATCTTTGGAAATGTTGTCTTAATAGTTGAATGGTTGATGTTTCTTTTACGGTTGATCTGTAGTGTCTCCAGAGATAATCGAATCTCGCGTTGAATATCAATTTAAAGTCGTTGATAGTTGCCAGTCCAGCTATTAATGCTCTCTCGAATACCTGTTCCAACATTTCGATCGCTTTGGAGTGACTCTCCAACGACTGTAGGTAATGTACCCAGAGGTCACCACTCCAGTAGATGTTTCGAAGTGCTCGATCGTAGGTTGCAAACAAACGATTGTCATCGACCAACCGATTGCTATCTTCATACTGAAGATACTCGCTCCACAGCTGCCAACTATCGGCATGTCTCGAGATGGCACGTTCAAACAACACCAAAGCTCTCATCGGTTTCTTCTTTTGTTCGAATCGAACATACTCTAGCCAATTGGCAACGGTATCACCACCGGTGCCAGTTAGTTTCTCTTCGAACGCTTGATGTTCTTCCATTTGTTTTAGAGCTGTTTTATATCTGGTTTGAAGTGTTATATCACTATCTGGTTTATAATCATTGCTACTACTACTATTGTTGTTGTCATCGTTTAATGCATTCTCCCAATCTAAATAACTTGTATACAATTCCTCTAAATCTATTTGTGGACATGCCAATTGATTGTGATAGATCTGTCTGATTCTGGTGATCTGTGATTGATATTCAGCTTGGAGTGATCGATCGACTCCACTCTGAACGTTCATCTCGAATATTCTGTATTGTGCCCACAACAATGGTGATTCAACAATGTGATCGACACAAAAAGTGATAGCTCTCTCATAGATCGTTCTAATAGTCTTGAACTGCTGTGTATCACTCTGCTTGATATCCTTTGTAGACATTAAATTGGGTGCATTCACCTCTTGAATGTATTGACAATATTTAATCCAAATTCTAACCGCTATTAGAATATAAAGTTAAAATTAGTTTATAAATTAATTTACAATCAATATATTAATATATTTACATACATAAGAAATCCTTGATGGCCAATTCAAATAGATCGATCATCTGTTGATAATCAAGATCGTTTTGATTCTTTTCGTCTTCCAACCAAGGTAACCATACACTCTCTGGCAATGGGAATACTGACTGACATGACTTTCTTGCCAATCTCAATCTCTCTTTATCGACATGTTTAACTTTACGCAATGAATTTATATATTCCAAATGTTTTTCAAATGAATATGGATTCTCTCTAACCTAATGAATATGAATATTAAATAAAATATATGTTAACAAACAATTGTTTGATGGAATGGAATTATGAATGAAGTGAACTTCAAAAACACATACCTTTATTTCCAAATGTTCAATTGCTTCACTTGAAACTGTATTTGAATCATCATCAGAGTCATCATCATCATCATCATCAGAGTCATCTGAAGAATCATTATCATCATCATCAGAACTTATATCTACACCATTTTCACCATCTTGTTGTTGATCCATTTCATCGTCTTCATCATCTTTATACTCTCTACTGAACATAGTGTGTTATATCAATTACTTATAATATTGTAATAACTTTTTAATTATGTTAAATTTTTAAAAAAAAAAATAAAATAAAATAAAATAAAAAATAATATTAAATTTTATTTATAAAAAAATCATCAATTGTGAAGTTAAATGTTTTATTGAGCGAATCATTCACACAAAAAAAAAAACATATATATTTCTTGCTATTTTTGTTCAAAAAAAAAAACTAAACTATACTAAAAGTTTTAAACTATTTGTTTTATTATTATTATTATTGTTATTATTATTTAATCAAAATCGATTAGTTTTAAATAATTTAATCGATTAAGTTAATTATTTTTATTATTATTATTTTTTAAAACAAAACAAAACAAAACAATCATTTATTGTTATATAGATCTATATTATTACTATCTAAACTTATATACTTATATACTTATATATATATTTAAACTATTCGTATTTTATTTATTTGAATAGAATTATTTTAAAATCAATCTTTTATTTATTTATATGATGAATAACAACAATAGTAGTAGTAGTACAAACGGTCATGGTAGTTCTGAATCGAATGGCACAGAAGCATTAGATAGTAATGGATTTCATAAATTAGATTGTAGTTGGACGATATGGGTTGTAGATCCCACCAGAAAGATTACAACACAATCAAATACAGCTAACCAAACCTCACATGATGACTACATGTCAAGTCTAGAGAATCTAGGTTCTTTTGAAACAGTAGAAGATTTTTGGATGTATGTATATATACATATCTATATCTCTTTAATAAATAATGATACTAATCAAATCAATCTTTCTTATCTAAAACTATCAATCGTTCAGATTATATCATAAACTTAAACCACCCTCAAAGATGGCACACGACGAAACTTATCATATATTTAAAACAGGTATCAATCCTACATGGGAAGATCCAATAAATAAATCTGGTGGAAAATGGGTTTTGAACATCTCTGGAAACAATAGAGCATCTTTCTATGATATCGATACAATCTGGGAGAATATTGTAAGAACAAAAATCAAAAACATCATAAATCATAAATCATAAATCATAAATCATAAATCATAAATCATAAATCATAAATCATAAATCATAAATCATAAATCAAATCGAGAAACAATAATTAACTGTTATCTATCTTTCTTTACATCATTATTAATATTATTATTATAATACAGGTTTTAGGTGTTGTAGGTGAGACTATTGATACAGAAAGAGATATTTGTGGTCTTGTTTTAAATAAACGTTTTAATCTCGAGAGAATTTCCGTCTGGAACAGAGATTCTTCGAATTCGAAAGGCATTGAATCACTGAAAACCAACATTTTAGATACACTTCCACCCAACTCTAATAACTCAAAACTCAATATCAAATATCAGATACACAATACCCAAATGAACAATTCACAAGGTTCCATACCAACCAATAACCCAACAGGCGCACCAACAACCACTGCCTCCTAATAACCACTGTATGTAAAGTATCAGTCAGTGATAATAATAATAATGATAATCATAAATAAATTTATGATTCATAATAATAACAAGCTAAAGTTAACTAAACCACTACAAATTAATTATGTGCTGGTAATACCGAATAAATAAATAAAAAAAAAAAGAACAAAAGTTATAAACCAACAACATCTAAAAGGTAATAAATTACTGTTTACTTCCTTGCCTTATTTTATTTTTTTGTAATTTATTTTGGTTTTTTTTATTTTTATTTATTTTTATTTATTTTTATTTATTTTTATTTATTTTTATTTATTTTTATTTATTTTCCATGAGTTTTCATCGAAATTTCGTATGGGATCCTCACATTCTTTGCAAAAGTTTTATGGACTAGAAGGGTATCGATCCCTTTACCTCTCGCATGCTAAGCGAGCGCTCTACCATCTGAGCTACAAGCCCTGTGATGGGTTCATTTTTTATTTTTAAGTATTTGATTTAGGAAATCCTCATCAGCAAAGGATTCTCCCTCCTGGACACCTTCACCACATAGCCAAGATCAAAGACCAAAAAGGGCGAGACACTCTCTTCAAACTATTCGCTAGATGTCTACCGCTCTCTAAGATAGACCTCACCTTCTGTATACACTGCTTACCATTCGTATTCACAGGTCTCCCACCGATCAAGATCACCGAGCACCACCTCTTCAAATACACCTACAAACCCATCATAAAACGGATCATACACATATTTACCGGGGAAACTCTCGACTGGGAGTTCGACATCCTCAAGATGACAAGCAAAAACGAGCTACAATCAAAACGTAATTGCTATCGTACTGCACCAGGTCTGGATTCTTCACTGCAAACTCGCGCACAACTCCCTCATCACACCCACCACCTTCTATCACGCAACAACCAACATTAACAAACTAGCTAAACTAGAATACCACAAACTAATCAGAAAATCAAAACAAGACTTCGGTCGAAACAACTCAAACATTCAAACATATCAATCAAAATGGCTGAAGAAGCTAGACGACTTCAAACTCATCTGGAACCACCAAACCTGGAACTTCCCAACGCCATCACACCTCATCAGCAAATAAACAAATAAAAATAAAATCCATCTGAGTATTCTTCAAGATATGAGAATACTTTAAAAAAAAAAAAAAAAAAAAAATATTTGATTTATTCTTCTGTTGTATTAATTGTTTTTTTGACCTACTTTTTGAGTTTTAATGGGTCTTTAAAATAATTTGATTCAATTAAGAAAAGGACATATGTTTATTAAGTTAATTCATATTTCTCTTCAAGATAAAAGGTAACTTTAAAAATTTTTTTTAAATTTTTATTCTTTAAAAAAAAAGATAATCCTACAGAGGGAATAGAAGTGCTTGATATCATCGACCAACTCAAATATATTACTCCTAAAGGCAGAGACTTAATGTAGAGTCTTCAAGCTTCTTTTGGTAAAAAAAAAAAAAAAAAAAATTCTTTTAGGCTATTTATTATCACTTTATTCGTCTGAATCTTCTGAATCTTCTGAATCATCATCATAATTATTATGTTCATTATCATCATTATCATCATTATCATCATTATCATCATTATCTTTATCTTTATCGTTTAATATTAATTGATTTAGTATATCAAAATGAATGATTCCACCTTCTAATCCACCATCTGCAATCATCAGATAATGATTGGTTGTGTTGTCAAGTTTTCTAATATAAAAAAGTTGACTATCCAATTTTGGAAAGAATACATAAAGTGTTTCGATAGTTGATGGCAATGTTTGTAGTGGATTGTTGACAAGGAATCGATGAATGACTCTTAAAGTTGTAAGTGTAGATGGAAGTACATAATCAGCTAGAGTCTGATCATAGTTTGATAAATCAATGTCGGTCACTGATTCCGGTATGGAATGAGGAAGAAGAGGTAATGTATATTCCTGACTGAGCACCAGTGTTTTCACTGTTTTTGGAATCAAACCAACAGGGATTTCATGATTGTAAACTTCGCCGAGATTCAGCTCTTCCAAGCCTTCAGGAAACACTCCCGCTACCAAAGGATGATTATAAACCCCCAATGAAAGATTCTTAACTTTCGATGGTAGTTGACCAACTGAGAGAGGTTGAACAGAGTTGATTTGACTACAGATATCGAGGTTCTCTATCGTACAGGAGCTAGGAATGATTCTTGGATCGAGTGTGTTTAAACATTCACCTAGATCCAGATCTTCATAGTTGGAATCTGCTGCCGGTGTTGGAATGACATCTGGTAGCAGTGTAAATGGATCAGCAGAGTCGAATGCCTCAAGATAGATGGTAACGAGTGTCTTTGGAAGATCATCTGGTTTCAGAGTGTATCCCGATGGCCTTAGGTAAAGTAAGAGTTCTTTGAGATTCGGTAGCGATTTCAATTGTTGAATATTACTAAACGATGCGTTAGTGATACCGGAGAGCGCTTCAATACTGGTGGGGAGTGCCGGTAGGTTGAGTTCATAGGGAAGGTTGAATTTAAGTCTTTCCAATTGTTTTGGAATTACAGCGGCCGAGAGAATATGTGAATAGCTTCCAAGCTGTAGTTCTTTTAGAGAAGCAGGAAGAGTACCAACTTCAAATGGTAGATTATATCCTCCAAAAGAAACGTACTCCAATGAATCCGGTAGCCAACCTTTCTCCAAATGCTTTCTGAACGTGAAAAACCCAAGATTTTTGATATTCGCTGGTATACAACCAACGGCCAAATTATTATCGAAATAAATTTCATATTTAACAACATTGGAATCGACCACTTTGTCATAAACAGCTAGCATCGTTTCCACATCACAGTCAGAATAAAATAAAATTTTTGAAACAACTGGATCAATTTTTAGTTGCTTTATATCATTTTGTTCTGAAAATAATAATAAAATTAAGAATAGAAATGTATTTTGATTAGAATTGAATAGATAGATAATGTTAAAACATTATAAAATTGATATTGATATATACATACTATGGTTAAATGTAAATTCATCAATGCTTGAGTAAACACTAGTTCCAATACATAATACACAATCATCGAGATTCTTTAGAACTGTCTCGTATTGCTTCCTATAGGAATGGAGATGAAAATCTGCAATTTCATCCAACTGTCGCGATGTGCTATAGAACTCTTCACTGTCCAACGTAAGATATTTATCACGATCTTCGAACCATCTTTTACAAGTTAAACTGAAACATAATCTATCTATCGCATTTGGTATCAATTCAACTATCTTATTTAATAAAAGATGTGATAAATTTACAAATATATGATTATTATTATTATTCATTCATTAATGAAATAAAAATAAAAACTGTCATGTGATGTTTTTTATTTATTGTTTTTAAGAGAAATTTATTTGAAACTTTGGATTTTTTTTAAAACAATCCTCAAATCTACACAATTTTAGTACAAAGAAATCATAGGTTTTATCATTGGGAAACGAGATTCTGTATTACATGAATCCAACTGATAAATAAGCAGCAAAAATACAATACCATTACTAAAAAAAAACAAGATATTTTTACAAAAATCTTGATCAAAACAAAGACATTCCAGCCAAAAAAGAATTGTTGATCATAATATATATTTCAACTAATAAATATTAAATCAATCTACAAGTATCAGTCAATAAAGATTCGTTTTAATCGAGATAAGACTTTTGAATCTTACCACTATGTCGATGTTGCAGGTTTTAAACTCAGGTAAAACACCTATTTCTAAGACAATATAATTATATTTAAATATTTGAGTTGAGCAAGTAACCCATTTTTAAGAATTAATTATCTTCATATTAAAATTTAAATATTAAAGAAATTTTTTATTTATTTTATTTTCTGTTTATTTCATTAGAGTTTGAATGAATTAAAAAACCTATTTTTTTTTTTTTTTTTTTAATTTAAATATAGATCTATTTAATTAAAGAATCCACTTGATGCACCACCAAATTGACCAGTTAGATCACCAGTTGCTCTTGCTTCTCTATTGATCAAAAATTCTTGCAATTTATAGATGTAGTTGAGTTGGTTACGCAATTCATCATTGGTTTCATCGGTATTGTCCTTATCAAGACTTGGGAATCTTTCATAAATGTCAGCTAAACGGCTTCTGATCTCACGGAGTTCGTCTCTGTTTATCTCGAATCCACTGGCACCAGCATTCTTTCCAAAGCTGCTCTTCAATTCACTGACATGATCGACGAGGTGATTGGCATTGTTGGCAAGAGCCAAATCGTTGAGATTCTCTTGGTTTTCACCCAACAGCGATCTCAATGCATTAGTCCAGTCTTCGGCTTGATCCTCCTTTTGGCTACTGAGACCCTGGATTATACGGACAATATTGAGAAAGTCTGGAGATGATTCTCTAGTTTCATCTTGAGTGTTGCTCCATTGTTGTAAATGATTAACAAAATCAATGCTATTTAGCTCATCATTTGCCAAAAGTTGATTCAAAAATTCTGAAAAAGAATCTTTTTGTTGCACGTAACGTGAACGGTGAGCTGGAATACCATATGGTGCTTCCTCTACTTCTCTTGCTTTGGCAGCAGTAGTTGGAGCAGCAGTCAAAGCTGGGGCAGAGGGTGAGGTAGTAAGTCCGGCAGTAACTTGAGCGACGGTGACTCCTGGTAAGTGTGCAATCGATGCTCCGGCAATAGATACACCTGGAACATGGGCCAATGATTGTCCGGCAATTGAAAGTCCAGAGACATGAGCAACAGAGGCACCAGAAACATGAGCTAACGATTGTCCAGCAATAGACAAACCAGAAACATGGACAGAGGATGAACCAGTTGCTGGATTGTGAGAAGTTGTTTTGTTATCGCCTGTGGTTGGCTTCTTACCCAAATGCAATAGAGAACTCAATAAAGCACCGAGTCCCTTGAGAAGTTCACCAATTAAATCTTCTTGGAGTTTAGATTGGGCTGGTCTGGCACGCAACTTGACCAAAATGTTTTGGATGATTGAGGAGATTCTTGGTAAAAGTTGGCGAATTTTGTCTCTAATTTCTGGGGTGATTTCGAAATCTGCTCTCTCCAAATCGTGATTGTATTTACCGATTTGGCTCGAGGTTTGGGCTTCCGGTGATTTTGGCTTGACACCTGCGAGGGTTTCAAGCAAGTTTCTTAGACCACCGAAAACACTTCCAAGAAGTGATCCAATAAATCCAAAATTGTCTTCTCTCTCGACCTGCTTACTTAGTTTAGCCCAGTTGTCGAGTTGACGAGTGAGATCAGATGCATTTGATTCCTCTGCTTGATTTGGTTGGAAGATACCCAAAACTGAACCAATAAGACTGAATGCACCGTTGAGAATATTACCAACGATTCCAGCAAGGAATTGCTCTTGAAGAACATCCTTGTTTTGGAAGTCTTTGTTTTCAATGAGCCAGTTGACGAGTTGTTTGTCTAGTTCGTTCGAGACTACCTCTTCTTCTTTGTTGCCACCGAAAAATAGGCCAAGGAGATTATTTAAACCAGTAAGACCTTCTTCTTCCTCCAATAGTGCAATCTTTGAATGTTGTTGATTGGTCTGATCTTTTTGAGTGTTGGCCCAATTGTGAAGCTCTTTGGCAAAGTCATCATGGTTGGAGGAGAGTATTCTTAACAGTAAATCAAGTTGTGAGAGTTCAGTTTCCAAGTTTTTCGAACGGAGATCATCACCCCATTTGTTACTCTCTGCTTCAAGAGCCTTAAAAAAAATTAAAAAAAAAATAATAATTAATTCTTTGTTTTTTTTTTTGTTTTTTTCCTATCTTTTAATAATTAATTAATGACTTACGGTTGTTGAAGCAATAGAAAACAATACAAGGAAAATCAGTAAAACTGATTTATCTTTGAGTAACATTTTTTTTTTATTTGGTGTTGTAGTTGTTGGTGTTAAGAAAACAAACAATTGGATAGGAAACTCAAACAGAAAAAAAAAAAATATAATAATTTATAATATATTATATAATTAATAATTAAGAAACTTAATTAAATTGCTATTTGGAAATGAAAATCAATATGATTGATTTATATATTGTATGTTATTATTATTTTTTTTAAAAAATTATATTTATGAGTAACAACAAATGATTTTAAAATAAATGATGGTTGGTAATATGAAATCACTAGCAAAGTTATTATTCAAACAGAATTTGAGTGTGTATCTACAATAGATGATGAGCTTTTGATACAGAACATCATATTCATTGCATAATATATCACCCTAATTTTGGCAATGATTTTGATTGTGTTTATTGAATAATCCAACCATTCATTATTATGAATAAACGGGACCTATAATAAGATTTTAATAGTGAGCCAGTTAGTTATCTTATCATCTATACACTTATGATTGTTTATTTTGTTTGTAGTTAAGTTATTTAATTAACCACAACACCCTATTCATTTATTATTATTCTTATAGGTGTTTTCATATGAAAGTGATAAACATTAAAACAATGAAACTGAAAATCTGATCAAAAAAAAAAAAAAAAAAGTGGGAATTGCTTTTCACTCTTGCATATAATTGATTGTAGGGTCACACAAATAAAAAAATTATTTGTAATAAATAGATAAAATTTAATCAATAAATATAACTAGTTATTTATGATTGAAAGATTAGTGCATAAATAAATAATCCTAATATATAAAGTGAGAAATCTTTATAACTTTTTTTTTTTTTAAATATTATTGTTTAGAAATTTACAACAAAATAAAATGATCATCAAATTTTATCATGATTTCAAGCTCCGATTTTTTGCAAAATGATTAATGATTATGATTTTTTTTTATTTTCCAATTTTTTAATTTAATTATTGATTTAATATGTTAAAGAGTATAAGATTATTATCATCAGTGTTAAAATCATCATCACCAACATCGAAATCATCATATTTATTCAATAATAAATCAACTTTTGCATCAGTAATCAGTAGAACAATGTCAACTACTACTGCAGTCAATCCCAATCTATTTGTCAGTCCACAATGGTTGAATGATAATCTCTCGAGTGTAAAGGTGGTCGATGCATCATGGTGGATGCCACACGAGAAGCGTGATATCCGTGCTGACTACCAAGCTGCTCACATCGATGGAGCTGTGCTCTTTGATATCGATGAAATCTGTGACAAGTCTGTCAATCTACCACACAACTTGCCAACACCCGCTGTCTTTGAGAAGGCAGTTGGCGAGCGTCTCGGTATCTCTGAGCAAGACCACGTAGTGATCTACGACTGTCGCGGAACCTACGTTGCATCGGCACGTGTCTGGTGGACATTTTTGATTTTCGGTCACAACCCAGCCAAAGTCTCCATTCTCAGAGGTGGACTTCCAGCTTGGACACGCGCCAATCTTCCAACCGTTGCCGGCGCAATCAAAGATACCGACAAACCAACCACCTACAAATCAACATTCAATGGCTCGCTCGTCAAGAACCGTGAGGATCTCGAGAAGAACATTGTCGATAAACACTATCAGGTGGTAGATGCTCGTGTTGCCGATCGTTTCTATGGCCGTGTCGACGAGCCACGTCCAGGATTACACCGTGGTCATATCCCAGGTGCTTTCAACGTACCATGGGTTGAGATTGTCAACAGTGCCGAAGGAGGATATCAAAACAAGGAGCGTGTACTCGAACTCTTCAAGAACAACGGTATCAACGTAGAACAACCAATTCTCACAACCTGCGGATCCGGTACCACCGCTGCCGTACTCACACTCGGACTTCACTCATTCGGATATCCAATCGCACCAATCTACGACGGTTCTTGGTCAGAATGGGGACAACCACAACTTAACTTACCAGTTGAACCAATCCCACAACCAAAGAATTAAAATATTAATAACATACATACATATCAAATAAATAACAAAACTAACTACATTGTAATTACAATAAATAAATTTTTTTTTTTAATTCTTAAAATTAAATTATAAGTTTTTGTTTTTCTTTTGTTTTTTGGAGTTGTGTTGTTTTGGGCTGGAGTTGAGATTTGGAGTTGTGTTGTTGTTGTTGTTGTATGATTGTGTTATTTCTCTTCTTATAGTTGATGAATAGTTGTTTGACCTTCTTCTTTCTTGGCTATGATTACAACTACACCATCACGTTTACCGACGGTCGATGAAGCAATGGGAGCAGACAATTTAATAATCTTATAAAAGTTTCCTTCTTGAATGTCTTGTTGTGTACATGTATGAGTGTTGTTGTTTGGTACAAGTATTTCAGTTCCGTTTGGTATCTGTATCGATTCGGGCAGTGATATTGTACCCTCCAATATGATATCCATTTGATTCACTGTAATCTTTAAGGCATTTGGTTTATAAAATGGAATGAAGGCATAAATGATAAAACTGTCGGCAGTCTCTGATACATTTACAGGTAAATTGATTCTATTCAATGAATTCAATGTCATTATTGAATTTAATAAATTATCATTATTCAAATTATTAATATTATTATTATTATTGTTGTTATTGTTATTGTTATTGTTAATTATACTATGATTGTTATTATTATTATTATTATTATTATTATTGTTCTATAATTTTTAAAAAAATGTATAAAATATTTATATGGTTAGTTATTTTCTATTATTTTATTATAATCATTTATAATTACCAAGTTTACATTTGCTCTAGATTTTGATTGATTGATTTTTTGATCTTTTAATTCGATTTCCCATTTGTAGAGATCGTCCAATGTATAAAGATAGTCTGGATGTGTTTGAGTATAGTCATTGGGCATCAGATCATCGGTATTGATAAACTCGATAAACGGCAAAAGTGTTGCATATTTAATGCATGTCAAGAATGCGTCCTGAAGATGCACATCATGTCCATCGGAAATATCATGATTCCTCTTTCTCTTTCTCTTTTTAGCATCGGATTTCGATGATAATCTTTCATTTTCAAATGAACTAATATATTCTTTAATAGATTGCTAAATATTATTAAATTAAAGATTAATATACTAATAATTATTATTGTTATTGTTATTGTTATTGTTATTGTTATTGATTATTATTATTAACTTACATCATCTAAATGTTGATAAATAAAAGTATATACAGCACCACATAGATTTGCCATGTCATTGGGTTGTTTATAACGTTTTTCAGAGTCGATCTTGTTGGTGTAGAGTGCAAGCACTAGGGTTCTTCTGATGCTAGGTGTCTTTTGAGTCGGTACCACTCGGAAATAGTAGTTGAGAAAAGCGAGTGCCTCTTTCTTCTTGTCCTCTTGTCCACGCTCTGTGATAGGTCGTAGATTCTGCTGTTGCTGCTGAATGACCTGTTGTGTCAGTGATACCTGTGTCTGTCCATTACCAAAATTGGAATGTGCATTGAATTGCAGTAGATGTGTCGGTAGAGGTGGTGGAGAAGGTGGCATTGCACACAATATATTATCGTCGCTATTCAATTGTTGTTGTTGTTGTAGATCATTCATTGGTGATGATCTTCCATTATTAGCGTTTGTTGTTGTTGTTGTTGTTGTTGTCGTTGTATTGTTGTTTGTTATTATATCACTTAATTGTGATGACATTGTATTGAGAAGTGTACCTGTTGACTCTTGTAGCAGACTACCTGCATTGCCTGCACTCAGATGGAACGATTGGGTATGCAGGACGGTTCCGTTCGTATTGAGATAGCTGTCGGTGACTGAATCAGTTGTCGATTGAGAATCATCTTGTTGTTGATGTTGTAGATACTGAGTGTTACCATTACCATTGCCATTGCTATTTCCATTGCCATTACCATTTAGATGTACAATTGTGGCATGTTGTGATTGAAATTGATTATGATTATGATTATTATTGTTGTTACTATGTTGATGATTATTACTACCATTGTCTAGCTCTGATACCATCGATGCATATCCACCATTGGAATAGTAAGAATGATCGTTTCCAACTTGATTTGGATCGATATACAACAAGTGCATCTGGTCATTCGAATCGACGACATGATTTAGAAATGTATTTGAAGTGTCATCTTCTAATGAAGACATCATTTAAGAACTATTTTTATTTTTGTTTTTTTTTTTGACAATAAATCTAATATAAAAGATCTAATAACTAACTAGATCTTAATTCTTTATAATAAATTGTTGTTACTGGTTGTTACTGGTTATTGCTATTTGATTATACTCTAACCTCCTTTTTTTTTTTTTTTTTTTTTTGTATTTTTAAAAAATTTTCAAATTTTATAAAAAAATAAAAATAAAAATAAAATTATAAAAAAACAAAATATATAATGTAAATCGAAAAGGAAAGGGAATGGTGATTTGTGTGTGTGTGAAATAAATAAATAATTGTTTGTTTTATGTGGTGACCTTTAAAAGTAAAGGATTTCAAATTATTGACAGTATTAATTTGGGAATAGAATTTTTTTTTTTTTTTTTTTTTTTTTGATTTTTTCAAAATTTATTTGAAATTTAGTTGCACATTTATTTTTAAATTAATTGAATTTTTTCAAACCCCAAAATTTCGAAAAAAGTCGTTAGGTGGACTATTTTAGTCAACAATCATTATTTTGATATTTTTTTTAAATAGTTTTTAATCAAAAAGGTGTTGGCGCAATACTTCATACCCTCTTTATCTCCCACATTTATCAAAAATTATGATTGATGACCGCCGATCACCGATATAATATATGTTTTGTTTTTAAATTATTATTTTTTTTTATTTATAATATTTTTCTTTTAGACGATATAATATTTCTTATTTTGTCTTGATAGTTGTTTTGATTTTTGTTGTTTCCAAATTAAAAATAATACAAATACGATTAGACCACTTAGGAGTAAGATGGTGGTGTGATTTCTTTGGTTGTCTTCGGCTTTGATGCTGACGATGTCACCGATGTACTGGAAGTGATTGGTGGTCGAAGCGGGCAACTCGAACGACGATGGTCGTGGGAAGAGCGATTCGTAAAAGTCGTGTACAACCTTGATGGCGAGTGGCGCCGTCGGTTTGTCGTGATTGATGTTGTCGTTGAGACAGATGAATTTGTGACGACGCTGTCTGACTCCGTCGAGTCGACTCTGAGTCACCGTGTAGTTGTCGTCGACCATCAGGAATGCCACTTCGTCGGTACCCTCAATGGTGGTCTGATAGAAGTTGCGCTTCGAGTAGGATACACGTGCGTCCTCGAAGGTCTTGTTCGATGCACGCACCACCTCGTTGGTGATGTGACACTCCTCGAGTTCCACTCCGCTTATCTCGAGGGTGCGGTTGTCCAACTCGACGATGTTGGTGATCTCGCCGTTGGCCAGTTGCTCCTGTTGGCGCAGTGAGTGACATGCCTTGTAGAGATTCGACTTGAACTCCTTGAAGGCGGTGGCTCTCACCGGTGTACCATAGACATTGACGGCAAACGATCGCAGTTCATTCTCATTCAACCAGCCATCGCCATTGATATCGATCTCCGAGTGCCAGAGTTTATCGAAATCGAACGGTACCTTCTTGTGAATCATATAGTAAAAGTAGGAGAATGCATATTGCATATCTCTTGGATTTCTCAAACTGTGACTACTTGTTGATTCCCATTGAACTGGCCACCTAAATAGCAATTTTAATAATTAGTTTGTTAGTTATTTGAATGTTGGCCATTATTAAATAATAATATTATCAATTACTTTGTTTGAATTTCTTCCATTAAATCTTTATCAATCATATGTGGCATATGAGCAGGTACTTTTCTTGGTGATGGACCAAATTCGACAGTGTAGAGACGATTTACATATTTGAGTGAGTCACCAAACATATCCATTAGTTTTCTACTTTGGGCGGCTGGTTTCTCTTGTTTGATGTCTTCGGTTTCCTCCCATGGGAATACTTCACCTTCTTCCTTGAGAATCTTCTCTAGTTCACGGTTTTGCATATATCTCTCAAATGCCAACATCTCTGGATCCTCATTGGATTTGCTAAGCATCAACTCTCGTTGTTTGGCAATGTAATGATTCTCCAACTTCTTTTCCTCTTCAGATTTGCGTTCTATAAACTTCATTACAAGCAAATCATCTGGATCCTCTGCTGCTGCTGATGATGCTGCAATTGAATTCAACACCACCTCTTCCTCTTCCTCTTCCACTTGGATATTCAACAATTGTCTACCTGTACCACTTATTTCCTGTTGTTGCTTCTTTTCATCTTGATTATCGAATATCTTATCTTCCAATATATCTATCAAGTCGGCATTGTTTAACTGATCGTTGTTGTTGTTGTTGTCATCGTTGAAATCGTTGGATGCTACTATATTACTTCGTTCATCGTTGTTGTTTGTAAACAACTTGACGTCTTCACCGAGAGAATTGAAGATCTCGGCGACACTTGAACCCTCTGGTTTATTGAGTGCATTCTCCAAATCGGTAATGGAATCCTCTCTATCCATAGATTGATCTTGTGTACTACCACCAGATACCAAATCATCATCCAACTGCTCAGAAGCAGGATTACTATTGCCTTTTGTTGAATGTTCTTCTTTTATATTCAATGGACTCGCTTGATTATCTTTTGCATCTGTATTGTGATTCTCATTGTTATCATTATTATTTTCATTTTCATTATTATTATTATTATTATTCTTTGGTATCCAATCTTGTTTATCATTAACATTCTCTACTGATATTGATTTAACTGTTTCTGTTGGATTTGGTGTTGTTTCTGTTGATGATGATGTTTCAAAATCTGATGCTGTATGCTCTCTTGATGTTTTTACTGTTTTTGTTGTTGAATTTGAATTGGTTTGTGTAGAAGTAGCTGTCTTTGTTGTTGTTGTTTGATTAGTTAATGGTGTTAATGTAGATAAAGGTTTTTCAGTTGTATTGACAATAGTTGATAGTGTAATATTAAAATCCTTAGTGAATGTCTTTTTCGTGTCACCCGATCCAGTTTCATACGATATAGAAATCGATACCGACTGGTACGGTATATTATGATGGAATGTCAATGTCATTATCTTATTCTTTTGAGAGATTGTCGCTGTTCTCACCAACACTGCATTGTCATGTGATCCATCGGTAATAGTCGCTTCACCAACAAGTTGCGTCAGATTGAAATAAACTGCATTCGTTCCATTTATTATTTCTATATGTGTCTATAGAATAAAATATCGAATTCAGTTATTAGTTAAACAAAAAATAATAAGATTTAAACAACAATCATATATTACATACTTGATTTGTTATATTATATCCCAACATTTCATTAAACATAATTTCAACACCACAATCACCGGCATCGAATCCACAGTCAATGTTCTTACACATACGATCGCAATGTTTGTCACCGATCCAGGCGTCAGGACAACTACGAGAACAGTAGTTTCTAGCTTTGGTGTCGGTACGAGATGTTGTACTGGTACCGCCACCAGTGTTTCGATTCCACCAACGTGTTTTCGCTTTACCGGTGGAGTTGTTGCAGTCGCCACCGTCAAAGTCACACAGTGTGACATTGCAAGCGGCATCACAGAATCCGTCACCCACCCAATTGTTTGGACAACCATCGTTACAATTTGGCACTGGCCAAGAGAGGAACACCTTTTGGCCGCCTCCCTTGGTTGCGAAATCATCGGGATACACCGGTCGGCCGAACATGACGTCGTCGTTCAGGTAGAGGAATTTCTTTGACAGTCCTGGAATACGATGAATGTTTGTCTCGATCGATGGCGAGCTAAAAGTCGGGAGATGCGATCGGTTTCTAAAGATCTCTTCGTGTGTCACAATGGTGATCTTTGGATTGGAGAGATCGAGCCAGTTGGGCACCTGGCCGTTGGTCACCAGGAAGATCTGTCGGACCCACGGCGCAAACTGCTCGACCGAACGCAACGAGTATTTCAACTCCTGGTTATCGATGTATCGCGATGGTGGATTGTCGTCACGGTAGCAGTTGTGCTTCGAAGGATCCTGCTTCTCGGTGCACTCTGGCATGGTCGGGTCACGCAGCGATCTCTTCAGATCGTTGACCGCCTTGATCAGCTTTGGATCGGAACCATTCACCCAAGTATAAACAATATCTATCGAATCTGAGCAAACCGCCCATTTACTATCTTTTCCACCGACATTATCATTCCATCTAAAACTATCTGTATTTAAATAATATCCTTTTTTGAGTTAATATATCAATTCGAATTTCAAATTCCAGAAACAAAAAAAAAAAAAAGCAAAAACATAACAACAACTTACCACTTCCTTCGCTTGTAACAGTGAAAACAGATACCAACTGAAATACTGTGTTAAATGAGATGAATGCACCCAATATACATAGTGCCATACCCCATCGACTCGACAAAAATGAATAAAATTTAAATTGAAATACTTTAATTAAACTATTACTATCTATTTTTTGCCATGACTTATTGTTTTATTGTTTTTTTATAATATCTTTATTTATATCTTATATCTATATCTATATATTTCTGCGATTATTATGATTATTTTATTTTAAAATATTAAAGTACATTGACCAAACAATGACTTTTAAATATTTTATTTAATATCTAATCTCTATATCTATATTTATATAACAAACTATCTATATCTATATGTTATCTAATCTCTATTTATAATGAATAGGTTATTTGATTATTGAAACTTATATCATTTACTAAAATATATATTTAACTTTTGATATTTCTAACAAAAAAATATTATTAGGAATGTGACAAAAGATTGTAGATGTGGCAATAAAAATAAATTGTAATATAATAAATGCAATGACCTTTTGATCCTTGACTTTGAATCACCAATCCACAAAACATTCCAAAAACTGTTGTGTTTTTTTTTTTTTTTTTTCAACAACTTTTTGCAGTGATACTTTTAAAAAATCAATGTGTGCGTTGTGCAGAATAATCCGTTTTTTTTTTTCAATCAAAAACCGACAATTTCGAAGTTTCTATTGACATGTCTGTAATAAATTTCTTTTATTTATTTTAAAACATGGTAAACAATTTATCTATTTATTTTTATTTCAATATCAATAAATAGACTAGATTTGAATTGTTGGAATGAAGTTAACTCAAGTCTCTCAAAAATTTTCTACAACAATTTTACTTTGCTTTTTTTCTTTTTTTTACAATCCTCAAAACAAAAAATAGGGAAAGATATTTTTAATTTTGACAACTTGAAAAGTAGAATGAAAGATGCAGATATTAAAAAAGAAATATAAATTAAAGTACAAGTTTTTTATTAAAAATGTGGATAAAGTAATAATAATAAATTGATTGTTTTGTTATGACGTTTTGTTTAGTTGGAACCTGCAGAAGCCATCTTTGATTTTACTTGCGCAATCAATGTCTGATTCTCTGCTTTGATTGTCTTGAGATCGTTGAGTACACGATCGGTATTGAGTGTATTGGTTTTCTGTGAGATGTAATCGATCTTGGAGGTGAGTGTAAAGATGTTGTTTTGGTAGGTACCGGTTTCGTCGATCGCCGTGAGCAACGTTTGGAACTTCTCGTCGATAACGGCAAACGATTTGATTGCAGTCTTGGCGGTCTGATCTTTCTTGGCGTCGGCATACAGCATGTCTTTGACGGCATCGAATGTACGCACCGCCGTATCGGTGATGGTGTTGATCTCCTTCTGGAGAGTGCGAGTATCCAGCAGGATACGATCGATATCCTCCTTCTGTTTCTTGATGTTCTTGACACTCTCGATGATACGACGAGTGTACATCGAACGATTGGTGTCTTTCGGCATCGCTTTGTAGGTGTCTTGCAGCTGTGTGAACAACTCCTCCTTGGCGCGAATGTCGGCAATCATCTTCTTGATCAACGCACGAATCTCCTTGATACGCTCGACCTTTGATTTCGCCTCGTCGCTCTGGTTGGCTTTCTCGTCTTTCAGCTGACGGTATTTCTCGATGATCGGACGTCTCACCTTTTCCCACTCGCCGCTCATCTCGATCAGGCTTGCCGATGTCTGCTGACAGAGTTCCTGCAGCTTGGCAAAATTCTCCTCGGCGTTCTCCAACAAGCCGAAAGTCTTCTTCTTGACTTTGTATTCCTTTTCGAGTTCGGCACGCTTACGATCCTCTTCGTTGATCTGCGCTTCGAGCTGACGAATCTGCTGAATCCAATCGTCCATCTCAGAGGTGGCGTTTGCCATACGATTGGCTAGCTCCTCGAGTACCGATTGCAACTGGTCGATTTCCTCCTGTTGTTTCTGTTGTCGCTCTTCCTCTGTTTCCTTTGCCTTTGGTTCGATTGGCTCGGAAGCAACCTCTTCATTTGTAAAAGCTTTCTTTCTTGCGAATTGACCATAGTCATCATCTGCCGATCCCATTCCAAACTGACCAATCACATGATCAAATGTATTATTTCTTCTTGAATCTGCACTGGATCCATCGACCATCGCCGATCTAATACTATCATTCATCTTTGATAATATTGTCTTTGATTTATTCTTTTTATATTCCTAAAATAGTAGTTAGTTAGAGTGTGTTTTGACATCTTTTGGAAAAAAAATACAAATTTCAATCAATCACTTACTAATGGATTCAATCCAGATTGTGAACCTTTTGTATTCCATTCATTTTCACGTTCTTGTGCTTCGGCATAGATGGAGAGATTGTACTCAAAGACAGAGGGTGCAACGTCGTCGGTACGATTAGGCTGTTGGTTGATAGGACGTAGGTGTTTGATGTAAAAGTCTTCGAGACCCGGTGTTAGCTTGAGTTGACGTCCACGAGCCGGAATCTTGAGTGGCGCCACTGTGAAGAGTTTCGCGGTCGAGTAGTTACCGGGAATACGCTTGGTGAATGGACAAAAGTAAGGCATCCACGACTCTTTGATGGACGATGCCAAGTGGTTGCAAATCAAGTCCTTGAGTGATGCGGTGGAGTCGCCTTCGACCACCTCCTTCTTTGGTAGATGCTGACCGAGGAACACAAAGATACGACGTACATCGTTGATGTTTGGATAAAGCAGGTTGTGATAACTCAACTCTGCACGATAGCCAGTCTCACGAATGGTGGCAGCCAGTACCGAACAACTGTTGACACGCGCCGACATATTCTTTGGTATAGTTGCAGTGAGATTCGCCACTTTAGCTTCATTGATAACTCGCAAATATGCCAAACATGCTTTATATACAATTTCTGCATCGAAATCCTTAATAGTAATTTCATCACCCAATTCACTAAAAAATAAATATTTTATAAAATATGATGATGATGTTATAAAATAAATTGATAAGTGTTTGAACCTATTTATTGATAGAATAGAGAGAGATATGAAAACTTTGCTATAGCATAGAATAACATTACATACCATCCTAAATCTCTTAATGTAAGCAAAATGATTCCATCTGCTTCATCCATTTTAAATCTATTTCTATTCTAATAATAAATATATTGATTAAATAGAAATAAATAAATATGTTGTTAAATAATGAAACTATTTAGTAATGACTAAATAAATTGATTTCAGATATGAATTCATCATTATCATTATTTTTTAAAAATTTGATCAAAACTTTTTTTAGAAAAATCAATTGTAATTTTTTTTTTTTTGTTTTTAGATTAATTTAATTTTATTATCTTTGTCTTTGTTTGTTATAATTAATTTTCTCTTTCTTAAATGTTGGTTCTGTTGTGACTTCTTACTATGGTGTATAGATATCTGTTTAAAAATTAAAAATTAAAATTAAAAAAACAAAATAGTTAGTAAAATGTATTCTCTATCTCTCTCTTGGATTTTCTTTAAATATTAATAGATGATTGATGATCAGAATGTTTTTTTCAAACACTATAAGATTGTTTATTTGAATTAAAGTCGTTTAGGTGACGTGCAATTTTAACTGATTGTGGTTCGGTGGTGGTGTTGGTGGAATATTGCTTCCAATACCATACCCAATAATGAGCGACTGATATATGATTATCATGTCCAAACAGCGAGAGATAGTTTAGTCGGTAGGTGGAGAGTGAACAGATCACTCCTATCGTCCAGCCCAGCAGTACATTGCCAAAAGTATGTCGGTAGTCGACGATTCTGCTAACACCCACCAGGACGGCACCGCATATACACATCAGGATCATTACATAGATAAAGAGATGACCACGATTGTTAAAGGTTTTCAGTCGGGCATGCAAGAAGAGCGCCAGAAAGACAAGTCCGCATGCAGCCAGTCCGGCATGTCCCGAGGGATACGCAGCCATTCCGTCGAGAATATCGGCCTCGTCACCGGTGCAAACCTCTTTGCTGTAGTAGAGCTGGTTGAATCCGACGGGTGTGGCGCGTGCCAACGATTCCGGTGTCGGTTTGCAACGCACCAAGAAATTCGGTCGGAGACCGCCAATGAAACATTTGATGACGGCAACCAGCAGCAACGTCAAACCAAACGATTGGATCAAACCGAGAACGCTGTGATGCAGATCGTGCCAGTTGCGAGAGTGATAGATAATCGTTACAAACATGACGATGATCGGGAGGAACAAGGAGATGGCGAGAAGCGCAGGGAAAGGCACCAGTTCGTCAACCAGTGGATAGGAGATGTTTGGATCGTTCAGTGAGAAGAGACGTCCTCTCACCGGAACGAAATAGAAAAGCATTCCTCCGGTCAGTGTTGCCATTATGGTGAAGCACCAATCGAAAACATACATGGCAACACGATACCGACGACGTATATCTAAACTTAGAAATGGTGTATGATTATCTGAACTTGAATCATAACCCATATTTCCATTATTCGTATTATTTTTAAGATTATTATTATTATTTGATATTCTATTATGACAATTTTTACAAGTTTCTGGATTTTGTTTTTGTTGTTGTTGATGTTGTTTATACACTGGTTTCAATTCAACTGAGTTCTTCAAGTTGTTATCCTCATTTTTTATGGAAATTGGTTTCATGAAATCTTTAACGGATGAATCTATATCAATATTATTATTTATCATAGGATTTTGACTCGAATTTATATTATTATTATTTTCATTGTTATTAACCACAATACTGTTATTATTACTGTCATTTATACAACTATTACCGACATTTTCGTTATTACTATTATCTGTTGACTCACTTCCTTCAACCATTATTAATTTAATTTATTAGATTTAAATTGTTGTTTTATTTTTAATACAATACGATAATAATAAAAGTAAAAAAAATATATATATAGATAGGTAATCTAAAAGATTATTAATTAAAGTTATTACAATAATATTTATATTAGTATTATATTATTTATTTTCTGTGTGTTAAAATATATATTATCTGTGTGGTTTATTTTTTGTTGTTTTTACAGTAATACAACTAATTATTATTATTGTTGTTATTATTTTTGTTAAAAAAAATTTACTTATCAAACGATAAATAAATAAAAATCATATTTATATAGGTTGTGTTTGGACTGGTCCCCAACAATATTAATATAAATTGAGAACATTATATTAAAAAACAACACACAATTAAGAATTTCTATTTTTAATTGGTAGATTGAAAAAAAGTGGAATTCTAGAATCAAAAAAATGGGGTGCTCTTCCACTTTTTCACCCTATTTGATTGATCATTGCACAAACATGTGTTTCTTTTTTTTTTTTAAAATCTTAAAATAAAGTGTGTGGTTTGAATAAGACTTTCAGTGAATATATTCTAGTATTGATCAAGGTTTGAAAGCTTATTATTTCAAGAATATATTTTATTTTTTTATTTTTATTTAAAAAAATATTATTACAATTTATTTTATTAATTATTAAATTTCCGCAATTTATAACCAATTTCCCTTGCCCTATATCCCAATTTCTTTTTATACAATAAGACGAGAGCTACTGCAATTGCTACTCCACCAACAACAGAGAAAACAACGATCAACGGAATCTTGTATTTCTTTTCTGAATCGCCACATTCATCGGATTCAACAAGAAGTGATCCAAAGTTTGGATCGATAATCGCATTGTCTGTGAATTGTTGAATTGAAATTGCTGTGAGAACATTCAATTTCGTTGGATATGTTTGGTTGATAAGTTTGGAAGATGGATCATCGGAATCCAACAATGAAACTTGACTGTGTGTGACTTTACCATCGACAATCATTCTGTCTGAATAATAACTCTCGAGAATCGATCCACCAATATGAATTTCCATTGTTCGAAGTGAATCTTTATCGTTGACTTGATTGTTGATTGTTGTTTCTTGACAATCGCCGAGTTGACTATTATCACCTTGTGAAAGGAATAACAATTGAAGATAGTTTGTTAATTCTTCAAATTTCCAATCCAAAATTTGAACTTTATATTTGACAGAGTTGGCTGGAATTGAAAAGATATCACCTGCAAAGTTGTATGTGCTTTCATTGAGATAAACTGTTGTATTAACAATGATCTTTCCAATTTTATCGATGGTTGATTGGTATGAAATAAAGTTTCGTGATTGATCTGATTCCAAGATGGACCATTCCAAGTTCTTGAAAAGATAACTCTTTTTAATATTTCCAATCGAATCCAATTCTCTAACTTCTGTTATATTTACTTTGAATTCAACTTTATCATTGGTGACCAATGTTACATCGGTTGAATTATCATTTAGAATTGGTGGTTCCGACACTCCTGATATTTTGTTTGAACATGTAAATCCAAAGTAATCTTTGAAACAATCGCATTTACCAGTGGTTGGATTGCATTGACCATTCTCACCACATGATGTTGGACATTGATTTACTTGTTTATAAATGAATTTATCTCCAGATGTTGAAAGATGAGCGACATTTACTTGAACTGAAAGTGTTGAATTGCTTGATCCAACATTTGATTCAAACCAACAAGTTAATCTTGTTGGACTGATTACTTTTGGATTTGTACAATTCTTTTCACCAATCAATACGATTAGAGCGTTATCTGCAAAGTTATTTCCATCGATTGTAACGGTATCTGCTTTCTTGAAAATGGTTGAAGTAACACTATCAATGATTGGTCCTTGATATGAAAAGAGTGTTGAGCTTGATTTGTCCAAGAAATTGAATTGAGCAGATACTTGTCCTGATCCTGGTGGTGCTTTGCATGAAATTGTGTAAGGACTATAACTAACACCATCCCATTTCAAATCAGTGCATTGAACACCTCCAATCGAAACTGTGAGCACTGGTTGTTCATCGAATGAAATTGGTGAAAGATAATATCCTTGGAAGTTTATTATTCCACCTGCGACTAATGGTGATGATACATTCATAACAACTGGTGGAATTGGAATTTGAAAAACCTGTGAATCTAGACCATATGAATTCATAGTAATCGGTCCACTTCTGCTATCTAATGGTAAATTAAGTTGGACACTGGTATCTGTATAACTGGAAATGTCAAGCATTGAAGAATCAATAACTTTGGACAATCCATGTATTTTTGGTCGTACAATACCAAAATACTTTCCGTTGAGTGTCATTGATACTGTTGGTGGTTCAGCTGCAATAACACTGTATTGTGAGTTTTTAATAGATGGTGGTGTTCCTGAATAGTTGTAACCTCCAGAAAGTATACCAGATGCGGTTGTTGATAAAACTTCCAAAGTTGCTGGTCCATAAAACTGAGTCGCAATAAATGTAATGTATGATGGTCCAGTTCCTCCACCAATGATATTTATTAACTGTCCGTTAAACTTTAAAGCTGCTGAAATATTATTTAAATTGTATCCATACAAAGAAACTACATTATTTGGTATCATATACTTTGGTGAATATGATGTTATTACAGGTGCTAAAAATAAATTATAAAAATATTTTAGGATGAGAATATTTTAGTTTGTTTTAGAATAATTTATAATTACCCCAAGTTATATTTTCAGAATATAAAGTAAAACCTTGAGAAGAAATTAAAGAAAATAATCCATTTGAATCATAATCTGGGAATAAAAATGAACATGATGTATCTGAGCAAACCAAATTATTTGGTGAAACTTGCTTACTACCCATTATTATTTTCAAACTATTTTTGTATGGTGCAATATCTGGTGAACTCATTACAACAGTAATATTGTTTTGAACAAAAGTTGGATTTTCAATTCCTAAAAAAAAAAATTTCTAATTAGTTTAATTATTTTAATTTAAATAATATTTCTTATAATTACTTTTAATAGAAACACCCATATATCCATCTTGATCGGCTCTTCTGAATTTATATTGAATATTGTTGGAAAGTTTGTATATTAATGGTGGAACTACAAAAGAAATTTGAGAATCACTCAAATTTGTGACATTGGTACAAGTAACATTGTCATTGGGGTTGAAATTGTATATGAGTATAACAGTAAATGGATCTTGAACAGTTGAGAAAAATTGACCATTGGCAAGAACTACTCCACCTTCTGTCGAAACCGGTGTAGAAGAAGAGAGGATAAAAGCTGGTGATCCCCAAACAAAGAAATCGGATGCATCAGGTCCAATGATAACTGAAAAATTATAAATACCATAGGGTACATTATTAAAAGAGTAAGTTATCTGGTTGGGCGTCATTGTTAGAACTTGACCATCTGGCAATCCATTGATCATTATTGAACCTCCAGACAAACTAGCTCCATGGATATACAATATATTTGAAACGTAGCTAACAGAATCGATGGTTGGAACCAATTTGTACTGGTAGGTGGAGGTGATATTAAACGAAGACATTGAAATCAAATTGATGGTAATTAGTTTGGTGAGTGGAGCGTTTTGAACTGTGAGCATACCGGTCTGTGCAGCATAGGAAAATTGCAACTCTTTTCCTTGTGATGTGACAACAATAGATTTATATTGTGGTGGGTTCAAAATATTACCCATTTTAAAGTTGAGATTTGGAGCGGTCAGTGTAGCTTCGAGAATGGATACCTTTCTCAGTCCATATACAATAATGAGTGGAAACTTTTGTGATTGTGGATAACCTTCAACTCTGTTGTTATTTAATGCCAAGTAGGGTCCATTCGAGAGATCCACTGGAACAGGTGATGTAAAGTTGTAACCAGGGTACAAAAAATAATCTCCAAAATAAGATCCTATAACCCAAGTTTGTACTTGACTGATTAAATTTGTTTGAATAAATTGCAAAATAGAAATATTATTCAAACATATATAATATGGGTGTACCTTGAGATTTCCATAAATACTATTCTGACTTGAAACCAACATTTCTGCAAATGTTTTATTAATACTAGTAGATAAGTATTGATAAACTAAATTTGAATTTGGGTCAACTATTAATAGTTAAATAAAAATAATAAGTATAAGTTTATGATTCTATAAAAATTATTTTGTTTTAAACTTACTTATAGGTGGATTTAATTGTTGATTATATATTCCTATTGATGGAATATTAAATAAAATGGATTGCAATTGTTTGATATCATCATTAACAGTAATTAACAAACCATACTGATTTTTTATAATGGATAATGTTTGATAGTTGTTAATCTTTATACCTGTTGCTGGATAAACCAAAAGATAATCCAAATTGGGACCGAATAAACGTATCTGCTTTTGATCTCTATTGATAGAGACTGATGTGACCACTGGAAGATTAAAGTAGAAAGAATAATTCTTTTGGCTATTAATCTCGAAAAAGAATTGTCCAACATAAGATGCAAACGTTTGTGGTAGAACGCAGGTTACGGAAATCAAAGAGATATACGGAGTATCACATTGGACAGAGACGCCACTAGCAACGGAAATTAATCTGATTGATGGAACTGGATCAACAGTAATATTGCTAATAACCACCGTTGTTGACTGTGTATCTAACATAGTAAATGTTGGATCGGTAGCAGCATTCATTCCAGATTCAAGAATTACATAGTTTACGTCAGTGTCCAAAGCCGGTTTGAATCCTGTTGAATCAGCAACCAGCCAATTACTATCATAGTTTCCAGTGAAATTAGCACAGAATGACAAACATGCTGGTGGGTAATCTAAATAAAATGGTTGATTTTTAATTGGTCCAGATGACCATCCCCATAGAGCATTCAATTTATCCAAAGGAATTGCTCCAATCCAAAGTTTTCCTTTTCTAAAAACTTCTGATTTGTTTGTAACAATTTGATATTCTTCTAAACTTTCAAAAGTAACCAATGATCTAATATAAAAGTATTAAAATAAAATGTTTAAAAAGATAATAATAATAATCAACCAATATATATTTACTTTGTATTATCTGTTAATTTTAAAGCTTCAGAATAGGTCATTGGATCTAAAAAAAATTCATACTTTGATGTTAAAGTTGAAAATGTAATTGATCCACCATTTGATTTATATGTATAAAGTGAAATACATTGTATTACTATTAATAATATGATATTAACTATTTTTATCATTATATAAATATTATTTTTGATTATATTTATTCAAAGTGAAAATAAATTGAATTGATCCAAATAATATCTTGGCAAAAAAAAATCAAAAGACTACGACGTCGTTTTTTTTTTTTAACAACTTAAAATTGATTTTATATAAAATCCAAGAAATATCTATTTTTCAAAGATTTTCGAGTTTGATAAATGGAATCAACTTCATGAACTCTATTACATTTTCCTATAAATAGTTTACTTTTTTTTTTTTTTTTTTTTTTTTTTAGAAAAAATACAAGTATTTTATTTATTTGGTTTTTATTTTGAGTTTACACAACTAAAATTGAATTTCCTTTTTGTCTTGTCAACACTTTAAAGTCTAATCAATCATGTTGTTGTTTATCTTTTACTCTAATATTACTTTAAGAGAAAAGGTTTCCAGATGATTCGTAGACAGCCTTGATCTTCATGATGGCATTGTAGAGGGCGGCGGTACGGTAGTCAGTGTTCTTTTCGATGGCGGTCTTTCTGGTTTCAGCACATGCGTTGGTCATGGTGTCATCGAGACCTGAACGGACAATGTCGATTTCATCGGCACCGTGGATGATCAAGTTACGTTCGGCATCACCGAGCTTCTTGTTGACGGTGGATTCGACGAATTCCAACAACAATTTCTTTGAGGATTCCTCCCACTTCTTGTTGAGACGACCGAAACGGACGTGACTCAAGTTCTTCAACCACTCGAAATAGGAAACAGTGACACCACCAGCGTTCAACAAGAGATCTGGGATGATGACATGTCCACGGTTGATCAAGTATTCGTCGGCACGTGGGGTCATTGGACCGTTGGCAGCCTCACCGATGATCTTGGCTTGGATGTTGTGGCAGTTACCGATGTGGATTTGCTTCTCGAGGGCAGCTGGAATCAAGATGTCACATGGGATTTCGAGGGCTTTGTGTGAGTCGACAATGTTGGTGGCACCTGGGAAGTCGATGAAGGTACCGTGTTGCAACTTGTACTTGTTGAGGGCATCAACGTTCAAACCGTCTGGGTTGTAGACGGCACCGTTGTGCTCAGCGACGGCGATAATCTTGGCACCAGCTTGCTCAAAGAACTTACCGGCCCAGTAACCGACATTACCGAAACCTTGGATGATGATCTTCTTACCCTTGATACCTGGAGTCAATCCAGTCTTTTGGAGGACTTCCTCGTAGGAAAGGAACTCACGGATACCGTAGAACACACCGAGACCGGTGGCTTCGGTACGACCACGGATACCACCGGAGCTGATTGGCTTACCAGTGACACAGGCCATTGAATCGACGTCGTTGGTGTTGAAAGCTTGGTAGGTGTCACGAATCCAAGCCATCTCTTGTTCACCGGTACCCATATCTGGGGCTGGTACATCGACACCTGGACCAATGAAGTTCTTTTGACAGAGCAACAAGGTGTAGGCACGAGTGATCTTCTCACGTTGTGCAACTGTGTATTTCTTTGGGTCGATACGGACACCTCCCTTGGCACCTCCGAATGGAACGTCGACGACGGCACACTTGTAGGTCATCAATGAAGCCAAAGCCATAACCTCTTGCAAATCGACCTCGTTGGAATAACGGATACCACCCTTGCATGGCAAACGATGGTGACTGTGTTGAGCACGGTAACCTGCAATGATATCGACATCTCCGTGTTCATTCTTGATTGGGAATTCAACACGCAAAGCAACATTGCACTCCTTCATGTTATTGATGACACCTGGCTTCAAATTGGTGAGACCAGCTGCCTTGTCAAAGAAAGTCTTGAAACATTCCAAAAATCTTGGTTCGTTATCAATCTCATGTCTGTAAATTTGGAAAATATTTAATATTAGAAAATTGATCAAATTTCATTAAAAATAGCAACTATATCTAACAAAAAACCTATTTTTTTGACCATGCATTATTTTTCGTCTTTACATTTTTTCGAAATCGATTCCTGTATTAGACTTTTTTTTTTGATGATAAAAAATTTTTTGTTTTGATCTAAAGTGACTTTTTTTTTTTTTTTTTGTATTTTTTTTTTTGATCATCAAAAAAAAAAAAAATTGTGTTCACCAAAACCAATCTATCTTAACTGCTTTATGAGGTGATGTCCATATATAATTATAATATGGTAGTTGATGAAAAAAAGGTTGATTGTGATTATGATTATGATTATTTTTATATTGTTTTTAATAGGTTTTTTTTTATTTTATTTCTTTTTAAAAGTTGATTAAATAGATGATTTATACATACTGAGAAACCTCGGTGGAGTATGAACGATTTGAAACCAAAGATGATTGGTTGTTGAAGAGACTACGAGTAACGGTACGACTAACAAGACGATTCATTTCTTTAAACTAAACTAAACTCCCAAATGGAACAAAAATTGTTTATTGGATGAATAGAAATATATAGAAAAAAAAAAAAAAAAAGGTTAATGATTAAAAAAATTGAATTGAACAGACTTGTTTGATCAAAAAAGAAATTGAATTTTAAAAAAAATAATTCAAAAGAAAAAAACAAAAAAAAATTAAATAAAATAAAATTTTAAAAAAATCAAGGTGAAGTTTTAACTTTTTGCAAAAAACCCACTTGTAAAGAAATTTAAAAAAAACAACAACAGGTCACTTCAAAAATCCCAACAAATGTTGTTTGATGCTGTCATTACGTAGTATGTTTGGTTTTTGTATTGATAACCCCACTCACACCTGGTTTTAATCTTACTCTTATGTTGAGTGGAAAACAACCTGGTTAATTCTACCAAAAAAAGTTTGTATGCTTTTCTCGTCTGTATCGTTTGGTGGTGTTGGTCTCCCCCACAACAATTTAATTTTAGTCTTATAAGATAATAATTGGGATAGATTTTATTTTTCAACATACAATACAGATCTATGTTGTAATATCATTTCTGATATATTTTTTTAGAAAAAAAGAAAATATTTGTATTAAGTATTTGCTTTTATATAATTTGTCAATTTACAAAAACAAAAATACCAAAATTTTTTTAGAATTTCCGCTCAAGTGGTAATACCTCCGATATCGGAGGTAATTAGTTAAAACTAAACTTGATCATGATTAAAAAACTATAAGATTATATAAAAAGTTATGTTAAGAACAATATTTAGGACATGGATAATAATTAAGTTCTTTGAGAAAAAAAACTCCAAAAGTTTTGCCAAAAACAAATAACAAAATTTTAAACAAATAAATAATTTTGTCAAAATAATTGAAAAAAAAAAGGTGGTGAGTCACAACAAAAAAAAAAAAAAAAACTAAAATAAATGCGAATTTCAATAATGTCGTTATCAGGTTATTAATAATAATTAGTTTTGGATTCATTATTATTAGGAAAAATAAGAAACCATTAATATATATCAAAAGAAGTTAATTGTTATATTATTAATTTTAATATCTATTATAAATTTACTTTTGTTTTGTATTGTTTAAGATAAGGATAGTTATTTAATAATAGTTCAATCAGTCATTCAGTCAGTCAATCAATCAATCAATAATAGAAGCGAGATAGTATTGTTGACTTTTTTGGATTAGCGGTTGAGGATATGGAGGGAAATAAAGATGAAGCATTGCGATGCATTGAGATTGCAATGAAGAGAATCGGAGAGGGAAATAAAGAAGGTGCTATAAAGTTTTTAAACAAGTCGATTGCACTCTATCCAACGAGTAAAGCTAGAGATCTATTGGAGTTTTATAGTTCACAAGATAGCGTAGATGGTGGTGTAAATGAAAGTAGTAGTACTACAAACGATAGTAATATTAGTAAAGAAGGAGAAGAACAAGAAAGTAATACAGTACATAAAAGACATACTTCATCATCAACAACAACCGAACAATCATCATCATCCACTCCATCATCATCATCATCATCTACATCAACAACGACAACCTCTGAAAATAAACCTAAATTCACAAGAGAACAAGTAGAGTTGATTAAGAAGATCAAAACATGTAAATCATATTATGAAGTATTAGAAGTGAAAAAGACGGCAACAGAGGTCGATATCAAAAAAGCATACAGAAAATTAGCATTGCAAATGCATCCCGATAAGAATCATGCACCTGGTGCTGAAGAAGCTTTCAAGAGTATGTCTGATGAAAAAAAAAACATAGAAACAACTAGTTGTTTAGTCTTTATATTTTTATTAATCATTATTATTTGTTTTTATATTTTTGTTAGTTGTTACACAAGCATTTTCATGTTTAAGTGATCCAAAGAAGAGATCAACATATGATATACATGGAGCAGAGTCACCGATGACTGCTTCGGGTCGTGGATTTGGTGGTAGACAAGGTGGCTTCTACGAGGAGGAGTTGTCACCCGAGGATATCTTTAATATATTCTTTGGTATTCCACCACGTGGAGGTGGAGCTCGTAGAAATCATCCTTTCTATTCGGATTTCCAACCGATGGCAGGCAATAGAGGTCGTACTTTCCACTACCAGTTTGGCGGTGGCGGTGGCGCTGCCAATCGCGGCGGCGGTGGTAACCAGCAAGAGACATCTTCATTCTTTTCGATCATAATGATTCTCTTTACAGTGTTGTATGTTTTTATGTCTTTTTTTGGCGGAGGCTCATCCAGCAACAGCAGTAGCAATAGCAGGCCGCTTGCTTCACTGTACAGTTTCGAGCCTAAATTCAACATTCACAGAGAGCGTCATATGCGGCTGGGAACAGAAGAGATTACGCTGGATTTTACATATTATGTCAAGGATAATTTAGAGGGTATACTGCGATACAACGGAATATCGAGCGATCAACTCGAACAAGAGGTTAAAGAGAGCTGGTTGGAGTTGCAAGCCAAACTTTGTCGTCATAAGGAAACACTAGAGAAGAAACCACGTCAAACAGCGGAGTATATAGATCTAAAGAACAAAGGTGCATTCCAATATTGTGATCTATTAAAAGAATTAGGTTATCGATGGTAATATTATTATTTGGAATGAAAAAGAAAAAAAAAGAAAAAAAAACAAAAACAAAAACAAAAATAGAGAAAATATATATTATTGTTACAATTTATAATTTACTTTTGTTTTTATTACATCTTTATTATTATTATTATTATTATTATATATTTTGTTATATTATTATTATTTCTTTCATTATTATTTGTTTATTTTATTTCATCAAATGATTGATTTGGTAATCGAACGCTACCCCAACCTCTTGATTTTTATACCCAGTTCTGAGAGTTGTGATTTGAGTTGATCGATTTGTCCACGATGATAGATAAATGTTGGTATGTTGTAGAGTTTCGATGGTTCTGCATCCTTTACATTGTCGTCGATGTAGACTATGCGTGATCCGTATTGTTGGTAGGTGTCTGGTGTAGCATTGGGATAGATGGTTTTGATGAGTACCTCGATGAATCGGGTATCTGGTTTCGTGTAGTGACAGTCGTACGAGTACACCTCGTAGTCAAAGTGACGTCGGAAATTGTATTTGTCTTCGAGGTAGTCGATACGCGATTCAATGTTACCACTGAATGCCGCTATACGATAGCCATTGGTTCGGAGTGAGTATAGCAGCGCCAAGATATCGTGATCCATGACGTAGCCTTCGTACCACAGCTTCTTGATGACATCGACGTCGTAGTTGGCCGGACACCGCTGCTTGAAGAAGCCATTCCAGAATTGGTCGTCCGTCAACAAACCTTTGCGCAGATCCATCGATTCCGGCGAGGTCAACAGCTGACGAATCAGCTTCGAGTCATAGCCACGACGTTCCCACGACTGAGAAGCGACCTCTTTGCCAGCAGAGAATATTACACCACCTAAATCTAAAGCTATAACATCAATCTTTTGAGGTGGTGTCAATGGTTTCGAATCAACACCTGGTGATGATGGTGATGATGATGATGATGGTAATGTTGTTGTATTATTTGTATCTTCACTATTCATGAAAAAAAAGTAACTATTATTTAATTAATATATTTTATTTTTTAAATTAATTAAACTACTTTTTTTTTTTTTTTTTTGTTAGACTAACAACTGATGGTTTAGAAAAAAAAAAATGGTGGAATGGGGGTCAAATATTCATTTAAAACTTCTATTTTTAAATAAATAGCGACATCATGATCGTTTTTGAAATATTTTTTAACTTCTAGTAGAAATCAAATCTGTTAATTGATAAAGATTCTTTTTTTTATAAATCTACCAATCAAATAACAAGTTTTAAATTTATTTTTAAGAAATCACTTCGACCTTGAATTTGCTTATTTATTTTTGTCAATTTTTAATATATTGAATTTGTGAACTTCACAATCAATTTTGTTGTGGTATTTTTTTTTTTATATTTAATATAAATAAATAATTCTTTAATTCCAAAGATGTACAATAAACTTTTCTTTCTTTTACAGGTTGTTGTTTTTTTTTTTTTAATTTTTTTTTTTTAATTTTTTTAACATTTATTTTAAATCAATAATTATCACATGATTTTTTTTAATCTGATCATAAATGGAATATACATTATTTTTAAAGATTTTTAATAATCAGGTTCTAAGATATAATATATTTAATAAGGTTTCAGAGATTCATTTAGCACTTGGTTTAAAGACATGTGAGTGGATTCGTTTGGCAAATAATCCGCAGTTATTAATTAAATACAATTATGTGGATTGCGTTAAAGAGTACTTTGTTAAATATCTTACACCTAATTGTAGTTCTCATATCACTCGACTGATAGGATTCTCTATTTCAATATCGATTGAATGGGGTCGTTTCAAAGTACTAGAGATGTTTGTAAAGGATCTTCGGCTGAAACTATCGAATTACATTCGACACTCATTGATGTTTTATAGAGCCGCCTACAGTAGAAAGCTAGAGAATTTGGTGGCGCTCGAAAGATTTCTCATTGAACATGATGATATCGATAATATAACACCAAAGATCTATGTAGAGGGTTTAGAGGTGGCCGCAGATCGTGGTACTCTGGACATGGTCGTTTGGCTTTCAAATAAGGTCGGTGTTATCAGTCCCGATGAGATGACTGTTTCGCCTATCGAGCTTGCAGCAAAGAATGGTAATCTCTCGATGTTGCAATGGTTGATTGTAAACCGACCTAAAGACAGTTATCATCAGGTTGTTCACCTAGCTCTGGAGAATGGTCATGTAAAGCTGCTCGATTGGCTTGTAGAGAATGAACATATCGATCCTACCAACATTACAGTGAATATTGATATCTTAGCAGATAGTGGATTTCTGAATTCAATCATCTGGGCACACAAGAAACATTGTAGGATAACATGTACTCACAATGCAATGAACTTATCGGCGTCACATGGTTACCTACACATTATCAAATGGCTCGATCAACATCGTACAGAAGGTTGTAATCAATTTGCTATGAACATTGCTGCTGAGAATGGCCACTTTGATGTTTTCAAATGGTTCCACGAGAATAGAACTGAAGGATGTACAAATAAAGCAATGGACTTTGTTAGAGCGAATGTTCCAAAGATCTCCATTGAGAAATACAATGAAATGGTTGTTTGGATGCATAGAAATAGAAGTGAAGGTTGTACAACTAGAGCTCTAGACAATGCCTCTTGTTTCTCATTGGAGCTGGTAAAGTTTCTTTATTACAATCGAACCGAAGGATATTCAAAGAATGCATTTTACAACGCTGCTCTCAATGGACGTTTGGATATATTTAAATTTCTAGAGGAGAATAGAACAGAAGATATTCCAACCAATGTTATTATAGCGGATGTCTGTAGAGCATCGGTGAATAACGATTGTTTGGATATGATAAAGTACCTAAATGACCAATATCCAGAGGAATCTTCTTGGAGTACTGCTATTGATACTGCTGCCTCCAATGGAAATTTGGCAATAGTGAAATACCTCTGTGAGAATAGATCGGATCGATGTAGTGAAATCGCGCTAATTGGTGCAATCAAGAAGAGGAGACCAGATATTATCGAATATTTACTAAGTAATAAATTGGTTATATGGACAAGTAAATCTATACTTGAAGCAGTTGGACAATTTTATTATTCATTAGCAGATCATCTTTTGCAACAATATCCAGAACCATTTGAAATTAACAAAGCAATGAATTTGGCAGAGGAGATCTATGAATTTTCAATCGATAATATTAGAAATTATTTTAAACAAAGAAATTTATTAAATATAAATTAATTAGATGTCAAATAAATTTGATTTCCATATTTTTTTCATATTAAAAATTTAAAGTAACATATCATCGAACTGGCTCACTTATCTCTAGATATTATTTTATCTACAAATTTCGATTATTTTCTAATATTCTTTTAAAAAGCATTAAAGGTAAAGTACACATTTTATTTTATTAGCCTGATAGTTTATGTTGTTGATTTTGTTGGAGGTGAATATGTTGTTGATCGTCTAAGCGATTGTACTTCTGATTGATAATGAAGAAACCTTTTCGAGTCTCGACTGTGTTTGTGATGATTGTTGTTATATTGCTGAGTAGTCTCCTATGAATTGTGTGAGGTAATAGAGTTTTCCTTTTGGAATAGGTATGATATAATATAAATATATTGCACTTTAACAATATCTCTAAAGTGTATTCTGCAATAAGATACCGGGTCTATCATGATTTTTTTCATAAATGTTATTCTTTATGATGAAAATTAATTAGTAAGTGTCAAATCTCCCTCTCTATATCTCAATCTCTTATTCAAAAGTATTGTGGTTATAACTTACAGGTCCAGAACTACATTTTAATAAACATTTCTGAGCATGCGTGATCCAAGATCTGTTTCTTACTGCTTACAGTTGCCTGATAACTAATTGGTGATAAATCAGTACCTGTTAGTAGGATATTGAATAGTAGAAACGCTCTATACACCAAATAATACATACACATCAATTAAATATCAGCATTGTGGATAATATTGGTAAACTTATAAACAACCAAGTATGGCTTTTCTTCCTTTCTGTACCATTAACTTCATTTCTACCACTAAATTCTGATGCACGTTGAATACTATATATAAAGAGTACAAAAATACATATAAAACTATTTTTCGACACGGTAATAGTCAACGAACTACATTCCCTTCTCATTTTAAAATAAGTTCGAATATCATGATCTCTCTGATCATGAATATCCTCTGGTTGGGGAAATACTTCACAAGAAGTAGTTACATTCAAAATATTTATAACAGCAGAAGCTGTAGATTCACATTCGGTCTCTTTTACGTAAGTAAATAGACAAAGGCTAATTAAAAATAGATATGTTGCATAAAATGCAATACTCCTAAATTTATACATATTTGTTCGAAATTAACTCTTTATAGTTATTGATACTCTTTTTTTTTTTGGGTATGATAAGTTGTTTTGTGGTCTATTGTATTGTTGTGATTAGTTGATTTGTTATTATTATTATTAATTGTATGGTGATAGTAAAATTTTGATTTTGATTTAAAAATTTTGAAAGCCTGGGTGCTCACTTTTTTTTTCGACAAAGACAACACAAAGAATCAATTGTCAAATGCATTAAACCTGGAAGAACAAACAACCAATAGAAAACAAAGTTGAATATATAACAAATTCTTATTATTTATTAAAGTCGTTTTAGACATTAAAAGTGGTGTATTTACAAATTTTTATTTTGTTTATTTTTAATGTGGTCGTTTCATTTGTTGTTGTTGTTGGAGATGAATATGTTGTTGATAAACGATTGTACTTCTGGTTCTGTAGAAGAAACCGTTTCGAGTCTTTACTGTGTTTGTGATGATTGTGGGTGGCGAAATATTATGATTGTTGTCAAATTACCGAGTAGTTTCCTCGAGGTAATAGAGATTTCCTTTTGGAATAGGTATGATATAATATAAATATGTTGCTCTTGTTCAGAAAGATGAACTTTCGTTCTATTTCAGATGGTCAATTGAGAGATGCACTACTGAAAGAACTACATTATAACTTCTTTGAATAGATATTTTTGTACAGCTTATAGTTGCAACTATCATCTAATTGGTGATAAATCATTACCTGTTAGTAAGATATTGGATAATACAAACGCACTATACACCAATTTAATACATACACATATTGTAGAGATATCAGCAATATGGAATTCAATATTAAATTAACCATATTTTTCAAGGCCGTATCGATTATCGTTCCATGTACATCTTAAAAGAAGTTAGTGCATCTTGCACTATTTGAAAATGAATATCCTCTGGTTGAGGAAATGCTTTATATGATGTAGTTACATCCAAATTATTACGAAAAACCGTAAATCCCTGGTCGGATATCAAAAAACAAGGTCGATTTTCTTTAAAAAAAAGTAATATTTTAAGTTCTACCTAAATAATGAACCATCGACCTTTATATTTGTTTGTTTCGATAGAATCACCCATTGATATACTTGATATTTCAAAAAGTGAAAGCTGAAGTGACATTACTCTGTATGATATTAGGCTTTTAAATAAAGTTGACAAATTCAATGCAAAGAATCAATATCATATGTATTGACTCCTAAGTAAATTTAGACATAATTGTTTTCCTTTTTTTTATTTTTGGATATGATCTGCTGTTTTGTGATCTATTGTATTGTTGTGATTATTATTATTATCTTTGTTGTAATTATAGTAGTCGACTAAATTTGTGTTGTTGAACAAAGTGTCAGTCTTGTAAAAAAAAACGTTACCTCCCTTGAAATAACTAAAAAAGATGAAAGTAAAGTTTAAAATGATCATCTTTTTTATTTTTTACTTTAATATCATAACATATTTTTATGGTCTATTTTTTGTCTGTTTTTAAATTTTTGGTTGTTGACATGTTTTTGATTAATTCTAGATGGGATATAATAGTTTTTTGGATAACGTATAACTGTGTTGGTTGCTCTTGTTCAGGTCAAAGATGAGCTTTCTCTCTATTTTCAGATAGTCAATTGAGAGAGTAGTGCATCTATTTTAAGGAGTGCATCTCTGATTCATTTTCTTTTTATCTATGATAACAATTAATTAGTAATTGTCAAATCTCTCTCTCTTATTCAAAAGTATTGTTGTTATAACTTACTTACATGAATAGAACTACATTATAATAAACTTCTCTGAACATGCTTGATTCATGATCTGTTTCTAATTTGTTGCTATAACTATCATACATTCCTCCAAACTATCAATATGACAACCGCAACATACCATCGAACTGCCTCACTTGTCTAGTTATAATATCTCCAAATGTCTGATAATATAGTTTGAGTTATATATGCGACAATAGAAAATAAAGTAATATTTTTAATTGCTGTGCTAGGCATCGTATTACACTTTATGAACATATCATGAGAATGAGTTATATTAAGTATTCTTTGTCTATACATTTTTAGATCCTCTTGACTAGAAAATGCATCACATGATGTAATTTCTGTCAATTCATTAGCAATATCAGGAAACATAGAATGGCATTCTATCATTTCTGAGACAACATAAATACAATAACAAACTACCATTGTTGTTGCTATATAAACAAATTTAGACATATTTTTTTTTTTTTTCAAATAGCTTAATATTCTTTTTTGTTGTATGATGTAATCTACTGTATTGTTGAATTTTTGTGTAATGTTAGGTGACTTTATTATCTCTATTTAATTAAAAAATTTTAGAAAAAAAATAATATCAGTTTTAAAAAAAATTGGTTATTAATGATCAAAGACCATCGCTTTTTTTTCTGCGAGAAACTGTAAAAACAAGATCGAACTTTTTGCTAAAAATATTTTGACAAAAAAAAATTTGTTTATTCGTTTGGACCTTCGGAAAACTAACAAACTCTATCTATTAACAATCCTAAGTAAATGTTGATAGTGTCTAGCTAGAAGACCAAACAACAATAGAAAATAAAGTTGAAAAAAATAAACAAATTTCAAAATAACAACTTTAGTTTACACTTTTTATTTTTTAAGGTGATCGTTTGTGTTGTTTGTTGATGTATCCACTGTATTTGTGACGATTGTGGCGGTGAAATTTTATGTTTGTTGTTATATTATTGAGTAGTCTCCGAGGAGTTGATGAGGTAATAGAGTTTTCCTTTTGGAATAGGATAAATATGTTGCACTTCAACTTAAACTCTAAAGAGTATTCTGCAATAAGATACCGGGTCTATCATGATTTTTTTCATCAATGTTCTTGTTATCTATGATTAAATTAATTAGTAAATGTCAAATCTCCTCTATATCTCAATCTCTCTATTCAAAGTATTGTGGTTATAACTTACAGATTTAGAACTATATTAGAATAAACTTCACTGAGCATACATACAACATGCGTGATTCAAGATCTGTTTCTTATTGCTTATAGTTGCCTGTTATATAATTGGTGATAAATCAGTACCTGTTAGTAAGATATTGAATAGTACAAACGCTCTATACACCAATATAAAATACATACAAATTATTAGCTAACATTGTGGATACTAATGCTAAATTTATAAACATACTAAGATACCTTTTCTTCCTTTCTGTACCATTAACTTCATTTCTATTTCTATCACATTGAATTATAACGAATACAAAGACACATATAAAACTATTTTCCAACGCTTTGCTAGTCAACGATCTACATTTTAAGACCATTTTTATAGCAGTATAACTATCATTCAAAACCTGAAAATAAATACTAGTTGGACTAAGAAATACTTCACAAGATCTAGCTTCTTCCAAATTATTTTTAAAAACAGTAGCTGTAGAACCACATTCGGTATCTTTTACGTAAGAAAATAAACAATAGCTAAATATAAATAGAAGAAGTGCCAATGTTGTTGCTATATTCGTAAATTTAGACATATTTGTTCGAAATTAACTCTTTAAAGTTATTGATATTCTTTTTTGGGTATGATTTGTGATCTATTGTATTGTTGTTATTAGTTGATTTGTTATTATTATTATTAATTGTATGGTGATAGTAAAATTTTGATTTTGATTTAAAAATTTTGAAAGCCTGGGTGCTCACTTTTTTTTTGGGTGGTAACATTTTTTTAAATATTGATATTATAATCTTTGAGAAATGCGTATATAATTGGTATGTTACTTTGTTTTGCTAAATTAACTAGCTTGTCGTGATCCAATATGCTTGATTTCATTAACCAATCAACTATTTCAATGATAAATAGAGATTGATTTTTTAATTGAGAAATAATTGATGATTCCAAATCATTTGAATAAAGCTTGCTATCAATGAGATATTGAATCATTTCAAAGTCTTTTCTTGATAAAGCATTATCAAATACATTTATGGTAGTGCTGACATGAGTTGTATTTTGGTTAATCCACTTTACTAAATCGAGGTTCGATGATTTGATTGCTAAATCCATTAGATTGAAAGACCAATTATATTCATTTGGCTTTCCAGTTTCATAAAGATATTGAATCATCTCTAATTGACCATAATAACATAGACTTCCAATGAGATCGGAGGAAACTCCTTCTGTTCTATTTTCTTTGAGGAATTTAAAGATTTCCAGTTGACCAGCCAATCCAGCATTAAACATTGCCAAGTTTGTACAACCTTCAGAGCGATTCTGATGAAGGAATTTAACAATATCAAGTGAGAAAGAAGCAACAAAATCCATGAAACCATGACTAAATCCTTCTGTTCTATTTTGATGATACCATTTTACCATTTCAAATGTTTGACTCTTCTCTGATTCTTTAGTTAATGATTTTTGGCTAAAGAGGCATATGGTATGTGTTCCTTCTGTTCTATTCTCATGTAACCATCTAACAGTTTCGAATTTACATCTGGTGAACGCATTATACATTGCACTCTTTGAACATCCTTGATTATTATGATCATTGATCCATTTTACAACATCGAGTGATGATTTTCTTGCTGCTTCATCGAAATCATTTGATGTAAAGTTGATTCTTATTTTGGTTGTACTCAACCATTGATATAAATCGTTCAGAGAGAATTTGAAACCAAGTTCGGATGCTTCATACTCTCTATCTTCTATATAACCATTGGAAAGTAACCAATCAGGAATATGCTTTTGAAATTTGTTTAATGCAATACCAATCATTCCATTTCTAAGTTGCAAATCATCTCTATCGGTTCTGTTGTTGATTAACCAATCTATAATCTGTACATGACCACCATAAACCTCTTTATTTTGAAATTTATTAAATATATTTGATCTAATAACTAAATTATTAAATTCTAATTTGAATAATTCTGATTTCATAATTAATTAAATAATGATAATAATAAGTTAACTCTTTTTTCTATTTTTATTATATTTTTTTTTTCTTAACAATTTTTTTTTTATTTTTTCAAATTTATTTGTTGTTGTAAATAATTTTTAATTTCCAATTTATTTTGAGAAATTGAATAATTAATTAATTCTGTTAAATCTTGTTGATATAGTTTCTTTTCTATTAAATATTTTACTACTTCCAATGATCCATTGAATATTGCCAATGTAATAGCATCCTGTGTACAACCTTCTGATCTATTTTCATGAAGCCATTTAACGACTCTTTTGTTTCCTGCTGCAGCTGCATTATCCATTGCTTTCGATGTCCAATACGGTTCGGTTCTAGTGTTGTGTAGGAATTGTATCATATCGAGATTATCTTTGGTACAAGCATTCTCAAATAGAGTCGATGGAATCTCAACATCTGGTCTATTGTCACAGAGGAATTGGAATATCTCTGCTTGATTATGAATGACTGCATTGTAGTATGCTTGAGACGAACATCCCGATGTTCCATTCTCATGAAGGAATTGAACGATTTCCAGAGAGAACCGAGCAGCTGTATCCATTGCATTACTAGAGAATCCTTCACTACGATTACAATGAAACCATTGAATCATTTGTAATGGTAGATGTGAAGGTGTTCTAGTAGTTGGTATGGTTAAATGTCCAACCGGTAGACAAGCTTGATTTCCATAGTTGGATTGTAACCACTCTACCACTTCAAAATGATAGTTACTGAATGCATCTCTCATTGCAAAGTTGAATGTACATCCATAGGTTGTATTGGTATATAACCAACTGAGAATCTCGATGTTACCGTTGGCAGCAGCAGTATCCATAGCGGATTTAGAACAAATTAAACTCAATGCTACACCGTTGGGAGTGGAGGGTGTTTGATTTGCAAGTACCCAATTCAAACTGGCCAATTGATTTCTACTGGCTATGAAATCGAGATTGATTGAATTGTTCTTGCTATCGATGAGATGGTTGGATTTGATGTAATCGGCAAGGTGGAGATGTCCATCGTTCAATGCATTCTGTAGAATTCTTTCGTTTTTATCGGCTGTTCGATTGGTGATAAGCCATTCAAATATGTGTATATTTCCTACGTGTGCAGCAATACGAATAGGATAATATACCAACTTGTCTTTATTGACACCGAGGCTCTCGTAGCGCTCTGATACCCATTGGATAACCTCTAGGCTATTGGAAACCGGTGAACTTGCTAATATACTACCGTAGAGTAGTTGTTCGTTACCGGCTGCTGCCATCTGCTCAATGTAGAGACAAAGATCAAGTCGCCCAAACTCAACGGCCGATCTCAATAGATCTGTATATTGGAATTGATTCGCTTTGATACATTGTTGAATTAAACCTCGCTCATAGAGGAATTCCAGCACTCGTCGCTGTCCATGTTTAATTACGAATCCAATTAGACGTGGTAGTTGATCAGTAATATTGAACAGCTTGATACTGTTATTCGGTTTGCTGTTGGCGTTGTTGTTATTGTGTTGTATTCTTGGCGCGAGATAACAATCGATTAGTTGTTCTACAAAGTTGTAACGTGAGAGAAGTATCGGTTGATCTGTAATCAATGTACTCCATTGATAACTCTTTATACCAAGTATCGTATGTATCTCTGTGATATCCGCAAATATCTTTTGTTGAAGTACTTTATTTTTGAATACTCTAAAGAATAAAGAAATATTCATCTTTTTAATAAATCTGTGAATGTATTTTTTAAGAATAATAATTTTATTTATATAAATAAATATTCATTGGAGTTTGCAACGTTGATTACGACAGATTTTTTGAACTTGATAATTTAAATAATTAATTATTTGAATTAATTTTGTGTTTTTTTTACTTTTAATGATTTTTTATTTTTGATCAAGATCCCTCAATGCGATCTAGAATATTTATTTATTTTTCAAATAAATTAATAAACATTTGAATGTTATTAATATTTTATAATAATATTCAAAGAATTTATTATTATTACTTTGATCAGTTTCTTGCTTTCGAAACATATTTACTATTTTAAAGGATGTGTAATCAATGATAATGCAGGTCGTGGCTTTATAGATTTAGTTTTTAGGATTGATTGAACAGACTTTTCAGCTAATAGAATTCATCAATAATCCAAGAGAATTTCTGATCATCAATATATTCATATTTCAGAGAAATGTAATTTAATTCATCAAGTCATAAATCTACCTATTGTAAACCATACAAATATGGATCGAATCTTTCAATCACTTAATTCTATAAATAGAATAAATTTTAATAAACAAGAATATTAATATATATTATGTATATAACCTTACCTTTCCACAATATCTCTATCTTGTTTTACCACTGAAGTATTGGATTGACCACTGATTGTGATATTCCTGAAGAAGTGATTGAAGAGCATCATTAATGATTCAATAATTATCATTTAGAGAGGCTACCAAGGTGATATCACGTCTTTGACTTCTTTCATGCTGCTGATACAAATACGATCTGTTTCTTATTGCAAACTGTTGTTGAAAGTCTATTGCTCGAGTATTTGTGCTATAAAGGATGGAGTGGCAAATCACTACCTATTAATATATACCGACACATACACCATTGTAATATCATATTAACTTATAGATGTATACGTGAGTTAGGGAATAACTGAAAAGTGATCGGTGAAGAACTAGAATTGTTTCGATATAAATCCAAGGTCAACAAATATCGAAGACAAAGGCAAATAAATATTTAGTAATGTAATTACAATACATATTATATGATTACTTTGGATACATACAATTGCAAAAGTTTGAGCAAACATTTAGTATTATCTCGTAGGAATGTGGAGTTGATCGAGACGATCTGGACGGAGAATGGATCGATAATATCTGACGATTAATCAACTAGTTGTCAATGATACTAAACTCAATATCTGTTTGTTTATGAACTATGTACAGTAAACAAAGAATTGTCTGGTATATATAGACGCTGACACCGCTCTCTTTGCTACGATTCCTTTTATGAACAACAACCCACACAAATGAAACATCAAAAAGTAATATGTATTTGTTGATAATTTCATCAATAGCAATAATCTCAAAATAACTTTAACTTTTAAAGATGTTTGGAATTTTGATTTTTTTTTATAAATTTAATGAAAGAATTTTATTTAAAGAATTCACAACGGAAGTTTACTTCTTCTTGGCTGGGGCGGCGGCCTTCTTGTCTCCTGGCTTACCAGCAACCTTCTTGGTGGTACCCTTGATGACACCGACAGCGACGGTTTGACGCATATCACGGACGGCGAAACGACCGAGTGGTGGGTAATCAGTGAAGGTCTCGACGCACATTGGCTTGGTTGGGGTCAACTCGACCATAGCGGCATCACCGTTCTTCAAGATGATTTCACCAGTACCCTCACGAGCAACAACAGCACCAGTACGACGATCGACCTTGTCCAAGATGGTGGTGAATTTACAGGCAATGTGAGCAGTGTGACAATCCAAGACGGGGGCATAACCAGCATGGATTTGACCTGGGTGATTCAAGATGATAACTTGAGCTTGGAACTTGTCGGTTTCGACTGGTGGGTCATTCTTGGAGTCACCAGCGACCATACCTCTCTTGATATCCTTGACGGAAAGATTCTTGACGTTGAAACCAACGTTGTCACCTGGGGCGGCTTGGGTGAGTTGTTCGTGATGCATTTCGACGGACTTGACCTCAGTGGAGAGACCAGCTGGGGCGAAGGTGACGACCATACCTGGCTTCAAGATACCGGTCTCAACACGACCGACTGGAACTGTACCGATACCACCGATCTTGTAGACGTCTTGGAGTGGGATACGGAGTGGCTTGTCAACCGGTCTCTTTGGCTCGACGATGGCATCGAGGGCTTCCAATAAAGTTGGTCCCTTGTACCATGGCATGTTGGTGGATCTCTCCAACATGTTGTCACCATTCCAACCAGAGATTGGGACGAAGGCAACCTTTTCTGGGTTGTAACCGATCTTCTTGATGAAGGAGGAGGTTTCCTTGACGATTTCAGAGTAACGTCCCTCAGAGTAGTTGGTGGACTTCTCATCCATCTTGTTGATGGCAACGATCATTTGCTTGACACCCAAGGTGTAGGCGAGCAAAGCGTGCTCACGGGTTTGACCATTCTTGGCAATACCAGCTTCGAACTCACCAGTTGGGGAGGCAATGACGAGGACGGCACAATCGGCTTGGGAGGTACCGGTAATCATATTCTTGATGAAATCACGATGTCCTGGGGCATCAATGATGGTGAAGTAGTACTTGTTGGTTTCGAACTTCCAGAGGGCAATATCGATGGTGATACCTCTTTCACGCTCAGCCTTCAACTTGTCCATAACCCAAGCGTACTTGAAGGAGGCCTTACCGAGTTCGGAAGCTTCCTTTTCGTACTTTTCAATGACACGCTAAGATAATGATAAAAATAAAAATAAATAAATAAATATTAATATATATATAAATAATTATAATTAATAGTTTAATTATTTACCTTGTCAATACCACCACACTTGTAGATCAAATGACCAGTGGTGGTTGATTTACCAGCATCTACGTGACCAATTACGACGATGTTAATGTGAGTTTTTTCTTTTCCCATTGTTATATAGTTTTAGACTTTAGCTATAAAGATAGGTAGATGAAATTATGAAATAAAAAATTCAACAACCAAGAATAAATTTTATTTTGATGTTGAATGGAATATATAATTAAAAATAAGGAAAAATAAAAGAATCAAAAGTGGTTAATAAATTATTATTTTTTTTTTGGTTATACGAAAAACTATTAATTAATCTCCCCCTTTTATAACAACAACTACCCGAAAGTAAAATTTTTTTTGATAATAGATGGATGGTGTTTAATAAAAGTGTGGAAATGTGGTGTGTTGATTAATTGATATATATTCGAGTAGAATAAAATTATTTTTTATTAAAGATTTCATTGTAAAAAAAAAAATAATTATAAAATACGTAAAAATAATATATAGATTATATTTATATATTTATAAATAGAATAGAAAGTATGTATATGTTTATAAGGGTAGGGTAAGAGTAGATATAGTTTTTCTATTTTCTTATTTTTTTTTTTTTTTTTTTGTGATTATTTTTTTTTCTATATAATTTTCTATTGACATACCTAGAAGAGGATCGAAGTGAACAAAGAAATGAGTTGGTAATCATGTGAGTTTTATTCACAGGCTTTGACGCTGCGAAAAAAAAATTTTAATTTTTTAAATTTCAAAAAAAAAAGTTTTGATTGACAAATTTATTAAACAGAAAATATTGCCTAGGCGTTTATTTTTGAAAATTTCGATTGACAGGCACTTCTGAACAGCAGACACTCTTGAAAAAATCTTTTGTTTTTCTCTTTTCAGTGGTCGGTTGAAGTATGAGATGAACACCAGGCGTTTTTCGAAAATTTGTGGAACCAAAAAGACCAATATAGAATCCAATAATTTAGATCCCGATAATATGAACTAACGAACCACTATTTCTTCACCATTTCTCATTTTATTAGAGGTGAAAAAAATTTTTTTTTAAAAAAGAATAAAAGGTTAAAAAAAATTAAAAGATTTTCGAAAATTAAATTAAAAAAAAATAAATTTTGTGTAATGATTTCTTTATCTTTTATATTACTATTGTAATTGTTTATCTAAACATTTGAAATTTTTAAAATATTAAGAAATTAAGATTAGCATTGATATTTTGTAAAAAAATCATAATTATCCAGTACTTTGAACAGAATAAAAAAAAAAGTAATTCATATTTATTTAATAGAGATATATTCATTAAAAGATTCTCCTTTTTTACTCACAAATCTTATTCATTTCAATCCATTTTTTTTTGATAAAAAAAAAATAAAGCAATTTTTTTTTATTTTAATTTTTCATTTTTTTTTGATAAACTATTTGAACAAGCAATATCTTTTTTTTTTGCAATCAAAAAACCTATTATAATTAGTTTATTATCAAAGATGAGTAATAATAATTTAGATAATACTGCAGTTGTTCCAACAGCTGTAGATGAAACAACTACAGATCCATCTGATGATCAAATAGTAGATCCATGGACTGTATCATCAAAGAATGGTATCAATTATGATAAACTCATTGATCAATTCGGTTCAACAAAGATTGAACCAGAATTGATTGCTCGTTTCGAAAGAGTGACAGGTAAAAAAGCACATCATTTCTTAAAAAGAGGTATCTTTTTTTCACATAGGTAAAGTATAACATATTAGTAAATAAATAAATAATCAATATTAATATACTACTTTATTATTCTCTCACAGAGATTTAGTTGAAATTTTAGATGCATATGAATCAGGTAAACCATTTTATTTATATACTGGACGTGGTCCATCTAGTGGATCATTACATTTCGGTCATTTGGTTCCATTCATCTTTACCAAGTATCTTCAAGATGTATTCAATGTACCATTGGTAATTCAAATGACCAACGATGAAAAGTTCCTCTGGAAAGATATTACTCTGGAGGAATCGATTCAATTCACCATCAATAATGTAAAGGATATCATTGCATTGGGTTTCGATATTGAAAAGACATTTATATTTTCAAATTTAGATTATGTTGGTACAATGTATCCAAATATTGTTAAAATTGGAAAATGTATAACTTTAAATCAAGTAATTATAAATAGATTATTTTATTTATTACTATGCTAAACTAACAAACACACATTAATATACTAGATAAAAGGTATTTTCGGATTTGATGATTCAAATTCATGTGGAAAGTTTGCTTTCCCACCAGTTCAAGCTGCACCAGCTCTACCAGATTCATTCCCACATATTTTCTCACCAAGTGATCCAATGACAAAATCAATCCGTTGTTTGATTCCATGTGCAATCGATCAAGATCCATACTTTAGAATGACAAGAGATGTTGCACCAAGAATCGGTTATCTCAAACCAAGTTTAATTCATAGTAAATTCTTCCCTGCTCTCCAAGGTCACAATACAAAGATGAGTGCCTCCGATAGTAATTCCGCCATCTACCTCTCTGATACACCAAAAGAGGTAAATGAAAAAATTACCAAACATGCATTCTCTGGTGGTCGTAAAACCAAAGAAGAACATGAACTCTATGGTGCCAACTTGGAGGTCGATGTTTCCTATGAATATTTAACTTATTTCCTTGAAGATGATGAATTATTAAAAGATATTGGTGATGTAAGTAGTTTGAAAATTTTTTTTTTTTTAATAATTATTTTTATTAATAGTTTACTTTTTTTTTTTTTAGAAATATTCTTCAGGTAAATTATTAACAAGTCAAGTAAAGAATATTTTAATTGATATTATGATTGAAATCAACAAAAGACATCAAGAAGCAAGAGCAAGAGTTACTGATGAAATTACAAAGACATTTATGAGTGTTAGAAAGTTAAATTTCGCAATGCCAACAATCAAAAAATAAACAAACTTTACAACAATAAATAATCAACTTTATTATTATTATTTATATAATTATTTATTTTATTTTATTTTATTTTATTATTGTGGAATTGGTTGATTTTCATTACCATTTTGATTATCAATATCCAAAAAAGAAAATATCCAATTATATTCTTCGGTACCTCCAATGGGTGGCGCTGGATATGTTCCAGTTAGTAATGGTGTTAAATATTGTTGTTGTTGTTGTTGTTGTTGATTTGATTGAAGATGTTGTAAATTAGTTTGATGTTGTTGTTGTTGTTGTTGATTATTATTTGATGATTGATTATTTGTTAATTGATCTTTAACAATTAGTTGATCAGTTTTATTGGATTCCAATTGGTCTAGCGATTCCTTTGGTTTTGATGGGACTTGTTGTGAATCGGATTCTAATGATTTGAAATGTTTAGTTTCATTGGACAAGTCAGACAAAGGTGCAACCGATGGTGAAGAAGAAAATTCATTTCTTTGATTGGCTTGATCTACAAATGGTTGTTGTTGAATGATAGGTGATGAATGTGGTTCTGGTTTTAATTGTGGTGTTGTATCTGATTTAGATTGTTGTTGTTGTTGTTGTTGTTGTTTAATTTGTTGTTGATGCATTAAATGAACTTGTTGCATCATTGGTTGAGGTTGATTTGGATCAAAAGTATAGGACAAGCGTCTTTGTTGTTCAAGTACAGCTGCTTGGTCAACCGAAAATGGATTTCTACCATCCTGAGTCATTTTAGACATATCATATGGATTAAAAGAATGTCTTCTCTGTTGTTCTAAATTTTGTTGTTGAATTTGTTGTTGTTGTTGATGTTGTTGTAAATGGACTACATTAACTATATTCTGATGATTATTAACATCATATGGATAGGTTAATACACGTCTTCCATCTTCTGTAATGATTTGTGGTTGTGTTGGTTGTGTATTTTGTTGAATCATTCCCATATTCATTGGAATTCCATGATTTATAATATATTGTTGTTGTTGTTGTTGAGCTTGTTGTTGTTGTTGTTGTTGAGCTGCTGCAGCAGCTGCTTGATATTGAAGTGAATTAATTTCATGTTGTATTTGTACATTTGATTGTTTTCCATCCTTTGAATCCAATTGTAATTTATCTGTTGATTGTTTAAATTTACTATTGTCATCGGGTGTGGAAGAGTTGTTTGTGGGTGATGGTTGAGGGACTCCCATTTTCATTGATGGTTGAGTGGTTGCTTGTTGCACTGGAGATCCATTGTTGTTCAATCTTACTTGATCATCCATTCGAGCAATATTGATTTTAATTTTGTTCTTTGGAGATGCATTTCCGACGGCAACACCATTGCGTAGAGGTGATTGTTGTTGTAGAGAAAGTGAAGTGATATTTGGTGTTAAATGTACATTTGATTCATCGTCCAGCGATTCCGATCGACGGACCTTCTTGTTGGGAGTTGGAACTTGGCGATCGAGCATCGGTGAAGGCGATGGCGACTGCCCAGTGACTGTGGGTGACGACAACTTGAATGAAGTGAATGCTTGTCCTTGGGCGGGATTATTGATTCCACTGGTCGAACCAGATAGCGGATGACTCGATGGCGTGTTGGAGATATCCTCTGCTCCATCAGTCAACATCATCTCGATGCACTTGAGCACTTGCTTGACTCGCATCTCACAATCGAGGTCCGAAAGAATCTTTGGCAGACATTTATTATAGGTAGGATTATATGTCATAACGGATGGATTAGTTGGAGAGGCACCTATAACTGAGTTTGAAGAGGAATTCATTTGAGGAGTCTGATGAGTTGACTGAGATTGAGTACTCTGAGACATCATTTTTATAATGAAATTGTTGTTGTTGTTGCTGTTGGTTTTATTTTTAGTAACAACAAAATTTTGGCCAATGTCTGTCTGTTCAAAACAGAGTTTTGATCAAGTTTGTCTTGTGGTAATGTTTTTGCAACCAAAAATTGGGATTTTTTTTTTCAGTTTGTGAAAAAAATTGTGTACGGATTTTTTGAAAAATGATGTAAAAAAAAGTGAAAAAAAGTTGTTTCAAACTTTTTGCAAAGACCTTGATTTAATTAAAAAAAAATTAAATTAATAAATAAATATAGATTTTTTAATTAGTTTTTGTATGATGGTAAAAAAAAAAAAAGTAAGACTACTTTTGATTGGACAATATTTATCACATGATTAATTATTGATAAAAAAAAAAGTGTTTATAACTGTGAATGAACTGAATTTAAATTAATTAAACAATCATAATAATTATTTGGTTTTTTTTTTTTTTTATATTAGCTTGGGTGGATAAATATGAATTAATATTAAATTTAATATGATGCAATGAAAATAGATCATCTTGTGTGGTGTGAGGCTTTTTTGTTATTTTTTTTATGATTTTGATTGGGTGTGCGAAAATGAAAAAAATGAGGTTTTGATTGAACATCACTGACCAAATGCTTGTGGATGATCATTTTTGGTGATTTGATGGGTGACTTGGTGTATCAGGTGAATTTAAGAACTTCAAAGAATGATTGGACAGTTTTTGAAAGGATTAATGAAAAAAAAAAACCTTACCCCTTTTAAATAACTTTTGTTGTTGTTTTTAAATTAAAAAAAAAATTGGTTTAAAGTTTAATTAAACATCAGAAAAATTATAACTAATATAAATATTTTATAGATATTCAAACTATTTATGAAAAAAAAAAGATATCTTGAATTATTAAATAAAATAATAAATAATATAATGATCAAAAAATAAATAAATAAATTATTTATATTAAAAATAAATCAAATTTAATTATGATTTTAATAAATATACATATATAATAATATTTGGTGGATATATATAAAGAGGAAGTGTATTGATTGATGAGATGAGAGAGAGTATTTGTTAGTGGTGGTGGTGGTGATTAGTGGTAGGTGGTGTCTTTATGATATATAGTTTTTATTATTACTATTTTAATTAAATATCTTTATAAATATAGTATAGTAAGCAAAGTAGCATGTTGATGTTACAACTATTTGGATATGATATTTTTGAATTCAGTTTAAATGTTGTTGTTTTGTTGTAGCAGCACTGCAAAGGGAAGTGGCGTAGTGGAAAGTAGAAAAGAGAGAGAAACAGAGTAACAACAATAACAAATTGTTTTGAATTTGATTCAGATTTGGATTTGTTGTTGCTGCTGCTCTGCGTATTTTTCAATTCACTCCACTCACTCTGAATTAAACAATCAAAAATTAAAAAAAAAAAAATTTAAAAACAAAAAGAGGAAAAAAAAACAAACAAATGAATTTGAGTTCCTCCTTCCTATTAGCTTATCAGTCGATAATATATGATATTATACATATATAATTAAATCCCAATTGGATTTGTCGTTGTTATTTTTGTTTGATGTGATATATATTTGATTCGACAATGTTTTGTTTTGGTATACCCGAGTTGTGATAAGTGATGGGGTGGTTTAACCACCAGTATAATTATACTCTATATATGTATATATAAATTATAATGACAAACAAACCACTAATCTTGGCAATTCTTTATGTTAATTTGATATATAAAAAAAAATAAACCAATCAATGATATGGAAATGGATAGGGAGGATATGGATATTGGAAATGGAAATGGAACAATAATAATTACCACTCTGAAATTAATAAAATTTCTATTTTTATATAATAATAAATATGTTTATAAATGAATAGTTTAAATATTACAGTATTTATAACATAAACAAGATATAGAGATTGATAGATAGATATATTTATTTATATTTTAGTTCATATATAAAAGTATTGGTGGACATAGAGTGTTGAACAACAACAATTAGTTTTTTTTTTTTTTTTTTTTTTTTTTTCTTTTCAATTAATTATTATTACACCAAGCTTGCTGCTCTCCCCATCTACCACAACCATGACTTATCACCACAATAATAACAACCAACAAAAACTACCAACAACAAACAGCAAAAAGATGATAGTAAAGAATGATCAAGAGTCACTAGTTCTCGATTTCAGTTGAGTTGTTTGTTGTATGTTTTGTTTGTATATGAACATTTACTGTTTTTGTGTTTTGTTTGTTTTAGATGCTTGCTGTTTGATATTTCATAATATAGAGCTCGAACTGAATAAACTTATATATATTATTAATCAGAATCAGTGGCAATAATAACAACAAACGCGAAGCAGTTCCACAACATCAACAACAACAACTGTTTGATATTAATTTTTTACAACTGGAATTTAAATTGATCACCTACCAAAATTTAATCACACACACACACAACCACACTTTACTTTGTTAGAATCATATAAAAAAAGCAAAGGATAACATTTAAAAAATGTAGTTGTGAAAAACAGATTTTAATTACACAACTTGTTCATTTGATATTAATATGTGAAGTGATCGTTAGGTGGATAAGATATAACACTGGTGTTATCGAATCAAAACAACAACAAAAACATTAAATGTGAATGGAAATTGGAAATGTCAACAATGATGTTGGTGGTTGGTTTTAATTCAGTGTGTGTTTGTGTGAAATTATAATAATAAATGGTGGTGGGGATTTTAAACAATTAATATTACAGTATCTATCAGCTGATATGTGGTGTTTGAGGTAGGTGTGTTAGTTGTTATCAATTTAAAGTGATAGCATAAAAGTAGTACTTAAATAGGGTAAGTTGTTGGCATTTTACATTTTTAGTATCTTTATGTTAATTTTTTTTATGTTTCATTTGATAATGGGGATTTAAAATTTTAAACACTCTGGATGAAGTGGAGTGGTGGACCAAATGGGGTGCTGCAAAGCTAGCTCATGTCAATTTTATTTGATGGCACCAAAAAACTTTAGTGGTTTTGATTTATCAACTTTGCAGTTCCACCCAGATATTAATCATCATCAATGTTTATATTATTGTTTTTTTTTTTTGTAATTAAATAAAGATTGATTGATTGATTGTTTTTATATATTTATACACCCACTGCATAATGATTAATAAGATAATAAGATAATTTAGTATCACTAAATTCGAAACATCTTTAAAAGTTAAAGTTATTTTGGGATTATTTTGTTATATATATTGTTATTGATGACATTAGCAACAAATACGTATTACTTTTTGATGTATTCATTTGGGTTGTTTTTTTTTTTTTGAAGGTGATGTATTAAATATCAAACAGTTATTGTCATCACTGTCAAATCTATAGATTCTTTGAATTGAGTTTAGCAGATTAGTTGTTGTTTAATTGATTGTTGTGAACAACAACAACAACAACCAATAATATATATATATAACCTAATTAGGATATTAAAATGAACATCCGCTCATTCATCCAATCCTACCCAGCCAAAACATCAAACCAAATGTTTCTCCATTTATCTCCATTTCACTCATCCATCTGTTCTATTCATTCATCCATCTACCCACCCATCCACATCATCATCATCATAATCATAAGTATAACAATAACAATAACAACCATAACAACTATAATAATAAGTAAAAAAAAAAAAAAAAAAAAAAGATGTTATAATTAAACCAAGATATCGAATATCTAGATAGATTGTTTATTTTGTATTATAATATGATGATTCTCTTTTTTAGAATGCATCTAATAAATATAGTTGAAGCGAGTAATGATGAGATGTTTGATTTGATTGTTATTATAATTTGTCGATTGTACATGATATCAATAATAATAATACACGATCATTTCGTATATTGATTATTAATCAGTTTAACTTGACTTACTATTGACATCATCCCAATCAGTCAAACAATTAATTATACTATTTTAGAAAAGAAAGAAAAGAGAAGAATGTATATATAAGAAGAGGAAGAAGATATTATATATTTATCGAGATATGTTATTTGATATACAATTTATGAGAAGATCTAGTGACTTGTGACAATTTAATTGATCTGCCTCATTCTGTAGACAATGTAACGCTTGTTCTCCCAATTCTTTACATGGATGAGTGCTATTACCAATGATGATGTTGTTATTATTAACTCTAAAATAATAATAGTAATAATTATATAATTAATTAAAAACATAAATGAAAAGAATAATAAAATTATTCATTGTTTGATGTGAACGTTAATATAATCGATTGCATTCATTTTAATTAATCGTACATTACGTACTTTTATAACAAAACAATAAAAATGATCATTAAAAATAAATGTTTAAAGTAACAATAATGTTAGCAGCTGCTTTAAAATCAATTAAATCTATGCTGTTGACCAAAAACATATTGTGTTGTGATTGATATATAGTTTAAGAAATTCATACCTATAAACATTTAGAAATGCTCTCTGTTGTTCCTCAATCAACTCTACCCTAGCACTGCTATTTAATGATTCATCTTGAATGAAATTCTTTGATTGTTGAATTCTTTCATCTATCTTTTCCATATTTAAAATATTACTTCATATCCTTTTCAGTCATCAATATTTTCAATTTGGAAGTTAAAAAAAAAAAAAAATTTAACAATTAAAATCGATTTCGATGTAATATAAAAATTAAACTTAAAAAAAAAAAAAAACTAAAATAGTCAAATATTATGATCAAATAATAGCAACACCTTGCTCAATACAAATAAATAAGAAATATACATTTGTAAATAACATATTATGCGCTTAGAATCTATTAATTAAAAAAATAGTTGCTTTTTTACTAAATTATTAAATATAATTAAAAAAATAAAATAACAAATCTTGTTTAATCAGATAGCATTTTATAATGTTTTAAGATTGTTCAACAATCAAGTGGTGTTAAAAAATAGTTTTAGATTGTAGTAAATAAATAGATAGTAAAAAGATATAAAGTAAGTAATATTCTAGTTTGCAGAAATCAAAGTTGGGGTCAACTTTAAACAACTTCCTCTGTACCCAATTTCAAATTATGTGGGAATCATTAACACTCTCTGCTCGATTGATAACCAATCAAAGTAGCAATTATATTCAATTATACACACTCTTAATTCAATAAAACATATTTCTTTTGTTTAATTAGTGAATAAAGAATTAAATGATCTTACTTTTGATTCAAAGAGTTGAACTTTATGACAAGAATAGATACAGAAAGTGACTGGCTGGCTAAAATTAGAAGTGATTTTAGCAGTATTGGTGAGTACCCAGTATATCATTGACATTTATATGTTTAAAACGGGTCTCTTTATTACTTAAAGAGTATATTACTTGACACCAAGTGTGGATAGTATTCTAGTATCATACTATAGCAGTTAGTTTTAAAGAATTTCAAACATAGCACGTGTGAAGTGAAGAATAAGATTGATTGTGTGTGTTTTTTTTTATTTAATTGTTTAAAATGTGTTATTTTTATTTGATAGGTTTGAATTCAAATTAAATTGGCACATAAAGGGGGTAGATCATCATTGAATATATATAATCACTATGAATTGTTAAGATACACAATTTTTTTAAATTGATTGATAAAGTTAAATAACTGATTTGATATTTAAAATTTGATGAGTTTTAAAACTTAAACTGTTTTATTTCAACCCTAATAGTTATTCTGTTTTTTTTTCTTTTTATATCTATATAATAATAAAATTAAAAACTAGTTATAGAATCTTTTAAATATGAAAAAATTAATATTTGTTTTTTTATTATCTATATTTTTTATAAATAATGTAAAGTGTGATTCCGATGATAATTATATTCAACTTGTAAAGAATAGAGTGATTTCTACCTATTTGAATAATTTCTATCTCGGAAATGACAATGCCGTTGCTCTAGGCAATACTTTACAAAATGATGGTACTTTCAATACCATCAACTACCAAGATCAATCAAGGGAAAATTGGCATCCACTCAAACATATGGATAACCTTGTTCAAATAGCCTTTTATTTGAAACAAACCTCGCCATTCAACACTGAACTATTCAACAAAACCGATACTGCCCTGGGTTATTTCGTTGACCAATACAGTAACTTCACCTCTGTCAATCCCTACAACACAAAACAACTACTTCCAATGGTTTTTGCATATAAATATTTAATAATTAATAATATTACCGGAGCATATAATGGTCAATCGCAAAGTCGTTCACAAGATTTAATGAAATCTTTTACCAGTCTATTAAACGCCAATGGAAACTATTTAACCCAGGTATCAAATGCTTATTGTGTTCTCTTTTCTTCTTTAAATGCAAATGACAAAGTTACTCTAAACCAAACCATTAAAAAATTCACAACCCTTCTTACATTTACCCCTGGACAACAAGAAGGTATTAAAACTGATGGTAGTTTCTTTGAAAATGGACCAGTAAGTAAAAAAAAAATGTATAATTAAAAAAATAAACTAAAATATAAAAATTATATATGTAGATGTTAAATAATGGAAATTATGGAAATGAAATACTTGAAATCTATTTCCAAATTATTAGTTTACTTTCTGATAGAATTCCTGCTGATAGTATCAATGTATTTAACACTCTTGCTTTACAAGGTAATCAATGGATGATCTATTCGAATAAGGGAAATGGTTACTATCATCCTGCAGCAGTTGGTAGTAATATTACCCAAATCCAAGGTACTCAGTTCTATGCTTCACCATTTATGAAACTATACCAATCGAGAAAAGCAGAGTATCTTGTTTGGTTGAATAGAATGAATGGTAGCGATCCATCTTTGAACACTGGTAACCGACAATTCTTTATCAGTGATTATATGATTCACTCTAGAAAGACATATTCCGCAAGTTTAAAGTACTCAAGTAAGAGAGTTTTAAATAGTGAATGTGTCAATATCAAAGAAGGTCTTCCAACCCAGAAAATGTCAGACGGTTCCTTCTTTTTGATGGTAGACGGTGGAAAAGAATACGATGGAATCTATCCATTGTTGGATTGGCAAATGATTCCAGGTATCACTTCGGAACCAAACTATCAACAGCCAGTTACATGTGATAAAGTTTCTACACTTGGAAATACAGTGTTTGACGGTTCTCTCTCTGACGGACAATATGGAATGGCTGTTCTTGATCTCCATCCTTCGTATTCCAATGATATGACCGGTAAGAAATCATGGTTCTTCTTTGATGAACATATTGTTTTCTTGGGTTCAAATATCACTTCATCTTCGACCGATCCAAACACTCAACTTCTCACATCTATTGACCAAAGATTCTACCGACAACCTGTTTACACCAGTCTAAACCAGACCTCTCCACTTTACAACTTTGATAACTCATTGAACATCACATGGTATCATCATAATAAAATTGCTGTTCTATTCCCAACCTTAAACTCAACAACTCCAACAACAAACAATACAAAGATACCTAACAATTCAACTGTCAATTCAAATTCTACTACCGGTATTGATAATTCTACAGTTCCAATAGGCGCAAATGTATTTATCAAAGCACAGTCCAAAGGTGGGTCATGGGAAAACATTGGAAGTAGTAGCGGTGGAGTTAGTGATACTTTGCTCCTTACCTATATACAACATACACCGGCCAATCAAAATCAATACCAGTATATGATGATCCCAAATATAGAGTATTCCAACTTTACCTCGAGAATAGATTCACTGTTTGCCGCTATCAGTATAATGAGAAACGATGACCATTTCCATGCCGTCTATCACAACGAATTGAAATTACTACAAATTGTGTTTTGGGATACCAAACAAACATTTGTTACACCGTTTGGATTCAACATCACCTCGGGTCAACCCATTCTACTTCAAGTCAACATGAAGAATGTAACTTACTACAAACTCACTGTCAGTGATCCAACTCAAACGCTCTCCACCGTTAATATAGTATTCAGAGCCCTTGAGTTGAGTGGTTCATTCGCTAGTTTCAGTTCAATGACAAACTACACAACGATCGCATTCCAACTACCAGCTGGAAACTATGCAGGTGCTGCCAATACCTGGGAATATAAAGTATTGAGCCATCCAGCTTCTTCAAACAACGGTACTACCACAGGAGATGCTTCAACTACTTCATCCGATACACCTTCTCCAAAACCAACATCACCATCCATTGGTTCCAATCTATCTATTCCAAGTCATTTGAAATTTATAATACTATTTTTATCTATTTTAATTTATTTAATTTAAAATAATAAAATTAAAAAAATAAATAAACATATAACTATATTATTTCTTATTAAAGAAAGATGATATATCTGATTGTTTTAGATTCTCTTTTACTATAATCGGTGTCTTTGCATTCTCTTCAATAACCTTTGTACACCATTCCTTGAAATTATCATCTTTTCTCTTTTTAAATACTGCTCTTTCTTCTTGAACTGAAATCGATCCATCTATATTTACAATATTATTATTAGGTTGTTTTTTATCTTGAATTGTTAATGATTCTGATTCAATTATATTGATATTTGTTGAAGAAATTGAAATTGAATTATTATTATTATTATTATTATTTGTATTTGATATATTTATTTTGGTTATTGGTTCAACCTCTGATTTATTATTATTATTCTCTATCGGTATATCCTTTTTATCATCTTCTCTTGGTCTCTTTAGATTTAATTTTAATAAAGCTGGCTGTTTCTTTGGTGGTGTCTTTACTTTGGTTGTTTGAACAGTTGGTACTCCATCATAACAATAATTCTTTATATCTTTTACAATCTAAAAAGTATTTGTTTTTTTTTCATAAATAAATAGATATCCAAATAACAACAATCTTATAATTACTCTATCAAATTCATTTTTATCAACCATTTTGCATTGAATCAATAATTTATCTATAAAACTATCAGCATTCATCTGAGTAGTAAATTAATATAAAGTAAATTATATATTAGTATTAAATAAATTTACATACACCATTTTGTTGAAACATAGTATAGAGTGCAGCACATGTAAATTCAACATTCTCAAAATCTAGATATTGTTTCTGTAATTGAGTGTCTCCTCCTGCAAATTTCTTTTTATATCTATGATATGATTTTGGTCAGTATATTATTTTTTTTGAAATGATTGATGATGTTTTATAGTTAACCTACAGTTCTAATAAATGTTCAGTTTGTTCAATAAGTTCAGGTATACCAGATTTGATATCCGGTATATTGGAGAGGACCTGTGCTACAGTTCGATGTCTTGGTATTCCGAGTTGATTCTGAATCAATTTAACGGCATTGTAGAACATCTTGGTTGCATTGCCAGCAACTTTCAAAATCATATTATCAACATCCAACAAACCCAATTTATCATTGCTAATATTTCATCATGTTAATAAATAAACTAACTATGAGATCATTTGATTTGAAAATGATAACATACTATTCGAAAGCAAGATATATACATGCACTTGGTTTACAAAATTCAGACTGATTTAATGTTTAAAAAAAAAAAAAAGATTTGATTAATTTACTTTTTTTTTTTTTTAATATATTTTTAATAATAATAATAGAATGTTATTTACATACTGCTCCTATACTTGGTGATTTAGAATTTGATCTTCTCATTAACTCTTTTGCTTTACTTATAATCTTTTTGTGTTTTGTTAATCCAAGTGATTCTGAAAGTTCTGTTATGATTGTGTCTACATCTCCATAGCTCATCTTAATTTATTTTACAAATATATGTATTTTAAAAATCTTATTACCTCTTTATTGTTTTGACTTTTGTTTTAAATTGAGATTCAAAAAAAATATGCACATCAATTTTTCCCGCGCCTTTTTATTATGAAAATCAAATCTTTTTTATTTATTATTAATAATTAATTGTTTTTGATGATCAATAAATATAATTTATTTACTGTCTTTACATATCGATATCTACAAATAAAAAAAATAGTTGAATAGAATAAATTTACTCTTGTGATCTGAAAAGTTGAAAAATTAGATGGTCTGATATATATGCAAAGGTTAATGTTTGATAAAGTTTATGAATTGATTATATTTGTCGGACATAGTCAAAATAAAAAAAGATGACTGATTTAAAAAAAAGAAAAACAATAATACTATTATAGATTTGTAATTGTTGCTTCCTAGGCATTGGCATTTCCATCCTCTGGAATATCATCGTCACCAGAAAGAGAAACGGGTGGTGGCAGAGGTGGGGAGGTTCTAAGGTTATCGGCACCTTCCGGTCCGTCAGCGTTGTAGTCGTCGTAGGAGGACGACTCCATTTCTATACCAGAGTTATTCGATAGTTTGGTAATGGTTGGACCACGACTGGAGCTGTACGGCGATGGATTGTTGTTGTTCTTGTTTTTCTCCAAGCGTTTGGCAGTCTCCACACAGAAACCGAATATGGTGAATAATCGGATGAATTTGGAACCAATGAAACGCCACATCAGTGGATTATTGTAGATAAAGGCAACCGATGCGTAGAAACCATGCGAGAGACTGAGATAGGTATGCAGAAGATTACAAGCATATGGGAACAGACCGATTGCATTCAGGATACGATTGATGACGGCGAATATCCAACACACCAAAAACACAATGATATAGTTGACCAGTTTGAATTGATAGGTGATATGCTTGTCTTTGTTGTCAGAGACGCCATTGTGAATCACCTGGTAGGTGTAGTGACAGGTAAGTCCAACAAGAATGGCAGAAACACCGAAAATAATAAAGAACGGTACATAGAACAAAGCAAATCTATATGGAGTGTATTGTTCACCTATCCAACACCAATTTCCAAGGAAATGTACCAAATCCTTTGACAACATTATAATTGTACTGATCAAAGGTAATCCCCAACAAACAAAGAAATAATATCTCTCCAATTTCTCTGGTTCTGGATATCTTCTTACAATCATTAAATAAATACTAATAGCTAATAATTATTAATGTGTGTTAGAATAAAATTTAATTATTTTTAAAAAAAAAAAAAAAATAAAAACTAGCTTACCTAAACAAAGTGTCCATAACCAACAACTTAGACTACCATAGGTAATTACAATGGAATATAAATAACATGGAAAACCACCGTATTGAGCGGAATCTGTAAGTGTTAGGGTCATTGACATTAAATCTTTCAGGAATGATGTCAGACAAAAACAAGAGATGACTCTAGTCACGTGATTTCTCAAAAGTTTCAGTCTCCAAAAACCAATTAATACAATAAAGGTACCGATAATTGATGTGATATCTGCCAACAACAAAACTGAATATAAAAGATCTATTTCTATTTGTGTCATTGGATCTACCAATACTGTTCCTGCTGTGATATTATCAGGATTATATTCTGATGAATCAAAACCCATTTTTGATTATTTTATGTTTTTTTTTTAAATCCACAAAAAATATAATAAATTACTATTTATAAATAAATAATTATAACTATAAATGTTATTTGTTTGTTTTTTTCTATTAAGTTATTAATATTATTTTATTAAAAAAAAAAAAAAACAAAAAGAAACTAATGGAATAAGATTAAATCAATTAATAATTTAATCAATATCCAAACAAGATGATATAATTTACAAAACAAATAAAGTTTTTTATATATATTAAAGTTAAAATGTGTCCAATCTATCTGATATCATTTAAATAACACCAAATATATAAATATATTTAGTGTGTCCATCTTATTTTGTCTTTTTTTTCTCTTCTCCACAATTTATTGGTTGGGATATATACAAATTGATTATGAGAGCAACAATGTTAGTGATTTACCACAAAAAAGACACTCACAAAACACTAATCTAGTAGTATAAAATACAATTTGACTATTTACATCCACCACATTTTATGATGTGATTAAAAGTACTACTAAAAGTGTCAGTAATATATAATTAATTATTGATTCATAAACAAAAGAATTGTTCATATCAATCTTTTAAATTGTATAAGAAAATAATAAAATAAACAACTCACACTTTTTCAAAAACAATATCATGTGATTACTATTGATCAAAAATTCAACAGCTCATATTTTATTATAGTTATAATTATATCGAATCTATTAAATATCTATTCATCTTTATATTTTTTTTCTACCAAACCTTTTCGTTAGCAAACCAATTAAATACAAGTATGGTAAAATCAATAGGATTGTCAGCTATTATAATCATATAACACAAACACCTATATTTTATAATCAATTCGAATATTAATAAAACTTGCAACAATATTCCTTTAATTTTGTATTTTTTTTATTGTTTTTTCCCACTATCCAAATAAGTATAATGATGTAAACACATCATCAATAATTTATATTTTTATTAGTGTGTATAAATTGTACAATTCCCCATTATATTTTTGAACTTATTTAATTTAAATTTAAACAATTATTTGTTCAACTTGTCACCCGTTTCTCCCCTTTTTTTTTGAGCTTAATTTAATTTGATCAAAGTGTTAAAACAACCCCCCAGTTAGTATGGTTTATTAAACAAGATCAAAACTATGTTCAAATAAATTTTATTGGTAATTAAATCATCATAGTTATAATAGTAACAGATAAAGAGACAAAAAACAAAACAATGAATAAAAAAGCTAATCCATATAGAGCAACATTTGATGAGGTTACCAAGTTACAAGAGTATTATCAAGGATACCAAATTTCATTTTGTTTAGGAGTTATAAGCAATCTAAATGTAGCCGCAGCTCTTGGAGATAATCTACAATGTAGACGTTCGGCATTTGATATTGCAAAGGAAGTCGGTGCTAATCCAGATGCTCTAGATCGTATAATGTATACGCTATCTGTGAACGGATTCTTCAAGTTGGTAGGATCAACTGAGCCTGGCCAAAGAGAGTTCCAACATAATGAGCTATCATTAACATTGGTAGATCCATTTGTTCGCGATGAAGTAATTATGGTTGAAAGCAAATGTTTTATCCGTCCTTACGATACTTTGCTAGAAACAATAGTCACTGGAAAATCACAACTTCCCAAAGCACTGAATCCCAAAGATTTTTGGATTACTGTCAAAAGAATCCAGATCAAGAAGTTATCTTTGCCAAAGGAATGGCATCAGTTTCACTTAGACAAACTCCAGTACTTGCAAAACTAATTGATTTCAATCAATTCGATACTATTTGTGATGTAGGTGGAGCTCAAGGAAGGTAAACTAAAAATTATAATTATCCATATTAAATTATTCTAAAATAATATTTATGAATAACATTAATTAATTATCTTTATTTAGAATGTTAAGAGAAATATTAATTTAAAATCCACATGTTAAAAAAGTAATTAATTTCGATCAACCATCGATGTTGGATAGTCTTAGAGGTGATTCTTGTATTCAAGAGTTGCTCGAAAATCCAAAGTATACAGAATGTCCAGGTAACTTTTTTGTTAGTGTTCCTCAAGCAGACTGTTATGTTTTCAAATGTATATTTCACAATTGGGATGACTATAACTGTAGATTGATTCTTGAAACTGTTGCTAAATCGATTCCACCACATGGAAAAGTTTATATCATGGAGTACATTGTTGGAGAAGGTTTAGAAGGTGACCAAAAATATGTTTCATTATTAGATATTCGTAAGTAATAAATTTATCTAAAATTTACAATAACAATAATTTTAATTAAATATTAATATTTCTTTATTAAACTACATTAGATATGTTACAATTATGTGATGCCAAAGAGAGAACTAAAAAACAATTTGAACAATTGGTTGAGAAAACATCATTTAAAATCAACAAAATTACAATGTGTAACCAATTACATTGTCAGAATGTTATAGAATTGGTTTTAAGAAATTAATGTTGTTTCAAATACAACAATGAATGAAACAAAGTAATAAAGAAAGACAGAGTTATAGCTCTTACTTACTTTGTTCATTTTATTCTAATTAATTATAGTTTACATAATTACAATTTTTTTTATTTGAACAACTTATTCATCTTCTGATCAGAATTTGTTGTTTAGTTAACTTTTTGCTTTCTTTATTTTTCTTCCGGTTGCAGGGGTATCTTTCTTTCTTTTTTCAGCAGCAGATGTCTCAACTTCACTCTCTTCAGTTGCTATTTCACCTTCCAATGTCTTTAATATTCTCGAAACCAATAAATTCTTTCTTTCACTATACTTTAATTTCTTTGATTTCAACCAATTTCTTAAATCTTTTACTATATATAATTTTAAGTAAAATGAAATGAGTAAAGATTGTGATCGATATCTAATTATATGAATATGAGAATAACTTACCAAACATTCTTTCTAATGTATCTTTGGTAACACCTTCTTTGATATCTTTGATGGTTGGTCTTTTCTCTGGTGGCGTGTCAATATCTTTATCTTCTTCATCTGTTTGTTCACCTGCTTCAATGACACGTTTGAAATCGATTTGAGTGGTAGGAATAGTAGGTGAAGACCAATAATCGTCGTCATCTCCAGAGTCATCTTCATTTCTAATATTGTATTCTTCTTTCTGATCAGTAGTAGTATTTGCTGTAGGAGTAGCAGTTATATTAGTTGTTGTCGCTTTAGACTTGTTTCCAACTCTAACAGCACTACTGCCACCATTATCCTCTCTTTCAGATGATGAAGATTTAGGTGTTAATGTACCATCTTGTATTGCCAAATCTCTGTTGAATATTCTAAATGTCAGTTTTGTAATAACATCTTTTATTCTATTTGGATATTCTCCTGTTGTTGATTATAATCATATTAATATTAGTACTATACTTATTATTATTATTATTATTATTTTAAAGCAGTTAATAATTACCTTTAATTTCCAAAGTTTTATAAAGATTTTCAAGAGTTGACTTTGATTGAAGATAAAACAAATTCTCTAAACCAGACAATGTAATCTCATCTATCAACAAAGTAACTATGTTTCTAAAGTTACTGTTATCAATGACTGCGTCATCAGCATTTGGTTTACTATTATTACTATATTGATGAAAACTTGATTTGGTTGTATGTGTTGTAATAACAGCTGTATTATCTAATATCTGAATATTTGGTGTAGATGTAACTAATATATTACTTTTTGTTGTATTATTATTATTATTAATATTGTTGTTGTTGTTGCTATTGTTATTGTTATTGATATTCTTATCAATAATACCTAAACATTGACAGAATCTCTTTAATATATGTGTTGTAAGATTATGGAATATGTTGGAGAGTGAATCGGATTTGAATGTCGATTCCAATTGTTGCTGAGCGAGTTCGATGTTGTCAGAGTTTGATGCGGTCAGTGACAGCAGTGAACAACACTCATAGAGAACATCTTCAGAGAGTCGTCTGATGAAACATTCAATACCCAATTCTCTAACATGATCCAATAGAGTTGAAATCGCTTGATCCATAGTAATACTATTTGATTGTTGTTCGTCAATCGAACCAGCTGACACCATACACTCTAGAATCAACTCTAAACCCAAGTCACTCTTGATCGAATTAAATAATTTATATTCAATCTTATATCCATAATCTTCACTATTATTATTATTATTATTAATATTAAAATCAATCATCTTTTATTTATTTTTGATCTAATTTTAAAAACAAAAGAAAAGATAGATATTGATTGAATGAATTATGAATAATAGTTTTCTGGGTAAAAAAAAAGCAATTTAACACAAATTTTATTAGAAATTAAAACAAACACACATCGATCATATTTTTATCATTTGGGAAACCAAATTGAAGATGCGCTATTACATTATCATCACCATGATTAAATCTTATATTAAAGTTAATAGTAATACAATACAGACACCGACGCTTCCAAAGTAGTAGAAAGGATAAAGTAGGAGAGGAATCAGTACAGAAACTCGAATGGTAACAGTCGTCAAAGTTTAGAGAAGAGCGAGGCTGTAAAGACGATTATAAAACCTTCAGTTAAGAGTGCTTCTTCAAAAAGAATCAGCGAGATCAATAGCTACTGAACTCCACAAAACAGAGAAGAAATCTGTATCTGAAACAATTAAATCAATTTAATGAAATAAGAAGCATTTAATTGTTACATTGTTAATAAATCAAATAAATGAAAAAGTATTATATTATATTAAATGTAATTACAAAAGACTTTTAATTCTTTGATATCAATGATAGTTTTTGAAGATAATCATTAATCCATTGATCATTATTATTATTATTATTACTTGTTGTTGTTGTTGTTGTTGTTGAAGTAGAGCTACTTATGATTGTGGCATTGGTTGTAGTTGTTGTCGTTGTTGTTGTGGTAGTAGTTATAGGTGATGTTTGTGCTAATAAAGGTGTTGTAGATGGTGATTGTATAATTGATTGTTCTGTTGTAGATCCTATATACTGTATTTCCTGTAGTTGTTTTACATGTTGTTTAAGTTTTGCTATCTCTTCGGTATTAACTGTTTGTAATGTCTTTTTTAATATTTCTTTACATGAATTTATTGTACTAAAATAAAATAATAGATAGATTGATAAATCACATTAATATATATGTAAATAGAATGAATTATAATAATAATATTATCATTATAACATACTTATTTATCTTTGTAATTGATTCTCTCTTTTGTTTAATTTGTTCTGTCATGATTGATATAAGAGTTTCTCTGGCTTGGTGTGGACGATAGCTGTTCAGTAGATGATGAAAATTGACAAAGAGCAACGAGATATCATCTACTTTGGTTTTATATTCCGAGGGATTCTCTACGAGTGTCTCCAGTAGTTGTAGGTAGTTGAATACGATCGAACGGTTCAATCGCTTCAGTTCTTTGATCGGATCGATATCGCCGTTTGGATAGAGTTGTTCGACACCCATCTCTGTCAGTGAAGGCAGTACATCGGTAGTTGAGTAGTGTTGACCAAACATCTGAAAGGTACTACCTTTCTTTGGTGGTAGTGGTGGTAATAATGGTTGTAATTGTATACTACTACTACTAGTTGTAGTTGTGGTAGTAGTAGTTGTAGGTGATGTTGTTGTAGCTTGTGCAGAGTTCAATTGTGGTGAGACTGATAAGGATGATGGTGATCTGGTTGGTGGTGCAGGTACACTAAATTTGGCATCGTCATTCTTTGCATTTTGTGCAGCAACGCTTGGATGCGGAGGTGTAGAAGACGTCGAAGATGGTGCTTGATAATTTAAATATAATTTATAAAAAGGAGGTGGTGGTGGAAATGCAGAGATTGTTATATTCTCATTTTGTGCCATTATTATTATTATGATTGTTGTTTGTCAGTTGATTCTCTCTTTTATGTTTCTCTCTAATTTACTTTAATTAATTTTTGAGAATAAGTAAACAAAATAAAAAATCAATTCAATGAATAATTTTAAATGATTAATATGTATCTCCAGAACTTTCACATGATCATCATCAGTCTAAATCAAAAAAAAAAAAAACTATTTAAATTTAAAAAACAAAAAATATTAATAATAATATTAATCAATCACATTATAACTCTATTATCTATTTGATTTATAATTATATATTTATATAAATAGATAAACAATGCACGGTGTTCTTAAAGTAAAAACAAGTGAAGAGAAAGCAAGGGAATTAAAAGCAAAAGAGAAAATAAAGATTGATGAATATAGAAGTTTAGTAAATGCATATACTGAACATGTATGTAAAATTATTAATTATATATATGATTATTATTATTATTTGTTTTTATTAATAATCAATAAATTAATCAATGAATCAATCAATTTTAGAGAAAATTAAATGAATTTAATGATAATAGTTTATTGGTAACTAAAAAGGTGTTAGAGATAAACCCAGAGTACTATACTGTATGGAACTTCCGTAGAGATACAATCAATCACTTTGCAACTGTTAAAGACAATGAAACAATGCAAACACTTTATACTTCAGAGATGAAGTTCATCGAAGAATGTATCCAAAGATACACAAAGAGCTACTGGGTATGGTATCATAGAAAGTGGATCTCACAAAGAATCGATAAATGTGATTGGGATCGTGAATTAAAGTTGTGTTCAAAACTATTAGATTTAGATTTAAGAAATTGTAAGTTGTACATTTTAAATTCAAAAGAAAGTCAAAGACAATCGATTGCAAAGGGTAAACTAATTACATTTATTATTATTGTTGTTATTATTACAATTTATTTATAGTCCATTGTTGGGGATATCGTAGATTTGTTGGTGAGAGATCGAATATCGCTTTGAAAAAGGAATTTGATTATACAACGGTGAAGATCGAACAAAACTTTTCAAACTACTCTGCTTGGCATCAAAGATCGGCTCTCTTGCCAAAGATGTATACAGAGCCAACAGAACTATTCGATTGTTTGGTACAGGAGTTTGAATTGGTAAGAAACGCTGCATTCACTGAACCAAAGGATCAAAGTACTTGGATCTATCATAAATGGTTAGTCGGTACTATAAAGACGTATGTATATTAATATCAATGATCTACAAATATATATTAACTAACACCTCCATTTAAATGTTATTAGTATTCCAAATTGTAACTATAAAGAGGTATTAGAAGGTGAAATTGTTGCTATCAATGAATTGTTAGAGATTGAACCAGATTGTAAATGTAATTATTTAATATTTATAATATAATATAGTTTAGTTTAGTTCAAATAATTAATTAATATTATATTTAAATAGGGCCAATCTATACATTATTGACATTAAAGATGGAATTAGGAAATAGTACCAAAGAAGAATTACAATCATTATTGAACAATTTGAAGTCAATCGATTCTGATCATATTAAATACTATGAATCATTAGAAACTCAAATATAATCAACAAACTCACTAAAGTTAATTAAATTATAATAATGATAATAATATTTATTATATTAAAATTTAAAAGTTTTATATTTTATTTATTTATTTTTTAAAAAAAGAGAATGAATAAGAGATATATATTTATAATATATATAGATAGATAGAAATATAGATAGGATATCCAGAGAGAAAGATACAAAAACAAAAGAACACTATATTATAATATTCTATTTTGTGATTACAATTTTGCACATTGGCATTTCAACTGAATTTGGAATGTGTTCGATCTCTTTAATTTGAAGACCTGCTTTCTCTACGACCTCTCTCCATCTCTTGTTGGATCTTTCAACACCACCAGTGACCAACATAACATCTAATAGGGATAAATAATCAAATATTAGATAATTAAAGAATAAGAATATTTTTACTTCTAAAAAAACAAAAATAATACTGATACCTACGTAAGTAGAAATGTGACATTGCAGATTTTTGATTCTTAAGTTCTTCATCGTAGAGCTCATAGACAAAGATACATCCATTTGATTTAAGTTTCTCACCAATCTTCTTGAGGATTTTGATGACAACATCGTCTTTAAACATATGAAAAACATGCTTGAGCATATAACAATCAGTCTCTGGAAGTTCATCGGTGATTGCATTACCAGCCATAGTTTTGTATCTCTTGTCAACATTGGTCGATGTTACCTCATTGGTATTTCCATCACCAGAATTCTTAATATCAAAATTGATACCATATTTCAAATGAGGATTCTGTCTCAAGACTTCTTGTAATAAACTAAATAAATTAAAATTAAAAAAAAATTAAAAACAAGTATTAAATTAATAAGAAATAGTTTTAAACTTACAATCCGTGTCCACCACCAATATCAGTGATTGTTTCAAAGTTCTTAAAATTTGATTTCTCAACAATAATTGGGCCAAGTCTTCTTGTGAATGTTGTCATTGATCTATTGAATATTTCCTAATTTTCAAAAAGTTAATATTAATATATTTTATTTATATTTCTATAGTTTATTCATTTTACATTTTCTTCTGAATTATTATTTAAATATTCCCAAATACTATTGAAACCCAATGTTTTTTTGTTGTCACTATTTCCATTTTTTAAAGTTGACAACAATGATTCCCAAGATCTAAAACTGTAAATACTTCCTTTCATCATGACAATATCACGATACTCTTGCTCTCTAAGTGCAATCGAAAGTGGAGTATGTCTGAAAACACCTTCACTATAAATTGAACCATGTGGCCAATCAGACTCCTCCAACTCATGGAAAATCTCCAATCCAGTTGCATTCTTCAAGAGATAAAGTAAGACTTCTTGGTCAACTGATAATTCCTTGGCCAAATCAACGTAGGATTTTGAAGTTCCAAGATCAATGTGATTGGCAATATCCAACTTACAAATTATCATAAGAATTTGAGTATCAGCATATCCACTAGAAAGATTAAATAATATTTTAAATGGATCCATTTTAAATAAAGATAATGAATTGATAGAAAATTGATATTAAAAAAATAAAAGTTTAATAAATATATTGGATAAAGATTTAATATTTTATTTATGTTTTTGATATTTTTAAACATTGAAACTGGGATCTATTTATATTGCTCTATTAATAAGATTCCTTACTTATCTTAAACTACAATCTTCATGTTATCATTTCTGATGTCATTAGTTTGTAAATATTTACAATAGAAACATTCATGTTGTCATTTCGTATAATTAAATTTTTCCAATCATCAAATTTTGGTTTGGAACCACCAAAAAAAAAATGATATTTTAATTCCTTGATATGAAGTAACAAAAAAAATAATAAATACGTGTAATTATTTAGGGTTAAAAATATTAATTTTACTTGCTTTCCAAAATTGGCTAAATTTTTTTTTGTTTTTATCCAATCAGCTATAATCATGATGATTGGTGGGTAAAAAAAATAATTAGTAGCTGTTAGATTGGAAATAAAAGATATTTTTTTATTCTTTTTTTTTTTTTTTTTTGTATTAAAATACAAATGACGATAGAGTTGATGATATGAAACCAATACAACTAATTTTATAATTAAATGGATGAAGTTGCCAATGCCAAGAAAGTATCATATTTGTCACCAAGATTTGATGCATTGAGTTGTGACTTTACCCATTTCGATGCTTTAGCAACAATCTGTTGCCATTGTGTCTTTTCAGCGGCAAACGATTTGTTAAAGGTTGCAATGACACACAAGGTAACCCAACAGTCATCGGATAATGAACTCAAGGTATCTGGCTTGGATGGCAGCTTAAAGGTAACAGTATTCCAACTACCATTTGCTTTTTGTGAACGAATCAAATCCATCATTAGGTCACCGCTGCTAGATGATTTCTTACCTGGTGCTGATGAATAAGATGGTTGGGTTGAGGGTGCTGATTGAACTGGAGATGGTGCTGAAAGATATGAGACTTGTACTGGTGCTGGTGCTTGAACTGGTGGTGGTGGTGATGCTTCCTTTGATTTGGTCTTGGTGAATGATGAGAAGAAAGAAGCTGGTGATGCCGATTTCTTTACCGATTTCTCTGGTGCACACTCTCTGAGTTCGAGAGAGTCCAACACTTCACTTTGTCTACAGATGGATTCATTCAAATCCATTGAGAGACATTTCATGTCTTCTAGTTTCTCTTGAATGCAGTCCAATGCTTCTTCTTGCTCACATTCAAGAGCACAATCATCAAGATCATAATCGATGGTTTGTGTTGGCATCGATGAATAATAGTTCATAGCTGAAGTTGTAGTTGGTGAACTATAGTTCAAAGCTGATGTTGGTGCACTATGGGTGAAGCTATTGTAATTGTATTGTGGTGATGGAACTGGTGGTGCGTCGACAACCTCTACAACTTGCATGGTTTCTTCGGTTGGTTTATCGGCTTCAGCAACGACAACAAACGAGGTGTGGTTGGAAATCAATTGGTATTTCTTTCCCAACTTTACAATGGCATCCTTGTTGGCATCCTTCTTTTTCTTTTCATCCTCTTCGAGATCCCTGATGATCATATTGGCAGTAAGGGTATGGATGGCATTGGATTCCGATTGGGCATGTTTGAAATCGACTGGGATTTCATAACGGATCGATTGACCGGTTGGACCGTCGGCAGTAATGACAATAGTCTTAGTAGTCAAATTCTCTGGAACACTCTCCAAGAGACCGTAGAGGAACAATCTCTCGTGATTAAAGATTGGTCTAACTGATTTTGGTGCTTGGACAACTGGAAGACCATCCCAGTTCACTTGAATGTTGGCAATGATTGGTTCCATAGCGATACTCATCAACTTCATAACTTGAGTCTCCATCATTGAGTTGTCATCGATAAACTCAAAGTAACCTCTACATGCCTTTGATAAACCTTCAACCAACAACTTATCAACACCAGATCCAATACCAAGAGTAAAGATTCTAGTAGTTCCAGCTTCTTTTGCAACATAATCAACTAATTCATCTCTTTGTGATACTTCACCATCAGTCACTAAATTAAAAAATAAAAAAAAATAATTTGTTAATATCTTTAAGATAAATAAATTACTATTATTATTATTTTTTACTTACAAATAAAAACTTGTCTTGGATATTGTGAATCAACTGGTTGACTAATGATTGCTTGGATTGGTGGTAACAATTCGGTTCCACCCAAATCGGCATCGATACTCTTAATGAATACACTTGCTTGTTCAAGGGTTTGGTCGTTATATAATTTTGATTCGGTGAATTGTGATTTGAATGATGATCCAAAGAGCCAGATGTTGAATTTAGACTTCTCGGTCAATGATCTCATGAGGATTTCGAGACAACGTTTGGCTTTTTCAATGGTACTACCAGACATCGATCCAGAACAATCGATCAAAAAGATAAACTCTGAACATTGATCTACTTCGTCGGCAGCAACCTCAAGAGTTGGATAAAAGTTGATTCCCAAAGCATAGGTATTGTCTTTGGATTTCTCAACGAAATAGGCTGGACGCTCCGAAGAATCTGGACGGATCACTGCGATAATATTGTTTGGTACACCGTTGGTTTCCGATAGCTTGATGGTGGCTTTCTTTCCATCAACTTGGATATCAGCTTTGTAGTGGTCCAACTCTATCTTTTGGATTGGAACCGAGAGAGAAACCTGAAGATTAAGATTCAAATTGAAACTGTATTTTGGGAACATATAACGGTGGAGACCAAAGTGAAGATTCTCGAGATGGGTACCAATCTCAGAGACGATGGTAATGGAGATGGTGACTTCTTTGGTTGGTGGCAAATTACCAATCATGGTGGTGAATGTTCCATTCGACTTTTTCTCGACCAAGAATGCCTGGTTTCCACTGGCGACGGCATCGTTGTATTTATTGGCGGCGGCTTCCTTCTCTTTGATTTTGGCCGACAAGACTTTGTCGTCGTAGGTCACAACAAACTTGCTGACGGCGGCACCCGGTGCAAGTGGCATTTGGTATCTGGCTTCCACTGGATTGGGGGAGCTATTCTTGTATTTCTGGGTGTAGACAGAGGTCACTGTCGAATCGGTGACGACAGCATCCACTTGGAAATCGGTGAGTGAAAAAGTAGAGCTATAACCCGACTTTGGTGCGAGACCAACAAACGATGGAATCATCGAGGTTTCCAAACGCTCGAAAAACAACGAGTAACTTGGTGCCATATTTCTATTCAATGTTTCTTGAATCGATTGTTCAATATTTTCCTTTTCATCAATAATAGGAGTAGTTGTTGAAGTGGTATTTTTTGAACTGAAAACTGATTTAATAAATTGCATGTTTTTAAAAAGTTTTATTATATATATATATTTATAGAATTACAAAAAAAAAAAAATGTATTATATGATTTTATATTATTAATGATTAATGATATGTCGATGACTGAATAAATCAACAACAACCAACTGCCTTTTTATAAACAATTTAAAACCTTTCAAAAAATCTTTAGAAAAAAAAAAAAAGTCAAATCTAAAAAAAAATTTTCAACGAAATTTTACACTTTAACAAAAAAAACAAAAGTTTTTGGTGGGTTGGAGAAAAAAAAAAGATCATGATTAAATTACCACTTTTGGGGTGGGCGATCTAATGATTAAAATTTGACAATTTATTAGCTATCTTTTTGACGAACTACTTTATCAATCTAACAGGTGATTGCAAAATTATTTAAATTATTTGATCCAGCTTCACAACTTTCATACATTGTAGTAGAGATACAATTACCCATAGTACAAACATTTTCGAATGGCATACCTTGATCACAATAGAATTGGAATGTTTGCAATGTGTTTTTGTATACGGTATTATTTGTATAATAGAAATACATAAGATAATCACCTTGACAATAATTGTCACTCTTGGCATAAACGGTTTCACGATAGCCATATGATGGAATGTAACCTGGATTTACAACTACCGATGGAACTGCATAATCATTTACGTTGTAATACCTGTAAATAATAATAATAATATTAAAAATGAGTATCTAAATCGATTTTATGATTCACTAAAAACAATAACAACAATATACACTTACCAACCATAATCAGCCCATGTTACATGATAACAACCACCAATACCAAATGTACGTTGACTGGCAGGTTGACCAGTTCCACATGTTTCGTTCTCCCATTGATAAAAAGTAGCAGTCTTGTTATCAGCATCATATTTAATAAGGTAGTAGTTTCCTTTGAACTCTACACATTCCCCAACGATCCAACTATATCCAGTGCCGGATGACGCACCAGAACATCCAGCACCAGCACTAAATGGTTCGAAATTAATATATGTTTGACCGAGACATGATACAACCAAAATTGAAAATATTAAAAAACAACAATAATTAAACATCATTTTTTTATTTTATCTACAAATAATTTTTTTAAAAAATAATAATAATAAAATAATATAAAAGTGTAGTTAAAGATTTAGACAAAATAATAAAATAAAAAAAGAGTATAATCGAATATGATGTCACATTCACAGTCAGAAAAATAATTATTTAAATCAAAAAAAAATCTTAACGATTTTTAAATTAAAATATCTTTTTTTTTGTTTTTTGTTTTTTATTCTTGATTACAAAGACAAAGATTATTTCTTTCAAGATATTCTATTATTTCAATTGATTTGGTTTGTTTGATTGCGTTCTGTGTACATTTTTCGGTTCTATTTATATTTAAGAATTTAACAATATAGAAATGATTGTTAGTCGCTGCAGCATCCATCGTCAGAGCACTCCAATAAGGTTCTGTTCTATTATAATGTAGATATTCAACCATATCCAGGTGTCCAGCTTTACATGTATCGGTAAATATATTGTCTTTCAATGGCAAATGACTGTAGTGTTCCTCCAGGAATTTGAATATCTCAAGTTGACCATTGATTGCCGCGTTGTATAGCGCCATCGTTGTACAACCCTCTCCTCTGTTTTTATAGAGCCAAACGACGGTTTCTAAATCGAATGCCACTGCATTATCCATTAGTTCGGTAGTACAACCTTCACTTCTATGAACATGAAGCCATTGTATCATTTCTAGTTGGTTGGAACGACTATATACACAACCAGGATTGTTTGGTTTATAAATATTATTCATTGCTTTGATCGAACATCCCTCACTTCTATTTCTATTCAACCATTCCACTACACGGAGATGACATTGATTGGCAGCGAAATCCATAGCATTGGTAGAGGCATACTTCTCTGTGGTGACACAATCCAAATTCTCATGGCACCAAATAACGATATCCAGATGTCCATTGTAAGCAGCTAAATCTAACGCGTTTTTATATTTCACAATGAAATAATCACGGAAATTGAATAGCCATTTAATACAGTCAAAGTGTCCATTGATTGCCAGTGAACCTACATCAATCTCCATAGTCGGTTTACCATTGCTATTCATTAGCAATACATTTGGTTGATTCTTTAACAACCATTCAACAACATGGAGATGGCCATTATTCAAAGCAAATTGAATAATCTTGTTTTGTTTATCGTCTGAACGATTTGCCAACAACCATTGTATCATATCTAAATTACCTGAATAACAAGCCATCTGTATTGGTGAATCGTATCGATATGGCGAGGGCACTCGTTTCGAAAGCCACTTTACCATATCGAAATTCTCAGGTCTGCTGGTTGCCACTGAGAGTGCCTGGCTATAGAACTCTGGATTGATAGGCAGTGCAAGTTGCTCGATGAACAACATCACATTAAAGTCTCCATAGTACGCAGTTTGCAATAGCATATCCTTGGTGGTAACAAACTTTTCCAAATCTAGCTGAAGCACCTCTACAAAGTAGAGAAGTATATCGATACGACTAAATCGAATAGCAGCAATGATAGCACCAGAAAGTTGACTTGTCAAGTCCAATTGAAACTTTAATGGATTGTCAACAACACCAACACCAACAGCACTGTTTCTTTGAAGAAATTCCTTTATCTTTTCAAAATATCCATATTGAACCAACAACGGTAAACTATTGATTAGATTACAATATTTATATCTTTCGGTTCTTAGTTGTATATGTATTCTTTTTATCGTTTTAAATATTTCATTTCTAACAACATAATTCTTAAAAATAACTCTTTTAAATAAATTGATATTCATTAAACTAATAATTATTTCATTAATTAAAGATTAACAAAAAATGTAAATACATTTCTGTTTATGTTTATAAATCAAACATGAAGAATGCAAAGATATTTAAAGAAATTTCGACAATCACATATGATTTTTGGTAAAGAATTAAAAAAAAAATTGAAAAAAAATCGTAACATAACAATAAATAACACCATACACATGATTAAACAATTTGACTGTGGTGTGTTATATAAATATTTTACTTTTAATATTACAATGTGAACAGGTAATCCAAATACTTACTTCTACTGTAATACAATTACACCATTGCTAAGGGATGGATGTTAATACAATGTACGATCATCTCTGTTGTAAAGTATTCAAACAATACAGTTAATATTAATCAAATGTATGTGCTTATTGTAATCAATATAGTCAGTACAATGAACAAATAATTTCAGTTTAATAAATAATCTTTTTTTTATTTAATTTTTTTAATACATAATTCTTTTAATTTAGATAATGACTTTTCAGATTTAGATGATTCTGCTAGTTCTATTGCATTTTGAATGTTGAATTTCTCTGGATAGTTCTTTAGTAGCCATTCGATCGAATTTACAGATTCCATTTTGATTGCATTGGATAATGCTTTCTCTGAACATCCTGCTGTTTGGTTTTCTTTAAGATACTCTAGGACTTCAACGAAACCATTAGACGCAGCACCATCCATAGCAGAAACGGTTGAAACCATACCTCTTTGGGTGATAAGGAATTTAATAATATCTAATCTTCCATACCATGCCGAATTATCAACTGCATCCGATGTACATCCTTCCGTTCGATTTTCATGCAACCACTTTACCATCTCTAAGGTTGGGGCACCGTTCATCGCAAGTTCAGTACAACCTTCCGATCTATTCTTATGAAGCCAGTCAACAATGTCGATTCGATTCGCTTTGGCAGCGTGATTCATTGCAGCGACCGAACATCCTTCCGATCTATTTTGGTGAAGCCATTGGACTGTTTCCAAGCTAAAATTGGCAGCATTATCCATCGCAATATATGAACATCCGCTTGTTGTGTTTTCATGGAGGTATTTCACAACGTCTAGGTTTCCACTTAAACAAGCAGTATCAATCAGTCCAGTAATTCCATTATATGACTCGCCAATTTCAAACAAATATTTGACCACCTCTACCTTTCCACTGTAAACACTGTTGATTATCATTCTTTCTTTTCTGTCATTAGGACGGTTTGCCAATAGCCACTTTATCATTTCTAATTTTCCATAGTATGCAGCATTTTCAACACTACTATAATGATAGGCACGATCGTCTCTCGGACCATGGTAGTTCTTATGACGTTCACAATAATCCAGATACTCTAAAAGTTCGATACTGTCTCCCTCTGGTGCAGCAATAAAGGCATTATAGTAATCCCAATTCTGATGAACCTTATCCAAATACTTGACAATCTCCAACTTTCCATTCTTGGCTGCCAAATACAAAAAATCGTAACAGTCAAATCGGTAGATTCCATGTGGCTTACAAATGGTTTCCAAAAGATATTTAAATATTCCAATATTGCCATTTTCGATCGATGTCTTTACGGCATCGAGCATCTTGATCTTCTTGGTCTTGTTTGCAGAGTCATTTAGATTTCCAAGTGGATATAGTGTCGAAACAAATTCCTTCAATAAATCCAAATAGTTGTACTCTACCAAGATTTTGGGTGATACAATCAACCTTTTCCAATTGTAAATAAACACTCTACGGAAATTAAAATAATATCTCGCTGTCTTTTTACTCTTTAAATCTTCCTCCTCCAAATATTGATGAATCCAGTGAACTCTATTAAAAATCTCTTGTCGCAAAACAATATTTTTAAAAACAACATGTAAAAATAAATTTTGATTTATTACTTCCATATCTTTAAATTATATTGGTTGATTTAAAATCTATTGACTAAATTCGTTTCTAAATAGAATCTCAAAAATCTGATTTTAAAAAAAAAAAAAAACAAAAATAATTGGGGAACCAGTACACCTAGAATAGTTAATTTTCAAGATTTTTTTAAGATTTAACCAATCAAAATTGATTTTCTATATTTCGTCTATAAAAATTTCCTGTTCGTTTATGATTGTTTTTTTTTTTGAAAAGATTATATTTAATTTAATTTATTTTATTTTTTTTATCATTTTTTTGAAGTAGAATTTATTATTAAAAAGATAAATTCATCAATATTCTCTTAAATGTATTATAAGTTCTTAATAGCTAGTTTTTAAATAGTTGTTTTTGTTTCATTCCATTAGAATGTCGAAATATTTGTTTATTTTGTTGATTGATCGATTTTTGTTGTTTGAATTTGTCTTGATTTTTTGATTTTCTTTGTTGCAACGATATTTTTTGAATCTTAAATTGATTTGAAGGATAAAAGTTTTTAACAAAATTTGTTATTAGATATAATTTATAATAATTTGAACTTGGTTTGTTAGGTGATTCGGTTAATTTAAGGTAGAATCGTAACTCTTCTAAAGAAAGATCAGAAACAAGTCTATTGAGAGATATTTGATCTGGACCAATGATAACTTTAAAAAATATTGACCCTCTAATACTGCTTGGAATATAAAGATAACCATTTGGAGATTTCAATTTGTCCGTGATAAGCAGAAAGATTTGCTACCATTTTGTAGATATCATCTTGATTGTCGTTGACTTTTGATACCAACCACTCAAAACATTCAACTCCACCATTTACTCCAACCACTTCCAAAGCACTATAGTATTCTGATTTTGTGAATATATATTTCTTATCCAAGTATTCAAAAGATTTGATCTATTAAAAGAGACTGTATAAAGAAGGTACAGTCTATTTTCTATATATATTAAGTAAATTTTAGTGAAAAAATTATCATCCAAAATTAAATTTTCAATCAAGAATTTATTAAAGGTGATCTCTAGAATATTTTGATTGTTGATTATTATTGAGTGTAATATAGATTGATAATCTTTGATAGATATAGATAGATTGTTATAATATCTAATAAAAGATTTTAGTTGATTTTCATATCCATAATATACCAAAAGAAGAGGTTTCATTTTAAGAGACTCCCAATCAATTGATTCTAAATTTAATTTTTGATGAATCCATTTTACATAATTGAATATTGGTCTTTGTGTAACAATATTTTTAAAAACATAATTGAATAATTCTTTTTGTAAAGACATTGTATATATATATATTTATTTTTTTTCGTAATTTTTTCGAAATTCTAGAGAGATATTTTTGTAATATTTTAAAAAACTTGATTGTCTAATATTATTTATAAAATAAATTTGATAACAGACTTTTACTTTTATTAATTCTTATTATCTATCTTTTATATAGATGTTTTGGTTGTTTTTGTTTAATAGTATTAGAGTGTCTAAATATTGGGTAATTTTGTTGATTGATCTATTTTTGTTGTTTATATTTATCATGATTATTTGATTTTTGTTTTCTTTGATCTGATCTTTTTTGAATCTTAGGTAGTTTTGAAGGATATTTGTTTTGAATAGACTTGACATATTCTCTTGATATTAGATAAGAATATGTGTAAGAATTCGGAATGTCTAGTGTTTTGGCTAATTTACTTAAATTGTTTATCTCTTTGAGATTAGGAAAAAGCCAACCGAGAGATCTTTTATTTTGGCCAATAATCAATTGATAAAATATAGATCCTCTAATACTGCTTGGAATATGAACAGATAGCCATTGAGTGATTTCAATTTGTCCGTGATACACTGAAAGATTTGCAACCTTGTTGTAGATATCATCTTGATTGTCGTTGACTTTTGATACCAACCATTTCATACATTCTACACCACCATTTACTCCAACCACTTCCAAAGCACTATGGAAATCGATTCTCGAGAAATTATATTTCATATCCAACATATCTAAAAGATTCCATCTATTCCAAAGGACTGCATAATCTAGGAATTTGTTACAAAATAATCTTTTAAAATGAGTATAAAAATAATCAAATCCCAAATATGTAAATCGATAGTTGTATGGTATCTTAACAATCATCTCTAGAATTTTCCAATAATTGTTTCTAATTGTATAGAAAATAGATCTATCATATTCATAGTTAGATAAACATTGCAAGTCATTAAATCTAAGATATGATTTTAGTTGGTTTTCATATCCATAATAAACCAATAGATCAGGTTTCATACAAAGTGAAATCCAACTAAATGTTTGTAAATGTAATTTTTGATGAATCCATTTTACATATTCGAATATTGGTCTTTGAGTAACAATATTCTTAAATACATAATTGAATAATTGTTTTTGTAAAGACATTGTATATATAAATAAATAAAATAGCAAGATAGAAGAGTCTAACAAAAGTATATATAAATTTTTTTAAAAATTAAAATCTGTAGTTTGAAAAAAACAATCAATATTTTAAGTTTTGGTCACAAATGCAAATGGGCGTGCAATAAAATATCAAACACCACCCAATTTTTTATAATTTTCTTCTGTTTTTCCATCGAATCATTAATGAGTCTATCCATAGGTCTATTCTCTTAACATACCGACACATCAAATTCCAATTTAAAATTGAATAATTAACTATTACCATTTCATTTTCAAATATTTTTTTAAATAATAAAATAAACTATTTAAAAATAATATAATTCTATCCCTTTATCTGTTTTGTACAAATAAAAGATTTTTAGTTAAAAAATAAAAATATTCTTGGGAAATGATTAAGAATTTTAAAGATTTTTTTTAGACGTTTTAAATTGCATAATAAATAAATAAATTCGAATTTAAATGTTTAATTTAAAAGAAGAAGAGGAATTTAAATCGTTGTCTATACACTCTATACATAGGAGAGTTGATCGTCAAGAGAATAGTTTATTTAATCATCTTAGATCAATCGATTTAGATTCTAAATTTGTAAATGATATAGCATTGTATGTATTGTTTGCTGGTTTGTTTAGATACATTGTTTTTAATATGTATTTGTTTTTATCTATCTATTTCGAAACACAGATGTTATTCTAAATATGCTTTGGTTGCAAATTTGCGATGTGGTGCATGGTACTCTGCAAACTTTAAGTACAGTTGTTATTTCCGTTCTACCGATGGTCACTATGGAAATTGGAGGTTCAGTCTGACGCGTTTGAATCTAAACATCATTGATCTGGTGTTAAAGTATGATGGGTGTCTCATTGTGGATTCGACGAAGCGTGGTAAGAAATTCCCTGATTCATTTACAAGAACCATACCTATTTGGATAGCGGTAATCAATCGTTGTCTTTATAAGCTCAAATCTGAGTCTATTCAAACCGTTATGAATGACAACTTGATAGCAGAGCAATGGAATCAACTGTATACTCCAAAGTGGGTGACCGATTCAGAGAGAGATCAAATGTTAAAGATGGTAGATAGTTACTGTAAACTACTAATGGAACATGCCGATACTTTAGATTTAAAGAGCTATTCAAGCAGATTACACAAACCATTACGTCCATTATGGTTATCAGTAGAAACACAACCTATAATATTAGAATTTGAACAACAACAACAACAACAACAAACAAGTAATAATAACAACAATAACAACAATGACGATGATAAAGAAGAACAATTAGATTTTCATCCACTTTATTTATTGTCTTGTTCTGACTTTAGAGAAGATCATAAGTCATTTAGGGCGTATATACAAGGTGCTGGTGATGATGATGAGAATTGGTCAATGGGATTAACTCCACAGATGTACTGGTCGAATCATAAAGAGATAATGTCACAAGAGAATGACGAACAACTAGAACAATACATTCAACAACTTGTTAAATCAGAAAGAACAAAGAAAGATATAATCATATTTAATAGCAATAGTAATAATAATAATAATGAAGATAAACAAAAAGAAACAATAATAGAAGAATCAAATGAGTTTAAAACAATAGATAATACATATATAACTATATCATCTTCAAAAGGTAAATAATATTATGTTATGATAAAGATTGCAATACTAAACTAAAAACTATAACTATCATTCTTTAGAATTAACAGATATATGGAATAGATTCGATTTAATTATAAATTGTTCAATTGTAAATTATGTTATAGATAATCAAGATGATGATAAGATAAAGAATAACTATATACACATTCCAATGAAAGAAGGTAAATTAGCAAAGAATGACTTGGTTGAGAATCTTCGATTATGCGAGCAATGGTTGTTATCAAAGATGAAGGATGATACCAAAAGAAATAGAATACTGATACATTCTATCAATGGATTACAAAACTGTGTATGCGTACTGAGTGTACTTTTATCGAAACATCTACATCTATTCACAGATAGTCTAGAATCATTTGATTTCTTTAACAGAAACAAATTAACAAAATCAGATATAATCAAACTATATTTATTCTTGGAGAAACAATCTCCTTCATCACTACCTCATAAATCGATAAGAAATGCAATTAATAATTATTTATTATCAACAAATATATCATATAAATAAAATTTTAATTTTTTTTAATTTAATTTAATTGAAATAGTAAAAGGACCTTTTACTTTTGATCGGATTTGGTATCTACAATGAAATTTCATGTTCTCAAAATCCAAAAAAGGAAAAAAATATTAGATATGAGTTTTTTTTTAGAATTTTTTTTATTTTATTTTCCAACAAGTTTCGTGACTAGATCTTTTAATTTCCCGTCATATTTACTTATTTTTTTAATAATCTAGATTAAATATTAATAATAATGGATAATGAAAGATTATTTAAATATATATTAAATAATATTGTTCTTAGAAATTTTATATTTTTCCAAGTTAAATTAATCGATAAACAACTAAATGGAATAAATTGTATAAATTGGTATGGAATTTCTAAATCTCTTAGAAACTCTATTTATCATGGATATAGAGAGCAAATAGAGATATTGGTTGTCGAGAATAACATTAGCAGCTTTTCCATTAAAGAGTTGGAAGCTGCTGTAGATTCAAGGAGTATCGATATGTTTAATTACATTTTGAAATCCAATCTCTACCAATTTCATGGCGATGAACTGCATTTGGCTGTCAGGATGAAGAGTCTCCAGCATGTCGATTATATATTGGAGAATTGTCATGTTGCACTCGATTACTATTCTGCGATGGCGCTGGCATCGAGATTGGGATATCGTGAACTCATTCTCTATTTCATACAGATGAGGAAGCGAGCACTACGATCACCTGGAATCCATTGTTCTAAATCCGAGGATTCTCTTAATCCCATTGACCATGCTTCCTACTTTGGTGATAAAAGTATCGTACAGCTGCTACTGGATAATGGATTCACGATTACTGGACATGCCATTGAAGAAGCGATCAAGGGTGGTCATTTAGCGTTGCTGAGATTCTACTTGGAGGATCAACATAAATCTTGTACCAAAGATAGCTTTACGATTGCCGCCAAGTATGGACATTTGTCGATCATGAAATACCTGCTCGACAATCGACAGGACATATCTTTTCACAACACCATTGAAATGGCAGCGCAGAACGGACAGTTGGAAACGATCCAATGGTGTCAAGCGAGAATCAACAACCTCAGAGTTTCAAAGATGGCAATGTGGTATGCCGCAATCAATGGACACCTCGATATTTTGATTTGGCTGCACAACAATCGAAACGATGGATGTTGTATAACAACGCTGGACGATGCTTGTCGATATGGCCATACAGAGTGTGTTAAATGGCTTCATCAGAACCGAACCGATCTCGTCGTTATCGATGCGATGATCAATGCAGTAAAGAATGGGCATCTCGACATTGTCAAATACCTACATTACAATTGCACTCAGTTCAGTACATCAAAGTTGTTTGTAGATTACGCCGCCAAGAATGGCCACCTCGAGGTAGTGAAATGGTTGTTAGAGAATAGAAGTGAAGGATGTACACAGAATGCTCTTGATCTTGCTGCACAGAACGGTCACCTGGAAATCATAAAGTTTTTACACTATAATAGATTGGAAGGTTGCACACAGAACGCAATGGACCTCGCTGCAATCAACAATCATTTTGAAACGGTAAAGTGGTTGCACGAGAACAGAACAGAAGGATGCTCACCAACTATAACTGTAAACGTATCACGAAAAGGTAATCTAGAGATACTTAAATTCCTGTTTGAGAACTATAAAGATGTAAGAAACAACCTGTATGCTATAGATTATTCCATTCACGAAGCAGCGAGGAATGGATTTAAAGATATTGTTGAATATTTATTATCAACCTAACGTTATGTAAATAGAAATAAATAAAAATAATGATTGACCTTTTTTAAGTAAAAGCTAATACTTTTTATTAAATTTAATTATTTGTGACAAAAAAATCTTTATGAAATTAGAATTGATCGTGTTAAAAATAAACAAAATAAAAATTTGTAAATACACCACTTTTAATGTCTAAAAACGACTTTAATAAATAATAAGAATTTGTTATATATTCAACTTTGTTTTCTATTTTGGTTGTTTGTTCTTCCAGGTTTAATGCATTTGACAATTGATTCTTTGTGTTGTCTTTGTCAAAAAAAAAAAGTGAGCACCCAGGCTTTCAAAATTTTTAAATCAAAATCAAAATTTTACTGTCGCCATACAATTAATAATAATAATACCAAATCAACTAATCACAACAATACAATAGATCACAAAACAACTTATCATACCCAAAAAAAAAGAGTATCAATAACTATAAAGAGTTAATTTCGAACAAATATGTCTAAATTTTGGAATGTTGCAATATGTGCAACTATTCTATTTTTATATAGCCTTTGTCTATTTACTTACGTAAAAGAGACGGAATGTAAATCTAGAGTTTCTGCTGTTAAAAATAATTTGAATGTAACTACTTCTTGTGAAGTATTTCCCCAACCAGCGGATATTTATGTTCAGAGATATCATGATATTCGAGCTTCTTCTAAAATGAGCATGGGATGTAGAACGTTGACTGTTACCGCGTTGAAAAATAGTTGTATATGTATTTGTGTACTCTATATAATTAAAGGTGCAACAGATGAAGTTAATGGTACAAAAAGGAAGATAAACCTTACTTGGTTGTTTATAAGTTTAGCAATAATATCCACAAATCTGATATTTAATTGATGTGTATGTATTATTTGGTGTATAGAGCGTTTCTACTATTCAATATCTTACTAACAGGTACTGATTTATCACCAATTAGATAACATGCAACTGTAAGCAGTAAGAAACAGATCTTGGATCACGCATTCTCAGAAATGTTTATTAAAATGTAGTTCTGGACCTGTAAGTTATAACCACAATACTTTTGAATAAGAGATTGAGAGATAGAGAGGGAGATTTGACACTTACTAATTAATTTTCATCATAAAGAAGAACATTTATGAAAAAATCATGATAGACCCGGTATCTTATTGCAGAATACACTTTAGAGATATTGTTAAAGTGCAATATATTTATATTATCATACCTATTCCTTTAATAGAGTATTCCTTTAATAGAGTTTAAGTTGAACATACTTATTCCAATATTACCTCACCAACTCCTCGGAGACTACTCAACAATATAACAACAAACATAAAATTTCACAGCCACAATCATCACAAATATAGTGGATACATCAACAAACAACACAAACGATCACCTTAAAAAAATAAAAAGTGTAAACTAAAGTTGTTATTTTGAAATTTGTTTATTTTTTTCAACTTTATTTTCTATTGTTGTTTGGTCTTCTTGCTAGACACTATCAACATTTACTTTGGATTGTTAATAGATAGAGTTTTATTAGTTTTCCGAAGGTCCAAACGAATAAACAAATTTTTTTGTCAAAAATTAAAAATTAATTTTTTTGCAAAAAGTTCGATCTTGTTTTTATAGTTTCTCGTAGAAAAAAAAGCGATGGTCTTTGATCATTAAAACCAATTTTTTTAAAACTGATATTATTTTTTTTCTAAAATTTTTTAATTAAACAGAGGAAATAAAGTCACCTAACATTACACTAATAAATACCAGTAGATCACATCATACAACAAAAAAGAATATTAAGCTATTTGAAAAAAAAAAAAAAGATATGTCTAAATTTGTTTGTATAGCAACAACAATGGTAGTTTGTTATTGTATTTATGTTGTCTCAGAAATGATAGAATGTAATTCTATGATTCCTGATATTGCTAATGAATTGACAGAAATTACATCATGTGATGCATTTTCTAGTCAAGAGGATCTAAAAATGTATAGACAAAGAATACTTAATATATCTCATTCTCAAGATATGTTCATAAAGTGTAATTCGATGCCTAGCACAGCAATTAAAAATATTACTTTATTTGCTATTGTCGCATTAATAACTAAAACGATATTATCAGACAGAAACAGAGATTTGGAGATAGTATAACTAGACAAGTGAGGCAGTTCGATGGTGTTGCGGTTGAGGTTAAATTTAGTCATATTGATAGTTTGGAGGAATGTATGATAGTTATAGCAACAAATAAGAAACAGATCATGAATCAAGCATGTTCAGAGAAGTTTATTATAATGTAGTTCTATTCATGTAAGTAAGTTATAACAACAATAATTTTGAATAAGAGAGAGAGAGATTTGACAATTACTAATTAATTGTTATCATAGATGAAAAGAACATTTAATGAATCAGAGATGCACTCCTTAAATTAGATGCACTACTCTCTCAATTGACTATCTGAAAATAGAGAGAAAGCTCATCTTTGACCTGAACAAGAGCAACCAACACAGTTATACGTTATCAAAAAAAAACTATTATATCCCATCTAGAATTAATCAAAAACATGTCAACAACCAAAAATTTAAAAACATACAAAATAGACCATAAAAATATGTTATGATATTAAAGTAAAAAATAAAAAAGGTGATCATTTTAAACTTTACTTTCATCTTTTTTAGTTATTTTTTAAAACACATTAATATAACCATAATTTTCAAGGCCCTTATCGATTATCGTTCAATGTACATCTTAAAAGAAGTTAGTGATTCTTGCACTATTTGAAAATGTATATCCTCTGGTTGAGGAAATGCTTTATATGATGTAGTTACATCCAAATTATTACTAAAAACCGTAAATCCCTGGTCGGATATCAAAAAACAAGGTCGATTTTCTTTAAAAAAAAGTAATATTTTAAGTTCTACCTAAATAATGAACCATCGACCTTTATATTTGTTTGTTTCGATAGAATCACCCATTGATATACTTGATATTTCAAAAAGTGAAAGCTGAAGTGACATTACTCTGTATGATATTAGGCTTTTAAATAAAGTTGACAAATTCAATGCAAAGAATCAATATCATATTTATTGACTCCTAAGTAAATTTAACCAATTAGATGATAGGCAACTATAAGCTGTACAAAAATATCTATTCAAAGAAGTTATAATGTAGTTCTTTCAGTAGTGCATCTCTCAATCGACCATCTGAAATAGAATGAAAGTTCATCTCTGAACAAGAGCAACATATTTATATTATATCACACCTATTCCAAAAGGAAATCTCTATTACTTCGAGGAGACTACTCGGTAATTTGACAACAATCATAATATTTCACCATCACAAACACAGTTAAGACTCGAAACGATTTCTTCTACAGAACCAGAAGTACAATCGTTTATCAACAACATATTCACCTCCAACAACACGATCAACCACATTAAAAATAAACAAAATAAAAATTTGTAAATACACCACTTTTAATGTCTAAAAACGACTTTAATAAATAATAAGAATTTGTTATATATTCAACTTTGTTTTCTATTGGTTGTTTGTTCTTCCAGGTTTAATGCATTTGACAATTGATTCTTTGTGTTGTCTTTGTCAAAAAAAAAAAGTGAGCACCCAGGCTTTCAAAATTTTTAAATCAAAATCAAAATTTTACTATCGACATACAATTAATAATAATAATACCAAATCAACTAATCACAACAATACAATAGATCACAAAACAACTTATCATACCCAAAAGAAAGAGTATCAATAACTATAAAGAGTTAATTTCGAACAAATATGTCTAAATTTTGGAATATTGCAATATGTGCAACTATTCTATTTATATTTAGCTGTTGTCTATTTACTTACGTAAAAGAGATGGAATGTGAATATACAGTTTCTGCTGTTAAAAATAATTTGAATGTAACTACTTCTTGTGAAGTATTTCCCCAACCAGAGGATATTCATGTTCAGAGATATCATGATATTCGAACTTATTCCAAAATGAGCAGGGAATGTAGTTCGTTGACTAGTACAGTGTTGAAAAATAGTTTTATATGTCTTTTTGTACTCTATATAATTCTAGGTGCAACAGAATTTAGTGGTAGAAATGAAGTTAATGGTACAGAAAGGAAGAAAAGCCATACTGGTTTGTTTATAAGTTTAGCAATATTATCCACAATGCTGATAGCTAATTGATGTGTATGTATTATTTGGTGTATAGAGCGTTTCTACTATTCAATATCTTACTAACAGGTACTGATTTATCACCAATTAGATAACATGCAACTATAAGCAGTAAAAAACAGATCTTGAATCACGCATTCTCAGAAATGTTTATTAAAATGTAGTTCTGGACCTGTAAGTTATAACCACAATACTTTTGAATAAGAGATTGAGAGATAGAGAGGGAGATTTGACACTTACTAATTAATTTTCATCATAAAGAAGATTTATGAAAAAAATCATGATTGACCCGGTATCTTATTGCAGAATACACTTTAGAGATATTGTTAAAGTGCAATATATTTATATTATATCATACCTATTCCAAAGGAAAACTCCATTACCTCACACAATTCATAGAAGACTACTCAGCAATATAACAACAATCATCACAAACACAGTCGAGACTCGAAAAGGTATCTTCATTATCAATCAGAAGTACAATCGCTTAGACGATCAACAACATATTCACCTCCAACAAAATCAACAACATAAACTATCAGGCTAATAAAATAAAATGTGTACTTTACCTTTAATGCTTTTTAAAAGAATATTAGAAAACAATCGAAATTTGTAGATAAAATAATATCTAGAGATAAGTGAGCCAGTTCGATGATATGTTACTTTAAATTTTTAATATGAAAAAATAGAAATCAAATTTATTTGACATCCTAATTAATTTATATTTAATAAATTTCTTTGTTTAAAATAATTTCTAATATTATCGATTGAAAATTCATAGATCTCCTCTGCCAAATACATTGCTTTGTTAATTTCAAATGGTTATGGATATTGTTGCAAAAGATGATCTGCTAATGAATAATAAAATTGTCCAACTGCTTCAAGTATAGATTTACTTGTCCATATAACCAATTTATTACTTAGTAAATATTCGATAATATCTGGTTTCCTCTTCTTGATTGCACCAATTAGCGCGCGATTTCAGTACATCGATCCGATCTATTCTCACAGAGGTATTTCACTATTGCCAAATTTCCATTGGAGGCAGCAGTATCAATAGCGGTACTCCAAGAAGATTCCTCTGGATATTGGTCATTTAGGTACTTTATCATATCCAAACAATCGTTATTCACCGATGCTCTACAGACATCCAGGGAGATCGAATTCTTTTTCATAAAAATTCACTATTTTGTTTTTTTTTTTTGTTGATATTAGTATTTTTGTGTTTGCAACAGGCATGTTTTGTAATCTAAGTTTCAACTTATTAACAAATAATCATGTCTCTATCTCAATTAGTCAATTGAGTTATTAACTAATCGTTCAAAGAAATATTCTTGATATTTTTTTTTAAAATAAAGGGAGAAGTAATGATGGTGATAAAAGAATGAGGGAAAGTTATGCTTGTAACCTTAAATACAAAATACTTATTTTTTTATTTTTTACTTTTTCAGTCCGGATTTTCAAAGTAAGGGGTGTAAATTAATTACAAAAGACTTTGTATTACTTTGTAATAAGTTTTAAATGTAAATTAGTTAGTTAACAAATATATGTGTTGTTGATATCAAAATGAGTGTATTATTTCATACAGAAAGTAATAGAAATAGTTTATTTGTTTTCGTTTGTTTTATAAATATAGTTATATTAGGAAGTATACTTACCTCTGTATCAACACCATGGTTTTGGATTAAAACCGATATTTTAAATGATAGTGGTCTCATCAATTTAGAAATTGAGAACTTTTATGATGTATATAAAGTATATGTATGTGTGTTAACATTTTCTAGTATAAATAATAATAATAATAGAAAATAGAATCGTCGTTTAATATTAATAATCATTTAATTAATAGAACAAATATGATACGGTGAATGATGAAAAACATATTACATCACCGGGTAATATCAACTCGGTATTCATAGCGATAGGTGTATTTCAATATGCAGGTTTGATATCGTTCTTGGTGTCTGTGGTTTGTCTGTGTTTGGTGATCCGCAATTTCACGAAACACAGCAAAGGCGACACCGCAGCACACGTAGACAAACCGCTGAAATACAACCTCTGGATATCGTTGATTTTGTTCGTACTCGAGGTGCTCTCTGTGCTTACGCTGTTCGTAGTGACACCGGTGTTTAGACACATCGGTCATTGTCCGACCGACGACGGCTACTGCCATCGATTCTCGGGCACCTCGAAAACAGGCAACGTCATAGAGGAATTCGGTCCAAAAATAGGATTCTATCTCGCAATCGTATCAGGCGCACTATCACTTGTAAACCTAGTCTTTGTCTACCTATTCAACCGATACATCAAATCAAAGCAATACCGACAACAAAGACAACAACAAGATCATCAACTTCTCGAAAAACTTTTACCATCCGAATCAACAACAACAACATCAACAACTATCCAATCATAATAATAATAATAATTACTACAATCCGAACCCTTTTTAACTATCCCAAAAAAGAAATATAAATAATAAAACACACATTATTTATATTTCTTTTTTAAATAATAATAAAACTAACAACCTTCTATCTTCATTGTAAAAAAATAAAAAATAAAAATTATTGGAAATTTGATTTGTTTTGCAAAAATGTGTGAGTGTGAATATGTTACAGATTAAATGAGAACTTTAAAATCATATTGCTCATTAACTGTATACATAAAGATATTAAGATATGGCAACAAAACATACTGAAGCAGGATTAAAGCTAAGAGGAATAGGCAATTCACATTTAGATATTAAAGAGAAACTGAAACAAAGATGCTACGAGAAGCTAAAGGAAACAAGGAAGAATATGATTAATGAAGAAAGAATGAAGTGTAGTAATAATAGTTATAGTAATAGTAATGTCAGTAGTGGTACAGTTTCTTTAAATAATAATAATAATAGTAATAATAGTAGTAACAATAAACAATCTCCACCAACATCTCCACTGAAAGCAAAAATAGATGTACGTTCAACTATTTTAAAGGAATATGAAATGATGAAATTGGAGTTTGACCAACCAATGACATCATCAACAACAACCACTACAACTACAACTACTTCTTCTTCAAACACAACAACACCATCAACAAATGCAACTACTAGTAAAACATCAACAATATCAACACCAATCAAACCAATACCATTATTAACCAGATCGAAATCACCTGCTAAACTGTTACCTTTATTTAAAATGACTAAACTGGAAGAGGATCTAATGTTAAAAGAAGTTGAAGAATATTTAGAATCTATAGAATTACGTATGTTTTTTTTTGGTTTTTTTAAAAATTACATTATTGTGTATATCTATTTCAACTGACTATTAACTAACCTAACTGATTGTATCACAATCTAATTATTATTATTATTATTATTATAGAAATGATAAAGGAATATGAAGATATGCTAAAATTAGAACAAGATGAATTACAATATTACTCAACAATTGCCAATCAAGATCATGATGATTTCGATCTTCAATTTTAATGTACATACATATATATATATAAATGTAAATTCTATCTTTCAATACAAATATCTGTCTATTTTAATTATTCATTAAATAAATAAACAGACTCCATTAATTATATTATATATTACAATAATACACTACCCTACACTACATTACACTGTTAACAAACAATATTACAGTTTTTGGTGATCACTAAAATATAATCTAAATCATATGATGATTGAACTAAACAATATTTTAGTATGATCAACAACATCAACATCTATATCTATTCATAAATAAGCACATAATGGTCTGAAAGCGCAGCAGCAACAGCTGATATGAGGATAATAATGAACAGATCTTATTTTTAATGTGATCATCATATTTAAAATATAGAATCAATTAATTAACATCAACAAACAACATCAATACAACCAACAGCAACAATAACAACAATAAATAATACTTAACTACAACTCTTTGATGATGCAAATTTTAATCATATGATTAATGTTTATGTATCTCCAAAAAAAACAGTCGTTAACAAATAACAATAAGACATATTATTTTATTTTATATATATATATATTTTTTTTTTTAGTTTGTTTTATTTTAAGTTAATTCGAATGATAATCAGGAAAAAAGCACCACGAATTAACTTGTTTGTATTTAAAAAAATAAGCTGATAATTAAATTGACACACTTTTACTTTTTATAGTCAGAAAATCAAAATACGAAATTATATGTTGATATTGAAATACAACACCCACCCCCACATATATACATTAACAGTATAATAAAGATATTGGAGTGTCTATTTAACTTTATAACAATTATATTTGTTTGCTAATTGTATATAAATGGAAAATGTATATTAATTTTATAAAATTATAACCATTTGGGGAAAATAAATAGTTTTAATATTGTTATTTTATTGAGATCACTCATTCACTACTCTACAATAATAATAATTCACACATAACCATATATCTTTAGTTTAATGATCATATATTTAATTTTGTTTGTTTGTTTTTAATTTTGACAGGAAAACGAAAAGTTACTTTATACATTGCACTACAACTGAATTACGGATGGACAAACTGAAATGTCTATCTTATATATCTATTTACAATTTTTATATTACTCTTTGTGAAGCGGCTGAGGTGCACGCTGATGTGTATAATACCTCTAATTGTAATAATATTTGACTGTTGATTGGTTGGTTAGTTAATTTAAGATGTTTCGTTAGTTAATTGGTCTATTTGTGTGGTGGTTGTTGGTGTTGTTGGTGCTGTATAGATATTATTGTTTTTTTTTTGATGGTTCAATATTTAAAGTTGCACCTGATATTCTGATAATCTATTAAATAAATATTTATTTTTATTTCAATAATTATCATAATGATATTATAAATACAGTCAATTTGTTACCTATTTCGGTATTCAAAATTGACAATCAATTCAATCAAATCAAAATCCTATTTCCAAAATCAATCACAACAATAAGAATCAAATTAATAACATTTTCATTTTGGTTATTATTTTGACATCGGTTTGTGAAAATTTGGTTTCAAGTTATTTGCTTGTTTATATTGATTCATTCTCAAGATATCAATCTATATATCCATTTTTAAAAAGAACAAAAAAAAAACATATACTCCATACTTTTATTTTACACCCTACTCCAACACCATAACAATCCATTTAATTTGTCTTTTTACTATATTGAGGAGATAAATTAATCAAACCAACAGAAATCAACAGAGATGTTTAATAGAATTAATAAACCGTTATTATTCCTTTACTTACTATATATACTCTCCACTAACCATATTCAATTGGCATATTCCGAACAAACATTATTAAATAACAATCGTAAGTTTTATAAAACTAAAAAAAAGAAAATAAATTAGTCTAATTTTTATAAATCATAATTATTTGCTTATTATTATTATTATTTTTTAGAATGTTCTAAATTATCAACCCAACAATGTAGAAAGAATTCAAATTGTTTATCAATTGAAGCTAAATCATGTTGTAGCTCTAATTTATATTCAGAGTGTCAGCAGCTACCTCTATCATTGGTACGTTGCAATCCAATTCCAAATTTAAATCTTTGGTGTCTTGAAGACAATTCAGATTTAAATCAATATGACCTGTGGGCTTTCAATACCAGTAGTTGTCATAGACCAGCCAATTCGTTTATTCCCTTGTTGTCGTCGTGTAGAGATGCTCAATGTCCAACTGGATTCGAGTGTATCAGTGCTAGACCACAACGTACTCCATGCATCAATAGTCAATCAAAATGTTGTAACTACCGTGCCAAATGTGTTCTGTCATCGGATATCGATACAACACAGACATCCAGTAGTGATCCATCAACAGACAATACAACACCAACTAAAACATCAGACAATGTTGATGATCTTGTACGTAAGAATTATCCATACAATATGGTCGTTCCAACCTGTGCCGCCATGAAATGTTCTGTTGGCTATGAATGTATCGATGATCCAGTGAAAGGTGCACATTGCAATCCATCTTGCAAAGCAATGAAATGTCTGGATGGTCAGAGATGTGTCATGAACGGACTGAATAAACCAACGTGTATCACCAGCTGCAATTTCACAACTTGTCCACCGGCATTCCAGTGTATCGAAGATAAAGAGGGTGGTGTCAGGTGTGTACCTGTCAAGTCTATTCCCGCCAAACCAGTCTGTACTCTCGATTGTATCATTGGATCAAAGTGTGTCATCGATGAAATCACTAAAAAAGCTCGATGTGTTCCTGAGAACTATACAACCTGTGCCACCAAGAAATGTCCTGAGGGGGAGTCGTGTTTTGATGATCTGGAAAAGGGTGCCTATTGTTTTAAATCTGGTGATCCTTGTTTACGTAAAAATTGTCCTGTTGGAACTGTTTGTGCCATTGCCGCTAACGATACTGCCAAAGCCTATTGTAAGCCAACGAGAAACTGCTCTACATTCCAGTGTGCTAAGGGCTATAAGTGTTTCGACAGTGCTGAACTGGGGGTGATTTGTAAAAAGCTTCTACTAAATTGTACTGAGCTTGATTGTAAAAACGATACTAAATGCATTGAAGACAATGTCCAGGGTGGTCGATGTGTCAGTATCTATAGTTCCTGTATGCTGTTGAACTGCTCCAAAGGTTACGATTGTATTATGGATAAAACTAGTCAGCTTGCTAAATGTGTCCAAATTGCTGTCAATGAAACTCTCTCTACAAAGCCATTGAAAGATTTATTGGGAATTACTCCTGCTCCTGCCAAAACTTGTGAGAGGAAATGTGATCCTGGATTCAAGTGTGTGGATGGACAATGTGTTCAGTTGCTAACTTGTGCCAATCTCAGATGTCCAAAGGGTTCTAAGTGTGTCGATAATTCAACTTTGTACGATGGAAATCCATACTGTGTGCCCATTCCAACTTGTGCAACCAACAAATGTCCTGGCGATTGCTACTGTCTGGAGAGCGAGAGTGGACCACAATGTATACCAAAGACATCCTGTGCTCTATTAGACTGTAGACCTGAATACCGTTGTGTCGAGGATAAAGAGCGTGGAGCACGTTGTATTCAAAGATCAATTGTCACATGTTCATCCATTAGTTGTCTCGAAGGGTATTCGTGTATTGATGATCCAATCAATGGTGGAAACTGCCAGAAGATAGATCCTAAAAATCCATTCAAATCATGGACACCAAGTGCACCAGGATGGTCAACAACAACAAAATCAGGCACACCAACAACACCACCAACAACCACTTCTCAACCACCAAATGAAGAAACTACTACAACAACAAAACCACCACCATCTACCACTCAAGCAAAGAATGAATGTGCATTACTCGATTGTCCTCCACACACAATATGTATGGCTGACAAAGAAAGAGGTGGATACATGTGTTTCTCCAAACAGAGTTGTGCAACCTCACACTGTGCATTTGGTGAAGAGTGTATCGAAGATTCCAATGGTGTTGGAACTTGTCGTAGAATAACATGCAATACACTCCAATGCAAACTTCCAAAGATGTGTCATTCAACACCATCAGGCATACCCGAATGCCAATAACCAAACTAACCAGTCAACCAGTCAACCAGACAACAAACCAAACTATACCAAAACCAGATTTTTTTTTTCACACCAATTATGTTTTTTTTTTTTCAATTAAACTCCACAACTAATTTCAAATCCTTTGATTATCGATACTAGTTGTAAGCATATTTTATATTTACTTTAAATAATTTTAATTAAATTTATTAAATTTTTTTCTATAGAAAAACATTTACAAAACAAACAAAAAAAAAAAGAAATCTTTCCTACTTTCCATAAAATTCCAAAAAGTTATTCCTTTTCCTCAAAACCAAACTTCCAAAAACCAAAACATTTAGTTATTGCGATTGGATAACTTCTCCATCAATAACATTTTATTCATATCAGTTTAACTATTATTATTTATAATTATTTAATACTACCTTTTACTTTACAATCAAGTTTAATTTTTTCAATCAAACTAAAAATTTTATTTTTTTTTTTAAACATTTAATCAAATTTAATAACTTAACTGTATAAAAACTTATAATAAGAAATTTTAATAATATTATTCAAAAAAACATAATTTATCAAATATTCAATCAAATCAAAACAAAATAATCCATCCACTCCAAAACAAAAAAAAAGAAAAAGAAAAAGAAAAAAAAATCAAAACTATATCCTTTTTTTTTTTAAAAAGTTGTTGTTTCACATCATTAAATTTTATTTAACACTCCATTTATTCTACTTACTCCCCAATCTACTTACCGAATTTGAGTTTACCGTATATCTCTCACACTTCAAATTTAACTTTCCAGCCTGACAAAACTAGGTTGGAAAGTTGGAATCATTTCAAATTGAGTCAATTTCCTTTGTTAGTTAAATGTTTTGAAAAAAAACTAAAAGTGACTATAATTTATATTTTGAAGACTATTCTAACATTTAAAATCTCTTGAACTAGTTTATCTAATTGTTTTATTTAATCTCTCATTCAACTCTTTATAACATTCGATTGACATCGGCCAACCCTCCCACCAGTTCAAATTTGGGTTTCTCTATTGGTTTTTGGTTCTGGTATATATAGTTTCTTTGGTCTCTGACTCTCATTTGGGTAGATGTAAATATATTTTAGTAATGAATGACTACTGGTGGGGAGTGGTGGCGATGGCTCTTGTTATTCTGGGTTGGAAGTAAGACTTCTTTTCTCTCTTCTAGGCTAGGTTAGGTGTAAATATCACCAATGATATTTTTGAATTGAATCCCCAATTTACATTCCTACATTCCAAAATCTAAACTTGTTATATATTATTTTTCAAATCACACAATTTGAGTTATCATTTAAATACTTAACTTAAATCTATATTTTTTTGTACTCATAACTTATTTTTTTTTCAAAAACAAACATACCCAATTTTTAAATTTTTTCTAATTATATAATTAATTTTGTTAATTTATTTTTTGGTAACTTTTTATATTGCTCAACTATTCTATAAAAATACATATAAATTTAATAATTAATTATATAAATATATTTATTTAAATTATTTATTTTTTTTCTAATTATATAAAAATAGTACTAGTAAAATTGTTGTTTTTTATTCTTATTAATTTTTAATCTATTTTTTTACTTATAAAGTTTTAATTTTTAATCTTTTCGTTTTTTTTATATTTATATAATTTAATTATTAATACTTATATGTATTATTTTTTAATTTTAAGTTTTAATTTTCTTCGTTTTTAAACTAATTTATTACCAAAAAATATATACTTTCTACTAAAGAATCATTTCTTCATTAATTAATGATCTGTTTTAACTTTTTTTCTTATCTCGAAAACAAAAGTGGTTTTCTGTAACCAATTTAAAATTTGAAATTTTAACTTTTAAATTTATTTATTGAAGTTTTAACTGTTTCTTTTAAAGATTAAAAAAAATACTTACTACTTTTACAGGTTTTATTTTTCACAAACTTATTAATTTCAAAACATTTTTTTTAACCTTGAGTATTCATTTACTTAAAACATTATTATAATTTATTTAATTAATTATTTTTCAGATCATTTTTTTATTTGAACTTAACCAACTTGTTTTTTACTTTTTATTTTTTATTTTTTATTTTTACAAAAACTAAAATCTTTTTTTTTTTTTACTATTTAATAAAAAACAAAAAAAAAAAAGATCAGCAAATTGCAAACAATCATCAAACAAAACAATAAAATAAATTAAATTAAAAATAACAATAATATACTAGTTAATAAAAAAAAAACCAAACAATAATAATCACACTTCACAACCAACCCCCTTTTTTTACCACCATTGTGGTTTTTTTCTTTTTTTGAACAAACAATCAATCATCTGCAAATACACATGAAATAATCAACATTAACTATTTAATTTGATTTTAACAAAAGAAAATCAAATTAATCAAACAGTCAGTCAGTCAGTCATTCGGTTAGATAATTAGTTAGTTAATCAATTGTACAATAACCATTATTAGTCAAGACGTGCTACCAAGATCAAGAGAACCTTCGATAGATGGATCAACAAAAGAGATTATCCCAACTTGAAAATGATAGAAAAGTCTTGTTAGATTTCATCTATTCGCAGTTCTCACATGCAATTCCTCAGAATTTCAATACTGCTCAACATTCTAATATAGATGTTAATGAATTGGTTAGATCTTTGAAATTGGGTATGTTAATTACTATTCTAATATCATTAAAATTGTTACTTATTATTATTATACTTTTTAGTACTTTCACCAAAACAGTTGTCACCTCCTACTTCATCAACAACATCATCAGATACTACACCTTCTACAATAAATAATAATAACAATAATAATGCAAGCAATAGTAAAGGTTCATCACCTCCTCTAAACTCAAATATTGGAACTATTGGAATTGTTCCAGCACATGTACAAGGTGCACATCAAAATCTTATGAGTCCAACTACCATAAGAATACAACAACAGCAACAACAACAACAATATCAACAACCTTTACCAGCAACACCAACAGCAACACTCATTCCATCATTTACATCACCACCTGCAGGTGCAGCAAATCCATCCTCATCTGCATCTGGTTCAATAAACTTTGCTGAAATGCATCAGCAACACAGTCCAAAGAATCAATCTTCATCTCATCAAAATCAACCATTACCACAACAACTTCAACTTCAACAACAACAACAACCACCACCTCAACAATCACAACAATCACACTCACCACAACATCAACAACCATCACCAAATATAGTTGTACCAGAGGAATATGGTAATTTGAACAAAGAACAATTTCATTTCTCGAGCTACGAGACTTATTTATTGGTCAATCATTTCGCACGACCACACGGACAGCCTGGAAACTACGAACAAGAAGATAGTTTTAGAATTCAAATGGAAATGTCGAGAGTGAAACATGAAGCATACTTGCTAATGCTTTCACCACCATCTAATGCCAGTTCACCACCACCTCATTTCCATTCGGTGACCTATCGTCTTTGGCTACTACGATTCTTTGACATGAAGAGGTTCGACACATTCGACTCGATGATAATTTGGTTCCGCCGACAACTCTACACGGTGATGTCATCCATTCAGAATATGTTGCGCGATCCATTCGATGATAAATCACCACCGTCTTCGATGCTCGTAGTGTTCCGACAACTCTGTTACTCGCTGGAGAACTACATCCTCGCAATCAATCCGTCAGCCACCACCGACATTGAGTATCAACGGTTGCTCGGTGAGATCGACAGGTTTCTAGCGCCGATTGTCAGTCGCGGTGCCAGTCCAGAGACGCGAGCCGACCTCAAGCTGGCGACTCAGTATCTCAGTGAACCGGTTCCCTACCAATTCCCGCTGAATACCACCATCTTTGAAGATCTGCTGTTTTACAATCTCTTTGAGTTTACACGTGAGGAAATAGTGTTTGTAGGCTCGCCGAGAATGACGCTGGTTCCCGACTTGCTGCCTCTTGCCGGCGCACTGAAGATCTCAGAGACAATGGCAACCATTTCCCATGCAAATTGCTTCCTTACCGCCTATCAAGCGGAACTAAGTGTCAGCCATTTGGAACGACTTCAACGTGCACTCAATCTCATTGAGAATATGATCGCCACCAATGTCCAGGCGATACGCGATCGCCAATACTCAACGGCGTCACTCTTAAAGCTAACACTGAAACGCATTGCTCAGTGGCTACTGAAAATGCTGAGTGATATCCACACCCATAAATCGGAACACATAGCGATGGACATTGAAATAGCGTGCTCCGTGTATATTCAATCGCGACAGATGTGGACAATGCTGTCATCGTCGTCCGCCAACGGCAATGCAAGCAATGCCGGCAACAAACCATCGGAATCAAACTTTACAAGTTTCATTGTTTCCTCAGTTTCCTGTCATTACAGTCGTATCTCTAAGCCATTCCGTCCGCTGACACTCGATAACTTTTCAGAGTTTATCGAAGCGCTGATGCCAGAGATTACATTGGATTTGAAAGTATACTCCAAAGGATTCATTAGATATCACTCATCGGCATTGGCAATTGCACTTCAAGAGTTCTGCAATCTCTACACACAAGATCTAGGTGTAGTTTTCGACGATGTCTATTTCCTCTCACCAATGGTACTACAATCGGTTCAAACAGCCTCTAAATTCCAGATATTCCTACAGGATCTACATCTCTTGCCACCCGAGAAACTTCCAGCCGTTACAAAACATGTTAGTAGCGTTGTTTCTGCATGGTGTCAAAATCAAGAGAAATTCTTTAACAAATGGTTTGAAAATCTATTCCAAGTCGATAAATTTCAACCATTAGATAAAACAATCAAGTAAGTCAAAATGAAAATAACACTATTAACAATAAGATAATTATTAACTTAACATTTATTATAGACATTCATCATCGGTTGTAGATTTATTCCAAATGTTTTATCAAGCAATTAATACACTGAGTAAAATGAAAGGATCGCTATCTACTAGTTTTCCAGGTTTCATTGTTACACTTTCGAATATGTTTAACAAGTTCCTCATTATGTATAATCAAACGATTGCCGAATTCACTCTGTGTGCACAACGTCAGAGTCTGATGCCGCTATCGCTGAACGAGAAGATCAAGAAGGGTATCAGAAAGAGTTTGAGTCAGAGTATTAATTCTATTCATGTAAATGCACCAGGTAGCGCCAGTAAGGAACCACCTCCTCCAACGATGATTGAACGCGCTCAAAAACAAACGATACAAACACTCTGTGTATGTCTCAACAACTTGGATTTCATACAGTCCAACGTTGTCGAGTATATCGAACATCATAGCTACAACATCGCAGACCTGAAGAAACAACTTTCCGATCTATTCATCCCTGTACAATCATCGATTAGATCGACATCGATAGCACTCATCGATTACATCGGTGCCAAAGTTGTCTTTGCCGATTGTCGTGTCGCTACGGTTGACAATTTGTATCAGGCGCCACTCACCCGGCAGCCGAGAGTAGAGGAACCACTCGAACAACTCAATCCACACTTGAAATCAATCTATTCGAGTACTTCAACGATTGAACGTGCCACCGATATACTTACATCGGTTGCCAAGGCATTCCTTCAGTCGCTAGAGTATTCGATGCTCTACGGTGGACCAACGCGAATTTTCAACACTGGCGAAACTCAGTGGATCGAAGCTGACCTAGAGTCGATCAAAGATTACTTTTTGGATCGTGACGAACAAGGAAACTCCAATGGTGTACCGGAGCGCACCTACGATCAAATAGCGGGTGGTATCACAAAGGTTTGTCATCTACTGATGGATCAACCCAGTGAGATACTGGTCGAGCAGTATGTCAATGGCAAATCCAACGCATTCTCCAATGAGATTCTACTTGCTGTATTAGTACACCGAAGTGATAAACCAGCGCGAAGTTTCATCAAAAAGAAACTACACGATCCATATTATCTACAAATTAAGAAAGGTTCAAAAGTTAACTTTTTAACTAAATAATAATAATATTAAAATATTTTATTACTATTTACTGTTATCACATGTGAATCAAAAGTTTGATTCAAAACATTATTTTATTTTATTTATTTTTTTAACTTTTTACTAAATCCTCCTTGTTTGTGAGCCAAACTTTTTTATCTTCTTAATATCAAAAGCAGTTAGTGATAGTTCAAAAGAAGTTAAATTGGGAGCTGAAAATGCTTCTCAAATAATTAGAAGCGGTGCATTAGAAGCATCTACAATTTTAGCACAAGGCCATGTTGAAGCATCAAAGAGTATTGCATTCTCTATTTCGGAACTTACATCAAGTCTTCGATACCTTGGAGACACTGGAAAGGAAGCTATAGATCGATGCACTGACCCTATCAATAACCTTGTACAAACTGCAAGAAAAAGTTCGATTGAACTCAATACAAGTTGCAGTCAATTCAATCGAATCATCTCTGATACTCCCAGAAAGTTTGCTGTTTGGTCAATCCTTCCTATTTTTGTGGTGTACATCTTATTTGCATCCAAGGTGGATCAAGATTTAGTAATAGCATTACTTTTGGAAAATTGGCAAATATTTTTAGCTACTTCGATCTTGGGTTTATTTTCTTCATGGTTGTTTCATATATGGAGACTATCAAATATCTATCACACAAATAGAGTTGTAATTGATAATTTTCAATCCAAAAAGAAGCTCAACATTTAGTTATTAGGAATAATCAACGACAACATGTGTGGGCTATGAATGGAGATTTACCATCTGGTCCTCCTAATTGGTTGTAAAATACAAAACTTAATAAAAAAAAAAAAAAAAATACTGGTACTGTATAAATTTCTTTTTAATATTACAAATAATTTTGAATCAAACTAACTTTAATGGCAGTAAAATAATGAAACAAGAATTGCAGTTAAAGTAGACCAATTTTTTTTGTGTAAAAAAATAAAAATCTTTGATGGAATCATGGAATCTAACATAACCAAATTGTTGTAAAAAAAAAATCTGGTGGAATGGAATAATGGAATACATCTTGAGAATTAAAAAAAAAAAATTAAAAAAAAAATTTTTTTATTTATTTTGAACTAACACCCCTAAACACAATAATTATTATTAAATATATTTGTATTGATCTGCACACTGATCATAATCATAATATATAAAAAGAAAAATGAATAATAATTTAATGTATTGGGTACCTGTTGCCTTGGGTACTGCAACATTAGTATGGGCATACAAGAATAACTACTTACCAGGTCAAAAGAAATCATCGGACGATCAAAACAAGCAGAGTGACTCTGTCATTAGAATTGCTAAATTGATTATCTATCCAAGTATGTCATAAACTATTTACCATCATTATTGCATTGCATAAATAATCTAGATATAATTATATTGATTTGTTTATCGTCGATTGTCAGTTAAATCATGTCAAGGTATTGAATTAAAGAGAGTAAATATCGATAAGCTGGGATTCGAAAACGATAGAAGATGGATGATCTGTGTCGATGGAAGATTCATTACACAGAGAACACACCCAAAGCTAGCTCTCATCGCACCGGCTATCGATGGTGACGTCTTGGTAGTGCGTGCACCCAACATGCCAGAGTTGCGTGTACCAATGACCAGTGATAGCGCCACCTCTGAAGTGGTCGTCTGGAAAGACACTGTAAAGGCTCACGACAGCGGTGACGAAGCAGCGGAATGGCTATCAAAGTTCTTGGAGTTGCAAAACGTGCGATTGGTACAGGTCAGCTCGGAACACCGCCGTCACATCAAAGAGAAGTACGCGCAGGTGGCATTCCAACATCAACCGACACCGGAGGAGGTCGAGCGCTATCAATATGCATTCTGCGATGCCAGTCAGGTGATGATTCTCAGTCAGGCATCGATTGACGATATCAACGCGCGTATCGATGAGACCAGACGCGCCAAGTCGGAACCAAAGCAGCGTCCAATGGACGAGAGACGTTACCGTCCCAACGTTCTACTCGTTGGTACCGGTGCTTGGGAAGAAGATCGTTGGCGTACCATTCGTATCGGTGGAAACATCATTCGTCAGGTTGACCGTACCGGTAGATGTAAATTCACAACGATCGATCCAGACAGCGCAGTGATCGATCCCTACGGAGATAACGAACCACTCAGAACACTCAATCAATATCGTGTTGGAAAAGATAAAGATAAGAATGTCTACGTTGGAATATTAACTGTTTTGGATGAACATACCGGTGAATTATGTGTTGGTGACAGAGTTGATGTTATTGATAAATTCTAAATTAAAATAAAATTAAAATTAAAATTAAAAAATAAACATATGATTATTTTATTTTCCCCTTCCCCCAATAATAATAAAATAAAACGAAATTATAAAATTATTGTTAAGTTCAACCAATCAATCTTTACAATAATATTAGTAATAATAATATCTTGTTTCAGATCTGACAAATAACTAAAAATATGTATGTTATGTATTTATTTAAATTTATATATAGGTGATCAATTTTAGTTTGGTTTTTCTTTTCGTTTTTTTTTTTTTTTTAAAGATTTGAATAGAAGAATGACAAGTAATAATTGGTCGAATAACAATCTGAAACAATCGAATGATCATGTATGCAATGAAAATTGTTGGGGTGTGCAAATTTTATCATGCTGTTGTTCTCGTCTTTTTACTGGGTCGCGACAGTATGCAGGCAAAGTGTTGTTTCAATCACCATCATAATCATTTTTTTTTTCTTTCATTTTCAATGAATTTTGCAAGAACAAAAAAAAAAATGTAACAACCATTTATATCTTATTTTTTTTTGTTTTTAGGTTTTTTTTTCTGATTGATGTAAAAAATAGTTTTTTTTTCAAAATCTAACAATCAGTAGGCCCTGCCAATAAAAAAAGATAAAAAAATCCTTCTGAATCTTTTTTTTTTTTTTTTATAATAAAAAATAATGTTTTGGGCGATTTTCAAAAAAAAACCCATTTAATTTTAATTTTTTGCCAGTGGAATTGGATTTGTTAAAAATGAATTGCATTTTCGACCCCAAACACACACAAGCATGGATGGCTGAGCCAATTTTGAAAATGATTCCAAACCAACATTAAATTTTACTGCTTGATAAATAATTCATTTAATAACTTATTATTTTTTTTATTTTTTTCAATCCTCACACACAAACACTAACATTTAAACAAATCAGTTGACACACCAATTAAATTCATTTTTGTTTAGAGTCAGTTTCCAAGTGTGTTTTTGTGTGTTTGTTTAATTTTAAACCATTATATATAACATCAAAAACATCACTGACATTTTATTGTTTGTCATTTTTTAATCTTTCATTTTCTTGTTTTATATCTATATATTTATTTGTTGTATATTTATTTGTCATATATCTTTTTAATTTTGTATAACTAAATAAAAAAATGACTGAAACCAAAAAGACTTGGATTGATGTCCAAAAAAGAGTATGTAATAACAATGTCAATCTAATAGTCAAATTATAATTATAATTAACAAACTTTTTTCTTTTTCTTTTTTTTAATTCTTTTTCTTATTTCTTTTCTTTCAGACTTTTACTGGTTGGGCCAACAACTATTTAAAGGAACGTATCTTAAAGATCAATGATCTCGGTACAGATTTGGAAGATGGTGTTCTCTTGATCAATCTTTTGGAAATTATTTCCTCAAAGAAGATCTTGAAATTCAACAAGACCCCAAAGATCAGATTACATAAGATGGAGAACAACAATTTGGCTGTCAACTTTATCAAGACTGAAGGTCTCAAGTTGGTCGGTATCGGTGCTGAAGACATTGTCGATGGTCAACTCAAGCTTATTCTCGGTCTCATTTGGACCCTCATTTTGAGATATCAAATCCAGATGGCCGAAACCGACTCTCCAAAGGCTGCCCTCTTGGAGTGGGTTCGTAACCAAGTCCGTCCATACGGAGTGACCGTCAGCAATTTCACCGATTCATGGTGTGACGGTCGTGTCCTCTCTGCCTTGACCGATTCACTCAAGCCAGGTGTCTTGGACTTTAACTCGCTCTCTGGTGACTCCTACACCGATGTCAATCGTGCTATGGACGTCGCCTTGGAAGCCTACGAGATTCCAAAGATTATGGATCCAACCGATATGGTCAGTTTGCCAGACGAACTCTCCGTAATCACCTACGTCTCCTATTTCCGTGACTACCAAGTCAACAAGGCCAACCGTGACAAGGCTGCCGCCGAAGCTTTGGAGCACAAGAGAAGAACCACCTCTGACGCCAGTCAAGTCTTGGCCTACGGTCCAGGTTTGGAGGCAGGTTTCGTCAACAAGCGTGGTGATTTCACCATCAAGGCCATGAACTACTACGGTGAGCCATTGGCCAACGGTGGAGAGAACTTCACTGTCAATGTTGTCGGTGCCGACGGTCAAGTCGTTCCAGTCACTCTCGTTGACAACAAGAACGGTACCTACGACGGTCACTACACTCCAAGCGAACCACAAGACTACACTGTCACCATCCAACTCGATGCCGTCAACGTCAAGAACTCGCCATTCGCCGTCAAGGTCGATGGTTCCGATCCAAACGAGTCTAACGCCTACGGTCCAGGTTTAGAGGGTGCCAAGGTTGGTGTTCCAGCTCCATTCACCATCCAAGGTCGTAACAAGCAAGGTGACGCCATGACCCAAGGTGGTGACGATTTCACCGTCAAGGTCACTGGTCCAGCCGGTGATGTTCCATGTCAAGTCAAGGACAACGGTGACGGTTCCTACTCTGCCGTCTACAACCCAACCAAGGGTGGAGATCACCAAGTTGAGGTCTTCCTCCGTGGTCAACCATTGGCCCAAGGTCCAGTCCCAGTCCGTGTTCTCAACTCTGACGAGTCCAACTCTTTCTGTGACGGTCCAGGTTTCGAAGCCGCCCAAGCTCGTCGTCCAACTCAATTCACCATCCACTCTGTCGGTGCCGACGGTCAACCATCAAAGGACGGTGGAGATCCCTTCCAAGTTTCCATCTCTGGTCCACACCAAGTCGATGTCTCCATTTCCGATAACGAAGACGGTACCTACACTGTTGCTTATACCCCAGAGAAGCCAGGTGACTATGAAATCATTGTCACTTTGAACGAGAAGCCAATCAAGGATATTCCAAAGAGCATCCACATTAAGCCAGCCGCCGATCCAAACAACTCTTACGCCGAGGGTCCAGGATTGGAAGCCGGAGAATGTTTCCAACCATCGAAATTCAAGATTCATGCCGTCGACCCAGACGGTGTTCCACGTAACGACGGTGGTGACGGTTTCGTCGTCACCGTAGAGGGACCAGCCCCAGTCGATCCATATATGGTCGATAACGGTGACGGTACCTACGACGTCGAATTCGAACCAAAGGTTCCAGGAGATTACACAATCAATTTGACTTTGGACGGTGACACTGTCAATGGATTCCCAAAGGTTGTCCGTGTCAAGCCAGCCCCAGCCGCTGGAAACTCATACGCCAAGGGTCCAGGTCTCAAGGAGGCTTTCGACAACGCCGTTGCTGAATTCACCATTTACTCTGTCGATACCGACGGTAACGCCCGTACCGACGGTGGAGATCCATTCGTCGTCACCATCCAAGGTCCAAACGGTTTGGAAGTCGTACCAAAGGTCGAAGACAAGAACGACGGTACCTACCACGTTGAATACGAACCATTGGTCGAGGGAGACTACAACATCAATGTCACCCTCCGTGATACCCCAATTAAAGATATGCCAGTCACTGTCAAGTGCATCGAAGGTGCTGACGGTGACCACTCGTCATTCGGTAAATTCACTTTCACCGTTGCCGCCAAGAATAAGAAGGGAGAACCAAAGACTTACGGTGGTGATAAATTCGAAGTCTCCATCACTGGTCCAGCTGAATACATTGAGTTGAACGCAATTGACAACCAAGATGGTACATACACTGCTGCCTACGCTCTCGTTGGAAATGGTAGATTCTCGACTGCTGTCAAGTTGAACGGAAAGCACATCGAAGGAAGTCCATTCAAACAAGTCCTCGGTAACCCAGGTAAGAAGAATGCTGATGTCCCATCATTCACTACTACCGCTACCTCCAACTCGCAGTAAAAAAATAAAAAAAAACTTGTGAAATAAAAATTAAAAATTAAAATAACAAAAAAACAACAACAACAAAATGATAGTAACTATTGGAGTTATAAATTACTTTAAAAGATTAATTACTTGATACATTACCGGATTGTCCAAGAATCTATTACGAACTATATAAAGTCAGTTAAAAGAACAACAAGAACATTTATTCATACTAAAAAATATTTAAAAAACATGTATCAAAAAATAAAAATAATAGTTGTTTGACAGTTAAAAGATGATCATTGTTAAAAAACTCTTATTATATTTATTATTTATAGTTATAGATAAATAAATGAAATCAGAATTATTTAAATTAGTATTTAATAATACAGTTATTAGATCAAATATATTTAATCAATTTCAAAATAAAGAGATTTATGGTGGTAGAACATCAAGATATAGATGGATACAATTAATAAATTCACCATTTCTATTGATACAATATAATTATTTCGATTTGTTTGTTCAACATTGGATCACTGTTGGTTGTAATAACTACCATTATAAACAGTTGAAATTGAAAAACAATATAAAGATTGTTAGTGTTGCCATCCAATTCAACAGATTAAACTTTATTAAATGTTTGGTCGAACACAATCATTTAGATCTATCAATCTATTTAAAAGACATATTAAGCATATCGGTATCAAGAGGAAAGAAAGATATTGTTGAATATCTTAGATTGCTATTCAGCTCAAACAATGGGTATTATACTCATAATTACCAATATTTAGAACTGCTTGATGCTTTCGAATCAAACGATCTCGAAACCGTTAAACGATTATCATCAATGGTTTCAAAATCCCAACTTAATGAACTTTATGAACCTTTGTACAAAGCTATCTCATACGGTCACACACAGCTTATAGATTGGTTAATCGACAATCGATCAGATATTTCCAATATGTTCATTGGAAATAGAGTAATTGGTAAGGCTATATACAACCGACAATTTCATATTCCCGATTTGTTACTTTCCAAAGGTTATATAGAAGATAGAGAATATCAAACATCTGAACTTGGTATCAATTTCGCACAGAACGATATATATCAATGGTTGAGCACAACCAAATTAAGAATAAACTTTACTTCAACAGATTTCGATGAAGCAGCAGGAAATTCATCACTCGAAGTTATAAAATGGATCAATGATCATAGTAATCAAGGTTGTTCAAAGAATGCAATGTATAATGCATTCGTCAACTTGAAATTTGACATTGTGAAATGGTTACATGAGAATAGAACAGAAGGAACACGTACTATTGGTTACATTAACTCCTCTGCAATAACTAAAGATGCAGAGAATTTACCATTCGAAATGGTTAAATGGTATCATCAAAATAGAACAGAAGTATTCGGTAGTTATTTCATGGATTACGCTGCTTGTTACTCACTTGACGTCATTAAATTCCTTCATTACAATCGATCTGAAAGTTGTTCAAAAAGGGCAATGCTTAATGCTGGAATGTCTGGTCAACTGGAAATCTTTAAATTCCTCAAAGACAATAGAACAGAAGGTGTTCCAAGTGATCTAATTTATCATATTTGTTCTAAAGGTCAATTGGAAATGATTCAATATCTTTATGAAACTAGTGAACCAAATGAATATAATTGGTCCTGGGATCTTATGGATTTAGCAATCAAATCATCCAACCTCGATTTAGTAAAGTGGATTCATCAAAATACCACCTTTAGTAGCATTTCAAATGAATTTGATATTGCCTTATCAAGAAAAGACTTTGAAATGGTTCAATATCTCGTTGACAACAAGATTTGTTCAAATGATTTGGAATCATCAATACTTAATCATCTAAAAGATCCTAGTTTATTTATCATTGAAATTCTAGATTGGTTAATGAAATCAAACCTATTGGACCATGACAAACTTGTTGATTTGTCAAAGCAATGTTATACACCAACTTTAAATTCATTTTTCAAAGATTATAATATCTATTTATTAGATCCACAAAAATATATTATTTATAATTTATTCAAAAAATTTAATAAAAAAAACTATAATATTATCCATATTAATATATATCATTGAAATAACATTTTATAAATTTAACTTATTTAAATCACTACATCTGAGATCAAACTAATTATATTCACTTGCCATTCTTTTGAGGGAATAGAAAACCAGAGATTAGATAAGAACCATTTAGTACTAAAATCAAATCCTATTTTCTATAAATTATCTAGAAATTAGGATATTTAAATAAAAGATTTAGAAACAAAACCGAATTAAAAAAAATTTAGAAAAAAAAAAGGTGATCTTTGCTACTATCTAGCATTGAAAACAATTCCTTATTTTTATTTATTTGTTATTTATTTATAAATAAATGAAATCAGAGTTATTTAAATTAGTATTTAATAATACAGTTATTAGATCAAATATATTTAATCAATTTCAAAATAAAGAGGATTTATGGTTGTAGAACATCAAAATATAGATGGATACAATTAATAAATTCACCATTTCTATTGATACAATATAATTATTTCGATTTGTTTGTTCAACATTGGATCACTGTTGGTTGTAATAACTACCATTATAAACAGTTGAAATTGAAAAACAATATCGATATTGTTAAAACTGCCATCCGATTCAATAGAACAAACTTTATTAAATGTTTGGTGGATAATAATCATTTAGATCTATCAATTCATTCAAAAGGTATATTAGACATATCAGTCTCAATCGGAAAGAAAGATATTGTTGAATATCTAAAATTGGCATTCGGTTCAGATAATGTGTATTTATCACCTATATACCCATCTTTAGAACTGATTTCTGCTTGTGTATCAAACGATCTTGAAACTGTTAAACGATTATCACCAACGATTCCGAATGACCAATTCAAAGAAACCTATCCACCTTTGTACAAAGCTATCTTACATGGTCATGTACAGATTATACATTGGTTGATTAACAATCGAACAGATGGAGACCATTCGTACTATAGAATGATTGGCATGGCATTACATAATAAGCAACATCATATTCCCGATTTGTTACTTTCCAAAGGTTATATAGAAGATAGAGAATATAGACTTTCTGAACTTGGTTTGCTTAGCACTAAGGATTTGTATCAATGGTTGAGCACAACCAAAATCAGAATAAACTTTACATCAAATGATTTCGATCTAGCAGCAAGAAATTCATCACTCGATGTTGTAAAATGGATCAATGATCATAATAATCAAGGTTGTTCAAAGAATGCAATGTATAATGCATTCATCAACTTGAAGTTTGACACTGTTAAATGGTTGCACGAGAATAGAACAGAAGGAACACATACCATTGATTTCTTTAACTCATCTGCAATAGCAAGTGACTCAGATAAGAATCTAGCATTTGAAATGGTTAAGTGGTTCAATCAAAATAGAACAGAAGGATTCACTGCTGATTTCATGGATTGTGTTGCTTCTTTCTCACTTGACATTGTTAAATTCCTTCATCAAAATCGAACTGAAGGATGTACAAGCAAAGCAATATTGAATTCTGGAAAGGCTGGTCAACTGGAAATCTTTAAATTCCTCAAAGACAATAGAACAGAAGATGTTCCGATTGAACTTGTTTCTCTTGTTTGTTCAAAAGGTCAATTGGAAATGATTCAATATCTTTATGAAACTGGAGAGCCAGATGAATATAATTGGTCTTTGAATCTTATGGATTTAGCAATCAAATCATCCAACCTCGATTTAGTAAAGTGGATTCACCAAAATACAACTCATGGTTGCGATATAAATACATTTAAATTTTCATTATTGGAAAAAGACTTTGAAATGGTCTCAATATCTCGTTGACAACAAGATTTGTTCGAAAGATTTGGAATCATCAATTATTTCTTTAATAGATATTACACCTATTTATAAATATTATATCATTGAAATTCTAGATTGGTTAATGAAATCAAACCTATTGGACCATGACAAACTTGTTGATTTGGCAAAACAAAGAAATTCAGCAACTCTTAAAGCATTTCTCAAAGATTATAATATTAATTATTGATTTAATAAATAATTCAAACAATAAATAAAAAAATAGTGATCAATATTTGAGTGAAAATTTATTTAAATATATATTTGGGAAACTCTGATTCTAAGTAAAAGTAAAAAATAAAGTTGATAGATAATTGTTAAAAAAAATCCTTATTATTTGAAATTTATATGAATCAAAAATAATTTGTTCATAATTTCGGAACAAAAAAAAAAAAAAAAAAAGGAGATCATTGTTAAAAATTCTTTATTTGTTTTTTATTTATAAATAAATGAAATCAGAGTTATTTAAATTAGTATTTAATAATACAGTTATTAGATCAAATATATTTAATCAATTTCAAAATAAAGAGATTTATGGTTGTAGAACATCAAAATATAGATGGATACAATTAATAAATTCACCATTTCTATTGATACAATATAATTATTTCGATTTGTTTGTTCAACATTGGATCACTGTTGGTTGTAATAACTACCATTATAAACAGTTGAAATTGAAAAACAATATCGAGATTGTTAAAACTGCTATCCGATTCAATAGATTAAACTTTATTAAATGTTTGGTAGAGAATAATCATTTAGATCTATCAATTCATTCAAAAGCAATATTTGACTTGTCACTATCAAAAAGAAAGAAAGATATTGTTGAATATCTAAAATTGGCATTCAGTTCGAATAACGTGGATATATCCACTATTTACCCATCTTTAGAACTGCTCGAGGCATGCGAATCAAACGATCTTGAAACCGTTAAACGATTATCATCAACTATCCCGAATGACCAATTCAAAGAAACCTATCCACCTTTGTGCAAAGCAATCTCACATGGTCATGTACAGATTATAGATTCGTTGCTTAGCAACCAAACCGTTGGAGACGAATTGTATTATAAAATAAATAGATTGGCAGTTAGTTATTGTCAATTTCAAGTTCTTGATTGGTTACTTTCCAAAGGTTATATAGAAGATAGAGAATATCAAACATCGGAACTTGGTTTCTCTATCATACATAAGGATTTATTTCAATGGATGAGGACAACCAAAATCAGAATCAACTTTACATCAACTGATTTCGATCTAGCAGCAAGAAATTCACTCGATGTTGTAAAATGGATCAATGATCATAGTAATCAAGGTTGTTCAAATAAAGCAATGTATAATGCATTTATCAACTTGAAGTTTGGCATTGTGAAATGGTTGCACGAGAATAGGACAGAAGGATCATTTCCTATTGATCGCATTTGCTTTAACCCAAGAATGACAAAAGATTTAGTCGAGAAAATACTCTTCGAAATGGTTAAATGGTATCATCAAAACAGAACAGAAGGATTCACTGCTGATTTCATGGATTGTGTTGCTTCTTTCTCACTTGACATTGTTAAATTCCTTCATTACAATCGAACTGAAGGATGCACAAGCAAAGCAATGCTTAATGCTGGAATGTCTGGTCAAATTGAAATCTTTAAATTCCTCAAAGACAATCGAACAGAAGATGTTCCAATTGATCTCATTTATCATATTTGTATAAAGGGTCAATTAGAGATGATTCAATACCTTTATGAAACTGGAGAGCCAGATGAATATAATTGGTCTTGGAAACTGATGGATTTCGCTGTTCAATCATCGAACCTCGATATGGTAAAGTGGATTCATCAAAATACCACATTTAGTAGTATTACAAATACATTTGATATTGCCTTGTGTAAAAAAGACTTTGAAATGGTTCAATATCTCGTTGACAACAAGCTTTGCACAAATGATTTGGAATCAACTACTCTTATTCAAGTAGAAAATCCATCTTCATATATTTTTATCATTGAAATAGTTGATTGGTTAATGAAATCAAACTTATTGGATAAATCTAAACTTGTTAAATTGGCAAAAAAATGTTATACACCAACTTTAAAGGCATTTTTCAAAGATTATAATTCAAATCGAAAAAAAAAATAGTTCAATAAAAATATATATTGTTTAATTCCATGGAAAAACAGAAGCAAATTAATATATTGATAATGAAATTGAATCTCTAGATTGTACTTTTATATACATTTTTACAATATTCCATTTGATTAATTTAATAAAGTGTCTTTATATTGAGACAGGATTTACAGGATTGATTTGCTTGACTCGGATGATGACCATAACTCTATCTCGAGTGAGAAAACTTTGACAGCTCTGGTTCCATCTACCATAAATAACTACTAAACCAAGAATGACAATTATAGAAGTCTAGCACCACTAAACGCGCGCTTAAAGTCACAAACCAATGCTAAAGATGCTACTGCTGCTACTACTAACCACTATCTTAGATGCTGTCGATCGTTTGATGTCTGGCAATCATAGGTTGTAATTCTAGAGGTTGGTTTGATCTGTTATAATATGCCACCACTACAATGAGATCAATCCGACCAAATGCACCTGTCATTACCTTCCGAGGAATAGAAACTAACCGCTCCAACTTCCTTTTTCCTGCTGCTCTTGAACAGGCGTACGAGCATCGCCGTCACTCAGAGCCAAGTTGCCATCATCAAGTAGTACGTGTGTTCAGCAAGTTATTCTATCATTTACTTGAGTTCCGTGGCAGATGTTGATATAGGGGTCACACTGAGGATGATGATCAGTTATCATCATTATTTCTATTAAATGTTCTTGACATCTATGATAATAATTGGTTAGAAATTGTCAAATCTCTATTTAAAAGTATTGTAGTTATAAGTCTAGAACTAATTTATAATAAACTTCTCTATATGCCTTATAGCTCAAAGTCAGTTAAAAGAAAAATTGTTTGTTCAACTGTTCGATCTTATAATCTTAAAAAAAAACACAACATTTTATTAATCAAAAATGATCATTTGTGTTGTGAAAATTTATTTCAACATGCTAACAAAACTCTGAAGTTCATCCAATTATTTAAATTTAAATAAACACTGTTAATAAAATATAAATAAAATAAATAAAATAAAATAAAATCTGTAACAACACCGTAGCTGAGGAACCCCAGATTATTTAATATTCAGCATTGAAGATCTATTCTTGTTCAATGCTCTTCTTTGAATCTCTTTTAAGCAAATATCAATAAAATTAAATAAATAAAATAAAAAAAAGGCGCCAAAGGGGTTAATAAATCTAAAAAAAAAAAGTGATTTATTTATACTAACGACACTTTACTTTACGTTCAAATCATAATCATCAAATACTATGAATCTTTAAACTATTTAATGATACGCAACCACAACATTCTTTGGATCACTAATGGGCACTTCGATCTATTCAATCATCACAAATCGATTCGAAAAATATAACTCTTGATAAAAAAAAATAATTTCGTGCAAGTCTTTTTTTTTTTTTTTCTAAATATAAGATAATCAGAAATCAATTCTTTAATTCGATAAATACACCAATTTGTTATAGTCATTTCAAACAAGAGGAAACGGTTTTTTTTTTTCACTTTAAAAAAAAAAATGGAGTCTACCTATCAGATTACACTATTATTTAGATTTAGTTTAGAAAATTTATAAATAGAAATTATAAATAGATTTCATAATGAAAAATAATAATATTTATTTATTATTAGTATTATTATTAATACAATACAATGGTTACATTATCAATGCAATAACCATTGATTATATGTCACCACTAAGAGGATATCTCGATGGAGGAAATATCTTTAAAATAAACTGTGCCGAATTTCCATCAACTCCTATCCTTACTGTTACCAGCTTGGATGGTACCAATGAAGCTATATTCACTCTAAACTCTGAATTTATTTCATACTATGAGTGGGTTGTACCTTCATCGCCTGCTATGAAAAGTGGAAAGAGAAAGAGAACAGAGAGTGCAGTCTTTAGAATGAAATTCACTGGTGATCCTGGATATTATATGGAATCAACATTTATTTATGTTTGTAAGTATAATTATTAAAGTTTCAAATTTAATAATATTAATATTAAAATTAAATAATAACTATCTATAGCACCAGAAATAGTATCATTTAGTCCATCATATTATTATTCTGGTGCAAATGGAAAGAAGCTAGAGATTGATGGTATAGATTTAATAATTGATAAAGATGATATCCCCACTGTTTATATTGGTAGACAACAATGTACGGTGATTCAAAAGAAACCAAATAATATCCAGTGTATCATTCCAACTTGGCCAAAGCCAGCCTCTGTTACCATTTCAGTAAGTCTCCATGGTACTGTTACCGAAGCCAATAGTTTGTTCAGCTATATATTGCCAGCAATAGAATCGATTTATCCTGGAAGAATTGCATCCGGTGCCTCCAAGAATATTATTATCAAAGGAGATATCGTTGATAATGCAGGACTACCAACTTCCATTGTTACCATAGGTGGAAAGAGTTGTACAGATATCAAATTTGATGAAATAATGTCGGAAATCAGTTGTAATACACCAGTATTTGATATTAAAGAAGGTACTCATACATATTATGATATTCAAGTTTCTGTTAATGGTGTAGATATAACATGTAATCCAAAATTAATGATTTATCGTAAAGTATTATTAATTTATTAAATTATTTTTCAAATATATATTAATTTAATTATCATTCAGATCCTGTTATTGAAAGTATTACTCCAGATGTTGGTATTGCAAGTGGTACTACCGATGTTGTTATTGGTGGTAGCTATCTAGATGATGTAAGTGAAGTATTCTTTGGAACACAACAATGTAAAGTATACAAGACTATTACATCTACATCATTCACTTGTGAAGCACAACCATTCACTCTAGAAATGGGGGAGACTCATAGATCATTAGATATCCAAGTGTATATTGGTGGAGGAACATTTAAACCTGAAGGTGGAGCTAAATTTATTTATTATATTCCAGTTATTACATCGATTAATCCAACTCGTTTATTAGCAGGAGTTGTCTCGAAACTCACTATTATTGGAGATGGATTCTTTGATGGATTATCTGTAATCATTCAGGGTAATACCTTTGAAAGAGATTCTATCAATAAAGATCCAACTACCATCTATACTGAAATAAATACGAATCTACTATCCGTTGGAAGACAAAGTTTAAGAGTCAGTAGCTCTGGTGGTGATACACCAGAAGTAGATATCTTTATTGTTGAACCATCGATTTCCAGTGTCGATACACTTAGAGGCTACTTGAATACATATACCCCAATAGTAATCAAGACATCAGATATCCCAACAACCTATCTCGATTATCCAGAATCTATTCTATCATTCAAGATTGGTAATCAATTCTGTTTGTATTTAATGGTTACCGATACCGATGAATATTCATGTACAGTTCCTCCCGGTGTTACTGTTGGAAGTGAATATATATCAATTATTTATAAAAACACTGAATATATTACCAATACCCAATTCACTTACTTTGTACCCGATGTAACTGGACAATCTCAATCAAGTAATATTCCTTTGGGTGGAGGACAATTGGTTATTGATGGAACCGATCTAGATGTTGTTAGTTATGTGCTGATTGACAATGTACGTATTGATCCAACCAATTGTATGATAGGATCCACTCGAATATCATGTACCATTCCAAGACATTCTCCTGGTAGTTTCGCTGTTGACATGGTTGTCCATACTTTAAAAGCCGACTTTACTCATTCCACTGGAACTAACATTGCTTATCAAGGTCCATCCATTACACAAGTCTCTCCAAGTCAAGGATCAAAACTACAACCAAATACAATCACACTTACAGGTGTAGGATTTGGAAATAATATCAATTTGATTGCTATCAATGTTGGTACACAAGCTTGTATCAATATTGTTATAATCATTGCAAATTCCAAAATTCAATGTGATATCCCTGCAATGGATCCTGGTGTTTATCAAGTAGTAGCAAGTATCAGACCAAACACTGCAACACTCATTGGTGTGGAGTCTGTTAATGATATAACCTATCGATCTTATTCATTATCTTGTTTGGGTAGACCAAATCCTGATGGTACAAATAGTCCAGTCGATTGGTGGTTCATCTACAAATTGTCAAATAAAATGAATGCAAATCCCAATGAATATCTCTACATGGATGCAAATTCCGAGAGATTAGAGAGATATCCAGATCTACAACAGAGTGCTGCCAACAGCCTGAGTCCATTGGAATCAACTTTTCTACAATACAATCATTACAACTACATGTTCTTTAACGATCAACCAGGTAATAGAAAGAGTACTGGAGAAAGAGATTTGTCTCGTAAAGTTTATGTTCATGGTCATTTCAAAGGAATGACAATGGTATGAATATATTTAATATTAATTTAATTTAATTTATTAATGTAATTATTTAGTTTGAAGATCCAGATTTAACATTTAATATAAATGGTATACATATTCAACATAGTAATCCATATTTCCCATCTTATACATCGCCTACAGCTACAGATTATAATGAACCATCCGACGGATTAATATTCTTGGGTCTTCCGGATTTCAATCAATATTTCTTCTGTTATTCCTTTGCCAATTTCGATAATGTTATGGAATATATTTCAAAGAACGATGGTAATCTATTAGACTCTTATCGTGTTCCACCTCTATCGACTTGGACAAACAATGAAAGAAATCGGTATCCATTCTTCTATGATTATATGGCATATTGGATAACTCTACCAGATAGAGTTCCTAATGTTGGTATAGATCCACCTGTAAAATCACAACATGATTTTTCAGAAGAATGTAGATCCGTGGTTACCTCCCAAACCGCAATTGAAAATATTTGTTGGTGGCGATCACCAGTACCAATTCCAATTGGGAATATCAACCTAATTTACTTTATGAAAACATCAATCAATACCCCCAGGCCCAAATTTATTAGTGCAACAGCTACTAGACCTCTTACCTATTCTAAATATATCATGTTGGGAGGAAAAAACACACCAAAATATGATGGTCCTGATCTATGGATGATAGTAGCTGATTGTTTCCAAAAGAAATTATTTATTGAAATGTAATAGTTGACAGTTTTTTTCAAATGAAATGGTATTAATTTATTCATTTATATTTAGGTTCTATGCTATTGGACAAAGACAAATGATACCAAATGAACAAGTTATGAATGTTGGATTAATGGAACTTCCTCAGTATTTAGCAAGAGCAGGTCCTTACTCTTCTTATAAATTAATAGGCTCAAAGAATGAGGTAAAAAAAAAAAAAAAGAATTAAAAAATTATTTAAAAATAATGTTACTAAATATTACTTTTTCAATAGCATGCCAAAATCGGATTCCCAATGTATCCAGAATATGATAATCCTTTCGCTGCAAATGGTAAATAATATATAATGATAATCATAGTTTGAGTTTGATTGGAAAGAGTGATGACGCAGTAACCACCAAAAAGATGTTTAAGTTTATTTTTTCACTCAAAAAGACTTGATGTGGTGATTCTCAAAAAAAGAGGAACTGGAACATGCAATAACAAACTATTCAATAAGATAGAAATTCTAAAAACATTAATATATTCTAACCATTTATTTATTTAATATAGAAAATTATTTTTGTGTTGGTGATAGTAATAGACATAGTGGACAGGGTAAACGTGGAGGTGGTGCAATTTGTGTAAGTATATAAACTTTAATCAAATCAAACAATTTCTAACAATTACTTTCTATTATCATCGTCTAGTTCCAACATCCAACTCTTGTTTATCAATTTAATAGAATGGTTAGAACTTATAATACATTCTTGAGTCCAAATTTAATTTCAAAATTTGGGTAAGTAAATTTATTTACCAAAAAAAAAAATATATAAAACTAAAAAACAATCAAATCATTTTTTTCAATATAGTGAAACTATAAATTTATTTTCGACCATTGATCAACCAATTAAAGTAAATAGACCAGCCACTTGGACAAATAATATTCTTGTAGAAGTAAAGGACGCTATCAATGGAAATTTATATTCTAAAAATCCAAGATATTTCGAGAGTATAACACCTTTAACATTTGTCAATCCTCATGATGTTGTACTCTTAATTCAATCATTAAGAACTTCAAGAGCCAATGTTGTTCCAGTGACAGAGATTTCAGTGGTCCCGACAGTACAGACAATGCCAGAACAAGACATTATGTATTATGTTTCCAACGATATTCTATCACTTCATTATGTGGCTTTCGATCAAGCTATTGGATCAATTTGTAATTACAATCCAATGATTACAGAATGCACAAGAAATGTTGCTCGAACACAAACAATTGCTCGTGTTGCAGTTCCTTTGGTTGCACCAGATTTCCCATCAGCATATAATCAACCTTATGGTAATATGATGACTACAAGAGGCTATGATCTAGCTACAAATGTAGATTTCCATATCATTAGATTTATTGATAGATTCATGGCATTGTTACCAAATGCAAGACGTAACTTCTATCCAATATTTATAAACACTGCACTCATTTCTGCTAGATTCGATACCAACATTGGTATTATTAGAAGATCAAGTGATATGTGTGGAGAAGAAATTGCATATTTCATGACACTACAATATATCTATTATCAATCTGGCTTTACAAATGAAAATGATCTTACCTATAAAGTTGGAATTAATGATCCAAATTGGAGTAATGGTATTATTCTGGCTATATCAAAATATTTATATAATGTAACCATGAAATTTAAAAGATCTCATTTTCTTTTTCACATGAATTATCTTGTAATGAAAACCACATATCTTGATATCATTTTATTTAAATTATTTATTATTTACTAAATTTATTTTTTTTTTCAGTCAATAGATATAAGTTTTAATGAAAACTTTAATCCATGTATGTCAAATTTATTTGATAACTTTCCAAATATTGATACTTATTCAGAGTAAGTGGAAAAAAAACAAATATACACTTTACTTTAATTAATTAATTCTCATTATTATTCTTAGTGATGAAAATATGGATACACCAACTCAAGATCAATTAGTTAGAAGAAGTGCAGCTGCTGCTTGGGATTGGATGAAACAATCATACTCAAATGGTCGTGGAGGTTCAACTGACAGAGTAGATAATTCTGAACAAATTCCTGTAAATGTTCTGATGCAAGTTTTAATTGATGTAAAGCAAATAGGTTTTAATTCAATGAGTGATCTAAGAAGATATTTCAGTAAATCCTATGCTTCCAATATCAACTTTAACGATATCCTTTATAATAATTTTATTATAAAGAGACCTGTTATAATTTCAGATACAGATATGCTCCTTATTACAATGATGTTTCCCAATAGTTTAATGAGACCAATTACTACCACTCTAGAGGATTCATCTGAAGATATCAATGAATCAATTCAAAATCCATTGTTTATCAATGAAAGAATGGTTAAATCAGGAGTACAACAATTGTTTTCAGCAATATCATCAATGACTTTTCCCACTATGAATCAATCAAGTATCATAGCAATGACATCATATCAATTTGAAAGATTGGAATTGGCAATAGATAAATGGTTAACAATCAACAATCAAAGTAGTGCAATCCAAACTTTAATTTTAGATCCACAACATCAATATCGTAATCAACCTATAAAGTTTATTGATGAATTAAATAGAGATCAAAGTGGCAATAGTATAGATTTGGATGTAAAAACAACAACCTCTGGAAATAGAGTGGCTCTATCGACCCCACTATCAATATCATCTATCACCTTTATTCTCGAAAGTATTCTAGTAAGCAAAGCAAAATCAAAAAAGTTTGGTGATTTAGAGATTTTCTATCTCTCAAAACCAGATGATTATAATGGTGAAATTTCCCACGATTACGATGGAATGGTAATTGCAACTTTAAATTCCCTGCTATGTGATATTAGAATGATCAGTGAATCCGATTTCCTCTCTGATCAATTTGATTCGCTGTGCATTGGAATAGGACCAATCATCACCTCTGTCGATCAAAATACTGGTTCTACCTCTGGTGGGTTTATAATAACTATTAATGGTTTAAGATTTAATTCATCATTATCAATTTCCATTGGTGAAAATCAATGCTTAACTTGTGAATTGATTTCTGTTAATCAAATTACATGTCAAGTTCCAAGTGGTTCTGGATTAAACAATCAAATTTTACTTTCAACCTCACAAACAATATTCAATCTACAAAGAACCAAATTCCTTTTCTCCTACAACAACCCAACAATTGAATTAGTTGAACCAAAGATTATTGATAGTGTAGGTGGTGATATTCTAACCATTTCAGGATCAAACTTTGGCAATGACCTAACCAATATTAAAGTATTGATAGATGATAGACTTTCTTGTTGGCCAATCTACAGTATCTCTCATCAATCAATTACATGTCAAACACCATCTGCAATTGGAGAATATAGATCAATATCAGTTATTGTCAATGGTCAATCAACCAAACAAACCATTGAAAATCTAGATATCCAAACATTTGGATATACTGGTCCAAATATTGTAGCTGTTATCCCAGAATCTGGCGATCCAATGGATACTATTGTAGTTTTAGGTTATGGTCTTGGAAGTGTTCAAGATTCAGATCTTCCTCCAGTATTATACATTGGTGATTCTCAAATTCAATTGGATAACTTTACAGGCGATGGAATCGAATTCTTGTTGGATTATGAAACTTCTACACAACCAATGACGGTTCAAGTGGGTGACCAATCATTTAACAGTGAATTTACATATTATCAACCTATCATATCGTTATTTAACAATTCAAAGATTGGTACATCTGGTGGTCTCATTCAATTGGATGGATTTGGATTTGGACTATCATCTTCTGATATAAACTCTCTTTTCAATGGTAAAGAAATTGAATGTAATCCTTTCGATCAATTTATAGAATGTGAAATTCCACCTGGAATTGGTACAAACTATCAACTCTCAATTTCAGTCTCTGATCAATCCATTGACTTTTCAGATATCAACAATACCATTTCTTATCTACCTCCAACAATAACTGGTTATTCAATATTCGATACCAACAAAATTCGAATATTAGGTAATAACTTTGTACCAGAAGGAGTTTTATTTGACACGGAAACATCATACATTAATATAAATCTCAATGATGAAACCGAAGAAATTTGTACTTCATTTATAAGTGACCAAATGATAGAATGTCAATTTATTTATATACCAACATCAATTCAAGTTTTCGTAGATGGACAAAATTCAAATATCATAAATTTAAATTAAATTTTTAATACAATAAAAAATTATTATTTTATTATTTATCAACATGTTTCTTGATTAACAATGGTAAAAGTGTAAATCTTTTATACTTTTTTGCAGCTTTAACTCCAATTTTGGAACAACCTTCTGTTTTATTCTTTATTAACCATTTAACAGTTTTGTATGTCCATGTATAACTGCCAAGTCAAAAGCAGCAGGAGAATAACCCTCTGTTCTATTTTCATGAAGCCACTTTACAACTTTTAAATGATTTCCAGATGCTGCATTATCCTTGCATGATGTTGAACAACCCTCTGTTTCTGTTATTCTGAATCCAAAGAATCAAATTCTAAATCGCCTGTGGATCCAGCACAATCCATTGCTTGTCGAGTACATGTTTCAATATTCTCATGGAACCATTTCACAATTAGGAAATGTCTTTTGATAATCCAAGATATGAATAAGATTTCCACGGATTGCTTGGAAATACATTGAATTGTTTTTTCTATCTTTTTTCTATTTTTCGCAAACCATTCAATCATGTCCAATGGTCTAGCGAAAGCTGCAAAATCAAAGACTCAATGTGATTCGTAGATGATTTTGGTGGTACTTTGGAAGAGAAATACTTTAACAATTCAATATCTCCACTAAATACAGATTGAAGCATGGCATTTGCATAGTTGAATTGATCTTTAAAATCATCTAAACTCTCGAGATATTGAATGATATCCATCTTTCCAAAATTGGCTACTTGCAAAAGATCCTCTCTCACATCATCGTCACTGTCACAATCATCCACCGGAAAGCATAACAATTCTCTTTTGATCTTTAAATCTTCAACGAAATACTTTAATATATCTAAACTACCTGCTGTAACTGAGTTTTTTAGAATATAAAAAATAGAATCATCCTTGATTGTATTGATTGGATTTGATTGAAGATATTGTATTAAAAGTTGTAGATATCCACTTTGGATTCGTAACTAACTCATCCCATTTATATCTTTTCTCTGGTATAGTTTTACTAGAATAAGATGAAACATTTCTAAAAATACATTTATTTAAAACAAAATTATTAAAAATAGATAAAAATAGTGATTTATCCTTTTATTTTGTTATTTTTACTAAGTAATGAAATTGACCATATCTGATTAATACCCATTTAGAATATCTATATCATTATTTTCAATTATTAATTATCTTAAAATAATAATATAAATAAATATTTATTTAAAAATTAAAAAAATCAACAAATTTTGACCAGGGATAAAAAAGAATTATATCTTTGTAATTCCAATTACCAAAAATCTGAAAACCATTAAACCTTAAGCATTAACAAAAATCAAAGTCTCTTCATCCCGAGATTAAGAAAAGAATAACAACTTTTAGAATAATCGAAGAGACACCCACCAAATATTTATGACAATGCTGTTTTTTTTCTTGATTGGTAACAAAAGTGTGATAGTTTTTTTATTTGCAGCACCATCTTGACATGGTATTAACCAATTTATTTATCCCAATACCAGAGTTTTAATAAAATCTAAAGACTCTTACTATTTTATCATTAACATTTTTGTTGAAAATAAAATTTTAAAAGATCAAAAAAAAGAATTTTCAAAATAAAAATTTTATTTAAATAAAAAAAACATAAATTTTGGTTCGGTTCATCACTCGGTTCTTTAATATTTTTCGCACATAAGATGACCTTTGCCAGATATTTTTTTAAGATCCTCACTTTTAACACACAATTGAGTGTTTTTTTTTTTAAATGTGATGATTGATTGCTGAGTGCATTGAATTATAACCACATTGTGTTTATTCCTTAACAATCATTCATTCACTTATAAGATTCAAATATCAATAAATAACTTATATCTTTATTATAATTAGTTATTTATAAAAATATATTATATCTATATATATATTTATATTATTTTGTTTTTAAAAACAATTTGTAGAAATATCATTATAACACAATGAAAATGAATCAAATCAACAATGATCATAGTAGTAGTAGTAGTTGTAATGGTAATCATGATTATACAAATATAATATATAGAGTATCTTTCACCAAGATGCACGGTGCTGGTAATGATTTTGTTTTGTTCAAACGAGAGGATATAAAGAGAACCATTGTTTCAAACAAAGCTAACGGTCACGGTCATACCAATGGTAATAGCAATGGTAATAACAATGGTAATGGTACTAGCAATGGCAATGGGAACTATTCTTATGTACCGTCATTAGATGAACTCGCCTATATATCTAAATCGATTGCAAACAGAAAGCTGGGTGTAGGATGTGATCAAGTGATCATTGTATCCGATTCACCATCATCGAAATCAGATTACGAAATGTTGATATTCAACAACGACGGTAGTCAAGTAAGTCAATCCTTTTTACTATTTTGTTTTATTTTTAACCAATCAAAAACAAACTAACACCCTTTGCTCTTTTTTTTTTTTTATGTTTTTTAACATGTGTTTAGGCTATGATGTGTGGCAATGGTGTAAGGTGCTTCTCAAAATATATAACAGACAATAGAATACCATCTATCTACAATGAAGACGGTAGTATAAATTCAGATAGAGTCTATCACGATCGACCTTCACAGAGAGTACATACACTCTCTGGTATCATCATTACATATCCACAAAAACAACAACATCAACATGAAGGAGTAGAAGAAGTAGAAGAGAATGGAAAAGATAATCATAACAATAATCATAATAATAATCTAAACAATAATACTCAACAACAACAACAATTAAACAAAATTTTATCATTAACTAAATTTATTAAAGTCAATATGGGAACACCTTATATTTTGAGGACTAACGAAGAGAGATCACAATTGTTGGTGGTCGACAATCGAAGTGTAATGAACATCAACACCAAGAGCATTCATTTTATGAAAACAATTTATGTTACACCAACAGTGTCATTGCGCTGTGTATTAGTATCAATGGGTAATCCTCATTGTGTTATCTTCCTGAAGGACAACCAAGGTTCAATCGCCGACGAGTCGCAGCTAGAATCAATGGACATCTCTTACATCGGTAGAAAGTTGGAATCCGATGGATTATTTATAGATAGTTGTAATGTTGAATTCGTTTCGGTAAGTAAGAGTATGAAAGGGTAATCAAAATCAAACATTTAAATTAACTTTATTTTTTGTGATTAAAGGTTATTGCACAGAATAAATTAAAAGTTAGAGTTTGGGAAAGAGGTGCCGGTGAGACGCTAGCGTGTGGTACCGGTGCTTGTGCTGTGGCAGTTGCATCTATACTAACAGGAAAGTCGGTAATATCCGAATCGATTTCTGTGGAGATGCCAGGTGGTGAGTTGATCATCGATTGGAACAAAGAAGATAACAAAGTTTACAAAACCGGTCCTGCAACAACAGTATATAGTTCCGAAGTTAATATAATATAATAACTAACAAACACACACCTATATATATTTATATAAATGGCTCCTTGTGCTAAAAAGAAAACATGTTACAATACAATAGAAAATAAAATAATATTTACTTTTTTATAAATATAAAAATATACAATTAAGTTGTTGTTCTTTCAAATTTTATTTACATTTTATCTTTATTTATTTATATATATTATTATTAATATACTTTCTTTCTTAATTGTATTATTATTATTATTTTGATTATTTTGATGTTTTATCTTTTAAGTTTGTTATCCACTTTTCTTCAGGTACAAGATGTGACCACATTGGTCTATAATCAATCTTTATATTCTTCATACATTCTCTTATTACATCGGCATGATCTAAATTAGTATATTATATTGATAAATAATGTGTTAGAGATACATTCTGTTTTGATAAAGTAACAAACAAAACATACCAGGTGGGATTAGTTTATCTTTACTTAAAACCAAATGTCCTTTTTCATTTCTTTCACAATATTCTATTGGTTTATCTTTATTATTATCCTCTACCTTATTATTGTTGCTATTGTTATTATTATTGTTATTGTTATTATCTGTTGTTGAAAAAGGATCATCTTTATTACTTGGGAAATAATCGACATCGCTAAATAAAAGATTGTTTGTGTTTACTTTGAGATCGCTGAATCCACCGTCGTCATTGCCAAACTGATTGGTATCATGAAAATCATTTGAATGTGATGTGAAATCTGTAAACTCTTCATTGAGGAATTGATTATTCAATTCGATTTGTCTTCTAATCTCTTCTTCTCTGGATCTAGCTGCTGTTTCATAGTGTTGATCATCGTTATTATCATCATCCACTTCAGATGCTGCATCATCATGATCCGGTATCAATTGAAATCCTGTATAATCAGCTTAAAATATAAATATTTAGATAACCGTTAGTTTCATATATCTTATTAAATATAATCCTTTTTAAACATAAAAACTAACTACATACTTGGTTCACTTGTATCACTATCATTATCTTCATATTCATTATTATTGTTATTATTATTGTTTGTAGATTTCTCTTTTACAACCATTGTATTGCTTATAGTATATTTATATTAATGTATAAAAAGTTAGTTCAAGTAAATTTCTAATGTTTAATATTAATTTTCTAAAATGAAAGTTCACTAGTTTTTTTTTTTTTTTTAATCTATTAAGACTAAGTTTAACAACTTGTTGTTGTTCTAGAACTATGATTAATTATTGTTAAAGATTCGCAAACTATATTAAACATGAACATGAAATTTAATAAAATACAAATATATATTTTATTATTATACAATAGATCCCATATAAAGATAAATATATTAATTATTACAATTGTGTTATGTTGTGTGTTGGTACTATTATTATTATTCGTTGTTTATAAACATAAAGTTATTATTGTCTTGATTGTTCTAATTTCCTTTGTTTTTCTAAATCATCAAGGTCGGAAAGTAATTTTTGTTTCTGTGGTTTCTTGAGGTGATTGGCAACATTGACGATACCGATGACCTGTTTGATGGTGAATTCAGATTCTCTTGCCAGGTTCAAGATGTCATTCTCCGGTAGGAAGTAAGCTTTAATGTATTTGTCGACGTGTTGAATGTGTGGAATTGGTTTCATCGTTGTCAGTAGTTCGAGGTTGCCCTGAAGGTTCTTTAGATCCATCGTCATCAGAGTACGACCGTGGTTATTACACTTTTTGATCTTTGAATACGCATCTATCAGTGAATCCATCAAGAACGTAATCGTATTGACCCAGAGCAAATTCGTAACCTTTTGTGTTAGCGATCCACTACGCTTTGAGATTTCATTCAAATGTCCAGAGAATCCATGGAATATAATCGATATCTGTTTTACATAGGGACTTGGATCGGGTGGTGCATCTTTTAATTCCCATCTCATACTTGAAATCGATACATTTAATTGATCGAACTACAAATCAATCATGATTATAGTTAGCTAATTATTCTCTGTTTAATTATATTTAACTATGTAGTAGTTGTAGTTATAACTTACGTTTAATATTTGTGAAGCAATGTTTTTATAGCAAACATTTCTTAGTGCACTTACAACACTAACTGTATCCGAATAGAATATCGATATAGATTGTTTCTTTTCCTCTGGAATTAGATTCTTTAAATAATAATAGTTAATAACTAGATTTGTTGAATTTGATATAGATTATCGCGATTACATTACCATTACGAGTGGACTGGCTTGCATGATTGCATCTACTAAGAACATCATTGATTCCAAACCGATGACACGATACTCTAAACCATAGAGTGTCTTTGGGTTTGTCAGATCTACCAATTCCGATACTTTCGGTAATACCCATTGGATAGAAATGGCATCGTCGTTATTGCTTTCTTTTTGAAGTGCAAGTGTAGGTGGTGATTTACTGTTATCCGATGAAACACGTAGTGAAATAGGTGATGATGTAAGTTTAGATTGGAATAGATGTGTTGTCGATAGTAATGATGATGTATTGGTAGTTGGTACTCCAACAAACTTGGCTTTCAATCGTTGCATTGTTTTCTTTAAAATTGGACTCACTAAAATTATAATGTTAATAGTTAGTTATTTAACATGTTAAATAAAGAATGAAGTATAACAATATTATTATTATCTTACCATTTGATATCTCAGCATTATCAAAAACATCGGAATTTGTACATTCACCAAAGAATGTAAACACCGTGTAGACATAGTATTCCAGTAGTTGTGAGATGGCTGTGAAGATTGGATAGGAGAGTTGCTTGAGGATCTTCATCATCTGTAGGTACTTTCCGATGAGACGAATAACATTGATGGTTGTCGATGATAACAGCGGTGAGTTTGTGTTGCTGAGATCTCCGTTCTGGTCGGCGGCACTTCCGTTTCGACTGCTATTCTTTAGGTTATCACCGGCAGCCTCTGATAGTGTCTTTCTTCCCTCCGTAACATGGAATGGATTGCCATCTACTTTGTAACGTTCGAAATAAGCTGATCTATGTACTTCGGGATCTAAATTAATGGTATTCTCTGCATTCATAATTAAAAACGGTGAAATCAACGGTGTTGTCGCTGCTGCTTGTTTACCACTACTACCGTCGGCTGTAGCGGTATCGCCAATCAAAGCTTTCATCGAATTAATTACACTTCCAAACTCTGCTATATTCATAACGGTAAAGTCATTCGGTAGCGGAACCTTGTGCCACATTTCATTCTCCAACATAATCCTAAGATCCTCTATTCTCTGCTTGTGGAAATGTTCAAAGTATGCAAACGATTGCTCCTTAATCGTAGTCTTTAACAAATTAGAATCCTCTGTAGAATTTAAAAACTCATGTCCAACCTCTATAAACTGATTCGTAGATTCTAAAACCTTTAAGAATTCTTCTATCTATTTATATATATAAACATAGTTTAGTTTAGCAAAGATTAGTTTCATTTGTATTCAATTCAATTGATTTAATAGTTAACTATTTACCTTAAAAGAAGGACTACATGATCCTAATAGCAGTTTAACTTGTTTCTGTATTGTATTCCACATATTCTTTTTAAAGTTGAACAACAACTTGTGTATATCGATATAAAAATCTTTATCTGGAGAATCAGGATTCTTACTAAAAAAGTAGTAATGTAATAATAATAATTAGTAAATAAACATATTAATTTGAAAAAGTGTTAATCTATTTAAACACTTACTGTAATGTATCTAATATCCACATTCTCATTTGATAGTGTGATGACATCAAGTCAGATAGATGTTCGAGAATACCTAATAATACATTTACATATTGATCTTCTTTTACACATCTACACATATCTGCAAACATCATACTAAAATAATAAATAAACAAATAAAGATTTAGTTAATTTTCTTCTTTTGTTGTAGTTTATAGATACGTTACGTTTTAAATTCTTCAGGATTTGCAGTGGTATTGTAAAGATGTGTTTTCAATATCCTCTTTGTATGATCATCTATGTTTGTTATGAAATTCTGGAATATCTTATCTTTTAATCGTTGTTTCTGTTTGAGATGAATGTATCCATGTATAACACTCTCGAAAGTATCTTCATTAAACATATGACATATCTCTGTGAATGATGAATCTATCTTGTCTAAAATCAATTGTGTAGATGACTATAATTATAATAATAATTATTATATATAAGTATATATCTTTTATAATTGTATTATTATTAATAACTATTGAATGACTGTTGTAATAATTACCTCAAAACCAGCAGTTATATTAGATATACATTCATAGTGAGTGGATGATATTATCATATTGGAGATATTGGATGCCAATTGAATTGCATTTGGAAAGTCGTGTTGATTCAATAGCCGATCGATCTTTCTTCCTGCTTCGTTGATATCTCTGATTCTCTCCAACTCTCTCAGGATGTATTGATAGATCTGTTTCTTTCTGTGTTTCTGCAGCAGAATGAATCCAAATGCAGTCAAACTCTTTTGTACTTCATCGAGATATGTCTTACCAGACTTACACATCACCGCAGAGTGTGTAAGATCCTGTTCAATCTCATAAACCTGTGACATTCCTTCAACTATTATTCACATAAAATAAACAAAACAAACAATTAGTTGATATGATATGATATTTACTAAAATGAGAACAATATTTGGTTATGTTAACATACCAAAACCATTATAGCTTTTCATAATCAAGTTATTGAATCTCGAGTCAACTGCTTCGTGATATCCATAGATCTTTACCGATAGTTGATCTATCATATCGATACCTCCGTCCGCACCGATGGAATCCAATAGACTTCCGACATTGAAATCATCTGTGAAATACTCTTTATCTATACTTTCAATGATTCTTGATTCTTTACTCAACTAATTAATTAGTTGTTTTAAAAATTAGATAGTTAGTTTAGTAACAACAATAATAAACTTGTACAGATAGATATTAGTAGTAGATTCATAGAGAATCTACATTAATGAATGTTGTTCTTACTTCTTCTGGTGTTTTCTCAGATAGATATGTTTTATTTGGTTTACGAGCAGCCAACAGTTGAGTTACCGATGAATGTGTATTGAGATTCGATGTTATCGCAAAGAGATCTACTTCACTCTCATTCTTTCTCAGATTGTTACTGCTACCATGATTACTGTGCAATCCACTACCACTACTTCCTAGACTACCACTACTACTTCCTCTACTTAAATTGTTATTATTATTGTTATTGTTATCCATTTTATATAATATCTATATAAAATGCAAAACAATTATAATCTCATAATAGATATTAATTAAAAATAAAAACAGTGAAATTCTTCCATGACACAACAGGTTCACCAACTTTTTCCTTTTGCAAAAAAAAAATTTTGGAAATTGTTAGTTTTGTTTTTCCAAATGAGGAATCAATGATTGACAAACACAAATAATAATTACATTAGTTGTGGTTGTAGTTAAGTTAAATGAATAACTTATTGATATAAGTTATAGTTTAAATATATACAAAAATTAATTTTTGTTTTTTTTTTTTTATTATTTATTATATACAAAGTAAAGATAGTATTAAAGTTTTTAAAACTAACTACTGGATGACTATACAGGATCTACAATTTTTTAGGCTTGTCAATCATCTTCAATGTAGTCAATAAGATGATCACCCTCTTCGAATCTAAGTTGGAAATCAACTTTATCACTCTCTAGCACATAGTAGAGTGTTTTGGCGCAATGTGCCTTCTGTGCGTAGTGCTGAATCTTTTTATCGGTGAAAAGCGATGATAGACTTGTAGAGTATCGATGAACTTCACTCTTTGGAATCTATTTATATTAAAATTTTAGTTTAGTTGTTGGATTGATATTAAATTAGTTTAAACAATCATTGATTGATTTACCTTTTGCTTTAAGAATAATCCCGCAACCGATCTCAATGTTTTAGGTTTACTTCTCATAACAATCGGTGTCTTTGATAGATCGTCATAGGCATTCAATTTGACATTGAATTGTTTCTCGAATTTTGTTGATTCCATCTTATGATTGTAACCTACTTTTACAATTGTCTATTTATAGATAATTTATATATATTAATATAAAATCATTTAAAAAGATAATTGTATTATTATATTAATTATATTTTTACTTACCCTTGATGATATTATTTGCTCCAAGATCGGAGGTAAACATCCAATGGACTCTAGATTATAGACAACACAATTGTCATCGTTACAAAGAGTGAGAACATAGAATGTTTGTTCATCGGATGTAATATTCTTATGATACCAATCGAAATCCATTCCCTTTTTTAAAGCAATATTAGATAAGATATTATTAATAAATAATATTAAAACATGTAATAATTTACTTACTAGTTCAATTTTACTTAATAACTGTATATCCATTGGTTTTTCACCATCAAGTAATAACTCGATTGTTTTACTCTCAACCTCTTTCTCATTGGTTATAACGGTTATATTCTTTGGAACTGGATATTCTGGTAACTAAAATTAAATATCAAAATATTAATAAATTGTTATTTAACCTTTCAATGTTATAATATACTTACAGATTCAATAGAATCATGGGTTATTGTATAAAGTGGATCTAATGATTTCTTTATTAAAGTAGATTTAATTTTGTTGGTTGGTGGAGTGTATTCATTCCATTGTTGCATAAATTGGTCTGCTTGGTATGCCTTTACAGCTGTCGAGAAATTAATGAAAATTATATTTGGAAATGATGATCTAAATTGAAATTAATTAGTTTTAGTTTGAAAATTAATAGGATCTATAATAATCTTACTCTGTCATTTTCACTAATATTTTTGAGCCTTGAATTATTTCCTTTGGAAGAATACCCTCAATTAATTCAACTAAATACTAAAGAATTAATATTTAGATTAGATATAAATTATAATAATATGGATTTGTTAATTTTTTAATTACATTGGATTTATGTGTTTCAAATTTCACACAATTTTGAGCCTCCTCACCTTTCTTCATTGGTAATGTAAAGAGTCTTGGCTGGTGATACTGACTGTTCATATCTCTAAGTAGTTGGATATCCTCTTTGATTGTGTGGTGGTGACCATTTTGTTGTTTGAATGGCGATTTCCATTCCTTGAGAATGGTGAAATCGTGTAGATCATCCCACGAGGAATCTACCTGATTCCTCGCGTGTGAGCTCGATGTCCTCAAACCAATAAGGTTTGGATTGGATGAAGTATGATAACCCTGTTTTAAAACTAATTTATGAAAAGGGTCATATTTTTCTGTTTGGAAATGGTATGGTGGTTTTTGTTGGTGTTGAGAAATGGGTATTGTGGTGGTTGTTTTCGAAAATTGGTAATGTGGTTTTGGCGTTGGCGATGACAGATCATTTATTTTATGATTGGATAAATGATAGTCATAGTTTGAGAGTGAGTGACAGGTGGTCGATGGAGACACCCTGAAAATCGGTGCCAAAAGTGGTGTTATTGTTTGATGTTGATGGAGTGATATTCCATTAAATAGCTTTAAAATATTATTCATTTATATTGTTTTATCACTTTGTAATGTAGAGTGTGAGTGTGTCGTTATCTAATTTATAAATTTGACATAATGTAATCTTACAAAATAGAAGATTTACAATTAAAGTCAAAAATTATTAAATTATTAAATTAAATTAAATTGTTTTGTTTTGTTTTATTTTAAGGTTATCTTAATTTAATGAATAAATATATTTAGAAATTAAAAAAGTGTTTTTACTTGAACACTTTAGAAATAAAAACATTATATATAGATTTATATATAAATTATTTTATAAAACCGAATTAATATTATTTATTTATTTGTTTTTTAATAATATTTTTTCTTTTTACTTATATATTTATTGTTTTTTAGATTATTTTAGATTTTTTATTTAAAAACAAAAAAAGAATAACAAATACGGACTTTGTTTTTAAACTTTTTTAAAAGCTTTCTTTGGGATAATATTATTATTTAGGTAATCAAAAAGAAAACAAATTTAATTGTTAAAAATAAAAATCGGAATTTAAATTATTACTACCTTTTTATTTGCAAAAAAGCATTTGGCCATTTGTTGTTATGCATTTTGTGAACTTACCTTCCTCATCAGGTATCAGTGTGTTTTTGAGTTTTTTTTTATTTTTCAATGAACAACAACATTAAATGTTTACTTTTTTCATTGAATGAATTGAATTGTGGTGGGGGTGGTAGGGTCACCTGTTTCAATATTCGAGTCTTTTTTCAAACAAACTAAAAAAACACATTTTTCACCAGGTTGGCTAAAACCAATAAAAATTAATCCTTTTTTAGGTAACAAGGTGAAGGGAAGGAGAGAGAAATTTGATTTTAAAATCAAAATAAATATTGATGTTTTGTTGGTTATTGATTGATGAAATATCGATTATTTAGTTAAAAATTTGAATATATTAGTTAACATTCGTGTGTGGTCAAATGACCAACTTATCTTCTTATTATAGGGATTTACTATTTTAAAATACTTTTAGTTTTAGTATTTATGAAAACCACCAAAACAACATGCAAAGGTAAAATCTCTACAACCCTGAAAGGAAATAACTTGTGAAAATGGTAAAGAAGAGGCCCTCTTTAACTTGTTAAACTAATTTCTTATATTATAACCATTATCATTAAATAAAAAGATACATAAAAAATAATATTATTGAATTTGTATTTCTAAAGTTTTTGAGTTATAATTTATATTATAATTATTATTATCCTATTGTATTGTAGTTACTAAATAATCTACATTATCTTTCCTTTTTTTTAAATCATCCGTGAAAAATAATATGCAAATTTAAAAAATAGATAAACAACAACTTTATATCTTAAGATAGATGTTCAACTCTTCACATAAAATAATGTATTGATGGTCTATAATAATCACATTATCAATTGTGATATAATTGAGTTTAGAAAATGTGATTTGCTTTGAGAATCTAACAACATCTTTCTTTCTTTTCTTCTTTACTTTACATATTCTTGCAATAATGAAAAAATAAAATAAAATAAACAACTAAAACAAATTTAAAAAAAATAGTTTGATTGGTATGTTGTTGAATAAGTGCTATGATGGTGACAGAGTTGCATAGCAAGAATTATTTTTAATTTTTTTTTATTTTGTTTTTTTTTAAAAAATCGATACTTTTTTTTTTTTATACATATATATCCCATTAGTAATTTTATATATAATATACTTAATTTATAATAACAACTACACAGCAAACCATGTTTAATATAACTTCAACAACCTCAACCAATGGAAAAGATAAAGATAAAGAAGAAGCCAACTTTAAGAAGCAAATGGATAATGTCTATTTAACAAGTCAAACTGCTGAAGCTTTTGTAAAGGTATGATAATATGAATTGATATTATATTTATAGTTTGATATATATATATATATATATATATATATGTTACAAATCAAATTTGTAATAGTTCATTATTAACTAACTTTTTAAATAAATAAGGACAATTATTACAACTTTTTAGATAATGATAGATCGGTATGAATAGCACTAACTAGTCAATAATAATAATAACAATTAATAATCATAATAACAATAATAATAAAAGTAAATCAACTAACATTGTTTAACAATAATAATAATAATAATAATAATCATATAACTATAATGATACCTAAAAAAATCACTATAATTAGAAATTATTAAGATTATATAAAGAAAATAGTATGGTCTTGTGGAATGGTACAGAACTGAGAGGTTTAGAAAAGATTGAAGGTTTATATAGAGAATTACCTCCAACCGTTCATAAAGTAGAGTGTTACGACGCTCAATATATATTAGGTATGAAAATGAAAGATGATTAATCAAAGCAAAAGCAATTATAACAACAGAAATTGGTTGGTTGAAAAGATGTTTATTAACATTAATTTAACATTCAAATAGGTACAAATCAACAAGTTACATCAATGATGATTACAGTTTCTGGCAAAGTTACATTGGCTGGTCAGGTTACACATCAATTTCAACAAACTTTAGTTCTGACTAAAGATCCTGTGAATCAAAACTTTTATTTAGGAAATGACTGCATGCGTTTGACTTCTACTTGCACATAAATAGACAACAACAAAACAAGTAAATTAAGAATCAAAAACAAAACGAAACAGATATAAAAGATAAATAAATCACTTTAAATCATCGAATAATCGATGACCAACGTACAACAACCAATCTTCTTTGAATTCTATATACATATTTTATTTAAATCTAATGATTATCTCTTTTTTTGTTGGTTTTTTTTTCTTTATATATTGATATTATTATTATTATTATTGTAATTTACATTTACTCTTATCCTTTTCCTTATCACCTTTATCTTTGTCATCTCTTTGTTGATGTTGCTTGTTGTTATTTGAACGCTTTTTACCTCTTTGATTCTCTTGATTTTGTAATTGTAATGCAACTGCAAAGTCACGACTATAATAAATTAACAATGTTAATAAAATTATCAACTAACTAACTAATTTGTTATTATTTTAATCGTTGTTAATACATACTCTGTATCTGGATTGGCATTAGTTTGATCCTGTAGATATTTAGCATATTCTTCATCAGTCATAAACTCTGTGGGAACAACAGTGGCATCTCCAACCTTGGGAGAATTAGAAAAGTTTGAATATGGATCTATTTTCTGGTATGGTTTGAAATCTGATAATAAAAACTCTGAATCTCCATTTATCTATTGTTATTGTTAAGTTAAGTTAAGTTAAGTTAAGTAAGTAAGTAAATAAGTAAGTGAATTATTACTATAATATAAAAGATAGTTACTTGTGATAATCTTTCCCAAACAACGGGTTCTTGAATGTAACCTTCATCGGTAATCAAGAGATAGAGAGAACCAGCTGATTTGTAGATAGTTGCGAAATGATTGTTTCTAAAAAGTATAGAAAGTTCACCTTCCTTGAGATTAGAATGTAGCTCATACAGTCCGTGATACGATAGTTGTGACGATGTATCCTTCAAGAACTGTGCTATCTTCATATCGACTACAATATCATCCGATGAAAGTCCACTCGAATAACTATCATCTTCCTCTGTTAAAATATCCTTTGGGAATCCATGAACATCTTGTTTTCCTTTATCACTATTATTATTGCTATTGTTATTGTTTGCTGTTGTTGAAGTAGTAGAAGTTGTTGTTGTTGTCGTCGTCGTAGTCGTAGTTGTTGTCGTCGTTGTTTTAGGTGAATTAGATTTCTTAGGAATAGGATCAAATTCATCGTAAACCTCATCATCATTATCATTATTACTACTTTCATTTTTACTGTTGTTGCTATTGTTGTTATTGTTGTCTAAAGATGGATAAGGAGGTGGAGGTGATGAAGGTATATCCTTAACTTCCTTTGGGGATAGAGTTGCTGCTGCTGCTGGATGATTGGTGTTGTTGTTATTCGCTTGTTTACTTTGATGTAGATATAGTTTCTCAATGATTTGATTATAGGTCTTGTCTCCGATGATCGAAACCAATTCAACATCCTGAGGATCCACCAGCCATCCATGTACCAAATCGATATTTAACAATTGGAATATATTAGTATCACAAGATGTATCGAAATCTTTAACACTAAAAACATAGATATAAATATAATACATTAGTATATATAAGTACCAAGTTGTTTTAATATACTATAGATACGATACCCTGTAAATCTTATATCTAATATCAATCCATTAACTAATGATGGTAGAATATTCATTGAATGATTCATCTTTATTTCATGATCTACTTGTGATTCTCCATCTTTAAACTAAATAATTATAATAGAAAAACGAGTATTAGTTAATAATGATTATATGGAATTTGATAATTTATTATGATTAACATACTTGTGGAGTATTCTCTAAAAGATAAGAACCTATTCTTGTAACTAAATCGTCATATGTAATTGGAATTTCAGGTAAATCAACACAACCTCTTAATGATAGAATATTAATAATTGCAATCAACGGACATGGACCGTTTTGCTTTTGTGTGACGATATTTCTCTTTTTTTCATTGAACATCACAGTTTTAACACTGAAAATCTCTGGTTGTGCTGTTTGTTGTGTTGGCGAATCACTTCCTTTTTGTTGCTGTTGTTGTTGTGATCCATTCAATGATGGAGATACTTTATTTGGAATCATTGTTGTATTATTATTATTATTATTATTACTTGTATTCGATGTTGAAGTTGTAGTAGTTGTAGTTGTAGGTGATGTTGCTATTGGTTCAGACATATAAAAAAAAAAATATTTCAAAGAATAAGAATAAGAATATTAATGATATATATTTACAAAAATTAAAATGTTTACAATAAATTTATATAGATAGATAAATAGATAGATAGATTATTAAATTTCAATAATGAATGAATGAATCACTAATTTAATTAAATAAAAAAATAGTAAAACTAATGCAAAAAACAAAAAAAAAAGTTATTTAATTTACAGTTTATATTGTATTAATTAAATTGATAAAAATATAAAAAAATAAAAAAAAATAAACAGACTTGTAATAATTATTTATGATAATAAATGCACACAATTTATTTTCATTTAATTTAAATGTCACGCTCAAAATTTGTTTGCATAAAAAACAAAATCACCCCCACTATCCTTTTTGGAATCACAACAAACCCCCTAAAAATAATTAAATTAAATAAAATCACACCCTAAATCTGGTTTCAGTTGGCAAAAGCCAAAAATTTTTGATAAACAAATAATTAATAGTAGTACAAACAATTTACATTAGAATTCTTTGAAACTAAAGAGAGAGAATAATATGATAAATTTAATGAATAAAAACTGTGTAAATTTATTTTATTATTTTTTTCAAAAGGACGTTTCTCTCCCAAACAACGTTACCACGCCAAGTTTAATAAGATGATGAGCAAATTTCTACTCCATCAAGTAACTAGGCTACACACCACAGTGAAAGTAGCAAACAAAGACTTAGTTGAAGCAATTGATAATATTCAACAAAGATAAAAAGAATATAGTATTAATTAATATGAGTTCTATGCCTAATTATAGGATAGATCTTTTTATTTTTTTATTTATTTTATTCAAAGCTTGTTTTTAAAATAATTTTTTTTTCTTTAAAATTTCTGTTTTTAGGAATGTCCATTTTTTTTACCTTTTTAATATAAAATTGATCTTAAGCATTAATAATTTATGAAGTTTAGTAAAAACAACAACACAAATGGATAAATCTCTATTGTTATCTATTTTTAATAATTTTGTTTTAAATAAATGTATTTTTAGAAATGTTACATCTTATTCTAGTAAAACTATACCAGAGAAAAGATATAAATGGGATGAGTTAATTACGAATCCAAAGGTGATGGCAGGCAATGGATATCTACAACTTTTAAAACAATATCTTCAATCAAATCCGATCAATACAATCAAGGATGTTTCGATCTTTTTTATTCTAAAAAACGCAGTTACAGCAGGTAGTTTAGATATATTAAAGTATTTCGTTGAAGATTTAAAGATCAAAAGAGAATTGTTATGCTTTCCGGTGGATGATTGTGACAGTGACGATGATGTGAGAGAGGATCTTTTGCAGGTTGCTGCAAATTTCGGAAAGATGGATATCATTCAATATCTCGAGAGTTTAGATGATATTAAAGATCAATTCAACTATGCAAATGCCATGCTTCAATCTGTATTTAGTGGAGATATCGAATTGTTAAAGTATTTCTCTTCCAAAGTACCGCCAATATCATTCTACAAATCACATAGAGTCTTTGATTTTGCAGCTTTCGCTGGACGATTGGACATGATAGAATGGTTGGCAAAGCACAGAAAAAAAGATAGAAAAAACAATTCAATGTATTTCCAAGCAATCCGTGGAAATCATATTCATATCTTGGATTATCTTAAGAAAGTGAAAAAAGAAAAATATCCATCTTCATATCATGATAATCTTTACACTAAAGCTGCTATTTACGGAACTTTAGATACAATTAAATGGTTGCACAGAAACGAAATCGATGGATGTACCACTGATGCTATGGATTGTGCACTTTCGGCTGGTAAGATCGATATTGTAAATTATTTAAACAAGAACAGAACTGAGGGATGTTCAGAAGATGGAATGGGTTATGCTATAGAGAGTGGCAATATTCAAATTATTGAATGGTTTAAAAAAAATCGAACTGAAGAGTCTATAAGTTATTCAATGGGTATGGCTATTAGAAGAGGACATTACAATATTTTGCGATGGTTGAATTCGAATCGTAATGAAGAATTATTAGAGATGGCATTGGAAGAGGCAGCACAGAATGGATATTTAGAATTAGTTAAATTCTTTTTGGAGAATTCGACAGAGATTTGTTCGAAACAAGCGATGGACTTAGCAGCTTTAAACGGTAGAACTGAGGTGGTAAAGTGGCTACACGAGAATCGAACAGAAGGTTGTACTACTCTTGCATTGGATGGTGCGTTAAGTAGAAAAGATATGAAGTTGGCTAAATGGTTATTTGAAAACAGATCTGAAGGATTCTCAATCCACTGTTTGGGAAATGTTACAGCTGATGGTGATTTGGAAACTGTCAAATGGGTTTATTCAAATCAGACTCAACAACATGAAGGTTCAGCAATTGATTCTGCAGCTTTTGGCAAGAATTTCCAAATTGTGAAATGGTTCCATGAGAATACAAATGAAACATGTACTCGACAAGCAATGGATTGTGCTGGATCCACAGGCGATTTAGAATTGATTCTTTGGTTTCATAATAACAGAACAGAAGGTTGTTCAACATCATGCATGGATAATGCAGCATCTGGAAATCATTTAAAAGTTGTAAAGTGGCTTCATGAAAATAGAACAGAAGGTTGTTCTCCTGCTGCTGTAGACTTGGCAGTGATACATGGACATACAAAAACTGCTAAATGGTTGCTTAAGAATAGAACAGAAGGTTGTTCCAAAATTGGAGTTAAAGCTGCAAAAAAGTTTAAAAGATTTACACTTTTACCATTGTTAATCAAGAAACAAGTAGATAAATAATAAAATAATATTTTTTTTATTGTATTAATAATTTTAATTTATATTTATGATATTTGAATTTTTTCCATCTACGAAATTGAGATTCTATAATTACCTAATATTCGAATTTTGTTGGTATCAAATTTTTATCTTATTCATAATGTAATCATCATAATTATTAATTAGGTATTACCCAGCTATCAGGTTCATATACAACAGATTTCTCACTTTTATTTTAAAAAAATGGTCATTTTTTTTTAAACAAAAAAAATGGTATTAATATCGAAGTAAAAAAAAGTTTGTTTAATTATAAAAACCTTTAATATAAAAAATTATTATGTAATTTGTATAATTTTAGTAATAATTAATTTATAAAACACAAGTTGGAAATCCATAATCCCAAACAATGTTGCCGCTCGAACATATTTCACATTTACTACCGGTAAAATTAGTTCTACATGCACATATACCATCGCAATAAGCCATTGGGACATTACCGCATTCGTAATCAAAGATGCAATTCGAAGGACGACCATCTGCGAGTAGAGCTACGCACTGGGGTGTGCCGTTGCTCAAGTATCGTACTTTACCGTTGTAACACGTTTGACATTGGTCACCTGTAAAGCCTGGAGCGCATGCACATCGATTGAGAGGTGACGCTGCCGACTGGTACAACACACTGACTGCCGGTGTCGATGAACCCAACGGTCCGACCGATTTCACTTCGTTGTTGGTCGTTGTGTAGAAGATACGGGTGTTGGCGGAATCCAGTGCCATGCTGACAACAGGATCGTTTGTCAACATCTTTGATGGACCGCCATTGATTGGAATCTGCATGATTCCACTGCTGGTGTTCGATGACCAAGTAGGTTTCATTCCCAGGTAGAAATGGGTGTTGCTCATCACAAAGGAACCTGCTTCGACCGGCACCGAGAGTACAAATTTCAATTCGGACAATGAACAATTGTTACAACCGACGGGAATCTTGGAGATGTTTGTAACAACGGTGTTGGCGTAGTCGACTTGCACTACGTAGAGCAGATTGGTGTCTTTTAGACCGAGGAAGTTACAACGATTGTTCTGGTAGGATCCGTCCAACATGATGGTGTCGCCGGCGTTCTTCTCATCGACCGTCTTTGGGATGTTGGAAACGCGATGCAGATTCCAGTCGCAGTAGAAAGTTCGCTTGTTCACCTCGTCAAAGTAGAGACCGAGATTGTAACCACGAATATACCAGACGTTGGGAATGGAGGTGTCACCACCGTGGTACGGTCCGACTACCGGTGCTGCTCTCTGGCTGTTGTGGATGTATGGAGTGTTTGTCTGACGTAGATATCCATACAGTCCGAGCACCATGCTGTATCCAGGTCCGCCAGACAAATCCGTAGTGATTGGGAAGAGAATCGATGGTTTACCACCTCCAAACGGCACAGTAATAACGTTGTTGACGTTCGACGGTGCATTGGAACTTCCATTGAACTTACCGACGATCACCACTCTCTGATTGGTTTCATCAAGACCGATTCCAGGCAATATATTCAAACCCTTGTAGCATAGAGCTTGTGGCTGAACACCACATTGATAATCACCTTGACATTCAATAGTTGGTTGACATTGAATGATTACAATTAAAAATTTAAATAATAATATTATAAATAAGTATTTATAACTATTCATAATTTATTTTTTTTTTGTGAAAAGTAAAATATATATATGTTTGTAATAAATATTAAATGATACTCTAAGTATCTATCTTCAATAGTATTTATAGTAAATATTACATTATTATTTTATTTATTTATTTAATTAATTATCAATCATTTAATTGTGTTATTTCAGTTCACCTGTCATTTTCAAACAATTTTATAAAGAATATAGATGACACCTCACCTCACTTCACTTCACTTCACTTCACTTCTAACTTATTCATTTCTTAATACATAGCTGTAATAATATATATAGAATGAATTTTTTTATTATACCCAAAGTGGGTGGTAGTGGTGGAAGTGTGGTTGTTTAAAAAGTTATGTTCCAATTTGTGTTGACACTACACTTTAAAGATGTTCTCTTCAACAATGGGTGTTGGTGGTGGTGTTGAATTACTATATGTATCAACCCATATTGATATCATATTTAAAATATTAAAACAACAAACATATTTAATAGTGGTTAAATAGAAAGATAGAGATAAAAGGATAGTTGTAAGTTAGAAATAATACAGATTGGAAAACATACATCATCATCAAGAAATTTGATGGAATATATTCAACAAATAATTGTAACAACTGCTATAATGAAGTCAAGTATAGTGTTTTAAAAATATCGATTCGAATATTAAAAAAAAAAGTGTTTGTTCAAATTAAGTGTTCATAATACAATACATTATATATTTATTAATAGATATTAAAAGTAACCTAAAATTGGTTCTTTTTTAATAATTTCCTTGAATATATAACCAACATTGATATTGTTAATATACCAATTAGTACTGATATAACTACTAATGGTATCCTCCAATACCTATCGAATGATTCTAAATGTTCATAACTATCTATGTGATCATTATCATGTTCATCATCATCATATAGTTGTTGAATCTTTCTATTTTCATTGTTGTTATTATTATTGTCATCAATATCACTATCATAATTATCTTCACTATCATTATCATCATTATTGTTGTTATTTTGATTGTTTGATCCTTTATGATTATTTTTATGTTTATGTTTATGATTACGATTGTTATGATTATGATTAAAATTATTATTATTATTATTTTGATTTGATGAATTTTGTATTATAAGAGTTTGGTTGAAAGGAACAACCATATTACTGACATTGACTGAAATTAATGAATCTGTAACAATGAATAAAAGTTGGCCATTGTCACCATTGGTATCATTTTGAAAAAGATAGGTTGGTATGTATAATTGGCAAGTTAAATAAGTGTAATTCACTAGTATTATATCGTTACAACCTATAGAAACATTGTCATATTCTATAAACTCGAAATTGACAGCCATATTCTCTTTGAAATTACTACCATTGATTGCAACGATATTTTGTTGATCGAAATAGATATTGGTTGTATCTACCGATTCAATGATTGGCCAATCATAGTAAAATGGATATTTCGATGGTTTACTATCTTCATCGATGACGGTTGTCACCGATAGATCGAATCTCTGTGACAGGTCAACTCCACTATCTGGACTATCGAGGGTACAAACAACACTGTTGGATCCAATGAGATGAACATCATTGCATTGAGTATTTCCAACTTTTATATGTACATTTCCTAAATCGTTTGGAAAACCATTTCCAAATACTGTTAATATTCCTCCATTTGGACCTATTTTATTGTACCCAGTTATCATTATTCGATCGGTATAGGGATTTGGTGGTTTTCCCATTTGTCCAAATGTTAATTGGAATGTATAAATATAAACTATGAATATTATTATTTTAAAATATTTTATCATTTTTTTTTTATTTCTATTATTAAATTTAAATAAAAATTAAAACATTATTTATTTATATATTTATTTATATTCTTTGTTTCTTCTTTTACTTTTTTTACTTTTCTTTTCTTTTCTTTTTATTTTATTTTGTTTTGTTTTAACCTTTTATTTTATTTGTTGATGTTGATCATGTTAGTTCAACCAACTTCCTATTGGAAAATCATCTTTGATCTTATCGCGGTTAGTTATTTATTTTTTTTTTGTTAAAGTGATAAATTCTTTTTTGTATTATGTTTTGAGTAGTTTTGTTTTAAAAGTTGTAAGAGTAGATGTGAAAACACAAGATTACATCAAATGGTGAATGAAAAATTGTAAGGTATAATAACACAGTGAAATGGATTGTTGTGCTAGTGGTGAAAAATAATAAAATTTCGATTATCAATCACATTCAACTAATAATTATATTAACAAACCATCGATTTGAATGTGGTTATTTTACTGAGTTACTCAGTCAAACATTAATACGAGACAAACACTACTCATTGAAAAAATACATTCAAATTTTCAAAATAAACATAATGAAGGATAGTGATAGTAGTAATAACTATATACCTTGGTTTATCAATGTAAATAATAGCAATAATGAAAATAACTATAGTAATAGCAATAGCAATAGTAATAAAGATGATGTAAATATAAATAATAGTGTTAAAAATACAGTATTATCACCTACGAAAAAAGATGGTGGTGGTGGTAATAGTGGTGGTGGTGACATTTCAATTCTATCGTGTTATAAATACTATCAAAGTGTGTTCGATCAGCTATCGCAGTCGATAGCTTTGTGGAATGGTTACGATGGGAATCAAGCGACTGCACTCAATAGTGTGGCGGTGTGTGTCGATCGTTTGCAGCTGATAATGAACAACGAAAATCTTCAGAATCGTCATTTAAATACATTACAGTTCTCTCATTTCCCTGCTGTGAATAAGCAACAGCAACAGCAACATCGACATGGTGATGGTGATGGTGATGATGAACAAATCATCAATGAAATGTTAATGAACAAACAACAACAACCTATTAATCAAGTGATAATGAATGAACTTAAACTAAGACACTGTCAGAGAATCGAAGAGCTAATGCGATCACTCTTGAGATACAACGAAAGCAAACGAAAGATAATCGAAAAGATGACATCGCTCGCCTTTGAATTCCGACAGCACTACAACAAGTACATAGAGACACCAATTCTACTCGATACCAAATACACCAAACAACTTGATTTCAATAGCGGTACACCATCCGATCATCCACTTTCAAATTTGTATCAATGGATACATTATATAATACATAGTTTTAAACAAGAGTATGTTACTTTATTACTTTCTGCTTAATTACTTTTTTACATATTAATATTAATTCCTTATAAATATTTATCAAGATTCTTAAGAAAAGATGAACTAATAAAGAAAATAAATTATACGAATCAAGAAGAACTTTCAAAGATCATAGATGACTGGGATAATCAAACACTGATAGACCAACAAAAGGTTAGAGAATATCTGTCATTGGCAAACGGTGCAATAAAAGATGATTAATGATTTAAATCATTGACTATTATATATATATATATAATTAACTTTTAACTTTTAACTTTATTTACAATTACATTATAGATAGATCGATTGATCGATCGATCAATCAATCAATCGATTTGTCTATCTACCTATCGATTTTATACTATTGATTTATGAATCGATTTGTGTAATTGATGTGAAAATTTTAAATTGTTTTTTTTTTGTTGTTGTTGATATTACTTATATCATTGTTGTTGTTGTTATTGTTATTGTTATCTATCTATCTTGCTATATATCAGGTACCTTTATTCATCAGATGATTTTCTCATTTTCTTTCCACCTCTTCTGTTTCCTTCAACGGTTACTTCATCAACCTCCATCTTTTGTTGCAACTTTTCTTGTTCTTCTTCCATCTTTCTCTTGTTTTGTTTGCTTTCCAATCTCTTGTTACGTCTCTCCATTGCTTCCTTCTCTCTGATAAGATCATAAGCGTGTTCTCTTCTTCTCAAAATTTTACTATTTTTCTTTGCCTAATTAAAAAATAAAACATACACAAATATTAACATTTCTATTTTAAAAGCAAACATAATTCAATGAACACATACCATTTTGATAATCTATATAAATATATACTAAGCGTTATTAATCTATTCAAACTTTGTTTTTTAGATAAATCAAAAAATTAAAAAAAAAAAAACAAAAAAATACAAAAAATTAGCAAAAACGAAACGATAAAAAAAAAATGACAATCAATGTTTTGTGCACCTATATTTTGCTACCAATTATAATACAAAAGAAAATTAAATAAAATTTGATACTTTTAACAATTAATATTTAATGTATATGTTATTATTTAAAATATATATTTTTTTAATATTTCAAAAATTATTTATAACAAAAACGTTATTATTAAAAATATGGATATCCAAAGTTTAGATTAAATCTTCTAGAATTATCAAATAATTTACAAGTTGTTTGTATGGTGCATATCCATTATCTGTTAACGTTTAATGATGAAGATCTTCACAAAAATCATAAAAAATAAAAACCATATTGATAGATCCTCAAATTAGAGTTGATATGAGCCCAACACCAAAAATTTGATTTCTTTTGAGGTTTTTTTTTATTTGATATCTTTTTTTTTTGTAAAAATCAATGAGACTGTGTCCACCCCAAAACTGTTTCGATTTCTTATTGTTTTTATTGCAAACCCCAATTTGATTTTGGCTGTGATCAGTCGATCAATGAGACTCTATCCACCCCAAAATTATTTCGATTTCTTATTTTGTTTTTTATTAAAAGATAATATTTTGTTTTTTTTTTCACACCAATTTTTTTTTTTTTGACAAGCTCATCAACATCACCATAAAAATTAAAACAAATAAATTTATTTTGTTTTAAATAATAACAATAATAACAAAAATAAATCAAAATATATAATATTTCTTATCAAATATTTATAATTAATTAAATCTGTGTTACCTTATATCAAAAAACACAAAAAAATCAACTTTATTTTATAAATTTGAAATTTAATTTAAAAGTTTCAAAACAAATCAAAAAAAATAATAAACACATCAACAACAATAATAACAACCAACTAACTAACACATCTAAAACATCTAAAACACTTTTCTTTTGTCAATTCAACCAATTACTACTTAATTAATATATTTATTTATTAAATTTAAAATACATAGATACAAGAACATTGATAACTTAACTAAATTCAATATTAGTAATAAAAGTAACACCAGATTATAATTACATAGATTGATCAATAGTTAAAACAAATATAATGACAAACTTTATAACAATAATTTAAACCTTTTTTTTTAGTAATAATAATAATAATCAATAGATAGAATAGATATTAGATAAGATAATATATATATAAGAAAAGTTAGAGATAGAGAAGATAGATAGATAGAAGGATAGAAGTATAGAAGTAGTGATAAAGATATATAAATATAGAGTAGAAGATGGCGGAACCAAATAGTTTATCATCATCCTCATCAAATATGGGATCAAGTTCAATAGATGAGAGTATAATAGGTGCCAGTTGGGTTCTTGATGCAGCTAATCTTGTTTTTTGTATGTATATCTATATCAATCAGATTAGTTACAACCAGTTACTAATGATAATGGTTGATTGTTATTTATTATAGTTTTACAAGCTGGTTTCGGAATGATAGAAGCTGGTATGGTTAGAGCAAAGAATACAAAATCGATTTTGTTGAAAAACCTGATAAATACAGCGATAGGAGCGATAGGATTCTATTGCTTTGGACATGCTTTTGCGTTTGGACCGGATTGGTCGAATGGATTCATCGGGTTTGGCAGTTTCTTTTTGCGTGATTTCACAAACTACTCGTACTGGCTGATACAATGGGCGTACGCTGCGACCGCCACCACCATTGCAACGGGCGCCATGGCAGAGCGCACACAGATGCCTTGCTACGTGCTGTTCTCGCTGCTCCAGACCACGCTGATCTACCCGGTGGTGGCACACTGGATTTGGTCGTCGGGCAACGGCTGGCTGGCAGGCCTGGGAATAGCGGACTTTGCCGGTGGCGCCGTCGTGCATATTGTCGCCGGTGCGTGTGGCGCATGCGGAAGTTTCCTGTTGGGTCCGCGCATCGGTCGGTTCGACCACGACAACGGCAGACCGAAATCGTTGCCCGGACACAACGTGGTGTTGGTCTCGCTTGGCGCGATGATCCTGTGGTACTCGTGGTACGGCTACACCAGTGGCGCCTCCATCTCAATGACCACCGCACTGCCATTGTCCCGAGTTTCCATTGTCGCCACACTCTCTGGATCGACCGGACTCCTCACAGTCCTGGCAATGGGACGTCTTTTCACTGGCCAATACGATCTAGTCAAAGGAATCAACGGACTAGTTGCCGGACTGGTATCTTCCACTGCCGGATGTGCATATATTGAACCATGGGCTGGTATAATTGTTGGTTGTAAGTAACTTACCTAATAATTTAATAATATATGAGAAAACAAACAAACAAACTAATTAACCTCTTGCTTAAAACTTAGTTGTTGGTGGAATTATTTATTATTCATCATCTTGGATATTGTTGAATGTGGCGAGAATAGATGACCCGGTGGAAGCGACTTCCGTCCATTTGTTTGGAGGTGCCTGGAGTGTGATTAGTGTTGCATTTTTCGCATCGCACGGTAGAGATGGTGGAATTTTCTATGGAGGTGGAATAGAGTTGTTGTGGGTGCAACTGGTTGGTGTTGCTATGGCGACAATGTGGGCGATCGTTGTGTCCGCCGTCTTCTTTATGGTGATGAAGTATTTCCATTGGTTTAGAGTTGATGTCGATACCGAATTGGCAGGACTCGACAATATGAATCATGGTGGTGCTGCCTATATTTTTGATATCTAAAAAACAAACATACTATTTATTTTTATATATTATACTTATATATATTAGATTAGATATATAACATAGAATACGACCGATTTAGTTAGTTACCTAAAAATCTATAGTTTTTAGTTAACTTTTTTTAAAAATTATTTATTATTATTATAATTATTATTATAAAAATGTGCACATTATTCGAGTCCAACCAATTCAACCGACAAAGCAATCGACCAACTTAACCGATAATCAATCAATCCAATGACAATTAATTCAATTACTTTTAAGTCTACTACAACTACAACCACTAGCTCCTCAGATAGAAATAGAATCTTGAAGTATAGATAGATAGATAACAGGTTTTAGTGACTATTTGTTGTAATTGGTTGTTTTTCAATAACATTTTTCTTAGTACTATGGTAATGAAAGAAGAAGAAGAATTAGTGCTTCTTCAACACCTACCACAATGACATTCACCCATTCAACTCTTTCGACGTCATCGATTATGGGAAGAGTAGACATCTACAACATGCAAATGCAAAACACATTGAAAGTTATTAGTTCAATCGAATCAACATTCAATTTCGAAATCACCAACACATCCAATTGGTGTGTAATATTTATCAACAAATCAAATGTTTCACTAACAAGCAAACAAAACTTTAGAAAATACGATTGTTTTAACAATACAATCGATTATAAAATGTAAAATAAAATAAAAAAGTAGAGTAAAGAGAGCGAGAAGAGATAGATTGAGTATATTAACAATGTCAAATTGATGAAGTTGATCTAGACGATCACTTCATTAATAATGATGTTTGTTGGTATGACTCACTTTAAAGATATATTTAGATAGTAAAAAAAGTTTAAACAATTTCTATCATATTGGTTTTTTTTTTTTTTTTTGATCTGAACAAAACTGTGTTTTGGTGATCTATCTAACTCCTTGTGTGACGATCGGAGTGAAAAAATGGTGAATAGTTTGTTTTTCATAGTATTACACGTTTATTAAATTACAAAAACAGTGTTTTCTGTGATAAATCACAAGGAAATGAAAGAGAGGGAACTGAGGCAATAACATTACAATTTAATAAAAATCAATCAAATAATACAAAAAAGATGTTTATAATAAAGAAAAAAAAAAAACAAAAAGGGGTATCTTTGTTCCAGTTCCTCTTTTTTTGAGAATCACCACATCAAGTCTTTTTGAGTGAAAAAATAAAAATAAACATCTTTTTGGTGGTTACTGCGTCGTCACCCTTTCCAATCAAACTCAAACTATGATTATCATTTTTTTCAATAATAATAAATTTATTTTTAATATTTATTTTACCAGTGAAGTTAGAGTATTATTGATATTATAATCCAATCCATATTGTCAATATATATATATAGTATTTTCAATAAATTCTATCATATATATCTTAAAAAAAAAAAAACAATTATAGTTTTTTTTTTTTTTTTATTATCAATCAAAATTTTAATATATAAATATATTTTTTAATCATTCATTAGTGTTGCAGTGTCAGCAAGATAAATAAATCTACATTTTTTTCAGTCTTTTTTTCAACCAATCATTAGAATTTTTTTTCAGTAAAACCTCAAAGATTTTTAAAAATTGATTCAGAAAAAAAACTTTTTCATTTTAATTTTCCTTTCAAAGCTTTTTTTTTTTTTTTTCATAATTTTGTTTAATTTTTTTTTTTTTTTTTTTTTTTTTTGAACCCAATAATATCATATTATTCAATTGGTCATAGATTAATTATTTATAAATATATTTAAATATTATTAATATAAACCAATACCTGCATCGATTTTCATTTCATTTCATTTTCACCCCCACAACACAACGCACACACTTGAAAAATATAATAAATAATCATATTTGATACTGCAAATTTCTACTACTACTAATAGGTAAGATTAAGAATAGAACATTTATCCAAAATAGTTGCGAATCACTACACTACGCTACACCGCCACTCCTCATACATGAAATTTTTAAATGTATGCACATATAAATCATTTACATGTGATAAATTAATTTCATCTGAATGAATCCTATCTGAAATTTAATATATCATCGTCACTCACCCCACACAACACACACAGAAAATGACTCACACACACAAAACACACAAACACATTTATAGTAATAATAGTTATAGTAATCATTCAAAAAATAACAACAATTAATTGGTAACAACAGCAACAACAGCTATAGATCCAAATATAACTTATTTTTTTAAAAAATTACCAAGTAATAATATTGGGTTCGAGCATTTCATCAGAAGCGATATTATATGCAAGCAATAGCAGCAAAGCAGAAATTATCATCATCATCATCAGAGCAAAATTAATTAATCTTGTGTAAGAGTCTCTTTTTGAAATTTGCTGTGTTTGGGTTTGTACTTATTTTCATTTCGATTCATTTGCAATACACTGAAATGATGGAGAAATAACATAAATGTTGAAAGATTTGAAGAGAGATGAGAAGCAATAGCTATCGTAACATTGTAATAACAGTAGTGGTAGCTGCCTGGAGTGTGTTAAATTCAATTTCAAAAGTGTTATGTCATTGAAGGAAACAAAAAAAAAAAAAAACAAAAAAAAAAAAGAAAATGGTTGTTGTTTAATTTAGTTATTGAATTCAATAGGGCAAATAACTGAGCAACAACAACAACACTTACCCATTAGTTGTGTTTGTGTGTGTTTTTGTATTTATATTTATATTTGTGTGTGTTTGGGTTTGTGTGTGTGCAAACACTATATCTATTCTATTTAGTGTGTTGAGTTAGTTTTAATTGTTTTTATAAAAGAAATGTAATGAGACTTGCAAATATGCAGGTCAAACAAAAATAAAGGAAAGAGTGAGATTACAACAATGCAACCAAAACAACAGCAACAAAACAAACAACAACAACAATAACAAACACCTACCAAAATAATAATATAACACCTTTAAATTTAATATAATATTGCTCTTATTATTAACAATATTATATCATCATTATTCTTTTTTATAATTATTATTTAATATATATTAAATACCCAACAACAACAACAACAATCCCTTTACCTTTACCTTTTTTTTTTTCTTTTTCAAATCCATTTGTTGTTTAAAGTTGATCTTCTTTCTTTTTTTACAATTATTGCATCTAAAATAATTTATCTATTGTTTCATTCATTTATCCATTACTCATCTTTCATTAGTTGAGAAATCAAAGTTAAAAGGTTACAAAACTTTAACTTATTCTTTTTTGTTCTTTCTAGTCCAATTGTTATTGTTAAATTTGAAAAAAACATTAAAAAAAAGTAATATACTAACCAATCATTTCTATTTATTATAGTCATTATCATTATAATTATATATTATCACTCATCATCTTTATTATTATTACTGTAATTAATACTTTCTTTTAGTTTAGTTTAGTTGGTTTTTTTTTGTTGGTAAATTAATTACATTTTAAATTATAATTATAATTCATTTCATTCCTCTCCATTCAATTCCGTTCAAACAAAACATTCATTCCTCTACATATTATTATATATATATATATCAAAAATTATTTTTTCAAAGAATAAAAAATAATAATGAATTTAGAAGTAGAAACGTGTCTTCCAGAGATCACATCATCTAGAAAATATTATAAAGTGGGACCACCACCACCAAACAGCATCAACAACACCACCGACTTTAATAGTAATAGTAGAAACAGTTGTAATAATTATTACAACTATGAAGGTGACTATAGTCAGCAGAGAATGAAAACCTGTAATAATCATGTCGATGACAATCATCATTGTGGATCAAGCAACAGTAGCAGTGTAAAAAGTAATAATTCCTTTTCAGATTTGAGTGAAGATGATATCGTTCATGAGGAGGAAGTAGAAGAACATGAACATGTGAATGGACATGAACAGCAACAACATGAAGAGGAGGAAGAAGAACAACAAGAAGAAGAAGAAGAGGGGGAATCAGATGAAAACGATGAAATCTTAGAAAATGACTACAACGACAATACTGATGATGATCATGAAGAAGAGGAAGAAGATGATATTCATCCAGATGATCTTCACGAATTGAAAAAAGTTATCAACTATCAAGAGGTAGAGGAAGAAGAGGAAGAGGAAGAAGATGAAGATGAAGAAAGTTTAGATGAATATGGGAACTATGAATCTGAAAATGAAATCAAAGAAGAAATAGAAAAAGAAAACAGTGGCAGTGAAGTGGAGGTTTGCACAACAAAAGAAGAAGAACAACAACAAGAAGAAGAAACTCTGCAAAACACAAGTGAGCTGGCGGTAGTCGTCAAGGAGGAAAACAGTAACGACAACAAAGTGCAACCGGCACGTGAAGAAATTCTTTTTGGAATGTGAATGGGTTTTTTATTATGATGAAGGTGCGCCAAAAGGATCGTCTTGTGAAAACTATCAATCTTATGTAAAGAATCTTGGATCTTTTAATACAGTTCAAGTAAGTTGCTATAATTATTAATATCAAATCTTTGATCAACTTGTATAAGTCTAACATTCATTCAATCAATTACTTAATTATAGGGATTTTGGAGTTATTGGAATAATTTGCTGGATGTTTCACAACTGCCTATGAATGCAAATCTTCGTTTGTTCAAAAGTGGAATCACACCAATGTGGGAGGATCCTGCCAATCAGAACGGTGGCAAATGGACATTACTCTGCCACAAGGATCAATCGAGTACCATCGTAATGAGAACTATACTAACTCTAATCGGTGAACAACTAGAGTATTCAAATGATGTTGTAAGTTTATTATTGAATACTAGTTTTGAAATAGTTGATTAACTAACTAATGAATGATTTATTCTTAAAGTGTGGATTTGTATTGAATGTAAGATCAAGCAGACACATCATAAGTGTTTGGAATCGATCGGGTGAGAACCAAGAGATCATCGATAAGACCTCGTCGGAACTATCGAATTTCGTTCTCAATAAAATATTTAGATATCAGTCACACAAACAACCAGCATCACCACAAGTAACACCAAAGAAGGATCCAACCTCGCCTAAATTTGAACTTGAGGAATTCAATAATAATAATAACAACAATACCAGTGGTAACCACATCAATCAATTCAGATCGTCACCACAATTATATAATAGTAGTAGTAATATTAATATGAATGGTAGTAGTAACAGTCTTTTGACAAACAACAATAATAACAACAACAATAGACAACAAAAATCAAAAGATAATTTCCTTCAAAAAAAGAGTCAATCGGCATCAAACATTCAATATACACCAACTTCACCCAAACAATCTCAACAACATCAATATATAAATAATAATAATAATAATAATAGTAATGGTAATGGTAATGGTTTACATTCATTTAAATCATCTAAACATTCTCTTGTAGATTCAAATTCTTCATCTTTAATACCAACACCAATAACACCTTCACAACAACAACAACAACAACATCAGCATCAACATCATCATTCACTTTCGTCCTCTTACAATGGATATAATACTCATAACAATAATAATAATAATCATAACAATAACAATGGCAATTATCATCCGAAATCAATTTCTACACCAAATAACAAAAGAAACAATAGATATAATAATAATAATAATAATAATAATGGTAATGGTAGCCCTTACAACAGCAGTAATGATCTTAACAGTTCCAATAGATATAGAAATAGGAATAACAATCATAGCAATGGTCATAGTTCGAATGAAAGATCATCTTTGTCATCGTCAGAGTCAGAGAGTGAGTCATTGAACCAAAACACCAACACTGTTGAAGACGTTGTTAAAGTTGTCGAGCAGGAGCCAGTTGTTATTTCTTTGACTGAGAAGCTCACTGAAGTGATCAAAGAGCAACAAAAACACCAAAAAGATGTAGAAATAGTAGAAAATAATAATAATAATAATAATAATAATAATAATGTTGTTAAATTAGAAGATGTAGATATCATTAAACCCAATGCAAAAGTACAAGTACAAGTTAAAGTTAAAGTCGAGGAGGAAGAGTTAAAGAAAGATCAAGTTGTTTCTTCTACTTCTTCATCGTCATCAATCAACACCACAACCACCACTCCATCAGTTGTCACAGAAGAACAACAACAACCAATAATAGTCAATAATACAACTACTACTACTATTATTAGTGATAATAGTAATAATAATAATAATAATAATCCTGAACAACAACAACTTTTGAAAGAATCATCTTCCTTTGAAGAATTCACACCAAGTACATTGGCAGATGACTCACTCGAAAGCACCACTAGTGAGACTGAAGATGCAGACTCCACTCAGGCATCGTGTGACTCGACACTGTCGGACAATGGCCAGTCGACTTTTGGAAAATCATCGAATGGATCGCTCTCGAAGCGTCACCATCAAACACCCAGAAAATCAAATCAATCGCAAACACCATCGTCCGCCAAGAAGAAGAAGTCCAACAATAAGTCTAGCGGCAACTCAAAGAAGTCACACCATGGCAACACACACCAGAAACACTCGAGTCAGACAGACAAGCGTGGCCTACTCTCAAACAAAATGCTTACTCTCTGCAAAGAGCATATTTTAATAATAGTAATGTTCTTGGCAATCTTAGTAATCACCCTCATCTTACAATCGAATTGAACTAATTAAACTAATTAAATATTTGTAATGGAATCAAAAAATCAACATTCATTCAATCATTCCTCTTAAAATCAAATCAATCCACTTTGATTACAAATAATTATCATCCAACAACAATATTAAAAATATCTTTTTTTTTTTTTTTTTTCCTTTTCAATAAAAAAACAATACAAAAGAAAAAAAATATTTAATCAAATAAAATAAAAATAAGAGTGTAAGATAAAAAATAGCAAACAATAACATATCAATTCTGTTTTTTTTATGTCTTTTAATTAACTAAACTAAGTGACTCACATCATCTTAAAATTCAACCTTTTTTAATCATATCTTATTTACTTTGGCTAATCAACAATTCTTCGATTAAATAATATATTATTATATGATTGATCATCCCTCAAACTGAAATCAACATTTGTTTGTTTTGATTTTTTTCTAAAATTAAAAAAAAGGAAAATATTTTTTTTCTTATTAATTTCAATGATTTTCATTTTAATTTAATTTGTTTGTTTTTTGTTTTTTTTTTTTTTTTTTTTTTTTGATATTGGTAAAACTTTTTATAAAAATATAGAGATAGATTCTTTAGTTAGTTGTATTGGATATAATTATAAGATAGATAGATAGATAGAGTAAAAATATGACTGATACAGAGAAATATGATAGACAACTCAGATTGTGGGGTGAAGAAGGTCAAGCTAGACTTGAAAAGTCACATATCTGTTTGATCAATGGTACCGCCACTGGTACTGAAACTCTAAAGAATCTTGTATTACCAGGTATGTATAGTGAAGTATTGAATTGTAGTAAGTTGTAAGTGTCAATATTGATTAAAAAGTATAAATTGATGATCATCTTCAATTTTGTAGGTATTGGTGGATTCACTGTTGTCGATGGAAATAAAGTTAGTGCTTCAGATTTGGGAAATAACTTCTTTTTGGATAAGAGTTGTTTGGGACTCTCCAGAGCGTTGAAGGTTTGCGAGTTCCTCAGAGAGTTGAACGATCGTGTCAAAGGTTCGTCGTGCGAAGAGGATCCAGTTCACTTGATCAACGAGAAGATCAGCTTTTTCAAGGAGTTTGATTTGGTCATTGCCAATCGTCTTCCAGAGGCTGCACTCACCACACTCTCCCAATACCTCTGGGAGCACAACATCCCACTAGTCGTCGTTGTATCCTATGGTTACATCGGTTATCTTCGTTTAGTTGTACCAGAACATCAAAGTAAGTTGTTGTTGTTGTTATCACAACAGAAGCCTAAGGAACTAACTAACTAGCTAATATCTAATCAATCTACTTAGTTGTCGAGTCAAAACCAGATACACCATTGGATGACTTGAGAATCTATAATCCATTCAAGGAGTTGGAGGAGATGGCCGACCAGTTGGATCTTAAATCGTTGAATTCACAACAACACGGTCACGTTCCATATATTACACTGATGGTTCATTTGTTGAAGAAGTGGAAAGTCGATTCCAACGGTGGAAAGATGCCATCGACCAGAGACGAGAAGGAGTCATTCAAGAAGTTCTTTATCTCCAATGCCAACAGCTTCCAAGACGAGGAGAACTTCCAAGAGGGTGTCAAGGGCATCTGGAAGGTCTTACAGCCATACTCTGTGCCATCGGACATCGTTGCCATCATGAACGATCCAAAGGCAGCCAACTTGTCATCCACCTCCGACGACTACTGGGTGATGGTTGCTGCCCTCAAGAAATTCCATGAGACACACCAAGTACTTCCACTCCAAGGAACCATCCCAGATATCACAGCCGACACAATCAGTTATATTAATTTACAAAAGATGTATGTAGTTATTTATATTGTTTGTTTGTTTGTTTTAGTTTGATACAATACTAATCTAATTCATTCATTGGTAACTAGTTATCACGAAAAAGCAAGTGCAGATTTGGATGAATTCACTTCGATTGTAAATTCATTGGTTTCTTCGGTCGGTAAGACTTTGATTCCATCAGAGATGATCAAGAAGTTCTGTAAGAACGTTAGATTCTTGAATTTGGTTAGATACAGATCGTTGGTCGACGAGTTCACTCCAGCCACCGCCAGATCGGCATACATGATCTCCGAGTTGGAACAACCAGATTCCAACCTCGTCTTCTATATTGTATTGCGTGCAGTCGAGAAGTTCAACAATATCTACAACCGTTATCCAGGTTTCAACGATGAGGAAGTCGATGCCGACATTCCACTTTTGAAATCATGTGTAACCTCTCTTCTCAATGATCTATCAATCCCAACCACATTGGTCAAAGATGATTATATTACTGAAATGTAAGTTTATCTAAATATCAAACCAAACCAAATCAAATCAATCACTAACAAACAAACCAAACAAATATTGTCATTATTATTAGTGCAAGATATGGTCACTGTGAATTACATAATATTGCATCGTTGATGGGTGGAGTTACATCACAAGAGGTCATCAAGTTGATCACTCACCAATATGTACCATTAGATAACACATTCATCTTTAACGGTATTAACAGTACTGCTAACCCATACAAGCTCTAAAATAATCAAACCAAAAACAAAAAAATAATAATCAACTTGCTACAATTAATAACAATACAACCTATACATAAATTATAATAACAACAAAAGTAAAATTATATAATAAATAATAATAAGATAATAATAATGCAAAAATATTGTAAAAATCTTTGTGTGAATGAACTTCACATGTCCTATTTTAATTAACCTAAACTGAAAAAAAAAAAAAAAAAAGGATTCTCTTTTTGGATTTTGAGTCATCTGATTGATCTGATTGTTTAATTAAAATTGATCTATTAATCTATTAATATATTATACTGATATCAATTTTAGTAATAAGATGAGTACAAATGTTAGAAGTAGGAAATCTACTACTACTACTTCAAAAGATAGTAATAGTGGAGGATCAACAAACAAAACAACAAATATAAAGAAACCAAGCACTTTATTAGATCTTCTCGATGGTAGTAGTGAAATAGCTATCTATTTCCTAATGTTTATCTATGTATATATATGTCCCTATACAAAAGTAGAGGAAAGTTTCAATCTACAGGCAATGCATGATATTCTAATTCATAGATTCAATATAAATAATGTATGTTAATCTCTAATCTCTAATCTTCTATGAATTTACAATTTACATAAAATATAAAAAGTATGATCATTTAGAATTCCCAGGTGTCATACCACGTACTTTTATTGGTGCATTGTTTGTTTCTGTATTATCAAGTCCATTTCAGTATGTTGTAGAGTATTTTGGTGGATCGAAGCTTTGTATGCTCTATGTGGTGAGAGCGGTGCTTGGTTTCATTGGTGTCACCGCTCTCATCAGATTGAAACGATCGATCGCCAGAAAGTTTGGTTTGGAAGTAGCTGTTTGCTTTGCGCTGGTGGTCATCTCCCAATTTCATTTGTTATTCTACATCAGTAGACCACTTCCAAATGTATTTGCTTTATCGCTGGTTGTGCTTGCCTATGCCTATTGGTTGGACAACCGATCGACGGTATCGATCTCACTTCTCACCGTTGCAATCTTTATCTTTCGTAGTGAAGTCTTAATATTGGCTGGACCCGTTACCTTGTCAATGTTGATTGGCAAACGACTAAAGTTCACCAATCTCCTGGTGGTCGGTGTCGTCACTGCGCTGCTCTCGGTTGGCGTCAGTGTGTTGATAGACTCTTACTTTTGGCAGAGAACGATCTATCCTGAGATGGAAGTACTGCTATTCAACACCGTTGAGAATCGTAGTCATGAATGGGGAGTATCTCCTTTCCACTGGTACTTCTCGAGTGCGTTGCCACGCGCACTTCTTCTCTGGCTACCTCTGGCATTCCTCTCGATGCTAGTCGATCGAAGAGCTCTCGAATATCTCCTCCCGATCTTACTATTTGTATTCCTCTATTCATTCCTCCCACACAAAGAGCTTAGATTCATTTTCTACGCACTCCCAATATTCTCACTTGGCTCAGCCATTACAATTGCAAGAATGTATGTAAATATCCGGCTTTTCATTATAAAAGTTTCTTACAATTGTTGGTTATTACTTTATAGTTTCAAACAGTTTAATAAGAGTTTTATTTATAAATTGGTTTCCATTGGTATGATTGGTATTTTCGGTGCGAACTTGGTGTTGTCATCGTTCTTCTTCCATGCATCCTCACTAAACTATCCGGGTGGTGAAGCATTCAACCAGCTACACCAGCTGCACTCTGAGTGTTTAGAACAACCTTTGAATGTACATATAGATAATATTGCAGCTATAACAGGTGTTTCAAGATTTGGTGAGATCTCCCAAAATTGGAAGTAAGTTTTGTGTGTCGATATATATTTTTATAAAAGATGGTTTATAAATCTAACTACTTTTTTTACGTTAATAATATAAAATATAAATATAGTTATTCAAAGAAAGAAAGAGATGTATTATTATCAGATTATGATTTATTATTAGCCCCGAACGCAACGAGTGGATTCGATGTTGCCGGTAGTATCAGTGGATTTACAAGATTCCAACTGCTTAGAACACCACCATTTATACAGGTCGTTAAAGAACCACAAATTTACATAATGACATCGAAACAATTGCCTTTGAAATGTCCAAAGTCAAAATAACCAATTGATTCAATTTTATAATAATCATAAAGTTTGTTAGTTATACATATAAATTCTTATTTTTAATCTTATTTAAAACAAATTCGAATGTACTGTTTACTTCTTATTCCAAAGCATAATGTAAGTTACTCTATTTTAAGTTGTTAATTTTCATATAGATTAAATTCAAAGTACCACATTACTCATGATCCATGTATCTCGTAGTAATATCTCACAGATTATTATTATTAAACGATAGGGAACTGCGGTTTTAAATTATTTACAAGATCAAAAATATTATTTGGTAGTGTAGTGTTTATTATTGAATGAATAGATAAATCTATAAATAGAAGAAGTTGTCAATAGTTTAGGTAAAATTACTTTTAAAATAGAATAACTACAACAAACATTTTGACTGACACTACTAGTGCCAGTCAATCAATCAAATTATTTCTTTTTTGAGGTTTTAATTTAGGAACATCCATTCTTTCGGATATTGAATAATCATAATAAAATTTACCTAATTTGTTGTTTACATCTCATAAAGATGTGATTATTAATTGATAGGTGGGTTTGTTAAAGCAATTGCTTTTTGTAGGGGGCATAAGTGCATCAAATTGTTAATTGTTTTCAAGTGTGTGATTTAATTTGGTGTGTGTTTTTCAATATAAATATGTAAAATAGGGGATTCAAATGAGAGTTTGATTTGTTGTTTATATAGAATGGCTGGCTTTGTTGAACTTGTTGATTTCAAAGTTGATATCGTGAAAGGAGGAATTATTAAGAGCTCAAAGTATAAATAAATGAAAAATAATAAATGTGTTTGTTTATTCTGTGTGTTTTATTAGTAAGTGTGAATGAAGTATTGAGTTTGTATGATTGTGATCACAATTTATTTTGTGTGTGTTTATTTTTGTTTTGTTTTTGATTGTGTGTGTGTTTTTTATATGATTTATTGATTGTGTTTAATTAAATTAGTTTGAGTGTAATAGAGAGAAAAAACAAATTTATTCTTTTTTTTGTTTTTAGAAACACAATATAAATTAACATTCAAGACTGAACATTAATTAAATTCAAAATCAACATCCACATCAACATCATCACATATACAAATATTATTTGTTTGTTTTTATATATCCTTAACTCTCAATTTCCTTTTTGTTTTTCACTATTGTTATCTAACAGATTAGTTTTTTTTCCTTCTCCAATCCAATCCAATCCAACCTTTCTATACTAGAGTTGGTTTTGTATATATTTGATTTACACTATTACACATTTTTTTCAATAATTAACAACAAACCAAATCATTCTTTTTACAAATACTTTTTTTGTCAATAAATTTTCAATCTTGAATTTATATATATATATCTTTTCAATATCTTTTTTCATTTATCAATAAATTTTATTATTTATTTAGAAATTAAATCTTCCTTTTTTACTATTTAAATAATAATTTTTCAATCATAATATAATAAACAAAGAAATAATTTTTTTTTAAAAGATGAATATAAAATTATGTTTTTTATTCGTAGTGATATCGACATTTTCACTATTAGGAAATTCAGAAATCTTTAAAGGTGCTATACTATCTAGTGATAGTTGGTACCTTATTGATAAATTTTGTTTCACTGAAGACGATGCAACTGTAAATGTAAAAGTAGATTTCAGAAATAATCCAAATGCAACACTACTTTTATATTCAGATTTAGATACAGTTTGGGGAAAGATTTCAACAGGTGATTTAACATGTCATGAACGTGTAAGTAAAAATGAACAAATAAATATCTATAATATTTAAAATTTAAATTTATATTAATTGGAAATGTAAAAAATAATAATTAGGTTATGGCAGCATCTTCACAAGTTAATTCTGTATCTGGATTGAATGGAAAGACAGTGAGTGTAGATCAACGTCGTGCTAGATGGTGGTATTTCGCAATTGCCAATTGTGACCAAAACACCGGATCTCACTACCAAATCGATATTCCATACTATGAGATCAGAGCAAACAACGATGGTGATTCCTTCAACTCTTTAATCTCTGCCGACCAACAAGGAATTCCACAATCGGAAATCGCTTTCATCCTCTTCTTCCTCGCACTTTTAATTTTCTCCATTGTCAGTATCGTCTTTTTATGGCACCGTAACCTCGAATCCAAAGTCATGAAACTATTCTCCATCGTTTTATTCTTTAAGATCTTAGCTCTGTTTGTTTGCTTAATTTACTGGGCAATGTTCTTACGTTATGAATCCGGACATAAGGATATCAATTTAGCCGGTACCTCGCTCGATTTGATTGCTCGTGCTCTTTTCATCTTGTTACTCTTGCTCGTTGGACAAGGATGGACCATCTCGCCATTCTATGGTAATGTCGTTAGTCGTGTCATCAACGTAATCATGTTTGTCGTTATCCTTGTGATGTCAGTTGCCATCTACCTCGTTCCAAACGTTACTTTCATGCCAAGTAAGATGTACACATTCTTCTACGACACCATTCCAGGTTATATCTTATTGGCATTCTTCCTCACCATTATGATCTGGTTCATCGTACTCTGTCGTAACTCCTACGTCAAGCAAGTCGATATCGTCAAGAAGAAGTTCTTCCTCTACTTTGGATTAATCTTCACCTTCTGGTTCTTGATGATGCCAGTCTCAGTGTTGGTATCGCACTTCCTCGAGTCATGGGTTCGTCAAAAGACCGTGGTCATCTTCAACTTGGTAGTCGACTCCATCTTCTACAGTATCATTGCATTCTTGTTCCGTGCATCCAAGTCCAACCCATACGTCCACATTCTAAACATGGACCAAAAAGAAAAAGGTGTACGTCTACAAGAGAACGGAGCTGGTGGTGAATTACAACAAGCTTAAAAACAAACAAAATATTCAAAATATTCTTAACAAAATTTATATATTTATAAACTTTAATTTTTCCAAAAAACCAAAGATTTGAGGTATCCACATTAATATTTGAAATAATTTATTTGTTTTTTCAATATAAATAAGAGTAAATAACTTTGATACAATCCAGTTTAATTGATTGTCTGTCTTTGTTGTTGTGATTATAGTTAAATATATAATAAATGATATAATATTATGATAAATAAATAATATGATTATTAATCTAATCCAGAAAAACAATATCCATTTGGTGAAGGTTCAATTTGTAAGTTTAGTTTTGACCTCAGTCTTTGAAGTTGAATCTTAAAATTCATGTCATCTGGGAACATAGTTGACGATCTTGTCAGTAGTGCAGCTGCTTCTTGAAATCGATTCAACGATAAATAAAAATCTACAAACTCTGTAATGTAATCTATTTTTAACCATCTTTCGCAATCCAAAGCTCTGATAAACATACTCTCTGCTTTATTAACTGTTGTTATATTTCTACCATCCTGAAAAAACAAATTAATAACATTTTAATCTAGTATTAAATAATCAAATCAAGTTAAATTAACATGATAATGATAACAAAACTTACATCTTCTAATAGTAATTGAGCAATTCTCATACTTGCACCACAGTCATAGGGCGATAGTTTAAGTATATCGTAAAGTATGGAAAGTGTTGTTGGTCTATCGCCAAGTTTGTTGAAATATACATATTGATTGATCATCTTTAGGAGTCTGTCATCTTTTGGTTGAAATTGTGTCGGTATGGAGTTGTCGTTCGATTGGGCATTCGATTGGAAATTATTATGATGGCTGGTGTGGTGGTGATGTCGATGATTGAAATCATCGGTCTTTAGCAGTTGCATGAGGATGGCAAGTGTAATGACAATGAACAGCTGTCCGTATACACTTCTGAAGAACGGTATTCTCTGTGCTTGTCTTTGTTGATGTTGATTGATTCGTTGTTGTTGCTGCTGATACAAATCATTAAGACTTGCCATGTGAGTATTGATACTGTTGTTCATACCTCGGAAATCATCGCTATCATAATCTATACTGTAACTGCATGAAGAACTTGATCCACCACTTTTACTATTACTATTATTACTATCATTATTATTTACAAAACTATCATTATCATTTATACTACTATTATATATACAACTATTATTATGACTATAATCACCACTACTACTACTACTGCTATATATTAAACTATCATCTTCATCTTCATCTTCTTCCTCCTCATCTTCATGTTCATACTGATATTTTTCATTTTCTTCTTTGTCATTTTCATTATTTATATGTTTAAATATAGAATCATCAGTTGTTTCATTGATTTTTATATATTGTTCGATTGAGTCGTCTAATGAATGTATGATATCAGCACCAACAGGTTCCGCTAACTCTTTAGTTGGGGTGTTGTTGTTGGTGTTGTTGTCTGTTTGTTCATTTAAAAGTGTATTTTGATAAGATTGATAAAGATATTCATGTCTTAGTTGATCATCTTGATAACTAGTATTAACATTAAAAAAATCTTGTACTTTTTCTTCTTCTTCTTCTAGATTATTGTTATAATACATGATAACAACATATTAATATTTATATAATAATTGAAAATGAATGATTCTTTGCAAAGTTTGTTAGTGGTTTAAAAAAAAAAAAAAAAAAGGTGATTTAAAAATTATTCTTTGGAAAATCTTTGCAGAAAAGGAAAAATGACATTAATTAAATCTTCAAAAGTTGACTATTTTTAATATGTCAAGTCAAAGTAATTCTTTACAAATCAAATGATCATTTGTAAATTTGGTAATTGTTACTCTCGAATCGAAAAAAGTAACATTTTAATAAAACAATTGTTATTTTTAAAATTAAAATTGTGTTAATTTAACATTTGTTTATAATTATGCTATAGAAACTCAATTGACCCTACAAATTTGTTGAACAAACCAATTCAAGAATATATAATTAAATAATTAGAGGTGGTGTGTGAATAGGAAAAAAAAACAAAAACAATTTTACAAAATGCGTGTCACAACAGATTCATTTTACTGTTTACTATTTTTATTTATTTTATTTTTTGTTGTAAAATAAACTACTTACTATTGTTTTTTTTTACAAACTACAACAGTGCTATCTATCTATCCCACCATTACACTCTGTAGATACCGCCGAAACATGAATGAAACTAATTTACACAACCAATATAGAGCAAGCAGCATAGCATATACAACCTATAGGTCGTATAGTTTGTAGAGTTTATTAATGAATATGAATATCATAACATAAAATGAAATAACAGAACACCCTACTTTCTACTACATCAAATTCAATTCAATGTAATTGACATTGTTATTAATAGATTCAATAACAATATCTCCAAATATGATTTTTCAATGACATGACATCTAGTCTATTTTGTTATTTTAATTTATTTTATTTTATTAATTAAATAATAATATCATTGTATTGTTAAAATTTTATAGTAATAATAATAAATAATTATAATAATAATAATAATAATACTCAATCGGAATCATTAAAATAATCAATAAAAATAAAATATGGATGATAAAAATTATCCAGCAATTGAAAGTCATGGAGTCATTGGTAATATGTTAACCACTGCGTTGGTCTCCAATCAGGGTGAAATGAACTTTATGTGTTATCCATATTTCGATTCACCTGCGATATTCTGTAAGATTTTGGATGCCAACAAGGGTGGATACTGGAGTATCAAGCCATTAGTGTCGGCCTATAAATGCAAGCAAAGCTACTGGCCCGATACTAACGTGCTTCAGACTCGTTTTCTCATGAAGGAAGGTGTCTGTAGCATTGTTGATTACATGCCAATTGTAAATGGTAAAGGAATGGAATGGACAGTAAGTATCAAACTTTATCAAAACAAAAAACAGAGATCTCTGAGAATATTTTATCTTAATTTGATCAATTAAATAGGTTAGAAAAGTAAAGGTTATAAGAGGTAAAGTTGATTTCGAAATGAAATGTTTCCCTACTTTTAATTTCGCTCGTACTCCTCACACTGCCAAGGCAAAGAGACATGGTTACTTGTTGAATGCCAACGGAGTTGAACTCGAGTTACTCTCACACTTTCCGATGACTTTGATGCCGAATGGTGAGATCAACAGCAAGTTTACATTGAAGGAGAATGACAGTGCAATCTTTGTGTTAAAGGATCCAAAGGAAGATGTTGAACTCTTCAGTTTCAGTGATCACCTTGGATGTTGTCAACGTGAGGAGTATCTATTCCGTTCGACTGTTGACTTTTGGCAAAAGTGGCTTGAAAAATGTACTTACAAAGGACGTTGGCGTGAGATGGTAGAACGTTCTGCACTGGTTCTCAAGCTGTTGACATTCTCTCCGACCGGTGCAATCGTTGCTTCTCCAACTTGCTCACTCCCAGAGGATCTTGGTGGTGTTAGAAACTGGGACTATCGTTTCACTTGGATTAGAGATGCTGCTTTCACTGTGTACGGTCTAATTAGAATAGGTTTCACCGAGGAAGCTAAAGGATTCATGGAGTGGCTAGAGCACAGATGCATACAGTCTGACTACAGTGAGTGCGAGAAGAGAGGTGAAATGCCTTTGAAGATTATGTATAGTATTCACGGAGATGATAGAATCCCAGAAATTGAATTGGATCATCTTGAAGGTTATAAGAAATCGTATGTTATTTAATTAATAATCTAGTCGACATATGTAAATATTAACTATTTATTTATTAGTTCACCAGTTCGTGTTGGTAATGATGCAGTTAATCAAAAACAATTGGATATTTTCGGTGAACTTATGGATTCTATTTATCTTTCCAATAAATATGGTTCGTTGGTTAGTTACGAATTTTGGAGTCATCTTAGAAAGCTTATCGATTGGGTTTGCGATCACTGGAATGAAACGGACGAAGGAATTTGGGAGGTTAGAAGTGGTAGACAACACTTTGTTTACTCAAAGATTATGTGTTGGGTAGCAATCGATCGTGGATTGCGTCTGGCTGACCGTCGTTCATTCCCAGCGACACGCGATAAGTGGATTCGTATACGTGATACCATCTATGAAGATATTCAAGAGAAGGGTTGGAATAAGAAAACCGGAGCATTCTCGCAATACTATGGATCTGACAATCTCGATGCCTCCACTCTAATCATGTCACTGGTATTCTTTATGGCTCCCAACGATCCACGTAATATTCAGACACTCGAAAAGATCTTGAAGCCACCCGAAGAAGGTGGTTTGGTATCAAACTCATTGGTGTTTAGATACAACACTCATGAGTCTGAGGATGGATTGACAGGATCCGAAGGTACTTTTAACATTGCCACCTACTGGATGATCGAAGCCCTTACAAGAGCAGGTAAAACTCACCGTGAATTCTTGGTCAAAGCAAGACTAATGTTTGACGAAATGCTTGGTTATGCCAATCATTTAGGTCTATTTTCTGAAGAGATTGGTTCAGGTGGTGAGGCTTTAGGTAATTTCCCACAAGCATTCACACATCTCAGTTTGATTAGTGCTGCATTCAATTTGGATAGAGTATTATCAAACAAGCCAACTCAACCAAATTAAAATACAATTTAAAAATAAACTACCAAATTTAATTTAACAACAATAAATTTTTATTTTTAAAAAAAAATATTATTCATTATCTTCTTCATCATCTTCTTTATCTTCATCATCTTCATCATCTTCATCTTCTTCTTCTTCATCTTCTTCATCTTCTTCATCATCATCTTCATCATCTTCATCATCTTCATCATCTTCTTCATCTACATCTTCATCATCTTCAGATGGTTGTTGATATTGATTTAAACTTTCTATGATAAAATAATATACATCATTCTTAATGTGATAACCAATAGAGTTTGGAATATCCAGTTCAAGCTTGATATTATTTTCTTTAAATAAGTTAAGTGTTTCCTCCAAGATGTCAAACAAAGTTTCATAGTCTTCTGGTTGAAAGTCTCTATAAGACACTTTAATTGATTTCAATGTCTTTGAGTGAAACTGTAAAAGTGGTCGTAGGAATTCGATATTGTTTTGTAGTGGATGGTCGTAATAATCTTTGACAATATCAATGGTGAATCTTTCAATGCCATGTCCATCACCGTTGGGTGTACTCATAATGATATGACCAAGAAGCTTACTATAGCTAGTCTTATATCCATAGTATTTAGAGACAATGATTTCCTTTAGATTTGGCATTATCGGAGGGTATACTAAATATCCATCCTTTGCGATTGCTTCACAATAGGTTTGATCCACATCGATTGGTTCATATTCTTCGATGTCCTGAAGGTCGTTTCTTGATAAAGAGCTAATGGAGTTGTGATCGTATTCATCAGTTTCCAAGGCGAAAACTTCAACTCTTGACATCAATCGGTTTGCATATTCGATACCTTGATCATAGGGAATGTATTTGATTGATGCATATTCGAATAGCAATGGTGGAGACTTGACCAATTTGTATTGACTGTCATTATTGTTAAGATCGAGGTTTCCACACCAATCAAAATGTTTGTTGTCTATAATCTTTGAAATTATTTTAAAGAATTGTTTTGACACCATTGCAAGACTGAAGAGTTGCTCTTTATCAACCAAGTTTGGGAAGTGTTCTGAGTAAAATACGTATTTACTGTATTTGTGATAATAATATAGACGATCATCTACATCATGTGGTAGAGAAAGTGTAATGATCTGAACCAATAGTGACTCTGAAAGGATAATTTGTTTTGCTGGTAACTCTTTTTTCTTCTTCTCTTTGACTTCTTTAGAATGAATCGGTCTTCTTCTATCATTATATGACTTAATGAACTTTTGTTTCTCTAAAACATTTTCATTGTAAATGATATCATAAAGATAATCGTATGTAAACAAACCAATTGGCTCTAAACGATTGTAGTCAAAACAATCACTGAAGCTTGATATCCTTTGTTTCAATCTTTTAACATCTGATTCATTCCATTTCTTAAACCATTCATTAATCTAAGTATGTTTTAATTATTAATAATTAAATAATATTTTATTAATATCTATGTCAATAAACTTACCCTATTATCATTAACAATTCTATTAAATATATCCATTATAACTGAAGTATAGGTAACAGGTACCAACTTAAGTATTGGACTGAATACCTCATCAGTTTGTTCAAAGAATACATCGGCAATGAATTTGGCATAACCATTGGTATCGATAAAGTGAACATACTTGGAGGAATTGTGATATTCTACAAAGAATTGAACACATACCGATCTGATTTCGGTGGAGCCTTGATCGCACCCAAAATATTGGTCATAGATCTTGATCAGATTTGAAATTGAATTCATATCGTCGTAATCATAAACAGATTGAGTCGATTGCACTGTTTTGATGGTTTTGATCTTTAAGTCTCCATTAAAAAGTGATCTAATTCTTTTATTTGAACGACCACTACCATATGACTCAGGAAGTCTCTTCTGTGCATAAACATGATGGTTATCTGAACTGTTCGAACTCATTTGAATTTATTGAGTACTATATTGAATTTATTGAATACTATATGCTGTTATGTTCAGAGTAAAACATTAATTGAATAAAGTATACTTGTAAAAAAAATAATAAAAGGTATACCTCATAAAAAAATCAAAAGTGTTTAAACATGAGAAGTTTCTGTTTTTTTTTTTTCATTCAAAACTTGTTCTCTTGAGTTTGAATTAATTTTATTTTCCTAAATAATAAACAAATGTATTAAATACATTCTTTTTTTAGAAAGAAAAAGTCATTTTAAAGAAGTACAAATAAATTTCAACAATCAAATTAATAATATAACTACCATTTTTTAATATTTCAATTGATTAAGTCGATATACAGTATTTCTGAATCAGACATTTTAATAGAACCTGATGTACTTATCATTGATTTTGTTTCCCAACTTAGAGACTGCTAAGAAGTAACCAACTTTGGTTTAACTGTTTCTAATCAAAAAAAAACAAAAATCTTTGTATTACTATTATATTAGTAAGTAGTTTTAAAACTATATCCTTATACTTCAATAAACTATTAGCATATCCTAATCTATTTTTCTTCAAGACACAATGAACGTAGAATAAATCTCCAAATTTATATTTATAATTTGTTATTTGTAATAGTTCTTACTTTAGAGGAGTAGTAATTAGAGGTGGATAGTCACCATTCATTGAGATGGTGGTGCCGTTGGGAAGCTTAAATTGTACCTCTTTAACCTCTTTATCTTTCTTTTTTCTCGTACACCCTTTTCACTTTTGGCTTTAGGTGTTTAGGACACAAACGCTGTTTGTTGAATTGTTTGATTTCATCTGCAGTTGGCTTATTCAATTCTAGTTCTTTTGTGTTTTTTCCTCTTCATCCACTTGTAGAGAGTAACTGATGATATGATGGATGACTGTTGTGACTGAATTTGGTTGAACCAATAAAAACAAAATAGACACCCTTTGGTCGAATCTCTAAAAAAACAAAATTGTAGATTGGATTGGTTCTGGAGTTGGCTCTGGAATATATTTACTATTGTCCTCAAGGAAAGGTTAGAGAGAAATTGGTTTTGCTAATTAGCACACATTGATTGTTTCTGTATATCAACTTAATCAATTATTTTATCAAAACGGTAGTTATATTATTAATTTGAAGCTTCGTCGATTCATTTTTTTTTAAACACAATTCTTATAACATAGTGTAAATTTTCAAAGATAATAAAGATTTAATAACAAAACTTAAACAATATAAATTTATTTTCAATTTTTTTCTTGAAACATATTATAACATTTTATTGAGCTCAACCTTACTATCTTTCCTGAAGATTAATAATAGTAACTTTGAATGGAAAAAAAAATAAAGCTTTGTGTTGGTATAAAATCAATTTATTATAATTCGATCATTATTTTGCTGTTCACCATCTACTAGCATATTATTATTTACATTGTTGGTATAATCCTCTGACTCACTGGAATCCACGTTTGTTTCGTTTAAATCACCATGTGGAATAATGATTCTAAATACAAGAAGAGTCGCTAAAAATAATGAAATATTAGAATATGGATATATCATATTGAATAACTATAGCTTTGAAAGTTAAAACTTACCAATGAGTGATGATATTGCACCAGTTAAAAGAGATGATACAACATCGTTGTGGAACAAAGATATTATAAAACTAATTCCAAGTGAAACTAAAAGCTGTGGTATAACAACGAATATGTTGAGTTCTCCCATGTGGAAACCACTCTCGGAAGGTGAAGAACCCATTCCCACCAAAGTGAATGGTAGTACCATCACGACTGCCCAAGGAATACCGGTGGCTCCAATTAAAAATATACAAGACAGCCTATCGGTAACAAAGAAGAACATTGAAAAACAAACAGTTTGAATGAGATTTCCTAGGAAATAGACAGTCTTTAGTCCACAGCATCGAATGAGGAATGGGATCATTAGCGAGGTTATGACCGACACCACCGAACTGATAGTTAGACCGAGTGATCCACGTCGTACGCCCTCTTGGAAGTCAGTTCTTGCTACCGAGCCTTCGGGTGCATTAGGATTACCATTATATACATTGACACCGACCCAAGTAGTTACATATAATACAAAACAAAACCAACCAATCCATGAAAAGAATTGTACACAGCAAAACTCTCACCAAATACTGTGGCATGTGTCTTAAACCTTGGAATATCTGTTTGAATGGATTCTGTGGATCATGCATCAACGGTCTTTTATAAGGCGCTTCCTTTATAACCAACAAAGTAATTGCTATACATATAACTAAAACAATACTAGATAAAGCTAAAGAATATATTAATGAAATTAATTAATATCAAAAAAATATATATTATATGAACAAAGTCGCACTTACTAAACAATGCTCTTAAATCTGTTTTCATAAATGGAAATACACCAATGAGATGAACGGAACCCATGAAATAACCAATTAAATTGCCTAGACCCAACATTAAAGAAAACAGAGAACTACCTAATCCTTGTTGTGCAGGTGATGCTACATCCACCAACAATGCTCTACATGGTGATTGTACTGTATTATTTGACAAATCCAACACCCAAAATCCAATAATCTAGATAGGAAAATATAAGAATAAGTAAGTAAGTAAAGATTTTTAAAATATTATTCATAATAATATGATAACTTACAGCAATAATGATTGCCATTTTCTTGCTTGCTTCACTATCACCAAATAATTCACCGATTGAAGTTGCATTGGATATCAACATCAAACCAACGACAATGAAGAATGTACCGAATAAGATAAAAGGTCTTCTTCTACCGTATCTACATTCCAACCGGTCACTTATTACACCAACGATAGGTTGTACCAACAATCCTGAAATAGGACCAGCCATCCATATGAATGATACTGCAAAAGAAGGTACACCAAGTTCCAAAAATAGAGGTGTACTAAATGCTATTTGTAATGCCCCTATAATAAATAAATAATAATAATAACATTACATTACAATTAGTTAAATATTTGAACATTTTAAAATAATTACAATATTATTAATACTTACAACCAAATTGTACACCAAGAAAAGAAAGTGTCAATGCTATTAATTTATAAAGTGGAATATCGGATGGAGTATCTTCTTGCGGTATAATGTTTTGTGTTGTTAAAAGAATGCCTGCATTATCTATACTATTATCTAGATGATGATATGATAAATCATTGTTGTTGTTGTTGTTGCTCTGTGATAATTCGGGTTGTAGCAACTGATTATCTGCACGATGTAATATTACGTTGTCATCTTCATCTTCATTTTCATTACCAATAGTATTATCATTTTCATAATCAATATCTATATTATTATTTTTATTTCTATCATTATTCTCTGAAGAATCTACATTATTATTGTTATTACTATTATTCTGATTGGATTGCTGCTGTTGCTCGTTCACCAATTGATATCCATCTTTTTTTAAATTAAACTTTTTCATTTCATTTCATTTATTAAAAAATGATTATTTTGATTTTTATCTAAAATAAATTTTACTTTTTATTTACACAAATATTAAATAAAATAAAAACAAAAAAGTAGAATGTTATTATATTATATAATACAATTACTTTTTAATTAATTTTATAATAAAATTTTTTTTTGTATTTATTTCATTTTTATTTTAAAAAACTTTAATTTCAATATTTTTTTTCCTTTTTAGATTAAATTAACTGAGTGTGGTTGGAAATAGAACTCTAACACACAAATATAATTTTGTTTGCACAAACTTCAACTTTTTTTATTTTTCTTTTATCTATTTAAAATTTTGAATACCTACTAATTACAGATAGATAATTAAATTAAAACAATTTGAATTTGATTAGAGATGGTAGAATTAAAAGTTATTTAATTTGTATCAATATTTATGTTATTTTTACATATTTTTATAATCAACCATATTTAAAATTGTATATTTTTTTTTATTTAACTCATGCCAATAAAATATGTATATAAACTGTTCTTTATTTTTATTATTTTTTTTTTTTTTTTTAAAAAAATGTTCATATTTTATTTAAATTTGTGTTTAATTAAAACAGAGTTGGTTGCTTTAGTATGTTGACTTCTATTGGACATTAGTTTGAATTTTACAGTTTTAACCCTTGCCAGTGGCTGATCAGGCTGGCTGTTCCGGTGATTGAAGATCGGATGATCTTATATAAAGTGAGGAGTGGCTTTAGATAGTAGGGTAGGTCGTGGACAGAAGGTTGACCTTCTTTGGTTGTCTCTGTGTTGTATGTACCAAAGGCACCAATGATTATAGGTATGACTGCTACATTGTGGTCTGGGTTACTCTTCTTAAGTGCGGCTGCTAGTGGTTGGTATTTTTCAATCTTATCTCGGCTCCTTTTGACAATGTTGTTATCATATGGTACTGATATTTCGATGATTTTGATTGATTTCTTGGTTCGGTTCTTAACGATTAGATCTGGTTTGTTGGTTTTGGTCTTTGCATTATCTATTCTGGCTTCATGTAGGATCTCAATGATGTCAGACTGGTTGACTGCGCCTGGCTTGTAAGGTATTCTGTGGAACTTCAGCATCTCTTTGAGTATCACTTTCACTACCATGTTGTGTCTTGGAATTATACATAGTAGTTTCATCGCGTGGCATGAGGATACAATGTGCTCAATGGACTCTCTTACGGAATGACACTTTCTACATTTTGGATCGGTTACGGCATTTCCCATGATTCCTTTTGCTGACAGGGTGTTCATGTTCTCTGTCAGTGCAAGCCATAGGTAATGGTCAACATTTATTATTTTCTAATTTTAAAATGACAATTATTTTAGTAATTCTCACAAATAGAGAATTTGTTAGCTATTACACGAAAACATATAATAACTCCAATGTCTAAGCATGCTAAACAAAGGTCACTTGTGTATTAGATTAGTATGTTCAAAGAGAGATTACAAGATCTGTCACCAGAATTTACCTTTATTTTTTATTTGAATTAGATTGCTGTTTATCTAATCTAACTTTCTTTTAATTTTTCATATTGAATCATAATCATTCTTTTTGTTCTTATCTCTATGTTTCTCCCTAATCAAATTAATAAAAAAATAGAGGTAAATTCATGATGAATCTTTGCTATGTTTTTTTAGAGATTCACCAATCTATCGAAATAATAATTATTATCTATTCATTATAATCTTTGAATGATTAACTTTTTAAAAAAAAAATAAGAAAAAATCAAAACTGTTTTGGATTATCAGTGCAAGGAAGAATCTGTTAATCTGAAAAATAAATGGTTGTAGATATTTTATTTTATTTTTTAAACCTTTTCGGTAATAAACTCAGGGTGTTGATATTATTTTGTAGAGAGAAAAAGAGGACCGGCAAATGTAAAAAAACCAAACAATGAAGTGATCTGTAGAAAGTTTTTTTGTTTTTTTTTAAGCCTTTAAAAATTTGAACAACCTGGGAATAATGCAATGTCGACAAAAAGGAAACACAATTTTGATTGTTGGGGGTGGTATCTCATCTTAATTTTATTATTTTTCATTTTAAAAAAAATACGAATTTTTGTTGGTGCACATGAAACCCCAAATGGTATACACAAATAAAAATAATTTTATATTTTTTATATTTTTAGGAATTATCTTTGTTCTTCAATTTTTTTTTTTTGTGTGTTGAGTGAGTAATGAGTCAAAAAATAAAATAAAATAGCTTTTACTTTTCTCCATCCTACCAATTCAATTCCTATTATTTACCAATCCTACCCGAATAATAATTACATTATAAATACAACAAAATATACATACCTATATAACTTATAACTAGACTTAGATTAATAATATATATATTTAGGAACAACCTAACAAAGCTAAAAGTAAACTTTTATAAATTATCATCAACATCATCATTTTTTTCAATCGAAAAAGAAAAGGATAAGAATATTTTCATTTTTTATATTATTATAATAAATAAATTGCAAATATTCTTTTTTATTTTATTTTATTTTTTTTTATTTGTTTATTTATTTTTCGAAAGGTTAGTGAGATGAAAAAAGACATCAATTTTAATATATTGACTTCACAACACACACACCACACACACACACACACACACACACAAAAACAAAAACAATAACACTAACACAATAACATTCACTTATTCACACACACAATAATTTACCACTATAAAACCAACCAAAACACAACAGATCTGTTCGCTCAAACAAATAATAACAAAAAAAAACGATAAACATTCAAGCACACACTTTTTTAGCTGTCACCAAAGTTCAATCAATTCCTATATAATACCACATCTATCCATTTTTGTATATAAATATCATTATCATATTTGTAAAGAAATAACTAAATATATATCATTTTTCATTATCTACCACCACTCTTCTCACCATTCCATTTATTACTCAACAATTAATTAAATTTATATAACATAACAGTAAAAATATTAATAAAAATTAAAGGTATACCATATTGCACTTCCACATAATCCAAAACAAAACAATTTTTCACTCATTCCACACATAAATTATTTCTCTCTGTTTTATTTACTCCTACCCTCATTCATTCGTTCATTCAATCAATCACTGAATCATTCAGTTCTTTGATTTATATCAACATATCAATCAAATCAATAAACATCTCAAATTTATATTAATAGTAGAAAAGATAAAAAGACAATTTACATATATATATAAATTATAAACAAACAGAATATATCACTTAATGTATTGAAATAGTGTGGGTTGTTTTCACTTTTGTTGAAAAAGGAGGAATTTGTATGATTTCATAAAATTAGTTTTTGTTGTTGTTGTTGGTTATAGTAGTTTAATTTGAATTCAAGTTTTATTGTTTTGGATTTCTATCTCTTAGATTAATCTTTAATAATCTTAAATCAATTACCATATCTCTCTTTTTTATCTGCAATTGGTTTTTTTTTTTCACCATTTGGTTGTTTTAAAATTAAATATATAACCCAACCCACACACCTACACCTACAACCTAAAAGTAAACAAAATCAATCAATCAATCAATCAATCATTTTTTTTTAATTAATTTCTTTATATTTACCAACCAATTAACACTACTAATTATTGCAAACATATTGATTATTTTTAAAAGTTCATTTTTTCTTATTTCTTTTTTCATTCGCTATTTCATTCATTTAACTCTTTTTACTTGGATTTAAAATTAAATCCAATAACCAATCACTATTCAATCAGTAGTTAGGTCTGACATTCAATCATTCATTTATTCATTCATTCAATCATTCAATCATAACATTTTTTTTATTTATATTTGCTTGTCATTGTTTGTTTGTTTGTTTTTTATTAATTATTAATGAATCAGTTTAAAATAATTTAAAATAGTTTTATTAACATTTAAATTCTTTATTTTATTTAGTTTTTTCATATTAGAATATCGATATAGTTTATTTTTACTTTTTCATATATAATCCAGCTTTTTACAATCGATAGATAGAAAGTTTATAATATTCTTTTTTTGTTTTTTTTTTTTTTTGTTTTTTTATATATGAATTTTAAATATTTATATGTGACACTTTTATTGAGTGTCATATTTATTTCTACAAATGGATCAGTTCTATCATCAGTGCTCAACCCTCATATTCAATCCAACTGGACGACTGAGGGTTGTTCTATGTTTGGTATAAATGGTAGTTTTGTAGAAGCTAGAAATTTTACACCACAAATGGTAAGTTTTATTAAAAAAAAAATAGATAGTTGTTTGAAATTATAATATACTTATAATTGTTTGTTGTTTGTTGTTTAGCCAAATCCACCATTGGCAAACTATACTTGTCAAGCCTATTCAGATATGGCATGTTGTGATTATGATCAATCGATTGTGCTTGCCACTAATATGGCTATTGCCGGTGGTATGTTTGGTCGTTGCAGTGCGTGCATCACCAATCTCTGGGATATGTGGTGTGGTTCCAGTTGCAGTCCGTATCAATCGTCGTTTATGATTATGGACACTGTCGATAATAAAACTCACCAGGTCAAGGTGGCCACTTTCCTGATCGATGAAACCTACGCTGTGGGACTCTACAACAGTTGTCGTGATGTCAATGCTAACGGAATGGGTCCGATTTCAAATACTTACCCCGACGCCTATTCATTGCTAAACAATCTATTCGGTGGAAGCAACAATCCCGCTTTCCAAATTCATTTCATCTACGATCCAAACGGTTACTCTGGAAATATCATCAAATGCGAAGACGTCTGTTCCTGTGACAATTGTCGTGACAGCTGTGTCATTCCCGAGGAAGTAAAAGGATTGAATTTAAATACATCCTTGCCAACAACCTATTTCTTTAATCATGAGTAAATATCATATCATAAACTAAACATATAGATAAAAGATTACTTACTAATATTATTCTTTTTTTTTTTTTTTTTTTTAGAGTTCCATATGTTTCACTTTGGTTTTTATATTCATACATGTCATTGATTTTAACAACTCTATCGATTATTACGCTATATTATGCATACAGATTCTATAAGGTTTCAAGAAGAAAATTATGGATACACTCGAGTATCTTTGTTATTTTTATGTGGGTGTCAGCTATGGCCATTCCATTGATAAGTGGTCCTTCGGATGCAAACGATCGTCACCGAGAATGTTACTATAAGATGCCATATGACTACGATTGGAATTGTGCATTGGCAATCTTTGTTGCTATCTACTGTCCCAGTTGTTGTATTATCCTTGCTTGTATGTCGATTGCTTACTTTTACTTTGCTCGTGCAAACTTGGATTCAATGGCATCGTCGTCGACTGTCGTCAGCGTTGAAAACAAGTACTACGATAACTTTTATTCATCGGAATCACCAACACTCCAAGCTATCGGTATAAAAGATCCATCGATCATTCAAAAGATGTTTTATAACTATGGTAAATTCATTACTCGTCACCCGGCTTGGGTCATTGGTTTGGCACTGTTGTTTGTTGCCGGTTGCTCGGTTGGTATCATGAAGATTGAGATTGAGCAGGATCCAGTCAAGTTGTGGGCAGCGCCAACCAGTCGTGCCGTCCAGGAAAAGAACTATTTCGACGAGCATTTCGGACCATTCTATCGTACTGAACAACTTATCATCTCGTTGCGTAACGACACCAATGCCAATATCCTCTCGAACGACAACCTCGCGCTGTTGATCGAGTTGGAGTTGCACCTGATGAATCTCACTGCCGAGTTTGAAGGTAAAACAATCACACTCGATGATCTCTGTTTCAAACCAACTCTCGAGGGTTGTATCTGTGAATCGGTAACAGGTTATTGGCAGCGTAGTTTAGATGTATTGTCTCAACAACCATGGGCATCGCATTTCAACTATTGTCTCACCTCTTCGCTTGACAGTACCTGTATGGATGCAATCGGTGTCCCTGTGATGCCAAATGTTGTGTTGGGTGGTTGGAATACTGATAACCTTCAGAATACATTCAATTCCACTGCATTTGTCACAACGTTCCTCTTGAATAACTTGGCTGACAACCAGACAGTCAACGAAGCATGGGAGCAAGTCTGGTTGAACGAAGTGAAGCGAATCAACAGTAACACAAGCTACCCGTTCTCCATTGCATACTCGTCGGAGAGATCGGTTCAAGATGAGTTGGCAAGAGAAGGTGCAGCCGATATCCCAACGATTATCATCTCCTATTCTGTCATGTTTGTCTACATCTCTATTGCACTCGGTAGATACTACCCAATTCCCAGTCGTTTCTCATCATTCTTTGTCAATTCGCGTTTCACTCTTGGTCTCTCTGGTATCTTCATTGTTGCTCTCTCCATTGCAACATCGGTTGGTATCTGTTCGGTGATTGGCGTCAAAGCAACTCTTATCATTTCCGAGGTTATTCCATTCTTGGTGCTAGCGATCGGTGTTGACAATATCTTTATTCTTGTGAACACCTTTGAGTCGATCCACGTGAGAACCGCCACTGAACATCCAGCACCTGAACAATCGTTGGCTTGTGCACTTGCCAAAGTCGGTCCATCGATGGCACTCGCTTCTCTCTCAGAGTCACTCGCTTTCCTCCTGGGTATGCTCACCAAGATGCCTGCAGTCGTTGCATTCTCACTGTATGCATCGGTCGCTATCTTCTTTGATTTCCTTCTTCAGATCAGTATCTTTGCCTGTTTGTTGGTTATTGATACTCGTCGTCACGAGTCAAGAAGAATCGATTGTTTGCCATGCGTTGCACTCAACGATGGTGCGCCATCCGACGATGATGAGCCCGAACAACAGCCATTGGTCGCCTCTACCAACTCCTCCGACTATGTCACCTACAAAAAGAAAGACGGATTACTCAAATACGCATTCAAGACATACTATGCTCCATTCCTTATGCATCCAGTTGTCAAGGTGGTCTCTCTGCTCTTCTTTGTCGGTCTACTCCTGACTGGAATTACCTACGCTCTCCAACTGGAACTCGGTCTCGAACAACAAGTCGCACTTCCACGTGACAGTTACCTCCAAAACTACTTTGATCAACTCGCCGACAAACTAGAAGTCGGTCCACCATTCTATATCGTCGTAAAGGAAGGTTTCAACTACACAAGCATTCAGGAGCAGAATCAACTGTGTTCGGTCGGTGGTTGTAACAACAATTCCATTGTCAATGTCTTTAACAACGTTCCCTACATGGCTAAAGGTATTTCCTCTTGGTTAGATGACTACCTTTCATTCACCGATAACATTGCATGTTGTAGTGTCGATAACAATGGTACTCTATGTCCAGTTGGTTGGACCGATCCAGGTTGCACCATTTGTGGTGATCCAGCAACCAACAGACCATTCCCACAGTCATTCGAACACTTCCTTCCAATCTACATGAACTTCTTGCCACAACCACAGTTTTGTGCTGTCTCTGGTCTTGGCCATCAACCAGACATTCAAATTCAAAACGGTACAATCATTGCAACTAGATTCGATGGTTATCATACAACTCTTAGAGATCAAAAAGATTTTATTAATGTAAGTTAATAGTATTATTATTATAACTAAATTATTTACTAATTACATTATATAATGTTTTTTATAGGCACTAAAAGCAGCATATTATGTTGTAGATCATTCTGATTTACCTATTTTCGTTTACTCTGTATTCTATGTTTACTTTGAACAGTATCTCCATATCACATCGATTGCAATTATGGATATTCTTCTTGCGTTGGCCGGTGTGTTTATTGTTAGTTTGTTGATCTTGGCTAATCCAGTGATTGCAGTTCTCGTTGTTATTTGTGTCGGTTTGGTTAGTATCGATCTACTGGGTATCATGACACTCTGGAGTGTAAACTTGAATGCCGTATCGGTTGTCAATGTAGTTATGGCAATTGGTATTTCAATCGAATTCTGTGTACACATTGCACATGCCTTTATTCATGCACCAAAACATTTGTCAAAAGATGAAAAAGCCAAATTTGCAGTTTCTGAGATTGGAAGTTCAATCATCAGTGGTATTTTCATCACAAAATTATTAGGTGTTGTAGTTTTAGGTTTCTCAAAGTAAGTAACTTACTTGTTTAATAGACTATCATCATTATTAAGATTACAATAATAACTAACTAACAAACTTTATTATTTTTTTAGTTCTGAAATTTTCGAAGTATATTATTTCCGTATGTATATCTCAATTGTCATACTTGGTGCATTACATGGTCTTGTATTATTGCCAATTTTGCTCAGTTTATTCGGAACCGATAGATTCTCTTTTGGAAACTTACTGAAAAAGAAAAATGATCTTGGATTATCCGATTTATAAATAAACAAACAATAATAATACGATAAAATAAAAAAACAAAATTGTCAATAATAATATAAGTTATAATATAAATAGTATCAATCTGTATTTGAGCATGTTTTTTTTTTTTTAATCAGCTTTTCTCTTTTGTGCACCACTGAAATAACGATCTTTCTTTGCTGTCGCTGACGATGAATCAGTACGACTCTGTTCACCGACTGCCAGTTGTAATCCGGTGACTGGCGTGATCATGACACTCTGCAGACCGGACATCGTAAGCTGACCACTACCATAATCTTTTTGTTCGATCTTCTTTTTCTTTAAAATTCCACGGTCCTGTGCCATCAGTCTGACTTTTCCTGTTTCTCCACCAATCATACCCATACCGACCTCGCCATCGGCAGTAGTTTTCTCTTCGACACCAAACGCCATTCTATTCTGAGCCTTTCTCAGATCGGTAGTTTGATACTTTTGTTTATATGCTCTCGCTCTCTTTCCACCACGTTTCTTCTTTGGCCGATCATCCGGTGCCGGCAGCGCTTTGATTTGTTTAACGGGTGGCGGTTCTTGCCATTTCTCAATCTGTGCCATAACAAGATCTCTAAATTGTCTACCTGTTTCACCATCTATTAATAATTAAAAAAAAAAAAAACAATTAATAAAATAAATCATCAATTTAATAATTCCATGTTTATCTCTATCTACTTACATAATGAAGTTTCTTGTTGTGCATCTACTCTTGCACAGATCGATACTTTTCCAGTTAAAACTCTGATTGCTTTCTTTTGAAGATAGGGAGGTGCTTTCTTTACTATTTCACATTGGGAGATCAAACCGGATTGAAAACGTCGGTTTGTCATTCCACTGAAACCCTCGAGATGCTTCTTGGAAGCACCGAAAGTCTGCAGGTTGCCCGCGGGAATCACCGAGAGATTCTGTACACCACCGGCAATACCAATGAGTCGCGCTGCAATGCTACTGCCAAGTAGAACCGAGAGATTCGGTGCAATGAACGACATTCTACTCTCCAGGTAGCTGAGTATCAACTTCTTGTTGCTGTCCAACTCCAACGCCATATCGCAGCCATTCAGAATGATATCGGTGTTCTTTTCGCTCAGCGGTTTGCCGGTGGTCGAAGAGAACGTAACCAGCAACACCATAATCGTTGCCTTTGGTAGCAAATCATTGAGATCCACCTGTGTAAGATCCGATTGATTTCCTATTCGCTTTACAACATTGATGTAGTCAAGTGGATTCTGTACGGTGGAATCCAACTCTGGGAACTTTATACTGTATCGCTCACGCACGTATTTATGAATCAAATAGATCTCATGTTGAATATCCTGTACCATCGCATTACATTCTACGATCAACTGATGCTCTGTTGTACCTTGTGCTGTCTTTTCACCTTTATTAGGTAGTTGTTGATTCAGTTGTACATTAACTCTCTATAAATTAAAGTAATGAAATATTAACAACAATTATAATAATAATAATGAAACAAAATGTTAATACTACTTACCTCTAATATATTATTCAATTTATTTGAACCTTTTAACTTTGCAATTGATTCCAATGGAGCATCTTTAAGATTTGAAATTAAATCGTTTTGTTTCTTATCTATTTGATCATCTGTTAGCATTAAGTCATCTTGATCACCTTTATCATCTTCCTCTGGGTCGACGACTTTGCATTGGATATCACCATCTATTGACTCTGATGCATTGTTGGTTGTTGTTGTTGTAGTACTGACTTGTTCATCATCATCTTCATCACTATCATTTATATCATTAAGAAATTCATCTGCTAATGTTGACATACTCTAACTATCTATCTCTTTTAAGTGTATAATAATATAATGATAAAAATATTATTATCTTACAAATAAATGTTTCGTTTTTTTAAAATTTTTTTAATTAATTAAATTTCTTCAATAAAAAGTTGATTTTCTAAAAGGATTTCCAAAAATGGAAATAGAAGAAATATAAATAAACTTACTATTAATTTTTATTTTATTTATTAGAGAGAGATACTCCTTTATTTATATATTGCCCATTTAGGATTAATCAAATAATTGAAGAAAACAAAGTGTCTTTAACTTGGAAAATATTTTGGTAGATTCCAATATTTCATCTCAATTCAAACTTGGAAATGATTGTTCTCTGACAACAATTGAAACTGCGGACAACTGAAGAACAAAATAAGTCATTTATATATTCATTGATTGATGATTATTGTTTTGTTTTGTTTTTTTTGATAGAATTTAACTATGGAAATCAAAGTTTTCAAGTCTGGAGAAAAAGTTTATTTGTTTTATATATTATTAACCCTGGGTAAATATGAAATCGAAAAGTTCTATCTGTACCCCAACTCTCTGATGTTGTTGATTAATTCAAACTATTTAAACTGTAACACAATCACTCTTTTATTTGAATTAAAAAATAAGTAAATATGAGAATAATAAATTTGAGTCTAAATATAGATTAAAAATCTGAAATCTATCCAAAATCTTTTGTGGTTGGTATTGAGAAAGAATGAGAGAAATCATAGACCAGCTGCTATTATACTAGTAGTTTTGTAATGTGTATAAAACTAGTCAATGAAAATTAAATTTTTTAGAAATAAAAGTGAACAATAGAACAGTTGTTATAATAAATAAAAAATAAAATAAGTTAAAATATAATAAAAAAGATAAAAAGAATTGTTAATACCACTCGGAATCAAACCTCAAAAGTTTACTTTTTGAAAAAAAATTCGAAACCATTTTTTTTTTATTGATTAAAATTTAAAAAAAAAAAGGAAAAGTGATCAAAATACAGCAAAAGATAGATAGATAAATAAGATATACACTATACTATAGTATATTAAATTATATATTAAGCAGAAATGACAACATCAAAAGAGTAAGCAAATTCTCATGTTAATTATTAATAGTCTAAAAAAGAAACATAAAAATAATCATAATAATAATCATAATAATAAAGAAAGAGTGTACATATATGTTCATTTACACTTAAACATGGCTACATTTTGTCATCAACAAGTAACATAGATTACAAACATTAAAAAGAAATTCATACATACATACATATCTCATTATTCATTTCATTTTTACAATGATCATTGTACAATACACCATATGTAAACATTGTTAACAACAATATCTCTTGTTTTATTATAAAATAGTTTGATTGATCGTCGACAATCAAACAAAGGTTTAAAACTGTTATTCAATGTTAATACTATCCTATGAACTACATTCACATAATTCACAAGTCATTATTTGATAGATTTGTTTAAATTAAGTTGATCAATGATAGAAAAAGATAGTAGAAGTAAAAGTAGGTGGTTAAATGTGTGAATTTTAAGTTGTGTGTGTATGCTGTGTATGTGTTATGTGTTATGTATATGTTTTGTGTGTATGTGTTATGTGTTATGTGTATGTAGTGTATTTTGTGTGGTTTATTTTATTTATATATATAATGTGTAAGTGTATCTTAATGTTAACAGGCAAGTTTGTGTGATTTGTGGTGGTGGTGTTGGTGAATAGTGATCGATCAATCTATCACTGATATACTTATTGTTAACTTGTGCTTTCAAGAAATGATTGAATAATATCAAATAATAAAAACAACTAAAACAGGGAAGCAACAACAACAACAACCAAACCGACCAATACAACAGGTGCATATCGACACCATTTTACACCTATTACTTCAAACAATTTTAATAATCTTATTGTTATTGCCATAGTATTATAATATTTATTTATATATCAGTCAGTCTTTATAATCATTTTAAGAAACAACAACAACAACAACGACAATCAACAACAAATAATCAATCAATCAATCAATCGATCCATCCACAAACTATCAATCAATTAATCAATATATCAATCAGTTTATTGCTATCTACATACACTCTACAAAAAACAGCAACAACAACAACAACAACAACAACAACAACAACAAATAAAGAAATAGTTAAACTTTATTTGTTATTGTTATTGTAATTGTTATCGCAAAAAACCTATTTAATCAATTTAAAACAATAAACCTATTACTATAGATAATAGATTTATTATAACTTTTATCATTCACTTTAAATTGTTGTTAGTTTCGTTTCTATTCTATATCTGTTTGTCTGTTTGTTTTTGTTTTGTTTTGTTTTAAAGAAACAATTATTATTATATTTAAATAACTAACTAACTAGTTTGTTCATTTCAATTATCATTCACCTTATTAACTAATTAATTGTTAATAAAAATTATAATAATAATAACTACTTTTCTACACAATTCTATTCTATTCAAAACTATTTATTAAATTACTGTTATATTAATATCGAAAAATGCTTGATACAATCAGTCATATAAAGTTAAGATCGACTATACACCAGAAACTAATTGAATCCGGTGAGAAAGAACGACTAAAGATTCTGCTACGTAATAAACTGGTAGAGGCCGGCTGGCGTGACGAAGTTAAAACCTACTGTAGAGATTATATAAAGAACAACGGTGGTGAGAATCTGAGTATAGAGGAATTGATTCAACATATTACACCAGTTGCAAAGAGTAAGTTGTTGATTGTCATTGAAATGCGCACTTTAATTAATTTCTAACGAACGCGTTCGCACCTCCTATAGAAAAAGTACCACCACAAGTGAAACAAGATTTAGTCAAGAGAATCCGAAAGTTTCTTGGCCCTAATAATACTGGAATTCCAGCGACACTTCCACCTCACTAAAAATTATCACTTTTTGTTAATATAATACAACTCGCAATAACATAACTACTTTCACCCCTTCAATAATACCCAATATTAATATAGTCAATAATCATATACACCCACATATATAATATAATCAAATCAAATCAAACAGAAATCTGGAATTCCGAATCTCATCACCATCCCAAACCTACAACAACTAAACATCTCCCCCTTTTTTTTTTTTTATCCTTGTTTTTCCCTTTCCAAGGATATAACAAAAAAAAAGGTTAAACAAATTGTATAATTACTTTAATAAATGGAATAATAATAATTAACTAAATACTTTGTAAATATTATGTTGGAGTTTTAAATATATAAAATATATTTTAATATTAATATTAAATTTGGTGGATATGTTAACAAATACAATTGATGAAACTTTAAAAGTTGGTTGTTTGGTTATCGTTGATATTAAAGTATTCTTTCAATATCTTCTGTTATGCTATCTATTGAATTCTTTGAGTATGGCTGTGACGATTGTTCATTGATTTGTAAATATACATCGTTGTTAGTTCTGATGGTGTTGTTGCTGATCGACAGTGGTGTCGAACCAGACATTCCACCTACGCTATTGTAAGAGGAGGACGATGCAGGTTCATCATCCTCCAAATCGAGTAGAATCTTTTGTTGTTTCATCGATGACGATGAGTTGTTCAATCCAACGACATTGGTAGAGTGATTCAATATCGGTAAGCTAATATTACTAGAGGTACTGGTCGACAAGTTATGATTGTTCTCAATGTTGAACGGTGAACCCGAGAGAACATTGGGAGAGGTCGATGTTCTCAATCCGCTATTGCTATGATTGATCGCCACTGAATCATTGGTGATACTACTGTCTGCAGCAGCAGAGTACGAAGCAATCGATTTGTAATCCGTTGGTTTTCTAATCTCTGTGACACTCGATCCTCTATTCTTACTCTTTTCATTCAAAACACTTGTTACTCCACCTTTTTGATTCTGTTGAATTAACTATAAAGAGTTACATTACAAAACAATACAATTGTCAATAACAATAACAATAAACAATTAAACAAACTAGGTAAATACTACTTACTTGTATTTCACGATCTAATCTGGCATAGTGTTCTCTTCTCGCGTCAGTCTGGACACTCTCAAAACGCTGTATCTTTCCGTCACGCATCCAGATGATTCTGTCTGCATACATTTTGAGTCCGACATCATGAGTGACCATAACCAATGTAATATTTTCATTCTTATTTAAATCTGTCAATAACTTCATTACAACCGATGTATTTACTGTATCCAAATCACCACTATAGTAAAATATTTAAAAGTGTTGGTTAGTTTTTGTTTTCATTTGATTAATCAACAACTTACGTTGGTTCATCTAATAATAAAATATCGGGGTTGTTTGCCATTGCTCGGGCAATGGTAACACGTTGTTGTTCACCACCGGACAACTGTGAAGGAATATGATCGAGACGGTCTTTCATTCCGACCTTTGTTAACAATGAAATAGCTCGTTCACGTCTCTCTGTTGCTGAAAGTTCGCCAAGCAATATCATCGGCATCTCTACATTCTCCAAAGCAGTCAACGATGACAATAAATTAAATGTTTGAAATACAAATCCACTACAATTAAATTAATAATAATAGTAATAATAATGTTAAAATTAAATTAGAAAAAAACAAAACACTCTTTGAAAAAAAAAAATAAAATAAACAACAAAACTTACATATTTTTTAATCTTATATATGCTAAATCTTTATCTGTTGTTTTATGATTTATCACTTTTTTTTAAAAATGAAAATTGTTAATAAATATACTACTAATATATATATATATTCTCCGATGATTAATGATTTATGAATACTTACTTTTACCACATAATTTCATATCACCTTTGGTTGGTTTATCTATTGTTCCTATTAGGTTAAGCATGGTTGTCTTACCACCACCGGAAGTACCGAAAATACATACGAATTCACCTCTCTTTATATTCATTGTGACACCACGCAATGCCGGTACACCTTCTATTCCAAGTAGATAGGTCTTGTGAATATTCTTCATCACCACAATATTATTTGGATCGTTTATATCTATTCCATCGTCTTTCTTTAGTCTAACCTGTCCGAAATAACTTTCTTCTGTGCTAAAAGGTGATCCTATATCTGTTGCCATTCTAATATATATCTTCTATTTTCTCTTTAATATTTTTCTTTTTCTTTTCTTTTCCTTTCTTTCTAAATTCTAATATTTAATTTATATAATATTAAAATTTTTAATAAATAAATAATATATAAATAATATATAAATAATATCTAACTATCCTCTTTAATCTATTATACTTTTAATTAAAAAAGTTTAAATTAAATTTGATTGACTGACCTGTGACTGATTGATTAAAGATTTTGATAAAATAAAAAATTAAACAAAAAAAAAAAAGTAAATTAAAAATGAGCAAGCAAAAAACAAACTTAAACAAAAAAAAATAAGAAAATATCAATTAATTGTTTTTAATTATTAATAATTGATTTTAAAAATTATACATATATGTAATTTATATGTTTATGTTTTTGTTTTTTATTTTATTTTATTTTAGTACATGTTAAAAAAATATATTTTAAAAAATACCAACAACAACAATGGTTGGTTAGATGGTTGTCATTTGAACAAAATTCACGCATAATTCCTTTTTTTTTGAGAAACAAGAGGGTTAGATACAAACTCATATGTGTGTGTGTGATTTCAAAAAACTGAAAACGACATGAGGGAATTCATTTTTTTTTAACACACCGAAAAATAAACATTCTAACATCACCAACTGTTTGTTCTATCTAAAAATATTTTATAGAATTATAACTCTGTTTCTGTTCTTGTAATGTTGATCCAATCCTTTAAATCTTGAGTTCTACCAATATTTTTATCTCTTATGACTCTTATTTTATTTTCCTTCATGTTATTAATGAAAAAATATTATGTTTATTTTTAAGAAGTAATTGAATAACTCACTTCATCAAGTGAAATTGATATTCAACAATAGGAAAGAGAAAAAAAAAAATAATCGTTTTTTAGACTACCAACAAACTCAACTTATTAAACTTTGGTTACAAAAAAAAAAAAATTTACTTATTCACACAACAAAACAAAAAAAAAAAAAAAAAAATCTAGATGTTCTTTCTTATATTAAATAATATAATTTATCATATTCTTATAATAATATCTCTCCATTAATTGATTTTCGAAAATACTAAAATTAGACAATGAAAAAAAAAATCAAAATCATTCTGATGTTGATGGTGTGATTAATTGTGCCACACTCACTTAATCGTCAGGTTTTTTTTCGCAGGACTGGTTTTTTTTTTGAAAAAAAGGTGGAGTCAAAATTTGAAGGAAAATAAAAATTCAAAAAAAAAATATTCAAACCCAATAAACTAACCAATGGCTAAAATTTCAAATAATTTTTTGTTTTGATGGAGAAATTGCACAATTTTACCAAGCAGTTATGAATGGTCAACGATTTTTTGGTTTTTTTTTTGTAAAAAAATTAAAAGTTTTAATTTTTTTTTTTTAGATTTTGCCTGCAGAAAAGATTGCACATAAATTTTCAGAGAGCTGCATTGTTTCAAACATTCATTTCTTTACACCAACAACCAATATAACATTCAAATCTATACACATATAATCGAACAACCTTCATCTCTATATATTTCTTGAAGAGTTTCTTTTATTTTGTTTTGTTTGTTTCTTATTTATATATCTATATTCATTCCTGGTTGTAATATTAAAAACATTATTTAACTTGTATTCCTAATTAAAATTTGTAATTGTAAGTATTAACTAATTTTTATTTTATATCATTAAATAATTCATTCCAATATAATAATAACAATCATAATAATAATAACAACTTCACATTCACTCATTCATTACAACATTAAAATTCAATCTATCAAATATTTATATATGTAATGGATTGATATATCTATGATTGATTGATTGTTATTGATTTTACAAAATACCCATTTTTCAAACAAAAATAAAACAACCCATTCCACACACTCTAACATTATAAATTCAAACAAACTATAAATCAAATAAAACACACAACTATAAAATCAAATAACCCTCATCCAAATTCAAAAAAAAATAATTTAAAAAACCCATTTTTCAAAACAATGGGTAAGTTTTTTTATTTTTTTTTATAAAAGATGTTGAACAGGAAAGGAGCGTGTGTGTTAATGCAAAGTGGTATTGATCAACAATAGATTTGTTTATTTATTTCTAATTAAATTTGAAAATAATATTATATCTATATTTAATTTTAATTAAATCAATCAATTATCCAATCCCTCAACTGATTTACTTAAATTATAAATTGAAAACCAGCTGGCTATCTATCCAATTTATTTTCATATTATTTTGTTTTGTTTTTTTTTTTAGATTGTCATAGCAAATACAAAAAGATTGCTAGTTATTTGTAGTAATACAAATATTTATATTTTATATATCCAATAATCAATTCTTCTTGCCCTTCTTTGTTTGTTTTATCAATTAATTAAAATGTATATGGAATGAATTTGATACATTGTTATTATTTTTAGTTGTTTTTTCAAATACTAACTTTCTTTTCTTTTTTTCTTTCCTATTTTAGTTTAAATTTGTAAAAAAAAAAAAAAAGTAATCGTAACATTACAAAATGAATCCAATCAACGATCGTAAATCTGACTATTGGAAGTATCTCAAGATTAGACAAGGTGAGTCCGATCTCTTCAAGATCGCTGCCTCTGACAAGAGATACATCTGGTACAACCCAGATCCAAAGGAGCGTGACACCTACGACTGCGCTGAAATCGTCCGTGAGACCGCTGACTCCTTCGTCTTCAAGACCACCGCCGGTGAGGAGCGTACCGTCAAGAAGGACGATGCCAACCAACGTAATCCAGTCAAGTTCGACGGTGTTGAGGATATGTCTGAATTGTCATACCTCAATGAGCCAGCTGTCTTCCACAACATGCGTGTAAGATACAATCAAGATTTGATCTACGTAAGTATCTTTTTAAAACAACAACAACAACAACAATTCAAAACAAACAAATAGATATCCTAATATTGTATTTTAAATCAATCAATATAACAGACTTACTCTGGTCTTTTCTTGGTAGTCGTCAATCCATTCAAGAGAATTCCAATCTATACCCCAGAGATGGTCGATCTCTTCAAGGGTAGAAGAAGAAACGAAGTTGCTCCACATATCTTTGCCATCTCCGATGGTGCTTACAGATCTATGTTGGACGACCGTCAAAATCAATCACTTCTCATTACTGGTGAGTCTGGTGCCGGTAAGGTAATGTATCAATCAACTGAGAAAAATCATTTTAGAAACATTCAAAAACAATATATTAATAATCGAAATAACTATATATATATAGACTGAGAATACCAAGAAGGTAATCCAATATTTGGCAGCTGTTGCTGGTAGAACTGCCAATGGTGCCGGTGTTTTGGAACAACAAATTCTCCAAGCCAATCCAATTTTGGAAGCTTTCGGTAATGCCAAGACCACCCGTAACAACAACTCTTCGCGTTTCGGTAAGTTCATTGAAATCCAATTCAACAGTGCCGGTTTCATCTGTGGTGCCTCCATCCAATCCTACTTGTTGGAGAAGTCTCGTGTCACTTTCCAAGCTGAGACCGAGCGTAACTACCACATCTTCTACCAATTGTTGGCCGGTGCCACCTCTGACGAGAAGAAGCAATTGTTCTTGTCCGGTCCAGAGAACTACCAGTATCTCAACCAATCCGGTTGCACTGACATCAAGGGTGTCTCTGACCTCGAGGAGTACAAGGCAACTCGTAACGCCATGACCATCATGGGATTCTCGAACGACGAGCAATTGTCGATCATGAAGGTCATCGCCGCCGTCTTGCACTTGGGTAACGTCAAGTTCGAGAAGGGATCCGGTGAAGGTGCCCTCCTCAAGGACAAGACCTCGCTCAACCACGTCGCCACCGTCCTCCAAGTCAACCCAGCCACTTTGGAGAAGGCTTTGATCGAGCCACGTATCCTTGCCGGTCGTGACTTGGTCGCCACCCACTTGAACCCAGAGAAAGCATCGTCCTCAAGAGATGCCTTGGTCAAGGCATTGTACGGTCGTCTCTTCCTCTGGTTGGTCAAGAAGATCAATCAAGTCCTCTGTCAAGAGCGTAAGGCCTACTTCATTGGTGTCCTCGATATTTCCGGTTTCGAAATCTTCAAGGTCAACTCATTCGAGCAATTGTGTATCAATTACACCAATGAGAAACTCCAACAGTTCTTCAATCATCATATGTTCAAGTTGGAGCAAGAGGAGTACTTGCGTGAGAAGATCAACTGGACTTTCATCGATTTCGGTTTGGATTCACAAGCTACCATCGATCTCATTGATGCCCGTCAACCACCAGGTTTGCTCGCCTTGTTGGACGAACAATCTGTCTTCCCAAATGCCACCGACGCCACCCTCATCGGAAAGTTCCACTCTCACTTCTCCAAGAAGCATCCAAAATACGAAGAACCACGTTTCTCCAAGACCGAATTCGGTGTTACCCATTATGCCGGTCAAGTCATGTACGAGATCTCCGATTGGCTCGAGAAGAACAAGGATCCACTTCAACAAGATTTGGAGCTTTGCTTCAAGGAGTCTGGTGACCAATTGGTATTGAAGTTGTTCAACGACCCAGCTATCGCTTCGCGTGCCAAGAAGGGTGCCAACTTTATCACCGTCGCCGCTTCCTACAAGGAGCAATTGTCCAGTTTGATGGCCACCTTGGAGACCACCAATCCACATTTCGTTCGTTGTATCATTCCAAACAACAAGCAATTGCCAGGTAAGCTCGAAGATCACGTCGTCCTCGACCAATTGCGTTGCAATGGTGTGCTCGAAGGTATCCGTATCACCCGTAAAGGTTTCCCCAATCGTATCATCTACTCTGACTTTGTCAAGCGTTACTACTTGCTCGCCCCCAACGTTCCACGTGATGCTGAGGACGTCCAAAAGGCTACCCTAGCCGTTTTGAAGCACTTGAACATCGAGGAGGAGCAATACCGTTTCGGTCTCACCAAGATCTTCTTCCGTGCCGGTCAACTCGCCCGTATCGAAGAGGCTCGTGAGATGCGTATCTCTGAGATCATCAAGTCGATCCAAGCTGCCGCCCGTGGTTGGATCGCCCGTAAGGCTTACAAGACCGCTCGTGAGCACACTGTCAGCGCACGTATCATTCAACAGAACTTGCGTGCCTACTTGGAGTTCAAGAACTGGCCATGGTGGAAGTTATTCTCCAAGGCTCGTCCATTATTGAAGAGAAGAAACTTCGAGAAGGAGATCAAGGAGAAGGAGAGAGAGATCGGAGAGTTGAAGAACACTTTGTCCGAGACATCCTCTGCCAAGGATCGTTTGGAGAAGTCGTTGCGTGATACCGAGTCATCGGTCCACGACTTGCAACGTCAATTGAAGTCCGAAAAGGAAGCTCTCAAGAATCTCTACGACTCCAAGGACGCTTTGGAGTCTGAGAAGCGTGAACTTCAAATCCGTGTCGACGATATCGAGATGGAGTTGGACGAGAAGAAGGCTCAAATCGAGAATCTCCAAGCCCAAAAGAAGAACGCCGAAGACAAGGTTCGTGATTTGGAGGAGGAACTTGCTGAGGAGCAAAAGTTGCGTGCCGGTCTCGAGAAACTCAAGAAGAAGTACGAAGAGGAGGTCGACGAATTGAAGAAGTTGAACGACGGTCAACAAGACACCATCACTCGTCTCGAGAAGATCAAGTCCGATCTTCAAAAGGAGGTTGAGGAGCTCACTGATTCCATCTCCTCAGAGTCCAAGGACAAGGGTGCTCTTGAAAAGGCACGTGTTCGTCTCGTCGGTGAGATCGAAGATCTCAACGCCAAGCTCGACGCCGAGACCAAGGACAAGAACGACTTGCTCCGTCAAAAGAAGAAGCTCGAGGACGAGTTGGCTCAAGTCACCGAACAACTCGCTCAAGAGACCGCTGCCAAGATCGCCCAAGAGAACGCCAACAAGAAGCTCCAAGGTGAATACACCGAGCTCAACGAGAAGTTCAACAACGAAGTCTCGGCCAAGAACAATTTGGAGAAGACCAAGAAGACTTTGGAGGGACAATTGGCTTCAGTCAGCAACGAGCTCGCCGAAGAACAAAAGAACCGTGACTCACTCGACAAGAAGAAGAAGGCTCTCGAACAGATGTTGGACGAGATGAAGGATCAATTGGAGTCGACCGGTGGTGAGAAGAAGTCGTTGTACGACTTGAAGGTAAAGCAAGAGCAAGACTTGGAGGCTTTGAGAAACCAAATCTCCGAGTTGCAATCGACCATCGCCAAGCTCGAGAAGGCAAAGGCTGCCCTCGAAGGTGAAGTCGCCCGTCTCCAAGGTGAGTTGGAAGCTGAACAACTCGCCAAGGCCAACCTCGAGAAGACCAAGAAGAAGGTCGAGGCCGAACTCGAAGACACCAAGGCCAACTTGGTTCAAGAACAAAACAGCAAGCAAGCTCTCGACAAGACCCGTAAGAAGTTGGAGCAAGACTTGGCTGAAGTTCGTCAACAACTCGAAGAATCTAACAACGGTAAATCGTCATCCGATTCCACCAACAAACAACTCGAAGGTCAAATCTCTGACTTGAAGGTTGAAATCGACCAAGAATCCAAGGCCAAGCAAGCTCTCGACAAGAAGCGTTTGGCTCTCGAATCCGAACTCAAGTTTGTCAACGAACAACTTGAGGAGGAGAAGAAGAAGGTCGAAGCTGGTGAGCGTCGTAAGGTCGACTTGGAGAAGGAAGTCTCACAACTCAAGGAGCAAATCGACGAGGAAGCCAACGCCAAGAAGGCTGTCTCCGAAGCCAAGTCCAAGAAGGAACAAGAGTTGGACGAAGTCAAGCGTCAATTCGCCGATATCGTATCGTCGCGTGACAAGGCTGCCGAGCAAGTCAAATCGCTCCAAGCCAAGAACGACGAGTACAAGAACACCGCCGACGAAGCCGAAGGAAACATGGAGCGTGCTGAACGTGCCAAGAAGAAGGCCGAGTACGAGCTCGAGGAAGCCAACAAGTCACTCGAAGAGGAGGCTGCCAAGCGTGCCAAGATCGAGAAGGCTCTCAAGAAGGCTGAAGCCGACTTCCGTGCTGCCCGTCAAGAAGCCGACGACCAAAAGGCTATCTCATCCGACCAATACGTCCAATTGAAGCGTCTCAACGAGGAGTTGTCCGAGTTGCGTTCCATTTTGGAGGAGTCTGACGACCGTGCCAACAACGCCGTCAAGTCCAAGAAGGCTGCCGAAACCCAATTGGAGTCATTGAAGGACGAGTTGGAAGCTGCCAACATTGCCAAGTCCAAGGCTGAGAAGAAGCAAAAGGATGCTGAAGTCCGTGTTGTCGAACTCGAAGAGATGTTGGAGGACAAGTCCGGTTCCGTCAACGTCGAGCAAATCAGAAAGAAGGATGCTGAAATCGACGATTTGCGTGCTCGTTTGGATCGTGAGACCGACTCTCGTGTCAAGGCTGAGGAGGACAAGAAGAACACTCGTAAGACATTCTCTGATCTCGAAGCCAAGGTTGAGGAAGCCGATCGTAACTCTGCTGCCATCGACCGTCAAAAGAAGAAGTTGGAGAGCGATATCATCGACTTGAAGACTCAACTCGACACTGAATCCAAGGCTCGTTCCAAGGCTGAGAAGGCCAAGAAGAAGCTCGAGCAAACCCTCGCTGAGAAGCGTGCTGCCGAGGAAGGTTCCTCACGTGCTGCCGACGAGGAGCTCCGTAAGCAAGTCTGGGCTGAAGTCGACGATCTCCGTGGTCAACTCGATACTGAGCGTTCCGCATTGAATGCCGCCGAGAAGAAGAACAAATCCTTGTTGGCCGAGATCGATGAGATCAAGGAACAATGGGAGGAGTCCATTCTCGCCAAGGACAAGCATGTCAAGGCCAAGAGATTGCTCGAAGTCGAATTGGAAGAGCTCAAGGCTTCACTCGAAGAAGAAGAGGAAGCTCGTGGTGAATTGGAGGACATCAAGCGTCGTAAGGATCTCGAGGTTGAGGAGTACAAGAAGAAGTACGAGACTGAACTCGAAACCGCCACCCAAGCTGAGGAGTCACGTAAGAAGTTGGCCGAAGAGTTGGATGCCATCAAGAAGACCCTCGACGAGGAGAAGAAGGCCCGTAACGAAGCTGAGCGTGCCAAGAAGAGACTCGAGTCTGAGAACGAAGACTACTTGGCTCGTTTGGATGCTGAGGTCAAGAACAGATCACGTGCCGAGAAGGACAAGAAGAAGTACGAGAAGGACTTGCGTGAGACCAAGGGTAAACTCAACGACGAGGCTGCCACCAAGACTCAAACCGAAATCGGTGCTGCCAAGCTCGAAGAGGTCATCGAAGACTTCAAGTCCAAGTTGGACGCCGCCGATGCCGCTCGTCAACAACTCGAAAAGTCCAAGAAGGCTCTCGAAGGTCAAATCGACGACTTGCGTGCCCAAATCGACGACGAAGGTAAGGTCAAGATGAGACTCGAGAAGGAGAAGCGTGCCCTCGAGGGAGAACTCGAAGACCTCCGTGAGCAAGTCGACGACGCCGAAGAGTCCAGATCCGAAGCCGAGAATGCCAAGCGTCTCCAAGACCTCGACCTCGAAGAAGCCCGTCGTAACCTCCAAAAGGAGATCGACGCCAAGGAGTCTGCTGAGGATGCCAAGAACAACCTCCAACGTGAGCTCATCGAAGTCAAGGGACGTCTCGAGGAGGAGATGATCGCCCGTACCAACTCTGACCGTTCACGTAAGAGATTGGACAGCGAGATCGATGCTTTGACCGCTCAAGTCGACGCCGAACAAAAGGCCAAGAACAAGGCATTGAAGGACGTCAAGAAGGTCGAGACCGAATTGAAGGAGATCAAGAAGAAGTACGGAGAAGTCGAGAAGACCTTGACCAAGGACGGTCTTACCGCCGAGAAACTCGAATCCGACTTGCGTAAGGCCAAGAAGGATCACTCCGACGAACAACAATCCCGTCTCTCACTCGAAACCGAAATCCGTAAGTTGCAATCCGATATCGTTTTGCTCAAGGATTCCATTGAGAAGGCTCAACGTGATCACGAGAAGACCAAGAGAGAATTGGAGTCCGAGTCACAATCCAAGCAAGAAATCCAAAGAAAGATGGCCGATTTCTTCTCTGGTCTCAAGGCTTAAATAACCTAAGAACCAACCAAATGATAATATTCTTAAAATAAATATGATACAAATTTGAATATTATTCAAACAAACAAAAACAATCAATCTTTTTTGTTAATTTAATAGTTTGGTTTACATTGAAATAGTTATAATAACTAATACAAAAAAAAAAAAAAAAAAAAAAAAAAAGAAATTTGTAAATTCTAGCACGATCTAGATGTAAATGAGTATTTATTTAAGTATGTTTATTGTATGACAAATTATAATCTATAAATTTCAAATTGTTCTACAAAATGATATTGAGATGCATCTCCTGTTGACGCGGTGAATCCAACATAGGCCAAATTATTTTCCAGTCCTATGAATTCAGATAGATTGAAATCTTCATCTGTTGCAATCGATTTATTATCTATGAATACTTCAAGTACTCCAGCTGCTTCACTGTATCTAACGACCACATCAAGAGATCTACCATCGTTCATCGGTCGAATATCTTCATAGCTCAATGAGGATTCGAATAGAGAGGTATTTGGTTCAGTTCCATCTGAATGAATCGATACATGACTATCGTTTTCATCACAATCTTCGTTGTAATAGGTATCGAATTCGATGGCAAGAGAGTTGGGAATTCCGGAATATCCAAGGTTTCCACCGACCTGTTTCATATCGATGTGATTGGCACCCTCTGGAGCGTTGTGAATAACAAACGCCATACCATCGGCGCCACCTCCATCGATTCTAATTTTGAATCTACAAAAGAAACCTGCACCAATGTTCAATCGGTTTCTACTCCAACATACGCCAACTTGGCTTCTATATGGACCAGTCAACATCAGTGAGCCGGCCAACCATTGAGCATTGCCAAGTGCTATCATATGACTTGGGTGTAGATATATCAATGGTAGAAAACTCTTGATGTATCTCCTCAGAACGATGTTTCTTACTAAACATTTCTTTATCAATTGGTTTCTAGATGATGGTTTACTGTGATCTTGATCTTGTTCATCGGTTGTCTGCTCAACTGCTACTTCTGAGACTTGAGTTTGAGGTTCACTCGACTCTGAGGACAATTGAATATTATCCAGCAATATGATAGAACCTTGAGTGCTCCTTGCAACAATACCGAAATAACTAAATAGATGGTCTACTTGGTTGTTTATCTCTTTGAAATTAAAAGGCAAATGAGTCAACAAGTTGCCATTAAAGTTCACTGAGATTGACAAACTCTCGTGATTGAACATTATTACGAATGAATTATTCTGGCCAGTGGGTGCGAATAGAGATTTCGGAAGTTCAGTATTGAAAAGATTCTCTTTGCTTTTGAGATTATGCACTCTGATGAATAGTCTATAATCTTCATATGACTTTGATAGTTCGACAGCTAGAGTGTGAACAACATTGGCAAAACCATATTGATATTGATCATCGCTTGTTAGATCTGACATTACACTATGCATTACAAAGGATAGAGAGTTATTACCAGTCAAATTAAATTTAGAGACATCAAAAGAATAACTAAATCTAAATCCTTGGTTGATGATAGTATCGGTTCGGATGTAATCTCTAAACCATATGGATTTCGCAACGATTGGAAACATGTTACCAAAACATTCATTATTAAAATTTAAATTCAATGATGAATTCGATTCATTCCATTTAGATTGATGACAAACACCGAATGAATTTTGATGAGAAAGTTGTTGATTGAAATACTGAGGAGTATGAAAGTTCTTTTGACCAAACTCTTTAAAGTAATCGAAAAACTTGATCTTTCCATCATCAAAGATTGATTTCACCACTTCGCTATTTATAATACTTGTATAATTGCTATTATTATTTTCATACTTTTTTATTTTGATATCATTGTTATTATTACTATTATTAGTTCTTATCTTTTTTCTAGCCATGTTTATAAAATCGTAATATTTCAAAAGAAAATAAATAATCTGGTTGAGGGATAAAATAAAATGTGGATGAGGGAAAAACAACTAACTGTGTTTTTTTCTAAGTAATTTTTACTAAAGTTCCAACTGAAATTTTTTAACCATGGTTTAAATTTTAACCCTTTTTTATTTCTTTGATTTCAACTTTCTATAAATATATTCAACAGATTTAAATAGACCTGCTGTTAATACACCTTTGGCGGATTGGTTAAAACTACTGCTTCCAACAATCTTGGAGATCGATTGTCTTACTTGGTCCGCAGATACAGTTGGCTCGTTGTTTAGTTTTACATTCTTTCTCAGATTGTTCAATACATCGGATCTTATCTTTGGTGGTAGTAACGATGCCATTTCAAAGTAATCCAATTGAGTCGATGCCAATTGCGTGAAATGGTATTGATTATCGCTTTCAGAGTAATCGATCTTTAGGTAACTTGCGAAATTCTTTTTAATCAACGGCATGTAGATTGCTCGCATCGACTCGATGTTGTTCACCACTATGTTATGAATCTTATTGGGATTCTCGCCGCCTTTCATTCTGATGTCACCCATGTAGGAGATCGATGATATCTGGTGGAGCAATTGGTATTCGCTGAATTGCTTCGGTAGCATCATCAACGCACATGTAATTGCGAATGTCTGATTCTTTGAGCTGTTGACCGAGTGCATTTCACTGAGAGCATCTTGCTCACACACTGGCAAGTCTAAAATCGGTTTCATCATTCTACCAGATATATAAAGGCTATCCCAATTCTTCAAATCATCTAATAAATCGTTATATTCAATGACTCCATATTTATATCTCTAGAATGTTGAAAATATTAATATTAAATATTTATCTTTCTTTTCCAAATATATATTAAGTACTTACAATACCATTATAATTTAATAATGTATTATAATATACTTTTGCAGCCATCTTTTGTACGGTGGTAACAGTTGATTCACCAAAGTAAGCGAGGAATGAATAGTGATCAAAGTTTTGCTTTATATTCTCTTTGTGCCACTGTTCAGAGTTCTCCACTGCAAACACCAGATCGATCATCGGTTGCTTATTACTATTTGATTCGTATCCTTTTTGTGAGATCACACCAGATCCATATGCAAATCCATATTTTATCTTTGGGAATTGTGATAGAATCTTTTTTATCTTTATATTTACATCATCGTCTTGAGCTGCACTTTTGATATCACCATTGCTATTGTTGTTATTTCTATTAATTGTACAATAATGATAGCCACTACTACTATTTCTATTTATATTATATGTAATGTTTGCAATCAAAAATAATCTACTTTTGTTAAAAGATATTAACTTATTTGTATTTATACATTGTGTGATCATTCTTTTGGTTCGATTTTCGCTTTTAGAAAAAAAATCAGATTAACTAATTTGATCTTCCAATTAAAGTGCACTGAAGAATCTATTTTTTTTTTTGATTTAGCTGTTTTTTTTTTATTATTTTAAATTTTGTTTTATTAGTTATATGTTTATTTGTTTATATGAGAAGAAGTAGCCATTAAAATACAGCACTTTGAAACCTTTTTATCAACAACCTTCGCGAACAACACTACAATTGCAACAGAAATAGATATATAGTCAAGTGTTTTCTCGAGATCATTGTAAAGCCATTAAAACCCACGGGAAATCTGATTTCCTGGCTACTTCTTATCATATAAACAAAATAAATATAATAAATAGAATTTAAATTATTAGTTTTATTGTTATTCCAATATTTGAATCATTTAAATCAATTCAGAAACAGCTGTTATAAATCTTTTTATATTATCATCGTTGTCCAATAAATATAGTGACGGTTCAAACAGTTCACATTCACTTAAACATAATCTACCTTTATATCTCAACTAAAAATATTATATGAATTAAAGTATTATTATTATTATTAGTGTATTGGGGTATTAAATAATCAAGATATTAATAACACTTACCATATCAACTCTAGCGAATAAAAGATTTCCTTTAGTTTTAGATATATAATTTACAATGTTGGATGCCAATTGAATTTCAGAATCAAGGGGATTCGTGTTTGGAAGAATGACACCACCGAAATTCTCTTGGACACGGAAATCTTGTGATGCCGGACGTTTCACACAGGCGTGTGAGAATTTCTTGTTGAAGAACAAGAATGAATCTTCGCCATCGGTCTGAATAGTCCCTACAAACGGTTGAATGATCATATCAAACTCTGCCAAATACTTTCTAAACTCCAAGTCCATCTCCTGGCAATTGTCTAGATTGAATCTGAATGTACCGTATGCATCTGCACTTACAGCCGGTTTCATCACGTATTCGCTTTGATCCCTATCGAATTTACCAGCTTCAACACCTTGTTTAACGTATTCCTTCAGCGACAAGACTGAATCAGATGTTTGGCTGTCGCTCTTCACTATTATACTGGGAACTATTTCAAATCCATTCTCCTCCAACTCCAAAAGATATTGTTTATTCCAATTCCAACGAATTACACTACTGTCATTCAATATCTTTATTTTCAATGAATCTATTCTATCCAACCATTTCTTAAACTCTTCAAATTTTCCTACGTAATCCTTTTTTGTTTTCAAAAAGTTTGTTTGTGTTAGTTTCATTTCATTTTATTTTTCATATATTACAATATAATACCCAAGTAGATCTAATTATTAATAAAGTAAATTGTTCCCAATCGACAGTTTCATCAGTCCAAGAAACTATTTGACATTGTTGTTCGAATTTATCAAACAATTGCTTGAGCATTGACTTATCATCTTTCGAACCTTCAGGGTGTCTTTCACATGTTACTATTCCAATTTTAATATTCTTTTTAGAAATATCTCTTTCTGATTCGTCTGCCGTACTACTATTTTGTTCAATTGTCATTATTATTATTATATTATTATTCTTTTTGTAGTTTAAAAATGTTTTTGATTACATAAAACCGATTCATAAAAAAAAACAAAAAAATTAAGATATTTTTTTTCTAAGATTTGGAAGGGAAAGACATCTTTTCCAAAAAAAATAAAAACAAGATTTACAATTAAATTATGTCATGACAATTGTAGTTGGCAATAGATTGTCTATTATAAAGGAAATTACCACTTTAATTTGGTCAATTTCGATAATCATCTTGGTCATTTTCTTCATATTTTTCGATAAAGTTTATCAAATGGATCTATCATTCTATAGATATATATGTGATATATTTGTTTATCGTTCTCCTTTATTTTCACCCCCCACATCATATGTATGTATCTTCATATCTCATTGTTATCGTTCAAAATACACTCTACATATATTATTTGTAGTTCATCATATACTTTTATTTTGTTGTCAAGTGTTTATTTGTTATATTCATCATCTTTTTTATTGTAATATTTTTGAAGATGTGTGATGTGAGTAAAATAAGAGATAATCAAATATACTTATTTTACATTAATTTCACCATAGTAATCCAGGTGGATTTTCATACACATTTGACAATAACAACAATGATGATGTGTGGGGGTGAAAATAAAGGAGAACGATATACAAATATTCAAATTCATTCTCTATAACATTCATTATGTTATCTGTAACAACAACTCTTTCAATTTCGAAAAAATTATCAACAAACTGAAGTAGAATCTGTAGGTACAATCATTATCCCATCAATCATCCACTTTAACAACAAACAATACTATAAAACTATTTAAATTAAAAATGGTATCCAACAAAAATATTCCATTTTTATTACTAGTTTTATTTTTAACTGTCAGTTTGTCGTTTGGTAATATGAATTTAAATATCCATTTTTTTAATGTGTGTGAATTAATTAACGAATTTTCTTTTTATTTTATTTATTATAGGACATTCGCATAAAAATAAAGGACATTTGAAATGTGAAAGATATCAAATTGCTCAGGTTTACAATGGAATCAGATATTGTGCACCAAACAATCTTGATGTTTGTCGATATTTAGAATGTCCAATCTATCATATTTGTGCTTCGATCAGATCGAGACCCGTTTGTATTAGGATGGCATGTGAAGAGAGCACCACCGATACTTCTGTATGTTCAACTTCTGGTGGTATTACTATTGCTCAGTCTACTGTTGCTTCTACAATTGCATCAACTGCCACTACAATTGCAACTACCACCGCCACAACAACAGGAATTCCAAGTGGTGGTGGAAGTACTGTTGCTTCTACTATTGCTACGACTGCCAGTACTATCGCCACAACAACTGCAACTTCTCAACATCCAACTGGTTCAAGTACTATTGTTTCAACAATTGCATCGACTGCCAGTACAATTGCAACTACCACTGCTACAACAACTGGCATCCCCACTGGTGGAAGTACAATTGCTTCAAATGTTGCATCAACAACAGCAACAACAACCAATAAAGCTTCAACAATGACATACAGCACTATTGCAACTACCACAACTGTTGCTTCCACGACAGCTTCGACAACAGCAACAACGACAGCAACTACAACAAATGAAGCATCAACAATCACCCAGACAACAACAGCCACAACAACAGCCACAACAACAGCATCAACAACCTCAATACCAACAACAATTGCTTCGACAACTCAAACTACAACAGCATCAACCACAGGTCCTGCATCAACAATCACCGCCTCCACTACCCAATCTACCACTGCAACTCTTGCATACTCTACAACAGCATCAACTACAGCAAGCACAACAGCCTCAACTACAGGTCCTGCATCTACTATTACACAAACAACAACCGCAACAACAACTGCAACCACCACTTCAAGAATATCATCCAATCCAACTACAGGGTATCCCACAACTAGAAATCCAACTAGTACTCCAACAACTGGATCGCCAACGACTGGACCGCCAACAACCAGAACACCAACGACTGACACTCCAACAATTGGTATGACTACTAGAGCTCCAACAACAGAAACACCAACAACCGGATCACCAACAACTGGAGAACAAACACCTGATATTACTACAAGAAGCCCAACAACTGGAACTCCAACAACTGGAACCCCAACAACTGGGATTCCAACAACTGATATGACTACAAGAAACCCAACAACTGGGATTCCAACAACTGGGATTCCAACAACTGGAGCACCAACAAATGGGATTCCAACAACTGGGATTCCAACAACAGGAGCACCAACAACTGGTATGACTACTAGAGCACCAACAACTGGGATTCCAACAACTGGAGCACCAACAACTGGTATGACTACTAGAGCACCAACAACTGGGATTCCAACAACTGGAGCACCAACAACTGGTATGACTACTAGAGCACCAACAACTGGGATTCCAACAACAGGAGCACCAACAAATGGGATTCCAACAACTGGGATTCCAACAACAGGAGCACCAACAACTGGTATGACTACTAGAACACCAACAACTGGGATTCCAACAACTGGAGCACCAACAACTGGAACTCCAACAACTGGTATGACTACTAGAACCCCAACAACAGGAACTCCAACAACAGGAATTCCAACAGGAACTACAACACTCCCAACAACTGGAATTCCGATAACTAGAACTCCGACCACTGGAATACCAACGACTGGTACTCCAACAACTGGTACTCCAACAACTGGTACTCCAACGACTGGTACTCCTTCAACCACAACCACTGATATATCTGTACCAGCAACTACAACAACTATAGCACCATCCACAACAACAGCGACAACAGATTCTTCAACACCATCAACTGAACCAACAGTAATACCAATACGACCAACTCGTCCACCAGATGAAATACCAACGACTGGTACTCCAACAACTGGTACTCCTTCAACCACAACCACTGATATATCTGTACCAGCGACTACAACAACTATAGCACCATCCACAACAACAGCGACAACAGATTCTTCAACACCATCAACTGAACCAACAGTAATACCAATACGACCAACTCGTCCACCAGATGAAACACCACCACCACAACCAACAACTAAATTGATTAGACTCCATATGTTTGAAGATTTGAATGGCGATGGCGTAGCACAAGATGATGATCCAGGTGTTGTTGTAACATGTGACCTAAATGCTTCGAATGGAACCAAAGTAGCGACTCTTACAACTTTTGAAAGAGATGCAAAAGGTGGATTCCCACCTGCAACAGCCACAATTCCATTTGGTGGTTATTGTTTGGCTTGTCAAATTCCAAGGTATCTATTCATTGATTTCATTTAAAAGTTTGTTGAAATGAGAAATAATTATTAACTGAAATAATATGCATAATTATACTATAGTGGATACAAAGTAGTACCCCAAAAGACAGTGCCTATTATCAGAATGGTTAACCCATTCGATGAGAATGGAAATGTTTGCTTCAACGTTGCCAATGATGGAATCAATTACGATATCTACGGTGGACTTTTGAATGAGAATCCAACTCCACTTTCTCTTAGATTCTTCGAGGATCAAAATGGTGATTCCACCATTCAACCAACTGAAATAGGTGCCGATGTTACTTGTAACTTGACTGACTCTCATGGTGTTGTACACGAAACACTGGTCACTCTACCAGGCACTGGAGAACAAATTCCACCTGCTACAACGAATGTCGCGCCACAAGGTGACTATTGCATGGTTTGTGTAGTTCCAACGTAAGTATTGTTATTAATAATATTCTATCATAATCAATGGAATTTGTCTTTTATCTTTATCTTATTAACAAAAATGAAAAACTAAATAGTGGATATCAAATGTCACCTAAAATAGCACAACTCGGTGAACCTTGGAAGAATTCATTTGAAACGAATGGATCTATTTGTTTCAAAGCTATTGGCAAGAGAATTGATTTTTATGGATCAATTGAGAAAATACCAAATACACCTACTCCACTCACTCTTAGATTCTTTGAAGATCAAAATGGAGATTCCACCATTCAACCAACTGAAATAGGTGCCGATGTTACTTGCAATCTGACTGACTCACATGGTGTTGTTCACACAACATTAGTCACTCTACCAGGTACTGGAGAACAAATTCCACCTGCATCAACCATTGTAGTACCACTAGGTGACTATTGCATGGTTTGTGCAGTTCCACTGTAAGTTTTGTTATTAATAACAATCAATCCATATCTTATTTTTACAATCCTATTTAAACTATTGATATTAACCAAAAATATGAAATTAGTGGATATCAAATGTCACCTAAAATCGCACAACTCGGTGAACCTTGGAAGAATTCATTTGAATCGAATGGATCCTGTTGTTTCAAGGCTAATGGTGTACCTATTGATTTATATGGATCAATTGAGAAACTACCAAATACACCAACTACAATAACTGTTCGAATGTGGAATGATGAAAATGGAGATTCCACTCTTCAACCAACCGAATTAGGTGCTGATGTTGTCTGTAATTTGACTGACTCGCATGGTGTAGTACACGAATCAATATCGACAATGCTAGGCACTGGAGAACAAATCCCACCTGCAACAACCATCGCTCAGCCACTAGGTGACTATTGTATGGTTTGTATTGTTCCAAAGTAAGTATATCTATATTCAATCATTATCATCATTACAATCCATTAAATTTGTTTTTTATTACTAACTATCTGTAATTTATTTTCTTAGTGGTTATGAAATGTCACCAAAGATTGCACAACCAGGTGAGCCATGGAAGAATTCATTTGACGCGAATGGATCCAGTTGTTTCAAGGCTAATGGTGTACCTATTGATTTATATGGATCAATTATAAAACTACCTACTATCACTCCTCTCAATCTACGTTTGTGGATTGATAACAATAGAGATTCCACATTCCAAAGTGCGATAGATAAACCAATCGTTGAAACATGTAATCTCAGAGATGCTGGCAGAAACACAATCACCACATTAACATCGAAATTAATGAGTGGCCCTGATTACCCACCTGCAACATACAACATTACAGGAGAAGGTCAATATTGTTTGAATTGTCAAAGACCAGAGTAATTATCAAAACCTAATCTTATCATTAATTCAAATCTTTATAAAATTATTCTAATCATTTTGTTTAAAACCAAACAAAATTTAAATTTATAGTGGATTTGCAGTGGGACCAAAGATTGCACAGCCAGGTGAACCTCTCAAGAACTCATTGGATTTAGACTTAATGTTTTGCTTCAATGCAACAGGAACAGAGATTGATGTTGGTGGAGCTTTCCAAGGGCCTGTCGCTCCATAATACTTAAATAATAATAAACAAAAACAAACATCTTTTTAAAAGACTTTTATGTTATTTACAAATATTTCACAATTTTGTCATTCTATCTTTGATAAGAATGTACAGACATTGATTATTATTATTATTTAAGGAATCTTTACACAATCATTTCATACTGTTATTTGTAACCCTGATGAAAGAAAGAGTTGTCATTTGAGAGCGCTTCGATTTCTACTACTTTAGCACTGTATTCACTATCACTTAATGTTGTAACCGATTTATCATTCATCATCTCTGTTAGTTTCGATGCCAATTGATGTTTGCACTATATATAGTTAGTAGATAGTAACAAAAATAAAAACAAACATTAGTTAGTAATGATCTAATAGGTATCTTAAATAATAATGATAGATAATACATACATAACTAAAATCACTCTTTGGTGAACTATTTCTAAATGCAGGACATCCACAATAATCGCCGTCTAACAAACATAAATATTTCGAATCTTTTTGATGTCCGTTGACAACATAGAATGATCTATTCGATGGCTTGAAGATATATTTAACAATCATCTGTTTATCTATTATCTGTAGTGATTCCGATAATGTCTTATCATATATCGCATATAAACTATAAAGATGTAATGAAGACGATGATGGTTCGTATCATAATCGAATAGAGAATCAGTATATTAAAACAAATCTATACAATTCTAATAAATAATACACACGCTAATAGTATATCATCTGTCACTAAAAGTAAGTAGAAGTAAAAGATATTTACAAATTAAATTAGTAAAATGAATTGATTGATTGATTGATTGATTGATTGAGTGACTAATAAATTAAAACAAAGATGAGAAAACTGTACATACTTTCATTTGCAGATAATAAACTATTAACTATATCTTTCAACTTTGTGTTGTGAGCAGTGTTTGTTATATTCATTTTAAGAATTTTGTAAATACTATTATAACCATTTTAAATTCATTAATAACTTTTTTTTCATTTTTGAAAGCTAATTATATTTTCTAAGAATATAAAAAGATTTGTTTTTTCAATATCATGATATTTATTTAAATATTTATATTTGCAAATTTTTTGATCAAAAAGTTGTGGGTGTGAAAAAAAGTTGGTTGGAGGAAGTTCAAAATAATACTTGGTTGATTGACAAACCTCAAACTTAATAATCAGTTTTCAAGATTATGTTGATTGACAAGTGTAAATAAATGGATGAACTATTAAGGTAGAAAAATAAACTATAAAAAGGATGTACTTTTTACATTTTTTTATTAAAATTTTTAATAAAACAACCAATATATAATTATATAATTACAACTATCAAATATATAAATAAATTAATAACAAGATTGATAGATAAAATGTCTGCTAGAGTTAAACAAATTGGTCAAAGAGCTTTCCCAACTGTCAAGGAGATGTTTGCTAACTATGTAGAGATTCCAAAGAATTCAACATCGGTGCCATTCTGGGTAGTGATTCGCGAGAAATGCAGCTCAGAAAAAGTGTACAAGTATCATTCTAAGGGTGGTCAAAACAGAATCGTTATTCAAAGAGAATCGGAAGAGAAGCTTTATAATCCGGTCATCAATGAAAATAGATTCGTCAGATATTTCTCTAATGAGAAATTGACCTGTCCACGACCATTATACGACGATGGTGAAATCAACTCAATGTTACAGCTATTGTCAACCAATGATAAATATTCTAATGATATCAAAGATGTTGCTATTGATTTAACAAACCTATTGGAGAAATCAAGAAATAAATAATAAAATAGATAATATTATTTATCAAATTAAATACCTTTTACTAATACTATTATGTTTTTTTCTTATTATTATGGATATGATGATAATAACACATTATATTGGATTCAAATAATTCTGCTTTTATATTGAAAATTATGTTACTATTTCCATTGATCTTCAAAAGACATCAAAATAATGATAATATAAAGGGTAAGTGTATTTATATAATTTAACTCTTTATGTAAAAATAATAATAATCATGGTTTAAAAAAAAAAAGAATTTTGGTTTCAATGAAAATTTTTATGAAAAAAATCTGATCAATCCATCATAACACATGACACACAAGCATACTAAAAAAAGAATGAAATTTTTAAGAAAATTTGTTTTGATCTTTAATAACCTTTTAAAATCAGAATAAATTTGTTTTAATTTATCATTTTTATTTTATTATTTTTATACAAATATATTTATTTATTAATTGTTTTTTTTTTTTGTAAATATTTAATTAGTTAGTTATTTTTACACAAACATATTAAAATGAGTTCGAATAACAATGAAATAACAGTGCCATATAGATTATATAAAGAAACGGTTGAGAAATCACAGAATGTACCAAGATTCCTCATTACTCATGCCAACTACCAAGGCGTTGCAGAGAGTATGGAAATCAAGCTTCAGTGTGATTTCACTATCAAGGTGTTCGACAATCAATCGCTGGACAACAAGAATGTGGTGGTTCCACTCATCTCACAGAAAGCGACAATTGCCGCGTCGCAGATTGGCTATGGTGCCACTGCCGACGACATTGAGAACGGTGCAGCTGCAAGCGCCGGTGCCTGTATAGTCACCAATATGAGTTCACCACACTACCAGTTCTTCACTTCGAAGCCAGGTGTCTATCGTGTCAGACTCACCTGCTTCATCCCCTACCTGACAGTCAAGAAGACCGGAATGGAACTCGGTATTCCGGCGTCGTCAAACAACTCCATTTCATTCCAAGTACCACAGGCGAATGCGAGTATCAAGATTTTCAATGGTTTCGCCGATGTCGATGCCACCAACCACTGGATCGAGAAAGCCGGTAAGGAAGTGCCAAACTACACCATCGTATTCGCCAAACTTCCACAGGAATCTCAACTTCGTATCCAATGGACAATCAAAACTGAAATTGTCAATCCTAGCAACAGCAGCAAAGCAATCGATACCAAACTAAAACCACCAAGCATCGTGGTTGTTCAAAGCACATTAGGTTCAATCGGTGAAGGTTTATTAATTTTAATTTCTAAATTTAAATATAAGGTAAGTAACATTGGTTTTTTGGGAGAAATATTAATTATTATCAACAAACTAATTCTAATTCTTCTCTTTTATAATCTTTATTTTATTTTTTTAGATGCTTAATGGATCTATTTCATTATTTAATTTACTAATTGATAAAAATCTAAATATTATCAATGTGGAAGGTGAAGCTATTAAGAAATGGGAATTGATAAACAATGAATCCGATCAGAAATCTTCTACCTATAGAAATCTATCGGTTTGGTTGGATTATGGTGTTGAGAATGACTATGAATTGACAGTTTCCGCTGAATTCAATATGGGTTCTACGTCTGCTGACGTTAGCATTCCATCGATCAGATGTATTGGCGATGAAATAACAAGACACCGTGGATTCATTGCAATCGAGGCGAGAACCAACGTTGAGATCTCAGAGTTGAACTCTCAGAACTTGGATGTCATCGATATCAAAGAACTCCCACTGGATCTCTCGCAACTCTCTCAATTCCCTATACTCCTGGGTTACAAATTCCTCGATCCCAAATTCCAGTTGAATTTGCGTGTCAAAAAGAATCTCGATGTTCAGGTGCTCGTTTCCATCTGTGAGGGTGCACACTTTATCACAACGATGTCCAACACTGGCAAGACGATTCACCAATATATCCTGTCTATCAAGAACACTCAGAAACAATTCGTTCGTCTACAGATCCCGTTCGAGTATAGCTTGTGGTCGACTCTTATGGATGGACAACCGATTCGTCCGTCGTGTATCGACAACCCACAGACTCCCAACTCGCCAACCTTGCTCGTTCCACTGCTCAAGTCCGGTCCCATTAAGAACTCTGACACTCCCATTCAGATTGAGATCGTTCTCCTCGAGAACCAGGTGCGTAACATCAAGCCAAAGAAAGGCATGGTCAAGATCATGATGCCCAAGATGGATCTGCCACTGAGAGCAGCCTACTCCACCGTCTACCTGCCAGACACCATTAAAAAGACCGGCAAATCTCAAGGTAATCTCAAGGACGTCAGCTACTTTGCACACGCAGTACCACGTCCATTCGAAGGATCGGAACTAACCGACTACAGTGCACCGGTAAAGAACTCCTACCACGAACGCAGAGCAAGCATCTCATTAAGAGACTCTGCAAGTTTGGACAGCAGCAACAGTTTTACCAATAACAACAATAACAAGTCATATTTTAAGAGTTCCTACCATGAAGAAGCGAATTTCGCAAAGAAATCAAATGCACGTCCAAGAACTGGAGTGATCCCAGTGCGTGTTGAAATGCCAGTCACCGGAAACCCACATTATTTCGAACAAATTCTTCTCGATGGTGATAAAGATCTCTTCTATGAATTCGAATACAAAGAACAAATTTCAAAAGTAAAACAACATAGATCAGTTTAAAACATAACTTTCTCATCCCCCTTCTTTTGCTTTTTAGCTCTCTGAAATTTAAATAAATGTAAATCCAAACACAAAAAAAAGTTTTGTTTTTGAAAAATATACAAAAAGAGTTATAATTTATTTTATTACTAATGTTATTATTATAATATATAATATCTGGTGGAAATGAACAAAATGATTGATTAAACGAATGAATGAATGAATGGATGGTTGAATGGATGAATAAAAAAAATAATAATTAAAACCATAATAATTATTTACTAAAGATTGGTTTGGTTTGGTTCTGTTTAATGGTACACTAACTATCTATTTTTATCAACTGGCAGTTGGTCTATTTGATGAATGAGTTTTGAGTGTCATAATAAATAGATGATTCCATGGAATCGGTGAGGTTTGTAGATGTTGTTGAATTCGAAATATTTGATTCTGTCAAAACGGATTGAGATGTCGGTGATGTTGGTTGGATTTGAATGGTTGGTGTTGGTGTTGGTGTTGAGTTTGTATTCTTGTTAGGTGTCTGCTGCTGTTGTTGTTGCTGTTGTTGTTGTAAATGTTGTTGATTATAGTGTTTCTGTTGTGCTGGCTGTTGTTTATCTAAACCTATGACGATCGAGTCCATGATCGAGTCAGTTATGCCTAGTTCTGAAGAGGGTGGTTGTGCCATATAGACCGACTCTGTGAAATTCATATAATGAGGATAGAACTTATCTTGTCCATTCGAACTATTCTGTAATGATTGTCTATTCAATCTTTGTTGTAATTGTTGTTGTTGACCTTTACTACTATTAATATTATTGTTATTGTTATTATTGTTTTTAAATGTTTGTTCGTTTTCTAAATATTGTTGTTGCTGCTGCTGTTGTTGTTGTTGTTGCTGTTGTTGTTTTAATTCATTTATAGTATAATTTGGATCAAAAGTTACATCTTCTCTATCGTCATCTTCGTAGATCTCTGAAAATGGTTGATAGGCACCTTGCTGCTGCTGTTGTTGTTGCTGTGGATAGTGATCATATGATGAGTTGGTGGTTGTTGTTGTGGTGGTAGTGGTTGTATAATGACTATTATTCTGCTGTTGTTGTTGTTTTTGCGATTCATATGAATAGCTGGTTTCTAATGTTGGTGAAGTGTAATAACTATTCTGAATGTCAATGGTATCACCACCGTAGGCATCGGAATTTCTAAAGTTGGTTTGTTCTAACAATATTGGTGCTGGCGGATTGTATGTATTTATAATGTGAGGATTAAGAACTATATATATAGTTTTTACAATTAAAACATTAATAATCAAATAAATCAAATTCAAATCAAATCATCAAAGTAGATAGAGAGATACATACCATTTGGACTATGATACTCTTCATATTCTTCATCGTAGATGAACGGATCATATGGAGTATGTGATTTAGTATCACAACAGGAACTAAATATATTACCCATTTTTGGTATTATATATTTTTATCTATATTATTATATTTTATTGATATTTATATATTATTATTTGTCGATACTTTTTATAGATATTTTAAACTTCTATGTATGTTTATTTATATAAATATATTTGTTTATACTAAATTTAGTTATTATATTATTTCTATTGTTCTTATTTATATTATTTATTTTGAGAAAAAAAAAAAAAAAAAAAAGGAAATTTAAATCAAGAATATATATATATAAAAGGTAGAGAGTAAGTATCAAGTAGTTGTGTAATATTATTAAAAATGTGAATTTTAGATTTAAATAACAATTTATCTAATAGATATTATTATTATATAATTTAAACTCTATTATTGTGATGTATTGTTGTTGGTTGTGTTGTTTTGTTGTTGTTTGTTGTTTTTGTAAATTAAATTTTTAATTTTAATAAATATATTTATACTATTTCTGCTTATATATATTTATTTCTATTTTGTGAATTGTTTTGTTGTTTTTTGTTTGTTTTGTTTTTTTGTTTTTTTGATACAAATATTTAATAAAAACAAAAAAATTTTCAAATATTATTAAATTCTCATTTTTTTAATTAAATTTTCAAATGAAAATTATGAGTTTTTTAATTAATATTATTTATTGTAAAATTTTTTTTGTTTTTTTTTTGGTTTTTTGGGGAATTAATGAACAAACACCTCAGATACAACAACATAAGCAGCATCCAAAAATAACCATCGGATTAATAAAACAACAACAAAAACAACACAATAGAATTAATTTAATTTAATTTATAAAATCATCATCGTCATCATCAGCAAAGGAAATTCATATATCACTTTTCACTGCACTACACTACACAACCGTATTTAGTATACCATACACCACTTCACTTTATTATCAATTCATAACCTATGACATGACATCTATCATAGCAAACAACAATAACAATAATAATAATAACAATATTAATAATAATACATATGATTTGATAAATAAGTTTTTAAATGATGGTGATTCACTTCAATATTTAAATGATATAGTTGGTGAAAGACAACAACAACAGCAACAACCAAAACAACAACATCATCAAAAGCAATCATCTTCATCATCATCTTCTTTATCATTTGATCAGAGTAATGAAACCGATCTTTTAAATAAACCTGAAAAGTTAGAGAGCTATTTCATATCGATCGTTGATCTTCTAATTGATTTAAAGGTATTTTTGTACTTACTTTTTTTAGTTGTTGGTTATCTGAAAGTTGTTTGATTGTTAATGTTTTGATTTTAATTTCACAAAAAAAAACAGAAATATCTAAATACAACGGTGGATAAAGAACTTGAGAATTCATCACATGTCGATATCATAGGTCTGCAATCGAATATCGTCAAGTTGGACGAGAGGAAGAGCGATGCGCTTCACGGTGTCAATGCACCGTCAAAGGGTATCGCTTCGCGTGTCGAATCAATAGTCGATCACAACGACCAGCTGCGCAAACGACTGGCATCCGTCGACGATATCCTCGAGATTCTCGACTACTTCCAGCGATACAATCAACTCTCCACTGACTACGAGCATAACTTCCACGAGAAACGACAGTATCACGCTGCCACACTGCAACTCGTCGAGATGGAACAGCTGCTCGGCCAACTTCCAGAGCAGTTGCTACAGGCGCATCCATTCCCGCGCATCATACCGTCGCTCAAAGATCAACTAAAGAAACGCAAAAACAATCTCAAAACACTGCTCATCGAAGTATTCACCAATCACCTGCAGATTGGCGCCAACGAGATTGCAATCACCGACAAATCGATGCCATCGATCATCCTCTCGCTAGAGACACTCGGACTGAGTGGTTTCATCATACAATCGATCTCTTCGCAACTCTTGAACCAACTGCTACTGCCACTGCTGAAATCTATCAAGTTGTCGCTCTCGGCAGTCGATAGTTCTCACCACTCTGCAACCAACACAATCAACACGATCGATCACCAAGATAAACTTAACTTTATACTGGAGTATCCAAAGAGTGACATCACAGTGGAGCATTTCTATCATATTCTACAAGCTATCTTCAGTATCGTCTATAAACATGTGTTTGGCTCGGAGAATAGAATCATGGGAATACTAGGCAATGAACTATGGACCACCCTTTCGAATACAATCATCAAACTAAACATGAAGTCGATAGTACCCAATGAATCATCGCAACTCTCACTATTCCCATTGATTCAAGATCAAACAAAACAATTTGAAACGAATTTATATAACATTGGTAAGTTAAGTGAAGCGAAGTGGTGATGTTAAATATTAGCCAATAGTTTCTAAATACTAATTATAATTAACTATAGGATTGTTTAGTGGTAATCAAATGAATAAGAGAAATGTATTGTCATTATATATCGATAATATAGAGATACACTTTGCAGAGAAGAAAAGAGATCATATACTATTCACAGCAAGAGAGATAATTATACACGATAAATATGATTCTATCAACTCTGATCAATCTTTGCTTGGTGAGACAGAACAGAATCAAGGAAATCTACAACTATTCTACTTCTCCAATCGATTAATATTCAAGAGTGCCAATGATTTAGTATTGCTTTGTAAAAACTCACTTAGTGAATCATTAAAATCATCTTCACTTTGGTAAGTATATAGAATCAATCAAATTGAATAACTAACTAATCTGATCAATTATTAACTAATTCAATTACATTTGCTCAGTTCTAAAAAGATATTCCAAGCATGTAGAGATATATTTGATTTATATAGATTCATGTATCTAAAGTATCATAAATCCAAGATTGAAACTGTCCCACTGTTGGCTTGTCTATATTATAATAGTTGTCTATTCGCTACTCATACTTTTATGGTTGCCTTTGAATTTCAACAACAGTATGTCTGAATGTAGAACAAACAAAAACAATATATATTTACTTAATATTAATAATAATACCCTTTTTCTTTTATTATATTTTAGATTACACCAAAAAGAAGATGATAAATTTTTATATACATTCATAGATTGCGCACCACTTTTCAAAGACCATGCAGATACATTCTTCAAAGAGTACATTGAAAAACAAAAACAATCGATTCTCTCCTACTATGAGAATTGCAATGGACTCGACGACACCAAAGACGATGAAGTAATGCAAAACACTGAATCAAACTTTAAGAGAATGTTAAATGAAGTTAGTAAACTTGCAACAACATGGAGGGTAAGAAAAGAGATATATATATATATAGTAATGATCATTGATAAGTGGATTCGAACTAACTAATTAATATTTATTTATTATTTATAGACTGCATTTACAACCGAAGATTACCTTAGCTTAGTTGCTTTCTTTGTAAATAGTATTTTATCAAAGTTTATAGATATGTTGTTGGCACTGGAGAATATATCGTCGCTGGAGACATCGAGATTGAGTCAACTGTGTTCACATTTCCTGATGTTCCAACAATTGTTCCTCTACCCAGGTGAACCAGAAGAGCTTGCCAAGCCAAGAATGAAGCTCATCAAGAATTGGAAGAAGGTATGGCAATTGAACAGAGTACTAGATCTTACACTATCGGAAATAGTAGGTCTCTACAACAAAGGGCTGCTCAGTAGACTATCTAATCAAGAGTTAAAGATGTTGGTATTAAGTATATTCGCTGAATTCGACTTAAGAACAACATTCTTGGAGACACTAGATAATAAGATAAATAGAATAAATAAATAATAAATTATAGATTTTTAATCTAAATCTATCAATAATTATAATCATCATCATCATTCAACATTAATCATTTAACAAGTAATGTGTAAATGGTACAACACTTTTTTTTTATTATTGACATAATTTTGTGTTATTTATTTTGATAAGAGAAGAGAAGAGAGGATAGATAGCATAGATTTTTTGGAATGTTGGATGAAAACTTGAGGAGGGAGTTGGTTGGTTGGTTTGTTGCCAATATTAATTATTGTTATCATTATGATTGTATTTATATTATTAAAGTTGTGTTATTCTATTCTTCTGAAGACTACACAAATAGTTTACTCGCTGTCATCTTCGGAGGCATCTGGGTCAGGAGTTGGTATTTCGTTATGAACTTCTGGTTTTCCTGTGTTTGCAATTGGCTTTGAGACACCTCTTCTCCACAATGTAATTTCTTGTTGTTTGAAATATCTAGATTATGATAAAAAAAAGATAAAAGATAGAGATAAATTATGTTAATTAATCAATCATTTTTTAACTAAATAACTAAATATATTTATGAGGCCTATTATTATATCTTACTTCTTATCATCTTCATCTACAAGGGCAAGATTCAAGTAATATTTTACAGAGAATTTATTATGAACACTTCTGTAAGTTGGTGTAAGATCAAATACAGAAAGGAACAATCTTACTGGAATTGATTCACCTGTATATATTGATAATAACATATTATATATTGATTGATTGATTGATTAATGTTAATATATTTAACTTTTGATCTACACCACCACCACCACCACCATTCAATTTTATAACTAAATATTAACTTACCTCTAACTGGAGCACCATCCATAATTTCAAATTTAGTTAAAGTTTCACTCTCGCTGAAAACGTTTGGACCGGAACCTGTTTGCTCACGCTTGATTAGTGCAATCTCCATATATTTAATTTTAATTCTAACCAAGAGGAAATAAATCTTTCCGATGATTACGTCTTTGAGATGGTATTTCGATTTGTTGTATTCAAACTCAATGTGGAGACAGTCTTCAATACCGACCTCCATCTTGATATTACTATTTACTTCGGGTGGCTTGTTGAAATTGATGACCCAAATGTCGTACTCCTTTACAATGTTCGATGCATAGTTTCTCGAGATTGTCAATCTCACAAAATATCTAAGACGTACGTTGGTGCCATTATATGATTCATATTGCTTCTCGACATTCATAAAGTCGTAAGCAAATGTCTTGCTCTCTGTCAGATCGCCTGCCGGTGCCAACTCACGAACCAACGAAGTGAATTCATAATGATTTCCTCTGTCATAAAAGAGTTCTAAAAGTTATAAATAATAAAAAAAAATGAAAAATTACAAAAAAAAAATATCAAAAAAAAAAAAAAAAATGAAAAATAAAAAAAATTATTATTATTAAAATCAAAGATATATAGTTATATTAAAAGTAATGTAATGAAATTGATTTGATATACATACCTATTTGACCAACGAATTCAACTTTAATACCTTTGTGTTCAATCTTTTTGGCTTTATCTTTCAAGTTGATCGAAACCTTACCAGAGACAGGTTCGTTTCCAACGAATACAAAGAGTTTCTCTGATTTACCCTTCTCAGAGGTAACTTCAATTGTTTTTCTATTTTGACAATTATCCAAGTCAAAACTGATATTACAAGGGCTACCAGTTAATGAATTAAAGAAATTCTAAAATATTATTATTATTAATGAACATTATTAATATTAATATCATTTTTCTTCTCCTTTTTTTCATTATTAATAATGTTAATGTCGATCATTCATACCATTTTTAATAACTTCTAACAAACTAACTAACTAAGCTAAACTAAACTAATAAATAATACACAACTTTTGTTTATCGGACTAACTTTTAACTTTTTAGATTACTGTTACTCCAATATACTGTACTCTCTTTTACTAAACTAATCTAGATATGAATTATTATTATTTTAGTTTTATTGATTAAAAATAAATAGTAGTAGTATTGAAAAGAATCTGTAAATATGAATAGAAAGGAAAGAAGATCAAAAATACAATTGAAAAAATGCTTGTAATTGAAAAAATGCTGCCGCTGATTGAATAATAATTCTTTCCCCTATATATTTGAAAATAAATAAAACAAAAAAAAAAAAAACAAAAGTGTGAGAACCACCAGACATTTAAGAAAAAGAAAATGACTTTTTTAAAAAAAAAAAATTATAAAATTAAAAAAATATTGAAAAAAAAATATCTTTCTCTATGTCATGATATTGAATTTTTTTTTACTCAAAAAAATAGACTTTAATATTATCTTTTTAATATCATTATTTTGTTTTGATTTTTTGTTATTGACTTTTAATTAATTAAAATGATATTATTAATATTAAGTTGTAATCATATATTTATTTACTTTGCTTTTGTTTTAATTTTTGCATTTTATTCAATTTGTTTTAAATTTAATTCAATTAATTCTTGGGTTGTAACGGATGCGGGTGAATTTGTCATTAGCTCACGACCACCCGATGTCTTGGGGAATGCAATGACGTCACGAATCGAAGGTGATCCGACCATCAGTGACATGAGACGGTCGAAACCGAGGGCGATACCACCGTGTGGTGGACATCCCATTGATAGCGCCGTTAGGAGATGATTGAATCGCTGCACCATGTGTGGCTCGAGTTTGAGTACTCGCTCTAGCACTCGCAGCTGTGTCTCTTGGTTGTGGATACGAATCGATCCACCACCCAGCTCAACTCCGTTCAGCACGATATCGTAGTGCAGACCACGAATGTGTTCGAAATCAGAGGGTTTCTCACCGTTGAGCAGCGCCAACATGTCGTCGGGGTGTGGCGCGGTGAAAGGGTGGTGTGTCGACTGGAGTGGCGAAGCGTCGGAGAGGTAGTCGGCCGGTGTGAACAGAGGGAAGTCGTCCACCCAGAGGAAGTTGAATTGCTTTGGATTCAACTCGAGCAAGCCACGTTCTTTCATCAGGTTGGCACTGAAGATTCTCACTTTGCCAAGCAACGATTCCACAATAAATCTTGGACCTGCTGCAACGAGCACAACATCGCCTTCCTCCAACGCTAGTCTCTCACTTAGTTTATCCTTTTCCACTTGACTCAGTGATTTCATAATCATTGATTTCCATTCTTTACTACCAACTCTAATTGATACCAATCCCTAAATTATTTTTAAAAAGTGTTAATTACACACACAAAATCAAATAACAATATATTGTTAAAAAGTTAGATAGTTACTGGTGAATTTGGAATTAATGTCTTTGATTCATTTAAAATTGTATCGATATCTTTTGATGACATTGTTGGTTGTACTTTTGGAAGTTTGATACATTTGATGATGTGTTCTGCCTCTGTGAATGAACTGCTTGGCGGTTGATCCAATAGTTTCCGGAATATCTCTACTTTGGTATCGCTAAAGATGTTTGTGATATCATTTAATTCCAATCCGTAGCGAGTGTCGGGTTTATCGATTCCGTAGCGATCCAACACCTGTCTGTATGTGTAGTGAGGGAATGGCGTCTTGATATCGTAGCCAGCTTCTTTCCACATTGCGACAATCAGTCCTTCAATGATATTGTAGACTTGTTTGCAATCGACAAACGAGAGTTCCATATCGATCTGTGTGAATTCCGGTTGACGATCGGCACGCAGATCTTCGTCACGGTAGCAACGCGCCAGCTGGAAGTAACGGTCGAGTCCACCCACCATGAGAAGTTGCTTGTACTGCTGTGGCGACTGCGGTAAACTGTAGAATTGACCTTTGTGACGTGTTGGCACGAGATATTCACGTGCTCCTTCTGGGGTCGGTCTGAACAGTGTCGGTGTCTCCACCTCGACAAACTGCTGACCGGTCAAATAGTGTCGCGCAGCCATCGAAACCTTGGAACGCAGTCTGATATTCGATTGAACTGAAGGACGACGCAAATCTACATATCTATGCTTCAAACGTACTTCTTCGGTGACACGCTCGGCATCGTGTTCAATGGTGAACGGTAAGTCACGACATTGATTGAGGAGTACCAACTGGCTAACGTCCACTTCAATGTCACCGGTGGACATTGCTGGATTAGCCATTTTCGGTGGACGTTCACGAACTACACCGACTACACGTACAACCGATTCCAACCGCAGTGATTTCAGGTGATCAACACTGTTGAAATCGACGTTCGGTACTTCTGAACAGAGTTGTAACGATTTGTTTTCAAGTGGACAGTAGATCTGTGTAGTTCCATGACCATCTCTAATCACAATGAAAATGAATTCACCGAGCTTTCTGAGTGAGGAAACCCAACCATTTAAGATCACAGTTTTACCTACATCGTTTTTACTCAATTCACCACATGTGTGTGTTCTTGTTTTCACCGATGTCAAAGTTGATGTTGATGATCGAACACCTGTCGAAGTAGATGTACTGAAATATTGATATAATGGTTGTTGTTGTTGATTACTTCTATTTTGTTTATAAACTTTATTTAATTTTACATTATTGTTATTATTGAAAACAGTTGATGAATATCGTAATTCTTGTTTATTCTTAATATTATTACTACAATTTATAAATGATCTTGAGTATCTATTTGTTACTCTATTCAAGAGTTGATATCCTTTATTACTCATCATCTTGAAATAGTACAGATGATCATTAACCAAGAAAAACACGAAATAATGCCCCTTTTTAAATTAATTTAGTTTTTTTTTTTTTTTGTACATCAAAATTTGGTCATAAATGCATTACAAGAAAGTATCTTGTTGAAGTGGGTAAAATTTCATCTGTTCTTAAGATATAACTATTTAAATTTACTCACTAAATCTTAAAAATACATTTTTTTTATTCCATTATAATATCAATTTTTGTCTTAAATGATTTCATTTACTGATTAAACTTTTGAAATTGATGTGTTGATTTAATCCAAAATAGTGAAATTCTTAATCAACTTTGTACCATTTGATGTATTCAGAGAACTAAAATAATATATATTCTAAAATATCTCTTCTGAGGTTGACCCTCATTAACATATTATTTAATTTAAATCAAATTAAACAAAATATAAGGTTCCAAAAAAATTAAAAAAAATTGTGATAATATCCTAAATAGTGATTTAAAAAGTAATAGTCCCAATCCTATTTATTAAAATCTATTAGTCTCAAAAAAAATATTCCTTTTAAAAAAAGTTTTTTTGTTTTCTTTTTTTATAGATATTTAAAAAATTACCAAAAAAAGAAAGAATGTAATTTTCAAAAATTTATAAATTAATTTCTCAAAATATTTATAATTTAATCTTTAACCAAGTTTCATACAGATACATAAAATGGATAAACAACAAAAAAAGAGTAACCTTGGTAAGTTTTTAAATAAAAATAAAATAGTAATTATATGTTAAAAAATATTAATATTTAAATTATAATAGACAACAAGCAAGGTGAAGTTGAAAAGAATGAGGGATATGGTATTCCAGAGATGAGACAAGATCATGAACTCTATGAAAATGCCAATCTCCATGAAAAGTTTGACCTAAAGAAAGGAGATTTAAAGTAAAGAAGGATACTAATCTTAAAAATCTTTCTTTGTAAATAAAAAAACAAATCTGTTCTTTTTGGATTAAAAAAAAAAAATAAATAGTTTAAATAATGTTTTTATTTATTTGATTCTAAAGTTTTCATCTACTTGAATATCACATAATACTCCTGTATTATATTGTTTTACATAGGGTTGTTTCCATCCACCAAACTCTACGAAATCATAGAATGATGGTCGATTATCGTAGTGAGCGTACCAAAGTGGGAGGTGAGATCCACCGTGAAAATTCGCACCCATAATAGGGTTCCACTGGCTGGCAGAAGTGTATATACCCATCATAAGACCCATTTGTTTGCCAGTTCTAACTAAACCAAGGAAGAAATTTCTATTGTCCACGACATTTTTATTCCAGTATTCTGGACCTTCGATATCCAACCACACCATTCTAATATTGGCGCCATGATCATTTAGAAATTTCATCATACTCTTCATTTGTCCAGCTGGATTACCACATTTTACACATGGAAATATATATGCATCAACTCTACTCATTCCTATATTAAATTTATCATTGTTATTAAGATAATTTTAGTATTTTCATATTTTGAAATATATTTACCAGCAGCTTTTGCAAGTTTAATACTATTTGGAGCATTGTCATCTAATAAGCCATTTGATCTACTTGCTCTAACGATTGCAAATTCATATCCACTATCTCTTAGACATTCCCAAATGCTTGAGTTTGTTGCTTGTGATATATCAACGCCAAGTTTAGCGTCGACCTTTATTATTGTGATAAAAAATAAAATAAATATTAAAAAATAAAATTTCATAATACAATAGAAATATTTGAGATGGTTGGAAGAAGTAAAATAATACCATTTTTAGAGTTGGTATAAATAATTTTATTTACTTCAACAAAAAAATATAAAAATATAAAAAAAAAAGATTATTATTAATTTGATCACCAGATTAAGATTTGATTAAATTTCATTGTCGAATCGATTATTTAAAGTAATTCAAAATTACTTGGATGTTTTTGTTTATCATGTGTAAATCCTGGTTTGTTTTGTTGCTGTTTTGTTTGAAAAAAGAAAAAAGAAAAAAAAATTGAAAAAGAAAAAAAAAAAAGGTGTGTGCTGTGCATCGTGTCTTGCCCAGGAAATAAGACAAGATGACTCTAATAGAAAGGTTGTTGCTGGTACTGTTGTTGTTGTTGTTGCTGTTGGTTGTACTGTTGTTGATTTGGTGGTTGAAATTGATTGTGCTGTTGTTGTTGCTGTTGCTGTTGCTGTTGCTGTGGAGGTGGATTGAATCCGGGTGGTGGTTCAACCTTTTTATTTTGACACTTTATTGTTTTTAAATAGAGAAAGTTTGATTAGAAAATTCATGTTCATTGTTTTTGTTTTTGTTTTGATATGATATGATATGATAAGAGGTTTACTTACTTTGTTTGCATAATGACCTGTTTGGAAACATTTGAAACATGTGATTGTTCCGAGATCGACGGTTGGCTTGTTGAATCCTGCACCGCCACCTTGGTTGCTTCCACCGCCTTGCTGACGCTCAAAGGCAGCCTCAGGGTTAGGTGGGTTCGAGCATTGATTCGATTTATGACCGGTCTGACCGCAGTTATGGCAGATCGGTATGCCACCTTTAGGTTTACGACCGTCTCGCATAAATTTGTCACCGCCACCGCCACCACGTTGTGGATATAGTTGTTGTTGTTGTTGTTGTTGTTGACCTTCCATAGAAGGTGGACCGCCACCACCACCACCACCATTGGGATGATGTTGTTTGATTTGATTGATAATCTGTTGGTTGTGATGTTGTGATTGCAATTGTGATTGCTGTTGTTTCTCGATGTCTTGTTGACGCGACTCTGTCTCCTCTTTGGGCAATTCAAACTTGGGATGACCGTATTTGCATCGAGGTCCCTCCGGACAGAATCCCAAATAGAAATTCTCACACAGCAGCTTCTTGACGTGTTTGTGTCTGCATTTCGGACCGTGTTTACAGAATCCTCTTGCATACCACGGACACTCTATCACTTTCTCCTCTGGATTCAAATGTAAATACATACATTCTTGATTACTACATTCACCTATATATATATATATATATATATAAATAAACATAATAGATAGTTATAAAGTAAAGTTAGTAAGTAAAACACACAACAATAGTATAAGAAAAACATAAACATAAATATACATACCAAACTTTGAAAAGAAATAACATTCAGGCATCTTTGCCAAGTCGTATTCATGAAGGAACTCACATAGTTCACCTTTCTTGCAGAGACCTCTCAGCCAATGTTTACAAACGACGGCATGCTCTGTTTTCGAGTGTTTATATGGGCAATCGTTTCCTTTCGTGCAATTACCTTTAAGAAAGAATCTACATACTTCTGAATTATCTATTTAGAATAAAATAACAATGTGTTAGTATAAACTATTACTTTTCTGTTTGATCTTATCGAATCAAACAAACAAACCAATCAAAACCAAAACAAACAAAACCAATAACAAATTAATACCTTTAGTGTCATCATCTAGAATCTCATTTTTATCAGTGACATATGGTTCGAAATCAAATGTTAACTTTAATGATATTAAATCTACTTCAACATCTAACATATTTATCTATAAATATATATGTATATCTAATTTATAAGATACTATTTATCTATCCACAATACAACAATAATAATTAAAAAACACTATAAAAAAAAATTAAAAAAAATAATTTTTTTGAAATTTATTAAATATAATAGAATTTTTATTCTTATCAAATCGTTGTTATACTCTTTTCTAGAAGATTCTATAAAAGAGAGTTAGTTCAATTGATCCTTTATATTTATTAAAAAAAAAAAAGAAATCTTTGAAAATATTTTAAACTTTATTTATTTTAAATTGTTTTGTTATTTAGTTGAATTTTCAATAAGATACACTAAGATACAAATTGGTAATTTATTCCATTTTTTTGTTTTCATAAATAGTTTATCTCATTTTCTATATAGAAAAAAATCTATTAATAATAATATAATCTTTGAATCATTAATAAGATTCAAATGAGTTCTAAGAAATGAAAACATTGTAATAGCTGATTTGGAGAGTAGTACTTAAAAATAATAAAAAAAAGATTTGACAAATATCATTTCAAGAACATGTTTATTTAATATTTTGATTCCTAAAAAGATGATAAATGATTTTTAAAATTGTAAATTTGTATCACAAACATTCCTGAAGATAAATCAAGAAGATTCTGAATCAAAAATAATAAAATCGTTAATAATAGACTCAGTAGTAATATTTAGTTTTAGCATCATTAAATTCCATCTCTTTGGATAATTCCTGAAGATAAAACGACAAGAATCTGATTTTGAATAAAATCTACCCCACATTTTTACAAATTTTGTTCAGGAATCTTTTTTTATTCTGTAATTCAAGAATTGGAATGACAATTCTTTCAAATATTTTATTTTTTTATTCAATTTTCAAAATCTATAAATAATAATCCAAAGTCAAATGAAATCATTACAAAAAAATAAACAATATAATATATATAAAAACAATATAGAATAAACTTTTCAATAATTCAATAAATATTTATAAACTAAAAATTATCAATTAAAATGTCATCAAATATTAAATCAAACATTGAAGCAATCATCAATGGTATCGAATCAAATAAGATTTTGGATATCTTTGAGAAATATTATGCAGAGGATGTTGTGATGTATGAGAAAGGTGATAGTTCAAACAGAGTTGGAAAAGATCAAAACAGAAAAGCTGAAGAAGCATTTGTCAATAATGCAACCATTCATGAAGTAAAATGTAGGTTTTAAGAGATGAAAATATAAAATGAATGAAAAAAAATACTAATAATAAATAATTTTATAAAAAAATAGTAATTAAATTATTGGTTGATGGAAACAATACAGCCTATGAAATGTATATGGATTTCACTTATGGAGGTCACAATGTCAAGAAGACTCAGTGGGCAATCCAACAATGGAACAACAATGGTTTGGTTGTAAAAGAAGAATTCTTTTAAAAAATTAATAAAATTGTATATACATAGATTTTACTATTTTAATTTGTATTTAAATAAATATATTAAATAATTTTTATTCCATTTATCATTACTTAATTGCATTAAACCATTTAATGATTGTCATGATCTGAATTTGTTGTTTAAAAATTTAAATTACTTATTTGTTAACATTATATTATTAATTTTGCTTGTGTTGTAATTATTTAATTTTATAAATATTTACTTATTTATTATTTATTTATTAATTGTAATGAAACCATTAATAATAATTTAAATTGTTTTTTGATTTGGAAAGTATTAACACTATGATAGTACGGTATTATGGTATTAATTTCCTAAAAATATCACTGAGAGCTTCCATCTTTGGTTTCTCTTTTTGTGGCACTGGTGGGAGCGGAGTTTGGGGAGGTACATGATTATTATTTTGTTGATTATTATTAATATTGTTGTTGCTGCTGTTTGGTATCTGTTGGTTAAGTTGATTATTGTTCAATGGTGGGAAATGTGCTGTAAATGATTGTTGGAGATTGGGTGGATATATAAACGATGGATGAATATAAGACTGGCTCTGAGGTTTTGGTACGGTTCCAGAGTCGTCTGTCAATGGCTTGGGATTGACAGAGTTCAGTCCTAGGAAGTGGCAGATAGGATTGCACTGGTGAGTGGAGAAGAAACGCTTGATTCCCTCGATACCGAGATTTCCCTTGCCAAAACCTTGGCCGTCGGAAGAGTGGATCTGTGGGTCGGTGTAGACGTCCGCTACACCTTGGATGTCGACAACGATCAGCTGGCAACCAGAGTCTTCATAACTAAAGTGACTGAATGCATGTGGAGTGTTTCTGTCAAAGTCATTCTTGAAACCGTAGTTGTTGTTGTGCTTCTCGTACTTTCCTTCGATAAAGTACTCGACGGCGCAGAATGGCTTGCCTTGACGCTCGACCAACTCCATTACGAATGCCGGGACAAAGTCGATTTTCTTGGGTGGATTCTTCTGGTTGAAACGCTCGGCAATCTCCTTGGCGTAGGTCTGCATTTCGACGTCCTTGAAGTAGACCATGCGATCTTCGTTGGGATCTTTGAAGAGCTTGGCAACCATCTGCGAGGTTGGTCCCTCGGCTGAGAGATCTTTCATGCGGAATGCTTTACGCATTGCACCCTCTGCAAATGGAGTCGGCTCGGTGATAACTATAGTTGCAGTTTGTATCCATTTACCGAGTTTGGCATCGAATCTATGTCGGATAACACGCTCTGTTCCTGCCAAACGTTGGTCTGGAATCACTGGTGGAATCGATTGGACAACAGCCGGAGCAGAGTGAATTGCTTGTTGTAGCTGAGGAGCGACTGCTTGCTGGTTTTGAGCAGATTGTGCTGGAACTTGTTGCTGTTGTTGTTGCTGTTGTTGTTGTTGTTGCTGTAGCTGTTGCAGCTGCTGAATCTGTGGAGAAGTGGTCTTGGTGATGTTATCCACAATTTGTTTTCTTCTATGCTCAAACTCTTCTTTATCCATCATTCCAAGATCGAAAAGCTTCTTTAAATTGATAATATCAGAGACACTCTGCTCTTCTTCATTGTTACTTTGAGGCTGGGCTGGAGCTGGTGTTGGTTGAATTGGAACAGGTGTAGCTTGTTGTTGAGGAATGGGTGTTTGACCTGGGAATGGTTGTAAAAGTTGAAGTACTGCTTGTTGAAATGGTGGATGTTGGATATTTTGTTGAGGTAAATACTGAGAGTGAGCTGTTGGTTGAACGGGAATAGGTGAGTGATGAGGTGCTTGAATTGGTGCTGATGATGAAAGTGGTGGTTGCTGTTGATATTGTTGTTGCTGCTGTTGTTGCTGTTGTTGTTGTAAATATTGTTGTTGTTGGATTTGTTGGAGTTGTTGTTGTTGAATTTGTTGTTGCTGAATCTGTTGTTGCATTTGTTGTTGTTGTTGTAACTGTTGTTGCTGTTGCTGTTGTTGGAGTTGTTGCTGCTGTTGCAAATATTGTTGTTGGAGTTGTTGTTGTAAATATTGTTGTTGTGCTTGCTGTTGTTGTTGTTGTTGTGGATGTAAAGGTTGCGGTTGAATTGGAATGAATGGATTGCTGTTGGTTAGAGAATGTGGTTGTGAAGTATTGATACCACTATTTCCAGTACTAACACCATTGCTATTCAATTGGAATGCAGAGGGTGAAGGTGATGGTGAAATAGCATGATTAGCAGTTTGTTGATATTGATGTTGTTGTTGCTGTTGTTGCTGTTGCTGTTGATGGTTAATCATATTATAATTGTTTACCATTGTTGGAGAAGGTGATGGTGAACCAGATGGCGATAGTAAACTGTTGACAACTGGCTGAGGATAACTGTTGGTTGAATTACTGTTGCTGTGTGGCAAACCATTCTGTTGATTGTCGTCAATGAATGGATTCAAACTCTTGATGGGTGGCATATCGTCAATACTCTTATCCAGCAGTGAAATCAGTGGATCTTTCGAGGAGAAAGGATTACTGCCGTTGTTGGGCATGTCAATCATGTGCACCTTGAAATCAGAGGAAGCATGATGCTGCGGCGACAGACTAGCTGGAGTGTTTGAAGTCGATGGTGTCGCACTCTTTGAGACCATCATATCAATAAAATTACTTTGTTGCTGACCATAAGAAGTTGAAAGTGGATTGCCACTATTGTTGTTGTCAATAATTGGTTTTGGTTCATGTACTTTAAAAGGTGAAAAAGGATCGAGTGGAAGTGTTGTTACGTTGCTATTATTAGTATTATTATTGTTGTTGTTGTTGTTTGTCGTCGTTGTTGTAAAATTAAAGTTATTTAAATTTTGTTGTTGTTGTTGTAGCTGCTGCTGTTGTTGTTGTTGTTGTTGTAGATGTTGTTGCTGTTGTTGGTGATCGATGAAAAAAGCATGATTGTTGCCCATACCACTGCTGTTCTTTAAGGGGTTGGAAGGTGGACACAGTTCTTCAAAGATGGAACGAGTTGGCTTTGGTGAGTTGTGTGGCGATGTAAACGGCGAAAAGTGATCGAGCTGCTGTGACGTTGAGAGCGGGATGGCGACACCGTTTGTCTCGTTGTGTGTATTGCCGCCACCGCCAGAACCATTCAGTGGGGTGACGCCTTGCTGCGGACTGACGCCTTCGAGTGGCGAAGAAATCCAACGTTTCTCTATATATTTCATTCTGATGAACTGTTCGAGCCGAGGATCATCCGGAAACGGCTGCATAAAATCCTGAGGTGTCCAATGCGCCAACCAAAATTGTTTTGAAACCTAATTATACACGAAATTAATAAATAAATAAAAATAAATATATTATTTTTCAAAAAAGAATTTAAAATAAATATAAATATAAAGGTCAGAATATTAAGAAATTCCTGGCATATAAATGATTTTTTTCAAAGGGGCTGTTTCTTGAAAAAAAATTAAAAAACAAAATAAATTTTTCAAACACAAAAAAAACCATTATTATAAACGATTGATTGGATCAAGATTTTAGATTTGTTGCCACATGTGGGGAAAAAAAAAAAAACATATCATTTCTAAATTTGTATAATTTTTTTTTTTTAAAAAACATTTTTAAAGGAACTCCTGAACGAATGAGAAAAAAATGATTATCCAATGATGTGATTATAGATATTATGATGTGTTGTTTTGTGTTGAGGAAATGATTGAAAACAAAACAAAAACAAAAAAAGGTGAAAGGAGTTTAGGTGGAATAACAATAGTGATAATGATTGCTACATACCAAATTACCAATAGATTGAAGTCTTCGTATTTCATCCTCTGTAAATGGATCCATAATTGGTTTAACTTTAAATTCAAGTGTACTCCTAGAATAATTATGAAAAAATAGTGATTGTTAATAATCATATGATTTACTAAAAATCTTTGATTGCTACTGCTGTTGTTGATACCTACAGAAAATGAGCACATGTTGGACATATAAAAATACCAAGTTTAATACACACATAGGGTACATTCTATAGGATTATTAATGAAACAAAGTGGTTTGGTTAACAATTTTGGAATTCAATCAATAAATCAATCATTTTTAGTTGGATAAAAGTGGGGGTGTTTGTTTGGTTTGGTTTGGTTTGGTGCTTTGAGATAGAGTGAAAGTAAATTTACATTTTCACCTTTGCAAAACACCAATAAAAACCTCGATAAATTCCCCCCGAAATTGAAAACAAACAAAATGACACCGCCCAACATTTACACACAGAGTCATTACTTACGGGTGAGTTACATTCTGCACATTGCTTATTATTAATATCTTGAAATAATGATCTTAAAAAAGAGAATTGATCACTACTTGTAGGTTGCATTCTTTATCTTTTTTCTATATCTATCTTATCTATCTATATATATATATATATCTCTCTCTCTCTCTAAATTTCCTTAACTTGTCCTATCTACCTAAACTATCTTATATTATCTTATCTATATTCGATTTGGACTGGACTCGTTTGTATTATTATTATTATTATTATTACTATTGTTTTTAATAAAACAATTCCAATAAAATATGGATTGGTTTGTTGAGTTGCAGTTTTTTTTGTTTTTTTTTTTTTAAAAAAAAATCAAATGTTTCCACTATTTTAAATCTAAATCTTCCTCTCTCCTTTGAGAATCACAGTAGTAGTTACTGCTGAGTGCTACAGTTATTGCTATGTTGAGTGAGGTTGTTGCTGTTGCTGTTCTTCTTCTTGTTGTTCGAGTAGATGTCTACCTGTAGTACAATAGTTATCAAATGAAATCATAAAAATAACCGTTAATAATTTATTAAACTCTTATTATTATTACAACTAATATTAATTAATATGAAAGAATATATAATATAATGTTGATGTTGATGTTGTTGATGATGAATTGCTTATTAATATATTTTAGCTGACGGCTGATTTATGATTTAATGATTTGCTTATTTATTGGTTTGTGATGCTAATGAATATAATGTAATTTAATTGTTTGTTTGTTGATTAATATGTCAATAATGAAATTGATTGATTGATTGTTTGTTTGTTTGATTGACTGACTGATTTATTCATTAAATAAAGACAAGATACAATTATCGATTTATTTTTCCTATTTTTTTGTTTTTATTTTTATTTTTTTAATTTTAATTATTTTTTATTTTTCCAATATTAGAGTGGGCGGTACCAAATGAAAATATTTAATTGATTTATTTTTAATTATTTTGTAATCATTTTTTTTTTTAATTCATGTTTGTGTTTGAGATGTTTGATCAAAGGTGTGGGGCGGATGGATTTGGAGTGTACGCTAGTGGTGGAAGTGAGCGTGAGAGTGTGAGTGAGTGGGTATTTGGTTGTGGTTGAGTAGTAAATTGGTATGGCTGGTTGTTGTGTTGTTATCTCAATTTATAATTGGAATTTGATTTGATTTTGATTTGATTTATATCTTTGTTGTTTTTTAAATAATAATATTACTGCTTGCTGAGTATGATGAATTGCATGAATTTTGATTAATTTGTGGTTAACAATACAAAAAAATATAATACATATCATTATAATTCATTCACACACTTCATTTATTATTCATTTACTCTCTCGTATTCGAATGAATGGTTACCCTTTAATCAACACACAAATATTTTTACTTTTACCTCCCACCTGTACAGGCAATTTAAAATATAATAATAATGTTTGTATTTATTTATCAAATTTGATATAAATAAATAGATTTGATAAATAAATTGTGTGTTGTGTTATGTTATGTTGTTGTTCACAAACCAACTAAATAAAGAAAACTATCATTATTACAAAAATAAATAAATAGAGGTGATGTTACAGAGTTGTTTTGATATTACTCAAGTTGGTTGTCGATATTATTTGTTATTACTTCTGCTGTTTTGTTTTTGTTATTGTGGTAGCGGTGGTTTGACAAACAAATGATATTATTATTATAATAATATTAAAAATAATATTGCTATTTTTGATAATTCAAATGAAATTTGATTACCAAGTTTAGTTAAAACTTTAAATAAACAACTGTACTAACTAAATATCAATATTAAAACAAAAAGTAAAGTAACCAAACCAAACCAAACCAAACCTAAATCAAACCTAAATCAAATCACACAAGACAACGATATCGATATTGATATCGATATGATACAATACAATACAGTGTACAATGCTAATATAAATATAATACTACACAGTAAAAGACAATACAGCACAGTAATATTTGTTTTAAAAAAAAAGTATCTAAGCGATGATATGCAACTATTGCTACTATTAACTACTATTATTCCTATTATTTATCACTAATTTATTATTTAATAAACTTACTTCTACTTCTTTATTTTAGACTGAATTTAAAAATATATATATATATTACATTAAATGATGAATTATGTTTCTAAACTACTTTGGAATTGAGAAAAAAAAACTTAAAAATATCTGATTTTTTTGGTTGACCATTTTCATTTTTCTATTTTTTTTCTTTATTAACAAAGTTGTTGGTGAGCTGCAAGCAAAACACAATGATCTTTTAATAATCATTTTTTTTTTATGGTGGAATGTTCTTTTGAATTATGCTTAATGGGATTGTCAATTTTCGACATCTATGTAGTCAACAGTCAACGGTGAATGAATAACAATGTCGAGTACAGAGATTGGAATATCACCTCATTGAAAAAACAAAAAGAAATCCATCATATACATTTTGTTTTTACAACTATTAGTTAGTTAGTTATCTATATATTCCTTTTCAGTAATTATCATTATATTGTTATTGCTATTGTTATTGTTGTTATAATTTAATATAAAAAGTGTTTTATTGGATTGGTATTCGTCCAATCATTTAGATGCCATTGATGGTATCAAAGAAAATGATCATTTTCTTTAACCTGGTATTAGGTAGGTGCCAAGCTTTTAATTATAGTTTGATTGATCAAAAAGTCTATTCAAATCTCATCGGTTCATAATAATAATAAAAAAAAACACTCTATTTAAATATCCAAATTTTGGTTGGCAAACAAACAATAAAACATGAATTGAAGCTTGAAGCTCCAAAAAAACAAAAACAAAAAAACAACATTGTTTCGTTTTCCATTATTAGTAACAGACTAATAAATAATTTCTTCGTTATCTACAAAAAAAAAAAAGACATAAAAATAAAATTTTTTATTAAAAGTTTTTTGGTGCACGATGGGATGAGAATAGTGTTGGATTCGCGCATCAACTGTAAATAAAAGGAAAAAAACTGAAAAAGACCAAAAATGATTTTGATAAATTAATTTTGTGAATCAGCAAAAAAAATTTTTGTTTTGTTTTTTTTCTTTGGTTTCAACTACACTTCCTTTGTCAACCAACAAATATATAACTTTATATATACATATATTTTCAACGGCTGAAATTACAAACAACATCACAAGTAATCAACCTCAATACTGCCGTTAGAATTAGAATTAGAATTAGAATCTAATCAACGTTGTTGGTGTGAGTGTACGTTATTTCAAATAACAATAACAGTAATAAATTAATAACCTTACTATAATAGGAAAAGGAATTGATTCAATTTCAAATCATCAACCAAATAGAAAACAAAAAAAAAAAATCAAAACAATAATATCCATCAACACATAAAATATCTAATAACTTACAGTAATAATAGTAAAACAACAGTATCAATAAATAATATATTAATAATACTACTTTATTTAAATTAATTTTGTAAGAATAATCACAACATTCCTCTCTACATTTTGATATTTATAAATCTTTTCATATAATTTAAAAGCATCAATTAACTCCCTTTAATTTCAATAACCACATTTTCCTACCACTTTACAAACCATAAAGTCCATTCCCAACTCACTAAAACAATTATTGTTATTCATGTTCATTCCTTCTTTACCTTTTTCTCTTTCATCTTATTTTACCAACTATACATTTATCAGTATAATCAAAATCTATAACCCTTTTAATCTCAAATATTATTGTTTTTTTCTTTTTTGGAATTGAGATAATATCAAACCTTGATGAAAGGATTGGTTTGTATCCATAATTTGTATCCACATTTTTATTTTATCAAATTTTCTTTAAATGACCAACCGAGCTTATTCATTCGCCACACCCCAATAAACAGAATTCTTTATATCTTTGACAATCAAAGTAATTACTTTGATTTGATTTTAAATTTAGAGCTTTTATTTTGTTTGGCCCACCAACAAACAATAGAAACAACAGGTGGCCACAATTGTTGCTGTTGTTTATACAATTTTATTTTCAACTATTTTTTTTTTGTTTTTCTTTAAATTTCATAATAATCAACAATCGAACCACAAACCCAAACACATTCATTTCATTCACATTCAGAAAATAATTGTGCTCCTCGATCACTTAGATCTCTCGTGTCAAGCAAATATAATCCAACAAAAAGGGGAGGTGATAGGGACCCACCACCATCACCACCGTGCAATCCAAACTTACTTTTTTTTTTTGTTTTTGTGTTATTTTTGTAATTTTTTTTGGTTTTTTTGTCACACTAACCAAACTTGTCGAACCATCCCCAAAATATTACCCCTTCTCGCGTTTCATCACATTTGTTGGTCATCGCTGCCAATCAATCTGGATTCGATTCATCACTCTTCTAAATAGAAGTTTGGCTTACCTAGTCAGTTTCTTTTGAGGAATCGCCTTTCCTCTGAAGACGCTTGCGATGCCACACCACCTGCCTTAAGATTGACTCGGTGGATGATGATAATAAAGTTGTTGATGGTGATGAGCAAGCAACTCAATATTACATTTCATTTTTATATTATACCATATTCAATACAACCCACCACAACTTTCTTTCTTTCTTTTCATCAAAACAATACAAAAGCCTTTCTTCTTTTACCAAAATCGTCTTAATAGTCACAAAAAAAAAATCTAAAAATACTGAAAAAAAAAAAAACAAACAAAAATTTCATCAAAAATTCATCTTTATTCATTCATTTGTTACTGTGTTGTTTAAATTAATATTAATATAAATATATTAACATACAGGCAGAGATATATTAAAAAAATAATAACTATAAAATCCTGATGATATAAAAAAAAAAAAAAAGTATTTATAAAATAATATACATTTCACAAGATAAGAAAAAAGATATATCTTGTCTTTTTGTTTTTCTTTTTCTTTTCAAATAATTTTATAAAATTTAAATATCTCTATTTTTTTAATTTTTTTTTGTGTGTGTTTTAATTTATTTATCTCATCAGAAAGAAGTAGTGGTAAATTATTATTTTTTTTTAATCAAAAAAATCAAATCATTCCAGAGTAGAGTAGTTTCACACACCACTCTTATTTTACTTTATCTTTTTATTTTATAAAAAAACCAAATTTGGGGGCAGTCATATAATATTATCAAACATCATCATTAAAATTGCTTTTTGTTTTTTTTTAAATTGTGAAAATTAAAATTTAATTTAAAGCAAAGAACACAACAACAACACAACAAGAACACCAACAGTCGAGAAAAAGAGAGTTAACACACAGCAAAACACACAGTATAACTAACTGCAATTCTGTTGTTACACTTTTGTTTCTCAAAAACAATCATTTGAAATCAGAATCAATAAAATCAATCTTGATTCAACAACAACAACAACAGCAACAATTTTTAGTAACAACAACAACCACAAAACATTAAATCTTTCTTATCTTTTGTGGCTTGTAAGCCTTTTTGAACTAAATCACAAAACGACACAAAGAGATTGATTATTTAAATATTTCCACTACATCAATCAGTAAATCAAATCAATCAGGAAAAGCAAAAATAATAAAAAATAAAAATTAATAATAATTTCCTAAAAAAAACACCTTCTACAATCTAACTACACTCCACAATCATACAAGATAATCATTTCATCTCAAGTAGTAGCAGCAGTATCAGCTTCCAGCATCAGTATTATCAAACCAACTACAGTGACAGCGACAACAACAATATCCACTCACAATTAGATCAGCTTAATACCTACCATATTGTTGTTGTTTCCTTTTCTTTTTAAAATATTTATTATAAATTATTTGGTTTGATGTTTTATTTTGCTTTTCATCTTCAAGAAGTCATATTGTATTGTTGTTGTTGGAAACAGAACCAAACAGTGAACCTCCTTCATTCACCACAAACATCCATACATATTTAAATTTGCACTGTTTTTTTTTTAAAACAAACATTTTAATATTCATCAAATCAAACATTAGTTTCTGGAAGTTAGTTCATTTTATTATTTCTCAATATCCGAATTATTTTTATAATAATTATTAGTTGTAATCTTTTTTTTTTTTTATAAAATCATATTCCTGTATTTATATTATTTATGTGCATCTATTAAATTTAATATATCTTGTATATTTACAATTAACTATTTCTCCATAAAATATTTTTATACCTTTTTCTTTTTTTTTTTTTTTGTAATAAATCAAAACAATAGAAAAAAAACTAACATCTTAAATCTTTAAACAGTAATAAACAGAAATAAATCAAATCAGTTAAATCAAATCAAATCAAATTCAAATCAAATTCAAATCATAATTCCAAAATCAAACTAAACCAAACCAAACCAAAACCAAAACCAAATTCACCATCAAACTAAATCAATCAAATCAAATTCAAATCAAATTCAAATCAAATCAAATTAAACAAAAATCAAATAAGAATTATTATACATATTATATAAACATTTTATATAAATCATGAGCCAAAATGGTGTCGGTGTTGAAATGTCGAAAAATATCGAACTAGACTCTTCATCATCATCATCACAACAACAACAACAACAACAACAACATCAAAATCCAGCCCAACATGACAACAGTCCAGATTGGCAATTGCCAACCATTCTCCAGCCATCACCTATTATGCTCTCAGTCAATGGTGGTGCCAACACACCCAGTCCCAAACTACCACCACTTTCACTTCCACCACACAGTCTAAATAACTACGGCTGGAAAGGATGGATATCTGACACACTTTCCAAAAACCAAAGATTTCACAACATGGTCTACTATCGTCTTGGAAACCTAAAGTATCTTTCCGATACACTTGCCGAACCAGAACCATAGGGGTAAAGAAATTAAAAATATTAAAGTAACTATCAATCATAATAATAATAATAATTATTATTATTTCCAAAAACAATTTTAAAATTGTTTCTAATATTTCTTTTCATTTTCTGTCTGAAGAATTTACATGGATAATACTTTTAAGAGAATTGTTGAGGAGAATAAATTGGTTGCATATTTTCCAGAGGATCAAGAGTTGCCCATATTAATTGTTTTCAATACAGGACTTTTGTCGAGAACCAACGAAGATATTTTCTGTATTTTACAATCGATTCATGTGGCGTCGCTCAAGGACAGAGAGCAAGAGAGTGGCGGACGTCGTTGTGAAGAGCGTCAGTGGATTCTCAAGGAGTTTCTACCGTCTTCATCGTTTCAGCAGAATGACACATTCGACAAGTATGGCAACAACATTCTCCCGCTTACCGAGCTACCGAAGCGTGCATACTACTTTATCGACGGTGTTCAGTACGCTAGTTTCGACCCTGAGATTCCAGTCGAGAAGGATAACGTCGATTTCGCAGAGATCATAAAGAATTCCTCGCAATCAAAGATCGATCGTCTACCACAAGAGTATGTTCATTGCAACGAAAAAGAACTCCAAACACGATTCAATCAGGGTATTGTCGCAGCGATCATCCGAACTCGTTCGAACCCGCGTTGTGCAGTCCCGCAATTCCATCGTGATAGCGACGGACTCAAACGTATCGACCTACTCCTACCACTCAATATGAATGGTAAAAAAGATCCAGACTGGTATGTTAACTCGCTAACCATCTATCCTATAATTACTTATTCTCTTACTCCTCCTCCTCTCTTCTCTATCTGATATTAGTGCTTTGGTTATTAGATATAATATCACAGAGAATGGAAATAAATCATATATAGTTAGAGGTATTCTCTCGAAGGAGGATTCCTATATCAATGCAAGAGTGATTCAGAGAATCGATCAGAAATGGATGGAATACATCGAGTTGGGTGGTGATCCCTCTGGAGGAATGACACCGGTTCTCCTCGCAGCGAACAACAGCGGCAATCCACCTCCATCACCACATATTAATATCAATAAAGGAAGTGCTCCTCCAACTCCACATCTTCTCTCAGAGAAACCAAATTTAAAGAAAGAGATTTTGAAAATTGCTACTAATCTTACTAATAATAATAATAACAATAACAACAATTCACTTTTACAATCACCTCGTTTTATACAAATTCCCAAATCACCATTACCTTACATGCACAGTGGCGGATTAATATTACCAACAAACAACAACAACAACAACAATATGAATATGAATAATAATAACACCAACAACAATAATAATAATAATAACACTTCACCATTAAACTCGAACAATACAACCGCCGCGTCATCTCCACTCCAATTGGCGTCTCCAATTGTAAATTCAGCAAATAGCAACAATAACAACAACAATAATAATAATAATAATAACATGGGTCATCATCAGGTTGGAGCAATTGACAACCACGGTCATTTCAATCCGATACATATATACAACGGTACAGCAGTACATCCAATTAACACCTCGAAAATCAACAACAGTTCGTCCAATTCTTTTAACTCGAAATCTTCGTATTTCCCACCACCAGCTTCGCCCACCTTTCACTCCTCGCCGAACTCGCCATCGCTTTCACCGTCGCCTCCACCCCCTATGCAGCTACAGCAGAACCCATCGCCACAACTAAGTCCAAGTACATTCAACACGCCTTCGTCGCCACTGTCATTCCCACCCTCCTACCAAAATCGTACATATAAACCAAGCACTCCACGCCAGAACAACAACAACAACAATAATAATAATGTGTATAGTCAACAACAACAACAACAACAACAACAACAACAACAACAACAACAAAATCTAATGGAAGGTGGTAACGGTAATCCCGTTACTCTACTCGATCCAAATAACAATCCGATGAATCAACATGATCCACACTCGCAACAACAACACCAATATAATCAGCAAATATATAATAGTCTTTTCGATCGTTCACAACTAGTCGACCACCGACGTATCTATGCCTACAATCCAAACAACAACAATAATAATAGCAATAATAAGCAACAACCAATTCCACCTTTACATCCATTCCATCAACAACAACAACAGCAACAACAACAACAGTACTACAATAGTCCAATGAATCAATCACCATCGTTTTTATCAGCCAACTCTGATAAACAACCTGGAATTCAAAACAATATTCGACTCAACACCACCATGAATACACCGAGATCGCCTGACCCAACCAAAAATTGGAATTCACCTAGAAAGCATCATAACACTACCAAAGATCAATAAAATCTGGTAATCATTCGATGATTCAGCCAAACTAATCAACCAATCAACCAATCAACCAAATCATTTTTACAAATGTTTCCTACTACTTCTCTTCATCATCATCATCGTCAACGTCAACAATCATCCATCTCAACAACATTAACATAACATCATTAATCACAAAAAAAAAAAAACAAAACAAAAAAAAAAAATAAAATTATACAACATCACAAATCTGTTTATTTCTATAACTCTTAGTCAATCATCATCAACATCATCAACATCATCAACATCACCTAAATTCTGTTTAAAATTGTTTTAAAACATTAAATCAATTCAATGGTTGTTTAAACATTGATTTATTACAATAAAGCAATATACATATATACATATTTTAAAGTACATTATTTTTATTTTATTTTATTTTTCTCTGATGTTATTCTTTTTTCTTTTTTTGTCCATGGCAGAACTTTTTTAAAAACTTACCATTAACCCAAAATTCCCTAATCTAAATTGAATAAAAGAAAGAAATATGAACTTACTTATTTTGTTCAAAGAGATAGTATCTGTAAAATGTAAGAAAAATTAGTAAAATAAAATAAAATAAAATAAGAAAAAGAAAGAATAAAATAAATGTGTTGACCATTGGGAAGACAATTCTCTCCAGACTGGTACATGGAACACTTGAAGTTGTTTGGTAAGTTTACAGAGTTTGGTCATCGAAATGATTTAACCTAAATCGATGCCAGTTGGATGAAAAATATCATCTTTATATTGTTGTTGTTGTTGCAGTTGAATATTATGCAAAAAAAAGATTGCATTATGTACAAATGTTTGTTGTATTATTAATATTATCGGTTTGGTTCATTTCAAAAACAGTGGATGTAGGTGATGCTGGTTGTAAAAGATGTTCAAAAGATATCAGATAATGGCTATCTGAATGTGTAGTACTGGAAAAAGGGTTGTTGTTGCTGTTGATATTAGTAGTGGTTGTTGTTGTTGTAGTAGCATTGATATTGTCACAATCTTCATCTGAAAACAATAAAGGTTTTGGTGGTGTTAATCTTATGATATTTGGTTGTTGTGGTGATTGTTGTTGGTTTGGTTGTTGATGTTGTTTCTGTTGGTTTTGTTGGTTATTTAAATAATCATTTAATGAATCATAGGATTGAACGATTGGATATTGATCGGTGACTTGATCCTCTTCAGAGTAAACGAATTTCGATACTAAACTGCTGAATCTGACGTTCTTGTCGTAGCTCTCCAGACAGTTTTTACGCTTGGCGCCAGAGTGCTTCTTCGATGGACTGCTCGTTGGCGTCAGCTTTTTGATGGTGGCCTGTATCGATTCGAAATCGGTGGTGTCGTCGAGGTGCAACGTCTTGTTGAGATGTCCGTAGAATTTGGTGATTTCATCGCGCAACGATTCCTCTTCCTCCTCGAACTGCTTATCGGGAGGTGACGGACTTTCCGAGCGCTTCTTGGAGAGATCCATCTTTTTCAGCAGGAGTGACTCTGCCACGTAGCGATTCATATTGTTATTGGAGACGATCATGAACGATTGGTCGCCACCAAAGTATATCTTTTGACCGTGCTTCAGCAGATGTGGAATACTCGACTCAATGCGCACCTGATCAATAAATGTACCGTGCGATGAATTCAAGTCAACAATATTTAGTCTGCCATCAGAATCGTGTGCCAACATTGCGTGTTTTCTGGAAATTGTTGGATGTGTCAATGCATAATCACATACTAAATAAAAAATTAAAAATGAAAAGTATTAATATTATTATTGTTGTTGTTGTTGTTTTTCCAATGATAAATATATATTCCAATACTTACAAGTTGTTGATCTTCCTAAAATAATATATTTTAAATCATCGAGTGGAATGGTAAAAGTTGAAGATCTCTCACCCCCTTTATAAAATTTCAGATGATCATTTCGTGAAGACATTGGTTCCGATGCCCAGAAAGGACAATCGAGATCGATTGTTGGTGTAGAGACTGTTTCAACTCTTGTTGTTGTTGTTGTTGTAGTAGCTGTTGTGATAATTGAATCATTTCTCTTTCTTGTAGTTTTTACGATGGACGATGGTGGGATTACCTCTTTTGGTGGTGAAGAAGATGGTTGTTGTGTTTGTGACTGAGAAGACGACAATTGACCAAACAATATTAACTCTTGTGTAGATTGTTCCAATGACATTGTTTGGTGTTTTTTTTCTTCTTTTTATTTATTGACTACTTATTTATTATTATTATTACTTTCTTCTTTAATAAATATATATATTTAATATAAATAAATATATATGATTATTTTTTTTTTTTATTAGTTTTTTTTTAAAGTGTGGGGGTAAATTAATTCCAGTAAATTTTCGACTGTTTCTAAATTCTTGCTGTATAATTTACTATTATCTGCTGTTGTGACTCCCCAAAAATAAAACAATTGTTTGTCTTGTCAAAATAATAAATAAATAAATAATATAAATATATATAGTGATTATATAATGGTAAATATTAAAAAGAAAAAAAAAGTGATATTAAAATTGTATCAGCTGGAATGATGTGCTAAAAAAAAAAAAAAAATTTGGAGCCACAAAACAAAATACCAAGAATTTGAATTTTTAAAAAATTTCTAAAAAAATTAATAAGAATTTGAAGTGTGTGGAACATAATTGGAATGAAACGGTTTGTACAACAGTATTTTTGGAGATGCCATCGTGGTATATCTTGGCAGATTACAAAATAACATCCGATCTACCAAACATTAAACTTTATTGAAAGGAAATTGGTTGGTTTATTTAAATTGATTGAATAATGAAATATCTATTTATATCTCCCACCTGACTTTACTGATTACTAATAACATTGTTTATTTCTATAAAAAAAAAAAAGAAAAAAAAGAAAGCAATTTCTAATGATACAAAAAAAGAAAACAATAAAAGATTTTGGGATAGATAGATTAGATAGTAAGAGCTATTATCATATTTTTTTAATATAGCTAATTTTGTTATTTTTATTTATTTTATTTTTTATTTTTTTTAGAAAATCAAAAATAAATAATCTAAAATAACAATCTAAAACAATAAATTAAAATGATTATCTTTTGTTTTGTTTTGGATTTAATCCAACACTTTTATTATAAGTGTAACAGATAAAGTTAACTTAACATTGTTGTTGAGAAGTAAACAAATAAATTTAAACAATACTAAAATGACGATTTTCAAAAATAGCTATTCAACAAACCGAATTAATAATTTTTTTAAAATCTAAATTAAATTAATTTTGGATGTTGTTTTTCGGCTCCTGGTGCTCAAAAAAGATGACATAATTTTGAAACTTCAAACAAAATAAAAATTTTCGTTTTTTTTTTTTTTAAAATTTTTTAATTTTTTTTTTTCAAACAAACCCCACACTTTCCACCCAAACTTTCCTCCTTTCACTCAGAGCATCATCTGAATAATCACTCATAACATAATATATTAGATTTATCTCTGTACTCTTTTAAATAATATATAATGTCTGCTATCCCACCAGGAAACACTGCTAACGGTGAAAAGTTGTTCAACGCCCGTTGTGCCCAATGCCACACCGTCGCCAAGGTAATTATCTACAAACTACCTATTCAAACCAATATGAACAGGTTTTTTTTTTTCGTCAGCAATCCTCTTTTCTCTTTTTAGATCAGATAAGATAATAATTGAAATACAGCAAATCAAAAAAAAAAAAAAAAAAACAGTAATGCAAATATTATCATCATTTTACAAAAATGAAAACTAAGAAACACAACACAATATATAAAACATATTCATGAGAATTTAGAGAGATATAATCAAATCATAAACAAAAAACAAAAAAAGATTAATAGAAAAAGAAAAAGAAAAGGAAGGAAGAAAATAAAATAAAGAATTATAGAGAGGAGAATGATTCATTGGTTTAAAATCAAGGATATGTTCAGTAATAACTAATATGATCAACATATATAACACTAATAAATTATAGGACGCTCCAAACAAGCAAGGTCCAAACTTATATGGTCTCTTTGGTAGAAAGTCAGGTAGTGTCCCAGGTTATGCTTACTCACCAGCCAACCAAAACGCCGGTATCATGTGGGGTGAACAAACCCTCTTCGACTACTTGGAGAACCCAAAGAAGTACATTCCAAAGGTAATTATATGAACACTCTATAACGACAATCTAATTGAAATAATACTAATACGCTTTAATTTCCTTTGATTTTTTATAGACCAAGATGGCTTTCCCAGGTAATTATATTAACACTAAACATCAAAATAATAACACTCCAATTGAAATTATACTAATACGCTTCAATTTCTTCAATTTTTTAGGTTTCAAGTCAGCACAAGACAGAGCCGATGTTATTGCCTTCTTACACGAGAAAACCGTCTAAAAACAAATAAAAATGAAATTTTTGAAAAAAAAAAAAAAAAAAGTGGGGTGAAGCACCACAATAATTTTAAATTATTATTTTTTCTTATATTAACAATCATCTTCTTGTCATTGTTATAACAAATAACTTGGGAATAGTCGGCAATTCATATTTATATAGTATTCAATACGATACAATCTATTTTTCTTAAAGATATCAATCTTTTTATTCTTATTTATAGACATAACAAATCACTTATAATTACAATTATTGTTTTTTTTTAAAAACTAATTTGTTTTTGCAAACATGGGGTGCAATGATTTTACCAAAAATCATAGTGTTCATTTATCTACAAAAAAATAAACTTTCATTTTAGATTAATTCAAGTAAATTTAAATATTGTCATTAGTTTATTATTATACCAATTATAAATATTTTATTATAATCAATGTATTATTCAGAGTAGTAGTTTATTTTAGTAAAATATTTCAAAAACTATTCATTGTTCTCTTAAATAATGAATAAAAATTATAGTATAGAGACAATAGATAGATTAATCAATGGAAAAAATGTCTTAAAATTTATAAATTTTGATGATGATGATGAAGTTTATAATAGTTTTGATAGATTAGTAGTTCTAGTTTATAATCTTTTTAGAGATAAAGATAATGAACAACACAGAAATATAACTTTAATTGGAAATATTAATGATTATAGTGATGAGCTTGTACTTCCCGATACAGTCGATGCTCAATATCAATTAATAATAATAAGATCATATACTTCAACGGAATTAGATGAAGAAGATTCCATACCTATATACACAAAATTATTAAACAAATCGCAATCATACGCAATCAATATTAGAGAATGTCAATTCGAACAACACCCAAACTTTTTCCAACAATCTCAAATCATTAATGATAATCGTTATGATTTAATATCAATATTTCCTAACTGTAATGGTATCAATAAAGTATATTTGGTGTGTGGAGCTGATCAAAGATTGGTAAGATCTTTCAATATCTAATTAATAGATTTAAAATCTTAAAACTAACAAAATCAATACAAAAGTATGTTTACAAAAAGATATACTATAAAGATAATCAAAAATGTTATGAAAGAGCTGAGAATGAAATCAAAGCAATGGAATTACTCAAAGAAAATCCAAATTTTGTTTTACTTATTGACCATCATGATGATAAAGAGAACCAAATCTTTCATATCATCACTGAATATTGTGATGGTGGTGATCTTGCTCAAGAGTATAAACTTTTAACTGATCTAAATCAGTAAGTATATAACAAATTTAGGAATGAATTGAAACTAACAATTTAATATTGAATATAAAAATAGATTCTTTGAAGAATCAGATATTAGTGAATATATTTCACAACTTTTCAATATTCTTTTGGAACTTGATAATAATGGAATTGTTCATTGTGATATCAAACCGTCAAACATTTTCATTCATGATGGTACTTTGACGCTGGGTGATTTTGGATGTTGTAAATTCATTGATGAGTATCAAGATACACAAAATCAGAATATTGAACAACCTATTGTGATATCAAATTTAAAATTTATCGATAATGAAATTTCAGAACCATCCATTTTTGATATGGATTCAAACACACTCCAAACAAAAGCAACACGTGGAACAATTGGTTATATTTCTCCAGTAAGTAAATTATATTTAATTTTTTAATAAATTTATTTTTAACTAAATTAAAAAATAAAATAGGAAGCAAAGAATAGACAATATGCACAATCATGTGACATCTTTTCAATTGGATCTACAATGCTCAAATTATTATGTTGGTAAATACTCTATAATTATTTAAATTATAAAAATCAATTAATATTAACTCGTTATTCTAAATATTTAAATTGATCAGTCATCAAGATGATAGAAATAATCATGAATTATTCAAATCAAAGGGTGAAATTATCATTTCAGAAACCAGATATTCAAAACAATTGATTGATTTTATTCATCTTTTGTTGGATCAAAGCCCAAAGAATAGAGAATCATTACAACAATTATTAAATCTGTATATTGAAGCTATCACAAATCAAGATTCAATAACATTTAATGTAAATACTCCATTCCCATAATACCTCTGAGAATATCACTGAAATACTATTTGGTGATGATTTTAATCAAGAATTGCAATCTAATTCACTCCCTCCAAATCTAACATCTTTATCATTTGGTTCTAATTTCAATCAACCAATAATTTTTGGGGTACTTCCAAAAACACTCAAACATTTATCATTTGGTTGGTCTTTCAATCAAAATTTTGAACAAGGAACTTTACCACACTCTCTTGAGTCTTTGAAGTTTGATGATCATTTCAATCAAATATTATCAATCGGTGTGCTACCTGAATCACTGGAGTCTTTGAAGTTTGGATTTGCATACAATCAAAATTTATCAGTTGGCTTGTTTCCTGAATCACTGAAGTCCTTGAAATTTGGTGAGAGATTCAACCGAATATTATCTATAGGTGTGTTTCCCGAATTACTGTAGTCTTTAAAGTTTGGATATGCATTTAATCAAAAAATACTAAAAGGAGTGTTACCTGAATCTCTGGAATCATTGGAGTTTGGAGATAGATTCAATCAAATATTATCAGTTGGTGTGTTACCTGAATCATTGAAATCGCTGAAGTTTGGAGATAGATTCAAACAAATATTATCAAAAGGATTGTTACCTGAATCACTTGAATTATTATATTTGAAGAACTACAAACATAAAATTGAGAAAAAAGTTCTTCCCCAACATCTTTCGAAGATATATTTTGATTTACTTGATCAACCATTGGATATTGGGGTATTACCACAATCCCTTCAAAATTTATATCTTGACAAATATGAACATACGATTGGTATTGGTGTTCTTCCATCATCTCTTCAAAAATTATGGATTACTGGTGGATCTTTAACAAACAGAGAATTACCAAAATCAATTGAATCACTTTTTATTGTTGGACAACATAATGACTCAGCTAATCAAAGTAAATTTCTTTCAAATCTAAAAATTCTTTCAATATTTATTGATTCTCACCAAAGATTCACAGCATTTCAATTAACAAACTCAGAAGATTCACTTTCATATATCAAAGATCTCCATCCAGAATATTATTCTACACACAATTTATCTAATAACAGTGATTCCTTTGTCTATTCTCATATCAATCAAAACAAAGGAGAATTCATCATTGCTCTACTTTTGACACAATAGAAATAACATTTAAAACAATAAAGCTATCTTATTTTATTATTTGTTTTTTTTGGTATTTTTTTCATTCATTTTATATTTTCATCTCTTAAAACCTACATTTTACTTCATGAATGGTTGCATTATTGACAAATGCTTCTTCAGCTTTTCTGTTTTGATCTTTTCCAACTCTGTTTGAACTATCACCTTTCTCATACATCACAACATCCTCTGCATAATATTTCTCAAAGATATCCAAAATCTTATTTGATTCGATACCTTTGATGATTGCTTCAATGTTTGATTTAATATTTGATGACATTTTAATTGATAATTTTAAGTTTATAAATATTTATTGAATTATTGAAAAGTTTATTCTATATTGTTTTTATATATTATATTATATTATTTATTTTTTTGTAATGATTTCATTTGACTTTGGATTATTATTTATAGATTTTGAAAATTGAATAAAAAAATAAAATATTTGAAAGAATTGTCATTCCCATTCTGAATAAATCCAATTCTTGAATTACAGAATAAAAAAAGATTCCTGAACAAAATTTGTAAAAATGTGGGGTAGATTTTATTCAAAATCAGATTCTTGTCGTTTTATCTTCAGGAACTATCCAAAGAGATGGAATTTAATGAAGCTAAAACTAAATATTACTACAGAGTCTATTATAAAAGATTTTATTATTTTTGATTTAGAATCTTCTTGATTTATCTTCAGGAATGAGCATTCAAGAATATAAAATAAAGGATTTAATGAAGCTAAAACTAAATATTTTGTGGATGTCAAACGTTCTTTAAATAGATCAGTAGGTACAGTTTTAAGAATAAACAAATGATTTCAAACATGAGATATGGTGAAAAAATCTAATTTAATTTAATAATTCTATCATAATTATATAAGAGATATAGATCTTAAATTGAATTCCATTCTAATTTACTTTTAAAACCTTTTGTGAAAATTTCAGAAATAGATTTAAATCTAATTTGTTGTTTATTAATTTGTTTTTTTTTTTCAATGAATCATTTTTGTTTTTCAGTTTTGGTTTGTCGTTATTGTAAAATATAATATGAAGAGATATCACCATCTAGAAGTAGGAGATAAAGATATACTTTCAAATTTATATATAGTCAATCAAAAGCATACAGGTCACGATGCAAACAAATCATCTGTTAAATCTATAACTAAAAATAAAAAGATTGAAATCACTGTTTTAGAAGATGACAACGATCATCATAGTACAAAAACAATAAACAATAATAATAGTAGTAGTGATACAAGTAAAGAAGAAGAACAGCAAAAAGATGTTACACTAAATACAACATCAAGCAACAACAACAATAATAATAATAAAAAGTTTAATTCTACTGATACTATTTGTTCAATGTAAGTTTCAATAAACTAATGAGATTATTATTAATAAATTACTTATCTAACTAACTATACCATTGTTATTTGTTATTTGTTTTAATAATAATGATTTTAGATGTTCAAAGCAATTCTCTATATATAGTTGTCCGAGATGTTTCATTGGTTATTGTACATCCGAATGTTTCAAGAGACACAATGAACGATGCACTGGTTTGTTCTACGAAGAGCAATATCGTGACAATCTAAAAGCGATGGATAAGATCGATCCAAAAGATTCGTTAGCTCTCATCAAAAAGATGAAGGAAATCTACAATAGAGAGGATAGTATTTTAGATAGTTTAATGAATGATAAAGACGAAGATCGACTTGACGAATATGATGATGATGATAACAATGATGTAGATGAAGACGATGATGGTGATAACGATGACGTCGATCTATCTAAACTCAATCTCGATGAGATGAGTGAAGAACAACTATTATCATTATTGACAAAGGAAGAGATCGATGAGTTTCATCAATCAATGAAGGATGGTACCATCGGAGATAGATTAGAACCTTGGAATCCATGGTGGACAGATATCATAAAAGATAAACAACACAACGATGTAGTCATTAATAGAGTTAAACCGAAAATTGTAGATATAACAGATATTGGTAATGTAGATCAGTCTACACCTACTACTACTCCACTACAACCTACAACAACAACAACAAACACACTATCACCACTCATACATCCAAACATACCAGCACTTTCAACCATTTTTCCAAATAAGCCATCTGATTATCTATATAATCATATTGTAGATATTATGTAAGTTAATAATTATAATGATAATATATAAGTACAATTACTAACATATATTTAACTTTCTCAACAACATTAGTTATTGTTATTGTTTCTTAATGAGAAGATTTAATGGAGAATGGGGATATTTATCATTTAAAGAAGATAATTGTGATAAAGATAAAGATAGAGATACTGATATAGATTCACTATCAGAGTTGTGTGACGAATGTAGTGTTATCATTGAATTATCGATCATTCTAAAGAGGACAGAAGCTAAGACAGTATTTACGAGTTTGGACCAGATATTGGAGACACTGCTACACTCAACACATCAATTGAAATCGATTGGTAGTGGCAACGATCTATATTTCTCACTTTTTGTATTGGAGGATACATCCAATGTAATGTCAACGAAACAATCGATACTTGCATCACTATCTCATATGTACAGGCATTTTAATTGGTTGAATCGATCGCTCGCCAATCCCAAGCATAAACAGCAACAGGCTGACCAACTCTTTAAACTCACCATCAATTTTGCTACACAAAAGCTATTGTTCTTCATGGCATGGTGTAACGATCAACCCGAATCCAATTTCCAATCACTTTCAAACAAAATACTGGATTTCTTTATAAAAAAGAGAAAATTGAGTAAACAAAACAATAAATAAATTGGTTATAAGTCTAGTTTAGTTTAATAATATTATTTATATTTGTTTAAATATTTTATATTATATAAATGTTTGATTTAACATATATATATTGTTTTTATTCATTTTTTTTTTTAGAGTTTTCTTTTTAGGGTTTTGGTGGAAGTTGTTGTCGATTCTGTTGGAGTTGAAACTTTGGTGGTGGTGGATGGTTTGGAAATGGTTTTCTTTACTGGTTGTTCGGTGGCGGCGGTTGTTTCTTTCTTGGTGACTTTCTTGGTAACAGCGGCGACTGGTTCTTCAACCTTCTTGGCAGCTGGTTTCTTCTTTTCTTCGGCGACAACTGGAGTTGGTTCTGGTTGAGCAACGGCAGCGGCTTTCTTTGATTTCTTGGCAGAGGTTGGGGCAGCAACAACTGGCTCTTCTACTTTCTTTGGTGTGGATGGAGCTGGTGCTGGAACTTCAGCAGCCTTCTTTGATTTCTTGGTTGAAACTGGAGCAGCAACGACTGGCTCTTCAACTTTCTTTGGGGTAGTTGGAGCTGGAGCTTGAAACTTCATGCAGCCCTTCTTTGATTTCTTGGTTGAAGCTGGAGCAGCAACAACTGGTTCTTCTACTTTCTTTGGTGTGGTTGGAGCTGGTGCTGGAACTTCAGCAGCCTTCTTTGATTTCTTGGTAGAGGTTGGGGCAGCAACGACTGGTTCTTCAGCTTTCTTTGGTGTGGTTGGAGCTGGAGCTGGTACTTCGGCAGCCTTCTTTGATTTCTTGGTTGAAGCTGGAGCAGCAACGACTGGTTCCTCAGCTTTCTTTGGTGTGGTTGGAGCTGGAGTTGGAACTTCAGCAGCCTTCTTTGATTTCTTGGTGGAAGCTGGAGCAGCAACAACAGCTACTGGTTCTTCAGCTTTCTTTGGTGTTACAACAGCTGGAGCTGGAGCAGCCGCTTTCTTTGGTGTTTCAGCAGCTTGCTTTGATTTCTTGGTTGAAGCTGGAGCAGCAACAACGGCTACTGGTTCCTCAGCTTTCTTTGGTGTAGATGGAGCTGGAGCAGCAGCCTTCTTTGGTGTTGGTGCTGACTTCTTTCCATTGGTTGCAGTTGAAGCGGCTGGTTCAACAACCTTTTCAGTTACGACAGCTTCAGAGTTATTCGATTTCAATTTCTTCTTTGCGTTTTGTTTAGTGTTGATTGGTTCTTCTGTTGATTCTGTAGTGCTGTTGCTGCTGCTGACATCGGTCATTTCTTTATCGACAGCTTGAACAAAGAATGGTAAGGTTGGTGATGATTGTGTCTTCAAACCAATGTTGGCAAATGAAACATAGCTCTCTGGGTAGTAAGAGCAAACCTTTTGGGTGACAACCTTCAAATTCTCGTATAACTGTTTCTCTGTGAGTGAGGTATCACCAATGTTCACTGAAAATGGCTTTCCACCATTTGGTGTATATGGGATTTGTTTGTGAATATTCTTGATAATCTGGAATGCTTTCTTTGATTTGAAATCTACAACGATTGGTGTCCTAATTTGAATAAGAAATAACGTATATTAGTATTATTTAAATTATGATAATGAATCAACAACAACAACAACAACATACTTAGATCTCTTTTGATAGAAAGTCTTTCCAAGAGCCTTATGTAAAACATTGTAAAGTGAGCTGCAAGCAACAAAGATATCATATGAATCTCTAAGCTTACGCTTCTCATCGAATTGACGGTGACCATCGAAAACATCGTGAATAGTGAGGACTTTAGCCTTGATTGATTTCGATTCCAACTCTTTTTCGATCTTTTCCTTTAAGCTAGTTGGGACAATAATACAAATATCCTTTGTTTCCTCTGGTGCATTTGGTACTTCACTATACATATATAAGTTATTTCATAATTATTATACAAAATAGATTAGTTTAATGGTTATTGTTTATCACTACATTGTTTTTACATACATTAATTGTGTTTTGTTGGTTTCCTTGGCATAGGCTTTCTTTGGAGTTGCAACCAATTGGATGACGGAACTATCTTCCAAAAGATTGTTATCTTCACTACCCTTTGTATAATTCTTTAGCTCCTTGAAAGCTTTTGTAATCTGATTGATTGTGATGAATGAATGATTTTGAATGTTAGAATACATAATCAAATATTTATTAATGATTCCTGATCATGTCTATCACTACAATGTCAACTTACAGTTGCCTTATTTTGGTCTAAGAATTGAGTTAATTTAGCAGCTGAAGTCATTTCGTAATATATCTATATTATTATTTCGTAATTAAACACTTAATGCAATGCTGAAAAAAAAACTATAAAAGACAACTTGTATAATAATAAATAAATAAATTAAGGATGTCGATTTTTACACAACATTCGTTCGTTATTTTTAATTTTTCTATTTTTTTTCTTATTTTTTTTATTTTTATTTTTTTTTTAATGAGACATCCAAACAATTGCGAAATTTTTTTAAATTTTTAAAAAATAACGTTTGATTTAAAAGATTACATAATTCCCAACTTTATTTTGAAAAAGGTTAATCAAATTATTAATATTAATGAATATAACTTTATATTGAATAGCTATTTTCTAATCATTTATCTAAAAAAAGATATTTTAAAAAGAAATAGTATATGAAAATATTTTTTTACAAAAAAAATAAAAAAATCTAACCAGGATCAAATTGCAAGGTTTTGCGATTGTTCCCTAAACCCATCTTCTACAAATATCTAATTTTACATTCTGATTTTTTAATTAAAATTAATTTTATTTTGATTTTATTTTTACCTTTAAAGTTGTTGAATAAGATATTTCGAATAAGAAAAGATCTGCATTTGTTTATCTTCAAATAAAGTTACAAATAGATAAATAATGTTTATTAAAATATTTCTTGTAACAATCATACTATTTGTTAGTATTGTAAATAGTAAGAGTATAAATATAGTCAGTGGTGAATCAGTTGGTAGAAATCAATATATTACGACCAATCCAAATTGTACGACACCCAATATCACTAGATTGTATCAGTTTATCGATTCAACTGTTGCATCTTACGATTATTGTGAAGGTACCGAATGGGCATTCTCAAATTTCGATACCGCAATCTACTCGGAAAATTCAGACAACGGCCAACAGACTGCATCTACCATTAAGCTATGGATTATGATGGCTGTACTCCAAGATATCAACAATGGTTTATACAATTTGAACACAGTTATCCAATGTTCTGGACAAACCATCACCATTGATGCTTGTCTAGAGTTGATGATTGGTATCTCTGATAACTGTGCAACCTACGATATGGCAAAGCAAACAACACTTAACCATGTTAATCAAGTATGTTTCAATCAATGATATCATTCTAGACACTTTTACTAAAATAATCAATTTCTTAATTTGGTTGTCTAGTTATTTAAACAATTGGGAATGGTTAATAGTGGATTCCATGAATGGTGTTTCACTACTTGCCCAGGATATACATCGCCATGTCCCAATGACGATGGTACTGGAATTGAAAATACTCTTACTTCTCACGATGTTATTACCGGTCTTACACAACTCCACAATTTCCAAGCACTAGGAATGAATGCAACCTATCAGGCCTATAAATATTTGTTGACTGCTCACGGTTGGACTCCGATGCTCGGTAGATTTGTACCGACACCGGTTGCTCATAAACAAGGATGGTTACCAGCAGACGATGGATATCAGCCATTCACCGAGAATGACGAAGCTATTGTTTTCACAGAGTGCGGTGACTATGCAGCATCCGTAATGATCACAAGAAACTGGACCAACCCCCAAGAAGATACCAACGCACTGAATCTCGGTGCACAAATAGGACGTCTTGCCTATTGTACAATGGTGCCATTCGGTACTGCCAACGATGGTACACTATGTTCAGAGACCTGGTCTCAACCACTTCCATCTCCAACTGGATGTTAGTTATTATAATTGGAAAGCAATTAGAAAACAAATTCAGAAAATTACAATTAAATTTAAAAATACAAAGAATTACAATTACAATTTATTTTTATATAAATATTGATAAAAATACAGTTACTATTAATATTAAAAGTACAGGACTGGCTATTGTGAATGCTGATGAAGCAATAGGTGGAATGTCACAACCATCGAACGAAGTAAATTGTAATCCACTATCGGTTATTGAGTTTGCTTGAACTCCATTCATTTTAACAATGATTTCCTCGTTGAAAATCGATTTTATCTTCAAAGAGTAACTGCCTGCCAAGTTTTGAGAGACAATAAAATAGTTGTAATCGGTTCTTGGAATCTCTTGGTATGGTTGGTTTATATCGGTTTGAATCGCCATCGATTGAATTCCAACTCTATGATTGAAAAACATAAATCCAGCCCAATTATCATTGGAGCCATCTTTGGTTTTTACCTTAATAGTACCTTGGGAATCACATGGAACCATCTCGTATTGAAGATTACCTAGAACTCCAATTTTCAATTCAGCCAATTCTTGAAAGGCATCGACACTCAAATCGAAATGGGCGTTTGGACCAGCACAATGTTCTTGATTGTATTGAGCTGGACATTCATCAGTTACAATAACTGTGATAGGATCACTATTATTCTGGTATACATTAAAACAAACACCACAAGAAGAAGCACCATTAAAATATTTAGTACTTAAAGCAACTATTTTATTTGTTTTGGGACCTTTTTTTAAAATTGTTAATAAAATAATTATTATTATTTTTTATAAATTAAATTACCTGTTGGACCAAATAGATCTTGATATCCACATGCTCCGTTGTTTGGAGTAGTATAGTAGGTTGCTGAACATACACTCTTTTCTGAATCTTCTTCACATGATTCCGATATTTTATTAAATAATACAACAATTAAAAATGCATAGAGAAATATTCTTTTTATTTCCATTTTAAAATATATATAAAATATTATTACAACAAAGATAATTTTTTAAAGATAACTTTAATTATAATGATTTCAAAATCAATTTTTATTTTATACTATTTAAAATTTTTATTTTCATTGTATTTCAGTTAATAAATCTGAAATAAATGGATATCTATTTATTATAGTATGTATTTTGATCTAAAAATACATCTTTGAGATCATAGGTTTGCAAAATAACTGATTGTGTGTGTTTGAATTTGTTTTTAAAAAAATAAACAGACTAACACTGAATAACAAAACCCACACACAGCCATAACTTTAAGTGGAATTGATCAAATTTGATATATCAAGAATTGTTTTTTAATAGGTGAAAATAAATCAAAACAGTTTATCCAAATATTTAATTATTTGAATTAACAACATTCTACATCTATTTTAACAAATTAGTTAGTAGTTCATTTTCTTTTTTCCCCCTTTGAAGAAAATCAAATCGGAATCAAGCTTACAAAAACATAATATATTTATTTATAAAATAATAATTTAAACCCAATTTAATTAAAAAATAAATTAAACATATACACATTATAAATTATCAAGCTTTACATTTTTTTCTTTTAGCTTCTCTTTGATATGTGTAAACACTCTTTTCTTTCTTATATACCAAACACCGAGAAATGCTAAGCTTAGAAAAACGGCACCACCAACCACACAAACTGTTATGATTAGTGTGCGATGTGATTTACCACATTCCCCTCCATTTTCAACGAGCACTGAAAAATTTGGGTCGATAATACAGTCGTAACACTGTGGAAGTTGAATTCCTATCAGTGTCATTCCTGTCTCTTTGTCGGTGCTAATCACTTGATTTCTGGTGGCGGTTGGTTTGCCATCCGACATGATTCTATCGAGGAACGAACCGTAGAAAACTGTTTTGTCCTTGGTGATCCTCAGGTACTTCAAATCGTTGTTGATATCCGTTCCAAATATATCGAGCTTATCTCCACACTCGTCGACTTGATCTTCAATCTTGGTGTTGAATACCACCCGGAGGACATTGAGATTTGATCGGAATAGCCAACCGGTGATAGTGATCGAAACCTTCAACGAATTCGGTGGGAGATACGATGTGATTCCGGCGAATTCAACGGTTCTCTCTTTTGGCGAGTATTGAATCATCGTTGTCACATTGGGATACGATACATTGAGGTAGTAGTAGAGATTGGTGATTTCACCTTCGGTGTCGTTTCTAAATCTCCATTGGGTAACATTCAACTCCTTTACGACATTGTCTGAACTGTCAACCTCCTGAATCGAATAGATGTTGAAATCGAACTGCACATTCTCTGCAACGAATGAAGCTGAAGGAGTCGTCAAGTTGGTAACAATCGTACCATTTCCAAGTTTGAGATCGCAGTAATTTCCACCATATCCTTCATTGCATTTACATTTTTTCTCTATACAAACTCCATTACCTGAACATTTGTCAGCTTCACCACAATCATTTGGTATGACAGCATCATCTTTGAAAAAAAAAAAATTAATGAAATTATTCCTGAAACAAAAACTATTATATTATGACAACTTACCAACTTTAACAGTTGTTAGAGATGAACCATCGCCAACAGTAACCAATAGAGGTACATATCCAACTGTCAGAGGACCAGCGACATTACAATCGATGGTTAAATTTCTTTTTACTATATCTTTACATTCTTTATTGTCTAGGTAAACACTGACAGTGATTTCGGGGTTTGATCCAAAGAATCCATCGATGTGGAATGCACCACCATTACGATTAATAGGTGAGTAAGATGTAACTATAATACTCGCTAAAATCGAAAAATTAACTCTAATTAATACCGTTTCGAAATCCTGTACAATTTAATTTATAATAGAAACTTACCAGGTTGGTAATTTGAATAGATCGTCAAATTTTGGTATTGATTGGACAGTGTGATTTCTTGTTTTTCTCCTTTGTATAAACTATTTGTTTGGCAATCAATGTATGAACTGTTATGAACTTGAATGTTCTCGCAGAGTTGTAAATTAACTGAAACTGAATAAGTCAAAGTGGTATCGAAAGTACCGAAAATTCCAAGATTATAAGTCACATTTGGTAACATGACCTGATTAAAGTTTGCATAACTAATTTGTGTTACTATATTTGATTTTAAATAAAAAAGAAAAAGATTAGAATAACAGTTAAAATTATTATTATTTTATATTCTGTTAACTTACCATCTGTATACCATGTAAAAGTTTGTGTTTTATTATTAAACGTTAGAGTAACACTTCCTGCCTTTACACCGTTTACATAATATCTTTAATAAATATAAATTTAATTAATAAATAAAAGGAATAAAGAATTGGAAATTCAATTGATAAGATTGCACAACTTACAAAAATGCAGTGTTTGCTCTCACCAAAATTGTGGGTGGTGGCGCTTTATAGCCAAGATTTTTACCAGTGATAGTAAACGCAGATTGAGGTATGTTACCAAAAAATATGAAATTAGTTTTGTCAAATTGAATTACTGTTTTTTAAGAAAAAAAAAAAAAGAATTAATTATCTCAAATATATAAATATTTAAATAAAAATAAGATATACATACCACAGTTGAATGAAAATGGTAGAGAAAGAGATGCAGGCATCAGGGATAGTAGATTGCTCCATGAACAGAAAATACAATCTGGTGCCTCTGTTATGGAAGTATTTAAGAAATTGATTGATTCTACTAGGCATATATAATCAGGAATTCTACCATTAATACCAGGGTTGTTTTGAACATTAAATGCTCCAAGAACCAGACTGCTGTAGTCTGGAATGTTTCCTGCTAATAGATTATTACTCAAATCTCTAATATATATTTATAAAATGGATTAGAATGGAACTGTGCAGTATTTAAATAAACTTTACGAAATATTACATTTGAACTTTGGTGGTTGAAAACCAAGAAATTGGAGGCCAAATAGTAAGATTTTGATAGTTGAGGGATAATTTGTTTAAATTTTTTGCTTTTTCAACGCTACCTCTTACGTTACGGAAATATCTATAGAAAATGAAAATAATAATAATAATAATGATCAATAATAAATATGATATCATAACAAATTTTAAATTTGAAATTCTTCTTACATGCTGCTTATACTAGGATAAACTGTAAAATCTGTTTTCAAAAAAGTGGTTCCTTCAAGAGCTCTAAAATGAGATGTTCGAGTTAGCTAAAACGTAAATGAATGTCATTTTTAACATTTTAATTTAAATACACTTACAATGCCAGGAGATTGGTTGCTCTCCCTAGGGAAATAGTGGTGTTACGAGCAGGTGTATGATTAATATTGATAGATTTTATGGAATTTGTATCAAAAGTAATGATACTATTGTCCATATATGAAATACTACTGTAACTGTATTAAATAATATTAGGAATAGGTTAAACTAGTTTTTTAAAAAATAGTGTTTATAAATATATTTACAAGTTATTCAATTCAGGGAAATTCTCTTTTCTAAATGAAAAAGGTTCCGAATTCCTTAGTTTCCAAGATGTAGCTCTTTGAATTAGGTGGTGATATTAGTAAAATATTGATTAACAATATAGATATTAAAATAGATAGTTACATCGTAGATAGATTTGGGTATAAGGAATTCTGATCAAAGTCAACAATTGAATTACCATCCCAGGTGAGAGTGCTCATATGTGTAAGTGCTGAATTTGCAACATATGGAGAAATAGAGCAAACAGAACAATATCTAAAAAATACAATGTTGTTAATAAGATATTTTTGCTCTTGAAAAAAAAAAAAAAGGTTTGTTTTAAATTAAACTAGACTTACAAATTATTGAAAGGAATATATTTTGGAAAACCATCTTTCATTATTAGATTGGGAAATACACTTAAGCTATATTTATATAGATTTTTTTATGGTTAATCATCTACAATGTTAAAATTACTATTAACCATGAATGAATAGCTTACCTGAATACTTTTAATTTTTTATTCTCTGGCTGATCAAACATTTCAAACAATGAAATGGTTGTATCCTTGATATAGAAAATAGTGTTCATTTGAAAAGTTTCGAGATCTGGGAAATAAAGTTTGGTGATTGGTCCTGGGTTTGGTATTGTTCCTGGTGTGTTCACTCCGTTAGGTGAACTATATTGGAAACAACAATGAGTATTTTTATGTGTTTATGTCTTTTCAAAAAGCATTCTAATACTAACAATCGAGTTACAATCTCTTCGGAAGAATTAGTTGGAGAAGGTGAACATATGAAAGGATCAAAGATATAACCTTCTGCTAAAGTACTGCAATTAAATCCATTTGAATTCAAAGGTATTGAATATTGATACATTATCCATTTTATAGAAGCAACTAGTTATATATATATATAAACATTTCTATTAATTTTGATATTCTCTACATTTTTTTTATTTTTGACCGAACCGGTTGATTCAATACATACCAACATTTTGATCCAAAACTAATTGAGAACTGATCTGAAAAACATTTAATGAAAAAACTAATAGTAATAGATATTTTATCATTTATTTTGTTTGTCGTGTATTACAATCTAGATATGATAACAAAAAAATGAAAAAAAAAAAAAAAATCTCGTTTCAAAAGACAACCGTAACCTAATAAAAGATCAATTGTAAAAAAAAATCAAATCAAATTAATAGAATTCGAATTTTATTTATTTTTCTTTGCAATTTTGTTACATAATAAACCAGAGAATAATCGTGCTGTTTAAAAAAAAACTTTGTTTTGCAAAACTAGTAGTTTTTTTTTGTTTTTTTTGTAAAAAATCTTTTTTTTTCATTTTTTTTTATTGTTTAAAAGTGGTTGATCAAAAATTGATCAAAAACTAAATTTAAAATAAATTTCAATTTTTTTTAATTTAAAGTTTGTTTTTTAAAACAATATAATAAAATTAAAATATAGATTTATTATTATTCTAATTAAAATTTAGACAATATATATATTTTAGAATAGAATGTCGATTTATGTAACTAGACATGGTTTGAGAGAGGATTGGGTCAATAGAGAGTGGAGAAAGACAGCTGCTAGGCCATCGGATCCACCATTGTCTGCCGATGGTTTCGTGGTGGCATCAGAGTTGGGTGAGGCTTGTAAATCTAAATACAACGATATTCAACACATTATTTGCTCGCCGATGGAGAGATGTGTACAGACTGCCAACGAGATTGCAAAGCGATTGAACTTGAAGATCAAGATCGATAATGGTGTCATCGAATACCTCGGTCATAATCCAGATGAACAACTTCAACCATTATCAATTGGTATTGTATCACAAATCCATACACCATACATAGAAATGATAATATAATACGATCGTTCATATTATTCTTTAATACTCATTCTCATTAAACATTTATTGAAAACAATAGAGGAGTTAGCTAAATTATATCCAATTGATACAACTTATCAACCATCTACCAGTATGTATAGCTTTTAATTAATGAACAGTTTCATTGATTAGATGATTAACAATTGTTTCATTTTTATAAAACTAGCTTATGTACCAGGTGCAGAAACAGAACAAGATGTATTGAATAGAACAAAGTATGAATTGATTGATTTACTATTGGTTGAATTGTTATAATATGTAGTAATAGTTATTAACAATAGTTTTATCTAATTAAAGGAAAGCATTTGTATATTTTTCGGAAAAGTTTGAAAATCAAACATATATTATTGTTACACATGCAGCCACTCTGATTGCAATTTGTAGAAGTATCATAAACGACACAACCTACCCATTCAGATCAGGTGTATGCAGTCTCACTAAATTTGTAGAATCAAAGACAGCAATCAACCCAGATGATAAATGGACAGTTGAATTCACAGGCGAAGTCTCATACCTAAAGAAAGGTGAACAATTCCACTGGACATTCCCAAAGCCAAAGTGAAAAATTAACATATAAATAATCAAAAAAACAAAAAAAAAAACAAATAATGTTATAATAATCAATAGTAATCGTAATAATAATAATAATAATAGTATTAAAGTATTATAAATTTAATACAATTTTTATTTAAAATTATAATTAAAATACCCCAGATAATGAATGGATATCTAGATATATAGAAATTAATTAATTAAAATGGTTATTTTTGGATCTAATTTGGATTCTTTTTCTATAGCTGATAAACCAGTTACTGACTTGTTGTTCTGTTAAACCATATTTGTACGCAAGTTTCATCTTTTTTGCTTTGTATTTGGATAGGGATTCTTTTTGAAAGATGGATTAGACATATATTGATTTTTGCAAGTGTCATTTTTGATTCAATGAAGCTCCACATACAAAGTGAGAAACAACTATCTTTATTATTTCCAAATCGTTTCTTAAATAATGTACAACTCTTTCAAATTTGACTTTGTTCTAATTTTTCTTTTTGTTTTTAAAAACTAGTTTATTTATTTATTGAAAAACAAAAAGATTTATCGAAGAGTTAAGAGAAGAGAAAATATTAAATATAAAAAATATAAATCAATAAAAAATAAAAATTATAAATATATAAAGATTTTATTTAATTTTATTAAAAAGATATATGGATATTAATACAATTGTTTACATTAAAATTGTTTATAATTTGGATTTTTTCTGTAGTCTTCTCTTTCTTGAATTTGTGAACCAGATACTGACTTGTTTTTCGGTCAGATAATATTTTTTAGCAAGCTTCAACTTCTTTTCTCTAGTTGGATAAATATCCTTTTGGAAAGAATTCATTAGACCGGCTTTGACAAGTGGGGTGAACTTTCCATTTACTTTTCTCTTTGAAACATTGGAGTCCAAAGTACAAGGTGAGAAAGAACTATCTTTATTATTTCTAACATAATGATTGTAGTATTCTTGGGTGCTCTTATACAAACTATCCGAAATATCACCAAGTCTACTAAGGGTTTCAGTGTATTTTTGTACATATTCTGAAAATCCTGGGTCTTGAACAGCACCAAATCTTTTCTTGAATAACGATTGGAAGTTCTTGAAATCATTGTCATGGGTGTTGACTACAGTTTCAGGTTGTACTCTTCCAAAGTAAACATCGTTCTTTAAAGTAGAATAAAGTCTATATTCTAATAAATCTTTGTTTTGATTCATTATTTAATTATTTAATTGAGAATGTTTTTGAAATAATAAATTATAAAGATTTGAGTGAATCCTTTAAATATTGTAATTTACAATCAATTCCAAATGGGAAATTTTAAAATAAAGTATATTTTGTATTGATGTTGTACACAAGTCCAATGCCCATACTGAGATGAGTGTGGAAATTCAGATTTTGCAACAAGATTATAAATCGACGATACACCATTGATTATGTGTGTTAACTTTGTTTTGAAATGAATTTGATAAATTTTAATTTAAAATTGACATATGTTTGTTTTACTATGAGAGTAAAGATAATAGAAATTGAATCTTTAAATTTCAGCTCAAACCAAGTAAATCAAGATTCAAAACTCATGTTTTAAATGATGATTAGTGATAGTTCGTGATAGATAAATTAAATAATATTTTGTTAGTTTTGAAAGGTTTCATTGGTTTGAAAGTTAGTTAATATTAATCAATTGGTGAGGGTTTTGTTGGTTCATCAGGTGGTTGGATTTAATTAAAATATTAATTTTGCTGTGATGATTGATGATGGTTGAAATGAGCGGTTTTAACTGTTTTGTTTTTTTCCTATTTGTTAAAGTTTAAAAGTTTTACAAGATGTCTCTTTATTGTTGTTTAATTTTGTTGTTGTTGTTGTTTGTTTGTTTGCTGTTGTGTTGTTATTGTAGTTTTGATTGAATGCGATTTGTTTATAGAAATATCAAATATTGTTGTGTTGCTGTTAAATTATGTGATTGATTAATCCAATTTAAGGTTAAACTTCTCCCAATGTACACCTGTGCTGTTGATGACTACGATGTCAGCAAAGTCACCAGTATAGATATCTCTTTCACCAGCAGATGTGATCGCATCCTTGGCCAAAGAAACAGCTTGCTCACTTGACAACTCTCTTGGACCATCAACGATTCTCTGATTAAATTTACCAACCTAATAATAAAACAAAACACATTAACACACACACAAAGAGGTTTAAAGAGGTGAGGGGAAGGTGAGCAAAATAAAAAAAATAATTAATATCTGAAATTTCTTAACAAAAAAATTTGAAGTATGTAACAATATTGTTTTTGTTTTGTTTTTGCAAACCAAATCTAATAAACAAATAAATAGATAGAATAGATAGATTAGATTGTTATGTTTTGTTATACTTACTTGATTATCTAATAATGGTTGAACTAATTGATTACCGGAACCTTGTGATGACATCTTTACACGTTCGTGTGAACCAACAGCATCGTATGTCCAGATGCAACCTACACCATCTTCGTCGACACCACATACCAAATTGAATGTATAGTATGGGAAGAAACGCTTCTGATATAATGTATTCGATAGATATTGTGAAATGGCTGGAGTGCTCATTGGCTTACCGTGTTCCTTTTGATAACGACTCAATACTGTTTCCAAACGTTTACGCAATGCCAATGTATCTGCTTGCATACCTGATGTTGCAATAACACATTTATTTGTCCTATATATATGTATATTCATTCACATTATTATATTAATATCTAATATTCCTATATTTCCACACCAATCGATCTCTCTATTCTAATTCCTTACAATTGGAAAATCTTTGTATATTGACGAGTTTGAATACCATATCCACCATCGCTCATACGAGTATCACCTGCAATAACACAATAATCGCTACCAGCAATTGCAAGAACAGTTCTAAATATCGAAGGTAGTTAAAATTAGTTTACATTTTAAGTTATTATTTTATGATTTGATTAAACTACATACCCTCCGTTATCAACGTATGGTTCGAATCTAGCTTGACGCATTGGTACTTCTTTTGCTGGCAATGCTGTTAATCTAAGTGGTTCCATCATTTTGTTTATGTTTATTTTTTTTATATAGCTATCTATTTACTTTAAAAAATCGATTATATATATATATTATTATACTTTTAAATACTAAATTATTAGATGAAATATTTACAAAAATAGTAGTTGGTAGTTGTGATTGATAAATTAAAAAGTAATAAATATTTTGTTTTTTTTTTGCAATTAAAAATTTGATGTTCAACAATTTTAAAACTTTTTTTTTTATTTTTTTGATCATTTTTTTTTAATTTAATTTTGGTTTTTGAACTTCGTTTCAAAAGTTGTCTTTTTTTTTTAAATTCATTTAAATAAGTTATATTATTGTAATGTTCTTGTTAGTTTAATAGAGAAGAAACTAATCTGTATCAGATTTCAGTGATTATGAATTGATTGGAAAAAATAAAAGTTATGTTGATCATTATTTTTTTTTTAAAAGTTTTTAAAACTGAACGTATCAGATGAGGATGTACATTTTTTACTAAAAGAAATGCAGCTATCCAATGGTTGATAGATGATAATTCCTAGCTGAATGGCCATCAGGGCCTTCTAGATCTCTACGCTATGTCCATAGAATTGGGTTGCGAAATGAGATTGGAGATTCTATCGTCTTTGCTATCTGGAGGAGTTGTGGTAGCGCTTGGTTGTTCCATTCATTCAATACGCGAGCAGCCAACTCAATATCATTTCAATTTATTATAGATGCAGTGGAACAACAAATATTGGTTCGCGTCTGTACTTTGAAGATTTATTTCTGTTAAACAATTATTTAATGATTTTAATATCGAAAGTAAAGACTAATTTAATTATACATATAAATAAAAATAATCATTTGTACAACTTTTAATTTATTCATCTTACTCATACATAAACTTATTTCATACTAATAATCAATCTATGAGTTAACTTTGTTTTTGATAAATTACATGTTTTTTTTTTTTTTGAATTTTTATTTATAATACAATCAATCTTGTAATGATTATATAATGTTACTGTTGTTGTTGTTTTGTTTGTTTATTTGTATTGTTACTTGTTATGGTTGTTGAGTATTATTACCTTTAAATCTATTTGGTAAAAATAACATAGATTTAATTAAACTCTTCTCACCATTATTATTGCTATTGTTGTTGTTGTTGAAAAATGGTGAAGAAGATGATGATGAGCTGGTTTGATCGTTTGATGATACATTGAATCTATTTAAATAGAGTAGAGTTTGAAGTGTTGGATTCTCTTTGAAGTTCTTACAGTTGAACAGTTGATCGTTCAGTAGGAATTTGGCACCGAGATCCAATAGCAATGCGATGATTAGTATACGGTTCTTCTCGACCAGTTTCATTGTCATCGATGGACATAGTTGTTCACGAACGTGTCGTTTCTGCTCGGGGTCGAGATGCTGATACAGACAATGGAATGCATCGTTGTTGGCGTTCATAATCGAGAGTTCCACCGCTTTCAGTAGCGCCTTTTGGTTGGCGATACTCGCCGGTTGGTAGTAGGTGACGAGCGACGGATGATTCAAGTTGCCGATGTGTTCGTTGCGTGTGAGTTCGCGGTGGTAACTCTCGCAGATGTGCTCTACATACGCGAGATAGCCATGCACCGAACCGACGCGGATGTTCACCAAGTCAAAGTTGAGTTGTTCGTCTTGGAGTACGTGCGGTCGCACCAGCTCAAAGAGGTCGCAGTCACCGAGATTCCCGATCATCATCCAGTCTTGAAACGACGGTCGGTAGCCGTTGGTAAGCAGCAGATTGACGATGTTGAGATGCCGGCCGTAGAGCGCGAGATACAGGCAGTCGTTGCATTGGTCGCGTCGGTGTTTCAGCAGGTATTCCACTACCGCGTGGCTACCGTTGCGTGCCGCATACTGGCACGCCGCTTTCCAGTTGAATTTGCCGGCCAGTTTGTCGTTGGCGAGAATCACCTGGAGCAGCTTGACGTCGGTGATATGCGAGCAGCGGTCGCCGAGCGCCGACGGCAGACTGGCGTTGATCTTTATGAACAGCCGGAGTTGCACGACCGAGAAGAGCGGCCGCTTGTAGTGATGCCACGGCGATGCAACACTGATATTCTGGCTGCTGGCGATGATCAGCTCGTAGAGACACTCGAGCATGCCGAGATCGATGCAGCTGCCAGACAGCTGTTCATATTGATACTTGAACAGCGCCGATATCGTCGCCTGACTGACCGACGACGACTTGTAACGATCGCGATAATATTGAAACGCGAAACGGAACAACTCCACAGAGCCATACTTGCTAAACTCTATTAGTATCGCTGAGGAACTATTGTACAAATCAATGATATAGGGAACCGAGAGAAACATATTCAACTTTATCATATCTATAATGTTCTGATAGAGATGCTGACGAATCAACTTGATATCAGAGTGTGATAGTTGGATATACAGTCTATAGATTTCAATGATATTGATATGTTTCTTTAGAGTTTCGAGATTGCCAATGTTGTTGTTGTTGTTGTTGTTGTTGTGCTTCTCATGCATCTCAGCCTCTAGTTTAGATGTATATTTATAGTCAATTAGTTGTTGTTTCAATCGGTCGAGTATATCATCGACGATCGTGTTGAGATCGCTACTGTTCAACTCTATCTTGAAGTGTCCACTCGCCAAGAACAGCAGACTGAGTTGCTGGTCGAGATTCACCGGTTTACAGCCATCGCTGATCGCACCAAAATAGATATTCAGCGATTCTATTGTGAATTTGTGATTCGGTAGTAGTTGCATGATCAGTTGGACATCGTTCGTTCGCAGAATGTTTGCCTTGTGATTGGCATGCTGCGAGTGCTGTATCAGCGTGTTGATAAGTTCTTGCGATCCCTTTGCCATAACCGTGCGAATCAACTGTGCATTCGATTTCGACATCAAATCATCCATCATCGATTTGTAAATGGTCGGTGTATACACCAGATCTTGATTCTCCGTATGCAGCAAATAGAAATAGATATCGAGACTTCCCAATTTCCATGCATATTGTAATATTGTTTCACTTTTATTATTGCTATTATTATTATTATTATCTGTTGTTGTTGTTGTTGATGTTGTTGTTGATTGATTTGTTGTTACTTTTCTTGATCTTGAAAATCTTATTGGTGTAGTTTGACATGAGAGTAGCTTTACAATTTCGAGACAACCACTTTTGATTGCAAGGAAGAGAAGTTCGTGATCCAAGAACAGCGATTGATGCTGACTGTAGAACTGTTTGAATATTTCGTAGGATTTGATGTTGAGACAGAGCGATCTGATTCCGTCGTTGCAAATGGCGATGTGATGTTGAAGTCGCAGTCGGTAGCCTATCAGCCCGAAATGTGAGTGTTGCACTATCGATTTCAAATCGGTCCAGTGGTGATACCTACTCCTATAGCAATCTATATCCTGTAGCTCAATGCTACTGCTAATTATCATTCTAAACAATGTTTTATTACAAAGTACTTTGAAAACTACACCCCTACTACTATTATTACTTTCACCACTACTCCCACCACCATTTTGACTATTTCTCTGTTGTTGTTGTTGATGATGATGATGATGATTCGAATATAAAATTGAAGATGATGATAATGATGACATGTCACATCTATGTATATATTGTAACTTTATACTACTATAAATAATAATAATAATATTTATTAAAGTGAGTGATTGATTGACTGAATTTGATTGATGGTATATTAAATTTAATTATAAATAATAAATTAAAAAAAAAACTATTTATTAAAAATATATCAGTTTGTTGTTGTTTTTTTTGTCAGTAGTATTGCTTTGCTCTACTTTCTTAGTGGATGAAGCAAAGTACCCTTCAATCAAAAGGAATTAAGCATCATTTGAATATAATTTTACAAAAATAAAAAAAAAAAAACTGAAAAAAAATCTATTTTTATTTTTAATATGAGTTACCTAAATTCTAAAGTGATTGATTTTTGTGGTAAAACAGATCTATTTTTTTTCAAAAATAAAGATATTTTTGGTAACAACCTAGAATTTAAAAGATTCTGTGAATTTTAAAAAATAAGTCTTCAAGCGAAAATCTTCAACAAATATTTATTTCTTCATTAATTTAATTAAATGTAAAACGAAATGATAAGTTAACAACAAACAGTTAATCATATTTATTATATAGGTTAATTATAGTAAAGGTAGGTATTCTTTTGTTTTGAATTTCATCTGAAAAGAGCTCTTTTAACTACCAAATCATTATTGAATAAACTATTTTTTATAATGTTATTAGTATCTTTTCATTGCTTTCACTATTATATCATCCTCTAAATTTATTTTTATTAATAAAAGAAATGAGAGAACATTTTCAAGATAGAAGTTAAAGATGAGATTAAATTCAAAGAATGAAGGAGTTGCAAGATTCTTGATAGTTTTGAAAGGAAAGTTTAACATAGATTAATAATTTAATTATTCATATATAGAATTTTGTGATTGAGACTATCTAAGAAAAGTTTGAGTTGAATATTTGTTATATTGCGAAGTTAATCTAGCGAATTCTTTCCAATTGGAAATTTTTTTGTTTTGGAATCAAAAAGAATATTTTCTAGTTGAAGAGCTTGATCTCCTATATCTATTAAAAAATGATGTCAATACTTATGATTTTAAAAATGAAAAGATATCAATCGATACATTCCATGTCCATAAAAAAAAAAGAATAGTTTTTCTTTTACCTCGTGTTGGAATCGTAGTTCCAAAATAACAATCAACCGACTACTGCCAACCGACAAATCAACAAGATTATATAAGCGCAATAAAATCAATAAACAATTCATTATATTTCACATCCATCTTTAAACACATAAACTATTTATTATTATAACATCATTATACTACTACACTATGTCGTTCCTAACACAGTTTAACGGTGTCTCCAACACCTCGAAAGAAGAAACTTGAAAAGAATAATTCTCTCCTTCTACCACTTGGTTGAAGAATGGTGGATCGATAGCTCCAATTGCATTTCCCCTCTTAAATTCTTTTAGAGTGAAAGTAGAATATTTTTTTAATACATTTAAAATTAATAATTTATTATTAATATTTAAAGAACTATTTAAAAATCTAATCTCGAAATCTAAAGATTCTTCATAATTGTTCGACATTGTATTAAATATTTAAATGTTATATGAGAGATTAGATAATATTCATTAACTAATATTATTACATTATTTCATTATTATATTAACTATTTAGGAATGATGGATCAATGGTGATTACAAGGAAGGTTTTAAATTCCTTTTACAAGATATTTATACACAAATATGGACTTTGATTATTTTTTATTTAAATTAGAGGTACAGTTATATTATATTACATTTATAGACAAGAGGTAAATCAAGAAGAGATGCTCTAGTATTCTTGTTTAACTTTGTTTCTTATCACTTGGAAGTGCATACTATGTAAATGATCTAACAGAAGATGAAAAGAGTGTATTTTTCCATCTAAGACAATTGGGATTAGTTTATATAAGATCTGTAAGTAAAGGTTATTATTTGTCTTCTTGTAATAGTTTCACCCATCTTCAACTTTATTTACCTACACATTTTGCTATTTTAAAAAAAAAAATTAAAAAAGGTTTTTAGGGTATAAATACGGAAATTTGACTTTGGGAAAGCATCATATAATGGCCGATTAGCTCAGTTGGAAGAGCGACAGCCTTCTAAGCTGTAGGTCGCGGGTTCGAGCCCCTCATTGGTCGAAATCTTTTATCTAAGACCTTACTGCATGCGGTAATATTCATTTTGGAATTTAATTTAAAATGATTTATGATTATGATTCATTTTAAATGATTGAATTTGAAGGTGGTATCCAATTGGTGTTTTAGGGATTTAATATTAGTTATATACCTTGAGAGTTCCGATTAGTAATCCCTACAAAATGTTATTGTTTTAAAAATGAAAATGTAATTAAATTTTATTTATTTCGTCAACTTATAAAATCTTTACAATTTTAAAACAGATGATGGAAGTCTAAATATATTTAAGTTTAAATTGAAAGTATACAAAAAAAAGTTACTAAAATATATTTAATATTAAATTTGTTAACTTTAATAAATAAAATAAAATAAAAGTTTTTTTTAAAAAAATAAATGACATAATTGTCAAGATATTAACTTTATTCCCAATTAGAGATGAATGGTAATTGTTATCATGTTGACTATAAATACATTAAGGACAATGAATTTAATTTTGTCCTCTTCTTAATGTCTTTTGTACTAAAACAAAAGATATTTTAAAACCATAACTGTGTTAGCTGTTGTTGTTGTTGTTTGTTTTGGGATGTGTAGATTATTGCTAAATTTAGATGGGTTGTGTGTTGTTGTTGTTATTGCTATTATTATTATTATCATTATTAAATAGATATAACCAAACTATGTTTACCCTTTAACTTTTCAATGTCGTATTTGAGTTCGGCAGTTTGCTCGTCCGATAGAATGTTTCCGACTAGTTTGAGTCGTTTAAGTCGGTGGTTCTTGCGACAAGCCTCGATGATTTGGCGGACCGCCTCGAAACTAAACTCGTTGAGGGAGAGATCGATGCTTGTTAAACGCGATGGTTTACTCAGGTTGGCAAGTATACTGGAGAATATCTCTGGGTTGTCGCTGTCTAGCGCGTTGCCAGAGAGATTCAAATGAAATACCTGAGAGTTTTGTAGTGCACGGAGTATCGATTCGAGGTGGGTGTCCTGCAGCGCGGCATCGCGCCAGACGAGTTCGCGCAATCCTCCCTGGCCGTTGTGAAAGACAGAGATCAGTGGACCGATTGCCTGTATGGGAACGAGGTTGTACGACATATCCAGTCGGCGGATGCCAGTGTTTTCCGCTAGCAGTGTGGAGATTGCTTTCATTCTCTCGACAGAGACCTGTCGTTGATAGAAAGTGATACGAAGCGTGCGGAGCGTTGTGCATTTCAAGAGGTGTGGAAACAACAGACACATTCCGCTCGTGTCAAAGCCGAATCCTAGACTTACAGAGTCGATCTGGTTGGTTTGGTCGTAGTGATTCGATGTGGAGAGCCACCGGGCAATCAACTTGCAACGTCGGATGTCACTCTCTTTCTCGTAGATATAGGGAAAGTGATAGTAGATGCTGGTGACCGATTGGAACGACATTCGCCACCAAGCGCGACACACCAGTGAAACAGAGTTAAAGTTTTTCGAAGGAAAAGTATTTCCTACTGCATAGCTAATTATATTTTTAATGACAATGTCTGGTAAAATGAAATTGAGTGTTGTAGATTGCGATTGATCCACTATATATTGAGTGGAAATGTAATTGAATCTATCTCTATCTTTTGGTTTTTGTTGTTGTTGCTGTGCTGGATATAGTGGTAGTAAATCGCTTTCCATGCGTAATGAATCGGATTTGATAATGGTAGAGGCTCTGCTGCCGTATGGTCTGAAAGTTGATGGCAGTGCCAGTGACAGTGAACGAGCTCTAGACTTTGTCTTTTTAGTCTTTGTCTGTTTCTTTTCAAATTGTCTCTGTTCCATCTCTGGCAAATCCGAAATCTTAATTAAATTACGTAGATATTTATTGTTTTCTTTTGAAGTGGCAACTCCCATTTTTTACTTTTTATTTTATTTTATTATTAATGTAGAATTTACAAAGAGATTAAATGAAAATAAATAAACAAATAATAACTAAATTATATGATATATTGAATTATTATTAATTTATAAAGTGTGTATATTACTAAATGGTAATGTTATTATTATTGTACTAATACATTGATGTTGTTAAGTTGAAGAAAAAAAAGGATGATATAATAAATGTGAAGAATGAGAATGAGAATAAAGAATCAATAATAAAATATTAATTTAAATTATTTAAAACAGATGTTTGATTTTAAAGGAAAGATCTTATATTGGAAAAAAAACACACAGCGGTGTTGTGTATTTTTCAGCACCTTTAAAATCTGACAAAAAAGTTGATTGATCACTTTGTAATGAGGTGGTGGTCAAAATGTGATTTGTTTGTTTAGTTGAATTAAAAAGGGTATAAATTTTGAAGAGGTGGAGGTATGAGAATTGAAAGCGAGTATCTCTTTTTTAGAAATACTGATCTCCTTCAGCTCTATGAAAACCTTGTTTGATGGATGATGATTTGTGTAATGTAATGAGTGAAGCTTGGTGAAGAAACAAAACACCTCTTTGACTTTTTTATTTTATTTTATTTTTATTTTAATTGATTTATTTTATTATTAATAGATATGAATGAATTAGATGGTTTATACTTTCCTTCTCTTTTTTTTGTTTTTTTTTTCACTAAACAGCCACACCACTCATTCTCTGACTGAAAAAAACAAAGTAAGGTTTGCTTGTTGTTGATCAGCATAACTGCTCAGTACACAATTCAATGACCTATAGTATTATTATTAATTAAACACTTCTGTTGATTGATTATTATTTTATAAAGCGTCCTGCAAAAAGTTTTATAAGAGAGACCAATGAAAACTCTATACTATTGTATTTTTAGATTGAGATGTTATCTCGAGCGACGAACATAAATTAATCCGAAACTTTTACAATGTCAGTCAAAATAAATTGGGATCACATTATTTTGACTGAATGTGACCAAAGATGAGAACGGTTTGAAAGGAATTATTCTGTAAAAAAACAAAATCAAAAAATTTAATCAAAAATTAATTTTATTTTTTTTAAAAGGAACCAAAAAAACACACCCCCAAATCAAGAGATGACATCTCAGGTCTTCTCAAACAATCAATAAACAAAGAAAAACAATTTATGCTTAATTTTTTTTTGTTTTTACAACTTTGTTGTGATGATTTAACAAGAGTCTCCCCCATACAATTTGATCGCTCAACTCATAGAGGCTGATCTTATTCCAATCGCACAAAATCTGATTTGTCACCCTGCTAAATCAATACCAAAATAAACTTTTCAAAAAGGTGTGATTAAATCATAGAAACAAAAAAGACATTACCAATCTTTTGAATTTTATTTTAGGAACACGTGAGACATTTCATTTGAATTGTAAACCATTCAATTAAAATTGAGATATTATTTTTTTTTTTTTGAAAGAAATTGAAGAGCACAACCTCCTTTTATTTCAATCAACCAACTTTAAATCATTAACACCCGATATGATAAACTAATAAATTTATTAGTTCACCAAATATATTTGTGTTTTCCAAGAAGAAGATGAAAATGGTGTTGTTTTTTGTTGGTCCAAGTTAACCACCTAAAAGAAGAAAAAAATATTGTTTATTTGTTTTTCTTTTTTCCTAAAAAGTAAAAAATACAACTCTCGTATCAAATAGTGATAAGATACAAAATAATGTGTGGTCCACAAAAGGTACACTAACACACATGATCAACAAAACATCCCCCATTTTAACTAGTAATCTATTGGTTATTGTTGATTTAAAAAAAACTTTTTCTTTCAAAAAAAGAAAAAGTTTCTTTCTCTCTGTCTGTCTCCCTCAACACTTGGTGAACGATAGATATAAAAATCTTGGTCTGTGGAAGTCTATTCTATCTTGTGGATTCGCTATTATGTATTGGTTGGATACTGCCCATTCATCTATTTCATTCAGTCGGAAGCCTTCCTTGATCAATCCGTTGATCAACGTTGCACAGGTTCTATGATATTTAATGATGCCACTCATCAGCCAATTGGTCTCTCGCTTGCCTTCCGTAAAGTAGTTATCGATGTGATATTGATTCGGATCGGTCTGAGGCTCCAACGGTGCAGTCATAATGGGATGTTCTACAGAGAACACCAGGTAGCCACCTGGCCTGACAGCGCGGCCCAGCTTTCCAAACAACTTGCCAATGTCCGATACATAGTGGATCGCCAGCGAACTAAAGATTAGATCGTATGTGTCACGAAGTTCGATGTTCTCCATATCTTCTTTAATGAATTTAATAGACGGACAGCCTGCTCCTGTTAGTTTCCTGGCGTTCTGTAGCATGTTTTCAGAGAGATCATAGCCAACCACTGATTTTGCACCATTTTTATGAGCCCATCTCGAGAAATAGCCGAATCCACATCCAAGATCGGCAACGTCCATACCGTTTATTGATTTTGGAAGCATTTGTTTCAGCTTTGGCCAATCCAAAGCGCCGGCATCCCATGTTTGTATCTCTTCCTCTTTGTATTCTCTATCAAAAGTTGTATTGTATCTCTCGAAAAACTCTGGGTTATCATAGATGTTTTGTGATTCCGTAAATGAAGTGTCCATTGCTATAATAATAGTAACTGTATTGTTTGTTGGTGTGATAAATGATATATCTATTTATATATAATTATAATTACTAGGTAGGTGTAAAAGAAAAAAAAAAAGTCTTTTTAAAAAAATATTGAATTATAAATATATATTCAATTCTAATAGAGTGCAACTAATGCTTTATAAAAAGATTGATAAGCCTATAACTTTTCTTTAGCTCATCGTAAATTTAAATAGGGAATAAACAAAAAAACAGAAACAACCAGTGCTACTGCTGCTACTACTACAATTCCCAATTTAAATTGTTTTTTAAATATTTGATAAAAAACAAACAATTGTTATATAATATATGTACAACCAACTAACTGTCTGACCGACCAAAATAGATAGTAGCATAGTATATTATATCTCTAGCAACAACAACAAAGTGAAACTACACTAAAAAGCATGGAAAACAAGGTAGAGTGACACTGACCAAATAAAAAGAGTTATAATTAATTTCTACTTGTATGCTGCATTACTATTTGTGGAGTTTAGATAGATTATAATCTATACACCATACAATATGTTTTTAGATGGCCAATCGTTCAGATGATAACCATATTAATCAATTGAATAGTAAAATAGTATAAATCTTGAGATCAATTTTAATAAATACTGCTCGTTCTATATGAAAACATATTGTTCGTAACTTTACCCACAACTATTTCATAATCAAAAAAAGAGAGTGACTCTCTGTGTATATGTGTGTGTGAGTGTGGTAATGTTTTAGACATATTATCTTTTCATTCACTACTGATAGCATAACAATATTGTCATTTCAGTTTGATATAAAATTTTAAAATTAATTTAACCATACATTTTAATTATTTAATATATTTTTTAATGGGTGTTATATCGGGTATATACACTATAATAATTGGATAAATATATACAATATAGATCTATTTAAGTTTGAGATTGATAGATACACACAATGTAATCTTTTATTATTTGTGCTGATGATGTCCAGAAAAAAAAATACAGAATGATTTTTCATTTCTTTCCACTTTTTTTATTTCAATTGGTAATAAATAAATTTTTGATTATATATATTAAAAATTCAATTTTAATTTATTGATTATATTTTATTTATTTATATTTCGCTTAATTTATTTTTTCTTTTTCTTATCTCTCTTTTTTGATGATAAATTATTTCTTTGGAGGAAAGCAGGTACTTGGTCGGATGTCAATGGGAAATCGTCGTCGATACGAATCAGTCTGGTTGGAGGACTGGCTCCACCGTAGCGACGGTTGAATTCGGCCACCCAGAGATAGTACTTGTCACGGCGTTTACTGAATTGAAATTCGTTGTGAGTACTCAGAAGAGTGTCTTTGAGATTGGAGATCTTCTTTCTCCAGCGATCTCTGAAGGCGATTTCATCTTCGCCCGAATTGGCCGGAATCATTATCTCATCGTCGTCGGTATCGATTGCACTGATTTGCGATGGTTGTGATTGTGATTGTGTGGATTGTGATTGTGATTGTGTTGGCTGTGATTGTGTTGGTTGAGATTGTGATGGTTGTGATTGTGATGATAGTTGTAGTTGTTGTTGTTGCTGTTGTGAAGATGCAGCGGCGGCAGCAGCAGCGGCAACATTCTGTTGATGTTGTTGTGAGTTGGCCAATTTCGATTTGAGTTTGGGATGAGTGGCAGCTACTCTTTCAGCTTCTCCACTTGGTTGAGTTGTATCCATTGCCATTGTTGATGTTGTGGTGGTGGTGGTTGTAGTTGTTGTTGGTTGTTGTTGTTGTATAATTGGCAGTGGTGGGAGTGGAGTATGTGTTGTTCTGGTGATTGGTGGAGTGTTGGTCGGCTTTGACGATGACTTGGTTGGACTGATCACTTCAATCGTTTCCCACTCTTCCAAATTGTTTTGGTCAAACAATTTGTTGAGAGACACTGTCACTGGTTGCTGAGTCACAATTACATTTTCGGTTGGTGGAGGTGGCATTGATTGTTGTTGTTGGGTTTTCTTCTTGTGACTATGCTTTGGTTTTTCGGGTGGTGGCATCTGTTGGTATTGTTGAGTCATATGATATTGTAAAATGGGTTGAGGTGGAACTTGTGGTGGTTGTTGTTGTGGTTGTTGTTGAATTGGTGGTGTCACTACCGATTTACTTCTAGATGAAACAACAGGATGTTCATTAATTTGTATTTGTTGAACTTGTTGCTGTTGTACTGGTCCTTGTTGTTGTTGTTTAGGATAGTTCTTTTGAATACGTTGTTGAACATGGTGGATTTGATTGTCAAATTGTTGTTGTTGTGGTGCGTAATTGGTAGATGGATTTGGCTGTACATTATTGTTGTTGTTATTACTATAGTTGAACTGGGGAGTTTGTTGTGGTGGTACTTGTTGTTGAATTTGTGGTTGTTGTTGTGGTGGTACTTGTTGTTGAATTTGCATTGGAACTGGCTGTTGTTGTGAACCTACTGGTGGAGATGGGTATTGTTGCTTCATTTGTTGCTGTTGATTATTGAGATACTGTCCGATGAATCCATAGACCGATTGTAGCTCCTGTTTCATGGCAGTAAAATGGTGGTTGAAAATCTGTTGTTGAGCGGTGAGTGCTTGCTTTATAATGTCTTGGAAGATGGTAATCATTTCAGAGGCAACCTCCACATTGCCTGAATTGTTTATATTCAATGTGGGTGGAATGAAACTCATATTATTATTGTTGTTATTGTTGCTATTATTGTTGTTGTTGATGACTATGTTGCTATTGTTGTTTGTTGTTACTGGACTACCGGTGTTGTTATTATATTTTCCAGAGTTATGTGGTGAATGTGGTGCCGGATAGGGGTATTGTGGTGCAGCTGTTGGTGATGGTTGGTGATGTTGAGTTGGAGGAGATGATGGTTGTTGTAAAGGTCTCTGTTGGCCATAGTATGGATATTCTGTAGCTGGTTGAGGTGGTGGATAGGTGTTTGGATTGACTCTTGGTGAACTATCCATAGTGTAACCGCCTGGTGGTGGATAGAATGCTGTCTGTCTTGGTGACTCAGTTTGTGGCGATGGTTGTTGTTGCTGCTGTTGCTCACTTGGTGATGGTACCGACTTGTTATTGCTTATCCATTTATAGTTTGCATAGTTTCCACCATTTCTAACTGATTGCTGTTGTTGTTGCTGTTGTAATTGTTGTATTTGTTGTTGTTGTTGTACCTGTGGTTGTTGTGGTTGTTGTTGGAAATGATGTTGATAAATCTGTTGTTGTTGTTGCACCTGTGGCTGTGGTTGTTGATGATGAATTGCTTGTTGTTGCTGTTGTTGGTGGTGAATTACTTGTTGTTGCGCCTGTGGTGGTACTGGTTGATGATGAATTGGTTGTTGTGAATTGGCAGATATTTTGGTTGAAGGTATAGATGGCTGAGTGATTATTTGTTTGGCACCTATTTGCTGTTGCTGCTGTAGCTGTTGTTGTGGTAAAGCATTGATAACTTGTTGTTGGCTTGTTTTCTTTGAGGATGAAGCTGGGCTTATTACTATCTGTTGATGTTGTTGTTGTTGTTGTTGTTGTGGAACCGGTTTGGATTGAACGATTTGTGGTTGTGAGGAAGCCATTCTTGTTTGAGAAGGTTGTGGTGAAGGAGCTTTCGATTGTTGTTGTTGTTGTGATTTCGACGATGATGAAGATGATGAATTGGACACTGGCGCAGCAGTGGTGACGGTAGTTGTGGTGGTAACAGTTGACGACGATGATGACGACGATGAGGACGACGATGTGGATGAAGGTGAACTCTGTTTGTGACACGAACAAACGAAATTATCGACAGTCATATTCAAGAAATGCCAATACCACTTTGACTTGAAAATGTAGCGGTTGGTGTTATCACGTGAGTTGTGAGTGTCCTCGTCGCTACCGTATTGATGAGCCTGCATGACGACTCGCGTGATATGGCTGAGGAAGAGTGGCACACGATAGATGTGAGAGGAGTTCACGTTGGTTTTGTAACCGAGACGGAACGCTTTGAATTCTCCTAGCTCAGGCATGGCCGTGTTGTGGTGGATGCTATGTTGACGTGAGTGTCTGAGGAACTCACCGTTCTCATCGTAGAGTGGTTCGTAGTTGCTGTCCATCAAAATGAAATAGAGACGTCCAAGGAACTGTTGTTGCTGGCTGAAAAGTATCGATTTAGTTCTCATTCCTATCAAGATGGCCATCATCTTTCTGTAGAATCTAAGAATACCATCGTCGGTATTCAACAACGACTCATTGTCATTCTCCAATATATCCTGTTCCAAATCATAACTATCAAACTCTGATTCATCGATATTAATTACAATATCTTCATCTAAAAAAAAAAATGAGTGAATGAATATAAATTAAAGTAAGTAAAAAGATGTTGTTGATTTCAATAGATTAAAGATAAATACCATTGATTATTAATAATTTTGGTGTGGTTGATATTGTTGGAGGTGACGATTGAGAGGATGACGATTGTGATTGTGATTGTGAAGATTGTGAGGATTGCGAAGATGATGATCCATTACCACCGATCTGTGCTGGCGATATCAATTGTTTGGACTCTTTGTTGTTGTTACCATTGGTAGAGGTGCTAGTTGTGGCAGTGGCAATGATTTGTGGTTGTGAAGTTGCTTTCTGTTGAGATGGCGATGCTATGGTGGAAGCTACTGTAATTGGTGAAGTAGTAGTTGGTTGTTGAGAGGAAACAACAACTTGCTGCTGAGTTGTTGTCGTTGCAACGGCAGAAGAAGAAGTAGATGTACCGCTTCCATTGGAGATAACAACAACGCCACCGCCGCCGCCATTTGGCGAACTATTGGGTGGTTGTTGCTGTTGTTGTGGTTGTGTTGGTGTTGCACCACCGCTTGGCGATGAGTTTGGTGAGGTTGGCGATTGGACACCACTGAAATTTCCGAATGGAACCGATTGTTTTCTATAGGGATGGAAATTCGCTTTGTTTCCAATATTGGAACGGAGGACACCACCCGTTTGTTTGTCGGCCGGAGCACCACCGCCACCACCAGTGGAAACCACAATTGGCGCAGTCGGAACATTGGTGGTAGTGGTATTGGGTGTGGGTGTCGATGATATTATCTCCATTTCCTCCTCGGCAATAACATTATTGATGATTTGACCCTCTGATGGAGTGGGTGAAGAGGGTTCCATTGTTATTTTTTTTTTACCTTTTTTAACTTTTTTAATTTTTTACTTTTTTTTTTTTTGTTTTGAAATTAAAAAATGTATGTTTTTTGATTGTTGCCGCCTTAATTAATGGTTTACCAAAAAAAATTTGTTTTATCTGTTTGATCTGTTTTTTTTTTTTTTTTTTTGGAAATGGAAAAAAAAAAAGAAAAAGAGAGATAGGTTTTAATAAAATAAACAAAACCAAACCAAATTTGATAGTAATTTAATATTCCTTCCTTTTAAAAAAAAATTGAAAATAAACAATTTTGGTTGGTTGATTTTGATTTATTACTTTTACTTTTGATGATCAATTTAGAAGAAATAGAAGATTTGAGTGAGTGAGTGTGAGTGTGTGGTGAGACTATAGTGGATGTTTGTTTGTTTTTATGCAAATGAATAAAAAAGTTGTGTGTGGTTATTTGTTTGTTGTTTATTGCTTTTTGACAATAGAATAGAAGAGATCTCAAGCAAGATGATGCAGTGATCAAAATTGGTTGAAGTTGATGACTGAATTCCAATGTGATATCGACTTGTCTCTCTCTAAAAAAAATATGTGGAATATTGCAGACACAAAACTATTGTTGCGTTTATTCTAATGTAGAAAATAATATATAAAGAGAAGAGACTTGAAAAAAAAAAAAAGTAAAAATAAAATCCTAAAACTAAAAACAAAACTGTTGGTTGGTGATGATGGTGATTTGATTTGATTGATTACTGCAATTGTTATTGAATGAAACCAGAGAGAGATTTGTTTGTCTTTTTTTAATTGAAAGTAATTTGTTTTTTATTTTTGTTATTTTTTTTTGTTATTTTTTTAGGTTTGGGGGATTTTTTAATGTTTTTGTTTGGTGTGTCACCCTGCCTGTCGTTCTACTGGCAGAATCAGCAGATAATGTCAACATCTCATAGATAAACACACAAAAACAAATGAAAAAGCAAAAAAAACTTTGAAAAAAAGTCAAATTTTAATTCATCTGAGGGTATAATAAGTTCCAGCCCCATCAACCTACAAAAAAAAAATCGAGTGAAAAAAAAAACTTGTTGTTCCGCAACCCCACAAGGTTAGATTTGAGAAATTAAAATTGATAAAATTTGACCACCTACATTGAATTAAATTGGCCCAATAGCAACATTCTGATTTGATTTGTCAATTTATCTGATAAAACAGCAAAAGCTAAAAACAAAAAAAAACCATTAAAATCCAAAAAATAAAATAAAAATTTCATTTTTCGTGCAAAAATTTGAAGGGATATGCCATAGAATGTCATCAATTTCGAAAAAGAAAAAGAAAAAATTTGGTGGTTGAAAAAAAAAAAAAAAAAATGCGAAAATAGTAGTTAACCACTATTCAAGCAACTTGTTGGCTGTGCTGCTGTTGTTATTTGTGTTTTTGTAAAAAGTGTGTGAACAGGAATTTTAATAGTAATTGCCACCAACACCATAAGAAAATGTAATCTCCAAAAGCCGGCTCTATTGTGTTTAATGGGAAGTTCCTCAATTTCACCATAACAAACAATATGAATCATTGTAACATTGTAAAATGCATTAAAGTGTCAACTTACGTAGTACGAGAGAGACAGTGGAATCTCTTAAAATCTAAAATACTTTTCAATTCAATGTTCAATGAGGGATGCACAAAAATTGTTATGAATGGATGTTTGTTTTTTAGATCGATCAAAAAAAACACATAGTTTTCTCATGAAAAACAAACTCTGAAGAATTTTCTTTTACTTTTGTTAAAAGTAAGAATTTGCCTTTTCCAATAACAGACTTGAGGTACTTGTTTTTTGCAACGTAACAAAGAGATATTTTTTAAAAAATCTTTAGTATATCTCAAAAATTTAAAAGATAATACAAAGATTCTATATCATATCGATCTAGATCTTGAGATATTCACACATCTATTTACTTTTTCAATGTATATTATAGATATGTGAAAAAGTAAACAAATAAATAAATAAATAAAAAAACATTAATGACAGAATGAATATCTACCTAAATTGTAAAATTACAATCCATTAGAAATTTGAAATAACAAGACAAGTAGTATTAATATGTGATATGATTGATGTACAATTGTTTTAATTGGTGTATAGAAACCAATTTGATGTTTTTCATAAAAAAAAAAAAAAAGTAGTTAATTTAAGAATTTTGTTTTCTTTTTCATTTATTACTGTGTGTCTAAATCAATCAATTAAATACTAGTTTCTTTATATATATTATATTTATTTATTAATATGCTGAATTTGAATAAGAAGAAATTAAGAGGCAAAAATACATTTGTGTTTGAGAGTGATAAGCTTGAACATTTGATAGAGGGTATCTATGCGAATGCATCCACTGACGATAAGATATTCTCCCAGCTTGCCAACAATCAATTAAAGATATCAGAGTTTCCTGAGAAAGAAGATGTAGTAGATGATGACGACGACGAAGAGGAGTATATAGATGAGAATGGAGATTATGATGACGATGATGATGAAGATGGTGAAGAGAACTACGAGAGTTACAACGAGGAAGAACAAGATGATAATGAATATTATTACGATGCCGATGATGAAGATCAAGATGGAGACAATAACAACAACAAAAGCAAAGATGAGGAGGAAGTGATTAGAGAGTTGGAAGAAGTCAACCAACAGAATGATAAGATCAGAAAGGAGTTGGAGGTGCTCAATAGAAATAAAGAATTGCTGGCTCGCGACGTTCAAAAGGCAAGGAAGGAGGTCGACGAGCAGAAACAACAGTTGGATAGCTGGGCCGATCGTGTCAAGAAGTCTAATCAGGACAAAGAGAGTCTGAGGAGTGATTCGGAGCGGCAGAAGGCAATCAACGCCGAGCAGAACAAACAGCTGGAGCAACTCAAGAAGGAGCTGAACGGCGTACGAAACGAAAAGACAGCGATCGACAATGAGATCACCAACCTGCAGAGACGTCTGCAAGAAGAGAAGAACAAGAAAGTGACCACCGAGATGAAACCGATCGTCGACAAGCTGAAACTGGTCGAAGAGGAAAACAACAAACTCACAGGAGATCCAAACACCCTCAAGAAAATGGATCTCGAACAACTCTCAACTCTTGGCAATACACTGACACATACTCTACACAAAGTGAATGAATTACAATCTCAACAAGTAAGTAATTTATGATTATTGTTGTTGTGGTTTAAACAACATGATTTGTTACTAACTATCGTTATTCAATATAAGATACAATCTAAAACATGTATTATTTGTTATGAAAGAGTTAGAAATGTTTGCTTTTTACCATGTACTCATTGTGTTACTTGTTATATATGTTCTGCCAGTATAAATGAATGTCCAATGTGTAGAGTTGATATTTCAGATCAAATTAAACTTTTGGATCAGTAAATTATCATAATAATAATATTTGTATTTAGCAACAACCAACCAACCAACCAACCAACCAATAATTTAAAGCACAATTGCTATCTATCTAACTAGCTGTAATGTTAGTATCACTATAGTTAGGATTTATACATACATATAGATAACATTATGATGGCAAAAGTTTTTTTTTTTTTTTTTCAAACTCTCCGGTCACCCCTTTAAAGCCAGAGATTCTGGAAATAATAATTAAAATATCTATCTATTCAATCAACTTTAAAAGTAAAGTAGTAAAATAAATTAAATTAGTTCAAAAGTAATATACAAAATTACTTTTTATTAGTTTTATAATATAGTATAATGTGGTTTTTAGTTTATAAAGTTAGTTTTATTGTATAGTTTTATTGTTTATTTTCCCTGAAAAAAGTATAGTATAATGTTATTATTATTGAATTAAATTAAATTATTTTGAGTTACTGTTGTTTGAGTTTGATTGTTGATCAACGGGTGTTGGAGCGGATCCCCATGAGGCCTTGTTGGTTTCGTAGTTTGGATCGGTGTATTGGTGTTGCTCGGTGAGGAATTCCTTCCAGCAGTCGGAAGCCTTGAGGAAGTGTTCCAAATTCAAACGGATAACATAATTGAGGATTCTCTTGACTTCGTAGTTTCGTTTGGCGTCGAAACGTTGCAATTCGATCTTGGTGGTGGCGCTCACACGTTCGTATTCCTGCTTGGCTTCGGCCAGCTTCTTTTGGCCGTCGGCAAGTTCCTTCTCAGAGGAACCGGCCTTGATCGAGCCGGCTTGCTTGAGCTTCTCGTGCTTGTCACGTCGCGACTCGACGGTTCTCTCCCAGTTCTGGAAGCTCAACAGTGAGTCGAGACGATCATTCAACAACTCCTTGACGGCGTTCAACACCTTGATGTAGTCGCTGAGACCCTCCTCAAAGAACGATGCTTCGGCATTCGAGAGATCCTCCATGCCGTTCTTGATGTTGGTCTGCACCTGTGTCATGCGCTGCACGCTGTTGGCAATGTCTTGCGATTGGGCGATCTCACCCGACGAAAAAGTGAGACCGGCGCTGCTGAAATCGGCGAGAGCGAATGCGAGATCACGACGCTTTCTAATGACGTTGCCGACGGTATCAGCCAAACGCTTCAAGTTGGTGTCGAGCTGCACGACGTAGCTCTTCTTGTCGTCGAACCATGGGTCGATCTCCTTGACCGAGTGTACCGATGCAATGTTTGAGATGTTTGCGGCGGCATTACCAAAGAACGATGTAATCTTTCCGAATCCCTTTGACTCTTGTTGTGGTGGCGACAACACAGTGCTGCTCTCCATATCGTTGCCTGGTCTGGCCGATCTTGCAGCTGCCATCTGCTCGTCTGTTCCCTCCAAAAAGATTGTCAACTCATTCGAATGTACCAATGATTCGCTCTCTGCAATTCTATTCAAGAATTTCTCCAACTCTCTTCTTCTAGATTCTACAAATTCCTTATTAAATTTATCTTTTTTTTTTTTATACAAAATGATGACAATTAATATTAATATTGATATTCCATTCCAATAAAACAATTCGATTGTTGTTGTTATTATTACTTACTTAGAACTGCTTTCTCTGGTAATGGTGGTACGATTGTTCCTCTTCTTGTTTCTTTAAGAACGTTTCTCAACCAGAGGAAATCGGAATATCTTCTTGTGACTGTGGTTTCCTTCTTGTAGTCTGGACGATCCACCAAGAATGCCAATGTATATATCTTATAGGTAACGAATGAGTTGATACCATCACCCAACTTCTCTGGATCCTTTACAGTGATATCCATTTGATTCTTGATTTGATTTGGCAATGATGTTCTCTTTTCATCTTTCAATCCATTACCTGATACACTCAATCTCTATAATAATAAAAATAACCACCACACAAATATATATTATACATTATTAATTATCATAGATACACACACAAAAAACACACATATATGTGTTTATCAATTTTAAAATCATTAAACTTACATCAAATTGATTCAATGAATTGTGTGGAGTTGGTTGTGTGGAGACAACTGTGGTGGCAAACTGTGGTTGAATCGATGGGTATGCTGGTGGTGGACTGACTTTTTGTTGAACTACTACTGGTGGTTGTTGTTGTTGTTGTTGTCCACCAAATGGATTCGATGCATCATAACTATTATCCAATGGTTCTGCAGACTATACATATTTATTATAATGTTTGAGAATTAAATTGAATTGAATTAGTTTGATATTACTCTCACACTCTCTTCAATAATAATAATAATAATAAGACTTACAAAAGTAGAAGAATTATCTTCATATGTAACTTGTGTACTGAAAAGTAAATTACTGTTATAGTTTGACATTTCTTCTTAATCTATCTATACTATATTCTATACTATCTATATTATCTTATCTGTATATCAATATTATCTAATCTGTGAAAAGAAAAAAAAAGTTTTTTTCGAGAAAAAAACAGAACAGTGGTTAATTAAATTATTAATTAAAATGGTCCAAATTAATTGTTTTTTGTTTATGCAAGAGATGCTGTTTGGTTTGTTGTTGCTTGGTCAAAACAGTCAGAGAATGAAAATAAGCAAATTAACTTCTTTTAAAAACAAAAAAAATGAATAAATAGTATATTTTGGAAAAAAAACATGAAAAAAAAACAAAAAAGGTCCAACACACAATGCCTTGAGGTACTTAAAAACAACAGAAGTTGCGCTGTTTGTAATGTACTTTTTTGCAATTTATGTTTGTTTTATGCTGAATTTGAATGTGTTTGGTTTTGGTCCAAATTGGAAGAATGAAAGAAATTTGTCAAAATCCTAGAATCCAAAGATATATTAATGATTGGATTGTGTTTGATTGTTTATACAAAATTATAATTGTAAGGTTATGATTATTTATTTTAGTAATGTATACTTTTTTTTTTAAAGGAAAAGAAATTATAAATACTATTTTAATTTCAAAACAATATGTTTAATTGTTTAAATGTTTTTTTTTAATATTTAGTAATAAAATAATGATTTATTATTATTTTATAAATATGAATATTTATAAATTAAAATTATCAAATATGGTTAATGATGGAGCGCATCAACCTGTGATGATATGATGATGGTGATTTTGGCGATGATGGTAGGGTGACAAGTTATTTTTCGATTAGATAATTTGACTTTGATTAGTTTTGATTGTAAGAGTGAGTGTGAGTAAGTGTGTTGTGGTTGTGTTGTGTGTGAGTTTTAATAAGTTATCGTATTTGATTTGGGTGGAATAGATAGTGTGGCAGTTGTGTTTTTGATGGAAACCAATTAATAATTTTAAAACACAACTATTGTATTATATTTTTATAAAAATTGATTATAGAAATCATTTAAGCAAATACATCAGAGCATATATCTATAAATATTAATTACTACAATCTATTATTCACTTTACAACTATTATTATTATTAAAAATAGATGAATCCGTGAATTGAAAACATGATGATGAATCAATCGTATAATCTAATCTTTTCTACTGCTATAGTACAATTCTTTATCCAAATAAAATCCCTCTAATCCTATCCTACCAAACCTAAAACAAACAAACAAAACAAACAAAACAACCAATATAATATAGTTGATATGATATATACTTAAAAAGAAACAAAATGATTGTATTGTAATTGTATTGTATCTGTAAACTGAATTGGTAAACTCTACTACTACAACTATTACTACTAAATCGCAAACTGTATCTTTATTTTTTATTGGTAACAAAAGAAAATAATAAAACAATTGCAAAATGAATGAATTCTTATTATTATTTAGATATTTCTTTTTGCTTTGTTTTGTTTTTTTTTTAAATTCCTTTTCAATTTTTTTTTTATTTTTCAACAACAATCATATGAGTTCGATTTGTTTGACCCACACAACCAATGAACAGGAAAAAAAAAAAATTAAACAGACTTTTCTAAAAGTTTGCAAAACTGATTTTTTTTAAATTTGGATTTATTTGTTGACCTCATAATTCTATTACCCATTTGATGATCATTTTAAACTACAAAAAAAATTAAAAAAAACCAAAAATAATAATAATAATTTAAAATTAAAAAAGATATTTAAAAGTAAAACAGGTTACACCTCTTTACAAATTTTGATGGTCAATAAAAAAAGTTACATAAATTTAAAAAATATTTTTTTTTTTTCAAGTGTTTCATTGTTAAATTTTTTATTATTATTTACTTCTCTTCTTGTTTTGGACTTTAATCATTATATTTGATTTGGCAGATAATAATTTAATCATTGTCATTTCAATTTAAACTTTTTTGGTCCGAATATTTTAAAATGAATCTCGATCATAGATAGAAGAGCACTCAGAAGTCTTAGAAAGTAATATTTTCATTGATAGTTCCATAAACTGATGTGGTACAACATATGTTTTAGGTGCCAAAGTAGGCGAATTGTAAAAGCTAATATTATAAATAATATTTAATACTCATCAAAAGATTTATTATTCCTTGACAATACAGATGTACATAGTCTGATAAATAAATAACTATATTACTTGTGATTTATCAAAGTTGGTTGACCACATTTTGACAAACTTTATCAAAAAAAACAATTTTTTTTTTGTTTTTTTCAAACCTTCTATGCAAAGAACGCAAAACACTGTTAAATGAGTCATAATTATTAATTTAAATTTTAATATAAATATTTTTAAGATCTTAAGTTTGGTTTAGTTTAGTTTATTGTTTTTTAGTTTATTTGTAATAATAACAATATATAATAATAGATATATTGTTTATTTGTTTATATAATATAATTATTTGTTTCTCAAGAAAAACAAACAAACAAACAAAGTAAGTTAATTTGTTTTTAAAATAAGATGGGATCCGGATGGAGTAATGCGAGATGGGAGTATGGATTCTATCCTAGACCTGGCGCAGATGGCGAACAACAACTACAACAGAATCAACAGAATCCACAGCAACAAGAGATTGAAATCATCGATAGTAACAATATCAATGACACTCAGATGTCGACGCTCTCATCGATTCTACCACAGATCTACACTACCAAGACTGTCAGTAGTAAAGTGAATATACTGCGTGACACCATCATCTTTGATCGCATAGACAAACGAATTGGTGGTGGTGGTACTAGAGTAGTAGTATCCACAAACAACAACAGCAACAGTGATACCATTGCAGTCTTACCAACCTCAATAATAGAATCTGATAATTATCCAACCATTGAAGTAGAGGAAGAAGAAGAAGAAAAGGCGGTAATAGATAACAACAATATTAATACAGCGGAGACATCTACATATACAACTACTACTTCAACAACTACCTCTACAACAACAACAACTAATAATAATAATAATAACAATAGTATATTTAATAAATCAGTTGAAGAAGAGGATGGAGAAGAGTTGGAAGGTAATTCACCACCCAAGCCAATTGCAAAACCAGAGGGAATCTATAATATTAAATTCAAATTCGACACTGAAGAGCCTTGTATCATTGAAATATACATTGTTGCAGCTGATACTTTTAATAAGTAAATATCATTCTTTTTGTTAATATAATTTTGACAATTTGCTTATTAATTTACTTATTAATTTAATTATCAATTATAATAGTATTACATCACATACAAAGTTAGGACCATTCTACTATCAAGAGGGATTGAATCAACAGTTTTCATTATCACCATCAGAGTATATAGATCTATCAAAGTATACACATTTAGATATAACAACTTGTAATATAGAGAAAGTTCAATATCCTGTTATAATAACTTTAAAGACAAGTATGTTGTAGTATATATGATTCCTCTAGAGGTTTGCAAACTAACTAATAGACTATTATTAAATATAGATTCTTATGTAGTTGAAGAAAGAAAGCAATCAAGTATATTAGAGACATCTACAACACCTGTACCACCACCATTAACAACAACAACAACAACCACTACAACTACTACAACTACTACACCAACAACAACAACAACAACAGAACCAGTTACAGTTTCATTAGAAAAGTTAAATATTAATAGCAGTAATAGTAATATTAATGATACGGTAATAAGATGTCAATATACATACTTGGCATTGTTAGCATGTAATGATCAAACCTATGCAATTAAACCACTTAAACAAAAGACAATCGTAAGTTAATATCAAAGGAAAGAGAAGAGAGATTGTTTATTAATTGGGTTAATTAACTGAATTAACTTTGTTTTATTCAATCAGTTTGGACAACAAAATTATATTGTACATGATATTTATGGTTTGGAGCATAATTCAGAGGATAATCGTGAGTGTGTCGTCTGTTTGACTGAGCCAAAAGATATACTTGCCATTCCATGTAGACATTTCTGTTTGTGTTCAAAGTGTGCAGAGACTATGAGAACCGTTTCAATTAAGTGTCCAATTTGTAGATCACGTAAGTAACAGTAGCAGCAGCAGCACAATAGATCTATATTGAGTAACATTAGAAAATGGAATTTAACAAACTAATTTTTCAATTTAATCAACATATCAATATATTTATAGCAATCAGATCATTATTAAAGATAAATACAAAAGAGATACAAGCTTAGATTGATTCAACAGGGTAGTCTTTATAATGATAATAATAATAATAATAATAGTTTTACCAGTATCTTGTTTTATCTATACGTAATGTTTCATCTCGTTTTTCTTTTTAATTATTTCAATAATTGTAAATAACAGCAACAACAATAACAATAGTAATAATAGTAATAGCTAAAATATAGTTGTAACCATAGTAAGATGATACATTCTATAACGTTTATTTTTCTATTAAATCAAATTGTAGATAGCTATGAATGTATTAAATAAATCTATATAGTTTTATAAAATAACATAACAATAGTAGGATTGTTAGTTTGTTTGATTGCTTATTACATATATTTATATATTAAAGTTAACACTTACTTCCTAAATATAATTTATTCTCATGAACATAAGTACATGTTATTGTCTTGAAATGGTTTGATGTTGTCTCTAAAGATTCCATTATTTCACCAGTCTATTTACAGTATAAGTAAGTTGTAAAGTATATATAAGTATATTGGTAAGTTAATAGATAGTTAATATATAGTTATTAGTTAAATTTTAGTTAGTTACATGAGAATCGGCAATAATGATAGAAGGTGGTCCCAATGGAACTCCATTATTTGGAATAGTATGAAACAACTTTCTTAGCAATGGATATCTATAAAGGTAATCATAATACGTTCTCTTGGAAAATATTGATATATAAAGCTTGCCATCAGAGTAATCGATACCATCTGGATATCCAGGTAGATTATCAACAATGACATGTGATTTTCCAGCTATATAAAAAAGGATAGATTGATCCATGGTTGATTAATTCATGAAATAACCAAATTCTAAACTTAAATAAAACACTTACTGTTTGGACCTTTTAACCAATATTTTATAACTCTATATCTACATGTCTCTACTAAATAGAGACTTTCACCTTTTTCATCGAGTGCAACTCCATTTGCATAGGAAATGCCTTCGAGTAGAATTTTGGTTTGCTTTGTCGCGGGATCGTATGAGAGAAGCTTTCCAAACTGCGCCGAGGTTGCACAGGTATAGAGAGAAGGTATTTTTGTATTCCAATCACCTGAGTTGTCAAGGAAAGGTGCCAGCTTGGTGCTGTCACTGAAATAGATCAATCCATCTTCGAAGTTCGATGTTACATCGTTGACAAAGTTCAACTTTGTATTGTTTACGGTTGCAGTTAGTAATATCATATCTCCCGAATCTTTGTCGACTCTAAACAATCCTTTGGCAGAATCGGCAATCAACAAATTGTCATCGCGATCGAAATCAATTCCAAGCGGTCTACCACCGGTGTGTACATAATGATAACTGTTCATTGGTTTGCCAATAGAGATTGAATCGATAAAATCGAATGGAGCTTTCATATATCGAATCTCACCTGATCCAGTTGAAAAATATAGATCACCATTACGATTGAAAGATATTGATTCAGGTCCATGTATTTCACCTATGAAAGAAAACATTACTAAACAATCTATCCTCCATATTTATTTTATTGATCAATAAGAAAATTAAAGATTTACCTAGGTCCAAATATTTTATTTTCTTTTCCAATTTCTTTGTTACATTTTCCAGACTTGTAAGTGGGAGGTAGTCAAATCTTTGAAATTCTAGATCGGGCCAGTATTGATTGCCATAGAGTTGATAGGTTGGAAACCAAGCCAGCACACAAACTATTATTGAAAGAGCAAATACTAGAATACTAAAATAAGAGTTATTATTAAACATTTCTAAAATGTTACTAATAAAAATGAAGTTAAATCCTTTTTTTTTTAAAAGGTCAGTCGAATTAAATTTGGCTACCACTCACTCCTTTGTTAAATTTAAAACCCCACACACAAAAGAAACATTCAATTTAATATATTTTTTATTGGTTTGTTATTATTGATTTTGTTCGAACACAGAGATAAAAGAATTAAACAAGTCTGGTTGTTGAAGTTCGGTTAGTAAATTTGTAATATCGCTACTTATCAAAGATAATAATAATTTGTAAAATAAATAAATAAAGATTGATACTTACTACCCATATAAAGTTTATTATCCTTTCTGGTTGTGCTTGTTAGCGTTATCATGTGGTTTGTACGAGTTTCCAATATTTCTAATATTCTACCATTCTATTTTTGAATGAAATGATGATAAATCATGAAAATAAAAATAATGATGTTATAGTTGTGTAGTTATTAGCAATTAATATTAATAATAAAATAAAAATAAAAATAAAAATAAATATAGAAATAAATGATATTTACATTTGCATCCAACACAGCAATTGAAGAGAGCGAGTGACTTGGAACATAATGATATGGAATTGAGAGGTAAAGTCTCTTTAGCAATGGATATGGCTGGAGGTGATCGAATATCGTTCTTTGACAGAATAGAGTAACATATAATCTGTTGTTTGGTGCCATTTCAATGCCATCTGGATATCCAGGTAGATTCTCTGCAAAAACCTCTGATTTACCAGCTACACATGTGTATTAAAAGGTGTTGTGAACATTGTCAGTTATAAAATAATTAAAAAAAAAAAAAGAGTTAAACAAACATACCTTTTGGACCTTTTATCCAATATCTTATAACTCTATATTTGCAAGTCTCTGTTATAAATACACTTTCTCCTTTTTCGTCGAGTGTCACTCCGTTACCACAAGTGAGACCGTCTACAAGTACTTTGGTTTCCAGAGTGACAGGATTGTAAGATAGCAATTTTCCTTTGGTTTGCATGGTGGCACAAACAAAGAAAGATGGTCCTTCAGTGTTCCATTGACCGGTGTTATCAATAAACGGTGCCATTCCAAAGCTGTCACTGAAATAGATGATTCCATCATCACCGGGTTTGACATCGTCGATAAACAAGAGTTTAGTTCCATTAGCTGAACCAGTGAGAATTGTAAGAGTGTTGGTACCTCTCTCAAACTTTAATAAGCCTTTGACAGGATCTGCAATCAATAGATTATCGTCCTTATCGAATTTAATTCCAAGAGGTCTGCCACCTGTATGAATAAACGGTAGACTGTTGTCAATCGATGAATCTGGAGCGTTTGAGAATTGAATAGGAGCTTTCAAGTATCTGATTTCACCAGATTCAGAACTGAAATAAAGATCACCTTTACTGTTGAATGCAACTGTTTCCGGTCCTCTAGATTTACCTTTTTATTTAAGTATTGATGAATACATGTATTTTAGATGTTGAAAGATATATTTATATTGTACTTACCAATATTAATATATTTAAGATGATTATCTAAAAGTACTTTTGTAACATTTTCGAGATTTGGATAGGCTGGTGGTGAAAATGATAGGAATGGAATAACAGGATGTCTCTGAAGATTGAATGTTATGTATGTCGGAAATAGCGATAGTAATCCTATAGCTACTGATAAAGCAAATATAAACATACTGAAATAACCAAATCCATAGTTTACTGTTGGTTTCTGATGTTTTGTTTTCATTTTATAGTATTTTATCTATCTGTATTCAGTGTTTGAAAAAAAAAAAATGAAATTATTTTCCCAATCACACTTGTACTGTTTATATACTGATTGATAAAATTTAATCTTTATTATAAACAACACCATTTTAAGCGATCCCACCACAAACTATGAATTCAATTCACCCCGATGTTATGAAAAACCACGTGATCACAAACCTTGAAGATAATGAAAAATAAGCAAAAAAAAGATGTTCAAAAGCCCGCAAAAAAATTATGTGCAACGTCATCAGGTATTTTATGATCATCGTCTATTATATATTTATTTATTTAGTTTTAGGAGCTTTTAAATCATAAACACCAATAAAAGGTGTCATTAAATCTTAATATTAATGAATTTGGATTGTTAGATTAGTTGGTTTGATAGATTTCAAGTTATTATTACTTACTTCCAATGTATAACATATTATCTTTGAAATAGGTACTCGAGATCTTATTTGTAGAGGATTTTAATAGTTCCATAAATTCACCAGTCTAAAATCAAATTAATTTTAGAATCAATATAAAAGTTTTTAGTTGAATGATTGATTATCAATGTTGGTTGTCACTTACATTTGAATCAGCAATAAGTACAGCAGCATTCAGTTTATCAAATATAGTGTATAGATATGGAATGGAAAGGAACGTTCTTTTAACAGCAGGATATTGGTGTATCATATCTAAAAATGGAGATCTCATTGAGAATAGTGAAACAAACAATCTATTGTTTGGACCGACTTCTAAACCATCTGGGAATCCAGGTAAATTATTAATAACAACATCTGTTCTTCCAGCTAAAGAGAGGAGAAAGCAAAGGAAACAGTAAAATTATAATGAATTAATATATAAATTATCATTTCATCATGATTGATTAAGTTACAATTACCTTTTGGACCTACTAACCAATATCTTAAAACTCTATATTTACATGTCTCTGCAATGTAGACACTCTCTGCGTTTTCATCTAGTGAAACACCGTTGGCATAGGCGATATTGTCAAGTAGTACTTTGGTTTGTCTGGTGATAGGATTGTAAGAGATAAGCTTACCGACAGACTCCATTGACATACATGCATATTTCGATGGTCCTTCCGTTACCCATTCACCTTTGTTTCCAAATACCGGTGCATAGCTAATGCTGTTTGTAAAGTAGATCGTTCCATCCTGGCGATTGACAGTGACATCGTTCATAAAGTTGAGGGTGCTTCCATTGACAGAGGTAGTCAACAATGAGATCTCACCAGTCACCTTGTTGGCTTTGAGCAATCCTTTGACGGGATCGACCACGACGAGATTGTCATCGGCATCGAAGTCCAGACCGAGAGGTCTACCGCCTGTGTTGATAGCAGGGTAACTCTCTAGTTTGACACCTTTCAATCCCGGTTGCACTTGTAAATCGACGAAACCGTTGGCCAACGGTGACTTTATGAAGCGGATTCCGCCGTTCTTTGTTGAGAAGTAGAGGTCACCGTTACTATTGAAAGCAATCGACTCTGGACCGTGAACGTCTTCACCGAGATGAAGGAGGATCAAGTGGTTGTCTAGTGATCGAGTTATAGCCGATAGATCCGGTACGGGATGCGGTCTAAACGGGAGAATCTCAATATCTGGATAGAATACCAACGAGAAGATAGTGTATGGAGGGAAGAACGATAGAAACAATCCAATCAGTATTGATGTGATAAGTATTAAACTTCCGAAACTAGGTTTAGGTTTAGTAGTAGAAGTAGTATTTGATTTAGTTTTTGTCATTGTGAGCTTTTTAAATAAATGTTACTGTTTTTAATTGTTTTCCAAAATGTTTATATAACATTCATTTTAATATTAAACTTGAAGAACACCCATTTGGTGGGGCAATTAATTAAACCACAATTTGATTGTTAAAGAAATGATCGGGGTTTTTTTGAAAAATTTTAATTATTTTTTATATTTATAGAAATCAATCAACGTGTTTGATAAAGGGATTTAAATATCATTCCAATCCAAAAAAACAAATTAATTATTTATTGGCATAACTATAAGGTATAATTTTTAAAAAATAAACAATTGTTACTTAAAATAATAAACTTCATTATTTAAATATATATTTAATTTGAATTGTAATAATTTATTTTCTTTTGATAAACATATTGTGAAAAATTATAAATTTATATTGAATTTAAATAATTATCACAGTGTCAGTTGAAGTTCTTCCGAATGTACTTGGACAATACATCTCTTCGATTCTAGCTGGTGGACAGATATAAGATCCATGACAGAGTGCTTGGACATTGTAATAGAAGGTATAGGTTCCTGGATAGAGAAGGTCAGCAAATATTTCAGCGCCTTTGTCTCTGATGTTGGAATGAGAAGTCCAGTAGTAGCGAGTGGAGTACAAATTGTTGATTGGTTCCAATCCAGCAGGTAAATTATCGTTAATAACGACAAAGTTAGTGATGTAAGTTGATTTGATGGTCAATTTAACTTTGATTTTGGCACCGCTCTTGATCACTGTTTGTCTGAGTCCGGCTTCATTGACGATCTGCTGGATATCCTCTGGTTTACCGAGTGGAATAAATTCACGAGTGATAACGAATCCACGTGTATCGACAGCGGGATAGTATGGATTCGATTTGGCATACTTGAACGAGAGACTGTAGAACAAATCACCGGTTCCCTTCTTCTCAATGAGGAGCTCACCTTGATTCTTGATCAGTGTCTTCATTGGAATGAATTTGGTGTAGATTGTATTCTCATCGGTGATCTCCACGGGTTTCGGCTCGAGAGTAAAGTCATTGAGATAGACTTGAACGTTGTACTTGTTCACCGCTTTGTTATTGTAGTATGAGAAAAGTGTGTACATGGTAAGAGCACTGTCTTGAGTGTTGAAATACATCGATTGTCTTGGATCCCTAATCTTTGACTCGATTCCAAACATCAGCTTTGAAATAATATGTTTACATTGGTCGTCGTCAATCATCGAGAGTGCAGCCCAACACGAAGATCTCATTATCGATGAGAATCCATTGATTGATGAACCCTCAAAGAATGCAGTTGTTCCGGTTACAACCAACTTGTTCTCGAGTGAACGGACCAGTTGTCTTGCAGTCACTCCATGAGCAAGTGGGAGAAGTATAGCCGACAGATCAGCGGCGATCGGTGATGTCGAAGAGGTTGCCTCTTTCACCAAGATACTATCGATTGCATTGTGTGATTCGAAACTACCATAGCTAACCTTTTCATAGGTGTGTAGAGCGAATGCTTTTTTTAATAGATACGATGATCTGTCGTATTTAGTGTACTCCTTGTGAGTCTTATCGATATCGGCTGCTCCTCTAAGATAAGCCGGTGCTTTGGCCATCAATCCTTTTGGTAGTACTACATTGAACTCATTCTCGATAATATCGAGCACCCAATAAACATAGACATTTACATATTCGTAGCTAGTATCGGAATTCCAGTATTTAAATTCACCGGTTGCTTTCAATCTACCCTTGAGAATTTCCAAGATCTCAGTTATTGCTTTCTCAAGATTTTCTTCTGATGGACGATCATTCTCCATCTCCAACAACTCTGGAAGATCCAATGCAATTACCAGACACATTAATTTACTGGCGAGTTGTTCAGAGCAGGAATGCTTGTAGTTCATGAGGTACTCATAGGATGAGGAGATCTGAGTGATATTGGATGTGGCGAGGTTAACAGAGAGACCACCAACTTCCTGATCAAACTCTTGCCAGTTGCTGAGTTTAACTGGGTGAGTAGATACAATCTTTTCGGCATCGGTGAAACCGGCTACAGTGTTGGATTCAACGGAGGACGGTGAGTAGACTGGGAAGTCAAATTTAACGGCATCAGTAAACTCTGCGTCGACTCCTGGTGTATTGATAATACGACTCGCCAGAACAACGTGGTAGAACGATTTGACATTCGGTGTGATAGCTTTCACCTGGAACGGTGCAATGATACGTGAGTTTGCTGGAATGACAGACTTGAATCCGTTGGTACTGGAGATGCAATTGGTCGTTTGGAAAGCACAACTCACCTCAACGTCGTAATCGACAATGTTAGAAATGACAATTGGGAATGTACATTCATCGTTGTAATTGAGGAAACGTGGTGGATTCTGACGAATCATCACTGGCAGCGTCGAGGTGAAGAACTCTTGATTCTTACCGAACGAATCGTTGGTTGCGGCGTAAGCCATAACACGATACTTGGTCAAATTGTCTGGCAGTTTGAAATCAAAGACAACCTGACCATTTTCATCGGAGAATCTATTGCTTTGGAAGGTTGCCAATGGTTTGAAGTTATCTCTCACCTTGATTTGCTTGATTGCTGGCAAACGTAGCGCTTCCAAATCTTCTTTCTCATTGCCAGTGTCACCACCACCCGAGAGACGGATCACCAAGTTTATAGTATCGTCAGTGGTGATTCCATTCTCAAAGAGCGTTCCCTTCTCGATTTGTTTGTTCTTGTGGAGAAGACGTTGCGATGTGAATGGCAGACCGTCTCTCTCAAGAACGACTTTGCGCACTTCATCGATGTTGGCATTGAGTGGAAGTGACATCTGGATGATACGACCAGAGAGATAACGAACGGTGATGTTTACGATTGTGTCCTTTGGTTTAGTGACTTCCTCCTCTTTGACATCGGGGGCACAGAACATTGTGTCATCGATCAACGAAAAACATTGATTGTTTTGGTAACCTTCATAGTAGAACAAATCAATTGGATTCCAATTGTTGGTGGATTTGTTTGTAAGACTCAACAATGATTCATCGGCAACGATCAAAGTTATTTCGGCGCCGGTTACCGGTTTCTTTTGGTGATCCAAAACGCGGGTCGTAATGGAGATGTCAGAGTTTGGACTTTGGAATTTACGGTATGGGAGGAATTCAATTTGAAGTTTCTTCATCTCCTTGTCGACAGAGAATTGCTTGTTGATCGATGCACTTGTGTAACGTTCAACAATGGTATTGTTGTGATAGACACTCACTTTGCCTTCAACATAGACGGTGTAGTTGAACGATGGGAAATCTTTTTCAGTGACAACATGTTCAAATAGATATTTTCCATCCTCGAAATTGAATTGCGTTGATTTGACAATGGATTTAGACTTGCTTTGCATAATCATACCCATTCCACACTGAAGTTTACATGTCACTAGTAATTCGATCTTGTCACCAATCTTTGGATATTCAGAACCACTCTTTACCAACAACGCAAGATTAATTGGATATTTGTTATCGAAAGCAGAGAAGGGGATTGATGGAATTCCAAATGTTGATTGTTGTTGTTCGAAGCTATCATTGTATTGACCCAAAGTCTTGGAGTCATTCTCTTTGAATTCCTTCTCGGCTTGAGTTTGCTCACCGAGCACAAAGATGTTGTGACTCTGTCGCTGTGGTTCTTGATCCGGACATTCATAGGTGAATTTGACGCAGTAGGCACCACGTTTGTTGAACTTGTAGGTAAAGTTGGTTGGTTCAGCTTTCGATGGTACGATCTCACCTTGGAATTCATTGACCATTGGCAAATCATCTTCCCACGGTACCATTTTGATTTCCACTTGGAACTTTCCTTCGTTGATCAACTTGCCAGAGGAATTCATTGCAACCAGCGAAGTTTGGAAGGTATCTGAGAGATTGATAAACTCATCTCTGCATTTCGAGACACCAAAGTAACGTTGAGTACCAAGAACCTTGCAGGTGTGTGAGAATGCCTCGGATTTGTTTGTCAAATCGATGACACTGCCACGAACCACTAGATACATCGGTGACTTTGAGTTCTCCAGAACCAAACGAAGTTGATGTCTACCGGATGGATTTGGTTTGCTCTGATAGGTATAGGTGGCGTTGGCTTCATCACAAACATCGGGCATTGAGAATCTGTAGCCAGTTGTTGGTAGATCCGGTTGAGTTGGTGACAACGAAACACTCCAATCAACTTTGGTGTTTGCCATCACTTCATCGTTGAAATATCTACCGCATGCTTGCACATAGAAAGGTTGTCCACATCTGACCGACGAGGAAGAACCGGCCGATGGTTTCTTCAAGTCGGATTCGACAACAAAGTCTTTTCTCTTGCATTCCAATACTTTGATGACAAAGTTCTTTGAGTGACCATCGCAGTCGATGGAAAGCGAACAATCGCCAAGATTGGTATCGGCTGGCAGTACAAAGTTAAAGTTGAATCCACCGTTGACATTGAGAGTGGTGTGTCCTTGGTTTTGAACTTTCTTTCTGGTGTCGGTAAGCTTGTAGTTTACAATGCTCATTTGGTTGTCACCGTAGTATTCCAGTGGTGTTTGAATACCATTTTCAGTGGTAATTCTCAAGTTACCCTTGATGTAGACAGTCTCTGTTGGTCGGTAGCAACCCAGAGCATCGACGATATCCCAAATAACCTCAACCTTTTCCCTCTCCTTCTGGCAAACCGTTTGGAAGATAGTTGAGTATTTACGTTTATCAACTGTGACAGTTGCAATCAGCAAGTCGAATGACTGATCTTTTGGAATTGAAAACAAACCATCACTCAACACAACCGAACTATTTGGAGCGGCAGAAAGAGCTTCCGCTTCGGAATCCGATGATCTTTGTGAATAGACCTTCGATTTGTTGTAGTAAGTCTCAATGAATGGTGTTTTCACACGTTGTTGTGTTGAAGCATTGGTTACCCACGCGCGATAGTCCAACTTGGTTTGGTTGACGGCCACCAAGAATGGCGAGTATTGCAACAACTTGTATGACTCCACGAGATTGCCACCGTCGGCTTTACTCGAGAATCGGAATACCAACAGATTGTGTTTGGCAGTGAATGGTGTATCACCACCAAAGAAATCAGAGAGATCCACCTTGTTGGTGACTTGTTTTCTTGGCTCGACACCGTTGATCTGAATCTCCTTGGTCAACAGCTTTGCCAGTCTTTCGTGGTCGTAGTTTTTAGCGTTGCTTGGATCGATACGATGCGATTCGATCTTGACATAGCTAACACCACGAGTAACCAACTTGACGATAGGTCTGGCGAGTGGATCCAAATTGAACTTCTGACTGTAGGCACTGTCCACATCGATAAAGCAATAGTCCAATGGTGTCTTGAAGTCATGACTAGAAGAAACCAACGATGTTGTTCTTGGTGAAGTGATATTATCAACCTTTACTTTATAACTAGTATTTGGTTTAAAGTCTGCATGAATAATAAGATTGTAACCTTCAGTTCTAACCTTACTAACTTTAACCTAAAAGTACAAATAATAATTATTAATTATATTTTAAAACTAAACCAATTCCATTTCTTAATTTGAAACTTACATTTGGTTTAAATTGCAAATGTTTATCAATATCTTCAATCAAGATTTTGTCCACTTGATTATTGAATGCAATAACTACAGATTCACCTTCGAATGAAGAATTAACCTTTGTAACACGTAAAGGTTCTGGTGTCTAGAATATATGTTTAAAGATTTCTAATTAGATAATTTCAATATATACATTTTCCAATAAAGTTTTAAACATACCTTAAAAGTTACTTCTAGATTGTTTTCAGTTACCAATGGTCCTTCAGAAGATTCCAGTGGTTCAGTAAATTGAATGGAATACTTTGTATTCATATCCAATTTATCGAGTTGTAAATAAATTGATTTGGTATTGGATTCACTTTCATCTTTTTCTTTCTCTTCCTCCTTCTCCTTTTCTTCAGCCGACTTTTTAATTGGTGTTGGTAAAGAGTCTTTGAATAACTTACAGAGAGTTGGACTGTCGATTGGAACCACTTTGAAATTGATTGTCTTGTTGAACGGTCCTTTGATCTTGATGGCATTGCCGAGTCTGTTGAATTGGGTCAGTGGGAGTGACTGAGCGAATCGCAAGTTGATCTGTGGATCGGCAATGTCACCGTTGAACTGACCGAATATCGGATATTGGATGCTGGTTTTGAATGTCCACGACTCACCGATCTCATCGTCACCGATCTCTGGCTCGTACTTTTTGAACACCTCCAGCAGTGGAGTGACACGATACTGCGTGGAACTGGCAAATTTCGTTTGATACGGTTGTTTTGGATCTTCGAAGCAACAGGTGACGCCGTCGATCCAACGCCACTTGCCGCCAATCACCGCTGGTTCCACACGGAATGGAACTTGCACTTCGTCGAGAGTCGAGCACAGTGGGATGAAAGGACGATTGAATATCACCTGAATGCGGTGTACCAGCAGATTGGAACCAGTCGGTGTCTGTGAGACAATGGAGAGCGGAACACGTTTGTATTCGTCACGCTTTCCAAGCGGAGCCAACGAGAGTTGGTCGAATTGCGATTCCAAAGATGAACCGGTTTCGTGTTTCGCCTGTTCCTTTGATCTCGACCTCGTGCTCAATCTCGAAAACAAACCGGTCTTTCCAGATGCCGGTTTAGGTGAACCGGTTTTAGATTGATACAATTTGAAAGGTTCACCAGCGTTGTTATTATTACTGCTGGTATCTTGTGATTCTAATGATGGAACACGCATTAACAATTGACTTGCTTCGACTATGTCGAGTTCTGTTAGTTTGGAGAATTCAATGCCGGCACCGTCTCCCACTTGGTCGTCCAGCGCCAGTTGGAATTGAACTTGATTGTTTTTGTTGACCGCCGTGAAGAGACGATCGGTAGTAGAGTAGTTTTCAGTCTTTGGTTTCGTTTCATTGGCAATCTGTCTGCCCAGTAGGTAGAACGGCGACACGGCAACGAGAATAGTACATCCATCGACAATCGAATTCTCTGCCATCGTCGAGAGTGACTCTAGTTGTCTACCACCGAATATCAATCTCAATTGATATGGATGCAGCAATTGTGGTGGTAGATTTGTATTATCTATTAACATATCACCATCGTCCTCTTTATTGTCATTGCTATCGTCAGTCATTGTAACATCGGCATCGCCACTCGATGATTTTGGTTTGAGAACTTCCAAATCTTCAAAGATACTTGATGGAAGTGGAAGATGATCGGAATGCTCTCTAAACAAACGCAGCTTCAACTGGTCTACTGTTTCATCGGTATTTACATCTTCGTAGACCACTTTATAAGCATTAGTTGCAAGTAATGTAATTTTCATTTTTTCTTTTTTGTTTTATAGTTTGGATTTTGTGTGTTAAAAAAGTATATATACAAAATAGGATGGTGATGAATGAATGATGGATGATAATCAGATTTGATGATTAGTTTTTATTATTATACAAGATTAAAATCTAATAATACTCTTTAAATAATGATAATAAATATATTTTTAAAGTGTTTATGTTTAAAAATTATATATATGAATATTATAAATATAATTTAAATTATCAGTGTTTTATTTATGTACTCATGAGTCATTAATAGATAACAATGAATTCGTGGAATTTTAAACTTTAATTTGTTAAAATTATTGGAAAAATTATCACAGAAAGCAATGTGTGTTTTAAAAATTAAAAAAGATTTTTTAAATTGATCTTTTTTTGGATCGAGCTTTTAAACCCCAATTTTCTCTATCATTTGCCAATCAATTAAAATGAGAAGATGAGAATTTGCAAATTGGTTAAAATCTGATGAAAAATTAAATGTAAATCAAAGACCATTTTTGGTGATTGATTTATTGATTAAAAAAAACAATAATTTAATTGATCAGAAATTGTTTTTGATTGTCATAGCAATTTGTTTGATTGGTTCCTAAAATTTATTCTTCATTTTATTCTTGTTTTCTTTGATTATGAATTGAATTTTGGCAACGATTTCCTCGGCGTCCAGTGAGTAGTACTCCGATACCTTTCCATCTTTACACCTGATACAAAAGTTGTTTGGCTTGTTGGTCATTGTGCTCACCGATGAGATGTCGGACATCAATTGTATCGGCTTCTTCAGACGATTCGAACTGAACGTTCGCTTGATCGACGACTTCTTGTGAGGTTCGCTTCCACCGCCACCCGAATTATTGATAAACGAATGAATGATACGATCTTGATCGATGCCCATCAACCTCTCCAAAGATATTCCAAATTTATTTACCTTTATAACTTGATATTGCTAATAATAATAATAATAATAATAATAATACAAAAACAAAACAAGTTAATATAATTAATACAAACTAAATAGTATTGTAATAACATACTTTAAATTCACCAGCTGTATCTGGAGTAAAGAAAAACATTGGTCCTAACAATTTTGTGATTGCTCTTGGAGCATTTCCAGAATCGGCAATAAATGAAACTGATTTTGGAATTGATGATTCTGAAAAAATGTGAAAAAAAAAAAGTAGATAGATTAGTTATATGGATAATTGATCAAGAAAGTGGAATATAATTGGATATATAATTTATATATGTTGATCAACTTACTGACACGATTATGAATTAATTTAATATCACCCATTGCCAACTCTTCGAGTGTGATCGATTCGTTGTTGACCACTTCGTTGTTCATCAACATGAATACACAGAGATCCTCAGAGAATTTCTCTTTCTTGCAGATCAGTGTTTTGATGGAGGACAGTGTAGCGGTCGGGTTGTAGGGAACGGCAATCGAATCTTTGACACCGTTGGTGTTGTTCTGTGGCGATGACAGACGTCGTTCGTTGTGTGAGAGCGGTGCCGATGGCACGATGTGCACTCTGAAGATCGGTGGTGGCGACAACTGCTCCTTCGTCCAATTGGTATTCTGCAGCAAAACATAGGTCTCTGCTTTGATCTTCTTCATCTCTGACGATCGCTCCAGCACGCCATAGTCATTATCGACCGTACCATCATAATGACAAACTCTCAAATAATATGCCTTTGGATTAGTCGTTACACTAAGGAAAGAGAATGAAACATCTCCACCTGATGAACTACCATTACCATTACTATTGTTATTACTTTGATTATCAACTCCATTTGATTGATTTGATGAAAAAGAATCATCTAATTTTGAATTTGTACATTCTTGATGTTGTTGTTGTTGTTGTTGTTGTTGTTGTTGTTGATTGTTATTATTATTGTTATTACTATGTGTAGTATTATTACTATTGTTGTTATTATTATTATTATTATTACTGTTATGATCTAATTTCTTCTTTTCTCTTTGACATAACTCCAAGATATCAATTATAACCTTTTCAACGGTAGAATCATCGTCGATCGATAGGTCAACCATTGATTGTGGTTGAGTCGGTAGGAATACAATGATCTGGATGAGTCTACCTCCAAACCAAGGATATCCACTAAATACACCTACTGATTGTGCTCTTCGATGCAGACTAGACGGTCTAGCTGGATACAATCTTGGTGACTGTGGTCCACTTCTAGGTGACATCGCTGATGGTTGTTTAATAGGTGATTTAACATCTGTATTATTACTATTTGTATTTGTACTTGTATTCGTCGTATTACTATTATTATTATTACTATTATTATTAACTATATGTTTTCCATTTGTTGTAGTTCCAGCTATATTTCCATTACTATTACTATTTATCATTGCTGCTGTTGTATTATTATTTGTTGTATTGTTGTTATTTGCTTTACTTGATAGATTGGTAGTTGAATCAAAGGTTGTTGAAGAGTTGGTAGCTGACAGTTGATCTGCTGAAGAGTAGGTATCGTCATATGATTGGCTCTCTGTCTCCATATCGTAATCTTCATAGTCGTCGTAATAAAGATCACTATCGTTACTGGCATGCGATGGTTTCGGTACCTTCTCCTTTATAAACTGAAAAGTAGTAGTACTTGGATCTGCCTTTGTAAAAGTAATAACTTTTGATAGATTACCATCATTCATTCCTTTATATCTATTGTTTTGTAACATCTGTTGTTGTTGTTGCTGTTGTAATTCATTAGTTGTTGTATTAGTTGTTGGAATGGCAGTAGAAGCTGTTTGTAATGGAAGTGGAACAGCCGGTGTTTTATAGACATTATACATTCTCGAGAGATCCTCTTCTTCATGTGATAGATAGGTATCTAAAGGTGATCCGTTATTCGACATATTATCATTATTATTATTATTATTATTACTATCTATTAAGTTACTATTACTATTACTATTGTTATTGTTATTATTATTGTTGTTTAAAAGTAAATTATTTGAACTGTTATTATTATTTCCTATGGTGGTTGATATCTGTACTGGATGTGATTGATTCAATAGACTCTGATGTGAGGTGTTCAGATCGTTGAGAATGAGTGACATCATTGCATAGCCTTTCTGATTCTTGCGCTGAATGGCATCGTCATTCATGTTGTTCCTTATCTTATTCAGTGCGATGGCAGTCTGCGAGCGTTCAAAAGACAAGAAATTATCACGCTTCTCCTCCATAGATGCAGAGATCACCGTATCCTCATTCTGTTGTTGCCGCAGTAGTATATTCTTGTGAATCTGGTGGTCACTCGTTGCCATTGCTGCCATCGGTGATGGTGACATCGGTGGTGAAGATGGTGAAAAAGGTGTACAATATTCATTATGTATAATAGTTTGATTTACATTATTATTATTATTTGAATTATTATTATTTGAACTATTATTATTATTATTATTGTTAGTTGAACTAATATTATTGTTATTATTATTATTACTACTATTAATATGATGATTACTACTATTATTATGATGATGGTTTGTAATATTAATTGATGCTGTTGATGTTACTTTTGTTGGTGTTGTTGTTGCTGTTGTAACAGTTGATGTTACTTTACTAATATGGCTATTATTGTTGTTGTTGTTATTTTTAATTAAAATAGTGTTACTACTACATGGTTCATCGTATTCGTCATCGTTGTTATTGTTATTGTTATTGTTTTGGCGGTGGTTGTGGTTATTATCTTGTTGTTTCAAATGTTTTTCAGATTTGTCTTGGTTGAGGAATGTAAATTCACTATCTCTTTCTCTTTCTCTGTCTCTGTCTTTCTGTGAAAATGAAATAGAGTTATTGTTCAGTGGTGAAGTGGAAAGTGGTGAAATTGCAATGTTTTTATCGATAACCGACGATGCTGATGATTCCGATAAAAACAAAGAGGATTCCGATAGACCTAGTTTTACAGAGGTGGTATGTGTTGTTGATTTTTGTGGTGATGTCAATGGTGATTCCGATGAGGAAACTGATGAATTTTCATATATTATTTTTAAATTATTATTTGTATTGAAATTATTAAAATTATTACAATTACTATTTAAATTGTTTTGAATATTAATATTAATGTTGTTATTATTATTATTAGAAGTATGTTGATTCGTTACTACTATTGGTGATTGCGAACTTGGTGTTCCAATGGTTGTAAAAGGTGTATGATAGGAACACGGTGAATTGTCTTGTTCAATCAATGATTCATCATCATCATAGGAATCGCCAGATGGTGATAAATATTTATTATTTCTTTGGTCTACTATTATATTATTGTTATTATTTGTATTATTATTATTATTGTTGTTGTTGTTATAATTATTATTTTTTGAATTTTGAATTTGTTTTAATTTTCTAATTAAATTTGAAATTGTTATATTGGTTTGTCCTGTGAAACTAATCATGGACTTGAAAGATAGTTGTTCTGGTTGTTTTAGTGATCTATTTGCTATTCTGACTATACTGTTTAGACTTTGAGATACACAACCCATTGAATTTACAATGCAGTCGAGATGAACCAATATTTCCTCGACCTCTGAATTCATTAGAGATCCCAAAATCTCTGTTAATTCACCAATCTGTAAGATCTTGGTACTCTGTAATATATCTTCATCTTCGAAATTTGATTCCATCATTTTTCTATTATTAATATTATTATTATTAATTGTATATATATACTAAATCTAATCTAATATTATTATTTTTTTATATTATATTATTAAAACTATAAATACAAAAAAAAAAGTTAGTAAATTTAAAAATGTTGGTGGAACAAGTTGTAATTATGTTTTATATTGTTTGTTTGTTTGTTTTTCTTTTGGATTGTATGGTATTGGTTTGATTTGGATTGGACTGATTTAGTTTGGACTGATTTGAATTGATGGTATGGTATCAGTTGATTTCTGTTATTAGATTGAATAATTATGGAATTTTTTAAACTTTATGATTAATGTTGTTTAAAGTTTATAAAGAAATTCTAATATTGGTTATTTGATTGATTGCTGTAGCTATATATGTTATAAAATACTACTAATATTTTAAACACCATACATATATATAAAAATCAACTTAATGGAAAAAGATCTAGAATTATTGACAAACTTTACAACTAACCACCAGAAATATATCAATCAAACTACACTAGTTGGTTTTGTTTGTTTTATACTACTACTTTTTTTATTTTTATTTGATAATATTATTTTTTTATTACTTTTAATTTTATTTAATATTACAGCTATAAAATTGGAGGTGGAGTTGATTGATTTTGTTTGGTTAGGTTTGGATTGATTGATTGGTTGATGATGAAGCTTGATGTTGTGTTGTTAAATATTTAATGATGATAAACTAAAAACATTGAATGATTGTTTGTGTGTGTTTGATTGAGGAGGGAGGTTAGTAAGTGAGTTAGTGAGTGAGTGATTGTTAATTCAAATGGTTTTGTTTTGTCAATTTATAAATAAATTATATATATTTGATGATTGATTGGTTTTCTTTCTGGTTCTACAATAAAATTAATTTTTTAAACATTGTTTTGCTTTGTTTTTTTTTTTTTTTTTTTTAATTACAACAACAAACAACAAGAAAATGTTAAGTAAAAAATAATCAACAACAACAACAACAACAACAAAATCAAACCAACAACAACATTTGAGCTAAAAAAAAACACACACACAATCAATTAAAAAAAAAACAACTTAAACTAATAAAATAAAATTTTAAATTTATTGATTGAGATATGGATGTGTGTGTTTAGTGTGTGTGTGTTAATTTGACCACATTGTGAGTTAAATTAAAAACACAATCATATCAATCTATCAATGCGATCAACATTCATATATGTGTTAAAGAAAAAAAAAAAAAAAAAAAAAGTCTTTATCTTGATAAAAATAACTATTAAAAATCTAAACTTGATTAATATAATTAAAAGATAAAATTAGTTTTTTGGATTGTGAGATTCTACTCTGATTATTTAAATCTAGTATATTAAGTCACTGATCATCCATCAGATATACCATGACATACCCATATGAAAGATGGTAATGGATCTTCAATTATTCAGGCATTTCTAGAAAAGAAAAAGGTTTATTGAATCATATTTAAAAGATTTGATATTTTGGTTATTTGTTTATTTATTGAATAAAACAAAAATGATCATTAACCTTCAGAAGGTTCCGCTAAAAATGAGAAACAAAGTGAGTAGTGTGTGGAATGCTATAAATTATTTTTTGAATATTTTTGAAAAACAAACATTTCGTTCGTTTTTTTTTTTTTTTTTTTTAATTAATCATTGTTTTTCATTCTTATTTTGTTTTGTTTTAAATAATATATATATATTATTTATATAATATAATAATATATATTACAAAGAATGCTTAGAATAAGTAATTCTAAATATATATCGAAAGTTATATCTTCAACAAGATCAACTTTTTCATTTACAAAATCAATATCACTACATTCAATATACAATAATAACAATAATAATAATAGTAATAAATTAAATAATCATAGTAATAGTAGTAACAACATTAATAATTTAAAAAGATATTGTAGTAGTAGTACTTTAAATAATAATAATAATAATAATATAAATAGAAATGAAAATTTTGAATATGAAATCGATGAATCACAAATAGATCAGGAATCATTGGAACAACTTAGAAAGCTTATTAAAAAGAATTCCAATAAGAACAAAGATGGAAAATCATTGTCCAGTTTGAATGATGCAAAGTTTGATAATATACAGTCACTCGAGGATTTGGAGAGTGTAGAACCAGAGTTTGATATTTCATCAGAGTTGGCTCGCATCGAATCACTGTTGACGAGCGAGATGCAACTGGAGGCACTCGAGGAGATGGAGCGAAACGAACTCGACGCCAAGACAATTGCAGAGCTCCAGAAGCAGAAGGAAGAAGAGAGTGCCAAGTACAAGGAGCTCTACGAGAAGATCAAGTTGGAGACCGACTTTGAGATCTCGGTGACTGACACTGCGCGTAAGGCCTATCGTCAGCTGCTCAACGACACCAGCATGATCCAGCGGTCGACGGGCCTCAAATCGATCAAGAATGTGATGTTCCAGTGGTACGACCCGCTGATCAAGCATACCACTCAGGAGCTCAAGTCGTTCCAGCAGGCGAATGCCTCGGTTTTGCTGAGCGAGGACCCCGAGGCCGAGGCCGAGGCCCTCAACCCACTCTCACGTGTTCCATCGCACGTCGAAGTCCTGACACGTTTGCCCATGAAGAAACTCTGTTTGATCGCGTTGAATCAGATGGTCTCTGAGATTCTCTCGGACCCACAGCGCGGCACCATCATGACGTCGATAGTGGAGAACATCGGTGAGTCTGTGCTCGCCGAATACCAGATGCAACTGCTCAAGAAATACGATCGTCTCCAATACAAACGGTTGATGAAACCGTTCAATGGCGCCGTTGCAACGGTGAGAACCATTCAGAACTATATGCGTCGTGCACACAACAACTTGGAACAGGAATCGGATACAATCACAAAAGTCGGAAGTTTCATGGTGAAATCGATCATGGATAGCTGTATGATCAACAAGTACATCGATGGTGAGGATATCGACGAGAAAGTACCGGCATTCTACTACAAATACCGATACAACAACAACAAAAAGTATGGAGTCATCTCGTGTCACGACAATGTCTATTCACTCATGGACGAAGGACATTTCCTTGTCGAAGCAATGAATGCTCGTCTCCTACCGATGGTAGTTCCACCACAGCCATGGACCCATCCAAACAAGGGTTGTTATCTTCAATATCCATGTTTCATCATGAGAACAAATGGGTAAGGAAAGAAAACTTGAGAATGTTTTGTTTGTCTTGTATATACAACTAACTTGGTTATTCGTTATTTCTACAGTTCAAAGCTACAGAAAACATCATTGTATCAATCGGATTTAACAAATATATATGAAGGTCTGAATGTGCTGGGAGAAGTACCATGGAAGACAAATGAAAAGATGATGTCGATTCTTTTGGAAGCTTGGGAGAAAGGTGGTGGAATTGCTGATTTACCGAGTAGATACGATTTTGAGCTGCCAGAGTCACCGAGTCAGGAGGATTTGCAAGACGAAAAAGTGAAGCGAGATTTCAATAAGAAGCTGAGAAAGGTCAAGGGTGCAAACAACGATTTGCACTCGCTGCGTTGTGATACTCTCTACAAGCTGAACGTCGCCAAACAACTACAGGAATATACATTCTACTTCCCGCACAACGTTGATTTCCGTGGTCGTTCCTATCCGATCCCCCCACATCTCAATCACATGGGTTCCGATTTCTGTCGTTCGATGCTCAAGTTTGCCGAGGAGAAAGAACTTGGCGAGCGTGGATTCGAGTGGTTGAAGGTACAGGTCGCCAATCTCTTTGGTGTCGATAAAGTCAGTTTCGAAGATCGTGTAGCATTCACAATGGAGAACATAGAGAATATCTACGACTCGGCAGACCGTCCTCTCGACGGCAAGAGGTGGTGGCTCAAAGCCGACAGTCCCTGGCAGACGCTGGCCGCCTGCATAGAGTTGACCGACGCCATTCGTTCGGGCAACCCAACAACCTTCAAGAGTAGTCTACCAATTCACCAAGACGGTACATGTAACGGTCTACAACATTATGCTGCACTCGGTGGTGATGAACTCGGTGCGCTGAAGGTCAATTTGTTGCCCTCTCCAAAACCCCAGGACGTCTACACCGGAGTCGCCCAAATGGTGGCGCAGATCGTCCATGAAGATGCGTTGGCTGGCGACGAACTGGCAAAGCTTCTCGACGGTAAAATCGAGAGAAAGATCATCAAACAGACCGTTATGACCAGTGTCTACGGTGTCACATTTGTTGGAGCGCGTATGCAGATTGAGAATGCACTCAGCGACAAATACCAGATTGACGAAGCGACACTCTTCAAGGCAACGACCTATCTCTCCAAGACAACATTCGCATCGCTCGACAAGATGTTTATTGGAGCGCGTTCCATTATGGCGTGGCTTGCCCAATGCGCCGGACTCATCTCCAAGCAGACGGGCGAGTGCGTCGCGTGGTACACCCCACTCGGACTCCCAGTGGTCCAGCCTTACCGCAAAGGTGGAAAAGTCAGCGTCAAAACGATTATGAACGACTACCTGATGGTGGAGGACAACGATCACCTCCCGGTCGACTCGAGAAAGCAGCGATCGGCTTTCCCACCCAACTTTATTCACTCACTCGACTCTACACATATGTTTTTAACGGCGATCCAGTGCAAGAAGAAAGGCATTACATTTGCATCGGTACATGATTCCTTCTGGACACATGCATCGACAATCGACACAATGAACACAATGCTTCGTCATCAATTCGTGGAACTCCATTCACAACCCATTTTAGAGCGTCTCAGAGAGTGGTTCAATCACCGTTATCCCACTGTTAATATACCACCCGTACCAAACAGAGGTTCACTCGATCTCAAAAAGGTTAGAGATAGTAAATATTTCTTCCATTGAAAAAACAATAAAATCTTTTTATATAAACAAAAAAAAAAAGGTTTTAAATAACTCTCCATTGAGTTTAATATCTTTCAGAAATTTTACAATATTGTATTAAGTTCTGGAAATACAACCTCTAAGTTGGTCTACTAACATTCATCTTTTAGAAACAAAAACAATTAATGATTAAATAAATACTTATTTATAGAAATTTAGATAATTTCTAGATCAACAATTAATCTACTTTACTACAGAATTTGATCTTGGGAGTAAATAAATTAAAACTTAATATTAATATCTATTTTTCTTTAAAAATTTAATTAAACTAATAAAACTAAAATATGTTTATATAAAAAATAAGAAATAACAAATTACTATTCTTTATGTTTTTAAAAAGAATTAATTATATTTTTCTTTTTTATTCCTTTTTAGGATTTTCATTTTCAAAAATTTTGGTTGAAAAAAAATACAAAAACAGATAATTCGTTTTATACGATTCAATAATGATTAAGTAATAATATACACAACACACATGAGTAGATATAATTCAACAAATATAGATGTATCAAATACAACACCTATAATATCGACATTGAATATGGGTGGTGCCAGTGGAGGTGCCACTGCCAACAGTACATCAAGCACATCAACAACTACCACTACAACTACTATAACAACAACATCATCACCACAACAACCTATAGCACTTAGATTAACAATCAAATCAAAGAAGAAAAAGAGAGTACAATGGTCTGAAGAAACTGTAGATAATGAAAATATGTTAAAAAAGAAATCAAAAAGTAAAGTTAATCAATCTATTATTATTATTCGTATTTACTAATATAATCGTCTTGTTTATGATTATAGAATGTTGTATTTTTCATAAAAAGAAACCTTATGATGAAAGTAGTGATGAGAGTGGTAGCGAAGATGATCATGATCACAATGACTCAAATGGTATGTATCAAATCTTTACCACTACATACATTGATTGACTCTACTCTATTCTAACACAAAAAACAATGAATAATAGATTGTAATCACCATGAATGTGGGCATGATGATAATAATAACTCTAGTAATGAACCAGCTGCATCATAATAATAATAGCATAATTGTATAATCATAATCAATTGTTAGTTTTTTTTTTTAATAACTTAACAACAAAACATAGAGCAACAAAAACACTACTAACTTTGTAGTAATTAATTATTAATAATAGTATTTATTCATACTATAGTATTAAAAATAAAAGTAATATCACCTATAAATAAAAGTAACTTTAGGAATTGAATTAGCATAACACGATATGATGTATTAATTAATAGTACAATCCTATCCTATCCTGGTTTGGGATTTACATTATCGTCTTAAATTTAATACTCACCACCCCCTTGTAAGATACTTTTCTTTCGCCTGGTAATCAAAAAACCCATCAAAAAAATTTAAAGTGGATATTTTATTTATTTTTAATTAAGATATTTTATTGAAAAAAATATCACACTCAATAACTTGATTTTGCTTTAAAAGGTGAAGAATAAGTAAGAGACTCTTTTGTTTCTTATTGTAAATATAATAATATAATATGTATAAAATAAGAACAACTACAATACTACTTGTAGTATTTGTAGCGCTCATCAATATTGTACAGTGTACACTCAATCTAGATATCGAGAAAGACGACAAATATAAATTAGAAGACAAACCGGAATGGTATTCAATCAATGAAAACTTTCAAATTGAAAATGGTTTAAATAAGAATGCATTGGGGTATGATTAAATAATTATCTAGATAAGCATATATATATTAATTTCATAATTAATAAATAATTAATGAATATATAGATGGGGATATTATAAAGTTGATATCGAAAAAGATGGTTGGAATAAATTGTATATTGAAATGAATTCGGATATGAATTCTGGAAATGCTTCACTTTACTATGCTGGTGCTGGTTTCTTGGAGGGATATCTCACTTGGAGTACCACTTATAATTACTCGGTGGCATGGATTGCCAATGATATTGTTGGTCAAGTCGACTCCAATCTACTCAATGAGTTTATGCTGACCAACTACAAATGGATGACGAACAATTTCGGTCCGTCTTCATCTTCGTCGCTCTACGACCAACAGGTCTACAATGTGATTCAGCAATTCGAAGGTTTCGCTAAAGGTTACCAAGCCGGTGCAGATTCTGACAAGCAGCTGGATTTCGATACACTGTTGCTTCTTCAGTTGGCAGGTGATCTCGACGATATCATAGGATACCTCCAGTATGAAAGCGCGCCAAACAAGACGGAATATATTTCCAGAACGATGACTCTGGAACAAGTGGAACGATTGATGGCTACCAAAGGTAGATGTTCGGCGCTGGTGCGTGTTCCACCCGATTTCTCAGAGTTGTATATCTCCCATACAACATGGGGAAGTTACTTCACAGCGGGATACCGTATTTTCAAGAGAGTTATTATTCCCGATCCAAGTGTGCCAGGAACTGAGGTTGTTTTTGCTTCGTATGCCGGTGTGCTGACATCGGACGACGACTTTTTCCAGATCCCAACAACTCAACTCGTTTCTATAGAAACAACCAACAACGTTCTCAACACTTCACTCTACCAATATGTCACAGCCAACTCGCTAATGTATTGGGTGCGTTCACTCGTTGCCAATCGACTCTCCAACACCGGACAAGAGTGGACTGAGAACTTCATACAATACAACAGTGGAACCTATAACAATCAATGGATGATCGTTGACTACAAGCTGTTCACACCCTTTGAAATTCTAAAGCCAAATACTCTCTGGATTATCGAGCAGATTCCGGGTGACTACACTTCACAGGATATGACAAGCTATTTGGCACTTGGATATTGGCCGTCGTACAACCGTCCTTACTTCCCCGATCTCTACAATGCACTGGGATACAATTACTACGAGCAACTCTATGGCGATGTGTTCACCTACGAGTTGAACCCACGTGCTAAAATTTTCAGAAGAGATAGCAATCAAGTGTATTCACTAAGTGACATGCAATCAATCATGACACGAAACAATTATAAAACCGATCCATTCAGTCAAGGCTATCCAGGAAATGCTATCTCAGCACGCTACGATTTGGGATCGGGTCCAAACGAGCCGTTCGGATGGTCATACATTGGACCACATGGAGGTATCGACTCGAAAATCTCATCTTACGCTATGATGCAACAAAATCTGATCTCTTCTATTTCTGGAATGACTGTCACACCCGATTGCCAGCCATTCAAATGGAGCGACTGGGACATTGGCCATTCAAACAACACTCAAGTTCACATTGGATCACCCAATACTTTCAATTTCAATTGGATAACAATTGATATTAAAGATAAATAAATAAAATAAACAAAATTAATTAATTATTTTAAAATTAATTCACTCCTTTTTTTTTTGTGCAAATCGAAGTGATTTACTCTTTTTTTTTTTTTTTTGTTGTTTTTTTATAACCTAATAATAAAAAATTTCTTACCTCATTAAAAAAAAAATAAAGGGTGATGGACTAATTTTTGGCGCTATAATAAAGAAAAAAAAACCCTCGTCTTGGTGTGTCTTTTGGAATTAAATTCCTTTATGTTCTTTTTTTTTTTTGCTTTTTTTAAAGTGATTCCACCCTGTCAACGTACTTTATTGACAAAATTTTTTCATTGAAATTGCGGTGAATCGTTAACTCTGGTAATTGAATGGTTTTTGTATTATTTTTTATGGTGAAATAGGGTGTGAGAAAAGTGCTTTGTTTGTAATGATTTTGAAATAAATTCAAATTTTTTTTACAACAACAAACTATTTTTTTGATAAAATTAATTTTTTTATTTTTTTTTTTGTTTTTTTCACTAGCAAAACACTCACTCAACATTATTAAAAAATAATAATAATAAAAAACAAAACCAAATTAATCAAACCAACCAACATCATACTTTCCTCTTTTTCTTCTTATTCTATTTTTTTTTATTATTATTCTTTTTAATTTATTTATTTATTATTATAATTAATTTTTATTTATCAAAAAATAAAAATATATAATTATTATTACTATTTCAATATTCACACTCAGTATAATCCTATCTATCTATCTATCTATTTTTTTTTAATTTAAATTTTATTTAAATTTTATTTTATTTTAAATTGATATCAAAATCAATCACATATATATACACTTTTTTTCTCTTATTGTAAGTATTTAATAAAACTATTCGATATTAGATATTTAATAAAAACAATAACAATAAATTAACGATAAACTACTACTACCACTATTATTATTATTATTATTATTAGAGTACAAAAATAATATAACAACAGTAAAAACAACAATAACAAAATGTCAAACAAATTAACTGGTCAAGAAGATTATGATTACTTATATAAAAGTATGTATATACGATGATAGAGACAGAGATAGAGATTGTATAGAATCGAATAAACAGGATAACTACAGAAACTGACATAAAAACTCGTTTGATTTACTATTCGAATAGTCGTGCTCATTGGAGACAGTGGTGTCGGAAAGAGTAACCTATTATCTAGATTCACTCGTAATGAATTCAACCTTGAAACAAAATCTACCATTGGTGTAGAGTTTGCCACTAGAACCATTGTAACAGAAGGAAAAACTATCAAAGCTCAAATTTGGGATACAGGTATGTAAATTTAAACTTTGTTATCAGCATAACCGTTAAGTTGGTCGAGTTAATCGACTGACCGACCGATTATTGTGAACTTCACATTAAATCATAATTGCAAAATTGATATTAACATTAAACTATTACTACTATTATTATAAAAACTATATATAGCTGGTCAAGAAAGATATAGAGCTATTACATCAGCGTATGTATTATTAATATAAAGAATAATAATAATATAATTTACTAATCTTTTTGTTTGTTATTTCTTTTTATTTTTACTTAATAACAATAATAATCACAATAGATACTATCGTGGTGCTGTTGGTGCTTTACTTGTTTACGATATCGCAAAGCAAGCAACTTACAAGAGTGTAGAGAGATGGTTGACAGAGCTTCGTGAGAATGCAGATCGTAATTTCGATATTGAAATTATGTTGGTTGGAAATAAGAGTGATTTGAGACATTTGCGTGAGGTCTCCACAGACGAAGCTAAAGAATTTGCAGAGAAACACAAGTTATTATTTATTGAGACATCAGGTATTGTGTTTTTTTTTTTAAACAAACATCTAATCAATCTATCGATCCGTCGATTCAATCATCAATAATATTAATATGTCATTGATGGTTGAATCAATCGATCGATCAATCGATTGATTAGTACGACAACGAAATCAGCAACAGTCTTACTAATCATATTATTATTTATATTATATAGCTCTTGACTCTAGCAATGTAGATGTTGCATTCCAAACTATTTTAACACAAATTTGTCATTCAATGAGCCGTCCAACTCCAATCGGTGCTCCATCAGGCCACGACGATAACTCACCTAGTATCGGTACACCAGTTGACATTTCAAGTGATACTAAAAAGCCCAACCAAGGAAACAACTGTGCCTGTTAAATAATAATAAATAAATAAAATATTTTTTAAAACTCTCATAATCAATCATTCAAATCAAATCAATATTAATTAATATCATATCATTTCTAAGCGATTTCAAGAGATAGATAAAACAAAGTCTTTAACCAGGTTGTTAAAACAAAAAACAAAAAGCAAAAAAAAAAAGAATTCTTCGGGTGGGTTTGATTTTCTAACCACACCGACCAACAATTTAAACCAACAGCTTAATGTCTATTTTCAAATAAATTAGAAAAGAAAGGAACTGTGTCTATTCATTTTCTAATAAAATTAATTAATTAATTAAATCATTTAAGAATAAATTAAATAAGATGAGTTAGTTTATCATGTCAAAACAAAGCGTAAAGATTTTAAACTAATATTATATATAACATTTTTTAAGGGTTTTTTATAGTTTAAATTAAAAGTACTAGTTTTTTGTTTTGTTTTTTTTTTAATCGATGATGTGGCTACCAGAGAGTGGGTTGGCCTTATCTTTAATAACTCTATCGTTAAAGTGAGCAGAGTTGACAGCAGTGAGTTCAGCATGGAATGGCTATTATTTAAGAAAAGATAAAGAAAAAAAGAAACGATTAATATTTATTAAATAAATTCAATAAATAGTTTAAAACTTGAGTTACTTACTTGGAAACAAGCTTTGGCATCTCCAACGTGTGATTTCTTTTTACCCTTTTCGATGATTCCAACCTTTGGACCTGTCCAAGCGATGAAAATATCCTTTGAATTTGCCTTGTTTCCAATGACACCCTCCTTGAAACCTGGATCTGATTCGTCGTATTCCTCCTTTACCAAAATGTAGAGTACCTTTGAGTCATCCAATTGTTTGGAGAGAGTGGCAGCACCACCCGATCCAGTGGCAACCAACTCTACGGTGGTTGGTGATGTATATCCAAGAACGATCCAATCAGAGACATTGTCAGCTCTCTTGTAGTGCTCGAGTGCTTCTTTAATTTTTTGTGGATTTTGAATATTCATTCTTTATATCTTTATTTATCTATATATATCTTAGTGTAATTACAAACTATTTGTTTTGAAATCAATTTCTGTCGTATTGATTAGTAAAACTTCATGGTGGTAATTTATTTTTAATCATGAAAAAAATAAAATAAAATAAAATTTTTAATTTGAAAATGATTTGAGCCATCAAAAATTATTGGGTGATTTTCTTTTAAAAGAAAAATTCTTCACAATCAAATACATGTTTGTGAATTTGCAAAAAAACACAAACAAAATAGAAAAGAAAGAAAATTGTAGATTTTTTATTACTAAGATCTTAATTTTACAAAAATATTTGAAACCAAACCAATTATTTATCAAAATATATAATTTTAAACCTGATTATTATTGTTATTGTTATTTGATTCAAACAGGACCAGACATTAAAGTTTTTGTTTTTTGAACTTCAAAAAATTTAGGAAAATGAAATTTGATTTTTTTTTTTCACTTTCATCAACAAAAAAATAGGTTAAAAAAAATAAAAAATAAAATAAATTCATCTGATCAGTTTTTTTTTATATTATTACATTAATATATATATTTAGGAACAATCAAACATGTTGTCTAATATTACAAAGAGATCAATCTCTTCTATTTTCGGTAGAACTACCGTATCTCCATTTACTGGTGCTCTTAACTGTATGTATGAGAGGTGCTTGAGTGCAATACCACCACCGAACACTAAACATCTCATAGGGGAATTGTTGTAATTTGTTTTAATAAATGAAAAACGAAACTAATTCATAACTTTTAATTAATATCTATATTATATATATATATATATATATATATATATATATATATATATATATATATATATATATATATATATATATATATAACACAGATTCAACAGCAGCTGACAAGAATGGTATGAATCAAATCAAACGAAAATTAGAATCGAATCTATTGAATCAAAATATTAAATTGAATCAAGATATACAGCAGCAGCAACAACAACGACAATAGAAATAGTAATGGTTATAGATGATTATATGTTTGTTGAATAATAGCTATAATAGTAATAATCATTTTCATGAAATGTCATATAATATTTTGATTCAATAGATTTGTTAAGCTAGTTCACAAACATTTGATATTTTTTGCTAATATAAATGTTATATTCAATATTTATAGTTGTTGCAATCAAGATCTATCGTTACAGCGAGGAATCAGAGAAGAAACCATACGTACAAACCTACAATTTGAACCTCAAGGAATGTGGTCCAATGATTTTGGATGCTCTCATTCACATTAAGAACACTCAAGATCCAACTTTGACTTTCCGTCGTTCATGTCGTGAGGGTATTTGTGGAAGGTATGATATATTATAATACTTAATCAAATTAAATCAAATCAAATCAAATCAATTAATAATAATAATAATAATTATTAAATACAATAATTAATTAATTAGTTGTGCAATGAATATCTCTGGTTCAAATACACTTGCATGTATTAAGAAGACAACCGATGCTATTGATGGTGGTTCAATTGCCATCTATCCACTCCCACATATGCACGTCGTAAGAGATTTGGTACCAGATCTTACTCACTTCTATCAACAACACAAATCCGTTAAGCCATGGTTAGAGCCATCCCCAGATGCTCCAAGATACAATGGTAAAGAGGTATGTGTTTATACATTTAATGTTTTACATTTGTTGTTGTTGTTGTTGTTATCATTGTTGAAACTAATATTGTAATTGGTTGGTTGTGTGTATGTAGATTCTTCAATCAAAGGAAAACAGACATAAATTAGATGGTCTCTATGAGTGTATCTTGTGTGCATGTTGCTCGACATCGTGTCCATCCTACTGGTGGTCAGAGGGTGGTGACGGTGGATACCTCGGACCAGCCGTTCTCTTGCAGGCATTCCGTTGGATTTCAGATTCCCGTGACTCTATTCAACGTGAGAGACTCGCCAATATTTCATCGGACAATCTCAAGATCTATAAATGTCACACTATTTTGAATTGTACACGTGTTTGTCCAAAAGGACTCAACCCAGCTTTAGCCATTGCAAAGATGAAACTCATGTTGGCTCATTAAATTTTTTCAATCCGCCTAATCTCCTACCAAAACTTCAAACAACAAACAAACAAACAAACAAACAAACAATACCAATATCAAATTTACAAAAAAAAAAAAAAAAAACAGCCGATTTCAACAAAAATCAACTATTATATAACAATAACAACAACAATAAAAACGATATAATCAAAGAAAGAAGAAGAGTTCCTCATCCCAAAAAGAGTATTGTCATCGGTATAAATTCACCTAACACCATTATAATTAAATCATTACAAATTTTGCAAACTAAACTAAACTTTTCAAAATGCATGAGAATTTCTTAATGTTTAAATTAAAACAATAAATCATTCCTTTTCAAACAATTAAAAAACTAAACTAAACTTTTCAAAGTGAATGAAGAATTCGTACAGTTTAAACACAATTAAAAAGGTCAAAAAGTAGTCAGGTTTTGTTGATTGGTGTTGAAGAAGCAGAAAAACACATTTTTCATAGAATTGTTTTTTACAAAATAAAATAAACATAAAAAAAAAAAGGTAAACAACAAACTACAATTCACTAAATCTTAATAATAAACAGTACATATATATAACACAAAAACAAAAAACTATTTATAAAAATAACTTTTGGGACCTGATAGCAATAAATAGATGAAAAAAAATGTTTAAAGTTTTCAGATTTATGGGCATTATACCCACATGACAGATTTATATGATGATCAAAAAAAATTGTTTGTGGTGATCAAATATAAATCACCCGCATATTATCTGTACAAAACTAGTAATCATTTTTTAAAAATGATTCACACTGTGATTTATGGTGATCAACATAACACATATTTTGTTTTTGATGATCAAATAAACAAATTTTTAATTTAAAAAAAATAATAATAAATTTTATAATATATTTTAATTATATAATTATATAATAATCAAAACCTTTACTATTTCATACACACCAATTTTTATTTTTAATTAAATTAATAATATATATAATTTATATCTAGTTAGAAACATAAACAACGACAATAACAAAAAAAACTGAAATAATAGTCATAGTAAACTTTATAATATTAATTTTTTAAATTTTAATGTTTGGTTCATAATTTTATTTAAATTATTATTACTGTTTTATTTTTTTAAATATAAATGTCATTACATTTGTCATTGCGATTCATTTATAGTTGTAAATATTTAAAATTTTCATTAATATATCTTCTTAAATGTATTTTAATACCCAAATTTTATAAATAAATTGAATAAACAATAGATAATTTTTTAGTTTTATTATTTTTTTTTGGATTTTGTTTGGACCTTTCAGTCGGCTCCAAGTATGTGGAGCTAAACACATTAATTGCAGGAAAATGTCAATTGTTAGACGAAAGTTCACCGTGTTATGGCATTATCTCTCCTGGCACCTATGTCTATGTTAATCCGATGGTAAAGAATGAATCTGTAATGTTGGCCGATATATATACGGCCTCTAGTGCAGTTGGTTTTGCCTCAGAAAATGATAGTTGCTTCAGAGAGTCGTATAGACTTATTTGTGCTGTTGTAAGATTATTTTATTATTTTATTTTAACTATTTAAGATTGGATGAATTAACATATTCAAAAGAATTACCCTCTTTGTGTTACAATAAACAGTACTACACCACCGGTTGCACTTCCTTATAAACCATGTGTGAGTCTATGTTGTAAGTAGAATTTAAGATCTATTATTTTAATATATTTTCAATATTAATAAATTTTTTTTTATTCTAGATAAAACAAGAGAAGTGTGTAATGGTTCACAGTTATATGATATGATTCCTCAGATGAGTTGCGAATATGTAGGAGTTGCTGGTAGAATATATCCTGATCCTGGAGAATATTTCAATCTCACTAACGTAAATGGAAGTGATTCTGTATATACAGAATGTACTACAAATTATAATCCAGGTAAATTTAGTTTAAGTTTTCTATTTTTTCTTTGTTTAATAATTATATATTTTATTAAAAGGTACACCTCATTGTCCAGCTCCTTTGGTTTATATAACTGATGAAATGACAGATATAAATGGATATTATATTATTGAGGGAAGATGTGCTTTACCTTGTCCGTTTAGTTTGTGGTCAGATAAAAAAATGAGGTTACTCTATTATGTTCAAACCGCTATAAACTCATTAAGTTTTCTATCTGGTCTATTCTTAATAGTATTCTATGGCATATTACCTAATGAAATAACTCATAGAATGGAAATCATTTTGTCTTTTGGAATATCAAATACCTTAGTTTGTATTTCTTATTTTATGGATGTAAGTAGATAAGACATTTCAATTTTAATATTAAATCAAATTTCTAATTTTTTTTTTCTTAATTAAATCATAGAATCCTCAAAGAGATTTATATTGTGGTGAAAATCATAGGTATATGACGCAATCAGATCCCATCTGTGTTATGAATGGTACAATATTTCAATTTGGAATTACTTCGCTCATTTTTTGGTGGGTTGTTCTCTCATATGATTTTTTCAAGACAATCAGAATGGAACAGAATAAATATTTTAACTATCATAGAGTTCTAGTATGGTCATTAGCATTAATATTAACGATAGTTCCTTTAACGGGGTCAACTTATAATTCTTCACCAACCACTATTGGATGTTGGATAAATTCAAACAACAATGGTTTATGGCAATACTTTAATTTTTATGGTAAGAAACATTGAATCTTTTTAAAATCATTATAATTTTAATCTAACTTTTAGTTATCTTTTTACTTATCTTTAGTACCATCATGGATTTGTTTATTATTTGTTTTATTCACTACAATTTATTCTTGTTATAAAATATATTCTGTAACTATTAAATTAAAAAAAAGTATTGTTTAAAAAATATTCTAATTTAAATTTTATTTTTATTTAGTTATATAATGTTTTAAGAGATAAAGTAGTTTTAATTTATAATGTAACTATAAAATTAATAATGACAATATTTTATTTAATAATAACTAACAAGTTTATAATTTTCTAAATTATTTTCTAGACAAAACAAATTTTAATTATGATAATTATTTTATTTAATTTTGTTTATGTTTCAGTTTATAAATTCTATGCGATGGCTAAAGATGAAGAGTATTCAAAACTTTTAACAGCTTGGTTTGTTTGTTTGATTAGATATGGAGAGTCGAAATGTGAAAGAGATCTTCCAGATTTCAGTCTTAGATTGGTGTTGGCAATCGTTACAGCCAACAATGGAGTAGTTGGATTCTTGGCATATGGCTTGGATTCTAATAACATTAAAGTATTTAAACAATCGAAATTAGTTTTATACTTTATGAGTAAGATTGGTGTAAGTTGGTCATTCAACCTTACCTACTCAAACACACCTTCCAGTTCAATCACACCGACAACCAACACAACTTCAAGAAAATCAACCAGTTCCAGCATTAAAATGAAACCGGTCGAAAAAACAACTGAACAACAACAGCAACAGCAAACACAACCAGAAACAACAACAAATATTCAAAACATTGATATTGAGAGCTGCTCCAAAGAAGAGAGCACAAACGACTTAAAAAATATCAATATTGTTACATTTGAAACAACAACAAAGAATAATAATAATAATAACGACTACAAAGACAAAGACGAATCGACTTTTACAACAAAATCAAAATCAAAACCAGATGATGAAGAAAATAATTTAAATAGTTAATTTATAATAAAATATATATTTATATTATGATAATAGTCAATTAGATAGATATGTATACATGTAATTTCGAATAATTTTATATTGTTTATTTGTTATTTTATTTTATATTTTTTTTTTAATCAAAGATTGGAACACCCCAGAAATATTTTGGATCGCAAGTTCTCTCACGTTTGTTCAATGTGTTTAATTTCTCCATGTCGCTATCGTTGATGACGAAATCTGTAATTTGAAGGTTATCGATGATACGTGCTGGTGTGACACTCTTTGGGATGACAGAGAATCCAACTTGGACAGCCCATCTGCAGAGAATGTTTGGAATCGACTTCTTGTAGGTGTCGGCGAGCTCGGCAACAGTCTTGTCGTCGACGTACTTTCCACTACCCAATGGACTGTAGGCAGTCAAGTGAATACCGACCTTCTCACAGTAGTTCTTGAGATCTGGCTGCGAGTTGTATGGGTGCAACTCGACTTGGTTAACGACTGGCTTGATCTTGGCGTAGGTGAGCAAATCGCTGATTGCTTGGACATTGAAATTGGAGATACCGATCGACTTTACCAAACCGGCTTCGACCAACTTCTCCATCTCCTCCCAGGTCTCACGGATGGGCACGTTGATGGTCTTGGCGGAACCGTCGTCGTTGGTTGGATCCTCGAGTGACTCACCGGTGTATTCGAATGCCATTGGCCAGTGAACCAAGTAGAGATCCAACTGCTTCAATTGCAAGTCACGCAAGGTGATCTCACAGTGCTTTCTGACCAAGTGTCTCTCGTGGCATGTATTGTAGAGCTTAGAAGTGATAAAGACATCGTCACGGCTGATCTTTCCTTGATCGAATACACTCTTGAATGCTTCACCAACCTCTTTCTCATTACCATAGACGGCGGCACAATCGATGTGACGACATCCATTCTCTAGAGCAAGCTTAACGGCTTCACCAACTTTATTATTCTCTGATTTCCATGTACTAAAAAAAAACAAACAAACAATAATATTATTAAAATTACAAACATTCATTCATTCATTCAACAACAACAACTATCTACCTACCCAAAACCAACTAATGGTATCTTGTTTCCATTTGACAAAGTAGCGGATGGTTCAAACATTGTTGTTGTTGTATTATATCTTGATTTGAAAGTTGTAAAAAAATTGAATCGATAACCGATGTTGTAGTTGCAACTATTTAGTAATTGATTTCTAGAATGAAGATTCTTGATAACAAACATAAATAAACAATAACTTCAATAATGTTCAGATCAAAAAACTATTGAAAAATAAAAAAATTAAAAATAAATTAATTTAAAAACAAAAAATCTCAATTCTCTAAATCTCTCAAGGCATCTTTTGAAATTTCGTGTTCCTTATGAAGTTTCAACAAAATCGAACCTATTCTTTACAATCTAAAGGATAAATTTGTGATTCAAGAATTTCTTTAAAAAGAAAAATCTTCAAAAAAAATCATAAATATCAAAAATATATATTATTTTTATTCTACGATTACTTTATTCTACAATGAACTTAGAATATAATATAAATGTGATCATTTTCTATTTTAGTATTATTATTTAAAAAAAAAAATGAAATGAAATAAATAAAATAAGACTAGACATTAAATTGTTTTATTTTTCAAAAACAAAAATCTTGGTTTGACTATCTAAAATAGTTTAATATAATTAATAGGAATTCAACAGATAATCAATATGATTTAAATCACTTGATGTGAGCATATATCATTAGGAAAAATTGGAATTTTTTTTTTATTAATGATTGGTAATTTAAAAAGTTTTCTTAAACAAAACAATAAAATATATCTTTGTTTTAAATAAATATAATTATTAAATATTTTTAAAGAGATATTGTAATTCTAATAAAATCACAATATTTATGAGTAGTAAATATATATCTTTAATATCCAAAAAAATTCTAATTCATTGAGATTTTCTTTTAATGAAGTTCAAATTTAAAGAAAAATAAAAGAATTGTGGGGAATTAATTATTAAAAATTTAATTAATTAAATTATAAGTTTTAAAAAATAAAACATAATTGTTTTACAATTTTTATTTATATCATTAACCACAACCACTGCTTATTAAGGTAATTTTAAAAAGAAATGGATGATTTGAATGAATTTCGTAAGCAAAGACATGCAAAGTATGTTGCTGAGCAACAACAACAACTAGAACAACAACAACCACCAACACCACCACCACAGCAACAACCAAATGAAACTGAACCTCAATATTTAGATGAAGAAGCACAAGAAGCAGAGGAAGATGAAGAATTGCAAGATTTCGAACAAGAGTTAGATGAAAATGAAGCGGAGGATGATATCATACAACCCGTCATGAATCAACCACAACAATTTCTACCACCCATGCCACATCCTCATGCAATGAAACCAAATCCTTTCGCTCATATGTTCAAACCAGCTGCCAAACCAACCCCATGGAGTTCTACTGGATACAGATTAGGTGGTAACAACAACGATGAAGAAGAAGAGCAACAACAAGAAGAGAATGAACAAACAACTGATGTCGATCAACAAAATCAAACAACTACAACAACAAATATGAATCAACAACAAAACGATGATATTGACGACGAGGATGAGGAAGAGAACTTTGACGAACCACAACAACCTCCACAGCCATTTGGAATGCCACCAGGAATGATGCCGGGAATGATGCCAGGAATGATGCCAGGAATGATGCCAGGAATGATGCCAGGAATGATGCCAGGAATGATGCAACCAGGTATGGGTTGGAATCATCAACATCAGTTGCAGGTGTTCGGTGGTCAAGGTCACCAGCTGACATCGAATCCCGAGGAAACTACACCAAAGGCAAAAGAAGAGATCGCCAGTTTAATTAGTGAGCGATACACCAATGTAGAACAATCACCACCGTTAGACTCTATAGCACCGCCTCCACCACGTGTATTCAACAGAAAGATCAAACAACTGATTGATATCTGTCTCGATAAGATAGCATTGGATGTCACACCCTATCAGTCGAGTTTGAAGTTATTGCCATCGTTCATCATTCACCGCTTGATCGAAGTAATGATATCGTCGCATCGTTTATCAAGAAAGAAACTCGACCAAATGGTACTGGGAAATGCCAAGATTGAAGAGTTAAACTTGAACTATCAGCATCTAATCGTAAGCAATGACTTCCTACAGAATTGTTTATCCAGAATGTATCATCTTCAAAAGGTTTCACTTGTTGCATGCTTTGGTTTTACAGGTATATTATCTATCAATCTAACTAGCCATTTCCACACTTACTAATTCAAATCATATTTAAAATTTAACAGATTTAGGAATGGAGAATTTCAAGAGAATGGAACATTTAACTTCATTGATTTTAACTGATTGTGCAGTTACCAATGTTTCAGTAAAATCTTTAAAACGTAAATATATCACAGCTACTATTGCAATGTAATATCGATTTATAGACTAAATTTACTTTTATTAAATCAATTTTAGAAATGGTTAAATTGGAAGAGTTATCATTGAGAAATACAAAGATTACAGATTCAGGTTTAACTTTGTTGTCGTCTCTCGTCGAGTTGAAATTCTTAGATCTTTCTGCATGCAATATTACAGACGAAGGAATCACCTTTGCAATTCCATGTTTTACCAAACTAGAAACTTTGAATCTCTCTGCAACCTCTGTCACCGAAAAAGCGATTCAAAAACTTACAAAACTTCCACTGGTCAGCTTGTATCTTTCCAATTGTCCAATGATTGGAAATCAATCATTATTTTTTATTACATGTAAGTTTGGAATGGTTATATAAATAATATTTATTTGTGCTAACAACTATTCAAAAAATTTAAATACTAGTATTTGGTAAAACATTAAAACTTTTGGATATTTTCGGAACAAAGATTGGAGGTGCTGGATTTGTAAATTTACAGAGACTTCCAAATTTGACTGTACTTAAACTGCCTGGAAGAGACTCACTCTCCGACGCTCACATCTCCCACCTCAATGCATTACAGAATGTCAGACGATTGGATCTCTCGGACTATATAAACATTACAACGATTGCCCCACTAAATCCTCTTCGATATCTCTGTGAATTATCACTCAGTAATACAAAGATTTCTGATGACAGTATCGATAGTATCATAGGTATGTTTTAATTAATTGTTTTTTTTGTTTTGAATGAATGATTATATTGATTAATTTATTAATTAATTTCTATAGGTTGTTCAAATCTTGTGATTTTGAATTTGGATAGAACTAGAGTGAGAGATATCGGTGTTTCCAAGTTGATTTCTCTTAGTTTACATACACTCTCTTTGATGGCCACTGGAATTCGTGGTGATTGCTTAACTACTTTGTCACAATTGATTACACTGACATCGCTCAATATCTCTTCGAATGACATTCAAGATGCTAAAGTTTTGCCACTCTTGGATCTTCCCAATCTGACCTACATTGACTTACGTAATACACAAGCATTCACCGCATCGCTGAAATTCAATCACAACGTTCAAGTTAGAAAACCAGTCATGGTTCAAATCGAGTCTGAAGAAGAAGAAGAGGGTCCAGAAGATGAAGGTGTCTGGTAATTTACCAAACAAACAAAATGCCTTATTATGGAACTAGTGATAAAATAAAATTTTACATTATTTCTTCTTTTTTTTTTCACCTCCCACTTTGGACATAGTTATCTCTGAAAATTATAGATAATTTTCTAATCAATAATTCTTACATCATTAAAAACAATTTATTATTCAAAATCATTTATATGTTGTTTTGACCGTCTAGTTGCATTGAAATCACTTCAAGAGTTGAAGATAAGAATCTATTGGAGAGGAACCCCCAGGACTTCTTTACATGATTTACCATCGACGATGATCCTGTTCTTGAAGTAGGAGGTATCATTTTATAGTTAGTTTATTAGTTTTAACTAGATCTCAACAAAAGATGAGTGACTAAATTTGACAAGATGAATATTTAATGCTGTGGACTTTTGATACCAATAAAATTTTTAACTATTTTTCGTCCAAAAATTTATAAGATGACCAATCTCATATATTTATAAGTATATTATTATCACATTCATATGATAATATTTAAATCAATAAACATAACATATTTTTAATATATTTAAATAATTTAAAGAAAAAATAAACTTTTATTTGTTTTAATTTTTTTAAAACCAATTTTTTTTATAAAACATCAGGGTTATAATTTATATGAGTTTAATTAATTAGTTTAATATTCAAATATATGTTGATTTATATTTGATCGATCGATCTAGATAATTAAAAGATTAAAGATGAGTGAAATTAATAATAATACAACAACAAACACGAATAATGTTGTAGAAGATAAAAAAGAAGATAATCAAGTAGAAATAAAAAATAATGAACAATCTAATAGTAATAATAATAAACAAGTAGCACAAGAGCAATCTAAAATACTATCAGCTATAGTCTTTGGTGCTACTAAAATATATGATGGTGCTGTATGGTTAGGTGAAGGTTTTGCAAGTTTATTTGGTCTCGACGAATCGAAATATCAATTTCATTTAGACGAACATAATATGAAACAAGAAGAAGTATGTTATTCATCTTTTATTCATCTATCTCAATGCTTTACTCAAAATACTAATATTTATCATAATTATTAATAGAAACAAAGAAAATTAGATAAAGAAGGTATTGAGATAAGTGAAATGGAACAAGGTACACAGAAGGAGTAATAATAAAAAATAAAATAAAATAAAAATTAGTATACAAAATATATAGTATACTAATATTGTATATAGTAACATAGCTAGTCATACTACTACTTTTAATTTGATTGATTGATTGATTTTCGGTTGATTTAGTTTTGTTTTTGTTTTTGTTTTATTTCTCGAAAAAAAAGAAGATAAGATATATTCTAACCTAATCTCTCTTCATCATCGTCATCTAAACCTAATATCTGACTTCTTAATTTCATTCTCTTATCTAAAACATCTTTTGAACCTTGGAATTCAACGACCAGTTTCTTCTCTTTGGTTTTCGCGTCCAGCACATAGTGGTTATCGCAATGCGGACAATACTCGTCAGACTCGTCCATCTCGGCAGAGGTGTTCTTTCTAAATACTTTTTTACACTTTTTACAGGCTAGAACGATCTCTTCCGTTCTTCTCAGTGGGTGATCCGATGCCTCTTGGTGACATTCGGGACAATCGAACCATCTCTTACAACAAGATGCTCTAATTGAAACTTGTGCATTCTAATAATAATTAGTTTTAAATTATCAATTAGTTTTCACTCTTTTAATAACATTATCTTTTCTTCTCTTCTATAATAATCATCTATTTTTGATATTTACTAATATATGTTTACACATTGTAATTATAATGGTTACAATTAGTTACTAATAAAAGAAAAATTTTTTTTACACAAAAATTCAAAAATTTAAAAAAAGGAGGTTAATAATTATTTTAGTTTTTTTCTTCTCACAACTCTTATAACTCACTATATGTAATGATTTATATACCTTCAAAAATGGATCTCATTATTTAATTTCAAATAAATTAAAATAAATTAATAAAAAAAAGTTATTAATTTAAAAGTTTGATAAAAAAATAAAGGTAATAAAAAAGATATAATATTAAAAATAAAAAGTTGTTATTATTATAAAATAAATTCATAGTTTTTGATTTTTAAAAATAAACTACTTCTTTAAACAAAAAGTTATAAAACTATGAACAATCACCAATTTTCATTGGTAATTTAATTAACCACCATATTTTTACTTAATCTGGCAAAAAACTTATGTTGTTTCGTTTACAACCAACTACCACAAAATTCAATATGGATTTTACCACTTCAACTATAGTATGCTACACTACTGAATGTGTACTACCAAAATATTAAAATTATAAATTAATTTTAAAATTACTAACTCTATTGTAATTTAACTTTAAATAATTACAAAAAAAAAACAAAACAAAAATATCTATGATAACCCTACACCTTCAAACTTAAAACTTAATAATAACATTTACATTACAAATAAAAGATAAATAGATAGATAGATAGATAGACAATATTATTATATCTATATATTTTATTTATTTAATTATTTAATTTATTTTTATTTTAAATACAAAAACAATGAAGAAATTTATGGATAAAATAAATAATATGTATGAGGATATGATAAATCCAGAGGAAGAATTCCCGAAATCAAATTATTACGCACCACCACCCCAAAACTCTGGAGGTAATCATTATCAGCAACAAAGACAACAACCATATCCAGGACAACAATATTCAGGACAGCAACAACAGTATTCAGGACAACCTTATCAAAGTAGACAACAGCAACAATATAGTGGTGGATACAATCATAGTTATTCAAATAATATCAATAACTATCCACTTCCACATGATTCTCCTCAGCATGTTTCAGGTGGTGCTAACACCTCACCTGTGAATGTATCGGTTAGAGATAGAGTACAGCAATATAACAATGGTGGTGGTACCAACCAAACTAGCCAGAAAAGTAGTAGTCCTATAAATACCGCATCCAATAACTACTATCAACCTACATATCCAAATCTCTACACTGGCAATGGTTCTCCAAGATCATATTCAAGAGAATCACATTCGCCAAGTAATCAAACCAACTCACCAAGACAACAACTTCAACAGCCTTTGCAACCTCTGCAACAACAACAACAGCAATATAGTGTTAGATCTCCATACCAACAACATCCTCAGCAACCAAGAGCCAACAGTCCAAACTCACCGAATCAATCTAGACAAGGTGCTTATCAATATCCAAATGCCGGTGGCGCACCAACAGTTCACTATTCACCGCCATCCAGTAGAACATTGTCTAGTAGCGGAGGAGGAGGAGGATATCCACCACCCATTCCATCTTCAGTTCATCAAACACAACAACAGCAACCAACACAAGGATATCCATCGAATCAGCCACCTCATCCATATCAACATCCTCTGTACCAAAATACATCTCATGTTCCACCTTCACAACAATCTCATCATCATCCACAAACACAACAGTCATCGCCTACTAAACCAGGTCAATACAATTATCCACCAGTGTCTAGAAATAATAACAACGGCAACAACGACAACTATAATCAATATACAAATTCACCTGGATATCCACCTCCCAAACCATCAATGATACCTCCATCCCCTACATCTGCACCAATGCTCAACAAGCAACACAATCCAAAATCACCAGATCAATGTCTTCCAAAGATTGGTTCACTCTCACTAGGTGATCCAATTCCAGGTGCTCATGGTGATGGTATTCATGATGATACTGTAGCAGTTCAAGCATACTTTAATAATACTGCTGTCAAACAATTCAAGATTCCACCTGTAAGTTAACAAATATAAAAAAACTAACAGTTATCATTTTATTCTAATCTAATTTCATTTTACTTTTATTCTTGTTTTAGGGTACATATTTAATTACTTCACCAATTTGTATATTTAGAGATAATGTTCAATTGATAGGTAGTCCAAATGTTAAATTTGTTGGAAACTTCCCAGGATGGCCTGTACTTCCAAATTCAGTTGGATTTATCAATTGGGAGGATTATCTATTCTACCTTCAAGGTGATAATCTTGTATTGGATACACTCAACATGTCCAATCTATGTCCAAACTCTCTAAGTTCCTCTGCCATATTAATATATGGAAGTGGATGGGTTATGAAGAATTGTTCAATTGATAATTTTAATCAAGTAAGTAATTAGTTAAACTCTATTAATATAAGTATAAAAAGTAGTACTTAACTAACAAACAAACATATTATAATAATTAATAGGCACTTGTATTTGGTAAAATTACAAAGAGTGCAAATCAAAAGGATGATACTGTATCTTATAATAATATAAAGATTTTCAATAATAAGATTACGAATGTCATTGGTATACCTGGTGGTAGTATTTCATTTGGTGATGGTATTTGTTTCTTTGGTTGTCAAGATGTGACCATCAACAATAATCTTGTATCAGCAAAACCAGGTGCAACACCAAGAAATGGAATCAACTCTGGACCGGAAGGTTACTGTAGATCTACCAACATTAAATATCACAACAATGTATTAAGAGGTGATTGGGACTATCCTTTAACAACTGAAAGTAAGTTATTATGATTATAATTATACTTGAATATTCACTTAACTAACATTATCACTGAACAAACAAAAGTGGGAGAAGATTGTGTTATTTCAAATAATGATTTAGAAGGATCATTCTTGTGTGGTATCATTGAAAGAGGAAAGAATATCATATTGGATGGCAATAAGATACATATCACTGGTAGAGTGAATACAACTGAAGCATCTGCAATTACATTCTATGGTGTATTCAATGGTTTGATAAAGAATAATGTATGTATTAATAAGAATACTTAAAAATGAAATGAAATGAATACATATTAACTTGGTTATTATTAAAAAAAAACAAAGACTATAGTTGGTACTTCACCTTTTGGTATTATTGTTAGACCTTCACATGAGACTGGTGGTGGAATCGATACTGTCATTGAACAGAATACAATTGAAGGAGAGTTTGGTAATTGTATCTTTATGAATGGTACCGATAATTCAAAGATCAGAGGCAATGTTATCTTTGGCAAGGACTCATCTGGCAATGGTATTCATCTTTGGCAAGCCAAAAAGTTTGAGATACACGAGAACAACGTCGATATGCCCAAGGGTACTGCATGTCTTTGCTCCGGTGCAAACGATGTCATGGTCAGAGGCAACACCATGATGTCCTCACTGAATGGATTCTACATCGGCAGTCAGAGTAACCAGGTCACCATTGAAAACAACGATCTATTCGGTGTCACCCAGTCAAAGTTTGGAAAATCCGATGACAGTACCAATGTCGTCTGTGAAAAGAATTTCGGTCTAGATAAATAGGATCTGATAGAGCGCATCTCATAACTATATGTAGTTGTATCTTTGAAAATTGATTTTGTAAAGACAATGATCATTTCCAAACTTTATCTCAACTTTTAAACTATTAAAATCAATATTATTTAATTAAAATAAACTTGTTATGTTTATACTACTAAAAATGTTTATCAATCAAAGATTGTGACAGCACTAAATTAGTTAGTGTTGTTTTTTTTAGAAAAATGAAAATTTATAAACAATTAAAATGAATTGTTTTTGTTTTTTGAAAAACAAATTAAGTTCAGAACCAGATTAATTGATTCAGTGAAGTGCAAATCTACAACACATTAATTAATATCAATTCAAGTCAAAACAATAATAAATAATAGTAATCAATGATTAGGAGGTTACTTTTAAATAGAAGTACAACAGGTAGTAGTAGTAGTAGTAGTTCATCTATTCTCTCACAATATCAAATCAATTTCAAACAATGTACATATAAATCACCACCTGTATACTTTACACCTTATAAATCAAACAATTATATTAATAGTAATAATAATAATAAAAATAATAGAAGCAGTTTAAATCATATAAATAATAATAATAATAATTTAAGATTATATTCTACAAATAATAATAATAATAACAATAATGATGATGATGATAACAATAACAATAATCAAAAAGATGTAAAAGAAAAAGAAAAGGAAAAGGAAAAAGAATCAGTAAATACTAGTAGTACATCAGATACATCTATTACGAGTAATTTCGTTCAGGTAGATGATCAATCGGGTACACCCAAGTGGGTACCGATTCCGAATGAAGTGGTCATATTCCCAGTTTTCGAGAGAACCATCTATCCTGGTGCTATGGCATCGCTTCCCTTTGATATGGAGGAATACAAACGTATGGGACAGCCAAAAGAGATCGGTCTATTCCTTGTCAACCCAACCGTTCGTGAGGAAATCGGTAAAGATACCAAGAATTTCAAACTATCGTCCATCGATCAACTCTCACCAATCGGTATATTGGTATCGGTAGAATCAATCGTACATAAACCATACATAATAGGTGCTGCAAGAATTCAATTAGATTCATTCATTGAAAATACATCATCAACAATATCAACATCCACTTCTACTCCTACTTCAACAATAGCAAACGATGAACAACAACAACAACAACAACAACAACCACCACAAAGTAATATTGTCAGCAGCACTGACAATTTTAAGGAAGAAATAGTAGATACAACAACTTCAACAACTTCAACTGCAACTACTGCAACTACAACTACTGCAACTACAAATGAAAGTACAAATATACAACCTGAACCTCAACCAGCTGTTTTTGAATTTAATACCGAGTGGTCCGGTTAGAGGAAAGATTACGTATCTGCCAGATCCGGTTGTTAGTACGGAGGAGTCAACCAAGGTGAGAGCTCTCACTTTCCAACTGGTGAAGAAAGTGAAGCAACTGTCGACTCAGTATCCAGAGTCACAGTTTTCTTCGCAATTCCAAATATTGTCGGGTATTTCGAGGTTTAGATTCTTGGATGAACCCGGTAAGCTTGCCGATTATATCGCTTCGATCTGTGCTGCCACTCCCGATGAGTGTCAAGAGATTGTGAGTGCACGTGACATTGAAAAGCGAATGGAGAAAGTGCTGTCGTTGGTTGTCAAGCAGATCCAGTTGAATGAGTTCAATGCATTGATGGAGAAACACATCGAAGACAAAGCGGTGAAGCAACAGAAGAAGTTCTTCTTGGGCGAGCAGATGCGGCTTGTCCGAAGGGAGTTGGAGTTGGATCAAGACGAGAAGGAGACACTGAAGAAGAAGTTCAACGAGCGATGGTCAAAGCTGAAGATCACCGAGGAGCAAGTGAAGCGCGTCTTCCAGGAGGAGATGGACAGGCTATCGGGATTGGAGCCTTCGTCGTCCGAGTACAACGTCACACGTAACTATCTGGAGTGGATAACTTCACTGCCATGGAATGTCTACTCGGAGGACAACTTTGATATACCGACTATCAAGCAAGTATTGGATAGCGATCACTATGGACTGGACGATATCAAGGAGACCATTCAGAGTTTCATTGCTGTCGGTAAACTCCGTGGTTCCGTCGGTGGAAAGATCATATTACTAGTTGGACCGCCAGGAACTGGAAAGACATCCATAGGCAAATCTATTGCAACAGCGCTCGGACGACAATTCTACCGATTCTCAGTCGGTGGTATCTCTGATGTCGCGGAAATCAAAGGTCATCGTCGAACATTCATCGGTGCAATGCCGGGCAAAATCATTCAAGCTCTGAAAATGGTTAAAACATCTAATCCTGTTATTTTAATTGATGGTAAGTAGAGATATATATTTCTATCTATAGATGTAATTTATTATTAACTTGGAACATGCTTTATCTATGTCTAGAAATTGATAAGATTTCCAAAGGATTCCAAAGTGATCCGTATGCTTCGTTGTTGGAAGTGTTTGATGCTCAACAGAATAGCAATTTCTTGGATCATTACTTGGATATTCCATATGATTTGTCAAAGGTTTTGTTTATTTGTACTGCGAATCTCACTCATACCATACCGGCACCGCTTCTCGATAGAATGGATGTTATGAAATTGAATGGTTATATTCAATCCGAACAGATTCAGATCACCGAAAAGTATTTGGTTCCATCGATAAGAAGTGAGACTGGCCTGAAGGATGAGCAGGTCAAGATCACTACCGATGCCATCAAGTTGCTCTGTGAGTTCTGGTGTCGTGAGTCTGGTGTTCGTAACTTGAAAAAGGCGATCGAGCGAATCTTCCGTAGGGTTGCCTACAAGATGGTTACCGAGGAACTGGCCACCATCGAGATAACACCGCAGAATCTCGAGGAGTATGCCGGTCTACCAAAGTACCGTACCAATAAGTACTACCAGAATCCACAAGCCGGTATCACTCTGGGATTGGCCTGGTCAGAGAATGGCGGTGTTCCACTGTACATTGAGAGTGTCATCGATCGCTACCAAGAGACGCCGGGACTGCGCACCACCGGTTCACTCGGTGAGGTGATGAAGGAGAGTATCGACATTGCCTACACCTACGTCAAGCAGTTCTATGCGCAACTGCAGCCGGACTCAAAGTTCTTTGACAAGAACGCCATTCATATCCACGCACCGGAAGGGGCGCAACCCAAGGACGGTCCGTCGGCCGGTATCACCATGATCACCTCGCTGCTGTCGTTGGCGCTGAACAGACCTATCCAGCCGGGAATTGCAATGACCGGTGAAATCACACTCACCGGCAAAGTGATAGCGGTCGGTGGAATCACTGAGAAGATGATTGCCGCCAAGCGTGAAGGTGTCAAGCGAATCATCCTACCGAAAGACAACAAAAAGGAACTCGAGGAGATACCAGAGTTTGTCAAAGAGGGATTCTCAGTGTATCTCGTTGAGTACTACAGAGATGTATTCGACATTGCATTCAATGAGAATCCAAGTGTTCAACCGCTAGCAGTAACCTCAAGAAAGAAGAAAGATTTCAGCAAAAAATATCCATCGCCAACAACAGAATCATCAACACCACCTTTATCCGATCAAACAACAACAACAATTCCACAACCGGAAACACAACCACAACCTCAACCTCAAACAGTGTAGAAAAAGAAACATAACTAAAAAATATTATATAATATAATATACTTCCTTCCATTATTAGTCAAAAACAAACATTAATAATATATGGGAAGTAATTAACGAAAATAATAAACTATAATAATATGTTGAATGACTCTATCTCTTTAAAGAGTATATTTTTAATTGACATACATTTGTAAAATTTTGAAGGTTTGTATGGCAGAATGATAACTCCTCATTGATAATGATGAAAGAAATCTTAAATTTATTATTAATATTTGGTTTTACCAAAAAAGGTAGGTATAAAATTTAAATTATTTGTAGAATAACAAAAAAACCAATTTAAAAAAAAAGAAATAGATAAGCTAAATATGCTTGATTTATACCCTTTGTTTGTTGTTTCGTAGATCCTCTTTGTTTATTCTTACACATTTTGTAATATGGATAAATATTGTAGATTTAAAAAAACAAATAATTAAAATTTTATAACTACCTTTTTTGGTAAAGTAATAGAATTTAGAGTAATAGAACTCAGTGTGCATCGAAATAGACCACAGGATGATGATTTCAGTTTTTGGAATTTTTTACAACTTTTGGTTCCGGAACACCCCACTTCAAGAATGTTTTTTTTGCCATTAGGTTGTGGTGTGTTGTTCTTTAATATTCCAATTAAAAAGATTTCAATTGAATCAATTTAATTATGAAATTTCATTCACTCATCAATTAAATATATAAATACAATATAAATAAATATCTACCTTATTCTTTATTCTAAATTAATAAATTAAAAATTTATAATCAAAATATGTCAGTCAAAATCAGAGAAAACATTAATGCAATCATCAAAGGTATCCAAGATAATAAGATCTTGGAGATTTTCGAAAAATACTATGCCGATGATGTTGTGATGTATGAGAAAGGTGATTCAACAAACAGAGTTGGAAAAGATCAAAACAGAAAAGCTGAAGAATCTTTTGTCAATAATGCAACCATCCATGAAGCAAAACGTATGTTTGATCAACTATTTCAAAAATTAACTAAATTATTATACTAATCTGTATATTATTTAGTTCTCAAAGTTTTGGTTGATGGTAACAACACTGCCTATGAAATGTATATGGATTTCACTTATGGTGGTCACAATGTCAGAAGAACTCATGGGCAATCCAACAATGGAATAACAATGGTTTGGTTGTAAAGGAAGAGTTCTTTTAAATAATTAAACTAATTGATTATGTACACATAATATTAAAATAAATTAAATAAAATAACTTAAAAAACAAAAGATTTTCTTTCATTTTTTTTATCTCAAGTTTATTTCTTTGTAGAAGAATTTTATATTATTTATTTTATTTTTATTAAATTGTATTTTTTAATATTTAGTTTATTTATTTATATTTGTAATTGACATTAACTAAATGCAAACATTGACTTATAAATCTAAAATTTGGGAATAAATGATAAAAATTAAATTCAAAAAATTTGGACCAAGTAACGTTCTTTCAGATTTTTCAATTTTTTCATTTTTCCTGCTCACACACACTAAATGATTGATCATCATAATAAATAAAAAAAAAATTGTCGCATTTTAACTAAAATTTTTTTTTGATTTATTATTTTATTTTTTTTTGTTCTAATATTTAGTATCATATTATTATATAATAAATATTTAAATTAAAAACAAAAGAATTTTCGAGATTTTCAAGATTTTAGATTTGTATAGGAATATAGATATAGAATAGAATAATAAATAATGATTCGTCAAACTCTTCGTCTTTTCTCAGCTGCTGCTACTGCTGCCGCCAAGCCAGCTGCTGCCGTCGCTGCCACCAACAGCAACATGCCAGAGCCAATGGTCAAGTTCTTCTCTGACGAGAACTTGCGTACCGCCGATCTCCCGGTGTTTGACAACTCCAACATCTCCAAGATGAGCGACGACGAATTCGAATTACACTTTAACAAGGTGATGAACAACCCATTGTTCCAGACAGACTCTGAGTTGATGCGTGCCTATCGTGACTACGAAGCCAGTCTCCGTGCTATGGATCAATACAAGCCATTGCCAGAGATCGCCGCCGCAAAGTCGATGAACGCCGTCAACTGGGAATTCAAAAAGAACTTTGTTCCAGCCAAGACCGTCGATTACATTCGTGACGTCTTCCAACAATCGATCGATTCCATCGACTCTTGGGAAGCCGAAGAGAACAAGATCTTTGCCGATGCCGAAAAGCAAATCGAAGAAGCTGTAAGTAAATAACTTTATTTTTAAAATATAATAATATATTATTCGTTATCATACAATCAATATATATATATATATATATATATATATTATCTATATAATCTAGATAGTATATTTTAGATACAGACAAAAAGAAAAGAAAAAGAAAGATAAGAAAAAAGAAATTTTTATAGCTCTAGTTTTTTGAAAAAAAAAAAAAGATCAAATACATACATATATTATATATTTTGTTATTGTTGTTTGACAGTATAACATAACATAATTGATGATAATGATAATAATGATAATGATGATAATGATAATAATAATAGTAAGGAAGAATGAATGGTTCATTTATACTAATATGTTGGTTGTTTCGGTTGATATTATTATAGGTCAGACCATTGCAAACATTGGTTCCAGAGATTCAAGCATCACTCGATGCCATTCAAGCTCAATTGGTTGAAGCCGATGACTTTAAGAACAGATTGAAGACAGTCACCATCGAAGAGATCTTGAAGAAGAACCCAGAGATTGAAAATGAGATTTACGACGAAATCACCACATCTGAATGGATGATCAAGGACAAGGTTGGAGACCACACCATCTACAACCTTAAGAACCACCACCACTAAACTAATTGTTAACATATGATAAACAACGAGATCTAAATCAACTAATTAGCAAAGCAAGCAAACAAGCAATAGCCAATCAAACAACAGAATATAAAATATTATCAAAAATAACAAGTAGTAGCAGTGAATCTAATCTAATTAGACACATTTAGATCAAGTATCATAGTAACAATCAGTATTTAGTAGTAGTAGTAATTTATTTTTATTTTAATAGTAATAGTAATTAACAACACAACCAACCATTCATCATCAAATCATCTCACCTTCACATTTTGTCACATAAAAAAAAAATATAACAAAACATAAACATTTTAAAAAGATATAATAACCGACCATCTTTTTATTTGTTTAAAGTATAATAAAAAAAAATATAAATTAAAAAAAAAAAAAATCTTTTAATCTTTTAATCTTTAAATTGATTTAATTTGGTCAAACTAACTTTGATTGATTTAATTGTCTTAGACTGTTGTTGATCAAAATAGTGATGGTCTTTTGAACTTCCCTCCAAAAAAAAGTAGCAACCGCAGATGATCAAACTTTTTTTCTTAAAAAAGCATTATTTTTGATTGTTTGATCGAACTTTTTCTTTTTTTCAATTGTTTATTTAATTATATATATTTATTAGTGTAGTATTCAAAGTGAGAATGTTAAGTCAATCATCACTACAGAATACTCAAAAGTTCCAACAACAACAATCAACTTTTCAAAATCAACCTCAACCACAACAACAGCAACAACAACAACAACGTCAAACACAACCAACATCACCAAATCAAAATGTTATAGATCATCAGACTATCGTTGGTAGATTGACTACCGATTTCGAATCCAGAATGTCAGAATGGAAACAATGGACATTCATTTCATTCTCTTTCTGGTATTCTCTGATTATATTCATACAAATGATAACTCTTTCAAAATTTACATCTTCAAGTAAGTAAAGAAAACACTATTGCTTTATGAATATTGAATATTGTATTGTCTAACTATTTTTTATAATAATATTAATAATAATAATAATGATGATGATTATTGAAGGTTTCAATGTTTGGTACAGTTTAATATATGTTGGATTCCAGTTGATTCTTAATGTTTTATATGGAAAGACGGTTGGAGTGTATCGTCAAGTACCAGCATCGTTTGGAGAGATGTTCTCATCGTTGTCTGTCTATCATTGTTTGTTCATTGGCTCCATTGTCATTGGTCAACCCATTCTTTTGTTATCGCTATTCAACTTGGCACCCAACACCTTTACATTTTCAACAAGAATCATTGATTGTACCTTACAAACAGTCGATGGGTATGTTTAAATATTAATAACCATCTTCTCACTCATTAATAACAACAACAACACTAACATTTACATTTCTTATTATTACCAATTATTTTAGTGAATGTTATAGTTATAGTAACCCATTCTTTTATATCTATTTATTTACATCGATTGCAATCATTGCTAAACTCTTATACAAAATGTTATCAAACTTTGAGAATATTCTTTCTTTTCCAAAGATTCAAGTATGTAAATTATAATTATAACTTAAAAAAAAAGAAATCTAATCTCAATCTAATATAATACAATTATTATTTATCTACAAGTTCTCTTTATTCCAACAAAGTAAACAAGCAATCTACAATTGTATTTGGAATTCATTTGTAGAATCAAGTCACTTGTGTTTTGGTGTATTGTTCTACGGTGTCATATTATTGATACTCTTCAGTACACTACCGATTCGTATCATTCCATATGTATCGAAATTGTGGCTCTACGCACTGGTACTCTTCTTCCAACAATATCTTCGTCAAATCCTATATGAAATCTTTTATACAAGAGTAAGTTTACTACTACTACTACAACTATTAATTAGTTGATTGATTGACTGTTTTTTTGGAATGTTATTTATATTCATTAATATATTAACTATCTTATCTTATTCATTGAATTGAATATTTACTATAGAGTATTAGATTTGTAACTGACAAATTTACAAATGTTACAATCGATAATAACAATGTATTTTTGTTACAGGGATTGGGTTCGATCGATCCTTTGATTCAACATCATGCTTGGCGTGACTTTTTGCATCTCTCGCAACACTCGACACACAGACGTGCCTATCTCTTCAATGAGATCAAACAACTCGTCGATATGCCATCGATTATCAAGATCGTTCAAGAATATGATAGAATGATGAGAGATCTTATCAACAAACTACAATGTCCACCTGAATATTATTATCAACAAAAACAACAACAACAACAAGAGAATAGTAATAATAATAACAATAATAGTAAAAGTAATGAAATATTAAATAATTTATTACTTCTACTTGGTAAGTATACAGGTATTTCGCTGGAGTTTGATGTCTATGAATGTGAAATACGTCAATCGTTGTCGAATACACAACCTTTGGTTTGGGCAATCGAAGCGATCGCCGCTTTCATTCTGTCGGCGTTCGTTGAGTGTGCTGCCTCGACCAGAGAGACCAGAGAGAATGCCGTGCTGATTCACAAGTATCAGATCATACAGAAGTTCTTGACACCGCTCGTAGAGTTGATGGCTGTGCTAGATCGACTGGAGATGAAGAATGTGTGCACCACCACTCTCAAGGAGTCGTCGGTGATTCCCGACCCGTTCCTCATTAAGACACTGCTGCGTACCAACGATTTGCCACCAACTTGTCTCGGTGTTCTCTCGACTGTTCGACCACACTTTAGACTACTGAAATACGTTGGAAAGAACACTATCACTCAGATACTCGATCGTGTCGGTAATCAACTCTCCGACAGCTCATTCCCATTGCAATACAGACAACTCTTTAAAGAGTATAGAACCGGTGAAACATTTATCTACACAAAAGTAAATTAAACTAAACTAAACCTAACTAACTAAATTAACAATATAACAATAAACCAATAAATAAATAAATACCAAAAAAAAAAAATGATATCAGATTATATTATTGAAAGTTAACTTATAAAATACAATAATAACAATAACAATGATGATATTATTAGATTGCTATTAATTATATGGTTATAGCTATAGCTACTATTTGAGTTTGTTGATATTGTTGTTGAAGAGTTTATAGTTGATGTATTAACCAATACTATCGGAGGTAAGGTTGTTACGTTGGTTGCGAATACGGTTTGTGGAGGACAAGGATTATCGATATTTCCAAAGAGTCTGAGTATGTTACCACATTTGTATGCGGTACAACCATATTCAGTCTGTGCTGAGAGCAAAGGACATTTACTATTCATAAAACAAGTACGGAAATCGTTGAACTTTCTTTTAAATTCTCTATCGACCATATCAAAGCATTTACCGGGTACCTGTAAAGTACTTCCTTTGTGCAATTGCTTTGATTTATCACAAACACAGAATGCAGCGAAAAAGAAACAACTGTTACTCATCTTTTTAATATCATTACAATCTATATCATCAGTTGGTGGTTCTACAATACATTGACTATTTAGACACTAAACATATTCATTAATATTGATACTAATAACTTATTTATAAATGATAAATGAATGAATGAATGATTAATAATAACTTACAACTAATCTTCTAGAATAATCACATGAACTCATTTGAGTGATATCACAACTATCAAACATCTTTAGAGAGAAATAGGGTAAGCAGATCGATGGTTTCGATGAATTGTGTGATTTCACCGTACAGAAGCTGAGTGTATTGCATTGAGATGACCTATCACATGGTCCATGATCAGGAATCGGCTCCTTACAAATGTAAGCATCACATACCTCACCTATCTTACATCCAGAGGTAGTCACACATCCAGGATGAAAAGGATTGATACACTTTCCATCTGTACAAGCTAGCTCTGGATCACAATCAAGAATCTTACTACATGGTTCATCAAATCTTTAGATATTTTTAATTAATTAATTAATAATCGATCGATTATTATAAAAGGAAATAATAAATATATCTATTTAATTAGTTAGTTAATTAATTGAAGCTTTACCCTCGATGATGAACAGGTGTACATATACTATCGATACATTCAAGACCGGTTGTACATGAAGTGGGTGTACACGACTCATTCCTTTTATTGGCAATGGTGCATACCGGGTGGAGTTGGTCAATCGGACAAAATGCATTTGGTGGACAAATCGATGAAACACTACCAAATGAACTTGCAACAACAGGAGAACACGGTTCACCCAATTGTAAACAATTGATACACTGTGACTCTACATAATAGTAATTTGTTATAATAATGAATATAATACTAAATAAATATATTTTATCTATTTTTATATTGAATATTCTATTATACATATATATATATTGATTGTATTGACAACTAAATTACCAAAAAGAAAAAAAAAGATATTATATTATTACTATATCATTTTCTTTATGCCAAATATAAACTATTATTATTAATCAATCAACAATACGATCAACAATTAATTATAATGTAAAATTATTTCGTTGTGTGTGAAAGATAGATATAAAAAAACACAATCATGGTATTAACAATTCTTTGTAAAAAATGATGATCTTGTGTGAAAAAAAAAATCTTAGACCATTCAGAAATATCATTAGATGTCATTTTGAACTGGTGCTTTAATATTGTTAGGATGCACGCATGTTGTTGAGCCGGTAGTGCATAAATATATAGCATGCAGGAAAGACGTACAGATGCACGGACATATGCATTGGTCAGTAAAGGCGAGATTTGAATATAATAAAAGGTCTAGCTAGGAAAAATCATCAAAAAACAAGATAATGGAGGTGAATGTATTTTTTATAAATGTAATGTAATGTGTTATAAATAAAAAAACTTATGTATTCTAATAAAATCAATCAATTAATATTTGTATGAAATCAATTTATTCTGTTTTTTTGCAATTTTTTAGCAATTTTTTTTTTGATTAAAAACGAACGAAAGAAATATCAAAAAATAATATTTATTTATTATTTAATTAATAGTTATTATTTTATCTATTAATAATATAAGAAAAATAGAATAAAATAATGGATAGAGTATTTACAAATGTAGATGCTCTGCTTGAAGAGACACTAAAGATTGTATCGATGGGTGTAATCTCAAAGGCGGAATGCAAAGAGATTATGAAGCAGAGACAAAACTTTGAGTATAAACTTGCTAAGAAAGCAACAAAGAAAGATGATTTCCTAAAGTATATCAGATATGAATTGACTTTAGATAAGATGCTACATCAACGTGCAAGAGAAGAAGGTAAATAATAATCAATAATTATCTACATCTTTTATATATCAATTAAATATAATCAATATTTAACAAACTAATCAATGTTTATGTTATTTTGTTTCTAATTTAGGATTGGAATATGACTATAGATTAAGATCACCACTTAGACATGCAATGATATTGTATTCATGTGCTGTTCATAAATTCTCAAAGGATGAATCTCTATGGTTGAGCTATTTGAATCTAAGAGTTAGTCGTGCAAGTAAAGATGGTACAACTAAGTATGTATAACAATAATAATGTTGATATAAATATATATAGAATAGATTAGAAATGATATTAATATTATATTTAAAAACAAAGGGTATTTGCTTTGGCTCTACAAAATCTACCGAGATCAGCAACTCTTTGGAAGTTGGCAGCGGCTTTCGAGTTTGAAGTCAATCGTAATATTCAATCATCTAGAAATCTCATTCAGATGGGATTGCAGTATTGTAAGGACGATCCATCGTTGTGGCACTATTTCTATACACTAGAACTCAGCTATATCTCTATCCTGTTGAATAGAGTATCCATTATCAAAGAAGAGGAAGACGACGAAGAACAGGAAGCAACACAACAAAAGAAATCATCGATCAACATCGAGAATCTACCGGCCATCTCTGACTCTGACAAAGACAGATTCATTACATTCGGTCAGGAGATGTACAACGCCGCCACTCTAAAGGGATCATCTATTCTTCAAGGAAAGATTGCATCCATTGTTTTCAATACTGCTATTCAAAGTAAATATTTAACAACAACAACAACAAAGATTAGAATAACTAACTTAACTTACTAAAAAATAACTAAATTAACTAACTAACTTTTGCAATGATTATAATTCTAATAGAGAATAGTAAAGACTTTGAATTTAGAAAACAATTCTATAAGATTGTTCAAACATTTATGGCTAGTGGTAAACAGAATCCAACTACTATCAAAGAGGTGGAGAGAATCGGTAAGATCTTACAGGCTGAGGTTATTGGATCATTAAAGAGTGACTTCTCTGAGAAGGATAAGAGATTGTGGACTCTTTTGGCAAAGGCAGAGCTTGGTGAGAAGACTAACGTAATCACCAAAGAGAACACTGCAACATTCAAACCACTCCTACAGACTGCCAAACAAATTCTCAACAGTGGTGTTGACGCATTGGCCAATGACGATATCATCATTGCCATCTACAATCTTATGATAAAACAACTTAAACGTATAACAATTGATAATATTGAGATTGTAAGTATTTATAATTGTAACAAAACTAAAACAAAACTAACTAATCATTCAATTAAAACAACCAAACATTGTTATATATATAGATCAATGATATTGAACAATATATTCTAAAAACACTTGAGAATGGTATTAATAACGATATACTTGGTGAAGATGGATACTATATCTATGTTGACTATCTTACAAAATTGGGTATGAAGAAGAAGGCATTAGAGTCGACTGTCAAAGCTACCACTAAACATCCACGTTCCGTCATCTTGTGGAACCAAAGAATGAGCTTGTTGAAACGTAGCAACTCACTGGGTGACAACAACAGCAAACTCATCGATACATGCTTTGAGCAAGCAGTAAACAATCTCTTTATCAAGAAAGAGAACAATAACGAAAACGAAACAACAGACAACACATCCTCCATCAACTGTCAACAAACATTCACACTCAACTACATCGATCACAAACTTAACAACTCTAAATTAACATTTAAACAAATTATTGATTTATTCAAGGTAAGTAAAAATTAAACTAAACTAAACAAAACAAAACAAATAACTATATATTAATAATAATACTAATTTAATATTTATTTTATTTTTATTAATTATTTATTAATTATTAACAAAAGAAAACAATGAGAATGCTTGATGGTAAAATAGAGTGTCAGGAAGTTGTAAAGAACTATTTGATTGACTATTTATTTATCAATGAGTATTCTTTGGTGGAATTGAAAGAAGCCTATCAATTGTCACTTCAATTCTTACCGGTGAGCAGAGATGTTCTCTTGAAGTGCATCCACTACCAACAAGAGTCAGCTATGCCCGATTTGGTTGAGATTAGAACTTTGTACGAAAGATACTTCCAAATTAAAGAGTTTGCATGCCAAGATACAAAATCATGGTTAGATTATCGTCAATTCGAATTGGATTGTGCTAAAAATATTACAAACGCTAATTTGGTCGCAAATCGTGCGCGTAAATCGCTAAAGAATCCTAATGATTTCATTAAATCATTACAAAAAGTTCAACAAGCACCAACAACATCATCAACAACATCATCAAAATAAATAAATAAATATTAATTTAATGCAATATTAACTATTATCTTTTCTCAATAATAATTATTATTTATATAATTTTTAAATACATACATTAAATTTAAAATTAAATATTATATTTTATTATATTTATTTTGTTTAAAAAAGTAGTATATATTTATTTATTTCAAATAATTATTTGGATTATAAAGATAAAAAAGGGAAAGATGTTTTTAATCTTCAAAATAATTATTTTAATAATAATGTGATGTGTATGAACCATCAATTTTTTTAAAATCACAATCACTGACTCTTTGAAGCCGACAATATTTGCTTGCATCTAACCAAATTTTCAGAGATTCAAAATGATTAAATCTTTTGCTAATTTTTCATGCATATGTCCCGCAATGAGTGAACCAAAAAAATTACAAAAAATTGTATTCTAAAGAAAAAAGTATTTTCTGATTAACCAAAATAATATCAAATCATTTAAATCAAAAGGCATTGAGCAAAGAAAATAGAAACAAAAAAAATTTTTTTTTTTTTTTTTTTGGTAAAATCTTCTATCTTGGTTCATGTTCTTCTCATTACATTACTAACTAGATTGTTGGTCTGACTTGAATTATAATCCCCTGCTTTAGAATTTTTTTCATTTTCTTTTGGTGTTTTTTTTTTCTTTTCATCAACACTTATAGATGTAGTTGATATCATATTGGCGGATTTATTGATAAGCAAACTATGACCTTCCCAATAATGTTGATGTTGTTTTTGTTGTTGTTATTATAGTGTTGTTGTTTTTATTTAAAATTTTCTTTTTTTTTCTTTTTTTTTATTATTATTTTAATATAAATATTAAATTATTATTATTATTCAGTTAAATTTTCTGTGGGCGGCAAGGCAACACTTTGTTGAAATATAATTCACTGGTAACTTGCTGAAAGTGGGTCGTTGTTGTTGTTGTTGTTGTTGTCTTGTTTGAATTCTCTTATTAGCAACTGCAACATCATTTTCATCATTCATCACTTTTTTTTCGTTCAGATACAATTTTATTAGATCTTCGACCCTTGAGAAGCCAATTTTAGTTAAAAAAACAAAAGAAATCAAATCAAACAAAAATATATATCACCACACTGTAAATAATATGCCTCTAGACGTATCCAAATATCTTTGAAAGGAGAATTTGGTATTTCTACAAGGACATTGGATCAACAGCACAAAACATATGATTTTAAAAAATAAAATCAAACAAGCAACATAAAACTCAACTTTCTCTTCTTTTATTCATTATTTTTTTGTAAACCAATAAGAAATATGACTTTCAAATATTTCTAATTGGTTTACTACAAATAATAATGTTTAATTTCAAATTTATTTATATTTTTAAATAATTATTTTTAAAATTATTCTCTCTCTCTCATCAACATTGAAATCTTCTTCTCCAATAAACTTTTAGACCAACCTATCCAAAAAATAGTAAGATTACAAATATGTGCAAGACGAATTTTTTAATAATATATAATTCTTTAACACTTTGTTTTTATTACTTTAGACCAAGTCGATTCTTTCCAATTTTTCTTTTTATTTAATAATAAAAACTTTGGATATAATTAAGAGGTTTGGAGCATAGATTTCTTGAAAAGTAGAGTGTTTCCTATAAACGGTTTAAAAGTTTATTAGATAGGAGGACCCCACAACTTAATTTTCGATGTTGGTGTTAAATTACGAGAATACATTGTCATTTTCTAAAAAACTAATTATTAAAAATAAATATATATTGAAATTAAAATTAATCCAATATTGATCTGTACATTCATTCTTATATATTTTTATCATTATCATACCAATAAAACAAAATAATGTAAATGCAATTTTCTAGAATTTTATAAAACAAAAAGATTTTATTGTTTATAATTATAATAATACCAAATAATCACCAATAATTAGTTTCCCTTTTATTTTATTCATTGAAGATCAATCACAAAACATATCTTGCATCGTTTAATGATCAACAAAATTTTTTTTATAAACACAATCACCACAAAAAAAAAAAAAAAAAAAAAAACAAAAACTAAATTTTGATAAAAATTGATTTTAATCTAGATTATTTTGTTGTAACATTATTACTAAAAAGGTGTATTATATATTTATATTTATATTCATATTTTGAAAAGAAAATCATATTTATTCAAACAAAAAAAACTAAAAAAGAAAATCAATTTAGTTTGTTAGTTAGTTTTTGTTGGTTTAAAATATAAAAACAAAAACAAAAACAAAAAAAACAGATAGACAACAAATCACCTGATAGATAAATATCATATCACCTAGATTGATTGTCAGAATAGAAAAGAGAGAGAAGAGTATGACTTCTACAATTAGTGCGGGTTCAACAACATCTCCAGTAGCTGGTGGTGGTGCAGCAGCAACAGGAAGTAACACTCAACAGAGTAGTAGAGCTGACGTTGTTAACTATGTTGTATTTAAGAGTAAAGGACATCAGAATACGGTGTTCACACCGATGGATATACATCCGGTGAATCCTTGGGTGTTGTTTGCCGACGGCGACAACAACATTGTCATCCAAAACTATGTTACCTCACAGAAGATATTGAATTTCTCGATTGGACAACACGAAGAGGAACGAAGAGAACTACATCTACTGCAGCGAAAGATTCCAACACTGTCGAATCTCTCTATATCGTCGCCACCGACACCGCCATCGGCCAGTCAGGCGTCGCCGTCTTCACCGTCGCCAATGACCAACCTGCTGATGTCACCTTCACTCAGCCAAGCACATCGCTCACCAAACAACACCGTTAGACTCAATACCAGTAATAGTAACAATAACTTGGCTAGTTCGAATATTGGCGGAGGTGGTGGTGGAAGTGGTGGAAGTGGATTGTCAAACGACCACATTTCAGGCGTTGGCAGCGGTAACACTGTCGGTAGCAGTCGATCGACTACGATTGGCGATTCGTCGGACTTGCTTATCAATGAGAAACTAGAGAAGCTCGGACAGATTAGATTCTTGCATTTCTACGATAGACACACGCGTTTAGTTAAGGAAAGAAAGTCAAAGACATCGCAAGCAAAGTCGGGCGTCGCTGCCAGTAGCAGTAAAGTGAACAACAGTATTGGATCCGATGATTATATAGTGGTTGTAGCAGACAATCGTATTCTCTTTATCAACTATCATTCACAGCGTATCCGTGAAGTGAAAGTGCCGATCTTTGACTTTAAACCACCAACTTCAATCGAATTCTTTTCAAACCTACCGTTGGTTGCCTTTGGATCGAGTGATTCAGTGATCAGGCTGTGGAATGTCGATAAATGGGAACTTGAGAAACCACTGACCGGTGGTCACTCAAAGAACAACACAACCATACTTAAAATGAAGTCAATAGAAGTAAGTCAAGAGTCATCATTAAACAACAACAACAACAACAACATATCTTCTATTCAATTATATTTACACAAAACTAACAAACTATTTCCCACTATCTCTCACATTCAACAGAATTCAGATGGTGATTATTTAGTAACTTGTGGCAGTGATGGTTATACATGTCTATGGAATCTAAAGACAAGTTCATTACAGAATCAATTCCCAAAGGTACATGATATCATTGATCTTTCATATGATAGCATTACAGGTAATATATTAGTTTTAACATCTGATAGGTAAGTGTTTATAGAATGAATATTACATATATATAAATTACTAATATTATATGTAGAGTTATTATTGTTTATGATATTGTTACAATGAAAGAGATATCAAAGATATCATGTGGAAAAAGAGAGTTCCAATCGTTGGATACGATTTCACATCCTAGATTCCAACAGGATCTTTTGTTGACGATGAAGAGTCCTGCACAGATTGTGCTGTTGAGTAGAGCGGGTGGAACGTTGGTTAAGGATTATATTATCGATATCGATCAACTGTTGAATCCAGCCAAGAAGGAGAAGGCAAAGATCTATAGGTTGTTGCAACATCCACTGCAACCACAGCTATGGTTGGTATGGGTGAACAAGACTATCTACTTGATGTCGACCGTTGCCAGTTCGGTACCGTCGTTCGCCACCACCTCTGGTGTTGTATATTTCCCACGCGATGGATATCTCAATTCGATGCCGCTAAGCAATGCACTGAGCTCGGAACGCACCGTCATCAAAGAGGTGCCAATTGCACAGTCAGAGTCGGTGTCGTTGGAGGTGAGTGCCAACGGAACCTACCTAAGTGTTCACCACCTGGCAACCGGCCAATATCAAGTGTATGAAGTGGCCACCTGGAAGTTGCTGGAGAAGGGCAGTGCCATTGACATTGCATGGAGTGGAAAAGGCGGTAAGGACTGCGGTGCAGAGCGATTCGGTAAGTTGGAGCGTATCTTTGACGTCGTCGACCCAGTCAAAAAGAAAAAGTTGACACTCGGCGTTTTGACCACCAAAAAGAAGAAAGAAGAGGAAACCAGCTCAAAGATCCTCTTGAAAACCAAAGAGTTTGCAAATCCCCAGGTTGCACAAGAGTTACTGTTGCACACGAACGACGATCGTCTCACCAGTGGACTGCTCATGGGTGTCTATACACACCAAGACAACTCCTCGTCGACCGGTGGCAGTTCCTCAAGTCAATCTACCAACACCGGCAGCAGCAATCTCCTACAGGAACCACCAATTCAAATCACAGGTGAAGAGAATGAATCAAAAACATTCCAACTTTATGATTGGTGGTCATTACAACCAATTGGAGAGTAAGTGATTATTTGTTTATCAACCTTTTGTTGTTTTAAGTGGAAGGCTGCTAATACTGACTGTTTATTTTAACATTAGATCATTACCACCTCCATTAAAAGTATATTGGGAACCAAATCAAAACTATTGTATCTTTGTTTATTCACAATATTTCTGTCTATTTAAAATCCGTCCAACCATACATATGTTGTGTAGATGGCCATTCACACTTACCTCTGCACTCTGGCATAATAATACTTTGTTCTTTACAACTCCAAATGATATTCAATGTTGTAAGTTATAATATATCATCAAGAAAACTAATAATTATAATAACTAAAATTATTTAACCTATTATTATTGATTAAATATAGTATTCCCAAATAATCATGAAAGTGCACCATTGATTTTATCTTCATCGTCTGGTACTGTTTTCCCTGAGGATCTTTATGAGGTCGGTGCAGGTTCGCTCTCTAGTTACAAACCGAATCAGACTTTCTCGTTGTTCCCTCAGTTCCGCCCGACTGGTTCGATTGCACTGGTGGAGGTAAACAACGAGGGTTTGATCGTTGTCGACAGTAGCCACCGGTTCTATTGTTTGCCACTGACACACTATCTCTTCAAGTTCTTTGCACTCGTTCAGATGGACCTGGTCGAGCAGGCCGTAAAGTGTGCACCGATGGTCGATCCGAAATACCACTACCTGATGGCCAAGTTCCTAACGGTGCGTGGACACGCCAAGTATTGTTTGCAACTCACTGGAATATCACACCACTTGAAGTTCCTCATCTGTATTAATAACCACGCCTATGATTCGTCACTCGACATCGTACCACGACTGGCCGAAGCAATTCGCTCAAACAACACCGCCGAATTTTCATCGACCGATCCCGAAGAACACACCATCTCCTACCTCAGCAAGAAATGCATAGAGATTGGTCGTCTCTCTCAATCTAAAAAATGAACAGGAACTCGCTGAAAGAGCATTCAAAATTGCAACAACATTAGAACCACATTCGTAAGTTATCATCATCATCATCAATTAATCTTCAATTCCAAATTATTAATTAATACTAACTATTCAAATTGTTATTATTTATAGTGCATATCAAGAATTAGCATTACATTATATTCATTACAAGAAAATTGCAGAGCTCAAAGAATTACAACAATCCATTCAACATTTATATCCTCTAGAGTGTGGACTCATTTCACTTTTGATTGAATAATATTATTCAAATCCATTCAATTAGAAATAAAATAAAATAATAATTAACTTGAATAAATAAAAAGGAATACTTATAATAATAATGATTGTTTTGTATTTTACTGTTTGTGAGAATGTTTGATGTCAATTAACTGATCAGTTTTAGGCAGTTGGTGTAATCTTTTTGTAGTTGGTTGGAACGAATGGCATTTTAGAGACGACCGCTGGAATTTGACGTCCACGAATCGAAGCGAATACCTTGGTACCGTTCTTTGAGTGTTCAGTGTTGAGATAACACATTGAGATCGATTGTTTGGTCATTGGACTCAATGTACCAGAGGTGACATGACCGATTTGCTTACCGGCCTCGTCGACCAAAACAGTGTTTTCACGTGCTGGTGGACCTTCTACGATGAGACCTACACGCTTCTTGCTGACACCTTCCTTCAGCTGCTTCTGAATGACGGCGGCACCTGGGAATCCACCGGCTTCCTTTCTACGCTTGCTAATGAGCCAACCCAATGTTGCTTCGATCGGGGTGATCTCCTCATTTAAATCGTGACCATACAAACACAAACCTGCTTCCAATCTCAATGAATCACGTGCACCCAAACCAGCACACTTCACACCCTCAACACCGGTATCCAATAAAATCTTTGCCAATCTAACAGCATTCGAGTTTGATACTGAAATTTCAAATCCATCTTCACCTGTATATCCACATCTAAAATATTATCAATATCAATATCAATATAAATTAGTTAGTTAGTTAGTTATTATTTCTCAATCAATGTTTGTTTTATGTCATGTCAACATTTACCTTGTAATGATCACATCGATATTATCAATTTTAGCATGTCTTTGAGTCATGAATTCCATGTTTGAGAGATCGAGTTTGGCGAGTTTGGAAACGATCGATTCGGTGGATGGACCTTGGACGGCAATCAATGCTTGATCCTCCATGAGTTCGAGTGAGACGTCTTTGCCGGTGGCCTTGAACTCTGCCATCTTTTGCTTGATGTGAGCGATGTCCTTGTCGGCGCAACCGGCATTGACGACGACGTAGAGGTTCTCACCGGCGTTGGTAATCATAGTGTCATCGATGATACCACCTTGCTCGGTGGTGAAAACAGAGAGCTTAGAATGACCGACTGGCAACGCCTGGATATCGGCGACAACAATCGATTCAAAGAACTCTACACGATCCTTTCCATGAATTCTCAATTGACCCATATGAGAAACATCGAACAAAGCACTATTATTTCTACATTGGAAGTGTTCTTTCAAGACACCGGTTGGATACATCAAAGGCATATCCCAACCACAGAATGGTACCATCTTTGCACCCAAATCCTTATGTAAATCGAATAATGCTGTCTTTTTCTAAAAGTATGTTATTAATGATGATAGAATTATTAGTATCATTATCATTATTATTATTATATTTTGTAATCACAGAGACGAGACAACAGGAAGGAAGAAAGAAAGAAAGAAAGAAAGATAAGTAACATGATTGTCAATCATACATTGTTAGTTTGTGTGGCAGAACATTTCCATCGGGAAGTACATGAGATATTTCTGGAAAGTACTAATTTAGTACCTGCTTTGATTGATTTACCAAACATTGTTATAAATATAATGAGTAATATGACACAATGAACTACTTAAACTGAAAAACTGAAAAAACCAAAGGTCATCCCTTTTTTGAAAAATTTAATTTTGAGTGTTCATTTGCCAAAAATATCCCAAAGTAACGTTTTTTGTTTATTTGTATAATAAGTAGATATATAAATAAATGAATTAGTAATATTTAATATGACAGACTATAGTGATTTAGAGTTATTGAAGAAAAGAATAGATTGTGTATCTGTTGAAAGAGGTTGGAAATGGAACTCGAAATCTAAAGTATCAAAGACTGTACAGCCAACAAATTCAAAGAAAACAACAACAACAACAACAACAACAGCAACAGCTACAAAAACAGATAATCTTTCAAATACCAGTCATAAACGTATACATATTTTATCTTTATTAATATCACCTGATGATGACGACTATAAAGATAGTAACACTAATAAAAACAATAGTAATAATAGTACCAATAAAGATATAAAATCATCTTCACTAACAAAATCAATACCAACAACTACATCTACATCAGCATTAAAATCAAATACCACCTCCAAAACAACAAAAGAAAATAATCTCACAAATCAGTTGAAGACATTAAGAAGATTAAGTAGTTCAAATGGTATTCTTGATCTTCTTGGTAATGAAACTTTGTATTCCAGTAATGAAACCATTAGTAATAATACTAAAATAGATGATAATAATAATAATAATAGTAGTAGCAATAGTAATAATAGCAATAATAAAACAAAAATAGGTAATAATAATAATAGTAATAAAAACAATGAAAGTAGACAAAAGAAAGTGGATGACGTTGATGAAATGCTTATTAAGAGTATGAGCAGAGTTAGCATTAGTAAACAATCTGATTATACAAAGAAGAAGATTGTAAAAGAGAGTGATCCATATACTGATTTACCTTCAAAACCTAAACAATTGTAATGCTGTTATCATTAATTATTTATTAATTGGAGTGATTGTTTAATATACTAATTAATATAATGTTATGTTATTTTTTTGTTTCAATGAAAATATATATATATATATAAAATATATATAGCTATATGGATAAATATAAAGATATCAATAATAAAGATAATAATATTGATATTGCAATATGTCCACCATTAAACAATCTTTCGAAGCTGACCGACTCGGATCAAGCAAACTATATCAAGTTCAAAGAGGAATATGTTAGAAACTATTTCCAGCTGTTCAATACAACCATCTTCAAAGACAAATTCAAAGAAGATCTTATTATCATCTCAAAGGAATCGAAAACTCTTACCTTTAACATCAACGAATCTACTTCCAGCTCCAACTCCTCCGCGCCAAAGATATCACCTGCAACCATCTCCATCCAACAGGATCCAACAACCAAAGACAGAGTTGCATTCATAACAATATTTATCAATCATATATCAACTATTCGTAAGTTAGTTATAGATAATTTAACTTGGCAGGTGCTAATTAATCTAATCTAACCAATATTTATTTATTACTAATAATAATAATAATATTAAAAAAAGAGAAACTTGTAAATGTCTTGTGTCATCAGATGTGTCATGCAGCAACATGGATATTTGATGGTAGTACGGTTTCGCATGGCGTCCAATTTAAGTATTGGGTACGTGTTGCACTCGGTATCTATCCGGATCTCTCCATTGATCTCTGTGATAACTACGGACCGACTTCCAAATATCACTACAAATGCTCCAATGCCAAGTGCTCAACCGTTTTCGGTAGAGACACTCCATTCGAAGAGGAAACACTCTGTGGTTCTTGTGAATCACCTATTGTACCTGTAAATTTAGATTCTACATCGTCCTCTTTCTCGACAACCACCAACAATATCAACAACAACAATGTTAATAGTGTTAGTAATACAACCTCAACTACAACTTCAGCATCATCTTCATCAAATAACAACAATAATAATAATAATAATATCATTGTAGATCCAGAGTTTCAACAGTTCTATAATGAAAACAAAGCAATGATCGATCAAAAGTATAAAGGAATGTCAGATGAACAGAAACTGTCAGTTATTAAATTAAAATATAACCAACAGAAAGCAAAGACACAGAAAACAAAAACACTGAAATAAATCTATGAATACTGATTATGTCAGCAAATGATCGAAGTGGAACCATTCGGTTATTACACTTCATTACCAACTCTAAAACAAAAAACAAAAAAAAAACGATTCTTTTTTTTTCAAATTTAAATTCAAATATTTGTTTGATATGATGATCATTATTGTTATTGTTGTTGTTAAGCAAACCGATTAATTAAACAAACATAAATAATAGAAGTAGTAGTAGTAGTAGTAGTACTTTATTTAATAATATATAGCTTTATAATATATTATTAGTATCGTTTTGTACATATAAGATATATATATAGATAGGAAAATGGCATCACCTTTTGTTGTTGCAGGTGTAGAAGCAGTCGCTAATGGAGCACCTAGATATAGTGGAGTACAGAAACAAGTTTTGTCATTATATAGAAATTTCATCAGACAATCATTAAAGAACGATAGACTGAATAGTGGAAGCAGTAGTAGCAGTAGTGGCAGTGGTGAACAATCATATCCGATGACCAGTTATATACAAAGTCAATTCAGAACGAAAGCCAAATCAATATCTAGAAGAGACATCTCAAAGATCGAAATGATGTTACTGAAAGGTCAGAGACAATTAAAATTAATTAAAAGTCAAGGCATGAGTGGATTCTCTGTTGTTAATTCTCCTAATAATTAATAATAATAATAATAATAGGAGTAAAGTTAGTTTTTATATTATAATTTATTTAAATAAAGTAAATAAGATTGTAATAGTTTGTAAATATATATTATAAAAAGAATAGAATATATAAATTGAAGAGAGAAAGATAGTTTGATAATCAGTATCGCCTTTTTGGAAATCATTAATATATAAAGAAATATTGAATCGAGTAGCTAGATCTAAAGTAACTAAAGAATGATCAATGATCGAGGTGTTTTAGACAAACCAAGTAGCAACTGTTTATTAATAAAATGACATATTGCAGTTCGAGAAAGAATTGCAGGTCATTAAGATATTAATATTAAGTAGACAACTAAACCGTCACAAATCACATATCTTGACTCTAAATATAGCTGAATCGATTCAAGCATTCCCTCACATGTTTTATTTGCACATCAACACCAAGCCCATTCAAGCCATTTGCATTGAACGCAACCTATAATGCTGGAAAGCAATTGTCTTGTTGATATCATCATCTTTTAAAAACTATCTTTATAAACTTTTAAAAAATTTAAAAATAAAAATAAAATAAATATCTTATCTTACTTTATTTTTTTGCTGTTTAATACCATAAAGATGATGTAATTTCTAATTTTAAACTAAAATTGATTAATTAATATAAATTATTTCTAGTATTCAAAAACAAAAACAATAAAAAATCAAGAAACTAAATACTCATGATTATGTATGAGTTTCAGTGGGAAAATTTATCTGGGTCTTTAGAGAAAAAAACAAAAAGCAAAAAAAATATAAATAACAAACATATGCAAGATCATCAAAAATTCAAAGATTTTTTAAAACTAAATATTAAATCATCATAATCATAATCATATTTAATATCGATCAATCAGAATAATAATTTGTAAATAAATATAAAAAATAAAGTCATTTTAATAGTAATAATAAATATTCAATCAAAATGTCATTGATCGTTTCATCGTCATCATCAATGTCAACTTTGTTGACAAACAATTTGGTGACAATGTCAAGTTCAATGCTAACTAGAATGTGTCATCAAAGAGCCTATAGTAATATCAATGGTACCATAAAGAAATATAATAGATATAAGCTAAATCATAGTAATAAGTCATTGCACAAGAGAAATGGATCGATTTCCATTTCAAATTATTTTAAATCAATGTCAATCAATAATAATGAAACATCCAATGTTAGTGGATTAAGCAAACAATTTTCAACAGCAACTACAACACAACCAATAGTTGGTGGTATTCCCAATGAAAAGTTTGAGACTGTAGGTTACAGTTTGCTCCCTGTAGTCAATAAGTTGCAAGAGATCACTTCACTCATTGGTTCGGAGATCAAGTTACCACAGATCGTTGTCATCGGTTCACAATCCAGTGGAAAGTCGTCGGTATTGGAGAATCTCGTTGGTAGAGATTTCCTGCCGCGTGGTAGTGGTCTTGTCACCAGACGTCCACTCGTGCTACAGCTGATCAGAATCGAGGACAATGCAGAGTGGGGTGAATTCGCTCACACTGGCGATGTCCGTTTCAACTTTGCGGGAATTCGCGACGAGATCGAAGCAGAGACAAACCGTGTTGCCGGTGCCAACAAAGAGATCTCCAGCGATCCAATCATCCTAAAGATTTTCTCGCCCTACGTCATTCCATTGACACTGGTCGATCTTCCGGGTATCACACGTATCCCCATTGGCAATCAGCCAACCAATATCGAGGAGCGAATCCGTGATATGGTGCTTGACTACATCTCCAATCCAAACTCGATCATTCTCGCTATTTCCGCTGCCAATCAAGATATTGTGACATCGGATGCTTTGAAGTTGGCAAAGGAGGTCGATCCAGAGGGTCGTCGTACCATTGGTGTACTGACAAAGCTCGATCTCATGGATCGTGGAACCGATGCAATGGATATCCTGCTCGGTCACACCGTACCATTGAAACTTGGATTCGTTGGAATCATCAATCGTAGTCAACACGACATTCAAACCAAGAAGGCAATCAGCACAATGTTGAAGGACGAAGAACGTTGGTTCCAGAATCATCCGGTGTACAGCCGAATCGCCAATCAAACAGGATCGATCTTTTTGGCACAGAAATGCAACAAAATCCTTACCAAACACATTAGAGAGTCGATGCCAGGTGTAAAGAACCAAATTCGTGCACTCATCAACAAGTATCGTGAGGAACTCGAGAACTATGGAGAACCAACTCCAGAGCGTGCCTCTGATAAATCTCGTTTACTCATTGACATAATGAACAAATTTGCACTACAATTTAGAGCTGATCTCGAAGGTGTAAATGATGATCAATTAACTGATCATATGTAAGTTGTCAATTCTTCTTTTATTTATAAACTAGTTATATTCAAATCACTAAAACCTTTTGTTCTTTTTCTTTTAACAATTAATAATGATAATAGTAATGGAGGAGCTAGAATTAGATATATATTCTCACAGGCATTTAAGAATACAAGTGTAAAGCCATTCGATTGGTTGACAGATCAACAGTTGAGATTGGCATTGAGAAATTCATCTGGTATCCGTCCAACAATGTTCATTCCACAAAAGACATTCGATTCTTTGATAAAGATTCAAATCGAGAAACTCAAAGATCCAGCTGTGCAATGTGCTGATTTGGTATTGGACGAGCTCCTTCGTATCTTGACACAGGTGGACTCTCATATCTTCTCGCGATTCCCAGTGTTGAGAGAGCGTATTGTTGAGGTTGCAAACAACGTACTTAGAAAGCTCTTGAGCCCAACCAACAAGATGATCTCCGATATGGTCGATGCCGAATGCAGCTACATTAATACATCACACCCAACCTACACGGCCGAACTCAACAGACTACTCTATAGCAACACTAAGCCACAAGACATTCAATACACTCAACCACAACCAGAAGTAGAGAGAAACAGCTCTGGCGGTGGAAGTGGACTCTTTGGTTTCATCTTTGGTAAGAAACAAGAGCCAGAGAAGGTTGTCACCACCAAAGATAATTTAAGAAACCAAACTCAACAACAAAATCTACTATATGGAATGAACGATAACTATACCGATGAAGAAAGAAAACAAATTCATTTATTAAGTAACTATCAATATATCGCAAACTAAACAATTATATTTACTAACTAAATTTAAAAATAGAACGATTATTACATAGCTATTTCGAAATTGCTCAATTCAATGTTCAAGAGAATACTATCAAGGTTATCTCACACTTTTTAATCGATCGTTCAAAAGATATCTTACAGAGAGAATTGTCATCAATCCTATACGATGAGAATATGGTAGATCACTTGTTAAGAGAAAATGAAGTTGTTGTCGCAAGACGTAAAGAATGTATTCACAAACTTGAAATTCTCAAGAAAGCAAAGAAGAGTCTATCTGTAACCGAATTAAAGGATATGCCTTTACAATTATATTAAACAATATATTTATCAGTAGTAATATTAATTAAATAGTTAAAAAACAATAATAATAATAATAAAAGAAATTACTTGTAATACTAAATTAAACTCTCCAGTTGTGAATGTACTTAACTAATTCATTCTATTATACAAAGGTCAATTCATACAAAGAATGTGATCTTTCTAGATTTTATTTGTATTTTTAATCAAGAGAATAGTCCATTGTGAAAAACAGCCACAACCACTATCATTGAAAAAAATTTTACATATTTTGAAAGTCAGAGTCTAAACTAGGTAGTGGAGGTGTTTTATTACCGACAACGGAAAACGGTTTAATCTTGTGTTTGGTGATTGCATCCAGAGACGAAACGAATTGTTTTGAAGGTGACTTTACATAACTCGGTTGATTGATTCCTTTCTTCTGTGGACTTGTTACAGGAGTAGTGGTTGTTGTCGTCGATGTAGTCATTTCCTTAGCTGTATCATTATTCTTATATTTTTGGTTATCACCATTATTATTAATACTAATTTTGTTGTTATTATTGTTATTATTATTTATCTTTTGCTTATTGTTAATTGATTTTCTTTGTTGTTGATTATATGGATGATGATGTTGTTTGTTAAGTTTCTCTGTATGTCTTGGATCTAAAGGGATACCCCACTCTGTCAGACAGTTTTGTTTGAGTATTTCTTGATCGCACACTCTATATTCCCAATCTTCAACTGCTTTTGTAAAGTATTCAAATGCTCTTATCTGACTATCACATTGTCTATCAATCAAAAATATTAATAAATACATTATAAAAAAGAGCGCACAAAGTGTATACATTAACTACATACTCTAATGATTTCATTCTAATAAAATCTATAAAAACAGGATCTTTGATATCAATGATTCTTAAGATGTTCTCGCCATCATTCAATCTCTGATTTAACTTATAAAGATAATTTCTAATATTACTTGGTCTATATACTAAAAGATTTTTGGCAATTACATAACTATTTAAAGAATCAAACTTGTTAATAAATAATAAAGATTTGGAAAATGATATAGTTATAGTTACCGTTCAGAATTTAAAGGTCTACTTGTAAATGGTTTGACAATGGTAAATGATTCGAAATGCTTAAATATAATATATAACAATCCAACTGTGAATGGTGTGAAGGTGTCGAAAATCTTACAAACGAAATTACCGCCCAACGACAGAATTTCAAACATTGTTAGAAACTGACAGAGTATCAGATGTCCAAGAATAGATTCCTGGTTCAACTCCTCACCTTCCGTACTGATACCACCGTCGGCCATAAACAGATTGACACCTTTCTGATTGGTACCTTTCAGTACCATCTGAGTGAAATGACGTATGTTTTGTTCGTTTTGAATGTCGCCGTCGTCGGCAGGACCATAGTCAACCACGAAATTATCACCAATCTTCAGACCAGAGTCATCAGTGAATTTATCCAACTTCCAATCACACTCGCCCTTCAATGTGAAACCCCAACCTTTTGTTTTACACCGCTTGCGCTGTTCTTTGTTTTCCACAGGTATACCTTTTCCAACCATTCTCCAAAGTGTATATTCCGTGAATCCACCAGGTCCTGCACAAACATCTGCAAAATAAAACTAAAATAAAATATAATTAGTTCAAATTACCAACTTTTGATTGCTGCTTCTGCTGCTGCTGATTAGTAATAACATTCAACTTACTTTATCTTGATTAGGTTTAATTTCAATGAGTGTAGCAATCTTGTCGAGATTAGCCATTTTGACAGCAGCACGATTTTGAAAGATGGCACCTTTGATCCATTCGTACGGGTTGGATCTCGCTCTTGCTTTGACGAAGCAATTACGATCGAGATCGGTTAGTGTGCTCTTTTTATCCTCCAATTCCTCAATCTTTTCATACGGACAGAATTCATCTCTTGGCGGAAGTTCATCGTCGTCTCCAACAACCAAAAAGCTCTCCAAATCACATGTGTTTAGATTTTTGTATTCCGAATCGCTGGTCTTGATCCAACAGAGAATCTGTCGATGTTCAAACTCTGCTGTTTCCTCTTTGTGCTTTTGTTTTACGAAAGGATAAGGTAACCGGTCATCATAGCCAATGCCTCCTCTACTAAACTTTGGTGCGAAATCGAATGGTGGATCAATGTAACCTTCTTCATCATCATAGTCAATTGGTTTACTTTTTTCTTTTTCCAACTCTTCCTGTTGTTGTTGTTGTTGCTGCTGTTGTTCATACTCTGTTTCAATTGATGTTGATGTTGTTGCTAGTGTCTCTGTGTCATCATCATGCATTTCAACATTGTTTTGATCTGTTTCATCATCTTTCTTTATACTATTGTTATTATCTTGTTTTTTCTGATCAGAGTTGAATGTAAAACCTTGTTTTTTCTTCAAATTTAAAAAATAATGTTAGTTACATTGAATCTGAATCAGTCTATAGTCGAAAATTGGTTCATACCATAAAATTTAATGTTAAAGAGCTCATTCCTATGAAACTAGATATATTACTATTGTTTACTTGTTTATTTGTAAACTAAATTTTTGGAAGAAGTAATCTATAAGTTGTATGTTTGATTTGATCAAATTTGTTAAGTTTGTTACTTACAGCAACGCCAGAAAGTCTATTGTTAGAGTGTTGATTTTGGTTATGTTGTTGTTGCTGCTGTTGTTGATTATGGTGGTAATTATTATTATGTTGATGAGCATGATGATGGTGATGATGATGATGATGCGAATGAGAATTATAATTATGTGATTCATTTCGATCGTAACCCAAGCCATTATTACTATTACTATTATTAGTTTCTTGATATTCATTATCATCTTGGTCATCTTCATCATCCAAAAACTTTGCAGTTGACGATTGTGTGAATTTAATAGATGTATTATTCTTCTTTGGTGTTTGTAGTTGTTGTTGTTGTTTTAGAGGATCGCTATCATCATCCATAGCAATACTACTATTACCACCACCATAATCATTCATCTTAATAATAATAAAAATAAATAAATCAAAGTTGAGTAACTTTAACAAATCAAAAAAGAAATACTATATCGAATAAATAAATAAATAAATTAAATAAATATATAAAAAGTTTTTTTTAAAAAATCTCTTTAATATTTAATTAAAATCAAATTTAATAAATAAATAATTAACGGGTTTGTTTGGAACTTCTGAAAATTTTTCATTTTTGAAATTATTTTCGATAAGCTAGCGCGCCAAATATTTTTCCAAGTAAACTATAACTGAACTTTTTATATATTTATCTTCACCAAATTTTATTATTGAAATATTCTTTAAAACTGAATTGTTACAAAAAAAAAAAAGAGAATAGTTTTTGTTTGTTTGTTATTTTATATTAGTCAGATTTAAATCTTAAAGGTAGATTTTGTTAATAGAATCGAGAATTGAGAGGAAATGGCTGAAGTCGATAACTCCATGGCGTTGGTGCTTTCCAATATTAGTGACAACAACACTGACAACATCGACATCAACAACAATATTGAAAATAATTCAAATGCCAACAACATAAAGTTGAATGGTAAACCAACAACAACTCCAACCACAACATCAGAAAAGTATGAACTAGCAATCAAAGAGAGCAATGGTGCAGATTCATACTCTGATAAGGAGAGAAAAGTCAAACCTTATGCAACCATTCAATTTTTAGATCGTCAAATGGGTGATGCTCCCAACAATAAGAACAACAAATTCCCAATGATTTCGAAATCCATCATTTTTGGAACGTAAGTTAAATTAAATTAACCAACAACACAAATATAATTTAAATTAAATTTTAAAATTTATAATTATTATAAATTATTATTATATATTATTATTATTTTAGTGATATGGATCAATGTCATTTTACTATTGTTAGAGCAGGTGTGGAAAAGAAACACTTTGAAATTGTGTATGACAAAGTGATCAAACAGTTTATATTCAATCCATTGTATGATGCAAGCAAAGCCGATACAGTGAGAATCAACTTTGTTCCAGGAATCTACAAGAAAGTTATTCTTCACAACTTTGATATCATCTCTGTCTATTTCCGGTCGTTCAAGATTATCTTCCATCGTGAGGTAGGCACCGATATTCCAGTGGAATACACCTCTTCAAGTTTCCTCATGCCAATGCCAACTGCCGCTCTGACACACAGCTCCAATGCACTGGTTCCAACAACTCCATCTGTACATAAACAACATCAACCAACTTCCAAGTATGTTAGTTAAAATTAATTAATTTAGAAATTTCTGTGTTTATGTTTATCGAAATTAATTTATTTCAATATTTAGGAATAATCAAGCAGTTGATATTTTGAAACAGAATTTGGATAAATCAAAGAAGAAACCTTTGATATTGAAGAAACCAGTTCAACAAACCAATTTGTTCTTACCGAATATCAACTCCAATACCAATTCGACAGCCAGTACAAAACCAACTTCAAATGCATTGGTAATTTCAAAGAAAAAAGATGAACCGGAAGAGGAGGAGGAGTCCGAAGAGGAATCGGAAGAGGAAGTAGAGGATTTAGTTACGAAACGTGCACCAATGAAATCATTGTCTGCCAGCATCAAGAAGGTTGAAACGACAAGCAAATCAGTTGTTACTGCCACTGTCCCTACTGTATCGGAAGCGGAAACCGAATCTAGTAGTGACTCATCAAACGAAGCAGCAACACCACCTGTTGTGGCTGCTCCACCACCACCAAAACAACAATCAAAACAACCGAAACAACCGAAACAACCAAAACAACCAAAACAACCACAGACAACTGAAGGATTGACAAGAAGATTATCTGAACTTGAATTAGAATGTCCAATCATTCCAGCTTCTTCTACTTCAACAGCAGAAGCAGCACCAAAGAAAGCAAAGACAACAACCACAAAACCAACTACAACAAAAGTCGTAAAAGAGGTTACACCAAAGAAGAATAGCAGTGGTATAAACAAACGTTTGTTACCAAATAGTTCGAAGAGGGACCACAAAACGGTTACAAGACTGGACGAGGTGGTAATCGCACAATCATTCACCCCGACAAAGAAGAATAAATCCACCAAAGTAGGAATGATCTCATATGTTAACAACGATGACGACGACGATAACGGCGACGACAATGAAGCAAACGACTATGCAGTCGTTAAAGTTGAAACTAGTGACGTCAGCGAGAACAGCGACGAGGAGCAAATCAATGTCCAAGATGATGAGGAATCGCCTATTATTAGAAAGAAAGTAATTACACCGACCAAGGCATTTAAGAAGAGTCTTCGTAGATTCTCAGTAGATCACGAGGTTCCAAAGCTACAGTTCGAGCAAACAACCACAAAGAAATCAAGCAAAAAATCAACTAAACAAGCAAAGTCAACAACAACAACAAAAGTGACACCACCCAAAGCGGCACCAGTCAAGGCAACAGCAGCAGCACCAGTCAAAGCAAGCAAGAAATCATCATCGAAAGAAGTTAAAGCAGATTCAGACGTCAAACTCACGGATAAGAATGTATGGCAAAATCCAAATATCGTTGTTCCACACGCTCCATCCGAGGCGTTGGATGAACGTTTGAGTTTCTACAGAAGAAACTGGGACAAGAATGCCCCTTACAACAAGAGTAAAGTTAGTCTATTTACAAAGGCGATTCTCGATATCATTGAGGAGGTCGATTCTATCGTAGCGGATCCAGAGCTGACCGGTGAAGACAAGTGCCTCACCTACATGTATCGTCATTTGGCTGCAATTGGACAGTTTGGTGGTGATGTGAAACTTCAGACCAAATACTACAAGAAAATCACTTCTCCAATGTCGATCACTATCATTAAGAACCGTTTGATCAGAGGATTTTATAGGGAGGATATTGAAGGAGTCTGTAAGGATTTCGAATTAATGGTTGAAAATGCAATTCAGTTTAATGGTGTCGGTGAATTTGCAAATGATGCAATTCGGATTTTGGTAGGTAGTAACTTCAAACACACTTCTTCTTATTATTAACATTTAATTAAATTCTATAGAGCGAATTCTATCAACGATTGTATAAGAATAAATATATTGATCAAGAAAAGTTTTCAGAGAAAGTAAAGAGAAATAAAAACTTAGAGAAAGGTTTAACTGGTGTTGATGCAGATGTCAGTTCTAAAGAAGAAGAAGAAGAAGAGGAAGAAGAAGAAGAGGAAGAAGAAGAAGAGGAGGAAGAAGCCGAGGAAGAAGAAGGAGAAGAAGAAGAAGAAGATGATGATGATGAAGATGATGAAGGAGATGAAGGAGAGAAAGAAGAGGAAGAGGAAGAAGAAGATGAAGATGAAGAAGATGGAGAAGAGGAAGGAGAAGATGGAGAAGAGGAAGTAGAAGAAGAAGGAGAAGAAATAGATGTAGAAGTAGAAGAAGAAGATGAAGATTTGTAGAAATAGTATAGTACTTTTATAAAATAATAATAAACTCAATTTCCAATCCAAATAATGAGAGATACAATAGTTGGTGGAAAGCAATAATAATTCAAAAACATATAAAAAAAAAAAATAATAAATACAAAAATATTTAATTTATAATTTTCTGCGTTTTCTCTATGATAATCTAAAAGAGGAGTTGTTTTTGATTTGAGCTAATATGGATTTACATAGTTATAACTAAAATTTTTAATTTTGTTGATGTTTATTTTCCAATCTGTTTCTTGGCCAATTCAATGAGTGCTCTTACTGGCTTTCCAGTCATACCTTTGCTAATGTATGCACCTTCCTCACCGGCATGCATGACACCGGCAATGTCAAGATGTGCCCAACGGTCAATTTGGACAAACTCCTTTAGGAACATTGCGGCACTGCAAGCACCACCCGATCTGGATGCACTGTTGACGATATCGGCAACCTTGGAGTCCAATTGCTTACGGTACTCTGGCAACAAAGGCATACGCCACATACGGTCACCGGAAACTTGTCCGGCGTCGTCGATCTCTCTCCAGAGGTCGTCGGTGCCAGCGAAACAACCGGCGTAGTGGTAACCGAGAGCAACGTCCATGGCACCGGTCAAGGTGGCGATGTCGATGATGGTTGCTGGGTTGAAGGTGTGGGCATAGTGGAGGGCGTCACCGAGAATCAAACGACCTTCGGCATCGGTGTTGTCAATCTCGACGGTCTTACCGTTGGAAGCGACAACAATGTCACCGGGACGAGTTGCTTTACCGGATGGCATGTTCTCAGTGAGTGGAGTGAGCACGGTGACGTTCACCTTCAATCCCAAGCTGGCAATACCGTAGAGTGCAGAGACGGCGGCGGCAGCACCACCCATGTCTCCACGCATCATACCCATGGAGGCAGATGGCTTCAACGAGATACCACCAGAGTCGAAAGTGACACCCTTACCGACAAAGATCAATGGAGCACCTTTTGGATCGGCGGCACCACGGTAGTGCAACTCCAAGAACTTGAGTGGTTGGTCGCTTCCGGCGGCAACAGCCAAGAACATTCCCATCTTCTTTTCCTCTGCCCATGCACGGTCTCTAACGATCATCTCTACCTTGCCGGCGGCGATCAAGTCTTGGTATTTCTCCTTGACTTTCTCGACAAAGAAAGTTGGATGCATCAAGTTGGCTGGCATATCGGCGAGATAACGAGCAAAGTTTTGTGATTCCGAGAGAATCTTTCCTTCGGTCCATTCGGAGGTGGTCGACTTTGATGGATCGACAGTCGACACTTCGACTGGTGCTTTGTCCTTGTCTGGTGCGGTGTTGGTCGACTTCAAGTCGAATTTGAAAAGACAGAGGTTGGCACCCTCGGAACAGGCACGCAAGTCACCGATCGAGGTGTCGACACCGATCTTTGTAGCGCCACGCGACTTGAGTGACTTGACACCGGTACCGGCGACACGACGGACATGATCGAATTGCTCGTAGACACCGGACTTTGGATCGTTCTTCTTACCGAGACCGACAATGGCAACACGTGGGTGTTGTGGAGTGACATTGTAGAGGATCAGTGAATCACCGAGCTTTCCTTTGTTATCGGACAACTTGAAGGTCTTACTCAACAGGTTATCAGTCTTTTGATTGAGTTCTGCACCGATAGCAGACCACTCTTCACCACCCTCGTAGCAACCAACAACAATACCATCGAATTCAGTTGACATATTATTATTATTATTATTTACACTAAAATATCTTTTTATATAATTATTACTTGTATTTATTATTATTTGTTTTGAAGTAGATCTACTGTTTGAAAATAATCTTAACATTATTAAATTAAATTCCAAAAAAAAGATTGAAATTATAAAACTGTTTGTTCACACACTAAATTAAATTTCACTAAAACTTTTTTTTTTAATTTTTGATCATAATTTGACGAAGTGTCCTGGTTGTTGTCACAATCAAAGTTTACAATTTTGTTTATTGTAATTGTGCAATACGAAAGGTTAGGATTTAAATAATGTACAAATTTGATTTTCTACATTTTTGGTTTTAAATGTAATGGTTAAAGAAAGAGTATAGAGTTATAAACCAAAAATATTTGTTTACTATTGATATTTTTTATTATATCTTCAATATATTGAATAGAACATTCTTAACCATGACAGAATTCAGTTAATGGATTATAACATCTTCTTACACCTTGCTATAAATGTTTTTAATTATAAAAAAGTAAATAAGAATTACTTGAATATCATTAAATTATTTAATAATTACATTGCAAATATATTGTCCCCAAGCACAATAGAGTCCGGAATTACAATAACCAAGGTTTGGATTGAAGCAAATGTTTCTAAAATATTATTTAAAAAACAATTCAGATTTTTGATGAATTAGAATCTGAGTGATTAATCTATACTTACCCACAAGGTAAAAGACCAAATGTACATATAGCAGGTGTGTTAATATCAACTATTCTTCCACCTTGACATTTAAAGTAACGGGGGTCAAAACAACTTTGTCTTGGATCATCCTAATAAAATTGATATTAATATTGGAATTCTTTTTTTTTTTCAACTATTAAATACTTACTGGGCAACGACCTTGACCTTTACTACATACAATTCCATCTGTTTACAAAATCCATAAATTAATAAGTAAAATGAAAAATATAAATTTTACAAATTCTTAAATACCTATGCATTCATGAATGTTAGGAGAATAGCATTCTATTCCTAACTTTGTATTGCAAATTTCATAATGAACTCCAGCTATATCACAAACACCTTGTGATAAACAACCTACTACTAAAACAAATAGAAATAATAAAATAGTTTTCATTGTTGTACAATATAAAAAATATTTTCTCAAATTATATTTATATTTTATTCAATTAGTATTACACCCATTTGTAAATATAATTCTTTATTTAACCCCATTTGATTGGTTCATTGGTTGGTTACAAAATAAAATCAAATTATGAATATAGAAATCAATAAGGAAAGTTATAACCATGATTTAGGAAAACAATGGTATCGAAATTCTTAAATTCAATTTCATTGTAATTCATCATGATGATCAACATTCTATTTTAAAAAAAATTGTTGATAGCAATTTTAATAATGTGTCATCTTACTAGCGCAAATTAATTTATTTAATTCATAAATGATTAATATGCTTTCGTAATAGGATAACTGTTTATTGGGTAACATTATCTACAGATTTCTACCAGTGGGTTATAGCATCTTCCCTATAAAAATAAACAAACAATAGGTTTAGTCAACATTTCACCAATTGGAATTGATATATACATATAAAGTTAATGTTACGTACATGACAGATGTAATAATTATGTGGACAGCTAACACCATTATAACAATATCCAAAGTTGGGATTAAAACAATGATTTCTTTATAATATAAAAAATAATTAATAAACAACACTCTCGATTTAATTAATAGCCAATAGCTGATACATACCCACATGGATTCTCAGGGGCAATACATCTTACTGGTGTATTGATAGGTACAATTCTACCGTTTTGACATTTTTGGACTCTAGGATCAAAACAATCTCTGTCAGGATCAGCCTAGTGTTGATCATTCAATTAAAAACAATTGATTAATTATTATTATTAATTCCTATCTTATGTGTAAAATTGATAGATTTCTAAATTTAACTTACAGGACATCTACCTTGACCTATTGAACAAACAATATTGTCTTATTATATTATAAATAACAGTTAACAGAGAAATCCAAATAAAAATGATATAGATTATTAAAAACATACCAATACATTCACTGATTGTCTTACTGTAGCATGTAGGACCAAGTCTTGTCTCACAAATTGATTGTCCAGGTAAACATATGTCTGTTGCTGTGACCAGTTGAACTATTAATAGTAAAACTATAAAAATATTACTTGTAGTTGCATTCATCATTGATAAATTAATTACTATTTGATTATCACAAATATAAACTAACAACTATTTATCAATATCAATAAAACTCAAGATACTAAATTTAGAAAATAACTGACATTCTACAAGTTAATATTTGTTACGACATATACGTGTATTACTTTCATTGGTCACCGATACTAATCTTCTGCTATATTAATTATTAAATAGATATCTAATTAAATTATAACTATTTTTCAATAAACTATTAAACATTGGTTCTTTATATCTTTATGCACTTCAATGTTTATTAATTTATTCGAGTGTAACATATTGTTTATGAAGTGTAACTCTATTATATTAATTTATCAACATGCTTTTTGTTTAGATGAATAGATTTAAAAATAATATTAAATAGTATAAATATTAATATATATATATATGGATAGATATCATCGAAGATGAATAGTAATGTAATAAAGAATGCTTTATGGTTATAACTCTTTTGAATACTTTAATTTCTGAAATATAAATGATTAACTTGTCAGGTAAGTACTTCGAAAAAAATAAAAAATACATCTAAACAAAAAAGAAAAAAAATTCCTTATGTAACTGTACGTGAAGAATATTAAAAATACCAATCAACAGATACTAGTTGTTTACACAAAGACTATGATGATTAAAAAAAAAAAATGATGATCAGTAACATTCGATTTTGAAAAAAAAAAAAAAAAAAATATATTAAATTGTATGAATGTTGTTGATGGATTTTTTAATAAATTTATAATTAGATATATATACAGGTAACGAACGAAAATGAGCTTCGGTAATGCAAGTTTATGTGACGAAGTTGACAGTATGTAATACGCTATAGTTGTTTTGAAAATGAAAATGACAAAGAACAACGACGAATCGTTGGAACAACCCAATAAAGTTTAAAGAATCTAAATATTGATCAAAAAATTTGTTTATTATTACTATTATAACAATGTAGAAAAGCTTATAGTCGTATTAAGAGATGGTAAAAAGTTTATAGGTGTAATGAGAACCTTTGATCAATTTGGTATGTTTATTAATCGATCATATGAACCGAACATCGTACACATCACAGAATTCTAACAACAAACGCTTTTGTCCACACATCTTATTTTATCTTATGTTATCATATATATATTATGTTTTTACAGCCAATATAATTTTACAAGATACAATCGAAAGAATATATGTAGGAGATAAATATAGTGATAAACATTTAGGTGTATTTTTTATTAGAGGTGATACAGTTGTTATACTTGGTGAAATTGTAAGTATTGACTGTTAAAAAAAGAAGAAGAAGATGCTATAGTTGTTGTTGTTTATTGACAAAACCTCTTTGTATAATTGTTTACTCTATTAGGATCCAGATAAAGAAGTAAAAGAGAAAAAGTTGACAAAAGTATCATGGGAAGAAATAAATTTAGCACAACAAGCAGAAAGAGAAAAACTACAGCAAATGGAGCAAACAAAGAGAAGAATTATGACTGAGAGTGGTTTAACTATTGATTCAATCCTGAATCTAGACGATTTTTAATTTTAATTTATTGTAAACAACAAAACACATAACATTACTCGTTATTAGATCAAATAAAATATATATCTAATAAGATTGATTTAAAAAAAACAACATCAAAGTAGTAGTTTTAATAAAATATATAAGGTTGAAAGATAAGAAAAAATAAGTTATAATTTATTTATTATTATTATGGTTTCTTCTTTTTGCTAATCTTATTTTTGTTGTCTTTCTTTTGTGATTTTGGTTTGGGTTTAAACACTTCTTCTTCTTCTAGATCGAGAGCGAATGGATCTTCTTCATTGTCACCAAATTCGTCTTGAATGAATTCATATTGATCTTCGAATGATTCGACATCTGACGATGACGACGATGTTGTTGTTGATTTATCTTTTTTGACGGTAGATGGCACTTGAGAGGCGAGATATGCTTCTTTGTTTTCGAGTAACTTTAGTGCTTCTTCGATGTTACCGCCAAAGTGTTGAAGTATCGATGATCCACCAATCGCTTCGATGTTCTCCAATGTAATCTCTTTCGATTCGCTTCGTAGATGTTGAATCATATCGTCGAGATAATCGATGTTACACTTCTTGCTCTTTATCACTACGAATCGCCACGATTGCCATTTATGAAGATCGGGCAGTACTGTCATCACTACTTTAGCGGGTGTCGTCTGGTAGCACTTCAGTAGATGGAATCCTTGGTGAGTACGGAAATCTTTTTGCGTGACTTTGTACCAGTCGGTCGGCTCGGTGATGTTCAACTGCGGTGCGAGCCACTCGAGGTAGAGCTTGGCATTCTCGACGCTACGAAAGTAGCCGGTTGGCGTGCGTTCAAACAGCCATGGTTTCCACTGGAACTCGGGGAACAGCTTCTGTAGCGCGGTTGGAACGTCGCCGTAGTATCCGATGATGTGGTTGCCAGAGTTGTGAAGAAAGTCGTTGGTGCGTAGGTAATGCCATTGGTCGGATGGCTGCTCACCAAACTCACAGTGTTTCGCTAGCCAACAGGTGAATTGTCGACGAGTCTGATCGTTCCAATATTGTTTCTGGAGTGTTGGGAAGTGCCAGTGTTTGAGAATGGTATCGGGTTGACCGATGTTGGCGATTATCGCTTCGATGTGATCACCTTTGTAGTGTTTGTCGAGCAGTGAACGTCCGTAGTTTGTAACGATGTCCTTTCGCTTTGCTTTATACCAATCGGTTGGCAATCTGTAACGTAGACGTGCACCTAACCACTTGAAGTAACGTTGATGATTACTCTTATTCGCAAAGAAAGCATCGGAATCATCAATCAATTGCTGCTCGATATTCGTATCTACATTCAATCGTTGTTTAGCTTCAACCGATTCTTTACTAATCTTTATATATTCTTTAGGTAAAATAGGTGATATTTTATTTGATGTAATAGATTGTCTTGTATTATCATTATTATTATTGTTATTATTATTATTATTATTACTATTTTTTGATGCAAATGTTGAAATTAACTTTATATTATTACTAATTTTATTTGATAATAATGTATTTGATAAAGATAGATTATTATATGATTTTGTAATTATACTCTTTGTTGTTATTGATAAACATCGATTATTATTACTAACATATCTAAAAAACGACATGTTTTAATTAAAATTAAAAAGACGAACGACTGACAAATTAAGATAAAAAAAGAGGTTGCGCAACATTAGAAGTTTATGAATGAATTAGGTTTTTTATTATTTATTAATTAAATTAAATACTAAATACTATTAAATTGAATTTAAGATGTTGTTTAAAATGGTGTTTCTTTTCTGATTGATAAATACTTTTTGATTTCTGGAACCTCTAGCATTTGACGATGGAATTCAAGACATGCTGGGAATTGTTCGAATTTCTCACCGAATTGCATTCCCTTAACGTAGTCAATGCAAGCAAAGATTACGAGATCGGCATAGGTAATGTTGTCTCTTCCATAGATATGCTTACCACCGTTCTCCTTGAGAATCTTATCCCAAACACGGTAGTAACGTGGTGCCACTTCGGTACTGTACTTCTCCATTGCCTCGGGACCACCTTGTTGTGCCATGAGGAACGCTTGGAAGATATCACCAACCGATAGAGCATAACTGATAATCTTGGCTTCGTCAACGGCATTAGATCCAAGTAAATTATACTTTCTGGCTAAATACAATTCGATGGCTAACGATTGGGACAATTCAATTTCACCATCGGAATAGTGTGGAACTTGACCAAAAGTGGTTTTGGCAGCGACTTCAGCTGGAACACCTGGGTATGGGAATCTGTAGTCAGTGTATTCAACACCAGCAAAAGATAGGATTAAACGTGCATATTCAGCACGACCCTTGGCATCGAAGTAATAAAGAGTTGGCAAAGACATTGAATTAAAGTTGAAAAAGATAAAAGTAAAATTAAGAATTAAATAGTTAATTAATTAATTGATTGATTTGTTTGTTTTTTGAATGATTATACAGTAAATTTAAACTATTTAAAGACAACTAATTGTATGGTGCCTAAACTAAAATTTCTTATAAATCTTAAAATAATGCTACCTTTTGTGTTGATTTCCAGTAAATCAAAGGTTGAACTTCTAACCACCTTTTCGGAAATATATTTTGAATCAAATTCAAGTGTGTAACCTGAACATGTAACCCGTCAAAATTTAAAAATAAATCGATTTGAATTGATATTAAAACGGTTTTTAGATATTTAAATGTTGCCGGCAACAGCTGTCTTAGAGTTGTCAACATTTATTTTTATAAAGAAATTGTTTTATTTTATAGAATGTTCAGAGTTAAACATAATCGCGATTCTAAATATTAAATTTTAACTTATTATTATGCTCTGGTTGTTATATTTGTTATTGATTGTTTTTGTATTAAATGATAATAAATTGTAATAATTATTTGGTTATCATATGATTGACTGATCTTTGAAATATGTATTTATTCGATTGTGGAAATTTATAAACAATGCCAAATGATCATACACTTTCACATAAATTTTTTTTTTTTAATATTTATTAATTAGTTTTTGAAACATTTTCTAAAAATTGAACATAACTAATTTTATATATATATTAAGAGAATGAGTAATAATGATAAGAAAAGAATATTTTTTGGTGGAATTCAATCATCGAATTTAAAAAAAGATAAGAAAGATGATAATCAACAACGTATGTATATGAAATGAATGAACAAATCATTGAATATTAACATTTTTATTTGAATGATTATTATAGAAACATCAACATTTTTACCATTTTCAAAGATAACAAAAGATTCACAACAGAAACATCAACAGACTCTAGATGAACATGAAAAGAAGAAACGATCGAAACTCATTGTCTTGCCAACGAATGATAATCTGATAAAGTTGAAACTAAGAGAGTTGGGTGAACCTATTATATTGTTTGGTGAGAAACCTGAGGATAGACGTGCAAGACTGAAACAACTTTGTATAGAACGTAATATATTGGATGCCATCCCAGAGTCGGAGAAGGCAAAGAAACAAGCGGAACAAGAACAACAGGTCGATGAGCAAGAGGCATTCCTGACGGAGGGAACCGAAGAGTTGAAGCATGCACGTATGCAAATGGCACTCTTCTCGCTAAAGTCAACGCAACAACGGTTGGAGAGAGCGAGACAAGCTAAACAACTCGATGATCCTATCATCGCTGAGAATCTTCAGCAACTCGATCCTAACCTCATCAAACAGACACCGACAGAGGTGTTACTCGAGCAGACCGAATCGAATTTCAAACAATTCTCACTGAATCAATCAGAGATTGGCGATGAACGTCAACTTTCAAGTGCGATCTTTACTGATGACGATCGGTTTATTGTAACGGGTGGTTGGAGTGGACTGGCAAAGCTGTGGAGTTGTGAAGATTTCACTCTGAAACAAACATTCACTGGACATAAGGAGCGTGTTGTCGGTGTCGCTTCCACCATTCAGAAACAACAATCGGATGAATCGAACCAGGTGTTGGTCGCGACGGCTTCGGCTGATATGACGGCGATGCTCTGGTCGTCACTGTCGCCATCGCCACTCGCCAAGCTTGAGGGTCACACCGACTCTGTCAACAGAGTGGCATTCCACCCGGATTCGCGACACCTGGCGACCACCAGTAGCGATCGGACCTGGCGACTCTGGGATGTCGAGACTGCGCAATGTCTGCTCGACCAAGAGGGTCACTCGGAGTCGCTGATGGGCTTGGCGTTCCAGAAGGATGGCGCGCTAGTTGCCACCGGTGGAAAAGACTGCTTGGTGCGGGTGTGGGATCTTCGTTCGGGTCGACCACTCCACTACTTCAAGGGTCACACGAAACAGGTGATCTCGATCGATTGGTCGCCGAACGGCTATCAGTTTGCCAGTGCGAGTGAAGACAACTCAGTGATGGTGTGGGACCTTCGAAAGAAAGAGCGTGCCTTCCATATTCTGGCGCACACCTCTATTGTTTCTTGTGTACGATATCAAAAGAGCGGCGTAGGATGTCTAGCGACAGCATCATTCGATGGTTTAATCAAGCTGTGGTCACCTCACCAGTGGAAACCAATAACAATCCTAGAAGGACATTCTTCAAAGGTGACATGTGTAGATATTTCAAATGATAACACTAAAATTGTATCATCTTCATTCGATAAAACTTGGAAACTTTGGTCCAAATAAAAATAAAATAATAATATTTATTATATTATAATAAAAAAATATATATTACTCACATATATTCATATATATTTGTTAGAGATAATAATAAGTGAAAGTAAATCATTTCTTAAGAGAAATTCCCTTCTTTTTGTTTTGTTTTAGTTTAGTTTTTTTTAATTTTATACAACAATCTATATTTTATTTTCTTTTTCTTTTTGATTTATTTATTTATATCTATTGTTTCATTGCTGAATTTGTTTCTATTTCTTGTCTACAAGTTTATTAAATTAGAAAAGAAAAAGTTAGTATGAATAGATCGGTTTCTTGACCAGCAAAATCTTTGATATTTGTTGATTGTGTGTGTATGATCATATTAGTTATGTATCTACCTTAATTGTTGAGAGAATTCATCATCAATTTGTTCGGTATCCCAATCATCTTCCCATTGTGCTTTAACTGTATCTTGATCTTCATTTTGATTTTCAATGTCTATAAAATAAAGTAATAGATAATGATAAGTAAATATGATAACTTTAATAACGATAACCTATATTATCTATATTGTTAATTCTTACTATCTTCAAACTCTTCGAATTCATCATCTTCAATGATCTCGATTTCCTCTTTAGCTTGAGTCTTTGAAAGATCATCCAAAGTGTCGAATTTCTTATTTGGTTTAGTGGTTGTTATGCTAGTATCTCCTTTTCCCATTCTTAAGATTTTATATGTATATGTATATGTTGAAAGTAAAGTAATAATAAATATATTAAAAATGAATATAAAAGTTTTTTTATAAATTTAATTTTGTGATGATCATCACACCCCAATCATTAATTTATTTATTTTGTTTTTTTTTTTGAAAAAAAATAATTATTAAATTCTTTTTTTTTATTATTTTTTGATCCAATTCAATTTAATGTTCTAACTGCAACAATTCTTTTAAATGAATTAGAAATTGAAAATGATTGGGAATGTATCTAGTGTTTTAAGATTGACCAATATGACGGTGTTGGTATCAACGAATTTCGGTACCAAGATCAAACGAATCTGTTCACCATCTTCGCCTTGAATCAGCTTTGTCTCGTAACGATCGTTGTTTCCAATAAAGTATACATGTGGACACTGCTCGATAATGAATGGGTCGTGCTCCAGTGGTGAGCATGCCAGTGTATCGGGTGCAGTCGGTGCCAAATGTCTCCATATCAACATCTTGTGCATCAACTCGATCTTGTCTTGAATATTAATATATCTAATTGCATTCTCTATATTTTGACCTGATGTACCTAAAAATCTATGTATTAAATAAAACAATTTAAAAACAATTAGTAACTAAATCTCTGTTTTTAATAATATAATATATATTTACATTCTACCACCTATTTCAGATTCATATGGATTTGAAACAGGATTGTAATTTGCATTTTGAACACTGAATGGTGTCTGACAGAAATTCAATGGTAATTGTGGTAATGATAGATTGGTTGGATCACTTTCACCAGGTAAAACTAAAATATTTTAATATAAAAATTATTAATAAAAAAAAACACTTTCATGTTTAATATCTAAATATTAATTTATAAATATATTTACCATCTACAGGTATAGATTGACAAAGTTCAGCCAAGATGGAATCGAATTCCTTAATTGGTAGAGCAATCTTTTGTTGTCTTGAATGGATCTCTTGTTTGGTACGATACTTCATAAAACTCTCTGGTGAATCTGCTTCCTTATAAATCGAATCACCTGCAATAATCAATCTTGCTATTCTAGAAGAGAAATATTGATCCTAAATACATATTAGACAATCAGTTAATTTTAGATTACTTTTGTAGATTATCAATAGTAAACTATAAACTTACACTTGGTGATCCTAAATTTCCACTAATAAAATCCGTCAATAAATTGGTAGACAATATTGAATTTGGATTGCCAACATTCAATCCAGATACAATACAAACATAAGTATCATCCTCTAGTTTCTCTGTTTATATGTTAACATTTTTTAATTAATTAGTAAGTACAAATTTGTTTGTTTTGATTATAAATTTAATATGATATTTACCGAAGTTTCTTAAATAAGGTTGTGGTGGTAATCCAGGAGTGAAAATCTCTTTGATTTCAAACTCTGCAGATGCCAAACCAACACCTCTGATTGCTACACCCAGACCAGTGAGATGACTGTCTACCAATGATTTGTCACCCACCAACTTTACACGACCTGTTTCATCCTCTAATATCAGCAGATCTCCAACATCGATAAGCGATGATTTCTGTGGTGGTAATGGTTTGAATTGCACGCTGTTTTTATTGTGTAGAATTAAAAAGTTAGTTAAACATTATAATGATCATCTTTTTGTTTTAATCTTGACTTGTTAACATACATCTTGAGCATATTGTTTCAAAATATTTGGTTTCAAAGGCATCTCTTTATAGAGAGTACCAATTAATATACATTCTTCACCGGGCTTCAAGTGTAGAATCTTATTGATGCTGACGCCAGGATACTTTGTCTCGGCCAATGAAAAGAGAATCGGTCTGAACTTCTCTAGTCTATCATAGTAGATCTTATTGAATTGTCTCATGGTTGCGTCGTTAGCTGTTGCTGAATTAGTTGCTGTTGTAGCTGTTGTCTTTATTGTATCTTTATTGATGTTACTCTCTAGGATATCTTTTGGTCTCGTTGAAAATCTGGTTTTCGAATAATTATAGGTTGTTTCAATACGTTTAATAACAGATTGATTTGATTTATTATTATCATTATTACTGGTTTTACTGTTGTTGTTGTTGTTGTTATTGTTATTGCTATTGTTCTTTTTAAGTAGATCATTTAAAGTACCGCTGGTTGCAGTCATTAAGATATCTTGTTTCAGTTGATCTTTATCGGTACCATGATTGCTGTTAAACGATTTCTTTACAGAGCTATTATAAAACTGTTTGACCACTTCATTTGTGAAACTATCATCTATCATATCAGTATCCATCATCTACTTCTTCTTCTTTCTCGACTTAAACAATACTGAAATTGCAAATTATATATAACAAAATTCAAATTTAAAATTAATTTTTTTTTTAAACTTTTGGCGCGCTTCAAATTCACAAAATTAAATCAAATGATAATAGTAGTGGGATTCAATAGATAAGTCGTTATATTCTATCTTTATCAAATTCGAATTATGCTTATAATTTATTTAATAATAAGAATATATCTTTATAAAATGGGAATTTGGTACAATTCCTGGGAGAAGATTCAGTTTTTTTAAATTAATCGATTTAAAATCAAATTTTTTCTTTATTAAAGCCTATTTGTAAATGTATTGTTAGTTTATTTAAAATCACTCCCAAAAAGTCGTTTGTTATGGAGTATAAGAAAGGATGTGAACTTAGATGTCGATATGTTTCAAGGAAATGCGATAGAATGGCAATTAAACTTTACAAGAAATGGAGAGATATTAACTTAAAAGAAAGGGCCGCCCAAAAGAGAAAGAAATCTGGTGGAGATGGAGTTATGAGAAACAACCTTCAAATAAATCCAAAACCAAAACCAGCTGCTCCTAAAGTTGTTGATAAACCAAAAAAAGTTGTACAACCAGCTGCTCCTAAGGTTATTGAAAAGCCTAAAAAAGTTTTACAGCCTGCACCACCAAGAGCACCCTCCAGAGCTCCTCAACCACAATCCTACCGTCATGACGATGATGACTCTGATGATGACTATGATGACGATGATGATGATGACTCTGATGATGACTCTGATGATGACTACGATTCTGACTTTGATGATGACGATGATTATTATGATGACGATGATGATGATTTCGAAGACTATGATGACTAGTCAGGGGTGAGAGGAATCTTAATTAGATTATTACAATTCATTCGGTTTATTTATTTAATACAAATAATAATAAAATAATAATAAAATTTTAATATTTTAACTATGTAAACTAAATTAATAAAGAACCAAATCATTTTTTTTCAATTATTATCTTTATTTTTTTATTTTTTTTTTATAGTTTGCCAAAGTAATAATTAATAATTACATATTTATATATATAGATGTTACATCAAAACAATAATCATTTGTTTATATCATTAATATTTAAAAATAAATATATTAGCAATCTTATCTATTCGAATGTTAAAGATATTCATTGTAAACTAAAACTAAAGTCTTTTAATTGGTCAGAGTTGTTACAATTACCAAGACAATTAGCATACTATCAATACTTTGATGAATTGAAAGAGTTTTTAGTTGTAAATAAACCGAAATCAATCGGTGATTTCACTTCAACTTTGTTGTCTGCAATCAAATATGATCGGTTAGATATATTCAAATGGTGTATTGATAATATGGTATCGATACACTCGATAAATCATTCACATTTACCATTCGATAAGTTAATGCGTGAATCGACTAGATATGGTAGATTGGACATTTTAAAATACTTGGATAGTATCGATCGATTCAGCCATCAGAAGAGTACAATCACTGATTGCTATGTGTTATCACCTGTCTGTGGTAATCTCGATGTTGTCCAGTGGTTCGAACAAACATACTACATTACCTGGAGAAATAACAAAGATAGAGATTCTGCTGCTGGTAATGCTGCTAATTATGGACAATTGGATATACTTAAATACTTTGTTGAAAGTAGCAGCAGCAAAAGCAAGTTATATATCCCAAGCTCTGTTGTCAGCTCCGCCATTAAAGGTTGTCATATGAATATCTTGATGTACTTGCATGAGAATGGAGTGGAATTAAACGGTCCCACTCATCTTTTAGATACGCTTATTATGTTTCCAGAGAATATAGATTCCGTAAAGTTCATATTGGAACATGGAAATATCAGGATAGGATGGATTGCCTTTACCAATTCAATACGTACTGGTGACTTGGAGTTTGTAAAGTACTTACTCGCTAAACTTCCACCAAGAGAGTTCCGGTTGCACAGCGTGGATATCGCAGCTGACCTAGGTTATCTTCATATCGTTACTTATCTGTATGAGCAATTCAAGATGGTTCATCCCGATGCAATCAGTATCTCCAATGCCATTGAATATGCATCTTCAAACGGGCATTTAGAAGTGATCAAATGGATCCACAACAATACAACACTAGGATGTAGTCATCAGGCCATGGACATGGCAGCTAAAAACAATCATCTTCACGTTCTACAATGGTTATTCGAGAATAGGGCTGAAGGATGTTCAAAGAAAGCATTGATAAATGCACTTTCAAACAATAATATTGAAGTATCTAAATGGCTACATGCCAACTGCACTACTCATTCAGAGGTAATGGAAGTACACGAAGTAATTAAGAACGATCATTTAGAGGCATTCCAATTCCTACATGCAATTCGATTGACTAAGAATCTTGATATCGACAATAAAGATTTACAATTGGTATGTCGATGGGGATCAATAAGAATCCTCAAGTATATTCACAGCTATTATAAAGATAATCAACATAACCAAAGTTCGAACAACACCGTATTTACAAGTAATCTAATTGATATTGCAGCAGAAGAAGGATGGATCGAAGTTGTTAGATTCCTACTTGACAATCGTACAGAAGGTTTCAATCAACAAGCACTTAACAATGCTGCTTTCAAAGGTCATCTGTCGGTGTTACAACTATTGATCAGCCACAAAGAACACAATTGGACCAATTCAACATTATACGAATCACTGCGAAACAAAAGATATCATGTCACTCTGTGGTTACTTGAGAATATGTCACCACACTTTGACATTCGCGAATTACTTGAAGAGGACGAAGATCTTGCCTATCATTACCATGTAGTCTTTCTTTTGAATGAAAGAGGTGTAGATGATGCAATCGATTGGTTAAAAGATGCAATATTCTTTCAAACAGAATCATCATAAATTTATTTATTTATTATTATTATGATTACATCTATTATTTCTATTATTTAAAAATAAAAAATATCTTTTTGATTTTTTAAACCACAAAGGTCGGTTTTGGTCCGATATTTCATGGTAATTTTCTAAAACCAATTTTTTTAAAAAGGAAAAAAATTAAAAATAATCATTCCCTCAATTTTTGTTTTTTTTTTTAAATAATCATAATTTGTAAATAATATATATAGATATTTAAAGATGAGTGGTGAATTTTTAGATAAAAAGAGTAGTATTCTATTTTTTATAAGTTTAGCCAATTTAGTTTTTGTAGTTGTATCACTTTGTACAGATTGGTATGGTGCATCAATATATGCTGGTAATCACGATTATTATACAATTACAAAATTCTCTGCAACTCTCTATGGATTAAAGACAACTTTTGTAAGTATATTTATCTGGAAATATAAAATAAATGTTTTTTTTTAGTAATAATTTTTAACTTACACATTAATTACTTTTTTTGTTTGTTTAGGAATTAAATGACAATGGAAATATTGATATTGTTTATAGCTATCAGAAATATACAGATCTTTACAAATCTACACAGACGAATGTAATGATTGCCACTGGTATATTCCAGTATTTCAGTTTGATATGTTTGTTAGGAGTGATGGCCTGTTTGGTGGTCAACCACTACTACGAGCATTGGGTTCTGCCCAAAGTTCATTTAATACTGTCTGCTTTGATGGTGTTGTTCGAGTTGATCTGTATACTGATGGTGTCACACATCTACATTGCCTATGAGGATAGCTACGGTTGGATGGAAGCATTCGGTGGAACCAGTGGCGGAAATAGCTGGGGACCGAAAGTTGGATTCTCATTCTGTTGTATCTCATTCATGTTGGCTGTGGGCACACTGATTCCAACTCTCATTAGACTCAACGAACAACATAACCACTCACACCTTTCCTCGGAGGATAACGCTGCCTTTGAAGATGCACCACTTCTCTCACACAACAACAACAACAGTCAATCCTACCAAAGCATCTATTCACCAGTTCCAATTACAACCACATCAACTACAACCACAACAAATAGCAATCCAAACACTCCAACTGTTACCATTGTTACTCCTCCAACCTCCAAAAACTCAATCGATTCCAAGTCAGAACCGATTGAACCAAAACATCAACCACAACAACCTACAGCAACAACAACAAATAATAATGAAGAATCAGAAGAATCAAATGAATATCAAGAGTTTTAATAAAATATTTATTTATTTATTTGTTTGTATGAATCGACCAATCAATCAATCATTTATACATTTGCATTCAGATTCATCGCTTCAGTACGATTCTCTCTTAACCATGTTAACATTTCGGTGTCACCATGAACTTTAGCAGCTTCAAAAGCATATGATGTACAACCTTCTGTTCTATTGAAATGTAAGTATTTTACAATTTTGAGGTTTCCTTTGTATGCCGCATTATCCATAGCCAATGTAGTTGCGCCTTCCGTACGATTCTCATTTAGCCATTTAATGATATCTAGGCTATTGCTCAAAGCAGCATTATCTATAGCACTAGCTGTACATTCACCATAATTATTATAGTGCAACCATTTCAAAGTTTTTAGGGAACCAGTTAGTGCAGCTACATCCATCAAAATCGAATGACCATAGGAATCACTATTTTCCGTACCAAGATAGTCGAGTACATGTACATGATTGTTGCTAACCGCTTGGAAATACATTGAACTGTTTGCTCTGTCCTGTGGTCTATTACGAACCAACCATTCTATCATATCGATTCGACCTACTCTAGCAGCACAATTGAACACATTTGGATTTAGCAAAGAAAAATACGATTTACCGGTTTCTTCCTTGTCTTCTTCTTCTTCTTCTTGTATCAGTTGTAGTCGCTTTGTGAAATATTTAACAGTCTCCATGTTCAGAGAGAACGGTGAGACTCCCAACGCCGCTAAATAGTTCCATTGCATTTCTTTATCAAAGCTTGCTAGATATTCTATGATCGTATGATCAGATCCACTGTAGATCGATGCAAAGTACATCAAATCATACACCTGACTGATATCTTTGTCTTCGTCCAACTTTACACGTAATTCCTCTACGATGTAACGTAGGACATCTAAGCGATTCGCTCTTATCGCATTTCTAAGCATTGCAATCTTATCTTGGCTCGAAACCAAACGAATTGAATTCTTTTTGAAATGTTCCTTTAGATATTGAATATAACCATTACCAGCCAAGACCTTTGGAGTACTACGAACATCGCTCCACCGATATCTGTTTTGTGTAAAATCATCTTTACCATACGAAGTATCTGGGTCATAAATAGAAACCGTTTCTTTTTCATTTAAATAATAAACACTATTAAATATATGATTCTTCAACACATTGTTATTAAATAGATTAATAAATAATTCTTTATTCATTTGTCCAGTTGATCTATTTCGTTGAACATTTTTCTTTGTCTTTATTTAAGCTTTTAAATAGACAAGGTAGAAAAAAAGAATCATTTAAAAAAAATCACAAATTATCAAAAATATTAATAGAAAATCAAAGATTTATTTATTTAATAAAATTAAAAAATAAATATATTGTTTTTAAGATTTTTGTCATTTAATTTATTCAAAGTAAAATGATCACAACAAGTTCTTTAAGATTTTGACTAGCAACAATGATTAAAAAAAAGTAGAATTGAAAGATCATAGGTGGTTTTTCTACAAGAGAGAGAAAAACTGACAATTTAGTCAATAAAATTATAATAGTTACAATTTAAATTTTATTTTTTTAATTATTTATTAATTTCATACCAAACTGTGCTTTTTAAGTTCATTTAAATAACAGAAGAATAATAGACTGTGGTAAATTCTTAAAAATAATTATGATCATTAGTATTAGATTGGAATAGTGTTGAAAGATTGATGTGTGTAATTCATTTTACCCCCACCTATAAAATAAAATAACTCATGTTGATTTAAAATTGTAAAGTTTAATTTAGGTTGGCAGTGAAATCAAAATAGTTTTATTCAGATCAACAACAAAGAATTAAAAAAAAAAATTCCAATAGGAAATACAAACTCATAGATATATTAATTAATTTTACAGATAAATACTATAACCAACCATTTAAAAATGGCTAAAAGGAAATCAAAATTATTCAAAATTATTCTGTTATTATCTATTATTTTTATTATACTTTCAATAGGAGTTGGAATATTCTTTATAATTTTGTTTGTTGAACCAATATCAGTTAGTATTTTAAATAATAATGGTGATGACCTATCATTCTCTTGGGGTGACACAATCGATCTGCATGCAAATATTAATAGAGGATGGAAATCTTTGGTCAAGTACAGATGGGAATTGGTACCAAATCAAAATTCAACATTGATAATGGAGAGTATATTCATTAAGGATGCAGGTTCTAATTTGAAACTACAAGTGGATGATTTGCTTTATTTTGAAATAAAGGCCTTCAGAGTTCATGCTTCATACCTAAGTGACCAATTATTTGTTAGGTCATCGGATATCCAACTTTATTCTTATTTATTGGCAAATGAAACAAAGTTTGTTGAAAGAGATCATGTGCAATCTTGGAATCCAAACACCAATGTTCTACAGTTAAATGGTAGTTCTTTTTCAGATATTAAAGTTGGTGACATAGTTTTAGAATCGGAAGGTCTGTTTTTAGTTTCCATTCTAAACATTACATCAGTAAATGATCATATTTATTCCTACCAAACAAAGAATAGTTCGATACCAGAGGCATTTATCTATTTATTCCTTAGAGAAACCACTTTGACATTGGATCAAGATAATACTACAACCAATTCAACACAACTTCAAATTAATAATCAAAAGCTACAAAAAGAAAACACTACAACCAATTCAACTATACTTCATAATAATAACCTACAATTACTAAAAAATAATAGTAATGAATATAGAAATGGACCTCCTATTGATATAGGAAATCATACCTTCTCTTTTGATGCTTTAACAGGTGGATCTCTCAGATTTCTATTGGATAATAGTAAAATTGAAATTAATATCTATCCAGGTTCCTACGTTCAAATTAATTGCACTACACCTCTAATGTCCACTTTTATCCAAGACAGAAAACTTATTTCTCAACTATATAGAATGATTTGCAAAGTCAATATAGACTTATCAGGCAAATTTAATGTACCGTCAAACTATGAAAAGAAATGGACATACTATTTATATGGTTCGGATGATTCTGGATCGGAGAGTGGCGGTATATTTTCAAAAGGAAAGAAATTCAAATTCACATTGAAAGGTTTAAGAAAGAAAATTCCATTTATTCTTTCGCTTGAATTAAAAGTACCATTAGTCTTCGATATCAAAACCAAACAAAAAATGAGCGGATCTTTCACTCTTAAAGCTAGTTCACAATTCCCAGTAGATTATATTTATTCTCCATCAGACGGTTTACAAATGGTTCCTTTTTCACCTGTGGTATGGGATACCCGAGGTACTCATTTTAGCGATTACGATTTAAGTTGTAACTCTCAAATTGATATTTCTGTTGGAATTGGTCTTGAAGGAACATTATTTTTCCAATCTTTGAGCGGATATCTCAGATACCATTACATTTTCAATACCTATGACAATCAATATAATGGAAGCGTTCATGGTTTAACCCTGAAAGAGATTTGCGATTCCGGAAAAAGACCTGAAACCCTAGTTTCTACCTATTCAGCAGACCTAACTATTGGTCTCAAATTCTGGATATTTGGTTTAAGTAAAACCGTTGAAATAGAATTTGGTTCAACTCTGTTACATTCACAATGTTTGCGAGCACCTTGTACTATACCATTTATAAGATATACTTGTGGAAATTTAGTTGCGCCTGAATGTCAAGAAGCGTCTTGGGGTCAATATATCGGATATTCAGAGTGTAAAGCCAAATGTGAAACCTGTCAGGCATGTCCTGACCCCAACTGTTGCAATTGCCCTGGTCATGTTAGATTTCCCTGTAGTTCAGGTTGTGCTATTAATTGCAAGGGTAATGTATCAAATAGAAAAAAAAAATTATTCTATTTTCTAAACTAACATACCATACATTATTAATACTTAGGTAATTTTGTGGCATGTTGTATGTAACTTTAATTTACAGGTGATAACTAAACAATAAATATTAAATAAAAATAAAATTGTTTTAATCAGATATCTTTTTTTTTTTTTCGATTTACATAGTTTATTTTCTCTTATTATTTATAAACTTTAACAACTAATACTGAATATATATCCAAGTAATAGATTAGTTTTTGAAATTTTTCATTCTTTCAATCTATAATTTATAAATAAATAAAAAAAAAAAAACTAATAGAAAAATGAGATGTCTAGTTAAAAAGTAATAAACTCCATTTACTTATTTAAACTGATCACAACAACAATCCATTTCCATTCTTAAAAATTTACCTATTTTTTGTTTTTCGTTTTTCATTTTTATTTTTTTTGTTTATCCCGAACGATGCATATGAGGAGAATTAAATTAATTTATTCATTAAAGCTGTATTAACACACAAATCAATCATGTCGAATAACATCCAGAAAGTAGAGAATAACTTACAGAATATCTATGACAATAATGATTTCTATAATGGGTATCTAAGTCTACATCGTTCAAAGAATGGTGATGCTCCAGAGTTTCATTATATCGAGCCAATGCTACCACCATTGAAAGATGCCACCGTTGCCGACTTGGGTTGTGGTTTCGGATTTTTCAGTAGATATTGTGTGAACCAAGGCGCTAAATCCGTGGTCGCCGTCGATCTCTCAGAGAAGATGTTGGCACGCGCCAAACAACTACATCAAGATAATGAACAATACAACGTAATCGAATGGATTCGTTCCGATATCGGATCGATAGAGTTGGCTACCAACCACTACCAGCTGGTCTACAGTTCACTGGCGATTCACTATCTCGAACATCTGGAACCGTTGTTCAAGCGCATCTATCAGGCATTGGTTAGCGGTGGTCGATTCGTATTCTCCACGGAACATCCTATCTACTCTGCACCAACAGATCAATCGTTCAAATCGGATGGCAATCAAACATACTGGCCAGTAGCAAACTATTCGATCGAAGGTAAACGTGAAACCAATTGGTTTGTCAATGGCGTTGTAAAGTATCACAGAACCATTGGAACTCTGGTGAATCTACTGATCGAAACAGGCTTTACCTTGAATAAACTCGAAGAATTCAGACCGACCGAACAACAACTTAAAGATCTTCCAGATGTATTTTCAATTGAACTTCAAAGACCTATGTTTTTGATGATTTCCGTTACTAAAAATTAATCATGAAAATAAATTTAAAATTCCAATAAATTTTCTTGAAATCTAAATCTTGAAAAATTATGATGGTTAATGAATGAGTCATTATTCAAAAAACTAAGTTATCAAAAAAAAAACTGTAATTTATTTTTGGGGTAAATAGAGTGACCAAAACAACACACTTCACAACTTTTTAAATTAAATTTATTAATTAATTTATAAACCCTTTTTATTTGTAAATAAATTTCAATTAAATATACTTATATATACTTATAATAAAAAATAAATAGAAAATATAATAATGTCACAATCAGCATATGCAGAAGTAACTGTTACTGTAAACAATGAACAATTCCTTCCTATTCCAATTGATCTGAGTGGTACAGTCGAACAATTTCAAAAGCTAATAGAATTTGAAGTAAATATAATCATTATATTATTGTCATTTCTTTAATAAAAATGATAAATACTAATTAAATTTGCTGATATTTATTAGACAAATATACTTGTAAAAGATCAATTATTATTATTTGAAGGTAAACAACTTGTTTCTACAAATAAAATTTCAGAATACAATATAAAACATGGTGATTTGTTATTTTTAACAAAGAGACCTGCTGGTCAAACTGCACAACCACAACAACAACAACAACAACAAAGACAAAGAAACGCACCAGCAGCTGCAGCACCACAATTCAAGAATGCAAGAGAGTTTATCGATCATTTCAAGAGTAGTCCAATGGAATTCAATTCAATTATGAATGTATGTTGGTTGTTACAACAACTACTTTGAATCACAATTACTTACACACATTTACAATCTATATTAAACAATTAATAGAGTAATCCACAAATTGCAGATGCTATTCTCAATGAAAATGAAGAGGTCATCGGTCAATTGTTGAAACAAATCGAACATCAAAGAAGATTGGTAGAGTTGGCCAGAGATCCTTTCAATGAAGAGGGACAGAAAGCAATCTATGAAGCTATCCAACAACAAAATATCGAAAAGAATATGGAACATGCTATGGAGCACACTCCAGAAGCATTTGCCAATGTCATCATGTTGTATCTCGATTGTACCATTAATAATCATCCAATCAAGGTATTCGTTGATACAGGTGCTCAAAAATCAATTATGACATTGAACGTATGTATCTATAGAGAGAGAAAGACAAGAAAGCAAATATTAACAATTAAATTACAATCATCATTATTGTTGTTGTTTAGTGTGCAAGAAAATGTGGATTAGATAGATTGATCGATAAGAGATTTCAAGGTATTGCCAAAGGTGTCGGTACCGCCAAGATCGTCGGTAGAGTGCATGCCGCCGAGATGAATATGGGTAGTGCACATATCACTATTTCTTTGTCTATTCTCGATTCTCCGGGTCAAGACACAGAGTTTATCTTTGGTTTGGACATGTTGAAAAAGCATCAGGCACTCGTCAATCTCCGTGACAATGTGTTGGAGTTTGGTGAGATGCGTGTACCTTTCCTTCAGGAGAAAGACTTGAAGGAGATTCTTGAGAAGAACGATCCATTGCCAGAGAACTATGTTCCACCATCACCGACCACTACCACCTCCACCTCCGCTTCAACACCACCAACCGCCACCGCCACCACTGTAACATCACCACCACCAGCCACCACCTCAACTTCAAAACCAATGGCAACATCTCCACCTGCATCATCACACTCTGAAGAAGCAATCAACACACTGATGTCATTCGGTGCTACCAGAGCCAAAGCAATCGATCTTCTCAACAGAGCAGGAGGTGACATTGAGAGAGCTGCATCTCTCTATTTTGGAATGTAAAAAAAAAAAAAACAAACAAAATAATAATATATAATATAAATAATCAAATCAAATATAAATTCCTGAAACCAATAAATAATAAATTCATGTTAATTATCTGTATTAAAGATCTGAACATTTATAAAAATTTTGTTTTTTTTTGTTTCATTTTTTTTTTTTTTTTTGTTCATTGATTGTGATTAATCAAAATCATTTCATAGTTTTATAAATTATAGAAATAAAATGAATAGAGTTCCACAATATAAGGTAGTTGCTGTTGCTGCTGTAAGCATTGGATTATTAGTTGTTACACCAATGTAGGTTATATATAAAAAAACATGAATAAATAACATAGAGAATAGAACAGAATGATAAAAACGACAACACCTATCATAATCTTTGCTTTTCTTTATATTAAACATACGATAATCAACAATATTTTAACTAACTAAATACATTTAATTTGTATATTTATAGATGTAAACCATTATTTGGTTCAATTTTCGGTTCAACTGCCGCAAATGGTAAAGATCATAATAGCTTTTACTTTATTCATATGTATCTAATAATAACAACATCATATTCAATTAATTACTATTATTATAGAGGCTCACTTGGCACAATTAACAAAGAAGATACAGAATCAAGGTGAACACCACGATGATCATCACAACGTTAGTCATGGTGGACATCATTAATGAACAACAATAGAATATAGGTTAAACATAAAAAAGAATAAAAAGAAAAAAGAACTAGTTAAATATAGAAATTAGCTATTCAATCACACAACACAATAGCAACAACCATCGATTATGATAAACAGATCGATAGATCTTTATCATTAACAATCAAAAACCCTAGATACACAAAGAACTTTTACGATAAAGTTTAGAGTTAAAACACAACCAACAATAATAATAATTTAATTAATAAATTTGTAATAAATTAACAAAACAAAAATCTCTCACTTATTATTATTATTATTACTTATGTTTCAACATGATAATTTGTTATAGATCGGATCGATCGATTTCGTAATTTACACCTATAGGTGAATTCATTTTATTTTCAAAATTTGTTACCGTCTGATTATTAATAATCATTCAATATCTTTTTTGTTGTTTCTTTTATTAATAATAAATGAAAATATAATGTTAAGACAATTAGTTGTAAAGAATAGCTATTCAAATATATTAAATAGTGGTGCAATAAAAGCAATTTTGAACTACACTACTTTTAATAGTGTAAATCATGCATATCGATTTAGAGCATACTGCTCGATTGCACCACCTCCCTATAAAGTATTATTCTTTGGCACTGATCAAGTATCAATTAATACATTGACTCTATTACATGAGAATAACAGTAACTATTTAATATTATTTTTACAAAACAACAAACTTTAATAACACAATGATCATTTTCTGATTTAAATTTTTCTTGAAAAAACAAAGAGATAAAGAATAATAATAATAATAACAATGCAGACACATCAATATCGACAAACAATAGTAATAACAAATTAGTTGTTGATGAACTTGAGGTAGTTTGCCCAGACAACAAGAATGAATTAGTTTATCAATATGCAAAAAGTAATAATATTCCTATGTATCATCCTGATAAAGAGAATGGAATGAAAGGTTTCAAAGTTCCATTGTCTTCGAAATCAAACCAACCATTTGACATTGCAATTGTTGTATCATTCGGTTATTTTATACCCAAGTAAGTAGATGATCTAATATGATTCATATTTCAATCAATATTAACTTGCTTATTTTCAAAGATCAGTACTTTCATCTTTCAAGTATGGTGGAATCAATATGCATCCGTCACTATTACCTAGACATAGAGGACCTGCACCTATACATCACACCTTGCTCTCTGGTGATAAAGAAACAGGAATATCAATTATAACACTGGACCCAAAGAAATTCGATGTTGGTGATATTTTATTACAAACAAGACAAGTAAGAAGATGCTTAAACACATAAATATTTATATTTTATTAATGATATCAATGTTTTTTAAAAATAGAAAATAAGACCAGATATATTATATTTAGAGTTAACCAATAAGTTGACAACCAATGGTGCTGCTATGGTAATCAAAACATTGGAGCAATTTGTTGAGATGTCAAAGAATGCCGTTGCACAGAGTGAAGTTGGTGCAACGAAAGCACCAAAAGTCAATAGACAACAGAGTAAAATCGAATGGTCACAACACGATTGCGCTACCATTTGGAATATGTATAGAGCGTTCAGCGATACCATCGGTGTCTCTACAACTGTCTATAGTAAAAAGTATAAGAATTGGAAGCGTCTAAAGATAACAGGTATGCTCGCACCACCAGGTGCTGGTGTCGACCCAGTTGCCAACTCCAAACTCTACTCTTCACTCAACGAAGATCTAAAGCAGCTGAGTGGCGCTGAACCTTATGGAACCTATTTCCTCGGAACCAACAAGCTGATGTGGATCAAAGCAAAAGATGGTTGGATCGGAGTCTCAAAGATCTACGAAGACGGAAAGAAGAATGATGTTCAAGCTCACGAGTTTCTCTTTGGCAAAGCTGTAGTTTCACCAACGAAAAGCAACAACAGCATTGCTGAAAAGATTGAAATACCTACAACACAAGTATTTGTTTAATAAATAAACATTGTTTGATCAATCCATCGTTTATTTGGTATTCTTCATTTTATAGTTTAGTTGAGCTGCCTTCAATACATTCTTTAATAACATTGCCACTGTGAGTGGACCTACACCTCCTGGAACTGGAGTGAAAGCCATCGCCTTGCTATAGGCATCGGGATGTACATCACCAACCATTCTATATCCCTTTTTCTTTGTTGGGTCATCGACATAGCTAATACCAACATCAATCAACACAACACCTTCTTTGATATCGTCTTTCTTGATCAATCCTGAACAACCTGTTGCACTCTTTAATCAATTTAATTAAAAAGATAGCATTGTTAATAACATAAACAAAACATATCGTTTAGACTCTATAAACTTACAATAATTAAATCTGCATTCTTAAGATGTTGTCTTATATCTTTTGAGAAACGATGTAGTAGAGTAACTGATGCACCTCCTTGAATCGATGGATGGTTCAGATTCTTTTGTGATAGTAGTGTTGCAATGGTTCTACCAACTAAATTACTTCTTCCTACGACAACGACATTCGCTCCCTCAATCTTGAAATTATATTGTTTAAGTAACTCTAATATTCCATCTGGTGTACATGGTAAGAATATCGCTCTATGAATTTATACAATAATCAGTAACTTATAATATATATGCACCACAATAGCTATAACTTATAACTTACTTTTTACCAAGGAATATTTGAGCCATATTTAAGGAATTCAAACCATCTACATCTTTAAGTGGGTTAATCGATTGAATGATTGTGTGTGCATTCAGATGTCCGGGTAGAGGAAGTTGTACGATGATACCAGAGACATTCTCATCGGCAGAATGATACTCTATCTTCTTCATCAATTGAGCTGGTTGTATGTTTGAAGAGAATCGATCTAATGTGAACTTGAAACCAACTTTCTCGCATGAATCCTTCTTTTGTTTGATGTATGATTCGATTTGTGTATTCTCACCCACATAAATGACAACCAAATGTGGTGTTACACCTGTTTCATTCTTAAAAGTTGTTGTTTCTTTTTCTATACCTTGTAACTAAAAAGTAATAATATTAAATGAATGAGTGAATGATTAGATATAAATGATTATTAATAAATGACGATAGTGTTTAATAAACCTACAATGTAATCAGCCATCTTTTTACCCTCTAACTTGATAGGCCATTTGTGTCTAAGTTTACTAAATGTAGAGTGAATACTCTTTTGATTGGTTTTTTTCTGTTTGTTGTTGTTTGATTGTTGAACATTGTTGTTGGTGATAGTAGCCGAGCATGGGATGTTGGGTGTGGCAGTGGTGTTGTTGTTGGTTAAAAATGATTGTCCTAATATATTCGATGCAGTGCTATAATAACTCTTATAACTGTTTCGACTGAATATCAGTCTGTTGGTTATAGAAATCATGCTTCCACTAAATATAGATTTATTTATATTGATCAGATTCATTTTGTTTGAAAAAGAAATCAACAAAAACAAAAAAGTCAAATTAATTATGAAACTTAAAATTGTTTTAATTATTATTTTGTAGATGACCGCATTGTTCACCTAATTTTAATTATTTATCGATACTTAATATAAAACTGGTGCAACTATGACTTTTAGAATAATAATTCCGCTTATTTGTTGAAGCGTCTGACAACTGGTCAATCCAGCTTCTATCACATTGACTACACATGCAACAAACAAGAGATTGTATACACGACCCTTGTTTATCAAAAATAAAAATACTTCAAATCAAGGATAAGAACTTTAACTTCATCTCAACATTTTGAATGTCTTTATCTTTGAGTCATTTTTATTTTTTTGTTTTTATAACTTTCTCTCAAGTGTGAAAATACTCTTTTCTTCTTTAGGTAGATACCCAATAGCATCAATAAACTTAGTAAGACAGCTCCACCAACTACTGTTGCAACAATTATTATGGTTTGTTTGGAGATACCACCATCATTGCATTCAGGTTCACTTTGCAATAAAACTGAAAAGTTGGGATCTATAATACAGTTATAGCATTGTGGTACTTGAATTCCTATAAGTGTCGTTCCTGTCTCTTTGTTGGTACTGATAACTTGATTTCTTGTTGATGTTGGTTTGCCATCTGACATGATTCTATCAATAAAAGAACCATAGAATACACTGTTATCTTTAACTATTCTAATATATTTTAGATCGTCGTTTGTATCTTTTCCAAAACTATCCAACTGGTCACCACATTTATCTACTTGATCTTCTATCTTGGTGTTAAAAAGAACTCTGAGATTGTTGAGATTGGATTGGAATTGCCATCCATTGATCGTAATAGATACTTTTAATGAGTTTGGCGGGAGATATGAAGTGATTCCAGCAAACTCTACAGTTCTCTCTTTAGGCGAGTGTTGTATCAATGTTATTACCTCTGGTGATGATACATTGAGGTGGTAATAAAAGTTGGTGATATCGCCATCTGTATCATTCTTAAAATTCCAACTGGTGATATTTAACTCGCTAACTATATTGTCGGTGCTGTCAATCTCTTGAATTGCATAAAAATTAAAATCGAATTGTACATCATTACTTACTACAGAAACTACTGGAGTTGTTTCATTCTTAACGATTGTACTATTTGCAATTGTGTTCTCACAATAAAATCCACCAAATCCATCACTACATTTACATTTTTCTGAAACACAAACACCATTACCATTACACTTATCATCTCTACCACAATCATTTGGCACAACAGCATTATCTTATTTATGAAAAATGATTTTATTAGTATATTGTACAATTAAAGAATTTAACAATCAAATAATAACTTACCAACTTTGATAGTTGTTTCGTATGATTTGAGATCAATAAAGATGACCAATTTTTGATATCCTGATGCTATTCCTTCTTGTAAATAACAAACAATGGTTGTTTCATTCTTTGAATTGATACTACATTGTTCGTTGTTTAATTTAACTTGGTTATTTGTATCTTTAGTTCCAAAGAATCCACTCAATATCAAGTATCCTCCATTTGTATCGATTGGTGACCATGATGATAATATCGGATATTCTAATAAAAGTGAGTTTAAATTATTAATATTAAAGATTCATGATCAAAAGAAAACTAAATGTAGTACATACCTTGAGTATATTGTTGTGATAGTTGAATTACCTGAATTTGATTCTCCAAGCTAATACTAACTAATCCATCATTTAAATAACTTGAAAGGTTACACTTTAAAAGTTGATCAGATTTTAATATTATTTTGCAATCAGTATTATTAACTTTTGCTGAATAGGCCATTGTGGAATCAAATACACCATTCATCTCCACAACAGTATATGTTGACACTGGTTTAAAAATAACATTATTCACCTGGCTCGCTAAAAAAAAAATTGGTTATTATAATAATCATTTTGATGAGTGGTCTTAAAAACACATACGATCTACTGCCCATGATATATTTCTTGTTAAACTATTAAACTCTATTAATTCAATTCCATTATTTTTATCTATTTTTAATCTACAATTGACGGTAAGAAATATATATTAATTTATTTGTTTTTATTATAATATTATTTAACTTACCTAAACAAAGAATTTGGAACAACTACTTCCACTTTAGGATTAGAAATATCGAATCCAAGATTTTTTCCTGTTATATCAATATATTGTTGTGGAGTCTTGAGTATAAATGATGTCTTGTCAATTAATGCATCTAATTAAGTTTAAATTAGTATGATTTGGATAAATGAAATAGAAACTGTTTTATACCTACTGCAAGTATATGGCAATGCTGGTGCAACAGATAGTGGGAAGCTATTCTTCATTGTGTCCCAACTGCAAGAAACACAATCTGGCACAGATGTTATAGAGGTGTTAATAAAGTTTAATCCCCGGTATGAACATAGGAAATCTGGAAGTGCACCTGATATTCCCAGATTGTTTGTTAAAACAAGATTTGGTGAGATACTACTATAATCCGGAATGGGTGGAACTAAATTATTTTTACTCAAATCACTTAAATTTCAAACTTAGTAGTTGTCTTTTTTAAATTAATAAAATTAGAAATTACATTTTAGCTGAACTTGCAAACCATGAAACTGGAGGCCACTCCTGGAGTTGTACATTTTGGTATACAAAGTTTACTAGATTGGATACATTTTTCAAATTTGCAACAGTATCTGTGATGATTCTTGGTAATTTACAAAAAGAATTAATAAACTATTTAATAAATTTTCAAAAAAATGAATCTTACAATGATTCAAGTGGTGAATTCAAAAGATTGGTGGTATTCAAAATACTGTTTCTCACTTCTCTATTATAATAAATGAAATTAGTAATAGGATAATTAAATTTAATTAATAAACTACTTACAATTTAGTTAGGAGAGAACCTCTCAATAACTCATATCCATTGTTATTATTTGTGGTGTCTGTTACAGAGATAATCGAAATATTATTGGAATCAAATCTGATGGATCGATCCGAAACATATGAGCAATGGATATATCTATTTATATCAAATATAATTAATAACATTGATAAAACTAAAATTATATATATGACAACAAACATTTGTTTTAAATTTGGGAATGATTCTTGAGTAAAAGTGAATAAAGTACCTAAATCTGTCAAACATATTGATCTAAACGATGGTTATGTTAGTATAGTTTTAAAATGTATCTCCTTGTGGGTTTCTATATTTACAAAATCTGTAAATTTGGATATATATCGCCTGCAACAAAAGCAAGAGTTGAATTTGTATCTAATGTAAGTGTTTTTAAGGTCTTTAGTATATTTTTTGGAAATCCTGGTGTTATTCCATTTATATAAGTACTAAAATAAAGTTAGATCTACATTCTTTTTGATAATATATAAATTTACTTACAAAGATTCGGGTGCTATCATTGTTGGAAAATTTTTTGGTATCTGTGTAAGAGTTTTATCTGCTTCAAAACTGATCGATTGTTAGTAAGTATTATAATGCCCAATCCTTTTCAATTATATTTACCTAATGCTTTTTAATTTACTGTTTACTGGACTGTCTAGGAAGGATAAGACGTTCAATGATTGATTCATCATCATGGTTGTTTTTTGGAAGATAATGGAGACCATATCTGGGAAGTATAGTTTAGTAATTGGAGGAGGATCATTTGGTTGTACAGCACGAGTACTTCCCAAAATTGTACTTTGCAATATATTAATTTAAATGCTTCTAATAGGAAATAGAACCGATTCAATCGGAAAACTGTGAATCAATATCTTACAGTGTTAAGAGAGTTGCTTCAGAACTGTTTTGAGCGGATACACCACACAACATCTCAATAGCTGGACCAAAGTTTGTACAATTGTTTCCATAGCTATATAAATTTAAATTAAACTGATAACTAAGCCATTGAATTGATTGAACTAAAGTAGATCAATAAAAAGATATTTAGAACTTAAAATCATAAAAAAATGTTGTTTTTTTTTACTTACTAACTTGAACATTTAATAGTACATCGGATTTAGAAGGTGTAGTAAAACATATTAAAATAATTAAAAATAAATAACTAATTATATGTTTCATCTTCTAAAACTCTATCTGTTTATCTTTGAAAATAATTTACAAAAAAAGGGTTGATTGCTAATAGGATCAATATGGCTTTTGATTTTTTGATCGTTACCAAATAAAAAAAAATAAAAAAATCAAGATATGAATTGATTTGCACCAAAAATTTCAATCTTTTGATTTGGGGTTGGATCGGTATAATCTAACATTTTTGTTTCATATAAAGACAAGAGGACAAGAGTGGTTAAATTATTATTTTTTTTGTTATTTTTAATTTTATTTAATTATATTTTTTTTTTTTTTTGAGATGTTTCGAAAAAGTTTAATGACCGTGTCCGTCACCCTTCTTGGAAACAGCAGAGGCGATGTGATCTACTCTCAACATTGTGCATGCAGATTCGATGGCGGTCTTTAAGGTTTGAACTTTGACGGCATGAGTATCCCAGATACCCAAGGTCTTCATGTCAACGACAGTACCTTTGTCTCCATCGACACCGTATGTATTGTTTTCAGTTGGATTTACAGCGTGTTTAGCTCTCAATTCAGTGAGCAATTTAATGGTGTTGGCACCGCAATTCTGTGCCAAAACTCTTGGGATGCACTCGAGTGCCTGAGCGACGGCCTTGTATGGCAACTGGTAGATACCCTCGATCGACTTTGATTTCTCAGAGAGTGCCTGTGAGATGGCCATTTCGATGGCACCACCACCTGGAACTAAACGTGGATCCAAAACGACGTTACGAGCGACACACATGGCGTCGGCAATGTTACGCTCGACTTCATTCAAGATATCCTTGCTGGCACCACGCAACAAGATGGTGCAGGCCTTTGGATTCTTGCATTCCTCCAAGAATGTAAAGTATTCGTCACCGATCTTACGGATCTCAAAGAGACCACAGTCGGTACCGATGTCAGACTCTTGGAGTTCGTCGGTTCTGCTGACGATGGTGGCACCAGAGATACGCGCGATACGATTGTTCTCGGTCTTCTTGAGACGACGCAAACAAGTGATACCAGCCTTTACAAAGTAGTGCTGTGCCAAATCGGAAACACCCTTCTCTGTGAACACCAAATCTGGCTTCAACTTTATGATATCGTTACAGATCTTTTGAACGTATTCCTCTTCGATCTTCAAGAGTGCAGTGAAATCATCTTCATTGGTGATATCGACAGTTGTATCTGATTCACCCTTCTTATATTCCAAAGCACAATCCAACAAAACGATTCTTGGATTCTTAATCATTCTTTTCATCTTTGCATGAGTGACGTCTTTGTTTAATAAAACTCCCTTCAATACTCTACATTCTGTTACATCACCACCTGGAATCTAAATTTATTTAACAAAATAATAATAATAAAGAAGTAATTGATTGAATTAGTTTGTTTTCTTTTTTTTGTTTTGTTTTGTTTTGTTTTTTTTAATTTTGATTTGATTTGATTTTACCTTTTCAACTTTAACATATCTTTTAATATCGATTTCTTCACGATCATCTTGACGAGTGTGAACGGTCAAGACGGCATCCAATGAGAGGTCGCACATGAGCTTGCTCCATTTGTTGATGAATTTAGTACCGATGGAAGATTGGATGACCTTGAGGAGTTCCTGACGATTCTTTGTGTCGATTTTCAAAGAGTATTGATCCATGTAGGTGAGGGCATCGTCCAATGCCATACGAAAAGCCTTGATGATGGTGGTTGGATGAATGCGTTTCTCTATCAATGGCTCCGAAGAGGTGAGTACCTCGCTGGCCAAGATGACCACCGATGTAGTTCCGTCACCGACATTCTCATCTTGTGCACGTGACAACTCGATAATCGATTTGGCAGCTGGATGAGTGACGTCGATCTCACGAAGAATTGCATTACCGTCGTTGGTGACAACAGTAGTACCCATTGGATCCAAAATCATCTTTAACATTGCCTTTGGTCCCAAACAAGTACGAACAATACTAGCAACTGCTTTAACTGCTAAAAATATACCTTGTTGTGCTTCTTTTTGATTCTCACGCTTTGCATTTGTATCTATAATAATTATTATGTTTTTTTTTATTATTTTGATCCGATAAATTAGTTAAAACTGTTTAAAAACGATTGATTTATTGGTTTTGTCCAACAACAGCTTGATGATTCATACTTAAAACGAAAACTGGTGTATTCATGATTGATCAATTATATGTATATCTACTCTAAGTAGTTGTATTCCTAATATTGATTGACTTGATTATTCCAATGATGTCGTTGTTGTTGTTGTTGTTGCTGTTGCTAGGGTGACTCTTGTTTATTCTAATAATATCAGAAATGAATCTACTATTATTATTTGCTATTGAAAGAATGAAATTAAGAAGTGTTCTCTTTTTTGACAAACACTTTATTTTAATCTCAAAAAAAAGTAGATATTAACAAGTGGCTATTGCTATGAGATAAACTATCAAAATTTAAAGTTCAGCAAAAAAATTAAATATTTCGATTTTTTTTTTTTTTTTTTTGGAAGTTTTTTTTGTTGAGTGAACTCAAAAGAAAGTATTAACAACGTTACTGAGAATATTATGATCATTAATAATAACTTTATTGTTTGTTAATTTTAATTTTTTTATTTAAAATAAGTATATATAATTGAAATATATGATAAATTTGTTATTTTTGTTTCTATTATTATTAAATAATAGACTATTATTATTGCTGTATTTTTTAATTTACATATAAATGATTTTTGTGTTGTAATCTAAATAATGTTAAGATTCTAATTAATTGTGTTTGATGTATATATATGTATATAAAGTTGGTTTGATAAGGTTTGGTTTGTACAATTAGCGGTACTTTCGAAAAAAAAAAAATAAGGGGAAAAAATCGATTGTTGTTCTTTTTTTTTTTTTTGGATGTTGTTGGTTGATTACTTATTTCTGGATAAGTGATTCTGACATTGGGATTGGTTCTTTAGTTTGTTTCGATGGTTTTGATGTTGGTGTTGGTGTTGCTGGTGTGTTTGGAGTGGCGGGGGTGTTTGTTGGTAGATGATTGGCTGCTCTCGATGATTTGCGTGCTGAGTTGCTTGGAAGCTCGAGTCTGGCATTCTCGACAGTGAGTAGTTCCACCGGGAAGATTGTACCACCCTCCTGGAGATAACGGAACCACATCTTTGGTTCCTTACCACGGAGTGTGAGGTGTGCGAGATCCTCGAGTGCAACGTACGCTGCACCGACCGACTCGTAGTCGGGAATTGACTTGGGCAGTTGATCGTCGTTGATCGGTTCAGCGTAGAAAATGACACGCATTCTCGAGTACTTTGAGTGTGGCGAGTATTCCACTCTGAGAATACCCTTGATTTCGACGTCGATACCGGCTTCCTCTTTGGTCTCACGGATGGCCGCTGCTTGGAGAGATTCACCTAAATTTACACGACCTCCAGTCAACCACCAACCCATGTTGGCAACTTCATTTACAAGTAAGAAACGACCATCCTTTCGACGACGGACAACTACCAAACAAAATGGATAAACTGTGCTCAATGCCATATCATTTTCATTGGGTACTCCCTCTGGACCGTGATCATTATGTAAATGACTTCCAATCTTATGAATCTGTTGTTTACAAATTGGACATTTTGGTATTTTCTAAAAACAACAAAGGTATTAATATATATAGGTAAATGAAATGGTTTGTTGTTAAGCTTACCATTGCTAAATGATCAAACTCTTCTGATGGATGGAAGAGGAATATATGGCTACAAATATCATTACGATCCAAATGATGGGCAATACCACCATGTCTGCAAATTGGACATGAATATCTACCGTTTGTCATCATTGATTTCTTCATAACTGCAATTGTACTCATGATATCATCGACACTGTCGATTGTAAAGTAATGTAAGAATGGTGTTGTTTAAGCTAGATTGTTTAGAATATGAATTGACTTACTTTTCAGAAACCATTGATGCACCTGCTTGTATTAGTTTAGCTGATTCAATTGAGTAGGCTTGTGATGATTTTCGCTTCAGTGGATCCAAGTAGACACAAACGAAAGCTGGCATCACTCTGATCACACGAATATCGTTGAGAAGTGCATGTATTTGTTGGAGATCCTCTTTCTGAACGTGTAGGATAATCATTACGATTGGGTTGTCCGAGTCGTAACGATTCAAACTGGCAGTGAGATCCTCGACAGTTCTCACTGTTATCAGTTTGTGTTCGTTGTCATCGCAAATAACCTTTAGCATATTGGAGTGAGTTTCACCCAACAATCCAAATGTTCGTAATTCAATCTCATCTTCATTATTACTGCTACTACTGCTGCTATTGTCATAGGTTTCACTCTGTATAACAATGGTTGATTTTGCAATATTTTTTCCAGATCCACATAAACTTGCCATCATGGTTTTTTTATTTTTATTTTTTGTGTCTGTTCAAAAAACCTTAGTTCCTTTGCACGTGCTGGTTACCCCTTTTCTTTTCTTTGCTGATTTTCTTTATTTTAATTAATTTAAATTAATTTATTATTTTCTTTTTGGAATATTTCTTGATTTATTATTTATAAAGAAAAATATTAAAAAAAATAAATGTGAAATAATTTTGTTTTTATTTAAACCAATGAATGATTTATATGTGTGGTTGAAATAGTAATAAATAATAATAAAAATATAAATATAGTTTTTACAAAAGAAAAATTCGATATAAAATATCGATTAATAATAATATTGATAATGTCAATGGTTAATTGGTTTTTTTTTTTTATTATTATTTTTTTTTTTTTTAAGATTCTATAGGTGTTAGTTTTTTAGAAAGCTTTTGTTTTAGTTTTATGGTTTTTTGTTGTAGAATTTTGTGTTTTTTTTTTGTTTTTTTGATTGTGTGGGTTTTGGGAGGTGAGCGATTTTGTCTTGACATGTCGTTTTTTTCTTATACCCAGTCCATACAATCATTGCTAAAAAATAATCAAAAACAACAGTATTCAGTAGATTTAATTTTTATTTTTGGTCTCAAAAGAAACTGGACCCTATTTACAGGATATCAAAACCTATATTTAGAATCCCAATCACTTAAAACACATTTCTTATAGTTCCTAACCGAGGACTTTTTTAACGTCGATGATATGTCACTACCCTCAAAACAACAAAGATGTATTGTGAAAATCAAATTTTTTGGTTGTGAAAAAAACAATCATAGATCGATGATTGATTGATATCTTGGTTTCTGTATTCAGCTTTGAGATTGACCATATAACATAGACTTTGAAAGTTTTACTTACCCCCTACAATCATTTAATCGTCTTTGGAATTGATATCAAAAAACCTGCATCATTACAAAACTGGTAAAATAGAATTATTGCTAATGGATTGATCGTTCAAACTTTTTAAGAGTGTGATATGTTTGTTTTATCAGTTTTTTCAATGAAAAAAAAAAAAAGAGCAAATTCAAAATAATGATAAACACCTACATGTAACTACTGCAAACTACTCGTTGTACACCCATAGGGGTGGTGTGATATTTATTGATTTTCTGTGTTGTTTGAACGGAATTGTTTTCAGTTATCTCTTTCTTCAGCTTCTTTCTCTTTCAGCGCGTAAAGATCATCCAAATCTTTTAATTCTCGTCTCAGTGCTAATGTTGATTGATGCAGTTGATTTTGAAGTGAATCAATCAAATCCTTGTAGTGTTGAACTTTACTCATCTTCTCCTCTATTTCGTTGTCGTACGTCGATGATCTTCTGTCACTTGTTTTAAATCCGAAATTCCCTTTTATATTAAAATTGTTGCTATTGTTGTTACTATTATTATAATTATTTACAGTTTTATTATTATTATCAATATCATCATCCAAGTTTGATGTTTGTGAAGATTTTAAATTTACATTGGAAGGTGACGGTGTTTGTGACCAACACCATTCATCACTATCAGATGAAATAACCAAAACATTATTTTTACTATCTCTATTATTATTATTATTATTACTATTGTTTTTACTATTGCTCTTATTATCTTGTTTATTATGATTACTTAATGGAAAGACTTCTTCCTCTTCTGTAAATAGACTAAAATGATTATTTATTTCGCTTTCTTGGCTATTGGTTGGCGATACAAAAAGTTTATTATTGTTTATGTTATTATCTTTATAACTCGTTGTTGATGTTTGAATACTATTATCGTACAAGTTTGAGGTTTTTAAATTTCTATATATGCTACTTTTATCGATAAAGTCATCGTCATCATTATTATTATTATTGTTGTTGTTGATTTTATGTTTGCTGTCTATTGTTGTATTTGATTTCTTTTTAGTAGTATCTGTTGATTTTCTTGTAGAATTGCTGATGACTTTGGTTTCTTTTTTATTCTTGTCGTCTTTATAGTTGTTAATATTGGTTGTTGATGTTGATTTCTTTGCTATCATATTCTCTATTTTTGATTTCTCGACCATCTCTTTTCTAGCTTGTTTCTCTTTACGCATCTCATTGAAATGTTTGTCAGAGTCGTATTCATCTTCTACCTCCTCTTCTTCTATATCGAAACCACTGATGGTTTGAGGTGGCAGTAAATTGTTTCCGTGAAATGGTGATTGCGGCAGTTGTATTTTAATATTGGTTTTAGTGTTACTGTTGTTGTTGCTGTTGGCATTACCAACATTTGTTGAACTGACTACACTGCTCTTCTTGTTACTGATGAACGACCTGATATCAGTGTGACCAGCCTTCTTCTCTAGCTCCTGTTGAAACTTCTTTTTCTCTTTAAGAATCTGCTTGATAAAGTGCTTAGGATCATCACCACGATTTCTAGATTGTTGTTTCTCATCATTATTGCCTCCATTCATCATCATTTCGAATATGTCATCGTCATTTTCATAATGTTCATTATCACTATCTATATCTTTATTATTGTTATTTTTCTTTCTTTTCATTATTATATATATTTAATATAAAATAATAATAATATTAATATATCTATTTTGTTTCAAATCAGATCTGACCATAAAGATTAAAATTTAATTAAAAAAAAAAAAAAATTAATTTTTAAAAAAAAATTAAAAAGGAGGGAAGTTTGTTTACTTGAATATTATGTTGTGCACTTTTAAATATATATTTTTATTTTTTAGAATCTATCTATCTATTACATTTCATTTTCAGAGCTGGATCCTTCTTCACTATTATTATTATTAGATGTATAGGGTGGTGGATTTTCTGATGATTCAGAATTATTGTCGTTTTCTTCAGGTTTTTGTTGAACAGAGATTGTGGTGGTTTCAGAAGCTGGTGATTTTTGTTGGTAGAATACAGTCAATACTTTTTGTGCAATATAATGTGATGGAACATTGTTTGGACCCATGACTGGTGTGTTCTGAGTGGTAAAGTAATACCAAAGATTGGGATCAACTGGGATGTTATGTGGAATGCTGACACCGTCTGGTAGTCTGTTGTTTGGACCGGTTGGCAAGACTGGCTGGCGAGTTGGATTAGATGGGTCGTGTTGTTGAAGTACATGCTGGGTAATGTATGATACGCTGTTATTTGGACCCATCACTGGAGAACTGATTGGTTTGAATTTATACCATGCTTTCTCTTCAGCAACAAGATTGGATGGAATTACCATGTTGTTGTATGGTTGTTGTGGTTGTTGAGGTGGACGGTATGGTTGTTGTTGTAGGGGTGGATGGTATGGTTGCTGTGGTTGAGCTTGTCCCGGTGCATAGTAGTTTTGTTGTTGTTTTTGTGGATATGTTGAAAGTGCTACTGGGTTGTTGAGTGTCAATGTTGCCAAAAGAATTCTTACTCTTATAAATGTCAGGATTGCGCTGATCAGTGAGAAAACAAATGCAATGACTGCACCGTAGAATCCTATCTCTGGACCCCATTTCATTTCATCGCTGGAGCCAGCGAATGATTTGCAGTAATAGTCTTCACAATAACTTGCCATGCTCTTATATGCTGAGGTTATACCGAAAACAGTAAAAAAACTGACTGCTTGGCAGAGGAAGTTGGCTACTGCAAAAAATAGATTCATATAAAGAGAAAGCGATGCTCTCTCTGGACTACGAGTAATAAAATGGGAGATACCGGTAGCCAGAGCTAAAATACCACCTACCACTTGGAACGCTCCACATACAATAAAAATCTGGATATCCTTAGCATTAGAATATCTCGAAAAGTTTTTGATATAATATTCAGAGGATTCTCTTGCCCAATAGCTACCTATACTCTATTAAAATAATAAACAAAAATTTAATTAAAAAAATTTACTTTTACTAGTAAAAAAATAAAAAACAAACACATACAATTTTATTGGTAACCTTAAAGCTATCATATATAATTGATTGAGGTCCTTCTTTGATTTTATACCATGATAGTCCCAACGCTAAACCTACTCCAACCAGTACTAATAAATTTAAGAAGATCAATCCAACTGAGAGATTGGCAGCTCTTTTTTCTTGATTTTCTTTTTCTGACATGGTGTTTTAATATTTTATAGAATTTTATTATATGTAATAAAAAGTTGTGTTTATTTTTTAAGGAGACTGTTAATACAATGGAAATAGACTTCTCTTTTGATGTAACTTTAAAATTTTATTTTGTAACATCCTTGCCTATTCCCTCATTTGTATTTGGTTATTAGAAAAATATTTATCCCTCATCAAAAAAAATCGATTCGCAAATAGCTGGTGGTTTTTTTTTTTAAAAATTAAGCAAATTCTGTTGTTTTGAAGTGATTTACCACAAAAAAACCTTGGGTTTCGAGCGTTTTTGTACATTTTGCAAAAATATTTATTTTTAATTTTATACCAAATATGGTAAAAAAATTGGCACAAGATTTATGATAAATCTCGTATGATGATTTGATTTGATTTGATTTTTTTTGATATACATTTCGATTTTAGTCATTTTTAAAACATATTGATGGGATTTGGTTTTGACGATTCAATCAAGTCGACTTGATTATCTTTGTTTGGTTGTTTTGTGTCTGCTCTGTCGTCCAATTTATATCTGATAATTAGTGTGGCAAGACAAACCATAGATAGTACCAATTGGGCAATAGCAAAATTATATCCACCTCTGATTTTCCACTGTGCTCCATCTCTTGATCCATTTAAAGCAGTGCACCAATTATCAGAGCCACAATGAAAGTTGCTACTTTTGAATGCAGAAGGAAGACCTACCAACAAGAGAATCGATGTCAATTGGAAAAGTGAAAGCAACGAGGAGAATACTATAGCTAGATTTAGATTTCTAGATTCATTCTTTTTGTATGAGTAATAGATTGCAATTACCAATGCTATAAAGGAAAAGAAACAGAAATACTGAAGAATTGCCTCTACTACAAACAATTGTAAATGTTTGGTCTTTTCAAATCCATTTTTCTTAATAATATCATAATAATATGCTGATGAAAAAACACCTGGCGAATACTAAAGTAATATTTGTTTTTTAGATTTAAATAAAAATAAAATAAAATAATAATTTATACCTACTTCATAGTATCTATAAAGATTGAATTTATAGAAGTAACCATTTGATGGAAGTTTAATTTCATACCATGTGTCAACAAGAGAGATCGTCAGGAGTATCAACGAAATCATTGTAAAAAATATAAAAACAACTGGTAGAATACTGTTTTTGATTGTTGTAGGTGAGAAAATCATTTGTATAATCTATGTTTTATTAATTATTTAAAGATAAATCTATATATTTTATTCACAAAAAAGTATATTTATATATTATTGATAAATGTTTATTACTGGTTGAAAAGAAAAGAAAATTACTATTTAGATGATTGAAATTTGGATGTATATCTGCAATTAAGGTTAGAGGATGGCTAAATCAATTAATTCTAAAACAAAACAAATAAAAACAACAAAACATACCCAACATCCTCTCTTATTAACTCCAAATTGATAGTATTCCGTTATTTATAAGTTCACATTTGTAAATGATGATTGCATTTAAAATAATAATTTTTTGAAGATGGGTTGTGTTAATATATTGTGCTCTATCAAATGCATTATCATTCATCAACTTTTATTGAAATTGTTTTTTTTAAATCCGATCCCTTGAGAATTGATTAGTTAATTTAATCACAAAATAATACAAAAAAAAACACACATCTCCTCTAGAACTCGAGTATCACCTCTATGATTTGATTGTGGTGGTCCAATAAGATTGAATGATTTAACTGTATTGCTATTTGTTTTTTTTTAGTCAAACAAGTTTCCTTTTTATTTATTTATAAATTTGTGTATTGTTATTGTTACTGTTGTTATTGTTGCTTTGTGTTGTGTTGATTATCTTTGACAATGAATCAGCTATTAAAATAAGTATATAAACTAACAATTTTAATTTTTTCTTATCAACCCTTTTTTTTTTTGTTGGTATTAGAAACATTTGAGTTCACACCATAATTAATGAGTTGATACTAGTATGTACATATATATTAAAATTAATAGTAACAAAATAATAAAGAGGATCATTGACAAAAAATTATTAAAATTGTGTGAGGTGTTTGCGATAAATAAAAATTTTTATCATTGTGAATGAAATTACACAACTTAACTTATAAAGATGGAAAGAGGGAGCGATAGAGACAGACACACCAGAGAATATGATAGAGATAGAGCTTACAGGGGTAGAGATTATGATAGAGAAAGAGAAAGAGAAAATGATAGGTACAGAGAGAATAAAGATTATAAATATAGGGATAGAGATAGAGATAGAGATAGAGAAAGAGAAAGAGAAAATGAAAAACAAGAAAGATATAAAGAGTATATAAGAGAGAATCAACAATTCAAAGAGAGATATCAGAATGATAAAAAGAGGTCAAGAGAAAGAGATGAAGAAGCACAACAACCAAGAGAAAACTACAGACCAGAAGATGAAATACCTGATCTACCAGAGAATAAAGAAGCAAGAGATTTCCTAATGAACGCACCTTCAAAAGGTTTATGGTAAATTATTAATTTTTAATAATTGTTTAAACATATTAATGGTGTATCTTTTTATTAGGATGCCACTTGGAAAAGAGGTGAAAGTGATGCAATGTTGGAAATGTAAAACATATGGACATCGTGCTGTAGAGTGTCCAAACTCCGGTAATCAGAATATTGAGAATGAAAGAAGGGTATGTACTTATTTATGTTTGTTTTGAATATTAAAACTACTTGTCAGTCAATCAATGAAAGATAATAAATATAAATATAAATGAATCTATTATAGTATAGAGAAGATCCTATGCCATCATCCAAAGACGTCATTAATAATAAAGTTGTAAATAACATTAAAGATAACAATAACAATAACAATAACAATAACAATAACAATAACAAAAGATCAAGAAAAGAAGAAAAGTTGCAACAACTAAGAGAACTGCTGGCTAGAGCAGAAGCAAGTGAACTAAAAAGAAAAGAAAAGAAAAGAAACGTAAAGCAGAGAGAGAAGAAAAACGAGAAAAGAGACGATCATCATCATCATCCTCCAAACCTGACAAAGATAGTTTATCTGATTCTGAAAGCTCTTAAATAATTAAATAAAAAAAGAATTGTTATTATCCTTACAAAGGATTCTTGACAACCCTGCTAATTGAATAAATACAAAAATAATAAACATATTTATTTTATATGTTTAGTTTTTACCCTTTTTACCCTTCTTTTTGTTGTTCTTTTTGGGTTTGTTCGATTGTTGTTGTTGTGGTTGTGGTTTTTGTTCGGTGGTGGTTGTAGCTGGTGTTTCTTCTTCCTCTTCTTCTTTGTCATCTTCGGCAGTCTCTTCGGTGGCTGCTGGTTCTTCAGCCTTGACTTCTTCGACTGGTGCAGCAACTGGCTCTTCAACCTTAACTTCTTCGACTGGGGCAGCAACTGGCTCTTCAGCTTTAACTTCTTCGACTGGTGCAGCAACTGGCTCTTCAACGTTAACGTCTTCGACTGGGGCAGCAACTGGCTCCTCAGCCTTGACTTCTTCAACTGGAGCAACAGCAACTGGCTCTTCAGTCTTTACTTCCTCGACTGGTGCAGCAACAGCGACTGGTTCCTCAGCCTTGACTTCTTCGACTGGAGCAACAGCAACTGGCTCCTCAGCTTTAACTTCTTCGACTGGGGCAGCAACTGGCTCTTCAGCTTTAACTTCTTCGACTGGGGCAGCAACTGGTTCCTCAGCCTTGACTTCTTCGACTGGTGCAACAGCAACTGGTTCCTCAGCCTTGACTTCTTCGACTGGAGCAACAGCAACTGGCTCTTCAATCTTGACTTCTTCGACTGGTGCAACAACAACTGGTTCCTCAGCCTTGACTTCTTCGACTGGTGCAGCAACAGCTACTGGCTCAACAACGGCTGGCTCCTCAACTTTAACTTCTTCGACTGATGCAACAACAGCGACTGGCTCTTCAACTTTAACTTCTTCGACTGGTGCAACAGCAACTGGTTCCTCAGCCTTGACTTCTTCGACTGGTGCAGCAACAGCTACTGGCTCAACAACGACTGGCTCTTCAACTTTAACTTCTTCGACTGGTGCAACAATAGCGACTGGCTCTTCAGCCTTAACTTCTTCGACTGGTGCAACAACAACGACTGGCTCTTCAACCTTAACTTCTTCAACTGGTGCAACAACAACAACTGGCTCCTCAACTTTAACTTCTTCGACTGGTGCAACAACAACTGGCTCTTCAACTTTAACTTCTTCGACTGGTGCAACAACAACGACTGGCTCAACAGACTTGACTTCCTCTACAGGGACAACAACGACTTGCTCTTCAACAGTCTTTGATTCAATAACTGCTTCTGGGACTGAAACTGCAATGGTAACTGGAGCTACAGTAATAACCTCTTGAGTTGGCTTGACCTCCTCAACCTTGGCTTCTTCAATTGGTTTTGGCTCTTCAGCCTTTTTCTCTTCGACGACTGGAGCTGGGGCTGCAGCTGGTACTTCAGTGGAAGCTGTTGTGGTGGTGGTTGTAGTAGTGGTTGTAGTTGAAACATCAGCTGTTGGCAAATTGATTGTGTTGGTAGAGGCAGCTGATTGAGCAGCGACACGCTCTTTAATCCAATCGATAATGTATTGAATAACTTGATCCTTATCCTTCTCGTTGTGTACTTCGTGATACATGTCCTCCCAGAGTTTGAGGGTCTTATCAGTGGATTTAATACGATCAAAGAATGTCTGTGATGCCTTTGGACAAGTGATCTTATCGTCTGCAGCGTGAATCAAGAGAAGTGGTGAAGTGTACTCTGGTGCCAAAACCAAAAGTTGCTCACCCTTTTGGAGCATCCAACGACCCATTCCCAATGAGATCTTGTTGTGTACCAAAGAATCGTTCTTGTAAGCGGTGACAGTCTCCTCGTCTCTGGCGATGTGTGTCACGTTGATACCGTTATCAACGGTGGCAGTTGGTTTGATCGAACCAAAGATGTTACCAAAGAAGATCTTTACTGAGGATACCTTGGTGGCTGGCTTGATCAATGGTGAGGTGACAATGCAACCGGTTGGTGGAGTGCTGTCTGGCTTGTTCATGGTGTAGTGCAAAGCCAAACAACCACCAAAGCTATGTCCATAGATGAAATGTGGCAGGTTTTGCTCGGAAGCACTGGCGGCAACCTTGGCGATATCCTTGAGTGATTGATCCAACGATGGTGAATGTCCACGAACACCACCGGACTTACCGTGTCCACGTTGGTCAAAGGCAAACACTTGAATACCGTTCTCTGAAAACTTGGAGAATACATGCTCATAACGACCAGAATGTTCACCAAGACCATGAATGAATGTAACAGAAGCAATAACTGGTACAGTTGGCTATAACAATAAGTATATATAGATAAATAAAATGAAATTCAATAATAAGAAACCATACATAATTTTCCCAACCCAATTATATATATATATATATATAAATTTTATTGTTTTTCTAACGTACTTTCCATGATCTTAAGACCAAATTTATATCACCTTGTGTGAGATTGCTTAAAACTGAAGTCATTTTGAACTTTTATCTCTTTTTTTAAAAATAATCAATATCAACAAATAAAAGATCAATAACAAAACTTTTATATATGAATGATATTTATCTGAAAAAAATAAAATAAAATAAACCGAGTTAAATAATGAATGGCAACTTTTCAAAAGACATGTACAAAAAAAAAAACAGAGTTTCTACAAAAAAAAAAAAAAACTCATTTATCAATTTTTTTATTTGAATTTTTTTTTGCCAATGTAAAAAACTGTCTTTGAATTCAGCAATGACACGTTATTTTTCCTGTTTTAGCTAAAAAAAAATGATAAAAAATAAAATAAAATAAAATATATATTTTTGAGATTATAAATCAAACAAAATCAAACAAATTATATCTCAAAAAATATTTATTTTTTTTTTTTTTTAAATATTAATATTTCAGTAATAATTCATTGAAGTTTATTAAACAACAACAGTTTTAATATTCTCTAATAATAATTGAATGACTTGATTGACAAATTGAGCATCTTGAACTACGTTCATTACATTACTGTCTTGGTCTCTCAAGATATTTGGCGCAAATACAATCGATAGATTTACAGCATTCATCTTATTGGTCGCTGCATTCTGGATGACCTTATCGAGGAATCTAAACAAATGTCTGCTCAATGCCTTGTTGGCAGGTGGCAAAAATGATAACAATAGCTTGATACTTTCAATCTTTTGATCTTTTGGTGCGTCTCCTCCTATCAAATATTAAAATCATAATGATAATTAATTATTATTATTAGTACATAATCTTGATTTACTAACAAATGTTAATATATTCTTTGTTATTACTCACTTGCAACTTCAATAAAAGATGAATAGGTGTCAAATGGGAATAGTGGTTGTGGTAACTCACGAAGGTAGAGCTTGAGTAGACCTGCAACAGTGTGGACATCTTCGCAGTCTTCGAGATCAACGGTTTCACCAGAGTCAAAACATTGCTTGAGTGATTTAATCTGTGAGTTGGCACCGGACAATCTGAAAATACCCTCGACTTTGAGTCCTTTCTTTTCCAAATAGGCAATACCCTTCTCAAAGAAAATTGGAATCTCACCTGGATTGTCTGGTCTGTTAATGACCTCCTCCAATGGTGCACCAAATATTGGTTGTGCTTTTCTGCCCGCTGGCTTGTACATCATGATTTGCGGTGGTAAATTCAATTGATCCTTTGAGAAGAACTTGAAGAGATCCGTGAGATCATCGATATAGGTCAACTTTCGCCAAAACTTTGAACTGATAAATGGTTTGAAAAGTCTGAGTGTGAATTTAATCCATGTGGTTGGATGTACTATATATAATCCTTTCAAATTCTTTTTATATCTAAGTTTTTAAATAATAATAGTTAGTTATTAATTTGTATAACCAGTAGCTAGTAGTTAACTTACTTTCTATTAAAGATTGTATAAACTTTCTTTAACCATGCAAAACTTGGTTTGTTATCGTTTGAGATGTTGGTGTGCACGTATACCAGTACATAGTCACCTTCTACCACTGGATCCATAATTGAGATGGTGTAGAGAAGGACACGCTCCATGTCTGTTTGCTTCACTGGAAGATTCGATGCAACGACAACAACGATTGTTCTACCGAGGTTGTCCTTGCCAGCCTGATAGATAAAGTTGAGTGACTCGATCTCTGGGAACGTTGATTCGCGAGCACGTTGGAGATAATCGAGATACTCTGCCTCTGCTTTGGTTCTACCAGCCGATTGGCCTGCTGGCTTAGCAGATGGTCTATTTAATAATGATGAGAATGTATTGGATACATTTGATATTAATCCAGTTGAATTATTATTAGTATTATTGTTATTGTTGGTGGTTGTGGTTGGTGGTGGTTGTTGTTCATATGTTTGTATTAAATCTTCGTTGTTCTTCTTCCATTGTGGAATAGTAGATGGATCTATGGTGTGATATTGTTGTTTTGGACGTTGAACAGTTGCCAAGTCGAGTGAGGAGATGCGAGATCCTTCACCGGTTGGCTCAGGGATGTCGTCTTGTGGTTCGGCGAAATGAGTTCCAATAACAATGGCTTTTCTGAATGTTCCTCTTCTTGAAGTTGGTTCATTCTCTTGATTGATTCCATCTTCACCTGTAAGAGTTCCACCGTTGTTATTATTATTGGTACCATTGTTATTTCTAAATCCTCCGAAACCTCCAAAGCCAGAACCTGTTCCTGTACCAGTACCATTCTGTGATTTCGGTTTATTCAGTACTGATGCCCATGAGATTGGCTTCACTGGTGCAACATCGTCATCGTCGTCATCATCATCATCGTCAGCAGCGGTGGCACCGATCTTCTTGTCGTCCAAGCTGACCTTCTCGAATGAATCTTTATCTTTTGCCACAGAGTCAGAGTCTTGAGAGAGGTCGACCAATTGATCGACGTCATCGCCACTCTTTACACGACCACCTATTTGGACACGCTCGCGCTGTTGTCCGGCCGATGGCTTTGGACTAAAGCTTACTCTTGGTCTACCCATAAAGTTTGATTGTACCATTGTCTTTGATCGATTGGCTCTCGGTCTGGTCACTGGGAATGGATCTAAATTCAAATCGTTGATGTTTATATCTGAAGTTGTATCTGTAGTAGTAGTTGTATTTGTTATTGATGCTAATGGTGGAGGTGTTTGTTGGTTTGTTGTTAGGTCACCACTGCTATTCTCGGTGTTGATAAATGTCTTTCTACTACTTCCAAATGTAACTTTTCTTCTATTTTCAATGTTATTATTTGAATCATTTCCAACACCACCACCACTGTTATTATTATTATTATTATTAACAGGTGTCAAAGTGTTGTCTTGCTGTGGAGGTTGTTGTTGTTGCTGATTTGCAGAACCAAATCCAATGGATGAACCACTCGATATTTTAACACTGGCTCTCTTAAAACCACTACCACCACCAGGTGATGTTGTTGAATTATTACTCATTTGCTATATTTATATATATTTGCTAGCAACTTGTATTTTAAATAATAATAATAAAAACTAAACTGACAGCTAAAATACTAAATACTACTATTATTGCTATATGTTGTTATTGAGTGTTGTGTTGTGTTGTGTTTTGTTGATAGTTGTTTGTTTTAGTTTATTTGCCTGCAGCAAGCAAAGGTATCTTTTTTAACCCTTTATTTATTTTTAACAAAATTTTTGTTTTTTCTTTTTATTTTTTAGATATTCAATTGTTGTTGTTGTTGTTTGGTTCGTAACACTTTTATAATAAATTTATATTACAAAAGTGTGTGTTTATATGTTTTCAAAGATAGGTGAATAAAAAGTCGACTAATACTATACAATTAAAATAAATATTGAAAGATGGATAATGCTATAAAATTGAGTGGGAAGTAAAATATTAAAAATATACTTTTGTAGAAACAAAAAATAAAAAACACAAAAACAGAAAAAAAAAAAAATACCAGACTGATTTTGAAGGGATTTTTTTTTTCTGATAAAATATTTTGCAACAATTTATTCAAATAATAAGATCTTTGGTGATGCATAGGTAAAAAAAAAATGAAACAAAAAAATTAAATCTTCAATTTTTTTTTATCAAAAATGAAAATTTATTATTGAAGATGAACATCAGCAAACAAACCAGTATAATTGTTTTTTTTTTTTTATAACTATCAACAACCGATCACGATGATGACGACCTTGTGGTTTCAATCAAGGTTGGAAAATCTATAATTGTAAATCGAGTGACATCATCACTCATCAAGCACATGTAGTAGATCTTGAGTCATCAAAAAAAAAAAAAAAAAACATTCAAAAAAACAAAATCTGTTTCGAAAAATAATATTTTTTAACTTGATACTCTTTAGAAAATTTATTCTAAGTCTATCTAGTTTGGTTTATTGTTTCTTTTAAGTAGTTCTAGTAGATGAGAGTATCTATGACGAATCTGGAGTGATGTTCTGTTGGTCAAACGATTGTTGGCTGTCCAATCCCATACATCCTCAGAGACACCTCTTTCCTTTATGGTAACCAATAGTATTCTATCTTCGTCTCTTGTCCATTTAACAACTATACCTTCGATCACTTCCATATTGTCGCTTTGGTTGATTGATCTTAAACCACCACCACCACAATCACCTTGGCTTTCATTACTTTCGTCTGGTTGTTGATGTTGTTGAGTTGGCGAAGTTTCTTCATCTTCATCTTGTTTGTTCAGTTGTTGTTGTTGACCTGCAGTTTGTGAAGTTGAAATCTGATGATCGATTATTGACTTTTCATTCTCTTGTTTATCCTGTTGTTTAGCTGCGGTTGAGCGTTCATCCGCAAGAAGTACACTATTGATAGGTTCTAGTTGTTGTTGTTGGAAACAAGGTGGTGAACTATCATCTTCAAGATCGTATAGAGTTGAGTCATTCAGCAGATTAATATTCAAATTTGAAAGATTGCTCTTCTTTTTCTTGTCTTTGTCTGTTGTCTCTTTATCTTTGTTACTCTTGTTCTTTTTCTTTTCTGATTCATCGGAAGATTGTTGCTGCTGTTGTTGCTGTTGTTTGATCTTCTTTTTCTTGATATTTCCCAGCTTCTTTGAGTAGTAGTCAGACAATATCTTGACAGATTTTGTAGGCAGATAGTTCTTGACGATTGTATCCCAATCTGTACCAAGCTCTTCGATTGCTTTAACCAATATGTCTTCTTCTTTCTTTGTTAAAATTGATTTTGCATGAAAATCCTATTGTTATTTGTTTGTTAATATATGTATATTATTATTATTATTATAAACCTATAGGTTTACTTACTTTAATAATATTGTTGGCAGAGTTTGAGGATGTCTTATTTTTATATCTATGAAAGATCTGGTCTATTGTTTTGGTCGGTAGTAGATTGACTCTGATAGCATTCCAATCGAGTCCGTATCGCTCCAAACCAAGTTTCAAGAGTTTGTCCTCGGATGGTGTGAACTTTAGTCGTAGTAGGTTGGTCGGTTGGTACTTGAGCTCGTCGGTGAAGCAATCCTTAAAGGTATTGAGTATTACATTCATTGTATCTTCATTGGGTCTAGGATCTTCTTTGAGCAACTCCTCGAGATACGGGTGCAACTTGAAACACTCATCGTTGTAGATAGGTGAGCTGAACGGTGGTAGCATAGTTCTCTTGGCTGATCGGGTAAACTTTGTTGGTGACTCTATCTGCGTCAGTAAAAAGTGTGAAAGTAAATTCTTATCACAATGTATTTTATAAAGTGTATGTATTTCATCCTATTTCAATTAAAAATGGTGGTGGTCAGAACAATGATGATGATGATTTAGTCTATTATTATTATTATTATTATTAATACTTACCAACATTTTTTTGCATGCATCTATGTTTGTAGCTAGAGGATGAGGATTGGGAGCAGTGTCATCTTTCACAATGTCATTGATGATGGAGAGATGTGGTTCCTGTTGATTTTTCTTGGCTTTATTCTTCTTTTTGGTGTTTGACATACTTGTGTAATTCCAATTCTCTATTCTAATCCTCAGTAGGACCTGTAGCAGTAACTGATAGTGATTCGAAATTTGTTGTTTCAATCTTGTGATATCCTGCTCTGTGAAAACCTCAAATGGTTGTTGTTGTTGTTGTTGAGTCTGATGAGGTGTACTTGACTTGTGTTTCTTTAAAGAGTGTTCTTTCTTTTCATCTTTTCCACTATATCCATTAGCTCCACTTCTCCTTCTCTTAAATGAATCAATATTATTATTATTACTATCATTATATATGTTGTTATTATTATCTAAAATACTATGACTATTCAAATGATCATTAAAGCTAAAATTATTATTATTATTATTATTATGATTATTATTATTATTGTTATTGTTATTGTTATTATTATTATTATTATTAATTTCTAAAATGCTACTACTATTACCGTTACTATTGCTATTATTGTTATTATTATTATTATTATTATTATTTAAATTGCTATCATTATTTTGAAGACTCTGGAAATAGGTTTGAATGGTATTTAAATCGATCTGTACAAAGGTGTTAAAGTTGGTTGTTTGTGATTGTGTTGGTGCTGTAGGTGTAGAATGTGCGCTATTATTATTTGTGATTTCGTTGTTTAGTGATATTAGAATATTATTATCTGGTGAATCTGGTGGTGAGTGTATTGAATTGTTGTTGCTAGAAGTATGATTATGTTGATGATTATGATTATGATTATGATTATGTTGAATGTCATCAGGTAAAATAGAATCACTTCCACAGTCAGCTCTATAATCATCGAAAATATTATCATTTGTCTCTATTTGAAAGTTTGTAAATTCATTGGTACATGTAGCGTCATAAGACTCGATTCCAATTGATGGAACATCGGAGTGGATCAACATACTGCTGCGAGTCATCTGATTATTTAGTGATGTAGTTGAAGGTATAGAGTTGGTAGTGTTTCCATAGGACTGATTACTCTCAAAGAGTGATTTTAAATCTATAGGTTGAATGTTTCCTTCGTTCTCAATGAAATCGGTGAGTAGTGCTTGCATCTCGTTGGTCTTGCTCGATTGACTGTTGACTCTGTTGTTGCTGCTGTTTTTGTTATTGATCAGATCGCAGTCATCGTCATAGATGTCCTGGTCGTCAGGCTCGTCGTCGTCATCGTCATCGTCTTCCTCAGGTGGAACATAGTCCTGATCGTCCTCGTCGTGATCATCTAATGAAGGTGGTTGCTGTGCGCCCGACTGTAGATCCAACAAGAATTTCTTATATACATTATCAGTGAGATCTGCATTCGCACCATTTAGACCTACACCCATTCCATTGTTGTTTCCATTCTCATCGAAAGTATCAATCGGTAGTTTATTCTCAAAATATTCTAATTACAAAGCAGTAATAGTAATAATAATAATAATGTTAGTGAGTGATAATATTGTGTGATATTGTTGATAATAATATACCATCTAGTTGATCAAAGTTTAGATATTCTAAATTGAAATGAGATCTTGTTCTATATACAGTTTGTTCGTTTGCAGTGATGATTTCATCGATGTCCATATGTTGTTGTTTACTGGTACCAACACCGCCACTGCTGTTGCTATTGGTAGAAGAATTAAATTGATTCATAATGTTATCATTTGTGAATTGGTTGTGTTGATTACTATGATTAGGATTATTATGATGATTATGTTGACTTGTTATTTGTTGTGTTGAATCTACAGCATTACTATGGTATCCCAACTGATCGTAGAACATATGATCGATATAGCTAGTGGATTGTTCACTACCCTGCAATACATTGTTATCATTATAATCATGTTCATTTTCATGTTCATATTGTTGCTGTTGCTGATGTTCTTTATTATCTTCATCTTCATGCTGTTGCTGTTGTTGTTGATGATAATAATGATGATAATGATTGTTACTATTATCATTATTATTATTCTCTACATATTGATATTGATGATTAACATCAACATGATGATTGGTAGTGTTGCTATCACATTGACTGGGATCGATATTACCACCACCACCACCACCGCCAGAACCGCTACTGTTATCATTCCAATTAAACAGTATATTTGATTGACTATCTATCATTCTTTTAAATAAGAACAATATATATTTTCTTTCTACAATAATGTCATAGAATAGATATCTAAATTTAATACTGATATTACTGTATTGTCGTTGTTGTACCAACTATTTAACTAACTAACTAACTAAAAGTCTGATTCGTGAATGTCAACAAATTCAACATAAAATTGTCATTCATTAAATAAATAAATATTTATTGTACAAACAAATGATGTGTTTTGAAGATTAAAAAAATAAAATTAATATTGATTTTTTTCAATTTTATTTTCAAATTCAAATTTTTTGTAAACGGATAAAAAAAAAAAAGGGAGGGATGGTGTGTGATAGTTTATTAAAAAATAAAAATATAATGTGATTTTCTGAGCAACAAAATTTTGATCCATAATTATCACCTCGAAACTGATTAAAGGGAAGAGATTACCTTTTATACTTTTTTTTTATTTTTAAAGAATAAATTATTAAATTAAATAAAAATTTGGGGAGTTTGAAGAAATATCCTATTCCTTTTATTATTGGCAAAGATAATTATAAATGAAGTTTATTTAAGAAATAAACTCACTATCAGATAGATGTTTATCAAATTAATACTATTTTTATCACATTTTACTTCTTTTAGTATTGGGTGAGGGGTTGTAGAGTATTTTTTTTTTATTTAACAAATATGTTGAACAGAGAGAAATATTAGTATGAATGAAACATTTAAATCTTTCAAATGTAAAATAAATATTATTCCAAGTTTGAATTCCAGAGATTTGGATATTGAAAGATCTCATGAAATTGATTCTTTCGTTGCAAGATATATATTGACCTGTCAATATCATATCTTTATTGTTTTTAAAAAGATAATTTTACAAATAAATTTAATTTGGTATTATTTTTTTATTTTATTTTTATTATTATTTTTAATTTTTTATAGTTTGATAGATGAAACCAGTTGTCGAAATAGAGTCACCCAAACCAACGGTTCTCTCTGGTGATTTACAAACAAGTACGGGTGCGAGATGGAATTCTAGTCCTTCGTCTTGCCACGAGGTGATTGGGAATGTCTCATCGATTGCGAATTTCAACTTTGAGCCTGGAGTGTAACGGTAGTCCACTTCGAATTTCAGAGGGATACGTAGCTCTACATCACGGAATCCACAGGCTTGCTCCGATGCCTCAATCGACGATGCTGCAACCGACATGATTGCGCTCTTGGTCGACCACGACGACTCCTTCTGAATGGCAACGATGTGGTAGGTGAGATAGTGGAAGTGGATACGTGTTAGCTTGCGCTTGTCGTCCAGCATCATCGACATTGGGTCGTCCTGACCACTCGACTTGGTGATATGCTTGAAGACGTGAATGATTGCATTGATGACCGTGTTGATAGACGGTGCTCTAAACTCTGACATTGTGTGTTCGGTTCCACCGGTTGCCAAGTAGAGGAATCCAAGTTCCTGCTCGTTGAAGCCAAGACTGTCCACCTTGGGGAGAATCGACTTGGCGATTGCGCCAATGATGTTGCTAGAGGTGATCGACGCCAGTTCGAAATGAATCGGGATGTTTGACACGGAGAGCAGTGACTCTTTTCCGGATTGGTATGGGATGATGTCGAGCAACTTTGACATCTCCTCGATACGGTGTAGCTGTTGGTCACCGAGCAGGTGGAGTCCACTGATGATCAGCAAGTCAGTCTTGTGCTGTTTGGAGTTTTGTTGAAGATGACGGTGTAGCTGTTCCATTGTGACGATATTGGCGTTGGAGACGTCGTTGGAAACAATGAAACGGTTGGCGCGATGTGTCGAGTAGGCACCCCATGTCGAGTTGGTCTGATACTCCATAATGAGATGTATCTCATCGCGAGTGTCAGCATTGTACTCGATGACATTGATCGAATCATTGAGAAGATTCTTTAGCTTGCTACCGACAACACCACTCAAATCGACACGACAACCTTCTCTCGCCAGTCTATTGGCAATGATTCCAGCATTTCCACCGGTCAAATACTCTTGTCTATTCAAACTATCGGTTGCCTTTATAATTTGATCGAATACATCTTTTTCTGTAATGAATCTCTCTGCTGCACTACCTGAATCTATAATAATAATAATATAAATCATGTGTTAACACGAACGAACCAATTCGAATTAGTATAGTAAGATGATGATGAATTACCGAAATAATATGTAAAAGTTTGTTCGAATTGAGAGAGTGTGTGTATTTCATCGGAAGGCGTTGGATTCTGAGTGGGTGATAGTCCTAAAGCATGAAGTAGATCCACTGCATTGACAACCAAGTCCAAATTTGTGTTGTAACCGACGGCAACTCTGTGATTGCCACAATTTCCATTGTTCTTTGACCAATGTGCAATCTTTTTAAGTCCTGTTTGAATTGAATTAGCAGTGACATCAACTCCGACACCACCGGAGAATACAAATGACAGATCGAGATAAAGTATCAAAGGATAGAAAAATAATGAAAATAATATAAGTATAGCTCCTATTTGTATATAAGATTTGGTTTTATTATTATTGCTATTGTTATTGCTATTATTTTTATCTATATTATTATTATTATCATTATCATTATTATGATCTATATCATTTGCATTTGTTTGCAATCTATTCTTTATTGGTCTTGATGATAGTGTATTTGATTCTTTTATCATTCTTTATTAATCATAACTATTAGATTATATTTATATAATTATGTGTATTTTTTTAAATTAAATTAAAATGTTAAGTGTTTGGGGGTGATGGATCAACATACTAGCAAACTTCATCATAAAAATTTTACAACAGCCCACATCAAATTTTTTGAAGTTTCGTCGACTTCAAACTAAATTAATCTGGTTAATATTTATAATTTTATTCATCTAAATGACTTGTTTTAGTTAATACAATTACACTTTCACTCACTTACTCTCTGACTACAAAAAACAAACATATTATAATATTATATATTATAAAAGATATAAAAAAAAATCTTAATAGTTATTTTTTCTTATGTTTTGTAAAGTTCAGTTAGTTAGTTAGTTATTGTTAGATTAGATTAAATTATAGAGATATGTTATTATTGTATCGTTTGAAAAGTTATCTATTACTTATAGTTTTATGGTGGCTGGTAATATTGGTTAGTGGTGGTGATACCACAAATGGTGGTGGTGGTGGTAATGATGGTGGTGTGAGAGAATTTGAAATCGGTAGAACTAAAGATGGCTCTGTTACAATTAGTATAGATATGTCAAGAGGACAACATCGTCCGATGCAATTGATCTATCCCGATGAGAATCATCAGGAGTTGCTCATCAATCACACTGTGCTGGCTGCTTTGAACTCGCTGGAGGGCGAGCAGTCCGTTCTCGGTGTGGTGGGAACCTTTCACAGTGGAAAGTCATTCTTGCTCAACCAACTGATGGGCACGACCGATACCTTCACTGTGGGTCCGACCGTGCACCCACAGACACTTGGCATCTGGGTGTGGTCTGCAACGATCAACGTCGGCACCGACAAACACAACCTCCTTCTACTCGACACCGAAGGATTCTACAGCAGCAACGTATCAGAGACCTACGACGCCAAGATCTTTGCAATCACAACGCTTCTCTCTTCACACTTGATCTACAACTCGGTCAAGATCATCGATCAATCTTCACTCGAATATCTAGAGCTACTCTCTAGACGAACACAATTGTTTGCTCTGAAATCACAGATCAAATATGATTCTCCACTTGTAAAGATATTGGAGTGAGTAGTGAGATTTAGATTGGAAACATAACGAAACTGATTACTTACCATCTTCTTTTTGCTTTTCGAATATTCTTTAGATTTCCATCATTAACATGGGTAGTCCAAGATTTCTTTCAGGATATAGGCGATCAAAGTGCAACTGAATGGCTGAATCAGTTGTTGAAAGCGCATTCCAGAGATCAGCCAGACTCTTATCTTTCGATTGCAAAGATATTCCCAGCGATTCAGTGTCATACTCTGTTCATTCCGTCGGGCGACAGAAACACACTGAGATACTTGAACAAAGCGGTTATCAATGAGCTGAACCCTATCTATCTGACGGAACTCGATCAATTGAAGCATTCGATTTTCAATCAGCTACGACCAAAGCTGAAAGGACCTGCTATTGGTTCACTGATCAAACTCTTGGTACAGGTGGCAAACGGTAACAACTTCCCGACGGTGCCATCGATCTGGGTAGGATTCATCAAACAGCAACAACAGAATGCACTAGACGACAGCATTTCAATGTTTAGAGAGAAGATGGATACATTAAAGTCACAGGAACCACCACTCTCTGACCGTCAATATCAGAAATTGGAATCAGACTCTATTTCATTCGTAAACAACCTCTATAGACAACTATTATTTGGATTAGAAGAAGCATATAAACCTGGCTTAATACAATTAGATGTAATTATAATACTTCGCCACCCACCGTTTATTAAATTATCAAAAAAGAATGTTATTAACTAAACCTATTATTAACTTTATAATTTAGAAAACACTTAAAGAACTTAAAGATTATTATAAAAAAGAAAACAATTATAAGATTAAAGGATATTTAACTTCTGAACATTCATCGGCAACTCTGACATTCCAAGATAAACTAGAATCCATTAGTATACCAATGAGTAACAAGAAACTATTGGAATCGATACAATCGTTAAGAGATTTCATTCTTTCTGAATTCAAATCTATTACGAATCAATATCATAACTCTGAGATATACGCAACTTTTTTAAATAATTTAAATGTTTGTATTATAAACAAATAATATTTCAAAACTAATTAATAACTAACAATCAAACTATTATTACAATAATTGTAGAATGATATTGATAGACTTTCATCACAATTGATTTTAAAGAACAAGAATGAAATGGAAATGTTATTATCTAAATCAATAGCAGCTGCAATCGATAAATATAAAGATTTAATGAATGAGTATGTCCGACACATTAGATTATTAGATTATTGATTATTAATATTAATAATTAACTTTATAATTTAATAATTGCAAGTGGTATTAAATATCCTTTGAGATATAAAGATTTAGAGGCAATACACAAACAGAATAAGAATAGTGTAAATCAATGGTTCATCACAACAGTTCAGATAGCAGAGGATGAAGTTTACTTTAGTGCATTCATGGTGAATCTAGATAAGCTACTTGGTGAACAGTATGATGTCATCAAAGCCTACAATGAAGACAAGATATTGGATCGTTGTAAAGTGCAATCAAACAACTTCAAATACCAATTCAAACGAGGTCTTGGTCAATTAGTGTTGCCTGTGGAGGAAGAGTATCTCGAGGCCAGAGCAGATGAACTCAGACTCTCTGTACTGACCTCATTCAAAGAGAATCTTGAAGTATTCAACAACACTGCTTCATTTAGACAAGAACTTTCAAATTTCATTGTAAGTTGAAACAATTAATATAAAGGTGGTTGAATGTAAACAAAAAACTAATAGTTTTTATTGAATGACAGCAATTTATTGACCAACAAATTGCAATGAAACAAAGAGAGAATGTAGAACAGATGAAATTGATTGTGATGGAATCACTCAATAAGGTCAAGATGATAATGAAGTCGAGACTCTCCACCTTCTGGTTCCAATACTCGTTCATCAGTGAATCCAAGCATGAAGCTGACAAGATCATCAAGCAAAAGATTGAATCGAAACGATTGCGTGACAAAGTTATACATCAGTTCATTGAGACTGATCTCAAAGAAGAAGTCAATTCACTGTTTCATTTCTCCTCAATATTCGCATCTTTCATAATTATCTTATTACTTTCTTTTATTTTATTAAAAATAAGATGAGCATAATAATAAAAAAAAAGATTATATATTTAGAAATAAAATATTTTAATAGTATCACAATGTCAAACACCTTGTTTATTCTAGATTCTTTTCTTTTAACTGTTTGACAACCAATACCGTTTCATATATATTCCTTCTTTTAATTTTTTTCAAATCTTTTTTTAAAAAGCATGTTTTTTTTTAAAGATTTTTGAGCAAGATGAAAAAAACAGTTAATTTTTTTATGTTTTTGTTTTGTTTTTTTTTTTTTTTTTTTTGAAAAATTATTTATTTTATTTCTAGTGTAATAAAAATAGTTATTTTCTTTATTTATTTACTATTTTTTGATAAATAGAAAGAGTAAATAAGATTGTTTAGATAGAGAAAAAGATAGAATGAGTATTTGTCTTGGTTGTGGTCACAACCTTTATCGAGTGAACAAGAATACTTCCACTCAAAGTGTTGTCAGTGGAGTTGGCATTCAGAATAGTAGTAGCGAATCATCACCTTCAGTGCTAAATGGATCTACATCTTCTATATCTAGCGAATTATCATTATCATCATCATCGTCATCATTGTCGACAATGATTGATAACACAATAGCAAGCATTACAACCAGTACAGAATCATTATCGATCAACTCGAACATTAGCAACAACAACAACAACTCGAGTGTAGTATTGACCAGTCCTACAACCATATCAACAATCACAAGTAGCACAACAACCACAACAACAGAGACTGTCTTGGAAACAATAGTTGAAGCACCATGTCTTTGTTGTGCAAATCACGAAGAACAACCACCACCTCCAGTAAAGAAAATCATGAGGAGAAATCCACTTAATAGTTCATCGAATGGAACCGATCAGCAAAACAAAAGACCGACCTCTGTAAGTTTAGAGGAGAAACAGGCTGCCTACAATAAAGCACGTGAACGTATCTTCGCTGGTGAAGGTCCATCCGATGATATTATTGATATCTACGATCAACAATCACCAACTACATCATTATCTTCTTCTTCTTCTTCTTCCTCTTCATTATCACAACAAACACAGCAGCAGCAGCAACAACAACAACAATCACAATCACAAACTATAAAGCAAAGTGCTAATAGCAATAACATTAATGGTAATGGTGTCTCCACCACCACCACCATTAAAAAGAGTTCATTAAATCCAAACTCACCGAATTTCATTAGTAACAATCAGTTCAAGCTTAATAATCAACAAAACAACGGAAGTGCTACTCTTTCGTCACAAAATCCAACATCAACCACTGCTGCTACAGTCATTAGCAGTAACAACAGCAGCAGCAGCAATGGTTACAGTAATACTCATTCTCATTACAATCAACAACCAACATTCAGAACACCATCTCCTCCAATCTCACGAGCGGTACCTCCATTCAACAATGTAAACAATATCAATATGCATCCTCATGCCTATCCACAGCAACAGCAGCAACAACAACAACAACAGCATCAGCCACTTCCATTACCAATGCCCTATTCAAGTGGGCATCCAACGCCTTATTTCGAACCACAACAGCAGCAACAGAATACCACACCAAATATAATCAATCATGGATATAATAACAACATTAACAACAATAACCAATACCATAGCAATAGTAGTCGTCATCATTTAAATCGATCAACTTCACCACCCACACCGCTCCCAATAAACATGCTATCGACACCTCCAACACCATTATATTATATCAATGGCAATAGTAATACACATAGCAACAACAACAACAACAACAACAATAATAATAATATTATTAACAATCATATGAATAACAATAACAACAATCGATCTTCAAATTACAACAATAGAAATTTTTACACTGACAACAACAACAACAACAACAATATGAATGGTGGAGATCATTACCCACGGCAGGTGACCCATCACAGTCAGAACCAAATAAACGAACCACCACAACTGTCCAATGGCAACCCAATCTTTATATACAACCAACAACCCACATATCAAGCAAACTTACAATCTCCACCACCCATGTCATACAACAACAACAATAATAATAATAACAATAATAATAATAATAACTTTAGAGGCAACTATAATAAATTATACCAGCAAAATTATAATAATGGAAATAGAAGCAACGTCAATAACAATATTAATTTTCAAAAAACCAATAATCCCCCATAAAACAAATAAATAAAGTTTGAACCATATTTTTTTGCTAAAGATGGGTCCTAATCATTTTTGAACCCTTTTCTTTTTATGTTTTTTTTTTCACAAAAAAACCAAGTTTTGTTTCTAAAGATTTGCTATTGTCGGTAATTTCCCCCCATGGTCAGCGTCTTCAATGCACTCAATTAATAAAGATATTGCCAACTAATTTTTTGTAGACCTTGTTTAGTAAAAATTTAAAAGTAAAAGTCAAACCAAAAAAATAAAATAAAATTTTAATAACATCAAGAACATAATAAAATAATATTACTAATAACCATGAAAATAAATAAATTGAGAAAAAAAAAAAAACGACTATCAACCATTAATGGATCACTCACTTGATCAATTTGAAAATGATTGTTTTTTTTTTAAAAAAAAAACTGTTCAAATCAAATCATGAAGCTAAATTGATAAAGCCTACATCTGATCCAAAATCATTATGCTGACAGGTATTTTTTTTTAATTTTAAAGTGCGCATGTTTTGCAGTAGTTTTGTCAATCAATCCGAAATAAGAAGTTTGAAAATTTTGGCAAAAAAATAAAAATAAAAATAAATTTAAAAAAAAAATTGTACAAAAAGGAAAAAAATTGTGATGGAAAAAATTTAATTTTTTTTATATAAATTTATAATCAACTATTAATATAAAACAATACAATCAAATTCAATTTTTTTTTATATATAAAAGTATAAAAGATTAAAATATAATTAAATTAATAAATATTTATATTTATTATTAAGTTAGATTACTAGTTAGTTAGGCTAATTAGTTACAAAAAAAAAAAAAAAAAAAAAGATACAGATCAATAATAATAATAATAAATTCTTTTTTTTTTTTTTGATTATATAACGATTATTTCAGTTCAGTTAGTTCTCAGAAGTAGCAGATCAGATAGATAATAAGGATTAGTAAAGTTAAAGTTCAATCAAATAGAATTTGATATATATTTAGTTTTATAGGTTTATAGATTACAGAGATTTTTAGTCAACTCACTCATATATATATATAGATAGAAATAAATAGAGAAAAGGTTAAAATTTTCTTTAGTTTATTAATTTAAAAAAAAAATACAAAAACAAAAAAAAAATAATAATCGTAAGAAAAAAAAGAAAATAATAATAATAATAATAATAATATTTTTAATGAATAAGAGATGCACAAATTAGTTACATTTTTAAAGAAGAAAAAAGATCCAACTACACCATGGTTGCAAATAGATAAAGATGATACACGTCACAAACGTCCTGGTAGTGACAGCGGTAATACACAACCCCGCATACGGAGCAGCAAGAAAGATGCCAACGGTGCAAACCATGGCGGAAACGGCACTGTCTCTAGCAAAAAGAAGAAACAACACCTACAACAACTTCATCAGCAACAGCAGCAGCAACAACTAAACAATCAACAGCATATGTCGTCCGATGAAGACTCGGACGATCTAATTCCAGAAGAGGTGCGATCGATCTCGAAATTCATCGACTTTACCAAGACCGAGAGAAAGTGGCTCGTTCAGACTCTGAATCTCTCGTCAGAGATGATCGAAGAGAACCTACAGATACTGCTGAACGTACTGAACTTTCTCTCACGAAAAGAAGGTGTCTTTTACCGACACCCATGTCAGGCCAACGGCAACAATCAAATCTCTTCAAAACCGTCGAGTCGACGCGGAACCACTGATCCCGCCGCCGATACCGCCGTTCAACCTCAACAACCTACATCGCTATCTTCATCTGGCACATCATCGCCACTACGGAATAGTGGAACACATATATCATCTCAACAACAACAACTACTACAACAACAACAACAATTTAATAACAACCATCAAAATGTTGATGGTACAAACTTTTCTGTACAGCAATTACAATCACAACTTTTACAACAACAACAACAACTCACACAATCGGCCAACAATCAACAGCATTTATCACCACAACCAACACGTCACCGTAGTGATTACAATCGTATATTTATAGAACCCGGAAAATACTACCAGTTCCCCGATCAAGAATCTTTGGCGATGGCACGACTCGTAGTCGAGGAAGAGGATCCCGCCAAACTGTTTAGAATCGGCACTGAGATGGAGATCAAAGGTGCCTACGGTACGGTGTACCACGTGTTCTACAACAACTGTCAGTACAACAATGTCGAGCTGGCACTCAAGAAACTTGACCATAAATCAGAGCGAAATCGGCGTAACAACCTCAACGAGATTGCTCTGATGCGTTACCTTAAGCATCCCAACATTGTAACATACATAAACAGCTACGAGAAGAACGATGAAGAGATATGGATGCTCATGGAATACATGGATGGTGGTACGATAAAAGAAGCCATCCAGAATTTCAGTTTTACCGAAAAATACGTTGCCTACATCATAAAACAGATACTACACGGACTTGAATATCTACACTCCCTAAACATTGCTCATCGTGATTTGAAATCTGCCAACATCATGATTAATAGTAAAGCTGAAGTAAAGATAAGTAAGTAAAAAACAAACAACAACAATGATATATCAATAGTGAGTTGGTTTTATTAATTTATATTTATTTGTTTATTATTACTTTTTTTTCTTTTTAGTTGACTTTGGTTTCTCAATTGATCTGACGACATTGAAAGCAGATATACATATGTGTGGATCGCCGTACTGGATGTCACCGGAACAGATACAGGAGAAACCGCACGATTGCTCTGTTGATATTTGGAGTCTTGGTGTAATGGCTGCCGAAATGATGAAAGGTGTGGTTCCACATCACCGTTCAAAGATCAAGGCAATGTTTTTGGCATCGTGTGTCGGTATAAAGTTTTCGCGTGACAAAAAGTACAGTTCGCACTGGTCGAATGAGTTGTTTGATTTCCTTGCCATCTGTCTTCAAATGGATTCCTCCAAGAGACCAACACCAACCACCCTCCTACAGCACCCATTCATCGCTACCGCTGCCACCAAACAAGAGATGCTTGATCTACTACCTCTACTATTTATATCAAAGACAATCTCTAAATATTCAATAGCTTAAAACAATACAAAAAAAAAAAAAAGGTAAAAAAAAAAGAATAAAAGATAAAAAAAAAAAAAAAAAAAAAGATAAAAGAAAAGATACAATTCAATCAACACCTAACAATAACTCTAATACACAACCAACACCACAGTCAGTCAACGTCTGATTGTAATTAAACAACTTACTCGCCAACCTACCTCTCAATACTTTGTCAAATTTTAAAAAATAAAAAAAAATAAAAATAATTCAAATATAATTATATTATATGTTTTATTTATGTTTTCCCTTAAAAGAGAAAATGTACAGTTATTCCTTTTTAACATAATTTGTCTTTGCCGATTGCCGGCAATAACTTAATCTTACCAAAATCCCAACTTCACATTTTTTTTTTTTAAAAAAAAAAACATATTTAATTAATTATAAAAATATAAACAAAGTTATATGTAATATCAATTATGAGTATGTTTAAATCAATGTATAAAAGTAATTTGCCACCTATTAAAGATCCAACATTACATAATCAAGAGTAGGTTTCTTATGAAAAAAACAAAAAAAAAAACAAAAAACAATGGTTTAATTGATTACCTTCTCTTTCATTAGTGAAAATGGTTTAATAGATGAAGATCAAACATATTCAGAACTAAGTTGGAACGATTATTTCGATTCGAAAAAAGATATAGCTATTGATGAAAGAGGTACCTTTAGAGTTTATGAATGTAACCCAGGTGGAAATGGAACAGAGTCGTGTGACTATTTGTTTGTGTTTGTTCATGGCGGTGGATATACATCAATGTCATGGGCTTTACTCTCAAAGATAATGAAAAGTCATGCACAATCATCGAGTTTTAGGATCATGGCATATGACTCACGTGCACACGGTGACACAAAGACATCCGATGATACCGACTGTTCAATTGGCACACTTGTTGCCGACTTGGTTGCTCTTGTCAATGCATACCGCGAGCAGCAACCGCAATTCTCAAAGTTAAAAGTGGTGCTTGTCGGTCACAGCATGGGCGGTGCCGTCGTTGTCAAGGCATCAAAGACTGGTCTCGTCAAGGACCAAGTAGGACTTGTGGTAGTCGACGTCGTCGAAGGCACTGCAATGTCTGCGCTGCCCTCGATGCGTGCCATCTTGGCAAAGCGACCAGCTTCATTCAACTCGGTGAGCGATGCTATCAAGTGGAGTATAACAAGCGGCACCCTCCGAAACCTAGAGAGTGCTCGCGTAAGCATACCAACACAGATTCGCAAGGATGAAGCAACTGCTGGCGTTGAATCAGCCAAATACAAATGGATTACAAACTTGGCTCAGACCGAACAGTATTGGAGCGAATGGTTCACCGGACTCTCCAAAGAGTTCCTAGAGAACCGATACATCAAACTACTGATTCTCGCAGGTTCCGACCGACTCGACCGAGAACTAATGATAGCACAGATGCAAGGCAAATTTCAACTTGCACTACTTCCTCTGTGTGGACATGTAATTCAAGAAGATGTAAGTTATATTTCGAGAGACATTGCAAATCTTAAGTTTATTTTCCAACAAAAAACAAAACAAAACAAAAAACCCGAAACTAATTTTCGTTGTTTTATACTTTATTTTTATTTTTATTTTCTCAAAAGAACCCAAAATCGACAGCAGATCTTTTAACAGAGTTCTCAAAGAGACTACCAAGGTAGGACGAGGTCCTATATTGATAAGAGTTCGAATCATCAAATAATACTGTATAACACCATCTTATCTTTGCAAAGAAAAAAAAGGAAAATCAAAAAAAAAAATTATTAATTATTGTAAATAAAAAAAAAACGAAAAATAAACAAAAAAAAATAATACAACCTACACCAAAAGGTCTACCTTTTTCTAAAAGCGCCAAATTCATGGTTCGATGACTGATTGCTTAAAAAAAGATAAAACTAAAAAGGTGAAAAAAAAGAAAAAAATTTAATAAATTAATTCAAAAGGGGGTTTAAGTTGTGTGTTTTTTTTTTGGTGAACTCCGCAAAATAAGATATGGTTTGTTGGTATTGTGATCCACCACACCAGGTCATGAACATATCAAAACAAAAAATATTATTAATAAAAATGGTTTTTTTTGTTTTCACATTTTTTTTTTTTATAAAGTGATGTTAAAAAAAAATTAACCCATCTCATTTTTAACAATAAATTACTGTATGTATAATCTTAATAATTAAATAAATAATAACTTGACTATTATAAGTATGCAAATATGAATAAATAAACAAACAAACAAAAAAAAAAAACAAATAGTATTCAATTTGTAATCACTAAAATAAGAGAATGAGTTAAGTTTATAATAAAAAACAAACATCAATGATGATACATCAATAGATATAGATGAATAGATTGGACGAGGAATTAGTTGGTTAATATGATAGATAGATTCAATTTTAATAATAGCAATTGGAAATTAATCATGATATATAATAATGTGTAGAATAGAATAGTTCAGATAATGAAATTTATTTACAGATAATTCATTCATAAGATTTATTGTTATTTTGACGAGTAGTGTGAATAGTAATAATTTGTGTCAATTTTATTAAAATAATAATAAATTAAAAAAAAAACAAAAAAACAAAATTTGACTTTGAATTTCATTAAAATTAAATTAAATTTAAGATTATTAATATAAAATTTATTTTATTTTAATTTATTTTATAGAAAAGAATAGCTTTTTTTTATTTTTGTTGTATTGGAATTATAAATAGAATAATAATAATAACATAAAATAGTATGGCAACATTATCTAGAAATTTGCGTCTTCAATTGGATGCACCAACACAAGGATTCGTAAGAACCAAGATTGTGTGTACAATCGGTCCAAAGACAATGAGTGTTGAGATGTTGGTAAAGTTGATCGAAACTGGTATGTCGATCTGTCGTATGAACTTTTCACATGGTACTCACGAGTATCACGGTAATGTCATCAAGAATCTCAGAGAAGCTGTCAAGCGTACTGGAAAGGGTTGCGCTTTGATGCTCGACACTAAAGGTCCAGAGATCAGAACCGGTAAATTGGAGGGTGGTCAACCAATCACCTTGCCAGCTGACCACGAAATCCTTGTAGATACAAACACTGATGTTCCAGTATGTATATTATTTAAACAAAATAATCTTAATATCTACTAATATCTTTTATTTAATAATTATTATAATAATAATAATCAGGGTAACACAACTAGAATTTCACTTGATTATAAAGGATTGATCGAGTCTGTAAAGCCAGGTGGACATATTTTGATTGCTGATGGTGTTATTTCACTTCTCATCTTATCAGTTCATCCAGATAAAGGGTACATATTAAAACAATTTATCTGGATCATCAAAGAGATTTTACATTGAATATTAATTAATTAAATTATTTATTATTAATTATATAATTATAATATTATTATTATTATTATTATTATTATAGACATTGTGTTTGTAAGTTGTAAATTCATCAGTATTGGGAGAAACAAAGAATGTACATTTACCAGGTGCAGTTGTTACATTGCCAGCAGTCTCAGAGAAGGATGTAAATGATATCAAGTTTGGTATTGAGCAAGAGGTCGACTTTATTGCAGCTTCATTCATTAGAAAGGCAGAGGATGTTCTCGAAATCAGAAGAATCTTGGGTGAGCGTGCTGCAAACATTCAAATCATTTCAAAGATTGAAAACGAAGAGGGTATCACCAACTTTAACGATATTCTAGAGGCTTCCGATGGTATCATGGTTGCCAGAGGTGATCTCGGTGTCGAAGTAAATATGGAAAAGATTTTCGTTGCTCAAAAGATGATGGTTTCAAAGTGTAATGCTGGTAAGTTAATTAATTGTCTCTGTAAATACTACTAGGTTCAACAACTAATCAATATCAATGTTATTATTTCTTATTCGCAAAAACTATAGCTGGTAAACCAGTAATTACAGCAACTCAAATGTTAGAATCGATGATTAAAGCACCAAGACCAACTAGAGCTGAAGCTACCGATGTTGCCAATGCCGTTCTCGATGGTACTGATTGTGTTATGCTTTCTGGTGAGACTGCCAGTGGTGACTACCCAATTGAGGCTGTAGATATCATGTCCAAGATCTGTCGTGAAGCCGAACTCGTAGAGTCAAGTACCGATTATCACACTTTATTCTCTGCACTCAAAGTCTGTTCAAACAAACCAATTACAATTGGTAAGTAGAAATCACTTAAACAACAAAACAACAACAACAACAACAACAACAACAAAAACTAAAGTAAATTAATTAATCTATATAATTTTCTCTTTTTTTTCTAATTCTTTTACCGTACAGCTGAAACCATTGCTTCATATGCAGTAGCAACCGCTATTGATTTGAAGGCCGATATTATTATTACAATGACAGAAACAGGTTTGACTTCAAGATTGGTTAGTAAGTATAAGCCACCAATGCCAATCTTTGCTATCACCTCATGGGAATACACTGTAAAGCATTTGTTGGCAACCAGAGGTACCATTCCAATTCTTGTAGAGTCACTGATGGGAACCGACAAGTTGATCCAGCACTGTCTTGAGATTGCAATGAAGCAAGGCTTAGCCAAGGTTGGAAGTCGTGTTGTTATCGTCTCTGGTATCATGGAAGGTGTTCCAGGAAAGACCAACTCACTCCGTGTCCTTACCGTAGGAGAATCAATCAAAAACATTAAGGTCTAATGGGTCGTCCAAATCAAACAATCAATCAAATTAATCAACCAATCAACATTATTATCATACTACTACTACTACTATATTGTTATTTATACTTATAATATAATATGTTTATTAGCTTACAACCAACCATTATTTTTATAACAACAATATCATATTTATTTAATTAAAAAAGATTACCATTTTAAAACATTTTTACTAACCTTTATTTTCTTTCCAATTTTTAAAAAAAACAAAACCAATTGAAACAAACATAACACTTCTACTCATACTACTACACTCCTACTCACTACTTAACTACTTAACTACTTGTCTTTGGGACAAATACTTCTACTCGACTCAATTAATTCAACTAATTCTAAATCATTTACCTACCTACTCATACTACCACCTACCTACACTCCTACTCGCTTACTTATACCCTACCAATTACTTCCACTCTACTCATACTACTACACTCCTACTCACAAACTTACTTACCTACTCACTAACTAACTTACTTACCTACCAACTACTTCTATACTTAACTCTAATGCCGATCTAACTTTCCTACTCTCACGCTTGGTTTATATTTTGGGTTTGGGCTTCTTTTCCACCTCTATTTCCTTGGCTGTTCACCTTTCTATTTCAACTCTATAGCCAGCACGCAATAACAATAGTCAATATTCCTATCAAGCAGTTTAAGTTCTGTGATTGTGATTGTCGAACAAAATAAAATAATCAAATATGTGAATTATGAATTGAACTCAATTCATCATTCTTAAATTCCTTTCTCTTCTGTCTTTTATCTCTCTCACACTCTATCTCTTTAAATTAATAGTCTACAGAATTGATAATTAAACAATCTTTGAGTATTTATTTCCAAGAAATTGTAAAGGTTTACAATAATGTTATGGTAATTCTCTTCTTCCTCCACCATTATCCATATTGTGAGGTTTGTGATAAAAGAGGATGACGACAATAACAACCAATATTGGAGTTAGAAAAAACAAGACTATAGAAATGATACCCAAAATTTTTGCTCCAAGATGGGTAGATCTGACGAAACAAAAACTGATTGCCCATACTGGCCAAAAAATAAATCCAACTATAAAGATTGCGATTGCAACTAAAAGTTCACTTTGATCGCCTCTGTAATCTTCACATTCTGTTGCTGGATCTCTATATACCATATAATCTGGGTTTTGATATGATGGTTGTTGTTGTTGTTGTTTATCCATTAAAATAGATAATTTGTATACATGTATGTACAAACAGGTATGTTGAGTATTTGAGTTACTTACTAATCATGTTAATTTTTTATTGGTTGTTTTATTTCCTTATTTGACATGTGTCTGTATTTAATTTTTTTAATGTTTTTTTTTTAATTTCTAAATTAACACTTGTCTAATTTCTAATCGAAAAAGAAATAAACATCATAAGTTTAGTTGGTATTGTAACGTTTGTAATAATTATTATTAATATCATTTTTGAATTATTTATTATTATTTATTTATTAAAATAAAAATAGTTTTTTTTTAAATCTGAAATTGTCAAAAAAAAAATAGTATCATTCTTAGCAATTTTTTTTTGAAAAACAATAATTATCACAAATAATGATAAAAAGCAGATAATTTATAAAAAATCTCCATTTTTTATAGATTTTTAAAAAGATATTTATTCCTTTTTTGTTCACAAATATATTTTCCCACTATTTATCTCAAAAAAGTAAAAAAATATAAATAAAAGCGTGTTTACTTTTTTTTTAATTCAAGTTGTTTTTTGTATAAATATAGATAAATTTTCAATTTTTTTATATAAATAAAAATCATACTTTACTATTAAAACAATTATAAATAAATTTATTATAAAGTATAAATAAAATAAAATAATATCATTTAATTAAACTATTACATTTTTATTTTTTATCTTTCTTTATCTTTTTTTTTTAATTGAAGCTATTAAAAAAAAAAAGAATATATTTATATAATATAATAGAATGAGTAATAATCATAGTAATCAACAAAATGAATATCAAAAAGATGATCCTAGTCAACCTTTATTATTGAATAGGCAGCAAAACGATATTGAACAACAACAGCAAATTCTTGGTCAACATCAACTTCATTATCAATCACCACCTTCAACCAGCACTACAACTACAACAACCAACCTATCAGGCAGTACTTCATACTATCAGAATATAATTAATACTCTAGATGACAACAAAAGTAATGATAATAATAATAATAATAATAACAATAGTAATAATATAGATTACAACAATAATAATGAATTACCTCCACCCTATTATTATGGAGATATCAATAGTAATATTTATCCACATCAACCATTGATTTCGCCAAGGGTTCCTCACAGGCATGATCATGATTCTTGCTATTGTGATAACTATAATATCGAAGATTGCTCAAAAAACGATAGTGAATATCGAACCATTTTACTTATACTGGTGTTGGGATTCATTTGCTGGCCAGTATGGGGCATACCGCTTTTTCGAAGTAAATTCAGGCTGTCTCGCAACCACCATGTTAGACAAGTTGCAATGGCTTCAGTTCTCTTATTTTTCTTTGTTCCCATGATAGTTCTTTTATTCTTTGCATTGTTTTATTTGCTTGGGGTTATAAAAGTATCTCATGATGCTATTTAAATATAGATAATAAATAAATAGTATACCTCTTCCAATCAAACACAAAATCAATTTACATTTTAAGGGTTAGGGTTGGGTATAATATCAAATTTGCAATCAAATAACTGACCTGCAATCATTATTATTTTTACATGGTTTTACACTTTCAGACTTCTTTTTTCTTATTTGTTTATTTGTAAACTATTTCCCACTTTATTGGTGAAACAATTAGATTTAATAAAAGGTTGTTTAGTGAATAGTGGTGAATAGTGGTGGACAGTGGTGAAAATGGTGGAAATGGGGAATTTTATGATCATCTATTGGTCAGAGGATTGGTTTAGCAATTTATAACCCACGAACAATTATTTGTAAAATTTCACCATTTTCACCATTTTCACCAACTTTCACCAATAAACATAATGATCAATCAAAATAAATTATAACCCACTAATAAATGTTTGTAAAATTTCACCATTTTCACCATTTTCACCAATAAAAAAACAAATAAATATTTTGAGGATGATTTATTTATGTTTGATTATGTTTCGGCACGAAAACACCATACACAATCCATATTGGTCTTAAACTTTAAGATTCAACGTAAAAAATAAAAACCAAACCCCAACATCAAATAAAAATTAAAATTCTAACAAGAATTTTCAAATCAATTTTTCAAAAACAATTATGTTGATTTTTATAAAATCAAAAACATTCTATTCCTTCCTTTAATGCATCTTATTTAATTCCTACGCAATCAACTCCTACTACTACAAAATATATAATATTATCTAAAGATACATATAGAATAATTCTTTTAATATAAATAATCATATAACATTATAATAACAATCATAATATTACACACTGTTGATATCATTCTTTTGATTTTCAAACCTTTCTTTCTTTGCCTTAACTAGTAAGTCAAAATTTTGCAAAACCACTCTCAAAGATTATACTTTTTTTTTTATTTTATTTTAATATTATGATTTTTCAAAATTTTTTTATTTTTTTATTTTCATTTACTATGACATCACACCCCCGTCTCAATTTTAGTCGGGATTTTTCATTTTTTCATTAAACATATAACTAATTAAAATAATAATTTTTGGTAGTAAGTAATTATTTTATTCATGGTGTGTAGGGAGTATGAATGTGGTGACAACAAAAAAAAACAATACAATATGTTTCCCCAACTCATACATACACCATAAAATGATCAACTAAATCCCTGACAAATCTTTATAAAAGATTTTAAAAATTTATTGTTTTATAAATTGCACAATTTTTTTATTCATTCAATATTACAACTTTTGTTTAAGAATAAAAAGGTAAAAAAGAAATTTAGATTTGCAAGTTGTTTGGTTATAAACTGTTGTTTTATCACTTTTTCACACACACCCACATGTTATATTTGTGTGTTATTTTTGGGTGTGTGTCTCTTTGTCTTTTTTGGATTATATATGTTTTTGGTGGTGCCATAAAATATGACCGGTCATTACTTTCATGTTGGTAATATTTCAATAATTGAAATCAAAACAACAGTAAAGAGGATATTTTTTCTTTAATATCGACCTGATGAAAATGTAACAATCTATTTTTAATTTTTGCAACATCGCGACGCGATGACAGATAGATTTGATATCTCTCTAAAATCATAGAACCACAATATACCAAATATCAACAGCAAAACCAAGAAGTACAATATAAAACCAATCAAAACTTTCATACCTCTAACCAAAACCACCATATCTTACATTCAAAACAGCCAAACATTAACTGTCCACAAATTTATGCAATCGGTAACAAATCAAATTCAATCTGTCTTTTAACAAAATTATTCAAACAATTTATTAAAATTTCTTTTGTTTTTATCATCTTAAATGTTATCACTTTCATAAATTTAGTATCCTTTGTTTTATTTTATTATTGAGTATTTATAACTTTGGATATTAAAAGTCTTTTTTTTTTTTCTTTCAAAAACATAGAATTAATCTATACTGGATTTCTCTTTAATCAATTTCCTGTCGAATTGATTCGAGATTTTTAGTTTGGAATTACATTTACCGCCTGTAACACATCAGACTACAATTGACGAGCCACTACTCAAGAAGGAAAAGATGATTCCTTCTGAAATGATTGGCTATGGCAGTGGCGGTGCCACCGCTGGTAATGATAATGGCTACATCGAAGTCGAAGTAAACATGAGGATCAAACGTAGATTCGAGGATTCAATCACATTCTTTACAAATATCATACAGACAATGATCGTTGTCAAGCCCAATGAAGTTGCTAAACAGCAAGCCGAGACCATAGTAATCCCAGAGGTTACAGACAATATCAATCACCTATTCTACACCGATTCGAATCTGATCAATCATTCCGCAAATGCAAGCGGCAACTCAACTCCTAAAGACTTGGCAGCATCCACTACTTTGTCAAGTCCATCAGTACTCTCACAATCACAATCATCATTCCATTCTCATCAATCACATCATTCATTAAGATCAAGTGCTAATGTAATGAATTCATCACCGCTACTTCAACAGATAGCTGGTTATTCAAATGAACATATTTCATTTGACAACAATATTAGTAACAACAACAACAACGACAATAATAATGAAAATAACAAAGAAGATACAATCAAGACAGACAGCAATGAGAGCTCACAAAATAGTGAATCAAAGTCTAGGAGAAGATTATTATCAAGCTCAAACGATGCAACCGATGATGAATTGGATACTTTCAAAGTCTACGAAGACGGTAGTATGCTCATGCAAACTACAAGTCCAGAGAATTTCGAAATGATGATGGATATCACAAAGAAAATGTGGAAATTATCATATAGATACAGAGAGCAACTCTACTTCTCACTATCATCAGTACAAGATTCATTAGTGGTCGAACAGTTAATTAATCAAAGTTTTAATTCATTTGTAGATGATTGTTATATGGGTAAGAACTAGTTACAAATATCTAATTATACTATCATATCATATTTATTAATAATATATCTTTTAAATCATTATTATAACAGAGATTTTTGAGAAATTTGAAGATTCATATCCACAACAAATTCATCTATTAAAAATAATGAGAAATTCACCTGAAAAGCTAACAGAGAAGAAACCAACTGAATCATATATACCAACTACTAAGATCAACAACAAGAAAGATCAAAAAGTAGATATCTTCTCTGTATCAAAGAGAGCTTTCAATACTTTTAAAACAAATTATACATTTCTCTCGATTTTTCGTTCTCTTTTCCCAATCAGTGTTTGGGCAAGAAGGTACCTATCAACAACCAGTTATGGAATTAATATTAATATTAATATGTTTTTTCTTTCAAAAGATACAAGTTACATTATTTAAAAGATGATGTTTTAGCATCATTAACTATAGCATTTATGTTAATTCCTCAGGCAATGGCGTATGCAATGCTTGCTGGATTAAAGCCAATATATGGATTGTATTCTGCATTTATATCACCGATTGTCTATGGTATTTTTGGAACATCGAATGAAATTCAGGTTGGACCAGTGGCAATGGTGTCTTTGTTGGTACCTAGCATTATTGGACTACCAACTACACATGAAGATTATGCCACCTACGCAATGTGCCTATCTCTCCTATCTGGATTGATTTTATTGATATTTGGATTTTTTAGACTTGGATTCATTATCGAGAATCTCTTAAGTAATCCAATTCTTCTTGGATTTATTCAAGTAAGTTTAGTTTACTTGATTGGAGAACACCATATCATATTCTAACAATTATTATTTTAGGCTGGTTCAACATTGATCATTCTAAGTCAAATAAAGAATTTTACAGCAATTCCGATACCATCAAATTCAGCTACCATCATTGAATACATGGAAGGAATCATTTCTCACATCAAAGATATTAATGGATACACTGTTTTAATGGGTAGCGTCAGTCTTGCAATATTGATTGGTGTCAAATATATAAATAATAGATTAAGATATAAAATACCAACTGCCATCATAATTTTGGTTCTTGGTACTCTTATTTCATATTTAGTTGATGTTAAGGGTGTATGTATAATAATAATAATAATATATAATAGTTTTTAAAAATATTAATAGTTTTTTTTTTAATAGAAACTTGGTATTAAAATTGTAGATAATATTCCATCAGGTATTCCATCACCTCATACAGTTCCACTTACATTTGATAAGATTTCAAAAATGATTGTTGGTGCATTCATTGTTTCGATTTTAGGATTTGTCGAAAGTATTTCCATTGGAAAGAAGTTTGCAGCATACAAAAAGTACTCTATACATACTAGTCAGGAGTTGGTTGCTCTTGGAATGTGTAACATTGTACAATCTGCATTCTCTGGATATCCAACAACCGGTTCTTTTTCAAGAACTGCAGTTGCTTATCAAGTAGGTCAATTACAATGATAGTTTAATTAATTTATAACTAACTGTTATTTTATTTTATGTATTAGATGCAATCAAAATCAAGATTAACATCGATTCTAAGTGGAATTATAGTAATGTTTGTACTTTTGTTGTTAACACAAGTGTTCAAATATACTCCACTTTGTATACTTTCTGCTATTGTAATTTCAGCTGCCATCACTTTGTATGAATTCAAAGAGACAATTGAACTCTACAAGAAGGGTGAGTTGATTGGATTCTTCCAGTTGTTGTTTGTATTTATCATGACATTACTGGTCGGCTCTGAAACTGGAATTATTATTGCCTTTGTTGTTTCGATTCTTCAGATCATTTTCTTTTCGGCAAGACCAAACTTGGTTATTCTTGGTCGTCTCCCAGGTACTCTTGTATTTAGAAATGTGAATCATTACCCCAACGCAATTACATATCCAGGTGTAATGATTATTCGTTTCGACTCTAGAATGACTTACTACACCATCAATCATTTCAGAGATATCATGAATAGTATGGATATGACACCACCCAACGCCCAAGATGTAAAGGTAATCGTGTTTGATGCTGTAAATATTAGCTCTATCGACTCGACTGCAATGGATGTATTGAATGATATGCTAGATATCTACGAATCAATTGGTGTTACCGTTCTCTGGTCTGATTTGAGACCTATCATCTACAGATCGATGAATCAATCTGGTTTCCTTAAGCGATTGAACAAAGATCATATATTTACAAGTACAAGTGCTGCAGTTGACTATGCTATTTCTAATAACAAAGAGGTATTGGAAGTGACCACTCAATAATAATAATAATAATAATAATAACATTACATAGATAAATATTAATATTAGTAATAATAATAATAATAATAACATTTAAAATTATAATATATAATTATTTTTTTAAATAAAAAAATAAAAAAATTGTGTGCATTGTTTTATTTATTTAACATGATTAATACCCTGTTTCCTTCGGGGTTGGTATATTCTTCTAGTTTGAATCTACTATGTGTCTTTGGGAAGTTACATTTTTTGTTATCTGTTATTTTAATATTTACATACTCCAAGAGTGGTGAGTTGGTTGGAGCTTCAATGTCCACTAGGAATTGTCGCAGTTGTGAGGATACGTTGTGATCTACTAGAGTTAGACTTTGAAGTGTCTCTAGTTTTAATAGTTGTTCGAAATTACATGGTGTGTTGCTGAGGCTTAGCACTGATATTGGTACCTGTGAGAGCATCTTCTCGAGGTCGATGTTGCTGATTGATATCTTTGAGAGTTTGAGATTGGTGAGCGATGAATTCTCTTGTAATTGTATCCATGGATTTGATATTAATGGTTCGTTGGCAGTGTCCGGTACATTGGGCCTGGTGATTCTCTTGATCAAAAGTGTGTCAATCGTTGATGGGAATCGAATTTCATTACAAGCAACATTTAAAAAAGTGAGTGCTAATTTTCGTGGTTTGAGTGACTCTAGTGATTTACGATAGTCTTCTGTCAGATTTGAAATCGAGAGACTTAGATTCAGTGTTGATGGAAGCTGTTCGATATAATTTAATATTGATTGTAAATGATTGTTTGTTTGTTGTGTTGGTGTGCTTGGTTGTGGTATTCCAATAAATAATCCGAGGTGCATGAGTGTTTTGATTTTAAGAAAGACAGAGTAATCCAAATCCGGTTGAAAACTCAACTTTAGAGATGATAAGCTAGAGAGTAATGGTTGACCGACAAAGGTATTGATGAGCTCTGGTGTGTCTTGACCGTTGAAAGAAAGTAGGTTTAGATCATCTATGGTCATATTGACTGGCAAATGAGCAGCATTTTTCAAAAGCCAGTGTTTCTCTTGCTCGAATATCGCAGCACTATAAGTGATGTGGAATTGAATGTTGTGCGGTAGTTTTGCAGAGAGCTTAGCCAGCTGCTTTAGAGCGGTAGCGTTTGAACAGCTGCGAAGGGAAATCTTGAATCGAGTGTCCAACTTCCATGTCATGAGATTAATGGATTCGATGATATCGCCCAACAATTCAAAGTTTGTATTAATTGATATCAGCTGTACATCCTTTAGCATTCGAATGGCATTGTCATTGTTTTTCAGAGTGTCAAAGTGTCGGTGGAATCGGCTCGATTGGTCATCGGTAAAGACATCACATGAAATATAGTACACATGCTTCCACAGGGAAAAAGGAGAACCCAAGTGCTTGACATATTTCGTGAGATGATGTTTCTCACAATGATCGTCATACATTGTAAAGTAGAGATCTACCATTGGACTAGTCAAGTGGAACCATCGCCAACACACCAATCCAATAGAGAGTAATGTTGTTATTTTATGTTCGCCATGGTATACCCAAACATACTCAATAATTTTCTTTTGCAAAGTGACAGGTATAATTTGTTTATCTTGTTGTTGTTGGTGTGATAGTTTACAGTTTATATCTTTACAATTTATATTATGTATATGTATATGATTTGATTTCGTTAAATTAATACCCATTATAATTTAATACGGAATATTTATAAGAATAAATAATAAATAAAATAAATAATAAATAAAATATAATAGTATTTTTTTTACGTAAAAGTCATAAAGTTTATTTAAATGGTTAAATATAATAGATATAATAAATAAATAAGAACACTTCTGTTAAAAAACGAAGTGATTTTCATTAATTTAAAAAACAAAAACAATTTTTTTTAAATTTAATTTGATTTTCTCTAAAGAACTAGGTTTTCCCCAAATCCAACAGAAATTTTTCGACTATTTTACTTTTTTTCACCACAATAATTATAATATGTTTAGATATAATTTCAGACTGTTCAACTTTGCCAAAAATAATAATCTCATTGTTAATGCAGTCGATATCAAGTTGAAGGAAAAAGGTAAAAGATTGGATGTTACCTTCGATAATGGTAGATTTTTTTCATTCTGTTCTGAATATCTTCGAGTTGAGAGCCCTTCTGCAGAAGTACAAGGTCATCATTCATCACAAAAAAAAGTAATATTCCTTTGCAATCTATGATATAACAATCTTTTATTCATTTCTATTGTTTTGATTTAAATCATTCTTTTCATTTTATATTGATATAAATATTTATAGATTGTTTGTGGTAGAAGATATGTTAGAATTATTGGTGTGTATTCACAGTCCTATTTTTTTTTTTTTCGAAAAACAAAGAATATTTTTTCATTTAACACATAACAATTATTTTTATATGTTTTCTATCATTTAAAGGTATAGAACCGGTTGGAAACTATGCAATTAGATTGATCTTTGATGACTTGCATGAATCGGGTATTTATAGTTGGAATACACTTTACACGCTTGGTGCTACCAAGTATTCAACAATGAAGAGATATTTATATAATTTAAAACAATTAAACAAATCAAGAGATCCTATAAGAAGTCGTTCTTAATTTTATATTTCGTTTGTCTTTAAAAACACACCACACACCAAACACCACACACGGTTAAAAATTAAACAATTTTATCACAAAAAAACCACTTTTATGTGAAAATTAGTGTTGTTCGATTTAATTAATTTCAGAGTATATTAAACAAACACACAACTTAACCATTTTCATAGATACACACAATTGTTGGTTTTTAACAATAACAAAAATTAAGATTTAAAATAAAAATTATTTGTTTTTATTTAATTATTTTATAACATTTAATTTGCAACATTAAATAAAAAAATAATCATTTTCATCATTTATTTATCATTGCTTGTCAAGATTAATAAACTATCGGAAATTTATTCAATTCAATCACACAATAATGATTCAATATCCAACAAATCAACAGAGCTATGAACATTCAGGTGGTGCTTCGCCAATACAATCCAGTCAACCATATCAACAAAATTATCTTTCAAAAGAATTGAGCGAAGAAAACAATAACCACAACTTTTTCCCATTTGACTCTTTGGTAAAGATTACAACCGACCCATTCTCCAAAGGTATCGAATCTGGAGGCGCTGGAAATATACCCATCTACTTAAACAAACCTTTGTTTGGAGGAAGAACTGCTGCTTTAGAATATTAATGGCATAAAGAAAGTAATAGAAGAAAAGAAAAAAAAAAAAAAGCATAGAAAATGTATAAATAATATAGTATCGAAATTTGTAAATATATAAAATCCTTTTTTTGACAAACCTATAAATAAACATTGTTGTTCAAATATAAATAATTTAGAGTTTTTTTATTTTATTTTATTTATTTATTTATTTTTCTTTTGGATTACTTCGTTTTCGTTTGCGTCGGCATTCATAAAGTATAATCCTATCATGATTAAAGTTGCGCCTACCCACCATTGAGCTGAAAGACTATCATGGAAGAACAACCATCCAAAGAAAGCCTTTTTATGTATACAAAAATATCATTAGAATTGTATTTACATATAAATTAAAAAAAAGAGAAACTTTACTTACAGTAAAGAAAAAGTTTGAAGCTGTTGTAATCACTGTTGATGATAGAGATGATGATAAATCCATACTCTTTGCAGAGTAACGCCACTGCATTGTAGTACACAATGAGATACCACCAATACTTATTGCTCTAAGTGCATAGTCAATCTATAACAACAACAATATAAACATGCTATCGTTAGTTTAAACATTGTTTTTACTTTCCTTGCATATAGTTTAAAATGATCGTACTTTATCTTGTGAAATAAAAGTTGATAGAAACTTACTATCAACAACAATCTTACCAAATACACCACTTAGCGATGCGAATATTCCACCTATTAAAGCTAATATGAATGCATATCTTTTATTCTTTGACAATGAAGATGTGTTTGTCTTTGATCTTGAATTAACTTTAGAACTCATAATTATTTATTTTAAAATTAAAATGATTGGCATCAATGCAATATTATTATTACATTCCCTTTTTGTTTTTTTTTTAGTTCACTTGTTTTTTCTTGTTCAACATTTGACAGAAACAAATATATAATAACTCTTATTATGTCAAGTTTTAATAATGATAACGATAGTAACAGCAACATAATTGTAAATAATAATGAGAAATCAAATTTATATAGTAAAGATCTAATAAGAAAATTAGATTTCTATGATTATAATTCTTTGATCAATCTAATTGAACTCTATGATCTATATTATCGATCAAAAGATAATGAAAATCTTAGAATTAAAATACTAAAGTTCTTTGTTACCTATCATCGGTTAAAGTTTGTACATTATATAGATATTAAAGGTTATATCAAATGGGTGGTAGAAATATTCTATGATGAATCTAAAGAGATCTATGGCTATCTCTATCAAAGTGAAATGCCAGTTATAACATACTCAGATTCAATCGATGAGAAATGGATGCAATTGATATACACTATCAATTCATTCTATCCTCAAATTCTATATGATATCAAACATGAAATCATAAATGACAAGAGAGTAAATATAAGAAATATAAAATAGATTTATATATTATTGACAATTAAATTAGTTTAAATCTTGGTTTACTCATTTAAATGAAACAGATAAAGATCAATTAAAAAGTAGATTGCATTTAGAATATATTGGACATAATGAATCTATTTATAGAAATACATTATATATGTTAGGTTATAAAGATAGACCTATTAAATTTGACTATGAATATTTAGTTGATTATGTTTATAATAATAATAATAATAATAATAATAATAATAGTAATAATAATAATAAAGTTATCAAATCAACTATAAATCAAATAACTATTATATCAGATTTAGTTGTTGAAAAGATAATAAGTGATACATTATCAATTGTAGATTGTAAATATCTGTTTAATAAGGAAGACACTGGCGCTATGAAGATTTTAAGTAATCGACATATATTAGATTTGGCAGTGGTTTCGAAACAATTCTTTAGAGTCATATCAAAGATCATCAATAACTATAGTTTCTATTGGAATAGTTATATAAATATCAACCGTGACGAATTCAATTTAATAAGTGCACCACCTCTGTACTTTGATTATGAATCGATCAAGTACATACCTTACGATCGAGGTTGTGACTATGCCAAACACCTTCTCTCGAGAGTGGAGACATTCGCTATTCAATCAGATGAGAATGATTTCAAGATGTCTGGAGCGTTGTCCCGAGATCTACACGATGGCAGAGCATTTAGTAGATACAATTCGTGGTACAGACAGTCGATTAATCGCAATGATTACTTGGTGTACCCGCCTCCTATGCCACACCTAAAGAATATCATTATAAGTGAATACCGTGGTTTAAACTCGAACTACAGTCACCTACTGCGACATATCATTATGAACACACCCAACGGCAATGGACATGGAATAGAAAATCTTTCACTCTCGCTTGCTAACGAGAGAGAATATGGTTTGGTTTATCATGAATTCTTCACTCCTTTATTACAATATCACTCAGATACATTGAAATCAGTTCGTATCGATATAATACATTTCAATATATATGATGAAAGATTAATGGCAAGGCTGGATAAACTCTCTCATACTTTTGAAAACAAAGGAATTAATTTTAGAGTGTTTACAATGTTAAATTAAAGTTGACAAGAATTCGAATGATGAATGTGAATTAAATAAATCAAATACAATAAATTTTATTAACCAACCATCGATCTAATCTTGTTATCTTTAGATCTGTGGATTTTTCCGATATCTATATGGTGTTGTAAAAGTTTGTCAAAATCTGGATACTTTTTCAACAGTTTTTTCTTTAATCCATCTATATCTCTAACACCAGATATTAAAAGTCTGTTTACTTCACCTCCAAATCTCTTAATTACTGTTTCGTCCAATGAGTTTGTATCCTGATCAGACTTACTACTACTATTTTGATTATCTTTTTTAACTTTTTTCTTTGTTTGAACTATAGTTTGATTATTTTCTTCTTCATCGTTATCATTTTTAACATTATCATTATCATTATTATCATTATTATTATTATTATTATTTTCTGCACCGTCTTGATCTTCTTTATCATTATTATTTTCATCTGCTCCGTTTGCTTCATCATCTTCCATCTCTTCATCCTCCTTGTCTTTGGCTTGTTGTTTTTCATTTTTTCTTTTTACACCCAAATTTCTTGGTTTGGTCTTGATTTCGGTCTCACTAAATAGTGCATGGTGTAGAATATCAATGGCAACTTCAGCGTCGGATCGCTCGACAGTCAATGAAAGTCGACATTTGGCATGTGCTGTTGATAAACGAATCAATGTCTCCAAGGTACGTGTTGTTATTGGTAATGTCTATTGATGATGTTGTTTTATGAATTAGAATTTAAAACATAAAACTTATAATAAATAAAAATATTAACAAACCTTTTCTCCTTCTTTTGATCTCAACTCTGTATATGAAGAAATAATAAATTCTCTTGCTTCATCAGTTAGCATTGGCTTTGTTCTGGATTTAGCAAAGTGGAGATACTTTTGGATAAATGGAATAGAAAAAATTTCGTTCTCTCTCTCGCCATGCAACAATTTATCCACTTTTTGGTAGACCGGGGTTTCTAAATCCTCCTCTACGATCTGTTTTATATCCATTTCACCACCTAATATAGACGATGGTTCCGTTTGTAAATCTAATATACAATTTTTAAAATTAGACTTGATAAAACCTAAATAAAATAAACTATAAAATCTACATACATGTTTCTGAATCACTGGCACGACGATATCTATGCATACGTAGAATATGTTCAGATATATGTCTGTCATGATCGGGATTTGCTTGATCTAATACAATAAATAATAAATCAAATCTGGATAAAAGTGAGTCTGGAAGACAGATATTCTCGTGTGGACGCTTATAACGATTGTATTGACCGTAGATTGGATTTGCTGCCGCTACGACAGAGCAACGAGCATTGAGCGATGCATGGATACCGGCTTTGGAGATGGTTACAGTCTGCTGCTCCATAACTTCATGAATAGCTACACGATCGTCATAACCCATCTTGTCAAACTCGTCTATACAAACAATACCACGATCTGCCAGAACCATGGCACCTGCTTCCAATCTACGCTCACCAGTCTCAGAGTCGGAAGTGACGGCAGCAGTGAGACCAACACCTGAAGAACCTCTACCGGTGGTGTTGATGGCAAGAGGTGCAATATTCAAGACGAATCTTAGCAACTGTGATTTCGCTGTTGAAGGATCACCAACCATCAATATATTGATATCACCACGAAGATGTGTGCCATTCGGCAGATTCTTTTCTACACCACCCAGCAACAAAAGCAGTAAACTCTTCTTAATATAATCGTGACCAAAGATGGAAGGTGCCATAGATTGTGCCAGCAATTCAAATAGGTTTTCGTTCTTTGAAGCCTCACGAATATTGACAACATCTCTTGGTGTAAATTTAGGTCCGTCTGTTTCACGATCCAACTTTTTGATACAGTTGCAAATCAATACGGTTCTGAAACGTGTGGACTGTCTTGTTCCATTGGCACCACCACCTCCACCAGTGGTCATTGGCAATGCTCTGTAGATACCTACAACCTGTAGACGATCACCTGGCTTACAGCTATCAACTAAATCATTATCGACAAATATTTCAATCGATCTTGGTAGCTGACCTGCTGGCGAACACTCTGGCATCTCCTGAATGGTCAAACACTGGCTGTCTTTGTATTCACACAAACCGTACTCTGTCACTAATGGATTGCCAGCCGCATCCTTTGATAGATAGGAGGCACTCGTTGGAATGGTATCGTCCAAAGTAGCATCTGAATACTGTTTCTCTGACATTTCTTTGGTTTTCTCACAATAGTGTACACTTTTCATAACTTTTGGTCTTACTAACGAACCTATTTACATTAAACGCAAAATAATTTAAATAATTAAATTTAATAGAAATATTTTTGCTAACAATATAATAATCTTACATTTTGTTACGATTCCGTCGATGCAAACCATATTGGAAATGAAATTAGCTCTCAAACCTCTGGGAGTTACATGTTTCGAACCAAAGCTACCTTCGAATCCAAGAAAGTATGGAAATTTCTTTCCATTCCTATCGTTTGAATAGGCACGTTTGCTCATGTCAACTTTTTCGTCTTCTTCCATTTCGTCATTCTCCTCACTCAACTCTTTTGCCAACTTTTCTTTTGCTCTGAGATGCACTATATTCTCGACTGTTCTCTGAAATTCATTGAAATATTCAATTGGACGAGCTAGAAATCTTTTTAAATCCAAAAGCAAACCAGCTATTAGAATCGATTCAGTGTAATATAAATAATAATCTATGATTGATTCCACTTACTTATCAGCTAGTGCAGGATTCTTTGCTCTCATTGTATCTATATTGACTATTAATCTCATTTCATCTTTCTCAATGATTTGATCTATTACATCGCTATAGTGCTCTGATACGAATTCAGAGAATTCGCTTGCAAGTGCTTGTATATCATCACTCATACTTTAAAGTGGTCTCGCAAACTAGCTATATATTCTTTTAATCTATTTTAATTATATAAATAAATATTTATTTAAAGATTATTCTATTCTTTATGCTGCTCATGTGAAACATTAATAATATTTAATAACCAAAAAAAAATTTCCCTCCCAAATTTAAAAAAAAACAAAACTTTTTTTTCTATTTATTTTTTTGTTTAAATCAAAAGTGAATAGATAAAAGAACTTTAAATAAAAAGATACATATTGAAGAGTGAGTGCGACAATATAATAGACAAACAATAATGATAACATTGACTGAGCTTTATTGAATCTTATAATTCATTACTTTCTTAAATAATTATTATATTCAAGCTGTAACATCTTTTAAAATTATAAAATAAATAAATATTGATATTATTATTACTATTGATAAGATATGTTAAGATCTTTAAAATGAAAGTAAAAAAAAAAAAAAACAAATTTCTTGATCATAAACACTGAACATACCTATAGTAAAATATAAATATAATAACTCACTACATATTATTTTAATATTTGTTGTTTATTTTTATATAATGTTTATTCGATATGTTTAATCATTTCGAACCATTGTCTGAGAGTATCACCCAAGATTTGTGGAAGATTCTCAAGTGATCTAAGAATAACGTAATATGGGAATGGGAATTCATTCATGTAGTTTGTTCTTTGAATCTTTCCATTGTTGAATGAGATTGACTATAATTTTAAAAATGTTATTATTAGTATTTGAATATTTATAAACAAAAAAATAGACTGATCAACTTACTTCGAAATCTAAGATGCTATGGTTGTTGACAGGATTATCAATTACTATAAATACAATGAATAAATTCTTATTCTTTGCTTCTCGTAGCCACTTCTTGGTGTTCTCTGGATCACGAAGTGACCAACCATCAGATACGATAAACATTAACTGAGCGGCAGCCTCTGACGACTGCATCTGTTTGTTCATCTCCATGATTTGAATTGATTTCGATAGGAATGTTACCATATCTGTCTTACCCTGTTTGAAAGTAAATTGCGGGATGATTTGGGCACCGCACTGGTCAGAGAATGGCTGGTCGAAGGAATGAACCAAACTGACATCTTCACCGAATCTCATGATTCCAAGTTGACCAACTTCCAAACGAGACATTGCTCTACTGATCATTGTCATTGCTTCCAATGCAAACTGACCTGAGTGATAGATTGCCATACTCTCAGTGTCATCAATAGCCAACAACACTTGATATTGTCTCTTATTTGGTTTGGTACGTCTCAGCCAGATCTTATCCTTCTTGAACTGAGAAGCAATATAAGGAATTACCTTTTTCATATTAATTCTCTTACCTATAAATAATTAATACGTATTAGTGAAATGAATTATTTAAACAAAATTAAATAACTAATATGTATTACTTACCTGTCTTGTAATCACCTTCAAGTTTTGTTGCCAAAGTTGGTTCTAGAATGAGTCGAAGTTGCTCACAAAGATCTTGTGATAGATCGCTTGTAAGTTGTTCGTACTTCTTCCATAGTTCATTACCATACTCTAGTTTGTTGGAGTTTTCAACCTTCCATTGCTCGAGATCTTGTCTCATCTTGTCAAAATCGTCACGAGTCAACTTTCTCTTGTCTACTTGCTGATCTTCGTCGGCGGTGTCTTGATCATCTTCTTCTGACATTTCAGCATCTTCATCCTTGATTCCACCTTCACGTGAGATGTTCTCTTTGGACTTGTCTTTGGTAAGAACATCAGTATCACCTTCGGTTTCATCCTCGTTCTCTTTTTCTTTGAGTTTCTCTTCTTCTTCGGCTTCCTCTTGGATCTTTGGTTTGTTCTCGGCCATTGGCATTTTAGACATTGTGGCCGTCTTTTTATCTGGGAGTTTCTGTTCGTTCTCTGGATGATCCTTATGTTGAATCTCTTGTTGGTCAATGTCCATCTCGTCGTCTTGGCCATCATCTTCTGACTCGGTTTGTTGTTTAGGATGATCCTCTTGCATTTGATTCTCTGTTGCAGCACCAAGTGCTTGCTCAGTATCTACTTCCTTGTTGTCTTTATCCTCGGGAATGTATTGATATTCTTGTTGATCCTCTTTGTCCTGAGCAGAGTCATCTTGTTTTGGAGCTTTCTCATCGATGTTGGTATCTTCGGTTTGTTCATCGTCGTTCAACATCTTTAGTTTCTTCTTCCACTCTTTCTGGAGGTCACCCAATGATCTGTATGGATTTGGATCGATTTGAGGCTTCTGTTTCTTTTGTGGAGCGGCTTGTTGTTGTGCATTTGGATTACGCATATTCTTGAGCGATGAATTGTTGGCGTCGTTTGAAGGAGTTGGTAAGGCAGTTCCATTGTCATCACCAGCATCTTCGTCCTTGTTCTCTGGATCCTCTTCGTCTTGTTCCTGATTGGCAGAGTTTGACTTCATACCAGTCTTGTCCTTGACACCGAGTGGTTGCTCAGACTCTTGAGGTTGGTCTTGCTCATTGGCTGTAAGGGAGGTTCCATTGTCTTCCTCTTGTTCTTTCTCATCTTCCTTGTCGGATTCAGGCTCAACATGGTCCATATCAGCACCTTTGTTTTCACCACCGTCAAAGTCTTGTTCATTTTCCTCTTCATTCTCCTTCTCTTCGTCATCTTTCTCTTCATCGGCATCGGATCCATCAGTGTCTTTCTCTTCATCTTCCTTATCCTTATCTTCGCCTTCTTCATCATTGTTCTTTCCATCATCTTCTGGAATTTCAAATGGATCCTCTTCTTTCTCTTCACCTTCAGCTCCTGGTTCTTCTTCTTCATCCTCAATTTCCATATTCTCTGGAATTTCAAACTGTTCATCTTTTCTTTGATCCAAATGATGATCTTCCTCTGGGTCCTCTTGATTCTCTACTTGATCCTCATCTTCACCTACAAAGTCTTCTTCATCGCCCATTTCACTATCTTCATCTTCTCCTTCTTCTTCATTATTCTTATCTTTCTCCTCTTTTTCTTCTTTCTTTTCTTCTTTCTTCTTTTCTTCCTTCTTCTTGTCATCATTCTTCTTCTTGTCATCCTTCTTTTGCTCGTCTTCATCCTTACCCATGACTTCATCAGAGTTGGTTTCTTCACCTTTTCCTTCTTCTTTTTGCTCCTCTTCATCTTGGACATCTTCCTCACCCCAGAGTTTCTCATCGATGACGTTATCCTCTGGTTTCTCGAGCTCACCCATCTCTTTGTCATGTTCTTCTTCTTCTTCTGATTCCTGGTCACTGTCGTCCTTTTCATCTTTCTTGACGTCATTAATGTCACCTTCGAAATCATTCTCCATATCGAATCCTTTGTCCTTGTCCTCTTCATCTTCATCCTTATCATCTTCTTTCTCCTCCTTTTCTTCTTTCTTTTCATCTTTGGTTCCCATGATTTGCTCTTGGTCTTCGATACGATCGGATACATCTTTCTTTCCTTCACCTTCACCCATACCGGTTCCCTCGACATCGTCTTCAAAATCACCTGAACCATCACCATCGGCTTCAGTATCTTGATCCTCTTTCTTACAGAAACCTTTACTGTACAACTGAAGGAACACACCAGTTATGATATACTCTAATTTGGAGACAGTCTTGTGAAGAGCAAACATATCCATAACCGATTGATTGGAAATCAAAAGGAATTGATTTAACATTGGTTGAACTTGATTCAATTTCATCTTTATCAAATTCAATTCTTCAATTGTAAATTTATCTTGAACCTAAATAAATTAATAATAATAGATTAGTTTAATATTTTCTATAATTAATTAATTATTTTTTTACTTACCAATAAAGAATGAAGATTCTTGAATTCAATATTTAATGTATCAAGATGTAACATTGAGAGTTGCTTTGAAAGATAACTGTAGAGCTTTGAAACATGTCCATCAATAATTTCATATTCAGCTTGTTCCTCTTCATCTTGATCTTGATCTTTTTCTTTGGTATCTAAAACCTCCTTCTTTTGAATAGAGTTTGAAAGTTTCTTCTTATTTTGAATAGATAACAAAATATGACCAATTATATTTTCCAATACATTGGTAAATTGTTGAACTGATTCTGGATCTGATTCTCTATTAATCTTTGAAACTTCATTATTATCATTATTCCAGTTGTTTATCAATTCATTTGACTTTATAAAAATAATAAATTTTGGTCAGTTATTATTATAAATAAATTTTTTTTTTTAATACTTACAGATTGAATTAATTGATTAATTGGAGAAATGAAAATATTTTGGTTATTTCCAAGAGATTGAATGAATTCTTGTGATTTGCTAACGATAGATTTGATGGTTTCGATATTATCAACAAGCAATTGATAGGTCTGGCTTGTAGCAACAGTGAGTGACTTGTCAAGGAACTGGTAGAGCTGACGTCCCTTTCCAATTTCATTGTCAACCGATTGTTTGAGAGTGGCAATTCTACTGTTGAGTTCAATCAACATTGATTTTGATTCCGATGGAAGGTAATCGTTTTGTTTGGTTGCCAATAAGCAGAGTTCACTGGTGAGATTTGTCATCTTGTTGAACTGATATTGTTGAGAATGGAGACAACGTTGAACAAGTGTTTGTGAGTTTGCAATGGTGTTGCTGGATTCACTCACCAAGCTATTGAATAGCGATACGAATGAGTTGAACACATTGAACTGCTCAAGATATTGGATAATCTCTGAACGCTGTTGAATGAGTTGCGAGAGAAGGTACTCGACGAATCCACCTGTCTTTTGTACCTCACGTTGAGTGAGATCTGAATGGAACTCCAATGATTTCTGACGGAGGATATTGACACGAGCTACAATACGGTAGTAGTAAGCATCGGCTTGATGAATCAATGCATTACCATTGATCAGCTTGCTGGACGATGTCACTGACAATGCAGAGTCAACGATCGATGGCACATTAAAGAGATAGTTGGTTTGAAGCTGCTCTTGTGGATAGAATGACAATCGGTATTGGACACCGAGATCTGTCAATTTACCGATCAACTGTTGCAATGCAAATTGCTTTTCTTTGCGCTTGACATCGTCGTTTGTTGACAAATGGTTGGTCTGCTCAATGATTTCACCTGCCAATTGGTCGAGTGTTTCGACACCAAGATGAACCATTTCATATGCTTGACACTCTAGGATATCCTTTTGAGCGATATCGGCCAATCTACGGCTCAGTAAACCAAGTTGATTTTGATGAAGTTCAGCGTTCTGAAGCTGGAATCTAGCTTGTAAAACTTGTTCTACAGAAATCGGTGCGATATCTTGTCGGTTAGAGTGATAACGATTACCACCAAGTTGAATCCAATCATTGAGATCCAAAACCTCGTAGCTAATTGCGGCTTGAACTGAATTCTTGGACTTCTTTGTTGTCTTCTTTTGTTGCTTGACTCCATTGATTGAAATGTGTTCCAAATCCAATTTGTCGGCATCCAACTCTGTGAAGATCTTGAATACTGGTTGAGCCAGGACATTCTTGTAGTTGATTGTGATCTTGGCGAGTGTCTTGTGTGACTTTTCAATGTGTGCTTTCAATCTTTCGTATTGAGTCAACAACTTGTTATCTTCCCAACGAGCCAATCTAATGAATTCAATAGCTTTCTCTTCGATTGGTTGAATGAGTTGTGCCAACTTCTTTTCGAATACTGGCAAGAAGTTGTAGAAATACTTGTATAGATTATGAACAATGTAGGAAAGACGCAACTTGTATTGCTTCTCAACGTTATTCTCTGACAACTGTACCGATGCCAATAGTTGACTGTCAAATGTCTTCAAAGTGGCTAGGCGAGTAGTCAACTCTCCAAACGATGAAGTGTAAAGATATTCTTGTAATGTCTTGAAGATTTCCTCAAAGTGAGCATTGAGCTGGTCTTGATCTTCGAGAACCTCTATGGTTGGTGTGTCATTGACAATTTCATAGAGTGACATCCAAGTCTTGAGTGACTTTAACTCGCATTGTCTCTCTTGGTTCTGGAATACTGTTGGCCAGGATTCAATCTCCAACTTTCTCCAACGAGTGATAATACGGAACAGAGTGTTGAGATGTGGCTCTCTCAATGAAATGAGTTTGTGAGCAAATGCTTCCCATTCTTGTGCCTTTCTAACTAGTAACTCCAAACCTGTGACAATCTTGATGAGTGGATCGCTCGAAGGACATTCGAGAATACGATTACAAAGTCTGAGGAGCAACGATAGAATTGGATGCTCTTCGAATTCCACTAGCAACTCGGCAATACGATTCTTGAGTGCAATAAGTGGTTCACGGACAATGGTAATCTCTGCGATATTGCTGTCAGTGTAGATGTTGTATACGGTGGTGTCATGGCTCAGAACAGAATCATTGGCGTTACTACCGAGCGATGAAACCTGCTTGATGAATTTGAAGTTCTTATCGAGCTTTGAATAGGTTATCATAGAGGGTGGATTCTCAGAGAGTTTCTCTTTAACGAGAATGGCATTGAGAAGGTGGGCACCAAGTGAATCTTGATCGAATTTAGTTGGAGCACGTTGATCCATGACTTTGAGCAACAAATTACCACATTCATAGAACATCTTAAACAATTTGACACGATCTCTCTCATTGATTTCCAATTGGACTTGTTTCGATGGCAATGAAATACCATCCAATTGACTAAATAGCTGCTTGTGAATTAAATAGATCTGTTGAATCTCTTCATCAGTAATGGCTTGGTTAAAGAGAATAGCATCTTCATCCTCTTCGTTGTCATTAGCATCTCCACCGGTAGACTGAGATTGTGCTGGTGGTGCTTCATCATCAACTGCCATCGATGAATCAATGAGAATATCCTCGAGGTCTGAGAATTCCTTGTAGAAATTAGGGAATGAAGTAAGGAATACACGTTCATCACGTTCTTCCATTGTCTCCATCTTGTGTGACTTGGTACGGAACTTGACAGTTTGGGCGGCCTCTGCTTCAGCAGCCTTTCGCTCTTCTTCCTGGTGTTTATACTCCTCAATGAATATTCTAAAGATAGAGTCAACCGATCTGAGAATATCACTGGTGAGATATTTACTGTTGGCCAAATGTGAAAAGAGTTGTGCAACCGAAGATTTCACTAGGAGTGCAATGACACGGTAGTTGGAATCGGAAGAGCTGGTAGAGTCACCAGTGGAATCACGAGAAATCAAGATATTACGAATCGATTGGATTGTCTCTCTCGATACCAATTGTTCACAACTAGCCAAAGGATCGATGTTGTGATCGAATCTTGGGAATCTGCACACAGTGTTGAGAACCTGTTGGAGTTGGAGCATGTTGACATCGCCAGAGGCAGAGATGGAACGATGTTTGGTGGCATCACACATCATTCTCAAACCATATTTCATTTGAAGAACTGCAGTTGCAATTGGTACAGAGATATCTCTATAGTACAAATGATACTTCTTGTTGAGTGAATTGATAAAGTTATCGGATTTCTCTTGCCACATCGACTCGGTTGTGAATAATACAACGAGTTCGGTGGTTCCACGCTCAAACTGATCGACCAAATCTACAATCTTATCGATTTGAGCGAATTGTGCGACGAATTGAGTGAGATCTCTATGTAGATGTTCGAATTGTCCTGGCACTGGACGCAAAGTAATACGTTTCTGTTGAAGAGTGAGTTGTTGGTCAATCTCCTCCTTCTTGGTGGTCAATTCTCTGATCATAAGATTGGTTTGCTTTCCAGTTTGTTGACGTTCAATCAACTGACGAATATACAACTCATCTTCGACTTGATTCAAAATCTCCTTGGAATAGTCGAGAATTACTGAATACTTTTGAGTGGGATCGACTGGATGTACAGGTAGCAACCAGAGGACACGGAAGCAAGAAACCAACAATGAGAATTTACCCAACATGGTCTGGTCGTCAAGAGTACTGACAACTGGTTCTTTCAAACGTTTGTGTAGAGTTTCAAGTGCTGGAACAATCAACTTTTCAATGTGTTGATTAAATGTTGAGTTGCTGCTACGTTTGAGAAGACCGGCTAACTGTTCAACGAGCTCGGCAGACATTGACCATTGACCAACTTGTTGACCGAGTTGTAGCAATTGGTTGAGCAGTTGCGATTGATCTTCAGACTGATATAATTTAACGAAACAACCAACGGTAACGAAAAGAAGATTTACATAGGAAACCCACTCTGTTTGATAGATTGACTTTGGATTCGATGGTAAACTACCGATATGACTGATCAATGATTGGATTTGGCTGATTTTGTTTGGAACATTTTGAAGGGTTGTATATTGGAATTCATTGGTCAGGTAGAACGAGAATATACTTTGAATACTTTGGAATAAACGAGGTGGACCACTTCCAAGTGTAATTGAATCAAATCTAGTGGTAACAGGTAATGGTACTGATTTGTTGGCTAACAAATAGCTTGGCTTTGATGATCTCTCGAGATAAGAGAGATCATTGAAACTGTTATTCCACAAAGTTTGGTTCCAATTAAAGAGAATCGAATGAATGATCGATTGTACTTCCACGATTCCAATGTTGACATTGGAAGTACCACGTTTGGTTGATTCCTGGATACCTTCTAACATCCATTTCAATTTTTGGTAGGGAACCAACGAAACTGGATTCACAACAGTCTGATCTGAAAGTGAGTTTCCAAGATAAGTGGAGAGATCACCGATCAAACCGCTGATCATTGGGAGAATTTGATCGACTTTGACAACTCCCTTTGTTGTATCAAGATTGTGATTCAACAAGAGCAATGTCAAACGAGAAATAATAGAACTCTCCAGCAACGCAGAACTATGTTGGAACAATGGCCACATTCCGCTCTTACTGTGTCTGAGTGTCGATAGATCAAACTTGACACTTCCAACATGCTGAGCAGCAGCCTTTTGCTCCTCTTCACTCATAGCACCTCGCTCGGGGTCAATTGTTGTTGAAATGGTGTTACTATTCATCTTGTTGTTCTGTTGTTGGAGTGCTTCCAGTTTCGATTTCAAAACGGACTGAACTTCGACTAGAGATGGTATCAACTGTTTGGCATTCTCCATGGCAGATAGTCCTAGAGCAGGTGGATTGGATTGATTGTCTGCAGCACGTTGGTCATGTTCATAATACTGATAGTTGATCCAATAGAGTGTGGAGAGTGCCTCAACAAATGTAGATCTCCACTCTTGTGTAATAAAGGAAATAGGGTGTAAGAGTGGTGATTCGTTGATGGCACGATGATTGAATTGAACCTTTTGTGCAAGATCCAAGAACTCTTGATCCAATTGAACGAGTTGTTCGGTCTTCATTACAATAGGATGTCCATTCTGTTTCCAAAGACGATTGTTATTGCTAAACAACATGGATTGGTTCAATTGACGTTGAATATGCTCGGCAACAGTGTTGAGATTTGCAGAGATACCAAACAATGATTGATTCATCTGGTTGATCGAACGAACTTCTTTTATCATCCACTTCCAACGAATGATGAATTCACCGAGACTGAACGATGGAGCAACATTCAAACTCTTCCAGAAATTGGCCATCAAACGAACAAGATGTTCAATCTTGGCCATTGGTATGATGGTGGTGAGTGATTCGCTTGGCTTCTCGAGTACCTGCACGATCGAAGATACCCACTGTTCAAATTGTTCAGAGAGTGACTTGAAGAATGGATAGAGATACATGATAATCTCAGAGGTGAGCGATTCCTTTGAAATCTTTTTAGCAGAGCACAAGTACGATTGTAATACCGGTGTCATATTGCTTGACACTGTTTCTTTCATACCGGCCAAATAGATTCTCTGTTGAAGATATGACTGGAAGTGGTGGAACAACAAGATCTTGAGCAAGTCCATGAAATGGACAATGGATTGCCAATCTTGTTTGGTTTCTTGATTGGCCGATGACTTTTCAGAGAGTAACTCAAAGAGTGACTCGTTATTCTTCCATTGGTGACCTTGGAAATCGGCTAGATACTTGGGAAGTGACAACTTTTCCAACAATTGATTCAACTTTACATCGAAAGAGCTGTACAATGGGCTAGCAAATAATGACTTGATAACACTTGTATACATATCACATTGAGCTTTTCCAAAGTGTTGTTGTTGTTGCTTCAACCATTTCAAACGTTCCTTTTGATTGTGAGTTGAAATCGATTCGATAAAGTATAGTCCAGAGTATTGGATATATTGACCGATTTTACTTTGTTGATCGACTTGTTGCTGCTCACTGATGGTATGTAATTCATTTTTGTTGGTAGACGGGTTGAATAGGACTGCAGATAACAACCAAGTTGGTACGGATAACAAATACTTGGATGGATTCTCAATGATACTGTTAATCATTGTTTCATTCATGATTTTAGTTTGATTCTGGTTGAATTCATGTTGGAAGTTGAAATGCTTGAGTGTTGCAACATCCTTGTTAAGAGCGTACTGAGTGGAACGACTAAGAAGATCGAAATGATCTACTGGGAAGAATCCGAGTGATTCCAAAGATTGGCTGGATTCTTGGTTGAGTAACATTGACTTTAATTGTGCGTCTGAGAACAATGTGTGGAAATGTCTATTGATTGCTTCTCTCTGACTGTTGTGACGACGTGGACGTATGAATATCTGTTGCATTGAGATGTGCAAAGCTCTAGCGAGTGAGTAACCACGTTGAAGCAAGTCAACAAGTAGACGTCCCCAATAGATAATATGTGAGAGCGTAATTGGATTCTCAATGGTAGATCCAAACTGTTGGAGTACATAGGTTTGGAAGGCAATCATCTGACGTGCAAGTGCTAATGATGGAATACCTTGAGCAGCAAGCAGACGTGTGTTGTCAATGACGTTCGAGTCCATAGTGATATCGGCCTCAAAGAGATAGATTTCAATACCACGGTTACGCATGGCACGAGATATCTCACCCTTACGGTCATCCATTGTCAAGAAGATACGGAAATCGGGATGTGGCTTGATAATCTTTACTTCACCATCGACCATACCACGTTCAGATAACATGAGAACACCATCGTTCTCAAGCAAAGGATTCAAACGATCGAGTACAGTTGGATTACAGAAATTAGCATTGTCAATGGCAATCCAGGCACCTGTTTCCAGTGCCTTTATTAATAGACCATCGATCCACTCGAAACAACCTGTGACCGATTCGTTTTCAATGAGTTTAAGACGATCGATCTGTTGGTGAATCGTTTGAATCTCTTCAAGATATTGATTGGCACGCTCAAATGCTGGGAATTGTTGGATAACCTTTTCGAGTGCACCGAGAATTTGTATCAATATACTGAATTGCTCCATATCGATTGCTGGAGTATTGGTTGTGGTCGAGGCTGATTTAGGACTGCTGTGGATACTGAGATCTACAAATGAAGAGCGTGTCTTAAAGATTGACCATGCTTGGTGAATGTCTTGAACCGCGGCAATCGATGAATTAATAACATTGGCATCTGGTGTCATTTGTTGTAAGATGTCACCAGAGATGGCATCGATCAACGATTTGGTTGCATTGGCAATACGTTTTTGGTGACGAACCAAATCAACTTGTTCGAAACCACCCAATAACTCGGTGGTATCGACAGAACTATTCATGGAGAACTCGTAGAGAGTGTTTCCAGTGAGTTGTGCTAGCAGACGAATCGATGATGTCTTGGAGGTCGAGGTAGATCCAATGAGAATGGACATCCATCCCATTTCAATACATTTGAGAATTGATTCTAGAGGATTCAACAAACGTTGAAGTACCTGAAGATTGTTGGAATTGGCAATGTCGGAATGCTGTTGTTTTCTATGGACCAGTGACTTTCCGATTTGGACATATTGCGGTGTCAATGAGAATTGAGGCAACGATTGATCCTCGAAATCCATTGGATTTTCGGCAAAGAGACGGTTGTAGAGTGACTGGATATAGAGTCTGTCTTCTTTGGTACGCATACGTTGCAAGTAGATGAGATCTACGAATCGTCCGTAGTTGGCAAGGTGTTCACTATCGGCGACAACAAGGTCGCACCAACGGAAAATGTCACGAAGATTGAATTCCCATGGTGATCCCTTTCTTCCAAACTTTGGATCGACCATAGAGTCGTGATGCAATACACGATTGAACTCAATCATCTTTGCCAATACCTCTGGTTTGATCTGTGGGTATCTGGTACTGGTAATGAACAGTAGATCACTGGCATCCAATTGGTCGATAAACACCTGAGTGAAACGATTCAAGAATGACTTTGGTAGACCCTTACGTCCTCCACCCTGATGCAATGGATTCTGGCAGGCAAAGACACGGAATGAAGGATGGCAAGCGAATGTTCTTCCAAGCTCTGGAATGAATACTTCAGCACGATGATCCAAACAAGCATTGAGACCTTCCAACACGGTTTGTGATGCAAGATTCAACTCGTCTAACAAAACCCAACTACCTTCACGGAGAGCCTTCAAGAAGATACCGTCACGCCACTCAAATTGTCCACCTTTACCTCCCTCTACAGGAAGATCAGAACCTAGCAGATCCATAATATCGGTTTGCTCTGACAAATTGATACGAACCACTTGATTTCCAGTGGCTTGTGCAATGGCAGTGATGAGCGATGTCTTACCGACACCTGGCGAACCTTCAATTAGGATGGCACGTGGCAATTGCATTCCACGGAGAACACGCAAGGCATTTCTTGAGGTGGTTGGTGATCCAAGTGAGAATTGAATCTTTGAAGCACGTTCCTTATTCAAAGAGATAAAGAATGGTTCAACACCAAAGCGATCTCCATGTATAAAGTTCTTTGCTGCGGTAGGATTATCTTGATGCTCAAGGAAGTGAACAGTCAACTCACGACGCGATGTTTCCTCGGTAATCTGTTCAATTAAACGTGTGAGACATAACTTTCTCAGTCTGAGACCATCGGATTCCGAAGTGGAGTTGGCACCCATTCCGAAACCGTCTAGCAGAACCAAGCAGGCACCATGGACATAGGATTGGTCGGGCTTCAACAAACCACGCTCAATAGAAAGATTCATGAATGACACCCACGACAAGATGTCACGAAGTGAAATGGTACGTTTGTTCTTTTGGACCTGATTGAGATACTCGATGAACTCCAACATTGATTGTGAGTAACATTTAAGTTGTGGTGTGAATCGCTCTTCAATGATCTGAAGTAAGTCTTGGTGTGAGGTGATGGCAGGAACCCAAATCTCTGTGAAACGATTACGCATGGCTGGTGAAAGTTCTTTCTTTCCGAAATCACCACCTGGATTCATGGTTGCCATAATTCTAAATGATTCAGCACCACGCAACTCCTCAATGTTGAGACCACCCTTCTCAGCGAGAACCAAGAGACGCGATGGCTCGAGAACGGAATTCAAACGTTCGAGAACAGCATCCTCTGCCAATGAGATTTCATCAATCAAGAAATAATGACCTTGTTTCATGGCTTCAACTAAAGGACCGTCGACCCAAGTGAACAACGATTGATATTGATTGAAAGTTGCTTCAATTTCCTTGAGTAACTCTTGAATCTTCTTATCATCGCTTGACTGTTTGGCAAGTTGTTGTACTTGCTCTAGCTGTTCATGTGGTTGTTGAATTGCTTGGAGATCAATTGGCAAACCAGTCTGTTCGATTAATTGATGGAATTTCTGCAAGAGTTGTTCACGACCACGAACTGGACGCAATCCACCAAGGAAATCCGCTGTCTCTGTATGTTGATGACAATTCAATATATGGAGATGCTGCTTTGTCAAAAGTGAATATAACTGGCAGATTGTTGTCTTTGAACAACCGGTTTCACCAACCAATAAAATTGGCTCCTTGAAACGAAGACATTGTCCTACAAGAGTAAACAAACGCTTCATTGAACCAGTCCAAACGATCTTCTCTAGATATCCCATGGTAGGTGGCAAATCCTTTGCAAGAATTTCCAACATCTCTTTGAACTCTTCGGTTGCTGAGCAATCGTAGATCTTTTCCATGTCCATCTTTATCTTGAGATGTTTCTCAATGACAGATTTGATCACTGCTTTCTCCTCGTCCTTACGAAGACGTTCAGCTAACAGCATGTAACCGGCAATACCAAGTTCATCATAAGATGAAGGGTAACGCTCTGCCCAACGGAAAAGATCACGGAATGTAATATATCCATGTTTTCCAGCGAATACTTGGTTGGCACCCTGACGATTGAGTTGCAACTCCTTCATGATGGCAACCAACTTCTTACAGTAGGTAGGTGGCAACTTACAACGTTTGCCAAGAATCTCTTCCAATTCATTCTCTGGGATGTCATCGACGTGCAACTCTAGGAAACGATTACGGAAGGCACGAGATAATACTTTTCTACCACCATAGAGACCTGGTGGATTCTGAGTGGCGAACAACATGAAGCTTGGATGTGGTTTGACAATCTCTTGAGTCTCTGGAATGTAAAGTTCACGATTGTCATCAAGCAAACGATTGAGTGCTTCCAATACTTCGGATGGTGCCAAATTCAACTCGTCCAGAACTACCCAATAACCATTACGAACAGCTTCAACCAAAATACCCTCTTGGAATACCAATTTACCTTTATCATCAGAGATATATTGTCCAAGATACTCTTGTAAATCAGTATGTTCATGATTATTAATTCTAATGAATCTATGACCTGTTCTAATAGCTAAATATTCAACCATACTTGTCTATATATATATATATAAAAAAATTGTTAGATTAAATAATTTTAAATAATTTTTAATTAATAATCTCAACTTACTTTTCCACTTGATGTTGGACCTTGTAATAAAATTGGATGTTTTCTTGAAACTAAAATTCTTGCAAGATTGTTCAAGTTTGTTTTGATGGATTGGGTCAAGATGTAGTGTTGTGGAACTACTGGTTCATTTTCACCTGTTTGTACCCAGAATTGTTCGATTTGAATGTGTTTTTCCGATGGTTGTTTCAATGGCTGTTTGTATTGTTTGGCGTCACCTTTTCTTATGTATTGGTTGATAAGTTGCTCCATGATTGGAGTGGATTGACGATTGATCTGTGTGAGGAACGACATGTTGATACCCTCATAGAGAGCACGTTGGAATCCAAATTGTTGACTGACAAATCGGGTGTAATGTAATGCACGTGACAATGTACGTAGTGAGAAATGTGGTTTCTGATTGGCACCGTCCAACAATCTCAGTTGAGCTTCCTTCTTGGTGGCCAAATAAAAGTCGACAATCTCTTCGATGGGTGGGTGTGGAACCAAGTCGGTCAACAGTGTTTTCACAACGAGACAGAGGTCGGCACGGTTATCCAAGTCATCGACATAGAACTCGGTGAAACGATTACGAATTCCAGGTGGAAGATCCTTCTTTCCAATGTCGGTCGGTGGATTCATACATGCGAATACCTTGAAGTTTGGATGACGTGTAACCGGTTCGACTTCACCTTTCTCTGTGAGAGTGAGCGATCCACCTTCAAATAGACCTGACAAACTCTCGAGTGTTTCCGAGGTTGCAAGATTGATTTCGTCGAGAAGTACCCAGTGACCCTTGCGAATGGCATCGACAAGCGATCCCTCAACAAAAGAGAATGCAAAACTGTTCTTGGAACGTTCGAACTGCATGGAAAGAGTGGCAACTTCAGCGGCAAAGTTCTTCCAACGCTGACGTTTCTCTGGACGCAGAGACTTTTTGGTGCCTTGCTCCTTGTTTGACTTTTCTTTGTTCAGTTGCTTCTCAACCAAGCGCACTGCCTTTGTGAGTAGCGAAATGAATGACTTCCAATTACGATTGGCAAAACTGGTTTGAATTTTCTCGAGGAAAACAGTGTTGGATGTCTCTGAGAAGGTGTCCTTGAACATCGACTCGAATCTCTGCTTGAGTGGTGCGCAAAGAAGACGCATCTCCACCGGCTTAAATCCTCCAATCAAGTCGGAACTGTCGGATTGCTGATTGAGATTGAGTACTACCAACTTTTGGTTAAGTTGATCGGCAATGTATTGAATGACCGATGTCTTACCGGTACCAGTCTCACCGACAAGCAGAATAGGCTCGTTGAATTCAATTGAAACTGATATCTTTTCGATTAAACGCAGCGAGTTGATAGTATGTGCAAAAGTTGAGGTGGTAGTACGTTGTTTCTGTTGTCCAGATGCCGATTTTAAGTTGACTTGATCGGACTTGGTCAACATTGTCAAGTTACCACGTCCTACCTTGAGCGATTGAGTATCGATCTGCACCTGAGGTTTGTATAAATCGATGAAATGCTGGATACGCTCACTTGTTAGATCCCAGCAACGTCCAATGACTTCGATCAGCTTGACACGAAGATTACGCTTGGGAATCATCGAACAGAAACAATCGACTGCCTCTGTGAAAACTACATCTTGAATAGTTGATGTGAAATGTGTGATTTTGCTGTGCATCAATCGTTGATTGCAACGCTTTATCCACTTTAGAAGATCTCTCGATGAGAGGAAACGGTTGGTTGACATCTGGAAATTGGTGTCTTGAAGATCGACATTGATAGTGTTTGACTTGGCAGCTCCTTGACCAGAGAGTACACGCAACAACAAGTTGAAGGTGTCAATAAACTTTTGGATCAATGGCTTCAAGTCTGGGAAGAGTGTGAGTAGAACTTGGTGCATCTCAGTGGCTGACATTGCTTCGATGACGACACGTGTCCACAAGTGACTGAGAATATTGGTGTGTTGGTCACGCGAATGTCCACCAAACAAAGTCTGAGTGGCAAACAACTGGAATCCGTTGGCTGCCTCGATAGCTTCACCACGACTCGGAATAAAGAGAGTTCTACTCTCGAGCAGAGAAATCAGAACGGATAGCACGTCAATTGGTGCCAAGTCAATGTCTTCTATCAGGATCCAACGACCTTGGCTAACGGCTTGTGTGAGAGCACCTGGCTGCCACTTGAATTCACCTGGGACGTCCGAGGTGATATAAGTACCCAACAAAACCTTGGAATCTGTCTGGTCACCCAAATGTATTTTAATCATCGAGCTGTAGTTATCGGTGAGTGCAGCCAACTCGTTGACCAGTGTAGTCTTACCGGCACCAGTGACACCCTCCATTAAGATTGGCTTGCCAAGTCCAACGGCAATTGCCAAACTCTTTAGATTTGAACTGACGGTTGGTGTGTAAACCAACTGCTGTCTAGATTTTGTCAAGATATCTTGTTGTGCATCACCGACAGCATGTTGTTGGAATCTACGGAACAAAAGAATACCACAAACATCTACACATGTTCCTGAAAAATCGGAATCTTTAATAAAACAATTTTCATTTACTTTTTGTTGTAATTGTTGTTGTTGTTGTTGCTCTTCTTCTAATTTTGAAATTAACAATAAATCTTCATTGTTATTTAAAAATAAAATTGATTTATCAAAATTATATATTCCATTTTCCAATTCACTTTGTTTTTTTATAATAATGTTAGCTTCATGTTTAATATTACTTTTTTATATTGTTTTTAATACATACATTATTTGATGATGATATTTCTGATATAATGGTTTAAGAGACTCTAAGTTTCGATCTGGCATCTTCAAGACCATTGACATACAGTGCAGTACGTACCAACGGATCTTTTCACTCTCGATCTCCAGTAGCGAGAAGAAAGGTGACCAATTCCAGAGTGAACTAAATACCTTTTGATTGAAACAGACCAATCTGTAAGCTGTCTGAACTAAAGATAACCACTTTGACTCACTTTCATTCTTTATATTTTGAATTAGCGAAATCTTTTCAAACAATGACTGTTGATTCGAATAAAACTGTATAATTATACTAAAATTTTTAAAAAGTAGAAAAATAAAAATATTAATATGTGTTTACTTTTGTTTTTGTGATTTATAAAAAATCTGTTAACAAGATTGATCGATTAACATACGCTAAAAGTTGTGGCGCAATTGGAAGTATTCTTGAAAAGACATCACTGATGGTTTCGATGCTTGCAATGTTATTTTTATGTGTGTTGAGATAACGTGTGACGAATTCAATGATCAACGGTCGGAATATACGTGCGATCACAGAACTCTCTGATACCTCTGTCATCATGATCAGTGATAATTGGTCCAGTGCAAAAACACGATCATTCTCACTGAATTGTTCTTCTCTTTTATTAAAAATCGATTGTAACTTTTCATATATTTTATTTTTGGTAATATTATTATTTTGTTTATTATTACTCGTATTTATTTGTTGTTGATTTAAATATGAATTTAATACTTGTATAGATTGATACAAGTTGAATCTAAAAGTAACTGTTGTTGATATTGTATTTGTATTGGTAGTTGCCATTTTTTTATTTATTAACTTTATTCTACTGATAAACTAGTATCTTTGTTAATAGGAATTATTAATGACAATATACTACTAATTACGAAAATACTCAAAACTATGATACTTTTTACTATTAAAAAATAAAAATGAACTTTTAAATTTTTAATTCGTTACGTTTTTTAAAAAAAAAAAAATTTTGAGAAAAAAAAATAATAATAAAATAAAAAATAATTAATAAAAAAAAAATGAGAATAAAATATTAAAAGATAGAAAACGAGTATTAAACAATCACTATTATAAAAATGGTAGCAATGTATCTATTGATTATTATATTTAATAATAATATGCTATGTTATTATAAATTTTATTTTCTTTTGTTGAAATCTAAATATTTTATGTCCTACAATGATTTATTTAAAGTGTAGAGTAATATTGATATAGTTAGTAAATTGTTGTTTGATTATTTATTTTTTTGATGAATACTTACCAACTTTGTTCTACAACTTCCTTTACTTTACGATTGTACTCTCTCTTGTTTTCTCTGAATAATCTCGCTGATTCTGAATTGGCTGGTGAATTTGGATTTGGATCGCATAATAAAGACTATAAAAAATAAATAGATTACAAGGTTAGTAACGCTTGTTAAAAGTATTAAAAAAAAAAACAAACAAATTATTAGATAATTACTTGAATTGAAGTTAAAATAGCAGCAATATCATAAATTGGTGACCATTGATTCTGTAAAATATCAAGACAGATAGCACCGTCAGTATAAACGTTTGGATGGAACATCTTTGATAAAAATTTGACTTGGGGTGGATCGTTTGGATATTCTTCTGAAAACTGTAGAGATAATTTAAAGGTTCCTCCTTCCCATGGAGTATCTTCTGGTCTGCAATTTAGAAATAAAGAGTTGTAAAGTTAGAAAAATCGATACTACATGTATATCAAGATCATTATAATGTTGATGTAAACCTACCCAAAGATGACTGCTTGCCACTGTAATATATTGTTTTCCATTGGTGCTCCACTGATTCCTGCGGGTGGATCATTTTGGAGTCTCTTGAAATCTCTCATTAATCTTCTTCTGGCTGGAGTTGACATTGTCGGTGCTTTTGTTACTGTACTATTGTTTATCTACTGATATCAGGTTGTTTAGTTGGTAAGTTGTTTTCCTCTAGTATATACTGTGTGTTTTATGGTTGTTCTGTGATTGTTGTTGTTGTGTTCTACGGTTGTCGTTTTTTGCGTATGTTTAGTGATTCTTCAAGATTTGAGTTTTAAAACTAACTATAATAAAATATAAGATTTATAAGTGTACAGATATAAATTATATAAATAAATGAATGTTTGTTTTTGTTTCAACAAGTCGATGAAATAGTAAAAATAAAAAAATAAAAAAAAATTGAAGTGAATTTAAAGAAGTTATTTAATTGTTCGCAATTCAAGAAAAAAAACCAAAAAAATAATAAAAAAAAAAAAAAGAGTTTAAATTAAATTAAAAAATATAATAATTTGTGTAAATGTTTGTTTTGTTTGCTGTTGGTGCAATAGTTTGGTTTTTTAGTGTGTTATTATTTATTAATTATGTGTGTTTTTGTGTTTATCTGTATTAATATTGTTGTAGTTTTAATAAGATGGTGGTAACAAAGACAACAGTTGACAACTGCAAACTTGATAGTTCTATTTCAGTTTCAATTGTACTTTTCTAATATCTATCTTTTTATTACTATCAACATTATAATCCAATAGTTGCGAATTATTTTTTTTTTTTTGTTGTGTATGCGAACATCAATAATTCGTTTGTTGCTAAACTGAACATTAAAACTGTCTAATTGAATTGTCGATATGCATATGTATTGAGCGTATACCTACTTCAAAAAAATGATTATACAATAATGTCAAATTACAAATTTAATAAATATATTTTATATTTCTTTTTTTTTTTTTTAAAAATAACAATAATAATTGTTTTCCCCAAAAATGTTCATTTATAAATAAAAAAAAATAAATAAAAATTGTGAATCTGATAACTGCGAAGTTCGCAAAAATTTAGTGTAAAAAAAAGATGAGACAAAGTTGGTTCACTCAAGTTTCCGTTCGCGCCAACTCATTTTCCGCGGCGCGAAGACTGGCGCGAACGGTAACTCCAAACTTCTGCGGATACCCGAATGGAAGTTTGTGAAATGTTGACCGTTTTTAATGGTAATAAGGTGTACTATACGCCATTTTAAAAGATATATTCAAATCTAGGTTTAGAATTTCAATAGATATACAATTCATGTGTTAAAAAAAAAAAAAAAATCACTAAAAATTAATAAAGGTCATTTTTTTTTCAACAAATTATGTTTTTTTTTTATTCCACTTTCCAGTGTTTGTATACAAGTGAAAATTTTTATATGGGGGTTAATATGGGAAGAAAAAAAATTAATGCGAACCCCATATAAAAATTTCGTGAACTGGGACTTCAAATTTTTCATTTTTTTTGGCAACTCATCTGGCACGATTTTTTTTATATGGACCACGCAATTTTTTTATTTTCTTTATTTTTATTAATATTTTAATTAACAATTATTTGTTTCAAAAAATAAATATACCTATATGGTTTTACGTTGTATTTTAAATGTTTTAACTAATAATATTGTCAAGTAAAACAGAGGAAAAAAAGAGTAAAGAGCTTGATCAAAAAAGTTTAGCCATTAAAACAAAAAGGATTGGTTTTGGTTAACTAATTGTAAGTAGTAATATCACAGATCACAATATATAGAGTGTAAATAAGAATGAATAGTCATTTATATGATGTAAAAATGATATTTAAATAGAGATTCAAATGGGTGGCGTGGATTGAGCATGTACTATAATAAAACACAGATATAAAGATAGAAATTACGATAGTCACATATATAAAGTGAATATCATCATAGTCATGGACTAAGAAAAGGTGGTATTTATGGAGATACGATGATAACACATATATATAGGTCAAAGTGAATAAAGAGAAATGAGTGATTTAAATGCATCAAAAATATCTTATAAATAAGTATATTTCAGTCATAGATTTCAACTTAAATCATTCTTTACTAATCAATGTGATGTACTATAGAACATAGAATCGAAATTAATGATGCCAAATCAATTCTTTGGTGGCCTGTGACCCATGCAGATCGATAGTTTAGATAGTTATAATTAGATTGCTCATTTAATTCGCTTATTGGGTTATCCTATACTTTAAGCAACAATACACATACTATATATTAGTATTTAATTTAGTTCCAATACGTCATATTCCTAGTATTTGGATTTTGGTGTGGCTACAGCGCGCCAGTGCGCGCGGCGTCACGGCCACAGCCAATACCCAACTTTTTTAAACTTCAATAAAATTTAATATAGTTTTAATATGTTATTGATCTACTCATCTATACCTTATGTTTTTAATTTCATTAAAAAAAATAGAGCGTTTGATGGTACATGTATCATAAAATGTTGTTCGCCGTTTACTCATTTTGCAAAGTTGGTGGCGATATAAAAATTTCAAAAATTTGTGCAGAAGTCGAAAATTCGGATTTTTTTAAAGGTGATAGAGTAGTTACAACTGTTGGCTGGGCAACTGGTATGTTAATAAATAAAATCAAGAAATAGTTGTTGAGTAGAAAACCAATACTGATGACAAATTTAGTTCTTGGCGTTAGAGATAATCATTTATGGTATCAGGCAGATTGATTGAAGTATTATGTCAGAAACAATTATTCAGATATATCATTCGATCATATGATACCTATGCCTATAGAAAAGGTAAGTTTTCTGAGCAATCTAAACGTGGTTCGATAGTTTTCAATCTTGGAAGTTGGTGGCGATTCACCTACAATGAGGTGTTCTCTGTCGATTGGGTGTTGAGGAAACACCATTTCGGACTGCTAGCAGACAAACTGAAGCGTGAACCTCACAAGCTTTTCTACCCGGATTTATTTACCATGAATTTACTCAATAGCATCGATATAATTCCATTCGATGTCTTTAAGCATCTCTTTAGAATCTATGGTGATTCGATTGTGTGCGATCACTTCTATAATCCACTGGTTCAGAATGCATTTCTTTTTGGTCGTAAAGACATTGTTGAGCATATACAGAGAGCATACCGACCAAGTTATTTAGAAAGTCAGTGAGTGTTGCAGAGGTATCGTTCGTCAATGCTGAATAACAATCATTTGGAGTTGGTACAGTTTTGTGTTGACAATTTCGATGGTATACTTCACAAGCAGGTGAAGTTGGAACCCGTTAAGAAAACATTGGCAACGGCTTGATATCTTTCAACTCTAAAGATGGAGCTGCTAATGAGCTATATCGGTAGTGTTCGACCCCTGCGATATTTGATCAAGTTTGGTGATGTTTCACTGTTCCAGACAATAATAGAGTCAAGCTTTGCATAAATACTTTTACAAAAAATGTATTTTTCGTCGCTTGTCGTTGCCATCGAAAAGATATTCTACAAAGATCTCAACAGTGATGATTCCTTTACACCCACTGCCAAACATTTACAGCTGTTAGAGTTGATATTATCACAACACTTTGGAATAAAATGGGAGAACAAACATTTAAACAAGATCGAGGGTGTACCAGATTCACTACAGTATCTCATAGATATCTATCATCTAAAGATAGATGTAATCGATAGTCATCCAGGAGTTACGAGAATCAAGAAAGTAACCACTGTCTATTTAGAAAATCTTTCTTTAAGTTTCTTACGATTAGCAACAATCGGTTGTTAAATAGACAACTGACAGAGTACATTATCAATAATAGTTTTGAATCAATCTATAATCATGGTAGTTCAGAGTTAATTAGATTGGTAAATAATATTAGATCGTTGGATATCAATGGAGGCACGAAGAAACCTTCTTCTATCAGTGTAACTAGTCATCATACAAAAGAGATAATAGAAATAATCAAAGAGTTTCATCATCCAAGAAGAATATCGTGGGTGCTGGCAGATACGATGGTTTGGGAATTAGCTACCTGTTAAAGACATTCAATATTATTCCAAGTATGAAAACCAACAAGTATGCTCTTAGCAAGTCATTGTTTAGGCGTGATCTCTTTGAGTTTGGTAACTTGGTCACACCGGAAAGACATCTAAAGCTATCGAGTAACATCGAGATATTCAAGAGTTCGCTACCATCATTACAGTCACTTCAGTATATACAATCGATCAACTCTGACTTTACAAATATTGCATTTCAATCGGTAGATCAATGGACCAAACTAGAAACACTGCAATTCTACTTGGTGCACTGTTCGAAAACCATAGGTAATACCTACTATCGATTCTTGATTCGTGCGATGTTAGACGCTGTTGCGTGTGGTCGTCTGGATTTGGTGAGATGTCTCGATCATGTTCAACCGGTTGTTATCGCTAAACACTCAGCCTCTGGAGATAGCGATTCAATACAACCGCTACAATGTAGCAGAGTTTATCATCACTCAAAAGATTGACAGTCAAACACATCTTTTCTAAGATAATAACTTTAGTTTATATTATTATTTGTAGTTTAATAAAAATAAAATAATAATATTAAAAGACAATTATTTTTTTTATTAACTTTTTTGAATTGACCTCTATGATTAACGGTGTTTCAAGTTTGTATTGTAGTATCACGGTTAGACACGAGAATTTGAATTTGGCGACGGCATCTCTCTCTAACATTCCTATCGAGTGATTACCTTGCATGATTCTTGGGTGTTGTTGGTGTTTGATGATGTATTCAAGCATCTCGCCACGATCATAGTGATGACAGTTGACCAGATCATACTTAGATGTTCTAATATGATCTATCTGATTTTGAAAGAAGCCTAATATTTTTTTAGAGATAATAATATCTAGAATTAAATTGCAATTTAATCGTTGATTTCTAGTTTTATAATATCTAATGCTAATGGATATCCTGTTTTGAATAAAAATCAAAAAGATAGTAACTTCCTCTATGACATTACTGGTAATGTCGTGATATATTAAATCAACAAATTAAACATAATGAATTGAAATTTAAAGAAAAATAATCAAACAGTATTTTCATGATGAATGATTTTTTATCAAAAAAAAAAAAAAAAACATATTACAATCGTGTGTGTTTGTTGTATAGTAATTCCTAATTTTATATCAAAGTTGTAAGTATTATATTTATATGTTTTTATGTATATTATAATATGATATTATTACCATTGTAAAATAACAAAGAAGAAGATCTTGATACAGACAAATTATTGTCTATTTATTTTATTATTTATTATTATGATGAGGCTGTTGTTTCTAAAGCACATAATTTTTGGAATTTATCTTGAAGTAAGTTTCTTAAGTTTATCAAATATTTATTTTCTCTTATAAAAGGCAAAATGAAACAATCTATTGTAATACTTTATTAAACCAATTAAATTAATAAAAAAAATTTATATTAATATAATAACAAACATACTTGTCCAAGATATCTTTCATAGTTGTTTTTTGAGAACAATCTATTTCCATATTATACTAAAGTTCTAATTAATATTTAATTGTAAAAACAAATTTTTAGTTTATATTTACGTTTGATTTTTCTAGGTACTCTTCTAAAAACTCAAAAACTCTATTATAATCTATTGTATTATATTCTCTATAATTTTTTAATATTAAATTTGAGTGATTTGAAAGTTTATTTCTTTTTAAAAAATTTGAAATTTCTTCTGGAATTGTATTTAGATCAAAGTTGATGAGTTGATTGGTTGTAATTTTAAATTTTTTATAAATATAATTGATATGTTGAGAGAAAACAAAACTATAAATTGTTTTATAGTTACTAATAGAAATTAAAATATTTTTAATATCTGTATTAGTATCTGGTAAAGATGTTTGAATAGTAGTTTGTTCTGATATAAAATTCATGATTAAAATTTAATATTTGATAAAGTTAAAAATATAAAAAAGAAGAAGTAATTTTAAATTGAATAAATTCTTTACTTTTAATCAAAAAATTAATTAATAAAAATAGAATCTTTTTAAATATTTAATTTAAAATTACTTCTTGTTTAGATAATCAAATTTTTTTTTTACAAAAAAGTTGATGTTTGTTTTTCTAAATGAAAAATATAGTGATTTTTTTAAAATACAATACTGTGAAAAATATAGTCTGTGCATCAAAGATTGCAAACTTTTTCTTATCCTTAAGGATTAATGATCTTGATTATTTTTTTCACCACTTTTTATGATAATAAAAACTATACATATCAATGCTTGTAAACATATTGTTATTATTAGTGCTAGTGGTTCTGCACATGACTGAGGTCTAGGCGCGTTGGTTGCACATTGTATACACTGAAACGATGCTAGACAACCAGAACTATCGTAGGCAGACATCTCTACAGTCTAAAATCCATTGTTCTACTACAACAGGTCAGTGAACAACTGAAAGATCTATTCCTTTTCAATCAATCTATGACTACATTTGCTAGTTTATCGGTGATACATCTTTTGTATCGATAACCTGAATTGTGGTCATAGTCTAGTAACCTTTATTACTATTCATCAATATCTTTGTTTTTTGTTGATAAATATTCAAATAATCATAAAATTATAACTATATTTTAGAAAAATGAATCAAGATGTCTGTTTTCTGTTGGTTTTGTTCAAAAAAAAAAAAAAATTTTGATTATCTTTCAATTTTTTTAAAAACTAATCATTTGTTTTTGAATTAAATAGCAATGAGGGATTCAAACAATATATATTTAGAATGTTTTTTTAATTTAAAATAAAATGGTAGGAATGATATATTTTTAGAAATATAATTCAATTCTTGGTAAAGTGAAACTTTGAAATCACAGTTTTCAACCTGCAAACAATTTTAATATGGAGAACAATTGATTGTTTTTTAATTTACTTTTTTTTCTCAACAACAATTACATCTTTCAAATTTATTATACAGTTATTATTTTTGTTTATCTATTCTATATCTAATATTATTATTTGTTTTTAATTATAATTTTTTGTAACCATGGTCAATCCTACAGATTTAATTAGAAAAGATATAATCATGGATAGTGGAAGACAATTTTTCACCAACACATTAAATAATTTAGAGAATATTTACAAAAGATTTTCCAATAACTCCTCTTCTTACTTGAAAATAAAAGATTGGGAGGAAGAGAATAATAACAACATTGATACTTTATCAAAATACAATATATCAATAAGTGAATATCAACAACATAATAGAATAAAATCAACAATAGAAAAATTAAAAAAAACAAAATCAACAGATATTAGAATAACAGAACATCTATCAACTATTTCAGATTTGTATAATGATTCTGAAACGATTAGTAAGTATTACTCTAACAATAAAAAAATTATTGATTTTAATTTGAATATTAATATATTCCTATAGTATCAAATAATATTTTGTTTAGTTTTTATAAGAATACTAAAAAAAGAAGATAATAATAATAATAATAATAATAATAATAATAATAATAATAATAATAATAATAACTCAATTGGACCTGGTGACTCGGAAATGATCGATATTTCAGTCACACCAACTCCAGTGCCAGTTACACCAACTCCAGTTACACCAACTCCAGTGCCAGTTACACCAACTCCAGTTACACCAACTCCAGTGCCAGTAACCCAGAACTCAATTCCAGTCCACGAAACCTTGGAAACAACCCCAGATCCTCACCAATATCTGTGGATGGTTGGATTACCTTTAGTGATCATTCACCCACTCACAGAAGATCGGCATTTAGAAGATTTTTGTAATTATATTAATATAACTTCCACCGAGACTCAGATAGATATTAATAATATAAAGAATAATTTATATTATATTTTTAAAAAATCAAAATCTTATTCAAATAGTTTTGATAAATCATCATATTATACATTATCACCATCTTCACCACCATCATCATCATCATCATCTACTCCCACTACTACTACCACAACCACTACAACTACCACTACCACAACCACTACTACTACACCACAAACAACATCATTTGACGAATATTATCTTATCAATAATTTTTTGAACAAAACAAACATCAAATCATCCGATATATCTTTATCTATTACTTTACTCAAATCATTTTGTAATTTTGTCAAAGAATCAATCTCAAATACACCACTAACTTCAAAGTTCTCAGTCACATTGGAAAATTATATTAAATATTTATCATCAAATGTTATCTCTGAAGATTATTTCTATACTATTCAAAAACATGTTTTTACATTTCATTTGTTTTTGAAAATCTATAATATTCTATCAAAGAGTAAGGTTGATAAAGCGAAAAAATCTTTAAATAGTGACGGTAAGTTTAAACTTTTTTATTAATTTATTAAATTTTAAATAATTAATATATTTTTTTTTTATTCTGTCTAAAGCATTTATTTTATCACTTTTTGATATTTCAAAAAAACCTCTGGATGTTTTACAATCTATAAATGCTCCTGATAGCAAGTTCTTTTTCAAACCATCCGTTAAATTCCAACGCTTCCCAGATCCGTTCGTTGCAGCATCTCTGCAACCTCATTTTATTCTTATTGACGATTTACTTAGTAAACATCTCAATAAATTGACTGGGGTATATAGCACTCAAGACCGATATGTGGATAGACTTCGCAAGATATTTCCAGACCTGGATTATCGAAACCTATTTCACAACCATTCATTAAAACCATCGGTCCCAACACCAGACATATCAATAAAAGAAGCTGTCTCCATCGAAACTCTCCGATCGATTATATCAAAAGAGGAGCTAGAATTGAAAAAACCAACTGCCGATGAAATAAACCAATTTAAAAAACAGCGTCTCTGTCCAAGACACCTAAAACCTATGGAGGAATGCTCTCAGACTTGTAAAGATGAATTCCAAGGATACCAATGGGCAGTCGATCTATTTTCTGAAGGATTTTTCAGTAAATCAAAAGATTTAGCAAAGTTGTGGCCGAAATATAGATCAACTTATATAGACGATATCAAGATTCAATTCAAGGAACCACAAGTTCACGACATTAAATTTTCCACCAAACAACCAACTCCTGAACCAACAACATCCAATCTCGAGAATCAAGATATTCCAACACAATTTGCAAATACACCAGCCGTTGTAAGTTGTGATAGTAATCTACTTCCCATCAAAGTTACAGACCATAAAGATATCATGGTAGTTATGTCAGATCCAATTTCATCGATGCACTTGGCTTTTAATAGAGAGGACAATGATCTATGTAAAACGTTTGCCAATCTTTTTAAAGCATTTGGAATCAAAAAACCAAGTGCAATGCCAACAGACAAACCAAGTGCCATGTCGATAGACTCTCCTGCCATCTCTACAAACGACAATCCAAGTGTCAAGCCATCAGAGAAACCAAGTACCTTGCCAATAGACAGTCCAAGTGCCAGACCAACAGACAAACCAAGTACCTTGCCAATAGACAATCCAAGTACCATGTCAATAGACAAACCAAGTGCCATGTCAATAGACAAACCATGTGCCATGTCAATAGACAAACCAAGTGCCTTGCCAATAGACAGTCCAAGTGCCATGTCTATAGACAAACCAAGTGCCTTGCCAACAGACAAACCAAGTGCCTTGCCAACAGACAAACCAAGTGCCTTGCCAACATACAAACCAAGTGCCATGTCAATAGACAAACCAAGTGCCATGTCAATAGACAAACCAAGTGCCATGCCAATAGACAAACCATGTGCCATGCCAATAGACAGTCCAAGTGCCATGTCTATAGACAAACCAAGTGCCTTGCCAACAGACAAACCAAGTGCCATGCCAACATACAAACCAAGTGCCATGTCAATAGACTCTCCTACCATCCCTCCAACCGACTCACCTCCTACTAATTATTCTAAACAATCCATAAAAAGGAAGAAACCTGAACTGTCAATAGACTCTCCTACCATCCCTCCAACCGAATCTCCTACCGACTCTCTATCTGTGACTCCCACCGGTAAACCTCTTGCTCAAACTAAACAATCCAAGAAAAGTAAGAAACAAGCTGGCAAACCTTCCGAGAACACTCCGAATAAGAAACAAAAAGCCAAACAACCAGCCAAACAACCAGCCAAAGTGAAAAGGGTATATGACAAAAGAGTCAGCCCCAAGAAGATGGTTAAAGAGGTACAATTTAAGCTTCCCATCGGCACAACCATCTCAATGACAGATATATATCCACAGATTAACCTGTCTGAACTTTCCATTCCATCGGAAGAAGAGGAAAATATTAATCAATGGGTTGACACAATAATGGTTGGTGAACACAAAATATATCTCCTATGTGGACTCAACGCCCAAGTCCTGTTTTTAAATCGTGCAGCCACCCAATACGAAGTGTTTAACATCACCGATGAGATTAAATCGAGTGTACCGATCCTGCTTATCAAAACACCAAACTATTATTCAGTTGCAATATGTTTATCTCACCCATCGCGTCCGGACTTTAGCAAGTGGGTGACTGAAGCTATTGAATTTTGCCATCAATTCCTTAAGCAAGGAGAAATATTCAAGCTTAATGATATCAAAGCACGAATCAGCAAGCGTCCACAAAGAAAGAAAATCTACTCGCCATCCTGGTTGATATCCAAAGAAGGGTTCACTCCAGTGTCTATTTATGAGAAAAGCGCACCGGTTATCCGTACCGATGGTATTTCACTCAGTATTACCAGGGGTGTTGCTCGACGCTTTGAGCCAAAACTAAAAGAACAACATTTGCCGTATCAAAAAGCCGGAACTGCCAAGGAACGTCGCTCCATTGAAACTCTCAAGATGGCAGTAGCAACCGATGGTACCAACCCAATTTGTTATAGCATCGACCCAGGTAGAAGTTCTCACGTAAGCTACTCAACCGATTCTAAGGAGAGACGGGCATCTGTCAAACAGTATTATGATTGGAAATCCAATCGTTACTCTAAAAAAGTAAAGAAATTGGAAGAGAAATTCAAATTGTTTCAATCTAAAATGCCACCTCACAGTAAGTAATTTTAATTTTTTGTTTCAAATTTTTTTTTTTTATTCATTTAATTTTTTTATAATCCAATCATTTATAGGTAATGCATATGGAAGAGCAGACTATTTCATTAAAAACTGGGAGGTAATGAAACTTTATATAGATTTCAGATTAAACAATATCCATAGGCAAAGGCGACGATTAGAGTTTAAATTGAATCAACAGTCCAAATCAAAGTTGGTAAAGCAATTAGTACCAACAACCGCTTCGGAAATGAAGCAAGGTGTTATTTGTAAGTTCTGTTTTTTATTATTTTTTTATTATCATTCTATAATAATAACCATATTGTTGTTGTTTTAAATCAATAATTTTTCTTTTTACTAATAATAAACTGTTTTCTATTTTCTTTCTTATTTAAATAGTCTTGGGTGCATCATCATTTAACCATGCAAGTAAAGGTCACCGCACCTTCATTTCCTCCAAGGGTCTCAAGAAAATTTTTGAGGCTCATGGTTATAATGTGGTGTCCGTTAATGAATTCTGTACTTCCAGAGTAAGTGTTCAATTAACAATTATATAACGAATGATCATTGATTAACATTAATTTATAACAATTAGGTGCATCATGGTTCATACGTTGAACAGGAAATGAAACTGTTGAGTGCTATTAAACGGGTTGATCAACATGTATCTGGTCCAAAGGCTCAATGGCCACCAGAATCTAAACCAAAGGTTAATAGCTCTCGAGGATCTGTATACGAGAAGGTGAGAAATGACTATGAGAATCTGTCAAAGTTTGAAAGTGACCTCAATAGTGGTGGTTCCATGCAAGAACAGCAATCGACCTACGACTATTATGGTCATCACTCCATATATAGTACTGAACTCTCGAAAAAGACAACCAAATCGGATCAAGGACATCATTCCACACATAGTACTAAACTCTCGAGAAAGACATCCAAATCAGTTGCTAAAAGAGAATGGAAAAAAGTACTCTCCAAAGATGGTTTCCTGTATAATCGAGACTCCAACGCATCAAGAAACATTCTTGTTCTAGGTTTGTTTATGGCTCTTCACTCCTACCGACCAAATGTCTTCAAGTCCGTACGAAAGTATACTGATTCCTCCACCAACTAAATTTACATATTTTCTCAAATACGATTGAAAAGCGTACCCGTAAACTGGTGAGCCAGTTTATAAGACATAGGGTACTGCCAAGCCAGAGAGACTCTGACTTGTAAGTATTTTTTAATATAATTTTTAAATATAATCTATTTTTATTAATTATTTTTTTTGTTTTTTTTTTCTACAACTATCATTATCATGATAACTAAATATTAAATAAAGATCTCAATTATATTATACAAAAATATAAAAATTTATATTATACAAAAATATAAAAATTTATATTATACAAAAATATAAAATATAAATTTTTTTTTTCATTCTTTATATAATTTTTGTACAATAAAGAATGAAAAAAATTTCCTATCACCTTTTTAAAAATTTTTTTTTAAATTAAAATTTTAATTTATCATTTAAAAAAAAATTATATTTTTATTTATAAAATAATAGATAAAATCATATAATTGTATAATATTATATATATATATGTTGATTAGCTATGACACCACGAATACAATTAACAGCACTTCCTAAATACTTTCATTTTTTTCAAAGAAAGGTTAATGTTAATGATTTGAACTATATGTCAAATTTGGATCATGCAGCGATAATAAAGATTATTCATGGTTTGTATTCATCAAAAATACACCGACATTTATATTATGATTAGTTTCTAATCGAGTGTTATCATTTCTTTAGAGGCAAGAGTTGATTGCCTGAGACAATTGGGATTATCAGAGCGTAACTTACTTCCTGACAAGAGCAGACCTTACTCTGTACAAATGTATATCAAAGATTTGTCGGTGCAGTACATGAATAGTGGTGAGCTGTTCGATGATCTGATAGTAGAGAGTGGATTCACTGAGAAACAGCGTTGTGGTTTCAAGATGTGTCATCGTGTACGTAGTTTAGTGCCTATAGGCAGCCAAGACTTTCCAGCGAATGCCGACAACCACAATTTCGACCAACCAACTGGTTCCACTTTCAAATCGATAGCACTTGTCGAAGTAGGTGTCGTTGCAGTTGACGCCATAACAAAGTCACCAGTGGAGTTGCCACTCCCATTCTTTGAAAAACTTGGTTTCAGTAGAAGCGAACTCGAAACTCATCTAACCAAGACAAACAACAGTGTACATCCGACACCATAATAAATAAATTTGTGTATTAAAAATAAAAATTAAATTATTATTATTTTTTTTTTTTTAAAAAAAAGGTTTTATTTATATATATATTGTTTATGTTACGATTGGAGCTATTTAATAGCTGGCCATCATCATTGAAACAATGGAGGCACCCAAGGAGAAGACAGCGGAAACGACAACACATGCCCAACCTTCGATTGGTCCCCACTTGACACCATTTTCACTTCCGACCAACTTTTTGTTTCTTTCGTTAGCCTCACAAATATCATCGAGTGTGACGTTCTTACAATCCTTCATCATGGCCGATGGTACACCGACAAAAATAAACAATGAAATTACGCACAAAACAAAGACTGGGATTGGGAGGAGTTTGGTGATGAATCCCAATGGTAATGGGATCTTTCCTAGAATACCCAAAAGACTGAATACAACAAATACGACGGCAACGACGTTGACGATCCAGGCAATGACGGCAAATGCAAGTGAAGCCTTGTAGATATTCAAAGTGTTCTTGTAACCTTCATCATCACCGAATGCTCTCTTCCAACTTGAAGTAAAAGAGGTGGAAGATGTGGAAACCTTGATCTTGTCTGACTTTAGAGCAGTGTAATTGTCACTGTTATCTTCATCTTGGACCTTGTACCTAAATTTATTTTTTGATATTGATTAATAAATATTGTTTTACTTATTTAAATTTTGAAACTGTTGAGTAGTAGCGCCAGTAATACATACCAATATGAAGAATATGAAACGATTAAGAGTACCAATGGTACAAACAATAAGATTAAAACAATAAGATTGGCTTTATGCATTTTACAGTAGTCAAATATTTAATAATAGCGATGATGTGTTTATAAATAATAACAGGTTTGGCAAACTGATCAGTGTTGTAAATCAATCACGTCGATAGAAATTTATTTTAAAAAAAATTCTAATTAAAAATTAATTTTATTCAAAACTATTCATACCTGCACTGAAAGTGTGCATTGCCCAAAATAAAAATAATTATTTATTTTTAATTATCATAACAAAAATCTGTTTTTTTATTTGAATAGCATCACTTTCACACACATTAACCCCTTGAAAAAAACACAAAAAAACAATTTTTACGTTTCAGTGGTTTTTTTTTTTTCACAAGGATTGTTAAATTTATCTGTAAGAACTTTGAGGGATACACTTTGCGGTCTTGAGGCGGTTCCAACTTACTTTTTTTTTATAATTTTTTTTTTTTGGTTTTTTTTTGTCATGTTTCACCACTTCAAAGAATTCTTCAAGATTAAAAAAAAACTGAAATAATCAAATATTTTTGATTCAAACACAACTTTTATTGTACCTTACAAGGCATTTCGAAATTAAATAAACAAAACACTCTGTTGTTTGGGGTCAAAAAATGCAGAATTGAAGTTTGTTTAATTTTATTCTTGATTTTATTTTCAGATTCATTTTTGTAAATATCTATTATTAGGAAAGTTATAATTTAAGTTTTTAAGATCTTTATTATTCTTTAATGATTTATCATTTCCATTCTTTTGAGCAACAGTAAAGTTTGTTAAAAGCAATGATTTTTCTTTCTGTTGTCGAATTTATCTGTAAACAGATAATTGTAAATGAATTTGATTGTTTTATTTTTTCAAAACAAAAATTTTTTTTTCTGCTCAAAATTTTATTTTTTTTCTAAGAATTTTTTTTAAATGTAGTTTTATATATGATGGAAATTTGAACATTAATTTTGTAATCATTTTATTTAACATATATATATATCTCTTTAGAAATAAACAATAGAAAATGGAAGCCAACAATGGAATATTTGGTGCGGTACCATACTCACAAGAAGAATATGAAATGATGTCGAATTCACTGATGGTACCACTGCCTGAAGAAGATAAATCAGAGAGACCAGGTCCAAGTAACACCAGACTGAAGTATTTAGAGTCATGGAAAGCAATAGAGATCGCCAATAGAATATTCGGTTTCAATGGATGGTCTTCAAAGATTATTAGTGTAAATACTGAATTTGTATGTTTACTTTAGTATCACCAATTGTCAGGCATGTCAAAGATTGCTAACATTTTCTTTTTTTTTATCGTTTTTCTTTTCTTTATGTTAGTGTGAGAATGTTAATAATAGATGGAGAGTTGCATCATCTGCAACTGTTAGAATCATTTTGAAAGATGGTACTTTTCACGATGATGTCGGTTTTGGAACAAAAGATGATAACAATAAAGGTATAGCTTTAGAGAACTCAAGAAAGGAAGCTGTTTCTGATGCTAGAAAGAGAGCATTGAGAGTGTTTGGTAATGCTTTGGGTAATAAACTTTATGACAGAGATCCCAATGGTTTAAAGAAAGCAAAACCACAACAACAATCAATGCCACCACCACAACAGCAGCAGCAGCAGCAGCAGCAGCAGCAGCAGCAACAACAAAGACCACCACAACAGCAACAATCAATACCACCACAACAATATCAACAACAACAGCAACAACAACAACAAATGGCTGACGAATTCAGTTTTGATTAATTTAAAAAAGTTTAGTTTGCAAAGTTATTTTACATCAATCATATTAAGTTGAACTAATCAAATGTATATAATAATAATAATAATAATAATAATCAAAATAAATATATAATTATTTATAAATGTAATTACTTGAAGTGATGACTGTTTAAATCAAGAGTAGCATAGCAAACTTTGTTTGTTTTTTTTGTTTTTTGATTAAAATGATTTACAAAGTTTTATTTGTTTTATTTTATTGAGAGATTGGTTGGTTGGTTGGTTGGTATGTAAAGGTGGTGATGATGTATGATAAAGCTAATCGGTATTGTTCACTTAACTCTCCCTAAAATGAATTATTCTTAAACCTCCATTGGCACATCTTCAATGATAACTTTGCTGGAGAGTGGTGGTAATCTAACTTCTGAAAGGATTGGTGTGGTACCAGACTTGAAAATGTATGGTTTGCTTCTGTATTTACGTTCGTTTGGTCTTTCGTATCCCTTCAAAACTTCTACACCTTCCTTTGTAAGTACAGTAATATTTACGTTGCTACCTGAACCCAAATCATTGAAAATACCACTCTTTATAGCATCTGCAACCAATGTAATTGCCTCTTGTTTCTACAGATAAGTTGATAATAAAAAAAAATAATATAAAAAAAAAGTTAATAATTTTTAATAATATATATTGTTTTTTTCACAATTATTATTATTATTATTATTGATGCTTACAGTCATATTTGGTTTGAAGTTAGCTTCGAGTTCGGCCATGGCAGCCAAAGAACCAGAACCCATGGTTACGAATGGAAGTTGATCGGTTGAACCGTGTGGGTAGATGGTGTGGAGTGATGGTCCGGTGATGTCGATACCACCCAAAATAAGGGCGGCACTGACGTGTCCTTGATATTTAAAGAGCATCTGTTTGAGCATTGTGAGTGCAGTGACGACACGTACTTGCTTGCCAGTTGCCAATCGATGCAACTTTAATTTCGATGAGATCAGAGCAGTTGCATACTCTGTATCGGCAGCAGTACCTGCACCACAACAATAGATATTATCTGCTATATAATGAATCTTCTCGCAATCCTTATCGGCTACAATTGGTCCTTCAGTGGCACGAGTATCTGCACCCAAAACAACTCCATCAGCATAGACAACACCAACAATAGTTGTACCAGTCTTCATGAATCCTGGCATCTTCATACCATTCTTTGCAATCATATCATTTCTTTAATAAAAAATAAAATAAAAATGTTAACATTTTGTTTTTTTTTGTTTTTTTTTTTAATACAATCTTTTTTGTATATAATATTATATGATAGATCTATCTGTTTACAAACTAATATGCTATCGATATTATATCATACACTTGTCAAGCGGTGTGTTGATGATGATGATGTTACCTTTTACATAAATCAAAAGAAAATCCACCTCTATTAAGATTTTCCATTCTATAATTTCGTTTTTAATATAAATATAAATATAAATGTGTACACTGATCTATAAAATAGTAATAAAGTAATAATTAATAATAATAAAATCAAAAAAAATAATTTAATTTAAAAAAAAATGGTGAAGTTGACAAAAAACAATTATTAAAAATTAAAAAAATAAAATGAAAAGTGATGATTTTAAATGTGTGGTTTCACTAACGTTACTTTATTTTATTCTACAAATTTCGACACACTCTCTTTTGTCATATTACTATATATAAAAATTCTATTATTATTTTTGTAAATATTATATACTAATTATCATTGTAATTAAAGATAAATTAAAATGTCAACAGAAGAGCCATCAATACAATCTTCAGTAACAACATGTCATTGTGTTGTTGTTATGGGTGTTTCAGGTTCAGGTAAATCAGTAGTTGGATATTCATTGTCAAGTATGTAGCAAATAAAATTCAAAAATAATGAAATAAAAGAAAAGAATAATAAAAAACAATATAATTCATCAAATTTATAAGATTGAGTTTGTTTTTTTTTTTTTTTTGTTTTTTTTTTGATCAAAAAAAAAGTATAAATAAATCTTTTTTTTATTCTATTCTTTAAAAGGAACTTTATAATAACGTGGAATTAAATTGAATTATAGCATTATTAAGATGTAAATTTATAGATGGTGATGACTTACATCCACGTGCCAATATTTTAAAGATGGCATCTGGTCAACCCTTAAACGATGACGATAGACTACCTTGGCTGATTAGACTAAACGATGTTGCGTTCAGTCTATCACACAAGAATGAAAGAGGTGTCTTGGTTTGTTCTGCATTGAAGCGTAGATATCGTGATATTCTACGTAAAGACAATCCTGGAATCATGTTTATATATCTGAAAGGAAGTTTCGAAGTCATACTTGAACGACTACAGGCTCGTTCAGGTCACTTCATGCCATCATCACTACTCACCAGTCAATTCCAAGCATTAGAGGAACCCAGTGAATCCGAAGAGCCTGACGTCCTACATGTCAATATCGATACTGGGTCAGTTGAAGAAGTTTCAAAATTATGTTATCAAATGTTATATCAAAGGAACTTTTGAAATATTTTGTTGTTGTAGGACACTTAATAAATAAAAGTAAAAAAAAAAAAAAAAAACGAAAAATAGATAAACGAAAGGTGCATGTAATTTAGTTTGTAAATGAAAAAAACATAGATTTTGAAGATCATCCAAGCGAATTGTTTTGATGAAAAAAAAAAACATAAAAATTGTTGACTTTGGTGTTAAAACATTTTTTGCTCACTCTCACATATAATCGAAAAACTACTTGATATTTTTTTACCTTTCTCTTAATGAACTTTATTTTATACATTTTGGGAACTATTCCAAAAAACCAATGTAATCCTATCAACCACGTTATTGATTTCGATTGTTTTTTTTTTAAATTGATTGGGATTCAATCAATTAGAATTAAAATATATTATTGAGATGTACTCTCCACATCTGATCATATAATATATTGACAATTATTGGGTTTTCAGTTGGTGTCACAAATTCAAAAACAAAAAAAAAATACATGGCTGACCTGAATCTTTGAAAATTGATTGAAAATGAAAAAAAAAACAAAAACAAAAAAACTAATTTGAGATCATAACAAATTTTCAAGGTACAAAGACAGTTAGGTGAACCATTCATCACTAGCAATTATTAAGAAATGCAAATTTGGTTTAGACAAAATAATGTGGTATTAAATGTTTTTAAATAAATATCTATTTTTTTTTTCACCAGATTATTTTGGTAAAGTTATCGATTTTTTCTACTTTTTTTTTAAGCAGAGGTGCAAGAGTTTGAACAACCAGTGGTGGTTGCTGGTGTTTCAGTTGGCGATGGAGTGGGAGTTGGTTCGGGTAGACAATGTGAATATGTAAGCTGGGCACGTAACTGCCAAACTTGTTGGTATTGAACGATCATGTAAACTCCATTGGTTGGTGTTGAGGTTTGGAGAGCGTTATACCATGCTTGACCATCAATCTGAGACATATAGTAAAGCTGGTTACCAACAAAAGTGCTTCCAACGTTAAGACCAAGTGGGTATGATCTTCTCAAGAGAGGACCATCACTGTTGACATTGGCTTTTGAATGAATCTCAATTCTATTCAATGGAGTGTTTGGAATAATACCTTCTACAATGAAAAGCAAAGTAACGTTGGCGACAGAATCAGAGTCAAGCGGATTTGGAGCAAAAATCAATTGGACACTACCAGACAAATTGGTTGGAACTGGAGTGGTCAAAGTAGTATTTGTGAAAACACCAGTGTAAACCTTGTTCAACACTAAATTGAGTTCCGAAATAAATAAAAATAAAGATGGTTAATAATAATTTTTTTTTGCTATCGTTCAAAAGATGACGACATGTTTTTAAATTCTTACTTGTTGATTCTTGTTGACCATAGCACAAGGAGATGAGTGAAAGAATTAAAAGGATTGATTGGTATCTGAACATTTTTGATTATTCGTTATTGTGACTTTGAAGTGAGACTTTATAGATAGATATAGATAGCTTCAATATTGATAACTGATTAAAAGAACGATTCACAAGCTACCCTTTTAAAGATCCTGAAATTCTTAAATTTTATTTAAATTTAATTAAATTTTTTGAAAATCATTTGCAGTTTTTTTGAATTTATGTATTACACTTTGTGGTGACATGTTTTTGAGACCCTGAAAAAAAAACACAAAGTATCAACTTTATAAGGACACAACCAATCAGAACAATAGATTGGATTTTCAAGCAATAGACAATACCAAAAATGGCTCAAACACAGTGGCAAAAATTTAATTTTTGATAGAAAAGCCACGATCACTGTTTAAAGAGATCATCCGTACATCCTCTTCTCAAATTGCACCCCTCTCCCAAGTTCAATTTATCGTTTTATTTTATTCTTTTAATATTTAATGATCGAATTAATATTAATCATTCTTTAAAAAATTAAACAACAAAAAAAAAAAAAACTTGATTAAATTTAAAAAATGATTGCAATTTATATTTAAACCAACTTTGGTATTAATTAAAAATGATGTGTTAATTGATTTGATAAGTTTATTTTGAAATCAAACACAAATTAACTGGTGCTCACATGTTATATAGATTACTTTTTTTTTCATTAAATAAGAGATGGGTTTTATTTTACAATTTACACAAATCATGATTAATTTTTAATCTATTGATACCGAAGAGGTGATTAATCTTTTATCTCGAGTTGTGATTGTCATATTAACCAAAAGCTAATCGTGAGAGGTTTGTGGAATCGAATTGTAGTTGTTGAATGTGAAAAAAATGGTGGGTTGACAAAGGTGATCCTTTTGATGTTTGATTGTTAGATTTAATTTAGATCAACCAGATACTGCAACTTGGAGTGTGGTGAAGTAAAATGTTGAATACCTTACAAGCCAAATTTGGTGCGTTTTAACTTTTGATTGGTGATGCAAGGTCCACAAATTGATATTTTCTAATGATATCTTGCCTGAATCACTAAGAATTCTTTTTGTTTTAGCTTTGATAAAAATTTTGTTGATGATTGTGAAAAAAAGGAACTATCAGAACTAACTAATGCTCCATTTGGATGTTGATTGTTTGGTGAATTAATTGTGTTTGTTGTTGGTTGATTTCGACAGTGCGAATGAGTGAGTGATTAAATAAAAAAAAGATTAACTTCCAGATGTTGAATTTGATGAGTCTTGTGAATTGGTTGAGTTTGTTGGATTAACTTAATGAAGATGTGATAGTTGGGGATTGCTATTTTAACTTAGGTTGTTTTTGATGAATTCATCGCAATTCGAGACATACATACAATCACAAACATTTTCTGATTTGCATGTGATGAATCTTGGCAATCTGCAAGCCATCCATAATACACCGATCATTCCCATTGTGATAACACCATAAATCAAGAATCCAAAGAATGGTAACCACTTCTCTCTCATCTTCTTCCATGCTCTCTCCAATGGCAATCCAAAGTAACGTTCGTTAATGATCAGTGTGATGATATCGAATGGTATGGCAATTACAATTTGTATGACAACATTGATTACTGCGGCGTCAAAAGTGAAACTACCACCAGATGGATAGGGAAGGAAGAAGAGAGCACGACGATCGTAGAACAACCACATCATGAAGGCTGAAGCTGGAATGGAGGCGTTCTCCATGATCATCTCGGTAAATAAACCGACAGCACGCACAAACTTTTTTGATTCTTTGTGTTCAGTTCCCATTACTTTTTCCAAAACTCTTGATGCATATTTATCACGAATCTGAACGGATGAACGGAATACTAACTTTCCAATATTCAAAAGGAACACAGAGATGATTGTAAATTCGATTTCATTGATGGTTGAAATCATCATACGACCCAATGTTGAAATATGAGCTTGTGCATGGACAACAGCCAGCGAATGCATGATTGAAACACCTTTCTTTTCCATTTGTTTTGTGACCAACAAACGGACTGGAATCATCATGAATATTTCAAAGTAGATTGGATGGATTACAAGACGCCATACAATTTTGGCATAGTCTGAAAAGTTGGTGTAAACTTGGATGAAAAACATACCATAGAGCAGTGCGGTTGCTGATACCAATGTTTCGGTTCCAAGGAACGCCAAAGCATTTCTACGACGTTCTTGAGTGGTTTGGTACTTCTTTCCAAGGAATCCCATAACAAAGCAAAGTCCACAGTATCCAAGAATCAAAAGAATGACATCGCCTAACCAATACCAATAGGAAACTTTACCTACGTACATTCCCCATGGAACTACTGTGAAGAGTGCCAAGGCAGCCAATGCCCACAAATAAAACTTTGTATCGATCGCTCTTTTTAAACCGTAAATTGCAATAAACTGAATGCATGTGAAAATGGTAAGACCAGAAACAAAGAATCCGCATACCAAAATGGCAATCGATTCTTGATGGAAATATTTTAAAGTTCCATTGTTGTGAATAACATAGTTTGGCTTTGAGAAAGCCCAAATTACAAAAGCACCAATGATGGTAGTGATTGCGCAAATAAACATAACTTTGGCGTAGTCCCAAGTCAACTCTAGAGTGTGCCATGGCAGTGACAATTTATTTCTTCGATGATTCATCTTTTTCGACTCTTTTCTTTCCAATTTATTTTTATCACCGTCATCGTTGACCGAACGCATCTCGACATCACCTCTTTCGTTGGAAATGGTATCGGCACCTTCTCTGTCTTCATCTTCAGAGTCTGTATAGTCGGAATCAACTTCGTCATCGGCTTGAGTGTCTTCGATACTATCCAATGTCACAATTTCTGACAATGGAGTGCGATGTCTTTCAAGATCACCTGGTTGTGATGGAGAAGCTGGAGGTGTCAAATGATTTTGAGCATCACCTTCATTATTTCTATATCTAATATTTATAGTATTATTGTCAACCTATAATTTTTTTAAAAAAAATAATTATTAATAAATATATTTTTTTAATATAATTATTGCCTATCTAAAAACTTACATCAGTGACAACAATTCCAATTTCATCATTACCAACACTGGTATTATCAAGATTGGATTGGCTCATTATTTATTTTATTATTATTTATTTCTTCTTACTAAATATATATTTACTCTTTCCTAAAATAGTTACTGTATTTTTAAAATATATAGAGAGAAGTTATATTATCTGTAGATAAATATATTTTATTTGTTTGGATCTTGAACAAATGGTAAATTAATTTTGAATTCAATTTAAATAGTCCAGACATGAATTTAAAAGTTGTCCTTGGACTAAGTTATGATCTATTTTAAGGAGTGTCAAAAATAGTTCCTGTTCCTTAAATCTTGTGGACAATTGGATTATTATCGTGCGGAGTATATACAAATAAAACAATAAAAAAAGCTATTAGAAGACATGTCATTGACTTGTCCTGTTCACTTTTTGTAAAAAATGGTGAACAATTGAAAACACATTTTCAGCAAAAAAATGAAAAATAACAAATCAAAAAAATAAAAAACAAGTTTTCATAGGTTTGTGTGTTTTGTGTGTTGATCAGACTTTGGTTTTTTGTTGAACTAAACAAAACACAAAATTTTTTGACCACAATAAACCGTTGGTGCCTCTATTTTTTTAACGAAAAACAAAGTTTCTATTCGGTGTGGTTGTGTAAAAAATTTGCGTGTGGTATTTTTTTAATTTTTTCAACTATTTGCAGGTTTTCGATTAAAAAAGAAATAAAACCGTAAAGAGGCACAGTGATCAAACACCCCTCGATAATAGTATCATCACTTATTTTCTTAAATAGTAATAGTGATGAACCATCAAACAACAAAATAGATTTATTTTAAAAACAAAACACAGACATCCAGCAACAATGATAAGTTTTATTTTTCATAGTTACATCTGATGAAAAAAATGTGTTTTGGTGACTTTAAAAAAATTTGCAATAGCACATTCATCTTTTTATATCCCAATTGGTTGTTGGTCTGTGGATCCTGCAATGTTTTATGTGGTTGATCCAATGTCTTCTCCTCATTTTGATCTTTTTACATATTTTTTATTTTTATTTGATACTCTGATATTTTGTACTTTGTTTAATTCACTCGTTCTAGGCAACTATCCAAACCACGACATCAATCTCTTTCAATTAATACAACACACTCATTTAGAAAAAAAAAAAAAAAAAAAAAAGAAAATCCAAAGGATTATTTTAAAAGGCAGTGATAGAACAAATAAAACTCAAGATTATAACATAATTAATGATGAGTGCAGAAGAAATCAAATTAATTTATATGGATTTATAAATCACCACCATTCAGTGTGTGAATAGATTTATAACATTTTATTAGAAGTATACCCATTTCGGTTATTAGTGTGATGCGATACCATCTTTGAAAAAAATAATAAATAATTAATAATAAATATCTAGAGTCAAAAAAGTACTGTTGTGTTTTTGGTTGTGTTGTTGGGTTTGAATTAATTAATTTAAATTGTGAGAGTTACTGTGTGGTTGATTCCTTTTTATGTTTGATGACATAAACAAAGAAAAAATAAAAAAAACAAAAGTAACATGTGTTTAAAACAGTGTCGATGAAGATGTGATAGTTGGGGATTGCTATTTTAACTGAGATTATCTTTGATGAAGTTTTCACAATTTGAAACAAACATACAGGAACACACATCTTCTGATTTACAAGTGATGAATCTTGGCAATCTGCAAGCCATCCAAATTACTCCAATCATTCCCATTGTGATAACACCATAAATCAAGAATCCAAAGAATGGTAACCACTTCTCTCTCATCTTCTTCCATGCTCTCTCCAATGGCAATCCAAAGTAACGTTCGTTAATGATCAGTGTGAGGATATCGAATGGAACGGCCAACGCCAACTGAATGACGGCATTGATAACGGCTTCTCCAAGTGTGAAACTACCACCGTCTGGGAAAGGGAAGAAGAAAAGACCACGGAAGTTATAAAATACCCACATGGTAAAGGCAGACGTTGGAATGGAGGCGTTCTCCATGATCATCTCTGTATACAAACCAACAGCACGCACAAACTTTTTTGATTCTTTGTGTTCGGCACCCATTACCTTTTCAAATACTTTTGATGCATATTTATCACGAATCTGAACGGATGAACGGAATACTAACTTTCCAATATTCAAAAGGAACACAGAGATGATTGTAAATTCGATTTCATTGATGGTTGAAATCATCATACGACCCAATGTTGAAATATGAGCTTGTGCATGGACAACAGCCAGCGAATGCATGATTGAAACACCTTTCTTTTCCATTTGTTTTGTGACCAACAAACGGACTGGAATCATCATGAATATTTCAAAGTAGATTGGATGGACTATGAGACGCCAGGCAATCTTGGCATAGTTTGAAAAGTTGGCATAGATTTGGATGAAAAACATACCATAGAGCAGTGCGGTTGCTGATACCAATGTTTCGGTTCCAAGGAATGCCAATCCATTATTTAGACGTTCTCTTGTAGTTTGGTATTTCTTTCCGAGGAATCCCATGACAAAGCAAAGTCCACAGTATCCAACTACCAATAAGAGCACATCACCAAGCCAGAACCAATAGGATTCATCACCAGCAAACATCCCCCATGGAACCATTAGGAACAGACCAATGGCACCAATAACATATACATGGAACTTGGTTTCAAACATTCTTTTAAATCCAAAGACAGACATGAATTGTACACCAGTAAACAGTGCAAGACCAAGGATAAAAAATAAAGAGGTTAACATAGTAACACTCTTTTTTTCGAAATATTCAACGGTACCATTATCTTTTTTAATCCAATTCTCTTGGGAGAAACCATATATAACTGCAATACCAAGTACAGTAGTTATAAGTACAATAAACATGATTTTTCCATACTCTAGTGTTAGCTCCAATGAATGACCAAGTAATGATAACTGTAAACGACGACGGTTCATCTTTTTACTCTGTGAGGCTTGTTTTTTCAGTGAATCTGGATCCGTTGAAAGTTCTAACATCTCTGCGGCTCCTTTTTCATTTTTAACAGTGTCAGCATCAGGATTTACATCGTCGTCCATATCGTCGTCATCATCTTCTTCATTGTCATCGGATTCCTTGGAACTCGAATTGCTAAGGTCGGCTGCTGTAATTTCAACCATTTTATTTCTTGGAGTGATTGGTGCCGTTGGAGACTCTAAATCTACTTGGCTTCCTGAACGTGGTCTATGTCTTGGATGAGTATCAACCTCTGTATGTGAGTTAGATCTGGATCGTGTTCCACTAGTCATTCTTTCACTTAAAATGATATTCATAGAGTGATGAGCTTCATTCTTATTATTTTTTTAATAAAAAAAAAAAAGAAAATATGTTAAAATAAATACATAAAAAAAAAAATTTTTAAAATTCATAATTATTGCAAATTGATTTTGATATAAATCGGTAAAATCTGATTAAAAAAAAAACAATCCTTTGGTTCCAGATTTAAATGATTTTCATTTTACTTTTTTCTACGAAACAAAAAATAATTTTTATGATTGAAATATCTTATACATACATCTTTTGAAATTGCGCCATTGTCAATATCTATTTTGGGTTCCTTTTGTAAATTATTATTATCAGTATTCATTTTTAAGTTATTATTATATATTTTATTATTTTATCTATTCTATGTTTATATTATCATTGTAATGATATACTATTTTTTTTAAAGAAAACAAACAAATTTAAGATTTATATTTAGAAAGAATGTAAACATAAAAATTTAAATAAAAATTTTATTCATTTTAATGAATCCGAGAAAAATCATACGGGTTTTGGTGGGGAAACAAGGAAAGATGTCTCTTTTAAACATTGAATGACAGTTTGGTTGTAGAAATGCAAAGTATGTGTAAAAGGTGTTGCTCACAAAATATGAGAAATCGAAAAAAACCGTATAAAAAACCACAAAGGTATCCTGGACATGTCTTTTATTGATGGTTTGATAAAAATTAAAAACTGAAAAAACGAAAAAAAAAAACAACAAAACCATGTATGAACATATATGAATTTTTTTAGAATTTTTTTTGCAAAACATGGTCTAAAATTAGACTCTTACTTATGATGACATTTTGTCGAAAAATGAAAGTTCTTGTTTTTTTGTTAAGACACATAATAACTATTTTAATAGAATGTTCAAATACTTCAAAAGAATGTGAACAACTATTTAACTCTATTTTTAAAATTGCCATAAAGTTGATCAATTCGGTATTGAGTGGTGCAATTATATTTTATTGATTTGTGACTTAGTGTTGATTTGAATTCGAGATCTTGAATAATTTGTTTATCAAGTTCAGAGTCTTAAATTTCAATAAAATAACAAACATAATCTAGTTTATAACTTTAAAGAAATATAAAAAGGATAGGCATCTTATTTAAAATAAATATAATGGTTTTGTTTATACTATTTTAGAATTCTCTCTAAAATTTTAGAGAACCTATCGATATTTTTTTCAGTATTCTAGAAATTTGATCAAAGATATTTCAAGATAAAAAAAGATTTTTACACGTAAACAAAATGAAAAAAAAGTAGGATAATTAAAAATAAGATGAAAGAAGACTGAGATTCCGAATTTTTAAAAATCAAAAAAAAAATCAAAAAAAAAGGGATTTTACAAAAAGATCAAACTGTTTGATGGGGATATCGCTCCAAACAATGCAATTTTTTTCATCCTTTTTTAATAAAAATAAATTAAAAGTTCTTAAAAAAATTGCTTTTTTTTTTTGATTTTTATTTAATCTGTTTGATCATTTTTTGACAATCATATTAACCAAACTAACAAATATATAAAAAACATAATAATTCATACAACACAAATCAACAGTAGATCACAAACACCCACCACACTTTTTATTACATTTATAAATTTCACACATCACCATCATTTATATAAAAATAAGTAATAAAAAAAAAAAAAATTGTTAAGAATTATTTGACCATTACATTCTTTTTTATTGTTGTTACTATCGTCAATCAATTAAGTTTGTAATAAAGTTAAGATATATCTCCTAACATTGTAAATAATATTAAATATTAAAAATAATAATTCATTCAGATTTTAAATCGAATTAATATTTTCTGTCATTTATTTATTTATTAAAAAGAAAAAAATTATTATAACAAAAGATAATAAATAAAAATAACATAAAAAAAAAGAATATCTATATTATGTATAAATTATAAAGGTATCGGCGTTTATTGCTGTCTTATTATTTTTGATAAGTGTAGTTAGTGCGCAAGATGTTAAACAATATCTATCTGAGCGTAAAAAATTAAGCGATGCTGAAAATGCTATAAAGGATGGCGCAGTCATTCATTTAACACCGGCTGAACAAAGCGCAAACGCCATTTTTACAGCGATTCTTCAATACGAAGAATTACTATTGTCAAACAATGATCCATCGGGAATCAATTTCTTTAATGTAAGTATAAATCTTTTGATTGAAGTATTTACCTTTTTTTTTTTTAAATGGTACCACATTTTAAATTCCAAAGTTTATAACAACAGCACACCCAAAATATAAATCAAATAAAAATTAATTTTCATTTTATTTCTCTATTTTTGGAAATTTAATTTGTTCCAATCTTGGATTATATCTTTATATCTATCTACATTACATACATATAGGCAAAAGAAGTAATTGAATCGACACAAATTTATAGTATATTAAAGAAATTACCAAAAGGTTCAATTTTACATGTTCATCAAGATAGTTCTGCCACCTATGACTACTTGATTGATGTTGGAACCTATTTGCCAAATTGCTATATCTATATGGGTAGTGATCCAGAGAATGGTCTTGCCTATGGAGATTATCATTTCTTTGCAAGCCAGCCATCCGATACCAATTGGGTACAAATCAGCCAAGTTCGTCAATCAGTTTCCAATGTCACTGCTTTCGATGACATGTTGCTTACCAACATGACCCTACTTGGAAGAGACAACGGTGATTATGTCAACCTGTGGAGAAAGTTTGACGCTATCTTTGCTCGTGTCTCTGGCTTGATGACCTATGTCCCTATTACCATTGGATACATGCAACACTTAATCAACCAATCGATTGAAGACAACATCCAACACATAGAAGTCCGTAAATGTTTCAGTGACTACTACGATCTCCAGGGTAACACTTACAACGACACCTGGTTCACCCAACAAATGATTCAATTAATCCAACAAAATAGAATCACATTTGACATGCCAGAGTTATCATTAAAAATAATTGGTTGTGATGGTAGACATTCAAATCAAAGGTAAGGAGGAGGAGGAATTAGCAAAATTATAGAAAAACCATTTTATTAATTAAAAGTTTCCTAGTGTTGTTTATGATCATATGGAATATGCTTTAGAATTAAGAAATCAATATCCAGGCATCTATATTGGATATGATTTGGTTGGTCCAGAGGACGAAGGTTATCCTTTGATTTATTTCATCGATCAGTTTATGGATATTATGCAAAAGGGAGACGATAAAGATTATCCATTGGATTTCTACTTCCATGCAGGTGAAACACTTTTATATAATAACACCAACTTGTATGATGCCATTCTCTTGAATAGCAAGCGTATCGGACATGGTATCCAACTTTCAAAGCACCCAATCCTCATGCAAATGGTCAAGGACAACGACATTGGAATTGAAGTATGTCCAATCTCCAACCAGGTTTTAGAGTATGTTGATAACTTCCGTGCACATCCAGCATTCGATCTTTTCAACCAAGGACTACCAGTCACCATCTCACCGGATGATCCCGCCATTTTCGGTTACTACGGTTTGACCTATGACTTTTACGAAGTTGTCACAGCCTGGGGACTCGATATCTCTGGTGTTAAACAACTAGCTCTCAACTCACTCGCACAGAGTGCTTACTATAACGATACCGAAAGAGATCTTGCTCTTACCTCATGGATTACAAAATGGAATACATTCATCGATTATGTTAATACATTAACACCTCCATCCAATTAAAATAAATAAAAACTAAATGGTTTACAATTTACGAAAAAAAGTAAACAACTTAACAAATAAATCTTAATAATATCTGGGGCTTTTTTTTTTTATTAAAAATTTATATTTTTTTGATCATCAAAAAAGAAAAATTCCTTTTTTAATTTTACAAAATGTCTACACATAAAGGTTCAACTTTATCTACACATGTTTTAGATACAAATACAGGAAATCCTGCACCAAATTTAAGAGTAAAGAGAGAGATTATTTTATGATTAATAAAGTATATAAATATATTAATATATTATTTTTGACAGGTTATTCTTAAAAAGGTAGTTGGTGAAAATCAATTTGAGTTGTTAAAGGAACAGACAACCAATACAGATGGTCGTGCACGTGAGTTCCCAGAATTAGAGAATGGTGTCTATCAAATAACATTCATGACTGATGACTACTTCAAAGCTAACAATATCACTGCCTATTTCTATCCAAAGGTATCGATTGAATTTATCGTCGACACAACCCGTCACTATCATGTACCACTCTTGATCTCGCCATATGGATATTCAACCTATCGTGGTAGTTAAACATACATCAAACAACATACATAATAATAAAAAACTGGTAAATCTTAATGTATTTTTTAATAATATATAAATTAAATACAAATTATACTACTTTATTGTAATAATTATAATTATAAACAGATTGATGGGATTTGAATGTTGAATAGAATGTAGTTCAATATCACCTAGAATGATCGGTATGATAACCACCAACAAATGAAAATTTGTATTTTGCAAGAGAGGTCAATCTTATTGATTCTAGCGAACTATTTCCTAAGGACAAACCACCAGTTGTAGATAGAGTCATCGGCAATAAACTTGCACCTAATGATATCATCTGACTCAATTGTTGGTCAAACTTGGTAAATGTTTGTACATTGTTTGATGATGTTTGAAATGAACTTTTACCAACGTTGGATGCTGCTGCAGTCAATGAAAATGATAATTTGTTGCTATTTTGTAATCCTATCCTTTTGGATACAGATAAAAAAGACCTACTTATCATTTATGATAAAATATAGAGAAGTTTTATATTATGTTATTCAACTATGGAGTATTAATAGTAGATTGTGCAACAAGTGAAGATAAGAAATCAGCGAGTTGACTATTTTTTTTTTTTGAGAGAAAAGTGTCAAGTTCTGCTTAAATTTGGAAGATTTTGATGTATTTATCAAAGATTTTTTTCATTGGCATTCCTCTTTATAAACTTTATTAACAATATAATAATAAGATGAAGATAAACTCAAGTACAATAATTGTATATATGTTATTTTTAGAATAAAAGTTAATTTTCAGAATCTAATTATATTACTTTGAAAAAAAGATTGGTAATAATATAGTGTTGGTACCATACAAAGCTATACATGTAGAGAAATATCATAAATGGATGCAATCAGAAGAGATACGTGAGTTAACTGCAAGCGATTTATTAACTTTAGAAGAAGAGTATGAAAATCAACAAAGTTGGTATGAAGATTCAAAAAGTATGTTTTAGTTTATTATAAGTATGTTTGTTTATTACTACTTTTTACTTATGATATTTAATATATATATATATATATATATATATATATATATAATATAGAATGTACATTTATAATATTGGATAAAGAGAAAATTAAAAAAGATAAAGATGGTGAATTGTTGGTTGAAAGCATAGTGAAAGATTATTTAGATTCGATGGCAGGCGATGTCAATCTATTTTGGAATGAATACGAAGAGGAAGGCTCCGCAGAGGTGGAAGTAATGATTGCAGAACCAAGTTGTCGTAGACGTGGATTCGGTAGTGAAGCAATTGAAATCATGATGCACTATGCAGTGACTAATCTCTCTGACATAACCACCCGTTTCATCGTAAAGATTGGCGAATCAAACACAACATCGATCCAGCTCTTCAAGAAACTAGGTTTCCAACAAGTAGGACAAGTCAACGTCTTCAAAGAGATCAACATGATCTTTGAACCGATCGATCAAATAAAATCATGGAAACAACCCAATCAATTAAAATTATTAAGTTGGATTGAATGATACATCAATTAATAAACATTCACTTAACTATTATTTCTATTATTGTTATTATTGTTATTGTTATTTATTTATTTATTAGCATTATATCCATTTGAATATGATACATTTTTAAGATTGGTGAGAAGATTTTGAATTTCTGGGATGGTGGTTTGTTCCAGTGTTTTCTGGTTGTTGGCGTTGGCAATGACCATCTCTACAATACGTGCAGTTAAATCCTTGACGTTGGTTGCAGAGATACGAGCACGATGTTCTTCTAATGGATCGACGACTGTCACTGCTGGTGCAGCACCACCCTTCTTCTTCTTTTTGTTATCGACAGCATCGGAAGCTACAATATCGAATCTAAATTCCAACTCTTTCTTTTGTGGACGATGATTGATACCCGATATCTTGATTCCACCTAATTCACCTGTAGACTTCAAATGTACAGCTGGACAACAATTGATATTCCATCCTGCAATCTCTACCAAAGTCAATGTTGTAACCGATCTATATATAGATATTACAAAAGTAGCAAAGAAAATACATTGGTTAGTATCTATTGATTCTCTATTGATTATAGTATTCGATAGTTTAATATAAAAGTAAAACATACTCTGGCACAGGGAATTTATCATAGATATAGGTGTTGTTAACTTTTTCTTTGGTGTATTTTGCTTCAGCTTCTTTACGATCCATGCTGAATGCGTTCAATGGTAGATTCTCTTTGATGATTCTATTGCATTCATCTTCAATCTTTTGGAGTGTTGAATCGTCTGGTTTATCATCGAGGGTGTACTCTACACATACTCTACCTTTAACTTTATTCTGACACTCTACTGAGACTGTGATTGGTGTATTCAATACCTTTACGATGGCACCTTTCAACACATGACATGCAGTATCTGTAATTGAATCTCTTGACTTTACTTTACCTTCACTCATCTTTAGAATAATCTATAGATTATATGTTATATATATATATATATTATATAATATTAAATAAAAAATAATCAAATTTAAATTAGTTTTTTTTTTTTTTGAAAATCACTTTGAGAAAATTTTAATAAACTGATATTATAAATCTAGATTTATCTTTATTTTATTTTTAAATATATCTTTGAAAAGATAACAGTTACTTTCTTTATTGTTATGTGTGAATGTAGATCTACCTTTAAATAAAATATCTATTCTTAGTGAATGTAAAATGTATTATAATAATATTATAAAATAATCAAAATAATTCATTTTATATTTTCCTATAGGAATAGATATTTTTTTAATAAAGAGTGATCATATGTGCACTTTGATACAAGTTCATCAATATATTGAACAATCTTGATGACTTGTTATGAGACAAAAAAAAATTCGGTCTCACTCATAATATTTTTAATTTCTTTAGAACATTGTGTGTGTGTTTGTATCATTATTTATTTTTATTGCAAAAGAATGGAGAAAGAGAAGGATTTAAAACTAAAACAACATAATAAATATATTGGTGATTATATAAAATATTATAAAAATGCCAATACAACAACTACTACAACAACCACAACGACTAGTCGGAACAACAATAGTTATGCAGGATACAAGAGTGATTTAGATACTTTGAAAGAGTATCATCAGTTTATTAGAGATGAGGATGAAGATGAAGATAAAGACACTGATTCACAACATAACAGTTGGGAAAGACGACTTGCAAAGAAATACTATGATAGATTATTCAAGGAGTATGCAATCATCGACCTATCACGATATGAAACCGGTCAGGTTGGAATGCGTTGGAGAACAGAGTCTGAGGTATTCAGTGGTAAAGGTCAGCTGGTGTGTGGCAATCGAAAGTGTCAATCAACTGACAGACTGGCAAGCTATGAAGTGCCATTCAGCTACATAGAGAGCAGTGAAGAAAAGACTGCATTGGTCAAAGTGGTACTGTGTCACCAGTGTTCAAAGTTGCTCAACTACACCAACATCAAAAAGAAAAAGAGAGAACTTAAAAAGTTGATAAAAGAACAAAATAAAATAAAAAAGAAAAGAAGAACAAATGACAATGATAAAGAAGATATAGATCAAGATCATAATGATAATGAATTAGAAGATGATTACAAAGAAGAAGATAATGATAAAGGAACAACAACATCAACAACATTTGAAAAGAAAGAAGAAGATGATGAATTTAATAAATTTTTCAAAGAATTATTTCCTTAAGATAAAGATAGATCATATTAAAACTCTTTATTATTATTTATTAATTTACACTTTTAACTAATTGTTTAAAGGCTTTCTTTAGTTCTGTAAATGATTGATCAGACTCGGTTGAGCTTATCGGTAGGATTACGGTCGATGGTTTGATGATATGACTGAGTAATTTCTTGAATTCCTCTAAATGATCTTGTGCATATGGTTGATCCATTTTGTTGGCAATGATAACCGATGGTTTATCAGAGAGACCTTCAGAGTATGATTCCAACTCTTCCACCAATGTTATGTAATCGTTCCAAGGTGTCCGCTTTTCTATTTCTCTTGAACGATTACGAATGGTTTCAGTGACTCGTTTCAGCGATGATTCGTCATCTCTGTACTTGGCATAGCGATTCGGTCTCACGCGCAGCTTCTTACCATCCCAAATCGCAGGAACACCTTCATTCGACATGTCAATAACGAAGCAAAGTACTTTGGTTCTCTCGATGTGTCTGAGGAAATCGAGACCCAGACCAATGTTGAGATGTGCACCCTCCAAGATTCCGGGCAGATCCGCCAAGGTCGTCGTATTAAGATGATCCTCGACTACTTTTCTTGGTCGTTTCGATAGTTTCACTGGCTTGTGTTCAGCCTCTGTATTTAAATCTACTACTCCAACGTAGGGACGGAGTGTTGTGAACGGATAGTTTCTGATTTTCGGTATGGCATTGGATACACGTGATAACAGCGTTGACTTTCCTGCATTGGGATAACCAACCAATCCAATGTCGGCAATGATCTTCAGTTCGAATTCCAAATATTTTTGCTCACCAGGTGTTCCGCTCTGAGCATAGTTTGGTGAACGATTGCTTCCAGTTGCAAAATTAAAATTACCTTTTCCACCTTTTCCACCTTGTAGTAGAACCAACTCTTGTCCTGGTTCATTCATATCGGCCAACACTTGAACTTCTCTCCAGAGTTTCTTTTTCTTAGAATTATCATCAGACATACCCATTGCTGCCTCTGAGAACAACTGTTGGTCTGTCTTTCCATCGATAAACGGACTGTTCAACGACTTCAAGTAGTAATCGGCATCGAATTGATCCGATGTATTGTCTAGTCTTGGATCAATGGTTGTAGGTCTCGTCGAGGCATCATCACCCAACTCCTCATCGCCTTCATAGTAGAATTCCACCTCTTTGATGATGGTTCCAGGTGGAACCGATAGAATGATATCCTCTCCTTTCTTTCCTGTCTTTTTTCCACCCTTTCCTTTCTCGCCGTTCTCACCGACATAGTTACGAGAGAGATGAGAAAGATTGTTGTCGTTCATATTGGCACGCACAATAACTGACGCACCATCACCTCCATTTCCACCATCGGGTGGACCCTCCGGTATATATTTAGCACGAAAGAAGTGAACACTTCCAGAACCACCGTCACCTGCCTTTGCCTTGATTCTCAACTTGTCGACGAACGACATATTCGAATAGTTTGTATCTTTTTGTTTTCCTTGTTCCAATTTTGCACCTGTAGATTCTGCATGAGCTTTCTAATTGTGTTTTATTATTAATTTCCGATAATAAAGGTTAATGTTAATCAATCTATTATAACAGTAGTAAAAGAATATATCATACTAATTCATACTAATTGTTCACCTGATAAATCATATAGTGATTTAAAATAATCTGAAGGTTCGAATTTTGATTGACTATTTCCTCCTTTTTGTCCATCTGTACTATAATTTCTCACACCAAAATAACCATTGATACAATAACCACTACTGTTACTATATACATTATTTAAAATTAATTTTCTACCAATGACAGAGGTAATAGTAGTAGATCTCGTTATATTTATCATTGTTACACCCTGTTAAATGAATCGATCACGTGCAAAAAAACTTTCGTTTTCATTAAAATTCACCCTCTATTTTTAATTTTTACTTTTACAAACTGTTACTTTTTGTATAGAATACTTTCATTAATTACTTTGATTAATATAAAAAATATAAAAATACAATGTATACACCCACTATATTATTAATAAAATAAATAGTTCACATAAAATGAAAATTCATTGAGCAGAGATAATAATAACCACGAATCAATGTTTGATCAAGAAGATATGTAAATGTAACTTTTTATTGCATATTAAATTTAAAATAATATTATTTATTTATTTTTGTGTGAAGAAGAAGATTCAATATTATAAACAACATAGAGTTTCAAATAATTAGAAATGTCTGGATTAGATTTAAAAAAATAAATAATATATTTTTAACTTTAATAGTTTTTTTAATTTTCTTTAATTGTTATAGTATTGCAAGAAATGTTAAAACTTTTTGGCATATTACTGATATACATTTTGACAAAGACTATTCAGTAAGATTACAATAAAATATCTATGAGTCCTAATAATAATATTAGAACTAATTATACTTTATTACAAGGTAGGAGGAAATATAAAGGATATGTGTCACATTAATAAACAAAATATAAATATTAGAAATTATCAAAAAGCACCTTCTGTTGGTCATTACAATTGTGATTCTCCATACAGTTTAGTTGAATCATCTTTTGATTTCATGGTAAAAACCAATCCAAATCCTGATTTTATTATTTTCACTGGTGATAGTACACCACACGTTCGTCACTCGGAATTAAATAAAGAAGTTGTATTGGAATCAATCAAAAACTCTACTGCTATTATTAAGCAATATTTTCCCAAAGCAAAGATTTATCCATCACTAGGAAGTAAGTAATATATTAAATCATCATTTTACCTTTTAGATTGAAATATATATTAATGAATACTACAACTTTAAAGATCATGATGCATATCCAATTTATCAAACATCCCCACAAGAAATGTTTTTAACAAATGTTTCAGAGATTTGGAAGGAATTCCTATCACAAGAATCGTTGGAAACCTTTAGAAAAGGTGGATATTTTACTGAAATCATTGAACCTGGTCTAAGAGTGATTTCTATCAATACTGCTTTTTATTATATAGAGAACATCAAAGTCATTTTTAGAAGAGATCCAGGAGATCAGTTTGAATGGTTAAAGAGAATACTCAGTATAGCTAAAATAAAAAATGAAAAGGTTTTAATAATTGGACAGTATGTATATTTAAACTAATATAACTTATTTCATAATTGTTAATTAACTATCTATAGTGTACCACCTGGTTACGGTTTGAAGCCATTATACAATGATCGACTTTTAAAGTCATATATTGGTTTTGGAGAGCAAATTATTGCCCATCTCTATGGTCATAATCATAAAGATAGCTACAATTTATATTATGAAAATCCAAATACCGATTGGTATTCCAATGAGCCGGAAGGTGTCATATTTGTTGCACCCAGTATTACCCCGTGGCATAATCATCATCTTATATTACCTCCCAACAACCCTTCACTAAGAATGTTCAGTTTGGATAAAGATGCAGGTATTTTACTTGACTATCATCAGTATTGGTCGAATCTAACTAGAAACATTGAAAATGGCAATACAACTTGGGAGATGGAATATATAGCTTCCGAATTTTTTGCAACTGGTGATCGTGGATTGACTCCGACCACTATGCACGATGCCTTTGTACAACTCGCAACCAATTCTACCTATCTGGATGAATATGTTAATCATATTTCAGTTAACTATCCAACGCATTGTAATAATCAATGTAAAGAAATTGAACTTTGTTTAATAGTGGCAACTTATCATAAAAGTCAAAAACAATGTGTTTTTAGGTGAAATAAATCTATATCTTTTTACCTCAACTAACAGTTCTATTTTTAATCAATCTATGATTACATGTGATACATCTTTAGGTTGTTTCTGATCAAAACCTATAACCAATAACATCAATTGCTTGTTAATTGACAATCATCGTCTTTTAAAAGTGCTTGATCATTTATTTACTTGTAACAAAACAAAACTGGCTCCCAAGCACTTTCGCCTGCGCATTGTTTTGAAATACTTTATAAAAAATAATCATAAAAATATTAAAAAGCAGTAAACTAAGAAATGAAGCCCGACACTCAAAATTAAGATGGTGATTAAAAAAAAATAAAGACCAATTTAAGTGTTCATTTGCAAAACAATATAAAAATGATTAAATTATTGTATATTTTAGTATTAATTCATGGTTCGTTAGCTCTTCAATTTTGGCATATCACAGATATACACTATGATTGGAACTATAGAGTAAGCTGACTATCACTATTAATGAGATGTTGTTGTTGTTGTTGGTTTTAATTAATTAACCAAAAAAGACATTCTAGAGTGGTGGAGATATAAATAATATGTGTCATCTATCAAACTCTGGCCATAGTTTAGTTGGAGGTAGTGGTGCTTCACCTGTTGGTAACTACCGATGTGATTCACCATTGACATTGGTAGAGTCAGCATTCAAATTTATGGTTACTACTAATGCCAATCCTGACTTTATTATATTCACTGGTGACGATCCACCTCATGTCCCAATGTCAGAGCTAAACAATGAACTTGTATTACAATCGATAACCAACATAACATCCTATATCACCACCAACTTTCCAAATACTAAAATATATCCTGCCATTGGAAGTATGTAAACATGTTAATAGCTGATCACTTAACAAATATAATATTTGTTTTATTAATCTTTGTTTTTTTTGTAGATCATGATGTTTATCCACAACATCAATTAGCACCAGGCCCAAATTGGTTGTTAAATAACATATCAGAGATATGGAGTGATCTGCTGACAACTGAATCAATTGAGACTTTAAAGATAGGTGGTTACTATAGTGAATTGATTGAACCAGGCTTAAGAATCATTTCACTCAACACTGTATTCTACTACACTCAAGACAATCAATGTGTCAATGAGACTGATCCTGGTAATCAATTGTCATGGTTATCTAAAACATTGGAATCTGCTAAATCAAACAATGAAAAGGTTATGATCATTGGTCAGTATGTATATAATTAATTAATCTTTAAAAATAGAAACACATTATTTATTTATCATTCATTTATCTTAAACATAATTAAGTGTACCACCTGGTTATAATGAACATTATAATATACCAAATTTCTATGAACAATTTAATGATCGTTTTTTAAGTGTATTCTCCAACTATTCAGAACAAATCATTGCACATTTCTATGGACATGAACATAGTGATGCCTTTAGATTGTATTACGAGGATCAGATTACAGATTGGTCAAGCACAGTACCTGATGGTGTGATGTTTATAACACCAAGTTTAACGCCTTGGCTCAATCCTAACCTACCGGCATTTCCAAACAACCCATCACTTAGAATCTACGAAATCGATTCTGAGAGCTATGCACTACTAGACTACCAACAATATTGGTCGAATCTAACCGACAACATCATCACTGGCCAAATAGATTGGCAACTGGAATATGTTGCCTCTGAATTCTACCAATCCAACAACAACCCACTAAACGCCAACACTATGTATCAAGCATACCAAAGAATGTTATCGAACCAAACCTATCTAGATTTATACAACCTTTATAACGGCGTTAGCTATCCAGTTGAAACTTGTGATCAAGTTTGTAAAACTATACAACTTTGTTCCATCGTTGGTTTATTTAGATCACAATTTAGTCAATGTCTTGTTTAACCTAATCGATCTCTCGACCCCATTGTATTATCAAAAATAAATAGTTATTATTAAACAATACTTTGTTCTATATCTTTCTTTGGGTGGAGCTTAGTTTTTTTTTATTCTTTTTACAATTTAAAAAAAAAAAAAAGATATCTTTTTTCTAATTCTTTAATAGAATTATTATTTGATTTGTGATTTATGATTTAATTTAAATTGGGTTGGTACCATATTTGTTATCTACTGACCAACTAACAAAAGCTTCGACAGCTTCGAATTCGGTCAAACCAAGTTTGTCGTAGATCTTGGCTGTGGCACGGTTACGATCTTCTGCACGCACCCAAAACTCACGTTTGTCAGTTCCTGGGAATGCTGGAACATCCTTTTGTGATTGATGTTTAAAGATTGACATACGCTTACGCATCAATTCGTGTGGTGACATTGGCACTGCCATTTCAATACGCTCTGGCTCCCACTCTTGCCAGGCACCACGGTACAACCATACCTGGCAGTCACGCATCCAACTCTCATCCTTTAGACGCTCGATCGCTGCCAATATAGCCTTCAAACAGACACGATGTGTTCCGTGTGGATCGGAAAGATCACCGGCAGCAAAGATAATCTCTGGTTTCACACTTACGAGGAAGTCTTGCATGATCTTGATATCCTCTTCGCCGAGTGGCTTCTTCTTGACGGCACCGGTCTCGTAGAATGGTAGATCCAAAAAGTGAATACGTGAAGGATGGACACCGGCATATCTGGCACCGGCACGTGCTTCAGTCTGACGAATCAATCCCTTGATAAGCTGGATCTCACGTGAATCTGGTTGTGCTGGCTCCTTGGTGGAAATGAAATTCTCGACAGAATCTTGAATGGCCTGAGCTTTTGCCTTGGCTTGTTGATCGAATCCAAACAACTTGGCAAATTCATTGGCAAAGTTTGCGAATCGCTTGGCATCGTCATCCCACACCGCAATGTTTCCAGAAGTCTGATAGGCAACGTGTACCTGATGACCTTGGTCACAGAGCTTAATGAATGTTCCACCCATCGAAATGACATCGTCATCTGGATGTGGTGAGAATACAATGACTCTCTTGGGAATTGGCATTGGTGTAACCGATTGTGTATCCCAATTATCGTTTTGTACTTGAATTGGCAGCGGACCCAAACCAATACCCGCTCCACCCGGTGACTTTGGTGGTGATTGAATTGGACGACCACCTGGCCATCCACTAATAGTTGATTGAAGATAACGGAATACTTTAAGATTTAAATTTGGACATGGTCCATATGCTCTACAATTAATTAATTAAAAAATATATATTAATATATTTAAAAACTACTTCTTATTGCTATTACTTTTACATACTTTAATAATGATGCTAAATTATTATCAGAGTATTCATCTTCTTCTAATTTCAAAATTGGTTTGTTAAGTTTTAGTGATAACCAAATACATGCTTTACGTGCCAATAGTGGTGTCCATTTGATTTGAACTGGCGCATTGGTTCCGTGAATTACCCATGGACATTTCTGACGTGTGAGTTCTCCAGCGGCGGCATCATCTACGACGAGCGAACAATTGGTGTGTTTCTGGAAGATCGATGATGGAACGGCAGAGACAACCTCACCCTCGGTGGTCTTTTGAACGATGGCAGCCTTACCCTCAGAGAATGCCATTAGCAATACACGCTTGGCTGACATCATAGTTGTGATACCCATGGTCAAAGCTTGGTGTGGAACATGCTCTACACCAAAGAAATCACTGGCTGCGTCGATACGAGTGTTTTGCTCGAGATCGACCAGTCTAGATTTGGAGGCAACTGGTGCACCGGCTTCGTTGAAACCAATACGCTTTCCAATGGGCAACAAGAGCAGATCGATTCCACCGGCCTTGGCAATGGCTTCTTCGTACTGTTCGCAATGCGATTCGACTTGGGCCGATTGGACTTCGCAGTTGAGGAAATTGATGTTGCTGGCTGGTATGTCGAGTTGCTGGAAGAGATTCTCTTGCATGAAACGATAGTATGACTGAATCGATTGCTTCGAGATTGGGTAGTATTCGTCAATGTTAAAGGTAATGACATTTTTGAAAGAGACCTTGCCTTGCTTGTGCAGCGAGATCAACAGATCGTAAACACCGGTCGGTGTGCTACCTGCCGACAAACCTAGAACCGCTGGACGTCCGGCTTTATTTGCATTCTCAATGACAGTGATAATCTCATTGGCAATATATTGGTTGGCATGCTCTGGGTACTTGTAGATATAGGTTGGCAACTTTTCTCTACTTCTGAAATCCTTTGTGCATTCCAATAGACCAGTTGAACTAACTGTACAAACTCCACTCGTTTGAACAACAGGATTAACTGATTGTGACATTTTATAAAATAGAACTTTTAATAAATAGGTAATATAAAAAGAGTGATAAATAAATAATATTTAAAATTAAACAATGAAAAAAAAAAAAGTTATTTAATGATTAATTTTTGATTAAGATATGTATTATGTGTGGGTGAAATGATTGTGGTTTAGCGGGTTAAATTTAATATTTTATTTTGATGGGTAAATAACTATAAATTTTTTGTTTTAATAAATAAATAAATAATAAATAAATAAATAAATTAATAACAGTAGTAAATACGTAATTAATGATTGATCCAACAAAAAGAAAAAAATGATAAATTTATTTAAATGCTCTTCACTTGATCAAAAAAAACTGTTTAAAATGAAAAAATCAAATTAAAATCAAAATAAAACAGCCCTTTGCCCCCTCTTTTCCCAAAACAACAAATCTATTGTTGTTGGTCCAAAACCATCAAAAAAATGGATTTTTTTTATCCGATACCATCAAAAATAATAAAGATATGTTGGTTTGAAAATAGAATGTTCTAAATAAAATTCTCTTACAATAAAAAAAATCATTGTTTCTGTTAATATTTATATTAAATAAAAGTATATAGAATAGTTTAATTAGCTTTGAAAGATCTTAAAGATAACATTAATAATTTCGGTACATATCAATTTGAAAAACAAAATTCCTATTTTATTGATACAAAGATATATTTTGGTATTTATTTAATTTTAAAAACTCAAAGTGATATAATAAATCAATAATTTAAAATTATCTTTATTTTTATTTCATCATTAGACTCTTTTATTAACTAATGATATTTATGTTTAGTATCGACTGTCCATATATATCAAATTTATTTACTCTATATAAACACATCCTCTGAAAACATCTGGAATCAATTGGTGTAACTTGTTCAACAAAGATAAAAGTGATCTAAACCAAAAACAAAGAAATATAATTTTTCAAAAGATTTTTTTAAGGATCTCTTATTTATTTTGGTACTTTTTTTTTATTTTTTTATTTTTTAAATATGGTGTGTGGTGTATGAGAACGGATTGAAAATATAGGAATCGGTCATGTAAAACAGAGGACCTCTATCTTTTCACCTTAAGTATCTCAGTAACTCTCCTGAATTATTTTCAACAATGTAATCATCACCAAATTATATCCATTTAGGATCATCGGTTATAACATTGTGCGATGTTGCTGTAAAATTCAGTTGGCTATTTCTTATAATTTTTTAAGAAACTGTCATCTCTTGTAAATAAACAAATATCAAAATTTGACATAATGGGATTTTTTTTTCGTGAAAAAAAAGGGAACATCAAAATCAAATCAAATTTGATGGAACGTTACTCGTTTTTTCATTTTTAAATTTTAAATCTTTTGTTTGACATCTGTAATGCGAAAAAAAAAACAAATTTCTCGCTGGTTCAGTATTGCTCCTTATAAAGAGAGAACTTCATTATGATCTAAAAAAATAAAATCAAAAGGGATATCTGTTATTTGTTTATGTACAAGAGGGACAGTTATTTAAAAACTTAAAAGAAATAGCCAACTGAACATGTTAGCAACAGTAATAATAAAGATTAAAAAAAAAATCACACATCTCTCAAGATTAAACTCATCATTTTTTTTATTCAAAGTTACTAGTGCTGTTTATCTGTGTGTGTGTGTGTTTATTCAATTTAATTATTGTTAAATATGTAGTTAATTTAAATATGACTTACTTTTAGAAAAATTATTTAGATTATTTATAACTTAACAGTTTAGATATGAACCATTTAAATATTATATTAGGATTATTTATTATAATAGTTTTATTTCATATTAAAGTAACAGAATCAATTAGAACACCATCAATTGATACAGCATACCTAAAGGAAATATATTCAGATGAAACTCTATGGAAAGATGAAGTGGTTACCATCAATGAATGTCTACACAATTGTTTAGCAAGATATACTCTTCAAGATATGTGCGTCAACAAGTTAAAAAATAAAGATCTACAAAGATATTGTTACAATCTAATAGATATGGCAGAGGCTCAAGGATCTTTCCTATGTCAATACTTTTGTAAAAGAGATTATTTTACTGTTAAAGAACCTATATTTTAATAATTTAAACAATTACAACAACAACAACAACAATATTAACATAAATATAATATAATATCAAATCGAAATTAATGATTTCAAATCATAATAAATAATTTTGTATTAAATATAAAATTACTACTATTTTTTATTTATTTATATTATTATTATTATTATTATTGTACAAAAAGGACAGATATTCTAATTTTACCATTTAATGAATTATCATAGTAGTGACCTACTTTCATGATTGCATCGGGATGTACTTTCTCTTGAAGGTAGGACATTGCTCTGCCGATCTCTTTGAGTGATATGTCGTCACCACCCGCTATATTAATGAGTACACCACTACACGATTGAGTATTACTAGACTCTACCAGTGGATTGTTGATCGCATCGAACGCTGCTTTCAGTGCACGATCCTCGCCCGAAGCCTCACCTACGCCAATCATCGAGAAGCCTTTGCGATTCGTCAAGATCGTCTTGATATCGCTGTAATCTAAATTTATCAGACCCGGAAAGTTTATCATATTGCTAATCGATTTCACACCATTATACAGAATTTCATCGGCCATCATAAAGCTATCGACAATGGTAGTGCCTGGTCCTGCGACCGACAACAGCCTATCATTGGAAACAACAACCATAGTATCGACCCATTTACTCAATTCCTCCAGACTTTCATATGCATATCTATCTTTAATTTTACCTTCAAATCTAAATGGCCTAAAAAAGTTATAAATTAATATTAATATTTAACTATGATATTTATAAATATGTACATATAAAATCCGTACGTACCTTGTAACAAAAGCAACAATTAATATATCTTTGTTTAAACTTTTTAGTTGTTTTGCTATGACTGGTGTACCTCCACTTCCAGTTCCTCCACCCATTCCAGCGGCCAAAAAGATGAGATCGGAATGTTTGAGATTGTCGATCACCTCGGAGATTGATTCTTCAGTGGCGCGACGACCTATATCGGGACGATTGCCAGCACCGAATCCACGAGTCAACTTGGGACCGAGTTGAACACGATTCTTGCTGAGTGACTTTAACAGATCTTGGTGATCGGTATTACACACCAGGAAATCGACAGACTCTACATTTGTACACAGCTGATTGCGAATCATATGATTAATAGCATTTCCACCACCTCCACCAATACCAACTATGGAAATCTTTGGTTGAAACAACTCTAAATTCTTTTTACTACCGACTTTTACTATTTTATCGGTTGATCTTTCACTGGTACTACTGAAATATTGTCTATTATAATGATAACAACAACGATGAGCAAATGAAGATGCTGTGATTATCGATTTGTAGTTATATGAATTATTCAAAACTAATACACCCGACATTTTATATAAAAAAAAAAAAAAACAAATAAATAAATATATTTATCTCTAAATTAAACTATTATACAACAATAACATTAACAAAGTAAATACCTAAAGCATAATCTAATCTTTTGATATTTATTAAAATAAAAAATGATCATTTTTTTTTTTTTGATGAAATTGTGTGTGGTTGTCAATCAATCTTGGTGCAAGCCATTCTTTTTTTCATTGAAAAATAAATAAAATTTTATTTATTAATAAAAAAAACTAAAAGAATAATATATATATTACTACTAGATTTGTATAATTATAAAAGTAGTTGTGAAAATTGACATTCATTACACTTAAGTTAATGTCATTGAAATGTTTGAGTGTTTTTTTTTTTTTTTTTTTCTTTTTGATGTTTCAGTAAACAGATCCTAGCTGACTGACTAATTAACTAATTTACAAATATCCTATTGATTTTGTATTTTATTTGGTGGTTGTTGTTGTTGTTCTTCTTGTTGCTGTTGTTGATAATCTCTGAATTCTGATCTGTTGGCCTTTAACCACCTGACAACATCTTTATGTTTGTTATCATTTGCATTAATAAGTGCTCTGATGCTGCATCCTTCAGTACGATTCTCGTTCAACCATTTCAAGACTTCCAGGTGGCCGCTGTAGGCAGCGAGATCCATGGTCAGCTGACTAGAGCCTTCTGTGCGATTCTCGTGAATCCATTTTATGATATCAAGCCTTCCATGGTATGCGGCTCGTGCCATCCCAAAAGTGGAACAACCCTCGGTGCGATTCTCGTGAAGCCACTTGATGACGTCAAGCCTTCCAAACGATATAACGGAATCAAAACATTCCGCACTACATCCTTCAGTACGATTCTCATGCAAATAACGAACAACATCGAGGTATCCACTCTCAGCGGCAAGATCCATCGCTAAATTGGTACAGCCTTCACTTCTGTAGTTGTGAAGCCAGCGGACGACATCAAGATGGCCATTCATTGCCGCGTAATCCATTGCCTTTGTTGAGCAACCTTCACTTCTATTCTCATGCAGCCAACAAACGATATCGAGCCAACCATACTCTGCTGCAACATCCATGGGTAGCGTTTCATAGTTGGAGAGTGACGATGATGTTGCCGTTGAATTGGCCGAGTCGGAAGACATGGTCAAAGTCTTTTCTTCCAACTGATCCAAACGCTTCGAAAGAAACTGGACGATCTCAAGATTACCACCGATAGGCGCAGTCAATAGAGCCAGTGCATAGTTCCAATGACTATCGGGTAATTCAGCCAAGTAGACTGTAGTGTGAAAATGTGCGTTTGTCGAAGATATCTGCAATAGATCGGCAGTGTCACCGTTGGCACTGACATTCGGATCCAAATGTAGCTCTTCAATTAGATATTGTAGGTAGTGATTATAGCCGAATCGCGCAGCTTCAGACATTGCTTCATCCAGTTGTTGACGAAATGCTGTTAGCTGTTCTTGGTCACACACAACAACTGATTGGTCATCTTGTTGCAGTTGCTCGTCAGCATCCAGTGGGTAACTATGGTTGTTTTTGCTGATCATCAAGAGCAATGCACGATTCCCATCGATATACTGCTTCATTTGGTCAAAGTAGTCGTATTGGACCAACAGTTTTGGAGTTTGCTTTAGACGCGCCCATCTGTAGCATACAGAACCTCTGTGAAGCTGATAGACCTTCTCGAATATCAATCTCTTAAGATAATGATTCTTAAAAACAATTGAAAATAGTTGACTGATATCCATTTTCATTGATTGAGTAGAGCACTTTGCACAGTACTACTACTACTCAACATTATTTTGATAATTAATTAAACTGTGATTTAATTAAATCAAAAATGAATATTAAAAAAAAAGATAGATCTTTTGTTTTTTTTATAATTTGATTGTTTTTTATTGATTTGGTATTAAATATTTATAAAATAAAGATAAATATATTAAATAATAATAATAAAAATGATAAAAATTTAAAAAAAGTTAATATAGTTAAAAAATATGTAGAAATAAAATCTACAATATTTATAAAAACTATTTGTGAAAGATTTCTAATTTATTTTAATTCTGTTATTCTAATTAATAACCTAATTAATTGGTGATAAGATTAAATAAATTTTATAATAAAGAGATAAAATAAAATTGTCAAAAAAAAAAAAAAAAAACAAAATAAAAAAAAACAATACATACAAACAAACAAATTATTATTATTTGTCAAAAAATGTAATGAAAAAATGTTTTATTGATATGTTTTGAAGAATTAGATTAATATTTTTATTTACAATATTTAATTCATTTCTTAATTGCTAAATGAAGATTTTTTTATTTTTATTGGACAACCTTTTCTTTTTAGAAGTTATATATTGTTGATTATCCTAATGACGGTTAACTATTAAAAATCAAATTATTTTGACAAAAAAACTAATAACACAAAACCAACCAATAAAATAAAGTGTTCTTTTTTATAAATAATTCCTTTTGTATAATTTCAATTTCATTTAAAATTTCGGTTTTTTAAGTTTTTTTTTTTTTACTCTTAACTTTGAACCATGTGTTTTCACAGTTTTTCACAAAGTTTGCAAATGAGGGAAGGTGGCACTTTTTCTCAGTTCTCTATTTTTATATTTTACCCTTGTGTATTATTATTTTTAAGTTAGTACAAAATTTTTTTACAAAATATGAATCATTTTTATAATTTTGGAACGCTAAAAGTTTATAGCCTGACTTCTATAACCATTCTTTATAGAAATCTTTTTAATAAATAAATTGGATATTGAAGTGAATGAAATTATTTTAGAACTGATAAATTTAGATTATAATATTTCGAACTAGATGGTTTTGATTTTATAAAGATTTAATCTACAAAATTAATGTTTTGTTTTTTTCAACATAGATACTTCTAAAATACTCTACTTGGTTTATTGTTAAACAGCTACTGCACCTTGAAAAATTGTTCTCTTTGTCTTTCCATTGATTGACTTCCATCTTCTATTTGAAACATCAAAATAATGATCCTGTTGATTTTTTCCTCCAAAGAGATAAATTCTTGATTGACCATCTTCCAATTTTGTATAGACTAAAGAAACTCCATATTTTCCAATCATTTGTACATCTGGTAAAATCATCATTTCCAATGAAATCAAAGATACTTTAAGGAATTGTTTATTTGTCATAATGTAGATTGTATCGTTTCCATCAAAACAAGCACCTTCGATTCTTTCTGACAACTCTAAGCTCAAAATAGTCTCTGATCTTCTTGTATTAATATTGAATCTCTCCAAAGAATTGACCAAAGTATAATTGGTGGTCCCATTTTTATAGGTCCCACCGATCGTATAGATCATATTGTAATGGAAGAAACTAAAAGCATAGTATCGTGGCATATTTAATTTACCTATTTCTATAGTTTCGTTGGTTCTAATATTGAAAGCATCGATTCTATCCATTGTCTTATTCTTATAGCCACCTACCAGATAGACTATCTCTTGCCCATTATAACAAGTTGCAATGCTAGAACCTCCACATGTTTGAATAGGAATTCGCATCATTTGATTGGTTTCAACATTGTATTTTTCCAAACAATCCAAAATATCGTTTCCACCGAAAATATAGATGCTTCCAAGAGCATATACAATCGATGATAATAGACATGCACGTTTTAAATCCATTGATACCACCTGTGACCAAACATTTGTTCGAATATCATAGATATTACCTGATTTCAAATGTTCATTTTCACTAACACCTCCAAAAACAAATATTTTTGAATGAGGTCTAAACAATTGTTGTTGCTTCGCCATTAAAAACTGATTTACCAAAACTTGGTTGCATTCACTGAGTTCAGTAATACTATTTTTTGTTGATCTAATTAACTCGGATAGAATTGATTCGTAAGATTTTTGGTCAAACTCTTTGCCAGGATAAATTTCCAATAGAGAAGACATTCTTGCCAATTCTCCCATTTGGTTTTGTACACTTTGGTATATATGATTTACACTACTTTCCATTCTTTTATCAGGGATTGTTTCCACTTTCATTCTTTTATTAATTTTGGTTGGTTATTTTATTACTATTTCAAGATAAATATTAAACTTAATCGTATTGATTTATATCTCAATTTTCTTTCTTTATAGTGAATCATTCCTTAAAAAGAACTTAAAAGTTTAATTAATCAAAGAAACTTTTTAAACTTTTAAAATTTTCTGGAAAATGTGATTCAAACTAACAAAAAATTAAAAATTTAATTTTTTTTTTGTGCAACATTAAAATAATTTTAAATTAAAAATTTGAATAAATAAATAATTGTTTATTTGCGTTATTTAGTAATCTTTGGTTGAGTTTGGTTGAGGGAGGGGGGGAGGAGATTGCTGGATCTAAAAAATTATATTTTTGATATTTTCTATTTTGTTCTTTATTCGTATAACAAGGGCTGAGTGTCTGATGACTGTATGTCTAAAATACCAACACCACTCTGACTGTGACCACCACGACTGCCACGACTATCACGACTATAGTCACCACCACCACCAGAAGTGATAATTACTCCACTGCCACCGTTACCATCTTTTTTAAAGTAATCCGGTTCGATTGTTGATCGATGTCCAACGTTGACTCGGTAGGTAGGTGTGACAGCAGGTCGTGGTGGCATCTTACGGAATAGAATAATAACGAATATCGACGGGATGATCTCACTGACCGCGTAGTAGATTGCAATGGTTACACTGTTGACACTGTAGACACTGTTAAAGAACGTTATCATAAAGAAGAGAACTGAACGCGACAAGAATGAGATTGTACAGAGAATGGTAAAGATGATGACTTCGATGAGTTTACGTCGTTTGCCATGCGAATTGATTGGGTTTCGCTTCAGTTTCAGTGAAAGCATAATACCGTAGTAACAAAAGCCGAGACCGGCCACCAATGAGATACTCGAGTAGAAGACGTTGTCCACTTTGTCCATGAGGTCGCGATGCTCCGACGGCAGCGCAAAGAGCAACACCCAGATGACAATCTGCACGAGATAAACGAGTGCTGTCGATATAAAGAAGATCGGACGTACGCGAGCACGATATTCACGCGTCTTGTTTCTCGAGTGATAAACAATCTCTATCCAAAACATAATCAGCAGAGAAAACGTGGTAAAGAATATCACACAGCCCAGATCATCCAAAACCGTAAATGACTCTATATTGAAACGACCCAAGTCAAATGTTGTCGATTCATTACTAAATGGTATAATCATAAAAAATATACATCTAACTAAAAAGTATGATTAATGATTAGTTGGTTAGTTTTTTTTTGTTCAATTTGAAATCTAACTTCTTGATAATGATTTTAAACCTACATATACAAGTTAAGAATAATAAAAATAAAAAGGTTTTTTGTGTAGTTATACGCTTCAGTGGAAAACCAGTCAGATTGATACGAATCAGTTGGATCATCGGAATGATTCCTAACAATGCATATAGACCTGCCAACGTCAGAAACGTAGTCTTTAACTGTGTTACATGTGCTACATTCTCTGATGAAGAAGATGAAGTTGTTGTTGTTATTGTAAAATCTTCTTCTATCATTATTATTTGACTTTATCTAGATATTATGATTTTACAACTAACTATATATATATATATTATAATTTATTTGTTTTAATTTTACTGAATGAATGTTTTGATTGATTGGTTGGTTGAATGAATTGAATTTTAATATTGTTTTTGTTGTTAAAGTATTATATTATTATATTTTATTTGTTTGACTGATGATAGATTAATATGTACATATTGTTTGTTGAACTTTACTTTAATATCATAAAAACATTTTATAAATAGATAATAATTATCTATCTATCTATCTATCTATTCTTTATGTTAGATTTTAAACAAAAAAAATAAAGTAATGATTTGAGTGTTAAACAAATAAAATAAAAAAATAATATTATAAATTTTTTGTCATAAACTGGTCAAACAGTTTTTCGACAATTCAAACAGTTTTTTTTTTATGAAAACAAAAAGAGAAAAGCCCAATGCTTTCATTGATTACCCATACATGTTTATCTTCAACTTGCAAATCCCAATACCTCTTTTTACTCTTTGTAAAATGTTTTTTCGTAATCATATCAAGTTTTGACTGAACATTTGCAGAAGAGCAAAAAGATCTTATTATCGTGCCCAAAAGATCAGTATTGATGGTATTGAAGAAAAGTTCTTGGCACTTTTAACTAAAGTCGAAAAAACTTGATTAAAATATAAAAATAAAAAAAAATCTAGATGTTTGTGGTATTGGGCTGATATAACAAAAATATCTAAAAAAAATAGTCAAACGATAAAAAAAAAAAAAAGAAACATGATGTTTTTCATTCTATTATCACGATAAGATAATATGTTTTGTTGTTATTATTTTTTTGAACTTAAACAATGAATATTATATATATATTTATTAAAAATAATAATAAAAAACACTATTGATTAAATTTGTTCTGTTGATTGGTTTTTTTTTTTTTTTTTCTTTCTTTTTACTTTGTTGCTGTGTGACGGTGGTGTCAAGGTGAAGATGATCTAGAACGAGATCTTGAGCGATGATCTTGACTATTTTCATGTGTAATACCATTGCCATTACTACTGCTACCTTTGTCGACCGACTTGTTGTGTTTGCTATCGATATTACTTGTGTCTTCGTCAATGTTGCTCATCTCTGTATCTTCTTTACAACCGTTCTCATTGCTATCTCTATCGGTATGACCATTCAATGCAATACCATTACTCTTTTCGTCATTGTTATTTTCTTTATCGGTGTGTCCATTCATATTATGAACTTCATCAACATTATTATTGTTGTTATTGCTATTGTGAATGACTTCTTCTACATCTCTAATATTATTGTCGCTATGATTATTTTCTTCATCTACTTCTTCTCTATGTTTATTATCTGAATCGTTATTATTATTATTATTATTGTTGTTATTTGATTTATGTTCTTTATCTTTATTTTTTGATCTATCTTTTGATCTATTTCTCTTCTTTCTATCTCTTTCTTTTGAACGATCTCTTGATCTCTTTCTATGTTTGGTGTCGCTACTACTATGATGTTTACTACTACTACTACTGTGATGTCTATCTTTTGATCTGTCTCTTCGGTGATGTCTATCTTTTGATCTGTCTCTGGAGCGTGATCTGCTGTGTCTGTCTCTTGACTTTGAACGATCACGTCTGTTGTGTCTCTCTTTTGATCTGTCTCTGGACTTTGATCTTCCATTGTCTCTGGACTTTGATCTCGATCTATCTCTTGATTTCGATCTATCTCTTGATCTACTGTGTCTATCCTTCGATCTATCTCTCGATCTACTGTGTCTATCTTTCGATCTGTCTCTCGATCTGCTATGTCTATCCTTAGATCTATCTCTGTTGTCTCTTGACTTTGATCTTGATCTCGATCTAGATCTATCCCTATCGTGTCTATGTCTTTTACTACTACTGCCGCTGCTATTGCTTCCACTCTTGTGTTTTTTATGATCTCTTGATCTAGATCGACTATGTCTATCTCTTGACCTTGATCTGCTATGTCTATCTCTATCTCTTGACCTCGATCTACTACGTCTATCTCTATCTCTATCTCTATCTCTCGATCTATCTCTATCTCTATCTCTATGTCTATGTCTGTCTCTATCTCTTGATCTATCTCTTCTGTCTCTATCTCTATCTCTCGATCTATATCTATCTCTTGAAGTTGATCTATGTTTCTTTCTGTCTCTATCCTTTCGTTCTCTCGACACCGAGCTAGCTCTCTCAGAGTTGTTGTTGTTACCGCTATTGCTATTGCTATTATTACTACTACTATCCTTACGTTCTCTCGATCTCGATCTCTTTCTCTTTCCATTCGGACAATCTTTTGCCCAATGTCCAGATTGTTGACATGTAAAACATTTATTGTCTGGTGCTTTTCCGCCACCCTTTGACCACTCCACAGTTATTTTCGATCCCAATAATTTTGCACCTAAAGATAACATTCAAAATAAATATTAATACAAAAGAAAAAAAAAAAAGTAAAAAAAAAAATCTAAAATATTATTTTATATTATTAAAAATAACCATACCATTTAAAGCTTTCAAAGCATCGTCTGCATCTCTTCTCTCTTTAAACTCAATGAATGCAAAACATCTTCCACTCGTTTTCTTTATATCATTTCTCTGGATGGTACCATACACAGAGAAGAGATTATCTAAATCTCTTGCATTTGTCTCTGCTGTCAATCCACCTATTTATTATTATTAAAGATTAGTAATGTTACATTATATAGATAACTACTATCTTTCTATCCATCTATCTATCTATCTCTTTAGTTATATCAATACATACCAATATACAATGACATAATTTATGAATTACAAAATAAATAAATATGATTTTTTTTTTATTAAAAAAATAAATTATAAGTAATACTTATTACTTATGAATGTTATTATTATTATTGTTACTATATTGTTATTTCTATTATTACTATTGATAATTGATATTATTATTTTATATATTGACAAATGAAAAAAAAAAAACTAATAATATCTAGCTTTTTCTTTTTTTTTTTGTATTTTTATTGATAAAAAAAAAATCTATCTAAAAGGAAATCGTATTATTATAATATAAGAGAGAATTAGTATTTTTATAGTATTAGGAGAAGTATCAATTGATACTCTATATGTTTATTCGCGAATATGATGATGATAACTTTACTTTTTTTTATTCTAAAACTTTCGTTTTTTTAATATTTTTGTATAACTCTAAACTATAAATATTATTATAATATGATATAAATCCAATTATAAAATATCAAACAATATATAATCTCTCTCTTTGAACCAAAAGTCAATCGATTTCTATTTATCGATCTAACTATCTTTCTATTTATTTATTTCTCTATTAATTTTGTTTATTTTTAAAAAATAAATATAAATATATATTTAATGTTGGCTGATTGAAGATGGTTGAATTCTTTTGTAGAATTTCTTCCTTTCAGTAATATAAATTCAAGAAAAAAAAAAATAAGTAAATATATAATAAAAAACTAGGTATGAATTGAAAAAAAAAAAAAAAAAAAAAAAAGATTTGAATTGACAAACTGCCAAAATGTGATACACGATTTGAGGAAAATTTGTAACGTTTTTTTTTTTTTTTTTTTGAAGTCAACTGAACTTAATAAGTTCAAAAGATATTTTAATTAGAGTATCATTTTTTATTTCTTCTAGAACAAGAAATCAGAAACTTAAATAATAGTTCAATTGTACTAAAAAGATATATAGAAAATCATTTTTCTAAATATTTTATTTGATAATTTTGTTTTGTGGGTTATTTCTTAAATTCGAATTTGATGATAAACAAAACAAAGTGTTGATTATTATAATTCTTAATTAGGATTATTTTAAGTAAGATTGAAAAAATAAAATAATCTATCAGATTCATCTGTTTAGAAATAAAAATAGACAGAGAATACATAATCTTGTTAAAGTTAAATGAAATCAAAGTCAGATAAAATAATTTACTCTTTTAAAATTTGGAGATATCACAATTTAAAATTGATTCTTTAAAAATGAAAATGTATTTACTTTTATTTTATTTATTTTTGTACATAAAATGATTAGAGAAAATAAACAACTGAAAGATAATTTGGAAAGTGCAAGTAATCTTATATCACGATTTAAAAATTAATTCATAAGTTATAAAAATCGTAATTCCGAATGTGTGGTTGATTTAATAAGTTTTGTGGTTTGCATTATTGTCAGTTCAGTGTTTTTCAAAAAACAAACCCCTTCCTTTGTTTAATGTCAACCAAAAATTAAATTAAAAAATTAATATCCTTTTTTTTTTTTTTCTTTTTTGGTGGTACACACATAGAGTTAATAATAACAATTAACTTACTCCCCCCCTTTTTCAACACTATTATTGCTATTGTTCAAAAAAAAAAAAAAAAAAAAGAAAACAAATAAAACCAAAAAATAAAAATAAACAATAACAAAATATTATTTTGTATAATCATCAATTATCTATAAATCAACACAAAAACATATTTAGTAATAAAAGCAAAACAAAACAAAACAACAACAATTAATTAATTAAAGTAAAAAACTCTATAAATATATAATTTTAAATATTTAAAAAGAGTTAAATAATAATAATAATTGTTACCATCAATTAGTTTTTGTAATAGCTTTGCTCTTTGCCAAAAATAATATATAAATATAAATATAGATAAAATATATAAATATACTTTAAAGTTATTTATAAATGATATTTTCAGATGATGATTCACCACCAAATTCACATTTAGATGCAGTGTCACCACCTATTCTAAACTCTTTTTTCTTTGGTGGTGGCGGACGTGCATCTATTCCTTCTCCCAATAGCAGTGTCAACCACCACCACCACCACCATAGCGGTGCAAACAGCAAGTCTTGGTTCTCAAGTGGAAAGAACAACAGCAACAGTAGTACCAGTGTTCAGCAAAACAATAGTGGTGCAGTCGACAAGAAACATATATATACAATGCTAAGTTCAAAGCAGAATCAACTAAAGATTGACCAACACGGTTTAAAGTCACTGTTGAAACAGATGAACAATAATAACGGTGGAGGAGGTGGTGATCTTTACGGTGGGAATGGCGCGAATGACCCTGATTATGGTGAGGAGATGGAGGAATTCGATGTGAAAACAAAATATTACTACAAACCTTACACCTACAACTCACCGTCACCCAGCCAATCTCTGAGTAGAAGTAACAGCTCCGATATCAATACTTTAGAACATCACAGCAACGGCAACAATCATTATAGCGATGTGACAAACACTGCTTCATACTACCACCACTCATCATCATCACCGAAAACCAATAAATCCTCACCTTACTACGGATCGGTGACAACTTCGCCATTCACAACCACAACCAACGGCAGTGTTTCACTTGCCGATAAGCGCATTGGAAATTACTCGCCACTGATGTCGTTCATATCGGAGCATCCATTGGATGTCGACAATGACAGTGAGTTGGAAGAGGAGCTACTGATGGCCATATCCGATGAACATGACCACAATTGCAATAATAACAGCAACAACAACAACAGTAATAATAGCGATAATAATATGATGAATGAAGACGGCACCACCACCACGACAACAACTACGACAACTACGAACAGCAGCGGCGCCAACAATTACACTACGTGTCAACGTTGCCGTCATGAAATGGAGAATGGCAACTATCCAAACTCGGAATCACACTCGTCACCACCATCATTCAGCTTGCTAGAGTTTATCAGTCAGCAATGGTCGAGCATCTCTAGCAAAGTATCGATGGTGGCAATCAATGAATCGGGCAACTCTCAGTCCAACGAACACATGAGCACAGGTATAATCAACAGAGTCCTGACATTCTTGTTCCGTCTGGCCATGCTGCCATTCCTTCTCTCTGTAACGATTCCGTTCTTTATCGGTGTCATTTGCTTCCTTATTGTTCTGTCGGTTCTCTCACTGTCGACTCTGACAGCATTCCTCTTCCTCCTACTGACCACACCATTCTTTATCATTGGCATCGTAGGACTACTCTATATCGCCACATTCATCATTAACGGTAGAATACGTGGTGGACATCGAACTATTCTTGTGCTAGGAGTATCTATATATGAACTTATAGTCAAATCAATATCTTCAATCACAACCTATCTCTTTAATCAATATAAAAAGTTGGTAAAGAGAAAACCAAACTAATTTTTCTGTATATATAAATGTTTATTAAATAATAATAATTTGTATAATAAAATATCAATCAACAAATAATCAATCAATTGAATAACTAATCAAATGATTTAAACTTCAAAACAAAATTTTGAGCTAATTAAAATAAAATAAAAATATAAATATTTTTATATTTTACAATGATTTATAGATGTATTTCCTCATATAAGTACTCTCAAAAATAAGAAATTCACTAATATTTAAATACTAGTACAAAAATAAAACATCTTTGTAACTTTTTATTATAAATGATTGTTTTGTTGTTGTTGTTACACTACCAATTGATTTCAGTAGAATGAATCTAGATTTTATATAATTTATATAATAAATAAGAATTGAGTATTACATGATTGTTTGTTTTTTTTGATGTGATTGAATGTGACTGTGTTGTTTGATTGATTGTGATTGAGTGTTGGTTGATTTTTTTATAAAGTATTACAAGTTATTTCTTTTCTTCTTTCTTTAATGCTGAGTTAAAGATCTAATCCCACAAGAATAACATTCCTACAAATGATTCATATTGTACATATCCAGAGTTTTGTGGATCTGCTTCATAAATTAATTCTTCAATCTAAACGCATCAGCAAAAAAGTTTGTATTGTAAATTAGTTACAAGTTTTCAAACAATAATAACATTATATTAAATTTAACATACCTCGTCTGCTGGCATCATATCACCAAGTTCATTCAAAACCTTTCTTAAATAATCTACAGTAACATATCCTTGACCTTCACGATCAAACACTTTGAAAGCTTCGATAACTTGCTCTTTGGTATTGATATGATTCATTTTATTGTAGTGATATTAATATATATATTTGGATAAAGATAATTAATCAAATAGCTTTGATTAAAATATTTCCACTTCCACTGACAAAAAAAAAAAAAAAAAAAAAAAAAAATCATTTTTTGATCTTTGATGGGTGACCCATTTAATTTTTATTTGAATTGCGACTAAAAAATTTTTTCATAAAATGTTAATGCTTTTTTCATTGTATTAATAAAGTTTGTCTGTTTGTTAGTTTAACTTTAATCAGATAATTATTCATAATTGTTGACAAGATTTGAATGCAATTTAAGAACATAAAAATAGTTGGGTTAGATAAGATATTTCTTTTTTCTTTTTTTTTTTTTTTTTAAAATCTTGACCAGCAATATTTAATCCCATTTAGATTTTATTGCCTCTATTAAATAGTTTTTAATCTTTGTTTTTCCTTCGACTATTGCTTGCTTCAAAGTTTGATCGATTATTTCCCTGTGAATGAGTTGATTGTCAAACAGGTATTTAACGATTGAAAGATGACCATAAGCAGCGGCAGTTTTGATTTCATCGCCTATGAAAAGATGTGAACCGACCAGTAGCAAGAATTTCACAACTGAAAGCTGTCCGGATGCCACTGAATGCGAGATGGACAGACTTGTCAAGTTTTCAGGTTGGTACCAATAGAGTGACTCTATCATATCCAGGAAGCCACTGCCAGCAGCATGCTCAAGGGCAACACTGTTACATCCTTCACTACGATTTTCTTGTAAAAACTTAACTATCTCTAATTGGTTGCTCATCGCAGCATAATTCATTGCACTGACAGTGCAATTCATCCTCTTTGCATGCAAATATTTCAACACATCCAGCTTACCATGAAAACAAACAGAATCAAAGAGATTGTCAGAACATCCCTCAGTTCGATTGTTAAATAGAAAATCTACTATTTCCAAATGTCCTCTAATAGCGGCACCATCAATGGCACTCACAGTGCATCCTTCACTTCTATGTTGATTCAAAAACTTTACTAGTTCAAAATGTCCGTGTCTTGAACTTCTATCCATTGCCTCTGTTGTACAACAAACTGTTGTTCTCTCATGAAGATACTTTACTAATTCCAAATTTCCTGTCGTTACTGAATTATCAAATACTGTTGTATCGTTAGATTGTTGTTCGGTTCTATTTTCAATTAGGAATTTCACAACTTCAAAGTGGCCATTTAAAGCAGCATTAGAAAGTGCATTCCTTGCACCTTCCTTTCGATGCTCATGAAGAAACCTTACGCAATCGAGGTGACCATTTTCGGCAGCTGACTCCATTGCCTCCACTCCACATATCGAAGTGGATAGATGTCCATGGAGAAAACGTAGAACACCAAGATGTCCATTTTTCGCAGCACCATTCATAGCGTTTACACTACACATCTCTGTTCTGTTTTTAAAAAGAAATTGGACGACCTGGAGGAATCCACCTTTAGCAGCTTCGTCCATTGCTCTTACACTACACTTAAACTCATTGGTATCATGTAGAAATCGAACCAACTCCAGCGATCCACTCTGTGCAGCTCCATCAATGGCTTTGGTGTCGCCCTTTTTGTATAGCTTTTTGGAAAAGAGGTATTTTACTACATCGGTGTGTCCGTTTGCCGCAGCTTCACCAATCGGTACTGAATGATCTATCATCAAAAATATTGAACTCCAATTGTTGTAAAAATAGATAAGATTATCCAATTTGCCTCTCCTCGATGAAGTCCGAATGACATCACTAAAGTTTGAGCTTTGAATGAACTTGGCATACTTTGCCATTATCTCGATTAGGAGCGATGTCTGATCGGTACCTGACAATTCAACGATCGTTTCTACAAGGTACTCAACTGCACTCTTATATACAGGTGATGATTCAGTGAGATCATCAAACAACTCTGTCAGAGACTGAGCCAACAAATCGTAATAACCATATCTAATTAATTGAACTGGGAAATAAATCAGTTGATCCCATCCATAGAGGTAACCAGGTGCTATCTCTGAGTTTATTAATTTTATATGTCTAAATATTATTCTTCTTATATATGTTGATTTTAAAATGATACTAAATTGATTCATTTTTGATGTTGTCTTTTGATAAATAACCTTTTTTGGTTATATAATATAACTTATTTTTAAGATTCTTCTGATCAAATTGAAATTTTCTTGTTTTTTTAATGCTAATTGAGGCGCCAAAACGTTACCAACCAATTTATGGATTACAATTAATAAGAAATAGATTAATTTGTGTGTAAAAGCAAAAAAAAAAAACTAGTTTTATAATAATTAAATAAGCTGAGATTTATTTTAAATAATATGGTGGAATTGGTTCTAATAGGAACCTTGTTCAGAGTCGTGGTGTTCATCGATAGGAGTTGTACTGTATGGGGAGTTTCTGCCGTTGTACAGGTTGGCGGGACTGTTTTTATAAAGAAGTGTGGTGGTTTCGTCGTCAGAGTCGTAACGCTGTGGGTCTAGGAAGAGACGTGCAAGTGCACCTGGTTGCTGTCCTTGGTTGATGACACGTCCTGGTGCCGGTGTTTGTGGGTACGTCAGGTTGTTCTTGTTTCGCTTGAGTCCTCCGATCTGTGTCGATGGAATTCTCCAGAAGAGCACCAGAATCAAAATGTACGGTAGAATCTCCCAAACAAAGTAGCTGATAATGATCGTCACACTCTGCTTCAACGATCCACAATCCAAATTGATACCTGGAATACTGCCAAGTGCCGATACAAAATCAAATATACATCGAGATGTAAAACTCAAAAATATAATAAATGTAATTGGTATAATCGATATTGGAAGTTGTGATTGTAGTTGCTAAAAGATAATAATATTTGAGATAACTTTTAGTTAATCTAATTTCGTTACACAACTTTATCATCATTATTATTATTATTACTAGTATATACTTACAGCACTCTTTGTTGAACTAATAATGAAATGAAGTCTCCATCCATAGAATGCAAGAATCGAAACTAATAATAAAAATACAACACCAGTAAGAATATACATGCACTGATTCAAAACATTCAGTTCTTTGTCAGTGTTACCACTATCACATGGATTTGTGTTGCTGCTCTGCTGAGTTGAGCTATCGGATGACTCTGCAATTGTATATTTATAATCGAATGCAATCCAAACTAAATAAAGTGTGGTGTAAAGTAATCGAAATGACTATTAGTATCGATCATAACGATGTGAGATTTTGATTCAATTTCTTCACTTACCACATTGTAAAATTAAGAGTATTAGGTTGACACTACAATAGGTAATAGTAAATATCTTTTTAGTTGATTTCTCCCAGGTTTGTCGATGTACAACATGTGCGTAAAAGAGTACGAGTAGAGAATAAGTCGCAAATTGAATATTAATTGGAATATTCAGCAGTAGATCGGCAATGAGTGGATTTGTAATCTGGAAGAACGTCAGCCAAAAAACTGTTCTAATGATTCCCCATAAAAATCCTAAAAGTAAGAATCCAAATCTAAATGAAAACTTTTTATGTCTAAAGTAGCAGCAGCACGGTTAGCAAGATGTCAGCGATTATATCAATAATTAACTATAATGCTTACTTATTATATATGATTCTTCCTATTTGGAATGCAACCACCAATGTGATAATTAAATATAATACAAAGAGAGGGAATGTAACTGATGTAAACCAATGCTGACCCATTTCTTATTTTTTTTGTTAATCTTAAGATTTGTTGCTGTAGCTGTTGTTGTTGTTGTTGTTGGAGTGGAGTTTTCTTTTCGTTTTGTTTTGTTTTGTTCGGACTTGTTAGATTTGTTATGAATTGAAGTTGATGATTTGTGTTGTTTTGTTTTGATTTGATTTGTTTTGATTTTAACTTGTTTTACTATTAATTATTTAATGCTAATAATGATTTGATCTAAATATATAAACTAACTTAATAAAAAATAATAATGATAATAATAACTATTCCATTTAACAATAAAAAAAAATATATAAATAAAGACTGGCTGATTGACTGACTGACTATGAGAGAATCGGAATAAGATGAATTCGAACAGAACTATCAATAGCTTATTTACTTATATCTCCTACAAATGACTGTATTATTGTGGACCACTATTGGTTTTGTTGAAAAATACCAAAAAAAAAAAAGTGAATTATCTGTTTTCTATATTGATAGATATCTGCTACTGAAAATTGGTTGTTGCCTACAGAATCTGTGAAAATGAATCAAAGTGTTAGACAATGCTCTATATTAATCTAATTTTTAATGATGATCATCGATGAATGAATACACTGTGTGAACATAAATATAAATATCTTTATAAAACAAACAAACAAAATGAATAATAATATTTAGATATTATTAAAAAAAAAAAAAAAAAAAACTTTTTTTTTATAAATTTGATTATTATTGTTGTTTAATTAATTAGACTATCTATCTAACTAACCAAATACCAATGATATCTTAAAAAGTCTAACAACATACATGTGAATAAGAAATGCTAATATTAAAAAAAAAAAAAACTCCCTTTTTGTTTTTTTTTTATTTATTTTTTTTTGTTCTAGTTATTTTGTTAGTAATATTTTTCTATTTTGGGAGAGAAAAGAGTAATCTATATATACACCTAGGTTGTTTTATCTCTGTTTTTGAGTGGTTATTATTTATTGGTGGTGTGGTTGTTTGTATGTTTTTGTGTTATGAGTTGTTGGTTTAAAATTTCATTTTATTCATATAAAATAAAAAATAATTAAAAACTATAGTACTTATATTGGCAGATGATAATAGGAATGGTGGTTGTTATTTATGTAGTACTTGTAATTATAACAACTATTATTATTATCCTGGTTAGCAATTAAAAAAACAAAATTGTGTGTTGTTTTTTTATTAAATTAATTAATCAATAGAATTTCTTAAAATTTAGAGAAAAACAACTAGTTGGTGTTATGATATCTATAGATATCATACTATTCTTATTTATATATGTATTACGATTGTTATTTTTACTTTACGCTATGAATGTTTCTTTTTTAAGACATATTAATTTCAATATTACCTTTGTATGATGATATTATTGTCTTTTTTTATTTTATATTTTTCTTTCTCAAGTTATTGTTGTTGTTGTTTGTTGTTGGACGCAATAAAGAGATTATTCTATTTTAGATTACACTTAATTAATAATAAACTTGATGTGATGAGAATCTAATATAATTGAGTGTGGTATGATGAAATATAATTAAAAAAAAAAAAAAGATAAGATTTAAAAAGGTATATATAAATAATAATATTTAAAAGTAAAATAAAAACAACAATTCTTTTCTTACCAGGCTAAGAAAATCATAAAATAAATAAAACACACAATTGTTAACAGAGATATGTGTAGTGGTTGGTACTGATAAAAAAAATGTTGTTTTTTTTCATAAAAATAAAAAAATTGCAAAGTCGATGGAAAACGGAAAGCAATTTATTTTCATTTTTTGCAGCATTTTGTAAAAAATTGAAAAGCCGCAGATTCTTTGCAAATCATGATTTTAGTTTTGTGGTGCTGAATAATGATGTTGTAGGAACGAATTGGACCATCATTGAATGTTGAACTTTTTAATTATTATTGTTATTTTTAATGTTTTATTTTTTTATATTTATTTTTATTAAAACTAAATTAATTCCAATTCCCATTTATTTATTGGCATACATATATTACATTGTCGCTTATTGGCATCGTTTGCATCGGTGATCAAAACACCATTACAAGTGTCTCTTGTACATAAATACTTTTTAAGAAAACTTTTTTGTGAATTGCTTTGTTTTTGTTGTCGTTGTTTTTGTTGTTGTTTTTGTTGTTTTTGACGTGAGGAAATAGAAGTGTTGTTAACACATCCATTACATTTGCATTCGAAAAAGTAGTTTTCAGAGAGTTTGGATTGACGGTCTTCTGTTGGCAATGAGATCTGAATGTAGTTGTAGACCAACTCGGTACCCGCAGCAATGTCGGTGAGTGATATCATCTCGAGAGCACCCCATTCTCCTGCACGATTGATCCGACATACATTGGGCTGACACGAGTGATTAAAGAGCGACGCTTTCTCGTAGACTGCAGAGCCAATCGAACAGTAGTTGTACTCATCTACGGTGATTCCAATCTCATGAGTATTACACTCCAGTGCACACATCAAGTTTAACATTCTCCTTTGTTGTTTCTCCTGAATCAATTGTAAATCTCTTCCATTATTGCCATTGTTATTGCCATTGTCTTTATTTGACGATGACGATGTTGTTGTTGTTATGTATTTAATAACTTTGTTGAGTGAGGACAGTCTCGAAGCAGTGAATTTCTCTTGATTGTTGACTAGTTGCTCAGCGGCAGAGTTGTTTGAATCCGACACTCTTAGAGCGAGTTTAGCAAGTGTCTTGCAGTCGTAGTCAAACATCGCACTCGATGCCAACCTTTGCATTTGTTGACATTCAAAGTCAGAGTGAAATGAATGTTCTTTGTCGTCAGCATCTCTACTAAGAGCCCAGCAATCGGTGCAAAGACTGATTTGTTTACATTTAGTGCATGTTTCTAAACGACTACTCTCTGTTTGCTCATCATCCTTATTATTATTAATATTATTATTCTCTCCGCCAATGAAAAGATGTAGACAATTGTGGCATATGTTTCTAGCGTATTGATCACCCCAATTGATACAATGAGCAATTGGCATCTCACGCAAGATAACTTGACCACATTTAATGTCTTGAGCAGCTACCAAATATCTACCACATTCTTTACTATGCCGGACCTCTATATAATTATCATTCATTGACTTTACAAATTAATTTTATCGATTAATCTTATAAATATATATATTTCCTTTATTATTATTTATTTATCTATTTTTTTTTTTTTTTTTAAAAAAAGATTATTTAAACGAAAGTTGCCCAAAATCTTGTCAAAGAGATTCAAAAAAAAAATAAAATAAATTTTTGTGTTGCACGAGAGTACATATAATTATACTTCATTTGACATCGAGATATCCTAAAGAGATCTATAGCATTTGATGACCAAACTTTAATGTTTTGTTTTGCCTCGAGGCAACGGTCTTTTAATTATTGGAAATTGTTTTTTAGATCTAAAAATGATTCGGTCTATTCAAAGAAAATTTAATAGTTTGAAAAACTCTTGGGAATCGAGATAAACATTTCATATTTATATTGATGTTGTATTAAACACTCTCGATAGTCTTTGATTTAAAAATAGAAATAACTAACTTAATTATTTTATAAATTATTTAAATTAGATAATAGATGAAATTTTTTTATTTATTTTAAGCACTTCTCAAATTCTATTGAAGAACAGAATAAAATAAGTAAACAATGCTGTTTTCAAAATTTTTTTATTTCGTTACAGATGTTTGTTATGAAGTTCACATACAAATAAAATAGAGACCTTTCTTAGTAAAATAATTAATTAAAATTTCAATAATCACCCATTTTCGACCTACCATAGAGGTAGATGTAATTGCTGCCCATATCGAGTGAAAAACAAGATTTTGGAGAAAAAGAAACATCAACCATCTAAAGTTATTGGTTCATTTTATTTATATCTTTATTATTTTTGAATCTAATTATTTTATAAATAAATATCTTGTTGCCTTTATAAAAAAATAAAAAAACATTGGTGTTAAAACCAATGAACTGATTTCAAATCATTTTTGTACATACTATCTTACAAAGTTGCTTTTTCTTATCGCTAACATTATACAATTGAATTTTATATGGTTATTGTTGATTTAATTGTGTTTGATTCAAATAAAAACCAAAAATTTCATATTTAGTGTAGATTGGAAAAGTGAAAGATACCATCTTATATCCACTATTCAAGGAATCGATAGAAATTAAAGATCACATATCGAGTTTAACCAGTTCTATTTGATGTAAGTGCTTTGCTTAATCAGTAGGGTCCATTGTTAAATATCTATTTCGCTAGTTGCCAATCATTGATTTTCTCATATAAATTTCCCTTATTACAATAACCAATTTTTGATTGAAGATCTTTGAGAAATTGATTGAATATTTCATAACATTTATAAATATTTCTGTTCCTGTATTCTTTGATCTCTCAGGTTCGTTGTAGCTTGCTCCGAACTCCGATGCAGATTTGAAAACTCATTTTACCCATCGAAAAACAGAGGCCAAACTCTTTCAATTTTTTTTAAAGAAAAAACAAACTTTATATTCTAAATCTACTATAAAAATACTTTCTATTTATCTAATTTTTATTAAAATCTAAAAAGGTTTGATATTTTATTTTATTTTTTTAATAGTAATCTCTATTTCAAAAACTTTTAAAAAAAATTGTGAAAAACAGCCACAACCACCATCATTGAAAAAAATTAAACAAATAATATATTTAAATGAAAAAGTGTTCACAACATCAAGATTTTGATCTTGATATTTTATGTTTAGATTGTAATGTAATAATATGTAAAAGTTGTTTAAATCATCATAATAAACATACAATCAAAAACATAAATGAAATAAAACAATCATTATTAAACATTAATTATAATATCACTTACAGTAACGATGATGTTGATGACTCTGATGACTCTGATGATAATGATGATAATAATAAAAATGAAAATAATAACAATAATAATAATAGTACTAAAGAGAATAATGTTTTCCAAGAGAGATTACAATGGCTGTGGAACCAAGTAAAAGTGTCAACAGAGCAAATAGAAGAACTAACTTCTCACGAGGATAGAATCACCGAACAATTTCAAATGTACTTTGAAATGCTGATGTTGGAGGAACGTCGATTAAAGAAACCAATCGTTGATGAAATCGACAATGTTAAACAACATCTTGATAATTATATCAAAGAGATACAATCATTATACAACATCATTCAACAACAAATAAAACAAACATCAACAAAAGTAGTAGAAGAAGTAGAAGAAGATCATAAACAAATAGAAAAGGAGATCAAAGAAGATATAACCATCAACTATGAGCTACCTGCAATAATAGAGTCATTAGAACAATCAGAATCATTAGATCAATTCATTCATCATAATAGTAATACAATCTTTTATGTTAACAAACAAATTAGTAAAAATGACAATAATTTTAACAACAATAACGATAATAATGACAATCATAATGAATGTACTATTTTAGATATCATTGAAAATCATAACATTCAATACAAAAAGAAAAATAGTGAATTGGAGATTGTTGATTATGATGTAATGACTAATGATGAGAGATATCAATATACAGTCAGGAATTATATCTTAGAATCAATTGTGGTTCAATGTTGCCGGACAGAAGAACAGCGAGCGGCCAACCCCAAACACAGTTTCTTTGTTCAAATGTCAAGTGACAACAAACCCGTTTTATCGTTGCTTCCAAAAGATGAGGATGGAGTACTTCAATCGATGAAGACCGAATCAGATATGATCGCCAGTTGTTTAGACCAAGTGAAACCAACTTCCGTTCATTTAGTTGCATCTAAACACACCATTTATATGCTGCATAGCGAGCGAGGCAAAAAAGGAGAAGCCAAAATCATAGCTTACTCTCCAACCACCAAGATCCTCGATGACTGTTACCTGACAGATATCTATAGAATGCCATGTCATGTCACTATGCTGAATCCGGTGATGTGGTACGATTGCTACAGCAATTACATCTACCTCTATGGCAAGTCAAGTTTGGGTATTACTCACGCTCGAATCAATACGCTAAACTATGTCTATGAGGATCTCTTGTTGCTTGAGGATCCTCTGAATGTATTGCCCATAGGTATCTACACAGATTATCATTCCAGTGGTTTGTTTACTCTACTGTATAATTCACAATTCAAGAGTTTCAAATTGAAAGAATATTTCATCGTTGGAATGATCGGTCAAATCGATCATACCATTGCAAAGAATATCGTACCTACTTTTATCAGCCAGGGTTACTATGACAAAGCTATCTACCTTTATATTGGTGCCAATCCCAACCACAAGTTCCTCAAGATCGACATTTCCAATTTCCCAGATGTCGACCCCACTACCAAAGAGTTGAAAACCATTGACCCCAATGAAAATGTTAAAGCACTATTAAACAACCGTCTTTTATTGACACCAATGGCATTTGACAACGATAACAAAGAAATCTATCTTTTCACAGAGAATCAATGTTTTGTATATTCAATCAAAGAAAACGTTTGGAGAAAATGGAAACATCAACCATCACATGGAAAGTTATTGGTATTCAGTGACTTTAAAATTTAAATAAAAAACGAAAGATCAAATTTAATAATAAACAAAACACATGACTTGATTCGATTATTATTTTATTAATCTAACTACCTATCTTACATCAAAGAAGATAAAGGATTAATGTATAAAAATCAGATGTTCTTGATGTTTAATGATCGCCTCGATAAGCATATCTTTCTTTAAACCACTATGTCTAATTAGTATGTTTTCATTATTTCTATCAACCCATCTCTCTTAATATTCTTTAGTTCATATTTCCTGACTGAAACTTGGCTCCATAATGCATGATTGTCTAATAAGGAAGAAGAAGTTTATTAGATCAGCTAACAAAGGGCATTGAAAAGACTACAGGTAGTATAGTATTCTTCAATGGTGTCTGGTTACTTTGGTGTATCGGGAATATTGATGTCCAAGTACACTTTAAAGTGTTTTTTCTTTCATTTTTTTGTTTTTTTTAAAATATTTAAATAAATTTTCTTTGTATACCTTTAAATATGATTGACTAATAAATTGATTATAAAATAAAACATTAAAAGATTTAAATCAAAATTATTTAGTTCAACATAAAAGAATGAATACTAAATTACTATAATATTTACTTATTTTATTGTTTAATTCAAAATTACTACAAGTTGATATTTAAAAATAAAACAAAGTATATCACTACAATAGATCTAAATAGATTAATTTTAATTATTTATTTAAAAGTGACACAATTTAATTGATTTGATTCACGATTTATTGGAATTGAATGACAATGTCAAGTGTGGGTGTTCTGCGCTGATTGTGTGTTTTTTTTATTTTTTTGCCAATCAAAAACAACATCAACCAAACTTTTAAATTAAGACATCTATATATTTAAATATTATTCTATTTAATTGAGAGTATCGGATAAAATGACGTTAATTATTTTCAAAATTTGGCGGTTTCTTATTTTTATTGATTATTTAAATCTAATTAAAATATTTATGTACTACTAAATACTATTAATGTCGAAATTTTGCTTTTCAATATAAACAAATTTCTATCAAATATAGTTTTAGATAGTGATCGTTGATAATAATAAAGAGATTGTTGATTTCTCATTTACTATGTTTATTTAAAATAAGAAATAAATTTATTTAAACATATTTTATTTCCATTTTCATTTTTTTATTGATTGTTTTCAATTGTTTGTCGTATAATTGTTGTTTTGCAACTAATGCAATTGAAAGTGTTGAATAAAACATATGTTGAGTGAAACCTTTTGAATAAACAAAGGAAATAATATCAGAATCATATCTGTGTCCCTATACAATCAAAAACAATACTGTATTGAGAAAAAAAAAAAATATATTGGGTGAAAAATTTCAAAATAAATTAGTATTATTAAATTACATATACATAAATAGATATTATAAATTTAGATATTATCTTTTAAATCGTTTTTATATCATAATTAACATACACACTCATAAATATATTTCATTACTTTTATATATTAAATAAATCATGCATATGTCACAACAACTTAAATATCAAATAGATAATTTTCCAATTACCAGCTATTCGTGGGAATTAGTTGGTATTTATTTCAAAAAGAAGCTGAGCTCGAAGATGAAAAAGATCGAATGAGTTTCTCATATTACTTTATCCATGAATTCGCTCGAGTCATAAGGGAATTCGAAGAACAACAGCAACACAAACAACAACAACCACAACAAGATAATATTATAGTTAATTATAAGTCGCTGGAGGAAGTTATCCAAAGCTTTCCAGTCACAAGTTTATCACTGGATTTGGTAACAGTTTTCAACCAAAAGAAACTCGAAATTAAAGATTAGTCAGATCGACATCTGTTCGTTTTGTACTTTTTCAAAGAACGATCAAGAATAGCTAGGGAACAAGAGCAACAGCAACAACAGCAACAGCAACAACAGCAACAGCAACAACAGCAACAGCAACAACAGCAACAGCAGCAACAGCAACAACAACAACAGCAGCAACAGCAGCAACAGCAACAACAACAGCAACAACAGCAACAACAGCAACAGCAACAACAAATTCAACAAGAACAACAGCAACAAAAAACAGTTAGTCAAAAAGAAAGCAACAGAAATACATATCAATTTAAACAACCCACAATTAATAATAAAAAAGATAATAAAAACAACAACAACAACAATCACAATGATAATGTCAATATTAATTTTAGAAACAAAAACAACAATAACCCTAATTTTTGACTAACTGTTTTTTGTTGCTGTTGTTCTTGTTGAATTTGTTGTTGCTGTTGTTGCTGTTGTTGTTGCTGTTGCTGTTGCTGTTGTTGCTCTTGTTCTTGTTGAATTTGCTGTTGCTGTTGCTGTTGCTGTTGTTGCTGTTGCTGTTGTTGCTGTTGCTGTTGTTGCTGTTGCTCTTGTTCCCTAGCTATTCTTGATCGTTCTTTGAATAAATAACAAATTAATATGAATATTGCTTATAATGAAAAGAAAAATTCGATATTAAAAGTATTTACTAAATATATTAATAGAATAAAAAAATTTAAATAAAAATATTCAATAATAATAAGAAACCGCCAAATTTTGAAAATAATTTAACGTCATTTTATCCGATACTCTCTCTATTATACACCATTATATTTAAATATATAGATGTCTTAATTTAAATTTAAAATTTTTAAAAGTGTTTGGTTGATGTTTTTTTGCAAAAAAATAAAAAAAACACAATTTGCAGAACACCACACGACATTGTCATTCAATTCCAATAAATCGAGAATCAAATCAATTAAATTGTGATTCACTTTTAAAGATTAATTTTATTGTTTATTTATAAGTGAATCAAAAATAAAGTTTCTATTCTTTTTTTTGTTGCCTATGTGTATGATATATAGATGAATCATATAATTTGTCTTACATAAATTAAATCTAATTGTACAGTTATAACATATTCACATATAACAAAAAACAATCTTTCTTTGGAGACAAAGTATTTACGATAATTGAATCCCTATAGGCGATATGTACTTACAATTTGATATCCTTACAATTTGATATATCATGCTAAAATAAAAAAAATTTGTTCTATTTGATGTTTGCTAGCATTTCCTAGATGCTTTAGAAAGTGAGATTTATTAATTTATATATCTATGTCATTTAGTTGTTAATATTGAGGTTATTTCACTTTTTTTATTTGAAAAAATTAGTATGTAAAAATTTGCAAAAAAAAAGTGAGAAAATGACAAAAATTAAATGTGTAAAAATTTCAAAATAAAAAAAGTCAAAAAGCCTCACTAGAATATATATATATCTTCACTTTTTTTTTTTTTTTTTTTTTTCTGATTTATAAAATCTGAAGTTCCAAAATTTTATTTGTGATTATTTGATTATTATTGAGTACTGAAAGTGATTATAATGATTTGCAGTAGTCAATTACGCATAATAGCAAGAGTAAAAGTGATGTGAATTGGAATCATCATCATGGACAAAGGAATTATTAATAATCCTCATCTTCTTCATCATTACGATTATTGCTATAATATAAAAACTTGAGATTTGGATAGGATGATTCCACCGCTTTGTTGTGATCAAAGTTATTTGAAACCTCGTAGATCTTCTTGGCATAGCTAACGGTCGGTCCCATCGAGATGCCTAGATAGTTGCAAATCGAAGTGAGTGGTCGGTGTTTCGATTTGATGTGTGCATATCCAGTGGCTTTGTCAATTTTCTTTGTAGAGTTGTAATTACTGATGTTGGTAACGTGATGGAAAATGATTCGTTTGATCGATGTTGATTTCGTTGACATATTGATCGTTGCAGATATTTCACTAGTAAAATCAAAAGTTTCGATTGTCTTGTTGATTTCCAACGATCTATTTAGCCATTGGTTACATCCTGCGGCATAGAGTGTATGCACTTTGCAATCGGGTAAGCACAACAGTTGCTCAAACAATGCTTCACACTCTGTTGAAATCGTATTCCTAATGATGAGTTTGGTGATATACTTGAGTTGATCGCTGATCATTGGTATTTGTAGAGCACCCATTGACATGAGGCTGAGTGTCTCTAGTTGTATGCTCTGACCGGTGATTCTCCAGTCTTTGTAGTATAACAATGGAAGTTTCAACTTTCGAATGGTGTTACTGGAGATATCTATCGTTGACAACTTATCGAACCGAACGTATGATATGTTTAGTGATGTCAATCGTGGTAGTGATTGTTGTAGCATTGGAAATACTTTGGAGTTGTCGATCTTGATTTGATCGAGTGCCAGTGATTCTAGATTTGGCATGTATTCGGTGATGAATATACAATAATGCATTGAGAGTGTCACATCCATGTAGCTTACTAGTCTCAGCTTTCTAACACTCCTAAAGATCAGTCCTAGTTCAACGGGTGTACAATGGGTCGTTGTTGTTCTATTGTTGGTTATCTCCATAAAGATATTCATTGACATTGTTAGATGACTGATATTCTTGAGTACTGAAAGTGGATTGATAACACTGTTCTTGAGTTGTTGTTTGACAGTTGCTGGTAGAATCGTATGAAAATCGCTGATAACAATGAATCGAGTGAACAACGATGATATCAACTTGAATAACTCTTTGGAAACCAAAGCAATAGAGAGTAGCCATCGATAGTTTAAATGTAGTTGGTTTGTGTTCGTATTGAATGTGATATCGTCATGCCAAAGATCACGAATGATTCGATTGATTATCAATGTTGGCAATCGATATTCAACAGTTCCACGATGATACTTTTCGATTGCATTGTCTATAACTAATTTTGATTTCAAATCTTCGAGATGTTCTTGATGTTTAATGATCTCATCTATTAGTATATCTTTTTTCATACGACCTGGTCTTGATGAGTATTTTGCCAATATCTCAACCAGATCTGCTCTCTTCATCTTCTTAAGTTCATCTTGTTTATATAATATTATATTCTGTTTATATAATATCTCTTTTGTTGTCATTTCTAATGAATAATAATCTTTAAATTTTAAAACTTTACTTTTTGTAAATTTTGAAAATATAAAATTTTTGATTTTTTTAATCTTTCAAAGACTAAATCAACAAACTTGAAATATTCTTTTTATTATAAAATACATTTAATCAATGCTTTGCTTTTAAAACATTGATACAACCTTTTGAACAAATCATATTTAATAATAGTTCATGGTTATTCAATATATAAGAATTTATGATTATGCACCGTTGCTTCGTATGAGGCATTGTCATTATTGGCATTCAACGTTGAAACCGTTGAAACCGTTGAAACTGTGTAGATCTTCTTGGCATAGAATGCAAGACTAGCGTTTAAAAGTGATTTGATTCGCTTCTTTGATTTTATGTGCGCATAACCAGTGGGATTTCCGGTCTTTCTGTAAATATTTTTGGTGTACAGGTCATCGTAGAAAATGAATGTTCGGAGCGTTGTTGATTTCGATACCATTTCAAAGGTTCTCTTCAGAGAAGAACCAATATCGAGAGTTGTAATCGATCGATTCTTTTCGAGCACTTCACTGATCCATGTACCATAATCGATATAGAGAGTATGAACCTTACAATCTGGTGCGCACAACAATTCTACCAGAGATTTAAATATGGATGTAGAGTTTACATTCTTTATGATGAGTTTGGAGATCTGATTGTACTGACTATTAACCATATTATTATTCAATTGAAATAATTGGAGTGTTGTAAGGTTATGAGTGTCTGAAAGTTGGAAACCATCGTGTAGCTTTGGTAATTTCAACCTGCGAATCGAACTTGATATCATATCCAATGAGAAATCGAATTTAGCAAATGAAGTGAAAGACAAATTGAGAGATGTCAGTAACGGAATCTCTTTCAACGATTCGAGTTGCGAATGATTAAGTGATATGTTTGGTAATTTGAGTGTTTCTAGATTTGGCATGTATTGAACGATTGTTTTACAATATTTATCTTGTTTTTCTCGAATGATATGGTTGCTGTGCAAACATAGTTTCCTGACATTCGCAAAGATCAGTTCAATTTCAATCAACCTAAATGAGATGATTTCAATAAAGATATTGATTGATAATGTCATATGAGTGATATTTTTGAGAACCGAGAGTGGATTGGTGACTCTGCTCCTGATCAGTTCTGCTGGAGATGCCGAGTAAACTTGAGTATAAAAATGTATGTATTTGAAGCGAGTGAACAACGATGATATCAACTTGAAGCACTCTTTGGAAACCAAAGCAATAGTGAGTAGCCATCGGTAGTTTTCACGTAGTTGTGTCTGAGCAATATCGGTACTCAAGCATAGGTCGATATGATGATGCCAGAGAACACGTATCATACGATTGATGATCAATGTCGGTATTCTATAATGAACAGTTCCACGATGATGCTTATCTATTGGGTTGTTTGTGATAAACCTTGATCTCAAATCTATGATATACTCTTGATAATTCGATATTAATTCTAATAAATTTGTTTTAGTCAGATCTTTCTGTAATCCATCATATGTAATAGAGTATTGAACCATTAAATTCTTTAATTCATTTTTTTTCATTTTCTTTAGTTCATCATTGCTAATTAATCTATGTTTATCTAATATCTCTTTTGTTGTCATCTTATAATAAAATAACATTATTTTTGCAAAAAAGCTACAAATTTTTCAAAAAAAACAAAATTTTTTGGGAGGAATACAATGAAATTACACAAATTAAAAAAAACGCTTCTAATAATAATATCGGTTCCAAAATGTTCAATGTGTGGTGTCGATACTTTAATTTGATGTGTACATACCCAGTGGCTCTGTTGCTATCGGTCTTTGAATACTTGCTGTGATTGTTGTTATAACTGTGGAAGATGATTCGTTTGATCGATGGAGTTACCGATGCCATTTTCGCAGTTGAAACAAATCATCACCGATCCAGTGTACGAACCTTGCATTCAGCAGAGCACAAAAGTTCCAATACCAATGTATCTACACCCCATTGGAACTGTTAATGGGTGGGGTAGCTGAAAGCAATTGGCACATTTGTAATATACTAACTTTAAAATATAAATATATCTGTGCTAAAAGAAATAGAATTTTATTATTTTTATCTAAGAATATATATAGTAACTCTTCTTCATTCTTAGGTGATTATATTATTCTGCATGATCCAGGAGGTGGACCACCATAGTAATCATCATCATCAGAGTCATCGTAATCATCATCAGAGTCATAGAGATAGAAGTTAGAGTCATCAGAGTCACTGAAATATAAACTACCGTCAGAGTCAGAGTCACTATCCCAAGTGTGTTCGACGACAAATCTATAATACAAAAACTTGAGATTTGGATATGCCTCTTCGATCGTTTGGTTTTCAGTGTCATTCTCCGAAGCATCGTAGATCTTCTTGGCATAACTGACAAACGGTTTCTGTCCGTGAATTGCAAGAGGTCGATATTTCGATTTGATATGTATATACCCACTGGCTCTAAAGTGATCTTGCTTTGTGTACGCGCTGTGATTGTTATTATAGTTGTGAAGGATGATCTGTTTGATCGATGGTGATTTCGCTGCCACCTTCAAAGTGGTCGCTAGATCATCACCGATATCCAGTGTTTCGATGGTCCGATTGGTTGCGAGCGTATCACTGACCCAATTGCCACTGTTAATGGCATAGAGTATACGAACCTTGCATTCAGGTGAACACAACAGCCTCGACATTGCCAGACCTATACCCCATTGAACATTCCAAACAATGAGTTTGGTGATCGAGTTGAGTTGACTCTTAATGAAATTGATATTGTCATGTCCCACTGAATAGATACTGAGTGTTTGCAGTTGGGTGTTCTCACTGAGTATATTCGGGTTTTTCGAGATATACAATGGTAATTTCAACTTGCGAATCGAACTACTGAAAATGTGTGGTGTATCTGGCAATTTGCCAAAACGTACATGGGAAATGTCGAGCGATGTCAGTCGTGTCAATTGTTGCAGCATGAGCAATGCCTTGATGTTGTCGATCTTGATTAGAAAGAGTATCAGTGATTCGAGATTCGGCATGTATTGGACGATCGATTTACAATGTTGCATTAGCAATGATTTCTCTCTGGCGTAGATTATCTTTAACTTCCTTACACTGTTGAAGATCAGTCCCAATTCAATGGAGGTACACGTTGTCGTCTTGTCTGTTAGATCTTTGAAGGTTACCATTGACATTGTTAGATGACTGATATTCTTGAGTACTGAGAGTGGATTGATAACATTGTCCTTGAGTAGCTGTCCAGCACAATATAATGGATCGAAAGCCGAGGTATTCCTTTTGCAAAGATCGACGCGAGTGAACAACGATGATATCAACTTGAATAACTCTTTCGAAACCAAAGCAATAGAGAGCAGCCATCGGTAATTTGAACGGAGCTGGTCTGTGTTCAGAATTACAGTGATATCGTCATGCCACAGATCACGAATGATTCGATAGATGATCAATGTTGGCAATCGATATTGAACAGTTCCACGATGATACTTTTCGATTGAGTTGTCTGTAATTAACTTTGATTTCAAATCTGCGAGGTGTTCTTGATGATTAATGATCGCACTGACAAGCAAATCTTTCTTTAAACCACTATGCTTTAATGAGTAAGCTTTCATTATTTCGACCAACTCTGGTCTTTTCATTTTCACTAGTTCATCTCTATTATATACTTTATGATCTAATATCTCTTTTGTTGTCATCTTTCCTAATTCTAATTTTTTACATCTGTTTTGAGAATGAATTATGAAACAAAAAAAAAAAAAAAACAAATTATATAAAAACCGCCAAATTTCAAATTTCACCCACCCAAAAATTTCATAACATTCCAAATAAGTAAATATCTATTTAATATTGTAATTAAAATGATTGACTATTGTTAATACCTCGCGGAGGTAATAACAATAAATAACTCAAAATCAACAAATACCCAGCCTGTAAAACCTCAAAGTTCTCAACCAATGTTATACTTTGGTTTAAATCATAAACCAACTGTATCAAGACTCAAGGATTGCTTCATATTTTGCCTTAAATGCTAGATAAAGTTTACAAGATCTATGAAATCAACAGAGCTTATCCATCTTATTGATTACCTTTATTAAATAAATATTTATAAAATATACATCACTTTTAAACAAAAATACATAGAAAAAAATATATTGGCAATTTCTAATAAAAAATTTATTTTTGTTTTCTAAGATCTATTTTTATTTTTTAATTTCCACTCATTTATTTGTTTTCTATTATTGACCAAATTTAAAAGATAAAGGAAAGAATCATCTTAATTTAAGAAGTGAGAGATATGTTTCAAAGTTTGTCAAAAAGAGTATTCAGTTCTTCACCATGATAGTCTCCACCTACTATCATAAATAACATATGAACGATTAACCTCCTCTCTATAGATTTATCCAATTTTCTTTGATTCCAATGCCATCAAGCTCATTCTACAAATCATGATTACTACTTCGCCAAGTTCTTTTGATAGAAATGAAAATTCAAGCTAAATACGATGTGGTAAGTGATACAGGATCTCCAAAACTTTATTAAGTAAAACAAATTTGAAGAATTTTCTGAAAAAACTTATTTTATTTATATTATTCTGCAGGCTTCCGGAGGTGGACCACCATAGTAATCATCAGAGTCATTGTTGTCATAGAAATCAGACTCATTCAAAAAATGTTCATCGTCGTTAGAGTCATTATCATAACCCTCTAAAATGTTGAAATTCCGATAGTATATGAATTTGAGATTTGGATAGGTTTCTTCGACCGTTTGGTTTTCAATGTGATTCTCTGTAGTATCGTAGATCTTCTTGGCATACGTTAAAACCGATCTTTTTGCGTTATCGCCGAGTGGTCGATACTTTGATTTGATATGTGCATATCCACTGGCCTTATTGTTACTTTGCTTGGTATACAGAATTCTAGATTGGCGGGAATAGGTATGGATGATGATCTGTTTGATCGATGGTGATTTCGATGCCACTGGTAAAGTTGTCTCCATATCATCACCGATATTCAGTGTTTCAACGGTCCAATTAGATTCGAGCATTTTACTGACCCAACTGTGAAGGTCAGTGGCATAGAGTGTACGAACCTTGCACTCAGGTGAACATAACAGTTTCGACAACAATGGGTATACATCCCATTTAACATTCGAAACAATGAGCTTGGTGATCCAGTTGAGTTGAGTTGTAATGAATTTAAGGTATTTGTTGTAACAATTGCAATACTTTGATATTGTCGATCATGATTTGATTGAGTACCAGTGATTCTAGATTCGGCATGTATTGGATGATCGATTTACAATGTTGCATGTGGCATGACATATCCATTCTATAAGTAACCGTGAACTTTCTAACACTGTTGAAGATCCTAATTCGACTGGTGTATATGTTTTTGTCTTGTCCGTCAGGATTTTGAAGATCTCCATCGGTATTGTTAGATGACTGATATTCTTGAGAGTGGATTGATGATTTTGTTCTTGAGTTTTTGTGCTGTGGCAGTATAAGAATATATAACTGCAGTTGGATCTCTAGCTGCGATGTATAAATCACTTTCATCGAAAAGATTGACACGAGAGAACAACGATGATATCAGTTTGAATAACTCTTTGGAAACGCGAGAAATAGAGAGCAGCCATCGGTAGTTTGAACGAAGTTGATTTGTATTCAAATTGAATGTGATATCGTCATGCCAGAGATCACGAATGATTCGATAGATGATCAATGTTGGCAATCGATATTCAACAGTTCCACGATGAAACTTCTCGATTGAGTTGTCTGTCACTAACTTTGATTTCAAATCTGTGAGATGTTGCTGATGTTTAATGATCGCATCTATAAGCATATCTTTCTTTAAACCACTATGTTTTAATGAGTATTCTTTCATTATCTCTACCAACTCATTCTTTTCATCTTCGTTAGTACATCTTGATTATATACTTTTTGATCTAATATCTCTTTTGTTGTCATCTTATCTTATTTATCTATTCATTGTTTAATTCATAATAAAAAGTAAAATAAACTTATTCATAATTTGTTTATTAATATTATTTTTTAAAATTTATATTTATGCAATGAACGTTACCAAGGTTTGGTGGTGTAGTGGTGATCATTTTTTATTTATTTTTTTTTTATCTTTTGATTTTTTTTTATGATTAAAACAAACATTTTTTGTGCTCTTACATAGTATAGAGAATAATGTGTAATAAGATAGATGAATATCGATTTGTATGACTGATTGATGACATAAAATTGCACTTTAAGATGGTTGTTTTCTTGTGGAAGTGGGTGATTCAGCACGCAGTTAATATTTACAACAACAACAATAACAGCAGCCTTAGTTGAAACAGTTATGCAAAACTTCCAAAGACAGTCACCAGCGGACTATTTTGTTCAATGTATAGAATAGTAGCACTATCAATGTTCTTAGCAACTCTAGTCGGCTCAGATGTTAGATTATGGGTATTCGATATAGGTGTACACCGCCAATCAGTTAATCTCTGCTTCTAAGTGCAACATCATCACGACCACCACGACCACAAGCACACTGTAGTGGTATAGAGACATCCACCATTATTCAACAGCAAGATTAGATGTCATTTTAATAATAGTGTATGTTTATAAACATACAATCATTATACTTTAGTATCATCCCAAAGTCATCGATAGATATTACATTGAAAAGAAAAAATATATCTTGTTAAAATAATATAGATATTAAAAGTTTCACTTTTCTTAAGATTACTTTCCCTCATAATATAAAACAGGAGAATAAATATTAATAAATTTAAAAATATTAATCATATGGAGCTATGCACCAAGAACAATTTGTTAATTTTATTGGACTGGTTTCAAAAGGGTTGTTGAGGACTTGATTTTCTCAAATGTTAAAAATTGGAGACTTCTCTTCTTTTTCTTTCTTTCTTAATATATAGTATTGTGATGATAGAGATTGTAATCAAAATAAATAGACCAGTGATAATACCAATTGGAAGTACAATCCGAAGAATATTTGTTTCTTGTCCTCCTGTGATCGATGTAATGTTTAATGTTGAACTGATTACAATCTGAGTATTGACAATAATAGTGACATTTAGATTCTCTCCAAATTTCAAAGTGTCTGAACCATTCAATTTTACTTGACAATATATTGTTGTATCGTTTACAATTGTGGTAGTATTACATCCAATAGTATTGAATATAAATACAGATGTGTTATTAACATCATAATTTGATCCAGATATCGTTATTACACCTCCATGTCTTGAAATTGGAGTTACACTTGTTATTGTAGGTTCTATTAATTAAATCAATTACTTTGTTAATATTTTACACTACTTTTGATATTTTTAAATTACATACCATGATATCTGAATGATTTTGAAGTAATAACACCATTAACATTCAATTCCAAATCAATATTCTGACCAGATCCAGGAGATATATTCACAATAATAGTTGATGAATCAATCAACATCGGATTCGATGTATTTTTGATATCAGGTCTGTTTGTGAATTTAATTGATATTGGATTTCCAAATAGAGCACCAAAAATAGTAAGAGTATCGCCTTTGGTTTGTGGTGTAGATATTTCACCTATATCTGCTTTGATTGAAAGTTGAACAGAGTTTGATATTAATTGATTGTTATGATTGCTGATGAAAAAATTAAATAATCCTGATTTGAAATTATTTGGAATTCTAAATTGAACAATCCATTTTCTATTAACTGATGATCTATTAGATACAAGTGGTAATGATTCGATATCGATTTGAGTTGGTACAAATGAATTATTTATCATTGTTGAATTTGAAACTGAGATCCATGTTTTTGAAATTTGAGAAGAATATCCCAAGAGTTCACCTTCAAAATAGATTTTACTTCCATTTTGATAAATATTTGAAATTGAAGGAACATCATAATTGAATAATATAGTTGAATTGTTTGATGTTGCTCCTTCAATTGTAACAAGAATTGGAATATTTGTGAATTGTTGATTGTTTGACATCTTTGAAATTGGTCCAAGTTGACAAATGAATGAGTTACTATAAACTGAGAGATCAACAACATTCAAACATGATTGTGATCCAATTTGAATCGTTTTGATTGTTTTAAAACCAAAAGAATTAACTGAATCGAATAAATCACCTGAAATTGTAACTGGTCCACCAAGATCACTTGAAGTTGTTGTTGTTTTAGTAATTATAGGTTCTAATGAATTTGAAATTAATAATTAATAATTAATATACCAATAATTAAGATTAAAAATGATTTAAAAACTTACCAATTGGCATATTCGAAGTTGTAGATCTAGAAACATTACTATGTGGATCATTGATAGTCAAAGTTAATAGTTTCAAACCTGCATATTTGAATTCATTTGACAATGAAGAAATATCTAATACTACACCAGTATGATTTGTAAATAAACCCTTTAATTAGTTTGGGAGTGTATTAGCTAACAATTGTTTTGTACTTACTTTTGTCTACACACAAAATGTTTTCTCCCTTTTTTTTATAAGATTTACAGAGTCTCGATAAGTAAATCCTATTTTGTCAACAGCATCCGATATGGTTTTGCATTCACTAGATTTGTAGATAGGAACTCCGATTGCAGCCATTTCATTAATGAACTCTTTCAACTTTTCCTGCTCTTTGTCCATGTCTTGTTCTTCTTTGTGAGATTGTTGTCTATACTCTTTATTTTTATTTAAAAATTCAAATAAATATTCTTTATAAAAAACTCCTATTACAATATGAGTTAAAATAATCACCAACAAAAATAAAAACTTACTATGTTCTCACTCCGCACTTACCAAAAAAATTCTATAAATAAAAGTCTCCCAATTTTAACATTTTTTCACTATTTGAATCCTGTTTATTAATTTGTAAAACAAAATCAAATAATTTAGGATGGTTCATTTAATACAAAAAAATGTTAGTGAAAACTAATTATTGTGAAATTTAAAAATAAATTCTAAATTTTTATTTTTGTTTTCTATCGTTTAAAATATTATTTAAATGTTTAAAGAGTGTAAATTATTCATTAAAATTTCTTCCAAAAATGAAAACAAATATTTATTTCTTAACTATCCTATATATTTTTATATGTATCAATTATATTTTATGTCATATATATTACACCAAAACAGAAGCCATAATTACTGATCCTCCCAATTTAGATTACTATCAGGTTGAAAATGTGTATATTGGCAATTTAATATTAAATCGAAATGATTATCAAGCACTGAATAAATCTGCATTACAAGACCTCCCAAAATTAGATTAATTTGTGTACACAGGTTATTTATAGTAAGAAAGAAACTCTACCTGCAAATTTGACTTTAATACGAGTAATTTGAGTTTTTTTTAATATTTTCTATTGTATTTGATTCTCTTGCAGTGCTACAAAGAAACAATAACTAAAATTAAGTACAGTAGTGCTTTGAAAATTCCGTAAATTTATTTAATTTACTTATTTTTTACTTTATTCTAGATGGTCCGGACCGTCACAGAAGTAATCATCATCAGAGTCATAATTATCATAGTCGTTAGAGTCATCACAGTCAACATAAATTATATTATTCCATCTTCATTGTCACAGTCACAGTCAGAATCACTATCATTAAAATAGCTGGAATCATGACAGTATAGAAACTTGAGATTTGGATAGGTCTCTTCGATCGTTTGGTTTTCAATGTGATTCTCTGAAGCATCGTAGATCTTCTTGGCATACGTTTTGATTGTGCCAAGCGTACTAGTGAATGGTCGATGTTTCGATTTGATGTGTGCATAGCCAGTGGCTCTATTGCTATTGGTCTTTGAATATGCGCAATGATCGTTGACATTATAGTTGTGAAAGATGATGCGTTTGATCGATGGTGATTTCGATGCCACTTTGAAGGTGACCGGCAGATCATCATAGATATCCAGTGTTTCGATGGTCCGATTGGTTTCGAGCATCGGTATGATCCAGTTGTTAGTGTCATGACAGGTATAGAGTTTATGAACCTGGCATGCAGGCGAGCATAACAGCTGTGACAACGACTTGCCTAATCCCCATAATACATTAGGAACGATGAGCTTGGTGATACTGCCAAGTTGACTTCTAATGAAATCGATTTCTTTTGGTCCTACTGAATTGACATTGAGAGTGGTTAGTTGGGTGTTCTCATCGAGGATATTAGGGTTTCTGGTGAGTAATATCGGAAGTTTCAACTTGCGAATCGAACTACTGAAAATACGTGATGCAGTTGGCATTTTGTTCAGTTCTACCGTGGAGATATCCAGTGATGTCAATCGTGGTATTTGTTGCAGCATTTGATATATTCTAATGGTGTCTAACCTAATCTTAAAGAATGTCAGTGAGTCGAGATTCGGCATGTATTGTATGATCGATTTACAATGTTGAATTTGGAACGGCATATCTCTAGCATATGATAGCTTTAGCTTTGTAACACTGTTGAAGATCAGTTCTAATTCAATGGGTGTGCATGTTGTTGTCGTCTTGTCTGTTAGTTGTCTGAAGATATCCATTGACAGTGTTAGATAATTGATATTCTTGAGTACTGAGAGTGGATTGATAACACTGTTCTTCAGTTGTTGTGCTAAAGTTTTATAAGGAGAGGCAGATAGTTGTATGTGAATAGTTGTTTTGGTTGAGAAAAGATTGAATCGAGTGAACAACGATGATATAAGTTTGAATAACTCTTTCGAAACCAAACCAATAGAGAGCAGCCATCGGTAGTTTGAACAAAGTTGATTTGTATTCAAAATCAAATCGATATTATGATGCCAGAGATCACGAATGATTCGATAGATGATCAATGTTGGCAATCGATATTCAACAGTTCCACGATGATACTTTTCGATTGAGTTGTCTGTAACCAACTTTGATTTCAAATCAATAAGATGTTCTTGATGTTTAATGATCGCATCGATAAGCATATCTTTCTTTAAACCACTATGTTTTAATGAGTATTCTTTCATTATCTCTACCAAGTCATCTCTCTTCATATTATTAAGTTCATCTTGATTATATATTTTCTGTTTATCTAATATCTCTTTTGTTGTCATCTTATCTTATTTATTGTTATAATTCACGTATTAAAATATAACAATCATCATTAATTTGATTTTAACATATCATTTATATTGTTTGTCAAATTAATGAATGAAAATAAAATTATTGAAATAATGAAGTTCCATTATCATTAAATGCTTTTTTTTCAAAATTTTTTAAAAACATTGAAATGTTTTCTTGTTTGTCGACATTTTTCGATTCTTTTGCTTGAACAGAAAATTAATTAACAAAAGTTAGATTACACAAAAAAAAAATTAACTTAACAATTTAGGTTTTAAAAACAAATTATCTTTGTTGTTCATCATGTAAACTTTGCTTCCATTGGTATAAATATTATGATCTAATAACTTTTTTGTTGTCATCTTTTCTTTTAAAAGATAAAAAAATATAAACTATTTTGTATGTGGGTATTACTATGATAAGTTTTTTTTTTACCAATTTATAAATATTATACAAATGATCTTACAAGTTGTAGCATTGTTCAGACATGAATCCGCCAATCTAAAGAAACTATTTAAAGAGAGGCAACATGTTAAAAGTCAATTAAAGCTAGTGTGAAAAACAAGTGGTTCGATATGTCAATTGTTTTTTTTTTTTTTTAGTCGCCACAAACTATTTATAAATCTGTCATTTATCTTGATAGTAAATTTGAAAATCTGCCAATGGTGGATTTAATAAAGAAAAATACATTAAAGATAAAGAAGAGGGTAACAAAATAAAAAAAGTAAGAATAATAATCGAGTATGTATTCGCTACAATGAAGAAGTAGGTGTTCGGTCAAGTCCACATTTGTTATGTGATCATTTAAAATCTTTCTTAAGTATGGTCTTTACAAAATTAAATAATCTTTGTTTATTTTTATAACTATATTACGGCAAAAATATATTATTTATGAGGGTTATTATAATCAATTGAATTCAATTCCATCAAGAACGAAAAAGGGTTATACACAGAGTTGTATAGCTTGGTTAAATCTTCATTATTGTTGGTATATACCAGCTTAGTATAATATAAAAACTTTAGATTTGGATGAGTTGCTTCGATTACTAGATTGTCATCGGTATTGTCTGAGACATCGTACATTTTTTTGGCATAGGTTGCTATTCTACCCATACTAACATCAATGTACTGATATTTCGACTTGATGAGAATATAGCCAGTTGGACTCTCTGTCTTTGTGTAATTCATTGATTGATATCCATAGCTGTGGAAGATGATTCGTTTGACTCCCGGTGAAATCATAGCTACCTTGTATGTTGCCTCCAAATCCTCACCGATGTCTAGTGTTTCTATCGTTCTATTGGTGATGAGCATTTTCTTGACCCAATCACTACAGTTATTTGAATAGAATGTATTTATTTTACATTCAGGTGAACACAACAGTTTGGTCAGTTGTTCTTTAACATCCATCGATTGTATATCTCTTACTATAAACTTGGTGATATTCTTGAGTTGGTCACTGATTACTTTCATTTGTTCCAACATGAGTTCTGATATGCCAAATGTACTAATCTCACTGCCAATAGAAAGGATATCGCTGTTATTACTTATGAATTGCGGCAATTTCAATCTCCGAATGGTACTCGGTATGATATGTGTTAACTCTTTGATTCTGTTGATTCGGACACTTGTTATGTCGAGTGATGTCAATCGTGGTAGTTGTCCAAGCATTTCAAATACTTTGCGATTATCGGCGGTCATTCGATTGAGTACCAATGATTCTAGATTCGGCATGTATTGAATAAGCACTTTACAATGTTGAATTTGAAATGGCCTGCTATCAAGGTATACGCTTGACAACTTAAACTTCCTTACGTTGTTGAAGATAAGATTTAATTGCAATGGTGTAATTAGATATCAGTTTGAATATCTCTTTGGAAACCAGAGCAATAGAGAGCAGCCATCGGTAGTTTGATTTAAGATCATCTGTATTCAAAATGTAGGTGATATCATCACGCCAGAGCGAACGAATGATTCGATAGATGATCAATGTTGGTAATCGATATTCAACAGTTCCACGATGATACTTTTCGATTGAGTTGTTCGTTATTAACCTTGATTTTAAATAATCGAGATTTTCCTGATGTTTAATGATCGACAAGATTAGCATTTCTTTATGTAAACCATTATGTTTTAATGAGTATTCTTTCATTATCTCTATCAACTCTGGTCTTTTCATTTGTTCAAGATTATCTTTTTTATATTCTTTATGATAGAATTTCTCTTCTTTTGTTGTCATGTTTTCTTATTTAACTATGTATGTATATAAAGAGTAAAATTTAACTAAATCTTTATAAAGATGTTTTTTGTGCACAAAAAATTGACTATGAATATATTCTGAAGTTCGATAAAGAAAATCAAATGAAAACAAACCAAAAAAAAATATAATAAAACTAACTATAAATAAAATAGTTCTTTAACTATTATCTTTTTTTGGTTTTTATTTATTGAAAAGATTTTTTTTGTAATAAAAATGGTATTTTCAGCTTGCGAATCGATTTACTAAAAATATGTGGGGTATCCTGCAATCTGTTTAAACGTGTCAGTGTCAGTGATTTTATATTAGGCATCTATTTCATGATCGATTTATATGGTTGTACATATATATATTAATTACAAAAAAATTATGATTATCAAATACTTTTATTTTATTAAAGATAGTAAGAGTAAAATGAGTTTAGAGGTGCTTTTTCTTTTAAAGTCAATTCTACATCCCTTGAAACATTATACCTCCTTTGGAACAAAATATAAAAATTTGATATTTGGATATGTTGCTTCTATTGTTTTATTGTCATTGGCGTTCTGAGAAGCATGGTAGATCTTCTTGGCATAGCATTTCTGTTGGTGTACATTTCTATTTTTAGATTTGTAGTGTACATATCCAGTTGCTTGTCCGATCTTTTGTTGATAGCTATCATTTGGGAAGAAGATGCTTTTCAAGAAAATAAATAGTTTGATCGATGTTGATTTCAATGATGCTTTGAAGGTGGTCTCAAGATCATCTGTGATATCGAGTGTCGTTATTGTTTGGTTCTGACCAAGCACCTCATCTATCCATTTACCATTATGTACATAGAGAGTATTAACTTTACAATCTGGTGAACATAACAGTACTTTCAAGATCTTCTCAGCCTCCGAGCTGATCTCGTTGAAAAATATGAGTTTGGTGATTTGCTTGAACTGACTATTGATCATTTGACAATCTAATCCTGATAATCCTAATGTTGTAATTCGATGGGTGTCTGAAAGTTTGAAATTATGAACAATTGGAAGTTTCAACTTTTGAATGGAACTAGAAATCATTTCAATAGAGAAATCAAGTTTGAAGAATATAGTGAATGACAAGTCGAGTGATGTCAGTTTGGGTATCTCTTTCAGCAACTCAAATAAATTCTTGTTGCTGTCAATGCCAATCGGTATTGTAGGAAGGGTCAGTGATTCTAGATTTGGCATATGTTGAATAATCGATTTACAATGATCATCTTGAAACATTACGTAGTTTTTCAACCGTAATGTTCTTACTCTGTTGAAAATAAGACCAATTTCAACCGATTTATATGTTGTTCTGTTGATGATTTCTACGAAAATGCTCATCGATAATGTCAGATGACTGATATTCTTGAGAATCGAGAACCTACTGGCGACACTGTTCATGAGATGTTGCGAAGGATTGTTAGATTGGAAATCTGCAGTATTTACATGTGCAAAGCGAGTGAACAACAATGATATCAGTTTGAAGAACTCTTTTGAAACCAGAGCAATAGAGAGCAGCCATCGGTAGTTTGAGCGAAGACAGTGTTTGCCTAAAGAAAAGTAGATATCATCATGCCAGAGATCACGAATGATTCGATTGATGATCAATGTTGGCAATCGATATTCAACAGTTCCACGATGATATTGCTCCATAGAGTTGTCTATCACTAACTTTGACTTCAAATCGATGATTTGATCTTGATATTTCTCTATTAGTTCGATCAATTTCGGTTTCGTTTTACGTATCTGTAATCCATGATATTTAATAGAGTATTTAACCATTAAATTCTCCAATTCCTTTCTATTCATATTCTCAAGTTCATCTCTACTAAATAATTGTTGTTGATCTAATATCTCTTTTGTTGTCATCCTTTTATTTGTAATTGAATTGAATTGTATTTTTTGTAAAAAAGATTTGTTGTTTATCACACAAAAATGATATTTTAAAAAAATCAAAAAAAAATAAATCATTTCTTCAAATAAACAATCTGAAAATCTATTCAAAGAATTATTTAATTAAATATTTATTAGTTTTATTACAAATTGTAGAGCAACAGCTTTTAGTAAAAAGAGAATAACAAATAAATATTTTATGTGTAAATTCGTTTAATTTCATTTTATTTGGAATGTCGCAGCTGTTATGCTCGCTTGCATGCAAAGTTCGTAAACTCTATACCACTGGCAGTAAAGACTAGGTGGTAACGCTGCTTGAAACCAATCGGACTACCATCGAAACTCTGGATTTAGGTGAAGATTGTTATTTTACAATGGTAATAATATACAAATATATATATATATATTTATAATACTTAAAACTTTGATATAAAATTAGGAATTACTTTTAGGTATAGTTTTGGTACGAGAAATAAGGTTTTAATAAATGTAATAAAGTTTAGAGATATAATTTACGGTATAAGATTTAAAGAAAATAATTTTTTTGATTTACAATTAGAAGATAAGAATAATAATATTTGATAGTGTTTAATAAATGTTGGATAATAATTTTTCCAAAGTGGTATTTATTCTATTAGATTTCTTCGACCAGGCAGTTGCTTAATCTATTGTTGATTAACAAATTTGGTATTCATTGTAGATCTTAATTTTGGTAGATTGATATTTTTTTTGATTCACTGAATGTTGATATTATTCGAATATTTAATTATTCTTTAACAGTCGGAGTATTAACTTTAGTTATTTTTAATCGAGTCAATAAACTGTTTGAATTATGATGGTTGAATTCTTAATAATTTCATCTTTCAACACCTATCCCTACTATAATGGCGGCAACGATCATTACGAATATTCAAAGACCAATAGAAATACAGCTAGAGGGTATGCACATATCAAATCGAAAAAAACCGACCTATCATTAACCCGTTCAGAACAATCAGAACGTAAGCCAAGAGTATCTACGGCTTTTACTAATATTTAGTTATTGTTTCTTTGTAGTACTGCAAGAAGAATAGAAAGACTATATTTACACACAAAAAAAACATATCTCCACAAAAACAACAAAAATAGTACAGATGTTTTTTCAGGTATCTGACTTTGACAATTTTTTGGAGAAGAACCTATTTTTGTTTTTTATCATAATCAATTTATAAAACTTGATTAATTTTTAAGAAAAACAATTTACTTTTTTCTTTGTAGCACTGCAAGAGAATCAAATACAATAGAAAATATTCAAAAAAACTCAAATTACTCGTTTTTAAAGTCAAATTTGCAGGTAGAGTTTCTTTCTTACTATAAATAACCTTTGATATACAAATTAATTTAATTTGTGAGGTTGTTGTCTACACTGTATTTTTAATTGTGGTTTTTTTTTTTGCACAGCTTTTTTTTTGTATTCACCGATTGATTATTGATTCTCAAAATACACAAAAGCTATGCAAAATTTTTTATTAATTTTTTTTTGGGGGGAGGCATAAAATGAAATTACACAAATTGTTTATAAAACTATTTGAATCTTGTTTATTATTAATTTGTAAAACAAAATCAAATATTTTAAGGATGGTTCATTCTACACCAAAAAAGGTAAATCAAAACTAATTATTCTATGGTTTAAAATATTTATATGTTCAAAGGGTAAATTATTCTTTAAAATTTCATCCAAAAATGAAAACAAATATTTATTTCTTAACTATTCTATATATTTTTATATGTATCAATTATATTTCATGTCAAATATATTACACCAAAACAGAAGCCATAATTACTGATCCCAATTTAGATTACTCTCAGGTTGAAAATGTGTATATTAGCAATTTAATATTATATCGAAATGAATATGGAGCAATCAATAAATCTGCATTACGAATTCCATTAACACCTGAAAATCTAAAAAGATCTTATTCCACTCTGGCTATCCATTTTTCAAATTTTCTTTATAATTCTCAATATTTTACTTGGTTTCCTTATGTTTTATCATCTATTGGTAGTGTCCCAACTGAAGGAGGAGATATTACAATAAATGGATATTTTATTAATAGAACAAAGTCTTTTATCATATTGGGTGATCAAGCATTACCTCCTATCAATGCAACAATAGATTCAGCTATTTTGAAAGCACCAGAATTTAATCATTTAAAACCAATTTATAATATAAAGACTCATTTTCAACCTTGTGGTGTTTTTCCTTGTCCCAATTTCAATTGGAGTGTGAAAGGTAAAGTATTGATAATAAATAGAAAACTATTAATATTGAAATATTAATTTATTATTTTATTAGATCCTATTATTTACTCTGCAACTTTGACAAGTAATATTAATCGATTAATCATTAATGGTAGTAGTTTCTGTACAAATAAAAATTGGATCACATGTAATATTTATGGATATAATACACCTTCTTCTCCTCCAATTATTGAATTTACAAATCATACTGGTTTAGTATTAGATATTTCTTCATTGTCAAATGAATTCAAATATGCAGGTTTGAAACTATTAACTTTGACTATCAATGATCCACATAGTAATGTTTCTAGATCTACAACTTCGAATATGCCAATTGGTAAGTTTTTAAATCATTTTTAATCTTAATTATTGGTATATTAATTATTAATTATTAATTTCAAATTCATTAGAACCTATAATTACTAAAACAACAACAACTTCAAGTGATCTTGGTGGACCAGTTACAATTTCAGGTGATTTATTCGATTCAGTTAATTCTTTTGGTTTTAAAACAATCAAAACGATTCAAATTGGATCACAATCATGTTTGAATGTTGTTGATCTCTCAGTTTATAGTAACTCATTCATTTGTCAACTTGGACCAATTTCAAAGATGTCAAACAATCAACAATTCACAAATATTCCAATTCTTGTTACAATTGAAGGAGCAACATCAAACAATTCAACTATATTATTCAATTATGATGTTCCTTCAATTTCAAATATTTATCAAAATGGAAGTAAAATCTATTTTGAAGGTGAACTCTTGGGATATTCTTCTCAAATTTCAAAAACATGGATCTCAGTTTCAAATTCAACAATGATAAATAATTCATTTGTACCAACTCAAATCGATATCGAATCATTACCACTTGTATCTAATAGATCATCAGTTAATAGAAAATGGATTGTTCAATTTAGAATTCCAAATAATTTCAAATCAGGATTATTTAATTTTTTCATCAGCAATCATAACAATCAATTAATATCAAACTCTGTTCAACTTTCAATCAAAGCAGATATAGGTGAAATATCTACACCACAAACCAAAGGTGATACTCTTACTATTTTTGATGCTCTATTTGGAAATCCAATATCAATTAAATTCACAAACAGACCTGATATCAAAAATACATCGAATCCGATGTTGATTGATTCATCAACTATTATTGTGAATATCTCCTGGATCTGGTCAGAATATTTATTTGGAATTGAATGTTAATGGTGTTATTACTTCAAAATCATTCAGATATCATGGTATGTAATTTAAAAATATCAAAAGTAGTGTAAAATAACAAAGTAATTGATTTAATTAATAGAACCTACAATAACAAGTGTAACTCCAATTTCAAGACATGGAGGTGTAATAACGATTTCTGGATCAAATTATGATGTTAATAACACATCAGTATTTATATTCAATACTATTGGATGTAATACTACCACAATTGTAAACGATACAACAATATATTGTCAAGTAAAATTGAATGGTTCAGACACTTTGAAATTTGGAGAGAATCTAAATGTCACTATTATTGTCAATACTCAGATTGTAATCAGTTCAACACTAAACATTACATCGATCACAGGAGGACAAGAAACAAATATTCTTCGGATTGTACTTCCAATTGGTATTATCACTGGTCTATTTATTTTGATTACAATCTCTATCATCACAATACTATATATTAAGAAAGAAAGAAAAAGAAAAGAAGTCTCCAATTTTTAACATTTGAGAAAATCAAGTCCTCAACAACCCTTTTGAAACCAGTCCAACGTCAAGACCACCACATTTAACATACCAAAAATATCATGGTTTTTTATTATAAAATGTGATTTTTTAATATCTACCAATAAAGTTTATTTCTATCTTTTTTTTAAGATATTATTATTTTAACTCTTTTCTCTTAGATTTTAGAATTTCCTCGTTTGATTCATACTATACTTTCTTCTAGGAACAATGAGGATGATATTCAATAGCAACTATTTAAATAGATCAGATTCTAGACTTTTTAATTAATCATTAATTAAATTAAAAAGTGATTCATTTTTGTTATTTTGGTTCATAATTTAACAATCAAAATAATCCTGTCAATCGATTGAAAGGTCAACACAACAAATTGTAATCAAGTATTGACTATTAATTGGTAATTCCCAATAACTTTAAAATTTTATTAAGTATAGTCTTTAAAATAAATTGAACCAACAATCATCTAATTGAAAACAAATTATTTTTATTCTCTATTTCTCCTCTTATATTTCTCAAAAAAAATTTAAAAATTACACACACCTATATTGATGATTAATAAAAAAAATTATACATGTGTGGGAGTGTGTTCAAATAAAAAGTGGGTGAACAGATAATTTTGAATTATTTGTTTAATTTAAAAAAAAATATTATTATTATTATTCAATAAAAAAGATATAAAGATATATTATTAAAATGATATTTAATTTTATTTAAAACTATAGACTTTTTCCTAATTAAATTTATTCTTATTTATTTTAATTAATATTTTAATGGACCATGAAGAGTAATAGTAAAAGTCGATTTTCATATATATCTATATTATTATTTATTAATTTTATTAATATTATTCAATCAAATCATCTAAAATTTAATACCGATGGTAAACTTAAAATAGTAAATATTTGATTGATTGGTTTTTTGGTGTTTTGATTAAATTTTGACATTGATATTTCTTTTTAATAGATACAGTTTACAGATCTTCATTATGGAGAAAACATAAAATATGATAAATTAAACTATGAAGCTCAAAGTATGTTATTTTATTATTTCTTGAGAATTTATCTTCATTGATAGTAAAATATTAAACTTTTATAAATCATAGATAAATTATTAGATTATGAAAAACCAGATTTTGTTATGTTATCAGGAGATATGATAAGTGGATACAATAAAAACTTTTATAGAGATCAATCAAAATATCACACAATTTGGGATATCTTAACGAAACCAATGAGAGATAGAAATATTCCGTATGTATAATCATTATATTCATTTTTAAGTTTGTATTAATAAAATAATATAACAATTATATTTAAATAGATGGGCAATTACATTTGGAAATCATGATGCAGAAGTAAGAATAAGTTATAAAATAGTATATTAATATAATAAGAATAAATAATTAACAAAAATTGGAATACAATTAAAAATGGTAGGGACCTTACTCAAGTTCTCAAATTGTAGATTTAGATATGTCTTTTAATGGAAGTCTGACGAGACATGGACAAATTAAAAATGGTGGAGAAACGAATTATGTTATACCAATATATTCATCTAATTCCTCTGTAGACATAGCTTCATTAATTTATATTTTCGATAGTGATAACTTTGGATGTGGAGATTCAGGTGATTGGGGTTGTATATACAAGCATCAAGTTGATTGGTATGAAGAAACAAGTGATCACTACAATAAGGTATGAGGTTAAACTTAACTAAATATTTTATAAATTCAATACTTTATTAATATTTTAATATAAACAAAGACACCATCTATAGCATATGTACATATACCACCAGTTGAAGTTATAGATCTATGGAATAATTTTGAAGTTTACGGAGATTTTGGGGATTCTGCCTCTTGCTGCTATCATACAAAGGAATCAAAGTTTATTGAAAAGATGATTAAAAGAGGTGATATCAGAGCATTGTATTTCGGACACGATCATAGAAATGATTATCACGGTGATTACTATGGTATCGATCTTGGTTATGGTAGAAAAACAGGTTATGGTTCCTACGATCCAAAGTATGCACAAGGTGCTAGAGTATTGGAGATTCAACAAGATCCTTTCAAATTTGTAACATGGATTAGAGATGTCCATGGAACAATCGATATTCAAACTTTACATACACCAAGTGTAAAATTACCAAGACATTGTTGTATAATAGGAGGTAAATAATATCATTATTATTGATTTTATTTTTAAAACATAAAACGAATAATCCTAACTTTATTTTAATTTTTCAAGAATCTTCTTTTAAATCAGATTGGATCAGTTATTTATTAGTTTTATCAGGAGTAATGATTGGAGTTTTCATCTTTCAATTAGCTAAAGTTTCAAAAATTAAAAATATAGATAAATAAAAAATACAATTAAAATTCTATTTATTATTTAAGAAGTGATCTATATTAAATGATATTTTAGTGTATATTTGTTTCATTATGTGGTTATTAATTTCATTACTTGCTTGATTCTATCTAAAAACCTTTTTTTATTGAATATTATACATGACTAAATACTTTCTAAACAATTGGATTCTAATTCTGTCAACACCATTGTTTGCTGATATTCTTTTATTATTGATGGTAAATATTGGAATAATAATGTTGACTATTATTTTTCTTTCGGATATTCATAAGTAAAAAAAGTTGCGATATGATATTTGTTTGTTTGTTTATATTTGTATTTTATTTGATATTAAATTCTGAATTTACTATTTACAAAGTTCTCTTATTAATAGTCTCCTAAAACTACTTAGAAAGAAGAAGCTTGACTTCCCAATCATTATGTCGTTATAATCGATTAGTCTTTAATACCTACAAAGAATTGCAAGAGAGATCAGAAGATGAAGTAAGTTTGACAAAAGTGATTTTTGTATTAGTATTAAAATTTATAAAGAATTTATGTGTTTGAATAATCACCAGCGCTCCGCTAATCATAAACTCTTACAATTAGTAAAAGTTTCAAATTAAAATTATAGATAAATAAACACTGTTTAGTTTGATAATTCTATTTTATTATAATTTTAATTTGATGGAGGAGTTAATGTATTAATATAATCAATGAATGTATTCCATTTCTTTGCCCATGAGGTAAGAGCAAGATTCTTTTCAGTATTGTTATAGTAGGCACTGTGCTTGAGTGAGTTGAGAACTAGTTGCTTGATTCTTAATAAATCGAGTCCCCATGCTGTAACTACTTCGTAAAAGTCATAGGTCAAACCAGAGTAACCGTAAATGGCAGGATCATCCGGTGAGATAGTGACTGGAAGTCCTTGGTTTAAAAGATCGAATGCTGGATGTGCACGGAAATTATTAACAAACTCTAAGATCTGGTTGGAGATGGGTGATACTTCGATTCCAATGTTGTTGTGCTTAACTTTTTGCATGAGGAGTGGGTGCTTTGAGAGTTGGATACCATGTCCGATACGCTTGCTATTCAAGAGAATGGCATCATACAAGTTGGTGTTATTATATAAAAGTGTTTCACCTGCATGGAAGTAGAAATCCAATGGATATTGTTTATCTGCACCCTTCTTTATAATATCCATAAACTGATCGATGAAATAAATCAATGGATAACCTTCGTCTTCCGGACCAACCAAATCATAACCAATAAAAATCTCTGGATATTGATTTCTTAATTCTAAAGCATATTCCATTTGGCTATAAACAAAACTAAATAAACAACTTTTAATTAATAAAAAGATGTTTCAGTAAATAAATAACAAATTAAATTTAGTAATTACCTTTGATTTGAATGTCTTGAATCACAACCAATTATTTTTAATGATAACTCTGGCATGTTGTATGCTACTCTATTTTTTTCAACTAATTGAATCATTTGTTGGGTGAACCAGGTGTCGTTGTAGGTGTTTCCATGGAGATCGTAGTAGTCACTGAAACATTTACGGATTTCTATGTGTTGGATGTTGTCTTCAATCGATTGGTTAATTAGATGCTGCATGTATCCAAGTGTAATAGGAACATATGTAATCAGACCAGAAACACTACCAAAGATACCATCAAACTTTCTCCAGAGGTTGACATAATCACCGTCGTCTCTTCCAATTAAAGTCAAGTTGGTAAGCAACATGTCATCGAAAGCAGTGACATTGGAAACCGCTGATTGACGATAATGACTGAGTAATACCCAATTGGAATCGGATGGCTGGCTTGCAAAGAAATGATAATCTCCATAGGCATGACCATTCACCGGATCACTACCCATATAGATATAGCAATTTGGCAAATAGGTTCCAACATCAATCAAGTAGTCATATGTGGCAGAACTCTCTTGGTGAATGTGTAAAATCGATCCTTTTGGTAATTTCTTTAATATACTATAAATTTGTGTCTTTTCAATTATTTCTTTTGCCTAAATAAATATAAATATAAATAGATAGATATAGATATAAATATTAATATTAATATTTTCGAATTAACTTGTACAAATTTAAAACTAAAAAATGTTACATTTTCATATTAACTTACATTAAAGAAATTGATTGCTGGTGGATCATTGTTTGACAATAATAACTCTTCGTATTGTAGAATCGATTTGAATATGGTGTTTGCACTTTGTTCCGAAGGAGATAAGTGAATGCCTGTGTTATCATCTTTTATTGCATTTTCAGCATCGCTTAATTTTTGCCGCTCATCAAGATATTGTTTAAGATCTTGAGCACTAACTACACTTATAAAAAATAAAAATACAGCAATTAATGCCGATAACTTTATAATTTTTAGATAATACATAATAATATAGATAGATATCTTTTTTGATTTAATGTTTTTTTTTAATAATAAATTGTTTAATATTATATCTTTTCCAAACAAACTAAACTTTTCTATTTCAAAAGCTCTATTTATTCAAGACTTCAATTCAGCTATCCAATGTGGGTTATAGCAATTTGAAATTGTTTCATCTTGTCTTGTTTTGTTTTTATTATAATATCATATATGCATTATAATATAATCGATTAGTCACAGATTTTAAAACAAAAAAGAGATTTAGGTTTTTTGTTCTAAAAACAAATAGAATCCTAACTTCTTTTTGAGCATCAAAACTTTGTTTTCGATTTAAACAAAAAATAAATATAATGACCTCACTAAATCGACTGTATAATATAAACAATTCGAATCTATTACAGATATTATCATATTACAAACCACACACACGCTCACACACAAAGTAAAAATCCTTTGTTTAAAACATTACCAAATTCCTAATGAATTATCCTTCTTGACACAAAGTAAATATAAACATATATTTACTTACAAATTTCCTGTTTTTCACACCACTGTGGGGGTCAAATTCCAATCTCTATCACTTTTTTATTATTATTTTTGGGTTAACTTTTTTTTTTTATCTTTTATATCTATTTTCTTTAGTGGTTATATGTTTCTAGAATGATTTTATTTGAGGTTGGCATCAATGTTTTAAAATAATAAAAGATCTTATATATGATTAATTCCCTTCTTCATTATTATTTTTTACTAACAAAACATCATAAAGATATAATTTATATAGTGATAAAAATAAGAACTCTAATGAATGCGAAAAAAATAAATAAATAAATCTTTTTTGATCATAATTATTCGAATTCGGATAGTTTTTTTGTGTCCAAAACCTATTTTTTATTTTTACATTTTTTTGTTTTTAGTCATTTTTGAACTTCAAAATAATTACCAGGCAGTTAGTTAGCGGGAAATCATTTATTTTTGAAAATCATTGAATTGTTTTAATTGATTTTTAAAGGTTGCCCACATCCAAATTAAACCTAAAAGAAAAAAAAAAGTATTATTTATACATTTGTATCTTTATCTTTTGCATGGTATTAGTATTATAATTTCTTTTTTTTATTTTTTATTAATCTATTAGTAATAAAACTAATAAAATAGAAATTATTAAAAACAATCTAACAATTTTACAGGATTCAACATAAAGGTATATTGTTGATTTATTGTCAGAAGATCAACTGAAATTCAATGTTTTATCACTCTCATTGATATCTCATTATTTGTTTAATATAATTGCTAAATCGTCTCTTAGAATATCAACAACACAACACCAATCTAAATTCTTTTTAACTTTCCTAAATTATTTAAATATTCTCTTTTAAAATTAAATAATAGTAATAATAATAATAGTAATAATAGTAATAATAGTAAAAGTAATAATAAAATTTAAAAAATAACATTTAATATCAGTAAACTTACACTGAAATATCAATACTTTACCAGAGTTTCAGAGAAAGCCAAGGAAACAATTTTATTTGATTGCGCAGAGGAATATAAAGATGCAATACAACGTTATTGGTCATTCGATTCGTTGACAGTTATAGATTTACCAACCACTGAGGATTTAAAGAAACTCAGTACCGAGTTTCATCAATATATATATTATTTTTACAGTAGTCTTGACTTTCTGATTGTTGGAAGAATTGATGATTGGTCTTTATTTTCAAATATCGAGGTTCTAACTATTTGAGATGGCCTGCATATCAAATAGAAGTCATTAGAGATGAGCCAGCATACCAATCACTTTCATCACTCTCACTCTCGTTACAATTCAGACACAAATCACCTTTTGCGATCCGCAAAAACTGTAAAATCGATTCCAGAATATTCGATCACTTGAATTGAATCATTATCATATGAGTGCTTCTACTTTCGATGAAGTACCAATAGATCTATCAAAGTTGTTTCCAAATATCGAAAGTCTCAAGCTGAATCATATCTATCATAGGTTGGCCAGAGCAACCAAGACAGGACCTTTGTTCGAACCAAAATCAATACTATCGAGACTGACCGAATTTCGACATCTCTCCATCACCAACGAGGAAAAGACAACTAATAACCAACAAACCAATCGATCCTTCCTCACCGAGTATCTCACAGAGAATAGTACAACATCAACTGTTTTCAAACTAGATATTGCATCGATAGGACATCGATTGGAAACAATCAAAATCATAGGAGAAGTATCGTTGTTCAATCAACTTTTCTCAGTGATCGAACAACTTGTTTGTCTAAAGAGATTGTCCATTCCATCGAAAGAACTCAGTCTTTCCAATCTTAAACTTTTACTTCAGTCAACATCGCTTGTTCATCTGACTACTTTATTAAAGAGTAAAATGCCGATCATTCAGAAATGAACAAACTAAGTAGTACGTTAGAATACTTCATAAAGAATAATACAAACATTAAATATTTGAAAGTATGTGATTATGCAAAGAAAGAAGGTGAGGAATCTCTATTGCTTAATCTATTGGAGGTGAGTAGCGGCTTTCAAGATATCAGATTTATTTGTTATAAGACAACATTGCAACAGCAGATAATCAACAACTTTACACTCCTCAATAATGTAACAGTGTCATTCATCAATGAATGTAAACACAAACAACCAAAACAGACAACCAAGCCATTATCTACCTGTACCGATGATGGAACTACCACAATTGTTTCCTTTGATTAAAATTTGATTTAGAACAAAAACATATGTTCTCATCATTATTATTTTCCTAAAATCAATGTAATATAATGCTAATTGTAATGAAGCGATAAAATAAATAATAAAATAAATTAACAAGTGTTCAATTTTTTTTTAATGATAGGCTGTTTTTCACAATTCTTTTCTAAGTTTTTGCAATAGAGATTAAAATAAAACTCCCTAATGTTCGAACGCATTCTGACTTTTGATAATCATGATTTATTTTTTTTTTTGTTTAATTTCTTTGAATTGTTTTTGCTGGTGGTCATATCTTAGGTTGCAACACCAATTACTTTACTTAAGTTACTTTTGATTTGTATTATTTTTTTATTTCTTTTTTAAGAATGGGACAATCTATTAGTAATAATAAAATTATTAGTAATAAAAAGTGTACAATAGAAATTATTAAAAACAATCAAACAATATTACCTGACTTAATATGGAAGTATATTGTTGATTTATTGTCAGAAGATCAATGTAGTTATCATCAACTGAAATACAATATTTTATCACTCTCATTGATATCTCATTATTGGATGGTCAATATAATTGCTAAATCATCTCTTAGAATATCAACAACACAACACAAATCAAAATTCTTTTTAAACTTTCCTAAATCATTTAAATTATCTCTTTTAAAATTAAATAATAGTAATAATAATAGTGAAAATTTCAAATTTTATATTAGTAAACTTACTTTGAAGTATATGCACCATTATATTATAAATAAGAAAAACAGAATAGTACCAATTGAAATTGATTGGATGAAGGAATATAAAGAAGCAATACAATGCTATTGGTCATTCGATTCGTTGACAGTAATAGATTTACCAAACGATCAGGATATACTGAAACTCGGTGTTTTTTCAACAATCAGAAAGTTTAGAATCTACAGCAATAATAATTTTACGATAATTGATTGGTCTTTGTTTTCAAATATCGAGGTTCTCTCAATTAGAAATAATTGTAGATCATATGGAAGACCTTTCATCCTGCCCAATAAGGAAGAGACCGCATACCAATCACTTCGATCACTCTCACTCTCTTTACAATTCAACCACAAATCACCATTAACGACTCGAACAAATGGTATAATCGATAAAGATATCAGTGAATTAAGTTTCAAGAATATTCGATCACTTGAATTGAATCATTATCATTTTGACAATATGACTGCTTCTACTTTCGATGAAGTACCAATAGATCTATCAAAGTTGTTTCCAAATATCGAAAGTCTCAAGCTGAATCATATCTATCATAGGTTAATCGGTGCAGCCAATAGAGATTCATTGGTTGAACGGAAATCACTATTGTCAAGACTGACCGAATTACGATATCTCTCCATCACCAACGGCGAAAAGATTTATAATAACAACGAAACAGATAATCCCTTGCATGAAGAGTATCACTCAGAGTACAGTCTAACTTCATCTGTGTTCAAACTCGATATGGCATCGATCGGTCATCAATTGGAGACAATCAAGATTAAAGGAAAATTCTCATTGTTTGATCAACTTTTCTCAGTGATCGAACAACTTGTTTGTCTAAAGAGATTGTCAATTCCTTCGAAAGAACTCAGTCTTTCCAACCTTAAACTTTTACTTAAATCAACATCGCTAGTTCGTTTGACCACTCTTTTAATGGGAAATGTTGCTGAAGATCGTTCAGAAACAACCAAACTAAGCAATCAAGTGTTAGATTATTTCATAAAGAATAACAAAAACATTAAATACTTGAAAGTATGTCGATATAGAAAGCAAGAAAGTGAAGTATCTCTATTGCTTAATCTATTGGAAAAGAGTACAGGTTTTCAAGATATCAGATTTATTTGTTATAATTCAGAGACAACCAACAATTTTACACTCCCCAATAATATAACAGTGTCATTCATCTATGAAAGTAACTACAAACAACCAAAAAAGGGAACCAAATCCGACTATCTGTATGATACTATGACGATGGTAGAGTCATAATGATATTTCGTAATCTAATTTTATTTGTTATTTTCGATTTGTTTGACAAAAATAATAATAAAATTATTTCTTTTAAGAATAAATATATTTTAACGATTTTTATAAATTTTATCAAAGACAATTTAAAAATCATTAAGCTTCAAGTTTTTTTTTGTACCACAAAGATAATCAAAACCTGCACATCTTTTTGTTTTTTTTAAGGAATGCGATGTTAGTGTGTGTTTGATGTAACCAAGTTTTATTTTGATTTCTTTTATTTTTTATTTTCACTCCAAACTTCTTAAAAATATAACAAAAAAGTTACTATTTTTTTTTTTTTTAATTTTAAGAATGGGACAATCTATTAGTAATAGTAACAAAATCAGTGATAAAGAGTGTACAATAGAAATTATTAAAAACAATCAAACAATATTACCTGACTTAATATGGAGGTATATTGTTGATTTATTTTCAGAATATCAATGTAGATATCACCAAAACGATTTCAATGTTTTATCACTCTCATTGATATCTCATTATTGGTTAGTCAACATAATTGCTAAATCATCTCTTAGAATATCAACAACACAACACAAATCAAAATTCTTTTTAAACTTTCCTAAATCATTTAAAATATCTCTTTTAAAATTAAATAATAATAGTAGTAATAATAGTAATAATAGTAACGAAAATATAAAATTTAATATCAGTAAGCTTACTTTGAAATATGAAAAGCTTTATAAATTTACAAAGAAAGACAGATTAGTACCAATTGATATTGATTGGATGAAGGAATATAAAGAAGCAATACAATGCTATTGGTCATTCGATTCGTTGACAGTAATAGATTTACCAAGCGATCAGGATATACTGAAACTCGGTGTTTTTCCAACAATCAGAAAGTTTAGAATCTACAGCAATAATAATTTTACGATAATTGATTGGTCTTTGTTTTCAAATATCGAGGTTCTCTCAATTAGAAATAATTGTAGATCATATGGAAGACCTTTCATCCTGCCCAATAAGGAAGAGACCGCATACCAATCACTTCGATCACTCTCACTCTCTTTACAATTCAGACATAAATCACCATTATCGACTCGCACAAATGGTATAATCGATATAGATATCAGTGAATTAAGTTTCAAGAATATCCGATCACTTGAATTGAATTATATTCATTCTGACGATATGGCAGAGAATTCTTTCGATGAAGTACCAATAGATCTATCAAAGTTGTTTCCAAATATCGAAAGTCTCAAGCTGAATCATATCTATCATAGGTTGATCAGAGCAGCCAATAGAGATTCATTGGTTGAACGGAAATCACTATTGTCAAGACTGACCGAATTACGATATCTCTCCATCACCAACGGCGAAAAGATTTATAATAACAACGAAACAGATAATCCCTTGCATGAAGAGTATCACTCAGAGTACAGTCTAACTTCATCTGTGTTCAAACTCGATATGGCATCGATCGGTCATCAATTGGAGACAATCAAGATTAAAGGAAAATTCTCATTGTTTGATCAACTTTTCTCAGTGATCGAACAACTTGTTTGTCTAAAGAGATTGTCAATTCCTTCGAAAGAACTCAGTCTTTCCAACCTTAAACTTTTACTTAAATCAACATCGCTAGTTCGTTTGACCACTCTTTTAATGGGAAATGTTGCTGAAGATCGTTCAGAAACAACCAAACTAAGCAATCAAGTGTTAGATTATTTCATAAAGAATAACAAAAACATTAAATACTTGAAAGTATGTCGATATAGAAAGCAAGAAAGTGAAGTATCTCTATTGCTTAATCTATTGGAAAAGAGTACAGGTTTTCAAGATATCAGATTTATTTGTTATAGTGCCAAAGACAACCAACAATTTTACACTCCTCAACAATGTAACAGTATCATTCATCAATGAAAGTCAATACAAACAACCAAAAAAGAGAATCAAGTCCTCCTATCTGCCTGAGCCTGTGACGATGGATGGGTTAATACATTTATCTGATATTTCGTAATCTAATTTTATATTCCCATTTTCGAAATGTTTGATAAAAAAATTATTTCTTTTAAGAATATATTTAAACTTTACAATAATAAATAATATTACCAATCTTTGATTTTTACAAATTTTTTCAAAAACATGCAAGATCCTTGAATTTTTGTTTATTTAAAAAATAAATTTAAAAAAAAAATTCAAAAAAAAAAAAAAAAAATCTCTTTTAAAAAAAAATATAAAGAAGATTCTGCTTTGGTAGCCAAAGCCTGCCACGCTTTGCAAAGATGAGTGTTTTAAAAATCTTTGATTATTTTTCAAAGATAAGAATCTTTGGAGAACTTAAAAGTGTTGGTAACCAAGAGAATTAATCTTTTGTTTTTAAGAAAAACAAATGTAAATATAAATGACTCTAGAGTAGTAACACTTTCTATTTCAGTTTACAAAACAATAAATTCAATATATTTATATAAATAATAAATAATGTCAAATATTAAATCGATTACCTTTAAAATTACAGATAATTTCAGTGATGTCAATCTAGCTAATCTACCTGAATTCAACCATTCACAACTAAACGTAGATACAGAGAAAGAAGGAGAGACTCCACCAACTATCTCAGTGTTGAGAACCAGCGTAGCACCGTCTGACAACCCGGAGGAGAAACATTTGTTCAACAGAAACAACTCGTTTATCAACTCGTGCTTCGATGCATACTCGAGACACCACGGTTTGGTTATACGACCGGACGACATCTGGATTGCCATCGTAACACAATTCTCATTCTACATCAATGCATTCTCTGAGGAGTTGCGTAACAAAATAGTCGATTTCGAAGGTAAACGTAATTTGGATGTGAGCGTTAATGCTTCGCTCTTGGATGCACCCTACGATGAAATGACTCTGAAAATGACGGAATTGATTGCAAAGAACATCAAGGATCCAAGTCTCAGAGAATGGGCACTGCCTGCTTTCACTACCACCACCTACACTGACCGTGTCGTCGGCGCGGTCTGTCTGATGGCAACAATGAAAAACTACTTTAACTACTCGTTCTCACTCCTCTGTGGATTGCCATCGGTTACACTGCTCGGCTCCGAAGAAGATTGGAAACAACTCATCGATAAAGTTCAGCGTCTCAACGAATTCGACCTGGCCGAAACCAAGTATATGAGCAAGTGGACAGCGATGCTCAATCCAGTGCTCGACAAATTCCTAGAGTCCGTCAGAGGCAAACCCGATACCAATTGGTGGAATCAAATCGCCAATCACATTGGCGGTGGATCGGGACCGCGTTATCTCTCCGGTTGGATTACGGTGTTCAATGTGTTCTCACCGAAAGGCAAATGGTTCGGTGACGACAAACGCAAGAAACCCAACGGTAAGAGTTTCGACATCATGGGATTGGGACTGTTTGACCATCGTTCCGACTGGCCACTTGTCGACACCAACGACATCGCACCAGGTTACTCACAGCTCGACATCACGTTAAACGACCACGGTACACCACGCAAAGCCAAGATGTTCGCCGGTCACTACACAGTAAAAGTTCAAAACAAAAACACATTGATACCACAATTAAATTGGTCATTAACTTTATGTAACTCTGATATCGTTGTTCCAACTGAAAAAACATATCAATAAAGATTTTAAATTACCACACAAACTTTTTTTATTTATTTTTGATCATCTGATTGTCACCTACCCCTTCCAAAAATAACATTCATTAAAACGATATGAATTATCACTTAAAAAAACAAACTGATTTCAATCAATTGGATTTAATTATAAAACAATCAATCAAACTTGGTGTACATATTAATTTTATTATTTTTAAATTTTATTTATTACTAATATTATTATTATTATTATAGTAGGAACTTATACTTATTTATCTAAAAAATATGAATTTAACTACTAATAATGAATTTAGTATATCAATATTTTTATCACATTATACCATCATAATAAAAAAGTAAAAGGAATAATATTGTCCACATTTCGTTCGTTTTTTTTCACATTTTTTTAAAAATTAAAATTAATTATTTTTAATAATTTTTCAAATTAGATAAAAAGACGACGTTTTTTAAATCAGATAGATTAACCAATTTCCTTTTTAATATTTAATTATTTTATTTATTTATTTTATTTATTTATATATTTATATTAAAGAAAGAGAAGGAAAAGGAAATGAGTGCAAAATCTAAATTAAAATCAAAAACAACAGAAACATCAGCAACTTATAATGTTGTTAAAAAGAAGTCAACTGTTGTAAAACCAACAACAACAGCAACAACAATAACAACTAAAAAGACAACAACTACAAAGAATGAAGGTTTAGTAGGAAAATCAATTGATATAGAGATAAAAAAACATCAGACTCAAAATGAATGGTTAGATTTTAGCTATAGTCACGAAGGTGAGAAACTCTTTGGTAGAATACATGTCACTGAAGCAGAGGAGATAGATAATCCATTGGATTCAATTATGAAGCAATTGGAGGAGCGTGATATCAATACATTGAAAGCAACCGTTACCAGTGTAGATCTATTGAATCGATCGATTCAAGTGAATGCATTCGATCGTACCAATCTAAATCAACCAATTCAACCAGCAACAACAGCGACAAAGCAACAAAAGATTCCAGTTTGGTCAATCGGTAGATCTTCTAACCAATCGAACGATCTCATTGTTATTGTCAATAGAAATACCATTGGTCTAATCGATATCATGTCGAATTTCGCAACGGCCGACAGCTATTACCAATGTCTGAGAACACCTTTCAAACAGCTATATTGCCAGGCACAGAGTAGAATCGATGCCAATACCATTCGTTTGAAATTGGATAACACTAACGCCACCACCGCCACCACGCAGTTCAAGGTGGAAGTTGACAAGACAACCATTGCCATGGTGAAGCAAATCGGAACACTCTCAATGAAGTTGGTTCTGCCCGGGAATATGCCGGCCGAGTTAAAAGCAGTCGATGTCTCGCCGAACCTCTACACTCATCCATTCAGTATCTACAGTGAGGGTGACCTGCTCGATGTCAAGATTCTCAGTCGGTCAGCGACATCCGGTATCTTGGTTGGAACATGTGATCTCTCGACTAAATTCAATCCAATACACACAAAGAAACCGGAATTGAAAAGAAAACGTATCAATCTCAACACCACCACCGACACCACCACCACACCCGCAGCCAAAAACACCTTGAATTTCGCTGGATACGCCTATATCACTGCAATCTACAAGGATATGGTTCGTTTAATGTTATCTACCAATATGGATGGTGTAATGATGATGGAATCGGTACCAGAGTTGTTCCGTCCGTATCTTGCTGTCGGTCGACATGTTGCGGTGTGCGGACAACACTCTGCTGCTGCAGCGGACAAGTCAACGAATGAAATTCAAGTTACACTCAATCATAACAACTATAAAATCAATGAGAAGGATGTAGCTCTGCTGTCGGTCACTGGTTTCACCAAGACCGCTATGACTGTTTGCATCGTTGGCAATCCAAAGACACGTGGACTGATCTACCCGAATGGACTGGACGGACCGACCGCCGAGCAAGTACAAACGATTGAGCAGATTCAAGAGCAATACAAACCGGGCGATATCCTGATTGGTCGTTGCAAGAAGTTGAACACCCCAAAGAATCCACTGTACCGGTTCAGCGCAAAGGAATCCGACTTGGAGGGTGTCGATCTCGAGAAGGTGTCGCGTCCAACCTGGTCGGTGGAAGACGAACCCGATCAACCATATACAATCAACAAATATAAATCAGTGGATATCGAGTTGGTAAAGAGTCAATTGGAATCGATTGTAACAGAGACAACAGAATCAAATAAACCAGTACAAAAACCACAACAACAACAACAATGGGAGACAGCAGATTTCGAATCATTATCTAAAAAGAGAAAACAACCAGAGGAAACAACAAATAAGATTAAGATTACCAAACAGCAACAACAACAAGAGATTGAAGCAGAGGAAGATATCATTGAAGAAGATGATATCGTAGATGCTAAAAAGCATAAACAAGAGAAAAAGAAATCAAAACATCAAATTGAACAAGATATTAAAGAGGTAAGAATATCTATCAACAAAACAAACTATCTAAATATCACTAGCGATCGCTTTATTAACTTTAAAACATTTTAATCATTCAATATTAATAGAAAGAAGATTTACTATCAGATCATAATATACAACCAGAGAGTTCACAAGATTTTGAAAGAGTATTACTTGGTTCACCAAACTCTAGTTTTATTTGGGTTAAATATATGTCTTTTTATGTAAGTTTACAAAATATAATGAATGTTTGCTTGGTTTTATTTGTTTGTAATATATTTATTAATGTATATAATGTTTATAGTTGGGATTAAATGAAATACATAAAGCAAGAGAAATAGGTGAGAGAGCATTGAAAAAGATCATACCGACTGAAGTTTTAGAGTTGAGAAACGTTTGGATTGCATTGTTCAATCTCGAGAATATGTATGGCTCTAAGGATTCGTTGTTAAAGTTGTTCCAGAAAGCCATTCAATATCAGGATCCAAAGACTATGTACTTCTCGATCGTCAACATCCTCGAGGCCACCTCAAAGTTTGACGCCGAAGAAGAGTACTTTAAGATGTTCTTCAAGAAGTTCCGTCATTCCGCCAAGGTCTGGTGTCGCTACGGTGAGTTTTTGATACGCGCCAACAAGGTCGATCTCTTCCACCAGATATTGAAGCGTGCCACCGAGTCACTGCCGAAACGCAAACAGGTCGAAGTCATCTCAAAGTTTGGTCAGTTGGAATTCAAGCTGGGTGAAGCCGAGCGTGGTCGTACCATCTTTGAGGGAATGGTATCGAGTTACCCGACACGTACCGACCTCTGGAATGTCTATCTAGACATGGAGATCAAGCTGTTCAATGAGCATATCAAACAGCAACAAGACAGCAGCAACAACAACAGCATGACCAATCAACAACTACAACAACAACAATCGATAATCAAGAGAATACGTCAACTATTTGAAAGAACCATCACATTGAAGACATCGGATCGTAACATCAAACAATTCTTCAAGCGATACCTTCAGTTTGAGAAAGACAACGGTGATCAACAATCGATTGAACACGTTAAACAATCTGCACTTGCCTATGTAGAAGGTAACAATAACAACCAATAACAAATAACAACAACCAACAATAAATATATATTAAATAATCAATTATAATTTATAATTTTAAATGTTCAATTTTTTTTTTTTTTAATTTAATTTAATAATACTGGCGAAACGAAAAACATTGATGTTCAACAAATTTTCCACTATTCTTTTGAGACTTTGGGGGTTTTTTTCTAAAAAAAAAAATTTTAATTTTTTTTTTAGATTTAAATTAAAAATTTTGACTTAGTTAATTAATAATTTTAAATCTTCAATTTGTTTCATTGTCTTTCTAGTATTAAATATATTTATATATAACAATTGTTCTTTTCTCATAATATCAAAGAAGAAGAAGAAGAAGAAGTTAAAATCAAAAAAAAAAAAAAAGATAAAAAAAAAAGAACAGAAATATTTAATTCTTTTTTTGTTTTTTTTTATTACTTTTTTTATATTTTTAAAATTTTATATTATTATTAATTTATTTTATTTTATTTTGATGTGTTTTTGTTTTAAAGTTAAAAAAATAATAATAAATATATCTTTGTAGTAGTAAATATATAGTAAAATAGTAAAAAACTAGATTTGTTGTAATTTTAGAATAAGGGTTGGGATTGAAAAGAAGAAGAAGAAAGAGAGTTTGTGAGAGTACTCTTTTTAAATAAGATAGTAGAGTTATAATAATAGAATAATAATAATGTCACAAGAGTTAATAAGATCTTATATTGAACAATACTTCACTCAATTAACAAGAGGTTGTAGAGAGAATCTAAAGAATCATTCTCTTTATTGTTGTCATAATCCATGTAAGTATAATAATAACAATATTGCAACAAAAACGACAACAACAACAACAATAACAACAATAACAACAATAACAAATAGATATATTGTCGAATTGAATCGAATCGAATGCGAAATGGTTTATTGATTATTGTTTCTTTCCTATTTTGTCTATTATTATTATTATTATTATTATTATTTTAGTATGCACTAAAATAGCAGATCCTAATATAGCGGCAGTCAAGGCAATCGAATATGCAAAGAGTTTCAAAGAGAAATTTCTTTGTGCCAACCTAAAGAATGAAGAGAATCTAGTTTACAACAAGGATTTGGAATCACTGTTGGATTACTTCAAGCGATGTCAGCAAACCAAAGCATATCCCACCATCATCAAGTTTATTAAAGATTATTTCTCTGTTCCTTCTCGTGTAGATGAGATTATGGTTTCTGTAAGTTACATACAGCAGTAGCATTATATATAGATATTCACATATCATTCATACTAATAAATTAACTTTGGTTATTATTACTATTTTATTATTTAGAAATTATTGACATTGGAATCATTGGATATTGGTGATAAAAAGAAAACAACTACAACAACCACAACAACAACAACAACAACTACCACCACAACTTTAAATAGCAACAGCATTATTAACAAAAAGAGCAGTGATGCAATAATAACTCAAGATAAAGATAATTTTTACCATTTCAGAGGAATGAATCTATTGGAAGCTAGAGAGACTTTTAACTATCTTTTGTCACTGGATAGAGACGACATTACAAATGCAATCGTTGAAGCGTCTACAGGTCTGAGCAATGCATTAAAGTTTAATCCATCGACTTTGAATTCAGCTAATGCATTGAAACCAATCGTTTTTCTATTACAAGTAAGTAATTGTTGCTCAATAAGATATAGTAATAATATTATTAGTTATGTTATTAATCTCTAATCTATCTTATATCTATCTATTGTTATATAACAATTAAAACACAAACAGAACCCGATAATATATGATTTGGATCACACGAAAATATTTGAGAATTTATGTTATGCACTGTTTAATTTAGATGTTCCAATGTTAAATGTTTTAGAGGATTGGCTCATTAAGTAGGTTTTATTGTTGTTGATGATTAATCAATCATTTTCAAATTTACTGAATCTAAACAATTTGTTATTATCATTTTAGTTTTTCAAAGGATAGTTTCATTCAGACTCTAACAAACTTTGAACAGTTTATCTCTGTTCGATTGATGACCGTTGACGATGTTAAAATTGCATATGATAAACCAATCATTGGTGCATGTGCATTTCTTGAACTATTAAGTATGTTATTATCATTTTTATGCCAACAGGTTATATATCATTAGATATTTATTAACAACAATCTTAATATCTAAAAATGTGCAGATAATATCAATTTAACAAAAAAATATATTAGTTATAAAGAGTTTTACAATGATCTTATCAACAATAATTTGGATATAATCGTTGATTTTTCGAATTTTTCAAAGAGAACTGGATTTACATTTACAACCTATCCATTCATTTTGAATATCGATATCAAGAGTACCTATTTACAAATCGAGTATACATTACAACAAAAGAAACAAAAGGTATGATTATTATTATAATAACTTAAATATAATTATTATTTTGAAATTAACCTTTTAAAAAACTAATTAAATTATAGTCTGAATATTTGGTATTTCAAGTTCGTAGAGATAATATTATAGATGATGCTCTAAATAATGTAATGTTAAATATAATGCTCTTTTTTTTATCAATTTCTCAATATTAATTAACGATAATTCAATTCACACAATTCGTAAATTGTAGATTCAAAATCATAAACATCCAGAAGAGATGAAAAAAGAATTAAAGATTCAATTCAAGGGTGAGGATGGTATCGATCAGGGTGGTGTACAAAAGGAATTCTTTCAGATTGTCGTCAGAAAGATATTCGATCCAGAGTTTGGAATGTTCAAGTACAACGAGAGTTTAAGAACATGGTGGTTCAATACAAACTCACTTGATAAATTAGAATTTGAATTAATTGGAATTGTAAGAAGATAACTAGTTAGTTAGTTATTATCTAAAAATACATACTCATTTTTTTTTTTATTAGATATTGGGATTGGCACTCTATAACAATATTATTCTGGATGTACATTTCCCATTGGTGGTCTATAAGAAACTACTTGGTTTTTCTGTTGATATCGATGATATAGAGTCAGTGGATCCAGAGTTGTATAGCAGTCTAATTAAGCTGAGAGATACTGACGAAGATGTTTCACTCTGGATGACAACATTTTCGGTATCGATCGACCATTTCGGTGAGACGAGAATCATTGAATTGAAACCGGGTGGTGATGATATCATTGTAGATAATAATAATAGACATGGTAAATAATAATTATAATATTCAATAACAACAGTATTACTTACTTACCGGTAAAATTATTCTATAGAATATTTACAACAATATACACATTATTTATTGGAATCATCAATAAGTAAACAATGGACAGAGTTTTATAAAGGTTTCAAATTGGTTTGTGATTCACCATTGCTAAAAGTAATGTATTAATAATTACCGTAACAATAATAACATAACAAAAACATAACAAATCAATCAAGTCAATCAACAACAATTATTATCAAATAAGTGATTGACTCGCGATTACAACTAACTTGTCGTGACTGGTAGTGACTGCATATAACTACAACTTTATCTAACCCCAATTTTTCATTCATATTTTTTTTTTTTTTATTTTTTGCAAATTTCTTTAGTTGCTGAGACCAGAAGAATTGGAGGATCTCATTTGTGGTGTTGAGGATTTAGATTTCACAGAGTTGGAGAAAGTAACCAATTATGAAGGTGGATATACCAAAGATGATCAAACTATTATGTAGGTGTTTAACATTGAACTTAATTTAGTTAACTTTATTTTATTAATAATATTGTTAATAACTATGATTCATACAGATATTTCTGGCAAGCAATTCACAATTTGTCAAATGATATGAAAAAGAAATTCCTATCGTTCACTACGGGATCGGACAGAGTGCCTTATGGTGGTCTGGCAAAGATACACTTCTCGATTCACAAGCAAATCGACAGTGATAGATTGCCTTCCGCTCATACTTGTTTCAATGCCCTCATTCTCCCTTGCTACCCGACCAAAGAGAAACTTGAAGATCGTTTAATGAAAGCTCTAAACAATGCCGAAGGTTTTGGACTCAAATAGACTCGATTGCTGACCACATACATTCACTTCAATTACCTCAGCATATACAATACTATATTATAATATTACTACATTAGTTTGCAATCAATCAACAATCATATATACATTAAAAACAACATCTACAACAACATCATCATCATCATCATCATCAATCATCACATTCAACATCCACCACAAGAAATAACTAACTCTCATATTCAAAACTAAACAAACAAAACATTTATCTTTAAACAACATAAAAAAAAAGAAACAAAAAAAAACAGATAATATCTATAATAAAATGATAAATATTATTTTGAACTTAAATTGTACTTTGTCTTTGAACCAATAATAGTAATCATTCAGTTTCTTTGAATGGGTTGGTAAAAGATTAAAATAAAATAAAATAAAATAAAAATTTCTTTTTTCACCTTGGTGGATAGAGTTTTAATTGTTTACTCTTATCAGCATTTGGATTGAAGTACAATCATTAATTAAATTGTTTGAATCTTTCGATAACGATATGCTTCAAACACCAGAATTCACTACCACCATAAAGAAGATGCTAAGCTCGAACAAAGAAGAATCATTGTTGATATTGGATTTGTACCGAACAAGATCATTGAAATTACCATTAGAAATCTATGATCAAATCTTGTGGCTCTTTATATGCGACGAGAAGTACAATGAAAGTATCTTAGCAAACTCTCTTACACTAAATTGTTCGATCTATCTCTTGAATATAAAGAGTAATGACAAACCTCAAAGAATAATTGTGACTATTATGCTCGATTCATTCCATTTACTTGATGTACAACATGTTTCCTCTGTATTCAAGTCAACCAACATCTATTTTCAAAGTCAGATATGATTATTCGCCCTGATTTCTTCAGATTCATTGCACCATAGATCGAGTTGACAATGGAGAAGATAATCAATAATTCCGGTTTCAATGAATTTGTATTTTAATCAGATTTTATTATTGACTAGTAATCCAAGAGAGATAATCAAAAAGTGGGTATCACTCATGGAACATAATTCCAATACTATCTTAACATGGAAAAAAAGAACACAATTTCTTTTTAAATTCATTCACAGTCATATTCAAATTGATAAAAGATAATAAAACCAACTTCTCGGGACAGCACAAAACATTTTTTATTTTCACCTAAGTTTTACCTATATTCATGAAAAAATTAAAGAATTAATTCCTATGTTCAGGAACAAGACAAACATTCAAAACCAGGTGAAGCGCCAATCAAATCAGAGTTTCTCAAGGCAAACAGAAAGAGAACCAATGAAGAGATGGAAGCTAATGAGAAAGCTCAATCCACCACTTCGACAGTTCCACAAACCACTGGCAAGACAAAGAAAGTAAAGAAACAAAAGAGTGAATACATTCCTGAATCCGATAGGGTAAGTAGTGATGTCGTTTATTGGTCAGTTTTGTTTGTAAACAAATCTTATTCTAATTGTTTTATTTTGTTTGTGAACAATATCTAAATATATATATGCATGTATATATTTAGTTATGTCAAGTTTTCTTAAAAGAGAAATCATATCATTATGGTTAGTTGCAAGTATAGTCATGATCTACAAAAGTATCTGTCTACAAAGCAACCGTCTTTAGGAAAATGCTATCTCTACGAGACCTACGGAGAATGTAAATACGGAATCAAATGTCTCTTTGGTGGTGATCATATTGATGGTATCAACTCGATTGTCAACAAAGAAGTTAGTGATAAATGTGACCAATCACAACACCAACTACAAAACGATGTATCCAACGACATTAGAGTAATGCTTACAAAGAAAAAATATCCATTCAAAAAGACTGAAGAGTATTTCATGTAACTATCATCATCAATTATCATTAATATTTATACAATTTCAACAAACAAACTAAACATATTTAAAAAATAATAGTAAAAACAATCTAGAACTTAGAAGAAATCAAAAGGGTAACAAAAACAACAACAATAACAATAACAACAAAAAGGAAACTAAATTATCCAAGAAATGGTGTCTGCTGCTCGTACTGTGATGTCAGAATGACTATTGAGCCACAAACCACCCGTTTCACCATCGAACCACAACCAACTCCAACCTCATTCTGTAATGGTGTTCGTTGCGCATACGTTGATCCAAAGAAATGTAGAGCCACCGGTGGATTCTTTTCACCAGCCGATCCAGCCAATGGTAAGTGCTGCGATTCATGTGAGCGTAGAGTAACTATCAAACCACAATGCAGTCTTGTTAAATGCATTTTCGTTGATGAAGCAAAGTGCAGAGAATCCGGTAATTTCTAAGTACCAGCTAATCCACCTTCAAAGTGTTGCGCTACTTGTGAGCCACGTTTTACCATTGAGCCACAAACCACTTCCGTTTCAATTTAAATAGATTAGATTCCAACTCAATCGATTTATCTTTTATTCCTCTCACTTAAAAAAAATTGCTTTTTGTTTTTAATCATCCAAATCAAAATAAACTTTAATTTATAAAAAAAAAAATATTTGTTTCACTTTTAGTACTAAGGTTTAAGTTAGTTGTTCTTATTACTTTCCATAATTAATAAATGATATTTTAAAGAGTTGTATCCAATATATATATATTTTTTAATTTGGAAGTCATAATATTCACAACCTAGTTTTCACCTCTTTTTGATTTTGCACATTAATTTAATTTTCTTCAATTTTGCTTAAATTTAATCATTTTGTTTTAGTTTCTCTTTCTTTGTTATCATGATATACCATGATCGTTATTTTAACAAAGATCATCTCCTTATGTTTAGATTTGTTATAGATCTCAGAGAGTGAAGCATAAACAATACAGACTTTGGACATGATCATTTGTTAATGTTGGATAGACACTATTAAACTTTGAGATTTAGTATTATCTCAAAGACACAGGTTACTTGCTTAATATATATAGAGCAGCAAAGATAATATATTTTAGAATTTAAAATTTTTTTTATTATATATTTTTATTATAATTTTTGAAAAAAGTAAACTTGGATATATAATATAATTATCTAATTGATATAGTTTGATAACCATCTAAATCCGTCACCATAACCAAATCTTCTAACTACACTACACATGAAAACTTCGATTGGTCTAACACCTGGGTTGAGTGGAACTTTGTCTTTGCCTGTGGTCTGGGTCAATCCCATTGAAGCTCTAAACTTTTCTTCAGATGTTCCGGTGATATCGATTTTATTACCGAGAATGAGGAATGGTACATTTGAGAGTTCATCAGAGGAGAAGTACGTCGAGTTCTCTCTTTGATTCTTCGAATCTTTGTGGTGCAGATGAGTCAAAAGAGGATAGTAATGTTAATGCTGCTAAAGTAGATGTCAAAGTAGAAGAAACAACAACTGATGCTACTACAACTCAAACAAGAAGATAATAATAGCAATGTTTCTCTTACTAAACAATCACATGAAGGTGTAGAGTATCATGTTGAAGTACCTTTGAAACCACAGGTGAAGAAAAAGATCGATTAGTACATCAAGCAATGTCCTGAAATCTCACCGATTCCAGTCATTGGAAATGGTGATATGTATAATTGGAGAGATGTATGTTGTTTGGCTAAAGAGTATAAATATATATGTACTAATATTAATCTTTATCTTTTTTTTTTTTGTTTATTATAATAAAAATTATAGATTGAAAAATCATCGGATTCAATCTCTGCTTTGATGGTTGCAAGAGGTGCTCTTATTAAACCATGGATTTTCACAGAGATCAAAGAGAAAAGAGATTGTGATATCAGTGCATCCGAAAGATTGGATTTGGTGAAGCAATTTGCTCACTATGGTCTTGATCATTGGGGATCTGATCAACTTGTAAGTTAAAAACAAATCAAAAACAATTCAAAAACAAAAACATAATTATTCACATTATAATATTCATAATAGGGAGTTGACAATACAAGACACTTTTTGTTGAATTGGTTATCGTTCTCTCATAGATATGTACCAGTTGGTATTTTGAAAACATCCTACTCAAAGATCAATGAGAGACCACCAGGTTACTTTGGTCGTTCCGATTTGGAGACACTGTTAGCCAGTAACCAAGTATCGGATTGGATCAAGATTTCCGAGATGTTTTTAGGACCTGTTCCATCAAACTATGACTTTATTCCAAAGAATAACTCAAATTCGTATGATGCTCAAGGTTAAGTAATAAAATAATTATAATAACAATAATTATAACATTAAACCAATAAATTTATTTTTAGTTATTATTATTACCATGCATAAATAAAACAAAAGAATTGAATAACAATCAATAAAGTGGGTGAAGAAATGAATGAAGTGAAGTAGTCAAGTGGGTTGTCATCACGCCCACACTTGATCTTTCATTATTATAAAAACCATTTTATATTCACAAATATTTTGACGTTTAAAAGTGTTAGTTATACGATGATAGATATAAACATTGTAAATTGTTAATCAATGTTACACATGTTCATACCCCAACTCACATATGATGATTATCATTGTGCTTCTAAACATGTAATATATATAAAATATTTAAGTGAGTATAATTGTGTAATTGATTGGATTTTGAAATAATTTATTTATTTATTTATTTATTTTTATTTTTAAAAAAAGAATTATTTTGATTTGAGTGAAGTTCTTTCTTGTATTTATTTCCAATATTGATTTTCTTTTCTTTTAGATATAAAAAATAAATAAAGAAATTTATATATCATAAATAAATAAATCTTTATTTTTTATTTTATTTTGTTTTATTCTTTTAAAAGAAAATGAAAGTTTTATTATTTTTTTTATATACCTTATTTCTTTTCAATTTGGTAGTGTCAGAGGACACCAATAAATTTCCAAATGCTCCAAAGATTATGGCTACCGACCAGAATATGGCAACTTTACTGGAATTGGTAGATTCACTTCCAGCGAGTGAAGGTGATACAAAAGTAGTGTTGGAAGTAATATTGGACCCTCTTTTCGATATTGAGAAAATACCAAGCGCACAAGACAACAAATTGAGTTTTATTAAATCTCAAAAAAATTCATTAAAACTCAAAGACAAAGAGAGTGACATATTTAATCAAATTCAGAAATTGGGCAACTCAGACAGTGATGAGAGACCATTAACCTCATCTGAAAATACTTCAGATGAACCAATAACATAAAAAGAAAAATAGAAATAAAATCTTTTTCAAATTATTTTCTTTGAAATCATAATAATGGGCACAAAAAAAGTCGACTGTGTAAACAATGTCAACAATTGTTTTTGAATTTTTTTGCACATAATTTATATGATGAAAAATAATCAAATAAATACAAATAAATTAAAAAAAATAATAATAAAAGACATTCTCTATTATGATCCTAACAGATTTAAATCTATTGTCTGCTTCCTTCCTTTCATCATCCTCTCCATCTTTTCTATCCTCTCTGTCGATAACAATAAAACGTTTGTACAAAATATGGGAACCTTGAAAACCTTTGTTACCCATTATGTACTCAAACGAATCGTCAAATTTATTTAAAAATGGTCCTACTTCATACTTCATACCTTGATCATTTCTTGATCCGGGCCTAGTATGTGACATATATTTGATCTTTCCATTAGGAGAACAAAACACTTGTTTGTTGAATGATGAAAACCCTTTTTTTCCACTATAATAACATATTTTGAGATCAGAGTTCATCGGTACAACTACCCTTTGTTCAGATCCGTCCACAACTGAAGTCACTAAGCATGAATCACCATAATAATCATTATAAATGGCACTTGATTTCTTTCTTTGTTGATCATCTGAAAAAAATTGGAAAGATTCTTGAGACAGTGGAAAAATGAGATCTATTATTTGTTTGGTATATCTTTGTTGAGATCTTCTGGATATTTCGAAAATCACTTGTGTCACTATATGTTTCGGGTAATGCTTAAACCAAAACAAGGTAATAAAAAGCTTTCCTTTTAAAGAGTATTTACCTTTTCTGGTTATTTTTGAATGACTACGTTCTTTGATCTTGAGAAAAAGATCATTAAAATCATTCTTATTTAAGCCAATGAATAGTTTAATATCTTCATCACAATATTATTTCAATAGACTATAAAGGATTTTTTTATTAGTTATTATTTTTTAGCTTTAGAGGTTGTAGCTCTTTTTTTTAGGTTTATTCTTACTTGAATCTTGTTCGGATGCATCCTCTTCATTTGTTTCTTCCCTAACTGATGAGTTAGAGGTAGTTGTGGTAGTTGTGGTAGTTGTAGGAGAGCTATCGGGGTTTAAAGTTTCAAGACCTTTGAATAATTTTTCTTTTGATTGAATCTTTTCTCTCCAATTCTTTACACTAATATTTGAAACATAGGCAATCAAGTGGCCAAAACAACAAAAATAGGAAAATGAATCTGTTGTTTGTGGCAATCCGGTTGCTTTAATTCCTATTCTAGTGGTACATTTCTCGCCACATTGATCACATTTACTTGTAGAGCCTTTTTCCAATTTAGGACACTATCTTTAGCATTATCTTGATTACTTCGAATACCAAGTTGTCTTCTAATAAGTTGAATACTTTCATAATCGGTAAATGAGTGTACTTGCATACAATAACGCACTTTTCTCCATTAACAACCTGAAACCTTTGACCTCCCCTAGTTGGATTGAGACAACGTATTTGACTAGGTAATGAATTTGGAATAGATAAGGTTTGTGCAAGGAAACATGCGGAGTCATCCTCTACTATGTCTGCATCTATCGTATTAGATCCAAATTCAACTTTAGGTTCATCTATTTCTCTATTCTCTGGTTTAACCTTGATAGGTTGAGCATATGAATCATAAAATGAGGTTGATGATGAACTGAGTAAAGTTGGTGAGTTTAATAAAGATTGTGGTGAACTTAATGAGATAGATTGGCTGAGTGTATTATCGTGAAGTTGATTAATATTTCTTTTTTTTTTTTCTAACTGTGTTGTTAAACTATTGACTTATCTTCCATAGACCTGAATTGTTTAGACATGTCCAAAAGTGATTTTACATCAGCAAGCTCTCCCAAACCAAAGTATTTTATTATCTTGGGAATTCACTCCTCGATTCCATGACTTTGAAATTCTTGAACAGAAGAAAGTTGTTTATTACATAAACAACATTTAACAGAAAAGCTAATATCCATCGTATTAAATTTTTGTATTAATTTATTTATTTATTGAGCTGTTCCCACATAAATTTTAAAAAAATAAAAGAAAAAAATTTGTTGAAAGTGTAAACATTGTAGACTTTTTTTGTGCCCATTATTATCAGTTTTTTTTGCAAAAAAAAAAAGTAGATCATAACAAGTTAACTTACCAAGATATAGTTTAATTCAGCAAAAGAATCTATATGATAATAATGAATCCAAATCAATATAGTTTTTGTAGATTTAAGAAAAATAGTTTGTTGATTCTCTCAGATACAGAGTATTATCAATCGATTCAAAAGGAATCTCAAAATGATATTCATGAGAATGATATATTATATCAAACTGTTAAGGTATGCTTTTAATAATAAAAACTATTTGAAACGAAATAAAAACAATAATGTATTGTTAATTAATAATTATTTTATTTATTAAGTTTTTATACTTATATGATGAAAGTTACAATCAGAAGTCTATAAGAGATCAATTGTCACCGAATGTATTGGAATTGAAATCTATATTGTGTGATTTCATAAAGAATCACCGATTGTCACTTCCAAACTTTTCTTTTATAAATGTGTTTATGAATAACAAAGATCTTTTTGAAGATGATCAGCTCATGAACTATCTAAAGTCATTGTGCAATCAATCTGATATTGCAGATCTCTTTGTGATATCATTGCTTCAATCGGATCAAATATATTTTCATAATTTAAGCTCACGAATGTCCAAGTTTAATAGTTGGTTCAATATTGAATCACGAGTCATCGATTTGATAAACAACAACACAATCCGTATACATTCACTTCCCATTGCAATACTCTCGATTTTAAATATCAATCCAACAAGAATCAGTGAATTATCAAAATATTACAAAGATATATTTCAGTATGTATTTTAATTTAAAATGATTTAAATAAAATTATTAATAATATTTGTTTCTAGGTATTTGATGTCTGATTTTACAAAAGATACTTGGAATTGTGACTTTAATTCTTATTCGCAATACTTTGGTTATTTCAAAGAGTATTTTGATTCCGATATCAATTTACAAACTCCAGAGAATATAGAAAGGTTAAAGTCAAAGTTGAAATGTTTTGGTCATGATTTCATTGTAGGTGCACGAGTTAAGAAATCTTTTCGATCAATATACGCATTGTTTAGTGTATTTATCAAGTCAGAATTTGAATTGTTTACTCTTGTCAGTGGATGGATTGAAGTACAATCTGCAACTAAAATGTTTGAATCTTTCGATAACGATATGCTTCGAACACCAGAATTCAATACTTCCATAAAGAAGATGTTAACTCAAAACCAAGAAGAATCATTGTTGATATTGGATTTGTACCGAACAAGATCATTGAAATTACCATTAGAAATCTATGATCATTTCTTATTGGTCTTTGTATATAATCCACAATATGATGACAGGATCTTGGCAAACCCTCTTACTCTCATTTCTTTGATTTATCTCTTAAGTATAGAGAGTAATGTCAGTCTAAAATGTCTAATTGTAAAGATTATGCTCAAATCATTCCATTTACTTGAAAAACAACTTGTTATCTCTGTATTCAAGTCACAACAACATCTATTTTCATTGACAGATTTCAAATTTCAAATGAAAAATCATCCTGATTACTTCAAATTAGTTGCACCACACATCGAGTTGTATACAATGAAGATGATTATCAATCATCCCGGTCACAATGAATTGCTATCAGCTGATTTTGCCGATATCATATTATTGACCAGTCATTCAAGAGAGATAATCAAAGAGTTGGTTTCAATGAAGGAAAGAAATTTACGTACACCTTTTAGTCTCCTTCCTGCAAATGTAGAAAGAAACACTCATTTCTTATTGGAAATCAACAATTTAGAATTCATATATTTATATTTGGAACAATTGTTTTGTGATCTGGCAGCTCTTTCACCTGAAAGAAATTCGATACTTGTTCAGTTAATTGAAAGATTAGTTCAAAACAAACCGGAATATGCAATCAAAATCAATCATATCCTAAGATCAGCTCCACTATCGAATTTTCTAAATAGATTCATTGAATTTAAACGATATTTATCATTACAACCGGATCATAATAATACAAATTCAACAATAGAAACAACAACAATAACACCACCACCAACACTAAGTAAATTTATTTTGAATGAAATATTCAAAAATTTGATATTGGATAAGAATCCAAAATCAAGATCAATCATTTCATTGTCAACGATATCAAGTGGAATTCATGATATCATTAGTTCTATTGTATCAAACTATCCTTTGACAACGATTCGTATAATATCATCAGTTCCAATTGGATCGAAATATTGTTTGTTGAAGAATGCACCTTTATATTTGACATCGAGAGAAATCAAATTCATTCCGGATGATCATTTGCAATCTTGTATTGAAAATCTGGAATCATATGTTCAATACTTTGGATTTATCAATGCAAAGGGTAAAGGTTGCTATTCATATCTCTACTATCTTCTGAATGCAAAGAAAATCAAACACTTGGCTTTTAGAGAGGTTAAATCTATCCCCTATGATTCGGAATATTTCGACAGTGGATTCCTAAATGAATCGATGATATCAGACCACTCCAACAGTTTATATAATCTCAGAGAATGTAGAGATTACTATCCAGATGAAGAGAGTAATAGAAATATCATTTTGGATGATGAAGAGAAACAAATTCATTATATGAATGTATTTCTTCAACACTTTGATAATGATCAACTTCAATCGATCAGCTATGAAGGTAGATCTTTCAAATCAAACAACTACCATTCTGATACCAACTCATTGGTTCACCATACACTATCGATTTTTTCTACATTCAAATCAAAAAAATCATGGATCGACCTTAAATTTAATGTTCCGAAAGGTGTGGCTCCTTGTCTTGGATTTATCAAACATGAAGAATCAGATGCGTACTCAGAGAGAGAACCTATCATTCTTCATGAAGACTATCAATTGATTACCAAATTCAAATGGGGTCGATATAGTTACCATTATGATTTGTTGCCAATCGAACTGAAGAATCTCACAAAGTTAGTCACTATCTGTGATGAGCAAGAAGGTTTATGTTTGATCCAAAGTTCACCGAAACTCTATTATGTTAAAATCCAAGATTGCAGAAGCGTCGACGACTTAAGTTTCATCGAGAACCAACCAAAGATTAAAAAGCTAGCAATCAAATACCCAGTCAAAATCAAGAGTGAAAATAATATCTATCACTTTCGAACACGGATTACATTAGATCAAATCAACTCGATATTTTCGAGATTGGAACAAGCAGAGTATCAATCGATTCGATGTATTAAACTATTCATATTTTGCAAAGATGATGAACATCAACATCATTATCCATTGATCAACCAATATCAAATCGATCGAAATCTAATCAATCTTTATCAATTTAAACCTGTCGATCAATTTCTTTTTAAATTCATTCGATAACAAAAAGATAATAAATACTAGAAAAATAAAATAATTTAAGATAAATTCATAAAAAGAATATTTAGGAGTTTGATTCGTCATTTCTCTAGCTCTTTATTTGATATAATAATCACAAATTTTATAAAATTTTAATAGTGTGGCAACTCTGTTACCGTTGACGGAAACTCAAAAATTTATAATGGCGCCACTCCAACTTCCGCCGGTAACTGAGTTGCCGCCCACGGAAAATGAAAATTAATATGGGCGGTTACTGAGTTGGTGGTGGAACTAAGACAGTGAAAGTTATAAAAATATTTATGATTTCATATCAAATAAAGAGATATAGAAATGAAAGTAATTGCATTATATACTATTTATTATAACTTAAATAATGGTATAATTAGTTTTGTTATATCTACTGATCTTATAAGTTATAAAAATTATTTTTTCAAGAAAAATATTATCTACATATAAATTAAATTTTTATAATCAATAGGTAGAAACATGAATGTATGGATAACAACTAATCAAAGATTCTCTTAATTTTTTTTTAGTTTTTATTTATTTAAAAAATCAATGTTTTCTTATTAAAAAAAAATTAGTAATTTATTCATATATATGGATATTTAGAATAAGATGACAACAAAAGAGATATTAGATCTTAAACTATTTAACAAAGATCAACTTTCTAAAATGAAAAGAGATGAACTAATAGAAATAATTATTAAACACTCATTAAAACATAGTGGTTTAAAGAAAGATTTGCTTATCGATGCGATCATTAAACATCAAGAACAAATCATTGATTTTAAATCAAAGTTGGTTACAGACAACTCAATCGAAAAGTATCATCGTGGAACTGTTGAATATCGATTGCCAACATTGATCATCTATCGAATCATTCGTGATCTCTGGTATGACGATATCAACCTTAATTTGAACATAGATAATCTTTGTCCAAACTACCGATGGCTGCTCTCTATTGCTTTGGTTTCGAAAGAGTTCTTCAAACTGATATCATCTTTGTTCACTCGCTCTCTACTTCTAGGTACACATACAGTTACAACTTCTGAAAATCTATTGCCAGATATGTTAGCACAAAAGCTCAAAGAGAGTGTATTGAATCCACATTCGATCCTCAAGAATATCAATCATTTAACATTGTCATTAGAGATCTTAAAGGAGATAACCAACGGATCTTTATGCACATCAGTCGAATTGGGATTGATCTTCAACAATGTCAGGAAATTCAAATTGGTATCACTGAAAATCGATACAATTAAAATTCATTTATGTAAATTGTTCATCCAATACATGCCGAATCTAGAATCACTTCAACTTTGTAATTTGACTTTAGATAACATCAAGATACTTCAAATGATAAAACAAATACCACTACTGACATCACTGGATCTTTCATATTCTTCTTTCAAGAAACTAACTTTCAGTTCTGAATTGCTCTCAAATTCCCTTAAGAAGTTGAAACTTCCTGAATCGATCTCCTCCAAAAGTCAACTATTAAGAATTCTACCTGAAGACAGTCAAGTTAACACTCTCGGCTTATGCAATATTAGATGGGACCAACTAAACATGATCAGCGGTCACTTTAAGAATATCACCAAACTCATAATATGGACTTATAGTAGAATTGAAGAATCCATGTTTGAGGAACTCTTAAGCTCACCTGAATGTAAAGTACATACACTCTACACTATGCATAAACAGTGGTTGACTCAAGTACTCTCAGTTAACACAACAATAGAAACACTCAACACTGGTAGTAATCTATTTGAAACCATAAAGGTGGCAGTGCAATCAGCATCGGTTAAACGAATCATATTTCACTCATACACCACGCCAACATACATATATGACAAACGCTTAGCAACTGGCTATGCACACATCAAATCGAAATATCGATACCTTCCTAACTCTTCCATTGCACCAGTTATGAACTATGCAAAGAAGATCTATAATATTTCAAAAAGCGATGACAATCAAGCAATCGAAGCAACCTATCCAAATCTAAAGTTTTTATATTATCCAAAGCTTCATTAACAACCATGAAAATAAAGATGTGAAAAAGTTTTTAAATCTAAAGTACATGATATTTCATATTTAATCGTAAGTTCACCTGAACTATTATATTAAAATCAATGGTAGTTTAGATGTCAAGTACTTTACATTCATCGAGAACCAACCAAATATTAAGAAACTAGCAATCAAAATCCCATTCAAAACCAAGATATGGAATATCTGTATCATTCAACCACAGATTACATTTGCTGAAATCAACTCGATATTTTCAAGATTGAAACAAGCAGAGTATCAATCGATTCGATGTATTAAACTATTCATATACTGCAAAGATAGTGAACATCATCGTCATTATCCAATGATCAAATCGATCGAAGCCTAATCAATCTTTATCAATTTAAACCTGTCGATCAATTCCTTTTAAATTCCTTCAATAACAAATGATAATAAACAAATTATTAAAATAAATTCATAGCAATATCTAGTAATAAAAGAGTTAGTTAATAAGTTTTTTTTAAACACTTTTCTAGAATCTATTTATTCTTTTAATTTATTATTTGTTTTGTTGCTTCAAATTTATAATAAATCTGTATCTTTTTCAAAGTTTAATGATAGAAAAAGAAAGATACTATCTATTTCTAATATTAATTTATCTAAAACGTTTTTATATTCCTTTGAACCTCCATTCAATACTTTAACTGTTTATCTTAATTCAAAGTAATAAATTTCATTGTCGAACTTTAAAGAAAACAGATTTTCTAATCTTGCAAAAAAAAAAATTTTTGAACATGAACCCACACACATTTAAAACTGTCAAAAATATGATCTTTATTTTTTTATTAATGAAAAACAAACTATTTATATATTTATAAGATATTATTATTATTATTATATTTATTTATTTATAGTTTGTTTTAATTAATCAATTTATAGGTTGTACATTGTTTTAAAGATTTTATATAGATATAAAACAAAATTAAGTAGAATGGCAAAGAATAATGCACAAAAGAGATCAACTGAAAAGAAAGATGAGGTTACAGTAGATAACAACAACAATGATAATAGTAATAATAGAATAAAGAAACAAAAACAACAAAATATCACTAATACTGAAGATAACAATAATAATGGTAATAGTAATAGTAATAGCAATCATAGTAAAGTAGGAACATTAACAGTTTCATCGGTTATTAGTGATCGAATCACACAGATATCAGCACAACACTGGCTATCGGGTGATCAATCTGCAACCAATGAATATCAATCACAATTAGTACACGATCTATTATATAACGATATATTAAATGAAAGCAATAATAACAGAGATCGAACATTAGCACTATTAGAACTATCACATTATCTAGAGAATTATCTTTGGCCACATTTTAAAAAGCAACATAACAATAACAATAGCAACAAAGATAGTAAAGATAGTAATAATAATGTTAATAATGATTTAATATGGTCAATCATTATAATGATAAATGAAAAAGCAAAAGAAGGAATATCAGCATTTCAATTATTTGAAAATAATAATAGTAATAATAATAATAATACAGATAGTAGTAGTAGTAGTTTTAAATCATTATTCGAATTAGTATTAAGATTACCATTTAATAGCAATAGTAATAACAATGAAATAGTTAAAACCAATCTATTATATCAATATATACAATTTCTTATTCATTGTTATCAGTCGTTGGAGAATCCAATGGTTAGAGCTGAATCACTAAAGATCGTATCCTATCCGATTTGGATGAATCTTTCAACCGGTAGATTAGCAGAGGAACTTCAAGACATCTCTCCGCAACTCCAAAAAAAGATAATGACAATGAAGAAAAAGTATCAAAAGTCTGCACCTTTACCTTCATCCAACGATTGTAAGTAGTTATTACTCTTTTGTATGCAGATGACAACATCAAAACTAACTTTTACTCTAACTATTTAAAGATATCTATTCAAATTTCTTGATACTTTTAATGAAGGATTTCATTGTTAATAGGTTGGAGAAGATCACTGTGAATAATAAGGTGGGTGTGGTTGCACATGGAAGTGCTGACGACGAGCTGATTCGCTACTGTGAGTTGTTTGTAGAGTTTATGATCGATTTGGTCAATCAGATAACAACTAGACGATTCGCTTATGCGCTGCTGGACGATTTTCATTTGTTGGTGCGTATCAAGGAGTCTGCTTTCAGTCGTAGTGGCCATGCCAGAGTGAATAACCTGCATGAATCGCTGAAGATCTTGGAGTTCTACTTGAACTTTACGATCGATAATTTCAGTGGACAAGAGTTGCCAATGGATCAGGTGATCCAATCGCATTACTTTAAGATACAGAACTTCCAGCGGCTGCTGTTCAAGAGCTATCCGGAGCTGAAGGAGTTGGCGCTGCAGAACGTGTCGGCGGTGGAAGATCGCGCCAATCTCGTGCGACAACTCGAGGCGGTTGGCGTGGAGCGACTGAGAGAGTTGGCTGTAGAGAGTGGCTGGCTTGCTGAGGATTCAGTAGATAGCAAGTCGTTTGTCATCTCGGTGGTAGTGAATGCACTGCGTCGTCACCACTACCACAAGGACGCGCTCAAGTCGGTGCCGTTCTACCCGAGCGAAACCGAGCTGTGGAACAACGAAATCGGTGTGCTCGACAACTATCGTGGTGAGCGATCGCTGCCACTGCCAAAGTTGAACATGCAGTATCTCTCGCTGCAGGACTACCTCTTTAGAAACTACTATCTCTTCAAGACGGAAGCTGCCTATGAGTTGCGCGCCGACCTCGAAGATTCACTCCGTCGACTCGCTCCAAAGTTGAACGATGAAGGTCAGACTGTCTGTACCGGTTGGTCAAAGATGGCGTTGCCACTGATCAACTTCCGACTGATTAAGGTTGGACAACCGTTGGTTGGACAGTCTAAGCCATCAAAGGTAGTCGGTGTGCTCAACTACAGTCTCGCCAATGTGAAACAACAGAATGTTCGTGACGAGTGGGAGTCGTTGAAAGAGTATGACGTACTGATGTTGGTATCGGTACGCGCCAAGATCGGACTAAGCGGTAAATTCGACCATTCCAAGCCGTTCGCCACAGAGTTTGGCGTCACCGCAGTGCGTGGATGTGAACTCATAGAGATATGCGATGAAAAAGGTGATCGTATTGAAAATCAAATGGTAACAGATTCGACCAACAACAACAAGAAACAACCACGTGGAAATATGAGACAACTCAAAGTACTATTGGATTCAAATCAATATCAATTAGATTTAGAAAATAGTGATAACAATAACAATAACAGCAGCAACAGTAATAATCTCAATATTAATCATAATAGTAATAATCTTAATATTGCACCAGATATTTATAAATCATTTAATATCATTGTTAGAAGAAAAGCAAAAGAGAATAATTTCAAGGCGATTCAAGAGACAATTGTTTCGTTGATCAACGACGATAATAATCTACCGGAGTGGCTATCCAATACATTCCTTGGATATCCAAGTGACAGTAGTAACAACAATGCAGCTGGAAAAGCTATTGACTTCCAAGATACTTTTATTTCGAAACAACATCTTTTGGATACCTATAAAGATAGCAGCAGTAGCGACAACACTGTTGATTTCAGTAAATGTGTGGAATCACCATTTAAATTAACTTTTAATGGTGAGAATCAATTGGTAGCAGCGGAATCCTATCAGAGACTGTCGAATCTAAGTTTGAATACTTTCAAGGTGGAGGAAAGTCGTCGTTCCAATAAGATTAAATTCACTGGTGTTCAGGTCGATGCCATTCGTCGTGGAAGCTCTGAGGGACTCACGCTGATAGTCGGTCCGCCAGGAACTGGAAAGACCGATGTCGCCGTACAGATCATCTCCAACATCTATCACAACCATCCCAATCAGAGAACTCTGATTATCACTCACTCGAATCAGGCGTTGAATCAGCTGTTTGACAAGATCTGCCAGCTCGACATTGACGAGCGTCACCTGTTGCGTCTGGGACACGGACACAGTCAACTCGAATCGCAATCCGACTTTACACGTACCGGACGTATTGACTATATGCTCAGTTTGCGTATCCATCGATTGGCACTTGTCGACTACCTCGCCAAGACACTCGGTGTCACAGCGGATGTCGGAAGCACCTGTGAGACAGCCGACCATTTCTACCAACACGATATCATTCCTCGTTGGACAGTATTCCAACAGCAACTCAATGACCATGCCAATAGCAAGATATCATTCCCATTCAATCAATATTTCCAAGTGAATCTGTTTGTTGATGGTAAATACAGTGATGCCGACAAGTCCGTTGCCGAAAGATGCTGGCGTGCAATACAACAGATTTTCACTGAACTCGAAGAGTGTCGTGCTTTTGAGTTGTTGAAATCACCATCCGATAGATTCAACTATCTACTAATGAAACAATCGAGAATTGTGGCGATGACTTGTACTCATGCTGCTTTGAAACGTAACGAGTTGGTCAGACTTGGATTCAAGTATGACAATGTTATTATGGAGGAAGCCGGACAGATCAGCGACGTAGAATCTTTCATCCCTCTACAACTACAAACAACTTCGCTACTCTCAGAGTCGGCATCGCGTCTTAAAAGACTAGTCATGATTGGTGACCATCACCAACTCCCACCAGTAGTAAAGTGTCAGTCACTAGTGCGATTCTCACACCTTGATCAATCGCTATTTGCCCGTTTCATCCGGTTGGGAATCGATTATGTCCAACTTGACAAACAAGGACGTTCACGTGCTTCTCTTGCCGAGCTATTCGCCTGGCGTTACAAAGGACTTGGTAATCTTGCCGACACCACTGACAATGTCAACGGCGACAAGCGATTCACCCTGGCCAACCCCGGATTCCTCTATGAAACTCAGCTGATCAACGTCGATGACAATCCAGCGACTTTTGGAACCGGTGAATCGGAACCGTTCGCTCACTTCTACCAGAATCTGGCGGAAGCGGAATACATTGTCAGTGTCTACCAATACATGAGACTGCAAGGCTACAGTTCCGCGTCGATCTCGGTGATCACCACCTACAACGGTCAGAAGGAGTTGCTTCGTAACATCTTCCAGCATAAATGCAAGGATAACCCGTTGTTTGGAATGCCAAAGAAGATTACCACCGTCGATAAATACCAGGGACAACAGAATGACTATGTGCTGCTGTCGCTGGTGCGTACCAAGAGCTACGGACACATCAGAGATCTGCGTAGATTGGTAGTGGCGATGTCACGTGCGCGTCTCGGTCTCTACATTTTCTGTAAACGACCGTTCTTCAACGATTGCTACGAAACCATCTCTGTATTCCACAAGTTTACAGAGTCACCCGACAAACTGGTACTCGTACCAAGCGAAACCTATCCCACCGAGAGACACTCACTCGACACACCCTATCAATCATTGGAATCATCACTCAAACAACAACAACAACAGCAAAACAATAATATAGAACCATTCATCATTGAAAATTACTTACATATGCAACAATTGGTTCAATCAAATTTACCACAATAAAATCAAACCAAACCAAATAAATAAATAAAAAAACATAGTAATTATCATTCATCTTTAAAAGTATATAAATATATATATATAACCTTGTAATTACTATTGCATTGAACAAAAATGAAAAGGTTTCATAAATTGAATCTGTAAAAAAATGAAAACAAAAAAATATAACAGCTGACTTTTTATGTTTTTTTTTTGGAAGGCAAAACGTGATCATGATTGCAACAACTTCATTGTTCGCAAAAAAATGACAACACTGATTGTCAAATTAATATAATAAAATTAATTTAAATTGATTTAAGTTGTTTTTTATTTTTTTAAAATAATCATTATTTTTATTTTATTTTATTTTATTTAATTCATAAATAAATAGTAATTAGAAATAATAAACAAATAAATTAGATTAGTAAAGATAAATAACTATAATATTAAGTGTTTTTTATTTTATTTTTTTAAAGTTAATTTTTATTTTTATTTTTATTGCTTCTTAACAAAAACAAACAACCCACAAACCAATTAATTTATTTAAAACCAAACCAAACCAAACAAACAAATAACACACTCAACAAACAAACAACTCAATTTCAATCTTTCGTTAAATTATATTATAACAAACTTTGTGGTGTTGTGTGCGTGGTTTAAGTGATAAATCTTTTATCATAATTTATTAATTTTTTATTCCTTTTTATTGTGATACATAACATAATAGTTTAGTAGTTCAACATTATATAATATAATAATCATATTCATACTACAATATTAACAAACAATTTAAATAATAATAATAATATTAAGTTTTAGTATAATCTATATTTCTTAAATTTTTGTAATTTTATATAATAAATCATTTAATTAAACATAAATAACAACAATAAAAAATGTTAATCAAAGAATAGTAAGTGCCATTATCATTATTGTCATGATCAGAAATTTACTTTGTGATTATTTTTTTTATTTTTATTATTATTTTTCATTTTTCAGATAATATGCAAAATTTTTATATTAATAATTTTTATTTATAATAATTATAACAATTTGGACAATTGTATAGTCGTATTACATTGCCATTGACAGTTGAAGAATATCAAATAGCTCAATTGTATATGGTTTCAAAGAAGAGTAAAGAAACAACAAAAGGAGGAGAAGGTATCGAAATTCTCGTAAATGAACCGTACGAAGATGAGAAATCAAAGGGACAGTATACACACAAAGTCATTCATTTGAATAATTCACTGCCCAAGTTGGCCGCTGCCATCTTGCCGGCCAGTGCGCTCAAGGTCGAGGAAAAGGCATGGAACGCCTATCCCTACTGCAAAACCGTGTACAGCTGTCCGTTCTTTGGCGATCGTTTGACATTGTCGTTGGAATCGATGCATTTGCCGGGTCGCGGTGAGATCGACAATGCACTGAACGCCAGCGAGGAGACCCTGAAGAATCGTGTCGTCGACTACATCGATATCGCCAACGACCCGATCGACCCGAAAGACTACGTCGAGTCACAGGATCCCAAGTTGTTCAAGAGCGAGAAGACCGGACGTGGTCCACTCAACCAGGAGAACTGGAGCAAGACATGCGAGCCAGCCATGACATGCTACAAGCTGATTCATGTCGAATTCAGATATTTCGGATTCCAAACTAAAGTTGAAAATTTAATTCAGAAGCTCGGTTGCAGAGACGTCCTATTGAAAGCACACAAAGCTTTGTTTTGTTGGATGGACGAATGGTTCGGACTGACCATCGAAGACATCAGAAGAATCGAAGCCGAAACTAAAGAACAACTAGCAAAAGCAATGGAAGAAGAAAAGGCAAAAGAGGAAGCTGAAAAGAATAGTAAACATAAATAAGAATTAATAAAATTAACCAATTTATTAATAAAGTTATTTTATAAAGAAGTTCAAAAACAAAAAAAAAAAATATTTGTTTTGATTTTGATCATCCCGCCAATTTTTGAAAATTTTAAATCACATGATTGGAAATTGAAGTCAACAGACTATTTTGAATAATATTGATTTAATTAAATATCATTATTTTATAATATTATAATATATATGTCTATATATCTTAAAAATTAATTAAAGAGTAGTAATAAAAAAGAATGATTAAAAAACAAGTTAGTAAATTATATGTTGAGCAATTGGAAGAATTGTGGGAGATGGTTGTAGCAGAGAATATCGGAATGTTGGAACCTGGAGTTGATGGTGTTGTCGATGAAAACACTCTGAATGATATAAAAGCATTTAAAGAAGCGATGTTTAGTGGAATGGTTGGAAAGCTGGAGGTGATAGCACCGGTACCTCCACCTCTTGAGATGCCTACAGCCGCTTCTATTACACCGATGGCACCGGTGATACCACCGAGTACCGCCTCGAAAGTTCATCTCTCAGTGATAAAGTCATTCGAGCAGGAGCACGTCGATCAATCGCTACTGAACCGTCTGGAGCAACTGAAAGTCGAGCTGACACAGTCGATCAAGAGTGTCGAGCAGCTGCGTCGCGATGTTCCATCGATTGTCAGCACAGAGGTAACACAGAACCTCAAGAAATCAGTTCCCGCCATCATACCGGTGGTGCAACCACTCGCACCGGTACTCCTGCAATTCACTCCAGAGATGACAGCGGATCAATCGCGAGCAATGCTCGAACAGATTGGCTACGATGTGGAGACTATCAAGTCGGAGAGTAACGAGCTACTTTCAATGTTGGTCAACGAAGTTACACACTCCAAAGAGGTTATAGAGGCAGTTTCACATATTATATCAACATCAGAACCTGACTATTAACTATCGCTAGGTTCGATCCAACTACTTTATTTATAAACTGTATATAACAACAACAACATAACAACAGCAACAACAATAACAACATTTTCATTTAATAGTTCAACCGATAGAACGATAAAACCAATCAATAACACATTAAAATTGATGTGTAAGTAATTTTAAATATATACAAATACTACTATATTAGAGTTTCTTTATTAATTTTTTCTTTTTCCAAAATGAACTTCCCAACTTTATACTTTTGTGATTCATCCTTTGCAAATTCCTATAGTATTGTTTAAATTTTAGAATGGACAAGTAGATAGATCTATGTTAGTAACGCTACTTTTTTATTGTGAAGAAGAACAATGCAATGAAAAAAAAACAAACAAGTTGATGATTGGTACACAAAATGTTATATAATGATAGGATAGGATTGGATTGAAATGGTGTAATATATACATATATAGTATTCAATCTATATTTATATTATATTTGTTTGATGCTTACATATTTCCAACCAAGATGTTCATCGCACCGTACACAATAAATATCGGCAACCACATGCATTCCTGTGGTAAGATTTCTATCTTCACTTTCTCCTACAATAACATTTACACTATATATATGGTATTTAAAGTATAGTAGTAATTCAAGCAATTGTTAATTTATTTGTTTTGAATGATTTTGAATATTTATATTTATAATCATACCATTCACCAAAAAGATAAGCAGGACCATATCTGCCTTGGAAATCCTAAAATGAAAATGATTAATCATTAGTAACTAACTTTTGGTTGTTTCAACAACAACAACAACAACCAACATATATATAACACTTACTGTTGATATCAATTGGTCAAATAAAGCTAAATGAACTTTACAAGTTCCACAACTAAATATATTGGTGCCTGATAAATAATACATAAATAGTTTGCCCATTTTTTTTTATTTGTATTTCTTTCTTTCTTTCGAAATATATATATATATCTCTATTGATTCTAAATATTTAAACTAATAACAAAATAAAACTATATAACTAAATTAAATGATTTGATTCAAAGAAATAAGAATTATTTATAAATCTCGTGATTATGATGTTGATGATGATATACTATATAATAACTAAACAAAACTAACTAAACTAACTAAACTAATTAAACTAAACTAACTAAATAACTGATTGACTTATTGACTGATTGAATGAATTAAGAGTATCAAACAAAAGTACTCTTTTAGTTAATGCTATTACTTGTTGATGATTATGATGTTCCTAGCTTCCTATTATAGAGCAGGTGTTTTCTTTATGATTCCTAATTGACACTTCAAACATTATACTCTATGAACAATATTATTATACAAATAAACAGTTTGTGAGTGTTATATGTTCTTCAAGACTATTTAAAATATTAAAATCAATTAAATTGCACCATTTTTTATTAATTTTTAATATAATAAAAATTAAAAAATAAAAATAAAATAAAATAAATTTTGCTTTTTTTATGATCTTCTTTGTCTAGACAAACACCCAGTTGGTTCATGTTAAAAAACTATTTATATAATATAAAAGAGTCTCTGAGAAAGATAAGTTGGTTTAGAATGATCGGTAAAAACAAAAAATTTAATCATTATTTTTCTGTTTTATTTAAGAAGTTATATTATTTTAAATTGATCTGTCTGTTTTATTTAATGTTTAAATGAATTTATCAAGTTTGTCTATGTCGATTTCGATTTGAGTGTGAATGAAGATCATAATGATAAAATTAAATTGTGTGCTGTTACAATGATGATGTTGGTGTTGGTGTTGTTATTGGTTTTGGAGTTCTTCTGAAGAAAGTAACACTCGGTACAAGATCAGGGTTGATATCAGCTGGTACCAGTGGTAGTTTATCCTTTTCGAGAGCAGTGAATCCCAACTTCGAGTAGAATGGAACCAACTTGGCACTGGTACACTCTAGATAACATGTCTTTTGTTCGCTATCCAGCTTCTCAAACAATACCTCCATAATCTTGGTTGCCAATCCCTGACCTCTGTACTTCTCATCGGTTGAAAGAATCAACAAATAGTAACCTTCAATCGAATCATAATGAGCGAATCTCTCTGAAAAATATTCTATAAACAAACAAACAATATGTTGTAATGTTAATAATATTATTCATAATTAATTTGGAGATAGTTAATAAGTTAATAATTTACCTTCTAATGCAATGAATCTTTCGTAAGTAACAGTCAGTCCACGATCCAATAGAAGTTTCTCTTGTTTCTTGGTGTAGATATCCCAGAGATCCTCTGGCCATGGTACTCTAGGTGGTAACATTAGAACGAGTGATTTGATTCCGTCGATGGTGATGTCTCCCAAGCAGTAGCTCTGATTCGATCCGATCGTTTGCTTGATGAATGCCTTCTGGATTGCTTTGATAAACGGTAGACGCTCGGCTACATCGATCTCATGGAACATATAGTTTAGATATGGATCTTGAGTGAATGATTTAGTATTCACTTCCAATATCTCCTCTAGATTCTCTAAAGTTAATAATGTCCATTTTACAGAGGTCGATGTTGTTGGTGTTGTAGGTTCCATCTTTTCTATCTATCTATCTCCTATCTGTATTATTACAAAAAAATACTATTATATTTTAAAGTAGTGATAATGGTAGTTGATCAAACACAAACAAAAACTAGTTTATCTTAATAGTTAGCATAAACAACACACTCAGCTAAACAATTGTCAAAGGAAATATCAAAAATCTTTGTTGTCGTTTTTCATTTATGAAAAAATTTTAAGAAAATCCAGATACCAAATTTATATAAAATCAAGTCATTTATCCGATTTTTTCGAATGCATGACAGAAATTTTCCAATGATGGAATGCGTATTTGGGGTTAAATATTGATTAAGAAAAAAAATTCATTAATGAGAAAAGAAAAAATGTATTTTTTTTTGCATTGTGGTTTGCAAAAATTATTTTCTTTTTTTTTTTTTTTGAAAAATAAAAATAGTATGAGGGGTAACACCTCCCCTCCGAACTTCTTTTGATTTTTGTTTAGAATTTTTTATTTATTTATAATCTTACAACTACCACATGCCTGCAAATAGTGAAGAAGCTAAATTAAGAAAAAAGCAAAATAGAAGTGAAAAGGAGAAGAATAGAACACAATTTTTCAAAGAATGGAACAGCACAGGACCAACATTAACAAAGCAATCAGCAACATTAGAGAATATATTAGACCAATTAATATCAAAGACTTCACAGGATTCTCAAAACTCAATCAGTTCATTAGCGAACTATCCAGATGCATCACCGAAGTTGGATCAGAAAGAGATCAACATATATCGATTGCAGGAGACTGCAAGAGATTTATCGATAGTACTCAAGAAAGAGATAGATATAACAAATTTAGAGAGAGATACGCAACTGTACAATCAAATAGAAGAGAACTCGACAATGATAGACAATCTATTGATAGCGAAAGACGAGAGATTGAAAGAGAGAGACGAGAGATTGAAAGAGATGAGGCACTGCTGAAAGAGAGAGAAGAGCGCTTGAAAAAGATTTTGAAAGAGAGAGAAGAGAGCTTGAAAAAGATTTTGAAAGAGAGAGAAGAGGATTTGAAGCAGAGGAAGAAGCTATTAAATCTGAAAGAGAAGCAGTTAAACGAGAGAGAACAAGCAAATTCAGAGAGCCAAGTCAATATCAGCAGAAGAAATCAACTACAAGAAAGAAGAGAAACAATTCATAGGAATGCCAACAACACTGGAGATAGGTCCAATTTTGGCGGAAAAATTGAAATCAACTTTGCAAGCGATATCGAAAAGAAGGACGTCACCATTGGACAGCTTATCCAAGCAATTGTCGATGCTCAAACTAGGACTCAGCAAAGCTTGGAATTATTTAGAAGAGGTCTTCAGCAATCAAGAGAAATCATTGGTCAACTCGTTGAGTCGCTTAGAGGACTACCTTCAGCCAGTTAACAGCATTCTCGATGGAGTTCTTTCAAGCCAAGATAACGATAGACTTAAGTTAAGTTATAATTTAGCTGACTTTTTACAAACACTACCGCATGACAATCCATATCGTAGATCTTTAATGTATTGGTGTATTTCCAATTTCAAACATCACGATCACCTCAATATTGTAAACAAAGAGAATATCATCAATATCTTTTATGTTTCGCAAACTACTGTTTATCGATTGAATCCTGAAAATACAAATATTAATAACCTTCACCGTATATTGTATACTCCAAACACAAAAAAAGTTCATTTTACAGAGGATCAAATCGATAAATGGTACGAAGTAATGGATGGAGTATTACCATTTCTTAGTGGGAGAGACTTTAGATTACAAGCGATGACAAACGAAGCTTTTTATCAAAAAGTAAGGGATGAATGTGCAAGGATTGGAATTCCACCACCATCTGAAAACTACATGTACACACGTTTTTTGAGAGAGGAGCTAATTCATCACACCAAATACGATGCAGTGTATGTAAATAATTAACCTTTTAACTTAATTAATAAATTTAAATTCTTCTAATATCAATATAATTTTTTGAATACAAATAGATGCAAGGACTGTGCAGAGTTGAAAAAGCTGGAGACAATAGTGAACACGAGACGAAATGGGGTAGCTTATCCAGCAGACAGTGAAAAAGGCAAGAAAATGGCAAAACTGAAACTTCATCAAACCATTGCAGTGGTCCAAAGACAATTATACAGTCAACAAAAGGTTGATGTAATCAATGATCTTGATGGTACTAGTGCAATTATTCTAATGGATTTTTCACAGCTCTCACATCAACAATCTTTAAGACAAGCACTGATAATCAGTGTTTATTGTCACAAAGATAACGCAAGTTATTTCAACTATGTCTCCTACGTAGCTCCAACAACGACCACCAAGAATGATCCAGCCTTTGTTGTAGGTTGTTTGATATCATTTTTAACAAACGAACCGATATTCAGGAGAATCAAAACACTGAATATATGGACAGATGGATGCAGGAAGCATTTTAAATTAGCAACAAACATGTATTTTTGGCATTACATGAGTACTTTATATCGTGGTAAAATGGAGATATATTACAATTTCTTCGCTAGTTATCATGGATGTAATCCATGCGACGCAGCCGCATCTCAAATTAAACAGAAGATCTCCACTTTCCAAAGAGATACTGACATTCCTTTGTATACAGTCGATCAAGTAATAGAATTAATCCGAACCATGAGAAACCACTATGCTGAAGTTGCCTGTCCAACCCACAAAGTTCCTAAATCCCCGACTACCATGAAAAATATCTCCAAATGTCATCGATTTATATTCGATGTAGCGAATAATCGCATCATTGCATACGAATACAGTGGTAAACAGGGACCTCCATTGATGTTTGTTGCCAACAACGACTTTATTCAAAAGGTTGTTGATGATGACCCTCGTTTGAATGATGAATTGGATTATCTCCTCGAGTATTTTGCACGAAATAATCAACCAAACAATGTACTATAAATATATATATTTTTTATAAAAATTGAAGATAGGTGTCTTCGAGATATTTCTCTGTTAATTATTTGTACTATTATTTATAGGGCTTAATATGAGAATACCCCTTTTTTTTTATTTTTTTTATTAATTTTGAAATCCCCCACTTTCAAAAAGTTCCATCTTGCATCAATTTTTGTCATATGTTTGTTGGTTTCGAAGGTTGTAAGACTCTTCCCAGTTTAAAAGTTATTATTTAATAATCATATTATAACATCACTTTAACTTTTTATTTAATCTATCTATTTTTAAAGTAATTTTTTACTTAGAAATTCATATGTTAAATTAAAGATACATACATAGTATATAAATTAATTATCATTATTATCCTATTTGATGTTGAGTTGTGTTTAAAAATAAATATCTGTGTCCTAAAAAAAAAGATACACACAGATATTTATTATTTTTTTTCTTGTTTTTTTTTGATTTTTTGTTTTTAAACTTTGCAAAATTCACTTTTTTCTTTTTTTGTTTTTGTTGAATTGTGTGATGTCTCTGTGTTTCAACGTGGTGCTCTATCAACACTGACAATCCTGCCAAAATTTTTATTTTTATTTTTTATAATAATTTTTTAATTTTCATTCCACACGAGGAACAGGGAATAAATAATACAGAGTTTGGGATGAGGAAAATCATCAATCATTAACATTCAATTATAATTAGTAAATAAATGCATAAACAAACCAATATAATAGAGCCACCCATTGTTAAATTTAAAGTATATTCACATACGAAATCACCAAAAGTTACAAGGTAATTATAATTGTACACAATTGAAATGTCTTTTTTCAAATTTATTAACAAATGTATTTTTATTTTATTATTCTCTCTCTCTCTCTTTTTAAAAAATATTTGTAGAAAAATTGAAATAGATGATACAACTACATTTGAAATACCTCATAGTGTAGGATGTTTATTTAATATTAAAGATCCTTTGGAGGTTAGATTCCCTCTGATCTCAAAGTACAAATATGATGACGGTACCAAAATCGAAAAGGGTAGCTATCTAAAGGTTGTTATTAGACAAGACAGCAACAACAACAACAACAACAACAAAGCTGCTACCACTACGACAATTGTCGGTAAATGTATTGCTCTGGTAGATCTACCACAAACTTCAGGTTTCGGTGGAGGTTTCGCCTTTGCAGCACAACCACAACAACACCCACAAGACATCAAATCGATCGTTCTTCTCGAGGAAAATGGATCGGTACATAACATCGATTTCAAATCAGTTGTGACCTATACCATTTTAGATACTGTAGTAATCAATAGCAGTACCAGTACTACTAGTGACTACGATCCAAACAACACCTATTCCTCTACCTCCAACTATAATATCAACAACAATGACAATGACAACAATAGTGACTATGGATTTGTGTCGACATCACCAACTCTCTCTGGTAACAACAAAAGTTTTAAAGTAAGTTAATTCAAAAATGATTATTGTTACTTATAGATTTATTATATTAACTATCTTCTTCTTTATTATTAGAATTCAACATCCTCTTTTATTACAATCTATGGTAAAGGCACTAGAGTTGTTACGATTTCCTACTCATTGGAATTGTATACTCATTTCACCATAGTCCATGAAACTCAAAAGATCCTTGGTCTTGTTGATAATCAGAATATCAAACAATCCGAGTTCTACTCAACCAATTTACAATTTACATTGTATTCTTTTATCCAATACAAGAATTTAAATAACTTGTCTTTTAAAGATGTAAATACAAGTAAGTACTTAAATAACAAACGTATTTTGATTTCTAAATATATATTTTTGAACTAATCATTAATTATCATATCTTTATAAAGAGTTTGTAAAGCTAGATCATTTCGAGAATGAAACTATTGTTTACAGTGTTTCATTGACAATGGAGAGAGAACAGGACATCAGATACTCAATCGGTAAATTCAAGTGTAGCGGTAAGCGTGTCTGTTTGGTGTATGGCGATAGAATCTTGAGAGATGGTTTGATGATAAAGAATGAATCGAACGATCAGATTATCTATAGAGGTATGATACATTATAAGCGAGTACTATTCGGTCAGTCACTCTCACATGTCTTGATCGATTGTAAACCGGGAGATTCAACGGTGATCGAAATGGATCATCTCCGATACCCGTTGGTATATGGCATCCGTGTCGATCTTCACCCGCTGCTCACTGCCCAGACTCTGTACAACTACCAGTGTGACTCGGCATTCCAACCTGGCAATCACTTTGCCATAGCAGTCCGAGAGGAAACAACTCACAGCTACACCATCTTTGATAACTCTGCTGATACCTCACACGAGAGATCATTCATCTTCTATGGCTATGAAAATGGTTTCCAAGTGGTCGGTTCCGCAACTCCGACCGAGCTGGCACCGCAAGTCTATCATGTCCGTTTGGAATCTGGACAATCAACAACATCGTTCCAACTAAAGAAGACACTCGATACCTGTATGCAACAAGTAGCATTAAGCGATCCATCCAATCAATTTAAATTTGAAAAGGTATGTTATTATTAAGTATAATTCAATACAAATATTATTAATAGTTATTAACAATTCTATTGTTTTTTGTAATTAGAATCAATTCAAGGTTGAACTTACTCAAGATGACCAACATCCTCTTCGTCACTACCTTCCTAATGTAGGTAAAACATTACCAATTTATCTCGGACAGTTTGGAGATAGAAGTGGTGTTGTAGTGTCGAATGGAAAATTCAATTACCCATTGGCTCCAGCAGGATTTAGCTTTGCACCAACAACATCAACTGGTTTTAGTTTTGGATTTGGAGCAGCGGCACCAGCAACATCGTCTGGTTTTGGATTTGGAGCAGCAGCATCAACACCAACACCAACAGCAATTTTTGGAGTAACAAATCAATCGGTTGCTCCAAACCCAACAACATCTACATTTGGTTCGACACAATCAACTTCTACCAGTGCATTTGGAACATCAAGTTCAACTCTACCAGCAGCAACTAATCTATTTGGAGGAAGTAGTTCTACTCAATCAACTACTTCGACCACGAGCGTATCACCATTTGGAAGTCAACCATCATCAGGTGGTATGTTTGGTGGATCATCATCACCAACCAGTGGTAGTTCCATCTTTGGTACAACAACTCCACAGTCAGCACCAGCAGCAGCAACAGGCACATCATTATTTGGAGGTGGTAGTTCGACTCAACAACCATCATCAGGTGGTATCTTTGGTGCACCCGCATCCCAATCAAATTTATTTGGACAAGTACCCTCTACCACATCATTATTTGGAGCAAGTAGTAGTTCTACTCAACCATCATCAGGTAGTTTGTTTGGTGCATCATCATCATCATCATCATCATCACCATCAACCACAGGCACATCCTCATTTGGTAGTCATGGATTTGGAGGATCGACCCAAACTACATCACCAAATGTCTCACTATTTGGTACTTCAACAACTGCACAACCACCAGCAACCACAGGTTCATCGTTGTTTGGATCTGCAACATCAACAACACCAGCCCCATCAAGTGTTGTTTCACCATTTGGTTTGACAGCAACAACAGCACCAACAACTTTTTCATTTGGTACACCAGCAGTTGATTCCGTGTTTGAATCAGTTTCACATAATCCACCACCTCAAGCAGCTGCACCATCGTATCTCGCATTACCTCAAATGCTACCAACACCACGTCCCCAAAATGTCATTTTGGGCGACGGTATGAATCTAGTATCATTGTTACCCAACAATAGAACAGTATCTTTTGAAGAATTAAGACTAGAACATAGAACTGCTGGAAAATAATGAAAAAAAAAAATATGATGTTTGTTTTTAAATAAATATTTAGTTAAAATTATTAAATAATATTTTTATGTTTTTTTTTTTACTTTAAATTGAGGACAACTCTCAAAATTGTTTTTTTTTTTAATTATCTACAAATAAGATATATAATTACTTTTATTCTTTGTGATTTATTAATATAGTGATTTTGATATATATATATATATTTAAAAGATGACAACAAAAGAGATATTAGATAACAAACATTAAAAAGTAGAGATGAGCTTGAGAAAATGAAAAGAGATGAGTTGGTAGTAATAATGAAAGAATACTCATTAAAACATAGTGGTTTAAAGAAAGATTTGCTTATCGATGCGATCATTAATCATCAAGAACATCTTGCAGATTTGAATTCAAAGTTAGTGACAGACAATACAATTGATAAATATCATCGTGGAACTGTTGAATATCGATTGCCAACATTGATAATCTATCGAATCATTCGTGATCTCTGGCACGATGATATCAACTTTAACTTGAAGACTAAAGATCTTTGTAGAAAATACCGAAGGTTATTATCTATTGCTCTCGTATCGAAAGAGTTATTCAAGTTGATATCATCATTATTCACTCGATTTCAACTTATTACTGGATTAGATTCAATATATGATAGTAATTATCTGACAGATATTCTTGCAGTGAAGATCAAGAACCATTATTTACATCCACTTTCAATAGTCAAGAATATCAGACATTTCACACTTTCAATGGAAATATTCAAGGAAATCAACAACTTGTCGACATCCTTCGAATTGGGAGTTATTTTTAAAGATATCAGGAAATTATCATTAATCTGTGTGCGTATCAAAGATGTTCAAGTTCAGCAAATTAAATCGATGATTAAATACATGTCAAGTCTAGAATCATTAAGAATGTGTGGCGCAGTCATTGACAGCATCAAGATATTTCAATTGTTACGACAAATACCACAACTAACATCTCTCGATTTCTTAAATACTAAAATTCAAAAGATTAACTTCTCTTCTGAACTTATATCGAGTTCATTGAAAAAGTTGAAACTTCCAGAGATCTATGGGGGCTATTTCCTCAGCATCCTACCAAGCCATAGCCAAGTTACCACTTTCGGTTTTGGATATATTACATTAGAGCAAATAACTATGATCGGTAGTCACTTTAAGAATATCACTAAACTAGTATTGTGGAGAATCTACAGGACATCAGAATCAAAGTTGGAGGAGCTGTTGTGTTCACCAGAGTGCAAAGTACACACTCTATATGTTGGTTATCGATATAGTAAGTGGTTAGAAAATGTCTTACCAAAGAATCAATCTATTGAAACAATAGATGTTGGCGAAAATCTGTTGAATACATTCTCTTTGGCATGGCAATCATCATCGATAAATCGTTTCATATTTCATGAGAACTTTGAAGTATCGGAAATAATTATGAATAGTTATCGACCTACAGGCTATATTCACATCAAATCGAAATTTAGATTCAACCCTGGTAAATTCCTTCAAACCTCAATAGGACCGATTGCACACTACGCCAAGAAGATCTACAATGTCTTAGAGATTATCGAAGACAACTTTAAAACAATTGAATCAACCTATCCCAATTTTAAGTTTTTATATTATAAATCTACTTTGTAATACATTTTAAAATGAAGATATCATTCTAAACATAAATGGTCACATTTAATAACTAATTGATATGTATAGGTAAAGAATTTGTTATTTTAATAAAATAAGTAAAAGTTTACTTTTGATCATAGGCGGGAAGCTAAAGATCTGTTTTTTTAATTTTTTTTTTTGAATTCTTTTTTTACCTATTACATTATTCTTTTAATTTGATGTAAATTTGGTTTGTTTTGCATTAAAAGATGACAACAAAAGAGATATTAGATAAACAAAAATTTTATAATAGAAATGAACTTGATAAAATGAACAGAAATGAATTGGAAGAAATAATGGTTAAATACTCATTAAAACAAAGTGGTTTAAAGAACGATACGCTTATCGATGCGATCATTAAACATCAAGAACATCTTATCGATTTGAAATCAAAGTTAGTAACAAATAACTCAATGGAGCAATATCATCGTGGAACTGTTGAATATCGATTGCCAACATTGATCATCTATCGAATCATTCGTGATCTCTGGCATAACGATATCAACTTAAATTTGATCACCAAAGATCTTCATTCAAAGTACAGATGGTTGTTCTCTATTGCTCTCGTATCGAAAGAGTTCTTCAAGTTGATATCGTCAATGTTCACTCGATTTCTACATATAGGTGCTAATTATAGCTATATATATGATGGAGTGCCAGTTGTAACTGCAGTGAGGATCAAAAATCATTTTTTAAATCCACATTCAATCATCAAGAATATCAGTCATTTAACACTTTCAATGGAGATCTTCGTGGGAATAACTAGCGAATCAACAAGTACATCTGTTGAATTGGGAGTAATCTTCAACAATGTCAGGAAACTAAAGTTAATCGACGAGTTTATCAAAGATATTCAAGTTGATCAAATTCAATCGATGATTCAATACATGCCAAATCTATGTTCATTTAAACTCTGTCATGCTGTCATTAACAACATCGAGATATTCCAGATGCTTAAACTAATACCACTACTAACAACACTCGATTTAGAAATGACTAAGATTAAAAATATCAACTTCACTTCTAAATTGATATCGAGTTCCTTGAGAAAATTGAAACTCCCAGAGATCTCTGGTAAGGACAAATACCTTAGCATTCTACCAAACGAGAGTAAAGTTACAACATTTGGTTTGGTGTTTGTTGATACAAAAGAAATTAAGATGCTCAGTAATCACTTTAAGAATATCACTAAGCTCATATTTTGGAGAATCTACAACTCTGCAGAATCAGAGTTGGAGGAACTGCTGTGTTCACCAGAGTGCAAAGTACGCACTCTCTACTTTGATTATCGTTTTCAAAAGTGGTTAGAACGTGTGTTATCCAAGAATCAATCGATTGAAATAATAGATATCGGTGAAGATCTTTCGCTAACATTCTGGGTGGCATCGAAATCATCATCGATAAATCGTTTGATCTTTCACGAAAACCACCAACAATCTGACATATACTCGAAGGAACTTCAACCTACAGGCTACATACATATCAAATCGAAATATAGATACAACCCATGTACTTCCGTTCTAAACATAGTTGGAGGCATTGCAAACTACGCCAAGAAGATCTACAATGTTTCAGAGAATACCGACGACAATCAAGCAATCGAAGCAACCTATCCCAATCATAAGTTTTTATATAACTAAATCAATAAAACTTTATTTTATTTAATCAAATGATAATATATTTAAAATATAATATTATTATATCTTTATCTAGCCTATTTATAAATTTTGTTTTAGTTTTTTTTTTTAATTGATAAAAATGGTAGATTTTTATTTTTTTTAATTTTACATACAAGATATTTCATTATTCTCTGATAATTATTATAGTTATTGAAGAATTTAGAAAGATATTATTAAAAATAAAGATGACAACAAAAGAGATATTAGATAAACAAACATTATACAGCAGTCATGAACTGGAGAAGATGAAAAGAACAGAGTTGGTAGAAATAATGGTTAAATACTCATTAAAACATAGTGGTTTAAAGAAAGATATGCTTGTAGATGCGATCATTAAACATCAAGAACATCGAGATGAATTGAAATCAAAGTTAGTAACAGACAATTCAATCGAACAATATCATCGTGGAACTGTTGAATATCGATTGCCAACATTGATCATCTATCGAATCATTCGTGATCTCTGGCATGACGATATCAACTTAAATTTGAACACTCTCCATCTTTGTAGAAACTACCGATGGCTGCTCTCTATTGGCTTGGTTTCCAAAGAGTTATTCAAGTTGATATCATCGTTGTTCACTCGATTTGAACTTATTAGTACATATCAAATCTATGAGTCTCATCGAATGCCAGATGTTCTTGCAAAGGAGATCAAGAGTCATTATTTAAATCCACTTTCAGTGGTCAAGAATATCAGTCATTTAACACTTTCAATGGAGATCTTCAAGGAAATCAACAATAAATCGAAAAGTACATCCATCGAATTGGGTGTAATATTCAACAATGTCAGGAAACTAAAGTTAATCTGCGTTAATAACAAAGATATTCAAGTTCAGCAAATTAAATCGATGATTCAATTCATGCCAAATCTTGAGTCACTTCAAATCTGTAATGCTACCATTGACAAACCCAAGATATTTCAGCTGATACAACAAATACCACTGCTGACTTCGCTCGATCTACTACATACCGATATTCAAAAATTTAGCTACAGTTCTGATTTAATATCGAGTTCTTTGAGAAAGTTGAAACTTCCACACTCTCCTTTTAGCCGTTCATTCTTGAGCATATTGCCTAGCGACAGTCAAGTTACAACGTTCAGTCTGGCCTATATTAGTTTGGAGCAGATTAATATGATCGGTAGTAACTTTAAGAATATCACTAAACTCATTTTGTGGAAGATAAACGGCAATGCAGAATCAAAGTTAGAGGAACTATTGTGTTCACCAAAGTGCAATGTACGCACTCTCTACTTTGATTGTAGAGATAGATTTCAAATGTTGTTGCATCGTGTGTTGCCCGTAAATCAATCGATTGAGACCATCGATGTTGGTGAAAATCTCAAGGAAACATTCTGTGTGGCATCGAAATCATCATCGATAAATCGTTTCATATTTCACGAACACCGTGAACAATCTAATGCATACTCGCGCATATTTCAACCTACAGGTTACATTCACATCAAATCGAAATATAGAAAGAACCCCGGTACATTATTTTCAGTTGGAGCCGTTATGAAGTACGCCAAGAAGATCTATAATGTGTCAGAGAATACCGATGACAACCAAGCAATAGAATCAGACTATCCCAATCTTAAATTTTTAAGTTATGTTCAATAGTTTATTTCGTGGTCACGGCCAAAATAAAACTTTGGTTATTTTGTTAAAACTATCACTATTGTAGATGATGAGAGGATGTAGATGATATATGAGAAGGCTTTAAATTAAAGTATTGTGAAGATATAGATTATAAATAGTTAAAGGTATATCTAAGTTAAACTATCTACGTAGTTATGGGATTTGAGGAAATACAATCCCTAACTATACCAATTCAAATATTGATGATTGTTGACTTCGATTTTAATTGCTCTAAGTCTGATGATTATGACATATGATCATTTTTATCCAAAACTAGCTCTTGCCTGTAACCCTAAATTGAATAGGAGTGTTTTCGGTTGTTTCCTTTAAATTTTTCAATCATAAGAACCCTATTTTTTCTATTATTTATAATTTTTCTTTTTTTTTTTTAATATTGCCAAAGGGAAAGTTGTTGGGAACTAAATTCGTTTTGAGAAGGAAACGACCGAAAAGAAAAATTTAGACAATCATTTTGTTATTTTTTTTTATTTAAAATTATCATAGATTAAGATGACAACAAAAGAGATATTAGATAAACAACAATTTTATAATAAAGATGAACTGAAGAAGCTAAAAAGAGATGAATTGGTAGAAATAATGGTTAAATACTCATTAAAACATAGTGGTATTAGAAAAGATATGCTTATCTTTGCGATCATTCAACATCAAGAACATCTTATTGATTTGAAATCAAAGTTAGTTACAAACAACTCAATCGAAAAGTATCATCGTGGAACTGTTGAGTATCGATTGCCAACATTGATCATCTATCGAATCATTCGTGATCTCTGGTACCACGAGACCAGATTGCATTTGAACTTTGATCAAATGCAACTACTTAAGAACTACCGATGGCTGCTCTCTATTGCTAGCGTTTCCAAAGAGATATTCAAGTTGATATCATCGTTGTTCACTCGATTCACAATCCAACCTAATTCCCAAGAGACATATAACGATTCCATCATTTTAGCAATGAAACTCAGAAGCAGTGTTCTGAATCCATATTGCACTCTAAAGAACATCTGTAATCTCACATTGTCAACTAGAGTGTTCAATGTAATAACCAAGAATACTGTGTCGGGTGCTATTGAATTGGGAATGATATTCAATAATGTCAGACGTTTCTGTATGTACACACGGTGCAACAACTATGGGAATAATAAAGATAATTCATTAAGAACACAACAATGCAAATCGATCGTACGATATATGCCGAATCTCGAATCATTGTTACTCTATCAGTTATTCTTTTATCAAGATGCATTTCAAACGATAAAAACATTGCCACACCTGACTTCACTCGATCTTTCCTCCTCTCAAATCGACAATGACATGAGCTTCACATCGGATCTTATATCGAACTCCATCAAGAAGTTGAAACTACCTTTGGGAGTAACCAATAGATACCAGAGTATACTTTCTGATCAACATCAAATCACCACGTTTGGAATGGGAAATATCAAAGAGTTACAAATTCAAATGTTAAGCAGTCACCTAACGCATTTAACCAAACTGATTATACACAATGTATTTGGATCGATTGCTGTCAAGTTCGAGGAACTGTTGTGTTCACCCGATTGTAGAATTCGCACTCTCTTCACAGACGGCAAGTACGAATGGCTGACACGAGTGCTCAACAAAAATCAATTAATCGACACAATCGATATCCAGTTTAGTCTGGAGCAAACTTTCTATTTTGTATCAAAGTCACCATCGATCAAACGATTCATTTTCACCCACTACAATAGTGACAATATGCATCAGTATAAGTTGGGAGTGGGTAAACAAGCCACTGGATTCGCACACATCAAATCAAAGTACAGTCGAAATTTTAGAATAGTCAACACCGCAGTGAGGATCTACAATGTTTCCGAGAATAGAGATGACAATTCAGTGGTGGAATCGAAATATCCTCATCTCAAGTTTTTTTATGCTGATATCAATCAGGTCTGATTAATCAGACTCTGACTCTGTTTAATATCAAGTTCTCTGAGAAAGTTGAAACTTCCACACTCCCTAATTGGCTTCAAATATTTGAGCATCCTACCTGGCAACAGTCAAGTTACAACATTCATATTCCAATAAAACCAGACAACTCAGTACTCAAGAATATCAGTCATTTAACACTTACAATTGAAATCTTCAATGAAATCAACTACAAATTAGCTTGTAATTCTATTGAGTTGGGTGTAATATTCAACAATGTCAGGAAACTGTAGTTAAAGTGTGTTCATAAAAAAGATATTCAAGTTGAGCAAATTCAACCCATGATTCAATTCATGCCAAATCTGTAATGCTACCATTCGCAACACCGATATATTTCGATTATTACAGTAAATACCGCTCCTTTCATCACTCGATTTGTTACATACGATCTTCACTTGAGAATTAATATCAAATTCTTTGAAAAAATTGAAACACAATTTCTTGGACCAACACCAAATGGAATCCAAGTTTCATGATTGTTCACATTTTCTGGCTCCAAGAATCTATCGGGATTGAATTGCTCTGGATTTGGCCAATACTTTGGATTGTGATGAACCGAATAGATATTCATTAATAATTGTGTCTAATAATTATTAAATGTTAGTAAAATAAAGAAATGATTAATATTATTGAGTTAATAGTTATCATATCCTACCTCTTTTGGAATGAAATAACCGCAGATTTCAGTATCTTCATTGTTTGATCTGTTCAATCCCATTGGTGCAGTCGGTCTTATTCTCAACACCTCTTTTAATTTCAAATACTTTAACATCCTGTCTGACAACAATAAAGACATTCAGTCTGGCCTGTGTTAGTAGGGAACAACTTAATTTAATCAGAAATCACTTTAAGAATAATACCAAATTAATATTTTGGGAATCAACAAAAATGCATATAATAAATATTTTCTAAAAATATCTTTTTATTAAATATTAAAAATCTGATATAAATTGATTGTCATCAATTCGTCTTATCTTTTTACCTTCGTGTATATTGATTGTGTGTATCTTTGATGGTAAATCTATAAGCTTGTTGCTTCTAAAATAATATTTTCCCAATGTAATCTCTAAAGGATTTTGCACTGCTTCTTGACTGATTTTGCATTTGTAGTAGGGATCAAGGCATAGTTTTGTTAAAGTGGTTGGTAGAATAATGTCAGCGAGAGGATATTTATACAACTCACCGATTCTAAGTGATTGTAATTCTGATGGTAATACCATTGGTTTAAAAGGGAAAGTGTATTTCTCGTTGATATACATAGTCTTGATACTTGATGGTAGAACATTCGGTTCAATTTCTTCGCTGTAAACGGTACTAAAGATGAGTTCTTCAACTGTGTTTGGAATATCATTGGGTTTCAAAGTGTGATTGAACAACAGCCCAAGATTTAAATATTTGACTCCATTTGGTATGATACCAGGTGAAAGTGGGTGATTGTACTCTCCGAAATACAGTCTGGTAACACTCGTAGGTATAATGCCAGGTCTGTCTAACTTAAGTTCCAACGAACCTAGATCCAACGTGGTGATACTGTTGGATATCGATCCTGGTACAACCAAATGCTGTGAGAAGTCTCTACTGGAAAAACTAATTACTCTGACACTCGGTGGAATATCTCTGGCATTGGAGTACGGCAGATTCTTAATGGTTGAAAGTACTGGTGTTTCACTAAAGGCATATGGTATTGTGCCTAATGAATAACCAGAGGTAGCGAGAACCAATGATTCTAGACCAACAGGAAGATTACTCGGATAGTAGGTTTGTTTGATTCCGAGCTTGAGGTGTTTCAATTTCGGTGGAAATGAAATCCTATCATAATCGTGATCAAAGTTATTTCCAAAGATAATTGAAACTAGCGACTGAGGAAGTACTCCTGGTGGTAGAGGATGGTTGAATGCACGACTTAACACTAACGATTCTAATCCTTCAGGGAGAGTCCCAGGCAGCAATGGTTGATTAAAGTTGCCAAATACATAAGATCCGAATTGCAGTTTCCTTAGTGATCTGGGCAGCATAAAGGGCTCCAGTAGTTGGTCAAACGCTGAACCGAAATCCAACTTTACCAGATTACAAGGCAACATTCTCGTATGAATAGGGTGATTTAATGGACAAAAAGATAGATTCAACTCTTCTGCGTTTGAACTATATAACTTTGAACCTATCTTTTCTAAATTGAAGTTTTGAGATTCAATGACAACACTTACTACTTTGATATTGTCATCAATAAAGAAATCATCTTCAACAAATACTATATTGTTTGTATATTTTTTTTAATATTAACAGATTTTGTATTAGTAACGTAATAATATCTAGAATATCAAAATTATTTACCATGATTAACTAATGAAAGTTGATATTCATTAATCTTTGATGATATTGTCAATGTCTCTCTATGTTTTATCTTAGTTATTGATTTATTAATGATATTGGTGTATGATTTCAATGAAGGTGTTTGATCGATTTCATCACACTTTGTTGTTACATTCAATGTGAGATACTGTTCTCTTTCATTAAATAAACGTCGACATGCTAAACTAAAGCATACTTTATCTAAATTATCTATATAATCAAATGATAATATATATTTTAATATATAATATGATAAATCTAATATTGTTTTATCTGTATCTGACATTATTACTTGTAATCAATTAAACAATCGAATTTGAATTTGAATTCACATGATTATTATAATAATTATAATATCAGTTGATTAATTAAATTATATCTTGATAAAGTGTGAGATCATTGCAGATAACCCAAAAATATCCTTTTTAGTTTTTTTTTTTTATTGTAAAAAATGTAATTTATTTATTGATTTTGATAGATCTTTTTATTTATCTACCAATCAGCATTGAATCTTTCCAAGGTTTTTCTTGCCTCGGTTAAGTCCTTTTGTACTTTGGTTCTCATGTAGAAGATTGGACAATCACGATTGGAGCAGAGTACCGGTTGATGCAAACTTCCTGAGCATCTCTGACACTGAGTCCAGGCACTGGAGAATTTGTTTTCCAGCGTTGTCACTGTCTCCAGTGTATTCTGATAGTGTTCCGCTTCTTTGTGTCGACAGTTCTTGCAGACGGTCGATTCCTCCGGTGTCAATTCATTCGGACAGTTCATACAGACACGTTTCTTTTCGATGTTTCCAAAGAATCCATTGCCGAAACTACTCGGTAGCGTCTGTGTTGCAATGGTACGAGTATGGTCACCGGTGAAAATACTCTCGGGATGTGGAAGCAACGGTTCGAAAATACGAAGCAGCGGTGCTTTCAACTGTTTGTCACAGTAGTACTTGGTGTCCAACAGCAGATTCTTCTCGAGAACGTAGAGTGGATCTTCGGCCTTCTCGTAGATCGGTGCATTCTTGATACCTTGAGTAATGACATAGGGAACACGATCTCCAAGATTGGGAGCGGTCGCTGGATTTCTCGCTCTCATCTTTTGTGCCAACTCATTGTGAATAACTCTACCTTTGTATTCACTCTTTGACAAAGCCTTTGTAATTACCAACATCGATAAATCCAATCTATTTTGTAATAAATCACTAATTACACTCTTTGTATATCTAAATAATAATATTAAAATTATTAATAATCTTTATATGTCTAATAATAAAATAATTTAATTAAAATTACTTACTCTTCAGCTTTCTTAATATCTTTATCAATTAGAATCATCTTTAAAATATTGGAAACTACATTTCTAACCAATAAACATGTATCTCTACGAATATTCTATATTGATATATATAATCATGATTAAATAAATGAATAAATAAAAAATTAAATAAATATGAATATGAATTAAAATATTTACCTCTAAACCTTTTACATCCATCTTATCAAATTTATCTGGTTTTGTCCAGAATAAACCAGCGTATTTCTTCTTGGCCATAAGGAGATATGGATAGTAAACCTTTTCGAAATCCAAATTGATGGGACGAATGAAAATCTTTGTTACTTCTTTAGATGCGTGTCTACCCAAATCCATTGCTTCTTCGACAGTGGAAACACCAAACTTTACCATTACAGAATCAGTATCACCATAAATAATTTTAGCATCATGTGAATATCCATTTGCAATTGTATATTTAGCTTCTACAAACTTTGTATTTTAAAAAAAACAAAACAAACATTAGATTAGATTAGACTAATATGGTTATTATAACTATAAAAACTTACATCTCTTGTTTTATATAACATTTCTCTACCAAAAGCTGTTACACTTCTAGAGATTTCAATACATGGAAGTTTACCGACACGTGCACCGGTGAAACCGTATACAGAGTTGGCAGAGATTTTCAGTGCGAGCTGACGACCGTCGAGTACAGCTTTCTTGAATGGATCGGTTTCCACTTTGAGTTCTTCCTTGGCTTTCTTTCTTGCGGTGAGAAGTTCCTCGAGAATACGAGGCAGCAGTCCTTTCTTGATGTTTGGCAAGATGAAAGCATCGCCAGACGGTGTGACAGTGTACTCGGTGTTGGGCAGTGTTTTAATGTAGTCCTGGGTGATCAGTGTAGAGTAACAGAGATTGTGAGCCATCATAATCGAGGGATACAAACTGGTGAAATCCAGAGTGGCAATCGGAGTGTCGTAGAAACCGGGAGTCGGTTCAATGACCACGGCACCCTTGAATTTGTCACCCTTACCGGTCACCTTTTGCGTGGGAAGAATCAGATCCTCCAGCATTGCCTTACGGTAGAGTTGACTGAGTACCTTGATCGATTCACCACGACCAAGCAGATAACTCATTGGGACACCGGTGACTCTTGCCATCTCAGAGTAGTTGATGATCAACATCAGTTTGTCCAATAGCTTCAACGGCAACATCGCATCTTTGAGACAATACACCGCAAGACGACGACGATCGTCATCCGTTCCATTCTGGAGGTCAGTGATAATCGAGAAGTGAACGTCCTCCTTTTGCTCCTTGAGGAAGTGTGCCGACACATTGTTCAAAGAATAGGAACTCAGTTTGTGATCACGCTGAATCGCTTGCATAATATCAAACTGAGTACGACCGGGCATCGAAATCTCTTTCGATTCACGCGTACCAAGATTCTGCGATGAGAAACGCGAGTCTTTAATCTTGGAGATCGTCGTTTTGATACGACCCAGGTAGGCGAATTCACCGATTTTCAGTGCACGAGCACGCTCGATCAGATAGGGCAAATCGAAATTGGCAATGTTGTAACCAATGATAATGTCGGGATCGATCTTTGTAATGAACTTCTTCCATTCTTTGAGCAACTGCGCTTCATTCTCATAGGAAATGACGTGTGCACCGACAATACTGGAACAACTCTTCAGAGTAAACACGTTTCTAATGACCGGCTCCTTCTCACCCTGAATCTTTACGACATTGGCAATCTGAATGACCGGATCTTTCTTTGGCTCTGGGAAGACACCCTTTCTACCGGCACACTCAATATCGAATGACAATATTCTAAACGGTGCGATATCATCCCATCCCGGAGCAATTTGATGTACAGTCAATGTTTCAACACTATATATAGTAATATATAATAATTAGTTTAAACAACAACAAAAACAATTGTAATAATCAAACTTACGAAGTATCGATTTCAATTTGACAGGTTGATAATGATGTTTCTGATTTTCTGTAGGAGTTGGCTGGTAGTTCGATCCAACTGCAACCTGGAATCTGTTTGTCAATGAGGAAACGTAGAGCGAATGGAATGTCGGATTCAAATGTTTGGTAGAGTCTAGGTGGTTGATTTGGCAAAGCAAATTGATACTTTAATCCATTCTCCAAGACATCACGACACTTTGGTACATATCTTGGCATTGCCAATGTAATTCTTATATAATCAGTAGGTGGTGCCGGATTATATCCAAGAATCGACTTTTTCTTTTCGATATCAATTGCCAACACAATTTGATCTGTATGATTATTTGTTGTACTTTCCAACATTTTTTTCTAATATTATACATAAATATTAAGTTAGTAAAGTGAAGTTTGTTACAATTATATAAAGTTGTAATTATAGTTATAGTTACATTTAATAATTTCAAGAATAAACTACAATCTGCTTGAGTGAATCCGTTGGGACATGAGATGAAAAAGTATGGGAGGAAACCGTGGACCTTACAGAGAACACTGTTACCGTTACGCGTTGCACCGAATAGACGGACGATTGGAACGGGTCCAGTGGGTGGACCTGGCATTCCAGCGAGTGGCTCCTTCAACTCGGCATAGTCTACCTCGAGTTGCTGGAAGACAAACGATTGAGTCTCACAGTGAATAGGGGGTACTGGTCGACGTGACCAAAATTGAAGTTGCTGTGTATCGTCATCGACTTGCATTTCATCGTCTGCTGCTGCGTCAGCACCATCTGCACCAACACCACCTTCATCCATTGCATCATCATCTTGATTATCAATATCATCCTCCTCATCAAAGATATCATCGTCATCATCCTCTTCATCCTCTTCAAAGTCATCGTCATCGTCATCTCCACCGCCACCACCTCTATAAGCTTGTTGCTGTGGTGCAGGTTTTGATTTCTTCAAATTATTATTTGTTCCCGCAGGTGTAAATCTCTTCATAATTATTTTATAAACTATATATTAAAATATAAAAAAATGAAGAACTTTTATAAAAACTATAAAACTATATTTTTTAATTATATAAATAATAATAATAATAATAAATATATGTTTGTTTAATAAAAAATTATAAATACTTGGAAAAATGATTTTGAATTGTGTGTGTTTGAAGTTATTATTAAAAAAAAAATTTTTAAAAAAAGAAACCGCCAAAATTTAAATTTTTTTTTTTTAAAAAGGATGTTTGTTTTTTTTTTAATTTTATTTTTTGTTTTGATTTTTGTAATATTGTTTGATTTTATTTATTTTGAACCAAAAGTTTGTGTCCAATAAGACATACCGTCAGAACCAACAGTGACAGCACCACCGAATCTATTGAGTTGTGGATTTAGGATGTTTGCTCTGTGACCAGGACTTTTCATCCAGCCTTCCATTGCTTCGCGTTCACTTCTTGGTCCTGCGAATACGTTCTCAGCGTAATAGTTGTAGGTACCTCCGAATGCTTGGAATCGCTCTGCCAGTCCACCTCTTGGATCGTCGTGTGTCATCTGATGGATTTGTGCTTGGTAATCAGAGTGTGCCTGTGCTGCCAACTGTAACGGTTCATCAGGATGCATCGCTTGCAGTCCCATCTTGGCTCTTTCTTGATTCACCATAGCCAACAACAATGAATAACTTTGATTATTTCCATGTTGTTGTTGTTGTTGCTGCTGTTGTGGTTGTGGTGCTGCTTTATGAACTGGTGGATTCGGTATTGGAATTGGTTGAACAACAGTTTGTTGTTGCGGAATATTTTGTTGTGGAGGAACTGGATATTGTTGTTGTTGTTGTTGTTGTTGTTGTTGTTGTTGTTGTTGTTGTTGTTGTTGTTGTTGTTGCAGCTGCTGTTGTTGTGGAGGTTTTGGTTTCATATAAGGATGAGAATTAAATGTTATATTTCCTGTGGAATCTACTATATTGAATGATCCATTTTCATTCAGTTTACAAGTGAATGGTGCTACTCCTTTACTAACTGTATTACTCTATTTTTATTAATATGTTTGTTAATATAAATATATTTTTTAATATAGTTTTAGTATTGTAAGAGATAACTTACCGACCAAGATATAGAATTGGTTGAATCGCATAGTGTTAGATTTCCATCGGAATGCATTGTTAGTTTATATGGACCGTTACCCATGAAACAGGTATTGGAAGACCACATTACGTGATTACCACATTTGTAGATGACAAGATTTCCATCGTTTTGGACAACCATACGACAGTCACTAGTTCTAATCTCTGAAGGAGATACCATCGATTGTTCATTGTTTAGCTGACCGTGGAATGCATTCATCTGTGGCGATGGAACTGGACCTGCAATCGGTGGAATTGGACTGGTAGATAATCGTCCTGAAACTGGTCTATTCGGTACTTGTAATTGTTGTTGTTGTTGTTGTTGTTGTTGTTTCGGATTAAAATAGGCATCACCACTTGGATTGTTGTAAGCTATTGGTGTCGATGGTGGGGTTGGATAAAGGTTGTTCTGTGGTGTAGTTGGTGGTGTTGGATATCCATTATTTTGATTAAATTGCTTTTGTTGTTGTTGTTGTGGTTGCTGATGTTGGAATTGTTGTGGTGTAGTTGGTGGTGTTGGATATCCGCTATTTTGGTTGAATTGGTTTGGTTGTTGTTGTTGTGGTTGCTGTTGTTGAGGTGGATATTGTTGACTCATTTGATATTGTTGGTGTGGTTGTTGTTGCTGATGTTGTTGTTGTGGATAGTATACATCTCCAGCTTTATAAGGTTGTTGTTGTTGGTGTTGTTGTTGTTGTGGTTGTTGTCCAGTAGGTGGTGCCGGATACTTATTTTGACCTGGAGAATGTGTGGCACCTTGTATTTTTGCCTTTACCTGTTTAAATATATCCTTTTTTTATTTTTAAATGAACAATTAATTAAAAAATAATTTATTCTTAAAAAATTATTATTTGATTTAGTTTTCTTACCATTTTTTAAATATTTATCTATATTTAAAAGTTATAATTATATTTGATAACTTAATATTTATAACTATTTTTATTTAATAATAGAAAGAACTGTTGGTCTGAGCTTCTATACATTTTTGACAACTTTTCTAATTTTGGTAATATTTTTGTTTTCAAAAAACAATTTTATTTTTATTTTTTATATGGTTTTGGAGATTCAGGAGCTTCAAACACTTTAGTCTATTTTTTCCAAAAAAATTTATAAATCTATGGGTTTATTAATTAATTACTGAGATAGTATACCAATTTTTTGAATAACAATGATTGTCATCAATCTATTTTTTATTTTTGTCAAATTTCTAAAAATTTTTAATTTTAAATAAATTAAAATAATTATAACAAGATGAGTATAAATATTGACGATCAATTAAATATTTTTCAAATCATTAAAATACATCCTTCAAAATATTATATTTTAACAATTTTACATATTTAAAATGACTCTTATTAGTAAGTAAAATTTCTAGTAAATATTAAAAATATCAATCAAAGTCAATTAACTTTTTAAACAAAAACATATTTTCAGAATCTATTTCAATGATTGGTGGTCGTAATTCATTGGAGAGTATTTCCAACAGTTTGATCAATGCATCCAAAGGTCAATCATCAAGTGATTCCGACAATCAAGAACAATGTTTTGGTTTTGGAAGAAGAAGAACAACAAACATTATCTTTGGTGATCTCAATGTCTTTGGTGGAAGTGGATTCGGTTGTGGTGGATGTGGTTGTGGCTGTGGTGGATGTGGTGGTTTTGGTTTAGGTGGATTCTAATTAAATAGTTCAAAATAAAGATCCTACCCAATATCCAAAACTATTTTTATATATCATATAAAATATATTCTTAATAAAAAATGAATTCTCATAAACTACTCTTTGTATTTCATTATTGATTTTTCAATATTTGTTGGTATCCTCAACTCATAATTTTTAATAAATCTTCAATATTAATCTTTAAATTACTATTTTATCTTGTACTAAAATTTTGAGAAATTTTTTTAAAAATCTGTTAGTACAAGAAGTAAACTAAAAAAATATTCTAATATCATTTCGATATTGTAAAATTCGGAATTTAAATAAAAGGAATAAATAGACTCCTGATGAAAGTTATATAATATAAATCGGAAAGATAATTTTTTATTTGAATTTTATTTAAAATTGGCATAAATGATAATTCTCTATCTAAGAACTCCATATTATTTATTTTTATTGGTTATTTATTTCTAAAGGAATGATATTATATCTAGATTTATTTTTCTGATCTATGAAACAGTCTTGATAGTTTGGAATGGTGATGATGATGCTTAGTAGGTTTATCAGCCGATTCCTTCTCTTGAGTTTGACTTTTCTCTCTAGATTTATGAGATTTCTTTTTATCTCTATCTTGGGAATAATACATGTTTCTTCCTTTATTCTCTCGTAGCCATTGAACTAAATCAATTTCTTCATCTTGATATCCTTCCATTTCTATTCTTTTGATTCTAGATTGTTTATTTATATATATACTATTTAAGTTGATTTTAATATAAATAGATAAGATTAGATGAAATATAAATTTGCTATTATTTGATTAAATATAGAGTCTTCTCACCTTCTTTGCTTCTATTTATTTCTTTTGAAATCAGTTATAATTGAAATACTAAATAAAATAAAAATATATAAATTTTCTTTTTTTCTTTTCATTGTTATTAAAAAGGAAATCTTTCAAAACCCAAATAAAGAATCGGAAATTTCATTTTTCATTTTATAAAAATGAAAAACAAGAAAAATAACCAAAAAGGAAATTAATGTTTTTAAAATATCCTTTAAGTAGTAAAAAAATTCGATTTATAAATAACTTTATAATATTTTATGATTTCGAATGGTTAGATCGAAGGTTTTTTCATAAAAATATTAATCAACCTTCTAGAACCTTATATTTAAAAAGTTGTATTAATTTGTTTAATTTATTGTTTTTCATTATTTTAAAATAAAATAAATTAAATAAAAATATATTAAGATCTAATTTAATTAAAATATTAAATTAATTAAAAAAAAATCTTGAGATTTCACTGTATTCTAATATTAATTTATTTTAATTCTTGAAAAATTTAGTTTTTGTAAATCTGGACCAACTTTGATCATTCTAATAGACACACGTTTAAAAGAATTGTTGTTGATAACTTTTGGTTAATTTCTTTTGGTTGCTAAAATGAATAGTATTATTAATAATAATAGTATAATATTACCATTAATATTACAAAAAAAGATATTATATTATTGTTGGTTATGTTTTTATCAGTTAAAATGGAAGTTATCATTGTTGTTGGTGAATCATAGTTGGTTCAATATGTTGGCCTCGATAGAGAATCATTATCCTAGACTTGCGATATCGATGTACAGTAGAAATATCGAAGACTATCAATTACATATCAATAATAGACTTTGTATTGCACATTACTCTAAAATCTGCATATCGCTTGTCGGCAGCGAATCACTACCAACCATCTCAACAACTCTGCTCAGCTCGTCGAAATCCATTCGTCTATGTCTATATGAATACACTCATTTCGAAGAGATATCGAAATCAATGATAACACTAAACGAACAATTGAAAGAAACAAAGCAACAAGCACAAGATATTCAAGATACAGATCAACAACAACAACAACAACTATGCAAAATAGAATTAGAAATCGATAACATTTTAAATATTGACTCGTTTGTTGGATTGTTATCGTTGGTTCCACCTTTATCTTCATTGACATTGCTAACCGATCACAAAGATAATATCGATAACAATTATAATAGTGGAGCTATCATTAGGTGTATTCGAATGCATCATGCCGTTGGACTGCGATCGATATCGCTCGACTTGAAACGTGTGACGGTGGAGACGCGCAATGAGGTGACTGACACCATAGCAACCTATTGCATGCAACTCAATGAATTCGCTATCAACATTGAGAATCAGGGTGACAATCAATTGTTTGTGCATCTTCGTAAGATGCAACATCTCGTCAAGTTTATCTATGGAAACAGCGGTGCCAACGTCGACTCCAACATTGCACTGCTCGACTATCTTCTCGACAACAAGTCACTGCTCGACCTGGAAATCAGCAACACCATATGCGAGACATTCGCATACCGATTATTTGGCAATGCAGATTGTTCAATTAAAAGAGCTGGTCTTACCATTTCCAATGTTATACAAGTACCTTTTTCATCGTCACCCTCATCGAAAAATTACAATAACAACAACATTGTTAATCACAGATTGAATAGATTACGATTCTATGTTGATACAGATTCACATCTATCGATAACAAAGAATCCATTCTTGCTGTTTCCGATGTTGACCCGGTTATATCTTTGGAATATCAATAGTCTGGAAAACACGATCGATATCATTAGAGAAAAGGCATCGGTCGATCCTTCGAACCAATATCGTTTGGAATGGCTACAATCATTCATTGGTCCTACGACATTCGGTAAACTCGATGGACTTCTCGGCGCAATCGCACAGTCGAGACTCACCAGAGTAGGCATCATGGTGTTTATCGACCCGAAATCGGTGATCGACCGACTCACCCGTCAACTAATCAACAAACAAAACACGACACTCGTCAAATTCAAATTCTACCGTCCTGGCGTAAGTTGTGTCATACCACCAAACAAAATATTCCAAGAAATACAACAAACTGAAACACTAATAAAATGTAAAAGATATATTAATTAATTTAATTTAACTCGCTAGCCATCCAAGGTTTGTTTTAGTTTTATTTTCTAATTTCTATTTATTTAATAATAATGGATCTGATAATAGAGTTGAGAGATCAACGGCTAGTTGTGAAAGTTCCAATATATTTTTATCGTTGAAATGAGTGTCTTTCCATGACTCGGCGTCAATGATACCAATAACTTGGTCGAGTTGTCTATCGAAAATTGGGATACATAGTTCCGACTTTACTTTATCGGAACAATTGTAGTATGGACCATCGTAACTCTCCAACGATTGAATGATCTTTCCTTTTCCATTGATTCCAACAAATGAATTATTACTGATGGTCTCCCAGTAGGAATTCAAAGGGAACAAAGGTCTACTTATTTCACCTTGATATGCTAATTTTGTTAAACTAAACAAATAAATAAAATATAAATATTAATAACAAACTTAACATTAACCTAATAATCAGTTGTTAAAGTAAGATCTTACCATTTTTCACCATTTACTTGATAAACTTTGTAAATACCAATCCAGTCTACATCTGTAAGTTTTTGAATTGCTTTTGTTATCTTTGTTTTTAAAACTGTTGTTAATAATAATAATAATTAATTAAATATATATATAAATATACTATACTTACTTGATATAATCTTGAAATAAGTGAAGATAGTTGTTCACTACGTTGACCTACTACTGTGGTTAAATCGAATATTTCAGTTTCGTGTTTGAGACTGCAAGTTCCACCATCACCCAACTTTGGAACTGTATAGATGTAATATTGGTCATCGCTATTATAGTAAGCAGGTTGTTGATTATTAATCAAACCTCCAATTAGATCGACAACATCTTTTGATATATTGACATTAGATTGTTGATCTTTTAAAAATGTTGTAATATTTGTTTTCAATAAATATTGATCCATTACTAAGATATTATTATTATTATTACTATAGCTATTAACTTAATAAACTTATTAAATGTAAATCATGATGGTTTATGATCTCTCTCTGTCGGTAATTAAATTTTGCAATTAATTAAAAAAAAAAAAAGAAATGATGGAATGGGATAGAGGGTGATACCATCAATGATTCTTTTGTACCAAAAAAATTTTATTCTAGAAAAAAATCTTTTATTTTCATACATTTTTGGTATAAAATGATTAAATAAATCTTAATTTAATTAAATATTCTAATTTTAGTAAAATTTAACTAAAGATATAAAAAAAGAACAACAAATAAAAATTCACTCTAACCAAACAACTAAGTCTTGAAACATCATATTTTTGACTTACTAATTCTCTTATTAGTTTTGTTGTGTATAATTACTAATGATTAATCAATCATGTTTACGATCTATATCTTTTGCAATGACATCTTTAATGATTGTAATTTTAAAAAAAATAAATCAAAATAAAAAAAGAAAAAAATAAAAAAATAAAAAAATAATGAAAAAAACTTTTTTGAAAAAAATAACGAACGAAGCGAAAGGATGGATTGTGTGTTGTTTTGATAATTTATTTATTATTTTTATATTTATTATTAGTTATTAGCACCTGATCAATAAATTTTAAAAAAGAAATGGTAGGAACAACTAAAAAGACAACTACAACAAAATCTGCTGCTGCTAAGAAGGTAGTAGCTGAGGAACCAGTTGCCGAGGAGGTCAAAGTTATCAAGACTAAAGCAGTAGCTTCAAAGAAAGCTGCTCCATCAAAAGTACAGGAAGAGGTTACTGTTGCCAAAGCAAAGGTAACTGCAACCAAGAAGTCATCAAAGGTTGTCGAAGAAGAGCCAACTCCAGCTCCAGTTGTTGAGGAGCCAAAGAAGAAGACTGCCGCCAAGAAGTCAGCCAAGGTTGTAGAAGAATCAACTCCAGCTCCAGCACCAGTTGTTGAAGAACCAAAGAAGAAGACTGCCGCCAAGAAGTCAGCCAAGGTTGTAGAAGAACCAACTCCAGCTCCAGTTCCAGTTATTGAAGAACCAAAGAAGAAGACTGCCGCTGCCAAGAAGTCAGCTAAAGTAGTCGAAGAACCAACTCCAGTTCCAGTTCCAGTTGTTGAAGAACCAAAGAAGAAGACTGCTGCCAAGAAATCTGCCAAAGTTGTTGAAGAACCAACTCCAGCTCCAGTTCCAGTTGTTGAGGAACCAAAGAAGAAGACTGCCGCTGCCAAGAAGTCAGCTAAAGTAGTCGAAGAACCAACTCCAGCTCCAGTTCCAGTTGTTGAAGAACCAAAGAAGAAGACTACTGCTGCCGCTGCAAAGAAGACAACTACTGAGACTGTAGTAGCACCACCAGAAGATAAGAAGGTATCAAAGAAGAAGGCAGCCACAAAGAAAGCTGCAGTTGAACCAGTTGTAGAGAAAGCAGCAGAACCAGCTAAGCCAATTCCAATGACACCAGTCGAACCACCCTACAGCATGGTATACAACCAAACTCATCACTCAATGAAAATAGTTGTACAACTCCACAAGATCCCACACAAGCACATCAACGTCGAACCAACCAACACTCACTTCAAAATGGACACTCTTAAACATACAAAGAAATATCTTTTAAAGTAACGTCTCAACTCTTTGTTGTTGCATTCAACTTTGATACTAATAATTATAACTTTAATTTATATATAGTGTACCTTTTATTTCAAATATTCAAGTGGATGCAGAGAAATCAGAAGCTTCTTTGGATCGTGATGTATTGACTGTTTTCATTCCAGTAATTACCGATCAAAAAGAAGTATTAAAGAGTATCGAGGCTGAAAAGGTTGAGAAACAAGACAGCAAACAAAAAGAAATCAGTAAGAAGAGAAAGACAACCGAATCAAAATCAACAAAGACAACTCCAAAGAAATCAACAGCCACCACCACAAAGAAACAAAAAGTAGAAAAGAAACAATCAGAATCAGCACCAAAGAAGAATAATTTCATTGATGTAAGTTTATTTGTTTATTTATTTAGAAATATAAGATATTGTTTATTAATTTAAAATGTAATTCAATTCAATTCAATGTATCGATCTATTATTATTATTATTATTATTATTATTATTATTATTATTATTATTATTATTATTATTATTATTATTATTATTATTAGAATGAATCAACTAAAGCTTTGATCGATGTCATTGCAAGACAACAAGAGGAACAAGCACAACAAAAGATTCAAAAGGAACAAATCAAACAGAAACAAGAAGAGGTCAGAGAATTTGAAAGAGAGAACAGAAAGGAATCGAAACATCAAAGAAAGATTCAAATGATTTCAGATCTTAAGGAGAAGAAAGCATTGGGTTTGGAAGACGATGTACCAATGACCAACAGCAATAAGAAGACAAAGAAATCTGCCAACTCAAAGAGAGTTTCATTTAATTAATAAATATATACTTTTAAATATTAAATATAACTATAACTAAAATCTTTATTCAACATTTTCTTAAAGCTCCACTCCCAATCGAAATCCATCCATCAGCATACTATTTGGTTTAAAACGAAGATTTCGGTATTGGTCCACATTCCTTCATTTATCTCGATAGACCTGATTTCAATTTTAATCTTATCTATTATAATAGTATTGTAATGTCGACCAATCTCGAAATCTTCGTCATAAATCATAGATAAACTCTTGTTGAACATTACTTCGAATTACTTCAATTTTCTTTTGTTGAACTAGATTCCCAATGATGATTCTACTTGATCGTTCACTAAAAATGAAGTATTCATTCTCACTACTTAAAATCCAACATTTCGATTTCAAGTATCTGCCTTTTGCTTTACCGGCTTTGCTTTGGGATGTTGTGACAACTTGGTGGTCTTGGGACGTAGGTTCAAAAGTTTAATGAATTTAATTCTCGATTCTTTGTTGATTAAGTTTTGTTAGTGTATCGAAAACACTCTTCTCTATATCTTTAAATTTCAATAGATAGCTGTCTATCAAAACTATCAAAAAAGAAAATAGATAGCCTGGAGATTAAAAAATTAAAAAAAAAAAAATAATTAATCTCTTTGTTCAATTTTAAAATTGATTTGGTAGTAGTAAATTTTGTTTTATATTATGTTTTAGCTCATTGTAAGTATAAGTTCCTATATAGAAGTTGTGTAGTTGTAAAAGTACTTAACTAATTCATTCTATTATACAAAGGTCAATTCATACAAAGAATGTGATCTTTCTAGATTTTATTTGTATTTTTAATCAAGAGAATAGTCCAATAAAGGTATGCACATATAATTTTATTAATATAAATTTTATTTACTTCTTAAATATATTTCGTATTTCATTAATTTATGTTCAACATATAAGATAGTTTTGTATGCCTACGACAAATTATTCTTGTATTACCGAATGTAAAAGATGAAGACTCCCATCTGGTGTCACTCAATAAAGTCTAGTATACATTATTCAATTAATTTTTTACTAACTTATTTGATACAGACCAATCCGGCATTATAGGGTAGGCACACTATAAAACTATATATTTTAAATGCACCACTTTAGAATAAAAAAAGTGCCCACAAGTCAATATTTCTAACTAAGGTGGTCAAGTTATTATATCGACTCAGCGACAATCTTTAAAAAGATTAGCAAAGTGAAAGATACCAACTTATATCCACTATTCAAGAAATCGATAGAAATTCAGCTTTCTCATATAAATTTCAATTGAAGATCTTTGAGAATTTGATTAAATCTTTCATAACATTGATAAATATAATTGTCTCTGTATTCTTTGATCTCGGGTTCGTTGTAGCTTGCTCCGAACTCCGATGCAGATTGGAAAACTCGTTTTACCAAGTAAAGAATAAAACAAACTTTATATTCTAAATCTGCTATAAAAATGCTTTCTATTTATCTAGTTTTTATTAAAATCAAACAAGGTTTGATATTTTATTTTATTTTTATAATATTAATCTCTATAGTGATAACTTAGAAAAAAAAAATTTGTGAAAAACATTCACAACCACTATCATTGTTCATTCTATGAATTATTTTATCTTAATTTTTTTGGAATTTTGTATGAATTAATTTAAACGACCCCACTCAACGATTATTAACCCCTCAAGATTAATAATAATCAACAAAATTACAATCATATATTATATATCGAGGTATTAGTAGTGTTTTGTGGGAATTTCAAGTTCATATGATATGTTGACTCGTATCTTCACAAAAACATCAACAACAACGCTAAGCACTAACATATATAGAAATAGTAGTACTACTTTTATAAAATTCAATAAAGAAATTCAAAGAACTAGCAATATTTCATTAAATATCGATCAACTAAATAATCAAACCACATCTTCTATTTCCTCTTCTTTTGATTCTTTAATATCAATTTCAAGATCATCATCTTTATCATCATCATTGCATATTAATAAATTTAATATTAATAATAATAATAATAATAGTCATCTATTTATAAACAATATAAGTGATAATAATAATTCATTTTCATTATTTAATAATAAATATTATTATTCGACTGATAGTAACAAAAGTAGTAGCAGTAATAATATAAATCTTAAAAAAGCAATTATGAATACATCACCTAATTCAGTACCACCAACAACCACACAGAGATTATTGCCGGATTCGAAAATGGGTGATTGGGAACGATTCCACACACACTCGATTGCCGGTGTCTTGAAGGGTGTACCCGATATTTTCGATGGTATCACCGTAGAGGATTTCCACCAATACCCAACCGACGAACTCACCTTCAAAAAGTATCTTGACGCTTCACTTAAGTATTGGGTAGATAACCAACGTAGAGGTATCTGGATAAAGATTCCACAAGCACAATCTAAATTTATATCTATTTTAGTTGAAGTAAGTTGCAGTAACTTATTTTATTCATTAAATTGGAAAGTGGAAATAGTTCTAATTACAATCAAATTTATTAGTCAGGATTTTCATTCCATCATTGCCAAAAAGATTATATTATGTTGACAAGATGGCTGCCAGAGAACGATGCCAATAAACTTCCGGATTACACTTCACATTTCATTGGATGCGGTGGATTGGTTATCAATGAGAAGAATGAAATCCTGTTGATCACAGAGAAGCAACGTCCAGACAAGTGGAAGATTCCAGGTGGTGCGTTAGATGCCGGAGAAGACATCTGTAAGACAGCGGTGCGTGAAGTCTTTGAAGAGACCGGTGTTCACGCCGAGTTTGTATCGGTTCTCGGTTTCCGACAGCTCCACAACTACGCATTCGATCGTGGTGATATCTATTTTGTTTGTGCGCTGCGTGCACTGTCGTCAGAGATCAATATGGATCCCTCGGAGATCGCCAAGTGCAAATGGTACCCAGTCGAGGAATTCGTAAAGCTGGCCGCCGAGGATTCGTTCCCACTGCAACGATCGGTTGCACGTCTCGCCTATGAATACACCTTCAACGGTTACAAAGGATTCAAAGCAGACGAGGTTTCCAACTCACTTCGCACCGGCAATTCATTTGTCTACCACGGTTCCTCAGCTGATTTCTCAGATCTCGTTTACAAGCCCAAAAGAGAGGAAATCAAAAATAATAACTATGATATCTGAATCTCTAAATTATAACTAAATCATATGATATTTTGGGTCCTTTATTTAAAATAATAAAATCATAACATATATTCATTCATAATCAAAGAATCACGTTATTACTTTTTAAAGTTCAGTTTATTTTCATGATGACATTGTTTGTATATTCTACAAAGTAAGATAAAACAGAAGATAGATTCTACTATTTTTAAATATTCAAATTTAGTAATAACATCATACTTTAAGTATATGTTGTTATGAAATAAACCATCTTTAAATCCATATTCCATTCTACAAGCAATTAAAAGTCTGTTGCATCTTTTAATTTCAACCAAAAAAAGTTATTAAAAAATGATGTTATCTTTTTTTAAGCATTCTAGAACAATTCATATTAAATTGTGAAAAATAACCACAACCACTATCATTAAAAAAAATAAAATTTTTATTTTTTTTTTGAACACACAAATAATTGTTTGCAAAGATGTGAAATGTTTAATATAAATAATGATGAAAAATGTTGAATTCATTCATCCGAAATTTAAATAATAATTATAATAAACTAAATAATTATAATATTAATAATAATAATACACTTTTTTTACAACTTTTAAATCAAAATAATCAGTATAATCATAATAAATATTATAGTTTTAAAATGACAACAAATACAACAACAGATAACAAAAAAGAATTCAATAGAGAGGCATCGAAATTGAGAAACTGGGTTAAAGTTGGTAGTGATCAATTCCCACCTGAATTAGATCGTTATCATTTGTATGCAAACTACACATGTCCATGGGTCAATCGTGTCTTGATCGTTAGAAAACTAAAGGGTTTGGAGCATGTGATCAGTGTCAGTATTACCGAGCCGAGATTGGATGAGAAAGAAGGTTGGCCATTCAACCCAGAGTTTGACGAGTTGACCACTGAAGATAGTATCAATCACGCCAAGAACATACCGGAGCTCTACAAGTTGTCCGACGCCAACTACCAAGGTCGCTACTCGGTGCCAATCCTATGGGACAAGAAGAAGTCGGTCATCGTAAACAACGAATCGTCGGAAATCATCAGAATGCTAAACTCAGAGTTCAATGCATTCTCCAACAATCCACAACTGAACTTGTTGCCCTCAGACCTAGAGTCAGAGATTGATAAAATCAATGAACTCATCTATGAGAACATCAACAACGGTGTCTACAAATGTGGATTCGCACCCACACAAGAAGGATGTAAAGTATCTCATTCATAACTTTTTTAGTTAAATATACAATATAACTAACAAACACACACATTATAGATGATATTGCATTTGATAAACTATTTAATACATTAGAATTATTGGAGAAGAGATTGGATACCAATAGATATTTGTTGGGTGATAGATTTACAGAGGCAGATGTAAGATTGTTTCCAACATTGGTTAGATTCGATGCAGCTTATTATAATGGATTTAAGTGTAATTTGAAGAGAATTCAAGACTATCCAAATCTGTTTAATTACTTGAAGGAACTCTATCAGATGCCACAACTCCAATCAACAATCAACTTCAAACATATAAAGAATGGCTATTTCAAGTCGAAACCATCACAGAATCCAACACTGATCGTTCCAAAGGGTCCAAACACAGACATCCTCTTGGAGCCACACAACAGAGCTACTAAATTACCAATCAGCTGAAAAACAAAGAAGAAAAATAAAAATTACTAAAATTTTGTTATGTATATATTTAAAGACACACATTGTTCAACCAATACTTAACGTCTGTTCATATCATATTCAATATTTTTAAACAGATAAGACTGCCGAGTCTGCAAAGCGTGCACTCGAATCAATGACAACAGAGAAGAAAGCGATCGGTGGTAAAGTTCCAGAGCTCGCAATCTTGGAAGGTGAAGAAGAACAAAAATAATTTGGTAGAATTAGAGATTTCAAGGCAAAGGCAAAGAATGGTGGTAGTAGAGGTGGTTTCAGAGGTGATAGAGGTGGTAGAGGTGGTAGAGGTGGTTTCAAGTCACATAAGAAACAAAGAAATTAAAAAATATTATTATAAAAATAAAATATTAAATTAAAATTAAATACACACACCAATCAAATAATTGAACAAACACATTTTATTTGAGATACCTTTAGTTGAATTCAAACAACAAACCGTTTTTAAAAGGGCTACCCAAAAAATATGAAAAAATTGTAAAGAAAAAAATTTTGGTGATTGCAAAAAACAAATAAATTAATTAATTAAATATCTTGAATGAGTTGACGAGATAAAGAAGTGACCAATTTACAAATAGAAATAATTTAAATTTTTAATATTATATAAAAATGGCTTTTTTAAAAGAGAGTGTGTCAGATAAGAAAAAGTATTTATAGAGTGGATTTTGTTTGTATTTATAAATTTAAAAAATTATTTTCTTTAAATAATAGTTAGTTGTATAATTATATATTTAAAACAAACAAAATGAATTCATTAGAACCCAAACCATTAAGTAAGACTCAACATTCATCCAAGAAATATGATGATGACAAGAAACCAAAAAAAAGTGAAGATACTGGTCCAGCTGATAAGAAGGATCCACCAAACGATTTTACTAAAGTTATTGGAGGTAGGTATTTTTTATAAATAGCTAACAATAAATTCTTATTCTTATTCTCTTATTCTCTTACATTTATTAGGTCGTGTTGAAAAAGGTACAAAAATATTGGATTCATTATTAAAAGGTTCAAAACAAGAGATTATTAATTTAATTAATGGTGACGGTGTTAATGCAATTAATATGATTAAGAGTGTTGTTTTGACTGGTGTTAGCTGTATTCCATATATTGGAGGTCTACTATCATCTTTAATGGATATTATTTGGTCTGCTTTTAGTAGTTCAAAGGTTGACATTGCTGAGCAGTTCAAGAAATTCATTGACCAGGAGGTTAGACAAAAGATTGAAGAATATGACTTGGATTCATTGAAATCACGTTACCAAGGTATTTGCAATGTTATGTCTCTCCATAATCAGAATGTCCAATCTTGGCTTCAGGCGCATGGTGATAAGTCTACAACCGAAACACTTCGTAGTTCATTCGAGTCCATCGATGAAAACTTTTCAGTTTACATAGAGGAGGCTAGTAAAGATGGTCATGAGATATCCGAGATGGTTTATTATGTACTTATTGCTACAAGTCATATCGCATTAGTCTCCCAAATCATCTCTTATCATCATCAATTGGGATATGATTCATCTCAATGTAATATTCACAAGAAAAGATTGACCGATCTAACTGAGACCTACACAAAGCACTGTGTTAAATTCTACCAAGAAGGTTATGATCAGATCAAAAACAAAATGGAAGGGGACAATCTAAAAATGCTCTATGAAACCAATAATTACAATAGATTGTTAAAGTATGAGAGTTTTATGAAGAACAATGTATTTGATTTCGTAAATATGTGGTGGTCAATGGATGTACGTAATTTGCCCATGGGTGGAACTCAAGACAGTAAGTGATTAAAACAAAATAATGGAATTAAAAATATAAACTAATATAATATGTTATTAATTATTTTTTAGATGTTAGATATTTATATTCTAGAATATGTGGTGATGTTAATTCATTAAAACCAAAATATGATAAATATCCACCAGGAGAGGAATTCTTACATGCATCAATTGATGAGATTCATGGTCATCTCTATGATAAACATTATTACCGTGGTGAATTCGCTGGAATGAATGGTTGGTGTGGTGCAAGAGTTACTAGTATCCAATCATCGGCAAGAAGAACTCTAAAAGCTGGTGATAAGGAGATGGATCTAGAATTTGGTAATAGAGTTGGTAATCAAAGTGGTTTCCTTGTCAAAACCAAAGATTACAATGCTGATAAACCATTGGAATCGTTGTGGGTTGGTTCGGAAATCGTTCCATTCAATATGAATATCGATGGTGTAACCTTTGGAAATCATGACGGTAGAGCCACCCAATATAAATTAGAGTTGGCAGGTCACAAAGTTGGATATGTTTTTGGTTTTGGAAATTGTATGACCAATGGATTCGATAATCAACTTGATGCCATGTTAGTTGCATTCATTCCCAAGTCCCTTAAATGGAGAGGATTCACTGAGATCACTGATGAAGCTGCTGTCCCTATCGATGCCCAGTTATATAACGACTCTGATAACTGTCAATTCCATACAATGAATTCCGATACTTTGAATCTTGTCAAGCTTGCCAAGGGTGCTTACATCAACTATCACGTAAAGTACACCGGTAAGTACAAGTCACTCCGTGTCAAAATCAGACCAAGAGCAACATCCGATGGAACCAAGAATGATAAGTGTGTTATGACTCTAGAGTTTTATATCAATGGAGTTAGACACCAGAGTAGCGAACCAACTGACTATAGAATTCACCATTCAACACTTACCTCATCAAAGGCACTCCATGTCATTAGATATGATAATATAAATGAGTACTACAATCTACCAAAGGATGCACTTTGTACATTCAAGCTTATTGCCTCTGGTGATTGTGGTTTCATTTTATCACATCTTATCGTTCATCCAATTGGTAGTGGTGATGATCCGATTATAGAGGGTAGTGGTACACCATTATCATACAATTTCTACTTTGATGACAATTATGTTTATGGAGAAGAAGATGATAGAACTTTTGAGATTACCGATGACTTTTATGATGATGTTGACGATGTCGATTATCAAGATGTTCTAGCAGCTTTAAAGAAAATACATCATGGTAAGAAACACGTGCATCATGATAAGAATTCTCCAGAGGAAGATGACTAAAGAGTAAACCAAACAAATTGTGACAACAAACACAACAAGATCAACAAAAACATCATTAATAATAACAACAACAACAACTACTCACTAAACCCATTCATTATTAATATATTTGTTCAAATATATACAAATAATAAAGAATTTAAAAAGATCAACACTACCACCACTAATTAAATTGATTTCAAGTAATAGACTAACTTAACTATATTATTTATTAAAATTACTTATAAATTGTTCAATCTCTTTCTCTCTTTCTTACTAATTAATCCTTTAAAGATAATATTATCTACTATATTATATTAAAAATATTTGATGTCATCATATTAAAGTTAATTACTTTTATCAAATTGAATATGTATGAATATCATAAATGATTTTTGATTTTATCAGTAATTCTTTTTTTTTTTTTTCAGTTTTCAATTTTTTACTTGTGCCATGCCATGCGATCCATAGCCAAGAAGAACTGTTACCGGAACCAGATAATTCATTCTTATTATTTTTTTTATTTGAGTTTGGTTCCCTGAACCAAACAATACAACAGAAATGCAGAGATTTCTTGGTATGATGGGTTCCACTTCATCGGCGTATTTGCATATCATAACAAGACGAAGATGGAGAGTGGCATCCAGTGATATACGAAAGTAGAAGATGACAATAGGGAGAAAGGTTACAGTACAACTGACAAGGAGTTGCTATCAACAATACACATTCTTGATAAGTTCAAACATTATCTTAGTGATCAGTCAATTACTGTAAAGACAGACCATAAGAATCTCATCACGTGGGAGACCAGGGAAGACTTGTCACGAAGACAGAGAACCTTTGTGATTTCGATATCAGATTCGAATACATACCCGGTGTAGAGAACACAGCAGGAGATGCTCTGTCTAGAGATCCAAGATTTGCGCTGAAGTGGGATGAAGACTTTATTCAACAGATTGTAGATTCATACATCAACAACGAAATTATTGTGAATATGGAACGAAACAGCAATCTCAACTTTATCACACAAGATGGTTTGAAATATTTGATAGAACCAGATCACCAAGAAGACTAATTCTTGTTGATAAGGAACACATAACGAAAATACTAGAAGAGAATCACAGTGGTTACATTGCGGGACATCTTGGAATCACAAAGACAACTACCAATGAACTTGGTTATTTTGATACATGTTGGCAAAATAATAGTTTTGACGGATTCTCTAGTACCAGTCCGTCAAAACTATTATTTTGCCAACATGTATCAAATAATAACCAAGTTCATTGGTAGTTGTGATATTTGTCAACGAGTTACCAAAGATAAAGCGAAAGGTTATCTAACATCATTGGAAATTCCAACTCGTAACTGGATGGAGATAGGCATGGATTTCATGAAATTACCAACCTCCAAGAATGGTTATGACAATGTTTTAGTAGTAGTGGATAGATTAAGCAAGATGGTTCATTTGTGTCTGTGTACTACAGAGATTACAGCCGTGGAGACTGCCAAATTGTTTTTTAAGTATGTATTCCGTTATCATAGGTTACTATCTACAATCGTCTCTGACCGTGATTCAAAGTTTACTTCAGATGTGTGGACTCATGGCATTACTACAAACTAGATTAAAGATGTCTACACCGAACAGACCACAAACTGACGGTCAGACAGAGAGGTACAACCGTACTCTCAAGTTAATCCTTTCAAAACATCAAGAGGTGGTGAAGGAGACATGGGACGAGCACTTACCGGCAGTGGAGTTTGCGATCAATTCAGCCAAGCAAGCTTCTACTGGCCTTTCCCCATTTGAACTCAACTTTGGTTTCGAACCAACAACACCATCCAACATTATCAACATCAACAACATCAAAGATATGGAGATAAGAGAATTGATCTCAAATTATACACAGATAGCTAGAGATAATATCTTATCATCTCAAGTGCGACAAGCTAAATATTACAACAAGAACCGTAAAGATGACTCTTTCGAGAAGGGAGAGGAAGTAGAAACAATATTGCTAATGGAGTTTTAGAGATGATCACAGATAGTAAGAAGCTAGTACCTGGTTACATTGGACCCTACAAAAGAAACTATTTTACTAAAAGGTATTGTATTCATGATGCATCTGTACTAGAATATATACAACAGATGCATCATGAATACAATACCTTTGCAAGACATCAACTTCTTAAGAAGTTTCCACGGCTCCAGGAGGACGACGCTACAGATTTGATCGATCAAGGATGAAAACTCGGTGTGAGAAAAAAAATTATTTTGAGTGATCACACTTTACTAATTTTTTTCTGGTCTTAAAAAGAATTTGTTTATTCATAGAATAAAAATAAAATTAATATATCTAACAAAATTAATTATACAATTATTTAAGTTATAATAAATAGTATAAAATGCAATTACTTTCATTTCTCTATCTCTTTATTTCATATGAAATAATAAATATTTTTATTACTTTCACTCTCTTAGTTCCACAGGTAACTCAGTTACCACTCATATTAATTTTCATTTTCCGTGGGCGGCAACTCAGTTTTATTTAATAATTAAATTTAATACGATTTTCATTGTTGTTTTGTTGATTATCTCTCTATGTTTTGACGATTCTATTAGAATAAATACTTGAGTTTTTATTTTTATTTCTTCTAGATAAAAATATTGTTATAAAAACTTTTGGGTTACTCTTTGTTGTCTGTATGTTGTTGCTTATTTGTTGACCATTTCTTTAAATATGCATCGGTAGGTATTGCTTTACAAGGAATATGAATGGTTTGATTGTCGGTATGATTGCTAAGAAGTTGTGATTCCCTATCGATATAATATTGATATTGTTTTTGATTGGTCGGTAGTTGCCATTCCATGAGGAATTGATTTGGACAACTATATTTATAAACATGCGATTGTTTCTCCATTAAATTATCATAATACAAATCTTGAGCTTTCTTTAACCATTCTCTAAGTTGATTTAATCTAATAATAGATTGTTCTTTGATTGTCAAGCTTTTATCTTTATCTTCATCTATAACTCTTATTTCTTCTTCTACCTGTTGTTGTTGTTGTTGTTGTTCTCTTTCGATTTGTTGTTTAATAGCTATCTTTTCTAACAATTCCAACTCTACTTGTTTTTGTTGCTGAAGTTGTTGTTCTGCTTCTTCAAGTTGTTGCAATCTTTTATTTTCCAATTCTTCTTGACGTTGTCTCTCTTTTGCTTCTCTGCGTAGAAGTTTCTCGAGTAACTTTCGATTCTCTAACTCTTCTTCTCTTGCTCTCCGCTCTTTTTCCTCTAGTTCTCGCCTAAGTCGTTCTCTCTGTCGTTTCTCGTGTTCTTCTCTCTTCCGCAGTCTCGCCGCTTCCTCATTGGCCGCTCGTCTCTCCTTCTCTTTCTGTTTTGCTTCCAGTCGAAGCTTCAAGTTCAAATGAATCTGTTCGCGTTGAAATCGTCGTCTTCTCATCGCCACCTCTGAGAAGAACGAATCGTCATGATAGTTTATCTCCACCGGATGTGGAGCAACAACGTAATTCTCGCCATTCCTAACATTGAACATCGTATAGTTACTTAGCGTTTCATAGCAACTGACTGAACTATCAATACTTTGAAATCCAATCACCACTTGAAAGTATAACAATGTATCTAAAGTCGAATCATCTATATCTAGATCCTCTTGTTGGATATTATTATTATTATTATTAACAATGATCATAGCTCTAAGATGTTGTTGTTCTGACTCCACAATGATTTCAATGTTGTCTATCACACCAAAGTATGAAAAGGTTTGTTCAATTGTTGCTGTAGATGGATATCCACGTTCACTTGGTCTACAGCTATCGATTGTAAACCAAGCTGTCGGTAAATTAGATATTGAAACTGTTCTTGTTGTTGTTGTTGTCTTTTTAGTTGTTGCTGTTGTTGTTGTTGTTGATGATACTCTTTCTTTCAAAGTAAATTGATATCTATTCTTTGATCCTTTAAATGTTATATTTGAATTCGATAACAATCTATCATTGAATTGATTATAATCTCTTGATGATAATATAATTTTAAAACAATAAATATCTAATGATGAATGATTATTACTATTATTATTGTTGTAAGGTTCACATTGTAAACATTTCAATGGTGATATTAGATGATTTAGCATCTCTAAAACATCCCATCTTGTTGGAATACTACTACTACTACTATTACTATTATTCCCGGTATTGAGATGTGAAAAACTTATGATGATTGTCTCTACCAACTTTAATAATATAGAATTACTTAGTTTTATTTCATCTTTATACATTGGTTTGTTTGATCAAACATTATATATTATTATAACAAATAACTGCACCACTATTCTAATAAAAAAAAACTAAAATTTTTTAAAAAGTAATGACACAATTTTTAGATGTAAAATCAATGAAAATAAATTTAAAAAAACGTTGAAGCTTATTATTTTTGTTATTTTTATTTAAATATGAATGTATCATCTACAATTCCACCACTTTCTATCACAGATTTTAATTCAATGAGTAGCAGGTAATTGCTGGGTGATATGCGCTTCAAGTAGTATGTTTTATTTTTATGGTAAAGAATGATGGTTTGTACAGTTTGTGGAATCGATTTGATTTGTTTCGCGAAAAAGCAATCTCTAAAAGTCAATATGTTGACAGATTCAACAATGACGCCTGGCTTTACTTTGAGTGGAGCATTGGGGTTGAATGATAGCTTTGTTAGACCGGGCGGAAAAGCAGATGATAAAAGTGGATATTTCTCGAATGAGCAATTGAATGTCAACTTTCTCACTGTTTTAGGTATTACTTTTGGTTTTAATTTCTGGTTGAAATTCTCTCCGAAAGTAATAGATTCCAAGTGGCGAGGTAATGACTTTTCGTTGAGTTTTTGATTGAACATGAATGGTATCTCTAGTTTTTTGAGTGATTGAGGGAAATACTTGGATTTTAGTGGTAGGTTGTAAGAGTAACCCATATGCAACATTGTCAAGCCATCTGGAAATGCCAAGATCTTCAGGCTGTAAGTCCAACCTCGTGGTAAAAATAACTTCTTTAGATTCGGTGGTAATACAATTGAGCTATCCACGTTAAATATCATCGTCGTTGAACACATTCGTAAATCCAATGTCGTTATGGTCAAAGGAAAAGCGACACTTTCTTTGACGTAGCCCATAATCATTTCCCCTGCACAATAACTCATACTAAAGTATTGTAATGACTTGAAATTTATCCATTTGATCTTTGATGCGTGGTTATCTGGTAGGTTCTCTAATCTCACCAGTGATTCAAGAGAGTTGTCTTGATGATAATCAACAATCGATGTATAATGACCGAGATCCGACTGTGAGAATCTAAGAAGTTTGAGTTTCGGTGGCAGTCCTTTCAATGATAACCTTGTAAGACCAGCCCCAAATATAATAGATTCCAAATTGTCAGGGAGAATACCACTTGTATCTATCAGCTGATTGAAATCCTTGCCAAACTCTAGAGTTTTAAGTCCAACAGGAAAGCACCCTACTGTCAATGGTTGATTGAACTTCTCACCGAAAACCAACTTCTCTATGGTTCGAGGAAAGAAGTTTGGTTGAATAGGTTGATTAAAAAGTTTACTGAAATAGATCGTTGTAATATTGGATAGTCCGACTGATCTCATAAAACCATCGTCAATATGTTCTCTGTAGTGATCTGTAAAATAAAGATGTTCTACCTGATCTTTAAAAGCTATTAAACCACCTTTATCAATATTGCTATAATTGTTGCTGTTGCTGCTGTTGTTATTAACTTCATTATTATTATTGTTTTTATGAAATAGGTATCTATGAAGAGCGTGTTTTGGTTGAGAAATCGATGTTACACATATTGAGTTATAGTGTGCAGAGTTATTTGACTGTATTATAAATTTATTATATGATTTTAAAAAGGTGTTATTGTATTCAGCATCGAAACTAATGAATTGTTTTGTGTGTAAAACAAGATATTTTTCTCTATTGTCGAACCAACCTTTACAAACCAAAGTAAAAGCAATCCTATCTATATTTAACTCGATAAAACTGACAATCTTTGCTAATAATGTATGTGGTAACTTATAAAAAATTGGATTTGTCATTATATTTTGATCCACAAATGTTGTCTCTTAATTTGAAAATTAAAAAGAACATTACACCCTCAATTCTGGGTGTAGTCTCGATCGCTTGAAATTTGCCTTCTCGTTGAAGATTTCATTTTCGAACAAAATTTCATTTGAAATTTTAAATATTTAAATTGTATTATAATCAAATATTTAAAGTAAATTGATTTTGTATTTATTTTACTAGACTACTTTGTATATAAATATAATATTATTACAACAACTATTTTCTTTTATTCATAATCTTGATAATTGATTAAATCGAAAAAAAAGATTGGTTTTAGAATAATCTTTGGAGAACAGATGCACCACTTTCTAAATATTCCTCTTTTGTGATCCACATTGATTGGAAGGTCGATAGAGAAGCCATTATGGAACCTCCAATCCATACAGCATTTTGACGTTCTGGTAGTGCCATCACTTTGATACTTTTGACAGTAGAGAGATTTGTCAGCTCCTTAGATAAACGTTCTTTGATTCCGGGGAACATTGTGTTGCCACCTGACAGCATGATTGTATTAGATATTTCACCACGAATATCAATGTCACATGCCATATAGGATTTGTGTATGGTTTGGTGAATGCCTTGGAATGGAACATCCAACATCGATGGATCAAACAATGCTTCTGGACAAATGGAACGCTGGTGCTTGATACCTATTATTTGTCCATCGGGCATAGTATATGATTTATCTTCCATATCTTCATTCTGGAAATCCATTGAAACAAAACTTAATTTCTCTTTGATGTCACGAGCAACCTGTTCCTTGACAATGTTGTTCTCAAATGTAACTCCAGAGTCTGACAATAGCTGTGACATGTAATTAGTGAGATGGCGACCTCCATATTCTTGACGAACAATTTTATTGGAAACAGGCGTACCCTCATACACTGGAACGGTATAGGTTACACCGTCACCACTATCCATTACAAGTCCGGTGTTGTGGCCACTGGAGTATAACGCCAACACCTGTTGAACCGATAAATACAACGCCGGTGTTTTGAATGATTCAAACATTATCTGAGCCAACTTTTCACGGTTTCCCTTTGGATTCTGAGGTGGCTCTGTCAAGAGAACCGGTTGTTCCTCTGGCTCCACTTTGAGAATATCGGCGAATGTATGATTCCATATCTTTTGCATACTATCCCAGTTGTTGATATAACCGTATTGCATTGGATTGCTCAAGTTTAGAATATCTCGTTTGAGCTGTGCTTCATTTCCAACGTATGTATCATTAGAGTATTTCGATCGACCTACAATCGTTGGCATTATAGTGTGTGGTGCATTACCGCCTGAGAATCCTACTTTAGTGAAACCAGATCCATTATCTATAACTACAGCTTTCTTATTTATTGATGACATTATTTTATTATAATAATATTTATAAAAAAGTGAGATTAAAATTTATTTAAACCCATGCAAAACCAAATAAATTAAACCCTTCAAAACCAAATATTTAAACAAATTTGCAAAAAAAAAATATTTATTTAAAAGTTTAAAATATGAATGAATTTCGATTGGCTAAAAAATCGGTGAAAAAAATAAAATGAAATTATAAAAAGTTATAACTTCATTTTAATTTAAAAGTGTCGAAATGTTAGACCTATAATAATATCATTAAGATAACAAAAGACAATCTTTAAATCATCAACTCTAACTGTTGGAAAAAAAAAATGGGATTGATTATTATTTAGTAGATATCAATGTCTATGTTTGAACATTTCTTTAAAAAGCAAATCAAGACATAGGTATACATAATTTTATACATTATATAAGCTTCAAACAAAGGATAAAAGAAAAGTTTTTTCAAAAATGTATATATAATTTATTGTTTGGATTGGGTTTTTAATATTGAGAATTCTTTTTTTTTGGTTTAAAAAAAGGGTGTAAGGTGGTTGATGGTGTTGTGAATATGATTGGCAGGATTTATTTTGTTGATGTTGAATGTTTGGGGCGAAAGGTGAAAATGATTTGATTGTTGGGAATTGTTTTTTTTTTGGTTTGTTTTTGTTTTGTTTTTTTTTTTTTTTTCTTTTGAAACTATCATTGGCTTATGGCTTGAAGTTCAACTTGTCCAAAAAGGCAGATAATTCTTCATCGTGCTTGATAAATGAGTCGTAGATTGACTTTCGATCTTTTCCAGTCTCGAAAAAGCTTGTAATATCTATTGATTTCTCTTTGAATGCTTGAGCAGTCTTTTCAACGTCTTCAGATTCCAAAATGAAATTCATCAAAATCTTTCCAATGTGGGGACCACAAGATGGTACCTGAGCTGCGAGTACTTTTGCAACGGTTTGCAATGAAAGTATAGATTTGTCGTATAATCTGAAAATAATCTTTCCAGTTGGCTCTGTAGCTGTTGGTCTATCCTCAAACAAATCGATTAAAGCATTTGAGAATTTTTCAAATCTAACAAATGATTATTGGAAATTAACAAAATATTAATAACATTATTGAAATATTAAGTTGTTTAGAAATATATATATTAAACTTACCCACTACTGATTGCGTTGCTTGTAAAGAATTTCTCTTGGTACAATTGAATCAAGAGATCGGATAACTTATTCAGTGCGGATTTTGAATCGGTTGCGGATGTCAGTATGCTGGAAATTACATGTGGGTGGAGATCGACGGAAGGTGCGTATTCTTTGACACACTCCATAAACTCTGTGACATCATCAATTGAGAGATATTCATTGATTGAATCGTTGATCGATTGGCTGATGGAATCGGTCCAGCCAGATTTGTCTTGTTTGTTGTTGGACATTGAAGAGGAGATCGATGGCGACGCTCCTTGTGATCCGTAGTGCATTGGCGATGGCGAGTTGATTGGCGACTTGGCAATGGTCGATGGTTGGTTGATACCGAATTTGTTTGGACCGGTGGCACCTCCCATTGGACCACCCATCATTCCACCTTGGATGCCTGGCTTGGGCTTCATCATCATCGATGTTGCACCTGGCTTGCCTGGGAATCCCTTGGAGAAGTTCGATGGCATGGTGAACATGTTCTTGCCAGTGACGTTCTTGACACCGAGACTGGTCTTTCTGTCTTCTTCGGCGGCCTTCTCCTCCTTTGGCTTTGGTGCTTCGGTCTCCTTCTCTTTCCAACCGTTATTCTTTAGATCAAGGACGTTCTGTATCAAGAATTTAATACGTTGTGAAAGGTTGGATGTAGAGATGAGCAGCTCCATACGCAGTGAGTAGGCTTTCATGTATTCCTCTGCGCCAGTCTTTGAGACGATCTTGTAACCGATTGGCGCCATCAGCTTGCAGAAGCACTCCAACTTGATCTCCTGTGGCTTGTTGAGCTCACCCATGAGCGCGACCAAAATACCGTGGATAATCTTCTCACTGAGCATATCTTGCTTGAACAACTCTGCGATGAACTTGATGAGACCAAACACCTTCTTACGCTGCACAAACTGCTTCTCCTCAAAGTCGGCCTTCTCGGCTGCCGGGAGATCCTCGGGAACTTCGTGAATCGTTTCAAAACTCTTTTGAACCTTTTCGTATTCCTCCTGACAGGTCTGGAGTAGAAGTGCTCTGAATTTCGGCTTGAACTGGTCTTCGATCTCCTTGGTGAGTGAAGCTGGATCTGGATATTGCTCCTTCTTCTCACGCTCCTTCTCTTCACGCTCGAAAGTAAAGATCTTCTTGCAGAGATCGGTATACATAGTGACGTACTTGGCTTCGGTGATAGCCTTCTCAAAGATCATAGAGATGACACCAATGAAAACCTCGGTGTTCTTGATGATGCCGAGCTCCAAGAGGTTGAGAGAGAGCTGGTCAAACTTCTCCGGTGCCATTCTGTTGAGAATGAACTTGGCTTTTCTGAGATGGATCTGTGTGTCGGAGAGACTGTCGAGTTTGGTACGTTGCCAACGATTCTCGCTGACCGGCAAGATGTTCTGTGGCGGTGCCTGTGGTTGAATCTGTTGTTGCATCTGTTGGTGGTAGTTCTGGTACTTGTTGAACTGCGGTTGCTGTTGCTGTGGATATCCACCCATATTCTTTTGCGCGTACATCGGTTGATTCTTTGCCATCATCTTGTTCTGTGGCTGTTGGAAGAATCCGCCGGGTCCCTTCATCTTGTTCTGTTGACCCTGTTGACCTTGTTGACCACCAGCGCCACCTTGATGCGACTTTGATGAATCTACACCCAAATCCTTGAGTTCTGGACGTGGTTCGATGTGTGATGGACGATACTTGATCATCTCGTCGTTCGAGTAACGAATGACACCCGATGGTTTCGCAGCAAATGGATTGGTTCCACTCGATGAGAGAATCGATTGATGCAATGCGTTGTTGCTGCTACTCAAGTTGTACGACGACGATGAAGATGTTGGTGCTGGTATATCGTTGACTTTCTTTTCCCATTCTTCTTCCTCTTCTACTGGTGCTGGAGAGTTAGTCGACTGCTGCTGGTCAGCGGCATTCTTGGCTGGAGACAATTCGCCTTCCTCCTTTTCTTCGGCTTGCTGTTGTTTTCTTGGTGTGGTTGGATTCTCCTCACTGTTGCTTTCCTTGAGCGAAAGATTCTCGAGTCCTGTTGACAAACTGTGTGACTCTGAAGCTTTGACATCGGACTTGGTGTCGTCGTCTTTGTGCTGTTCGACGGCAGCTGGTGTGGCAATTTGCTGCTGTTGTTCGGCAGTCTTGTCAGCTGTTGATTTGTCCTCTACGGATTTGCTTGGTGAAGCAGATACCGTTGATTCAGAGGCGGGTGTTGCTTTGTCGTCGGTGGTGGCACCAGTGGTGGGAGTAGCGGCGGCAGCCGGAGCGGAAGGTGTGGACGAACCAGAGGCAGAGGTTGTGGATTGCTCTGTTTGTTGTGCTGTTGCCTGTGCTGCTGCTTGTGCTGCTGCCTGCTTCTTGTCTCTCTTTCTTGCATGAGCGTTACCGGCACTGAAAGCAGGTGGAGTCGAAACAACTGGTGCTGGAGCATTGTTGTTGCTGCTGCTGCTCACAGGAGCAGTAGTGGTTGTTGTTGACGATGCTGCTGCTGCTGCCGCTGATGTAGGTGTTGTTGTCGTTGGAGTAGAGACAGTTGGAGTAGTGACCGGTGTGACTGGAGCGGACGAAGGTGGGGTGTGTGACTTTGGTGGCGAAGTATTGATGGTAGTCTGAGTGTTTGGATCTACAATCTGCAACACCTTCTTTGGCTGAGAGGTAACCATTGGTGGTTGTGGAGTATGATAGAACTCTGGAACATACTGTGGAAAGTATGGTGGTTGATAGTATGGAACTTGTTGTGGTTGGTATACTTGTTCATATCTTCTGTGTGGGGGATGTTGATATTGAGGTGGTGGTGCCTATAAATAATTGATAATGGTTAAACAGATTTGTTTTTGAATTGATTGATTGATTGATTGATTGATTGATTGATTGATTGATTGATTGAATGATGTTTATATGGGTTATCTACTTACACCGTATGGACCAACCATACCAGATTTCACGGGCATATACTTTGGACCTGGTACATTCTCTTGATTCAAAGTGGGTGGAGCAGAGTGAGTTCTTGGTGGGACGCTGTTACCTGGTAAGATAGAAGTGTCTGTATGTGTAATGGGGAAATGTGGAGGGTTAGGAGATGCTATTTGTGGACCGCTTGCGTTTTGTGGCACATATATTGGCGGTCTCTGTTGATGAGGTGAAGATATGTGTGGATGTTGTTGTTGTTGTTGTTGTTGCTGCTGTTGTTGTTGTTGTTGTTGAGGGTGATGTGACTGTTTCTTACTGTGTTGGAGTGGTTGGTTTGGCGATGAAGGCGACTGCTGGGACAAGTTCTGCTGTGGGACTGGTTGTTGTTGTGTATTCTGGACTGGTGAAGGAATCTGTTGAGGGATCTGTTGTTGTTGTTGTTGCTGTTGTTGTTGTTGTTGTTGTCCTCCCTTTGGACCCTTGTGTTGATATTGTTGTTGTTGTGGTGGAATCTGTTGTTGTTGATGTAAGAGACCTGGATTTACCTGTTGTTGTTGTGGTGGTTGTTGTTGTTGAGGTGAAGGAATCTGTGGTCTCTGTTGATAACCCTGTTGCTGTTGTTGTTGTTGATACTGGTTATGTGGATGATGGTATTGATTGTTATTGTTATATCTATTATTATTAACTTGAATATTAGTAGATTGTTTATAATTTATCAAACTATCTTTATTATCCTTATTATTATTAATATCTTTTTGTTGTTGTTTCTGATTATTTATCATCAAATGTATATTTTATATCGTTGAAATTGAATCAATCCAATTAATTAATTAAGAAATATGCTAAAATAAATATTATTATATGCTGCTGCTACTGCTGTTGTTGCTGCTGTTTGTTGCTTTGTTTTGTTTTGATTTATGAAAAATTCAAAAATGAAAATGGTTTTGACAAATTTGATACATTACCTTTTATAATTTCCTATTTTTATTTAAATAATTAATTGTGTTTTAAAAAAATTAATAAATTAATAAAATTAAATTAAATTTAAATTTGCAAAACAATTTTTTTGATGTTGTTTTGTTTTTTCATAAAAAAATAAATTGTGTTTTAAAAAAATTAATGAAATAAAAGAAAAATCATAGAATCAGAAAATGGTTGTTGATTTTATGCTGCTGATGATTGGTGTTTGATAGATAGCAGTATTTGCGAATATGATGATATGAAATGATAGATAGTTTTACAAAAGGTGTGTTGTGTTTTGTTGTGTGTGGTGGGTGTCAATTTATATTGAGATGGTGTGTCTGGAGAACTCGCTATTTAACCTTCACAAGACAAAAATAAAATAATATGAAAATAATAATAACAACCAAAATTAATTACCAATCATTAAATATGTTGATTTGCTTGATTTTGCAAGATGATTGGTGGATGTGATGTGATGTTCCGAATTAAACATTGAATTTCAAAAAACAACTTCAAAACTTAAAACTTCAATCCAGAAGAATGTAGAATTGAGTTCTTTTGTCGATGGGATGATTACTGATGAATGATGATGATGAATGAATGAATGAATGTTCCACATCTTTTAATACTAATGGATTACTGATGATAATGATTATGACTATTGATATATTATATATTTATACATACCTCCGTTCATTTGTTGAGGATGTTGAGGACCATAGTTTCCGCTGCTATTTGATACGCTTCTTACTGGTGAAGAAGTGTTGTTTAGAGAGTCATTTTGATCTTGTTTGCTGTTGTTGTTCTTGTTTGACTGTGATGACATATAGATCGAATTCTGATGTGTTGTCGATTGTTGTTTCACAATGAATGATCCACTCTACGACTACTAAACTATAAATATATATATATTGATGTGTAAGAAGTTTAAGTATACAAGATGTTAATAAATAAATCTGAATTTGAATCTTCAAAATATTAAAAACAAAAAAAAACAAAAAAATAAATTATATAAATAGCAAAATATCTTATTTACATTAATCTTTTCTTAAATTAATTAATTTAGAATATTTAGTGCACAAACTAACTCACTCCACTCTTAAACTAATTAATTTAAATGATCAATCAAGAGAAAAAAAAATCAAAAAAAAAAAATATCATCAAAATTTTTTGCCAAGACAAAAAAAAAAAAGTTTTGAAGTGATGCTTTTTTTAGTTGAGAAAGACAAAAATAAAACACATATAATCTTACGATTAGATGGCTATCCTATGATATGATATGAAATCTAATAATTATATCTAATGATTGATTATTACTGAGTATAGAATATTTTATATTTCTAAATGATTATGATGATGTGGGTGATGAAGTTCTCTTTTCTATATTCTATTCAAACTGGATATATAGATAGATTGCTTTGCAAATAAAGATTAAATTACATACCGATGAACTATATTGACTGCTTTATTGAATTCTCTTAGTAATTATCTGTTATTTCAATCTAAATAAATGAAGTTTTCCAAAAAAAAAAAACATATCTGTTAGTAATCTATTCTATTCTATGAAAGTTGTAGTTGTAATTTGTTATTCAAGTCAAGTTTAATGTTGTAGTTTTAGTTTTATCTTGATTGTTGTTGTTGGTTGTTGTTAATTTGGTTGTCACTACTCCACTGTCTTTTCAAAGAAGATGGTGGTGATGATGACTAACAAACATATTGATCTATCTATCTATCTATACTCCTAAGTAATCTGTTCTATTCGATTCTGATTAAGTTCTGCTACTCTACTCTACTATCAGAAATATGATAATATCATAGATGCTGTTCACAACACACAAAGACGATGATCATCAACCAAAAATCAACCAATCAGAAACCAATATGATAAAACTAACTTTTTCACACGAAACCTTACTAGACTTTACTAAACTAACAACTATTGATATCCTCCTACTATAAATAACATACAATAACAAATAAGTAATAAAATAAAAGAAAAAGAGAATATAAATTTATAAATATATAAATTTTCTCTTTTTTTAAATTATTAACCCTTATTAAATGATAGTCAATTTTGTTTTGGAGTATGCAGACAAAAAAAAACAACACATCACAAAAAAAAAAAAAAAAACAAAAATAAAAAAATAAATAAAAATAAATAAAAAATAAAAAACATCATTAATTGAATTTGTTTTTGAAGTGACATGACATTACAACTTCATCATATCATATTACTATTTTAAAATACATAATAATATCATTCATTCATTAATTCATTAATCTAGTTTTTTGTTTTTGTAAATAAATATAAATAGATATTTTAATTATTATTATCATTATAAATATATTGTTATTATTATTATTATGAGTCAGTGGCTTGGTGGATTATTGAATAGAGCAGCTGCAGCAGGTGGATTGGATGGTAGATCACGTCAACAAGAATCAGAGGTATCGGCCGATACACTGTTGGATCGTATTGCCAACGATCAACTGTCTGTAGACGACAAACAACATGCCATATCACAATTGACATCGTTGGGTAAACACATGTACCAAGCAGTAGGTTCAAGAATACCACTCATCACCAAACTAATGCAAGCAAACTCCAACAACATCGAACTACTAAGAGAATCAATAGAGTTATTAACTTCCATAATATTGTGTAATCCTGTAAGTAAGTCTGCACAAATTCATTCAATTCAATCGTCATCATAATAATCATTACAACCAACAACAAATTGGAGTTTATACAAATACTTGGAAACCTGGAGTGGTGGCGCTATATAAAAATTTCAGTTTCCACTCACACGACGAAAATCATTCATTTCACATAATGAAAACTAATAATTATTATGTTAACAACTCATTTTATAGAAAGATGATAATATTATACAAATACATAATACAGAGTTGTTTATAAATGATAAGAGTAATTTCGCGGTAATTTTCAATGTTTTGAATTTGACATCCGATCATTACGTAAGATATAGTGTTTGTACTTTCCTAAAGACACTGTTGACCAATCGATTCGAGAGTGTTCAAGAATCTATTTTGGCGTGTCCGATGTCGGTGACCAGCATCATGGGACTACTCAAAGACTCTCGTGAAGTCATTAGAAACGAAGCACTGCTAGTATTGACAGACCTCACCAAATCCAACCAGGAAATTCAAAAGATCATAGCGTTCGACGGTGGATTCGAAATCCTACAAGACATCATACGTATCGAAGGTCAATCCGAAGGTGGTATCGTCGTCAACGATTGTATAACCATATTAAACAATCTATTAAAAGGAAATGTATTAAATCAAGTAAGTAAACAAAACAAAACAATAATATTATCAGGATGTCATGTTGGCAACTCAGTTGCCGGGAAGTAGTTTGATGTTGGCGCTATAAAAAATTCAGTTTCCGTGAGGGGCTAACTCAGTTACCGGCGGGAGTTGGAATTGTGTTGGCGCGCCACAAAATTTCCTGAAATAAGGAGACACCTCTCAAAACAAAAAAAAAAGGAATGAAAACTAATTAGTTTTTTAACCAACTTGTTATTTTAATTCTAGAATTTCTTTAGGGAGATGGGATGTATTCCAAAATTGGCACCTCTATTACAGGTTCAGAATACTGATATGTGGATATTATCGGACAATAAGTTTAGTATTATTATGTCGACGCTGGATTTGATATTGTCGTTGGTCGAGCGTAACAATCTCTCGACACCAGCCAACCAACAGCAAATCAGTCATTGCAGTATGATGAATCTCATTATTAGACTCGGTCTTGGAAAGATGTCGTCGCAATTCATTCGTAGTAAGGCGTTGTACACGCTCGGTGAGATAATCAATATGAATCCAGAGAATATTGCAGAGTTCTCGGCCGTCTCTATCAAGTCAGAGTTGAACGGACAATCGCAATCTGCACTTCTCAAGCTAACGTTGGTGTTGCTTCATTCGAAGGATCTGATAGAGAAGCAATCGGCTGCTCACGTCTTCAAGTGCTACCTCACTGGAAACGAGGAGGCACAGATGGCGCTTGCCTCAACAATAACACCGCCTGCACCTGGCGACGACGATCTCTCGATTGGACAACACCTGGTGAGAGCACTCTTCTCGTGGGAGATGTCAACAACACAATCGTCTACTCCATCTCCAGCCAGTCCAACAGCTAACACCGCCTCACTACTTGCCAACATGAGAATCGACATCAATGGATTCTGGTATTCATCTATGGTTATCATTTATACACTGAGAGATTCCACTCATGCAAAAGAACAGATGTTAAAAGCAGTGGTTGAGATTCCCAAGTCAACAGCTACAGCTGGCAGTGGCGAACAACAACCTCTAACTCTCTTCCAAAAACTTATGGCTGCTCTACTCGCCACAAAGAAACAACAGGATATCGATCCACTAATAAAGATTGCATTGCTAAAGATTCTCTCGATTTGGTTGGACAAGTCACCGAGAGTGGTCACCGAGTTCTTCAAGAACGGATCACATCTCTCTTTCATTGTGGAGTCGATTCTCCAACCGATTACATCGACCGCTGCCAACTCGCTACAGGTCCACATCCAAGGTTTGTTCACAGCGGTGTTGGCACAACTCATGCTGAATCTCGACGAGAACAACATTGCCGATCGCAATAACCTCAGCTCGATCATCAACCATCGTATCGGACTGAACAGCTTCAAAGAGAAGATGGACACTCTCAGAAAGACCGATCAATTCACACACGCAGAACAAGGTGAAGAACCATTCCAAACGGCACTCGATAAAATTTCTATTCAACTCTTTGATTTCGATTATACAATCTTTTTCAAAGATATTTGTGGTATGTATATACATTATAAATCAACAAGCTTTTTGTTAATTATCAATAGAAATAATTAATTTGTTTGTTCCAATATCTAGATAAGGTTAGATTATTGGGTACCAATATGAATAAACCAAGACCTGGAACTAGACCATCTTCAGCACAAAGTGTTACATCTCCAAATACAGCATCTTCTCCACCATCTTCATCACCTGCAGTTCCACATATAAGTAAAGAACAACAACAACACTTAGAAAAGTAAGTAGCTTAAAAGGTAATATTAGATAGATTGGAATATAGGTTATTAATTTGGTTTTCTAAAAATAGTGAAAATGCATTATTAAAGAAAAAGATTGAAGAAATGGAACTACAACATCAGCAACAACAACAACAACAAAAACTATCAACTCCAGGCAATCAATCACCTTTACCACCAGTAGTATCAATTCCAACACCCACTGCCCCTGCTGTTGTTGCTCAACCAGAACCAGTCACAGTCACACCAGTACAACAACAACAGCCAACTACAGAGATCAACAACCAAAACCAAGAAAACACACAGCTTATCAATGAATTACAAATGTTAATCGAAGAAAAAGATAAAGAAAATAGAATTCTTTCAGAGGCAATGTCAAAACTTGAAGATTTAATACTTGAAAAAGATGATAAATTAGAGGAATTATCAAATCAAATTGTAAGTTACAATAAGGTTAAAAATATTCATTTGATTATTAATAATAATATATATTGTTTAAATATTAAAGTGGTTATTAAATCAACAACTACAACAAGAAAAACAACAAAATGAACAATTACAATTAGCTCAGAGTAGTCAAAATAATAATAGTATGGCATCGAACGATTCCAATGTCGATATCTTTGAATTGATGAGATTGAGACAAGAGAATGTCGATTACGATGCCAAGTTGAAGAGTTTCGAGAAACAGGTGAACGATCAACATCATTTGATTCAAACACTCAAAGCTGACAATCAGCAGTTGATCTTGTCAAAGGAAGAGATCGTCAAGAAGTCATCGTCTTCACCACCGGTTCCAACTTCACCGTCCAACGTTAACAATTTGGTGTTGGCCAAGGTCGAGAGTGAATTGGCCGAGCTGAAAATCAAATACAGTTCACTACAGAAGGATCAAGATGAGATCATGGATTGGGCCACTAAATTGGAAGTTGAAAACAGTACATTAAAAGCACAACTTGGAAAATAAAATAAAATATAATAATAAAAACGTAAATAAATAATTTATAATTCAAAAATGATATCAATTTATAAATAAATATTATCATTCCCATTTTTTTTATTTTTAACAAAAAAAAAATTTGTGATCGTGTGTGTTTGATTAAAGTTGTTATCAGAGACAACATTGAAGTTTGCCTCAAATCTAAACATTACCAATTGCTATCATTATATATCCTCTAAAAATCCAACTTTTTTTAAAAGTATAAAAATGATAGAGGATCATACTTACTAATATATTATAATATTAAATTTAGTAATACTAAATTTATTTTAACATTATATTTCTATCAAAAAATTAATTAAATTATATTTTAAAAAAAATAATCCATTTACCTATAAATTCTTGGTTTTTTTATTTTCAAATCATTTCATATTTTAGAATTTATAAATATCTTTATTATTTTAATACTATTTTTTCTATAAAAAACAATGTTAAAACAAATTTTAATTTTAATTTTATTAATAAATATTCTATCATTCACTTTTGTTCAAGGAGATTGCACAAAATTCTTGGCTAAATACTTTCTCACTCCAAATATTCCTAGATTACAAATGACAGCTATAATGAGAAATGGAAAAGTTTTTTATAATGTCCAAGTTGTTTCTCATTATAAATGGTCAGCTTTTCCGGGATATCTAACTAATGGTGATCCTTGGGGTGTTTTGTTTGCTGACAAGAATTTGTGTATCAATGGAACTACCCAACCTTTTACCAGTGGTATGACTAGTTTCTATGATGCCAAAGGAATCCTGATATATCCAGACGGTAGAGTTTCAATCAGTCCACTCTGGAGTCTAGATGGTGATAAAACTTACTATTTCAATTTGACATGCTCCCCAACTTCAGATGTATACTATGGCGAATCTCAAGGAAATTTTTTCTTTTTCAGTTTTGTCGATCTTCCCTGTGTTAAATCAGCTTGCTAAATTCAATATTAAATTTAATTTAAAATAAAAAAATAATTATTTTAAGAGAATGAATTTCAAAACTTTATTAAGACCTATGAATTTAATAGCTATTTAAATAGATTATTTAATATCTCATTGGGATTTCAAAAACTGCACTAAATTTAATTCGATTCTTTCAAAACAAATTGTTTTTTCAATTTGTTCAAATAAGAATGATAAAACTAAAAAAGTAAAGAAAAAAAACTATATACATTATATTTTATTAAAAAATGAATTTAATAAGTTGACTATGCTTATCCAACATCTTAAATTTTTATCGGCAATATTAATAATTATTAAATTTAAGCTATTTTGTTTTTTAACATGATGATCCAACAGTTGTTCCATTTACAAAACTGAAAGCGAAATAATTTTCTTGGGCGAATCCATAGAACACATTGGAAGTTGGTGAGCATGTCAAGTTGAATCTGTAGACTGGGTCGGCTGGAATCCTCCAGAGTGGGTATAGATTAACTTGTCCGTTTGGGTAAATATTGATTCCTTTGGCATCAAAGAAACTGTTGATTTTAGTGGAAAATGTTTGGGAGGCACCATTGACACACTTATTGTTATCGGAGCACAATACATCGAAGGAATTTCCATTGGTCAACATTAAAATATTCGGTCCAACATTGAATGGTGTTATAGTTTGACGAGTGTAAAATACCTGGCCGTTTCTCATGACAGCTGTCATCTGTAGCAAATGACTATTAAAGTTAAAGTAGCTTGCCAATTGTTGAGTACAATCGGCTTGCACTAGCATTGTAGATGAAAAAATATTTAATAATAAAATTAAATAAATCGATTGTTTAAACATTGTTTGTTTTTTGAAAATTGTGTTTGTAAGAAGGAAGAAAACTAAATAAGTGGAATTATTTAAAGATGATGTGAATGTTGAATTGAATTTGAAACTTGAGTATTTATAGTTTTGGATAGCTATTGTTAATTGTAAAAAATTAATATTGCATGTATTATATATTGGTATAATATAGTATGTTGTGGCATGGTATGATCGTCAATCACATATGATATCTCGAAATAATACAAAAAAAAAAAAAAAACATTAGTGATTTTAAAGTCAGAAGGATAGTTTGATAGAGAGTGTGGGGAGGGTGAATATATTCAAAGTTAAATTAATTAGAATTTCAATGTTTAACAAACAATTGTGATTAAAATGGATCAGAGAGGCAAACATTCCATATATACATGTACAATATCAAACATTAAAACATCTCTACACCACACACTTTGTTAAAAAAAACTTTTTAAAAGTGTTAATTGAAATTCTCACATTTTATTTGATTTTCTATGTTTGTGTTTGTTTAATTTTTTTGTGTGGAACAGCCTACAATGAATTAGATTGTAACAAATTTAAAATAATTAATTTAAAAGTTGAAAAAGTATTTCCAATCTTAAATAGAAACACAACAAAAATCAATTTAACTCACACACTTAACACTAAAAAACAAAAACAGAATATAGGAATGCATAGATAGATTGGTACCACTTAACACATGTTGTATACAACACAACTTTCGATAGTGTTTTAAGATTACTTAATTTAGTATTGTTACTCCTTCATCATCATCAGTTATATAATTGTAAAAAAAAAAACAAAAAAAACAAAAACAAAACAAACAAAATAAAGAGTAAATAGTAGAGGAAATCAACTATTAAACTTTGAGAATATTTAAATAGATGATATTAAACACACAATTTTCGACCAATTTACCAGGTTGATGTTGAAACAAAAACAATGATGAATGATGAATGTACAATTACTAACATCTAGATAGCTTTATTTATCTTATTGACAAGGAACAACAACACCATTTTTACAAACATACTAAAGTTGTTTGTTTTTTTTAATATCAACTTTAAAGTTGTTTGTTTTTTTTAATAGAAAAAAATAGAAAGAGAAAAAAGTATACTTTAAAGTTTGATTATGTTTGGAAAAAAAGAATTATTAATATAAACTATAAAATCTAACTAACTATGATTTTTAAAAGTTTTTTAACCTTTTTTAGTAGTTTTTTAAATTAATTGAATTACTAAAACCAAATAACAAAAATTAACCTTTTTTTTTGAATGAGTAACTACTAAAATAGGTATTGGAATTAATAAAACGATTGGTTTATTAGGTTGGAGGTTTTTTTTGGATTACAAAATTAAATAAGACTGTTATTTCTATTGTAATTTTTAAATAAATAAAGAAAAATCCAATACCATTCTCAAGAATCTATAATGATTTAATCAATTCTGGTTGGTATGAAAATGATTTAACTTTTTGTTTTTTTTTTTGCTTTGGTTTACCCAATTTGGTTGATTTGATTTGATTTGTTGGTCAAGTTGAGTTTGATACATGCTGTAGTTGGTTGATTGTATTGTTATGTTATGATAATTTATGTTACTTAAAGTAAAAAGATATCTGTTCTGTTCTGTTATGTTGTTTGTTTGTCTTTGTTATCTGTTGTTTACGCAATTAAATATTACTATTCTTTGTATTATGATTATTATTATGATTATTATTATTATTTTGATTCATTATATAAATTAGGATCTATCTTATACATATTTCCATATTGTATGGATGGTGTTTGTTTCTTATCGACTTCGACTACACAAACTGACATTGCTAAAAAATGAATGAATGAATGAATTGGTGGTTAGTGTGTTTTCATGCAATGAATTACAATAAAACAAAGATAAACTAGCTATCTACTTACTATTCTCATCTATAACTCTGTAGGTAACTAAAACGGTTGATTGTGGTTGGAAAAAGTTGAGTACTGCGACGTTGGTCGACGGTAGGTATTTACCGTGACAAACCGTTCCGATGTAGGTCCACTCGAGGTAGGTCTCTGTGTTCTTTGGCGCCTGTACACACTTCATTGAGTAACCGAATCGCAGTTCACTCTTCTCTAGACTCTTTCCGAAACTCCATTTCAAGTGACGTGCACTCGGATCGTTGTCGTATCCTCTGTATTCCTCGATCATCACCACCGTATTACTAGTTCTGATGTGTGGAAACAATCCACCAAATTCCTTCCACTCTAAATTTCTCTTCCATGTACCTATTAAATAGCTATAGAAATCATTATCTGGTATTTGATACTAAACATGTAAATAACAACAACAACAACAACATTATATCAATATTAGTCAACTACATTTCTTTTGTTATTCTTTGTTATGCTTTGTTTTGTTTTGTTTTTAGAATTCATACTCTTAATGGTTTAGGTACTGAATCTGTTGCTTCATCCGTTGAATTTTGTTGTGGAGATGATCTATTAGGTGATTGATTATTACCATTCGCATTTAAAACAGGTGTAATACTAATCTTTCTCCAATTATCCATTCTTAAATCTTTATATATAATTTGATCAAACTTTATCTGTTTTATTCTTTATGTTTTTATTATTTTTATTTCAGAATACAAATAAAATTAAAGTTGATTTTGATTGGGTGTTGCTTTGATAGTTTGATAATAGTGCTAAGAAACTGCGTGATGATTGATAACTATGTAAATTGGTGGTTTGGTTTTTTATATTTTTTTGTTTATATTTTAAATTTTTGTTTTATTTTTAAATAAAAACATTACTACTGCACATTTATAATAATTTTTAAATAAACAAATAAGCTGACCAGGTGTAATAATAACTAGTTAGGGCATCACACAAACACAACAATCACACAAAAATGAAATTTAATTTTAGTTTTTTTTTTTTAAAAGTTTTTTTTTCTTTTTTTGTAAATTTCAACACCCAGAGAAGAGTACTCTCTCGTCTATGTATATCTGGTTATCTTTACTTTATTTTTATTATTTATATTTATATTTATATGTTAAGTTTGCAAAGTTAATGTTAACATAACACAACATTGATCAATTTATGTATCTACAGCACAGACTTGTCAACTTGCATTCTCAAATGCATATAGGATAAGATATAATATTGATAATTGAAAATAAAAAGATAATCTATCTACAATTATCATATCTATATTTCAAGATAATTTAGATTCGCATTTTTTACTCTTTAGGTTGTAAAATCTTCGGTGTTCCCATTTTTATCAAAACTATCAAAATCAAAAACAAAAAAAAAGATTATTATTTTTAAAGCTTAATAATAATTATTGTTCTTATAAAAAAATCGCATCGAATTGATTGACCTGACCTCTGGTTAACCTAATACCAGGTGGGTTGTTGAAGAAACAAACACACATTATTTCGCTTTTTAAAGATCGAAAAGGTATTGAATTATTACCTGGTGGTTTTGCAAGTTACGGCCGATGAAATGTCTTTAGATTTTGGCAACGAAAGAGGTGTTGCGGACCGATCAGAACAATTTCTAAAGTGTAGCGCAAGAGTGGAGTGGCGTCGTAAACTCTACTCTTTCACAACAAATTGTAGGAGTAAACAAACTCTAAAGGTGACGAAATTCCTTAACTATAAACTCTGTCTCAATTACAAAAATACCATCTTTTTTCTTTTTTTGTGTTTTTATTTAAAGTCCGGTTTTGAAGCAAATGAAATTTACAATAAAAAGAAGATAATTTGTTTTTTTCCCAATAGAGATCAAATTTATAAAAAAAAAAAATATCACAAAAAAAAACAGTTTTTGATTTTTTTTTCTTTAATGCCGCAATTAAAAAAATGTAAAAAAACGGTGGAACTCCTACAAATAGTTTGGCACCCCCAGCCACTTACACAAGGAGCTAGGTATTTTCAATTGCAGAAATTGCAAAACTCCTAAAAGATAAAAAAAAAAAAAAATGATGATCACCATCGAAATGATGTTTTTTGTGTGTGGTGAAATTAAAAACCCCTAAATCAAAAACCATTTAAATAAATAAATTGGGTATGTAAGTACACACAACAATAAAAAATAAAATTTAATATAGTTCTCTTCATAAAAATAATAATCAATAACAATTTCTTTTTTTATTGATTTGTTTTTTTTTTTTACTAATTTAGATAGGATTTGGTCATTTTAGAAAGATTCAATTCTATTCAATTGTGAAAAATCATAAATACATATATTATTTTATCCATATATATAATTAATCAATAGTATATATATATAAAATGAAAATTATAACATTTGCATTGTTGATGCTGGTGGCAACACTTGCAATCACAGCCAATGCAGCAAAGAAAAACAAAATAAATAAACCATATATTGCTCCAATGGGTTCCAATACATTGAATGTTCACATTGTAGCACATACTCATGACGTAAATATCCTTCATTATTTCCATATTCCTTAATTCAATCAGCTGACTAACTTGGAAATTGAAATTTCAATTTTTATTATTAATTTTATTTTTCATTAAATATTAGGATGTTGGATGGTTAAAAACTGTAGATGAATATTATTATGGTGCTAATATGTCGATTCAATTTGCAGGTGTACAATATACAATTGATAGTGTAGTGGCTGGATTGCTCCAGAATCCAAACAGAAAGTTTATCTATGTGGAGATTGCATTCTTCATGAGATGGTGGCGTGAACAAACCGAAGAGACCCAAAAGGCTGTCACTCAATTGGTCCACAGCGGTCAACTCGAATTTATCAACGGTGGTTGGTGTATGAACGACGAAGCTGCCACCTACTACGACGACATCATCGATCAGATGACCCTCGGACATCAATTCCTAAACGAACACTTTGGTGTCACCCCAAAGATTGGTTGGCACATCGACCCGTTCGGACACTCCAACACTCAAGCTACCATTTTCGGTAATATTGGATTCGATGCCTTTATTATTGGCCGTATGGATTATCAAGATATTGTAAGTGTATTTTAAATTTAACAAAACTTCCTGAAAAAAAAAAAACTGGAAACTGACCAAAAAAAATTACTTTTTTCCGCAGGATACTAGATTAGCAAATAAACAAATGGAATTTATGTGGAGAGGATCAAAGAGTACTCCAGAATATCAAGTATTCACCAGTGTTTTGAGAGCTATGTATTGCACTCCATGGGGATTTAACTTTGAGGGTGGAGATGATCCCATTCAAGACGATCCAAACTTATTCAACTACAATATCCAAGAGAGAGCCGAAGCATTCATTGCTGTTGCTCAAGAGTACTCCACTCACTACCGTACCAACAATGTTTTGATTCCATTCGGTTGTGACTTCCAATACATGAATGCCAACATGTACTTTAAGAACATCGATAAGCTTCTCGAATACATCAACGCCAACCCACAATACGGTATCAACGTTCTCTATTCCACTCCATCGATTTACATCGACGCTGTCAACGCTGCAGGACTCACCTGGCAAGTAAAGACCGACGACTTGTTCCCATACGCCGACAACCAATATTCCTATTGGACCGGTTACTTTGTCAGTCGTCCAGCTCTCAAGGGTTATGTCCGTCAATCGAACGCATTGCTCCATGTCGCCGAACAACTTTTGGTCACTTCATCGGACGCCATTCCATCTGTCCAACAGTCGGAATACAACAACGTCGGTGTTCTCCGTGAAGCTTTGGGTGTCGCCCAACATCACGATGCCGTCGCCGGTACCGAACAACAACACGTCGCCTACGACTATGCCGAGCGTCTCTCGATCGGACAATACTCTACCTACGACGCCCTCGACAGTGTTGTCTCCCAACTCCTCACCCAATCCTCGCCAGCTACTGCCCCAACCCCAAGCATTCTTTTCTGTCCACTCTTGAACGAGTCTGCCTGTCCAGTTTTAGATTTGCTCGCCTACGGAACCTCAGTCCCAATCGTTCTCTACAACTCACTCTCATGGACACGTGATGAATACGTTCGTTTCCCAATCCCAATCTCAACCGTCTCTGTTTCCACTAGCTCCGGTACTGTGCCATCGCAAACCACCTTGGAATTGGACGGAACTACCTGGGTATCTTTCACAGCCCACGTTCCACCAATGGGATACAACACATACATCGTTTCACCATCGTCCAACACCGAGAACAACGAAATCTCAGAAGCCAAGAAGATCGCAAAGTCTGCACAACTCTATGAAACCGTCTTATCGAATCCATTCATTTCCGTGCGTTTCGACAGTGTTTCTGGTGCTCTCCTCTCAATTACCAACGTTACCTCTGGTGCATTCATCAACATCACTCAAGAGTATCTCTTCTACTCACCATCGGTCGGTGACAACTCCTCGACCCAATGTGACGGTGCCTACATTTTCCGTCCAATCGGTGCCGACGCCCACCAATTCCTCACTTCCAACCCACAGGTTTCATTGGTCCAAGGTCCACAAGTTCAAACTCTAACTCGTTTCTGGAATGAAAACATGATTCAGGTGTTCCGTCTCTACACCAACGTTGACTACTTGGAGGTTGAAGAAACCGTTGGTCCCATCGACATTGCCGACGGTCTCGGTAAGGAGGTGATCACCCGTTTCAACACTTCTCTCAACACCAACAACACCTGGTATTCCGATTCCAACGGTATGGAAATGGTGCAACGTATCATCGACTATCGTTTCTCATGGGAGTACGTCAATGTCCAGCCGGTCGCCGGTAACTACGTGCCATTGAACGCCATCACCTACATCCAAGACACCGAGCAACAACTGCAACTCACATTCTTGACCGATCGTTCACGTTCGTGTGCATCGCTCGGTAACGGTGAGCTCGAAATGATGTTGCATCGTCGTACTCTGATGGACGACGGTCGTGGTGTCGGTGAGCCAATGAACGAATCCACTCAGATCATCACAACGACTAAGATTGTTTTCCACCCAATTGGCAACGCCGCCCAGCAATACTACCGTCCACGTGCACTCGAGCACGCACACCCACTCTACCCAATGTTCACAACCACTCAACAATCGAACAACGTTTGGAACAGCCAATACCAAGGTAGCTACTCGCCATTGAATTTCGACTTGCCCGAAGGCATCCGTTTGCACACACTTCAATGGTTGGACAGCTCCGACCCCTCTGTGATCTTGCGTCTCCAGAATATCTATGCAATCGACGGTCAAGACACTGTCAACACTCAACCGGTTACTGTCGACCTCTCCAATTTGTTCTCGTTCTTCACCATCACCTCAGTCACTGAAATGAATCTCTCAGCGACAATGAAATTGTCTAGCGTTAACCGTCTCGTTTGGAAGACTGCCACCGAAGTTGAATCTACCAAGACCACCGGAATCACCGATGATTTCACAATCACCGTTTCCCCAATGGATGTTAGAACCTTTATCATCACATTAGAAAGTAACTAGATCTAATATATATAATAAACTTGTTAAATAAATAAATTATTTTGTTAAAAAAAAACTCGACAACCATTGATCTTTTTTATTATTCCAAGTATCTGAAAAAAAACTAGTTTTTATCCATCAAAATGGTTGATTATTCAAAAGTGATATATTTCCAATAAGGAATTTAACATTGTGTAAATCAGAAATCTTTTCATATGACAGGTATTATCTATTTCATAATTCAAACATAGTCTTTTAAAAAATAAATAAAATAAATAAATTATATTAATAATAAAATAAAATATTTTAAGAGAATCAACCACTTTGATATATTTATTTCAGTACAAATATGTATAAAAAGGGGATTTGAGTCAAGTGAGAATGGTTGTGGTTTTAAAATATTTAAAGAGTGTTGAACATATGTTCTAAAAAGTGTTTGTTCAACCTTGATTGATTGTTGAAACAGTTAGAATGAAAATTTGATATTTTTCAATTTTATTTTTATTATCTATTGTTGATATCTCTATTCATTTTTTTTCGAATCGTGATAAAAAAACACATGTTATCTTGCATTAAGCGACTCTATTAATTATATACATAATTTTATTTTTGTTACAAAAAATAAGATTAAAAGGAAGGTTTGCCTCAAATTAAAATGAACATTCACAAATTATTGTAAAGAATTCTATTTTTTAAAATACTTTCCACTCCCTCAAGTATCTTTAAAGAGATTGATAAACCAATAAGTATAAATTAAATAAAATTAACATGAATATTGTATATTTTAAATATTTAATGAAGTTTTTATAATCCTAACTTATAAAAACTACAATTTCATTATTTTTTTTACTTTAATCATTAAAATCCCCATTTAACTTTTAACTTTCTATTTCTTTTATTATAAATAAATATTTTAATAATAAAAAAATGTCAAAACAATCAATCTTTTTAATTTTATTATTAAATATTCTATCTTGCTCTTTGGTACAGAGTGGTGATTGTATTCAGCAATTGGCAAAATATATGGATTTTGAAGATCATACAATACAGATGACAGCTGTCATGAAAACAGGTCAAGTTTATTACACTCGTCAAAGGATCACTGGATATCCAATTGGGACTTCCCCAAATTTAAATTTCATAACAAACATCGATAATTTCCCGGTGAGGAGTGCCGATGACAATAAGTGTGTTAATGGTGGAACTTCTCAGCCATTTACCAAACCTATCACCAGTTGCTATGAAAGTTGTTTTAGAATCTATCCATACGGCAAATTCGTATTTCACCCAGTATGGATTCTTCCAGGTGACTCTGGCTACGTCTTCAATTTGACTTGCACTCCCAATTCCTCTGTGATGTATGGTCAATCACAAGGCAATTTTTTCACTATCAGTTTCTTAAATCAAACAGTTAACTCTGGTTGTTAACCATCAATTACCTACCTATTTTACATTTATTGGGATAAATATTTTAAAGATAAGGAGCATTAATAAAATAAATTTATTGGTTTTAAAAAAAATATAATATCATAAACATATAATTGACTATTAATTCAACTAGTCCAAATCATTTATTATTTAGGTATCTTAAAAAAAAATAGATATCATTATAATTATTATTGTTGATTTTGTATCAATTTAAAAAAAAAAAAATAGTTTTATATTTTGAACTAATAGTTATTATTATTTAAAGTTCACACATCATCGACATTTTTGTCAATCTTAATAGTTGAGATAAATTGAATTCTATGGGGAGAAGTAATAAAAAAAATAAAGAGATGGAAGGGGGTTACTTTACTCCCATAGTGTTTGTTTGTTCAATCATAGATTCCATCAAGTAATAATAAACCATAGTATAGATAAATATGATTATTTGATGAATATATTAGTATCACTAATATACTACAATAAAAAAAACTTTAAAAAAAAAGTAATTAAAAAATGTAAAAAAAAAAAACTATCAATTTATTAAAAAATAAAAAAAATAAAAATTTGCAAAAATTATTTTGTTACCATGTGATTGATCAATCAAAAAATTACATTGTTGTTGATGCATTATTAAGCAAATATATAAATAACCACAACACACACTCACACCCATATATATATATAATATTATTTAATAATATTAAATCAATCACCAATTATTTTACACTATAATTTATATTTACAAAACCAAACAAGTTAAAAAAAATAATATTAATATTCTTTAAGATCAAGAAAGATTAAGATAAGATTAAGTTACAGTACATTTAAAACTTAACAATATAATTCAGGCAAAAAAAAAAAAAAAACTAAAAATAAAAATAAACATAAAACAAAGAGAGAATAGAATAGAGAGAGAGATAAAATAGAGTAATTCATTACAATGAATGATTGATTTGTAAATATATAGGAAGAGAATAATTAACAAACAGTAAAGTTAGTCATATAAATATAAATAATAGATAAATAGTAGATAGATAGTTTAAATACATATATGTATATAAAATGAATTTCGAAGTAATTAGACCATCAACATATCTATATGATGTTATTGTAAAACAAAATACAGATTTACCAAATCATTATCAAGTATGTATATATATATATATATATATGTTGTTTATTATTACAGTTAATAATTAATATTGTTATTTTGATTATTATAGATTCATTCGAATTATGGATTTTATTATGGACAGGTGAATGAATCGATGTATAAAGAGGGTTACGGTGTATTTCTATATTCAACCAGTACCTACTTGGGAAATTGGAAGAATGATCAAAAATTTGGTGAAGGTTCATTGGTTATCAATGATGGATATAGACATAGATATGAAAATAACAGTATCAACAACATTAGAAATAATAGTAGTGCAAGTAGTGTCGGTGTGATACCACCTACTTTGACTATTCAGAGTTTGGTATCACCCTATAAGGGTGCACACTTGGAGCATACACCGGTGATTGCAAACAACCCGTCGTACAGTACGGTGTCGCGTATCAATGAGACATTCGATACCGTAGAGAACACCATGATGGAACTGACGCTACCACAGTATTTGGCGAAGCGCAACTACTACTCTGGCAAATGGCAGAACGGCAAAGCCAATGGAATCGGTTCGTTCCACTTTGCACAAGATCAATCGGTTCATCAAGATTTCTGGAGAAACGGTGTTGCCATTCGTTATATAAATCAAAATCAACAACTTAATTCAATAACAACATCGACAACATCTACAACTTCGACAACATCTGATCAACAACAACAACAGCAACAACAAGTTGAGAAATTAGTACAGAATGAAGAGTTGAAAAAGATGTTGGACGATTGGAAAAAAGTGGTCGGTTCCGACGATGACTTCCCGATATCACGTCCATATCTTGGTGCAATGTCTGTACAGGAATCAAGTTCATTGATGACCTCGCCAACAGATGGTAATAGTACGAATAATACTACTACTACTACTACTGCTACAACAACTCCTACTAATAATACTGGTGATGCAAGACCGGCATTTTTAAAATCAACTAAATCCAGTCGTGACAATCAATATTCACTGAATAGTTTGTCGATAACACCAACACCAACCTCACCAATAAGTGAATCAAAATCACCTGTTTCTACACCTTCCACTGTCAGCTCTCAGATGCAATTCAGTCCGCCAACCGTTGGAAACAATCTAACTTCACAATTGATTCAACAATCGCAATCATCTTCACTATCTCAGTCGGTACCATCGATATCATCATCATCATCATCTTCACCATCACCCAATAATCAACAACAACAACAAGTACAACAAGTACAACTAAATTTAACAAGTAAACAATCATTTGGAGTTATAACATCATCTTATCTGAAAAATAGAATTGAGAATGAAGAAAAGTTCTTCATTGCGCTGATTATGTTCATTTCGAAATGGGAGTTACCGTTGAATGCTATGCTACCGAGTGGCGCTAGTTCGACGCCTGGCAATATGATGCACTCGTCAGGCATTGTCAGTCCAAACTTTATGATTGTCGTTCCCGATATTGAGTCGGCGACATTCCTACCGCTGTCGTCACTGGTCATGCATTGCAACATCATGGAGAAGATGATCTACCGACTCCTTACCGACCCGGAAACACGATCGACTCTCAATCATCACGTCCACCAGCAACACATCAACCCGGGCGGTGCAGAGAACAACAACAACTTGATCACCAGCACTTCGACCGCGTCGACGACACGCGACGAACGCGAGTTGAACAAGTTGATTCCGTTCTGCATCGAGGTGGAAGCCACCGAGGATACCAACAACATCCAGCGGTTCAACATCGACCCGATCGTTGCCAACCTCAAACTCTTCACCAAGCCAATCACCGACTTCAACTCGATACCCTCGTTCCTCGTTCACTACATATGCGACATTGTCTCTGCATTCAAAAAGGACAAACCATTCGAACTCTATTTCCTGAACACTCGATTCCACGCCGTTCAAGAGCAGTTCATCCAATTGATAAACAAGATAGAATCGTACAATAACTCGATATTGGTCAGTCAGCAACAGCAATCGGCGAACATCATACAACAGCAAATTAAAGGAACGTTAAGACCGTCTTCAAGAGGAGTGGTTACCAATCCAAATGGTACAATCAAAATGAATAGTACTACCATTGGTTCATCTAAATTAACAGCCACATCTACAACGACAACAAACTCAACAAATGCAACAAACTCAACAACTACAACAACAACAACTACATCACCATCACCACCAGGACCAAATAGTTCAGTACCGTCACGTCCTAGGAATCAACCGTTTACCATTCAAAAGCAATCTACCATTGACAATATCAATAAGTTCAACATTGCAGAGCAAGAGAAAAACAAAGCGTTGGCCAACTCCTCTTTGTTATCGAAGCGACAACATCTCGATAAATCAACATTGGATTTCGTATATCATTTGTTCCGTTCGTCTTTTGTCATGCCAAGAGCACTCGAAAGTTCAATACAACTACTCGAGTCGATCACCGCCAATATCAACTCACTGAAAGACGCTCTGCGTAAGAGGATAAAGCTATTCAAAGAAGCTGCACAGGTAGATATTCTCATTGCAAAGAGTAATAGTAATAATACAACAACAACAACAACGATTCAATCACAACAACAACAACAACAACAAGTCAATCCACTGGTGGCAAACAACATCGAACATTGTAAAGAATATATGAAGTTGAAAGACCGACAGATTCAACAGTTCATCGAGAGTCAAGATCGTGAACTGGCATTGTTCGACCACACCAGCGATGTCTGTGATAAACTCTGCAAAGTTCTATTCAAACAGCTGCTCAACATCACCATTAAACGACTCACAGTCGCAGCTAATTTCATTCAGAGAATTAACAGTTCAACAAAAGCAAATACAAATAATGAAACAACAACAACAACAACAACTACTACTACAACACAACCACTCTTAACAACAGAGTATATTATTAAATTTATCAAACATATATTTAATATCTCTTCAAAGTTACTAAATATATGTAGTTCTCCTTCATTGTCAAGTGAAAAAGGTAATTATAATTTATTAACATTCTATATCTATATTATATACTAATTAATATCTATCTTTATTTATAGATTTATTAAATAATATCAAACAGTTTATGTCACAACAAAGTAAATTATTTGCTTTACTACCTCAGAAACCAGTGGTACAACAACAACAACAACCGACTGCTGCAGCTACAGCAACTTCGAGTAGTACACCAGATAAATCATCACCTTCACCATCTACATTTAGTTTAGGTGGTCTAATGGGTATATTCTCAAAGAAGAATCTCGAGTTCTTCTCTATCAATGAACCAAATGGAGCGAATGAACAAACTACTACAGCACCAACACCAGCCAACTCTACCAATACAACACCAGCAACAACGCCAACAAAGAAATCAGATCTAGATAAAAGCGCTGATAATATATCATCAACATCGAATAATAATGATACTTCACTTAATACAAGTATAACTATTATTACACCATTAAGTAAGTATAGTAGTATAGTAGAAACAAGCAATCAAATCAAAAATGATGATCTTATGTATCTGTTTATTAATTAATTAATATTATGTTCAAATCAAATAGATAAACTATCAGGTGATATCATTCAAGGAAACTATCATTTGATTCCAATTCTATCTACTTGTGGAGATGAGATGACCATTGCCTATCTAACTACGATTCTCGCTGAAACAAGATCCAGTCTAAAAGAGAAGCCAATAGAGTCAATCAATTATTTAGTTAATGTATTACTTCAAACAACGATGACATGTACATTTAAGACCTATCGTTGTGAAGTTTTCAAAACTATTGCACCACTTGTTAAAATATGTATGTAAAAATAATGGTCGATCAACCATTCACAACAATAATTAAAAATTAACTATTTTTTTAACTCTATAATATATATAGATAAATTAAAAGATGAATTATTTCAAAAGAATAAGGATCTATTAAAGATATTAATGGATACATGTATTAAAGATGAGATATTCATATTCGCACCATATTATTGTATGTTTTTAGCGAATGCATGCGATGACCTCTCTGTGAAATCAAAACAGGAATTCATTGCTATGTTTGGTGTTCAAATGTTCATCGATCTCATGGAGAAAGCCAATTCAAAGATTACAATATCCGGTGCTGATATACTTCGTGCTCAATCTGCTCAAATCCTAATACATTTAGCAAAAGCATCATGTAAGTGACAACAACAATATATATCATTCTTCATGCTTGTACAAGTAACAATTAACATCTTTTTGTTGTTATTTTAGTTGATTGTTTAGCAGATATAAAGAATCGTGGTGGTTTGAGTACGATTTTGGAACTTTGTAAGCTGGGACAGGTATTCTCGCATACCAAGATCGAGGAGACCGATTTGGTGATTGGCGAGTTCTTGGGAGCAGGTGCATTGGCGCGTGTTAACAAGGCGCAGTGGAATGGCAAGGAAGTAGCGGTCAAGATATTCAATGAGGGATCGTATTCATTCCGTTTGGAGGACTTCTTGAAGGAGGTGGCGATCATGGGTTTGATCAACCATCCGAATCTTCTCAAACTCGAAGGTGCTTGTATCATCCCGAGAAATGCGGAATCCACCTTTATGATCGTCACGGAGATCATGCACAAGGGTACACTGCTGGATGTCATCAAGAAGAGTCATCCACTTTCCTACTCGACCATTGTGCGACATGCACTGTCGGTTGCTCGCGGTCTTGACTACCTGCATTCGATCGATATGATTCATCGTGATATCAAAGCTGCCAATATTCTAGTGGATAAACATGATTTCGCAAAGGTAGGTGATTTCGGACTGAGTAGAATCGTGTCGAACGTCAACATGACGGCGGTTGCCGGTACACCGAAATGGGAAGCTCCAGAGTGTCTCTCGGGAGAAGTCTATACTTCGGCTGCTGATGTATACAGCTTTGGAATGATGATGTACGAGATGGTTACAGGTGAAGAACCATACCCCGAAATCCAAACGATCGTTGAACTGGTGCGTACAGTCTACGAAAAGAAAATCAAACCAAAGATTCCAAGCTCCGTACACTCCAGTCTGAGTTCTCTTATCAAAGAATGTCTAAGTCATTCCGCAAAGAAACGTCCTACAATGGTACAAATCCGTGCCAGACTTGAAGAAGCACTAGAAAATCCACCAAAATCAACATACTAAAATGAATAATCTTATTCAAACCACCATTTTTAGTTGTATATAAAATTAATAAATTTATTTTCACATTCTTCTCTTTTTTATTTATTAAATTTAAACAACAATTGTTGTTCTTTCTTGAATTGATTCCAATGATAATTTAAACTATTATTGCTATCTTGATTATTGTTATTGTTATTATCTAGATTATCTTGATGAATGTTATTAAAAAGTATATTATAGTGCTTGTTCATTTGCCATGGAATGTCATCAAAGTCATAGAGAGGTGTTTCTACTTTGAATCTTAGCATAGATTGAATGGATTCTCCTGTAAAAAGAGCGGTGGGAATGAATACTCCAGTTTCAAAGTTTGATATTTTGATTGTTGATTGTCTTTTCGATATCGATCCCCATGATGCTTCTGTAAAGTTGTGACTTCCATGATAGATCCATCGGTCTGTTATCAATACTTTAGAATGAAGTGGTGGATGTGAACTTAAGTTAGTGATGGAGTTGTCAACCTTGGGATCACGCTCGTTGTTGTATTGTAATTTCGATAGCATTTTATTCGATAGCAATAGATCTTTGTCATGATAACGAATGGTTACACTCTCGGTTGCGCCCAGAGGATTATAGGTTATCATCTCATCGATTGTATTAAGTGTAGGGAAAGGCAGTGTAAGATTATCGGTTCCTATTGCAGCTTTGAAACTACTCAGCCATTCTCTAGATGTCATACCGATTGCGCTACTCTGATATACGGCTGTAGCTTTACTCGTAGATTGATACTCCGATGCCAACGATGCCAATTTAGATAGACCGTACTTATTATGACTATATACACCTGGAATAGATGAAACGATATGAATGCCATGTTGGTGTATCATTGAAAAGTCGAATTGATCCAAAGCATTCACTATATGATCATCAGTGAAACCAAGTGATGATAGAATATCAACCAATTCATATTTAAATTGATCTTTGTTATCGTTAATATTGTCTATGTTATTCTTCTTTATTCTTGGAATGTCTACTATGAATATTGTTTGTCCAAGAACTTCCCAGTCGGACCCGGTTAGATTGGAAGATGATATTACAACTCTAATGATTTGTTGATACTCCAATAGTATTATCTTTGAATGAAGTATTCCGATTTGACTTACTAGTAACGGTGGATGAATGATATCAATGGGAAGTGACTTGTTTTCTGACAGTTTAAGACTGATCGTTTGTGAACCATCCAAGAAAGGATTGCCAATCTCTTGCTCCGATCTACCTGAATTGGTACCCTTTGACCGATCATAGTTGATAGCTACCTGACAAAGTGGTAGATGATCATGATCATAACAATCATCAATGACAATACTTAATTGTTTCGCCAACCAATTCCAATCACAAACAAAAGTCGACATTAATATCGAAACTATTCTATCATCTTTATTCTCTGTTTTAAATAAATCTTGAAAAGATAAATCTCTTTCATTATTACTATTATTATTTATAACTTTATTATTAACAAATAATCGTAAACTAAACATATAGAGTAAAAAGAATAAAGAAATGAAAATAATAAATCGCACCAAATATAAAAAAAAAATTGTGTTTCTTTTAAAAACAACAATAGAATCTTTTTGCTTGCCAACAGTTTGATCAATGCATCCAATAGTCAATCATCAAGTGATTCCAACAATCAAGAACTATGTTTTGGTTTTGGAAGAAGAAGAACAACCAACATTATCTTTGGTGACTATAAAAGTAAACAAGCATTTCATAACAAATGAAATTTAATTGGTTATGTTGAAACTTCTTTCTTACAAATAGATTGATTAATTGGTTAATACATCAATTAAAAGTTTTCATGGTTATGATACAGTTGAAATTAATTTTTTTCTCGCATATATATTAACAACCTTTGATAATAAAATGTGATAAATTTACTAATTTATTTGATTGATTATCGTTCTTATTATAAATACGATCAACCATTTTATTTTTGAACAATAATGATCGACAAATCGACTATTTTGTTTTTCCAAACATTTTGGATAGAAAAGGTCGATTTTCATGTGAACTAGTTCACATGATCCTAGGATCAGTACAATCAACAAAGCGAGTATTAAATGACAAGTGATTTAACTGTTATTGGAATTAACTAACAACAAAAAAACTTGATAATTTTTTGCAAACTAATTTTTTTTTTTGTAGAAAAATCAATTGTGAGATATTATCAAACAAATAAATATCTATTGTTATTTGAATTTTTATTAAAGATATTTATCTAAATAAAGTTGATTTGGAATTACTAATTAGATTTTACAATTTATAATATATTTTTGAAATCAAAGAACAAACATGTTAAATAAATATTTATTTGTATTGACAATAATTGTTGGGGTATTTATATTTTTTGTTAATTCACAATCAACACCAACACTTCCAACTTTTCCAACATCATTCTCAGCATATGTCAATGGCTCAGAGGAATACTATTTCGATGCTGAATATCAGAGAGTTAGAACAGAGAACAGTATCTATTTCTATGAAACCGGTCTTGTTTTCTATAGATACTTAGGTTTTTGTTGGAATGAATCATTAGGTGGTGACTTTACACTGTGGAGCTTCCCAACTACCGATGTCATCTTTGAGAAAACAACAACAATCAACGGAATCAATTCAGATCTATTCATTGTCAAGAAAGGTAAAGAAAAAGGTGAATATGCAGTGAGTCACGACGAACCAAGATTACCAGTATTAGTAAGTAAACTAATAAATCAATTTTTTCATTTCTAATTAACTAACTAAAAAAAAATAAATAAAAGTATGATACTTGGTATAGAGGAGAATATCAATTTTCAAACTTTACAGTTAGATCCTATGAAGAATATGAACCTTTCTTTGATATATCACAGTTAGGATGTTAAAAAATATGTCAACAAGCCAAATATTAAGATCTTTAATAAATAATTCTTAAAAATTAGGAACTGTGTTAAAAAGATCAAGTTTTTTTTTTTGCAATTTTTGTTTTTTTTTTAGTAAGACTGATATATTAATGTAAATTTAACGATGATTGGTGTATAAATAAAATGATTAGTTGTAATAATAACGATAATCAATCTAATAGATTAATTAATTTATCACATCTTTTATTATCAAAGATTGTTAGTTATTTAGATGATAATGTAGATAGAATAGTGTTCAGTTTAGTTTGTAAAAGATTGTTCAATGAAAGACAAAGATATCTATCATTTAATACCAATCATATCAAAATCATTAATGATAATAATAATAAATATATACCTTTAAATTCATATAAATCGATAATCATTGATCAAATCAATAGAAAAACTAAATGTAAAGTTGTTGTTGGTGATGAGATTGATATAAATTATTATGATTATATGATATCAAAAGGTAAATTAAATTTATTAAGATAAATAATAGTATATATCAATGATACTTACATCTAAAATTATTTTATTTAGATGAATTAGTTGATATCGATAGATTGAGAACATTAAATATTGATAAAGTAGTTATTGGTTTTGAGCACAATGATGAAAACAAAGGGAATATAAAGAATCTTTATCGATTGGTATCCGATTTGAATATATCAAAGTTAAAGAAGGTTCAATCATTTTCAGCATTGCCAATGAATATTACATCGTTATCATTCCACTGTTTGTTTCGAGAGGATTTAGAACCTGGATGTCTTCCACCAAATTTGAAAACACTTAAGTTTGATCGACAATTTTATCAAGCAATCAAAGCAGGAGTTCTTCCAAACACATTGGTTAAATTGAATTTCAACGAGTCATTCAATCAACCTCTCGAACCAGGAGTATTACCTTCATCTTTGAAGATTCTAAAATTCAAAGATTCCACTTTCCAACAAGATATTAAAGTTGGAACATTTCCACCACAACTCGAAGAACTTGAATTCTCTGGACATTATTTAACTATCGAAGATGGAGCTTTACCTCAGACTCTTAGAATACTTGAATATGCACCAACATCATGGTTACCACAAATCAAAACACTTCCAAATCTCAAGACATTATCGATCAGTTATAACTCACTAGATTCTCAAATCGACTTGAGTTATCTTCCAACTTCACTCACAAGATTGGAAATATTCGCACCTGTCACATTGGTCAATGTAATGCCACCAACAATCAGATATCTGGACGTGGAGTGTTGTGATTTCGAATTCGATATTATATTCAAAGATCGAACGCTATATCAATTTGATTATCTGAAGTTAAATCCAGACGATGTAGCATCTCTTGATGGATTGAAAATCAAAGAATTAAAACTAGAAATGATGGGATACTACCAGTCTGATACATTGGATATTCCATTTAGTATTGAAACACTTTCTGTTCAATACAAATCGAGATGTATATATGACAAGGAGTTACCAAGTTCAGAAAAGATGATTATTTCCAAAGAGATAGATTGCGTCGATAATCTTCAGAAACAATATGACATGACAGGTAGAAGAGGAGGTTCTATTCAAAGATTGGTCATAATCTGCAATGAATCACTATACTCTCAGATAATAGCAGTTCAGTTTCAATCAATTATCTCTCCTCCAAAAACTTTCATCGAACTCACCGATCTTGGAAAAGAAAAGATCTGGATTCGAATGATTGACAATCAATATTACATTGTTTACTGTCAATCACTCATCATCACAGCTATTGTCCATAAATCACAACTTTACAACTGCATTTTATACTGTACGTATGAAAATCGAGAATTCAATGACGATGTATATTTGGAGTAATAATCGGACATCAAAATAAAATAAAATATAGATAATTCTCATATCTTTTTGTAAAATAAAAATCATCCCTTAAAAAAAAAAAAAAAGGATTTTGATTTGACGAAAAAAGTGATCAATTTTTTTAAAAAATAAAATGATAAGTTGTAATATTGATGATAATCAATCAAATAAATTAGTCAACTTTTCACATCATTTATTATTAAAGATTATTAATTATTTAGATGATAATGTAGATAGAATTGTTTTCAATTTAGTTTGTAAAAAATGGTTCAATGAAAGACATAGATATCTATCTTTTAATACCAATCATGCCAGCATCATTCTTAAAAACAATAATAATTATATACATTTAAATTCATATAAATCAATAATCATTGATCAAATCAACAGAAAAACAAAATGTAAAGTTGTTGTTGGTAATGAATTTAAGATAAACTATTATGATTATATATTATCAATAGGTAATAAAATATCATATTCTAATAAATAGTTAACAATGATACTTACATAAAAATTATTATATTTAGATGAATTAGTTGATATCGATAGATTAAGAACATTAAACATTGATAAAGTAGTTATTGGTTACGAAGAGAATGACGACAACAATGAGAAGATTAAGAATCTTTATCAAATGATATCCGATTTAAATATATCAAAGTTAAAGATGGTTCAAACATTTTCAAGATTACCAATGAATATTACATCGTTATCATTCTACAATTCGCTTAAAGAGAAGTTAAAACCTGGATGTCTTCCACCAAATCTGAAAACACTCAAGTTTGATCGACAATTTAATCAAGCAATCAGTGTAGGAGTTCTTCCAAACACATTGGTTAAATTGAAACTCAACGAGTCATTCAATCAACCTCTCAAACCAGGAGTATTACCTTCATCTTTGAAGATTCTAAAATTCAAATCTTTCAAGGGGTCATCTTTCCAACAAAAAATTAAAGTTGGAACATTTCCACCACAACTCGAAGAACTTGAATTCTCTGGACATTATTCAACTATCGAAGATGGAGCTTTACCTCAGACTCTTAGAATACTACGATATGCACCAACATCATGGTTACCACAAATCAAAACACTTCCAAATCTCAAGACATTATCAATCAGTAGTTATACACTAGATTCTCATTTTGATCTCGGTTGTCTTCCAACTTCACTCACAAGATTGGAAATATTCGCAGATATCAAATTGACCAATGTAATGCCACCAACAATCAGATATTTGGACGTGTACAATTGTGTTTATCGTTTCGATCGTATATTCAAAGATAGATCGCTATATCAATTTGATTATCTCAGGCTAAGACTAAACCAAATAGCATCTCTTGATGGATTTAAAATCAAAGAATTGGAACTACATAGGAAGCCATACAGATCAGTTGATAATATAGTAAAGATTCCATTTGGCATTGAAACACTTTCACTTGAACTCACATCGAAATGTCTATATGACAAGGAGTTACCAAGTTCAGTGAAAAAGTTGATTATTTCCCAAGGTTTAGATAATCAGAAACATAATGACTTTTCATGTGGAGGTTCAATTCAACAATTGATCATAACATGTAATGAATCAATATATTCTAAGAAAATTTCAGCTCATATTACATCAATGATCTTTCCTCCAAATACTTTAATTGAATTCACCGATCTTCGAAATGAAAAGATCTGGATTCGAATGATTGACAATCAATATTACCTTGTTTATTGTCAACCCATCATCACAGCTATTGTCCATAAATCACAACTTCACAAATACTTGCTGTACTGCATTAGTTTATACCGATATTGAATAGTTTATCTTTGTAAGAATAAAAATAACCATATTCACTTATAAATAATTTATGTAAAAAAGAATATTCAGTCAATTCAAATTTATTGGAATTAAAATCGAGAATGTATTTTCTGTTATGAGGACTTTTACCGATCTTGACAATTAGTCCAAACATTACCCACATAAAAGTTAAAGTGGAACACTACTTTGGTTTATCTACAGATCAAAGGTACTACTTTGTTAAGACTTTATGATTCAAGACTAAACTTTGATAGAATCTTTTTCATAACGGGTTGTATTCACAGATAGTTGTTCACAGTCAACTGTTTTATAGGATGATCTAATAATTATTTTACTTGAATATTTCAAAAAAAAGAAACTTGGTATTAACCCCTATTTATTTTAATATTTAAATATTACTCTGGTTGGTCTAAAAAATGCAATTTAGTGAGCACTTGTTAGGCGAAAGGGGTTAACAGTTAAGTTTGTTGTATTAAGCCAATTTTTTTTATTCCAAAAAACAGATAAAATTTTGTCAATCATTGACATCTCACAATGCTGAAATAAAAGAAATCTATAAATTAATATTAAATTAGATTGAACTCATTCACAAGTATTAAAAGTACTAAGAAAGTAAATGAATAACAGTTTCACTGCAAAAGAAATCTATAAAGTTTGTGATAATTGTAGAAAATAAAGAAATCAATATGTTTTCTTCATGCAAAAAAAACCAATCTTTATATTTGGAGGGAGTGAAGAATTAATCTTTGAATGATTTATTTTTTAAAAGTCTTTCTTCTTCGTGGAAATCGTCTTGGTGATGATTCTTTTTGTCGAGTATATATATTTGATTGGGTCTAATTGCGCCGTAGATCAAAATGAATGTACCAACCAAACCGACCAGCCAAGACCATGGATAGTAGTAGTCCTGGTTTGGACCCAGACAATAGTTGAAGAGAAGTACCGACGTTCCAAGACAAAAGAGAATCAGTGAAGTACCAATGGCAGAGAGCGATCCATATTTGAAGCGTTCGGTATAGCCAAACAAAAAGAATGCAAGCGAGGGAATAATACCGGAACCGGGTATGACCAGTGTCCAACCCGGGAACGAACATTCACTTGGCGTCTTTGGCAGGTTATGGCTGACATACGGTGTGAACTCAAAGTAGAAGAAACAGAAATAAGTGAATGCCAATGGGATGACACTTGCTACAAATCCCATACGATAGTCGATTCTTGTGCCCTGTGGACGCTTCAAGAATGACGGTAAAATCGATCTCCTCTCGGGTAGATACTTTATAAACAGCGCAAAGTGGAAACAAATAACCATGGAGAGCGACCAACAAACCGCGAAATAAGCCGATTGTAACAATGAGGTACGATAAAGTATGCGATTCGACGATTGAAATTCATTGTTATTATCGCTACTCGTACTGCTGGCTCCAACTTGACTGTCAGTGCTGCCACTGCCACTTCCACTGTCGGTGCCATTGTTGGCTGGATGGAAATTAGATCGAGCAGCCTGGCTCAGAGGGAATGGGAAATTGAATGCGAAATACTGCCAAAGATCGAGTGAGAATAGAACAGTCCAGATTAAGGCGATGCTCATCAAGCTTACCGAACAATAGAATCCTGCTTTCATACCACTGTATCGCTTGATATTATGTTTCATCAGTGGGTAGAGTGCGAATATATTCAAAACGAAACCCAAGAAGAAATGTCGCCACTTTGAATATATCACTGGTTTAATTCTATCGGGCGGGATATACTGTATGTTCTGTTCTTCGTAGTCGTACTCCTCGACATCCTGAGAGATGACAACACAATTTCTCGAATAGATTTCCAAATTCAACAGATTATAGGTTGTCCTTATCAATATCGATACACCACCACATCCCAACAACAAGAGAATACACATCGGTGTCCAATATTGTGAAAATATTACAATTAAATAAACTACAAATGGTGACTATTTAAAATACACATTAATATAAACTAACCTAAACCAATCTATTTCAATTTACCTTTAAAAATATAATTAAAAAACCAATTGCTAATTGACCACCATATCTAAATCTTTTGTTTATACCATGTGCCATTGTTAGGTACATAACACCAAAGTAGTTGAATACCAAACCAATTGCCAAACCTTTCCAATAGTCGTTGATAGTTCCAGGTGCATCTCCTTTTGTTCCTATTCTATTCCAACAGGTTCTGAGCATCAATCTGAGTGTGATAAGCATTCCATTCAACAAACCAAGTCCAGCACCAACTCTTGTCAGTATACCACTCATCTCTGGATATCTACAAACTGCATGAGGTGTACTAAACAAAATCAATCAAATTGACAATCGATTAATATCTAATATTACAATATACAAATAAATAACTATTAAACATACGTCTCTTCATCGGTATATACAGCTTTGAAGTCACATGCTCCAACACGAAGAGGACAACGAATCTTGGCTTGATCTTGATTGTCTTGATAGGTATAGTCCAAGTTGTTAATCCATCTATTGGAAACATCCAAACAACTATGATCACATGTATCACCAGGTTTCAATCCGACACATCCGATCTGTGCAATATTAACTGATAAATTATAATCTGGAATTGGTCGATATTGTAGTGCACTAATATATATGAGTTAGTTTTTAGCTATATTCTTAATAATGAAAATACTGATAGTTACGCATCACAATTGATTGCTAATTGAGACTGTACGAATGCTCTACAGGTTGGATCGTTCGAACAAGTCTGGTTGGCAGCTTGGAACACCCAGGAATCGACGGGTGTATAGATGGATGCGCACGCACAGCACGATGGCAGCGATCCGTATTGCGGTTGAATAGTATAGTACAAGTATAAAATGAGCAGCGGGAAGTAGATAATCATTATAATACCTGCCAGAGGATTCCTACTTCCCTTCTTCTCCTCTTTGAACTTTGGATTTAAATCCATGTTCTCGAGGAACTCAATTGTTTTCTCCATCATTTTTTTCTATGATATGATTCGTTGTTTTTCTTTATAGGTTATCTATATCTATAACTAACTAACTTTACTAGAACTTAAATTCTAATCAAAGAAAATCAATAAAACATAACTTTACAAAACTAAACTATCTAAACTAAACTAAAATTAAAACTAATTAATCTAAGTATATATAAATAAATAAATAAATAAAAATTTACAAATTATATATTATCTTATCTATATTATATTATCGAAAGATCTAAAAGTGATAATATAAATAAACAATGCAATAATGTTATCGTAATAAATAAAGAGAAAGAAACAAACACAACACAACACACACAACTCTTTGAAATATTTGTAAAAACTTGTTTGATTTTCTGTAGGTTTTATTAAAAATATTAATAATATGAATAAATAAAATGGTTTTTGTTTTTTATTACTACCATGCAAAGTTAAAGGTTAAAAATGAAAGATGCCCGATAATAAAAAGGTATTAATTTTTCGATTTTCACAGTGATTTTCAAATTTCATTGAGGTGGGATTTTTTAAAAAAAAATCTATAGGCTGAAAATTTATCCTGGGAAATCGTTGACAAAAAATACAAATTAATTCAAATAAAAAGAAAAGTTTAATTATTATTAAAAAAATAGAAGTTTGAAAGATTAATTTTTATTTATTTATCATTATCATATATATTATCAAGTAAAGAAATAAATGAAAACTTCAAATGTAACTACAAATTAATGTAACTAAGATTATCAAACAAGATCATCGTTTGACATTTTCAAAACATATTGATTGATTCATTTAAAAGAATATTCAAAAGGTTTATTTTAATAATTAAACATTTTTTTCAACATATATTTTTAAAAGAGGTGTAAAGAATGAAACAAATTGTGTTATGGTGATATGATTAGAATGCACCAAAAACAACCACAACCACATCCATCACAACCGAATCCAGATGAACCACCACCAAAGACATTGAGATCACCAAAGATAATGTTGGTTGTTCTTCTTCTTCTTCCAAAACCAAAACATTGTTCTTGATTGTTGGAGTCACTTGATGATTGACCATTTGATGCATTGATCAAACTGTTGGCAACACTCTCCAATGAATTACCACCACCAATCATTGAAATAGATTCTATTGTTGTTTTTAACAGAAACATAGTAAAAATTAGTTATTTATTAATTTTATTTACAATAAGGATAATATTGTAGTATACATACTGATAAGAGTCATTTGTATTTATTACTTTACTGTTTAAAAAGTTTGTATTTGATGTTTGAAAAATATTCAATTGATCATCAATATTTATACTCAAACTCTAGACTATAAACTAAAACAAACATTTGACAAAAAATGAAATTTGATTAGATTTACTTATTTTAGCTGACAAACACAGAAATGGTACTTTTATATCATTTTTTATTATTAATACAAATAGATTGAATACTATCGATTAAAACTAACACTTGAATAAAAATAGAAAATGTCGCTAACTTGGCACGAAACCGATTTGATACAGGGCTTGTTCAATCGCTTCTCTCGAACAAAGCTATATTAAATTTCTATTTTCATTCAATAAATGTTACTCTTCTCTTATATATATATATATGTCAATTATCATATGGTGGTGGGTGATTGTTGGTAATCGTGATTATCAAAAAAATTTTAGTGGGAATAATTCAAAAATTTGAATTTTTATATCCGTTGAAAAAAAAGGTGATTTTTTCAAAAAAGAGAGGGAGAGCAGTATCATAAACAATCAATATAAAGTATTTTAAATATTTAATTATTCAAAATAATATTTTAATTTAATCATTAATTAATTTATGACATTGTTAGTATCACAAGTTTCACCAACTAAGGAAATTGGTTTTAAAAGATCTATCGTTGATCTTTTTAAATTAGATAAAAATAATAACGATAACAATGATAATAATTCAGATAGTAACAACAAGCAAGTAGATACAAAGAAAACAAAACTACAACATGATACAGCACATTCTAGTTTAATTAAATCGCTTGCACTCTCACCAGCTAAACCAAAGAAACAACTTAAACAAACAACTTTACAATTAACAACAAAAGTTAATTCTTCATCAAAATCTGAAAAACCAATAAAATTACAATTCACATCATCATCGACATCATCTACCACAGAAGAATCGGAAATAATAAATAAATCAAATAACAGTAATAAAGATAATAATAATAATAATAATAATAATAATAATAATAATAATAATAATAATAATAATAATAATAAAGATAAAGAAGATGATGATTCATCACCGTTTAATTCAACTTCAATTTTGGATTCTTTAATTACAACACCAAGAAAGAATAAGAACTTGGTGGGCGTATCGAGAGATTGGGATTGGAAAGGTGCTTCTCACAAGAAATTTACAGTTTCACCACTTAATTTTATCGATACAAAGGTCGGCAGTGGAGTATCGACACCAAAGAAGAAGAAACAACCGTCTTCTACAATGTACATGGAGTCCACCCAAGACGAATTGGAACAGAGTTTTATAAATGCAGGTCCAAAGAAATTCGGACAGACCATGTGTCCAAAGTGTAAGATGATCTACTTTAAAGGAAGTTCGGAGGATGAGAGAACACATTCCAAACATTGTAATGAGCAATCACAATCTCAAAAGATTACAATCAAGGTAAATTGCTTTATTATTAGTTATATACAATTATTTTTAAATTAATATTAAAATTTCAATTCAATTTGTTTTTTTTCTAGAATTGGAGATCTTCAGCAAAGATTTTAAATTCATTCTCTAATGATGAAGGAATTATTTTGGTATCGAGCGATGAGGAGAACACATTACTTAGGAACAAGTTGGAATCGGTCAAGGCCATGGTTAATAAGGAGCTGGGTTACTTTGATCCTGGAAACGGTGAAGACTCTGCCAGCGATGAGATAGAGGAGAAGTTCTTTTTATATCTGGATGCCGACAGTCGAGTGATTGGTTTTGCAGCAGCTGAGAACGTCACAAGAGGATATCGTATCAAAGAGAATAGCGATACCAACGATCATACCATCCAGTGCGAAGACAATCCAACCAGCATTAAATGTGGAGTCAATCGTATTTGGACTTTGAAATCTAAACTCAGACAAGGAATTGCAACGAAATTGATGGATAGTATTTGTCGTAACATGCTCTATCGATGCTTTATCGAAAAGAACCAGATAGCAACGACCACGCCAACAGCTTCAGGTATGAAATTCTTTGCCAATTATTTCGAAACAACCTATTTCCCATTGTACAAATTGAAAAAATGAAATAAACCTTTTTTTTTGTTAAAATTTTTTTGATAACTAAAATAATTCTCGTAGCAACTTTCGATATTCAGTAATACAATAGCAAGTATATATGAAGTTGTGATTTATTGACAATAGCTATGATGATGGGTGTTTGAAAGTAAACAATGATTGTCAATCATTCGAATCCCGATCTTTTCATTTCGAAGATAGGTGAGTTCAATTAAAGTATTTGGAGGAGAGATAATCGGTGGAATCTGAGCTGATAGTACCAGGGAATTGACTAATTTATTTGATTGATGATCAATATTACTTATAATGTTTATGTAATTATCATTATTTCAACTATTCATTTTATTATAATTTGTTAAATTTTTTTCAATGATCGACAAAATTCCCACTTAGAGTTCCTAAATAAATTGTTTTTTAACTTTATTATCAAAAAAACAATCTGTTTAAGACGATCATGAACTCATTTGATTAGAATGCACCAAAACAACCACAACCACATCCATCACAACCGAATCCAGATGAACCACCACCAAAGACATTGTGATCACCAAAGATAATGTTGGTTGTTCTTCTTCTTCTTCCAAAACCAAAACATTGTTCTTGATTGTTGGAGTCACTTGATGATTGACCATTTGATGCATTGATCAAACTGTTGGAGACACTCTCCAATGAATTACCACCACCAATCATTGAAATAGATTCTATTGTTGTTTTTAAAAGAAACAAAGTAAAAATTAGTTATTTATTATTATTTTTATTTACAATAAAGATAATATTGTAGTATACATACTGATAAGAGTCATTTGTATTTATTACTTTACTGTTTAAAAAGTTTGTATTTGATGTTTGAAAAATATTCAATTGATCATCAATATTTATACTCAAACTCTAGACTATAAACTAAAACAAACATTTGACAAAAAATGAAATTTGATTAGATTTACTTATTTTAGCTGACAAACACAGAAATGGTACTTTTATATCATTTTTTATTATTATTACAAATAGATTGAATACTATCGATTAAAACTAACACTTGAATAAAAATAGAAAATGTCATCTGTTTCTTTGTTACGATTATTTATAATCACATATCAGGATATTCTATACTTTTTTTTTTGTTATTCACAAGTTGTTCATTTACTTTTCTAACTATTAAATAATAGTGTATGTCATTTTATATACATAAACAGCTAAACAGAATGAAAGAATGATGATTAACATTAATTGTAAAATCATCTTGTTAAAAATTGTTGATCATATAATTAAACAATTCATTTTTAAAAATTGAAATTACAAAGTTAATTTGTATTATTAATAAGAATAATTTAATATTTTTATTTGTTGAGGTTAATACTCTAGATATGCAGTAATACAGTATAGCAGGTATTTGTGAAGTTGTGATTTATGAACAATAGCTGTCATGATTTGTGATTGACAGTAAACAATGTAATATTGATTGTCAATCATTCGAATCCAGATTTCCTTTCCAAGATCGGTGAGTTTGATTAAAGTATTTGGAGGAGAGATAATTGATTGAAACTGATCTGCAATTCTCTCAGCATATGATGATTCATTGCAGATTATGACCAATTCTTGAATGGAACCTCCACATGTAAAGTCATATTGTTTCTGAAGATCATCGATACAATCTATCTCATTGGAAATAATCAACTTTCTTACTGAACTTGGTATCTTCATTTTATGTAGAAATGTAGATATGAATGGAACAGAGAGTGTTTCAACACCAATTGGAATATTGAATTTATCAGCCTCGTATGACATACTTAGTTCTAATTCTTTGATCTTAAATCCATCAAGAGATGCTATTTGGTCTCGATTTAACTTCAGATAATCAAATTGATATAGCGATCGATCTTTGAATATAATATCGAATTCGAAATCACAACACTCCACGTCCAGATATCTGATTGTTGGTGGCATTACATTGACCAATGTGACAGGTGCGAATATTTCCAATCTTGTGAGTGAAGTTGGAAGACAACTCAAGTCGATTTGAGAATCTAGTGTATCACCACTGATTGATAATGTCTTGAGATTTGGAAGTGTTTTGATTTGTGGGTAACCATGATGTTGGTGCATTTCGTAGTATTCTAAGAGTCTGAGGTAATGCTCCATCTTCGATAGTTGAGTTGTGTCCAGAGAATTCAAGTTCTTCGAGTTGTGGTGGAAATGTTCCAACTTTAATATCTTGTTGGAAAGTGGAATCTTTCAAGGGATTCAAATTCAAACGTAATACTTTTAAAGTTTGATCTTTTCTCTTGAATTTGAGAATCTTCAAAGATGAAGGTAATACTCCTGGTTCGAGAGGTTGATTGAATGACTCGTTGAAATTCAATTTAACCAATGTGTTTGGAAGAACTCCTGTTTTGATTGGCTGATTAAATTTTCGATTAAACTTGAGTGTTTTCAAATTTGGTGGAAGATCTCCAGGTTCCAACTCTCCTTCAAACAAAAAGAAGTGTGATAGCGTTAGCGATGTAATATTCATTGGCAATGCTGAAAATGATTGAATCTTCTTAAACTTTGATATATTTAAATCGGATATTAATCGATAGAGATTCTTTATATACTCTTTGTTTTTTTCATTACACTGTCTTCCAAAACCAATATTGAATTGCTCAAAACAAAGAACTACTTTATCAATATTTAATGTTCTTAATCTATCGATATCAACTAATTCCTCTAAATAAAATAATTTTTGATGTAAGTATCGTTGATATATTAACTTTTATTTACCTATATTTACCTTTTGGTATCAGATGATCATAATATCTGATATGACCCAAACCAACTGCAACTTTACATTTTGTTTTACTGTTGATTTGATCAACGATTATCGATTTATATGAATTTAAATCAATAAATTTATTATTGATTTTATTAATGATTTTGATATGATAGGTATTAAATGATAGATATCTTTGTCTTTCATTGAACCATCTTTTACAAACTAAACTGAACACTATTCTATCTACATTCTCATCTAAATAACTAACAATCTTTGATAATAAAATATGTGATAAATTGACTAATTTATTTGATTGATTATCGTTATTACTATGATCAACCATTTTCTTATTTTTAAGCTGTTAAATGATCGACAAAATTCAGAGTTAACAAAATTTTGTATTATTTAAGGAAAAAAAAAAATCATTTTTTTCGACTAAACTATTTTTTTCCACTAATTTCGAATAATTGTTTTTGCTAAACTATATGAAATCATTTTTTTGAAAGAAGTCAATTGAAAATAGGTATTAAGATAATAAACTATTAGTTTTTTGAAAAGAATCAACCTATTGTTTATTAAGAACTTGAACGTATGATTAGAATCCACCTGAACAACCACATCCATCACAACCGAATCCAGATGAACCACCACCAAAGACATTGAGATCACCAAAGATAATGTTGGTTGTTCTTCTTCTTCTTCCAAAACCAAAACATTGTTTTTGATTGTTGGAGTCACTTGATGATTGACCATTCGATGCATTGATCAAACTGTCGGAAACACTCTCCAATGAATTACCAATTGTTTTTTTTAAAAGAAAAAAAAAACAAAAAAAGTTAAGCTATTTATTATTATTTACAATAAAGATAATTATCCATCCTATATGTATATAACACCCAGTCACGATTGCAAGAAATTTTCCTTCTCGTTTCTTGAAAAAAAAAATTGTTGTGCAAGTGGTTGCAAATTTATTTTAAAAAAAATTTATACATTTTCAAAAATTATTATAAGATGTTTTTTTTTTTTTATACAATTATTATTCTATTGACCTATTAAAATATTTATCACCATCGAGCAGAATGTAATTCTACAAACCCGAAAATATCAATCTCTACACGTTCGCCTGAATCCAAAAGTACTTCACCTTTGATACGACCTATAATCTGGTGGAAGCTAGACATGACCAAACCAAAGTTGTTGCGCTCATATTTGATTTTGAGTGGTGTGAACTCGAGCGGACTCTCACCGAATCTGCCGTGTTTGCAAACGAATTTCCACGGCTGCTTGAGATCCTCTTTGTTGTAGTGGAACTCGATGTGTCCGAGCTTGTGAATGACACCGTCCAAGTTGATGGCATTCTCAGTGTGTGTCGAGAGATCTCCAAAGCCTTCGCCAAGATTCAAACCGATGGGACGACCGTCACGTGTTCTTCCCCAGCAGGTTCCCCACAGCCAGAAGCTATTGTAGTCCCATATGCCGCGACCCCAATCCATAATACCGAAAGCATCTTGCAACTGATAGGGTCCAAGCCACTCTTTTCCATCGATAATCAAACTGCCCGTCACCGGAATCAAATTGGTCTTTCTGTTGTAGTAGAAGTTGCTCTTTCCGATCGGAGTTGCCAAGCATACCGACTCGCGATTCGGCGACAAATTAAATTTAATGTCAGCTTGCAATTTCATCTTGTTACTAGTTATCTTTATAGAGTGAATTAAAGTATTTTTGTTGTTCTGGCTGTCTGATAGATTGCTGCTGCTGCTGTTGTTGCTCGAATCTGGACAATCACCGACATCGAAATGAATCGAAAAGTTTTTGGAATTGTAAGAGATGTGACTACCGACGTGGCAACTGTCTTTTGGCAGTCCTAGACCCTTGGTGAGCGACGACGCTGTAATCTCGTCCATCAGAGCTTTGCCGTCGTTTGTAAAGTCAATGAAAAAAGTCTGATAGTTTGTGACGTAACCCAAATCGATTGCAGCCACCGCAAAGTAGAAACGGTCAGTACCCACCGAGTAGTAGTTCCACTCCTTCAGACGGTAAGCTCTTCTAAACTTTGACAATCCCTTTGGATTGTATGTCAACAGTGGTTGACGTGACCATCCCTTTACCTGCAACTGACCTTTTTCATTCAATAAATCTCCACTCTCTTTAATTTCATATTGTTCTCTGTTTGTTTTTATTTGTTAAGTTATTTTTTAAAAAAACAAAAAAAAGATAAAATTTTAAAAATTAGTTTTGAATATCTAGATTTTTTATAAATTTTTACAAACAAACAAAAAAGCTCGACTATTTTATATAATAAATATTGCAAACAATCATATGATTTATTATGATATATTATGATTAAAAGTGTAAATAAACAAAAAATGAAAAATGAATGAACAAACAAAACTAAAAAAGTAATATTATACTAATAATGATGTGTGATTATTTATTCTAAGGCAGATAGTAGTAATACTCACTCTATGTTTTGAGATGAAAAGCTGATATGTTTGGACATTTCTAAATGTTGTTTGATGAGATATTGATGTAGTTTCTCAAATAGTAACAATGTTACAAAGACTGGAAAACTGAGACACCTAAATACATTAATTATACCGTTTTTGATTTTACTAAGTAGTGTCATTGGTGTATAGAGCCTATATTTACTTGTTGTTTTTTTTTTTTTTTTAACAGTTAATTTATTAATTTTTAGTTTTTTTTTTTATTGTTTTGTTTTGTTTTTTTTTATAAATTGATTTGTATTAAACTGTGTTACATTGTGTAGCACAATCATACAATACCCCCCTATTCAAAAAATCGTCAAAATTTTAAAGTCAAAAATAGGGTTTTAAAAAAAAAAAAAATACTTTTATCGAAATAATATGAATAATATTTGCTGAAAAACAGGGTATCGGTTGCACTCAATCACAATATTTAATCAGATTTTTGAGATTTCTTTAAATGATTTATTGTTTTATCTCAATTTCAATTTATTTTATTTAATTTTATTTATTTGGTTTACCTTTACAAATTGTTATTTGATTTAAAAAATATTTGTAATTATTGTTGTCTTTGGATACCCACATAAAGTATTTAATATCATCATGTCAATCTACAAATGGTAAAGGGCTTTGTATCATGTTCAACTTAGTGATAGTTGATTAAATAAAAAAAAATCATAGGAATCGGGATTGATTTGATTCCAAAAAAAAAAAAATCTTTAAACTAGATATTTTGGATTGTACAATTTGCTTAAAAAGTGGGTATAAACAAATTTTAAAAGAATAAAAAAAAGTAAAGAGAATAGTTTTAAAATAATCAATTACTTATTTTGTTATACTGATACAAATAATAATAATATTTTGAAGAGTTTTCTTTTTTTTTTTAAAAATACTTAATTTAATAAATGAATAAATAAATTTTAAAAGAAGGTTATTTTTTTTTGTTTGTTATAAAAAAAAAAATGTTTTTTGCGCTTTTTTATTACTATATATTTTATAAATACTATATGAATCCAATTAATTTAATAGGCTTCAAAGTATTGTCTCCAATTCTCACAGATATCCTTGGTGTATGGTTTGGTGGCCTTGAAATCGGATGCATTTGGACCGTAGTACATGGCTTGTGGGTAATTAGTTGGCCAATCTGATAATGGTGATCTTGGAGAGTCGTTATCGGCGAAATCGACCCAGGCACTTGACATTCTCGAGGCAAGGAGGTTGTCGCTATTGGCGAATGGATATGGGGTGTAGATATCTTGGAAGAAGATGTATGGCAACTCATTTCCATGTGAGGCAGCCAAGAACCATTCGTTGGCTGGGTAATTTGGTGAGGAGTAGTTGAAGAGATAGTAGTAGGCTTCGACTCTGTCGGCCTTGAAGTATTGTGAAGCCAAAATGGAACCACAGACAATGTAGTAGTCTCCAAAGAATTCGGCACCACCATACCAGTTTCCGAGTTGGGCGGCGACTGGAGCGTAGAGGTTCATGATGTCGGTGACCTGGGAGGAGTTGAAGTAGACGTTGAGGTACTTGGCGATTGAGGTGTTGTAGGTGGCGTCGGTGACAGTTACGTTGGGTGGGACCCAACCGAGACGTGAGTAAGCCATGAAGTTTCCTTCGTCGTAGTTGTGACCCATCATGATGGTGGCATCGTAGTTGTAACGCTTCTCCTTGATTGCCTTGAGTGGCAGTGAGGTGATCAATTTACCATCGACCATTGGAACGAAAAAGTCGGATTGACCAGCGGTTGGAGTGATGTCAGTGGCATTCTTTGTCTTCAAACAGGTGATGATGTCGGTGGTACCGTCACAACCCTTGGTGGCAGCCCATGAAGCCATCTTGGTACGACCTTGAGCAACGGTTGGAATGTACCATTGCCATGCAGATTGGATGATGGCATTGTTGTAGAGACTGAAAGACGATGGGATGATGGTGTGGTGCAAAACTGAGGAACCTCCAGCAGACTCACCAAAGATGGTAACTTGAGATGGATCACCTCCGAAAGCACGGATGTTATCACGGACGAATCGGAGAGCGAGTTGTTGATCTTGGAGACCGAGATTGTTATTGGAGTCTGAGAATGGTTGGAAACCGAAAACATTCAAACGATATTGGATGATGACTACAACGGCCTTTTGGATGGCAGCGAGCTTGTCACCTGGGAAGTCGGTGGCGGCACCAGTCCAGTAACGTCCTCCGTGAATAAAGACAAGAACTGGCATGCTGTTTCTGCTGTAACCCTTTGGAGTGTAGATGTCCATGTACAAACAATCTTCGCTGTAGACGTAACCGGCTGGCTTACCGGATTGCCAACAGGATGGAGCGTGGGTGGTGGCTTGGTAGGTACCAAAAATGTAGTCACGTGGCTGCGGTTGCTCGAAACGGAGGGATCCTACTGGTGGCTTGGCATATGGAACACCCAAGAAAGCACGAGTGCTATTGAAGTAGATACCAGTGAACACACCGGAACGTGCAGAGACAGTGAGTGGTGCACTTTGTTGACCATTGGCAACGTATGCCAACGATACAATTAATAATACAGAAATTAATTTCAAAAACATTTTGTTTTCTTTTTCTTTCCAATATTATTATTTAGTTATCTAATTTAATTTATATAATTGTACAATAAATAGTCTGGAGATATATTAATAAAAAAAAAGTAAAAATTAATATTATTATTTATTAATAACAAAAAAGGTGGGAACAAATAGATAGTAAAGTAATATTATAAGTATGTAATGTTATAATGCTATAGGTTATTGAATATGAATGGAACTGTACAATTGTTCCAGCTTTTTATAGTTGGCGATCGAAAAATATGATTGTATTTTTTTTGCTTTGCTCAAAAAAAAACCTATTCTTGGTGTGTTGGTGATGATGTTTTAGTGTTTGGTTGTTCTATTCTATGGATTGATTTCAGGTACATCTGAAATTTAGGGGGTGTTTGCGAGTGTTCAAGATGTTTGCTAACACCACTTCTTACCAGAGAATTTCGATAAGAAAACCTTGAAGGTTCAAAAAAGCAAGGTTTTTGGTGATCAAATACGAAAAACAATGTTGTTTGATCGGTTTAATATTTAAATTTGATAAAATAAAATAATGAAAACCCTTGTTTCTTTAATTGAACGATTAAATATTAGGTGAATATGAGAATTGTGTGAATATGAGAAACAGCAACAACAACGACTGTAACATATTGTTAACAAAGAAAGTGCCCACGCACTTTTAAGATTTTTGTTGATCTAGAACTAGTCGCTGTACCCCTTTGGCACCTACTGAAATCGCCGCCACAAATGTCAAAAATGTGAAAGTGACAGCACACAACAACACCAAAATAATAAATAGATATGCTATGATAGTGGCAAGTATTGTAGAATATATAGGTTACTAATTAAGATAAAATTACACCCACTATTCACTCTTTTTTTACGATGACATTTGATACAGGTCAAAAAAAAATAAACAATTAACACATCTTTTTTTTCGAAAAAGCACAAAAAAATTGGTGTACCTTCAGATCTTAGCATACCATCAAAAAGTCATCTTTTTTTGAATTGAAAAATAACCTCCAGTTTTTCAGTTTTTTTTATAATAATATTTTAACAATATGGTCTACAAAAGGACAAGGTATGGTTAGAAAAAAACTATTTTTTTAATTAATTTCTTTTGTTAAATTTAGTTTTGAGTTTATTTTTTTTTTCGAAATGTTTTGGAATTGGGATCTATCTGTGTAGGTATGTTGGTACAAGAGGTAGGGGAAAGGTCACAAGGTGTGTTTTTGATCATTTAAAAGTGAAACGAAAAAAAAAAATCGTATTTAAACGATCGTGTTGATTTATTTAAAAAACGAATGATTTCATTGAATTGTTTCTAAAAACAGAACCTATAGATTGGACTAGAAAATAGTCGTTCTAATTATGGACAGTGACATGGCTCTTTCTCTTTCACTGATGAAACATCATATTATCATATGTTTACCACATTTTTAAAGCCCTGGTTTTCTGATTGATTTTTAACAGGGTCTGTTTGATTTGGAATGTTGACACGTTAATTTGATTTTCAATTTAGTACTAAGTAACTGGAATCATTGATCTTTGAACATTGGAATTTAGAGATTCAAAATGAGTTCCACTTTGTACATAAAAAAATGTGCTAAATTTAATGCATTCACAAAAATTAAAGGAATTGAGAAACAAGTGTTGATTCAAAACAAAATCTTCCGATTTGTTTTTTTATCATAATCTATAGATTGAATAGATCGATAAATTTAAAAATCTGATAATCTTGTAAATGTTTTTTTATTATTTTATTTTATTAAAAAGAGTGAAAAAAACAATAAATATTAAATAAACTAAGACATTCACAAAATTTAAAGGAATTCAGGATTTTTTTCAAAAGTGTGATAAAAGAAAATAAATCTTTCCAGATATTATTAATTATATTAAGTCTAACTTTTTTTAATTTGTTGTTCGTTGTTGTTGATTTTTTTTCAATAAAAGAATTGGATTGATTGGTTTGATATTTTTAGTGACAACGAAGTGAAGTTAAGTGAAATGAGGTGATAGATATGAGTGGTGTGGTGTGAAGGTGAACTGGGGAAAAGATGTCAAAAGTGTCAATTAAATATATAAGGTTATTTTATAATTTATTAATTCATTCATTTTTTTTTAACATTTTTAATATGTAATGTATAATATAATATATTATTATAGTGTCAAAAAGGGATTGGGTGTTGTTATGATTGAATTGCCTTATTATTAATTATTATTATTATTTCTTTTTTGTTTTTTTCTTTTTTTTTTTTTTCTTTTACTTTTTTAAACTACAAAATCAATATGTTTCTTTGAGATATTCTCAATGATTGAGTTCATGTGAAGACATAGATTCTCAATGTTTTGATCCCATTGTTGGAAGCAGTCGCTGACTGTCTCGAATTCGATGAGACGATCGATCTGATCGATCGAGCCAGTCATTCTTTCCTCTTGCATCATCTTGGCTGCGACTTTCTCTGCCTTGTCCGAAGGAATCTCCAAAAGAGCACCCAACTCGTCGAATGTAATATTATTATAGATCTTACTGGCCGAGAGAAGATTGTGCTCAATGACAGCCTTGTCCAACACAGTACCACCGTCCGACAACAAAGCCATTTGATGTGGTTTCAACAATTCAGCAAATTTAGTAACCTCTGTCTTTCTCAATACTCTTTCAAAGAACCTATCATCATCATCATAATCATCACATTATAATTATAGTTAATAAATATATTATAATAAATAAAAGTGTATGTACATACATCTTTTCTAAAATTGGATAGACAATCTTTGTTGCTTCGGATTGTGAACTTCTTTCATCTTTATAGAGTGTAGCCAACATACGTGATCTTTGTGGACCGGCTTTGTCGAGAATGGCACAGATGATAGCACATACCAATGCCATCGAACGATCACCTTCACTTGGAAGAATAGTAGACAATTCATAATATTTGTTGGCTGCCTTCAAAAACATACGTTTATAATCCATAATTCTAGCAAAGCATGTCTATATTTTAATAATAGCAAATAGCATCATCATCATTGTTAATAAAAACATTCAAAAAAACTCATTCCTTTTATATACCTTGTGTGCTAAAATCAATTTTTGTTTCTTGACTTGATGGATAGAGTCCGATGCTCTGTTGATATATGTCTCTGCTTGTACGGATTCCTCTTCCTCCAAGAACAATCTAGCAATCTTTACATAGATCTTTACTTTATATTCTGGTGAGATAACTCTATAAGAATAATATAATATATTAATATATATATTGTTATAAACAACATTAAGTAACTAAAGTTTGATTAAAAAACGAGTTACGCTACGATACCTTTGACTACTATCTAATGGAATTGCCATGAGACACTTGGCAGCTTCTCTCCAGTTCTCTTGTCTCTCGTAGAGTTTAGCAAGATTGTAACGAATGTCTGATACTTGTTCCTCGAAAGCTACCACTCTGTCTTGAATACGCTCCAACACGTAGTTTGACAGATTCATCTGTGGATCGAATCCCAATGTCTTTAGTGATTGAGTCAACGATGATAGAATAGATCTAGAGATAACCAATGGTGTTGTTTCATCGGTAACTAAATACATATCATATGTTTAAAAAATATAATATAAATTAATATACATAGCAAAAGTAAGTAGATTAGTTTAATATATAATTACCATGTGTAATAAAAACTCTAATATTTTCTACATCTTTTGATTCGATGAGTTGTGCCAAGAGAGCCTTGTACTTCTCACTCTTCACTTTATGATCGCTGAGTGATGCAGTCTCTGTTAAAATCTGACCAAGTTGTTGTTGACTCATTGCTGCTATAATAATATAATATATCTACAAATAATAATTAATAATAATAAATCAAAAATAACAATAATCAACAAAAATTAATATAATAATCAAAAATATCAAAATTGAGGATCAATTTTTAATCTAAAAAAATTCTTAAAAAAAAAACAAAAACCAAAAGACAAGTTTTTAAAAAAAAAAAACCAAAAAAGAAGTAATAATTATTATCACTAGATTTGAATTGATTCTGATCATCAATCAAATAATTTAAAAGGAAATATTAATCAAAAAAATAATAAAATAAAAAAGGAAATTTATTTATTATTTAGTTTAGATTAAACAAATATTTGTTATTATTATTATTATTTTTTTATTTTTTTTAAACCAAATTAATATACATGATTATCATTAGTAGTAATAACAATAATAGTAATGATAATGTTGAAGAAGAAGTATTGTTGGTGGTATTACCAATCACTTTGATTCAAAGAATTCTTACAGAGTTATGGCAGAGTCAATACCTGCTGGTAACGACAAAGTTACAATTCTATCAAACAGTACTGCCAGTGTTTACATTGCTATCGAAACGATTCTTTGTATTCACTTCGAATTGTTTATTTACAAAACAGCGATTGCAAGTCGAGAGTACTAATTCATTGGGTGGTGGTGGTGGAGGTTACAATGCTGCTCTTTCTAGGACTGTCTCGGCGATCAAGCATGCTATCACCAATCGGTTATCGATATTTAAGCATATTGAAACTCTGACTATCGATACTGAATTGTTTAACTATTTCATTCGAGAGACAACAATCTTCATCATCGATGATACCCAACAACAGCAATTGCTATTGTTGTTTGGACGGGTCCGGTATCTTACACTGAGGGGTCACCATATTAATAAAAATGGAATCAATACCATAGTTACGTTTATGACAATGTTAGAGTCATTGGCATTGAAAGATGTTTACATAGATATAAATCAACCGTTTGGAACAGTAACAGTAGAAGATAGTAGTATTTCACTTCTAAACAGTATTCAACTGGCAATTCCAAGTTTGACAGCCATCGATTTAAGTACAACACATTTTAATTACAAACCGCAACAACAACAATTAATAATCCAAAAAAACATTCATTCTATAAAATTACCAAAGAAACCATTCCCCAATTCAACATTTTTCAAATTTCCACAACCAAATAAATTCCATACAATTGGAATATCATTGTCAATATTAAACAATTCGAAAATATTTCAATTACCAAGCGGTTTCTTCACAGAGAATCTGACCAAGTTAATCATCTACAATACAACAATGCATTCCGACTGCTACGATGATCTCTATGAGTTCCTTGTTATGACACCGCATTGCAGAGTCAATTATCTAGCTATAGAATATAATCAAACAGTTGCAAATTGGCTAAAGGAAACAATTCCAAAGTGTCCGACAATAGAAACAATCAGATTTCTCAAAGGAACAGAACAATGTTTTGGAAATCAATTGACATGCATCCAACAATGTAGGAGAAACCTGAGACAACTCATTACCTATACCAGTTTCGACCCATCGAAACTCAATTATTTTACACCGCAGTTCAAAATACACTTTCAACATTGTATCTTTCAAATGGCATCAATCAAGAAAAACAATAATAAAGAGTTTATAAAATATGTTCTTTCCATTGAATGGAAATGATCAATAAATAAATAATCCTATTTTATATTTACTGTATTTCTATTTTATTAATAATTAACTTTTGTAATTTAAAAATAGATAGTATGGAAATGATGATTCTATTTTCTTTGAATTTTTTTGTTGTTCGTTGATATTATAGATTCTCTTGCCAAATACTCGCAAGTCTTCGTGTTGAGTTGATTTCCTATTGTAGTATTTTCTTGATTTCACCATTGCAAATCCAGTTGGTTTGTAACCGTTGACTTGAGTATGCACATGTTTAAAATAATCTAATTTAGGAATGAATATAACTCGCTTTATATTGATAAAAGATAGAATCGTAGAGATACACGTAGATACATCTAGCTCTACAGTATCAATGGTATTGTTGCCTGTTAGACATTGTCTGAGGAAAACATCTTTTTCTATACCAAAGTGTTTAATTTTACAGTCTGATGATTTCAGAAAAGCTAAAAGTTGGCTGAGATTGATTCTCCTGATTGGTTTCGAGTCGATGAAAGTTATCACCAGTTTCGTCAAGTGAGTGGTTAGTATCGATAGCATTGGTAGTTCGTTCAATCCAATAGCGATCGATTTGAATTGAAATGATTTCGCTGGTTTTTCTAAAACGATTAGATCGTTTCTATTCAGGTCTGGCAGTTGGAGATGTTGAATGCTCTCAGCTGAGAGCATAGAGAGCTGAAATAACGATTGCGGTCGTATATCGGCGCGTGAGAGATCGAGTGATGTCAAGCCACTGATGTCTCGCAGCCATTGAAACACTTCGCCGCTCGGAATAAAGATGTCCTGAAGTGAAAGATGTTCGAGATTGGCCATATTCACTATGAAGTCGTAGTGTTGTTTGTGCAGTTGAACGCTACCGTTTGGAGCGTTGAATAGATAGAGCTTCCTGATGCCTCTGAAAATCGCGTGGAACTCGTTCGCTACTACCGAGGAGTTGTCGGTGTTGGTGTCTGTCATTGCAATCTTCCTGCTTATGAGCAAGAACGACAATGCTCGCAGCGAGAGCACCGTTATATTCTTCATAACGTTGTAGCTGTTTTTCAATATCTTATCTTTGACTACCGATAGGCTCAGTGTGTATCCACGGTTGAAAGCAAGATCGATCTTGGTGAATAGATGAAGCGATACCAATTGAAAGAATTCCTTCGATACCAGAGCCAATGAAAGAAGCCAAGGATATTGAGTGTCGTATTGGAATTTCCTGATGTATAGCATTGGTCTACGCACTTCCCTCCAGATATCCTTGAGAATTCGTTGTTTTAAGATTGTAGGTAGTGATTTAAAACCAATATCTACATTGATGGCGATATGACTATGTTTATATTGTTGTTGTTGCTGTTGTTGTTTGTTCAATGTCTTTGAAAGTGCACTGTATGTTGTCTGATAGTTTAAGATCACGCTGATCATCTCTTCCTTTGACATTTGATCTGTGTATCTAAGTTGATACCTCTTCATCACCTCAATGATCTCATCGAATTGTTTTGATTCCAATTGTTGATAGTTATACTGGTTAGATGCATCTTTATTAAAATTACTATTCATTCTAACTATTTATATTATTTATTGTTTCATATTTATGTAAGATTAAATATATGAGTACATATTAATTAATTAATTAATTAGCGAAAAACAAAAAACATTAAACTTGAATTAATTAAAATCAAGATATATCTTTCATAAATCATTCCTTAAATATATTTGATAACCTAACCATATAGTAATTCGTATTTGAGATGGTATCAAAAGCAATGATGTTAATTTAACAAATTAAAAAAAAGTTACAACTATAATAATATTTCATTTAAAATCACATTAGTGGTAATATTTATTCTATTTTTTGAATTTCTCTTTGAATTCAAGTGAGAAAGAAAATATAAATATTTATTAAATGTATTAAGAATGAAAATAAAAATAGATGTATGATATATATCCGTACCTACCACGATCGTCACCCCCCATTTCAATTTTGTTCGACATACACATCAGTTTACTTGACACCATCAAAATCAATGTTCATCTTTAACACTTCACACAATCATAAAACATATCAATAGTCGACGTGTACGATATCGATATAAAGGTAGTGTGGTATGGCTAACACACACAAGCCACTCATTTTAAAATGATTATATATATATATAAGTGTGTTTGATAATCAGAAGAAATAAATTAAAAAAAAAAAAGATTAAAAAATAACAATAGTACTTACTTGTGTTTTTTTTAACATCATCATAATTTAAAGGTGAAGAATATAAGTATAACATCCCTATTATAGTAATTATATAATATAATATATTTAAAATTTAAATTAAAAATTAAGAAAAAAACTTTTTAATTAAATTTAATTAATTGAATAATAATAACAATAACAACAGTTGTCACCTTTCAATAATAGTATTATTTATTTATATAATTATATAATTGTTGTTGTTTAGATAATGATTGGGTAAATCAAATTTAAAAGACCAATAACAATAAGTTACCAATCAAATCAATTAATTAATTACTATAGTATTATCAATCAATATTAAAAAAATAACAAAGATTATTAAAAACAATTAAAAAAAAAAAAAAAACAAAATCAAATTCTTAAACTTTTTAACAGCTAAAATTTTAATTTGCATAAATCATAGTTTTTATAAATCAAAAGCTTAAACTTCCCCCACAAATCAATATTATTGTCATGTTGTAATTTCTTTTAAACAAATTGTGTATGCCTTGCCGATTTCATTTAACCAACCCAAATTAAATTAGCAAATTTCAAAAAAAAAAAAATAATTGCAAAAACATATATAATTTCGATTCATCAAAAAAGTTTGTTCTAAAAATATAACAACAGTAAAACACAACAACATTTATTTAAATCAATCAATCAATCAATCAGAGAAAGTCAAACAATAATATTTAATTCAATAATAATATTTTATATTTAAACAGAAATATATAAATAAATAATATATATAGTATAGTTAAAAAGATTTGAAAATTGAATAAAAGATAGATAGATAGATAGATATATATACTATATTAGATTAGTTCATTCAAATCACTCTCTTTCTTTTTGAATGTCAGTTTATAGTTTTGGACTTGGTATCAATGGTGCTCTGGGACATGGTGTGCTAGAGGAATCTGCAGTACCAACCAAAATAGATCATTTCACCAAAACAAAGAAACGTATAAAAAAGATAGCATGTGGATCTTATCACACTGTTTTCATCACAGGTAATTAAATTTATATTGTTTAACTTAATTTTCAAATTAGAAAATCTTACCATATTATTTTTTTTAAACTCAAATAGATGATGAAGAAATGTATATGTCAGGTGTTTGTCAAGATCCAAAGAATTTGACATCACTATTTCTTGGACTGTCACAAAACAGTATGTTGGGAGGAGGTGGAAGTGGTGGTAATTCATTGCAATCGGCTATCGATACATTCTCAGTGTCGACACCGGATTTCAGAAAGCTGTCGGTTGCAGCTGCAACCTCTTCAGACACTGCCAGTCCACACTCACTTTCACCGCCAGCCTCCAATAACTCATCGTTGGAATCATCACCGCGAAGAACGATGAATCTCAGTCAATCGGTGCCAATGGTTGCACCGCCCTCATCGTCATCGCCACCACAACCACTACCAACACTTCGCATTGAGGAGAGCAACGCTGCAACAACGTCCACTTCCACACCAACAGAAGAAGCGCATACAGAAGTAGAGGTAGAAACAGTAACAAAAGTAGAGGTAGAAAGTAATCATGAAAATGAAAATAACATTCATAGAACTATGAGTCTGGCACAGAGTATAGTTGTTGGTGGACCGATTGGTGCTGGTCCAGAGGGTGAGCAGCGACCACCCATTTCAACGCCAATGCGTATTCCACTGGATTTCCTCTATCATGGCGTTCCAACACCTGGATCACGAATTAAACAGGTATCCATAGGTAACTATCACATAGTACTACTCACAGAGGCAGGAAACATTTGGACTTGGGGTTCTAATTCACATGGACAACTCGGTATTGGACTTGATGTACACTCCAATATTCCAAGACAAGTCGAATTGAAGTGTATAAAACAAATAGCAACTGGTGTAAAGCATACAGCTGCAATCAATGGTAATAATCATTTCCAAAACAATAATAACATAACCAATTGGAGATAATAATTTAACTAATTAACAAATTAATATTTTCTATATAGAATGGGGAGAATTATATATGTGGGGAATAAATGAACATGGAGAATTAGGACTTGGTGATACCGGTATAAGACGTTCGCCAACTCGTGTCGCTAAATTGAAATCGGAATTAGTATCACTTGTTTCTTGTTCAAGTACACATTCTGTTTGTTATACAGGTAATTATTATTATAATATTTCATTCATATATATATACTCTAAGAAATATTTCTAAATTATATTATACTTTTTTTAAAAAATTATAGAATCTGGAAAATTATATTCCTGGGGACAATGTGATAAATTTGGAAAGATTCAAACAGTTCCAACTATTGTACCTATTCATAATTATACTGAATCGGATGCAGAGGGTGGAGGTTGTGGAGGTGGAGGTGCAATTAGAGCGATCGCTTGTGGAGAGTGGTTGACTGCTGCGCTGACACAGTTGGGTGAGGTATTCCTCTGGGAAGTCAGTGGAAAACCAACGGCAATTCACCATCTCCTCGCTGGAAATAGTGTTCGTTCGATAGCGATGGGTAATTTTCATTTGATTTGCTTGACGGACAACGGCGAGGTAATCACCCTCGGTCGAAATAAATCTGGACAACTGGGACGTGTTGTTCCGGCGTCGGAACAGGGCAATATTCCTGGAGTGGTGAAACAACTCTGGCATAACGATAGTGTCGGTGTAGATGCAGGAATAGGATTGGCAGAGAATGAATATGTTCTACACATCCAGGCTGGAGAGTATCATAGTGTTGCGTTGGTCGATGACAATCCCAAGACAAGGGTGGCTCTCAACCTCATTAAAATGCAGAGAAACTATCTCAGACAGCTGAATATACTCTCAAAGATCTATTATAAATCGATGTTGATGATATCGTCGCCAAGCGATCCATATGTAACATCACTACTACAATTACAAGCACACAACGGTGGTAATCACAGCAACAATAACAACAATAACAGCGGTGGACATTCTAGGAGTGATAGCACTGGAAATTCACAATCGGTAAGCACGTCAAATCTTGGGGCAATGAATGGCGGTGGTGGTGGACAACCAATAGAGCGATCGAATAGCATTGTACATAGTGGATCGATTTCATCGCCTAGTTTACTCACTGCCAATGGCACTGGAACTATTCGTTCGAGAACAACAAGCATTGCAACCATCAGAGGTATATTCGGTTTGAATACCATATCCAATATGCACACTGACGACTCTTCCATCTCGGAGGAGGAAGTCGGTGGTATCTTTTGCGATTTGAATCTGTTGATCAAGACAACCCAGACATTCCTGGCGAAGCTCGACAGTCGCATGGAGAATTGGGACGTCGATACAATGATCCTCGGAGATATCTTCCTCGATGAATCTATCATCTCTAGCTTCCGGGTGTACATTCCCTACAGTGACAACTACAATAGTTTGTGTATGACGCTGTTCAACGCCAAGAAGCGAAGTGAGAAGCTGATATCGCTCCTCAAGGAGTGCGAGAAACGCTCACAGAATTTCGGTATCAAACTGAACCAATCGTTGGTTACCGACATGGATATCAAGAGTCTATTCTTGGCGCCACTACAGAATGTACCACGTCTATTCTTGGTACTCAAAGAACTAGTACAAAACAGCTCCTCATCAAAGAGACAACACAACAACAACGATGTCGATCTCCTAGGTCTGTCTTCATCCAAGTATCAAGTACTTCTTGAGCGTATGAATCAGAACTTCCAGTTTGTCGACCCAGTAGAGATACTCAATTGTTCGAGCAATGAATTCGGTAATCCACAGATTATGGGTGGTTCATTACCTCAACTTGTTGAAAAGTTAACTCATCATAATATTTCAGGTATGTGTTGTTGTTGATCAAACAAACTAAAACAAAGATAAGATAAATACTAACTATAATAATAATAATAATAATAATAATAATAGATCCAAACTTTAGTAATGTATTCTTACTTACTTTTAGAGCTTTCACTACACCACTCTCTTTGATGGATCTACTGGCTGAGAAGTACGAAAGGATGCCAGCTGTCAAGGGTAGAGTCTTAAATATTCTGACATCTTGGATTGTTAATCATTTCTACGATTTCGAGAATGATCCTATCCAACAGATTATCGATCCTGCAGATCATCATCCTAGTTCACTCTCTGTCAAGCTAGAAGATTGGATGAAATCACATTCAAACAATACACTATTAAACTCTGTTAAGAAAGAATATGAAAAACAAAGAGAAACTGTATGTTTTATTATAGAGTAATAACTCTTATCTTTTCTTATTATATCTAATCTTAACTATTTAACTAACAAACATTTATAAATATTTGTTTGTTTTTTTTTTTTTCTCTATTATAATAATATTAGCCAATTGAATCTAGATTGAATGCACTCTCTGTTATTATACCAACAGCTACTACGACACCTACTATTTCACTGTTGAACTATACCAGTATTGAAATTGCACAGACTCTAACTACTTTGAATCACACTTACTTTGCAAAGATCGACAAGAGAGAGTTCCTCGGACAACGTTGGACAAAGAAGAAAGCACCAAACATTCAACTGTCGACAGAACACTTCAATAGAATCAGTCAATTTGTTATACACGAAGCCATTCAAGGTAAATCATCTAAGCATAGAGCATCTATTATAACACATTTAATTGCAATTGCACAAGTAAGTATTTAAATACCTTAACAACACTGTTAATATATATAATTATACTAACTCATTACATTACATTACAACTTAACATAATAATAGAATTGTTTTGAATTAAATAACTTTATGAGTGTAGCAGCTATTATATATGGTTTAGATTCATCTATTATTTCAAAATGGAAAAAGACTTGGAGTGTAAGTAATATTCATTATATAAGATGTAGAAAAAGATAAACTAATATATATATAACTACAATATTATTATTATAGAAACTATCAAAAGATACAATGAATAGTTTTGAATATTTACAAAAGATAGTTACACCATTGAAGAACTATATATCGCTTCGACATATAATGACAACAGTTCAACCACCTTGTATTCCATTCTTGGGCACCTATTTGAAGGATCTTACCTTTATAGAGGATGGTAATCCATCGAGGATCGGTGAACTCGTCAACTTTTACAAACAGAGAAAGATTGCTGAAGTCGTATTCCAATTGCATCAATACCAACAGGTACTCTATGACATTCCGTCCAACACAGTGATACGTGATTACTTCTTGACCGTTCCACTCATCGACGAAAAGAAAGCAATACAAATATCGTCTTCATATGAATAAAATAAATCAATTGATTGATAAAAGAAAAGATATCATTAAACAAAATAAATAAATAAATGTAAATAGGATTATTATTATTATTAAAAATAAAAACAAAAGTTTAACTAAAGGTTATAACATATAATATATTATTTTGTTTTGTTTAAAACCAAAACAGTAGTTTAACTACTAACTGTTTATTTATTTATTCATTACTTCTATTGTAATTTTATTGAATACAAAATATCGGTTTCACCTGGTTGAGCTTTGACTACATAGTCTGAATTGATCAATGTTGCCAAAACGATACTAATAATAATTTGGTTTTTCATTGAATGAAGGAAGGAAGAAAGATGTTAATAAATGTTTGTTTAAGCATTGCTTTTAGATTGTATTTCATTAGAAAGTTATGTTATACATACTTGAGATTATCAGCTCCTATTTTGTTCACTAAAAGTTCATAAGATGTTGGAGTTAGAACATTGCCGTTGTCAGTCATCAAACGAAGCACCTGTTTTCATTATCGTCGATAAAGTTAAAATTAGTATTCAAGACGAGCGAGTGATAGTTAATTAATTTTAAGTGCAGCTGCACAATTACTTAATTACTTACAGCTGTTAATTCTGGATTACCCAAACGTTGGTGTGCTGTAATAGTTCTTAAGATATGATATGTAATGTAATCGGGTTCGACGGTTCGGAAATGTTGAATCGCCCAATAGTAATTGGTTGCTCCGTTATCAGTTTTCTTTGATGTTATTCTAATGATGAATCTGTAATAGGTGTTTTGTCTATAATCGATAATTACAATGCATGAAAGGAAAAATTAGTAATTAATAAAATCAATGATTGTTAATGTCAGTTAGTTAGTTAGTTAAGTTCAAAAGTAAATATTAACTTACTGGAATTGATCGACTGCTTGATAGGGAAGAGTGTGAGTGAGGTTTTGTTTTGATAATGTATGATCAGAGACTGTAACCAAGGCATTGTATTTCTTTGTTGGATTGCTGTTTGTATCAGAGTTGTTACTGACGTAAGTAGATTCTTTATACACTGGTTTGTTCAAGACGTGAGCAACAATCTCTGCATAGTCTGGTGATTTATCATCGTAGTTTGTCATTTGAAATAGTTGAGCTAACGTTGCAGGTAAACATGGTCTATTATAATTGTTTTCTGTTGTAGTTGTTGAACCAACATTATTATTCATATCTGTCATCATTTTTAATGGTGTTTAACTATATATATTTTTGTTGTTTTAGATATCTTATTACTTTTTTAATAGTTTAATAGGTATATATAATAAAGATTAAATTATATGTATTTTGAATAATAAAAAAAAAACTTTAATAAAAATAAATAAATAAAAAAGATAAATAAATTTGTTGTTTTTCATTTGTTTTTGGCGCCTTAATTTCTTAGAAAAAATTTAAATTTTTGAATTTTTTTTTAAATAAATATATTTTTTTTTTTTAGATTGTTGATTCAGAAATTTCTAAACAGATAAAATAATCTCTATTTTTAATATAAATACTTGTAAATAAATCTTAAAAATTAAATAATTTTAGTATCTTTATATTCTTTTAAAATTTTGAAAATAATATATATTTTTATTTTATTTATTTTATTTATTCTAAAATGAGATTCATTTGAATGGTGCCAATTGCGATTTGGAATAGACCGGAATCAATGGTTACCATTAGATCTTCAGAGATGTATGAAAAGTCGGCGAGTGCCAAACGGAATTTGACAAAGGTCGAATTTCCAGGCTCGAGATCGACTTTGTAAAAGTGTTTCAACATCTTGACTTCCGGGGTGATCTCGGCGTAGACGTCGGTGAGGAAGAGCATGACTGTGTGCTTGCCGCCAACCGTTCCGTTGTTGGTGATCTCCACGACGATGTCGATGTGGTCGCCTAGGCTGGCGGTGTAGTTATTTCCACCAGTGTTGTCGGCGGAGCAGCTCACCAGCTTGTAGTTGAAGACGGTATAGCTCAGACCTTGACCGAATTCAAAGAGCGGCGAAGTAGCGAGTGACTCTGAGAATTTGTGGAAGTAGGTGACACCAATGTCACCGGTGTAGGCCGGGTAGGTCAGTGGCATACGTCCCGATGGATTGACATTGCCAAATACGATGTCGGCAATTGGTTTTCCACCCTCTGAACCTGGAAGGAATGCCATCAATACAGCAGAGCAACGGGCAACGAGCTTTGGATCGATAACACGTGGACGTGATTCGACAATCACCAAAATGACTGGTCCTTTGGCGTTGTCCAAGATTGCCTCGAGCAGCGCAGTGTTGGATGGATCCATTGTCAAGTCATTGATATCACCCGGAGTCTCTGCCTCTGGAAGTTCTCCAATGACGACAATGGTTGCATCTGCAGTTGAAGATGCATCGGCTGCTTCTTTCAACAATGGTTCATTAGAGCTTCCAAACATTGCACCAACTTTGTATTCTACCTTGACCTGAGTATTGTTAAGTGTTTGCTTAAATCCTTTCAAGATTGTTGTTCCAAATGGGAATTCAGAATCATTAAGTGCACCCTTAAAAATATAAGCTGTTAGTTAATGAAATGTAAAAATAAATAGTATTTATAAAGTTAACTTACTTGCCAATGAATAGACCAACCACCATTTAAATTTGTTAGATTGTTTGCTGATGGACCAGTTACCAAGATACTACCGATGGTTTTGGAGAGTGGAAGAGTGTTGTTATGATTTTGCAAGAGAACAATGGATTCCTCAACAATCGATGCTGCCAATGCTCTGTCTTCAGCGCTTCCAACTGTTTTAAGATATGGGTTGTTGGGATCTGGGAATGGATTCTTGAAAAGACCGAGAGAGTATTTGAGATTGAGAATCTTTCGGACCGAACGATCCAAACGGTGTTCTGGTACGATACCTGCTAACACCATCTCTCTAAGGTAAGTTGGGAAACTGGTATCGGAGGGAACCATCGACATATCTATACCGGCATCTAGCGCAATACTAATAGCTTCATAAGGGTTACTGGCAATATGGTGGAAATAACACAACTTAATGATATCCTCCCAGTCGGTTACGATGACACCTTCAAACTCCAACTCATCCTGAAGCAAATCGGTGAGGTATTTACGAGTGGCGTGCATCGGTCTACCGTTAATCTCACCAGAGTTCACCATCACAGTACCGATACCTTCGTTGACACCGGCAGCGAACGATGGCAGGAAATAACGTCTCATCATGATCTCTGGAATCCAAGCTGGTGTTCTATCTTTTCCAGACTTTGGATTGGAGTAACCAAAGAAGTGTTTGGCACTTCCAACTCCATATGGCGATTCAATATGTCCGTTGAATGGATCTTGGTTACCTTGGAGACCACGAATCACTGCAGAACCCATTGTTGCAGCAACATGTGGATCTTCACCAAATGTCTCATAGATACGTGACCACAATGGATTGATTCCAAGATCTAAAACTGGTGCGAAAATCCATGGAATTCCAACAGCTGTTGTATCCTTTGCAGTAACACTTCCAACTTTTGTTGCTAAAGCAGGATTAAAAGTAGCTGCTAAACCAGTATTCTAAAATAATTATTTATATTTTTTAAAATGTTTTTATTAATATTTATTTTCTTTAAAATTATTTTTAGATTATAGTTTTTTATACTTACATGTGGGAAAAGTGTTCCTTTATGAATGTAATTAGCACCATGTACCGAATCAAGACCATAAATCATTGGGATTTTATTTGGACTGTTCTTGATTGAATAGGTCTGTATATCTTTGATTAAATTCATCCAGGTGGTGGTGTTCAAAGTATAAATGGTTCCATTATCAACTGTACCTTGAGATACAGGTGAGTTTAGGAAACTTCCAATATTGAAGGTTTTAGTCAGGTAATCGAGTTGAGTATAGTTCAAACTAGCTGAATTTGGTTTTGTAATTGTACCTATATCCAACTATATATATTAATTTAAAATTTAGAAAATAATAAATTTAATAAATATTGTTTATTTAGAATATTTAATAAGTAAACATGACTAATTAATATACTTACTTGAGTCATTTGTCCAATTTTCTCTGTGATACTCATTTTTCTTAATAAATTATTAACAAATCTATCTCGATCTATCTTATATTTGATTGAACTTTGATTGGGTTGATGTTTTAGGGGTAATTGTCTGTCAAACTTTATTTGAGAGGATTTTTTAAATAACTCTGGATGATTCATTCTATGATGTTCTCTAATTTCAGATTGAAGACTTTCAATACTAAAAATAAATAGAGTGACAACCATCAAAATTATTAAAGTTGATTGTTTAAACCCCATTTTTAATTGTTTTAAAAATTAAATTAAAAATATGGAACGATTAAGTGTATATAATGTGACGATCGAGTTTTTATTTATAAATAAATAGTAAATTAATAAATTTAAATATGAAACAAAACTAACTAGATAATAATTAAATATAGATAATTTTACAGGTGATTATTTATAATGAATAAAAAACAAATAGTTGATCAAATTAAAACAAATTTTTCTTAAATAATCATTGGAATATCCAGAAGGATTAAAAAAGCCAAAGCCAAATCTAAATTAAATTAAAAGAAAATTAAATTTAATATTATATTAATGTAATAGTTTGTGAAAGTTTCTTTTTAGTTAGTTGATTTCTATTAATTGTGCAATAGGAATTTGTTTTTTTTTTAATAAAATTTTAGGAAGAACGCAAAGATTCTTTATTTTAATAAAATAATTCTAACTTTATAGTTTAATTGATATTTTTGATTAATTGTTAAACAAATTATTTACTGTTAACGATTTCGATATGATTTCCAACTATAAAATTTCAACTGAATTACTCACTTCATTGGTAACATGTATTTAATTTTATTACACTCATTCACCAATCACACTCTATTTTTTTTTGTAAGGATCATAATCTAACACCCCCAACTTGTTAAGATATTCCACATACCCCACCACTATCACCCATGACATACATAAAACCAAATTACCACTTGTAAAAAATAAACTTAACAAAAAACTACATTTAAAATTTAGTTTATCAGTGTAGATTAGATTTGATTGATTGATTCAGTTTTTTTACTTTCGACATGTCCTACCTATCTCTTTGTTGATTTTGTCTAAAAAACATAAATATCAAAATGTTGTTTTTGAAAATTTACTCATCTATTGGTAAAAATAAAAATTCCATTTTCCAACATAAAATTTTGATTGGACAATGAACACTCCTCCACAAAAAGTGAATATATTTTCATCATTGATTATTACAAACATATCGCCTTAACTTATTCTTGATAATCTCAATATTTTTATAATTTTTACAATTATTTTCATTTAATATCGGTTTTATAAAAAATTTTGTAACTGATTGTGCAAATACACCATTTTTAGAAATGTTTTTATAGATTTTATATAAAAAAAAAAAAAAAAAGATAAAATTTATTACTTTGTCATAATAGATATTTATCTCATTCTTTAAAATACTAAACAAAGGTTTTTTTGTTTTATTTTTCTTATATATTAAGTAAAAACAAACCAACATTTGTTATTTATATATTATGACAATGTTTACAATAAGATAAAAATAAAATAGTAGTCAGGAGAATCAATTTTTTTTATAGTTTAAAAATTAAATCTATAGTTTTTTTTATTATTTATTCAAAAATTTATCAAATACCAAGTTCATAGGTTTAAATGATAGAAACAGTTCAAATATCAATCAAATCGGGTTTCTTTATACCAATATTATTAAAAAACTGTAGGCTACATAGCTATCTATGTCTGAGATATATTTTCTTTGGACTAGCTGAAATTATTTGTTTTTTGTTTTTTTTTGTTGTTTTTTTTACTTAAAAGTTTTTATATTTTCAACTTATTAGCCCAAAAAATAGTGTAATATATATGAAACCAAAATAAATTCAACACGCCAATAAATAAAGAGACAACTCCAATAGTTACAAATTAAATATTTTCAAAGATTAGTTTGTTGCCAATTTCAATATTGTAGGTGGATAAAAAATGTTGATTAATTACTTCCACTGTTGAAGAGAAACAAGTAAAATTATTTTCTTAAAAGTAGAACTTATTTATTCCTTAATAAAATTATACAATAGTTTATAAAATTTGTTTTTTGAACAAACTAATATGTTCAATCTTTCCAAATCAGTGAAATAGTATCTTGAAATATAGAATCTTAAATTAATATCCAAATCAACTAAATTTTATTTTAAAATTAAAATAATAAAATAATATTACGGTGTGTTAAAGGTCTTTACAGACTAAAAAACTTAAAAAAGGTATATATCGATGATTCAAAAAATAAATGATTTAACTTTCACATTTTTACAGTAACATCTCGGCATTTATGTTGTCTCCATTTACAAAGTATTTTATTGGAAAAACAAGATGTTCCACGTCATAGCAAAACGATTGAGAGAAGATCCTATCTCTGCCAATAAATATGTGGGATCCACATAATTTTGATTCTTATTCATTTTAATATGGTATATTTTTTTGAAATTTAAAACAAACAGTATGGTTAGTATATCAAAAAATAAATTATAAAATCATTTGTGTTTGTGGGAATAGGCAAAAGTTTAATCTCCCATACATCAGTGTTTTATAATTTAATTAATTAAAAATCGTTTGATTTACAGTTTAAATACTATTGATGAAAAATAAGAAGATATGTTATATATATCATAATTTCTTATTATCCAGCTCTGTATACTTTAATTGCAAATTTAAAATGTTTAAAACTAAACTGTTAGATTTCGCAATTCAATACGCAAAGATTTTGTTTCTCATTTTGTTTAATTTGATACTACTCATCATTTATTCATTCTCCTATTACAAAATAATAACAGGTTTAATATATATCTATTATAAGTTATGTTGTGTTTTGTTTTATTTTAGGTTATTCATTATCATAATAATTGTTATAACTGGTGTAATTGAGATTGTTTAATTTTTAGTTATTTGCTGTTTTGCTGTTATTATTTATATATATATCATATTATTATACTATATGTTAAAAAAAAAAAAAAGTAATAATAATGAACGACTTTAACAATATTATTATTATTATTATTCTATTATTACTTTTTCATTTTCTCTAATTGTTTTTGAGCATCCTGTCTGATGGAACTGTTTGTTGGCGATGTCAGTGATGCCTTCAAGTCTTTAGAGGAAGTACCGGTTTTGTTTGGTCTGTCCTTGGAGATCAAGCTAGTGAAGAAACTGGTCAACACAGCCTTCTCTGCCGACGGTGCAGTCGATGGTGAATTCGATCCAGTGGCACCGGTACTCGAACGCAATGGACTTGGTGAACCAGTCTCCACAACCTTTGGTTTCTCTTGTTTACTGACATCGCCGCCGGCAGCACTACCTCCACTTCCACTTGGTGCCTCTGGTACTTCTTGATCCAAATTATTCTTTATCTTTAATAAAAATTCCTAAACATAAGCATAAACATAAGTATGTTAATATTAATAAAACTAGTTTTAAAAGACTAATAACTAACTTACTTGATCGTCATCAGCAATGATTGTAGCAGATTGATTCTGTTCTCTCTGTTTAATAATATTTGGTTTTTTTACAACATTCTCATAGAGTTCTTCGGCATCTTTACAAACTTTCTGGTTCTCGAAATCCATTGTGATCTTTGCCAGCGAGTCCCAACCCGATGGAATAAAGATTTGATCTTTCTCTAGCAATTGTGTTCTCGATTTCAACTCGAATCCAAACAACTGATTTTCAATATATTCCAATGCAACATCACAATTGATATCCTTTCTTGCTGAAGTATAAATCAATCCTGCTCCATCTAATAATAAGTTATTACAACAAAAACAGTTTACATATTAGTTAAAAAATTAAACTAAACAAAACTAAACTATTATATTGATATTTTTACTTACATTGTAAACAAATTCTTCTTAGATATTGTTGAATGTAATCAAACAATTCATCTTTATAATCGAAATCTTTTTCTAACATTACAACAGAGTCACTCTGTATTTGATTATAAGAATAGTAATTAGTAAGTTTATATTACTGTGTTTTGTTAAATGTTGTTATGTTATATGTTGTTATGTAATTACCTTGCAACAAACAACCAAGATAGGTAAACCCAAGTTACTGATGAGGATGTTCTCACTGAGTGGTGGAAGTACAGATGTATCTTCGATAGGTGTTACCACTTGCTTTCTCTTTTTCTTTTGTGATGCACTCAATATCGATGATGAATTTGGTTGTGCTGGTTCGACGTACTGATGCCACTTGATCAGTACTTTGTCTTTCAACGACTCTCTCTTCTCATTCTGTGGTGTAATAGATTTGATATGTGTTTCTAAAATAGCTAACCATTTCTAATAATAATAATAATAATAATAATAATAATAATAATAATAATAATAATAATAATAATAAATAGAAATAAAAATACATATGTTAATATTGTTTAATATCTATGTATATGTTGTTTGTTTGTAATAATATTTGTTATTATCATACTTTTAATGAATCAACGATATTCCATGGTTGTGAGAAATCTAATGCAATGACAATCATCGATTGTGCAATGTTGTTGGCGGTGAGTGCAAACTTTAATAGGTCGTTGTGTGATGTTTCACCCTCCAACGTCCAGAAGTTTGTACGTCCAATCGGTTCTTCACTGCTATCGTCCTCGTAGACATCGACAAATGTATAACTCAATGCGATTCCACGTAGTTTCTCGACATCTGATATCGGTTGAAACTTTGATAGTAATGATGTTGATCCTGCATTTGGATCACCTATTATTATTATTTATATAGATAGATAAACAAAAAGTAAAGTTGGTTAGATCTAATAGCTCCTCTCTTTGTTCTAGAATAAACTATATATCAACTATAGTTTTGTTAACAGTCTAATCTAATCTACCACACACACTTACCCAACATAATAACATTCTTTGTTTCGAAATAGTTTGTTTTATTTGAAGATTCTCTTAGGATTTGTCCCCAAATATCTTCGTCTTCAGTTGTGGTTGTCTCTTTCTCTCTGTCGACATTCATTTTTATTTTGTTTTTACAATAATCACTACTAATCTATCTATACAAATCTAATCAAATTCTAATCTAACTAATATAATATTTGCAATCTGATCGAATAATACAAGTTAATCAAAAATAAATAAACAATTTTATTAAATGAATTTTTGAAAAAAAAAAAAAACAAGTTCAGGTTTTTTGATATTTTTTTTTTTTTTCAAATTTTCAAATAAAATTGTCTTCTCATACAATACATGTATTTGTGTTGTATCTAATAAGTCAAATACTGATATTACTACTTAGAATAAATAATAATAATCAAATTTTATTTTGTAGGTTAACTTATTATTAAAACCATTCCTCTTTTCATAAATTTATTTTATTTTTTTTAAAGGATTCATATTTTTATATTTTTAAACTTGGTCGACCATATGGATACTAGTATTGTAATTTTTTATACAAATAATGAAACCTTTTTTGTCCTTGTATCTTTATTAGAAAGAATTTTAATTTTATTTATTTTTAAATAAAATATTTTTCTTTATCAAATTTGTTAATAAAAAGAATAAAAATAAATATTAAAAAAACAACAAATTCAAATAAGAAAAGAACTCAATAAATATCGAAGCATCATTTTTTGAAGTACTATCGTCATTCAACATTGTTGTCTACAAAATGAATGTTAATGTTTTTGTTGTTTGTTGCCCGTTGGAAATTTTAAAGTTATAAACTCAATGTGCGGATGATTGTCGCTCATAGTGAAGTTTTTTTTTATGTGACCGTTAGAATTTTTAAAGTTTGTTTGTGAGAAACAACTTAATATTTTTTTTCTTCATCATTCATGATAAAAAAATTCGATAAAATAAATGAACCAACTAATAATTATTGATGGTTATTTTTAAGTGCTGGATCTTAGAATCACACTTTCTTGTTGATCGTTGTTTTTTCAAGGTTCTTTTTGAAAATGAGATAGAGGTTAAAACTAGTTTTGTTGTTCCTCCAATGGCAAAACAACAACAATGATGTGGTTTAATTTTTTATTTTTACCAAAGACGATGAATCAAAAAATCCTTCACCAAATTTGTAATTTTTTTTTTATTTGGCATGTTTTGACACAGTAAAATACGAATTTATTCAATTTAATATATAGGGTATTCAATGGTGAAAGCCTTTGGTTTATTAAACTTTTTTAGAACAGTCTTTTTAAAAAAAATAAATAATAAAATAAAAATAATAAAATAAAAATACAAACTTAACCTTCACAAATATGAAATTAATTATTGATAGAAATACAATTATTGTATTAAAACATAGATGTATTTATTACTTTATTAAATATTAATTTTTATTTATTTATTTATTTATTTTATTTTATTTTATTTTATTTATTTAGATTTATTTATTTAGATTTCCAGAGTTTTTTTATCATTATTTATTTGTAAAAATTAAAATTTAAAAATGGAAGAATCTAATCCATCAATATTGATATCTTCCCAATCTTCATCTCCAATTTTTTCTCCGTCTCCTTCCCCATCAAGCCCATCAATCTCAACATCATCACATTCCAGTTCACCTTTAACTTCAATGTCTCCTTTAGACAAAGATATCGAAATATTATATAACAACGAAAATAAAATTGATATTTTATCTTTATCAAATACAATTTTAATTAAAATTCTTAGAAATGTAGTATCTGATTTTGACAGAATTTGTTTTGTTTTATCTTCTAAACAACTATTTATTAAATCTTCAAAAATATTGTTCTTCACACGTAACAACCTTCACCCTAAAGAATTCTATATATTAAAATCAAAATTTAGATTGAATTCTTTTAAAACCAATCTTTTCGACACTCTTTCATTCGGAAAATGTAATAGTAAGTATTAAAATCAATAAAAAACAATATCTATAAACAGTTTGTTAATTAATATGTTTTATAATGATCAAAAAAGTCACATGTATTTATAAAAATAAATATAGCAAAATACCAGAGAACTGTACACATTTAACTATTCATTCTAGTTGTACAGAGGTTATTAAACCAGGTTTAATTCCAAAAACTGTTAAATATTTGCATTGGAATGTCAATCAAATTCCGGGACGTGGTGTTATCCCATGTGGTTTAAAAAGACTTCATTTCGGAAATGAATATAATCAACCAACCACTAGCCTTCCAAAAAACATCACATATCTAGAGTTTGGGAATACTTTCAATCAGCTATCGGTACTACCGAAATCACTTTTGCACCTTCGATATGCTATTGGTGAGCAAGAACCAGTGTGTAACCCAACGGGGACAACACACCTCCACTACGATAGACCAACTTTAGATATAAAACAAATAGTCAAATCAGTTATTTCTATTGATTTTGGAAAGAAATTCAATGAACCGATCACTAAGAATCAACTATCGCAAACCATTACACATTTAGCGTTTGGATTCAGTTATCAGCACAAATTTGAAGTTGGTGTATTACCTTTGTCATTAAAATCTTTAATCTTTGGATTCAACTATAACCAAATGATCGAAAAAGATGTTCTTCCAAGAGGATTGAAACATCTAAATCTTGGTCAGAGTTATAGTCTTCCGATTGGAGAAGGAGTCCTACCTGAGGGATTGGAATCTGTAGACTTTGGAAAGATATTTGACCATCCTATTGTATCAATACTTCCCAGTACTGTAAAAAATATTTCACTTCCAGACAACTACATTCATCCATTACCAAAGACTTTGGAAATGGTTTCTTCTGGATATAAGATTTTAAATCAACTATTCGATCCTAATAATAATAATCAACAACAATCTTCACCACTCGTAAAAAGAATATTTATAAATACATTTAGATTACACGAAATCGAAATTCGAATATTGGACAATAAAAATGCTTTGTTCCTTACGAGGTCACTTGAAGGGGGAATCATTAAGACTGAATCTCTCAAAGACGGTACTTTTTTAAAAACATTAAATTAAAAATTAATAAAAAATATAATATTATTTTATTTTATTTCAACGATTTGTTAAATCTTTATTTAAGGATCCTTCAAAAAAATTGTTTGATCTTTATTTTTTATTTATATAATATTTAAATATAAATTTTAAAGATTAAGTCAAAAAAATAAATATTAATATAAAAAATTTCTTGGAAAGTCTTATTAATGATTTAACTTAACGAGTGACGTCAGATTAAATAATCTATTGCAATTGAAATTTAGTAAATTACAAAATAAATGAGATCAGATCTATAATGAGGTTCCACAAAAAATGAAACGACCTTGTCCAAGATTTTTTTTTATTTTTACCAACTTAATGATTTCATTGAATCACTGAAATTTACAAAATTTTATCAAAGTTGTCATAAACTTTGCTTATTACCATTTGGTCTTTGATATTAACATATGAGAACCGAGTTATTTAAACAGATATTTTCGAAATTGAATTCAAGCTATTCTATGTTATTTAACAATAAATTGCTTTGGACTGGGCAAAGTTGACAAGAATCTAGGAAAAGCTATACTATTTAAAGATTGCACTCCAAAGTCATATCATTACAAAAAATACACTTCTTCTTTTTAAATACAATAAATATAAATAACAATGTGCAAAGTAAATATTTTTTAAAAAAAAAAAACCTACTCCATTCTGATCAAAATACATACTTACCTAACTTATTGTTGTTTCAATTACTCTTTTTTTTTTAATAATATAGTTCTCCTCAGGTTGTGGTACTTCTGATTCAAAGTCATGCCGTAAATGTGGTGCCAAATTGTGCAAGGGTTGCTCACGTTCATTGATAACTGGTGCTGCTCCACCAAGCGGTAATTCTGCTCAATGTCCACAATGCAAGAATAACTACTAAACTTTCAAAAGTCATAATGTAACCTCATAAACATATATAAATAAATAAAAAACATAAAAAGTACAATCTAAAGGTATTTATCGTATACGATGTCTTGTCCTTTATTGATTATAACAACCAAATAACTTTTACCATAATCTATTTCATCTCACACCAAAAAAAGTAAATAAATCTTCTTGCTCTATTTCTGGTTATCTATTACAGAAATGTTCATTAAATTGATCATTGTAGAACATACAACTTTAGTCGATCTTTATTATTATTATTATTAAAAGATAAAATAACATTTAAAAGATATAAATTTGTAGGTTTGATCAATAGATTGAAATACAACAATAATATTAGATATTATTGAGAAAAAAACACAAATACAATTTAAATTAAAATTTTTGTTCGACAGTATTTTAATTAAACTTTTGGTTGAACGAAAAACAACAACAAAAGATTAAATAGTGTTATTACCTGTTTTTATTATTATTTATATTTGTATTAATAATTAAATTTCTAAACCTAATAAATAGTTTATATATTTTATATATAGTTTAAAGTTATAGTTATGATAATGATGGGAAGTAGATTGAATAGAGTACTTTGTTATGAGATTGATAGATTGAGACCTACTCAATGCGCTGCTGGTATGAAGCATGTACAACGCAAAGTAAATGAACTAAAGACATTGAAAGAAGAGAAAGGTGCTGATAAAGTAATTGAGTTTCTCTATGGTCATCCTGCACCCGTAATCTTAAAACAAAACGATATATATTTAATTGATAATCATCATCTATGTCGGTAATGTATTTAAACAACAAATCATATTAAGAATATAGGATATAGATAATCATAACTAACTAGCTAATTTATAAATGGATACCATCTTGATATCTTGATATCTAATCTTATATAAAAACAGTGCATTATATGAATTAAAAGGAGAATTCTTTGAAGATTTAGATTTCAGTAAATACGATAAGGATTTCGATGGAAAGGTGTCAGGCGATCCAAAGTGTTTTGTAAAGGTGGTTTCCGACTTGACAGACAAACAGACAATGCAAGAGTTTTGGGAGAAGATGGAGGAAGAACGTTGGGTGCATCCCTACGATCACAATGGAAACGGACCGCTGCCACACCACGAGATTCCAAGTCACATCAAAGATTTGAAAGACGACATCTGGAGAAGTGTTGCAGCACTTGTAAAGATTCAAGGTGGATTCAAAAAGTCGATGGTTCCCTACGCAGAATTCCGTTGGGCAAACTTCTTTAGAGGTGAACTCCAATCGGATTGCGACCTTCCATTCGAAGAGCTAGTTGACAAATCAATGAAACTATCTAAAAGTTCTAAAGCCAAAGAATTACCTGGATTCACTGGATTATAATTTATAACTAACTAAAACTATATTCATTTTGAAAAAAGAAAGATCTATACTGTCAGAATATATTGTTATAACTATTTTATTGAGAATTAGATATGTTTATTTATTTTATCTTTTTTTGTTTAACAACAACTTTATTGTTAATATATTAATTATTTCTAAACAGTTCTATTCCAATGATCGATGAAATCACCGTCCTGTCCAATAGTGTCGACTTGAATGGTATTGGAGGTCGGTGTAATAATGGTTCTAATCATATGTGGAAGTTTGTGAGCGACCTCGATATAGTCATAGTCTTTGACTTTGAGAATGGTGGTTGCACCCCAAGCACCGTCACCCATGTAGACGGTTCCGAGTGGATTCTCCTCTCCACCCAGCAGTGGCTTCGATCTCTTGTAGAGATGGTAGTGATTCTCGTAGGCAACGGTGAGATTGTAACGATCAAAGATTGGCGACCAGTTGTCACGCGCAGAAATCGTGATTTCATAGTCTGCCTTGACGTAGGTCGATGGATAGACAGCGATATGATAGATTCCAAACTTGAATTTGGCAGCGGAACTAGAGAGTGCGCTCTCGAGGAATTGATTTTGATCGGAGATCGGTGTGACTACCCAGCTGTCCAAGACAACAATGAAAATGTCGGCGGTGATTGCGTGCGAGTGGTAGGTTGGACGTTGAAGTGGATCCATCGATTGGAGACCGGTTTGGAATGCCAAATATCTAGTGTAGAATTGAACATCCGATGCCTTTGATTTCCAGCCAGACGATTCGTGGTTACCGATTCCACCGATCAATGGAACGGTGTATCCGGTCGGTGTTTGGAGATATTGATTCCACTTGTCGAACCAATTGTCCCAGACACGATAGCAACTACAGAAACCGTCGTCGTATGCCAAGTCACCTCCGACCATGGCGAACAGCGGCTCGGTTTCGGCGGCATGCTTGGAGAGGTCGTTTCCGACTTCGGAGACAGCCATGTCACCACCAGTAATATAAGTGACAGCGGTGCTACTGTCGCCTGGCGCAGTTCTAAACTTACGCTCCTCAAACAAATAAATATTTCCATTAGCTTCGTAACCGACGGAAACATAATAGGTGGTACCTGGTATCAATCCAAGCAAGTCGGCCCAGTGGACATAACGATCCTCTTCGACGATGTTGTCCATCTTGAAAAATGTGGAATTGATAGTATTTGCATATGGATTGATAAAATCTGCAACTGGGATGGTCTTTGAACTCAAACTTGAGCCATGTGAAACGGTATCCAACAAAGCAAACGATCTAACTGGTAAGTCGTTACTCTGATAGTTGACAATCATCGATACTCTCAAATCCTGTGGAACTGTCAAAATAAAATTACAAACTTTTCCACTTGGACAACTAACACCATCAATTTGTCTTGAAATTTGTGATGTTACTCTCTGTTGAAAAAAAAAAAAAATTAGATATATAGAATTCTTATTCTTATTATTATGAATACTATAAATATTTTATACTTACAAATGGATATAATGCAACACATAAATTAAAAGTGAAAACACACATAATAAAAGCGACAGCAGTAAATCCAATAACTGCAAGTGTAATCCAATACCATTTGAGAGCCTTAATTCCAGCGTAGACCGATGTGATGTAACGGAAAATGAATCCACTGTGCTCTGGTTTACGATAGGTTGGCACTTGTTTCATGATGGTGAAGAAACCGGTCAACCAGAGGAATGTCATGAGGATGGCTCCACCGTACCAAGGAATTCCATTGAAACCAACGGAAACCCAAATAAACAGTGGACAGGCCATCCAGAAGCAGAGGAACGTCCAATAGAAAGCGTGTCTCACACAGTCTTTCTTTGGATAACTCTCTTTTTTGAAATGAACATATCCACAAATAAATGTAATAATACAGGCAATGAGTGTCAGCAGTAAGATACAAGCTTCACAAATCAAATAATAGGTTGTGTGATATGACAAACCCATTATTTTTTATTTTTTTTGTTTTTTAATTATTTGTTATCTGTTCTCTTTTTTTAAGTTTTTTTAGTTTTTCACACACAACAATCGATTGTTGATCAATTTGTAGTTTTCTTGATGACGACGTGTGTGGAGCGAGCGAGTTGTTGCTTTTAAAAGAAAGTGTGAAGGCTGATCTTATTAATAGAAGAATAAGTATTGTATGAATTTAGAAGGAAGCAGAGTTTGCCAGGTGGTCAAATGTGTGATTTTTCTATTTTTAAATAAAAAAATATTGTTTTTTCAATTGATGATTTTAACAAAAAGGTAATGTTACAAATTATATTATATATTTTAAGTAAAAAGTAAAAATGAATGATGTTTTTTCCCTCATGTTGTTTTTATAAAAACAATTTATAAAATTGAAAAAAAATTTAAAATTTGCAACTTAAACTGTTCAGGATAGAATTGACCATAAGGAATGAAAGAATTTATCCCTTCATCTAAAACAAAAAAAGACAAACATAAATATCAATGCAACACACTTTCATTAAAATCTCAATCTGATTTTTGAATCTCATAAAAAAAAATATTTGTAAATATCGGGCGCAGTCTGATTGGCTACCGATGAATTTTTAAAAAAAAGATCTTTTTTGTTTTGTTTGTGGATTGTGGTAAAAAAACTTAACACAACTACACAACACAATGCAATGACAAACAAACAAACAATTTTATAACAACAAAACAATTGGTAAAATTGCTTATTATTAAGTTAATTAATTCGACATGTATGAAAGAGATAGTATTTTTATTCAGTTACTATTTATTTGTTAACTATAAAAATGTTGACCTTACATTGAAAGATTAGTGAAAACTTATTTTTATTCTTTTATTCATTTATTCTAAGAGTGATGATTGTTTGATAAACAACAACAACAAGATAGAGTACAGTACTCATAAACATTCTTTTTGTAGTTATATAACTGTCAAAAATAAATACTTATTGATTATGAATGCAAACTTAAACTTTAACAAAACAGAATAAATAGAATATTAAATTTATTCTTTAATGTAAAAATCATAAATGGCGCCAATATTTTTGTAAAGTTAATCTTTAACTAAAATAAAAGAAAAGAATAAACATTAATTATTTAATATTATACTTTTATACTTATACTCATATCATACATATATTAATAATATTAAAGTAAGAAATATATATTTTTTAAATTTTTTTAGTTTTATTATTTTTTTGTTTTTGTTTTTTAGTTTTTAGTTTAAATAAATGTTATTATTATTATTACTATTATTGTTATTGTTGATGTTAGCACTGACATTTCTTTGTTGGTTCTCCTTGTTGACTTGGCACTTTGTCGGTCAGTTTAAAACCTTGCTCCTCTGGAGCCTTCTTTACTGATTCCATGTGATTCTTTAAAATTTTGGTGACTAAATCTGTGAGAGCCTCTGTGATACCGGTTCCGTCTTTGGCCGAGGTCTTGAAACAATTCAGGAATCCATTCTGCTCGCAGAATTCTTCGATGTCGTCGGGGATTGTTGTCTGTGGTAAATCGCTCTTGTTTGCTAGTAGTACAGTGGGTAGTGCATCCTTTGAGAAGCAGTCGTCGATATCGTCTTTCCACTCCTTGGCGCCGTGGAACGTTGCTACTCGCGTGGCGTCAAACACCACCAACGCTCCGTCGGCATTCTGAAAATATACTCTTGTCATGTGTCCGAAACGCTCTTGACCTGCAATATCCCACAGCTGTAAAATCACTTTAATATTCATCACTTCCATTTCTTTTGTATGAAAATCTACACCAATCTATTGAAAATAATAACAACAACAAAAGGTTAGATATATTGTATATATATTTGTATTTATAGATTTGAAAAACACTCTCTCTCAATCTTTGAACTGACATACAGTTGGTTTATATTTAGATTGAAATTCATCGTGACAGAATCTCTGAATGATCGAAGTCTTGCCACACGCCAATTTGCCAACGACCAATATCTTTAGACTGATATCATCATATTCATCCGATGTTTGTTGATCTGACATCTTTTAAAGTATACTATCTAATATTATTTTATTTAGAAATACTACAATTCTATTCTTGGAGAATGGGTTATATTATTATTATAATACTATATACACAAATAATAAATAAAACTTGATTCTAATCTAAAGACATTAATGTAAAAGAGTTAGTTTGGTTTTATATTTATAAATAAATAATCTTTAGTTTTGAAAAAATTAATGCACAAAAATATTAAACTTTGCAAACATAAAAATTTTGAATCAATAGGATGCATTGATTCATATAAAATATCTTTTAAATCAATGAGAAATGAAAGTTTTCACTTACGTTTAAACGAATCTTGATCTTTCAATAATTTCTTTATTTCTTTTCAATACCGAGCTATGAATTATTATTATTAATGTTATAAAATAAATAAATAATTAATTATTACTTTTAAAATATATAAATAAAGAGTTATTACTTTTAAAATAGCGGCGAATTAAATAAATAAATAATTAAATAAATAAAATTTAAATATAGTGTTGATGTGATGTTGATGTTGATGTTGTGTTTGTTGTATGTATTTTCACTACTATTATTATTGTTGTTGTTTTGTTGTTGAGATGTTGTTTCTCTCTCTTTTGCAAAACTTTACTTTAAATTTTTCTTTTTTTAAAAAAAGTGATTTGTACTCTGATGATTGTAAATGTTGTAAAAATAACACAACACTGTCTCAAACCTTCTTTATATATACATATAAATTATTATAATGTTTTGTTTAATAAATACAAACTGATGTTTCGCCAATTTTCATAAACCACACCACACTCAAAGAGAAAATTCAATATAATTTTCACAAAAAAATGTGATTTTTTTTTTTCCACCAACAGAAAATCATCAATCGAAAAAAGTAATCTTGATGTTATTACTGGTCAGAAAACCATGTAATGCAAATGTGATATAATTTAATTACTTTACAATGCATACACCAGATTAATAATTTTGTCCTTATTGAAAGAAAATAATATAGAGTTTTGTTTGTGAATGTTTGGTTTACCAGCCAGACAAATATAAAAAAAAACATAAATACTTCGTATTTGATATTCATTAAGTTACTTGATCAACACTATGTTATTATGTTTCAATGATATTCATGTTTTTATTGTTTAAAAGAATAAATAAAATCAATTCAGTTTTATTTTTTGTTTTTTCAGAATGTGTTGTGTTGAACATCCAATGAGCAACACACTTTACTTTGTACATTAGTATTATTTCTATTAGTTAGAAGTTGTTGGTTGTTTGGCTTTGGTGTTATTGTAACCATGAGCAAATATAGTTCTTTAGTGAGTTTGGACAATCTGATCTAGATTTAACCACTGTTTCACACTCTTGGAAATCGATAAGTGTTAGACGGAACTGAATGAACTCACCAAAGTTGGTACCTTCTTGTTTGATCAGTCGGTATTTCAATAGAGTTTGAATTCCAGCGAGACACGATAGCTTTCCCAAGGATTCCGATATCCTGTAGATCGAATTTGACAGTTGTCGATACTCGAGTTCGTAGAGCTGCAAGAACGATATGGTGGATGGATATTCCTTTCGTTTCTTTGAGATCGACAAGATACAAGCGAGAATCGTAAACTCCAACACAGTAAGAGACATCAGAGTATCGTGTAACCAAGTTCTCTTACTCTGTTTGATACTCTCCAATATCATTGGCTTTGTTAAAAATCTACTATCATTATCTATATTATATAAACTTTGAATCTATTAGAATCAAAATTGGATTGGAAGTTAGTTAGTAATATAGCAAGTATATAATGTGTTACTAATAATTACTATTAATTTAAAAAGATTTGGAAAACTTTGATTTATATCGAAATAATCATTAAGATTCTCTATCAATTCTTGATCTTCAAACAGTTCATTGATTTTTACATTCCATTCTTTCGAATAGTCGGTAGTTTCCGGTATCGTTACAATACTTTTAAATACACACATCATTTGCTCAACTATAAATTTAAATATAAATAAACAAACAAACATTTAGTTAGTTATTGATAGCTTTGAGTTGACTTGATTATATTTTGCTATATTTTTGCTATATAGCAATAGTTACATGATAGTTGTGGTACTTTGACTCTACTCTGTGAGAAACGAGACTTTAAACGTTTCTCCAGGCTGTTTTGTATCTCTTGTTGCGATGTGATTGCCACCAGTGTGAGAGAAACCGTTTTGTCGTGTGACAGATCGAGCAGGTTGTAGAGTAGGTTCTGCTTCTTCTGCTGACGACTCACCATCAGTTCAAAGTCGTCCATCACGACGATGAGTGGTTTCGAATGGTTTGGTATCGCGGAGAATCGTTGATTCACTGTGTCCTCACCACGCTTCGAACCCAGCGCTATTTTGATGCACTCTGTCATCTCGGGTGTGGTCAGTCGGTTGACAGCGGTGCTCGGTGCGCCGCCACTCAATCCCAGCGCTTGCTGTATCGGCTTGGCGAGATCGAGTGCCCTGATGATCTCTTTCAGTGCCAACACGTCCTTGGCGTGTATCATACCCTTTAGCCAAACCAAAGTGTGACTGCCATCCTCCAGCATACTCAGACACCGTTTGACCAGTGTTGTCTTACCACTCGAACTGGCACCAGTCACCAGAACGATATTACTCTTTTTCTCCTGAACTGAATCATTCAATATATTATTTAAATATCTATTAATTTTATAATTTAAAAGTTAAGTACACAATATCGATTAATTTAAATTGAGATTATAAATAGATAATGTTATTGACAATGAAGATATATTATGTATGGTCGGTTTTTTGTCAACTTAACTTTAATTGTAAAATGACTTGACCTGACTGTTGGTGTTTGAATAAACAATGTATATATATATATTAAAGTAGTGGTTGTATTTGTATTTGTGTTTTGTTTGTTTGCTTGTGTCTGTTGTTTGTTGTAGATATACTGTCGAATAGGTGGTAGTAGTAGTTTTTAACTTACGTAATAGATTCATCGAATCCAATTAAATTTTGTGGAACAGAATGAAAAGAAGTACGTTCTGTTATACATTCAAGGCAATTTAAAATATCATTGTCAAGATCTATCATTTACGATATATATATATATTGTCTATCAGCAAATCAATTTCAAATTCTGCAGAACACACAAACCACCCAAACTCACCAAATAATTAGTAATTTTTTTAAAAAAACAAATTTTTTTTTTATTTAACAAATAGATATTAGACAGATAGATAACTAGACTATCTATCTATTGATATATCATATAATAATATATATATATAAAAAGTTATAATAATATGAAAATTAATTTCTTTTTTCATTAAAATATTGTTTTGATAGTTTAAAGAACTTGTTAAGAACAATATAAAAAAGGTTGATTCAAATCAAAATTAGGAGATACTTTGAAAATTGTAAAGAAAGTAATACAATTAAATTATCTTTAAGACACCCGTATTACAAAAAATATAAAAAATAAAAAATGAATTATTAAACTTGAACTAACTGGGGGTTTCAAAAATGAAAAAAAAAAAAAAACACACTTATCATCAATCTTCAAAAAATTATATTTTTTGTTGGTATTTAATTTTAAAAACAAACATTGTCGATTATAAAATCGGAGAATTTTTGCAACCAACTTTATTTTCTTTTTTGTAACTATATTTAAATTTTAGTTTTACTTTTATAACTTTAATCTATCTATATTTTATTTTATTTTATTTTATTTATTCTAATTTATTAGATCAGCAATAACAGTAACAAACAATAATAACTCTACTCTTACTATTTTAAAGTAAACATTTTTTTATATCATAATATTAGAAATTCGAATAGAAAAATTAGATTAAGATAATATAGATAATAATCAATTAAAGTGATTCATCACTTTTATTATTAATATTGTAGTTTGTTTTCTATCTCACATCATCATCATCATCATCAATCACATTTATTATTATTATATAATTGTTATTATTTTTTTTTGTTTGAATAGCTATCAAATCAAAAAATCAGTTAAACAAGAAGTGTGTTCTGTGCGTGTGGTTGTGTAATTCAAATTTGAATTTTTGCAAACCAACAAACATTTTTTTTTTTTTTTTAATTTCAAAAAGTTTCATTTTATTTTTTTTATTTTTTCATTTTCAAAAAATATATTTTTTTTTATTTTATTGTTTTTTGTTTGTTCACTCTTTGTTTTGTGTTTAGGTAATAATCAATCAGTCCCGATTTTTTGATTATCACTAAAACTCAAGATCACCAGATTAGCAAACGGAAAACTCTTAGATCACAAATAAGCACACAAAAATAGATTTACAACGTATTATGAAGAGGTCACGCGATGAAGAAACCTCTGATCAACCACCATCGCCAGTAAACACCAACACCACCAGCAACAGCAGCAGCAACAGCAGCAACACCAACACAAGTTCGCCTACATCGATCGCTCAGCTGACGTCGCCAACTCCACCGACAGCCAATGCCTCGCCACCCGGCGGAATGAGTGGTACCACGCTGCCCAAGATGACATCGATGTTCACACTGCCCACCCCGACCTCGCCAACCAACGCGTCCGATCGCGACAAAGAGAGGGAGAGGGAGAGGGAGAGAGAGCGTGATCGTGATCGCGAACGCGACAGAATGGAGCGAGAACGTGACCGTGGCGGTGTCGGCAGCGGAATGGATCGTATCGAACGCGAGCGACTACCGTCGCCATTCTCGCCGGTTTCGGACCGCGACAACGAAATGAAATTCGTCTCGGCCGCCAAGCGTATATCGCCAAAGCTCGAAGACGACGGATTGCCACCCATCGGATCACATGGCTTTGGTTCGATGCAGACTCACCATCATTTCAGTCCACCTACACACTCACCGTCGTCGCCACCACACCAAACCACACTGCCACCGATTCACTCTGAACTCGGCAACATGTCGCGCCAGTCACAGCCACACATTCACCATCCGGGATCGATCCATCAGTATCACAACTACGTGTTGTCGCCACCGACTCACATGCACCAAACTTCGCCAACCGGTGGCAGCAACCTCGCCAGTATCAACAATCTCACCAACCCGACTCCCTCTGTAAAGCAACAACAACAAACTCCTCAATCCTCACAACAACAACAACAACAACAAACACCCATTCGTTCAGGCTATGGTTTGCCATCGATACCATCACCATCTCAACAACAACAATCTACACAACAGCAACAAGCACAACAGCAGCAACAACAACAAGCAGCAGCACAACAACAGCAAGCAGCAGCTCAGCAACAAGCAGCGGCTCAAGCAGCGGCACAACAACAACAAGCAGCAGCTCAACAGCAAACGGCTCAATCAACACAACAACAACCACTCAGACAAGCTCAGTTTGATAATGCATTCCAATTTTTGGAACAAGTTAAGCTACAATTCTCTAAACAACCAAAGATTTACAATCAATTCCTTGATATTATGAAAGATTTAAAGGCACACAAGTATGTTTTTTTTTTTTTTAAAATTTAAAAAAGATTGAATTTATTTTCTAACACATTATTTTTTTTTTTAATTTAGTATTGATACACCAGGTGTTATTCAGAGAGTTACAGAGTTATTTAAGGGTCATCGTCATTTAATTTTGGGTTTCAATACGTTCTTGCCACCTGGATATAGAATTGAGATGGCAGATGATGATAGACCACCTTCATTCTCTGTTCCATCACCAACTCAACAGCAAATCAATCAACAACACGGTTACCCTGCACCACAGAATCAACAACAACAACACTTATTGCAACAACAACAACAAGCGCAGCAACAACAGTTACAACAAGCGCAGCAACAACAATTACAACAGCAACAGTTGCAGCAACAACAACAGCAACAGCAACAACAGCAGTTCCTCTTGAGACAACAACAACAAGCGCAGCAGCAACAGTTACAACAGCAACAAGCGCAGCAACAACAGCAACAACAACAGGTGGCAGCAGCAAGTCAAGCACGTGAACAACGCAAGCAAAACGATTTGGATCATGCCAGAAAATATGTAAAGAAAATTAAGGATCGTTTCGAATCGCAACCAATGGTTTACAAGCAGTTTTTGAATGTACTCCAAAAGTACCAGCATGGTGATCATCAGATTCGTGAGGTCTACGATCAAGTCTCAGAGTTGTTCAAGTCGCACTCCGACTTGTTGGCAGAGTTTGTGCAATTCTTGCCAGACAATACCCAGCAAAATCAGCAACCACTCGGTGGTCAACCATCGCCACTTCAAGTGCAAACTCCACAGTCTCAACAACAGATGATGCAGCAGCAGCAAAACATGGCGATGGGTGGACAACCAACTACCACCCAACCAATGATTGTTCAATCGTCACGTCCTCCCAAGCAACAGAATCGTCAGCAACGACAACAACAGCAACAAATGCAGCAACAAGGCTACCCTCCAGGCAAGCCAGTGCCACCACAGCCACAGCAGTTGCCACCTCAACAGCAGCGTATGTCATTGCCAGAGCAACAGCAGATGGAGCCAATGTCGGTCCTCGGCGACAAGTACGACAAGAGCGGAGTGATGATGCAGCATCCAGAGATGAAGATTCCAGTGCCCAGTCCAAGCGGTGTCAACATGTCGCCACTCGACAAGGAGAAAGACAAGCGTAACAAGCGTCGCAAGCCAGAGTCTGACTACGAGCGTGGCGTTGGCCAAGATGCTTCCAATGAGGAAGTTGAATTCTTCCTAAAGGTGCGTACAGGTGTCGCCAGCAACAAACTCTACAACGAGTTCCTAAAGTGTATCAATCTGTTCAGTCAGGACATCATCACAAAGACAGAGTTGGTATTGCTAGCCAAAGACATCTTGATACCAAGACAAACTGCATTGTTCGAATGGTTCAAACAGTTTATCGGAGTTGATGAGCAGTCACTCGAGCAACTAGAACGACAAGAGTATGCACTCTCGCCATCCATCGCACAACCAGACACTGATTTTACAACCTGTAAAAGATTAGGTCCATCCTATAGAGCATTACCAAAGAATGTAAGTTATTGCAATTGCAAACAGTTATCTATCAAATTGGAAATAGTTCTAATTCTTTTTTTTATTTTTTTTATAAAGTATCCAATTCCAAAATGTACAGGTAGAACAGAGTTGAGTGCATCGGTGTTGAACGATGTTTGGGTATCTTTCCCAACTGGTTCCGAAGACTATGGTTTCAAGAGTCAAAGAAAGAATCAGTTTGAGGAGATTCTCTATAAGTGTGAGGATGAGAGATTCGAGTTGGACTTGGTGATCGAGTTGAATGCTTCTACTATCAGGGTATTGGATCCACTCTATAAGTCGCTGATCGATCTCAATGAGTCGGAGAGACAACACTTTAGATTGCCAACTCTCAATGTTCTTCATCATAGATCCATAGAGCGTTTGTATGGCAATAGAGGTGTCGAGATGGTTACCCTGATGTACCAGAATCCACTGGCTGCCCTCCCGATCATTATTAAACGACTGAAGCAAAAGGACCAGGAATGGACCAAAGCGAAGCGCGAGTGGAACAAAGTCTGGAAGGAGACGACCGAGAAGAATCACTATCGTTCACTCGACTACCAGAGCACCTACTTTAAGCAATCCGAGAAGAAAGCACTCACTCCCAAGGTTTTGCTGGCAGAGATCCGTCAAAAGTACACAGAAAAGATCAAGGAGACCGACGAGCTGATAAGCAAGCGTCGCTCCAAGACACCGGTTTCCAAGCCACCACCCTACCACTTGCTCTACTCGATGCCCGACTACAAGGTGTGTTCCGACATCTCCAGTCTCATTTGTTTCGCAGCGGAAAAGATTGTTCAAAACAAACAGGATCTCGAGAAGATTGAAAACTTTTTGAATTTCTTTTTACTTTCATTCTTTTATTTGAAAGAAGATCAACAAAAGCCAACCACCTCTTCAAATTCAAAACCAACAACAACATCAACAACAACAACTACAACTACTCATGAAGAAAAGTTGAAAGAATCAAATGGTAGCAGTAGCAGTGACGATAAGAAAGAAGATGTGGAGATGAAGGATGTCAATAGCAATAATAACAATATTGATGCCAATGGCAATGTACCATTCAAGGTTATTCAACCAAAATCAGTCTCTGACAAAGAGAAGAGAGTGTTCTTTGGAAACAATACTTTCTATATATTTTTGAGAATCTACCAGATTCTGTATGAACGTCTTTTCAAGTCGTTGGAGTTGGCCGATGCAGCCAAGAAGGCACACTGGACATCGAAACCAAATGTCACCAGATTCTTTAGAAACATCAACCAGAACGGTGACCAGAACAACGAATCGATGGACGCCAGCGAAGATGTCAGCGCCTCTGAATCAGAGTTGAGCGAACAAGAGCGATACAACCGATTCCTCAAGTGTCTAATGGATCTGATAGCCAACAACATCGATCAATCCACCTACGAAGATAGTTGCCGTTCGTACTTGGGTGTCAACTCATACATTGTCTTTACACTGGACAAACTTATCAATCAGCTCACCCGACAACTACAAGCGCTGCTCTCCAGTGAGAACTGCTTGAAGTTGTTGTATCTCTTCACACTGGAGGTGAAACAACCAAACGGTTGGACAGATACACTCTATCAATCCAAGGTGATCGAAGTACTCAAGGACGACCGTATCTTCCTCTTTGAGTTCGAGACCAAGAACCCGGTAGGTGGATTCACCATTCAACTGCTCGACCCAACCTCACCGGCAATGCTCAAGAACGCAGAGAATGCCATTGCCGAGTCTGAAAAGATGATGGCCAACGCCGAATCAGACTTGGAGCGCGCCAAGCAGTATGTCAACGACTTTAGTCAGTTGGATTCCAACATTGATCCACGCGTCCACAAGGTGTTCCTCATGCGTAACATTCCAAAGAAGACCATCGAAGAAGCAATGCAAGAGACAATCAACGAAACCGGCTTGGAATGCCGTGTTTGTACACAAACTTTCCGTCTCTTCTACGTCGAGGATACCGAAGACTTTTTCTATCGTAAGGGTTCATTAGATGCCGCATCAAAATATCGTGGTAAAAAATTAGATTTGGACAAGATTAGAAATTCGAATAAACAATAAAAAAAATAAAATAAAATAAAATTTACAATATAAAATAAAATCATATAATTCATCAAAAAATATTTAGATCTTATCTAAATATTGCCAGCTCATATCTCTCTTGGTAAAATTATGCCACAATAATTATTGTCGACTATCACCAACATTATTGAATATTCTATCCTTCTACAATATAAATATTAAGTGAAATTTACTTGATCTTTCATGAAAAATGTTACCATTATTTCAGTTTATCTATTATAATGAAGCTTTAAAAAAAATACGCAATGATGATTTTTAAAATAGACAAGATTATTTACGAGAATAATGTTTTTCCACAGAACAGAATTGATTCTGACGGTTCAAATTTGAAAAGTGAAAATGAAAACTAAATAATCCATTACACCATAACTGGTTCTACAATCTTTGCAAGCATAGACAAACCTATTTTAAAAATTGAAAAAAAAAAATTGCTTGATTTGATAAAAATAATTTTTTTAACCCTCCTTCCTTTCCAGAACATGACTTCAGAAGAAAATTAAAAAAATCGAAGATTCAATTTAATTTTTAGTAAAAACAAACAGTTTAATATAAATAGGAGACAGATTAAATTAAAAAAAAACAACATTCATTCATTAACAAATTAAAAACAAAACAAAAACAAAAAAAAATATTAATTTTATTTATTTCTTTAATTTAAAAATAATATAATTAAAACATGTCAGCAAAGTTGGAACTTTATGGTTGTGGTAGTCCAAATGTCGTCAAAGTACAATTGTTACTCAAGGAATTGAAGATTCCTTTCACCTATCATGAAGTAGACTGGAGAAATGGTCAACAATACAAAGCAGAGTTTGTAAAGATCAATCCAAACTCCAAGTTGCCAGTCATTGTCGACCATGATGTCGAAGGTGAACCAATCAACGTATTCGAATCTGGTAACATCCTTTTGTACTTGGCCAACAAGTATGCCAAAGGTAGATTGGTACCAGATGCAGACAAAGATATCAGAGCCTACACTGAAGTAATGAATTGGTTATTCTGGCAAATGGTAAGATATATATAAACAATAATATTTTGTATAAAAGTTTATAATCTAACATACTATTCTTTGTTTTTTTTTTATCTTCTTTTATTTTAATAGGCAAACATTGGACCAATCTTTGGAAATTGGTATCATTTCACAAATTATGCTACTGATAAGTACCCATATTCAATTCAACGTTTTGGTAACGAGTTGAGAAGATTGTTCCATGTCTTGGACAATACACTTAAAACCAGAAAGTTTGTTGCAGGTGATACCTACTCTATCAGTGATATCGCTATCTACCCATGGGCTCGTATTATTGGATTCGTACCAGACTTGACTGCTCAAGAGTTCCCAAATGTCTATCAATACATTGCACGTATCAAGGCTATCCCATCTGTTGTCGAGTGGGAGACCTTTGAGGAGGAAGAAAGAAAGAAGAAACCAATGGCTCCACCAACTGAAGAACAAAGAAAGTTCATGTTTGGTGTCGATGGTAGAGCTCAAAATTAAATTATTAATACTGATGTAAATAAAAAATAATGTTATCAAAAAAGAGAGATATTAGATTTTAAAATTGTTAGATTCACAATCAATCTTTAATAGCTTAAGATTCTTCTTTATAGAAGACACTACAATCAATATCCTTGATACTATGAGCTGGTTCAAAAAACCTACCTCATTTTTCTATCTTTATTTCTTCAATTTTGTATATGGAGTAAAAGTTGTATTTATTTCGAGATTTCTTTGTAATTCTGAACTAACATTATTTAAACTTTGGTAGTGTTAGTTTGTTGATTAAAAGTATAAGATGAGAGTTATTCATTGTATTTCTTTAAAGTAGTTATATGTGAAACTGATACTAATTCATTCGAACACCTATGATCCTCATTCTTTTTAAATGCTTCGTATATTGTAAGTAAACTCTCATTTTTTGCCTCACAATCTACCTATCTCTTTCTTTCTTCATCATCAGTAAAGTGTTTACTCATACTTCATACATTCTAGCTCTTACAGATATTCGCCCCTATGCTTTGACTTGATGTTTTTGTATATCACATACAACTTACAGCAATGCTCCTGTTTTGCAAATTAATTCTGTAGTTGGTTGCAATGAAAAATCGAAATAAAATTTAATTAAATTTTTTATTTTTTTTTCTTTTATTGCAAAATATCATTGTTTTTAACATATGCAAAGAGTTAATGTGTGGGTTTTTGAAAGTATTCTATTTAAAACTACAGTGACAGATATCTTTCTTTATTCAAATTAATTTATTTTTTAAATTTAGAAAATAACAAGAAGTTAAACAAGTTGAGAGGAACATGATTATTATCATATTGCAAGAATGTTCAATATTTAAACAAAAATTTGGATCATTCCAACTTTATTTCTTTAAAGTATTAATTTAAACAATAAATAAATTTGAAAATTTTTTTATATATAGGTCCAAGTCACAGGAAAGTCTAACTTCTACCACGACCTCTACCACCATTAATCAATCAATTGGCACAATTTATAATAGAAACGTTCGCCAAAGAGTGGAGACTCGTTTCTGAACGACTCTAATGGTAGGTCAACCAGATGAGATCCTATGCACTCGAATCTTTCGAAATTCTCATTAATTGATGGAGAGAAACCAATCTTGAAGTCACTCAACCAAGTAGTAGTATCGTCTATAGTCCAATATTGTGGGTCTATTTTGTTTTGATCATAACATTCATAAGAGTATCAGTTATTGTCAACCTTTGTCAGTGTAAGACTTACCTTTAGTACGATAATTAGAGTGATGACCAATTGTTTGATTAGTGGTGGTAGTGGTCGTGGTAGAAGAAAAAGAACTTTGCTGCGACTCCGACATTATAAATAAAAAAATTATAATTTCAAAGATACATCAAACTGAACGGTATGTAATACTATGTATTGAATCCCAGCTATAGTTATATAATACTGACATTGTTTTCATACTTAGATCCGACAAAGAATAACTAATTCTGCTCTCCCAGCTCTCGCCGAACAATGTTGATATTCGTCACAATCAACTTCATCACACACCGAAGCTATCTTTGTCGAATCGAAATTCTCATGTGTGGAGCACGACGAAAAAAGACCCAACTGTTCTTCCGCTCTCTGGAATCAGACTCTAGATGGAAAGTTTGAATGGGCATCTGAATCAGATATTCATGGATATGTAAAATTGGTTTTGGTATTAGTGAAATGATTTCAAAATTCTTTTTAGGAAATATTTCATAATTTAGATCATGTTATTTTAGTTTTGTTAAAAATGGATAATATATATTAAATAGAAGTCTACCTTTAGTAGATGTTTTTATGGAAAATACCTCAGAGTCTACAATATAGGTGCTACCTCACTCAAAATTTGGATAAAATAATTAGTATTAAAAAAATATTCATATTTTTTACACATTAAACGAGTTATAAAATAAAAAAATAAAATAATTCTTTGGATCCAAAATAAAATAATGATAAATGATTATAGTGGGATCAACTTGGAAGAAATAATTTTTAATTTTTAATATGATTTGTGATTTTATTACACTTGTCCAGTGTAGAGATCTTGAAAATATAACTTTTTAAATTAATATCAATTTTTGTATTTATTTTGATATATTAATAACAACATACCATTGATTCTCTAAAGTTTTAAAGACAAATATTAAAATGGTTTTAGATCCAATGTTGTTAATAAAAAAAAACAAATTTTCATTTTAAAATAATCAATACACACAATTATCGAATTGAATGAAAAAATTCTCATAATTGGTGGTTGAACAGAAGATGATTTTTATAAAATAATATAACTTGAAGAAAAAAGATATTAATAATTTCATTTTTTAACTATATTTAAAAATTGTAAAAAGGGTGGATTAATTATCTTCACATGTAGTGGCTCAATGATAAATGAGATATAATAGAATATATATTGGAGGAATTGTTATTATAATCTGATTTTAAAAAATTCATTTAAGTGAGGGAATAATATTTAGGTTTGAATCTGATCCAATTAAAAAAAAATCTGGTTTATTAATATATTGTTTTTATAGTCATCCAAGATATTGGAAAATATTAACTCATTTTTTCGATTATCTAAATAGTCAGTTTGTAATCCAAGAGATTTTTTTGTTTTTAATATTGATAATTGGGAGTTAAAACCTAAATAACTTGATTAAATAAAACTATTTCAAATCCGTAGATTAGATATATAAAAAAGATGATGTAAGAATAACGAATCAATTTTTATTTTATTTTTACAATTTGAAATATACAGTATATGGTTTGATACCATTTAGGATTATATTTGAAAGTTGAGGGAAAAAAAGGGGTTTCTTTTTTATATTAATCATAAAATGAATATGTTTCTGGAATTTCAATAGATATTATTCTAATTAAAATTTTGAACTGTTTTGAGGAAAAAACAAAAAACAATATAAATAGAAAATTTTATCATTCTTTTTATCATATCAAATATTTCATTAATACTTTTTTTCTAAACTAAACACATTCTTAACAATATGGCTGGACCGTGGAACCTCTCGTTTGTATAAATAATTTTTTCTATTAAAATTTACAAAGATAATAGACTAACAAAGAAAAAAGACCTGGACAGAGTAAAGATAAAATCCCGACGTGGGCTTGGCCTTCGTTCAACTCAAGTGCATGTACAAAATCTTGATGGAAGACCAGGTAGAGTACGTATTCAAGCTGGAGGATCCCCTGATGAGGATAATGATCTTGCACCACACCAAGATGCAAACTTCAGTAGATCATTTGGTGGAGTGTACCTTAGAGTCACTAATATCGGCTCAACTACTCTCAAAGTTTGGACTGCATAAATCAGAGTACAATTTTCATATTTCTAAAGAAAATATCAATAAAAGGAACTAAATTCAAATCAAACTTTTTTATTGTTTATTTTTTTGTTTCTTTAAATAAAGACTAATATTTACAACTGAAAGTATTACCAAAATAAATTAAAATTCATTTTAAGGATATGATTTTACAGTGAATTTTGGTTAAAGATTTGTTGATGAAACCAATAGATTCATAATAATGGTCACCACTTGGGAGATTCAATATTCCACTTATCAGCCGGTTCAAAGTTTTCATGAGATATATCTAATAATTGATTTTTTAAGGACTTTTGTTCTTGATGATGACATTTTAATTTATAAATTAGAGAAACAAAACAAAAAGATGGTGAATATATATTATTTACCCCTCTGTTGATTCAAAACACATAACAAAACCACGATCCGCAAAGAAGATTAATTCACAGTGCCTAACCGACTATTCAATACAAAACTATTTAAGATCACAAACCAATAAACAAATCTTTTACCATTTCTGCGAATACAGTTACTAGTATCACTGTAACAAGAAAAATTTGATGGTTTGATAATAATCAAATTTTTCTTTTTTTTTTTTTTACTGTTTTTGCTTTTCCTTAATTCTACGAATTGATTGCTATTTTGATTATTATTATAATTATTTTAGACATTGTTATTTTATAGATTATTAAGTTGATGAGAATACAAATGATTGAATTGGTTAATTGAAAATGAAGAAATGAAGAAGAGGAAATAATAGTTGGCTGACATATGATTGGTTACTGGTTAAGTTTGGATTGTAAGTTACTGATACTGGAAATGGATTCCTTTTTTTTAATATAACTAATGTGGTATACATGTTTTATTTAAAGAAATTGAAAAGTAGCTTATAGCTACGAGAGAGGTATTTAAAATTGGAGAAGGAGGGTTGTACCGCTCAATTGATCGTTTGTAATTTTGATTAATATTCCACCTGTCTCCTTTCATCCTTGATTTATCCTTAAAAAGATGTATTTGATCCACGTCGTACGATTATCCGATCCTAAAAGAATTGTTGTATGAACTTTACCATTTCTAGATTCTAACTATTAAATTTCCATCGCCACATTCCATGATTTGATGGCTTCTATCTACGTTGACAAGGCGTATGATTAGCTATTAAATCATTAATGAATGTGTCTTTTCTCGATTGTTGATCGCTGCTATATCCATTAAGTACTGGTATCTGTTCACTCTCACATACCAAAGAGCGAATACCAATGTGAATAGTATGACCTACTGATGGATACCTATCCTCTATCCCGTCTGAGGTGTAAATGATTCCCTACAAAATATCATTGTTTTTAACATACCAAAAAAAGTAAAAAGAATGAAAAATTTAATTAAATTTTATTTATTTCGATTTTTCATTGGTCAACTCACTTTCAACCTGGATATATTAGGAATGTAAATGCAAATGATATTTTAGAGGGTGATTGTTATCATTTGCCAGCGTAGGCTCGAAAGATATCTCAGACCATAATATCGATCTCGCCAGAAGAATCAAACAATTTTACACCAATCTACATGATTCTCAGCACACTATAAGAACCACTTTTTTGTGTCGCGCAGTCACAAATCATTTTTTTTTATAATAACTAAAGAGGTATACATGTTTTATTAAAAGTTGTATTAAAAGGATGGATTTACCATCAAGTTTTTTTCGTAGTCTATTTTTTTCTTTTTAGTTGGTGGTTGATTTAATTAATTAGTTGGCAGGTTGGGAAGAGAGTTAATTTCATTTACTTGATTAGTTGGCTGGAGTTGGAGTGTTGTTTATTAATTTTAGAATGTTTCTGTGGATATCGAAGTCGGATATAATAGATTGGTTGGAGAAATCAGTCACAAATCACAAAAAAATTTTTTTTTTTTTTTTTTTTTTTAAAATTATCCTTGTACTACCATTACTGATAGTCAAGGTGTAGAGCTTGATATTACCCTACAGTTCGTGTTTTTATTTATTTATTGTTGGAGCAGTTCAGCCACAGGCCGGCTGAGGTGGCCATCATTTTGAGAAAGGGATGATGTTCCCATTGATTTGGTTTGGCAGACTGAGTATTTAAGCCACTTAGAATTCTAAGCGGGTACGTGTGTAAACCACTCGGTGTTCACCTATGATAAGCCTGCTAGTTACTGTCGGTGTCAACTTCATGGGGTCCAAGATAGTATTGAATACTAGATTAGTACGTGGCGCGCTCCTTTCAAGTCGGGAAAATTTTTTGTAAAAACCCGGGATCGATCCCACGACCCAAGTCCTCTAAGGCTTACTAATGGACCAACTTGGCCAAAGAGGCTTGGGCTAAATCACAAAAAAAGTGAAAATTTTATTAATGGTGTACATGCGCGCATTACGGGTATTACGGGTATTTATAAGTAATAGATACTCCCCTTCCGGGAATCGAACCCGGGGTATCAGTGTGAGAGACTAATGTGTTACCACTACACCAAAGAGGAATTGGATGAATTTTAAGCTTCAAAATAAATTTTTTAAACATACTAAAATACACTAAAACAATTATCCACAAAACCAATTATATTAGTGGTTAAAATCGCATGTGTAGAACATCCCTCCTGGTCTTTATTTGATGTTCTTTTTAATACCAGTTGCAATTCAAATCTATGTCTCAACATCTCTTTAATCATGTTTCAACTAATCTGTATTAATGTTGTAAATTTAGAAGTCTTCATCAATATAAATACACTTTACTATACAAAACTAAACAATATTTATTTATTTCTTTGTTTCTTTTTAATATGTTCAGAATGCTCCAATATCTCACTTTTAACATCTTTACAAACGTCGTCATAATAATCATCTTCTTTCTCTTCCTCTTTTTCCTCATCTTCCTCTTCTTCTTCATTTGGTTCATGTCCATAAATATATTTGAGGAAATATTGTATATCAGGTGTATAGACACGTGCACGTCTTCTCAAACCTTTCATTTGGAAGCCTTCTTCTCTGTGGAAATATAAGTAAAGCAAAGAGTCCAAGTCATTGTGAGCCGCTGCGTAATGCATTCCGTAGGTACACACTTCGTTTGGTGTGGTTTCATTCAAATACTTTGTCATCTCGTATGAGCCACTCTCTTCAATGTAGCTGGTAAAACCTTTTCCCTTTTGATCGGGATACTTTGAACGGTATTTTCGCATCAGCGATACGTGATTGTAGAGAATCGTCATTCGATAGAGATTGTAAATGGAGAACTCTGGATGTCGATCAAACAGAAACTCTATTACATCCCATCCTCTGTTGATCATATCGACTGGCATTTGTCGCTTCATCTTTGGAACTGCGGTTTGATCATAGAGATACTGGAAGATCTCACGTGGATAATCACATGACTCCAAGTTCAAAGTGACCGATTTTCCATACAATCCATAGAGATAGATGAAATGCTCGAGATCGGTAGTTCTCGAAATCATATCTTTGATTTGTGCTGCCTCCTTCTGTTCGTCGGACAACATGATATTAACGGGTCGATTGTAGTATCCAGAGTAGACAGCAAAATCATTGGTTGGCAATCCCTCTGCCCGATTGAAGCTGGCAATTCGCTCCCTTACATACTCTTGAACGTGAATTTGGACGGACCACGGCTGGAACAGTCTCACCAGTTTAGAAGAGTGTGGACGCAAATCCAAATTGTATCGTTCACATAGATATCGGAATGCACCGAGATGTCCAGTCTTTTGCAGCTCCTCCAGTATTTTAAACAGTGAATCTATTGCCAACTCCTCGTCGTAGCCAGTCTCGTCAAAGAGATATTCGAGCATCTCGACCTGACCACCAACAGCGGCATGATAGATCGCCTTGAGTCTACTGGCAGCGGTCAGTTTCAACGATTTGATGAATTCAATATCACCACTCTTGGCCATGTAATACAATGGTTTTCTAGCGAGCAGAAATCTGTAGTTTGCATTGAGGTATTTGATTACTTTGATAGCGGCCTTCTCTAGAAAGTAATCGATTTTCGGCTCCAACTCGTAGATTCCAAGAATCTTTGCCTCCAAAGCATACTTTAATAGTTCTAAACGATCGTATTTGGCAATAGACAGCAGGAAATTACCAATAAAACTATATTTTTCACTGTAATGATCTTTTCCAAATGCATATCGAGTCCAAACAAACTTTAATAAATCCAAATTATCTGATTCAACCGCTAACCTTATTGCATATTTAAGTTTTGAATAACTCATAAATTGATGTCTTTTAACTACAGATATAGTTTGATTTTCTTGTAATTGTTGTTGTTGTTGATGTTGTTGTTCATTATTATTATTATTCTTCTTATTCTTTCTTTTGGATGTTGTACTACTTATGAAATCAGCATATTTAGTTGATGTCGATCTCTTTCTTGTTGATGTACTGGGTGTTGAGGTAACCAAGTCCGATGGTTTCGTTTCGTTGGTTGCCAAGGGACGACCCGATATGACTGTACCCCAATCAAGACGATTGTAGAGTTCCTCTGATTTCTCGAATTGCTTATAGATCAACGAGAACACTCTGAGTTTTCCAAGCGTTTCAATAGAGGTTACCTCTTCAAGTTCACTCCAAACATATCTTCGTTTCAAAGGATACAACTGTCTATGAATTAAATTGATATATTTACTGACTTTAACTCTAGTAACCTTATTCTTTATTATAGATAAAAACAATTGTTTTCTGACATCATCATCTTTATTGATATTCATTTTTATTTGTAATACAGTATGAAGAAGTCTTAAAAAAAAGAAAATTAATAAATATTTACCAATTGGATTTCGAAGAAAAAAATTAAATTAAATTAAAATTAATTTTTAGCAAAAACAGTTTTTAATTTTGATCAATTTTTGTTTTTCATGTAAAAATTGATATAATTTCCACATTTAAAATCTTTAATTAATGATGATATTCCCATCCCGTAACAAGGATCTCTTCAATTTAATTAACAAATAATGTCTGGTTTCCGGAACCCTGGAATATGAGTGCAAAAAGGAATTAAAAACAATTTCATTTTTTTGTACAATATTATTGTGTAAAAACCTAAAAAGAAATAAAATATTAAATAAGAATATTTATATCAAATATAAATATATAAATATTTTATTTTTTTCTTAAACAATGTTTGATTTTTTTAATTAGTTTAAAATCTAATTATATTCTCCAAAATCAATACAAATAGCTTTTTTTTTTTTAAGTTCTTCATAACAATAAATTGATTTTTATTTTGATTTCAAATACATTTTTTTTTTACCATTGAAAGAGTTGTATTAATAATCTATAGATTTGAGCAGAGTCTCCCTTGTGCGTAGCTGGGAACTCTATTTTAATTACATTCAGCTTTGATGAATTCTAAAGTACAGTCATCTCTTGCTACATGGAGCGCTATGTCCGGGACTTTTGGTACACAGGTCATAATTTTTGCTACAAAGTCCATCTTGGCGATATCTTGACCCCTTTGGTGGTTCTGTAGGTTTATACTGGGATAGGGGAATTGATTTAACCAGACTTATATTTCGGTAAATTTTAGTTTGACAAATTTTATGAAGGACCTATATCACATTTCTTTCCAAATTCTCGTTTACTTCTTCTTTTGGGATGACCTTGGTTATATAATAAAAAAATCACATTTATATTATTTGATCCATTCAAACAGGAGTTTATATCAAATCAATGTTTAAGCATACTTTACAGTAAGGTTGGCTAAGAAATATCACGAAATTGTTTAATGCTATCGTATATATTAATATATTAATGGTGAAGCGTATCGTGCCAAAAATTCTTTTACATTTATCGTACAACTAAAGAAAGTGATCATTTAGGATTGTCCATCATGACAGGTCAAGTACAGAATTGCAAGAAATACAAGTTCACCCACCAAGCTGTTGGTAATCTCAAAGAAGAATTGGCTAAAGAAAATAATAACATCTATTTATGATAATTGATTTTGTACCAATTAATAAATCTTAATTGGACGTATGTACTTTAAAACTTGTTTTTCGAAAGAATAACACTAAATAGGATATCACTTAATCAATCGAAATAATTTCAATCTATTTATTTTAAATTTAGTGTAGTATTTTAAAAGAAGTTAATAGCAAAAATAAATAAAAGACTTAACTTGGCAAATTGGATCTTTATATGTCGTGATAATTAAGATGATGTTATAATGATTACAATCAAATTCTTAGGAAAATCATTTAACCTCTACTCTAAATACAAAAGTATTAACAACGCTATAAATATTAATATTATATTAAGGTTTATAACGCCAATCAGATTATTTTCTTGAAATCTGTAAGAATATAATTGAAGATATCTTCTGTTGGTTTGATTGTTGTTATTGTTGTTGTTGTTGTTATAATGTCAGATCTATATTGGTTAAGATGAAATGTGTTGATGTGATTATTAAAGAATTGAATCATTCTATATCAGTGTGATTCCAAACAAGAATAAACCTGAAAGAAACCCTTTGAAAAGATGACAACATCGACCAAAATAAAATAAAATAAAAAATAAAAATAATTTTTGTTTGCAAAAAAATCATTTTTTTTGTTGACACTTTTGTCTTGTCGTGTTCACACTATTTTTGTATTATTAATTAATTAATTTAATTCTATTTTATTTCTTTTCATACAAATTGTATATATATTTTATTTATTTATTTATTTACTTAATATATTACTTATAAATATTTTAAATTTTAAAACATTCAATCTTTTAATTATCAAAGGTAGGTAAATTAATTATAAATAAAAATACTATCTTTTTTGTTTTTTTTTTTTGTCTTTTTTTTATACTTATGACGACAACTTCACACAACCACACACACACACACATTTTTAGATATTACTAATGCTATTATAGTTATAGTAATACTATATATTATAGTATTAGTAAAAAGTAAAAAAAAATTAATATTAATTTAATTTAATAATTTATTTATTTATTTTAATTATATAGTAGGTCAATTATATTCGAATGAATTTATATATTTTATCGATAGTGTTCTTAGTTTTAACTATTATAGCATTCAATTTATATTCAAGTAGCAGTCAACAAACAAAGAAAATGACAAAATTAAAGATTGGAGATGACGCCCCAGAGTTTAGTTCCACCGACAAGGATGGAAACCACGTCGATCTCGCCCAATTCAAGGGTAAGATACTGGTACTCTATTTCTACCCAAAGGACAACACACCTGGTTGCACTGCAGAGGCATGTGAATTCCGTGATAAATATGAAGAGTTTGTTCAAGCTGGTGCATCAGTAAGTAAACATAATCTATTATCATCATTATTATTATTATTACTATTGCAATATTAACATTAAATGTTATGTTGTTGTTATTATTAGGTTGTCGGAGTTAGCTCAGACTCTTCTGAATCACACCAAAAGTTCACTTCCAAATATAAATTACCATTCACTTTGATCACAGACAAGAAAAACGAGATTGCACACAAGTATGGTGTTGGAAAGGAGTTGCTATTCCTTCCAGGTCGTTCCACTTTTATCATCGATCAAAATGGAAAGATTGCATGTGAGTACTCATCATTGTTCAAAGCAACCAACCATATCTCAGAGGCATTGAAATGTATCAATGATTTAAAGACAAAACAATAAAAACTTATATATATACAAACAATTCAATATTTATCACACATCATTATCATCCTCACACACAAATATGAAAAACTTTTAAAATAAAAAAAAAAAGATTTTTTACAAGAAAAATCAAAAAAAAAAAGATCAAAAATGAAATGAGGCATTAAAATTAAAACAATTTAAACTTTTTGTGATATTATTATTTATTTTAGCTATAGTTTTTTTTTTGTTTAGTTTTTAAGTTGTTAGTTTTTAGTTTAATTTTAAGTAGATTTAGATAGTTAGTAAATATAGATATGATAAACATAATGGATGGTAGTAAACCACCAAATAATTGTGTAGAGTTGGATGCTTCTGTAACCTATTGTTCGAGTGAAGGTGAAGTTCATAAAGCAAACAACACACTGCTTGGTGACACCTATAGAGTTTGGCAAACTGCTGAACTCACCGACCTAGCGGTTATCGAATATCAATTCAGTGAACCAAGATATATTAAGGCGATCGATATTACCAATGCCGGTTGTTCTTTCATCGAGGTATTAGTTGGTTATTCAACTTGGGAAACAAATGAATATCAAGTAAGTCAAAACCATTTAATCTTGGAGTGTATATATATATATATATAAAGTTATTAACAATATTGCATCGATTTTTTTTTTTAAACAAAAGGTAATGGTACAATTAACAACATTTATGGCAGCGAGTGATAGTAAAGATAATACAAATAGATCGAGATCAATGAGATTCGAAGGATCAAAGATAACATCGATGACCGCGAATAGACGGTGGGAAAAGGTGCGGGTGATCTGCAAGCAACCGTTCATCAAGACCAATATCGGAATTGCAAGTATCAAGTTCTACGGAAAACCAGAGACTAAAGTCGAGAAAGAAGATGTGCTGGCAACCACACCAGTACCGCTGGCAGGCGAGAATTTCCCTGTGCCTCAGGGGAAACTGTCGATCTCTTCAAGCAATGTCTTAAATTCACCGGGTCAGTTGGATAGCAGTGCTACAGATCTCGATACATCGATGACCGACATTGAAACGACACCGACAAAACTCAATAGTTCAAAGACCATTTTGGATTCCAGCAACAAAAAACTCAATCGTTCAGGAAGTTTAACATTTTCAAATTCGAAATCTAAATCGATATTGACCAATATTCTACCTGGCAAATGTATTGTCGTAAAGAAACCGTCAGAGTTGGAAGAGGAATTTAATAAAGTTGCAACAAACAAAGACGATAATCATCATCATCACAAGATGGATATAGATACACCATCATCATCATCATCGAAAAAACCAAAAGAAACAAGTAAACCTAAACTTGTTGAACCAAAAGATGAAGATACAGAAGAGGAAGATGGACATACCGATGAGGATGACAACGTTCATACAATTGTAGTGGAGCCAAAAGAATCTAAATATATTACTCCATTTGGTCTTATATTGGTAAGTTATTTATTAATTATTAAACATTAGTAGTAGAAAGTAAAACTAATATTGTGACCTTTTCAATATCTATAATTTATAGAAAGGAGTTGTAATTGTAATAGGTGGAATTGTTAATCCTAGAAAAGGAGAGTTGAGAGTTAAAGCTTTGGAGATGGGTGCCGATTATAAGCCGGATTGGTGTAAGGGTGCAACTCATTTGATTTCACCTTATATTGGTACTCCCAAAGCGGATGCATGCGATGGGTCGATTGTTGCACCGGAATGGATCGATGAGTGTTACAAACAAAAGACAAGACTGGCAATCAAATCATTCGCTGTAACCAAGACATTCCCAAAGCAAGATTCAAAGAACAAACAACAACAATCAACTTCGAAATCAGTGGGTAAGAGTATTAGTACCAGCTCTGGCAAGAAGAAGAAGGGCGGAAAGAAGAAAAAGAGTAAATCAACCGATCCAAACGATCCTACCGACTCTGAAGATGAAGACGATGGATTACCAAATGAATACGATCTCAACGATGATTTCATTGATACTGGCGATGTCGATGATTCAGCCGACGACGACGACAACGATGCAGATGGTGACGACGAGAACTCGGATGACGACGACCCATGGAGTGAGAGAAGACTGAACAAGAAGCGTGAGAAGGAAGATATCGACGATTTATTGAAGGATGGACTTGGATTTTTAAAGAGAGAGTACGGTTCGAACGATGCTATGATCAAACAACTGTCAAGCTCCACAAAGAAACCTAAGCACAAACATCACAATCGCACTGAGAGCAATGGAAAGAATCACAAGAAACAGGCAGACATTGAATATATGCCAAAAGATGAGGAGACAGTATTCGATAACAATCTACTGTTTGATTTCGGAACACAAGAGATCTCACACGAACAAATTAAAGCAGAACTCAATAAGATTGTTAGTTTAGCACCAACGTCAGACAAATCACCACCACCCAAGACCGAAGATTTCGATACCGATGAAGATGAAGATATTAAACCAGAGTTCTTTGCTCCTTCCAATGGAGCAAATAAATCGAAATCGAAATCAGCATTAACAACAGAAACATCAACAACAAAAACTACACCATCAACAAACAATAATGATTTGAAAGCAAAATCAACAACAACTACAACCACTACTAATAATAATACCACTACAATTTCAACATCTCCTCCCAAAGCAAAAGAAAAGAAAGTAGATGCTGTAATTGTAAAGGGAAAAGAATGTAAGTCAAGTCAACTCCAAATCAACTCTTTATGTCAAACTAAACATTTGCTAATCTTTATCTAAATCTTTTTATTACAGATATTATCGATCCATTACCAACATTCTTTGATGGAATCAATTTCTATTTAAGTTTGAAAGATGAAAATATAAAGAATCAAGTAAAGAGATATATAATTGCTTATAAAGGGTATGTCTTGTTTAAATATCTTATACACATCTATAGCAAAACAACTAATATTTCTATTTATTATTTAGTACTCTTAATATACAACCTACAGAATCAACAAAATTCATTATTACCGATAAGAATTGGGATAGATTATTTGATATTATCAAAGCTAAATACCCAAGTGTAACATTTTTAAAGCCATCGTTTATCATGAAATCACATAACTATCAAAAGATTGTACTGACCGAATCACATGAAATATCAAAATAAAAAAAAAAAGCGATAAAATTAAATATATAGTTTAATTTTAAACTATATATTTCTAGAAATAGAAAGTGTTTTGTTTTTTGCAATAATTAAATAATTACAAATAATTATAATTTATTCATTGATTGTAATTGTGAAAATTCTTACAGAATGATCGGTACTGCAAGTTGCTACATTAAAAGAGTTGTCTGTCAATTTCTTCCATCGAATTCTACGGACATCTGAAATATGTGATAAATGAGATGGAATTGTTTCAATCAAGCTCCACTGAATTGGTGAACCGTCAGTGGTGTCTTCACCTTTCCAAATGGTAATCTTTCCTTCTTCATCACCAACCGCCAATAGATGGCACTTCTCATTTGCCAACTTTGGTGCAAACTCCACTGTTGTGATACCGGCGGTGAATGTTGGCAGCGTCGAAGCCAATGCCCATCCTTTCTCTTTGGTGTTTGTCCAAATCTTTACCGCTTTATCTCTGGAACCGGTGGCAAAGTACTTGTCGTCGTGTGTCCACGAACATCCCCAAACGATTCTACCGTGTGACTTTGGTGCTGCTGTAACTTTAATGTATGGTTCGTTTGGATTGTCTGTTCTCTCCCAGAGTGACCACATACGATCTCTGCTTACACCCAAAAGATACTTGTTGTCATGTGAGAATGCCAATTGCACAATGGTTAGAGTGTGACCCTTCAACACGGCAACCTCTTTCCAATTGGCGACATTCCAAATTCTAATGTTTGCTTGATCAGCTGACGATGCTCTGCAGGTGGAAGCAAGGTATTTTCCATCGTAACTACAGGCAACTGCGATAATCTCATTACCATGACCATATAGCTTTTGAATCTCTGGCCAGAGTGACGATTGTAAAAGATGTTCTTCGAATGGTGGCTTGTCAAGCACCTCTGGATTAAAGAAGACCGGTTCCTCAAATCCACCCTCTCCCAAAGCTTCGTTGTCTTCTCCGGTCATTGTAAACTCTGCCGGTTGATCTGATTGACTCTCTGATTGTTCCGCTGAGAAGAAAGGTTTATTCGATAGACCCAACGATGGTTGATTTGCAGCCATCGGTCTTTGTTGACCGTCGTTCTCATACTTGACACGACTGATATTGGAAAGTGTATCTACAAAATTTTGTGATCCAAAGAAAACTCTGAGAATCTTCTCCTCTGCGCCGGAAACAACTGCATGATTTTTACCGAAAATAAAAGAAAAGCATTCCAAATCGTAACCGTGAATCTGTGGACGTGCAATCTCATGCCACGACTTTAATTCCTTTCCATCTTCTCCATCTCTTTTCCATTCTCCAAATAATCTTAATGTTCTATCAGTACTATAATATTATTAATTAAAAACAACACTTGTTAGATATACTATAACAACATTTTGTGCAATTAAAAAAGCTAAACAATTACCTTGAAGAAATGAAATAGTTGAAATCTGGACTCCACATTAAATCTTGGACTGGTGCGAAATGACCGCTTGGAATGATCTGTGGCTCCCAATGACCGTATTGAACGGATGGGTTCTTCCAGAGATGGAATGCACCGTTGTATCCGTGAGAGAGAATGTACTCACCGTCTGGCGAGAAAACACCACTGTACAGACCCAAAATATTACCACCCATGTCACCGACACGCACGTCGTCCATCCAGATACCAGAGTTCTTCTCTGGTCGCCAAATAATCATGGTCTTGTCCATCGACGCGGAAATGATACACATCTCTTGGAACACCGGCTGATTGGTGTCGGCATCGAGTGCTGCCGGCATCCAATTAATAGAGTATACCCAATCTTCGTGCCCGGACAACACCGACTCGAGCTGCACAATCATCTTGTGCTGATCGACATTGAAACGATGTCCTTTAGTGGAGAGCGAAGTCTGCTCCAGTGCCAACAGCACATCGGAAGCAGTCTTCTCCTTTGATTGCTTACCGGTTTCCTGTTCCTGTGTGGTTTGATGTCTGAATTTCCAGAGACGAATCTTGTAGTCCTGTGACGACGACGCCAGCAGCAACTCGTTGTCCTGTGGGATCGAGCAGAACGACAAACAACGCACCCAATCCTGATGACCTTGCAGTGCGACGATCTTTCTGAATGGCACATTCGATGCCTTCTCGTAGTCGGCGGAAACACCGTCCTTGTGTTGCACAAACACATGAATCTTTGGCTCGACACCACCCAGTGCCAATACCGGTATATTCTTTGTGTTTGGCAAGAAAGAGAGTGCGCAACACTCCATCATTCTCGGTTTAAACTCTATCGATTGAATAACACTCCATTTCGCATCGGCAACACTCTCACGAATCCAAATCTTTACTGTATTATCAGCGGATGTCGAACACAACATCAAAGAATTATCTGGGAATCTAACGATCGAACATGAAGTAACACTATCGGTATGTGATTTCAATACTTCATAAATTTCATACTAACATAATAACATAATATCAATAACATAACATTATTATCAATAATATTAGTAAATCAACGCTGAACGAATTTATATTGTATATTGTTGTTGTTATTTATTGTTGTTGTTGTATTTACTTACGATTCCTGTTGATTCATTCTTTTTCCAATGAATAAGAGTACTGTCGGACGATGCAGATATCAATTCAGATTCCTCGGATGTACCGATGATGGATGGTATCCACTTGACATGATTGACACGATCTTTGTGACCTGGCAGTGTTGCAATGACAGTCGATTGAATAGGGCAGAGCAATGCGACAAAGTTTTGTGCACCGTACGCAACTATATTGTTTCTACCCCAATCTATACAATCACCATTTGAATTACCACCAATACTAATATAATCTAAACTAGTTGATAACTTCATCTCTCTCTTCAAACCAATATATATATTATATTAATTTGTTGAATTGCAATGTTACTAGAAACAAATGTAAGATTATCCGTTAAAAAATACAAATTTTGTATTTTTCGTTTTATTTCAGTGTGGTTGACTGCGAAAAAAAAAAGAAAAAACATTTTCTCAGTTCAGACTAATATAACATTAATGTGTGGTATTAATTTATCATCCATCTATTCATCGATTAATCATTTATCTGCAAAAATATCAGTAATTTAAAGAATCAAAATGAATTTGTTCTAAACTTTGCACCCGATTTAGTTTTATATAGCTTTGACTCATAATTTTGGACTTCAAAAAAAGACTAATATTCATTGCTTTTGTAATCAAAAGATATTGATGAATTGACTTGTATGCAAATGATAATAATAATATTTTTGATTATAATTAGGTTAAGATGAGATAAAATTAAAGTTAAAAATAATTAATATATTAATTATCAGTTGTTCTAAATATATTTAGAACTTTAAAGAATTGAACTTCTTAGTGTTAATTCATTCGATAGATCATCATATGATGTGTCGTTATGTCGAAATATTACAAACTTTCAATAATCTAATTATAATATACTAAATATTGATTGTGTTTAATATATCAAACTTCTTTGTGTATGTGTGTGTTTAATTGTATATGCTTTTTATTTTGATTATAGAAGATAAAAGTGAAGGTGAAGATGAAGCACAACCTCTATAACTTTTTCAGTTACATATATATATATAGATAGAACATAGAACTATTCAAATAGAATATAACATTATTGGCAATGATCATTATCCATATTGGTTGATTAGAATACATTCTATTTGGTGGATCACACACACAAACACACAGATGACCAATTTTTATTTTATTTTGCAAATTGATTCAAATCTAAAACAAACCCAATAAACACAGTGTGTGTTATTAAAAATAACTAAAACATGTGAATTACTTCATCAATTTACAACATTATGATTACATATGATCATAATGTTAAATATTAACTTATGATGATCTATTATAACCTTAACCACTATGATAACAAACGGAGTGGTAATTTAACAATAATAACATAATTATTATTTATTAAATTAATTTAAAGAATAATAATGTTATTATTGTATTGTGTGTTTATTATTATTGCCACGCAAACTCACATCAATTAATAATTAATAAGTAATAAGATGGTTGACAATTTTTCATCTTTATTAGACATCACACCTAACAAAAACTACAATCACCCTAAACAAGCAAAGCACAGAGTGTCAAGTATTAACTTTGTGAATATCCCCAAAAACACACCATTATGAAATCATTGTGTATCAGGTGGTGAAAAAATGTCAAAAAAATTAATTAAATTAAATTTAAAAAAAAAAAAACTAATCTGAAAATATGGTTTTTTAAGAAAAATTTACAATCATCAATTTTGGGGTTAGCAAATGAGTGGGTGTAGATCGATTTTTGACCAAAACTATTTTTAATTTTTTTAATTTTAAAACAAAAAAAAAAACTAATTAAAAATAACCCATCCAAATCAATGATACATCATTTTTACTGAGAAAGAAGAATCATCTTCTACCCTTTTTATGGAAATTTATAAAAATAAATTGGCATTATAATGTCGCACTTGTTGTGAGCTAAATTATTTTTAAATAAACCGTGTCACAACAATTGTTGCTCACTGTTAGGTGAGTTGTTGCTGTGAGGGTGTGTTGGAAAGAGTCGCGCTATTATTATGCGTTCATTTTCAGCTGAAATGAAATAGTGTTGTATGAGTTTTTTTATTAAGTGCGCTGGCTGACTCAGTAAAACAAAACAATGAGTGACAGTGTTTATGCGCAGACTGAGCCAATCTCTCTCAAGTTCTTTTAATATATCGGTTGATGGTTGTTGTGCGGGTGTGGGGTAGGGTTTTGTTTTATTTTAAAATGTGTTTTTTCAATATATCATCACATCTCTATGATCTTTGCTTCTGAATCAAAACCATCATGATGGTGCTCGAATGGAAAAAGACAATTATGACCATTATTACAACAATATGTAAACAATATGAAATCATAAATAAATTTTAAATCAATCATTCATTTATTAGCAGTGAGGCTCTTCCTTTACTTTAAAACGATCATATTTTTAATCGATTTCTATTTAAAACATAAAGTTTATTTTAGTTTTAGATATAAATATATAAAGAAACTTCTAATACTAATAATATTTATATATATACATATTATTTTTATAATAATAATAATAATATAACACAATCACTTTTTTTTTTTATATATAATACTCCACAAACACATTGTTTATTTTGTGTATAAGATCTATTGTTAGTTCATTTTGATCTTATAATTTGTAGTTATTCAATTTTTGATCATAATCATAATTATCTATCCATTTTTATTTTTAGTGTTAAAATTTTTGTAGTCCATATCTTTTGTTGTTTTTTTTTTTTTTTTTTTGATTACATATCTGCACGATTTGCCCATATCACCCACACATAAACACTCAAACAAATCAAATTTCTCAAAATAATTTGAACATTACATTAAAACATCAATTGATATTAATATTCACCAAATTTGAAATTAAAATAACATCTTTTCAATAATTATTATATTTTCAGATTTATTATTTTTAATATAGTTACTATATAAATATATTTTTAGAAAAATGGCTCCTCCAGATTCATTAACAGATGGAGTTGACATGGTTGAGATAACACCATCCGATACACATAAAGGAGATGTTGCACCTCCAAGAACCGGAATGTATGTTACCGCCAAGAATTTAACATCGACAGTTGGTTCTGCAAAGAAAAAGAACGAGAAAAATATATTAGAAGATTTAAATTTCTTTTTAAAGGTAAAAATAATTTATTTGGTTGCAAACAAAATGATAATTATACTAAAAATAGTTTAATCAATTTTCTATACTTTTTTTATTATTATTATAAATAGCCTGGATCAATGGTATTGATGCTTGGATCACCTGGTTGTGGTAAAACATCGGTATTTAAAGCATTGGCCGCACAGACTCATCAAGAACGTCTGTCTGGAAGTTTATTATTCAATGGAAAGCAAGCAAACGACGATACACATCACTATGATGTATCGTACGTCGTACAGGACGACCAACATATGGCACCATTTACAGTTCGTGAAACATTTAAATTCAGTGCCGATCTCCAAATGAGACCGGGTACCACTGAGGATCAGAAGAACGAGCGTGTCGATCACATCCTCAAGACTCTCGGTCTGACTGCACAAGCCGACACCGTCGTCGGAAATGAATTCCTTCGTGGAATTTCCGGTGGACAAAAGAAGCGTGTCACCATCGGTGTTGAAATGGTCAAGGATTCACTACTCTATTTGATGGACGAGCCAACCACCGGTCTCGACTCCTCTACCTCACTCGAGTTGATGAAGCACATCAAGGAGGTTGTAGCCACCGAGAATATCTCTTGTCTGATTGCACTACTCCAGCCAGGTGTTGAAATCACCAAACTCTTTGATTTCCTTATGATTCTCTCCGAAGGACAGATGGCCTATTTCGGTCCAATGAATTCAGCAATCTCCTATTTCGAGGGACTTGGATTCAAGTTACCAAGTCACCACAATCCAGCAGAGTTCTTCCAGGAGATCGTAGACGAGCCCGAGCTCTACTACGAAGGTGAAGGACAGCCTCCCTTAAGAGGAACCGCCGACTTTGTCAACGCCTACAAAAACTCTGAAATCTACAAACAAGTCGTTCACGACTTGGAAACCAATCAAGTCGATCCAATCTATTTCAAAGACAGCTCAGATTTGCCACGTTATCCAACTTCACTTTATTATCAAATTCATCTCACCTCGCTTCGTGCTTTCAAAATGCTCATTTCCAATCCAGTCGTTGTTCGTGTGCGTATCATCAAATCCATTATTATGGGTCTCATTCTTGGTTCTCTTTATTATCAGCTCGGTTCCTCGCAGACCGACGGTAACAACAGATCTGGTCTAATTTTCTTTGCTCTTCTCTTTGTCATTTTCGGTGGTTTCGGTGCCATTACAGTGCTGTTTGAACAGAGGGCGGTGTTTTACGTGCAGAAAGATGGTAAATACTATCGAACTTTTGCATTCTTCCTTTCGCTGATCTTCTCAGAGCTGCCCATCTCAACGCTGGAAACTGTGATTTTCTCCACACTTGTCTACTGGATGTGTGGACTACAAGGAAACGCTGGAAAATTCATTTACTTCCTCCTGATGGTGTTGGCATCGGATCTCTCGTCACAGTCCTACTTTAAGATGGTGTCAGCATTCTCTGCGAATGCCACAATCGCTTCCGTCATTGCTCCAGCCATTTTGGCGCCGATGATATTGTTTGCCGGATTCATGATTGCTCGTCCATCGATTCCAAACTGGTGGATCTGGCTCTACTGGATCTCACCAATTCACTATTCATTCGAAGGTTTGATGACCAATGAACATTATGGTCGTCACTATGGATGCTCCGACAGTGAAATGGTTCCACCCGCTTTTATTGCCAATGCTTCGTTCAACGGTCACCAAGTGTGTCCGTTCACCGACGGTAGTCAATTCATTGAACGTCTCGGTATGCAAGACAACAATTGGTTCAAATGGGTCGATCTTGCCATCGTTTTTGGATTTGCCATTATCTGGAGTTGCATGATGTACTACTTCTTGCGTGTCGTTCACTACGATTCGCGTGCTGCCAACGCTGAAGCTGACCGTCGTAACTCGAAGCGTGCCAAGAAGACTGCTGCCGCCGGTAAGGAGCACAAGATCAGTGTCAAGAGCAACAAAGACGCCAAGATCAAGAAGGAAATTCCAATCGGATGTTACATGCAATGGAAGAATCTTACCTATGAAGTCGACATCCGTAAAGATGGAAAGAAACAACGTCTCAGACTCTTAGATGGTATCAATGGTTACGTTAAACCAGGAATGTTACTTGCTTTAATGGGTCCATCAGGTGGTATGTATAAATAATAATTATTAAAAAAAATTTCGAGATTTCTCATACTAATTTTTTATTTCTAGCTGGAAAATCAACATTACTAGATGTTTTAGCAGATCGTAAGACCGGTGGTCATACTAAAGGTGAAATTTTAATTAATGGTGCTGCAAGAACCAAGTTCTTTACTCGTACTTCTGCTTATGTAGAACAACTCGATGTTTTGCCACCAACTCAAACCGTTCGTGAAGCTATCCAGTTCTCTGCCAAGACACGTCTTCCAAGCTCAATGCCAATGGAAGAAAAGATGGCATTCGTCGAGAATATTTTGGAGACTTTGTCATTGTTGAAGATTGCCAACAAGATGATTGGACATGGTGAGCAAGGTTTGTCACTCTCACAACGTAAGCGTGTCAATATCGGTATTGAACTTGCTTCCGATCCACAATTGCTCTTCCTCGACGAGCCAACCTCTGGTCTTGACTCTAGTGCTGCGCTCAAGGTAATGAATCTCATCAAGAAGATCGCCATGTCTGGTCGTTCCATCATCTGTACAATCCATCAGCCATCGACTTCCATCTTCAAGCAATTCGACCATTTGCTGTTGTTGAAGAAGGGTGGTGAGACTGTATATTTCGGTCCAACTGGTGAGCGTAGTTCCATTGTTTTGGATTACTTTGGATCGCATGGATTACAATGTGATCCATTGATGAATCCAGCTGATTTCATTCTCGATGTCACCGAAGATGAAATCCAAGTAGAGTTGAATGGTTCGCCACATATTTTCAAGCCGGTCGACGACTTTAAGGAGTCGCAACTCAACAACAATCTCTTGGCTGCTATCGATGCAGGTGTAATGCCAGCCGGTACACCAGTAGCCGAATTCCACGGAAAATACTCTTCAACCATTGGAACACAATTCCACGTTTTGTTCCGTCGTGCATGGCTTGCTCAGGTGCGTCGTGTCGACAATATTCGTACTCGTCTCTCTCGTTCTCTGATTCTCGGTGTCATCTTTGGTACATTGTATCTCCAGATGGACAAAGATCAAGCCGGTATCTACAATCGTGTATCACTACTTTTCTTCTCGCTCGTCTTTGGTGGTATGTCCGGTATGAGTTCCATTCCAATCGTCAGTATGGAGCGTGGTGTCTTCTACCGTGAACAATCCGCCGGAATGTATCGTATCTGGATTTGGTTGTTGACCTTCATCATCACCGATCTTCCATGGGTATTCCTCTCTGCCATTCTCTACACCATCCCAGTGTACTTTATCTCTGGATTGGCTCTTGGCTCATCCGGTGCTCCATTCTTCTACCACGCATTCATCTCGTGTACAACCTACCTCAATTTCGCGTTGGTTGCAATGTTGTTCGCCATGATTTTGCCAACCGACGAGATTGCTCATGCAATGGGTGGAGTACTCCTCTCGATCACTGCGTTGTTTGCAGGTTTCATGATTCCACCAGGTTCCATTCCCAAGGGATGGATCTGGATGTACCATATCAATTTCGTTAAGTACCCATTGGAAATCTTCTTGGTCAATGAATTCGAACATCTCAAATTCAATTGTCCGGGTAACGAAGGTGCAGTTCCAGTTCCAATTGGTCCAAATCCAACCGATTTCAAATTCTTCTGTCCATTGACTGAAGGTACCTTATTGTTGGATCAATACAAGATGAAGTCTGACAACCTCTATTTGAATATGACTGTAATCTTTTCATTCTCAATCTTCTTTACATTCCTCTGTTATCTTGCATTGAAATTAATTAGACATCAAGTTAAATAAATAAAATATTATATAAATTTATTATTTATTATTAAAAAATATAGATTAGTTTTTTTTTTTCAAGACTCATAAAAATAAAAAAAAGGATAGCAATAAACAAACATTTCTTTGTGATCTTGAATTTAGAAGTATTATAGATATTTTCTTATTATGAATAATCCTTGGAAACTATCAAGATATTTTTTATATGATGTAATGATATATCCATGGAAATCATTAAATTAAAGTGATTCTATTTTCTTTCTATCTTGATCGGAATTATATTACCTGGTAGAAGTGTCAAGTTTTCAGATTTAACAATGATAGCTTAAATTAGTGGGGTGTGCTTAATCAATCGGACCTGGTAAAGTTAAAATCAGAAATCTACGATTCTACTTTGTAAAGTATCAAAATTAATTAAACTAAAGTTGTTTATTATGTTAAAAATAGTTAATTTAAAGCCTGGTTAATAAAATAATAGTGAGATGATATAAATATTATAGGGATCACTTTAAAACTAAAGAATAAAAGATCACCAAATATTTGTTTTTACATTTTTGAATGAAATTTATAGTAGTCGTGCAAAAAAAACTCCCAGGGTTCTTGAGTTTTTAAAAAAAAAAATATCTAAAATTCAAATTTAAATTTTGTAAGATTGTCGATATTTGGAAAAATTATAAAAAGGAGGGGAAAAATGTCATTTTTTTCAACCGAATCAGTTTTAGCAAATAAGCATTAAAAATAATAATATTAATAATAATTATTTTTAAAGATATCTATTAAATTAATATAACAAATATTTGAATATTTTTGAAACTTTTTATTATTAACTTCAACAAAAAAAACATTCACTCTAAATTAAATATTAATAATAATAAAAAATAACTTTTTTTCCTGTACATAAATAATTGGAATACTTATAAAATAAATAATAATAATATAATATTAAATAATAATAATAATATAATAATGGATCATATTGATATTAATGATAAAAAGTTATCAAGGGGTGAATCAAGTTCATCTCAAGTATCGATGAAACGTTTTGGTGGTACTGAAGCATCGACCTATTCTTCGGATCACGACCACGAGCATTTTAGTCACGACCTCAAAGTACAACAGATTGTCATTCGTTCAGACTTTGCCGATGCGTCTGCCGAGCAACAAGCGAAAATCATCTTGGAACGTTTCAACGAAGGTATCAAGAATTCTGCATTCACCGACAATCCATTGCTAGGTCGTGCACTTGATAGAGTTGATATTTCGTAAGTTTCAAATTAACAATGGTCATTAATTAATTAAATATATCTTATTAATAATATTATTATCAATCTGCTTCTCTTAGTTATTTTGTATTGGGACATCGTAATCAAATTGCTGAGCTTTTCGATCCACGTGGTGAACGTTTCAGTACGGTTTACTCTGCCGATCCAACCGTTAACATTAAGTATATCGGACCAATCTTAAAGACTGCCAAATACTATGGTGCCTACGGTAAGCATGTACTCCAAGTCCCACCAGGTCACTACGCCAAGGCATTCACCAAGAACAGACCAGTTCTCTACGGTGAAGGTCCACATGTAATCATCGATCCAACGTTCCAATTCGACGAGAGTGCATTCGAGAATCAAAACGAACCATACATCTCTCACTCCACCATCAATATTCTCAGAGTTCCATCCGGTAAATTAGCTAAAGTTTGGATTGGAACTCAACCATATATTTTCGAATCAAGAAGAGAACCGTAAGTAAATCAATCACTAGGGCTGAACTGAACTTGAATATGAATACTAACTAATTTGTTAATTATATATATTTAGATATGTTGTTGTCGATGCACAATTTAAATTGGTACAAAAGGATTCAAAGAATTCAAAGAGTGATAAATCATCGATGTTCTATGATGCCACCGAACCGTATATCTGTCATGGTTCAATTAAGCGTTTGATTCCTCATACCGGTGAGGTTGCTGTTACCTATAACAATGGTATTTTGACTATCATTCCAACTCCAAAGGACGGCAAACCAGTGATTATCGATTCACCTACTCATAATTTCGAGGGATTCATCTCGACTGCCCTCCAAACCTGTTTGTTCCCAAGTAAGGAGACCAAGCAAGCCGCTTACAACGACAATAAACACGCCAGTTCCGACGAGATCAATCTCAAGATCTTCCAGACACGTGATTCTCTCAGAGTCGGTGTTGTCTTGGTGGTCGCATTCAAGATTGTCGATCCGGAACTCGCCATTACCAAGCTCGGCAAAGAGGGAATCATCAACCACATTGAGAACGTGTCGTTCGCCGACATGGGTAAAGCCATCCAATTGTCGACACTCCAAGAGGTGATGTACTTCACCCAGACCAAGCCAGGTCAACAAACCGATGACCAAGCAATCCAGACCATTCAAGATCGTGTTAAATCTCATCTCGCTAGAGACTTGGGTGAATACGGTATCGAGTTGGCACGTCTACAAATCGAAACAATGAAAGTTCTAGACTCGGAGATTGCCAAGAAATTGGCTGGCCAATCGGTAACATCCGCTGAATTCACTACCAAACAAGCTAGTTTGGCAAAGGAATACGACATCAAGACAACTGAGGCACGTCTCAAGGCAGAGACTGACAACATCGCGCTTGCTCAACGTGGTCAGGCACTGATTGCCGAAGCTCAGGCCAAGCTCGCCTCTGCACAGAAGGAAGCGGAAGCACTCCTTGTCAAAGCGGACGCCGAACGAAAGGTATCGGAACTCAGTGGTGAACTCTACCTAAAGTATCCGGCACTCTTTGAGTTGGAGATGGCCAAGATCAAAGCACAAGCCATGAAGAATGCCACTATCTACATTACACCAGCCGATGTCGGAAACTTTATGAATTCGCCACTTCTTTATTTCAACCAAATGCAACAACAACAAAAGAAATAATAAGTTGGTATCAATCAATCAATATAAATGTATAGCATCAAATATAGTTCGATTCGGACTGATCGATTGATTTATTCATTAATAGAGTTTAATTCAATCAAACTCAATCCAAATCAATTTGGACCAACTAAAATAGATAATTTAAAGGTGGTTCTCAAACAAAACAAAACAACAATAATCGAATCAAATAAAATTCTTAATTTTTTAATGTAATTTCCAAGAGATTGATTTGTTTTTATCTTTTAATTCCTTTTTGTTTATCGTTTATTCATTCAATTACAATCTTTTCTTAATTAATCAAAAGTTATCAGTTCCAAATTTGATATGATGAAAAAAATGTAAAATCTATATCTTATGATAATATTCTAAAGAAGTCATATTTTTCGAGTTGTTTTAAATCCATTTTCAACAAAACCTAATATTGATCCAAGGTAAAACCTACTTCGTACGAGGAAATGAATAACTAGATTTACTAATATTTTTAGCCAAAGACAGCCTTAAAATGAAGACAATTTTATATCGTACCGACTCTCAATAGCGTGGTAACATCAGTACTAATACCTCCATCGATTAACATTGGTATCGATGGAGCAACTCAGAATCACAAATAAAAATATTGCCTTCAACTTCACTAAATACCTCAGATATAGTCCACATAAAATATTAAAAACATTTTTAACCATTTACTGTTATAAAATTTATAAGATGTCAAAAGTGACACACCATGTTGTTTTTTTAATTAATGTTTGTAAATTTTTATAGGTTGTTGGAGAGAAAGAAAGAATGGATACTATAATTAATGGTATTATAATATCAAGCTATGAAGATTCAGTTAAAGAGAGATTGATTACAACTGTATTGTCAAAGATAACAATTGCAACTGACTTGAAATCATTGGTTATCAGCTTGATAGATAATAATATATTGCAATATGATAATGATTTAAATAAATGTAGATGGTCACTATTCATTGTTAATCATTGCTTAAACAACAGTAATAATAATAATAATAGCAATAGTAATAGTAATAATGAAATTATAAATCATTTATATATGGATATGGAGAGATTTGAATTGTTCTTTGCATTGATACTATCGGATCATCAAACTATTACGACATACCTATTGGAACAAATAACTATTCTACTGAGACATGTGATGCTATCATCGTATCATACATCAGATAATCAATTCAATTTAGATATACTAAAGAGTTATCTACAAACTGTATTCATAACATTTGAATCGAAATTATCTTTATCTATATTAGTAAGAATATAATTAGTTAGTTAGTTAGTTATAAACAAACAAACCAACAAACAAACAAAGTTAAACTTTAACAACACTAACAAACTTCAATATATTGACTATTTTAAGATAAACATTGCAACAATTATAAATTACATTGTAAATAATAATATATCAACTATCAATTCGATGCTTTTGTTTTAGTGAAGAATACTTTTTGAATGTATATTTAGATTGGCTGCCAAAGTTGTCGGTGGAAAGAGTACAGCTCGAGTCGGAATACAATACGCAGTTGGAATGTTTGGTGGAGCTGCTGCTTAGCATATGGAATGATGGACATCAGTATATAGAGAGATCGCTGCTGGCTATGTTGAGCTGCTTGACCGAACAAGCCAGAGATGCAACCGGTGCATCGACACAATCGATCGTTGTGTCGTCGTCGCTCGCCGACATTCTCAATCACTCGCCGGTTGATCTGATAGTGCTGTACGTGCCGCTGCTGATTGAGAACAAGAGCATCTCTGACCAGCATCTCTATCTTATCATTCGGTCGTTGATAACACTGCCGGTGACACCTACCAACTCTGCTTGGATACTGGAGACACTGAACACCATGAAAACGGTAAAGAAGAACCGACTGCTCGTATCGCTCACCATCGAATGTTCACCGATCCTCTTGAAACAGATGTTTCAAGGTCCGCTACTGCTCGAGAGTGCCTACGACGTCATGGAGAACATGCTTCTCGGCTACCAACACTCACCAGATGCGTTTCACCAGATAACTTCATTGCTTCCTGCCATTATCGAATTCATTCTATTACTAATTGAAAAGAAGAAGAAATTGGTATTACAACATCAGCAACAACAACAGCAGCAGCAGCAGCAAGTTTTTAATGTTACACCTCCTCAAAGTAGTAGTAAGATTATAAACTTTAAAGTTCATAAGGTTGTGAAGGATTTGACTGCTATGAATGATAGGAAACAATTGTTATTGTATGCAGTGAAGAATTGTAATGATAGCTATTCAAATTGGTGGTTGTTGATGGAGAGTCATGATAGGCTACAATCACTGTTGACAAGAGTTACAAAGATGTCTTGGATTCTTATGAATCATTACTCTGGCTATCCAGAGCTGTACTCACCGTTGACCGATAGACTACAACGGTTGGGACAGCCATACAACCAGCCACCAAAAGAATTCGAATGCAAAATGATACTGAAAACCAACGAGTGGAAAGGAATGCAATCGATGCACTACGAGAATACCAAACTAGGTAGAACATTGAGTGATCGATCCGGTCTCTACAATCTTGGAAACACTTGTTTTATGAATTCATTCTTACAATCCTTATATATGACAATACCAGTATGTATATATATTAATTAACTAGATAATTAACTTTACTTTACTTACACAATACTATATTATCATATGTTTTTATTTTCTATTGAAGTTTAGAGATTACTTTCTAAGTGAAATGGATTCACCTAATTTGACACAGGAATCAATTGATTTGGTTATGAAAAGAGGAAACATGGTTAAACAACTTCAATTGCTGTTTGGATATCTCAGGTATTCAGTTAGATCGGCATTCTCACCTTCGAAATTCCTCTCGACTCTTTCATTTGAATATCAAACGGGTGAACAACACGATACTTATGAATTTGGAAAGTATCTTCTCGACTCACTAGATTCAATGCTAAAGTTTGAAATGAAATCAAATCACTATCTACAACAAAAACATAATATATCAACAACAACAACAACACAACAACCTGAATCAAAAGGAGAATCAACAACAAGTACAACTACAATTGCAACTACATCAACAACTGCAAATGCAACAACTATTAATAACAATACAACTACAGTTGTAACGGATATGTTTGGTGGAAAGATTGAACAATCCATTAAATGTTTGAAATGTAATAATGAATCGATATCAAAGGAAGAGTTGTTTGAGTTGTCATTGGCATTTCCACCGGAACAACAACAACAGAATCAAACGACCATCAATGATTGCGTAGAGTTGGACCAATTGATTCGATATTTCTTCTCAGTTGAACTACTCAATGCCAACAACCGTTATCATTGCTCAAAGTGTGAGTCACTCCAAGATGCAGAGAGGAAACTTCAGATATCCGGATCACCACCCAAACACCTAATACTTTCACTCAAGAGATTTGCCTATAACATACAATCGAAATCAATCTCTAAAATTTTCACAATCGTAAGTTTAGTTTTTCCAGTAGTAACAATGATAAATACTAACTTTGAAAACTTACAACTAATTAATTAGGTTGACTATCCAGAAACATTACATATTCCCTCGGATTATGTTAATTTAGCAACAAATACAAACGCAAATACAAATGACAATACTCAACAAAAACAACAACAACAAGAATTTAAATATCAATTATATGCAATAATATTTCATTCGGGTACAAGTGTGAATTACGGTCATTATTTTACCTATGCAAAACCGAGTCTTTCTAGTGAAGATGATTGGTGTTTGCTTAATGACAGTAATGTACAGTTGATTGATTTGAAATCAATTAAAGATGTTCCAAAGAAATTCCAGAAAGATACACCTTATATTTTGTTTTATAGATTAGCCGAAGCAACGAAAAACAACAGCAATAACAACAATGAAAATATGAACTTTGAAAAACCAACAGTTACCCCCGCAGACATACAAGAAACAACTCAGCAACAAACCGAGACACAAACAACAACAACCAACATACCAAAACCATTGCATGATGAAGAGATGAATGTTGCACCATGGATTGCAAGTGAGGTGAAAAGAGATAATAAGAGTTTATCTGAATCATCATCTTCAACTAAAGCAACATCAGTCTTGGAATCAATAAAATAACAAAGCTATTAAATTTGACACAACCAAAATACTTTGTTTAAAGAGCAAAAAAAAAAAGAAAAAGAAAAAGAAACACATTAAAATAATTAAATGATGTGATTGATTTTTTTTTGATTGATTGATTTGCTGCTGTGATTTAATTGATTTAGCAGGTGTCATACCAAAACAAAAATGCTGACCAGCATTTTATTTAAATATAAAAATGCTGATCAACACAAATTATTCACTTCACACCTTTTTTAAAAGGAAAAAAAAAATGATTGATTTTGTTTGTTCATTGAAAATAGAAAGTAAACAAAAAAAAAGTAAAAAAAAAAACAAATCTAATTATAAATATCACATCATATGTGAGGTGTGTGGTTTTTTGAAAAATATCTTTTTTGGTTCAAAAAAAAAAATTGAATAAAATCCAAAATTTTATTTGAATTATTTTTAAAACCCATTTATTTCAGGATTAATTTTTTATTTTTTGTAGATGTGCCCTGCAAAAATGTGAAAAAATGATGTCAATATTTTTTATTTTATATTTTTCACAAAAAAAATCATAGAACTCATTTGTTTTAGGTGGTAAAGGGTGGGGTGACCAACATTTGAAAAATATATTTTTATTGTTTATCAAAAAAAAAAAAGAGCACTTTCATTGGTGTTGTGTGTGTTGATTACCTCCAGACCTTTCATAAACATAAAAATCGTGTTTTTCTATCAAGATAAAAGTAAAATTAACAATTCTCTTCTTTTTTCTGTAATAAAAATAATAAATAAATAAAATAAAATAAAATAAAATACAAATAATAAAATATTAAATAATATTAAAGTAATAAAATACAAACATCAGACAATCAATCAATCAATCAATAAATCAATCCATCTGATCTACATTACACCTCCACTTCCAAACTCCAAATCCAATTTAGTAATAACATTTTTGTTGTTGTGTTTGTTTTAAAATACAAATATATCAAGTATATATCAAAACAAATATAGATTAATAATAATCATAAATACTTATCATATGATAACAAAACAAAACTAAATTTAATACACACACACACACACACACAACATAACACATCATATGATTAATACATCATCAATCAAATAAACTCACACACACACATTTTTATTTTATTTTGGTGAACTAAATTATTAAATCAATCATCCAAAAACATTTAAATTTGTTACAAATTTGAAAGATACAGATTAAAACAAATTAGATAGATATTATATGTTTTGTAGGTAATCACTACCAACAAAAGCGATCGTTTCGGCAATCAATTTGAAACTACTAGTTTATCAAATTTTGTGCACACGGCAGATCTTGTATGATTTAAAATATGCGCAAATAGTTGATTGTTATTATTATCATTATTATTATTAAAATATTTGATATCAATCAATCTATAATTATCAAGTATTATTCAAAAACACAATCAATATTGTCAACAATAATTATTATAGGTTTATTAAGTTGTTAAAGTTTAATAGTTGTTGTTATTTATGATCAAACAAACTGTAATATTTAAAAAAAAAAAAAAAATCAAAACAAAACAAATAAATAAACAATCAATCAAATAAATCACAATCACAATCAGATCAGGTACACATTTTAAAACAGTTTCTAAATTATAAAAAATAACATCATTAAAATTTATTTATAAATATCGTCCATCCTTGTTTTATCTATCAAAAAAAAAAAGTGTGTTTTGCAAACCAACAGTTCTACGCTTTTTTTGTGATTTTTTTCAATTAAAAAAACAAAAAAACTGTTTCATTTCATTGTTGTCACAGTATAAAAATTTAAAATAAATCAAAAAACTCACCAACAAGTAAAAGCCTGTCAGACTCTAAAACAAAAAAAAAAAAAAACACAACATTTTTAAAAATTTATTTTTATTTTTCACACATCATACATTTTTATTCGTTTTTTCCAGAGTAGTAGAAAGTAACTAACTAATAAATAACTAAATTGTTATTATTGTTTAGATCGATAAATAGAATTAAATTAGAATTAGAATTAGAATTAGAATATAGATATATAGGAAAATGTTTTTCAAAAATAAAAAGAAAGAAGAGCAGCCACCAGTGGCCTCTCCAAATACAAACCGATCACCTCCAACCAATCCACAGCCATCAAGTGGAATTCGTATTGGATCGGTCTCTGCAAGTGCATCAGCAGAGCAATTAGATCAAATTAATGTATGTAATCATTAGACAAAAGAAAAAAAAAAAAGGAACAAGTCTATAGAACTTTATTCTAATTCAAAATTCACCATTTCGAAAATTAATTGTAATTACAGGCAAATAAACAAAAGATACCATCACTCTTTAGATTGCTGGCAGAGCACAAGTTATCAGAGCGTGATATATGGGAAGGTGAACCACAGTTATTCTCAATTTTATATCAATTTAAAGATCAACTTGGAAAGAGTACGTATAAATTTCTATTCTCTGTTTTCATTAAACAAAAAATCTATTGTTGCAAATTTTTGTTGATTTTTTTCAATCAACGGAATTGGAAATGGATTGGATTTTTATTTTTTTCATCGATGATTAGGACCTAGATATTTTTTTTTTAGGGGCTATACAACCACACTATGAAAAAAAAAAAAAAAAAAGAATCTTTTTTCATTTCAATTTGTTTTTTTATATTCCGTTGTGTTTGGCATATAATCTCCAACTGTGGTGATAACAATTTAGATATTAAATTTTAAACTAGTTTTTTGTTAAATTGTTTGTTTGTTTATTTTAGTTTTTTTTTTTATAAATAAAGTTTCATCATTTTGTTCCGATTTGGTAATTTTAATGTAATTCTAATATGAAAATTTTAAATTATTATTTTTAGCTGAATCACCACCAAACATTATAACATTCCATATGCCAACGATAGCAGAATTTGGCGACACAAAGAAGAAATCATACAAGATCAATAAGAAATTCACAGTATCTCAAACCATTGCTTTGATATGTAAGAAACAACAGATTCCAGATCCAAAGAGATTCTGGATTGGTTCACTACAAGGATTTATTATGAGTGACAATGAACCACTGAGCACCTATGGTCTTGGTAGTCTTTTTGAATCATGGGAGTTAAGATTAATATATAAACAAGATATCTTATCAAAATCACCTTTAAAGAGTAAGTTTATAATTATAATTATATAATTAGTAATCAATTGGCAAATTATTAATATGTTTATTTCTTTCTTTCTTTCGCAAAAAAAACAGATGAACCACTTGAATCATTAGGAACTGAATTTATTGTTGTATTTGAATTACCACCATTGGAAGAATTCAATGGATTAAAGAAACATGTTGTTAAAGTTGATTCCAATCAAACCATTAAAAGTGTAAGTCTAGAATGAATCGAAATATATTCATTTCTTTTTCTTTTTCTAATTATATTATTATTATTTTCTAGGCAATTGGAAATATTTGTAAGAAATATAAGGTAGAAGGATCAGAAAGATTTTCGGTTATGACAATCGATGAGAATCCATTGGTAGAGTTTGTATTGTTCAGTGGCGCGTGTTTCAAGCACTACGGTCTTGGTTACAAATTTAAAAAGTGGGATTTGAAGATTGTTTTCACCGATTTGATTGCACCATACGTACATCGTCACACTGTGATTCCAATGCACGGTTGGGCACAGGTTTCTCCAGGACAATTGGATCCTTTCACAGCACGTGCCATTATAAACGATCTCGAGGAGAAATGCTCAGAGTTCCAATCGGAGATTCGTCGTCTCACCAAAGACGTCGAGGGTGGAAATGAGTTGGCACAGGAGCAAGCCGCTGAAATCGAGCGTCTACGCGAGGAGATCGCACGTTTGCAACGTGTCATGCAAGAGGAGCGTGAAGCCACTCTTGCCCAAAACGAAGACTACGAAGCGCGAATCACCGCTGCCAACGCCGAAATTGAGACTATGGCCGGACAGCTCCGTTCGATGAAGGCGCGACTCGACGACACTGGCGCACAACTCAGCACCGCCAAGATTTCCAACGACGATCTAACTTCCACTTTACACCTGTGTCAAGCTGACAAGTCAAAGTTGGAGAACTACGTCGAGGAGCTGAATGCTTCGATTGCCGACTACCAACAGAGATTGGAGCGTCAACGTGTCCAGTCGGTCGACACTGAGAATCACCTCACCCAAATGATCGCTACATTGGAGCGTGAGAAATTAGCGATCAAAGAGGATGCACGTGCTTCACTCGAGCGTTTCACCACTGAGAAGGTCTCCAGTGAGGAAGCTGCCAAGCACTTGCACGCCAGTCAAGCTATGCTCGTCACCCAATTGCAAGACGACTTGGTAACGTCACAGCGTGAACGTGAAATGATGGCACTCCAAGTTCAGAAAGCAACACTCGAACGTCAGGAAGCAGTCCAGCTGGCAGAACGCGCCGAAAAGAAAGCCGAAGAGATGTCCAAGACTGCCAAACATGTCGAGCGTCAATTCGGTGACTTGGAGCGTGAGCGTGACGTTCTTCGTCAGCAAGTCCAAATCAAGTTGGACGAGATTGCCGATCTCAACAAGGATTTGGAGTGGTCCAGAGAGACTATGGCAGATATGGAGCGTCGTCTCACCAGTATGTCGGGAGAAGCCAAAATGTACAAAGATATCAAAGATAAGGAATCCGCCCGTTTCAAACAATCGTCACAAGAAGAAACCAAAACCAAGAACGACCTCGACGCCGAGCGCAAGCGTAACATCGACGCCACCGCCAAATTCAACAAGAAGATCCACGAGTTGCAAACCGCACAGAAACACCAAGAAGCTGCCTACCAAAACGCCGAATCCGCATTCAAGAAGCGTGAGAATGAGCTGCGTTCACAAGCCGAAGACTACCGTGCCAAATACGAAGAGTTGCGCCAACAAGTCCAAGCCGGATCCGTCAAGGATGGAGCATCGATTCCATCGCTGCCAGCAACCGGTAGTGGTTCTTTCATCAAGAGCAATGGTACACCAAAGGAATTGGCAAGTTCGCCAGTTCTCATTGGTGGCGCAGGAAGCAGCGCTACAACCTCACCAGACTCATCTTCACAACCAAAAGTCAATGGATTGTTACCATCCACTGCAACACTCATAATTGGTGGTCGTGGAAAGAGAAATTCACCGTCACAAGAGGAATTGGCCGCTGCCAAAGAACATCTGAAAACTATTCCTGCACCTGCACCAACCAAGGAAATTGCTGTAGTTGCCGACAATCTTTACAATTCACTGCAAACTCGTTTCGTCAATGTCAACATGGAGGCTGAAGAATTGAATCTATCAGAATCAGATACAGAATAGATAGATAAATATGATAAGAATATGAAAAAAAAGAAGTAACAAGTTTACTTTTTTTTTAAACAAAAAAAAACAATCAACAATCCAAGAATTGAAAATAAACAACTTTAATATAAAAGTTGGTATATGTAAAATTAAATAAATAAAAAAACCAAGAAACTTTTAAATCATTCAGTTTGATTGAACATTAAAACAATTTCAATGAAATTAATTTTTTATTAGAACTTCTGTAAAATTACTAAAAAAGTAGATTCTTTAATAGGTTCTATACTTCAATTGGAAATTGATTTATATTTATTTATAACCATCTAAAAATATCAATAATTTAATCATCATACCTTTTTAGGAATAATTACTTTAGTTTGTTTATAAATAAATTTATTTTTTTTGCATACTACCTTTTTAAATCATTAAACCAATTTTTATTATCACAATGTAATAATTTAATTTACAATTGATAATTTAATTTTAAAATTAAATATATTAGTCTTGTGTATGAACATGTTTGTGTTATTTTCATTCTATCTTTCTTTCCAATTAAAAAAGGAATTTTGTTACCCTATCCTTAAGTTAAATCGTTGATCATTGATACATACAGTGTTCACACTAACTCAATTTTTCACCACCTTCAAAAATACTTTTTTGGTTGTTTGTTTTTTTTTTTCAAACACCCGCCAACACATCATTATCAATTTACCCTCAAGTGTGTATTTGTGCGAGAGTGAGTGAGTGTGTGTAAACAATCCAATGCAACAAAAACAAACAATAACAATAGGAACAGTAATAGCTATTAAATAATTACTCTTGTTACGATATAGGCACTGTAGTTGAACTGTCACTTCCACTTTGTGATAAATGGTCATATGGGTGAATTTAGTGTTTGATTTTAATTTATATTTATTATATATTTCCTATATACTTTTATACCAATATCAGTCACTGTGATCACTAACTCACCATTTTTGATGATTAAAATAAATTGAACATTCATTTCAATTCATATTTATCAAATTTGTTATAAAATAGAAATAGAATGGAAATATAGATTATAAATTACAAAGTAACTTTATATTATCCAATTACTATAGTAAATCATCAATCATCAGAAATTAATCAAACAACAAAATAAAAATAAAATAAAAAAGTAAGTTGCTGTCAATCAAACACCATTCAATCAAAATATTATTATAATATATCTCTTACAAATGTTGTTTGGTTACCAATGAACAAATATTTGTAAGCGAGTCATTGACCAACTATCATATTAAGTTTTCGATCTGTGTAATAACTTTGATGTACAGTAATATTGTTGTAGAATGACAATCATGAACTCATGTGATATTCATTTGTCATTGTTACTTCTCTCACCTCTATGATTAACAAAATTATAAACAACAATGATTGTTAGCAATATTAATATTAAAATGTTATCTTGATTTTGTTGCTTGTTTGTTTGTCTGTTTGTTTGTTTGAAATAAATCTAATCAAAATCAAAAGGTCAAACATCCACGAAATTCAATCAACCATAAAAAAAACATAACATCCAACTAACCAACCAAACAAACAAACAACCAACCAATTTATGCAATCTAAACAATCTGATAATCAACCTTTTTTTTTTTTTTTTTTTTTTTTTTTTTGATTTTATGATTGATCAATCATAGTCAGTGTAATCAATCAATCCACAACCAACAAACAAAAATCAAACAACAATACTATACTCTACACTTCCAAAATCTGGCCAAACCACAGGTAATAACAATTGCAATCTGTGGCAGTAAGTTCACAACACCTCACCTTTCAAACACTTGAAAAAATTAAAAAAAAAAATAAACTAAATTAGATCTTACTGAATGATCTCTATTCTCTATTTGCCATCCACAATTCCCACAAAACTTCAAAAAATAAATAAAATAAAAAGACTTTCTATCGATAGATAAAATAATCTGTTCAACAACAACTCTTCTCAAAACTAGTTTATCAAATAATTCTATCTACTATTTACTTAATTTAATCTCTAAAAAAAATATTTTTTAATAAAATAAATATCAAAATATCAAAATCTCAAAGTTAATCAAGATTTAATTTAAGAATTCTTTTAAAGTAAAGTAAATCAATGAATTGATTGATACTATCAAACAATAAATAATAAGTTCACACAAAATTAGTATCTTAAAAATAAAAAAACACAACAACCAAACGCAAAAAAAAAGAAATAAAAAGATATTTTTTATCTTATAGTTTTAGAGATTTTAATATCTTTTTTTTAATTTTATTTTTTTTTTTTTCAATTTTTTTTGTGTTGGAGTGGCAGTGTGTATTGTGTTTTTGTGTTATGTGGTTGTGTCTGTTGGTTACTTAGTTGATATGATTCATATCAACATAGAATAAATAAAATAATCACACACTTACACACACATATCTCATTCATTCAAATATTAATAATTAAATAAATAAACAATCAAAAAACCTCTACAATCATACACACCCTTTTAAAACAAAAAATAAATAAGAATAATAGCAAAAAAAAAAAGCAAAAGCAAAAGCAAAGGAAATCAAAAATAAAAAAAATTCATTTTTTCAAATCAAAGTGTTGTTGGAGTCACACATCTCTTCTCTTTTCCCCTTTTTTCTTTATTTTTTTTATTTTTTTTTATTTTTTTTTTAAATTGTTTTTTGTGTTTGTTTGTTGGTTTTGTTTATTTTTATTATTTTAAATATATTATATTATATTATATAATGTTTTTGTTGTTGTTAAATGAATGACAACAATAATAGCATAACAATAGCAAATATACATCATCAGCAGTAGCACTAGCACTAGCAATAACAACAACAGCAATTACAATAATATTATAATATAACCAACCAAAAGTAACAAATTAATTAACTAACATTCATAATATTTTTAAAAAACAATAACATTTAATTAACTTGACAGTAACACAAACACTCACATTGATAATCATTACAAAGTTAATTTTGATAAAAATACACGGAACAATAATTGATAAGTAAGAATTGTAATGTTGATATATGTTTTATTTGAATATCAAAATTATTTATATATTTTTATATTGGCATTAGCCAGTGCACTTTGTTGTTTTTTTTTTAATATCAATCAATTATCGTGCTAGCAAAGAAATATTAATGATTTAATTTTTAAATTAAAAAAAATAGAATTAGATTAGGTTAAATTGTTTGCAAAATTAAGATTTTGCTAAAAAAAGATAAAGATAAGATTATTAGAGTTCAGGTTGTCAGTTTTCATCTTTAGCTATTATATTTAGCTTATAGAAGTTAACTATTAGGTTTTTGCTACTGGTGAAGTTAGTTATAGTTATAGATCTTACCTACCTACCTACCTACAATAATATATATTACATAGATAGCTTATATTATATACAGTTGAAAAATGAATGTAATAGAGGAAGAAGATGAAGATTATTATAAATCCATTATGATATCTAAATCAACAAAAGATGAAAATAGTAGTAGTAGTGGTAGTAAAGATAAAATAACAAAAACAGATATATTGTCGTTGCTAGATTCAATAGAGACTTTTTCAACATCAGCACCGACACCACCAACAAATACTACTTCTATTGTATCGACGTCGACGACACTTAACAATAGTAACAATAGTAACAATAGCAACAACAACAACAACAACAACAATATAAATAGTAGTAACAAAAAGTTGATAGTTCCAACACTACCATTGAGTACTCTAAATAAGACCGATCATATCATGTTAAGCAATAGCAATAGTAACAATAGCAATAGCAGTCCAAATAACAATAACAATAACAATAGTACTGGCAACAGTAAAAGCAATCCTACATCGACAACATCAACAATAACTGCATCATCTTCAACAACATCACCAGCTATCAATGGTTTAACATCGACTACTATTTTATCGTCTTTGTCTTTGGATCTATCTCAATTGGAAACACTGAAAAACAACAGTAATGTCAATGGAAATATAAGTGGTCATAATAGTAATAATAATAGTAATAGAAGTAATCATAGTAGTAGTAGTATATCACCTAAAACAATAAGCAACAATCATCACCATCATAATAGTAGTACTGCTTCTCCTAAACAAAGTAGTAGTAATAACTCACCTAAATCATCGAGAACCTCACCTAAATCACTGTCACCTAAATCACCAAAATCATCGTCGTCGTCGTCGTCAAATAATAATTTATCATCATCAACTTCATCTTTATCGTCAATGTCATCTATATCATCTTTATCATCGACTTCCACCTCTTCAAATAATCTTGCGGCATCATCAACATCAACTACGACAACGACAACCTCATTAAAGTCCTCTAAAAAACCAAATCTCTATGTAAACACAAGCTTTACGAATCACGCTGTCGTAGAGCCATATCCACTGTCGTCAAGCGAATTGTCACCACCAGCATCATCATCATCATCATCGTCCGGTGGCGGAAGTAGTCGTGGCAGCTCAAAAGGAGCCATCAGTAACGCCAACAAGTCGAAAACACTCAATGAGAAGACACTACGCGAGCTCAAGCGAACCAGCAGTAGGTCCAACATATTCAAACCGGAAACACCTACCTCTGACCGAAGTGGCAGTGTCAACTACGGAAAGATCTCGCCACAGATCTCTCCGAATGGCGCGTCTAAATCGCCGTCTCTTGCCGGCGGTATTGGCGGCGGTGGACTCATCAACCACAAGAAATACGACGACATGGTTGCACGCGAACCCACCTTCTTCTTGAGCACACCGTCGATCGGCTCCAATCGTCTGAGAAAGTCGGATCCGACCATCATGAAATCCGACCTCGGACTGCCCAACCTCAATTTCGAGAATCCCTACACTTCGCCGGCATCGAGTCGCCACAATCGAAGCGCGTCGATCAAGCAGTCGTCGGGTCACGCCACCATCTCCAATCCACAGCAGCTGACGACGCAACTGCGAAGCAGCGAGAAGCTCTCCAAGTTTTTCGGTACTACGACGGTGCCCATCGAGAACCAGCCCGCCATCAAGGTGCCAAAGTTCCTCGATCCATCGCAACAGTTTGATGATAGCGACGATGACTCGTCGGACGACGATAGCGAAGGCAATCAAAGTCACCAGTCTTTCAATGACGATGCCACTACATCCGAGTCGGCTGGCGGCGGTGACTTTACACCACGATCGATCTCACCCACGACATCTCCAACTTCCACACCCTCATCACCGTTGTTTGCACCACAATTCCCTGGCACTATTTGGGTATCTGGCGAGTCTCCAGCACGACGTCTACGCGTCAGATCGGCAACCACATCGAGCTATCAAGACTCACTGTCATCACGACTGTTCTCACCACAAATTACACCTAGCATACTGGCGCCACCACTTACCGACAGATCCAGTCGCGATTCATCACTCTCTGATAGAGAGAACAGCAGATCTTCAAAGGACAGTTCATTCGGATCCTCTTACAACACTGGAAGTGTGACACACAGAGACTACAGTGGCGGCAGCAGCAGCGGCAACAACAGCAACTCGTACAACAATGGAAAGAACAAAAAGCTGCTGATTGCAAAGTTTCTCTCGAAATCAAACAGCTCCACCAACGTACCGAGTATCACCAGTTTGAACAGCGCCACTTCTACTCCTCTCAATAGTAGTAGTCCCGGTGGAATTGGTGGTGCCAGCGGTGGTGTCCACAAGTACAGCTTCGAATCCAACTATATCCTGCCGGCGTCTAGCAAGGAGTCACTGACAGCACTCATGAAAGACAAGATTGGATTCGAACTGTTTAAAGCGTTCTGTGAGCGTGAGCACTCACTCTCGAATCTCTTGTTCCTAGAGGAAGTGGAACTGTTCCAACTGGGTACATCAAACGATTCATCTGTCATAATAGATGAATCCAATAAAATCATTTCTCGATTCTTACAGCCAGCTGCTGATGAGGAATTAGCAGTCGATTCTGGTGAAGTAAATCAGATTCAAACATGTATAAAGCAATATCAACAACAACATCATAATAATAATAATCATAATAGTCAAACCAATAGTAATACTACTAATGGTAATACAACACCCGATGGAACAACAACAACAACAACCTTTGTTCCACCCTCACCAACATCACCTTTGGGTTTTATCTGTTTGGAGCAACCTTTGCAACGACAGTTAGACCGGTCTCTCTTTGATAAAGTATATCGTATGATCAAAGAAGACGTTTCTTTGGATTCGTTCAAGCGATTCTGTCATATGTACCAACCAACCATCTCCAATTCCGGACCTGTCCAAACACCAACGATGACATCGGCAGCACTCGCCGTACCCATTTCAAGTAATAGCTGGAGTGGTATCGGTACATCGCCAATGCATTCGCCATCCTCTACACCATCACCTTCATCATCACCACCTTTTGACATATCATCATCATCACATCCAATACCCTTTCCAAACAACTCACCGGCATCACCACGTCTCCCACTATCACCGCAAACTCCACACTCGCCACACTCTAGTGTTTCACCATTTGGTGACCACAGCAGTGCCAGTCGTCCAAATGCACTTCCAAATCTCTCTGGTCATCACAACAGTAGTAGCAGTAGTAGTAGTGGCAGCAGCAGTAAAGATCAACCGACAAATCATCACCATAGTCACCTTACTGGAGTGACATCACCTCCTCTCTCACCAAGAATTTCAATGATTAAACCACATTTCCTCAAGGAAACAAGAGCATCTTCACTATCGTCAGCATCTTCTCCTCTGTCGATGTCAACCGGTGTCGATGAAAGCATAGTCCTCAAACAACAATTCACCGCCACAAACAATAACAACAACAATAACATCAACAACAATAATAACAATAACAATAACAACAACCACAACCACAATAATGAAGATGTTCCATATGGTTTGGCATTTGGTTACAAACGTGGTAGCTGCAAAGCACCTTGTGATTGTGTAGCTTATAAACCCGAGGGTGATAATGGTGGTGCCTGTCTTAACTGTGGACACTATCCAGCGATGCACGCAAATCTTGGCATGATCGGCAACACGACACCACCTGCTAACGGAATTTCCAACGATATCTTTGGCAGTGGAGCAGCAACTGCCGACAGTGATTCCAAGAACAAAACAGACTCTATTGTCTATCTCCAAAAGATCATTTCCGGAAATCTATCGAATTCAACATCAATCGAAAACAGCCCAACAGGAGATTCACTACTACAGAACAACAGCAATAACAATAATAATAATAATAATAATAACAACAACCATTCTTTTGATATCGATATGGAATCGCTGAATAACAATAACAACAATACCGGTGGTGATCAAGAAAACCTCAACAACCATCATGAGAATAGCAACAATGAACCAGTTGAGCAACCAGAGTCACCCGTTTCCAATCCGCAAACAGCCAACTATCTACAGGACTTGGATCGTAAATTCCTTACCAATTTCAATAATTGGACGATCGATGGTGATGAGATTGTATTCTCCAATAAACTCGGTGAAGGTACATCGGCAAAGGTGTACATGGCCACCTGGAGAAATCAAGAGGTTGCCGTCAAGATCTTGAAGAGCACACCAGAGCATCAAAAACTCTTGGACTTTTTGAAGGAGCTCGAGATTATGAGTTCTCTGCGTTCGCCACACGTTGTCTATTTCTACGGTATGGTCGTCCAACCAAAGATCTGTATGATCATGGAGTACTGTTCCAATCAGACCCTCTACAATCTGATGCACACCACCATGGATTTCACGTGGGACTGGGTATTGAAGTTTGCCATTGAGATGGTCAAAGGTGTCAAGTGTCTGCACAACTGGAAGCCTGTCATTGTCCACCGTGACTTGAAGTCACTGAACTTACTGGTATCCGATAACTGGACCATCAAAGTAGCCGACTTTGGTCTGAGTAGATTCGCCACTGGCAAATCACAGTCTTCATTAAGAAAAACACGTGGTACCTACGCTTATTGTGCACCGGAAGTATATATGGGAGAGTTCACTGAAAAAGGAGATATCTTTTCAATTGCAATTATTTTGGTATGTATTAATATAATTACATTATTTTTAATATCCCATTAACTAATTAAATTATTAACAAAATCAATTGAACAGTGGGAATTGGTTGTTAGATGTATGAAAGCAAAATATGAGAGACCTTACTCTGAATTTAAACATATTCAATATGATTTCCAAATTCTAATTCAAACGTCCAAACATAATTTAAGACCTACCATTCCAGCAAACTGTCCAGAAGGCATTGTAAATTTAATCAATGCATGTTGGGATTTCGATCCAGAGGTAATTATTATTGAACAAACTTTTATTCTTTAATTTATTTATATACTAATTAATTAATATTTATATCTCAATCAAATTAGAAACGTCCTGCTTGTCCAGAGATATTGGAAACACTTCAGAATCTAGAACGTACTTATCAGGACAACAAAAAGAAATGGGATAAAGTTAGAGAGAAATTAAAGAGAACCTAAAGCTATATAACTTTTTATCAATTTTCGAGATAGTAGATCATCGTGATTATCAATGTTTTAGGCTAATCATCATGCTAAAACAATGTACATTGAGAGTAAATAAATTATATATATTTATATTTGTAATATGACTCAGATTTAATTATAAGCATCATTTGTTTTCAAATATTTATTTTGCGATCGCACACAATCAATTTAATCTTTTGGCTTGTTGTTTCATTAATATTGAAGTCATGGCAAACCCTTAATTCTTTGGGAACAATTGTTCACTCTTTGGAATTTATTTTATTTCTTTGAACTGAACAAAGTGAAAATCAGTCCTTGGTTCCAAAAAAAATCTTCTGATATTTTGATAAAAAATTTTTTTATTCTATTACTTTGAAATCATCATTTGGGCATTTAAGTCAAAGTTTTGACAAAGAACAAGTGTAGATTAAATTTAGTTTCTATTACAAAACAAAATGAACAAAGAAACATTATTGTTGGTTCTAAATAATGTTGTTTTACAAAAAAATATATTCAGACAAGTTAAAGAGATAAATCAATTTGAAACAGGTTCTAGTTTCAGTTGGAGAATCTTTCGAAGAAATCCACGTTTATTGACCAATTACAAGTATTTCGATCTTCTCAAGAGATTCTTTGAGGAGAGTAAGGATTTCCTTGTTCGTAATTCAGATGGCGAGACACTTCTTCAATATGATTCGATATTCATTAATCTTGCCAAGATTGGAAGATTGGAAGATCTAAAGTACCTATGGGAGTTGTTCGACATCAACAATAGAAGAATAGCTAAGCATATCAGTAAGCACTATGAGTTTTCATCGTTTCAAGAGATCTTTAGAAATGCAGTTGAAAACAATCATATGGAAGTGGTAAAGTTTCTGATGGATCCAGCTATCAAGTTCCCATGGAGTTATGAATCTGCACTAGTCATATCACCGAAATCCAAGAGTTTAGAGATGGTTCAATATCTATCCAAGTTGTTCGACCAGCACAACCGAGATTTCAAAAAAGTACCAAAGGTATATGATGAAGCAGCCAAAGTCGGAAGAGTGGACATCATTGAATGGTTAATTCAAAACAGACCTCAAGACAGAGAAGGAAACAATATGTACGATGGTGCAATCAGCAACAAGCATATACATGTCGTTCAATTTCTATTGGGTGCTGGATCAAAGTACGACAACACTTCTGGAAATCTTCATGGTTTTGCAGCAAATGTTGGACAATTTGAAATGCTCAAGCTCTTTCACCAGAAAGTAAGTTACAACAGATATTTCTCTGTCCAAGTTGCAATTACAGGTGCAGTTAGATGTAACAATCTTGAAATGTTGATCTGGATTTCAAAGAATTACGATTCAAAACAGCTTGTTTACCCCTTAAATTTAATTGAAATAGCGGTGGAAAACAATAATTTAGAAATGGTCAAATGGTTAACAGAGAATACCCCAGCAATGACAACTCACAAAGCAATGGATTCAGCTGCATCCAATAACAATCTTGAAATCGTTAAATACCTACACACCAATCGAAGTGAAGGATGTTCAAGTGTTGCATTCGATTTCTCAATTGGTAAAGGTAATATGGATGTTTTCAATTGGCTTGTCGAGAATCGTACTGAACAACCACAATGCACTTTCAGAGCGATGGATGTGGCAGCAGAGGGTGGCCATTTGGAACAAATTAAATGGTTACATGAGAATCGCAGTGAAGGATGTTCAACCGATGCTATGGACAGGTCCGCTCGATTCGGTCATTTGGCGGTCTTGAAATGGCTGCATGAGAATCGCACTGAAGGATGTTCATCTAGGATCCTTGATTATACTGATGATTTCGGAATAGCCAAATGGATCTGTGAGAATAGAACAGAGGAATTCTCTGCCTCGGACCTCATCCTTAACTTGCTTGGCCAACCTGGAAGTTTTGAAGCAATCAAATGGATCTGTGAAAACACCGATGTCGAGTGTCCGGAAAACACAGTTGAACAAGCACTGGCCAACGATGACATGGAGGTTGCTGAATGGATGATTATCAACAGAAGTGAATTCAATAATGGTGAATGGAGAATCGATAGTGACAGTATTCTTAAGTTGATTGAATACGATCAATGCAAAGCAATTGCTTATATTCTGGAGCATAACCTTCATGAGGCCACCAAAGATGAACTCAACGAATTCCAATCAAAGGTTAAAGATGAATATCCAGAATCTCTCGAATTACTCAAGATATTCAGCGATCATAAGACAAAAAGTGTGTTATCTAAAATAAAATCCATTTTCTTCTGATCAGGCAGAACATTCAATAAAATTAAAATATGTTAAATTTTTTTGAGTCACAAATGTGGGTGCAAATTCTGTGCTTTTCTTTTTTAAAAAAAATTTAACTAAGTGAAAAACTTTTTTTTAATAATTTTTTATTATTTTTTTTATTTATTGTTTGTTAAAATATGAAATATGAATATTCCAATAATCAACATCTATCTGAAAATGAGATCAAAACGGACATTTTCAGATAGATTCCAATGCACTCGTACAATTCGTTTCACAAGATTTTGTAACTGGCACCAAGTATGTTTCAAAATCTTTTTTGATAGAGAATGAGAATTACAAGTTTCTACGAAAACCTTATCAAGATGATTATCTGGCATTTCTCGATGAACATGGTTTGGGAAAGAACAGACTTGGAAGTTTGAATAGAGACTGGTTCAACCAGATTGTCAACCAAATAGTACGAGACCACATGAAGAATCAATGCAGTTTGAATCTGTTGAATATCGAAAGGATAAGTCAACACATTATGGAGCTGAATGGTTTTGGTCAGATCGTATCATTCATCAAGAAGTACCTTCTTGCAAAGCCAGAGGAAACAGTAGACTCGGCCTTGAGAGGGCCTTCTATTTTAATATCGTTACGACAACATGACGCCACAATCACCAAAGAATCGTTCGACCGATACAAATGTTTCAAAAAAGATTTCTTGGTGCCAGTTACAAAATCTTGTGAAACGAATTGTACGAGTGCATTGGAATTCATTCAATCTATTCTGAATCATCCAACTATTATTTGTATGTATACTTTAATTTTATTTAAAATTTTATTTATTATTTTTATTTATTTTCTAATTTATAAAATTTTATAGATCACTTTAGTGCAATATCAAAGAGTACTTCAAAAGATGGAGGAGAAGAAAGAGAAAAAATGGAAAAGGCCACTCTGTCGCTGCTGTGGTCACTTCTACCACTGGGATAAGAACGCTGCTAGAAACATCTTACTTCTTGGGTTACTCAGTGTTCGATATCAATTCCGACCAGTCGTGTTCCAATACATCAAATTTATTAACAAATAGAATTTTACATTCTAACAACATGTAAGTTAATTATTTTTTTTTTAGAAAAAAATTTTGACCTAACCTTCAATTAAATTTTTTTTTCACATTTTTTGCAATAATTTCTCTCTCATTCAAAAAATAGTTTCATGTGCAAAGGGTTTAAAAAAGTTTTTTTTATCTTTTTAAAGATATACCCAATCTGATAGTTTCAATCATATTGATACGTGTAATCAATAATCTGGATAATGACACCACGATGAATGATCAAAAGGTGACCTGATAGCTATTTTAACGATCAACATCTCCGTTACAGCTATAAGACACAAGCTCATGTATATTTGATACCGTGAATATAGATAATGTTGACACCAATCATTAGCTATGTCCTTGGAGGAGTTGCAACGAGTTGCTATATCGATTAAGGTACAACATCGGCGAGCTTGTTGCTTAATAGTTAGACAGCTACACTAATTCTGCAATAAAGAGAGTACGTTGAAATCATTGTCACTACCACCATACAGTTCAATATTCTTTTTATTTATATTCTAATATATTTAGAAAATATCTAAAATAAATATTTTGAAATGTTATATTATAATAGAATATTGTAACAGATTTAAAGTACAATCAATAGGTAATATTAATTCAACTTAATATTACCAGTCTGAGATCTTTGAATAAAATATCCAAATCATGATTAAATTCGATTTTTTTTTATTTTATTTTTCTAAAAACAGCTCATTGTAATGTTGTCATTTTTTATTAATAGATTAAACACTACATATATATTTCTATATCTGATTCAGTATTATATTATTTGATTATTTAATATTGTATTATTATTATTTAATTATTTATATATTTGTATAAAATATTAAAAGTAGTTTTTTAAGTTAGAAAAGATAAGATAAATAATACAATTGTATAGATAGAATATAGTTAGTTATTTAGTTAGTTAGATAGTAAGTTAGATAGTTAGATAAAGATGGTATCTACTTTAGCTGCTTCACTTTTGAGTAAATACTTGGGTGACTATCTAGATGACCTTACCAAAGATAATATCAAATTGAGTTTACTCTCTGGTGAGGCTGTCATCAATGATGTCAAGATAAAGCAAACCGCTCTACAGACACTATTCCCAAGTATCGTTGTTAAACAAGCTGTCGTTAGAAAACTATCATTATATATACCTTGGAATCAAGTAAGTGTTAGTTAACCTACAACAACAATATATAATTAATTAATTATTAACATATTCATAATAATTACAAATCTAGATTAAGAATAAACCAGCAATCATTAAATTAGAAGGTATCTATGTATTGGCGGAACCATGCAATGACTTTGATGAGCAGTACTATCGAAAGAAATTTCAAGATGAAAAACAACAAAAGTTAGCACTTCAAGAGTTAATTAGATCGAAATTCTCTGAATCAAATAATAATAATAATAATAATAGATCAACTAGTAGTAATAATAATGTAGATAATAATAATAATAATAATAATAGTAATGATAATAATAGTAATTCATTTAGTAGTAGATTGTTAGCAACTGTTGTAGATAATCTACAATTGTATATAGATTCTGTACATATTAGATTTGAAGATAAATTAGAGAATGTAAGTTAATACTAAAGTGATTACATAATACAATGGTGTAAAACTAATAGTTATTTACTTTTGGTAGAGTTCATTTGCAGTCGGTATCACTATGAATAGGTTGGTGGCGGAATCGACAGATGACCAGTGGCGACCGTCGTTCTTGAAGAACGAATCATCGATCATTCACAAAATCATCAATCTAAGTGATCTTTCCATCTATTGGAATTCAAATTCACCAAAGTTAAACTATAGTAATCTCAATGATTTAACAGAGCAGTTAAAGTCAATGATTGATCAACCTAATAACCAACAACAACAAACTAAACAGCAACAACAATATATATTACCAAAGTTAAGTTCATGTTTAAAAGCAATAGTTAATAAGAATTGGACATTAGGAAACAACAATAATAGTAGTAGTAGTAAAAGTGGAGATAAACAACCTAGAGTAACGGTTACTCTCGATTTAGATGATACAAAGATAAGTTTATCGGATCAACAGTATCTGGATATAACAAATATTGTGGAGAGTTTCTCGATGTTTAAGAGATCGATTGAGTTTAGATCGCAACGTCCGACGTCAACGGTGAAAGATCAACCGAGAAAGTGGTGGACATTCGCAATCAACTCGGTGGTTGGCAAGATACACGAGAGACGCTATCGCAACAGTTGGAACTACCTCTTTGAATTCCTGCGTGACAAGAAAGAGTATATCAAGTTGTTCAAACGATTGAAACGCAATACAATACACCCAACAGAGAAGACGAGAATCGACGCACTCGAATGGAAGCTATCCTACGAACACATTCAACTGTTTAGAAATCTATCATATAAAATGATGGAGAAAGAAGATAGAAACAAACTGAAACAACAACAACAACAGCAACAACAACAATCGACAACAGCAGTTCAACAGACTTCACAACAAACAGTAGCTGCTGCTTCAACAACAAGTGGTGGAGGTGGAGGTGGTTGGTTTTCATCTTGGTGGACAGGTGGAAACAGTAGCTCAACGTCTACGTCGACGAAAGTAGACAAGAAAGTTACAACCATATTACAAGAAGATATAAAACTGTCAAAGGAAGATTGGAATGAGATCTACGATACGATTGGTTATAATGAGATGGATTCAAAAGGTGTTGGTTCTCCTACTTCTAACTCCAACTCTCCTGGAAAGAATGGTAGTGGCAGTGGTAACACAATCAACAACAATGATATTATAAAGTTGGATGTCAATCTTTTGAAACTATCGCTAAGTCTTGAGAGAAAGAAACAATCTTTGGCGATATTGGAGTTTGACAATCTGAATCTATCGTTACGATCAAAAGAGGATTCATTTTCATTCGATATTAAATTGGATAGTTTAGAGTTGATCGATCAATCCACACCAAACACCAAATATCCAAAATTAATTTCACCATGTCTAAACAAATCGAATAGCAGCAACAACAATAACAACGGTAACAATACTTTAACAACAACTTGTAAATCAATATTCAATCTCCAATTCCAAAGTTTTCCAAATGGTAGTCCTTTGGATTATAGCGTTGCAATACAGTCAAAGTCACTTAGCATCGTTTATTACCCACTGTTTGTTGGTACCATTATTGATTTCTTCCGGTTCAACAGTTCCTCACAGGACACCTTCGAGGACTTGGGGAAGATGGCACAATCGACCATTCAGAATATAAAGACACAGACACATCATCGCTTGATGTTGGCCATATCCGATCGCACTAAGATATCGCTAGCCATGAACTTGGAGGCACCCATCATCTTGGTACCGGAAGTCATCACAGAGAACAGTGACTCCAATACTTTAATATTGGATTTAGGTTACCTATCTATTAATCATCAACCAAAGATAAGAAATAACATCAACAACAACAACAACAACAACAACAACAACAACAACAACAACAACAAAGATGATACACAACAATCTTGGGATGAAGATTTCTATGATGAATATAATTTCCAATTATCCAATATACAAGTTCTACTGGCGTATCAGAATCAAGATTGGCGAGATCTCGAACAGGTTGCCAAATATCGTATGAATATCGCTAATCCTTTCAATGCCAATTTCCAATTGAAACTAAGTCGAATCCCCAATCATATATTGACATCTATCAAACTCAATGCAAACATTGATCTCTTGGAATTCTATTTGTCATCGCAGCAATACGTCAATTTCATTGGTGTCATCCAAATGATTACATCGGTTTCTCAGTCTGACTTGGACGGTAGTAGATCTTCAAAGTCAAAGTCGCCAGTAAAACCAACAAAGATTAAGGAAGGTGGTGCACAAGTCGATGATATGGATATGTTAATGTCGACACTAGTAGATAAACAAAAGATAAGCGAATACGTACTCCTAGAGACAAGATTCACTCTGAACCGATTCAATTTGCATCTGCGTATTGAGCATGATCAGCATGTTCAGAATCTGGCGTTGGTCTATCTGAGAATGATAGACGGAGTTTTCAATCAGCGGTATTTCGATACCAATATATCGCTGGGAATCAAGGGTTTGTGGGTGGAAGACTGCTTCCAGAAGCAACCGGGAAATGGCAACTATCTTGCTTTTACAAATTCGCGTGTCACTCTCGATACCATTGAGAGCGCCAATCCTAGCACGTTGAATCTGCTCAAGTTCAACATGCGACAGGTCTCACAGGATTCTCCAATCTATCAAAAGATCGACAAGGAGTTGGATATCGACTTTTCACAGCTCAATCTGATATTGAACAAAAAGACGGTTGCCGGTGTTGTCGAGTTTTCCAATAGTGTACAAACTCTGACGCTCCAACGACTACAACGACGACACGTTGCCGAGAGCATTGCAAACAATCGTGTTGTCGTCGACAATGTCAAGCTCATTCAGCCAAGCGATTCCATGTTGCCTTCGTGGAACGACGCCAAGTTTAGTACCATCCAACAGGTTGTCTATACGCGTGTCAATATTAAAGTTACATTTGTCAGAGTGTTACTGACACAAGAGACGAATTCACCGTTGATGAAAGCATCGATCAACGACTTTGTCTGTACAAACGATATCTATATCAATCGATCGACACTCGTTGGAAAGCTGGGTTCGCTAAAGATCCACGATATGACACTGGAGGGTAGAAACTACCGTACCATCTTCACAACAAAAGAGCGAAGAGTCAATACTGCCGCTGGAGTTGGAAGCGGCAGTAGAGGTATAGAGTCGGAAGATAACTTTTTCATTCCTGACGGTACCAGCATGTCGCCTGCTTCGCTGCTGCAAACTTCGACAACATCGCTGTTGGACATTGACAATACTTCGTTGGTTCACTTCCAATTCGAATCACGTGATAACATTCACTTTTTAAAGTGTAACCTCAGTAGTATTCGATTCGTTTTTCTCAATAGATTCATCGATGAAATCAAGAATTTCTTTGACAGTGTCAATACGATGCGTGACTATTTGAAACGTTCGATTAGTTCAGCGGCAACTGTCATCTCACAAGCCAGAGCTACCTTCCTCTATGAAGTGGAGATTGATAATCCATACGTTATCATTCCAATATCATCGCTTTCACATCAAGTTTTCATTGTAGATCTCGGTCGTATTGTCATTTCCAATCGATTTGAAAATAGTACTACAAGTAGTAATACATCGTCATCACCAACAAGCCAGCAAGATAATGAATCATCTGGAGTTGATATAATTCCAGAAGATGATTCTATTCCTGTAACATTGGCAGATACAGATCCAATTCCTGAACAACACCAGCAACAACAAGTCAAATATATTATTGAAAATATTTATATTGAAGCCAATAATATTAAACTATTGTCAGGATTGGATTTGAGAATGCTTAAGAGTGCAACTGGTCGTACTTTTGGAACAATGGTGAAGGATGTCAACTTGAACATTCATTTGTCGACGCCAATGTCGTTGCGAACTGAGAAAATCCAGTTGCCACCTTGGGAGCGAACATTCGATATCTCACAGTTCCAATTGGATATAAGTGAATACGAATCAAAGTGTCTCATTCAACTCTTGGATGGCAATCTTTCAGAAGTATCTTCAAGTATAAGAGGTGATCCTATAATGGAGGATGAAGCAGCAGATCCATCAACTTCAACTATTTCAACTATCCAAAATAATAATAATAATAACGAACAACAACCTAAAGAAGTAGAGGAAGAAGAAGAAGAAGAAGAAGAAGATTTGAAATACTATCAAAAAGGAATAACAAATTATAAACTCGGTAAATTCTCTATTGCTTTTATGAGAAGAGATGGATCTGCAGATAACGATAGAATGGTACAGTTCATTGTCAACGATATGAAGATGCAGATAATCAATGAATTAATGGAGACATCGCTCCATGTGGAAATAACCAGAATCATATTGAATGATTTCAATAAGAATACACATCCTCATTTCAAGATGTTGCTCTACCCGAATCGTTTGGATCAAAGCAGTAGTGGTGTGGAACAAAACGATATGGTCGGCCAACCGCAATTGGTGATCGTTGGAACAATCAAACCACCACCTATTCAACAGTCTGCATTCCAAGTGTCACTTGGCAGTATGAATATGGTGTTTGTTCCACACTCTTGGCTCGAGGTGCAGAGTTCTATCACCAGGCTAATTAGCATGGCCACCGAAGCATGGAGTCGTTACACCACAAAGATCCTTGGTGCTCCGCCCGTTGGCATCGACGAGATCATAGAATCTGGATCGTCGCTACTCTCCCTCCACATTGGTGATGCCACCATTTCCATTCCCACGAATGCAAGTGCCAGTGGCGAAGGTGAGAAAGAGTACGCTCTCATCATTCGAGCATCTATAGACCTACAAAACACGACCAAAGGTGCACTCGGTGTGGAAACAGTCACATTGATCGAAGCTGAAAACATTCAAATCTATAGAACCAGATTGAATAATAATAATCAACAATATAACAACAGGTTCAATGATAATAACAACAACAACAACAATAGTAATAAGTTTAATCAAGTCAAGATAATTGAACCATTTAAATTCCATTTCCAAACGACTCAAACACAAAAGAATCAAGAGAGTAATATTGTGGTCGATCAAATCAATGTTAATTTCTCGTATCTCGATTTCAAACAGATGATGTTAATATCCAATAATATCGTTCAATCCAAGTTATCGTTGTCGAATAATAATCAGTTATCTAATAGTGGTGGTAGTGGCAGTGTTTCGAGTTTGGATCAATCGGAAGTGGCAGACGAAGCTATCTCTTATATTGGCGATTCAAACACATCGAACAACAACAACAATATTGATAGGCAGATAATGATTTCCTTCCGTTTGGATAAAGGTATTTTCGCTTTACACAACGATGTTTCCGAAGATGAGAGTATCCCACTCATTCAGATCAGTGTATCAAAGATGAAGAACAACTGTTTTATGTGGACATTGAAAGATCAGATTGCATTCTCTGTTGAGTCTAACACGGAAGCATCTTACTTCAATGGAAACAGCGGAGTCTGGGAACCACTTGTTGAGACTTGGGGATTCATGATCAATGCCAACAACTCTCAACAGGGTGGTTGGATATTTGATTTCATATCGAAACTACCACTTCAAATCAATGTTACCAAGGGATTTGTTGATACTTCTTTATCAACTTATCAACTATTAGTAGATGATTATTATAACATAAACAAACCTACAACAACAGCTACAACAACATCAACAACATCATCCTCAACAACCAACAACAATAACAATAGAAAAAGAACAAATAGTTTAACTGGTTCATCGTCTTCACTACCAAATTCTCCTACTTCAACTTTATCACCAAACTTGTCAATATCTCCAACCTTATCTTCAACTTCGATATCTGCCGGGTCACCATCAAATTCAATCTCAACTCTAACAAATGCTTCGAATGTTATTAAAGATACTAAAGTATATCCATATTATATTAAGAATTCAACTGGACAAACCGTTTGGTATTGGTTCGATAAAGAGGATCTACAAGAGATTCCAATTGGCAAAGAGATACCGTTGTCGCCACCCGACTACAAGGCAATCTCCAAAGGTTTGGACGTTGAGAGAAAGATATCGTTCCAGTTGTACGGTAATTTCAAACCGATAAACAATCTACCGATGGATACTATCGGAACGTATATCATTCATCCAATGCCCGAGTACAAGAGTGTCAAGCTACTCTACGACATTTCATACCGCAAGGGTAGCAAGGTGCTTTCGCTCCACTCGAATCTCATCATCAAGAATCAGATGAATAACCCGATGATGGTGAATATCAGTGTTGGTTCCAACCGTGAACTCGACCCAATGGAAATGATCGTTGAATCCCACACCAGTATGCCGCTGCCCATTCTATATTCAATGGGTAGATTACGAATCAAACCATACAATCCGAGTTACTACAACTACTCAATGGGACAAGTCGATTGTATCACAGTGATCCAAATGATAAAGTCAAAGGAGAAAGCAAAACAAAAGGAAAAGACATCGCAAACCGTTCACTCGAGAATGATATGCAAGCATAGTTCGCGACTTCCTTTCGTGCTTGTCACCTCCATCGAGAAGGACACCAAGAAGAACAAGAATCAAATTGAAATATCGATATTCGCACCATTGATTATCGAGAATGTTTTGGCATGTGATTTGAATTTCCGACTCTATCACTCAAAGAACAAAAAGTTGATTGGTTCTCCATTCTTGGAAGGTGTTATTCCGATGGGTGAAAAATTGGAAGTCACAGTATTCGATCCTACCTACGATATCTTTATGGAAATTCAAATCTATGGTAAGTTTATTTTTCTAAATTAATATGACAATCTTAATCTTAAACTAATTAATTTCTATAGATTTCCAATGGTCTCAACCATTTGTTGTTGAACCTTGTGCCAACAACCCTGAACATCTGAATATCACTGAGAAAATCAAGATATTGGATCAAAATAAGTTACCACTATTGATATCGTTTGATAATAGAATGGAGGCATATGGAGGTCGAGTTGTAAGTGTTTACAGTGAATTCTGGATGATCAACCAGACTGGATTGCCACTGATGTTTAGACATCATATTGGAGCACAAACTGTGAATCCTGCAGGTCAACCGATTCCATCGAGCGACGCTCTGAGATCAGTTGAGATTCTTCCACAGGATTCGCTGAGGTGGTACAACTCTGACTGGGCATCACCATCGAAACCCTTTATGTTTGCCTACAACGATTCCAATATAGTGGGTGGCAGATTCTCGTTGCGTATCGCCAACTCTGAATGGTCTTCGCCTTTCTCTTTGAATTCCTCGTCGGCCAACAGCAGCTCAACCATTGCCATCAAAGAGGAAAAGACGAGTGAAGAGAAAAAGATGGAGCTGCTCATGAAGAAGATTCCTGAGAAACGGCTGTTCCAATTGTCCGTCACTTGCTTACCTTCGAACTCTCGTTACTGGCGAACCAGAGTTGTTACATTCTGTCCACAGCATCTCATTGTAAATACAACGCCATTCACCATTTTCTACCAGCAATTCGAATGCTATGATAACAGTCAAACGATTCTATCGAATCAGTCACTGCCTTTCCACTTCCCGTCGGGTAAGCGTGACAAGTTGATTCGTGTCGGTATGGCACACCAGAGCGAGCCAAACAATGTTATGTGGTCGGGTTTCTTCAACCCCGATGAACTAGGCAATATCATCGTTCGATTGCGAACAGAACTGGAACCAAAATTGAATCCAAACTGCAAGGATTCCGACATCAATGCCAAATACATAAACGCAACGGCAACGCAATCGGCAGCGCCAAAGTTCTTCTTGTCGATATCGATTCGTGTCAAAGCGACAAAGATGATAACCACCAAGATGATTGTCATCTCTGAGCAGAATCCCGAGTTACCCCCTTACTGCATTGAGAATCGTTCACGATTCACCTTGTGGATTCGACAGAAAAAGACAGAGAACTGGGAGAAGCTTGGCTCGCAATCGACTACGCCCTACACTTGGGACCATTTCATTCTGCCAAAGAAATTGGTCATTGAATTCCCCGGCCACGAGAAACACTACTACCGACTCAATAATCTCGAGGAGAATTCAACGGTTACTGTCAAGTGGAACAATCCTGTGACAATGCAAACCGAGAAGATCGACTTGGATGTATCAATCAATGCGCAAGGACCAACAAGAGTATTGGTTGTTAGAGAACGTCAGAAATCGATATCATCTATAAACATCCATAATCTTCCAAAGAAACCACTGGATTCATCGACATCATCTACCAACTCTCTTGGCAATGAAGAGCATGGCAAGTACGAAGTAAAAGTTAATCTCGTATCCATTGGACTATCAATAGTGAATCAAGTACCAGAGGAATTCATTTACTGTTCATTCGATAAACTCTATGTAGAATTCAAACAAAACAAAAACGATCAATATCTTCAGATCATACTTGATGATCTTCAAATCGATGATCAAAGATATCAAACCAATTTCCCTGTATTCCTATGTAGAACAAAGAAACCATTTGATGATTCATCAAATAACAATAACAACAATAATAATAATCAACAAACATCCACAACTACATCCACAACAGGTAAAATTAATAATAATAATAATAGCGGTGGATATAAACCATTCTTCCAATTCAGTTCAACAAGGTCACTTAAATATCCAAAGATTCTATTCTTTAGATATTTCTCATTTTTAGTGCAAGAGTTTGATTTGAATATCGATGAATCATCGATTCTAAATGCACTCTCTTTTATCAACATCAATCTCAATTCGCTAAATCAACATTTCACGATGCACAAGACAATCACCTCTGAGGAGATTCTCCAGGTGGAAAGTACAAAGTTGGAGAATATGATTTACTTTGAACTGTTGCATATCAATCCGCTGAAAATCAATCTATCGTTTACCAGCTGTAAACTTCCAAAGGAGGTGGTTGCTGTTCTCGGTGCTCGTTCACTCTCGGATCTGCTCCTCGGTATCAAATCATCCTCGCCATTCTTGAACGTCGATCGTGCACCAATGCATTTCAATGGATTCATTTGGGAACATCCATTCCTCTCGGTCAAACAGGTCACCGATGAAATGGTACTGCACTTCTCCTACCAATTGATGGGACAAGTTCACAAAATCTTTGGCTCTTTCGATTTTATAGGCAATCCAATTCGTCTCGCCGAATCACTCGGTTCTGGATTCAAGGATTTCTTCCACGAACCGGCACTCGGTTTGGTCAAGAGTCCACAGGATTTCGCCATTGGTTTGTCAAAGGGTACATCCAGTCTGGTGAATAACAGTGTATTTGGAATATGTGAATCGGCATCAAAGATCACCGGTACCATTAGCAAAGGTCTTGTTCATCTATCGCTTGACGACTCCTATATCAAGGAGCGAGAGGAATCAGGCCGTCAGAAACCCAATGGTCTGAAACAAGGCATTGAGTTTGGAATTCGTGATCTTGGCGAAGGATTGATTCGTGGAATCACAGGAATCATCGATGAACCAATCAAGGGTGTCACTCAGGAGAAGAGTTTCGAGGGATTCCTCAAAGGCGTTGGAAAAGGTGTGATTGGTGTCGCCGTGAAGCCAACCGTCGGTCTCTTTGAATTTGCCACTCGAACGTCGGAGGGCATGAAAAACGAGACATCGATTGCCAAATCGATTATGCAGATTCGACGTCGTCGACTTCCACGTTACTTCCCAAAGGATGGAACTCTTCAGAACTACAGTACCTTCAAATCGCAGGGTGCCTATTTGCTCTACAGTAAGATGGGTGCGCCACCAACGAATAGTTGGTACGTTTTCCACTGTGTGTTGAGCTCCTCTCAGATTCTGACGTCGTCCACCCATCATTTGTTGTTACTCTCAAACATAACATCGAACCAGGAATATGAAATTATGTGGTTGGTTAAGATCAGTGATATTCAACACGTACAGAAACATAACAACGCTATTTCCATTACACATTTGGCAGACGATCCACAATCACCCGCTGTTTCCAGGACCATTCATACACCAAATGATGAAGTTAAAAATGGAATCATCAGAAAAGTTGCTGATCTTATCAATTTTTCAAAGAGATTTGGTCAAGAGTAGAAATAAATCTAAAAAACATAAATTTATTTTATTTTTTCTTCTGCTTTTCAAAAAGAATAAACAATTTTACTTTATAGTAGTTTGCATCTATCAAATATCTAATAGACCTATCAAATGTTTAATATATTATTATTTATTATTTTCATTTATTTTATTTGCTTTTAGTTTAGAGAGTGTTTCCAACAGTTTGATCAATGCATCCAATGGTCAATCATCAAGTGACTCCAACAATCAAAAACAATGTTTTGGTTTTTGAAGAAGAAGAAGAACAACCAACATTATCTTTGGTGATCTCAATGTCTTTGGTGGTTCATCTGGATTCAGTTGTGGTGGATGTGGTTGTGGTTGTGGTGGTTTTGGTTCATTCTAATCAAATGTTGTTCAAGACCTTCATATATACAACTGAAGACTTGTTTTTAATAAAAATTGTATAAACAAAAATATCTTAATTTATCTGCTTTATATTTGTTTAATTGGAAGCTAATCTTTTTTGAATTTTGCAAACTTACAAATGGGGAAAAAATCTAATTTTAAAATTTTTACAAAGAAATGTGATGTGAAAATTTGAAAATGGGGAATTTTGATAATGGTTGATCAAAAATAATCTTATTAATAGATTCAAAGACTCTAAAAGTTTTTCTTTTAAAAAACTAAATAAGATCTAATTTTAGATTTGTGTTATTTCATTTTAAAGGTTGGGTTTATTTTTGATAAGCTTTTTTTGTTTCACGCATATTTTTTGCAAAATGCACACAAAAAATATGCAAAAATTTTTCATATTTAGGGGAAGGATTACACATTATAGTTAACAAACAAAAGTTGTGAAAAAATTTGAAAGCGGAAGTAAAATGGATTTTTATTTAGTTTTTGGATTTTTTTAAGATATTGATTGGTTTCAAAGACATAAGTGTCTTGGCTAGTTTTACATTTCAAAAAAAAATTGAGGATCTATTTTTAGAGTTTTGTTCTTATATTTTTTCCCAATTTAATTATTGTTATTGAATCTTAAGTATTTAAACCAAATTTAATTGAGGGTTTATCAAACAAAAAATTCAACATCTCTAATCAAATATACAATTCTTATTAAAATTCAACTAAACAAATAAATGTACCACAATTACCAATATGACCAATATGATATCCCATGTGGAATGGAAGGACATTGCACTGCAGCTTTTTCAGGTTGTCCAAATTCAAGATTATACTGGGCTCAACGAAACATAAGAGGAAAGTTTGGTGGTTATAAATGGTAGAAAATCCGAAAGAGAGGATCCTTTATTCTATTTTAAAAAAGAGATTTTGTTAAAAAACATTTTTAAAAAGGATTAGAATATAAATTATTCATAAACACATTCAAAAATATAATCAAATAAATTAGTCAATTTATCATATCTTTTATTATCAAAGATTATTAATTATTTAGATGATAATGTAGATAGAATTAGTTTTCATTTTAGTTTGTAAAAGATTGTTCAATTAAAGACATGATCACTAGTGATCATTTCTCTCTTTTTAGTATTTGGAGTCGATGAATTTGGTGATCTTAAATTACTTCCAAAGTTTAAACTGCCAACCAGTGACTTTAACCAATACATCAGATAAATATGAAAAAAAAAAATCAAAATATTTTTAATAATAATATCACTTACAATAACAATAATAAACATATACATTTAAATTCATATAAATCAATAATCATTGATCAAATCAATAAAAAACTGAAATTGAACTAAAATTTAATATCAATCATTATGATAATATATTATCAAATGGTAAATTATTAAATAAAAGTAAATTTATCATTAATACTAATATACAACATATTTTATTAAGATGAATTAATTGATATCGATAGATTCAGATCATTAAACATTAATAAAGTAGCTATTGGTTTTGAAGTGTGACAAAAACAAAGAAGATATACAGATTGTTTTCAATCCAAGGGGTTCGGTAATGATGGTAGAGGAGATCGGTAATTTGGACTTAGATATGTAGATTGGAAAATTTCGGTTGGTAAAGGGTCTTGACGGGAATTTGTAGGAGTGATCTCTGGAACAGGGTTGTGGCTCGTTGTTCTTCATTGGCGGAATCATTATTATTTTTGTAGTTGTCGAGATCGCCCATTGTTAGTTCGTTCGTGATGGTGGTTGACTAATAGATGTTGTTGACCCATTAGTTGTTGTGGTTGTTGTGGTTGTATCAGTTGGATGTCCGGTTGGATCTGTCATTTTATGATAAGATTAATAATTAAAAATAAGAGGAAATGTTTTTAATTATATTTATATATTCTATTTTTAAATTTTATTTAATCTCTTCCTCTCTATATTGAATGAATTGAATGAATCCTTTTACGTCGCTAGTATAAGGATTTTTAAATTAAAATTTATCAGGTCTGTTTCACTTGTTTTGCCAAAACTATATACAATTTTTTCAAAATTTAATTTAGAGAGCTAAAATTAGAACATATGATCATTTTTTTTTGTTGTCAAATAGACTTGAATTTGAGTATAAATAATGATGATCCACTTGAATATTGTATCAAATCACAAATTCAACTTTTTTACAACATTAATGTAATAAATATAAAATGACTCTTATCAGTAAGTACAAAAGTTTGTTGGATATTTGATTTGTTTATTAAATACTTATTCAAAATGTTTTTTTCTTTTAAAAATAACAATAGAATCTATTTCAATGGTTGGTGGTAATTCATTGGAGAGTGTTTCCAACAGTTTGATCAATGCATCCAATGGTCAATCATCAAGTGATTCCAACAATCAAGAACAATGTTTTGGTTTTGGAAGAAGAAGAACAACCAACATTATCTTTGGTGATTCGGTTGTGGTGGATATGGGTGTGGTGGTTTTGGTGCATTCTAATCAAATGTATTCAAGATCTTCAAAAAAAATAATTGTTTCATTCTTTACTACCTTTTTTTTTTAATAAAGTGTACCTAATAATTTTACACATTAAATAAACCTATTCTAATTCATTCCTTTTTTTTTACAATTTTCAAAATTTTTTACGAAACATTGATAGAATTTTGTCGATCATTAACATATAAAAAATGATTGGTTGTAATATTGGTAATCAATCAAATAGATTAGTCAATTTATCACATCTTTTATTATCAAAGATTATTAATTACTTAAATGCTAATGTAGATAGAATAGTTTTCAGTTTAGTATGTAAAAGATGGTTCAATGATAGACAAAGATATCTATCATTTAATACCCATCGTGTCAACATCACTAATGATAAATATATGCAATTAAATTCATATAAATCGATAATCATTGATCAAATCAATATAAAAACTAAATGTAAAGTTTCTATTGGTGATGAGTTTAAACTCAAATATTATGATTATCTGATATCAAAAGGTAAATTAAATATCTAAAGTTAAATAAAAGCTAATGAATATCAATGATACTAACATATAAAATATACTTTATTTAGATGAATTAGTTGATATCGATAGATTAAGAACATTAAATATTGATAAAGTAGCTATTGGTTTTGCAAGACTTAGTAATGAAAAAAACAAAGAGTATATAAAGAATCTCTATCGATTGATATCCGATTTAAATATATCAAAGTTAAAGAATGTTCAATCATGTTCAGCATTACCAATGAATATTACATCGTTATCATTCCTCTTGTTTCAAGAGGATTTAGAACCTGGATGTCTTCCACCAAATTTGAAAACACTCAAGTTTGATCGAAATTTTGATCGGCCAATCAAAGCAGGGGTTCTTCCAAACACATTGGTTAAATTGAATTTCAATGAGTCTTTCAATCAACTTCTCGAACCAGGAGTATTACCATCATCTTTGAAGATTCTCAAATTCAAAGATTCCGCTTTCAAACAAGATATTAAAGTTGGAACATTTACTGATCATCTCGAAGAACTTGAATTCTCTGGATACTTTTCATCTTCTATCGAAGATGGAGCATTACCTCAGACTCTTAGAATACTTGAATATGCACCAACATCATGGTTACCACAAATCAAAACACTTTCAAATCTCAAGACATTATCAATAAGTCGTTTCAGACCATATTCACCAGATCTTATAATCGACCTCAGTTGTCTCCCAACTTCACTCTCAAGATTGGAAATATTCGCAGATATCACATTGATCAATGCAATACCACCAAAAATCAGATATTTGGATGTGGAGAAATGTGATTTTGATTTCGATAGTATATTCAAAGATAGATCGTTGTATCAATTTGATTATCTCAGGTTAAGTCCAAACCAAATAACCACTCTTGATGGATTGAAAATCAAAGAATTAGAACTAATTATGAAGACGTCCGGTTCTGATACAAATAATAGATTGGATATTCCATTTGGTATTGAAACACTCTCTGTTCCGTTCACATCGACATTTCTACATGAAATGGATTTACCAAGTTCAGTGAAAAAGTTGATTATCTCCACAGAGATATATTGCATCGATACTCCTGAGAAACAATATGACTTGACTGGTGGAGGTCCAATTCAAGAATTGGTAATAATCTGCAATGAATTATTATATTCTCGTGGAATTTCAGCTCAGATTCCATCGATAATCTTTCCTCCAAATACTTTAATTGAACTCACCGAACTTCGAAATGAAAAGATATGGATTCGAATGATTGATAATCAATATTACCTTGTTTATTGTCAATCACCCATCATCGCTGCCATTGTCCACAAATCACAATTATACAAATACATTGTATACTGTATTAAAGTATATAAAAAATTTTCTTAGAGGACTCTATACAACAATAAACATCAAAAAGAAAAAAATATTTTTTTTTTTTTTAAACAAGTTATTTCTTTGTATGTATAATTTCATTTTTTTCAAGTTAACGTCTTATAATTATTTAAAGAAACAATGACTTTTTCTAATTTAAAGGTAATTCTTTGTAATCAATCTATTTTGATATGTTAACATATTAAAAAAATGATATTGTTCCCCAATTTTTATATAAGCCATATATATTTAGAAAAACAAATCAAACATCATTTTTTGTCAAATGTTTGTTTTTAGACACAAGTTTTGGGTATAAATATTGATGATCAAAAGAATATTTTATCAAATCAAAAAATAGAACTTTCTTTTACAATATTAAAGTAATAAATATAAAATGACTCTTATCAGTAAGTAAAAATGTTAGATATTAAATTAGGTTTATTAAATACTTATTCAAATTGTTTTCTTTTCTCTTTTTCTTTTAAAAACAACAATAGAATCTATTTCTATGATTGGTGGTAATTCATTGGAGAGTGTTTCCAACAGTTTGATCAATGCATCCAATGGTCAATCATCAAGTGATTCCAACAATCAAGAACAATGTTTTGGTTTTGGAAGAAGAAGAACAACCAACATTATCTTTGGTGATCTCAATGTCTTTGGTGGTGGTTCATCTGGATTCGGTTGTGGTGGATGTGGTTGTGGTTGTGGTGGTTTTGGTTCATTCTGATCAAATGGTTCAAGATCTTCTTATATACAACTGTTCTACATTTTACCCTTTAATTTTAATAAAATAAAATAAAATAAAATAAAATAAAATAAAATGTATTGAATAAAATTTGTTATATCTCCAACACATATTTTTTTGGTAAAAATAAAAATTTCTAAAAATTTTTTTATGACTAGTCAAAAAATATGATCATTTTTAGTTGTTTCTATATGTAAATAAAGATACAATTATTTCTTTTAATTTGGAGAATGGGACTAGTGAATAAACTTATTTTCCTCATTGGTTTGGGAGCTCTCACATATAATACAAATCCCGATAAAGGTGACTTCAATAGACAATTGGCAAAGAAAATAGAAAATAAAGAAGGTAAAATTGCTGTAAGTACTCACTCTAATCAATACATCTAGGTTGAAAATGAATGAATGATATAGTTATATTTATATTTGTATTATAAACTTACATGTAAACTCTTATATTGTATTGTGTTTTGTGAATATATATATATATAGAGTTATGTACTAAGAGGTGTTATGTCAGTTACTAATCCAGTAGAGGTTCAAAACTGTGTTTATTTCTCTTTGGCAACTATGGTTCCATGTGAAGCAAACAACTTTTCAAACGATGTAGTAGGCGTAGGAATGTTTGGTAAATGGATTATCTTCACATAATGACTCTATCCGATTCAGATAATAAAATATATATTAGCGTTGTTGTAAATTATATAAACATCTTACATCATATTAATCTACATAGTATCAAGATAATCAATCATATCAACTGAAATGAAATCAACTTTAATCAAATCGAATAGAATCGTATCAAACAAGATCTACTTACATTAATATTTACAAAACAAACAAGATAGATATATCTTGTATTATTTATTTAACTTTTTGTTTTACCTGGTTTTGTTTCTTTTTCTTTGATTGGAGAAGTTGTTGTTGTTGTTGTTGTGGTTGTTGTTATTGTCGTAGTTTGACTGCTGCTACTAGTGCTGTCGCTGTCGTTGCTATCGTTGCTATCATCGCTACTGTCGCTCTCACTGTCACTAATTAAGATAATTGCAGCACGTGAGTAGAGTCTTGTATATTTATTACAAGTGACATTTGTAATTCTGTTTGGTTTCGTACCGTTTAGTGAGAGGTATGGAATTACCGATTTATCTGGCACTTCGAATGACTCTTTGCTGTCGCCATCGAAACTGGTGATATAATCTATAACACAAGTGAATTCCGGTTCATAATCGTCATTCATCTCTGCATCGGGTGCGCCAATAAATTGTGCCCTTGGCATGTACCATTCACTACAGGTCTCTTTGATATCGACCATTCCAAGGCACGGTGTTGCATCGACCTTGCCGGAAATCGATGCGAACAGCGCGGCAATCGCTTTGTCTTTGCCCTTGAGTTTGGCGAGGGACATTGTTTTCATTGTATATCTATGCTCTATAATATAAATGACTGGGCCGTGTAGATAGAGCATCTTCTTCAGCATCTTTTCGAGCCGACCCAATATAGGGAGATGCTGCGATCGTAACAACAAACCGATATCTGTAGATTCAGTAGCTGCCGCTGTTCTCTTGTTTGATTTCAAAAGATTGTAAACCAAACATATTCGATTGCCAGATGTTACCTGCTTCACTTCGTGTGTACAATCCGCGTAGAATGCGCAGTATCTAATGGTGGAGGGATCAGAGTTTTCGAGATTGACCGTATCGGTTTGGTCCGAGTGTGAGATAACTAGGTCACCACCACGATGTTGGCATGGCAGCGCGATCAGAGTGCCAAACATCTTGTCTTCCTTCTCTGAATCTTTGTGCGGCAGAAAGAACGATCCCTTATCGTAGATCAACAGCTTATAGAGATTGGCTTTGATTTTATCACCGATCATACCCAACTCTTGTGCGATCCTCGGCAAGATCGTATCGAGAATCGGTTTGATACGGCCGACCTCGAATTTAGAGACATCCAACTGCCATACCTTTCTGACGTTTTCGTCGACCACCGTTTTCGTTCCCTTTCCGTGCGGTGCTCTAACAGCGGCTTTAATCAATATCTTTACTTCATCGTTGGTAGCAGGATACGACAGAGTTCCCATCAATATACCTTTGGCTTTGATAGTTGGCATCTTATCACACTTTAGACTATCCACAAAAAAATGTTTGGCTTTTAAGATAATTGATCTACCAAGTCTCGATCATTCTTATAATATAGATGTTCTAGAGTTTCACCTTCATCATATTCTTCCTCTTCCTCTTCTTCATATCCTTCTTCATTTTCTTCTTCTTCGTTTTCAACTTCATTTTCAACTTTTGAATTTTTTGGTGCCATCTTTTGCTATTAGCTACAGTAATCATAAAATTAAAACAAAAATTATTATTAATATACACAAATACCACTTATCACTACACTTGTGGTTACTAATAAAAAACTGAACTTCAATTTTTTTAAATTCAAAATTTTCCCTCCTTTTTTTGAAAGTTACCACACCTAAAAAAAGTATGCACACACGAATGATCATATTAACTGAACAATGAACTGTTTTATTAATATGTTTTTATTCTTTTTAATATTTAATTTAAAAAAAAAAAAAAAAATAACTAAATTGTTACAATAGAATAATACTATGTCTGAAGCTAAAAGATTTCCACTGGTGGAAATCACTAATAATATAAATCACAACTCATGTATTAAACAGCAACCACAACAACAATTAAATGTTAGTGATTTATTAATGAGTACAAATAATAGTAATATTAATAGTTATCATAACAATAATAACAATAGTTATTACACCCCAACAAAAGTAAGTTATTTTAAATAAAGATAGATATCTATCTGTCAAACACACACACCACACTTTAGTGTATTATTAAAAATAATTAATACTGATTTTCATTTTGATTTTTTTTTTTTTTTCATATTTATCTGATGTATTGGTTAAAGTCACTGGTTGGCAGTTTAAACTTTGGAAGTAATTTAAGATCACCAAATTCATCGACTCCAAATACTAAAAAGAGAGAAATGATCACTAGTGATCATCATAATCATAATCATAATATTCATCAATATCACCACGATGAGAATATTACACCTATAAACTCAAGCTTTGAAGATAGTGATACTGATAGTGTAGTACATTTTGGAATAAGCAACAACCACGACAACAACAATGCTGGCGATGATGAATATGAATTTATAGATGACGCACATGATTTATCAATGATTGACAATGACATTGTGAAAAATAAGATCAAAACAAACAAATCATTAATATCGTCAACAATGAAACAACAACAACATCAGCAACAACAACAACAGACACAACAATTTAATAATAACATTACATCGACTACAACAAAAGATGAATCTATGAAGAGTTTAATGGCACTCTCTGATATAAGATCACGTGTCACCCTGTTGGATAACATGGCAAAGAATATGAAAGAACAACTAAAATCACATAGCACTCAAACTGTTACATTGGATGAGAATATATTATCAAGGCGTAAGTTTATTCATACATTCATATATTCATTCAATTCTAAACATTTACTAAATAAAATAATAATCAGTTTCAATTCCAATGCACAATGACGATGAAATAGATACTCTAAACCAAGAGTTGGATTTTAAACAAAAGGAAATCGAAAGATTACAACAAATCAATATAAATCAAGAGAATATCATTAATCAATTACTTTTGGAACTTGAGAGATATAAGAATCAAAACTTAAGTTTTAAGGTAAATATTATTATTTAGAAGGAAAGAATTTCTATTTTTACATGTATATTAATGAATGATTTGGTTGTTTAATTATAGAATAATGAAACAGAATATGAAATTAAATTAAAAGAGAATCAAGATGAAATTGTATATTTAAATCAGTTAGTGAAAGAGAAGGAAGATTATGTTGAATATCTGCTGGATCAGAGTAGACAAGATGAGAAAATAAGAAAGTCATTACATAACACCATTCAAGAGCTAAAAGGAAACATCAGAGTAGTTTGTAGATTACGTCCACCTCTTCCCAATCAATCTCCAACCATCAACCAAATAGATAATAGTTTAGAGGATCATTATGACACATCAATTGGCAATGATAGAGTATTAACTTTGAAATTAAATGTAATAATACTTTTTATTTTTTTTGGATTTCCATACAACTCAAATAATAATTTCTAACCCTTTTTTAATTTAATAGTCACAATCAGTAACAGGTCAAAACAGTGTAAAATCAACAACATTTGAATTCGATAAGGTATTTGGTATGAGAGCAACACAGTCGTCGGTGTTTGAGGAGATATCTCAGCTGGTGCAGAGTTCGCTGGATGGTTACGCCACGTGTATATTTACCTATGGTCAGACGGGATCTGGAAAGACCTACACAATGGAAGGAGAGTCTGGCGAGCAACGAGGTATGATCCCACGTACTGTCGAACTGATATTCAACCAAGCCGACTCACTGATAACTAAGGGATGGCAATTTGAATTTGAAGCATCGTTTTTAGAGATTTACAACGAGAACATTCATGACCTACTCACAAAAGATACAACCAGCCATCACCACAACAACAACACCAATTCTAAATCCTATGAAATAAGACATGAAGCCGGTTTCAATACAGTCGTAACCAATCTCACTTATGTTCCAGTGAAGCAACCGGATGACATCTTCACACTACTCAATCTGGCATCAAAGAACAGAGCTGTTGCCAAAACTTTTTGTAACGATAGATCATCAAGGTAAGATATTTATATATTTTATATATTAAAATTAGTAATTTATATTAATATTAATCTTCTTGATTCGAATTATAAAAATAATATATAGATCACATAGTGTTTTCCAATTAAAATTGAAAGGATATAATCAATTTACGAATGAAAAAACCATTGGATTGTTGAATTTAATTGATTTGGCAGGTTCGGAGAGAATTGCAAAGAGTGGTGTAACGGGTGATCGATTAAAGGAAACACAATCCATAAACAAATCACTCAGTTGTCTTTCCGATGTCATTTCAGCGTTGGCCAACAAAGACAAACATATTCCCTACAGAAATTCCAAGCTGACCTATCTTTTACAGAATAGTTTGGGCGGTAATTCAAAGACATTGATGTTTGTCAATATTTCAACCGAAGCCAAAGATCTCCAAGAAACCCTTAGTTCATTGAGATTTGCAACCAAGGTTAATTCATGTGAAATCGGAAGAGCAATTAAACAATCGAAAATCGACTAATAATAATAATAATAATAATCAATACTAAACCAAAGCTGTAATTATTTATTGAAATAAAAAAAAAAGTGTACAAAAAAAAAATATATATTTTTTTATAAATTTATCATGATAAATTTTAACCTGGTATAGCTCCAAAATCAGTGTTAGTCAACAATAAATCTGATAATATCTCGCAAATTTCTGTTACATTTTTTTTTTTTTGCACTTATTTTAACATTATTTTGGTTTTTATCTAATCAACGTATTCTAGACAGATAAATTTAAAGAATGGAAGGAGATAAATTGTTAGATTTCCTCAATTTAAAAACATTAACAAATTTTATTCTAATATATGATCGATATTTTAAAGCAGTTAATGATGGTGATGAAGTTACTCAGTGTAAATGTGTTGAATTCTTTGTTAGCTATCATAATAAACATAAGTATACACACCATTTCGATGTAAATGGTTACATTAAATTAATTGTCGAAGTGTTCTTTGGTTCATCGGAAAAAGCATTCAAAAAACTTACCAATTTGAAGTGTTTACATCAAACTTCTATTCAATTGGATATTTATAAAAGAATAATCACAGATACAAGAGCAAGTATATTTATTCGCTGAATTAATATTAATAGTCTACAGAAAAAAGCTAACCTTTTAAATTACAATTTAGTTTAAACCATGGTTTAAGAAACTAAATGAAAAAGGAAATATGTTTTTAGAATCAAAGATTATCATGTTTGGTTACACTTTAGATGGTGATAGTCGTCAAACATCTTTGGACTTTTTTTCCTATAAGAAGCTTTGTGATATCGTATACAATGACAAATTATTGGAAATGATTGAATATTATAACAACAAAAGAAATACCATAAGTCACACTTCTAAAATACTTAATATCAATAACAGCACTATTGTATTGCCAGATATACTGTTGGATAAGATTGTTACCTATGCTATACCATTCGATAGAGACTTTAGCGGGGGAGCATTTTCGATTAGAATGAAAATGTTTGCAAAGCATTCTCACCATCTCATAGATGCAGTAAATCTATTAAACTATGCTTTGGTTTCAAAGAAACTATTTCAATATGTCTCAAAGTTTATAAAGAGCAACAGTCATTTCTCTTGGAATGGGTATCTGAATTTCAACAGTGAATTCAGTTTAGTTAGATCAGAACCGTCTTTTTTCAACTATGAATCGATCAAATACATTCCATACGATCATGGTGTTGATTATGCCAATCGATTGATGTCAAGAGTTGATACTTTCGCAATAGTATCCGATGAAATTGATTATAGTGTCAAGGGCATGGTGTCAAGAGATTCAATGTTTGACGATAAAGATCTATACGATTATGAAACGTTTGAAGAAGAATACAGAGATGCCATCATCTCCCAAGGTTATTTGGTTTATCCACCGGCAATGCCAAATCTTAAAGATATCTTTGTTCTGAATTACTATGGATACTCTTCCAACTACAGTGATTTATTATCAAACATCTTCTCGCAGACACCTAATGGCGATGGTCATGGAATAGAACGATTCTACATTAAGATCGTTAAAGATTGGAAATCATCACCGAGATTTTCTAATTTGGGTTTCCTCGGACCACTCTTGAAGTTCCATTCAAAGACATTGAAATCAATTCGCATTCGCTATCGAGATATGAAAGCTTTTGACGTAGGGGAAATACTAAAGGTTTTTATTCAAATTCATCCATTTTTGGTGGAAAACAATAGAATCGATTTTAAATTAATCACCAACACTCAAATCAGTGAAACATTACCTTCAAACAATATCTTTGCAAATTATTTAATCAGTTATTTGGAAGTGAAAAATAAATAAAAAAAGCATTGTTCCAAAGAAGTCCAAATTTTATTCTATTTTTTTAGCATTTTAATTTAAATTAATAGTACGTGTAACAAGGTGATTGTTGAGCTGTCTCTCAACAATAAGTGTTCTTAGATCGACTGGGTCATATCTGACAAACCAAAGACTGGGTGTATTTCTGATAGACATTTCTATTACTTGGTGAATTGTACGAAAATTGCTATCCATGTAAACCCACTTCAGAGGCGAATCTTTTGGAATGCTCTTTGTGATATCAAAATAATAATATATTAGTGGGCGATTCAGCATTTTCATTTAGAATGAACCAGATGATCTGAAATACATACAATGATATTTAGGGAGTACTTGGTAAGCACATCGATAAAACTCGGGTAACCATGCAGATTCTAGTGTTTGATCACTAGTATTTTGACCTTTGATGTTGCCAAGCTTATCCATACTAAACTTCTCCAGAACTTTTGTAGATAAAATGATCCAAGTCAGCAGGGTCAGCGTTTACTACAATTCTATGCTGATTCATTCGATATGATATATAAAGACTTCTACACAGAGGAGCACTAAAAGTAAGAAAATCTCCATCTCTTACAATATACAACGACGAAAGAGTGAAGTGATAACAGGAGATAAGACTTGAGGATTGGGATACGTGATTCCAATTGGAATTCATCTAGGTAGTTCATTTGTTCTTCTGTAAGAGGTGGATAGGAAAAGTTGACACCCTACATATGGTCATCGATGCGACAAACCTAAATGATAGAATATATTTGACAACTTCCTCGTCAGCTAATTTTGTTTCAAAAACAACATGCTTTCATAGACCAAGAAATAAATAAAAATATTAGCTATTGGGTCATTAGAAAAACTAAAATCTTAATAATTTTAAAATTGTGCTGAAAAATTTAAAAAAAATCAAAGAGGTGAAGTTTGTTTTCTAAGAAAGAGCGGGAAATTTGAAATTCTCAAGTCAGATTAATCTAATAATCATTTTTATGATTAGATAGTTACAATCTACCTCCTTTTTTAAAACATTCACAGACAGTTATTATGGAATTTAAGATACCTGTTAATTACGATGATTTACTGAAAATACAAGATGATAATGATGATGATACAACAACAACAACAACAACAACAAATCAACAACAATTCACTGTAAATAGAATCATAGATGTTGAAGCATTATCAGAGTCTGGTCAATTAAAAATATTAGATGGTTGGTTAATCAATAGATTATTCTTTTACTTTTCAATGTCTAAAAACTAACTAACTTTGTTTGTACAAATCTTTATAATCAAGCAATTAGAGATAGAATAGCAAATGATCCAATAGAGATTACTCATCATAATAATTTTGATAATCTATATTTCTTTATAAAGTATGTGTTTTACATTATGAATGCTTACCTATCTATTACTAACTTAACTAATCTATCTATTATCTATCTAATATATATTAGGAGTTTAGCAAGCGAGAGAATACCATTGGATGTTAGAAATCAAGTGTTGAATATATTACAAGAGTCGATTGGTAGATTCGTTGTTGTAGTTAGGAATCTGTTGCGGTCGAATCACACCGATGCCTCTACAGATGATATTGAGCAATACAAACGAAAGTTGGTCGGTGTAAGGAATGCGTTGAAGATGTATATATTCTTGTTGCAGTGGTTCCAGCATTTCTCGGTGTTGGCAGCGGCGGCGACGACACACGACGCCACCAACAAACCAAAGAAAGGTGCCAAGCGAAAGGCAACCGCTACCGACGTGCTCTGGGACCAGGAGTCGCAAAAAGAGCGAGCACTCTCGCTACTCTACGAGTTGCTCGAGTTGAACTTGGGACAGCTGTGGCGACTGGAATACCCGGAGGATTCGCTGATGCGTTTGTTCTCGAAGCTCTGCTTCTCGGTGATGGAGAACTCCACCAACATCAAGTCGAAATCCATCAAACAGACGCTGTTTGCTATCTTACACCAGCTGGTGGCGCGCTACAATCGCGTCGATGAGTTTGTCGGGCAGAGCGTGCAGCTGATGAGCTCGCGCGACTTTCTTACGGCGCCAGTCGCCGAGTTTTTCCAGTTTGTGTTGGTCACCAAGCGAGAGACCGAACTGATGCCGATGCTCAACAAGGTGTTTCACGAGGTCGATTCCATCATTGAGAATCACCATCCGACGACCAACGACAGCACCGTCAAGAATCTTGCCGAGTTCATCGTGAACCTCGTCGTCCAGTGTCCAAAGCTGATGCTAACGATGATTCCACAGATCTCGAGGTTGGAAAACGATGCGAATTACTCTGCTAGAAACGGAGCATTCGAGTGTTACTATCATTTCATAATGTTCATGGTGAAAGAACGTCAAGCTGCTGCTGACAATCTCAGCAAGAATGATCAGAATCACAGCGACGACCACGACAACAACAACACCGCAGAGGAACTGGAACGTCACAAGGATCGATTGTTCAACTTTTTGGAACTGTTGATTGAGCGCACCAAAGATGTAAATCCATACTGTCGGTCTAGGGCACTGCAGTTGCTCACTCAGTTGTGGTGCGAAATCGACATTCCCAAGAATCGCTACAAGAACGACATTCTGGTGGCTGCCAAGCAACGATTGACTGACAAGGCAGCGCTCGTCAGAAAGAATGCCATTCACTTGGTATACGCAGTGTTGGAGAACAACAATCATTCGCTTGACTTTAGTTCGGAATACTTCAATGGTCACTACAAGAAGTTCCAACAGCTTCAACAAGATCTAAAGAACCAGGATATGAACTATTTCTTTGAGGATCTTAAAAGTGGAAAAGTTCAAAACGATGAAGAAGATGACAATGATAATGAATCAATCGATAACAACAACAATGAAAATGAAGAAGACAATGTCGTAACATCGACAACAACAAACAAAGATGAACTTACACCACAACAAAGATATGAAAAGAAAATTGAGAAACGTCCAACAAAACTTCCATTTTTATATCCTCAGAAATTAAAAGTATGTTAATGTTTATAAATTACTTACTTTTAATTATTAACAAACTAACTTTACTTTCCAACTATATAGTTGAATGATAAAATATTTAAAGAATGTATTGCTGATACTCCATTTGAAAAATCGGGTTCAATCCATCAAACGAAATGGATAACGAATGTCTATTTCAATATGAGAGTATGGTTTCAACAGGCATTCGAATACATCAAGCAATTCGATGATTGTATCGATCGTCTGACAGAGCTGTTATCAAGTGCACACCAATCCGATATCTCCGAGACGATCAGGCTGATCGTGCTGTTCAACGAGTATCGTATATCGGGTGCACGTAGTTTGGCACTGACGATGTTCAGTTTGGTATTCTCAAAGGAGAGTGCCATCGTCAATGAAACGTTGGAGGCATTCAAACGGTTACTACAACCCAATGGTGGTAGTGGCGGTGATAATGGTCACTCATCTACACACTGCTATAAAGTGGCAAAGAACTTGATTGACTTTACCAAAGATACAACGGTGGGAGTATTCACCTCACTCGAAGAACTCATTCAACAGTCACTCAGGAAAGGAGTGATACAGGCCGATGTCATCGATGCCCTCTGGAAGATTTTCGCACGACAAATCAAGCAGTACAACAACAAAGACGATATCCGCGGTGCCATCGTCATACTTTCAATGATTGGTGGACACGACGGAAAGATAATTTCATCCAAAGTAAATGATATTATTAAATATGGTTTTGATTCAAAAGATTTTGTAAGTAGTAGATAATTATCATTTTGTTCTTTAATAATAAATAACTAACTTATTTGTTTTGTTTTGTTGTTTTGTTTTGTTTTTTAGAATGATGGACATATTCTTAGATATTCTTGTATTGCCATTCAAAAGCTGAGATTTAAGGAGGGTGTTTTAAATCCTAATACACCGAGATACAAGAATGACCATGAAATCATTGAGAGACTGGAAAAGCTGGTTAAACAATCGGCTGACGACGTTGAGAAGTGGATTATCTTTGCTGAGCCGACTGTCACTGCTATCTACATGTTGTCCGACCAACCCGATGCCATTGCCGGTAAGATCATTGCCAGTTTGGAGTCGTTCTCGGCCAGCGATACGACCGTTGCAAGCAGCGGTGAGCTTTGTAAACTATTCTTTATGTTGGGACACATTGCACTACGTCAGTTGGAACACATTGAATCTGTAATCAGCGAAATGAAAAAGAAGAGACAAGAATCTGGACGTTCAAATACCACCGCTGCTGCTACTGTTGATTCAACAAACAAGTCAAAATCATCAAAGAAAAAGAGCAACAAGAAAGATGGAAAAGAAGATGCAGAAGACGAACAGGAAGTAGAAGAAGATACAATGTTGAAAGAACTCGGTTCGGAAGAAGCGGAAGCAGAGAATGAAGAGGATAAACTACAGGAAGGAGCAGAGAAGGATTTGGTAGATGAACGTCATATTATTGGAAGATATATTCCGATGATCAGAGATATATGTCTGCACTATCGGGAGTATAACGATCGTCAACTCCAATCGATTGCAACACTCACCTTGGTCAAGTTGATGTGTGTCCAGTCCGACTTGTGTTCGAAACAGCTACCATTGATTTTTACTATTCTAAAAGAGTCACCCTATGACAATGTCAAGTGTAATATCATCATTGGACTCGGTGATCTAGTGGTGCGTTTCCCCAACTTGATCGAACCATACTCCAAACATATCTATGAGCGACTCAGAGATGCCAATGCCGATGTCCGTAATACAACTGTGATGGTACTGACACATTTGATCTTGAACGGAATGTTGAAGCCGAAATCACACATCAGCGAGATGGCTATCTGCATTGAAGACGCCGAGCCAATGGTACAGCAAAACACGAAACTGTTCTTTACCAATCTCAGTCAGAAGGGCAATGAACTCTACAACTACCTGCCAGAGGTCATAAGCAAGCTGACCACCGACACTACGATCCTGATGTCCAACGATAAGATCCGTGAGATCTTGAAATTTATGTTTTCATTCATCACCAAAGACCGTCAGAATGAAAGTTTGATCGAGAGAATCGTGCAGCGATTCAAGACCGCTCAGAACATTACGGAAGCACAGAACATCTCTTATTGTCTACAGATTCTACCGTTCACTGAGAATGCACTAAAGAAACTGTTGGAGAACTTTAAGGTCTATCAGGATAAGCTGTTTGATGAGGAGGTCAACAAGAACATGTGCTCGATCATCACTAAGAGTAAAAAGGCAACGATCAACAAGAGCAACGAGTTGAAACAGACTCTTGTTGAATTGGAATCGAAATTCAACAAAGAGAATCTCGAGAAAGAGGCAGAAGATGAAGGATTACCACTTTTGCCTTCATCAGCCACCGCTGCTGCTGCAACTTCAACATCTAAAAACAAAAAGACAACAACATCGTCAAGAAATACAAAGGCAGCAGCAAAGACAAAGACAACAAAGAACAACAAAAAGAATAACAAACAAGATAAAATGGATATAGATGGAAGTGATGATGATGATGAAAGTGAAGAAGAAGCAGATGATGATGAAGATGATGACGATGAAGATGACAGTCCTCCACCTCCAAAACAATCAAGATCAAAGAAAGCAGCTGCTCCAGCGAAACCAACCACAACCAGCTCAAAGAAAGCAGCAGCAGCCTCAAAGAAGCCTTCTGCACCAACTCCAAAGAAACCCGCTGCTGCCAAGAGAAAACCTGCTGCCAAGAAAAAGGTTGAAAGTGACAGCGATGAAAGTATGGAAGATTTGACTAGCAGTGAAAGTGAGGAAAGCGAAAGTGAAATCAGCGAAAGTGAAATCAGTGAAAGTGAAAGTGATTAATCTCATTATTTCCTTTAATACATAATATATAACCTTTTTATGTAAATAAAATATATTTTATTACAACTTATTTTTTCTTTTTACGTCATCATTCTTTATTTTTTATGATGATCAGAAAAAACCCCACATTTTAAAAGAGCAGAAAGTTCAAAGGAAAGCTTTGGGGTTTTTTGAAATTTAAAAAAGGAAAAATCTATTTTCATTTTTTATTTTCATAATTTATTTTATTGATTTATTTAGCTTGTAAGCTATAAAGTTATAATAGTTATAAAATATGAGTGTTAAAGAATCAGGACAATATAGATTATTTAAAGAATGGGTACCTTTACAAAAGATTAGTTTGGGTGGATTGAATGATAAGACTTGGAGTTACTTTGATTACGGTCCCAAAGATGTTGTTCCTCTCATTTTCATTCCTGGTACATCGTATGTGTTGTTTGTTGAATAATAGTAGTAACTGTAGTTACTTGAATAATTATGTTGTTTACTTTCAAAACATAAATATTAATAATTTGTCTATATAAATATTTTTATAGTGGAACTGCAGAGATCTATTTTAAACAAATAGTTAGTTTATGTCCAAAAGGATTTAGAATTATATCTGTAAGTAATAATAGCTATCCATTGATTCAAAGCATATTGTTTTTATATAATTTTATTAATAATTGTTAATATCCACTTGTTCAAATAGGTTCATTATGCACCGTATGATACATATGTTGGATGGTGTAAAGGATTCGATCGATTCTTGGATCGAATGAATATTGAAAAAGCACATATTTTCGGAACTGCACTCGGTGGATATTTGGCACAGTGCTATCTACAGTTCCGACCGAATTGTGTACTCTCTTTGATTCTCAATAACTCATTCTGTGATACTCAATACTTCCATGACAATGCACCATGTTCAACCATGTAAATATCTACCTATCCTATCCTATCATATCCTATCTAACATTGACCACAAAATCATTCTCTAATCATTATCATTTTTCTTTCAAAAAACAAACAAAAGGTTTTCATTGATGCCAGAGTTTATGTTGAAAAAGATCGTTTTGTCCAACTTCCCAACTGGAATGGTGGAGCCAGAGATTGCAGAGGGTATCGACTTTATGGTGGAACAACTCGAGTCGCTAACACAATCAGAGTTGTCATCGAGATTGATTCTCAATTGTACATTGAATACGCTGAATCCAACAGTTGGTTTATCATATGAAAACATTACAATCATTGATGTACGTAAAGACTGAATAGTTGGTGGTTAACTTTATTACTTACTTTCATATCAATATTTAATAATAATATCAATAGTCATTGGATTCACATACGATTCCAGAGAATATGAGAGAGGAAGTATATAAATACTATCCACTTGCCAAGATTGCATTGATAAAGACTGGTGGTGACATTTGTTATATCTCGAAATCCGAAGAACTCAATGTTCATATTCAAGTTCACTTGAGAAACCAAGGATTCGATCCAGTTGCAAATCCAACCAATGAATCCACTGTCAATGCTTCGTCGTCGAATGCTCAATCATCTTCAACAACAACAACAACAGGAGCAAAACAACAAGATACATTATTTATTGAAGAAGAGGATGAAGGTATCATCAACGAAGATAAAGTATTCTCAAAGTTAACATTCTCACCTGCTGTATATGTCACTAGTCAACCAACTGCTACATTAAATAACAATAATAATAATAATAACAACAACAATAATAATAGCAATTCAAATGTTTCGACACCAACTCCAACACCAACACCAATAACTGAAATACTAAATACAAATGTTACTACTATTCCATCAATAACATCTCCAGCCATCAATGATAATGATAGTGATATCTATAATAATATATTCTCAAATGATGGTAATAATAATAGAAAGAAGAATATGGATGATATCATTGCACCTTCGAGTAGTAATAACAATAGTAGTAATAAGAAAGATGATATATTCGATGAATCGATATTTGAGAATGCAAAGATCAACAACAGCAAGACCAATACCTCTACAAATCCCTTCGAAGATGATATATTCATTGACCAACCACAAACCTCTACAGTAGTGGAAACAAAGCCTGTCGAAGTTAAAGAATCGATATTCGAAGATTCATTCGGTCATTAGATTTGATCTTGACATCCTATAAAAGATATAGATCTTTTGCTTATAATCATTTCCTCGCTATAACAACTCCCCAACCAACCAATCATCCATCCAACAAAATCAATCAATAGTAATAAAGTCTAATACTCTTATACAATCAAAATCACTATCATACTTGTAAACAAACAAAATAAAAATAAAATTTATAATTTTATTCTAATATTTCGATCTTTTATTATCTCTTGATCTTGAATTTGATCTATCTCTATCTCTATCTCTATCTTTATCTTTATATTTTCTATCTCTGTCTCTTGATCTTGATCTTGAATTTGATCTATCCCTATCTTTATCTCTCTTTCTATCTCTACCTCTTTCTCTTTCCCTAGACCTTGAATTTGATCTATCCCTATCTCTATCTTTATCTCTCTTTCTATCCCTATCTCTGTCTCTATCCTTATCTTTACTTTTATACTTATCTTTATCTTTATCTTTATCTTTTTCTCTATCTCTATCTCTATCTCTATCTCTATCTCTCTTTTCTTTACTCTTATGTTTATCATCTTTCTTTTTCTTTTCGTCAATGTTCATCAACATATTCTTTAACTTTTCAGTTGATATCATTTCATTCAACTCTCTTTCCTTCTTTTTCTCTCTTTCTCTTTCTTTCTCTTTTTCTATTATCAATCTTTGTTTTTCAATTCTTTTATCTTCTTCTATTTTATCCTCTTGTAATTTCTATTTATAATCAAATATATACTGTTAATAATGAAATTAACGCAATTTGCTAAACAAAGTAATAGTTACATACTCTTTGTAATGTTGCATTATAATACTTTTCAGCATTCTTATCGTTCGGTACTAATTCCAATGCTTTCTTAAAGTTTGATAATGCACGATCGTACTTGGCAGTGTTGGCATAGGCAGCACCCAGCGCAACATAAGCATCGGAATGATCTTTATCAGCCTCCAACGCCGAATAATATAAATCTAAAGCTCTATCGAATTGTCCTTTCTTTGCATATTCAATACCTTTTACAACCCTAAATAAAATAATAACATAAATTAATAAATCTTGTTACTAACAATTTCTTTAGCTATTTGTTATTAGTTAGTTATATAATTCATACATATCACGTGCCCATTCATAATTTTGATGATCACGTAAACTCTTATAATCAAGTTGTTTGGTGGTCGACGATAGATCTCTCGGTAGAAATGTTGAGTCACTCTCTGATAAACCCAAAGATTGTAACATATTAGCATAACTCCAAGGATTAGTCAATTGTTTATCATTCTCCAATATAGTATTCAATTCAAAGCTACTAACAAAGTCATCTGAATTCGATTGGAATATACCCTAATACGTACGTATATATATAATATATTAGTTTTGATTTTTGGTAATAAATGAATGTTTAGCTATATAGTAGTTACAAGTTGAAAATGTTTGAAATACTCTAATGATTTGTTTATGAATATCGATGAATCCAGCGTTAGGATGATCTCTTCGTTGTCTAGATCAATCGATTGTATGAGTGCTTTCATTGTTGAACCGGGTTGGAAGTAGGTGAACTCCTTGCAGAGATTGTGGTTGAATTCGACCAGTGGACAACGTGCCTCCAATTGTAACTTTGAGAGGTAGTGAAGTAGACTGTCGCTCGGTGGACTATCGGCAATCGGTTCATTAGGTCTTATCTTTTGAATCTTTAATATCGATACATCCAAACCATCGATATCACTCTTTCTATTGATAATACCTGTTATTAAGACTATTTTCTTTTCATCATTCTTCCAATAATCAAATAGTTCCTAGATATTAATCAATCAATCAATCAGACATATTAGTAATAGTAATTATTATTGATCATTAACAATAAATGTTTAAACATACTTGTAATACTGCTTTTCTAGATAAAGATATACTATTAAGTTTATTTAATCTTTCAATTGTATGCTTTATACTTGGTAATTTACAAAAACCACTATCGTTGTTGTTGTTATTGTTGTTATTAAAATTATCAGTTGAAGGCTGTCCATATATATAACCAGAGTTTGGATTTGTTGTATTTGAAGTTGAAGTGGTTGTTGTTGTTGTTGTAGTTGCTAAGTCAATTATGTTATTCCCTTGAAATAGTATAAAAATGATAATATATTGGAATGAATTGTTCGAATGTTTTAATGTTTACTATGAAATAGATATAGATATCGTTATTTGTACTGTACCTGAATCATTATGATTGTCGTTGTTATATTGATTAAAAAGCCTTATCTTGTTCTTTATTAATTCTAATTCTTTTAATTGATCCATCATCAGTTCATTTCATTTCTTCATCATCTCATCTCTCATTGATCACATTAAGTTTATACTACTAACTAATATTAATTATAATTGATTGTTGTTTTTTGGTTGAACAGATCTGTTTAAAATAATTTTAGTGAGATCACAACACAACACACACCGAAAAAAATGGAGATGTCCAAACGAATTCGTTCGATTTATTTGTAAATTTTATTTGTTTTTATTTATTTTTTTATCTTTTAATTAAAATATTTTAAACTTTGTTGTCTGAATGATTAATTTGTCATAATCTCATTAGAGGAGGTATAACAACTCAATCTCCACGATCATTCTAGGCCAAACGAGATCAAAAGATCTAAATGGTTCCCTTTAATAACGGTTAAAAAAAAGAAAACTGTTTTTGGTCACGAATTTGAGTGATAAAAATCGATTGACTATATTTTTAGATTCGAATTTTTGCATTATGGTTCTTAAACATTTATTATCTAACTTTTAAATATAAAATATAAAAAAATCTATAGATAAACTAAAACAAACATATAAATAAATTTACTTTGAAAATCGATTTTCATGAACACACAAACAAACTTCAAATTCACACATTTTATTTTTTTTTTATTTTTTTTTTCTAATTTTGAGCGGTAAAATTCCCAGTTGCATGATCACTTTGACGATCATTTTATTTCATCAATAATCAATCAATTAAATTAATCTAATTAAAGAAATATCAATCAATTAATATCTATAAATATATATAATCTATATATTTTTATATTGTTTTAAAGTTTGATAGATAATTAGTTAGATTATATTTATATAGATAGAAAAGAAAATGAATGTTGAAAATGGTCATGGTAATGGAAATGGCAATGGAAATGTTGTGATGAAAGATGAAGTAGAAGAGAATAATGAACATATGAAACAAACATATCATGGATCGTCACAACATACATTGGCAGAGATAGATCTACGATCGTTCAGTGATTCCTTCAATGTCTGGAAGGAGTTTGTCATCTCATCATCATCGTCACCCTCGACCGTCTACACCACCCACCACAACTACCAACTTCCATGTCGATCAGGTGGCTATTCCTATGAGAATCAATCACACCCATCAACAAAAAACAGATTCATATTATGGTAATAAATAATCAACTTAATCATAAATATAATATTCTTTAGTTTAAATTAACTAGCAAACTAACAAACTATCGACGTATATCAATCAATCAATCAATAGGAGAATACACAATAATCAATTAGAAATCATTGAAAAGCATATGAACTTTAATTTAGATGACAATTGTATTAGAATAAACTTTCTAACTAATCTAGTTGGAGATGCAACAATAATGGAGTATAATCAACGATTCTTGGTAATCATCGTTATTACAGCTGCCAAGACACTCTATAGATTCCTCTTACCACACCCATCAATCATAGAACAAAATGATGTAAGTAGTAGTGAAAAATGAAAAATGAAAAACAATGAACTGAACTGAACTAACACACACCCCACACATACAGAGAGTAGGATCAAAGAGAAAAGGTGATCCTGTAAGTAGGCGATTCAAGAGTGTATTCTCTGGTCTGCAGGTTATAGAGTTGGATAATGCATGGTCGAGAGTCAAGGTACTGCAAGACAGTGTCGATATGTCGACGGTGCGATGTGCTAGCGAGAGTCAACTGGCGGTTGGCTCGACCAACAGCGGCACCTGGTGGATAGAGTTGTCGGAGCCACGTCAGAGCGGTGAACTGAGCTCGAAGCGTTACGAGCTGAAAGAATCGGGCAATCGTTTTCTCTCGTTTCTCAACGCCAATCGCTATAGTGCACAAGAGGAGGTTGCCGATATCGCAGTGGTAAACAACAACAACAACAACAACAGCAGTACCAATGGAGATAGCAGCAGTAGTAGACCATTGGTTCTCATATTACAACGTGATCTAACACTTAGAATATGGTCACCGACAGATCGTACTCTTCTTCAATCTTTTTCGATACACTCTGAGACATGGGATCAAATCACTATGAATCAAATACAAGGCATCAAACGATTCAAACTCTACGAACATCCCAATCAACCAAAACATTTTACATTAGTATTATATTTTGAATTGGAACAAGAATCAAATGTAACTATAAATATCATTGATACTTATATATATAATAGTTTAAACTAACTAACTAACTAATTCATTTATTTAGTTCCAATTCTTCTCACTCGTTCTTGAAGATGAATCTAATATTACATTACAATTACAAAGAACATCTTTTATCAAATCTAAAGGTTTGATTGACTTTTCACTGTACAATAACTATCTATATAGTTTATGGTCAACCAAAGAAGATAATCAACCAATTTTAAGATATATTAATATAAATAATATTGAAGTGTATGTCAATACTATAAATGATAAGATAGGTTAGGATAAATATATTAATTTTGTTATATTATTATTATTATTATTATAGTGATAATTTAAATATGGAATATAGTTTATTTAATGATGGTTTGATGTTACCAAAGATCGTTAAGGAGAAAGCACCAACAGCAGAGTCAATCGAACAACATTATCTTGAACGTGTATTCAATCGTGGTCAATTCACCAATAAATCGATTCAATCAGCACTATCAATCTATAAACCAGGCTATCAAGCGAATCAACAACAACCATTAGAATCACAAGTTGCCAATATCATAAGAGATAGAGTAAGTTGAAATTGTTTATTAATCCATTATTATATAATATAAAAACTAACTAGTAGTGTTTGTTTATCAATCAATTGATTCTTTAGATATCAAATCATTCAACAGCAAAGAAGTTACAAATTGATCTATTAACTTTTAATGAATGGAATGAATTCTATTCTATTTGTATTGCACAAATTGCATTGGATCTTCAAGCAGCCGGTTTATACATTGATCCAAATACAGATTTAATATTCATTATTAAAAGAGTAAGTAGTTACTTTATCTTTAACAACATAATATTATATATTAATATTGTTGTTTATCATCTATCATTTTAGAATAAGTTATCTATTATGAAACCATTGTCAGATAAAGAGATTATCTATAGTTACAATCCTTTAGATCACTTTAGATTGAATATTGCACCTGTTATCAATAGTACAATGAATACATACAATCATATATCGAACGATCTCATTCATCTATATAAATGTTTCAATTTAATTGATAGATCTGTAAGTTTAAACTTGTTAGTAAATAACTAATTAGATAACATAACTAATATAATGTTTAATAATAATAATAATAGGTTGGTAATGATTATTCATCTTTAGAGCATGATTTACTAAGAATGAAGGTAAACACTGCATTGTTGACTGAGGTTCATAATTTAGTTTCTACAACTGTTGTTGGAGGCGATTCCGATGATATCAGTGTTGATAGTAGTAGCAACGGTCAATTGGCATCGTCAATGTCAGCGGCCGGTCTTTTCACAGTTAATTTCATAAAGCTGTTCAAGTATATCGTTGATCCAGTTAAAGTCGTTGAATCACTGTTGGAACTGATCGAGTCGGACCTACCGCTTAATGGCGAGACGGACCCATCGACACACTCCTTTGCTATACCGCCACAACAACATCAATGGGGTGGCGACTTGTTCATCGATATACTCTCTGGTTGTTTCACCGGCAGCGTTAAGTTGCGATACCGTACCGTTAGATCTCTCGCCATGCTGGTATCGTTCATCTCACGTCTACGTTGTCAGGTCGGTATCACCTCTGCCACACTCAAAGAGTTTGACAACCGAATCATCCCAAGATGTTACCGACTACTGAACATCTATCATATCTTGAATTGGTTTACCAATCAAATCTATTATCCATCGCAATCAAACAACTCTACTACTAATACATCGTCATCATCTACATCTACAAATAATGAGTAAGTAATGTTCATACATTCATACACTACAGTTTGTATAAACTAATTGTATATCTTTTTTATTATCATTATAATTATTATTATAGAGTTGTAGAGATGGGTAAGATGTATCTAAATGAATCTACTACGCATATTCTAAAGACATCTATGATCTATACGATGTTGACAAACTACAGTTCACAATTGACATCAATCTATAATCATACATTTATCGATAATCTTGATATTCAAACCGATATCCTGTTGAATGTACTCTCTCGAATCTATCCAGTTGCCAACTATTTAACTGAACAATCACAATATAAACAATTATCAGTATGTATAGTAGTATATTAACTATTATTATTTAGTTAAACTAATATTTATTTAATATATAAACTTTAGGTATTATTAACAACTATCAATGAAAATGACTTTTATAATAATATTAAAGGATATTATTATTTGATGGGTCTCTGCTTTGCACATTTCTCAAAGTACAAGGAAGCTTACGAGATATTCATAAAGGCATCAGAGACGTTTGTATCGACACCGGGTTTGATTGACGATGATCTCTTGCGTGTTGTTATGATACCGGACGATGAGTTGGTTGCACCGATCTTCTACGAAAAGTCACTGATGCCAAGTGCCAACGTTCGTCAAGCAACCGACCGTCTCATTGCCAAGTTCTTCCTAAAGTGTTCAAAGATCTTTGAACTTCGCAATCAATTAGAATACGTCATACAACTATCGTTACTCTCTATTAAATTCTATACAGATTCAATCGATCAAAATCAAGAGATTCAATCAAAGATTGTAAGTTTTTTTACCTAATTATTAACATATGTTCAAAATAATAATAATAACTTATTGATTAATATTATTTATAGTCATCTATTTATTCGAATATATTTAAATATTCATTAAAGATACAACAATATGAATTGGCGTATATTGCAAGTGTAAAGAATCCGGATAGTGGTGGATCGATGGATTGTTTGCATCGACTACTCATACATCTTTGTGAGAACAACCAGATTGCTCAGTTGGTATCACTACCTTTGGTCGGTACCTATCAGCAAGCAGAGGAGATGCTACTCGCCAAAGCAAAGAGTCAAGATCTATCTCTGAAACCAGATTACTATTCTATTTTATATACATTGAAAATGAGTAGATCAAACTATAGAGGTGGTAAGTTATATAAGTAACAATATATATATACTTATACTGTTCAATTATAATCTAATCTTATCTTTAAATATATAGCTGCTATGATTATCTATGAGAAAGCACAGAGAATATTGATGGAATCACATCCAAGTATTAGAAAAGGTAGTTTTGATGTTGAGAGTCTCTACAAGTTAAAGTTGGACTATTTGTCGTTGGCTATCAATGCTTTGGCTTTGGTACCAGAGTGTCAGAACCGTTGGCTGCCCATTGACATCTCTAGTTTCCAAGAGGGAAAGAAATCAAAGAGAAAGATGAATACATCCACTTTGACCTCTGCAGTAATTACTTCACCAAACCGTCAATTCAATCAAAATGTATTGGATCTTACATTGGCTGATCAACAACAGCAACAACAACAACAACAACATTCCATGTTGGATTGGCAAACAGAAAATGATTCACATGTCCAGATCGTTTGGAAATCGGATTTGGAGGGTGAGTACATCTATTATCAATCTTGCTATTTGCTGAGACGTTTCGATAGCGATGTCTCCGACCATCTCTCACCGAAACAGCTGTTGGCCGAGCTGCTCAAGTACGGACTGATCGAGCAGGCATTCTCACTGGCTATCGTCAACAACATGGATCTCGGCAATGTATTCCAGTCGTTTGCTCTCAAGTGTATCGAATTCCAGTTGGATCCATCGGTCAATCCTTTCGCCAACTACGGCGCTCTCGAATCCTCATCGATCCAGTTCTACAACGACAATGTGCTGATCGCTTGGAAACTCCTGGAGAAATATCTCGAAAAGTATGATACCAACGAGGACAACGAGTGTTTGTCACCCTCAGAGGTGAACAACTTGTTTGTCGCCAACCGTAACACTCCAACCGTTTGCAAGATGTTTGGTGTCATTGTCAAGGACAGTGTCAAGCCGATGACAGCTACCGGTGGTGGTGCAGGCAGTGAATTCCGTGTTACTTCCGACGCCAACCAATTCTACTTGGACGTCGAATATCACCAGAGAATGCCACATTTCCACAAGGAAGGATACCCTGTTGTTGTGGTTGGCGAGATGTCTGCTGACGGCAGTAAATTCCTAGCGGAAAAAGTCTTGTGTAAACGTGGACAATCTCGTTACCACGAACTGGTAGTCGATACCATTCTCTCGTACAACAGCAACTGCTCTGAACGTGTCGACATTCCCAACTGGCTCAAACAATGGTTCAAGAATGGCAGAGAGGAAATCCTATTCAAACTCTACTTCCAATACGGTAGAATCGAAGAGTCAATACATATTTTATTAGATATGTTGATTGCTGCAGATGTAAGTTGAGAAGATCAATCAACTAATTAACTCTTGGATAAATAATTTATTAATAACTTTTCATTACATTACTTTCTAGAAATCTATTGAATCATATCAACAACAAAAACAACAATCTACCAGTAAAAAGATTAACATTAATCTTCCATACAATACAATCAGTCAGTTCTTGATGGAGTTGGAAAAACTGTTGAGCAACGGATCACTCGAAGATCAAGCAAAACCAAAGCTTTCAAATTATATTCAGAGTATAAAGTCATCTTTAAATAACTATCTCAATAAACTTAATAAAGTAAACTAAAAGAAATATTATAAATATCTAAACTTTTTCTTTTTATTGTTAATTCTTTTTTATTACAAAAGATAATATTACAAAATAAAACAAAATATTACAATCAGATAAAACTGGAGTTATTACAGCTTTTTTGTTAGGTTAAGGGGAATTTGAAGTGTTTGGCGTCGAATTGGTAGATGACAATTGCGGAGAAGAAGAAGATGGAGTTATCATCTTGTTGAAAAGTAAATCATAGTGTGTTATATTGAATCCCGGTGTTGTTAGGTCGGTTATATGATTTTGATTGATATTCAGTACTTTTCCTTTTTTGACTAGTCGGTCTTCGATGACACCTAGATAGTGATCACCGGTTTGTCCTAATTTGAATACTGATACGTATGCCTTACTACCATCGATATCTATATCGTGTGTTTTATTCTCGACTCTCAGATTGATTCTCTGAATGGGTGCCGTCTGTTTTACGTCTTTCTTGAGAGTACCGCTGATACCTCCCAGAGAACTGATTGCTGAATTCGTAGTACTACTGTTTGAGCCCAAACCAAGTGATACCTCACTATAGTAATGAGCATTGGGATCCATCTTGATCAGTGCCACCAACGCTTCATTACTATAGTTTATTATCTGAATGGTATTGGATTTGAAAGTAGATGGAAAGAAACCAGGCATTTCTTCAATGGTTTTCTTTTCTTTTGTTAAAGTAGTGGGGGTGGGTGGTGATGATGGTGTTGTTTTTGTTGTTGTGCTATTTGAAGTAGCGGTGGTTGAGCTTGTAGTTTTGTTTGTAGAACCTACTCCAACAGCAGATGTTGTTGTTGTAGACATATTTTTATTGTTTTTTCTATCTAAAAACTAAGTTAAATTAATTTGTATTATTATATTTATTTTTAAAGAACTAATACAAAAAAAAAAACTTTCGAAACAAAGATAATTGTAAAAAAAAATTTCAAACCAAACTATTGTTTAATTTCTGTGAAAATTTCTCATAAAAAAACTTAAACGTCCAATCAGATAATTAAGAAATAAATAAGTTATCTATCTATCTTTATTTTTTGGCACAAATATTAATTGAAATAGTTATTTGATTCATTTTCAAAACAAAAATTAAACAATTTTTTATTTTTTTCAATCTTAGTAAAATAATCTAAGATTTTGTTTTCTGAGGTTTAAATAGATAGTTTTTGATTTTTATTTTTAAATTTGTAATTTCTATTGAAAGCTATTCTACCCTCTTTTTATTATTATTTTTATACAAAATATCTAAACACAGTGACAAAGCAACTAAGCTAAAAGGTGTAGTTTTAATGACGATAACAGATAAAAGAAAAGTGAAGTGAAACTTGGAACATCCCAATGAAAATTGTAAAGTGAACCTTGGTCTTAAAAAATTTCATCCATCACCAAAAAAAACAAAAAATTGTAATTACTGAGGTGTTTCATGAACCAAAGAAGAGATTTTTTAATTTTATATGACACTTCTGAAACTATGAATGGAAATCTTGTTGAACAATTTACATTTTTATTAAAATTAATTTATTTTATATCTTTAATTGTGTAATTTCATTTTATGCCTCCCCAAAAATGAAAAAAATTGAATAGCTTTTGTGTGCATTTTACAAAAAAAAACCTTTAAAATGAAATAACACATCTTTGTGAATTTCCAGGAATCATGGATATCGTTAAACGTATAATGAAAGAAATAAAACATAAAAATTCCATACAATAAAATAAATTACATATTACTTCTATATCTTTTTTTATTTTTTATTTTATTTTTTTTAATAACAAATGAAAAAAAATCATCATTTAAATTTACCAACCGAGCCATCAGAATCATCAAAATCAGATTCATAAGGGTCAAAATCACTATTATCGAAAATGTAATCATCTAGGTCTGAACCGAATTCTGAATATAAATCTGAATCGAAATCTGAATCTGAATTTGAAAAGTTAGAGTCAGGGTCTGATGAAACTATCTCATTGCTGGCGTACAGAAACTTGAGATGAGGATAGGTCGATTCCACAGCTGCATTGTCATCTTGATTCTCTGAAACGTTGTAGATCTTCACTGCGTAGCTTGCTACTCTATAAATTTGACTCTTTGATTTGACGTGTGCAAATCCAGTGGCTCGAGTATCGGTTGTCAAACGATAGTCTGTTATTCTATTACTGTTGTTGAAGATGAATCGTTTGATCGATGGTGATTTCGACAAAAAATTGAATGTCTCGTCTAAATTATAATTGATATCGATCGTGTCGATCAATTGATTCTTGCTGAGCACACGTTTGACCCATCCACACCTGCTGTCTGTGATTAGAGTGCGAACTTTGCAATCTGGTAAACATAACAGTTCCTCGAACTTTTCAGCCACACTTCCATACACCGTGTAGATAATCAGTTTGGTAATGTTCATAAAATGACCACTTAAAACTTGAAATTGCGCGAAATTGATTCTTCCAACACCAAATGTGGTAAGTTGATGTTGATCTGAAAGTATTCTCTTGTATTGATTAATGTATTCCATAGGTAGTTTCAACTTCTTGATGGAGATAGATAGTAGATCTGATGTGAAAAACCAGTTTTGGGAGATTGCGCAGGAGGAAATGTCGAGTGAAGTCAGTCGTGGTAACGTTTTTATCGATTGAAATACATTACGATCAATGTGTAACTGATTAAGTACCAATGATTCGATATTAGGCATGTATTCTATGATCGATTTACATTGTGGTATTTTAATTGAATTATCTCGCCAATTACCAATGTCGTTGAACATACAAAAGCGTCTGACATTATTGAAGATCAATCCCAATTCAAACGGAGCTGAAATAGATTTCTTGATGATTTCACTGAACACTTTGCTTGGTAATGTGATATCACTGATTCTCTTGAGTACTGAATGTGGATTTAAAAAACTTTTTCTAAGATGCTTTGCAAACGAAATCGTATCTTTTTTTGTCTGACGTGGATTTGGTTTGATTGCGAATCGATTGAACAATGATGATATCAACTTGAAAAACTCTTTGGAAACGAGAGCAATCGAGAGTAACCATCGGTAGTTGCTACGTAGATCAATGTTCTGACAAAAGTGGATATCTTCATACCAAAGATCACGAATGATTCGATAGATGATCAATGTTGGCAATCGATATTCAACAGTTCCACGATGATATTGTTCGATTGGGTTGTTTGTAATCAACTTTGATTTGATATCATTGATATGTTCTTGATATTCCAATATTGAATCGATTAGAACATCTTTCTTTTTACGACCATGTTTTAATGAATATTTAACCATTAATTTAACCAATTCATCTCTTTTCAATTCCTTAAGTTCATCTCTGTTATATATTTGTAGTTTATCTAATATCTCTTTTGTTGTCATCTTTTAAACTATTACTTAATTAATTACAAAGAAAAAAAAATTATTAAAAAGATCTAAATTAAGAGCTATAGTGTTGAATAGAAATAAAATGTTTAAATCTATTCCTTTTAAAAACACCCCTATTTTCATTTTTTGTTTATATATCTTTTTTAAATGGGTACCACAATCAAATTAATTATCTACAGACATTGAAAATTTAATAGTGTTTGAATTTGTTTTTTTTTATCCCCAATTTTTAATTTTATTTTATTAAAATTTTAAAATATTTTTTACAGATATAGAACTGTTGTTGATAATCGAATCTATTCTATATCAACTTTTTTTGGAGTAGAATACATAATTTAGAATCTATTTTAAACAAATAAGTAACTTTAATTAAACAAAAAGTTTAAATATGTGTAATTTCATTTTATAGGTTGGGTTTTTTTTGCACAGCTTTTTTGTATTTTCGCATTATTTTTGCACAGAAAAGCTTTACAAAATTATTTCATTTTTTAGGGGAGGCATAAAATGAAATTACTCATATATATATATATTTATATATTAATGATAAAGCTAAACTATTATTATCTTTTTTCTTTTACAAAGGAGAATCGATTGGATAGAATATTCACATGTCAGAGTCATCAGAGTCATTATCATCTGAATCTGAATCTGAATGGCGGCTGCTAGAACCAGAGTCAGAGTCCGATGAATATATCGGGGTGTCTGCGACTCCAGCATATAAAAACTTGAGATGAGAATAGGTCGATTCCACCGCCAAATTGTCATGTTCATTCTTTGAAACGTTGTAGATCTTCTCTGCGTAGCCTGCCATTCTAAAATTTTGACTCTTTGATTTGACGTGCGCAAATCCAGTGGCTAGTTTCGATCTATCTTCCATCGTATAATGATATGAATTATCTTTATCAGTGTTGAAAATGAATCGTTTGATCGACGGAAATTTCGATATAAAATTGAATGTCTCGTCAAGATCATTATTGAAATCGATCGTGTCGATCGTTTGATTGTTGCTGAGCACACTTTTGATCCATCCATACTTGCTGTCTGTGATTAGAGTGCGAACTTTGCAATCTGGTGAACATAACAGTTCCTCGAACTTGGGTGCCACCCTTCTATGTACTCTTTTGATAATCAATTTGGTGATATGAATAAAGTGACCACTTATCTTTTGAATTTGTTCTAAAGTGATTCTTCCAATTCCAAATGTGGTAAGTTGATGTTGATCTGAAAGTATTCTCTTGTATTGATTATATGAAACTGTACTCTTGTATGGTTTATTGTCTGACATAGGTAGTTTCAACTTCTTGATGGAATGAGATAGTAGATCTGAATTGAAACCCTTTTCAACTTTGAAGAATTCAGCTTCTGAAAGGTCAAGTGAAGTCAGTGATGGCAATGATATTAACAATAGAAATTCTTTGCGATTAACCAACAAATTAATGAGTCCTAACGATTCGATATTCGGCATGTATTCTATGATCAATTTACATTGTTGTGCTTGTATTGAATTTGTTCTCCAACTCCCAACATTGTTGAACATACAAAAGCGTCTGACATTATTGAAGATCAGTCCCAATTCGATTGGAGCACATACCGATTTCTGGGTGATTTCATTGAATACTTTAGTTGATAGTGTGAGGTGACTGATATTCTTGAGTACTGAAGGTGGACTCAGTACACTACCTCTTAGTTGTTGTGATAAAGAAACTGTTAGTTTATTGGTCTGTTGGGGATTAGGGTTGATTGCGAATCGATTGAACAATGATGATATCAACTTGAAATACTCTTTGGAAACACTTGCAATCGATAATAGCCATCGGTAGTTTCTGTGTAGTTGATCAACATTCAACCAATAGCGGGTATCTTCATGCCAAAGATCACGAATGATTCGATAGATGATCAATGTTGGCAATCGATATTCAACAGTTCCACGATGATATTGTTCGATTGGGTTGTCTGTAACCAACTTTGATTTGATATCATTGATATGTTCTTGATACTTCAATATTGAATCGATCAGAGAATCTTTCTTTTTACTTCTACCTTTTAATGAATATTTAGACATTAATTTAACTAAATCATCGTTTTTCCACTTTACAAGTTCATCTTTGCTATATATTTGTTGTTTATCTAATATCTCTTTTGTTGTCATCTTTCTAAATTATAACAATAATTAAAAAGTAAAAAAAAATTTAACCATTATTAAATTACGAAGGAAAAATATTTTTGATCCTTGTTAAATTTAAATCATGAAAAAATTTGATAGGTTTTTTTGCTACGCTTTTTTTGTATTCTCGCTTTTGAAAAACAAAATAAGAACAAAAGTCAAACATTAATGATAAATAAAATGTTTATTTTTTAAATAGATTTTATTAATCTGTCTCTGACCCTGAAATGAGCAGGATGACGATGATAATATTATATAAAAAAATCTGACACAAAGTTCCCATTTAGGAGAATCGATTGGACAGATTTGTCATAGTCGATCAGACTTTTAATAAAATTTAAAAAAATTATCAATACCTAAAAGAATTTTCAAAAAAATTTCCAGATACCAATGAATCTTTCGAGATATCAGCGTATAAAAACTTGAGATGAGGATAAGTTGATTCCACAGCTTCATTTTCATTTTGATTCTCTGAAACTTCGTAGATCTTCACTGCGTAGGTGACGGATCTAAAATTAGAATTCTTTGATTTGATGTGTGCAAATCCAGTGGCTTGGTTATATAATCTTAACATATACTGATCTGTAGGAATAATACTATAGGTATTGAAGATGAATCTTTTGATCGATGCTGATTTAGATATAAAATTGAATGTCTCGTCTAGACTATAATTGATATCGATTGTGTCGATCAATTGATTTTTGTTGAGCACTCTTTTGATCCATTCATTTGTGGTGTCTGTGATTAGAGTACGAACTTTACAATCTGGTGAACACAGCAGCTCCTCGAACTTGACTGCCACACTTTCAATTACTCTTTTGATAATCATTTTGGTGATATGCATAAAGTGACCACTTATCATTTGAAATTGTTCCAAAGTGATTCTTCCAATTCCAAATGTGGTAAGTTTATGTTGATCGGAAAGTATACTCTTGTATGGATAACTGTATTCGGTAGGTAGTTTTAACTTCTTGATGGAATGAGATAGTAGATCTGATGTGAAATTCCTTTCTCTAGAGATCTCACTGGAGGAAATGTCGAGTGAAGTCAGTCGTGGTAATGTTTTTAACAATAGAAATATATCGCAAATAAAGTACATCTGATAGAATACCAATGATTCGATATTCGGAATATATTCTATAATCGATCTACATTGTTGTAAAGTTATTCCATTTTCTTTCCAGCTTTCATTGAACATACAAAAGCGTCTGACATTATTGAAGATCAATCCCAATTCGATCGGAGAAGAAATAGATTTCTTGGTGATTTCACTTAACAATTTAGTTGAAAATGTGAGATCACTGATATTCTTGAGTACTGAATGTGGATTTAAAACACTGATTCGGAGTAGTTTTGCAAATGAAATTGTTTGTTTGATTGCCTGTTGGGAATTAGGCATTATAGCGAATCGATTGAACAATGATGATATCAACTTGAAAAACTCTTTGGAAACGAGAGCAATCGATAATAACCATCGGTACTTGTTAGGTAGATCGTTAACGTCCAACCACAAGTAGGTATCTTCATGCCAAAGATCACGAATGATTCGATAGATGATCAATGTTGGCAATCGATATTCAACAGTTCCACGATGATATTGTTCGATTGAGTTGTTTGTAACCAACTTTGATTTGATATCATTGATATGTTCTTGATATTCCAATATTGAATCGATTAGAACATCTTTCCTAAATCCCTTGTGTTTTAATGAATATTTAACCATTATTTGAACTAATTCATCTCTATTCAACTTCTTAAGTTCATCTCTGTTATATATTTGCTGTTTATCTAATATCTTTTTTGTTGTCATCTTTTAAACTATTAATTGTAAAATAATTAAACTGTTTCTTTTTTGGAGAAATGATCAATTTTATAAAAAATATCTGTTTTTTTTTTTTTAAATCCTTCCAACTGAGATTTTATTTATACTTGAGTTAGAGACATCGTTAAACTGTGGTAGTAACGACATAATGTAGTGGTATAAAATGATGTTATAAATAAATAGTTATATGTTTAAAAGATGATTGTAAAATAATGAATATAATCTGTTGTTTATTGAGTTCTTGTTGCGCTTATATAATCTTGTTAATTTGTCGGTTGTGGAGTAGTCGGTTGATTGGTATCTTGGAACTACGATTCCAACAACTTGTTAATTTCGCTTTGAAAAATGTGTTATTTTCAAAGAAATGATTATTATCTATTAATTAGTGTTTAAACACTGTTATTATTTATTTTTAAAAAATGTACAAGAAGGAAAATCGAATGGACAAATAATCACATGTTAGAGTCATCACATTCAATGACCCTATAATGGAATTAATTATTTATATCTGAATCTGAATCTGAATCTGAATCAAAATCTGAATCGAAATCTGAATCGAAGTCTGAATCGATAAAGCTAGGGCCAGAGAACTGTGAATCTGTATAAAAAAACTTGAGATGAGGATATCTCGACTCCACAGCTGCATTGTCTTCTTGATTCTTTGAAACGTTGTAGATCTTCACTGCGTAGCTGGTTGTTCTCAAATGATGAATCTTTGATTTGATGTGTGCAAATCCAGTGGCTTGATTCTCTGTTACCAACTTATATTCATCTTTTGAGAAATGGTAAGAGGTGTTGAAAATGAATCGTTTGATCGTTGCTGATTTCGATATCAAACTGAAAGTATCGTCTAGACTATAATTGATATCGATTGTTTCGATTGTTTGATTTTTGTTGACCACTCTTTTGATCCATCCATTCCTGTAGTTTGTGATTAGTGTTCGAACTTTACAATCTGGTAAATACAATAGTTCTTCGAACATGGCTGCCATTCTTTTATCGATTCTTTTGATAATCAGTTTGGTGAAATGCATAAAGTGACCACTTATCTTTTGAATTTGTTGTGGACTGATTCTTCCAATTCCAAAAGTGGTGAGTTGATGTTGATCTGAAAGTATACTCTCGTAAGGACAATGGTCTGATAATGGAAGTTTCAACTTCTTAATGGAGTTCGAGAGTAGATCTGATGTGAAACTCTTGATAGTGAAGATATCAGAGTTGGAAATGTCGAGTGAAGTCAATCGTGGTAATGTTTTTAACAATTTTAAATGCTCGTAACTAATTGACAACTCATTAAATAACAATGATTCGATATTAGGCATGTATTGGACGATCAATTTATATTGTTGTGTTTGCATTGAATTTGTTTTCCAACCCCCATTGATGGTATAGATACACAAACGTCTGACATTGTTGAAGATCAGTCCCAATTCAAACGGAGCACAGATAGTTTTCTTGGTTATCTCATTAAATACCATAGCTGATAATTTGAGACCACCGATATTCTTGAGTACTGAATATGGACTAAAAAAACTACTTCTAAGATGTTGTGCTATGGAAACTGCTTGTTTGTCTGTCTGTAGGGCATTACGGTTGTTTGAGAATCGATTATACAATGATGATATCAATTTGAAAAACTCTTTGGAAACGAGTGAAATTGATAATAGCCATCGGTAGATGTTAGGTAGATCGTTAACGTCCAACCACAAGTGGGTATCTTCATGCCAAAGATCACGAATGATTCGATAGATGATCAATGTTGGCAATCGATATTCAACAGTTCCACGATGATATTGTTCGATTGGGTTGTTTGTAACCAACTTTGATTTGATATCATTGATATGTTCTTGATATTCCAATATTGAATCGATTAGAACATCTTTCGTTTTACCACCATGTTTTAATGAATATTTAACACTTAATTTAACTAACTCATCTCTTTTCAACTTCTCAAGTTCATCTCTGTTATATATTTGTCGTTTATCTAATATCTCTTTTGTTGCCATCTTTTAAACTATAACTTAATTAATCACAAAAAAAATAAATAAATAACGTTATGATAACAAAAATTAACAATTTTTTTGATTTTTTTTTTTAGGTCTTTTAAAGCGTTGTGTCTTTAAAGAATATTTTGCTTAAAACAAACAAATAATACGATAAAAAGTACAGATTTAAATTTCATTTTATTTAATTCTTCCTATTAGGAAGATTATTTCAAATAATTTAGATATCATGATATTAAAGTATGATTTTTTTGTTTTGTTAAATAAATGCCCGATTTTTTTCAATGAGTATGATATTCAAGGATCGATAACAATATCATTTTGATAGACTATCTGTAAGTGTAACCAAACAATAATCACTTGACAATCTGAAGATCAAGGAATTGCATCTGGATTTATCAAATATGGATCGATATTGAGAGATATTCCATTGGGTGTGGAAACTTTAAGCTTTGGAGATAATTGTATCGGTATCTTTTCGGAATGAATTAATATTGTTCTTCTTGACATAGTAAATAATACAATTTTTGCAACAACGATTATAATAAAGATTTTATTTTAATAGACATATCTAAATTTTTTATTTTATTATTCTATCACATTTATTAATAGTTTTTGAATATTTTTTCTTTTTGTTTGTAAAAGATAGTTCGATCAAAGAGAATACTAATATAAAAATAATCAACACATTTATTAATAGCTTTCAAAAGAAGATAGTGAAAAGGAAGTATATGTTTAAATGAATTTTATTTATATAATTAAGAGAATCGATTATCAGAAAAGTCATTATTCATCAGAGTCATCATTAAAATCGAAATCATCGATATCTGATTCTGAATATTCGTCAGAGCGAGAGTAAGATGAAACTGACTCGATTCTATAGTATAAAAACTTGAGATGAGGATATGTCGATTCCACAGCTGTATTGTCATCTTGATTCTCTGAAACGTTGTAGATCTTAGCTGCGTAGCCAACTGCTCTATAAATAAAACTCTTTGATTTGACGTGTGCAAATCCTGTGGCGTGATTATCTATTCCCAACTTATACTGATCTGTCGTAATATCTTTATTGTGGCTGAAAATGAATCGTTTGATCGATGGCGATTTCGATACTAAAGCAAAGGTATCGTCTAGATCGCAGTTGACATCGATTGTGTCGATTAATTGATTTTGGTTGAGCACTCGTTCAATCCATACATATATGGTGTCTGTGATTAGAGTGCGAACTTTACAATCTGGTAAACACAGCAGTTTCTCGAATTTGGCTATCATCTCTTCATTTAATTTTTTAATAATAAGTTTGGTGAAATGCATAAAGTGACCACTTATCATTTGAATTTGTGCCAAAGTGATTCTTCCAATTCCAAACGTTGTAAGTTGGTGCTGATCAGAAAGTATACTCTTGTATGGACTATTGTATCTCATTGGTAGTTTCAACTTCTTGATGGAATGAGATAGTAGATCTGATGTGAATTGTGCGATTTTGGGGAATTCTGATTTGGAGATGTCGAGTGATGTCAGTCGTGGCAATGTTTTTATCGATTGAAGTAGATCAAGACCAATATATGCCTGAAGGAATACCAATGATTCGATATTCGGCATATATTGGACGATCGATTTACATTGTTGTGCTTGTATTGGACTTGGTCTCCAATTTCCATTGTCGTTAGACATACAGAAACGTCTGACATTATTGAAGATCAGTCCTAATTCGATCGGAGCACAGACCGATTTCTTGGTGATAGCACTAAACACTTGAATTGATATTGTAAGATCGCCGATATTCTTGAGTACTGAATGTGGACTCAGAACACTACTTCTAAGATGATGTGCTAAATAAAATGTATCTGCATTTTCGATTCTGTTGTTAGGTTTGGTTTTGAAGCTGCTAAACAATGATGATATCAATTTGAAAAACTCTTTGGAAACGAGAGCAATCGAGAGTAACCATCGGTAGTTTCTACGTAGATTATCAGTGTTCAAACACAAGTCGATATCTTCATGCCAAAGATCACGAATGATTCTATTAATGATCAGTGTTGGCAATCGATATTCAACAGTTCCACGATGATATTGTTCGATTGGGTTGTTTGTAACCAACTTTGATTTGATATCATTGATATGTTCTTGATATTTCAATATTGAATCGATTAGAACATCTTTTCTTAATCCATTATGTTTTAATGAATATTTAACACTTAATTGAACCAATTCATCTCTTTTCAACTTCTCAAGTTCATCTCTGCTAAATATTTGTTGTTTATCTAATATCTCTTTTGTTGTCATCTTTTTTAAAATGTTACAAATAAAATAGACTAGATTTATCAAGATATTTTCACTCGTTTTATATTTTGTTAAATTTTTATAAAAAAAAAAGATAACGTTAATCAGTGAAGTGGACTCCATTTTAAAACATAAGAAAAAGATTTTAATTTTTAATAAAAAAAGAATCTTAAATGAAAAAAGATAAATTTTTACAGATATTTAATAATATTGTATTAAATAAAATTAATATTCAAACATGTTCATAGCATACACAAAGTTGTTAATAAATATGCAAATAAACTAAGTTGGTCACAAGTAGTTAGGAATTCTTATGTAATGGCTTGTAACTCTTATTTAAATGAACTTAAACTATATTATACCGAGCATTCGATCCGTCTTTATTTGTATCAAACGTTTGATGCGGCAATCAAATATGGAAACTTTGAGACATTGAAATATATGGTCGATATGATCAAACCAATAGCAAGATCGAGTTCCCAGCTAATCGATTTCAATGGTCTCTTATATGAAGCAAGCGAGCATTGTAGTTTGGAAAAAATCAAATACATTTGTGAAGAATTCTCAAAGAAGAGATTGAATTACTATTTTGCTTTGGCGGTGGCACCGTTGTCTGGAGACATCGAAATAGTAAAGTACTTGGCTGATAAACTTGCCAGTTGTGAATATTCAAAGATTAGAAAAAAAGATTACGATACGTATGGATCTTTTGATAATGCTGCCAAGATGGGTCGAATCGACATGATTGAATGGTTGGCAGAACATAGATCGCAAGACAGAGAGTTTAGCAGCATGTATTACGGTGCCATTGAAGGTGGACATCTTCATGTCGTTCAATACCTTCTCGATATCAATGAGCCAATCAGACAAGAGCCACACGAAGAACATGGTACATTATTTGACTATTCGATCTTGTACAATCAATTGGCAATAGCAAAACTACTACACCAACATAACATCAGAGAATCACTCGATACTCCAATAGATTTTGCATCCTTAAATGAAAATATCGAAATGTTAGCGTGGCTCTCTGCAAACACGACTGTTACTGCCAGTGAGAGAGTCGTGGACAATGCGGCATTGAAAAACAACATGGAAGTTCTCAAATGGTTAAAACAACATCGAACTGAAGGTTGCAGTCATAATGCATTTGTAGATGTGTGTAGAGAAGGTTATATCGAAGTTGCACAATGGTTATATCGGAATCAAACGATAATATATGAACCTAATGATGCAATCAATGCAGCCGTTGGCAATGGTCATTTAGAACTCGCCAAATGGTTGTTTACAACTCTAAATCAACGACCATCCACAGCGGCAATGAATAATGCTGCAGTCAATAACCACATTCATATGATCAAATGGCTGGTAGATAATTCATTATTCTCATTTTCAACAACAGCAATCGATATCCTATCAAGAAGTGACAATCTTCAAATGATAAAATGGTTGAATGAATATGATCCAAGTGTAGGATGTACAGAAAGAGCTCTATATAGTGCTGCAAGTCGTGGTCGACTGGAAATCATGAAGTGGCTTCGAGAGAACAGAACTGAGATTTCCTGTTTGAAAAAACTAAAACATGGAATTTATTCAGGTGGTGCAGAGACCATCAATTGGGCATTGGATAACTTTGCAATCGATTTGGATGAAATGGTAAACCATTCAAGTAAATTGGATAAATTAGAAGTAGTGGAGATAATTATCAAACGGAATCCCAACTATGTTTGGCAAGATCAATTTATCATACATTCATTTTACCAAGGAGACATAAAAACCATCAAATGGCTCCACGATAATAATATACAAGGTATATTCAATGACAAGTCAATGGAGAGTGCAATCAAAGGAATTCAATTTCCATTAGTAAAGTGGCTCTATGAGAATAGAAGTGAATGTCAATGTACTATTGATGGTTTTGTGGTCGCTATTGAAACTGGATATACGGAGATGATCCATTATCTATTGGGTAAACATCCAGAGTTTGCCAATCAATTATCAAAACCAAAGAGACATCTAGAACATTACTTTAAAAATGATGATATCGAGATGATTGAATTCCTTTTGGAAAACATAAATTTCCCATTGAATAAACTAAATAAGTATCAACGATCTATACAATCTAAGGAATATTCAGATATTTCAAATCAACTATTACAAGATCATATCAAAAAGAAAAACGATCTCTTTGGATAAAGATAAAAACTTTAATAAAAAAGAAATATATTAAAAGTGTTATCGTATCGAATCAAATCACCCTGGTTTAAATTATTTAAATAATTTAGTTATTGTTATTGAATTTTTATTGATACAAGTGGGTGTTATTATCATGATGGTTAGGAAATAATTGAAGTTTTGTTTAAATTAAAAAAGTTTAATTCTGTTTATTTTTTTACTTTTTTTGTTCAAAAGCAATGTCTGGCCAACAATAAGTTAACTTTTGAATTATTTATAATAAATCGGAATCAGAAGAATCGATATTTTGATCGAAGGACGGTGATGCCAAAATCGCAGGAGTGTATAGAAACTTGAGATGAGGATAGGTAGACTCCATTGCTTCATTTTCAGCGGTGTTCTCGGAAACGCTATAGATCCTTACTGCGTAGTTGACTTGTGTTGAATTTCGATATTTCGATTTGGTATGTGCGAAACCTGTTGCTTGATTACCAGATTCCAACTTATAGTAATCTATTACATCTTCATCAACACATTTGTCGAAACCTATTCTCTTGATCGATGGTAGTTTAAATAACATAAATGACATCTCCCACAGCTGAAAACTAGTATCGAATGTAGTTATCGTTTTATTTTTGTTGAACACTCGATAGAGCCAACCATAATCCAAATCAGTTCGGATAGTGCGAACTTTACATTCTGGCGAACACAACAACTCCTCGAATTTGGCACCGACATCCTTAGTAATATTTTGGATAACAAGTTTGGTGAAATTCATAAAGTGTCCACTGAACATCTGAATTTGTTGCAAATTGATTTTTCCAATGCCAAATGTGGTGATCTGATGCTGGTCGCACAGTATACTCTTGTATGAATGAACGCTACTCAAAGGTAGAATCAACTTCTTGATGGAACTAGATATTAGTTCCGATGAGAAAGCCAGGTCTTTTTTGATGAGAGATTCCGAGAGATCGAGTGAAGTCAGTTGTGGTAATGTTTTTAATAATGGAAATACTTCGAGGTTGGTAATCGATATTTGGTTGAGTGTCAATGATTCGATATTCGGCATGTATTGGACGATCGATTTATATTGTTGTGTTGTGAGAGTACCAAATTTGAATTCGCCACTGTTAGCCACTAAACAAAGATGTCTGACATTGTTGAAGATCAGTCCCAATTCAATCGAAGAGGATTTCTTGATGATTTCATTGAAGATTTCAGATGATAACGTGAGATCACTGATATTCTTGAGTACTGAATGTGGATTCAAAACACTTTTCTTAAACTGTTGTGCAAGAAGAGATATAGGTTGCTTCTTGGATTTTTGATGGAAATATTTGATACGACTGAATAACGATGATATTAGCTTGAAGAACTCTCTGGAAACCAGACTGATCGAGAGAAGCCATCGGTACTTGTTACGTAGATGATCAAAGTCCAACCAAAAATCGATATCTTCATGCCAAAGATCACGAATGATTCGATAGATGATCAGTGTTGGCAATCGATATTCAACAGTTCCACGATGATATTGTTCGATTGAATTGTCTGTAACTAATGTTGATTTGATATCATTGATATGTTCTTGATATTCCAATATTGAATCGATTAGAACATCTTTCTTTAATTTATTATGTTTTAATGAATATTTAACCATTAAACTAACCAATTCATCTCTTTTCAATTTCTTAAGTTCATCTCTGTTATATATTTGTTGTTTATCTAATATCTCTTTTGTTGTCATCGTTTAATACAAAGTATAAAAACGATAAAATAGATTAATATAGTTGTTTTTACAAAAAAAAATCTGGTGGGACCAAAAAAAAAAAAGGAAAAAAAAAAAATAAAATATATGTATTTTTCTAAAAGTTTCCCATCCATCGTGTTTTAATGAATATTTAACCATTAATTTAACTAATTCATCTCTTTTTAACTTGCTAAGCTCATATCTTTTATATATTTTTGGTTTATCCAATATCTCTTTTGTTGTCATCTTTTAAACTGTTAAAAAAAAAACTTAGAAACTAAAAACTTCTTTTTTTTACAAAAAAATCGGTGCTAAACAATTTATGTTAATCATTGTTGAACTAAAAAATAATCTAATTTATTCTTTCTTTGGTTCAATTAGTATACCTGATCATATATATAAGTAAGATATAATTATGTAAATAATTTTGAAGATTCTTTTTTGGTCAAGAATTTAGATTAAAGTTGTTTTTTTATTTTATTTTAAATTAATATTGTAAATTAAATTAATCACTGTCACTATCACTATCACTGTCGCTTTCGCTGCTCGACGACGATGAAGATGAAGACGATGAGGATGATGAATCTTTCTTTTTAATAGAAACGACGTCGGCTTTAGTATCTTTTTCACTTTCACTGTCACTGCTATCGCTGCTGCTGCTGCTGCTACTGCTACCACCTTCATCATCACTCTCACTGCTACTGCTATCATCGCTACTACTGCTATCGTCATCTTTTGCACCACTATCTTTCTTTTCTTCTTCACTCTCGGAGGATGATGAAGAATCATCACTATCGGAGGATGAAGAATCTGACTCGGCAACTGTCTTTGTATTTGTTTTCTTTTCACTTTCACTTTCACTTTCACTGCTACTATCACTATCACTATCACTACTGCTATCACTTGATTTCTCAGCATCACTTTCATCACTACTATCACTGCTATCTACTTTCTTTATTGGTTTTAGCTCTTTAACTTTAACTTTATCTTCACTTTCACTGCTACTATCACTATCACTATCACTACTATCGCTGCTGCTGCTGCTGCTTGAGTCTGATGATGAAGAATCTGAATCTGAATCTGATTTATCTTTTGACTCTTTCTTTGTCTTGGCTTTAGCTTTACTATCACTATCACTATCACTACTATCGCTATCACTGCTACTTGAACTACTATCATTGTCACTGCTGCTGCTTGAGTCTGATGATGATTCTACTTTTTTCTTCTTATCTTCTTTTTCACTTTCTGATGATGATGAAGATGAAGATGATGAGCTGTCACTATCACTATCACTATCATTACTATTCTTTTTATTACTCTTTACATCTTGCTTAATATCTGATTTCAATTGTTTATTACTATTATTCTCTTTATCGTTGTTTGATTCTTTCTCTTTTGTTTCTAATTTTCTTTTATTATCATTATTATTTGTTATACTATCATTGTTATCTGGTTTACCGTTATTATTATAATTATTACTGTTTTTATTATTATTGTGATTTGAGTTATTATGATTACCATTTCCATTGCCATTACTATTATTACTATTATTATTTCCATTATTGTTATTCTTGTTATTGGCTTGATATTTAGGTCCTTTATAGTATTTACCCATGACTTTCTCTTCCTATAAATTAATAAAATGATTAGTAATCATTCTAAATATTTCAAACATGTTTGATGTTCACTTACTTCAGTCATACAAACACTGTGTTTAGTGTAGTCTTGATTTGAGAATCTCTCACCACATTGTGTACATGAATATGATGCAAATCTACACTTCCATGTATGTGTTGAAACTTGTGCTTTCTTTAAGACATGTCCACATGAATCACATGAAAAATGAGGCATTTTATAAATATATATCTATCTGTTTAGTATAATAATTAAATTATAATAATAATTATAAAGAAAATAAAAGAATTTCTAAAATGAATTGAATAATAAAAAAAAAAAAAAAAAAAATGATTAAAAATAAAATCAAAAAATCATGAAAATTCAAACTTTCGTTCGTTTCAATCAAACAATGAAAAAAAAATACTTTATTTATTTTAATTTTTTTTCATTTTTGTTTTTTTTTATTTTTACGAACGACTTTTTTTTTTTTTTTTTTTTTAAATCATCAAATATTTAATTTTTTGATTAAATATATATCTTTTTTTTTTTTTATATATCTATATCTATTTCTTAATTTAATAAATAAATAAGGTGTTTTTTTTTTTAAGATATTTTTTTTTAGATTCTCTTTAGATATAGATAGATAGATAGATATAGATTAGATAAGAAGAAAAGATAGAGAGATATAAGGATGAGTGAAGAATTAAGACAGTTGGTTACACCACATATAGACAGTTATGACTTCTTCGCTGAGAAAGCGTTGAGTATAATTGTGGCAGGATTGCCACCTGTCTACATCAACAACAGAGCAGAGAATGCCGACTCCACTCAGAAGCACTGGCGTCTGAAGTTCAAGGATGTCACAATTTCAAAGCCAATCAAGTCTGACAACCGTCAACTCTTCCCAACGGAATCACGTCAGTCCGGTACTAGCTACTCCGCGCCAATGGTTGGAACCGTCGCGCTCCTAAAGTCGCCAACTTCCGACGAGGAGCACGAAACCTACAACGTTCAACTCGGTAACATTCCGGTGATGGTCAACTCGTCGCGTTGTCACCTGCGCGGACTCACTTCGGCGCAGCTCGTCAAGAACCACGAGGAGGAGCTGGAGGTCGGTGGTTACTTTATCATCAACGGTAACGAGAAGGTAATGAGAATGCTGGTGGCGAACAAGGCGAATCACCCGATTGCCCTGACGCGTCAGGGTTGGACCAATCGTGGTCCAGGTTACACCAAGTTTGGTGTGACACTGCGTTCGGTGCGACCCGACCGTAGTTCGCTCACCAACAATCTCCACTATATCTCTGACGGTCAAATCACCTTCCGTTTCTACTTTAGACGTCAGGAGTACTTCATCCCGGTCACCCTCCTGCTCAAGGCGTTGGTGGACACCACCGACAAAGAGATTTTCACACAGATCGTGCAGGGTGACTTTGAGAACACCTTCTTGACCGATCGTGTCGAGCTGACACTGCGTGAACAGAAAGTGAAAGGACTCAACACAAAGGATGAAATTCTCGACTACATTGGTTCGCGTTACCGTCACAAAGCCAACCTGCCAGATTCCTTCACCAACCAACAGATCGCCGAGTACATGATAGACAATTTCTTCTTAGTACATCTTCCAGATTATAGAGATAAATTCAATATTTTAATGTAAGCAAATTGAATATTATTTTTTATTAGTTCATACATTTATTGACAATTATCATCATCATCATCATTATTACTATTTACACAGTGTTATGATTCAAAAGTTATATGCAGTTGTACAAGGAAAGAATGGATGTGACAATATCGATGCAACTAGTTTCCACGAAGTTTTACTTCCAGGTCATATTTTTTTCAACTATTTTAAGAGAGAGATTGACCGAATATCTCGAAGTGAGTCGAGCCATGTATTTAAAGGCAATCAATGCACAAAAGACAATCAACGAAGATCTTGCATTCAAGAAAGCATTCGATAGATCACTCAATATCGGTGAGAAATTTAATTATTTCTTGGCAACCGGTAATTTAGTTTCATCATCCGGTTTAGATTTACAACAAGTAAGTAGTAGTAACTTATTATTATTATCTTCTTAACTTATAATATTATATATATTAATATTTTATTTCTATTATAATAGACTTCTGGTTTCGCAATTATTGCAGATAAACTTAATTTCATTCGTTATATTTCACATTTTAGATCGATTCATAGAGGTGCTTTCTTTGCAACAATGAAAACAACCAGTATTCGTAAATTGATGCCAGAATCTTTTGGTTTCCTCTGTCCAGTACATACACCAGACGGTGCTCCATGTGGTCTACTTAATCATTTGTCCGCCAACTGTATAGTAAGTAACATTTAATTTAGAGAATTCTTTAAATGATTTGTTCATTCAATTTTCTAATAACAACAATTCAATCATCTATTGTTATTATACTCAGATCACAAAAGATCCATCTCAAGATGAAAAATCAAAGGAAGGTGTTAGATTGTTACCTTCATTTTTAATGGCACATGGTGTCACTTCGATCGATGTCACTACAAATTTCCAACCGAATTCACTACCGGTTATGCTCAATGGAAAACTGATCGGTAGAATCAACGATGGTTTGGCACAGGATTTGGTAGATCTTCTGCGTTATCTCAAGTCGACAGGCGATGAAAAAGCCGTACCTCAGACAATGGAGGTTGCCTACGCACCCAAAGAGCAATCCAAGGGTGGACAGTATCCAGGTATCTTCTTGTTCACCACTGGCGCACGTTTCATGCGTACCGTTATCAATTTGAAGTCCGGAAAGAACGAGTTGATCGGTCCACAAGAGCAACTCTACATGAATATCTCGATTATGCCAGAGGAAGTTCGTGACTCGACCACTCACTGCGAGTTGTCGCCAACCGCCATGTTCTCGGTCGAAGCCAACTTGACTCCGTTCTCCGACTACAATCAATCGCCAAGAAATATGTATCAATGCCAGATGGCTAAACAGACTATGGGTACCCCACTCCATTCCTACGCGTATCGTACCGACAACAAACTCTACAAAGTTCAAAACATCCAACGTCCGATTGTCGCCACTGAGAATCAATCGAAATACCGCATCAATGACTATCCACACGGTTGTAACGCTGTGATTGCTGTCGTCTCCAACACCGGTTACGATATGGAGGACGCTATGATTATCAACAAGTCTGCGTTCGAGCGTGGATTCGGTCATGGATCGGTCTACAAGAATGAATTCGTAGATATCGATGAAGGTAAATCGCGTCTGGAAATGGGTAAAACCTCTATCTCTCGTCCGAACTACACCTCTGACAATTTGGATCAATGGATTGACCGCGACGGTCTTCCCTATATCGGTCGTCTCATCAAGCCTGGCGAACCATACTACACCGTGTTCTCAACGATCGAGAACAAACAGGTCACAAAGAACTACAAGGGTAAGGAGGATGCCTGGATCGAAGAGATTATGATTCTCGGTGGATCCACTCAGGTTCGTGCATCGACGATGATCACCAAATTCGTAGTGAAGCTGCGTTTCGATCGTAACCCGGTGATCGGTGACAAATTCTCGTCGCGTCACGGTCAGAAGGGTGTCCTCTCACAGCTCTGGCCAGAGATCAACATGCCATTCACCGAATCCGGACTGAAACCCGACGTCATTATCAATCCAAACGCTTTCCCATCACGTATGACCATCGGTATGTTGGTGGAGATTCTCGCGGCCAAAGCCGGAGCGATCCACGGCAAGTTCCAAGACGCCACAGCATTCCGCTTCAACGAGAAGAATTCGGCCGTCGAGTTCTTTGGTGAACAACTGAAACAAGCCGGTTTCAATTACTACGGTAACGAACCGATGTACAGTGGAACGACCGGTGAGGAATTCCACGCCAATATATTCTTTGGTATCTGTTACTACCAGCGTCTGCGTCATATGGTCAAAGACAAATACCAGGTGCGTGCAACTGGTCGCGTCAACAACATAACACGTCAGCCGATCAAGGGTAGAAAGGTCGGTGGTGGTATCCGTTTCGGTGAGATGGAGCGTGATTCACTCTTGGCACACGGTACATCGTTCTGTTTGAACGATCGTCTCATGAAGAGCTCCGACTATTGCAAGGCCACCGTCTGCAAGCAGTGTGGATCGACGACATCCGTTGCCATCCAGAAATCAAACTACAGCCAATTCACAAGCTCCACCTGTATCACATGCAAAACCGACGAACATTTGACCAACATTGCACTTCCATACGTTTTCACATACTTGATAGCAGAACTGGCATCAGTAAACATCAGTTTGAAATTACAAATAAAATAAAATTAAAAATAAAATAATTTAAATTAAAAATCAAATCAAAGAAAAGACACCTTTTTTTATCTTTATTGAATCAAATTAAAATGTAATAAAATTAATCAATAAAATTCCTTTTAAATGTTAACAATTGGAATTATTTATTTTTTTTTACGAAAATAAATACGATTTAAATTTATTTTAAATCAAGCACCCTTTCCCCTTACTAAAGTTTTCAATGAAAAATTTTTTGTTTGAAATAATAAAAAATAAAATTAAATCTTTTTTTTGGGAATGATTTGATTGCTTTTAAAAAAAAATGTTGTTTTTATGATAATCACGTGATTGATTGTTACTGTTATTTTTGTTTTAATTTTATTATTTATTTTTTATTCTTTAACTTATTATTATTTTGTTATTTTTGTTTTAATTTTTTGAAAATATTTATTTTAATATTTTTAAATAATAAAATAAAGAAAAATGATAACTAATAGTAATAACAATATTAGTGGTCAACAACAACAACAACAACAACAACAACAACAACAACAACAACAACAGCAAATGAAACCACAAATAACATATAAGAAATCAATGGATGAACAAATGAGAGAGATAGAATCGATGAACTTACTTTTGAAAGAGGAGAGAGAACGATTCGAGAAAGAGAAAGAGAAATTCGAAGAGGAGAGAAAGATCATCTTTGACAGTCTTTCAAAGTGTGTTGGCAGTGGCAGTGCAAATATCGGTAAAAACATTGCCAAAGCCATAAAGAAAGCAGAGAAACTACAGAAAGAGAAAAAAGAAAAGAAATCGATATCGCTTATCGCCAGCACAGGAAATGTAAATGGAAATATAAATGGAAATGGAAATGGAAATGGTGTTAATCTTACGGCATCAATTTTCAATGTAAATAGTAGTAATAATAGTAATAGTAGTGATAGTGAAGATAATGGATCTGTTGTCGTTGTTGGTACACCCTTCAATGTTAAACACAAGGTACATGTCGATATTGATTATAAGTGGACCGGTGAGGAATCGATCGATAAGGTATTTCAATTTCAAGAGCTGCTGGGAACTGGTTCCTACGGTGAAGTGCATCTTGCCAAACATCGTGATAACAACTATACACTGGCGGTGAAAGTCATACCTCTGAAAGATTCATCAGAGATCGAGAAAGAGATTACCATCTTGAAGAAATGTAAATCAAGTAATATCGTTTCTTATTATGGATGTAGTAACTCCGGTGATAATCTATGGGTATGTTTTATATGTTAATCAGTCAAACAAACAATATATATACTAACTAACAACAACAACAACAATGACTTGTTATAGATTTTAATGGATTATTGTAGTTTGGGATCGATTAGAGATATGTTGGAGTTGACAGAGAAGACACTGAGTGAGAAACAGATATCCGCTATTGTATTGCAAGCCTTGAAAGGACTGCATTATCTACACTCCAACCAGATCATTCATAGAGATATCAAAGCAGCCAACATTCTTTTGAATGAAGATTCCGTTGTAAAACTAGCTGACTTTGGTGTAAGTGCACAACTCGAAGATGAACTATCAAAATCAACTGAATTCATTGGTACTCGTATGTATTTGTATTTGTATAAAAATTAGATTGTTTCTTTGTCGTTGTATTAATAATAACTATAACTATGATTTATGATAATGATAGCATTATGGATGCCACCAGAAATCATACAAAAAAAACCGTATGATAATAAATGTGATATATGGTCACTTGGTATCACTATTATCGAGATGGCAGAGGGTTATCCACCCTATTTCAATATGGCACCAACACGTGCAATGCTAATGATACCAAACAAGTCACCACCTACTCTTTCGAAACCAACTCACTACTCGAAGGAATTGAATGATTTCATTGCATGTTGTTGTCAAAAGGATCCAGAGAAACGTCCATCTGCATTAGAATTGTTAGCTGTAACTATCTATCTATAGATTGTTGTTTTTATATAATTCTTTGATAGTTATTAACATAATATTGTTGTTTGATAAATCAGCATCCATTCATTCAAAATACAGCGGCTGGATCAACAGAGACTTTGAAACCACTGATTGAAGAATGCTTAAAGAAGAGAGCAAAGAAGAGGCAAGCTGCTGCTGCCGCTGTATCATTAAAAGAGAAAGGAAAAGAGAAGGAGAAAGAGAACAAGGAGAAGGAGAAAGAGAAAGAGAAGAAATCATCTTCTTCTTCATCTTCATCGTCATCGACAAAAGAGAAAGATCAAAAGTATGTTGGATCGAGCACGATGATTATTAAAGAGGATGACGAACAATCGGAAGCCGCCAGTACATTCATTATGCACGATGACGATAGTCTTATACCGGATAACGACAACGACAGTGATACCGATACCAATCAATTCGGTACAATGGTTGTACACGACGATGACGACAATGATGACGATGTCAAAAGTAACATACCTGACTTTATAGCTGCACTTAAACGTACACTAAGTGAAAGTGGTGGTATAACTAATAGTAACAATAACAATAGCAATAGCAACAATTCAAAAGTAGTAATTCCAATTACAAATACATCTACAACTACAACTTCTTCTTCAATAATAACAACAACAGCATCAGCATCAGCAGCAGCAACAGTGTCAAATTCACAAATCGCTCAATTGGAATCTACTATTGCTCAGTTAAAGAATGATGTCGCTGAGCTACAGAGTGTGTTGAAACAACATGTAACCAATGAGTTGAAACACTTTAAGAGTGAAATGGTCACAGAGATTGGTATTATGATCACCGATAGAATGATTACAGAGTTACCGACACCACCTGCTACAAAGCCATCTTCCACACCGATCAGCGGCAACGGATCACCATTCAACGTTCAACTTAAAAAGACACCTTCAAGTAATCATATCTCACCCTCACTTTCCAAACCACCTCTTCAATTAAGAAGATCACCTGTACTTTCTAGTCATACTGTAAATAGTAATTTAACAACAAATTCAACAACAACAGCAAATTCAACACCATCAAATTCAACTACATCATCAACAAATTCAAATGTAATAATACCACCTATTTCTACTACTCCTTCAAATGAACAACACCAACAACAAACACCAAAAACAACAACAACAACAACAACTAATACTACTACTTCTACTTCTACTTCAAATTCCAATTCAAATGGAAGTGGTAATAAGAGATTGTCAACAAGCTATAGACCACCTTCACGTGTAAGTAGACCACCTACACCATCTCAACAAATGAGAGCAACAGCAGCGGCATCAGCATCATCGGAACAACAAGATCCAAATGGTTCTACACCTACTAGCGATCAGAAACCCAAACCACCATCTAGACCAACACCACCGATTCCAAAGGTTTCACCTTCCATCAACAAGAGAGCACCGTCACCCTCGCCCTACAAGAAACCAGCAGGTGCAGTATCACCTCGTGCTCCACCTCCTTTGCCACCCAGTCGTAACCTACCTTCAACCCCACAGAACAGCAGCAGTAACAGCCAAGCAGTACTTGCAGGACTCAAACCAACTTCACCATCAAGCCCATATGTACCACCAAGATCAACATCATCATCCTCATCATCATCAACTAATATTAGTAATAATTCCTCATCAAATGTAAACAATCTAAAGAGAAGATCAACTACTTTAACAACGGGTGTCAATAATGGTGCCAGTGGAAGTGGTAGTAATCCAAATAGATTATCTACAACTTTAAATAGAGAGACAACCACAACTACTACCACATCTTCCTCATCATCATCATCAAAACCATCAACTATTCAACAATCTACATCTTCATCATCACTTTCATCTAATGCATCATCCACCTCTTCAAAGAGTTCTTCATCAACACCATCTTCCTTAAGGTTGAAAACAAAACAAGTTAAAGAAAAGGCAATGTCTATCTTTTCTCCAAAGAAATAACTTTATAATTATTTTAATAAATATTTATTGAAAATAGGTTTATATATATTATATCTATTCATAACAAAAGATTAGTCCAAAAAAGGAAATTATATTAGATCATGATTCTTTGCAAAAAAAAATAATAAAAAGAATGCATCGCAATTTTTGAATCAATAAAAAAAAATTGCAAAAAAAATAATCCGAAAATTTTTAATAATAACATTTGATTCACACTCAAAATTTTAACACACCCCAATTATCAAATCCATTCCATTTTTATTAAATATAATTGCACATGTGCATTCATTCAATTAATTAATTAACAATTTTTTTTATACATATTAAATTAATTAAGAAAAAAATATATATATATTGTAGAATAAAATGAATAATATTGAAGAGGATCAAAAACATCAACAAGATTCAGAGAAAAAGAATAATAATATGGTGGTAGATAAAGAAATCATAGGTAATGGACTTAATCCACCTTGGGATAGCGAGAGATCGATTGAGGTTTACAGAGATGGTTTCTATACAAAGTTGACACACGGTCTGACATTCTATCAGATATTCGAACCTGTTTCATCGACTACCTCACCAACCACTACCACCTACGAACCACGATTGATTCGATCGCTCGAAGATAAACAGTCGCCAGTAAAGAAGACAAAGGTAGTACTTTGCATGCATGGTATTACATGGTGGTCCGTTTCATTCCATCCCGTTGTTAAACCATTAATTGAACAAGGCTATACTGTTTTATTATTTGGTATGTTTGTTTCTCAGTTCCTCCTTATTTACAAACTATTTCTAATATTATTATTATTATTATTGCTTTACTAATTGATCTGCAGATTTTTATGGAAGAGGTAGAAGTGATACTCCAGATATACAATATACTTTGGATGCATTTTTGGGACAGGCAATCGATTTGATTGATTATTTAAATATAGAGAGTGTTTATCTCATTGGATATTCGATGGGTGGTGCCGTCGCTACGTTGTTTGCAGCGACACACCCACAAAGAATCATAAAGCTTCTTCTAATGGCACCGGCAATCATACCGGTAGCTGTTCCATTCATGGCGAAACTAGTGACATGGCCATACATTGGTAAATTTCTTTTTAAATTGGCTGGTGCAAAATCAATGATTAATAGATTAGATACGTATGTTTAAAAATCAATAATTCAATAGTTGATAATTATTGGTAATTGTTAATCTAACATCATCATCATCATAATCATAATCATCATTATTTATAGTGAAAGATTTAAGAATGATGTATCAGATCCATCTAAAATAGATCCAAGAATAATAGATGATTTAATTGCCAAAGTTAAATGGCAGATCAACGAAAAACCAGGTTTTTTGGACTCATTCCACAGCACACTTTATTGTATTCCCTTTTCAAATGGACAACTTCATTTACTACCAAATATTCCAACAAATTTATCAATAACCATTATTTTGGTATGTTTGTTACTTATATTTTACAAATTGATTTCTTGATCTCTTTTGTTTGAACTAATTAATTGATCATAATATATTTATTATTTTAGGGTACAAAAGATGCAATCATACCATATACGCAGAGTCAAACATTATTAAAGAATCATCTACCACAGGCAACCCTAGCGACTTTAGAATGTGGACATGCATTTTCAGTTGAAGTACCAACACAACTTACCGAAATCATAATTGATAGCTTTGCTGTTGATAAGTAACTCAAAAGATCTAGCGAGCAAGACAACGCAAGCGGACACTAATATTGTAAAAATTCATCTATACATTAAACTAAATTATTTCCTATATCTTTTTGCCTCTTTCCGTATATCACATATTTTTATTTTTATAATAATAACAAGTTTTTGGGGGAATTAAAACTGACTTCATTTTAAAAACCATTCAAAAAAAATGGCATTTTTGGTTTTTTTAAAATTAATTTTTAAATTTTTAAAAATTTTTTTGTTACTGTGATCTGATTAAGAAGTCAACAAGTTGTGTTGTGTGTAATCTATTAAATCGTCAAATCATCAAATCATAAATCTTAATATATAAAATGACCAGTATACCTGTTTGTTACAGTTGCAAACAACCTATTGTAGATGTCTGCCTATCAGCTTTCGGATTACAATGGCATCCTTATCACATTGGATGTAATATTTGTGGAAAGGTATAATAGATAGATAAGAGAGAATATTATTAGAGTAGTTAGTTTGAGAAGAGAGGAGAGGAGAATAGAAGAGGGAAATTTAAGAAATAGAGTATTTTAGCTTAGAAATAATATCAACAAAGTAAAAAAAAGACTTACACTTAATCTTTGTTGGTTTAGGATTTCTCAGATGGTTCTAGATGCGAAGAAGGACCAGACGGATTTGCATATTGTTCAAAAGATTTTCTTGATAAATTTGCACCAAAATGTTTCAAATGTAATCAAGCTATTTTGGGTCAAATCACCAATGCCCTAGGTAGAACCTATCATCCAGAGCATTTCTCATGTGAAACATGTCAAGTAAATATATATTGCAGCAGATTCATAACAGTTTACACAAAATTTTAACAAAACTCAACATGTTGTATAGATGCAACTACAAGGTAACTTTTTCCATACAGACGATAATACACCATATTGTGAGAAACACTATTATGATACCATAGGATTTTTATGTGGACACTGTGAAAAACCAATTTTATCTGGTAAATGTATTGTTATGGGAACAAAGAGATTCCATCCAGAGCATTTCTTTTGTTCATTCTGTAAGACTGCTTTATCTGGTGTAGGGTAAGTTGATCAATTATTGGAAATTTAGATTTTTAATTTATATTAATAAATTAATTTATAATAAACAGATATAAGAGACAAGGTGATAAACCATACTGTCAAGATTGTCATTTGAAGCTCTATGGTTAAACGATTAAACACATAGTCAGAAAAATAATGGAATCAAACAAGATATATTGAAAAGAAAAAGAAAAATAAACTAAACTAAAAATAAAATTGTATAATCAATCAGCCAGTCAGTCAGACATATTTATAATCTATCTATAAGCTAAGCTAAGCTAAGCTATAGCTATTTTGTTTTGTTTTGTTTTTTTTGTAAAGTTTATTCTAAAGAATGAATAATATATATATTAAATAATCTATGAATTATCGTGAATGATATTCTTTGGATATAAATATGGATGTTCGATAATGAAGTTTCTATAGTACAAGAGAACAACCATTGGTTGTCCCAAGACGATGCTAAACCAAAATATAACATTTCCAAGATTCATTCCATTCAATAAATTCTTTGTAAGTGCAATTAATACCATCTAATTAAAAAAGCAATAGTTAGTTACTCTAATGATAACAATAATAATAATAATAATAATAATAAGTCTAATAATTATTACTTACTTGACTCATAATACCAAAGAATGCCCACAACTTGATTGTGTGGAAAGGTACGCTGATAACTAGCTCGTGGAAGATGGCAGAGACAAAGAAACACATAAAGTAACCAGCGTTCTTTGAATAGCCACGTCTTCTCATTGGTGTGTAAATCATAACGACCATCCAGTGATGTACAGGCATATTCCAAGTTCTCCAGAAATAATCTAATCCAGTACTATTCCACCAATCTCTATAGAACTCACGGTCACCAAATCTTGTAAGCTCTGCACAAATATTCAAATATAAATGGAAAAATACATAGAATCCTAATAACCAAACATAAAGATTTGGTAACTAACAATAGTAATCAGAAAACTAGATGTTAATAACTAATGTAATAATAATAATATCATATCTAATATGCTTACAGATAACTTCATAATTCTCTCAATAATTCTAACGAAATCATATTGTTCCATTGGCAAGACACTGTTTTCAACAAGTGGTACCATGTATTGCTCGACCATCCAGAAAATCAAAGCTGATAAGAATAACTATAATATAGAGTTATATTAGTATTAATATTATTATCCTATTCTTATTGTTGTAAACAATTACTTACAGCTTCAACAATTCTTCTTAATAAAAACATTTTTCTAATTCTTGGTGATCTTGGATATGAAAGTTGATAAACTAAAGTTGGAATCAACATATACCAATATGTATCTAGAATATATAATCAAGCGGATCAGTTAGTTAGTTAGTTAGTTTAACAATATGTTGTTATAACATACTGGATAATGAAAGATTGTTTGGATAAACAGAAGTATCTCCGTTGAGTACAAACTTCTTGGTGTCTGGATGCATGTGGCGTTGTTTGTTGTTCTCATAGGCGTAGGAGATGATCTTCATACTGAATGTGCAGACGAGGATCATGACAAAGATACCAGATGCTGGGTTTGGTGAGAACAAAACGATCGAGGTACTTGGGATGATGACCATACCGGAGCAGTTGAGAATTCTCAACGAGTAGAACATCGAGTGTGGCAAGAGATTCTGTGAAGCGGCTTTCTCAATGAGGTAGGCCATGATGATAAAGAAGTTCAAACTCAAACCAATCATGGCACCCGGCCATCTATGCCATTCAGAGATAGCCAACAATCCCAAATCAATTCTGATACCATATGTCAAATGATTCAAAATAACCAATCTAAAACTTGTCAATATCTTGAGTTAAATAGTTAAATTGTTAGAATGAATATAGAAATGTTAATTAGAAAGTTACTTACAAGTAATAAAACCATGAGATTCAAGAAACCTCTGTAACTGGCACCCGTTGACTCACTACTGAGTATAGATGGACGGAGTGCAAACAGACCGACATCACGTGGAAGTGAAGCTGTTGTACCAAGTGCTGCTGTTGCTGCCGGTGCTGGTGCCGACGACGACAACGATACTCCGGTGGAGGATGCAACTGGTTGCTTTTCAGTTGGTGAAGTTGAAACTACACTGGCGGTGTTAAGTGGTTGTTGTTGTTGTAATTGTTGTTGCTTTTGAATTTGTTGTCTTTGTTGTTGTTGTTGTTGTTGCTGTTTGGTGTTATTTAATTTAACGCCTGGCTGTAGGTTAACACGTTGCGTTGGATGATGGTGACTATGGTGAATTCCTGTGGTGGCAGGCGGATTGTTCAAGAAGAACTCAGAGTCTGACTCTGACTCTGTGTCTGATGATACGCTGGGTGCATTGATTCTCGATTGATTACGATCCATCTTTTTGACTTCGTGTGAGATGAATCTGTTTCTGACTCGTTCAATCTCAAACTCTTTGGCATCGATATTTGACTTTTTGTTACCATTGCCATTGCTATTTCCATTGCTATTGCCATTGCCAGACGGACTCGTTGTTGTTAAAGCATCCATTTTTCAAAAAAAAAAAAGAAAAGAAAAACAAAAACAAAAAAATAGATATATATCTTTTCTCTCTGTGTCTCTCTCTATCTTGACTAAACTATCTATAGATAATTTATTTTTTGATCAAAAATAATCTTTTTTTTTATCTGCTCACACACAAAAATTGATTGGAATAAAATAGTTAAAGATCGGAATTTATTTTTATTTTTAATTTAATTTTTTTGGCTTGTTTTTGTTTTTTTTTTTAAAAATAAATGTTTTATTGAAGTGTGTGTTTTTTTGTCAATCATTTATAAAGGGGTGTGTTGATTGACTTAATGATGTTAATATATTCCTAAAAAGGTAATATTTCTTCTTGTTCTTCTTCTGCAAAAATATATGTATAACAAACTTAAGAGCATAACATAGCATTGCTAACTTTACTCTATTTGTTTTTTGAACATTTGAGCTTTATGTTTGTTCAAATATTTGAGTATTATTAAAAAAAAATGGTGTATGATTAAAAGTAGAACTAAAAAATGATTTAGTTAATATTTTCTTTTTTTTTTTTTTTTGATCAAAATTAATTCTTTGGCAAAGATATCTCAAATGAATATCAACAAAGCCAAGCCATCAAATATTCTTCATCTTTCAATTTGTTATTTTTAAATGAGGTTGCAATTTAATTTATAAATATTTTCTAACTTTCATTTTAGATTTATAATATATCTATAGATAGATTGACTTTTGTATAAGGAATGATAAATCAATAAATAAAATGGATAATCAATCAGATCGAATCGAATCACAAAGAATCTAAACAAATAACCACCACCAAATTGTTTTTATCGATAAAAACAAAAAGGATAGAAAATGATCCGAAGGTATCATCATGAATCTTGCTCCAAAGGTCCTTAACGAACTCTCTCTTGCAATTCAATTTCACTATTGTTTACTATTTTTAGATTTAAATGGGTTTGATTCTAAACAAACAACAACATCTAAATTTCAATCAAGCGTCAAACTAACCGGGTTTTTTGTTGGCTTCAATTTGCAAACATTACTACTTTTTATTACAATAAAGCCACACTGCAATATTTAGGCATAATAATTTTTATTTAATTTGCACAAAAAAAAAAAAAAAGCGAAAAAGAATACCTTTTTTTAACCAGGTCACATAATTCTTTTAATTCAAATGAATTTGTGCAATTCATTAAAGTTTTGCACATATATATTTCATCAAAATTTGATCTATTTATTTTTTTGCAAATTAATTTTCACATTATTTCACAACTTTTTTATCACCTGATAGATGATTCGTTATGATGTTTAATGCATGATGATGGGGTGATAGGTATTTAAGTGGGTGTTTTTTTTTTTTTTTTTTTTTTTCAATCTCCTAGGAGCATATTAAAATGAATTATTTATCAATTTTCAATCATATGATACCTAGGTGATGGTGCCAGCTAAACGGTTTAAAAAAGGTAATATATATTAATGTGTGTTGCGTTTAAATAGCAATCAATCTTAATTAATTTCTTTCATTTTCAAAAAAAACTAGTTATTGGTTGACAAGTAAAAGCTTAATTTACCTCACACGCACACTTATCTATCTTTACTATCTGTATATTTGTAAATCTTATCCTGTCCTATCATTATTATTGTTTAATATATAAAATAAAATATATCACCATATATTTCCTATTTAAATATTTTTTTGTTTTTACAGATAATTCATTACAGATATATTTGCTTTGTTATTGTTTTATTATTTTTTTGACATATATATAACAGAATATTCAATTAAAAATAAATATTAATATTTAAAACAAAAACAACAATAACAATACTTAACTTCATTTTTAATATTACCTCTGAGTACTAAATCCATATTTTAATATAATCAATAAATAATATTTTCTTAATAATATAATAATAATAAATAAATAAAAATGACTCAGAATTTTAAACCTAGTATAGATATAAATGTATTATATAGAATTAGAAATGGTCCACTTAAAGATTATCAAAGTGTAAATAAAATTTTAAAGAGCAATAGTTTTTTTTTTTGGAAATTTGGATCTGACTTTATCATTATTATTTCTATACCTTTAGGACATAGATGAATTTCAAAAGTTGATTGCAGACAACAGAATAAAGTATAATGAAATGTTTGATGTCGATATGAAAACTCAGAAGCGATTGACAAATGACACTGTAAAGGAGATCTGTAAGCTTGGAAAGATGCAAGTCCAACTTCTGAAAGACGATCCAAAGAAGATGTTGGCTTATCTCTATGCTTTGTTTGCTCAAATTGAATTCTCTGCGATTGCAAAGATCGTTATTCACTTTCAGTTGTTTGGTGGAACCATCCTCGAGGTTGGAACCGACTATCATCATCAGAAATATTTCAACGACATTAACAATTTCAATATTGTCGGTGGTTTCGCAATGACCGAAATGGGACATGGTTCTAACGTCAGACAGATCGAAACAACATCAACCTACGATTTAACTACCAAGGAATTCGTTATCAATTCACCATCATTATCAAGTACCAAGTTTTGGATTGGAAATGTTTCAAGTAAGTAAATATTAATTTATTATAAAAGTTGTATCCTCCCACAAGCTAATTAATATTGCTATTTAATATTTAGTGTTTGGAACTCATGTTGTTTTGTTTACTAAATTAATATTCCAAGGTCAAGATAAAGGTGTTCATGTCATTATCGTACCACTTAGAGATCCAGTAACAATGGAAGTATATAAAGGTATTCAACTTGGTGATTGTGGACATAAAGTTGGATGGAATGGTATTGACAATGGTAATATTACATAAATTTAATATTCTGTTAATTTTAAGATAGTAAATTAATAATAATATCTTTTTTTTAATAGCTTGGATTAGATTCACAAATTATAGAGTACCAAGAGAGAATCTTTTGAATAGATTTGCAACAATCACAGAGGATGGACAATATTTAACAAATATTTCATCACCAAACAAACTCTTCCAAATTACTATTTCTCAATTGGTATTTGGTAGATTGCTTTACATTTTCGGACCAACTATATTCTTAGCAATTGGATTGAAGACCGCCATTAGATATGCATTCAGTAGAAGACAATTCGGAGAAAAAGGAAAACCAGAAGAATGTATGTTTTTATTTCGAACGGAAATAGTGATAGAATTTTTATTTTAATATATATTTTTTTCAATTTATTTGTCATAGTGATTATTGATTATCCAACTCATAATAGAGTATTACTTCCAATGTTGGCTACAAACATGGTGTTTGAATTCTCTCGTAATTGGATTATCGATAATTTACAGGAATCTTCGAGAAGCGATGAGAAGCGTGAGGAGTATCACTCGATTGTCAGTGGTGTCAAAGCGATGGTCTGTGAATTCACCATCCAGTCGGTTTCTAAACTTCGTGTATTCTGTGGTGGCAACGGTGTTTCCTCGTACAATTATTTCGGTGCCATGCGAAACGATCTCGATGTCTTCCAGACTGCTGAGGGTGATGGTGCCGTACTATACCAACAGCTCAGCAAGTTCCTGCTCTCCGAGTACAAGAAGTGGTACAAGAAGCAAGGTATGACTGGTTACATCATGAAGGAGGTACAAACATTCTTGACAACCTCCAATCCGATCCACACTCACTACCGTTCGATGCCATATCTCCTATCGAATGAATTCCATCATCATGCTTTCCTCTTTAGATTTGAAAAGACCAGATCCATCGTAATCGATCATCTTAATCAATGTAAAGGAAAAGGACTTTCATTTTTACAATCTTGGAATGCTTCATGTAAGTTTTTAACAATTTTAAATATTATTTTAATAACTAACTAATTGATTTACTTTAATTTTAAATTAATTTAGTGATTCAAGTTGTTGATTTAGCTAAAACATATACACATTTATTCATTTTAGAGAATGCTCAGAGAACCATTCAAAAAGTAACAGATCCAATTACTAGACACGTTTTGAATGATATCGTTAGATTATATGCATTGTATAATATTGAACAGGATGTTGGATTCTATCGTAATTGGAATTATCTTTCATCTGGAAAGGCACTTGCCATCTCTGAGGCAGTCGGTGAACTGTGCAACACATTGAAACCTTATGCACTCTCAATTCTAGATTCACATAAATTCCATGAGGATTCATTGAATATTCCATTGGCTAAAAAGGATTTGGATTATGTTAAGCATATGGCCGATCGTGTTGGTATTCCATACAGTAGTTTATAAATAATATTATTTAAATATTTAATTTGTTGTTATCATAACAATACAAAACAAAAGCAACATAAAACAATACAAAGTTTACAATTCCAAGATATATTTCCAATTTTAAATCAAATAGTATAAAATAAATAGAATATTTTTTAATATAACAAATTATCATTATTTATAACTTGTGTGATCTAATATTAAAGGTTGTAGTTTTAAATGTTGACTAGAAGTATAAGGTGAGAGTTATACATAGTATCTAAATCTGAAACCGATACTAATTCATTCGAAACAACTATATTAGATTATACATCTTGAATTTTAAATGCTTTACCTTTGTTTCATTCAGTAGAGGGCTGCCTCGACTTTTCACTGTGAGGTTAAAGTCAAATCTTTAGAGAACTTTGATACTCGCTATAGATTTGGTAGTTAATGCAAACACCTATGACCCTCAATCTTTTTAAATACATCATATAATTGTATGTAAACTGTGTCATCTTTTGCCTCTCTATCTAGCTTAGCTCTTTTTTCATTTTCATTTTTTTTATATGATCTTCAATCAAGCTAACTCATATTTTACTCTTGGTTAACTGATCATCCACGAAGAAAAACTTCTGTCTATAAATAAATAGAAAATATATTTTTAATATAGAACAAAATAAGATAGTATTTATTTAACAATTAATCGATTTAACTGGAAATACTATAGGTTTCTTAACACATGTGGATAACCTTGCAAACATGGTGTGGGGATGTTTGCTTTTGGAGCTCGCTGATTATCTTGTGGGTTGCCTTGTGGACGATCTTCTTGCATACTTTGACTGCTGGCTTGATACCGAAGGTCTTACATGAGCTTTCCAAGTGGTGTTGGATCTCCTTGGCTGTCTTGTTAACTTTTACCAAGTGTTCAGCTTTCTAGAGTATTAATATTTTTGTTAGAATTAAATATATATGATAAACTAAGTAAATTATAATACTTGCCTTGACAAGAAAAGAACATGCTTTGCACTTGTACTTCTTGATAATATTCTTTCCTGGAATATGTGGCTTCCACTTTTGCAAGTTCTCGACAGTTTCGAAATCTTCATCTTCCAATTCAAAGTCCATTTGTTCCTCTTCGAAATCTTCATCGAACCATGAGAATTCCTCTTCGATTTGATCTTCAATCATTTCTTCAATTTCCAAACCGGATTCTTCACATTGGCCGACCTTGCAGATACGGAGTTGCTGGCAGACAACCTTTGGGTTCTCACGCTCGACAATCTTTTGGATGATGAGTGGACCGTAGAAATCAACCAAAGCAACACATGGACGAGACCATTTCGATGGTAACATAGCGCATGCCTTCTCCATAGAGTTGATAATATGCTGTTGAGTTTCATTCTTCAAGATCATAACTTCAGCACGCTTTACAATAATTTGACACAAGTCACACTTTTTAAGATTTAAGATTTTTTTTATATATTAGTTGATTTTTTATTTCTAAAGTTAATTATTATAGGTATTAAAATTTACCTTTACTCCATCGTTGGAGGCACTCGCAGTTGATGCCATAACGGCAAAGATAACTAGAAGAGATAATAATAATTTCATTGTTTTATTGGTTTGATTTATTTGATTAGATTTTATTAAATTGAATATGTTCTAAAGATCCAGAAATCTTCAATATTTATAGTTTTTTGTTGACCATATTTGCACTAGAATCTAAAATATTGAAATTTACAACAAAAATTTCATGATTAAAATTAAATTTCGTGCAAAAACCAGGCGAAAACGAAAATAACTCAGAGTAATTATGAACCAGCTTCTTCAAACTTTAATACCATGAGCAAATTTAATAATTTGCGAGTTAAAAGTTATAAATAATATCTATTATTTTTATTAAAGCTGGTTCTCATTTAATATTAAAATAAAAAATTAAATAAATATATTATAAGATTGTTTTAAAATTATTGATTTAACTATTCTTTTTTTACCAGCATACAATTATTTTCAAAATTTGATGAATAAATGATTAATTTTTCTACTAGAATTTTTAAAAAAATTAACATTGTTTTTTTTGATTTGATTTATTTTACTTTTTAATCTTTAATGATTCTAAATTTATAACTCTATGGGAAGTAGACTTATTAGTTTATTTGTGATATGATTTATAAAAAAAAAAAAATTAAATCTTTTAAATCAAAAATTGTTTTCCAATTCCATAGAGTTATATTTGAAATAATTAAAAATAGAAAAATCAATGAATATTTAACAATAAATAGATTAATCAAGGCAGTTTTTTTTTTGAAGTTCATTTTTATTTGAAAAAACTTTCAAACTTAAAATCAATTTTTATACTAAATGCAACATGAGAATAATAGCTAATTATTGTGTAGTTTATTTGTAGATTTTGAAGATATAATATGAATGGTGAAAATATAATCAACAAAAATCACAATAATAGTAGTATAACACCACATTTACCACTGATTTTACAATCAAGAGTTTTGTCATTTTTAATTGACCCATATAGTTTTGTCAATGTCAATCAAGTAAACTATCGATCAGAATTCATAGTAGATTCATCAGTACTCGAGAGAAAGCGTCAGAGTTCACTTGGATGTCATGAAATAGTAAACCTTTCATTGGTATGTCATCGATGGTTCACACAGATCAAGTGTTCAATTCAATCGCTTAGTCTAAAAGTCTACAGTATATCTACTTATGCCAATCAGAACCGGGTCAAAATACTCTACAAGTTTCTCGATAGAGTTTCGTTGAACATTGACAAGTTACTTTCCGACTATTCAATTGTAGATCTTTCAAACATTACAGTATTCTACTTTACAGGTTTCTACAATTCTGTCATATTTGAAGAGCTATTCTCTCGAATGACGTCACTGCAACAACTCTATTTGGAAGTGGAGGGAATGGCATTCATCTCGAAAATCATCGAACTGCTGGAGCAAAGACAACAACCGGTTTGTACGATAAACTTGAATGTCAATATCAATTTTTCTGATAGGGCACTCATTGTACTGAGGTATCTTGTTCAAATTCAAAAGACCTATGAAGAATCAGCATCGTTGCCTGTAGTTAAGGTTCATTCTCTGATTATCTCAGATTGTTATTCAAAGTTTCCAAAGGAGTTGGTCACACTTGTTCAGATATTGAAACCTGCCAATCTATATATAGATGCGGCTAGCGAGAGTAACCCATTACATCATAGATACTCCCAGTTTATCAAGATCGAATCACTCACCAGTCTCAAGATCAAAGAAGACTTTGCAGAGTTTACAGATCTGACATTGGCATTAAAGTCTAAATCACTTCGGTCTCTATCTGTTGTATTTCCAGATCATCTATTTGATCTTGATGGACCATTGTTAGATAATAATGAAGCAGCAAATGAACAAAGAGAGGAAAATGTTGAAGAAGAAGATTTTGAAGACAATGAAGAGGATCTAGGAGATGAAGATAATCCATGTAATTTAAGATATAAAAAGACAAATAGATCTCGTAGATATGATTTGGAAATAGATGAATTCATCAGTGCATTAAAGAGTAATGATAGTATGGAGTATTTGGATTTAAGGAAGTTATGTAAGAATGATGATCATTATAGAATGCAACATAATCATCAGCTATATATTGGATTCTCAGACTTTTTATTATACAACAAGACATTAAAGATACTTAGCATAGCAGGAGCTAACTTTATTTCATTGGAATTTATCAAGTCAATCGGTATCAATTCAACTCTCACCAATCTTAACCTTGGTGAATCACTTCTCCGTTCATCAGACTCAATCATCTTGATGAAACAACTAATTGAATCATTAAAGATAAATCAATCGATTTCGACGATCAGTTTAATCATTCCATTCTATGAAGATGTTACATCAGAGTTTTCATCGATCTTACAATTCAACAATAATATCAAGAGTATTACAATAGCAATAGCTAATAAGATGATACAAGATTTTTATCCAAAGTTAGACCAATCACATATAACTGATGAAATACAAATGAAACTGATTGAAAGTGTTTATCGACAAATGTATTTGATCAACATTGACAATAACTACTACTATAGGAGGCTTAATTTTACATATGAAGCACTAACAACAGAATACACATTAAAATATAATATTCATGGAAAAATCAAAGAATTTGATTCGAAACATCAATCAAACAAATATATAAATTTAATTCTTAAAACCAAATAAATATTGAATTTCATTCACATCTCTTCTGCCTACAAATCTTGTAAATTTTTTAGATTACTTGATCAAGTAAAAACCCCCATCCGTTGTTTTGAAAGTAAAGTTATATTTTAAGCTTTTGTATGTTCCAATAATCAAGGAATAAGTTGAAGAGATAATTCCGTTTTACAAATAAATACAATACTATTTGTAAAGTGTTCCAATTTAAATTATTTTTTAGAATTGGATTTTCCATTCTGAATCAAGGAGTTAAAACAGATTAAATACAAATGAAACTGTTTGTTAGTATTTATCAATGTATTTAATCAACATAGACAACATCTACAACTATAGAATGCTTAATTTTGATTCAAAACACCAAGCAAACAAATTACATAAATTTACATTTTAACAAAATTAATAAATATTATTGAATATCATTCATCTATCTATCTTGATCTATTATTCTTTTATTTAGAAAACAATCAATTTATCATGAATAAGAATTGGATGGGTAATACAAGGAAAGTCTGTATTAAAAAGGATATTAAATTTAAGAAGAAGAATATACAGAAACAATATTTTATAAATAACAATCATAGTAGTGATATTAAACCAAGTATAGTTGTTGACAATGTAAATAGGATTAAAAATGAAAGAGATAATACTACAAAACCACTACTTCTCCCTACAAACCATCTAAATGGTAACAATGATTCAATTGATTTACTTAATTTATCAATGAATTCAGATAAACAATCATCTATTGTACAACAACCAACAACTTCAGAGAAACAACAAACAAACTATTCCTCTACTACTAGTACTACTACCTTTGACCATCTAAATGAAAGAATGAATGAATAAATGAATGAATAATCAATAAATTAATAAAAGTAATAAACTTTATAAACTTTTTTAATTTAATTTTATTTACTGTTGTTTTGTTTGTTTTTTGTTTTGTTTTGTTTGTTTCTTAAATTTAAGAGGTAGATGGTGGAGCTGCTGATGTTGTAGATGCTGTTGTAGATGTTGTTGTTGTGGATGTTGGTGCAGTTGTACTTGATGTGTTTGTTGCTGTAGATGTCGAAGATAAAGAAGAAGTTGAACTACTACCACCACCGGTACTACTTGCTAATTTTCTAGATTGTGACATTATTGACTTTCTCATGAGTTGTAGCCTCAGTCTATGATTCTCTGGTAGATTCTGCTTTTTATGTGATTTAATCTGTTCTACATTGCCGAAACCAGGCACTCTAATATTCCAATTTCTCTCGAGATGACACTGCAGATCTTTTACCTCCAATGAATTCGAATTTCTATGTTTAGCTAGTGTACATGCGAACGATACAACAGATTCGACAAAGTCATCTGCTAATACCGACAATATCTAGATTAAAGTTTGTTAGCGACATAGTTAACACAGTTGTTTAATTTAAAAACCACTTACATCTTCTACTTCTTCATCCATCTTTTCAGTTGTAGATATCTGTTGTAGTAATTCTGTTAGTTTTCTCTTGCCTAGGATTTCTGTTTCCGGTTCTTTGACGACGACTGCAGCGGCAGCGGCAGCAGCGGCAGCAGCTTCTTTCTCTTTAGCTTCTTTCTCTCTTGCTTCTTTCTCTTTTGCTTCCTTCTCTTTTGCTTCTTTCTCTTTCTTTTCACGTTCTTTTCTTTCTTTGTCACGTTGCTTCTCTTCGGCTGTCTTGGTTGTCGATCCACTACCAGCACCACCACCACCAGTTCCACTGCCGCTTGCGGAGGTACTTGAAGTCGATGATTGTCCACCAACGGTACTCTGATTATTTACACCTGTATTCATTGGGTTGCCTGTGTTTTGTTCGTTTGATTTGTTCGATTGCAGCAAGTTACCGCTTGAACCACCACTGGCGGTGTTCATAGTTGGCGGTGTACCGGGATTGATCGAGTTGAAAGCATGGTTGATTCCACCCATTATTGTTGATCCAGTGATAGGTGGAGTGTTGGCATTTCCACCGGTGGCTGGTGGTGAAGCAAACATTCCAAGAGTCGATGTCTTTCTAAAGAGCGATTCCACTGCTTGTTCAATGGAAGAAGGTGGTGTAGAAGCGATGGTTGGCGATGGTACTTTGTTGGCCGCAGCTGCTGCAGTCAACACTGGATTCGATTGTATAATTCCTGATGTCTGTTGTAAAGTTTGTTGTTGTGGTTGATGATGTATTGGTTGTTGATGATGATGCTGCTGTTGCTGTTGTTGCTGCTGTAAATTTGATGTTTGATGATGAATCTGTTGTTGTTGCTGTTGTTGTTGTGGAGGTGATGTTAAAGGTGTAGTTGGTGTTGTTGGATAATATTGTTGCTGTTGTGTATTCGATACCATGGTTTGTTGTCTTATCATTGTTTGTTGAGGTACTACTGTATTACCGATTGGCGGTGATGTAGGAGATACATGTGATTGTGTCTGTTGTATATTGGTTGGTGACATAACACCCATTGGTTTGGCAACATGTTGTTGTGGATGTGGATGATGTTGTTGTTGCTGAGGTTGTGGTTGTGGTTGTCCACCTATACCCATATTAGTATTTATAGGTGATGACATATATATTTTATACTATAGATAACTATAATAAATGACTAGTTAACAACAAAAACTTAAAATATATAGTTATCTTTTATACTAGATAATGATTGATCGATCAAAATAATAATCAATTTATAAAAAAAATTAAAAAAAAAAACCAACACACTCATATAAATTAAATTAAAAAAATTTTTTTTTTTTTTTAAATTTTAAAAAAAATAAGATGAGATTCTAATTATCATCAATCCATTCGAATGCTTTCAAGTTTATCTGGAAAGAACCAAGTTATGGAGAACAAAAGCTAATGGGAATTTGGATAATGTTATTTTGGCAGTCGATCCACCACATCAAGGTGTTACAGCACAATGGATTGCTAAGTTGTCATTAGAACTGATGCAAGAAGCTGGAGTGGATACTACAACTTATTCGGCACACTCAGTGAGAACTGCGCCAGCATCAAAAACACAGGTTCTAATTTCATGGAAGTGGTAAAATGGGGAAGGTGGAAATCGCCAAACACGTTCGCTAAATACTCTGCATTAGAAGTGGAAGGTACTAGCTAAACTGTATCTAATTCGTTATTCAAATGATGCATTTAATAAATAATTATTGAAGTAAAAAACAATAATTTATATTCTCATAATAAATTATATTTTTACGAGTAAGGAACTATTTATGTCGCCCTCGTAATCAGTAGTCAAATTTCAAATCAAAACTAAAGATCAAAAGCTCAGAGTTGCACTAAATATCATTCTTTTTCAATCAAAATCAAAAAATCAAAACAGCCACAACCACAAAAATATCATTGAAAAAATTTTGGCAACTATTTGATGATATTTTTTATGAGGTTATTAATTTTCAAGCTGCTAAAATAAATTTTATTTATATGTAAGGTTAACAATGAATTAATTATCTGTACAATCAAATTTTTTCTTAAAAAACACTGTTGTTTTCCAATAAATAAAATTAATCGTTGGTTTATTTGCAAAATATAAAAGATTTTCATTTATTATTGATTTATTCAAAATAAAAAAACAAAATTTTTGTTGAATGATAAATCATGACCAAAGTGTACACCAACACAAAAATGAAAACAAAACAAATTTAACATTAGACCAATGCAAGTAACCCCTATTTTTTACTTTTTTTTTTGTTCATGACCTAGAGAAATTTCAATCCATTGGGATCTGTTTTTCGTTGTTGCAAAAACAAACAGTTTTATGCAAATTACAATCAGATATCTGAAACCCCAGTTTCGATGAAATCAAAACAAATCTGAAGCATTTGTGGTCACAGATTCATCAAAAATACAATTTTGTTAACTTAAACAAAAAAAATCATTTTTAATATTTTCATCTTGATTAGAACGAACATGTGCATATTCTTTAATATTTAAACAATCATTTTATTTTCAAAAATAACAATCATAATAATAATTATCACTTCTAACAAGAAATGACAACTAAGTTAGCAGGTCAATTCATCAAAGACTTTGAAGCCTGGAGAATTGAAAAGATCAAAAAGTTCATGCCCAGTGTGACAACTGTCGATCCAAATTCGTTGACTGTTGCCGACTATCTCAAACTCTCGACCTTCAATGATGCCAAGATAGATATCGTCAAAGAGAATACCGATAAATTAATGACCAATGTCATCAATTTCTACCAATCCGATCTCGGTTTGAGTGCAATGGCACAAGCAACCCAAGAGCCAGCGGAACGTCCAACCCTCAGCCCAGAGATTCTCGAGTTTGTCGGTGATGCCAAAGGAAAGGAACTGTTCCCAAAATATGCTAAACTCTCTCTTCTCCTATCACTTTACAATTCCAGAAAAGATTCAATGTATCCAACCAACATCTACGCCAAACAAGTTGAGAAAGATCTCAAAGACCTCACTGCCAATACCTACGTCGCCCTGGCAACAATGAAATTATATTTCTTGGCACTCCGAGACACTCTTCCAGCTTTCTTGCCTTTCATCTACCATGCCAAAACCTTGATTCCTAAAATCAAAGCGTATTTGCTCGCCACTGAAGTTACCAATAAATTCGTTAGTGATGCCTTCAATTTCCAAACGGACCATTCGACACCTGATAAGTTGGTAGATGACTCTTGGCGTTACAACGAGATCAAAGCCAAGTTGGATATTATTGACCCAACTCTTTCACTCTCCACCTCAGTCACCTCACAATACTATAATACTTTATTATTAGTATCCACCACCCAATCAATGAAAAAAACACCAATGCTCGAAAAGATCTTTGAAAACGCTATTATCCATTTTTTGGAAGAAGCAGATAAGAAAGTCAGTGAAATCTCCAAGACTGTCAATTCACTTAAATCTTTGTTTGGTGGAAACATTGTTGCTCTATCCACCAAAGTCACACAAGCATTCTTCCATATTCAGTTGGAACCAACTCTCTCTTTTGGAATCAAAAGCAACCATGTATACGGTGTTAGCACTGCCAAATTTCTCCAAAGGTTGAACAAAGAAACACCAAAAGGCAAATCCATTTTAAATCATCCAGAATTTAATAATCTTATGGGAGATAAAAATCTACACAGAGTTGCTAATGGATTGCTTCTCGGTTGTCAATTACTAGCAATTGGATACGGTGCAATCAACTACAAGAAAATGAATGGATTCGAAAAAGGATTGTTTTGGACATCATGTGGTTTGACACTCCTGGATTTGGCTAATGCTATCAGTGACAACAAGATTTTCATAAAGCTTGGGGAATCCATTGGTAAAATTCTTTCAAATAATTCAGGCAAAGTATTAGCACAAATATCCAATTCAGCTAAATTGTTCACGAAAGTATCAGTATCGATCGCCAGATATGTTAGTCCGGTACTTGCCTTGGTTTCAGCATACTTCTCACTGGTGGATTGTTTGCAATATGCAAAAAAACAAAATTGGGGAATGGTTGCAGTGTCCTATGTAGAATACGGTGCGGCTATTGGCTTGTTTATATCATTGATTTCGGGTAGTGCATGCGCTGGTCCAGCCGCTTTGATTTTCAGCGGGGTGCTATTGGCCATTGGAATGTTCAAGATGTACTATGATTTCTTTACAATGATTGGAGAGATGATCGAGGAAGCTAAAAAAGGATCGCCATTATCCAATTTTATTTATTCAGTCGAGGAGAAGTATCGTATCAGTGAAGATGAATTTCTCATTCTGGGATTCTATGCACTCTGGAACGGAACCAAATCTCCCACTGGAAAGCGTGCATTATTGACTATGAGATTGTTAGTGTATACTAAAAGAGAACAAGACTTATTGAAAGAATATGAGTCCAAACATCCAAAAATATTGGCAGAAATTAAAAAGTATTCAAAATAAATAAACATAAAATTAAATAAAGTTAAAGATTCATTTTATATGGCACAATTTGTTTAGTTTACCAAAATTATGATATGGTCTTTGCAAAGAATTAACCTTAAAGAACTCACACTCGTAATATAATTTTCTTTTGGTGGTTGCGGTAGAAGGATTACATATCCTATATACCTAAAGAATTTAAGAATCACTTATTTATCTCTTTTTTTTATTCATATCCATAAAACAAACCAATTAAAGATCTGAATTTTAATAACTTGCCAAAAGAATCATTGGTACTATATTTAAAATGAAACAAATAAAAAGATTAATCTCGATGACAAAGGCAGTCCGCGAATCATATCCAAAATTCAGTTTCATTGAAATTAACACAAATCTGAGGCAAAAGATCCTAAAAAAAGTGTTTTTCTTTTTCTTGTTAACTTATCAATTGTTTCCTTTTTTTCGAAAAAATTATTACTGTATATTGACAAATCAATTTGCAAAGGTTCAAAATTAAAAAAATAAACTAGACTTCAGAGCACAAACAACCAAATCCAATCAATTTGGAATTATTTTCACAATGTTTTTTTAAAATCATCTCAATCTATCATGATATGTAAAAATCTGTTTCGATGAAATCAAAACAAATCTGGGGTGGTTGATGTCACAAATGTTAAAAAAAACAAAAAAATGATTTTATTGTTAATATAATTACCATATGCTTCAAAATTTCTAAATATAAATCATTTCATTTTCTGCAGTATTAATAATAATAATTATGGCTTTTGGGTTTCGTACTCCGTTGCTTTCAAATTGAGATCAGATTGTTAGAAATTGATGATGTCTGTCATTGTTTTGTCTGCTTTTTCTCTAATGATATATTGAAGAGAGTGAGTTTGAGGCAGTCAGAAACAATGAATGAATTTGGGTCAATACCAATCACACTGGGCATTGCTTTGACTTTGTTAATAACTGTTCGTCCAACCCTCAGTAAAGAGATTCTCGGTATTGTCGGTGATGACAAAGGAAAGGAACTCTTTAAAGCCTAAGCCAAGCTCACTCTTCTCCAATCGATTTACTATTCCAGAGAAAAAACAATATTTCCAAGCAACATTAATAGTAAAAAAGATGATCAGTTCAGTCACAATGAAATTATATTTCTTTGCACTCCGAGACACTCTTCCAGCTTTCTTGCGTTTGATCTACCATGCCAAAATATTGGTTCCGAAAATCAAAGAGTATTTGATCTCTGATCAAGATACCAATAATTTTGTTAATACTGCCTCCAATTATTAAATGGATAATAAAACCGATTAAACTTATGTAGATGACTTGGATTTTCAACGAGATCAAAAGTCTGATATTCTTTATCCAACTCTTTCACTCTCCACCTCAGTGACCTCGCAATACTATAATACTTTATTTTCATTGTCGGCCTTTCATATTGTTCATTAATTCAGTGAATTCATTAAATTTCTTATCTGATTATTCGATTAAATATACAATTGCATTGATATATATTGTATTAAACAAAGGAGAATCTCAAATTGATTGTAAGCTAGGTCTAGTTGGTGGAAACATTTTTACTCTAGCTAACAAACTAACTTAAGCATATTTCCATCATCAGGTGGAGCTATAATTTTTAGTGGAATCAACAACAAGCATGTATACGGCATCAACACTTCTAAATTTCTCTCCAAGTTGAAAAAAGAAACTCAAATTGGTCAAACACCTGTTTCACATCCAAGATTTAATAACAAAGGGTTGCTAATGGATTGTTTCTCGGTTGTCAATTGCTTTCTATTGGATTCGGAGCTATGAACTATTTAATGGATTAGAAAAAGAATTGTTTTGGATATCATGTGGTTTGAAGCTCGTAGATTTGGCCAATTCTGTCACTGATAACAGGATTTATTCAAGTTGGGAGAATCCATAAGCAAAATCTTCAACCAAAGTATTCAAGCAGATACCCTTTATTACTCAAAAGTTCACGTCTCTAACAATGATCTTATACAAATATATTATTCCACCATTTATCTTTATTTCGGCATACTTCTCACTGGTGGAATCTGTGAAAAAAAACAAATGGGGAATGGCTATTTTATCTGGAATAGAAACTGCAGCGATGATAGGATTGTTTATTTGTTTTCTTTAATCTGCTGCAATGGCTGGTCGAATTAGTATGATCCTCCGTGGTCTCGTAATTGCTATTGGAAAGTTCAAGATGTACTAGGGTTATTTTACATTAATCGAAGATTTGGTTCAGAAAGAATAAAGGATAAACAACAACTCATTTTATTGTTTATGTTGAAGAGAAGTATCTTTTAGATGATGAAGCATTTACTATTCTGTGATTCTATGCGTTAAGGAACGGAACCGATTCTCAAATTGGAAGAAGTGTAAAATTGACAGCTAGAACATTTTTCTCTGAGAGAAAAAAGAAAGTATTGGATGATTATGAGGCTCAAAATCCAAAATTATTAACAGAAATTAAAAATTTTAGATTTTAAATAAAGAGTATCTTTTTATGATTATTTGTTTGATTGATTTCAGTAAAGAAGAGATGATTCTTGCAACTACTTTATTTGTAAATTCCTTTATTTTTGAGTATTATCTAATCAATTTAAGATTCATTAAATTACTGTCGTGTTGATGTGGATAGAGATTATTGAAAGCGAAAATATCAAGTATGGGAATAAATCAATATTGTATGAATAGTTTAGTTTCATTGAATTGAATGAATTGGTAGTAATTTATTTTTTATTTTCAATAAATTCTTTTAATAACGTTGAAGCAGGACCAGCCAAACCTTGTTGTGAAGAAAGTGAGCCAATGATATTCTTTACGAGATTGAAATTCAAATCTACAGGTCTATTGATATTCTCTTGCTCGAGTTGTTCTTTGCTGATAAGGTCGTCACCTTTCATCTGTACCTTCTCAAATGATTGACCAACAGTTGTTTTCGACAATTCGAAATCCATTTGCTTCATATATTTGCCGATCGATTGCTTAGAGTTGACTCCACTGCCATTTTCCTTCAGGTTTGACATATGAATATTTTCATAATCAAATTCCAGTGGAGAATCTTGTTCACTATCCGAATATCTGTCTTCATCATCACTATCTTCAGCTTCTTCATTATCGTAATCGTCGTCATCTTCTCCAAAATCATAATCTGCAATATTTTTATATAAATCATCATCTTCATCTTCAAATCCGTCACCACCTAGATCCATTCCATGATCTTCATTTCCAATTCCAGCAACACCTTTTAGAATCGATAGGAATTTCTCTGGATCGAAACCACCATTATTTTTGTTACCACTACTACCACTACCTAATCCACTTGAAAAATCTATTCCTTCAAATGAGGAGGTTGTATTCAACATCTTTTGGAAGGATTTGGTTATGTTATTGATATCCATGTTCGCACTGTCTTTATCTTTATTCTCCAACTCTGACAACAAATCTTCATATCTCGTAGGAATCTTATCCATCCACTTATCACTGGTTTCTTTCATTCCATTGGAACTTTGCTGAATGAAATTCATCATTGATTCTCTTGATAGATTAGGATCACCCAGACACTGGTCTATTAAAATCGCTATCTTACTACGCATATTTTGTCCGCTGATATCATTATCATTCCTTCTCTGTTTCTCCTGCCAATCCTTCTTTGCTTTCTCTAATTTCTCTTTATACAATTTCGATCCTTTGATTTCCTCACCAAAGTAATTGCTTCTCTTCAAATGATTAAGATGATTTTGCCATGCCAGGGTTGTAGTATGGTCTGTTTTGCGGCTGTAGAGTATCTCCATTGCACAGTGCAACTTCACACCGAGTGCCGCCATTGAGTAGTTGGGTGCAGACGGCTTTGGCAACGCTTTGAATTGTCGTGGTTGGTTAAATCTCTGTTGTTTTATCTGTGCATACAAACACCTGGTGAATCGAATCTTACAATCCACATGACTGTCGGCATCGTATGGGAATCGTTTCATCGCCACCAACGATGCCATATCCTCTGGATCACGGTCACAGAATACTCTAACCAAATCCGATATCACCTGAGGATAACAATATAAAAGATATGCAACTTCACGCGGTACACTCACCGCTGAGATTTGGTGTTGATCTTTTTGGTACTTTCCATTTGCGAAACGTGATAGCCGTTGATTGATAGCGTTGGTAATGGGTGTGGAAGGCTTAGCATATTGACTGTTGTTGATGTTGTTGATGTTGTTGCTGTTGCTACTCTTCATCAATGCCAATGCACTATCGACATCTATTTTGTAGGGCAGTATATCCAACTCGGCTGGTGACGATGCCATCGGTAAAACAGTGATCTGTCCAGCTCTTATAAACACACGGTTATGAGTGGTTGCAGGCTTCATCCATTTCTGAAGTACGGCAGCAGCCTCTATCAAGAGAAATTCACCATCGTTATCTCTTACCGTAAGTGACATCTCCCTATACCTCTCTGATAGCTTTACCAATAGATAAACAATGAACCATTCATCTTCAATCGAATCATTTACTCTTGTCTTTCCATATAAATGATCTAATAAATGATGATGATTATGATTAATTAAATTAATAAATACACACTTATTATTAAGTATAATAAAACTACTAAAGTCTATTATTAATAACTTACTCTTTTTATTTCTATCTATATTTAAAAAGAATGGATCTAATTGCCATATGTAGTCACCAATGATTGGTTTTATGAATTGTATAAACTCATCTTTAACACTTTCAATACTCTCTGAATCGCTATCTAAATATAAATGATATTCTATAAATTGATCTTGAAAATCATCTTTAAATTCATCAAAATCTCTTTCAATATTCATGTACTTATATTATTGATATATATTAGATATAAGAAACAATTTCAAATGATGTGAATGAAAACACACAGATCAGACAAAAAAAATCAAAACAATTCAAATTTAAATTTGAATAAACTTTGCGAAAAAGATACATATAAAAAAACATATCTTAATTGTATCTTTTTCATGGTTTTTTTTTTATTGATCGAATTTGTCAAAATAAGCTTAATTTGGAAATATTAAAACAATGTAATTCTTTAAAAATACAGATATGAAAAGGCGAGATGAAAGGATGTGTTCATTACCATGCATTTGGGTTGTTCATGTTGAGGAAATAACCTGGTCTAACTATACCCTCATCGACAAAGAAAGAAGGATTGTGAATGATACGACTGTTGGTGTGGAATGGAGTGTTTGGGAATCCACCTTGTGGATTGTTGACCAAATTGAAACGAGATCCATTAACGAATTCTTGTGCCTCTCTGCAGTGTGCAGCAAACTCCAAGTCGGTTCCGTGGTCGTATGAAGCTCCTATATTGGTAAGATAGACGCAGCAGCATCGCCATTTGGACCTTCGAGAGCTGCAATAAGCTTGTCGGCCTCTGCATCACTAATTGCGTAATTACTCATCCCTCTCTTTAATAAATAACTTTTTTTAAAAAAACTAATAATAATCAATAAATAATAATAATCCAATTTATTTCCTAATTTATAATTGTGTGAATCTATTTCTATTTTTATTCGAGAAAAAAATGATGAAAAAAAAAAAAATGAATCTTTTTTTGATCAAAAGAAATTAACAAATATATATGAAAACAAAATTAATTTCGAATTACCCAAAATGATCAATTCCCATTTTAAACAAATATTTAATAATTTATTTTTAAATAGATTAATATTTAATAAAATAATAGAGATTAACAAACTATGTGGAAAAAAGCAGTTACAGTGGAACCAGGTTGTTCAATCACTTGAAACTATGGTTTCATATGGATATCTATCAGAAATAAAAATCTATCTTAAACTCACAAACATTCAGATCAGCCACATGTCTTTGGACCTAGCCATTGAATATGGATACTTTGAAATATTAAAGTGCTTATTGGATCACGTAGAGGAATCGGAAAAAGATGAAAAAGAAACAGCAACAACACAACATAGCAGATTAAACCTTTTGTTGGCTGCTGCCTCAGGGAAAGGAAGTATGGATATAATTCAATACTTGATAGATCGATACCCAAACACATTATGGGACTACACCGAAGCGTTGAAATATTCTCCATACTCTGATAAGTTGGAGATTTTGCAATTCTTTGCCAGCAAACTAGAAGATATGGCTGATATTCCTCAAGAGAACATTTGTTCTACATATGATAATGCTGCATTCATGGATAACATTGAAATGGTTAGATGGTTAACATTGCGCTTCCCCTTCGGTATGATTGGTGCACAAATGTTTGAGCATGCTATAGCCGGCTCTTCCATGGAGATGTTAACTTATCTTTTGGAGGAACACGCCAATCTCTTAGACCCTGAATCAACTGATTATTTGGAGAAATCAGCAGACCTTCTAGGCAATGGCTATCATTTCAATATATTCATGCTTCTTTATCCAAGGTGTAAATGTCCGGACGACATCATGGATATTGCAGCTGGTTGTGGAAATATCGAGCTTCTAACATGGCTGCATGAAAACACAACTCATCAATGCACGGTTTCGGCAATGGATAAAGCAGCGTTTTACGATCGAATCGATGCGATAAAGTGGCTACATATGAATCGTAGTGAAGGATGTAGCTCAGATGCATTTGTTTCATGTGCTGAAAATGGTAGTTTCGAATTGTTGCGATGGCTATACGAGAATCGTACAGAGCACAAAAGAGAATATTCGATCGTCGACTACACTGTAATTATAGATATACTTGCGATGCACAATCACTTTGAAATACTAGAGTGGTTCGAAACTGTCACTGGTGTACATTGTAGCGATAATATTCTCGATAATATGATCGCGCTAGGTAATCTCGATATCGTGCGGCATCTTCATCAAACGAATGGGCCTGACAATCGATACAACTTCTCGGAAGAATCAATGTATTTGGCTGCTACCAACGATCACTTAGATTTGGTAAAGTGGCTTCATGAGAATCGTACGGAAGGATGCACTAGTGATATTCTCAATAGCTGTTCAATCGATATGTCATTGTGGCTCTATGAAAATAGAACTGAAACAAGAAACTCTGTTATTCCATTCGATATGAATAGATTTGACATGATATTTTCAAGTAATGACTTGGTTACAATGGAAAAGGCACTACGCTTACCAATCTCAACTCAAGATTTAAAACTTTATCAAAATGAAACAAAACTAAAATATCCAAAATCAGTGGAATTACATTTATTATTGGAAAATGAAATACAAAAAAGAGAAAAAGAAATCATGAAACAACTACAACAACTAGCAATTAATTGATAAATAATAAATAGTTTTTATTTTGTTTTGTTTAGCGGAGAAAAATGATAAACTTGATTCGTTGATTGTGTTTATGATTGTATTATTATAATTGGATGAGCGTATTATTATTCAGGTTGGTTTCGTAAAAAATTGTTTGTTATTCACAATAAATAAAAGTTATTCCAATGTTAAAATGACTTCTAGTAATGAAATTAAACCATCGATTCCTAGTATCTCTTTGAGGAAAAGTTTGAAATTGTCTGGATCGTTTAGGAAGAGATTCTTGATTCTGTTGATAAGATCCTCTTTGTTGCCCTGTGTGATGTCTTCGATCATGATGTTGGTGAGTTCGTCGTAGAGCGGTGATATTGGTGTGTGGCCGATCTGTTCGTCGACGATGGTAGGTGGTGGGGGTGGTGGTAGTTCATTAATATACAGGTCGGATGGCGACGACGAGTAGAGTCCGCCAGCAATCGAGTTGGGAGGTGGTGGCAATGGAAGAGTCTCCACAGTTCTATCGCTCGTATATGACTCTTCGCCTTCCTCCACCTCCTGATGTAGCAATCCATCTTGATCCGCAAAAATAAACTCTCTATTCTCAATCATCGCTGTAATCATATTGCATTGTCCTTGAATTTGTGTCAGTGAATCCGGTTGTGGATTATTGGAAATAGATCTAATTATATTTGGTCCAAAACAAACCTATGGAAAAGTAAAGTAGACAAAAAATTAGTCAGTCAATTTTTTTTTTGTGTGTGTGTAATTATCATCATGCATGATGATAAGCTAGCTCTACATACACCTAAAGCAATTGGATTCATTTTATTTACGGCTGAATTACTGGTTACCTGTTCCAAATATTCAATTAGATAGTGTAGAATCTTTACATTCTCATTTGGAAGTTTCGAAATGAAATCTCTTATCGTTTCAATCTTGTTGGGTGTCGAATTGTTTGGGAATAGTTCGATCGGTATCAATGGGAACCGCGATTCTCTGAGATATAACTTTAGCAGACCTGCCAAATCGTGTGCTGTATGTTCAATCGCAAGATTCAAATCCTGAGTGTTCAACGACAGCCACAAAGATCTAATTGTTTCTGAATTTCCATTTACCCTAAAAATACCTTCATGGTCCAAAACTATCAAAATTAATTTTAATTTGAATTAGTTAAGTTTGTCACAAGACATGATCATTCATATATATTCCAATTTTGTATTGTATGTTTACCATTTGCTTTTTTCAATGCAACTATAATCTTGAATATATTATAAAATGAAAGATTTCCCGATCCATAGGGTGCGTTTAATATGTGACGTTCGTAGAGTGAATCACGTGATGGTCGGTGTGTGAAGAACTTTCTGAGTTTGTTGGAGATGATCGTTGACTTTGCGCTTGACTTTGGATCACGTGATGATGTTGTTGATTGCTGTTGTAGCTGTGCACCTACAGTTATTATCTTGGGTGGTGATGTAGTCAACATTGGTGGTGGTGACAATGGTGGTGGTGGTGTCTGATTGCTATATGCTGAACCAGCGCCACCAACATGATGAAATCCCGATGGATTACCTATTTCAACATTCAAATTCTTTCTAGACATATTATTATTGGAAAACTAATTATCTTTGCTTTGTTACTATTATATCCTATATCTAATATTGTTTTCTTTCTATCTTATTTTTGACTGATTATGTATTGATTGATTGATTGAATGATGTTGATTAAATTTAAAAAAACCTAATTAAATGATGATTGGTTAAATATATAAATAAATAAAAATAAGAATATATATCAAAAAAAGAAAAAACTAACTTTTATGATTGTTTGATTTTAAAAAAGATATATTTAAAAAAAAATGTAGTAGTTGTTTTATTATTGATGATTTTTTTGATTGTTTTTTTTTTAAATTTTTTGCAAAATTCAAATAATAGATATTATTGGGTGGGGTGAAAAGTTGTGGTAAAATCGTGTGTAATGTTAAGTCTAAAAAGTAAAATTGAATGAAATCACTTTTAACTGGTTTAGAATTAGTGTTTCTGCAAATTTAAACGTTGATTTATCATGAGGTAAAGTTTGCTGTGCTCTTTGCTAGTCTAACGAAGTTATTTTAAAAAATATATATATTTTTTTTTTGACAAAATGTTGTTTTATTATTATTATACCTTGCATTATTTATCAGTTTATTAATTTATTATAATTATTAATTTATTTCAGTAATGTTTATTTGATAGTGGAGTTGATGGTTCAGAATTAGATTTTCTATTTCTTAGTAGTTGTTCTTTGATTGTTTGACGTACTGATGTTTTCTTTTTTGGTCTTACATTCTTTTGGTGTGTCTCATCTAAATGTCTAATATGTTCGTTGAAATCAATCATATCATCATCTCCTTCTTCACCATTATTATTATTATTGTTATTATTATTTGTATGGTAATCATCTTCATCATCATCATCCATTTTAGAGGATGTTCTATTAGCATTGGCAACGATTGCTTCAATATCGGCAACAGTCAATTCTCTGACACTCTTTTGATTGAGTCTACTTGTTGCAGATGAATTATTACCAATTGGTGGTTTTCCACCACTTGAAGATGACTGTTGTTGTTGTTGCTGTTGTTGTTGTTTATCATTCTTCTTTTTTGATTTGTTGTTGTTGTTGTTATTGTTGTTGTTGTTGTTGTTGTTATTTGTATTATTATTATTGTTGTTGTTGGTGTTATTGATATTTTGATTAAAATCAATGTAATCGTCATCGTCTTCATCGTGAGATACACCACTTGAATCGGGATTCATATCGACGCTACTGCTGCTGCTATCTTCGGTGGTGCGACTGGCAGAGTCATCCATATACATATTGTAGAACTGTAATACCTCTTTGTTCTTCTGTATGCTATTCTCTTGCTCTTCGATGTGTTTCTTTAGCGACGAGATAATGGCACGGTTACGCCAGAGAAAGTTAAACTTTGGGAAGAAAACCAAGACGGTGGTACTCGCCACAAACAAAATGATCGCTAGCTCGATGATGAGGAACGTAGCAGTCGGGTCCGAGGTGAAACTGAATATCAGCGGTATCGAAGTGATGAGAATGATCATGTAGTTGTAGATCAAAATACCGATGTACGTCGCTTCGTTAAAGGTTCCAGGCACCATTCTAAACTTCCTACAGACAACGACCAAGTAACAACCAAACAACAGAATGATAGCCTGATAGATGATATAGATAATAAAGAATATATAGAAATTCTTGGTTTGACAATAATAGATTGCATTAAACTTTGCAAAGTCATATGAATACGATGCTTTTGTTTTATGAATAATATTACTTAATAAAACAAGGAACTAATATAATAATAATAATAACAACAACATTAATTAGTTTAGTTTAATAAAACATAAAGGTATTATACTTACACATGGGAATATCATTAAAAATGCAACAAACTTTAATAGATACTTATTCTCTACAATAGTTTCTCTGAGGTATTCAATATCTTCTACTAATCTCCACATACTGAATTGTTTAACAAACACTGCATTCGTTACCAAGAAGATAGATAGTGGTAAGAATATAAGAGGTATTCTACAACTATAATGATTAATTTAGTTTTGTTGTTAGTTTATAATGTAAAGGTTGTTAGTTTGTTAAGTTGGATAGGTTTGTTACTTACACAAAATCTGTTTTATGTAAGAAGAAAGAACCAGCTGTTAGAATACACATTATACAACCAATGGAAATGATACAGAGAAACAGAGGGTTGGAATACTTGATGACACGTTTCTTTCTAAAGATGATGGTTATCGCTAAACAAAGGAAGAGCAGTAGCAGTAGAATACATAGGATGACACCAACGATGATCTTGGGAATGATCGATATATTGATGCTTGTCAAGCAGTAGTAGACGTAGGTCTTTAGATGCACCATGCCACTGGGACACGCCGTAAAGCTAATGGGGAAGTTGAGCGGACCGAATATCGAGCCGGTCGGCACCGATACGAACGTCAGATTACAGGTGTCACCTGGATTGGCAGAGAATCGCAAGCCCGAAATATAAGCATGACCCTCGGTGTTTAGAATACCCGATGTCTGACCCTCCACGTAGATATTGCTGCATGGCACCACAAAGAATGCAAGATCGGTACGACCAACCACCAGATTGCCAAAGTAGTCGTAGACGTCGATCGTTATGTTGAGTAGTTCAAACGGGTAGATCTGTTGTGGCATCGTTACGGTAAAGTATTCGTAGCCACTACGTATGTACTTTGAGGTGTTGTAGACGTCGGTGTTGGTCGACAGTGTATCAGAGTTGTTGTTATAGTAGATTGCACTCGTTACATTGTGATAGTAGTAAAACAAGATACCGGATTGACTTGCATAGTTATCGATGAATTGATCACCGGTTAGACTGATCGATTTTCCACTCGGACCCATAATATTCGATGCCGTCAAGAAAATGATAGGTCCCCAAGGCGATGAGTTATTCCTATACTCTGAGAGACAAGATTGAATCGATCCTGTTTGATCTACTTCAAAACAACATCCTCTCTAAATAAATAAATTATAATAATAATAATAATAATAATAATAATAATAATAATAATAATACAACAATATTGTTGTTAATAAATGTGTTATAACATTAAATCTCTAGTTATTATTATTGCTATCAGAGCACTGATATTATTATATACATACATTACTACCTCTATTTGAAATGAAATGATTACTACGTGCTATCGTTAGATATTCGAATCTAAGTAGGATTACGGCATTGGTAACTTGATTGAAGGCAAAGATGTTGTTGTAGATCAACAGATGTGATTCGTAGAACGTTCTAATGATGTTTGGTGCAGAGTTGTTGGCAAACGTGCAATTGAATATGGCAGCTACTGAACTAAACTCTTGATAGATAATCGAGTCGGTCACTGTATTGTTTGTAAATGTACAACCTGCCATTGCCAGCGCAGCTTGATGTACAAATGATAATATTGTTTTACTTATATCTAACATTCATGATATAAATAGGAATTCGTTAGTTAGTTCATAAATAAAGTTATATATATATATATAAGCTATCATAATTTTTAGATAAACTATATTATATTTACTTACTTGTAAATGTAGAATAATAGATTAGTGTAACTGACATTGCATCCGATAGAAAAGCAGGACCCGTCAAGTTGGTGAATGCACAATTGATGAGTCTGAATCGACTGTAACTATCGTAGAGTGCAATCTGTGCATTTACAAGTTGTGTTGAGTTTGCAAATATCGTTAGTTCGACATTCAACGTCAGTGAAGCGTGACTCTCTAGAATACCACTGTTAGGTGCATAGTTTCCATTGAATATACATACTGAGAAGCTATATATCAAAATAAAATACAATCAATATCAAAATGTATAAATCATTAAACTGAATCAATTATATAATATAACAAACCTTCCAATTGATTCAGTTGCAACGAATACAGCACCACTCGTAAGATTCGCAGTGTTATGAGAGAATCGCAAATTGAAAGCTTTCAAATAGGTTAGATAATAAGAACCGAGAGCACCTCCTACATTGGCATGATTCCTTATGAATAAACAATTGATGATTCTATTACCAAGACCATCTATATTTAGTTTAAACCAAAGTTAAATTAAAGTCTAACAAAAAAAAAAAAAAAAAAGATATAGTTACTTAAATCAACAGCACCAGAAGTAGGTGCAATATTATAGTAGAATTGACTGTAGGACAGTGTCATATTGCCAAATGAATTGTAGAGTGCACCGCCTTTGCCATTGGAAGATGCATTACTTATAAACTTTGTATTGTGTATTCGACATATTGAGAATCCAAGTGCAATCGCTCCTCCGTTTTGTCTTACTGAATTAACTTGAAACAATGAATCTCTAATAAATAATATTGCTAAAAAAATAATAATAATAATTAATTAAAAAAAATATATAAATATGATCATTTTAATTTGATGATTACCATTTAGACAAGAAATTGCACCACCTGAACCTGTTGGACTTGAATTGCGAATGAACCGACATCTCTCACACTCGAAATAACTGGAATTCAAAATATAGACGGCGGAACCACCATCGTTCGATTTACATCTCTGAATAGTTACATCTGTTAATCTTACAAATGATGAATTTGACAATGCTAAAAATGATTCTAAAAGTATTTATTTATTTATTAATAACAATAATAATAATAATAGATAGATAGATAGATATGATTGATGATATCAATGAATTATTTATTACTTACTATTATTTTGACAATCGAATATGGTTGTATTCATTGATTTACCGATTAACCAGATTTGTTGGTTGATTATGGTTAGGTTGAAATTTCCTGGGTCTGTATAGATCTGATCTTCGAGATAGACAACGACCGGCTGACACGGTGCCGTAAAGGAATCACATTTCGAGTAGGTTGAAGATCGCGGCTGTGTATGAACCACCTTGGAGATATAGGATAGTGTCTTACAAGGTGTACTGCCAGGTGGTCCACAACCCGGTATATCTGCACCATAGTTTGATAATCTAAACGAAGGTTGACTTGAAACTACTTTTACTGTTTATTGAATATAAATTTAGCAAAAAATAAAAAATATTATTATTGTTAAATGATTGATTAATTTAATTAATTTGGCATAAAATCAGATCACAAAAAATGAAATTTCTTTTTTGATCTGTAATGAACTTTTAAGATCTTTAACTACTTTTACTTACCACAATTAAATATAAATACAAATATAATAAATAATATTTTTAAATATTTAAAAGTTATAGATATCATGTTACAAATACTACAATCATCTCTGTTCCTATAAAAATAAAAAAATGATCAATAAATAAATAACACTATCGATCAAATAAAATGAAATAAAAATAGACAATAATCTGAATCATTTATGTTTACAAGTAATGTTTTGTTATTATTCAAATTAGTACAATAATATCAAAAAAATTCAGAAAACTAAAATAATGAATTTTGAATTAAAATTTTAAATAAAAAAAAACATTAGTATGGTTGGGTATGAAATAAAAATAAATAAATAGAAAAATTTTCATCCAAGGCTCCATAGCATAGTTGGTTATTGTACTTCCCTAGTAAAGGAAGAGTTAGGAAGGGGTCACGAGTTCGAATCTCGTTGGAGCCTTTATTAAAAACATGTCCGCATGCGGATTCGTTAATATTTTTAGTCTTTAAATTGTTCATTTTTTTTGCTTTTTTTGGTTTGTTAAAAACAATAATCAAATTAAATCAATTAAAATATGTATTTATCAAATAAACAAACCAAATAAATATCATTGTTATATTTTATCATCATTAGCAATGCTAATTTAGCATTACTTATAGTATTAAATTAGTTATTCTTTAGCTATTATATATATATTATAGAACCTTTTTTATGGTATACAATTTAAGTTTGCTTTTTAAACTTTTTTTTATTTTTTTTTAATTCAAAAATACATAGTAACAAATATGAGTACTAGTAGTAAAGAATCTTTACTAAAGATACACAAGAAGTTAATACCAATAGTGGTAAAAGTGTTGAACACCAGTAGAAGTCAGATAAATACACGAAATCATATTCTAATCTGGAAAGATAACAGATATATACCAAGATTATCAGAGGATATAGCTCCGCAACTAATCAATATTCTTGTGATTGTATTGTATTGCCTAACCAAGCCAACTTGTCCGATAACGGATCTGATCCCAACCAATACATTTGACAATGTAATTTCACAAGTGACCAACTCTTATATTCAACTATGTGGACAGACAATAAAAAAGGTTCTTTATATATAATAGCTAAAGAATAACTAATTTAATACTATATATTTGTGATGTTTATTTGGTTTGTTTATTTGATAAATATATATTTTAATTGATTTAATTTGATTATTTTATATATTAAATTGTTCTATTTAACAGTGTCTTTCCTCTCAAAGACAATAATATCAAATAGAAGGAATCGATCTTTAAAGGAACAGGCTATTCCTATCATTTATGAAATTAATTATTAATGTAGAAAGAGTAACTTTTTAATATTATTTATTAGTACAAATATTTGAACTGCAAATAGGAAAGTTTTATCAAACAACATCTATAAAATATTAATAAACTTTTAACTATTAATTCTATTTGTTATTTATAAAACTATAATAAATATTCTATTAATTAAAAATATCTTAAATATTTTTTATTTAATTATTAAACTATTTCTAAAAAATATCTATAAACTGTTCCCAAAAAAAAAAAGGAAATTTCTTGAGATAAAAAAAAAACTTTTTAGTTTTGATCATTTAAAAGAAAGAAAGAATCGATGAACAAAGATATATTTAACAAAGTTTTTAATAACATAGTTATCAATAAATTAGTATTTACACATGTCAGAAATTTAAATCGTTTTGGTGGAGGTCATATAGTGCCAGCATTACATAGATATAGAAGCTATCCGTGGTCGGAAGTGATCAATTTGCCACACGTCATGGTTTCCTATGGATATCTTGCTCAACTTAAGCAATATTTCAGTGAGAATGCAGTATCAAACAATTGTGAAATTAAATCATTTAGAAATGCCATCGACACCAACAACATCGATATCCTACGATACCTGTTAGATGATCTACAGATCGATATCCGAAAGACCAAAGGCAAACGATCGAGATACAATGTCACCAAGATACTGAATCATGCTGCCAAGTCTGGAAGATTGGAGATCGTTCGTTATCTATGTGAACAAACGCCATTCAAATGGAACTACTACGAAGCTATGGTAAAATCACCGCTCTCACGCGATTTTGAAATCGTAAAATACCTGGTGGAGAGAGTCAATTCTTCGAAATTATTTATTAACTATTCAAGTTATAATTCAACGGTATTTGATAACGCTGCAAAGATAGGTGGAATCGATATGATTAAATGGTTGTCCAGTAATCGTTCAGCTGACAAAAAGACCAGTAACATGTTATTATCAGCGGTCAATGCAAAACAAGCGGCGACCATCGAATATCTGTTGAGGGAGGGCAAAGAAACGATGATTCCTCTCGAGGTGATAGAAGCTGCAATAAAAGTCAAAAGCATGGAAATTCTACAGCTTTTATCAACAAAGTCTGGTTACTATGGAGTGACAGCATATGAATTAGCTATTAATACAGGTAGCTTGGAGATAGTGAAATTTGTACATGCCCGTACAACCGCTAGACCTTCTACACCATACGAAAAGGCAGCACTCATCGGTAGTTTGGATATCGTAAAATGGCTATTTGAAAATCAGATTAGTGTGTGTAATCCGGCGGCATTCGACTGTGCCTGTTACTCTGGCAATATGGAATTGGTGAACTATCTCTTTGATAAAGTCGCAATGGAGAGAACGAAATTCGCTGTACAGAATGCCATTATTAAAGGTAATTTGGAATTGGTGAAACTACTGAGTGCACCACTACATGACCATTTCGAAGGTGCAATCAACTTGACAGCCGAGAAAGGTCAACTATCGATTTTGAAATGGCTGAATGAAAATAGAACAGATTTACTATTTACTCCTGAAGCAATGGATCTTGCTGTGAAAAACAACCACTTCAATGTGGCACGTTGGTTGCATTTGAATCGTACTGAAGGATGTTCCTCTAAAGCAATCGATTATGCAGCACGACATGGATATCTCGATGTTGTCCAATTTCTGAACGAGAACTATTCGAATGGATTTTCTGACGATGCCATTCTGAGTGCAATAGAAAATGGCTATCTCGACGTTGTCCAGTATCTTTGTGACAACACCAAAGCAAAGATACCAAAGAAAGCATTGTTCAAAGCTGTTTTCAATGGATATACTGATATTGTGAAATATTTATATTCAAAAACTCAGACAGATGAAGCAGATTCATTGATGAATGTCGCAGCTGAACGTGGTCATATGGAGATTTTGATGTGGTTGGATGAAATGGGTGAAACTTGTACAACCGGTGCCATGGACAACGCTGCTGGTAGTAACCAAATTCAAATCTTGAGATGGTTACATGAAAACCGTAGTGAAGGATGCACTCACTTTGCTATGGAAAAAGCATTGTTCGATACTGACAGTAGCTTGGAAGTGGTTGAATGGCTCTATAACAATAGAACCGAATGTAAAGATCTATCAAAAATCCACATTTCAGTACTTGCCGATAAACTCTCAAGAAATCAATTCGATATAATTGAATGGGTGCTGGAAAAATTAGATGTTTCTTTGGAATTTCTTGAACTACTACATAGTGGAAAAGCTAGATATACAGAATCCATTGAAGTTATTGAACGTCATATAAAATTATTAAATCAAAATCAAAATCAAAATCAAAATCCAAAACAAAAATCAATATATAATTGTTGAATAAAGATATTTTTATTTATTTCAAATTAACTTTGATATCATCTTGATAGATAAGCTTTGGAAGGTAGGGTCCAGTAATGTATGGTTTCTTCCAACCCTGTCTTTCTTGTGGACTGCTGAATGCATGTTGAACATATCGAACGTTATCAATAACAACATCATCTAAAGAATAAAGATGTATTAAGAGATTAGTTATTATTGCTTTTAAAAAAATTTGTTGAGAACTTACAATCAATGTGAGTATGTCCAAATACATGTACAGTAGAACCTATCGAACGAAGTTGTGTATCGAGCTCTACTGAACCTACCACAAGAGGAAGGAAATCCTTAAGTAGTTGTGATCTTGGAGGAAGCAGTTCTCTTCTAGGTACGAAATGAGAGAATGAAATCACTTTACTTGGATAGGATTGTTGATGTTGCTGCTTAAAGTCATGAATTAACTTTTCATTGGCTTGAAGGAATCTTTCTGCCACCTGTATATGAGGGATGTCCCATTTGCTATGACGGAAATCACCCCATTTATGATACAATCCATCGTAGGTAGCCACCTTTAGTTCATCATTCAATTTACACCAGTCTTCATCGAAAGAAGGATGATACCATCCTAACATTGGGAAAATTGCCAACTAGATCCAAAATAATAATTAATAAATAAATAAATAATATATAAATTGATTTTATTTATAAAAATACCTACATCATTATTAATTTTAGTAGGATTAATAAAAGTACCAGTCTTTTTACAAATCTCATAAATCACTTCCAACTTTTCCATTGAGCTGGTACACTGTCAATTTTTTTTTTTTTTTGATAAAGTTAGTTTTAAAAAGTTTTAAAGTTATAAAATAATTTATTTAACATACTTGATCAGATCTACCACACCATAGTTCATGATTACCTGGTATGAAGAATACACCTGTAGGGTATTTGATATTGAGTAAATTGAGTGTGTCTTCTATCACTTTGATATTGTCAGAGATATCACCACAAACAATGAGAATACTATCACTCTCCACAGGCAAGGTTTGAATATAAGCCATATTTGCTTTAAAATCTGTATGAATATCAGATACACAGTAAACTTTTACCATTTTTCTATTTATTTATTAAAAGAATTATCTTTTAATTGATTGACTGATGATAAAATATTAAAAAAGTAGTTGAATTTATACTTGTTACTTAAGAAAGAAAGTATAAACATTAAAAGATATATTTATAAAGATCAAAATAAAAATAATGGGAAATTGAAAACTACTAAAAGAACAACAACTTTTTCCAAGAATAGTAATTGTGAACATCTTATTAATATATTTGATTAATCATCGTGTTACCACAACAGTTGTATTCGAACATAGGTGGTCAAAAAAAAAAGATTGTTTTTCTTATTTTTTTATCTGAGAAATTTCACTTTTTTTTTGGAGCTAAGCACCTTCCAAAAATGAGGTGTTTTATGTTTTGAAATGATGATCATTTAGATTGGAGATTGATAGGCCAATAAGTTAATTGTTTTTTTATTGTTCAAATTTGAGATAACAAGATATATAATTTTGAATATAAAAAAAAAAAAAAATGTTTTTAAGAAATTTAAATTATATATTTGAATTTACATTGTTTTTTGTTTCCAATCAAAAGCGTTGTTGGTCTAGTGGCAGAATTCTTGCCTTCCAAGCAGGAGACCCGGGTTCGATTCCCGGACAACGCATTTTATAACCTGAACAAATTCCTTGTCCGCTTGCGGTAAATTTGAATCTATGTGTAAGAAGGTTTATCTGTGTGATGCTTGTGGAACAGATCATAATTAGTTAACTTCCCTTTTGGCATAGCGGGAAAACCAATTGGTTACACTATGAAGAAGGTTCATCTGTGTGATGCTTGTGGAGTAGATCATAATTAGTTAACTTCCCTTTTGGCAGAGCCTGAAAACCCGTTGGTTACACTAATAATATAAGAATGAGGATAGCGGTAAGACTAAGACAATGGCGAGTACATACTGCATTGAATGGTGAGACATATTGGATATTGGTGTTAAGGTTAGTTAAATCAACGATCATCAAATCTTACTTCCTATGTATAATAAAAAAATTGAACTCTTGAAGATGTATTTTTTCAATATATATGTATAACATTCACTTTAAATCTATATTTTATTTATTATTTTTAACAATATTTTCGGCTACCCAGTTTGGCCATGCATCGACATCTAAAACATGCTCATTGGACGCTTGGTCATACATATCATAGGCATCTACATTACAAATATTACCAGACATTACATGTTGAAGTTTAGTTGCCAAAACCAAACTAACAAAATATTTCTTTTTCAATTGTTCATAGTTGTATGAAACATCCTCCAGTTTCTTTGTTACCTCTTCACCAGCCTGTTGTTTCATAAAAGCAATATTCTGTTGATTTCTAGTCTGTAGATCTTTCTTTAATCTCTGAATGGTATCGTAATAAACCTTTTCTTGTTGTTTCATATCTGATTCCAATCTTTGTAACTATTGTAATTAATTAATTTAGTTTAGAATTGTAAAAAGTTAGTTCTCTGTATTTTTTTTTTTTATTACTTGATAATTGATAATTACTTGTAAATTAAGGAAAGCATTATGAGTTTGATGTGCAATTGAACTCTCTCTCATATTCTCCATTTGCTCCTCTGGACTGAGCATCTTTGATTTACGATTGTTCTTCTTTCCGTTGGTATCGGGGTTGGCAAACTCTCTGGAGAATGCCATACCGTTCTCGTACTCTGCTCTGACCTCCTTTACGCTGTTCTCAAGTGATCTGAGTTTCGAATCTTTAATCTTGATCTCCTCCTCCCACAACTTTAGTTTGTCGCTCAACAATGTGTTTTCAAACTCACGGTCGATCAACTTGTTCTCCGAGCTGACCAGTCTGTCTTTCATGGCATTCAAATTGACTTCGGATTGAGCATTCAACTCCTTGAATTTCGATGCTTCCTCCAGCTGCTTCTTCAAAATGAGATTCTGATTGCCTTGCTCTGTGATGGTTTGACTCGCTTTGTTGAGACCACCCTCCAAATCGCCAAGCAGCAACACCAACTTCTTTTGCTCGTTGGCCGATTGCTCCTTTTGCATCTCTTGACTATTCTCGAATGCTTTCATCTGAGTACGAAGCAAACCAGACAATGTATTCAATTGAGTGGTTTGCTCTTGGAGTTTGGTCGATTCGCTCTTGTATGCAGAGTTGATCTGTGTGATTTCCTGACTCTTGTTGTGAAGTTCATCCTTTTGGGTCGATGCCAACAAGTTGGTCTGTGAAATCTGCTCACTGATATCAGCGATCGTTCTCGACGAACGTTCAACCGATTCCGAGAGTTGATCGATATGCGATTGCTTTGATTTCTGATCCTCTTTCAAAGTGTTCAAGTTTCTCTGTTGGAAGCTGGTGATGGTGTTGTTTGCCTCGATCGTTTGTTTGTAGTGGGCAATACGCTCATCTTTCTCACGCTTGTCTTGCTCGAGCGCAACAATGAGATCTCTGCACTCTGCCAGCTTGACACCGACAGTCATGCTTGTATCACGCAACTGCAGTGTCTCCTCTCTGAGTGCATCAATCTCCATCTCTGCGACATTCTTGTAGTTCTTTGATTGCTCGGTGAGCAACTCCATGATATGCGAAGTATTCTCTACGGTCTGAGTAAGGTTTTCAATCTGAGAAACACGACTCTCATTGATGTCCTCGAGATTCTTTACCTGTCCATTCAACTGGTTGACATTCGATTCACTCTGGTTGATCTTTGACTTGAGAGATTGGTTCTCCGACTTCAAAGTGTCGCGCTCCTTGTTGGCTTGTTCCAAGCTTGCTTTGAGTTGTGTGATTTCCTTCTCACGCTCCAGACGTACCAAGTCAAGCTGCGACGAACTCAACTCCAATTGCTGTTTAGCCGATCGAAGTTCTTCGTCCTTGATCTCACTGATTTTTCTGGTGGGATCGAGAGTCTGCATCCATTGTTCACGCTGCTCATTGCTCGACGCTTGCAACAGCCAGACACGACGCAACTGAATCACCGCAAAACCATGCTGTACTTCCTCCTGAGGGATCGGAGCGATCGAAGTATTGGTAAGATCGATCTTCTTGTACTTTTGACCAATGTCCTTCTCAGAGTGCGAGTAATAGAGGTATGGCTTCTTCCAAACAAAGAATCGCGACTTCCACTCGTCCTTGTAGGTCGACTTCTTCTTGAGATAGCCACGTAGTTCATCCTCCTTGATGAGTGCACTACTGCCAATCTCATTGATCTTCACCTCGATGACCGAGGTGGTACTCTTCTTTCTCGAGATGGTAGCACGCTTGGCATTGGAAGCGTTGTTCATCAACGACATCTTCTTGACGATCTCCTCGGCTTCGATACGATCGACATTGTTGCTCTCGTCAGACTCTGGTTGTTTCTCACGAATAACACTCAGCTTCTGTCGCAAATCCAACTCTTGACGCAACTTTTCCATTCGCATGGCATATCCTAATTTTACAAAGTTCTCTTGGTGATTGTCAATCATATCGCCAATCTTGTTTTGGTGTTCGACATGACGCGACTTGGTGAGATGTACATTAAATACAGATCCAGAGTGGAGTATACTCGACTCGCTGTCGTGTAGAATACTCTCTCCCTTGAAGTGTGGCTTGAATTTATCGAGGAGGTTACTCAGTGACGAGTTGGCTCCCTCTGGCTGTTGGACGAGCTCCGAAGAGAGAATCTTGACAGAGACATCCTTGGAAATGACAACGTCACTTGGGAAATCAACAATCGAAAGAACGTATGAGATTTTAAAGAGAATCTTGTTTCCCTTGCGTGTCTTGATATTGAAGAGATGCGAAGGATCAGTGTTATTCCAAGACACAACGATAGTGTCTTCACTCGCCGATATGACAGGCAGTTCAAACTCGTCGGAACTCGAGGAGGACGAAGACGATCCGGCCGAAGAGGAAGATGCACCGCCTTTGCCAGCAAAGTTGGAGCTTGTTGTGGGTGTGTTGGCAGCGTTTTGGAACAAGAGATTCGACGAGCCGTAGAAGCTGTTCGAAGGTGTTCCCTGTGGTGTTGAGATACCGTTGTTGTAGTTGAATGGTGTGATGGGTGTGGAAGGAGTGGCTTGTGAACGCGATGGGTTGCTTGGGGTGGATGGTGTCGACGGGGTGTTTGGCGCGCCGGCACTCAGCATCGCCAGATTGGTGGGTGGCTCACGCTTGCCGATCGAACGGGCATGACTGACAGTGACCGATTTGCACTGCTTGATCTTCACCAACTGATTCTGACTGGTGGCGTCAGATTTAATCAGTTTGAGAACAATCTGACGAGTGGAGATCTCTTTCTTCAATCTAAAGGTAACGGAAGGTGCGTTGTTGGAAATGTCGGAATCCTCAAGTACGTGGACAGGTTTGAAAAGCTTGGATTGCTCTGGCTCCAAGATATTGAGCGATGCCATAAATTCATAGGATTCGACCATCGGTCTCTTGAGATCCTCCGATGCATCGAATGACTTTTCCAACTGATTGATCTTCTTTCCATAGATCTCAAAAGCAATATAATCGGTTTCGAAATGATTAATCAATTCATCCGATATATTTGGGATATTTATAGTTATTTTATCTAAAAGTTGTTTTGAATGCTAATAATAATAATAATAATAATGTTTGGTTAGTTTGATTTGATACGATCACTTCATCGATGTTGTTTGTTGTTGTGTTTAAGCAACTTACTGTTGTTTGATGTTTATCGGAATTGAATATGAATTTAGAATATAAATCGTTGTATTGATCTTTGAGGTCATTGATTCCATTGAATTGAATGGTTATATTCATTGATTTTCCAATGAGAATGTATGGATCACCAGATAGTAATGATGGTTGGTCATCATCGGTTAAATCGGCAACCTGTGTTGTTACACTGACATTAAGATAACCTTTGAGTGAACCATTAGTGTCCAGAATTGGAATCGGTCTATTGATATCCACCAAATATAATATATTCTTTAAGTACATATGTGAAACACCAATTAAATTAGATCCATCAAATTTGAAATTAAATGGATCTTCAATACCATTTTCAATCTACAATTGTATAATTGAAAAGAAAACATATATAATTAATATAAAAGAAATTCAATTGAAAAAACAAACTTTGTTATTAATAATTACCTTTCCATCGTTTTGATATAATTCTCTCATTGAATAAACTCTATCTATAAACTCTTCAACGGAAATCATTGTAACTTCACCAGTATCCTTCTTGGTTACTTTGACGCCGATCTGGGTCATTCGCCAATCGACTTCGACTTCGTCGACGACGTTGAGTTGGTCGGCCTGTGGATAGATCGAGTAGAGTTTCAAGTACAAATCGATATTCTTGGCGAATGTGTCAGAGATTGCGTTGGCTTCGTTGAGCGAGAGTATGAGATGCGATATTCGGTTGAGCAGACGTGTTCGGTAGACTTTGGATCGCCATCTTCGTATGGCAATGAGTGCGAGGTTCTCGCGACGCTCTCTTGTCTCTGGATCAAAGTCACGCTCCAATTGTGAGCGCATCTGGCCGTAGAGCACCTTCATCTGCTCCTTCATCTGCTTTTGGAATTCACGATTGTCGCCAATCTGCTTGGTGATGGCGAGGTTGCCCTGTGCCGACGCCAGCTCATTCAGCGCAAAGTCATAGTCGATGATCTGATCTTTCTTGGCGAGCGCATGACTGTCGGCGGAACGCTCACGTTCACGCGCAATCTTGGCCGCTTCCTCGGGATGATTGAAACGGAAGATATGATTGTTTCCGAGGATGACACGATTACCGGTTTGAAGCACTGTGGGTGCACTGATCTCGAAACCATTGACAAAAATCGATGAGTGTGTTCTACTGTCGTCGGTGATCGGTGTGATCGTAACCACACTATTATTATTCTCAATCAAACAGTGCTCTTTGGCAATGTTCAATCCATTCAATATAATATCTTGTGGTGTATCTGCATCGGATCTTCCAATTCTCGTTGTTCCTTCTTTTAGATAATAGATCAACGACTCCGACATCAAAGGATCCTCATTCAAATTGATAAAATGTGGGATTGAACTAACAACTTTAATTGCCACACCCATATCCTATTAAATTATAATGAATATTAATTTACATTCTTTGATAAACAAAACAAAAACAAAGCAAAATTAAACAAACTTACTTTTAGAGCAGACATTCTTTCCTCTCTAATCTTTTCCGCATCAATTAACTTTTCCTCCCATGACTTGTTTAGTTCAGCCATCAACTTTTCATATTGTTCAATCTTTTCATTCAAACTTAGTACTAATCCACCATCATCTAGAAAGTATTCAACGAAAAATGAAAATATGTTAATAAACAATTGGTAAAAGTTGTTAGATTTTTCGGTAAACTTTACCATCGTTTGTTAATCCCATTAGTTTGGCAGTGTCGGCAGCACCAAGTCCACCGGCAGAGAGCAATTGCTTTAGACGCTCCACCTCGGTTTGAAGCTCTCTGATTACTTTGGATTGTGGATCTTCGTTGACAGTTGCGGTTGTCTTGATCTTCTTGGCGCTGTCCGCATAACGCAGTGTCGAGAGTGTCTCGTCGAAATTGATATCGGCAGGACTGATCGCTGCAATCATAATGGTCTTACTGTTACCACCGAGTGACTCCTTCAGCAGGTACGTCAACACCGAGTCACGATACGGCACGAACACCTGTTTCTTTGGATTGGTGGTCGACGAGTTCTCGGCGAGCGCTGAAATTACCTTTCCCAGGGTGGAGAGCGACTTGTTGATGTTGGCACCCTCCTTCAAACGAACACCGGTCGCACCGGTACTGGCAGCACGCTCACTACCCGCCAGATCGACCAGTGAAATCTTACTGACACGATCGATAGCAACACCACGAACTCTATCAATCTTTGACTGTGTAAACACAATAGTAAACACTGCATGCGAACGTGAAGATGTCGCATTCATATTTGTCGATGCCACCGTACGTGCTTTACTACCTTCGTCCATCAACATTTCAATCTCTTGAAAACTCTTTACTGCCAACCTAAAATATAATAAAAAGTTTGTTAGATTGTTAACCTTTTCAAACAAGAAAATACAACATGTTTTTGGTTGAGTTTAAACTTGTGAATTTGAATTTGGAATTGGAATATTGATATCTGATTGATTGATTGATTGATTGATTGAAATGTTGGTTGTCTTTTTGGATGATGGAATCCAATCCAGTGTAACCAACATTCAAATATTCATATTCACATTCAGACCATCAACTCAACTTTAAAGTTGAGTTGAATAAAATCAATCCAATTCTTTATATATATGAATTCACTAAAAACAATGTCCAATTATTGTTATAAAAACATGCATGTTTAAAACAACAATGACAATAAAAACAGAGAACAACAACAACAATAAAAAGATAACAATAAAGTTTACATACTTTGAAAGATCCTCTACGTAGGGACCAGTTGATGGGTTGTTACGAACTTTTAGTCCTCCAGGCTTGTTGTTCTTGGGGTTGAGTAGATCTTTGACACGCTCGTTGTAGATCTCCATGAAACTCACTTCCACTTTGAATACGGTTTGTTCGCGTTCGTTCGATACGGTGTTTCCGATACGGTTGAACATTTCCTCGCAAACCAGAGGGATGATACCCTTGTCCTCACCGTAACCAAGCATAGAATAAGACTTTCCTGAACCTGTCTGTCCGTACGCAAAGATCGTACAATTGAAACCCTCCCATGCATTCTGAAGCACTTCACGACCGAGATCGTCAAACACCGTTGTTTGCGATGCGAAATTGGGGTCGTCGCTATCGAACGACCAATAACTGTGATCGAATGTAAATGACTTTTCGTCCTCTGCTGTGGGTGGTGCATTGGGATTGGCACGCAACGCCGATGGTCTAACCAACAGCGTTGTATTACCATTCATCTTTACAATACACTCTGCATTTCTTTCTTTTTCTCTAAAAATAATATTATCATCCAACAAATAATCAATATCAATATCAATCAATTGCTATATCGCTAGAAAATAGTGATCATCATCATATTCATCATCTTTCTTAATCAACTTTGATGAATGATGATGATGATGAATGATGATCACACATCCATTTGTTATTCCAATATTTACCTAGAGTTGAATGGTCTGACTCTAACAGCTACTTTGACACCTGATGACATGGTGTAGCTTTTATTTTCACTGATATCTACTACTATTAAACTAATAAAAATCCAAACAAACTATATTCTTCTTGCTTTTCTTTTCTATTTGTATCTGATGAAGAGTTGATCATCTATACTATCTATATCTGTTATCTTGTAATCCAAATCTATATGCTATTAAATATTTTTTGTTTAAATTATTAAATTATTAATTAAAAGTACAAATTTGAATTCAAAAGTTTCTTTAAAAGAAAGATCTAATTATAATGTTGTTTGTAAAAAAAAGATGGATAAAAAGATAAATGATAAAAAGATTAAAAAAAAAAGGTAGTAAGTATTGGATGTTTGTAGGTTTTTTTTGTTGTTTTAATTAGCCAAGAACAAAATGAAAAATAAAAATAAAAAAAAAAAAAGGAATTAAAAAATAATATCAAAGCGAGAATATCTTTTTGCTTTTTTATTTATTTTTTTTTTTTGTGTGTTGTTTTTTACAATTAATTTATGATATGTATGAAAATTGTGTAGTGTGTGTTTATATCTATTTATTAAAATCTCTAGTCTCTCTTGTTGTTATCACACAATTTTCAACTTACATTATGTGTCTTGATAATATAACCTAGATTATCTTATATGTTGTTTACTGACCAATCTAAATATTTAAATTTGACCCGACTATACTAACTATAGTTGATTTTACAACAACAGATATTTAAATAAATAAATAATTTAAACTAAAAAAATATTAGTTCAAAATTAACACACTTCACAGAATCCTTTTGAATTAAAAAAAAAAAAAAAATTCAAAAACAATAAAAAAATCAATAAATTTGAATTCAAATAATTCTTTTGAATTGTCGATGTCTGTTTTATATATAATTTTGAAATGACCACACAAAATTTAACTTTAGAGCAATAAAACTCGTGGTATCTAAAACCAGGGTAAAAAGTTTAATGAGGTGCTTTTTCGTTGTGTCTTTTTAAAAAAAAATAAAAAAAAATTTTAAAAAGAAAAGAGAGATGATGATTCTCAAAATAAAAATAAAAAGTAATATTTGTCTATCACTTTGATAAGAATCAAATATTTATTTATTCTCTTTTTTTATTAATTTACTTTATTTTTAAAAGAAATCAAATTTTGGTGGGGGGTATTGATTTTTAAAAAAATAAAAATAAAAATAAAGAGAAAGAAAATTCCAAACGCATTTCCGAAAAATCAAAATCGAAATAGTTTAAAGTAAGAAAATCATCTGAATGTCAGGTTTATTATTTGTGTAAGTTAAGTATATGATCAATTGTGGTGTTTTCTTATTTCATTAATGTTGTAACTGATCCTGGTTTAATATTTGCTTCTTTTGTATAATTATTATTGATGGAATGCAAAAAATTTGCAGTGTTCAGTAATGCAAGTAAGATATGCAATAAAGTAATTACAGTTTTTTTTTTTCAAAGTTTTTTTTTGTGTTTGATTTTTTTAAGCTTGCAAAAAATAAATATCTTTGAGTAGATTCGATAATGTGTACACAATGTAAAATGATTTTGATATTTTTTTATTAATTTTTTTTAGTTAGATAAAATCATTTCCAAAAACTAAAAGTTAAAAAAACCATCATCAAAAATAAAAACAACTTTTTTCTTGATACTCAGATTCAAACCCGATTGAAAAATCTATCACTTAATTAAAAAAATTATTATTATGCCCAACAATCATTAAATTTATGTCACCTTTATAATTAAATTATTTAACTTACAAAGATATATTTCTTTACTAGCTAGCAACATATTATATTTTTATCTATTTTCTTATAATAATTAAGGATGATGACAACAGAGAGTATATTATTAGATTCAGATGGAGGTGGTATTGGAAGTGACAATCACAACAAACAATCAAAAAACACAATCTCATCATCTACAGCAATGGAAAGCACATCAATTTCAACATCTTCAACAACAACAACTTTTTCAAACTCAACAACACCTTTTATAATGAATTCAAAATTGAAAAATAGTGGTGGTGACATTTTAAATAACAATAACAATATATCAAATGATAGCAATAATAATAATAATGTTGCAGTTTTAAATAATCCATTAATTTATAATATTAAAAAAAGTTTGTCCACTCGTAGGATGATCAATTCTCTTCCATCTTCACATAGACAACAGCAACTTCAATCACCGTTGATGTCAACCATTAAAAAAGTAGATCCCAATCTGAAGCGCTTCAATATTCTCAAGGAGATTCTCTCCACAGAGCAGGCGTACAATTCATTTCTTTCGGTGCTGATCGATGTCTACTTGACAGGTCTTCGCGGTTCATCGGTGCTTTCCAGCGAGGACATCGACACCATCTTTTCAAACATCGAAGCAATCAAGTCGGCCAACGACGAGATACTCTATCGACTCAAAGATCGTCTGGAAAACATCGAAATGCCAACACAATCTACACTCTCATCTTCAGGATCTTCAGAATCACCAGAGGAAAACAACAGTCAAATCGTCGTGGTCTCTGACATCTTCATTGAACTCGGGCCATTCCTAAAGATCTACTCCATTTTCGTAAACAACTACTATAGTAAAGCAATCAAATTTATCAAGAATCAAAACTCAAACAATAAGAAATTTAAAACTTTTTTAAACGTATGTCAATTCCAAACCATTTAGTTTTTAAAACTTTACAAAAGTAATAATGCTAATATTAACATCTCATTTTTTTATTAGGAATGTAAATATTCTCAATCAGCAAAGAAATTGGATTTAAATGATTTATTAATTATGCCAATACAAAGATTACCTGTAAGAATTAAATTGATTTTAAAACTATTTTATTTTTAAACAAAAAAGTTATCAATTATTAACCGTTTTTTAATATTAATTTAGAGATATATTTTATTGTTGGAGGAGTTGACTCAATATACACAGAATTCACAGGAGAAACAGAATTTGATAGATGCAAAGCAAATAATGAAGGAAGTGGCATCTTATGTCAATCAAGCCACAGAGAGAAAGGGTACAATGAGAAATGATCAAATTTCATTGGCACATATTCAACAACTTTTAGGTCCAAAGGCAGCTGTAAGTTTCACTAAATTGTTAATATGTTCTTTAAGACTAAAATAATTAATAATATTATTCCTTAGAATTTAATTCAACCGCATAGAAAATTAGTTAAATCAGGTGAATTGGATCGTTTGGTTGTCAACTCTGAAGGTGTACCCAAAAAGAGAAAGCTAATCGTATATCTTTTCAATGACATCATTATATATTCAGTGAATAACAAGTTTTGGAGACAGATGCAACTTTCTGAAGTTTGGATTAAATCAAGAACAAACGAATGTATGTTTATAAATAATAATAATAATAATATAAACAAAAATATATATTTTTGAAATAGTTATTAATTTTTAATTTTTTTTAGCATATAAAAGTTTGGTAACATTTGAAATATTTAGTCCAAGTTTGAGTTGTATATTTTTATCGGATGACAATAATATGGAATGGCCTCTGCTAATTGAAGATACGATCAACTCACTTCTGGAAAACGATGCAGCTGCCAAGGAGAAGCGATTGAAGATTCTGGAGAATATACAGGAGCAAGAGGATCTAACGTTTGAGGAGAAACAATTCTTTTTCGAGTCACTGTCTTCTTTAAGTGGAAATACAGTGAATCAACAGTCATCACAACAACAGCTGCATCATCAAAAGAATTCGGCTCTCAAAGGTAAACACATAAGGAAGCAAAAGTCACGTGCCAATCTCAACGGCATTATAGAGAGTGGAATTGTAAACGATAGGAAGAAACAGATTGAACAACTCCTCATTGAAAAGCGAAGTATTCTCGAGTATCAAGGTCGTGCGGGTATGGGCGCGGATGCTTCGGAGGGTGCACCGAGCGGAGAACATCGTGGTGACACTGGAAACTACCAGGACTACGACGACGACTACGATCAAGACGATCAACTTCTCGACGATCTCTACCTCAAATCGATTGAGTACAACGAGAAGAAAAATCAGGCGGCAATCAAAAAGTATAAAACATTGTCGACCTCGATGCCATCGTCGATCTCGGCGAAATCGTTTTTCAAGGAACAACCGAATCGACTCGATCACATCATCATGCTGCGGACCAACGTGAAGAAGCAAGGCTATCTCACAAAGATCGGACATATCGTAAAGAACTGGAAACGTCGTTGGTTTGTCATGGAGAATGGATATCTTTTCTACATGAAGCACCAAGAGTCGAACCGACAACTTGGCACCATCGCAATTCTTGGCTCCAACATCGAGATGATTTGCTACGAGAGTAGATCGTTTCATATTGTCACGAAAGGACGTACTTTTATGCTGGTTGCAGATAGCGAAGATGATTTGCGCGATTGGCTGCGTGTCATCCAAGAGTTCTTTGATGAGCGTACTTCCAACATCCAGCGAATCAAAAGTCAATTCCTCTCGGGTGCCAATAAACCTCTGTCACAATCCGCAGGTGAACTCTGGCTGTCGGCATCACCAAAAGCTTCCAGCAGTCCAACATCACCAAAACACACTCCTTTCCTGAACAGTTCACTAGACGGCAGCAATACGTCGCTATTGGCAAATTCCAGATCATTAAGGAATCAGATTACGACGAATTCTTCAACGACAACCAGTAATTTTAACACTAATAGTGGTAATTCTGACAGCTCCGTACTGTCGGCAGCAGATATTCTTAGAAGATGTACAATATTAAACAATGATAATAATAATAATAACAACCATTTCGAAGGTGGAAAAGATCAACAACAAATAATCGAATCGGAATATGAAGATAGTGGATCAGATATTACTATTTCCAGTGACGATGAAGATTTAGATGACTATGAAGATTCTACCACAACCGAATCTGAAGATGAAAATTGACAACATATTATTAATAAATGTTTTTTTCATAATTTTCTCCTATTGGATGTATAAGAAATAAATCACAACTAAATTGTTAATTAAAATTTATTATTAATAGCTCAAAACATAGATATAGAACATAACTATTAAAAATAAACATTCATATTTTTTTTTTTCAAAGAAATAGGACAATTTGTTTTTTGTTCTAGAGAGAATTATTAATAAATAAATGTTTTATTCGAAAAATTTTGATTGGCAATTTAATCAACATGTTGGTTTGTTGATTTTAATAGTTGTTTGTGAAGTATGTTTGTGCTTGTTGATTAATTTCGAAATGATCAACAGGTTTGGTTTCCTTTTCAACTTTGATGTCGATAAGTGGATCCTCTACCTCCTCAAAGTCGTGGAGGAATCCGTATTGGAGAGTCTTTTTGTTCTCCTTGAAAATGAGGAGGAGGACAACCAAGAAACTTGCCAAACACAATGAAATCAAAGGAATGATCGATGGGAGCAACCATGGTGCTGGGTGGGCACTTGGAATCGATTCGGTGCAGACTGGTGGTGGGTAGCTTGGGTAGTTGGTGTAGTTTACAATGAGGAGATCGAAAAAGGTTTGAGAGTTGGTGTTGAACTTTGGATAGGAGATGACATATTGACCGTTTCCAATGTTTTGTTGGACGGCATCCTCGAGCAAATCGAGCGAGCAAGTCTGGACGATGGGTGCGTCGTCTTGGAGGCAACGCGATGGGTAACGACCGTAGAGCGACACTGAGTTTTTGGTGAAGAAGAACCAACGATTGTCGGTGTTGGCATTGTTGTAGAGGTGGTTGCTGTAGGCGACGGTCTGAGTGTCACAGGAGTTGGTGTAGTTGGTGGAGATTTGGAATCCGACTTGATAGGTTTTGGTGTAGGAGTTTGGAAGATTCAAAATTTGAACTTTGAATTGCATAGAACGTGGCTGCAAGTAGGTGGAGTAGTCACCGATGGTCTGAGTGAATAGACTGTTGGCAAACTTCATGGTGACCTTGACGGATCCGACGTTGGCGACAGTATCGATTGCACTGCTAGTATATATTAGTGTGTCGGTTCCACTTACGACTTGAGTCCATGTGACATCGGTGGTGAGGTCCTTCAATAAGACATATTGACTGGTGGCAGCATCCCAAACATTCAATTTATTGAAAACAATATTCCACTCGAGTAATCCGTTTTGATAGATGTATTTGAATTTTGGTTGAACTGAACTGCTTGAATAGGTTGAATAAACTTGGTCTAGAAAATTGTAATGTTTGTCAGTATTTGTAATAATGATTTAGTTATCTACAATGTAGAATTGATGTTGTTAATTAATATTTACCTAAATTACATAATGGACCAACTTGATTGGTACCACATTGACAGATACCGTAGGAGCAGGTGTCACCTGTATTACATCCGTTGTTGTATGGACCAGTAATACAACTGGTTGATGATTGAGTGTAAATTAACATTTGATTTGAGACGTGAGAGGTTCCATCGACTGTGATGGTGACGTCGAGTGCTTGGAGAGTATTAAGACAGTTCATGTCATACATGAAATTCTGGCAAACGATGGAGGTGTTTTGTGAGAGGAAAGAAAGTTGTCCAACAGACTTTGATGAGCATACAGTCTTTGTAGAACCTAGTAAAATTTTAATATCTGATCCAGTACCACCGAGGTCAACTCCTGTAATAGTGACTGAACTGGAGAATGGTGCAATAACCAATTGTTGAGTGACAACAGGTGGTGGTCTAGCTTGTCCATTTACCATGACAACTAATTTTTTTGAGAGAAAAAAAGATAAAAAACAATTGTTAATACATGTATGATATATTAACATATGAGATAGTTATAACTTACCGAAAGCAGATACAATAATAAATAATATTATTGTTTGATTGAAAGAGTGTGATGACATTGTTTATATAAGTGGTTTTGTGTGTGTGTGTGTGAAATTTGATGGATGATGATGTGAACAACAAATAAGAGTTGGTGAAATTGAAAATGTTTGTTTATTTACAAGATGTATATAAACAAAAGAGATATATAATAAGTTAAATGTTGTTTATAACAAATACTTTAATGAAATGTAATTGATGTTGTTGTTTATACAATCGTCTTGAAACATAATGCCTTTTATAGTGATCGGTGAATGAGAGTCAAGCTGAAAACTTTTTCTTTTTTGGTATGCTGCTGCTGCAAGTTCAGAGTCGTATGGGCATGTAGCTTAATCTATTCCTTTTTTTAATATTGTAGTGCATACCGTTTAATAAATGAAGCAAATATACTTTTAGGTTGACAAGAAGGTGCTAGATGTATAGAAAATTGGCCTGAAACCAAGAAAAAAAGAAATTTTTGTTTTAAAAAAAAGAAAAATTAAAACGACAAAAAAAAAGATTTAAATTAGACAATTTTGTTGATGGTATGTGGTACTTTTTTTGTTTTTGGTGTGTTGGTGTGTAAATCAATCAAATCAAAATTCAATCCCCACACCGCCCAACAATTTATTTGTATTTTTGTAAATTTTAATTTTCAAAAAAAGAGATGCTGATCTATAGGTAGGGGTATATCCCAAAGAGAAACCGTAAGATTGGGGTGACACAACAACCTATCAAAATTAGAGATTTATGTTTGAATATGTTGACCATAACGGGAGCGTTTTGTTTCACCAGTGGAGATTGTTTATTTTTACAAATGCGACACCATATGTTTTTATTTGGACTATACCATAAAAGGTTATTTAAGACAGTGTCTTTTTTACCTTTGATGGAATTAGTAGGTGATCTCAGGTGTTTCAGATCTGTTTATAGTTTTTGCTGATGCACCAAACTATCTATAAAATAATAATTTTGCAAAAAGCAATTTTCAGATGATTTTCTGGCTTTTCATTTTTTTGTTTGATCTCTAATGGCACTTGGCATGAGAAGCGGAGCACACCTCTTTGAAATGGTTCTCTTCCAAGAGTCAATTTGGAATCCCCCCAATTATATGATCTTTTTAAAAGGTTGTACATACTATATCCACAAAATACATATTCACCAATATATTGTGGAGTGGTCTAGACCAAAAAACATAAGCTCAAGCAACCTCACAAACCAACAATACCAAATAGAAAGCAATGAGGAGGAGAGAGTGCATTTTTAATGGTAGGAAATAAAAATCCAATAACCTCAAACATGCGAACTAAAAATATATTCTTTAGCACAAAACAAAAGTAAGATATGTTATTGTGTTGTGTTATGTTGTAGGATGATGGTAGTTTTGCTTATTACAACACCTCCCTTGGCATTCAGGTGCTAAAAAGAAAAAGAAAAAACATTAACCGAATATTTAACAAAAGGATGACACAATAAATTATTGTTACATTTTAACTGCTAGCAACATGTAAATTATTCAACTCTCTAATTAATTGATCTCAAATAATCTGATTGTGAATTAGTAAAGTAGACCAACTTTTGGATGAATGAAGGAATGATGAACCAACCACAAAACAAAATAAAACTAATGACTAATAGAATATCAATTATAATGTCAATAAAAGAGTTGCAAGTCAACAACAAACTTCGACCCATTCCAGATATTTTTTCATATTTCAAAAAAAACCAAAAAAATAGAAAAAACTAATCATTTGAAAAATTTTTAATAAAAAATCAATCAATTAATCAATTGAATCATTTACTGATTCAGCCGATGGTTTGTGAAAACAAAAAATGAACATAAAAGGAATTAAATAACAAAATTAGTTAAATGCAAAAATATCTAAGCTAAAAAAAAACCATTTGTCGTCTCAGACCCATAGAAAACCCATATCTTTTACATTTTTGTTTTTCATTGCAATAAAAATCTACAATCGACAAAATTAAAGTTTCATTATTAACTAACAGTTAATCAATCAATTAGATATTTTGCAAATTCTAGAAAAAACTGATGATCATTAAAATCATCAAAAATGAATATGATTCGTCCTATAATCACGAATGTATCCCACATATTTATTTCACACAAACCAACCTTTCCACATTCCACACCTCACCCCACAAGTGTGAATGAAAAAAAATTAAAAGTTATATGTATTGAGTTTATTTGATTCAACACACACTCCATAAAAACACACACGCACACACACACAAGTAGGTAGTAGAAGATGTTTTACCACAGGCAACAATGAATGATGTATCTTTAAGATCCACGTGTTTTTGATTTGTGTTTATTTTATTTTTTATCATTTGCACTGTCTTCTCTAAAGTTAGAATCAACTGTGTTTCATTGTCATCATCATCAATGAAAAATGAAGCTTCAAGAAGGTGATATTGAGTTATTTATATTTAGTAAGAAATAAAAATATTTAGATAAGAATCTTATAAAGATAAAACAATTATACACGTGAACATTCCCTCTACTTTGCAAATGCACCACAACTTTTCATTTCATTGCATCAACATCACCGAGCTAAAGTTTAATATGAAAATACATTAACAACATTTCATTTTTAGTTACCCCTTTACTTTTTTTTTTGTTTTTAACTTTACTTCCCTCAAACTTATAATAATAGGATGTGATCCATTCATTTATTTTTCCTTTTAAAGGGAATATACCTAAAACATTTTTTATTGCTATTAATATAATTATTAATATCTCCACATCTATCCATTAGAATCTTTAAGCGTGCTGTAAGTTTGCAGATTTCCCTCGATTTGTTTGATCAAAAAGGGTAATAGATCTATCAAGCTTAGGAGATGTTTAATTCCGAATAAAATTACAAATTCTTTTTTAGAAGCTCAGCTGTGGAGCTATATTTAATGGTATCGGTTTCACCTCCGCCATCCTTCCAGAGTGCATTTTGAATGAACATATATCCATCTCTAAAGTTTGGTTGTTGAATCTTATTCAAAACATTAACCAAATACAATAGTGAACGATTATCTGTTGCCAGTGCCGGATTCTGCTTGATGTGCTCTACGAATATCTTGGCGGACACCTCTGGCTTCTTAACGAATGGTTGAGCCATTTCAATGGTGTCGGCCATTTGTGTACGGACAAATCCTGGAACCAACACGGTAACTCCAATTCCCCAGCTTGCTAACTCCTGTCTCAAACAGGCACCGTAACCAGTGACCCAGTATTTGGATCCGCAGTATGCTGGCAGTACAAATGGAACCAAAGAAGATATACTACTGGTAAGTACGATTTGGCCATTCTTTCTCTCTCTGAATGCATTCAACAGCGGGAAGATAGTGTTTAGAATACCATTCATATTGATCTCTCCAACCTTGTAGACTTTCTCTTCGTAGGTCATGCTGTTTGGCAACAGGATTTCAGTGACACCTGCATTGGCAATCACCAAGTCGATTGTGTACTTTCTGTCCATTTGCTCCAGCCATTGCTTCATAGCGTCTTTGTTGGTAACATCGATCAATCCGATATCTACATTGGCACCCTTTTCCTTACAGATGTCAGCGACCTCCTCCAAACGAAGTTTATCACGTCCGGTCAGACAGATATTGGTTACACCAGTTCTAGCATATTCAATAGCTAACTCCTTGCCAATTCCATTAGATGCTCCTGTACTGTTATTTTTTTGATTTTCAGATTAATATATTTGAAAGTTAGAACTTGTGGTATTGTTCTATATTTTTCAACACACAACATACATAACAATGGATTTTGGATTTGGGAATCTCTTCTTTTGGAAATATCCAGCAACAAAGAGAATCGGTGAGAGTGCTATAAACAAGAGATGTCCAAATATTCCTAATATCGCAATAAGGATATCAGAGAAAAAACTAACCAAGTGATATCGAAAAGTATTCATTATTTATATAAATTTATAACTGTTCTTCTATTATAATACAAAAATAAAAAATAGTAAATAGTAAGATTATAATAACTCCTTATCTTATTAAAATATCAACAAAGTCAAAAAGCAAATAAAAATCAAGATTTGATTTGGTGTGTGGGACAGATTAAAAAAGATATTGTTTATCTTTTTGGGAACTAGTTAAATTAATCTAAGTTGTTAGTCAACGCTCTCCTCCATATTTATTACACCATTTTAACTAATTAATCGTCTTTTTTTGTTGAAAAATATTTTACAGATATTTTTGGTTTTTTTTTTTTTTTTTTTTTTGGGAATCTAATTTTTTCAATCATTCGTTTCGTTGCTAATTTGATAGATATTAGTCAGGTGTATTACTATGATATTTGAACATCTTAAGAAAAGATTGATTAAAGAGCAATCTTTAAATAATACAATTATAGAAAATGATGAAAATAATAATAATGATAAAAAATTACTTTTTTCTAAAGATGATTTATTAAAACCAACAAAGAGTGCTTTCATAGAACCAAATAATAAAGAATGTGAAAGAGTTGTAACAAAGACATTAATGGAAGGTGTGTAGCTAGTGAAAATAAGAAAAAACAAAACATATCTAACACAATATTCAAAAAAAAAAAAAAAAAGATGAATCAATACATTATATTATGAAAGAAATGGTAAAATTAGGTTGTCTACCACCTGTCATCAAATGTAAACCATGTAAAGAAGAATCATTCGGTTATTTCGAACCTGGAAGTGGTGTATGTATTATTGTTGTCGTTTGAATTCGAATTCGAATATTTGAAATGATCACATCAATTTATTAATTTCATATTATTATCGTTGTAATGACCATCATTAGTTAACTATTTGTAATAATATAAAAACATATTCAGTTACATTGAGAAATACGATATTGCATGAGATGATACATGCATACGATACTTGTAGATACGATTTAGATACAGACAATTGCATTCATTTGGCATGTACAGAGATTAGAGCAGCCAATCTGAGTGGCGATTGCAAGTTTTCACAGGAGCTGGGCAGAGGTAACCTGCACATCTACAACCACATGGCCGATTGTACAAAGCGAAGAGCCATAAAATCACTTGAAGCTCATCCAAAATGCAAGGCAAATGCAGAACTATCCGTTTTGAAAGCATGGGAGAAATGTAATACTGATTATTCACCATTTACAACAATACCAAAATAAAATATAATATATACAAATATTTAATTTTTAAATTATTTAATTAAAAAACAAACTTATTATTATTATAATAATTACTTTTTATTATTATTAATATTACTTTTTAATGATTATTTAAATGATGATGATATGTCTAGATGACAAAAACTTTTGTCCTACCATGAAGTCCGAAATGATTGGTCTTTGGCCATCCAATCATGTATTATTATGGCTCAGTCCATGATACATATTAGGAAGATACCACCAAAAGAAGACCGAAAAGTCAAGTTGAAATGAATGGACTGGTATGGGATGCATCTGTAACATCCATCAAGGTAGTGATTAGTAACCAGACAATCGATGTTATCATTAACCACTCTCAATACTGCAAAAGAAATGATATGCGCTGAAGAAAAAAGTGCTGTGACAAGTGACTTTACTTGATACATATCGCCTACTCTTTATGGTATTGTCTTCAACAGCTTGCAATGAGTACCTAAAACCAGTTATCCATGAACTGCGACCAAGATCACCATCCCAGGTTCGTAGGGTCTGAAGACATAGATCATCATGAAAAAGATATCCGAGGATTTCTACAAAAGCTATGAAGAAACCAGATTTATCTAAGAAATCCAAATGCCAAATGTTCCAAACAAAGGTAGAGCTCTTAGGATTCAAGATCGGTAATGGAAAAACATTCGCACAATCCAACAAGATCGACGCCATAGTATCGTTTCCACTACCAACAACCGTCAAGAACCTCAAACGTTTCCTAGGACTAACCAATTACTACAGAAATAGAGTACCAAATTATGCACGAATCGCCGCTCCACTATACGACCGAACCAAAGAGAAAGGTACCATCGAGGATTAAGTCAACAAATGTTAACTTCAAACTGTTTGTCGTTAAGAATCAACACAAGTTGATTAATTGCATCTAATCGCTAAGGTTCAAACTCTATTCATTAATTTGGGCAAAGGTTTTTGTCATCCAGACAATCATCTAAACAATCTTTATAAAGGTAATACACATTTAAAAAAAAAAAAAACTTGATAGACAAACTCCTGTGGTGTGAGAATCCAAAAATGATCTTGAATTATCACCAATAAAATTATCATAAAACAATTTACAGTTACTTTTTTGTTTTTTTTGCAACGTTATCCAGTTTGTTTGTTTATCATTGATTATTATAAATTTGAAACTGAAAATGATGACTGATGGGTAACATATTTATTTAATCAATTGAATTTAAGATTAAATTTGGTGAGATATCAGAGATAAAGAAGTGAATGAATTGTTGTAAGGTTTAATTTAAAAAAAAATCAAACAATTGTTTATTAGTTTTTCAAAAACTTTGTAAAGTTTGTCTGACATACGAGAACTTGTTTAAGATTTGAAAAACCTATCTATCGCCACCTTTATAAATTTATATTTTAATATAACCCCGGATTGAAGCTATACCTAACCAATTAAATTGAAGCAGTGTCTTGTAGTTATTATTTTCCAAACAGTAACAAATGTAAAATTGCATCCAGTAGAATCCGGCCAATCCTGTCAGAATGTGCCAGATGGCGTGAAGCTGCAGACCTGGGATGACGTATCCGTTGTCGCAAAGCTTACGTTCGATCAGCCAAGAAAAGTAGGCCGTTAGCATTGCGATTGTCGAAAACAGCAGTAGCTTCTTGCAGTTGGATTGCCGGAATGGCACGGTGATGGAGCGCGACGTTATGAAGGAAACCACTACCAGTGTTACGACCAGTATGCCAAACGAGACTTGCAAAATTGTCGGTATGTTACGAATGACGTAGATGGTCGATGCCACCACCAGGAAGTAGAGGGTCAGCACGTAGGGCAGCAGGAAACGGAACAGTTTGTAGTACTTGCTGTCGGCTTTGCTCACCGGATTGATTGTGAAAAAACAGTAGAGGAAACAACTGATCGAAATGATCATTGGGAATTCGTCGAATAGCTGGTGTTTGTAGAGGAGTGTTGCGTGGTAGAATGCTGAACCGACACCGACCGTCGACAGTGCCACGTAGGCAACCATCACTTTATTGCGTATATCGAGTGCCTTTACTATTTTGATGTGCTGCAGCAACTTGGTGGTGCCGTACGGATACACCAAAAGATACATACCATACACTGCGAAAGCAGTGATGGCAAAACTCGATATAGTATTGTAGAATTCGCATATATATGGGGAAACTTCATAATTTAATTCGCACCAATCGATCGGTGAATCGGGTATTCCCCAATAATATTGTTTATATTGTGGTAAATGATCTTCAACTATTGTCATTTTTTTTTGGTTTTATTAATTTTTTTATCTATTATTATTATTTTTCCTATCTAAAATCTAGATTTATATAATATTGGAAGTAAAATGGTATGATAAATTAATTATCTAAATTATAATTAAAATTTTATCTTGACATAAAAAACATAAATAAAAAGATAAAAGAGATGAAGATTAATGAAGATGAAAATGTATATTTGTTATTATTCTATACTATAGTATTGCTGTTATTACTACTATTATATATACTATTCTTGATTTGGTATTGATACTGAATGTTTTTGTTGTTGTTATAGTTGTTATTGTTGGGTTTAATTAGACTGATTCTCCATCATCATCATCATCATAATCTTCTGTGACAATATAAGGTGTGTGGTGTGAGTGTGTTAATCAATCATTATATTCTGTTGGTACTTTTTCATTGTAAACATTGTTATTCACACCCACACATTTGTTTATTTTCATCTCTTTTAGACTGCGACATAATGAATGTAAAAAAATAAACTTACAGAATTGCCAAATTATTTATTTTTGACAGACAATCCAATATTAATATTGTAGAGGGTTGAATTTAAGCTTTGATATTACTGACTTGAATAATGAATGATCGATGATTGATATCTTTTGTAAAATAATAAATAATATATAAATGAAAATAGATAGAGAGGAAAGTAATGTTATTGATAAATTTGCGCAAATTTATTTTTTAATATTGTAATGATATTTAATTACTTTTTTTATAATAAAGTAACTTTGACTGTATTGATTTTTACTAAAAGTATTGTTATAGTTAAGTTTTGTTTGTTCTTGTGTGTGTGTGTAATGTGGAGTGTGAGATGATGAAAATGTAACTGATTAAATGAGAATATACATATAATAAATAAATCTTATAAGTTTGGAAAAAAAAAACAAAAAAAAAAACAATAAAATAAATAAAAAACAACAAAACTGACTGAATATGGAATGGAGTGGGGTGAAATAATGTAAAAGGGAACACAAGAGTCATTAATGAACAAACGAAACATTCATTCAATTAAATTAATCGTTGGTGTAAAAAAATTGTTAAAAAACAAAAAAAAAAAAGTAAAAAAAAAAAAATTAATAACCTCATAATAACATCATCGAATTATGATTCATAGTGTGAGTGTGGGTAGCATTTCTCCTATTATGTTTTGTTCGAAAACAATCTTAAGATAATTTTAAAGATTAATTAATTACATTTGTTTTGTTTTTTATTTTTTTATTTTACAACATCCATATATCTTGATCTTTTATAAATTATTTTATTGATCAATTTTGTTGACTTAGTTTTGATAATCTATTAAAGAGCTGTTGTTGAAATGCTAATTGATATTTGTCACTATAGTTCATTAATAAACTTGATAGTGAATCAAATGATTGATTTATATCTTTACTATTGCTATTATTGTTACTATTATTATCTATATATTCTAATACCTAAATAATAATAATAATGATTGAATTTTAACAAATGTGTTTTTACAATAATAGTAATAATACTTACTTGAAAACCATCAATCATAGACATTCTAATAAGTAATATGAATTGTTCATGGCATATCACTTGCAACATAACAACACCACTTCCTACATCTGATTTCTGATGATCTCTTAATATTGTTACATTCTCAACACCAAATGAAATATCATCAATTGCTGCTTTAATCTCTAAATCAAAGTTATCCATATCGATATGATTAATTCAACAAAGTTTAAAAAAAATGAAAAACAAAAAAAAAAAAAACAAAAATATGTTCAAATTAATTTAATTTTTAATTTAGTTTGTTACAATAATTATATATTTAAATGATGAGAAGAGGTGTAGGAATTCAAGCTATACATAAGCAAAATCAACAGCAGAAACAACTGCAGAATATAAGTGAGCAACTGTCTTCGGATAACTTGAAGAAGATCAGTGAACAGCTCACAACGTTCAAGACGAATCTCGAGGAGTTTGCACTCAAGCACAAAAAAGATATCATAAAGAATCCAGAGTTTAGAAAGTACTTTCAAGATATGTGTTCAACTATTGGTGTTGATCCTCTTGCTTGTAAGTTTCTCTATCTATCATACTATATATTATTTGTTACTAATTCAAACCTATAAATAATAATAATAGCTAATAAAGGATTTTGGTGTCAGGTATTGGGTGTTGGTGATTTCTATTATCAATTGGCTGTACAAATCATTGAGATCTGTTTGAAATATAGGTCTACCAATGGTGGTTTAATTGAGTTAACCACTCTGACAGATCATATCCGAAAAATGAGAGGAAAAACTGCAAATGAAATTAGCAGGTAACTATCTAGCTAATAGATGATTGTTTTAAACACGTTATTGAACCATTTATTAACACGTATACATTCATATAGTGACGATGTTGAAGTATCTATTTCAAAAATAAAGGTACTTGGTAATGGTTATAATATATTAAAGATAGATTCTAAAAAGATAGTTCAATCGGTGCCTTGTGAATTGAACAAAGATCATACCGATGTACTGATAAAAGCACAATCGCAAGGTGGATTCATAGCGGTATCACATCTAAGTAAGATGGGTTGGGATCAACAAAGAATAAAAAGTGTACTAGTATGTATTATATTAATATATTAAAATACACCTATCACCATTGTTATTAGTTACTAATATATTACACTTTAACTACTTATAAAGGATGTATTATTATCAGAGGGTATGGCATGGATTGACGATCAATCTGAATTAAAAGAAACATTATATTGGTTCCCAAGTTTATGGTCCAATACATTCGAATCTTAATAATATCTTTATCTTATTTTTGTACAATTAATTAATTAAAAAACCAGTCAATCATTCAAAGCAAAAGAATTTGGTTATTTTAATTATTTATTATCATTTTTAACCAAAAAAAAAGAGTTATAGACTAAAGTTGGTTTATTTAATATTAAGATTGTCTTTTTTAAATTTGTTTGACTATGATACATTGAAAAAACTAAATGGCGGAATGTTTTGTTATGTTTTGTTTTGTGTTTTGTGTTTTGTTATAGTAGTTCTTAACCTCTAGAAGAGAATCCAATTCTAACGGTTCTAGGTACACTTCTTTTGGCGTTGGACCATTTACTCTCACGATCTGCAGCACCTTTGTTGATATAAGTGGAAATAGATTTGTCAAACGATCCGAACCAGATGAATGGATCACCAGTACCCTTTAAATTAGGTACCTCTAAGATTGCTGAAATAGCATCGGAATGATTTCCTTTGATCTCACCAGTGACATCACGAGTTCTCGGCTCCCAAGATCTCACTACTATATCCCAAGTGGATGTCCACATCTCTCGTCCAATAGGTGCCAAAACAAATATCTTATCCCAACCTGCATTCTCTATTTTATGTACCAATTCATATGTCTAAATATTAAATTTGCAATATTAGTATCTTTGAGAAGTAATAATAGGTCAACGTTGATAATATTGATATTTACATTTGCATTCAAAATTTGGAAAGTACCTTCATCACCACCGATCCAAACAGCTTCATAGTCCTCGAATTCAATGTAGGCAATACGTTTTGGACGTTTCTCGTGAATCTCTGTTTTGTGAAGAATTTCTTTGGTCTTGGCGTCGTATATGTAAAGGAGTTTGTTGGAGGAGCATCCCCAGATTCTGTTTTTACCGACTTTGCACAGTGCCAAAATGAATACGTTTTGATTGAAGAGATCGGTTCCGATTGGCTTGATTGGATGATCGCCAGCCTCTGTTGGGATGTCTTTGAGCGAGTAGATGTTCATCACCTGATTGCCACCTACCCAGATGTCGCCATGCTGTGACTCGGTGAGTGAGTATGCTTCGCCCGGTGCTTCACCAATCATTTTTCCAGAGGGTGACCAAATTGAGACCGATTGTGAAGTTGCCACCCATATAGTGTCGTTCGATGCACAAACCATCGAGTAGATGAGCGCACCCTGTTCACAGACGTTGAATTCATTGATGAGTGTAGCGCTCTGAGAGTCCCAGACTTTGAGCAGTCCAAGTGTATCGAGTGAGCAAACCTTTCTCTCCTGATCGATCAATGCCAGCCATTGCACAGACTTTTTATGTCCTAACATCTTGCTTTGAAGATAGAGACGTCCGCTGAATGCAGTTGGTGTGGGTTCTTCAAACAAATCGTTGTAATGTGTAATCAGATTCTCTGCCAATACATTAACCTTTTCACTGGTAGCCTGAAGTTGATTCATGTCCAACTGTCCAACTTCCTTCTTCCAAAATAGATTTGGTCCAAAAATTCTTCCGAGATTCGAGTGGTTCATGAGATTAACATGTGAGTTCGCTGCGACAAATGTCAAAAAGTGACATAGATGTTGAAACAGCTGTTTGTTGTTTGGTGGTAACATTGACAATGTTTTCTTTATCATATCAAATGATTGACATTTTGTAATTTGATCTAAAATATTAAAAAGGCAGCGGAATTAATTAATTAAATGTATCTCTTTGATTAATATCTATCTATCTATTAATAATAAATTACCAGATGATGCCAAGAATAAATCATATAAATCAGCTGTACAAATTGGCTCTGGTAACTCTCTAAGAAATATCTTGAGTAGTCCAGTGACAAGATGTGGATTGTCATCCTTTGAAAACTGTAACTCTCCTTTATCCACTGAAACCTTTCTGGCAACTAAATCTGCTTGACTACTTGATATTCTGAATAATCCTTCTACATCTAATGAATGTACAAATAAATGCTAAAAAAATAAAATATAATTGGATATCCAATTAGTTTTGAAACATTCAAATATTTTAATATTCCTGTTTATGGTGTCTTTGTTTTTTCTTACCTTTAATGCATGTTTCATAAAAATTGGAATTTTTGTGGTGGTATCTGATTTCTGTCTTTCCATTAAAGTGTCGAGACTGACACCAAATATTCTTGGATCGGCCAATGCCTCTTTACTCTGATTTCTAGCATGAATATGATGATTGAGACTGAGTTGTGATAGATTCTTGGCAATCAATACATTGGTAGTCGATGAAGTCGCTGTCGACAGCACCATATTCCTTTTAATCGATTCTTCTTCTTTCTTTGCTTTACTCTAAATAAATTTTTAGTCAATTTAAATTAATTAAAAAAAATGAAATTTTTCAAGAAAGCACTTGAGCAAAAAAAACTTAAATCTGATTTGATTGCACACACGTGTGTTTGAGTGTAACTCCTATGAACACCATATCAACGTTGTGACAAAAAAAATAAAATAAAAATTTGTAGAGAACCATACTAATAGCTAATTTTTATTACATAATACATACATTTATTTTATTTATAAATGATTTCAAGTGTTCTTGAGTACCATCTATTGATTTTTCATATTGTACACCATTGGCCTCCACTATAATTCTGAGTTTAATCCTACTCTTTGGTAAACTAGGTAGGCTAAGATATTGATCTATGTCCATTCCCATTTTCTATTTCTGATTTCTAATTTCTACAATATAATTAATTAAGTGTAAAAGTATAAAAACAATATATATTTAAGGTGTAATGAAAAAATATATTGAATTTGATTAATAAGAAATTTTATTAATTTAAAAAAAATAGGCTTGTAAAAAAAAATTTAATAAAAAAAAATCAGTTGTTTTTATCGCCATCAATTTTTAGACTCATTTTTTTGTTGGAATTTTTTTTTTTAATCGTTAGATTCACATTTTTTTGTGGGGTGATGATGGTTTTAACAATAGGAGGTGAATAATGGGATTGTGGTGTTTCTCTTGTTGTTAATTAAATCAGAGGGTGCGATTTCTTTAAAACTTGCACTACACTACATTGCTATTCAACTTTAAAGATTTGATTTATTACCATTGGGAAGAATTAATTGATTAAAAACAAATGGAGTGAGTGGTTGTTGTTTGATATCAAACAGCTAGCTTAGTTTGTAGTGTTTTCAATATAAATAATAATTTTTATTTATAGATTTGATACTATCTCACAATCTTCCGCAGCTTCTTCTTTTTCTTCTTTATTATTAGATGTGATATTGTTATTATTATTATTGTTAATGGTAGTTGAAGTTGAATTTATTATTGTTACATGATTATTATTATTGTTATTGTTATTATTTTTATTTTTATTTTTACTTTTACTTTTGGTAGACTTTTGTTGTTGTTGTTGTTGTTGTTTGATTTGTGGTTTTTGAAGCTTTGCCATTTTAATTTTTTCAGTTTCTTTAAATTGTTTCCATTTGTCTTTGTTGTCTGTACCGTAGCAGTTTGCAACGATCTTGTATTTGCTGTTGGGATCTAGTGGCTCGACGAGTTCACCGTTCTTTGTGAACGGTATGATTCGATCTTTTTCGTCCATCAGTACACAATAGCGACCAAAAGTCTGATGAAAATTGAGGTTTTTAGTCTCGATCCACATGTCTTTACCCTGGAAACCAAGACGCACTCTGGTCATTGGCTCGTCAGAGTCACCGACAGTCGGTAGCTTTCCGTACTTTCCACGTCTTCTTTTCTCTTTTCTATCGGCAGCACTGGAGCCATAGCAACAATCGAAACAAAGCAATTCAAAACAACCACCTAAAGTTGTCAAGAATGATTTGAAACAACTGAATATAGATTGTTTTTGTTGTTGCTGCTGCTGTTGTTTTGATTCTAATTTATATACATTTTTGATTTGTTTTTGTTTTTGTTTTTCTTTTACTTTTTGTTTATGTTGAAGTTGTTGCTGTTGTTGTAGTTGTTTATCTTGTTGATTATTTAATTGATTATTATTATTATTATTATTTAAATTATCAGAATCAAATAAAGTGGCACCATCTTTATCAACTCTATCTACTACATCTATATCTGTATCTTCATTGATCATATCTAACGATTCACCATAATCATTGTTCTTATTCATATTATATATACATAGTTTAAATCTCAAAACAAACTTAAATATCTAAAAAAAAAAAAAACATGTTTCAAATTTTTAAAAAAGTTTTTTTTTTTTTTTGTTTCCCGAATCTCAGCGAACCCAGTTTCCATCACAGAAAGCATTCAAATCATTTTAGTTAAAAAGTTAAATTAATTAAATTAATTTAAATTAATATAAATATTTACATTCTTTTTTTATTAGAATTCTGCTGGGAAATTAAGTAACTTAAATACTGAATGAATTGAAACGAATTGAATGTGTGTTAATTATGAATAATAACTTTATGATAAAATATTTTATAATACTACTTACTTCTAGATATCAAAACTTTACCTAATGCCAATCCTATACCTATATTATTATTAATATATATGTATGATGTTTAATGTTAATACAATCTTGATTAGCTCAACTATGTTATGATCGATTTTAACTTACCAAATGCAAAAACTTTGTTAGCTTTATGTTTATCTTTTTTTGCTTTTTCCTTTTTTGAAAGCGTTCTATAACTTGTACTTGACTGTTGATACATTATGTGTCTCTGTATAATTCGTTGACTATAGAATATAGAACATTATTATTAAGATATTAATTATTAATAGAATGTTCAACAATGATTCCCTGACACTCGTTCTTTCATTCTATGATTCATAGTGCTGACATCTTTGTTACATATGCACTACAAGCTTGATGTTATTATATTATAACCAATTACCAACCTTTTTTTCGTCTGATTCGGTTTTTAATGTTATTCTATTAAGTTCAAAATTATTGGGTTGCTGCTGTGTTGATGCTATCTCTTTGCTATCTTTGGTTGAATATATCAGGTTGTAACTGGGATTTAGTTTGAGAAAGAGAGAGGGTTGTCGATGAATGATTTGATCGAATCAATATTGATTTGCTGCAAATGTTCAACTTTGATTTGTGTAGTTTGATGAAAAGAAAAATCGAACACGTCTGATGTTTTGTTGTTGCTTAAGCTTATACTAAAAAAAGGGGGGCCGGACTAGCCTAGCTTAACATAAAGGGAAAGAAAAAGAAAAGAAAAGTTGAATAAATGTGAATTGTAAAATGTTAAATTTTTTGAAAATGAATCAAAAGAATGTTACAGAATCAAAAATTGATTGCGTAATTTATGACAAAACAACATTTTTGGTTTTCAAAAAATTAAATAAATTTATTTAAACAGATAGTTTGTTTGTTTTGACAGGGTAGGGTTATATATTTAGAAGATCATTAATTCTTTTTTGGGCTTGATCATGATGTGGTTTCTAATGGTTAGAGACGATTATTGATTGTTAAATCAACATTAGTCAATTGATAAACGATGTGGTGATTTTCTGAATCATCTGCAAATGATTATTTTCAAATTTTTAGACCTATCCAATCAGCTTACACCAGTTGAGAAAGAGAATATGATGAGTGAGGTGATCGACCTAAAACAAAAAAACCAAAGATACAATTATTGGGTTAGCACCCTGTTTAGAATTCCCCAATGTTTATTTAAATTAAAAATAAATATGCAAAAAAAAAACTTTGATCAAAAAACTAAATAAAATAACAAGTTCAAATATTTTTGTGCAGAATGAGGTGTTCAAGAATGATCTCCTATGCCCCAGCACCATTACCTATGTTATCCCCATTAACATTTTTTTTTTTTTTCAAATCAAAAAAATCAACATTCGCCATTTCTGCAAAAATAAATTAAAATAAAACGCTCTCAAAACTGAAATTAAAACACACACTCTTCAGAACTAGAACCCAACAAACATTCCAGAGGATTATCATGATTATTTTTTTAATTAAATATAATATAGGCTTAATACCGATTTTTGATGCAATTTGTTTATAGTTTTTGGTGACATGTCTGATGTTGTTACAAATCAACCTCTCAACCCTCATTACAAATCAGATATAAATACTCTTTCAGTATCTCGTGTCATTTAATTTCATTTAATCAACTAGACAACTCAATAAATACATATATATAAAAACAAATAGATTCTGTGTGTTTGTGTGAATAAAAAATTCTCGTTCGTCTCTCACAGCTTTCTTTCATTTCTGTTATTTTTAAATAGTTAGGTGTGTTGTTTATACATTTTCATTCATCTATTTTATTTTAGCAGTAGATAGATAGATCTATATTTATTTATAATTACTCATTTATATAAATATAAATATTATTGTTATACTACATTACAATTAAATCAATTCTTTCACGTTTTCTAAACTCAAAAAGACTATTTAATATTATTTAAAGTTTTAAACCTTTTTTGTGAAAAAAATATGGCATTCAAAGATACAACTTTAGATACCTACGACGCTGATGGTAATATTAAAAATAGTAAAGAAAATGACGATGAATATAAGCCTATCATACATGAAAAACTTGTAGGTTTCAATCAGTCAATCAATCAATTTTTTTAAAACAAAATATAATAACCTTTTTTTCTTTCCAAATATTATTATTCCAAAATTTATTTTTCTATTTAATTTGAATGATTATATATGTAGGATATAAAAGTTGCAATTATTATGGTTATTTTAGGTACAGGTTACCTGTTCCCATTTGAGAGTTACTTATTGTCAATGGATTATTTCACAATTCTCTATCCACAGTTCAATATCTATTCATCTTTCCCATTCATTTATATGGGTGCCATCTGTATTACTTTTCTCTTCTTTCTAAAGTTTCCAAACTTCAGTTCACATAAACGACGTATGCTGTTTGGTTTCTCTTTCTATGCGTTGATTATGGTGCTCGTTCCCATTGTAAATCTCACCAGTATCGCCGGAACCACCACTGCCTATATCATTACACTGCTACTCATCACCGCCACCGGTGTAGTCGATGGTTTTGTCCAAGGTACCATCTATGCCATTGCAGGAATCATGGGTCCAAGATATACTTTATTCACTCAAACAGGGTAACTATATTAAAATTATTATTTAAAATTAATTTATTCTTCTTCTAATCTAACAAATGAAAAATAAATCTAAAATGTAAAGTGTTGGTTTGGCAGGTATTATTGTGGTTGTCACTAGAACTATTTCAAAGGTTTCCGTTCCAGGTAGTGGTAAACATGGTGTATTGATGTTCTTTTTGATTTCAGCAACCATTATCTTGTTCTGTTTGCTCTCATTTGTCTATCTTTTGAGACTACCAATTGCCAAAGTATTGATTCAATCTTCATCCGATAGAGAAGAGGAGAAGCCAAAGATTGCATTGAAACCAATCGTCAAGGCAACCTACCAACTAGGTATGATGAATTTCTGGATCTTTTTCATTTCCATGTTTATTTTCCCAGGTGTTGTACTAAGAATTTCAACTACTGAAATGGATGGTGGATGGTTTGCAATTACTCTTCAAGTAAGTTTATATTGATATAAACACAAGCTTTTACTTTTTGAATTATTAATGTTTTATTCTATTTTATTTTTCAGGCAACATATAATTTGTTTGATTTCATTGGTAAAACAATTCCTGTATTTATTCATCCAGACGGAAAGAATGTTCCATCGTATTTGTTCCTCTGGATTTTGACCATTGGTAGAACTGTGTTTGTTGCATTGTTCTTCCTCTGTGTCTACACCCAAGTGTTCAACCACATTGCATGGCCAATTGTTTTCTTAATTATCTTTTCATTCACCAATGGTTATCTTTGTTGTAAGTTTTAAAGTCTTTAATTATAGCAATATAATAATTTTCTTTATTTAATATTAATTAAACATTTTTTTTTTTTTTTATAGCTGTTGTTGTGTCAGAAGGACCAAGAAAGGTAAAGAGAGATCAAAAAGAGTTGGCTGGTATTTTCATGACTACAACTTTAATTCTTGGATTGACTCTTGGTTCTGTTGTAAACTTTATCTACTCTACACTCAAGCCACAATCTTATCATTAAAATTAAATATATAATAATAATAATAATAGTATAGTAATAATAATAGTATGATAATAATAATAGTAATATTTATAAACCAGTATTTAAAACCCAATTATTCACCATCTGTTTGTTATTTAAAATGAATCAGATGTTAGAAATCACATATTTATATCTTAAAAATCAATATAATTAATTTCAAAAAAATTATAATATATTAATAATAAATAGTATTGCCGATTAATTTACTATTTAAAATATTAACAATGAATATATATATCATTATTATATATAATATTATTTAATTAAATTGATACATACTTTAAATAAATGATCAGAAGAGTTACATATTTCTTCAAGACAATCATTTTGATTTTGAACGGTGTATATCATCTCGTCCAAAGTTGAAATGATAACATCTGATATTTCAATAGATTTCGAAACTGATTTGTTGTATTTGTTTTGACCTTGTTTCTCTATTACCACATAGAAATCCTCCATTTCTTTTCTCATAGAGATATACTCTTGATTCGTTTGTTTTTTCAGGTTTTCAATTTGAATAATATGAGGTGGTGCTGTCTTGTATCCGATAGAAGGTGATTTAAAAGTTGTTGGTGGTTGTTTATGAATATTACTTGGATTTTGTTGATTAAATTGTTGTTTATTAATACCATTATTAATTGTATTTTGTTGAGTTGTTGAATAATCATTTATTGAGGCATCTTCAAAGTTGGAATCTTTATAGTTTAATAAAAAACTATTTTCATCAAAAATATTACTTTTTCTATTTGTATTTATATCTTTTGTTATTGTTTTTGATTTCTTTCCTGTACTAAATAATCCTTTTTTATTTTGAATAGTTTTACCTTTTAAAAGTAAGTAAAGGTAAAAGATTAGTCTCTATCTATTCTTTACATATATATTAACAAATTAATAAAAATTAAAATAATAATACATACTATCATTTGAATTTGAAATAGTATTTGATTTAAATTTCTTTTTATCTATTCTATTAGATATGGTATTGGTCATTAAACTTGTACTAATACTACTATTATTCATATTGTTTCTAACATTTTCAATATTTTTATCATTTTCTAAATTATTCTTTCTTTCTTTAAATAATTTGATTTTATCCATATTTATAATGGTGTTGCTGTTATTGTTATTGTTATTGCTCAATGATTGGTAACAGATATAATGATGATGATGATAGATTGATAACTAATATTTGTTTTTAATTTAAATTTTACAAAAAAACAATAATTATAATAATAATATATTTTTTTTTTAATATAAATAAAGTAATTTAATATCATCTAAATAGATGATACCTTTGTAAGGTTTAACAATATTGAATTGTATACCATCGAAATAGATTTGATCGTTGTTTACTTTTAATAGATCTTTCATTGATATTCTAAAGATTGACCATTGATTATTGATTATATTCTTACAATCGATTGTTTGTTCATTAAAATTATTGTTGTTGTTGTTGTTGAATAGCGATATGGAAAGATAGTTTGGTGTATCCCAATTGCTTGGTTGTGTACCTCGTATCCATACTTCAAAGTGACTGTGCGCAGCTGAGAACAAACAATCTTTCTTATCTTTACATTCGAATCGCAGTCGATTACCCAGATGCTCTGTGTTCAACGATAGATAGTTTCTACCGCGATATGCAAAGTTACTACCGACAGCAGCAGCATCGCCGTTAACAACGGTAACACCTACACTCTGGTTACTGATCCTAAGTGGGTAGGTAACACTCTCATCGTAGACACTCAAGAATTGTTTGTAGCGATGTGTACGACAATCACCGGTTGCCATTGCCACGCCAGGTGAATACGTAACATTGAGACGTACCTGTTCACAACCACCATCGATCGGACAAACGGTCATCGATGTCGGTCTACTGCTGTTCTGATGCAAGTTGAAATAAACAATGCCTTGTTTACGATCGTAGCTATAATGATATTGATCGAATATCGGCGATGTGTTTGCTACTGGTACCATCGACGATGGTTGATATTCATAGAGAATCTTATCGCCTTTCATCTTCTCCAGCCGAATCGATTGAATGTTATTGATACCAATGCAGACACCTATGTTCATAGAGTCAGCGGCATCCCAACCGATTGCCTCGAAGATTAAAAGTGGCGGTGTTGGATGGGTGTCAAAGTGAATGGTATAGTCAGAGTCTTTGAAGACCAACGCCAGGAAATGGTAGTGATAGTAGCTGTTTGGTAGACCCGTCAGTTTCAACTCGGAATCAAAGAAATCTTTGACGACGACAGCTGAGCCTGTTTTACCGTTGAATTGAGAATGATAGGTATCGGCATTCTTTATGTATAGATAGGACAGCAGTGTTGTACAGAGTTGTGCGTTCCACAACGGATAGTCTCTGCATGTATCGTGCTGATAGAACTCTGACTTTGGTAGAATGACAGAGTTGGCAATGCCTGTTGAACTACCGTCGCCATCTCTTATGTTCTGACACTTGTCACCATCTTTAACCTGTGCATTCTGTAGGAATCGATGAGTTACGTTCTCATAGTTGATATTGCTCATGACGGAAAGCGGTGAGAACTGGTCGTCGTGATATCGATACCACGAGAGTGCACTGATATTCCTCGCTGCAGTGCTGTTGTCTTTTACGAACGATCGGAACGTACAATTCCACATCGATATAGGTCCTTGATAGAATTCGAATCCCTTCACCGGCATATTGCCATTGTCACCGTAGGGATTCGTTCTGTTTCTAATCGATGGATTCCACCACACCGAGAGCGCATGTCCAAGATTACGAGTCTCGCCGACGAATAGACAATTGGTAACCTGTTGGTAGACTTGATCATATGGGTATACCTCGTCGGATGCCACCGTAAGTCCAACGGCATTGTCAGCGAAAACACATCTTTTGAAAATCATATTGCCACCGCGTGCCCATGCACCGCGCCATCGATTCTTGAAGCAATGTAGTCCTCTCAGCATAGCTATTCTCATGCTATTCGAGGTGGGGTCCAGTTGTGGTCGGTAACGAGCTTTGATAGCGGAGAGTAGCTGTTGAGGTTCCGACTTGGATGGTTCACTCAACTTCAATCCACCATCCACGTGAAGACCTATCCTATTGCTATGACAAGTATTGTTCTCAAATACCCAAATACTCAAATAGATTGGTCGTATATTTCGTTCTTTTCCGTCGACACGAGAATCGCCAGTTGGATACTCTGGAAATACATATGAAATTCCCATATTTTCTGATCCACCTGCAGTATTTCCAATCACTGATTTTCAAAATGCACAACAATATTATTATTAGTTGAGTTGAGTTGAGTTGTTATCAACTCATTTAATTATGTTTAATTACTTACCCATATTATATGGATTTGCAAACCAAAATGTTGCTAAACTATTACATTCACTACAACTGGTTGTTTCTCCATTGAAATCATAGGGTTTCACTCTTAGACACATCTCACAATTTCTGTCGGAAGGCGTTAGCAATCCATGTTTGGTGAGTACTCCAACGTTGCCTTCAAAGCTATTCCACATCTCCATACCGTCGTGTAGCATAAAGCAATGACCAATATGGTCGTATGCATAGTTATTCTTAATGGTTAGACTATCGGTGCCACTCAATACTATGCATCTACTGAACGATCTGTGAATAACGGAATTCCTAACGTAGGTGGCTGTTCGCTGTCCAACCTTGTAGAAATGAATTGGGAATCTTTTAGATTCACTGTGTTGCTGTCCCATATTGTAGAGTTCAACACCATCGATACTAACACTGGTGTATCCTCTGGTGATCATGATATGTCCACCGAATGTATAGTATGGAAAGAACGCACAAACCAAATCGCTATTGGAAACGCAGCTCTGCGATTCCTGGCTGCCTTCAATCACAATGTTTCTAGTGAATAGCAGAACATCGGCACGCTGGTCCGATCCCAGAGTAATCTCGCCATAATGCATGTATTTCAGTGGATTCGTCAATTTGATTTGGCTACCAAGACAACTGTCGATCTCCACCATCTCTGTTTGTCCAACGTCATAGTCTGTACTTCCCAGTAGAAGATGATCACCAGGTTTCCACCAGTTGCAAACACTGTGCAATACATCCAAGAAGTTGTTGCCGGGCATTGCTGTTTTCACTAGGACCGTTCTAGTCATTGGCGGAATCGCTCCGTGTAGTTCCAACGTTCCACCGGCAGCGACAGCAATCACTTTCTGTCCGTAGCTAATCCCGTTCAGTGTTATGTTGGGTGCAATCGATTCCGAGTGACCGGTCAATGTGATTGTCACCTTGTTCTGGTATGGACAAGTATCGCTTCCAATGACCAGAGCACCGCCATCCGACAACGTTATATAGCCAGTGGTCAGAGTGATTCCCGGAACGTCTTCGAAAACCAACAGACCACCCTTATCTATTTCAATGCCAAAGAGTGGAGGTGGTGATACATCCAATAAAACCCTTTCGCTAATTGTAATTCTATAATGTGCTTGTGGCAGCTGTCCACCCCATATCGCTGGATCCGACCATCTATAGAAATGAGTATCTTTATCCGGACATATTTTCGATTGGCCAACTATAAATTCTATGTAATAAAATTGTAAAATTATCAAAAATAGGAAAATGATTCGAAATTTGATGTTCATAATAATGATTTGATTTTTTGTTTTTATTTTTTGCACCTGCAAAAATCACAATCAAAATTAATGTCTGTCAAATGAACTTTCCAAAGTATGAAATAAATAAAAAAATGATAAAATGAAAAAATTATCTCAATATTTTACCCTGCCCCCTATACTATAGTTTACATTAATTTTTAATTGATTTTAACAATGATTTGATTCACAACAAAAGAATAACAAAATTATTTGATTAAAAATAATTTTCACACACAATTTGATCAAAAATGAATACTTCTACATAATAAAATTAAAACAAAACTATATTTTAAAACTATTATTTTTTTTATTTGTAATAGTTCATCATAGTCACTCTCAAAAATTCATTAGATTTGACTCAAATCTTGCAATGTTCTAAGTAGAATTCTTTTAAAATTGAAATCATTATCTAATAGAGTTGGTCAGATTATAACCTGGTTTTTAAATAGTAAAAAATAAAATAAGTATTTCAATTCTTATTTTGATAAAACAATTGTTTATGGTCTTACATATTAATTTTTTTCATAGACTTTCCAAAAACATATAGAATTGCCATCTGTAAGAAAACAATAGACAGTTTCTCTGTATGAATGCTCTAAAATTGCCTCGGCATATACTTGTTCTTTAGAAGAGGCAGACGGGAAGTAAAGTTCATTAATCTTCGTGTCACCAACAACCTCTGTATAATCTTGAGTTATAAAACTATATAAATTCTATAGTTACAGCTGAATATAAGTCGTAAATGGTACAAAGAATGATTTTCCTTTTATTTTACTAGACAAGGAATAAATCTTATAAATAAATTATTGAAAATTAATCTAAGAATTTTTGAGAGTGAATTTAATGGACTTTTACAAATAACAAAACAATAGTCATATTTTTTTTAGAATAGATAAATAAAAACTAGTTTGAGAGAATCAATAAATGAAGAAGAGAAATTGAAGGTGGTGATCTTTAGGCTGAATTTATTAAACTTTTTCGGGATTCATTTTATAACGTTTAAAACATGTAATTTGAAATCTATCAATTTTATTTTAAAAAAAATAATTGTTTTTGTTTTGTGTAACAAACACATGTTTTTACTGTGAATGGACTTGCCAAGATTGGAAGATTGGATGTTCTAATGTGCATCTGGGAGCTGTTAGATATGCTGAGACCACACACAAATCTGAATGCTCAAGAGATGTGTTCTAGATTATAGAAATGATTCCATGGAGATTTGCGATTCTGATGATGATGATATCTAAGTTGTCTCTTCTCTCCTAGAATAAAGCAAAGAAACCTAATGCTTCATAATCACATAGAGATATTAAGAATATCTTTGTTTGTTATTTTAAAAAGAGAATAAATAATACATGTTATTTTATTATTTATCGATTTATATTATTTTTGTTTGCTCATTCCTACAACTGAGATTGATGATTTATCATCGTTGACCATGAGTAGACCCATTTCTTGATACTCGCTAAGACATCGGTTGAATTGATTCTGAGTGAAACCAGCTGTCAATACCATCTTTAGCATGTCAGGCAATTGTATTTTACTCGATGAATGTTTCTTGCAGGTGTCACGAATCAATGCGTAGATAGAGGTGATCGGATCGACTCTCTTCTTCTTCTGGTCGGTACGGATCGATGCCTTCGATACCCACATCAGTCGCATTGCCTCTTCGACATCGGATTGCGCGACAGTCTCACTAAATCTACATCTGGCACGCGCCTGTGCCAATCTGAGTATTCCCAGTAGGGTTCTTGCCGTAGTATAGGTAAGTGGAACTTTCTGGTCGGCTTCTTGCTTTCGCATGGTGACATACGACTCCACAATGAATTCCGTCAACTGAGGTGGTACATACGGTTCGTATTTCCTGGCACGACTGACAAAACAACGAATAAACTCTGGCTCGTATACTTCGGTTTTCAATTCTGGCGGCTTACTGTTTTGATGCACAAAGGTTACGTGCTCCGAGAGCAGACGATCCAACTCCAAGTCGGGACGATCGACAATCAAAAACAACAAATCAAATCTCGAGAGCAGCGATGGTGGCAAATTGAAATTTTCATCCGGTTTCTTATTGAAATTGTATCTTCCAAATGCTGGATTCGCTGCTGCCAGTACGGAGGTACGTGCATTCAAAGTAGTGGTGATACCGGCTTTAGCAATGGAGATCGTTTGCTGTTCCATCACTTCGTGAATGGCAGTACGATCGGCATCTTCCATCTTGTCAAACTCGTCAATACAACAGATACCCATGTCGGCCAAAACAAGTGATCCTCCCTCCAGCACGTAGTCACCAGTGACGGAATCTTTGATTACTGCAGCGGTAAGACCGACACCCGAAGAACCTTTGCCAGAGGTATAGATTCCTCTCGGTGCGATCTTGGCAATGTGTTTCAGCAGCTGACTTTTGGCGACACCAGGATCACCCATCAAACAAATATTGATATCGCCACGAATGCTCATGCCATCGGGCATCTTCTTGACGGCTGCACCAACCATCTGCAGCAACAGCGCTTTCTTCACATCGAGATGTCCATAGATTTCCGGTGCGATAGACATCGCCAGTCGCTCGTAGATATCGCTATCCTCAATCTCCTTGATTGCTTCCTCCATTTCCGGTGTCATTTGATACTGTTCATATGTCTTTTTGTGCTGTACAATACGCATTGCCTCCACATAGGTATCGGCGAGCAAACCGGCACGTATTGCTTTGTGTCCGGTGTACGGGGTTGGCAAGAACACGCCAAACAAAGTGACCAAGTCACCGGGCGACGTCTGACGCGTCAAGTCACCACGCACAAACACCTTGATAGTTCGTGGAGTATGTCCAATCGGAACGTTCTCTGACTTTTCCTGTACTTTAATCTCTTGGAATTTGATATACTTGGAACCACGACTTTGAAGTGTGAGACTGCCAATCTTGTTGGTGTCGCGACTGTTGTTGTAGCATTCCGCCGAGTTACATTTGATAATCGGCATGAATTCACGTGAGGTCACCTCCTGGAACCACTCGGCATTGCAAGTGTCACAGGTGTAGGCGGCCACTGTCACCATTGGCTTGACGTCGGTGACACGCGTCACAATTCCCTCGAGTGTAATCAAACAACCGATATGTTCACTTCTAATCTCACGAATCTTTGTTGGTTTGAACTGCTGCGCGACACGCGGTACTATCAACAACTCGAATCGCCTCAGCAAATCCGGTGGTAACACATTGAGATGTTCATTCTTTTTGGCCGATCGTTTCTTGGCGTTGGCGCCACCTGTTGTCGCGCCACCACCGTCCTTTCCGAGTGACCGGTTCGGTCGTGGCGGTTGATCGCCCACGGCAGCATCGATATTGGCCATCATGTTTTTAGCACGATGCGCCATGATCAAGTCAATCACCGAGTCACTGGACTCACCGATCGTCGACTGTATCGAATCGGTGGTAAAGTCTGGCTCTGGCATCAACTCCTCGAGTGCACTGGTAAACAATCGAATATAGCTCATCGTATTCGTCTCTATTCTCCTAACGAAATCACGGTCATTCGTAAATCTAAATACATCTTCCAATTCTATTTCAAACAATTTTCTTTTCCTATCGAATACTTCTTTCTATAATAATATTTTTTTCAAATTTCCAATATTATTAATATGTAATGTCGAGAAATTTCACACACATACTATATTGATATTTTATACAAAACATACCATCATTATCATATATTTATCATAGATAGAACCATCTTTTGAAGGTGAAGATTTGAATTCTTGTAGGAATTTCAAACATTTCTGATAATCTTGATCGTATATCTTTCGAAGATAGAATTTATCTTGTCGTTGGTTGGCATCAGTTGTTGCACCATTCTGTTGTGTTGTTGTAGTTGTCGATGATGCTGCTTTACCTCTACCTCTATATGATCCACCTCCACCTCCTCTGCTTGAACTATTACTTTTATTCATTATAAATTACATAAACAACTAATCAAAAAAAAAAAGAAATCTAAAAAAAAAAAGATAAATGAATAAAAATAACTATCTATTCAAATTAATTTAAAAAAAATTGGTAAAGGTCACCCGCCAAAATTTGAATTCTAAAAAAATATGTCACACAAAATTTATTTTTGTTAGTGCAAAATATTATCTCAATGATTGACTTTAAAAGATAATTTTAGGATTCAAAAATAAAATAACATAGTAAAAAATAAACATACCATTATATATAACATTGGACAAAAAATCTGATATCAGATTTTGTGATATGAGAGAACGAAAACTAACTGGACTTTCTCCAAGATGCCAATACTCTTGGTTAAGTCATTATTTTAAGAGGATTTGATCATTAAATGCATCTTAACAAACCAAAGTATATCAAAATTGTTCTTTTCTTTGATAGGAAATTATCTGATCAACTCCCTCAGTTTGAGATTTTTTCAAGTAATGATATGTAACCAAACCTCTACATTACAATCAATATGTAGTTTTGTGAGGTCACTCTTTGGAAAAGGTGTAGTATGTCGCATGAGAACCTCACAATCGAGAATTGGTGATGATTATCTTCTCTATGGAGGTAATACCACAAATGTTGGCAAGAGTTTATTCCAATCATTTGGACTTATAATATAAAGGTATTTATCAAACAACATATATATTTAGTGTTATTGAAGTTTGATATGAAAAAAGTGGTGTGCAATAAACTTACCATTGTCAGGAATCAATCTTCTGAGTAAACAAATTCAGTATTCTCTTCACTTTTTCTTCAACCATTTGAAGAAGAACCATTGAAAATCAACAACCCATATAGAGCTAACGGTACTATTTTACTAAAGCAAAATTGTATTTTTAAAAACAAATATTTAATGTCTGGAGGGGTGCGGTGATTTTCAAAAAATTCTTCTGACACAACATAACAAAACACCGAAATCGATTTCTTTTTTTTCTTTTGATTTCCTAAAAATAATATCTTGGGGTTTTTTTTAACACTCTTTTGCAATAAAAAAAAAAATAACAATAGTGTAAATCATTAAAAATCATTAAATTAAATCTGTTTAAATAAAAGTATAGAAATAATAATAATAATAATATGATAGAAAATGACAGTGATAATGATCTTGGTGGTCACTCTACATCTATTAAACATCACAATCATGTAAATTGTATGATTATTAATAATAAACAATATAAAATAGTATAATATTAATAATATAAATAATAATTTCTATAATTATTTTTGATTATCTTAGTATCATGGGGAAAAGCAATGTCATTCGATGTAGAGATTAAAGATTTAAATGTAAATGTAAAGGTACCGCAATGGAAGATACCGGTACCATTCATCACTCCGATGAATGAGCTCAATATTCTCAAGGATCTCTCGAATATCAAGGTGCCAGCAGGCAGTTTCTGTGCGATTCTCGGAACTAGTGGTAGTGGAAAGACGACGCTGCTCAACACCCTCGCTGGAAGATGTGAAGAGATGGATATTTCCGGTCAGATTTTATTCAATGGACACGCAGTGACTCCGATCGAAGCGAAAAAGTCGGTCGGTTACGTCATGCAATCCGATCACCTCTTGCCAAATCTGACGGTTCGTGAGACTCTCCGATACAGTGGAATGCTCCGACTGCCCGGCACGCTATCGAAGGAGCGCAAACTCGAGATTGTCGAAGAGCTAATCGGAGAGTTGGCACTGCGTGATTGTGCAGACCGGCTGGTCGGTGGACATGGCAAGCGTGGAATCTCCGGTGGTGAGATGCGTCGTGTCTCCATTGGAGTGCAGATGCTTTCGAATCCCGGTGTCTTGTTTCTCGATGAGCCAACGAGTGGACTCGACAGCTTCACTGCACACAACCTCATACAAACACTTCTTTCACTCTCCAGACAAAACAAAACAATCATCTGTACTATTCATCAGCCGCGTGCCGACATCTTCCAACTCTTTGACTATGTACTATTACTCTCGAAAGGAAATGTAGTTTATTTTGGACCAACAAGAGCGATTGTTGATCATTTCGCATCGCTTGGTCATGAATGTCCATTCGATGTTAATCCATCCGATTTCTTCCGTAAGTAATTATTATAATAACTTTAGGAAATATCTTTATTAATTATTCAATATAGTTGATTTAATTACTATAAATTATCAAACCGATAAATTGGAGAATGAATCGAAAGCAAGATTGGGTGATTTGATTACTGGATTCCAAACTTCACCGATCTATCAGGCCAATGTAACGGAATCGACGCAGTCCTATCAGAACGACACAAGAAAGTTTGAGATCGAAATTAGAAATACGAATTATTGGTTACAAACATGGCTGTTGTATCACCGCTCGATGGTGAATATGGTGCGTGACAAGAGTGTAGTGACTGCGCGTCTTGTTGAAACCGTATTGATCGCACTGATATGTGGTGGAATCTTCTATAAGCTGGGTGAGGATCAATCCGGTATAAAGTCACGTGTCTCTGCTTTCTATGTGGTGGTTATTCTCCAGCCATACCTCATTATCATTGCCAATATTCTCCAGTACTCTGAGGAGCTGTTGGTTTACGATCGTGAGTACTACGACGGCATGTACATGACTTTTCCCTATTGGTTGGCAACGAAAGCTGCTTCCTTGCCATTCGAAGTGATCACCGCTTTTATTTTCTCATCGATCTTCTACTGGATGGCCGATCTCCGACAATCGGCTGGTCACTTTTTCATTTTCTTTGTCTTTATGATGTTGGCTCAATATTGTTCCGCTTCACTCGGATTCATGTCAGCCTCGATTCTACGATCGTTTGCGGCATCCTCGCTAATGGCAAATCTACTCATGACGTTCTGGGCCATTACCACTGGATTCATTATCAATCCAGCGACATTCCCTATCTATATGACATGGGTGGGTTACACCTCGCTCTACCAGTACAGCTATGGTGGACTGGCAGCCAACGAATTCAAAGGTAACAGCTATCCATGTCCCTATCCACCTGGCACTCCAGAGTGTTCACTTTTCAATGGTAACGATATTCTCGATCGTTTAGAACTTAAAGTCAACAACATAGGAGTCAACGGTGCAGTACTAGTGGCAATTTCAACCATTTTCAATTTATTGTCATTGTTGGCGCTGAGATTCATCACTCACAAGCCAAAGTAAAATTAAAAATAATAATAACATTTTGTAATATCAAATAAAACATAACTATAGATTAATATATGACAGTATCATATATTTAATCAATCATTTTTTTTCAAATATATATTTATAATAAAAAATACATCAAAACCAAGTTGATAACTATGTTTACTTCATATGTAATCTACATCATAGTGAATTTGTAACGACCATCTTAATATTAATTTTTAAAAATATAACATCATAAAGACAAAGTGTCACAGATTTAAAATCCATCGAGAGATGGTCGTTACAAATTCACTATGACCTAGATTACATATGAAGTAAAGATGATTATAAACTTTGGTTTTGATCTAGCTCAAAAAATTACTAATTAAAATTTTATTATTATTTATGATAAATTCTCTGGGCTTGGTGGAGCTGGCGATAAAACTTGGCATGATGAAGAGTCACAGAATTTGTCGGGTGAAGGTTCAGTTGGAACGATGTCTTCGGCGTTGAAACTAACAGGTTTGAGATTTTTTATCATTTTTTGGTAGGTATCTGCATCGATTTCCTCGTATGGCATTTGAGCGTAGGTTTGTTCGCTTCCTTCGGCCACCGGTAGGAAGCTGACACCTTTCAATTGGTACTGGAAGTAGTCTAGTGCGTAGGGAAGTTGAGATCCTTCGGTGGCTGGGTTGAAACTAACTGTGCAGCTGACTTGGTTGTCTGCCCAGTATTTCTGAAGGAATGCAGCGAGTGAGAGTTGCTCCCACATGGTCAACGACTTGGCCTTTCTAATTCCTTGACCAGAGTGGATAGGAATCTCAACGACCATGTTGTATTTATTCTCTACTGCTGGCTCTACGTGATAGCCTGCCTCTATCAATGGTTTCAACAGTGGCGAATCACGTTGCAATCGTACACGACGGATATAATACTCACTGATGGGATAATGCATTCCTGGTGTGGCACCAGCCAACAGGGAAACGGTGCCACTCGGCTTGATGGATGTGGTTTTAATGGACTTTGGAATGGCCAGCCATTCAGAGTAGTGGTTATCATATTGCTGGATCGCTTTGTAACCCTCGGTCGACCAGTGCTTCAACTGGTCCAAACCTTTCGATGTAATAAACTGTGCAATTCCACTCATGGAACAACCGATTCTACGATTACGAAGCAACACCCTGTTGGTATCTGGCCACTGAGTTTTGCCAAGAGTTACAGTCTTGGCATAGAGGAAAGCATACTTTAGTGTCTCAAGATAGTCTTGCAGACTGTCGTGGTTGTTTGGGAATGTCTCCACCAGACAACACACTTCGAACGACTCGAGTGTCTGTTCCAAACAAGGATTACCACCAACAGCTCTACTGTCTTTGTTGTCACCCTCGACAGCGTCCATTCTACTGAATCGCTGCATATTCTGAAGCCATGCAAATCCAGGCTCACCATTATCGATGATTCGCTCGGAGATCGCTTGGTAGTCCATTCCAAGCTGTGCGAACACCGAGTTGTTACTGGTCCAACCAAAGTCAGCACGATGTGGATTCACCTTGTAATTCTTAAGATTGATATACTCGGTGGAGTGAGGATCACCGAAAGCAATCTCAGCAGTCTGTCTTGTGTTGGCAGACACAACACACTTTCCAATATGATTCATAAGATCGACGATGGTCGTGACACTGATATACTTTCCAACTTCCTTGTCGAGTGTCTCTGAGAGCGAGCGATGCAACAACTTTAAGGAATCCGGTCCGGAACTGTGTCCTCCGAATCCCTTGATCGGTGTTCCCGACGGTCTGATCTGAGAGTAGTCAAACTCCACTCTCGACTTTCCAAGGAAATAGGTATCTAGTAACAATCGCACCGACTCTACCCAACCCTCACGACAATCCGGTATGACGAATATCTGTGGTTTCGAAGAAGACGACAATCTATCCTTTGGCCCCTTTACAATCATGGTACCCGCACCCTTTGTGTCGAATCCTACACCGACACCCAACATCGATGCATCCATCAGGAAGATGAAAGGCTTCGCTGGAAAACGCTTCATGTGCTCCGTCGAGACGAAAGCACAGTTATTGAGAGCGGCATACAGTCCCTTTTCCTCGGTGAGTGGCGAACCCATCGCCCAGAGTCCACGACCGGGCGGCAAGAACTTCATGGAGAAGATTCGTTCGTACATCTGCTGTGCCGAGTGCTGTGCAGTCGAAGCATTCCAAATGAGACCGTGCTTTTCAATCCAGTCGCGTTGCATATTGAACGTTCCATTGACGACACGCTCCACCGTCTCGAACCACTGCTCATTGGTGCCATCCGGTTTCAAACGTGAGTAGGTTCTTCTGTAGACCAGCTCACCAAGTACACCAAATCCAAAGGGTGCCTCTCGTTTCCTGTAGGTCTCCACAAAGTTGTTTGACAACCTGAATTTTCGATCCAATCCAGATTGTTGATGTTTGACATCTTCATATAAAAAAGGTGTAGGTTCATGTGGAACATCTGAAGATGATGATGAAAATCCATATGTTGATGTTGTTCCATCTCTATTTTCATTTAATTCCATTTCATTATTATTATTATTATTATTATTTACATAAGAAGATGTTGATGATGAAGATGTCGAATATAATCTTAAAGATCTAGATTGATTAATTGATATCATTAAACTATTGAAATAATAACTATTTAAGCTATTGGATTGACTATTATTAACTGTTTTAATCGATTTAATTCCACTATAATTCAAGTTACTATTAATACAACTATTTGTATTGATGCTGCTACTACTAGTTTGAGGAAACGTAGCAACTGATTGCTTACAACCTATAATTGTCTATTAAAAAGTTTAGTTATAAATTCAATTATATTATCTCACATGATTATGTTGTTGTTTTGTAAATACTTTTAAACAATTATAATTATTTTTCTTGGAAATTATAGTTGATCTTAACATTTTTTTATATCATATAACAAAAAATAAAATAAATAACATTGGTTTTTGAAATAAAGACCACAACACTTTTTAAGTCTTGCTTTAATTTAACACACGCAATTAAATTGTCAATCAATTCATTCATTTTCATTTCATTTCAATTTTTTGATAGTTTCGGATTTTGGTAGTATTTTAGTTTTATTAATAAAACAATCGGAATTGAACGAATTAATCATTGCTTTTTTTTTTTTTGAAGAATATATATGCACATCCCCTTTTAAGATAAACTTTCTATTTTCTATATCTATATAGAATTTATTTTTTTATTGTATTATTATTAGAGTCTTTGCTAATATTAGAACTATTGGTTGTTGTTGTAGTTAAAGGTGTTGGTGTAAATTGATTATGATGGCTGTGGTTGTTAGTAGAATTATTATTATTATTATTATTATTGTTGTTGTTGTTGTTGTTGTTGTTGATTGATCTATCGAAATCGAGTACCTGTGATGATCTCTCTAGAGATTTTGTCAGTGATAGATCCGCGCATAATGAACTAATACGTAGATGTGTCTTTCGGTGATTGTTATTTGAAATTCTTTGATTACTAATATTATTATTATTATTATAAATAGGTTGTTGTTGATGTTGATGTTGATGACTATGATTTGAATCATCTTGTGTATTATTATTATTATTATTATTATCTACAAATAAGGATGGTGAGGTTACTAGTGAATCTGGTGTATTCGATGATTTTGGTGTGGTCGGTGCTGAATTGGGAGAGGATGATGTAAGTGATTGTTGTTGCTGGTGATGATGATGCTGAGATGGTGACAATGTTATAGTGATTGGTGGTGATAATATCAATTGATCTTTTGTATTTCCGCTGTTGTTGCTAGTCAAATCCACTGTCTCTAGATGTAGTTGACTCGCACTACTAATGGCAGCATCATTATTGTTGCTATCTGTACCACCGCTGCCACTTGCATTTTGGTCATTGTCATTGATGCCACTACTGATGTCATCATCGTTGTTGCTATTTGAAAAAGATGCTAGATTCATAGAGTGTCTTCGAATGCTACCATTGGTTTTACCAAAGACCGCTGAGCTAGGTGTTAGTGATGGTGAAGATGAAAGTGTTGTAGAATTTGTAGGTGTAGAGGTCGGGGTTAACAATGATTCTTGTTCCGATTGTCCATTATTATTATTATTTGATTCCGATTGTTGTTGTTGTTGTTGTTGTTGTTGTACAAATTGCTGTTGTTGTACCAATTGCTGACTACTATTACTATTTCCTATGGTTGCTGTTGCTGTTGCTGTTGATGTTGTTATTGCTGTTGGTTTATCATTTCTTTTCTCCAGTATTGACTGTACATTTTGTTTATTGAAAACTGTTCCGACAATCTATTTTTTTAGATAGATAAAAAAGATTAGTTAATGATTGAATGATTGATTGATTGATTGATTGATTTCAAGATGAATAGAATATACATACATATACATTTATATTTATATTATCTTTATGTGCGATTTGAGGGAAATCATTGAATGAAAGTGGATCAATCATTGTAATATCACCCAATTTGAATATGAAATTCGATTGATTCATGGAAAACTCCTCTGACAACTTCTTTTTGGTGGATTGGACAGTCTCACCGCAAGACACCTTCAGTGAGTATTTAAAATCATCGGGAAAGTTTAAATGTAACCATATTGATTGATGTATATTTGATTCTTGATCATATGATACTATATTACTTATATTCAATGGTTTATTATTACTATTACTGTTATTATTACTATTAACACTACTAACACTATTACTACTATTACTATTGTTATTGTTTTCACTACCTAATTTAAAATGATGGTCAGATATATGATTTAATGACATAATCCTCAGTGAAGAGAATTTTGCAATCGTTTCTTTATGAGACATTTATTTGATTGTTCACTTGGTTATATAACTTATCTAAAGATATAGATATTGTTTTGATTTCACTGTTTATTTTTATTTTTATTTAAGATTAGATTTTATTTAAATATTGATAGACAAGTAAATATTTAGATTGGATAGATATTTGTTAGAACAAACAAAATAAAAAAAAAGATATAAATAAATTTTTTTTAATAATTGATTTTTTTTTTTAAAAAAATGAAATTTTTTTTTTTTTAATTAATTTGATTTGAAATTATTTTATTGTTTAATTTTTTAATAAGGGTTAAAAAAAACCACACACATAAACATCATTATCGCATTTTTATCATCAACTTATTGATGCATACATTGTATCATCACTCACAATTACAATCAAATAATTAATTCATTCAATTCAATCATTTCATTCATTTAAATATGATATGACGATGATATCATATCAAATACTCATTTTTGATTATATATTGTCAAATTTGACCTATATACCTGTAAAAATTAACTTTTAATCATATGATTAATGATGTTGATGTTGTGAAATTATTATATTAAATCAACACATATCATTATTAATAATGGGGATAAATTGAAATTTCATTCACTTTCAAAAAGTTCAAGTTCAAACTAAATCAGTATTACTTTTTGCAAATATATTATGATGATAATGATTTTCATTGGCAGCTCAGAAAACATTCATTCATTCGATGATGATAACATATGTTAGATCTTTTGAGATTATTACTTGTTTTGAGTCAACAACAACCAAACATATCATAATAACAGCAAATAATAATGAGAATCATTTGTTGTGACATAATTTACTCTTTAAGAAAAAAAAAAACATCTATTGAATTCTTAAAAGGAATCTTTTTAATGTATTTTAGACACAAAAATTGTTGTTTTTTCTGTTGTTTTTTATTGGGAAGGTGAGCTATGCCAAACCAAAACAGAAAAAACAACAATTTTTTTTTTTTTGTTTTTCGCAAAAAAGTTGAAAAGCAATGAAACCAGGGTATGATGTCTTTGTGTAGTGGGTGGAAATTTGATATTTCCTAAGGCGAAAAATAAAACAACAAAACATTTGCACTGATTTGTTAGGGACCTTACATACATTGGAAGCATCAAGAATGTGTTTTGTTGAAAAAACAAAAAATGAAAATTTAATTAAATAAAAAATTCTAAATTAACTTAAGATGATGTGATGTTTTTAATAGTTTTTTTCACAAAATTAATAAATTATTGCTAACAACTTAGATATAAAAATATCATCAAATAATAACTAAACAATATAATATAAATAAATAATATTTTTTCCTATAAGATATACAAATAAACATTTAAATATAAAACAAATTATAACTAGTAAGTAAATATATATTGATTATCATTTATTATAACATCGATAAATAATAATAATAAGATTGGATTATCTCAAATTAAATTAAAAAAAAAAAGAGGATTAAGTTTCATTTTTGGTGTTAGTTAGTGTGGATTGATAAATAAAATAAATAGATGGTTGACCGCCAATAGGATATAATTATATATTTATATTTTTATTTTTTCTATTGTGTTTGTTTGTGCTACTATAAATGTGCTACACAAAACCAACACAAGAAATGAAATGATATTTTTTATGTTGATATGTTTGTGATGAAGTCATTTATTTGCACCTGTTTATTACAACTAACATTATCTTTTACCTACTTTTAATTACCCCCCTCCTCTTCACACAAATCAACATAAGCAATAATAAATAAAAACGAACAAAGAAGTATATAAATTATTACTACTACTACTGTTATTCAAGAAATAGTTATATAACACATACAAAATAAAAAGAATACAAAAAAAAAAAAAAAAAAAAAAAACATTTTATTTATTATTTATATTAAATTATTTATTTTCAATTAATTTTACACAAATTTACTTTATACTTTTACTATAATTTATTTATTGTTATCATTTATTGCTAATATACTCTACTATACTATGCTCTACTACTCTTAATTCACTACTCTTAAGCTTCAACTCAATAATTCAAATTTATCTGGATAAAAAAGAAACACTACTCTGACTTTTATACTACTACTACTACCACTTTTAAAGTAACTTATATCTTTATTCATCATCATTCGTTTCCTTATCTTCCCTTAGCTTAACTTAACTTTACTATTACTATTTTGATAACATTTACATTTAATAATATTATTTTGAAACACAAGATAGTTTTTTTTATCTTTTCTATCTTTATATTTTCTACCTTTACTTTTTCTCTTCTCTCTCTTTTGTGCAAGATAATTTGACTTTATTCTGATATCATATCATCTCTCACTCTTTTTCCCTTTTTTATTACTTGAATATCACATTTCTATTTTTTTATTTTATTTTAATATTTATTACAGTACTTACACATTTTATTTAATTACTTTTTAATGAATTCTTTTAACAAATTCTAATTTCTCTATTTTTCTTTTATTTCCATCTTTTCTTTCTATTCGTATCTTTTTATTATCTCTCTCTTTCTCTATCTCTTCTACTTTTTTTAGAATGAATCCTTCACAAGACAAAGATAAATGTCAAGATTCCTACAACTCTGAGGAGTTGATCAAGATGGAGTCAGATTATGCTGCTCACACCTACCACCCACTTCCAGTCGTCTTTAAAAGGGCATCTGGTGTCTATGTTTGGGATATGGAGGACAAGCGTTACTACGATTTCCTTAGTTCATACTCTGCTGTTAACCAAGGACACAGTCATCCAAAGATTGTCGAGGCCTTGATTACCCAAGCACAACAGTGTGCTCTCTCATCAAGAGCATTCTACAACGAGATTTTCCCTCAATACGCAAAGTTCATCACTGAATTCTTTGGTTACGAAATGGTATTACCAATGAACACTGGTGCTGAAGCTGTCGAGACTTCAATTAAACTTGCACGTCGTTGGGGATATGTACATGTAAGTTTTTTGTACAATTATAATTTTAACTATTTAATCATTTTTATTAATCATTTTCTTATCATAATTATAGAAAAAAATACCAGTAAATGAAGCAATTATTATTTGCTGTAGAGGATGTTTCCACGGAAGAACCATTGGTGTTATTTCATTATCGGACGATCCATCTTCATTCTCAAACTTTGGTCCATTGCTGGGTGGATTCGTAAAGATTGATTACAACAACGTAGAGCAACTCGAGGAAGCTCTCAATAAATATGGCGACAGAGTATGTGGTTTCATTTGCGAGCCAATTCAAGGTGAAGCTGGTGTCGTCGTTCCAGACGATGGTTACCTCAAGAAGTGCCAAGAGATCTGCAAGAAGAACAACGTTTTGATGATCGCCGATGAGATTCAAACTGGACTTTGCAGAACAGGTCGTCTTCTCGCCTCAGACTGGGACAATGTCAAGCCAGATATCGTACTGCTTGGAAAGGCCATCTCTGGTGGTCTTCTCCCAGTGTCCGCTGTATTATCATCAAAGGAAGTCATGTTGACTATCAAGCCAGGTGAACACGGTTCCACCTATGGAGGTAGTCCATTGGCATCGGCCGTCGCCATGGCTGCACTCTCGGTGTTGCGTGACGAGAATCTTGCAGAGAATTCACTCCGTCTCGGAGACTACTTCAGAGCTGAGATCACCAAGATCAACTCGCCATTGATCCAAGAGGTTCGTGGTAAGGGTCTGCTGAATGCTATCGTCGTCGATCCAAATGCAACAACATCGGCATGGGATATCTGCTTGATGTTTGCCAACAAGGGTCTCCTCGCCAAGCCAACCCACGAGAATATCATTCGTCTTGCTCCACCATTGACCATCACCCAAGATCAACTCGATGAATGTATCCAAGTCATTAGACAAGTGTTCTATGACATCGGATCAACCTCAAAAGACATCCCCGGAAAATAAGCAATCCACTTGCTACCCAATGATTCAATCAAAAGTTCATCCAATAACATCTATTGGATCTGACTGATTGAATCATTCACTTGCAATATCTATTTATTTATTTATTCTATTTATTAAATTTATCAAATAAAGTTTTTTCTAAATATTTATTTATTGCCAAATAACCATGAATGAATTTTCATATGGAAAAGATGTTTAAACATCTATGTGAAAATTCATTTAATTTATCCAAAAAAAAAAAAAACATAAAAAAACACATTTGCAGATTTAATTTTTTTTCTCAAAAATTTGCAGTTGTCGTGTCATCATTGAAAATAAAAAACTTCTTAAATTTAAACTATTAATTTGTTTTAAGAAGAAAGGTCATATAAATATTTATTATATTTTATTTAAACATGAGTAGTAGTCAAGAAAATAGAATATTAAATCAAGATGAAATTGAAAGTTTATTTCAAAAGATTCAATCAAATAGATTAGAATGTGATTTGTTAATATCGTTATTCAATGTTTCAGCGACATCCTCAAGGAAATATCATGTATGTGAGCCTTTTCCAGGATTTCTAAAGAATAAGAGTGCAAAGAATTTCGAACAGATCGATAGTTTCTTTAATGAGTTACCATCTCTTTCTCAATTAGATACAATAGGTTAGTTATTATTGTCTTAATAGATATCACTCATATGTTTACAAGAAATACTAACGGGAGATCATTCTTATAGAAACATTTTCAAAGTTATCAAATAATTCACTATTGTTATTGGATTTCATTTTGAATAATAATAATATGGGTTTCCAAGTGAAGCTAAAGGATTATAAAAAGTTTGAAAAGAAAACAGAGTATCTCGCTGACATTTTGGATCATCTAAAGACATCGCAATTGCCAACGATGGTATTCAAATTTAAATACGATAGTTCAGTGGCAAAGAATGCAGAGTTTGATCAGTTGATCGAGCAGTTTGGTTCGTTGTTTGGTTATCATGGTAGCAGTAACGACAGTTGGAACAATATCATACGTGGTCGTGGTTTTGCCAACCAATATATATCGGAGGGTTGTCTCTTTGGTCATGGATTCTATTTCTCATCGGACAGCAAGGTTTCACATTCGTTTGTAAAAATTGGAAAATGGTGGGATCGTTCAGATTTCGGTGGACGTGTAGGATGTCTTTCGGCATGTGAAATCGTTGACACCGACCAGACTCACCGTGGTATCAAAGTATCACCTCAATCTTCACCTAAATCAAAACCACTCTATCAATACACTGAAGATGACAAGTCACTTCCTGACCACTATATCGTATCGAAAATTGGAGGACATATAAGGGTTAAGTATCTACTGATATTCCAAGATCAAACCAATACAATGAATCTTAATCTTTCTTCATCTTCCACATCCAACAACCTCTCCAACCAAAACAATAATCAAAACCATGACAATAACACCAATCATACAATTAACAACAACAATAATAATAACAGTGTAAATAGAATCAAAAATTTAATTCCTCGACAACTGAATATATTCATAGTATTATTTATTCTCTATGCAATTGTATTGGTGATTGCAGGAAATCCATGGATATTTTCAATTGGTACACAAAAGAAAAGTTTCAAAAAGATAGTTTCAAAATTAGAATTGTAATAATAATAATAGCAGGTTTATCAATAAACAGTAATTCATTGTAAATTTAAATATCATAAAATATATTATCATGGATATGCCAGTAATACTTGTGGGAGTGCAGGTAATCCGTTGAAAACTTGGGGTGTACTAAGTAGTTCAATCTTGGTATAAACTTTATCTGCTGGGAAATGCATAACCCTATAGTTGATAGATATATGAGAAGTCATAAAGTTAGTAATTAGTTTGGGGTGAAAAAGTATCTGTAATATTACCAATATTTAAAGCTTTCTGCGTTTATAGGATTCGAGCTTTCTGGAGGAATTGGCTCGGACACTTGACCAAAGCCTCTGAATGATGAGTTTAGTATACGATAAGCAGAAGTTCCATCAGCATAAGTCATCTTTAATGTGTAGTCACATCCTCTATAACAATAGAATGGATATTTTGCTACCTGAGGAATGATTTCTGCTAGTTGAGTTGGGTCTGTTGGATCAAATGTACGAATTAAATTTCCAACAAATTTAATTGGTTCTAAAATCATTGAGAGTGAAGGATCGGCTAAACTGAATGAAACTACCACACTATAGACTGGAATATTCTTTTGTATTGGTAAACTATTGTTTAAATGTAAAAAAAAGTTGGTAAAAAATTATTTTGGTTCAATTATTATTCAGACTACTCACTATCCTTCAATCGAAGTAAATCCACCATCATCATGTTGAGTAATGTTTGCTGGGTCAAACTCAAGGGTAACATTGTTCCATTGAGAGAATCCATTTGGTGAATTGGCATCAGGGGACCATCTACTTTCAAACCATTTTTGGTGGGTACTTACAGACCAGTCAGCAAATGTTGCATAGTTAAAGAGACCCCTAGATCTATCGTATCCACCACCTCCGTCTTGCATTGGATCCTGCTTGTAACATCTTCCATCCTTGTCGACTGCTCTCTGACCATTGAGAGGTGTTGGACATGATCCATTTGGCATGAATGGAATCAACATTAGATTCTTATCGGCATCCCATCCCCACTCAGAGCCAAGCAAAGAACCTCCAACATATGGGTACAATCCTTTTGAAATCGAATCAACACAATGCCATAAACCAAAAGCTTAATGTATTTTGAAATATTAGAAATTCTATAATATAATAATATTCAAAAATCATTTTACATACCATGACCAGTTTCATGCATGAAAAGAGGTCCCCATTGATAATCACCACAACTGACACCGGCATCAATGCCACCAACACCGGAATTCGGAACAAAAATGGATCCATTTGTCATCATTTTAATCATTGGTGAATAAATTTGTTTGGTAAGGAATTGGTCTCCATTATTTAATCTAATACCTCTCATAACTGTCATATAAGCAGAAGCAAAGTCAAACATATTCTTTTCATCATCTCCAGTTTTGGCTAGATAACCAGCTCTATTTCCATCTGGTGCAATGGGGAATTGTTTCCATTGAATGTAGTTATATGGATGTGGGTCAAATTTAACATAGTCTACTGGAAGTTTCTGAAGAACCTCAGCGATCTGAGTGTCATTTGGAAGATGTATCGGAACAGAGTTTTGTGGTGTTGCGCCATACAAATAGATTGGTAGACTCTCGATAAAATAATCAGAGGGTGCACCTACATTCAGTTGAATGTGATCACTCTCGTCATTACCGTCAGCAGAGACCGATAAACTTAGTTTTGGTGCCAACCATTCCTTTGGCAGTTTTGCAGTCCACAACGTTGTTGAATATTTATCTTGATTCAACTCTGAGCCAGGGAATTGGTCGGGAGGTGTTAATGGAACACTTCCTAATCTATTTCCACTCTTGTCAATTCCATTAACAACTAAATTTGCTGGTACTGGATTTAAATCTAAATTGAAAAAAAAAAAAAAAACAAATTTACATATTTTGAGTTTTGGTCAAACGATCATTGATTTCAAATAAAAACATACCTTTTCTACTAAGGATTGGATATTTTCTGGAAGTTGTCTTTTGCTGTGAGGATAAATCAAACATTCCTAAAACTGTTCTGTTTCCGACAAAGTGTAGATTTTGATTTCCTCCTGGTAGAGTCCATGTATGTCCTTGTGCAGGTATCACATGGGATTGAGCTCCTTTGAAACTATTAATAATCATCTTATTAGGATTTGTAGGTGTTGTGGATGTTGTTGCAGCTCCGGTTGTGGCGGAAGCAGAAGTTGTAGTTGGTGAGCCAGTTGTCGCAGGAGCGGTGGTTGCAGGGGCAGTGGTTCCAGTAGTTGCAGGAGCAGTAGTTGCAGGAGCAGTAGTTGCAGGGGCAGTGGTTGCAGGGGCGGTAGCAGGGGCGGTAGTAGCAGGAGCAGTGGTTGCCGGAGCGGTAGTAACAGGAGCAGTTGTTGCAGGAGCGGTAGTAGCAGGAGCAGTAGTTGCAGGGGCGGTAGTAGCAGGAGCAGTTGTTGCAGGGGCGGTAGTGGCAGGAGCAGTTGTTGCAGGGGCGGTAGTAGCAGGAGCAGTGGTTGCTGCACGAGTAGTAGCAGGGGCAGTAGTTGCTTGACCAGTAGTTGCCGGAGCGGTAGTAGCAGGAGCAGTGGTTACTACACGTGTAATAGCAGGAGCAGTTGTTGCAGGAGAAGTAGTTGCCGGTGTGGTTGTTGATGGACGAGTAGTTGCAGGAGCGGTTGTTGCAGGAGCGGTTGTTGCAGGAGTGGTTGTTGCAGGAGTGGTTGTTGCAGGAGAAGTCGTTATAGGAAGAGTTGTTCCCTGTTGCGCCACACAAAAGAAATCACCATTGATAATCCTACAGACTTTACCTGCCGGACAATCGACGAATTTACAAATAGGGACACACTTTGGTGGAAGATATTTCAAAGGTTGACAACATATATATTCATCTGGACAAGCCATATCACATTCCCTACTGACCAGTTTGCCATCTACCAAAGCCAAAACAATACAAAATAAAAAAATTGAAAAATGGTATCTTTTCATTATTTTTTGGTTTCCAATTTTTGTATCAACATTACAACAACAGATTATTACTTAGATTATTATGATTATTTTCTTTAAGGAATTTAAATGTATTTTATATTGTTTCGATTGATTTAAATTACCAATATATTAAATTTTTATTTTTATTAATGTTTATTAAAAATGTTATATTATTACTTTTATTATTTTTCTATTATTATTATGACTATTATTAAATCATCAAAAGTATTAAAATATAATTATCTATATTATCCAGTTAGCAAAACCAAATCAAACCTAATCCAAACTGATAATCATTACTGAAGTGTTTTAATATATTATTTGATCATGATAATCAATCAATTAAATAATTGATTTTAATATCATATGATTAATTATTTTGGTTTCATATGAAATTGCTCTACATCTGCTGATTCCATTTTATCACTTCACCTCTTACATTGTTAAATAGAGGTGAGTGAGTGGGTACTACGGTCAATGTATGAAAATCATTTCAATGAGTGAGCATTAAAATACATACACAAGGTATAAAACAAAAAAAAAAAAAAAAAAAAAAACAAACACATGTAATTATTTTCATCTTACTTCATTCATGATGTGATTAGCGCAGTAGCCCACTCTACTTCAAAAATTATTATTTTTGCATCCCTTAAGTGTTAATATATAAATAAATATAAAAATAATTTTATGCATATTGAAATTGTTGAGTTTTTTTTTTTTTTTTCATACTGGTGTGTCCGTTAAAAAATGCTTTTTTGAATTTTGTATTGTTGAAAGTTTTACTGAGAATATGTTGTTTTTTAAATTTTTTAAATTAATAATAAACACACAAACACAACCACATACAAACTAATACATTTAATATAATAACACAATCATTACAATAAGTTAATATATTATATTCGTTTTTCTATTTATCTATCGAAAGAAAATAAAAGTAAAAAAAAAAAAGAGAGAGATAGAGAGAATTTAAAAATGCCAAAACCATCGGATAATAGATTATATAGTAATAATTCATTAAAGACACATGATATATGGAGATCTATGAATGGCGGTGCTGAGAAAGAAAAAGAGGTAAAAGATCCAAATTTACATGGTCCGTCGTTGGATGTTGCCGATAACTACAAAGGTTTGATGGCTATCGCTCGTTTGACCGGTGCTGCCGACAATCAAGCTGTCACAAGAGGATCTTGTAAAAAGTGTGGAGCTGTCGGTCATCTAACTTATATGTGTACAAACCTCGTTGAATTCAAATTGAATAGTGGCAGTGGTGGTGTTGGTGGTAGTTCTTCTAACAATCAGAGTGATGATCTAGATGTATCGAGTACATCCTCAGAGAGCAGTAGCAGTGAAAGCGAAGATAAAGATAGCAAAAAGAGAAAGCATAAATCAATGGAGCGATCGGGATCAAGATCAAGATCGAGATCGACTTCAAGAACAAAGAGTAAAGATAGAAAGAGAGAAAAGTATAGAAAACAAATGGAAAAGAGAAGATTGAAGAAAGAGAAGAAAAGAGAGAGGCACGATAGATCGAGATCAAGATCAAGATCACTGAGTAAAGATAGAAATAGAGATAGAGACGATGAATCGAGTACAAGTAGATCGAGTAGCAGAGAGCGAAAGAAAGAGAAGAAATTGAAATACAAAAAATTGAAACAATACTACAAGAAAGAACAAAAGAGAAAGTATAAGAAGTACGAGAAGGATCATTCCGATGAAAGTAGAAGCAGAAGTAGAAGTAGAGGTAGAGATAGATCGAGATCAAGATCAACTTCGAGATCAAGAAAAGACAGACATCACGATAAGAAATATAGACATAAACATCACAGAAAGAATAGAGATAGAGATGCCAGTAGAAGTAGAAGTAGAAGTGGAAGTAGAAATAGAAACAAAGAAAGAACTAATAGAGATAGAGATAGAGATAGAAGTTTAAGTAAAGATAGATATAGAAATAAAGATAGAAGTAGAAGTAGAAGTAGAAGCAACAGTAGAAATAGAAGTAACCGAACAAGAAGTAGAAGTAGAAGTAACAATAACATTAGAACTAATACACCTACAAATAATAATAATAATAATTCACAGAGTATCGAACCAATTGTATCAAATTCAATTTAAATTTAAAATTAAAATAAACAATATCTGATCTGTAGTAAAATTGAAACTGAACTTGATAGTGATGATGTTTCAATTCAATTTATTCAAAATATATTTATAAAGTAATCATGTAATGTTTTACAAGTTGTTATTCTATTTTGATCTTGTTCTTGTATGATTGAATTTGAGGTGGTTGTAGTTGAGAGAATGGTGGTGTTGGACGAGGTTGTTGTCGTGGTTGTAGTTGTAGTGGTGGTCTCTGCGTTGATATCGAATATAAAAGTGAGGAACTGAACGTGAGGTTTCAACATTGTCAATGCTGTAAGATCGTCATCTATATGCAATATCGATTCTAAATGTCGAGCAATGTGTGCTCTACCTTGTGTTGTTGAACAAAATAATACTTTCTATTAAAAGTTATAAAAATAACAATAAACATATATTAGTAGAGTTTAAGTAATTTACTCAATTAAATTATTATTATTATTATTATTATCATTATTATTATCATGATAGTTTACGTGTGGATTTAAACCTGCTTCGAATATACCATAGCTCTTTAGAAGGTTGATAACCATTTCCTCTTCGTTGTCATCGGTGATCTGTGTTAGCAGGTAGAGATCGGCAGTCGATGCCAGCCGCAGTAGAGTATCACGCTCCGATTCTATCAGTGTGAAGTTACAAACCTTCCTATCTGTAATATGTTCATAGTAAACAGTCTTTTTGAAAATAATCTATAATGGATCATGATCGATATATTAGCTCTAAAATCGGATATATTCGTTTTGAAAAGAGAGATATTTACATCGATTGTTGAGAGTGTAACTTTCTTTTTGTGTAATTGATTGAATTGTATGCGTGGAGCTGATTTAATTCTAGTGGTATGTGTAGTCGATGTCGATCTTGTAAAGCTATTGTTGATAGGATCATGTGATTGATATTGATATTGTGAAGGTGATTTAGGAGAATTGCTTATTAAATTATTGTTATTGTTGCTAGTGTTGTTGTATGGTTTATTATTCTTTCTATCTTTGGTTGGTGATGATTTTAGAATATGATGATTAACATCTATCCACTGAAGCATTGAACTCGGCAAGACATAGGAGAGCATCATAATGAACCATTTCTTCTGACGCAGCCACATCAGCATCAACATCACCACAAAAGAACAAAAAAGTACAACATGTTTTCTATATCTTCTTCTTCCAATACCAAATAAAGTATTTAAAACAATCAATTTATTATCTTTATTGTTATTATTATTGTTGTTGCTATCCATTTTGTCATTGGAAGTATTAAAATTTTTCACTTTATTTAATTTACAAAATAATTTAAAAATCTAAACTTTTTTTTTTTTTTTTTTTTTTCAAAACAAATAAATATATTTTATTTTCAATCTTTTTTATTTAATTTGTTATTGAATAAAACAATAATAAACTTGATAATGAATGTCCCTTTTTAATTAATATTGTATCTTCTTTTTATTCTAGAGAAATCTTAAAGTCATTTATCTTTCCCTAATGTGAACTTCAAATCTTTTCAATAAAATCAATTTATATTTAAAGTTACATTATGTATATTTTAATGTGTTTGAAAAACTGCAAATATTGAATGAAACTCATTGCAAATATTTTGTGGAATAATAAAATTTCGTATTTACCCCACTGCTATAAAAGTATATCATTTTGGTTGAAATCCGCATGTTCAATGGTTTAATAAATCTTGAAAATGGTTGCTCTAGGGGGTACTGTATTAGGTGTAAAGTGGATCATCATAGTAGAGAATTTTCGGTTTGAACTTACAAATTATAAAAGAACATAAAAGAATCAAATATTATAGGAAATGTATAATCCCAACCGTTGTTCTTTAACTAAATAAAGATAATTAAAATTCTATTAGAATTATTTAAATTTAATTTAATTATAATGAATTAATTTTTTTAAAGATATATAACAAATTTAGATTAATAACAATTTTATTTTTTAGACTCAATAAAAATTAAAATAAAGAATAATATAACAAATGATTCAAAAATAAAGATAAAAATAATAACAATATATAGATATAATATTAAATCTAAATCAAAGTTATTTTTATATATATATATATAAATTTAAAAAGTAGAAAACCAATTGAAATCCTATTAAAAGTAAGTATTTAAATTTAAATATTCGAAAAATAATTATTTCATCTATAATCAATCTGATAAAAACAAAAGATTGATTTTTCATATAAACAATAACATTTAAACAAATAATAATTTAATTATTATCACTATGGTATTATATTGATATATCACAATTTATTTGTACTTAATTTTTCAATAGATTGGGTTTACAAATAAAAAATGATAAAATTTTGTCATCATTGGGTTAATTAATTGTGTGTTGTGGATGGAAATCAATGTTGTTTTTTTTGTGTTAAAAAATGTACATTGTTTTTGTAAATAAATAAAGTTTCTTTGCGATTTTTATTCTCTCATCACCTCCCACTTTTTCCACTTTCTTGTTCACACTTCACTACATTTCGATATTGGGATTGTAAATTGATCATTATATTTATGCCGGAGAAATCTATTTTGAGATTGACATGGAGATGTTGTTGTTTGCATTGAAGTTGGACAAGAACAATTCGAGCATGTTCTCACCTCTAAAGATGAACAATAATAGATGGGGTGGTTTGAGATTTCTTTGCTCCTTCAATATGTTTGTTCAAAGAGAGCTAATTGTTTGTTCCAATCACTATTTATAGTTGATATCAAAGTTTTGTCTAATCAAATCATCAAATCGAATCATCAATAAAATAATAAATACTACAAATCATATATATTTGTTTAATATTTATTATTAAAATTACTTATACTAATATTACGATCAATATTAATTATTGAAACCTATCTATAGTTTTGTTTTTTTTTTTTTTCAATACAAACTATGGCAAGAAATATATCATTAAAATTACTAGTTTTTGTATTATTTTCTCTAACTATTGCTTGCTCCGCCGAATGGAGATCGTACAATGGTTATGGTAACAACCTTAAAGACCCAACCCTTGGTATGGCAAATACCACTTTCCTCCGTTCTGTAAAACCAAGTAGATACAACGCTTTTGGATATCTCAATCTTTCCATTCCCAGTGCCAGATATGTCAGTAATAATGTAATGGATCAGCCATTCGAAATCGCTTCCCATGAAGGTTTAACTGATTTATTCAATATGTTTGGACAGGTAAGTAAAAATTATTTAAGAAAATAAATTAAAAATATTTACTAACTAATTTACGAATTTAGTTTTTAATTCATAATATGGCATTTGCACAACCAGATACAAACACACCTTGGCCAATTACCGTTCCAGAGTGTGATGAATATTTCGATCCATGGTGTAGTGGAAACCAAACTATGAGTTATTTTAGAACTAGAGTTGCCCTAGTCGATTGTGCTAAAGGTAATACCAATCCACAAGAAGACGGTAGATGTTATGAACAAATCAATGCACTTTCCTCCTTTATCGATGCCAATCCAGTTTATGGATCAACAAAAGAAACTGCTGATTTATTAAGATCTGTAAGTTAATATATAATATTTGAACATGAACAAAGAAATAATAATAATATTTACTCAAATATCTTTTTTTTTAAAAGTTTTCCGGTGGTCAACTTAGAGTATCAAAAGACCCACATGGTGATATGCCACCAAGAGGAATCAAGGGTGTTACAATTGATAATGATGCTAGACGTGTTCCTATCGACCAGTTGTTCACTGTAGGAGAGAAGAGAGGAAACGAGAATCCAGGTTTGATGTCCATCCATACCATCTTCTTACGTGAGCACAACCGTTTGGCAAAGAAATTCTCTGGACTCAATAGCAGTATGACCGACGAAGAGATCTACCAAAAGACAAGAAGCTGTATTATAGAGCAAGTTCAAGCATTGACCTACAATGAATACCTCCCAATGATCCTTGGTCACAAGATGCCGGACTACAAAGGTTACGACGAGAATGCCGATCCACGTATCTCCAATGAGTTTACCACCGTTGCATTCAGATTCGGTCACAGTGAAGTCGGTCCAGTCATTGAGATGGGTAACCGTGACGGTAGCTTCGGTACTCCTTTGCCAATCCGTGACTCCTACTTCAATCCAAATGCACTGTCCGACGGAATCGAGCCAATCATCCGTGGTCTCGCTTTCAAAGTAGAGCAAAATGTCGATCCCTACATGATTTCCGATCTTCGTAACTTCCTCTTTGGTAAACCAGGTCAAGGTGGATTCGATTTGGCCTGTCGTAACATTCAGCGTGAACGTGACCACGCCATTCCATCGTACAACAAGTACCGTAGTCTTCTCGGTTTGCCATCGGTCAAGAGATGGTCAGACATCTCGAGAGAACCAATCATTCAGAGCAATTTGAGATACACCTACGACAACAAGCTCGATAATGTCGACCTCTTTGTTGGAGGTCTCGCCGAAAATCATGTTCCAGGTGGATGTGTCGGTCAAACCTTCTACACAATGATCCTCGAACAATTCACTCGTTCAAGATCTGCTGATAGATTCTGGTACGAAAGAGAAAACATGAAGGAAATCAATCAACAATGTGAAAGAACAACATTCAGAGAGTTGATTCGTAGAAATACTAATGATATCGGTCCAATTCAAAATAATGTATTTAAAGTTCCTACTGATTTATAAATAGTTTAACAATAAAATTTAGAATACATAAAAAATTTAACTTTTGTTTTTTTTTATAATAAGTTTTTTTTTTGTGAACTTCACATCTTTTTGTTTTAAAAATAATTTTATTTCAATCATTTTGTTAAAAATAAAAGATTATAAAGTTAAATGAAAAGAAAATCAATCTTAAAAACTTCTTTTAATTTTTTGTTTGTGAATCACTATATCGGTAATTTAAAAATAAATAAAGAACAAAAAAAAAAAAAAAATGATTGTCAATTCACAAAATCAGCGAAATTCAGTGAAATGTTAATTCAAGTGTTCTAAAAATTGTATCCCGAAAATAAAAAAGTTGTTTTTCCAATTTATCATTCTTTTCAAGGATCAAAGACCAAATTCTTTTCATATTCACAAAATAAATTGGTTGTTGGGAATTTCTATAAAATTTAATTCTCCAAAAGTTAATTAAAAAATTCCCTGAATTGAAAAGTGTAAACATTGAAATTTATATTAATAATACCAATAGAATATTAGAAATCTATTATATAAGTAGATAGATTAGTTTCCAAAACATTCAAAAAAAATAATTTCTCTTTCAAATTAATAAATACATTAAATTATTTATATTAATAAGGTTTGTAAAAATAATAATCGAACAAAATTTTCTATTTTTTTTAATTAACTAATACAATTAAGATAAAAAATGAATATTGTCAAATCTGTTTCCTTAATGTTGGTCGTATTGTTCTTGTTGGCTGTGGTCAATGCTGCCCCATGTTGTGAGAAATGTAATGAAGATGATTGGAGATGTACATCTAATTGTATAGATTGTAATAGACCAACTACCTTTATGACTATCCCACCTTGGCCTGAGCCCACCCCATTCCCATCAACCACTGGAAAGCCAACTACAACAACAACTACTACTCCATCAACCGCTCCACCAACTTCTACTCCATCAACCGCTCCACCAACTTCTACTCCATCAACCGCTCCACCAACTTCTACTCCAACCACTACATCCACAACTACCAAGTAATCTAATCCTTTTTTACAATTGTATATAACTTACAATCCATATTTCAATAAAGTAGTACTTTGTTCTTAATATCAACAAAAAAAAAAAAGATATATCTTATATAATAAAAATATATTAAAATATTTTATTAAAAATAAAACCTTGTCTTGCAAGAGTGTTCGACATGAATAGAGGAGGCAAAATTTCGTTGAACTCCTTTGGTGTACACGCCTTTGCGAGGAATGGATGCTCCATGAGCTGTGTGGTTGTCGCTCTCTTTGATGGATCAACCTGTAGACATGAACGTAGAAAATCGAGTACCTCATCGGACCAATCGGGATGATCTTCTTTTGTAAAGACCATGCCTTCGATGGCCACTTTGATCATTGCCTTGAGTCGCGAATTGCTGTTTGGCAGCTTTCGGTTGATCATCTCTGCAATGCAGACACCGAAACTCCAGATATCCGCTGGAAGAGAGTGTGGGTTTCCGTGGAGTTGTTCTGGTGGCATCCAGAAGGGCGATCCACACATGTGAATATCTTCTTTTTCGTGTGAGAAATCGATGGCCAGTCCAAAGTCAATCAGTTTAATCTCACCTTTCATACTGATCATAATGTTTGAGCTCTTCAAATCACGATGACAAAGTTGGTTCGAGTGTAGAAAATGAATGCCTTTGAGTATCTCACGTGCAATATAAGCGATACGCGCTTCACAAAAGTTGAAATTGTTGGTGGCCTCACGAAGTGAGCCACCCTCCAAGAATTCCATGATCATCCAAAGCTCGTCGCCACGCTGAAAAGCGCCCAAATACTTTACGATATTGGGGTGTTGACAGAATCGCATGAATCCGATCTCATTGAGATTCATTCTAATCTGCTTTGGTGTTACATGCTGCATCTTTTTCAGTGCAACCACCTGTTTGTCGTCTGCGCAATGAGGAATCTTGTTTTTCGCTGCGAAAACCGAGCCAAAACCACCTCTTGCCTCGAAATCTAAATTCTTATATTGATTCTTTGGGTCGCCTTCATTGAGGAGTGTAGCAACGGCAATCTCCCATTCCTCGGGAAACTTGTAGAAAACACCGGGTGCTACAAATATTCGGTTGGAATCGATTCGCTTCTTTCGCTCAGGATATATAAAGGAGAGCGATGGCCCTGAGCCTGTGTTTGTATTTACAATGGCACCGTGTTGTTGTTGTGGTTGGTTGGTTGGTTGGTTTGGCCGTAGCAGTGAATCGGTGTGTGTTGGCTTGCTGATGGCAGAGCCACTGCAATGACTGCCAACCATGTTTGACTTGTCGTCCTCCTCGTCCGACGATTGATTCGAGGAGTTGTAGATCGATGAAGCCGGCTTTGGCGAGTTGCCTCCGCTACCATTGCCACCGCCGCTGCCAGCGGTAGAGATGATCACCGATGGAATCTCTTCTTTGATTTCATCCTTGATTTGGGCGATCTGCTCGCCTTGTTCGATGTATTTATAATAGACCAAGTCTTTCTTTCTGAGAAAATTGATAATGTGTACGACCACCTGGAAGTTGTTGTCGATCAGCTCTTGATCGATGTGCGTCTGTCTGACCCATTTACGATCGAATTTCTGCAGTCCTTTATAGTTGTTGATGCAAATTACCGATGGAGCTGTTACATCGTCGTCGACATCACTCACTGAATCCTTTTTATGCAGTGGTGTAGGGCTTGTACTATTTGTTCTTGGTTTTGATGGTGTTGAAGATTTCTATTTGTAAATATTTAAATTAATTAACAAAACAACATTCAAAAATATCTTTTTAATAATTATACATACATTTCGGACGACCACTTTTTGGTCCATCAATTCTTCGTCGTCATTTATCAAAGTTTTATTTTTCTTTGATTTCTTCTTTATTAACAATTTAGATAATAATTTCATTTTCTAAAATTGATTAAAAAAAATATATATTTTAATTATAATTATATATAAATATTATTTAACATAAATATTAAAAGATTAAGAATATTATTAAAAATGAGATCTTTGGTTGGTATTACAAATTAATTTTTTTAAAAAAAATTATATATAGTTTTACAAAAGTTATTAACAAGTTATTATTTTATTGTTATTGGTTTTAATAGTAATAAAAATAAGTGACTGTTGACAGAGATTTAAAGAGGATGGTGTGGTGTTATAAATAAAAATAAAGATGGTTCATCGATGATAGACAAAAAAAAAAGAGAGAATGAATTATAACTCTAAATGTTTGATTTGTTTTTTAGGTTGAAGTTGATCAATTTGCTTTGCTTTGTTTTGTTTTGTATGAACGTAATTGTGGTATCGCGATGTAAGGATTGATTATTTAAATAAATAAAATAAAATCTAAGTAAAGTTGATTGTTTGATGATTGACAACAAAAAGGAAGGAAGTACAATGTTGAAATCTTCCCTGTAATGTTTGGAATATATAAATTGAATTCCTGATTTGAGTAATGTAATAATACCCTCAAAAACAACAACAACAACAACAACAACAACAACAACAACAATTCAATTAAATATTTTCTTGTTTTGTTTTATGTTTTGTTATGCTTTGCACTATTGTATGTATGACTGACTGACTATCTATCTATCTGTCTGATGTCTGTTGGTTATGCTGTAATGTTTGATGATGTTGATGATGGTGAATGGAGATGGAATGATTGGTTTGATTTGATGTTGTTTTTTTTTTAATGAACGAACAACAACAATAACAACAAGTAGAAAATTTAAATAATGTATATTTCTGTGTAATAAAATATAAAAAAGGTATAATTTCAAAACAAATACAAATAATTGAAATATATAAAAACAAACAACAACAACAACAACAGGTAACACATACACACATTGACATTGACATCTTTCATTATTATTTTTTATTTGTTATTAATAAAACATGCCTAAATAACCTATAGCTGGAGATATCTTATCTCATCTCATACATTTTTGATGAAGTTAACATCCTAGTTAACCACAGCCACCACCAAACAAACACACACAACACAACGACACACCAAAAATAATATGATGACAAAAATACTTTAATATACATGTATATTTATAAATATTATTTTACAATATTGCTGATGATGTCTGGTAGGTCGTTTACTGATAATAAACTAAACAAAGCAAAACAAAACAAAAACACTACTATTCTATTTTAATTCAAGAAAAAACGGGAGAAAAAAGAGATAAACACACAGACACAGAAACCAACACACAAATAAACACACATAAATACATTAACACATACAACCACTACTACTACTACTACCACCACACAAATCACAGTAGAATCACAGAGATTCTTTTAAAAGAGAATAGGAGGAGGTGTTTCTTTCAGGAAAGGAAATTATCATTATTAAAAGGTTGTGTGTGTGATGCTTTTGTTAGTGAATCGATATCGATTAATACAGAAACTAAACTGCATTTTCAACTAAAAACAAAAAGTTATTAAAGTACAACTAAAAACAACTAAATCGAAATGCAATTGATATAAAGAGGGAATAAAACTTTAAAAATAGTTTGAATTTTCTCTTTAATTAAAAGAATAAATTTAAAATGACTTTTTTGTTTTAATCACAATATTAATGATTATTACCATTTCTGATATCCAATGCTTTTTTGTTTCTTTTGTTTATTGTTATTGTTATCTTATTGTAATAATAATCGTTATGATCTAAAATCTAAGTCATATGTATGTAAAAATATGAAATTTAACATATAGTAATAATACAATATTGTTAACTATCTTTTCTCTCTCTTATTTCTGTCAACTTCGTTTTGTTTAATAAATAATAAGTAAATAAATAGTTTTCGATTTGATTTGAGGAGTTAACTTTAAAAACCCCTCTTGAGGATAATAAACCAAAAAAAATACCCAATAGATATTGTTGATCATAATGAGATTTGGGGTTTTGTTTGAAAAAAACATCAACTCTTCTCCGAAAAAACATTTTTAAGATTTTTTTGATTGATTTGCTGAAATATAACAAAAATGAGAAATGTCTTTTTTTGACTCTGTTTCAATTACCATTTTCAAAAACAAGATCGATAATTTATTTATGAATTTTTTAAATATTCATAATTAAATTTTATTGATTTATCAAAAAAAAAAAAAACTTTAAATCTTAATTTCTATTCTTGAACTATTTATTATTCTATTTATATATATAAATAATTCTTTTTTTTTTATTTTTTAATTTGCTAATACAACATTCAATTATTTATTTTTTAAATATTTTTTTATGTTTGATTTATTTTTTTTTGACAGTCTTATCAGTTTATTTGACAAATTGATTTTGGGTTGTGAAAGAGTGATGTATTAATTCTAATTTGTAAAATATTTCTTTTCACACATATGTATTATCATCATCAGCATCATCAATTTTATTTTCAATTCAATTTACATAAAAAAAAAAGAGACAGATGTGGTTGTAGAAGATTACTAGTATTGGTATTTATAATAGTACATAGTCTGGATGGTGTATATGCTTTTTGAAATATAAAAAAAATTAGAATTTGGTTAAAGTAAATATATTTTAATAAAAACAAAAAGAATTTTGATATCAAAATTAAATCGTATGAGATAGTAGTGCTAGAGATAGATAATACAAAAAGAGAGTTGATTGATTTTTTTCAATTCATAAATACAGTCATTTTATTGAACAATATCATATCTATTTCTGAATTGATTTATCTGATTTGATAGTCATATTAATAAACAAGTGAGTTTTTTTTTGTTTTTTGTTTTAATCAATGCAATCAATACCTGCATATCATTTATCTGTTTAAATATTTGAAGTGAATTTTTTGGGAGTTACTTTTGTGGGTGAGATAAATAGATGTAGTGATTTATTAGTTTTTGATTTGATGAAATATATTCAAAGATTTATTTTTTTGTAATTTAATTATTTGTATTAAATTTGATTATATAAATATCTTGTGTTGTCAAACAATTTCTTTTTAATGGTTAATTAAAGAATAATATAAAAATACAGAAATTAAATTAAATATAAACTTTATTTAATTAAATATCAATAATGTTTTTTTTTGCAATAATATTTTTAATTGTTTTTTTTATTTTAGAAAAAACATACATGTTGATTATTTTTTGGGTAGTTTTAAAAGTTTGTTTGAATTTTGAAGTTGAATTAATTATTGTGATTGAGTAGCCCAGTTTCCAGCCACTTCTTGAATTGGAGTGTGTTGTTTCTTTGCACTCTTTTTAAAGGTGAATAGACTCTGTTTCTTTTTCATCTTTTTAAAGTCATAGGAATCCATTGCTGGAGAAGCTGTAGTTGGCGAAGATATACTGTAGTTTGGCATGGGTGACATTGGTGAGTTGGTTGGTGAAGAAGTTGCGGAGGCGCCGCTTCTGGTGCTCGGACTTTCCATCATCGACATCATCGAGGGTGATGAGGTGTTGGCTTTCTTGTAGTTGAGTGGGCTCGATGTTGGCGAAGAACGGAATCCCCAGCTTGTCTTGGAGCGTTGTGGTGCTTCACGTGGCGCCTTCAGGGCTTCGATCTGCTGTTGGAACATGAATGCTTTCTCTGACATCTCGCGCTCCAATCGCTGAATGTTGAGATCACGCTCGTCAAGCGCGTTCTCCATCAGCTTCATCTGTGAGCGCAATCTATTGATTTTCTGGCGTTCCTCAGTCATCACCTTGTCTTTGGATTTCTTTTGTGACTTTTTCTTCTGTCCTTCGTAGTCGATGTGAGCATCGTCTTCATCCCATTGGAGATGTAGTAACAGTTCGTCACGTTCATTCAATATTTTTCGAGTGGATTGCAATTCACTCTTAATATATTCCAACTCCTTCTCGAGGTATTTATTCTTTTCTGCTAAAGCGTCGCCATCCATTGGCACTTGTGCTTTAGGAAGTGTGATTGGTGTTTCCATCATTGTAGTCATTTAATTGATTATTATTGAGGTAGGATGATTGAGATTATTATCTTCTAAAGATTAATTATTAAAATTAGCAATTCAATTCAATTCAATTGAATAGTTAGAAATTTTGAAAACAAATATTATTATTATTTCAAAAATAACAATTTTGGAATGAAATGATATTATTGTACAAAAGAGATTTGAAACCAACTACCAAAAATAAATTAAATATTTGGATATTGATTGTTGATGTCAATTTGATTGTATTATTACTAATTTATTATTACTATAAATATTTTATAGATATTTAGTTTAGAGGTAATGATGATTATTTTATTGATGATGCGGATGATGTTAAATATTTATAATACAATTGATTGTGTTGTTGGTGAATTGTTTGTTTATTAATAGATAGATATAAAACTAGCTTGTTAAGATATTTAATATTTAGTTTAATAATAAATAAATGAATAATAATATTTAAAAAAGGGAGATTATCAAATCTTTGTTCGCCAAGGTTTTATGGATAGATTGTTTTAAAACTGAAATTTTAACAATTGATTATTGAGCAGTCACTTTAATTAATAATAACAACAACAGCAATATTGTTATTTCAATTGTATATACAATTGATAGATTATGTAAAGAAATTACAAAAACAATGCAACGTTGGTGATAAAAATTTGAAATTATTTTAATACAGCACACACTTGCAAAAGAATAGAATAGATATATTATCGTTTATCTCTCGACTATTACTAATTCTTTACTTATTAAGGTCGGATATTTATAAGTTAGAGAGAGGGAGACAATCAATTATCAATTAAATCCAGTGTGGAGTTGAGAGTGTGATGGCGTTGGTGCTGGTGTGCAGTGGAATTTTAAAAGTGACAATAGATAAGTGATTATGATTATTATTATGATGATGATGATGATTATTAAAGTAATTAACTATAGAATACATAAAAATAGATAACAACAACAAAAAAACAAATAAATAAATAAATAAATAAATAAATATATCTAAAGTAATAGAGGAAGGAGATGGCAATATAATAATAACTTTTCAAATTGATGATGGATTTTTTTTTTTTTTATTGTTGGTTTGGTTGATGAGCTGAATAATCACATACTGTCCGCTGTTATTATTTGAAATCTTTGGAATGATTGTTTGTTTGTTTGATTGTATAGGTAGGGAAGTTTGTTAAAGTGTAGAGTATATATTTAAGTTTCCCCTCTATATCTATTTGTTATCAACAATTATCAATCAAACACTTATTTACCTTTTTATTATTTGCTGATTTGTTTTGTATTATATTATATTATATTGTTTTTTTTTCTTTAAAGCACTAACACCATGGTGTATTTATTTAAAGTTTATTTGGTGTTAATTGTTTATATATATATTGATTAGTTATAAAACAACAACAACAAAACAACAACAACACCAGAACAACAAAGATAACTTTTAGATTTTAAAAGGATACCAACCTAATGGTTGTAGTCATAGTATGTTTCAGATAATTAATGAATGAAATTAAATATGAATGAAAACAATACTATTTATAATATTATTTAACTGAGTACAATAATGATAATAATAATAAATATTTAAATAATCAAAAAAGATATGCAATTCATACAATGCTAACTGTGTTTGTTTGTTTTGTTTGTTGGTATTTAATTATTTTTGAAGAATAACTCCAATAGCACCAGTTACCTGAATTTCGACCTCTTGACAATAAAAAGAGTGAGAGTGAGAGATAGAGAAAAAGGATAAATATTTGATGTTGTTGTTGCTGTTATTTACTCGTGTCAAACACTATCGATCAATCAATAAGTACTATTGTTTTATGATAATTCTAAACAAAAGTTATAAATATACTTTATTTATGCTAATCAAAAACAACACACACTTGCATGACATATTAAAAATATATATATATATTTCCCCCACTTCAAACAAGTGGGTTTTTTCTCAACAGGTGGTACTGATACATTGTATGTTTTTATTTTTTTAATAATTATGTGTGTGTGTTTGTATGTATGTGTGAATGATATGTGTGAACTAAAACAACACTGAAATAAAAATTATTTTTTTGTGGTGTCTTTTGTTGTGTGTTTTAATAATTATTTAAGTTTTGCATCGATGAGTGATTGTTTGATTGATTGATTGATTGGAGTGCACAATATGAAGAGGTATATGCATATGCTTGGGTTCACCTTTTTATTTTAGTCTTTGAAATAATTATTTAGGTCACTTTATTTTTTTCAAATAATTTTTAATATAGTGAAAAGATTAATTTTGTATAAAATTAGAATGAACACATTTTTGGGGCAACTCAGAGTACTCTATTATTTAAAACCGATTAGTAAGGCAAACCACCTCACTGAAATATTATTTTAAAGTGGAGGGTACTTTATGAGCTGTAGGTTGTTCAATAGCAAAAGTAATCGTTTGTTTATCTTGTTAACAAAATTAATTAAAAATAATAATAAAGAGAAATTAAGGAAATAGTTTATCGATTGACTATTTTTGATGGATCGATTATCTAATCAATAGTCTCCATACTGCTAAAATGATCACAATGATCATAGTCTATAACAAAAATTATAAAATAATTCGGAAAATAAATATGCCCGATATAACATTTATTTCTATATTTATAAATAGAATTTATTTGACCATTGAACAAAATGTACTAACAATACATAAATTTATGTAAAGTTATATTTTATAATAATAAATGAAGTCTACACTATTTTTTAAAATTATATTATTATTTAGGAAATTTTCCTAAATTCCAAGTACTTACAATCTAAAAATATATATTTATTTGAATATTATTTAAAAGGGGAGGAGGGTAGAAAAATGTTGAAAAAGGAATCTAAAATACTAATATTTATTTATATACTCTTATAATTTTTTATTTGAAAAGAAAAATAGTCTTTGTTCGTAACCATAAGACAGTTGAAATGGAATAGATGATTGTTATATTTTCAATATTGCTGGAATTGATGGAATTGATTGTTGTTGTATATATTGATTAAAAAATATTTATAAATTAAGAATTACAAAACAAACAAAAATATTGAGAATTAGATGTTAAATAAAAAAAAAAAGTAAAGTAAGTTGTGTGTGTGGTATGATATTGATCATTAGAGTGGTAGGTATATAATTTTTTCGACAAAAATAGTAACTACATATATATATAAATATGATCATATCATTTTTAATTATATTTAACACATATAACTCATATATGTATATTAAATTTTTACTCAATACGATAACACACTAGATGACTATCAGAGCAGATAAGGATAAAAATAAATTTAATATGTATTAGATTTAATAAATTGATTTGATTGGATTTTAGTTTGGTGGTTATCGAAAGTAATCAGAATTGTGAATTGTAAAAGGTAATATATTTTATTGATATCCTATTACTTTAGAAATTATATACGCATATACAAAGTGAATGGATGGCCGAAATATATTTGTTTGATTTGTTATTTTATTATTGTGCTGTTATTTATTGTTATTGCCTCCGCGAGGTATTAACAATAGTCAATCATTTTAATTACAATATTAAATAGATATTTACTTATTTCGATCTTCCAACTTGTATTATTATTATTACATTCGATCATCAAGCAAACACAAGTGTGTTAGAAATGGTATTCTTTGTTTTGGTACTACCCTCAAATACCTATTGTATCCTATTGGGTGGATATCTATCCAAAACAACTGTTGAACGTTGAACAAAATAAATAAATAACTTTTCACCTTTTCTTTCCACTTTAAGTTAAATTTTAAAACTAAAAATACAATTTTAATTAAATACAATCAATATTGTTGTATATTGTATCGTATTGTATAAAAAGATCTTTTTCGTATTTGTTAAAATAACCTTTATCCTCTCTTATTCTAGCTACTTTAATCATATTTGAAATCATAAAATAAACACTACTTTTACCTTTTATTTCTCTTTCAACTGGTCAATTAAACCGCGAATTAACGAAACACTAGTAATACAATTGTGCTATTGTATCATATCTACTACCATTGTATTCTTAAAGTTGTTGTGTTATTGTTATTGTTTATTTATTCTTATTATTGTCATGATATCATTTTTGAATTGTATTCGTTGTCATCCATATTTTTTATATAAAAATATAATTATAAGCTATGATGTAGATAGATCAATGATGATCTTAGATTGTAATTTTAATAAAATCATGAAATTAAAATTAAAATTTTTAAAAATATAAAAAAAAACAAAAATATTTCAATTTTATCACCTTATATACTAAAGAATATAGATATATTTTAATACCTGTATTCCTAGGTTTAAGAACACCGTCAAAGAGATAATGATTTTCATTGAATTTTTATTGGTCGTTTGAATCAAAAACCACCCATATATTTCATTAAATATTAATTTTTATTTGAAACACTTCATTTTTTTGCACAATAAATGAATATATCATAAAAAAAAAAAAAAAAAATATCAAAACACACAGTTCATTAACAATCAATTATCTATCTTTTTTTTCAAACATTATATTATACTTTTTTAATGAAAAATATCATTTATCAACACATTATATATTATTATTATTTATTGTAAAATCATAATTAAAATATTATTTATTTGATAGAATAGATAGATATCATAACAAGACAAAATCAAGATAGAAATATAAAGATAGTATTTAAATGTGACTGTTTTTTTTTTTTTAAATAATAATAAGAAGTTTAAAAAATAATAGTTAGTTAGTATTTATTTATTTATTTAATAGTTAGTTTAGTTTGTTGTTTATATTTTGTTAGATTCATCAAAATAATATCATTTGAAATATGTATAAGCTATTTGTGACGAATGATAGTTTGATTCTGAGAAAAGAAACACTACACGACAATGCATTGGCAATCAACAGAATCGATTCATCGTCAATGAGAATCATATCGAAATCAGAGGCAATGAACAGCACTCTCCGAGAAGCTCCTCGTTCATTTCACTGTTGTCTTGGAATATTTCGTGCTGATAGAGGTATGTTTTAATAAAGTTTATTTTTTATAACTTCAAGTTGTTGATTAATATTAATATATAATATTTCTAAATCCTGGATTTTCAAAAAAAAAAAAAAACAACAAACAAACAAACAATTTTTATTTATAATGATAATTACTCTTACTATTATTATGATAATTATAATTATAGAATCATATTTGGTTGTGGTTGAAGATGCAAGTATTGTTGGAACTATCAATCTTCCGGGATCGACAGAGCAGAATATCATTATGAAAATTAACAAGACCGACTTTATTAGTTTTTCGAGTGGACGTGGTGTGTCACCGATCGACACCGAAGAGCGTCCATACACACAGGTGATGAACTTGCTCAACACCGGTTACTTCTACTGGGTGAAATGGCCAATGAATCACTACTACGATATTACCCGAACTTTCCAAGACCAGGTGTGCGACCCGCGCTCCGATCTGCCCTTCTGGGATCGTATGGACAAGCGTTTCTACTGGAACAAATACCTACAGAAAGATTTCATTGCCTATCGGCTACTCGATTGGTGTTTCCCTATCATTCAGGGATACGTTTATCACACGGTACTCGGTGATATCGGTGGTCGTGCCACCGACTACACCATGGTGTCGCGACGATCTCGTTTCCGCGCGGGAACGCGTTTCAACACGCGTGGTGTCGACGACGATGGAAACGTCGCCAACTTTGTCGAAACCGAACAGATTGTCAATCTAAAGAACTTTGGCACGCTGTCGTTCCTGCAGCTGCGTGGATCGGTTCCGGTGTTCTGGAATCAATCGGCGCCGCAATTCAATGATTTCAAGGTGAATCTTTCGAATCTAAGCAAGATCGGTAAGATCTCCAAGAAGAAGATCACAGTGCTTCGTTCGACGGAATCAACAACGCCAGCTTTCCAATCGCATTTCAAAGAGATGCTTTCAAAGTATGGAACGGTGGTCGTTGTCAATCTCCTGTCAAAAGCGAAACAGGGCGAAGCGGATCTGGTCAAGGCGTACGAGGAACAAGTTGGAATTCTACATGCCGACACCGTCCAGTATATCGCATTCGATTTGAACGAGCAGGTAAAAGGCAACAAGATGGATTCACTCGATCGAATCATCGACCAGATTGACACTTCCAAAAAAGTAGGATACTTCTTTGTCACCAATCAACGTGTGGTGACACATCGCCAACTCGGAACGATCCGTACCAATTGCAAAGATTGTTTGGACAGAACAAACATCGTTCAGTCAAGAGTTGGTTGGCGCATGTTGGAACATCATTTGAAACATCTCAACATTCTGCAGCAACATCAGATACTGGAATCCTACACCTACATTTCACAGCAGTTGAAAACTATATGGGCAGACAATGGCGATGCTCTCTCGATGCAATACGCAGGCAGTGGATCGTTAAAGTCGACTTTGACACGTGAGGGCGACTATGGATTGATGGGAATGTTGGCCGACGGCAAAAAGACAGCACTTCGTTTCTATGTCAATAATTTCAAAGACACGGGAAGACAAGATGTTCTCGATCAACTGCTCGGTCTCAACCAAAAAAACACCAGTCCTACTCATCAACAGGGACACGACGATCGTATTAGAAAGCAGGTGCAAGAGCGTCAGGAAGAATACTCCAAGAAGGAATATCGTAATATTTTCATTGGCACCTACAATGTCGGTGGAGTTCCATCGAACCAATTTCAGCTCGACGAATGGCTGGCGCCACCTGCACCCTATCAAAGTCCGGACATGTACATCCTCGGAATCCAAGAGGTCGTCGAACTCACAGCTCAACAGATCATCGCAACCAACAGTCAGATAAAACAATGGGAAGATTCAATCAAGCGATCTCTAGAGAACATCAATCCCAAAGTCAAATATGTTCAGTTGCAATCGAATCAACTCGTTGGATTGATGATGTGTATTTATGTGCGCGAGGAACTGGTTCATCTCATCAGAGAGGTGCAAGCACAGATTATCAAGGTTGGACTACAAGGACTGGCAGGAAACAAAGGTGGAATCGGTGTGCGTCTGATGTTCTGCGACACCTCCTTCACATTTGTGACTGCTCATTTTGCCGCTGGTCACGGCAATGTCGAGGACCGTATCTCTGACTACCACGACATCAACAACCAGGCGAGATTCGGTCGTCAGAATCAATACACCATCTCCGACTCTGACTACTCCTTCTGGTTCGGCGACTTTAACTTTAGAATCAACAAGGACGACGATGAAATCAAGCGAATGATTCGAAAAGGCGATTTTGCTGCGCTGTACGACGATGACCAGCTCAAACAGAATCTCGAATCCAAGCGGGTGTTTGCCGGCTATCGTGAGGAGCAAATCACATTTGCACCGACCTATAAATACGATTTCAACTCGACGCAGTACGATACCAGTCCGAAGCAACGTGCTCCGGCATGGACAGACCGTGTGCTCTGGCGAAATAAGCAGGCACACGACGTGCGTCCGCTGCACTACAGTCGCAAAGAGATACTTACATCCGATCATCGTCCAGTGAGAATCTACTTCCAGCTACAGGTTCTCAAGGTTGACAAAGACAAGGAGAGACAGCTCCGTCATCAGCTCTACGAGGAGACACTCACCAGCAGCAGCACATCTAGCTCGAGCAGCACCAGCTCCAAAGACGGCGCCAACATGACAAGAAGCATGGTCACGCAACCAACGGCCAGAGTTCAACAACCGCCAGCTATTATCACCACCCAATCTGCACCGACCCTAAATGCTCCCACCCGACAAGCTCGACCAAACAGTGTAGGAGGACGTCCACTTCCAACCATTCCAACAGCAGCTAACAACAACCAACAACAACAAGAGATACTCCAAGAGATGTCACAGAAAAGAAGATTTACAGGTGGATCGGAATCATTACCTAAAATGAATAGTCAGAATGGTAGTAATAATAACTATAACATTGGTAGTAATGGTAGTAATAATAATCATTCACTTATGGATACACCTGTTAATCTTCATAAAGCAAATGACCATCCAACATTGGAACCGTCGCGCACACCTTCACCATATTCACATATCCAACAACAATCGAGCTACAATTCCTCACCCTATTCAAATTCACCAGGGAACAACAATCAACTCCAACAACATCTACAAAACATCTAATACATCTGATCATATTTCAGATGACATGTTTGCACAGATACAATTGTTTCCAGAGGCACCCGTTACCAACCACAGTACCACGCCATCACCACCACCACAACATCAACAACAACCGCAACAACAACCGCAACAACAACCGCAACAACAACCGCAACAACAACAACAACAACAACAACAACAACAGTTTATACAACAACAACAACAACAACAATATCTTCAATATCAACAACAACAACAATCTACAAATTTTCAGCCAATCATAACTCAACAACAATATCAACAACAACCGCAACAACAACAACAACAATATTATCCACCTATGGAACTGTTAAATCCAGTCCCCAATCCTACTATATTTATTCCACCCCAACAACAGTACTATCAACAACCACCCTATCAACAACAGTATCCCCCAGCATTAGATCCGAGAAATATCAATCCAAATTTGAATGTTCAACAACAGATGATGTTTGTGCAACAACCACAAGCTCAATACCCAGGGTCCATTTATAACAATTCGCAACAACCAAACAACCCAAATCATCATTCATTAATTTAATTTGATTTTTTTTTTTGTTTAAAAAAACAACAATAAATCTGCCCAGGTTGTTTTGCAAAAAAACCCAATAAAACAACTTAAAACAAAAAAATAAACAAAATTTTTCTTTTTTTTCGAAAATCGACAACAACATCATGACAACAAAAACGACGGATGGGGGTTGATCTAGAACTTCAAAGAAAAATCAATTTAAAAATATATGATAATAAAAATCGCAAAATTAGAAAATTATTGTCAAAATTCGAAAAATTATTATGTTTTCTTTTTTGACAACAATGAAATTTGGTGTTGATGCTTTATTTAAAATACATTGGAAGAATAGTAATTTTTGTTGTACTATTTTTTTTTAAATTTTTTGATGGTGATGTTCACAATGGGTAGAGTACCTCCTCATTTCATCTGAGTTATTCAGTCGAGGATTATACCTTGTACACCAATCAAACCAGGTTAATTTCTAAAATTCTTTAATTTTATATTTGAATTTAAATTGCCCAATTTTACCAATTTTAGTCTATGTTTGCCGGAGGGTGTTTGTATAAAATTCAATATCAGACATATAACATTTTCATTAGATTTATAAATATCAAGTTTAAACAACAAACAACAACCAAACCAATATCAAACAAAAAATAAATATAGGATGTCTTTATTTTATTAATTAATCATTATTATATATATTATCATTATTTATTAAATCATTATTTTTTTATTTTTTTTAATCTTTAAAACTTTGTATTTCTAACTAATTAACAATACTACATTTCAAATTACAAATAAATATATACATATTATATTTTTAATTATATATATTTAATATCTTTAGTTTATTATATTATCATTTTATAATAAGGAAGTAAAAAAAAATAAAGAAATAGAAGTAGTTAAAACATCCAACAACATTCTTCTTTCTCTTTCTTTTTCACGCAAAACCAAATACCATCCACAATCTTGTTTTTTCTGGGTAGGGTTGGGATATTTATTAAATCAAAAAAGTAAGTAGATTATCTTTTTGGAATTCTAGAACTGTGTGATTATTTGTGGATCTTATTTCTTCGTCGTAAAACCTTGGTTTGACCTTGTGGATTGATTTTTTTTTGTGATTTATAACTTACAGTCTATTTGTAAAAATAACATTTCCATTTATATGTTGTTGGCACGACCTATCATGATTTTTCATTCAATCCCAAAGTGTTTCAACATTGTTCTTGGTTGATCTTTTGTTTTTATTTTTATTTTTCCACCAAAAATTTCCATTGTTCTGTTCCAAACACAATAATCAACTTTGACATCTTAAATATATTCAAAGGATGCTATCAACATTTTGTTTTTATGATAATATTCTATTGGAATGGGAACAAGTGATATGAATAACTATGTTTACTTTTCAGCAAAGCCCTAGTTCCACCATTCCAAAAAAAAAACTAAAAAATTAAAAAATTTAAAAAAAAAATAAATGTTTTTATTAAAGTTCGTCATATAACCATGATCAGCAATTCATCACTATTTTGTTTGACACTTTCCTTTTGACACCACAACAGTAAAAAAAAAAATAATCAAAAACTAAAACCATCAAAAATTCCAAAAAAAAAATAAAAAAACAAACAACAACACCTCTATAAATCTTTATTGCAGTTCCTTTTGATTTTTTTTTCATGCGACCTCTCCTTGGGTGTGCCCAACTTGGGAAGAGTTGTTAGCAAGTCGATTTTGTTTTTTTTTGATTTTGGCTATTGTTAATCAATCACAATATTTATGGTTGTTTCACCTGAAATTTAATGGAAGAAGGAAATCGTTCCACTGCTTCAGCTTGTACTCATTCAAATTCTCACTGAATTCACAGCAAGCAGAGTAACAACAACAATTTGTGGTTGTTGTATTGTTTTTGTCTATTTTCTAATTATATATTTTGAATAATTTTTTTTTTTTTTTTTTTTAAACGACTTCACAACAACACAGCAACAACCAACAACAACAAAAAAACAACAACAACAACAACTGTTGTCTCATTTCCATTCTTCATATAATTTTGATAGGTTCTCTTATTTTCTTAACTTGAAATAGGAAATAGTATAAGAATAAAGACACATATAGTCAGCAGGGTTAAAACCCTATCACACACACACTCACCAAACTTGTCAGCATACAACAAACATACCCAACACCACTCCGTCCAACATTTCTTACTCTATTTCATATTCATTATTTATTTGATCACGCCACCACTTTTACTAAAAAAAAAAAAAATAACACAAAAAAAAGAAAATAAAAAAAAACCATACATAACACATATAAACACAATTTGATCAACAAAAAAAAAACCGATAATTTCTGGAATATCACTGTCCACTTCATTAATTAGGTGTTTGTCCACATACCAGATACCTATCATCAAACCAGTTTAAATTATCTTTCCACGGGTACCACCCCCACCCACCCACTCACCACCTCCACCACCAATTTAAATATATTGATAACATCCCACCCACTCAATCCTCTTTATATATATATCTTCCTGTTGTCTGTCAGTGCGTGTGTCGTGTGTATGTCTGTTAAAGTAGTAGTACAAGAGATATTTAGTTATAATATATTAAAAATATATTTATAATATAATATTGAAATTTTCAATTTGACTGATCAACCTATCGATCGATTTGATTAGGTGTGTAGACCAAAATAAATGTGCATTATAAGTGCATTGACAGAGATAATCAAAATTGGTCGCCAATTCATAAAGTTAGATAAATAATAATAGAAACTTTACTAAAATTTTTAATAATATGGAAGGAAAGGTCAACAACTCTAATTGTTCTCAAGGGATGAACCAACAACAACAACATCAACAACCGCAACAACAACAACAACTGCAACAACAACCGCAACAACAACAACAACAACAACCAAGAGCTGTTGATCAAACAACCTCATACACACCGGTTGTTTTATCCAAAGAAGAATCACAAGATAACCAATTACCAATTGACACAACAAATAATGAAGATCCAACCACTCCTGAAATTATTGAATTAAATTACAATGACATTAACAACAATAATAACAACAACAACGACAACGATAATGACAACGACAACGACGACAATTATGACAGTACAACAGAAACAGATATAATGATGGATCCGAACAAAAAATCTGGAAAGATATTCGTTGGTGGATTAACAAAATCAACCTCTAGTGGTAAGTTAAGTTTAGAATAATTATTCTATCAGTACAATTTTTATTAATTTATATTTTATTATCATCATACTATTCAAATACCACAGATAAATTAAAGAAATACTTTTCAGAGTTTGGTGAAGTTCAAGATTCATTGGTTATTAAAAGTAATGAGAAAACGGTGAAGAGTAGAGGATTTGGATTTGTGACTTTCAAACATCCAGATGTAATAGATAAAATACTTACAATTGAGCATGTTATTGATGGAAAACAAGTATGTTTATTTGATCATCTTCTTTATTTTTGTTTATGATTTATTTATTTATTTATTTATTATTTTTTTAAAAAAAAGGTTGAAATCAAGAGAGCTATACCAAAAGGAGGATATAATTGATGAGACGCCAAAGCAAAATTATTTATAGGTGGATTGCCCAAGAATCTGTCACTCACCACATTTAAGGAATATTTTCTTGCATATGGTGAGATATCCGACTGCAAACTGCTACTGGAAAAGAATGGAGTCGGAAAGGGATTTGGTTTCATCAGTTTCAAAGAGGAGTCTGTACACAACTATGTTTTGAACGAACAAAAGCATGTTATTGCAGGCAAGAAAGTCGATGTCAGGTTAGCTGACAGCAAGAAATCAAAGACCTCAACCACAACAACACCCACCAATCCACTCAAAAGTTCAACTTCATCACTCAGCGGCAGCTCTTCTTCAATATTGACAAGCCCTCTACAACAAACATTTATCTCAACATTGACAAGTCCAACACCACCCAGTTCCCAATCTTCTTCGACCTCAACATCAAGTAATTTTAGCAGTGGTAGCAGTAACAATAACAACAGCAACAACAACAGTAACAGTAATAATAATAATAACAATACATCAACTCAAACTTTATCAAGTTCCACGAACAATTCATCCCATATGAATAATAATAATCAATCTATCAATAATAACAGCAATAGCAATAGCAATACAGTCAATACATCTACTACCACTAATTTTCATTCAACACCAACTCAACAACATCAAAATGTGCATTCACAATCGAGACAGTCAGCACAAGCCAATCAATCAGCATCACTTTCACCACCATATACATTGCAACCGATTTTATCTCCACCGCACCATATACCCATGGATTCTACCAATACCAATCAATACATTGGCCTTTACCCCAATCAAAATCCAGAATTATATTACTATCACGATAGTCGATCGCCAACAGGCAATATATATCAGCCTCTATCAAATCATATCATGATGGTCCCATTTGTATATCCACCACATCCCTATTATGCTACACCTCCACCTCAAAATCAATATCATTCGAGTAAATATAATACACAACAACAACATTATCAGTGTAAGTATTTTATTTTAAAAAACAAAACAAAATACTTTCAATCTGTCCAACTATTTTTCTAGGAAATTAATTTTACTTACTTATTATCATATAAAACAAAAACAACTCTCTATTAGTGAGCTATTCTCCAAACATATACGCTAACAGGTTTTATGGCCAACCAACACCAAGATATTATTATACTGGCTATGGATACGCAGATGAATTAACTGCCAATGATCCAAGCCAACAACTTCAAACTACACCAATTCCACAGCAACAACAACAACAACAACCATCACCACATCATCAACATCAAAAACCCAACAACTCGATTCACCAATCGATCAGTCAAAAATCACCGTTATTACCACCAGTTTCGCCTAAAAAGCCACACTCTCCAAAAACACAAATAGCCAACAATCACAACCATAGTAGGCAGGAAAAAGAAGCTATTTTATCTTCGCCATCCTCCAACTCAACATCTTCTCCAATTTCTTCACCTTCACCGATTTCAACACCAATCAAACATTCACCACACAAACCACGAGCCAACAATAATAATAATATTACCACCACCAACAACAACAACAACAAACACCAATCATCACCAACCTCAAACCTCTCCGATTCAAATGATTCCTTTAGAAAGGCATCAGATTAATAACTATATATATATATATTTCAACTCTTCTTTTTTTCTTCTTTTCTTTTCTTTTGTTAATACAATCTTGTTTATTTCCTAATTTAATGTTTATAATATAATATCATAATCTAGATTATTAACTAATACTAGTTAATAATAATAATATCTCTAACATTTCACACTACTCATTTCTGAAAGAGCAAACTAGTTGTTATCTTTCACCAATCCTTTATATAAATCACTAGGATTATATAATTAAACAACTATCAATCAAATTACCACTCACCCAAAACATAACCACTCCACTATACTCAATAATATTATTCTTTAGATCAGATATATAAACTCAAACCAACAAATTTACTCCATTTGAACTAGTTATCAAATATCCTTCTTCCAAGCAACGGTTATTAGGTAGTAGACTCACACTCCTTTGTTGTATGTGAATCTAATCTAATCCAATGGCCTCTTCCTTTTTCGGAATGAATCGAATCCAAAAGGTTGAAGTAACAGATCTATAGAATATAATATACGTACCATTCAAAACAACTACAACAAAAACAACAATCCACTTACCATCTCATTCTATTTATTATAAACAAAACCCAATCATATGATTCCAATCTATTATAATAGAAATTCAACTCTATCTCACACAAACCCAACAAAATAATATTACAATGTAATCAACGAATCCAAATAGTTATGTTTTTTTCAACTTGGATTCATTCTAGTTATTCAATAACAGTTAATCATTCATCAACCAGCAATGTTATAATTTGATGGGTATAGCAGAAATACCAAACTAAATAACCAACAAACCAAAACAAACCAAAGAAACCAAAAAAACAATCAACACCAGTTCAATCATAACGCTGTAAAAGAATAATAATTAATAATAATTTAAATAATAATAATCAACCAACTGTTTTTTTATCCGATAATTACATATCAACGATTATTATCATTATTATTATTATTATAACCAGTTCCTAGAGACAGCTTTTTAGAATTCTAGTTAGACTCAGCATTCATACCATTTCGAAAGCATACAACAACATTTACAGCCAACCACAACAACAACAACCATCAACACTTCTGGACTCTTTAGTAAGAGTAAAATGAATGGCCCCTCGAGGTGTGTCTTGCCAGACCTGACTTTGCTTTGATCAATTACCATTACCATTTCTATAATTGTCGAAACAAATCCATAACCTCAGCAATCATCTGTAAACAACTCCACAGCCACCAGAACTCCACCACCTCGCAAACCAACAACAATAATAAAATTTACAAAAATCCAAACTCTTTTATTTTTCAATTGGACAATCAGTTCAATTGAACAGAGCTTGAATATTAATAAGTAATCATTCATTTTAATCTATTCTTTCTTTTTTTCTTGTTAGAGCAATAGTTTCATTAAAGTTGGTGACCAACAACACTTTACAAATGTAATAAATGATTTGTAAAATAATTATAAATCTAAATCTTAAAGCATGTTTGTTCTGACTATCTATATATATATTATTTTTATTTCTTAAGACCTGCTTTAGCACCAGTATCTTTCTTCTTTGTGACGGGTGTCAAAATCTCCTCCAATGAAGTGTCTGGTGTTTTCTGCTTCTTGACTTCCTCTACTTTCAATGACTTCTTTTTCATCTCTATTGATTCTACAATTGCTGCTTGATCGAGATTCTTTGTGAAAATCGATTGTTCGAATCCGTTATCTAGATAATCATAGATGATTAGTTTTCATTCTATCGTCGACTGAGAATCTTACTTGTGAATGAGTATACCTACAATATTTCAATTTAATCTCTGGTTCACATTCATTCTCTTCACTGACGATCTGTACTTTACAATCTGGTGACAATGCTCTTACTCTTGCTGCTGTTGCCAAAGGTAAACACGATCTATATTTTTCATTATATAAATTAGTAACTAACTAACATTATTTTATTTCATTTCATTTTTCGAAAAGTTGCTATGATCATAATAATGGTTGATTAAAGAACTCATATCCATTTAATTAACCTTTTTTATCTACCTCTTATAGTTGTTGTTGTTGTTGTTGTTTTTGTGGTTGCTGTTATTGTTCATGATTAGATCTATTACCTTAAAGATTTATTTGTAAGACCATCTGGGTAGAACTTGAAAGTAATACTCTTTAAATTGCTTAATAGATTAAGTTTTTGTTTTGCTGACATATTATTATTAAATTAATCTAATTAAATATATACATATAAAAGGGACCTTTTTGTGAATATCTGATTATCTGATCAAAAAAAAAAAAAACAGATGAAAAAAAATTTCGTTTTTTTTTTTTTTTTTACCTTTTTTTGCTTAAAAAAATGAAGTCTTTGTCTGTAGGTATTTTGGTGAGGATTTATTTAATGATCCATGAAATTTATACAATTTATTAATATTTATTATGAAGTTGTCATCAAGAAAGCATAGAATTGAATATCGGGAAGTTGGGATGCTGAAATTGAATATTGGCTAACTCCATAGTTGTCGAGATTGACCGAGCAAATCTCGAGATTGAGTCCATCCTGACCGAAACTGACCATCGTGATATATCCATTGATTTCGTCGAATATAAATGGCATAATATCATCGTATGCATAGTTGTTCGGTTGTGGAATGGTGGCAAGTATATTGGTGGTGTTGCTGAACATATCCAACTCCAAGATATACGATGAACAATCGCCGTTGGCAGGTTGTAATCCAGCAAAGTACTTTGAGTTGTATAAATACATCGTAGTTCGGTAGTAACATTGATTGGAGACTGTATCAAGAGTAAGTGTTCTCGATGTCATATCACCTGTTAACGATTCATAGGTAACAATTACCATTTGGCCCCAGGAGTTCGGTGCATCATTCTGACCACCAAGGTAACAGGTATGAGTGGATTCATTATAAGATGATTGTACATATGATCCAGTTCCTGGTAATTCTATTAAATCTCTACAGAATAACAATCATGATAATTAGATGTTGTTTGTCACACATTAATAAGTAATAATCATGTTGACACTTACTCTATATGTTGATTAAAATCAAACTTTAACAACATGGGGTGACCAGTTGGTGCCTCTGCATTCAAATAAACAATATTGTTAAGTGAGTCATAGGATGCGATCTGTAGATCCCATGAATAATCGAGTTGTTCAAATCTTTTGTTAATCGATGATTTTTCAACCAAGGTATTACTCTGTGTTGTCAATGAAGAGATAAAAAGAAAGTTGGTTGATTTGTTAGTGTTTCTTCATTAATGGTTTTATAATGATATCTTTGTTTAATAAATACTTGTATGTTGTATGTCCAAATGATTGGAATGTAACTTTGACCGGCTTGAGTGATATTACCTCCATAGAGAAGATAGTCATCACCAATTCTCGTTCTAACAATACCATACAAAGCTGACAATTTACTTGGGAAAGGTATCTGTTGCTTCATGATTACCTCGCCATTCGTCATGTTAAACGCGTAATACATTCCATTTGAATCGAATACATTTAGTGTTGTTGGTTGTGACTATATTAGGTGGTGATGGTATATCGAACAATGAATACATTTAGTGTTGTTAGTGTACGGAATTGTTTAGCTTTTACTTTAGTTTTGGTGTATAGTAATTAACGTGTGTAGCTTAGCTTAGCTTAGCTTTATAAATACATACAGCAACCGATAAACCGGCAATATAAAGTAGCAGGAGTAACACAGTAATTTTATCATATCTCTGTATATTCATTGTTTTATTTTTTTGTGATTATGATCATAAATGAATGAGAGCATAGGTATTGATTCTTAATATAATTATTATCAAAAAGGAAGGTGGTGAAATTGGTTAGAAATCATGCATGAACGAATTAGAGATTGGGGAATGATTTTTGTTTGAGCAAACGGTTGTTTCATTCCAAATTATCTTTGGAAGAAAAACATGATGGTCTGTGTGTTGTTGATGGATAAGGTTAAATCGGAATAGATGAAAGAACTCAATTGTTTGAAAATTTTGAAAAAAAAACTGATAAATCATGATTTTGTTATTTCATTTTGATTGAAGATTGATGACAGAGATTGAAAAATGAAAAAATCTTCAAATGAGGGAATAGAGCTGCAAATGATTTTTATAAATTTGGTAAAATCACTGTGATATCTTGAATTTAATTTTAATATCTGAATTTGATCATCAACCACGTATTCATATTCGTCTGATGTATTTCTAGACGAGCGAAGGAATAAGTGTATATAAAGGGGGTGAGGGATGAGGTTGGTTCATCAAACAAAACATATCAACAACCTGTTCAGATAAGATCAATAAAATATGTTTAAATATATATTGATTATTTGTTTGTTTGTCCAACTCGGACAATCAGTTACATTTAACGAAATTATTGGATACAATGGTCTGGTAATGAGTTACTCTGCTTATTGTTTCAACTCATCGATCACTCAATGGGGGTGCCCAGCTTCTACATGTGGTAACATATTGACAAATGACTTCTTTGATCCACAGTGGTATCGTTTAGTTCAGGAATATACTGTATCTGACAGTCTTTTCTATATTGCCGTTCAACATAACACCTGTAAGATAAATATAAATAAAGTAAAATAAATATTTATTACTAACTTTATTTTTTTATTGTAAAGATTATTTGGTATTCAGAGGAACCGATAATAAAGTAAATGCATTAGAAGATGTAGATTTTGTTCATCAAGCTCAATTCCCAAAGGAATACTCTGGATCTGCTTCACCATTGGTTTCCAAAGGTTTCTATGATGCTTGGTATGGTAATTTGCTGATTGACCAATTGAGAAAACCAGTTTTAGAAGCTCTCACTTCTGCAGGATGTGGTCAATTCGGTACTTGTAATTTAATGATCTTCGGACATAGCTTTGGTGGTGCAATGGCAAGTATGTATATTTTGTTTTTTTTTAAAATAATATTTTTTTGATTTATCTTTCTGACCCTCCTATTTAATTATTTATAGCTCTTGCCGCTCTTGATTTTACCTACAACAACTATTATGAAAATATTGGTGTTTATACTTATGGTTCTCCAAGAGTCGGTAACCAAGATTTCGCTCAACTCTTTGATTCAAAGGTTGAGAATGCCATTAGAGTAGTTTACCTTGAAGATACTATTCCACATCTTCCATTACCTGCTTTTGATCTATGGGATTCCGATGCTACCTATTTGCATGTAAACACCGAAGTTTGGATTGACATTCCCAGCACAGATACAAGTGTATTCCCAACTTATGTAGTTTGTCCAGTAAATGAAGAACTCAATTGCTCGACTGGTAGTTCAGTTCCATGGACACAGTTTGATTCCGTTACATCGCTTATGGAAGACCACAGAGGTTACTTTAAGTACAATTTGGAAGTCTTTTGTCATGATTGGACACTCGATGATCTAACTGTCACACCAACTCCAATTCCATCGTCGTTCGACTACCCAGTTCTCGAACTTAATGTAACTAACAAATGGTATGCCGGTGGATTCAACTACTCAAATGTAGTCGGTACCATCAAGAACAATGGAACAGATGATATTGTTAATCCAGTCTGGACATCAACCCCAAACATCGTTCCAATTGGTATGTTCGGACTCACACCAACTGTAGTCAACGGTATCATTAACTGGCGTTTGTCACCAGCTGGTAGTTATACACAATTCATGCCAAGAGGATCTACCCTTACCTTTTCTTTCACAAGTAATACCACACAACCATGGACTTTTACAAGAATCAAATAAATTTCAATTGATTTCATTTAGTTAAACTAAAGTTCTTTGTGTTATTGAGATTTTTCTTTTTAATTATTTATTATAAGTTAATGTAAACTTGTGGTAGAGATTATATTATCTTTTTATTGATATTATAAAATATTTTTACTACTATTTGTTCTATTTTATTACTTACAATCTTAAAATTACAATAGTATTCATATCTTTTACATTGTTATTGATTCTATTATTTCGGAAATTAATGGCTGAATGAAGAGAATCTAAAAGAGTAGAAATAATAAAAAATGAAATTAAAGATAAAGAAAAAAAATCTTTTTTAATAATGTTAAAAAAAAATTGTGTAATTTCATTTTATGCCTCCCCAACTTTTGTGTGCATTTTGTAAAAATAATGCGAGAATACAAAAAAAAGCTGTACCTATACAATGAAATAACACATTTAATGAACTGATTGTAAGCTTACTCAGAACCCTGCACGATTAATGAGGGAGAAAAAACAATTTTTATATTGAAAAAATTATGCCTTTAGATTAAACTTAAAGTGATTCCAAGTGTGTTTTTGATAGTTAGGATTAAATCTCAAATGTATTCAAATTTCGAAAAACAAAATCATGATTTATTATTTCATTTTGATTGAAATTTGATCTAAATTGATGTTAGAGTTATAAAAAATCTTAAAATGAGGGATTGAGAGATTATTCCTTCTAATATCTGGAATTTTAAGATAAAAACAACTTATTCGTTTGATTTCTAGATGATGAGGGAATGGGTATATATAGAGATGAGGGAATGGGTATATAAAGAGCTCAGTGGTTTAAGGTTCAATCATATCAACTACCAACCCAACTATTATATTCAGATCAATAAAATATGTTAAAATATATATTAATTATTTGTTTGTTTGTCCAACTTGTTATTGGACAATCAGCTACCTTTGACCATACAATGGGATACAACGGTCTGGTAATGAGTTACTCTGCTTATTGTTTCAACTCATCGATTACTAAATGGGGGTGCCCAGCTTCTACTTGTGATAATAACACATTAACCGATGGCTTTTTTAAATACGATTTCAGTTTTGTTGATGAATATACTGTATCTGACAGTCTTTTCTATATTGCTATTCAAGAATCAACCTGTAAGAGATAAACTTATAAAAATTAATTTTATTTTATTTTTTTAATTAAATATTAACTAACTAAACTTTTATTTTTATTTTTATTAATTTTAATTTTAAGATTATTTGGTATTCAGAGGAACCGATAATAAAGTAAATGCATTCGAAGATTTTGATTTTCTTAGTCAAGCTCAATTCCCAAAGGATTCTGGATCAACCGCATTAGTTTCCAAAGGTTTCTATGATGCTTGGTATGGTAAATTATTTATTTTTAGTTTGAGAGACCAAGTACTACCTGCACTCAAGGCTGCTGGATGTCATCAATACTCTGATTGTAATTTAATGATTTTCGGACATAGTTTTGGTGGTGCAATGGCTAGTATGTATATTTGTATTTTTAAATATTTTGTTTTTATCTATCGTTTCTAACTTTTTTTTAATTAATTATTATAGCTCTTGCCGCTCTTGATTTCTCAATCAATAAATATTTTGGAAATATTGGTGTTTATACCTATGGTTCTCCAAGAGTCGGTAACCAAGAATTCGCAGAACTCTTTGATGCCAATGTTCCCAATTCCTTTAGAGTTGTATACCTTGAAGATACTATTCCACATCTTCCATTACCTGCTTTTGAGCTATTGGATTCCAATGCTACCTATTTGCATGTAAACACCGAAGTTTGGATTAACGAGTACAATTCCAATCCTTCTGAATACCCAGGTTTTGTTATTTGTCCAGAAAATGAACAACTCAATTGTTCGACTGGTAGCTTTGTTCAATGGACACAGTTTGATACTATTGATTCACTTATGGCTTACCACAGAAGTTACTTTGACTTCAATTTGGAAGTATTTTGTCATGATTGGACACTCGATGATCTAACTGTCACACCAACTCCAATTCCATCATCGTTCGACTACCCAGTTCTCGATCTAAATGTCACATCAAGATGGTATGCCGGTGGATACAACTACTCTAATGTAATCGGTACCTTCAAGAATAATGGCACAGAAGATATTGTAAATCCAGTTTGGAAATCTACCCCAAACATCGTACCAATTGCTGTGTTCGGTCTTACACACACTGTTGTTAACGATACCATTAACTGGCATTTGTCACCGGGTGGAAATTATACACACTTCATGGCAAAGGGTTCCTCTTATACATTTGCTTTCGCAAGTAATTCCACACAACCATATACTTTTACAAGAATCAAATAAAATTTGATTTCAATTGATTTCATTTATTTCATTATTCTATTAGTAAATTTGTTTATGTTATTGTGATTTTTTAATTTTATTTTAGGTTTATATAAATGTGATAGTAATATTATTTTTATTTATTTTATCTTTTTATTCAATTATTTATAAACTATTTTAAAAATTAATTATTACTTTTATTTGGTATTTTATAAAGGAAACAATATTATTATGATATTTAATTTTTGATATTTAATTTAAGAATTTGAAATAGAGATTAAAGAAAAAAAAAAAAGAGTTTAACTTTTAAAATTAGATTTTAGCTGGGAAAGTATATGTGTGGGTGATGATAATTAAGATTAAAAATTGTATTGACCAACTCAGCAGTCAGCAAATTTTTAAAAACCAATTTGAAATAATGGAACAGTTTCGAAAATGAAAAAAATCTACAAATGAGGGATTTAATCGTTAATTTGAATCATTAAATAAGAATTCTTTCCAATTTTTGGAATCTAGAGATAAAACCACTTCTACATCTTTTATCAATGAGGGAGGCAATAGGTATATAAAGGGCTGATTATTTGGTATTCAGAGGAACTGCTAATCATGTAAATGAATTGGAAGATTTAGATTTTATTCATCAAGCTCAATTCCCAAAGGATTCTGGAGAAACCGCATTAGTTTCCCAAGGTTTCTATGATGGAAAAGATATAATCTTTAAAGGATTGAGAGAACCAGTTATAAGCGCACTCAAGGCTGCTGGATGTTATCAATACAATGATTGTAAATTAATGATTGTCGGACATTGTTTTGGAGGTGTCTCTACCTATGGTTCTCCAAGAGTCGGTAACCAAGATTTTACAGAACTCTTTAAAAATCATGTTGCCAATTCCATTAGAGTTGTATACCTTGAAGATACTATTCCACATCTTCCATTACCTGCTTTTGATCTCTAGGGATCCGAGTTACCTATTTGCATGTAAACTCTGAAATTTGGATTTACCTTCCTTCCTCAGATCCAAACGTATTCCCAAGTTTTTAACTTTGTCCAGAAAATGAACAACTCAATTGTTCGACTGGTAGCCTTGTTCAATGGACACAATTTAATGTCCATTGATTAGGTTATGGCTGACCTCAGAGGTTACTTTGGCTACAATTTAGAAACCTTTTGTGATGAATGTAAACTCGATGATCCAACTATCACACCAACACAAATTCCATCATCGTTCGACTACCCAGTACTAGATCTAAACGTCGCATCAAGATGGAATGCCGGTGGATATAACTACTCCAATGTAATCGGTACCTTCAAGAATAATGGCACAGAAGATATTATTAATCCAGTCTGGACATCAACTCCAAACATCGTCCCAATTGGTATGTTCGGACTCACACATTCTGTAGTCAACGGTATCATTAACTGGCAATTGTCACCGGGTGGTAATTATAAACACGTCATACAAAGTGGATTTTCCCATAGCTTTGCTTTTACAAGCAACTCCAACCTTTTACATGAATCAAATAAAATTTGATTTCAATAGATTTCAATTGATTAATCTAACGCCTTAATCTTACTATTTATCAAATTTTTTTAATTGTTTCTAATTGTTACTTTATATGAATTTTACTATTATTTGTTATTGATCTAAAATGATCAACAGTTTTTGCTAATTTCAAGTTAACTTTTTTTTTTTCACAGTGACAGAAACTCTGTGTTGGATTCAAAAAATTGTTGGGTGACAATAAAAAATAACAATTTTTTAATCATTTCCCATATTAGATAAAACCACCCAACACCATAAGAATTAAATATTCAATTCCAAATTAAAATAATTCAAATTTAATGTTTTTGATTGACAGGAAAATTATTATTATCTTTATTTAATTTGTTAACTATTTTTAAAACTAAAAGCAATGAAAGAAGATATAAAGAATATATTGTTTAATAGTATAGTTAGAAATAAATATTTATTTAATAAGATTATAGATTTTGTTAAATATATTCATAGATCTGATTCTGCTAGATATCGTCGTCCATTGAGTGATCAACAGATTGTTGAGAGATGTTCGTTATCAGAGATGTTAAAACATGGTCGAGCAGATCTATTCTGTGAGAACATAGGCAGAATGTTGAACTTTTTAACAGTGGATTCAGTAGATTATCTGTTGTATTATGCTGTGATGAGTGGAAGTGTCAAAGCAGTAGGATCGTTACTTCTCAAAATCCCAGATGTTTTCAATGATTTGCGAATGCCTGAAAAAAAACAAAAAAGACTCATCTCCTACCTCATCAGATCCAATCATACAGAGATGATAAAGTTAATGTTGGATCGTACTCACTACTATACAATAGCCAATCAATTTCTTAGTTCATCATTGGCAACTTACAACGTTGAGATGTTCAAATTTATCATAGCATGGAGACAACAGCATGAAGACAACTACGAAAACAACAACACAACGAATAGAGAAAAAAATAAGACTCTATCTTCTCTCTTCAATAACGATCGATATGATCCTAGAAATATCCAATCATATTACAATGTTGAGTCACTCTACTTACTGGATGAATCAGAGTCAGCCATGGAGATTATACAACTGATACTCGACAACCACCGATTCTTCAATGAAAGTACTATCGGTGATATTATCACCTATTCATTTAAAACAGGTAATATAAAGTTGATAGATTATCTATTAGCTTGTAGCTTTAGAAATTGTAATCAATCAAAGATAGCAATCAATTATGCATGTAAACATGGTCTCAACATGGTTAAACTCTATATTGATAAGTTTTTATACGATAATACCGCAATTTCAACATCAACAATCAAAATGATCATCGAGCAAAACAACATGGAGTTACTTAAATACATGCTAGATCGCTATTATCGTGTACCTGACCCCATGTTAGCTCGCCATTATGATAAACCAGACTCCAATGAGGGCCTATTAATGGATAGACTTACACTTCAGAAAGCATTGAACTTGGACACACCGGAGATAGCACAGTATCTTTTATCTATTGAATGCCTAGATAAATACCCACTACCAAGTACATTTAGATACCAAGTCAAAGATATCAATATGTCTTTATTACCTTTGTGCGATTTATCATTGATAGATACTCTGTTGTCAACTAACAACATAGTAGATTGTATGCTTAGTGATCTCTATTCAAATGCCGCTTCAAACAACCGATTGGATATCATTCAATACTTTGAAGATAGAAAATCTACATATTCATTTGAAATCGATTATTCCTTAGGACTTATGGGAGCTACATTGTCAGAGAATAAAGAAATAGTAGTGTTCATTCTCCAACACAATCAGACCTACCAATTCAACTTTCCAGTACCGAGTCTTCTTCATTCCGATAGTTTCAATGTTGACAATTACTTGGAGATAGCAGAGTTGATTGCAATCACAGGAAACCATCTAAAATTCAATTCATTGGATCAGATCTTCAGAGATGGAATAGTCTATCGTTTTCCAGAGATCGTTAAAATTTTCTATATTCTTAAGGATCACAATCGAGTGACTAGGAATGTTGGCAATCCTATACTCTATGCGATAGAGAGTGGTCGGTCATTGGAGTTTGTAAAGCATCTCTATTCAATATCAGGACTTGAGAAGGGTGGTACTGAGGGATTGGCGTATGTCTGTGCCAGAGGTGATATGCCATTCGTAAAGTATCTAGTGGAAGAACAGAATGTTCAAGTCAGTAGACACCACATTCAGAGTGCTGTTGCACACAGACACATGGAAATCGCTACCTATCTTTTGGATAGATATGAAAATGCATCTATATATCTATTCGAATTAACAACATCAATCTTCCAAACTATTATTAATAACAACGATTTGGAAACATTCTCGATGTTTGCAAGACGCATTCCAGTTCATGATGATTTGATTTCCTCTAATCCCGAAACGATCAGATTCCTTCATGGAATTGGCAAACTACATCGGGATATCATCAACAAATTACTGAAAAAAAGAGATCAAGAGTTCGAAGCGATTAGAGTATCACTAGAGTTGACAAAAACCAGAGAACCAATCACCGACTTCTACAGTCTTAGAAATGCAGTGAAATACAATCACAATGAATCATTAAAGTTACTGGATGAACATCGTTTACTTAAACAAAGTGACATCGATCTTAAATTAGCGATAAGATATGGTCATATCAAAATAATTGAACATTTTCAATCTTTTATTCAAAAAAATTGTATTATTCAATAAAGAAAGATTAGTTATTTAAATAACTAATCTTTCTTTTATTTTTATCTTACATATGTTTATTTATTATCAAGAAGTTTAAAATGTTTATAAACCTTTGTAATTATTACATAGATTGAGTATCAGAGGTTGGTGGGTTCTCTTGCAAACCTGATTTTGGCATAGTTTCTGTGGTGGAAATAGGTAATCTGTTTTGAACAAAAGGACTCGATACATCAGAGGTTTGACAACGAGTCAATATGATAGTGTTGGTATAGTACGTGGGCAGTTGAGATGATCATTATTAATGGTGGTTCTCTAGTAGGTTTGTTGGTACATTGGTTTGTTTTGGTAGCTCGATTTCTCTTCTCACATTAACTAAGATCAAAATCATTTAGATGTACAGAAGGAGTAATTTTTCTTTTGGAGTTTACCTTAAAAAAAATGATGATGGGTATGATTCTTCTGTTTCATTATAATAATACTAATATTGATTTTTTTTTTTGTTTTGATATTATCTATCTATCTATTGTTAATTAACAAAATATTTTAGATTGGTTGCAAGCATTGGTATTATCGTATGACGATGAGATTATGTTGAGTGGTTGTTCATCGAGTGGCATTTTAATGATAATGATAACAATAATGATCATAATAGTGATAGTGGTATTGATAATGATAACTATACCACATATTGAAGGTGATCTGGATTAGTGAAATATTTAATTTAAATCGAAAAAAACCAAGTCACTAAGTTATTTACATAAAACGCAAACAATCATTGTGCTTAGAGAATCATGTTGTTCATGTTGTATTAATCATAGGATAAAAAAAAATAGAAAATTTAAAATTAAAAAAAAATAAAAAATAAAAATAAAGAAGTAGAAAAAAAAAAAAGAGAAATTTGCTCAATGTTGTTATTATTAATATCATGTGGAGCATAGATAATTGTGTTGAAATAAAAAACACACAGTTTTATAACCAAAGTCTTATAAAATTGAGATTAACAAAATTAAATAAAATAGAAAAAAAAAAAAACTCAAAAAAAAACTTTCGTAAGATATTTAGTATTATTAATTTGTTATTTATTTATTTAGAAAAAGAAAAAGAAGAAGAAAATAGAAGTTATTTATATCTTTTTTTATGAATTTATTTATTAATTGTTCTCAATACAAGTAGTTTGATTTATATATTTATTTAAGAAACTTTATGAAAGTTTAGTTTTGAGTATATTCAAAGAATAGAATAGAATAGAATAGAACAGAATAGAATAGATAAAGAGCAAAGACAGATATAGATATAGTATAAAAGGAAAAACAAGATGTTGTCAAGATCAACATTGATACTACTTTTATTAATAAGTAGTATGAGCCATGTTTATATAGTGAATGCAGACTTCTTCTCTGATTTTTGGAAACCTGTATTCACAAAGGCACCAAAGTTTGCAAACTCTCAATTATATACAATAAACGATATAGGTCTTCAAGGCTATGATGGTAAAATCATGGCATTTGGTGATTTTAATGCTGATAAATAGTAAGTTATTCTTTTTTGTGTTTTTATACTATTTTTATTTAATAAAGAGCATAAACTAACGTTATAATTATATAAAACTTACTATTATTATTATTATTATTATTATTATTTGTAGTTTAGATACATTCTTTGTTTACTCTAATAGATCGACATTACAGATATTCCTTTGGGATGTTAAAGAGTGGCGGTACGAACCGTCCGATGTTATCATTACACTCGACGATGGAATGACCATCGACAATGTAATCCCCGGTGATTTCACCTACGATGGACTGTTGGATATCGTTATACAGGGTGGGCTGTACTCGAAGAACGTGAGTGATGTGCCATTCTTGTATCTCTACAAGGGTGATCTCGACCGAGTGGAACTACCACTCAAGTTGGCTGCCGCCTACGACCAGGTGTTGGCGCTCGATTGCAATGGCGATCTACGTATCGATTTGCTCGGTGTCGACTCCAAAGGAGCTCGAACACTCTGGATCAATCAGGAGAACGACTACTTCACCACCTATCAACAGGGTTCCAGCCAGATCCTACAGAACATCTCATCGCCACACTCCAACTCGTTTGTCGATCTCAACGGTGATTGTCTGGCAGACATGTTCATCACCAGTGGATCCAGTAAAGACGACACTCTCACCGGTGAGATTTGGTTGAACGATAAATCCAACGGTTACAATTTCGATTCGAGAACATTCCCACTACCAAGAGGTGCTGGTCAAATTACTTTTGCTGATTTTGGTATGTTTAGATGATTCATTTATTATTATACATTTTAGCGTAGTTTATCTAACTTGTTATTGCGCTATTATTTTTATAGATGGTGATGGTGATTTAGATATGTTATATCCAGTTTGTTGGCCACCTGAAAATTGTTCAGAGGTCAACGATTTGTATTTAGTTTACAACTCACAGAAACCAGTTTGTGCAAGTTCATTATTCCCCAAGGCAAATTGTCGTGCACAAAACGCTTTATGTCAAGCCGATCCAAACTTTTCATTCTCCAATACAACAGGTGCAGATGGAGTAAGATTTAAAAAAAAAAAAACAAAACTTTATAACCAACTTTGCTAACCTATTGTTTATTATTATTATTGTTTTAGACAACTTTAATCATTCCAAAAGAAGCATTCGGCGGATATTTATTTTATTTCAATTTATCTGTAGGAATTTCAAATATTATACATTATGGTGATTACAATATCGATGGATATCCAGATATCATAGTTGCACTCTACAATCCAAATAATTTGAGTGAACCAACTCACGTTGAGCTGTGGGAGAATGTTGGTTGCAACGCTGATATCTGTCCAAAGGGACAAGGAGGAAGAACTTTTGTCAAGGCAACCAGTGGTACCGATGCTCTTACATCTATACCCTACGCTTACACTGCCAGTTTCATCGACTATGGTGAGAATGGAATTGCTGACATTATCGTCCAGTCACGTTATCCCAATGGCAGTCACTCAGTACAGGCAGTCTATAACAATTTCTACAACGATGCTTTCTTTTTCAAGACACTCGGTCTCAATGGTGTGTGTACCACCATGTGTCCAGGTCACGTCAAATTCCCAGATCCAAAACCATACGGTGTCAACTTCCCAGGTGGCACTTTCAAGTTTATTTTCAGTGACATGTCTGGTACCACTCACATTCAGATTGGTGCACAACTCTCACAGTCTGCCTACATGTCGCTACAGACACCATACAACTTCTTTGGATTGGGTCGTACCTCCAATTATATCGACCAACTCTTCTATGGTATTCCACTGAACCAGACCGTTCACTACAACAGTTGGGTAGGAACTATTCCAAACTCACAGATCGTGGCCATCCCCTATAAACCATCCAACCCAACTTCATGGACACTCGAACTGTTTATCAATCCAAGTGGTATATTTTTCTGGGTCATGTTGGCATTTATTGTAGTTTTAATTTTCTTCTCTGGTGTATCATTATTTTTATGGAAGAGAGAAAAGAAACAAGACGAAAAACTTAAACAAGAACAAGCACATTTATTCTCTTTCAACGCACTGTAGATTATTTGTATTAAAAATAAAATATTATTATTTCTCAACCAAAAAAAAAAAAAGTACAGATTTTTGAATCATTCTGAGAAATAAGAACAATAGTTTGAAAACAATGAGATTGGTCCATTTTTGGAGTGACTACTACCTTTTCTACCTATTATCGCATATGAATCGGTAAATAGATATCATATTAATGTTGAGTACCAAAAGTTGAAATACAATGCGAGTTCATCAGGGATTGAAAATGAAACATTTCTAACAGTACAAAATCTACCTATAGGAATTTCTCCAAAATCTTTTATCATTCGTCAGCTAGCTGTAGGATCAATACCAATATCATAGTTTGTATTTGATATAATATTCCATAATTTTCTTTGCTATAATCAATGATTGAGGAGGAAATAATTGGAATTTCATTTTGATTTATAACTTTATTTAATTACAATTTGAAAGATTGATAAACTATAAATTCTAATTTTTAAATCCACCAATTAATTCTCTGCACATTTGGAACATATAGGATTCACATGCCATGGGTTTGTTTCATTTAAACAGTAATTAGGGAAGAGAGTATCAGTTTTTCTAGCCAAAATTCCACCAATTATTTGAGCTGGTGAGTTATTTCCTGAGAGACCATAAGCAAGAGCATTGATTTGATTCGAGAGAACTGGTAATTGACCTAAACACTTCTCGCAATACAAGGTTTCAATTGAGGTACCATAGATAATCTTATAAAATAAATTGTTAGTTTTAATAGATATACAATCATATTACATTTTAAAAGAATGTTTTACCTGGTCAAAACCAGCCCACATTGCTGCAGCTTGGCACATTGCGCATGACTCACCAGTAGTATACAATGAATAACCTTCCCAGGTATTTTTGTTGTAAATAGCTGAGCAGTTCAATATGGCTACAATTTCTCCATGATAAATAGCAGATTTTTCATTTTGGTTGAGTCCGGTGCAAGCTACAGTTCCATTTGGTGCAACTATGACAGTTGTGAAAATGCTTTTCTTTGCCACTGCAAGATCATAGGCAATTTGCATATACTTTTCATGGTATTGACGATGGGCAAGAGATAAATCCTCGGGTTGTAAGACTCTGGTTGGACGTGGAAACTCAATGAATGGATCGTCACAAGCCAAACTGACGGCAAAAATAACCAATACACAAGAAAGAATAAATTTCGACATTTTTTTAGTTAGATATAAAAAACAATAACCAAATTATAAAATAAAATAAAAGTAATAAGATATAAAAAAATCTCTTTTAAGTTTTATCTCCATGCTTTATACATTTTGATAGTAGAAAATCGAACTAACTAGTGTGGTACCACACCACAAAATTTAAACCAAATTTTCAATACGATTTAGATAATATTTTATGAGACAACACTTTTAGTTTTCATTATAATCCTTGTACTAAAAATAAAATAAATAGGTTTAAATTTATTAAAATAAGCTCAGGATTTTAAGCTTATGAAAATGGAGACTAAAATAATAATTAAAACTATTGCTGATACAGAAATAATGGTTGCACTTATGACTACGGGTCTGGAGACGATACGGCTTCTCTTTGAATTCCAAAGTGGTGCATCCTCGCCAGATACATCGACAGACATCTCGCTCATCTGGTTGGAAGGTGAACTTCGGTTGACAGAGCTGCTGCTGCTTCCACTGCTATTTCTGCTGCTGTTGCTGGTAACGTCCATGTCAGAGTCATTGATATTGATCATGGTGTGCTCGGCAAGTGAAAGTGGTTGATGATTTTGTTTGACACCATTGCTATTAGCACCGGCTGAACTGGACGATGATTGATTGGAATAGAGGAAGCTGTTGAATGAGTTGTTCGATGTTGTTCTGCGATGTGAATTCAAACTTAACTTTTTGATTTCCGCCTCCATCTTTGTCTCCTCCTCTTTCAGTGACTTGATTACAATATCTCTATAGGTGTGTAGATCCTGATTATTCTTTACATTGAAAGAAAGTCTCATCAATGTCCAAACAATGATATCTACTGCAGCCTCTGACATTTGCTCTTGTTTCTTTACATGCTCCGATAGAATTCTAATCTCTTGTTTTAAAACAAACAATATTCTCTCTGAATACAATAGTTTCTGACTGGACTTTTGTTCTTCATTTAGTTCCAAATTATAATATATATTATTACTCTCTATAAATGGATCAATATTATTATTATTTGTTGTTGAAGTGGTTGTGGTTGTTGTTGTTGTTGTCGTAGTGGTAGTGGTAGTCAAAGTTGTCGGGGTTGTTGAAGTGGTTGTAGTTGCTGGTATTGATATCTTTTCTTGAATATTTATATTATTCGAAATAGGTGGTGTTATACTATTACTTTCTAAAATCTCTCTATTAAAACGTAACAAATTATCTATATTTACACCACTCTCAACTAGATATTCAATCTCCTGTCTTTTCAATTCCTTCTCTCTCTTTAGAAACAATGATTTCTTCTCCTTCTTTAACTTGTGATTCTTGATGATCTCTTTGGTTTGCACAATGACTGAGAGTGAAAGTGCGAAAAACATTCTCTGATCGGTATGCTCTGCTGCCTGTAGCATCTGTTCGTACTCCTGATAGATACTTCGGTGTTCGCTTGTCATTGTCTGAAGGAATCGCTGAATCGACGATTGTGCATGTCTAATCACAGAGGTAACTATGGGATGTTGTGGATCTAAATTGGTGGACAACAACACACTGATCTCTTTGGCCATTCTACGCTTTGATATCTCATCGAGCATCGCCAGGTCGTCTGTTGCCAGCGGAGTCAACTCGATGGCCGGAGAATATTTGAGATCGACATCGATTGAAGCGCGAACAAAGTGAAGCAACAGATAATGTTGTTTAGTAGCTACCCAATACCAAGCGAGTCCACGTCGTAGCTCTGCAATATTATTCTGATCCTCTGGCGAAATTGTGAATCCGCCATTGATCTGTTGTCCAATCTGGTGGCAGTATTTGTGAATCTTGTTTTTCATGATTCGGTCGGTGTTTGGATACTCATCGAAATCCGAGAGATAGGCAATCTCCTTGTTGACCGGTGTCGTTATTTTGTTCATCTCCTCATCGACATACTTTGAGTAGGTGTCCTCAAAAAACTCACACAAGAAACGGTCGTGCATCGACAACGCAATCGAGTAGAGTGGATACTTGATCGGTAGCATAATCTCTTTCTGGTACTGAATGATATCGAATTCAAATGGTTTACTACCGAAATTAATGCTAAATTTATCGCCGTACGATATCGTTCCAATGGTAGCATGCAACTTTGACAAACTCAACGATGAACTTGTCTTTCCAAGCAGCACACCATTCTTTGTAAAAAATATTCTCTTGTTTATAAAATCGACACCACATCCAGCAGTATCATTACACTGCCATGGCTCACTGATCTCTTTGCCCATCACAGGGTTCGGATACATTCCTCCATCTCCACCATGATAGCTAACCGCTGTTTTTAATACTACTTTCTTTTCATTTGTTTCGCAACTTGCTGAATATCCAATAAATACATTACTATAAATGAATTATAATAATATATTAATATTTCTACTTTATTATTAAAGATTCAATGTTAAAACAAGATAACTTACGTATCCTCACCAATAGCCAACAAAGTGATTTCGAAATAACCAAAATTAAAATTGCCATAAGGCAGTGGTGTTACTTTCTTTTTTGACTGTACAAACTTGATGATAATAATAATAATAGTTAATAATAAAGTAAAAGATGATGAACGATGAAGAAAGTATTATTATTATTATTATTATTATTATATAAATACATACTAATGTTGAATCTGGTTTAGATTTTCTTATATTTAAAATTGTGATTTGTGATGGATTCGATGAGCTAGGATGATGATGTAGTCGTAGTTGTTGACGATGCTCCAACTTATCGTCGTATTGAATATTGAAATTATTGATTGTCACTTTCTTTGTGTAGACATAGTTTAGTGATTGCTCATCGCTTAGATACAACGGTCTACAACATATATCCTCAAGTGATTTGTGCATTAAAACATATTCACCATACCAATCGACAGTATCTATAATTAATTTATTTATATCTAATTATTTTTATTTTTATTTTTATTTAATAAATTAAATAACCAAAAGGATTGTTAAATATATCAAACAACACGTTGTTGTTTTATGTATGTCGACAAACATACCTTTATTTATTTTAAAATCTTTTATACAATAGAAATGCCATAGAGAGTTACTTCTTGACAAATTATAGAAATAATGTGATAGGCTTGATAGATGCTGACAAATCTCTTTTGATGTAAAACACTTCATAATCACCTCTATTACCTCGTTGGGTAATGAGTATATCAATGTTGCTATTGCTGCTGTAGTTCCATTGTGTTGACTATTATTATAATTATTACTGTTGTTGTTGTTGTTGTTGTTGTTGTTGATATAACTATTAATATTATTAATACTATTACTTTTACTAATACTGCTATTACTATCTAATCGAACTATACTACTATTACTCAATATACTACAACTACTACTTATAATATTATCATCTAATATAGAATTACTTCTATTCATGATTTTAATATTTAATATATATATCTATATACAAAAAATAAAAATAATTGTAAAGTAAAGTAATTAAACTATACAATACTACTACTCTACGAACACTACAAACTATAAACACTATTAACTATTTATTTATTTCATTGAATATTAATTGATTCAAGAAAATAATTATAAATTTAAAAATATACAAATAAAAGAGAAATGATAATAATACAATAAAATTGTCAACAGATATTACTAATAAAATAATTAAACTTTTTTTTTTCTTGTTTTTTTTTTTTTTCAAATTTCAAAAAATTCAGTCCTAATTTTAATGTTTTTTTTTTTTTATTGTTTACACTTTTGATCGAAAAAAAATATATTATAAATAATTGTTTTTTTTAGTTATATATTTACTAGTAATGTTTGTTTGTTTGTTTGTTGGTTAGTTGTTAGTTGTATATTATGGATGTTGGTGTTGTTGATGGTTAATTGTTTGAATGAGTTGGTTGTTGCACACCAATATAAGTTTGTGACAATTGTGTTGTGGTGTTGTTGTTGTGTTTTTTTTGTTTTTGTTTTGATATTGGGGGGAGGTAGGGGATTGCTTGCTGGTTGTTTTGTTAACTGTCATTTTCATCTTCATATTGTTGATCGGTGGAGCTATCCGATAGAAAATCCTTTTCAACCTCGAGATCATCGGATTTGAAATGGAAATTCGCCACGAATGTGTTGGTCGCCGAGCTGTGTTGGAGTGAGATTATGAATGGACAGTATGGATGGAATATATAGGTTGCGTATTTCTTGGATTGCCGGTCGTTCTTGTCTTGGATGCCGTTGTTCATCTTGAATTTGACTTCGCCACCGAAACGCGAGTAGAATTTGATTGGGTAGTCGACGAGTGGTTTGGGTCGCTCGGTCGACGAGATCATCTTCTCGTCGTAGCTAAACAGGTATTTGTCAAAGTATGGTGATTCATTCCAAGACTGCGGTGAGAATGGCAGTGCCGAGAGGATTCGTTTGACGGCTTGTGTTTCACCACCGTAGCGCGCATTCACCACTGCCAGTTTCTGCTTCATGAGGTGTTCACGCACAAAGATGTTGTTGGAGCAGGTCGAACGGAACTTGATGAGACCCGATGGACAACTGCAAGCACGGAAGTGTTCGCAAAACTGTTCAAAAGTCTTAGCAAACTCCTTGTTGCTGTTCTCGTAGACACCGATCACTTCGGTGGTGTGCATGTTGTAGACAACAAAGAAGCTGATCTGGTTGCAGTAGTCGGCAAGTCTGCCGAGCAGTCCGTCAATCGGTCCAAACTTGATCAGGAGGTGAGAAGCGTCCAATGATTGCATCTTCCACATCACTAAATTACAATATTGGGGGAAAAGTGAAAAATATAGACTGAGTGACTTTTTGGGATCGGGAGAAGTGGCAGCTTTTTTGTATAGATAGCTGAGGAATCTCTGTTTGATACCCATAAGATTTCCACTGGGCAGACTATGATTATATGAAAGTGAATCGGTATTGTTTGTTTGTGATGATTGATTGTTGGTGGTGGTGGTTGTTGTAGTTGTTTGCGGTTGATTATTATTTATATTATTGGTATTATTCGGAATATTGTTGTTGATGTTGTTAGCGTTATTGTTGTTGTTGTTTGTTACTGAAAATGTTACATTGTTGGTAGTATTAGTAGTGGTAGTTGACGATGATGATGTTGACGATACAGTGGAGGTGGTTGATTTACTATTTATATCACTGGTTTTTAAAAATGGTTGAATTGAAGCCAATTGCTCTGCTTTCTGCTGTTTCTCGTGTACCATTGGGATGAATGACTTTTCAGCATTCTCCAATGAGTCGATCTCCAGTTGGTCATCTTCATTGCAGTGAGGTCCAATTGAGCGAATATTTACAAATTTAGATCCTTTGATCTGGAAGATATGGATGGTTTGGTACTGAAGACTGAGTACAATGAAAAAGTCTTGGTATAAATAAACTCCAGAGTGATGCGCCAAATGAATGACATCCTTCTTGAAAGTTCGTTTATCACAAACCACACCATCTGAGATTCTAACCAAATAGAATGTGATATCTTCGGGATTGGGCAAGTTGATCGAATTGGATTGTGATTGTCTAATAAATGTATCCATCTCTGCTCTATTTATATTATTATTGTTGTTACTATTTATTGATTGTCCATATGATGAAAGAATAAACTAAAAGTAAAGTAATAATAAAATTAGTTGATTTGATTACAAAATGATAATATTATATGTTAATTTTTTATGTACTTACATATTTTCCACAAGCGGTTGTTAATGAAAAGTCTTTACATAAGAATTCGTTAAATGGAGGGATAACGGTTTGATAAATTAATCGAAAATAGGTATTAAAGTTTTTGTCGATGGCTTCCTTTTGAGTTTTGGTGGTTGACTTTGGATATTTGGGAGAGGAACCAAGGAAACGGTAGAGTTGGATTTCCTTGAGATCTTTGGAGAAACAGAGCAGTTTCTCACCATCGCTAGTAAACTTTTTAATAATACATAGTGGAATATCGATGTTGAATACAGTTTTGTCGGGCACAATGTTGAGGTAGAATTTTCTGGATTGCAGGGTGGTTGTGCCTGGTTTGGAGCGGTACAACTCACGGTGCAACATTTGATTCGGCAAACTGTATTGTGAGAGTTGTATCTTTTGTTTTCTCTGCATATTAACATATTCTTTATCAAGATCGGCTTCGTCGTGTGTTCGCTTCAATGAGTTTTGTTGTGGGTTGGTGACTGGTGAGCTGGTGGAGGTTGTTGTTTGGGTGGTTGTGGTGATATCGACATCATCTTCGGCAGATGACGGAGAGGAACCGGTGCTTGACGATAGCTTTAGCTTATCGACAATCATACCGCTATCTTGTGAATCATCGGAGGTTGGGATGATGTTGGGTGTCGATGTTGTGGACGAAGTTGGCGCAAGTGAAACACCGTCATTTGCATAGCTATGCGAAATGGTTGGTGGTAGTGGCACCGATGAGAGCGAACTGTTCAGGGGAATGTGAGCGACCATCATTTGAGTGGGTAGCTCCTGAGTTTGTTGGTGGTGATTCTGCTGGAGGTGGAGCGACGAGCTTGAGAATGTGAGGGGCGAGATCAGCGAAAATGGCGATCCCGCCGAAACGGCACCGGACACGACCGACTGGTGGTTGCTGACCGCCGACAAAGTCGATGCGGATAACGAAGAGCTGTTGCCACTGTGACCTACAATGATGGGTGCCTCCATGCTAGAGGCAGTGTGGATATCGGAGGGTGGATTCGATTGTATGGTCACTGTTGAAGACTGCTGTTGGTGGGTGTTGCCAGTCGAAGGTGGACATCCTGTGTATACTCCACTTGGCGATGATAAATATAAAGCTGGTGGTGAGGGTATCGATGGTGCGAATGGCGGTGCTGGTGAACCTAGTAGAAAACACGGTGAAGGTGAAAGTGGTGGTGAAATCGAAGACTGTGAATCATTCATTTTAATTATTCTTGTCACTGAATTATTTTCAATCATCTAAACCAATTACTATATAATGAAGTTGCAACTGTTGCAAGGATCTACAAATGTAACCTATTATTATGGATAGAGTAAAAAAAAGAAAGTTAGAATAATTATTCATTCAAAATTATATATATCATCATTATTGTTATTGTAATGAAATGAAAAGAGTGTAGCAACAATTACCTGTGAAATGTGTAAAATGTATAATTTAAAAAAACAAAAAAAAAAAAAAAAAAAACTTTAGTGTGATATTTGATTGATTATGCACAGACAGAAGATCGAGGTTTGAACCAACACAACAACAATTGTTCTCGTATGTCAATTGGTTGGTTTTGAGTGAGTAGTTCCAATGTTGTGTTGTTTATGCTGACTTGCTGACTGGAAATTGAATATTACTATTACTACAGATATTTATTGTAAATATAAATATTGATTGATATTAGTACATGCATGAATCTACTCTAAGCAACATCTAAACTATTATTATTATTATTATTATTATTGTGCTATTATTATGCTATTATTGAGAATCTATGTTATTGTTGCTATTTCTGCCGCTGTTTTGTAAACTATTAAACTTTTGATGCTAACTAAATTATTGAAACAATATGATAATTGTGATAGAGAATAAAGCTGCAGTTGATAAAAGAATAAAATATAAAAAAAAAAAAGGTAAAAAAATAAAACAAAAGAAAGAAAAAGAAAAAATTTAATTTTGATATTTTTTTTTGTTATTTATTTTATTTTAACAATACACATAGAGTAATATTAATAAAAATAAATAAATAAATTTAAAAAATTGGAATTTTATTATTATTATTAACAAATAATAATATTAAATTTATATTGAATTAATTCAATTCAAAAACGACATAAAGATACGTTATTTTGATTTATTAAATTAATTTGAAGCAAAAAAAAAAAAAAAAAAACAAAAAATAATAATTTTACACACATTTTGTCAAGTTTTTATTTTGTGTTTATAGTAGTAGTTGCTGGTTGTGTTGTTTGCTGACACTTTTGTTTGTGTTTTTGTTTGATTAGAATGAGTGAGTGGATTGGATTGAATGGTGGTAAAATAACTCAGAAGTAGGTTGTTTGTTGTAAATATTTGATGTCAGACATGTCATATCATATGATATGAGAGTGATATTAAGAACAATCTACACGCCGATCTGTATCAGGTGTGACGGATGAATTGAATGGAGTGGAGTGAATAATTGAATTGGAATTGGAATTGGATTTTGAAATGAAAAAAAAAAAAAAAAAGACAATAATAGTAAAGGATGCATGTGGGTAGAGTTTGTTGATAATATGGACAAAAGAAAAAAAAGAAAAATCACATATCCAAATCCAATTTTCGGTTTAAATGTAAAGTTAAACTAATGTATATTATATTGTTGTCCACATGTGCTTGTTTTTTGTTTTGTTTTCCGAGTACTAGTATGCATAGATCGTTGAATTCAAATGTACATTGAGTGAATGATATATCTATCTTATTCGAATATTTTAACATCACAATTGTTTGTTTATTACAATTTATTTTCATTGATACTATTTTATAATATAACGAAATTGTTGCAAACCATGAACGATATTTAAATGAAACAATTTTCTTAAACAAGTCTATTGTGAACATATAAATGGTGATTTGTGTCTATTAAAATATATAATTAACTTACGAATATTCAGTTGTTTATCTAAAGAAAGATGATCGTACAACACAACTAACTATAATAAATTAACATAATTTTTGTTAAAAAATGAAAAAGTATATTGTTAGATTATAAAAGTATAAATAAAATATAAAAGTAACAATTAAATTGTAGATTTTTAAAAATCCTTCTTCTTTGTTTGTTTGTTTTCAAATTTCCTAATTGTTTAATTCAAAAAAAAAAAAAAAAAAAAGAGAATAAAATAGAAAAGTGTACGAATGATCGATTGAATGAAGAGTGTAGTGCAAATGAAAATAAAAACTGTCAACCAATCTAGACAATAATAACAACAACAACTACTACTGCTAGCAATAGCAACAATAATTGTTGTTGATTGCTTGACCACCTTGACTATTATCAAAATATTTAACTGACTAAAATTTAATCTGTGCTACTGTTTTAAGTTGTTGTTGCTATAAAGTTAAATATGGAATATTCTCTCTTCTCTCTTTCATTCATTTTACCACAAAAACCACCTTTGACTTCTTTTCCAACTCTCTTTCATTCATTCATTCATTCATTTCTATTATCTTTTTTTTTTTTGGATTTTACACTTTTGAGCATATGTAGTTGAAAATGAAAAATGACTTACTGTGTGTATTTATTATTTTATGGATGGTGTTTTTCGAATTTTATTGCTGCCAAGTTGTTGTTATTTTTGACTAACTATTACTGTTTTTATTATTATTATTTTTAATTATGATGATGTGTCTTGTTACTATCGTCGATTTTTAATTGTATTTTAAAAATAAAATAAAATAAAAAATAAATAAATAATTGTTAGGTGAAAGTGAATAAGTGAAGGGAAGAGAATAGAAGAGTAAGGTCAAAGATGAGATGCTGCTGAGCTGATGCTGATGTGAATTGCTGTGAGTGAGTTGCCACAACACAGTATGAGTGGGTGAACGCCTGGCGTGAATAGTATGTGTGTAGTGATGATATGGAAAAAAAAGAGGGAGTTGGGTGAGAGAATAAAGAGAAAACAACAGACAGATAGATAAATAAAATAAATAGAAAGAAATTAATTTAAAGAGCTAGAAAAAAAAAAAAAACAAACAAAAAAACAAATGAGACAAAGGAATTATTTTTTTTGTTTCCGCTATTTTACTTTATTGTGGTGGTGGGTAGTACTGTTTTTTTGTTTTTTTGAAATTTTATTTTATTTAAAATTTTCACATTCTCAAGAGAGTTGGTTGATGATGGAGACCTCTTTTTCATTCTTTTTTTTTTCAACAGGAAACAATTTCACACAACAAAAAAAAAAAATGGAAAAAAACTTTAAAAAAAAATTTGAAATAAAAAGAGGTGGCAGAATATGAGGATTTGGCATCAATCTGCATGTGAGGAAAAAAAACAAAATTTGCTTTTTGGAGCGAGAAAATGACAGTACTGTGTGGGTGAGCTTCTGGTTACAAAGTTAATTTAATTTAATTTGTTTTTTTTTTCAACAAAACACAATCTCATATGTTTGTTTTTTAAAGGAAGTGAAACACACAGAAAGGAAATAATGTTTTGTTTGTTTGTTGAGAATAACACCAAGTTTGGTTCAAAAGAAAAAAAAAACTGAGGCAGTTCAAAGAGAGAGAGAGTGTGTGATGTGTTTGTGTGTCTTGTGTGCTTGCGAGTAAGATTAGCATATCAGCTTATTATTAAAGGTGGTAGTATAGTAAGTGAATTTGACAAGTCAAGTTAAGGTAGGGTAGTGTGTTTTATTGCTTTGTGTTAGAAGTTGGTTAATAAATAAAAAAACACACAAACACATCACACACTCACGCAACACAACAGTATAATGCAGACAATAAATAGATGCAAATTTGTGTGATGAGCACCCATAGGATAGTGTTGGTCTGGGCATTGGTATGGACATGTTATTTTGTTGTTCGAAATGGAGAATACCTAATCTTGAAGCAACAAAAACAACGAAAACCATTCAATTACGATGGATGGATGTGTGTTCTCCATCAACTTAAAATAGCTTATTTGTTTATAGTGGTGTATCATATATGTTGGGTAGAGGTATATTCAAAAAAAAAAAAAAAAAACAAAAAAGAGATAAGTGAGGATAATGTCTTTTTATTCAAATTTCAAAGTAATTACAATAACTCCAACAGTATTACTTAAGATTTCGAAAAAAATAAAATAAAATAAAGAAGTAAAAAGGAAACTTACTTTTTCAAACCATGAAGGGTTAGTCAGGCAGACAGACGCAATTTGTCAATAATGATAATAACGATGTTTGCTCTTCTATCTGGATAACTACTACTACTACTCTTGTCGCTACTTCGTATCTATTCTATTTTATCTAACTCTTTTTATCTATTTGTTTTAAACTTGTAGAAGTTGTTGTCCAATTATTACTATTAAATCCAATCTTTGCTGTCTCCTTTTATCAATTGGTTTTTTTAGATCTTTTATCTGTTTATCTATTAATTAATTTATTACTATCTTTCAAAAGGTTCGAAAAAAAAAAAAACTAATTTGTTTGTTTTACTTCTTATTTATTTTCATTGAAATAATTATAGATTTTTTTTTCACCCCCACATTAAACACACTTATAAAAATTTCTTATTAATTTTTATTTTCAATTTCAAAAAAAACCAAAAAAAATGAGACGTATTTTAAAAAATATATTTTCAAAAACTTATAATATGCAAAAAAATGTTAAAATAGATTACAGATTTATTGAATTTTTTTGGTTTAATTCAATTATTTTTATGAATCTGAAAATTCTCTAGTTAATATCTTATTTTTATTCTTTCAAATGTAATTACCATCTAATTTAATAACAAATATTTACTTTCATTGATAAAAAAAAAAAAAAAAAGAAAGGATAATTATCTGTTATTTATTAATATTATACAATTTAAAAAGTTTTGGATGAACTTGAAAAGTTTAAATATGTGGAATTAAAGAGATCTATATCTACCCTTGAAATTTTTATTTATTCCAAATTAAAGTTTTGGTATTGTTAACTGTTTCTCCTTGTTGTTGAACATTTTGAAAATAGTTTGCAAACTATATTCAAGATGGGGAGCTAGAATCGTAGTCGCTTCCTGATCTCGATTCGATCCTCTCATCGCTCCCATAGCCACCAAGAGCGTAGTCTCCAAAGTCAGCTAGTGTCGTTTGGTTGGCTAAAAGAAAGGTATTTGCGTTTCCTAGGGAAACCATTGGCTGAGGAATATTGGTACAATCGGGATAGGATGTTGGTAATTCTACAAATGGTTTGATATTGGTATTGGTTTGATGGCTTGAATTGATACTGCTCGGGAATGTTATAAAGTTGTTGTTATTGGTAGTTGTTGTTGTTGTTGTGGTGGTTGTTGTTGTTGAGGATGGATGAAGTTTGAATGAAAGATTGGGAAATACTGTGTGATTGGTTGGTGGTGGAATTACCGATTGTAACTGTGAATCGGTTGAGCCGCTATTTTTATATATAATATTATTGTTATAAATCGATGTCTTGGGTTTGAACTCGAATTTACCTTTGTTGTGAAGTCTACTTCGTTTCGATTTGAACCAATTCTTCACTTTGATAGGCGGAACATCGATGTCTTTAGCGATGGACTTGACTTGATCTTTGGTCGGGTAGGACTGGCTCTTGAAAACTGATTCAAGAAAAGCAACTTGTTCTTGAAGAAACTTTTTCGAAGCCGATTGTTTGTAGGTGAACTCTCCTTTGGATGCAAGGTTCTCTCTCTTGTGCTTGAACCATCTAGAGATTTGGTCGACACTAATCGATGGCATAGATTTTGCAAGTTTCAGCTTCTCAGATCTATCGGGGTACTGATTTATTGCCCAAACCTTCTCTAGAGTTTCTTTTTCGGATGAAGACGGTCTCCATCTTCCCTTCTTTGGCTTTATCGGAGTTGGTGTTTCCACTAAAGTGATCGAGCTGGAGGTAGAAGTAGAGTCAAAGTCATTGTGTTCTGATTGGTCTAATTTCAACTCAACCTGTTGAGTGAATTGATTTAGATAGTTTGTATTCAAAACATTGTTGTCTACTTTGTTTTGAAACATATGTTGAAAAGTGTCGTTGGTGGTGTGAATGGTGGTTGTAGGTTTTTCTGGAATTTCTATATCGCCAGAATATGCATTGTTTATATTTTCTAAAGTTGGTTTTTGAATGTAATCTAGTGGTTGGTTCATATTAAATATAGGATATGATTGTGCATGTGTTAAATACTCTATGTATTGATTCTGTATTGGTACTGGTTGTGAATATTGGTATTGGGGCTTGTTGAGAGTGTTGGTTTGTTTGTTTTGGATATTGTAATAAACATAGGGTGGCATGTCTGGTTGCGGTAGTTGCTGGATGGGGTTGGATGAAATGTTTATCATATTGTTTGTAGATAAATCATTTTGAGTAAAGGGTTCGGGTGGAAAAGTTGTGTAGAATGAATGATTGTTTTGAAAATTATGTATATTTTGTATGGTTTGTGAAATTTGTTGAGTTGTTTGTTGTTGATGTTGATGTTGTTGTGCTAAGTATGTGGTTTGTGATGAATTATTATAAATATTTATATTGTGAATATTGGTGTTTCTATTATTGTTTATGATCGGCATATTTGAAATATTTTGATTATCAATTCTTTCTACTTGTTGAATTGATGATTGTAAAAGTTCTATTGGTTTAAATGCTGAGGTACTGTTATTAATATTATTAGTATTATTATTAGTATTATTTTTCAGATCTTTTGTATCTTTTAAAGGAAAGGATATTTCTACTTTGTTTTCCTCCTGATATATTATTTAATATTTTTTAGTCATTGATGATTTATGATATTGTTTGATTTTTCTGTACCTACTCTCAGATAATGATTCATATTTAAATAAATATTGATAAATTATTTGGGTTCGATATAAAGTAGTAATATCATATTACTATTTTTTTATCCTATTTAAAAAAAATATATTATTAGATTGATTATAAATTTACTTTAATTCTAATATTCAGTTTTGATTGTAGTATATTGATAATTATTGTCATTTTTAGGATGGTTGACCTGTGATGATGTTGGTATTTGTAAAAAAATATTTGAAACCAAAATTGATATAGAAAGATGATTTTATAATTTAAATTTGTTTTATAAATAAATATTATTTAGACATAAAATATAAATATTAAAAATTAATTTATTTCAATATTGTTGATAAGAAAAAATAGTTTGATTGTTTTTATTTATTGTTTTTTTAATAAAAAAACAAGTTCTAACAAACTATAATAATGAAAATATTTGTTGTTCATAATTCTTAAAATAAGTACCTTTTCCAAAAACATTATCTATTCATTTTGGTAGAGACACATGTGGATTGAGGAGTAGTTGATGAACTTTACAAAAACAGTTTGTGAACAAAAAAATAATTTTTTTTTTTTTTTATTTGATTTGGTGTGAATACTCCAATTTTTTAGGTGGAGGCGGTGGTTTTGAATGATCGATATTAAATTTGTAATATCATTTACAAATTCATTACAAAAAAAATAAAAAATAAAAAATAAACACCACAAAAAAAATTTGGGGATGTTCCCTTGAAGATTTTTGGAAACAGCCCTAATGTGATTTTTAATTTGATGTTGTCGTATCTATTTTATAATTATGAATGGTTCCTCAACATCTTGAGAGAAAAAAATACATTAGGCCATCCCCATTATTGTATTTGTGTTTTAATATCCAATGTCAAAATTGTTTTTCTTTATGAAAAAATAAAAAATATTAAAATATTTTAGAGAGGTGATTTGAAATATATAATCCAATTCTGTGGAACTATTTGAAAAAAAAATACGATCAAAAATGAAAAGATTATCTTATTTAAAACAACCTATTAAAAATTGTTTTCAATAATTATGAAAATATTTAAATACATACAATTTTATTTTTTTAGTATTTTTTTTTTTCAAAATATACAACTATGAAAGGAATAGTTATTTTTTTTGGACATATAGATATTTAAAATTATAATGTTAAAAATATCTTTGATTTGATATGTTTTGTATGGATTGAAAAATTTACAGTTATAGCATTCTATACTTTTAGTACTATTAGAAGATCTAAATATATATAGATATAAATAATATAACTAGATAAAATAAAGTTTTGTAGAAAAAGAGTGTCCGTCCAGTTTTGAGCGGTCATAGTTAAACAACTCTAGTTGATTAAGTTAATTTTATTTAAATTAAAAAATAGACTTCCGTCAAAAATCTAAAACAGGATCTACCCCCCTATTATTGTTGTTTGCTTCGGTTTTCCACTAGTCAATTGTGTTTTTATTTTTTCATTAATTACTAGTGTATTTCAAATTTGGTAAACTTCATAGATGAAAACAACGATTAAAAATCCAAAAAAACAATTAAAAAAAAACAAAAGAAATAAAACAAGGAAAAAAACTCTGCCATGCCCGTCAATTCCAGAATCAGTGTCGACAATATTTTGACTTTTTTTTTCTTGTTTCAGTGGTATCAGAGCAGGACCTTATTTTGCAACGGTTGTGGAATCAATTCATTAACGAGAACTTATTTTAATGATTTCCTATGGATATTTTTAACTTTTTGGTTTTTTTTTTTTTTATTGCAAATATTCAAAAAAAAAAAAAAAAAAAAATCCACATCATGATACTGTACCACATCACTGGGTTTCAAAATCGACATTAGTACTGGTCATGATTTTCGAGGTTTTTGACTGTCACAAGACCAAGGGACAGGTCCTTATTTTTGTTTTTTCACTTTTGACAAAAAAAAACACATGACACTTAGATCTAATCGATTAAAAACAAATTAATTATTAATAAATAAATAAGCATCATAAAATTATCGATAATTCAAAATTATATATGCAATATGATTTATTATTTTTTCCTAATGATTGAAGTTAGACATTAATACTACATAATCGATAGAAGTGAAATTTACACCCGTGTAATGGGAAAACCAACTAGCTGGTTTGCATTGCAAACAATTCTAATTTATGAATCTTAATTATAAGGGATCTTCCCAACTCAACAACTGTATTTTAATTGTAAACTAATAACTGCCAAATGATAATAATCGATTGCGATTTAAAGTTTTAATTTGATTCAAGTAAATTGAAATCATTGAAACAATCGATACTTTAAAAGTTTGATACAGTGGTGTTTAATTTAATACAGTTGGCTTTGTGTTTAATTATTTAAATTTTAAAGTGTGTTTACTCTGAAGTTTTAATTAAAAAACATTGATTAGATTTAAATTGTTGTTTGTGTTTTAGAGAAATTGTATACATATTTGTTTGTACTACTCTTCTCTTCCAATATACGTAATACATGTTTGTGGTTTTGTGTTTGTTATATATGATTAATTGCGATTGATTAGTGCAAACAATGTGTTGTGTCGATAGAAAGTGAGTGTGGGTGTGGAAAACAGAATCATGATAAAGTTGTTATTTGAGTTTAGAAATAAACATGTTGGTGGGTTTGGTTTTGTTTTTTTGTTTTTGTTTTTGTGATTGATGGTAAAGATTATCGTGGTTATAACTGTTAAACCAATATAAACTAGACTTTTGATCTACTATAATACACTATCGTAATTATAACACATAAGTTATAATCTAACTATTAATTAATTAACAATTAAAATTTTTTTAATGTTATTTAAATAGTTTTAATGTTTGTTCATTTTTATTTTTATTTTATTCTTTTTTTTTTTTTTTTTTTTTTGTTTTTAAAAAAAATAACACATTCTATTATCATCGCGATAACACTTTAAAGTATTAGTACAACAAACAACAACTCATATACTATAGAAGCTACAGTAACATAATAAATAATTAAAAAAAAAATAAAACTAATCAATTATTTTATTTAAATATATAAATAACTATAGACGTGTAATAGATTGTTTTTAAATATAAATATAACTCACACCTAATCTTGTTATTTAAATTTCATACACATTTAAACAATTATAATAACTAGTTAGTTTGTATGTTATTGATCAATTTCTTTATAACTTGGTTTTTTTAAATTTTCATATTTTTTTCACCGATTTTTATAAAAATCAATATTTTAATTAAAAAAAAAAAAAAACCAAGAACAAAATTTTTTTTCATATTTCTTTTGTTCATTATTTTTTTCTCTATTTTTAGGTACAGAGTTTGATCACAAAAATAACCAACACAACATATATCCATACCAATATTTCAAAATAAACACCATCTTTTTATTCACAAATCTCATCTAATATCATCTTTGTTTAGTTTTGTAATCATCAACCAAACAATCAATATTTTTATTTTTTTTTTTTTTTTAGATATTACTATTATTAAAATAACTATAAAGATTTAGTCGTCGACGACATATCATACTCGTTTCCTTTCATATTATTTTGTTCTCATAACAATAACAACAATTATATATATATATATATTTTTTTAAAACTTTAATTTCTATTTTTATATAACTTTACTTAGAAATTAATTAATTAATAATACATATATAGTAATAATAATAATAATAATAATAATAATAATAATAATAATATTGTAGTAAATATTAGAATGGATCCAGCAAATCTATATTATTCGTTTATTTCTAGATTCTTGGATAATGACATTCCATCGGTGAATGCAAATTTCAAGGAGTTTCTCTTGAAGGACGGCGTAATTCAGATGCTGATGTCGTTCATCACACAGAATTTCCCAGCAAATGTAAAGAGAGACGAGAAAGACAAAGAAACACCTGTAGGCGTACCTATCGAGGTACTTAAATCCTACAAAGTAATGGATCTATTCGTACATCCAACTCCACCATTCATCTCTTTAGCCAAAGAGAAATTACCAATTATCTGTAAGTGTGTAACTACGTGGTAAACAATAGACACTCACTCTTTAATATTAACATCACATATCTTTCACTCTCTTTATATATCATTCAATTTCATATAATAATAATAATAATAATAAAAGTATCAACACTATTTGAAATATTTCAATATACAGTGACAGCGAACAATCAATTGCAATTGAATAGAATCGAACAACCCAAAGGAAATATGCATCACTTCTCAAAGGTAATACAGTGTCTGTTCAATCAGTTCACCTATGACACTGTGAATGCACTCGCAGAGATCTATCCAAATGCACAGCGAAGCTACTTCCAAGTGCTCATTGAGAATCTCAGATTCCAACCGATCAAGGAGTTACTCCTGGTCATCTCAAAGCGCGCTGCCAGAAGTGTCAGCGAGTATCAAACCACCAATCCACTCGATACCAAAAAAATACAGAAAGGACTTGTTAAATCTAAACTCTACAATATAATTATTACTCATTTCGCACAACCAACAAGTATGTTATATAATCGCTAACAACTATAGAGTTTAGACGACAATCAATATCGCTAACAAAATAATATTAATATTAATCTACACAATAGAAACAATAGATACAGAAACAAATTGTGTGGATTTAGAGGGATGCTCTGATTTTATGGTGCGTTGCATTGAGGAGTTGAATATATTCGGTCCGGATGTCGGACTGCAGTTTTGTCATTTCCAATCGAAAGACTTTGCAGAGACGTTGGCAAAGATCATTCTGAATGAGGGTGGCAAGAAGTATACTTTTACACACCGTCAGCTGGCAGTTTCCGTTGTGGCGTCGCTCGTCGCCAAGAGCAACGATCACGCCAACAACAACCAGTATCAAGCAGAGAAAGACTCGATATTCTCGAGTGGTATCACCACATGGACTCAGTTTTACAGTCTCAATCACATGAGCACCATCTGCAAGCTCCTAATAGATATGGGCATCGATCAATCACCAACCTTTAAGAAATCACTGACATCGTCGCGTGTCGATACTCTCACACTGCTCATCGAGCTCATCAAGTATCGTTCAACCACCCAAAACAAAAAGAAAGTATCGAATCAACCTTATATTCCTCATGAACTATGGTCATTGCTAGTTGATTGGTTCTTCCAATTCAAGTAAGTGTTGTTGTTGTTGTTGTTTTTTAATCATATCATATCATATTAACAACTAACTCTTATTATTATATTAATATTTAGTAATATATATCATTCTAAATTCTATCACCTTTTAATTGAATTGTTTTCACAGAATCATCAACCTTCTATCAAACACTTTTGTTCACAACATCTCAAGCGATTCATTCAATACTATTGCGATGTTCCAACTTCAGATTCTAGAGGTATCGTTTTACTGATGTGTAACTACATCAGACTGACAGGTGACACTCAAGCATTACAGAACAACAGTAGCAATTGGTTACCTTCATTTTTAAAGAGTAGTGATACTTGGCAATTATTTTTACCTCAATTACTTGTAATGTATTTCCTTATAACTAATATATATATATATAAAGTTGACTAACTAACTAATAAACTAACTTATGTTATATTATATAGAATGACACAATTAAACAATATCAATCAACAATTACAAATAATAATAATAACAACAATAATGACAATAACAATAGTGAAAATGGAACTGAAAAGGAATTGATACAAGGATTTTCAGCAATCAATTTAGGATCAGATTTTGCAGATTCAATTGGATTCGAAGTTGAAGATAAGAAGAAAAAGGTAGTTAGCAATGGTGCAACCAAACAATTTGTAGTAGATGAGATCATCAGTACAGAGCAAATGTCAAAGATTGAGGCAGAGTTGTTCGAAGATGACAAGAAATCTGCACCAAAGAAACCAAGTAAAAAGAAATAAATTAAATTAGTGTTTTTTTATACAGTTTTAATCAATTGACCATTATTTGTATTGAATTATTCTATTAGTAATACATATATCAATGGATGATTAGTTATTCATATTCTATATAGCACTTTTTTAAATAATCACTTGACAAACCAAAAGGTTGATTAAAATTATTCCTATTTCAATTTTTTCAACAAACCATTTTAATTTTAAAATTGTTATGAATCATCTGTTATTATATTATCTTCCTACCTCAGAACAAATTAGAAATCAATGCCTCAATAATAATAATAAGAATGACATCATTGTCGATTACAATAAATATAAAAGTAGGGAGGAATTACATCAATCGTTAGAGTCTATTCTTTTTAAATATACATTAGGTTATAATATCATCGATGATAATACCTCCAAAAATAATGATAATGATAACAACAACAACTACAACAACAATCACATCAGCAAAAATAATATCAATAGTAAAATAAAAACTGAATTACATTTAGTAAATCAATTGAAATTACTACTTTATAATACAATCAATTCATTAAACGATAGAATATCAACTGAAACAAAACAATCGAAAATTAAAAAGTTATTTTGGAGACATTTCAGATTGATATTGATTAACAATAACAATAATAATAATAATAATAATAGTGATAATAGATATTCAAAAGATATAGTTCAACAGATTCTCTATTACTTGTGTGAGAGTCAAGCTTTACATGTGGTTACGTTGATTTTGAACGAAATCTATCGTGGTGATACCGACCGGTTGATTCAGTGGTTCCTCTCGGATGACCGCTACATTCAGGTTTGGTTCCAACACTTTCACTACGATGGTCGAAGCAAGTATGGTGCGGTGGCACTCGAGCGCTTCCTCTTTGCCAATCGTGATGATGTTTGGCATCGAATAGTCTGGTTGAAACAGCCGATTCCACCACCGGTACTCGCACAGAAACGTGAAATGATGTTACAGATCAACGTGCTCGATACCATCAAATCGTTGTTGCAATCCGACGATCAATTTACACGGCTATTCATCAATGACTATCTCTTTGACTCGATATATCCAACTGGTAGCAATGCATTCGATTGTTGTAGCTATTTCCTCTCGATGAACAATCAATATTTCATAGATCAACTATATCAACTTTTAATGGAAAAGAATAATGATAATTATATATTAGATAGATTCGATCGTTTATTATCGAATCTATTTAAATCAACAGCAGCAAATAATAATAATAATAATAATAATAATGATAATAATGATATACCATTTTTAGTTTTAAGATTACTTGATGAAGATGATCTTCTTCAATTTACATATGATTTATTGGATGAACAGTATGTAGAATCATTAATAACAACTAAATTTAAATCAACTACAACTACAACAACTAGTTATAATGAAACAGAGTTAATTGTAAATTGTATATTAGTATCGAGATGTAGATGGAACCGATTAGAGTCATTATTACTCTACAATGCAATATCACCACAGAATATCAATAAAATTATAAAACCTTTATTTAAAGATAACGATCAATCTTTATTAACAGGTAAGTAGTGATATATCAATATAAAAAGAAGAAATGAACTAACTTTAGTTTAATTTATTTAAAGATGAACAAATAGAATTTAAAAAGAATATAATTAGCTTACTTGTGGAGTATTATGGTGGAAAGTTAAAGAGTAAAGATGATTTAGAGAAAGAAATAGTTATACCCTATTGTAGTCACAGTCATCATATCTTACAAAAGAATAGTGTCATCTCATCTATTAAATTCTTATTATTGGATACTTTTATATATTATTTTATTTTAGAGAGTATAAAACAACAACAACATCAGCAGCAGCAATTTAATATAAATATAGAATCATTATTAAAAGATAATAATATTGAATATCAACAACAATGTAAAGAAGATAAAACAACAACAACAACAACATTAAGTGAGAATGAGTTATTACTTTCATTATCTTCTTCAGATAGTGAAGATAATAGTAAAAAGAAAAGAAAAAAGAAAAAGAAGAGTAAAGAAAAGAGGAAGAAACAAAGATCTTTATTTAAAGATGATGACAATGACGATGATGATAATGATGACTATGGTTTTGGTCATAGCAATCATCTTGATGGTCAAAGAAACATATTGGATAGAAATTGGATAATACCAATGATTTCAAAACAAGTTACATTCACAACACACGATCTTATACAAATATTATATCAATTTAAATTCGATGAAATCTTTTATAAATTGTTTCACCAACAACAGTAGAGAAATAAAAGGGGTTGAAAGATCTTTCAAAAACACATTAATTTTGATGTTCACCAATTTTTTATTTTATTTTTCTTTAATTTAAATTTTAATATAATAATAATAAAGGTGTTATAGTTAAAATTAACAATTGATTTAATATATATTTATAAAATGATAAAATCAGTTGGTCTATTAAATAATGTTTATAAACATGGAAGTAGAAATAATACTATTTTAAGTTTCAATACAAGATTAATCTTTAGAAATCAATATTCTTCATCTTCACAAAATCAATCGTTTAATTTTCAAATCAAATCAACTGATCAACAACAACAACAACAGCAACAAGAAAAAGGATATACTTTTAATGATCATCATCATAATAATAATAATAAAAAGAGATGGCAAGTAAAGAATATTTCAATGGTTTCGATTGTTGGTGCTGCGGTCGGTTGTTCAGGTATCAGTTTGTGTCACGAACCAACAAGAAATCATAGTCACGCGACAACTGCTGTGTCGGTAGAGGATGTCGTACGTGGTAGAACAGTGACCGAAGAGGAGTTTGAAGAGCTACAGCAGAACAAGCGAAACAAGAAGATTGTCAATGTTGCCGGTGCTGCTGCACTCTCTGGTTTCATGGGATACTCTGCTGGCTATGCCACCAAGCGTTTGGGTCGTGTCGTCATGTACGTAGTCGGTATTCTCTTTATATTCTCACAGGTTCTCTCTTACTATGGTTACATCACCATCGATTGGAAGAAGATCACCTTGGATGCATCGCCAAAGTTCACCAAAGAGAAGCGTAGAGACTACCTTCGTAGATTCTATTCGTTGCTCACTCAAAATCTACCATTTAAGAGTAAGTATTTTTGATCAAAATGAATCGTTTCAAACAATTAGATTCTGGAACTAAACAAAAAACATATATAATTATAATTTTTACTTTATTTCAATGAACATTTCTTATAGTTGGATTCGGAAGTGGTTTTTATTTAGGAATAATGAGCAAATAAATAAGGACGAAAGAGATATATATAATCTAAATTGTTAAAATAAAGAATAAATGATATGTTATTCAGAGAATGTAAATTCAAGACAAATGTTTGAAAAAAACAATATTTTATTATTATATTATATTGGATCGATAGATATCTTTACGGTTGTAAATTAGATAATATAATACAGCTATAGGCGTTAGAACAGAAATACAAGCAATAAAAAAAAAAAGAACAGAGAATATTTATGTACAATTACTTTCATGATTTGGAAAGAAAAAAAATAAAAGTTGTTTTTCATCAGCGGCATAGTATTGGTTATTCTACTTCTATTTTATTTTCAATTACTTTTTTTTTTTTGAAGTGACAATACAAGGTCGAAGTTGAGATATTCAACAACACAACAATAGTACCCGGGTTTTATTGGAACTAGTAATTAATATGAACGTCAACTAAAGATAAGGCAGGGGAAAAGATAGTTTATTTTCTATTACTTTAATAAATCAAATTACAAAAAAAAAATAAAAATTTTATTTATTAAAGATAAGACTTTCAGTCCAAACTGATGAGTCAGGAATTTATTTAATTTGAATTACTTGATTGGACTTGATGGTATTCCAAAATTCCAAAAAGCTTGGAGGTGATAATTTTCGCCGCATCAGAAAATTGGTCTTCATCAAAAATGATCAAATACCATCAAAATATCTTTACGGGTTTTATTTTTATTCGTTTATTAGCTAGTGAGGGGGGATGGCTTTGGGAAGTTCCAGGTTTGGTGGTTCCAGATGAGTTTGAAGTCGTCTAGATTCTTCAGCCATTTGGATTGATATGCTTGAATGTTTCGACTTAAGAATCAAAATTTTAATTTTTTTGTATTTTACATCAAAGGCTCCATAGCATAGTTGGTTATTGTACTTCCCTAGTAAAGGAAGAGATAGGAAGGGGTCACGAGTTCGAATCTCGTTGGAGCCTTTATAAAATTACTTGTACGCATGCGGTTTAACTTGTTTTGTAGTATTACTAAGAGTACACTTGGCAGTTCATCTCAAACATCTGGACAACAAGATCAAATCTGCTAAACCTATTCATTTTTTCATTGTGGGATATGAAACTATCAGCACGACTATCACCACAAACAGTTACTATCTGTACACACACCTATTCTGATTGATGGTCTTCCACCCACTCTAAAGCAAATCTACGACCACCTTTTGATCGTCAAGCATGGCATTCCACCACTAACTGATGGCCAGTTCCAACTATCTCTACCACCAACCAAATTCGACTACACATCTTACGACAGTATCTTCATCTATATTTCGCTTATCAAACACCAGCGTGGACGAAACACTGTCTTCCGGTTCTTCTCTCGTTCGCTTCCTGGATTGGCTTACAACAAATACAAAGAATGTGAACTGTGCTTCACATACTGCTCTGACCCATATTTCCATACATTCTTTTAATTGTCGAGCAGTTATGCACAGATTCAACTTTAATACCATTCTTGACTCCTTACAGCTTTCAGGTGGTCAACATTTCGATTGGACTATGGAAGACGCGTATCAGTTGGTTAGAAGAAAGGACAACATCACTACTCTCGCTTCACTTGTCTTTCATCAAATCTGGAAATTCTATTGTAAATCCTATTTTGGCGGTACTCCTCTCCACGATAACAACCTACTATCTAATGAATCTATCATAAATGAGTATATACAGCACATATAAGTAATGAAATTAATTATATATAACAGTATCTGTAACTTACAATCCAAACTTAAATAACCAGTAACCAATCAAATGTCAGCCAACTATTATTTCCTCTTCTTCATTTCTTCATTTTCAATTAACCAATTCAATCATCAGTATTCTCATCAACTTAATAATCTATAAAATATCTATAACTAAATAATTATAATAAAAATCAAAATAGCAATCAATTGCAGAATTATGAAAAAGTAAAAACTGTAAAAAAAAAAAAAAAAAAAAGGATCAATACATTTTTAAAATAATAAATCAATACCATTATTAGAAGAATAATAAATGATTAAGGAATTACTTTAAGAAATAATAACAAACTTAAAGGTTTTTAACTGATTTTACAAACAAAGATATTGATTTTTTTGAAAAGTAATTAAACAGATGAAACTAAAATAAACAAGGAGAGTATAGTATAAATAAAGGTTATTCTTTAAAGGAGTACCCGATTTTAGAACAACTAATATTCTATCATTAAGTTGAAAGTGGTAGATTCAAATTCAATCTTTACTCGAATTAATTTACATGTATATGGAATTAGATACTTAGACAAACTATCCTAAGCTCTAGATTCCCAGATTTTTTGGAAATGTAGAGTATGATATAGATCGACTCATAAATAATTTTTTTTAACTATTTTTAGTAAACTGTACAAGACATCTCAGTTGTCAGCTAAGTTGGAGCTTTGGCTGTGGGTCACCTTAGCGCCATCAAACTATAAAAGTTACTCATAGAAGATTACTTTTCATACAGTTTGATTCGCCGGAATTCTGTAAGGACAACAGAACAGTCTCCAACTTCTTCACCTAGATCTTTCGGTCGACCATCAGAGATATATTTTCATATTAAACCGGACACATTAGAGAAACATAGTGAACGAAGAGTTTTGGAGTGAGAACAACAGTATGTCATCATGGAAGCTTCACCCACAGTAATAAAGAAGATTTTATCCGTTAGAATTTATTTCAATCTTGCGGCAATATCAAGGATTAAAATAAAAATATAAAACATAGGTAACTGATAAATCATAAAGTTTTGTATATATATTATTCAAATATAATACATTCTTCTTTATTTTGATTTCAAAATTCTATTTAGGAAATATTTCATAATGTAGATCATGTTACTTTAATTTAGTTATAAAATTATTAACAAAGTATGAGATAATCTATATAATTGTTTTTTTATCTTTTTTAATATAAAAAATGGTAAATATAAATTTACCTTTAGTAGATATTTTGATGGAATATACCTCAGAGTCTATAATATAGATGCTACCTCACTCAAAATTTGGATAAAATAATTAGTATTAAAAAAATATTCATATTTTAAACACAATAAATGAATTATAAAATAAAAAAAAATAATTCTTTGAATTTAAAATAATTAGAAATGATTTAGGGGGAGATCAACTTGAAAGAAATAATTTTTAATTTTTAATGATTAGTGATTTTATTACAATGGTCAAGTGTAGAGATCTTGAAAATATGTTAAAAATCAAATAAAATCTAGTGAGAAAAACGAAAAAAAAGACATGGCGAACCACAGCTGTTTACCCATTGATCAATTTACCCATTTTTTTTGTTTTTTTTGCTTAAAAAAAAAATAAAATTGATATCAATTGTTGTATTTATTTTGATATATTAACAACATACCATTGATTCTCAAAAGTTTTAAAGACAAATATTAAAATGGTTTTAGATCCAACGTTTTTAATAATGATACAAATTTTCATTTTAAAAAAATCTATACACAAATGAATGAAAAAATTCTCATAATTAGTGGTTGAACAGAAGATGATTTATAAAAATATTTATAATATAACTTGAAGTAAAAAGATATTAATAACATTCTTATTTCCATTTTTAACTATATTTAAAAATTGTAAAAAGTGTAGATTATTAACTATCTTCACATGTAGTGGCTCAATGATAAATGAGATAGAATAGAAAATATTTTGAAGGAATTATTATTATAATCTGATTTTAAAACATTCTTTTAAGTGAGGGAATAATATTTAGGTTTGAATCTGATCCAAAAAAACAAAATCTGGTTTATTAATATTATGTTTTTATAGTCATCCAAGATATTGGAAAATATTAACTCATTTATTCGATTATCTAAATAGTCAGTTTGTAATCCAAGAGATAATCATCGATTTTTTTGTTTTTAATATTGATTCTTGGGAGTTAAAAACCTAAATAACTGGATTATATAAAACTATTTCAAATCTTTAGATTAGGTATAAAAAAGATGATGTAAGAATAAAGAATCAATTATTATAGTTAAAATTCGAAATATACAGTATATGGTTTGATACCTTTTAGTATTATATTTGAAAGTTGAGTGAAAAAAGTGGTTTCTTTTTTATATTAATCATAAAAAATGAATATGTTTATGGAATTTCAATAGATTATCTTTTATCAAAATTAAAATTTTGAACTGTTTTGAGGAAACAAAAACCAATATAAATAGAAAATTTTATCATTCTTTTTATCATATCAAATATTTCATTAATACTTATTTTCTAAACTAACACATTCTGAAAAATATGGCTGGACCTTGGAACCTCTCGTTCGTATAAATAATTATATCTATCAAAATTTACAAAGATAATAGACTAACAAAGAAAAAAGACCTGGACAGAGTAAAGATAAAATCCCGACGTGGGCTTGGCCTCGTTCAACTCAAGTGCATGTGCAAAATCTTGATGGAAGACCAGGTAGAGTACGTATGCAAGCTGGTGGATCCCCTGATGAGGATAATGATCTTGCACCACACCAAGATGCTAACTTCAGTAGATCTTTTGGTGGAGTGTACCTTAGAGTCACTAATATCGGTTCAACTACTCTCAAAGTTTGGACTGCATAAATCAGAGTACAATTTTCATATTTCTAATAAACACATCAAAAAATGGTATTAAAATTTTTTTAAATTCAAATCAAACTTTTTTATTTTTTGTTTCTTTAAATAAAGACTAGTATTTACTACTGAAAAGTATTACTAAAATAAATTAGCATTGATTTTAAAGGATAATATTTTACAGTGAATTTTAACTTATATATACTAAAACACATATTTTTTACTTAAAATGAATTCTTAACTAAATTTGATATATAAACAAACCAGTTAGGACCTGAATGCTTTTTAAAATTCTTGGGGATTCATGAGATAAATATATATACTAGATGCCATTCATTCTAAACTCAATAGAGCTCTTAAATAATGATGATATGAAATGACTTCTGGTTATTGCCATAAACCCTATAAATCTTTATGAAACAATTTGTATCAAATAATCATCAACTAGGTTTGTCTTAATCATATTTATTGATTTTTAAGAAAATAAATTTAAATCTATAAAAGAAAAAGTATTTTATTCATTCAGAAATATTGAACCAAAATTAATTTTTGTTTGTTATTTTTTTTATTTTTTTTTTAAATGTTTCAATTTTTTTATAAATACTAATCATTTTCTAAGATTTATACTCCAATATATTTCTAAAACAAATAAATGAATATATGTCTGATGATTTGATACCTCTGTCCTGTTTCTCAGATTTTTGCGGTATTAAATGGTATAGGTATACTTGAGTCACAAAATTCCAAAGATGACTCTTGATAGAGTTTACATCTTCATTTCTTGAACTCAAGATATTTATCTATAACTGCTGTTATTTCTACTATTTGTTTTTTTCAATTTTTAGAAGAGGTTTTCATTTTTATACAAAATAATTTATTATTTTAACAAAAATAGATAGTTTTAATCAAATTTTTATTATATTATATTGTATTTCTAATTAAATTGTTCTAACCATTTAGCAACATTCCGGTGAATGAAATATATCGATTTTGTCTTACTATTTAGTTGGTGAACTCATCATGAAATGCATGACACCAAAACCTAATCATTCAACTGAAAAAAAGGTCAAAAAATATGAAAGTATAAAATTGCTAACCACAATGTTGACCACTCAAAAGTTCATATGACACTATTTTTTTATTTTTTTTTTTTGAAAGATTCTTAAAAACAACCTGCTCTTCTCTCGAGAATAGTCGCTATGTTTACTTTTAAAATGACATAATTGACCAAACACATAGCGAAGCATCACAAATGCACCGATCTTTAATCTAATAAATTGGGTCAACAACAACAAAAAAAAAAACAAAAAAGAATACAAAAAAATTTATTCTTTTTGTTGTTTTTTTAATTTTTTTTTAATTTTTGATTTTATTTAATTTTTTTAATTAATATTTATGTCTTTGAAATTGATTGTTTCATTTCATTGTACACCAACCAATTCAAAATTTTTATCAATCAAAAAATAATAAATCATTAATTTATTTTTTTTGAAAAAAGATCTAGATTTAGTAGTAAAATAAAATATTATAGAATAATTAATTTATTAAAAAAATATACATTTATGAAAATACCAATTATTAAAAGAAAAACTTCAAAGATAATAAATAATAATAATAATTCTAAATCCAAAAAAAATAATAAAAAGGAAAAAATTTTATATTTAAAAAGTACGAAAAATTATATTTGCTTTTTTTTTTTTTTTAACAAAGTTTGTCCTGGTTATTTTGAAGATAAAATTGCAATTTTATTTAGTTTTTAGATACAAATCTCACCACAATATTATATAACTAAAAGTTTGAAGATTCTCGAGAAAATAAGATTGAAATCACTGGAAACTCTATATAATACAGGATTTAAAAAAATCAAAACAGTAAAATAATTACTTAATAAAGTAAAATCAATCTTAATTTTAATATCATATTTTGTTTTTTATGATTTTTGTTAATCAACTTTGTAACTATATATCAATAATATTAAGATAAAATAGAATAAAATAATTGAAAAGAAAATAAGATACCACCTTTGCATTGCATTTTCGCGAATGTTAATAACACACAACCCTATACTTACACACACTAACACATAGACAACACACCTATACATAGTCTCAAAATTACAATAGCAAGACAAAGAAAGACATCATAATTTATTCATTCACTCTATTTCATTTCATCACCAGATGTATAAATAATAATATCAAAATAAAAAAATATCATAAAATAATAAAAATTTTGCTCAATCCAACTTTTTTAGATCATCTTTGCTTTATTGTTTTATTGCCAAAAACAAAAAAAAATCAAAACAAAAACAAAAACAGCAGTCTTCTAAATCACAACAATCATTCAATCATTTTGACCATATTTTTATAGCTATCATTTAAACTTTAATAGATAATAAAGTCTAATAGTTTACCGATCAATCAATACTATTAAATTTTATGATAAATCATTAAAAACAACATTAAAATCAAATTATTCATTCATATCTTTTTTTTTTTTTTTTTTAAAAAAAAACAATTCATAAATTATAGAAAGTTTAATTATTAGATTATATTAGTTGTGTGTTTTTAATTTATTTAGATATATATATATATTACATTACATTACATATATATATTTACATAACTAATTAAGCTTTATTTTTATTATATCATTAATTATTACTATTATTCATAAATCATAACACTTTATTTTTGTATGATTCTACTTTAATATTTATATTTTGTCGAAATCGAAATATAAATATTCTGAATACACAAAAAAATAGAGGACTATTATAATTTAACGACTACACAAGAGCCCAATACTGAGATTCTACATCGACTCGATAGTAGAATGATAGGTGTATTGGGAGAAGCGGATTTGGCCAAATGTCAAGAGTTGCTTCCAAGAGATCAGAGTTTTGTAACGGGATTCCCGTTGCTGCTGCTGCAGAATAACAGCACTATCAGTCATGCCAAGAGTAAGATACGAACGTACAGCTCAACACTGGTGGCACTGCTGCTGACGGACCGCGAAATCTTTTTGTTTCCGCTTTTGGATGACAACAGCCAGCATCTCGAGATTCTCGGGCGTTCGAAACTGCACGACATCTCATCGGTTCAAACCGGTTACTTGCACAGCAGTTCGTCGTCGATGAAGTCACCGCTGGTCAACTCGACCGACAACGACGGTGTTCTACTGAGCAATCTGAGAACATCGCCAGGTCAATACTCTATGAAGATTTCCTTTAGAAAAGGTGGTGTGGCGGCGACAACCACTACAACAACCTCATCGACATCGTCGTCATCGTCGACCTCTACAACACCAACCTACACAACACCAATACCACCGACAACATCATGGACACTCATGACATTCTCACCCAACGACACACCCGATATCCAAAAAGAGCGAGTTCTCAAGATCGTAGCAACAGTAAACTCTATGGTTAGAGATTCACTGATACAACAGAAACTAGAGGCTCATCTCAACACCTCTGAGAAAATAACAATACCAAATGTATATTATAAAACTGGTGATTTATTAGTAAGTTATATAAATATATAGTTATTATAAAAATCATAATATAAAACTAACTTGTATCTCTCTCTCTCTCTCTCTCTCTCTATAAATTAAATAATAATTAGATTGAAGGTGAAATATATTTAACATTACAAAGACTATCGTTTATTCAAAAGTGTGTAAAAGATTTAAATCTGAAAATTTTAAAAAAGAACAAAGATAACTACAGTTTTTCGATCGACACCATTTCCATTTATGAGTGTAAGCAATCCGAATTGAAATGTGTAAAACACCATCAATCGGTTATACTTTCATCTCAAGGCAAAACACCTGATATCAAATCTTCTTATTTATTTTGTTTCCTTAAATCAGAGTATGTATAAATATAATAATATTATAATTTATTGATTGATTATTAATAATCATTTTTATTTTATTTATTTGTTTATTTATTTTAGGATTGCAGAGATTACAAATAATATTATTAGAGTTATAACAGAAAGTCAAGATATAGTAGATCAAGTTGTGATGGAATCACAACATCATGGTAGTAGTAATGGTGTGATCAATTTCAATGGTAATAGTGGTAGTGTGGGAACTGGTGGTGGTAATAACGATCAGAACAAGTCAAAGCTATCGACTTCGAATTTGAGTGACAGTGAATTCTTGTTGGTCGATGAAATCGAGAATTTCAACGAGGTCGGTAGTTCTAATGAACAAGACACCTACATCGAAGAAGAAGAAGACATTCACCTGACAGCAAACAGCTATCAAACTAAACTAGATGACCAACCAACACATCATCCCACTAAAATCAACTTTAAAGTAAATTCCGATATATTAACAAACGATGATATGTTATGGGTATGTAATAATGTTATATAACATTAATTATCTAATCAATTCACTTTACTAATAACGATCATATTAAAATAACTACATAACAATAACTAAACACAGATACAAAGTCATTTACCATTGAGACATAACGATGATATTTTAGAATTGGCATACAGCACACTAAAGAATGGTATCAGTATAAAGACATTTTTCTCGAGACTGCGTGATCGCTCACCTTGTATAATGGTGGCAAGAGACGATCGTGGACATATATTCGGTGCATTCACTTCGGATCCTTGGAATGCAGAAGAAAACCATTCACTATGGAAGTGGTGAGACATTCCTCTTCAAGATCAAGCCAGACCGCAAGAAGTATCCGTGGACACGTATCAACGATGATTTCATGTTGTCAACGAAAGAGTCGTTCATTTCGCTGGGCAGTGGTGGTAAGGGTGTTGGACTGTGGATTGACGAGGAGTTGTTCTATGGTAGTTCCAACCGATGCGAAACATTCAACAATGATATCCTCGCGCACAGCTCCGACTTTAAACTCATCGATCTAGAGGTGTGGTCGCCCGTCCTCAAAAAGAGCGACAAAGTCAAACAAACAAATGCTACCGACTTTTTCGGAACCACCTACACCTATAAACCTCCACCAAGAAGATTCAACGCTTTTGGTATATAGAATCTCAAAATAAACTTTATCATAAAAAAAAACAATAAAAAAGCATATTAAAGTTCTACTTTTTTTTTGTACAAACATGTTTAATATTATAGAGTTGAATAATTATGATTTTATTTCTTCAACCTTAACCTTTCATCATTCAATAAAATAAAGTTAAATCAAGTAAACTTTAAGATCAAAAGATTTAATATCTTAAAGATACCAACATACATACATACATATAATAAAACGTTTAATAAATCATTCAATAATTTACACTTACAATTATAATACAAAACGATATCTCCATACCATATATTACGAATCAATCGATAGATAATCAGTGTTGGTAATCGGTATTCGACTGTTCCACGATGATATTGTTCGATTGGATTATTTGTGAACAGCTCTGATTTGAGATTGTTGATGTGTTCTTGATATTCCAATATTGAATCGATAAGAATATCTTTTCTTAATCCCCTGTGTAGGTAAAACAAAAGATTATAAGGTATGTACTATTTGAATTTCACTATTCATTAAAAATAGAGAGTAAATTGTTGTCACAGAGTGTTTTGTGACAGATTTAAATAAATATTAACAAACAATTAAACAAGTAAGTATAATATTAATATTTGTTTGTCGAAAGATCTTAACTTTTTGTATAGGTCACAAAATTTACAAAAAATATCAAGATTTTTAGATTTGTTTGATTTCAGACTTTACAATCTTTAACTTTCGGATGAAACTGTTAATTGATAGAAATGTAATTACATTGAAAATATTATTAATATATTTATAAGAATGTACAAATCATTATTTATTTATATTGTAATTGCGTTGATTGCTTTTGGAGTAGTATCAGCAGACACCGCAACAACAACAACAATTGTTTCACCAACAGACAGTTTGGTTCATTATGTTGGAAGATTTGATAAAGGTCAATCCGATCAGTACTATGGATTTTCGTGGAGTGGCTGTCAGATAATAGTCAATATAACGGGTACTACTCAGATCGGTGTAGTTTTGAACTCTCAGCTACCCAATTGGTTCGATATATACATCGATGGTAGTTTGTATTACAGACCTTTCAATGTGAGTGCAGCACCACCACAGCAACAACAGATAGCATTGGTCGACAATCTAGATAGCAGCAAAACCTATGTTATCTCGATATCGAAGCGTACGGAAGCAGAGTTTGGTGAAGTTAGATTCTATGGTTTCTCAGTCGATCCAACTTACTCTTTGAATCGTTACAATCCACCTACCACTCGTAAATTTGAATTCATTGGCGACAGTATTGCAACTGGTTATGGTGACATGGGTAAATCACCATGTTCATTTACAGAATCTACTGAAAATGTTGATTTGTAAGTATTAATTATAGTTAGTTGTTGTTTGTTTGTTTGTTTCAATTGGATAACCAACTAACAATCAAAATTATTACTAAATAGGTCATTCGCAGCAGTCATTACAAATGAATTGTTGGGTGAAATGAATATGGCGGCATGGCAAGGAAAAGGTGTTATTAAAAACTATGGTTCTTCGACACCGACCTCTACAGAAACACTACCGGATCTATATCCTTTCATTTTGCCATTGTCAGACAACTCTAGCTATTGGAATCCAACTGAATTCGTACCGGATGTTCTGGTGGTGAATTTGGGTGCCAACGACTATACCGATCCACCTTATCCAACACAACAACAGTTTGAGTCAACGTTCATTTCATTTATCAAAGTGATACTCGCCGGCTATTATCCTTCACAGCCGAAACTCTTTTTCATTTGTGGTGTTATGATTGGTGATCCCGTTACCTGTACCTACACAGAGAACGTCGCCAATGTCTTCAATGCAACTTATATCGACATGCCCAACATTCAAGATAGCTCCTCTGATTTCGGTTGTGATGGACACCCTACTGTTAGTGCTCATGCTCATATGGCAGCAATTGCAATTCCAATCATAAAGCAAGTAATGAATTGGTGAAACAATTAATATTCGTTTCATAATCAAAAAAAAAAAGGTTAATTCAATTTAAATAAATAATTGAAAATGAGTGCGAAAATTATCATAACAAGTTGAACTTCAAAAAAATGTACATTTTTTTTAAATTTAAAAAAAATCTTAATAGTTTTTTTTTTTTTGTGATCATTGCTTTCAAAATTTTTCTGTTTCTCGAAGAATATATCGTATTGGTCATACAGATCATAAAGTTATTAACATGTTTAGATATAGTTGATATCAAAGTATATAATTATATTACTCAAATTCTAGAGGATGAAATATAAAAGATGAAAATATAGTCGTTGTATATAAAAATAGTGTGGAATATGAGAAATAGCATATATATCTGATTATTTATAATAGTATATACAACACACATCTAACAATAGAAAGACAATGTAGTATTAAATTAATTTTTAAATATTTTTATTATTATTCAGAAGTTCACTCATTAATCCCCGCAATATCTGATTGATATATTCAATTCAATTTTATGATTGACAAATTAATATTAAAAAAAAAATAAAATAAAAAATAATAAATAATTAATAATATCGATTGACAAGTTATCAATGATAGTTAAAGAGGAACTATAAAATGAGAGGTCAGTTGTTGATTCTTCAGTTCAATTCAAAATCAAACAAACATCATCAAATAAATAGTTATTTGTACAACAACAAATATATATATTTATATTACTTTTGTTCAGAAATCAATAGATAGTATCTCTAAATACAAAACAACAAATACATATATTCTTATAAATACTGTATTCATTTATTACAACAAAATATTTACAAATTACAACAAGAATGGCACTATCAACATCAGATATTCAATCAACAAATAATAACAATAATTGTTTATTTGATCGATCATCGACACCACCCCCACCAACAGAGTCTCATAAAGAACCAATATGTCCAGGTGCGCCAAAGAAGAAACGAATTGAAATACAAAGAAGAAATACTGCTATTTCAAGAATTCTATTTCAATAATTATAACAACAATCAAAAATAAATGTATTTGTATTATATCTCTAAATTATTTCCTAATCAATATTATTTATATATTTTAATAATATTTGAAAATAGAAGAGCAGCAATGTAGAATACATACAACTCTTAAGTAATGATCAAAACAAATACAATCATCAGATATTATTCAAATAAATTAAAAATATATGATATTATATTCATCAACATATTTCCAGACAAATTAATTAAGAATAAGTGTGAAGTTCATTTACAACTTCCTGTAAAATTCATTTGTCAAAATGATTAAAACTAAAAAAATTAAATAATTTTAATTCCCGATTGTAAGGTTATGAGGAATAATGGAATGTTTTTTTCCAATAAAAAAATGGAAAAAGATTTTCAATCAGTTTAAGAGGTCTGAAATGCAACTTAAAAATAGAATTAAGTAAATTAATTTAAAAAATAATATCAATTAGAATTTAAATAAAATGATGAATAATATTAATAATCTTAAAAAAAAGGGTAATGCCAGCCCAAAGAAGAATTGGTTTTCAAACAGAGTTCATTCGGCATTGAGTTCAATCGTCAAGAAAAGAGAAAGTCTATCAATAGAAACAATCAAGTATTTGCGAACTAAGCTTCAGAATAATAGTCAGCACAAGAACAAAAGAAATGATGGAGTAAGTTCATCAAAATTAAACTTAGATAGAAGTTCAATGATCAGAGATAATACTGTCAATGGTAGTTCAGCAGAAGAAAGAAAATTATACACCACAAACATTTCGAAAGATAAAAAAGATTTAGATAATAGTCTTTCGTATGTAAATTTAAGAAATTTTAAATATATATTTATTCTTACTAAAAAAAAAATAATAAAAATAGTGATCTAAGTAAATTAATGATTGAGTTGAAAAAAGGATGGGTTTCAATGGAGAATGACCCAAAATATTCACCTGAAAATTTAAAAGAGTATATGTGTCATTTATACTGGATTCATAAACAAGATACAAACACTTTGGTATTTATGGGTGATTATAATAACAACAACGATAGTGAACTAAACAAACAACTGTCAACTCCTGATAGTTTTATTAGTGCAATGTTAAGAGACAATGGAAAGCTATTCATATCATCCAAAAGAGATCAACCAATCGACACACTTGAGTTCATACTTGAATCCATTGAAAAAGGTTATCTTGTGGGTGGTGATATTTTGGTGTTGGACCACAATGTAATTTATGGTGGTGAAGAAACTTTGAAATATATTCTTTTTGCTCTGGGTATTGCCAATATATCTATCAGATTCTTACCAATTAACTCACCAGAACTGAATCCAATTGAAAGCTTATTCAATGATGTCAAGACTAAAAGTATCGAATATAGCAATTGGCAAGAGGTATTCGATATTTCTACGATCAAGGGTCTCTTTACAAGATCAATGAATCCATGGGATAATAATGATCAATCTTGGAGATATTTAGAAAATCTATTGATCAATACAATCAAGTCAGCCATCGGTGATCAAAATAATCCTAATTAATAACATAATAGTTTAAATTGTAATTTTAATAAATATTTACTGGTCATTGATTGATGATCGTTTTTAATTAAAAATAATAATACCTAGTTACAACTACCACTACTTTTTTAAATGAAAAGACTGACCTAACACTTTATAATACTTTTTTTTGATTCTCTTTCTTTTTTCACATTTCTTTGTTTTTTTTTTATAAACCATCATTATATGTAGTGACACAATGATTGAAATAGAAGTTAAGATACCGTTCAATGATAGAATAAGGAATCAGCTATTACAATACAAAGTTGAAACTATTGGAGAACAATCATTTACAGATGTTTACTATGAAGATGAAAACTATAGTTTGACCACCAGAAACATCTGGTTAAGACAAAGAAATGATATATGGGAGTTGAAATTACCAAGATCATTATCATTTAATAATAATCAGCAAATACAACAACAAAATAATGATGTCAGAGCATATAAAGAAGTATTCGAGTTGAAAGATCTATACATTGAACTATCTAGTGTATTGATCGATCAAAAAGTAGAAGGATACCAATGAAAAGGTGACCCAAGCAAAACAACAGATAGATACACTACTAGAGAAACTCGATATCAAAAGCACATTAAACTCAAACAAGACAAAACTACATGGTAAAATACTTGAGTTAATCAAGAGAACAGATTCACATCATTGGCAAGCATTGATAGATTCAAGCAAGACATCATTATTACTCATCTAAGTGTTGGTTGGTTGCATTGTTGGTTTATTTGGTTGCTTTTCAAACAATCAAAATTTAAAGAAATTCTTGCGAAAAGCAATCGATCAACAAATGCATCATAGATGATTCTTCCAAATCAATCAATCAAAAAACAATCACCAAAAAAAAAAAAAAAAAATCAATTTACTATTAGATAATTGACCAATGCTTTTCATCAATGACTCATTTGAAGTAATTCATATGTATCATTATTTTGTAGTGCTTGTTAAATAAATATAACGAAACGAATAGATTAAATTATAAAGATTATTTTATTTGAAACTTTTGTAATACTAGTATTTTAAGTTATAAATTAAGACCATTGTTGCTGCCCAACAACAAAAATGTGTTTATTTTTCTGGTCAACGAAGAGGTATTTGGCGCCAAACAAAAAGGTTCATTTTTTGCGAAATTAGTGGTGAACTTTCAGTACCATTGTTGCATAAAAAAAATAGTACCATTGTTGCAAAAACATGATTCTTATCGATTTTTTCCTTTTTTTGGAATATCATCATGTATTATGACATTTTTCATCATTAATCAAAAATATAACCCAATGTTTTTTTTAATGAGTTACAGCAAACACCAAAGTTTTAAAAATATAAAACTATTTTTATTTTTTTCGCTTATTAATAGAATCCTCAAATAAATTCGAGAGGAACTACCTTCTGTTCAATTATAAATCCCGCATCCACAAAATAAATTCGATATTTTAATGTGTGAGAGCGGTGGTGAGTTGCTTGGATTATGATGTATTTTAGTTTGGACTGTCTTTGATCGCCTCTTTGTTTTGTTTTGATTTGTTTTTTTTTTTTTTTTAAATTTTTTGCAAAAGCAAAAATAAGAGAATAAATGATCTACTAACCCCTGATCAATGCATGTTAGGTACTGTCTTTTTATTTAGAGAGTTAATTGATAATTCCACTAAATATACGTAAACTTTATTAATTAATTGATAAAGGCAACCACTTTTTCTTGTTGTTGGCATCTGTGTGTGTGTTGTGAGTTAATAGATTTTATTCAATTCTAATCACGCATCATAAAAACAAAAACTTGTTGTAATCTTTGGTCTCTGAACGCCCAACCGTTTAATACCTTGATTGCTTTCAGTCAACAACAACTTTGTTTGTCAATTATCGAAAAGTGGACAACTATAATTTACTTCTCTATATAAATATTTTTGTTAAATATATAAGAATTCATTCACTCACACTATTTATATTTCGAAAAGCAATCATTCACTCATCAAAGTAAACTTAAAACAGTAAAAGCAACAAACAAACAAAATAAAAAGTAAGTAAAATTATAAGAATTCTTTAAAACAAGCATTACATTTATATTTTTTGTAAAAGTACTATTTTTAAGTTGTGTGTGATGTTTTTAATGATTATGTCACCTTTTATGTTCAGTTGCTAATGTTTGCTATTAGCTCGTTATTCATGTTCTATTATGTCGAACAACAATAGAACAACCGTTTATCATATTATAGGTGTGTTGTTTGGTGTGTGTGTTTGTTTATTTTTGTTTATTTTTATTCAGTGGGTTAGAACAGACATCATATATCTAGAAAAGATTATCAATCATATATCACCGTTCGGGGTAATAGCAACAAGAATACAGCAAAAGAAAGTCAAAAGTCAAAAATTTCATTATGATATTTTTACCAAAAACCAACAAGGTTTTAGTTTTACCTTTTTTTTTTTCGATATTTATTTTTACATTTTTTTTTTTATTTTTAAACAATTTATAGTTTTTAAAAAGATTGACCTTTTAGTTTATTGTAAACAATCATTCATATTCAATTTCGAAATCGATTTCCATTCAAATTTAGAATTGGAATAAAAGGTTAGTTTTAAAATTTTTTGTAGCTCATGATTTTAAATAACAATAATAATAACATCACATTTTATAAATATGATTCATCAGTTGAATTCACCATTCTGACACCATGGAATGCAGTTGGATTCCATTCAAATCTTCAATCATTTTTACTTATAACCCCACACCCTTTCACTAAAAATCATACCACCTTCCATCCACCTTTTTTTCAAAATTTTGCAAAAATAAATCATAAAAATAATTTTTTACATCGGGGTTTGTCTTTCACCCATTATTACTGGAAACAAGTAGATATGATATTGATATCTGCCTGGTTTAATTGTGATGTGGATTTTCATTAATGTGTGTTCTATTTATTCTTTTTTTTAATACAAATTATTTTTAGAAGATCATATTTATATATGTTTAATTTTATATTATAACTTTTAAATTATTCTTTGTTTTTTTTTGTATTAAATATCACAAACAAAAATTAATCAATAACTTAATATTTATTTATTTATAATAATTTTAGTATCTTTTCATTATTTCAGTATTTTTTATTGATAATTTTCGAAAATTATAAAGTAAAAGATGACAGAAATTGAATTGGAAAGTCATGAGGAGACTCCTCAAGGAAAATCATCTCCAGACAACTCCAAGAAACCAAAGGAGACTAGAGATGAACGTTTAGAGAGAAAGAGAAATAAACGTAAAGATGTTCCAGGTTTCGGTGGAAAAAAGAGTCCAGAGGAGCATGCCAATCCAATCTCAAGATTAACATGGGATTGGGCAAATAAGTAAATATCAAAACCAACAATTATACTTTAATGAAAATATTGTTACTCAATTTCAATAACTAACCTTATTTAATAATTATTAGATTTGTATGGTTTTGTTTTAGAAATGTATTGGAACATAAACATATTTGGAATTTAGCTAGTTTCGATAGTGCAGAATATTTAACAAAGAAGATCTCTGTCGAATGGGAGAAAGAAAAAGTAAAACCAAAGTAAGTAGTTCGCGAAAAATGATATATGATGATGTTTTCTTCTTTCATTTTATTAATAATTGCTTTGCAATATATTTCAAATAAAATAAAATAGACCATCATATACAAGCGCAGCAGTCAGAGCATTTGGATTATATTTCGCAGTGAGTTGGATTTATTATGCAATTTATTGTGCTTCACAGTTTGTAGGACCAGAGCTTTTGAAAAAGATGGTTAAATATGTTGCTCAAAGCAGAATTCCAGATTCCGGTGTCGATCTAAATATGGGTTACTACTACGCCGTAGCACTCTTTGGATCATCTATGATTGGTTCTTTTTGTTTATACCAATCCAATATGATATCTGCAAGAGTTGGTGATTATGTAAGTTAAAGTTCAACAAACAAACAAGCAATTCAATGGAAAACTAATATTTTGAAAATTATTATTATTATTCACCTAGATGAGATCAATTATTGTATGTGATGTCTATCGTAAATCATTAAAGCTGAGTAATGCAGCAAAGAGTAAAACATCGGCAGGTGAAATTGTCAATCTTATGAGTAACGATGCTCAACGTATGATTGAAGTGTTCTTGTTGGTGAACAACGGTGTGTTTGCACCATTCCAAATCGTTGTTTGTATTGTATTGTTGTACCTAGCCATTGGATGGCCAACATTTGTCGGTCTCGGATTCATGTTGATCATGGTGCCACTCAATGGTATGGCCGCGAAAAAGTTGATTGCTATCAGACGTGCTATGATTAGATTCACCGATGTCCGTGTGAAAACCACCAATGAAATCTTGCAGGCGATCAAAGTCATCAAGCTCTACGCCTGGGAAGACAGTTTCGCCAAGCGTATCATTGAGAAGCGTGCTGATGAAGTCGTACAGCTCTTCCAATTCACCTATGTCAGAGCGGGACTTATCTTCTTGGTTGCTTCGGTACCGACCATCGTATCGGTCCTCGTATTCTCAACCTACTATGCTGCGCTCGATGAATTTAATGCAGCCGATATTTTCGCTGCCATCGCCTATTTGAATATTCTGAGAATGCCACTTGGATTCCTTCCGATTATCATTGCTATGATTGCACAGTTGAATGTCGCCGCACAAAGAGTCACTGATTTCTTGATGTTGTCAGAGATGGACCCAATTCCAGAGCCTGCCGATCCAAACAAACCAAACGGTATCTACATTAGCAATGCAACATTCACTTGGAACGAAACCAAAGACGGTAGTTTCGAGTTGAAGGATATCGACTTGAGCGCAACCGGAAAGAAACTCACTATGGTCGTTGGAAACGTCGGTAGTGGAAAGTCTTCGATTTGCCAAGCGATGCTTGGTGATATGACATGTACCAGCGGTTCGATTGAATCGCGTGGAAAGATTGCATATGTTTCGCAACAGGCTTGGATTATCAATGCGTCGTTGCGTGAGAACATTCTCTTTGGTTTGCCAATGGACGAAGAGAAATACCACAACGTAATTCACGTCTGTGCGTTGGAGCGTGATATTGAGTTGTTCCCACAGGGTGATCTCGTTGAGATTGGTGAGCGTGGTGTCAATCTTTCCGGTGGACAGAAACAGCGTGTTTCCATTGCACGTGCAGTCTACTCTGACTCGGACATCTATATTCTCGACGATCCATTGTCGGCCGTCGATGCTCACGTTGGAAAGCATTTGTTCCACAAGTGTTTCAACGGTGCACTCAAAGGAAAGACTGTCATTCTCGCAGCCAATCAACTTCAATACCTGCCATATGCAAATGAAGTGATTGTCATGAATGCCGGTCTCATTAGCGAGCGTGGTACCTACCACGAGATTCTCAAAACCAAGGGAGAGTTCTCAAAGCAACTAGAGGACTACGGTATCGAGGAGATGGACGAAGAGGATTCCGACGAGGAAGTTGTCATCGAAGAGAAAACAAAGAAGGAGAAGATCGTTCTTCAAAACAAAGACGGTACATTGATTCAACAGGAGGAGCGTGAAGAAGGTTCCGTTTCACTTGCAATCTACTTGAAATACTTTACAGCCGGTGGAGGATTCCACTTTGCTTGTGCATTAATTTTGTTCATGTTGGATATCACCGCGTCGACCGTTAGCAATTGGTGGTTGTCTCATTGGTCCAACGAAACAATTAATCTCACCAGCAAAGACGCCAAATCATCGGAGGGTTTGACCAGTCGTCAATATCTCTATATCTACATCGGTATTGGTATTCTCGCTATTATATTCTCAGGTTTCCGTAACTTTGTTTATTTCAGCTACACTGTCAAAGCCGGTGAGACTCTACACAACCAATTGTTCTCTGCTTTGTTGCGTGCTCCAATGTGGTTCTTTGATACCACTCCACTCGGTCGTATTATCAATCGTTTCACTAGAGATTTGGACGGTGTCGACAATCTTATTGCCGCTGCACTCTCACAGTATATAGTATTCTATCTGATGGTATTGGCCACCTTGATTATCATTGCCATTATCATTCCATTCCTGCTGATACCACTGGCACCAATCATTATCCTCTTCTACCTGCTCCAGAACTTCTATCGTCATACCTCTCGTGAGTTGCAACGTCTCGAGTCAATCAGTCGTTCGCCAATTTTCGCACATTTCTCCGAGACACTGGTTGGTGTATCTACCTTGCGTGCCTACCGTACTCAAGAGCGTAACATTCGCACCAACATGCAACGTCTCGACGCCAACAACCAAGCATTCCTTACACTCCAAGCCATGAATCAATGGTTAGGTTTACGTTTGGATCTCTTGGGTAATTTGGTTATTTTCTTCACCGCCATCTTTATCACTATCGATCGTGAAACCATTGAGTTTGCCAGTGTCGGTCTTGCCATGTCCTATTCACTCTCGTTGACAGCCAATCTCAATCGTGCAACTCTCCAGGCTGCAGATACTGAAACCAAGATGAATTCAGTCGAGCGTATTGTCCATTACATCAAAGGACCGGTTGAAGCACTCCAAATCGTTGAGGGTTCACGTCCACCTGCCAACTGGCCACAAGAAGGTGGCATCACTTTCGACAATCTCGTCATGAGATACCGTGAGGGATTGGATCCAGTGTTGAAGGGAATCTCCTGTGAGATCAAACCAAAGGAGAAGATTGGTATTGTCGGTCGTACCGGTGCCGGTAAATCATCGATCGTTCTTGCTCTGTTCCGTTTGATCGAAGCATCGGAAGGTCGTATCTTGATCGACGGACAAGATATCTCCAAGTACGGTCTCAAGGATCTCCGTCGTAATCTCTCTATTATCCCACAGGATCCAGTTCTATTCTCTGGAACTTTGCGTTACAATCTCGATCCTTTCGACGAATCGAATGACGACGAGCTCTGGGAGTTACTCGAGAACATCCAGCTTAACACCGTCGTCAAGGAGTTGGAGGGTGGACTGCTCTGCAAGGTGACAGAGAACGGTGACAATTGGTCGGTTGGTCAACGTCAGTTGATCTGTCTCGGTAGAGCACTCCTGCGTAAACCAAAGATTTTGGTGTTGGACGAAGCAACTGCCAGTGTCGATTCCTACACCGATGCACTCATCCAACAGACCGTCCGTACTAAATTCTCAAATTGTACTATTCTCACTATTGCACATCGTCTCAATACCATTATGGACAGTGATCGTATCATGGTTTTGGATGCCGGTCGTATCAGTGAATTCGACTCGCCACACGTATTGCTCCAGAATCCAAATGGTTTGCTCACTTGGCTCGTTGATGAGACCGGTCCACAAAACTCAGTCGTTCTCCGTAAGATGGCCAAAGAAAGCTCCTACGGTGTTTCTCTACCAGAGGAATTGACCGAGAGCAAGAAGAAACCAAACTCACATTCACAAAAAGGACAAGCAATTCCAAAGGTAATCGAAACTCCAATCATCGAGACACCAAGTGTACAACCAGAAGCACCAGGACCAGTACAACCAGGACCAACCTCAAATACTGTTGTAGGTGATGAAGAAGAACAACCAACATCTGATAACAATAATAATAATAATAATAATAATAATAATAATGTTGATGACTCAAGTTCCTCTTCAGATTCAACCAGTGACAGTGAGAGCAGTGATGAAGAATCAACTACCGGTACTACAAATACTACTACTGCCACAACATCAGAGACAACAACACCAAGCCAAACAGATTAAATATAATAAATAAATAAAAGTACCTGCTGTTTATATAACCAAAATTACCATTTGTTTCTTTTTTATCCATATTTCATTACATTTCATACACTAATTGGTTCGTTTATTCTTCCCTTCAATTCTAAGCTGTAGATATTAAATTTACTTGTAATCATTCATCTAACATTTGCAAACATTTATAAATTGAAATCCTTTTTTTTTTTAATTTTTCTTTGATCGACCTGATCAGAAGGACAAAAAAACAATTTAGTAATTATTTGTATTATTTAATCTAAAGTCATTAATATTTATTGTAAAAGAGATATAGAAAAGAGATAGTTTATGATGAGTGGATCTATTACACCTATCAACAATGGTGGCAGTGTAAACAACAATACCACTATAGGTGGTGGTTTGATAAAATCATTTTCAAATTTAGTATCGAGCAATACTTTTCAGAAACAACAACAGCAACAACCAGAATATAATATAATAAATATAACAGAGAATCACGAATCGATCATTCATCTTCATTTGAATGGTAAACCATCAGTGAAATTGAAACTAGTGAATAAAGGCAATCAAATATATTTAGGTTAGTAATTACTGCATCTCTCTATTAAGGTCTATTTATTGCTATGATTGCAGCTACTAGTATCATACTTATACGTTTTTATATATAAATAGATATAGATCACAGTGATGAGAATCAACAATTTACAGCACTGATAAAAAACAATACAAGAAAGTTTTATTTCAAAGGTATCATCAATTCTATTGGAAAAGTACCTACTACCTGTGAGGATTCACATTTCCTTTCACAAGATTTCACAGCTGTTGGTGTTGCGGATGGTATGTTTATATTGATTGATGTTAAAATTAGTAGAATTTGATTACTAATGTTTGTTTGTTTGATTATTTGCAAGGTGTTGGATCATGGCGCTCTGTTGGTGTCGATCCTGGTGAATATAGTAGATCACTTATGAAACATGCAAACAATTTATCAAACAGCATAAACTATCTGAAACCGTTCGATCTGATAGAACAAGCATATAATCAGACACAGAACATACAGGGAAGTTCTACAGTGTGTATATTAAAATTAATTGGAACAAGAATGTATCATGGTTTAGTTGGCGATTCTTCATTTTTAATCATTCGAAAAGATCAAATTTTATATAGATCAAAAGAACAAACTCATAGTAAGTTAAAAATTCATCAAAAAAGTTAGCATGTCTGTCGATTCTAATTGAATTGTTATTCACAAAAAAAAAGAACCAAATCATCCATTTCAACTTGGACAAGGATCAACAGATAGACCAACTTCAGGCGATTATAACGAACACAATGTACAGGAGAATGATATAGTGGTGATTGGAACTGATGGATTCTTTGATAATGTCTTTGACGAGGAGGTATTGGAAGCGATAAGAAAAGTAGAGTCTGTCGAAACATTTTTTAAACTCTTGATGGACATTGCTAGGAGTAAATCAGTTGACCCCAACTCAAATACTCCACACGGAGTTCGAAATCAGCATAGAGGTGGCAAACAAGATGATATTACTGTAGGATGTTTTGTTATTTCCTACAATCAAAAAGAATAGTAGTACAATTAATTGTTATAGTAGTAAAGTAATTAGTAGTAAAGCAACTGGTAACTCTTCAGAATTAGTTTTTTTTTTTTCAATTCTATTACTGGTGATTTAGTAGTATATATCAAATACATTGTTTATCAAATTTGGATTACATTTGTTTTTGATCGAACGATATATAAATAATTCTCATTCTTGTTGGAATAATTTTAATTAAATAAATTACAAAAACCACAATATACAAGACATGGTATAATGAATATCAACAATTAACTATTTAGTTTTATCCTTCTAATTCCTTTCCTATATATAATAATAACAACGAAGCTTTTTCCTATTTATTTATATACTGCTTTCTGATAAACTAAATTTACAATAACCTCATCGAATTCTTCCTTTGGTTTCAAGACGGTCTCTGGATCAAAGCTATTGGCGGTGGCATAAGAAGTCTTGGCATTCTCAATCATCGATGAAATGATATCGTAGGTAATCTGTTCGACTTCATACTTTCCTAGTATGGTATTCAAATACTTCATCTCCAGTACGAAATGTTGAAGTCCACCATAGCCATAACTCATGGATTGACCTAGCGTCTGTAGTTTCTGAGAGATGACAACAACGATCTCCGAGAGGATACGAGAGGTAATTGGAATGACACTTTCTACGTTGACGTTGTTTTGAATCGAATTGGACAGTGTCTCCAAATACTCTGAGAGCTTGATAAACTTCTTGGGGAACGGTTCTATCTCTTCCTCGATAGAGTAGACACCTTCATCCCAAATCATTATGTTCACGACTATCTCGACTGCCTTCTTCGCTGCATACTCATCTCTGATCCTCCTAAACAAACCGTCGAGATTCTCTTTGAGCATCTCTAGATTGTTGATTGGTCTGTCCAATGCATCTTCGATTCTATTTGAAATTCTAAACAATAGATCCTCTGTAATGAAAACTGCATCCGATATGATTGCATGTGCTTGACTATCATTCAAATCCTTTTGCATCGCTGTCAACAAGTGTGACATGTATTCCTTAAATATCTTTTGTAATGAACTTGATACTACTGGTATAAGCTAAATAAAACATAAATAAATTAAACATTATTAAAATCTATATAATTAAATATTAATTGTTTCTTACTTCAACAGTTGTAATATGACAGATATCATTTGCAAATCTTTGTATAATTGTATTTAAAAATATAGTACTCTCTGTTAGTTTCAATTTAACTTCCTCTGTTTGTTTTTAAATAAAATGATGATAGTTTGTCAGTAATATAATCTTTTTTTTTTGTTAATACTAATTCTTTTAACTAGTTACCATTGTGTTGCTGATGTTGTAGATGTTGGCTTATGAAAGAGTTCTTTGGTGATTGAACAGGTGAGTTTGGAGCTGATTTAGGTTGAATTGTAATCTCATACTCCCATTGAGTGTTACCAACCCATTTCTCTTCATTTAGATGTTGTTGTAAAAGATCTACAATCTTTGATTCATAGGTTGATATTAACTTTTCTAGATGTGGATTTAACAATAAATTCCAATAAGATATCAAAGATAAACCACTTTGATCCAACTATATATATATATATATATATATAAAACATATTATGTATAAATTAATAAATCGATGACCTATTAAATGGTATGTTCTTATCCATCGATGTTCTTACCATTTCACAATGAGATTCAACTATTCTTAAAATATGAGATATAGTTTGAAAGTTATCGATAATGAATACTTGTCGGTTGATGGTATCACAGATGATCTCTAGCTGATAGATGATCCACTCGATCAAACCACTCGTCATGTATGCCTCTGAGAATGAGTTGCAATAGTCTTGACAGGTTGTATCGATCTGACTGAATGTAATCTTTGTTATCTCACCGATGTTTCTTACTAAATCACCGCGTTTAACTAGCTTTTTGATGGCTGCCTGTATGGTGTTGGTTCTACTCTCTAGGAAGATGGTTTTAGCTTGATCGGTTTGACCGAGACGAACCAACCAAGCAATGGTTTCTTTGATTTGAGTTGGTTTCAAAATAGGTGATCTTAGCGTATCTATCAGTGTCTCTGTCAACGACTTGATTCTCTGATCTACCAATTCCTTCAATGGATGTGTTTGCATTACAATCTCTACCTTTTGATTATTTTGATATATTTCATTAACTAGTATGATTATAACAACAAAGTAACGAGTGTTGTTAATATCTTGTTTCATTATTATCTAACTAATCATTATTTAAACTCACTTTTTTCAACAATAGAAACAGCAGTTTCAAATTCTCTTTGCTCTACAGCAACCTCTAATTCATGTGGAACTGTTGTTAACCATTGAATTGGTTCTGTTGTCTTTGAAAGTGTTTCATATTCATTCTTTGATTGTTGTTTAATTTTATCTGTAATAGTAGAAAGATATATTAGTATCTATCTTTTGAACATTATTTTTATAGGTTTTAAGTAAATGTCTTACAATGATCCCAATTAATAGATAGATTCTGTATTGCTGTAATATGATTTCCATAATCAGTTATTAAATTTCTAAAATCTAACATATCTACTTCAGAATCTGATTATTATTAAATATTAAAAAGAACAAAGTTAGTTGTTATTATTATGTGATTATGAGCGGTATTCATTTTTTACATACTCGCAATCTCTTTTGATGCACCAATGAAAATAGTATGATTCTTATATACATCTTTCTTTAAAAAGTCAATACATCCTAGTTTTCTTTCATTCAAGAATGATAAATGCTGTGTAGATTGTATTTCATTCTTATGTTGAAACAAATCATTTGTATCTAAAAGAAATTAAGTTAATAAAATGATGATCGATCAATCATCTACGTATACATTCATTTATTAGTTATTATAAATCTTACATTTATCAACAGAGAATAGATTATTTGAAAATGTAGTATATGATACGTTGTTCTCTTCTTTCGAACCGGATGCACCACCACCCTTTGCAATGTCTAGACCTTGATTGATGTCCCATCGATAGACGGTCTTCTTCTTGTCGGTGTGAAGACATGTTACGAGACCCTCTTTGAGATCGATCGAGATCTTGATCGATGACTTTGGGTTTACCAGTTGGGTCAACGGTCCTATCCACTCTCTATACATAAACTTCAGTACATAGATACCGCTCGGTCTGATATCGACACACTCTATATTCTGATAGACAACATTGCTGCTTGCAGTCGAAAGTTTACTATCAAACTCTAAATCATAGACACCTCCTTTCTTCATGAATCTAGTGAACTAACGATCGATCTAAACTAAATATTATTGATCAACAACAAACAACAACTACTTTCTACTAAAAATAACAATATCTTTTTAAAATCTTTTTAATTTAATTTATTTTAATTTAATTTCGATGGTAATTGTGATGCTAGACAAAATTAAAAAATTCAACACTGAAGTCTATAAAAGTGCACCTCAACAGGAAAAAATTTAATAGAAAAAAAATAGAAAAACTTGGGTTGGTAATCAATCAGCATTGGGTGTTCAGCTGATCTATTAAACTTTAATTAAATTTATCATTGTGATGATTACATGATTATGTGGGTTGGTTTAATTAATTAAAATTTTTTGGTTGTCAGTCCTATTTTTAATAAAACTATAAATAAACATTCCTCTTCAACCTCAACCTTTCATCACTCAATAAAATAAAGTTAAATCAAGTAAACTTTAAGATCAAAAGATTTAATATCTTAAAGATACCAACATACATACATACATATAATAAAACGTTTAATAAATCATTCAATAATTTACACTTACAATTATAAAACAAAACATTAGAAAATGAAAGTAGATTCAATTGTTATTGCTAAAGTTTTGACAGCTGGTGCTATTGCCTCGTTTGCAGCGGTCTCTTGGAAAGTATATTTATTGGACGTTCCAAAGTTTTTTGAGGATCTCAAGGAATCGAGTGCCAAATCATTAAAGTCGTTCACAGAGATGTACAAGCAAACCAGTCCAGTACAAATTACACTCAGTGTTATCGGAACATTGTCTAGTCTCTATGTTGCCTACAAGACCAAAGATAGAAGATGGTTAATGGTGACATCGCTAGCTGCTCTACCAGCCTCATTCACAATTGCTTGGTTGGGACCACAAGTCAACGAGAAACTCTTCAAACTAGAGGAGAACTCTGACAAAGGTGAGGTTGCCGATACCGAACAAGTCGAAACATTGCTCACCAAATGGAAATATGCTCACTTGGGTCGTGCTGTTGTACCCACTATTGCATTGGCTGCACTCTACTCATTGAAACCATTCAAGCATTGTTTCTGTCATTTAAAAAATTAATAATATAATATAAATATCCAATAATAATAATTAATAATAGCAATTTAGAAAAAAAACAAAATATGTATATAAATGCCACCATCATATTCAAATGAGAATACTTCAACTAACATTCAAATTTGAACTTAAGTTCAGATTAAAAAAAATATATAAAATAGTTAAAAATATATATTAATATTAATAAATAAATAAATGTTTATTTAGACCTAAATTGCAATCTCCGCTTGATGATGTACAATCCTGAATAAAACTGTATTAGATCTTTCTATTAAAAATTAATCTTGATTTCAAATGAGGTTTGGGTGTCTTTAAGATGCTTGAACTTAAATTTGTGATGATCACAAGATTATGTGGGTTTAATTTAATTTATTACATTTTTGTTGTTCACCTATTTTTAATTAAACTAAAAATAAACATTCTTCAAACCTTAACCTTTCATCATACAATAAAATAAAATCAAGTTAAAAAAGATCAAAATAATTAATATCTTAAAAATACCAATAAATAAAAATAAAGATATATTAAGAATTCACTTACAAGTATAACATAGAAAATGAAAGAAGATTCAATTGTTATTGCTAAGGTTTTGACAGCTGGTTCTATTGCATCGTTTACAGTGATCTGTTGGAAAATATATTTCTTGGATGTTCCCAAGTTTTTTGAGGATCTCAAGGAATCGAGTGCCAAGTCATTAAAGTCGTTCTCAGAGATGTTCAAAGTAAACAGTGTAGTTCAGACTGCACTCAGTGCTATTGGAACAATGTCTAGTCTCTATCTTAACTACAAGACCAAAGATAAAAGATGGTTAATAGTGACCTCACTAATTTCTCTACCAACTACATTCACAATCGCATGGTTACGTCCTCAGGTAAACCTGAAACTTTTAGCCCTCAAGGAGAACTCTGACAAAGGTGAGGTTGCCGATACCGAACAAGTTGAAACATTGCTCACCAAATGGAAATATGCTCACTTGAGTCGTGCTGTTGTATCCACTGTTGCATTGGCTATATTCTACTCATTGAAACCATTCAAGCATTGCTTATGAAATACAAAGTATTAATAGTATATTAGCATTAGAAAAAGAAAAAAAAACAAAAACATGTATCAATAAATATAATCATCAAATATGTGTAATTTCATTTTATGCCTCCCTATAAAATGAAATAACACAAATGATTACTTTATTAGTAGATCAATAGTTTGAGTAATATTTATTTAATTTTTAACAAAATAAAGAATTATGTTTGAAATAATTTTGTTTAAACAATCCAGTTGAAACTGATGTTATCGACTTGGACAATGGTAGTTGGTGTCATTTGAATGTTAAATGGAGTACCATCAATGTTCTGGAGGTGGATAATTCCGAAGGAGATGACAGCTCTGACTTGGTAAATCTTTGGGAAACAGGCAGATCCGTTAGCAAAGATTTGGACGGTTGAGAATCCCATTACATAATCAACTGGGTTGAATGCTGGATTTGGGAGGGTAGTAGTACTAGTAAAGAATAGATTTCAGAAATAAGTATATTGAATTGGAATTAATATTATTCTTTTGCTTACCTCTTGATGGCGTCATTGATCCAAATTGAGGAAGTTCCACCGAGTGGACCGAATCTAATGCTACTAGTTTGGAGGGCTACATGGCTGAGAGATCTCTCGACTCTGACATTAACAGGGGTGGTCAAAGTACCGAAAGTGAAGGTCCAGGTGCTGCTATCATATTGAGCATTGGTAAAAGCAACCAAGAGCAAGACTAAAAGGAAGGTTGAAGTATATTTGAACATATTTGTAGATATTGGGTTATTATATTTGTTTGTTTTAAATGATAATTGTAAATTTGTAATTTGATGAATGAAAAGTCGATATTGGTAACTATTTATACTTTCTCTAAAGTACTTTAATATTCATTATTCTTTCTTTTTACAAACGAGTACCTATTAATTTCGAGGAAACAATCAATGTTTGTAACAGGAGTTATGGAGATTTAATTCTAATGTTTATCTAAATGAGTGAAATTACATTAATTTGAAGTCTATGGTTCCTTATAATATCCACTATAACTCTGAAGACAAGACAAAGAAACTTGGATATGACAAATCATCTGATTAAAGAGATTGATAAAATTGATTGAAGATTTGGGAATACCACCTTTGATTAAGGGCATGCTGATCAATCTGAACTTGAACAATCATTCTCACTTATAAAACGATGAATATAAATTAATTTTTTTTTCTACTAGTGCAAACAGTGAAAGTTTGCACATAATCATATTATTTAAAAAAAATCAAAATCAAACATTCAGATTTTGTTTTCCAAACCGCTGAATATCATTATTGGGCAATTGTTTTTCAAAAAAAAAATTTTAAAAAAAATAAGTGACACCCTTCAGTGAATTTGGTATTCCAAGTACAACCATTTGAATATATAGTTCTAATTTCTTCTCAGTCTGTCTGTATTATTTCTGAGTTCCCTTTTTTAAAGCACACTCATATCTTAATGTTACACATGTTGTTTTAATTTTATTTTGTTTTAATTTTATTTTATTTAAAATTACCCATCTCCACTGAACTAAGACTTCTTTCAAACTCTTGTATATGATTTAATAGAGGTACATTTTGTTATGATTTTTGACTATTTTTTTGCAGTCACTTGGGCTGAAGAATGATTAAAGAAAAAAAGCAAGAAGTTTAGTGAAGAACAGGAATGAAACTATTAGGTTTCGATAAATTCATACTATGATCATCTGGAGAAAGTGGAAAAGAAAAGAAGTAAGAGTATTAGTCATTCTCATCTTGACAAGTATTTCCTTAATAGACTTACTAATTACTTCTTTTATATATTTTATCTCGTCTTCTATCAAAGAAAGTTTTTTAACATGCTCTTGGTTGAGGTTGATTATCGCACTATCTCTCTTCGGTACCAAGATCTTTCGAACCTTTTATCCAATTTACCACCTCCTGAATATCGTTCATATCAATATATTCTTTCTTATAATAAACAAATTGCTTTAATTATATAAGAAGTATAGGGGAAAAAACAAATATTTATTTGTTTAACAAAAAAAAAAAAAAAAAAAGAAATTTTATCAGACTTTTTCACACTTTATTTGTTAACAAATAAATAATTTTTAAAGTGTTGGTAAAAATATTGTTATTTAAAGATTCTTTTATTGACCAAAATGAGAAGTATCAGTTGGATGTGATATGTTTGGTACAAAAGGTGGGGTGGCTTTACAGGTTGATATTGATAACCAGTCTATACCTTCAAAGAATGGATGCTTCTTTATTGCGTTGGAATCTAAACGCTTTCTCTCGGGTGCAATGAGACTATAATAATAATAATGAGAAAGAAATTAGTAAATGATCATTCGATATTAAAATGTATGAAAGAAAAGTGTACAAAATTTGATGAAAAATGTATGTTGTTTTTGTTAGATGAAAATGGTGAAGATGATAAAGAAAGAATAGATGCGATGATTAATGTGGGAAGAAGAATTGATGTAAAGCGATGTGATTTGAGATGATAAGTGGGATGGGTAAAAAAAAAAAAAAAAAGTAACAGAAAAATAACAAATATTTGATGAGTTTAAAATATTGTAAACAACTCTAAAGAAATACAAATGATTGTAGATCTAGCGAATCGAAACAAAAATGGAACTTATCCATACTCTCTAATTAAAGATTCTGCTACTTTTGGAATTGGTTGGTTCTTTGAAATTGCAGTATTCAAAAGACCTCTCCAATTTCCAATGTTTTCTCTTATCTTTTGTTCGGTGGTGTCGGGTGATTCAACGAAAAGTCCTTGACCAGTGATTAATTCGAATAAAATAGCACCAAGTGACCAATAATCACAAAGCTTGGAATAAATAATTCCTTGTACAACTTCAACTGCCATATACTGTGGTGTTCCAACATATGATGTATATGACTAATATTAAATAGATATAATAATTAATATAAAATTGTTTGTTTGTTTGTTATTGGTTTTTTTTTTAGTTTAAACACTTACACAACTTGGATTTCTTAAGAATGAAGTGAAATTTGGTGGAGTATTTCCAAATACTTTATCTGCACTGTTTGTGTTGACGATTTGTTTGGAGCTACCATAATCGCACAACACCAAATGTCCATCACGATTGATCATGAGATTCTCTGGCTTTACGTCACGATGCAACCAACCCATGTTATGGAACTGTTCGATGCAGACAACCAACTCTGCAATATAAAATTGAATCTCTTGCATGGTGAAAGAATTATTGTCACATTGCCTCTTGTAGCAATGACTGTTAAAATCCCCACCTGGAAGATACTCCATCACCAAATTAAATGTAGCTTCCTCCTTGTCAATGAATGCATAATGTAGCTTTGGACCTCTATTGTTTCCTCTGGTATTGCATGCAACCATAGCATCTCTTTCTCTTTTTGCTCTTTTTATCTAAAATAATTAATTATTGGTAAAAACTATTATTATTACATCATTTTTAATAATAAAACTTTAATCTTACAACTAATTCGGAATCAAATACATCATGGTATGGGATCTTTTTCAGAGCATATACATTCTCTGTATCTTTTTGTTTGACGATGAAAACCTCGCCATATGAACCATTACCAATTGTTGATAATATCTCAAATGATTTTATATCGATGTTGCTAGATTCCTCTAGTTTATAATTGAATTCTACCTCTTCAGGCTCGGATGGTCTGTTTAATCTGTTTTCCAATGATGCAATGGAAATTGGCTCCATTTTGTAAAGTTTGAAATGTTGTGGATAAAAAAATTTTAAAGGAATAAGATAGTGTTGTTGTTGTTTTAAGATATATATATAAAATAAATAATATATAGTGAATATGGAAAATGCTAGAAATTATAAAATGGAAATGGTAACAGTAAAAAAAGTAATTTTATAAGATTAATAAAAAATGTTTAAATATTAAATTAATAATTTAGTTAATTGGACAAATAAATATATAGATATAAATATTATAAAAAATGATTTTGGAAAAACAAATATATAATTTTTATAGTAAAGTTTATTGTAGTTTTGATTTTTTTAAAAAATAAATAGTTTTTTTGCTTTTGAATATCAATAATTACAATGAAATAAAAATATATAAACTTCTCACTATTATATTCAAATAATTGGCAGTAAGCTTGGATTCACAGTTGAAAGATACGACTGACTTTTATAAAACGGTGTAAATGTGTTTATGTGTTTGTGTGTGTGTTTTGCATGTACACATACAACCAAAAACACCTTAAATGAAAAAGTGTGTGGTGGAACAGATATTTGGATGTATATTAATTTTATGAGTTTTGTAGTAATAATTTTAGATTGACGTCTGTTGCAACAAGATGATCTATTTTTGTTTTGCAATGGTGAATATGATATTTTTTTATATAAAGATAAAAGCAATAAAGTAATTACTATTTGTTGTTGTTTTTGTTATTGCTATTATTTGGATATTATTGAAAAATGATGAATGACAACCAACTATTTATAATGTTAGGTCTTTCTATTGTTTGGTGATTGGATCGCAGTATTTGCGCTTTAAAAAAAAAAATAAATACGATATAATATATGGAAATAAATAAATAATAAATGGTGGCGGGGGTGTTGGTTCAAAATAAATCGAAAAAAGGAAATCAAAGAGACAATGTGTAGCTGTACTCTTAAGTCGGTTCTCTTTCCTTTAGGTGTTTCTATATGTACATATAGAGAGGTAGTTGTAGTAGTAGTATAATGATAGTTTAGTGTAAGTGCTAGTGCTAATGCCTGTGTTGTTTGTGCTGACTAATCATATATCTTGTTATGGAAAATAAAGACGGTGTGGTGTTTGAATAATTGGTTTGATAATGAATGATGCTGATGATGATGCTGGTGATTCTGCTCTGTTGACACTAAAAACTAATGATAAAAATGCAAAATAAATTGATGTCCTTTAAAATAAAAATTAAAAATAGATTTTATAAATGTGTAATGGTGGTGACTGGTATTGGTAGGGCTTGTAGTAAATTATTGCTTAATAATATTATTAATTGTAAAAATGTTAAGTTTATTATAATTTTAATTATTCGATTATTGTATTGTTGCTTAGTTTATAATTAAAAATATAATTCATCTAATCAAGCGATTACTATTTATTACTATTTTAATTTATTTTTATTTTATTATTTGATTTGGCGGAAAAAAATAATTGGACTGTTTATTATTTGTTATTTGTTTAAACTGGATTTTTAATTTAATGTTGTTGTGATTACCATTTTAAAGCATCGATGATGCTAATCGATGGTTAACAACAAATATGAGAATGTGAATGAATAATAATATTTGAACGATTCACTTTTGTGATTATAAAGATGCATCATTAATGAGAATGATGAATAGTTGTTTGTCTGATTCCAGTGTTTGTTGATAGAATCATCGCTTTTTTCCAAATAATGCCGGTGCTTTTCAGTTCTTAAGTAATGATAATATTAACAATAAATCTACACAAAATCATACACCACCACAATTATTAGCACACAAACCAAACACAAATACACACACCACCACACTGTCAGATCATCCCAATATACCAACACACACACAAACCAACCACATCTATTCTCAAGATTGATTAAATATTATTATTTAATTTGTTATTAAACTAGTTTAACCATATTAATAAATTAAATAATCATATTTAATTACTATTGGTGAAAGAATGAACAAAGAAAAACGACAGAAGAACAGAACAAAATATAAACTTAAGGAACTACCCCACCACATCTTTAATATTCTACCACTTCAATCAAAATCAGCTGTACAACCACCACTGATCAGAACAACAACAACAATAAAATGTTTGAAAAGAGATGAATGAACCCACAAATCATAATATGATTCAGTGTGGTTGTTATTGCTATTATCATTTTTACGATAAGATTATGATTAAATGAACTGTATAATTATTGAAATGACAAATAGAGAGGAAGAATCAAAAGTGGGAAGCAGAACAAGACAACACTCCCACCTTTGCATTAAGTTGGCTCTCTTAAACACATTTTAATAAAAGTATAAGATGAAATGAATGAAATATTGTATTGTGTTGGCTGTTTTATAAACTTGATCGAATGACTTTGATAATATTATGCAATACATACCGTCGTTTAATAGATTGATTGTATAGATTTGATAAAGAGATAGACGACATATAATATAATATGATAATAGATTACTGATGGTTTTAAATAAACAAATAAACATGTAAATTAGAATGAAAGAATGTGTTGTTATTGTTGTTGTTTTATTTGTCTTATTAAATCTAATATTAAATGAACAAATAAAATATTATTTTATTTATTTATTTATTTGGTTGTTTGTTTGCAACTTGTTGTTGTTGTTGTTCTGTTTAAAGGTTTTGCTTGTTGTTGTAGTTGTTCTATATTCATACATATAGACATTCATTAATCTCATTATTTTTATCTTGTTATAGTTTCTGATGTTGTTTTATTTTTGTCTATTACTATATTGTCGTGGTTTTATTTTAATCTTTAATTCATTCATGTATCGACGACCCATCTTAATATTAGAGAGTCATTAAAACTCAATACAATATGATAAAGGCAATAGTAATATTACTATCACTATATTGTTATATGTTTATGTATGTTGGCAACAACAATTAGACATATTTGGTAGTTTTATAATAATATGTATATATTTGATATACTTCAATATTTTTAAAAGTGCTGAATGAGAATGCGAATATTTCGTGGGGTTGGGTCGAATATATTATTAGTATTAATGGTGGTGGTGGGGTGGTAGAGATGTGGTTGTTGGGAAGATAGATGTGGTAGTGGTGGTCAGCCACTATTTTTTTTTGTTTTTTTATACTTTGTAGTTTTGTTGTTGAACAATATATGACATCTCCCAAATGTCAAAGAATCATAAGCTAACAACAACAATGAATAGATTATATTGGAGATCTATGTATGGTTTGCTTAGTTAAGCTTTCTATTCATTATAATATTCATAATCATTATTTCTATTTACAATAATAAACAAACAAACAAACAAAATATTGCCATTTGAATCATCAAAAAATGATTTACATTTATTTGACTCCAAAAAGACAATTTGCTTGTTGACCTGTGGTGTGAGAGAAGAAAGAGTTATTCTTTTTTCACCACGGCAATAAAGAAAGAAAAATGCTAATACTATAGTTGTAAACTTTTATGTTAATCGGTTTTTTTTTTTTTTGTAATTCAATATGATTGTTCATTGCCAACTATTTTTACAAAAATCATAATAAAAAAAAAACTAAACTATAACATGTATGATCTAATAAAATAATATATATCACGATATATTTGATGCCAATTTATGATTTGTCCAATTAACAATATTTTTTGTTTTACTTACATTGTTTGGTTCGGAGTTTGATTATTAAAAAAAAATTAATAATAAACTTGATTTAAAGGTGAGAATTCAGGAATGCCTTTAAGATATTGATTGCAGTACTTGATTGATTTGATTTCTGCAAAATTTAAATATTATACAATTGATTTCTATCTAAAACAATACAATTATTATAGACAAAAGAAAAAAAAAAAAGATTATCTACTTTTTTTGATATAAATAACTAAGCTATTTATTTGATTAACTAGAAACTTGGTTATTATTACTTGATTTTAAAATTTACACGAATATGAATTTACGAATGTTGGTGAATTTACATAAGGAGAGATTATTTATTTTTGTTGGGGCTATTGTTACTTCAAATATCAGATGCAACATAGACTAGCCAGATTCTCAAAAAAATAAAAAAAAAATAATTAAAAATTAATTAATTTATAAAAAAAGGTCAAAATACACTCACCCGATAGATTCATGTGCTATGGTATTCGCCTGGGTGCAAAAGCATTTCACATATCTTGCCAATCTTTTTTTTGAAAAAATAAAAATAAAAATAAATCAAAATAAATAAAAATTGCGAAACCATCCCCCTATAAATTATTTTTTTGGAAATTTTTATTATAAAAATTTTTTTTGGGCGCTGTTATTGGTTTCTTGATGTTAACTTGGAAAGCAAGAATCAATTAATTGTGTTATTGCAATTATATTTGAATTTAAAAATAACTGAAAAAAAATGATATCAAATAGAAAAATCTGAAGAGAAAAATCAAAAAAATAATCGCATTATAAAAAAATAATAAAATTCAAAAAAAATAAAATTATTAATAACTATTTTCAAAATAAATTGTTGACAGACGAACTTAATTATGCCTAGTTTGTAAGTTTGTTTGGAATTTTTTTAAAAAAAAAACCTAGACAATTGATTACCACCCTGGGATTGTCAATCCAATTCAAAAGTTCAACCAAACAAACAAAAATACACAAATAACATAGAAATAATAAGTACCCTTCATTATATATTACCCACACCCACTGAAGTTAAAATTTAAAAGTAGAGATATATTTATCCTTTTAAAAGAAAATCATCAAAAAAAAGTAGAGTATAAAAAAAAAAAAAACAATCAAAAAAGGTAAAAACAAATAAATAACCCTCAAAACCTATTATTATCATTATTTTCTTGTTTTTTATTTTATTTTATTATATTTTGTTTTTTTTTGTTGGTGTGTTAACAACACTACACTGCAAAGCATCAGTTGTAGAAATTACTACTGCTTCTTCTACAATCGTTTGTATGGTGCAGAAAAAAAAAAAAAAAAAAGATTGTGTGGTTAATGTACAATATTCAAACTTATTATAATAATAAGTTTTTTTACTATTAACTTAGCAACTATACACGATCAATCCAATTCTATTGGCTATATTTGGTTCTCTTCTTTTCTATTTATTTTTTCAAAACTACTTTATTAAGTGTCACAATAATTGAAAATTATTAATTATAATAATATAACTAGATTCCTATATTTATAATTTTAATATAACAACAACAAAAACAACAACACATCATCAAAACATACAGAAAACAAGCAAAGAATTGTGAGATAAAAACAATAATAGTAATAACATTTAATATTAATTAATTAAAAAAACAAAAACAAAAAAAAAACAAAAGACACTTCATTTATTTATTTATTTATAATTTGTTGTAAACATTAATTGGTGTTCAAAAAGTCTTTTTTATTCACTTCCAATAATTATTCTTTAATACTTATAATTAGTTTCTCTTCATACATACTAGCCAGTCCAGCTATTTTTACATCTTAAAGCACCAATAGATAGTATGATGCACTCGAACACTCAGGATTTTTATAGAACAATGCAACACCACCAAAACGATATGCAAAATGCATTCAACCAAATGATGAATCAGATGAACATGATATACCAATGTCAAAACAACAACAACTTCAACAATAACAACAACATGATGAATATGAATATGAACATGAACTACAATGGTTTCAATAATATGAATATGAACATGATGAACATGAACTACAATAATAACAATCTAAACTTTGAAAATAATAATAATAACTTTAACAATAATAATTTTAATAATAATAATTTTAATAATAATAACTTTAATAATTTAAATCAATCAGTTAACAGTACGAATAATATGAATAGAAGTCAGATTAGAGAAATTAATGAAAATAGTCAAGATGAAAGTGATGAAGATGATGATGAATATTTTGAAAATCAACAAGTTGTAGAATATAATAATAATAATAATAATAATAATAATAATAATAATAATAATAATAATCAATTTAATAATCTAAATAATAATGGATATAGTTTTATGAGTAGTAGTTTTTCATCAACATCCTCGTCGGGTGGTGGATTAAATCAACAAGGCAACTATTTCTTCAGTTCATCTTCATCTTCTGTTTCCTATGGTGGATCCAATGGAGACTCCTCTTCTACATCGTCGCCAGTCTTGAAGTTTAGATCATCTCAGACTCAAATCAATGGTGATTTCGTGGAGCAGCACGATCATGAGATCGATGGTGCCAATCAAACTGAGAAGATGTCTATCTACAGAGGAATGGGCGACAAGTCAAGATTGCTGCAAAAGGAGATCAACAACGAGGGTCTTGTTGGCTCATCAGAGACTGTCTGCAATCTGCCACTGGAGGACGGTGAATCTTTCAACCGTGAATTCCAGAATAACGTACCCTTCAGAATGTCAAGCGAAGTCAGAGGCAATCCAAACAGAATCTATAGCCAACAGCAATCACATTCACAACAACAACATCAACAGTTTCAACAACAACAACAACAACAGCAATAATGATGGTGCTAGTCTAGATATTCAATTTATTCAATAAGTAATTAAAGTTGAATTGATTGGCAAAGTTACTACTATTGATGTTACTACAGTTCAACTGATGGAAATAAATTGCAGACTTTAGGAATAGATTGAATCGGTCGGTTTCCAGTCTATTAAATATCATTGACTTTATAACATTCACAACAGTGACAAAAGAAAGATTAATATTATGAGCATCATCATTATCAGCATCAACATCTACATACATTTAGTTTTTTATCTTGCCTATAAGCTAAAGTATAGCAAATCAACAAATAGAAGAGATCGTAATCTTTGGTTTCATAGTTAAAATCTAGTAGTCCGTCAATAATCATTTGATCTTTTATAATATTAAATAAATAGAGTTAATAAACCAACTTAAAATATAGTTAGCTTTCGAATTTAGAGTTTACCTGTTGATTCTTTAGATTGTAATACACCTATAAGTAGTTTAAATTGATGGAAATATAAATGATAACCTCCTTCTCTTCCTGTATCGCTACAAGTGTATCTACACCAAACAATATAGTTTAATAAATTTAAATCCAACTCCTATATATATATATTTTATGATATCAAAGTTATTAATATTTTTTTTATGTTTACAAAGAACATATGAACATACTTTGTTTATCATCAACAGTTGAATTGAAAAATATAAATATCTTATATATTGTACATTCAATAACCAAATACTCTTAAATATATCGGATTTAAGATCCTCTGGTGTGTGGTTGATAATAGATACTCTTGTATCATTTATTCTATTGATAAGGGAGCTGAATTCTTGGTGACTGTTAAACTTTGCTTGATAGATCTTTATTAACTCTCTAAGTGAAATTGGATAATACTTTATTTAAAAATAAAAGCATTAGTAAAGTTTGATTAGCAATGGTATTTGTTTTTATAATTACTTTATGCAGACTTATATAATTGTCTTTTAAAGAACGTTGGTTGATAAAGATAGAGTTGACCCGTGATAAGAAATCTAAAGCTTGAAATGATTGTGTTTCAATCCAAAGTTGAACAAGGAACTCCATACTAAGAGTATACAGAGAGGGATATTCAATTAAACATTGTATTACGCCATTATTAGTCAGAACATTTACTTCATTTATATCTTTATAGTATTTCTTAAATACTTTTAATAACTAAATATATATTTATAATAATTAGTATGAAAACTTAGATTATGTTTGAATAATCCAAGTAGTACAAGCTTACCTCTTTAAGTAGAAAAGTAGGATGTCTCCTCCATATAGCTATATTAAAGATGGGTTTTTCCTTTGAGAGATAGAGATTAATGATTGATAGGCCATCGACTTGCAATGTATTGATAGTCTGACGTTGTGATAGGAATAGATTAAGTAATGACAACTGGATGGTTATATGTTGATCTTCATCATTGTTATTGTTATTGCTATTTGATATCTCTATTAAGTTTATCTTTCTAATAAGATCATTGATATCACTATGACTAGTGTTGGTATAGTTTGATAGTTGATTGTGTTGATGTTTCAGTTGTTGGTTGAACTCCTCTTTTATTATTTTTATTGATTCTCGCTGTATCTCTGATTTTGTAATACCTAAATCATTCATGAACTGATACATTGATTCGACTTGAGGGTCTCGGTCTCCATTTGGTTGATTCTCTGTCTTCACCCATAGCTTTTTTTGATTCTGATAGATTCTAAATTGTAATAGCATTACTATCCATACTCTAACGCTATTAAATAAAAAGTTAGATTTAAAGATATGTTAATGTGTTTTAATAAAAATAAATACAAACTTATTACAAACAGATATGACTTCATCTTTGTTATTGTCTGTTGATTGTTCAAACGTTTTATAAAGTAGTACCAATAAAATATCTAATGTTTGTTTAGAAATAAGATGTTGTTTGTCATTTTTAGATTCAATAGACAGTGAACCAATAGAGGTAAAGGGTAATGTAGATAGATTTGTTAAGAATACACCCAAACATTTATAACTATTCATTATATCAGAGAGTTGAATATTCAATGGTTTAATAGCCTATAATTATAATATAACATTAGTTTACTAATTATCATAACACTTTATTATATACGATCAACATCAAAATAAAATTACAAACATTATAAATATCGTTTAGCAATAAAGAAATTGATTCAAGTTGTACTAGAGTATTACTGTTTAATAAAGGTGAAGATCTATTCCAACCAATAACAATTTGATGTAATTCGTTTAGTTTATTATTTAAGTCATACATTTGTTAACAAATAACAAAGATAAAATCAATTTGCATTCGAAAGAAGAATAGAAGTTTCGAACTAGAAAACTGTTACTTTTTCTTAGAACTATAGAAAAGTTTGTTATGATACGATATGATATTATACAATATTTATTTAAATTAATATTTGATTATTAAAGAATGGTTATTTAGTAGGTGTTTGTGCTTGTTGTTGTTGCTGCTGCTGTTGTTTAACGAGTGCAGGTGGTTGTGTATTCTCATAGAGATAATCTAATATATTTGAAATGTTTTGCATATCGTTCTCGATTGAACGTGACCAATTCTCTACATCACCGATCTCTTTTAGTGCATTGTTAAAGTTATCTATTAGAGTCAACCACTGATTGGTTTGCTTTGAGAATTTAGTTGTCGATTGTTGTAAAACTCTTGCTTCTTGTTCTAACCTCTTTTGATTAGCGAATACACATGCAACTCCTTGATTAACACTATCCATTAAGCCATTTGTAACCGGTGCTACTGACATCATTGCCTCTTTCTTTAACACCTCTATGTATATAGATTATATGATCATTCATATTTGTTAGTAAACTAAAACTATCAAAATACATTTAAAAAAGAGGACATGATAACTTACCATTTTCATCTTTTATCTTACTAACATTATTCTGATGTTCTTTTACAAGTTTAGTTAACATTTTTATCTGTTCAATTAAAAGTTTATAATAATATTCTATTAAAAAAAATAAAAAAAAATCATAAACATTTAATTAAAAATTGTCATAAGAATTTTCATTTTGGTGTGGAAAGAAGTCACGCCGAGATTCACGATGGTAGTGGTCAACCTCTTTATTAATTTCATGATATTGTTTTGTCAATGTGTCATTATTTATTATCATTGTTATTATTTTTGTTTTCGAATAAAAGTTTACATTGATTTTCTAATATTCCATGATATACTTGGAATCTGTGGTTAATCGATTTCTGAGTGTGTACTTTGAGACAACCGCCTAGTCCACCGGCGTTAGGTTGTACCGCTCCAAAGATGACACGCTTGATTCTGCTGTGTACGAGTGCCATCGAACACATGATACATGGCTCTCTTGTGATGTAGAGATAGAGGTCTGTCGCAAGGTAGGCGTCGTCCTCGCTGTTTGGTGTCTGTTGCATCGATGCCAGTGCAGGCATACCGGCAGTTCCACTCTTTTGAACACATCGCTCAATGTGTTGATTGGCCAACTGATGTATTAAATTCATTGTGCAATGCGACAGTATCGGTGAGAGATGATATTTAACTGTTGTTGTGTTTGTTATTTCGTTCATATGGTTGCCAGGCGTCTGGTCAAAGCCAGCGCCGTGAATGGTGTTGGTTTCTGGATCGACTAGAACAGCACCCACTGGATTGAATCCTAGACTCTTTCCAATGTTTGCCTGTTCAATTGCTTTTTTCATAAAGGTGTTCATCTCGACAATCTCTTTATCTTCTAATGTCTCTACCAATGGAGTTGAGCTGTAATCAGTCAATTAATCAATCAATTAATCAAACAATAGCAATATAATTAATAAATGATTTGTCAAAAGTGTTTAATATTATAAAATCTTATACATACAAACAATGTACTCTAAATGTCATTGGCCATAACTTATTCCATTCAAGCCAAAGATCGTGTGTTAACGGTGGATTCTTTGGTATCTTTACAATTTTAAGACTTAACTTGTTATCAATAAGAAACTGTATTATTTTTCTTTGATATTCAGTTTTATCTTTATAAATATAGTTATTATTATTATGACTATTTATAATATCGACAATTGGCTGTCGATCTGATTCCTGTTCATTATTTTGTTCATTATCTATGTGTTGTTGATAGAATGATTGAAGATTAGGGTAATTCTCCTCGGGTGCAATTAATAATTCCAATACTGAATTATTATTATTATTAATATTATTATTTTTGTTTTTGTTTGAAGGTGTATTATTATTATTATCTGAATCTGTTGTTGACGATGATGATATTGTAATTGTTAAAGTCGAAGTTTCAGTTGTTGCTATCGATGTTGTTGTTATTTTAGGTGATAATTGAATCTTTCTCATTTTCTTTAAATGACTATATTGCTGTAATACATATTTATCATTTTCACATTTATTTAATAGTTTGCTTAATTCACCTATTAGTTTGTTTGCAGCTTGTGGTACAACTTCGACAACAAACATATTGACTATTTTTAAAAACAATTAGCTATTTAATTAAACTTTTATTGTGTAATGAATATCATATCATTATCATACCTAATTCTAATCCTTTTGATTCATCATCTGATAAAATAGGATGTATATTTGATCTTAATTCATTTATTTCCTCTTTTGACAATGATTCAATTTCGACAATCGTTGCTGAACCATTTTGTTTATTGTTGTTGTTAGCTACAGCTGTTTTTGTAGTTGAAGTTGTTGTTGTTGTAAAAGGAACATCTTTGATAGTATTATATATTGATGATGATGATGCAGGTGCCGATGTCGAAGTTGTAATGGTTGTTGACGATACTCCCGACATACTCTTACACAACAAACTAAATCTTTTTATTTTACTTTTTTTTAATATAAATAAATATATATATTATCGATTCTATTATATTGACTATGCTAAATATATTATTATTAGCATTTAAAATTGTTTACTTATTAAAAAGTCTGACTTTTTTTTTTTTTTTTTTTTGGAACCAATACTACTTACTATTCGAATTGAATCACATGACATTCATTGATTCACAACTTTAACAATCAAAGGAAAAAATTAAGATTAAAAAATTTTTTTTTTTTTTTTTTTGTTAATAATCAAACTTTTTAAAGAATATCTTTCTAGTTGACTCTCTTAGTTTTCTTTTTATAAATATTGTTTGTTTGTTTAATTGAGTAACAAAAAAAAAACTGTTTGACCAAAAATAATAAAACCACATCATTTTAATCAATCAAAGTTCAAATAAATGATCACTAATATGAGTAGTGGTCAACAACAAACAAATTTAACCTTTTTTACAATTTTCAATTGTTGATTTGGTCGAAATTGATTCATAAATCATACCCATTAGCGAAAAAAAACAATAAATTATTGATCATGCAATAAAAAGACAGTTTTAGCTCCTAAGTGAATCTCAAAGACCACAAAAAAAACAACACAAAAACACATCACCTGTTCCCCCACCTTAAACTTTTCTTTAAAAAAAAATTGAAATGTAAAGGTTGGGTATTGACCTCCATGATCCAATTGATGGTACTCCACATGATGGATTTTAAGTTGTGGGAGACTACTTTTATTATATTATCTCAAAATGGAGAGAAACAAACACCAATTCATTTTACCTTTAAAATCGATGCTCCCTGCCGCACTGATCCAATATTTAAACGTATAACAACGTTGTTTATCTAACTGCGAGTTGACTATAAATCTATTGAAAAAGCTTCACAGTGTGGATAGCCCTGGCTACAACCTGAACGATATCAATAACAATGATGATTTATTGATATTAAGAAATGTTGTATTGAATATGAGGATCAAAGGGTAGTAGTGATTGCCTGTAGATAGAAATAACTGAAAGAAAAGTTTTAAGCCCTCATCTACATAAAAAAAAAACCAATAATCAATCAATTAAATCAACATTTGACGATGTTGTTATTAATGAACTTAAAATATTAATCTTATAGGTGAAAAAACTCCACAGCAATTAACATTAATCAATCATCATCAACAACAACAGCAACAACAACGAAATATTAATGAATATTAAATTTCAACAGCAATATATCATCATTAAAATTATTCAATAGATATATAGACCTTAAATTTGTATTAGTTTTGTTCTTTTTCCACGAAACAGTAAAATCAGCTCAAAGGAGATAAAAGAGATTGAGAAATTTTGTGTAGTTACATGTCTCAATGTCCAATAATCAGTACCCTCCAATCATCTAAGGCTATCAAGATTTGTAAAAACTTCTATGGATCATGTGATCTTTGCCTACCAATTTATTAGAATTTTAATATCATACATCTCACACATTAGATTTATATAGATTCCGAAATTATAAATACTACTTCACCTCTGACTTTTAAATCACAACTTGTACTACTACTTTTTATACAAATACATAAATACCTACACATAAATATATTTTTATATTTTTATAATTATCTCTTTTATTTTACAATTTCTCTATCTTTTGGTTGTGCACATATATTCTATAAAAATGAATATCTCTAAGTTTATAATTGTAATATTTATTCATTCACTCTTATTGGTTGGTACGAATGCAGTTCTTCCTTATTGTTTATCAGGAAATGATACAACCGATCCATTACTAGCACAAAACACATATTTAAGTGTAAGTTATTAAATATTTACAAAATAATGATTAATAAAGAGATACTAATAGATATACTGTAGGATATGAAAATGATATTTTCAATTGGTGATACTATATCAGCTGGTTTCTTAGCCAATGACTTATCATCGATCTCGATCAACGAATACAGAGGTTTTTCTTTTGTTACAGGTAATCAAAGTAATGCCTGGACTCTCAATAACTTTTTAGCACAAACTGTATCTACGATCTCTGGTGGATCATCAAATTTACTTAATGGAATTCGTCCTGCCAATATTTTCTACCCTATGTTCGACGGATTCAATGGAGCCACCAACTCTACTGGTGATTCAATTACTTCACAATTGAACTTTGTAGTAGGTCAAGCAGTTGGAAAACATGGATCAACTTATTTCAATAATCAATGGAAAATGGTTACTATCTACATTGGATTATTCAAAGCTTGTACCATTTGCCAAACTCCACTTTCTGCTTACAAAACCAACATTGTTTATTGGGGTTCATTCTTTACTGAAATTCTAAATAACGTATTAGAGAAGTATCCATCTAAAACAATTATTAACTTTGTTGGAATGCCAAAGCTTTCACAATGTATGTATAATTATGTTTTTAAAATTGAGAAAAATAAATGAATAATCTTTCTAACCTTCATTCTTTAGTTAAATCAACAACCCCATCATCTTGCTCTGCATTTAACCAAATTAATAACATTTGTCCATGTCTATGGAGTCAGTCGGAATCTGATCTCGACACTGTAATCAATGCTGTAAATATTGGTATTAAAAATACCATTATCAATTGGAGTCAAAATATCGATCCAACCAAATCCACCATTGGACTGAACTATCTCCCATTTTTAACTGATACTGTATTCCCAACATCTACATTATCACCAATTGATTGTTTCCATCCCAATGTCGATGGCCAGAGACTCATGACTATTGGATTATGGAACAATCTACGACAAAGTAAGGTTTCCTCTGTAACTACTTCTACACCTTTGGTCTGTGGTGCTCCTTATCTTCCAATCTTCGACCCAAATGCAACTTTTTAAAAAAAGACCTCACTTGTAAATAAATTTTAATATACAATTATGTATATTCATTAGAATCAATAAATTGAATATGTTAGACTATTTCTATAACAAAATCACTTATTTTTAAATAAATATGATTTTATTTGAAAAAAAAAACATTGATAAATGAAGAAAGTTATGTTATCAGATAGTTTTGTTTCATGACTTGATTTAAAAATTGATGTTTGAATTTAAAAATCAAAAAATAGAATTTAAATTATTTTTTTTAAGACCAATATTTTTCCTTATCTAAAAATATTAAAACTCTATATATATTCCATATGGAAACTTTAGATATTATCTTTAGTATTATCTAAAAAATCCTTTAAATGATAAAAAAAAAAAAAAAAAAAGGCTTTTTTTAAAAAAAATCCCAAAAAGGAAAAAAAGAAAATCTTATTTATTATTATTAATTTTCAAGGCAAGGCTTGATTAATAAAGGAGTTCATTCTCCTTCATTTATTAATATATTTTTAAAAGATGAATAAAATATTAATAGTAATAATTATTTTTGCATTGATATTAATATTCCCTCAGTATATTTTGGGTGCCTCAAACAAGACCCATTGTGAATATGTATTATGCGTACCTGAAGGAAACAAATGTAATCCTCACTCACTTGGATCCGAGTGTGAATATGGAACCTATTGCTTAATTGGAAAGAACAAAAGTCCAGTCTGTACCAAATACGCAGATGTTGGCGAAACTTGCTCAAGTTCACATCTTTGTTGGCCAGATTTAAGATGTGAATCTAAAGGACATAGACCAGTGAGGTATGTTTTAAAAAGATATTATTAAAAATTTAGTAATAAAAGAAAATTAATATTTTGTTAACAAAAAAAAAAAAATTAGTATTTGTCAAAATTTAGGATATTTGGCAGCTGGCGAAGAATGTCGACAATCAAGTGAGTGTGCAACCAATAATCTCATTTGTAAAAAAGGAATATGTCATCTAAGATCGAGTACTTGCAGTTCTCCAGAGGAATGTGACCACGACCATTTCTGTCAAGCTGGAAAGTGTATGAAACGAGTTGGAGAAGGAAAGATTTGTCGCGCTAGACAAGAATGTAAAGTTGGCTTCTTGTGTTCTGGTGGGGTCTGTATGAAACCATTCCAATTGGAAGAAGGTGCTGCCTGTCATTACCATTTCGATTACAATAGCGGTGGAGTACCTCTGATCGACTGTAATATTGGTAAGGGTCTCTACTGCGACTTTGAAGACAACAAAGATATTGGAAAGTGTACGAAATTCCAAGAGACCGACGGACCTTGTGATAATCACAACGCCAAGTGTCAATGGATGGAGCAATGTATCTGTCCATCTCGAAAGTCGCATACCATAGGAAGCTGCCAGAACAGAATCAACTTTGGATTGACCTGTCAGAGTTCGTTAGAGTCGCTAATCAAGTGTGCAAAGAAACACAAATGTAGCATGGCACTCGATTACAAAGATGCATCGAAACACACTTGTCTCTACAAGAATTGTGGTGATAAGATTTGTTCCAGTCCGTGTTTCAACAAAGGTTTGAAATTTGATGAAACCACTTGTGGCGATAGAGATGACAGACCTCTGCAATACGCCTGTAGAGAATCATCATCTGAATCCAACATTGTCAAACCATCTCTTCTCATATTAATATTGTTATCACTACTTATTGCACTTTGTTAAACAACAAACAAGATAGAAGTATAGACTATAACACAAATTTCTCATAAATAAATAAATATTGTACATAACAAAAATACATTTTTTTTTTTTATCTTTTTTTTAATTTTATATTGTTTTGGGAAGTGTTTGGACTGGCACAACAATACAGATAATTAAAAATCATGAACGCTGTTTTTAGTCCCACCCACGCAAATAGGCATATTTGTTCTTGCCTTGTCTGACAATGCTCATACACCAGTAGATAAGTGTACAAGGCAGTATCAAGGCGAGTACTAATTTGAATGAGACCAAAAATTTTCTTTTTGTTCGTTCGATTCCACAGAAATAAAAAAAAAAAAACTTGAAAAAATTAAAATTAAATAATAAATAAAATCCACAAAGGTAACGTTGATTTTAATATGATCAGAATCAGTGATACTATTATTATTGATTTAAACATGATCAATTTTTTATTTATATTTTGATTTTGATTTACTGTTGTTTTGTTATTTAATTGTTATTTTTGTTGTTGCCATCATTGTTATTATTTATTATTATTATTGTGCACCAACCAAGTGTTGTTTAGAGATAAGAAAAGTGATAGATACTAATGGCGAGTTGTTATTTATAATCTGATAATCTTATTTTTGTTCATCCTTCTTCTCATCATCCTTCTTTTCATCCTTTTTCGATAAATCTGCAAGTGCATTCTATAAATATATATTGATAGTTAACTATTAGTAAAAGTTTGATTGTGAAGTTTAGTCATGACAGTTATGTTTGTTATTTACCTTGATTCTTTCATCGTTTGGATCAACACCAGGTAGATTCTTAAGAGTTGAGTTTAAGAATTCTTGATCGTTAAAAGCATCGGTTGATGGTGCAGTCGACTGTTGTGCATCTGGTTTAGCGGCGGATGGCTCTTGTCCTTGCATTGGATCACTTTGTTCTAAAGAGAGGGCCAGAGCCTGTTGGAGATCTGGATCATCCTCAAAGTTGGCATCCGATGAAACAGCTGTCATTTGAACATCTTGTGACTCTCCACTTCCACTAGTTGAATCATCTCCACCCTTTGCCTTTCTTTCTCTTTCCAAACGTTGTTGTTCTTCTTCCAATGATAATTTCAATGCCTATAAAGTAAGATTTTAATCAGCAGCAGCATCAAACCAAATTAGTTATAATTCTCGCAATATTGTTGTTGTTGTTGTTAAATTTAAATAAAACATACCAAAGCTAACTCTGGATCGGTATCAGCATTAATAAATTGAGCGCCATAAGCACCGGAACCTTCAACAATAATCTTTGAATCTACAATTACATCGGATAACATATGTGGTCCAGCTGGTACAGTTAACAAGTGGCTATATTAAACAAACATATGTAAAGTGTAAGTAACATTACATTTTGTTTTAAAAGTTGATAATAAATAGAGAGAAAGAGAGATTGAGTTGTAGTCTATTATTATTATTATGGATGTTGTTGTTGTTGTTGTTGTTGTTGTTGTTTGATATTACCTTTCATCGTTCTTCTTTACATCATTTATAAAACATTCCAATTTTTCGACGTTGCTTGCTTCCTCACCAAAATTAATAATATCGACAGCAATGTCATTCTTTTTCAAATTCTTTGCGAGTTGACTGAGTTCTTCTTTCGATTCTTTGAGTGGACTACCAACAAAGGCTACAATTCTTTGGTGTTGATGTTTATTCTGACGGTGTCTCAATGCCAATTGTGCGATTCTCATCGATGTTGTGAAATCTATCTTGTTTTGAATCTTTAATTGATTATAACTTGACAAAATCTTTACTTAGATCTTGTGTGAGTGTAACTAATATCTCTGGACTATTATTTTATTTTTATGACTATTAATATTGTATTTCTTTTTATTTGTAACTATAAATCTTTTTAATGACATACGATTTACCAGCCATAGACATAATTGCGACGGAACTCTCGGGATTAGCTTGTGTTTTAGCGGCACATATTAAATTTACAGCATCTTTCTGAGCATCGAATCTAGATGGTACAAAATCACCATTTCTCATCCACTCTGAATTGTCAACACTATAATATTACATACGTATATATTCATTATCATAATTATATCAATATTCTGTTGATTTAATTGAGGTAACACAATCATCATGATCATTATTATATTTCTACTGTTTTAGATGATGATTTATTCTTCAAATATTAATAAAATAAAAAAATACATACCAAATAATAGTTGCTTCTAAAGTCATGTTGAATTATATATATATCTTATAAATAAACTTAAAAATTATAAAAAAGTAAGAAATAATAAATTTAAAAAATTAACTAAAAAAAAAAAACCAATAACACTTTAATTTAAATAACTGAGTTGGGTGGGATGATGTTCAAAAAAAAAAAAAAAAAAAAAATTAATTTAAAATTATTATTTTTTTTATTAATATGATTTAAAATTAAAGATCAACACATTAAAATTTAATTGTTTTATAATGTTTAATTATATATAAAAAATAATATAATTATATTATTTAGTAATTTAATTTATGTCCGATTTTAATGTGCTACAAGCAATAAAGTATGGTCATAGTCAAATTTTAGTTTCGACACCACTTGAAGCACTCGCCGATAAGAATTCAATCAATCAGAGTTACCTACACTTTGCAGCAGAGAGTGGACATGAATCGATTCTGAGATTGTTGGTGATGCGTGCAAAGTTGGATGTCAATGCTGTCGATCAATATGGAATGACACCACTTCACAATGCATGTCTAGAGAACAAACATCTTGCAGTTAGCTTTCTCCTAGCGAACGGTGCCAAAGTAGATCCCACCGATGTCAACAATGAAACACCACTTTATCTCGCTGCATTGAGTGGTGCACCGCAATGTTTACAAATATTACTCAAACATTCTGCGTCTATAAATCATCAAACAAATACAGGGTATGTTGTAAAGTTATAACATATTATTTAACATCAAGTAAAATTGTTGTAATTAACAACAAAACGATTATTATGTTTCAATAGAAATACAGCTTTACATATTGCGATTGTTAATAATAATTGGGAGTGTATAGATTTGTTATCTCAATACGATGCTGATCATACTATTATTAATAAAGATAAAAAGAGTGCATTGATGGTAAGTAACAAATACTAGATATCTTTTTATATTTCAATTTCTTTGGTTGTTTCAATTAATATTAATTTATAAAATAGTTGTGGGAAGAATCAGCATTATCAAAGAAACACAAATATTTATTTACGTCTAAAAAAGATCTAATAAGATTGGTGGAATCATTAGATAACCAATTGAATGAGAAGGAATCAAAAATAAATGAATTATTAAAATCAATATCAAATCTTAAACTACAACAACAACAAACAATTGTACAACAACCAATAGTTCAACAACAAATACAACCAAAACCAGATTATACAAATATAATCAATGAAATTGATAATATATCTAATTTAATAACAAATTTAAAATCAAACTTTACAAAATAAATAATTTAGAATATATTATTAATATTTATTTATTACAACAAATTTATACAATTAATATATTTATTTATTTTTTGGTTAAAAAAATAACAAGAAAGGGAAAAATAATATGTGATTGAATAATAATTATATTTTGATGGAAATTATTATATTAAATAATACCACTACATTTCTCTTTTACGAAATCTTTGATGTTTCTATCAGTTAAACTAGATGCGATATCAGAGTGATCGGTAACAGGGTTGTAAAATGGTTCCTTTGAGAAAAATGGATGATTCAAAACGTTGTTGGCAGAGATACGAGAGTTGGGATCGAATTTCAGCATCCTTGTCAGTAAATCTATAATGTCAGGAGTACAGTTGCTTTTGTTATTGTTATTTTGTACAAGTCTATCATTAAATATCGAGAGTGTTGGATGGAAGTAGAGTCCAATGTTTTGTGATACGAAATACTTTGGATCCTCTGGTGCACATTCTTTATAGTTGATCATCTGTTTCAATAGATGCATTCTACTATCACTTAAACTAGTTATTATATTTCCACTACTATTCTTTATAATATTATTACTACTACTGACTATACTGCTATTATTATTGTTGTTGTTGTTGTTGTTGCTGCTGTTGTTCGAAAGAGTGAATAATTCTTTACCAAATACCAATTCAGCAATGATACAACCCATACTCCAAATATCGATTGCTTTCCAATCTAGTCGCTTCTGAGTGATTCCACTGCTCATGATGATCTCTGGTGCAGAGTAGTTGGTGTAGCCCGACGGAATGGTCAGACCAGTTGGACTGCTGGAACTTGTGAGAATCGAACAACACAGCTGGAAACTGCACAGTCTCATTTGGTAGTCATCAAACACCAGTAGACTGGTTGGTTTCAGGTCACGGTGTACCAAGTCTTGTGAGTGGAGATAGGCAACTGCCGACGCCAGTTGATAGGCGATAAACTTGATGTCACTCGCTGGAATCGACGTCTTTTTAGAACGGTGGTCAGCAAGTACATACTCGAGATCGAAAGGAACGAATGGTGCCATCACCGAATAGTAACGTCCAAAGTCATCTTTGGTGATAGAGTCTACTCGTACTATATTCTGATGTCTCAGCTTTGAGAGGATCATACTCTCTCTGAAACCCTGTAGATTATCTTGACTATGTCCTGGTGACGAGTACGATGAATAGTAAGAAGCGAGCGCACTTGGTTTTGAATAGTTTATCAACTTTAAAACACAAGTTTCTTGTTTATATTTTGCTCTAATAATTGTACTGTTCTTACTACTTCCTCTCTTTTCATATGTAGTTATATCTAAGATGAATCATGAAATTATATTCATTAACAAAGTTAGTGCACTGGTTCATATTATGATATGGAAAACAAAGAATCTGTACTTTACCTTTATATGGTATAATGAAATCATTTAAAACTGGTTTACTAAAGAATGATGTTACAGTAGACATTCCTTTTATCATGTCGAGGTAAGAGTCGGTCTTTGAATTGTTGATTCTCGATTTCAGGTCTTCCAATTCTCTTTCCAGCTGTCTATTCTTTTGGCGAAGTTGTTCAGCCTCCACCTCTTTCTTTGATTGCTCTACTTTAACGCAGGTCAATGCACCTTCCAACTCACAGATCTTGTCTCTGCTCTTTGAGTACATCTCAATGTCGCTGTGATACTGCTGTCGCGCTTCCTCGGCATGGTGATTCGCTTCTCTCAGTCTGCTGGAAAGCTGCTCTATTTCCCTGTCTTTTTGTCTGGCGCGCTGTTCCAAATCCTTTGTCGCCAGCATGGCGTGATCGCGCTCTGCCTTGGCAGTTTGCAGACTCGACTCCAATCCGTGCATGTTGTGGCTAAGCTCGCGTGTTTGCTGCGACAACTTCATATTCTTCTCTTCGGCTGCCTTGGTGCAACTGACTTGATTCGCCAGACTCTCACTCATCCTCGAGTTGTTCGCTTCTAACTCCTTGAGCTGCTGCATATACTTTTGGATACTCTCCTGTTGTTGTCTGGTTTCGCGATACTGTTGATCCTTGTACGCTCTGAATTGGTCGTTGATATCGCGCGATTCCTCGCTAATCTTTTGTTTCTCTGCTTCCAAAAGATTGATTTGCTCATCGAGTTTGTTCATTTTCTCCTCCAACTCACCCCTGTCGGCGTTGTTTCGCTCTACACCCTCCCTATAGATAAGATGTTCCTGTTTGAGTGATGCTATCTCGCGTTCCAGCATCTTGGTGGTTGAAGAATACTTTTTAGAGGTTTCAAATATTTTCTTGGCAATCTTGTTGCAAATGTATCCATCGAATGTCTCTCTACACACCGGACAATCCAACACCTCTTTCTTCACCACCTTATTCCTAAAGTAAGGTTGAAAGCATGCTCTACAAAAACTATGTGCTATAAAGAGACAGAGAATATTAATAAATATTTACAATCAAACTATATAAAGTGATACCTACAACACGGCTTATCTCCTTCTTTATGTGATATTGAAAATAATGATACAATATCATCCATTGTACTTAGACATATTGAACTAAATTGGTAGTAGTAAACCTTATTGTTAATAATAAAGTTTAAATTTTATATAAATTATGTAAAATATTTTATACTTTACCATTCTAGGAAATCATAACCATCTTCATTAAATAATGAATCTTCATCCATTTTTATCTATTTTATATATTTATATTTTGAACTACTAATAATAACAATATTATTATTATTATAATAATATTACATGTAATATTGACAATATATTTACAACAAACTTCTATTCTAGAAAGTAATGAACTCTATCTATTTATTATCTTTATCTATTATTTAAAATTAACACTTTATCTTTGATTGAAGTTGGTTTGTTATGCTTTGCTATATATAATTAACTGTGCAGTAGTTTAAAAGTAAAATAATATATTTAATGATTGAATGATTAACTGTTTTTTTTGTAGTATTTTCTTTTTTTTGTTATTGAAATAATAAAAAAGGTGAAACAAACCGACAATAGTGTACAATCAACAATAAAACATACATTCACAACAACAAAACAAAACAACGAAAGAACTCGAATGGACAAGTTCTACAATATAAAAAAAATACTCAAAATGTTGAGAAAATTGCAATTAAACTTTTTTTTAAATAATTATTTTTTTAAAAAAACTTAACAATGGTTGATGATAAATGGGTTCTTTTTGTAACAAACAAACTAAAAACCTTACTCTTAAAGAATATATTAACAACAATTGATAATACAGATTAAAATAACTTGAAAGATTAAAAAAATTTTAATATGTTTTCTTCTTTTTTTTTAATATATTTGTTTATTTAATCGAAAAGTGTCAAAAACAAACAAAACAAGATTCACAATATTATTTTTGTTTATTTATTTGTATTGGTAAAAAAGTAATATATGTGTGTGTAGGGTGATTGTGGAGATGGATTGAAAACAACTCATTGACAAACAAACAAACAAATATTCAACAAAAAAACACCAAAACAATTAATGATTTTGATAAAAAAAAAGATTAAAAGATAAATATTAAAAAAAAAAAAAAAAAAATTAATCAATATTTAAATAGAAATATAAAATAAACTTGGTGTCTAACTTTTTAATATAGTTTAAATTTATTTGTTTGGTGATTTTTTTTTTTTGAGTGTTTAGCTTGTTAGTTTAGTGCTGTGCAGCAATATTAAAAGATTCTTTTAAACTCGTCTCTAGATTGATGTTATACACAACTCATCTTACACAGTTTACAAAAAAAAAAAAAAAAAAAAAGTTTAAATTAAATGATTTTTTTATTGTTTTTATTTTTTATAAATATTTTGTAAGTTTTTTATAGTTTTATAAGTTTTGTTTTATATTTGATGTTCTCTTTTGGTTAATTTGTTGGGTGTGTGTATGTGGTTTGTTGTGTTCTCTTCTTATCTTTTCATTTCGCTCCAATTTTGATATCTATCTTTCGGTCATTCGGTGTTTGATAGTTTAACTGATTTTGATTGGTTGTTGTATTATATATTATTGTGGTTGGATGATTAATTCAACGATAATATGCTTGATTGTTTCGTAGTTTAGTTTGTTGCCATTTGTTATCGATGTCTTTTACCTCTTTGGCGGTGTTTTGAACTTGTTGCTCTAGTGACTCTGTGCTGTTGAGGACCTGTTGTTGTTGCTGTTGTTTAATGATATCGTCGGGTGACATTGGAATACCGTTGAGTCTCTGTTGTTCAAATTGACTGAAAAACTCCATAAAGTTGGTTTTGTTGATGTTGTTATTATTATTATTATTATTGTTGTTGTTGTTAACGGCATTCAGTTTTTGTTGTTGCGCTTGTTGTTGTTGGAGTTGAGCGGCAACTGCAGCGGCAGCTTGTTGATTCATTAGATTAATATTCATATTGGTTGGTGGTGCACCCTGTGGCCCACGTATTGGAAAGTTTGGAAAGTTAAAGGGAAAAGGTAGTGGCATGGGTGGTGACTGTTGTTGTGGCATTGGCGATGGTTTGAGGCTGGGATGTTGTTGCATTTGTTGGAGATATGGATTGAAAAGTGGCAATGGACCTGGTGGTGGTGTATTCATTGGCATTCCACCTTGATTTGCCTGTAAATTTAAAAATAGATCATCAACTCTTTTAATTTGTTGTTGTTGTTGTTGCTGTTGTTGTTGTGCTGCAGCCTGTTGTAATAGAACATGTGGTAATATATTGGTCTGTTGTTGTTGTTGTTGTTGTTGCTGTTGCTGTTGTAAAAATTGCATTTGTAAGAGTTGTTGGGCTTGTTGTTGCTGTTGTTGTAATTCCGCCAACATGTCAATTTCCGGTGTGGCGCTTGAAACATTTTTTTCCTTCTTACTGAGCTTTCCAGATTTGGATTTCTTCAGACTGGCAGCAGTGTCGGCATCGTCATCGACAACGAGACCGGGTGGCTTCATTGCATTCATTGGGTTGTTGAAGCCTGGGGGTGGAGCGGCGGCTTGGTGCATCATGAAACCGGGTGGGGGTGGAGGTGAAGTGACAAATCCTGGAGGTGCCTTTGGATACTCGAGACCTGGTGGTGGTGAAATGGAGCTGGTGGCAGTGGTACCGGACTTTCTGAGGTTTGGACCGCCAGAGTTGGATTTCCAGTTGGAGTTGATCGGGTCGATCTCTGAACGATAACCGAGAATCGCTGGATCTTGGAACACTTGAGAACCACCGAAAAGCTCGTTTTTGGCAGAGTTGTTCAGGTTGTTATTGTTGGAGGAAAACTTGATGTTGATTGAGGGGAAGAGAGAACGGAATTTTTGTTGGGAATCCTCAATGGATGATGATGATGATGGTGTTGTAGAGGTGATTGGTGTGACAGTGGCAGAAGAAGGTGTGAGAACATCTTGTAAATTAATATTATAGGGTGGAATATCTGGATGTTGTTGTTGTATATTTGAAAAAGTATTATTGTTATTGTTGCCATTCAGACTGCTATTTAAACTATTATATAGATTATTGCTACTACTATTATTATTATTAAAATTGCTATTAGGGATGGTATTGAAGTCACTTTTAAATCCAGATAAAAATGATTCTGGTGTAATGATGGGTGAGGTTGGTGAGATGTTGGTTGATTCTTTGTTGATGCTGTCTTTCGATTGGTCTTTGGCGAATTCGAAACGAGAAGTCTTTCTACGGCTGGTTGACTCGGGTGCGATTGGTGATTCCTTGAGGAGAATGTCGATCATCTTGGACTGTGGACTATTACCCTTGAGTGGCAACCAGTCAAAGCTGATATCGGTGTGTTGATCGTCTGGAATCAAACCTTCCCAGCTAGAGATTGGCTCGATATCATTCAAACCGATATTGGCAAATCTGTTCTCGATGGAGATGCTCTTGGTGTGAGAAGCCTGTTGTTGTTGCTCCTTGAGTAGCTTCTCTTCCTTTTCACGCTGCTCTTTCTCACGTTGTTCTCTCTCACGTTGTTCTTGCAACTCCTTCTCGCGCTGCTGTTGCTGCTCTCTTTCGCGTTGCTCCTTTTCACGTTGTTCCTTCTCACGTTGTTCTTTTTCACGTTGCTCCTTCTCACGTTGCTCTTTTTCTCTTTGTTCTTTCTCTCTTTGTTGTTGTTGTAACAGTTGTTGTTGTTGCTCTTTTTCTCTTTGTTCTTTTTCACGCTGTTCTTTTTCTTTTTGTTGTTGTTGTAATAACTGTTGCTGTTGTTGTTGTTGTTGTTGTTGCTGTTGTTGCTGTAATAACTGTTGTTGTTGTTGTTGTTGCAGCTGTTGTTGTTGTTGTTGTTGTTGTTGTAATAACTGTTGTTCTTTTTCACGTTGCTCTTTCTCTTCTTTCTTGGAGGTTGGAGAGCTAGTGGCAGCGGACTTATCTTTCTTTGTTTTGGTGATAACTGTGATTGGGATGTTTGAGAATGAGTTTGAAAGTGGTGGGAAAGTGGTTTGTAGACCCTTCTCGGCTTGAGCTGGATCAACCTCGATATTGTCTTGAAAGCTGGTGTTGATAGCGTTGCTCGAAAGCTTTGGATTGGCCAACATTGATGCTTTAACACTGGATCCCCATGAAGCAGTGGCTGGCAATACTCTCTCTTGTGACTTGGTAAGCGGGAGAGGTGGTGAAGATGATGACGACGATGTCATATTAATGGAATCTGCTGCAGACGGCCATTCCAGAGGATTCAAAGATAAACTGGTTGTAGTTGCACTTGGTGTTGTATTCCATGTTTTCTAATCATTCAAATTAATCAATCACAAACAAACAATCAATCAATCAATTAATAAATATGTTTAAAACATCTTCATTTCTATCACATATACTACTATATTATATACATACAGTTTGCAAAGTAGAAGATGATATATTTAAAGATGGTGTTGCAGATGTCGAAGATGATAAAGCAACCGGTGAATCTTTCCATGTAGATGTAGTTGGTATTGAAGTACCTGATTTCCTATTAATTATATAATAATAATAATAATAATAATGTTAATATTTCAAAGTTATTAAGTCTATGTATATATTGTATAACTTACTTGAATGAAGAAGTTGCAGATTGTGAACTTGATAATGAAGTTGTTGGTTGATTAGATGTTGAACTACTAAGATTTCCACCACTATCATGTGAATAATATTTACTATTATCAAAGCAATAATAGTAAATGTGATTATTTAATTAGTGTATGCTTTTCAAAAGATGATATAGAATCAATGTAATTAATCTTCCTAATACATACCTGAGACCTGCAATATCTTCTTTTGAATAGCTATCGTCTTCTTGACCCCATTCATGTAAGTACATACAGTCTGGATTATTACACTGTAGTTTTCTAAGGAAATACGAACAATATTTAGTTGTACCAAATGATGCTCTGTTTTAGATAGAAAAAGATAACAAAGTAGTAGTTAAAATAAAAAGAAGAAGAAGAAGAAGAAGAGAAGAAAAGAAAAGAATTAGATATTTTCAACTTATATATATATTATAATTTAACTATAATTTGATTAGTTTAAACATACCTTAAAGTTCTTCCTTCAACGGTGGCACCATCAATCGATTGAATGGCAGTCAATGCATCTTCCTTTCGTTGATAGGTGATATATGCACTTACACATGCACCATGCGGTGAATTAACATTATAAATATGATTCTTATTGATAACAACTTTCAATATCTTTCCGTATTGACCGAAATATTCATTCTTTTTAAGTATCTATTTATAGATATTTAAATAGCATTTGTGTTAATAATCTAAATCTATAGTTACCATAGTTATTATTATAATTACCTCTGGCTTAGCAACATTCAATGCAAGATTTGTAACGTAAACTAAATTTCTTTGAATTACTCTAACGGTGTTGAGTTGTTTCTTTGCCGAGTCGGTCGAAGAGTTAATGTTCTGTGAGGAACTCGATGATTGGTTCGATGATTTGTTTCTACCTCTTGAAGGTCTTTCATCTTCACTGCTATCTTCATCCTCTGAATCTGACAAATATGTAAACTTCTCGGGATCATATGTTTTTCTACATGCCGGACATCTATTTTGATCTGTTTCTTTAATACGTTCTAAACAAAATACACAGATCTATAATAATAATAATATCATATATATATATTAGTTAAACCTTTGTTTTTTTTTTTTTTGTATGTTTTTTTTTATAGTTGTATGTTTGTTTTAACATTGTATGTATAATATATATATAATAATCTTATTTTATTGTCATAATGATTGTTATAGTTATGTTATAATAATGATTAGACAATAAAAGTTGTTTTCTTTTTTTTTTTTTTTTTTTTTTTCATAAAAAACATATAGTTACTGTAACTAGTTATTTTATGATTGAAGATATGTGATTATTCTTTCTTTTATGATTGTATTTTTGTTGTATGTAATAAGCTATGTTGGATAGAATAATACATACTTGATAACCGCATGGACATGGTCTAAACTTTCTGTCATCTTTCGACAAAACATTCACACAGAGTGGACATAAATTCTCATCGTCCTCGTCAGACATCCTCCTCCACTATACTATACTATTACTACGATAATTGATTTAGATGTTTGTTGTATAAACTAACTAACTGTCTAACTAGCTAAATAACTAACTGATTAAAGTGAAACAAATGTTGATGATTAAATCTAATTATGATTATATATATATAATACTAGTGAAACTAATAAATAATACTATCTCTTCCTCACTCTCACTAATAATCTTTTATCTATCTTTATGATTATTGATGATGATGATAATAGAATCAATTTAATCTTCTATTTTTTTTCTCTTTATTTTCTTTTGTTTTAATAAAGTTTAGTTTTATTATAATGTTTGTTTTTTGTTTTTTTTTTTTTATGATATCTATCTTATTTTTTTGACTAATATATATTGAATGATATTGAAAAAAAAACAAAAGGTTAAATAAACTAACAAACTAATATTTTAAAGTATAACAAAATAGATAATTATTGTTTGGTTTGTTTGGTTTTTGTTTTTTTTTTTTTAGCTTTTTTTTTTTTTTTTTATGATTTTTTTTTCTTTCAACTTTTCTTTTTTTTTTTTTTTAAAAAAATGCTGTCATCATTTATCTTTTTAATATTTTTTGATACAATTTAAGATTACTTACAAATAAATAAGGTTGGTTTATTCATATTTGCTAATTATTATTTTCTTGTTTAAAGATAACAAATCTATAAATTGATTTTGAATAGTGATCATATCATATTTGTCATTTTAAAAAACAAATTTATATGACATTTGACGTTTGAAAAAAATGTTTTACTATCGGGTATCAAAAAATGGAACACGTCCACCAGTCTATGGTCTGTTGATGAAAAAACGAATTGATTCCACAGGAATTTGTTCAATTGAGAGATAACACATATTTTTGTGGAAAATAATTATTGTTATCTGGAAGAAGACAATCAATAATGTATATCTCAATCAACATGCATGTTTGATTCATTACACATTCATTGAATTGTTTTTTTTAATGAAGATTTAAATTAAAAAGGTTTATATATAAAATTAAGAAAAGTTTTACAGCAATATTATTATTGTTATTATTATTATAAATATATGTTTGTTATTTTTTAGTTGAAATCGACCCAGTCGAAATCCCAGAGATCTGGTAGACCGATGTGACTGGTGGCGTTGAGTACTGGATTGGCAGAGAATCGGAATGGTGGCAGACCTTGGTGTGTTGGTCCAGAGATACAGGTGGCACCGAGTGTTGGAATCTGTTTGGAGCTGGTGATCTTGCTGTCGACACCTCCGAATGCCTTTTGCTTGCCGGTGGCGAGAAGATCGGCTCTCGATGAGATTGCGTTCATTGGTGAACCCTGTGAGAGTGGATCACTAACATAGTTATTGAATTGCATCATCGCCTGGAACTGCTCGTAGGTATTGATCGACGACGAGTTTCTATTGAAAATTTGAGCACGTGGACACTGTTCGTAGGAATAGCTGTTTCCATACTTGGCCAACTGTTCATTGTATCCACTGATATTGTAAATATATGGGAAATATGGAATGTTATATGATGGCCAGAAACCATTCTTATTTAACTCTGGTGTTACATCGGCACTGTAGTATAAATTCATTAGTATCATTTCGAAATTCGAATAAAAATAAAACTTACAGTTCACAATAACCTGGAATTTGCTCGAGAATCCAGAAGGTGTTTGGTGGTAATGTCGATCCGGATTTGAATAGTTTGTAATCGAAAACCATCCATTGATTGTTGTAGGTTCCAGAGTTGTATTGTTGGAATACTTGGACCCATGATTGTGCGTTGGTTGCGAGGATGTTGGAAACGACAGCTCGCTGCCAGACCAAGAATGACTCTGGAATGACAAAGCTGTAGAGAGTGTCGTTGAAAATCTCATTGGTAGTTTCCATCACTGCCAATTGGTGACCGGTAACATAGAAGTCGTCTTTGCTAGAAAGGAATCCTGGACTGCTCGAGAAAGCAGCGACATATGGATTTCCATACTCTTGGAATTCGAATTGATAGGTCTTGAAAATTCTCATCATTCCATAGTAGTAACGCCAGGTGGTGTGTCCGAAATAGACGTCTTGACTGTTCGGGATAATACGAACGAGTGCACTGCAGTCGAGGAAATCGATGGCGTCGGCACCTTTGTCGTTACCCCAGAGGAATGGCGAAACTTTCGCGTTGACACCTGGATTTCCGTAGAGTGAATTGAGAGTTTGGAGATCGCCAGCCGATGACAAGAGATAGAGTTGCATGGCGGTGATTGGCACCATCGCTGGGACGGCAGCGTAACCGGCTACCATACCGTCGAATTGTCCCATCAATAGACCAGCGGTGTGCCAGTAGACGGTGGCATTGATTGTTCCTTCCTCGTTCATTGGGTATGGATTGTCGTCGTGTGGCTCCGAGATTGATTGACGAACCCATTGCAATTGGGAACTCATGTAACTGATCAAGGTCGACGATGGTGTGGAATTGACAAACTCGTTGGCAGCATAGTTTGTCCACATTTGGTAGATACGTTCTGCTGTGATTACACCCTCAATGAATCCACCAATATAAGCTTGATTTAAATCGGAAATATATGGAAGTGTTGTAATTGTTAGATTTCCCCAACCATTCTAGAAAAAAGGGAAAAAAAATTGATGGTCAGTTGTTTGGAAAAAAAAAAAAAAAAAAACTTGGATTTCCAGATTTCTATTGATCTGTCTGTCGCTTATTGATAATATTTACATTTGGAATATCATCGATATAGGTTCCACTGGCTACAACTACTCCACCCGATGGAATGGCACTGCTAGCTAATTGTAGGGTATAGCTATTTTGGTAGAAAATGACATTTACAGAAACTGAACTCTGTAGGAAAACATTCTTATCGACAGAGACAGTTGGATAGTCTTGTGAAAAAACAGTGACCATCAACAATGTCGATGTTATGAAAATCCACAACCCTTTATTTATCATTTTGGTGTTGTTTCGTTATGACTATATTATTAACCCCAAACTGTTTTATATATATATTAAATTAAAGCTATAAAAAAAAATAACCTAAATTAAAATAAAAGAAATTTAATTAATCTCTAGTTTTTATATATAAAATTGATGTAAAAGGTCGGTGATGCATGTATTTGAATTTAAAAAACAAAATAAAACAAATATTAAATTAGATTTTTGATTGATTAATTTGGTTGTGTGTGTTGTTTTCTTTTGTGTGTGACCCTTTTTTTTATTTTTTTTTTTGTATTGGTTTGATCGAGCAAAGAACAAAACAAAGAATTAATAAAGTGAAATGATATTCTACCGATTGATTTTAATCCTGGTTGATTAGAAACTTAAATATTCAAATATTTATTTATTTGATTGAGACAAAATCTAAGCTAATGACTTTAGCAAACTTTAAAGTTACTTTTTCGAACCTGATCTGCGCTGATCAAACTAACGAAACTAAACTGACTTGACAACTAAATTATAATATGTTGTTTGTGCTTGTTGTGCAAATGTAAAGGTAACTAGTAAAAATGTAAAGGTTGTTTGTTTATTAAATAATAAACAAAAAGTAAGTAAAAGCAATAGGTGAAACAATGACTTGCACTGGACAGACACACCAGCCTGAGTGAGAATTAATTTAAAAATATATTAAATTGGGAAAAAGAGAAAATGGTTTTAAAAAAAGAATTGACTTTTGCAAGGAATCTTATGGTACGAAACACCCAATAATATTGTGCAGCAATCAACAATGAAAAAAAAAGACATTGTTTGTTTTGAATTTTAGAATGAAAATTTTTAGTTCACAATTTTTTATTTTTTTTTTTGGTGAACCAGTCAAAAAAACTAGTGAATTACACCAGAGTCACCATCGTAAACTAAAAACAGTCGAGAGATATGACATCTAAACAATAAATGGTGTAAAACAGGGGGGAATTAATTTTTATTAATAAAAAAAAAAAACAATAAAGTTTAGTTTAAAGTTTAGAACCAGACAAAGATAGAAATCGTCTCAACAAATATTTATCATTTAGTTTGCACTATAGATTGAAACTGGTTATCATATGAACCATACCATAGTTTAACTAGTTTATATTATTATTTCTGGGTTGTATTATACGGTTCATTAATGTTTCTTTTTTTTTTAAAAAAATATTCCAGGTTTATACAAGTAATAGTATTGTTTGTTTTTTTTTATACAAATTAAATAAAATTCATTGATTAGATAAATCAATGATTGGTTTATTACTATTTTTTGGTGAAATTGGTTGTTGTTTAACTACTGGTGTGCTCACTAACTCACCGTTGATATAAGAATCGTATGATGATGTTATATGTGATTGAGGTTGTTGTTGAGGTTGTTGTTGTTGTTGATAGATTGTTTTTTGGTTGGAGCTATACATGTTGTGTCCAGGTGGTGTCACCGATGGATTTGATTTATAAAGAGGTACTGCAGGTAAACCAACTGTTGGTGATGTACTATTATTATTATTATGATATGGTGAAGTATTTGACATTGAATTCATTTGTTGTTGTAATTGATTTAGAAATTGTTGTTGATGTTGTTGTTGTATCTGTTGATTATGATGTTGTTGTAAAGGGTATTGTTGTGGTTGTTGTTGTTGATGAGGTGGTTGTTGTAATTGCTGTTGTTGAAGTTGTGGTGGTATTGGTAGCGATGCAGGTAGAACAGCTGCAGCGGCAGGGATTGTTGGTGCCTTCAAAGCCATGAATGACTGTACAATGCAATTGATTCCACAAACGAATATCTTGTGATCGTATAGTGTGTTGGTTAAATAGTAGAATCCGTTCGTTACTGCCTTGCATACCTTGCAGCTATAGCACTTGGGAGAGACCGTATCCGTGTCTTTAGCGGCACTGTATGCTTTTTTGAAACGCTCGGTAAACTCATCATTCTGAAAGTGTTGCGCATGACAGATTCTAATATGTATATCACCAAACACCACGATTGCACACACAGCTGGATGTGGTCGATTCAGACACATATCCAATACGAAATCCTGATGCTTTCTTCTGTCTAGACTTGCCTGTGTTTGTTTATCACTATATGGATTGATTGTTTGTTGTTGCTGACTACTACTACTACTATTGTTTGTTGCTGTTGTTGCTGTTGTTGCAGAAGTAGGTGAAGTTGTTGGTATACCTGAATAGTAGCCAGTTTGTGAAGTCGAAGTTGGTAGTGGTGGCGTAGTTGTTCCACTACTAGCGAGTAAACTTGTATTAACTATAGCTGATGCAGTCTTGTTATTATTATTATTATTATTAGGTTGACAAACATCGGATAACTTTCGTTTGAGTTGACTCAGTTCACTCTGAAACTCGAGTAAAACCTTACGACTTTCATTATCGATTGGTTGAACATTTGGTGAAGCATCGTGTGTCAGTTCTATAGCAACATTCAGACATCGCTTGATATGCTGAATCCATTGAATTTGTTTAATCTTTTGTTTACAGAATGTGCATGTCGACACCAGATTCTCATCGTAGTTATCCTCAATCAATTGTTTTGTATCTTCAACAATATTGTTTTTCTTATTTAAACTTGATTTATTACTACTATTACTACTACTACTACTACTACTATTATTATCATCGTTTTTACTATTACTGCTATTATTATCTTTCATTATTACGTCATTACTTTTGTTATTATTATTATTATTATTTACACGGTGATTACTTTCAATATGATCCGATTTCAAACGTTTTGAAACTGGTGCTTTCTGATCCTCGATTGTTTCAATACTATCGTCGGTCATCAGTGAGAAGCTTTCGATATTATTGTCGATTTCAATGGTATGCTCTTGTTCTTGTTCTTCAACTTTCTGATGTTGGTTATCCAAGTAGCTATCTTGATTCTTATCATTCAAACTTTTACTGTCTTGAATCTTGTCAGCGTCACTTTCTCTATGAAACTCAATAGCACTATTATTATTATGTTCGTTATCACTCTCAGATAGTAATCCTTCTTCTTTTTCTCCTTCTTCTTCTTCTTGTTCTTCTTCTTTTTTAACCTTTCCTTCTGTTTCTTTATCTTCTATTTCTTTTTCTTCTATTTCTTTATCTTCTTTTTCTTTATCTTGACTGTTTTTGTTGTTGTTGTTGTTGTCTTTGAGTTTATTTTCTTTATGATTATTTTCGATTTCTGGTACTTCTTCAGATTTCTCTTTTTCACCAACGATATGACCTTCAATAGGTAGTTCTACACCAATACTGAATGTACTGTATCTACTGTTGTTTGTTTTGCTATTATTATTATTACTACTAATAACTATAGATGTACTATTTCTATTATTACTTTTAGTACTGCTGCTAATACTATTATTGCTATTGCTGTTGTTGTTTTTCTTATTGTTTTTGTTCAAGTCTTGTTTTTCACTTTCACTTATATCCCAACCAGACCTTTCTCTCCTTCTACTGATATAGCTGTTACTGTATCTACTATCACTATTACTGTGGTGACTACCAGCACCAGGTAGTTTTAGTTTTGTTGGTGTATGATTGAATTTTTTAGATTCAAACATTCCTTTTCAAACAAATTTATCAAATATTGGTATTTAATTTATTATTTATAATAAAAAATAATTCAAACAATCTATAGCGATTGAATGTATGATTTAAATATAAACTAAATAAATATATATAGATTTTTATTGATTTTGATATTATTTAATATAATAATAGAAAAAAACATTAATAAAAAAGAATGATAAATTAATGGATGATATAAATCTATTATACTATCAACTGAATGAATATAAACGACAAAATAAAATAGTAATCTACAACACATTGTGTATACAGGTTCGAAGTATTTTTGCTAAACTAACCACTTCACAGGCAAACGTTCATATAAATAAATATTTTTAATTAATAATAATATAAAAAATGAAAAATCCAATAATCAATAATAAACATAAAGATAGGATCATATGTTATGACATCTTTCTGGTTACGAGATGTGTTCAGATCAATTATAGATCAATTTTTAGAGAATAACAAATAATTTTTTGATTCATCATTATTTTAATTCCAATTATCAATATGATTTATTGGAAAAAAGAAGGAGTTGTTTGTTGGTTGATTGTTATCAATTTGTGATGTTCTTTTGAATTACTGTAGCAAAAGCATACTCTCACAATTATTATTGATATTTGTTTCAATGAATTGTTATTGTTTGGTTATTGTTGTTTGTTTTTTGTTATATAATTCCAATTTAATTGTCATCTGTTTGCCTAAATGATCGTCTTCATTCTTTCTGCTTCGTCAAATCACCAACCGCCACAGAATTAGAAATCTCTCTAAACATCTAGAATTTGATTATTTAATAAGATTAGCGACTACTTTCTTTAATTACTTGATAGATTTGATTGGATGCATCGATTTGATTGACAGATTGATTGATTGATTGATTTGATCTTGTGTTTGTTTTTTTGTTCTTTTTTTCGTTTTGAAACAAATTGATTTTGAATAAATAAATAATAATAAATACGTATATGTATATAATTGAGTTTTGATTGTTTTTGTTTCTATACAACCGATGATGATGCTGATGATGAGCTGGGTAGTTCAGTTGCTGATGCAGTTAAGGTTGATGATGGTGGTGTAATAGATTGTTTGTTCATACATTTCAGAGGTATTTCCGGTTTTCTCTTGTTCTTAAAGAATATTTTCTTGTAGCAAAACACTCCAAAGATTGAACCAGACAACAAGATGACACCTGCAATCACGATCGGAATCAAGAAACCTTTGGACTTCCAATAGGGGTCTTTCGAAGTGCGCAACTCACCACGTGGATACAGTAGATTCAACTTGTAGCTCAAACATACTATATGACTGGGCGGACAAGTGATCTTTTGTAACGTGTTATTGTTGTTGCTATTACTACTGTTGCCACTACCCAGATCCACAAAGACATCTCCTCCACCCACTGGACACCTAGTATAACAAGAACTTGAATTACCAGTTTGAAAATGTAAAACACTATCTATACACCTATAAATTCGAAAAAGTCAAGCAAAAATGATTAATAAATATAATGAAATCATGGTTGATTTGTTTTGGTTTGGTTTGCTAAAAAATAACTATTTACATACTTTGTATTATAACACTTTGGATCCGGTTGTTGTTGAGAATTACCTCTAAGTGGTGTACTCATGAAACATCTTTGATCCTTGCCTTGATCGGTGCAGAGAGATAGACCTTTTTCATTGTCAGTGTTGAACTCTATGAATGCGCAGTAGTCTGTAAATTTGGGACCTCCCCAACTACCTCGTAGATAATGTTGATAGTATTCACATTCAAAACTTGTTATATTCCAGTTATACTCTTTAAGATTACATGCTCCAATTGCTTTAGCATCGGGGGTGCATTTACGTTGTCTTTTCTCAGCTGTACAAATAAAATAAAAATTTAGAGGTTAGAATAAAAAAAGAGAAACAATGCCATGAAATGCAACATACATTTTGGTGTGTCACAAAAATAACCTTTATCTTTGGTGGACTGACTGAATTGCTCACAACGACCTGTTACGAAACTACAACCTTCTCTCTGTCCCCATCTGAATTCCTGTGCAAAGCTGGTGTCGACAAGATACCATCCAGTGTCTTGGAGGAGTGAAATTGTGAGGACTGAGAGTGCCATCGTCGACGATGACTCGGATGTCATCATCTCTGAGTATGCGATTCTCGATTCCCAGTGAGCGCAAAGTGGATCGGTTGGCGACGAATCGGAATCGTTGTTTGAGCAATCCGACTCTAGTTCGACACCCTCCAGCGTAGAACAATTGTAGTAGTTACGCGCGGTCTGAAGCACCTGTGGAGTTGCCAACATTGAAATCTTCTTGGTAACGATACGACCATTAAGACCCATACCGGAAAGCTCGCCACGAACCACCGGATTCTTGTGGGGATATCCGTCGGGATCGAGAAAACTATTGTAGAGATTCGATGAGAATCCGAGCACGTGAAGCAGCTCGTGAATCGTCGACTGAACAGCACGTTGGAATCCATACTTGTTGAAAGCGGAATAGGTTTTGTTGTACCAAGATGGCGACAGGTTGATGTAGCCAGCAAGTGGACGACTTAATATTCTTCTTCCGTAGCTGTCGTCGTAGTCAAAGTTACACGGTGTTCCAAATGCAATGATGTCGTTTAATGCCATCGGTCTTGAAGAGACATACAACAAGAGGTCAGTGTCCTTTACACCCTGTTTAACAACGGATTCATCGATCTCGATGCTATTCGATGCCTGTGAACACTTGTGATTCACCGACTCCCAGATGACGCGATTCAACTTGAGAGGACCTTCGCGCTTCGGTATCAGAATGAGATTCTCAATGATGGCTATTGCCGTTGGAATGACATCCTGTTTGAGATAACGAAGCAGTTTGTCGTTGACAATATCAGTGATAGTGCAGTTGTATCTGCAGTTGTTTGGACGTTTCTTTGAGCACCAAGCGGTCGAGTTTTGCGGCGTACCAATGTCGATATGTGTATCGCCAGGTTTGCATTGGTGATCTGGTATGTCGTTATCCAGATAAGTATAGTTGACAGTGATACGCAAATGACTCCAACCATTCTTGGCAAAGACTTATTGGGTCGATTTGATCCGGGTAAAGGGAATGTAGTTGTACGATTGGGATTGAACGTTGGAAAAGGTCTGTTTAAAGTTGATATATTTTCAGCAGCCAATAGATTATCGTTTTCCGATAAACTATTATTATTACTATGCTTCTTGTCATCATCATCTTCACTATCATCGCTTTTAGGTGGTGGTGGTATGATAGCTGGACAAATAGTTATATTCTGATTACCATTACCACCATTATTACTTCCTGTAGTTACTGTAGTTGTTGTTGTTGATGTTGTTGTTGTTGTTACTGGAGTATTTCCACCTGTCGATGATGATGATGATAATGGTGGTTGACCTCCAGTGCCTTGTCCTATGGTAGTTACTGTGAGTGTTTTATTTGGATCGATACCGGTTGTCGATGAAGTTATATTAAGAGTTGCTCCGCCTGTTGTTGGTTGTTGTGGTGGTGGAGGTGGAGGTGCTGAATCTTTTCCAGTATTTCCTGTAGTTGTTGATGTTGTAGTTGTTGATCTAGTTGTTGTAGGGAAGCCAGATTGATGCTTATCAATACCTATATCATCCTTACTGATAAACTCGAAATTACTATGTAAAAGTTTAGATATATCCAATCTAAACTGGTTGGTCGATCTAAGATCGATTCCTTCGGATGATGAGGTCTCTAAATTGTTGTTGCTGTTACTACTCTCTAGGCTATCGCTGCTGCTGCTGCTGTCTTCCGATGAACTCTGTAGATAGTCGTCAATCCTATCATTCAGACCACTCAGGAAATCGTTTGACATTTGATCGTGTCTACAAGTGGGTTTGATCTTTAGTTTCTGTGTACTTTTGGCACTCCTGCCAAGCAAGCCAGGCTTGGTGTGTTGTAGTTGTTGTGGATGCTGCTCCAATTCCCATTCCCAGTCATCGTCATGGGAGTGATCAAGGTCGAAATGACCCATGAAATCAGTGTCTTCGTTGGCATCGGGAGGGATTCCCTCGCGTTCCATTCTTCTCAGGTATCCATGATATATAATTCTATTGATTCGATCTTTAAGTCTGTTATTCTTCTCCAGCAACGACGTCTCTCCAGGTGGCGGCAGTAGCAACAACAAAAACAGCAATATCAGTACTACTAAAAACTTACTATATGGTCGATTATAATAACTATACATTTTATGATTCTAATAATAAAAAAAATACAAAACTAACTAATAACAAAAAAAAAATATCTAATGATACAAATATATAAATTATTACTACTATATTACTATATACTATTTTTTAACTAACTAATATTACATCCTAAATTTTGATTTATAATAAATAAACTATATTGTGATTATTATAATAATTTTAACAAAAAATTAAAAATTAAAATAGTATTTTCTTAAATATACTATTTTATTAACAAATATACTATATAAATATATGTATCCTATTATCTTATCGTGTGATTAAAAAAAAATGGAAATTGTGATTGTCTTTTCAAAAATCTAAAAATCTATCACAAAAAAAATTGTTTACTAATATCTAAAAAATAAAAAAAAACCTAACTTAATAGTTTTGTTGATTAATTATTGTTGTTGTTTCTATTGTAGATTATCATATATATATATGTATTAAGTTTTTTTTTTTTTAATACAAAAATGAAAATGAAATTAAGATTGGTCTGTGGTTAGTTAAGTAGTTTTTTTGAATTGTTGTATAACAATTTTATTATTAAAGTTTGTTTGGTGTTTGTTTGATTTTAATATTGTTGTTATGATATTATTATAGTGGCATTACTAACTAATAATGCGAATGTGTCGAACAACAGGCAATAAAAATTAATATACACAAAAATGAAAGCAAAGCAGTAAAAAAAAAAAAGGGAAGTGCAATTGAATGTTGTTATTGTTGTGTGTGTGAAGTTTATTTAGTAATGTGTTGTACCAAACAAACATACACACTAACTTTTTTTTTTTTAGGTTTTGTTTTTAAAATTTTTTTAGTGACAGTTTTGAAAAACTAAAAAAACCACCACGATTCCACACCACTCTATCTGTCTGTCATTCACACACATCTAATTTTCACCAAATTCAATTAATTTGCTAGGTGGTTGATTTTGTGCTCTTTGGTTTTCAAAACGAAAAAAAACAACATCAACAGCATTGATGGTGTGTGGTGGTGCAAAATATTAAACCTAGTTTTGTACAATTTGAATTTTTTCATGCAATAATGAGAAAAATTACCATGACAAAGTTATTGAAAAAAGTGATCATTTGTTTATAAAATTTATTTTGCAACTAAATTTAAGTATATTTTATCATAATTTATGATTTTATTGTTGGCAGACTAAATCCACGATTCGACAAAATATCCATCATCGATTTAAATGATTATACATCAATGTCAAATAAGTGATCTTCACCAAAACATCCATCATCTCCAGCCATTTATGGTAAAATTAATTTAAAATTTATAAAGATTTTATTGTTTTCTGTTTAATACATACACTTCAAATTATAAAGATTTGATTCCAACAACTACAATTATAAAGATAATACTTAGGAGTAAAGATAAAATTATTTGTTTAAACACAATCAACTAAATTTCATAATTTAAAATAAATAGGTTTCTGAACTAATCAACAAACAAATCTCAAGATTAGTTGATTTTATGACTGGTCTTGCACAAAATGTTATCGAAAAATTTACTCTGTGTAAATGGAAAAAATTTCGTGTTATTGGGTTTTACTATTTTTATTTCATTTTGTGAAGGTTGTCGATGTGTGATAAAAAGTTGTTTAAAAAAAAAGATAATATTTAATATCTTTTTTTTTGTACCTGTATGAATGATACAATTATAATAATAATAATAATAATAAATCACAAAAATCATAATATACAAAACAATCATTTTTAAGCTTTAGATTATTAAAATAAAATCAAATAAACAAAACATTAAATGATAAGCAGCAATAATAAAGAGGAGTTAAAGAAAGGTCTTGAGCATTTTCATATTTAATCAATCTTGATTATCATTTTAATCGGAAGATTAGAAAGGAATAATATGGTGTTTTTGTTATCAGAAAATAATAGCAAAATCAATAATATTATAAACACATTTTGTAATTAACGAATTAAAATAGAGAAGAGTGTAATTGTGTGTGTTGATTTGTTAACTTAAAAGTATGTGCATGCACAAGAATAGATAATTATGTTTATGAAATCAAAGAGTAGTGTGTGTCATTAAAACAACAGCAACAACCAACAACCCTGAACAAAATTATAACATTTTTTGACTTTAAATTTTTTAAAAAAAAGACTTTGAATTAATTGACAGATTTTTATTTTTAATTAATTTAAGTACTGAGATTTGATATTACAAAGTCAATGATGGTGCTGCTGTTGTCAACAGTGGTTTGATTGCTAAATAAATATAGTTGACTTGCATGATTCCTTTGCCTTTGGATGAGTTAACATTGAGGGGTGTGGTGGTGAGATTCCACTCAATCGATTCCTCCATGTAAAAGTATTGCTCTGCACAGGTATTTCTGCTGACGACAAACAAGAATCCACCTGGTTTCAATACTCTATACATTTCCACCAGTAATTTCTTTACCATTTCATTCTCTCCGACTTCCACATCCAATGTTGAAAGTAAAGCATCGATTGTACCCTGTTGTTTTTAATTTTAGAAAAGTTAGTTGAAGTTAGACTTTTATTCATTATAGTAATAGTTGTTGTTAATTAAAATACCTTGTCTATAATACCATTGAAATGATCATCTGGCATTTGAGTGTCGGTTGCATCCATCACCTGATATTTGAGCGATTGTTTGATTCTTTTGTTGGTGGTGGTGTGTAGTTGTCGTTGTACCATTCGTTCGATTGCATTGCTACAGACATCGACGTTCAGTATATTTAAATCTAAAAGTTTGTTCTCTTCAATATCTAGTAGCAGTTCTTCAGCAATCAAACTGTTACCACAACCAATATGTAGAATCTGATAGATATTTGAAAGTTGACTAGCTTTATCTCTTTCTCTATCTCTTTCCTTTTCTTTTTCCTTTTCTTTTAAGTCATTTTTGTATAGTCTGGTTTGATTACGTTTAGCAGCTGATCTCTGATATGCTGATAGCAGACATACCACTCGTAACTCTCACCTTTGCCTTCTCCGACCTCATAGAAATCCTCCCAAAACACATAGCTTGCCGGAGAAACACTTGGATCATCTATATATTCTTCTCTTTTTCCACCTCCTTTTTTCTTTCCCATAGTATTTTATTTATCTATTATCTATTTGTTTGATTTATTCAAAGAAAATAAATAAAATAAAAAAAGTTACATCTATCGTTTTTTTTTTGTTATTAAAAATGAATGCGTGATTGTCGATTTTTGAAATTTCTTAAAATAATAGTTTGATGTTTGCAACTAGTTTTAACACACTCTCAAATACACTTGATATTTATTATAAATCTTAGTTTAAATATATATATATATATAGATATATAATAATATAAAAAATAAATGTCATCAGAAAAGAAAGATTTTGTAGATAGTACTTTTAGAAAGAAATGGGATAGAGAGTATTATGAACAGAGAGCTAGGGATAGAGAAGCTGGTTTGATTGCCGACACCGATGCTACAGCTCAGCAGACAAAGAAACAAGTGACTGCACCATCGGTAGAGTCACTCGGTAGTCTCGAAGCAAGAACTGAAGATTTGAACTTAATGCAGAGACTTGGAAAGGTTACTGTTGTCAATGGTGTAACACCTAGTTCTGAACAAGGTGGATTGTACTGTGAGAAATGTGATGTACTACTGAAAGATTCTGTATCGATGCTTGATCATTATAATAGTAAGAAACGTATGTATTCTCTATGATAATATAATTAACCACTTATAATCAAATTTAAGTAACTTATTAAAATGCACAAATATATTTAGATTTGAGAATGGAAGGTAAAAGTATGAGAGTTGAAAAGTCATCGTTATCACAGGTACAGGAGAAGATGAGGCAAGCAAAGTTGGAGAGAGAGAGGAAGAAAGCAATGACAGAGGAAGGACAAAAGAAGAAGAGAGATGAAGATTATCAAACTATTTTGAAAAAGGTAGAAGTAAATGAAGAGAAAGAAAGAGAGGATAAGAGAGAGCAAAAGAAATTACAAAGAGATAGTATTATCATTAAAAAAGATACAGCAACAACAACAAAAACAACCGAAGTTAAAGAATTAGATAAATCAAGTTTAAAAGATAATAGTAATAGTAATAATAGTTTAAAGAATAAAAAACAAGATGAAAAAGTCGAAATACAACAACAAGAAGAAGAAGAGGAAGAAGATGAAGAAGAAGCACAATTAAGAGCAATGGGATTACCAACAAGTTTTGGATCATCAAAAAAGAATAAATAGTGTATTTATTATTTGAATATTAAGATAAATATGTCATAATATAATTCATTCTTCTGGTTTTACAAAAAGAGAGAGATATCATCTCTAAGAGATATCTATCAAGCATGTAAATTTGAACGTATATTCTCATCCATCAATTTATAGATTTCTTTCTTTTCATTCTCCAATCTTGTAAGCTCATCTCTATAGCTTTCAATAGTTGCTTGGTTCTAGTGATGTAGATATTATTGGTTTACAAACATTGATTATAATCAAAATAATAGATAGGAGATCTGTGAGTAATCATATAGGAAAATAAGGTGTAGATAGATAGATCGATTGATGGATGGACGATGAAAATAAAGATCTATTGATAGTATAGTATTGTTATGATATTATTAATATTGTTATTATAACATACTCTTTTACAATCTTCAATCTTCTCATTTATAATCTTGGTATGTGATTGTAATCTTAGATCACTTGATTCCTTATCTTGGAGTAACGACTGTTTCTCACTTTGTAGATCTCTTACCAACTGATTCAATGAATGTATAGTTTTAATATGATTTGTTCTCTCATCTTCTTGTTCCTTTTGTTGTTTTGTTATCTTGTTAACTTTTAAATGATAAGTAATACTATGATAAGTAGTTTGTTGTATTTATATATAGTTATTAATGAGATGAATACTTACAAACATCTTTAAAACTATTGAATTTCTCATCTATTTGTCTGACTTGCTCATTAACTCTTGTAAAGTTACTCTTGTATTCATCAAGATAGTAATCTTGTATTTCCAGTTTCTTTTGTAGTTCATCAATCAATTCTTGATATTGTTCAATCTTTTTAGATAGTTCATTATTCTTTTGCTTTTTTTTATTATTGTTTGTTGATTGTTGTTGTTTATTTTAATAATAAATTCATTATAAAGTTAGAGATGAATCAATGAATGAAAGCAATCAAATACAATTCTAATTAAATTGATGTGTTGTATATTTGTAATTACATTGATATCATTGATGGTATTTCTATTTTGTAGATGTACATGGTTGGCTCTTGAATCTTGGTTTGACTTTTCTATTTTCTCTTCGATTTCAATCACAGAATGCTTAAGATTCTTGACAATCTCTTTTAATCTATTACTATTCATCATCATGAATACTATCTTTTTGAAAATTAATTAACAAAAAAATAAACAGAACTTTTAAAAAAAGTTGTTTGTTGCTCAAAAAAATAAATAATTTTCCCATGAAGGTCATTGCCTTTGTTTCAAGGTCTGAATAACTTTTTAAGTATTGAGCAATACCAGTAGTTTCAGAACCTAATCAAATAGTTTCCTAGCTATAACAATGACGATGAAGAATGGTGTTTAGACGATAACTCTGAGGTCGAAGTAGATACATCTAGTAATAGTAAGATCATTTATATAAATACATATTTAACACTACGTCTAGTGAATATTATTCTAATATAAGTTTATATCTATAGAAGATCTAAGTCTAGTTATGACAACATTATACAAGAACAGAGTATCAGTTAAAAATTTTTAATAATAAAGAACCTACTCGAAGAAATAAATACCAACAACATCAAGAACTTTAAGAGAAAAGAGCATAATTCTCTACATAATGAAACTCAAGTATGTATTAGAATACTACACTACACCATATGATGTTGATCAACTAATTATCTTTACACTACCTATACTAGGAACTAAAACCAATAACAATAGTTGATGACCAAATTATATATTATTTAGATCCAGTTGGACTATATTTATTGATAAGTTCAACAATTATATTATTTATAAATATTCAGGTGAACTAAGGTATGATAACATTATTCTCATCTTTTTTTTAGGTTTTTTTTTTTGTTATTAATTTAAATTTACATACAAAATAGTAAAGAACAGTCTTCACTGGATAATTATTCAAATTTTATAAATTTAGTACGATGAACTGTAAGAGTAAGGATATTCTATCATGGAAGCGGTGGGGTGGAATTGATGAACCAGAGAGAAGTTTATGGCCGACCAAAATGGGATTGATAATAATATTCATTTAGTAGTACTTCTTAATGAAAACTATTTAATCAATGTATATATTCACTTCATAGTTGGCGATCATCTCTACTAACGAAAAAATCCTATCTGTTTCATCAATTCCACCACACAGCTAGATTTAAATCTTTAAATAAATAATTAAATACTTTATCATTAAATAATAAAATATTATTTTTAATTTAATTTAATTTAATTCGAAATAAAATAAAAAAAATATATATAATTTAGCTCATATAGACCAAGATAGTAGTAACCCCTGTAATCTTGTTGAAGATACCAGAGCTGTCAGGATAGCTTTTTACCAAAAGTAAAAAGTTTGTTTGTTTATACATATTATTGAATCTGTAAAGAAAATTTTATTTTGGAAAGGAAAGAATCTTTTTTTTTATTGATTAAAGGGTTGGACTTAGAAAGATCCTTTATCTTGGTATTTATCCCATTCTTCTTATATTTTTTCTAAAGATCCATTTTGATTTGACTTTTGATTCTTGAAGAATTTCTTTCTTTGTTTTAAAAACTCTATTCCTTGATTGATTATTTCAAGCAGTGATTTTGACATTCTATATTACTAAGATGATCAAATGGTTCCCAAATCAATATTCGATACTGATCAAAATCAGGAGGTGTTCTAAATCTTTGATAAAGACATTCTTTTTTCTACTCTATCTATTTAATAGACAATTGATTAATTTAATTCTGATAAATTTTTATTTAGAAATAAAAAAAAATAATTTCTATAGAGTTGAGAATTCTACTTGCTTTCAATATATTGAGATCCATATTGATTTTCCCACAGCTATGGAATAATAGTGTAAAAAGGAGAAATCTTAATCTATTTTTATTTCACTTGGTTATTGAATCTTTTTAAAAAGATTATTATATGATTACTATGTAAATCTTTTTTTTTTTTTTTGAAAAATAATAATATGTATATAATTTATTTATTTCATATAGTCCAAGATAGTAGCCAACAATAGCTTGAATGGCATTCCAGTTGGTTTTGAAATACTTTGATACTCTACTTTGGTTTCATTATCTTGTGTATAGGTTGATTGTTTTATGTTGAAACCAATACGAATGAGTGCATGAGAAAGCAGTTCCTCCGAAGGATACTGAGAGATCTCCATTGCCTCTTTGAATGTGAAATCCATATCGAATGACTCTAGTATTCTGAATATGAGGATGGTGAGGTTGATGTTTCTTCTAAACATTGCTTGAATCTCGGTCTTCCAAAGATCGAAATCCTTCTTCCAAATGCGCATACCGGTCATCGTTCCTGAGTCAACTAGCACTCGCTTATTGGAAACTGCAACCTGTCGCTTCTGAGCATTGTTAACGATGTCCTTGAGTATACCGTTTTGTTTCTGCATCAATTCTTCTTTTCTTCGGTTCTCTGTCTCCACTTCAGTATCGATGTGTCTCAGTCTCAGCTTGCCGGTTCCAACCTTGTCCCTTATCTCATCCATAAGACAATCATAGGCAGTCGTCTTGGTATTACCAGTACTCTTTCTGTTCTGGTTATTACCTCCAGTTCTTGGTTGAGAAGTTGGTGATTTATTCAATTGTTTAGATGGTTGTTGTTGTTGTTGTTGATATTGAGGTAGAGGTGGAGGAGGTGGAGTTGATGGGTTGTATTGTTGTTGCTGTTGTTGCTGTTGTTGTTGTTGACGGTAAGATAGCTGTACAGGTGGTGGAGGTGAAGAAGTTTGACGATTAACAACACCACCGTTACCAAAGTTATTGTTATTGTTATTGTTATTATATACTTGTGGTTGTCCAGTTATTACACCTTTAATAGAGGTAGGTAGAATCTCTGATATGGTTGGATCATGTCTTACCATTTCCAAAATGACATTTCTCAGTTGGTCTACGTCCAATTTCCCTAGAACAGCTTCAATCTTTTTGTAGTCTGGTTGCTTAGGTTGTTCAGATGGTGATGGTGGTGAGTTTAATCTAGCTTGTGGTGGTGATCGTTGAGCAGGATACTGTGAGTTACTATTACCGACTCTACTTTGATTGCTATTATTATTGCTATTATTATTATTATTATTGCCATTTGATCTTGACTGTTGGTTGGAATGTGAACGATGATGTTCAATAGGTGGTGATTCTGGTGGTGTATTTGGTTGTAGATTCTTTACTGTCATTAAGAATGCCTTTAAAGGTTGTACTAAAATAGATGAATGTCTTGTTACATTTTCTATCAAAAATAATAAAAATCAGTTAATATATTAATTAAAAATAGAATTAAATCTTGTAAACATTACCATGAGTTGACAATTTCTTTAACTTATCAATGATACCATCATTAAGAATTGATGCTTGAACTATTCCTATATACAAATAAAAAAAGAATATAAATAAATGTTATTAATTTTCATAAGGTATCATTATTAGATATACTAATTACTTACTGCTACTTTGTATAACTTTGTTTAAGAATTCAAGAACACTATATTGAAGATTCTCATTATTTGAGTATAATGAGTTGAGTACTGCTTGGATACCACCTTTATTTATGAATATATCCAAGTATTGTTCTAAAGATAATAATTAGATTATTAATTTAAAATAAAGTAAATAAGCTTATTGTTTTGTATATTGTATTTATGATAACATACCATCTTGAGTTAAAATACTTAATAATTTAATAGTATAGATTTGAATCTGTGCATCATTACTAAATAGTAATGATATTAGAGTCTGAGGTAAAAGACCGGATCTGTCGTCCAACAGAATCTCCAAACCTTCTTCATCACACGATATATTGTAGAGTGTTTGAATACAACTCTTTTTGATTAATTGATTACTACCATTAAGTTGTTCAATCAATATATCAACTGAATTCAATAATCTTAATACTTTTCTTATGAATTCTATATAGGATGAAATAAAAAAGATAAATAATATTATTAATATATAATATTCGTTTTGTAACAAACTCTGTAAAGATCGATATACTTACTGTTATTTGATAGTACAGCAATAGTTTCACAGGATGCTGCAATTACATCTGCATCGTTGGTCAGTAGCAGATTGTGTAGTAGTTGAATTCCACCTTCTTGGAAGATGGATTGTTTGTTCTCATCTCTGGTGCCGAGATTGGTGAATACTTTGCATACCAAGAGTTGTAGTGCTCTCTCCTCTGGATACGACTTTAATAGCTTCATCAGTGACGGTACGATCTCATTACCCATGACCTTGTCAACCGAGTAGAAAACACGACTGTTCTCAGTCTTCTTTGGTGTCACTATCTGTCCCAACACTTGAGCACACGATAACAACACTGTAGATGGCAAATACTCTGACGATACCATCGATACAATAATATTACAACCATTCTTTTCAACAAATACTTGTTTAACATGATCTATTATTAATGATAGATAGTTATAATTGATTAGCTATTAATTAATTAACATTAAAGAATAAACATTACCATTATATAATAGTTGAATGATAAATTTCAATACTTTTTCAAGTATGGTTGTATTCCAACGGAATACATCAGGTGGAATGTTATACATTGGTTTAAGATAGCTAAGTGAATTATATATTCCTGCCATACCAATCTTTGATCTATTATTCTCTATAATCATTATAACCAAACTTATTAGTTATTATAATATTCATAGATATTAATAGATATACCATACCATTGTTAGATAGTTTCTCTAAACATTGCAATACTTTAATCTGTAGAGTAGCTCTATTTGCAGTTGGATCTTCCTTTGATGTATTTGAAATGATATAATAGTTACCTCTATTCAATGATTGTGGATAGATTTCGTTGACCTTTAGTAAATCAACCAACTTTTCTATACCACTATCACATGCAAATGCTCTTGTTTTAGCTATAAATTTAAATAATAAGCTTTAGTAATAATCTAGATTGTTATTATTAATGTTTTGTGTTATAAAACATACGACAATCAGATACTTGATATAATAGATCAAGTAATTTAATAGATATTGACTCAGTGGTTATCTCATTGGGACCGATATCAGAGTGCAGCTGAATCTGATGTATCAGTATCTTTAGTGATAGCGAGTTGTCAATGATCGTTTCACTTATCTTTGGGTCAGAGTAGCTGGCGAATATGATGAGTGTATTGATTGCGAGAATTCTCAGTTGGTTGGGAAGTCGCTCGTTCGTCGACAACTCAAAGATTGGATGGATCGCACCCGATCGCTTGAGAACATAGGCACACGATTCTTGTGTTGCAAGATTCGATATCAATGTGACCAGTGGGAATACCAACTCCTGAGGGGTGTCGTCGGCCAAGCGATACGCCCAGTTCAGGACACCGACGATCGTAGCGATATCACCGGTCTGCTTGATGAACTGCTTGATATTGTCATTCTCTGTGAGCATTGCAAGCAGTGAGAGCGATTCAAACTGAGCGATATACTCGAACGATTCGCAACTGAGTGGTTCCTGTAGTGTTAGGAACGAGAGGAGTGAACGCAGACAACTTCCTTGGAGTATTTCATCGATGAAGCGACTCTTTATCGATTGCGATTGCTTGGCATTCTGATAGAGTGTTGCAATTTGTTTGATTGCTCTGATATGTATGGATCCTTCACGTCTCCTATTCAACAGAGTAGTCAACTCTTTCAGACCGATCGTTCTTACATCGATAAACGATGATGAAGCGGCATCTGATTTCTTTTGATTAGCAAGTGAGTAGTTGTGTGCTTGTTGTTGCTGTTGCTGTTGATGTCTTGTTGAATTTGGTGAGAGTTGTGGTGGAGTTTTTGTTGGTGATGTTGGTTGTTGTTGTTGTTGATATTGATATGCATGAGGTGATTTTGTTGGTGATGGTGGTTGTTGTTGTTGGACTGGATTCAATTGGAATCGAGTTGAAACTTTCAGAGGTGATTGTTGTCCGAATGATGATTGCTTTTGAAAATCAGATGTTGATGGTGGTGATTTAAATACAGGTTGTCTTGGTGATATTTTATTATTATTACTGTTATTGTTGTTGTTATTGTTGTCGTGTGATATTGGATTATTAAAATAGATATCAACGACATTTCTAACTTCATCCAATAGTTCATTTATACCTTTAGTTGATCCATAGTTTTCGATTTCATAATCCTGTAACAATCTTATATTGTTCATCATTTTCTAAATAATTATAATAATATAATATAATAATAATAATAATAATAATAATAATAATAATAATAATAATAATAATAGAAATATATAAATAAATAAATATATTTTACAAAAATTAAAAGAAATAAATAAATAAAATTACAAATTAAGAATATAGGAATATAGGAAATAAGTATCAATCACTTTTTAAATGACTGATCTGATCTGATTTATGGCTTGGGTTGTTTTGGTTGGTGGTTCTTCAAGATCTGATTGTCTTAATTTTTATGTTAAATGATCCAAAAGATGATGGATTTGGGAATTTTTTTTATATTTTTAATGGAAAATAAGATGTTGGGTGATTATTTTAATAAAAGAATATTAAGATCGATAGATATATATGATATCATATATCTAATTATAATAAAATAAAATTAAAAAATTGGATATTTTTAATTAATTAATTGTCTAAAGTTTTTATTTTTATAGTTTATTATAAATATTGTGGAGAAACAAAAAAAAGTTAGTTTATTTATTTATATCAATCTGTTTTATCTGTCTATTCTATTCTTTTATAATGTAAAAAAAATTAAATTTTGTTATTTATTTTGTGATTTGATTTATGTTTTTATTTAAATTATTATAATTATTTAATATTAATGTTATTTGTTAGATATTTAATTATTAATCTAACGTTTTTGATCAATTCATATTCGTATATACAAAATATGATAAGATGAATGGAAATATTGATCAAAACACAATCGAAATTGAATTTACAAAATAGACTTTTTTGATTGTTGTTGTTTGTTGTTGTGTTGTGGATGTGGTATCGTGTTTAATTTTATGTTAAATTGATTGAGTAAGTCAATTTTGTTTGTTGGGGATGATCAAATCAATAATTATCTATCTACTATATCATTACTAAATAAGTATTGCTGATGATGTATAATATTATTAATTTTTTTGTGTGATGATAATTTAAAGTTGATTTAATGAAAATGATGTGATCACATCAAATCATGATATATTTTACTATCTATTAATAATAAGAAAGTGTTATGCTTATTTTGATTTAATTTAAAAGATAATAATAAATGCGTTTATGAAAGTTGTAAACAGTGATTGACAAAACAAAAAAAAAAAAGGCTAATCAGTCATAATGTGGTTTATTGTTTTTTTTAACATCAATAAAAACTGATTGAGTAGGATGCATACTCTATATATATATATAAGCTCTATTTCTTTACTCTTAACTATGAATAGAAACTAAAATACTGTTAAAAGTGTAAATACAACTATACTCTACTTTTTTTTCTTCTATGATTATTATTATGATTTAAAATAATTTCGAAATCCAAAGAAATGAGCACTTGTATTGTGTTTATATATCGATATTACTGAATAATTATCACATCAGTGTAAAATAATTTGTGGTACATAGTTAGTTAGTTGATGGGGTAAACCAAAACACATTCAGATTTAATAAAATAAAATAAAACAAATCCAAAATGTAAAATTTTATCTATGAATTTCGCTGTGAGTTTGAGTCAAATCATAATCATTTTAAATATTTAAACATTAAATGCTTCGATGTTCATATGAATAGTTTGTGTGTTCTATTCCCAAAAATCATATATTTTTATTTTCAAATCGGATAAAAGTTACATTATGATAAAATTATTGATCATTTAACACTTTTTAAAGTTAAATCGAGATTTAATACAAATGATTAGTTTAATATAACCTTAAAAGACAACAAACATTTATTATTATTCCTAATGAACTTCTGCTAGTTTTAATAAATTTAAATTTTTTTTTTTTTTTTTTTTGATTGGTTGGTTTTGTGTTTAGACCCTTTATGGATGTCATTTTGTTTTTGACTGTTAAAAAAAAACGAATAAAAAGTTGATATATAATTTATCAGAGATATATTATTTATTAAAAAGAAAAAGAAAAAACAAGAGTTTAAAAAATGAAATGTGGAAACAATGGTTGTGGAAAAGAATACACTGAGGAAACAGTCGGACAATGTTGCTATCATCCTGGAAGTGCTATCTTTCACGAGGGTATGAAAGGGTGGTCGTGTTGTTCGAAACGTGTCGTAGACTTTGATGATTTTCTACAGATTCCAGGTTGTTCAACTGGTCAACATAAAGAGAAAGAGGAAAAACAACCAACTACATCATCCGCTAAAACAACAACAACAGCAGCACCAACCAATATCGATTCAAATGGTCGTGAAGTATATGGTACTCACGACAAGGAGAGATTCTATCCAAAACCTGTAACAACACAACCGAAACCACAGATCACCGTCAAAGAATATATAGAGTTGAACGATGAACCCAATGCCATAATTAAAGAAGGTGCTAAATGCACAAGAAACGGCTGCACTGCTACCTACGTCAACGAACAATCGAGAGAGGAAACCTGTACATATCATCCTGGAGATGCTGTATTCCACGAAGGTTCAAAAGGGTGGGCATGTTGTAAACCTGTAAGTAACATATCAAAACAAAACAAAACAAAACAAAACAAAACAAAACAAACTAACAAACGATTACATTTTATCATCTTCTTTATTTATAGAAAGCAGCTCTCTTTGAAGAGTTTCTAAAGATCAAAGGATGTAGAGAAGGTAAACATAAATTCATTCCAACAGAAGTAAAGGTAAGTTGATATATGTATTGAGTTAAAGGTAAGGAGAGAGTGAGTGAGAGTGAGAGAATCAAATCAATTTAAATTCAATCATAAAATGTAAATCTTGTTATGGTATTAATTGACTAACAACAACTTGTTGTTTATAAAGAATGAAAATTTCGTAGAATGTAGAAACGATTGGTATCAATCATTCGATTGTGTTCACTTTACAATCTACTCAAAGAATGTAAACAAAGAAAAGTCAGTAGTTGAATTTGTAGATAGAAACACCGTCAGCGTTGATTTAGTACTACCAAACGATAAGTATTACAAAAAGACATTCAAGCTGGCCAACTCTATCAGCACAACAAAGAGCAGCTTCTCGATTCTCTCCACCAAAGTTGAGATTAAACTTTACAAAGATCCACAAGACTCATGGTCAAAGCTCGAAGAGAATGAGGTCGATTTATATAGATATCAAGTCTAAAAGAAAAGAAATAATTAAACAAAAAAAAAAAAAAAAAAAACAAAGAAAAAGGATAAAACAAATCTATCAATCTATTAATGTTTTATTTTATTATAAAAAAACAACAATATAACAACAAAAACATAACTGTTTAGAATTACAACAAAATAAAGTATATTGATAAATTAAAACAAAGAGAATAAGTTTATAAACATATGTTGTTTTTATGGTTAACTTCTTTAAAGAGCATGCTCATATAAATATGACACCTTTACAAATCTTCTTAATGAAAGTGTATTTATTTTGTTTATTTACAGTACATTTTTGACTAACTGATCTAACTTTTTAAGTTATAACATGTCAGCTTATTTTGTTTTTTTTTTTTGTTTTTGTTTTTGCTTTAGAATGTTATCACTTGATTAATGTTATTGTTTTTGTTTTAGCTATTGTTGTTATTGTTGTTGTTGTTATTGTTGTTATTATTGTTGTTATTTATTAATGTTGTCAAGATTACTATATACATTGTTTGTTTGTTGATGGATGAACTATTTGAGGTTGAAAAAAAAAAAAAAAAGAAGAACGAATATCAATTATTGTAAGTTTAACCAAAGGTGTTCTCTCCAGAGTAGGTGATATAAAGGAAACCATCTTCATTCTTGTATAGCTCGTAGATGGTAGAGATGAGATTCGATGTTGGTGGTAGCACAGTGTTATTCTTTACAAAGAGGAAGATGGCAGTCTTTTCAGTTGCTTGACCTGTCTCCTCGAGGTGTTTTCTGATCTCCATTACAAACTTTGACACGATCATATCGCATGGTGCCAAAAACTTTTTCTTGCTTATCTCTGGTATATTACTATTGGGTGCTCTCTCTACGATAATCTAATAACAAATAAAAAACATATATTAATATTCACATCAATCAATCAATCAGCTTGCTATCTATCCAACTTTGTATCTACATACTGGTAATCTATCCTTATATCTATTTCTAATCTTAGCAGAGATATGCTTTCTCCTGTCTAGAGAGTATTCGTTTTGGAATGATTTTGAAATTAAAGTCATTTCTTTGTTGTACTAATTAATCTATCTAATTAATTTATCAATTATCTATCTGATAATAATGAAAAAAATTGATAAATTATAATAAAAAAATTGTTATTAAACAAAAATATATAAATAAAAATTAAATTATTCTATTATAACTATTATATTATATATTATTTATACAAATATATTGTAAAAATAGATAAATACAACCTGGATGGTTAAAAGAATGTTAAAAATGATGTTTTTAAAAAAAAAAAAAACAAAGAAATTAAAATAGAAGTTTGTGGACTGCCTAAACTAAATAAAACAAGACTAATAACTACTACTTTCTTCTTTTTCTTTTCACTCTCTTTTCTTTATTGTTATTATTTTATTATTTTTTTTTGTGTTGTTTTCTTTCTTGGTTGGTTTTAATTAATGATTAATTGTTGTTATTCTATTATTAGTGTTTAGTGAGTGAGGTTTATTTATTGTGTGTCTGTGTGTGTAATTAATAAATAAATAATTAAAAAAAAACAAAACAAAAAATTATAATAATATTGTGTGAGTGGTTGGTAATTATTAAAAAAGAATTCTCATTTTTTTAAAAAATTGAAAAAATAAATTAAAAAAATAAATAAATCAAATCTTCTAAATCCTAAAATTCACAGTTTTTTTTCTCTTGCAAAACAGAAAATTTAATTTCTTTGCTTGTCTGGGAACATTATACTAAATGACATTGTTTATTACATTATAATTTTTAAAAGAGATATTGAAACAATAATTTATGAAAATACACTAACTTTCCCATCAATTCAATTTTGTATTTGAGCACACAAAAGGATCATAGATGGTATTCAGTCTCATCTTGGAAAATATCTATATTGCTACAAGCCAAGAGACTCTTTATATTATCAAAATTATAAATAGATTGGTTATAGAGAAGATAGAGAATATCATGATGTTTCTTTTTTTCTTTTGTAAATCACCAATCAGCAGTAAATTAAGAGAAACTAAAGTAAAAAAAAAAAAGAAAAAAAAATTGGGTATTATGAAAATTAAATAGTCGGCTATTATTTGTTTATTATTAATTTTAAACAATTTTGTACATTTAATGGAATCTGTATGAGGTGAGCTCATTAGCGCATGGGCACTTGTTTCTGTTTTTATTTGAAAAAGAAAGAATTTGTTAGAATATAAAAAATGTAATTGATAGTTTTTTTTTTTTTTTTGTTTACATACCCATTGCATGCTTCAGATGGCTTGAAGTTCTCGGCCATTCCTGATCCTGATCCTGAACCACTACCGCTACCACTACCAGATCCTGAACCACTACCGCTACCACTTCCAGATCCTGAACCGGTACATGAGCCGGAACCAGAGCAACCTGAACCCGAACCAGATGATGATGAGGAACCAGCGGAACCAGCGGAACCACCAGCAGAGCTACCACCAGCAGAAGCGGCATGACCACCAGCAGAGGAGGAGTGAGTAGCAGCAGCACTACCACCGTTGGTACATTTTCTGTTGGCCTTTGGACATTGACAGAGACAGGTGGAGATATCACAGGTTGGGGTTTGAATTGAGGCTAAAATTTCACATTTTGATTTACATGATGCTTGACTATGAAAATTATTTGATAAAAAGAACAATTACAATTAATATTTTATTTCTATTTAGTTATAGTTTTATCTAAAAATAATTAATTACATACTCTTTGGCGGTGATAACTTGGGTTTCACCGGTGTGGTAGGTACAGGTACACTTTTGTTTTTGGATGGCAGCTGAGGTGACAGCGACGGCCAACAAAACAAGTAATAAAATTGATTTGTTCATTTTTATGAAAGATAATATTGATTAATTAATTGTATGATAATAGAAAAGATTTACAGATTGATGGTTTTCTGTTTGGTGGTAGAGGTTGTTGGACCTCGCAAACAAACTGATTTTCGAAAAAAAAAAAAAAAAAAAATCAGAAATTAAAAAAACAAAAAATTTGTAAAGTAGGAACCAATTTTTGGTTTTGCATAAATTTCATCGACTTGCAAGCCCATTTACGAGCTTATCTACCTTTTTTTGAGGATGAAAAATCTGTTCTTTCGAAAATCATGATATTTATGAAATTTTTTGTTGTTTAAATTTCAAAATAGAAAATACAATGAACGAAAATTTCTGAAATTGTCCCTCCTCCCAACAACATAAAATAAAGTAATTTTCAAAATATTGTTTTTTTCACCATCTCCATTTAACAAATTTGGGACATTGAAATTCTCCAAATCTTAATTATCTAATCTACTATTCTTATCCTCATTCCCAAAATTTTTTTTCAACCAGGAAGATATATCTCCATCAAAAGACTTTATATATTTAATAGTAACCAACCTGGTTTGGTGATTTTTCTTATTAATTAATAACACAACCAATCTAACGAATTTTAATATTCTTCTTTATCACATTTTTTCATGTGGTCAATGAAGGAAGATGTAACAAAGCCAGCTGAAGTGCTATCTCCATAGAATAGGAAGTTTTGTCTTGAAATTCTTCGAAGTTGATATTCATCATAAGTGTCGCTAATGTCAATGATTTGAGTGGATTCCGGTAGTTGTTCGAATGGAATCATCGAGGCCATGGTCGTTTTCAAGTAGTAAAGGGAGGTTGGTAATGATTGTGCATCGTACTTGATACTGTCAGTGTCACCCATTATCAAATTTTGAACCGAGTTTGGAATCCAGCCAGGCTCGATAAAGACATTACCTTTAAGAAGGACAGTACGCATTTCCAGTGTTTCCAAACCATCCGGTAGCACACCGGGTGAGAGCGTTTCGTTTGTAATGTTGACCAATAAAACATGTTTCACATTTTTTGGAATCGATCCGACCTTTAGTGGCTGACTAAAGAAATAGCCGAGTTCCAATCTTTCCAACGATTCCGGTAAGTCGCCAGGCTCTATTATATGATTGTAATCATGTCCAGTCTTTAGAATTTTGAGACCGGGTGGCAGAACATCACGCAGTGATTGGGCAGTCAGCTTGAAATTTCTTCCCATATGGAGTTTGGTGACGGTCGATGGAATGTATCCACGTGGAATGTTGCCAATCATATTGTCGATTGTCAATGACCGAATATTTGGTAATGTTAACTTGCCAGTTATTGCGACACCAAAGTCAATGGTGATTTTAGTGACACTCTCTGGAACCTGAGGAAGAAATGAATGGTGACAATGAATCGTTTGGAGATTGCCATCGGGTGGAAATTTAACAGTTAGATTTTCGACCTGTGAGATATTCAATGACTTTAGTGATCGAGGGATGACACCCTCTTCGATCGCTTTGTTATATTGGTATCCAAGAGATAGGAACTCTAGATTGGGTGGAAGTGAACCCACTTTCAGTGGTTTATCAAATTTCGCACTTAAATACAGAGTTTTAAGAGAATCCGGTAGCACGCCAGGTTCAATGTCGTGTTCGTAGTTTCGCAGTCCGAGTTCCAAAAGGTTTGGAGGTAAAGCACCGTAGGTCAATGGATGATTATATTGTAGAGTGAGATCAACTAGACTTTCAGGAAAGCAGTTTCTTTCCAGTGGTTTGTAGACAGTGATAAACAATTTCTCCAAATATGGTGGCAGTACATCATTTTTCAGAACAACCTGATTGAATCTGTAACCGAATGACAATTCTTTTATATGATGAGATCTTCTCAAAACTGGCATTGGTTGATCTAGAAAGTATGAATTGTTAAAGTTTACTTTACCATATTTCATTGGTATCTCACTGTCATCACTTAATAAACTATTATAATTAAAAATTCTTTATTAGCAATCAAACTTGTGATTATTTTAAATTGTTATTTACTTTTCTATCTTTATTGAAAATGGATCATTCCTATCAGAGTCAACTAAAGACACTGTTAAATTACTCAATTCTATAGGATTATCAATGAACTTTTGATAAGAATTAAGATTTAGACCTTTAATATACTCTTTGTTTGGTAATGTTTGATCATTATGAAAATTAAAGTAAGAGTCTCTTTCAATGTAGAAACTTTTACAAATTAAACTTATACATAATTTATCAAAATTACTATCTATATAACTGAATATTTTCTTTAATAAATATAAAGATATATTTGAAAAGTCATTCATCTTTAATATTAATGTAACTAAATAACAGTTTCATTTGAACAAAAAAAAAAACGGTTATACAAAAAAATATCTTAATTCTTTCCTTTTTTGAAAATTTAATTAGTTTTAATTTGGTTTAAAATTATTAATAATTTTTTTTTGTGGTCCATATGATAAAATGGAATCGGAAATTCGATTGATAAAACGATTGGTCGTTAGTTCTATAGCACTCTTATGTAGTTTTGAAGCGACAAATCGGAATGTTCCAGGTTTATAGGTGTTATCCACTACATAGGTGGCGTCATCATTGGACTGTAGGTTGTATCCACTTGGAATACTCGATGGATCGATAGAGACATAATATGGTCCACCAGGTAGGTTGTCAAACACATAGGATCCATCTTGATCTGTTTGAGTGCTCTGAAGAACTTGGTACTTGTTGCTGTAGTTCAACAATTTAATTGGTATGTCAACCCATGGAATAGTCGATTGATTGCCTTTGGCGTCGTAGGGAATTTGCAGTAGTCGACCTGTAAGTTCGAATCGATCGTTCTCAGTTGCATCCTGATAGTCGACGAATGATAGCAGATGCCAATAGTTATACATTGAAATATCAAGGGTGTCACTGGTTGGCCAAGGTGATTTTTCTAGGACTGGGTTGTTTGGATACAAAGGCAGTGTGTAGGTTCCATCCAATTCAAAGAATGTATGTTTATAATCTGGGTGCATAAAGCTCACATTCTTTGGTAGTGTTTCAGCGTCTATCTTTACAGTGTAGACTCCACTCGGGCGAATGTGATTGAAGACATACCAACCGGTTGCGTTGGTAGTGGCCGTGGCAACACGGTTCTTATTGCTGTCAAGCAGAGATACCGATACATTTTCAAGTTTATCGATTGGATAGATACATACGACACCTTGCACCATGTAATCAGGCAGCTTCACTTCACCATTGAACGTTGTTGAGTAGCTGTCGTTACTACGACTTTCATTGTGATCCCATATTTTGTTGAAGATCCAATTGGAATGACTGACTTCTACGAAAGCATAACCAGTTTCATTGAACCAACTCAATTGATTGGACACCCATTGCGATCCATCTGGAATTCCTTGTGGTCCAGCTTTGATCAAATAGAATCCAGGATAGAGGTTGGAGAATATATATCCATTTCCACGAGATGGCATAGTATGTGTAGTTTTAATCAGTTCCATATTGGTCTGGTTGTACAAAGATACATTGATACCAAACAGTATTTCATCGTATTCAACTAAACCATTGTTATTGTCATCGTGATATATTTTTCCATTGATTTCAAATGTTTCTTCAACGATGAGTGCATCCTTGATTCTAATGGTAAAGTTGGTGTTTTCCCATGGATCTGTTTCATTGATATCTCTACAAACTGGGTCGTCGAAAACGGTCAATGGAATGGCACCACCACGCCAACCTTTAGATGAAACAAACGATGAAAATTCACTATTCTCCAGATAGACCATGCCGGATGGACATTGTGATGGATCGGTTCTAATCGTGTAGGTTCCTTGTGGTACGTTGACAAAGGTGTAGACACCATCGTTGTTGGTAGCAGTGGTCATCAATAGATTCTTGGTATTTTCTTCACCAATAAGGAAAACACTGGCATTTTTCCATGGAATATCCACAGCAGAGATATTCTTTGATCGATCGGTGTCCATCATTAGACGACCGGTAACAGTAAAATTTTGAGTCAGAGCAAGTGAGAGTGTTGCATTAAAGTCAACGGAGGAGTATATCGATGTTTCTGTTGTTGATGGCCATTTCACAGCAGAGTATACTACATTAAATATATTAACAAAACTAGCCAATTCACCACGTCGATTGAAAGTATTTTCTTTTCCACCGGCCAAAAATGAAGTATTTCCTGGAAGTGTAGTGTTAACGATCTGAATGAAATAAGAGTTGGAGATGATATGTGGAATATGGAAACGACCTTCTCTATTGGTAACGGTGGATTTATAGATTCTATTCCTTCTATCGACCAGATTCACAGTGATATTGGACAGGTCAAACTTTGGACATGGGAATTCCAGAGACAACAATCCCCTAACAGTATAGTCTTCCGTTCGCAACAGACCATTGTATCGCTTGATGAGTGCACCACTGAATGTTTCATTCCTATTGTCATTCTTTTCGAATTGATTAAAATCAACTTCTATTCTTCCATTGCTGCCGAAATCGTTGGTATAGAATGGAATCCAGAAAAGATCCAAAGTGGAATGCTGTTTCTTCACTTCAATGACATAGGATCCACGTTCTAAATTTGTAAAATGGAACTTTCCATCTTTGTCTGTGACGCTCAACATCATTGTAACATTGGTGTAAAGATCAAGTAGTTGGACAGTGGTATTGGCAATACCATTTTGTGGAGTGAAATAACCATCGCCATCGTTATCATCAAAGATATAGCCATAGATGTCATATTTAAACAAGCTTATGTAACCATTTTGTTGTCCAATGGTAAACGGTGCTTTGACTGGTGCTCCTAGTTGTGATGGCTTAAAATCTGGATGTTTTTCATTGACTTGAATCTCAAACATACCGACTCCATCGTGGAGATTGAATTTAGAGAATGGTGAAACGTCCATAAAAGTATGATTCGCTGGAAGTTGACTGGCATCCAATTTAACAATATACTTGGCAGGATTCAAGTTATCGAAATAATAGTAACCAAATTCATTGGTGGAGGTAACGGCCATTTCTTTTTTGGTTTCAGAGTTGATAAGTTGTACTATGACATTGGACCATGGCTTATCGGATTTATCCATCGATGACGATGCAATCGACATTTGACCCACGATTGCAGTAGGCAATGGATACAGAATGGCATTCAAATCGAATTGGTTCTTGATGATACTGATTCTCAGTTGTCCAAATATATCGAATTTCAATGGACGAATCTGAGTGTGAGATGGAATTGTACTCTTGTCGATGTTCAACATGTATTCTCCATTTGGAATCTCATCGAAACGATAGATTCCATCTGGGTTGGTTTGGGTCGATCGCAAGTAAACACCTTTATCAGTGGTCAATATCAATGTTGTATTGGGAACTTTGGTATCGGATGGAGTGATCTCATTGTCATTATCATGATCCAAAAATATAGTTCCACCAATATTGAACTTTTGCAGTGGTGTTTGATTGGATTCACAACTACAAATGTTGTTTGGATCGGAATTTGTTCCATTTGTACCCATTGAACCTGTAGAGGATGTTGTTGTATGTCCAGTACCAGTTGCAGTTGTCGGTGTATTATTAGAACCATTTCCATTTCCAGATCCATTGCCATTGGCGGTAGTTGATCCAGGTCCAGCGCTAGTTATACTGGCAGTTGGAGTTGTAGTTATTGATCCAGATCCATTACTATTGGTAGTTGTTGATCCAGCACCAGATCCATTACCATTTGATCCAGGACCAGCACTAGTTATACTGGTTGTAGTTGTCGATCCAACACCAGATCCATTACCATTAGATGTCGTTGATCTTGGACCAGTATTAGCTCCACTAATGGTTGTGGTTGCAGCCGTGGATGTAATAGAACCAGATCCATTTCCATTAGAAGTTGATGAGGATAGACCAGCTCCATTAGTAGTTGTTGATCCAACACTAGATCCATTTCCATTAGATGTCGTTGATCCTGGACCAGTACTAGCTCCAAAAATGGTAGTGGTTGTGGTTGCGGCCGTGGACGTAATAGAACCAGATCCATTACCATTGGTAGTTGTCGTTCTACCACTAGTTCCACTTATGGTTGCTGTTGCAGTCCCTGATCCGGTACTAAAACTAGATCCACCGGTATTCGATGTTACCGTACCAGTTTCTGATGAAGAGCCTGAACTTGAAGATGTTGGATTATGTGATGGTACAGGAGCTGGTGTAAGAGTTGTGGAGGGTATCGAAGCAACATTGGTAGTTGTAGACGCATGATTAAAATTTAATATATTTGATTCAGCCGTTGTTATTTCATCGTAGTCTGCACTATCAGTAAAATCTATTGTTTTTGTTTAAGAAATTAAAATAAATTAGTATAAACAATCTTATTTTTCTTTAAGTAGTATCCATACTTTTAGGATAGAATGTAGGTTCGAATGGAGTTTGAGTATGTTTGGGTACTACATATGGTTCTGGATGCTCATCGAAATCATCATGAAGATATGGAGGATACGATCGAACTGGTGGAGGTCTTATATTTCCATTTGTGGGGGTGAAAAGTTCTTTGGGACAGTTCTCAACAGCGATCACTGAATAGTATAGAGAAACACCGTTACATGGTTTGTTTGGATCGCAATTCGAGCGGAGACTGAACTTTATTGAAGTCACCGGTGTAAACGGTGCCAAAATTATATAGTTATTGAATTCCACGTTGGAATATTCGGAATTGATTTTTCCACTCTCGAGGAAATACCACTCGTGCGTCGACATTGGCAGGTTGAATTCGTTGTTCGAATAGAGCTGGAAATTCTTATTTTCAAAGTCACCAAAAATCACAATGAAATTGTCTTTGCCGATGGGATGGGAGAATTGGAAGGTGACATTCGAGTGTTGGTCGGTGCCATTGGTGAAATGAAAGAGTGTTTGAATCGGCTTGAATCCAACACGCCGGAAATAGGCTTGATCTTTTTCAAACTTTTGGTTATTCACAGTGTAACCATGTGCAACCTGATCCTTGGAGTCGCCATCCATATGCACGAATATTACTGGGTATTTCGGCTTGTTCCATCCCACCGTATGTTTATTATTGAATTCATTATAAAATTCGACCGGTGAGAAGTCAATATAAGTGGTTTCACATGCACCAACCTCTGACACACCGAAACAAAATATATAATAAATTAAAAAACAAAATATACTTAATCTATATTTTTTATTTATAAAGTAAAACATATTTTAAAATATATAAATAAATAAATAATAATTTAGATATAAACTATTGATGGAAATATAATATATTTAATCTTATTAAATAATCTATCGAATAATAATATTATAGTTATAGGAAATATTAATATGTCACAAATTATAAATATTTCTTTATTTTGTAGATTGGTTTAAACTTAACATATATATTTTTGATTAATAATGAATAAACAATAATATCCTGACGAACATCTTTATCTATATCATCTATATGATTGATCATTCTTTAAATCGACCCTTTTGACTACACTTCCGTAAATAGTGTAATTAAAGAAATCCAAGAAATTATTTACATGTAATCTACTCTTTTATTTAATTAATTTATCTCTTTGAATTAAAAATAGTGATAATGATACTATATATTTAAATCACAGTGATAAGTATAAATTGACATCTAATATGATTATAATTAATAACACAATGGTATGATGATGAATGATCAAACATCATTCGTGTGTTTGAAGAAGGAAATATCAATAGCAGCAATTAAAAAAACAGAATTAGTGATTAATTGTGTGTTTGTGTGTTTATTTGTGTGTGTGGGTGAAAGGTGAATCAAATCAAATTTCATTGTTTTATAGTCGTTGTTAAGTTCACAAGCAAAGATAAAAAAAAAAAATTTCAAATTTACATTTATCATTTATTTTTGTTGTTAATGTTGTATCTCAATAATAATATTTAAACGGATGCACCATTGAGTATGTTTCCATTACTTTTACTGTTGTTATTATTATTGTTGTTGCTGTTGTTGTTGTTTTCATTATTGTTAATGTTGGTTGGTGAAGTTAATGATCTTAATTGTTGATTCTCCTTCTTGAGTTTATCGTTTTCTACTTTGGAGATTGTTAGATTCTGTTGGAATGATTGATTCAAACTCTCTAGACTAGCAAACTTTTGTTGTGATAACTCGATGACCGATTTGTAGGCGGCAATCTTTTGATCGACGCTGGTCAGTGTAGTCTGGTAACGCGTCAGTAGTTGACCGAATTTCTCATTCATATACTCTGCCTTGGCTTCGCTCTCTTCGACACGTTGTTTCAGCCGACCGGTTTCTTGCTCTTCGAGCATTGTCTTTTCGTGCTCGAGCTTGATGGTGCGCATCTTGTGAGTGTCACGCTCGTGTGTCACCGTCTTGAGATCGAGCTTGAGCTTCTCGATCGATGCATTGAGCTGCACGATCAGCACGTCTTTCTCTGCCGATTGGTTGGTGATTTCGTGTAGTTTGTTCATCAGTTCCTCACGTTCACGTTGCAGTGCACGAATGGTCTGTGTAGGATCGGTCCTACTTGTGCTGGCTTCAGAGATACGTGGTTTGTTAGTGGTTCGTAGTGGTGTCGAACTGCTGCTGCTAGTTGTTGTCGTTGTCCTTTTGGGTGTGGAGAGACTGCTGGTTGTTGAGCGACCTATTCTACTGCCGGTGCTTAGCGATGTCGAGAGTGAGTGTGATGCATGTGAGTGAGAGTGAGAGAGATTCGACGATGGATTGTGTGATGATGACAATGATGTAGTTGTTGTTGTTGTTGGAATGTGGTGTGTACTTGTTAGTTGTGGTGATTCTACTTTTGGTGTTGTAGAAGTAGAAGTAGATGATGATGATGATGTTGTTGTTGTTGATGTTGTTACAGGTTTGTTTGATGAAGATGAAGAAGTGGATGTTGTTCCATGAAGTAATTCACTAATGGAAAGGGGTGGAGCTGATATAGATCCTGATGATAATGATAATGATGATTTACTTGGTGTTTTTAATGATGGTGCTGTTGTTGTGGAAGATAGATTTGTAAGAGTCGATGACAGTGATGTGTTGGTAGAGTGTGAGGAAATTGGTTTGGTTAATGTCGATGATTTGTTTTTGAGTGATGATATATCTGATTTCGATTTGGTAAGTGGTGTTACAACAGTCGTATCATTAGTAGATAATGATTTATGATGTGATTTACTTGATGATGTCGTTGTTGTTGATGATGATGTTCCTGTCTTTAAACTGGTAGTAGGTTTCTTTAATGAACTAATACTACTGCTTGTTTTTGTTGGTTCTTTAGTTGTTGTTGTTGTTGCTGCTGCTGCTGTTGTTGTTGTTGCACCTGTTGTTGATGTAGTTGTAGTGGTTGAAGTGGTTGTATTATCTTTATCTTTATCCTTATCTGTTTTTGTTGGTTCTTTAGTTGTTGTTGCCGCTGCTGTTGAAAGAGTTGAAGATTTATCTTTTAGTGTACCACTTAGAGATGTGGAGGTAGTGGAAGTAACTTTCTTTGGTCCAGGGAATGTTTTAGATAGCGATGTAGTTGTACCATGATTGGAGAGTAACGGATTCTTTAGTGTGGAGGTTGCTGAGGAGGATGAAGAAGTTGATGTTGTTGAACTACCAGATCTAGGTGTCTTTGGTAGTGATGATGATGATGTTGACTTTTTAGTTGTTGTAGTACCACTATTACCTTCGGTGCTGGTCAATCCTGCAGGTTTTCTCTTTAAAGTAGTAGAAGTAGATGTCGAACCAGTAGTACTAGAGGTGGAAGTGCTTGGCTTTGGAGTAGTGCTTGAACTACTCATCTTGATTCTATCGAGATCTTACTTAATATGTATAATTAAATTAATTTGTTTTTATATTATTATTATTAGAATTATATATATAAATAAAAAACAATGAAAATCAGTTGGTTGATTAATTTTAGCTGTGATTTGTTTGATCAATTTTTTTTGTTTTTCTACCCCTTTTTTTTTTTTAAAAAAAAGTCATCGCAGATAACTTAATGGTAAACAAAGAATAATCATTAATTTTCTTAAAAAGTTCTGAATAAATGAAGTTAAGTTGTAATTTTTATACTATTTTACATTATATTATAAACAAAAAAGCAAGTGTAGTGATCTGATCAATGATTAAACACTTAGATTGCTTGATTGTAGAGTTGATGATGTTGTAGATGTACTGACGATGGATTGTTGTTGTGTTTGTGTGAGAATATATGGATGTATGGAATTGTTGGTTGGATACTCTTTGGTGGGATCGTGAAGAAGGAATGAAAGTGCAGAGTGGTTGTCGTGAGAGATCGGCTTGGTGTAGATGTCTTTGTTGGATGGAGGTGCACAGTCATAGACTGCCGTTGTAAAACTAGGGAATTTCAAGAGTGAAATACACTCGTTTGCACGTGATACCACCTGAATGTCAAAGTACTGGTGGTAGCTGAGAACTTTGAGTAGACACAGGATGACACGTGAAGTCGCTTCTGGCCAACGCGATGCAATCTTGGTGAGTGAAGAAATCAGTACGAGCATCATGGTGATCGATTCCAATGGCATGTTACTACTGGTGGTGGTCGCGGCGGCGGTGCTGCTGTTGGTTGACGACATCGATGAGGCGCCAGTGAGTAGCGCACTCGAGGAGGTGGCCGATATCATGTCGCGCGGATTAGCCGTTCCGAGGGTGAGCGACGACTGCGACGCGCCAGACAACGACTCCATCTTGATGAGATTGATCTTCTCGTAGGTGAGCAGCTCCAGTGCTTCGTGATAGTCGTTGAACACCGCAGAGCTAATCTCTGGACATATCGACTGCGAAGCGTACTCACCGATTATCCAAACGAGCGACTGCACGATGTCGCTGGCCAGACGACCCTCAGTCACCAGCTGAATGAGAATGTCACGCTCGCTTACCACCAGCGATGGATAGCGATTGAAAACACCGAGAATCTTGGCGATCAATGTTTCCTTGATGGCCAGTTGATACGGCTCGAACGGGAATATCTGGTCGATTCTCTCGAATATCACAGGAATCAGAGTGACAAACACCGACTTGTCGCCGTGACACAGCAGTATATCAAAGTAGATGTGTAGCAGCGATGGTACCAACTCACAGGTACCAATGACTCTTGGTGTTATCGGTGTCTTCTTACAGAACTGGTACAACAACGGTAGAGTTGTGGTCGACCAGAAATTGATGGTTACACCACTCTCGTTACGCAACAAGTAATTGTAAAGTACACGATACTCACTCCAAGCAGTATCATTGACATCACCGACATCGACACTGCCCATCGATGCAAACTTTCGTTGTTCCACCAACACTGACTCCATCGATGACGTCAACAATGGCAGATCCAACAACAAATGGAACACCTCTACAAAGGTAGATGGTGAAACGAGTGATGGTAATAACTCTGAAAACTCACTTGTATTATTATAATAATAACAACAACAAACATATACATATTAATAAACTACTTTAACCTATCTATTAATATTGATATTAACTTACCCAATATAACTTTGAGGTGACCATGCTAAACATTTAAAAATAGGAGGGAAATACAATCCAAAAACATTGGAATTTTGAAGTAGTTTATCTTTGTTCATGATACAAAAGTTCAATGTCTCAAATGCAACGTATGAATTCATATCTAAATGTCGATGATGATGATATATAGGTATGGTTGTTGTTAGTGTCTTCAATTTGAATTAGATAAATAGTTGAAGAGATAGTTACATGTTCTTGGTAGATAGGTTTGAAAGTATGCTCTGAATAGTGGTTCTGGATCATAGATGAGTGTATGACTGTGATTGACAAAGAACTGTAGGAGTGAAAGTAGTACGTGTCCAGAGTTGGCATTGGTGGTACGACTGGATGGCAGATGCAATTGGTATGCTTTCTGAACGGTTGGGAAGATCTTTGGTACAAGATTGACATCGCAACAACACAAGAAATCGAGTATTCTAATCGATTCCAACAATGCTATTACAGATAGATTATCGATAGAGTCTATCTTTGTGTCAGTGCCAGGTGGTTTCAATTTAGACTGATCGATTATTCTTAAACAATATGATACAATCGTTGATTGAAAATTTGAATTTAAAACACGTTGTTGTTGTTGTTGTTGTTGATCATTGTTATTACTATCAATTTGTCTTGGTGTAACAGGTGGTGATTCTGAATTTAACTTATTACCACTATTGTTATTGTTGTTATTATTATTATTAGGATTATAAAGATTTGTTAACCATGTATATAATAATGAGAATGAATAGATATTGAATGATTGATCTTCAGTATAAACCTGTGCATTATTCAAAACCGTAAAGAATTCAATTGAAACGGATCCATCTAACTCGGTAACAGGTGAAGCTCCAGTACTTGCACCGATCTTGAAAACTAACAATTAATAAACTTAAGTTAGTATTGTTTGTTTTTTAGAGTAGTTTAGATATATATTTTATTATTATTATTATTGACTTACATCCTGTCGATGATTGCTTTTGATCTGATACTAACGATGCATGTGATAGATATTGACTCAATTGTGTTTCGATTGACTTTATCTGAGAGTTGGAGATTGAATCATTAAAGTAACGAGCACATATCAGTAGTGAGGGCATTGAGAATGGTCTCAGTACTGGATCTTGCATCGATATCGATTGAACGATCAGTGGAATGTTACCGACCAACAACGATGCCGACTCTTCACTTGCATTGGTTAACAACAACGATAACAACAATGATAACACTTTATTCTCAAATGTTTTCAAACTAAATAATAATTTTATAATATAAATAACTATTCTTTCAACATCTTATATATATATATATATAATACATCTTATATATCTTTCTTTTTTTACTTACTTTTTATGTAATAGTTGAGGTTCATCAACAGATATCTTTGCGATGATTGACAATGATAATAATTTTACTTTATATGGTGTATTTGGATCTATTAGAACTGTTGTACTAAAATATATAAATATATAGTTAGTAAGGTTACATAGTTATTATTGGTTTGTTTGTTTGTTTAGTTTTACTTACAGTTTCTCAATGAATATTGGATTGACTTTGAGTGATGAAATTAATGTGGTTGCTGATGATGATGATGAATTTGATTTCGATTTACTCTTTTTGGAGTTACTGGTATTGCTATTCGATGATTTATTCTTGTTGAATGTATAATAGTTTATTGCTATACGATATAGTTGTTTAAGAAGATCTAAACTCTCTCTTGTCTTTGTGTTCTTCAATGCTATATTCTCAATCTTTCCAAGCAGTTCATTCAGATTGATATCCGATAGATTCGCTACATTGATTACATTACTATTTGGTTGTGACATCTCTTTTTATTAATAAAAAAAAAGATATCCACTTTAATCAAAATAATAAACTAAAAAATATAATACAATAAAATCTGATATGATAGTATTATTGACAAGAAATGAGCAATCACTTTAAAAAAAAATATCTTGGATGCATATTTAAAAATGGATGAATTTTCAAGAGAAAAATACAATACTAAATGAAAACTATAGTTTCTAGATAACTTGAACTTTTGAATATATCATAGTGATATTTTAAAATATATATATTAAATAAATATCCCACATGATTATTTTAGAACCCAAATCACTGGACATTTTAATCTGATACATTTGTCACTGTTGGATTGTACAGGATATCAGGCTGACGAATATCAAATATTTATTATTTAATATAGATATTCCAAATTATTATGAAAGAAGAATTAGGTTGTTATCCCAAAAAAGAATCAAGCTAATCAATCGGTTTCGTTTTTTTTTTTTTTATTGATCCCAAACAAATTATGACATAAACATAGTCATTTTTTAATTTTTAAATAAATAAATTAAGAGTAATAATAATAAGAAGAGAATGAATGTTTATAGTAGTAAGAATTGTTTAAATCTATATAGAGACCTTATTAGAGGTGCTAGATTGTTGATGGTAGATGTCTCTAGAAAAGATAGATCACTTTCTGGCTTTGCAACCAAAACTATTAGAGAGAAATTCAGAGAAAACCAAAAGGTATCTGATCTATCTCTAAAGAAACATTTATACGAACAAGCTCAAGTAGAATTTAATCATATGAAAAGTTTAGTTGAAAATCAAAGTGTAATAAAGGTATTATTATTGATATAATAGTTTCATTAGATCAACATCATATTAATTAGACATGAATGTATTCTTTATATATAGTATCCATGTTCAATCAAAATTAGACCAGATGTTGTACAGAAATCAAAGATATTACTATCATCCAACACACAAGAGAAAATGAAAAAGAACAAGTGGGGATTTATGGATCGTTTGATGGTTGTCTTTTCAAGTAATAAATAAACAATATAAACAATATATATTTATAAAAATTAGGAAATAGATAATCAATCAATCAATAGAAGTAGATTAAACATAAACTTATTTGACTTTTATATATCAACAATCAACATGATTTGATTGATATACCATTTAAATGTTTTATTTTAATTTAATTTAATTTTCAAAAGTATGTTTTAATAATAATAATAATATATGTTGCATTATTTGTTTTGAAATTATAATATTATGACAAAATATGGTGGTGTGTGGAGAGAGTGAGGATGAAATGAATATATATATATATATAGTATAAAAACTACATGGTTGTTGTTAGTTGTTTGTTGTTTGCTGTTTAAGTGATTTGTATATATGATGATTATGTTATGCTTGGTGTATATATATATATAAACTGGTCAAGTAGTTTAGATTGTTTTGTTGTTTGATTGTTTGATAGTTTGATTATGAAACTGGCGAAACCTGTTGATCAGCTCCGTTCATCTCTGGTGATGTTGCCTTCAAATGCTCTTCATCTTTTTTGGGAGAGTTGGATGTGCTATTGTCACTGGTGTTAATGTTTGGAGTATACTCTTCCATTTGAGACTGATCGATTTGTTTGGTGTTTGGTGATGTTGGTTCTGACTTGGAGTTATTACTACTGCTGCTACCAGATGATGTTGTATTGTTTGTTGAAGATGGTTTAGTTGTGGTGGTGGTAGTAGAAATGGATGAGTGTTTCTTGACCGGTATGGTGTTGGCGTCGCTGCTGCTGTTGTTGTTGTTATTGTTACCACCGGTGGTGATGGAGGATGACTCCAACAACAGTTGTCCACCTGAGGATGATGTCGATTGTGGTGACATCAAACTTGGAGACTGTAGCGATTGATTCAAAAGCTGTGAAAAGACAATAAAGAATGGATTGGTGGAGAGTGTCGAGACGTCGATGTTGGTCGACACATTCAGGTTGGGAATGACCGAACGGATGTCGACAGTGACCGAACTACTGTGACTGTACAGACAGTCACGAAGCATATATTGTGGTTCCTGTTTAAGAGCGATCGGTACTTTCTTGAGGAGGAATCTAAACTCCAATCCACGCAACTCTGGAATGTCAAGGTCATCAATCTCCTTTCTCAGTTGCTTGAGGTCACAGTTGAGATTGAGTGTGAGGAAACCAAGTGATGCTTGTAGACGTTCGTCATAGACATTGACATCGAACTGGTCGTCCATCAACTCCTCATCAAGCAGCATCTGTTGTTTGTTTTGTGATTTGTTGCTGCTGAACGGAGTGTAGTTGATGGCACCTCCTCCATTCGAGTTGGAAGAGGAGTTGTTTGAAATTCCACTTGGTGATGGATTACCAGATCTATTCTTACTGTTATTGTTATTGTTGTTGTTATATTTGAGAAGGATTTGACCATTCTTTTGGGAACTTCCACTGACAATTGTAGGAGGAGTGGTATTGTCAGTATACTTTCTCTTGCTTCCAGAAGAGAGTGATTCATCATCGAGATCTCGTCCGTCGTTAATGTTGTTGTTGTTGTTGTTGCTATGTACAGTTGATGTTGGTTGAGATGAACTTGTGCTAGATGAATCCTTTGGATTGGGGATAGTCAGCTTCATTTTTTTGTTGATGATAGACGACGATTTATTGCTGGATTCATCGTCAGAGACATCAGCATTGTTGTCGGCATCGTGGTTGTAGTTACCATGTCCACCGCTACCACCGCCACCTCCTCCGCTACCACCTCTTTCCTGTGAGACATTTCCCCACATGTTTCTTCCCGACGAACAAAACAGATTTTTGTAGGACGACAGCACACCAGAAAGATTTTTGTTGAGATAGTCAATCGTTTTGCCACCCAACAGAAGAGTCGGTGCATTCTCTGAGATATATGAGTAGAGTGCTTTGTTCGAGCTGAACTTGCTTCCATTGGTCAACTCCAGATTATATAGTGTTGTATGTACAATGACCTTCCACGATTTCGGGAGGTGGAGAAGTGTGGCTATCTTTTTATCGCTACACTTGCCACAGTTGTATATGTATCTAGTGTCAATGTGCGATGGAATGATAGACTTGTTTTTGCCTTCGAGGAGTTCGGCGGCGGCATTGGCAAACATTGTCTTACAGATGTTACAAAACAGTGGAGTGAGCTTGGTTTGTGATGATCCGCCCGATCCACCCGACGAATGTTGTCCACCACCACTCTGGCTGGAATTGCTCGACGAGTTGGCAATCGACGACGATCCACCACTGTGGTTGGCCGACACACTGTTGTTCGAGTTGGAGCCACCCGATGGTCCGACATCATCGTATTGATCGGAACCGCCATTACCCTTCTTATCGAGTTCTTTGCTCAGAACCAAAACACCACGCGAATCAAACTCGACCTTGTCACGCTTCTTTCTGTTACACCACAGTCTTGGATTGATACAGCTATTGATAAACAAGCTTCTACCCGAGGAAAGGATGTAATTGATAATGGCAAGACTGGCATCTTGTTTTGGATCAGAAACTAAATCCTTTTGGTGTGTGGCGATGTAATGGAAAATATCTTTTCTCGAATGGAATCTAGTTCCTTTTTCCAATTCCAAATTGTGCAATGATGTATGAATTATTTTTGTCCTAGAAGAAGAATTAATTAAAAATATATGAGATTAATAATTTGTTATAACAATTGAAATATTGTTAAAATAAGACATACCATGATTTAGGATGATGTTTTAATACCGAGTTTCCATTTCCACAATATTTACATTGGAATTCATAGTTTTTATCAAATGGACCTGGTAATACTCTATTTACATTAAATTCTGGATGTAATAGTATGATATGATAAATTAAAATTAGTTAGTTGGTTATTATAAACTATAATTAATAGTATATTTACCAAGTGCAATATCATTTTTACACTGATTGCAAGTCAGTGTTGATTTGTACGCGGCTTCCTCTGTTTCCGATTCAGAGTCTGAGCGAGATCGTGAAGAGGAACGAGATGATGAGGAAACCGATTCTCTACGGTAGTTATTGCCAGAGTCAGTGTCGGAGGATGAAGCGCTTCTGCTCCTGCTTCTGCTGGCGCGACTGTTACTTCGACTGGAACCACGACTGTTGCTCTTGGTACGCGACGGACTTCTACCACGACTGTTACTTCTACTGAGTAGACGCTCCTTCTCACGCTCTTTCATATCGATATCACGATCGCTTCGATCACGATCACGATCACGGTCACGATCGCGATCTGGATCGGCACGATCGTTTCCACTGCGATCCCTATCTCTATCGCGATCTCTTTCTCTTCCACGCAGTTCACTACGCTCATTGGCACGTTCTTTCTCACGACCATGGTCATCGGATATCGATGCATCGCCAGGACTGTCCATTGGCTCGGAATCAAGTGATTCAACATCCGACGCCTTTGGATTGGCCCATTTTCCAGTGTATGGACCACCACTAACAAAATATCCTTTATTATTAAAGAATGCCATTGATACAGCTTTTGAAATATCAGCTATAAATTTTAATTAAAATAATATAAAATTAATATAAACTATTTCAAAATATATAAGAAATGAACAGAAGAAATAAACATGGATTGGCAATGAATCACAATAAAGAAATAAAGATGGATTATAATTTCTCTTACCTAATGATTTATCATGTAAGAATACTTGTGGATATTTCATTACGTAGGTGGTCACTTCAGAGTGATGGAAGAACCTATTTCCAGTTTGTCGCTCCAAGTTGTAGAGAGCAGTGTGGATGACACACTTCCAAGATTTTCCGAGATGGAAAAGAAAAGGTGTTTTCGATGAGCTGCATTGTCTACAGGAAAATGAATATTTATTATCATGGTAACCTGGTATCACCTTTTCAGAGAGTTCTCTCACATCTTGTAGCACTTTGTTGTGGCAGCTAGTACAGAGCAGCATTATTTTATCAGAGAAAGGATTATAATTTCCATTGCCACTGCTGCCACCACCGCCATCCTTGTTTCCACCCTGGGGACTGTGAGTTGACATTGAAATATCTTTATCCCTCATATTCTCTCTTTCTTTGCCGGCTACTGAGTGTTGTTGCTGCGATTGAAGAGATGATTGTCCATTACTTCCGCTACTGATCATTATCAAAGTTTTAATTTTAAATTTTTCTTTTTTTTTTTTTTTTGGTTATTGGTTTTTTAAGTTAGTTTTTTTTGTTTTGTTTTAAAATGATGTTGTTATATTATGATTGTGTGATGATGATTATGATGATGATGATGATGATGAATGTTGTATTTGATTGAGAGGCGATGTGAAGTTGTGATGTGAAGTGAAGTGAGTGTGATTGACCAACAACTGGTCAATTTGAAGGGAAAAGGCAATAAAAAAAAAAGGTATAAAACCAAAAGTTTGTCAAACAAACAAATAAAGTTGTTTGAAATTGAATATTCAGTGGAAGTCTGGACCGTCAACCACCTGACAACCTTTTTTAGTTGTGACCAACTAAAATAATATTTTTTTTACAAAAAAAAAAAAAAAAACAAAAAAAAAAGATATAAAAAATAAAAATTCATTTAAAAAAAAAAAAAGAATCTGAGATGTTTTTTTTGTGTTTTAATAATAAAAAATTAATTCGATGTTGTAAATCAATCAATCAATTAACCAAAGTCATTGATTTGATTAACTTTGGTAATTTTTTTTTTTTTTTTTGCTAAATCAGAATAAAAAGGTTTTTTTGTTTTGTTTTTTTTTTTATTAACTCGATTTTTTAACCAAAGTTGGTGGGAACGATGGTTCGTTTTTTAGCATGGGGCACATACATTGTGATTGGTTTGATTTGATTTGATTTATTGGTTGAACAAACTATGAAAGCGAATGAAAAAAAAAAACATTATATCTTTGAAAAACAAAAACAAAACAAAAAAAACAAAGAGATTTCATTTTATCTAAAAATTTGATATGAGCAAAACTATTCGAACTTTTATTTATTAAGTAATGAATTGGTAAAGGATGTTCTAAAATCTGATTTATTGGGGGTGAAAATCATAAAAATCCCCCCAACCAAATCAAATTCAATTTTTATGGTGTGGGAGCTAAAAAAGTCTCGATTTTAGAATAAATGATGGTTGTGTTTTTTGTTATTTTTATGATCAAACCAACTATCGATTCGTGTCACTTTCTTCTTTTGTAAAAACAACATTAATAGATCACAATCAAATAAATATTAAGATTGCGACGATAAAGAAAAAATTATTATTATTTTGATTGATATCAAAAAATAAATTATATAAATAAAAAAACAAAGCAAAAGAAAGATAAAATAAGAAATAATAACATAATAAATAGGGATGTTACAAAAAAAGTATTTTTCTATATATTTACATTTTTATATTTTTAATTGAAGTTAAATAAATTGACTTTTGATAAAAGGACTCAAAAAAGAGAGTGTGATGTAATACTACTAAAATTTTTTTTTCTTGGATAAAAAATATAACAAAGGTAAAAAAAAAAATGATCAAAAATAGATATATTTATATAATTACTCTATATATGTGATATACTTTTTAAAGAATAATTAATATAAAGAGTTAAATTAATATGAATATTGTTATTGATATTGATATGTTGAATATTAATGAATGAAATAATTTTGGAAATGAGTTGTTGGTGTATTGAAATGAATTGAATGAATTCCTTATCCTAAATTTAAAATAAAACAAAACAATAAAGAAGAAAACAAAAAAATATATTACTATTTTTATTATTATTATTATTATTATTATTAATTTGTTTTTTTTATATATAAAAAATATAAATAAATAAATAAAATAAAATTAATTTGAAAATAAATAAAAAGGTTTTTATTTCTGCTAACATTAACCACCATTAGAAATTTTGCTTTCTATTTTTTTAATCTTATTTTTTTAATATATAGTTAGTTTATTTTTGTGTGAGATGATTTTATTATTCTTTTCTAACATAACACTGAAAGTAAGGTTAAATATTATAGTGGTGTGTTTGTTTGGGAGAGGGGTGTGAGTGTGTGTGCACTTAGTAATAACTTTGTCAAATAAATAGCTATCACACACATACATTTCAAACTCGAGGTTAACTTTAATAATTAAAATCACTCACTCACTCAATGTTATCAAATTAAAACAATAACAAAATCATCACACATAGAAATAAACTAACTATATATATTAAAAAAAAAAAAAAAGAGAAGATAAAAATTTGTTTTTTTTTTGTGATACGATTTAAACATTAATGTTATATTGTGTTAACTGAGAAAACAACATTAACAACAACAACTAGCAACAACAACAACATAAAGTTATCATCTCTTAAAATTACTTGTTAAGACTCAAGATAGAGTTTAACCCCATTTTGTTTTTAGAAAAACAAATTTCTTTTTTTAATTTGTTAATTTTTTTTTAGGGGGAGGGATAAAATGAAATTACACATTTAAAAACTTTATCTTTTTTACTTTTAGAAGTCACTAGTGTAGTAGTAGTACTGGTTATTGATGGTTATTTGTTTGATTTCAAATAATAACATCATATTCTAAAATTATTTTTATTTATAGTTATCTTTTTTTTTTTTTAATACATCCATTTTCATGTGTGTGTGCTTATTTTCCTGTTTGATCATGTATGATTTAGATAAGTTATAACTGGCTAATCTACAGAGCTGATTTCATTGTGATTGTCAAAAAATGTGTTCTTTTGTTTTTTTTTTTTGACTGCTGGAGAGTAGTAACACTTAATCATTTTAATGATCAAAAAAAATAATGCAAATAAAACAAAAGTTGTTTATAAGTAAAAGCAAGAATTAGTTCATGTTATAAACTATCTTTATATTTTATTAAAGTTGAAAGTGTAGATAAAGGTGACGATGCATTTGTTGGTTTGGTAAGAGTTGGTGGGAATTTAGTGGATGACCAACTGTTTTGTTGGACAGAGTAGTTAAACAAAAGTTGTTTATCGTTGTCCGCCATATAGATGTTACCGCTGTCATACACCAATTTGAATGGTTGAGTGGGTTGTGTAGTCAGCTCGGTGTTCTGTGCCAGCGCATTGTATCGCATTGTCAAATCGGGTGCAGTGTCTAAACTAAAGAAATGATTCGACATGAGAATATACAACTTTTGATATTTATCATCTATACAACAACAGAAACCACTATTACCACTACTACTCTTTGTAGGTAAAGTAACATCTTTCTTACAATTATAATCGATTACCAAGTTACATTCCTTGCTTTTAAGATTACAATTGTAAAGTTTAATTGCTGAATTCTTATCTTTACATACAATATAGAGTGATTCTTTGTAGTTGTCACTACTGCTGTTGTTATAGAACAATTCAAATGGTGGACAAGTATTACTGATATTATTATTTGATAGCTTGTAGAGTGAATCTACTATGATTCCTAGTGATGATTTCGATGCTTGTAGTTTGTTGATTATATACTGATTGTTGGAATCCAAACAAAGAAGATAGAAGTGATCGACATTGTCCGAGCACATCGATATAATCTGACATCCAGTAGCTAGAGTACCACGCGATGCAATTGTCTTGGTAATTGGTGATTCATCATCATCATTATTATTATTACTATTATTGTTAATAGATAAACTAGTTAAACTAATAATCTTTTGTTTGGTTCCACTTATAACATGTATTGAACTACCAATAGAACCGACAGCCAATGCATTATAACCAATATATACCAATCTTTCCTTCAAGGTTGAGGCTGACATACTCTCTCTCAAGTTAAACAATATTGGTTTATTGTAATATAGATTGAGTAGATATGATTTGGATACATAGTTATTTTCTAAATCTTCATTGATGTTTTTAATAGAGTTGTTTAGCTTGTTGAGTAATGTTGTTGTAGTTGTATCAATTACAGTATTGTTTGTAGTTGATGAGTCGGGTGATGTTGTAAGAGTTTGTTGTTCATCTTGTGTTGATGTTATTGAAGTTGTTGATGTTGTTGAAGGTTGATTGTTATTATTACTTATATTTGTGTTGATACTATCATTGCTTGCACTGATAGAACTACTGTTTTTAATCATGTATTTCCGCATCATTTCCATTAATGATGAAAGTGTGATGTCGCAATTCTCATTGTTATTAAATGGATCCGGTGCCAGTATAGTTTCTTTATTCGATTTGTAATAGGCCGATAGTGAATCAGACTTTCGAATCGAGTTGATTATAGCCGGACCCAGATAGTTGACAGTTAAAAGCCGATTTTCATCATCAACAACATCTTCATCATCTTCATCATCTTCATCATCATCATCATCAACATCTTCATTATCATCACAATGAGTGTCATCATCATCATCATTACTATTATCTAAATTACTTGTAATTGGATGACGATCATCGTTACTATTATTATTATTATTATCATAGTCATAGTCTCTACTATTATTAATACTATTATTATTACTATTATCATAGTCATATTCTCTACTATTATTAATACTATTATTATTACTATTTTGATATCTACTAGAGATATCGGCTATATTTAAATATGCTTTTATATTTTTATGATTGTCCAATACATTGTCGGTGTGTGCTTCTATTTGCTCTTTAATTGGTTTCTGTAGTCTGTGTTCTTCGCGAATAAGCATCTCGTGTAGTTCTTCAAATTTTGATGTTATAGTTTCACTTCTCTTTGTAAGTTCATCCATCTTATTGATATCCTCTTTCATTTTATAATATTGATTTTCCAAGAACAACTTCATCAATCTGTAGGTGATACTACTACTACTGCTATTTACGCTAATACTACTTGAACTTGAACTAGTACTTAATATACCATCAACTTTGCTACTATTACTATTATTACTTCCGCGAATATTATTATCTTTGTTGTTGTTATTGTTGTTGTTGTGGGAATTGCGTAATACATTTTTGTTGAATATCGTTGGTATATCATGACCATTAATAATTTCATGTGAATTATGGTCAAACATCCAACAATCAGCACATATAATCATATTACATGTTTTGCAAAACATTGAATGAACTATTTCAACGTGTTTACATTTCCCTTCGTGTATTTGATCAACAATATCCATTGTTGTTTTTGGAATATATATATAGTAATAATAACTATTAGTTATTTATATAAATTTAACATAAATATATTAATAAATATAATTAATAAATAAAAAGTACGAATTGATGACAGTAGTATAACTAAAATGGTCAAAAAAAAAAAGATCAAACCATTGTTTGATAATATGCAAAAAAGACAAGTTTGGACAATAAAAAAATAAATAAAAAAATCGATCAATGATCATAATGATGTGTGTGTGTGATCATGATTTATGTTAAAACTAAAAATAAATTCAAAGTAATAAATAGTTATAATTCATTTTATTATTAGTTAGTTTGTTAGTTTTTTTTTTATATAAAATGAATTAGATTAGTAATTAGAATTATAAACAATTAAAAAAAAACAAACATGAAAATACTTTTTATAGTATTTACCATACTGGTTGTTGTCGCAACAGTTGTTGTTTCTAGTAAAGTCTGTCATCAAGATTCAGATTGTGGTGATGCTCCATATGCTCTATGCCAATCTCGTATCAATATTCTCAAAGGACTTGCCTATGACTACGATCGCAATCTACTCATTTTTGCAGGACATATCGATCGAACTTTGAATCTTGTTGTTGCCAGTGTTAGTGTTGATGGTAGCAAAGACAAAGGCAGTACTTCTCCTTTGTCTTTGAAAGTTGAATATCCAATTACCACTGACATTCCAATTGGTTCTGAATTCAGTACAACCATTGGCTTACAAGGATACTCCAACAGCTTAAAGCTCGCTTACATTATTAATAGCCAACGTCTCTCCAGTGCTGTAGGCCCCTACTTCCCCAACAATAACAGTGTCAATTTTATCTGGTATCCACGTGGCTACAAGCTGGCAACCTACTTTGATGACCAACAACAGCAGAGTGTTAGTGAGCATACACTCTACAGCTGTACTTTTGGTATTTGGAGAACTGATTTCATTCCTACCCAATCGTTTGAAGAGAACGATTCCAATCATGTTAGATTGCTAAGGTTAGATCCAGACAATCAATATAATCCAAAGTGTGAATTTATTACTAGAGCCAACGAGAATCTTTACATTGTTCAATACGACTTTGGCGAGTCTGGTAATGATTTTCAATCGGTGGTCTCTGTCATTGACAGAAAATGTGTGGATTGTCCTCCAGACTCACTACATGAGATTGGCCGTTTCCCATTTGAAATCACCGGAATTGTTGTCTACAATAATCACATCTACTTGGGTGCCAAAGCAGAGTTTCCAACAAATTCAAATCATTCCGGTGTCTTTGAAATATCAAAAACAATCGATGGAAAATCAAAAGTTCTTCAATTGACACAAGTAAATGTTATTGGTTTGACTCTTGGTAGTAAAGGAAATTTATATTACTCCACCACCAATAGCTTCATCTATAATATCGACTTGAATTCAAAAGATAAGAAAGAATCCATCATTTATTCACCTGAAAAAAGTGGTGGATCATGTAGTTGTGCCAATTATTTCACTGGATCTGATTGTAAGAAATGCGATAATGGTGTAGTACAATGGACAAAAGGTATACCAGAGTGTATTAAGCTTTTACCTAACGGTAGACCGTCCAAATGTAATGAAAATTCTCAATGCGGATTAGAACCGTTTGCTCTTTGTATGGATTCCAAATGTTTTTGTCGTGAAGGATTTTCAGGAAATAAATGTGAAATATGTTCAGGAACAATAACATGGGATGAATTACAATTTCCAACTTGTAATCATTGAAAAATAAAATAATAAAAAAATTAATTATTATTATTATTTTATTCAATTAATAATCACTTATTTTAATTTAAAAAAAAGTTTAAAAAAAAAAGAAATATTTTATTAATTATACAATTTTTAAAAGTCTAGATAATATTAATTCTAGAATGTAAACATGTCGAAATTATTTGTTAAAGATTTATCAAAATAATTGTGATACTATCATTTTCTTTCTTCTTTAATTTCTAAAAATAAAAAAGCAAAAATATTATTATTAAATATATTTTTATATTTTATAGACAATTATAAATTGAAAACATACTTTTAGATGATGTTCCAACACTAAAGAAACAAGTTATTGCCAATACACATAAGAAAAAGAAATTTACAAAGTCGAATTTAAACATTTTTAATAAAAACATAAACTAATTAATTGTTTTATAGTTTTTTCTTTTTTTTTTTTTGTCTTTTATTTTAATAATTGTAATATTTTGATTTGAATTTTATTATTTATTTTATTTGTATTAATAGTATTGGTTTGAATATTTGTTTATTGGATTAGGTAGGGAATTCAGCACACACTCTATAAAACAAAAAATATCAATTTGTTATAATTATTAAAAGTGAGAAGTGGAAGGAGTTGGTGTTGAAATCATGCATCTGTTCGTTTTGGATTCCGATTAGGGTTACTTACTTTTTTTATTAGAGACATTTAGTTATATTCAACAACAATAGGAAATAGAGAGGGAGAGAGAGACGAATGTAAATTTTATGAATCTACTCTTTTGATTGTTAAAGTGTCATATGATTGGATAACTATGTATTGCATCATTATTGCCTGGTGTGCAATCATTATCTAAAAATGAACCCACTGACATAACAACAACACACTAAACACCAAATTTGTTGGATTGGATATCACGTCAACAAAAAAAATAATAGAAAAAATAAAAAATAAAAAACACTTAAAAATAAAGTCAGACAAATAAATTTAATAGTAATATTTTGGCAAAATACTTTGTAAATTAATAATATATTACTATAAGATGGTTCAATCCTATTTTTGATATCATGAAATTTGGTAAATTGTTTTAAATCTTCAATATTGCAATAGAAAAACCAATGAGTGTCATTTGTAGTATGAAATAGTTCATTATGATGATATCTTTAAATAAAGTCGCATAAAATAAAATTTTAATTAAGCTCCTTTCATTTTAATAATAATTTTATATTTATTTTCATTTTTTTATTTTTATATTTTCATTTATCATATTTGTATTTTACCATTATTAAAGTCCACTATAGAACACCAGTGTTCTATTTTATTTTATTATAAATAAAATTAGAACCTGGTTGAAAAAATCAATAGAATTTAAATGCAAATCAAATTAAAAGTTTGGCACTGGTCAATTAAATAAACTAAGAGATCATACCGAATCTCTTTTAGGAAATGATCTTTTTCCTGTTAAACAAAATTGAAAATAAATTTAAAAAAAAAAAAATTTGCAAAACAAATGAGTTCAATTTAAAATTGTCATACTTGACAAATGGGGGTACCTACCTTCGGATTTATTTTGATCAAATAAATGTGTGTTAAATTTAATATCACACCATGTAAATTAAATTAATCAATAAGTTGGTTATTCAATAAAAAGATAGATAGAAATATAATAATAATAAGTAATAATATCACAATAGATATTTATTATTACTTATTAATTTTCTTATCTAATCTAATCTAATCTAATCTAATCTAATCTAATCTATACAAATTTAAAAATGATAAATACTTCAAATTCAATGAATATTGATAATATTAATAATAACAATAACAACTATATCAACAGTAATAATATCTTTAGTTCTATTTTTGAAAATGATAAAGTAAGTAATTTAACACATTTGAACATAGTCATACTATATATTTATTAACAACCATTCCATTTCTAATAGATAAATGAAGAATGTATATTGTTGTATGGTCTAGTTTCAAAGGTTGCAAAGACTATGCCAGTCTCTGGTGTACAGGTAGCACAGAGATCTGTTGGTCAATATCAATACACTCTTAGTATGAGCTTTGATTCAGTTAATCAAACATTCAAATTGAGTGGACTTAACAGCAGTTCAAATGAGCAACAACAACCACAACAACCATCTTCTGAACAATCCAAGGGATTAGTTGATAAATTGCAATCAGCCATCAATCAACTCACCCAAACACTACCAACAACTCTAAAACATGAACAACTACAACTAGAGCAACAACAACAACCTCTAACTGTTACCATTCAGATATTCAAGAATCACTCTTACTTGGCATCCTACTACAAAGGTATGGCTGTACTCGACCTTGATATAGCGGATCACGATCATCTCTTGGTATCCATACTCTTAAGATATTTAATTGCCTTACAATATTCAACCACTTTGAATATTGGTAATAGTAATAATAATAATGGTAGTAATAGTAGTAATATCAATGGCAATCGAGAAGCACTACATTCTCTATTGTCATATGTTCAAATCCTACATGATTCCTCTGTGGATTTAGTCAGTCCAATCATCGTCAGTCTCTCAAGCGATTACCATCAACAGTTGGACAGTAATCAACTGTTTGTTACTCTTCTAAAGGATTATATTGAATTGAACAATGAATATTCCAATGTCTTGAAAGATGCCATTCTCAAACCTGCTATTTCCAGTTCAGAGTTGGAGACTTTTCTCTATGAGGAAGATGACAACTCCACTACTACCGCCGACGCCGCCACCGCCGCCACCACCACCACAAACATGAATAGTAGTGCTATCTCTATAAAGACAAGAGAGGAGTTGATTCAACTGCTAAATAAGAGGGACACAAAGATCTCTTGGTATTTGGGTCAATTGCTTTTCGATCTTCCGTATCGTCGTGACGACCTCAGACAAGCGTTGTTGATCGACGACACCAAGCAGCGTCGTGATGCAACATTTCAGGTGATTCGTCGATTCGATGCACAGGTCGAGCGTGACAACGTCGTGCGTGTATCCAACCAGATTCGTGAGCAGTGGCTCAGCGATACCGAGTCGTTCCAACCGACGTTGGTAGTTGGTCGTGAATCACGTGCATTCTCCAACCAAGCGACACTGTTTGCCAGCTCCAATTACATACGTATTGATGATGCTATTCGTCAGGTTATCAATCAGCTCGTTCTCACTACCGGTGAACAGTTTATCCGAGATCAATTCGCTGTGATAAAGATACCGGGTTGGGCAGTTGCCGATATCCAAAAGCTGGCGGATCAGCTTGTCAAATCGACTGTCCACCTACAGCCTGTTGTTGGTCGTCTACGTGCGTTGGTTGCCAACATCAACGACAATTGGTCGCCATTCACTCAATTCCAAGGTGCTATCCAACATCTTCGTGAAGTTCTCACCATTGTCACCAATAAGAGTGTAAACTTGGTCGAAGACGCTCAAAAGACAGCGCTGTCAAGACGCTCCGAAGGAATACATCGTCGTTTGTCTGGCAATAAGGATACCGGTGGAAGTGGAGCTGCTGTCAACAGTGTGTTTATCATCGTTCACAGTGTGCTCGAGTCGATTTATGGCAGAGGAAGCAGTCAGGTGTGGAGATGTCTCTACGAGTTGGAGTCGTTGATCCAAACGATGCCGTCCGTACCATCTAGTTTCTCCGTTCTCTTACAACGTCCTAGTTTGAGTGGAAGTGAGAGATTCCGTACGAATGAACTTGAACCAAAGGCGGAGCAGGAGGAAGTCTTGCAAAAGTTGGTGAGAATCGGTGGTGCCAATCTCTACATGTCGCCTGCCAATGAATGGGTGGAGCAAGCCACCGATATCATCGAAGCGATACCGCTGTTTATCTATGAGCGTTTGATAGAGGTCGATGGTCAGAGTACAACGGTGTTTGAGGTCGACCAAGAAGGATTGGAACAGACCATCAGAGGACTGGCCGAGCAGTGGACAAAGAACATTCAACTAACCATACTCTCTGAGCACTGTTCACTTGCCAGAGAGATCATTGTTGAATCCGATCAGCAGATGTCAGTGAATGTTTCAGAGTTAATGAAACAACAGCAGCAATCTACAAGACATTCGGTGATCTGTCAGTTGCTAAAGGATAGAGTTGAAGAGATTGTCAAAGTTGCACATCATCTCGAGTTGCAATACGACAGATTGGCAGAGTCGGTCGAGGATTATATTGAAACCTGTTGGAAACAATCGAATTTCATAACTAGAATAGAGTCATTGAAACATCTTTTAACATCCAATAATGAACAACAACAACAACACAACAATCAAATGGACAGTTACAAATCAATCTATGAACAATCAATGAAACTTCAAGTCCCACAACAAGATTACGATAGAATTAGATTCATGGCGCTAAAGAAACAGAGAAGAATGCCAGCATTCCACTTACTAACAACTGAAGCACCGGGACTAGTAGAAGGTTTCATTCAAGCTGTTTTAGAAGAAGAAATGGTAAGAGTTATTCCCAATAATATTTGACATGTTTAAATATTTTGTTGACTAATATTATCAATTATTATTACTATAGACATTAAAGAATATTATTGAATACTATAAACATGGTAAAAGTGTAATGGATAGAATAAAGGAGTATCAAAATGACTTTATTCTCATTGGAAAAAAGGTTATTTCAGAGTTTAACTACCAACCTATACTCGAACAATACCAAAATCAATTGAATCTCGATGTTGATAGAGCTGTTCTAAGAGTACTTGGCGATCACATGGTTATTCAACGTCAGGTATCACTTTTGGTTGTTCTCTACGAGATTGATAGACTTGAAAAACAACAGACAACAACAGAGTCTTTTTCGTTGACCAACGCAGTACAACAAGAACCATCGTGTGTAACCAGCTATTCAAATAATACTGCTTCAACTTTGGATAAACAACAATTGAATCAACAAGCATTGTTGTCGGTATTCCAACAAAATAGAAATGATAAGGAATTCCAAAGAATATCGGGTGCACTTCAAGGTCAACTATCGGATATCGAGCGAGTAGTGAATGGTAACGATGTCTACAAGAAGGAATATGATAATTATATTCGTTGTGAACTTAGACAATTGACTTTGGATAAGTTACAATTGGATCGACCAGAGTTGGCATTGAAACAACGTGTTGATAAACTCTATAGAAACCGTTCCAGTTTATCAATGACAACTGCACGTCGTGAGGTAATTGCTACCAACAATCTACATGACCAAATGTCTAACCCGAGATTTGCCTACTCTTGCGGTGTAATGTTCCCGTCGGTCGGCTCGAGCAGTGGCGATATCCGTCCTACTGGCGCGCGTAAACGTTATCATTTTGTCTATGGCCCAAGTCGTGTCAATCTCGGAAAAGACGAACGTAAATCCGTTGAGATATGGCCACAGTTTGTTGGTGTAACCGATCCGCTCTGTGCCAAACACGCACGTGCATTCTATCAGCTGATGAATCACAATCCAATCATTCGTACAACCACTGCCGCTGAGAATCTAAAGGTCAGTGAAAATCAATGGACTGCACTGGTCCGTTCGATTCGCAATGTTCAAGCGCTATTTGTTGAACGTTTGGGTGTCGGAGATATCGAGGATTTAGCATATCAGTTCAACCAACGTGGAGGCTTGGCTGTTGCCGCTCACAAGGAATCCGAAGGTTACATGAGCGGACCAACAGCAGGATATTGCATTCCAAAAGATCTGCTCTTCAAACTGTTTGTTGTCACCCACCAAGATTCAAGAAAGCTATCACACGTCGGACTACCAGCACATCTTCACCAATCTATTATTCGACTTATGGTTGACGTTGTTGCTGCGCAACCGACATTCACCAGCTCAGGAGAGTGGGAGCGTTGGGCAGCCAAGGAATTCCTCAGTGAAAGTAAACTAAAGTCAAGATTCCAATCGGATTCCGACTCTTCTCAAGTGAAAAAGTATTTCCAGCAGTACATTGAGATTACCGGTGGTGTTATCATGCTGCATCTTTCAAAGCTAACACAGATTCTTGGTGGTGTGGGTGTTCCTTCGCCATTGGTGTCGTGGGGACGTGATCTTCATGCAGCTCTCTGGAGTTCATGGGCAGAGAAAAAGATTACCCTCGGTGGAGAACAAGTCAATCGTTCCGTTGTCTTCCCGATGACACGTGAAATACCACAATCCGGTAGATTGGCGTCAAAGTTGAATCCAAACGCCTACTTGCCAACGGAGGAGTCGCTACGTGTGCATATGTTTGGTGTCTACAAAGGAGATGACGACCAGAAACCACCTCCCGATGTCAGATTTGCATGGGTAATGAGAGCATTCCTTATTCTATCCGGTCACTACAAAGAGGTTGCAATGTCACTCGACGAAGAAGGACAACTGATTGCCCGACTAAGTTGGGATGGATTCCACCCGGACTCCACCGATCCAAAAGATATACAAGTGAGACAATATCTTTCTAATCATTTCCTTGGAATTCCAGATTTTTCCAAAGATACTCCCGATCATGTCGATGTCATTGAACGTCTCAAACAGATGTTCCCAAGACATACAACAGTGGGAGACATCACAATTACCGCAGTTCCAGGTGTGGATTCCGAAGATCTTCTTGGATTCTCTGCAGAGACACTGACACTCCTTGGCGATGAAGCATCGTATGCTCAAGAACTACTGAGAAGTCGTGGTATTTCCATTGACCAAATGAAAGCAAATGCACAACTCCATAGAAAATTCATTGACGAATGGATTCCGCTATCGAATCTCCCAGCAACAGAGCAAGCCGCGTTGAAGAAAGAGATTGGTGGAAGAATACATCCACTTGCTCTTCGACTACGTGGTCCTGGAGATAACTTCCTTCGTGATCTTCAAGGACAGGATATTGTCGTATTCTCAATTACACATCCACAGTTGCTCGCACTGAATCCTGCTACTCTGAGAGATCTCATGTTGATTGGACGTCCCAACAGTTCTTTGGTTGCTCACGATCATGTTTCACAAGGTCGTCATCGTGTTTGGTTTGAACGCGATGTCATGCTTTGGTATGCTGCTTGCCGTGCCATCGATGAGAATGGTCAGCGTCTCAGCAATTGGCGTGAGAGAAGTAGTCGTGGTCGCCAATCGATCTACAAAGCATTTGGTTGGGGAACCGACCAATACCAACCACTTCTTGGTACCGATCTTCGCCAGGAGGTGGAACGTCAGGAAAACAGAGCAATCAAACTATTTGAATTGTTGGACAAGATTGCCAATTCAACTTATATAAACAATACAATTAACATTGATGAATTGGTTAATGAAATCAATAGAACATTGTTTGGCGTTGGTGTAAACATTAACTTACAATCGATACCACCACTGCATCCCAATCAACTACAGAATGAAATCGATATGTTGGTTCAATATGAACAACGTGTACTGCTTGCCAATAGATTTAGAAAACGTGATCTGGTGATAAGAGAATCGTTGGAGAAACTTAGAGATCGTCCCATTGCCAATACTCTCAGTCCTATTGCTTGGTTGGCAGTCGGTGGCTATCTATTGTTGAATGGACAACCCGCTAGAGTTATCAATCGAACTCTCACCATTGTGAATAGAGCATGTTGTAGAATCAATTTAACACAAACAGACAACAGCAACATTGACTTTGAGAAGGATCCTCTCATGACCAGTTTACTCACTGCCCAGTTGGCAACCTCAAAGATTCAACTACGTGATCGTAAAGGAAAGATGTTTAGTGTCAAAGCAAGTGAAGAACATGTTGAAACTGCAGTTACCAGACGCAAGGAACTGGAAGCACAATCAAGAAGAAATGCAATTCTTAAATATAGAGAAGATGGATATCTTTCACTGGGACGTCCACATGCCATCTCACCAACTTCTACTTCATCATCCAACATCTCCAATCTAAATGGATTGGTAACCCTTATGTTACCACCCATTCATGAGAATCTAAAGAAATTGGTATATCACATTGAAGAATCAACTCCTAATCCCTCTGTCTCTGTTGAGAGAATCAATGTTACATTGGGACAAACTTATAATCTATGTATTCAAGCTCTGCTACAATTGGTTCACCTCTACAAACCATCGAATCAAGAACAATTGAATACATTGATTCTCCAACTAGCTGATCAATCAACGGGCAAAGAGTTGGATCTAAAGTGTTGGGATGATCTAGTTGGTAGCTACGAACAATTCGGTGCATTCAGTCCTTTGTATGAAGCATACTACCAGCAACAAACTGATAAACAACAACTACTTGGTTTGGTATCAGTCATCTCTCAAGTTATGGCAACGCTTCTACTCCTAGATAAGATATCATTCTACCTCTCAGTGCCAAGTGAAGACATTGTCGAGAACAATATCTGGCGTAGTCTAGCAGAGTTCTTTGCCAAGACGATCGATGATCACTACTCAGAGTACACTCCATGGTTTATGGATCCTAAACGTTATCCACTTTTCAATCAGTATTTCGACGACGTAGGAATTATGAAGCCGGAATACAGAGAGAGTCAGTATCGTCTATACTGGGAATCACATCGTTCACTCTACAAATTGATTCACTCATTGATTCGTTGCAAGACTTCATTCTCACATGCCAACCAACTGTCGCTACTTGGTGATGTATTCATTGGTCCAGTTACTGATTCCGACTGTATCGTTGTCCATGCTATTGGTGCCAGTGCGCCAGAACGATATGAACAACTCTGGCGTGCATACAACCAGATGCGTGAGATCTCATTCATTAAAAACGATGGATTCCAAACACCTTTTATCTTTGAATCGATCGATCCAACCGATAAACATGGTTTGGATACGCAGTCACATGTTAATCATTGTTTCCTCAGTCCAATTGGAAGAACTCATTATTCACGTGCACTAATGGAAGGACCAACTCTTGGTGACAATCTATTCATCACCAGAGATGGAAATATGGTTAACTTGTCCGGTGATGGCAGACAAGTTCTCACCATTCACAACGCCATGTTTTGGATGAACGAACAACAATTTAGACACTATCTTTTGACAAGTAGTAGCAGTCGTGGTGATGGAAATCAACCTACCAATGAAACTGTAGATGCCTTTGTCAACAAATCGAAACAGAGTAAACAACTTGTGGCAAAAGGTATATTAGTGGCAGCAAGATTCAGTCGTCCAGTAGTCATTGGAAGCGCTGTAACTCTTCACCATCATCATCTTGAACCGCTTCTCTCTAATGCTGGCTACCCAACCACTGACAAGTCACCATTCCTCTATGAAATGACCTATAACAAATCATTGTATCCATTGATATTCAATCCATCTTCACAAACCAATGTTTTACTACCACCAGAAATCGATTGGTTGCAACTTGAAACCTCAGAGATTCTCAGCAAAAATGATGATGAATCACAAGCCAAACTGGAAATTCTTGAAAAGATTAGCGCTAGACTTGTTCCATTTGTAAAAGAACATCCGATTATCATTGTTAAGGGGGCTGCGGAATCTGGTGCAAGAAATCTCAGTCGTTTTGACTTGTTCGATCAAACCACCGGTCAACTGGATCAAGATGCTCTCAACAATGCATCACTTTTCATTTACCACGTCTCGAAAGCACAGAATGTTGTTATTCAACGCGCCATTATTTCATCACCACTCTTCTGGATGAGTAAGGAAGCAATCGATAGGATGGTAGAACGTCAGATTTCCGATCATGGATTGGCAGTCGAGTTGAATAGACATCCTAAAGATTCGGTCTATGGAACACTTCGTGTCATCATGTCTACAGGATCGCCATTGGATAGCAATGATTTGGTTGATCCAAAGAATTGGAGTGCTTCTCACCATATTGCATTGAATAGTTTACAGATCGCTACAAATGTAGGACGTCAAGGATCTCTGGAAATACTAACAACGGAAATGATACAACCTGATCTAAGAGCAAACTTTATCGCTGGGCTTGAAGATGCCGGTAGAAATGTTATGGCTGCGATCGCCAAATTCGGACCGGAATACTGGAGCAAACCAGTTGAACTATTTGGACATACCTTCAAGAGTTATCATGAGAGATTCCCCCATATCAAGGAGAATGACGCCACCGGAATTCCAATTCATTGGCCAAGATACTTGATGTTGGACTTCATCCCAGAACCAATTTGGGCAAGAAAAGATAATAATGCACCAATCGATATGAGATTCTCAAGACTTTTAGATATTGTTCCATATCAGACACACGATGGAAAGCCAGTATTTACATTCAGAGATGAAGCTGACGGCGGACAGGAATTCGAGGCAGTCATCATCGGAATGAACTTTTGGCAATTGGAACCCAATGTTGGAATTGGACTTTGGCCAAACTTTTGGAAGAGAGAATTGGAGAATCAAATGAACTTGGTCAAGCACTCTAGACAATCGGAAATCGATTGGTCGAAAGTTGGTGTCAGTGATAGAATAGTACTATCGAACTTCCTTCATGTCGGTCGTCTATTCCTTGATACACTTCCTAAAGAAGCTATTTTGAATGTTCAACTTGGTGGATCAAAAGATAATGACAAAGATCATAATGTAGTTGGCAGTGGTCAATCCAAACAATCACCAAGAACATCCACTGCTGCTCCTACTCAACCAACAACAACAACCACCTCTACAATTATTAACCAACTCAATGAAAATCCAGAGTTAAACAAACTCATAGGTAAATAAAGTCTTTATTTTACATTATTTTTAAATCAATTATTGATTTGTTATTTAATTTAGATCAACCACATGAATATTTATTATTTGGTCAATCATTGTTAATGAAAGACAAGTCAATCAAACTATCGGATGAGACAAAGAAGAGATTGGTTGAATACACTTTGGATTGTCATTTAAGTAGTAGATTGACTCCCGAAATGGTAATATTGGACAATCTGGACAATGTTGAATTTCAAAAGTATTTCCCATATGAAAACACTTGTGCGATTATAACTGGAAAAAAAACGTTGATGTTGAATCATTTCTATCCATTCTTTTTATCGAAAGAATCGGTTAATGACACCTTGGACATCAATCTCATTGGTATTCATTATAGTTGGATTGATAATGAAGATATGTTTGGTCTCACCAGGTGTATTGTATTCGATAGTACCAAACGATTGTTTATTGATTTCCCATTGTCAGTTGAACAATCAAAGAAAATTAGACTTTCTACATGTTTTCTGTTGGAGTTACCGAATGAGGAATTGAACCAAGAAACCGATTTCCACCAACAGATTTCAATGGAGCTGGAAAAGGATGGTGTTAAAGTGCTGAACGATTTCCAAAAGAGCAACCAACGATGTGATGATAAATTCTGGTTACGTTCCAAACTATTGGATGGCTTCATTTCCATTGTAAATTGTAAACCAATACAAACAATATCTATTTCATGTAATGATTGTATTACAAATGAAGATGTTGTTGAAAAACTGGATCAACTACAGACAGCGCAACTACCAATTATCATCCAACCAAGATCAAACACAACCGAATCAGAATGCGTTAGATACTTTAAAAACAAATCAGAAGATCAATGTGTAAACTACATTTTGGAGTTATTCGATTTTGGATATGACCATGTGTTGGCATCTCAATTTATACAATCTATAAAAACAAAAGATGGATGCTCATTCATTGTCAGATTGAATGCTAGTTTGGGTGGTTTGACGACCATAGCAATTGTTAAATCATCGTCTCCAGATGAAACAGTCATATCTCCAGGTTTAAGAAAATCCAAATGGGTCAGAGTGGACAGTGTTTTAAATAACTTGGATGGTTTCAAAGTAACTGAACAAGATTGGAAAAATTGGTCAGATATTGCACAAACAATATTAGAATCAACAGAACTACAAATTGTTGGAATCGATGTTATTCTTACGAAACAAATCGAAGGCTCTCTGTTAAAGATACATCCAGTAGTATTGGAAGTGAATGCACGACCTGGAAGTTTAATTTTCTCTGAGCAATTGGAATTTTCTGGAAACGATGATTTATCATCTAGAATGACTACTCCAATCTCCAAACAATTTTGGTATAATGTAGTAAGAAATTCCAGTATGACCATTAACTCATTGCTCAGATCTGTACTTGCCAATGAAAATAGGTTTGGCAAACTATTGGAACATAGATATACTTTTGGAGGTTTGAATGGCGGTAAAGATTATAAGAACATAAAGGATAGACAAAAGAGTTATACAAACCTTTTGGAGCAGTCAATAGCCAGTGGGTTCGATAAAGATAAACCTGTTATTTTGACAGCATCCAATGGTAGAGACAGAGTATTTATGGGTCATAGTGATTTTGTTGGATTGGGTGGATTCACTATTAATGCAACAACCATCAATGAAATTCTTTGTGTAATGCAACTTAAAGACGATCCAAATCCAAGAGTAATCCTTTCGAATATAGATAAGCAATTCCAACAACAAAGTTTTACAATTGATGAAATAGATCAACTTTTAAATCAGAATCTTCGTGATGACAAATCTATTCCTACTCTTTGGCCACCTCAACATTGGGAGAACTATATCAAATGTTGTTTGGCATATTTATTGGCACCTGCTAATCGTGAGAAATATCCAAATGTCGCCAGAAGTCTAAAAGAATTGTCAACTCAGAAAAAGTCTATCCTTGCCATGTTTTCAGCGGATGGTTCTCTAGGTCTATCTTGGACTGGTGGAGTCAGCTCGAGTTCCGCCCTAACTGGTGCATTCAGTATATCTTTAAATCGATTGTTGGGATGGAATTTATCGTTAGAACAACTTGCCGATATTGACTTTGGAGAGTACTATCTTGGAAAGAATGCTGGATCCTCAGATAAAACATCACAACTCTTCTCGAGAAAAGGGCAAATCTCAGTGATTGGTTCAATTCCAGAGAGGTTTATTAAATGTTTGAAATTTCCAAGTGAAATAGTTGTTCTTATGGCAGAGAGTCCAATCCCAAGACTATCAACTCAGAAATCGAAACAATGGTTGGATCAACAGATTGCTATTGGCAGCGTCAAAGGGTGCACAACCGAACAAGTATCAGTATGGGCCAACTCCATTATGAAATCATTTAGTTCCAAAGTATTTGTAGAGTCTGTTAAATTTTTCCAGACATCAATCGAATTCAACTTAGAACAATCGATGAAGCAAAGTGGATTGTCTAAAGATGAACTTAATGCTGTTAAATTATCATTGGAAAATGGATTACTCAGAGAATTGACTGTTGGAGGAAGAATCATTTCATACCTACCTGAATTGGAAAACAAGAGAAAGAGAGCCATTCTCACCTTTAAAATGTTGAAACTGCTACCAGAGGAAATTGAAATCGATGGAATCAAACTTTGGATGAGAAAATCAATATTATATGCACTCTCAGAGATTGAAAGAGGATTTGTCTATCAAGAGTTGGTTCAATCACTTTCAAGTGGAGCTTTAAATCAGCAACAAAAGAAACTATTTGTTGAGAGATTGATGACCATTGTTAAAAAAGCACATGAAGGTGATAAACAAACAACAGACTACAGAAATGGATTTAGTAAGACTGCTTGGGGTGAGATGGAACAATCAAATTACACTGACTTAGCATTTGACAATAATATCAAAACACTTTCAGGTAAAGATGACAATGATTTTGATGTTGGATTATATTACTACCCAGGTGGCTATCAAAGATCACTCCCAGAGATAGATGAATTAGCTCATTTGATTTCAACTCAATTCAGTGGTACCGCTGCCCTGAGAATTGCTGCTGCTGGATTAGGAGGAAGTGTATGTGTTCACTGTCACATTGACCAACAAAAAGAAGTGAAAGATCTATTATCTAAACACAATTATATTGTTAGAGGAGTTGAACCAGCATCACCAAGCTCCGTGATATTTTCATAAATTATCAATAAAATTAATTATTCATTATTTCTAAAAAAAAAAAATATGAGGCAATCTATCATTTCTTGGAAAAGTTATGTACTAACTTCCTTAATTTCAGGTTCTTTTATAAAAGCCACGTGGCTTTTAAAATCACTCACAAATAATAATATTCGTAATAAATTTAAACTTGTAAATTTATAATTTATTATTTCATGTTTTATTTACATCAAGAAATTAGTTCATAATATGTATTGCTTTTAACCATTGGTAATTTATGAAATTATTAATAATTAATTTCCAGCCATTTGTTTTTTTTTTTCCTAATATGTCCCAACAAAAGTAGAATTGTACATCTTCAAATTATTGACAGCAACACATCAATTAAAAAGAATTGAAAAAGAATATTTAAAATTTTAAAAATATTTAATGGATTTATTACAAGATAATAGTCTGACCTTTTTAGAGTCAAAATATTTGAAAAAAAGTTTCAAAAGTCAATCAGTGTTTTAAGTTGATTGACTTTTTTTAAAGTGAGAGATCTAGTGGTTTAAGGTGTTGTGGTTTAGCTATCAGCATGTTGTTGTTAAATTAAGTGAAGTTAACTGAAAATTTACTTTCCGGTCTTCTTTGACTTGTTTGGGGTGGTTGGGGTAGCTTGCTTGGCGATCTTTTCAGTAGTGTTTTTCTTCTTTTCGGCTGGGGTGACGGTCTTTGGAGCAGACTCGACTGGCTTTGGTGGTTTCTCAGCCTTGGCAACTGGCTTGACGGCAACATCTTCGGTATCGTCGTCCTCCTCGTCGGACTCGGCTTGCTCACCAACCTTGGATTGTGGGGTATCCAACTCTTCCTCATCGTCTTCACCTTCTTCATCTTCGGATGATTCTTCTTCTACCTCGGCAGCAGCGGGGGCTGGCTTCTCAGCCTTGGTTGGCTTCTTGGCAGCGGCGGTATCCGGAGTCTTAGTGGTCTTGGTGCTTGGAACGTATTCACCTCTCAAGAAGAGCATGATTCTTTGGATGACTTCTCTCTTGGTACCACTGATCTTGATTTCCTTCTCACGGCAGAAGTCTTGCAACTCCTCCAAGTAGTAGTGTTGGAAGATGTCTTGGTAGCTGAGCTTCTTGGAGAGCTTTTGCTTGGTCTCACAGAACTCGACGACGACTGGCTTGGCCTTCTTTGGCTTTGGAACCTTTCCTGTGAGGATGCACTTGATCAAAAAGTCTGGGGTGTTGCTGTCGGTATCCAACTTGAGGTCGGCAACCATCTTCTTCAAGGTGACAACTGGAGTGTCCCACAAGAACATTTCGAAACCAGTGTTTCTAATGTCGACTGGGAGTTGGCTGACAAAGTTCTCTGGCTTGGTGACAACATGTGGGGCAATGATGCTCTTGTATGGGTCCTTTGAGGCGAAGTTCTTAACGTAGTTGTTCAAGCTGAGGGCCAAAACCTTCTTGGTCAACTTACGGATGAGGTACATCTTATTACGCTTTGGAACTGGTTCATCATCAGTTCCCTTCTACAAATTGTTTTAATTTAATTTTTATTGAAAAAGTTAGTAAATACAATACTTTACTATTTGATTTGAGCAACTATATCTGACAATTATTTAAACACTTTACCTCTTCGAATGGTGAGTATAAAACTTCGAGTTGAGCTTGGGTCAACAAACGGAAGAGGTACTTGACACCGTATTCTTCAATCTTGGATCTGACTTGAGCCTTGACCTCGGTGATCTCAGCCTTCTCGTCTTGGTTTCTCTTCTCTACGTCTCTCTTGTTGTCGAGTGGCTCCAACTCGGACATTGGTACCTTGTCAACACCTTGCTTGACGGACTCTCTGAGAGTAGTCTTCTTGAATTTATCGATTAAATCAACCATTGACATCTTGTTTTGTTTTGTGTTTGTAGTATATAAAAATAAATTGATATTTATTTAAAAAGCTATATAGAAAAGGTTAGTATATATATATAAATATGTTTATATAATTAAGGATTTAATGATTAAATATATTGCAAAAGATTAGAGATTGCTTTTTAAATGGAAAATGATTGGTATGGGTGGCGCCAAAATCAAAAATAAAAATTACCTCCAAAATTTGAAATTGAATATTCACAGTGTTAGCGCCAAAATCACATAGAAATAAAATCAAAAATATCTGCTCCCTCAGATGATTGGAGATAATACTCGCTTTGGAACAAGGGAGAGAACCCACACAATCAACTTAATATTACCTGGTTCACATCATAAAATTTTAAATGGTAATTTATTGGAATTTGATGATTTAAAATTTTTTGATAATCTAGCCTGTATGGTTCAAAATTATTGAAATCAAATAAGTTATATTTTGTTAAGAAAAGATGTTCATTCACACACTATGTTTTAATTAAACATTCATTCAAATCTAAGAATTAACATTTAAATTATTAATTATTTGATTGTATTATTTTATAAGAATTTTATCACTTTTTTTTGTTATGATAAAAAAATCAGAAAAAATATGAAAGGTGGAGGTGACACCAAAAAAAAACATGAAAACATTAAAATCGATCGATTTTTGATTTGTTTTGCAAAAAGTCAAAGATTATATATCGGAAGTTTTAATATATAGATTAAATACATATAATATATTTATATAAATATAAATAAAGTTAATTTATGAATTATCATAATAGTAATAATAAATTAAATAAGCATCAATCATCATTTTGTTCAAATAGTAGTATTCATTGTAAAGAGTTGATTAACAATTGTAAAGGCAGTTCACTTTTACTGGGGTCTTAGAGAAAAACAAAAAAAAATAGTTACAATTAAAAAAAAAACAAAGATATTTAGAAGGTTTTTAGTAAAAAAAATAATAGTTTCAATGAAAGCAGGTGTAAAAGTAATGTCAAATGGTGGTGGCTATACCAATCCTTCAGTGATGATATGGACACCGACCGATAAGAAATACAGTTTCAATCTTGGCAATGGAATACACCGTCAGACGATGACACTCAGTACCAAGGTTTACGATGCCAACACTGTGTTTCTCACACACATCGATCCCTCGACAATGGCTGATTTTCCTAACTATCTCCTCAGAAATCGTTATGATTTCGCGGTGGTCGGACCGGTAAATACCACCCAAGCGATACTCGCTCATCGTTACTACGTCGGACGTAGAAACAAAACGATTAACGTCACTGAATGTACCAATGACATTGTGTTGTCCGATGGTTATCTAACTGTCTATCCAGTTGTAATCGAGCCTGCAACAGTTAGCATCAACAACAATTGTGGTGACGTCGACCAATCAATGGAATTGGAAAGAGTTAAGCTTCCATTTATTCATGCTTTTAACAAGCCATTGACAGATAACTCTACATTCAAGGCTGCTTTGTCGATGGAGATGAAATCTTTCTACGATTGGACAGTGTTGCGTGGTGGTCTGTTGCATTTCGGCAGTGGTCATCCAACGATCACCACAGAGGAGATTGAAAAGTATATGATTTACAAAATGATGAAGATAACTGACAATCTGGTCGGTGATTTCAAAGCTTATCGACCAGAGAATTACAAGCAAATCAAAGAGTATATCAGAGATCCTTTCAAGTTTCACGAGGTCGCCCCTGATACCGAGGAGTTTTGGGCGTTGGAATCCAGGCATTTCCGATTGATTACAAGAGTTTCCAATTTGTGTAATCTGACTCCAGAGGTGAAGAAAAAGATTGTTCAGGAGCGTGGAAAGGTGTTTACAACCGATAAACACTACGGACCGATTCGTTCGCAAACTCACAGTTTCCTGGACGTGAAGCGCGACGCCGCCACCGGAATGGGTGAGGTCGTTTGCTATGTCTGTCACTTGCCCGATATCATAGGAAAGTTTGACAACAAGAAAGCCGATGAGCTTGGTGTTGTCGGTCCACTCAGATCCAAGTTGTGCAAGGGTGAATCGATTGTCAATGCCAAAGGTGTAACCGTGCATCCAAGTGATGTGCTGTCGCCTAGTACTGTTGGTCCTGTTATTATGGTTCTGGCATGTCCATCAATTCACTATCTCGATAGCTTGATATCGAATCCGACTCTATTGAAGTACAGCGCAAGTGAAAACAGTGGTTGCATTGTTCATATGATTCCAGAGTCACTGGCTGCCACACCTCAATATTGTGCGTTTATCGCCAAATTCTCGAGCAACTGGCAACATTTGGTTTTGAATGAAAGTTGCTCCTACAATGAACTGCTCGTCAAGTCCGCTCAAATGACCAACGGTTTGAATAAAGTTGCACCGAACTACTTCCCAGCGCTGTCGCCACTCTGTCCTGCCAAGCCACTTCCAGAGCAACTGGCGTCACTCTCCAATGTCCACAGAGGAAGATACCAACAATGTGTCGTATTGAATCCACTGCCAGCCAATAAATGCCCTCTTATTGACAACAGTAAATGCACTGAAGATGTAGATTTGGATTTCTCATTCGAAGTACAATCTCCAAGAAATGGTTCTGTCACTGAGCTCACACCATTCGAACAGAAAACTGAATCAATGCTTGATTCTCTCACCGAAGAAGATATGGAAATGGTTTTCTTTGGTACAGGTTGTTCACAAGCATCTGAGTTTAGAGATGGTATGTAAATAACAATGATGCTTTTATTTTAAAGAACAAATTACATTTATTAATTGTTATTTTTTTTCTTTTTATTAGAATCATGTATTTATTTAGATTTGTTTGAAAAAGGTGGTATTATGTTGGATGTAGGTGGTGGAAGTTACTCTCAAATGTACAGAAAATATGGTCCTGAATTGGTTAAAAAGGTAAGTGGAATGGATGAATCATACAAGTTTAATATATCTAACACCTCTTATTATTATTTATAATATTAGAAACTTTCCAAGTTGAAATTTGTTTATTTATCACATTTACATACGGATCATCATCAAGGTTTATTCAAGATTGTGGAGATGCGACATCGTGCAATGGAGGAGTTGTGCATTCCAGAGGATCAAAGAACTCTTTGCATTCTGACACCACCCAACGGAAATTTCTATATGAAGGATATCGAGCTGTCCCTCACCCTCGGTAAGAATATGTGGAAGTATCTCGAGTTTTACGATTCCAACAATTTCGACAACTCCAACAATCAACGAATGCTAAAGTTCCTTGATGACCAAATGCTGCTCAACGTTGTGCAAACCATTCCTGTGGTCCACAATTTTGCTGCCACCGGTATCGTTATCAAGAGCAGACAAGGCTGGTCTGTAGGTTACTCTGGTGACACTGCATTCTGTGAACGTCTTGCAACTCTTCCGGTCTGTCAAGATCTCACTGTTCTGATTCACGAAGCTACGTTCCAAGATCACCAACCGGAGCTCGCCAAGAAAAAGAGTCACTCTACTTTCTCGGATGCAGTCAAGACTGCCAAGCAATCCAATGCCTACACAACTATACTCACTCATTTCAGCCAACGTTATCCAAGACTCGATACTTTGGTATCAAATTCCGATCACACTAAAGTTGCACTTGCATTCGACTTTATGTCCATCAATCTAAAGAATCTCGTTGGATTACCGAAAGCACTTGCTTCACTCAAGATTGATCCAAATGATGATGAGGAAATGGAAGTTGGTTTTGAGTAGATCAAAAACATAACAATAAAAATCAACTTTTAATAATGGCATTAACCCAAACAGTTTAAATCACACGCACTTCGAAGGTGGGTTGGTCGAATGACCACCAAAATATAATCGTGAATTTAATATGGTTGAATTTTTTTTATTTTTTTTATATTAACTTTTACTTTGTTTTATTACTTTTAGTTTTACTATTTAATAGTATTTATCATTGAATGGAATTAAACAACTCTAAAAATTTTTTGGTGGTTTATTTTTACCCCAAGTTTATCAGCTTTGAATTTAATTCCCAAAATGATCAAAATTCACATTCTTAATTTTTTATGTTGTATTAACAATAGTTTAATAGATAGTCAAAGTAGAGTTAAAGATGGTATCAAATTTAGATTTAAAGAATAAATTTGTTTTTAAAACATTAGGTGATGTAGATTTTGAAACAATTATTTATGTTTGTTTCAAAAAGTCTTTTTTTGACTATAATGTCAATTTCCAAGCACTTGACTCAAAGTACTTTGAAAATAGATGGAGAGTTGGTATGGCTGATTACAAGGCATCTGTAGGATCATTCAATATCGAAACAAATGAATTGGTAGGAATTGTTATATGGGGTATTGATTATGATAAAAATGGGCAAAGAGTTGCATATAACATTACAACAGGTAATGATAGATATTTTTTATTACCAATCTTTTTAAATAACAATTATTAACTATTCTTTTTTTTTTTAAATAATAGGAGTTATGCCAGAGTATCGTAGAATTGGATTAGCATATGGAATGATTCAATATTCAATCAATATGCTAAAGAATCAACCTTATAAATTAGATAAACTATCTTTGGAAGTCATTACAGCCAATGAGCGAGCTGTCAAGTGCTATGAGAAATGTGGATTCAAAATTGATAGAAATCTGGTGATCTACTCAGGAATACTAACAGCTATAGAACAAAAACCAGAAGATCAAATGAGTTCTGGTAATAAAGTGTTGGTATTAAAAGGAAAAGATATTTCAATTGAAAAACTCTCACCAAAACCATTATGTGAAAGTCCATGGGAATTCCAAGCCAAATGTTTGATGACAGACCTTGAAAATCTCGAGTGTTGGTCGTTGATCGATGAAAACACAGAAGGTAAAGAGCCTGGTAGAACCTATCTTTTAATATATGGACCAAGAAATTTTGTTGAATATGCTCATTTCGAATCAGTGGAAAAAGGAATTACACTAATGAACCAACTTTCATTAAAGTATCAAAATATTATGTCTTTGATTCAAGAGGAAGAAGAAATTGTCATATCTGTCTTCAAACATTTCAATCTTGCTATCAAACTACATGAATACGAAATGTCCAGACCAATCGATCTTTAAAAAACTAAACAAAATTTTTCACTATAATTAATAATAAAATTTTAAAATGTTGTTTTAGAATTTCAAAAGAATCTAAATAACTAGTTATTCAAAAATATAATGTTGAATTCTTCTTTAAAGATTTATTCTGTTAAGAAACAGAAAAAAAAGTTAATTTTGTGCTTTTAATTGTTTTTTTAGAAAAATTTAACAAATGAACAACCCTCCCCAAAAATGAAAAAATTTTGCATAGATTTTGCAAAAATAATGCGAGAATACTAAAAAAGCTGTGAAAAAAGAAACCCAACCTATAAAATGAAATAAAACATGACAATATAGAAAATATGATAAATAGTAATACACGATATATATCTATTAGATCTTTAAATGACACTAAAAATATTAAATTAATTGTGTAATTTCATTTTATAGGGGAGGATAAAATCTATTAAATGAATTTTTAAAAAAATTATAAATATATATATATCAGTTAAATTTTCCTCTAATTTTGAATCTTTATATTGATTACGTTTCACTTTAATTTCACTAAGTATATTAGTGACTTCAATACTCTGGCTATTCATTTTTAATGAGGCACCCTTTAACCCAAAAAAAAAAAGTTTATTTAACCAAAAAAAAAATATAATTTATTCCATCCTTTAGTTCAAAAAATTTTTCATCTTCTTTTTGTTATTAATAATATCTTTTTTATAAATAGAGAAATACATAAAATAGATGGAAAGAATTTTAGATATAAAGAAAAAATTTGTATATAAAACATTAGGTGATGTGGATTTTGATACTATTTGTGTTTGTTTCAAAAAAGCTTTTATTGACTATAATGTCAATTTCCAAGCACTTGACTCAAAGTATTTCGAAAATAGATGGAGAGTTGGGATGACAGATTACAAGGCATCTGTAGGATCATTCAAAATTGAAACTAATGAATTGGTAGGAATTAGTTTATGGGGCGTTGATTATAATAAAAATGGAGAAAGAGCAGCATATAACCTTATTTCAGGTCATGATAGATATTTTTTCTAATCTTTATTCAACAATTAATATCTTGTTTTTTTAAAAAAAAGGAGTTCTTCCAGAGTATCGTAGATTTGGATTTGGAGAGGGAATGATGGAATATTCAATTAATCTACTAAAGAATGAACCATTCAAAATAGATAAGTTGGGATTGGAGGTAGTTAGTACGAATGAAAGAGCTGTTAAGATCATTGAAAAATTTGGATTCAAAATAGATAGAAATCTAGTAGTTTACTCAGGAACTTTAAAAGCTATTAAGCCAAAGCGGGATCATCAAATCGTTTCAAGAGGTAATAAAGTTTTAGTATTAAAAGGAAAAGAGATTTTAATTGACAAACTCTCACCAAAACCATTATGTGAAAGTCCTTGGGAATATCAAACAAAGTTATTAATCACTGACCCAGAAAATCTCGAGTGTTGGTCGTTGATCGATGAAAACACAGAAAGTAAAGAGCCTGGTAGTACCTATCTTTTAATATATGGACCAAGAAATTTTGTTGAATATGCTCATTTCGAATCAGTGGAAAAAGGAATTACACTAATGAACCAACTTTCATTAAAGTATCAAAATATTATATCTTTTCTCCAAGAGGAAGAAGAAATTGTCATCTCTGTCTTCAAACATTTCAATCTTACTCTCAAATTTCAAGAATTCGAAATGTCCAGACCAATAGATCTTGGAATAAAACAAAACAAAATCTTTAATTTCAATGATAGAATATATTCTAAATTATAAGAAAATAGTAGTTTATTGTTATCAATAAAAAGATTAGTCAAATCTTTAAAATTTAAATATATTCAACCTCTAAATAAACTATTACATATGACAAGTTACAAAAATATAATAAATAAATCTTTAAAATTCTTCTTGCTTCTATAGATTTATTGATATTCCCCAATCAAAAAGAAGAAGTAAAGTGGTAGGAATAAAATTTAATATTTAAGTTCATTTTTTTTTATGTGTTTATTATTACTTTTAAATGAAATTGATAAATTAATTACATTCCAATTTAATATCAATTCTTTAAAGATGTTAAACAAGTTCAATAACAAAAGTATTATTATTTTAGTTTTTCTTTTCTTATTTTGCAGTATCTACTATGTTGACTGTGTGTATTGTGCTGAACAAGAGGAACAACAATGCAATACCTATTACACAATTAAAATGACAAAACTAAACGTCAATGCAATTGTAAGGGGAGAGATAAGAGGAACCGCTTGTTTAGTTCAGCTACCTAAATATCCACCAACCGTTGTCTACCGTTTCGACAATGCTCAATTCACGGATATCGATGAAAGTTGGGTTGGCCAGAGAATTCCTGTTCAAATCGAGGTGTATTCCTACAACACCAAAGTAAAGAGTGAAAGTGTTGTCATTACATTAAGTTCACTTAATAAAATTACAGATCTTCAAGTTGATTACTATGCATAAAATCAAAAAAAAAATTCAAAAGAATTTTCAAAAAAATAAACTAATCACCGACAAAAAAAAAAAAAAAATCATTTTTAAAAATAAATTTGTTGTTATTGGTTGAAAAACTGTTTGTTTGTTCGCAACGGTTGCTAAATTTAAACTTTCTCAGAGAACCATTTTATTAATGTATTATTATTGATTATTTAAAATAAAAATATATAATCTAAATAAGATAGAAGAAGGAGTATTAATTTAAAAGTAAAAAAGTACATTTGAACTTAAAAGAAGAATCCAATATTAACTAGAATTGATTGATTTTCAAAAAAGAAAGGTATTTATTCATTCATTCATTCATTCACTCATTCTTTAATTACTATCATTCTATTGCTGTTGCTGTTTTGATTCTCATTCATAAGACAATTGTTGCTGCGGCTGTGCTGTTGTTATAGAGATAAATTCATATATCCATAATTATAAGAGATCGATTGCATTCAGTTCCTTTTTTAAAAAAAAAAAAAACATTCATTTTTTTGTTTTTTTTTTTTTTTTAATTTTTTTTTGGTTTATTTTTGTTTGAAAACCAGGTTGTGACCCGACACAAAACCTCCAACAAAACTTTGGTGAAAAGTGTGCAAAAAATTAGTTAATAACTTTCACTCTCACCCTCACACCATTAACACAATTCAAACATTATAATTTACACTATCAGAAAATATTTTGTTTACAGGGTGACAAGATAGACAGATTTTTTTATTATATATTATTGTTATTTATCAACGATTATTCGTACTTATTGTGTTTAATCATCAATCATCATACAAATACAAACAATAAATATATATAGTAAATATAATATTTTATTAATTTATTACAAATAATAAGAATATATAATTTATATATTTTATAAAATCTTATAGATTTCTATAAATATTATTTATATATTTAAGAATAATTTTTAATAACTAATAAATCTAATCTACTTTCAGATTTCTATCAATTTAAGATTCTTTTTAGTTTAAATAGTAATAATAATCATAATCAGTTATCAATAGAAAAGAATAGAATAGATAGGATAGTAGTAGTAGTAGTATGTTAGTTTGTTTGATTGGTATGAGATTGCGTACATTATAGTAGAACTTGGTTCCATGTCATTCAATAACAGTAGCAATAGTGTACCGCATGAAAGATCATATCTTTTGAATTCAAATTCATCGACTTCCAACTCTGCGATTTCAACTTCATTCGATAATATCAGTAATCATCATCACCTTTTGCATAGCAGTGGTAATAATATAGCTATATCTTTATCAAATAGTGGAAGTAATATAAATAACAACAATAACAATCCAACAACATTAATATCATCACCTATTATTTTATCACATAAAATGGATAGTATTAATAATATTAATAATAATAGTAATAGTAATAGTAATAATAGTGGTAATGGTAATAGTATAAGTAATAATAGTGGTAATGGTAATAGTATAAGTAATAATAGTAATATTCAATTTAATACATATAATACATTTTCAGAGAATGGTGCTGGTGGTGTGACATCTCCCTATGGCCTATCGAACAGTTCGAATCCACTGATGGTTGGAGTCGGCTATGAGAATAACGATGAGGAACAGATTCACGAAGATGACTACGATGGCGATGAGAACAATGCCATATTGACAGCAGGTTCACTATCGAGCAGCAGCAACAACATTCTCTCAAAAAGAAACAAGAAACTAGAGAAGCAACAACTACTGATGACTCCACCCGCCGATTTAGATCATCACAATAATCATCATCATCATATAAGTGGATCACCAAAACCAAGAGTAACATTAAATCAATTACAACAACAAAATAAGAAACAGCAGAATGGAAATAATAGTTTAAATAATAGTAGTAATAATAATAATCACATTAATAATAATAATAATAATAATAATAAGAATGGATTATCTGTTTCATCACAAATATTTACATCAGTACCATTGAATTCACCAAATGTTTTACATAATTCAATTGGTGGCGGTGGTGGTGGTGGACAACATCATTATCAGAATGGTGCCAACCACAATAACAACAATAATAATATATCACCACAATCACCTTTATATATTCACAGACAACACTCTTCACAGATAAACGAGCAATACCTTTCGATTCTTGGTGCCTCACAGAACGTTGTCATCAAGAAGAAACGTGCTGCTATCGATCTCAAACTTGGCCGTAAATGGCTAACCAACATCATTGTCGTCCAAATGGTCGGCAACCTCATAAGAGCACTTCCAATATTTATTTTAGAGAAATACTATGTTATGTTATTAATATTTTTCCAAGGTAAGTAAATACTTTTAATATTTTTAACTAGATTAAACTAAACTAACAAACTAATTCTATTATTTAGCTATATTTCTATTATTAGGTTCATATGGTGTAAAGAAATTAAAGAAATATCTGATACTTTTATATGCAATGGGATGTTTCTCTACGACTATTTTGGATTTAGTTATTACTTTTACGTATGCACACAGTCTCAGTGAGCGGCCTTTCAAGGAGATTCAATTTGCTTTCTGGTCGTACGTGCTCTTTGTAACATTACTTTGTACTCTTAATATTGTGGGTGGAATATTGTTTGGTTTGAAGATATTTGTTAGTTTACACACTCTGGACGATCGAACTAGCAGTCCGTTGGTGTTGCTCGCCGCAAGTCTGGTCGGAAGTTTCGACTCGCACGAAGACGACGAAAACGCTTCGAATGCCGCTAAAATGAATAGGACGATCTTGTTCTACGGTTCCGATCTAAAGAAGGCGTTGAACGTCACAATGAGTCTTCAGTGGAATCTGGCGGTGTTTGACGTGCTACGCGAGTGGGGACAGTGGATCAAGCAAAAGTTTACGAAATATGAGAATCGACCGACCTCCTCGATTCCTGCGGACTACCAGGTCAATGTGCAGCGATACGCGAGCAACGAGGTTATCACATCAAAGTACAATGTCGTTACTTTCTTGCCAAAAGTAATCTTCTTCCAGTTTAGTCGTCTCGCTAATCTCTATACACTGTGCATCGTGGTTCTGAGTATGTTTTCATTCTCGCCGGTCGGTCCTATCTCGTCGGTGACACCGCTGCTCGTTGTCATCTCTGTCAGTTGCTTCAAGGAGTTGGCAGAGGATATCAAGCGTCATCGTCAGGACAAAGAGATCAACAATCGAAAGTCAATGTGTTACCGTCCACCCGATTACATCGGTGGCAAAGGAACGTTTGTCGAGCTAGCATGGAGGGATATCAAAGTCGGTGACATCATCATGGTGAAAGGCGAAGAACTACTGCCTGCCGACATTGTTTGTCTATCGACATCGAGACCCGACGGCAGAACCTATTTGGAAACAGCCAATCTAGATGGTGAGACCAATCTCAAGTTGAAAACAAACATATCGAAAACCAGTTGGATTCGCTCAGCTGAAGATCTTGATAAATTCTCATGTCGTGTCGATTATGAAGGTCCAAACAATGATATCTATGGATTCGAAGGTGTATTAACAGTACTTAAAGGAATGGAAAACTCTAGTAATTTAGGTCAATCAACTTTAGTTGGTAAGTTTAGTTTTAAGTATTATGGCTAGTTTATTTTATAATATTAATATATATATGTTATATTTATCATATGCAGGTCAAAACAATTTCTGTCCAATTACAATTGAATCATTGTTGTTGAGAGGTACAAAGTTGAGAAATACAGAATGGGTTATTGGTATAGTTACATACACAGGTGTCGATACTAAAGTGGAAAAGAACAGTACAAAGAGTAGTCAAAAGAGAAGTTCTGTCGAGAGAGGTGTAAATAATAAGTTGATTATCCTCTTCCTCATGCAGACTATCATTTGTATTATATGCTCGATTGGACACAACCAATGGAATATAGAAACACAAGAGAGTTTTGAATCGCTGTGGTATCTCGATGTACAGCCAGGTGAAAAGGATTTCATCTATGTCAGTTATATTATCCTTTACAACACACTGATTCCACTCTCTATGTATGTCTCGATGGAGGTTATCAGAATTTCGAATGCTCATTTCATTGACAGTGACCTCGAGATGTACGACGAGAAGACAGACACTCCTGCACAAGCCAGAAACACAAATATCAACGAGGAACTCGGTCAAATACAATATCTATTCTCAGACAAGACTGGAACACTCACTTGCAATGAGATGGTATTCAATCGTTGTACCATTGGTGGAACAGTGTATGGACCTGACGAAGATATTCACTTGCAACTCAACAATGACTTGGCCAATGAAGACGTCCGTTCTAGCTATGTCCGTGAGTTCCTCACTTGTCTAGCGGTTTGCAATACCGTTGTCATCGAGAAGTCAAAGGAAGGTGCCGATTTGAATTACGATCCCAAGTGCTATCCAAAGTATCAGGCTGCATCGCCCGACGAAGAAGCACTTACCATTGCAGCTGCTAAGTTTGGATTCGTGCTGAAGTCGCGTGAAGACAATGTCATTACCATTGCAGTCGATGGTCACGAGGAGCGTTATGAACTACTCAATGTTTTGGAATTCAACAGTTACAGAAAGAGAATGTCGGTCATCGTTAGAACTGAAAGTGGACAGATCAAACTGTATTCAAAGGGTGCAGATTCAGTGATTATGGAGCGATCCGAGAAGAGTACAGCGATTCCGGGTGTCGATGTTCACAAGGCAACAGAGACACACATCAGTCAATTCGCATCGAATGGTTTGAGAACTTTGTGTATGTCGGTTGTTGTACTCGATGCCGAGGCATACTTGACTTGGAACAGAAAGTTCGAGGAGGCATCAGTTTCGCTGGTGAAGCGTGCTGAGATGATGGATCAAGCCGCCGATTTGATTGAGAAGAACATGACATTGCTTGGTGCAACCGGTATTGAAGATCGTCTTCAAGACTACGTACCGGAAACCGTCCAATCGCTAAGAGAAGCCGGTGTAAAGATATGGGTGTTGACTGGTGATAAGCAAGAGACTGCCATCTCCATTGCCACTGCATCGTCGGTCATCCACAACGGCATGGAAATTGTCATCCTCAATGAAAATACAAAGGAGGATCTATTGAAACGATTGCTGAGCTTGGTCAGTCAAAAGAGAATAGTAAGCTTCAACGATAGTCGACGTTGGGGACCACAGCTTTTCGGTAAGCTGGCATCGACACTCAAACTGGATCCGTCGGATGCTCCGCTCATCTTGAACCGTACCGGTGAAATGCAAGTACAAATGGCGATTGTTATCGATGGATCGACTCTCCAACTTGCACTCGACAAAGACCTGAGATATCATTTCTTGCAAGTCGCTAAAACCGCAGAATCCGTAGTTTGTTGCCGTTGCTCACCTTCACAGAAAGCCAAAGTTGTAAAACTGGTTGCCGAACGTTCGTTCTTGTTTGGCGATGGTGCAATCACTATGGCTATTGGTGACGGTGCCAACGATGTACCAATGATTCAAAAGGCGCATGTAGGTGTCGGTATCTCTGGTCGTGAGGGTATGCAAGCCGTTTTGGCAAGTGACTTTGCAATTGCCAACTTCCACATGTTGCGTAGACTGCTGCTGGTACACGGTAATCGTAGCTACAAGAGAATGACCAAGCTGATTCTCTACTCGTTCTCCAAGAACGTCGCTCTATCGATCTCACAATTTTGGTTTGGATTCTACTCGGCGTTCAGTGGTCAGATGATCTACTTTGATTTCCTTTTCACCCTTTACAATGCTTTGTTCACCTCGCTACCTGTGCTCTCGCTCGGAACATTCGACCAAGACATCAGGGAGGAATCACTCCTCTCTGAACCGACCAACTACCGTGTCTGCCAATCGAATAAGCCATTCTCGATGTGGTCATTCATCTACTGGATCTTCTTGGGTATGTGGCAATCGGCTATCATTTTCTTTGTTACATTTTTCGTTCTTCAAGACGCCACTGTCCAAGGTGGAAAAACACTTGGACTGTGGTCGTGCGGTACCGCTGCCTACCTCTATCTCATTCTCACCACCAACATTCAGATCTCATCGATCACCTGCTACTGGACCAAACAAAGCTTCATTGCCGTCGGTGTCAGTATCGTTGCATCGGTCCTCTTTGTCATACTCTACAGTTTGGTCTACTGGATCGAGCCAGAGGCACAAGACATCATTTTCGAACTCTTCACAGTACCGGATTTCTGGTTCCTCTATATCATCGTACCTTGTATTTCAATGTTACCGTTTGCATTGGTAACAGTCAATAATTGGATGTTCTCAAAAAACAGTGAACGCTACTACTCTGAGAAAGATGGTTTCATCAAACTCGATGCAGAAAAGAACTCCAAGAAATAAATAACACATATATATATATAAAAAAAATCAACATAAAACACAAACTTGGTCAAACCGATAGATCGATTAATGTTTAAACAATACATTACATCTCACCTACTTTTTTTATTCAATATCTGTTATATTACAAATCTTAATAATTTATTTTATTAGATCAATAAAGAAATAATTTAGATGCTTTGCTAAACATAAGTCTTTTCAACTAATCTATCATTTCATGTGCTTGTTTATCTAGCAAGACGACTGATCAGTTGATTGATTTAATCAAATAAAATTCAAACATTAAAAAAATTTTTTTTTTTTTTTTTTTTTTTTTTGTGATGTGTGTGACCAAAGATATATTTAATATAATGGTTTTTTACATTTTTTTTTTGTTTTAGCAATTTAAGATGGTGTCATTGTAAACCAGGCACCAAATTTTTGCACCACATCGTTCCCAACTCAGAAATCTAGATATTTTATTGAATTTTTTTGCTTTTTTGAACTGTTTTTTTTTTTGGTTCTAAATTTCAACAATGCTGACTACTATATGAATTGGCTGCCACAAACCAATTTACGATTTCCATTTATAAACCAATATATAGATAGATAGATAAAAAAATGATTAAATTACTCTTATCATTTTTATTGTTAATCGGTTTGGTTGCCGCACAATCAGTACAATTCCAAGCAGACATAAGTGTATTGTATTAATATTTTCAATTTTGAATGTAGTGGATATCTAATTAATTAACGAATATGGTGATTGAATCATTATACTTTAATTTATTTTATATAGAATAGAACAGAATGGGATCATTATTGGGAAAGATGTGTTGGAAGTGGTCATGCTTGGTTAGGTACTCGTCAGGATTGGAGAGATGCCTTAAAGATTGCTCGTGAAAAGCTTGGATTTGAACGTGTTCGTTTCCATGGTATCTTTGATGACGATATGAATATTTACAATGTAGATTCCAACGGTACTGCTATTTACAATTGGTATAATCTTGATTATGTTTACGATTATATTGTCAGTCTTGGTATGGCTCCATACGTTGAACTAAGCTTTATGCCAACCGCAATGGCATCGGGTAATGCAACTATCTTCCATTACAAAGGAAATATCACTCCACCAAAAGATTACTCATTGTGGGCTGATCTCATCACCAATTTCTTGGAACATTATATTGGTAGATACGGGTTGGATATTGTTAAAGGTTGGTTCTTTGAAACTTGGAATGAGTATGTAGTTTAATTATATTTATTTAGATACATATGTATATTAATTTATTTTTAAAATGATTCTATTGTTTAGACCCAATTGTGGTTTCTGGTCAGGTACTATCCCAGAGTATTTCCAACTCCTACAGGTTACCTCTGATGCAGTGAAAGCTGTCCACCCAGATTTGATGGTTGGAGGTCCAGCCACTTGCCAATCTCAATATCTTCCAGAGACTTTAGAGTTTGTTAAAGCCAATAATGTTGCACTTGACTTTATTTCGACTCACGAATATCCAACTGACATTGAACCAGTCACCCGTAATGTAATGTTTAACGTTCTCACCAAATCGCGTGATATTGTTGGTCCAGATATGCCATTGATCTATTCTGAATACAACGATGGTTTGTATGCTCAATCGATGCATGACAATATCTATGCTTCTGCTTTTGCCGTATTCAACATTATCGATGTCTATGGAATTGCTGATATTTTCTCATGGTGGACATTCTCTGATGTTTTCGAGGAACAAGGTCAACAATCTCAAATTTTCAATCAAGTTTGTATTCTCATTACAAATTACAATTTAGTCAACTTACTTATTATTATTTAATCAATCTTTAGGGATTTGGTTTGCAAACAATTTATAACATTCCAAAACCATCATTTAAAGCATTTGAATTACTTCATGAGACTGGTGATGAAAGAGCATCAGTCACTGGAGATATCAATCATCCAACCGCTGGTATTCTTGTAACTCATCGTCATGATGAAATAATGGTATTAGTTTACAATCACAATATTCCAGGTGCACCAATCTCCACCGAAACCATTTCTATTACTTTGGATAACGTTCCATCGACTCGTCAAGCTCAAGCTACTCTTCGTCGTATCGATGAGTACAATTGCAATCCATATGCTACATGGCAAGAGATGGGATCACCATGGTATCCAACTGAGAAACAACTTGAACAACTATATCTATCGGCTTCATTCAACGAAACATCAATTTCATACACTCAATCATCAGCTACATCAATTCAATTCCAACTTCCAATTCCACCACAAGGTGTTGCAGCTATTAAATTGAAAATCTAAATAAATAACTGAAGTACTATTTTTTTTTCACAAACAACATATATTTTTATTTTAGAATCTTAGGTTTTACACAATCCAAAAAAATTACTATAGTAATTTAAACTTAAAAATTAATATAAAATGAAACTGGCTCCCAACCACTTTCACCTGCTCATTAATTTTAAAAAAAATGTAAAAATTAAAAATAGAGAGGTTAATATGATCGGAGTGGTTTTTTTTATTTTATTTGGTTTATGGTTACAAGAAAGAGCCAGTTTTGTTTTTAATTTCAATGATTTTTTTTGTTGGAATTAATCTTTTAGAATATGTTTTGAAGCAAAACACGCACACACATAATAAATTATCAATAAATGAAATTAATCAGTGTTGTAACAAAGAAATGATGAATAATAAAACATTAAATCTCTTTGAAAGATTACCATTTTTCGTATTAAATAAAATAGTTGGTCAACTAAAAGAAAATATCGATAAAGTATGTTTTAGTTTGATTTGTAAACGTTTGTATAATGAACGTAATAGATATCTATACATACCTCTGGATATGTCAGATGATAGATCGAGATGGATGATCAGCAATCTCAAATTGAACTCATACGCGAATCAAATAGAGACATACGATCATTTCGATGATGAACATTATAAGATCACCAAATTCCAATGTTTCGATAGTAAAGAAAGTTTGTCTACTTTCTACAAGAAATCATTGGGTACTGATTCTTCACCAAGGTTCTCTAATTGGATATTGAAAGGTAAATAGATAAAATCAATATATAATATATTAGTTACTAATCAACCATCTACATAGAATATCTACCAAACTTAGAAAATGATAATGTTGACATAAAGTCTTTGGTTGTGAATTACAACTTTCAAGGCAATATATGTGAAATCCCATGTGTAAAGAGAGTCGATACGCTTTTATTTATATACCCATGCGAAACCATTGATTATAGATTGCCAGACAACATCAAGCAAATGGTGATTCCCTTTCAAGATCAAGAGCATTGCTTTGGAGAAAATGCATGTCTTCCCAGGCAGTTGGATTTCCTAGCGATTAAATGCAATCAAAAGATTCAAAAGCACTTCTTGCCAAGTTCACTCTCGAATTTGAATTTGTTTTCACATGATTTCAACCATCCAATCGACAGAGATGTACTTCCTGACGGATTGAAACATCTAACTTTGATAGCAGGCCATTACGCTCACCCAATACTCAAAGGAGTACTACCGACCAGTCTGAAAAGCTTGACTCTTTCATCGTACAGTGGTAATCTGGTGTTCTATGATCCATTAACATTGAATCATCATGATGATAACAATAACAATAATAATAACAACAACAACTACGACAACAACAACGATAACCACAACAATACCTACATTCCCAATACTCTTGAAAAGCTAATGATTGGAACACCGCCAGCTTTGATGGACACGAAATTCAATGAAATATTATCAAGCAATTTGAAAACTATTGGTTTCTTAACGAATTTCTCACAGTTTATCGATAACAATATGATACCACCGTCGGTCACCAAGTTGCATTTGAGTTCCTATCCACAGGCTGGACAGCCATTGGTTATACCGAGTGGAATCCGACATCTCAAGATATCAGTGCTGCAATCGATGATTCCCAGAGATTCAATACCAGACTCGTTGGAGAAACTATCGATTCTACGTCTCAATCATCAAAATAGCGGTGGTTCTCTCTTTCAATCGGTGCTAACACCGACTTTTAAATCAGAGAATAGCACGATCGTTACACCATTCGAATGCATTACACCATCGATCAGGAGTATCAAGCTACCGCTGTTGTACTGTCTGCATTCCGATTTGAATGATATACCGAGCAACATTCAGAATATAACATTTGTAGATTTCGCAATGGAGAAAATCTGTCTAAGACGATTGGATGACCAACAAAAGTTCTTGGTAATGACACCAATGAATCAAGGTGGAATCATTCTATCAATTTCGAAAATCATTGAAATGCTATCGAATCGATATCAAATTGAAAGAAATCAAAAAAATATTTGGAATATTGAGTAACAATAACAAATGAATAGAATTAGAAATGGTTTTGGATTTTAATATTAGTGAAATAATGGATCTTCATCTCATTGATCATCATCAGAACCAACATAATAAACAACAAACAACGATGACTATATTTACAGTATAGCTATTTATAAAGCAATTCAAAAGGAATAATAAAATAGTCATTGACAAAAGTATTAATATCTTATGTTTTTTTTTTTTTTTATTTCTCAATTCAACATATAAATTAAATAATGTTGTCCGCTAAGGACAATAAAGTTAAATGAAATAAATAAGTAATGTCTCAATAAACAGATCCATTTTCAATTAAAAAATTAAATCTGTTGTTTCCAGAATAAGTTAATAATAATTCTGCTGTCAAGCTTCTCAATGTTTTATTGGCTGGAAAACTTGACGTTAAAAATTTAGTAATTTTTAATCAATCAAGGTATTTAGAGAAGAATAATATAGAATAAATAATCAATTCTTTTTAGGATAAAGAAATTTAATAATATATTTTATTTTTTAAGATTTTAATTTTATAAATAAATATTTGAATCAAAACTATTACTGAAATTTTTATTAGGAGAAACGGCATGGTAAAGAGAGGAAACCGGCATATCGACGAGAGGAGACCGGCATAGTGACGAGAGGAAACCGGCATTGTTACTAGAGGAGACCGGCGAGTCAACTGGCATAGTGACGAGAGGAAACCGGCATAGTAACGAGGGGAGACCGGCGAGTCAACCGGCATAGTAACGAGAGAAAACCGGCATAACTACGAGAGGAAACCGGCATAACTACGAGAGGAAACCGGCATAACGACGAGAGGAAACAGGCATAGTAACGAGAGGAGACCGGCATAGTAACGAGAGGAAACCGGCATAACTACGAGAGGAAACAGGCATAGTAACGAGAGGAGACCGGCATAATGACGAGAGGAAACCGGCATAACTACGAGAGGAAACCGGCATAACTACGAGAGGAAACCGGCATAACTACGAGAGGAAACCGGCATAATGACGAGAGGAAACCGGCATAGTAACGAGGGGAGACCGGCGAGTCAACCTGCATAGTGACGTGAGGAAACCGGCATAACTACGAGAGGAAACCGGCATAACGACGAGAGGAAACAGGCATAGTAACGAGAGGAGACCGGCATAGTAACGAGAGGAAACCGGCATAACTACGAGAGGAAACAGGCATAGTAACGAGAGGAGACCGGCATAATGACGAGAGGAAACCGGCATAACTACGAGAGGAAACCGGCATAACTACGAGAGGAAACCGGCATAACTACGAGAGGAAACCGGCATAATGACGAGAGGAAACCGGCATAGTAACGAGGGGAGACCGGCGAGTCAACCTGCATAGTGACGTGAGGAAACCGGCATAACTACGAGAGGAAACCGGCATAACGACGAGAGGAAACAGGCATAGTAACGAGAGGAGACCGGCATAGTAACGAGAGGAAACCGGCATAACTACGAGAGGAAACCGGCATAACTACGAGAGGAAACCGGCATAATGACGAGAGGAAACCGGCATAACTACGAGAGGAAACCGGCATAACTACGAGAGGAAACCGGCATAATGACGAGAGGAAACCGACATAGTGAAGAGAGGCAACTGGCATAACGACGAGAAGAAACCGGCATAATGACGAGAAGACCGGCATAGTGACGAGAGGAAACCGACATAGTAACGAGAGGAGACCGGCATAATGACGAGAAGACCGGCATAATGACGAGAAGACCGGCATAGTGACGAGAGGAAACCGACATAGTGAAGAGAGGCAACTGGCATAACGACGAGGAGACCGGTATAGTGACGAAAGGAGACCGGCATAACGACGAGAGCAAACAGGCATAGTAACGAGAGCAAACAGGCATAGTGACGAGAGGAGACCTGCATAGTGACGAGAGGAGACCGGCATAGTGACGAGAGGCAACTGGCATAACGATGAGAGGCAACCGGCATAGTGAAGAGAGGAGACCGGCATAACGATGAGAGGCAACCGTCATAGCAACGAGACATCACTCATAGTAAGGAGGCAACTGGCATTGGCAAGAGGACTTGGAAAAGAAGAAAGAGATAAAAGGAGATAAACAAAGAGTTAGTAAAACAAAGATATAAATAAGTTAAAGTTATAATTAATAGTTATTACTTACAAAATTATTTGTATTTGAAAAATAATTAAAAATGACAATGTGAATGAAATTATAGGTTTAAATAGTTTTAAATTTGATTCGTTTACTTACAGTTTGAACTCAAAAATGGCGGCAACCGTTAAGCGCCAATTAAAAGTATGAATTAATATTCAAATTTGAAATATAAATATTAAAATTAATTAAATAATTCATTTTATTATAATATAATATTCAAAAATAAAAAAACAGGCGATCATTACCAATGAAGAAACAACAAGCTTAATTTTCAATTTTATTAATTTATTGAATTTGCAACACCCCATTTTTATTTGACAAGTTCATATTTTTTTTTTTGTTGCAAAAATACAATAATATTGTTGTTTTTTGTTAAATATAATAATTGAAGAATATTATTATTGTGTAGAAAATTATAATTATTTATTTAAATTGTAAGATGATTCTATTGTATAATAGTAATTGATTGATTCGTGAAAACAATAATTACAGTAGTACTAGAATAGAAGTGATTTACTATAAAATGAAAATTTCAAATTGAATTGTATAGTTAGATTAAAGTGTTCAACTTATTCATCATTCTAAAAATCTCTTTCATAGTCATATTGATAATTCGTACTTCCAAAATTGTAAGTATTGATAGTTTGTACTCTTCAATTGAATAAAACCAAATTGAACGATTAAACTTTTTTCTTATCTGTATTATATTATTATTATGATTATCAAGATATTTCTATTATCACACTCATCTTAAGATTACTATTAGTTTGTTATTTTTTGAAGTTGAGATAAGGTGAAACATTAAATAACTTTAATGAAAATCAAAGGAATGTACACTTTTATTTTGATTATTTTCTAGTTTTTTTTTTTATTTAATTTTTTTAAACTAAGAATTATATAAATTATCTTTTATACTTTTAACAAATAAATTAATTTTAAATAAAAATTGAAAGTTTTAAGTAAAATTACTTTGTTTTAATTTTAAATATCAACTTGTTGTATTCATTGAATAAAATATTTATATAATATAGTAATCTTTCTTTTATGTAGAGATAAATATATTACCAAAATAAATTATATTTGATAGTTTATTTAAAAGTGAAACACAATTTAATTGATTTGATTCACGATTTATTGGAATTGAATGACAATGTCAAGTGTGGGTGGGTTCTGCATGGATGGTGTGTTTTTTTATTTTTATTTTTTTGCCAATCAAAAAAACATTCAACCCAAACTTTTAAATTTAAGACATCTTTTTAATTAAAAATTATTCTATTTAATTGAGAGTATCGGATAAAATGACGTTAATTATTTTCAAAATTTGGCGGTTTCTTATTATTATTGATTATTTTTAAATCTAATTTAAATATTAATATACTAGTAAATACTATTAATATCGAAATTTTGCTTTTCAATATAAGCAATATTCATATTAATTTGTTATTTCTAAGTAAGTTTTATTAATATCACAATATTATCAAGAAAAATATTGATCAAAACTAACATATTTCTTTCAAATTTCTATCAAATATAGTTTTAGATAGTGATCGTTAATAATAAAGAGATAGTTGATTTCTCATTTACTCTCTTCATTAAAAAATAAGAAATAAATTAATTTTAATTGTATTTAAAGAACTTATCTTTTTTATTTACTTTTTCATTTTATTATTGATAGTTTTCAATTATTGTCATAAAAATTGTTGTTTTGCCACTTACGCAATTGAAAGTGTTCAATCACTACTAGTGATTAGTGAAACCTTTTGAATAAACAAAAGAAATAATATCAGTATCATATCTATCTCCTTATACAATCAAAAACAATATTGTATTGAGAAAAAAAAAAAATTAAAAAAATAAATTGGGTGAAAAATTTCAAAATAAATCATGCATATGTCACAACAACTTCAAGATATAGATAGATAATTTTCCAATTACCAGCTATTCGTGGGAATTAGTTGGTATTTATTTTAAAAAGAAGGCTGAGCTCGATGATGAAGAAGATCGAATGAGTTTCTTTTATTACTTTATCCATGAATTCACTCGAGTCAAAAGGGAATTCGATGAACAACAGCAGCAACACAAACAACAACAACCACAACAAGATAATAATATTGTTAATTATAAGTCGCTGGAGGAAGTTATCCAAAGCTTTCCAATCAAAAGTTTATCACTGGATTTAGTAACAGTTTACAACCAAAAGAAACTCGAGATTAAAGATGAGTCAGATCGAAATCTGTTCCTTTTGTACTTTTCCAAAGAAAGATCTAGAATAGCCAGAGAACAAAAGCAACAACAACAATTACAACAGCAACAACAGCAACAGCAACAACAGCAATTACAACAGCAACAGCAACAGCAATTACAACAGCAACAACAGCAACAGCAGGAACAGCAATTACAACAGCAACCGCAATTACAACAGCAACAGCAGGAACAGCAACAACAGGAACAGCAACAACAGGAACAGCAACAACAGCAGCAACAGCAACAGCAACAACAAATTCAACAACAAAAGCAACAAGCAACTATAAAGAACAACAGTAACAATGATAACGATAATATAAAGTATAAGAAAAACAACAACAATAACACTAAATCGATAGGAAATCAAAATACCTATCAATTTAGAATTCCAGTTAATCAAAATAAAATAGATTACAATATTAATAATAACAATATAAACAAAATTGATTACATTCATAATATTAAATATTATATTCAAAACTACAAAATAAAAATCATTAACAGATCAAAACCAAACCAAAACACCTTCCAATTTAGAAGACCAACTAATTGGAAAGAGAACAACGACAACAAAATCATCAAAATCAACACCAACATTGACAACACTGCCAATTACATTTTAAACATTATTAACAATATCAAAAACAAACCAAAACCAAATAATAATACATATCAATTCAGAATACCCAGTAATAAAAAGTAAATAATAATTATAATAACAGGATGGAGTGGTGATCTGGATTCTAGGTTCTAGGTTTGGTGGTTCTGGTGATGGTACTGGTCGATGCATGGGTGGCAGGGTGGGCACGATCGAAGGATATTTGTTATGGTAATATATTTATTATTTATTTATTTACAATGTTGTTTATTTATAAATATTATATTATAATTTTTGTATATTTTATTAATAATAGTAGATCAATCTTAAAAGAGTCTGGTTTCTTGACTATATGGTGGTGGTACTGGTCGTTGCATGGGTGGCAGGGTGGGCACGATCGAAGGATAGTTGAAAAGGTAATATGTTATTATTAATTTATTTATTTATTTATTTATTTAAAATGTTGTTTATTTATAAATATTATATTGGTATATTATATGTAAAAAGTAGATCAATGTTAAAAGAATCTGGTTCTTTGGTCATGGTCTTGGCTATATGGTAGTGGTACTGGTCGTTGCATGGGCGGCAGGGTGGGCACGGCCGAAGGATCTTTGAAAAGGTAATATATTATTATTAATTTATTTTTTATTATTTATTTATTTTCAATGTTGTTTATTTATTAATATCATATTTGTATACTATATTAAGTAAAATTCAGGTTAACGAAGCTCTAGGTTTTTTGTAGGTCTATTAAATAATTTAGGAACGAATACAAATATGATTGAAATTAAATATAAATAAATTAATATAATTATAAAATTAATTTTAATTATTCTTGTATTCGTTCTTTATTTTTTTATTTATTATTTGTTTATATCTTTAATTAATACTAACAACTGACTACTTTGTTTTTTTTATTTATTCTATTTTCCAATATAACAATCAAGCTATTCCAAGTGATCCATTTCAATGGGTTCGTCCTTTTTTTTTCTTTCCAGGGTCTGGGATAACTGGGTGTCATTGCTTGTGATCCTTGCCTCTCTTATCAAGCGTGACGGCATGTCTCGATCAGTGAACCCACTGATGAGAGCCTAGTTATTAGAGAAACCTGGCGACCTGTACACCCGACCCGCCAGTTGGGGAGATTGTTGTGAGCGGTTGCCTGTGGACGGACGAAGCTGGGATGAGCGCACTTGCTTGCAGGTGGTCTTGCACATGGTAACCTCTGTGTTGATCTACAGTATGCATGGCGCTGGGTCAAGGGTAGGGAAACCTCCAACACATGTTACAGCTTCATATAGTCTGAAAGCAGGTGATACATACGCTGCTAGTCTGTCGCATCTTCGGGTGTGGCGACACAGAGCAGATGGAGGCGACATTCTCGGTACAGAAGGCAACGCCACAGCTATCACTTTCTTTGTTGCCTCTTCGAAGTTGTTTTATTTGCTTCGGCTTCTAACTCCGCTGTCGATTAGGAACAACAACAATTAAAGATGCTGCCGATGGTTTGTGGCAATAAATCCATCGGGGTCTCTAGGTGCCAGTAGACTCCACCTCCACGTGGTTGGCACCGGAAACTAATGGATCGATAAGATTTAAAAAAATTTTTTTTTTTTTTATATAGTAAAATATGTTTAAAATTAAAAAATATTTTCTTATCGATCCATGAGGCTGAGAGAGTCTAAATTTTAATCTTTGCAGCTTTCGATCGATCGATGTTAACTTTGATCTTGGATCACCCACACTTATACTCACACACTCACCACACTCACACTCACCACAGCACAACTCAACTCAAAAAAATTTTTTTCACCTTTTTTTGTTTTTTTTCACTTTTTTTTTTTTTTCACTTTTTTTTTTGCCACCAAAGTCAAACAACACACATAATTAATTATTTAATTAAAGTAATTCAAGCAACAATCAATCTATTTATTATAACATTTATTCATATTTATATATATTTCTAATTAATTAGCACATCAACAAATTAGAATTTATTTATCGCATTTATTATAATAGATATAAAGAATAACAATTTATTTATTCATTTTTTTTTATTTTTGTATTTTTTTTTACTTCTTATTAACAAGTTCTTATATATACTATTATAAATGTATTTAAATTTAGTCATTAATACAGATATTTAAAATGTTGTAGATTGTATTGCATTTTTGTTTGTTTTTTTTTTATTTTTAAAACAAGTTACTTTGTTAACTCTTATTTGTACTGTTTCAATTGAACAATCTTAGTAGTAGTACTTCAAATTCACTATGATCTTTGTATTTACATGACCACCAGATCAACAACAACAACCAACAACAACAACAACAACAGCACCGACAACATACTAATATTTATTTATTATTATTATTTCGTAGTAGTTAAAGATATCATTTGACGATGTTATTAGAAATATCAATCCAGCAACAACAATATAAATCACTTTAGTTTCGCAGACAATGACAACAACAACAACAACACTAGTAATTTCTTACGTCTTCGAGCTCGATCATCTTCACAACATCACCAAACAACACATGATACTGCTAATAGTGGAGGAAACGACAGATACCATTCTCTCACCAGACTTGTTGTTCTCTGCCAATGATTCATTGATTTCAATCAAATTTTAAATAAATAATGTTGATAACTTTCAAATTCTTTATAATTATTTCTTTTATTAACTGAGTTGATTCCACTGAGTTGCCGGACTCAGTACCGGACTTAGTTACCGGACTGAGTTGATTCCACTCAGTTACCAGACTGAGTTACCGGACTGAGTTACCGGACTGAGTTACCGGACTCAGTTGATTCCACTCAGTTACAAGACTGAGTTACCGGACTGAGTCAGTTACCGGACTGAGTTACCGGACTGAGTTGATGACTTAGTTGACTCAGTTACCGGACTGAGTTGATGACTTAGTTGACTCAGATACCGGACTTAGTTACCGGACTGAGTTACCGGACTGAGTTGATGACTTAGTTGACTCAGTTACCGGACTTAGTTACCTGACTCAGTTACTAGACTGAGTTGATGACTTAGTTGACTCAGTTACCGGACTGAGTTACCTGACTCAGTTACCGGACTCAGTTACCGGACTGAGCTGATGACTTAGTTGACTCATTTACCGGACTGAGTTACCTGACTCAGTTACCAGACTGAGTTGATGACTTAGTTGACTCAGTTACCGGACTGAGTTACCGCACTCAGTTACCGGACTGAGTTGATGACTTAGTTGACTCAGTTACCGGACTCAGTTACCTGACTCAGTTACCGGACTGAGTTGATGACTTAGTTGACTCAGTTACCGGACTCAGTTACCGGACTGAGTTACCTGACTCAGTTACCTGTCTCAGTTACCGACTCAGTTACCTGACTCAGTTACCGGACTGAGTTGATGACTTAGTTGACTCAGTTACCGACTCAGTTACCGACTGAGTAATGAGTTACCGGACTGAGTTACCGGACTTAGTTAGTTACCGGACTGAGTTACCTGACTGAGTTACTGGTCTCAGTTACCGGACTCAGTTAGTTACTGTAGATACTTACTTCAACTACATTTCTTAGTTTCGATCAACTCTATAACTCAATTTCCATTAACTCCATAACTCGGTTACCGATAAACATACCACTCTCAATTTCCATCTGCTTTACTACTCCTTACCATCAGTTTCACAAATCGATAAAATAAAATCAAAAGATATAATTATAAAGGTAGTTTAAATTTTTATTGAAACAGTAATTTTGTTGAATCCAAACACTCATAAATGTTGAATTACTTGACCAGGAGTAGAAGTAGCAAATGTCATTGTTTTGGTTGTTGTCAGTTGTGGTTCATTTTGGTAGTTGAATTTTATTGTATATGTTATATAAAATCTTTAATATCTGAGTAATTAAGAACTTAATTCGGAAACAATTACTAATTTAATTTAATTTTAACAGTGAAGTGAAACCATTCAACCTATAAAAAGATTTAAATTTATTTTTTAATGAGTTTCTCTTAATTCTTTAAAATCTTCTTGCAATCTTGGTCTACTCTAAATCACTTCAATTCTCTTAACATAGTATATATTATTGATATGTGGTTTCCTCTCATCACTATGCCGGTCTCGTCGTTATGCTGGTTTCCTCTCGTCACTATGCTGGTTTCCTCTCGTAGTTATGCCGGTCTCCTCTCGTCACTATGCTGGTTTCCTCTCGTAGTTATGCCGGTCTCCTCTCGTTGCTATGCTGGTTTCCTCTCGTCGTTATGCCGGTTTCCTCTCGTCACTATGCCGGTTTCCTCTCGTCACTAAGCCGGTCTCCTCTCGTCACTATGCCGGTTTCCTCTTGTCACTATGCCCGGTTTCCTCTCGTCGTTATGCCTGTTTCCTCTCGTCACTATGCCGGTCTCCTCTCGTCGATATGCCGGTTGTCTAGTTACTATGCCGGTTTCCTCTCGTTACTATGCCGGTTTCCTCTCGTTAGTTGACTCAATTTCCGTACTTAGTTGCCGGAAGCCAGAGTTTCCATCAACTCCAAAACTCAGATAATGTTGATATTTACCTCAACTCCATAACTCAGTTACCGATGAATACGTCACTCTCAATTTCGATCTCCTCAACTACTCCCTTACCATCAATTTCACAAATAGATAAAATAAAATCAAAAGATATAATTATAAAAGTAGTTTAAATTTTTATTGAAATAGTAATTTTGTTGAATCCAAACACTCATAAATGTTGAATTACTTGACCAGGAGCAGAAATAGCAAATGTCATTCCACTACTACTAATCCAACAACATCATCATCAACCTCAACTTTATGAAACATTTCGAGTAATGAGTGGGTTTGGAGATGTTTGCACTATGAGTATTATAATCTCAACATTCAACGATATTTGTTCAATTCCATTCAATGACAGATGGAAAAAATTAAAATTTGATTTCAACCACTCAAATCATTTAATTTTATATAATCATTTTATGTTGTGAATCTTTCTTTTCTATCAATAATTTATATTATTGTTATTTTTTTATTTTTATTTGAGAAAATATGGTTGTTCTTGGAGTTGAAATATTTGCAATTGTGGTCGACTATTTGTGTGGCAAGTGCTTACTACTAATAAGTGTTGTGTCTTTTGTCATATGTCATTGTTGAAGCTTGGTATACTGTAAATGTAGTCATCGTTGTTTGTTGTTAAATATGTTGGTTCTGTTGATGATGACGAAATGATTGTACTTTTGATGGATCCACCATCTCGTAACAGGTTGAGTGCATTGGTATACTGTTAAAAACACATTTATCGGTTTATTGTCGATCTGATCTTGCAGATGTTTGGCTTACTATTGCTATTTCAAATGGTACTGATGAGTGACAATATTTTCCTTGTCAGATTGTAGAGTGGCTGCGATTGAACATACACCAACAAGTTTTAACCTGATGAATATCATCAACCACCAAATTTTAATATAATATTATATCAACTTGGTTCTCTATATATACGTTATAGTAAATTAGATAATAGCATTATATTTTTAAAAAATAACCTTACATACCTCAGAAGATCTAATAAATTTAGAACACACTTCTTGGAGGTACTCAAAATGTGCTGATTCTTTAGTTTAGTTGAACCCAGTGTCTTGGTATTGTTGATCATAATTGTACTCTTTCACAAGGTACAACATCTGAAGTGTTGTTTCACTCCGATAGTATCTTACAGACAGAGAAAAAGTGGGTAATTACATATCAAAGACTAAAAATGTTAAACAATTGCTGCTGTCTTACCATAAAGTTTGTTGCTGTTTCAGTTGGACAATTAATTGATTAATTTACTGTGGTTCTCTATATAAAATTTTCTCGACTTTTTTTTTTTTTTTTTTTTTTTAAAATTTTTAAATTTTTTTTTTTTTTTAAATGAATGATTTTTTTTTGAACTGAGCTGTTCATACGTTGATTGGCGTCAAAACACTCAAAGACTTTGTTCAATAAATATATTGATTTTATATATATAGTTAGTTCTTATATATATTATATTTATTATTATTAATACAGCTATTATATTTTAGAGTTAGAATATATTTTTTTAAAAAGTAAAAGTTACTTTTAAACTTGAATTATTAATAAAGTTCTACATTATATATATATATGACTTGAAAAATGGTAAATATTCTATTATTATTATTTAGTAATATCAAAGTATTGATTGTTTATTGTTTTAATATTAAAATCAAAATAAATAGGAGCAATTGAATTTGAAATTGAAATCAACAAAGATTACATCTCCATTCGATATGGGAATGGAGGATGAAGGATTACGTCAATCAATTATACATTTACAAAGGTATGTTGTACACATTAGTATAACTACTAGTAGTTATTTCCTTTGGTATTATTGTATTAATAACAATATTGTTTACATTTCTTTGGTACCGATAAAAAATTTAGATGGCTATCAACAGAGATGAATATAGGTACATTGGTATACCGTGAGAAATTGATAAGTCTTGTAAAATGTTATTTAAAGTTGGAATCACCGTCAAACGATGAAATGAATCATTGTGAACAGTGGTTACTCAAAGAAAAGTCAATCTCGAAATCGAATCAACAACTCAAAGATATCTTAAATTCGCGTGAACTCAACATTGAGTTCTTCATCAAAAGAAAAAAATATCAAGATGCTCTCTCCGTACTCTTGGAATCTCTAACAAACTATCCCGAGCATCTTCAATTTACATTATTATACTTGGATTTATTATTACTTCAAGAGAAATATAAAGAGTAACTATTCATTATCATTATAATTTAATTTAAACAAACAAAACAAAAAACAAACATCTAATCAATATTATTATTATTATAATTATTGTTGACTATAGATTCTTTGAAATTCTATTATCAAATCAATCGAATCAAGTTATAAATAATATCAATGGTAATGAAACTAGTTCTAGTTCTACAAAGATTATTATTATGAAACCATTGGTTCAGGTGGAGAGATTCGAACAGAGTTTGAAATTTTGGGAGTTTCTCTACGATCGATTGCATCACAATCTGTGGTTGAACATGAAATCACAGTTTGACAAGGCCAATATTAAGAATGGCCATTTCGTGTCGAGTGTGCTCACCGAGGGACATGTCGACTTTGAGGTATTCCACTGCTTGCGAGTCGACGCTCTCGATCGTGTCATTCGTTTGTTGCTATCGAATCATTTAAGCGATCAGACGGCCACCCGTCTGAAAGAGGATATCAAGTTGCTCAAGAACCAAGTGCTGAAGCTCGAATCGATCGTCGCCATGTACAGACAGTATTCCACACCGGTAAGCAGCACACCGGCATCGCTTCTCCACCAACAACAACAACAGGAAACCAACACCATTATCAATCTCTTCAAATCGAAATCGTTCTACTACACCGGTATCATCCAAGACTATCTCCTATTCAACCACAACTATGATACAAAATCTGGATTTCCATTTGAAAATTATATGGAAGCAATTTCAAGTATGAAAAATGTTAAAACATATGTGAAAAAACAACAAACATAACCAACTAACTAACCTTTTTGTAATTGTTATATTTATAGTTAAAGTTGGACCAGAAGAAAAGAACTCGCTAATTCATAGACAGACATATGCTGAGATTGCAAGACAGTTGGTATTCTCGCTGAGACATGCCGATCATAAACGATTCTTTATACAATATTTGAAGGATAGAAAAGACGATATTATGGCGGATCACTACTTTGAGCAGTGCTCGCTTCAGAAGCAAGGTTCGATGTTGGACGTCAATCATTTGGAAAAGTTTTTGATTTCCGATATCGAGAGGAACGACTTTAAGTTGCTGGAGGATGCACCGAATGATCTGGGCCGTTTCGTTGTGTTCTCACTCTGGCACATCAAGCGGTCCACCAACAACTACTCGATTGTCATTCGTTGGATAAGCGAGCTGTTCCAGCCATTCATCAGACGTCTGAACGACATCGAGTCGACATCGGTCGGTCTCTCGCACATCTTGGTCTATGTGATCAACATGATTTTCGAAGCCGACGAAGCATTAAAACATCACACTCAAACAGCCACCAACGACTGTCGAGTATTCGTAGATCAAAACATGTTGATTCCAGCCGCTTCGAAATCGGGATTCAACAACAAACTCTGGCAATCACTAGTTTACTATTCGAATCAACAAAAACAACAACAACAACAACAGCAACAACAACAGCAACCATCAGAATCATCATTGAAATCATCAATGATGAAATTAAAATCATCAACTTCACCATCCACCACCAACACAACAAATTCATCATCACTTAAACCACCAAAAGAAATATTTTCAATGACAACCATTAAGGAGGATCTAAAGAGTTTACTCTTGAATGGAAATGGTTTGAATTTCGATGTATGTCACAGAATCGCTGAATCTCTGCCTGCATTACTTTCGTCACAACCCGACTACAAATCACTCGATATACCATCACTTCAAATTAAATTTTTAACATTATCATTACAATCCAAAAAGTATGTATAAATCGAAAATGTTTATATCTCAATAACAATTAACAATTAACATTATTAATTATTATTTTATAGATTATCAAAGACAACATTAGATCATATCTACTTTGTACTTGGTGAGAAATGGAAAGAGAAGAGAGTATTAAAGAATGCACTTTCATATTTCCTTAAATCAGAGACACCCAATGCATACATGGAGATTGTAAAGGTTTCCAAAGAGATTATTAAATTAAATATCAACAAGTATGTATATAGTATACTATTCTTTCTAGCATGCAAAGTGTGATCATCTTTTATTAATTCATATTTTATAATTAGTCCTGCTTTTACAAATGAAATATTTCATTCGTTGTTCCAAAAGATTCATGAGAACTTGAATAAATGTCAGAATTTCAATATGACCGATCTCGAGAAACAGAAAATCGATTCCACTCAATTCTTTGAGCAAATTCATGATCTCAGCGAAGAAATACATATTTTAGAACAGCAGTTGGATTTGGATAATATGTCTTCGTCATTTAATAACAATCGTAGCAGCAGTAGTCTTGTATTGCCATCACCATACAAGCCAACATCTGGTACTTCAACACCAGTCAACACCACACCACTTAGACTTACAAGAGGTTCTTCTTCATCGTCTATAACTTCCACTCCATCGATTGCTAGCAACAGTCCAATTAGTGTCCGATCACCATTCCTCGGCAAATCATCGACAACCGACCGCAGAGAGATTCAAACATCGTTTAGAAACCAATTGTTCTTGGAGTCGAAAGCAGCAATGCACCATGATTCATCGGCATCTATGACACCAACACCAGACTCGCTTCTTCTCAATACCAATAGCTCTACATCATTCGGATCGATTTCATTCAATGGTAATAACAATGATTCTTCAGCGACATTTGGTTTTAATAGCCAACCAAAACAATCATTGTCAACTACCACCAGTCCAATCAAATTTGGCACTTCGGCAACTAAGCAACCGGTATCAAATAAAACAACATCACCAACTACTGCCGCCACACCAAGCACACCACAGACTGTCAATTTTACAAAACCACTTAAACCTGGACAATGGCAATGTGTTTGTTGTGATAAGGTCAATGAAGCAAAGCATTCGAATTGTGAGTTGTGTTTAATTCCAAATCCAGATCCTCAACCATTCGTCCCAGAAGTGGTATCTCCATCATCCAATCTATCACCAGCATTTGGCTCCACACCTACACCAGTTCCAGCAGCAACTACTTCCTCTACACCAGTTACCGCACCAGTATTTGGAGCACCATCATCCACCATGTCATTTGGAACATCAACCACCACATCAGCATTTGGAACAACAACGACCACACCAGCATTTGGATCAACAACCATACCAACATTTGGAAATCCAACACCAACACCAAAGAAAGAGGAGACATCATTATTTGGAAATCCAACACCAGTAACAAAGAAAGAAGAGAAACCATTATTTGGTAATCCAACATCAACACCAGCCAAAACAACTGAGGAAGTCAAACCATTATTTGGATCAACAGCTTCATCTACTACTCCAATGTTTGGATCAACAACTTCACCAAATACATCATTATTTGGTAATCCAACACCAGCACCAAAGAAAGAAGAGAAACCATTATTTGGAAACCCGACACCAGCCAAATCAAATGAGGAGGTGAAACCATTATTTGGATCAACACCTGCCGCCACTGGATTTACACCATCATCTGGTGGATTCTCATTCAACCCAAGTCAGGCATCCAAGTCATCAACACTATTCCCAGGTGAATCAAGTAAAGAGGAATTGAAAGAAGGACAATGGAAATGTGCTTGTTGTGAGACTGTCAATGAAGTTAATAACAAAACATGCAATATCTGTATGGTTCCAAATCCGACATCAGCAAAGACCTCACCATTATCACTCTTTGGAAATCCCACACCAACACCAAAGAAAGAAGAGAAACCATCAACAACCTCATCAACAACACCATTATTTGGTAACCCAACACCAGCCAAACCAACTGAGGAGGTGAAACCATTATTTGGATCAACACCTGCCGCCACTGGATTTACACCATCATCTGGTGGATTCTCATTCAATCCAAGTCAAGCATCCAAATCATCAACACTATTCCCAGGTGAATCAAGCAAAGAGGAATTGAAAGAAGGACAATGGAAATGTGCTTGTTGTGAAAATGTCAATGAACTTAATAACAAAACATGCAATATCTGTATGGTTCCAAACCCAGCATCAGCAAAGACCGCACTCTTTGGAAACCCGACACCAGTACCAAAGAAAGAAGAGAAACTATTATTTGGTAACCCGACACCAGCCAAACCAACTGAGGAGGTGAAGCCATTATTTGGATCAACACCAGTCGCAACTGGATTTACACCATCATCTGGTGGATTCTCATTCAACCCAAGCCAGGCATCCAAATCGTCAACACTTTTCCCAGGTGAATCAAGTAAAGAAGCGTTGAAAGAAGGACAATGGAAATGTGCTTGTTGTGAGAATGTCAACGAAGTTAATAACAAAACATGCAATATCTGTATGGTTCCAAATCCAACAGCTGCAAAAACCTCACTCTTTGGAAATCCAACACCAACACCCATCGACTCCACCTGTTGAAAAGAAAGATACATCGTCATTATTTGGTAATCCAACACCAGCACAAAAGAAAGAAGAGAAACCATTATTTGGAAATCCAACACCAGCCAAACCAACTGAGGAGGTGAAACCATTGTTTGGATCAACACCTGCCGCCACTGGATTTACACCATCATCTGGTGGATTCTCATTCAATCCAAGTCAAGCATCCAAATCGTCAACACTATTCCCAGGTGAATCAAGTAAAGAGGAATTGAAAGAAGGACAATGGAAATGTGCTTGTTGTGAAACTGTCAACGAAGCTAATAACAAAACATGCAATATCTGTATGGTTCCAAATCCAACAGCTGCAAAAACCTCACTCTTTGGAAATCCAACACCAACACCATCGACTCCACCTGTTGAAAAGAAAGATATATCGTCATTATTTGGTAATCCAACTCCACACGTGAAGAAGCCTGATGAAAAGAAAGAAGAGAAACCATTGTTTGGTTCGACAACACCATCTACTTCTTCATTCTTTGGTAATCCAACTCCACCAGCCAAGCCTGATGAAAAGAAAGATGAGAAACCATCATCATTATTTGGATCAACAACTTCTCCACCTTCATCATTAATATTTGGAAATCCAAATCAATCCAATAATCTCTTTGCATCACCAAGTAATACTTCTAATATATTTGGAAAACCAGGAACAACAACCGACGCTCCTATAGTTTTCAACTTTGGTAAAGATAGTGATGACGATAATAATAGTGATGACGATGACGACGAAGAGGAAGAGAGTTTCAACAAGCAGCAAGAAGATGAGTATACTGATGAAGAAGCTTATGAGAATGGTGATGATGATGATGAAGAAGATGACCAAGATGATGAAGAAGATCAAGATGAAGAAGATGACTATGATGACCAAGATAATGATTCTTATCAAGATCAACAAGAAGAGGAAGACGAGAGTGAAGAGGAGGAAGATCAGCCACCAAGCTTCATTGTTGAAGAACCAAGAGCTAAAGTCGCAGTTTCATTCGGTAGCGTTGATACCCCTAATACTCCTCCAACCGGTAATGTTTCATCAAAACCTCAACAATCAGTCTTTGGAAATCCATCAACCTCAGTTTTTGGAGGTGCTCCCACAGCTTCTACATCTTCCGTTTTTGGTGGATCTACTTCTGTCTTTGGCAGTCAAACTACTCCTGCATCCAATTCAACACCATCAACATCATCCGTTTTTGGAAGCAGTGGATCCTCTGTATTCGGAAACAATCAACCAACACCCGCAGCCAACACATCTGTATTCACCCAAAACGCTCAACCAACAGTATTTGGTAGCACTTCTGCTTCAGTATTTGGAGCTAAGCCCGTCACATCGGTATTTGGTAGCAGTCCAGCTTCCACAACACCTGCTGCCGCTTCAACATCATCGGTATTTGGTACAAATCCAACACCTTCTACCGCTCCAACATCATCCGTATTTGGTGGCAGTCCAACTCCAACTAAACCAGCTGCCCCTACATCAGTGTTTGGCAATGCTCCTACATCATCTGTATTTGGTAACCCAACTCCATCAACACCAGCTGCCCCTACATCAGTGTTTGGCACTGCTCCTACATCATCGGTATTTGGTAAACCAGCTGCTGCACCTACATCAGTATTTGGTAATCCAACTCCAACAAAACCTGCTGCTGCACCTACATCGGTATTTGGTACAAGTCCAACAACACCATCTACCTCAGCATCATCAATATTTGGTAACCCAACTCCATCAACACCCGCTGCACCAACATCAGTATTTGGTAACCCAACCTCACCAACACCTGCTGCAGCATCAACATCATCGGTATTTGGTAAAAGTCCAGCGACACCATCTACTTCAGCAACATCTGTATTTGGAACACCAGTATCAACAGCAAATATCATGATCAACACCACACCAAAACCAACAATCTTGTACTCTCAATCAGATGATGACATCGAAGAAAATAAAACAGCTTTTGGCGGTGCACCCTCTTCTGTTCTTGGAAAGCCAGTCACCTCTATCTTTGGAAGACCATCAACTCCTCAGACGATCTCAATTTTCGGTGGTGACAACAAAGCAACAGAGCCATCCTCTGCTCCAACTTCTGTTTTCGGACCATCGGCCTTTGACAGACCAGCCAAGAAGCCAGTCGAACCAGTCACACCATTCCAACCTTCAAACGACGACGTCGATTCTCAGGCATCTCTATTCAACGGACCTCCACCTAAAGCTCAACCTACCCCTCAGTTTACTGAAACAAAGCAACCATCTCCACAGAATACATCTTCATTGTTTGGAAGTGATTTCTCATCTTCAATGACTGCTCCATCATCATCATCAAGTACACAAAGCGATGATGACGATGACGATGATGATAATGTAAAGGAAGATACTACAACCATTTCTACACCAATAGTTTTAACGTCCTCATTCTCGTTTAAGCCAGCAACCTCAACAACAGAAGAGAGTAAACCAACTTCATCTGGTGGTCTTTGGTCAAACAACAGTGGATCAAGTTGGACATCATCATCATCACCATTTAGTGCACCATCATCGACATCGACATCAGCATTCAATGCATTCGGATCATCGTTTGGAACTACTTCACAATCTATGTTTGTGCATCAACAACCAGCAGAAGATACTGAAAAGGTCAAAGCTGAAGAAGTAGAGAAAACAAAATTCTCTGATCCAAAGAAAGGTTATGTATTTGGATCTACTTTTGGTATGAATTTTATTATTTTTATTTTTATTTTTTAAAATCCAATTTCATAAAATTAACAACAATATTTTTATTTACTAAAAAAAAGGTACAACTAAATCAGATGAAACAACTAAATTTGCTTCTCCTGTCGTCGCACCATCAAAAGAACAAAAACCACAAGTTAACACAGAGAAGATTGAAGAAAAGGGATCTGAGGTAGTTACAGAGGATAAACCTGTTGTTGAAGAGTCAAATAAGGTCGTTGAGATAGATGAAGAAATAGCCTCACCCGATACCACCACCACAACAACAACCAATAATGTAGTGTCTAATCCAGAGACAGCAAACACTACCGATGTCGAAGAGAACAAAGTTGAACAAGAGGTATCTTCCACTGATGTATTATCATCACAAAACGTTATTGTAGAATCAGATGATGATATCGATACTCCAGAAACAACAACTACAGATGTATCATCGCACAATGTAACCGTAGAATCAGATGAGGAAATCGATACTCCAGAAACAACAACAACTACAGAGGTATCATCACATAATGTAACTGTTGAATCAGATGAAGATATCGATACTCCAGAGACAACTACCACTACAACCAACACTGAAGTGGGATCAATAGACAAATCAAATATTGAACAAAGCACCAAGTTAGAACCAGAGGTACAACCACACAGTGTTATTGTTGAATCAGATGATGATATCGACACTCCAGAGACAACTACCACAACCACAGACACACCATCACATAGTGTGACCGTAGAATCAGACGAGGAAATCGATACTCCAGAGACAACTACCACAACCAACACCGTTGAAGCTAACACCAATGTAGAGCCAGAGGTTATCACCACAGATATATCATCACACAATGTAACTGTTGAATCAGATGAAGATATCGATACTCCAGAGACAACTACCACTGGAGTGGAATCAAAAGTAGAAACAAATGTTGAAGAAAATATCAAATTGGAACCAGAGGTTCAACCACACAGTGTTACTGTTGAATCAGATGATGATATCGATACTCCAGAGACTACCACTGTCAACACCAATGTTGAAGAATCATCCAGTACAACAGTTGTAGATCCATCTAGTATTGTTGCAACAACTGTCACTGTGGAATCAGACCAAGAAGAAGAAGATGACTCAGTCAACATAACAGAATCTAACGATTCCGGTGATTCACAAGCAAAAAAAGAAGAGAAACAAGTCGATCCTTATGACGAGTGTAAAGTTAAATTTGACCCATCGCTCTTTGTCAACACACCAGAGAAGAAACAAACCCTCCAATCGCCACACATTGGACTTGGATATGCACTCGGCGGATTTTCATCGCAACTTCATATACACCAAAAAGATATGTCACATTCTCAAAACAAATCATTTACCGATGACAACACCGATAAAGATGAACCTACCAGCTCTGATCCATCATCGCTTTCATCCGATTATTTACCTACAGGTGAATTCAATCCATTTGTAAACTCTGGTTCAAACCTCCCAGAGACAAGTGGTGAATCGGAAGTGAATGGAAATACTGATTCCTCTTTAGAATAACAATCATAATTAATTGTGACACCAACCAACAACCTAAAAATAAAACAAATTTCTCAAAAACATTTTTCTTTTTTTCTTTCATTTTTCTTTGAATTTTCGTCTGATTTGTATTAAGATCAAAACCAAATTAAACTCTTTTCTTTTTTTTTTTTTTTTGTTTAAAGTTAATTAAAGTTTGATTAATTGTTGTAATATATTATTTATTTATTTAAAATGGGAAAAAAAGGAGATAATAAAAAAGGAAGTAATAATAATAAAGTACATGATAGAAAAGTAAAGCAAGGTTTGAGGAAAAAAGCTGATAGATTAAAATATGGTGTATGTATTATTACTTTTAGTTAATATAATCTTTAATATTTGTTTGATATCTATATCTAACTTGAAACATATATATATATATTATATATATAGGATGCAAAATGGAAACAATCATTCAATGCATTTTTAGAACAATTAGAACCACAAGGATTCACAATTAAAGATGTTGCAGGTGATGGTAATTGTTTGTTTAGAGCGTTTGCTGATCAATTGGAAGATAATCCAGAGCAACACATGAAGTATCGTCAGAACATTATTACATTCATCGAGAAAAACAAAGATATGTATGCACCGTTCATCGATGATGAAGAGGGTGAGACATTCGAAGACTACATAGCAGAGATGAGAAAGAATGCAAGTTGGGGTGGAAACATTGAGATTCAAGCGGCATCACTCATCTATCAGTGTAATATTACCATTCATCAGTTCAATCAGCCACGTTGGGAAATCATCAATTATGTCGGTGACAAATATCGAATGATTCATCTCTCGTATCATAACGATGAGCATTACGCATCGGTTAGACCAACACGTCCACCATCGCTCAAAGATAAACAACAACAGAAGGAAGACGGACCACCCAAACCCAATATGGAGGCGATGGGAAATACCTATCAAACCGATGCAAAGAACTACATTGACGATGTCACCTATGAGATTATGAATGCTACTGGTGTCACCAGTACCAAGATGGTGAGAGAGGCACTCGACGATTGCGATGGCAATATTGAAGCAGCCATCGATTATCTCATTGCACTGTCAGCAACCATAGATTTCGACAATGAGAATATTGATAATAATACAACTACTACAACTACCACCACAACTACTACAAGCAGTAGCAGTAATAAACCAAGCAAGGAATCAAAGAATCCATATAAAGAACAGGTTAAACTACAAAAACAACAACAACAACAGCAACAACAACAACAAAAAGAAGAAGCAAAACATAATGGGTAAGATAATCAAACTATTTTTTCAAATTTATTGTATTAAATATTTATTATATTTTTTTTCATAATATCAATCAGCCACCAATCAAATTCTGAAAGAAAAAGACAACAAATGGCAGCAAAAGAAAAAGAAAACAACAACAAGCAAAGACAAAATCATAATATAGATAGAAACAGTATAGTGGATGACTCTACAGTTGATTTGGGAACACTTAGAATTTAAACACACATAAAGTTTATAACTGAACTTTTAAAGTTTTATTAAATAAAACTACAAAAATTTTTTTTATTCATCGTTTAATCTCTTCATATATTGGTCATTTATATAAAAATAAAATGAATCGTAAAGTAGTATTGATTTTCAACAAAATATGTATACATATGAAAATTTTTGGGTATTATAGTGTTTAAATGATTTTATTGTTATAAATATATATAAAGTTTTAAATAATATAGATTGAATTAGAGAAGTTAAAAGTAGAAATCGATAAATTTGGAAAAACCCGGGATCAATCCACGGCCCAAGTCCTCTAAGGCTTACTAATGGATCGTGTCAATACGTGACATGACTTCATTATCCACAGAGAGATTCATTCCAATATCTTCTTCTAGATTGTTTTTTTTTTTTTTATAACTAAAGTGGTATACATGTTTTATTAAATGTTGTAATAAAAGGAAGGATTTACCATCAAGTTGTTTTTCATAGTCTATTTTTTTTCTTATTAGTTGTTGGTTGATTTAATTAATTAGTTAGTATGTTGGGAAGAGAGTTAATTTCATTTACTTGAATAGTTGGCAGGTGTTGGAGAGTTGTTTATTAATTTTCAAAATGAATTTGTTTAGGATGACTCTCACAATTAAAGAAATAATGTGTTGGTGGGTCAAGGTCATTTGCTGAACATAGTTTACAACTGTCTTGCTTGATGTATGCCATAATCTTGGGAAGAATCTGAATACTGTGTTTCTACCTCTGTGGTGTTTGATGGAGTTAAAGTAGTAAAATTTTAATAATAAATACAATTATAAAATCAATATAAAGAATAGTCATTTGATTCAAGTAGTATGTGATAAGAGAGATGCTAACAACAATAGCACAAGCACTAGATCCAATCATATTATTACAAACAATATACATCTAAATATATCGTTCCTTAAATTTTATAAGATAAAAAATGACTGTAAATAGAATTTTGAATTCAAGATTTTCAATGGGAAGCATTTATATCAATTAGGATAGATTTTAAAAACAGATTATTGGGAAGTTAATGTTAAAGAATTTTTAAATTTTTTATCCTTACCGCATGCGTAATTTTTACTTTTATAAAGGCTCCAACGAGATTCGAACTCGTGACCCCTTCCTATCTCTTCCTTTACTAGGGAAGTACAATAACCAACTATGCTATGGAGCCTTTGTTGAAAAATTTTGAAATTCCTTGTTTTTGTTTGATTTTCGTGCATTTTTAAAAATTCTTCTATTTATTAAATCATCTCAATTATGAATATGAAGAATTTTTTTGTGAAATTGAGCATTTTTCTTTATTGTATTCATCAATTAATTAACAAAAATCTTTGTAAATCATCCGATGATTTAGGGGGTTTCTATTTATATATTAGAAAATTAAAGTTAGACAAATATTTAAAATTTCTTAGATGGAAAAGTGATTAATTATTATTGATACAAAAAGGTATAATAACTCTATTCTGTCCGTTGATCAGAGTCGTAGTTGTCTTTAATTTTAAACAAATTTTAATTTTTTCTTTTACTTTTGTTTTAGTTTAAATGGAAGAAGTTAGTAAATCAGTGGCAATTATAGGTGGAGGTTTCAGTGGAATATTCTCATTGAAAGAAGCATTGGAAAATAGATTATCTGCAACACTTTTCGAAAGAGAGAATGCAATAGGTGGATTGTGGAATCCAGAGAGCGGTGCAATGTGGGACAATATGTGTACCAATATTTCATTTGTATCATCGATGATCTCAGACTACCCATGGACCTCGATTCCACCTGAACGAGAGTTTCCAACCAATCAACAGATCTTCAAGTATCTCTCAGACTATGCCAATCACTTTAAACTGTATGAAAACATCCAGTGCAACGCAAAAGTAACCAAGGTCAGTCGTAATCATCAACAAGGTGGCTATCAAGTTGAATACATAAACTCTGCTACCGGTCAATCGATAAGTAAAGCGTTCGACTTTGTCATTGTTGCCACTGGAATTCTGAGTAAGAAGTCGCCATCCAATATTGTTGGAATCGATCGATTCCAGGGTAGTGTAATACATTCGCGCGATTACAAATCAGTTGATCGGTATCTAGGTGGAAAACGTGTTGCCGTTGTTGGATCGGCATCGAGTGGTTGCGAGATATCGTCAGAACTGGTAAAGAGTGGCGTGGAGGTAGTTCACATTGGCAAGCGAACGATGTGGGTGCTCCCTCGACACATAAACGATCCGAAAACCAACAAGAGAATCCCATTGGATGTAAGCTACTTTACAAGAGAGTCGTTCCTCTCTCTTGCTACCCTCAAAGAGGAAGAGCTAGCAGCAGCACGTCGCAAAATGTTTGATAGTATCTGTGGACAGCTGTCGATTCCATCGCTCTTCATTGAACCTGACCAACCATCGTTCCTGGCAATCTCCGATGACTACTGCAAGCAAGTTAGAGATGGTTGTTTGATATTCAAGAAAGCAAAGGTCGTTGAAATGACCAAAGATTCTCTGATACTGGACGATGGTAGCTTGGAACGAGTGGACGATGTCATTCTTTGTCAAGGTTACACAGTGGATCTATCTTTTCTTGAACAAGAGATCAAAGATGCCATACAATATATTGAAAGTGATACTATTCAACCTATAATAGCACACAAAGAAGTATTCTGTCCTTCTATGCCTGGTATTGCATTTATTGGAATCTATAAGAGTGCTGATACTACTGTGTATGTAATCAACTGATTAATAATAACTATTTGCACTATTATTATTATTAATATTGAATTATTAATTAATTTTAGGATGGAATTACAAGCACGTTGGGCAACAAAAGTATTCAGTGGTGCTATAAAACCTCCGACGGATGAAGAAATGAGAAAAGGTGTGGAAAACGAGTTAAAGATTAGAAACAAAGTACCACGACCACAAATACCTATTCTTTGCAGACTCTATTGCTGCTGCAGTACAAGCAATGCCAGATCTTAAATCATTGTCCACATCAAATCCATCGCTCTACAAGATGTTGTATAGCAATGTAAACACGCCACTGATCTACCGATTATCGACCAACAATACTCAACATAATGATAGAGCCATACAAATCATTGAAGAAATAGATAAATTATATTATCATCAACCTAATAAATCGAATCTTTAAAGGAATGTAAATGTTTTTAATTTTATTTTAAAAACTAAAATATATTATCTAATTCGATCGAAATACAGGCAAACAAATTGTTTTTCCTTTTGGGTGTTTAATGCAATAAATCTTTCCTTCCAATAACATTTCATTGAAAAAAAAAAAAAAATTGGTGACAAAAATAAAATGGTGGGTGAATTGTTTACCTACCCATTTTTTTTTAATAGAATAGATGATCAAAAAACCCAATAAAATCACAACCCATTTTTATTTTTAAATTTATTTTTTGACTTTTTTTTTTTTTTTTACAAGTGTTTTTATATAATTTTAAACCTCTTTTGTTTCTATCATTTATCCAATCTTCAAATAAAGATATAATTAATTTTAACCTATATATATTATAAAACAATGTCATCAAAGTGTCCAACTTGTACAAAGACAGTCTATTTTGCCGAGAGACAAATGAAGGACGGTGTCGCTTATCACGGTGCTTGTTTACAAAAGGTTCTTAAAGAAACTAGAGTTCCATTAGTTGGTAGATACCCAGGAGATGAAGATAGAATTGGTATTGTATTATAAATCAGTGTAAGAGATGAGAGTTGAGTAGTTCAAGAGTGATTGATTGAGAGACGGATAGATTCTATTGATTTTGTAAAACAGTTAAACTAACTAAATTTTTTGCAACATATTAGCTGGTCAACTCAATACCAACAAGACTGCCGCAAATACTAATTCATAATAATTCAATAAACTGTATATAAAAAAAACAAATTTGTAAACATTTAAAATCCACAAGTCTTTTTTTTTTTTTTTTTAATTTATTATCATTAAATTTAAATAATATATTTAATTTATTTATTTCTACATTTATTGTAACTATTTAGTTACAATATTTGACTGGTATTACATGATTGTTTTATATTATCCGTGAATGATTTGATTGATTGTACATATATAACTTTGATTAAGTATTGGAAATGGTTGGTTGATTGAATTAAAGTTGTTGTGATATTAAATTATCTAAAAAAAATTTAGATAAAGTTGACTAATATTATTATGATTATTATATTTTGTTTGTTAATTATTTTTTTAAAGTATTGGCAGAATAAAGGTCACTTAATAAAATTTCCAATTCCTCCTTTGAGAAATCTTTCTTCTTTGAGAATGACTTGGCCCATGGGAAACTCTTCATACGCTTATCGATAGTTGGATGAATGATGTATCCATCTTCGTAGATGGTACAGCAGTAACGGTCTCCGCCACTAGTTGGCTCTTGTTGGTGGACACTACTATCAATTGACTTTAGTGGAGAGGTAAATGAATTGCTGGTTCCATTCTTGCCAATCATTGCACCGGCACTGGCTGTCGAAGTTTTCCAGCAGGTAACCAAAAAGTTATCCAACTGAATTGGGTAGTAGAAACTATATTTGCTAGAACCAAAATTTCTAGAACATTCCAACTCCAAAGAACAAATTAACTCTTGTTGTGGCACCATCATTTATTTTATTAAATAGATAAATAAATAAATATACAAAAAAATTGCGCAAATATATAATAAATAGATAGATAAATTGAGATTATATATACAGATATAAATAATTAAATATTAAATGAAAGTGAATGGTTTTGTTGATGTTAAATAGCAAATAGCAAATGGCAAGATGACAAAATGACAAATGACAAAATGTTATTATTAAAAATTAGATTGATGATATTAAATTTTATAAAAAGTATACTTTTTCTTAATGATGCATAATGAAATGTTTTAAATTAGATGATGGATAATGAGATCTTTGATTTTGAGATTAAATGAAATGACTCTTTTCAAAAATAGTTGTAGAATGAAATTTGAAAGCAATGAAATTAAACTATATTAATAAAAAAAAAGTGGTTCTTTGTCAAACAATTATGGATTAATTGTTTGTGGAAGTGGGAAGGTTTTAAACTAAACTGTGAAATGAATTAACAATGGAATATATTAGTTTATTTTTGTGATTAATTATGTGGAGGGTTTAAATTTATAATTTAATATTTATACAAAAAAGGATTGATTGAATGTTTTGTTGGGTGTGTTAGATGAAAATTTTGGGGCTTAATTTTTGGTGGTTTTATGATCTGTCTGACTGATTAAAACGTGAGAACCACCCATTAAAAAAAAATTGAAAAAAATATATGTGTGTGTGGAATGATTGTTTAAAAAGGAAGTTGTTAAACACACTCTCTAAATTATCGCTGTTCAAGAATAGATGTTTGTTTTGTTATTAATGTTATATTTGCTTGTTAAAAAAAAAAAAAAGCAAATTGGGAGTTTTTAAAAAAAAAAAAAACAAAACAAATGATAAATAAATAAATGAATGAATTGATCAATGATATAATGGTGACAGATTTTGAGGTAGGTGGTGTTAATTTTAATAGTCACTTTGTTAGGTTCCTGGGGCTGTGTGTTCCTTCATTTCTTGAAACTTATTAATTTTATTTATTTTTTTATTAAAAAAAAAACCAAACCTCATTTATGTCAGATTTTTTTATTTTTTTCTCTCCAGATATTTATGTCTTTCTGGCAAAAAAAGGTATTTTTCACAAAAACAGTAAAAATTTCAAAAATTTCAAAGATTTGGTGACCATCAGCAATTGCACAGAATTATCAATTTTTGTTTTTTTTTTTTTTTATAATTTTCATAAATCAATTTTTTCCTTTGAAAACTATTAGATTTTTTAATTTATTATTATCAAAATATTATATTTCTTTTGATTTTTCCTCACATGGATGAAAAAAAGATAATAATAATAAATAGTTTTTTTTTAATATTTAATATGGAAGTTGGAAAAGAATAAACTTATTTATCTATCCACTCACACTTCTTTACCTTTGCTTTCATATTCAATAATTTTATGTTAATAAACAGTTTTTTTTTTTTCTTTCTTTATCACCTACATAGCGGAAATTATCTTTGCATTGGCTGTTTCAGAAGGGTATTTACAAAACGGTAGATACAGCCAGCTGGTCAGATAGGCAAAAAGAGTTATTTTGGTAAAAGGTTATGAGCCTTATTTACTATTTCCTTTCACGATTATTTGGCTGATCACACATACACCACATCATTATGGTGATAAGGTGAGCTCAACTAATTTAACATTAACAAAAAAAAACAAATATAATGCAAACATCTAAATTTTGTTTAAAGAAAAAACTGCAAGGAAGGTTTAAAAAAAAAAGATAAGATGAGTTGATTGTTTTTTATTTTTTTTTGTCATCGATTAATGCAAAAGATGTTTTGGTTAATGGGCGACTGTTTAGACAAAAAAAAAAACGAGTCCTCAGACAAATGTTGGTATTAATTTTCGAGTTATCATCGAGTGCTGGCGACACAAAGAAACAAAGAAAACAAACTATTACGGAATTTCTTTTTGTCCTGTGTAGCCGAGCTTCTTTAATATTGAATAAAATATTCTAAAATAATGATCAAAAGAGTTTTTATCTTTCACTATGACTAGATGTGTAATGATTGATTGCAGACACTTGTGATAAATATTTAATTAGTATCTGTTTTAAACTTCTTTATTATTATGATTAGTTAAATGAATTGAAAACAGTATGTTTATAAGTAAAACAATTTAAGGAAATCAATTATGTTTATTTTAAAGTACATATAGCAATGATTTAGAGTTGTACTTTGTATATTGATTCAGGTAGTAACCAATCTTCAACGATTGCAACAGGGCAATCTACATCGTTATGACTGTCTATGTTCATTGTAACTGAGTTATGATGGTGATGATGATGATGGTGGTTTGCAAATGGCGATGGTGGAACTGATGATGTTGATGCCGGTGAGAATAACAATGACGATGATGAAACTATTGCTGAAGGTATTATTATATTTGAATTATCATGATTATTGTTAATAATATTATTAGTACTGTCAATAATTTCATTATTTTCTTCTACTGATATCTTTGGTATAGTTAGGTTGTTTGTTGTTATTGTTGTTGCCGATGTAGTTGTGGTTGTTGTTGTTGTTGTTGAATCTTTAATATCAATATCTATTTCATTATCATTATCATTTTTATTATCATCATCATCATTATTATTATTAATATTGTTGTTGTTATCATTGTTAATATTTTCGTCTTTTGTTGTTGAAGAGAGAGTTGTGGATGAGGAAGAGGGGAATGGTGAAGGTTGAAAGCTACTACTGTTCGCATTGAGGAATCCTGCAAACAACACTCTTACTCTATCTAAAAACTTCTTGTTCAAGTCTGCTTGTTGTTCTTCGCTTGACTCTGGTGCTTGTACCAGCTCCAAACAACTTCTTATAGATGAGATCATCTTGTCTAAATAACTAAGTTTATAATCACCATATTTAAATATCTTTGATAAATCCATACGGCTAATTATGATTTTGTTTGTTAAAATTTACAATCCTTTTATAGGCGAATCTATATAACATCTATACATACAATTTATAACCGATATATGTCTTTTGAATAGATTCGATTTGGTCAAACAATAATTTATAGTTATAGCAATGAATGACAGACATCGGTAGTTCATATGGCATTCTGTGCATCTTGTTTTCCGATAGCTCTTGTGATATCGTTATATTCTTAAAGATTGAATCGATTTCACTATGATAGGGATTGATAATCACACCAATAAATGGTTCAATTTTATCTTTTAAATATAGTTTCTAAGAAGAGAGGAAGAAGAAGAGGTTGGTAACAAATAGGTAAGAAAAGAGAATTTATCATATAATTATTGTTGTGATTTACTTACTTGATATGCAGATTGTGTTTCAATATCTCTAAGTGATGGTATGGGTGGAAAGTTTGGATGTGAATGGTACCAACCGACCAACTCCAATGAATGAGACACTGCAAAGTCTTTGGCGGCAATCAAAGAGTGCGGATCCATATCACATTGAATATCGGATGACTTAGAGCTACAGGGAATGGCAATCTGTACAGCGATATGGCGTTTGGCATGGTCATAGTGTCCCGCTAACATTCCGATTACCTCTGTAGTTGCAATATGTGAATGTAGATCCATTATTGCCAGTGCATTTGTACTGATATCAAGAGTAAAAGGTGGTGTAGTAGATCTACTGCTACTGTTGTTGTTGTTGTTGTTGTTGTTATTGTCATCATCGTCGTTACCATTGAACTTTAAACACTCTATCAATGTAAATGGATCTAAAAGATAGTCATCGTATTCACTTCCACCGTTTGCGTTGTTGTTGTTGCCAGATGCACTGTTACTCTTACGAACGGTTCTCTTCTTTCTTGGATTCGAGGTGATCAACAGAGGTACACCGACAGCGCCATGCTCGTCACCGACACTACCACCGCTTCCACTACTGTTTCCACCGCTTAGCAATGAGAGAGCTTGTTTCATAGCGGCTTCCTCTTCATCTACCCAATCGCCATTGAGCAGTACCTTTCTCTTTCTCGAGCCTGTCACCGATAGAAAGTCAAACTTTTCAAACTGACCGATTGAATCATGACTATGATGATGATGATGATGACTATGATAATCACTATCATTATCATAATCATTATCACTACTATTACTATTGTTATTATTTACAGATGATTGTTGTTGTTGTTGTTGTTGTTTCTTCTTTGGTTTTGGTTTGTCAGCACTTGAACAACCAAAATTGATTACACCGATTGACTCTAGAAATTGATGAACTCGACCGATGGCATTGACATCACCACAATGAGTGATCTGCTTCCTTGCGATTGTTTTGGTCAGATAGTTTGGTTTTACACGTCGCCAATGAGCTACCAGCGCATTTCTAATCATCAAATATCTCTCTGGTGTCTTTGTAGGTGTACCTCTAAAAAACTCTGGACATCCCAACATCTCATCCTCACCAATCTCATCCTTTAGCAATATTCTTTCCTCTAACAAATGACTACCTATATAATCGTCGTCATCATCATCAACATCATTATTATTATTATTACTAACTGTACTATTATTATTATTATCATTAATCTTATTATTATTGTTCTTGTTATTCTTATTATTATCTTTATCTTTATCACTATTATCTGAATATCCAACTTCATAATTGAAATCATTTAAATTGTTACTATTATTATTTACATTATTATTATTATTTACATTATTATTATTATTATTACTATTATTGTTTTTATTACTATTACTATTAGTATCGTTATTATTATCATCGGTATCTATATCAATATCAATATCTATATCTTCTTCAACTATTGGTAAAATATTGTTGTTGTTACTATTTGATTGTTTGTTGATATCGGAAGGATCTGTATGTTCAATGACACAATGTTCAATTGGATCATTGTGTTCGATGACAACTTCATTATCAGATACATCTGAATCCTGTTGTTGTTGTTGTTGTTGTTGTTGCTGTTGTTTCTTCTTCTTTGTTGTCGTTGATGATGTCTTTGTTTTAGATTTTGTTGTCTTTTTTGTTGTTTGTGTTTGTGTTGGTATTGTTGTTGTTGTTGTTGTCTTTGTTTTTATATTTTTATTACTACTACTGTTATTATTATTATTATTCTTAATATTATCAATTTCACTTTCTTCAGAATCAGAATACTCCAATGATTCACTTCTCTTATTGTTGTTCTTTGTTGACTTTGTTTGTTGTTTTCTTTTCTTCTTTTCGAATTGATCTAAACTTTCACCAGCATCCTTCAGTTTCTTAAAGAATATTCTAGCATGATTCTTTACTTGACCAGAATTCCTTGTTTGAATGAACTTGGCAACATCAATCCAATTACTTCTACCATATATTTTCTATTTTATAGTTTCATATATATATATATATATATAAGTTTCACATATATTTGGAAAATAGATATTTATATTTATATTTATATACATACCATTCCTTCTAAAAATAGATTATGTTCTTCATCACTCCACGGTGTATTATGTGATGGTAATGTTGAATTTACTGAATTGTTTGAAGACGAAAGTGATGATGTTGTTGTTGAATTGGTTGAAGATGATAATGATGGTGACGATGATGATGATGATGATTGTTTACTTTTAACATTTAATCTATTATTATTATTATTATTATTATTATTATTATTATTTTTAATTTTAGGTGAGTTAACATTATTATTATTATTGTTATTTAACATTGCAATATGATCATCTAATGATTGATTATTCTTTTTAAGTTTATCATTGAATTTCTGAAAATGTGATTTAATTTGATCTGTGGTTTTTGTTGGTACTGATTCTTGTATTTTCTTATAGTCTTTTCCATATTGCTTATACGCCATAATAAATAGATATTGTTCTTGTTCTGACCATGGCATTCTAGTGGTAGTTCCGGTACCCGACTTTTTCTTTGATCCTGCTGCTGTTGTTGTTGTTGAATTGGTAGCAGATGTAGACGTTTTCATATGAACTGTTTTAGATCCTTCTTGTTTATATTTATGTTGTGGTGATGTGGATGTTGAAGTAGGCGTTGAACTAGATGTGGTTGTCACAGCCGCTTGTTGTTGAAATTGTAATTGTAATTGTAATTGCTGTTGTTGCTGAAGTTGTTGTAATTGTAATTGTTGTTGATGTTGCAATTGCAATTGTAATTGTTGTTGTTGCTGCAGAACCTCTTGTTGTTGTTGTAATTGAACATTATTATTATTATTGATATTTTTGTTATTATTATAAGACTCTGAATCAGATAATGATGAGGCATCGTCATCACTATCGGATACATCGCTACTTGAGTAACTACTACTACTATAGGTATAGCTATCACTATCACTATCAGAGTCACTATTATTATTGTTATTGTTATTATTATTATTTATATCCATTTTTAAAGTTTATTTTATTTTATTTGCAACAACATTATTTATAGATTAAAAGATATGATCGATCATTTAATTGAATCAATGAGTTCACTATTACTCTATATGCTATTGCGCTATTATTATTATTATTATTATTATTTTTAATATTAAATCTTTCTTAAATCATTGGTCAATCACGCAAAAAAAAAAAAGTGGAAAGGAAGTGCAGCAGACAACTTTCGTTGCTTGTAAAAAAACGAATAAAATTTGTTCATTTATTTATTTATTTGGTTTTTTTGTTTTTTTCGGTTTAGTGTGTAATTTGTTTTATTTTATTTTTTTTATAGGAGATACAACTTGAGAATAACTTCAGAAGAATTCATAACTCTTTTGACAAACCTATAATTAAACAAAAATCATTATTCATTTGTTTTTCATATGCACTCACTCTGTTTAAATAATTTGAATGTAATTTATAATTTGCTAGCTATTTTTATATAAATATTTTTTAACATGTATTAGAGTTTTATTATTATAACTATTATATATATATATTTTTAAATTTTAATTATTGTTATTGCTTTTATTTTATAAGAATGGATGAATATGATGGTTCATATCATTCAGTGGCAGTCACATCACTTCCCAAGATAGTTTCAAGAAAGAAACCACAACCACAACAACCACAATCTGAAAATGGAAAAGAGATTGGAACAGTAACAACAAATTCGATAAAGAAAGATAGTGAAACTATTACCAAACAACAACAACAATCGAATTATCATCATGTAGACGAAGCAACTGCTTTATTAGAGAGAAAAGAAACAATAGTAACATCAGCATCAGCATCAACAAAAGATAAAAACAACAAACAATCTGTTAACAATAATGAAAATGGTAATGTTATTGTTGATTTAGATAATCAATCTCAAGAGATTATCATTGCAGATACAGATCAAATCAGTAATGATAATAAGAAACAACAGACACTCGATCTAATTAGAGAACATTTCATTTGGACACCATTGTCAGAGAGAAACACCAATGATTTCGATGTATTTCTCGAGCAAAGAATCAAAGCTGCATTCAAGAACGACACTAAACCACGTGAACATCAATGGAAAACCATTCAGTCCATTGTCAAAGATCTTGCCTATCCGAAATACCAATCATCCTTTCAAAATGGAAAACGTTACAACTATCTCATCCAACATGCTGCCGGTTCTGGAAAGTCAATGACCATAGCAACTCTTGTCTATACTCTCTATAAATTAGAGGTAAGATTCAAAACAAAAAAACAAAACAAACTGCATATATATTAACTTAATATATACTTATATACTTTTACACTTTTTATAGATAAATAATAGATTGAAATTCGATACGATTGTTATTATGAATGATAGATCACAGTTGGATGCACAGCTCGGTGATGTCATCGTCAAGTTTCTCGAGGCGAACGGAGTGAAGAACTACTGTCGACCAAAGTCATCGAAGCAGTTGCAATACGAGATCTCACAGGGCAAGAACAGAATTGTGATTACGACGATGCAAAAGTTCTCACAGCTGTTGCCGAGCGCGAGAAAGTCGCAGTTGGACTCGAACGGACAGTACTCGGATTTCGCTTTCAAGACCAACTCGGTTGCCATTATCTCTGATGAAGCGCATCGTTCGCATGGCAAGTCGACCACCGAACGATTGCACGAGTTTCTCGTTGGAAATATCAAGCAGACCAGTCAGATCACCTACTTTAGTTTCACGTGTACACCGACACCGCAGTGTCTGGAGATGTTTGGTATCTGCACGGCCGGCCGAGACAAACGACCGTTCAACACCTACTCGATGGAGGATGCACTCAGCGACCGCCTGATTCTCGACGTGCTCGACGACTTCAAATCGCTGAATCTCAAGGAGACCGCCAGCCACAACCTTCAGCATCAACAGCAGCAACACTATCAACAGCAGTTACAACAGCAGCTGTTGGATTCATATAATCAATCGATTGATAGTTACGGTGGTAGTGCCACCGGTGGTGGTGGTGGTAGTAATGGTGGAATGTTGGAGCAATATAATTGGGAGGGTGACGACGATGACTATTACTACTATGAGGACAACGACAATGTTGCCGAGGAAGAACCGACACAGGACAAGAGTGCGATCCAAGAGAAGTCGATATTCATTTTGAATCACTTTATCGGCATGAAAAAGAAATACGATACAAAGGCATTCAAGTCGCGTGGTATGATTGTATGTTCCGGTAGAAAGAATCTGTTGGTTTATAAGAAAACCATCGATTCTATCATTGAAAAACTACCGTTAGCAGAGCAATTCGATACTATTGCTGCATTCTCACCGTTCTCAATCGATGGCAAGATGATACTAGAGTCTGATGTCAACGTCAATGGAAAGTACGCACATTTCGGTGCCGACAAGAATCGTGGTATCGTTAAAGCACTCCAAGAAGACAGACAAACTAAAATCAGATTATTAATCGTTGCCGATAAATTACAAACTGGTTTCGATGAACCATCTGTAAGTAATAATAATAATAATAATAATACTAATTATTATAATAATAAGGTTTTGTTAATGTTAACATGTTGTTTATTTAAATTTATATAGTTATCGATGATGTATATTGATAAAAAGATAAAAGGTGCAAATATTGTACAAACACTTAGTAGATTATCACGTATCTCTAATGAGAAGGAAAAGACAGCGATCGTAGACTTTGTGAATAGTGAGAGTGAAATTAAACAGGTGTTCCAGATCTACTCGAAATCGACGACGTTGAACGATCTTCAGGGCGAGGCTAATCTTATATCAAAGTTGCAGGTAGCAGCAGAGAATATCAAAGAGGTCTATGCCAACGAAAGAAATACAAAGTCGTTTGCTAAATCGATACAATTCCATCAGTCGAAAGGCAACAAAAAGTATATCGAGGTCGAGAACGACATTGAAGACTTTTTGAATATCTATTCAAAGTTGGATCGATCAGAGATTGCCGATATTCTCGCATCGATATCTTACAACATTGTTAAATCTGTAAAAGATGCATTGGATGAATTAAGAGAACAACAATTAAAAACAATTAAAGAGAATACATCGTATGTTTAACAATTAATAATAATAATAATATATACCATATAACTAATTAACAAACTAACTTAACTTATATATTCTTTTTTTATTTATCTATAATTAATTATAGTCATTATACAATTAGAGTTAGAATAGATACTTTAACTGATTTAGAAACAAAGAATACTTTGGAGTTATCACATCAGAATGTAGATTATGATGCTGATTTCGCAGCTTCTTTGTGGGCCGATAAGAAATCACCAAGCCCAGAGAAAAAGAGAGAATCAACTATACAAAGATTAAAACAAACAACTGTAAGTTATTGGCAATAATAGTGTAAATAGTATAAACTTAATTAACGTTAATCTATATAGAAACAATTAATGAGTCAACCACAATTACAACAACAACACCAACAACCACAAACACAACAACAACAACAAACATTACCAAGTTCAGGTAGTATAAAGACAAGTTCTTCTCTAATGGCATCATCTTCTTTCAGTTATAATGCATTCGGATCAACAGATGTTAAAAAGCCTGCTGCAGCACCTATCAATCGATCCGTTAGTGTTTGGTCAATGGCAAAGGAATCCAATCTTAAACGTCCAATGTTTCAACCTCAATTTCAACCAAGTTTAAAGAAACAAAAAGAAGAAACTTAACTTTCTTTAATTATAGCTTAATATATATATATAATAAATAGATGGAATAAGATAATTATTTTATATTATTATTTACACAATTTTATTTTATTTTTTATTTTTTATTTTGTTTATGTTATTTTCTCTTCATCAAAACCTGATATAGGTTGCGGAGCACCGAATAGCAACATTTCATAACTATCGAGATTATCTTTTTGTTTTTGAAGTTCTCTTCTTTTGTAGATTCTGTTGATGACGAATGCAGCACCAATCAAACCGATGATAATAAATAGTATGAGGAATGAAATGTAAGCGGTGGAGGTAGATGGCGCTGCAGGATGTAGCGTGACAGTCTTTAGATTCGATGCATGAAGATTCAGTTCTTTGGCAACTACATCCACTACGATATTACCACGATAGTTTGGCGAGATTGTTGCTATTGCAATACCATTCTCGTCGGTGGAGTTTGTAACAACGGTCGAACCACTAGGGTAAAAGAGTGCTTTACCCGATCGAATATTGAATTCGATATCGATGCCTCTCAAACTGTAGGCAGTACTTCCACCTCTGACTTTGGCCATGATCAAACCACTCTCTTTTGAGAGCAACACTACGTCCAACTCTAATTTCTCAGAGAATGTCGAGCAGTTGGCCGATGCCTTGGCGAAACCGATGCGCTGGTTTTGCTTATCGAAATGAATGTTGTAACCAATCAAACCCAAGTCACCAATGATAAAGTAGTTGTTGTCGACCGTACGCAATAAGAGTTCATAGCATTTCTCTTCTTCATTGTAAACCAAGTAGTTCTGAGGTAGTACTGAGAGGTGAAAGATCTCACCATCAGTATCGACAAACGAGATATTAAACTTTGGATAGTTTGGTATATCTTTTTCATCTATAAAAGCACAAGGGAATGAAGTATTCCAGAATGCACCATCCTGAAATCCAGCTAATGGGAACTTCTCATACATTGTATTTATCATATTGTTATATAATGGTGTTGGTATTACTATACTTGCTGATCCAGAATCAACTTTAATACATCAAGTTATATATAAGTTAAAAGTTAATATTTTAGATCGATTTGAATCAATATAATTGTATTTATATTACTTACTCCATGCATTATAAGTTGTATGTTCCAATTTATATTGACCGATATGAACTTGAGAGATGGTTAGATTGTATGTATATGGTTTTGCCACTGGAATGTATCGCATTGGTTCAACTATTAGCTCGGGATCGTAACCACCGATTTTGAATTGTCCACCATATCCCGATTCTCCAAAACACAAAGAGAATGAATTCGATAGATTATACTTTAAACTGATTTGTGTTAGAATATCTTCACCTGCAGTGTCATCAATCACTTTCGTACTCAATCCAAAGATTCCATCGAATGATCTTGGTGTATATACATCTGGTGCTGGACATTCTTTATATTGAAAAGCTAAGAGTAATATTTTGTTAACCTACAAAGTTTGAAATATCAATAAATATATTATATTATATACTTACATAATGATTCAGCAATAACATTACCGAAAATCGAATCAATTGAATAACCACCTATTCTAACAGTATCTTCAACCAATTGACTCATTAGGAATGATTTATCAACGAATTGCTCTGAGTAGATACAGTTGTCAGTCCTACAATGCACTTTACTATTCGGACTGTATTCTCTTTTATAGGTTGATTCTGCTTTGCTAGAGCAACGACATTTCGTTGGTCTATTCACTGCTGAGTAGAGGAAACAGTCTACCGATGGTATGTTTAGAGTTGCCGAGCCAGTATCCAACATCACCCTAAACGATTGTGAAGGATTACCAACCAATATAGAGATCGTGTAGACACCAACACGATAGCCAGCACCTATAAACGTACTATATCTCTCATCATTGTTATCAATAACACCATCGGTATCGATTGGATGGATATCAAATAATTTTCTATTTGAAAATGTATTTATAATTAAACTACTATTATTATCATTATCATTATTATTATAATTATTATTATTTATAAAATAATTTGTATTATTTCTATATCTATTCTTAAAATATCTATTATTATTATTACTATTAACAATTCTATTGAATCTAATTGAAGTATCGAGATGACATTGAACTTCAACCAAACAATAAAATAAAAAAATATTACAAAAATGGTTGGAATCTGAATTTTAATCATTTTTTTAATTTTATCCAATTCAAAGTTTTGCTATTGAACAGTGAAAATGAATAATAAATAAGAATGAAAAATATTAATTAAAGATATCTTTTAATTAAATATTTATTTATTATTTTGATGTTAATTTATTTTTTGTAAATCAATACGTACTACCCCTAAAAAAAAATAAATAAAAAAATTGTAGTGTTAGTAAAAATAAAACACTCTTTAATTGAAGTAGTATACAATTAATATTTTTTGTTTTTTCTTTGTTTAAAGAGAATGTTCATTTTTTTAATCTTAAGATTTACGTTTTTAGTTTTAAAATTATTTATTAATTTTTTTATTTGTTGAAAATTTAGAACAGAATTTATTTATCTATATAACAATGTTTTTTTTTTATGATTTTTTGATTGTACAATTACAGTATCGATATGATAATTTAAAAAAATTATAATAACTTACTACCAATAATATCTTTAAATTTAATTTAGTTCCAATTTTTATTGTTTTATGAATCGAAGAGAATAAAGAAATTATTTTTAAAAAACCTTTTTTACAACTGTGTCAACTTTGAAGCATATTAATTAATCAACAAAAATTTTTAAAAAAACAATAAATTCAAAACAAGTGATGGATTATTAGTGAAAAGAGAGAATAGCTAAATGGATAAATCATTATTATTTAAAATTCTAAATAATAAACCACTTAGAATGTTGATTGGAAAATATATAAATGCTAGTAAGAAAGAAGTTAGAAGATATAGATTAACAAAAGCAATGGCTGCAGTAGGATTAAGAATTAGATCAGATAGTAGATTATGTGCTCAATATATTGATGGAACACTTGGTGAAGAATGGACAATAGATGAAATTGTTCAAGAAATGGCAAAGTAAGTAAAAAAGTAGTAGCATTATTAATTATATATTGATTGGATTCTTGGTCGATTCTTATATGATCATTTTTTAGACTTCGATATTATTTCAAATTTTGTGGTTTACGTTCGACAATCAAAAAGATCAAAAAAGAAAGAGATGATAAAATAAATGAAAAAAGAGATTGGAATTTCATGTATGGTAGTCGTTGGAGTTATGAGCCAAGGGATCATCATTATGAATTCTCTGATAGTGATAATGATAATGATAGTGATGATAGTGACGATTATTACTTTAAAGAAGATAGCGATGAAATGTTAGAATAAATGAGAGTCCATTTGAAGAAGCAAAGAGAATAGTGGAACAGAAATATGGTATTCCTGTCAAATGGCCATGGCTGAATGAAAGTGGTCAGCCAAATGAAATTTATGGATCAGATGATGATAGTGTTTAAGTCAAGAAGAAGAGAAATTTAATGGTGTTGTTTTACTGTCAATATATTTTATCTACTTCTATTCCTCTTGATTTACTTGCATTTTTAGTGGCAAGAGAAGTGGTAATTTTGACTTGTTTTCATCAAGAAAAGTAGTGTTTTTTGTTTATAAATTATTTTGTTTAATTTTTAATACTTAAAATATATTTATATACAAAATATATATCTTTTTTTTTGAGGGATTTTTTTAGCAAAAAATGACAATTTCTTTTGTTTATTTTTTTTTATTTTTATTTTTAAGAAGTAAAAATTGTTTTAATTAATAATTATAATAATCAAAATAGCAATCATTTTGCACCATCCCAAAATAAAACTTAATATGACCTTTGATTGGTTACTGGTTATTTAAGTTTGGATTGTAAGTTACTGATACTGTTATTTATAATTAATTTCATTACTGATATCTGCTGTATATATTCATTTATGATAGATTCATTAGATAGTAGGTTGTTATCGTGGAGAGGAGTACCGCCAAAATAGGATTTACAATAGAATTTCCAGATTTGATGAAAGACAAGTGAAGCGAGAGAAGTGAAGTTGTCCTTTCTTCTAACCAACTGATACGCGTCTTCCATAGTCCAAACGAATCGTTAACCACCTGAAAGCTGTAAGGAATCAAGAATGGTGTTAAGATTGTATCTGTGCATAACTGCTCGACAATTAAAGAATGTATGGAAATATGGGTCAGAGCAGTATGTGAAGCACAGTTCACATTCTTTGTTTTGGTTGTAAGCCAATCCAGGTAGCGAACGGAGAAGAACCGGAAGACAGTGTTTCGTCCCCGCTCGTTGTATATTTTTTTTTTTTTTTGCAAAAAAAGATTTGTTGACTCATGATCAATCAACAAATTGCAGTTATTGATATTAACCTGCTAGTTCGTGTTTTATATTTTATATACATTCTCACACAGGCCGTGAGAAATAGCCAATAAAATATTATTATTATTATTTTTTATAGTTATTATTAATTCATAAGTTGAGTAGTACATCAAAAATCTGTGAAAACGGACAGAGGTTTCAAAATATCAAACAGTAATACATTTATTTATTATAGAAACTAATAAATATATTCTAAGATAGATCTTTAATAAAGATTAATTATTAGAAAAGAATTGAAACATTTACCATTAAAAAAAATAAAAAACAAAAATTAACTGTGCAATATTTCTGAAGTGATAAAATATTTTTTATTTATATACATTTAAATTGATTTAAAAGAAAACAATTAATAGTATGTCCAATAAACTTGGTTAAGGATTACTTGATTCATATAGTGATTGGCAGTACTCCGGTGTCTTTTCATATCACCACTATTAACATTATTTAAGAGCTCTATTGAGTTTAGAATGAATGACATCTAGTATATATATTTATCTCAAGAATACCCAAGAATTTTAAAAAACATTCAGGTCCTTACTGGTTTGTTTAAATATCAAATTTAATTAAGAATGCATTTTATGTAAACAATATTATGAGTTTTAGTATATTGATGACAAGTGAGATGTCTTGTACAGTTGTGGAATATACTAAAATTAGTTAAACAATATTATTTATTCGTCGATCTATAAAATTTCTAAAAAATCTGGGAATCTAGAGTTTAAGATAGATTGTCTAAGTATCCAGTTCCATATTAACTTAATGAGAGAAAAGATTGAATTTGAATCTACCACTTTCAACTTAATGATAGAATATTAGTTGTTCTATAATCGGGAACTCCTTTAAAGAATAACCTTTCTTTATACTTTACTCTCCTTGTTTTATTTTCGTTTCATCTGTTAAATTACTTTTCTAAAAAACAATATCCTTGTTTATGTAAAATCAGCTAAAAACCTTTACATTTTGAATATGAAGAAGAGTCTAAAAGGTTTTTTTTTGAATTATTTCTGAAAGTAATTCCTTTATAATTCTTCTAATAATGTTATTGATTTATAATTTGAAAAATATATTGTTATCCTTTTTTTTTATTGATTTAATTGTTTTTTAAAATTTTTTTTAAATTTTATTTTATATAATTGTAATCTTTTAAATATATACTCTTTTTATACATATAGTATTTGTGTTCAGTGCTGATTTTGTTTTTGCTTCAATTAACTTTATCTTTTTTTAGCACTGAATCTTTTTGAGTATTGCCAATAATCATTACAAATTTTAAACCTTGTTGCGCGCATTTTCCCCGATAAATCTTTAAAATTTATATCAAGAATGGGAATCGAACCCATGACCCAAACCGTGTTAAGGTTTTGTGATAACCAACTACACCATCCTGACTTTACATGAGAAGAATGAGTAAATTACCTACAATAATTTGAGATATTATCTAATTTTTTAATTAAAAAGAATCTGTAAGTACTTTTTGCTTTGGAAACTGATTGAATTATTGACTATGATATCTTTCCTTTAATTAATTATAATTCGATCATTTTCAATCTTTTCTTGGAAGCGAGCACAATTTATTTTTTAAATTTTCGACAGCATATCGTCGTTTTTTATTTCTCTCTTTATTGTGATGATACTCAGCATCAGTATAATTATACTTGTTCATATGCCCTGACTTGAAGTAGCGCACTACAAGTTAAATACATTTGACACATTTATATTAACAATAAACAATATATTATATAAATAAGATAGATAGGTAGATAGATAGATAGAGCAGTTGTTTTGAATTTCAGAGAGTTGTTACAAATTCAATCGATCGATCAAAAGAGTAATATCATTGCTTCTATCATAGATCAAGGTGATGGAGTGTAACAAAGATGAAGCAGTCAGAGCGCGGCGTTTGGGCGAGCAATACCTAACCAAAAATGACTTTTCAAAAGCTTTGAATCTATTTATGAAATCGAAACGATTGTATCCTACCGATGGTATCGATGATTTAATATCAACAGTAGAACAACAACAACATCATCATCAACAACAATATAATTCAACAGATCAGCAGCAGCCACAACAACAACAAACAGAACAACAATACAATAACAATAGTAGTTCAACACAATCAAATTTTAATGATAATGTTCAACAACCACATGCATCTATAGTATCTCCACAACAACAGCAACAACAACCACCACCAACACCCTTCGAATTCCAATAACAATAACAATAGCTACACTGATGAAAGTCTATATATCGTAAAGATGGTATTGGAGAGTAAAACAAACTTTTCAAAGCTATCACTTACAAACAAGTGTACAGACAATGAAATTCTTAAGATGTACAAGAAGGTTTGTATTACCAAATCATTATATTTATATTAATCTAGATTTCAATTTAATATTAACATATTTAAAAACAAACAGTTGGTGGTATTATTACATCCTGACAAGAATAAAGCACCCGGTTCTCAACAAGCATTCAACGAGATTACAAATGCTAAAAATATATTGTTGGATAAAGATAAGCGATTTCAATATGAAAAGTCATTATCAAGTAAAAATATACAAGATGATGATAGAGTTAATGTAAGTTTTATTATTTAATGTTTATTATTTTATTGATTGATTGTGGTTGGTTATTTATTTACTATTGATTTTTATTATTAGTTGTTATGTCCAAATGTAATTTGTCAAATGACAAATGTTGTAATGGCAAGATTACATAATGAATATCAAAACGGTCAAACCAGGCTAGAGTGTTTCTATTGTAAGCAGATGTTTGCGATGATCAGGTGTATACATTGTAGCTCCAGTTTCGTTTTGGGACCTAATTTCTTGAAACTCAATGGTAAACATGTTAAATGCACCAATACCAGTTGTGTGCGCCAATTCCTATTGGTGTTCCCAAGGCGAACCGTCAAGATAACGCCACCACCCAACAACTTTCTCACCTCATCAAAGCATAGTATGATCTCTAAAAAGAAAGAAGAGAAGGAAATAGAAGAAGAAGATTGGTATACAAATCTATTGAAAATGAGAGAACAAAATACTCAACAACAAGCTCAACAACAAGTTCAACAAAGAGAAATAGAGATACAACAACAACAACAAATACAACAAATACTACAACAGAAGGAAAGAGAATTACAAGAGCAATTGCAAAGACAAAGAGAGAGAGAACTTCAAGAACAGCAACAGCAAAGAGAAATAGAGTTACAGAAACAAAGAGAAGCAGTGTTACAACTAAGGAGGGAAAGAGAGTTACAAGAGCAAAGACTGAGAGAGGCGCAAGAACTGCAACAACTGAGAGAAAGAGAAAGAGAGTTACAACTACAAAGAGAGAAAGAGTTGAAAGAACAGCAGAGAGTGTTAGAGTTGCAACAACAACAACAACAACTGAGAGAGTTAGAGATAATGAAACAAAGGGAATTGGAGGTACAAGAACAAAGAGAAAGGGAGTTACTCGCGCACCGAGAGTTTATGTTGCAAAGAGAGAAAGACGTACAACTGCAGAAGGAGAAGGAGATGCAAGCACTCAGAGAGAAGAACAGAGAGAAACGACTACTTCAACAGAAACAATGGATAGAGATACAAAAGGAGAAAGAGTTGAAGAAGAAGCAGGATTTGGATCAGTATCAACAACAAATGGAAAGAGACTTGCAAGCACAGAAAGATATAGAAGCAGCACAACAACAACGACAACAACAATCACAGTGTAAATCACATGAAGAAATCGATTATGATTCTATTTTTAATATTTCACAACAGAGTAACATCAACAATGATGATCTGATACAAAGCGATGATGATAATAATAATATACATTCGTCAGCGACACAACACAACACCGCCAACATCAATAACATTAAAAACACAGAGAAGTCATCACCTCCTATTATTATTGATGCAGATAGTTTAGATTTGGGTGATATCTTTACACCAAACAAAGTTACCACCAAACTACAATCTCAACAATCATCTACTCAAAATAATAATAGCAATAACAATAACAACAATAACAATAGTAATAGTAATAATAATACCAAAATACCATCACCTACACCCAGAATCTTAAAGCCATTATCTATCAACAGATCACAACCATCAAGCACTAGTCCAAATAACAACAATAATAACATTAATAGAAATAATAACAATAACAATGAACTTAACTTTGTATATAAACAACCAAAAGTTAAAGATTTATTTAGATCTACGATACCATCTACAACACCAACAGCAACAACAACAACTATACATGACACACCCAACAACAATTACAATTATAGTAATAATAATAATGGTGATATTAGTGAAGAAGAACCAGAGTTATGGCCACCAAAGCCAGTGTTTTGTCACATAAATCAAGATGAAGACAACACCAGTGATTTGAGTAAGAAGAAGCAAAAGAAATCAGATCAGAGTCCAAAATCTGCAGATATCGCTAGTTTCCTTAGCAAAGTTAAAGTTGATCCTCCAACTACTACATACAAACCAAATAATAATAATAATAATAATAATAATAATATATAATAATAATAATAATAATAATAATAATAATAATGTAAATTCAACAAATATTAATAATAATAATAATAATAATAATAATAATAATAATAATAATAATAATAATAACAAATCAATTGAATTGGAGGATGTCGATGATATTTTTGGTGAAAATCAAATTTGGTCACAAACATCAATTGTTTCTCCAATCAAAGTTAGAAATACAACATCAACAAATAATAATAGTAAAAGCAATAGTAATAATAATAATAATAATAGTAATAGTACAAAATCAACACAGAGTAGCAGTTACAGTGGTAGTGGTAGTGGATACGAAGAAAGCTCAGGTTCCAATCGATATATGGACGATGACCTTAATTATACAAACGAATATGGCGATGAAGAGTTCAATCTTATGAGTGAGTTCCAACACCAATTCGAATATGCCAAGTTCAATGAGTCTGTTAGTGAAGATATGATGAATATTAGTGCTGAACCGACAACAACAACTACTACTACTACTACTTCAACATCAGTAGATTCAACCAGTGATCGCTTCTTGAATGATTTAGATATTGGTAAACAATCAAAAGAAGATGACGAGTTTGAATTAAAGAGAAAGAACGTAGATCTAGACCGTAATACCAATGTACAGAAGTTCAAGAAACAAAAGGTAGATAATGTCAAAGATAAGGACAAAAATAGAGAAAGAGAAAGAGAGGAGAAGGAAAAGGAGAAGGAGAAGGAGAAGGAAAAGGAAAAGAGAGATAAAGAGAAAGATAAAAGAAGAGATAACGAGAAAGATAGTAGAAAGAAGGAGAAGGAAAAGAAAGAAGAAAAGGAAAGGAAAGATAAAGAGAGAAGAAGTAAGGAGAAAGAGAAAGAGAGGGAAAAAGAGAAGGAGAAGGAAAAGGGAAAGGATAAGAAATCAAAGAAAGATAAGTTGAAGTTTAAACATTCAGATGATGACAATGATTATGATGATGCTGAAGATGATCAAGACGATTTCAATCATGAAAAGTCAGCACCAAGTAAGAAGAGACAGAAGATCGATGATTCTGATGATTTTAATCAAACACCAACTTTGGATAAAGTTAAAGATAAAAAGAAGAAGAAAAAGTCATTAGACGAATCATTTACAGCTACATCTACATCGACATCATCATCTACTTCTTCTAGAAAGAGAGCTGTCTTGAGTGATGACGAATCCACAGTCAAACAATCAACCGACAAAAAGAAGAAGTTAGATCACCAACCACAACAACCAACAACCAGTGCTACACCAACCAAGAAACGACAATCAACTAACAACAGCGCAGTAGATACAAATACAACAACAACATCTACACCAAATAAGAAAAAGAAAGAGGATAAAGAAAAAGATAAAGATAGAGAAAAAGAAAAGGAAAAGGAAAAGGAAAAAGAAAAAGAAAAAGAGATGGAATTGAAAAGAAAGCATCAAATGGAATCATTCAATCAAGAAGATGAAGCGGATTCAGATGACCAAGATTTCATTCCAAAGAAGAGATCGAAACATTCACCATCAAAGAACAACTCAACACACGACAATAAGATTCCAGGTGTCACAACAACAAAGAGATCTTCAACCTCCAAAAAGATTTCTACCAGCACAAGTTTAAACCAACCAAAGATATATGATTACTTTAAAGTTCAAAACAAAGTAAAATAAAGTAAATAAGTTTATTTTTATTCGAATAAAAACTCATCATCAACCTTATCGTATTGTATTAAAAATCCAATCAATATTTACAAAAATAGACTATTATTAATTAGTAGTGCTTGTTGTCGACAACACCTCTATGAACAACTTAATTTAAATTAGAAATCCATTGGATTAACTTTATTTCCTCCAGATGAACAAAGTAATCCACTACCGGATTTCATCTTACTGACTAGATCGGCACCGGCTTTTGCTTGGTTAACGTTGTTTGTGTTGGTAGCGTCGCCTTCACGTGAGAGTTCTGGTGGCAAATGTATGGTTTCAATACACATCTTTCTTCGTTTCATTTTGAAAACATAATTTAAAACATTGGGATGGTAAGACAATGAGAGTGTGTTGAGTTTGGCAATCTTTCTGATGTTGAATAATCCGAGGTAGTCTGAGAAGGCCGCTGGTGTTTCACCACCGAGACCGGTGAACGAGTTGATAGCCACGACGTTATCACAGAGATGTGCCATCTTGGCGACAAACGACTGACTGTAGATATGTGTTGGAACGGTTACTACTGCGACTGCCAGTGACGACCTCAGCAAACCTTTGAGAGCGTGTAGAAATTCAACGACACCGTCGACGTCGTTCGACCAGAGTGGCGTGGCGAACGACTGTAGCGCCAGACGCAAGATTCTTGGCGCGCCACCAATATCGCTTGCAGCCGATGCTTCTTGATTGTATTTACGAACCAATTCTCTTATCTCAATGAATAGATTACGATAGGGAGATGAACCTTCTACTTGCTGCGCGCCAGCCGACGAATACGTTAGGGTGTGCATATGTTCCGGTTGGAACGATTGAATGTTCATCTTTCTGGTGAAGTCGTAGGAGTGACAGTAGTTGTTATTTGCGGTGGAACGTTCACGTTTCTTTGCATTCTCGGCATCGATATAGGTCTGATAACGCCATGCAATTTTCAAGTCGGATTCACCGGTGTTGCTTGCTCCAGACTTTTCGCGTTGTGCAAGCAAGTCTGCTTCTTCATCTTCTTTCTGTTCCTGTTCGTTTAGACGTGCCGGCAGTTTGTTTAGCACTTCAAAAGCGTCGAGACCGACCAACGACGAGAAGAATGTACCGTGATTCTGCACGACACCCTCTGCCAAAAAGTATTTCAAAAGAAACATGTAGTAGCTGCTATTGACATCCTCCTCAATCATGAGAATACTACCCACTGGAATACCACCACCCATGATCTCGTCTAGATCATTCAAACCGGTGGAAGTGAGAAGATTTCCATTTTGAATCGATAGTTTACAACCATTTGGTAACTTCTTTTGGTGTTGAACTTGTTGTTGTTGTTGTTGTTGTTGTCCACCTGCACCACCAGCTAACGATGATGATGCTACAGCAGGTATCTTTCTTGTGAATGTAGTTGGTTGTCTTACTGTATTACTCATGATAATAATATCATATTAATTCAATTAAATAAATAAATAAATATATAGATATTAATAATAGTATTCAAGAAAATTAGAGAAAAAGTAATTAAAATAAAAAACGAAAAAAAAAAAAAAAAAAAAAACAAATAATCACACACACACCCTATGACATCACACCACCAAATAAACACACCAAACAAACAAAGTTCACTAAACATATTTGTAATAAGATAGAATATGTGAACACATGATCTTTAGATAAAGCTTGAATGATTCCTTGTAGATATACTAGTTTTAGATGAAGTTAATTTAATAAAATCTTTATTTTCTATATAGTGGATCGATCTGATCTTAACAATAGATCTATTGTCTTGATGTTAGATGAACAACTATAAATAAGTTAAAAGTTTGTTAATCTGTTTTATCAAATTCAATTTGTAAAAACTAAGAAAGGTAAATTGTATTACAAAAAACTAAATATTAAACATTTATTTTTAACATATTTTTTTTATTTATATTTTTTTTAAAAAAAAACAGATAAATCTAAATAAAATGGTTAGATCAATTAACTTTTCGAATATATTATTATTATTTATCATCATTTTCTGTTTGCTGTCAAATTGTTTTGCAGAATCAAAGGTGGATTACGCACATTGTATTGTAAATTGTTACAAATATGCAAAAGGTCCAGAATGTTATGATAGTTGTACAGATTAAATAATAATAAATATAAATAAATAAATAAATAAATAAATAAATAAATAAATAAATAAATATATAAATATATAATTTTTTAATGATGTTCAAAAATTAAATAACAGATTTCCACACTCATTGTTTTTATTCACCCCATTATAAACTTAATATTATTGGTTTTGTTGATAAATTATTTGATAATCAATCGATGGGAAAGTTGATCACAGCACACAGGTGTTAAAAATAAATAATTAATTTTACTAAAATATGAAAAATTCTATAACTTTAATAACTTATTCGCACAAGGTAGTTCATATATATAATATCATAGTAAACTTCTGAAATTAAGATGAACCGTTTTCATAAATAATTCCACTTTAACAACACTGATATTCATTAAATATATTACTCAGTGATCTCATATCAATGTCAAAAATTTTAATTATTTCTTTTTATCTCTTGACATTGGACTATCCAATGTATCCTACTCTTTTTCTATACAAATAATAATTAACTATTTGTTTTTATTGTAAATGATTATATATTTGAATTGTATATTTTTTTTTAGACTATAAATAGATCATCAATTCTAATTTTATTTATCAAAACAAATCTTAATAGTATTAAAATGAAGAAACAATTATTTTATTTTGTATTAGTATTCTTAATTTTGGCAGCAGCAGGTGTAAACGGAGAATGTAGAGAGTTCTGCAAGTTAAAACATGAACCTTGTTTAGAAAGATCAAAAAATCACTTTAGAAATGCATCACCTCAACAAATAGCTACTCTATGTGAATCTTTAGAAAAAAAATGTGTAACTCTCTGTATATCTGGACAAATACATGAACCCATTGAAGTTACTCCTCCACCACCAGCCGATTAATTAATCTTATAATCATATTAAAATAAACTATTATTTAATATAATTATTATTATCAATCAAACTATGTATATGTATCTATATCTGTATCAATATCTTGTTTCAAATTTGATTGTTGAACATTCATTGTTAACTTTTGAAAAAAAATAGTTTTGATTGTTGAATTTTTTTTTTTTTTTTTTTTTTTTTTAATTGAAAGCGATATCATTTGTAAAAAGTTATATTATTATTATTATTTAATATAATATCTATTATATATATATATTATATTATCTTAATATAATATAATAAACATGAATACAAATAGTTCTAAATCAGTAAAAGTAAAGAATAAATCAGCTGCTCCGGTGCAGATTACAGCTGAACAGATTCTTAGAGTTGCACTTGAGAATCAACAATCTCTACCGAAAGCACCAAAACAGAATATTACAGATCTAGAGGAACTCAAAGAGTATCGTACGAGAAAGAGAAAGGAATTCGAAGAGACATTGCTGCGTATCAAACCGGTGGGACTCTTTATAAAGTATGCGACATGGGAGGAATCACAGAAGGAGTTTGAGCGTGCACGCTCGGTGTTTGAGAGAACACTCGATCTCTACTATAAAGACATCAATGTCTGGTTGAAATACGCAGAGATGGAGATGCGTAACAAGTTTATCAATCACGCGCGTAACGTATGGGATCGTGCTGTCACGCTGCTCCCGAGAGTACCGCAACTCTGGTTCAAATACACATTCATGGAGGATATGATGGGAAACACCTCGGGTGCACGTGCAATCTTTGAACGTTGGATGTCGTGGAAACCCGACGAACAAGCTTGGAACTCTTATATTAAATTCGAATTACGTTTAACTCAACCAGAGAATGCTAGATCAATCTTTGAAAGATGTAAGTATTATTATTAGTAGTTAGTAGTTGTTGTTGTTGTTAACGTTATTAACATTATCTATCTTATGAATCAATCAATCAGATGTATTATGTCATCCATATACAAAAACATGGATAAAATATGCAAAGTTTGAGGAGAAGCTAGGAAATATAGAGAATACTAGAAGTGTGTTTGGTAGAGCGGTCGATTTCTTGGGTGATGAAGGTGTCGATGAAACATTGTTTATAGCATTTGCAAAGTTTGAGGAGAAGTTCAAGGAGGTGGAACGTGCTCGTCAGATTTACAAGTATGCTTTGGATCACATTCCCAAGTCAAAGGCGGCATCTCTGTTTGAGACGTTCACCAACTTTGAGAAACAGCATGGCGACCGTCTGGGAATCGAGGATGTCATTCTGGGAAAGCGCAGATTCCAATACGAAGAGGAGATCAAGAGCAATCCAAAGAACTACGATGTCTGGTTTGATTATACGCGTCTCGAGGAGTCGGCTGGCGAGGTGGAGCGTGCGCGCGAAGTTTATGAACGCGCCATTGGAAATGTGCCGCCATCGGTCGAGAAGCGCTACTGGCGTCGCTATATTTATTTGTGGATCAACTACGCGCTCTTTGAAGAGTTGGTCGCGCAGGATGCGGATCGCGCGCGCCAAGTCTACCAGGCTGTGGTCAAGCTGATTCCACACCAGCAATTCTCATTCTCAAAACTCTGGATTATGTATTCGCACTTTGAAATTCGTCAGATGTCGCTGGATCGCGCACGTCAGATCCTCGGACAAGCCATTGGATTGGCGCCAAAACCAAAAATATTCGACGCCTACACCAAGCTCGAGATTGAACTGGGCAACTTTGACCGTGTCAGAAAACTCTACGAGAAGTATCTCCAGGTCTATCCGGAGCACTGCGAAGCATGGAGCAAGTTTGCGCAGTTGGAGCAGGAGTTGGGTGAGAACGACCGCTCGAAAGGCATCTTTGAGATCGCCGTGCAGCAACCGTCGCTCGACCAGCCCGAAGTCATCTGGAAGAACTACATCGATTTCGAGATCGATCGACAAGAGTATGACGCGGTGCGTGCACTGTATCGTCGCTTGCTAGAGCGAACCAATCATGTCAAAGTATGGATCAGCTTTGCACAGTTTGAACAATCGATTGCCAGTTACGATCTCTCGCGACAGATCTTTGCCGAGGCAAACAAAGAGTTGGTAAACAGCGACAAAGAAGAGAGAATTCTCCTCTTGAAACAATGGAAGTATTTCGAGCAGAAACACGGTACACAAGAACAATTGGAATCAGTAGTAAAGAAAGAACCAAAGACTGTTATTAAGAGAAAGATTATCAAAGCACCGGATGGAGTATGTATTCACAATTTAATATTATTAATTATTATCATCAATCAATACTAATCTAATAACTTCTAATAATAATAAAAATAATAATAATGCTATAGTCGGATGCAGGATTGGAAGAATATTATGATTATATATTCCCTGAGGAACAAACAGCACAACCAAATCTCAAACTTTTGGAAATGGCACAGAAATGGAAGAAACAAAAAATGGAACAAGACCAATCGAAATAATAATAATAATAATAACAATTTCTTATTAAATAGAAGTATTTCTATAACAATAATATATAAAAGAATAAAACCAAATCTAAATAATAAATTGTAAATTCTAAAAAATAATATTATATTGGAAAACACTTTATCTATAATGATCGTTTAATTATTTACAAAAAAAACGATTCAACTGAGAAAAAATAAAAAAAAAATAAAAAAAAACATAGATTTATTTTTTTTTATTAATAACATGTTGAGATTCGAATAGATTAGATTATATCAAAAATTAGTTTTTTCCTTTCATTTCATAGTTATTTATAGTTATTGTTCTATAATAAATATATATATATAGAGATATAATAATAATAATCATGACAAGCTATACAGCTATGACAAGTAGCAGTAACACCAGTGGTACATCTTCAAAGGATAAAGAAAAAGATAAGGAAAAAGATCAACATCATCATAGAGATAATAAAGTCGAATGGTTCAATCCTACTGAAACAATATTATTTGAATATCTACCTTTTGTCTATTTCAATCCATTCAAGAATAACAATAGCAACAATAATAATACTAATAATGGTAATCAACAACAACAACAACAACACACAACAACAACAACAACAACAACAACAACAACAACAACAACAGAATGGAATAACCAATAATAACAATAGTAATAGTAGTAATGGTATTACAGATGATAAGATTAGAGGGGTCATTATGATTGTAATGATGAATGGAGATGTTTTCTTCTATCCCATTGACACCAATGAATTGAATCAACTTCCTATTAAACTACAACCAAATCAACATTCTTCAACATCATCGGCAACGTCATCTAATACAACAACAACACCAGATAATAAGAATAAATATTCAAAATATAATATATCATTAAGTATAGTTTTAGAACATCGTGTATTCGTTTTAGATTTCTTAGAGAGTGTTTTCCCGTATCAACCAACTACAGTATCGACACCGACACCGACAACGACACCTACAACAACCCAACAAACAGGTGGTAACAATAATAGTAACAGTAATAGTAATAGTAATAAAAGTCAAGATAACGTTAATCGTAAAGTCAATGGTTTAATGAATCAGAATGATACCAATAAATCAAAAGAAAAAGAGAAAGAGAAGGAAAAAGAAAAAGAAAAAGAAAAGGATAATAATGGTACCAAAAGAAAGGAAAAGGAGAGCAATCTAATCAATTTGAACAGTCTTGATGTCATTGGAACAAGATATAGAAAACCAAGAAAAGTACTACTCTCACATGACAAACGATTATTGATGGTGATTGGAAGTTTTCATAAAGGTTTAAGATGTTTAACTGTGTAAGTATTATTTCAACGGTTTTAGTTAATCGGTTAATTAATCACACCAAACTTATATCTAATCGTTGTTATTCATTTCTAACTAGTTACAAGATAAATGAAGATGGACCAGATTATCTACAATTGATATTCTATGATAGTAGCTTTACATATATAGATGCATGTTTTTCATCGGATTCACAGATGCTTGTCGCCATTCTAGCACGATTTCCCAACTATTTATTCTTTATTCAGCTACCGACAATCTCGCCAGTGAAGAAACTAGCATCCGATGCATTCAAACTACAGCAACAGTATAGATCACAGTTTTGTATGCATATTAGATCTACTGGTTCATTTGGAACTAACAATAACAACAATAACATCAACTCTGAACATCAACAAAATAATAATAATATTAATCCAGCTAGTATATTACAGAGTGAAGCTAATCAATATCAACATTTATTGAATTGTAAGACGATAAACTATGAACCTAGAAAGATTGGACCGATGGCTATTGTTGGACCGGCAAAGAATGCTCTGGGTGCAGCATATGCACCGACACATATCGCTTCGAATCCGGCACCGGTCAACAGGAGTACCGATCGCATCGAGTCGTTTGAGTATGTCACATGGAATGACGAGGGTCTTGGGGAATACTGTCTATGGAGCGTTGGAAAGGAGTCGACAAGCAGCAACAGCAATCGTCCGATTCCATCGTTGAAATTCGAGTGGATGACACGCTTCATCGGTCCCATTGTTCCGGATCGTGTTTGGATCGAGAAAGAGAGTTCGCCAAAGAACTATATCATCAATATGGATTTCTCACCAAAGGGTGACCTCGTCATGGTGATAGTGCGACGCGAGAATCACGATAGAAATTCGAAACTCTCCAATGGAATAGGAATTCAAACTATAAGTGCACATCTTAGGAATATCAATGGTAGTAGTTCTGAATATGATGAAAAATATAATAGTAATAGTAATAGTAACAATAGCAATAATGATGGAAATAATAATAGTAGTGAAATTAATGGACAACAACAACAGGATGCAAATAATACATATGGATATCAAAATCCAATGGGTATAATAGGTGGAGATACAGCATCTCCTTGGATTCAGGTTGCCGATAATATGGATCAGATAATCACAGCGAAATGGACGGATTCTTTATTTTTCGGAAGTAGAATGTCACCTTCGATTTTGGTGCGTGGTGTTGGTATCTATGAGTTGGTTTCAAGGAACAATTGTGCATTGTTTACCAATGGATCCGATGATTTTCTAAACTGTTCAAACTATCTTCAATTGGGACGATATCACAGGTTATGGATGGAGAATAGTGAGTTCAACGTCTATCTGATAACTTTGACACCAAAGAACAACGATTGTATCGAATGGAAACGTGTGTTTGAACAGAAGGATCAATCTCAGTTCAGTAAATCACTCAAAATGATTGGATACAACTTGATAGATCATAGTGGTTTACAAGGTAGCAGTGGTGCCGTTGGAAGTGGTGTATCCGCATCAACAACAACAGCAACAACAACGCCACAACATGGAAGTAGTAGTGGATTGACTGGTAGTAGTAACTCTGGTGGTGGTGGGGGTGGTAGTAGTAGTAGTAATGCCAATGGAAATCATACCAATAGTAAGATTAGTAACAAGTTGGCCAATCAAAAGAAAATGGATGAGATGTTGGCAATGCTGTCGTTTACCAATGGCGAAGTGCAGGAGAAGAACGGTCGTGGCGAAGGTGATGTATACATTGGATTACAACTCTATAGATGTGGCAAGTGTAAATTATCTCTGATGAAACCACTGATTTGTGGCAACTGTAAATCAGTATCGTATTGCTCAAAGATATGTCAACAGGAACATTGGGACTTCCATAAAGATATATGTAAAGCTCCAACTCCTCCTACACAAACACCATCTATTCAACAGTATTATTCATAATAATAATCGTAAGAATAGAATCATCAGCTCATTTCAATAATTGTTTAGACTTATGAATGGAACCAATATTAAAATAAAAATGGTGATCAAACCAAACCTTCTCAAATTACAATATATATTGTAAAAAAAAAAAAACTACTAATTAGTGATATTGATACATTATAATTAAATTATAAATCTTTATTGTTCATTCCTTCTAATTTCTTTTTCATTCTGATTTCTTGTTTTCTGAATTTCTTTTTCTTTGCTAAAAAGAATGTTGTTGCAATTACAATACTCACAAATACAACAATTCCAACAACAATACCTGCAATAGCTCCATTTGATAATCGATTCTTCTTTGAACAAATCAAGTCAGATGTATCACTTGAATCAACATCAATGAGATTTGAAAAGTCAGGATCCAAATCGACTGAGAATAAATAATTTGGAATGGTGATTCCAACGATTGCTGATCGAATTTGATTGGTATTTGATGATTTGGTGTCATCTTGGTCAATGATTACATTCCGAATTGGTGTTACTGTGTAATCGATGACTGCATCAGATAAGAATCGACCATAAAGACTTTGATTATCAATATTCAATTTGATCCATTCAACAGATCCACCAGAAACACCAACTCCAGATGATGAACATGAATCTGATGAATCTGTTTCAATCGATGATTTCATCAAGATCTGCAAGAAATTCAATGGACTATCGAATTTATATGAATTCAAGTTCATCGTAAACTTGATTGTTGATTGTGGAATGTAAAGATTGTGATTGGCAAATGTGATGTTTGTTGATTGTTTGAAATATTCAATCGAAACATTGAGGAATGTTGTTGTTTGTTTGAGTTGTGTTGAATAGAAATACTTTGGATTCGAAATTGGTGTTGTTAAATCTGTGAAATTCCAATTGCTGATGTTGAATTGTTTGACAATATTCATTGTATCATCAAGTTCTCTGACACCGATGATTTCAATTGATGTTGTAATCAATGATCCTGATTCTGTAATATTGGTTCCTGTGACTGGTTCTGGATTGGCAGGAGGTGTTGGAACAATTATAATCTCTGTTGTTGAATAAAATAATAAAGTTAAAATTTAAATATATTTAATTAATATATAATAATTAACTTACTTGAAGAACATGATGGACCATACCAAGGTAATTGACATTGACAAATTGAATTGATACAATTTCCATTATTATTACACTCTGGTGTACCTGGACATTTTTGTGGAGCTGTTGATGTTGGTGTTGATGTTGGATTTGGAAGTGAAACTTTCTTGACTGGAATAATGAATGAATTTGAAAATATATTATTTCTGATCACTCTGACTGTCACGAAATCCGTTGTGATTTGTTTGATGTTGTTGAATTGTAAAATGATTCCAGAATGGAAATTTAAATTCATATCTTCAAATCCATTTCCATAATCGATTTGTGAAAGCATGGAGTTGTTTGTGAGTCCAAATGCACGTCCATAGATTGTAAGTGAACCTCCTCGACTGGTAAGATCTGAAGAACTCTCGATGATTGGTGTATTAAATGTAAATGATCTTTGAACCATGTATGGAAGGCCTATATCCTTTAAATCCATTGAATTATAAGCTCTCATGTTCAAGAAATTATCATAAATTGAATAGACACTGACAAAGATATTGTTAAAACCAAATCCATATGGAAGTTGAGCTTTTCCATAAAAGTAATAATATCCATCACCAGATGTTGTCTTGAAAATCGAATTAATTTCCATATAGTTGGCATTCTCTGATGTTAAACGAATGAATGGTGTGTGTCGAATTGAAACACCTGATCCTGTAATATTTTCAAAAAGTATAATATTAAATTCAACCGTTCTGATTGGAGATCCAACATCAACATTTGGTGAAATAATTAAATTTGAAAGAATTGGTGCTTCTATATCTTTAAGGTCTAGATATGTATATTTTGGGAAAAAGTATTAATATTCAACAATGATAATAATATTATTAAAAAGATAATTACCAGATGTAGAAACGACAGATAATCTTAATTGTTGTTCTTTTGGAGTTCCATAAATTAACATGAGAGGTGGTGTTGGAAACTGTAACTTTCCGATTGTACTTAAAAGTGTGATATTTGACATTATAAATGTTTGTGAAAGTGTATTGCTGTTGATTGTAAAGTTGATTCGATAGACTCCATCGGTTGGTCCACCAGATATTCTGTTGGATGAGTTGAATAGAATGATATAAGGAAGTAAATCGAAATTTGAAAGAACATAAAGACTTCCATTTGTGAATCCATATGGATCTGTGATATTTAAATCCCATCCAAGAGTATAACTTGTGTTTGGAAGTAATGTTAAATTGAGAGCTGTTAAACTATTTATATCTGTAATTTGTGGTGATAAATATATTCCTCCACCTTTTGATTAAAAAATAATTTATAATATTAGAATAAAATGTTATATTCATAATTGATCGATTAAATTTAAAAGACTTACTTGATTTAGATATGTTTAAAGTGGCATTTTTACCAATAACTGATTGTAATATATAGTCTTGAATATTGTTTGAAAACATTTGATTGAAATCCATTTGATATTGTTGTGATCCCATCATCATATCTCTTTGTAATTGAATATCAATTTCAAACAATTGTAAACTCGTGTTATAAGATCCTTTCCAATATATTCTGGGTCCTGATAAAGAAGTAAAACTAATAGAAGGTGTCAAGTTCTCCAATGGAATCGAGAAGTTCAAATACAATTTAATATCCAATGCACTTGTTGTCAAATCGATATTGTTTGGAATGAATTCAAAGTATGTTATATTCGTGTATATATTTGAGTCTAATTTGATATTTGTTAGAATAAATTTATTTTAGATATTTGTTAGAATGAATTTACTTACATAAATTTTGGTATACTGGATAATCAGGAAGAATATCACCTCTCTTATTATATGGTAATGCTGAAAATAAATAGAAAGTTTCATAGTTTGTGCTCAATATCGTTACTGGATAATCCTTGAACACTAAAGGGAAGATTTCTATTTCATATGTACCATTATATTGATCTCCATCGATGAGGTTGTTTGAGGTAATTATTTTTCCACCAATATGGATTGTCGTTATTGCATAGTTTGATAAAATCTTTATTCTAACCAAAACAGTAAATACAGAAACAATCTTGAAATCAATCAAATCTATTTCATATACTAGAGAATGATGTTAATTTATTAATAAATAAAATAATTTAATATTTAAATGAAATACTTACATTGTGGATTTTGGTAAGCTATATATGGAACTTTACTCGTAGTTGTCTGATAATTTGAATCCAGCGAAACCAAAAATGATATATCAGATGTTGTTGATTGAATGAAAGGTGTTTCCAATCTATATATATATTTTCCATTTATACTGCCGTATGGACACCAATTGCTTAAAGTTAAGCTATTTGGTCCGAATCTGAGAGTACTCTGAAAATTAAATAGATATGTTGATTCAAAGGTAAATGAAATATAGGAAGTATTTGTTCCTGAACTTAAATTCAAATATCTTGAAACGTAGGCAATACCAGAAGTCAATTCTATAGTAAACATTGAAAAATATTGTAAGAAATATTGAATTTTGAAAAAGAACAATCTATCAATTTCATACCAAATCGTGTGAATGAATAATTATACGTATCATTAAGAATGGATGAAACATTGTCAACTATATAAATAGGAAGAGTCGATATTGTATTTCGAATTGAGAGGGAACCAGTATATATCGTTAAAGTTTCATTATTAAATACTCTAGGACGAAGGAAAGAACCATATAATCTTGAATTAAAGTTGGTAAATGACATAAAAAAGTAAGCTGGTAATGATTCTAAAAGTTGACTCTGAATATAACTTCCACCAGGTGCTGGGTATGTTTGAAAAGATTGAAGAACTGATGTTCTTGGTTCTTTTAAATATATTTATATATTAATAAATATTACTTTTATTTTTAATGTGAATCAATATAAATGAACTTATTGTGAATGAATACATACCGTGAGGATAAAGATTAGGAACTGTAATATTGAAAGATGAATTTGATGAGCGGAATGAAATTTGAACATTGATCGTATCATCTTCAAAAACTTGGTTTTGGTTTATTGTAATGGTCATTGTATAAGAATTTAAATATCTGCCTAGCGATTTACTTATTCCACAGTTGAAAGGTCCATTTGTAACACAGACAATATCATAGAAGAAATCAGAGAGTGTTAAATAGATAGAGGTATCGAAATTGAATTGAATTGCTTGTACAATGCCATTATTTTCATCATAAGTTGGTACTCCTTGAGAAGCAATACTAAATTGATTGAAAAATAATGCTAGAAATTGATATATGAATTAATACTCTATTCTCTTTAAATTTTAATAATTAAATAATGAAATGAAATGAATGAATGATGTTTTTAACTCACCTTTACATTGAATTGGAAATATAAAGAATGTTTCATTAGGGAAATTTGGGGTGGATGCTCTTGATAGGCGTACTGTTGCATTGTAATCACCTTCTGTAATGTTGATCAAGTTCAGTTGGAATACAAACATTTGACTATCTCCATTTCGGTAGGCAACTAATTTTTGAACTATTGTAGTTGATTCACTATGTTCAATTGTGAAATCTGCATATTCTATCAAGAAACTACTTTCAACCAATACACCGAGAGCTGTTGAACATACTCCTGTTTTTGGTGAAATGATATTTGGATTTTGAACTACAGCTTTCTTGATAGTAGATGCTTCTGTACTATAAATAATATTTAAAATAAATAAATAAAATAAAATTAGATTTAGACTAAATTTATACATTTTAATAAATATTTGTTTATTATTTATTATGATTTTTACAGACTCTGATAATATTCGTATTAAAGAACTAGTTTTTACATTTCTTGATCATGATTTTTAATGATAATATCTAGATATAAAATATTTTGATGACCGATTATTTTTGGATCCCACACTGCATTTTCATGAATAAAAAAATTTATGATTTTTTTTTAGATTTTTTCTCAAAAAGATTGCAATTTTTATTCATTTTTTGTTACTGGGTGTTATTGGGGGTGTACCAATTTTTTTTTACTATGATGGTATTGGGGATGTGCATCACAGTAAAAAAAAAATTTTAAAATGTAAATTTTTTTTATTTAAAAATATAGGGGTGTTTTTTTTATTTTATTTCAATAATTACATTATAAATCTTTATTGTTCATTCTTTCTAATTTGCTATTCATTCTGATTTCTTGTTTTCTGAATTTCTTTTTCTTTGCTAAAAAGAATGTTGTTGCAATTACAATACTCACAAATACAACAATTCCAACAACAATTCCTGCAATAGCTCCATTTGATAATCGATTCTTCTTTGAACAAATCAAGTCAGATGTATCACTTTGAATCGACATCAATGAGATTTGAAAAGTCAGGATCCAAATCGACTGAGAATAAATAATTTGGAATGGTGATTCCAACGATTGCTGATCGAATTTGATTGGTATTTGATGATTTGGTGTCATCTTGGTCAATGATTACATTCCGAATTGGTGTTACTGTGTAATCGATGACTGCATCAGATAAGAATCGACCATAAAGACTTTGATCATCAATATTCAATTTGATCCATTCAACAGATCCACCAGAAACACCAACTCCAGATGATGAACATGAATCTGATGAATCTGTTTCAATCGATGATTTCATCAAGATCTGCAAGAAATTCAATGGACTATCGAATTTATATGAATTCAAGTTCATTGTAAACTTGATTGTTGATTGTGGAATGTAAAGATTGTGATTGGCAAATGTGATGTTTGTTGATTGTTTGAAATATTCAATCGAAACATTGAGGAATGTTGTTGTTTGATTGAGTTGTGTTGAATAGAAATACTTTGGATTCGATGTTGGTGTTGTTAAATCTGTGAAATTCCAATTGCTGATGTTGAATTGTTTGACAATGTTCATTGTATCATCAAGTTCTCTGACACCGATGATTTCAATTGATGTTGTAATCAATGATCCTGATTCTGTAATATTGGTTCCTGTGACTGGTTCTGGATTGGCAGGAGGTGTTGGAACAATTATAATCTCTGTTGTTGAATAAAATAATAAAGTTAGAATTTAAATATATTAATTAATATATAATAATAACTTACTTGAAGAACATGATGGACCATACCAAGGTAATTGACATTGACAAATTGAATTGATACAATTTCCATTATTATTACACTCTGGTGTACCTGGACACTTTTGTGGAGCTGTTGATGTTGGTGTTGATGTTGGATTTGGAAGTGAAACTTTCTTGACTGGAATAATGAATGGATTTGAAAATATATTATTTCTGATCACTCTGACTGTCACGAAATCCGTTGTGATTTGTTTGATGTTGTTGAATTGTAAAATGATTCCAGAATGGAAATTTAAATTCATATCTTCAAATCCATTTCCATAATCGATTTGTGAAAGCATGGAGTTGTTTGTGAGTCCGAATGCACGTCCATAGATTGTAAGTGAACCTCCTCGACTGGTAAGATCTGAAGAACTCTCGATGATTGGTGTATTAAATGTAAATGATCTTTGAATCAGGTATGGAAGGCCTATATCCTTTAAATCCATTGAATTATAAGCTCTCATGTTCAAGAAATTATCATAAATTGAATAGACACTGACAAAGATATTATTCAAACCAAATCCATATGGAAGTTGAGCTTTTCCATAAAAGTAATAATATCCATCACCAGATGTTGTCTTGAAAATTGAATTAATTTCCATATAGTTGGCATTCTCTGATGTTAAACGAATGAATGGTGTGTGTCGAATTGAAACACCTGATCCTGTAACATTTTCAAAAAGCATAATATTAAATTCAACCGTTCTGATTGGAGATCCAACATCAACATTTGGTGAAATAATTAAATTTGAAAGAATTGGTGCTTCTATATCTTTAAGGTCTAGATATGTATATTTTGGGAAAAAGTTAATATTAGACAATGATAATAATATTATTAAAAAGATAATTACCAGATGTAGAAACGACAGATAATCTTAATTGTTGTTCTTTTGGAGTTCCATATATTAACATTAAAGGTGGTGTTGGAAACTGTAACTTTCCGATTGTACTTAAAAGTGTGATATTTGACATTATAAATGTTTGTGAAAGTGTATTGCTGTTGATTGTAAAGTTGATTCGATAGACTCCATCGGTTGGTCCACCAGATATTCTGTTGGATGAGTTGAATAGAATGATATAAGGAAGTAAATCGAAATTTGAAAGAACATAAAGACTTCCATTTGTGAATCCATATGGATCTGTGATATTTAAATCCCATCCAAGAGTATAACTTGTGTTTGGAAGTAATGTTAAATTGAGAGCTGTTAAACTATTTATATCTGTAATTTGTGGTGATAAATATATTCCTCCATCTTTTAAGATAAAAAAAGAAAATAATTTATAATATTAGAATAAAATGTTAAATTCATACAAACGATTTAAATAAAAAAAGACTTACTTGATTTAGATATATTCAATGTTGCATTTTGACCAATAACCGATTGTAATATATAGTCTTGAATATTGTTTGAAAACATTTGATTGAAATCCATTTGATATTGTTGTGATCCCATCATCATATCTCTCTGTAATTGAATATCAATTTCAAACAATTGTAAACTCGTGTTATAAGATCCTTTCCAATATATTCTGGGTCCTGATAAAGAAGTAAAACTAATGGATGGTGTCAAGTTCTCCAATGGAATCGAGAAGTTCAAATACAATTTAATATCCAATGCACTTGTTGTCAAATCGATATTGTTTGGAATGAATTCAAAGTATGTTATATTCGTGTATATATTTGAGTCTAATTTGATATTGGTTAGAATAAATGTAATTAACCACAATACTATATCTATTTTGATTTACTTACATAAATTTTTGTATACTGGAATTTCTGGAAGAATATCACCTCTCTTATTATAAGGTAATGCTGAATAGAAAGTGATACCTTTATAGTTTGTATTGAATATCGTTACAGGAAATTCTTTGAGCGAAAAAGGGAATATCTCCATTTCATATGTACCATTGTATTGATCTCCATCGATGAGGTTGCTTGTGGTAATTATTTTGCCCAACAAATTTATATTCGTAATTGGACAGTTTGATAAAATCTTTATTCTAACCAAAATAGTAAATACAGAAACAATCTTGAAATCAATTAAATCCATCGCATACACTAGGAATGATTTTAATCTATTAATAAACAATATAAATGTAAAAAATTAAATGAATCACTTACATTGCGGATTTTGGTTGCTCGGTTTTGTAACTATACTTGTAGTTGTCCCAGAACGTAAATCCAACGAACCAAAGAATGAGGTATCAGATGTTGTTGATCGAATGAAAGGTGTTTCCAACTGATATGTATATTTTCCATTTATAATGCTGTATGGACTCCAATTGCTGAAAGATAAGGTATTCGTATCAAATTTGATAGAACTCTGAAAATTAAATAGATATGTTGAGCTATAGTTAAACGTCATAAAGCTAGTGTTTGTTGTTGAATCTAAAATCCATCCACTTGAATTGAAAGCGATACCAGGAGCCAAAGCTATATTTGTAAAATTGAAAAATATTGTAAGAAATATTGAATTTTAAAGAAGAACAATCTATTAATCTCATACCAAATTGTGTGAATGAATAAATATACGTATCATTAAGAATGGATGACACATTGTCAACTATATAAATAGGAAGAGTCGGTATTGTAGATTGAATTGATAGGAAACCAGTATATATTGTTAAAGTTTCATTATTAAATACTCTAAGAGTACGTAAGTTGCCATATAATCTTGAATTAAAGTTGGTAAATGACATAAAAAAGTAAGCTGGTAATGTTTCTAAAAGTTGACTCTGAATATAACTTCCACCAGGTGCTGGGTATGTTTGAAAAGATTGAAGAACTGATGTTCTTGATCCTTTATTTAAAAACAAAAATTGATATTAGTATGTATTAAACATATGAATATAACTTATTGGGAATGAATACATACCGTGAGGATAAAGATTAGGAACTGTAATATTGAAAGATGAATTTGCAGTGGCTAATGTAATTTGAACATTGATCGTATCATCTTCAAAAACTTGGTTTTGGATCATTGTAAGAATCAAAAAATAAGAATTAATATCTCTGTTTACCCATCTTCTTATTCTACATAAGAAAGTTGGATTTGTATTACAACCGATGTCATAGAAGAAATCAGAGAATGTTGAATAGAAAAAGGTATCGAAATTGAATTGTAACGTTTGTACAATGCCATTATATTCATCATAAGTTGGTACTCCTTGAGAAACAATACTAAATTGATTTAATGAGAATTCTAGAAATTGATAGATTAATAATTATTCTATTCATTTTTTAAATGTAACAAATCGTGATAGATATCTATTTAAATGAGTGAATGATGTTTTTAACTCACCTTTACATTGAATTGGAAATATAAGGAATGTTTCATTTGGGAAATTTGAGGTGGCTGCTCTTGATAGGCGTACTGTTGCATTGTAATCACCTTCTGTAATGTTGATCAAGTTCAGTTGGAAAACAAACATTTGACTATCTCCATTTCGGTAGGCATCTAATTTCTGAACAATAGTAGCAGATACAGAAGATTCAATTGTGAAATCTGAATAGTTTATCAAGAAACTACTTTCAACTGATATACTGAGAGATGTTGAACATACTCCTGTTTTCGGTGAAATGATATTTGGATTTTGAATTACAACTTTCTTGATAGTAGATGCATCTATACTATCAATAATATTTAAAATAAATAAATAAAATACAATTATTTTTATAAACATTTTATTATTATCGAATAAAAATTGATTTCATCTTGAGTCAATGTCGCAGTTTCCACCACTACTATTTTCGAGATTTATTTATTGATATCATGATTATTAAAGATATATTTAATGATTTTTTAAGTAAATATCTTAACCATGGTTTTGTTTTGTTTTTTTTTTTCACAAAATAGTGACCATGATAGACAGTGATCATGTGCACAAAATTTTTTTTAAACTGGCTCTTGCTTGTAACCATAAATCGAATAAAATAAATAAAACCACTAAGATCACATTAACCCCACTAATTTTTAATTTTTACATTTTTTTAAAATTAATGAGCAGGTGAAAGTTGTTGGGAGCCAGTTTTTTTTATGATGCTGAATTTTTTTTTAAAATTATTACTTTAAAATTACGGTTTAGTTGACCATTGTGGTCAATGAAAAGCTTTAACAAATCGAAAGAGATTATGATATGATGTGTACCAAACATAAATCGCTAAAGAAAGTAGAAAACTATTACTTTACTTTAACCAAAACAAATCGATGTTACCACCAAAGTAGTATATAATTGATTTGTCGACACTGATACATGTACCATCAAATGATCTATTTTTTTAATAAAATTTAATTTTTAGACTACAGATACATTGGCAGATAACATATTAAAATTATATTAAAATTTATTGAAGTTTCAAAAAGTTAATAGTTGTCAGTGGCCGTGGCGCCTCGCGCACTGGCGCGCTGTAGCTACACCAAAATCCAAATACTAGGAATATGACGTATTGGAACTAAATTAAATACTAATATATAGTATGTGTATTGTTGTTGTTTAAAGTATAGGATAACCCAATAAGCGAATTAAAGGAGCAATCTAATTATAACTATCTAAACTATCGATCTGCATGGGTTACAGGCCACCAAAGAATTGATTTGGCATCATTAAGTTCGATTCTATGTTCTATAGTACATTGATTAGTAAAGAATGATTTAAGTTGAAATCTATGACTGAAATATACTTATTTATAAGATATTTTTGATGCATTTAAATCACTCATCTCTTTATTCACTTTGACCTATATATATGTGTTATCATCGTATCTCCATAAATACCACCTTTTCTTAGTCCATGACTATGATTATATTCACTTTATATGTGACTATCGCAATTTCTATCTTTATATCTGTGTTTTATTAGTACATGCTCAATCCACGACACCCATTTGAATATCATTTTTACTTCATATAAATGACTATTCATCCTTATTTACACTCTATATATTGTGACCTGTAACATTACTACTTACAATTAGTTAACCAAAACCAATCCTTTTTGTTTTAATGGCTAAATTTTTTTGATCAAGCTCTTTACTCTTTTTTTACTTGACAATATTATTAGTTAAAAAATCTAAATACAACGTAAAACAATATAGGTATATTTATTTTTTTGAAACAAATAATTGTTAATTAAAATATTAATAAAAATAAAGAAAATAAAAAAATTGGGTGGTACATATAAAAAAAATCTACGACATAGGTTACCAAACACGCAATATTTGTCTATAAACTTTGATTGTCTTTCATATCTCTGTTCATTAGATGCGAAATGTTTAAAAGATTCCAGTGACATTTCATATAGTAAATCGATTATTTCTTTAGGGAAAGGTAGAAAGTATTAGGCTCTTCACTATTATCAATGTCAATATGTGATTTTGAATACCGCAGGAGCGTTCCTGTTAGATGTTGATGTTAGTGCTGGTTTTGTTGTTGGTGTTGGTGTTGATGATGTTGTTGATGATGATGTTAAACATTATATTGGAAAGTGCAAAGACTGATGTTGTTGATGTTAGTGAATTATATGATTGATCCTCATCCATGAAAGTAATAGGTCGAACCATTAGACAACCTTCTATTCTTAGTCTTTGCACTTTCCAATATAACTTTTAAAGAATTTATCTGCTCCTCTAATTGCGCAACCTTCTCTTGTACCTCCAATAGCTCCATAATATTTGTTGTTCTTGGAAGTCCAAAGTATTCTAATAAGTTTGGAATGCATTCAGTAGCTCCATGATGTGTAAACTCCTTAATCGAATGCATTTCTTTAGAACAAATTATACATTTCATAATATTTGATAACTTAGACATTTTAAATAGAATATCTTAATTTACTATAATAAAAGTATTTGTTTTGCTATAAATCAATTTTTGCATTGCTTGACTCATCTTAATTTAATGTGGTTCACCACATAATTTTTTCGACTTTTGCGACTTTTTTGTTTACTTTTTTTTTTTTACTTTTTTGACCTTATTTTCCAACAATATGATCAGTTTAGAACTCTTTTTAAAGTTACGTGAAAGATGATAGAAAATAAGGTGTATTATGAGAAGAAGCAACAGCAAAAGACACTTTTAGAAAGAAATTGAAGAATAAAAAGAACAAATAACAAAGATAGGATCAATAGATTTCTAGGTAGTAGAGATAGCAAGAACTCTTCGGATAGTTTTATTGTATTATAAATCTTTATTGTTCATTCCTTCTAATTTCTTTTTCATTCTGATTACTTGTTTTCTGAATTTCTTTTACATTGCTAAAAAGAATGTTGTTGCAATTACAATACTCACAAATACAACAATTCCGACAACAATACCTGCAATAGCTCCATTTGATAATCGATTCTTCTTTGAACAAATAAAGTCAGATGTATCACTTGAATCGACATCAATGAGATTTGAAAAGTCAGGATCCAAATCGACTGAGAATAAATGATTTGGAATGGTGATTCCAACGATTGCTGATCGAATTTGATTGGTATTTGATTTGGTGTCATCTTGGTCAATGATTACATTCTGAATTGGTGTTACTGTGTAATCGATGACTGCATCAGATAAGAATCGACCATAAAGACTTTGATTATCAATATTCAATTTGATCCATTCAACAGATCCACCAGAAACACCAACTCCAGATGATGAACATGAATCTGATGAATCTGTTTCAATCGATGATTTCATCAAGATCTGCAAGAAATTCAATGGATTATCGAATTTATATGAATTCAAGTTCATCGTAAACTTGATTGTTGATTGTGGAATGTAAAGATTGTGATTGGCAAATGTGATGTTTGTTGATTGTTTGAAATATTCAATCGAAACATTGAGGAATGTTGTTGTTTGATTGAGTTGTGTTGAATAGAAATACTTTGGATTCGATGTTGGTGTTGTTAAATCTGTGAAATTCCAATTGCTGATGTTGAATTGTTTGACAATATTCATTGTATCATCAAGTTCTCTGATACCGATGATTTCAATAGATGTTGTAATCAATGATCCTGATTCTGTAATATTGGTTCCTGTGACTGGTTCTGGATTGGCAGGAGGTGTTGGAACAATTATAATCTCTGTTGTTGAATAAAATAATAAAGTTAAAATTTAAATATATTAATTAAATATATAATAATTAACTTACTTGAAGAACATGATGGACCATACCAAGGTAATTGACATTGACAAATTGAATTGATACAATTTCCATTATTATTACACTCTGGTGTACCTGGACACTTTTGTAGAGCTGTTGATGTTGGTGTTGATGTTGGATTTGGAAGTGAAACTTTCTTGACTGGAATAATGAATGGATTTGAAAATATATTATTTCTGATCACTCTGACTGTCACGAAATCCGGTGTGATTTGTTTGATGTTGTTGAATTGCAAAATGATTCCAGAATGGAAATTTAAATTCATATCTTCAAATCCATTTCCATAATCGATTTGTGAAAGCATGGAGTTGTTTGTGAGTCCAAATGCACGTCCATAGATTGTAAGTGAACCTCCTCGACTGGTAAGATCTGATGAACTCTCGATGGTTGGTGTATTAAATGTAAATGATCTTTGAATCAGGTATGGTAAGCTTAGATCCTTTAAATCCATTGAATTATAAGCTCTCATGTTCAAGAAATTATCATAAATTGAATAGACACTGACAAAGATATTATTCAAACCAAATCCATATGGAAGTTGAGCTTTTCCATAAAAGTAATAATACCCATCACCAGATGTTGTCTTGAAAATTGAATTAATTTCCATATAGTTGGCATTCTCTGATGTTAAACGAATGAATGGTGTGTGTCGAATTGAAACACCTGATCCTGTAACATTTTCAAAAAGTATAATATTAAATTCAACCGTTCTGATTGGAGATCCAACATCAACATTTGGTGAAATAATTAAATTTGAAAGAATTGGTGCTTCTATATCTTTAAGGTCTAGATATTCATTTTTGAAAACGTTAATATTCAAAAATGATAATAATATTATTAAAAAGATAATTACCAGAAGTAGAAACGACAGATAATCTTAATTGTTGTTCTTTTGGAGTTCCATAAATTAACATTAAAGGTGGTGTTGGATATTGTAACTTTCCGATTGTACTTAAAAGTGTGATATTTGACATTATAAATGTTTGTGAAAGTGTATTGCTGTTGATTGTAAAGTTGATTCGATAGACTCCATCGGTTGGTCCACCAGATATTCTGTTGGATGAGTTGAATAGAATGATATAAGGAAGTAAATCGAAATTTGAAAGAACATAAAGACTTCCATTTGTGAATCCATATGGATCTGTGATATTTAAATCCCATCCAAGAGTATAACTTGTGTTTGGAAGTAATGTTAAATTGAGAGCTGTTAAACTATTTATATCTGTAATTTGTGGTGATAAATATATTCCTCCATCTTTTAAGATAAAAAAAGAAAATAATTTATAATATTAGAATAAAATGTTATATTCATAATTGATCGATTAAATTTAAAAGACTTACTTGATTTAGATATGTTTAAAGTGGCATTTTTACCAATAACCGATTGTAATATATAGTCTTGAATATTGTTTGAAAACATTTGATTGAAATCCATTTGATATTGTTGTGATCCCATCATCATATCTCTCTGTAACTGAATATCTATTTCAAACAATTGTAAACTCGTGTTATAAGATCCTTTCCAATATATTCTGGGTCCTTGTAATGAGGAGAGAAGAATGGATGGTGTCAAGTTCTCCAATGGAATCGAGAAGTTCAAATACAATTTAATATCCAATACACTTGTTGTCAAATCGATATTGTTTGGGATGAATTCAAAGTATGTTATATTCATGTATATATTTGAGTCTAATTTGATATTAGTTGGAATAAATGTAATAAACATAATCTTTGATATTTGAATGAATTTACTTACATAAATTTTTGTATACTGGAATTTCTGGAAGAATATCACCTCTCTTGTTATAAGGTAATTTTGTATAGATAATGATACTTTGATAGTTTGTGTTGGATATCGCAATAGGAAAATCTTTGGTCACGAAAGGGAAGATTTCCATTTCATATGTACCATTATATTGATCTCCATCGATGAGGTTATTTATTGTAAGTATTTTTCCAGCAATATTGATTGTCGTAACTGCATAGTTTGATAGCAACCTTATTCTAACCAAAACAGTAAATACAGAAACAATCTTGAAATCAATTAAATCTATTTCATATACTATAAAATTATTTTAATATATTAATATATAATATAAATGTAAAAAATTAAATGAATCACTTACATTGCGGAATTTGGTTGGTCAATTGTGAAAAACTAGTAAAAGATGATCCATAGCGTATATCTAACGAGCTAAGGAATGAGGTATCAGATGTTGTTGATCGAATGAAAGGTGTTTCCAATTTATAAATATATTTTCCATTTATACTGCTGTATGGACTCCAATTGCTCATAGTTAAGGAAATCGGTCCAAACATGAGAGTACTCTGAAAATTAAATAGATATGTTGAGTTATAGATTATTGTGTTAAAGGTGGTGTTTGTTGTTGAGTCTACACTCCAATAGCTAGAATTGTAGGAAATACCAGGAGCCAAAGCTATATTTGTAAAATTGAAAAATATTGTAAGAAATATTGAATTTTGAAGAAGAACAATCTATTAATCTCTTACCAAATTGTGTGAATGAATAATTATACGTATCATTAAGAATGGATGAAACATTGTCTATAATATAAATAGGAAGAGTCGATATTGTATTTTGAATTGGGAAGAAACCAGTATATATCGTTAAAGTTTCATTATTAAATACTCTAAGATTAGCTATATAAGCGTAGATTCTTGAATTAAAGTTGGTAAATGGCATAATAAAAAAAGAGTCTAATGATTCTAAAAGTTGACTCTGAATATAACTTCCACCAGGTGCTGGGTATGTTTGAAAAGATTGAAGAACTGATGTTCTTGGTGCTATTTTTAAAAAAATTTCATTTTAGTATTAAATATATGAATATAACTTATTGTGAATGAATACATACCGTGAGGATAAAGATTAGGAACTGTAATATTGAAAGATGAATTTGCTGAAGCAAATATAATTTGAACATTGATCGTATCATCTTCAAAAACTTGGTTTTGGTTGAAGGTAATGGTCATTATATAAGAATTATAATCTCTGGCTAGCCATTTTCTTATTCCACAGTTGAAAGGTCCATTTGTAACACAGGCAATATTATAGAAAAAACTAGAGAATGTTAAATAGATAGAGGTATCGAAATTGAATTGGAACGCTTGAATAATGCCATTATATTCATTATATTTTGGTACTCCTTGAGAAACAATACTAAATTGATTTAATGAGAATGCTAAAGTTGATAGATGACAAATGGCAATAAATATCTATTTAGAAGAATGAATGATGTTTTTAACTCACCTTTACATTGGATTGGAAATATAAAGTATGTTTCATTTGGGAAATTTGGTATTGCTGCTCTTGATAGGAATATTGTTGCATTGTGGTCTGCTTCTATAGCGTTAAACAAGCTTAGTTGGAAAACAAACATTTGACTATCTCCATTTCGGTAGGCATCTAATTTTTGAAGAATAGTTGCAAACACTGTAGATTCAATTGTGAAATCTGCATATTCTATCAAGAAACTACTTTCAACTGATATACTGAGAGCTGTTGAACATACTCCTGTTTTAGGTGCAATGACATTAGGATTTTGAACTACAACTTTCGTGATAGTAGATGCATCTATACTATCAATAATATTTAAAATAAATAAATAAAATATAATTATTAAACTTAATTTAAACATTTTCTTATAATGATATTCATTTTTAAAATTTAACTTAGTATTAAACTAAAAAGAGATCTAGATTGCATATTTGTTTCTATAAACCTCTGCTCTTTGCTTATTTGCAAAGATTAATTAAATGATATCATGATTTTTAAAGATATCAAACTTAGAGTAAAAAAAAAAGATCAAAATTGGTGAATTCAAGGAATTAGGGGATTTTGAACACAAAATTGTACCCTCTAAAGAAAACACTCCGATCAGATAAAAAAATTAAATTTTATTTTATTAAATAAAAATCAACTGCATTTGTTTATAAGATTATTTTTGGGTGCTCCGGGGTTTAATGTAGTTTTTTATCAAAGATAAGAAGATGCGAACATCAAAGAAAATTAGGAGGTGTGAGCTTTACCATTCTTCTTTAATTTAAAAAGAATTAATAAAATCGAAGGTTGTTTAATTCTTTAAGATTTTTATGTTTTCTAAAAATGTACTTAAATTGAATTCTCACTTGGCACTATAATCAATATCATATTGCTATCACTGTTAAGAGTAAAAAAAAACCCATTGAAAACAAATAAAAAAAGACTTACCACAATTTGGTATCCTTCGATTTTAACTTTTTTAAAATTCAGAATGGTATTCGATTTTAAAACCTATCTAAATAATATTATAAATTTTTATTGTTCTCTGTTTGTAATTTCTTTTTCATTCTGATTTCTTGTTTTCTGAATTTCTTTTTCTTTGCTAAAAAGAATGTTGTTGCAATTACAATACTCACAAATACAACAATTCCAACAACAATTCCTGCAATAGCTCCATTTGATAATCGATTCTTCTTTGAACAAATCAAGTCAGATGTATCACTTGAATCAACATCAATGAGATTTGAAAAGTCAGGATCCAAATCGACTGAGAATAAATAATTTGGAATGGTGATTCCAACGATTGCTGATCGAATTTGATTGGTATTTGATGATTTGGTGTCATCTTGGTCAATGATTACATTCCGAATTGGTGTTACTGTGTAATCGATGACTGCATCAGATAAGAATCGACCATAAAGACTTTGATCATCAATATTCAATTTGATCCATTCGACAGATCCACCAGAAACACCAACTCCAGATGATGAACATGAATCTGATGAATCTGTTTCAATCGATGATTTCATCAAGATCTGCAAGAAATTCAATGGATTATCGAATTTATATGAATTCAAGTTCATTGTAAACTTGATTGTTGATTGTGGAATGTAAAGATTGTGATTGGCAAATGTGATGTTTGTTGATTGTTTGAAATATTCAATCGAAACATTGAGGAATGTTGTTGTTTGATTGAGTTGTGTTGAATAGAAATACTTTGGATTCGATGTTGGTGTTGTTAAATCTGTGAAATTCCAATTGCTGATGTTGAATTGTTTGACAATATTCATTGTATCATCAAGTTCTCTGACACCGATGATTTCAATAGATGTTGTAATCAATGATCCTGATTCTGTAATATTGGTTCCTGTGACTGGTTCTGGATTGGCAGGAGGTGTCGGAATAATAATAATCTCTGTTTTTGAATAAAATAATAAAGTTAAAATTTAAATATATTTAATTAAATATATAATAATTAACTTACTTGAAGAACATGATGGACCATACCAAGGTAATTGACATTGACAAATTGAATTGATACAATTTCCATTATTATTACACTCTGGTGTACCTGGACACTTTTGTGGAGCTGTTGATGTTGGTGTTGATGTTGGATTTGGAAGTGAAACTTTCTTGACTGGAATAATGAATGGATTTGAAAATATATTATTTCTGATCACTCTGACTGTCACGAAATCCGTTGTGATTTGTTTGATGTTGTTGAATTGCAAAATGATTCCAGAATGGAAATTTAAATTCATATCTTCAAATCCATTTCCATAATCGATTTGTGAAAGCATGGAGTTGTTTGTGAGTCCAAATGCACGTCCATAGATTGTAAGTGAACCTCCTCGACTGGTAAGATCTGATGAACTCTCGATGATTGGTGTATTAAATGTAAATGATCTTTGAATCAGGTATGGTAAGCTTAAATCCTTTAAATCCATTGAATTATAAGCTCTCATGTTCAAGAAATTATCATAAATTGAATAGACACTGACAAAGATATTATTCAAACCAAATCCATATGGAAGTTGAGCTTTTCCATAAAAGTAATAATATCCATCACCAGATGTTGTCTTGAAAATCGAATTAATTTCCATATAGTTGGCATTCTCTGATGTTAAACGAATGAATGGTGTGTGTCGAATTGAAACACCTGATCCTGTAATATTTTCAAAAAGTATAATATTAAATTCAACCGTTCTGATTGGAGATCCAACATCAACATTTGGTGAAATAATTAAATTTGAAAGAATTGGTGCTTCTATATCTTTAAGGTCTAGATATGTATATTTTGGGAAAAAGTATTAATATTCAACAATGATAATAATATTATTAAAAAGATAATTACCAGATGTAGAAACGACAGATAATCTTAATTGTTGTTCTTTTGGAGTTCCATAAATTAACATGAGAGGTGGTGTTGGAAACTGTAACTTTCCGATTGTACTTAAAAGTGTGATATTTGACATTATAAATGTTTGTGAAAGTGTATTGCTGTTGATTGTAAAGTTGATTCGATAGACTCCATCGGTTGGTCCACCAGATATTCTGTTGGATGAGTTGAATAGAATGATATAAGGAAGTAAATCGAAATTTGAAAGAACATAAAGACTTCCATTTGTGAATCCATATGGATCTGTGATATTTAAATCCCATCCAAGAGTATAACTTGTGTTTGGAAGTAATGTTAAATTGAGAGCTGTTAAACTATTTATATCTGTAATTTGTGGTGATAAATAAATTCCTCCACCTTTTGATTAAAAAATAATTTATAATATTAGAATAAAATGTTATATTCATACAAACGATTTAAATAAAAAAAGACTTACTTGATTTAGATATATTCAAAGTTGCATTTTGACCAATAACCGATTGTAATATATAGTTTGGAAAATTTAAAGAAAAAATTTGATTAAAATCTATACTAAATTGTTGTGATCCCATCATCATATCTCTCTGTAATTGAATATCAATTTCAAACAATTGTAAACTCGTGTTATAAGATCCTTTCCAATATATTCTGGGTCCTGATAAAGAAGTAAAACTAATGGATGGTGTCAAGTTCTCCAATGGAATCGAGAAGTTCAAATACAATTTAATATCCAATGCACTTGTTGTCAAATCGATATTGTTTGGAATGAATTCAAAGTATGTTATATTCATGTATATATTTGAGTCTAATTTGATATTAGTTGGAATAAATGTAATAACCATAATCTTTGATATTTGAATGAATTTACTTACATAAATTTTTGTATACTGGAATTTCTGGAAGAATATCACCTCTCTTATTATAAGGTAATGCTGCATAGAAAGTGATACTTTGATAGTTTGTGTTGAAAATTGTTATTGCAAAACCTTTAAACGACAAAGGGAAGATTTCTATTTCATATGTACCATTATATTGATCTCCATCGATGAGGTTGTTTGATGCAATTAATATTCTACCACCAATATTGATTGACAAAACTGCATAGTTTGATAAAATCCTTATTCTAACCAAAACAGTAAATACAGAAACAATCTTGAAATCAATTAAATCTATTTCATATACTATATAACCATTTTCATAGATAAACTGTTATTTAATATATTAAAAAAATTAAATATTTAAAATAAATACTTACATTGTGGAATTTGATTGTTCATTATGGGAACTAAGTTTGCATTTGTCCCAAATTTTGAATCCAATGAGCCAAAGAAAGCAGTTTCAGATATTGTTGATTGAATGAAAGGTGTTTCCAATTTATAAATATATTTTCCATTTATACTGCCGTATGGACACCAATTGCTCATAGTTAAGGGAATCGGTCCGAATGTGAGAGTACTCTGAAAATTAAATAGATAAGTTGAATTATAGGTGTATGTCATAAAGAAAGTGTTTGTTGTTGAATCTATATTCCAATAACTAGAATTGTAGGAAATACCAGAAGACAATTCTATATTTTTAAGAACTGTTAGAAATACTAAAATTTTAAGAAAAATAATAATCTTTCAATCTCTTACCAAATTGTGTGAATGAATAAATATACGTATCATTAAGAATGGATGAAACATTGTCAACTATATAAATAGGAAGAGTCGATATTGTAGATTGAATTGGTAGGAAACCAGTATATATTGTTAAAGTTTCATTATTAAATACTCTAAGAGTACGTAAGTTACCATATAATCTTGAATTAAATTTGGTAAATGACATAAAAAAATAAGCTGGTAATGTTTCTAAAAGTTGACTCTGAATATAACTTCCACCAGGTGCTGGGTATGTTTGAAAAGATTGAAGAACTGATGTTGTTGGTTCTTTTTTTAAAAAACAAAATTGATATTAGTATTAAAAAAGTGAACAAAAGAATAAACTTTTTTGGAGTGAATACATACCGTGAGGATAAAAATTAAGAATTGTAATATTGAAAGATGATTTTGAAATAGGGAATGAAATTTGAACATTGATCGTATCATCTTCAAAAACCATGTTTTCGTTGATGGTAATGGTCATTATATAGGAATTTGAATCTCTGGCTAGCCATCTTCTTATTCCACAGTTGAAAGGTCCATTTGTAACACATCTACTATCATAGAAGAAATCAGAGAATGTTAAATAGATAGAGGTATCGAAATTGAATTGAAAGGCTTGTACAATGCCATTATTTTCATCATAAGTTGGTGCTCCTTGAGAAACAATACTAAATTGATTTATAGAGGATGCTAGAAATTGATAGATTAATTAATAAAATTTCTTTTATTATTTATATTATTATTAATAACTCACCTTTACATTGGATTGGAAATATAAAGTATGTTTCATTTGGAAAATTTGGTATAGATGATCTTGATAGGCGTACTGTTGCATTGTAATCTCCTTCTGTAATGTTGATCAAGTTCAGTTGGAAAACAAACATTTGACTATCTCCATTTCGGTAGGCATCTAATTTCTGAAATACGGTAGTAGATACAGAAGATTCGATTGTGAAATCTGAATAGTTTATCAAGAAACTACTTTCAACTGATATACTGAGAGCTGTTGAACATACTCCTGTTTTCGGTGAAACGATATTTGGATTTTGAACTACAACTTTCTTGATAGTAGATGCATCTATACTATCAATAATATTTAAAATAAATACATAAAATATAATTATATTTAAACTAAACCTATACATTTTATTATATTATCTATTTTTATAAAAAAAAATTTTATTATTAATTGACACTGATGATTTCTCTGTTACCATTAGTAAACACTTTACACTTTTTCAAGATTTCTTTATTGATATCATGATTATTAAAGATATGATATAGAGCATATCTACGGACTGTCTAGATATCGAATTCTTAAAAAATTGATAAATAAAAGATCATCATTAGGGGTTAGTATAAAAATCATGATTTTCTAAAAAAAAAAAATCTCATTTAATCATGTGGTTATAAATAATTGAATTAGTTTACTAAAAATTGATTTATTTTTTATAATTATAAAACTAATGATTGCAAACATAATAAAATGATTATCATTTAAATAATATTTGGATTGTTATTTTATTTATTTCCTAATTTTTTAATTATTGTTGTTTTTCACAAGAATGTGTTTTTTTATTCCTTGTTTATTTTTGTTGTGAAAAAAAAATAAATGTTTGATGTCTGATCTTTTTTTTTCACCACACTATTAAAAAGTGAAACTTTAAGTTTTGTAATTTTGCAATTAATAATACTCTTATACAAAAAAATTAAAGTAGTTGTATATATTTTTAAAAAACATACTTAAAGAAAATAGAGTAATCATAAAGTCAACAAATGGATGAAATCTTAGGATTTTTAAACAATTACATTTATACCAATGATGTTCTATCAAATAACTTTACTATTAGAACTCTGTTAGATGCATTTGGTAAACATTTTAATATATATTTAATTTATTTTATTTTATTAATTTTTAAGTAAAATATTTTTCTTTTTTTTTTTCTTTAGAAAATGACCAAAGACAATACCTAGGATTGAAATCATATGTCGATAGTTTAAATGATGACACATTGGCAGATACTGTGGAGGAATTAGAGAAATATATTGCAAAAGAATTGATTAATCCAGAGGAACAACTAAAAAGAAAAGATAAATATATTTATCATTCTGATCATCATCATCACCATTTCAACAAAACGCCAATCAACAAATTAGATGAAATTAAGAATAATAATAGTATTAATGAAAATGATCTATCTATAGATTGGAATAATGCTAGTTTTGATGTAAATAGTTGTAAAATAGATAAGAATAAGAAAAACAATAATAGTAATAATAACAACAATTATAATAGTAATAAAAAAATGAATAAAGAAAGTAGAAGAGAAAAAGAGGTTGGATATATTTCATATGATGACAATGATGAAATCATTCCTTATATAGATAATGATGAAGATAGTGATGACACTTCATATGTAAAAGATAATAATGATTATAATGATAGTGTAGATCAGATCATTCATTTTATAGAAGATTCAGATAGTAGCTCCGATGATGATATAATTCATTTTATTGCTTCAGACGACGAAGATGATCCATTACAGAATGAAGAGTATCTAAGAATTATCAATGAAGAAAATGAGAATGCAAGGGCTATCAATGAATTCTATGAAGAGAATGCAACCACCGAATGCATCATTTGTACCAATGACTATGATAAATACAACATGTATAAACTTGAAAATTGCGATCATTCTTTTTGTTATGATTGTATTAGAAATCACATCAAAGCAAAAGTAGATATTGGTCAATATAATATTAAAGTAAGTTGTACTTTATTTATTTCAATTGAATGATATTAATTTTAATGTTTTATCTATTTTTGTTATTAATATGTATAGTGTCCAGATCCAGAATGTAAGAAGGAAATTCATCAGGTTGAAGTTCAAGTGTTGTTTGGTGATGAGATAGCCAATAAGTTTGCATCTTTTAATTTGAATCAATTGATCACCAGTAGTGAAGAATTCTTTGAACGCTGTCCAAATGAAAATTGTAACTACGTTGCCTACAACGATGAAGATATTGCTGAGTTTGACTGTCCTATGTGCAAAAAGCACTTTTGTCTCAAGTGTAAAATTCCATATCACACTGGTTCCACATGCGAAAAGTATCAAGAGTGGAAAAAAGACAACACCAACGGTGATGATAAATTAAATCGACTTGTAAAAGAGAAAAATTTTAAAATTGTAAGTATTTAATAATTTTTTATTGATTAACGATAATTCAATTAATTGGAAAACTAATTTATTGTATTCAAAAAATAAATTTAGTGTATAAATCCAAAATGTAAGGCAATTGTTGAGAAGGCTCAAGGATGTAATCATATGACATGTAGATGTGGTACACAATTGTAAGTACATTATAATCAATAACTATTTTCTTTTCTTATCATTTCAAATTTTAAATTAATTATTATCTTGTTTGTAAAATAGTTGCTATAGATGTGGTGGTGCATATCCATGTAACAACATACAATGTTCAAAATGAATGAATATTTAATGTTTAATGTTTATTTTCATTTTCAACCATTAATAAATTGATCAATAGAATAATTGACTTTATTTATCAATTTATTAATGGTTTATTTATATAATATTAAATAATATTTTATTTATCAATTTATTAATGCTAATAGGCTAGTTATTAGAATTTAGTAATTCGTCATCAACATCCTCATATTCATAATTATATTTTTAAGTCTCAAACCAATAAATCAGTTGAAAATTAAATGTATTTAAGTTTGTTATTAGTTTTATTAAATGGTATACCATATGTTAACATATTTTTAATTTTAGCAGTTTATAAATTTTATCTCTAAATTTAAAAGTACATTTCCAATTCTTCTAGTAGAAAACTTTAGGAACAAATAAACAAGTTAGAAGATGATGAAGTGTAGAAAATGTGATGCTATCCATCAGAGAATGACCTGTGATCAGTACGTAGACATGAAATTTGAAGAATACTGTTCAACAATGAATTTTAAAAAGGTATGTAAAAAAAAAAACAAATTATATTATTATTTCTTATTTATCTATATTTTTTATTTTGAAAGTGTCCATCATGTAAAATAACTATAGAAAAAGTTTCTGGGTGTAATCAAGTTGTATGCTTTATATGTAAATCTGATTTGTAAGTTTTTTTAAAAAAACAAAATATATTTAAATAATCTTTACTTATACTTTAAAATATAAAAAAAGTAAATATAATTTAGTTTAATATATTATAAAAGGAAAATTTCAATTCTTTAATAATTCCTGTATTTTTATGAAAAAAAATAAAGAGTTTAAAATAACTAAATAAAAAAGGATAATTTTTAAAAAAATTAAAAAAAAAAATAAAAAATCAACTTCGTCAAAACGACAACAAAATTTTTGATTAGATTAATATAACTTTACTTGATTGATATTTTTAATTAGAATCAAACGATCAAAGTTTAGTACACTTAAATAACAACAATATATAAAATAGATAATATTATAATTCATTAAAAGAAAGAAAAAAAGAAAGAAAGAAAAATAAGTAAATAAAAGTAATAAAAGTAAAGATGCCTTTTTCAAATATATCACCTGCATTATTATCTTCATTACAATCATTTACATCTAATATAAGAAATATTTGTGTATTGGCACATGTTGATCATGGTATGTTAAAATATTAATATATATGTATTTATAATATGATCAATAATTGAAACTAACTAAACACTTACTACATTATAATGTAAAGGTAAAACAACATTGTCAGATTGTTTAATTTCATCGAATGGTATCATATCACAACATATGGCAGGAAAGCTAAGATATCTTGATTTTCTCGAGGATGAACAGGAACGTGAGATCACAATGAAAGCAAGCTCAATCTCATTGCTCTATCAGGAGGAACAAAAGAACTACTTGGTGAATCTAATCGATTCGCCAGGTCACGTCGATTTCTCGAGTGAAGTGTCTACCGCAGTGAGAATTACAGACGGTGCATTGGTGCTGGTCGATGCCATCGAGGGTGTCTGCATCCAGACACACGCAGTGCTGCGACAGGCCTATCAAGAACGTGTCAGACCGTGTTTGGTCATCAACAAGATCGATCGTCTCATCACAGAGGTCAATATGACACCGCTCGAAGCATACCAACACATTAAAAAAGTGATCGAACAGGTCAACGCTATCACAGGTACACTCAGCTCAGAGGAGATCATTCTCAAAGAGATATTCGAACATGAACAACAAGGAAAAGAGACAACCGCTGAAGATTCAGCATCATCTACTTCGTCAGACTCTCAAAACAACGAAACAACAAACAACAACGATATCGTAGAGGAAGCCGATCTCGAAACCATCGGTTCCGAATATCATTTCTCGCCAGAGAAAGGAAATGTTGCATTCACAACTGCATTAGATGGATGGGGATTTACAATTAATCAATTTGTTGATCTTTGTCATAAAAGTATGTAAATTAAGAATCTTATTCTTTATTTTTTTTGGTGACTATATTACCAATTGGTATCTAACTAACACTTTGAAAACCTACTTTTATTTAGAAACTGGAATTAAAAAGACAATCTTATCTAAAACATTATGGGGAGATTATTACTATCATCCAAAGGATAAGAAAATCTATAAATCACCAAGAGGTAATCTTACACCAATGTTTGTTACATTCATTTTGAATTCTGTTTGGGAATTACATAAATGTGTTACTCCAGATTACATGTAAGTTGTTAGAACAAAGATTTTGGCGAATGTATCATCCATCTGTATGCAACAAAATACTCATTTGTTTTTACTTTAATAATAATATAGTGATAGAGATAGAGTAGATAAAATTATACAAGTTTTAAATATAAAAGTACATCATAGAGATTTAGCATCGAAAGATCCAAAGGTTGTTTTGCAGGCATTATTACAGTCGTGGTTACCTCTGTCTGATGCTGTGTTATCGATGGTTGTACAGTGCTTGCCTAATCCAATCGATGGACAACAGAGAAGAATGGAGCGTATTTTCAAACCGGTATCATCACCTAATGTACCGGTGGAGATGAAAGAGAAACAACAACAGCTGCTGAGAGATACCAAAGATTGTAAGTCTGATGATACCTCAGAGGTTGTTGCCTACGTCGCCAAAGTGTTTGTATCGGACGAGAAGCGTGGTGTCTCTACAAACACACATCGTCCAGTGCCACCAAGACGTGTACAACCATCGGCAGTTCCACTGGCACAACGTATGGCACAAGCATCTCTAAATGAAAATAGCGAACAAAAATCATCTGAACAGCAACCACCAACACCAACTCAACCAACTCAACCAACAACACAAATTTCAAAACCATTAGTACGCAGTCCATTACAATCAATGAATAGAAACGTTGGAAGTGATGATAGTGGTGAATTTGTTGCTGTTGTCAGAGTTTTCAGTGGTACTTTAAAGAAAGGACAAAAAGTATTTATCATGGGTCCAAGATTCGATCCTTTGAATCCAACTCACGATGTCATTGAAATTGAAATCACTCATTTGTATCTGCTTATGGGCAGAAGTTTGGAACCGATCGAAGCTGTGCCCGCTGGTAATGTATGTGGTGTCGGTGGTGAAGTAGGTAACCTCGTTCTAAAGTCTGCTACAATCTCTACCACTCTCCAATGCCCTCCATTGGTAAGCATGATGTTTGTCTCATCACCAATCGTTAAGGTTGCAATCGAGCCAGAGAATATCTTGGATATGCCAAAGTTGGTTCACGGTTTGAAGATGTTGAATCAAGCCGATCCACTGGTGGAAGTCTACGTACAAGAGAGTGGTGAACATGTTATTGTAGCAAGTGGTGAGCTGCATCTTGAGCGTTGTATCCGTGACCTAAAAGAGATCTTTGCTAAAATCAATGTCAATGTGTCTTCGCCAATCGTGCCTTTCCGTGAGACAATCATTTTGGATGCCAACAAGTCACCTGTCATTACATCGGCAAACAGCAGTGACAACCGTTCAGAGTTAATCGTTCAACCAACTGCCAATAGAATGGTCAGAGTCAAAGTTAGAGCTATTCCATTGCCAAAGAACATCAGTGATTTCCTCGAGAACAATACCAACACAATGAGAGATTTGTTCTTGGGTGGAAAGAAGAAGGACAAGGAATTGGAAAGTGAAAAAGGAAGTAAGAAGGAAGCTGAAGAGGTAGACAGAGAGGAATTCCAAAAGAAACTACTTGAGGAGTTCACCAAGGCCGGTGAAAGCTGGCCAGAGGAAATTAAGAAGATCTGGGCATTCGGACCAAAACATATTGGTCCAAACTTGTTGCTCAATCACATTCCAGGCTATTGCGATAACGATTTCTGGATTCCTGCAATACAGAGAGGTGTGCAGAGTTTGAAGAAGATGAGACATAGAATGGACGAGGAAGCAGAAGACAAAAAGGAAACAAACGACCAAGAAGATCAAGAAGAAAACGAAAAAGACAGTGAACCAGCGGAAGAGACCGAATCCAACTCAGAGTCAGGTGTCACTAAGCTTTTGGAAGGAGAGGAAAAGTTCAAAAAGGTATTCGAGTTGGAAAACAGTATAGTATCCGGTTTCCAATTAGCTACATTCACAGGTCCACTTTGTGATGAGCCAATGATGGGTGTTTGTATGGTGGTCGAGGATATCGAGTTTGTTGAAGGAAAATATACCGACCAATACGGTCCAATCTCTGGACAAATTATCTCTTCGATGAAACAAGCCTGTGTACAAGCATTCCAAGTGAAACCTCAACGTCTCATGGAAGCATTGTATCTCTGTGAAATTCAAGTATCGTCTGCGGCCCTCGGTAAGATGTATTCAGTCCTGGCATCAAGAAGAGCTCAGATCATCAAAGAAGGTATGAAAGAAGGTACACCTATTTTCTGTATTCAAGCAAGACTCCCAGTTGTTGAGAGTTTCGGTTTCTCACAGCAAATTATGATCAAAACATCTGGATCGGCCAGTACTCAGCTATTTTTCGATAACTATTGGGAAACTATGGAACAAGACCCTTTCTTCCAACTTTCAACCGAAGAGGAACTTGAGGATCACGGTGTCAATGTAGCAAGTTTAGGAAACAACATCGCCAGGCAATATATGGACAAGATCAGAAAGAGAAAAGGTTTGGCAGTTGAAGAAAAATTGGTTGTACACGCCGACAAACAAAGAACTCTAAAGAAAAATAAATAAACAAACTTCCGCGGATACCCGAATGGAAGATTGTGAAATGTTGACCGTTTTTAATAGAAATAACTGTATTATGCGACATTTTGCAAGATATATTCAAATCTAGGTTTAGAATTTCAATAATGGTTTTTTATTTAATATTTGTATTTTTTGAATCTTTATTGATAACATTTTATTTGTTTATTTAAAGTTTGGTATTAAATTTTAGGAATAAGCAATTTGCCGACGATATTGTGATCAACATCTGCAATCTTTTCCTACATTCGATATTATTGTTGTCTAATAAAAAAAGGAATTGGTGAGCAATGGAATCAACATTTCCAGAGTGATCTTTTATCTTATAGAAGAGAGTTAAGGTATTTATTTCAACATTTCTTGAACATCCTATAGAGAGTGCCCTGGACAAATTTAAAAGAACTTTGTTTCCAATTTAAAATTTGTTCATTCTTAAAATTTAATAATAAACACTATTAAAATTCTTCTTGATAATATATAATTAGTAACTTTTCTTTCTTTTAAAAAAAATCATTAATTTATTAATAATAGAAGAAGTATTACATAAATATAAACACAAACTTTGTATAGATAAAATAATATTTATACTAAGACATAGGATACAATTAATGAACAATGTTTTTGCTGGACAAATAGTTCCAATTTAGAATTTTAAAAATAACAATAAAAACAATTAAAAAGTTTTGACACAAATTAATATTTATTTTAAACAATTAATCATTATTAAAACCACGATTCATTAGCCTTTTTTAAATCTTTTGCCATTTGCATGAATGAGTGTGAAGCATTTGCCATTTCTGTTGTTTTTTCTTCAAGTTCACTTATCTTCTTACCCCTTTCATTGAGTGAATTGAGAGTTTCTGCCAGTTGACTGCTGATTTCCTCTACATAGACTTTTTGTTTGGCTGTTGGGTTGTGTTGAACGGTGCAACCCTCTGAGAAAGTATCTTCAAGCTTGACTGGAGCCTTACCAAAGAAGAATTTGGCCAAAGAAGATTGTGCATCCTTTGGTTCTGGAGGAATCTTGATAGTAGGATCAAAGAATTGATAGTGATGACGCTGACTAGATGGCTGAAGGCACAGGGTGTAGTTGGAATTACTGGTATTTACAAAAATATTACCAATCAGTGTGGCGCATACTAGATTGGCTTTAGATGCTTCAGTTGTATTTGAAATGGTTGTAGAGTTCATACGGCTAAGATTTTGAAGTGTATAAAACTGAATCTGGTTTGACTGGTCAAAAGTAGCCACAAACTGTTGATCCGATCCAATATCTCTGAAAAAGAACGATTTAATAATTGGACACTTGTTCTCTACTTTTTGGAGTCTTTCATGTTGGAGAAGAGCATCATTGGAACTTGATAAAGGCGCTGAAGATGCAGAGAATAGCGACAATTGTTTAGATGGAACATTGAAAATAAATAATTCCTTATTACTACAAACCAAGAGTATAAGATCTTCTAATCTTAAAGATGGTGATGGTGGTTTCTGTTGTTGATCTTGTTGACTTGTTTGTTGTTCGGGTGAAGTGGATTGCTGTTGTTGCTGTGTTGGTTGTATTGACATATTTTCAAAAACAGGTAAATCAATAAATACATATTGAAGAGGTCTACCGTTTTTGTCTAAATAGGAAATCGATTGGATTGCCGATTGTGATGCACGGAAACTTGTAATTGGTAAAAGTGTTGGTACATCTATTGCTATGATATAACCACTTTCTGTACCGGCATGTAACACTGAGATATCTTCATTGGATCTGAATGGCATGAAACAAAGTGACAATGATGTTATAGCTGATACTTTGCCCTCTGAATCTACAAATGGTGATTTCGACATTCCTTTGAAATCAATGATTGAGCTATAAACCGTTCTGTTAATAGTAACACCAGGAACATTACTATTGTTTGTCAAAGTCAGTGTGAAATGATAGATAATACCACTGGCACTTCCAAGTACAACTCTAACACAATTCAACGATTTAAGTGGATTCAAAACAATAGAGGTAATAGCTTGAGGGAATCTCCATTCTGAAACTAATTGACAACCTGCCCATACTGGATCCGGCAATAAAAGATATACTGGCATTGGTTGAGCTTGCTGTTGTTGAGATGGTGATGTTTCTTGTGGTGGTGAAGGCTGTTGTTGCAGATTCTGTTGTTGCTGTTGTTGTTGTTGTTGTTGTTGTTGTTGTTGTTCTTGCTGTTGATTTACAGTTGAATCTGTTGTGGTTGGTGATGTTGGTTTTTCTTTTGTTTCTTGACTAATTGCTGTTGAATTTGATGTCGAAAGCTCGTTATTGGCTGGAGCAATTGACGAATTGGATGAGGATAAAGGTGTTGGATATAGAGATTTCTCTATTCTTCTTGGAATATTGGACATGTTATACAGTTGTACTTGACCATCTGCAAAACTAATGACAAGGACAAGGTTGACAATGGAGAATGACATTGCCACTGGATTGGCGGGTATTCCATCGAGTTTACCAAGTAGTTGGTAGGATTTTGGATCGGTGAAATCCCAGAATTTGATGGTCTGATCGGCGTGGAGTGTAATCATCAGTTGGAATATACGACTCTGTTTTATGTTACCTCCAACCACCGGTGATTTACCACTAGCTTGCGATTGGAATGCCTCTACAAGTAGATCTTTGATACTCGATTCACACTCGTAACACTCTGCAATCAGTGGTGGACTTGTCGTCAACATATTCTTGAGGTTGAGCTCGTCGAGTGGTGATGGCAACATGATATTATCAAACTTGTAGTGAATCACTTCATTCTTGGATAGCACCATGATTGACTGCAACTCTTTAACCGACGGATAAGGCAAATCAATGATCGGTACGAACGAAGTGATATTCTGGCATACTTGAGACACACCAAGTTTCTGAATTTCCTTGTAACTCTCGCCTTTGATCATTACCAAACAAGCAGATGAATGGAAGTATCCTTTGAATAGTATAATCTTTTTATCCTTAGTATAAACTAATTCCAATTGATCTATAGAAACTCTTTCATTAGTTTTACAACTATTATTATTATTGTTGCTGTTGTTATTGATATTGTTAGTTGTTGTTGTTGTTGATTCATTTGTTTCAGCAACAGTAGGGGTTGTATTATTCAATCCAATAGGTTTGAATATCAACATAGGTTGTTGCTTCGGATAGTCTACCATGAATACACAACCATCAAAGAATCCACAAACAAACTTACTACCCTTTCTACTCCAAACAACTTTAGTAACGAATGACTTGAACTGATTGAATATCTTATCTACTTTTCTCGATTCATTGTTCCATGATACTATGATACCATTGGAATATCCAATCAATAAGATATTGTTATCAGATGGACAAATATCAATTGCACTTGGATAAATTGGTGGTTGTTGTTGTTGCTGTTGTTGCTGTTGTTGTTGTTGTCTTTGTGGAAATACATGACTATTATTATTTATAATTAAATTAAATTAATATATCGATATTAATACCACAAGCTAATATATATTAACTTACTCTATTGTAATTTTATAGGATGATAGGAAATGAGATACTATATTGTAGACTTGAATGATACCAGTCTCATCACCAATATAAATAAAGTTACAACCAAAACTGTAGCCAATCGATGTAATTCTACTCTTGAAATTCAATATATTGACCATCTTTAACTCTTGATAATTCCATTTTTCAATTGAATTTGATGTAACTACAAGTATATTTGGCTATAATTATAATTAGTTAAATATTTCTGATCAGTCGAAATAACTCTGTCGTTTCTCTAATAATTAAATATTTACATTATCAATTAGAAATATTAACTTTAAAACAGCTGTATTGGCATCCGATTTAAAATGACATTCCATTCCATTCTGACCAAAACTAGTTTTGGTATAAATATTAATTAATATTAATTTAAGCTATTAATAAGCTTTAAAACTACAGAATAATACAATCTTAAGGGGGTTCATGATATATTTACATTTTAACTAATCCATTGTTGAATCCAACAGCCAATAATCTTTGAACACAATCATAGTGTATTGAAGTTGCATTCTCATACAATCCACAATGATATGGCTAGATATATATATATATAATTAGTACTAAAATATGATAATAGTTGAAATGATATCTTTCGTGAATAAATACATTGAAATCATATCTTTGACCAAATGTTGACTTTGAAGGTGAAGACGTAGCAGATGACGGTGACGAATTGGGTGAAGGTGATGAATCACCTTTAACTAGTTTCTTTATTGAATTAAATATAGACATTATAAAAAACTTAAAAACTACAAAAATAAATAATGAATGTAAAAAATAACTATTAATATAAAAAATAAAAATGTATTAAGAAGTTGTTCTATGAGAAAAAATGATACCCCACTACCACCACATCATCAACCAACTAAACCCACAGATCAAAAAAAAAAAAAAAAAAGTAAAAGAAGTTTGTTGTATTTTTTTTTTCTTTTAAATAAAGTGGCTGTACACAACAACAATATAATTACTTGACTATTATGAGCACAAGCCTTGCGCAGATGAAGCAAGAGAGAACAGATTTACAAAAAGTGCAGCAGTCTTTTTACTCGACCATTGAAGATCATCAAATTAATACACAGAATAGAAAAGAAAGGGATGAGTACAGCAACAACCGGATTTGTATTACAATATTGTTATTATTACATTGAGATTATTTATTTATTTATCCATTCATTTTGATTTGTATTGTTTTGTCTTTTTAAATAAATATATTCTCTTGGAATGATATACCTTCGATTGTTTCATCACGACATAATCTCTCTAGTTTCTCACATTGTAAAAGCTTCTCTTTGGCAAGATTGAGTGAGATTTGCTGTAGTTTGGAGAGGTGGAATGCCGTTATGGAACCACCGACCTCCTTGATGAGGTTCAAAATCTCCTGTGCAACTTGATCGTCGCTTTCATCTTTTGATTGGACAACCATCACACCGGAATCAAACTTGCGCAGTCGCACCGGTAGCTCGAGTTGTTCAAACAGCAGACAGGCACGGTAAAGATCGTCGGGTGATATCAGCTCGATGCCACGCGCACGATTGAACAGACAGTAGAGGTCTGCCAATGTGATCATACCACTCGAGAGACTACCGACACCGGTGCCTTTCGACGTCAGAATCTGCTTGCTTACCAGCCATTCCGAGAGTTGTTTCGATAGCTCTGTGTGGTAGTGTGATTTCGCTGTCTTCTTGGTTACCGGCACGGCAATACCCATCTCGACGAGGAACTGTCGCAGTGTGTCTTCGTCGCTACTGTTTGAACCGGCTTGTTGTTGTCGATCGATTGTCGCTTTCAATTGACTGGAGAGTGTAACCATCTCCTTTGCTTTATCCATGAGTGCACCCAAGTCAGCGAATGCTTCGGTCAGTGCTTTGTCGGTTGCTTCTTGTCGTTGATTCATCTGTTTGATTAATCCACTGATTCCAGCATTGGAAGTATCGAAATTTGTGTTTACATTGTTTGTTGGTTTGTTATTATTATTATTAAAGAGTGGACTTGATTGTTGTTGTTGTTGTTGTTGCATCTGTTTCTGTTGTTGAAGTTGTTGTTGCTGTAGTCTTTTAGCTTCTTGTGATTCAAACAACAATTGTTTATATAACCTGTAGAATTCATCTCTTTTCGTTGTACCTGAATGAAATGATAACTTTATATGTTTACTATTCCTGCATAGAACCGATAACTTTGGTGATGATCCCATACTAAGAAATCCTGCATTCTATATAAAGTTTATTTGTTTTAGTTACAATGATAATAGTCATAATCATCATGATATTGAGTACATACAATAGATTCTACAGAAACAACAGAATCATGAAATAAACCAATTGAAACATTACTGTTATACCAAATGATTCTAACTGATGTTATAGATATTGTTCCTTTTTGATAATTTGTAAGTTGATCTCTATTGTTATTAAATTAATCATTAATAATGTTTTTGTTTTATGAACATAGTTTTATTTATATATTAAAACATACCCTTCATATATTGATACATTCTCAACGCTTAATACTATTGATTCATTTTCAAATAAAGTAGGTTGTTTTTTAACATTTAATTGTGCTGAATGAAATGCTTCCATTTATCTATATACTATATTCTAAACTATAATAATGCAGTTCATTTAATTAAATTCAATAATTTGATTAAATTTTAGATTTTTTTTTTAAAAAGTTGTTTAAAAAAAAAGCAATATTTAATTAATTTAACTCATAATCAAAGAATTCTAATAATAAAGATAAACATTACACCGAGATATTGTTGTTGTTTTCACACCACCACCACCACCACCTAATATAGTTCACCTTTTCAACATCAACCTCACACAATCATATTAATTTGCAAAACAATTTAATTTGTTGAACAATTGAAACTACTAATATACTACAGTATCACGATAACCAAAACTATAATTATAACTAAAAATAAAACTATAACATTATTAAAAAAAAAATATGAATATTAAAAAGAAAGAAGTAACACCTGAAAAGATTTATTTAAATGTATATGACTTACATCCTGGTATGTATTATGATCACTGATGATGATAAAATGATGATGACGATAGATTAATCAAAGAACTAATAATATCAATTGATATTTAAATATTAATTTTAGTGAATAGTTATTTTTATTACTTTGGACTAGGTGCTTTTCATTCCGGTGTTGAATTGTATGGATCAGAGTACTCGTTTGGTGGACATGAATATTCTTTTACGGGCGTCTTTGAAATTGAACCGAGAACTGCTACCGGTGTGATATTTAGAGAGCGATTGCTCATTGGTGAAACTACCAAGTCACGTAGTCAGGTGCAATCGATCGTCGATGCAATCTCTGATGAATTCACTGGAAACAGCTATCATCCTCTCCAGAGAAACTGCAATTCATTCTCACAGGAATTCGTTTATAGACTCACCGGAAAGAACATACCAAACTACATCAACAGACTGGCGTACATCGGTAACTTTTTCAGTTGTCTCATTCCCAATCTATCGTTAAACACACCATCTGCATCATCTCAACAACAACAACAGCAACAACAGAGAATCGGTGGAACTGGCTCACCCAGTAGTGGAAGTAGCGGAAGTAATAATAGTAGTAATATAAATTCACCACATTTTCCAGGACAAGGTTATACTCTTAGTAATCTACCTACACCGCCGCCACTTGAACTCTCTTCGGATGATGATGACGACGAAGATGATGAAACTTCAACACTGAAGAGATCAACGTCATCAAGTGAAAAGGAATCATCACTTTCAATGTCATTATCATCATCATCATCTAACTCTTCAGATAACAGCAGTAATAGCAGTGGTAATTCGGAATTAGAAGAAAGAAGAAAAAAGATGCTACTGGCAGCAAGCAAACGTCAACACCAAGATGATAAAGAAAAACTTTTAACTTCACCAACATCATTGTCGTCGTCATTATCATCGACCAATCAGAATTCATAACAATTTGTGTGTGTGTGACATACTTTTAAAAAGTGTAAAAATAAATCAAATAATATATTAATAATTATTAACATAATATTATAATTATTGTTTATGTTCATAAACAACTTTGCTTGTTGACTTTTTTGTTTGAAAAGTTTTATGTTTGCAAAAACACCCATTTTTCAAATTCAAATAAATTACTGGATGGTTAAAAAAACAATTTAATTTAAAATTTTATTTTATTTTTTTGATCAAATAGCAAGCAATCATTTCACTGGTATATGCTTAAAAAAAGAGTTTCAGACTGAAAAATAAAAGTTTACCATATTACAAATAATTAAATAAAGAATGAGTATGTAGTATTTATCTAATAATATCTTTTTATTAAACAAATTGACTAAAACTTTGATCTATTTCTACAATAACAGCTGAGAAACCAACTTGCAAGAAATGTTCAAAGCCAATCGAAGGTGAAGCATCTATCAATGCTTTAGATGCAGATTGGCATACTTCTTGTTTTACATGTTCTGTTTGTATGTAAAGAAAAATAACATTTAGAGGAGAATGATAGATGGAAGAGAGGGTTGCAGGAGTAAGAAGAAGAAGAAGTAATGGAAATCGTAGTTTGATAATTTTATTAACTTTTTTTTTTTTAATTTCAAACTGGTGCAATTCTTAAACAAAAAAAGGTGAAAAACCAATTCAATCATATTTCTTAAAGGATGGAAAACCCATTTGTAAAGATGACTATAATCAGAAATTCTTGGAAGCATGCACCAAGTGCAGTAAACCAATCTCTGGTTCGAAATTGACTGACAATGTCGGTAAGCACTATCATCCAGAGTGTTTCACATGCACCACCTGTAATGTAAAGATGGATGGTCAATTCTTTGTTAGAAACAACGAAATCAAATGTGCACAATGCAACGAACAATTAAAGGTATCAGAGAAGAAGAACTCCGGAAAGGATCTTGGAATTTGCTTTTTCTGTAGTAAAACATGTAACACCTCCGATGGTCCTGTCATCGTTATCAATCCAAACGAAAGATACCATAAAGATTGTTTCAAGTGTGTCAAATGTAAAACTTTGATTCAAGGTGAATTCTACACACTTTCAGATATTCGTTCAAGTAAGTAATTATAATTATTATTTATAACCTCGAAAAAAAAAAAATCGATTTTAATTAATATGAATATTTTCTCTATCTCTATCTCTAAATTGTAGAGGATTATGTTTGTATGAGTTGCAGTTAAACAAACAAATAAAAAAAAAAAACAACAAGAATCCAATATATTTATTTAATTTTAAACTAATACAATAAAATAAAAAAACAATTGTAAATTTCCAAAAGCAATCATAATTCTCAAAGTAACAAAAGCTTTCTATATTATTTTTGATATGTATATTTATAACATTATATATCTATTTTATATTTATTTTTTTATTTTATTTTTCCCAGGTTCTTTTTTTTTTTTTTGTTTTTGTTTTTGCTAGTATAACATGATTATGTTTTAATCATTGCTTGTTTTGTTGTTGTTGTTGATGATGTTGAATTTTAAGATTGATTGATTGATGATGGTGTGAGTTGATCGCTATACAAAGCGCAGAAGGATTGCGGTCGTTTTATATTTAAATATGATATGATGATATGATGGATGTTGATGTTGATATTTCAATTAGATTGGAGTTTGTTTGATCATTTTATAAAAAGGAATTAAAGTATCCTATAATATACATATTTATGAGTCATACTTCCACAATCTAGCTCTATAGTCACCACTACCAGTGGCAAAAAGTCCACCCTTTGGTGAGAGTGCAACAGAGATGACAGAGTTCTTGTGACCTTGCAACATCATGTGAGTGGTTCCTGTCTTTGGATCCCAGAATTGGACGGAACGATCCTTGGAACCAGAGATCAGCCAGTTACCACATGGTGAAAAAGCAACTGACAAAACGAAATCTTTGTGTCCATTGAAGGTGGAACGGCAGCGTGAACGCGAACGCGATCCTGAGAGATCCCAGAGTTTAAGTGATTTATCGAGACTACCCGATGCCAATGACTTTCCGTCCGGTGAGAAGGCGACTGAATATACTGAATCCATATGACCTTCGTATCTCTCCAAGAAGTATCCAGAGTGGGCATCCCAAAGTCTAACGATGTTATCCAACGAACCAGCTGCAACCAATCTACCATCTGGACTTATAGCAACTGATGTAACACCATTCTTTGGTCCAACCTCTTCATTACCCAATGTAAATGCACACTAAAAAATATATATTATTAAAATGTTAGATACTTTCTTTCTTCTTTTATCTTTTTTCATGTTGTTGTTGTTGGTGGTTGTTGTTGTTGTTGTTGTTTAACAATAATTCGTTCATAATTAATTAATTTACCTTTCCTTCTTTAAGATCCCAGATCTTTGCTTTCTTATCACCACTACCTGATACAATGAATCTACCATCATATGAGAAATCCAAAGAATAGATATCCAACTCATGTCCAGTGAATACCTGTTGAATCTTTCTCTGTGCAATATCCCAAACCTTGACAGTCTTATCCTCTGCACCTGTTGCAAGATATTTACCATCTGGACTGAAACAAACTGATCTAATATAGAGATCACCTTCCTTTTCACCGTCATCAAAGAAATTGCTATATTAAGATAATAAATAATAAATATATTAGACATTAGTCACTGGCAATAAATAAACATTATTATTATTATTACTTACTATAACTTTTTACCATTCTCAGTATCAAAGATCTGTGCATATCTGTTGCAACCAGTGGCGAGGTATTTACCGTCATTGGAGAATTTTACACAACAAACAACACTATTGTGTGTCAATGTCTGTAATAAATCGATATTGAGATTTGTTTGTACATTTGGATTGTATCCAACCAACCAATCTGGACCGTTCTTATCTTTACCATTTTCATCCATATCCATTTCACTGCTTAATTTGATAAAATCACCTCAATATTAATAACTATGATCATCGTGTTCATTATTCTTTTCAAAACTTACAATCTTCTTCTATCATCATTTACGATTCCTTCTTTGTGTTGTTGATTCAAGTCACCCAATGGTTCTCCTACTTCCTTCTTGTGTCTCTGGTCGATTGGTGAAAGTATTGGGAAGGATGTAGTTTGTTGTGGTTGTTGTTGTGGCATTCCTGGCTGTCCTTGTTGTTGTTGCTGTTGTTGCTGTTGCTGTTGTTGTTGTTGTTGTTGCTGCTGTTGTTGATGTGGGTAAAATTCACCAGAGTTTGAACGGTTTCTTCCTGTTGGTCGCTGTGGCATTTTATCTGGAATGGTTGGTGTTGGTGTGTTACGTTGTTGAACACCCGGTGCTGGACTGTTCGATCGAAATGTATTGGGACTGTTGAGGTCTCTAGATCCTGTGACCTGCTCCAACTGTTTCTTCAATCGTATGATCTCCTCATCGTACTGTTGCTTTATCTTATTGTGTGATCTCTCGAGATCGACCAAAGTCTGTTGCACCAAAGTGATCTCCTGTAACTGTGATTGTACTAAAATAGCACATAATATTTTCCCAATTAGAAATCAATCCATCTCCGATATAGTTTTTTTTATTTATTATTTATATAAATAATTATAATAATAATAATAATTAAAATTAACAACTTACATTTTCTTTCATAATCTTCTTTATGATGTTTATATATATTTAATTCATGTGTCAATGTATCAATTTCTGCTCTAAGACTGTCCAAAAGCTCAGTAGCTCTTGATCTTGGTTGTTGTTGATACATCTTTTTTTTATTTATTTATTATTTTATTTTTCTAATATCTATCTTTGATCTATCTATCTATCTTAATTGAATAAAAATAAAAATAAAATTATTAGTTTATATTTATAGCTTTTTATTATTGTTATTATTATTTTAGATTAGATGGTGATAAAATGATGTTCAGAACAAAAAAGAAAATAAAAAAAATGAGCTGTTTGTTTTTGAATTTAAACTAAAGTCTGATTTTGGATCTTTTTTTTTTTTTTTTTTTCTGAAAAATGATGGATGGGATTTTGAGTCAAAAGACAGTGATTTATGATGAAAATTTTTTTTTGAAAAAATACTATTCCAAAACAAAAAAAAAAAAAAAAAAAAAAAAAGAAAATAGGAAACTGATAATTAATTTATGCAATTCAAGAAAGTTAAAGGTATACTTTTTAAAAAAAAAATTAAAAAAATAAAACAACAAAAAAAAAAAAATAAAACTTTTGCAAAATACTAATTTTTTTTCTAGTTGCTGTGTGGGGAACATGTTGGTGGGTGTTTTGTTTTTGTTTGGTAATGAATGCATGAATGAAGTAGTTTGACTTGCCACATGTAGAGTTTTGGCGAGCTTGTTTGTAGATGTTGTGCTAGATTGGTTGGGTTGATCGATTCACTGTTTTTGTTGCAAAACAAACATACCACACATCCTTTTTTTTTTTTTTTGTTTAAATTGCAAAAATTAAAATATAAATTTACCAATAATAAAAAAACTTGACAATAACAAAATCTTTTTAGCATACCACTTGATTGATCAACTATTGAATAGACAATGACACACACACTAAAAACCCACACATGACATGAACACCACCACCCACACCTCAAATCTGAGTTCAGTGTGTGTTTGACGACGAAGTTAATTGTTGTTTTGGGTTGTTTTTATGTGTTGTTGGTCTTAATATTTACACACCAACACAAAAAAAATATCATAACAATAATAAAATAAAACATGCAAATATGGAAAATTTTAATAATACGACAATTAATGTATTTTTAATAACCTTTTTAAATTGGAATCATCGGTGTGGGTTTTGCTGTTTTTTAATAAATAATAATTGTTTTGTAGTGACTACTGATGAATATTATACTCCATTGGCGAACTGTCATTAAATAAAAAGGTAGAAATAAATACTATAAATAATAAAAATAGTGTTCTTTCATTTGAGTTGAATTATTTTTATCTGATAGTATCGTGTATGTATTGCAAAAAGGGGACGCAACTTGGTTGAAAAGACGATTTTTTGTTGTCACCCAGCAGTGTGTGAGTGTGTGAGTGAATGTGTCTCTTCATTTTTGAAGTTGTTATTGTTCTATTGTTATTTTTGTGTAGTGGTAAATGAAATAAAATATTATTTTTTTTTAAACAAAACACAACACACAGTAATGGTGAATATAAAACAAAGGTAGGGTGAGGGTCAGATAGTAGTTTTAAAAACAAACAAAACCAACATTCATTAATTAATGGTAACAACATTGATAAATCTTTTTGGTGATGATGATGATGTTGATTGTAGTGGTGGTTGGTTTAAAGTAGAACTCGAAGTGGAAGTAACTGTAAAGTAATTACTGGTAATTGGAAATATTCTACTACTTATAATAGTAGTAGTGTGATTAGGTTGTTTGTAAAATGGGTGTTCGGTAAATGGATACTGAATTAGATCGGTTGTGCTAATTGTGTTTTATTTAGCAACCAATAATAATATTAAAAAGGTAACTATATGGTTGGAAAGAAAATAAATAAACAAATTTATGTATATATATGATTACTGTGGAGTGGTTTTAGCTTTGAAACTAACTACTATTATAAACTTTTTATTATCACCAATTTGAAAATTATTATTATTACATTAATCTTTTAAAAAGGTTCAAGATTTTATACCTAAATAAATACTGATTTGATTCTTGCTGATTAGGTCACCAAAAAAAAATAAAAAGTTTGGTGTGATCCAAAAAAATTTGAAAAAGAAAAAAAAACTAATTAATTTGAAATGAAATTGCTTTTAATTAATTAATGTTGTTAATCTATTTCTAATTGTATGATAATAGTTTAAAAACTATTATTATTACTATTATTAAATATATAAATAAGAAGAAAAGAAATGGGTGTTTGTTTTATATAATCCAACAAAAAAAAATGAATGTTTTGAGAAAAAAAAAAAAAACCAACAAAAAATCTTATACATCAAATTTATTTTTTTTAATAACAAACAAACCCCCTTCGATAATAATAAGTTTTTACGATCTATAATTGACCACAAAATCGCAAATTAACCCACACCTTGTGATTTTTCTTTCATTGCCAACAGTAACACTTCTTTTTTTTTTTTTTCAAATTTTGCAAAATTAGTCAAAATTGAATTTTTCTTTTTTTTTTTTTTTTTTTTTATATTTTTTATATCTCAAACGTTTATTCCCTTTTTTAGACTTTATTATCAATTTTATTTTTTTTTATTTAATGGTATATATATTTTCGGTATTTTTTTTATTATTGATTTTTTTTCCTTCAAATTGTTTAATTTGATTTAATGTTCAGTTCCAAAATAACGATCACCGAAATCACCAATACCTGGTACAATATATTTCTTTTCATTGAGTTTTTCATCGATTTCACCGGTGACGATGGTAACCTTTGGATATTTCGAGGTGAAGAATTGAATACCCTCTGGAGCAGCGATGAGATTGATGAAAATGATATTCTCCTCCTTGACGCCACGCTCTATCAAAACTTCGACGGCTTGTGCGACTGTTCCACCAGTTGCCAACATTGGATCCAACAACAAAACATGTCTATTTGCAATATCAGCTGGTAGTTTTGAATATAGCAACTAGTTGAATTTGAATTGAAATGAATATTAATATTTGTTGATTTTGATATATTATATTATATTACCTTTGGTAAAGCAGTTTGTTCATCTCTTTGAATTAAAATTTTACCGATTTTGATTTGTTTGCAGACAGCACGCAAACCAGCTTCCATCGATTCACCAGCACGAACAATGCTGACACCGCAGATCTTTGAAGCAAATTGAACACCATTGTATTCGCAACCGGTTGGTGTTGTGACAGTGGTTTCACTGAATGGCAAACAGTTGAGACCTTCTTCGATCAACAAACGAATCAAACGATCACTATAAAAGATAAAGTCCTCTCTCTTTGTATCCTTATTACGGATCAATGTGAAAAGTCCAGCAACTTGATGATTACTCTTTAAAACTACAATCTTTTTGTTTTGCACATAAATAAAAAAGTAAAACAAGTTGTTATATTAATATATATCTACTACCACTATTTTCTAAAGATTATTTCGTTTCAAGTTATAATTAACTAAATCAACTCTATTTCTTTACATACTTTTGGATTATTTACAGTTGTCATTTTTAATCTTTATCTTGTTCTTAAATAATAATGTTATATATCAAATTAAGATTGGTGATCGAAACAATCAAAAAAAAAAATTTGACCTTTTATTTTTATTTTTGTGGGTCTTTTAATTTTTTTTTGTATTAATCTTGCAATTACGCTCTGTTTTTTGAATTCAAAAAAACCGAGATTGATAATATCTTGGTGATTGAATGAATCAAAAACTTTGTTGAAATTTCCTTAATTTATTTGATTATAATAATTATTTACATATATGTTTATTTGGTATTAAAAGATTGAAAAAAAAAATGTAAATGAGGAGGTAAAAGTAATAAAATAAAAATATTTTGTTTTGTTTTTTTATGATTAACAAAAAATAAATGCATATGAATGTAATAAAGTGAATGATAGTTATTGTTTTTAAATTCGATTATTTATATTCTAATTGTATTATTTGGTTGTTTTTTTTGTTTTTGTTTTTTTTTGCTTTTGTTTTTAATATATAATTTTTGTTTGATTCCAAATATGATTATGATTCTTCAATCTCCATAAATTGAAGTGGACTTTCTTCTCTTTTACATTCTCCTTTTGCAAAATCATATGTATATTTATAACAAACACCAGATGCACAAATAACTAAAATAAATAAATAAAATTGTGATTCGAAACAAAGTTAGTTGAGAATAATGATTATCTTATCATTTAATATGCATATTATGCTTACCAATAATTGAATTTGGAGCAGAACTAAATGCACAAATGGATCTTGACTCTGGAATTTGAAACTGTACAGCACTCCACTCTGATTTGAAGTAATTGGTAGGCAGAATGTCACCCATGAAGGAGAAGCTAGACTGTCTGTTCTTGACTTCCGATTCTTGGTCACGGGTGTTGTGAACGGTGGTGGTTGAGGGAGCGGAACGCGACAAATCAAAGATGTGTCCTGTGTTCTTGTCGGACGATACACAGAGTGCTGTCGATTCGCTGTTGAATGCGATGCTGTAGATCTCTGCACGATTGCTTCCACGACGTACCTCTTTGATCTTCTCACCGGTCGATGTGTCAAAGATACGAATGAGAGTGCCCTTCTCGCTGGCCGTGGCCAATCTGGTGCCGTCCTTGTTGAGCGCAATCTGCGATAGAGCAGACTCGTGTGCTGGTATAATCTGTGTTTGTTTGTGGTCGTACAGCTCTACGTGCACGTAACCTGGCTTCAGACCGGGACATGCGAGCACATTCGCTGCACCCGGACAAACTGCACAGATTCCTTTTGGATTGTTGGTTGTCTCCAACTGGTGTACCAATTGTAAATCTGCAAAATTATAAACATATACTTTATTTTCGAGGACAACTACAATTCTATATATATATATATATATAAAAGATAGTTAAGTATTTTAGGTAGAGTAGTATGGTTGATCGATAATCAACTTTAGTTATTTCTATGACATACCTGTCTCTTCTAAGTTTGACTGCTTTGACCTCTGATTTAAATTCCAATTTTGCAATACATTTATTTTGATAGTCGTCCCAAATCATCACTTGATTGGGAGTGTATTTTGGTTTGGTACCACCACCTACAATTGCAAGAATATTACATCTAAAGAGCATTTCGACGATACCTACACCACCGTCAAATACTGAATTTGTTTTGATAATAGTAATGATGATGATGATGATGATTGATGATTGATGATTATGATTGATAATGATAATAATTAGTTTACTGTAATAGTATAACTGATAAAGTTGATTATGATATCATACCTCTACCAAACCTCTCTTTAAATGGATCGCATGAAAATATCAAGAAACCCTTCTCCGTACCGCATGCAAAGCAACTGTAATCTTGATTAAAGTTGGCAAACAAAAGATTTGGATGTTTATCTCTACAGTTACTTAAATTCATTTTTATTTATACAACTAACTAAATAGACTTATCCAAATGAATCTTCTTTATTTAATTATTCTTCTTTTTTTGTTTAATGATTATATTCTAATCTAACTGATGATGATGTATCTATACAAATAATATAATAATAATAATAATATATATATCTAAAAATAAATGATTTTTAATGTCAATGTTAATGTTATATTCTTTAACAAACAAACTAAAACTAAAAAAAAAAAACTGTAAATTGAAAGAAAAATTATACAACAAACTTTTGAAAATATGATTTTTCTTCTCCTTTTTTTTTTTTTTTTTTTTTTTGCTTTGTTTTTTTTTTTTTTTTCAAACAATTAATTTTAATATTACTGGCTATTTGTTGAATGAATGAGTCACTTAAAAAAAATTGATGTTGCAATAAATAATAACAATTCTATAATAAAACTATAAATATTTAATAATAGTAATAATAATATACAGTAAAAAGTTATGTCTAGTATACAATTGGGTTATTGATAAATTAAACAAAAGTCACCTCTCTTTCTCTTTTTGTTTATTGAAAAATAAGTTTTCAAAATAGCAAAAACAAAGAAATAGATGGTTTGATTTAATTTAATATCTTAAAATAATTATAAATAATATAATTGAAATAAGTAATAACAATACATCAAAAATTTAAGAATTTTTTTATTTATTTTTTTTAAAAAATTAAAAATTCAATTCAAATTATACTTTAATATACAACTTTCTACTTCTCGAATTAACAATAAATTACAATTAATTTCTAATTGATCGGATAAAGATAAATTTTGTTTATTTTTATTTTATTTTTAATTTTTTGTTTTTCAAAACCCAGGGGATTCTTTCTTTGATTACCATGGTCCCTTACAAAAAAACACATTTATAAAAATGTGTAAAATAAAGATATTTACATATTTATTCTGAAGTTCCCATCGAACTATTCAAGATCTTGTTGTTATATTAAAGTAATATAAATGTGATTCAAAAAAAAAAATATATATATATATATATAATAAAAATAATAAAGAGTTGAAAACAACAACAATAATAGATTTTTTTTACAGTTTGAAAAGAATTGATTATTATGTTTATTATTACCAAGTTGTTACTGGGAAAGTATATTGTGAATTCCAATCACGGTCGAAAATCGATTGGAGTTGAGAGGTAAAATCGGCATTGAAAATGTTATAGCTGAGTCCACCGGTGTTGGTGAAGTAGTCTTGTGACCAGTTCGATGTTCCAACGTATGATTGTTGCTCGGTGACCATGTACTTGGCGTGGTTGACACGTGAGTATGGCACTTGTGGCTGTACTGGCATGTCTGGCACTTGGAACCAACGAACCTGGATGTTGTTGACCTGTGCCAACGAGTGGAGGAACTGAGGGATGATCTTGGTGTTGGTGTGATTCCAGTGAGAGACCATGACACGCACCTGCACACGACGGTTGTAGGCGGCCGCTCTCAAGGCGTCGTCGATAACCGGCCAGAAGGTGTTGGGATAGTTGTAGAAGGAGCTTGGTGCATAGTCCATGACGGAGATGCACACTGACTGGTTGGCGGCGTTGATAGCAGCGACCAACGCGTCGATATCTCCAGTACGATCTTTCGAGACGAATTGAGGTGGTGACACTGCCAAGAACATAGAGACAGCTTCGCCATTCAATTGTAACTGCGCTGGATGAGTAGCATTGAATTTGGCCTTGTCTTTAGATGGCCATTTGCTTGGTAGTTGAGTCATGATGGCGGCATCCCAATACTGCTCGAAAGCAATCTTGGTATCCTCAACCAAAGTCTTACAATTCTCAACGACTACACCAAGTTCCTTTACTTGAGCAAGTGATCTCCAATCGAAATTAGCACTTCCAACGTATGCATCTAATAATAAAAGAAAATAACAATGTCGTTAATGATTAGTAATTGTTATTTTCGTTATTGAACAATAACAACAACAACAACAAATAATTACTTACTGGTTTTATCAACTACGATCATTTTGGTATGAAGGATACCGTTACCAACTAGGCTTGGCCAGTTGATGGTACGAACTTGAGCGACACCCATGTTGGCGAGGTTGGTGGTGTCGTTGGCTGGTTGTGATGCAGATGGTAGATTTTGAACGATTCTGATGGTGACTCCACGTTGAGCAGCGTTGATCAAGGCCTTGTAAAAGTCCATTCCCATGTATCCACCGTAGATACTTGGGTAATCTGCACCATCAGTCAAAGTCATGTAAAACAAACCTAAATCGATAGATTCTTGAGCATTATTGATCAAATTCATCCAGGCTTCATATGTTGTTATATTGGTAGTGAGATTAACATAAACTGGAATCGATTCAGCTATATACATTCTTCCACTATAAATAATTAAATAATAATCAGATTAGATTAGTAAAGTAAATAACATTAAATTTAATTATTTATTTCATTATTAGATCTATCTATCTATCTATTAAAACCTCTTACCTTGAACATTGTTTATCATCGAAACTATCATTGTTGATAGATACTGATTTCGAGAGTGTGCAAACACACAGCAGTGACACTAACAATACAATCGATAAAGATGATTTAATTTGAATCATCTTTTTTTATATTATTATTTATTTCTACTTCTTTAACACTTAAATATATATAGTATTTAAACAAAAAGTGTGATTGGAAATGATTTAAATAAATAAAAGAATACTTAAAAAGTGGGTATGAATTTTGTTTTAAAATAACAATGAAGACTGGGGTGAAATCTCACTAAAGATAAATTGGTAACTAGCAAAACGAAAAAAATATCCAACCAGATTTTAGAATTTTCGAAAAAAAAGAAAGAACAAAACTCTTCTAAACTTTTGGGATAGGATAATTAAATAATCCAGTGGATTATCTTTTAATTAAAACGAGTCTTTTTTTTTTTAGTAAAAAACCTAACTTTTTTTTATTATTATTTTGTATTGTTGTTTGCTATTTTACTTAATTCCAATACATCTTGATCAAGTTTAATAGGTGATTCTGTTGTGTAGTTGGTGTCAAACAGTTTGAGAGGTGGTGCGATCTTACAGAGTCTGACAAACTCACCGACGTCACTATCGTTTACTTTCGATGATGAGCTGACTGCCGATGCAAACACCGGTTCTTCAGTGTCGATAGCAGATTGCGTAGTGAGTGGTTCTATTGTGTTCTTGACTTGAAGTTCTTTGTGGACGTCTGTCAGGAGCAGAGGACCGTGTATCTGACTGAGTTTTGAATTGATAGAGTTTTTAAAAGATGATGATGATGATGTTGTTGTTTGATTGTTGTTATTACTATTGTTGTTGACTCCACTGTTGTTGTTTGATGAACTATTTGAATAGCTGTTGAGATTGATATTGATACCGGCACCACCACTCGATACTTGATTCTGTTGTGAGCCATAACTACCATAGTTTGTGTTATTGTTATTGTTACTATTGTTGTTATTCAAAAGAGGATTGGTATAGTTGTAAAGAGGGGGAGATGTTCCGCTGTAATTTGGTGGTGAGAATCCAGTGTGAATATTCATAGGAGGTGATCGACCTGATCGATAACTGTTGGATTGAGTTTGTAATTGTTGTTGTTGTTGCTGTTGCTGTTGTAACTGTTGATATTGTTGTTGATGTATTGTTATTGGTGCAGAGATTGATCTATGTCTATGTTGTCCAGGTGATATATTAGTAGTTCCACTGCTTGGTGTGACTTGTCTAACTGTTAAAGGATAAGAGGGTTGAGATTGTTGTTGTTGCTGTTGCTGCTGCATTTGTTGATGTAGGAGTGATGTACCACCACCACTAGAGAATGGAGGTGAACTACCACCTGCCCCAGATGGTTTTGGAAAAGGTGAAGCACTGTTATTGGCATTTACAAAGAATGGTGGGGAAGTTGAGGTTTGTGGTGAAGATACAAGGTTGACACCACCAGGTGAGTTGTTATTCCTCTTGTTTGAACTGGAGCTGCCATAGATATTGGTATTATTATTATTACTATTGGTTCCGGGTATACCAATTGGATTGGTTTGTTTGTCTTGTTGTTGCTGTTGCTGTTGAAGATATTGATGTGCAAAACTGTTGTTATAACTTCCAAGACCACCTCCACTTCCAACAGTGTTTGTTCCTCCATAATAATCGTAGGAATCGCTCGATCCTACTGACGACGGCTTATAAGGATCGCTCGATACCAATTGATTGCTACTCATGTTTCTTCCGCCACTGCCACCTCCGCCACTGCCATAGGACTGTGGATAGTAAATAGGTTGTTGTTGCTGCTGTTGTGCTGTCTGTTGTTGTTTGATAGGTAATGACTGTGAGGGTGCAGGAATATTTGGATTATTACTATTGCTATTACTTCCATAGCTACCGCCATAATAGTAACTCTTCTGTTGTTGTTGCTGCTGCAATTGTTGTTGTTGTGATTGAATTGGTTGTGGTTCAGTTGATTTGAAATGATTGTTATTATAGTCTTTGATTATAAACTGTGAATCCAAACCAAGCTGTGAACTAATGGATATCTCTTTACTGAGATCCTCTCGGTAGTTGACATCCAACTTCAAAACACCAAGAGGTGTAGGAATCGATGTGAAAGTAAATGATTTAGTTGGTATAGCTATATATATTGGATTAGTAAAATGAAAAATGATTAGTATTCATGATATATAGGATGTAGATAAAAGTAAAACACTAAACTACTAAAACATACAAAGTGAAAAAGAAGGAGAAAGAATGGAATTGAAATCACAAATTCTAAATTGATATTTTAGCTTTGAGGTGGATGATCGATTCCTTGTGAAGTTCTTGTAGACACTGTAACATGGTATATTTCTCAAGAATGAATAGAGTGTTCTAACTAGTAGTATTACGTTTCTATATAGTTTTGGCAATTCAAAACTTGTATCTACATCTTTACTATATATTATTAAGGTATTAATTAATTAGTTTGTTTGTTTTATATTCAAATTGTAATATTCTATTCATTCTATTCTACGCTATTATACTTACAATGGTTCGAATACGAATCTCCAAGACTCTACCAATGTGTTAATACCAAGTAGTTCACCACCTTCGTCAAAGTGTATCTCCAATACAAAGAGTGTTCTAATTCCATTCCTTGCAAAAATATTCTTATCGATCTGTTTCTGTACTTGTTCTGAATCCTCTGTTTCAATGTGAAACTATATTGACAAACATATTTATTTGATAGTTTAATATATATATATATATATATTAATATTATTATAGACTATTTTGTTTGACATGTGATATGTCATGTGATATTTAATAAATATAATAAAAAACATAATATTATACCTACATGTTTATTTATCTTTTTAAACTGTTGTAATAGCTCAACTCTCGATGATAATATACATTGTACAATCTTTGATATACTTCTCCGCATCAACTCATCTGTCTTGTCTCTCAATACGTTTGCATTTTGAATATCCATTTCTCTATCTATCTATTTGTCTATCTACAATTTGAAATTCAATTCAAAACCAATGTTATAAAGCTTTAGCGAAACGACCGATTAATATAAATCTTATATCTCTCCTCTCTCTCTCTATCAATTCAATCTTTTATAAATCTATCTAAAACGAGATATATAAATTTGATATATATTTACAAAATAAAATACAATAAAATAAATGAAAACCAAAAATGTAAATATTTGATTAAATAAAATAAAAAAATAAATTAATTAAATAAAAATTTATTAAAAGAATATTCATGGTTCAAAAAATTCATATGTTTTGTTTTTTTTTTTTTTTTTACACGTTTGCAGATTGGGCATTAGTTGATTGATTTTTATTTACATCATGATAAAATGTATTTAATAAAATATTATTGGTTTGTACAAACTAGTTGTTTGTTGAAAATGTACTAAAGAATGATATTATAATTATCAAAAATATGATGATCATTTGCAACCTTATATTTCCATGATATCATTTTAAAATTCTTAAGAATTATGTGTCCAATTTAATTCTTTTTTCGTAAAGTAAAGATTTGTTGATTGATTGGATCAGATTGATTTGTCAAGTATATCACTTTATCTGTTTAAAAAAGAAATAAATTAAAATAAAAAATAATCAAAGGAAAATATAGATAGAAACAATATGAGGGTGACTATTTCTGACCTAATAATACACGAGTCTGGTTACATCAATTTAATGTAAAGCCACAGCCAACAACAAAGTCTATTAATAAAAATATAATTATTTTCATCAGCACACATAATATTGAAAAAAAAACAAAATAAAAATTGATTCCCTTCCAGAATAGAATGATGGAATTTATCTATTGTTCTCTACAAAAAAAAAAATAATTTGTTGTTTTTTTACAATTTGGGTGGGGGGTATGTTTTGTTTTTTTTTTTTTTTTTTTTTGTCATACGGTCGTAAACAATACAGATATTGCCAATCACAACACAACAGTCACTTTTCATAACAGAGTAATGAATTTTTGTTGCAGTTTTGCAAAGAATATTTTTTGTTTTTTTTGTTTTTGTTGTTTTTTTTATTCTGTCATCATAATTTACTTTTTAGTATAAACAGTGGTCGAGATCATTGGTTTCTGTTCGACAATTAGAGACTTGCATTGAATGAAACTTCAGCAATATAATTAATGAATGTGTGAGTTGTGAATCTTAATGTTATAATTTAGTATTTCTAGAACGGAACAAACAGCGTATTGTTCACATCGACGACGCAGTGTCCCATTCCATCAGCTGAAATCTCCTATATTAGACTTTCAGTACTGTGGCATCTCCCCAGTCAGTAGAAGTAGTAACAAGCAGCATCAGCAGTGCAGTAACCAACAGCAGCAGCAGCAGCAGCATTAATTTATTCATTATCAATAATAATAAAAGCAACAAAAGGTCACCCTCACCTCTGCATCTTTCAACAATTGATCAATTGATCGTCACAATATATTACCTACTTTATTGTTGTTTCTTAAGAACAACGTCATCTATACCTCTTCACCCAGCTTTTCAATACCATCGACTATTATTTAAACCAAAGACAATCACTGTTTTTTTTGTTTTTAAAGTAACCAATCAGATTAATTTTAACAAATATTATTGTTTACAACTATAGTTAAGTCTTGGTTGTATTTTCGTTCTATAAAATTATATATCTGTTAAATTAACTATATATTTTATTATTTGTATTTGAATATTAATTATATATCATTCATTACACAACGCCAATTTATTTTTATCACAACACTATTTTTCCATCCAATTTTGGAATAAAGCGCATTTCAATAGTTTTTTTTTCGTACTTTCACACGTTTTTTTTTTGGACTACGACGGTCATACATCTAACCTATTTTCTTTTTCTGTTTATTTTAAAACTTTTTGTTTTTTTTTTTCACTAGATTACATCTCACGGTGCAAAACACTATACCAGGACTCATTAAAATAATTTTAGAATATTTAGAACAAAAAAAACAAATCAATAATCTATTGATTTGCAAAAATACATATCTACTTTATTCGATTTTATTTTATTTTATTTTTGTTATCAAATTTTTTTTATCATCGTTTAAATAATAACAGATATAAAAATGGTTGACAACGAACAACCTGTGGAAGATACTTCTCCAGCGGTGGTGGGTGAAGATCTCCAAAGTCATGGTAGTGATGATATTCACCACCATAAGGACGGTGTTGAAATGACAACGTTTGGAGTGAATGCAGAAACCACAACTCTACAACATAATCAAGATGATACTGCAATCCAAGTCAATCCAGATTTAAATCATCACATCAGAGAGTACACACCAGACAACAAAACCGGAATGTATGTCAGTGCTCGCAACCTCAATTATTACGTCGATGCTCCAAAGCCACCAAAAAATGCAACACCCGAACAAAAAAAGATTAATTTATTAAATGATTTTACATTTTCATTAAAGGTATGTGGTAATATAAATAAACAAAACAATCAATCTTCAAACGATCAAATAGCGTAAAGAAATCACAATTTCGACTTTGTTGTTTTTTTTTTTTGTTTTTTCCAAAATACCGAAATTATCAACAACAAAGCGCTGATTTTTTTTACAGTGGAAACATCACACACTCGGCTTTATACAATTGTAGATCAAGTTGATAGATTGATTGATCATGAAGATATTTTTTATTAAGATCAAGATTATTAATTATTTTTATTTAATTATTATTATGTAAAATTTTACAGCCAGGCAGAATGGTTTTATTGATGGGTGCTCCATCCTCTGGAAAGAGTATTCTGTTGAGAGTTTTGGCCAATCGTTTGGGAAAGGGCCATGTAGAGGGTGAACTTTTATTCAATGGACATCCAGCCGATCCAGAGACACATCACAAAGATACAATCTATGTGCCACAGGAAGATCGTCATATCCCGCTGTTGACGGTGAAGGAGACTCTCGACTTTAGTGCTCAATGTAATATGGGTTCCACTGTGAACCAATCGACAAAGGATGAACGTGTAGAGTTGATTCTTTCACAGCTCGGCCTTAGCCATACCAAGAATACAATTATTGGTAACGAGTTTTTCCGTGGTATCTCTGGTGGTCAGAAGCGTCGTGTCACCGTCGCCAATGAATTTACCAAGTGTCCAAATCTCATCTTGATGGATGAGCCAACAACAGGTCTCGATTCAGCAACTGCTTTTTCTGTTTGTTCAAAAGTCCGAACGATTGCAAACGAAGCTAAAGCATCGGCTATGATCTCCTTACTTCAACCAAGTCCAGAGTTGACAAACTTGTTCGACGATGTCATGTTACTTGGTGAGAAAGGAAAAATTTGTTATTTTGGTCCAAGAGAATCTCTTTTATCTTGTAAGTAGTATTATTAATAATTAAACAACCGATGTTATTAATTTCTTACTAATATAAAATCTTTTTAATTTTTTTTTAGATTTTGAATCAATTGGATACAGACCATTATTGGATCAACCTTTGGCCGAGTTTATGCAAGAGATTGTAGAAGATCCATTAAAGTATGCAATTAATAGAGATACTTCCAATGGAGAACTATCAAATTCAATTGCAAATTCCGAAATTCATTTAGATACATTATTCAAACAATCAAATAGTATGTGTTTAATGATTAATATAATTAAAAGTTTAAATATTTATTAATTAATTATTTTTTTAATAATATATATAGTATATCAAGAAAATATAAATAATTTAACAACATTATTACCGACCGATGTTAAATTACATGATTTTTCAAAAGTAGAAAACCCATTATCACCAATGTGGTATGATATCAAATTGTGTATGGAGCGACAGAAAAAGATTATGAGAATCTTGAGAATGCAATTTATTACACGTTTTATACAAGCAACTTTTATGGGATTCGTTGTTGGTTCCCTGTTTTTCCAAATGGGTGACACTCAGGCAGATGGACGTAATCGTTTCGGTCTGTTGTATTTCGCCACGGTCTTGCACATTTGGACCACCTTTTCGTCGGTTGACGAGTTTTACCAGTTGCGTTCGATCTACTATGATCAAAAAGATGGTAAATTCTATCGAACATTTGCCTATTTTATCACTGTGGTCGTAAGCAAGTTCCCGATTGCCCTCATAGAAGCATTCCTCTTTAGTGTCACCTGTTACTGGATCTCTGGATTTAGAGCACGTGCCGACACTTTTATTGTGTTTATAATCTGTATGGCACTGACCAATGTAATTGCTCAGGGTGTATTCCAATCGGCATCGTCATTCTCTGACAGTCAGCTAGTTACATCGATGGTGACTCCAGCGGTAGTCATCTTGTTTATGATTTTCTCTGGTTATATTCTGCCAGGTGTCAATATTCCCAATTGGTGGATATGGATGTACTATCTCTCACCTCTGAAATATGTACTCGATGCACTGGCGTCCAATGAAATGTATGGACGTAGCTTCACTTGTACACCAAACGAAGTTATTCCACCGGCATCTCATCCACTCGCTTCACTTCCATACCCACAGGGTTTTGCCAACCATAGTATCTGTCCAATGCAATCGGGGTCGGATTTCCTCAATGAATTTGGATTCAACAACAACTTTTATTGGCGTTGGATTGATATTGCTATTGTGATTGGTTTTGCAATTGCTCTTTTCACTGCTTTCTATATCGGTATTACCTATGTAAAGTTTGAAACAAAGAAGCCACCCCGTGCCATTCAACAGAAAAAAGTAAAGGCCAAAAAAGATAAAAAGGCAGACAAGAAGAAGCAATTGGAAGGAGGTTGCTATATGACATTCTCCAAACTCGGTTACACTGTCGAGGCAAAGCGTAACAACCCAACCACCAACAAGAAGGAAACGGTCACTCTCCAACTACTCAAAGATGTCAATGGATACGTAAAACCAGGTACGATGTTGGCGTTGATGGGTCCATCCGGTGCCGGAAAGTCTACACTTCTCGACGTCCTCTCAAAGCGAAAGAATATGGGTGTCATCACTGGTGACATTCAAATCAATGGTGCCAATATATTCGATCTAAACATCACTCGTTTCACTGGTTACGTTGAACAACAAGATATCTTATCTGGAAATTTAACGGTTCGTGAAGCAATCTATTTCTCTGCACTCTGTCGTCTACCGGATTCCTACTTGAACGCCGATAAGCTCAAGTTGGTCGATGAAATCCTCCATGTACTCAGTCTCACCAAACTTCAAGACACCAAGATTGGACCTAATCCAACTATGGGTATTTCACTTGCAAACAGAAAGAAGGTATCGATCGGTATTGAGCTTGCCTCAAATCCACACTTGCTCTTCCTCGACGAACCGACCTCTGGTCTCGACTCGGCTGCTGCACTCAAGGTAATGAACTGTGTACGTAAGATTGCATTGTCTGGACGTACAGTAATCTGCACCATTCATCAGCCATCGCAAGAGATCTTTGAGCAATTCGATCAACTCTTGCTCTTGGGTAAGGGTGAAGTTGTTTATTTTGGTGAGACTGGAGTGAACTCACAGACCGTGCTCGACTATTTCGCCAAGCAAGGACACCGTTGTCAGGCCGACCGTAATCCATCCGATTTCATTCTGGAGATTGCCGAACACAATCCAACTGAACCAATTGCCATCTACACTGCATCGGAGGAAGCAGCTAACACTGCCGCAAGTTTACTCAACAAGACGATCGTTCCATCGACCGTCGAGGTACCAAAATTCAAATCACGTTATAATGCATCGCTCTCAACTCAACTCTATGTTCTAACGAAGCGTGCCTGGATTAATCACATTCGTCGTCCACAAACCATCTTGATTCGTTTCTGTCGTTCATTAATACCATCGATCGTCGTTGGTACAATGTTTTTGCGACTCGATAACGATCAATCGGGTGCACGTAATAAGCTTGCTATGATTTATCTAAGTTTCCTTTTCGGTGGTATGGCATCGATCTCCAAGATTCCCTTGGTAATCGAAGATCGTTCCGTCTATTATCGTGAGTTTTCATCTGGTGCCTATCCTTCGTTCCTCTATATCATTGCAGCAGTGATTACCGACCTTCCGTTTATTTGTTTGACTGCATTTTGCTTTTGGATTCCATTCTTTTGGCTCACTGGAATGGATCCAGGACACAACGGATGGAAGTTCTTCTTTACTCTTTTGGTATACCTATTGATTGTCATGGCCTACGATAATTTAGCAATGGTATTTGCTCTTGTTCTTCCAACCATTCCGATTGCAGTATTACTCTCTGGTATGGGACTCAATTTCCTTGGTCTTTTTGGTGGATTCTTTATTCCACGTGTAAACATTCCGAGTGGGTGGATATGGATGCATTGGCTAACGTTTACAAAGTATGCATTCGAAACTCTGGGTGTAACCGAGTTAAAGGACGCTACTTTTAATTGTCCAGGTGGTAAAGGTGAATACTTGATCCCAGTTGGTAATACTACAAAACCATTCTGTCCGATTACCAATGGTAACACTATGATTGCTCGTTATGGTCTCAATGTCGATAGACAATTCTGGAATGTTTTGGTACTTGTTTGTTTCAATTTCGGATTTATCATGCTTTCCTATTTGGCATTACGTTTCATCCACCATATGAAGAGATAAAAAGATAATCGATTAAAATAAAAGTAATGGTTAATAAATAAACAAAAAAGTATTTTTCATTTTAAGTTATAAATTTTAATTAAAATAATAAAAAAATTTGAGAATATCTTTATTTATTTTTAAGTAGTTATACATTTTTGATTTTTTTTTATTATGCAAAAATATCAACATCATCTCCTTCATCCTCGGTTTTATATTTGGTAAGTTTTATCTCCAAGATACCATGTTCCAATTTCACACAACCTTTCAAATCGTTTTTAGTTCTTTGTTTGATAGGGGAAGGGAATATATAGGACCACTCTAGAGGACGAATGAGTTGCTTGTTAAAGTCGTTGTGGATCTCATTACCTTTGCTTTGGAACTCTCTCATTTTGTTTGTAGTAACTTTGATCTTTGATCCTCCATCAGTGTTTTCGAAATGGAAATTGATGTCATTTTGCAAAAAGCCAGTGCAATCCAGGGAAACGTAGTAATGGTTGCCATCCTCTTCGACTCTGGCGTTAGTAGTGCTATTTATCTCTGAGATTATACCGACCATGTTGAATCTTATATCTGCATACTTAAGTTCTTCATTGATAGGTGGATCAAACCTAATGATTCCACTATTTTCGTCACTAACTAGTTTAATATTTGTAAGTGGACTATCTTGACTATCGCTTTTGAAATTATTATTATCATTATTATTGTTGTTGTTGATAATGTCTTTGCTTGATTGAAGATTTGGAGATGATGAGGGTGTAGACTTGGCCGATCCACAGTCCTCTTTGTTAGAAAGAGGAAGTGGAGTAATGGAGGTTTTGAATTTGTCCGATTTTATCTCCAAGTAGCTTCCGATCACTTTCTTTGTGTAGTCGACAATGTCAACAATCAAATCAGAGTGTGCATGATTGGTGGATGCACTTGAAGTTAACCAGGAACGAAGCAGCTCGATGGTAAGTTTATTGTATGTTAATCCAGCGTTCTCTGCCTTTTTGAGATGTTGGGTTTGGGGGTCCTTTACCATTTCGTCTTTTGCCATAACTACATGTCTAGTGCCGTCTAAAGAGGTCCAGTATTTTGACTGATCTAAAATTTTGTGCTCTGTACACTCAAAACATTTGATAAGTTCCTCGTTTATTACACCGTCAAGTTCTTTGATAGTATTGACATGAGAGAGATTGTGAACAATGATGATGCTCTTCTTGTTGAATCTTTGTTTAACTTGTTTGATATAGGATTGGTCGTCACGAGTCAGACGATTGACAACGATTAAAACTATATCTGACATGCTGAGAGACAGCGATTGCAAAAATCTCTCTGTGGCCTCGGCATCTTTGATCTTGAAGTCATCTCCTTTCGGCACTGGTTTCTGGGAACCTTTGGTATCCAATCCAATAAGTACATCGGTAATGCTGGCTCTTGATGTAACAATGGACAGTCCTTCTGTGTGGGCAAAGTAGCTGCTGGATAAATCCAAACCAAAGATTCGTGCCAAGATATAACTCTTACCACGATTATATAGACCAAGAATGGAAACAACCGATCTTTTCTTGGATACGATATCCTCTTTGGCTTTGAAGAATGCAGCGTTTTCCATTAATTTCTGATCTTCGTTTGGTTTAATTATGTTTGCAAACACACTATTGCTCCAATCATTACATTTTTTAAACTCGTCCAGCAACGGATAGGTCACACTCCATCCACTTTTAAGGTCTAGCAAAGAGTCAACTTTTACAACAATATCATATTTGTTCTTGTGATCTTGAGAGAATTTTTCATAGTCTTTACTCCTTAAGTAATATAACCAATTATTAAAATTCATTTATATATGAAAAAAAAAAAGTAATAAATTTAAAGATAATTAAAATTGTTATTTTAAAGTGACTAAATTGAATTTAAAAGAAGCTCAAAAAAAGAGACTATTTATAACAAAAAAAAAAACTTTATCGAAGACAGTTTACAAGAGGCTTAACCCAAAACAAAAAAACCCCAAAACCTAGATTTTCAATTGGACCACTTTTTGAACTTGTTTTTACAAAATATTTCTCTTTGATTTTAAAGAAAAAAGGATTCTAAATCACCATAATACCTTTCATCTTTCAGATATTTGTGATTCAGGTGAAATTCTTCATCAAATCACTTCAAAATTAAATGTCAACTTTCCACAATCTAGAACCATTTTTTCTTTAAAATCAGAATCATAAAGAATTAACAAATTAGAATTTTTTTAATTTTGATAATAGTAAATTTAATTTTTTAAATAAATATTTATAATTATTAAAATCAATTTTAAGTTCGATGACTGTTTTTGATATGAATAACCTTCCTACACTATTGTTGAATAATTTATTTTTATTTTTTATTAATTTTTCTCTTTGAAATATATATCAATGCCTTTCAATTAGATTTGAGGTGTTTATTTCTCATCTTTTTTTGTTTGTATCATTCATTAACTTTTTTTTATCCAAAAATAGACAAGTCATACTAAATACTAATATCCAAACTACCAACAATTAATAACAATAATATATATTTTATAAAACAAAATGATCAACTTAAACCACAATTCTATCATAAGCAAATTTATTTTAGACTTACTCTGTTGAATCGTTATAATTAATATATTTATACTTGTGTATCTTTTTTAATCTGATGATATCTTGCTCTTTTATTTTCTATCTTATAACTATTTTACAGCTATAAGACCTTATCATGTTTCAGAACTATGATGTCTCCAGAGACAGACAACTATTTAAACAAACAGAAACCTTAAGCTTTCTAATATACACCTTTAAGTGTGTACTATGTTTCTCTGTTTCCCCAAAGAGTGACCAATTTGGATGGTTTGTTGACCTTCTGTACTACGGACTCAGGGTACTTGTGCTACCGTCATCAGCAAGGATGGGATAGTCCGGTATGACTTTGTAGAAGTACACTGCAGTGGTATTTGTTTCTAAAATCCATCCAAGACGAATTGAATAGTTTAAAGGAAGGTGAAGAAGTTGGGTTAGAAATTTTTTGGCACAATCAAGCATAGAGGACCAAGTTTTGAAGTACCTTCGAATGAGTTGCTTCTACTTAACAGTAGGAATACAGTGTACTAACTCTCTTCTGGTGAACTGTTTCAAAACCAAGACTTTTTCATTAATAGAGGTATAAAACAAGGTGATCCTCTTTCAAATACTCTCTTTGTCCTCACGATTGATTTTTTTTTTTTTTTGTAAAATTCTTGTATGACCAGTACTGATAGTCAAGGTGTAGAGCTTGATATTACCCTACAGTTCGTGTTTATTTATTGTTGGAGCAGTTCATGCACAGGTCGACTGAGATGGCCAGAGTGTTTGGCGACTAGTCGCCTTTTCTCACTTTTTTTTTTTATATACATTCTCACACAGGCCGTGAGAAATAGCCAATAAAATATTATTATTATTATTGTTTGTAGTTATTATTAATTAATAAGTTTAGTAGTATTAGGATAGAATAGATCTAACAGTAGTTGCGTGTTGATGAACAACAGTTTTTTTTTTTTTTTTTTTTTTTTGCAAAAAAGATTTGTTGACTCATGATCAGTCAACAAATTGCAGGTATTGATATTAACCTGCTAGTTCGTGTTTTATATTATATTTACATTCTCACACAGGCCGTGAGAAATATAGCCAATAAAATGTTATTATTATTATTATTATTATTATTATTATTAATATTATTATTATTATTATTATTATTATTATAAATTATTAATTAATAAGTTGAGTAGTATTAGGATAGAATAGATCTAACAGTAGTTGCGTGTTGATGTACAACAGTATAAAGTGGTGGCACCTAGTTGGAAGGATTAAGATTCCAATCAGATTTAAATTTACGCGTTAATGCAGAGCAATCGACAGTGACTCCTTGGGAGATTGAATTAGCGATCGTGAAGTTAAGCTGATGAACAACAGTGTAAGGTGGGTGAAGTGGATTTTAAAAAAAGGTCCGCAATTTGGAAGCCCTGGATGCGGGTTTTTATTAGCAAAATGTTTTATGCGATGTGAGGTTCGAACTCACGACGGTTTCCCACTGAGACCTGAACTCAGCCCCTTAACCTCTCGGGCAATCGCATTATTTGATGAGAAATAATGTTTTTTCTATTTTTTTGATCCTAACTTCGACTTAAACTCAACTCAGCCCCTTAACCTTTCGGGCAATCTTTTAACTAAACAAATTGGTTTTTTTTTCTATTTTTTGATTGTATAATATTATTCTTTACAACTTTAATTAAAAACAAATCATATTCAAGATTTTATTAGATTCATAGAGTATTGCATTAATACTCACTTATATATTTTGTTGTAGATAAACCAAGAATCTAGTGTTTATAATAAAAATAGAAGATGATTTAATTAAAAAATAAGTAAAACAAAACAGACAAATCATGCAAGAAATTATGTTGTTTATTTGTAATTCATTACTAATGCTTTGAATCATGGTCTAATACGACGGAATGATAGTTGATTTATTTCCTGTTGAGTAGAATTACCAATACTATTGGAAAAAACTGCTTTAGTTTTATTTTCAACTGAAATATTTAGTCTTGTTAATGATTCTACGAATAGAGTAGTATTAGTTTAGGTTTTATTTGATATAAACAATTTGCCTACCAATAATTGTCATTGTTTTTTTATTTGTAAAGAATTATAAATAACAAAATAACTAATGATCAAACACAAAACATCAAACTAAATATTTTTTTTATAAGTTTACCCACATTTAAATATTTAATTATTCACACTTCACTTAAATGATTGATTGTTTACATAGTATCAATATTGTGTGTTTATCTTCTTATTGTTAAAAACTTTGAGAAATCTAGGTGAATTAATGACTTCTTTCACCACTACACTATATCTTATTAATTATTTGAGAATTCAAAGTGAATTAATGATTATTTTAACTTTGAATCATCCTATAACTTTATACTAATTTATAACTAAAAAAATTAACAAAATAATAAATTTATGTTCATTGGTTTAACAAATTCAATGATTTTTGTTAAAAACTGTGATTTTTATTGAAATACTTTAGGGTTTTTTTTTTTTTGGGGGTAATTGTTTGATTTTGGCCAAGATAAATAGCGATCTTGATCAAACTTTAAAACCAAGTTCAAAAAAAAAAAAAAAAACAAATTATCAATCTACTAAATATTTTTTTATCTATATTAAAGAAATAATAATAATGTATATTATAATCTTGGTGATAGTCTTTATTTATATTCTAGAAAATTTTGTAAGTCTTTGAAAAAGTTGTTCTACGCAACCATTAATAAAACTAACTAAGTAAACAACCAACAATTGTTATATAGATCTCTAAAAATATTAAAAAATCAAAGTGTGAACCACCAGGTGGAATTGCACTGCCATTGATTGGTAATCTTCATCAAGTTGGAGACATACCACATATTGGATTGGTAAATCTCTCGAAAAAGTATGGTGATGTGTTTAGAATCTATATGGGAGATCTCTATACTGTGGTTGTGAGTGACCCAAAGATCATTCGTGAGTTTGCTGTGAACCATTTTGAAAACTTCACCAACAGACCAACGACACCAACTTTTAACCTACTCTCAAGAAACTTCCAAAACTTGGTTGTTGCTCGTGATGAACGATGGTTCCATATCCGAAAGTTGGTTGCCAATTCGTTCACCAAAACAAAACTCCGTCCAATTGGAAGCATTCTAGATCGTCAAGTCGGTTCACTCCTTGATAAGATGAAAGAATATCAGCTCTCAGGACAGCCATTCTATCCAAGAGACTACTGCAAGAAATATTCGTTGAATATCATTTTCAACCTGATGTTCAGTGACGAGATTCCATTGAATGAAGATACCAATCAAGGTAAGATTGCAAAGTTGATTCCGCCCATTGAAGGATGTTTCAAGCGTTTGGCATCAGCCAAAATTCAAGACTTTATCAATGTGATTGCACCGTTCTATTTCCTCTACTCAAAAATCACAGGAACGGAAATGGATCAACTCTATGATTTTACCAAGGATATCTACGATGAACATCTTGCCACTTTGGACCCAGAGAATCCAAGAGATCTAATAGACGCACTCATCATCGATTCCAGTGACAAACAAGAAGAAAATAAAGAATCGGTAATCCTGACAGCTATCGATTTTATTCTGGCTGGAACCGATACGAGCGCCTCCACAATCGAGATGTTCATGATGTTCATGATCAACAATCAAGAAGTCCAAACTAAAGCAGCAGCTGAACTGGAATCGGTAGTCGGTCGCGGACAAAGAGTATCTCTGCAACACCGTAGCAGCACTCCATACATGGTAGCGGTAATCAAAGAAGTCATGAGAATCAAACCAATTGCACCACTCGGTTTACCCAGAGAAGCCAAAGAAGCATGCATGGTCGGTGATTACTATATTCCAAAGGGTGCCCAGATTGTCTTTAACTTTACATCACTACACACCAGCGAGAAGTACTGGGATCACCCACAAGAATTCATGCCAGAGAGATTCCTAATGGTATCGGATCACACAGAAACCTTTTTGCCATTCTCTGTTGGTAAGAGAAACTGTGTCGGTATGAATTTGGCAATGGATGAACTCTATATTGCATGTGCCAACATCATCCACAACTTTGTTTTACAATCATCCACCAAAGAGAGACTTGATGAAGAGGAAGTATTTGGTTTAACTATTCATCCTAAATTATTCTCAATTGATATTCAACCAAGATATTAATTAAATAGTAGCATATGTATTTATAAATAAATATATAAATAAATGTTTGTTCAAATCAAACAAAGAATAGATTTGTTATAACTTTTTTTTTTTTTATTATTTAATATTTGTTTTTTTTTTTTTTGATTTAAAATGATTGTTTTTCAACAGGCATCTATCGTTTGAAAATTGTTTAAACTACAGTAAAAAAGTTATTATTATTATTATTATTATTACTATATATAGAAAGTAAATTATTATTTAGTAGTTTTGTGTTGGGTTGATTATCTTGGAATTTGAATTGTGATAGAATGGTTGGTTGGCTGGTTGGTTGTTGTTGTTTTTTTTTTTTGGTTCATTTATCTCAACATAATTGAAGAGCTTGATTTGCGTAGAATTTTACATCTTTATCTGGGTCCTCAAGAAGTTTAAGAAGTGATGGCTTAACTCTTGATTGTACAATGGTGCTATCGAGTAATGGAATAATAATTTGGAATGTTTTGGCAACATTGAATCTGATGTTTGGTACTTTATCAGTGACCATCTTTGTCAACAATGGAATCATAGAACTTGCAATTACATCACTACCAACAACTGGTGAGAGAACCTATTATTGTTATTGTTGTTGTTTTAATTGATTGATTAATATTTGTTGTGAATCAATCCTTGATTAATTAAATACTTACACCAATAGAAAATAGAGTGGTCATACGATAAAGATAATTTGGATGTGAATGTAAGGTCAATACTTTTGGAATGATATTTGATTTGGCCCATTCGACACCGAATACCTCTGTCAGTTTCTTCAGGTTGTTGGTGGCAGCCTCTCTGATTGAGAATACGGGGTCACCCAACCAGGTCATACAGAGGTTACCGAGCTTCTCGTCAAAGAATTCGACACCCAATTGTGATGCCAACAATGGGATGTAATCGATGATGGCAAGACGGACTCTCCATTGTTGGTCCTCGGCCAACTCTACAATCGCTGGCAACAATGACTGTGAGAGCATCTCGATTCCGATGACCTTGTTGACGGCGTCCAACTTGGAGATGATATTCAAACGGACATCGGGGAAGTCGTCCTTGAGCAACTGGAGGAACAACTCCAAAAGATATTGCAAGGTGTCGTCCTTACCAAAGATTGGACACAATCCCATGATCACTTGTGCGAGTGCTGCACGTACGTGTTGTGAAACATCCGATACCAAGTCCTTGACACATGGCAAGATGTTCTTGACGCTCATATCCTTTGAGATCAAAGCGCATACCTCTGTAACACGCTGCGCTGCTTCAGTACGTACCTCTGCTTCAGTATCCTTTAACAATTTAACGAATGAACCAACCAACTCTGACTTTGTTATCTCTTGTCCCATTGAATCACATAACTAATTATAATGTAAATAGATTAGAATATATATATAATTATTGATAATCGAATGTATTGATTGATTGATTGCTTTTATCATTCATACCTCTTTGAATAAACGAGCAACCATATATCTAACTCTCCACGATTTATCTTGAGCACTTGATTTCAAAATTGGTAAGATGTGTTGGATATTCTCTTCGTTGCTAAGCATAGATCCGATGATTGCACAGTTTTCGACACCCAATAATCTAACGGAATCTTGTTCATCGCTTGCTAAAAATGTAAATAATGGTAACATCTCTGATTTAACAGCATCCTTTTCAATTTGTTTAGAGAAATTCTAAAAAATATATAATAAATAAATAGGTAGTTTCGTTAGTTAGTTAGTTAGTTTGTTAGTTAGCTAATGATATTGTTTCTTAATAATCGATCGATTGATTGATTGATTGATTGATTAACATACTCCTAAATGAGTTGCAGCAGCTCTTCTAACCATTGGTGTATCGTCATGACATAATGTACTGAAAGTTCTATTTATTTAAAAAAGAACAAATAAACCATCAAATGTTAGATATTATTGTTATTGATTAATTGATTGATTAATGTTTTAAAAAAACAAACTTACTTTCTCAAATTCTTTTTCATTTCAGATGATGCTCTTGGGTATGCAACGGTGAGCAAACCACATGCAGAGGTACGCGAGGTGAACCAATCGGCTTTGGAGAGGTTGAGCAAGAGTGGAAGGAAACAGTCTTCGAATGCAGATTGTGATAATTCAGAACAGATCTTGTTGAGTGCATCGACTGCTTTCTCTCTGACAACGACTTCCTCTGCACCAGCCAACATCTGTAGTGGTGGTAACAAACATGTAGCATGTTCATTTCCACCGACGAAATCTGTAAGTTTACCTAGTTCCTCTGCCAACGCTACTAAAACTTCATCTTCATCTTCCAATACAGAGTCTACAATTAATTGTAAATAGATAATCTTATAATTAATATTTCTTTATCCTCTTTATCTCTCTCTTACTATATTATTTTTATTATTATTATTTTAAAAATACTACTACTACTACTACTACTGACCTTGAAGATATGGAATGAGTTCACTACGAGTTCTCTCTGGTCCCAATGCCTTTGCAATAGATTGTAATTTACGAATTGAGTTTAATCTTAATTGAATATCATCATTCTTCAATTCGTCGATAAGAATAACGATTGGGTGATAATCATCCGATTCTGGTGTTGATGCTAAATATATTTAATTATAGTTTTTATTTGAATTGAAATGATAAATATTAATAATCTGCTCTTACTTTTTTTTTGTTTGTTTTATATTCTTCTGTAATCTTTCATCTTTAATATCAATACTGATAATAATAACAATATTAACTTTGTTTGAATCTCTATCTTTAACGGTTTTTTGTTTTTTTATTTTATTTTATTTTTTTTTATTGTGAAGTTAAAGATGAAGATCTAACGATCAACTAATGATGATGATGATCTGATCATCATTTAATTGTTATTACTATGCTTGTAACGATATTTAAAGATGATTGATTATACGAAAACGATCTGATCATACCCATCTTTATATTATTATTATTGAAGTTACTTTTATATTTAAAATTACTTTTTTTTTTATTATTATTATTATTATCTACAGGAAAAAAATAAAAACAAAAAAATTGAATCTACTATAACTTTATATAGCTATTATATCTTTTTCTGTTTCTATAAAAAAAAAATTAATTAATTAAATAATACAAATCAAAATAAATTATAAATATATAATTATTGATCTTGTGTTTTAAATTGAAAAAAATAACAAAAAAAAAAAAAAAAACAAAACAAAAAAAATAGGTTAAAAATATAAAAAAAAATTTGAATTCAAATTTATCGTGTTAGTAAAATTTTGGGTATCATTATTTTAATAAATATCTAGTATCTCATTTGGATTAAAATCAATGGGTGCATTGACTCTGATCGAAAACAAAACAATCAATCTGATTCAAATATCTACTAAATTATATTTATTTAATTTATCTATTTGAAATTCAAAGTTAATCAATCAAAACAATCAATCTTCCAAATAGTTAGTTTACTTTTACACATCACAAATAGAAATAAAAACTAAAAAAAAAATATATATATAAATTTTAAATAAAGTTTTTTTAATGATGGTTTATTTGAATATTATATACAATACAATGAAATCTAATTAGAGATTGATTGTAAAAGTTCTATGATAAAATGAATGAATCGAAAATTTTGGTGAATCAAATTGTAACGTGACTATGATTTTTCAAAAATTTCAAATTTTTTGAGTGTTTGGTGATCATTTTATTCGTGTGTGAGGCTGATCATATATTATTCATAATAACTATTAGTTTGCAAGCAATATTAATATTAACAATGGAAAGATTCACTGGAATTTTATACAAGACTCTCTTCAAGAGAAACTCTACTTTCATCGCTACCGTCGTTGTCAGTGCTTTTGTTTTCGAAAGCTCCATCCATGGTCTCGTTGATAACTCATGGAATAGCATTAACAAGGGTGTAGGTTTTCAAATAACAATTTAGTGAACACAATCAATTTATAATATAATCAATGAAATCAACATCAAACAGAACAAATAGATAAATCAACCAATAAATAAGCTAGCTAAATTAATTAATAGTTTGAGAAAAAATAAATAATGTTAAGACAAGATTTACATTATAGATTCAAAATAATAACGACAACAACTACAACAACAAGAACAATCTCAATCTATTCTACACAACCTGTAGTTTATAAATTAAAAATAATATAAATAATATAGATAGATTATAGACAAATGATAGATTTATGACTGTTTGATTCATTGATCAATGAAGAAGAAAATAGATAGATTTGAAACTAATTTATTTTATAATCAAATCATTTAGAAATTGTGGAAGGATGTCCATGCCGAAAGAGTTGCCAAAGGATTATCACAATAAATAAATAATCGATCAATCATTATAGCAACAATTTATTAAAAGTTATAGTATTTAAATTATAGTTACATCATACATACAAAACCTTCAACGAATATAACAACAAGTAGTTCTTACCACACAACCAACAATCAAATCAAATCAAATCAAATCAAATCAAATCAATCAATCAATCAAATAAATAACAACACTACATGTTGACTAAAATGTAGATTTTATTAAACAAACAAAAATTCTAATCATTGAAATGATTCAACAATACTTTAAAGATGAATGAAAGAAAAAGTAAAGTTATTTACATTATTATTATTATATATATTAGAAATTTACATTTTATTTATGATTATACTTTAACTTGAACGGCTTATATTAAAGTTATTGAATGAATCATAGCAGCGATTTGCTTGATTGAACATGGTGTGGTGTTTTTTTGTGTGCGAAAAAAAAAAGGTTGTACTATTATTAATATTGACAACTAGAATAGTCGACCTATCTAAATTGTCATGTTTCTTATCTGATCGATCTTAAAATATATAAAAGTAGTGTTTTGACTCGAGTCATAGTAATCGTTTTTACTTTGAATAGATGTGTCCATATCGGTACTGGGGAGGGATACATAAATTGCCATTGTCAGCTAATTTAAAAATAAGAAAATGTTGTTAATTTTTTTTGTACTGACAATCATGATAAAAACAAAGGTGTCGTCGATACATACTACAGGTGAAACCGGCTGGGCAACAGTGTTTGAAGTCACTGCAGCACGATGCTCCTGCCGATGGACAACAACTGTAACCACCGTTGCCACTTGGACAACAGGTGGAACCAGAGTCACAGTAACTTCCATCGGGACATTCGATTCCACTCTTACGATATGGTTCAGCTCTTAGCTTCATACTCGATTTGATCTCATTGTTGTTGTTGTTGTCGTCATTGTTGCTTCTTTGATGTACTCCAATGGCACTAACCAAACTAACCAATAAAATAATTGCAAACACTAAATAGAATGTTGTTGATGATTTTATCATTTTCTAAAAATAACTATAGTAGTAGCTATTGTTGTTGTATACAAATAATATATATATATAAAAAAAGAAATTCTTTAAATATTAAACGACAATTATTCAAATTAAATTTCTATTTGGTTTTAAAAGGATGTTTCTTGAGGCTTGGAAAAAAAAAAACAACAGAAAAATAAAAAAAAAATTTGTAAAAAGTTCTTGAGAGTTTTCTTTTGATGTTTTTCGATCAACCACACACATCATCAAGTCAGAATAATAAAGATTCTAAAAATCTTTTTTTGTTTTTGATCATCAACAAATAATATCTTATAGGTATAAGTATAAATAATCAAGAGTTAGTTAACTTTTATATTTTAATTTTACTTAAATAAAAATAAGTTAACCTTTTTTTTGAACTTTGAGTAATTAACGAAAATAAATAAATAAATAATTTTCGTTGGTTGGTGAAAATACACTTTAGTAATACCAACAACATTGAATTGAACTATAGTCATTGCACACTTTTAACTTTGAAAATAATTTGTTAAATTTTTTTTTTTAATTTTGTTTTTTTTTAGATATTAATTTTAAAATTAATTAAAAGATTAATTTCATAAATCTAATAATATAGATTATGAGGAATTTAGTTAGTTTTTTTTAGTTATTTTACTTAGTACTTTTAAGATATTAAAATAAATAGTATGAATAGCAAAAATAGTAGAATTAGAAATACAAAATTTAAAAGAATACAAAATGTAGATGTAGATAGTAGCAGTAGTAGTGAGAGTGAACCTGAAGATGAAAATGACTTTAAAAAACAGCAATCAATAAATAGTCATAGTAAAGGTGGTGTTCATATAAATGATAAAGATGAAGACATTCATAAACTATCGTTGAATCCTGAAGAGTATGACAGCGAAGAGGAAAAAGAATATCTAATAAACGAAAAGCTAAACTATGAAAAGAGATTGAAAGAGAACCAACTCAACTCTCTCGAAATCAAAGAAACCGACAACGAACATCAAAACGAACATTTACATTCACCAATTGTACAAAAATATAAATCAAAAATATATAAACTTAACAACAACAGTAATAATAATAATAATAGTAATGAAATAGAATTAAATAATAGATCAAATTTTAGAATTAATAATAATAAAAGTAATAATAGTAATAATAGTAATAATGTAATATCAAATGAACAACAAACAACGAACAACAATGTCAATTTAGGATTACAATCTTCGGAACAAGTGCAACATATTGTAGATATAAATAGTGATGACGCTCGTCATGATAATGGTACAGCTGCTACGAATGGTATCGATGAAGGTGCTGACCTACTTACCAACGAAATCGGAAGTGAAGCACAGAATATACTTTATATTCAAAATGAACTGACAAGACCTATGACTTTTAGTGGTTTTTTAAAGTAAATATTAAGATAAGATAAGATAAGATAGGATAAGATATGATGAATTTAATAAACATAGCACATTTACTAACCTTTCAAAATATTTATAATTATTTTGCAGACAAATTCGATTCTTATGTATATTATATCTATTACCTGTATCTACAGTCTTATTGGTAGCGTTGATGACCGATTGGAATCAAAGCTGTGACTTCCCATTGAAACAATGGGCCACCATACAAATCATCATTCAAGCATCACTGATCATCAATTTGTTATTCCTATTTTTTGATATTTCACCTACAGATACCGATGGTAATATAATACCATATTTAGCAAGGTATGAAAAAGCCGATAGATCTACATAATGATCATTTGATAACAAAAAACAAAGACTAACTAACAAACAAACAATTCTTTTTTTTTTTTAGAATACATTTTATCTTTCAAATATTTTATAGAATTTTAAGTTCATCTTATGTCATTTGGTTTATCGTTGGTGTCATTCTAACTTTTAAAGCAAAGTCAAGTGACCAATGTGTATGTTAAATTACCTTTTACATCTCTAAAGATTAATGATAACTTTAATATTAATATTAATACTGATTTGTTTATAGCCATCATCTGCACCATATTTATTTTGGGTTATTTATAGTGTTGTTATAATACAGATAATCATTTGTTCGTTGGGATTCATTTTTTGTTGTTGCTCTTGTGTTTTCTCACTGTTAAGATTGGGACTGAATTTCGAGGCGACAGACCGAGCTGCCAGTGTAAGCAGAGGTGCCACTGACTCTATGATTAGAAAGCTGTCTATAAAGAAGTATAAGGTTGGATTGTTGGCCAAAGACGATACAAGCTGTGCAATCTGTCTGTCAGAGTATATCGAAGATGACAAGATAAGAATCTTACCATGCAATCATCACTATCATTTGGATTGTATAGATCGTTGGTTGATCATCGACAAATCATGTCCATTCTGCAAGCGTGACATTGATAAAGATCCATCGGAACAATCTTCTACAAAGGCTGGTAGTGGTGTTGGTGATACTGCTGCTGCTTCTACTGCTTCTGATTCAGAGTTAATTGATGATAATGACAATACAAATAACCAATCATTGCCAACAACAACAACAACCACTACAACAACAACTACTACTACTACAACCACTACGACCACTGCAGATGAACATATAGATATAAATATAATGGAGAGAATCAATTTAGTTTAAACTAAATTGATTCAATCCAATAACAACAATGCAATTCAAATTCAAACTGCTTGTTTCACTTTATTGTTTAATAAATAAAAGTAATAACAATCCTATTTATTTTAAAAATCGATAATTACGTATCTATCATGATAAATTTATATTGCTCTATAGACTAGAAAATTAAGATACATTGGGAAATTACTATTTTATTGATATGGTAACTCCACTCATTGATCAATCTCCGATATCAAGCTGCAACATGAGTCCACACAAAGACAGGCAGGAATCACTCAGGTGTGTACACAAGCACCAAATCTGTTTTTACCATGTTGACCCTCTAACTCCAGAAAGGAGGTGATGGACTTTTTGCCACTTTTAAAAGATGATTAAATATGGTTGGGGAAAAAAAAATTTGATCATTTTGCCAAAAAAAAAAAAACAAAAAACAATTAAGATTTTGCAAAAAAAAAAAAACTGATGATGCAAAGAGTTTTTTTACAACATTAAAAAAAACAAAAATAATTAAAAATTTTGGGATCAATCAGGTGGTTACCGCGGTCGAAAAAAATTAAAAAAAATAAACAAAAAATAAGCAATAAAAATTTTTTTTATGACAACAATAAATTTATAACTTTTTTTTTGTTTTTGATCCAATAAATATAAATAACAGTAATAAAATAACAATTGTATAACAATCAGCAACAGTATTAATCAGTAAAATAATAGTAATAGTGCATTTTCCAACACAACAATAATCAATTTTCTTAAGAGTAAAATTTTAAGATTAGATTAAGTTATGATTTATCAAAGATAAAAGCATAATAATAATAATCAAAACAATCAATCAGTCAGTCAATCAATCAATAACTAATTTCCAAAAAAAAAAAAAACATGAACAAAAAAAAAAACTAATCAAAAAAAACAAAACAAAATTGTTTGATTTGTATTTTATTTATGTATTAATAATAAGTGTGTTACTCAAATTTTTTATATCTCATTAATTTAGTTTAAACCAAATATATAATTATTATCATTATCATTATTATTATTGTTGTTGTTGTGTTATTAATAAATAAAAGTAAAAAATAAATAAAAAAGTAATTTTAGTCAATCAATCAATCAATCAATTGTTATAGTAGTAGTATAGTAAAATATAGTAGTAGTAGTAGTAGTAGTAGTAGAAAATGATGGATGCATCAAAAAAGATGAATGAATTAAGTATAAAAGAGAGTCAGGAGGGTGCAGATATAGAAGATCCAACTGATGACTCTGAATACAATGGAGAGGAATATGAAGAAGGTGGTGAGGAAGATGATTACGATGAGGAGGAAGACGATGTCTCTACCTTTTCAAAAGAGACAATCGATGCTGCTATCGCAACAAAGGTTTCAATTGAACAATACTATACATCTTTATTTAAATCTCTAAAAGAAAGAGAAGAAAGGTAAACAATATCAATATCAATTTCACATCACATTGATCATTTATTAATTATTTGTTATTATCGTTGCTACTACTATTATTATTATTATTATTTTTATTATTATTATTATTAGACGTCTACATCTTGAGACAAGAATGGAAGAGTTAAGTCTAAAGGAGGAACAGAGAGCAGTAAAGAGAAGAGAACTCGATAAGAAGGAAACTGAATATATAAAATCACGTAGAATCAGATTGACAGGACATTCATTCGAATCGATAAGAATCATTGGACGTGGTGCATTTGGTGAGGTTCGTCTTGTAAAAATGAAAAAGAACAACAAGGTTTTCGCAATGAAGAAATTGGATAAATCAAAGATGATCGAAAAACACCAAGTAACTATCAAACAAAACAACATTATCAAATCCATGGAATTGATTGATTCTAAACAAAGAAAAAAAATAATATACTTACAAACTCTTTTAAATTAAATATTATCTATCTATAGACTGTTCATGTAAGAAGTGAAAGAGATATTCTTGCAGATAATAACAATGTCAATGGAAATAATCCATGGATCGTCAGTTTATATTATTCATTTCAAGTAAGTTTTAAAAATAACACATAATATTGTTTAATAATTAATAAATACACATATTAATATTTTTATGTATTGTTTTATTTTGTTTTTTCTAGGATACCAATTATTTGTATTTAATTATGGAATATGTTCCGGGTGGAGATATGATGACACAACTTATAAAATATGATACTTTTACAGAGGATGCCACACGTTTCTATATTGCAGAGACGGTGCTTGCGCTTCATTCTATACACAAAATGAGTTATATTCACAGGGACATCAAGCCAGACAATCTTTTAATCGACTCCAAGGGTCATATCAAGGTCAGCGATTTCGGTCTGTGTACGGGATTGCAGACAAACAGAGTGCCAACACTGGCAGAGATTTATAAAAAGTACGAGAGCGACAGTTTGACGGAGGAGGACAAAACTAGTCTGGGAAGAGCCGCCCGTTTCGACTCTTGGAAGAGACAGCGTCGTGTGCTTGCCTACTCCAACGTCGGAACACCCGACTACACCGCACCCGAAGTTCTGATGCAGAACGGCTACAGCGCCGAGTGCGATTGGTGGTCAGTCGGTGTTATCATGTTTGAGATGCTCGTCGGATACCCGCCGTTCTGCTCGGAGACACAGCGTGAGACCTACCACAAGATCATGAACTGGAAGTACACCCTGCCCAAGATCATGGAGGAGGCAAAAGCAGAGGTTTCTCTCAGTCCCGAAGCACAGGACCTCATTGAGCGTTTACTCACCGACTCGTACCGTCGTATCGGTGCGAACGGCGCCGAGGAGATCCAAGCGCACCCCTTCTTCAAGGGCGTCAACTGGAAGTCGCTCAGAGAATCCACTCCACCCATTGTACCACAACTGACATCGCCACTCGACACATCCAACTTTGATCACTACGACGAGGAGCCATCGGCCACCCATCCCGAGCCGATGCCAGTCTCAAAGTCAAGGAGAAAAATCAATTCATTCGACATTCCTTTCATCGGTTATACATATAGAAATTTTGAAGCAATGCGTGATCAATTTGGTACTGTTACAAGAGATACTCTAAATCAATACTGATCAGAATCTGTAATAACATCTAATAATTATAATAATCCAAAAAATTAAATAATTCAATTAAAAACAAACAAAAAGAATGATATATCTGTTGTCAATTAAGATAATAAAAAAAAAAAACAAAACAAAATTATATTTTTATTCAAAAGTTGCAACTTAAACAATCATCATCATCATTGTACGATTAATGAAGTGAAGTAATCAATTCCGTTTTATTTTGTATTGATTATTATTATTTTTTAACAATTAACAATTTGTAGTTCTAAATCAGACTTTTAAATGAACACAGATATTATGATATTCAATATTGAATTTTGACAAAAGAAAATATCTCGATTATCTATTTTTTTTGATATTTATGTTTTTCATCATTTACAGTTTCTATAACCCTTTAACGAGTTAACAATAATTTCCAAATTAGTCATTTAATACATAATGTTGTAAATCCAATCATTAAATTAAAATAATTATTTATTTTAATCACATAAAATAAATAGTTAATCAGATTTTTTAATACTTGGGTGAGGGGGTTGAAAATTAATTACGGAATGGTGTTAAAACTGTGTATGTGGGTATAAATATGTATATAAATTTATTTATATTTTTCAACAAACAACATTCAATTCTCTATTTTATTGGTTAGTATATGGAAAATAAAGATAGTCCGTTTTTTTTTTAATGATATTGAAAACAATAAATCAAATAATTAACCACCAAATATATTTAATACTAGGGTTTTATGTATAATAAGTCTGGAAATGAGTGAAATTGTGTAATCTCATTTGATTGAGAAGTTGACAATATTATTTTTTAGTTAGTTTATTTGTTAATAATATAAAAAAATTGAAATAAGTTTATAAAAGTAATTAAAGAATAAGGATTATTAGTTTTTCAATTTTATTCAATAAAATGGCTATTGTTTTATCTAAAAAATATAATAAACTAGTTTTTGCTATTATTGTATCATTATTTGTTTTTTTTAATTATCATTTTCTACAATCGAGTGGATTTGATTCAATTTCTATTATAAATAAGAGTAATAGTAGTATTTCAAACGGAGAAGAAAAAATTCATCACAATCATGGAAAGACAGATAAAATAAAAATAAATTCAATAAATCATTCAACTCCCAAATCAGTAAAAAATATAGTTAGAGCATCAAAAGAGGATGGAGATTCAAATATTAGATTATATATAGAGGAAACTGATATTAAATGGAGATGGAACCATCCTAAAAAAGATAAATGCCATTATTCCAATAAAAGAGACTATCAAAAACAACCTGTTATATTTGGTTTCAACTCTTGGTATAGAGAAGTAAGTAATCGTATTTTTTTATTTTATTTATTTGTTAATTCCTAAAACAAATACTTATTTGATTTTAGGATTCAAATTGTGAAATTCCTTGTTTAAATGAAGGAGGAGGAAGAGGTTACTCCGATGGCAGTATATTCTACCGTGGCACTGGTAAATGTACGAAATCAGTTTATTTCACAATGGAGAATGTACCAGCGAATAAGAATTCATATGATATAGTGTCAGGAATTTACTTGGACACCGATGTACCACTTCCAATGTTTGGTTGGAATCAATACACCTATGCAGAAGAACCAAAACCAAAGGTAATAATTTATAAACTATATTGATTAATATTGATCAATATTTATGCTAATCTTTTAAATTCAATTTTATAATGATAGGATTCGAAATCACAAGGATTGGTTGCAGCATTTATTTCAAATTGTGTACCACAAAAGAGATTGGAATGGTTGAGAAGATTGGACAAGGCTGGTGCTAAAGTAGATTCCTATGGTAGATGTGAAACCAACAAGGAAATTCCCAGTAGAAATGGAATCCCCAATGATTACAACGGACAAAAGTTAAGAATAGGTGAAACCTATAAATTCATTATGGCATTCGAGAATTCCAATGCCGATGATTATGTTACTGAGAAACTGTTTGGAGTATTGGCAGTTGGTTCTGTACCATGTATGTAGTTATTAATCGATTAATAGTTTATTAGATATTTTTCTCTTTCAGATTAACTAACTTTATACATTAAACAACATCTATAGTGTATGATGGTGCACCCAATGGCTTAAAGTTTGCTCCAAATAACCATTCGGTTATATTCGCACAGGATTTCGAGTCACCAGAGAAGTTGGCAGAGTATTTGTTATATTTAGATAAGCACGACGATGAATATCAAAAGTATTTAGAGTGGAAGAAGACTGGTCCCACCAAAGATTGGACAGCAATGGTAGACATTGCAAGAATTGGTGCCGAATGTAGAGTTTGCTACAGAATAGCCGATCTCCATCGTAAGGATGTCGGTATGGTATTCGGCGATCAAGAGAAACGTGATAAATATATAAAGGTACCAAGCGATTGGAATCCATCAAAAGGAATTGGTATGATTAAATCATCAAGAACATTTACTGTAATTTATGATTTATACTAACAATAGCTATTACTACTTCTATTATTATTATATTATTATTATTATTATTATTATTATTATTATTAATGTTATATAGTTGTTTATATAAGACATAGAGGTACATTTTGGTATTACTCTGTTCCAATTCCTTTTGGTACAACTGCCAAGGAGTTCCAAACAATCATTGAAAAGACTATTCCTTGTCCACATTGCCGCGATGGAAAAGGTGAATTTTATGAAGCCTACGAATACTGGACAAAACAACCAATCTTAAGTGACAAGATAACATCACCATTGAACATTACACTCACCCAAGAGATAGAAATCGAAGTTGTTTTTACTGACATGTCTTTCTATTTCGAAAATACACCTAAACCAAAGTAATTCGATAGACAAAATAATAATTAATTAATTAAATTAATGTAACAAAACTAATTTTGAAATTTGATTGGGTGCTTAAGGTTGGTGGTCAGCATTTAAAAAAACATCTAATCATTTTTTTTATTTTTTAAATTTATTTTATTTTGTTTTATTTTTTTAAAATTTGGTTTAAAATATACACGATCAGTTGTTTTTTTGGGCACATTTAATTATTAGATTCGTGGAGATTGTGTTTTTTTGTCAATGAATGTATTGTGTAATGCCATATAATTGCCATGGTATTTTGGTCTTTGCTGAAAGTTTTAAGGATTGGGGGTTTTGGTGATGGAATGAAAGTTGTTTATGTTGATTCCAATGACCAACATCATCAAAAATTACAAATACCTTGGATATTTTTTGACACTTTTTTTTTTTTGATTTCAGATAAAAAAAATAATTTTTTTAAAAATTTTGTTCTTTTTCATTTTTTACTTTTTTTTTTTCAAAAATATCCAGACCTTTAGTTTGGACTACTAAGGTTGATGTTTTTTTAAATCCAATATCACCCCATTTCAAAATCCGTTAATCCTCACTGTTTTATTGCAAATAAATCACAGAAATTCAAATAAGATAATCAAGAATAGTATTTGGAATATTTGCAATTCTAAATCACACCATTCATCACTGCAGCTTTTGAGGATAAACACAAAACCACAACAATTGTTAACAACATTGTTATTTTAACAGATAGAATAAAATAGATATTATGTATTGTACCTATTCAAATAAGATATAGAAAGATATTATTTTATTTAAATTCACATACAAACAACTGCTATATAAGAAATGGGTAGATTACATTTAAATCTATTACTGTTGCTCTCAATAAGTTTATTTACAGTTCAAGTGAATGGTCAATGGTTGGAAATTAAAAATTACTTTAGATTGTTCGGTGACCCAGTTTGCAATGTAAATACTCAGTGGCTTGGTGGAGTGAGTGCTTATCCAACCTGTGACGGAAAAGGAAATGTTTTGACATTGTAAGTATTTATTATTTTTAAATCAAAAAGTATATTTATTATTAACAGTCTAATTTAATTTAGAATTGTATCTAATCCTTTGACGGGTATCAATCCTTCTATAACAGTTAACTGGGCAAATACTTATCCAATGCTGAATTCTCTGTACGAATGCTTTCATCTTTATTTTTTATTATTTCAAAAAATGTTAATTTTCTTCCAATTCCTATAGGACTGTTCTAAATATTGGTGGATCTTCTCCATTGGCTATGACACCACAATTGGCAAATCATCCAACTCTAGATACATTGTATTTATTAATATCTACAAAAAATTATTCTTTTTTTATATTAATAATTGTGTTCATTGTTTATTATAGGTATTTTGCTAATATCCAAAAAGGTATAACTTTTCCAACTTCTGATATGACAAATATGACAGGTCTACGTAATGTGTATGTTAACTTTTCAGTTATTGTAAAGATGATGAGCTAATATGTTTTAAATCTATATACAGACACTTTGAGGGTATGCTGCAATATCCAACTTTGCCAATTACAGTTCAGAATGTTTATTTCCAAAGTTCCACCACGCCTGCCTTTATTCAAACAAGTTTATTTGACAAATATTTAATTTCATAGTAAATTATCATTGGACATTGATTTAATGATTATTTTACTTACACTTTTTTTTCCTACTCTAGTAACATCTCAGTTAATACAATTTCACCATCAACTGTTTTCGATTTCTCGAAAGCTACTAGTCTTCAAACTCTGTTAGTATACTTTTTTTTTTTTAATATTAGTCACTAAAATTATCAACTAACTTTATTTTACAAAGTGCTCTCAAGACTAATGTAAATTTCCCTTTAGACTTTACTGTATTCACTAAAATTCCATCACTTAAGTATTTGTAAGTGTATTTAGATTGAAATGTTGGTGGTACTTTTTATTAATAAATATCGATTTAGATTTTTAAATGGTCTTACAGCTAATCCAACAGAGTTTATGCCGATCGCTTCTATAAATTGGCCATCATTAATATCTTTGTAAGATCCTATTCTTTTCTTTGGTTGAATCAACTCATCAAATATTAATTTTTTTTTTTTTTTTTTAAAAAAAGAGAGTTGATTGGTTCAGGATTTAATGGTACAATGGATCCTAAATTTTTCTATCTCCCATCATTAAAGTCATTGTAGGTGTTCGTTATTATCTTAAACATTAAATTAATTGTACTAATATTTGACATGATTATAGCACTGTAGTTAATAGTCCATTGTTGACCTTTGAAATTCCAAATAATTTGTATGATGGAAGTTTAACTACTTTGAACATTACCAATACAAACTGTGGTGGTACACTTCCAGTTAATATTATCAATCGTAGTATTACAAGATTGGACATTAGAAAAACAGCAATCAGTGGAGCACTTCCATCTCCATTCTTATGTTTGCCACCTGATGTCACCAATCCAAACGTTCCAACCAATCCAAAATACCTTTTCGATAAAGTTTTCACAAATTACAATACTACTTATCAAGGTCTTTGTAGTAAGTATTAAATATTTTAAAACATTATAAAATTAATTAAATACTCACTTCTCAATCTTTTTTCAAAATTTTAGTTCCAAATATTACATCTATTTCACCATATCCACTTCAAATAAATAGTACTATTACTTTGAGTGGAAACAACATTGCTGGTGTCAATGGTTACTATTTGATAAAGATGTCGAACACTGTTGGAGATCAAGTAAATATCAATTGCATCATGGTAGATGGAGAAACTATTGTTTGTACCAATGGTCAAATTCAAGGTGAAGGAACATTAAATATTCAGATTTTCAATGGAAACAATCCACCACCACAAGATTCAATTGATTTTGCCTATCAAGCACCACTCATTCTTTCGGCAACACCATGTCCAACACTCGGTGGTAACATCACATTGACTGGATACGACCTTGTTGACCCAGTTGGTATCCAAGAGAATTCCGGTATCGTCATCCTCGGAAAGCGTTGTGAGAACATTCAAATTATCGTTCCCTATCGTGTAGTATCTTGTTACTACCCACCAGGAATTGTCTCAAACGTCCCCATTTCCTTCAAAGTCAAAGGATTGATGAGCACCAATTCTAGTGTCAACTTCTTCTACAAAGCACCCTATGTAATCTCATCGAATGCTATTCTTCCAAATGTAGAGTCTGACTTGATCATTTCAGGTTCTGATTTCTGGAATGACAAGGATTTGATCACAGTCACCATTGGACCAAACCAAATCAATTGTCCAGTCTCATTGGTCAACCACAATATCATCATCTGTAGATTCCCAGCGACTCCATACGTCACTGGTTCTATGAGCATCAACGTAACAGTTCTATCCCAAAGTTCTCAACCCAATGGACTATTCCAGTTCATCGATGAGAATCTCTGTCCAAAATCATGTAGTGGTAAAGGTGTTTGTAGTGTATCCGTTGGATTCTGTATTTGTGAAGATTTGTATGGACCAGCTTGTACCCAAAGTAAGTTAATAAGACAATTATTTATTATTTGAATAACTTTAATATTAATATTAAATTATTTGCAAAATTTAGCACCAATTCAAACCGCATATGAATTAGAAACAGGAACACCTCTTTTAACTATTTCAGCTGAGAACAATAAGACTCAGTTGCAAGCAACATTGGTTTCAGTTATTGAGAATGGTGCCGAAACTTTGATTCCATCCAATTGGATTGTCACTCAGAATGACACCTACGCCGTTTACAATTGGACTTCAAAGATGATTGTCACCATCCGAAAGAATGTTGCAGACGGAAGTGAGCAATTGGGTGGTCTGAATTACACTTACCCAGCCAACAGCTATGCTTATTCTGTTGAGTATACCAACACTTTGATGCCATCACCATCTTTGCAATTCAAATTCTCAATCAAAGTTATTCCAGAGGAATGCGAAGTTCCTCCAATGACACTGGCCTATCCAACCACCGATAACTCTAGCGAAACACAATCGGCTGATCTGCATTGGTCATTGCTCACTCAGTATCAAACACAATGGTCAGCTCGTTATCCTCAATCGGCCAACGTCAACTCTGGATACGGATCGGTAAAGTCACGTGTACTCTCACAAACTGGATCCAGTCAAATTCTCCTGGTAACCGTACTACCAGGTACTGCGCAACAAGAAGATATCTTTGAAACTCGTTTCGAAATGGATTTCACTGCCTACCAAGCAACAGATAGCAGAACTCCAGGTGGTAGCTGTAAGGGCTCATCGAGTGAGGACAACAGATGGAAGATTGCAGTTGGTGTTGTTGTTGGTGTAGTTGGTGCCGCCATATTCGCAGTTCTCCTCTTCTACATTTTCAGACAAAAGACCAAACTTGACGAAACAAAAAGATTATTAGATAAGAAATTAGCAGAATTGAACGGGCTATAAAAAAATACAAATTAATGCTTTATATAACTTAACTTATACATATATATATCTTTTAACTAAATTAATAAATTTGTAATATTAATAATTAAATTAAATATTTCAATATTTTACATTTTTTTATTTATTTTTAATTATTTATCTATTTTGGTTTGTACTTTTTAATTTGATTTGTAGGATTTTAATATTATATTTATATTTCTTTTTCAAGAATATAATTGTGGCAATAATAAAAGCTAATGCAGCAGCTCCAACAACGATTCCAATGATAGCACCAGTGCTCAATAATTGTGATGATTTTGAACTGCATAGTGTATTGGTTGGTTTGTCATCATTGGTATTCAAAATATTTGAAAAATCGGGATCAAGCAGAACCGATTCATTGTAGTTTGGAATGGTTATTCCAAATAATACTTTTCTGAATTGTGATGAATCTGTAATTTCTTCGCTTCCACTCTTGTCATTATCATCAACTATTCCATTCTTAATATTTGTTTCTCTATTATCAACAATTCCAAAGGTGATGAATCTTCCATAAAGACTGGTTTTATCAATATCCATCTTTATCCATTGAATGTCATTTTTAGATCCAGTTGCACTTCCAAAATCGACTGATGAGCAAGAATATTTGTCTGATCCTTTAATTGATGCCTCCATAACCACTTGCAAAGAGTTTACTTTTTGGGTGAATTCAAAATGTGAAATTTCAATTGTGAATTTAATTGACGAGGGTTGCATCGTTAAATTTTGACTACCAAACTTGATTGTTGCTTCATCTTTGAAATACATGATAGTTACATTGATATTGGTTGTTGTGTTAATCAATGTTGTACTGTAAATGAATATCGGATTTGAACTATTGGTTTTGTCTTTGAGTATCCATTCTTTGATGTCAAATCTTTGAACTGTTGCTCCAACATCATCGATCTCTCTTACTTGTAAAAATTTAATATTTGAATGGACAATATTGTCGGTATTGGAGTCTGTTACATTGATTCCTATTTGGGGTTCCGGCTGAGGTGTTGGTGGAACGATTACAATAGTTTCAGAGGAACATGATGGTCCTGTCCATGGCGCTTTACATTCACAACCAGTTGATGTACATGTTCCACGATTGTTGCACGGTGGCGTTCCCCTACAAAGTGTAGATGTGTTTGAAGGTGCTGGTGTTCCTGTAGAGGTGGGTGTTGGTGTTGGTCCTGTATAAATTGGATTCACAGTGATAACATTTGACTCTGCTGCATTCACTTTGATTTTCAAATTAAAATTGCCACTAGTTTGCTTAATTTGGGCTATGATTGTTGAATAAGAAATGGAAGCAATTGGAACTGGCATGAATCCGTTACCATCTTTCCAATCAATCAAAAGTTGAGTATTACTTGGAATAAAATTATTTCCTAAAATCATTATCTGTCCACCCAAGTTAGAAAGAGAAGATATAGTATCTATCATTGGGGTTAAATCCGAACTAGAAACTCTTTGTATCATGTAAGGTTGTGACCAAGCTGCTAACTTTGAAGTGGGGTAAGAGCTATAACTTAATAGCTTGTTAACAACTCCATATACTGATATGAAGATACCCTCCATTGAACCATATCCATACGGTATCTCATAGATAACTATGTATTTTGCAGTGTTTATACTATAATAAAAACCTTTCATTTGAATACTGAGAGGTTGGGAATAAGGTGATGTCAAGAGAATGACTGGTGTATGTCTAAAGGAAAATCCAATATTATCGTTAACAACCAGTTTGAATTCAACAGTTCTATTATTTGAAAATACATCAATCGTTGTTCTATTAACTGTTAAAGTAGGAGGAGAACTGATTGGGACTAGTGTATTTGGAGCTATTATAGAATTAATATAAAACTTTTTTTTGTCGATCATAAAAAAATACATACTTTGACATGAAACATTAATCTGCATTTGATTTTCCATTGGTGTTCCATAAATCGGTAAAAAAGCATCAACATTATTTCCTTCGAGTAGATATAAATTAATACCAGTACTGTCGAAAAGTGTTGCATTGAAGAGTTTGAAGATTTGTGGTTGGCAAATAAAAACATCAATAGATACAAATACAATGTATACTCCATCATATTGATGTCCCGATACCAAGTGAGTTGTATTGATCGGAATAGTAATTGGATAAGGATCGATTGATGAAACTAATTGAATGGTTCCATTATAGAATCCACCCTTTGCATCTACAATTCTAAATCTCCAAGCCATTGTGAGATTGTTATCAGCACCAACAATTAAGTTTTGGACGCTGGCAGTAACATTTGTAATCATTGGAGGGATCAAATCACCATCTATAAATGAAGATAAAAAAGGCAATATTAGTTAATAGATGATAAAAGAAGATTATGAATGATAGATAAATACTTGATTTACTGACAATCAGTGGTGTAGTGAAATAATCTTCACCAGAAATGATATTGATGAATGGAAAATTGATAATGAATGGAATTTCACCTGGAGGATAACAGGTTGCAATTGTGAATGGAATCTTGTAAAGATTATCAGAAAAATCGAAATAACCTTTAAAGATTAATGAATCCAATTTCATCTCTGGTTGTAATACAGGGTCGTTAACTACAAAGCTCATGATCAAGACATTATCGACTGGTCCGTTTGTCAAATCAATATTATTCTTTTCGAATCTAAAAATTGTATTTTCACCTAATGCAAAATCTAAATAATCAAAGTTATTAGTTAAAGAGTTTAATGAAAATAATCTATATCAACCTACATGTTAAATTTTGATAAGGTGTGAATATATCAAAATTTGAATTATATGGCTTTCCTTCCAAAACTTCAACAAATCCATTTTTTGATGAGACTATTATTTGATTATTGGGGTTTTTCTGAGAGTTCAACATTACTGCCTCATAAATATATTTTTGACCATCAAATGAAATTGATTCTTTTAAAGGTACTTCCCCTGGTTTAACTTTTACAGCATCAACATTGTTCATTACCTCTACTCGGAGCAAATAAGTAAAGGCACTTAAATAAGTGCAGCTAATTTTTGAAACATTGATCAATGAAACATCTAAAATAGAGAGTTTGAATATTAAAATAATAAATTATTGTTATGAATAAATATTTACTCTGCTCTAATGGTATTATCCAAGTTTTATAAACAGTCGACTGCCATTCAATTCTTAATAAATTTCCATATGTATTGTACGAGAAAGGCATCTCCACCGTGAAATTGGAATTATAGGTGGACTGAATTAAATCGAAATCAAAGCTACTATAAGGATTGTAAATAAAAGTTACACCTAGACTATAGAGTAAAAGATTGCCAACAGGTTGAAAGGTAATCTCCAACAAAGTGATGTTTTGTGTAATATTTTGGAATTGTCCTGAAATAATAGCATCTGGAACTTTTTTTTTAAATAAATTTTTAATTAATTTGTTTGATTCAAATGTGAAATTGAAAATATATTACTTACTGAATGAGGTAAAGTTTAAATTATAATCAATTGATAGCTTTGATATATTACCATTAGCGATAGGTAAATATGGAGTTGAAGTTGGTGAGAAATTAAATTGATATGTTGTATGTGTATTGTTTTTATCTTTGATTCTCAAAAGGAAACTATTAAAATTGTAAACAGCGGGACTGTTATTTACAACAAAGGTCGTAGATTCTGCGATAACTCTACTATCCATTAAATTGGTTGCTGTGATTACTGAATTGTTTTGTGGAATAATACTGTAATCAACTGAAACAGGATCGGTAGCTATTAAATATGGAAAAATAAATATTAGAATTTAAAAACAAAAAAAAGTTCTTAAAGTTTTTAAAGTTCATACAGTTCCAAGGATAAAATGAATCAATTGTTCTATTAAACAGGCTTATATCTTTGAAGAAAATCTCTACAGTGACATTTGGAGTCAATGGGATATCTGCTGTAGTTGATATAGGGATGTTTACATAGATAATATTGAAAGCTTGAAATACACTACAATCGAGTGACATTGTGTTTGTGCGGCAGGTGTAGCCGCCGGATGTAGCTAGTCTGTAGTATTTAAAATCTGGAGGAAATTCAATCAAAAGGTACATTCCGCTAAAGAATGATAATTTTGGTGGCAAAACAGTTGCAGCGCTCCAAAATTGTTTGGGGTCTTTTTAAAAATTAATTAATATAGTGATTCCGATCACGATTTTTCAAAGATGAAAACATACCTATACATTGGAAATTAGTAATACTGAAATTTTGTTGAACGGTAGCATTTCCTAGAAAAAAGTCCAAACTAGTTAAACTTTGTGCAAAGTCAAAGTCGATAGTAAAGTAGAGATTTGAACGATCACTACTAAATATTATAGAAACAGATCTTTGAATATTTAATAAACTGGGGTTCGATGCTGTTACGGCTATAGATGGCATGTCATTTAAAATTTCTATTGAAAATGAAGAATCACATCTTAGTTCTCCTGGATTCTTATTATAGAAAAAAGAAGGGGTTGGATCGGTGTAATCTAAAACCTGTATCGTTTGACAAAATACTTTTGAAATAATTTCAAATCTTTAATCTATTAATGTTTTGGCATTTAATATATATATTCAACCTACCTGCTTCATTAAAAACGACAACAATAAGAAAAAGGCTATAACAAATATAATTAAAAGATATATGTTTTATCATGTTGTAAAGATATTGGGATAAAAACAAAAAAAAAATTTTAATATGATTAAGTGTAAAAATAGTTTTGTTAGAGTACTCAAAAAAAGTTTTGTTATGTGATTTTAGATGAAAAAAAATATCAAGATTTTTGAAATTCTCGGTGCACCCAAAAGGCACTTTTTCCAAGTTGTTTTAAGGGGTAATTAAATTAGTTCGAAACACGATTAACAAAAAAATCTTTTGCACATTTAAAATATTATAATATTATTTATTAAATTTAGTAATTCTTAAATAAATAGAGAAAAGGTGCAGATGAATCTTGTTCTTTCTATTCTACAAATATTATACATATCTTTTTTTTTTTTTTTTTGGACTAGAATTTGAGATATATACTATCAATAATAATAGGTTCGAAAATATATAAATAGCTAAGATACTCAACTTTTTTATTCGGGATGCATTAAATCTATTGAAAATAATGTTAAATTTTATTTGTAAATTTTTTTTTTTTGTTTGAATGTGCGCCAATTTTTAAAAAATAAGTAATATAAGTTTTTTTTTTTTGATTTTATTTCTCTCTATTTTAAATTTTAAATAGTTTCAAGATTATTCTGTATATAGTTATGTCGAAATCATCAGAAAATTTAAAGAGAAAGAAGTGTGATGATGGAAAAGTAGCAAATTCAAATACATTATCAATGTATGTATGAAACAGGTTATATGACTTTTTCTTATATGTCCTGAATGTTGTTGATCATTCAAGTATATTAATAATACATTAAACTCATAGGGATAATTTCGACGATGAACTTTTTCAATTGGAATGTCAAAAGGAAGCAATGAGAGAAGAATCTGAGAAATTGGCACAGAGAACACTTGAAATTGAAAAACGAGAGAACGAAGTTAAACAGTTGGAATTCCACTTGGAAGAGCGTGAGTTTGAGTTGGAAGAGCGCAAACTCTCACTGACCAACGAGGAACAACGTTTGAATGAGTTGGGTCAGGAGCTGGTTTCCGCGGCCCAAGAGATCGAGACCAACCAGAAGCAGGCTGCAGAGCGTGAAAAACGTCTAGATGAACGCGAAGCTACTCTCGCCAAACTCGAATCCGACTACAAGCTTCGAAAGAAGAAGCTGATCGACTACGAATCGAAGCTGAAACAGAAAGAACACGAATTCAAAATGGCAGAACTGAACGCACTGCAATCGATCAACAAGAAATCGATGGCCGGCGACGACACTGCATCGAATCAACTCTTCCAATCGACATCGACGACTTCCAACGTTGATGTCTTTTTCTCGACGATGCCCACTGCGTCAACACCGATACCACAACAATCACCGCTGACACCATCAAAGGCGAGAGCATCGATTGCACCACGCAAGTCGATCATCTCAAAACAGACACTCTCTTCGAAATCACCTAAAAAGGTACTCGTTAGAAAATCAATACGACCATCATCGTCAGTCAACAGCAGCAACGAATCGATATCGCAACTCTTGGCTAAAGAAAACTATCCACCTTCACAAAACAACACATCAGTAACAACAACAACAACAACATCCAAACCAAGACCATCGATACTACCAACGCTATCACCAACCAATTCAACCAAACCTAGATCAACAACTCATTATCAGCAATATCCATAATAATATTATTATTATTATTTTTTATATAAAATGTATAAACAAATCAAATCAAATCAAAATATATATATTTAAATATTTCTAATAATAATCAAATTAAACATTTATTTAATTGGTAAATGTTTTAAAAAGATTCATCAATCAATAAAAGAAATTAAAATAATTGAAATTGATAGTTATCAGAGTTATCAGTGATGTTGTTTTGGTAATCCGAATACCAAGAATTACAATTCAGTTTTTTAATTTTATTATCCCTCATTTTTTTTGGTATTAAAAAAATATTTTTTTAAATTAAAATCAATAAATAGGGGTTAATAACAATAATAGATCAGTTTGAAAAAGAGAGATAAGATTGATAGACAGAGTTTTATTCACTTTACTCAACAATTTTCACTTTACAAATAAATACATATACATAGTTTTTTTCTTTCTAACTATTCGTTTTTATTTTTATTTTTGTTTTTTTTTTTGATATTCATTGCATTCATTCTTTCTTTCTTTCATTATAGTTAGGTTTTTTTTAATCTATATTTATAACAATAACAACAAATAATGGCAAGAAAAGCTAGTACCAAAACAACAACCGTCAATGTATGTATTTATATTTGACTCATTGCCCATATTTTTTTTAAAAAAAAAAAACATAATATGATGTTTGTTACTAATACTAATATTGGTTTTTATTTACTTTAACAACATGTACAGAGAAAGAGAAAAACAGTAGAAGACGAAGATAAATCAGAGCAACCTGTAGTTAAAAAGGTAGCTGCTGTTTCACCATTGGCATCACTTTTTGATAAATATAAAGGTAACTTTTACTTTATTATTAGCAATTTGACTAAATCATAACATTTACTCATCTTTTTGCTTTTAAACTTGTTATCACATTAGATGCTGAAGAACCAAATTGTATAGGTCCAGATGGTGTCACCAAGTTTTGTGAGGATTTAGGTTTTGCTCCTGACAGTGTATGTTATTATCTTTTTTTATTCAATTGATACATGTTCTATGAATTGTTAATTAATCGATTTACTTTGCTACTCTTTTAAATCTATATAGATTCAAGTTTTGATATTAGCATGGCAGATGAATGCAAGTAAGATGGGTTACTTTACATTTGAAGAGTTTAAAAAAGGATTCGAAAAGTTACAGTAAGTAGTTGAACATAGCGAACATATGTTTGTATTTAGTTCTATCTTATGAATTAGTGATTACTAACGTTATAATGTAACAGTTGCACAGACTTGATTCAATTAAAGAAAGAGCTTCAAGGATTTTCACACACAATCAAGGTTGACCCTGCTAAATTCGCAGAGTTGTACAAGTTTAGTTTTGGATTTGCCAGTGAGATTGTCAATAAGAAATCAGTTGAATTGGCAATCGCTGCCGAGATGTTAGAGTTGGTCATACCCGATGGTCCACATACCAAGACCTTCATTTCATTTTTAAATGTTTGTATCAATCAAAAATGAAATTGATGAATATCATATTAAATTCTTACATTAAATCAATATATATATATATATAGAGCACCAAAAATTATAAAGTTATAAACAAAGATCAATGGATCTGCTTTTTAGAGTTTTCAAAGACAGTCAAAGAAGATTTATCAAATTACGACGAATATGAAGCATGTATGTTTTTTTATTTTATTTAATCAACCAATATTGGTTCTAACCTATACAATTTACTTGATTTAGGGCCATTGCTGATTGACGAATTTGTCGATTTTGTTAAAGATCTTAAGAAATAGGAAACCAATACAATCAATCATTATATTAATACAATTATTTATGCTACAAATATATACCCTAAATATCAAATATTCTATCTTCGACAAAAAAAATCAACCAACCAACCAACCAACAACCAGCCAGCCAGCCAACAGAATAACATTTAGATCAGGAATTTTCGAAATACAATTGGATTGACATCAGATACACAACAATCAACAAGTTGAAGGAAATTGGATAACAAAGAGAAAGATGATATCACAGAAGTAGAACAAAATTCAAGTTAAGTTAAGTCGATAACTATTTTCAACCAAAAAAGCCCCAATCAACACCCACCCGCCGCTTAGATGTAATTACAAAGGAGAAACAACAACAATAATAATAATTTACATAAACTTTTTTTTTAATTTTTATTTTTTAATAATTATTACTTTAATTGTTTTATTTTCATTCAATTTGAAAGAATGGGATCTATTCATTCTGAATTATGATTCGATTGTGTTGTCTAAATTTGTGTCTCTGTCCTCCATTATTACACTCAGTTCATTTCGATCGGATATTACTTCAGTGTCTTTGTACATTTCTTTGCCGTTGGCAGATTGCGGTGTCGCCGACTGTCCATTTAAACTATTGCTGGTTGAGATCATTGAAAAAATTGAGGGATTGGTTGGTGTTGATGAAACTGAGTTGCTATTCCTATTGCTATTGCCACTCAGCTCTGACAACATTGGAAAAGGTATTGGGTGTGATTGATTGAAATTCGCTAGATTCTGTGAAGAACGTAATAAAGGTGATGCTGTTGGTGATGAAATTGGTGATGTACTATTATTATTATTATTATTATTACTACTACTATTGGATGAAACTGTTTTACTTCTGAAATTTGTAATTCTACTTTCTAGATCCTATAATATGACGATGATGATGATGATGAATTTCGTTTAGTTTATGATCATTTCTTTTAATTCATGTCTAATCAAATCATCAAACTTACAGTTACCAAATTGATTAACTCTGAAACAACAGATAGTGAACTAGAAGCACCGGTAGCCGGTGTATCTTCTGCTTTTTGTCTCTGTGATTTATTGGGTCTAGGTATATGAAATGACATTGGGTTTTCACGTTTAGATTTCTGGTTATGTTTTAACGAAGAATTGCAATGTAAGTTAGTAAGTTTATAAACCTGAAAAAGATGATGATTATATAGTTAATGTTTACCTCTGTTGAAATTGGTTTAATTATATTCTTTCTTTCTCTGGCCGATAGCTCTTGTCTGAGATCCCTGATGTCTTCTCGTAGTCTCTGTATGGTTTCATCGGCAGCCGCTTTCGATTCTTCCAGCTCACTCTGTATCCAAACGTTCTCCTCCATCAGTTTATCCAACTTGAATGTCAGATCACTGACCGATGCCGATGCAACACGCTCACGCCTCTCCAATGAATCGTTTTCTTGCTCCAGCTTTCTACGATCTTGCAGCAGGTTTGTTCTATCGTGTTGTAACTTTGACACTTCATCTTGTAGACTTGATATTAGCTTTGAAGACTCTCTAGAAACATTATTTAATTTATCTTGTACTGATTCATATTCATTCTTTGTCCTCCTGTTTTATCGTACAGTAAACAAACATACTCGATTAGACTTTCTCTACTATTGATTTAATCTTTAAAATTACTAATAATACTAACGCATGTAGTGATTGTATCTCTGAGTATTTCTTTTCACATGCTTTCAGTTCACCTTCCATCTCCTCTTCCAATTGCTTGGAAAACTCTTGATATTCATTGAAATTGATTTCCAAATCATCCAATTCCTGTTGTTTATCCTCCAATGACTTCTTCCAATATGCAATCTCTTCATCTTGTGAATTGAATTTCGGTATTTCTACTGTAGTCATCTTTATATCTATCTATATTAGCTATTCTATCCGAGCTATTCTATTCGAGCTATTCTATTCTATCTATCTATCAATGATAATATTACAATTCAATATAAAACAAAATAACTATCTATTTATAATATATATTTCTTATATAAGAAACAATAACTAAAATAAAAACAACAAAACAAACAAAACAAACAAACAAACAATCTATATTTGAATAAACTAACTGATATATTACATAAATTGCATACAATCAAAGAGTCATCTGATATGACAGTTAAAAATTTTTGAAATTTGGGATTTTTTTTTTATTTTTGAAAAAGTTGTGACAAATTTTTTTTATTTTTTACAACATTTTTTATTGGTTGTTATAATTTTCTTTTTGAAGATAAATCATTATATTTGTGACATTAAACATGATTTGAAAATGACAATTGGTTAAAATTTATTGTTTTACTTTTTTTACTATTAATTATTTTTCACTTTTGAGATATAAAAAAAAAAAAAAATTAACTAAAATATGATCGTTTTTTTTTTTTTTTATGTAATTTTGAAATTGCATTAAATTCATTTATCATTTTATTTAACTGATCGATTCTTCTTAAATATGTTGAGATACTCCAGTAATCAGATTATAAAGTGTACATACCCACACTTGAGACTATCAACAACAGGTGTGCTAAGATCTACATTACTCGTCAAGAGCAGTAGCTCTACAACAGTTCCACAAAGATCATACTTCAATAGTACTAAGCCATCAAATGCATTGTTTGATGTATTCTCAAAACTAAAGAATGTTTTCACTGGACCAGAGGTATCTATCAATCTATCTATCTATCATTTGTATAATTCTCACAAACACATACATATTTATTTACTCAATTTTTTTCAAAACAAAAACAAAAGAAAGAAGACCCAAAAGCAAAATCAACAACTAAAGATGCTCCAAAGGAACAAAAGGCACCAGAGAAAGTAGACCCAGAAACAGAAAAGATTTTACAAGCAAGAGCTGCCAACGATGATGCTGAATTCAACAAGATGCTTGAGGTAATACTGATATAGTTTCGCTAACACATTGTGTCATTTTACTAACAACACACAACACTACTTTCACCTTTATTTCAGATTGGTAGATACAATTTAAATGATTTCAGAACCTATCTTCACAAAACCATCGAACCTTCAATTACAGCTGGTAAAGCCAACGAACAAGTTGCAGAATTCCAAATTTATGTATGTCTCAAGATGATATTGTTTAATGAGTCGATATAATACTGATAACAGCAATCAAACAATCAATCAACGATTAATAGATTAAAATTATTGATGCAATGACCAATGAAGAGAGAGAAAATCCAAGAGTATTCCAGAAATATGCATTCAAGATCAAACAAAGAATTAATCAAGAAGCAGGTACTACACCACAACAATTTTCAGCGTATGTTTTCCATAACCTAACTGTTTGAGCACACCAATTGAATTATCTGTGACTAACACCATTTGTTATTTATTTTCATCAGTATGTTCGATACATACAATAATGCCAGACAGATATTCGAAATTCTAGCTCGATTCAAATCACAAGGAAAAGAAATCCCCAAGAAATCTAGCGAAATTCAAAAGTTCTTCAAAGATAACAAAGATGTCATTAGAAAAGAGATTGATAAGATGAGAAAGGAAAGAAGATTCGATTAATTAGATAATAATTATAAATTAATTCATTTCATTTTCATTATTTTATACTATTAATAGTTTTATTACAATTTTTATTTTTATATATACATTTAAAAAATAACATTTATTTTATCACAAATACTATATTAATATTGATGATGATTGATGATAATAATTGATCCAAACTACTACACAATTATTTATATTGGTAGTAAAAAAAAAAATAGTTGGAAAGAACAATTGTTTTGTGTAAGCGTAAATAATAGGTTTGATTTTTTCTTCTTTTTTTTTGTTAAATGCGCTTCCTATCTTTATACAGTTTGTATTAAAAGACCAACAAGTATTAAAAAGACTAACAATATACCATTACTATATTTTGAAAAAAAATGTTAGTAATCATAATGAAAAAAGGAAATCTAAAAATGAAAATTTACCTTTTTTCTAATAGAATATGATCGTTTTTAAGTGCTTGTACCAAATCGAAAGGTTTGTTAACAAATATAAGTGAAGGTATTGTTATAGCTGTCAAATTGACATGTGTTTGAATTGGTGATGTAATTGTTTTGGTGGTGGCTGTTGTTGTTGGTGATTTGACATCTCTCTTGGTAACTTGGTTGGTTTCTTTTGTTGGTTGAGTGTTTGGTTTGGTGGTTGTAGTGGTAGTGTTGGTAATTGTAGAGGTTGTTTGTGTAGCGGTAGTGTTATCTTGGATATTTACAGGAGTTGGTGTAGTTGGTGAAGAAATGATTGGTGATGTTGTTTGTTTTGGAGATTCAACTTTTGGAGTAATAGCAGTATTTATATTTGGCGATTGAGTTGTTGTAGTTGTTTCTGTAGGAGTAGTGTTGGTGTTGGTAATTGGTTCAATGATTGGCGATTCAATTATTTTAGTATTTGGTTTGATTTCTTCTGGTTGATTGCTACCAATTAAAGTAACAGCATCCAATTGATGATGATGAGATTGGGGTGATTGTGTTACTGGTTTGTTGATCTCGGAAGAGGAAATGGTGGATGTTGTCAATGAGGATGAAAGATTGGGTAAAGAGTCGATAGAATGTCCTTCCAACAATCGATTGGTTATATTGTTGATCTGGACGGCTTTGTGTCTGATTTCCGTGAGTACACTGTCGTCGGATATAGTCTTTCTAATATCGTCTTCGTTGATGGTGTCCTTGCGAGAGCTGTCGGATAGTCGCTTTAATATTCTGGTTGTCACACTCTCCATACAATAGGAAAGGTAGGTAAATATGAAACTGTCTCGACTCTGAAGTTGGACGGGTTCGTAAAAGCTGGTGTTGGTGTGGATGGTCATCTTTCTGCGAATCATGTCTTGGCACACCTGGTAGACCAGCTCGGTCGGGAAGAACAGCGATACGTTCTGTGCGCTGACATTAGAGTCGCGTGGAATGATCTCGAAATCCTTGACGTCTTCGTCCTCCTCTTCGTCACCCGAGGAAATATCGTCCTTGTTAAGCGACTCTGGGTTGTACTTGGGCAGATTCTTCATTGAGGTGTGTTGGATTCTGCCCTGTGACTGATCGATGATGTACTCTGACAGCTCATAGCTAAAGATCTGATTGATCGAGTCCTGTACGGCATCGACCGATAGATATTTCGACTGAGCTACCGATTGCTTCGACCGATTGATACTCTCAATGACGATGCAATTGGTCAAATCAATGAGAAATGTATTAAAGTAGGAGATGCCACCATTTGATATTTCAAGTGAAGGATTGATAAAGACACTTGTCTTTTGTATCGATGACGAATAAGATGAATACTCCATCTTTCAAAAAAAAAATATGTTTTTAAAACTAAAAGCTTTTACTTGTTACAATGCTATTGCTATTGATTTTGCTGCGACTGAATGAATAAAAAAAAACTAATTTGTTTACTAAATTACTTCTGTTTTAATTTGCTATGCTAAATGATAATCTAAATTTCTGCTAAATTAGTGTATTAATTCAATTGATTATTAGTTAATGATTAAATCTGTTTTTGTAAGGTGTTGTTTTTACTATTTATATTTAAAATAAAAAAGGTAATAAATAAAAGAGTGATAATATTTGTGATATTTTTATAGGTAATTGAAAAGTAGAGATAAACAAAAGATTGAGAAAAAGAGTAGAGGAAATATAATGATGGCTCTTTACTTTACTTTACTTTTTTAAACTAAAAATAAAATAAATAAAATATATATATATACTAATATTTAAATTGAATTAGATGGTTGAGTAGTAGACTGTATTTGAAATGACAATATGATTAAAACCAAAAAAAAACAATAGGACAAACAGCAATAGTATTTTGATTTTTGTAATATTTGCAAAAATTAATTTTTATTTTTATTTTATTTTTATTATTACTATTCTGTTTCTGAACGTTTCATAATGTAATTTTATATTTTCTTTATCAATATCAATTGAAAGAAAATTAAATATAATCTATCATTAACAAAATAGAATATAATAAAAAATAATTTTTAATCTCTTTAATACCTAATTATTGATTCAATATGTCCACTGCTGCAAACACACTCTTTCTCAAATATATATCTTCTGCTTCTATCTCTCTCTCTCTAATTACTCTACTTTTTTTTTATGATATGATATTATATTTAATCTTTTTATTTATTTATTAATTGTTTTTTTAATATTTAATTTTAATTTTAATTATTTATTTTTTTTTTTATTTTTTTTTTGTATTAATTATGCTTTATCTATATCTTTATCTTTTTTTTCACTATTTTTATTTTTATATTTGAGTAGCTTCTTCACCTTGACTCATTCACCAAAAGAATAAAAAATATATAATAAAATAAATTATTATTATTAGGAGTATACAATGTAATTTATATATATTTAATTCAATTTGGAAATGGAATGGTTTAAATAGCAAAAAAGTGGGTGTGGCAAATAGTGAGGTAGTAAAGAGATTGGTGTGGTGGTAGTGGTGGTAAATAAATTGAATATATATGCTTTAAAGATAAAGAGTAAGCTTGAAGTGTTTCAATGGGAAACAGTAAAAAATAAATTTGAAAACTACGTAGTCAACACACTGCTCATCATAACAAAGAACAAATGAATGTTCAAGTAGCTTGCTAATCTACAATATTTGCACTCGTCTTATTTTTATAAAATGCATGTAATAGATATCGTATGCATAATATAAATATGTTTAAAAAATATATTTTAAAAGAATTTGATCTAGATAAGAAAGATTCTTTCTTAAAAGATATGAAAGTATTATTATACATACATATAAAAAAAAATGATAAACTATATAAATATGCTGTGCTAACTGTCTGTATTTGTAATAAAAATATCTGAATATTTCTTTCTTCTGAATAAAGATTTATTAAAATAAAATGTAAAAAGAAAATTTGGTGTTTTTCTCAATAGATCAAGAGGTGGAATAATTAATTTAAATTTATTTAATTTTTAATTGTTTTTTTTTTTAATATCAATCAATTTTTGTTAAAAAGGGAACACCCACAAAAAACTAAACTTTTACTTTTCAAAATAATTTTTGTTTGTTGAGCAATGCGATGTGGTAATTATTGCCAACATATGATTCATTCATTTGTGGTTCTTGAATGAATCATATGAGTCACTGTATAAAAATAATTATCGTACCAACAAAAATGAATTTATATTTATTAAACTTACATAATAAAATTTAAGAAGTTCAAATTTGTTTAGTGTTACAAAAATTTGAATTGGTCGCCAAAAAGACGAAAAATGTTAATATGGTACGTACCTTTAATTATTAATTAATTAATTAATGTGCAAATTAAAACCCAGGTAAGTCTAAATAACGATTATTAGAAATTTAGATAAAACCGTGATCACAATTTCTCTAAATTTGTGTCAACACCATTCTATACAATCTTATCCCAACAAAATATGGCACCATATTGAATGGTAATCACAAAACCATACAAAAAAACAGAAAAAAACAGAAAAAACCCTCATATTGAAAAAAGCCGAATATGTGTTATTTTGTTTTTTTTTCTTTGTGTTGTGATTTCTAGAAACAACTTGTCTAGATTTATAGTTTTTAAAAGATAAATAAAAAATAAAATTATTTTATCTTCACCTTATTATTAGAGAAAAAGAAATTATGAATTGTCATATTAAAATTACAAAGAAATTTAGAATTACAAATCTAATTATTTTTTATTTTATTTTATTTTATTTTGAACCATATGATTATTATCAAATTTGGTGTTTATTATTAATAAAAAAAAAACCATCTAAAAACTGGTTTTAAAATCTTTGCTCTCAATAGGTATTCCACCTCATTCTATCAATTTGATCAGCACCGAATTTAGAACAAATTTTTTGCGATCAATTAATTATTGTTTGATAGGGTGACAACTTTAGTCGTTTTTGATCCCGAATCTATGTAAAGACAGATTACTTTTAGAAAGCTTTCAGAAGCGTGTTTCTGATGGTGTCCAGGACAGATACAACAGCTATGTAAAACGAAGATGAAGAAATTGTGGGGTGCTTCAATCTGAAATTTTTTTTGGTTATTTATGTGCATCTGACATAAATAGAACTGGTCATTAAGTAAGACATTCTACAATACTATTGGTCCAGTCCATAAGGCTTGATTTTTTTGTTTTGCTAAATTTTTTTTTTTTTTTTTTGATATTTTACAAAATTGTATTTTTTCTTTTTTTTTTTGGCTTCAGAGAATTTAAATGATATTAAGAGATCACGAGATTACTAATGTTATTTGCAAAAACCAACACACTTTTTGATCACAATTTATTTTTTATTTTATTTTTATTCTCCAGTGCCTCAATCAAACACCTTTAAGCAAATCATATGATTTTTTCACCCAAACAGCCATTTAACTGTTAAGATATTTATTCTCATATAAAACTATCTACTAAACTCTCTATTCTCTAATATTTACTAAATCATAAATCAACAAACAACAACATAACTAATTTTATAAAAGATCTCACTGCATCGCCAAACAGTTTTTAGTTTTACTTTAATTATCTAGAATTTCCAATCCCATTAAAAAAATAATTAAACAGCCTGAATAGCAATCAAAAACAAAACACTTTATTTATTATCCTTTATCCGTTTACCTCATATATTTATTTAATTTATTTATTTATTCAAATTAGAATTTAATTTACCAACAAACTTTAATTAAAGTGCCTTTCCATTCAGTCTAAAATAATCAATATATTTTTCTCCAAGATTAATAATAATTTAATAGGTATATATTCATTCCTACTGCATATCTTCTTTTTTTTTTTTTATTCATTATTATTGCCCATACAATCAAATAAATCAAAAACATATTTTTTTTCACCTTTTTTATCTTGTCCAACCCATCAAAACACATATTGGTCTTTTTTTTTATTTGCAAAAAATACAAAAAAAACACCAAAACAAGTCCTTATCATAAAAATTGGTTGTTTTGTTTTATTTTAAAAATAAAAAAAAATAAAACCACTAACGGATCATTCTAATTTCACTTCCGGGGTGTTTTTTTTTGTCTTTAGCAATATACGAACGCAAGATATAAAGATTGTGTGGAAGGTAGATATTGTTTTCTCTTAAAAAATATAAATAAGATAAAGTATAATATAAACTAATGAATAATTATTTATAACAGTTTATATTTATTAATTCCGAAAATATTCATTAAAAGTAAGTTCGATCATTCATAACACTTAGATAATCAAATCAACATCAGTGGTATTTGGCAAAGTAGCAATGCAATTTCATTGTGTTGAAACATTGTCAAACTACTGAATTACTTGACAGACACCACCATCTTCATACATCATTTAATAATAGTAAAGATGGTGGCGCAGTCTAATATTAGTAGCCATATCGATAAATGTTTTTAAACATGCAATTTCTTTAATTGGAATTAAGTTTTAGTTTTTTTTGAACATTGATAACAAACAGATCCTTCTGTGATATCAATTATAGCTTATAATCAGTTATTTAATTAAGTGGTTGTAGTAGTCTGCAATCATTTGTCAAGTGTGATTCAATGATCACCGAGAAATCACATAGATCACCTTTTTGTTTTCAAAAAAAATATTAATGACACAAATAGAATCAATTTGTATTTATGTGTTTAATTGTTGTTTTATTTGTTTGTTCATTAATTAATTCCACAACACATACTACACCTTAATCCTTTTTCTTTTCTTAGTTGAAAAGACCACCTCCCATCTCACAGAGTCAAAAAAACCACACACAAAAAAAAAAAAAAGAACATTTTTTCAAAGTATTCTTTGTTTTCTCTTTCTCTTTACATGTTGTAATTGTTACATTTTAGTTAAATCTTATATTGATTAAAGTGTGTGGTTAATCGTAAAGTCCACCAATTATATTCACATAATTCATAAACAAAACAGTCAAAAGCTTGTAATTGTATTGAGTTTTTTTGTATTGAACCACGCACCACCAGGCACTTTTTTTTTTTTTTTCTTAAAAAACACAACCCACACGAAACACAACCGATCTTGCTGTTTTGGCTCTATTTTTAAACCCTACTTTTACAAATATTATTATTTAAAGTATTACACACGATAAACAACCACAATAACAACAACACAAACACATAATAAGGATTATTTGATTGCATCAAAATTTAGTTCCTTCTCAAGATCAAATTTCAATCCAACACCATCTTAAATAGCACGACATGTTCGATATAGTTCCCATGCCGTGAGATAGATTCAGTTTGTGGATGTAAGAATAACTACAACTCAAAAGAACACCTTGACGGTCCTTCTCCCCCTACTGATATCAATGCAAATAATTTCACTCTCTTTGTTAACAAATTCTCAGTACAATCAGTGCGATTCCACCACTCACTACAAATAATTAATATTAGCACTACACATTACCTTTTTTTCCATTTCCTACTACTACACTACATTACTACTGATCAAATCAATCAAAAACTACTTATAGTTTGTTAGTTAGTTAGTTAGTTAGTAGGTCTTTTTATAAGTTTTGTTTTGAGTGTGTTGGTGTGTGTTTGTTTGTCAGGATTAAAGGTGTGATCACATTATTATTATTAATAATTTAACAATTAATATTTAAAACAAGTGTGTGAGGTCTGCAGCCACGGCAAGGCTCACTCATAAATAACAACACATGCTCTTAATTAATCATTTCATTTCATTCCAAAACCAACCAGAACTTTCTTGTTTATCTTTTGTTGTAACATTACCTTTTTAATCATATTTATTTATACATTCTTGCTATATTATATTGTACATCAAAACAAACATCGACACAACATTCTATCACAAAAAGTATTTTTTTATCCATAATATTGTCATATTAGTTAATTCAATCATTTTATTTATTCTAAAATCTACCAGTACATCAAAACAAAAAAAAAAAACATCATCATACATAACAACATTCATCCAATCAAAATTTATATCTTTTATTATTATTAATATTGAATATTATTTATACTAATTCGTATTTTACACATTATATTGACTTTATCTATTCACTCAGTTCTCTCCAAATTTTGACAACATCATCCAAAAGAGAGGTAAGTTTCAAAACAATCAATATCATAAGATCAACTAGCACCACACACCACACAACAATCATCATTTTAATGCACCTCTGGTGTTGTGTATTATAAAAAAAAAAAATCTCATTTGTGTGATCATTCTTGTTCCTAATACACCCAACTCATAACATTTTTGGAACATGATATTCAGCAACATGCAGACAGACATACAAAATATTTAACTGTATTTAAATCTACATTGATGATTATTATTATTATCCTAGTGATCAATAGTATACTCTTTTGTCAATCAATTTATTTTGATTCTGAGCACTACCACAACCACTTTTATATAATTCTATCAACTTTTACTACACTACAACAATCATTCATTCACTCATTCAATCAACATCAATCTAAATCTATATTTATTAATCAATTATAATATTATAATCGAAACATAATATTACCACATTGGAGAGTAGATATAAATATTAAAAAACAACAATAATAATAATTTTGTTAAAATAATTTTATTTATATGTTGATGTTTGAATTGCGTTGTTATTGTTACTTGTTTTTCAATTGATATTAAAAGTATTAATAGTATTTTTATAAACAAAAATATATATTGGGTTTTGATCAAGTTAATGCTTTCACGCTTCAAATTAAGACATTTATTGATCAAACCTATACCTGTACACAGTTTTTATATCTGTTTTCAAAACACACCTAAAAAAGGAACCAACAAAAACAACAACAACAACAAAACAATCAAAACCAAAAATATAAAATTCTATATCTTTAATATTCTGTTTCAAAATCAAAAAGTTTCAAACAGAATTATATACTCAATTAGTACAGCTACTACTTAAAATCAATCGGATATTGTGAATAAACACGTATTAGCTACATAGTAATTCCTAATTGATTTCATCATTTTATTTTATTGTTATTGTTATCGCTGCTGCTGTTGTTGTTGTTATTAATAACTAATAGTTACTATATACAATTTGTAAAGCGAGCACACTCCACTCTTTCACCATCAATCATCAATTAAATCAATTTAAATCTTAATCTCATTACCTGAAATACTAATAATTCTTTTCTCCTTTCTTTTTTTTCTTTTCTTTTTTTTTTTTTTCTTCTTTCTTTTCTTACCATCTTATCTATTCATCACTTCTTTTTTTTTCCTGCCACCTATTATAACAACAATACAGGTTTAATAATTAATTAATATAATAATTTCAACAACATTATTTATATTTTTTAATTTACAATCAACTTTAATATATATTTTTTAAACTTGTACAATAATATAACATACTTTTATAATAACTATATCCACCAATCAACATCAAAGTAACTCAAAGTAGATTTTTGAAAAGAAAAAAAAAAAGAGACAAAATGGGAAATATTTGTTCATCATCAACAGAGGGCGCCAAAGCCAACAATGACATCAATATGCAAATTGAAAAAGAGAGAAAGAAGAAGTTTAATGAAGTTAAATTATTATTGCTTGGTGCTGGTGAATCAGGTATGTAGTTTCTTTTTATTTGTTTTTTACTTTTTTAGAAATTTATATTTATATTGTTATTATTTTTAATTACACAGGTAAATCGACCATTGCTAAACAAATGAAAATTATACATCAAAGTGGATACAGTAATGAAGAGAGAAAGGAATTTAAACCAATTATATATAGAAATATTTTGGACAACATGCGAATCCTTTTGGATGGCATGACCAGAATTGGAATGAGTATCGATCCATCCAACCAAGAAGCAGCCAACATGATTAAAGATTTAACTTCATTACACTCATCTCTCACCGCCGAGAATTGGAGTGAACTCAATGAGGATCAAGGTAAACAAATTAAAGCATTATGGGCCGATCCAGGTGTCAAGCAAGCAATGAAGAGAGTATCGGAATTCAGTACACTCCCAGATTCAGCACCCTATTTCTTTGATAATATCGACCGTATGACTTCGCACGTCTACACACCAACCGACCAAGATATCCTACACACTCGTGTCATGACCAGAGGTGTCCACGAGACCAACTTTGAGGTTGGTAAGATCAGATTCAGAATGGTAGATGTCGGTGGTCAACGTAGTGAGAGAAAGAAATGGTTGTCATGCTTTGATGATGTCACCGCCGTCGTCTTTTGTGTTGCCTTATCAGAGTACGACCAATTGCTCTACGAAGATAACTCGACCAACCGTATGACAGAGTCACTGAGGGTATTTGGTGATGTCTGTAACTCGTGGTTCATCAACACACCAGTCATTCTCTTTTTGAACAAGTCCGATCTCTTCCGTGAGAAGATCAAGACCATCGACCTTTCTGAGACCTTCCCAGAGTACAAGGGTGGTAAAGACTTTGACCGTGGTGCCAACTACATCAAAGAGAGATTCTGTCAGATCAACAAGAACGAAACCAAGAGCATCTACACACACGTCACTTGTGCTACCGACACCGACAATATCCGTGTAGTTTTCCAAGCTGTCAAAGATATTATTTTCACTCAATGTATCATGAAGGCTGGTCTCTACTCATAAGCCAATTACATCGCTAAATTGGTATCAATATACTTGAACTATATTGATAGTCGTATTATTAGATATATATCAACTCTACACATCTTATAACCAATTTTTTTTCTCCACCAACAATCAACAACAATATTCATATCTTTTTTTTTTCCAAACTCCTCCACACCAACCATCAACTGTATACAGAGAATAACTATTTATATAACTAACAACAACAACAACAACAACAACACAACTCATATATATAATATATTTTCAGCATTCCCACGGAACAACAATAACATATAATGCCGCACCATGATGACTATTCATTGATCAACAACATGGTATCATCCATCCTGATAACAATGATATCATTTAATTTAATTTATAGATTTAATCCTACCTACCACCTTGTAACCAACAACAATATACACAGTACTCAATTTCAACTGAAGTAGTTGGCGTATTGTTTTTTTCTTTTTACCTATCTTTTTATGATAGTAATAAAATTTAAAAAATTTAAAATAATTTAATTTTTTTTTTATTATTGGTAGTTTTTTTTTTTTTTTTTTTTGAATTGATTTACTCTTTTAGAATGGTAAAAGTTGAAGCAAAAGATCACCCAAGCTGATTACGCTTATTGGTTTTCTAGATTCAGAGCTGTCTACTACAAAGATACGGTGTACTTGGTTGGTGTAGATCTTTGTCAAAGCAGATTCAAATGTTTCGTCCTTGATACAGAAGATGGCGTGACGTGGTCTGAGTGTCTTTGCATCCTTCTTGAGGAACTCCAAGAATTCAGAGACTGGACGGTAGAGCTTCCAGAATAGTGAACCATCGGTAGCCATTCCCTTGAGATCTCTGATGGAGAGGGTGTCAACGAGCTGACCGCTCTCAGAGAGTACTGCCAAACCAGTGACATTGTGATCTTCCATGACCTTGAATGCATCGATTGTCAACATTGTCATTGGAACACTAACTACATCGGCTTCGCTACAAAGACCACGCATGTTCTTGATCAAGAGATCCTTCTTGGCACCCAACAGGCTGAGGTGTTCATAGACAAACTTGATCAATTGAGATTGAGTCAAGATGGAAACCAAATGACGGTTCTTCATGTCATCCAAAATGGCAATGTGATGGGCATGTGGATCTCTGGCCATGATTTCTACCACTGAGAACAATGAGTAGTCCTGGGTAATTGGATGGAATTTGTTCTCTCTGGTTGGGAAAGACATAACATCATTGACCTTTAACTTTTGGAATGCCTCTGATTCATTGGTCATCTTCCAGAAGTCATGTTCAAGTGACATCTTTTCCTTTCCAAAGTGTTCATTGACATATTTAACGATATCAAACAATCCAAGGAAAGAAATCCATTTCTTCTTGTCTTTTTGTTTATAAACAAATAAATTTATTAGTAAATCTTATTAATAAAAAAAAAAATTATATATTTACCAGTTGTTAAAAATACAGGAACTGACATAAATCTCTTATCAGATAAACCTTTGAAAACTTTACAAAGATTATCATCTCTTTGAGCAGAGAAAATGATTTCATCTCTTGTCTTGATTGACATTGCTTTGGTGTGGATCAACTTTAATAGCAATTGACTTCCATCATTGTTTTGTAGCATAGCATCATTGTTGATCATAGCATCCTTTGTATGAACTTGCTCCTTCTTTGTTTTCTTATGTTCTGTTGCAGTTGCAGAATCTCCTTTTCTCTTATGATCTTCCATTGTTGTTGATTAAATAAAAATAATAATTAATTTAAAGAAAGAGTTTGAACAAGAATTATTTATTTATAGAAAAATAAAGATAGTAGATTAAATAATTATAAAGAAAAATTATAATTAATTTTATGAATATGGTTTGAATTGAAAGGAAAAAGAAAAGAGTTCATACCCATTGTTCTAAAGTAATTTATAGTACGATTTTCCAAAATATAATAGGAAATAATTGAATAATAATTTGTAGTACTGTTGTTGTTTACAAGTAACTTGGAAAAATGTTCTTTTCCAATAAATTCAAAATATCAAATAGCTCCAAACATGTTGGATGGTATACTTTAATGAGTTACTATAGTCGACAAATGGATGGGTTAAGTATTATTGCTGAACAACAGCATCAAACACGAGCGCCGCTGGTAATAGATTACGAATCAAAATAAATGAGATAACCTTAATTAGAATAATTAGATAAAAGATCTTAAGTTGTGTGAGTTGTTGAACACCACACTCGACACATTTACAAACTGTCGGCAAGTGTGGTTTGGGGGTATCATACAAATAACCCAATTATAATAAAAATTTGTTAAACACCACGTAATGATACTATTAAAAAATAAATTAAAAAAATCAATTAAAAATTATTAGTAAAATAATAATTTTAATGTTTGATAATTAAATGTAGCAAATAAAAATCAAATACACATATTTTATTAAATAAAATTATTATTATTTATATTATCCAAAAATAGTTTTTTTTTTTTATATTAATTTTGCATATTTAATTTATTTGGTTATTATATAATTTACTACCCCCCATAAACATAATCATCGCTCATTTAATTAATTAAATAATAATAATAAATAACAACAATCAATAAGAGTAAAAAAAAAAGTTAACAAAATGGAGGAGCCAATGAATAATACAACCACCACCTCTACCACAAACAACAACAACAATGAACAAAACAACTCGAACAATGTAATTGAACAAACAGAGCTTGAAATTAAAGATACTAAAGATTCACAAACGAGTAGTGATGTTCAAAAACAACAAGATGTGTCAACCACTACTAGTAGCACAAAGTTAAATGAAGATGAATACGAAGAGATTGAGGGATATAGATACATGTTAATCATAGACTCTGATGACTCCACTGCAAGAGCATTCGATCAGATTCTCAAAGTATTCGATAAGGATAAAGATGAGTTCTATCTCTTAACTGTGTAAGTTTAATTTAACAATCCGCATGTATGCCTTTTAAAGTAATAATATCTAATATATTTATAAAGTACATCTTCTTTGGATTATTTGAATGATGAAAAGAACAATGCAAAGCTAGCTCTATTTAAGTATCAAAACTATCTCGATATAAAACATGTATTTATTTTTAAATTATATGATTCTGTTGAAGCTGTTATTAATTATTAATTATTGTTTATAGATTGATTACATACCTATCAATGCAGAGTCACTTAATATATCGTCACAGATCGTTTCAGAGATTGAAGAGAATGAAATTGATATAGTATATATTGGTGCACAAGCATTATCAAAAGACGCCAATCCTGATAATATGCTTTTTACATTTTTCAGTTTTATTAAAAAGTAAGTTCACCAATACTTTTAATATGTTGATAGGTTTGCTAATTAAAAATTTATAGAACCGTTTTAGGTACAATCGTTTATGGATTAGAGAGATCTTCGAGAGGTGCTAAATGGAAATTAAATGTAGTTCAGTAGTATTCTTTTATTATAAAATGAAATCATTCAATATAACATAATAATTATTATTGAAGCATTAAATTCTTGTAATAAAAAGATTTGTAAATTATTTGTATAGAATTTCTTTTAATAAATGGATATGTTAAATTTTATTTTATTTTACACAATTGAAAGTAATAATAAGACAGAAATCATCATTATTATTGTTAGTGATGAGGTCAAAGTTAAAGATGCAGAGTTTAATGAATCTGTTGGAGTCGGAGTTGGTGGAACATAGTCATCACATAGCGTAAATTCATTCAGCTTAATTGGAACCTCTACATTGGGTACTTGGAATGGTATGTCTTCACCTACAAAGCTTGGGAAATATTTAGAGTAGGTAGTGTTTATAGCTTGGTAAAAATCATTGTATTTGTTATCTTGTTTCAATGCTGCTCTAACAATATCCCCAATTCCACCAAGAATAGCGACAACACCTGTAACTTTGGTATCCCATGAGAGAAGAGGAGCAATCATTGTACCGTTGGAGGATCCAGATTCTGTTGTTCCGTAAGGGCCTTGCATGCCTGGTGCCATCAACATATTATGGTACCATGTCAAACCAACACTGTGATTGGCGAGCAATACAGGGAAAGCACCGTATGGAGTGAAAAAACCATACTCTTGAATTCTGGCCATTGCAAGATCACCGATTCCGAAGCCTGTGATGTAGTTATAATCACCACCTGTAACATTTGGTTGATAGGCAGCACCATACATTCCTGGATACTTATTTAGATAAGAGAAAATGGTTCTTGCTTTCTCATTGTTTGATAAAAGTCTTTTCTGAACTGGAATATCAGTGTATGGTGCCATTAAATACTGTATATTTAGCAAATGAGAGTTCTTTGTTAATATCTATCTTTAAACATAAATAAATTTGTTCAATTTAATCTCTTACCTTCCATGATTCATGACTAGAATAAGTGTAACCAAGTTGATATGTAAGATCACCAAATGAAGTTTTATAGGTACGAGGTCTTACTGTAGTTGTATCCCAAACCTCTTGTCTGAATGTTTGATTGGACCACTTACCAAATAAGTAACCAAACAACTGGAATAGTTCACCTTCGTATGGATCTCCAAGGAAATATTCACTATCTGATTTGTATTGAATATTTTTTGGTACATCTGATACGTTTGAAATTACACTTGAACCTGAGTATGCAGCTACAGTTGTATTAAGGAACACCTGATTGACATTGGCCGCTAGTAAATTAAAGTAGGTACGATAACGATTTCCAAGATTAACATGATCTGGATATTTTGTTCTCAAAAGATATTGAACGGCATAGATACCCCAAATCATTTCACCATTGTCCAAAGACGGAACTGTATCACCAGTAGTAGAAGGACCAGAGATACCTGTGTCGCTAACACCGCACCACGATACAAAACCACCATAACCTGGGTACTGAGTATTGAACTTTTCGAGAGTGTCCATCTTACGGTACAACATCACCAAGACATTATCTAAACGTGGGTCACCAGTGTTGATTTTTGATTTTTCTTGGGTGGTCATTTCGATTGGTATGTGGAAGAAATCAAGGGGATCATATCCTTCGGCAGTCAAACCATTCAATCCAATAGCCAATACAGAAAGATGCAGAGATTCCTTACTGGCAGCGGTATATTTTCTTGGTTGGGATGTAATATTTCCAGTAGTATAGTTTATTCTATTGCCATCAATTGTGAAAGCAGAGTTTATATTTAAACCAACCAGGTGTTGATGAAACTAATAATTTAAATTAATAATTTTTTTGAGCCTCTATTTTTTTTATTTCTTACATTTCCTTCATAATGAAGATATGATTTTGCAAATTCTTTTCTTGCATCTGGATGATTTAATAAATCATCAACAGTATATTTCTTTGCAAATCTACAAGTACCATTATAAATGGTATCATTCCATGCGGCACTAGTATAATGAATAAATACAAACAATGAGAATATTACAAATAAATAATAGTTTCTCATTTTTTAGTTATTTGTAATCTACATACAACTTTTAATACAAAAAAAGTTTTTTGATTTAGTGTTTAGACATATGTGGATGTGGGTTAACGTCAAAATATATAAACCCAATTTATTTATTAGATTTATTTGCAATTTTGGGTTTGGGAATTTTCGGATGGTTTTAGACCTTGTTTTGCAATGCTCGTTCTTTCACAAATAGAGGGTTTTTTTTTTTTTTTAGTTTTGAGATTAAACCAAACAAAAAAAGACCAATATGACAGTTGCACTGGAAAAATACATCAGATATTATTTCAAAAATTTTGATTTACTATTTATTTATTTAAATTATTTATTCGACTTCCATGAGTGAAGATGAGGAATCACCAGTGGTTTCTTGAGCTGGTGGTTCATCTGCAGTATCGCTTCCGTTTGTGGGATTGGTGTTGATTTCTTCCATTTCTTGGTTTGAGCTGGGTGATGCAGCTGCTTCGGCACGTGTAACGATGCTATTTGATGAAGAGGACGATGCAGCAGACACACCGGTGGATGTAGTTGAGGTGTATCCCACGTAACTGTTCTCTCTGTTACTGGCAACACCCAAACGAGTGCCAGTACCGACCATACCTGAGGAACGAGCATTATACCAACTGCTCGATTCGTAACCATTGCTATTACCATTGGTTTGTGGTGGTGGATTGGTAGCAACTAAATCTGCAACGGAATCTTTGAATTCTTTGATACCATTGTTGAGATAGAAATCTGGGTCTTTGGTGTCACGACGACGATAGAACAAAACGTAGGCGGCATCAGAGACAATGTGAGATGGATCGACATTGTGTGTGGAGCTGTCGTCAAACTTGATCCATTGATTCTCAAGATCGTTGAGTCCATAGGCGGTGTAATGACCACCACCCAACGAACCGTAGTGATTAGACACGGCAAAGAGATCGTAGAGTGGTGTTGATCCTGGTTTCAGTACGAATCTGGAGAGATCCAATCCTTGCAATGGGAAGTTGACAAGGGTGTCCAACTTCTCACGCCATTGCTTCTTGTAGCTGAAACGCTTGAGGTGAATGACTAAAATTGGTGGGGCAGACCAGATGTCAAACTTCTTTGTGGCACGTTGATGCTCTTTGCAGGTGCTGCAATACCAGGGGTCATCTGGACCGAGCTGCTCGACAGTGGTGAACAACTCGAGACATTGCTCAAGGGTGAGCTCTTTCTCGGCAGAGACATCACGATGGAAAACATAGGGTGGAACAGAGTGTTGAAGTTTCTCTGAATCAAAGAAGTAGTCGAAACTCTCTTCGTCCCATTGGAGTATAATCGAGTCGAAATTGACTGGATTAAATTCGAATTCCTTTCTTTCATACTTGTGGTCTGGTGCCATTTGGAAGATGAATCTTGGATCCTTAGGTCTCTTCTTCATGACTTGATGGTAATTGCTGTAGTGGTCGGTTTGACTATATCTTCTGTAAGGATCATTCTCATCGCCTTGTTGTTCCTCTTCGTTTTGAGGTGCCAACTTTTCATTGCTGCTGAATACATCTCTAACCTTATCTAAATCCTTAATTAAACTAAAATACAAAAAAAGATTAATTTTCGGTTGTCCCAATAGAATTGCAAATTGAATTGCTATACATACTGTTTCAATCTGTCAATAATATGGAAGTACAATTCCTCTACGTTGTTCAACTGTTGGGTTGGTACAGAGAGAATGAATGGGAAATGATTAGAGTAGGATGATGTCTTCATTGTAACCTTAAAGTTTACGAATTGCTCTGGGTTCTTTAATCCTCCTTGGATTTCATAACTAAAGAAAGTAAGAGAATAAAATTAATATCTTTTTTTCCAACACCTTTCTAATTTTCATAAACTTACACAACAATTGTATCTCTGTTACCAATGATATCAACACATTGAGTTGGCTTGTAAACCTTTTGAATGACAGACATTGATTGCATGGTTGCAACGAGACGCTCTGGTTCGACATTGACTTGCTTTGAGACAATATCGAGAAGCTCCTCAAATACACCGGTCTTTGGCATCTCAACCTTGACGGGTGATGGTGCGACACTGCTGTCATATGGTACAAAGACAATATCAAATTGCTTACGAACATTGACTGGAAGTGGCAATGACAAATACATGAATGGATCGAATGTGATACTGATCTTACCACAGACTGGACAGACAAGACGTGACTTTAGTTGAGATTGGAACCAATCTACAATGACGGAATCGTTACGTGCCTTGTGCATATCCCATTGTTCCTTGGCGATGACTTCATCTGGACGGTTATCGTAGTCTTTACCCTCGATGAATGGCTTCTTCTTTACCTTGTTGAGATCTTCGTGCAAACCATCCAACAAGAAAGCCAACAACTCTTGGGAGTCGTGTTGATGGTATCCTTGGAACTGTGGAGCGAATCTTTCGATTTGAGACTTCAATTCTCTTGGACCGGTCGAGGTAATATCACCACGCCAGAGTTGTTTGATCAACTTGGCGTATTCAATAGCGAGATCACCATGACAACCCAATGGATTATCTCTATTCAAATCTTGATTGTGCTTATCATTCAACAAATATCTTGTCAATGGTACTGTATTACTCAAACACTAAAGTAAATAATCATAACAAATTAGTTTAATCAATCATAATTACGTTGTACTATCTCACAATTCACTTACTTGTAAAGATGAATTCATAAAGCAAGTATTACCAAGATTGTCTAAACCAGTGACACCTGGACGAGGTGCACCTGAACGTGAATTGTATCTTGATGAATAACTATAGGTATTATGATTTTTTTCTGGTGGCCATGAACCATCTTCCAGTCTTTCATCCAAAAGGATCTATTTAGTGAATAGTGTTAGTTTAAATAAACTATATTAATAATATCATTGTTAAATTGAACTTACAAGTTGGTTTTCAACCAATTTAGAGTTTGAAACGTATTCAGTGTTCTTCAACTCTGCATATTTGTTGTTGTTATAGTAATCCCAAACTCTTACATCTGCTGGATTAATATCAAATAGTTTACATACTCTCTGTTAAATTTAAAAACAAAACAAACTTGTTAGTTTCATTTGTTTTTTTTTTTTTTTTTTTTTCTATACATACATCTTTGACAGAGGAAATAGTTTCAGATTTACAAACAAAATGCTCAATAATTCTTGTTGGTTGTGAAGATTTGAAAAACTTCAAGCACTGTGGATACTTGTAGTCGATCTGGAGTGAAATAAGGCTTTTAACAACCTTTCTGACTATAATGGTTGGACAGCCGTATGACTTTAAAAAGTAGTCCCATGTTGACTCTGGAACAACAACAAAGTCTTGATCTTCGGTGGCGTTCAATCTGAGATGTGTGGTGTCAGTGATGAGCAAAGTATCGTTGATAATGGGACCGAGCTGCTCCGGTGAGTACATGTTTGACTCCCACTTGTCAAACCATGGTTTGCAAATGAGATACCACTTCTCACCCAACTTTAGTGGTGCGGTCTTGATCACTTGTTTGATCGCGTTGTTCTTCTCTTTGCGCTCCTGTTCGGTGAGTGATGCATACTCATTGTTGCTGTCAATGACAACACCATTGGCGGCCATCGATGTTGTAGTGGTTGTTGTGGTCGATGCATCCTCAGTGTTTTTAGTGCCACCTGTTGTTTTCTTTGAGCCTGAACCGACGCCGGCGTTCTCGTCGTCGTCTGCCGGCTGGTCACCGTGGACATCGACACCGTTTGGCTGTTGGGAGCTACTCGACTCGACGACCATGTTGTTCTGCTCCTCTACCTGCTCGCCATGCTGAATCGAGTAGGAAGAGTTGGACGAGAATGTCGGAGAGGGTTGTGGTGATGTGCTCGAGCTCATCTCGACAAACGAACTATCCGATTGTATGTTGACAAATGAAGATGCACTCTGTGGTGAATCTACAGCTTGGTTGGTGTTACCGGGACTCTCTGTCATTGCTTCCGCTTCTATCTTTCGCTTTTTCAGTCTACTACTAATACTAGTCTTACTTCTCTTACTATTACTCTTTGTACTTGTACTCTTTTGATCTGAAAGCTCCTCTTGTTGCTGTTGAACTTCCTCTTCCTGCTGCTGTTGCTGCTCTTCCTGCTGCTGCTGCTCCTGCTGATGATATTGCTGTTCCTTCTCTTCCTTTCGAGTAGTACCGGTAATTTTATTCGTCTTTAAATGAATATCTTTAACTGTTATTTTTACACCTTTATCTTTTTTTAATTAAAAAATAATAACAAAAATTAGTATAATTTCAACTTTTTTTTAATAAAAAAAAAAAAAACAAAGTTACTTTTGTGGAAAAAAAACAGATAAATAAATACTATTTATTTTTAAAAATTGTATTATATAATTACAATATTAAATAGCTATATAGTACAATTTTTTTTTTTTTTTGATGTTTGTTGATAAACGATAAATAATACAAAAATGGATGAAAGATGTTATTGATTATTACTTAATTAATATATATTTATATGTATATATATTAATTGCGATAAATAATAATAATAATAAATAATAAAATAATAAGAATAATAAACTCTCTTGTTTCAATCTAACGTGAAATTAAAATTTCAAATTTAATTAAAAAAAAAAAAAAAAAAGATCAACTATTTTTGTTTTTTTTTTTTTGGTTTTTTTCCTCACTAATCACGGTGAAGGTGCAAGAAAAAAAAAAGAACAGTTTTTGTTTGAAAATATTTTTGATAATGAGATGACCTGAAAGATTAAAAAGTTGTTTGACAATGAATAACGACTCAGAGTGAGCCAAAATTATTATCAAACCAAAACAAATTTAAAGATCGCCTGTGAATCTATCTTTAGATCTTACAAAGAATAATAATATTTCTTTGTAATTCAAATGATGTACTCTTTACAATATGATCATTCCATCAAAAAGTTATTAAATGATTGATTTGAAGATGACTAATAAGACGATTCATTATTATTAAATTCCAAGAATTTTTTTTTAAAAATATTTACTTTTAAAAGTTTTATATTGTTATCCAAATTTATCTATCTCTATGAATATGTTGATATTTAAATATACGATAATATATAATTCGAATGAATATAATAAGAAATTGATTGTTTAATAAAATAAAAAAAACTAAAAATTAAATTAACAATAAAAATTTAAATTTATGTAGTTGTTTGAAATTAAAAATTTATGTCGTTGTTTGAATTTATTATTGTATTGATATTATTGCTATAATGCTTTATTTCAATTTATTTATTTTTTATTTATTTTTATCTCGTTTTCGTATGACATTGATTGTACAATCATCAAAAATCATCACTGATATTTATCTATTCTGTAATGCAGACTACTATTCTACAAATTCTATTCACCCACACCACCACTACTTCTATCTCTCCTCTCTCTCTCTATTTTTTATTCTACACATAGCAAGTGTGTTAAATTATCATATAAATAGTTTTGTGAATATTGATGTTATATTGAAATCGACAGAATATTAAATATTATGAATGACAGTCATTATTAATTACATAATTTCATTCTCTTGTGCTGTGCTAAACATTGAATAAAACAAGACTGATTATAAATACAAAAAACAATGATTGATAATATAAGATTTGAAGATGTCCAATAAATAAAATAAAATAAAATTAAATAAAATTAAACAAAATAAGATATGATTGTTGTTGTTGTTGATGATGTTTGTAAGATTACACTTACTTAATATATATTTTAAATATATTAAATTTATAATAAAACTTTAAAAAAAAGATTGATTGTTCAAAAAGTTATTTTTTTTTTTGTTTTGGACAGTTGATCTTTTTTCATGTTTGAAGTTCGCTTTTTTTTTTTTAGTTCTGCCTGTAAACAAAGTGTTGTTGGTTAAGATTGCTTTTTAGTTCCATTGAAGTTGACCGTCAACTACAATATTGGTTCGTCCACCAACCCAAATCTTGTCAGTCTCAATTTCAATGTGTAGTTTAGCATCGTGACCAATTTCTCTGCCCTGCGATACAATGTAACCTTTGGCAAGTGGGCCGTTTGGCTCTGAAAACGCGATGTATGCACCGATCAAACCGTTGGCAGCACCAGAGGCGGGATCCTCGACGATTCCAATACCGGCGGGAAGTGCACGCACTACAATATCGTACTTGTCGTCTATGTTGGATGCTTTCGATTTTCTCGCGAATACACATATTCCCAGAGTGTTGGAGTCTTTTGCCAAACTGAGTATCGAGTGGTGGTCTGGTTTCCACTGTCTGAGTGATTCTTCGCTGCTGCACTCGGCTATCCACCAATGTCTGCCACCCTCGATGAGAGCCGGTGGCAATCTTCCCATTTCAATGCCGAGAAGTGCTGGCGCCAACAGTGGATTCGCATCGACACCTGTCTTTATAACTCTTGCTTTTGGTGACTGTAACATTAGAATGTCGCCGGTGATACGAATCGGAAGCACACCGGCACCGCACTCTTGGTAGATTGTGAGTTGCTGCTCTGACGAGGAGATTGCCTGTACAGCGTCTATATACAAAGCGGTGAACGCCGAACCTATACTTGGATGACCGGCAAAAGGTATTTCTTTGCCTTCGGGAGTAAATATTCTAACTTTATATGAGGCATTTGGCTGTGTTGGTTTGAGCAGAAAGGTAGTTTCCACCAAATTTGTCCATTTCGCAAATCTAATCATCTGATCATCTGTCCAGGCAGTTGCATCTGTTACCACACCCAAATGATTACCACCCTGTAGTCCATTAGAAAACACATCCAAATGTAAATATCTTACTTTTGGTAACATTGTATATATAAATATACAACTAATTAAATATATATTTTTTGAAAAATAAATTAAAAAAAAAAAACAAAGTTATACAACTTAATTTTAAGAAAAGGAATGAGATATTAGGTATTCTTATTGCTACCTTTTTTATTGGTCATTAATAAAATGGTGTTACGATGGTGGGAAAGGGGGTGAAAAAATTAGAAGAAAAAAAATCCAAGTAAAAATATTTTAACTCCGAATTTTAATTTAGGGTGAACAACAAAGAAAATCACACACAATTTTTATTTATTTATCATCTTTGCGAGTTGATAACACTTTTTCATTTGATTGGATATCGCTGCATCTTTTAGTTTATCAATGTCAATCCACTGTGTTGCTTTCTTTGATTCTTTGCTCGATTTAGTGGTTTTGGTTGCAGAACGAGTTGTTGTTGTCGATTCAACACTTACTTTGTTGACTACCAGTGTTTGTCTTATATGCGAGAATATATGAACGGTTGTTCCAATCGATTTAATACTTTCAATCTTAAAGAGATCGTTAAACTCTCTTTGAATACTGGAAATATATGATGTGAATTGTTCTTCTTTTGTTTCTTTTGATTTTAGATGTTGTGGTTGTGGTGGTGGTGGTCGTTGTTGTTTTTGATTTACTTCTTTTTCTCTTTTTATTATCTTTATCTTCATCTTCATCTTCATCATCTTCTTCGTCATCATCTTTAACTTGTTCTCTTACTATCGATGGTGACTCCCATAGTGATGCTAATAATCCTGTTTCTGGTCGTTGCACTAACAGTGTCTCTTGTGTTTGTTTATTAATGACTATAAAGACATCGACTGTCTCTTCTCTTGCTTTTGCCTTGACTACTTTCCTCGGGAACTTTGTCACACTCTCGACGGGTTCATCGCTATCCGACCAACGCTCACAAACACCACAAAGATCTTCTATATCTATAATCTTTGGTTTATCATCTTCTCGTTTAACTTCTACTTTTTCTTCTTTAGTTTTTGTTGTTGTTGTAGTTGTTGTTTTTGATGTTGTTGTCGATGTAAAGTAATTGGTTATTGAATTTGCGGTTGGTTTCTTCTTGATATTATTATTCTTATTCTTATTAATCTCTGCTTGTTGATAAGCTAAGCATTGAGAGCTAACTGGACACTTGTTGCAAAGTGGCGATGTTACCAGACATGTTGTTGCGCCCAACTCCATCAAAGCCTGATTAAAATCACCGGGCTGTTCAGCATCCACTAATTCACCCGCCAATTTCCAGTGTAGCTTAATAGTTGCCGCTTTCTTTGGATTCGCACCAATCATTCGCAACCTACTAAGTACACGTATAACATTTCCATCTACAAGTGGTTCCTGCTTTTCAAATGCAATAGATAAAATAGCACCTGCAGTATACTAGATATTTAAAACAATACAACAATAATATAAATATTGTAATTAACAAATAATTAATTAGATAATAAAATAATTGTTTTGTTTATAAGAAATATATACGTACGGGACCAACACCTTCAACATCTTTCAATTGTTGTAACTTGTCTGGAATCAGTGAGTTGTTCTCTTTGACAAGCCGTGTTGCAGCCAAGTGAAGATTCTTGGCGCGACGATAGTATCCGAGACCTGCCCATACCTGATTGACTTGGTCGAGTGAAGCACCTGCCAGTTTCTCGATGGTTGGCCAATTGTCTATCCAACGATTGAAATAGTCGATCACCACACTGACACGAGTCTGTTGCAGCATGATCTCACTCACCCACACTCTATATGCAATGGTTTGTCTATCGAATCCATCTCTCTGACGCCAAGGTAAATCACGTTTACATCCTGAATACCACTTTAACATTGATTCTCTAATTGATTCTATTTCTTCATCCTTAAAATAATGTAAATCAATTGAATGATTAACTGATCTATATATACTTTCATTACTACCACCAGCCTCTATTTTAATTTTAGAAGTTGTATTTTTCTTTTTGCTCTTATTATTATTGGTTGCTATTTTCTTGTTAATGGATTTTGATTTTTTCAGTTTCCTTTCTTCTTCCGAATCAAAATCATCATCTTCAAAAACTTCAGAGTCGTCAGAGTAATCTGAGTCATCATTGTCTACATCTTCAAACTCAACATTTTCATCTTCCTTCTCTTGCTTTTTGATCTTATTATTATTATTATTTCTTTTAGATACAACCATATTATAATTTAAATAAGTGATCGATCCAAAAAAATATTTGAATTCCACAAAAAAAATATATATATATAATGACTATCAAGATTTTAAAAAAAATTAATTTTTGAAAAAAAAGGCGCCTTTCAACAAAATTATTTATTTTTATTACTTTAACTTGATTTAGAGGTATTTACAGTAGTTTTCTGATTTTTGATTTTAGAAATGACAGTGTTGATTGTAAGTGATGGGATTTCAGTTATTCTAAATAGATCTTTTTCAAAGTTGTTATCCAAAAATAGTTTGACTTGAACTGTCATGAGTGAATCTACTCCAAAATCTTTTAGTTTGGTATCTCCATTTAGCTTGGCTTTTGGAATCGATAGGAGTGTTGAGAAACTGTTGGTGATCATCTCGTAGACATCTTCGGTTGATTCCAACGATTTCTTCTTACCGGTCTCACCGACCACCAAGTGATCGATACAATGACGAATGTGCGGGTGGAAGTCGTAGATCGCCGGAGTAGTGATATTCGATACGATCGGGTTGCAATGAATCGATTGCGAGAGAATAGCTTCCAGTCCACCAAAGAACTTGGAGAGTGGCAGTGATTCGACACCTCTATGGAGGAAATACTCTTTGATACCGACGGCATCGGCAACTTGTCCCTCTCCCAAGAGTGGTCCCCATCTGATGGATTTCGAAAGCAAACCAAGTTCGTTGGTTCTATACTGACAGAGCCCGTCGAGTACCAAGTTGGCAGAGTTGTAAGCTGGCTGTGAAGCAGCTCCACTCATACCAGAGAGTGAGGAGAAAACAACGAATTGCCGAATTGGTAGCTCCAAAGCCAACGATATCTCATGGAGATTGAAAGCACCGATTACTTTTGGATCGTGTACTTTCTTTATGTTTTCCAAAGTTAGCTCGTTGATTGATAGCGCTTCAAGTATCACGGCCAGATGGAAAATAGATTCAATTGGTGGATATTTGTCTTTGAACGATGCAATTTGGGTTTGAAGTTGTTCTTTGTTGGAAACATCCGCTTGATAGAAATGAATTTTAGTTGGTCCAGTTGACTTGATTATCTTTTGGAGTCTGTTGTTTAGAGTTGATTTCGAGACTACAATTATATCGGTGGCGTTGGTATGCTTGGCCAACCATGGAACCATCTCAAGAGCAATACCATTTTGACCAGTTACCAAAACAGTGTTGTTTATATCCAATTTATAGTCAGACTTTGGAAGTTGTGATCTTTGTTTTGATTCCACAAGTGGCTTGACAATTTCCTCATCGATGGTTGAACAATCAACAATGATCTTTCCAATGTGTGTTCTGTCTCTCATTGATTTAATAGCTTCTTTGGTTTCTTTGACTTCATACACTCTGGTTGGTGGTAGTTCTAGATTTCCTTCTGAAACTTCCTTAACTATCTTTGTGGTGATACGATTGACTACTGTTGGACGATGAGTTGTCAAATATTGATAATCAACTGGAGTGTAGGTAATATCATTCTTGAAATTACCGAAATCCAATGGGTCGTTGTTATAAACGTGTGTTAAAGATAGATCGGCTATTCTTCCCCATGGAGCCATTACTTTAAAGTTGGCTGGCATAAAGTCAACTGATAACGTATTGATAAGTACATCGACACCATCACACTGCTCCTTGATGAGCTTGGCAAAGTCAGTGGTATGCGAATCAAACACATCAATTAGAATATCAGAGTATTTCGACTTTAGATATTCAATCTTATCTTTTGATCCTGCTGTTGCGTATACCTTCTTACATTTCAACCATCTGAGAATATTGAGAGCGGCGATACCAACTCCACCAGTTGCGCTATGAATCAAAACAGTTTCATTCTCTGGATCGAAATGACAGACGTTGAAGAAGCAATAATAAACAGTTCCATAGACAACAGAGAGTGAAGCGGCATCGTTGAAACTAATATTCTCTGGTTTCAAAACTGCTTCAATCTCCTTGAAGGTTGTATGCGAACCAATTGCACGAGCACAACCACCAGCCACCACTTCATCACCAACTTTGAATTTGGTAACACCACTTCCAATTCTGGTTATTATACCTGAGCATTCTAGACCGAATGGTGGATGGTAAATATCACCAGAAGACATTAGAGCCTGTGGTAGCATCTGGAGGTGGAATAAATAGTCCTTAAAGTTCAATCCGACTGCCTTAACTTGTACTTCAATCTGATTGGGTAACAATACAACCTTGTTGGCAAGTTTGTATTCAAGCTTCAAGTTTAAGCTACATTGTGTGTTTTCATACTGATTTTCATAGACAACTGAGGTGCTTAGTAATTCCTTTTTAATATTGGTTGCTCTCGACACTCTTGGTACATTCTCTACAATTTGGTAATAGTAATCACCAAGAGATGATTCATTTCTTGAGATCTGAAGAATGGTTTTGATATTGTTGTCGTCGAGTGGAGTGTCGATATCAATATGTACCACTTTCAACTCCTTGTGATCGATAAATGCAGTTCTTAGAACACCAGCTATTGAATTCGAGAGATAGTTGGAAGTTTCACAGCCTCTTGTGACAGCAGCTACAATAGGTTGTTCATCCTGATAGGTAAACAACTGTAGTAACTGTGTCAATTGGAAGGTAGTTTGTTGATAGTTTTCAACAGTTTGTTGTTCAACAGTGGTAAGGAATAGAATTTGATCAGACTCTCTTAGTATTTCAGATGAGGATTCAATCTCATTGGTATTGACAATAGAAATAGGATTGCCACTGTATTTTTCAAAAATTTCAATTGGAATTGATTGATTTTCATTGACAATCAGAGTCATTCTCTCGATTTCCCCAACTTCGTGCTTTTCAATTGGTGTTCTCTGTGAGAGGATAATGTAAAGATGTCCAAGGTCTGGAGACAATTGATTTCCAAGCTCATCGTTTGGTCCATACGATTTGGTATTATAGAAACCAATGTTCTCTGAGAGTAAATCAACCCACTCCTGTGGTTTCAGTGAATAGTGATCACGAATATCATCTTTGTAATTCCAAATTTGAGAGAAACCACCAAATGTGATATCGACAAATGGATTCTTGTGATTTGGTTCAATGAATAGCAACCATCCATTGGGTGAAATGATTTTATGGATATTATGAACGGTTGGTACAATCTCTGCCGCAACGTGAATTACCAGAGACATCAACACCATATCGTATGATCCCTCCAATAGACCTTGTTCAATGAAATCCTTTTCCAAATCCAAAATCTTAAACTTAATCTTTAGATTAGATTTCAATTTGATACCATTAGTGAGCTTCTCCTTCATTGGTGCAATAAAGTATGGTGAAACATCGGTGAATGTGTAGACTACTTCGATTTCTTCTTGACCCTCAAGAATAGCGTCCAACTGTGGAATTAAAATGTTTGTAAGTGTACCAGTTCCACCACCAATTTCCAGGATTTTGATAACTCTTTTCTCTGGTTTCTTTGATTGTTTATTGGCTTCAACCAAAGATGAAATTGCTGAGGATGCAATATGTGATGTCTGTTTGAAATAATACATCATAAATGCAGAGTTATAGATACCATGAACAACACCATCTCTAAACAATTGCTCACCATATGCCACATTTCCAATTAATGTTTCAGTTACAAACTTGATACATGCCTCCATATTCGATTTGATATTGGTATCATATTTTCGATATTCCGACTGATCATTCAACTCGTTTTGCTCCAAGAATTCTCTGTACTCTCTGAATATCTCGACTACTCTTGTGAACAGTTTAAAGTTGGAATCGCTCATTGCCAAATTTAACTTTACAAACGAATCTTCAATTGGTTGCTCCAATATCTCTTTGATATCGAATCCCGGAACATCATTGACAAATTGGTAACATAAAAACTTTACAGAGTCACAGGCGTATCCTAGAATCTTCTGACACTCCATCGATTCTGGAATAAGCGATGCAGTAACAATCTCATTGGGCTGTGGGAGTACTGAGTCCTTTGATTGGTATCTAAGCTCATAGAGCTCATTCACTGGGAATTTAATCTTTTTCATTTTCATTCTCTCGTTGGTACCAGCAGTGAATTTTCCCATTTCCAAGATCACTTGACCATTTGGAAGAACCAATTGACAATTTCCAACACAATCATAATTATTGAAATTTAACACTTTGGAAAGAAGGAATAATTGTTCTGGTGGATTTGACTCTAACTCTTTTAATACGTTAAAATTCACTCTGAGATCTTCGATCGATTTGAAAATGAATTGACGTCGATCCTCGAGAATACCAAAGAGTCCGTGTGCACAATTATCAAGTAGAGTAGCATTTAGAATGTGGGATGGAGCATTACTCGACGAGAGAGTTGAAAGTGTGGCAAAAGTAGTTCGTTCACCGATGGCAATCGATTTGACATGTTGGAATGCTGGACCATATTTTAATCCTACTCTCAATGTTTTCTTGTAGAATTCCTCTTGCGTGTAGGTTGTCAAATCACATAGATTTTTAAATGATTCAATATCTACAACAACAGGCTCGACCGAAGAGGCTAGTGATACTCTCGATTGAGCTGTCTTGAACCAATCGTCATCAGTATTCTCACATTCTTTATTCTTATTGTAGAATTGAAGCTTATAATCATTGTTGGAGAGTTTATCGATGTTTGTTTGCAGTTTTTGAGAGAATTCTGACTCGTTCAAAAAGAAAGGATTAAGGAATTCCAAATGATTGATAATAATGTCTTTCTCATGCGATTTGAAAGCATCTATAATTGCATCGATATATCCAGCACCAGGGAACAATGGTTTGTCTTTAACACGATGATCTTTGAGATATTGGTAAGGTTTTCTCTTTATATCAATGTCAGCGTGGTAAACCAGTTGTCCATTGAACAAAGATTGGTGTCCTAGGAGTGAAGTTGAAGGACCATTGGTTCTCTTGTATTTGGAATAGGGTGATTCACGCCAATACAATTCTGAATCCCACTGGTATCTTGGAAGTATGGAGGTGTTATCTCTCCATTGTTGATCCATAATATCATGATAGGTGAATTGTGTTGAGAATTCAATGTTGACACCAAGACAATGAAGAGAGGCAATCGAAGATCTGAATAATAGCAATTCATCTTTGTTTCTCTGTAGTGGAGATAGAACCTTGGCATGTGGAATGGTTTGTAGGATTAAACCTGATAAAGTTGGGTGTGGAGCTATTTCCAGGAATACATATTCTTCTAGTTTGGTATTAAGTTCAGTAAACAATGTATCGATTGTCTTCTTAAAATAGACTGGTTGTCTAAGATTTTGATATAGATAGTTGGCATCCATTTCATCCGATTTCAATTCACCAGTAACAGTTGAATACCAAGGAATGGTTGATTTCTGAGATTTCATATTGGAAAGTGATGAAAATATCTTCTTTTTAATTGTTTTTTGATGAGATGAATGGAAAGAACAAGGTGTTCTAAGGAATGTATTGAATATGTCAGAGGATTTCAATTCTTTTGACAAAGCGGTTAAATCTAATTCACTACCAGTGATTACAATGGATTCTGCTGCATTATAACAAGCAATTTCAAGGGTTGGGTATTTCTCTTGATATTTAGCTTGATAGATTGTTGAGCTCAATCCTACTACCAACATCTTTCCAGATCCAATAGTTTCATTTTGGTATAATGCTCTAAAGTGAACAATCTTTATTGCTTCTGATAATGAGATATTTCCTGAAATATAAGCAGATGTAATATCTCCAAAACTAAATTTATTGTACATGCTTTATTAATAAATTATTTAAAAAAGCAAACTATAATAGTTATTACATACCTATGTCCTAAAACAATCGATGGTTGCATACCCCAAGATCTATACAATTCAACTAAACCGACTTGGAACAAGAATAAAGATGGTTGTGCGATGATTGGTCTATGGATATCATTCGACTCACTTGCGAGGTCATTAAGTTTGGCAATGATACTGTATCCAGTGTACTCACTGAGCAGAGAATCTAACTTGTCGACAGTCGAGCGATACACTGGTTCAGATTCGTAGAGTTGCATTCCCATTTGATTCCATTGTGGACCTTGACCACAGAATACATAAATCAACTTCTTTCCAACCGAATCTTTATTTGGTAACACTCCATTGAATGCAAGTGCCTGTGAATCAAACTCTTCCCAATCTTTGGCAACGATTACCTTTCTAACTGAATGATGTGATTTTGTCAAAGATTGATAGAGTGCAAACTCTCTCAGTGAGACTCTATTCTGACTTTCTTTGATTGCCTCAACATATTTATTATTTGAAGTAGTACAATTACCACTGATTGGTATCAAAAATGGTTTAGTTACATTTTCAATTTTTCTTTGTCTAATAATAAATTATTTTGAAAAAAAATTAATATTCAAAAGTTTAACTATTAAAATAGAAATATATGTTTATAACATACAATTGATTATCAAAACTATTATTTCTATATTCTTGGAGGATGATATGACAATTGGTTCCTCCTATTCCAAATGAATTTACACTCATCAATACAAGTCTGTCATTTGGAAGATCTTCAACCTCTGTAACAACTTGGATATTCGATTCCTTGAATGGAATTTTTGGATTTAGTTTTGTTAATTTGATGTTTGGAACTAACTTTCTATTCTTTAACATCAGTGAAACTTTGATGAAAGATGCAATTCCAGCTGCACTCTCAAGATGTCCAATATTTGATTTGATCGATCCAATCTTGAGTGGATTCTCAGGTGTATGGTTGTCAGTGAAGACATCGGCCAGTGCCTTTACCTCAATGGGATCACCAACGATGGTTCCAGTGGCGTGTGCCTCCACATAGTAGATATCCGATGGTTTGATATTCGAGCGTTGCAGTGCCTGTTTGATGTTTACCGATTGTGTCTCACTCGATGGCGATGACATGGTATCTTTATTGCAACGACCATCGCCATTTGTGTTTCTTCCTTTGACGATTGCATAGATACGATTTCCATCTCTTTCCGCCAGCGACAAACGTTTCATAACAACTACACCACAACCTTCGGAACGAACAAAACCCTTGCCGTCAGCATCAAAAGAACGACAATGATCAGTCAACACACCGAGTCTGCTGTAACCCATGGATGACTCTGCGTCAAAAAGCGCATTGACTCCGCAGCCAAGTGCAATGTCACATTGGCCATTTTGAATATGTTGGATAGCGAGATCAGTGGAGAACAGCGATGACGAACAAGCGGTATCGATACACATCGATGGTCCTCGGAAATCAAAACAATAGGAAACACGATTGGCAATTATAGAATGTGTAAAATAGTCGGTGAGCACGTAGGGAGCCGGATCAAGTGGTGAACTTGGTGTCTGGAAATGAGTGTAACCGATGTTGGAAACACCGACAAACACACCTGTGTTGGAACCACGCAGCGATTGCGATGGAATCTGGGCATCTTCTAGTGCCTCGTAGGTCAGGGTGAGCATCATTCTCTCCTGAGGGTCGATGGCAGCGGCATCCTTTGGAGCCATTCCAAAGAAGAGTGGATCGAACTTCTTCCATTCATCTAACTCCAAGAGTCCGGCATTTACATTGGTAATCAAATTGTGTTGACTGAATGATTCCGACCATCGTTCAGTTGGAACTTTAACAATACCATCAAACGAACTGACCAAGTTGTTCCAGAAATTCTCGGGAGTTGAACTGTTGCCTGGCAGTCGGAGTCCAATACCAATGATAGCGACATCGTTATCCGATACATTATGACTATTGCTGTTGATGGGTATCATGTTGACGTCAACGTTATTTGTAGAAAGGTATTAATAAATGATGGGAGAGGAAAAGAAAAAGAAAAGAGTTGGTTGAAAAGAATGAGTGGGAAAAGGAAGATAGAGAGAGGATAGGTAGTCAGAACAGGCCAGATACTCAAGAAATATTGTTAATTAATTTGATATCTATCTCTAATATATTTAATATTAGAATCTTTAATAGTAGTAATTATATAAATAAAGAAATTAAATGATGATGTGATACGATTTAAATTTATTTAAACATGTGAGTAGTTGATGAACTAAATGAATTTAATTAATTAAACTCCTCATATTCTAAAGAGTATCATGTAAGTGAAGAGAACCAGCAAATAGATCGATAAAACTACACAAGTTGCTTCTCCCTTTAGATTGGTTGATTGATTGGTATTGTTGTTCAAATCAAAATTAATAATTCTATAATTCTATCATCTCTTTTTAAAACAAGAAATAATGAAAAGAATGATGTTACTGATACTCCAAAAAATGATATCACAACTTGGAAGTGTACAATAGATCACACCACAAGCTAAACCAAACTAACAATACTTAATACTATATTCTACAACTACCCCTACACCTAACAATCAGCAAAACAAAACAAAACAAAACAAAACCAAAAACCAAAAACAAAAACAAATTAAAATAAAATTGAAAGAGAGTGACACTGACTGATTGATATAATGATTGAACTAATGACTAAGTGATATAATCTATCTTTTTAACACTCACCTGATTTAGAATTTTTTAAAATTTAACCTCACACTTTTGTTATTCACAACCACACTTATCAGTTCTTATTTTTGATCGAAAAGATAAATCTTCTTTTTTAGTGTTTAGATTTTTTAAAATCATGAATTACAACATCAATAAATATTTTATTGGTTAACCAATAAAATCAAGTGTATATCATAATATAATGACCAACTTGTTTTGTTTACCAAACTTAACAAATCAAAAAATAATCATAAATCATAAATCACACATAACCCAATAAACACAAAATTTTAATCATTCATTAGTATCAGAACAGCATCAGAACAGCATCAGAAACACCACCGCTCTGTTTGTTCAATAAAGCAATTGTTGTTATAAATGAAGCTTATTGTTTATGGTAATTGATTGCCAAGTAAATCTTAATCTGTATTATTTAAAATTTTTAATTGAACATATTGCATTGTTACCATGATCAATTAAAAATCATGAATGAGCTAGTAAAATGACAATTATTGCAATAAATTACCACTCTTCTCGATTAATTAATTAGGAAGTTAAATAAATTTCACACTCTTTTATCATATTTTAAAAGTATTCATAATGCAAACTCTCTTAACATCTCACACTCTCAAACTTTATTGATATATTGGGTTAATTTTATAAAGTGAGAATATAACTTGAATTTAACTAACTGTTAATAAATACATACATACATTCATATTAATATGAACGAATATATGTATATTCTTTTTTTTTTTTAAAGAATTGAATTAACAATACATCATTAGTTATTTATATGTCTACAAAAATATATGTTGAGTGTTTTTTTTTATTTTATTTTGTTATGTGATTGTTTTTTTTATGTTTTTCAACCAAATGAGAATAATTTTTAAATTTTCGGTTCAAGTTGTTGAGACATTTGATAGAGTACTTCATCGTTGGCGACAGGTAATGAATCGAATGATGCTAGTACTTGTTCCGCTTTTGATGAGGGTGGTCCGAAATCGTATGGAATATACTGACAACTCTGAATGATCGAAATGATGTTGTAAACCAATTTCTTCTTTCCCCAATTGATCAATCCATCCATACTATCATTATTACCATCTTCAATAAATGTTAAATCCTTTAAATATACACCTCTGTTGTGTTTTTTAAAAATAAAAATTAAAGATAATCGGTTAGATTTTGATAAAGATCAATTATTGTTATTATTATTATTATTACTACTATATTTCGCAATACTTACAAATAAGGTATACATGGTGGTACAAGATCTTTAATTAAACTTCTAAAGGTTTTGAATGATCCTTCCATGGACATGAGTTTCTCCAAGTCCTCCAGAGATTGTTTATACTTCTTTGGTACTTTACTCCAGGAAACACGCAATCTGAGAACGGAGGAGTTGCGAATACCCGCAAGGAAAGCGGTGAGTAGATGGAAATTGTTGAGCTCTCTGAGATGCAATGCTATCTTGATGTAACGACAAATCAGTTTAACACGTGACTTTAACTTGATTTGTGCTAGGATACTGGTGGAGATTGCAAGTGATACACGATTGAATCGATCGATCATCTTTAGGAGATTGCATGCCTTGTACTGTAGCTTCGGTTTGTTCCATGCCTGATTGAGAAACTCCACCGGTTGAATACGTCTAAATGTTTCAAATTCACGGAGTGTAAGTTGCTGCGCGACAAACAACTCGTCTTCCAAGAACGCAGTAGAGATGGAAGGCGCGCGAATCACTGTTGTGAGACGTGGCACTTCTGGCATGGCGTAGGCACGCTTCTCTTTGATTGCCATGTCAATGAGACGTTTGAGTTGCGGCACCATATTTGAGTAACCATCTTCTTTCATTCGTTCAATAAACTGGTTGATTCTCTCGAGGAAACGCTCTTCCAGTCCACCACCGGATGCAGCTTGTGGTGACTGTTGTTCTAACCAATTCTTGATGAATACTATCACATGCAATTGCACTACGTTTTTGGTATCGGCCAGTCTCTCTGGCACGTTGTATCTCTCTATCAATTTGTCGAGTAGAGTATCAGAGGTGGTGAAAGAAGTGTAGGTCATCAGGAGAATGTTCATTGTGACACGATCGACATCTATGTTGTTGGTTGACACCTCGACAAGTTTGTTTAGAGTTGCACCACGAATGACGTTGGACAACTTGAAAGTGACTGGATCGACGTCAAAGAATATAGTAGTTCTATCGTTTACTTCCTCCCAGATGTTGGTTGCATTGTGTTTGACGTACTGAGGTACTACCAAGTCAGCTTCGTCGGCAAGCTCGACAAATAGCTTGTTGGATTTAGTAAAGTATTGAGTGAGCAGCGGTTGATGTTGATTGATAATCGGTCCATCGAATGAATCGATATGGAATCGACACTTTGCTTGATCGATCTTGCATTCCAGCCAATTGAGCTCGGTATCGAGTGACTCTTGTAGAGGCAGATGCAATGGGATTTGAACTTGTATAGTCTTTGTCTTGATAGGTTGTGGCACTGACATCATCAAGCTTGCAACATCGCCAACAGTGGCAGCCTTTGATTCCAACTCGTTCTCATCGGGATTGTTCGACGATGTTGATTCACCGTCCGCCGTCTCCGGACTGTTGAAGAGTGATGCATCGATCATCAGGGTGATGGGTGACGGACGAACTGCAAATCTCAGACACACACGGTTGCTAATACGATAGTGGTAAAGTGGACGTCCAGGTTCGATCCACTCGATATTCTTCTTGTCGGTGGGTGCGCCACTACTCTGGTCTTGACGATCGACAAAAATGCTGTAGTGGTCGACATTGACACTGTTCTCAGGATCGACAACCTTCTCTGAAATCTCCTTGAAGATCTTCTCGGTTTGCAACATCAAATCCAGTCTCAACTGCTCGAAACTGTCATCTGCAAACTTCAACTTGACCAACTTCAAACGAAGACGCAGAGCGACAGTGCACTTTGGATCTTTGAAAATCTCGCTGTTCACATGCAACTTTTCGAGTGGCTCCAACCAATAACCAGTTGTTCCAGTTCCAAATCCAAACGAATCTAAATACAATCCGAAATCATCGGACTCCAGAGCGTATTGACCGATTTGAGGAAGGTAAGAAGTGACAAGGTGGTCGACCAGTCTGGCGCAAGTGAGTGTTGGATCCATCGGTTCTTCAACGATGAAATTTGCTGGACATTTCGCAGATACACCCATCTCTTTGATTCGCTCCAAGTTGACGCGAACCTTCCACGGCACCATCTTGAGTGAGTACTCACGGAACTTGTCACTGGCACCGTCGTATTGCTGGTCGGTTAGATACTCCTCGTCGCGCAAGAATCTTCCGGATTCCGATGGTTTGTCGGTTTCGCGCACGTACAATCCCCACTCGCCAAGCTCCTTAAGATTGGAGTTCGAACTGGTAATCGTACGAATGACGTCGGCAGCCTGTGATTTCTTGGTAATTGGAACCAATACTTCTCTGAGAGTGCTGCTTCCCTCCTCGGGTGAACAAGAAATTAAAACCGGGAGTTTGGGATCGCTACCAACAACGGAACCTGTCTCTTCACCACCGGAATCGTACTCTATGCAACGTGGAGACAGTTGAATCTCGTCCTCGATAATCAGGGTTTCAAAAGTCGACATTTCAACTTCCAGCCTTTTCCAAGACGACGTTTCAATACCCTCACCATCGATTCTCAGTGATTTTATGATCTTGAGTATCTCGCAGTCCAAGAATTTCGTACGAACGTCTTCACGCAGTGCAACATCCTTACAACCACGAATCAAATGGTTTATTAACGACATGCAATTTACTTTGAGATCAGCAGCAAATTCACCTGCCAACGGTGCTATTATATATTTAAAAGTTTGTTGCAATGTAACCTCTGTGTTTCTTGCGAATGTTCGCAGTGATTCCATTACAACGGAGCTACCCACTGGAAATACCTTGCACAGACTATCTAAAACTTCAAATGTCGCTCTCTTTACTGAAAGACTAGGTGTTACCATCAAAGGAACAATCGTATCTGTTGTATCTGTCAATAAAATAGAATGTAATTCCAACTATTTTAATAATAAATTAATTAGTATTAGAATATTTATATTTTCTTCTTGATCTTCTTCTTTATGACATATACTTCAGATAATAATTTTATACATGATAAACATTCATTGATAACTAAATGATCATCTTCAATTTTACTATTAAATGATTTTTGGTTAGTTAAAAGTTTGATAGATTATGAATCCAATTGAATTACTATATATATACCTTTCTTTCTTTGAGAATATCGAAATCATATTTAAAATTGCATTGATACCTGAACTCTCTGCAAAGTTGATAACCCAATTGACAGGCTTCTCTGTGAGTGCCAATCTTAGTTTACTGATATCCTCAATTGTGAAAAGTGAATGTGACGTTACTCTAGCATTGTTACTTGGTCCAAGTGGTGTAATTGATCTTGGACTTCTTGGGAATGATTTACCAATGTTGGCTGAAGGTGGTGCTTTAGGTGATGACATTGAATTGGTTGATCCATTCAACTTTGGTGGTGATGATAATATTGATTTCAAATCCGATGATGAACTACTTAATTGATTATTATTATTGAAAATACCATTCTATAATTGTAATAAAAATATAAGAATGTTAATTTTTTGTTCTGTCGAAATAAATTAATAATCTTTTATAATATTTACACTTATTAAAGTTGTTGTACAATCTGGTTTAAGTCTTTGAAGGAATTGCCATTTATCCTCTGTTGTTTGGTTGAGTAGTTCTTCTTTTCTTGTTTTTGAGTAATCGAGATCCTCGACTAGCGATTCAAAGAGGTTCTGGAAATAACGATAGTGTGGTGAGGGTGGCGGTGTCGTTGAGGGTGTGGTCGATACGGACTTGCGACGATTCAACATGTTGAGGAATGACGAGGACGATCGGGAGAGATTTAGTGTGGGTGTGACTGAGGATGGTGATTGTGGTCCGGCTGGTGCCGATTGATTCGATACCACCGAGATGGACAATGGTGATTCCTGTGTGCTTCCACGACGTGGTCGCATCATGAGTTGCTCTCGAGAATTGGCAGCTGCCAAAGAGGCGAGCGATGATGACTGATTCATTGCCATGGTCGAAGCAGACAACTCAATCGATCCACTCAAACTCAGACTGGAACGTGGTGATATCGAAAGACGCTTCGGAATCGAGTTGGAATAGAGTGAACTCGAGGTTGTTGATGCGGTGTCGGAATCGCTGTCTTCATCTTCCGACGAGAATTCCTTTGAGAAATTCAAGAGATTCTTGTGAACCGGTGTTTTTGGTGCTGGTGTCTCTAGTTTCTTCTTGGTGGTGCCAGTTCCGTTGAGACTGGACAAACTGTTGCTACTGTTACTATTATACATGAATCCATTGGTGAATGCCGGTGAGCGTGATACCGGTGAGCTGTGCGGAGAAAATCCACTCTGTGGAACGGAACTACTGATGGAAGAGCAATCCTCTTCTTTAATTGAATCGAAAATCATGATTGAACTGTTGTTGTTGTTGTTGCTGTTAAGGCCACCGCTGCTGCTGCTGCTGTTGTGGAGTGTGAGATTGGAGTGTGCGTGTGAAGATTGGTTGAAATGATTGAGGAGAATCTGAACGGCATCGGTGGTCGATGAATTTTGACTGGTTGGTTCCAGCTGAATCTGGTCAAAGAATGTGTTGTTGTGAAGGGTGAGACGTACAATGTGTTGAAGGAAATCTACATTTAAAAATAGTGGTAACTCCACCAGGCAATTGTCGTGGAGTGTCAACAGGTTGAGGTTGGTGAGGAGGTTGATTTGTCGTGGTAACATCGATATCTTGTTGTACTCGAGATACAGCTTTCTCAGCGATCGACAACCCTCGATCTCAGTGGGGAGAGTCATCAGTCTGTTTTCCTGTGTGTGAAGCTCAGAGAGTCGCGATAGCTTTCCAATAGTCGATGGAATGTGTGTGAGTTGATTGTTATTTACACGGATAATAGTGAGGAGTTGGCATTCGCCAATGATGTCGGGCAGGGTTCGCAGCTTGTTGTGCTGCGCCAACAGGTGTTGTAGTTGCGAGAGCTTTCCTATGCCGTCTGGCAGTATTTTCAGTGAGTTGCTCGAGATGTCAAGGTGTTTCAGGTGGCGTAGAATCGAAAGTTCCGCCGGTAACGACTCTAAACAGTTGCCGGCAAGCACCAGTGTTGTGAGCGATCGCATATTTCCAATGGCTTCGGGAATCGATCGCATTTGATTGTCGGCAAAACTCAGGGATGTCAGAGAATCGAGCTCGCATAGATGTGTGGGAAAAGTGGAGAAACTATTGGAATCTAAAATCAAAGTGCGCAGCGCACTCATTCCAAAGAGACGCACCGGAATCGTTCCGAGAAGATTGCATGAGAGATCCAAATATTTCAATAGTGGCAATTTGGTGATTGACACTTGGAATCTAGTGATTTCATTGCCACCTAAACTCATCTCTTCGAGCAACTCTAGTTTCTCGAGACTTGGAATCTCTGCCAACTTGTTCTCTTCGACGACCAGCTTTTTGAGAGTGACCAACTCTGAGATGTCAGTGGGTAACACCTTGAGTCGACAGTTTTTGATAAAAACGGTATTGACACTGCCCGTCTGTTGTATTGCACGTATAAAAGCTGGTCCATTGACTTGTTTGATTTTAGTATTCTCTATTCTCACTGTTTTTCCATCTTTACTCAACGATTGCTCCAATGCTCTATTGGCTACTGATTTCATTTCCCAGCTTTCTCTACTATTATGATTATTATTTTATATGGTATATATATATGGAGTGAGGTTTTTGTTTTTTTTTTTATTATTTTGTTTTCAAATGTTATTTGTTTTCCAGTTTGATCTTTTTATTTTAAAAACAAATAGCTTTGATATATATTTTAATTAATAGTATAAATAAATAAATAAATATTGATAATAACAATAAAAAATATGTATAACTCTAACTATAGAAATTGTTGTTATTGTTGTTGTTGATGCCAAGCTGATTGATAATGAATTTGATTGATTTTTGATTGGTTTAATTGACTTGATTGTTTTGCACTTTAACCTATAGGAAGTGGGTGATTGTAGTGTTTTACTCTTCAGAAACTTTTATATTAAATTTTTAATTTTAAAAATTAATAAAAAAACAAACAAAAAGAGAGGGAGATCGAAAAGTGTGATTGTGTGCTCTTTTTTTTTTTGATGTTGAACGTTGTGACCCTTGATGTAAAGTGAACAGACTATTCTATTATTATTTCTGTTTTATTCTCTTTGTTATTATTACTATTATTATAATTGTTCTTTTGATTGAGTTTGTCAAACATTCAACAACAAATATTCGAAACTAACTAACTTATTAACTAAAATACCTATTATTACTGAAAACTATTGCTACAAACGATATGTATTATTACTTGATTATTCCAACTATCTATCTATCTGTCTATCTAAATTTAATTTTTAATAAAGATCTTGAATTAGTAGTCAATTTCTTTTTTTTTTTTTTTTAAATATATTGAATGATTATTATTATTAAGATATTGTTGATTTGATTGGATTGAATTGAATTGAATTGGAAACAATTGTTTTGTTGATTTGATTTTATGGATGGGTTAGCGTTTTTAGATGGCAGCCAACCGGTGATTGTTTGAATTTGGAAATTATTATTATTATTATTTTATTTTTAACTTGATGATGTTGATGCTGATGATGTTGTTACATGAAGTTAAGAAAACTCAATAATGTTAATGCAGAGCATACATAGCACGTAAAACCAAAAATAAAAATATTATAATATGATGAAATAATTTAAACAAAAAGGTAAAAGATTAATGCAAAAACAAATCAAATCCAAATCAAGAATAACAATAACTACAATAAAAACAAAACACAACCAAAAACAAAAGAGAAAAATCAAATCAAACAATCCAAATTTAAATAAATTATTTAAATTAAACAACAACAAATAACTAAAACAATCCGTGGATTTTTGAGTTGTATCATATATGATAGCCAGGAGTATCTTTATTTCCTCACTCCCTCTTTTGAACCAAAAAAACTCTTTGTTCAAAAATATGTTATTACTAATATTCTAAAAAACAATAACAGCATAACATTAATGTTAAAAAACACAAATTGAGCAACAAGTCACCCACTTGTTGATTTTAATATTAGTTTTCAATAAAAAAAAAAGGTTGGTGTTAAAAACAATCTTTGGGTTTGTGCTGAAGTAGGTTGGGGTGATATAAAAGGATGAGGAGGTAGTCCAATACATACTCATCACAACTCCAAAAACAATAGTGTGTGAGTGTTTAATTTATTTATTTATTTATTTATTAATAATGGTTTGGGTGAGCATGATGATACATTATAAGGTGTACAATACAAGAGAGTAAAAGATAGGAATGATGAGTGAGAGTGTGTGTGTGAGAAGCTTTGTGTCAACTTGGGTTTAATTTAAATAATGACATAATTGATGATCAATGTTTAAAACACATTGATGTTAGTTAAGTATACCATCATTTTTGAGGTTGTGATTATAGGATTTTGATAGGTGGTTTGGTGGTTTGCAATTGAACTGTGTTGTAGATGGTATTTAATTATTTATTTTTTTTTTAAATATCATAAACTAAATGTTGTTATTTGATTTTTGTGCTGTTTTTTTTTATGATATTCGCATATATACTAAAGAGATTACATCAGTGTAGTAAAACTTGATCCTAATTTAAATTTATATATATATATATATACACAATAGTAATGAATGATTGATATAAAAATGATATCATTTCAAGTTTTTAGTTGAGAAGTGATATGTGTCGAACAAACTTGGTCAATACCATACTATTACATTACATTACTTGTATAAACAAAATAAAACATATAATATTTGATTTTATTTCTATTTATTAGATGATATGATGTACTGAATTACTAAAATTACACTTGTATTAGATTATCAGATTGACTTGTATAGATTTATCTTGACAGATTGATGTTGTTGTTGAATGAACAATATTAAACAATAACAAAACATAATCTAACTGTTGATTTAATTTATATTTAATTAATATGGGTGTTGGGGAATATGTATGAATAAGCAGATGCTCCATCGATGTAAAGATGACTGACTTATGTATAAAACACCTCTTTAAAATCGATTAGTCTTTACTGATTTTGGTAAAATAGAATCCATTACTATAGTATTGTTATTATTGACTAGAATTTACTGAATACTAAAATCTGTATAATATAATATGTACCTCTTAAGTATCGAAACAACCTATTTAATTCAATTCCAATATACGATTTTTCAATATTATTACTATTACTATTATTGTTATTCTCAAATGGAAATTATCGATTCTTGATTGATTGATTGGGTTTTCTTGTGGTTTTAAAATTTATAATATCGTATATGATAAGATAATAATATCTTATCATTATAATTATTGGAATTGAATCAATATTATTACAAGTCCAACTTTGGTTGTTGTTGTTTTACTGTTGCTGTGTCACGTCAATCAAATTTACTCCTAACTGTTTCATGTTTTGCGATCATCATAATTATAGTTTTACTAAATTGCAAGATATTTTTGATTGTTTTTGCAGCTTATTATTTTACAGTTGGGTTGTTTTTTTTGGATATTTTTTTTGTTTTTGTATCATCTGCGACTCATCAAACAAGATGAGACAAATGTAAGTTAAATTGGGATTGATGTTTGACCAAAAGACAAAGATTTTTTATATTATGATCAAGATGATTGATGTTGATTATTATTATTGTTGTTGTTGTTGAACTAAAATTTTACCTTTGTTACAATATGATAAACTCTCTAAAACTATTTACTATTATACTTTTATTATTATTACTACTGCTATAAAATATGATTATTAAATAAATAAAAAGTAAATTTAAAATAAATATCTTGAATATTTCTTTAAAATGTCACACTGCTGTGCTGATTAAGTTGTTGGTTATTATGGTTCTACTTTGTGCCTGCTATTCTAGATAGAATACTGGTGGGTGTTTAATTAATAAATAATGTGAAATGAAATTGATGTGTTGAAATAGTTTAGAAAAACTAGTTGGTGCCAATAATTCCAATAATTACTATTGTTGTCAAAACTGCTATTAAAAAAAAAAAAAATTGAGTGGTTTTTGTTATATTTCAAGAAATTAAACTATTATTATATATATCTTTAATAGTAATTAATTAACATATTATTTGTGTGTGTGTGATTGGAGGTGCAGTGTGTTTGTTTTTTGATCAAATTAGCTTAGGTTTTTCTAACTCAATAATGTGTTTTTGTTATTTTAATGTTGTGACCGTTAAAAAAAAATTGATATATTTGTCAAAAAAGTTTGATTGATGGTCAGTCACACTACTCAATGCATTGCAAGAAAATTACGCTCAAAAATCGTGGTGGTATACCCACATTTTTTAATTAAAAATTAAACTTTTTTTTTCTAATTAAAATTAAATTGTTTTTTTCAAAACCACCCACCTTAAAATTTAAAAATGCCTTTTAAAAATTTTCAAAAAAAAAATAAAGAAAAATTTTGTTTAGTCGATCTATTTTGAGTTGATGCCATTTTCTCCGATACAAAAGATTTGTGTAACAACGAGCTATTTTCATTGATGTATCTAAAAATAATCTTTCTTGTTTTGTTGTTGGTAAGGTTGTTTGATGTACACAAAAGAAAAAAATAGCTAATAGTTCGCTAGTGCTATATGGTTGACTCTCTTGAAAAACCAACAAGAAAATATATCAAAACAAAGATTCTTTTGATAACAAAAAAGAAAAGTGAGGAGGCTCAAAACAAAAAAAAAAACAACCCAAAGATAAAATGTGATTTTTCAATCCACATACTTGGAGACAATTTTGACAATCTGATGATTAATTTTTATTTTTTGAAACAACACAATCAGGTTGAGGTCCTCTTTTTATTTGAAGTTATTAATACACAGATCTCAGCAAAGAGATTACTTTTTTTAATCAATTCATTATTCTTTCAATCAAATAAATTGGTTGATCAAGTTTATCAATCAATACAGGCAAAGTTAGACATAGCACATGATTGGACAATATACAGATTAATGGGTGCTTATTAACATTTTTGGTAGAAAAATAACAATCAGCAGTATAAAGATATTACCTATTTATACTTTTTTTATATTTGAATGCTTGATTGATTGGCAGAGAAAACAATATAATTAATGGACCAAAAGCCGCACAGGATTGAAATTTCAATATTAGAGATATTTAAAAGTACCAGGATTGTTTTATATTTTAAAACTCTAGAGAAATAGGGGTCGTTGACTATAGCTTCAGTCACCTTAGTTATTATGGTGATGTTTATCAAGAGTAAGTAATATTTGACTAGTAGGTATGAAGTTAAACAATTTTTATCATAGATGAGAACATCTTTACAATTAAAAGTGAAATTGACTAAGTTAACAATATTATATTAGTGTAGGTCGACGAATTTTTATTACAATTTTAAAATGTTGTGTGAGTGAGAATTAACGTTTCTCTTTGTGCAAGAATGTAAGTGCTAGATAACTTAAAATAAAGAATACAACAGTCCACATAACAGTAACACCGAATGCGTCTGCTCTTGTCCAGTTGTCGAGACCGAATGCCTTGATCACATCGTTACCATTGGGATATTGGCATGGTTGTGGTTCAGGTGGACATACAAGTGGACGATCTTCGAATTCGTTTACCATTAGTGACGCGAATGCATAAAAGAGAGGGTTGAGATAGTGGAGGAATGCGAATGACTTTGGGAGCTGTTGTACTGGAACAAAGAAACCGGCAAACAACTGGTAGACCACAGACAAACCGGCACCAATTGCAAAAGTATGGTCACTTGTACCTGTTAGATTGGTAAGCAAGATAATACAGAGATCAGAGAACAAGTGGACAAAGTAGAACACAAGCATCGAGAAGAAGAATCGACCAACCGACCAACGTAGGTGACTTATTGCATAGGTAATACCTGCCATAAGAATAGCAATAATCACTACAACTATATTCTCGACAGTGAGCATCGAGAGAAAGTATGGGATGGGATGGTAGATTTTCGCCGCTCTCTCTTGGTTGAACAATGCTCTACCCGACAAGAAAAGAGAAATTACAGCATAGGGAGTGAGATTGAGACCGGAAATCAAAAAGAAAATAACACCAATGATCTTCTGGATATCGACTTGTGTTTCTCCCAGACCTCCAAAGCATGCACCAAACAACAGACCAACAATAACACCAGTGATGGTTCTGGCTACGAAATTACCGGGATTACGGAGGAAATCACGGAATGCACGTTTGAGTAAAATTTGATATTGGTATGCCCATGATGGAATTCTTCGTGGCTGTTGGTCCTCGACTGGTGGCAAAGCAGCAGTGTTCACTTCAGTCTCCCAGTGTTGTTGCCATCGCTCACAGATCTCAATGTAACGAGAACTCTCTCCAATCTCAACGGCAGCATCCAAACAAAAGTCAGCTGGATTGACGTGTGGTGGTGTTGGGAAGCCAAGCGAGTCAAAGTACGAGAGGATGTCGGATCCACTGTAAATCATACGACCTTTGACAACTACCATTACCTTGTTGAAAAGTCTCCAAATCTCTGGTCTTGGCTGATGTATGGAGCAGATAACAGTCACACCCTTTGTACAAAGATTCATTAGAGTCTTCATTACAACTAGGGCATTCACCGAATCCAAACCAGAAGTTGGCTCATCCAAAAAGATTAGAGATGGATTAGTTACAAGACCACATCCAATTGAAACACGACGTTTCTCACCACCTAATAATCAATTAATTTAATTAAGTTAAAAAAAAAAATAATGATTGATATTAAAATAATAATAATTAAATCTTACCTGAAAGACCACGAAGTTGGATTCCACCTGGTAACATTCCACCAATTTTGGAACTTGCTTTCTTTGCCAATCCTATGTCCTCCAAGACAGCTCTGATACGCTCTTGTTTGTATTCGTCGGAGGCATCGGATAAACGAAGATCGGCATAGAATCTCAGAGTTTCTTCTACTGTTGCAGTTGGAAGTAGAATATCCTCTTGGGTGACATAGGAGCAATAATTTTTGTAGGCTTCTCCTATTTCCTTTCCGTTGACCAACAATTGACCTGTTATATGACCGCTACTCTTACGCTTGGCCAAAATATCAAGGAGTGTTGATTTACCTAAAATATTTATAAAAAAAAAAATGTGATATGAAAAAATAAAAAATAAAAAATAAAATTAATAAAAAAAAAAAAAAACAATAAGGACTTAATTAATTAATACAAACCTGATCCAGAGGGTCCCATCAATGCAACTAATTCTCCACGTTCAATAACACCACTTACACCATGGAGAATTGTTAATTCTTTTTCAGACTCTGGAACAATGGATTTCATCTTTTTGTGATTGAACATCTTGTAGGTCAGACTATGTTGTTTCTTATAACGTTTGTTGGTTACTTTATATACAATGTTCTTAAATGTTAGCTGTACACCATTGTTCATCTCACTTGGATGTCCAGGTGAAACACCTTCTTCCATGTTATTCATGGCAATATCTGTAAACATTTCTCCCATGTTTTTTTTTGTTTCTAAATACAAACTAAATTAATTGTAATACTACAAAAAATAATAATAAAAATTAAAAAAGATAAATAACTATTAATTTTCAAAGTTAGTCTTGAATTAAAAATCTTTGATTTGGTACTAAAATTAATTAAATTAAAAAAAAAAACGAAGTGTCTTGGTTAATTAATTACCTTTTGACTAAATTAGATTTCTTGTGGGCCACTTCGTTAAAGTTTTTATTGGGTACTATAAAAAAGTCACAATATTAAAGTTGATGAAGATGATTTCTATGATTCATTTGTAAAAAATCACTTTTATTTATAAAACTTTTTCAAAAAGTTTAATTACGAGATTGGAAATGCATTTGTATTATTATTTTATTTTTTGTAGTTTTTTTGTTTAATTAACAAATTGATAATTATGATGTTTTAGGCTAAATGCATTGTTGAATGACACTTACAACCTTAATTAAAGTTTATAGTAAAAAGGGAGCTCCTTTGACACTTGCACCCTGCAAAAAAAACATAAAAAAACAATAAATCCTGGGAGGTCCTTGTTTAAAAGTGTTGTGGTTAACAAAAAAAAAAAATCAAAACCAAAAAAAAAACAAACAAAAAAGAAAACTATTTTTAAATTAATGCATTTTGTATGGCACACAACGAAGTTGCTCTCTTTTCTCTTTTTTTCATGAGTTTCGAACAACCAATTAAGGAATTTGATGGTTTGGGCCAATTATTATTGCACCACATTGACAACATTTTTGGAAACTTCATTGTAATAATTAGTACAAAAAACTTCCGATTTCTTGATTGTCTATAAATTTCACTTACTCATGACTTACTTATTATTTGTCGAATCAAATCTTGATAAATAATAATAATAGGTTTACTTTTAATTTATTAATTTAAATTTGAATTATTTACATGATATTATATTATTATAAGTGATTAGATCTAATATTATCAAGTTACTCTTTGTTGAATGGATGCTACTCCTTTGGTGCAACATCATATCAACTGATCAGTTGTTTTTTTTTTTTTTTTTTTTGATTATTTAATCTTAAATGTACTCTTCTTTGGCTGTGGTTCATCTTTTTCCTCTTTTGTTAAATGTTGTTTGGTGGATCTATTATATAATCTTCTTAGTTCATTAACACTAAAAATAGAAATGATATTTAATTAGCTAATCAAAGTTCTGAAGCTCGAAGATAGTAATATACATACACAAAGTTTCTTTCAAAGATATCTCTTAAAATGAATTGCTGTGTATCTTTAACTTTTGAATTCTCTTTGTTATCAAGATTTAAAACTATTAGATTGGTTGGTGATTTAAATACCTGAATATTCTTTAATGCTGTAATTGGGAATGACCACTAATATAACAATCAATCATTACATGTATAAGTAACTTATATAACTAAAAGTAAACAAAAGGGTTGAAATACATACTTTAACTTTACCCAATTCTAAATTTTGCTTAACACTTATATTATAGAATCTCTCTGTCGAAATTAAAATACATCTTATCTATATATATATATATATAAGATTAATAGTTAATATATAATATAAAACAATTGTTTTAAGAGATTAATAATCATTAATTACCTGATTCTTTCCTTTTCTATTTGTTTTATATACGTAGAGATGTAGTTGATAGATTGCGGGCGCCGGTATAAATGATTGCTCGAATAGCTTTTAGAAAGTAATTTCGTATTAAAAGTCGTATGGCAACCAACCATTGATCTCTGATATCCTCAGACTCTGCAATGAACACCTTCTCACCGATAAAGTTGCTATCGGATGCGTTTGTCGCTTTCTTTAGTGCAGTTGCTGTGAGTTGTCCAATTCTATGTAGTCCACCACCGCCACCACTTATATTGGGTGAGTCTGGCGGCGATGGGTTCATATTGTCCGTACTGCTACTCAGTGAATTGCCAACAGTACCAATTCCACCGTTGGAAGTACCGCCACCGCCACCGCCACCACCAACAATCGTGCTATTCAGATTACCGCTGCTTGTGCTCGTACCACTTGTTCCACTGGTCGGTCTGATGTGATATACTATCTTCAACATCTTTGGATCGATCGACTCATCACCCTCTATAGAGTGGATATCAAAGAGATTGATGATCCACTTTTGTTTGTTGGTATCGGGATCGACACTGTAGAACTTCGCACTGGTTAGCAAACCAATGAAACTTGTCTCTGTTTTGTTCTTTAGGAATGTAGAGTGTGTGATGTATCGTTCGTCTAGAGGAATCAGCTTTTCAAAGCGAACCGGTAGTGGGTACAATGAAGTATCGGCATACTTCTCCTCTAAAGGCTGTTCATGGGTGCCCAATGACATCGAGGATTGTGAAGGTGACAACGAACTACTAGTAGTAGATCCTCCACTATTATGTTGTTGCTGTTGCTGATGTTGTACAGATGTCATTGATGAAGGTGAATGAGGTTGTTGCATCTTTTACCAAAAATAAAATAAAAAGAAGTTGTAATATCGAAAACAAATTAACTTAATACAAATATAATATAAATATATATATCTTTTTTTATTTTATCTTATTATTTTTAAATTCAACAATTTAAATTTGTAATAACTACTATTACTTTACTCTAAGTTTTAGATGTAATAATTGATATATATATATATATATATATAGATTTTACTAATGTTTTTATTATAATTATTAGTAAATTATATATGATGATTGACTGACCATTGAAAATTGATTAGTCAACATTAACTTGCTTATAATTATGAAAAATAAAAAAAGTAATAATGTATAATGATAAAAAAAAACACTACACTGCAAAAATGAAAATTACCCACACAAACAGAGTAACATTAATGTTATTAACTTTGGGGTGTTCAGTCATCAAAAAAATTAACTATTTTTAGATGTAAAACTTTATTGACTTTGCACTATTATAAATAATCAATCTATTTTAAAATAGGTAGATATATTTATAACATCTTATAAATATATCATATTTGTAATTGTTTTTTTTAATCTGGCTATGACACCTCACCAAGTTAATTTGATCATCAGCTCAACAATAAGAAAGAAAAACCACAAATTTGTCTTGTGATCATTTACTTATTACTTTGGTTGATATTAACCTGTCATTTTGAAAATTATATTAATTTCTTACTGTAGGTAGACAAGCAATACATATTCTTGTAAACTATCTATCATATTGGTCGCACAACAACCATTGAAATCATACCAATACTCTAATTGTTGATTTGACATATCAAGATAATGACAATTATCTACTGATCTAAAAATAACAATGTGAATGATCTATCTTTGAGAATAAAATGGTTGATGAAATTTCAACAAAAAAAAATAAAATAAAAAAAATATATTTGGAATATGTTAAATTATCTTTTTTTTTGATTATCAATTGATTGATTATGTCTAATAGAGTTATAAAAGAAACAGATTCAATCATGTTTGGCTTTAACAATAATAATAATAATAACAATAGTAGTGGTAGTAGTAATGATAATAATTATGACGAACAATTTGATGAAGATGATAATGAAGTAAATGAAGAGGTGTGGGATGACACTTCACTTATAAGTGCATATGATCAAGCGATTAAAGATTATATTGTAAGTATTCTCATATTATAACCTCTATAGATCGACACGCTAACTAATCAAACTTCATTAATAATCTTAGAACTCACATAGCCTATACTCTGATAAACCAAAGTCAGTAGTTGCGAATAACAAAAACAGCACTGAAACTAAATCTACGACTACATCAACAACGACATCAACCAAACAAAATTCAAATAAACCTTCAAATATAAAACAACAACAGCAACAGCAACAACAAAAGTTACAAGAACAGAAACTTCCACAACAACAACAAAATGGAGTAACAATTAAAAAGAAAAAGTCAAGCAATAGTAGAAATAATAGTAATACCAATAGTAATTCAATGTTGATAGACGAACAACAACAACAACAGAATACACATCAATACTATCAACAACAACAACAATATTATAGTCAACAACCAGCATATTACCATCATCAAGCATATTCATATCAACCATATGTAAAACATCCATATCCAGCACAGCAATACCAACAAAATGAATACGCATGCACTCAACATCAAACATCACTACCGCCACCACCACCATTCCCTCCTTTACCACCAAATCTAGAGATGAACGACGAACTAGGTGATCTCCTACTAAGTTGGTACTACAGTGGATATTATACTGGAATCTATCAAGAGAGAAAGAGACAACGTGGTGAAGCAGCTGCTTCTAATCATCATATGAACCAATAGACCAACAAATATATACTTAATAAATTGTAAATATTTTATTTATACAAATCAATTTAATCGTTAATTGGTTGATGGTCTGTACTATACTAAATATCTGTTTCAAAGTGATTGTCTTTCACCTTTCGTTTTTTCTTGAGTGACAGCAGCGCGAACTTCCAGATTATTTTAAAATTTTCATAATTTTTATTTTTTTGAATTTTTATTTTTTGGATAGTGTGGGATGTCAGCTGCGCTTGGGTGTGGGATGCTCGCGACTCGACACACTCCACTCAAATACTACTCATTGAAATCTAAAACTACCCTTTTACTGCGAGTTTTGTTACAATGGTATGATTAGATAGAGATGTTAGAGAGGATAAATAGAGTTTAGCGTTTAGTGATTGCAGATTTATAGCTTTAGAGAATGGTTTAGCTAACATAGGTTTCTATTTCTATTACTACAATATTATAGTCCTTGATTCTCCCAGAAAACTTCCAACACATCATCCGTATCTACAATACCAACGTAGACGGTAGACGTAAGATCATGTACGCCTTGACCAACGTCAAGGGTATCGGTCGTAGATTCGCCAATCTCGTCTGTAAGAAGGCTGACGTCGATCTCCAAAAGAGGTATGTAAATCACATCCACATGAAAAAATGAGAGATAGTTGTGCTAATCATCAAAAAAACTACATTACTATTATTATTATTATAGAGCTGGTGAACTCAGCAAGGATGAAGTCGAGAGACTTACCACCATCTTGAACCACCCAAGACAATACAACATCCCAGCTTGGTTCTTGAACAGACAAAAGGACATTAAGGACGGAAAGTACTCCCAAGCTCTTGCCAATCAACTTGATGTCAAATACAGAGAGGATCTCGAACGTTTGAAGAAGATCAGAGCTCATCGTGGTATCAGACATCACATGGGTCTCCGTGTCAGAGGTCAAAAGACCAAGACCACCGGTAGACGTGGTAGAACTGTTGGTGTATCAAAGAAGAAGGGTGGATAAATTTAATCTACTGTATTGGCTTGGTATTCATCTCGGTTTTAGATTGCTCTTCCAATACATAATAAATTAAAGAATTAATGGATAAAAAACAAAACATTTAATTATCATTCTTTTTTTAATAATAATAATAATTAGTTATACCAAACTAAAGAAAAAAACCTATTGAATTTCATTAAACAAAAGTTTGTTTGCTAATACACAAAATAAGTATCTATCTTTCTTTTTTTTTTTTTGTTTTTATTTATAAATTCGTATTTATATATATAACTATATCTATCTATTTATTGATTTGTTGTTTTTTTGTTAAAAAAATCATCGAATGATGGTGTGATTGCACCGATGATTGGCATTTGAAGGGTGTCGTCTCCGTAGAGTAAATTTACATTGGAGATGGTGAGTTCGGGTGGCATTGTTGCGTTGAATGTCGGGATGGCAATGGCCGATTGGAGCATTTGAACCAATTGGTCGAATCCAGTTGGGTCGACATCTCCGACGGCGCTCGAGGTGATTGTGGCGTTTGGAATCAAGTTTAAGAGTTTAGAGCTGAATTCGATGGTGGAAATCGAGATGGCATTGACATCGGTGTAGATCTCCATTTGTGTTGCAATGTCTACGGCGAATGCAAACATTGGTGGGTTCGATAGGATGGTAAATCCGAAACCAATGTCGAAACTGGCAAAGATTCCAGTGGAGTTGAACGATACCTGTGGGATCTGTTGTGGAATCGATACATCCAATTGAAGTCCCAAGTTTGGATAGCTTGAAAGTCCTGGTGCAACGCCGGAGAAGAACGAATCGGAGGTGTTCAATTGCACTGGTGATGCCGCTGGTACCTCTGAGGGATTGATGGTGATTGGTAGCATTGTGTTCAATCCGGTGTACATTAGACTTTGGATTAGGTATGGAGTGATTGTGAATTCCAATGGACCTTGAAGATTCTCGAGGGTCGATGCTTCCGGTACGAAAGCCGGTTGGAATGGTGGGGTGATTGTGTTGCCATCCTTGGTGGCAGTGAGTTCACCAAGAAGCTGGGCGGTTTGCAGTGGTGTGAGACCGCTTCCGGTGAATGCTTGAACCAGCGAACCGGTTAGATCCATTTGCAATGTGTATCCATTGAGTGTGGTTGGCATTGTGAGGATTGGGTGGATACGATTGGTGAATGTTGGCAACATTGTGTTGAGTTCGTTGGTGATTCCGGTGGTCAATGTTGGAACAAAGTCGTTGGCTACCATGTTGGCAATGTCGTCGACCGGGACAATACAGATTGCGTTGGTACATTGTACAAAGATCTGGACGAGACCATCACTGAATGTGAGTTCGGTCGATTGTGCAGTGGCGACCGGTGTCGAAGTGGAATAGTCGAATGTCAACTCGGTGGTGAGTGTGACGGTGTCGGTCGGTGTGATATTGGTAGTGTAAACCTGGATGTAACCATTTTCGCATGGATTGAAAATAGTGTTTACACAGATATGATAGTTCCACTGAATCTTAAATTGAGTATTGGCCCAACCAGCGCTGAAAACCTGGTTGCTCTGGTTGAGGAAGAACTCATCCAAGTTCAAGGAGATCTGGAACGATGAGAATCTATAGGAGGTACCTCCTGAGCTTCCAGATTGATCGGGAATATTGTAATTCTCAGCATAGTTTGTCAGTGCAGTTGTTAACTAATGAAAACGATATTGTCAAATGCTATGTTAACACTTCAAATAGGTTGAAAAAAAAACAAAAATAAATCTCTAAATTCATTCTTACACTACTTCCAAGACCAGCAATTATATCCGGTGAAATACCTAAATATAGTCCAGAAGCTCCGTACTCGCCTGCTTGACAATTGATATTGTTTATCAACAAAAATGAAAGAAATAGAACATACAATCCTCTATTCATCTTTATTATTTATCTATTTAATTATTGTTTAAGAAACAAATGTAACAAAAAAACAAAACAAAACAACCCTAAGATTAAAATAGTGGTGATTTTTTTTAAAAAAAAGCAAATAAAATTTCGCGACCTAATCTTTTAGCCACAAAGATATTTTGAATAAAACTTTAAAATTAGGTTTACCATGATCAGAAAATCTAAATTGCCGAAGAATAAAATTCAAAAAACTGGGATAGTAATATCTTAATTATCGTGTACCAATATCATTAGATGAAAGACTTCTACAATTACTTAATAATGACATTTAAATCAATGTTACTTTGTTTAATAATGGTTGTAATAATCACAATTTTAGAAATAAAATACATAACACTCATTTCGAGTAAAAACGAATAAAAATGCAAGTTTTTTTATATGAAATATAAAAAGATTTATTTAAATTCATTGTATATTAGAAATGATCAAATAACTCCTATAATAATAGCAAAAAAAAAGATATAAAATGATTAGTATATACTCGAATAACTTAGATCTAGAGAGTGTGATTAAGAAGAAAAGTCAGAGTAACTATGTATTATACTCATCAAGGAGTATCAAATAATCGATCCAGAACGGATGATCAAATGAATATGATAAAGTTGAATCATCATTCGAATTAAAAGAAAAGAGGTGAGTGAAGTGTAACAGCGTTGATACTTACAAAATAAAAAAAAAGAGGTACTACATTAATACTCGTCAACCAACTAATAATAAAGCCAAAAAAAAAACAAATAAATGAATGTTCGTTTTTCCAACACTTCTACCATTTATAAAAATGTGAAAAAAATCGAAAACAAAAAAATGACATTTGTTTTTTTTTTTTTTTACTGAAACACTTAGGTCCCGAACTACAATCGTTTAAAATGATGTATTTACATTTACTAATTTGGTATTATATTAAAAGATCAACAAGAAGCATTTTAATTTTTAATTTAAAATATATAAAACTTTTTTTTTTTTACTTCATTAAGATCTGCATTGACTATGAGAACCAATTTTAATAACAATAATAATATAGTTTTATTTTTCTTTCATTTTAGAGATTTGCCCTATTTTATTATTTAATCTTAATATCAGTTACTACTCAAACGGTCATTTAATGAAACCAAATCAATTAGACTTGGACTTAATTAATGAATGTTATGTTGACTTTTGATGACTGGTCAAACGGTTTATTGATTCACATATACTGGTCAAGAGAAATTTCTTTTTTTGAAAAATTTAAAATTGATAGAATTTTTTAAATTTAAAAAAAAGTCAGCAAGAAGTTCATGATTTTGACTTTTTTTTTTAGAGTGTTGATAGGTGGGTCATGTGTTTTTTTTTTGAACTCAGGGTGACACAACATGAAAAAATTGAATTTGTTGCTGATGATCACATTCCATTCCTCTATTCATTTTTGTTTTTTTTTTTTATTTCAGTAACTGCGCACATTTGACCGACCTATATATATAAAGCATATTTATTACTGTTTATATATATACATTAAACATCAACCTTAAAAACTTATATCAATTAATAATTGATTTGTAAATTATTTATTCAATTTAAAGATTGTTGTTTGTTAAATATTTAAATATATAAATTCTTTGTAAGTCTCAAAAATCAACAACAACAACAACTAAGCAATCAAACAACCAAACAAACAAATAATAAACAAAAAAAGTCAAAACAAGTCAAACAATTTAAATTGGACAAAATCAACAATTCACATACATGGACCAATTAAACAATAAAATAAACATTCAGATAACAATGTACAAATTCTAACATCTTTAATATTTCTTTTTTTTTTTTTAAAAAAAAAATATTATAGTTGTATATAAAGCAGATATAAAAACATATATAGAAAATGGGTTTCAGATTTTTAGATATTGTGAAACCATTCTCACATTTAATTCCAGAAGTCGCTCAACCAGACAGAAAGGTAAGTCTAAATTTAATTTGATGTGTTGGTGGCGATGTGTGTTTAATGATTCGATTACTAATTTTAGTTTTTTTTATTTTTATTTTTATTTAAATATAAATAGATCCAATTCCGTGAAAAGATTCTATGGACTGCTATGTCATTGTTTATCTTTTTGGTTTGCAGTCAAGTACCATTGTACGGTATTAGATCAAACGATTCTTCAGATCCATTCTACTGGATGAAGGTTATTATGGCCTCGAACAGAGGTACATTGATGGAGTTGGGTATCGGTCCAATCGTTACCTCTGGTATGGTTATGCAATTGTTGGCTGGTGCCAAGTTGATTGAAATCGATCAATCAGTCAAGGAGGACAGAGATTTATTCAGTGCCGCTCAAAAGTTGTTTGGTATGTTGATCTGTATCGGTCAAGGTACTGCCTACATCTGGTCGGGAACCTACGGTGATCCAGCTGTTTTGGGATTCGGTAACGCTTTCTTGATCATCTTGCAATTGTTCTTTGCCGGTATCATTGTTATGTTACTCGATGAGCTCCTCCAAAAGGGATACGGTATCGGTTCCGGTATTTCATTGTTCATTGCCACCAACATCTGTGAGAACATCATCTGGAAGACCTTCTCGCCAACCACCGTCAACACTGGTCGTGGTACCGAGTTTGAGGGTGCCGTCATTGCCTTGTTCCACTTGCTCCTCACCCGTACCGACAAGGTTCGTGCCCTCAAGGAAGCCTTCTACAGACAGAACCTTCCAAACATCACCAACTTGCTCGCCACCATTTTCATCTTCTTGGTCGTCATCTACTTCCAAGGTTTCCGTGTGGATCTCCCAGTCAAGTCCACTCGTATGAGAGGACAACAAGGTTCCTACCCAATCAAATTGTTCTACACCTCCAACATCCCAATCATCTTGCAATCGGCCTTGGTTAGCAACTTGTATTTCGTCTCGCAATTGTTGTACCGTCGTTTCCCAGACAACATCTTGATCAACTTGATCGGTGCCTGGAAGGTCACTGAATACGGTGGAATGATCCCAACCGGTGGTTTGACCTACTACATCTCGCCACCACCCAATATGTCTGCTGTTTTGGCCGACCCATTGCACTCAATCTTCTACATTGCCTTCATGTTGACCTCCTGTGCTTTGTTCTCAAAGGTCTGGATCGAAGTCTCTGGTTCCAGCGCTCGTGACGTTGCCAAGCAACTCCGTGACCAACAAATGACCATGAAGGGTCACCGTGACAGCTCACTCGTCAAGGAACTCAACCGTTACATCCCAACCGCTGCCGCTTTCGGTGGTCTTTGCATTGGTGCTCTCACCGTTATTGCCGACTTTATGGGTGCTATTGGTTCTGGTACTGGTATTCTCTTGGCCGTTACCATCATCTACCAATACTTTGAGACCTTTGTTAAGGAACAACAAGATTTCAGTGGATTGACTGGTTTGTTCTAAATAAATTAAAGTAAAAAAACAATACAAAAAAAAAAAAAAAAAAACAAATCAAAAAAATAAAATATAAAACAAAATTATATAATATAAAATAAATAAGCAAAAGTTCAATTTTTTTGTTTAAAACATTTAACATATAGATATCTTTCAACATTCAATTTTCTAATAACAACTTGCTTGATACCATTTATGTAATAGATAACTTGTTTTCATTAACCAATAAACAATTTGTAAATCAATCAACTATATAAAAATCTTGTTGTTGCATGTACTATTGATCTGAATACAATCAAATCTATCAAATTAGATCAATATTTCTATTCATCGAATCTTTTATTTTAAAGATGTAACCTTAAACTCCAAAAAATCCCAAAACACGATTGTGTGAAAAAAATCAAAACATAATTTGGTTTGGTTCGTGCACCATAAATATCTTAAACCAAAATGTAATGGTTGATTGGACCAATAAATTGTTTGTCTTTCAAACTCAAATAGTTTATTTGTAAATTACTTATTTATTTGTGAAATGTATTATTTTAAAAATATATTGTTGATTACCGTTTCGATATTGGTTGTTTGCACTGCACAACAATGTGGTTTCAACCAACAATATCAAGTTGGTTCTGCAACTTACTATTATGGTTATGAAACTGGTGCTTGTTCGTATGTATAGTTTGATCAGAATATAACAAAAAATAAATATTAATCTTTTTTTTATTTTCAAGATTTGGTGATCTTTTTGGAAAGACTGCACCTGGTACTCCGTATATTGCCGCGCTTTCAGAGTCGTTTTTTGATGGAGCAAAGATGTGTGGCGTTTGCTTTGAAATCACATCGCCTTACACCAATAAAACAATCACTGTCTATTCAACGGATCTATGTCCATCGGGAGGAGTTTGTAGTCGCCCCTACCACTTTGATCTTTCTTATGACGCATTTACCCAACTTGGCGAGGCTTCGCTTGGTGAGCTTGAGAATCTAAAGTGGCGTCAAGTTGCTTGTGGAAATATGCCATCGATGGGTATTAAATTGAAGGATGGAAGCAACCCTTCCTGGGTGGCATACCTAGTTTACAACAGTATTGTCCAGATTCTCTCGGTGGAAGTTCAGTTGTTTGGTCAATCAAACTGGATCATGTTGCAACGTGAAAGTTACAATTATTGGGTCGATTCGAACGACCACACTGCTGGTCCATACAAAGTCCGAGTGACATCGATTCTCAATGAAAAGATCGTCATAGACATCAAAGAGATTGTAGCAGAGAAAGTAATCTCTTCCTACCAGCAGTTCCAGGCTCCAGGTTGTGCAGCTGCCGAATTGAATATCGAAGCTAGTGGCTCTACTTCAATTACCCTCAGGGGAATCACCAACATTGTATTCCTACTTTTATTATCAACTTTAATTTCCATGCTAATTTAACTATCATAGTGTGTATTATTATTATTATTGTTAATAAATAAAAATTTGATTGACTCTTTTATTCATTCAATTTTTCATTCGTCATTTTCTTGAGATTCTGTGTTGTTGTCTGTGTTGGTTGTTGTTGCCGAGTTTTCACTATCATTTTCATTGTCGTTGGTCGTCATTTTTGCAACCTTTCTATATTCTTTGGTTTTGGTTTTTGGACATTGCATCATGTTCCAACTGATCGGTATCATGGTGGCACCAGCTACGCTCTGAGCAAACACGACACCCAGCTCGTTCTTTGCAGTCGACAAAAAGTAAGATCTGGAGTCACCGAGCGAGATAACCTCGGCAATCACAATATCACCGGGTCTAAACGACTTGTAGATCTCCACCTTGTCGATTTCGGTGGCACGTACATCCTGTACTCTGATGATACCATTGAATGTTTCCTTCAGTGCCTTTGTACCGACACAGAGAATGGCAACACTTGCTAATCTCGGATTGATACGCAACACCTGTACTGTAACTACACTACCAATCTCTGGTACAACACCAGGATCCTTCTCTTTCAAAACAACTATATAATCTTTATTACTATTATTATTATTATTATTAATATTACTGTTATCAACTATATCATCTGATTCCTAATATTAATCAATAAAATAGTTAGTTTTTTAATTATATAATGATAAACGATATAGCATTTTTCTTACTTCTTTACTAGTTATATTATTCTTTACAAAATGTCTGAATCCTAATACTGAAGAGTAGATTGAACCTTTATAATAGTATGTACCTTCCGATGCTATGTATTCATTATCTCTACTCAGTTTTTGACCTGGTGTAACTATTGTTATATTATTATCCATAATTATATATTACTATTTATATATTTAATAAAAAAGTTGTGTTTTTCGCCTTTCGTTTCTAAAATTTGTATTTAATTTTTTTAATTTTTAATTTTTTTTTAATCAAGTTCTTGATGATATTTTGCGTTATTGAATACTAAATAGTTTGTTATATAGAATGAAAGTATTAGGATCAATACAATTATATAGAGAGTTCATTCGATTGTCTTATAGATTCCCAGTTGAAAGCATTCGACAGAAAATAAGATTGAATACAAAAGAGATGTGGCAGTTAAATCAGCACGAGACTAATAAAATAAACATCAACAACTCAATTACAAAAGCAAGAAATATATATACACTCCTTCAAAAGTTAGTCAATAGTAACAGTGCAGCTATGATATTCTCTAACGATTTACATAAGAAAAAGCATAATAAGAAATAATATATATATGCCTATTATTATTAGTAATCAAAACAATCATAATAGAGAGAATATTATTTTGAATCATTCACCTTTAAAGTACAATCAAGTAGAATGATTTCAATGACAATATTACAACCCCACGGATTATACAGTTTGGATTGGTAAAACTTAAGTGTTAGAGCCAACCAACCACATAACTATCAAATAAATAAAGTTAGTATGAATATTATTATTATTCATAAATATAAAAAGTTTAATCAAATTTTGTTTTATAATTTGTTATTTTATTAATAATTTTGTTCTATAAAAATGAAGAATGGATTGATCTATATATAGGTAGATATAATAGTTGATTGGTTAATGCTAGAGACTAAGAGGATTAAAATTAGTTTAACAAAAGTAGGCTGGGTAATATGATGGATTTCCAAAATATGGTCTTTGGAATGTTTTCATCATCATATTATTATAATGATTAACATTGTCTTGTTGTTGATGACCGTTGAATCTATTGAATCTTCTGAAGTTGTGGTGACCATGAGTATTCGAGGGCATTGGACCACTCATTGATGATCTTGCTGGACGAGTAAATCTTGGAGCAAATGAGAAACCATTGAAATCAGGTCTTTGAGTGAAACGATTATTCATGATTCTATTTCTCATGAGCGGTGTGAATTGCATTGGTTGAGTGAATCTTGGGTCAAATGTGAAATTATTGAATTGTCTTCTTTGAATGAATCTGTTCATCATTCTACGTCCAATGATCGGTGTTTGGTGATATTGATCATATTGATGTCCATGTCCATGATTTCTGAATGTTCTTTGATTGTTGAATGAAACAATTCTTCTTAATCTCATATTTTGAGTTCTGAGTTTTCTGATCAAGAATCCATTTCTATTCTCTTTGGTGGTACTGTTAGAATGATGATTGTTGTCTTCACCAATGAATTTGTTTCCTCTTCTGAGTCCAGAGTTTAATCTATTTTGGCATCTTGAATGTTGGAATTGTCTTCCCCTAATACCAAATCTTTGGTGTTTGTGACATTTCTTGTTGGTTTTGTTGGATTCAGTGTCTGTGTTATCATTCTTTATATTTTCTTTGGAATCTTGATTGTCACCAACAATGTTTGTTGTTGTTTCATTGGTAGAAACTTGATTCTTGTTATCAGATGATTGATTGTCACAATCGATGTCAATGTTTGTTGATTTGAGATCATTGGTTTGTGCAGGAGCTTGATGTGATTTTTGCAAGTGTCTTTCTTTTCTCATTGAAATTCTCTTGCATCTATGACAATCGGTGGTTGATTCACCAGATGAATGGAATCTTGATTGGTGTTTTTGAATCTTTTGTTCGATTCTTTCACATTTGAAACAAGTGTCATCATTATTGGCGGTATTTGTTTCATTTAATGAATTATTCTGGAGATCATTTTGTTGATGTCTTGATCTTCTTCTTCTTCCTTGGCAACCATGTTCAGAACTTTGATTTTCTTGATCATTTGTTGATGTTGGATTGGTTGATTCTCGATCATGGGAGGAACGTCTCGATCTTCTTGGTCTTGGATCAACAAAGTCATTAAAATTGTTGTTGTTGGTGTTTTCTAATCCACAGAAACGTCTGAATCTATGAGATCCTCTTTCAATTGAATTGAATCCGAATGATTCAATGTTTGAATGATTACATCCTTGGAATCTATGATGTTGACAATGATGCTCATCGATGTTGAATGAAGTTGGTAGATCATTGAATTGATTGGCTACAGATGATCTCCAATGACCTTGATGATGATGTCTTCTTGGGTGTGAACAATGATCATGAGTATCATTGATTTCCTGATGGTTGGATTGTGATTTTCCAAAGTTTCTTCTTCTTCCAAACATTCTTGGTTCTTGATTGAATTGTTGTTGTTGTTGTTGTTGATATTGATATTGATTCATTTTAATTGATTGTTTGTTGGTGTTTTAATATTGCTTGATAGTATTTAATTCTAATTTAATTTTAATAATTATTTGATTGGTTGTATTTAATTATGAAATGATCAAATAAAAAAAAAGAGCTTAAATATGTTTATCAATGAGATCACTGACAGTTAGATTGTTAAAAAATAGAGAATGATTCTTGCCAAAAAAAGAAAATTCAATCAAAACAAAATGAGAAAAATTGGATAAAACCAAAAAATAATTGTTTACCCCACCATAATTTTTGTAAAATCCTTGATTTTAAAGATAAAAATCATTTGAATTGTTTACCACTCTCTATTTTTAACTATTAAAAAGTGTAAGTTTAAGTTTTTTTATAATAAAATATTTTTTTTTTGTTTGTTAACTTTGATAAAATATAAATGTTTACCACTCTCCTATTTTTGCAAAATCTTTGATTTCAAAGATTACCACTCTTTATTTGTAAGTATAAGTTTGTTAGTTTTTTTTTGATTTTTCAACAGATCAATTGAATTTTATTTAATTTTATTAAAATATAATTTTCTGAGAGATGATGGCTTTTTGTGGTACTTTGTTGTTTCAAATGAAAGATGATATCCCATATCAAGTAAATAGTTGGAGGCATCAAAGACTTTATCTGTTGTGATGATGAACCGAGATAAGGTTGGAGATAAACTTTGTTTGAATTGATTACAGAGCGCCAATCCATCATTTTCATGGTTAGAATACTGACATTGATCATGTATGGTGATGATTGATCTTAATCTCTCGATGATTGGGAACCACTCCTTGAGATTGGTCTTCAAATGAATAGAGAGATAAGTGATATTAAGAGTGGACTCTCGGAAATGTGTGAATATATTAATATTGGTTTCCCTGTCAAAAGCCAACTCCTTGAGATTGGGAAATTCGAAACAGCCTCCATAGTCTCGTTTTGACAGACAAACACCACCAAGATTTGTAACTATATTTCTGTTAGAAAGTGGAATGGCAACGATATCCAATTTTATTGAATAGACCTGCTCGATCGATGGAATGATTGTATAGAGATCTGGATGAAAACAACCGAAATCAATCTTCTTAAGTGATTTAAACACATCCATCACTTTGAAATGCGATCGGCTGAATGCAAATGGGAGTTTAAGATATCTGAGATTATACATTGTTATACCTATACTCTTTACAGATTGAATTGTAATACTGCCTTTCTGATCAGATACGATGTTCAATTTTTCTACAGTTGATAAGACATGCTGGAGATGAATTGAAGAGGTGGATCGCATCAATGACTCCATCACCGTAGTAGAAACCTTGAGTTTCACAATATTCTTGAAAGGACACCATGGTTTGAGCAAATGTGCATAGCCAAATTCAATTGATACTCTGTCTGTGGAATATTCATATTCGGGATTGTATTTCGACTGATATCTCCTACGTCCATTATAGTCATAGTAGAAAACATCGTGCCAGTACGGATGTCTATCTCCAGCTTCTTCGATCTCGTCGATATCAATATACTTTTGAATCAATTTGGTACTGATGAACATTTCATTAACAACACAAAAGAATTGTTTGTTGATGAGGGTTAGAACCAATGCATCACGATACGAGTAGAGTGGACTGGTGTGGTTGGTCGATAGCTTCCAGTAGTACTGAAGGATCTTGATAATAATCAACGCAGGGAGATTATATTCTACATAACCTCGATGAAATTGAAGCGAAGGATTGTTATCGTGTAAGATCTTTTGCAAGTTCAAATCTTTCTCTCGACGAACGATGATTGCATCAACTAATTTCGGTTTGCTTGCTGTCTTGAGTGTCACTATCCTGTTGTCAACACACATCTGAGTAAGTTGATTTTTGTTCAGCTTTAGCAAATCTTCTCTAGGTGATTGAAAGTTGATTGTTTTCAACAGTTCAGCATTTCCCATTTTTTTGTTACTTTTTTGTTTCTTTTTCTTTTCATTATCCTTTTGATTGTAGTCATTATTATTATTAGTAGTAGAAGTGATTGTACCTGTAGTTGTTTTATCTTCTTCTTTGTATGTATTCTCCATTGTTATGTTGTTATGAAAAAAAAAAAAAAAAATGTTTTAAGAGTGGTGGAGTTTGTCAATAAAATTATATTTTTTAATATTATTATCAAATTAAGTATCTAAGTTTTTTAAACTAAAAGAATTGTAGATCTTCAAACTCATTTAAAAAGACCATTCTCAATATTTTCTCTATTATTCATTCTACATCCAGACTAGTCAATCAAAGTAACAAACTTCTTTTTTTAGGTATTTTCAAAAAAATCCACTTTTTTTTATTTTTATTTTTTATTTTGTTTTTTGAAAAGTTTGACAAACATTTAGGCACAGAGATTAGCACTTTCGAAAGTTATTATTTATCAACATTATTAATTTGCAAATTTCTCTCACTGTTTTTCTGTTCAGTGTAATCGTTTTGACCATGGTTATAAATAGCTAACCTTTGATTCTCAAGAAATGTATTAATCAACACTATTGTCCAACAATTCATATCTTGAGAGGTAGATATATACATACATTTAATAATGACTATCAAATATTTGGTGTTTTTCGTGTTACTTTCAGTTTCACTGATTCAAGCAAAGAAGCATCTTTGTCAATGTACTTTCTTTAATAATGAACAAACCTTGGTTGCTGTTAATTCGTAAGAAAATTTAAATAATTATTAAAAAAAAAAAAAGATTTGATCATCTTATCTAACATTATGTTTTTTTATTACTTTTGTTTAATCAGATTATTAGATTGTAAATATGAATGTTATGATCTTGCGGAGAATCTAAAGATCAATGTTACTTGTAGCACTCAAAGTTGTTCGTGCAATTGTCCCAATGGTGATACTCTACCATGTTCATCCAACTCAACAACAACTACGACAACAACAACAACAACATCTACAACCTCTACAACTGGACCAAGCTCAACAACATCTCGTCCTACAACAACGACTACTGCTACATCCACAGGAAAAACTACTGGATCTGGTGGTTCTGGCTCTGGAGGATCTGGTTCAGGAAAGAGTACTACTGCTCATCCAACAACTGGAAAATCCGGTGGTTCTGGTGGTTCTGGTGGCACTGGAAAGAGTACAACCACTTCTGGTACAACAGATAGTGGTACAACCGACAGTGGAACTACTAGTGGAAGCACAGATTCTGGTACATCGACAGGTACCGGTACTGTAACTGGTACATCTGCTACTGGTGACACTGGCGATTCAACCGGATCAGGAAGTGGTGGTGGATCCAGTGGAAGTGGTGGATCCGGTGGTAGTGGCGGCAGTGGAAGTGGAAGTGGTAGCGGTAGTGGATCGGGATCAGGTAGTGGAAGTGGATCTGGTGGTAGTGGTGGAAGTGGACTTCTAACATTTGACTATGAACTTTGCCCCGGAGACTCTTGTGAATGTCCACAATCAGTTGTTGACTTTAAGCTACTTCATTAAAATACTAACTTTTATCATCAAAGTTCATTCAACTAAACAATCAAAAAAAAAAAAAAAAAAAAAAAAAAAAAAACAAACTAAATCCAACAAACAAACAAACAAACAAACAAATACATAGCAATTTAATAGTAATAAAAAAATAAAAGATTTCCTTTCCAATAATAAAATTTCTTTGTATGAGATATTCTCTGCACAGATTAAGAATTTTCAATATGCAAAAAAAAGCAAAAATATTGATTTTATTTTCCAATAATAAATTTTTTTCATTACAAGCTTGTTTGTTTCCTATGAGATTTTTGTTATCATGACTGTAGTCATATGAACATAACAAACTTATAATACATTATATTATCTTATCTATATAATTATTATTTTGTTTAAACACTATAATGAATGAATATCAACATCCATTCCCATTATTGGTACCTATAGATAAGACATTAAGAGAGTATAAAGGATTTATTTTGTTTCGTGGTAAACACTACCCTGTAGAGATAGGTATATCTAGTATAAAAGAAACTATTGAAGATTGTAAATTCAATTCTACACCAGAGTTTTATTCATTATTAGAGAATTCATTAAATCAAATTAAACAAGTATGTAATTTGTTCATTCATGTATATCAAGTTACTAATTTGTTATTTATAAACACATAGAGATTATTACAATGTAAAGATTTACATCATTTCTTTTATGAACTAAAAGATATATTAGATAGACAATCTACCTATGATACAGGTAGAGCTAACGATGGTAAAAGCAATGATCTACCATTTGAAGTGTACTCTCTCATTCTCAACGAAATAGATCAAATCGGTTGGAGCAAAATAGAATCGATCGACAAGTCACTATCTACATTTAAAATCAAAGTATTGTAATGTATTATTTGTTTTAATGATACTATCTAAAAAAACAAATTCATTAATACATAAGTTATTTTTGTATTCTTTAAAATAGTGATGATAAAAAGAGGCACTATCCACTTGAATTCAATATTCCGTTAGATTACCCAATGCAACCACCTTCTTTGAAATGCTCGCTACCCTTGAGTATAACTACACCACTGCAACCACCTTACACGCTTAAAGATTCGATACAATCGGTGGTCAGACACATCGAGTCACTACAGCCATTCTTTGACATCATGGATGAAATAGACTCAAAGACATGGGTGTTGGATCCGTCGACACCGTCGCACTCCGACACCAGCAGACGAATTGCTCTGGGTAACAACTGCTCGCTGCTCGTCGAAGTCAACCCGCTCTCGCCAAACACCTATCCAGAGTGCCGCTTACTAGGTGCCGAACGCGCCATAGCACCGCTACGTGCCAAACTCAATGGTAATCTCTCACGATGGCGAATCGATCAGTCGCTACTCACCAACTTTGAGGTGCTACTCGAACAGCCATTCCCTCACAAACAAACATCGAATGCCCGTGAATTCCTCAGCGAGTGCAGCATCTGCTATGCTCATCGTCTAGAGAACGGTGAATCGACGATACCTGACGAACAGTGTAACAATCAACGCTGTCAAAAGTTGTTCCATCGTACCTGTCTCTTTGAATGGCTTCGAGCACTTCCCAACTCAAACATCTCATTCGACAGAATCTTTGGTCAATGTCCTTATTGTTCCGACCCAATCTCTGTTATTTATCACCAAAAATATTAATTCATCTAATTAATATCAATTAATGATATAAAATAACTAACTGTGCATTATAATGTTGTAACCTCTATTGTTAAATATTTTCACATCATATATTCACTCAATTCTGCAATAATTAATAAAAAAAAAAAAAAAAGTATCCAAAAAAGATCATAAATTTATTCAATAACAACAATGAATCATTCGTTCATTCATTCATTAAATATATATCACCACCAACCAATTCTTTGATTATATAATAATAAATGAATAAATTTCATGAGTCAAATGCGACACGTCTAATGTTCAAAATATTAATTTAAATGAAAAAAGTAATTTTTTTTTTTTTTTTTGATTTTTTAAACATTTTATTTGATGATCCCCTTTGGTTTTCAAAGTGGTACAAACAACCATTACATTTTTTTAATTTATTATTATTATTTTATTTTTTTTTCACACAGTTATTATTATTATTGATACTCTCAGCTTTGTTGTTTAGCCAGATAGACAAAAACAAAAAACAAATATTATTTTCATCATCAAAAAGTTATTTATTTTAGATAAAGTTTTGATAATTCTTATTTTTTCCAATCAAGTCAACCCATCACTACTCTTTCAATCAATCAATCAATCAAATAAATCAATCATCTCATTTCCATCTACTTTTGATTGACTTTAAAGTTAGCTATTTATTGTAGATAAATTTTTATTATCATCATAGATTTTATTTTTATTTTTATTTTATTTTTTTGCATTATATCGTCATATCATATAACATTCATTTAATTTATTCATTCATTCATTTTTTTTTTGTTAAAGTAAAAAAGTTTTTTAATTAAATAGTATATATACATAGAATTAGAATGGAGTCACTGTCAAAATATAAATTAGTATTCTTGGGTGATCAATCTGTAGGAAAGGTAAATTTAATTTAATATATATATATATATAAGTGATGATCATTATGATCTTCACAAAAACTAATAAATAAATTAAAATTAATCAAAATCAAATTGAATACTGCTATTTGTCATCTGTTTAGACATCGATCATCACCAGATTTATGTATGATTCATTCGATATTACCTATCAAGCAACTATTGGTATCGACTTTTTATCAAAGACTATGTATTTAGAAGACAGAACCGTTAGATTACAGCTTTGGGACACTGCTGGTCAAGAAAGATTCAGATCACTCATTCCCTCCTATATTAGAGATTCATCAGTAGCAATTGTAGTATATGATATAACAAGTAAGTTAGGCTATGCACACTTCATCATATTTAATTATAAATATATATATTAACATTGTTAAATAACTATATTATTATAGATAAGAATTCATTTTTAAATACCATCAAGTGGATTGATGATGTACGTAGTGAAAGAGGAAACAACGTTGTAATTATGTTGGTTGGAAACAAGACTGATTTAGCTGATAAAAGGTAATATATATAAAATCAATGTCACTAGATAGATTATTATTATTATGATTTCTAATTATATAATTCTATTATCATATATAGACAAGTTTCAATGGAAGAAGGTGAAGCAAAAGCAAAAGAATATGAAATTATGTTTACAGAGACAAGTGCCAAAGCAGGATTCAATATCAAGGCATTGTTTAGAAAGGTGGCATCGGCATTGCCCGGTATCGATACTAACTCATTGGGTCAAGCACCAGAGATGGCAGAGGTAATCCTCTCATCCACCGACAACAACAAAACACCTGCTGAACAAGCATCCATGTGTCGTTGTTAATATTTATTTTTTAAATTAAAAAAATAATTAAAAAAAAAATAAAAAATAATCATAAAAAAAATTTATGTGTTCATTTTATTTTTTTTCACCTTTCTAACCAAAACAGTGTTGTACACATCGTTCATTAGTGAGATGAAACCTTTAGTAAAGAGCTATTAGGTATTGGTTCTCTTATTGATTTTAATTGTTCGGGTTTCTTTTTCCTAAAAGATATCCGTTTAAGTATTAATTAAATGAATGTTGTTGTCTTGGTATATTTGATAGTTACAATATGTATGATTGTGCTAACCATGCTGCAGGGAACACCAGTGGTAATCTATCAATTGAAAATATACTTTGCAGTCTTCTTGGTGGAACATCAAAATCTAAAGGTTTAATTGTCTATATAATCATATGATTATTAATAACATAATTAGGAGGCAGTTTTATCTTTGAGTAACCTACTTGAATTGGATTCTTGAAGATCTTTCTATAAACTAAAAAAAAGCATACACCAGCCCCAAAATTATCTTTTTCCCAAACTACTATGTTAGAGGAGTCTTTAACATAATTAAAATATTAAAACTTACAAAAAGCTTGTGATCTATCTCTGGGGTGGGATATCATTCCATTTATTGACTTTATTTACATCAATGGTTCGTTTGATTAGAATATCTAATCTCTATGGAAACTCTCTGAATCTATCTATACATACATACACAACAGGTATTATAGGTGAAAAGTAAACTAAAGTCCTTAGAGTATTCATGACAATATTGGTTTCAATTAATGAATTAAAAGAATCTAAAAAAAACTATAATTAAATATTTTAAAATGCTTGTTGGATCAAAGACAATTAATTTATTTAATTTTTAAATTAAATTGTAAAAGTACCACTTTTTGTTACACCCAATTATTAGTGCACATTTTTTTTACTAATATCGTGAAAAATTAAAATTAAAACATAAAAAAATTAATAATTAGATAAATCTTTAAAGTTAAAAAAGATTCAATTATTAATATAAAATGAAAGACAGATAATATTTATGTAGAACTTAATTCAAATTATGAATCTTGGAGTTCTAAAAAAAAATAAGAATTATTTTAACAAAAATATATATAAAAAAGATTTTATTTTAAAATAAACTTAAATAGACACTTTTTAATAGTTAAAAATAGAGAGTGGTAAACAATTCAAATGATTTTTATCTTTAAAATCAAGGTATTTTGCAAAAATTATGGTGGGGTAAACAATTATTTTTTGGTTTTATCCAATTTTTCTCATTTTGTTTTGATTGAATTTTCTTTTTTTGGCAAGAATCATTCTCTATTTTTTAACAATCTAACTGTCAGTGATCTCATTGATAAACATATTTAAGCTCTTTTTTTTTATTTGATCATTTCATAATTAAATACAACCAATCAAATAATTATTAAAATTAAAATAGAATTAAATACTATCAAGCAATATTAAAACACCAACAAACAATCAATTAAAATGAATCAATATCAATATCAATATCAACAACAACAACAACAACAACAGCAACAACAACAACAACAATTCAATCAAGAACCAAGAATGTTTGGAAGAAGAAGAAACTTTGGAAAATCACAATCCAACCATCAGGAAATCAATGATACTCATGATCATTGTTCGCACCCAAGAAGACATCATCATCAAGGTCATTGGAGATCATCTGTAGCCAATCAATTCAATGATCTACCAACTTCATTCAACATCGATGAGCATCATTGTCAACATCATAGATTCCAAGGATGTAATCATTCAAACATTGAATCATTCGGATTCAATTCAATTGAAAGAGGATCTCATAGATTCAGACGTTTCTGTGGATTAGAAAACACCAACAACAACAATTTTAATGACTTTGTTGATCCAAGACCAAGAAGATCGAGACGTTCCTCCCATGATCGAGAATCAACCAATCCAACATCAACAAATGATCAAGAAAATCAAAGTTCTGAACATGGTTGCCAAGGAAGAAGAAGAAGATCAAGACATCAACAAAATGATCTCAAGAAGAATTCATTAAATGAAACAAATACCGCCAATAATGATGACACTTGTTTCAAATGTGAAAGAATCGAACAAAAGATTCAAAAACACCAATCAAGATTCCATTCATCTGGTGAATCAACCACCGATTGTCATAGATGCAAGAGAATTTCAATGAGAAAAGAAAGACACTTGAAAAAATCACATCAAGCTCCTGCGCAAACCAATGATCTTAAATCAACAAACATTGACATCGATTGTGACAATCAATCATCTGATAACAAGAATCAAGTTTCTACCAATGAAACAACAACAAACATTGTTGGTGACAATCAAGATTCCAAAGAAAATATAAAGAATGATAATCATGAATCCAACAAAACCAACAAGAAATATCTCAAACAAAGATTTGGAAGACAATTCCAAAATTCAAGCTCAAATAGATTCAACACTGGACTCAGAAGAGGAAACAAATTCATTGGTGAAGTCAACAATCATCATTCTAACAGTACCACCAAAGAGAATAGAAATAGATTAAGAAGAATTATTTCTTTCAATAATCAAAGAACATTCAGAAATCATGGACATGGACATCAGTATAATCACCAAACACCAATCATTGGACGTAGAATGATGAACAGATTCATTCAAAGAAGACAACTCAATGATTTCTTATTTGGTCCAAGATTCGCCCAACCAAAGCAATTCACACCGCTCATGAGAAATAGAATCATGAATAATCGTTTCACTCAAAGACCTGATTTCAATGGTTTCTCATTTGCTCCAAGATTCCCTCGTCAAACAAGATCATCAATGAGTGGTCCAATGCGTCATCACAACTTCAGAAGATTCAATAGATTCAACGGTCATCAACAAAACAATGTTAACCATTATAATAATATGATGATGATGAGAACATTCCAAATACCATATTTTGGAAATCCATCTTATTACCCAGTATACTTTTGCTAAACCAATTTGAATACTCATTAACCAATCAACTATTTCATCTACCTATATGTAGATCAATCCATTTTCATTTTTATAGTAGATGCATCTAAAATTTCAACTAGTTTAAATTATAATCTCTATTTTTTTAAAATTAAATAAAATTTTTTTATTAATTTTTTTCTATTATTTATTTACTTTTCTTAATTTTATATTCGTAATGTTTTTGATTTGATATCTGAATTTCTTTTTAATGATTACAATAGTTATAATTATTAAAGCAGCGGCAACACAACCCACAGTGATACCAATGATAGCAGCTGTACTCAATTTTTTATCATCATTGTTTGTACATAAACTATTTTGCGAATTTCCATCTACTGTAACCAAGTTTGAAAAATCGGGATCAATAATAGCTTTTTCAACATAAAAAGGTATCGTTATTCCAACTTTAGTAGATCTAAATTGGGATGAATCTTGAGTAGTGTTATTGATATCAAGAGAATCTTCGATGATACGATTGTTGACAACAGTGGGTCTCTGATCGATAATACCAAAAGTGATGAACCTTCCATAAAGACTGGTCTTATCAATGTCCATTTTGATCCATTGGATATTGTCTTTGGTTCCATCTTCACTTCCATAGTCTTTCGATGAACAAGAATCTTTGTTTGATCCTTTGATTGTTGCTTCCATCACCACTTGTAATGAATTGGTTCTTGATGTGAAATCAAAACTTGAGAGTTCAATCGTGAATTTGATTGATGATGCTTGCATCTTCAAATCTTGATTTCCAAATCTGATTGTTGTTTCATCTTTGAAATACATGATTGTCACATTGATTGCTGTTGTTGTTTGATTCAAAGTTGTGTTGTAAAGATAGGTTGGATTTGAAGAATTGATTGTCATATCTTTGAAATCCCAATGTTTGATTTCGAATCTTTGAATGATATTATTAAGATCATCGATTTCTCTGATTTCCATAACTTTGATATTTGATTCCACTCTGTTATCTGATTTGGAATCGGTTACATTTGTTCCTGTGATCGGTTCAGGTTGTGGTTCGGGTGGTAAAATCACAATGATTTCAGAAGAACATGATGGACCTGTCCATGGTTGATTACATTTACATCCATTCGAAGTGCAATTTCCACGATTGTTGCAAACTGGTGTACCTGGACAAAGTGTTGAAGGTTGTGTTGGCTTCGGTGTTGTAGTTGGTTTGGGTATAATACTTGGATAGATGGTAAATATATTTGAATATTTTCCATTTGTTATGACTCTTACATCAAAAGGTCCATTTGTTTCTCTAATCTCTATCTTTATAACAGAGTATGAGTTTAATTTTATTACACTAGAAGTATATCCGAATCCATCTCTAAGATCAATGAGAACTTGATTGTACTTTGGATCAAAATACTTTCCATAAATCAAAATTTCACCTCCTAAAGTTGATATCGATGATGAACTTTCAATGAAAGGTGAATAGATTCTGGTATTATTAAATACTCTTGAAATCATAAAAGGAAGAGATTCTGATTTCAATTGTGAAGTTAAATATGAACTATAAAATGACTGCCTGTTAACCAATCCATAAACAGATATGAAGATACCATCTCTTGTTCCATATCCAAATGGAAGCTGATAGGTTGCAGTATAGTGAGCATTGGTTGTGTTAATTGAATATATTTCCATCGGTATACTAATTGGGTCGACTAAAGGAGAAGTTAGGAAAATTGTGGGCTTGTGTCTAGGAGAAATTCCAACACTATCTGAAGTAAATACTTGGAATTCAATTGTCCTATTATTGGAGGAAACATCAATAATCTTCGGAGTAACTTCTAAATTGACAAGAGTTGGTCCACTTCTATTTTCAAGTTCTGGAACTATTATATTTTTCAATTAAAATATTAAAATTTTGTTATATATCAACAGATACAAAACAATTTATACCTACCTTCACAAATAATATTAACTTTCATTTGTTCTTCAAGAGCAGTTCCATATATTGGTAGAAATGAATCATACTTAACTGTGTCAGTGTTGTATAAATTTGCTCCAGAACTATCGAAAAGTGTAGCATTGAAAAGTTTAAGAGTTTGTGATCTACATTCAAAGTTTTCTAGATTGAAAGTTACAAGGTACTCATCTCCATTGATTCTATTACTTTCATTAATCGAGACCGTCATCAATAGTGGATCAATAGACGAGAGTAATTGAATAGTTCCATTGAAGAATCCACCTTTCTTATCTTCTATTCTAATCTTCCAATACAAAGAAATATTTTGATTGCTTTTTATTGTCACGTTTGATAGGCTAACTGTGACATTGGTAATCATAGGTGGAATTAAATCACCGTCTAAATAATTACAAAGAATTTTTAAAATTAGATATATATATAGTTTTTCTTGAATAATTGTTCATACTTGATTTACTAACTATTAATGATTCACGACCTAAAACAGATTGGAGCAATGAATTTACGATAATATAATTGATTTTTCCCTTAGGAAAACATGTAGGAATAGTGAAAGGAATCTTGAAAAGATTATCTGAGTAATCAAAATATCCTTTGAAGCTAAGGTATCTATCTATATACAGTAATGGTTCCAAAGTAGGATCATTGACAGTGAAGTTCATTATCAATATATTATCCACTGGTCCTTTTGTCAAATCAATATTATTCTTTTCAAATTTGAATATTGATTTTTCATTAAATGGATATGCTTAATAGAGAGTTAATAAACAGTATTAAAAAATAATTTCAATTTTTTACACTTACCAACAAAAATAGTGTCATCAAACTTTAGGATATCAAAATTTCTATTGTACGGTTCACCAGAGGAAATTTGTAATGAATTTCCATTTGCATTGATTATTCTTAGTGAGTCTATATTTTCAAAGTTTCTAAGAACTGTCTCAAAAATATAACTTTGGTTTCCAATATATACTGCATTGGCCAATTGATATGAAAGATAGGGATAGTATATATATAATATTTCAACTGGTGAAGTAATATCTATTCTAAATATATATGTATAAGGAGTCAATTGGATTCGTTCTATACTCTTTACATAAAAATCTGAACCATTGTCTTAATCAAAAAGTTAAAATCATATATTTCTAATATAGATAATTTTTACATACTTAAAATATTGAATGATTTTAAATCTGAATAATTATATCCCCAAGAAGAATAAAATGATCCTGGGGTTGAATTGGCCAATGGTAATTCAACTTTGAAATCAAATTTATCAGATGAAGTAATTAAATTCATACTCTGTGAATGAACGTTCACCATAAATTCTACCTTTTCAAGACTATATCTGAGGTAAGGAGAACTTGTGTTAAATCTATAGGAATATAAATTGACTTGAAGAGAGATTGGTTTTTCTTCTAAGGTAATAGGGATTGGTGGATCTAAAGTATACCAATATTAATATATGAATTTGAAAATAATAAAAAAATAGTTACCATTGATAAGAATAAAAGTCTGATAAGTTGCTATTAGATTAATTTGATTTTCGACCAGATAAAATGAACCTAGGTAGTTAGGACTGGAGTATGATTGATATGTAGTATGAGTGTCATTTTGATCTTTAACCATCATTCTATACGCAGGGTCAAAGAAGTAACTTGGACCATTGTTTGCAACTATTGTAAAACAATTTGCAATTTGATCTCTCTCCAACAAATTGGTTTCAGTAATAATAGAGTTATTTGCTGGGAGGGTACTAATTTCAAATTTAATAGGACTTGTAACTGTTTAGACTGGATTAGCGAGATGGATATTTATGTATAGTTCACTTAACACTTACCATTCCAAGGGAAAAGTGAATCAAAAGTTCTATTTAGAAAAACCATTCCATCTAGTGAGAGTTGAATATTAATGGTAGATGGAAGTGGAGTATTTATATTTGATGGCATAGTTTGTACAAATAGGTTTCTATAGTTGTTTGAAAGGGGAGATGATCCACAAATATAAACTATACTATTGGTAGTGCAAGTGTATTGAGTAATGGTTGTAATGTGGAAGTTTTTCAGGTTTGGAGGAAATTCCAAAACCATATACATAATATTTGAATAATATTCAGGCTTCATTATTTTAACATTTTCCCAAATATATGATTGATCTATTATTATTTTATAAAGGAAAATTACAATTTTTAATTCGAGATTTTTTGGATACTTTTAATATAATAACTTACCAATACATTCTCCACTGGGAATAGAAAACTTAAATGGGGGAGAAGTACCATTCAAAAGAGAGAAATTGAGAGTAGGAGTTCCATACGTATAATCTATTTTATATTTGAAAATTTGTTTTGAAAGACCATAACTGATTCCAAGAGTCTCTTTACCAGTGATAGATATTAAAGAAGTATTATCAGAAGATAAATTCTTATTATCAATTAAAAAATCAGCTGCAAACTGAATTGTAAAACTTGTGGAGCATAATCTTGAGTTTAATCTATAGATAGCAAGCTCTGGGATTGTATAGTTAACTATTTGAATTGGTTCACTAGAAACTAAAATATTTATTAATTTTTGTTTTTTTATCAAACCTATCGATTTATTCTTACCTTTTCTTTCAATTATTCCAATAAAAAATAATACAATACAAATAAAGAATTTATTGTCCATGTTATTTGTTGTAAACTAAAAATATGTTTTCGTAAAAAGTTCATCTTTTTTATGAAAATCGTCAAACTTTTTCCTGATATGAAAATCAAAAATATAAAAAAAAATCGAAATTTTTAATAAATCTGGATACCAGGTCTTTACACAGGAACCACAAAAGATCCAGAGAAAATATATCGAAAAATTTTTAGATCATAAATTTGTCTTCAAAACACGACAATCATATGATTAATGGTGCACTTTTTTTTTAATTTTTGTCTTTTGGTCACTTTTATTTGGTGCCAAACATATATAAAAAAAAATTTTGTGATATTATGTAATTGTGATTTTAGATTTATTTTTGTATTGTTTTTAATCTTTGAGTCATTTTCTTGTTTTCTCTCTTCATTTTTTTCTTTTTCATTACAAATATTGTTGTTCCTACTGCTATTGATACAAATACAACACCACCAACAACAATACCAGCAATTGCACCATTACTCAGTCCACCTTTTGATTTACAAAGGTATGAAATCGAACTGTCAGTTTCGACATCGATCAAATTCGAGAAATCTGGATCTAAAAGTGCGATGTTATCATAGGCCGGGAGTGTAATTCCAACTTTGATCGATCTGAATTGTGGGGTATTCTCATCTTCATCGTCAATGATTCTATTGGTGATCTTTGTTGGTTTGTCGTCGATGATACCGAAATCAATGAATCTTCCATAAAGACTGAGTTTATCGATATTCATCTTTATCCATTTAACATCATCTTTCGAACCATCTTTACCTCCGACTTGTGTTGATGAACAAGAATCTTTGTTGTTTGATTTGATTGTTGCTTCCAAAACGACTTGCAAAAGGTTGGTGCTCTTTGTGAAATTAAACTTTGAAAGTTCAATTGAATATTTGATTGATGATGCTTGAATGTTGAGTGTTGATTCACCAAATGTGATATTTGTTTGATTTTGATAGTATGTGATTGTTACGTTGATGTTGGTGGTTGTTCGTTCTAATTGTGAACTGTAAAGATAACTTGGATTGTTCATCGATTTCGATTGATCAGTGAAATTCCATTGTGATATTTTGAAGATCTGGACGATTTGATCTAAATCATCGATTTCTCTTACTTCGACAACATTAATCATTGATGTAACGTTGTTGTTGTTCACTGGAATGTTGGTTCCTGTTGATGGATCTGGTTGTGGTGTAGGTGGTGGAATGATAATGGTTTGGGAGGAACAAGTTGGACCTGTCCAAGGTGATTGGCATTGACATCCACCTATAGTACATTCTCCACGGTTGTTGCAAGGTGGTGTACCTGGACAAAGAGAGGCATCTGGTGGGCTCGTTGGCTTTGGTGACAGACTTGGCTTTGGTGTATTTACACGTATTACATTTACAAGTAGCACATTCGAAGCATAGATATCATTCTTTACAACTTTAACTTTGATGGTAGTTGAATTAATCGACTTTATATTACTTAACTGCAGTACCAAACCAGAGAAGAAGCTAGTAGTGACTAATTGATAGTCATTTCCATCATTGAAATCGATGTAAGCTTTCAATTTAGATTGAACTACTCCAAAAAGTTGTCCTGTCAATGTAAGTGATCCACCGTTCGATGTGAATAGTGACGCGGTCTCTAGAATCGGTATGTTGGTACTAAATTGCTTTTTGATTAGGTATGGGAATCCTGCATCTCTCAAATCTGTCGAAACATAAGAGTTATAGTTCAATTGTTTATCAACCAAACCGGTGACTGATACCAAGATGTTTCTCATACCAAAACCAAACGGTAGCTGTTTTTTTACGTGGTAGGTAGCGTGTGAGGTATTATAGGTATCCAATGTTGTCTCCAGGTAGAGTTCATTTGTGTTCTCTGAAATCAACCTAATAATTGGTAGATGACGTTTTGAAATTCCACTACCGTCTCCATCGGTAACCGATAAACTAGCCTCGAATTCTCTGTTAATTGAACTAGTATCGATTATCTCTGTAAAAGACAAACTAGTTATATTGGGTGGAATATATTCTTGAACTTGATCTGCAGTGGATGGATTCGAATTAATTTTAAAAAAAAACAAAAAGAAATGATTAATTATTTTCGGGAAATAAAAATCGTTAAAAGTGAGTTGTAACATTTCATACCTGAACAATTTAAATATATTTTCAGTTGTGGTTCTTGTGGAGTGTTGACGATTGTATTTATAGCACTATAAGCTATAGTAGTGTAGTTACTATCGAACAAATTAATATTGGTGAGAGCAAAGGTTTGTGATCTACAAGGAAGTTCGACTGGGAACATGATTCGGTAAGTTGCATCGTTTGGTGAACCACTGATAAAGTGTGTAGCATTCATCACAACATTACGCGGTAGAACATCTAAATCAGATACAATATCAAATGTAGCCTTGTAGAAACCATTTGGTTTGTCTGTTATTACAAATTCCCATCCATAATAGTTCTGGCCATCTTCTGAAGCATTAAGAGAAGTCGATGGCTGTGCACGAACTGAGTCCAATCTAGGTTGTAAAAGATCATTGGCTAATCAATTTGTAAGCATTAGTTAGTTAATCTTCTATAAAGAATTCAGTATACTACATACTCGACTTTGTTATGTTAATTATTAAGAGATTGGTATCAATTAAAATTGATTCCTTTGTTACACCATCATACACTGCTAAGATTAAAGGGCCTTCTAAATATATAGGCTCAATAACAAAATGGATAACATATTGATTTACAGTTGGATCGAACGATCCATTATATTCAGTACCACAAGCAACCGATGGAATAAGATCAGTAAGAATACTAGACATATTGAAACGAATAGTATTGCTCACAGGTCCATTTGATAAATCGATTTCTCTTTTTTCTATTTCAAAATAAGTTATATTTTGATAGTTCAAATCTGTAATTAAAATAAAAAACATATTTTAAGTAAATTCGTAAAAATAAAGGAAAAGATAAACTTTACTTACCAGTTCTTGTAAAAGGAACAGTGGATGGAATGAATTCATAATTATCGTTATATGGTGTATACATAGCTACCATTTGGCTAAATCCACGTACATTTACAATATTAAAGTTTGATATGGACTCAATCCTGGAAGTTATTACTTTCTCAAAGGTTCCACTCTGTAAAGTTCCATCTACCAGATGAGATGAATACAAAATCGATCCTCTAACAGATGCAGATAGAAAATCATAGTTTGATTCCACCTTGATTCTAAATAAAAAGGTGTAGGAAGACAACTTTATATATTCTACCTTTTGAACGTTGATATAAGGTTGCTCTATTTAATAATGGTTAGATTGATTAAATATGTTATATTATTTTGGAAAAAATATACTTACCTGTATAATTTGACTGCAATCCTACATTTTGGGACATTACACCAAAGGATAGGTAAACACTACCTTCAAACTCTCCCAAAAATGGGAATTCAGTTGTAAACCCAAAATTTCGTAAATTTGTTCCAGAGTTTGGATAGCCAGTGGTGAATCTATAGTCGTTTCCAGAATCGGTTGATTGGGATAGAGTATATGGTATTTGTTCATAGGCTGAAAAGAAAGTTCTGACAATGGTTCCATTCATTTTAGTATCAACTTCACTGTGTGTAACGAAACTTCCCATATTCCAATCTAGATTGGTATTGAAGAAAATTATTAGTAATTATTAGATTTTATAAATTAATAAAAATAATTTAAAATGAAAACTTACTGAAATAATTAACCATCATTGTATTATAAGATATTTCATCTGAATTTTTATCATTTATATATGAATATAATCCTCTTGATGCTGGATTTATGAGAGTGGTGGTACCATTTTCAATTCGTACTGGATAGTAGCCATTGAAATAGTCGGAACCTCCATAACTATATAAAAAAATAGAATTGAGGTTTTCAACCTCTATAATGTTGGTAAGTCCAATGTATGCCGCATTTTGTCTGAAATCATCATTAAAAGTGGATTCATTTAAAGGAAAACTATCAATTGAAAGGATTTTTGATGTTCTTTCCACTAATAAAAAGTAAATGAGTACAAGTTCTTATAAAACAAGCAAAATAATAATAAATACTCACCATTATAAGGGAATGAAGAATCAATGGTAATATTTAGAGAAAAAGGGTTTAAATTAAGAGTAATTGGAATAATACTATTCAAACTAGAATATCTTGCTTTCATCTCTACTCTTAAAGAAAAATAACCACCATTCAACATTGATACGAAATAACAACTGTAAATTGATGGTGCAGTACAACTTGAGTCATATTGGAATCTGTGCTCTGTATACAAATTCAATTTAACTAGAGATTCCATATACCATCCTTCTGAATTTAGAGGTTTACTCATTTCTATAATTGTAAAATTATCTGATGTATAGCCTAATAATATTATAGAAATATATAAATAAATAATTTATTAATTAAAATATTATTATTTAAGATAAATTTTAGTTTATACAAACCAACACATTCTAACTCTCCGACATTTATAAAGAAATTTCCTTGAGTATCATTTTTGAATTCTAAATGTAATTGTGTTTTTTTCATTGTTGGTGAATAGGTTACATCCACATAGAAGTCAAAAAATTGTTTCGATAGATTATCTTGTCGAATAGATCTAGCATCTAGATTGGCTAAATTAAGGGCATTCGAACCAAGTTGGAAATTAGAGACTTGCATAAAAAAGGAAGCAGTAAACACCGCTGAAAACCTCATATTACAAACTCCATTGGTTGTTAAGGATGGAGGTTGAGTTGTTACACTGTTTATATACATAACTTCTTGAGATGATACATTTTTATCTTTTTTATTATTTAAGGAAAAATATTAAAAAAAATGGTTAATTTAATTATTAAATTTTAATCTTTTTTTTTTTCAATAAAATTGGAATTCTATGTACAAATCAATAGTTGAAAAAATATAAATAGAAATATTTTATAGTAATTATACTTATACATTATTTATTTCTAGTTTGTGTCTGGATAAAAAGAAAAGATATTTTTTAAAATAAGATTTTTTTTTTTTTTTGAAGCTATCATATTAATTTACAATTTAAAAAGCAAATCAGATCAAAATAAAATTCAAAAAAAAAATTAAAAAATATAAATGTTTAATGATTTTTTAACTCAAGTCTGCATCAATATGTTGATGGACAGTGTCCATCTTAAAAACAACTGTTCTTTGAGAATCCGAAAGATTTTTTTTTGATTTTTTTTTTTTTTTTGCAAATGTCAAATGGCTTTTTTGAAGTTTCAAAAAAGGAAAGTAGGGGGTTTCGCAAAAAACTATGTTTTTTTTTATACCGATTATTTTTTGGATATTTTTTATATATGTCAAAAAAACAAAAGATCTTCAAATTAAACCGTTATTCAAATCAGATTGAACCGATCTTATCAAGTATGAATGATATCTTGATTTAAATAATACAATATTCCTAGAGATTTTTTTTTTTTTTATTTAATAGCTCTTAGTTTTTGAGACATTCTCTTATCCTCTCTATCTGACTTTAATCTTTTGTGGAGGAACACTGAACCTGCAATGACAATTGATAAAAATACAACACCACCAACAACAATACCAGCAATTGCACCATTACTCAGTCCACCTTTTGATTTACAAAGATATGAAATCGAACTGTCAGTTTCGACATCGATCAAATTCGAGAAATCTGGATCTAAAAGTGCGATGTTGTCATAGGCTGGGAGTGTAATTCCAACTTTGATCGATCTGAATTGTGACGAATCACTTTCATTGTCATCTTCATCGTCAATGATTCTATTGGTGATCTTTGTTGGTTTGTCGTCGATGATACCGAAATCAATGAATCTTCCATAAAGACTGAGTTTATCGATATTCATCTTTATCCATTTAACATCATCTTTTGAACCATCTTCACTTCCAAACTGTGTTGATGAACAAGAATCTTTGTTGTTTGATTTGATTGTTGCTTCCAAAACGACTTGCAAAAGGTTGGTGCTCTTGGTGAAATTAAACTTTGAAAGTTCAATTGAATATTTGATTGATGATGCTTGAATGTTGAGTGTTGATTCACCAAATGTGATATTTGTTTGATTTTGATAGTATGTGATTGTTACGTTGATGTTGGTGGTTGTTCGTTCTAATTGTGAACTGTAAAGATAACTTGGATTGTTCATCGATTTCGATTGATCAGTGAAATTCCATTGTGATATATTAAAGGTTTGGACGATTTGATCTAAATCATCGATTTCTCTTACTTCGACAACATTAATCATTGATGTAACGTTGTTGTTATTATCGGCAATGTTGGTTCCTGTTGATGGATCTGGTTGTGGTGTAGGTGTTGGAATGACAATGGTTTGGGAGGAACAGGATGGACCTGTCCAAGATGCTTGGCATTGACAGCCACTTGGAGTACAGTCTCCACGGTTGTTGCAAGGTGGAGTACCAGGACATATATTCGAAGGATTCGATGTTGGCTTTGGTGGTGGTGGGATGTAGTTGTATGGATATATCAATATATCCTGGGATTGTTTGTTGGTAGTGAGCGATGTAACGTGTACTTTGATAACAGAGGCATTGATATTGCCAATATCAACAGTCTGAATAATACCACCAGAGGCGAAATTAACATTAAAATTCTTGGTACCTCTTTGGTCAAGATAATTGACAGTGACACTAAGCTGATCTCTAAATACTCCGAATGCCTTTCCAAAGAGAGTAAGCGATCCTCCATCCGTACTGATAGGTCTAGCTGACTCTAAGATTGGTGTATTCAGAGTGAAGTTTCTCTTAATGAAATAGTTGAATCCTGCGTTCTTTAGATCGGTAGATGTATATGATCTGCTATTCAAGTTGAGATCGACTATGCCATGAACCGATACCAAGATATTCTTTGTGGAGAAACCAAATGGTAAGCTAAAGGAACCATTGAAAGCATTTAAGGTTTTTCCTTCAGGTTGCAGTTGATATTTAATTGGATCTGCATTGTCTGGTGTCAAAAGAACATAAGGAATATGTGTACTGGATAAACCAACCAAGTTGTCTTGAAGCACCAATTTGAAATCGACCACTCTCATCGGCGAACCAACATCAACTGCAGGAGTACAATAAAATAATGAAATTTCAGGTGGAGTTAAGTCAATTGGTGCTATTATTATTTTTGATAAATAGATATTAGTTTTAAATTCAACTTTAATAAATATAACTTTCCTATACCAAGGAATACATACTTGTATTTTCAACTAAAATTGACTTTTGAATATCGTATTTACCAAATACCCATGACAAATGATCTACCAACATATAATTAGGCTTGGCAAGACTGATTTCATAGAGTTTCAAATTGGTCAATTTGAAAGTCTGAGTGACAGTACTATTCTCTAGATAAAAGCCAACCAAATAAGTACCCAAGTTCGGGTTGCCAGTTGTTCTATTGAGCTTATTGAACATCAATGAAATTGGTTTGATATCCATATCTGAAATTACATCGACTGTACCATAGTCGAAACCATTTGGACTATCCTCTATTGTTAGATACCATCCTATAGTTTGAGCGACACCACCTAACATAACATTATCAGATGGATATGCAGTAATATTTGTTAACACTGGTGGGAACAAATCTCCAACTATATATAAAGATTGATTAACCTCTTGTTAGTGAAATGAAAAAGAGGTATGAATTATCTCGAACATTAAATAACTAGATATCTTACCTGAGTGTAATATTGTTAGATTAGCAGCTTGACCAACAATTGATTTAATAAAAGATGATTGCATATCGAATAGACCATATTTACTCTCGTAGATATGGTATGGCACTTCACCTGGTAACATTTCAGTGGGAACAAAGAAATTAACTTGAAATTCGTTGGAGCTGTAATTGTAGATGGCTGGGAAGGTTAAGCTGGTATTTTGGAGATTAAATTGCAAATCAAATGCATTTACATTCGAACTAGTGAAATTAAAGTACAATGTAACATTGATTGATTTACTTGATGATTTCGAAAAATCAATTACACTTTTACTGAATCTAAACGATTGAATATCATAAACATTTACAACTATAATTCGATATCAAATTAAAAGATAATTTAGTTAATTTTTGAACAATATATATGTTTTGTACATATCTATTATTTTTACTTACTTGATTTGGCTGTTGTAAAATTCTGTTGAACAACCATCATATCAATATTATAGGCTTGGGGGCTAGTGAATGAAACTTTTGTATTTCTCGAATCGAATATATCGAATTGACAATTCTTATAAAAGATTCTTGGGAATACGACTTCGAATATTCCATTGTTAAGATCTCCATATACTAGCGATTCTCCTGCATTCAAAGTATACATGGTGCTTACAGAAATCTTAAATATAGGATATCTAGAAGTAATATTGAATCTAGCTACAAACTCGGCATCCGATACAATAAATACATCTACCTTATATATTGTCATAAGTGATTCTTTTTTTAACGAAAAAAAGACAAATTTAAGATTAATGAAAAGATCTAGTGTATCAGCATTATCATTATGTTATTAATTATACATACCAGGTAAATTGCTTGGAATTGATAAATAAGCACCTGAATTGGGAAGTGTAACTGCAAAATCACCATTATACTCTGACAAGATAGGAAGTGAAAAGTTGTAGGTATAGACTGCTTGAACATTGTCAATATAAGGTTGAATATCAGTAATCTCTAAGTTTAGCCCGGGATTTCTTTGCAATGAAAATTTATAGTTTTTGATGCTTGTTGCTGGAAGTTGATATTCCACTATTATACCTCCGAAATCGGGATCATTATAATATGATAGCACTCCATTGATTTCATTTACTATTATTTATAATTAATTTGTAAGCTAAAATCGATAAATAAACTTTTAAATATTAAATATATAACATACCAGGTCGAGGAAATAGGGTAATATTATAGTTTGCAATGAAAACAGCTTGATTGTCAACCTCGTAACCATCGAATGTCAAATTTCTACTTGTTGGACTGACTCTGATGTATTTATTCGAGGTGTCGTTCACCCATGCCAATGGGTATGGAACATAACCGTCGGGACCGATCGACATAAAAATTGAACTGACATCGGATGCCTCTACCACGGTTATTACTTCTACAATTTCCTCCGGAGTGTCGGTTGTGAATGATTGTGCGGTTGGCGGATAGGAATTGAGATGATCGATAATAGTAGTGCTCCTTTGTAAAAATGGAAATCGATTATCGACTTCGATTTGCATCGCTGAAGATACATAGTAAATATCGATAGGGATTTTCGCTGGTATCGGACCGACAAGCGTTGTCATCAGAGTTACATATACAAAATAATGGCGGACATCGATCACTACTATTTGGCACGACAGTCCTGGAACACTGTCAAGAGTGCAGGTCAGTAAGTTTGGTGGATTCTCTGGATTGAAATCGTACTCTAACACTGTAACCAGTTTATAACTGAGTGAATCAAAGACAGTCTCACTTTGGTTGAGCAACGTGAATACACCCAGAGGGGCGCGACTACATGAGAATGGACCCAGAGTAAACGCTTGATTACTGATATTGAAAGAGTAGCTAATATTATCTAGATATCTGACCATCAGTTGCAACGAAACCAATTGATGATCCAGATCGGACCTGACATTGCTTTGCACTTGAATATTACCACTGAAACCCTTATCACTGAGATTCGAAAAGTCTTCATTCGATAGCATGGTCGGTGCTGAAAATAACATTGACAACCATGTAAAACAGAAACTTTCTGCAACCATCTTCTTTTCATAGTTAGTGGTGTTCAATAATGTAATTTGTCCATTTATAAAATAATGATCATTATGGCTATTTATAACTAATCATTAAAAAAAAAAAAGTAAGTTTTTTGTTTTTTTTTTTCCAATCAACGATTGTTTGTTGTGTGATTTTTACTTAAAAAAATATTAATATTAAAGATAAAAAAAATTTCATTTCATTGAGCTTATTATTTATATAAGAAAATATATATATGTATACAACGTTTAAAAATGAAATGAGTTTAATAAAAAGAAATATTATAAATTTTTTTTTGTTTTTGTTTGGTAAAGGACCTTAAATCTCTGAATCAATAGAAAAATTAAATTAATTTAATTTATGAGAAATAAGTGATAAGATGGTTTAAAAGGTTGGCAAAAAAACAAAAATATCTTTTTATTATGAAAAAACATCATATTATAATATTTTTGAGATAAATTGTTGTTTTAAACAGCTGTGAGGCACCACAAAATCAATAGGATATTTGGTTTGGAAGCCGAAAACTTTTAAATTTTAAAAAGTATTTACGATTTTTTTAAGAATCTCCAAATATCAAAAATATTTTTGAAATTTGTATTTTTTAATTATTTTGTATTAAAAAATCCATTGTCTATCTTGGCATGATCGGGAGTTTAATTTTACATGTGTTATCGAACTACAAAAAAATACCATCCACCAAAAATTTTCACACACTTTTTCAGTTTTTGAAGAAAAAAAAAAAAAAAAAGTTTAAAATAATTATTAAAAATCTGATCAGAGTATTTATTTGTATTAATTAATAAGAAAAATCTGACAAAAATAGAAAGATAGAATAAAAAAAGTTGACAACTCTTTTAAAAAATAACAATAAAATAAAATAAAATAGTTTGGTTTAGATTAGCTTAGTTTCTTTTTTTTTGGATAGTTAGTTGCAAGAGTAAAGAAATAGTATACTTGTAGTTGGATCAGAGAGATATTTCAGAATTTTAGTGAAACAGCTATGATGTCAGACCAATTGGGTAGTAGTAAAAGTGGAGCGGTCGATCAGTTGAACGGTAACAACGCTGGTAGTGATAAAGCAAAACCACTGTTGATAGGCGATGAGAATAACAGTAGTAGTAGCATTTCGATCGATGATGAAGACGACAGTGACAAGGCATCGCTTGTTGCACCAACGATCGACGAGATGCTCTCAAAGATAGACGAGACAACATTGGCGAATCTCGACAAACCGATGATGGTGAGAAAGTATCAGCATGAAGACTGTTCGACACCGGAGTGGTTCGAACATTCCAAACACGTCTTTATATTCTCGTTGTCCGGTAAGCCTATCTATTCGCGTTACGGTGACGAAGTGCAACTCAATACATTCATGGCGACACTCTCTGCGATGTCGTCGTTTGTCGAATCACAGAAAGACGAACTACGTTACATCAATGCCGGTGCATTCAAATTCGTGTTTCTGCATCGTGATCCACTCTGTCTCGTATCGATATACAACACTAGCGAACCACCACAGATAGTATCTGCACAACTGGAATACATGCATGCACTGGTTGTATCGATGCTTACACAAACCAACATGAAAGCGGTATTCGATGCTAAATATGATCTACGTGATCTATTAGGAGGTAATTATTATTATTATCTATTAAAACAACAATATATATATATATATATAAAGAATAACAAAATGTTAATTTTATTTATTTATCTAACACTTACCTACCTATAGGTACTGATAAATTCTTGGATAACTTGATGAAAACAATTGATAATGATACATCGATTTTGTTAAACTCTGTAAATTGTTTAAGATTAAATTATAATACAAGAAATGAAATTACAACAATCATTCATAATAATAGACATGAATCTGTATTGTAAGTATATACAATATTTGATTTATCTTTAAAGATGTTAATAATAATAATAACACCATTTATGTTCAAATTAAAATAGATTTGCTTTACTTGTTGCAGGAAACAAACTAGTTAGTTTTGTTAAACAAAAGAAATACTCTTTAAAACCACAAGGTATATATATATTAAGAATCTTTTCTATTTTCATCTATAATCTTTTATTAATATCAATATCTTTGTTCATTATAATGTAAATTAAATAGATATACATATCGTTATGAACTTTGTATCATCAACATCATCATTCAGAGAGTCGGAAACATGGACACCAATATGTCTGCCCAATTTCAATGATGCAGGTTTCCTTCATCTCTATATTTGTTATATTATGCCAGATGTTTGTCTTTTATTATTCTCTGCTCAGGCAGAAGCATTTTATCACCTTAGTTCATCAAAAGATGCAATTGTAAAGGTAATTAGATAACTATATTTAGTGTTTACAATTTAACTTTAACTATATATATATTAATAATAAATGTTATTATATTTTAGGAATTAGAATCACGAAACCTATTAGAGGAACTATCTAAAGCTGTACAGAATCACGGTTACTCTGTGGAAGCCACCGGTGTGCCATATCTCTTACACTTTATGTATAAATCACGATCAACACTTTTCACAACGTCTCCAAAGCTGACGGCACCCTACATTCAAAAGCAAGAAAAGAAACGATTGTTCAGACTGTACCAACACATTACGAACCGAGTGAACAACACCTGCACCAAACCACACAAATACTTCTATCACACAAGTCAAAATGAAACAGTCATGGTTGCTGTTGCCAGCTCACACGAGCTCTATGCCACTTTTTCGCCACTCGAAAGCAAACAAAATGTTTTCGATTCTTTCTCACAGTTACTACAGTGGATAAAAGATAATGAATCAAGTTTATTTATTCAACAATAATATTATTATTATTCTTATATATACATATATATATATTTTTACACTAACCTTTCATTACACTACATTCCAATTCAAAATACTATATTATATCAAATCAAATCAAATCAAAAATCAAATCAAATCAAACAACTCAACAACAATTCAAACTTTTAATATCAAATTTATTCAATTGACACAAATAATCTTTGTTTTAATAAATATAGATATTTATAATCCATTCCTTAAAATTTTAAAAGACTAGTTTGTTATTAATTTTTTATTTTTATTTTTATTTTTATTTATTTATTTGAAGTTCGCTATTTTGATTGACAAAACAAGTTATATCTTTCTATTCATTCTAAAACTTGAAATAACCTTACAATTGTTTCGAACTTAACAAGAGTTTTGATTGATTAAAGATAAATAAAAATAGAAAATGACCAACGACTATTCGAATTGTTTAACAAATGTGAGAAGGTTGTAAGAAAATATGAAACTCTACCACAAACAAATAATATCAAACAATCAAATTATCCTAATCTATGGGTTTGAAAAGTTAATGGGCTTGATTTACTTCTTAGAAAAAAACAGAGTTGGTTGTTTATGATTTGATTCGAATAGTCTTCGAATGAAATAGATCTGTTTATATGATGATCTCGGGAAGGTGTGTTATGTTTCAAACACTAGTAATAACAACAAATAATCGAGTCAATGAGGATGTTGGGTTAAAAAAAAATATCTTGGAGAACCAAAAAAACAAACGGTCTAATTTGGCTTTTTCAATTTAAAATTTTTGTTCATTATGTAACCCTTATAAAGAACATTGTTTATATTTTTGTTTTTTCCCCAATAGTTAAATGAGATAAAACAATCCTATAACTTTAATTATTTGAAAATTTCATAGTATGCAGAAAAAAATCAAAAAATAATTAATTATTAATAATCATTATACAATGACCACACCCCTTCAACTTAACCATCGATTTTTCAAATTCGAACTACTTTGTTGGGTGGATAATTGCATTTCTTGATTCCTTATTTTTCTTGTTTATAAATAGAAACTAATGAAATGAATTATTATTCACTACAAGTTCATTTTATTATATTTTTTAAATAAATATAAATTACAAATGTATAAAAAATATTTATTACTATTAATATCGGTGACAACGTTAATCGTTGCCAATGGAGGAGCTGTTCCGACTGTTGTAGTTGGTGAAGATTGGTCGTTCCCAGCAAGTGTCCAACAAGCTCCAAACTCTGGTTTATATAGTGAGGAAGCTTCACCCAACTATAATGTAAACCTAAAGGTTTTCGATGTTGCATGGAAACAAATTAACCCTTCACAAGGTGTTTATGCCACCAATATCCAAGCTACTGTTAAAGATATGCCATTTGCTACATTCGCATCCCAAAATGCTTCAACCAGTCCATTTTGGATGAGAATTTGGAACTCTGGTGATTTGTGGGCACCATCTTATGTAAAAACATTGTGTAATGTTGGAGTCATTGGTAAAGACTATGATGGTGAAGGTCACCTCCCAATTTGGAATACCTGTGTATGGAATGAAATTAAAGCTATGTATAGATATGTAAGTTATTATTTTTAAAATCAAGTACTATTTCTTTTAAATTATTAATATCTTTTTTGAATTAATTTTATAATAGTTCTTTTTAACTAAAAACATGAGAGCTGATCCAAGATTAAAGTTTGTAAGTATTTACAAGGTATAATTAAAAAAATTGAAAAAAATTACAGTCTTATTAATTGATTGAATATCTAGATCCAAATTCCAGGTGCATTCAATTGGTGTGAGTTTGATTTTGATGTCATTGGAAATTATTCGACCTCAACTGGTTATACTTTTGCTGTATGTTTTGTTAAATAGAAGTTCAGTATAAATTTTAATACTAATCTTTCTAATCTTCTTATAGCAATTCAACACTTGGTTCCAAACAGCCATGGATGATTTGGTTTATATCTTTAATGGTGAGAATAATGATCCAACCGATGACTATGCCTATAAATTGATTTACACTGGTGAGGACTACCCATTCGATGTTGATAGCTGGCCCGCTGCCAAGAATAAATTGGCATCCGATGCAGTCAATAGAGGAATGGGTATCAGAACTGGAATTACTGAGGTTTCCAATTTCCATTTGTCAAACATCCCAGCCTATGGATACTTGATTGACTCGAATGGCTACATGGTTCTGAACAAATCATCGATACTCCAAAACAATCCAAAGCGTGTTATTGCCACAGAGAACGAGTGCTACAATGCCTGTGGCTACAAGGTTCCAGCCGCCAACATTTTTTACGCCGTCAAGATGTCTAATCTAAAAGCGCTTCAAATGGGTGTTAACTGGCTTTATGTTGTAAACAACGACAGTTACCTTAAACAGTACACAGCTCATTGGAACTGGGTGAGACTCTCATTGGGTAGATATCCAAACACTGCATTCGATGCTTGGGTAGCTCTGAGAGACGCTCAGGATAAGTTTAGCTATGGATTCTCATGGACTGGTGCTCCATACGTCAAGAACTACGAGCGTTTCTTGACTCAGCGCGATGTCGTTGGTGCAGTCACCAAGCGTGGTACCACCAAATACACCAACGTAGTCGAGTCCAACAATGGAATTGCCTATGAGGGTAGACAAACCGATATTCCAAACAATCCATCGATTGTATTCTATTTGGACGATCAATTCATTGTGCCAACCAGTAATATTTCCACACCAGTTCAGGTAAAGGTTACTTATCTCGATAATCAAGCAACTTCCTGGATATTACAATATACCAATACCGCTGGTGTCTTGGTCAGTTCCGACCCAGTTGTTCAACAAGGAACTTCAAAGGCACTAACCACTGCTACATTTACATTGACCGATGCTCTCTTCCAAAACAATGTTCAACCTGGTAACTCTGATTTCAAGATAACTACCACTGGATCCCAAAACATTGAAATTTGGTTTGTTAGAGTTATTAAACAATAATTATTATATTAGATTATTTTCTATTATCACCATTAAATAAAATATATTTTTGTTATATATATTCACGTTTATTGCAATGAATGTACGAATAAAGTGGTTGAAATTAAACAAAATTTTAAAATTTGGCGCGAGAAGCATTACCACAGTTCTTTAAAACAGATTTACCCACAATAATCTATTTCTCTCCTTTTATTGATTAAAAATACCAATAATGATCTGTACGCCATTCTTTAAAATAATCTATAAACAGTAGTTGTAATAATATTTGAAAAAAAACAATCAAGTTTATTAGAATGTGAATATCTGAACGATATCAGATGATTTCTATTTTAACCTGTTGTTTGGATATGTGATACATTCATTCTTTCAAAAAAGTTTATGAAAAATGATATCCTAATGCTGAAACTTGTTTTTCTTTAGATAAAATTTTGTATGTATCACAATAGCTTTTGGTTGGGGGTAGGTTTTTGCATTATAATTGTTTGGCGAGCCTCTATTCTATTCGAATTTGGTCTAGCTAACTAATGTTGTTGGAATTGTTATTGTTGCTGTTGTTGTTGTTATTGTTATTGTTATTGTTATTGTTATTGTTGATATGCCTTGATAATTTACAATGATGACGATGATAATGTTATTTTTATGCCCGATAGTTTGTAGGTTCTAACTCTGAATCTGCTTCGTTGATATCGAGGTTGATGATTTTGTGATCGTAGTCATCGTACTCTCTAAAGTTGTATGGTTCTTCTTCGATGTCATCGTTGTCATCGACAGGATCATCGTGCATCGAAATCAACGTGTAAGCAGAGAGAGCTCTGTATTGTCGAGCCGCAATAAAGAATACAACGAGTGAGCCAATCGAGCACAACACCGAGATAACGATGTAAACAACAGTTATCTCTGGTTTTGCTTTGTGTTTATAGGGTGGAGTGTAAGGATCACCGGATGACGACGACTGCGATGAATCACTATTATTGCCACCACCATCATTATTACCACCAGCGTTATTACTATTATCATTGTTGTTATTATAGTTATGTGTGTAGGTGAAGGTATTAGAGGCAACAAGCTCAGTCTTAACGTAAGCAGTGACAGGTTTATCGAATTGAAACAACTTGACAACCAACAGGGTGTGGTCATTCTGAATAGTTACTTCCACCAAATCGAAATAAGAGTAACCGTCGTATCTTACAATCACACTCATCTCGTTGTCATTAGTATAATCAAATTGACCTTCTATATAAGTCAAACCATCTTGATCATATACATTTCTAATAACTAAAGAATAATCCAAGTTAGTTTAGAATTTTTAAACATATCTATCTATAGATAATAATACTTACAATTACATTGAATAAAATTTAAATTTAAATTTAATAAAACAATTATAAATACAAAATATTGATTATACATTTTAACATAACATTTTAAGATTAGAAAAAAAAAAAAAGAGAGTTCCCTCAAAAGAATGAGGCGTTTAATATTATTAACCAAGAGTTACTTCTTAAAAATCGGCCACTTGGTTGCTGGGAAAAAAAGAAAAAAAACTTTCCCTGGTATGATTTGTAAATGATTGTTTTAATTTTTAACTCATAATTTGTTGATATTTATTGTTAAATGAAAAAGCAGAAAGATAAATTTAATAAAATATAAAATAGAGAGTGATGTTAAGATTTTTAAATAAAAGTAATTATATTACTTCGAGTTTACATAAAAATGTTGTTGTTACTAGAAATACTTTAAATTATTGTACATCAACTGTAACAAACAAGAGTAGTAAAAGTAGTTGTTTAAATAGTAATAAGAATGATAATAATAATAGTAGTAGTGCTGAGAGTATAAATATTAAATTAGATGAAACAAAGAAATTATTAGAGAAACTAAGAAATGAAACGACAACAACAACATCATTGAATAATAACAACAATAGCAATGATATTCTAACAGATACATTTGGAAGAGTACATAGTTATCTAAGAATATCACTTACGGAACGATGTAATCTTCGTTGTCAGTACTGTATGCCTGAAGAAGGTGTACCATTGCAACCAACCAGCCAACTGCTGACCAACGACGAGATCATCAGACTCTCCAAACTCTTTGTTTCATCTGGTGTATCAAAGATTAGATTCACAGGTGGTGAACCATTGGTAATCTATCGATATATATGATCATATTATACATGTATTTCATATATATATATATATTAATCTTATTTCTATTAATAGGTTAGAAAAGATGTTGAACCATTGATCGAGGAGATTGGTAAGATCAAAGGATTAAAGACGATTGCTATGACAACCAATGGTATTCTACTGAATAGAAAGATCGAGAGATTACATAACGCTGGTTTGAATCTGTTGAATATTAGTCTAGATACATTGGATACCAATAAGTTCACTATAATCACAAGAAGATTGGGTTGGGAAAGAGTAATGGAGTCAATCGAGAAAGCACTGTCACTTAATTTCAATCCCGTAAAGATAAATTGTGTTGTAATGAGAGATCTTAATGATTATGAAGTAAGTATTGTATTAATTTAGAATATATATTCATGAATACAAAAAAAAACTAACTAAACTTTACTATCATTTAATGTTAAATCAAATTAGATATGTGATTTCGTAGAGATGACAAGAGATAAACCAATTGAAATTAGATTCATTGAGTATATGCCATTCGATGGTAATCGTTGGAACGACAAGAAATTTGTATCATATAAAGAGATGTTGCAAAGAATCATCAATAAGTTTGGTTCCATCGAGAAATGTGTGGAAGATCATCCCAACAATACATCAAAGACCTACCAAGTGCCAGGATTCACCGGTAAAGTTGGTTTTATCACATCGATGAGTGAACATTTTTGTAGTTCTTGTAACAGACTTAGAATAACTGCCGATGGTAATCTTAAAGTATGTAACAACTTACTATTATAGTATAGTATATCTATCTTTTGCGATTGTAATGAATGTTATCTAACAACCACTAATACAAATAATAATAATAATTATTATTATTTCATGTATAGGTTTGTTTATTTGGGAATGCAGAGGTATCACTTAGAGACTTTATGAGAGTGGGTGCAACCGATGAAGATCTACTAAAGATTATCAATGCTGCTGTACTAAAGAAAAAAGAATCTCATGCCGGTATGTACGAGATTGCAAAGAGCCAAAATAGACCTATGATTTTAATTGGTGGATAGACTTTTGGATCGATAATCACACTATCAATAATAAATGTACATATAATATATATAAACTAACAACAAACCAATCTCTACCTATTTCTGTATAAAATAATAATAATTATTATTATTTACATTATTTTTAAATTAATTAGTTTATTTACATTTAAAGTTATGGTTAAAGAATATTTTATCATTTATTAATACAATTTGTATTACTACAACAAGTAACAAGAGATCCACTTCCACTTCCACTTCTACTTCTACTCTTTTTAATAATGGCAATAATATGAATATGTTTGGTTATGTTCTTGCTACTGCTGCTGTTGCTCGTTGTTACTCTACCAAATCAAACAACAACAACAACAATAGCAACAATGGTAATAAAGAGTTCACACATATTGATCAAGTGAAGAGGTTACCTACGATGGTTGATGTATCTGATAAGCTGGTAACAAAGAGAAGTGCAACTGCAAGAGCAGTTATTGAATTCCCAGAGTTTGTACTTTCACAATTGACTGGCTCCAGTGGTGTTGGTGAAGTAGCTGATGGAGTTGCTGCTGCTGTTAGTAGTAGTCGTGACATTCAATCAAAGAAAGGACCAGTCTTTGCAACATCAATCGTTGCCGGTACAATGGCAGTCAAGAACACCAGTAATCTCATTCCATTCTGCCATCCACTGCCAATTGAAAACTGTAAATTCAACATTGAAATCATTTCGAAAACCAGTGTGCAAGTAGATTGCACTGTGTCTGTCACACACAAGACTGGTGTCGAGATGGAAGCACTGACCGGTTGTTCAGTGGCAAGTCTATGCATCTACGACATGTGTAAAGCACTCTCACACGCCATCGTTATCAAAGAGATCAAGTTACTATCTAAAACAGGTGGAAAAAGTGATATCTCTCTCGAAATACCAAAAGAGAAAACAAACTAATTATTTAATCATTTTCATTGCGCTATCATTATAATTATGTCAACTTTGTTTATGGTTTTTTCTTTTTTTTTTTTTTTGTAATTAATAATATTACCAACAATGCGAATTCTGTCACATTTTATAATGTTATAAAAGTTACAGTTTAATTAATTAAACCATCAATCAATTCATTTAAATATTTTGATATATGTTTAAGAATATTAGAATTTATAATGTTTAAAATGAAATGATTTTTGATCATTCTATATTATATATTATTATCATTCATTAGTTAGTTAGTTTATCTATAGATAAATATTTAAACAATGGCAGAAGGTTTTAGTGAAGTGAATGAAGGTTTTTGTGGAGATATATTCGATATCTTTGTTTATTTATTTTGTTTAATTGGAGGTGCACTCTATTTCATTGGATATCTATTTTACAAAATAATATTGGTACCTGTAGCTGTTGTAATTGGTGTTATTTTAACTGTTTATTTCTTAGTTGGACCACCTTTGTTTGCTTCCCTGACATTATATAGTAAGTGGTGTTAAATAGCTAGCTTTTAAAAACAATTATTAATTATTTAATAGATCCAATTATCAGTGTAAATCAACCAGTTGCTTTTTTTGAATTCACCAATTTCACCACAGAACCATCAGGATTCCAAGATTGTACAATCGATTACTATGTCAGTCATTTGGTGATTACCTACAATGACTCTAATAACATTCCAACTCTGACTAGCTGTGATTATACTGATGAGACTGTTGTTGACCAACCGAATTTTCTTAATATGAGTGTTACTCAATGTCAAATCGGTTCTGGGGTTTACAGTTTCTACTTGGTGAGCTACGATGCTAAACAAAAAGGATATGTTCTCCAAACACTTTTGATAACCATAGCCGTTCTTGGTACTGCCCAGATCCTATTGATGGTTCACCAGCTGTGCACAGACAGGGTACCTACTTCATGTCTCTTGTTTTTCTGGTTAGCAACGCTCTCACTTGAAGTTACTGTCATTATCTATTCTCAACTTCAATTTAAACAATCATTGGATATGACATATCGTAAGTTTGATATTAGTATTTCAATATTTATATTTTAAAAATTCTAATATAATTTCTATTTTATTTTTATTAGAATTATTCTTTCAATCTGTTGATGTGGATGTTTTCACAAAAGGTTTTATCTATGAAATATTCTTGGCTGCACATGAAATAATACCATTATTGTGTATCTTTACATTATTTTGGTCATATGATAACAGATTTAAGAGAAAATTGATTGTCATCAGAGAAAAACATGAGTACTCTGAAATAATGTAATTTGTTCTTATCTGTTAAGTGTGATAACAGTTTTATATCTTCTAATAAATAAAAATCCAATACCAATATAATTGCACATTGCCACTTTTAGAACTCAGTTTGAGAAATTAGAATTGATATAAAAAGAATAATAATAAAAAAATTAAGTTTAATATCAACAACATCAGGTAACACGTTAATCAAAATACATTTACAAAAAAATAAATAGAAATTTTCTCTGTCTGATAAACAAAAATGGCCATCAGAAAAAAAACATATTTTGTTTTGAATTTTATTTATTTATTTTATTTGTTTTAAAATATTTATTTAGAATAATTCAAAACATAAATATTTATATTATATTTAAAATTAAATAATAGAAAAAAAGAAATATATATAAAAATAATAGAATAATTAATTTATATAAAAATGATTCAAAATATAGAAAATATTCTTATAGATATTAGAAGAGATAATCAAAATTTAGAAGACCAAAGAAGAGCAGATATGGTAAGTGATGTTAAAACTTATTATTTAAAATAGAATTCTCTTCAATGAAGATAATATATACTAACTTTTTTTTTTAACTTTGTTTATTTAGAGCAAAGAAAATATTTGCAGAATTATTTTTGTTATTATTGCCTTAGGTTCATTGATTGGTGTAATTTCGAAGCAGTAAAAAGCAGTACCAATATAAATTATAATAATAATACAAACATTGATCAATATTTTTTTACCTCAGAAAAGGAAACCCTTGTACTTGGATATGTAAATAAAAATAAGAACTGTTAGAGCAATCAATTCTTTATTTGAGATTCTTTTTATAAAATTTTTATAACAAATTAATATCTTAGTTTGTATTTTCTTCATATATATGAATGTTTGATAGGAGGTGAGCTCTTTTTTTATTTGTATCGGTAGCTTATAGGGAAATAACCTGTGTTATTTTAACTATAAACATTCAACCCTTAGCTTAGAGCTTTGGGTACCAAGTGGTTATAAAATCCACCGTTAAATTAGTTTTATTTTGTTTGAAATTAATTGAAAAAATATCCCAATTTGGTACGAGGGAGTTTTGATTGAAATTTATTTGTAAATGAATATATTTTTATTGTTTTCTATAACAAATTAATTTTTTTATATATCCAAAATTTACAAATTAATAAATTTATCTATAAATGAATATATTTTTATTGTTTTCTTAAACAAATAAATTTATTTTTTATTTTCTAGAATAATATTATTTATTTAATTTTAATACATTCAATTTCCTTTTTTTAATACATTATGCTTTTAAAATAAAATGAGTGATGCTAGAATTTTAGAGATTCTTGAGGGAATCAGACAAGACCTTCGAGATTTTGAAAATCAAAGAAGATTTGATAATGTAAGTTAAATAAATAAAAAACATAATTATTATTAACATAAAAATCTTTGTTATATAAAGACTTTAAAAGGAAGGATATACTTAGTAGGCTTTTTTTTTAAAAGATATTTTCTCAAAGTAAAAAGATGTTTTTCTGCTTAATAATTGTTTAATATCTAGCTTCACCTTCCAAATACTATCTATAAATCAAATAAAATTAAATAAGTAGGATTTGGCTCAATTAAAATTTTAATATTGTTCAATAAATATAAATTATATAGAATATTCAAATAACAGAAACCAATGGATTTTTCTTGATTTTAATGAACATCTTTTGTGAAACTTTATCTTTGTTTTATTTTGTTAATGGTTATCTTAAATTTTACCACGAATATTATATCAACAAAAAACTATTCATATTTTAACAATAACTTTCGGGGGTTACTATTATTAAATCATATTCAATTTTTCAACTATATTTGTTTTATTTCATCAAATTAACACACATAAACAAAACTGAATTTTTTAAGTTAAGATTTAAAAAAATAAATTCTGATTGTATTCTACCAATGAAACTTTATATTCTAAATCTACTATAAAAATAATAATATAATTTTTTATAAGGGTTGTAAAATTTTCTTGGAAATTGACTTCAGTTTTTCAATTGAGATAATATGATTGACATGTTTTAAAGAATAATAAAAAAAAGAGAAATACTTAAAACAATTTTTATTTCTATAAAGTTTTTTATTAATATATATTTAAAAGAAATGAGTGATGAGTTTGTTTTTGATTTAGATAACAATAATGAAGATAACGATAATCAAAGTCTAGATGATGAAACAACAACAACAACAACGACTACAACAACTACAACTACCAACAACAACAACAATGCTAGTAGTAATAATAACAGTTTAAAAGAAGCAAGAAAACAAATACCTACTTCTCTATTTATCAAGAAATCGAAAACCAATAATGGTCAGACGACACTTGGTTTCACACACAAGTTACGTGAGGAAATCAATTTAGATATTAAAGATAATAATAATAATAATAACGAAAATAATAATAATAACAATAATAATAATAATAAAAGTAATAAGAATAATGTAACCGGTCAATCATTTAGTGGTTCTACATTGGATAATCTAACAAAGATGGGTGTATCAACTTTGAATTCAAGACAAGTGGAAACAGATGTCATCGAGCAGATGGAGAATCAAATGAAGGTTGCAGAGATAAAGGATGTCAATCAGAAACTAAACAATGTTAGAAACGAAATCAAATCGATTCAAGAGTTTCTAGAGAGAAACACTGATCACATCAAATCTACTACATTCGCACCAAACACTGTCGATGCCAACGATATTTTAAATAGTTTACAAGTTTTAAAAACATTAAAAGTAACTATATTAATAATATTATCATGATATTTAATCAAATATTAATGAATTATTCTATACTATATTCTCTTAATATAGGAAAAAAGAATAGAAGAATTGTATATAGAAGAAACAAAGCTGTTGAATCTTCGAAAGAAGATCGAGGCAAAACAAAAGAAAGAAAAAGAGGCAAAGAAGTATAAACCTGCGAAACAGTTGGATATGAATGCTCCAAGTTCGTTGGATAAGGTGTTTGGCTTTGGTGGTGCAAAGAAAGAGACTGAACAAGAACGTCTTATTCGTTTAGGAAAGATTACTCCATTTGCAAATATGTATGTTGTTTGTGTTTGGTAATTGATTTTAATTTTGTTTATTAAATCTTTATTCTTAATGAATTAATCGTAGGTCTAATAAACAAACAAAGTCAATACCTATATTCAATGATACAACTCGTCAGAAGAATAGTAAGGTTGCTATAGATTTTGGTTCGAGTGGTCGATTCTCAAAGTCAACGAAAGCACAAGAGGATACCAGTAAACGGTCGTCAGAGAGAAGCGAGAAGAGAAAGCAGTGGATAAAGAATGCAAACAGACAGAGATCCACTAAATCAACAAAGTTCTACGATGATCTCAAGAATGATTTAGATATGGACGAGATATCTTTTGATATTACTGATGATGACGATGACAAAGATGACGAGGATGAACAAGATGAAGTAGAAGCAGGAGAAGGAGAAGAAAAAGAGGAAGAAATGGTTGATGTAGAAGGAAGAGAAGAAGACGAAGAGAACAATGAAGATGAAAAGGAGAAGAAAATCACTGGCAAAAAGAGAAAAGGAAAGAGAACTACAACGGTTGAAGTGCATGAAGAACTGTGGAGGGATGATACTAATGAGAGTAACTATCAAGCTCGTCTTTATTCGTGGAAGAAGGAAAAGCTGAAAAAGCAATTCCTCAAGGCAAAGAAAGAGATGGAGAGACTCAACGGAACATCACGATTGTCAAAGAGAACTGGTGCAAGCAAATCGACTGGCACTACAAATGATGCCGAGACAACTTCTCTCGATGATATGCTCGACGATGACGAAGTGAAAGAGCCAAACGATGTTGATATCGAGGATGAAGATTCATTGCAACAGATCATATCGAGTCAACAGAGCAACAATGATGACAGTGAACCACCAGAGAACGAAGAGATTCGCGCGGAATTCGAAAAGGATTTGGAGCGACTCGATAAAGAACTGGAGGAGAATGAGATCAACGATGATGAGATCGAAGGTGAAGACTTTGTTATTGATGGTGAATTCAAGGTACCATTTGAAATCTATCATCGTTTGTTTGAATATCAAGTTACATGTGTTCGTTGGATGTGGGAACTTCACAGTCAAGAGAGTGGTGGAATCATTGGTGATGAGATGGGTCTTGGTAAAACGATTCAGATTATATCATTCTTGGCATCGTTACACTATAGTAAGATGTTGTGTGGTCCTGCTCTTATTATTGCTCCTGCAACACTCTTGTCGAATTGGGTAAAGGAAATTCACAAGTGGTGGCCACCATTCAGAGTGATTTTGTTCCACTCGAGTAACAACACCAAGCAGACACAGAAACAGTTGGTCGAGACCATTGCAACCAAAGGTCATATTCTTCTGACAACGTACGAGGGTGTCAGAATCAACCAGGACATCTTACTCAAGCATCACTGGGAGTATGTTATTTTGGATGAGGGTCACAAGATTAGAAATCCAGATGCCGATATCACCTTGTCTGTCAAACAGTTTCCAACATGTCATCGTATCATTCTCTCTGGTTCACCAATTCAAAACAAATTGACAGAGCTATGGTCGTTGTTTGATTTCATTTTCCCTGGAAAGCTGGGAACACTACCTATCTTTATGTCTCAATTTTCCGTGCCTATCAATTTGGGTGGTTATGCCAATGCATCTTCGCTACAAGTACAGACTGCCTACAAGTGCGCTGTGGCTTTGCGTGACTTGATTTCGCCCTACATGCTGCGTCGTGTCAAAGCTGATGTTCTCCAATCACTTCCATCAAAGAATGAACAAGTTTTGCTGTGTCCGCTTACTCCATTCCAAGAACGATTGTACATGAAATTCTTGTCGTCCAACGAGGCAAAAGATGTCATGGATGGAAAGAAGAATCTACTCTACGCAATCGATATCCTGAAGAAGATATGCAATCATCCAGATATCTTGCATAAAGACGACGATGATAAAGATAAGCCCGACGACTATGGTAATGTCGAAAGATCGTCAAAGTTGAAGGTAGTCCAGGAGATCCTTCCAATGTGGCAGCAACAAGGTCATAAAGTACTTTTGTTCTGTCAGACCAGACAAATGCTTGACATTGTTGAAGAGTTTATAAAGAACTCTAACTATCAGTATCGTAGAATGGATGGTACTACATCGATCAAGGTCAGACAGACACTGGTGGAGGAATTTAACAATGATCCAATACTCTTTATTTTCTTATTGACAACTAAAGTTGGTGGACTTGGTATTAATCTGACTGGTGCCAACCGTGTCATTTTGTTTGATCCTGACTGGAATCCTTCTACCGATATTCAAGCAAGAGAACGTGTCTATCGTATCGGTCAAAAGAAAACAGTTACCATCTATCGTTTGATGACGACTGGTACCATCGAGGAGAAGATCTATCATCGTCAAATCTACAAACAGTTCCTCTCGAACAAGATCTTGAAGGATCCACGTCAGAAGCGTTTCTTCCAATCGAAACACTTTAAGGATCTACTCTCCTATGTCAAAGTCAAGAAAGGTTCAGAGACTGGTGACATCTTCACTGGAACCAACTCTGAGATTCTACCAGAGGATTTCCAAGAGAACAAACGTAGAAGATCCAACGAGTCAACCACTGGATCAAAGGTAACCGAAATTCCATTTGAGCAACAACAGCAAGAAGATGAAAAGACCTCAGAGGACTCCTATATCCTTAAGCATCTGTTTGAGAAGGAAGGTTTAAAGAGTGCTCTCAAGCATGACTCAATCATGGAACAATCGGCACCTGAAGCTGTACTACTTGAGGAAGAGGCAAACAAGATTGCCAAGAAAGCAGTCGAGTTACTAAAGATCTCACGTCAAAAGATTGAGCAAACCGATCGTTTCTCAACTCCAACATGGACTGGTAGATCAGGTACGTCTGGTGCACCTCAAGCATTACTTAATAGTAATAATAACAACAATAATGATAACGATACACCTGCTCAACAACCTCCAAAGAGTAATAGATTTGGAAATAAGAGTAAAGCGATATTCTCACAATCAACTACTTCACCAACTCTTCAACCGATTATGCCAATCGTTTCAGACAGTGCAAGCGTTTCAAATACATTGAAGAATGTATCAACCGAGAACAAGTTTCAGAGTTCATCCGCTGACATTCTTTCGAATCTCCAACAAGAAGATGTCGATAAGGCATCAGAGTTGTTTGGTGGTATCAAACCGAAAGAGATCATCGAAGGAATCTATGACTTTCTTATGTCAAAAGGTGGATCATCAGCTACTCAAGATATCATTGACCACTTTAAAATTTCAATTACAGCCGAACAAGCACCACTCTTTAGGAGTTTATTAAAGAGTGTCGCAACTTTCAGTAAACCTTTGAAACTTTGGTGTATTAATAAACTTTAATAATTTACGTATTATTGAAATAAAAGATGATTTAAATTTTTATTATCACCTAATGAAGAAATATGCATCGATGTATGGTTTTACAAAAAATAATAAATAAGTTAAAGTTTGCTTAGCTTCTGGGACACTTGCAACGATCTTCCTCTTTGACACCAGACAAAGCTGATTCAATGTGTTTTCCACAACCTTTAATTTTAATAATACAATGTTAATAATGTTATTTTGCAATTCGCTACAATTACATATTTATTCATACCAGACCAGGTTGGTTTGTTACAAGTGTTACAGTTAACTTTATAGCACATTTTAAATTGATAAGATAGGTAATGGTAGAAAATAATAATAATGTTTGAAAGATTTTTTTATCCTTTTAAATAAACAAATCAAATTTTTATGAAATTTTAAAAAAATTTTAAAAAATTAAATTTAACAAACAGAACAATGTCGTTTGGAAAAAAATCGTGATTCCTTTTTCGTTTGGTATTCATAGAATGCAAAGAAAATGAAATGGAATGTCAGTTATTACGTAAATTTTGTTTTGTTTCTACTTTATAATTAATTTTATTGATTTATTCAATCCTTGATTTGAAAGGGGTGGATGGTAAAGATTGTGGTTTTGTGGAGTTTGTGGTATTATTACTGCTATTGTTGCTGATGATATTGTTACTGCTCAATCCAGTAAGTGATGTTGACGATGATTTTATGGTTAGTATTATATCTCTGGTGGATTCGATCTGCTTCTGATTGTTGGAATTCGTAGATTCGTGTATATTGCTACTCGAGGATATGGTGATTGTCGGTGTGTTGAATAGTGGTGATGGTGAGGAGAGTACTTTCTTTCCTATGATCAACAGTAAGATACCCACAACAATGGCTACAACTAGCAGTGTTTGCTGATAGTGTCCACCACTTGAAATGTCGGCTAAATTCTTTGTCGTTGTTCCAATATAGACTATCAAAGAATTCTCTGGTATCAAACCAATGGCAGTCGAATAAATAAATGTTGTAAATGATAGTCTTGTAACCTATTATATATTCAATTAAAGAGTTAGCACAGAGTGTTATAGGTTGGTATCATTATCATTATCATATTGCTACTACTACTACTACTTACTGCACATAAACTATTTTGTAAACCAAATGGAATCGGTAAAATTCTTAGTATAATAATGATTTTAAATGGATGGTGTTCAACCATCGATCGAATGGATGACAGCTTTGGGCTGGATTCAATCTTGGACTCTAGCCATTTGACAAAGAACTTTCTGGTGATCCAAAAACCAAATGCAGCAGAAAGAACACTTCCGACCATCGTTGTTGCAAAACCATGTACAAAGCCATAGACATAACCAGAGGCCACAGTCAGCGGAATATATAGACTGAATATTGCCAGTGGAATACCGGTAGGCAAATATGATAGTACAAAAATAAGATTTCCCCAGAGACCTGATTTCTCAACTAACTCGAGGAATGCCACCAAGTTATTTGAAAAGTAAAATATACATACAAAGACAATGATCGTCATTGTCAAAAAGGTAAGTGTTGCCGTTAGATTCGATGATGACGACGACGACGACAATGGAGATGCCAGAGCAGACTCTGATGGAAGTAAATTCGAGGAGGATGCCGCCGCTTCATCTATATCGATGTCGGCATCAACATCGCCATCGTCGTTACTACCATTACTATCGACCTGTATTGAAATGTCGTCAGAGATGACATCGTTGGTGGTATCCTCTACCAACTCATCTGTTTCATCGAATTTACTACTTGCACCATTCAAAGTATGAGCATGACTATGTTTATGATGACTTTCGTTCATTTTAATACTATCTATATCATTACTATTATTACTACTATTACTACTATTACTATTTCTATTATATAATTTTATTGTATGAGTGTGATGATGTCTGTCATCCAAATTGCTTCTTTCACTGTGTAACAGATCTCTCTCTTCATTGATGTTGTTTGCAGCAGGAGCAACACTAGTTCTTTCGGTTGTACTATTATTATCAATTCTCCGAGCAACTCCTGCTCCAATACCATGAACCATTTAATACTAATACTCCTTCTTTTGGTTTTCTCTAAATAAATGAGATTCTATATCAACCAACTCTAGATTTTAGTTTCCTCTTATAATATATCTAAAAGCGAAAGATAAAAAAATAAAATAAAAAAAGAAAGAAACGAAAAATGTCTATAAAAAAATGATTTAAATATTATTGACTTTTACTATGATTGATTGCTTATGTATAGATTATTATTAATTGGTTATATAACAAAATTTGTTATTGTTTGTTTTTTTTTTTTAAGCTAATTTTTAATTTGTGACAGCTTGGATTGTCTTTTGGTCGTTAAAATTAACACACACATCTATTTTTTTATTTTTTTTTATTTTTTTTTTTCAAAAGTTGTGAATGAAAAAAAACTGATTGTTCCGAAACAGTCATGTCTATTTTAGTTTTATATGTTTGTTGATAAATTAATTTAATTTTATTTCTTTTTTTTTTTGTCGTTTTATTTATTTTGTTATGGTGAAAAATGTGAATCGATTAAAATTGATGATGATAAGGTCGAGTTTGATGGGTCAGGTAAAAGATGATGGTGATTGCTGTATTTGTTGTTGCCCGATGCACTTAAAGATAGATTCGACATGGAGCATTCACATTTGCAACCGGTGGGACACACTGTATGTTTTTTGAACCAGGCTTTCATGTGATCGGTGTGTCCTCCGTGGCCACACAGTACGCAGAAGCTTGACAATCCTCTCACCGAAATATGACAAATGGCGCACTTGAATGCAAAAATCTTACAGCTAACACAGAAATTATCGACCAAATTACGTTGACACTTAAGACATGTGATTTGGAATTGAATGGGTTTCAGAGCATTGCTGTTGTTGTTGTTATTGTTGTTGTTGTTAGCTGACTGGTCGGATACTGTCTGTGGACTCGAGACAAACTTCATGAGCTCGGCACGCTTATCGAGTAGCTCCCAACGCAGCAGTATGTCAGAGTACAAATTGAGATATTGGTCGTAGGAACGGCTGTGACTTGGTGTCAACAGGCAGAAAGATGGGTCGTACCAGTTGTTGCTGATCAGCCCACCAGACATCGATCCACTGATAAAGTGGCTGTGGATGTGACCGTGATGACCGTGATGACCGTGTGGTTGACTGACTTTTGGAAGAAACTCATCAAAGTTGATCGATCCCTGTGTGAGATTTCCAAAGGAGAGACCTAGTGTCTGTGAAATTAAATTGGAGTTGGAATGCGAAGGTGAAAGCAAATGCGGTGATTTCGAAGTGTCGTGTTGTTGATTAATATTGATATCCTGAACTCGAGATGTTTGTGTTAATTTTTGTGCTGACAATGTTAATAGTCCATATAACATTGAAATCGTTTGTATATCATTTATCTTTATATAATGATTGAATCTGGAAAGTTATTGAAATTTTAAGATATTAGTATAAACTAACAAAACGTTCAAATAAAAAGAGAAGTGTTTTTTAACTTACAATGATAATACAAATGGTCTACCCATTGGATGTTGTGCCCATGATTCCTCGAAAGAATCTTGTTTGGCTCGCTTTGATTGTTGAATTTTACCATTGGCACCAAAAAACAATCTCATATCGGTGATCATACCGAGGACAGACCACAGCTTTACAAGATCTTTTCTATTTATAGATTTTGCAACCATTTCATTGTGTCTACAAATTTCTTCAATCGTTCCATTTATTCTATAATAAATGAATGAATGAATAAGTATTGATTTCAAAAGTTTGTTTTTCTTTTTAAACTTACATATAGTTTTTGGCTAAATATTGACTAATAGGTGAAAGTGGAGATATATCTAATATTTTGATTTGGTAGTTGATCGTTGGTATATGTTGTTTTATATTCATGTTGACATTGCTACTGGCACTTGCTTGTGAGGATTGGCTTGTTGCAAGTGGAGAGAGTGCGAATGTGGTTGGTGAAGATCCAAAGCTGGACAAAGACATCTTGTTTTCAGAGTTGTACATTTGATTCATCCCCAGTGGACTATCGTAGATAGGAGAGGATGATGTCAATGGATTACCAACAGTGTTGTTGTTGTTGTTGATGGAATTTGATGATGAAAGTACTGTTGCTGCCGATGGAGTTGTTGTGGTGGTGGTACCTACACATCCAGGTTTGTTGACAATATTCAGCAAATCCTTGTAGGTTCTGGGTGCCGATTGGTTGATCAATGGTCCCTTACCAATGTTATTCCAAAAGCAAATCAAACGATTATTTCCACCGAATACGGCGCCACACAATCGTGGACATGGCATTGTCTCCATCTGTCGTAGTTGCTGAGTGGTCAGTGATATGCTCAGTGAGTTACGGTGTGATGACAGGGAAAAGTCTGCCGGTAGTGTATTGGAGATTGCTGTTGCCCATGATGTTGCTGATTCCTTATAGGAACCAGACAATGGTGATTTGTCATTTGATTTAGTTTGTTGTTGTAGTTGTAGATCGTGTTGTTTTTCAAATGATTTCGAAAGTATAAGATTTTTATCGGAGGTGTTTGTTGGTGAATGAATATGTTTGTTGGTGACGCCAACAATGGTTCGAGGACTGGACAAACTACCATTGCTTACACTGTTTAAAAATCCACTGTTATCTTTACTACCACCACCACCACTATTATTGCTACTATTACTAAAACTACTATTATTTAAATTATTATTATTTACATTGTTGTTATTCAGACTTCCACTACCTATCGTACTGGCTTGAGTATAATCTTGTATTAGAATATCTTGTAATCCATTGATTGATAATGGACGACTATGTTTAGTTGTAGAAGATGATGATGAGTTATTGTTATTATTATTGATATTATTATTGATATTTGTTGAAAGTGAAAGATTTGGGAAACCATCTATACCATTGGTTTCACCCATAATAAAACTATCCTCCATTCCACCTGGTGGTACCATCATGTTCGAATCGAAATAATCTTTGTTTCTACCGACTATACTTGCAGGACTCAATGGCGGTAGAATGCCTCTTGCCCTATCCATAACGTCCTTCTTTACCAAAACCACAAGTTTCAAGAGACACTGCTCAAAACAAGGTTTACCTGCACGACCTGCTGCAACTTCATTCAAAGACTAAAAACATGTATAAATATTAAATATTATTAATAATTATTTAATTTTAAGTTATAAAACAAAAAGAAAGAAAAAAAAAAACAAAAACAATGTAAATGAAATTTTAAAAGAAAGATAATAGTTAAAATTAAATTTCTGCTAAACATTTACAAATAATATTATTTTTATGTTGAATATTGAATAGTTGTTTTTAGTAATACTGAAAAATAGGAGATTTATAAACGAATTGGAATGAACTAATATAAATGGTTTGGTGAATGTTATTTATAATTGATAGATTTTTAAACTATTACCATATTTATATATAAATATAGATATTTGGTGGTTGGTTTTGTGTGTGAGTGTGTGTATTATTATAGTTTTAAGTGGAGTGAAATGTGTGAATATTTTTATCATCTGATATTGTATTTGATGATGTATAATTCAATTAGGTAAAAGGGGGTGGTGGTTGTTTGCTTATTAGAGTCAAAATAAAAATGAAAAATAAATACAAGACGATTGTGTGTATGTATGTATGTGTTGTGGGGTGTCAATTTGTTATCGTTTAAAATTGATATCAATAGTTACCTGTATGATCGATATGTTGGTGGTTAGTGATGTAGTGCATGCATTTGAGATGCACTCGAATCGTGGGAATGCATTCTGTGGGTAGAGCGTTGGGAAGGTAACTCTGAGTTGTACCGATGTGATACTCAGTGAGTCTTGAAGGAAGGTGTCGTCTTCGGTGCTGTTCGACAACGAGTTGGTACTGCTGTTGATGCTGTTACTACCGCTACCAGCGCCACTACTATTGTTACTGGTGTTGAGCAACGACTTGCTTTTGTTGGAAACAGTACAGCTGACGATACAAACACGCTGAGCCAAATTGACCTGTTCAATCTTGAGCGATTTATCAATGAATTTATTCTGAATGATCTTGAGTTCGTACTCTAGTTCTTTGGGACCGATGAATTCATCGTTGTGTCCGCCAAGCTGCTGTTCATCCTGTTGCTTTAAAAGCGAGTAGCTCGACTCGATCGCTTCTTTCTCTGACGAAGACGACGACAAACTATGCATTATTCCAGTGGAATTCGCATGCTGCTGCTGATTATTACTCGCCGTTGTTCCGCTATTTGTATTACTACCGCTATTGTTGCTGCTGCTGTTGCTACCGCTATTGTTACTGCTACCGCTGTTATTACCACTGTTGTTATTGCTGCTGTTGCTGCTGTTGTTGCTGCCATTGGATGATGTCGACATTGCAATGTCGGCAAGTTGTCCACTGGCAGATTGATTGTGATGGTTGTTATCGGAGTGAGCAATACTAGTTGCTGAGCGTGTCGATGCATTGGTGTTTCCGGTTGGTATGTAGTCGATTCCACACGCCGCCTTTACATTGTTCTCCAACTTCCACAGTCTCAAATTCTGATCTTTCGACCACGATACAATCTGAATGTCCTTGTCACCAGGGTTGTTCTTCACTCTGAAATCAAAAGATCGTACACAATCGGTGTGTCCAATCAAAGTGGTCACTGGCATACTCAAATCATTAAGATTCCACATTCTAATACTGTTTTCTCCTCTATCGGATATAGTAACAACACCTTTTCCAATTGGCTATTTTAAAGCGTAATATATTAGTAACCCAACAATAACAAATAACAACAACAACCCAATAACAATATATAGCATACCAAATACTTTGCTCTTAATACAGGATGAGAAGTAGAGATAATAGATTTCGGTTGAAGATTTGGATAAGACCAGATCTTGACAGATTTGTCTTGACTGCATGTCAAAATCTCATAGGGATCGTGAGGTGACCAATCGATACCATATACCTTTGTTGTATGTACTGTTGTATTCAACTCTGTAGTTTCTTTCTACAATTTGATAAAGATTTTGTTTTGTTTGATTAGTATTTGAATTTCATTGTGTTTGTTTTGTTTGCTTTTCTTTTCTATGCTCTATGCTTTGTTGTTTTTTGCTTACTCTAAGATCCCAAATCATCAGATTACTCTCATGTGCCGATGCCAATACATGTGAATTGAACTTGTTCCATTTAACTTGAATACCACTGAGTATATGTGAATTCAATGCCTTGAGCTTCATGACTCTCTTGGGCGATCGAAGATCCCAGAGATTGACAAACGAGTCAGCCGATGTCGTAGCCAATATATCCTTATCGAACAAACTCCAACTAAGATCACTGATCGGTCTCTGATGTGATACAAACTGATTTAACAATGGATACTTATTATTTATATCCCAAATAGATGCATCATGATTTGACTGAATAATAATAATAATAATAATAATAAAATAATTTCGAGATAATGATTAGTTTCTATCGATTCGATTTTGATAAGCTATCATTATCATTTCATTTTTGATAATCAAAACAACTTACAGATGATGCGATCAAGTTTGGTGCTTGTGTATTCCAATCGACTACACCAACTTCCCATTTACTCTGTTGTATGAAACACTTTGCATTCTTTAGAGTGTCGAGATCAACAATCTGCAATGCTTTCTTTCCACCCAAACACACAAAGTTACCTTCCTTATTGACTGCAATCGAATTGATGATTTCATTGTACTTTAAATTAAAGTTTTCTTTATACGTATTGACATGATTATTACTAACAATATCCTGTTGATGTTGATGTTGTTGCTGTTGATGAAGATATTGTTGACTCGTCATTATTACTTTACTTTTATTACTATCTTAACTAACAATTATTATTTATATATATATTCTCTTTTTTTTCTTTTTTTTTTTTTTACAAATCTTTTTTTTTTTTATATTTGGTATTACAAAATTATTTGTTTCACTCAATCTCTTATCTATCTCTTATCTATTATATTATATTTAAATGAATGAATGAATGAATATTATTCTAATGTCAATGATGTTTGTTTGTATATATTATATGTATGATATGATATGATTGTTGTTGTCTTTAACACTGCTGTATACAATTATTATTAAGTGTTGCTTATAATGATAAACACATTATTTACTTATAAAGACATCATTAACTTTTGTAATCTAGTTTTTAAAACTTTAGAAGAGAGAGAAGTGAAATGAAATTTAAATTGAAACTTGTTATAATAGTTAAATTATATAACTATCTATATGAATGAAATGATGATTGAGATTATTTTAATGAATAAATTTATCTATAAAAAAAATTGGGAAAACAAAATTTTTGAAAAGGTTTTTTTTTTTTTTTTTAATAAAAAATATTTGATTTTTGTTATTCGTCTATCCGCTCCTCTATGATGTTTTTGGACAGATCAGTGCGGATTTAAGCTTATTGGAATTTTTTTTTGTTAACAAACAAAAAAATCAATATAAAAAAAAATGACAATAAAAAACCATTCATAATTCAATCAAAATCATCATCAATGGGTGTGCAGTGAATGTCGACATCCAATTATATGTTCAATGAATTTAAACAAGTATACTGGTTTTTTTATTATTATTATAATTTTATTAATCACTTATAAAGTGTTGTCAATTCGAATAGATAGACAAGATGATGAGGATGATTGATTGGTTGTGTTGTAATTACATTGGAGGTTGTTGTTGTTGCTGTTGTTGTTGTTGGAAGTTTTGTATCTGTGCTTGTATCGATGGTTGATTTACTTGAGGTGGAGTTGAGACTGATGTGGTCGTTGGAGGTGTGGCGATGGCAATCGGTGTGGCTTGTGCAGCTGCAGCGGCAGCGGCGGCAGCGGCAGCAGCTTTTGCTTTTTTGGTCTTGGGTGCAGCAGGATCTTTTTTGGCACGTTTGGAGGTCGGTTTTGAAGGAGGTGCAACTACCGGTTGTGCTGGTACGGCCACAACCGGCTGCTGAATTGGAACTTGTGTCATTGCAGCAGTTTCGGGTTGTTGGAGTTGTTGTGTTTGCTGTACATATTGTTGTTGTTGTTGTTGTGGTGCTGTAGTAACACTGATGTTGATGTTTGGTGGTGGCTTACCAATCATTTGTTGTGGTGGTTGTGGTTGCATTGGCTGATTGCCATACATCATCTGCTGTTGCTGTTGTTGTTGCTGTTGTTGTGCGGTCATCATTGGATTGGGATAAGCTTGATTCTGCATTGGAATGTTTGGTATGATGGTTGTTTTTGCACCCATCATATTCAATGGGACACCTACCATATTTCGCTGACCCATTGGATTCTGTTGCTGCTGTTGCGGCAGTGGAATGGGAATGGCCATTTGTGGTGGGTTTACGGGGATCTGCATTCCACCTGGAATTTGCTGTGACATATTCATTTGATTGCCGTGCATCATCATTGGCTGTTGCATTCCACCCATTGGCACACCTATTCCTGCTCCAGAGCCAGTTGACATATTCATAGGAATCTGTTGCTGTTGCTGCTGATTTGGTAGTTGTTGTTGATTGGGAAGTTGTTGTTGTTGTTGTTGGTTGGCGAGTTGTTGTTGTTGTTGTTGCTGCTGTTGTGGATTGTTATTACCAATGGAAGATGGTATTTGTGATGCCATACGTTGTGCAGCTGCTTGTTGCTGTTGTTGTTGTTGTTTGAGTGCACGCTCTTTGATGAATCTCTGGGTGGAGAGAAGTGCAAGTTCCGATGGGGTCTTGGAGGTGGGTTGAATGACGTTGGTGTTGTGTGACATATGAATACCTTTGTTCTCGATCAACGATACGGTGCCCTGACGACAGATCAACTTGTTGGAAGCTATCGACTTGCGTACACAATCGAGCAGTGTGTAGGGGAATGGACCTTCGTGGGTGGTCGACTCTGATGAAGAGACTTTCTTCTCGGAGCCAGAGAGCCCGGCCTCCTTTGGGAACAGCGCTTTGTAACGCTCGGCACACTGCAGCTTCGATCGGTGGAATCGAACAACCTGCGCAAACAACGATTGTTGCAAAAGGTAGGCAACGAGATCCCAATTCTGTCCGTAGGTACGTACAGCATCCAATATGATGGCGTCCTCTTGTGGATACCAAGGCGGACCTTGGAGTAGTTCCATCTGGGTGAGCAGGACGTTGGAGACGCCGCCAGTTGATTGTCCGGCGACTGCGATCGATCCGCCAGGTGTAAGTGGTGTACCTGTACCTTCGTCCCCAGATGGCTCACTTGTTTTACTCTTACGAAGCAGTCTCGATGTTCCGAATAGTCCACCTTGTTTGTTGGCGGAACCACGTTTCTTATTGGAACCACTTCCGTCGGCTACGCTGTTGTCGTCGCCAATAGCCATTGGATCCAAATCGGCGGATGACGTCTTGTTGCTGTTGATCATCATCTCTACGTTCTCTGCCAACTCCTCGAATTCATCGGTGTTGACGCCAGCTGTAGAATTGGTGATGATAATATCGTCGGGACGTAAACGCTTGTCGGAAGCGCCACTCGAACCGTTGGTAGGTGTTCCAACAGTGGATCCGTTGAGTCCACCCTTCTTCTTCTTGTTCTCCTTGTTGAGTTGTGAACTCTTCTCCTTCGACTTTTTGAGTTCCTTCTTCTCCTTGGCTTTGCGCTCCTCCTCGAGACGCATCTTCTCGCGCTTGTCTTTCTCCTTCTTCTTCTTGATGAGCATTCTCTTCTCTTTCTCTTTCTCTTTGGTAAATTGTTTTGAATAGACATACTGATTGGCAGTCTGCTTGATAATCTTTCCTCTCATGAGTTTTGATCGACTCGGCTTGGCGAACGATTCAAAAGAAATGGTTGGTGGCGATGGTGGATATAAATAATGGTAGTGCTGATGATAGTACTCGTCTTGATCTTTGAGAACCTGTTCAAATAGATTCTCAGGAATGGGTTCTTGCATTGGTGCCAAATACCATTGTTCTTCATCTGGCTCGGGCAATGCTTCGAGTAACTCACCAAAAAGTAACAGAGAGGACTGAAACTCTTCACTATTTATTCCACTCAACTAGTTGGTTTTAATTGTTAATAAAACGATAATATGTATATTGTTAGTTAATGTTGACCAGTTTGTTTTAAAACTTCACAATCAATCTTACCTCAAAAAAAAGCATGTCTTTTTCAGCTTCTTCTTCGATCGTTGTGGATTTAGGTTGTTTTATAACCTCTATATGACTTAGTTTACCTTTTTTTGATGGACGAAAACTTTCTTTGTTGGTGGGCGCGACTCCATTGGTTTCTAGGGCATCGTTATCTTCCATCTCTGGCTCTGAATCATCATTATCAGAGACGATATCTTTGGTCTTCTGTACAGATGGTTCAGCATCTTGTTCATCTTTCATCTCTTCATCTTCTTCTTCTTGTTCCTCTTGATTTTCAATTGGATCATTTACATATGTTGTAATATTTTCCAAATACCTCAACGCAAACCTAATCAAAAAAAAAAAAATAAACATAATTAAAATTGAATTCGTATTAAATTAATTAGTTCTTTAAATTAGTTAGATACATACTTTTGTATTGGATTCAAATAATCTTCAACTAAATCTTGTTGTTGTTTAAGTTCCTCTGCGAATATCGATTCAATCGATGCCTCTTTGTTGTTGTTGTTGTTGGAGATGGGTGGTGTAGTTACTGAGCTACCTCCACCGGCACTCTCTTCGTCAAACTCTTGGAACTCTGAGGCTTGTTCTTTCTGAGCGCTACGGAGTGCTGCGACATCCGACTCGTCTTCGACTTTCTCTGTTGCATTCTCCCACTCTTGTTGAGTCATCTTGAGTGCCGAGGTGATACTGCTCTTCTTGTTCGATATGATCTCACTGAAATCGAGATTCTTAAAGAAATCAGTGGTGAACTCTCCACCCTGGATGACGACATCGTCGAGCTGACGCTTCTGATTCGACTTTCTAAGGATGTTCTCTTCGATTGTGTGTTGGGTGATCAAACGATAGATGTTGACCTCTCTTGTCTGTCCAATACGATGACAACGATCCTGTGCCTGTGCATCCATCGATGGATTCCAGTCGGTGTCGTAAAAGATAACGGTGTCGGCACCAGTCAAATTCAGTCCGAGACCACCACTACGAGTGGACAGGATGAATAAAAAGATCTTGTTGTCACGGTTGAATCGCTCAGCCAAGTACTGACGACGATCTACCTTGGTGGAACCGTCCAGTCTGAGATAGGTGTATCCATGGAGATTCAAGAACGATTCAAAGACATCGAGCATTCTTGTCCATTGTGTAAAGATGAGTGCACGATGTCCGTTGGTCTTCAAGTTACGCAGCAGCTTGGCCAATGCCTGGAGCTTTCCACAGTCGTATTGAATCAGCTTTTTGTCTGGGAAATAGAGTGACTGACGCTTGTATGACTCGCGGAGTGGATCGACGCTGTCACGCAGCGAGAGAATTCCACTTTGGAATCGCTCGTCCTCCATGGATTTCGATGGTCGGGGGTGTGAAGCTATCAGACGGATTGGGGGAGCACGTGTCTTTGGAATGAGACAAACAAACTGCTCGATCATAGGTCGCATAGCCAGCTCTCGTTGTGTCGGTGTGAGAATCATGTTGAGTAGAGCATCGGGATAGTTGAGATACTCGCGAGGGTCGTTGGCGAGTTTGTGAATGTCGGCAACCATGTTGGCGATGGTTACCGATGCAATACAGTCACGACCGTACAACGGTTTGTTAAAGGAACGTCGACGCAGAATGATGGCGCGCTCCAGTGTTTCGCGCTGGCGAGCAGCGGCATACTCTTGGCGCGCGGCAATAAAACTATCAAGACAGGACTGTGGACCTGGGAGTGAAACTTTAATCGAGAGTGAATGTGGCAGCTCACGTATTCTGTTGTCAGAGGGCGTCAGCTCGATGATTGAGTTGGTGTCCATCGAGCAGAGTCGCGACTCGTAGTCGGTCAGCTGTAGGTTGAGCAGATCGAGGTTGATCGAGCCGATTGGACTGTCGTCGAGCACCGTAGTAAAGACACCGTTTGTCTCATAGAACACAGGATCGCAGCCGAATGGACTGATAATTGGACGTGGCTCATACAAATCTGGATGATTACAAACCTTACGGAGTTGCATTAGGATATTTACAATTGAGAAGTAGTTGCCGGTGGCCAGTGTTGTCTGGGTGGACTGCGCGTTGATGAACTCCTCGTAGAGATAACGTTGGCGACGCGACAACTGGCATGGCACGATATGTGTGTGTTTGCCTGGCATCTGTTTCTCGACGTCTTTCTTGAGACGACGCAGCAGGAATGGACGGAGCACAGAGTGAAGTCGACCAACGAGTTCGTCGTTGATTCCGGTGCCACCTTCGATGGCGCCAGTCATAGGATTGGCGAACCAGTCGGAGAATTCACGATGCGAAGCAAAAATGTCGGGCATCAGGAAATGCATGAGTGACCACAACTCCATCAGGTTGTTCTGGAGCGGTGTTCCGGTGAGGAGCAGACGTCGAGCGGCGTTAAAGTGCAACATTGTCTGCCAACGCTGGGACTTGAAATTCTTGATGGAATGCGCTTCGTCGAGGATCATGTATTCCCAACGTCGACGACGGAACATCAGTTGATCGGTGATGATCGTCGAGTAGGATGCAATGCAAACATGGAAAGAGTTTGCTTTGGACCAACCCTTACGCAACTCTTTTCTCTCCTTTTGTGAACCGTGGTATGTCAGCACTTTGAAAGCTGGACACCAACGCTTGAACTCCATCTCCCAATTGAAGAGAACACTCGAGGGAACTACCACCAAATGTGGTCCCCAAATACCCTTCTCAACCGCCAGATAGGCAAGTAGCGATATAGTTTGTATGGTCTTTCCAAGACCCATCTCATCGGCCAGAACACCATTGAGATTCTTCTCATAGAGACTGACCAGCCAATCCAAACCGATATGTTGGTACTCTCTAAGAGTTCCCTTCATCAAGAACGGTACTTTTGTCTTCACTTTGGTTGTTTTCAGAGTGAAACCAGTTGGTTGCGACACCAACTTGTCATCGTCATCTGCAGCCTCCTCTTCTTCCTCTTCGTCGATCATGTCGGTATCCATCTCCTTTACATGTCCAGCAATCAACTCATCGATTGGCATTGAACTTTCAGCTTCCAACAAAGCAAGATCTTCCTCCTCTTCCTCTTCTTCTTCATCCTCTTCCAACTCGTCATCTTCCTCCAGATCGTCTTCCTCTTGATACTCCTCATCGGAATCATCGTCATCGTCATCTTTATTCTGGTTGATAACTTTGCTCAGCTTGTCGGGATCCGCCAAGATATCTCTCAGCGAGTAATGAGTACGATCGACCTCTGTCACCTGTGTCTTGGCACGCTCTCTCAGACCTTCGGCCATCATATTGGAGAACTGTTCGGTACGGTTGACTATCTCATCGAGTTGTTTCTCACGTTCGACTTTGAGTGCTGACTCCTGTGCCATCTTATCTTTGTAAGTGATAAGTTTGCCAATCTGTTGCCAGAATCTCTTTACTTCACGCGCAATGGCAGCAGACACACGTCGCTTCCTGGCTTCTTCTTCACGAGTGGCACGTTCCTCTGCTGTTTGAACATCTAAATGATATCTATTGACATCTTTCACCAAGAGTTTGGTGATTCTCGTTTTTAACTTTCTGGTTCGTGCGAAATCCTCTGAAACCAAAGCCATCTCCTCCAACAGGTAGTCCCAGTGGACTTTGGGACGAGGTGGTTCCGGCAACTTGTGCAACTGTTTATTTTTCCAAATTCCATTTGCCTGCAGTTCGTGTATACGTCTAAGAATTCTGGCGTCATCCTGTGCCTTTGCCAATACATCTTGTGACATTGCCGGTATATTTGCATAAACAGATGGTGGTGCTTGACCTATATTTCTCTTGTTATTATCTTGTTGTTGTATATTCTGTTGTGATTGTTGTTGTTGTTGTTGTTCGGTCACTGGCATCGATGTATCTGTTGTTGTTCCACTGTTGTTGGGTGTGGTGGTGGTTGTCGGTAGATTGGTGTTTGTTGAATCTGATGCTGTTGTGGCGGTGATGGCAGTCGATTGATTATTTGATTCGTTCGATGTTGAAACAACAGCTTGATTATTACTTGAAGATGTTGTTGATACAGGAGTAGTTGTTGTTGAAATTCGCTTTATTTTCTTGTTGGGTGGTTGTGGAGTTGAACTTGTCTCAGAGATTGATGTTGTCGACACAGGTGTACCACCAGACGACTCCATCAAATCGGCGTCTGAACTAGAAAGCGGTGTCGATTCAGCTGTAATAGGTGATAATGGTAATGATGGTAATAAAGATTGATTTGTAGTTGTAGTTGTCGTCGTCGTCGTTGTTTCCGTTGTATTAGAAGTTGTATCCATTGTATCACTATTATCATTTTCATTTTCATTTTCCATTTCTTTTGAAATATCTGTTGTTATTGTTTCATCTGTTGTTTCTTCTTCTTTTGTTGTTGTTGTTGTCGCTACTGACTTTTTAGGAGTTGTCGTCGTTGTTGGTGGTAGTGGAATGGTTGGATTAAGATTGGTTTTCGTTTGTTTTGATGTTAGATAGATAGGAAGTTGGTTATCGCTACAAAATGTCTGGAGTTCAATGCTATCGATATCAAAGTTGTCGAGATCCATCAAATTCGAGTGTTGCTCACGCTCTAGATACATCAGTTGATAGAGTAATGCCTGTCGATTGGTTATCAGTGAATCTAGATCCTCTCCAATCTTTAGTAACTCTGTTAATCTGACCGGTGATGTTTTATTGTTATTGTGGTGGGTGGACAACGATGATGATGATGATGTGTTGTTGTTGTTGGTGGTGGTGAAGGCTGGAGATGGTGTTGGTGAAGGAGATGCCACAACAGAACTACCATTGTTGCTATTGTTATTATTGCTATTGATCGATGGTGATGTCTTTGAACTGAACTTCCTCTTCTTTGTTGAAAGACTGGTGGTTTGTTTCTTCAGGGCAGAGAGTGGTGAGGTGAGTGAAGGTGAGATCGGTGGCAACACGGCAGTCGTCTCCACCACAACCGGTGTATTTGCAGAATCGCTGGACGAATCCTGCTGCTGCTGTTGTTGCTGCTGCTCCTTCTTTGTTGTTGACTTTTTAGTTGATACCATTGATTGTCTATCTATAGTTGTATACACAAGCAAACTGGGCACTTGTACAATTCGGTATTTGAAGGAGTGTGCAGATCAAAGTTTATATTATATATTAAAGAATTAAGCTTTGTTTTCTTTCTGTTTGATTTCTTTTGAATTTGAATATGAATATATGAATGATAGTGTGATAGTGTATGTAGTATATAGTAATAAAGTGAAATTGGATATTGATTTGTTATATCAATAATACCAAAGTCATTATGTATTGAATATATATATATATGCTTTTATCTTTAAAAGTTATAAAAAAAAGTTAGTTTTATTTAAAAAAAAAGTTAAAGAATCGTTTTGTTTGTTAAACTTACATGTATTTTCAATTGATTTTAAGTTTTTATTGAAAAAAAAAAAAGAAAAGAAAAAGATAATATTTTATATTATAAATATAAACCAATAGAATAGTATTATTGTTACAAATGATATAATAATAACTATCTATGCTCTTTATAAGCTATGTTTGATTCGATGTTCAGCTTTATAGAACTTACTATGCTTTGTTAAACTAAAATTTTTAAAAAAATTTGAAATTTTTTTTTCAAAGTTCAAAAAAAAATAACAAAAAAAAATTGCTTCAAACATATAATTTTTTTAACGGACATAACAATATTTTGTTGATTAATCTATATTCAACAATATATAATATTCTTTGTCCACATACATATATATAAGTCCACATGTTACTATTTGAGAAGTCCATTCATTCATTCATTGAAGTTTATTTTCAAAAATAAAAATAAAAAAAAACTTAAAAGTTATAACTTTTGATAAAACAAAGTTTATAAATTTTAATCATTAACCTTTTTGAATCAATAAAAGTCCATATTAATATATATGATCTTTTTTTGTTCTTTCCCATATATATGTTTTTTTTAAAAAAAATTTTGTGATCATCATTTTTGACACCAATAAATTTTTTAAGCATTTTTTAAAATAAAACAATTTTGTAAATAATATATAGAGATAATTGGTTAATAGAAATGATCAATCCAGAGCAAACACAACCACAGGCACCAACTGCCACTATTCCTGAGCATATAGACGCTGAATTTCTAGCTATGAATCAAAAATCAATGTATTTTTGGTATGTTTAGTTGTTACTGTTGTGTTATTGTTGTTAGAGTTAAGGTTTTGTAAACCTAACTCAAGCTGTTAAACATCATAGAGATTGTGATATTTATCTACTCTATAGGATAGTGATTAACAAAGATCTTTAATACTAATTTGCAAATTACACATCCTTGATAGTCAAATTCTTATAGCGACAGTCGGTGGAAGTGTAGCAGGTATTTTAGGTTTTTCAGGTATCCCAGGTTTCATATTTTATATCTTTGTACATCTAGTTTTCTGTAGTTTATATAATTTGAAAGACAAAAATCTACAACAATACTTTATTTCACCAAAGACAATGTGGTACGATAGTATAAGTTCTGGTCTGATGGTAAGTCATTTCATTTTAAATCGATTCTAAAACAAAAACTAATAAACTTTCTATCTATCTGCCAATCAACCGACCGACCGACCAACCAACTATTCATTCACTTATATAGTCTTTTGTATTATTTTGGACGTAAGTAATCAATGAAACAATGTAATACTTTCAATTATACATTGAAATAATATAAAATTAATTATCATTTTTTTTTCTCGTTCTTCATTTAACAGATTCTTTTATAATATAATACACATTTATTAAATCAATCAATCTTTAACATAAATAAACTAATATATAATGATAAACAGAATAATTTATTTGTGTTATATTATCTTGAATCTATACTATAGTTCAAAGCTTGATTGAATTTTATTTGTTTTTGTTTTGTAAAGATAGATAAGATTAAAAAAAAAAAAAAGTACGTGAAAAAAAAATGAGATATTTAAATATATTAAACTAAAAGTCTTTAGTTTAAGTTTAACAAAAAATATTGTTTAATATTAGATACAAATTTATATTATATTTTTAATGAATTTAGTTTTCTCTGTTTTAGATTAAAGATTGAAATGAAAATAAAAAAATAGAAATTTAAAAGAAAAAAGTTAATTAGTTATTTGACTTTGTTTTGTGTAAAAACAACAACTAAAAGACTTACCTAATTTCACACCATTCATTGTTGTTACGAATCATCTCTTCTTCTTCTGGGGTAAAATCTTGAGTCAATTTGAAGTAGGCTTTAATTTCGTCTGGGGTCTTGGCACGGATCATGTTGGCGACAGTCTTACAGGTGACGTCCAAGAGACCCTTGATGTCCAAATAGTTGGCAGCGAGAACCAATTCAAAAAGTGTGGTGTGATCGATGGTGTTGCAGAAAGTCTTGTCCCATTGATATTCGTAGATCTCCTTAGAGTCACGCTTCTCGTCTGGCTTTGGGTGGGCAATGTGGTACTCGCACCACTCGATGACACGCTTCAAGATCTCACCGGTGACATTTGGCAATGGAATGGCATTGGTGTCGTCACCGATGTCCTCCATCAAATTCTTGATGGCAACAAACATGTTGGCAACTTCTCTGTCGACTTCGAAAGCTTGAGCATCTGATGATTCAAATTTAACCTTTGACATTTTGTTATATATATATATGTTTATGTATATGTAGTAGAAATAAAGTGAAATAGATAGAACAAGATATATAAATTTATCTGTATAAAAATAAAATTAATTTATTTGGGTGGAAAAACAAAATAAAAAAGTTTTTTAATTTTTTTCTTCAACAGCTCACCAACACAGATTTTTTTTTTTTGATTTTTTTTATTAATTCAAATTTTTTTCTTGTTTCTCATGATGGACCTCAAAAAAAACTTGAATACTTGAAAAATATTTCCACTAAAGTTAAAAAATTAATTTTTTCATTTGACCTGATCAGTTTGTGCATTTTCTTTCGATTTAAAGATTTCATTAAATATCGCAGGTGATTTTGGTTTTGGATCACTGTTTTGTTTGTAATTATCAAACCTTATGTTTTACAAAAACTTATCATAACACTTGATATACATCATCTGTTGGTCTACCAACTTTTTTTATAATCAAATGTGTAAAATTTTATATAATATCATTTTAAAATCTTAAAAGATCTTTATCATTTAACATCAAGAATGTTTTATAATTCAAATATAAATGTGTCTTTAAATAATAAGTATACAAGAGTTATTCGTTTATATAAATAAATAGGTTATTATTATTATTAGATTATATACAAGTATGTTAGTTTGCGAGGGTAAGATGTTAGATATTAGATGTTATTATTGAAGCAAGTTGATTGGGATGGCCTATTGCCTTAATTGTTATTGTTATTGTTTTTGTTTTTTTTTATATATAACTTTTCTAAAAAGTTGTTAATTGTTAGTTGGTATGGTATCATATTTATGCATGTTGTGTAATTGTTGAATTTGGAGAGTCGGCGTTTGAGACATAGAATTTGTATTCTGTACAACTGAGAGCTATACCGAAATGACCATCCTCTGGAAGTCTGTCTGTTTTTGGATCGACGTTGGCCGGTTTGAAATTGTATTGGTGCAACAAATTGGCAGCGGCCAAGTACATTTCATCTTTGGCCAAGTTGGAGCCAATGCAAGAACGTGATCCAATACCGAATGCCAGGTTCTTGTAGTCGTTACCGGTGCTTACATTATTCTCGTTCATCCAACGCTCAGGGCGGAACTCCTCTGGATCCTCCCAGAACTTTGGGCTCATCGCCAATCCGTAGACATTCATAAGCAGTTGTGTTCCCTTGGGAATTGTGTAAGGACCGACAGTCAAGTCACGGCTAGCATATCTTGGCAGTGACAACGCACCAACCGGACGAATTCTCAGTACTTCTTTGATGCAAGCCACCAGGAATGGAGTCGATTGTCTGTGTGTCAATTTAATTCTCTCGGATGGCGCACAAACCTTTGATAGTTCTTCCTTGATCTTTAGCATATAGTGTGGATAGTTCATTAGGAAAAGGAACAGCCATTCGAGAGTGGACGACGATGTCTCTGTTCCCGAGAGTAAGAGGTCAGTGGAGATACGTGAGATACCCTCATCCGTAAAGAAGTCTGGGTCTTCACTCTTTGCAATCTCAATCAATATCATATCCATTAGATCATCACAACGATTAGGATTCTTTGCGAGTGCTTGACGATGTCTAGTGATCGCAGCTTTACTGTAGACCCATACTTTTTCCAGCGATTTCTTCAACTTTTCACGTGACGAATTGAAAAATACCGAGAGGAACGGCAACAAATCTGGAATATTTCCAACAGCCAATTCATGTTCGACCCAAGTGACTGCCTCAATTACATCGTTCTCCTCTTTCTCATTGTATCCAACGATTTCATCAAACAATAGTTTCATAATAATATTTAAAGTGAAAATTTTAAAAAACTTTCTAGGTGATACCTTTAATTATATTTAGAGCAAGTATTAGTAAATGTCTTTTACCTATATTCTAATTCTTAAGTTTTTTTAACTTACCGGTTCACCTGTTTCTACAAATGGTTGGAATGCATCTGTCAATCTAAAGGTTTCTGTTTGAATTTTTTCTATAATTGAAAGGTGAGATTTCATTTTAATGAAACAGCTTGCTAATATAAATCTTAATCTCTTCCAATAATCTCCATTTGAAAATAATAAGTCAATATTATCTAAATTGATTAAAAAAATGTTAATAGAGTAATTTTTATATTTAAATTTTTTAATTTAAACTTACTTCCAATAATTTGAGTTGTATTGCTCAAGAATCTATCAGTAGTGTAATCGGATTGATTTACAAATACTTCTTTAATATATTCTGGATCCGTAATTACTACACTTTGTACTTTTCCAAGGAATAGTGTCATTGCACCTCCGTATATATGACTTAAATTCAATAGAGAAATATGTGGTTTTGTTCCAACTTGAAAAAGATTACCAACTACGGGTAAAGGTATAGGTCCAGGTGGCATATCTGATCTTCTTTTATACTATTAATATATTAAAAGATTTAGTTGTTAGAGTGATATTCCAATTGTTTTCTAAAGATTGATAATCCGTTGTTAATTTACAAAAACTATACTCTACTTTTAAGATCATAAATATTCCTATTATTAATACTAATATTGGTACTATCATTTGTTTTTGTTTTTTTTTTGGATGTAATATAAGTGTATTATACAAAACTAGGATTTTTTAATATTATTTATAAATAAAATATTTTGTTTGAAGTTTTAAGATTTTTTTATTGAACTTTAATATTTAAGAGTTGTAACCAAAGAACTAACAAATTTATACAAAAAGGAAATGAGAAAGTAATCTTTTATAAAGCTTATTTTGTCTTTTGGAAAGTGAATGGTTTTTATAAATCCTAAAGAGCTATTTATATTTTAGCTCTAAAATTAAAATAAAATTTATTTTGTGTTAGTTTTGGTTGGGTATACAACTAAAATTATATGTCTATTTTAAATGGAGTTATTGGACACCTCTTTCAAGAATCCCCATTCTGTCATCCACTACCCTTTAATTACATTTTAGAAATTGAGAGTGTTGTCTAATATCTAGAGATTGTCAACAGATAGATATTTTTGTGGATGGATGCAAAAATCGATGCTCCATTTTAAGAGTGGGAATTGCAAATTTAATTCAAAATAGTGTTGATAAGAGAGAAGAAGTAGAAGAAGAACAGTAAGTTATCATTTTTTCAAAAAAATTATAATTTTAAATATATTTTGTTTTAAATAAAAAAGAGGATGATATATTTAATGTTTGGACTTTAGTTGGAGAGTGTTAAAGTTGTATTTTATCGGGGGTGTTGAACACATCATGTGTTGTTGTGCTATATGGTGTGATGTTGGCATTGGAATTCTATAGTATTTTCAAACAACATAAGGTGCCCAGACATTAATAGAGATTTGACTTTGTTTTTCAATAAAAATTAATTTTAATAATTTCTCTTTTGGTGTTGAATGTAAATATTTATGATGATACCAATAGATTCATTTTTGTTATTATTATGATAGTTTGTGTTGCTGTCATTACTACTATTATTTTTATTATTTCGGAATTACTATTTCTATTTCCCCTCTCAATTTTCAATTTGTTTTATTCATATATAGGGAGAAAGGGAGTAAATTATTAAAAATAATATATTTTAAAAAAATCAAATATACAACTGTTATGTGTGGTAGGCAAAAATAATCATTGAAATAACTTAAATTTAAACTCTGGATTAATTTTTAACAAACAGACCAGTTGGATTGTTTCATTCATCACACCCAATATCCTTGCAACTAAACATTGTTTTAAAATTTTAAATATATTTGGGACATGTTGATTTTTTTTGAACAAACAAATAAACATGAAACAAAACCAAACAATTTCCAAAATAGAAATATAAATATATCGTTCATTTATTTAAAACCTTCCTCGAAAACAAAGGTATAGAAGCTTTAAAATCAAACAAAATTCAATTTGATTTTTATTAATAATGATTGATAAAATAAACAATACAAATAATTAAGTAATATTACTAATTTGTGTTGTGTTTAAATTTTAAACACTGTGCTGAGGGGTAACACAATTAGAAAAAATTCTATTGATATGAGGTAGTGATTGTAAAAACATATCCACTTGTCGATTGTCCTATTGACATAAAATAATAACCAAAAATTATCAAATCTTGATTTTTATTTTAAAATTATTTTAAGAATAGACACTTATTTTATAACATATAACTTTAAAAGATGTTCTCATTGTTTCCTATCTTTTAATCCTTTCTAAATCATTTTTTTTTTGGTCTAGCCATCCAGTTGCAGACATTTCCCTTGATAAAGAGGATAACATTTCTCTGGTTATCTAAAATGTAAAAAATTTACTCACTTGTTATATTCATTACTCATTTACCTTTTTAGATTTTTAATAGTTAATCTCATAGGAAATAACCAAATATGAGTATAAAAGTGAAGCAATAGTACACAATAGAGACCGTGAAAAAATGTAGGATTAGGTGTAAAACACCTAAATATTTTTTTAAAATTGCTTTTTTTTTTTTTTCATACAAAGCAAATTTAAATATGTGTGTTTTAAAAAATAGAACATTTAGTTAGTTAATAATATTATATTTACATACATGCTATTTAGCTGTAACGGTTTATTCTGGTTCAAAAAGTTGTATAGTTTGAAATTTCTTTAGCAGCTATAGATTTTAACTCTATAAGTGTTATTTCATTTTATAGGTTATTTAGAACATACGAATATTCCATCTTTCTAAGTATTGGCCGTTGACACTGCCCTTCCTCATCGTGTCTTTTCATTGTTTTCAAGTTTGATTTAGATCTATATCTTTAAAAGAAACATTTTTTGTGATCATGAAAAGTGATGATCGTTAAAAAATAAAATAAAATAAAAAAAAACATTTGTTTTGTGTGGGATTTTATTCTTGAACTTCACACACCACCCATTCCTATGTTCCGAATAGAAATGAAACACATTTATATTTAATCATTATTATCATTGATATACATATTTTTATTATTATTATTATAATAGATAGAATAACTATTTTAGAAAAAGAGATGAGTGGAGTAAAATTGGTAGAATTCAACAGTGAAGATTCGTTTGTTAATGATTCGGTATCGTTCATTCACTCCATTATCAACGATGCTATCAAGTCGAGAGGCGCTGCCGTCATTGGTTTGAGTGGTGGTACTTCACCAAAGCCAATCTACAATGCATTGGTCGCATCCAACGACATCGATTGGAACAAAGTCTACTTCTTCTGTGTCGACGAGCGATACATTACAAAGACATCGGCAGACTCTTTGAACCACTTGGTTGCCAACTCTATTTTCCGTGAGGGTTTGCCAACTCACAAGCTATTGAACGACGGTATTCACTTTACTTGTCCAAACACATCGCTACCACTCGACCTGTGTATTGCCAAGTACCATGCTGACTTGGAGCATTTGCTAAAAAAGTCTGGTGGTGCTGCCGATCTCGTAACTCTTGGAATGGGTGAAGACGGTCATATCGCATCGATCTTCCCAGTCACCGACGAGAATGAACCACCCGCACCAATCAGTCTTGTCTACCACACAACCACAACCAGATTCGTCGTATTCGACAGAATCACCACCAACTTGAGATTCCTCGAAAAGTCAAGAGCCAAACTCTTCTTTATGAAGGGTGAGAGTAAGAAGGTTGTCTGGGATGAAATGTTGGCTGCACCAGAGAATATTCGTCGTTGGCCAGCACAAGGTATCATCAAATCAGGTCATACATATGTACATTACTTGAAATAAAACAAACGCAAACAAACAAACAAACATTTATTAAAAAAAAAAAAACCTAAATGAACCTATAAACAAATGGAATAATAAAAAAAACTGTAGTTTATTATTATTGTTTTTGGAATGGAGTTTATTGTTTGTATACAAATTTAAATAAATAAAATAGCTTAAAGTTTGTAAATAGTATTACAAAAATTAGAGATGTTGTAATTCTTGAACTATTTGACTTGCTTTTAGTCTCTGTTGGTATTCTATGTGTATACACTGGGTGTACAACTTGTAGAAACCCTGTAAGTTTGGTGGACATTGTATTTCACTCCAGCTGGGAGGATTGTATTGATCCACTGCAAATCGTTTCTCGTCGTATTCAAATGTAATCAAAAAGTGAATTAAATAACCGAATTGCAAAACATCATTGGCATATTGCAGAGTGTAATCGATATGTGAAGGATTGGCATATGTATTGGGAACGATCGATGGTTTCTTTGTTCGCTGCATAATACTATTATCGAAATCACCAATCTTACTGTAGCTTATTAAATTACTACCATCCAATGTTAAAAATATATTATGTGGCTATAATAATATTTAAATAAACCAAAAATATTGTTAGGTTCTAGAAATATTATAAAAATAATATGAATTGTTAATGAATACTTATTATACATACTCTTAAATCTCTATGAGCAATCTTTAGATTATGTAAAAATTCTATTCCTTTTGCAATGTGTAAGAGACAATTCTTTAACTCTGAATGCTCGAATTTCAATGGTAGGTTCGGAAGAATCTGTGAGTTTTGTCCAGTGTCACATGATTTCAATAATAGCAGTGAGTTTTGATTGAATTTCGCGAGGAATCGTTTCTCTCCGACGATCTTACGAATGTTGATATAGGAGAAGAGGTTGGTGTGCATCTTCTCCAGGAAGAGATAAAGCTTGCCGGCCGACTCTGACACTTTGTCAAACTCGATGATTTCGCTCGGTTTGTTCTTACGAATTCGCTTGTAGATCTTGGCTTCGTTGCGAATGTTTTTGAAATTTGGATCGTTTTTACTGATTACCTTGACAACGCAGATCTTTGTGACACCATAGTCGATAGAGTTGCAGTCGTGAATGGTTGCGCCACTTGCACTGAAGATTCCATCGATTGGACTGAGCACCTGGAAGGAATGACCCATTCCAATACTGGTGGGACTGGTAATCGATTCTTGGTTGTACGAAGAATCATGATAGGGAAGCAAGAATTGAATGGAGATCATCAGTAAACAAGGAACGATCTCACCCAAGAGGAAATAGATAATGGTAGTGGCCACAGTCTTTGTTCCACCCGACCAAAAGTCAATATCACTATTGGAATAAGATGGATTCGTTGCCAAAATAATAACTCTACTTAAAATACAAATAATTAAAAGTATTTGTAATTTCTCGATCTGATTGATCAATCAATAAATGTTTGTTAATTAATTGATTTGTTTCTTTTTTTTTTCGGATCTACTTATTGCACTTACACTATGTCCTTTTCCACGTAATAGTTTTTGAATTGTTTTACGTTTGTATGCTATATAACCATGTGATAGAATCAATAGAACAAGATATGCAATGAAATAATATTCCAGTGCCTGATCGAAGCCATCGTCTACATCGGAGCTCTCAGAGTTGGTTTTACGTTTATCTTCCTTCTTGAATGAAGAAATTGAATAAACCATGAAAGAAGAAACATACATGATGATATTGGAGAGGATGACAAACATTGTATATTTCTTTACACCGTTGTCATATGCCTTGTCCACCATGATCAAAGGTATTTCCTCATCTTCTCTACTGTTCATCTCAACAAAATTAGAATCTTTTGGAATAAATTGTAAACTGAAAAAAAAAATCATACTTTAAATGTTAATAATGGTTTGATAATAATAATAATAATAAAAAACAGATCTTTAAAGATTCTATACAAACATTTGAATACCAAGAAACGCTGTCAATGTAATAAATAGATATGATGGAAAATTCGCTGCGAATGAACCTGCCTGGAATGATCCAATGATACCCAGCAGCAAGAAAATCGCTCTAGTCGTACAATTTGAAAATAATAAACAATAAAATAGAGTTTTTACATTATTAAAGAGTGATTTATGATATTTGAATTCGTATATCAAAAGTATAAGGCCTGATATTTCAATTGAAATATATAGTAATAAAAATATTGTTGGTGCTATAATATTGTTTTCATTATTACGAAATTTCGTTAGTTAAAGTTATAATAATCAACTAGTTTTATTGTAGTTTCCTATACCTATAAGTGAATCATCCATTTTTGATAGTTTGTTATATTTTTTGAAAAAAAGGTGTTTATTTCTATTGTTTTAGATGAAAGGCAACGATATTGAGTGATAAGTATTGAATTTGAAATTCTGATTCTACATTAATTCGAACTAAGTAAAAAAAAAAGATGATAAAAAGATTGAATCTATCGATCTGGTGAAATGTGATTTTGGTTATTCTTTTTAGTAGTTATTCTCTTATTTATTACTTGTTGATAACATTTCTCTTTCTAAATTTAACATGTTTGAGAAAAAAATAAAGCTGCGAAACACTGCTCAAAAAAACCATTCAAAGTAAATTAGTTTCATCAAAATAATGGGCTTTCATACCAAAAATAAAATTGCAATTTTATTGCCAAATTCTGCAAAAGATTGGTGGCCTTGCACCTTGTTTTTCAACAAAGTTTCCTTTTTTTTTGAATTTAAAACGACCTACGAATAAGTAAAAAGAAAATTCTTATTTTTTTTTTTAAACACAAACCAAACTGATCACATTGTTCTACATGTTTATATCAAAAATTAAAAATTTAATTTAATTTTGTTATAACAATTAATTCTTGATATTCAAAGAATCAATCAATCAAACAAACAATCACCACAATGAACTTCAAAAAAAAAAAAATGGATTAATAATAAAAATTTTTAATTTATTTATAAACATACATAATACAACAATAATAATTCTGGCAAAAGCTGGTCAACTGTTTAATAATCAAGTTAAAATCAAAGTATCACAACAATGTAATTTTAAAAAAATAATTTTTTAAACAATTACTGAAAGATATTAAAAGATTATCTGTTAGAATTTAGATTTTTTGAAATCTGTTGATTATTTGTAAATATTTATGTATGTAATATCCACATTAAACCACTGGTTTACAAAGTGTAGTGGAACAAAGTATTGCTGATCTATTTACTTTGCTACAAAAAATATTTCGGCCAAAGATATGATGATATTTTAAATATCTGCATTTATTTTGTGCTTCATCATGATTCTCTTGTTGATTTTATAAAGTACTTTAAAACAATCAAGGATATCAATATGATTTTATAAATATAAATATAAACATAACAGACTGTTATCAATCAATCTTTCTTTCTTTCTTTCTTTCTTTCTTTCTTTATACCTCTACCTATTAAAGAAATATAAAAATGTTTAAAAATATAATAATCTGTAATTTTATTCTATGTTTAACATGGTTTACTACATTGTCAGTGGCACAAACCTATGTTAATATGATTCCATATAAATCACCATCGTGTACCGGTGAACAAACTGGAATTGGATATTCGTGGATTGTCGATACCTGTATTGGTTTCCGTGACAACAACTTTTACTTTGATATTAGATCCGATGGAAATGTTACCATGTCAGAGTATTCGAGATCAGTAGATTGCGGTAGCAACAACCCAAACACCCAGAAAACGTTCTATGTCGACTATTGCTATGCGACTGACTATGCCGGTACCGAACAGTATCCACAAAACAACTACGTAAAGATTCAAGTAGTAAACAACCCACCACCTCCACCACAATACGGTCTTAAGTACTCTGTGTTCGAACCAACTGACAACGAATGCTCTGGTAACGTTCAAATGTACTACTACTACGTAAACAACACCGTTTGGCAAGATCAATTCGATCACTATCAATTCTTCTGCTCTGCAACAGACAATGTAAGTTTAACTAAATGATCATTTCATATTCTAAATCATAAAACTAATTAATAATTCAAAACAATACAATATAGTTACCATATGAAACTGTTTGTGCTGTTTCAGACAATGATGATGATAATAAAAATGAAAATGATGATGATGATGAAGTTAATGATTCTTCTAGTTGTTTCACTTCTACTTGGTGGTCAGCATGCGGTATCAGTTTCTATTTAGATTATAAATCATATACAATGACATCTTGTTAATAGAAATAAAATAAAGTGGCTAATTATGTTATAATGATATTTTAATGAATAGATTTATATATACTATATATTTTATTTTATATTTTATTACAAAAGGAATTTAAGTATTGATTCTCTTACAGTCTCTAATGATTTATGTTCTACATCTCCTAGTTTTATTACAACTTCAAAGTGGGTAGCCTCGAAACTGTCGAGTATCTCTACTTTGCTGTTCCATGTGCTCTGTAGTCTCTGCTCAAAGTTCTTGGTTTGTACAGAGTTTACCAGCTTATCGGCTGGCGAATGCACCAACAACCATTTGATTGCAGAGACAGAGTTCTTGTTATTGTCGTCGATCGGTGTGAATCTCTGTGGCGATTCCCATTGCTCTACGTCGTCGTTATTGAAAACAAACGATATATTCTCTTTGTAGTCTGGGAAGTCGGTGTTGAGCTGTTGCATATCGTAGATACCTTGAATTCCGATGCATCGAGTGATCTTGTATTGTCCTTGGATCTCTGCCAACGAAGCATACTGGTTCGGTTGCATCGAGAGACAGGCAATCATGTGTCCACCACAGGAGTGTCCAATCAAGGTGATGTTGTTGACGTCGTAGCGGTAGTCGTCACGGTTGTCTACGAGCCAACGCAAACTCTCGGCAAAGTCATTGTTGTGCACTGGGTAGCGAATCGGTGTCTTGTGTGCCTGCTTGCTCAGACGGTAGTTGACAACCGCCACCATGTAGCCGTGCGAAGCAAAGAGACGACCCATCTCAACATAGTCAGACTTGTCACGATCCATCCAGAATCCACCGTGAACATAGACCAACAGTGGGAACTTTTTGTCAGGTGAAACCTCCTCAACCGATGGTTCGTAGAGATCTAACTTTTGTGATGAATGCACCTTTCCATATGCTTCATCATAATAAATAGCTGTTTTCTCCATCTTTTATTATTATTATTTTCTTTTGAATTATTATATAACAAAATAGATAGATAATAATGACAATTGACTTTGGTAGTTCAATTTTTTTTTTTTGTTAAAAATCATGATCCGAAATTTCACCCCAAAAAAAATAATCGATTATTTTGGATTGTAAATGTACATTTTTTTTGGGGTGAAATATTCATTGAATATTCAAGGTATATATTAAAACAACTTACTTCTCTAATTTATTTTAATCAATCTACGAGAAATTTTGGTTTTATTACTAGAAATTTAGGAGAAAAAAATTTAATATTTATATGGGTATCTAAATAGATGGGTCAAATGACTTTGATATTTTCAATTGTTTGTTGATGTTTTTTCTATACTATATCGTTTGTTTAAGACAAATTTTATTAAGAAAAGGTGTTTCATATATTAAGGATAACTTTAGGAAGTTAGGAAGTTAGAGATTTGATAAAATATTGATATTAACTCAATTTAAGTTCCACAGATTGGTTTGAGAAAGTACCATGTTTAAAGAAATAAATATATTGAATAATTGAAAAAAAAAAAACACAGTTTCTCTGTTTTGGAAATTTAAAACAAATTAATAGACTTTTTATAAACACTTGAATTTCTAACCATAAATTTGAATAACAAAATAATAATAATTTAAAACTCTTCTTTTAATTTAATTTTACTTAAAATTATATATTATTTTTTTATTATATATTATTTATTTATTGAACTCTGACCTTTTTGGTAGACTTTGGGTTGAATCCGTTGCTGACAAAGAATTCACCAGAGGATGAACCAGATCCAGAGATGGCTGAACCAGATCCAGAACCGGTACCAGAGATACCAGAACCGGTGGCGGTACCAGATGGGTTGGATGAGGTGGCAGTTGGGTTGGATGAGGTTGGGTTAGATGAGGTGGAGGATGATGATGAAGTGGTGGTGGAGTTACTCTCAGAATCCGATTTGATTCCTCTAGAGCAACGGTTGGTGACTCTGAGTTGATGACAGAGGTGATCAATTCTGGACCGTATTGGGCGACGATGGATTGACAGATTTGTACCCATGACTTGAATCCGATGACGGAGCAGTCGTTCTCGAGTGAGTTGATGATCTCAGACTCGGTTTGGTTGGATTGGACGTAACCTTCGATTTGACCGACGATCCACTTGCAGACTGGACATCCGAAACCGTCGTCGACGGTGACCAAAGCGGCGAACTTCTTTGATTGCTCACTGGTGCAGATGTTGAGTTCTCCACAGATTTGGGATGGAGTTTGCTTGTTGACCAATTGTTGGATGATTTGTGGGGCGTACTCGGCAACCAAGGACTTGCACATCTCGGACAAAGCGTTACCGATCGAGTTACAGTCGTTTTCGAGGGCGGCAATAATCTCTGATTCAGTGGCGTTCGAGGCGAGGTATGACTCGGCGGTGGAGACAATGTAGGTGCAGATGGCGCATGGAACATCGGACTTGATCATCTTCTTCTCTTCGGCTGGGCAGAAACCGATTTGAGTGCAAATGACGGTTGGGGTCTCTTGTGAGATGAACTTCTCCAAGTAGTTGTTGATCAAGGTGGTGCAAACCTTTTGGAGGCCAGCGGAAACATAGAAGCAGACATTGTCCAACTCTTGTTCGATCTCTGTGATTGTCTTATTGGTTTGGACGAGGTTATCGACGTAGTTGGCGACGAAAGTGCACAAACCACATTCTTGACCAGCAGCTTCGACCTTCTTTGATTGGACGGCGACAGCTGACAAAGCTACCAACATTAAAGTAATAAATAATGCTTTATTCATTTTTAGATAAATATAATTTTACTGGGGAAAAATAAAAAACAGATAAAATTTTTAGAAAAGATGCTCTGGGGTAATCACTGACCAGCTTTTTATTCCAAGCTTATTAATTGACAAACCGTGATGAAGGATTTTTCGAAAAATCAAAAAAAAAAAAAGAAAATAATAATAAAAAAATTGTTGGTGTCAAAACGACTCGCGTTGCAAAAAAAATCTCAACCACTTTTGCCCACCATCTTCAATTGAATAGCCGTCATCTCAGCGTTACAAAAATTTTAAGATCATAAGATTTTTACAAAAAAAACAAAAATCTTTCAAAAATGGGTAAAAAAAATAAGTTTTTTTGTTTTTTTTTATTTCGGTGTCAACAAGATAAAAGTAATTAGAAATTTCAGACACGTATTAAGCAAATATTTAAATGTTGTGATCTTAAGATAGATAGTTATCATTATTATTATTATTAAAAAGAAATTTCGTTTCATTGGGAAAAGTATTTATCACACAACATATATTGCTGTTCTGAATTATTTTCATAAGACTTTGATAATAAATCAAATCTTAACTTCAATATCTTAATTAATTTCTGAAAAAAATATCGATATTTAAGATTGTTATATTTTCAAAAGATATATATTTGTTTAAATACTTTTCACAAACCCTAAAAAGTAGTGTTTACACAAATTGTTTATTAGGGAATAAATATTTACTATTGGGTGTTAGCATAGGTACTAAAAAAAAAAGACAAACATTTAAATCTTTTTTACTTTGATCAAAAGAATTAAAAACAAAATTAAAAATTTGCCAAAACAATTTAATCAAATAAATCAAACCGATTAATTGTTCTGAAAATAAATTGTTATCTTTATTAGCAATATTATTTTTTTATAAACAACATAAAATTAAAAATAAAATTAAAAAGTTACTCTTTGTAAAAAAACGAATCATTTTCTAATAATACAAAGAAAGTGTTTGGTGTCTTTTAAAAATTTTTTTGTCAAAGTCGATGATCATATTTAAAATAATTATGATCCAAATATATAAATATGAATATGAACAGTAGTAATAGTGATAGTACTAAAAAGAGGAGTGTTGAGATCATACCATGGATTGAGAAACAAGTTTTGTCTATAAATACATCATCTAAAAAGATTGGTCAAGTTATAACTGGTGACATAACAAACATAAATGTATGTATGTCATATACCTACTTGATTTTATTTGTTGTTTGTTTGTTTGATTCATTCATTTATTGATTGTTTTTAATGTTACGGTTTAATATTATATTTTAGAAAGATCGATTTATTAGTACTGAAAAGAAAGTATTATATCTCTCAGATAGACAGACATTTATACCCATTTCAATTACTGATGAGGCATTGAGTAAATGTGCAAGGTATGAATTTATTATCGATAGATGATCATTTATCTAAAAGTAACTAATAAGTTTTCTGTTCATAGAAAGAGAGTAGCGATAGCCAAACCTTCAAAGTCTAATATCGACATTGTTATTGGTGCAATCATTTCTATCAATGACCTTGAATTGGTCAATGACAATGGTAGTTTCTCATTGAATCTAAAGGATTTTGATATTATAACAAGAGACAAATTCAATTTGAAATCACTTATTCCCATCACAGATCTACCAAAAATCAAAGACTTTTTAAAGAATAGCCATTCATCTGGTGCCTCTACTGTCACTCCTATTACACCGATTATCGATGACAATGACAGAAATAATAATAATTGTTATTCAAATGGATTCGAATTCGATCCTTATGATTGTATAATACCTCAAGACCAATTGAAAATTCTGGAGAGTTTAATATGTAAATATAGTACTTTAGATATACAAATTGCAATAATACTAACATAATATATTATCGATGTAAAGTTGTGAATGGTAAATGGGAGCAACCTATTAAAGTAAAGACAGAGAAGCAGCTTCCAAATGAAAAGATATCAAAACCAAACAGTATAAGTAAAATAATGAATGATAGTATTAGAAATAAGATCAATGGTAACAATCAACAACCTTCAAATGTCAAAACAAACCAGCAACAACAAAAACAACAAAACAACCACAACAACATGTAGCTTCAAATCAAACAAAGTCAAAGGGGAAAAGCTCACAGATAGAAGAGGAGATAGAAGAAGAGGAGCAAGTTGATAGAGATAAAGCTAGAGTAGAGGATGAAGACCCAATTGTCAATTCAAATGTTAGTGGTAATGGTAGTAGTAGTAATGATCAACATTCAGGTTTTGAAGATGATATATCTTATTCTTCAATGGATGTATGTATTTTTTTATATAAATAATATTAAGATACTAAAACAACATTTTGATAATAGTTAGCATATTCCATGCCAGACGGCTATAATAGTAACAATAGCAATAAAAGGAAACTCTCAAGTCTTAAGTGTCTCTGGCAACAGGAAACAGAAGATATATATGATTCACAAGTATCGTTAATAATTGATACAGAAAAAACAACTACGACAACTACAACCACTACGACAACTACAACTACCAGCGATAATAGCAACAACAATAATAACAACAACAATAATAATAATGAAGATAAAGAAATTAACAATTCCCCAGATAATGATTTTGAATTATCAGATGATGAATCCAACAGAAAGGTGTTGGATCATGATAAGAAAGCAACAACAACAACATCAAACATGGGACCACCACAATCACAGTTTCCAATAGCATCACAAATACCATACTCTACGTTTCCTTCACAACTTTCACAGCTTACACAACTTTCACAATTTACCAACAACAACAACAACAACAATAATAATGATATAAGTAGCAGTATATCTCTCAACACAAGCCTAAACACTGGTCTTTTTCAAACGCTAATAGATAGAATGAGTACGTTGGAATCAATCGTCAAAGACCAATACGCAATCTTTACAAGCAAGTTAACTATACAAAACCAAGAGGTGAACGAAAGAATCACCAATTTAGAAGACCAACAAACAAACCTTACACAAAGAATCACCAATATAGAGAAAGTATTGAAAAAGCACAAATTAATGTAAAAATAATAAATTTCTTTATTATTGATTCTCTCTTAATTTTTATAAATAACAAAAGTAAACAATGATTATGTTTAAGAGGATTATAATTTAGTTTTATTATCTATAAAAATAAACTTTTGGCAAATTGTTATGTAGCCAAATTCCATTTAGTTAGACTATGATATCATGCAGGAACTCAAGTATCATAAAGATCAATTCTAAAAAGATCAAAACAATGACAATTATTTCTAATCTAAATGAACCTATAAAGATTAATTAAAGTTGATTAGTAATTTAATGGATATATCACTTGTTAATATTATAGTACCTTTTGCATCAATATCAGCTCTGCACATATCAATTAGATCTCTTACAACCATCAATCTATGATTCAATGTTCTCACTCTAGGTTTGATTTCCAAGTATTTCTCGGTTAGATGATGATAACTCTCATATTGTTGGTACTCCCAAAAGAACTCTGGTGTATCAAGTAAGTTGGAATGTAGATTTATGGCATTCTTTTGAATGTACAAATTACCCAACAGTTGTCCAACTCTTTTTTGTGATAAACAAATCTATTTAAACAAGATATGATAAATATTAGTGAGTTGACCCAAAAGAAGTTTAATATTTAATAGGTTTTTACTTACTTTTCCTTCTTTTGAAAGATGAACAGGTACTTGTTTGGTTTCGACAATGATTTTCTCTAGATTCTCTTCAAATGAAGATAGTTTGACCGATTGTGAAATCGAATGACTCATTGCAATCTTAACGTATACATCTTCTCTGTCCAATGAGATCTTGTCTTGGAAAATAGATGTCTGACTACCATTGGAATATTCAAACTTCATATCGTCTACCAACTTGTGATCGAGTGGCTCAATTCTGAAAGGGTCCAACATCTTTATAACTTTGAATTCTATGGACGGAGTCAAGTCCCAGAATACAACTACACCATATTCGAAAATAACTACCAATCCGTTCTCATTGTGATTGTATCCGTAGTCCCTTGTCAAGTCAAAGATTGGCTCCATCAAGAAACTCTCTGGAACATTATCGGAATCAATCGTTGGTGACGATGGTGGATTCAATTTGGAGGGATCATAGATTTGATCGTTTAGATCTCCATTCCAATAGATAGGAGGTTGTAGTTTATGCTGTTGCTGAGGATGTTGATGGTTTTGAGCGATTGGTTTTGGTAGATGTGGAAGAAAGTTTGCACCTTCGAGAGAGCTATTAGTATTATTATTATGGACGGATCCAACAATGTTGCCAGTGTTATTGCTGTTATCAAGTTTGATAGTAGGAATTTGGTTACCAATTGGATCATCGATCGGAGTGGGAACTGGAATCGGGATATCCATTGGAGGTGCCTCTGGCTCGCGCTTGAGAGTGAAATAAAAGAATTCCTTGTGCTCAATCGGATTCAGACCAATTTGGTCGATGTGGTGAAATGATTGGTTCAGACTCAGTGAGTCTGACACACAGTATGCAGACACCCTTCTCAGCTCTCTGGAGCTATGGGCACAGAGCAGTCCGCCATTCTGTCTTGACACTCCGGCTGCCTTTGAGGGAACGATTCTCTTTTTCTTGTAGGCAGTTTCAGTGGGTGAGCTTCTATCTAACTTTACACCATGACTATTGTTAAGATTGCCTTGGTGATTGTTGTGGTTGTTTGGTTGGCTATGACTACCAACAACATTACCTACATGACCGTTGATCATATGTGGGGGTTGATGTGATTGATGATTTGGCAAGTCATTATGAACCAGATCAATATTATTAATTTTCTTTTTCAATGGGTCCATGATTTATGATGATTGTGTTTTGACGAGTGAGTGATTGATTGATCAATACGATACAATGATAATTTTGTTTTTGATATTTATTATTTAGATTCAAAACATTAACGATTACACAAATAGATATTGGAATCTTTCTTCATTATGTAGTGAACAGACAATTTTAAAAGTAATTATTTCTTTTTTTCCGGAAAAACTGTTTAAAATATGGACATTTAAATTCATATATATATAAAGTAAATTATTTATCCCATTAATTTATAATTTAATAATAGAAAGAGATATGTAAATATTTTTTTTTTATTGATTTTTTATTATTTAAAAAATAAATGTTTACTTTAAAAAGTTAATAGATTTTATAAATAATAATAAATAAATTAATCTGACAATTATTTTAATTATGACAACAACTGATTATAAAATTAGATATAGTTGAAAAAATTTTGATTTTTATTTTAATTGTAAAATTAGTTATGAATTTGTAAAATAATTTCCAATGTTAAAAAAACAAAAAATGATAACAAATAAATATGATAAGTGAAGAGTATTTATTATAATGGAACAAATAACTATTGAACGATTAATGGATATGAACTAAAAAATAGATAGATAGCTTATAGTTTTATTTATTTTATTTTATTTTAAATTCAGATGTTTGAAGAATGACAAGTTTACAATTTAATGATACATTTGAAATCAATTGTGATAATTGAGTATTTATAGTTGTCCACGGAGATGTTGTTTTGGATTCACACAACAATCGGAAAATCTAAAAAAGACACACAACCATAACAACTATTAAAAGAATCATCTATCTACATTCCATGGATTCTCTATCTCTAAAAATAATAATAATAATATGTTTATAAAATTTAAATTAAAAATAAATAAAATAGAGAGGTAAATATACAAAAAAGTTTACTAAATCATTGTTGGTTAAGATATGCACCTTTGGAGGGTGGGTAGAAATAGGAGAATTGTTTTTGATGCTAATGCATCAAGCAGTATGGAAGAGAAAAGAATCAGTAGATGTGGTAATTGAGTATGTTGTTGTTGTTAATGGCACTACTGTATTTACCTGCCATGCTTGGAACCTGATATTATTGTTATTTTCAACATGGATCATTTTTGACCTTGAGGTAGAAAGAATATTATTGTCATATAAAACCATAATAAAAAAAAACGATTTATTATTATTCCAGTCAACCAATGAATAATATTGGTTTGTACGAAAACAAAATCATATGATAATATACAGTATATTATTACTTATTTAGCTATGTTGTTAATGAACTATTATGATATTGTCTATCTTTCGTTTTTGGTAATAATATGTTTGTATTATTTCGATTTTGGTGATGAGTGACATATGGTGGTGGTTGGAGGAATGTTTTCCCACCACCACTACCACCAAGAACAACAACAACAAAAATAATATACTTTTTGTGATATTAAGATATGTCCAAATATCTAGAGTACTGTGTTGTGGTCACATCAATCGATTTTGAATAAGGAAACTAAAAAAGTAAGAATTATAAAAATAAAATATATAATGACAGTATAAATATTAAATGCTGCGATCTAACTTTCATACTTTTTGTATTGTAATGTTTAGCATCATTCTTATTATTGGGTTGATTTATATATTACTATAATAACTATAATTAAACATTATTACTTTAATATTAACAATGATTATATAATAACTAATTAATATAGATCCAATTTTTATCAGGTCTATACTATTTAACTTGATTAACATGATTATAGACATCCATTAACTTGTTTAACATGATTATAGATTAAGTAGCTTGTGACGTGATTGATGAAGATCATTTATTTCATTTTTGAGTGCTTTTTGATTTGATTTTAGCTAAACAATGTTGTTAATCTAATTTAATTGTAAATATTATATTTATCTCTCATTATTATTTGTTGATTGTCATTGGCGAAACTTTAAACAACGAATTTTGATTGACGAAAATTATTAAATTAAACACCAAACACTTTTTTTTTTTTTTTTTTGAACAAACTAAAAATACAAAATTTGCAAACAAATAAAAGTAAACATATTAGTGATATATATTAATAGATAAATATATTCACTAAAAAGGGTAACATCATTATTATATTTTATATATATCAAGCAATAGAAAGATGTCACTTGAAGTACATGGTAATAAGAGTATGAATTTGGATCAGATACTTCTGACCAATATACAATCCTCACAGTATTTTAAGAGTTTATAGTATGTATAAATAAATAATAAATAATAAATATATAATCACTTTAATCAATTAACACTAACATTACTATTATTATTTTTAGTAATTTAAAAACATATCATGAAGTTTTAAGTGAAATCAATAATCACGTTGAATATCTTTGTAAGTATCATACGATTGGATGACCGCGGTGATAAAAAATATACCTTTATGGTTTGATATTATATATTATATGATAACAAATATAGTTTTGAAATCACAAACAAACAAACAAACAAACAAACATTATTAAAATGCCTTGATTTGAATTGCCAATGGCTTGTAAGAAAGACCTACTACTTCTTGAATCTATCTACTTTTCTTATTTTTAAAAGTATCTCTAATTAACGAATGTTACTAACCATATTTGATCAATTGAATAATAATAATAATAGGTCCATATATACCAAATACAAAGACGCCATCCAGTGCATATTGTCTACTGTTCAAATTGTACACTATGAAGATGACAGAGAATCAAATGAATGGTATAGTCACACACGACTCACCCTTTGTAAGAGCTGTTGGATTTCTCTATCTCCGTTATTGCTTTCCACCTGCCAATCTTTGGTCATGGTGGGGAGAGGCTCTCGGTGACCAGGAAACTATTAAAGTTACACCAAGAAGTGATCCAATGTATGTATATATTCAAGTAATTGTTAATTAACAATAAATAATGAAATAAAGTTACTAATATTTAATTGTTATTCTATTTTTAATTATAGAACTGTCGAAGAACTATTGATACAGCTAGTAAGAGAACAAAGATTTGCAGATACAATACTACCTAGAATACCAGTCAAGGTTATGAAAGAGCTAGAAGACAAAATATCAGAGTACGAAAAGGAAGTGGGTTACACCATAGGCAAGAAGGACAATGGAAAGCAAAACAACAACAACAACAACAACTACAGAAACAACAGTGCTGGTGGAAGAGACAAATTCAGTGAAAAGAGAAACAGCAGAGATAGAGACAACAGAGATAGATACCACAACAATAATAATAGCAATAGAGATAGATATGATGATAGAGACAACAGAGATAGAAATAGAAACAACAGATACGATGATAGGGACAGATATGACGATAGAGACAGAGATAGAAACTATCGTGATAGATATGACGACAGAGATAGAGATAGAGACAGATATGATGACAGAGATAGAAACAGAGGTAGTAGTGGTTCTTACAAAAGAAGTAGAAGCAGAAGCAGAAGTAACAGTCGTGACAGATACAATAACAGAGACAGCAGAGACAATAGATATGATGAGAGAGATAGAAAAAGAAATAGATCAAGTCGTAGCAGAAGTAGAAGTAGAAGTAGGGATAATGAAAGAAATGATAATCAACAACAACAACAACAACAATCGTCATCAACTACAACTACTACCAACAACAATAACAATAGCAATAACAATCAACAAGAATCAGAACAACTTAAGAAACTACGTGAGCTATACGGTGCCACCTCTAACCAAGTATCTTTAGATAATTAAAATTACTTTACTCTATACTAACAATAAAAAAAAAAGTATTTAAATATCACATATTATCACAGTTATTATTTCTTTTCTTTTTTTTTTTTGATTTTATTTTAGATCTAATTGTATATCTCTTAATTATAAATAATTTAAATGTATTGTTTTTTTTTTTTTTTTTTGGTATTATATATATATTTTTTAAATTTATTATTAATAAACTTTTTTGTAACAAAAAAAAAGAATCAAAGATAAAAATACCAATTCTTCTCTAACTTTGTTTGATTTCCCCCACTACTGTTTACTTGTTTAGAATTATGATTGTCTTCAAGTTTAAGCCTTGAGCTCTGGGAAGTCGGTTGAGGTCAATTCTGGGATCTTCTTGTTCTCAGTCTTGCTGGAGACTTGCTTTTGTCCCTTTCTTGGTGGCTTGTTGCTTGATTGGATCGATGGCTTAGTTTCCAAACTGATGAGAGTCTTCTTTGAGTTTTTCTTTTCCTTGGCGGCAGACTTGGTGGCGGACTTGACGGTTTCCTTTTGGATTGGAGCGTACTCTTCCCATTGGTTGGTCTCACCCTCACCGGCTTGTCTGAGCTTCAATGGTTGGACTTGTGGAGCCTCAGCTTGTTGTTGCTTTTGGTACTCTTCCAAGGTGATGTTGGTGTCCTTTGGAGCTTGAGTCTCGGCGGTCTCAGTGGTGGCGGCGACGGCGGTGGCGGTCTCCTCGGTGGTCTCAGTGACGGCGACGGCAGCCTCAGTGTTTTGGACTTCTTGAGTTTGTGAACCCCAGTTACCCTTACCGGCACCTCCCTTCTTGACTTCACCGGCTGGTCTACCAGTACCAGACTTACGGTCGAATTGACGTCCACGTGGAGCACCAGAGGCGTCGGTACGTGGGGTACGGGTGTGTGGCTTACTGTCTCTCTTTGACGAGGACTTTTGGAAGTCTTCACCTTGAACCTCAGTTCTTGGCTTACGCTCAGTCTTACGCTCACCGTTGACACGGGCTGGCTTGTCTCCCTTGACAACCTTGCTTTCAGCTGGCTTCTTCTCAGCTTGGGCTGGCTTCTTGGCAGCAGTGACTGGTGCCTTGGTGGCTGGCTTAACATCCTTTACGACCTTTTCTTGTGGCTCTTCATTGTCGTCTTGAAGAAGATCGAAAAGGTTCTTGCTCATCTATAAATTTTTAATTATAATTATCTATATTAATTTCTTGCTGTTCAAATATAATCTAGTTGCTTGGTGTAATAGAATCTCTTTATACATGACAATGACAATCTTATCTTAAGATCTAACTAACAAATACTATAAATATATAAACAAAAAAAAAAAAAAAAAAAACAAATACTACAATCTCTTGATGTGATAGTACTATTCTTTTGTTGTTGTTGTGTTGTTATTATTATTATTATTCATATCTGAATCTGAAAACTATTAAATATCTTAATAACTAAATACTTTGATTCTGATTTTCATTTGATACTTTATGTATAGATTGATTATAGATGTGTAGATATATAGTATTGTATTGAATACATATTCTATTATTATTATTGATATTATTATTTATTATAAACAAATAATTTTTATTTATTTGTTTATATTATTATTATTTTATTTTATTTTTATAACTAATTTTGATAAAGCTAAATAAATAAACTAAATAGATATTCAATATAGTATATAGTAGTAGTGTATAGTATAAAATGTAGAGTATATTATGTGTTTGGGCAAAAGTTGAAAGTTATGCGATTCGTCTGTGGTGGCGAATTTTGGGTGAGACAACATTGTATCCTGTATCCTGTTATTGTCTATCTGGTGGGTTATTGATTCTTTGATGAGATATCCCTAGTGTATCCTGTGTATCTCATTGAATGCAGTAGATTGATATATGCCATGTATAAGAGATTCTACTTGTTACTCATAACTGCTATACTTACTTTCTAACTGTGTATATGTTGGAGAGGAAATGGTTACAATGATAGAGGAAATTCTACTATGAGGAAGGGAGACCCACTCTAAAAAAATATTTTGGTTTTTCACTGAGTGAGTGTGCCAGAATTTTTTCGAGCGGTTTCAGGGGGAGCGTTCACCTCGCACCGCCATCTTCCAGAGGAATTATTCAATTCGACAACACACCTTAAAATAATACCAAAATTTATTATTTTTTTTAAAAAAAAATTTTCACTCCAAACATTGTTTTTTGATATTTTTTTTTTAATAATTTTTTTATTTTTAATTTTTTACAGAGAGCAAGGCGAGACAATCCAAACGAGAAGTCGCCTATTGGCCAATAATGATGTGCACACATGTCTCAAGAATAATAATGAGAAGATAAGAAGAAAGGAGAATAGGATGGTTCTCAGAGTTAAGATGCTTTGATTAAAAAAAAAAAAAAACAACATTGCAGATTTATTTTATCTTAGTTGATATTAGTAATTCTTATAATATTTTATTTGTTCAGCAACGAGGCCATATTTCTGACTTGATTTGGTTTTTCATGTTCATTTAGTTCACAATTTGTCAAAGAGTTATATGTTTTAACATAATTATGTAATCATAATAATCATAATATTATCAAACATTTCTTCTATATAGTAAAATAAAGATTAAAAAATGTTGATTGTGCATTGAAAATGAGAAAATAATTTTAATTGATTTAAGACTTTTTTTTTTTCTAAGAGGACCAATAATCATTACACCTTTTAATTTTTCACAAAAATTTTTGTTTTTTTTTTGTTTTTATTGCAAGTTTTTTTTTTTAACAAACTATTTTTGTAAGGCTTTTTGACAGGTTGAAAACTTATATAAATATATATATAGATAAATATAATTACTTTAGCTAGCTATATCAGTAGATATTGTAATATTAATAATTATAGAATTAGAAAAGAAAAAAGTAAATATCGAAATCAATAGAGCGAGTTGCGCTGCGTGTTCTAAATTGTCAGAAATATAAATATTGTTACAGTGTTGTACATGTCATTTAATTTGTTTTAATAGAATAAAATTCAAAGAATGGAAAAGGTATTCTAAAGGTTTAATTCAATACTTTGGATATTTGTTTTTTTTTTTTTTTGTATTTTTTTTAAAAAAATAAATATTAATTAAATTTAAAACAGATATTACCCCCACATAACTATTGTTAAATTAATATTCAATTGTTGTTGGTTGTCACCACTACCACTACGACTACTAAAAAATAAAACTTTTTATAACTATCGATTTTATTTATTTATAATTTTTAGATTCATACATACACATTTTGGTCTTCATACATACACTTGCACACTTGCACATTTGCACATACACACACAAACAAGAACCAACCTACCCATTTTCATTATCTTACTTTTACTTACTTATACTGGTTGTTTTGTTTGTTTGTTTGTTTTTTAATTGTTCTTTTTTAATTGTTTTTTTTTTTAGGATATTTATTCTAACTTCATTCTTTTTTTTTGTCGCACTTTTTAATTTTGTTTGTTGATTGGTTTTTTTATTAATATTTTATTTATCTAAATATATTATATAGTTAAATTTCAAAAGTTAATAAAGTATAGGAGGGATCATTGTAATATAAATAAAAAGTGGTATATAGATATAAACAAGCGAATATAGAATGAGTAGCACCAATTCAATTGATAAACTCGAAAAGTCAATTTTAGCAGCACAAGAAGAGATCAAGGCATTGGAATCAAGACAAGCATCAACCGATGTCGAAATCAATAGCCTTATCGAGTTGGCCATCTCTCACAGATCGTCACCTGTCAACAAAGAACGTTTAAATTCATTATTTACTTCATCCGTAAGCTCAAATCAATCAATCAATCAATCAGTCAATCAATCAATCACAATAGATCATTGAATTAATTAAGTTTTGATTTATTGTTATTATTATTTTTGTAGATTCAAGATTTAAGAGCGAAAGCATCAAAGATTCAATCGGTTATATCGTTGAAACAAGAGTTGGTAAATTGTTTGATAAATACAGAGCAACACGATCGTGCACAGGACATATGGAATCAGTTGAGAGAGAGTTCCTTCAAGCTTTCACCCAACGGTTCAAAGGATGTCAATACTACTTCGGTCACTGTTGCCTCGGATGCAGTAGTGCAGTCGAATTCACCAGATACTTCGTCGATCACTAGCAGCGCAGCGAGCGGATTGGAAGATCTCTCGATCAAGGAGGAGGAGAAGGAAATCACAAAATGGGAAATCGACAAACAGGACATCATTATCAATCGTGATGCCAAGATCGGTGCCGGTGCATTCGGTTCGGTCTTCAAGGGATCGGTGCGTGGCAAGGAAGTAGCCATCAAGAAACTTACACAGCAGTTCTACGATGAAACTGTGCTCAATGAGTTCCGTAAGGAGGTCTGTCTCATGACCAAGTTGCGTAATCCTCATTTGCTGCTTTTCATGGGTGCCTGCACCACCCAAGGAAACTTGAGTATCGTCACAGAGCTCATGCCCAAGGGTTCGGTACACGCGCTCCTCAAATGTAAAGAGGACAGTGCAGACTTTATAGATTTTAAACGTGCCATTCTCATTGCAAGAGACACATCGCTTGGAATGAACTGGCTGCATCTCTCGTCGCCACCCATTCTGCATCTCGACCTCAAGCCAGCCAATCTTTTGGTAGACAACAACTGGGTTGTCAAGGTTGCCGATTTCGGTTTGAGTAAGATCAAGAAGGAAGGTAAATCATCGGGACAAGCCGGTTCACCTCTATATATGTCACCAGAGATGCTGCTAAACAGAGAGTACGACGAGAAGAGTGATGTCTACTCATTCTCGATGTTGCTATGGGAGATGCTCACAAAGTTGGAGCCATACAACGGATTCTACAAAAACTACAACGATTTGGTCGATGGTGTCACCAACAAGAAGAATCGTCCAACACTCAACGAAAACTGGGGACCACGTTTGAAGGATCTGCTGATTCGTTGTTGGGACCACCTCCCAAATCGTCGTCCTTCTTTCGAGGACATCACTCGTCAGAAGCTTTTGGATCATATTTTGATTGAGGGTGTACTGAGCGATGGAAACGCCCGTCAGTTCTGGACACACAACTTCCTTGGACGTGAGGAGATCACTTGGAATCAATTTTACACATCGTTCTGCACATCATTTGGTGTCGACATGAAGTCGAATCCACAGGACTGCCTAAAGATCAAGTGTTTGAAGTTGCTGTTGGTTTCGATCGATTCAGAGTCAGTAAAGATTGAAGATTTTGGAAGATTTTTAGGATGGTTCGGACCATTGAACTCTGGTAACGAAGTTTTGGAGCGTGTTTTGTCGGTGTGCTCACTCAAAGGTTTCTTGGGTGAGACTTCATCAAAGAACGTTATTCAGTTCCTCGCCAACAAGAAGTCCGGTACCTACATCGTTCGTTTCAGTAGTACCGATCCAGGTTGTTACGCACTCTCCTACGTTTCAAAGAATAAGGATATAGCACATGCCAAGATCATCCATAAGCCAGGACACGGTTACATTCATATGGGTGGATCCACTCACTATCCATCATTGGATGAACTCATAAAGAACACCGGTAAGCTTCTTGGACTCAAAGATCCATTCGAAGGTGGTCAGTTCTATGCTTTAATTTATGCATCAAAGAATCCACAAACCAACCATCCACCAGCATATGTAGCTGTTGCTCCATCTCGTAAAGTTTAAAATTTAAATTCAATAATAATAATAATAATAGTAATACACTGCAATATAAATTAAAAATACAAAACAAAACATATGTACAATCCAAACAAACAAAAAAACAACAATAACTAAATTTGGTTAATCAAAACTTAAACTAAAGTTGATTAACAAATTTAATAAAAACTGAACCAAAATGGCTAGTGGTTAACATACCTAACTATCAAACAAACCATAGAATCGATATTAAATAAATAATACATCTTTATTCAACTACGAATATAATTCGTTGCTTTCAAAATGAATTGTTGATATTTTCAATTCCTTTTTTTCTATATGTTTTTTTGTAAAGATAATTTTTTTTTTTGTTTTTTTTTTCCTTTAAGCTAATTACATGATTGTACAACACTGCTTTCCTCCTGAAGATGCTGCTTTTTTTGATTTTAATTCTAAATATTGCTAAAATATTTTGAAAATTGTGTGGAAAATAATAATAAAAAAAAATGTTAGAAATTGTTTGACTTCAAATTGGTATATAGCAGTTTTCTACATACGGCTGTTGTTAATCCATCGAAAGAAGAGAGTAGTTGATTCTCTTGTAATTGTTTTTTAGCGTCTGGTAAATATAGACCAATATCTGGTGCTGGATTTACATTGATGGCTTGTCCAATGGCAGCGATGGCCTCTTGTACTGTAAGTGAGCTGTCCAGTCTCAAAGTTTTATAAATTACTGGATAATCGGGTGGAAACTTAATTCTAACTTGTAATGTCGACATTATTTTGAAGAAAAAATGTTATATATGAATGGTTGGTTGTTGGGTGATGTTGGAACTGGGATTGTTTGAAATAATCTTTGAACAAATTGGAATTTTATATATCCGACAAAAATTGGATATATAATTTAGAAATGTGATAAATAAATAAATAGAAGACGATCTAAGTATACTGTGTAAAATAAAAGTTTTCTGGTTAGTTCCTTCTTTCTTTTTGTTTTTTACTTTAAAGTTTTTAAAATTGTTGTTGGTTTGGTTGGTTGGTCTTGGAAATTTTTTTTAAAATTTTGAGATAAAAATGAATGCTGATCAGAAAAGATTGATTAAAATAACAAATAATATAATAAATATAAAAATAGATAGAGACAAGTTATTAAATTTATCAACAACAAGAATAAATTCAACAGAATAGGAAGAATAGTAAAAGGAGGAACAAATATATAGTAATTTTTTATTAATAAAGTGACGATGGTACTGATGTTGTTGTTGTTGTTGGATTGATTATAGTTATTGATTGTTGTTGTGCAGTATCAGAAGCAGCAGCAGTATTAGTGTTACATACACAGTAGATAACCACAGCACTACAAACTAAACTCAACCAAATCAAAAATAAACAAACAAAATAAAAACTAACTAAATAAACTAAAAAAACAAACTAAACTAATGAATGATTTTGATGTTACAACCAACAACACAATCAACAACAACAGCAGCAGAAGCAGAACATGATGAATGAAATATGAGTATATGAGTTAACCAAACATTATTAATGAATTCACTTGTGATTTGAAAATAAGATTTATTTTTTTATCAACTATTTGACTGTGTGGTGTTTGATTTTAATGTGATTTATATTTTATGTCTGATTGGTATTGAGAGAGTGTGTTAAGTTACTCGGAACAACAACAATAATGAGGGAGAGAAGAGAGAATTGAATTTTCATATTTAAACCACAAATTTAAATAATTCATCAAACAAATACACACAAAAACACAAACACATCACACATTCCAATCAAAAAAAAAAAACCACATTGATCAAACCCAACTCTAAATATATATTTACTTTTTTTTTAAACCATATTATTTAGTTTAAAAGTGTGTATGAATTACAATTAAAATATATGTTTTAAATGATAATGATATGTGGAGGATTCTGATGATTGAATTTAAACACCAATTTTAAAATGAGTACTATGTGTTTTGTTGTAAAGATTTTCTTGGATCATAACAACAAAGATATAAAATGTGCCAATAAACCAAACCATACCAAACCAACAGCTATTTTATACTTTTTTTTTTTTGTTTGCACTATGTTTTTTTATGACAACTACTTTTAAATAATATAAAATTTTTGGTTAAATTTTAATTTTAGAGATAGATTATTTTGATATATGAATAAATAATAAATAAATAATGATTAATAATTAATAAATAATAAATAAAGAGTTTAATTTTATAAAACTATAAAGAAAATGATTGAAATCCTTTAAGCTATTTTAAAATAATTGGATAAAGTTGGGTAATCCTTTTTTGATTCATTATTAAAACCCTTTTTTAACATTCTAATAATGAGTTTTTTTATGTTTTTTTTTTTGCTCATCAATAAAAAAAACACCGATCGAGATCTGGTATTTTTTTTTATTTTCAAAGGTTTGAATCACACCAAAACAAACCACTTGGATACCAAAAAAAAACATGAAACAATTGTTGAACTGATGGTGATCCAGTTGGCATCCCCTCTAAAACTGTGCTCATATGGTGTGTTTGGTTAGAGTTCTCTCTCGAACACAGTTATATAAATATCCAGATTAATTGCAAAATAAAATTCAATCAAGACATACACCACCCTTTTTTTCTTGAAAGGGCAAATCAATGTGTAACCGGTGTGTGTACAGTGGAATACTTTTTCCGATGATCATTTACTTTACACATTTTATTTGTTTTCTTTGGATTTATATTCTAGTGTAATGAACAAGTTTGGAGAAAGAAAAAGTAAAAGAAAAAGTTGAGAGTTAGTTAGTTACAAGGTTTGAGACCAGGTGGAGATGAAAACTACAATTTCTAAAAATATCAATTTGTCTTTAAATCTGACCAATCATGATTTACACACACAAACCACACAACAATGGTCTTTAAATAACCTTATATATTTATGGTTTTTTGGTTTTGTTTTTTTTACTTATCAGCACAAAATTTTGCTATTTGTTTGATCACTAACTAGTATTCAAGTTTGATGTGGTGTTGGAGTTGTGTGTGTGTAATCTAATCGTGATTTAACTGATTCATTGATTAGCTAATTGCTTCGATTAACTGATCAGGTGAGGTGGTGATGAGCGTAGGTGAGATGAGATGACAATGATCATTAAACAGTGTTAAACACATACCATCTATAATATATTTTATACTGTTTCCTGCCAATTGGTAGGGTTTCTTTTGTTCGTTATTTTCCATTGTAAAGTCAGCACCGAGCGATAGAAGCAGATGCACCACCTCGTCAAAGCCATACATACATGCAATGTGTGCTGCTGTGTCGCCTTCGACGTTGGTTGAATTGATGTCGTTCTTCTCGGAACTCACGAGACGCTCGATGATCGCAGTGTTACCGATTGCAGCGGCACGGTGAATTGGTGCGCTGCCTGTGTCATCCTTTCTGCTCTTTGCACCGTGTTGCAGTAGGAGATCGACGATGTCCGACTTTCCCTTGGAGGAAGCGTAGTGTAGAGGTGTTCGCTTCGAGTCGTTCTGACAGTTGGCGTCGGCACCGTTCTCCAGAAGCAGCTTTGCCATGTGAGCGTGACCACAACTGACAGCACTCAAAAGTGGAGTCCATCCACCATCATCACTTGTATTTACCGATTGTTTACATTCATTGATAAGATATTGTACTATTACTATTCGACCATTCGATGCTGCCCAATGCAAGAGAGTTCTCTCATCTTCATCGACATCCGATGGTTTCATTCCATCTTGCTCTATAAACTTTTTGAGTTGGTCCAAATTACCATCTTTGGCAGCTTGAAACAAATCATCTTTTTTCGTTTTACTAAAGAATGGATTTGACATTTCTATCTATTATATATATTAATTTAACTTTGTTTTTTTTTTTTTTTGAAAATATTAGTGAAGTTGTTTTTTTTTAATTTGTTTAATTTATTTAATTTTATTTTTTTATATTAATAAATTATTGGGCGAAATTTGAATCTTGGTTAGTTGTTATAAAAAAATAAAGAATAGAATATAACTTATCGATAGATAAAAAAAAAAAAGGTTAAAGAAGTTCAAAATAAAGTTTCACGTTCTCATTTACCATTACATATTAAAAAGTTATAATATGTTTTATACGATTGCAGTTGGTTAATAAATGATTGTCAGAATGCTGTTTGTTAATATTTTTAAAGATATTTAAATAAATTTATTCTATGACATTAAATTTGTGAAAGTTTGGTTATAAATAGACTATTTATCTATTTCTTTGATGATGATGATGATTTACTGCTTGAGGAGGAGGAGGAAGAGGTTGACTTTGATTTAGAGGAGGTTGAGGTTTCTTTTAACTTTTTCTTTGGTGGAACATCTGGAACTGATTTTTCATCCTCAGAGTCAGAGTATTTCGATCCGTTCAATGACTTCTTAGCAGCTACTGATGAATCTTCACTTTGTTCACTCTTTCTCTTTAATTCCTTATCTTTCGATGATGATGATGATGATTTAGAGGAACTCTTCTTTGAGGAAGAATCCTTCTCTTTTTCTTTTTCCTTACTCTTCTCTTTAGTATCCTTTGATTTATCTTTCGACTTTGATGATTTCGATGAATCTTTCTTTTCTTTCTCTTTCTTTTCTTTCTTCTCTTCTTTTTCCTTATTTTCTTTCTCTTTTTTCTTTTCTTTCTTCTTTTCTTCCTTTTCCTTTTCTTTCCTCAGTCTCTCTGCTTCTTTGACACGCTCCGCTTCGTCTTGTTCCTCTTTGATGATATATTTCAAGAGTATATCGCATCTAGCCTTGAGTTCCTGTGGTGTTCTGGTTTGGATCAGCCAATCGAAACGGAACTGTGGTGCCTTACGAATCTCTTCTTTCAATTCATCCCAAGCACCGTAACCAAGTTTCTGCATCATGCAAACCAAGAAGGTATCTTCATCGCTGTTGTAGGTCTTGTTCTTCTTGATACCATACTGAATCTTGAGTTGTTGCCATGGATTCTTGTATTGAGCGACCTTTCGGTCGAGTGCTTCAATAGTCTCCTTATACTTCAAGAGACGCTCTTCACCCTTTTCTATTCTCGATATCAACTTCTCGTATTCCGCTACCTCCTTGTAACGCTTCCAAAACACGTTGGAGTAGTCTTGAACTTGCTTGGCGGTCTTGTCCTCCATGTTATCGGCGATGGTATCATAGGCTTTTCTGCCGTAGAGTTCACAACCACGAATAAAGTTTCTAAAGTCGACTCTGTTCCAATCGGCAAATCCCGAGGGCAATAGCTTCTCCTTGAGTGCCTGTTCGTCTTCGGTGAGATCACCAAAGTCTGGCTCTGGCTCCTCTTTGTCGTCGCCATCTTTGGCGTCTCCTCCGTCCTGCTTTTCGTCCTTCTTATCGTAGTACTCGCATTTAGCATTGTAGGCATTCATCTCCTTCTGCAACAACTCAACAAGACGTGGAGCGTAGAATTGGAAATCGTGAGTGACTGGCTGCTTGGGTGGCTTGAACTTTCTCTCCTTCTTCTCCTTCTTGACTGGATTCTTATTGGGAGCGATACCGATGCTCTTCATATAGTCTTCGTTAAGCTCGATCGGCTTTCTCTCTCTCTTGAAATTCTCACCCCAGAAATTGGTGGTGAAGTGTTGTGCCTTGTAGTCGACACCGTCGAATTGGTAGAGATTACCATCGGATGTGAATTTAATTGGATTGGTTGCAAGATCCTTAAGTTTATCGGTGACCAGCTTGGTCTTCTCTTCACCCTTCTGAAGGATGCTGTCAATGTCCTCGTCGGTGATAGAAGAGTCTTTGCACTTGAAGATGTCGTCGGCACCGAAACGAATCATTGACAACAGCTCCTCGGGATTGGCCGACTTGTTTTGTTCGACAAGACGACCCTGTTGAATGACAACGGCATCGAGTTGAAGCTTGAGCTCTGCTTTTTCAACCATTTTCTCCTCCATTGAACTCTCAGTGACGAAACGATAGACAGTGACAGGCTTGGTTTGACCGATACGATGTGCACGATCCTGAGCCTGAAGATCCATCTGTGGATTCCAATCGCTGTCAAAGAGAATGACAACGTCGGCGGTGTTCAAAGTGATACCCAAACCACCGGCTCTAGTAGTGAGAATGAATACAAAGTGTTTTGAACCCGGTTCGTTGAACGATTCGATGTAGTTCTCACGAGTTTGCGAGTCGGTAGAACCGTCGATTCTGCAGTACGAGTAGTCGCGGTACAACAAGTAGTCCTCGAGAATATCAAGCATTCTTGCCCACTGCGAGAAGATAAGAACTCTAGAACCACGCTGCTTAAGACGACCGAGCAGCTTGTCGAGCAACACCATCTTACCACTGTTGTTAATGAGATGGTCACCTGTAGTGTAAGGCTGCTCTTCGGCACCGTCAAAGAGATACGGATGATTGCATGCCTTTCTTAGCTGCATGCAGATATTCAGTAGTTTGACACGACCAGAGCTACCCTTGACACCGACACCGTGCAACGCTTCAAAGTCTTTGCTTAACAGACGTTTGTACCACTCACGCTGCATAGCAGACAGACCAACGTACAGCTTTATTTCCTTCTTTGGTGGCAGTGACTTTTCCACCTCTGACTTGAGACGACGCAACAAGAACGGTCTCAATACTTTATGAAGTTTATCGATGACTTCCTGTTGATTCTCGGTTTGCTCTAAATTGAACCAACGATCAAAGTCATCACTCGATGAAAATACATCTGGTAATAAAAAGTTTAGTAATGCCCAAAGTTCATGCAAGTTATTCTAATTGATTGTGATTGATTGTTAGTGTTAATATATTAGGAAATGAATGAATGATTGATTGATTGATTGTATTGTATTGACTACTTACTTGTAAAGGAGTACCAGTAATTAATAATCTAAATTGAGAGTTGAAAAGTCTGACACCTTTGGAGAGTACTGAATTTTCATTCTTGATTCTATGTGCTTCGTCGATGATGATGTATCTCCAACTGAACTTCTTAAAGACAGATTTATCCTTGATAACCATTTCATAGGTGGTAACACAAACGTCGAATTTCTTATGTACCAATTGTTCTGTTTTAATTTTTTGCTATTAAAAATAAACAAAATTAGATAGTGTTTTTTTATAGATAGATAGATAGATAGATAGATTGCTTGTAAATGTAACTTACTCTTTCTTGTTTCTCACCATGGAATTTGACAACTCTTAAGGATGGACACCAATTTTTAAACTCTTTACACCAACCAGAGAGAGTAGATTTAGGAGCGATAATTAAATGTGGACCTCTAATACCTTTATATTCAGAGAGATATCCCAGCAAAAGAGATAGTCTGCAATGTCTTTCCAAGACCCATCTCATCCGCCAGAATACCATTGATACCTCTCTCATACAATTGAATCAACCAATTCAATCCATAGATCTGATAATCTCTCATAACACCATGTTTAATATCTTGAAGTAATAATATAGTGGTGAAAAAGAAATAAGAAAAAGATAAGTTAGTTGATTGATTGGATTAATGATGATTTGTAAATGAAAGTTGTTTTGATAAAACACATACAAGGTGGATTGGTTGTAAAGAAATTGAATGAATGTGGTGCTTCCTCATCGATTGCTTCCTTCATGATTTCATCGTCTTCCTCTTTCTCGGTGATGGTACCACGTTTGGTGGGTGTGGAATGGATGTCACCGTTCTTTTTCTTTTTGGGTTGCGAGCTGCTGTTCGATACGAAATGAGAGTAGATTTCGGTACGTTCCAAGAGGAACTTCAATCGGTCCTTCTGTGATTTGTCTTTGTCGGCTTGGAGTTGTTCACGCTGTCTCTTTTCGAGTTCTGAAAGCTGCTTCTTCTGTTCGTCTTTCAACTGCTTGAGACGATCCTTCTCGAGTTTGATCGCTTCGATACGCTCCTTACGCTGCTCCTCTGTTTCGTCACGGTTCTCCTCCTCGTCGTCGTCATCGTTGAATGGCAACGGTTGGTCGTCTTCATTGTTGTTTTCATTGGCGTCGTCGTCTTCGTCCATAGCGGCGGCAGCAGCTTCCTCGACTTCACTCATGACTTCATCTTCCTGTTCATCGTCATCCTTTGAAGTAATACTTCTAATAACAGGTGAATTGGTCAATGATCCACGTTCACTATTATTTCCAGATGATGACATATTATCAAACTTCTACTTTCTTCTTAATAATAATAATAATAATATGAAAATAATGAAAAAATTAAATGTTACAAAAAAAAAAAAAAAAAAACTAAACTAAACAAAAACTAAAAACTAAAAACTAACAAACAATTTTATATATAAATAAAGTTATATTATATATATATTATTATTATAACAGTATAAAATGTAAAAATAATATTTTTTTTTGAATTCCTTTTTTGTAAATTAACTAACTAAAGGAAATAAATTAAAGATTAATTACTAACAAAAAAAAAAGACTATAATTATAATAATAGTTATTATTATTGTTGTTGTTGTTTGTTGTTGAGTTTGTTGTGAAGAGAATGGATGAATGTTGTCGAAACAACTTTAATGAAGTAAAAAATTTTGTTTTTTTTACCGCACTCCTGAATAATTTTTTATATTATTATTAATTTTTGTTTTTTTCCAATAATTCGATAGTCCATTCCTATTGAACCTAACCAATTATTACTATATTATTACCAACAAACGGTCCATTTAATCTTAAATGTGATCGGTTAAAGAAGTATCTCATCAAAAAATACTAAAAACTCTACCTAGATCATCTAAATCAATGATTTCCAGCTTTTCATAGTTTGATTCACCATTTCTTTATAAAAGATGCTTAAATATGACTAATGATCATATAAATATAATGATTTAACTTAGTACTACCATATAAATTCAATAGCTCATCCATCAATTAAAATTAAATGATCGTTAAGAATTTGTTTAACAATATTTTTGAGATTTTTTTCATTATTTTTTTCAAGTGAGCCAATATTAATATTGGAGGTATAAGTACTGACTAATTACTTGTATCTCTCTACCTTAAAATAGTTAAGATTTAATTCAACAAATAATAATCAAAAAAGTTATTTATAAACCAGTTTGGTTAAATTTTAAATAATTTCTATTGTTTATTAATAATTAATTGAACTTCAATAAATTTAAATGAAATTAATTTAAAATTCAAAACAAAAACGGACGGATCCGTTTATTACTACTACAAATTAATTAACATAGATTTGCAAGGAGTAGAAGGTGGTTTGCATTTTTAGTTTTATAAAAAGGGGATTTATTTATTTAATCATTTTATTTATATATATATATATATGTTGTGTTGTAGTATTTTTAATTGTTATTATTATGTTTTTGTTTTTGTTGGGGGAGTGGAATAACTAATTTACTCTTTCATTTCGTTGTCCTTGGCGATTTGGTCGAGTTCGGCATCCAATTCCTCTTTGGTTGGGGTCTTCTCCTTCTTGAAACGACCTCCACGTCCACCACGACCACCACGAGATCCACCACGACCACCGAAACGTCCACCACGCGATCCACCACGACCACCTTGGGGTCTACCACCGGCATGTGAACGTCCACCACGGTCTCCACCAGAGTGCGAACGTCCACCGCTTGGTCTACGGTCTCCACCGTCACGGGTGATGGTAACAGAGGTTGAACCACCGGATCTCTTCTTGAAGCCTGGCGAGCTGATTGCAACCTTGGTGTCCTTCATCTGTGTGAAACGATCGTTCAAAGTACCGGAGGCACTTCCACTTCCACCGACGATAACACGACGACCTCCCCTGTTGAATGATGACGACATTTTTCGATTATATATATTTGTAGTAGGGTTTTAAAATACAGAGTAGTAGTGATTGCTATGTTATTATGGAGATAAATTGGAAAGGGAAGGAAGGTGTGAGTCTACAGATTCTATTGTTTATAAATCATTATTATCATCATCAACAACTAACTAACTAACTAACTAACTAACTAACTCGAAATCGCAATCATCATCACATTTAAATATATTCAACAACTAACTAAATATCGCAACTAACTAACTTTTCAATTCCGAAACTGATCTCAAAACAAATATTAATAGAATAGTTATTGGAAAAACAGAACTAATTTAACTGGCAACATTTGATTATACTATCTTTGTTTGGTGTGATTGTTTTGTTGGTTTGTTTGTTGATTGCGTTGGTTGATTGTTGTTGTTGTTGTTGTCATTCAAGCTGTGAAAACGGCCAAAATAAAATAACAAGTCGGAGAGTCTCCTTCTTTCTTCTTTTTGTTGGTTGGTTGTTGCTGTTTGTATGTTTGTTTGATTTATTGAACAGTATATATTCAATAGGATAGATGTAACCAATCTATTTTGAATGGGGTGGGAAGCATATGTGAGGAGAGGTAACTCTCGGGTGAAAAAAAAAGGAAAGTAGGCTATATTAAGAGTAACCACCCCTGTTGCCGTCGCCACCGCACCGACCATATCCAAAGATGATCGAATTTGATTTGATTAGATTTATCTAGATAAATCCCACCAAAACATGTCGCTACATAGTCATGTAACAACAATCAACTCGCTACGGTGTTACAAAGAGTGAATTCTTGATAGACAGCACTGTCATCACATCCATTCACTTTTTTTTTTTTAATGAAAGTAGAACATTCTACGTTTCATACTAACATTGTTTTTACAAAAAAAAAAATAAAAATAAAAAAGCAATTGCTTATCGTTGTTGTAGTAGTTGTTATTGTTGTTGTTGTTGTTGTTGTAAATTAATAATAACAATATTGTATTATTATTTACTTCTATTATTTAGTATCTACCTTTTTAAATTGTGATTTGTTTTATTATTATTAAAATATCTATATAATATGATAACTAAATTATATGGCTAAGATATGATATAATATATTTTTAGAAGTGAAAATTATAACTATATATATAGGTTTGTATATAAATAAAATTGATTTAAACAGTTAGTTTATTTAAAAAACAGATAATAATATTGTGTTGTGAGAACAAAAATAATAAAATTAAATTTTGAAATTTGTTAATTTTTTTCAGTTGGAACTTTTTCATTTTGATTTTTTCAATTTTAGAAATTTTTTGTGTTGAAAGGTTAATTTCAAATATTGATATGATCATTTCTCTCTTTAAATAATAATATTAATTCATATAATATATGTCTTATTTTAATCTATTATTTGAGGTTTTTTATTTCTCGCTGGATTTTTTTGAGTATCTTTATCTTGTTCAGTTTCTTTTTTATCATATAAAATTAATAAAAAATAGAAAAAATTTATCATAAAACAACATCAATTCTTCTTTGATATTTAATTCAGTTTATAATTGATATCTATTTCTTGAAACATTGTTTGTTTGTTTGACAATCTAAAAAATAATCATATTAAAAAAAGAGGAAAAGATTATTTTTTTTTATCATTTTAAAATTTTTGTTTCAAAAAAAAAAACGTTACCAACAAATTATCATTAATTTATTATTAGATCAATAAAAGTTGATTCATTTATATATATCTGTTTATTATTATTCAATATATAATATATAGATGGCAACCAATTTCAATGTTAATAAGAATGCAGTAAATATTGTAGATAGACCACTCTCAAAGGGTAAAACAGAGATCAATCTAAGTTCGTTTGCCTTTCTATTCTCAGAGCTAATTCAATACTCACAAGATAGAATTAAAGCTGGTCATGAATTAGAGAAAAAGTAATTATTACCATCTATCTATATATCATTCACTATAGTAGTGATTTGTTTAGTTTAGTTTGTTGTAAAGTTAATTAAGTTTGTTAATTAACATAACATAACATATTCATTTATTTTTTGTTTTTTAAAAGATTATCAGATATAGGATTTTTGGTTGGAACAAGAGTATTGGAATTGCTAGTGGTACGTGAGAAGAATGCAAAGAGAGAGACTAAACTGCTGGGAATACTATCATTCATACATTCAACCGTATGGAAAGCACTGTTTGGAAAGCAAGCTGATTCACTTGAGAAGAGTACCGAAGCTGATGATGAATGTATGAATGATTCTTTAAATCTTCTAATTCTTCTGGATGATAAGAAACGAAACTAACTAACTAGCTAACAAACTAATGATTCAATTTTTGTAGATATGATATCCGATGCAAATATGATTGTAAATAAGTTTATTTCATTACCAAAGAATCTAAGTAGTTTAAATTGTGCTGCTTTCGTAGCAGGTATAATAGAGGGTATCTTATGTAGTGCTGAATTCGTAAGTAATTTAAAATTGCAAATCAAAAACATTGATAAACATTGGTTAACTAATGTTTGTTTTTGTATGTTTATTAACTTTTTTATAGCCAGCAAGAGTAACAGCTCACAATGTAGCTGTAGAAGGAAAGAAATTCCCTAAAACTGTAATATTAATTAAATTCAATCCTGAAGTCATTCCAAGAACTTAAATAATTAAAAGAAATAAATAGCAACACGACATTGTTTTTTTTTTACTTTTTTATACTATTATTGGTTTGTTTTATATATATTAAATATTTATTGGTTTAGTTGTTGTTGTTGTTATGCAGATAGTGAGTTTCTTCCCTTTTGTATTCTGCTGACCAAAACTCTTCTACCACCCTTTGATGACAATCTGTGGAGGAATCCATGTCTTCTCTTTCTAATAAGGACAGATGGTTGATAGGTTCTCTTTACACATTCGATTCCATCTTGTTCTTGTTGTTCTTCTGTAAATAACAATTGGATTAGTTAAATTTGTTGTAGTGTGGTTGTTGCATATGCTTGTTGTTTATGTACATACCAACGATATTCAAAGTTGAAGGTTGATCTAAAAATGAAGATAATCTGTATGGTTGGAGGGATGGTGCCGATAATGAGGCAATGAGTGGGTCTATTTCGAGAGGCGATGGTGCAATGGTGATTTCACAGTCATCGTCGAATCCAATTGCATCGCTATCGTCGTTTATATCAATGTTACTATTGATTGATGTAGATTCTTGCAAGTTCATCATCATCATTCCATTTAATATGTTTCTGTTGCTGTTATTATTAAAACGAATACTATTGTTATTGAAATTTATATATGATAATGGTGATGATGCTGATGATGACTGTGATGATGGTGAAAAAGTAGATGCTGATGAAAATGGTGATACAATTTTACTGATTTGATTTCTACATAATGTAGAAATCATCTTATTTGAATTCATCAACATATTTGATACAATATAATAATAATAATAATAATTAATATAATATAAAGATATGAGAGGCTGTTGTTACAAAAACATGTGCTTTTTTGATCGTTTTTTTCAGTTTCCAAAAAAAAAAAAAAAAAAAAACAAAAACAAAATTTTTTTTTCAGTTTGAACAAATTTTTTTAAACAAAGCTTTGAATTATTAATGTCAGTTGGAATGCATGACGGAATTCATTAATTAACACAATTGAACAAAGTTATGTTTATTTACTTTGAAAATTAGTATGTAAAAGTTGTGTCGTTTCCTAGTTTTATGGTTGGATTGCGTCATATAAAACTTTGATAGTCAGAGAACAGTTTTGACAGGATGCAATCTCTTCACCATTCTCAAGTTGACTTTCGTCGATTGTGTATTGTCCATTACATCTATAAATAAATAAATTAATTAAAATTATGAGTTGGTAACATGTTTTATAATTATTGATCAAATTAATTGAAACTTACCTGCATGGGTATGAAAATTGCGATAGATCTTCGTTGTATTCCATATCATCGAGATCGACTTCATCTGAAATCGAATACTTTTGTCTTTGATTTTCTAGTAGATAGGCATCGTATTTTGATCTGTTCTCTGGATCTCTTAGGCATTCCCATGCCTGTTGAATCTTTTGAAACATATCTATATCAACAACGTCATGTTGTTGTTCCGATAAAACCAGTTTATCAGGATGATACAACAATACTTTTGAACTGAATGCCTTCTTTATATCTTTGTAATCAGCATTGACTTCAATACCTAATATTTCGTAGTGATTCATCTCACCATTGATTGATTATCTCTTAATATATATTATTATCAATCTCCTCCTTGAATACGAGAAAAAAAAATAAAAATAAAAAATAAAAAGTCAAATCAAGAAAAGTTTTTTTTTATTTTTTTTTTTTATCATATTTAAAAAACTGAACAACTTAATTAAAGATATTTATTTATTCATTTAATATTAAATATGAGTCAGACATATTCAAATTCAGGTTCAGCAAGTTTAGTAACAGCATCTTCAACACATATCGAGGATCCATCTTTAGGTGTGAAGAAAGAATTGACAGAGAGTGGCGAAGTTATCATTACAGAGTTGGGTAAATCAATAAAATCATTGATAAAACATTCAAATGTACATGAGGTACTGTATATATATAAATAGACTGATACTAATTACATGGTTATACTTATACTCAAACACTACAATAGAATATGTTAGCAATTTGTAAGGCTTTTGCACAACATGAAGTTAATGTAATGCAAACTGATGATGTAAGTAAACATGTTTAATATCTATACAAATTGAATATAATTAACAGTTAGATACTTGTATCATACACACATATCATTTAGATGATAAATCAAATGAATTCATTATCAAAAGAATTAAATCAACAGTAAGCAATTATTATTGGATTTTGATAAAACTAAATCTTTAGAAAGAGAGAGTGTCTAACAATTTATTATCAATGCAATTTCTGCTCAATTTATTTCAAATATATAGAGTCAATATATTAAGTAATTCATTGAAATGTTTGGATAGTATAAATTATGCAGTGGTCGATGTAAACAAAACAGCACATTCATTTACAACTAGTAATAAGAATCTAAGTTCACCTACATCTTTGACAGACTCAAAATGAATGTGGTCATTACGGTCAGCTTGCTTGTGTAAACTAATAATAGTAATAATAATTGTAAATAAAATATTTTAATTAAATCAATTCATATGATCAACAAATTATGTAATCACAAATAATGTGATTTCACATCGTCGGGATTTTGAGCATTTTTAGTTGATCATTAATTTAGACCTGGTTGCTCAGTCATTACCCCTTGCTTTCCAAACAATAATTTTTAATGAAATTGAAAAAAAAAAACGAAATAGTAACGAGAAAAATTTAAAAAATAAACAACAACCATGAAGCCAACAAAAAAATAAAATAAAATTAAAAAATTCGAAAAAAAAATATAAAAAAACAAAAAAAAACGATATTTGATTTTAGTTTTCGTCTTGGTGTATTGCATTTGCGAGTTTCAACAAAAAAAAAACTATTTAAATTACCTTTTTTTCTTTCTTTTTTTTCACAATTCTACTATAAACAACACAATTATTCTATCTATTTGTTGATAGTTTAATTATATTCTTTAGAAGTAGTAGTAGTAGTAGTAGTCGAAGTAGTATTAGTTCGTTTAGTTGTAACACACACACAAACAAACAAAAAAGTGAAGGTGTCAGACTTGAGTTTTTAATTTCAAATCTAACAACACAACAACAACAACACAAAAATAAAAAAGGTAAATTTTAAAAAAAATGTTAACTTTGGTAATTTGGATAGGATTAGCATATTAATAATCAATTATAAACGATAATAAATAAATGAAATCTAGTATGGAGAATAAAGAGCAACAACAAACATCTCAAGATGGATACATTATTCCAGGAGATACCAGTATTCCACTTCCAGATCCAGCTCAAGAGGAACAACAACAATCACCTGATCAAAATGAAGTTAGAAATATTCCATTGGTTTCAGATGGTGAGTTTTAAGAATTATAAAGAAGAAGAGCAATATTTAATATTAATATGAATGTAATATATAAATATCTGTAGCTCAACATCAAGATATCAATATCAGCTTAAAGACACCAGTTGAATTGGGAACAATCAAATTGACAATTTCAGATACAGATTCGATTGGAGATATTCACAAGTTTTTACAAGAGACTACAGAGACATGTTTGTTGACATCGTATCACTTGGAGGTCGAGGGTATTCCAAAGAAATTGAATGAGTTTGCCGATGTCAAATTCTACTCTGAGATTACCAGTGGAGCAACTCTTGTAATGAAGAAGGCACCTTACAACGAGCGTTCTGCAAATCTCCACGTAAACAGATTGAAGAGTATCATCAGCTCTGGCGAGTGGGAAACACACCCAACCAACCCATCACTCTTTTCACTATATTCATTCACCGATGAAAATCCAATTGAAGACCAACAACAACAACAACAAATTGAGAATAACAACAATAACAACAATAGTAACAACAAATTGAATGTTCAAAACAAGAGTAAATCAAAGAAATCGAAATCAACTTCAAAGAAGTCATCAAAGAAGGATTTGGAGTTGGCAGAGCGTAAGAAAGAGGTTGTCCAAGTGGACGCCACACAAAAGGCATTGCTCTCCAACTACTATCCAACCAACTTTAACAAGCCAATCGTTGTTTTGCGTCGTATCGATCGTTCTGGTTGGGCACCGGTTCCAGGCTATCGTGCGTTGCTTGGCGATCTCTTTTACATGGAGGTAGAGTTGGTCGATATTCGTGAAACACTCTTTATCACCGCCAACGTCATTGGATTCTTTATCAACCAATCGACCATCAATACATTCAATCCAGCCGTCTCTTCAAAGTACGGCGCCACGCACCACAATCTCTATGAGTTGCTCTCCCAATACAGTCCGATTTTCGCACGTGGACTCAAGTCGTTGCTCAAGCGTATCAGTCGTCGTAACTCGTACGAGATGATCCCCAACTCGATTCCAGTCAACACCTGGACATTGAAGCAAAACAGAAGTTTCCACTACAACATCGCTGCCGCCAGCGAGTCGAATATCGACGTCCACGATCCAGAGATGAGAGGACAACCACGTGACTGGAACGAAGAGTTCCAAGCACTACGTGAACTTCCACGTGGATCGATTAGCGAGCGTATCTTGAGAGATCGTGCATTCTACCGTGTCAACTCTGACTTTGTTGAGTCGGCCATCCGTGGTGCCAAGTTGGTCGTCTCCAAGACGATTCCACCCATCAATCCACTCGAGCCAGAGAAAGCTCACATGTTTGTCTATCACAATATCTTCTTGTCGTTCACTTTGGACACTCGTGACTACTATGTCAACTGCGGAGGTGACGCCGGTGCTCGTGTTGCCGCCAACAACGATCTCAAGGGTGTCAAGTTGTTCAACTTGATCGACATCGATGGAATCTCCACCATTTGCACTGCCATCATCGACTATCGTGGTCACCGTATCTTGGCTCAAAGTTTGGTGCCAGGTATCCTCTCGAATGAACGTACCTCCGACGTCAAGTACGGTTCGATGGACAACGGTCAAACCATCAAGGCCGACCCAGAGTTCAGTGAGAAACTCGCTAAACTCTCATCGATGTTGCATTTGGCCGAACGTGAAGTCATTCCAGGTGATGCATTGTCCGATCCAGTCAAGATCTCCACCTCCTACGATTCCAAGGGTATCGTTGGTCTCGACGGTCGTAAGTATATTCTCGACATTATGCGTGCAACTCCACGTGATCCAAACTACAAGGACGATAAGCACATGTTGTGTTTGTTGCGTCCAGAACTCATTGCCAGCTACACCGAGTTTGTTCGTAGCCAATGGGAGCAAAAGATCAAGGCTGAGAAAGAGTCGAAGCGTAAACAAGAGGAAAAGACCGACGCCTTTGCCACCCAAGAGGATGGATCGCAAACCGACGAGTCTGAAAAGACTGAGACTGCCGTAGCCGAGACTGCCAACGAACAACCACCACACATCTTGTTCAATGCCAATCTCTTGGGTGCTTCCAACTCGATCTGCCGTCTCAAGGGAACACCAGAGGAGTTGAAGGCCGACATGGAAACACTCGAGGCTGCCGGTAACTTCCTCAAGGAAACAATGATTGGAAACTTGATTGACGACTTTAAGTTGTTCAATTTGACACCGGTCGACGGACAAACTTTGACACAGGCGATGCACTCACGTGGTATCAACATGCGTTATCTCGGACACATTGCCAAGCTCTGCGACGGCATTCCATTCGCCAAGGAGGTATGCTTCAATGAGATGGTGAGCAGAGCCACCAAGCATATTTTCAGCAACATCTTGCGTGCCGCTCCACAAGCAGAACTCTCGGTTGTCGCTTGTCAATTCCTCAACTGTTTCCTCGGTACCCAAACCATCGGCGCCGACACCAACAACAGTATCAAATTGAAGCTCACTTCCGTCCAACTCTGGGACCAAATCTACGATTTGATCAAGGAGAAATACGACTATGAGATTAAAGTTCGTTCCGTTCCATTGGAGTGCCGTATCAACGTGTTGAGATCGATCTGTTTGAAGGTCGGTTTGCAAATCAACTCTAAAGACTACGACTTCACCAAGGACGAGCCATTCGTCATCGACGACATTGTCGATATGGTATGTGTTGTCAAGCATCTTGGTCCACGTTCATCGGACGCCATCGAGTTGCTCGAGGGTGGAAAAGCACTTCTTGCCAAGCGTGAATTCGAAAAAGCTAGCAACTACCTCGTGGAATCACTGGCGTTCTGTCAACAAGTCCACGGACCCATCCACACCGACACTGCCAATTGCTTCAGCAGCTTGGCAATGGTCGCCTTCTACACAAAAGAATACAACGACGCCATTGAATACCAAAAGAATGCATTGATTATCACAGAGAAGACATTGGGTGTTGACCATCATGACACCATCCACTCCTACACCAACTTGGCTTTGTTCTGTCAGCGTGCCGATCGCTTCACAGAGGCTATGGGATACCTCAAGCATGTTATCTATCTCAACGACTTGCTTGGATCCGACTACAACCCCGAGCGTTCCTCCATCTACACCAGTGCAGCAATCATCCTCCAAGATTTGAAGGAATTCGACTGTGCCATCGACTACTTGAAGAAGTGCATCGAGAACCACAAGCATCTCTTTGGTGAGGATCACTTGGTTAGTTCATCGACACTCCAATCGATCGCTCAGATCTACGCGGAAATGAAGAACTTCACCGAAGCCGAGAAGTACCAGAAGCACTCGACCGCCATTCTCACCCGTTACCTCGGTGCCAACCATCCACGTACCATCGAGTCGATGCGTCTCACCGCACTCTGGGTCGACGAAATGAAGAAAGAAAAAGAGTCTGAGAAGAAATCAAAGTCAACATCGAACCAACAACAACAACTAAAACAAAACAAACAACAACTTAACAACATGAAACTCAACAACATGTCAAACGTTCCAAAAGATTTAGAAGGTCAAGTCAAATGGTTTAATCAAGATGACTCCAAGAAAGGGAAGAAGAAATAAATTATTATAATAGGCGAAAAATAAAATAAAATATAGAAATAAAAAAAATATATATATAAATATTTAAAACTGAAAATCAATATCATAATTGCTAATCTGTGGTGGGTGGACAAATCCATAGATTTATTACTTTATTTCTTTGGGTAGTAATATCAATTTCTCTGAAACAATTGTCTCCAATGATTCACCGGAATATGAAATCAGCGGTGAGATTTCAATGATATTTGATTCTGAAAAGTCAAGTTTGCCACCGGCTCTTTCAATGTATGTACGATGAAGTTGACAGATATCACGCAGACATGTCTCTGGTGAATCTTTGGGTATGGCCATTCCAGCATTGTTTTTCAGTGGTGAGAACTCCTCGTCTCTCTTTACCTCGAGACAAACCATGTGCTTTGAGTATGGGAACACATCAAAGATGAACATCTCCATCTTCCAGCCGTTGACAGCGTCCGGTGTCGTACGAATACCTTGTTCGTTGGCATAGGGAATCTTCTTGGTGGCCACGTGATATGGAAGTTCACGCGACAATTCACTCGAAGCAATGCGATCGAGGAATTCAAAACTAAAGTTATTAATACAAATGTGTGCGTAGTTGAAAGTAAGACGACCGGTTGCTTCGTCACGCAGGTATTTAGAATCACGATCGATCTCACTGTACTCTAGTACGCAAGGTTTACCATCGCGAAGCGCCATGACACCGACCGGCTCCTCGGGATCGACCTTGGCAACAACCTTGGCTGCACAATCTGCTTGTTGGTCGTGCATATATCCAAGGAAAAGTGGATCTGCCATCTTTATCAAAACATTATCCACACAATACTGACTGATATATTCTATTCCTTTCGATCTCATATCTGAAAGTCCACCGCTAACCAACAATGAATGATACAATCCACCATTTCCATTCGGTGATAATGATATCTATTAAATAATACGATTATAATATTATTATTATTAATATAAGAATGTTTATATATCTTAAAAGAATGACAATATTACCTTTGATGAAGTTTCATTGATAATCTTTCCCTCTGGAGTTAAACAAGGAATCATTGTTTGTTGGAAAAAGAAAAAAGAGTCTTTCAATAAACCGAAATAGTTGTGCTTCTCAAAGAACTCGATGGTTGCATCATGTGTTGCTTTACTAGTCATTATATACCATTGAATTGGTTTCATTTCAGTGACTCCCATCTTTGATTTTGTCATTTGTTCAAGTTTTAAAACTCTCTCTGCTTGTAATTGGAACAATGATTTCTTTGATGGTAATCCAATATCTGGATTATTAATAATAATAGGTCAAGTTGTTAATAAATAACAAATATTGTTTGTTTATCACTTGAAATCAGTGAGAATTCATACCATATTGTCCTTTGGGGAATGTTGTTCCCAAACGAGTTGCTTGTCCACCCGCTAGCAATAGCAAAGCAACACGACCCTCTGATATCAATTTATGTCCAATGGTTTCCCATCTATCTCTGTCTTCAGTTGTCAGAGAATCGATTGTCTTTACATTTTCAAATCCATGATATGATAAATTGATCTTTTGATTCACTTTTATTTGTTTTTGTAAGTTACTAAAGTAATAGATTTTCTAATATATTATAAAAATAAACATACCCTTTTCATCAATTAATCTTTTATAAATAGTATTTATTTCATCAACATCGATTTGTCTTAAATCTTCTTCAAAGATCAATCTGTCTTCACTCGATAGTTCGTCATACCAATTGAATACATGACCTTGTCCAGCTTCTTCCCAATGTTTACGATCAACTACTTTATTATCTTGCATCTTTATAACTTTTTTTTTTTCAATATTGAAAATTATGTATATAGGTAAAATGAAAAAATAAAAATATATATATTTACAATACAAGTACAATAATATTAAAAATGACTCACACACACACACATATATGTGAACAACACGAAAGTAGTCACCCAGATCATAAAATTTTTGCAAAAATTACCCGTCATCATTCTAGTTCATTTTGGTCAAACTCATTAAAAATAAATAATAATAATATTATTTTTATTGCAATATATGTTTTATTTTTTTATTATTATTTTTAAAAAAGATATACCAGAATGCTATTGATTTTTTGTAAACCTGGATTTATTAACTTCAAGTCCTTGTTGTTGCCAGTGCTGAAAAATATAAAAATATCTATTATCTAACTCTTTTTTAGATTATCTAAAAAATCTCGATTTCAGCCCCCACTTTATTATGATTTTATCTATAACCCATTAATCATGAGAGTTCTAGATTTATTTATAATTTTTGTAATTTTATAATTTTTTTTATTTATTTATTTTATTTTTAGTCTAATTTTTTTATTATAATAATAAAAAAATTGATTCTCTGTTTATTCATATTTTTTTTTAAAGTTTTTATTTATTTAAAACCTCAATTAAAAATTGCAACACACTAAGTTTTAATCATAATCTTTGCAATCACAGAGAAACAACCTCAAACAATACAAAACAACACACACGAGAAAAACGAACATATTTTAACATATTTGTTTGTGTGTATTTTTATTTTCATTTTTTATTATCGAAAAGAAAGCTAGCACAACGCACAATAAATAACAGTAAAACAAGATCAGTAGTACTAATTGTGAGTTCTCTTGTAGCGAATCTACAAATCTTAAGCATCATAAAAGCAAGGTGAACACTCAATTTCGAAAATATGAATGTATAAATGATCATTATTATTAAATTATAATTCAACAGTATACGATCGTACAATCATACATATTTCATATATATTAGTAGTAAATAATTAATAATAACAAACAGTGTTAAAAAAACAAACAATCATTCATACCACCACACAACAACCAACACAAACACCAACATCAAAGTCAGATAGTTAATAATTTCTCTGTGTGCACGCAATAGAGAAAAAAAAGTTTGCAGTCATTAAAGATCAAATCGAAATTCACTTGTTGTAGAGAGTACTGCTATATGTTTACCTTCCTATCTCTGCTGCTGCTACTATTAATTGTTTAAATAGTTAGAGGTGTGTGTGAGTCGGTTCAATTCATCAGTTTAGCTTGATATTAGTTTTCGACAACATAGGCCGGTGATTTAGCAAATATCATAAAGTTCATTAACTTGACTTGTTGGTGACCAACAACACAGAACAATCAACACCCGGAACAGAGAAATATTCAATCAACCATTTTTCGATACATCCATAAATATCAAATCTTGACCATCATTTATTTGATTATTATTATAATAATACATTAAAAATCAATCTGTCAAATCAACTTCATTATCAGAATTTACAACAACAACAACAACAACAACAGCAGCAACAATAGTTGGCATATTATAGTAATAGTAGATAGCTGCATTGATATATATATTTATATTATAATTTAAAAGTAGATCTTTTTTAAGGTGTAACACAAATCACTTTTAAATATCCATCTATTTTCATTCCACTCATCTTTAAAGACAAACGTTTGGTTTGGATTTTGCAACAACAAAACAATATTCATATAAATCTTTAAAATTGGCCCAGCAAAAGTAACAGAAATAGCAACAACAGCAACAACATTGGATATAATCATATGATTAGTTACAACATCAACCTTTTTTAAATTATTTTGTACAAGATTTTTAAAGTTACCATTTTCTATTATATTTTTTTCCTATTTTTATAAATATATATTTATATATATATTATATATTTATTTAATTATCTCTAATAGCATTGTAAGAGATCGCACAATACCGATGAAATAGAAATAGCACCCTTATTTTTAACTTTTTTTTATTCATACCAACCAGTTTAATTAAAATAGTTTAATTTTTAACATTTTTCTCTTTAATAGATTACACTATTTAACATTTTTATATATATCAAAATTTACCGATTTAATTGAGCACATCATAATACTCAAACCCTCAAACTTTCACAAAAAACCTAACTACTTTTAGTATTTATTTTTAAAAACAAACACACAACACACACACACTAGTTACCCATCCACTCATACACACACTACCTATACCTACACTAATCATACATTTTAGTTACTAACTATTATAATAATAGTTTAATTATTTGTTATTTTAAATAGTATCTAAATTGGGGTATATGATTAATCAATTCTTTTTCCTTTTTTAAATTTTTAGTTTATTTCATTTGTTTTAATAATTATCATAATAATAATAACCAACCAATCAATCAAATATTGCAAATATATTTAATTATTAGTTTAATGTATTTATCTTTTTTAAATTGTATTTTTAATTGAATTTTGTAATTCTATCCTACTTTTTCCATTCCATCTTCATTTTATTTTTTGTTACTGGAATTTATTTATTCTTTTAGCAATATTCTTGGAATAGAGTACTGGGAGTCATTTGTTATTCTTTTGATCGTTTGGAATATTCTTTATAAATATGGGTTGGATAAAACCAAAATCTGTAACTTTTAGGTATGTTGTTTTCATTGCCACCTTTTTCCCACTTTTCACTAATTTACAACCAATTATTTGAAACTCTAGAAAAATATGGATTCCAGTTGAAGAGAATGATTATTTCACAGTATTAAAGAGAAATACAACCATCTCATTAATTAATGAAGTTGTATCTTTAATTCCACAAAATGAAATAACAATTATTTCAGATGTAAGTTTTTATTTGATTGATTCTTTTTTTTTTTTTTTTTTGAAAATTATATTAACTTTATCTCTTTTTATTATAATTAGTTTAAGATATGTTTAAAGAATAAATATTTTCATTGTATAGGTGAATCGAATGAATGGGAGGAAATTCAATCAATGTGGAGTTGGATCAATGAAAATATCTTGCCATCGATCCAAAAGATGAACAACGATCCCACTGAAATATTTGAATATCTTTGTTTGAAATTCAGTTGTCTGGGCATTCATGAGGAGAATTTCAAGACACAGGAAAAACAACGTGAACTAAAAGATAAAGATCAAAGAAAGAAGGAAAAGAATTTTAAAAAGAGATTCTCTCTTGAAAGTGAAACATTAATCACTCGTATGTTATATATTAAATTATAGTTATCAGAAAAACAAAATAACAAACTGTAATAATGTTAACAAACCAATTATTCTATTTATTAAATGTATAGAATATTCATGTTCATTAATGGATAAGATACAAAGACATGGATGTATGTACATTTCAGAAAATTATATTTGTTTCTATAGCAGAATCATTCCTACAAAGATCAAGGTTTTGTTTTCCGATATCGTAGAGATGAAAAAGACAACACATTCCAGCTACTTTAAATTCCTGACGGATTCCATCAAGATTCAGACCGAGTCCAAGGAGTTTATTTTTCATACTTTCTTCAAGGTCGATGAAACCTTTCAGCTTCTCGATCAAATAAGAAAGTTTGCTATGAATCGAATGTTGTTTGCGGCCGAGAAAAACAACAACAGTAGCAGTAGCTCTCCACTCTCTTCTTCATCACCACAATTGGTCAACAGCCAGACGGGTGGCGGTGGCGTTTCCACATGCTCACCGGCATTCATCAACCGTTCGAATCCACTATCTGTTTCACACCACCTCTATCCGAGTGCGCCATCCAACACACCGTCATCGTCACTGAAGCAGTCTGGTTCCTACTTTTCACAGTCATCTCCCAATGAGTCATCTTCTTTTTCCACCTATCTCTATCAACTCAGCTTGTCTCCACCCACATCGGGTGCAGGTCCCGCTGGCTACGAACCCCATTTCTCAACACACTACAGTTCACCATTGACTGCCACCGCAAACAACAATTGGCTCACTGGCACCGGCTACACATCACCATTCGCGCCGTCTTCTCCATCAGCTAGCACTCCTACCTCATTAAACAACTCAATCTGTATGGAATATCAACAACAGCAACAATATCAACTTCATCAATCTTATGGCTATGGTGGTGGTGGATGCAGTCCAAACACTCAATCAATGACAACGCCCAATTCCAATCACTACAATGTATCGTCATTCAAAGAGATGCTTCAAGAGCAGAGAAAGCATCAGGACTATCAGACTCTCTTTGGTCTACCGACTTCCGAGCTGTTGGTCGAAGAATTCCATGTCACTCTCTGGAAGAGCCATCCACAAGATATCGTAGGCAAACTATATCTTTCCAATAACTTTCTCTGTTTTGGCTCGATTGATTTGCAATTGGTGCTTCCACTTCGTGAGATCTGCACCATTTCCAACGAGAAGGCATTTGGCAATCGTGGACAAACCATGAGAATCACCATCGACAAACAACAACATTTTTACTTTTTCTCAAACCAAATCGAAACTCACTACGATATCGTTAGACAATTCTGGAAGGATGCCAACCCATCCATTCAGAACGGTACCAACTCCAGTGGTATTTTCGAGCCTCTACACCAAGTCATTGGAATGCCCGATCAGATACTCGAGAATTCACGTGACTTTTCAAACACCTACAAACTCAACCAAGTACAACAGAGTCATCTTTGGGATCAGTACTTTTCATTCCATGGCGAGGGAATATCGATGATCAAGACTGACGAGCTCAAGGCGCTGATACGTGGTGGTATTCCAGACCAGCATCGTCGACTAATTTGGATGTTGACATCTGGATCACTCTATAAGCCCTATTGCCATCCACCAGGTTACTATCAACACCTACTCGAGCAACACAAGAATGAAACCAATCAATCGACCATCGATATCTCAAAGGACTTGAAAAGAAGTTTTCCAGAACATCCTTTCTACCAAAGTGAACAAGGAATTCAATCTCTTAGAAATATCCTGACAGCCTATTCCTGGAGAAATCCATCTGTAGGCTATTGTCAATCAATGGTAAGCAGTTTTGTTATCAATAGCAATTAATAGCCAAGATTATTAATTATTTCTTTTTTTTTTTTAGAATATAATCGCCGCGATATTCCTCTTATTCTTAAAAGAAGAAGAAGCATTTTGGTTATTATGTACCCTCTGTGAAGATTATGTTCCCGATAACTATAGACCTGGAATGGTTGGTTCAATTGCAGATGGTAAAACATTTGAATATCTTTTCTCAACCTATCTAACAGATCTAGATAATCATTTAAAGGTAAATAGAGTTTATTGTTAATTAATTGGAAAGTAAAACTAATGTTTATTTTTTTATTCTAGAAATTAAATTGCCCGGTGTCAATGATTATATTACCATGGTTTTTATGTCTCTTCATTGGTAGCGGTCATATGGAGTTGGGACTCAGAGTTGTAGATTGTTTCTTCAATGAGGGTACCAATGTTCTTTTCCAAGTTGCTCTGTGTTGTTTAAAGATGAACGAAACAGCAATATTAAATTCTAAATCTGCTGAGGAAATAATGAATATCGTCAAGAACACCAGATATAATGTCGATCATCTTTTAACCATTGTATTATCAGAGTTTGATAACATTCAACCTGACAAAATAGAACAGTTGCGAAGCTCCAACAAGTTTATGGCCATCAAGAACATTCAAATTTCAAATAAGAAACAGAAAATTAGAGAGTGGAGTGATAGATATAATTGTAAATATATAATATGACTTGGCGTTTGTCTAATTATTAATCTAATAATATATTTTATAAATTAATTTAGTATCCAAGACAGAGTTGGAGAAACTATATGATTTATTCCAATCTTATATTTCAATTAGTGCATCGAAACTGGGAATAGGTATAGTCAAATTCTTTGAATTGTGCAAATCTGTTTTACCAAGTGCTTGGTGTTACAAAGGTGCTTTTATCAACAACATATTTAAGCTACTCGATGAAGATATGGATGACTTGATCACTTGTGATGATTTTGTTCATATGGTCGCAATTACTACAAAAGGTACATTGAACGAAAAGATTAAATGTAAGTAATAATTATAACATTTATAAATATAAATAATTTTAATTGTTAAAATATTAATGATTTTTAATTTTATTTTAATTTTATTTTAGTTTGCTTTGATCTATATGATCACGATAATGATGATAACATTAATGCAAACGAATTTAAAACATTATTGGAATCATTGATATGCTTGCTAAATCCCAGTAACCAAACAACGTCTTTTGATATTGATTCACTAGTTAGTTCAATGTGTATATCAGAAGCTTCTGTTTTCTCTGTGGATGATGTGGAATCGAATTTTATTGAAATTGCCAACAATTTGGGTATTGAATACACAAAATAAATATTTCCCTATTGTGGAGCCAAAAAAAATTTTATTATTGTTCAAGTTTATCGATTTATAAATTTATTATTTAAATCTAATAATAGTTGTTTGGGAAATTTTTACGCAATCACCATGTTTTAACATTCTGATGAAAGCGGCACCTTTATTTCAAAAATTCATTCTTTTAAAAAAAAAAAAAAAATCTTTTGGATGTGAGGTTATAAATTTATATTTACAAATATCTGATGATTAATCTTTTCTTTTCTTTCCTTCTACATTTTTTTAATTGCTAACTAGTTAATGTAATGACTTAAGTCAAAAAACAAAAAATCAAAACACATTTAAAAATGATAAAGATTCTGATATTTATAATTTTATCTCTATTTTATCTATTTGGTACAAATGCTCAACAAATAGAAGCACAACAATGTATGTTTATGACACTAACAAACAATGAACTAAGAAAAGAGATTTATTAATTAATAATTTGATCTATTAGTGAATTCTCTAAGATGGTTAATTAGATTCTATCAATCGGACTGGTCATTGACAGAGACTGATTGTTTGAAGATTATACCTCCAAACAATGCAGGAAGCATTATTTGTGGTGTTAACGGAACAGAGCAATATATTTCATCCATGTAATATTAAAATATTTCTGAATTATTGAGAATGGATTATTAAAATTTAGATTCAATATTTTTAGTCATATAGGACCTATTTACAAAACGGATAGCGGAGATCCAGTCAATTTTGATTTGTATTTCCCTAGTTTGAATTCATTAACTATTTCCACAGGTACTGGAGGATTCACAAATAGAAATAACAACACAAGTATTCTTGATCTATTGGATAATCCAAATCAAAAAGTATTAGAAAGGATCGAGTATGTTTTTATTTATAAATGCTGAAGAAACAAAATGAATTAGTTTCTAACATACCATATTTTAGTATATCAAATTATATTGGTGAGATTTCACCCCAATTTCCTAGATACTTAAAACTATCAAATTTGTAAGTTCTCTAAAATTGTTTTTTTAAAGTAAAAAAATAATATTTAACCTGTACAATAGAAATCTTGGAGATTTCAACATTCCAACAGCCCCCATGTTCATTTTAAATAGTGCTTTCACTGTTGTTATCAATTTCTCGAATGGACCATGCGAACTATTTGTTTCTCAAGCAGTTCATGATCAAGTCGCATTAATGTATGTTGATTTTTTTTCTCTGTCTACTATTTAGTATTAATATTTCATTTAGTACTACTTCATGTCATATTTTACCAGAAAATGGAGATACTTTTACTTTTAATTCTGCCCAATTTCCAAAATTAAATAGTTTGTAAGTATATCTCAAGCTTTTTTGCTTTTATTTTATTTACTTTTTCTAAAACAAAAATGTATAGACAATTCAATGAAAACAAATCAGTAAAAAGAATTAAATATGTTTTAAATATTATTATTGGATATATGTAGGTATTTAAGGAAATATTAAAAAAAACTTTTTTTTTATAATTTTAACATTCCAAAAATAGAAATGCAGACGGTGGACCAAACAAGAATATGATTTTAGACTTTCAAAATGTTTCTAAATTAAGATTTGTGTAAGAATTTTAATATTTATCTAATATATATACATATTAACTATTTTTTATAGAACATTATGTCGTATTTATAGTTATACCCCAATGGACCTTACAAATCTACCTAATCTTGGTTTTGTGTAAGCATTTATTATTCCAAAAGTTACAAACCTTATAATTAATTGAATCTTAGGTATTTACAAGAAGTAGATATTCCAACCAATATGATACCAGTGTTAACACTTAGTATCACGAATACTCCTAACTATAATTCCTTTCCTCCTGCGAAATGGTTAGTTTCTGATCAATTCAGTGAGAATTTAAATATTGAATTTGTACTAAGTGGCAATGGTCTACAAGGACAAATACCCGATTATCCAAATCTTTGGTTAGACAAAGTAGACATGAGTAACAATCCTGACTTATCTGGAAGTATCCCAAATTCATTTTGCAGTGCCAATCAAATTTCATTCTTGAATACCACTATTACAAAGCTTCCTGATTGCCTTAAGTGTTTAAATGGAAATTATTCCTTTACTAATAATATAAAGCTACCTTCTTCTGTAGAGATTGAACCAAATTTTGAATGTAGTAAGTAGTTATTTTATGAATCTTTATCTCTCAATTATATTGACAATATATCTTTAAGATCCTAAATTGGATAATAATAACTTTATTATGACTGCAAGTAATACAAGCATATACATCACAGGTGTTAATCTCGGATATTTTGTTGCAAACGATGTATCACCTAAAATCAATTTTAAGATGATTAGGGCAAATACAGTATTTAAATATACTCCACTATCATCCAATGGATCTACTACATTAGTTTTTTCAGCATTTAGGAACATTAGTTTTCCAATTTCATGGGTTTCCGACAGTATGTATTAATTTGAGATTCGTTTAATATTTATTACTAATATTTTATATTTCAAAGAAACCGTTGTCGAAAGTGCTGAAGTTACTAAATATAATCTAACTCATTTAGAATTATATATTGGAGGTCAATTCAATCAAAATGCACTTTTTTCTATCGTGGATAGCACTGATCAAAATTGTATTATTAATATCTTTGGTCCAAACATAATTAGATGTGTTCTCACTTTAAGTTCTCCCTTACGAACAAATAACATTTTTATTACTTTAATTTCACCATATTTAAGATTTGATCGTATTTTGCCTGTTAAAAGTAAATATATAAATCAATATCTATAATTTTTTTAATTTTTCTTTATAACTAATAATCTTTATAAAGCCTATCCTGTGGTCTCTTCTTATAGTGAAATAAATACAAATGGTGGATATTTATTGGTCAATGGTTATTTTGGCCTCTCTCCTGCCAATTCAAAACTGGTGATTTCTGGACAAGAATGTACAAATATTAATATCACTTCTTCATTTTGGGAGTGCAATACTGGTCAACTCTCACAAGGTCTATCAAATGTTACAATTCAAATTAGTAATTTTAGTTTTCCAATGCCTCAAATCTTTGTTAACCCCTTTAACCGACCAATTCAATGTGGATTGGGTGACAGATGTAGTGGAAATGGTCAATGTGTAAATGGAAAATGTATTTGTAATATTGGATTCTTTGGATATTATTGTGAATCAAGTAAGTACCAGATCATCGCTTCATTTACACTTTGGAGATGATATTAATTTTATTTTTTTCTATTTCTTAAAAAGGGTTATATGAGGGAGGTGTGATTAATCCGAACAGTACTGCACCTGTTACCTCTATCACTGCCAATGGATATGACTTTAGTTTCAATATGGTTGGAATTCAAGAAGTAGATGATTTAGGTAGTGTCGTGAAGGAATTAATTACATCGAAATGGAATTTTACCTCATACATTTTCAATGACACTCAATATTTGAATTATACAATCACTACATCAGATAACATCAATATTCTGGCACTGATTCAACATTCAAACATTTCAAGAGTTTTGTCATTTGCAAATCAAACGTTTACACTACCACCTGGCGCACTCAAACTATCAGTCGATATCAATAATTGGAACTACTATAACAATATTAACAAGTTAAGAGTTGTATTCAGTACAAAACTAGAAGAGCAAGATTTTATTGAATGTGAAGAAATAGATCCAATCAATTACTCTCAATTGGACAACTCAATTAACTATCTAAAAATCATTAAAAATGGATTGTCATTCTATGGTAAATTTATGCCAGTATCGATCTCCGATGGACGTCCAACATACTCAAAGAATGAAATTTTAAACAAAACCGATTCTGGATTGGTCAATATTGGAATTAACTTGCCACAGTGTATTCAATGTAGTATAGATCCTGATTTTTCTCTACTCATCCAAGACAAGGGTGACAGTTGTAACAAGAAAACAAAAACCTGGGTCATAGCTGTGGCTACTGTTGCATCGGTCATTGGTGTAGCATTATTATTCATTGCTGGATTTTATATTAGAAAATACAGAAGAAATATCAAACTTAAAGTACAAATAGCCATGGAGAAACTCGGTGGAGAAACAAAAAAATAAATAGAATCTAAATCTTGTTAATTAATTATTTATTTATGTTATTATTGTTTTATTTTTTCGATATTGGAGCTAAACCAATATTAACATTTAATCTGTAATCATCTGGTTTAGCTGTAATACATTTACTTCCAGTTTCACCAAGATCGTTGAATGGTCCATGGACGGCAAATTTGTATTTATCTGGGTGACTGAGTGTTGCATTGATACAAACTTCTTCAGATGGAGGAATCGACCAACTCCATGCTATTGGTGTACCAACTTCGACTGAATACTCCACGGAATCGGGTATTACAGTGGCAATATTAGTTCCGTTTTTAAAGGTAATGTCTATCTTTGAGATTTCATGTTTAATTGGTTTTTCTGTAGATTGCCTCAATCCATCATTGTTTAGATCTTCGTAAATCATTCCTTCGAGCAAAATATGTGATCCTGTAGTGTTTGCATAGAAATCTGGTCCGATATCCAAAGAGTCTGGGTTGGAAGATGATGATTCATCGACCAAAGGGAAGAATCCAGCGTTGATTATTAGAGTGAATGTTGTATTATTTAGATCGAAGCAACTGTCTCCATGTTCATCTATCGAATTATCATAGATAGTGGCATTTGGATAAGAATGATCTTTTGGTTTATCATAGTGAATACAATATCTTCCTTCGGATAGTCCATCTACGATTGAGACACTGTTGTCACTTGAATTCCATTTACGAATTGGGGAAACTGGTCCTTTGGTCTCTAGATATAATATTCCAGAAACTCCATCCAATAGCGGTTCCTCAAAGAGAGTTCCATCATAATTTTCATCTGACCATACATATGATTGAATTCCAAGTCCATTCAGGAATCCGGCAGTAAATTTAGTTTGATCTTGATCAAAGTTGAAACAACCCACTCCATCTTTGTCGATAACGCTAAAGCCTTGTTCGGTTGGAATATAGTTTTTGGATGGATCAACTATTTTAACACAGTATTGACCTTTTTGAAGTGAAACTGAATAAGTCTCCTCCTTGGAGGTCCATGAAAGGAATGGTTTTGCAGAATCAATATTTCCCAAGTCTGAACCATTGTATAATCCAATATTTAGTCCACTTATATACTCAGGTTGGTTGTCGTAAGGTTCACCAGCTCTAAATGTATCCTTCCAGGTAACGAATTCCAGAAGGTATTTGGATCCCGGTTCACTAGGATTAGAGCCTGGATTTTGAGAACCATTGCCACTTGTTGTTGTTGATCCAGTACCAGAACCATTGCCACTGGCCGTGGTAGATCCAGCACCAGAACCATTGGCACTGGTTGTTGATCCAGCACCAGAACCAGAACCATTGGCACTGGATGTTGTTGATCCAGCACCAGAATCATTACCACTTGATGTTGTTGATCCAGTACCAGAATCACTGCTACTTGATGTTGATGATGCAGCACCAGAACCGTTGCCATTTGTTGTTGTCGATCCAACTCCAGAACCATTGCCACTTGTTGTTGTTGATCCAGCACCAGAATCACTGCCACTTGATGCTGTTGATCCAGTACCAGAGCCATTACCACTTGCTGTTGTTGATCCAACTCCAGAACCATTGCCACTTGTTGTTCCAACTCCAGAACCATTGGAACTGGTATTCGGTCCAGTTCCAGGTTCATTTCTACTTGTAGAACCGTTAGCCGTTGTTGATGCAGCACCAGAACCATTGCCATTAGTTGTTGTTGATCCAATACCAGTGCCACTACTATTGTCAGTGGATCCAGCACCAGAATCATTAGTTGTTGTTGAATCGACTCCAGAACCATTGCCACTGGATGTAGAAGATCCAGACTGATTACCGTTGGTTGTGGAACCATTTCCGGAACCACTACCATTTTCAGTTATCGATCCAGAACCATTACCACTGGCGGTAGTTGATCCGGCTACAGATCCACTACCATTAGCAGATGTTGTTCCAATACCAGAACTATTGCCACTTGTTGATCCAACTCCAGAACCATTGCTACTGGATGTTGTTGATCCAGTTCCGGATGAACTGCCTGTATCTTGGTCTAAATCTGGAGAAGTATTTGAACTTGTTGTTGAACTAGTACTGGTACTAGCTACACTGGTTGTGGTCGAAGTTCCTGGTACATTTGCTGTTGTTGATCCAGTACCAGAACCATTCGTTGTTGATCCAGCACCAGAACCATTGGAATTTGATGTAGTATTTCCAGACCCATTGCCACTATCTATTGTTGATCCAGTACCAGAACCACTTGCTGTTGTTGATGCAGCACCAGAACCATTAGATGTAGTTCCGGTACCAGAACCATTGCCACTTGCTGTTGTTGATCCTATACCACTTGATGTTGTAGTTCCAGTACCAGAACCATTGCCACTTGCTGTTGTTGATGCAGCACCAGAACCATTAGATGTAGTTCCGGTACCAGAACCATTGCCACTTGAGGTTGTAGTTCCAGTACCAGAACCATTGCCACTTGATGTTGTAGTTCCAGTACCAGACCCATTGCCACTATCTATTGTTGATCCAGTACCAGAACCACTTGATGTTGTTGATGCAGCACCAGAACCATTAGATGTAGTTCCAGTACCAGAACCATTGCCACCTGCTGTTGTTGATCCTATACCACTTGATGTTGTAGTTCCAGTACCAGAACCATTGACACTTGTTGTTGTTGATCCTATACCACTTGAAGTTGATCCAGTACCAGAGCCATTGCCACTTGATGTTGTTGATCCAACTCCAGAACCGTTACCACTTGTTGTTGTTGATGCAGCACCACTGGTTGTTGTTGATCCAACTCCAGAATCATTACCATTTGTTGTTGATGCAGCACCAGAACCATTACCACTTGTTGTTGTTGATCCAGAACTAGAACCATTACCACTGGTTGTTGTTGATTCAGCACCAGAACCATTGGCACTGGTTGCTGTTGATGCAGCACCACTGGTTGTTGTTGAGCCAACTCCAGAATCATTACCATTTGTTGTTGATTCAGCACCAGAACCATTACCACTGGTTGTTGTTGATCCAACACCAGAATCATTACCACTGGTTGTTGTTGATCCAGCACCAGAACCATTATTTGTTGTTGTTGATGAAGTACCAGAACCATTACCACTGGTTGTTGTTGATCCAGCACCAGAACCATTTCCATTTGCAGTTGTTGATCCGGTACTAAAACCAGATCCACTAGCACTCAATGTTCCACCTGGTATATCAATAATTCCAGTTGTACTTTGTATTGGTGTAGGAGTAAGAGTAGGGGTAGGAGTGGAATCTGAACAGTTTCCAATTGAAATCAATGCATAGTATAAAAAGTTGAGTTTACAACTGGGACATTTGCAAGCATCTGTTACATGCAACTGTATAGCAGAGATAGGTGTAGATGGGTGTAAAATAACAAAACTATTTAGAGATTTACTATCAGTATTATCGCAACAATTGGCTGGATTGATAGCACCACCCGTAGAGTTTCGTATTTCACCTTGACCAACATACTCCCAGGTTGATGAACTTAAATTGTGGTTGTTTGCATCCAATGCATTGATTTGAACGGCAGCATTTCCAACGAAAATAACCATAAGAAAGTCCTGGTAGGAATGTTCAAAAGTGATGTTGATATTGGAATAGTTGCCACAAAAGTGGTGGCTGAGCAATTGGATGTCCTGAAGACCGGTTATGTTCTTGTACATCGGATTGTCGATTAATGATAGCGGGTAGGTCAGTCCTGAGAGTAGAGGATTCTCAGATCCATTCACTTTTATACTGATGGCTGGAGCCATTGGATTTATTGTACTTTGAGCCCATGGGAGGTAGTACACTCCATGGAGTGGACTGAAAAAAGGCTGTACCAAAGAGACATTCAAATAGGTCATCTGATTTTTACATCGACAGTAAATCGGCACTTGAATTAATCCATCTTTCATGACACCGGTGATCTGTGAAGTTATCTTTGGAGAAACATTCTCTGCATTTGTCAGGCAATTGAGCAGAAATATTATTTGGATTAATCCAACCACCAAATACTTTTTAGGAAAATAACCCATATTTTTGAATCAAAAAAGAGTAAATCTAATATATTTGAAAATACAGATACAATGTAAGTCATGATTTGTGATCTTTCTTGTTCATTCGAATGATATCATCTTTTAAATACCTTTTTTGTTGTTTTTTTTCTTTATTTTTAATTTAAATGTTTGATTAGTGTTTATTTGTTGACACCAATGATTATCAAATTATTATTGAATATTGAAATGATAGTATTCTTATATATAGTTACTAGAAATAATATCAAAACATATATATAAATGTATAGTATTAAATAAATATAAAAATATATAATCATTTACACTTATTTTAAAATACAACCAAAAACAACAACATCAGGTTCATACCTTGCAAGGTTGTTGTTCTGTTCTTTCTGTGCTATCAATATTTTGACTTTATCGACTCCTTCTACACTTAAGTGAGTTGTATAAAAAATATACTATGCTCATTGTACGCTTCTTCTTTACATCTTTGCATATATAATATTATTACTGAATAACTTCATCAAATCACCACTCTTATTTTTTGTCAATGAAAGTGGTCAAAGTGATTATAATTACTTATTGTTGTGTGTGTTTGTGAAGTAACCAACTACAACACTAACATACAATTTTTTTTATTTGACCACCACTTTATAACAACTCACTTTTAAACAAAAAAAAAAAAACAAAACATGATTATTACAATTATAATTAATTTTAAAAAAAGAATGAATGAATTGAATTTCTTTATTAATAAGTATTTATACGCATAAATCTAAAAGAGGTATCAATCGAATTGTTGTTTTGTTTTTTCTTTTTAATTTAAAGTGATTTTCTTAAAGTCTCTGCAACCTTGTCGATAAAGTCACCGGTGTTGAGATAGTGCTCTCTCTTGAGATCCTTCTCTTCGTAGATGCAAAGTGCCAAATCCTTGGTCATGTGACCGTTCTCGATGGTGGTGATGCATGCCTTCTCCAACTTGTTGACAAAGTTCATGAGGTCGGCGTTGTTGTCGATCTTGGCTCTGTGTGACAAACCTCTGGTCCAAGCGAAAATACTGGCAACAGAGTTGGTACTGGTTTCCTTACCGGCTTGGTGTTGACGGAAGTGACGAGTGACGGTACCGTGTGCTGCTTCTGCCTCGACGATGTTATCGTTCGGTGCGGAGAGCACGGAAGTCATGAGACCGAGCGAACCGTAACCTTGTGCAACGACATCGGATTGGACGTCACCGTCGTAGTTCTTGCATGCCCAGACGTATCCACCGTTCGACTTGATGGCAAAGGCAACCATGTCGTCGATCAAACGGTGCTCGTACCAGATACCGGCAGCTTCGTACTGCTTGCGGTACTTTGACTGGTAGATATCCTCAAAGATATCTTTGAAACGACCGTCATACTTCTTCAAGATGGTGTTCTTGGTGGACAAGTACAATGGGTACTTACGCTCCAATGCGTAGGCGAAACAAGAGTGTGCAAACTCGGTGATCGATTCGTCGGTGTTGTACATACCCATAGCGACACCGCTGCTCTTAAAGTCGTAGACGGTACGTGACACTGGCTTACCGTTCTTTGGAGTGACGATCATCTCCAACTTGCATGGACCATCGACCAAGAAATCGGTGGCTCTGTATTGATCACCAAAGGCGTGTCTACCGATTACGATTGGCTTTGTCCATCTTGGAACCAATCTTGGGATATTCTTGATGACGATTGGTTCTCTGAAAACGGTACCTCCCAAAATATTACGAATAGTACCATTTGGTGATTTCCACATTTCCTTCAAATGGAATTCTAAATTATATTAATTATTAGTTAGTTAAGGAGAATTGATATGTGAATGTTTGTTTTACCTTTGACACGAGCTTCGTCTGGTGTGATTGTGGCACACTTGATACCGACTTTTGCTTCCTTGATGGCCATGGCAGCATCAATGGTAACTTGATCGTTGGTGGCATCACGGTGTGGTAATCCAAGATCAAAGTAAAGTGGCTTGAAATCCAAGAATGGGAAGACCAACTAATCATCGAATCAGTCGATCAATGTTAGTTATTATAATATTACAAAGCTAAGCAATAATAAATGACTTACCTTTGACTTGATCATCTCCCAGATGATACGGGTCATTTCATCACCATCCATTTCAACTACTGGTCCGGTAACCTTAATCTTGTGGACTGACGTATTATTATTAAATGTTAGTTATTTATTAATATTCAAATGCTTATAGTCATATGCATTTGTTAATTAATATTCAATGATATATATCATTTCTTACAGTTTCTCATTTGAGAGTAATTTCCAAAGAGAGCAGATTTATTCATAATACCATAGTTTAAGGTATTATTTGATTTCTTTAAGAGTCCAGTGAACATATTGATTTTATACAAACTTATAATAATGATATATATCTAAAATTTTGAGATACTATTTGTGTGTGTGATACTATGAAAAGAAAATATACAATAACAACAAAATTATACAATTGAATTTGAATTGAATGCAGCTGTTGTTTTATGTATTGGATATTATTGCTTTTTTTGTGTTTGGGCTTTCTTTCACAACTTGTAGGAGGAGCTTTTTTGTCAAGATATTATTATATTAAATATTTAATAAAATATCAATGTGCACAATACTGGACTGTTAAATTAAATATTTGAAAAAGGATTTTAATGGGGCTGGCTGTGTTTGTGAAGAAAATGTTTTAAAAGGGGTTTGAAAAGATTCATTGTGTGTGAACATCAGTGGTCTGATTAAAACCATCAAAAAAAAAAAAATTAATTAAAACTAAATTTTTATTTTATTTTTTTTACTTTTTTTAAAAAAAATAATTAAAACATTATTTTATTTTTATCTGTTAAGTTAGCAAAAATGTAATAACTAAATTTGGTCAGAAGAAATACAAAAATTTGAATCATGATAATTATTACTAAATAAATACATTAAAAATAATAATATACAATTGAAAATTTGGAATCAAATCAAAATCATAAATCAAATAACAAATTATATAATTAAATCAATGTCCAATGACAATTGTATACTTCTGATCTAATTAGTTGAAAAAGTCAAAACGAACAAAACTAGTCCTAATTCACAACGACAATCTTATCTGTTGCTTGCTCGGAATTAACCATAAATAACAGAGTACAGTGCATCATAATAGCAGCAATATAAATAAAATCATAAACTCAATCGATTTCAAATGATTCATCCGTTTTTTACGTCAATTACAAGCTGATTAAAAGTAAATAATCAAACCAATAGACTGTTTGTAAATTATATTTGCTATATTACTAAAAGTATATTGTACATAAGCATTTTTTGTAATCAGTCGACAACAATATCCATTAGTAAGTAAATTAAGTAGTATAGTAAATTTATATAAAAAGAGAATATTATGTATATGTATGTGTATGTGTATATGTGTGTATGTGTGTTATGTGTAATAGTTGAGTGGAATGGTATATCATATATATATATAGTAGGTATCTATGTATATATTCTAATTAAGGAAAAAAGGTCGCTATTATTATATTCAATCACTGTAATTAATAACGATATTCTTTAGATTAATTTTAATAGCATTACCATATTAATACTTATGAACCATTTGATCGTTATTTTTTTTTTTTAATAGTTGTTTGTGTTTGTGTGTGTTGATACATTTGTCGACAAAAAAGTAGAGTAGAGCAACAAAGTAATGATCTGTGGTTGAAAAACAGAGGAAGGGGAGTTGATCACATAATTTTCAAATCATAACAATGCGATTATGATGAATATGATAGTTTTCATAATAATCATTACTACCATCTCACAATTCTAAAACGTGCATACACTAATATATTTATTTTTCTGTTTCTCTTTCACTCTCAATTTGAGTTTTTTGTTGTGTTATTGTTGTTTTTGTTGTCCGTTAATATATATGTGTTTGTCGTTTGGTCCATACCAATAGGTATAACTCCATCCAAGTGAGTGGAGAGTGTTGCAAGGATAAGACTGATAATCAACAATCACGATGTGTTGTGTTTGTGTGTGTTTGTGTGAGGTGGGTGAAATATCCCACTAGTAGATTTAACAATATACTTATTGATAACTTTGATCTTATATTTTCTACTACTAATACTATTTACTGTATTTCTCTGAGGTAGAAAGCATGCAATTCAATTCAATTTTTTTGGTTTTATTCCAAATTCAACTCAAAACTCACCAACAACGTGGAACAAACAACATTAAATTAACAACTACTGGAAACATTAAAATTTTACATTTTTTATCAATCATGATTCAAAATCATAAATAATAATAATATCAAATAAACATACATCGATAATCAATTATAATTTTCAATCATTATTTGTTGATTGTCTGTCATAAAAGAGAATATAAACATTAGTATTTTTTTTTTTCTTACTGGACATCAAATAAAAATCTAAAACGAATCATACCAAGTTTCCACTCACTCATACCCACCTTTGTCTTTTCTTGACCACACAACAAACATCAACACTAACACCAACACCACACTCACTACCACCACAAACACCTGTACACAACAACCCACCACCACATTTACATTAATCAAGGGAAACAAAAATAACAATAATTACCAAATTAATATATACACAACCATCTTGTTTTTCAATTCCATTTCCTATTACTATTCAAAAATCCATCTTTATTATTTATTTATATATTTTTATGTACAACAAAAGCAATATCTTATTGTACTAATAATAATTATTACTATTATTATAATAAGTGTATCGGTATATTTAGCGTATTGCTCTAGATATCTATTGGTAGACACTCACATTTTGTCCAAGATATAGATCGAAACAACAAATCAAAATTTCAACCTTTTCAAAAACATAAATATTAATCATACTGATAATACTAGTAAATAATAACAACAACAAACAACAACAAGAGCAAACAAGAAGAACAATAACAAAAATTACTAAACTAGTGTTCACTTACTTATCCAATTCATTCTTTTCCAATTAGCATGATTTTTGGATAATTTTGTGAATTCATTTGTTTTCTTTTTCATTGTAAGAAAAGGTGTCGTCCAGATTGAAAAGACAGAATCACACTTTAATATATAATTTTATTTATTTATTTATATAATTCATTTACTATTATAATTATTAAAATTATCTATTTTCCAACAAACAACATTTAATCGATTCAATAGTTATAGATATAAAAAAATCCCATTCTCTATATTCATTCCAAATATTTCGCATATACAACTCAAACAATAACAAACAAAATATTAATAATTATATATTTAAACAATCTTTCGAATTTAATTTCGAATCATTCATGTTCAATATAGAACCAAAACAATAACATTAAAAAACAAGTAGAATTTGAAATCTCCAATTCAATAGCTCACAGAACCATACCAAAAATAATATTTATTATATTTTCAAATTAAAACTAGAATAAGAAATAAACTTAATGCGGTAGAAGTAGTAGAAATATTAACAAATATATATACTTTCAATAAAAACAAAAATAATACTTACACCAATAATAGAATACTTTTAATATTTTACACAAAAAAAAAACAAAGTAAATATTATCCTAATTAAAAATTTATTCTATGTTAAATTTAAAACTAAAATACTAACATCACATTTAAAAAATAAATAGAAATTCACTTTATTATATATTATAATATATTTATTTTAAAGAGTAAAAAAGATGGATAGTCGACTTAGTAATGTAACCATCAAAGTTGATTGTGTTACATTGGAAGGAATTCTATGCATTCCTCTAAATCCAATTGGAATTATTGTTTTTTCGCATGGTACAGGCTCCAGTAGAATTAGTCCTAGTAATTTATATGTCTCAAAGGTTTTAAACTCTGCCGGTTTCGCTACTCTACTGTTTGATTTACTTACACCCCAAGAAGAAAGACTCGATAGTATTACAGGTGAATTTAGATCGAATTTAAATTTTCTTTCGAATCGAATAATCTCCACCACCAATTGGATAAAAGAAAATCCATTATTAACTGGTATGTATATTTCACTAGTAATTACTTTTGAAAAGTAGTACTATAAAAATAATTTCCATATTTACTAAAAAAAAACAACAGGATTACCAATAGGATATTATGGAGCTAGTGCTGGAGGAGGAGCAGCTATTTTATCATCACATTCATCGAATAACTTAATTTTTGGAGTTGTCTCCAGAGGTGGAAGACCCGATCTGGTGGGAGGTCTGTTGAAATCGATTACTACACCCACACTTTTGATTGTGGGTGGCGATGACTGCGATACATATTCACTCAATAAATCGGCAATACAACAAATGAATCAGTGTCAAGACAAAGAACTGATAGTTATACCAAATGCATCTCATCTCTTCCCGGAACCAGGATGTCTCGAACAAGTTGCAGAGTTCTCGAAACAGTTTCTGAAAAACCAATTGGATAATTTCATAAAACAACATTCACCCACTTGTGGCAGTAGCAATGGCAGCGGCAGTAGCATCAACAACACATTCAATAATAATAGTAATAGCTTTCTCTTAGGAAAATCCATTTTAGTTTCAAACTCGACAAGTAACTCCAACACTCAGAATATAGGGGTCGCTTCCCAATAACTATACTATAATAGAATATACAGAACCTGTTTATATTTACTTTTTTTGGTTTAGCGGTACAATTAGAATTTGGCATTGATTAAATCAAGAACATTCTTATTGTTATTTATCACACAGTGAAAAGAAAATGTATATATTTTGTTTGAAACCATCTCAATAATGTTTTTTGATACACATCGCAATTTAATAATAAATAAATAACATCTAATCTTTTTTAAAACAAAACATTTCTCTGATATTTTGAATAATTATTGTTTGGTAAACATGGATGTGCTGATACATACACAACAAGATATCGTTTAATTACTCTGTCCAATTAATTTTATTTAATTATATCTATCGCGTTGATGTTATTTTTTAGTTTTTTTTCAAGTTTTGTTTTGTTTTCAGTTTAGGATTATTCCTTTTAATAATCTTCCAACTCTGAGTTACAGTAGTAGTAGACTGGAGGTGGACAAAAACCGTTGAAAGAACTGGCAGAGGCGGTAGTGTATGCACCCATATCTGGGAAATATAACCAATCACCAATCTTGAGTTCTGGCAATTGGGTGTCCTTGGCGATAACATCGATGGAATCACAGGTTGGTCCAAAGAGAGTGCATGGGGTTGGAGCCTTGTTGGTTGGTTTGAGCAAGAGAGCGGTTGGCTTGGCGTGGTCGAATTGGATGTTGTTGAATGAACCGTAGACACCGTCGGCCAAGTAGTAGTTGTACTGACGCATGTTGTTCGAGGTACGACGTGGATGTTGTCTGTTGTCCTCTTGCTTGATCGATCTCTTTGAGATGACAGTGACGGCGAGTGTGTGTGACATAGCGGCAAAGTATCTACCTGGCTCGGCAATGATACGAACGCTGCTGTCAAAGAGCTCGGCGGTCTTCTTACGAATGACCTCTGTGAACTTACCGAACATCTCGTCGTTGGATCCGGTGAAACCACCACCGATGTCGACCAAATTCAACTCCATTCCGTGGGTCTTGGCCATGTCGAATACCTTTCTGACCATCTCGAGAGCAGTGTCGTAGGCGCTGGCGTCGAAACAACCACTACCAACGTGGAAGCTGACACCGACCACCTTGAGATTCATCTCCTTGGCCATCTCCAAGAGGTCGGAGCAATCGTCGATGTGAACACCAAACTTGGTTCCGAATCTCATGAGAGACTTGCTGTCGTCCGGTGCAATTCTGAGCACCAACTCGGCCTCTGGGAAGAACTTCTCGATCTTCTCCAACTCACTGAGATTGTCAAAGGTCATCAACTTGACGTTGTTGGTACGGGCATACTTGATAGCGGTGATCTGCTTGCATGGATTGGCGTAGATGATACGCGATGGATCGACACCCATCGACAAGACCGACTCGATCTCAGTACGCGAGGCACAATCGAAGCTGGTTCCCAATGCTTCCAACACCTTGAGAATACCCATGGTTGGATTACATTTGACGGCATAGAATGGTGTAACATTTGGTAAGTGCTTTACCCATTTTTGCCATTGTTTAATGATAACTCCAATATCTAGATTGATAGAAAATGGTAATTACCCGAATATATATTAATTAGTTCATTCATTCATTCAGACATTTTTCGATTTGTTTGCATTTACCTGCAACAAAGAATGCATCTCTATCATTCTTATCCAAGAGTGAAGTGATGAGATCTTGAATGGTTACATCGGGTGTCCATGGTTTAACATCCAACTCCTTCTTGATCTTTTCCATCTTTTCTTGAGCAGCTGACAAAGTCTTTTCTCTGATATTATTATTAATTAAAGATAAACAAATTTATTATTAAAACTCTGATGATGATTGATGATGATCTTCTTTTTCCTCGATTCTTCTTTTCGATTGATCAATCTCGCAAGACATACTTTAACTTCTTTGAAAGATGCTCATCGGTGGAGGTTTCTTCGATTTCTCTCTTTGACATTTTGAAAGATTGTTTTGATTTTTTTTTTTGACGAATGAAAAAAAAAAAAAGAATAACTAACACTATATATTTATAATTATATAAACTAGAGAAAGCAAGTTAAATAAGAGAGTATTTATATAAATAATGATATAATAATAATCAAAATCTATATTTTATAATTCTTATTTTAAAAAAAAACAAAAAATAAAACAATCTTTGTTATAAAGGGGTAAGAAATGTGAACAAAACAAAAAAAAGAAAGTTGGAGTGTGTTTTATGCAGTGGAACAGCAACAACAACAAAAAATTTAAATTTAAAAATAAAAATTATTTTAAAATAATTAAAATATAAAAAAATCGAAGACAAATTTTAAATTAATTAAATTTTAACGACCAAGTTCTGAAAATGAATAAAGTCAACCCAGGGTTGTTTGTTTTTGTTGTTGTTATATATATATATATATATATAAATTGTAATACAAATATATTTTTGAATATTATTTAATTAATTATGAGTTACAAAAGTTGAATACCATCTTCTTACACAGGTTGTCCAAAACATAAGAATGGTTACATCTTTCTCTTGATTACAATTTATGAGTTGAAGGAATCTCGTTAGTTTTCTATCTTTATCATCCACAATGATCGATCTGATCGAATAGAATGTTTTAGTTTTACTAGTGTAAAATAATAACAATTAGTAAATATCAATTTTTTATAAAGATAAAAAAAAACAAAAAAAAACACATACTTTATCCATTCCTCTTTAAGTGAAAGTAGATTCATTCTCTCAATTTCGGGTGGTGAATTTTGTTTGATGATTGTCTCAATTGCTTGACCGAGTGTCGATGTATATCTTGGCCCATTGAAAGATATCTCAATCGTTGATCTATATGGACTATCTATATCTTCTGGTTCTTTTGATTTATCATAATCTGAAAAGATTTGATTATTAGTTGTTATTTGTTTTTAGTTTTTGTTTAATAATGATATAAACTTACAATCAATATCAACCATTGCAATGATATCACGATCGACATGTCTTGGTATTACTGCAGCTGGACTCAATCCGAGAATATTACACTCCCAGATCTCTTTGAATTGATCAGAGTAGTAGCAAACGGAGCAACACTCGCTTGGAACCAGTATCTTGAGTAGGTCGATCAGTGATGCCACTAGTGGTGGCGATCGGCCCATGATGATTACCTGATTGCCTACGATCGTATTGAATATGAGTGCAGACAAGCTGTTCTCTCCGATGATTCGCAACACCTGTGAGAGCGAAGTGACCAGCTCCGCCGACACTGGGAATGTCTTTTTCAGCTTCTCCGCCAGGCGTGCGTGCATGTCGAGTTGCAGTTCTTGCCGGTGCTGCGGTTGATGAGCGTTGTTCAGGTTGATGATGGCGTGTCGTCCATTGCTGGACGCGACCGCCTCCTGCTTCAGCTGCGTCAGCTGCAACTCCTGTTCGGCAATCAAAGGTGGTGGATTCTGCAGGAGATGGTACTTTAGGTGACAACTCGAGAGAATATTGCTGAACGTGCGGTGTAGACGTTCGAAAAATCGCGGGTCTTCAAGCAGGTCGACCAGTGGCCGGAGTGGCGCCGCACGGATACCACGACGCATCATGTTGCTGATGGCGGTCTGGTTGGATTGGCCAGATTGCTCGCGATTAAACACAACGTTGGCACGGATTTGCATCTCCGATGCGATCGACTTGAGACAATTGACAATCCAACTAAAGTAGGAGACAAGACAGCTGGATTCGCCAAGCACCATGAATCCATACTTTCGCGAGGTTCCACGCGCACGACTGTCGTTCAGCTTGAAGGTGTACGAGAGGAAGCAAACATCGTTGTTATTGATGAGCACTGGTCCCTCTCTGCCCGGCACCAACTCACAGGACAACGATCTGACACAACTGTTTCTGATCTGTGAATACGAGGAGTTCGATGGTTGATGTGTACTTATATAATAGATATTGGTGTTATGTTGATCTTGTGATACCAATCCAGTGAAATGTGGAAGAGATGAACATGTTGGACATCTTGTTGTTGTTGTTACAGGTGATTGTATGGGTGAAGGTGAAGGTGAAGCTGTAGCTGTAGGTGTAACTACTGGTGTTGTTGTTGTCGTTGTAGTAGTTGTTGTTGTCGATGTGGTTGAGGTGGTAGAAGATGAACTCGAGGAGGAAAGTGAAGGTGAAGATGGGGCACCAACGCTTGCTGCCGATGAAGATGTGGAGATGTCAACCGGATTGCTATTTGGTGGAATCATAATGGAAAGAGTATTCGATGATATCAGTGGTCTATTGATATCTATTTTTGAACTATTATAATTGAATTCATTACTTCCTACTATATTAAATAGTTGAGGTAACTCTGTATAACTATGTACATTATTTTGTTGTTGTTGTTGTTGTTGTTGTTGTTGTTGTTGCAGACCATTTGAATCAGCATTTAATATAGGCGATGAAGATGATGGTGATGAACTTCCAAGTTGTTTATTTATCGATGAAATTGATAGATTTGATATTATATTACTACTACTACTATTATTACTATTACTATTATTACTTGGTATATCTGGAGGTGATGATGCTGCTAAAGATGGTAATATATATTCAGATTGTGTTGTAAAGACAACGGACGGACCATGTGTCTCACAAAAATGTGTGAGCACCAACGATGTTGAATGATTCTCACCCGGTAATGATATAGTTATCATTCTTTTATAAATATAGATATTAATATATATAGATAGATTATTATTACATTAAATACAAATGAAAATTAAGAATGTTTGTTTTTGTTATTTTTTTTTTTTTTAACAAAAATGACTCGCAAGGACGGAGATACTTTTTTTTCAAAAAGTGTAAGAAATTGTTTTGATGGAGATGAAAGGATCATATAAAAAAATCAATACAAAATAAAAATATAAAAAATAGATCTTAAATGTTGGTTGATTAATTCAATGAATCATCTTAACATTACATAAATAAATACAATGCTATTTATTCAAAAAATACACTTTTTTAGTTTGTTATATTATTTTAATTAATTAATTATGTTATGTGGATGTTGGAGTTGTTTGTTTATTGTTGTCAATGTTGTTTGTTTGTTTTTTTAAAGTTTTTTTTTTTTTCTTTTTTTCAAAGATTTTTGTGTTTTTTTTTTTATCTTTCAAACTATATTATATAAATTTGTTTGTTTTTTTTTTTTGAACACTTAATCTTTGATGTTGTACAACTCTTTCATTTCCTTTTGAGCTGCTTCAAATTGATCTTTGAATGCGTTGGCATTCTCTGCTGAACCGAAACGGATGGCAAAAGTTTCTTCGACACCGTCTGGGTGTTCCTCGTCGGAGTAGTCCTTTGGACACTTCCAAACCCATGACTTATCGCTACCCATGTTTGCTTCCAACTTCAAGTATGGTGAAACGTAGTGATTTAAACAAACTTTCAATACCTTTTCTCTTCTCATACTGACTCTAATCTTCTTGGTCTCTTTGTGCTTCAAGAGTTTGACAACACCAACACCACGTTCATTCCATTGTGGTTGTGGATCAGTTACAAATCTGAATAATTTTGCTCTCCTATAATTATATAATTATAATATATATAATAATTAATATATATCTTGTAGATGATTGTTTGATTGTTTGATTGTTTGATTAATCTCACTTACATTTCGAAAAGAACTTCTTCATCTTCTTCGTTTGTCTTTGTTTCTTGTTTGGTGAGGTTGAGTTTTGGAGTGAATTCTACATTTGGTTCGTGATCTGGTGCATTCTCTTCCTTTGGTTCAGAGGAAGATTCGGTGGTGGTGTTGCTAGCACTACCGGTGAATGCACTTCCAAAGATGCTGGTGGTCTCTTTCTTCTCTTCGACTGGAGTTGTTTCGGTTTTGACCTCTGGAGTAGTTTCGGTGGTGGTGGTGGTTGGAGTAGTTTCGTTTTCCGACATCTTTTATGATATTTTTACTAGTATATTATTATTGATGTTATTGTTATATATTATAAATAAGATAAGTGACGACAACTTTCACAATTGAATTGAAACCAAATTTTTTTGTTTTTTTTTTTGACTAAAAAGATAAAAAAAAAAATCGATAAAATTAAATGGATTCTTAAAATTTAAAAATAAGTTAATGGTTTAGTTGTTTGAACGAATCCTTGTGAGCTTTGTGAAAATGATCTTGAATGTAAATTTGATTATTAATTGTCGAAATGATACACTCAACTCAAAATAACATTAATTTTTTAATTATTTTTTATTTTTTATTTTTTATTTTTGTTTAAGGTGGCACGACGTCAACTCAACAAACATCATCAAAAATTTAAATTCGAATAATAATTTTGCAAAAAAATAAATGAAGTTCGCCAATTAATAAACGAATAGTTCGATGGATAGTGTTGAAAAATTCATTGGGAATAAAAAAAGATAAACATGTTATCGATTATGTATCTTATTCTTACTGATTTTATCAGTGTAGGATCCCCTCGAATTTATTTGATAAATTCTTTATAAAATATTTCATATATGTGTTATTTTTTAAAAAAAAAAAAAGAATTATTAATTTTTTTAAGTGACCTATTTAATATTATTTTCATAGTTCTGTGTTAACAGTAATCAAAATATTTAAATCAAATTTGATCAAAAAAAATATCACATGTAAGGAATTGGGTGGTTGTAGATCGAAGTTTTGTCAGAAAAAAACTCACCCTATCACATTATGATCTTGGGTGGTGAATTGAAAACAAAATCAAAAAAAAAAAAAAAAGGCAAGATTTATAACTTTTTAAAAATCAAAAAAAAAACAATTAATTTATACTTTTATATTATATTATAGTAAAAGAATCCAAATTGTGTCATTATATCTATTGTATCTTTATAAGTAAATAGTTAAATTAAATAAACATATATATTTTAACTTCTTTTTTTCTTTGTTCTTGTAACTTTTTGACCTCTCATTTTTGTTTTTTGTATTTTTTTGATATCAAAAAAAAAATAAAAAATAAAAAATAAAATCAAATCATATCAAACAATAGATTAGTAAAACAACAGCCAATTTCTTTTATTTTTGTTTCATTGCAAATATAACAAATAAAGTCAATAATAAAAAAACTTTTTTTTTTTAAAAAAAAAACAAAACAACACAACAATATATTAGATTAGATTAGAATTGGTTATTAGTTCAATTGATATCAAACAAAAAACAAAACAACAACGCACAATAATTAATAATCATAAAAGACAAACAAATATATTAGGATGAGTTATTCAACAGATCTATTGGATGGATTCGATACACTCTACAAGAGAACAGAGGGTGTTCTCAAGTGTAATCAGGAGATGTCAAACTTCTTCAGAAAGTTGTCTACCCTCGAATCCGACTACTCAAAAGCATTGCTAAAGTTGGTTAAATCAACTGGTCAAAAGAAATTAATTTCAAATCCTTTCCTTGACGGGTATGATATCATCATTGAATCACTATCAATTCAATTTCACTACTAACATCCGTTATCTACGACATATCATATTAATTAAATAGATCACTGAAAGAATCATGGAGAATAACATTAGGAGAGTTAGAGTCAATCGGAAATCAACACGCTACATTTTCAAACTTGGACAATGATCTTGCAAATATTATAGAAAAGATGGTTAAAGATAAAGAGAATGTTAGAAAGAAGGTAAGGAGTAATCGATTCGATATTTCCGAATAATATCGGAATTGTATATTTTAATTAAGAAAAAAAAAAAATTAATATTTTTTTTAAATTAATTATAATTGATATAGTTAACTGCCGATGGTCAAAAGTTAACAAAAGATATGAAGACACAATTGGACCTTTTGACAAAGGCTAAAATGAATTACCATAAACTCTCAAAGGAGGCAGAGTTGGCGCAAACCACCTTAACAAAGGGACAGGCAGATCCAAAGATGAAGCAAGACAAGGTATCTCAACTTAGCACAAAGGCAAGCCAAGCCTCTGAAAAATCGAATCAAGCCGACCAAGAATATAGAGAATGTCTTAACGTAACCAATGTTAAGCAGAATGAGTACTACATGAATGAGATGCCAAACTTATTAAAGGTAAGTTAAGAAAAAGTTAATAGCAATACATCACATTTTTATTAATTTCTTCTTTATTACTATCACTATCACTATCATTTTTATTATTGCCATTATTTTTTTAAAAAGGAATTCCAAACATTTGAAGAAGATCGTATTAGTCAAACTAAAGACGCAATGCATAAGCTTTCTTTGTATATTAAGGAGATTCCACCCGTTGTATCACATGCCGCCGACGTTGTTCAACAGGCCGCTGAACAAGTTGATAAAGATGCTGATATTAGACAATGGGTTGCCGAGAATAAGACAAATGTAACTCCACCTGGACCAATCGATTATTATCCATTCGAGGGTGAGGCACAAGCTTCAAACTCACCATCAAACTTTAGAGTTGGAACATACAAGCCACCAACCAGTCAAACTAAAGTAATTATCGCGAATAGTCTAATTAGAAATTAATTTTATAGAATGAAATACTTATTGTTTTTATTATTATTATTATAGGATTGGGGATTGACACCAAAGGACTCTGGATTGACACCAGATCAAAAGACTCAAAAGTTAGAATCACAACTATCAGAGATTTCAAATACAATTAAACAAGAGATTCAAGCACGTGCTGGTATCGAAAAGTTGATTCAATTCTATGCAAACGATCCAAAGGAGCAGAAGAAGGCAGAGGGTGAGCTGATGGAGGCCGACAAGAAGATCAATGCCCTCAAAGAGAACCAGAGATTAATTTCACAGCAAATGGAGGAGCTTGGAAGAGCACCTGCCGGTGCTGGTGGCGACTTTAACGGAAGTGCAAGCGGTGGAATTAGCCAGCCTTCCGCCAAGCTTGTACGTGTACGTGGACTTTACGATTACGAGGCTAGTTGCGACACAGAGTTGAGCTTTAAGGAAGGTGATATTCTCTCAGTGACTGAACAGGATTCGAGTGGATGGTGGTTTGCTGAATTGAACGGATCCACTGGATTCGTCCCACAAAATTATGTTGAACTTTACGAAGCCTAAAAAAAAAAAAAAAAAAAAGATAGATATTTTCAATGTAACAGAGAGTTTATTATTAATCATCAAACTAATTAGTAATTAAAGAGAGTAAACAAAAAAAAAAAACAAAAAAAAAATAATTAATTTAAAATAATAATAATGTAATAATAATAAAGTTAAGTCAATTAAAATGAATAGTTGATCAAATCAATATAAATAGTAATAATTGTTTCTTTCTTTTTCTTTTTGATTTTATTTGATTAAATCACTCACTTTACAAGCAAAGAAAATAATTTTTTCTTTTTCTTTCTGGTTCCACCCAACATTAGATTTCTGGCGAGTGAGCTGTTGATTTCTTTGGCAATGTTCTCCAATAGACAGTTGCCTTCCAACTCGAGATTTGTCATTGTTTTATTTCTCTGGAAGATATTTTGAAGTGCTTGGTGACAACGTTTGATGTTGGAGTCAGAGTTATTCGATGCCTCTAACATTTGATTGTGTGCAAGATTGAGGTATTTCAATGTTGAGTTGGATTCAAGACTGAGTGATACGAGTATACCTGCATTGGTTTGCAAGTTGTTCTCACTGATATCGAGATATTGCAGACATTTGTTGTCTTTGATCATCGTTGAGATATAGGCACCGGCATTATCTCCGATTTTGTTGTTCTTAAAGTAGAGTTTCGTCAATGTGCTGTTATAGCGTAGACCTTCCATGATTTGCTTTGCACCGTTGGCGCCGATATTGTTATCAGAGAGGTCGAGACTTGTAAGAGTAGTGTTTGATCGTAGCATATTGTAGAGTTCCGAACCGATCTCCTCGTTCAACAGGTTGTTGGACAGATAGAGTTGGGTGATCGATGTGTTGTTGCACAAATTCAATGCGATTTCAAATCCAGATTCCTTGCCAAGTTGATTATAAATAAGTGAAAGAGTTTTCAAAGAGTTGTTGGTTTTCAGAGCTCTACCGATTTTCGCGCCACATTCATCATCCAATTTCAAGTAGTTCAGGTGAAGTGTGGTAATGGATTGGTTGCAGGAAATCAGTTCAGAAAGTGAGTTGTTAAAGTGTTTTCCAAAAGTATTGTGACTGAGATTCAGATATTTCAGTGTGGAATTGTTTTTCAACATGGTAATACCTTCAATTAGTTTGGTATTCATTGAGATTGAAGATGGAGACGAGGGAATCCAGTTGGGTTGGCACAAGTCGCTGAGCTGTGGGAATACTGGTGGTGTAAAGTTCGATGGACTAATTGTTAGACTATTGAAACTGCTGGGACCGTTGAAACTAAGATTGCCCAGAGCGCCGCCATTGATCGTCAAGAGTATATTGGTGCTCGGACTGTTCAGAGCACCCATTCCATTGAGGGAGTTCGAGTGGAGGTTGGAGGTGGGAGTCAGTGGCGGCGACGACAGATTCAATCCGGTTATCATACAGTCCAGCCGACAAACCGCTTCCAAGTTCAGTTCCACCAGAGATTTGTTGTATTGAAGTGCCTCTATAATTGCTTTGAGACCGCTTATTCTGAATTCATTGAAACTGACATCGAGTTTGGTGAGTGATTTATTGTGTCGAAGCGTATCACCAAGGATGATACCATCTTTTTCTCTCAGGAAATTTCGGCTAAGATTTAATTCGGTGATAAGTATATTGTTTTTGAGCGACATGATAATCATTGTCGCTCCATTGGATACCAAGTCGATATTCATCAGTTCCAGCTTGGTGAGTGACACATTATCGTTTCTAATGATTTCACTCATGATGCCACCGAAATTCGATTCGTTATCGAGACTGTAGTTGTAGAGAGACAGTGAGCGTATGCTGGGACATCTCTGGAGGAATTGGAGTAGTTTTCCGTTGGACAGTTGTTGGTAGTGTGACTTGTTTGTGGGACGCAGCAGTTGGATATCTGAAAACCTACACTCGCGTGCTCCAGCCACATTTAGTAGGGATTTTGTCGCTAACTTTATGACTCTTTCGAAATTACCACTCTTTAACTGTGTAAAGTGTGTTGGCACCAGAGTGGTGGCCCATCTCTTACAGACCAATGACAGTTTGATCAATACATAATGTGTTGGTTCATCTTCACAAACCTTTTGGATAATATTTGCTAAAATAATAGGTGATAATATTATTTTACTCATTTAATAAAATAATTATTATGTTATTATGGTAGTAGATGGATTATAATTTAATTTTAAGGAAATATAAATAAATAGATTGATAAATAGATTAAAGATTTATTCTATTTGTAATAGTACGACTACTGCTTTGTTTATGTTTATGTTTGGATTTTTTAAGCTTGGAAAATATGAAGATGGATTGATTGATAGATGTGGATGGATTGATTTTTGATTAAATTAATGAACAATTAATTGTAATAAATTATTACTACTATTATAATTATTTTTAAAAATATTATTGTTTTCTAAAAAAACAATTTTCTGATTTAATAATTGTTGTTGTTGTTGATTGTTGTCTCGTTGTAGTTGTTGTTATTGTTGTTTTTTTTTGTTTGTTGACAGGAGAATGAATAAAATGATGGATTTGAAAATGAAACAAAAAAAAAATAATATGTTGATGATGACAGTGTGCTGTTGAGATTATGATGGGATGAATATGGATGGGATGGTATATAATATCTTTTAATTAAGAGATAAATTATATCTTTCTTCCTCCACTTCTTAATTAAGCTAGAAGTTTTGTTTTTTAATTAATTTTTTTTAAAATATATATATTTGGTTTGGGTTTTGTTTACATCTATGATTATTTGTGGATCGATATTTGTAACATATGTGGATTAAAAAGAAATTGATTATAAAACTAACAATAATAATATAATAACAATTTTTTAACAACCTGAAAAAAAAACAAACAATTTGTTATTTATTTAACTGTCACTACTACCTACGATTACTACTGAAAATAATATATTATATGTGTGTGTATATATTGTTGTTGGATTGGTTTATGTTTTCTTTGCTTTGCTTTAATTTTATCATATGAATATTGAATGGTTAATCTGTGATTGAATGAAGTGGGTGGTGATCGATTGGACAGACACATCACACAAAAGAGAGACAAACATTGATATATAAATCAATCAAGTAAAAGGTTAGAAGCTGAACTTTATTTGCTTCACCTGAAACTGTATCAGTAGCAGTTGCTTAAACATCTTGGTAAATTACTCACAACATTGAAAAACAACATAAAATCATTGACCTCACCACCACCTCTATAAATTTTTATGTTTGCTTGTTATGTTTGTGTGTTGTGGTGTGAGAGTGTTTGTTGGTAACAACTTTATGATTGTTTTGTTTATATAAAGGTGTTTGTTGTTAATTATTTCATTTTGTTTAGTGAGGTGTTATTATTCAAAGATATTAATAATAAAAGTGTTTGTTTGTTTGTGGTTTTGTTTTTTTCTTTCTTTATAACTAACACTATAAATTATAATTATCTTAAAACAGTATTAACTTTATTGATTATGTTTCAAAATATTTAATAATAATTGTTTATTTACACAATTTTAATTGACGATTTTAAAATAATAATAAAAGATATTAAAAAAAAACAATTTAGGAGAGTGGTTGTGATCACAAAGCCAATCACACAACCAAAATTTGCAAATAAATATTTTGATAAGACTATTTACAAAAAAAAAAAAAAAGTAGCAGTTAATATTAATTAACTACTTCAACAAATGTACAATAAAGCTATTGAGGATCAACAACAACAACAGCAACATCGATTACATCAACAACAACAACAAATTCCAAAAGAAGATGAGCTTCAATACACTTTAACAAGTTTAGAAGCAACATCAATTTCAAATGCAATAACTTCAACAATAGAATCATCATCATCATCATCATCATCAACAACAACATCATCATCATTCTTTACAAATAGCTACAGTGTCATCAGTAATGGTATCAATAGCAAATTAAATTCAGTTGTCTCAGTTTCAATTGTTGCAACTTCAATTTACAATTTGCCATCGGAGATTCTTATAGTAATTTTTGAATTGCTCGACGATACTGACCTGTGTAGACTCTCTGTTGTTTGCCACCACTTTAATAAGCTAGCAACAACGAACGAGCTCTGGATTAATCTATTTAAAAAGACGTCATTCAATAGATCACCTCCACTATTTAAAGTACATCATCCAATAGATCACACCTCCACCATTTAAAGTCATGATCTTATAGATCTCCAACAATAACACAACAAAGATAACGTAGTAGATCTACTCGTTCAATCTTTTTCTATCTGTCTATCAAATCTTTAAAATCTACATTTACTACTACTGTACACAAATTTATAAACAGATCATTAATCATTTATTCTTGAATACTTTTAGACAGGTGAAAATGTTAACTTTAAATGGGTGATGAAAGAGAAAAAGAGTGCAAGGGACAATTGGAGAAATGGAAAATATGAAGTCACCACACTCGTTGGACATTCCGAACCGATTTCATCTATTTTGTTTAACGGAGAATCAATTATTAGTTCATCTTATGATAAATCTTTAAGGTATAGTACTCTATCTAATTTGGAATCTATAGAATTAATCTATCTAGTAGAAATTGTTAATTAATTAACATTCGTTACTCAAAGAGTTTGGGACTATTCAAGCGCAGAATGTAAATTAGTTATTCCAACCAACGACGTAGAATGTATGCAACTCGATCATACCAACAAGCAAGTAATAACAGGTACAAAAAATGGTCATATCAATCTGTGGGATATCACCGATGGAACTCAAAAGTTTAGTGAAAAAGGTCATCTCTATTTCATCAGTTCATTGAAAGGCAACTACAATAGTACTCTATTTTGCAGTGGTGCAAAAGATAAAACTATAAAGTTGTGGGATGTTTTACAAAGTAATTAATATATATTATATTATTTTATTATTACGTTATAAATGCTAACTATTATTTTTATTTATAGATAAAATGGTATCATCAATAGGGTTTCCTAAATCAGCACTTTTAAATATAGAGTGGTGTGAAGATCAAAAGAATCATATTGTGGTTTCCGGTGGTAATATTCTCAGTTTAATTGATGTTGAAACCGGTCAAACTGTACGCAATTTTCAAGGTCACACAAATGATATTCATTGTTTCTCTGTTGTTGTAAGTATATCTATATTGTATATATTTATATATCTCTTTATCCCAAAATACTAATACTACTCTTATTGTTCTAAACAATAGGATGGATTGATAGCAAGCTCTGGAATTGATGAAACTATTAAAGTTTGGGATAAAAGAGATGTTGTAGGTACGAAATCAATCAAAGTCGATGCAACCGTTTATTGTTTAAAGTTTCAACCTTCACATAATATTATTATAACAGGTTCTAATGATCATACTGTTTCAAGGTAACATTCATTATTCTATTGATATTGATATGGATTGATCATAAACTAATAGTTTTTTTTAATATTGTTGTTAAAGCTATCGATTGGATTCAGGTAGATTAGAATATCATTTTATCGGACATCAAAATCCTATTTCTGTGTTGCATCTTGATAAAGAGAGGATTGTCAGTGGGTCACTCGATAAGAATCTCTATGTTTGGAATTGTAACACAGATATCAGTGGCGGTCCCATGAAGATGGGTAAATATCACAAACTCGATGCACATCAGGGTATGATAAGATGCGCTTATTTCGATGACACCAAGATTATATCGGGTTCCTACGACAAAACCATAAGAGTTTGGGATTTCTCTGGTGCAAAAAACAATACTAAAAAAACTTGTAATCTAATGTAAAACTAAGTAACTACAACATATTTATAAAAAAAAAAAAAAAAAAAAGAAAAGAAAATGTAAACTTGTATAATAATAATAAAAAATAAATTTATTTATTTATAAACAACACGATCACACAAACAAAACTAGTTTAATTAATTTAAATTTGATTTATTTTATTTTTATTTTGTTCGAAAAAAGATTTGGTGGTGTGATCACTAAGTCGTAAACCAAAAATAACACTGATTTTATTAGCAGTTATTCGATCGATCTCTAAAAACAAAAAAACTACTTAATATTTTTAAAACTTTTTGAGGTTGAAAGTGTGTTTTTTGATTGTGCTTCAACTTTTGGTTCATACACAATTTGCCTTCCCAATTTGACACCAACTATAATTTAATAATTATTTTGTACACACATCAGAAATTTAGATTATATGTATAAGTTTGAACAAATATAAACACATAATTTAACAACAACAAAACACCAACTTCATACCTTTTTGTATTATAGTAGTCTTTCAACAACAAGAGAAATTTCTTAATTTCATATATGATAAGATTAAGTTCGAAATATAAAAGTTGTTGTTTTTAAATTCCAAACAAAATTTAGTATTATTTTTAGTTTATATATTACAATTACAATCACAATCATAAACACACTCACTCACTCACACGCACAAACAAACAATCAACACACATATAAACATTTCTATAGAAAAATAAAAAATAATGACACAATCCAGTGATGAATATGATAGTGATAAAATAAAATTGGAGGATGTATCAGCAGCATCAGCAGATGATAGTGATAGAAAACATGTTGAAATGGAAGATGGAGTCAGTAATAGAGAGAGTAACAGTAAAGTATATCTAAGAACTGGCTCAGAATATATAGACTACGAAGACTATACAAGTGGACAAAGATTTCTTGAGAATATGTTTGGGTACACTATTAGCGCAAAGAAAGCCGCTATACCAGCGGGTTACACCGTGGAGTATACACGTGGTGGCCAGCCGTTCCTCTCTGCGCAGATGGCAGAGAGTGTGGACGCACTCGATATCGCTGCGGCAACCGAGCACCGCAAACACTCACTCCCGATGAGCTGCACGATGCAGCAAATCGAGGAGACCTTTGGCATTGGAATCTATTTGTATTTCGATTTCATTTGGTTCTGTATTATCATCAATGTCATTCTACTGGCGACCGTTCTCGTGAGTTTCATTCCACATCTCTACTTTGAGAGCAACCAACATCAATTCCAAGACTTTTCGATCAGAGACTATTTCTTTATTGCCATTAATCTGCGTTCCTACGTTGACGAACGTACCAGACCATTCTATTTCTGGTCGACGGGCGCTGCCGTCATTCTCACCTTCCTGATGGGACCGATCTACGCGCTAAAGGTTCACCGATATTTCAAGAATAGAAATCTCACCGATTTCGAAGACGGTTTCGAAGATGACGATGACATCAAATCCAACCTCAATGTTACACGTACCTCTCGTATTGTTAGATTCACCTTTTCCTATGCTATCTTTGTAATATTACTTGCCAGTTCAGCCGTTTGTAATGTATATGTTTTACGTACTGTTAACGATCATCAATTTTTATCTGGACTTTTGTAAGTTTTATTTTATTTTATTACTACTGTTTCTATTCCATTCCATTTCGATTCTAACAAATTAAATTCATGAAAATTTAGAACTACATCACTTGTATCATCAATTGTTATTAGATTCTTTAATATTATATATGATTTCATTTGTCTATATCTTACCTATTTCGAAAAACACAGAACATGGACAGGTTTCAGAAATCACAACACTTTGAAAATCTTTGTATTCAAAGTAATCAATGTATTAGTATTGTATTTGTTGCGTGACAAAATCTTTAGTAGTTACACAAATGAAAAGATTGATAATGGTTGTCCATTGGTTGATGTAGGATCACAATTCCTTTTTATTTTACTTTTAGATTTGACAGTATGTATAGCACTCTTTTATTATCATTAATGATTTTTCTAATCGTTGTTTGTTTTGTTTTATTTATATAGCTTCAAAATATTTGGGAAATAGTATATTCAGTTGGTATGGCCCGTCTTGGTAAATGTATAGAGAGACGTGGAAAGAAATCAACTGACAGCTACAAACCTGAATTCGATCTGGCAGAGGAGTATCTTGAGATTCTCTATCGTCAATTCATTGTTTATCTTGGATTATCGATCTACCCGATGGTCACAGTGTTTGGTGTCGTCTGTAACATTGTCGAGATCTACGTAGATAAGTTCAGAATGCTAAAGATATGTCGTAGACCTCACCGTATTCAGGGCTCAATGAAGAGATTCTTGACACTATATCTATTTGTGATTGCGGTTGTTGCAGTTGCCACTTACCCATATGGTTCTGGTTGGGTGTTGGTTCAGATTGGTGCAAACAAAGGAAGTCTTAACTCAAATTGTCCCGATTTGTTCTCACGTACACCCGATTCAAATCAAACAATATCTTTGTTTAATTAAAATTTATATTTTTTTTAAGGTTTACTCCAAAGCAATCAATACGATTTCTACCTTTTTTTCTTTGTCATGAAAATTAACTTTAAATTTATTAGTTTTATAGTAAAGTGAGATAATATTAATATATCATTCAATTAATACAAGAAATGAAATTTCAAAATAGTTTAATATTTGTCTTTTAAAGTTGGTTATATTTATGTTATTGACATAATATTTCATGGATCAAAACTAAATTATAAAACTAGTTGATGAATTATTAAATAAAAAAATGAATTTAGAAATTCTGCACCACAAATTTAGGATCATGATCAAATTTGTTATCTTTAAAAATATTAAAAATATTAAAACTATTCACTTTTTATTAATTTATATTATAAATATATATTCTAATTATTACCTGTTAAATTACCGGAACTTTGATACATTGGATTATCACGATTATTTGGATTTGGTTGATATAGTGGGTTAGAGTTGGAACCACTGATCTTGTTGTCTTGGTTGGCTTTCCACAATTCGTAACCCTTCTTTCCACCGAAAGCAGCTAAAGCTAGAGCTGCTGCACCTCCAATGACAATACCAGCGATCGCAGCCGCACCAATAGCAATACCGGCTTTGGCAGCCGAGCTGATACAACTGAATGGGGTCGGACTGTAGTTCTTAATCTCACAAGCTCTACTCACATTGTTACAGACTGCATATGGACAGTCTGGTGATGGTGGAATGCATGCACGTTCGATCGTCAGACATCCGAGATTATTATTACAAATTGCGATCTGGCAGAAATCTGCTGGCTCTTCACATACTCTTGGCTGATTGACACAGCTCTTGGTGGTACTGTTGCAAACTGAGACTGTACATTTGTCTGGAGCGGCACATACCATTGGAGTGTGAGCACAGCCCTTCTGCTCATCACAGGTGTCTATGGTACAGTAGTTTCCATCGTCACAAGTATTAACTACATTTACACAAGTTCCATTGGTACAGCTATCCAAAGTACATGGATTACCATCACTACAATTGACAGGTGTGAAATCACACTTTCCGGTTGTGGCGTTACAGATTGCATGTTGACATTTGTCGGTGTTGTTACACTCCACAGCAGCATAGTAAGTGATACCATCGATACAGGTATCGGTTGTACATGGATTGTTATCAGTGATAACACTGGAAACAGTTGAACAAACACCTTTGTCACAGACGGATTTCAAACACTTGTCATCCGGTGCCAAACATGGAGTGGTACAGTTGACACATCCAGTGATAGGTGTGCATGTTCCCTGAACACATTCGCTGCATTGGTCACATGTCTTATTGATGTATTGACATCCGTACTTAAGATTACAGGTGTCGGTAGTACAGGGATTGCCATCGTCACAATTAACTGGAGTGGCCAAACAGGTGTTGGTACCTGCGTCGCAATGATAGTTATTACATAAATCGGAAGGACATTGAACTGGTGTGTATTGACATCCCAAATTCACATTACAAATCACTGTATTACATGGAATTGGTGGACAAGTACGTGGTGAATGGTCACATTTTCCAGTGGCACTATTACAACTCACAATATCACATTTGTTATTTGGTGTGCATGTGACTGGTGTATGAGTACAGAAATTCTTCCAATTTCCATTGGCCAAACTAGCATTATTCAATTGTGTTGGACAAGCATCAATTGTACAAGCATTACCTTTTTTATAATTTAATTAATACAGAAATTCAACTTGTTATTTATAATATTTGATACATACCATCATTACAATCAACTTTATCATTACAACAAGCACCTGAACCTTGGCAAACTCCACAATAATCGGTGTAAGAACAAATCAAATCCAAACCGGTGGTGATGGTAATCTCGGAAGCAATTGTGTGTCTTTCACAGTAGAAAAAGTCAAATTGACAGAAATCACCGGCTTTTATTCCAATGGAGGAAAAGTCCAAAGTGTAGTTGGCCATCTCGTGAATTCCTCCCAAATCTACTTGCAACTTGTTGTTAATATACAACCAGACATCGTCGTCACCAGCAAAAACAAAAGTTTCGGAACCCTTGAAATGGAAGGAAGCAGACAAATGTAGACAGAAATGGAAGTTTTGATAACTGACACTGTCATTATAGAGTCTATAGACATTGGATCCATCTGCGTTCTTTATGGCATCCCAACCTTTGTTGTTGATCGGGAAGAAATGCTCATTGATAAGATAATATTTACTTTGGTCACTAGTGTTTTGGCTGAACACCAAATCTAGATTCAAAGGAATATTTACACCCGGTACACTGTGGAACCACTGAGAATAGGTCGAGGCATTGGTGATGGCACCAGCACCATTAGCACCAATGAATTCTGGCAGTCCATTTGCATTAAGAGTTTGAGTTACCAATCCCGGTGTAACAACACCATGTTCAATTGGCGCCTCGAAATCTGGATTCAACCATGGATGATGATCATATATAGTAACTGTATATGTTTTAGAACTTGGTTGAGTTTGACCTAAAATTAAAATTAATTATTAGAAACTTTTTTGAAATTTCACCATTTTATTATTTATTCATCATTTATTTACAATTTATTTTAACAACTAAAAGTAATAATAATAAAAATAAATTATTTATATGTATATATTTCATTGTAAAATGTTAAATAAATAAAAGTTAAAATAAATAAAAAGTTTAAATTAATAAAAAGTTAAAATAAATAAATATTGAAAGATATAAAAAAATAAAGATTAGAAAACAAACAATGTTATTGAATTGATTAAACAAATTAACTTGATAAATATATATGTTAAAAACACCTATTTAAATTTTCTTGAATATAAATATTATAATATTATATTTGTTTGGTTTTATTTATATTAAATGTGTTTAAAAACATTGAGCAGGATCAAATTGTGATTCCAAGTTAGTTGATCAATTTGGCTAGGTTGTGTGGGTATTTATGTCAGAATCATCACAATCACCTATTGATCAAACTAACAACTCTTCAGTTTGGTTCCTATATTTAATAATTATTTATACTTCTAATTGTACGAATAAACTCACTCCCAACACACATCATAGTTTACCACTAAACAAAAAAATATAATATTTAAACTTTTAACTTTCAAGTGGAATGAGGTTAAGTTAGAGAATTGGGGGATGGAGTGTGTTGATCATCAAACACAATCTATTACAAAACCAAAAAAAAAAAAAAAAAGTAAAAAAATATGAATCACATATGTGTGTGAATGTATCATTTACTTTTATTTATTTGATTTACACTGAAGTTGTTTGTTTTTCTTTCTTTCTTTGGGGGAATTAAATCAAATTCAAATTCAACCACCATTTTTGTTTTTATAATTGCTCCCTACATTGACTGTATCATTTTATTTAAACATCTTGTATTAAAAAACAATAGAATAACAACATTGTTATAACACTGGAATGATTAAAATTGGATCGAGATTATATTATATTATATATCAGTGTGTGTGTAGAAAAGATTGATACACTAACATCACTAAGATAGGTAAATGTGAAAGTAATAAAAATAGGATCTAGTTAAAACAACAAATCCACCACACAAACACAATCACACAAACAGACTGGTTTTCTATATGATATACTATACAATTTCACCACTTTTTTATTTGTTTAACTTTTTTAAGTGTTGCCATTTTTACTACTATTGCTATTGTTATTGTAATTGTTGTTATTATTATTATTATTATTATTATTGTTGTTGTTGTTGTTAAACCATATATCTACCAATGAATCGAAATCTTTAATCAACTCTTTAACATCTTTAATTGAAAGATCCTCTGGTTTACTCTTATAATACTTCCATTGCTTCTTTTTGATTTCGAAAATGGTTGTACTGTTTGGTTCACCTATATTTTCAATAACAGGAACTACCACTTTATCTTGATTATTATTATTATTATTACTATTGTTGCTGTTATTATTATTATCTTTTTGTTTCAAACTATCGATGATATTGTTATTATCTATTTTTATGGGAGTGTGGTTAACATTGTTCACAGAATTGTCCTTATTTTCATTGTTAACTTTATCATTTGATTCGACATTCTCTACGTTTTGAGTACTATCGGTGGTGGTGGTGGTTTCTTCGCTATTGGCAATCTTGTTGGTGTTTGCTTCATTGTTGGTGTCTGTCTTTGTCAATTGATCGACCGTCATATTCTGAATAAAAGTAGCAGCAGTAATCAAAGTAACCAAATAGTAGTTTGTCTCTGGTTCAATTAAATTTGGATCTCTAAACAAAGTAATAAACTGTACATTCGATAACAAAAATGGTAGATTTGATTTAATTAACACCTATATAAATACACATATTAATAATATTGTTAATAATAATAATAATAATCAAATAAAAACAAAATGATTATGTATGTATACATACATAAATAACAATTGGTAAAAGTAAATCAGCACCGATTGGTGGTTTACTCTTATCTTGTGTCAATAGCTTAAAGAGAATGGTGAAACTCTTGCGTAGTGAATTCAATTTCTCTCTTGGTGTTTTACAGCTGGTCATGTGTAGCAGCTGCTCTTGTATTTGTTCGAGCTGCTGGTTCGATATCATGCTGTTGTCAAAGTCTAGATTCGATGGCGTGATGAATTGAAAGGTGGAGATGTGTTCGCAGAGACGTGTATCCATCTCGATGTTTGAGCGCAACGAGAAGATACGACGATACAACCTAGTAGTGATATACTGTTCGAGATACTCATAGATTACAACTTCAATCTGCTGACTTGAAAGCTCCTTAAACGCCGACAGCTTTGGACTGCTCGAAGTGATAGTAGACGACTGTGACTTGAATGATACACCAGCACAAGCATGCAATAGCATCGGCAGTGCAGTAGCGATAAACGACATTGTTGAAGTTGAGATATCACTTGTTGATAGCATTTGTTTGTTTTCAGATTGTTGTTGTTGTTGTTGATTGTTGTCTGCATTGTCATTATCATTGCTATTGTTAGTCTCAGTGTTTTGTTGATTGTCAGCTTCACCAACGGATGACTCATGAATAGAATCTATAAAACTGTCTATGGTGGAAATCAGGTGACTGTGTTGTGGTAGTGAAAGTCTGTCTTTGATCTCAGCGAAGCATGCTTCAAGGTTGGTAATGGTCTTGGTGATGTGTGCGTCTAACGGTTGTCCATTTCCGACTACTCCGCCATTGGCTGTTGCAGTTCCACCGGCAGCGCCACTGCTGTTGGTCGTTGTTCGATTGTATGATATTGGAAATGGAATACTACTGGAGACGTATGACAGTAAAGTGATGGGTGACAATGAGGTCAACATCGACGGTGTCGAAGGTAGATTATTGGTGATCAACGATATTGAATTCTTTATTCCCGAGAGTAATCCACTCGATTCTTTACTATCCTTAGATGACACTGTGCTAGTGGTTGCATTATTATAATAACTCGATAAAAAGGATGATAACGATGATCTAAATGTATAACTTTCTTTCTTCTCTTTACTATTTATATCTGTTTTATTACTATTACTACTATCTTTTTTACTTTTATTATCAATTTGCTCTTTTGTATTACTTTCAACAATAATTGTATCTTTGATTTCTTTATCTTTTTCTTTTTCCTTTTCCTTTTCTTTTTCCTTTTCTAGATCATTATCATTTTCATTTATATTATTATTCATATTATTAGTATTACTTATAATACTATTATCAATCATTATGTTTTTGTTTTAGTTTTATATAACTATAGTTTTTAAAAGAATATAATGAATTAATATATATTAATTTTTCATACAAATATATTACAATAAAAAAAATTGTAATTTAATTATGCTGTGGTTGTGCTAAAAAACAATGAAATATGGTTGATTTTCAGAAGTTCATATCTCACACATTACCTAATTATTATGAAAAATCAACAAAAATTAAAAAAATAGAAATTAATGACAGCATGCTTATTAGTTTTTTTTTGACCCAACCATTTATATTTATAAATAATAGATTATAAAAACGACAAACAACAACAATAATTTGTAATCAATATTTAACAATTAATTAATTAATTAAGTAGTAATAATAATAGATAATTATAATATAAATATATATTTTTATTATTTTTAAATAATCAAATAAATAATCAAATAAATATATATAGCAGGGTGTAAATCACAGAATTAACACGATCGCATCAACAGATGAATTCAAATTTAATCAAGAGAGTGATCGCCAATGAAGTAATTGGAGCATCTCCGATCACTAATCAATTGGTGATGGCTATCGGTCATTCACTAAAGAGACCACTGGTCCTTTCATCGGCCAGCAATCGTAACATAAACAATAGAGTAAACTTTAAATTTACTAAACCAACAGACACAACAATCAGTAATACCATTAAATCATATTCATCACAATCATCAACATCACAATCACATTCAATGTTCAGTTCATTGATATACCAACCATATAAATGTATGTTTATTATAACTTCAAAAAAAAAAAAACAATAATTAACAACACATTTCATTCATTTAATCATTTTAATGATTAAATAATCAAATATGTTGAAAATAATAATCAAAATTCCTAATATCAATCAAATTATCTATCTATTACACAGCCTCAAACAATAGTATCTACAATATTGCTGCAGACAATTCAAATAATTTTTGTAAGTCATCAAAAAAAAAAAAATTGTTTTTTTTTGAACGAGGTTTTTAGGATTTTGAAATTTCCTGATGATCATTTTCGAAAAAAAAATTAAATTTAATTTTCAAGCAGACAAAAAAAACGTTCGAAAAATTAATTATAAAATTTGGATATTAATCAACATCAATTGATCTTTAGCATTGGGATTAAGATATTATAGTAATATACAAAAGGAAACAACAGATGTATCAACAAGCAATAATACTACAACTACAACACCAACACCAGCACCACCAACACCACCAAAAGAAACATTTAAAGAGAAATTGAAAAAGATTGCTAAACATTATTGGTTAGGTACTAAATTGCTTGGTAAGAATATCAAGTTGACTGTCCAGTTGATTAAGAGACTCAGTAAGGGACACAGTCTGTCTCGTCGTGAGCGTAGTCTTTTGGTTCAGACATCGGCCGATATCATTCGTTTGGTGCCATTCATCATTATTATGGTTGTGCCATTCCTCGAGTTTGCACTACCAGTGTTGTTAAAGTTGTTCCCCAATCTCTTGCCATCGACCTACGAGTGGAAGAACGAGCAAGAGGAGCACAAGACCAATAAATTGAAGGGTAATATCACAATGGCTAAATTCCTTCAGGACACTCTCGAGGACATCAGTGTAGAGTTGAAGAGCAACAACATCGTCAAGTCCAAAGAGTTCCACGACTTTATGATGAAGGTAAAGAGCGGTGAGCCAGTCTCTAGCAATGAGATTCTCACTTTTTCACAGTTATTCCGTGACGAAATCACTATGGAGAAGATCTCCAGACCACAGCTCTTGGCTATGCACAAGTACTTGGCTGGTGGTAGCTTCGTCGCCAAGTGGTACTCCAACGACTACCTGAAGCAACAGATCAGCAAGAAACTAAAGAAGATCAAACAGGACGATATTTTGATCAAGAAGGAAGGTTTGGATGCTTTGACCCTCGAGGAATTGGTCGACGCTGCATTGGTGCGTGGATTCAAGGTCGAAGGTTACACCCGTAAGCAAATCGAACATCAACTCGAACAATGGTTGGATCTCTCACTGAACAAGTCAGTGCCAAGCTCATTGCTGATTCTAAGCAGAGCTTTCACCTTGACTTCCTCCACCACTGTTGCCGAGGCACTCGAAGACACCCTCGAGCACATCCCACAGGAAGCACTCGATGAAGTCGTCAAGAAGCTCCCAGTCGGTGGTGTATTCGAAGAGGGTAGCGTTGAGCGTGCCGAAGAGAAGCTTGAGGAGCTCTCGAAGGAGGCCGAGCAACTCGAGAAGGAAAATCAAGCCGATTTGGTTGAGGGTGCCGAATCCACTGCCAAAGAGACTGAAGACGTCAAGCAACAGTTGCAATCCGCTGAACAACTCAAGGAGCAAGTCGCTGGTACTGAGGCTCCACAAATATTGGACGGTCAACTGAAAGAGTTGGTCGACAAGATCGATGACAACATCAAGGAGATTGTAAACATCGAACAAACCACCCCACTCACCAACGCAGAGAAAGCCGCCAAGAAAGCTGAACAATCACTTTCAGACGATGATGAAACCGAAATTCATAAACAACAACCACAACCAAACGAACAAGTACAACAACAACAACAGCAAACTTCCAAAATTTAATAAATAAACTTAATACAAATAGTATTTATATTTATTGAAAAAATAATTAGATATGAATAAAAATGTTTTGTTTTTTTTTTTTATTCTTCCAACTCTTTAATTACACTATTAAGAGTTTCAATATCTTTAAGTTTATCGGTATATTCTTTTTGGAGTTTGTCGATGATCTTTTGTTGTCTTTCTTTCAAAATCTTATTGGGTAGCGATGCAAAGTTGGCTTGTAAATCGTCGACCTTCTTCTTGAGAGAGTCTGCTTCTTGTTGAACTTTTCTGAGTGTTGAACGAACCTGTAACAGCTCGTTGGTGTTTGACGATGCACTTGGTGGTACAATTGATTCCATTGGCTGAGAGTTGGTCGGTGATGCAACCATTTCGCTGGACATTGTCATTGAGGTTGGTGGTGTCTTTGGATATGGTGGAATTTGTGGTGATTGCACAGGTGGTGTAGACGGTAGTGGACTTGCAATATTGGTGAATTGTGATGGTGTCTTTGGTGTTTGTGGTAGTTGTGGTGGTGATTCAACTTTAATAGGTGGTTGTGTTGGTGATCCAATATTTGCGATTGGTGTCGATGGATTTGTAATTGTAGGTGGATTTGATGTAGAAGTAGTAGTAGTAGTGGTAGTAGTTGTTGTGGGAGTAGTACTACTAGATATATTTGAAGTTGGTGTATTATTATTGTTATTACTATTATTATTATTATTATTATCATTATTATTATTTTGGAATGGAGAAGTTGGGGAGAATGACTCTGTTTCCAAACCTTCTTTCTCTCTTCTCTTCTTTCTTCTATGTTCATCGTCTCTATTTCCATCTTTATGTTCACCACCACTATGACGATGTTCTCTATCTCTTTCTCTATCTCTATCTCTATCTCTGTCTCTATCACCTCTATTTTCTCTATCCCTATCACCTCTATCACCTCTATCTCTTTCTCTATCTCTGTCTCTATGTTCACCGCCATGACGATGCTCTCTATCTTTATGTTCACCACCGGTACGATGTTCTCTGTCTTTTTTGTGATGGTGATGATGTGACGAAGAGGAGGAATTCCTTGAGGTGGGTGAGAGATCATCAAATCTTTCTTTTCTCTTTCTCTTTTTGTCATCGTTATCCGGTGAGTTGATTGAGATATCTCTAGGTGACAATGCAGATTTCCTCTCTTCTGGCACTCTGAATCCATCGTTGAATTCATTGTCATCGTTGTGCAATCCAATCGGTAGCTTAATCTTCAAGTCACCCGGACTCTGTTTGTTGTAGTTGTTAAAGTTATATACATGGGTTCTCTCCTTGCCTTTGTCACATCTCGGTTTTCTTTCCTTCTTCTCGGTGCCATACGGTGATAGTCCACTATCCAAGAGATTCGATGATGATATACTATTACGATTGCTGACATTGTTGTTGGATTGTGGTGATGGCACTGATTGTTGTAGCTGTTGCTGTTGTGGTTGTTGACTTCTTTTACCTGGTGGAAGAGGTCTGTCTTCATTCATCATATTGATATCTTCATCACCGAATCTTCCGACATGTCTATTGAACGATCGATTCGATGTCTTTATCTTTATAGTCATCATATCGTGTAATGGGTTGTTTTCACTATCACTAGGCATGTTATCATCGTCGTCAGAGTCCTCATCCAGCGTTACTTGATCGTCAGCTCGTTCCTCGAAAATAATAGGTTCCGTCGAATTCGTTGCATTGGCAAACAATTCACTTCCATAACGTTCAGTCAGCTCCTCCATTGTAACAAACTCAACTTCCTCCTGTTCAATATATCCCGGTTTAATAATCCTTACCAACTCTTCTTCAATCTTTGCAATCTCTGTTACTTTCTAAATAACACAAACACAACAACAACAATAGTATTAGTGATCTCTAATTCTAATGTAATCTAAAAATTAACAGCTTACATCTTTTGATAACTCTCTATGTCTTTTCTTTGTGATTTCTTTTGTGGGCGGTGTGATTCCACTTGTTGATTTATAATCGGATGGTATTTCATTCTGATTGTTGCTGTCTGATTGCGGTGTTTCATAGACTTCTATCATTTGACCGATGTCAGCGGTCTTGTAGTAAGTTGTTTTATCTAGTGTTTTGTGTGATTCTAATATACAGGGTAGATCGAATAGCGATGCATCAAACTCTTGATCACCGATCTTGAAAACCATTGCACGATCACTCTTGAATTGAACGTCGATCGGTGCATCAAAGTGTTTCTGTTTGATCATACGTCTCACTCGATCGGCGACATTCAACGGTAACCTAAGAATCAATTGATCCTCACAATCCAACGGTCTACCGAATCCATTTAACTGATTTGCATTCTGTTGTTGTTGTTGTTGGTGTTGTTGGTGTTGTTGTTGTTGAAATTGTGGTGATTGTTGATTATAGAAATTCTGTTGTTGATATTGATAATGATTACCACTACTACTATTGTGATGATGACTATTATTATAATAAGGTGGAGTATTCATATCATTAGCTAACTAACATATATATATTATTATAGATATGATATGATATGATATGATGTGTGTTGTTGTTGTTGTTGTGTAACGTATTTGTAAAAAAGATCTAGAATGCTTTTTTTATTTATATTTTTAAAATATTTTTTGAAATTCCCAGATGAAATTTTAAATTAATGTTTTGTTTTTTTTTTTTTTTTTTTTGCAAAAAAAAACGTTAAGCATTTTAGGCATTTTTAATAACTGTAATTTACTTAATAAATTATTTCAATTTTTTTTATTATCATTTATAATTATAGTAATATATTAGAAAAGCAAATATTTATTAAATAGTAATATTGTTGTTGTTTTATAAAAAATAAGCAAAGATATATATATTAACTTTAATATTAAAGAAGCAAATATAAAAATGTCAGTTCACCAATCTTCAAATGAAATTTTAATGGTACAAAACACGCATTTCGAATTGAATGTACAAACTATAAATGATAATTTCTTTCAAACCGTACCAAAAGACCCAACTGAAGTACCAAAGATTGTATGTATTCGTTTGATCAAGTCAGTCAATCTCTTATGAAAACAAATTAATTTTTAATTAAAATCATGATCTAGGCATTGGAAGAATTCAATAGTTATTATAATGCATTGGTTGAGAAAGGTGTAAAAGTAACACTTTTCAAACCAGAGGATAACTTGGATACACCGGATTGCATTTTCCCAAACAATTGGTTTTCAACACATCAACCATCGGAATCAAAGAATGGCAGTGACAACACATTGGTTCTCTATCCAATGTTGCATTTGAATCGTCGTCTCGAGAGACGTGAGAACATCATCAGATTCTTGATGTCGAGAAAGGACAATGTAAAGTTGATCGATCTCTCATTGTCAGAGGCCGACAATATCTTCTTGGAGGGTACCGGATCGTTGGTCATCGATCGTGTCAACAAGGTCGCCTACATGTGCGTATCACAGCGTAGTCACAAGCCATTGGCTATGGAGTGGGCCGAAGAGTTGGGATACAAGCTGATCACTTTCACCGCCACCGACTCGATCGGTAAGATCATCTATCACACCAACGTAATGATGGCAATCTGTTCGGGTGTCGCCATTTGTTGTATCGATACAGTTGAGGATGCTGTTGAAAAACAAGAGTATGTTGTTTATAAATTTATAGCATATATTTATAACTTAAACTTAACCAACCTCTTTATTAATAATATTTGTTTAACTTGATAGATTAATTCAAGCATTATCTAAACATCATAAATTGATTACTATTAACAAGAAACAAGTTGAAGCATTCTGTGGAAACGTTATTGAAGTAAGAGGATCCGAAGATAAAAAGTATTTGGTCGCTTCGCAGACTGCCTACGATGCATTCACCGAAGAACAAAGAACAGTCATTCTTCAACATGTCGATGGCTTCATCTCAAAGCCAATTCCAACCATTCAAACCGTTGGTGGTGGTGGTATCAGATGTATGATTGCTGAATTGTTTTAATATCATAAAATAATAATAATAATAATAAAAACTTATTTATCTTTTTAATCTTGTTTTTTTTTTAAATTTATCTTGTTTTTTGTTTTTTATTACTTTTTGTTTATTTATTTATTTGATATATTTAATTAATATCGAAATGATTACATCGGTATGAGGATTATCAGTCAATCCAATTTGAGCCAATGTAGGTTCGAATGGCATTAAAGCGGGAAGATTAAGTGGTTCTTTTGAGACTTGTGAGAGGAATGCAGCAGCTTTCTTACCCATCTCCATATTATGATCTCCTGTTTTATAGGCAAGTAAATTACATAAATGTCTAAGTAATCCTGGACAATGACAAATCATAATTCTTTATTTGATAAAAACAAAGTAAGTTAGTTTTAACTAATATCAATAAAAGTTAGAGTGCTAAAGATATTCTTACCTTGATTTTTGTGATATTTTGATTAGATTGCATAGAATATTCAATGAAAGTAGTTGTATATCATTTGCATAGTGACCAAGTAGTTCAATTAATCTTTCAACCATTGTTCTCTTTTCAAATGTTACTTGTTGTTTAAGTTGTAATGTTGTTGTTGTTGTTGTTACAATTGGTGTGTTATTACTATTGTTGTTGCTATCTAAAGACATCATTTCACCTGATGTCTGACTGGTGTTAATACTTTGTGAATCTGTATGTGTGGAAGAAGATGTTGAGATAGAAGATGTAGATGGTGATGATGTTGTAGCGATAGTTGTTGTTGTTGTTGGTTGTTGTTCTAAAGATGATGATGGTGATGATGATGATGCTGTAGTTGTAGTTGTAACAGTCTCAAACAAAGGCTCGTAAATCGGTTTCAATAGTATCAAATCGACTTGTTCTCTTGTGGCTTTGGATCTGGTGATGATATCCAATGTCTCCATGGCAGCTAGCAACGCCTCGTCGTTGTCATAGACAAACAAAGCCATCTCTAGAGTCTCGAGAATCTTTTTCGATAGACCTGGAGGTGTAGTCTTTAACATCGACAGCTGAGCACCGTTGAATGTTAGATGATTCAAGTCGTTATCGGTAATGGTTGCACCGCTGCTGCTACGCACCGACTCCTCAGTACGCAACGGTAGTTTCTTGGCAATCTTTGAAATGATCTCAAGAATGTATCTAGTTGTATTACTAACTACACCTTCCTTCTGTTTCTGCTTCTCTTTTTGCTTGTCATCATCGCTGTTCTCCAACAAACTACTTCTAAACTTGAAATGATTGTAGAGTATCTCCACTAGGAATGTAATGGCAGTGGCGTGTTGTGCGATAATCTGGTCGTTCGGTTGAACCAAAATCGAGTTTCTAAGAATCGCCACAACCTTACCGATGATCTCTTCATTGTCAGAGATCTTCATTATATATTCTGTTGTTGTTGTTGTTGGTTCCATTGTAACATCATTATCATTATTGTTTGTTGTATCTTCTTTCTTTTCGAATTTAACAACGGATTCAATGATTGCATCCAATAATGTAGATGATGGATGACCAGCAGCGATATCAACTACTTTCAAAGGTGGTGTAAAAGTTAACTTTTCTTGGTAGGAACGTGAGAGTAGTGCATTCAATGCGAAATGAATCGACGATTCCAAACCAGAATTCAAATAGGCAATCAATCTCTGTGTTGTTGAATCTTCAACTAATTTTTTATTAAGACGTGTAGAATAACATGGTATATCTGTTCTACTAAAGTCTATATATATTTAACATACAAATAAAAAAAAAAAAGTTATATTTAATTCAGTTAATTAATTATATATATCGATTATTTAAATATTTAACATACAATTATAATTTGGTTGAATTTGCTGTGAAGCCTGTATAAATGGTACTGACATTCTACCTATATTCATTATTATTATTATTATTAATATTGGATTTAAAGATAGACAGATGATATGTATATAAATAGATAGGTAAAAATATCTTATTGTGAATTGAATAGTGTGTCTGTAACTAATTGATATTAATATGAAATCTAAAAATGGAAATTGTAATTAATGTGTTTCGCTAATAGGGGAGTGAAATCATCATCCAACAATGAAATTATGTGAATTTATTTAAATTTTTTTGTCTGAGCAAAAAACTAACCGTTGTAAAAAAACAAAAAACAAAAAAAAAACAAAAAAATCTATTATTTATTTGATTATTTATTTATTTATTTATTTATTTATATTATTTATTATATTATGTTCACTTATTACTAATTACTGATTACTACAAAAATTATATTATTAAAAAAGAAAATCTATTTATTTCTATATCTAATAAAATTTAAAATCATGGGAAATGTTTTAGATAAAGCAAAAGATGCAGGTGAACCAACTAATCATGGTATGTATTTTGTTTAACATCATATTACTATACTAGTAACTGTGATAATAATAATTATTATTATGTTATCACTATTTAGATGCATTTGTATTTTGGTATAACTTAAAAGAAAAGTATGAACATTCAGAGACATTGTTGGATCATTTTCAACCTTTTATGGTAGATCATCAATATACAGAGCAAGAGGATAATGATGGAGGAGGAGGTGGTGGTGGTGGTGGAACTACAAATCTACCAATAACAACGACGACAACTGTAAATACTACAAATACTACACAAAACAATAATAGTCAACATCAACATCATCACACTAGGAATGGAAGTGGTGGAGAAGGTGGAACTGCAAATGGAGGTGTGATTGCTGGTCGTCCTACGAGTGGATCAATGAGTGAAGACTCCTATGTGATGTTGGGAACGGTGAAAGGCGATGCTCGTTGTCCATCGCCGACATCGTCATCGATTATCTCCACCACGCCAAAGAGTGAACAACTGAATCGCAACCTCCTGCAAACGATCAATTGCAAACTCCAGTTGATTCCACCCGAGTTGAATCACTTCACTCTGAACTTGGACAATCATTATCTCACCGAGAAGATGGTGCTCTCGATATGCGCCACCATCATATCGAACAACGAGAACTACCACAATCGCCACTTGACGACCACTCACAAGGAGACACCGATCAACACGATGCGTAAGAAGAAGCTGCAATCGGAGTATCAGGAGATGATCTCGCAGTACTACTTTAACGTCACCAAACTCTCGCTGAAGCGGACGGCACTGTCGCCACGCAGTCTCGAAGCGCTGGCACAGTCGCTGCGCAACAACCACTCGCTGCTCGAGCTCGATCTCGGTGGCAACGAGCTGATGTCCACCGGCATTGCGCTGCTCACCAGTGGACTCCGCTCGAACCACTCTATCACACGCCTGAATCTGAGTGATGTTCGTGCCTACGACGAAGGTGCATTCATGATTGCAGCGTTCCTCATGACCACCAAATCACTGAGAACCATTGATCTCTCCACCAATCACATCACAGACAAAGGCTACGAAGCACTCAGACAAGCTGCACTCAGAAATACCTCTGTAACATCCATTTATTTATCCGATAATAGTATAGGTAATTAATTATTAATTTTGACCACACAAAAAAAAAGACATCTTTTTTTACTGACCTAGACCTCCCTAAACCCTATTTTCGGAATTAAAATTTTTTTTTTTTTTCAAAATCCAAATTTGGTAATTTTTTCAAATATCCCCAGATGCAGCAAAATTATATTCGTTATCAAATATTTTAAAGAGAAATACAAGTATTCAATATGTTATGGATTCAATATTCGATCGTTTGACATTAAGTAGAAAGTTTAAAAACAAATTGCAAAGTTTTAAAAAAGGTGTCATGCAAGTCCGTTCCAATAGTACTTTAAATTTCAATGCTGATCAAGATGATAAAACTCCATTGTTTAGAGTATGTTAACAAAAAAAAAAAAAAAAAAAAAAAAACATATTGAAACAAAATTTTATTAATTTTTTTTTTCCTCTTTTAGTTGATGGGTAAACAAAATCAACAAATACCAGTTCCAGAACAAATGCCAAGCAATAGGTATATTGTCGGTAAGAGTGAAACGATTGGAAAGAGATCTTCAATGGAAGATAGAATGGTTGCTTATGGTAGATTCGGTAATGTCGATGATTGTGAATTGTATTCGATTTTCGATGGACATGGTGGAAAGGCTGCCTCTGACTATGCTGCTGACAATATTTATAGAATTTTCTCTGATTTCCTTGCACAGACGAACCAGCCAGATGAAGCATTCAAACAGTCTTATCAAGCGATACATGCACATATTTCACCGTGGCCGTTCATCGGTACCACTGCAGCCTCTGTATATATTAAAGATAGTTTGGCTACGATTGCCAATGTCGGTGACTCACGTGTTGTTCTCGGATACATCAATGAGCACAATCAATTCGCTGCGGAACGACTTACTTTTGACCATCGTCCTGTTGAAGACACCGAGAGACAGAGAATTATCAATGCCGGTGGTTCCGTTCTTAATGGTAGAGTCAATGGAATGCTGGCAGTATCAAGAGCTCTTGGTGATTCTTTTCTAACTCCATATGTAACGCCCGATCCATATATAAGTCATCTTACAATCAGTGAAAAGTGTAAATTTTTAATTTTGGCATGCGATGGTGTTTGGGATCTGGTATGTTTAATACTATTATTCATAAATAATTATTTTGGAAACTAACTATTTATTTTTATTTATATTTAATTTTTATTTTCAAAGATTTCTGATGAAGAAGCAGTCAAAGTAATATCATCTATACCTGACCCAGCAAAATCAAGTGAAACTCTCAGAGATCTAGCTTTTGCACAAGGTAGTACAGATAATATTAGTGTAATGATTGTAAAGTTAAATGAATATTAGTAAACAAAAATAGATAATAAATTTAATATTTCAAAATCAAATTAGTTTACTAATAGATAAAATGACTAGCTACGCTACATTTATGATTGACAATTCACTTTTTAAAAATTAAAGATTTTATTTTATTTATAGAGATTAATGATTGCTAGGAAAAATTAGTGAATGATAATTAGAAGTTAATACTATCAGAGATCCATTTACCAGTAGAATACAATAGTTTTTTTGAGTTTTCTTTACCTCTCTGCTTGACTTCTTCAAACTTTTTAATACAATGAGTTTCGTCAGTATCAGTATCGTTGACAGCCCGAAGGAATAGTTTTAATTCTGACAATATTTTATCAATATTGTCAGATTTCTCCTGATCTTTAGACTAGTTTGCAATATCTTGGATAGATGCCTAGTATCTAATAGTTGATGTTAAAATCATATTAATGTCACCCAATGCTGACAGATTTTTGAACTTGTCCTTAATTGGCTAAACTCCATTAGTCGATTTTATATTTCTCATTTATATGTAAATTTAGTTAGATAATCAAACTCAACTTATTATTCTTTAAAGAAGTCAAAAAGAGGGTGGAAAAAAAATTCAAATAGAAATAGTTTATTCATAGATCGAATAAATGATTTACTACAATCTTGATCTTCAAATTTTAAGAATTCCTTTGTGTTTTATAGAACAATGCAAGTGATTTGAAACTATTCCTGAAAGTTCAGAGTATAAAATTAAACTCATATTTATTATTTAATAAATTGAGACCAAAAAAAAAATAAGTAGCAATTGATTTGTTTATCTCTGTTCAATTTTTTCCAGATTTTGATGAATTCGCTTGATTAAATGATTACTAATGATTTTTTCAGTTTTATTATTACATTTCAATACCGTTGTCATAGTATTGGAATACATCATAAAAGTATGTTGAGAAGGTGCTGAGTCTTGAGAATGAGTCAACAACAACCTTGCTCATATATTTAGCGGCGTAGGTGTCGCTCTTTCCTGGGCAGAATCTTTGTTTGAGGTGTAGGAGTGTTTGTTCTTTGAAACATGGTAGCTTGGTGTCCAACATGAGTTCCACCAATGTGAGAATAGTCTCCATGTGTTGACGTGCAGCCAAGAATGCTCTTACAGATTGCTCCATAAACCATGTGAATTGCTCTGCGTTTGGCTTACCACCCATAATATCAATCATTTCTTGTGACATCTTGAATGGCGAGGCTTCGAAAGTGATCATATCACCACCTGGTGAAATATCGAAAATAAATCCGAAATCGATGTGAATGATATGACCTTCTTCGTCAACAAGGATGTTGGCGTTGTGACGATCTTTAATCTGAAGGATATAACTGACCACAGAGTAGGCAGCCATACTCTTGATAAAGTTTCTTCTGGCATTTTGGAAACCAATACTGTTCTTGGCACCATAACGTGAGATAAAGTAGTTGTAGAGCGAACCATTCACCTTTTTACCGATTTGATCACGCGACATTGTGTTTGGACAGAGTTCAATCATACCGCAACCGGGCTTGGTAGCGATTACCTTGTATGGGAAGAGGAAGAGATCGAGACCTGCACTCTTAAAGATACGTTTGAAGAGATCGATCACCTGGAGTGCCAACATATCTTGACGAATGTCATCACCAGACTTGAAGATACAACCTTGGATAGTGACCTGGTTCGATGGCTTCTCTTCTTGTTCCTGGATAACCTTTCTCGACGACTGCTTCTGCAGACGGTTCGAAGAGGATCGCATTATCGAGGACGACAGGTTGCTCGAGGAAGCAGCAAGCGATGAGAATTGATTTTTCAACATCTCTGGTACCTTTGAGGTCGATGTACTCGAGACAAAGTTGGTGTTTGGTGGTGAGTTTGATGGTGATGGTGATTTTACATGCATGTGTGTTGGGTTGGCAGCTGGAATGACTCTCTCCTTGACCTTGAAGTTTACCAAGATCGGTACCTTGGCAGCCGATTGCAAAGTCATGGCAGTGTCGATTTCCAATCCCTCTACGATATTCTTTGGATTGGTTGGGAGATAGAGTGGATGATCTGGATCGTTGTTGTGATTGGTTTGGAGTGTCTTGAGTTCATCTTTGAGTTGACCTTTACGCTTGGTCGGATCCTTCAGTTGTAACAAACGACCACTGATTGCTGTGAACGATTCGAAATAACGGAATTCAGATTCATAGTTCTCCAAGGTGGATGGATCCATCTCTGAGATGATTCTCTCTTTCAAACGCTTGGCGACATCTTGGATCTGTGGATCGTCGATCATCTTTCCAGTGTTTGGATCGGCTTCAGTGTAGGTCTGTACGTTCCAAATGATCTGATGAGCAAGTAACTCACTTGTCTTTGATGCATTGACAAGATATTGCTCAACCAGTCCAGTTCGATCGTATCTCAATGCTTGAACCAACTGTGGGATATAAAACATGATGGTCTCTGGCGAGAAGTTTCTCAATACTCTACAGGCATACTGTGAAACGAGTGGATGAGAGTGGTATGAACGACCGAGAAGTGCAATGGCTGCGGGTGGTGTGACTGTCTCCCAGTAGAGCAGATACTTGAGTTCTGGAATGTTTGCCTTGACATTCTCTTCGGTGACCAACAATGGAAGTGCCTCTGGAATGTTTAGAACAGACTTGGTGTTCTTGACAACCATCTCACTGAGAATACGACGAATCTTGTTCTGTGGGAATCTGCTATTGAACTGAATAGCTAAACGTGGATTGATTCTCCAAGCCGATACCAAATACTCTTTCCAAGTGGATTTGATAGATTTTGGCAAATTGTCGTAGGAGAACTTCAATTGCTCTGGGATCTGGAGTGAGATACGGTTGATTGGATTGTTCCAAGCAGACATACGCTCCAACTCATTTCCAACGAGCAGGAGAATGAGATTTCTCTGCTTTCTTAGATCTTCAATGACAATGTCGTTCGACCATGGTTTGTCTGCTTTCATTGAGTCAATCAATGACTGCGAGAGATGATAGGAGTTGGCACTGCTCATCGTACCGATTCCACTACCAATGACATCCATACGAACAGAGAGCAATTCATTTTGAGAGTATGTTCCGCCAAGTCCGTTGGTTCCATTGACAGAGATCGATCCGCTGTTCTGGCTGACGGTACCACCACTTACCGATTGGTTGATGACACCGTTCAACGCCTGTGGATTGATGATTCCAGAGGTAATACGATCGCTTCCACCACGGTGGTGACGCACTGAGTTGAATCCAAGAGTACTATTGGTTCCGGTTGGAGTTGAGGTACCGACTCCACCTGCACCACTGACTCCACCAACTCCGCTGATAGAGTTGACCGAATAGGTGGCAGAACTGCTTGTTGGCACAGTTGTATTTGAACGATCACGGAAGTTGATAGTGAAACGCTTGTCGAGGTGAGCAAACAATGGCTCATGTTGAAGTGCTTTACAGAAATCAATAAGAGTCTTGGTGTCGGTGTTGAGTTCTCCACTGGACTCGTTCAATCCATACCAAATAGGTGGCATATAGAACCACGATAGTGCAGCAAGATAGACACGTTTACGTAGCAGCATTGCAGAGCTGGCATCGGAAATGTGATCTCCTTGTACAAACTTCATGCATAGCAATAGGAGTGAGAATCTGGTTCCCAGTGACTTTGGAGAAACACTCAACATTAGTGGATCAGAGAGTGCTTTCTGTAGCATCTGAGCAATGATATCGATTTGCTCTTTCGAACTGAAGCGGACAATGGAGAAACGCTCCTCCAAGAACTTTATCATGGTACGGTGTGGAATATGACTGTTCTTCTCGAGTTGTTTCTTTGCTTTTTGTGGGTTGGCGGTTGAGCTACCCATTTGACTGCTGCCCATAGTAGAATTGAGACCGGCAAATGATTGGTCCAATCCAGAGGTGGATGAAGTTGATGAGTTGACGTTGACTTGTGCGCTGCCAGGATTGCCGGTGGCGTCCGAACCGCTGCCAGTGTTGGAGATGGACAATGGCGATGGCTCACGCTCGGTATTGGAGAAGAGACCAATACGTTGGTTGACAGTCCACGACCAGATATCACTGATCGAAGTCATGATGAAACGTGTCAAGTCTGGACGTTCAGCGAGTAACCATTTCCAAGCGGTGATACCAACCTCCATTGATTCCGGTGTGAAGATTATGACTGGTGTATAGCATACCATGTGAATCAAACGAATCGATTGTCCAAAGTAACGATTGATCAGGAATGCACAGGAACGATACATGATCGAACTGAAAACACCAATGTTGATAGACTTTCCTTGTTTGTGATGTTCTCTTACTTTTTCTAAACTCCTCAATCAATCGGAGGAATGCAAGTTCCTCGACGATTCTCTCTGTTTCTTCGGCATCGCCACTGTTTTCATTCTCGTCCATCATCATCATGTTGATCATACCGTTGACCTCACCGGTGTATAGTGCTTTCAATTGGAGAGTACTGACAAAGGTAGCGGCATTACTATTGGCAATGGAAGGTGTGCTACTATTGGCGTTGGTTGAACCACTACTAATGAGACGTGTTGGTGTGGTCGGAGTGGAAACCGATCCGTTGTTAGAGGAAGATTGGATCGATCCAATCTCAACAGCCAGCGAGAAACCGATATGATTCTGTCCGATCTGACTGAACTTTTGCATGTACTCTTGGAGTTGCTCGGCAATTTCAGCTGGCGCAACGGCTGCACCATTCTTGAGCCATACATTTCCGAGCTCGATTACCTCTTGTAGCAAACGTTGACGTGAGGGTGTCTCGTCTGGCAGTTCGATTACTTCACCAGTGTTTGGCATGCGTGTTGAGATCATATCCATCGGTTTGGTACGAGCGGCCTGTCCAATGACATCGAGCAAGTCGAGAAGTGTCGAAAGACAATCTTTGTTCCAGAGAATCGAGGGGAACTTGGCAACGAGCGAAGATATCCATTCGTCGGCAGCTTTACGTACTGGCTCGTATGGATAGCAGAACTTGACCAGGAGGAAACGAGCATGAGTCGATAACTCACGCTCACAGATCGAAGGTGAGACGACAGAGTAGGTCATCAAGAACTCATTAAAAACACGGTCGGCAATACCACGAATACACGAAGTCACATTGATATTCTCAACACCTTGATCCTCGAGATACGAAAAGATAACGGTGAATGAGTGAGATTCATTGTATCGCATTGTCTCAAGAGTATGGACACAGTATACATAGGCAACCTGAGCGTTTGTCAGTTGTTTAATAAAGTGTGCATGTCCTGGCAGCAGTTCATTCAGGGTCTGACGAAGATTAACAAAGTACTCCTTGTCGAAACCTTGCTTGATGATCGAGTCCAACTCGATTTCCATCTCCAAATAGATAAAAGTCTTACTTGATATTAAAGGTGCCAAATGTGAGGCGATAACCTGCACGCTGTCACGCCAATCGCTACGCCATTGACCTGGAACACTAAACTTGAACAAAACACAATAGAACCAAACGGAACGGAATAACTTCATATTGGCATTGCCACTGTTCAATATACTCTTGTCGACATTGCTCGACGAACCATTCAAATTACCGAGTAAACTATTACTAGAGGTACTGACGGAATTTGCCAAGCTGTTGCTAAGACTTTGATTACTATTACTACCACTGCTGTTATTGCTATTGTAGTTGGTGATGATTGGTTGTTTCACTAGTTCAGCAATCGTTGGTAAGAGGAAACCCATACCCTTGAGAATTGGCGACGATATATTCTGTTCGAGATCATCCTTCTTGATGGCTTTACCCAGTTGTTGGAACAGGTTGAGCACACTCTTACACAGCTCTTGACGCTGCTCCTGATTGACCAGATCTTTGGCGAGTCGTTGCAGTGTGATCGGTGTGATATTTACAATGTTGACTTGGTTTGGATCCTTGTAGATCTTCTTGAAGAGCTTGGTAATCATTTGTACGATGTCCTTGATGATCGCTTCGTGACCGAGCAGAGCAATGTCGGTGAGCTGCTCCAAGATGAGATTGTCAATGTAGGCAGGTGGATAGGTGACACGCGATATAAACACCGGCAGCAACAGGTAGATGATGTTGATATCGTTGAGTGTGCATATCATTCGACCGAGACAAACGATGATATTGGAGAGCGAGTCGTTGTGGATTGCCAAGACGCTGGGTGAACGCGACAATCGGTTGTCAATGCCAGTGGTCGAGGTTGAGAGGCCCGAGCCGTTGGCGTAGTTGGCATGCAGAGTATTGACAAACGATGAGATTACACTACGCACCACATCCATTTGCTCGCGTTGCTGTTCGTTCTTGAGGATCTTGCAGATGCTGTCAAAGGCAACGGCTCGCACGGCATCGGAATGCTTAACTACCAGACTGTTTCCAATGATGAAATCCTTGAGAGAATCGATCACCTTGATCACCTTGTCCGGATACTTATCGGTGAGAGTCACCAACGATGTCAACATGGTGGCATACAACGACTCTGTGAATGGCCGTTGCATCGCACTGATAACTTCGCTATTCGAATAGCTCTTTGATTCGGCAATATATCGCAATATAAAATCAAACGCCAATGGACCAATCGAAGCATCATTAATAGCACATCTAACGATTACATTCTGTTATATATTTTATAGATATATAGAATATTAAGTTAATTAAATTATCATACGAGAAAATTAACAAACTTACAATAATAGATATAAAAGTTTCATTATCAATTAAATTTGATGATGAAGTATATGGTAATACAACATTATATAACTTTCTATAGATATCGGTACCGACTTGATCTTGTGGTAATCTAGTTATTTGTTCAAACGATCTAAATATAAGTAAGAATAACTAAAAATAGATTATTAAAAATTAGTATAACTATATATATATATGTTGATGAATATTGATAAGTGTTCCAAACAACTTACTCTCTTTTGATTAATCTTTTGTAATGAAGTGGAAGTTGATTTAGGTTGTTGCTGTAGTTGTGTAATTAGTGATTCGACTGTGGTTATTAATTTATCTAGTTCCTCTTGTAGATAGTTGAATCTATATTGATCGGAACCGAGTGCTTTTAATGTACCGTAGAGTAGTGGTGGATTGATAATGGTGTTGGTGGTTTGATTACTGCTACTGCTACTGCTACCATTACTGCTACTGTTGTTGCTGTTGCTATTGATCTGTGTCGATGAGACTATAGTATGGAGGAATTCGATGAACGATGGAACAATGATGTTACGTGCTTCCTGAGAGACATGAGACAACAGTGCCAACTGACCAACCAAGTAATAAGTAAAGTTAGTGGCGTGCTCGGCATCGGCAGGTGTACAATTGGTGAAATCAGTATAAGTCAAGTAAACGAGGAATGAAACCAACAGCGGTACAACTATCTTATCGTCATTCACAACATCGATAACTGCATTCGAACATTTATAGAGATGTGCTAAAGCAATTACAGATTCTTGTGATCTTATACTCTAATATATTGGTTGTAGTAATAGTAATAGTAGTTGTTTAGTATATTAGAATCTGATGATGATGATGATGATGATGATGATTATAACATAATGATTAAGTATACTTACAACTAATGAAGTTGATAATGTTGGATTGGAATTGATTATTGCCCTTAGGTTGGCATCGTTGTAGTGAGCGTCTTTGAATGAAGCATTGGGTAGCAGTGACAGACATGCATTAATGAGAATCTGCACACTCTCCTCAGGTATCTTTGGACTGAGGAAGCTGATTGTCTCTGCCAACTGTACTTTTGCTGAAAGACGGAACAATTCCGGTACGGTTTCATTCAACTTTTGAAACTCATTACTACTTAAATTTAATGATGATGACATATTGTCATAACTATTCTTTGTTAAATATAAACAGAAGATACAACTATTATATGTATATAATTATCTATATATATCAACTATATTACTTTTTAAAAAATATATATATAAATAAATATTAAAAGAAAAAAAAAAAACCGATAAGTTAAAACAACAAAAAAACAATTAACTTGTGATTGAGTAACTTAGACAGATAATTTTTTCAAAAAAAAATCCTCACTAAAGGTAGTTGAAAAAAAAAAAAAAAATAAATAAAACAAAATTAAAATGTGTGAGATCACGATGTTGTTTTTGTTTTTTTTTTTTTTTAGTTTTATTCCCGAATGGAGTCATATGACGATTTCACTTGATTTTAGATGTTTATTCAAAGAAATAATAATGATATTAAATAATAACAATAATAATATTTTAATACTACCAAAGATAATACAAAAATTAATATTATCATTAATATTTAATCATAGAAAATCATTGTTATCATTATCCAACTATATTGAATCATATGAATCCAGAAATAATTATTATACGCTATTCAATCATTTCAAAGAGGTTTCTTTTAGGAATGTATTGAGATATGCATTGGTCTGTAAAGATTGGTTTACTGTTGTATCGGGTCTTTGCAATAGATATTATATGGTGATGCCAATTACATTCCATTTAAATAAAAAACAAGAACAACAACATGAAAATAACAACAACAATCAACTAGATTTAAAACAACGATCGTTTATAAATAATATTAGATCGAGTTCACAACAAAATATGCGTGATATATTGGGTAGACAGTGTGAAATAATACGTACTTTGGATAAGCTTCTATCCAGTCAATACTCGGTCTTTCGATTCGAGAATATCGTTCATCTCTACATCGATACATACTCAGAACATTACGATCTAAAATGCTATCAATCAAAACAGCAAGAAGAGCGCCGTGATGAAAATGAGTATGCCAATATCATAGAATATATCAAGAGGTTTCCGAAACTGGAGAGATTGACAATAAAGACTGAAAGTGTTCATTTGGTGAATGATCTCATGGCTGCGCTGAATAGAGATAGCGATGACCATTTCCAGCAAGTGAAAATAGAGGTCTATGTAAAGAAAGAACTGACTCCACACCACGAAATAATGGATCTTTCAATGGCAGCTAACCAAGCTGTTTTGGAATATGTACATCTGGAGGCGGACAATCTATTTCTTCACACACAGTTCAGTGATATCAATCGCTACTACGAGGAATTCGTGAAGAAATGGCGATGTAATTCAATATCGATAGAGTTTGACGATGGCGAACACGAAGGTGGAATCAACCATATTTCATATCGTGAGCTCTTCAGAATCCACTCACTGAAATCTGTCAATATTTCATCGCGTGAACACATCTATCTCGATGAACTGGAACACGTGCTAATCTACGGCATAGAATCGTTCAGAGGAAACGTTGCATTTGGTCTGCTTGGTCATGATGATTCGCTTCCAGACAATATTAATAATGAGGTGGAAGAGGAGTGGTGCGCCTGTCTGCCCTATGACGACAGTGGTGATTACGGCAACATTTCACAACACAATAAAATGGAACACTGGCGAGAGTTCTGCGATTCGTTGAGCTATGAAACCAGGTTGAAAAGATTGCATCTCTCCAACCGGTGCAATGTACATACAATACCGAATGCTATTAAAACGATGGCATCCGATGCTCTGAGTGAATCACTCAGATACAACACCACTCTGGAACATCTGTCGATATCAAGTGAAATACTTATGGAATCATTCTATCGAGTGATGGCATATGAAAATCAATCGATCATCTACCTCAAGCTAAAAGACATCCAATCGACCTCTTTCCAACATATCGAAACAATCATCAGACACAACAAGACACTACTCATACTAAACCTGATAGATATTCAAGAAGAAGATGAAAGTAGCGACAATGATGATAGTTTCGAAATGGATAGAACAGCAGAAGTACACTCATTTATAGATAGTTTAGATCATAACAAAACTTTAAAGCAACTGTTGATAGTCAAGGTTGGGTATGGTTCAATAATAATTTCCCATTTTAAAAAAGCAGTCGCACTTGGACATAGCAATATTGTAATTACCAAACCAGGTGTCTATGGTTATCTCAGTGTATATTCAATAAACCTAAATTAAATAAAAAGCTATTGTTGGTTATTCAACAAAAAGAAGAGATGCTTATCAAAAACAGTCAACAATTAAGAGAATTCAGTCAATAGGAGACGAATCTTAAGATATCATAAAAAAAATCCAAACTACAAAGTCTAAGAATAATAGATTTTAAAAAATAACAATAATTTTGATATACTTTTAAAAGATGAATTTGATTGGTATATTTTTCATCTTTTGGTTACAATAATTAATTCAGTTCAATTGATAACCATTTTGAAAAAAATAATGTAAAAATAAAATATTTCCTTTTTCAAAATGGGAAATTATATTTAGTAATATTTTTTTTATAAAACTATTTTCAAAAGGGTAAAGACAACCTTGTCTTTATAATACTTTTATTATATGCCATTGGCTTTTGCTTCTTTTTATTTGAACCAAATATATATTCTTACAATCAACCAAAAAATGAATTTTTTTGAATAATTTCAAATACCCTTTTCTTTAAATCTATAAAGAATATTTTAATTTTTTTTTAAAAATTTAAAATTTAACTTGAACCATTATTCTTTAATTTTTACAAACAGAGAAATCGATTGCTTATCCCCTTAAGATATACTATTTTAAAGGTAAAAACATCCGCAATGAAACCCATCATGAATATTGTTTAAACTCTATAAAAATAGCCAATAACTATTTTTGCCAATGCACTCCCGAATTTTATGATAATTTTTGTATATGCCAATAAAAACCATTTTTTTTTTTTTATTTTAATTTTTATTATTTTTTTATATTTATAAATTTAGCTTTCAATTTTTGTGATCATCAATTTTTATTTTTATTTTAATATATATAAAATGTTCAACAAGATATTTCGGATAATTTGTTTAAATTTGTCTCAAGACAATTCTAACGATGTGATAATAACGAGCAAAATATGTGGATCTTTAGAAATAAGATCTGGTATAAAACCAGGTCATTATTAATGTAAGTAATACCCACTGTAGCCAATGATTGTTTTCACGAATTGCTTTGAGCCCAGCACCATATATTCTTCTATCTAATATCGGTCAACAAATTTATTTGTTTTATTAATATAAAAAATAGGTTGTTCCAAATTGTACAAAAATACACAAAGATTTTTGTTTTTTACTTTTTTTTCTATGAGGCAAAAAATATTGTTTTTGTTAGTGGTTTGACATTGAAAGACACACTTTTATACCCCACATTCAAGATTGGTGGGGCAAAAGCCCACTAAATAACTAATGAGGTTTACCAAGTTTTTTTTCATAAAAAACTCTAAATTTTCAAACAAAATGATCATGAAAAGTCATTTTTTAAAAAAATTTTTCTAATATCTTTTGTAGTTTTTTTTTCTACTTTTTTTTTTGTTCATCCGTCAATCAAACCAATCACTAAATATTAATTCGATCGATCCAAAAATAATAAACAAACTAAAACAAGTCAATCAATAATTACAGCTGTCCAAAGATAAAATTAATTGATAATTAATTATTAAAAAAAAAAAAAATCAACACAACATAAAAATTATTTATTTACTCAAAACAAATATAGTAACTTCGAAAACGCCCACAACCAACACTACTACGATCACACAACCCACTTTCAAATTACATATCAAATCTCATTCTCATTTAACTCACTAACAATAATCAAAACAACAATTACTTTGTTTAGTTCAGTACCTTGAAAAACCAAATCATCATAAATCAACTAGTCAATCAAACAATTTAGTTAGTTTAGAAAATCAATAAAAAGAAAAGAAAAGAGAAGAAAAGAATAGAATTGTAATAGATTAATTAGTATTTAGAATCAATATTCACACAGATAGATCATTAGATATTATATAAATAGCAAAGAAAATAAAAAGAAGTAGAAGAAGAAGTGGTAGTAGCAGTAGTTAATCATCAAAGTACAAAAACAAAAAAAAAAATTAAAAAAGATGATTTCATCAACTTTGCCTGCTACTACTACTGCAAATTCTCATTCATCATCATCAAGTAACAGTGATTGTAGCTCACTGGTAGATGGTGGCAGTATGACACCCCAACTGACCATTAACACTAGTAACATGATCAATTTCCCAGCAACACCTCCAGCAGTATCAACACCGACAACCTCAATGATGAAAGATGACTTTTTTGGTAAGTTTTACATAGGAAACAACTTCATCTCACCTCCAGAGTAATAAATAACTTATGGAATCATTCAAAAATTACATAATATTTAGATAATATAGGAACTCCCAATCTTTTACTTTTCAATACATCTTTGTCCAGCTCGGACTTGATGATGCACTATTCGAATCCATCTTCACCAATTGCTTTTGATACCAACACTAATAATAGCAGTAGTTTGCTAAAGAGTGAGGAAATCACAACTACAATACCAAAAAATGTCATTACAACAACATCGACCTCAACATCAACTGTAACTTCGCCACTAACAAGCATTTCTTCGCCACTGACAAGCATGTCTTCACCACCACAACCACAACCACCAAGCTCTTCCTCTGCTCTAACCAGTAATAATCAAATTACTAGTAGTTGTTCAACGATGACCAACAATAACAATAACAACAACACTGTATATAACACACCTCCAGGGTCATCGTCTTCCACACCAAGTTTACTATCGTCGCCATCCACCAATTTCCACTATCAATCACCACAACCCTCACCACTACTCGCCACACCTCTATCACCTACCACCTCAACCTCGACATCTCTGTCCAGTTCAACATCGTCACTTACCAACATTTCCACATCAAACCAACCACAACAACAACAACAACATCCACTCCTCAGTAAAACAAATAATTCGACATCACCAGTTACAGTGACAACCACAACCAATCCAGCATCTACAGCTTCTTTCAAAACCTTTTCACAAGCAGTAAACCAACTTTTGCCAGCAACTACGATCAACAGCAACAGCAACAGCAATAGCCATTCGATTGCACAGCAACATCTAAACAAACTCTATCCACACATCAAACTCCAGATTGTCTCTGAGGAGTTTAAATTTACAGTTTTCGTAGCGACCACCCTCAAAATTTTGGAACTCAAACAAAAGATATCATCGGAATTCAACGGATTGTTTGGTTCCAGCAAAATCGGCAACAATCCTCTTTCAAAATCGAATCTTGGCACCGCGAGACTACGTGACCAACTTGGTAACGATCTCTCATACACAAAGACCGTTGGTGACCTACTAAGCGATATGGACACAGTCGTAGTCGTACAACAATCATCATCGAGCGAACCATCTACCATTTTCAATACAATTTTTCCAACAACCGATTCATTGTCTATCGTTGCCAAAGAAAATTCAACTTCTTATAATTATAGTATAACAAATGTATCGAATAATAACAACAACAACAACAATAATAATATTAGCAATAGTAGTTCAAATATATCATCACCATCACAAATCGATTTAGAAAATAATTCAAAAAGTAAGTAAACTAGAGATATTTATTGCTATAGAGATTGTAAATTAATAAATTTTAAATTACTATTTATAGAATTAAAGTTGGAGAATAATAACATTGCACTATCACCACCATCTACAAACAACACAGTTCCAACTGTTTCCTCGCCAGATACTAGTCCAGCAGCAGTGGTTTTCAGTCCACCACAACAACCGCACACCCCTCTTTCAAGCAACAGCACACCAATCGATCCTTCATCGTCATCCGATTCCGTAGGTCAGAAACGACCAAGATCATCACTCGACAACATTCCCACAAACTATTTCTCAATGACTGGAAATGCTGGACAACATATTCTATAATAATAAAACAACATCATAGAATAGAATCGAATTATTGTTTTTATAAAGATAAATCAACTAACTATAAAATAAAAAACAATAACAAACTCTTTTGTGATATCTTTTTTTATTCAAAATGATTTTAGTTTTATAATATTTTATTTATCATTTTTTTTAATATTATTATTATTAATATTATAATAGAATAAAATAAATAAAATTTTAATCAGAAATCTTTGAAGCATTTGGATCGGTCTCTCCAGATGCCAATTTCTTGTCGAGATTCTCTTTGGTCTTTGCCTCAAACTGTCTAACATCTTCCATTGTCCAACCGAACCACTCGTCCATCCAACAATATACTTGACGATGGAACTTCATAAAGAGATCACGCTCAATCTTCATCATAAAGTTCTCTACCTTGCCCTGGAATCCGAACCATCTAAACTCTACAGTCACTAATTTATAACAACACATAATTGGTTCAGTTTCATTCTAGAAATTCGATATCGAATTGAAATGAATAAGTAAGTCAAGTTCATTGTTAACATTTCTTCTTGTTGATAATTAGCTATAATTACTACTTACTCTCCAAGAACCATGCTTTAATGGACCACGATTTGCTTTTTCAGATCTAACCAAAGTTGGGTCTTCCTCTGGCTTGTACTCTTTTTTGTCTACTGGATTGGTGATATCAACAAACTCTACTTCTCTATTTTTTAAATCCTTTTCTGGGAGGTTGTGAATCTATATATAGAATGATCATTATATTGGTTAATGAATGTTGGTTGGTGTGGGTGTAAGGTGATTAAAAATATCTACATTTTCTTGAGTTCCATTGTCTTGAGCATGACGTGATTCAATGATAAAAGTGAATTTCTCACCCAAGAATGGTGATTTCAAAACGGTTTTGCAATATGGGTAAGCATTCCATGCCTTCTCTTCTAATTTCAATGCACTCGATGGAATCAATGCTCTGATCCAACCTGGTAAACGACTATAAATTATTATTATTATTATTATTTGAATAATGGTTTGTAAGAATAAAGTTAAATAAAAAAACATACGCTCCCAAATGGTAGATTTTCTCAGTGTATTGACCTTCATTTTGATCGTCCTTGTATGGCTCATTCTTTAGTACTTCTACACCTTCACCACCTGAAGTCTCTTGTTGACTGGTCTTGGCAACCGAAAATAATTGACCAACACGATACTCCTCAACGGTCAATGGTAAAATTACACGAAATTCTCTTACTAATACCATGATATTACTTAATAATTGTTATATGTGTAGATGAAAGAAACTTGGTGAAGAATTAATAAAAACTGTATATATATATTTATATAATAAATAAATAAAATAGATATTTAATGATGTAAAAAAAAAAAACAAACTACAAGCAAAATAATTAAAAAAAATAATTAAAAATAAATTTTTTGATTGATTGATTGTGAAGTGAACTGAACAAAAAAAAAATTTTCAAAAAAATTACAAAAAAATTCAAAAAAATAAATCAACAAATAGAAAATTGGAGATGCTGATTTCATGAATAAATAATAGGGTGTAAAAAGAAATCGATTATAAATATCACTGAATGATTAAAATCGATTCCGAACCATTTGAATTTAGTCATTGTTTTAATTTTTTTTTTTTTAATTTTTTTATCAATTTTTTTTTTTTTAAATAGTAATCTCTTGTGGTATTGATTCGAGACTATTAATATAGAAATGAAATAAAAAGTTTTTAATGAATTTAATATATAAAATATAAACAATAACATTTCGCGTTTGTTAATATATCTTAATATTTCTTTAACTCTTTCTAAGAGTGTAGTAGTACTAATTGTAAATTCATCTTGCATTCTATCGAAAAAAAAAAAACAACTGTTAGAATAATGACATCGAAGAGAACTCTGTGTATTTCAATGCCCAAAAAATTAAAACTTTATTTGATTTATTAAACTTATAAAAAGAATATCTGTAAAAAAAAAATTGTCTTTTGATGATATGTAGAGTATATTTAAATAATGACTAAATTGTTTTTATTATAATTTTTTATTTTATGAAGGGTTTGATACTAGAATGTAATAATACTATTTCGCAATGACATACTTGTTTTTAGTTTCCCAACAGATTTCCATTTTTAATATCCTCCACCATTTTCATTCTCTTTTCTGATGATTCTGATATTTGAGGCAAATACTTAATACATGCATCCAAAAGACCAATTTCACAGAGCATTGATTTTCCAGCAGCATAGATCTCCTTGATATCTCTTTCAACCTCTGGTTTCTTAGATTGAGATTCAAACATTTGGAAGTCAATCAAGAATTGTGATTGGACGTTATCAATGAAACCAATGATTGGAGTAACAGCGGTTGCGCCACTCTTTGAAGCCTTAATAAAACTTCTGGTCTCAGCCAAGAAATTAACTAAGACATCACCTCTTAGACCAGTTTGGTTTTCAACTTTTTCTTGATTCCTCCAACACTTTTTGAATTTTTTTATTGCACTCATTAATCTGTGAGAGAGCTTCACAAACTTGTTTGAATTTCTCACCTTCGAGATATTGTTTCAATTGTTCTCTCTTGAAGGTAATTCTGTTGGTGATGTCTGATTTATCCTTTTCAAAAGCTAATTGTTGTTTGTTTGCTCTCTCTCTTGAGTCTGAAATATGATTAAATGATTGCACCTTACTATTGATAACCTCTTGATGGAATGCTCTGTCAGCATCTCTATTTGGATTACGAACATCTTTTACTACTGTGGTAGTGTGTGAACGTCTACGGAAAAACCAACCACCTCTTGAAGTGTGTGTCTCCGTTATTTTGATAGTCTCTGGAATACTGTTCATTTTATCATTTGATACATTGATATCTGCTTGCAAAGATGATAGTTGAGAAACCATTGAGTTTACAAACTCTTGTTGTCTATTTACTACACCAGCCAATGAAATGAGGTATTCATTCAAACTTTGGATCTCTCCAATGATGACGGATTTCTCAGTTTCAATGGTTTCAATTTTTCTTCTGAGTAGGTCAATTATCTCGTTCTCCTTGGCCACTTCGTTAACCCAGCTGGCTGCAACATCAGGACCAGCCAAATTCATAATGGTTTCAGCATTCTTGTCAAATGTTTCCAAAACGGCGATATCAAAAATCTTAAGTTTCTCTTTGATTTCATCCAATTTTGTAAAGGAATTCTTCATGTTGGAGGCAGCAATGGCAACACATTCACCCTTTCCCTTGTTTCGGTCGACAACCTCTGCTCCTTTTCTTAAGATGATCGAGATGGAACCCAATGAACTGATGAGAGCCTGGAACGAATTGAGAATTTGTATATTCTGAACCAATGCCTTTCTCATGGCTGGATTCAATTCATTTTGGAACAAAGGGTTATCCTTTACGTTGGGTGGTGTATATTTGAGGATATTGTAGACACCAATCTCAACCTCCTCCAAAAATACAAATACATTTGACATTTTCGTAATGTTCTCACGAATTAATGTCTTATGCATATCTTTTAAGACAATTCTATCTTGAGCACTTAATTGAATTACCAAATCATTGTTATTATTATTGTTTTGGTCATTATTATTATTATTCAAATAATGTTCAAATGCTTGTGGGTCAAAATCCATTTAATTTTTTAAAAGTATAAAATTATAAAATAATATAAAGAGTTTATAAATATATATATAAAAAATAAATAAAAAATATGAATATAATTGATATTTTAATTTTTTGTTCTGTTTTTATGTCATCCTCGAGTCTCTGAATTTAAAATAAATCATAAAATTTAAAAAAATTAAATTTTTAATTTTATTAACCTAAAACATTGAAACCCACAATTCTTAGATCTAGATTTTTGATTTTTTTTTTTTTGTTTTTTTGTAGAATAGAAATTATAAATTTAATTTTTTCATGTAAAATCCTAAAAATTTAATTTTTTCTGTGTTTTTTTATGTAGTATTGATAATCAATAAACAGTAAATTGTGATCATTTTTAATTTTTTTATACCATATAAAACATATTTTTAATAGTACTCAATTAGTTAATACCGATTTTACCTATTTAATATATAAAATAGATATATTTTTTATCTAAAAATGTTTGAATTTGATTTTTTTTCAGATTCAATTAATCAAACTGTTGATGGCGCTCAAGATCAAGATGTCCATACTGGTCAATATGTGGAAGTTGATGAGAACCATTCTTTCAATCTTTGTCTGTCAATTCCAGATCATATTTTAAAGAGTCTAAGTGAAGAATCTGGAAATCAAATGTCCATTGTTACAAAATCATCGGATTTGCAATATCTAAGAAAGTTTATATTGGTAGAATATGACTCTGCATACCTGTGTGGAAAGTTCAATATAAGCAATAGTACATTCATCAATTATATTGAAAATTCAGTTGAAGATATCTCTAAGATAATTAATCTTATATCAAAAGGAATGGCAATGGTGGATGGTCTTGTCAAGGAAATCATCTTCTCTAATCAATCAATTACTAAGTGCCACAGTAAAATTTCAACTGACTCAATAGCCAACAAACTGAATAAAATCATTGGTGATATCAATCGTACCAAGGAAGAAGCCACAAAATTTCAGAATATACTTTCAAATACTGCCGATGCCAATCTAAACTTTCTTATAAATAGAACTGGGTATGACCACTTTCCTCTCTACCAAACATTGAAGCTGGAAATGATAAATATCTCCAACCATAGATCATCTATTAAGAACGAGTTATTTGAAGCAGGTACTCTTTTAATTAAATTCCTACAATTTGGTTTATATGTCTTGTCCAACATGGACAAAGACAGCTCAGTCTTTCAAAATGTCCAAGTTAAGTTCACCGACTTTAACAACATCCTTTTGAACATTGCAGAAAGTGCTAAAGCCGTCGACGATACTCTTCTAGAGAACTGGAAAGAGATTCAAGGAAGACTGCTAGAGAGCCGTATCGTCTTTGGTTTAGACAAGATTAAGAGTATCTTTTCGACAACTATTTCAAATCCTTTTGATGAAATAGCTCTAAATGAATACTTAAATTCTGAATTGGTAAACCCATTGAATGGAAAGTTTGCAAATATTCGAAATTCAATTTCATATATTGGCCAATCGCTAATTACCATTGCCAATTTAAAGACACAACTATTAGATTTACCTGAAGGTGAGAGTCAAATGCGATTAGATGCAATCTTCCATGCATTCATTACATTGGAAAAGTTGATCATTATTGAACAGTCTAAAACCAGCTATCTTAGTCCACTTATCAATCTCATGCAGAAAGCCGAAGACTTTGTAAAGATGGATATCCAATCATTGAACGATGAAAATATCGAAGAAACACTAATGGCATTACAAAATAGTGTGGAGGCACTAAATCTAATCTCAGTTTCATCTAGATTGATTACAGAAGAGAAGGCGAAACTGGACAAGTTAAAACTTTCATATGGAGTGAAGAAGAGAGGTAGTATTTATAATACTATGGTCTCTCATAATCATTATGAACAATTAACTAAACATATTATTCAACCAAACAAGATCATGGGAATGCTTAGAGTAAACTATGAGGGTACAACATCTTTTCAAACAGATATTCTTCCAAATTCTTCTTTTATGGAGGAAATAAGTTATTCTATTCAATCAAGGGATGATGAATCCTTAAGATCATCAATTAGTAAGATGGAAAAGGAAAGAAAAGACAAAATAATGGAATTTCAATCAATAAATAAATCAACTACACAACATACTCTAAAAAAAACAAACAATAGTCCGAAAGAAACATCAATAACCACTAATAGTAATATTAATAATTTCAATGTTCAACTTAAAAAGACTGGTATATTGTTAAAAGAAAGTAATAATAATTATTCAAAACCTAATAACAATAATAATATAAATAATTATAGCAACAATATTCGAAAGACTGTTGTCCCTCAAAGTAATACTAAAGTCAGTACTAAAATTATTATCAATAATAATAGTATTGATAGTAGTAGCATAGGTAAAAGTGTAAAGGAAAGAGCTGCTGCTTATTTATCAACAATAAGTCTAAACAAAAAATAAAAAAAATTCCTTTATAATATTTGTTACTTCAACCAAAGCGGATTCATGCAAATTTTTTTTTTTTGTTTTACTAACTTCATTGCTTTAATGATTTCATGTAATGCAATAAAATAAAAAAAACAATTGTAAAGTTCATAAACAAAAATAAGTTTGTAAAATATATATTCAGATCATTTTACAAAGAACAATAAAATTTCTTTTTCATTCTAAGATATATAAATAGTTCAAAAATAACCAAATTTATTAAAAAAAAAGAATAAAATCAATTTATTGTGTGTGGTGACCAATAAGAAACTAGGTGTAATAATTCTTTAACTCTATGATTACAGTTATAGAATTGGGGTTAGGGAACTGTTACAATTCTTAATTTTTATTTTACTATTAGTAAAATAATATCATAAATAAATTTGTATATTTAACTTCATTTTTTTAATTAGTTTCTTTGTCTTAGTCTCTTTTTATTAAATTATATTTAGTTGTACCTCATCTCTTACAGGAACAGGTTCTTCGAGGTTGTTTCTTTAATTAATTAAATTTTGGTGTGGGGTTTTAAATAAAAAATTGGAATAAAAATTTGACTATTGGACACATATGTAGGTAATTAGGAGTTTCTAAGTAATGTTAGCACCGATATCCCTACATTTTATATAGTGCTCCATATAAAATCTTAGGAAAGGTTAGGAACAAATTTTTTTGATATCTTTTTCAAACTTGAAGCTAATCAAATTTTATTTTTTTAATAATGATATTCATTACTTTTAAAATTTTTTTATTTTTTCCTAACATACTTTAGAAACTTCCAAAAACAACTTCCATATAATTTATAAAGATAACCATTAACTTTGTAAATTAAAATGAAAGGTATCGAATGATTATATAAAAAAAACAAACAATAAAGTATTTTCTTAAATAATAAAATTAAAAATTCAAGATAAATAAATATTAGAGAAGTATGATCTTTACAATTTGAAAACAATTTTTATTTTATTCTTCATTTTATTTTTTTTGTTTTTTTTGTTTTTGATTATTTTATTTATTATTCTGAAATTGTTAAAGTTCCGTAACCCGATTGCAACTTCACCTTCGGTTCAAATAAATAAAAATAAGATAAAAAATTGATTATTTTTCAAAATTTTACTTTGCATTATCTTCTTTTGGTTTAAAAATAATAGAATGATCAAGGTAATTTGTAACTAGCTCATTCAACTGTTGTAGATCGATAAAAAAATCTTCAAAATCTCAAAAAAAAAAAAAAAAAAAAAGTAATTAATTAATTAATTTTAATCTTTCATACCAGCTAGTTTAAACAAACTTGCTCTTGGTTGGGAGCCGGTTTCGGTTTGTATTAACTTTAATTAATAAGGCAAAAAAATTAAAATAGTGTTTTGATGATATTAAAACAAACAAAAAATCTAATGGTTTGTTTTTGGAGAGGGTGATGTGCACTTCAAAGAAAAATGGTCAATCTACAAGTATTTATTTTGAGTCTAATGTACCGTTAAGCAATAAACAAAGTGGAATTGATTACAAAAAATCGTTCACCCATTTCCAATTAATAATAACTAAAATACAAAGCATGAGTTTAATTCGAAAAAACAAAAAGTTTTATCTATAAATACAGGCAACTTCAAACTTCATTATCATTACTTTACAAATATATAAAAACAAATGTCTATATTTTATAAAAAAATGTGCCATTTTCTTGGTAGCATTATGTTTATCAAGTATGGTTATATCCAAGTCTGAAGATTTTGTTGAATTACCACATGAAGTTGCTAATCATGGCCGAGATACCACTCATAACTCTGAATGTCCAATTGTTACATCCAACACACTCACATCTTATTCAAGAAAACCAGGAGCTAAGCGTGATATTGAAGCATCATGGAAGAAAGAACATTATACCACCGAGCCAATGGAACCTGTAAACTTCAATGGTACCTACGTTCAATCACCAGAAGAGGAAGGTGAAGACTTTGACATTTTTGCTGATGGAAAAGGTGCTACTGTCTGGGCTCCATGTATGTTTTCAGCAATTTAAATATTATTTTTTTGTGTATTAACAACTTTTATTAAGTATCACCACCTCCAGGAACATTGTATACTATTCGTGGCCTTGACGAAAGAAACTATTACTTGGGTAGAAATCAAAATACCAATATGCGTATCGTCAAGAAATGCGGCAACTATTGGTACCAATCAAAGTTATACTTCAAGAGTTGGAGACAAGTAAAACAAGACAACAAGTGGAACCAAGATACAATCAAGTTGGCCGTTGCAACTGCTACTAGAACAGCCAATACAATCGATATCTCACGTCCAATCTCCCTCGAGACCAATAGAGAAGACTACCAATGTCCAAGTGATGCCAAGTGGACCTACGGTAGTGCACCAAATGGAAGCGTATGGCTTGCAGATCTGATCATGTCGTTGATCGATATCGTCTCTGGTAATTTTGCAATGACAAGAAGAGGTCTCCAAATCTTGGATATGGATGTCAATGGTATAGCCAGAGGATGGAACACCGTTGCCTCTGATTGTGCAACCACTTATCCTCCTGAACAAACATTGATCCCATCTCAATATGCATTGGAAGATAATGGTAACAAACGTTACATGTACAAGGTCAGAAACGGACGTGGTTACCTCATTGCTGAATGCAATGGTGATGCTTTGTGGTTCAGTAACAATGCCTATGATGATACCTATGTTGTATTCACTCCAATGTAATAACAAATACTATAATAAATCAAAAACACACAACATCTATAAAATAAAAATATTGTTTACCAATAGATAATAAAATATACAATTGGAATATTTGTAATTATATCGAAAATGTTATTAATTAAAATATATTTTAAAGGTTTTTATTTATTAAACGTTACTTTTTCGATTTAAATAAAAAATTAATTTTTTTTAAATAACAATGACGTATTTAGTTGTTTTTAAAGTCTTGATTTTATTCGTTTTTGATTACATAATTGTGAACCAATTTTAGTTTTTCTGTTGTCTTGTCCAAAAACCACAAGTTTATGGACTGATCACCAATATGAATTTGAATCTTCAAAAAAGAACAAGATTGTGTTTTTTTCAAAGATTTTTTCTTTTTTTTTTTTTATCATTTTTTTTTAACAAAAAAAATAGGGGTTTGGTGTTTTTCATAGATTTTTGTCTTATTTTGGTGACCTATCTGGCGATAAAGTTATCTAACTACCCACATTTCTCAGAGTCATTTTTCACTGCTAAACAGGGTGAAGTACCACAAATTGCATCAACTATTTTTTTTTGATTTATTTTTTGGATCGCTATTTATCCACATTCAGAATCAGTTTTGATACAATATTTTATTTCGATATCGACAAGTTAAAAATAAAAAAAATTTTACAAATAAATTCATATAAATACTATAAATATATAAATACATAAATAATATCAACTTATAAAAAAAAATTGTAAAATGGTAGAATTAGATGCTAAAACAATTGAAATTGTAAAATCTACAATCCCAGCATTGGCAGGCACTGGAAGCAAGTTGACCCAGCACTTCTATGCCAGAATGCTTGGAAACAACCCAGAGCTAAAGAATGTGTTCAATGAAGCCAACCAAAGAAGCAACGCCCAGAGTGAAGCCCTCTTTGGTGCGGTCTGCGCCTATGCCCAGAACATCGATAATCTCGCTCCTCTTTTGCCAGCCGTCGAAAAGATCGCCCAAAAGCACTGCTCCTTGAACATCAAGCCAGAGCAATACAGTATCGTCGGTGAGAATCTCTTGGCCACTATCGATGAGCTGTTAGCTCCACCAAAGGAAGTGATCGACGCCTGGGCTGCTGCCTACGGAGTTCTCGCCGATATCTTTATCCAACGTGAGAAGGAAATCTACGATCAGAGCGCCTCTGTAGAGGGTGGTTGGCGTGGACTTCGTGAGTTCAAGATCACCGAGATCGTTCCACAGTCCAACGTTATCTCCAGTTTCAAATTGGAGCCAGTCGATGCCAAACCAGTTGCCAAGTACGAACCAGGTCAATACTTGAGTATCCACATCGAACATCCATCACTAAAGAACCAATGTATCCGTCAGTACTCACTAACCACCGAGCCAAACGGTCAATACTACAGAATTGCAGTCAAGAGAGAAGAGCTTGGAAGTGTTTCATCATTGTTGCACAATACCTTCAAGGTTGGAGATACCATCAATGTCTATCCACCACACGGTGACTTCTTCTTCAATTCCACCAAGGATCTCGACACCAATACTCCTGTTACTTTAATCTCTGGTGGTGTCGGTCAGACCCCAATGCTCTCGATGCTCCATGGCCTCAAAGAGAACGGACACCAAGGAAAGGTAACCTGGTTGCACTCTGCACGTGACGCACAATCACTTGCCTTTGAAAAAGAAGTTGTCGAAACAGGAAGCACTCTTCCAGGATTCTCAAGCCATACTTTCTTGACCAAGCCATCGCCAAGCAGCGGTTGTCCATTTGCCACCAAAATTCACGAAGGAATTATGGATATTCAAAAGGTTTTGGCCAACCAGTTGAAAGACACAAACGTTCATTACTATTTCTGCGGACCAGTTCCATTCATGCAAGCAGTCGCAAAGCAACTCACTGAAAATGGTGTAGCAGTCTCCAATATCCATTATGAAGTATTTGGTCCACACCGTGTAATTTAAAAAAATATAATATAATATTACTATACTATCAAAATAAATAATAATGGATAATATTTATTTATTTATTCATTCATCCCTCTCCTTTTAAAAATAAAATAAAAATAACAAAAAAATGTAATGTAACTTTTTCAAATTGTGTAATTTCTTTTTTATATACATAAAATTTTATTTGTTTTAATCTTGCTTGGTTAACAGTGCCTTGAATGGTGCACAACGCTTGATATTATTGATGTTTAGACAGATTTGGCCGACTGGACATAATCTACCTCCACAAAGAGGATCGGTTGCTTGAGATGGTGGCACACAAGTTGGAACTCCATTGAGAGAGAGGCATTGGAATCCAAAGAGACATTTTTGGTTTCCACATTGAGTGACGCTGACACCACCTAGAGTTCCAGAACCAGTGATTGGTCCAGAGGTGATTGGTCCAGAAGAGATGTGTCCAGAGGTGATGTGTCCAGAGGTAATGTGTCCAGAGGTAATGTGTCCAGAGGTAATGGTGGTACGTGGTATACAAATATGTTTACCATTAAAGTTGGCACAGACTTCACGGACTGGATCGCATACTTGGTTTCCACAGGATGCTGGAGACTCAGCAACACAGGTTGGAATGCTGTTTACCAAGACACATTTGAATCCGACTTGACATCTGGAGATACCGCAGGTGGCACCGGTGGTTGGTGGATTAATCAAATCCGATAGCTTGATACAGGTACGGTTACCATTGAAATTGGCACAGATCTTATCGAATGGACAAATCCTATCGCCGCACAAGGTAAGTTGATCTTGTGGAACACATGTTGGTACATTGTTGATAGCGATACAGCTGAAACCGTCGAGACACACTACAGTTGGACATTTATCGAGTGGACCGGTCGAGTTGGAGATACACTGTGGATGACCGTTGATTGAGATACAGAATTCGTCGAGCTCGCAATGTTGTAATCCACATATTGGACCTGAGGGACCGTTGATCTTAACACAGGTTGGAATGGAGTTGACCAATACACACTTGTATCCAATCTTACAGGAGGTGGCACTGCAGCTGGTTGGAATTGGTTGAAGACCAGAGACAATTTGGTATGGTACACACGAGAAGAGTCCGTTGACGTCAGCACACAGAGTTCCGGGGGCACAAACCTGTCCGTTGCAGGTTGGACTACCAGAGTTTGGAATGCAAGTGGGAACGTTGTTGATGACGACGCAACGGAATCCGTCATTACAAGGGTAGTTGGTACATTGGTCGATTGGTGGTGTGACTGGCACGCAAGTTGGGACGTTGTTGATGACTTTACATTGCAAACCACCGAGACATGTGAAACCAGTGCATGCATCGACTGGGGGACTTGATTTGATACAGACTGGTGAACCGTTTTGAACGATACACTTCATGTCGGTCTGGCACAGTACTCTGTCACATGGGTTGGACGATGTAATTGGGGTGGTTGTACAGTTAGTAACATGGTTGGCGTTAGTTTGACAGAAGGTACCTGGCTGACATTGTACGAGAGCACACGGTGTGATTGGAGTTGGTCCGGTGAGAACGCACAATGGAATTCCGTGGTCGTCTATACATACTTTATTGTCGGTACAACTAATAGAGTATCTTATACATGGACTGATATATGGGACATAGCTAGTTTGGTCAATACACTGAGCAACTCCATTGATTTCAATACATTTTTGATAGTATTGACACAGAAGAGTACTACATGATGCATCTTTGAGATGAAAATGATAAATAAAAATAATGATGATTATTAGTAAAATCTTTTTTTTTTTTATTGTTTTTTTTTTTGTTACAGCAATATTATTTTGACTTTGAACATACCTGCAGACCATTCAGTTCCATAGGCAACTGAAACTATCAACAAGATGGAAACTATTTTAAATAATAATCTCATCTTTTTTTATTTATTTATTTATATGTATAATATATATATATCTAAAGATTTGTTGTTTCGATAGTTAGAATAAGAAGAACTATTTAGTTAGTATTGACTTTTATTCTTATTGATTTTGATCAAATTCAATAGCTTCTATTTATAAGTGGTAATAAAGAAAGAATAAAAAAAAAGAGTGAGAGGAAGGAATGATGGAAATGTGTAGATAGTTAATCATTTGTAAATAAATAATTTATATATTATTGATAGCCCACCCCAATTATGTATATGTACTTTGTTACCCAACATAATGATTACACTCTCAAGACCCATTAATGATAGTAAAGTGAAGATGAGTCAGGTGTATCAACGTTTTTATAATACTTTTTCCATTATAATTCGCTTCACAATGACACTCTTATTTACTCTTTCATCATTGATTTTCTTGATATCATTGTACAATGATATTCATATTACTACTACTACTACGAACTGAATCAAAACATTAACTTCAAAACAACAAATAAAACATAAACAAAGTTACAACAACACAAAAGTAAACAACATAATAATGAATGATGTTGATTTTTTTCTAAAAACCATATGAGTATGATCATAAAGTGTGGTTTGTGCGATATTCTCTTCTTAATGCAATAATTATGATTTTCAATGATGATGATGAAGGTGTGGTACTGTGAGTTTTAATTATCACATGTTCATTATATTTATATAAATAATGTGGTTATGAAATAATAATAATAATAATAATAACATTATGTTATTTTCATACTTAGATAAAAAGTAAATGTAACAAATAAAATATAAAATTATATTGTGTGGAAATTTCCACAAGGTATTCCGCTTAATATATATAGATAGTCATGCAACATCTCTCTTCAAATAAGTTTGAAAATCTAATCAATCTTGTAATTGATGAGTGAAATCACCTTATATTGTAAAGATAAAGAAAAATTTATACATAAAATAATACAATTTATTATATTAAGATTTGTTTTTTCCCAACTCTATGCTTTATGGTTGGCTCAAACAAATGGGGGTGGTTGTTTGTTGATTATATATATATATAGATATATATGTTTAAGATATATAAATAAATAATTGATGATGCTGATGGTTGTATTGTTGCCATAATTATATAATACCAATGATGATATGTTATTGTCTGATTTTGTTTACAACAATCAATTTTGGTATTTATGATGTAAATCTTTCGTTTGTTGATTGATTGATTGGAGATAGGGAAAAAAGAACCGGGTTAGTTAATAATTCATTCTTGAATTTTGATTTTGTTGTGTTTTGATTATTGTTGGATTATTGTTGTTGTAATGATTAATTCTGTGGAGCAGGTGGAGCACTGGGAGTTTCCATGTCTAAAATTTTCTGTTTGTTATTCTTTATCTTTAGTTTGCGCGGATCGATCTGCATTTTCTCTGCGAGGAATCGCGCGACTTCTTCGTTACCATAGTGACATGCCAAACTGAGTGGTGTTCTACCTTTGTTATTCTTTTCCTCAAGCGAAGCATTGTATCGCAAAAGCAGCTCCAACACCTTGAAATGATTCCAAAACACTGCCAAGTGCAGTGGTGTACTTCCATTGACGTTCTTCTTGTTGATATCAATCTTTTTCTTGAGCAGCAGCTCGATGATAGCCAGTCTTGGCTCCTCAGTGGATATCAAGATGTGAATGGGAGCGTATCCTTTGATTTCATTGTTACCTGCATTGAGATCGACCGATTCGTCCACGAGGTGTCGGGTGATAGCGTCGTTCTCGTTGTAGCAAGCAATGTGAATCGGCTTCCATCCACCGGGTTTCGACAGTTCCGGATCGGCCTTTTGCTCCAACAGATATTTAGTGAGTTCCAAACTGCCAAATGCACAGCTGTGGTAGAGTGGAGTAGTTCCTTGTGAATCCTGTTTGTTGACGTCGGCTTTGCCAACTTGGATCAACATTTGTGCCACCTCCAAGTGTCCCTCTGCACAGGCAGCGTGCAACGGGGTCCAGCCATCCAAATTGATATCGTCAACACGCGCACCCTTTTCCAGCAGTGATTTAGCGGTTTCCAAGTTGCCTTTGTAGGCGGCAGTGTATAGCGGTGTCCATCCGTCGAGTCGCTGCGAGTCGACTGCGGCACCACTGTTGGCAAGCGACTCTGCAATGCCAGCAAAGTTCTCTTCGGCGGCGACATGCAGTGAAGTGGCGCCATCCATATTGACAGCGTTCACATCGGATCCAGCTTCCAGCAGTTTGTCAACGACTCTCTTGTGACCACGCAGTGTTGCATAGTGTAGTGCTGTGTTACCTTTTTTGTTGGCCGACTTTACGTTGGCGCCTGCACCCAGTAGGAGATCGACAATACGCTCATCTCCATTGAGTGATACCATCATTATTGGTGTAGAATCATCGTTGTTGACAGCGTTTACATCTGCGCCGTGCTTCACCAGTGACTCAATAGTCAAGAAGTCACCATGAAGCAGAGCGAGATGTAGTGGAGTGTTTCCATCTTTGTCGGGTGCATTGACGTCGCCACCTGCATCTGTCAGAATGGTGATCAACTCTGGACGTTGCGATGACACTGCAAAGTGAAGTGGTGTTCTGCCATAGACAGTCACTGCCTTGCTATATTTGGTGAGATGATTCACTGCATCGACATCAGCTTCTCTCACTGCAAAATGCAATGGTGATACAGATTCCTTTGATTCACTCGCCAACTTGTGATATTTCTCCATTTTTTGTTCTAAAACTGATTGTGTTGGTGGTATTGCTGCTGCTGTTGTTGTTACTGTTGTTGTTGGTGTGTGTGATGGAGGTGATGGAGAAGATGTGTTGATAGTCGCTGTTGCAGTGGTTTGTTGTGAAATCGATGATGTTTTTGGTGAGTCGGCAACTTGTTGACTAGCTGGAACTGGATTTGAATAGATCGGTGAACCTGGAAGTATGTTTGGTTTAGCTGATTGACCTGAACCTGAACTCAAAGAGTTGGAACGATATGGACTATTTGTAATACCATTTTGTGATCCATTTCCATTCGATATTACATTACTATTGCTGTTGCTGTTGTTGTTAGTTGTGTTGGAGGAAGATGATGGTGACGGTGAGAGGATGTTTGATTTTGGTGGTGAGAATACAGAGTTGGAACGACCAGCTGTTCCCGCTCTGGTTGGTGTGTTATTGGCAGAGCTAGACGCAGACTGACTTGGCGCGCTCTGAAGTATGAACGAGCTGTCCCACTGGATGGAAGGCAACGATGCCGACGATATGGTGGTTGTCTGCTTGTTCTGCGGTTGGCTGCCAACCTGTTCGGCACCGTTGTTATCATCCAAATTGATCTCATCGATGGTTGGCCATCTCACAGGGAATCCTTTCTGTACCAATATATTTGCCATCGTATTCAACGTTCCAATCACCTTTTGTATGTTCTTATTCTCAATCAAATCGGTTGCAATGAATATCTGATGTTCGTTTATACCCAATCTCTTAACAACTGCAATGAATCTATTATTATGATGAATAGGTTAATTAGTGGATTTGCCGTGGTGGTGTTTGTTGATTGATGGTCAGCGAACCACTGTCTGGGTGAACAACTTACGAATTGATATTCTCAATAAGCTTAAAGGTGATTTGCGATTTGTTATAACGAGGAATGATGTTTGGGAAGATTATGTTGGCTAGTTTGCATAGGACAACACCGTCTTTCAAGGCAACATGCATGTCCTTATCGATTTCTTCGCCTACGATCTGTTCGATCCACTTGCGACATTCCGCTGACCGACTCTGCATTTCATATGTCTGAAAGTCGGACATTGTGATCGTAACAGAGCCTGCCGATGGTTTCTTACCACCAGGTCTGGTTGGTCTTGAACTCATATTTTCAAAAATTAGATAATACTAAAAAATTTTTGTTTGTCAAAGATTCTATTCTATTTCTACTCTGATTGATCTAAACTAAACTGAAAAACTATGAAATACTACTAACTAATGCTAATTAACTAATTGGTTATTTTCCGACAAAAAAAGAAAAAGAAAAAGAAAGACTTTAATAACAATAATATATTATTTTTTTTTTGATTTTGTTAAATTAGTGTTTTTTAAATGAATGATTGATGATTGGATTAATTAATGATAATAGTGTTGTGCACTCTTAAAAACAAAGTTGATTATTATTAAATTTGCTAAATTTTTTTTTTTTTTTTTTTGCCAAAAATAAATTTAAATTTAAATGGGTGGTTAATCACAAATATCACTTTTTGATCTCTCCTGATATCTGTATTGTAATAGATAAATAAAACTAACATACATACATGAAAATATAATAACATAAATAGCAAATAGAGTAATTATATAATCGTACGACATCATTATGTTGAACAAATACTCGCCTTATTAATCTACTTCAATATAACACCACCGTATTAAATCATTCACCCACAAATAACAACAAAAAGGTTAAACTAACTCTGATTTTTGTGATCACATTTATTTATTTTGTTATTATCATTGATTGTGTGTGTGTGTGTGTGGTGATATAAATACAGAGTTATTAAACAAAACAAACACCCATTTAAAATTATTGTTTGCTATACTTTAAGAAGTTGAGTGGAACAACACCAATGAAAGAAATGATTGTATTGCAATTAATTCGTTTAGAAAAAAAGAAATGGTATTCCTAGAACTTGTTATCAACTTTAGCATCTCCGATTATCATCTAAACAATAGCTTAAGTCTCACCTAATAGATTAAATTGATTGTTCTATTATTCTATTTGAAATTTTTTTTTTTATATATTTGTTTATTTAATTATTATTGTTTTATATACAAATTTGTTCACGGTCAAAGAAATTTTGAATCTTATATTTTAAGCTATATTATTATTGTATATGTCAAGTGTTTTTTTGATTATTATTATTTATATGTTGAAAAAAGGTGAATGGATTAATATTAATAAAATATTCTGGTTTGATTTTAAGATTATTATTCGTTATCATGTTTTGTTTTTTTTTTAATCAAAAACAATATATCCTATATAAATATATTGATTGATTTGAAGTTAGATGGTTTGATTTCTATTGATCATGTTTGGTTGGATAAAGCTGGATGTTGTTATTGTTTTTGTTGTTGTTGTTTTGTGTAATTTGTTTTTGGCAATTTTGAAACAACATTATAATTTATGTTGTGTTAATTGTCAATGGTGGTTGAGTGTTTATTACACTGTTGTTGCTGTTGCTTAGACTATTCATGAGATTAGTATTGTTGTTGGTGTTGTTGGATGTCGAGGAAGACACACCGCTACCTGTGGTTTTGTTGCTGCTGGCTGCCACATTGGTTGCATTGGTACTTGTGTTCAGACTTATTAGATTGGTGCTGCTTGTCACCACACTGGAGTTCATTCTCGAGAGCGAATGGTCATTCTTGGCGGTGTTGTTTGTGTTGGATGCGGTGGTTACCGACGACGAACCATTTGCCAAGAGGTTGGTGGACGATGTTGTCAATGCCTTGGTGAAGCATTTCATCTCTTCGAACTGATCTAGATTATTTAAATTGACATTCAATAGGAATGGATGTGCGAGGATCTCGTCGATCGAAGCACGCTTGGTAGGATCGAAAATGAATATCTTGGCCAACAAGTCTACGACATCTTTCTCCTCGACATTGGCAAATGTCTCATAGAGTTTCGGTAACACCGATGGAACCTGCAGAGAGTGATTCTTGCTTGGTTTCATTGAATCCATATCCTCAGAGGTTGGAGTTCCCAACACCTCGATAATTCTTGCCAACTGATCCGCCGAGTTTGTTCCTGGGAACAATGGTTTTCCAATTAACATTTCAGCTAATATACAACCAATTGACCATATATCCTATTTAAAATTTATATGAAAAATGAGTATATAATTGTAAAGTTTGTTATAATTTAATCAACATACAATTTTAGTGGTATAATTCTGACAACCAACCAATAATTCGGGTGCTCTATAATATCTTGAGCAAATATATGACATACTGGTATGATTTTGTTCAAGAATCTTGGCACTTCCGAAATCGGCCAATACTAATTCACCTTTTGGATTCAAAAGAATGTTGTTTGGTGTGATATCTCTATGACAAATATTCTTTGAATGAATATGCTTAATAGCAAGACACAGTTGGTAGAATTGAACTCTAATAAAATTGAGTGTCAATGACTTCTTCTTTAATAGACTTGCAAGTGTATATGGGATAAAATCAAAAACTAAATTCTATTATTAGGGAAATATCAAAATCATTAATTAATATTCATATGAATTATTATTGTTATTAGATCTAGTTTACAATAACTTACTTGCATTTTCTTATTTTCTTCATTTGTAATAAACATGTCTAGAATTTTCAAACAGTTTGGATGGTGAATGATCTTTAGGATATCGTATTCTCTTGAGATGAAATGGCTTGATTTCTCAACTTTTTTGATGGCAACTCTTTTGTTCTCTATACTCTTTGCTTCGTAGACCTTTCCGAATGTACCTTGCCCAACGATTCTGATTATTTCGTAAGGGAATTTGCCATAGTATGTCGAAGCGATGTTGGAGGAGGAACTTGAGGAGGACGATGACGATGATGAGCCTGTTGTTGTTGTGGATGACGATGATGATTCTTTGACATTCATATACTCTTTCTTCTCACCAATGGTTTCGTTAGGATATGAAATGGGACCCTTCATTGTATCTGGAATTGTCATTTTACTAGATGAACTGCCTAGCATTGGAAATATAAAATTCAACCAAAACGCCAATTTTGTTTTACTCTTTGTTGGATCTTCCAGGTTGTTGTCTTTGAAGTATTTCGTTGGTTTTTCTTTTAAACTTAAAAGAATGAACAAACTAATCAGAAAAAAATAAATATTTCTATGGAAATTTGTAAATTTATATAAATAGAGAATTATAATAATAGGTAATTAATACTTTTACACAGATCAATTTTTTAAATATATAAAAAATTGGTAATTTGAATAAAAGTTTAAATATATTTATATATATATAATAATTAATAGATAGAAATTAAATATTGATTCTAAAAATAAAAAAGAAAAAGTAAAAGAAGAGTAAAGTTAATAAATAATTTAAATAAATAAAAGAACTTGATTGAATGAATTAATGAATGAAATTTAAATATGTTGATTAAATATTTTTGATTTAAAGCACAAACAAGGTTTAATTAAATTTACAAAAATATGATATCAATTGTTTTATTGGAGAGTTTTATTATGATGAAGTTTTGTATTTTTGAAATATTGTTTGTGATGTTAATTGAAGATGATGATGATGCTGATGGTGATGATGATATTGAATGTTAAGTACCATATGTTAAATAATTATAATGATAGTCAGTAGATTAATAATCAGGTACTGACTTTAATATTTTTATATCTGTGATGGTTACCAGTAAGATTATTAATCTTTCGTATGTATACACATCAACCGATTTTTTTTCAAAAGATATTATTTTTTTATAACAATGTAGATTGTTTAATTGATTGATTTTGATTTATTTGATTGATTGATTGATAATTCTATTTTATAAGGTTTCTATTTAATATTATTGATATTATTATTATTTTGATATTATTTTATTTTATGTGTTATTCAATTAGTTATATAATCTGTTATCTCTTAAAACAAAATTGTGTGATTGAAATTTAACATAATGTAATTGAGGAAGATACAGATAAATAATAATATTATCTTCAGTGATTGATCACACAAAAAAAAAAAAACAAAATCTTTTCTACCCCAATTTGTAACTTAATATTAAAAAATATATGGATAAATCACACAATAATAATTATCTAAATATTATTGTTGATCAACCTATTTAATTTTGTATTCGGTTTTGTCATAAAATATTAAATATTACAATTTATTGCTTGATCTTATTAATATTATAATTTGATTATGAATGGATGGTTGGTTGTTTTTCAGTTTTAGTGAGGTAGGTTGGAAAATAACAAAGGTTTGATATTGATTTCAATTTCAGTTAGAGTGACATTGTATAGAAAATAGATATTTATTTTGTTTATAAGGAAAAAACATAACAACCAGACACAATAACAAAGCATATACAAAAAGAAATAGAGTATAACAACACAAAAATAATTCCAAAAAAAAAACTACAAAACAACTTTTCTTTTGTTTCTTACTCCAATCAATTTATTATTTCTATGTATTATTGACTTTAATAGTTAATACTATTTTATACTATATCTATTTTTTAATTATTACTATTAAACAAAATCAATTTTGAAATATAATTATAGTAATTACTATTACTAACCATAAAATAATATTATTCTCTTTTTTTTTTTTTTTTGATTTCTTTCTGTTTAGATATGACAAGAGAGAGTGTGTTGTATTGAATACCTTCTTATTTGATTGATATAGTTAATTGACTTTCCTAATCTATTGGTTTAGGATTTAGAAGTAATGTTTGTTTGGTGTTGTGAAAGGTTTAGTTATGTATATGTTTCTAGATATATCAAAAACAAATGGATGTTTATATAAACTACTACTACAACTACAAATACTACTACAGCAGCTATTATAGAAGATACTATAGTATGGTGGTATTTTGTTGTTGTTCTAACGTGATACCAACTAGTAAATTAATTAAAATTGAATTTGAATATTAATATTTGCTGATTCTCTCTTTCTCACTCACTCACTCGCAGATTCACTTTTATCATGCGATAAATTTAAATAAATATAAACTCTCTTTCATTACTACTACACATAGTAGGTGTTGTGTGTTTTTTATTTAATATAAAATTGGTATATATATATTAATATATATAGTGAGTGATACTATTGTTGTTTTGTTTTGTTTTGTTTTGTGAGAGTAAACAACAAGAAGACATATAAAAGTGGTACTTTTATATTCTATAGTGTTGGTGGTAGTAGTGGTGTTGCTGCTACCGATTGATATATAACACATTCAATAATTTTATAAAAATAAATATTATTATTACTATTATTATTATTATTATTATTATTTTTATTATTGATCCACTTTTCATGAATACATGTATTCCAAACCAATCAACGCTCCATTAATAAATACAAAAACAATTTAAATATAAAATGAAAACCACCACTACCACAACACCACAGTAATAATCCCATTCGATGTCTGTTTCCGAACAGTTAGACATTAATATATCTATCAAACATATCTAGAAACAAAAAATATAAAAATAACACACCACCATCATCATCACAATGTGATAGAAGAGAATTAATTAACAGGTGTGGGTTGTGTTGTGTGCGTGTATATATAAAAATTCAACCTCTTTTATTCTCAATTTCACTACACCACTACCAAATCATGTTGTTATTTTCAACTTCATTTTTTATTGCTGTTGAACTAACTATACTATATATATCAATATATATATTTATACAATTGCAATCATACATAATTAAGTTTAGTGATATGAATTGATTTGATTTGATTTGATATGATATGATATTCATAACAATTGGATTGTTCATGATTGTTTGAGGTAATTCTAAATTTATATATTGATGTATCTTGATTCCAAACAGACACAAAAATTTGTATTTTAATTTAAATTGAAATAATTTAATATGATACAGTGTATATTTATTGTCAAAAAATAAAAAAAGAGTAATTATATTTATATATGATTTTTTTGACATTTGGGGATAAATAAAATGAATTTTAATTTTCTTTTAAATTGTATATTTGTTAACTAATTCAGATATGATTTGATTGTGATTCTAATCTTGATTCTGTTTGAATGAAGAAAGAAATAGTGAAATAATGGTAATACATTCTTTTACGTTATTCGAAAGTTGTCATTAAATTCAATTTAAATAAACTGAACCAAATTTGAACAAAATTAAATAATAATTAATTAAAAACAACCAATGAAATTGAATAAAATAACTTTTATATAATAAAATATGATTTAAACATAAACAATAGGTGGTATTTTTGATTATATTTTTAATACTAAATTTACTTTTTCTACCTAATAAAGAGTTTTAATAAGTGTAAAGAAATAATGATTATATACCTTTATATTATAGCATTCAAACAACTACTAAAGATGTGAAATTCTACTAACTCCTGTTTCAAACCTGTTTTAAAATTTATAAATGATTCAATTAACCAACAACTAGCACTACTTTTAAAAATTTAAATAATGTTAATAACAAAAAAATAATAATAATTGGATTGTTTAAAATTGATTTAGATTGATTGATTGATTGATTGACTTGTTGAATGTTGACTAACTGATTTTGATTGATGAATGATTACTATTATGTGTTATTATATGATTCTTATTATATATTATTACTTTTCAAATTTATTTATTACTAATACTGGTTTAAAATTGCTTGTTTTTTTATTTATTTTGTTTTAAGTTATGTCAATTATAGTTAAATTTAATATATGTGTAATTATAAGTGTATGTTGTGTGTGTGAGTGCAAGAAGCACAAATTCATTAACTTTTCAACTATGATGATAATGACCACAAACAAATTCAACCAACCAACATTTAATAACTTCTGTGTATCACATCACATCTAATTCTAATTCTGCTATCAATATTATTAAAATAAATATTGAAATTCTATTATACATTGAATTGCATTTTTAATACTTAATGATCAAAAGAATCACACACTTCACACATTTAAATGTTAACATTTGTTTTTTTTTTTTGTTTAAACTTATAGGTTTTTTCAAATGTGTGTGTCAGCATTTATAATTTGATTGCGTGGTGTGTGAGTTTGATTTAGAGTGTGTTTTCATTTTTATTCTTTTTTTTTTTTTTAAAGTATTGAATATTAAAAAAATTTTTGGAGTGAATTTAAATAGGTTAATGTTGATTATCAAGATTGTTAGGTGAATGATGAATGCAGTTGTAGTGGTATATATTTCTAGAAAAGTGTCTTTTGAATTTAATTAAAAGTACATACCTATAGTAAAAATTTCTTAAAAATACATGTAAAAAAACAACAAAAGTGTATATATATATTTGTTTGGTGGTTCGTGTGTGTGTGTTTATTTATTTGTTTATTTCGAACTATTAATTTAATATTAGTTTAGTTTAGTTTAATACTAAAATAAAATAATTTCTATAGCTGCAAACAAACATATTTTAATTTAAACATAAAAGTTGCAAACAACCAACACTTTTTTTTGATCTCTTTAAAATTGTGTGAGGTGACCCCACCTTAATATATTGCAAACTCTAGCTGCAAATGGTTAATTACCTTGTAAAAAATACCCACAAGTCAACGACTCATCAAAAATAATAAAATGAATTCAATATATAGTTTTTTTATTTTTTTCCTAATACAATTAATTTGATTGGGATAAAAATTGGCCTATCCGGATTGGAATTTGAAAAAAAATTTCCAATTATGTCAAATTTTTCATATGAAACCAAAGCTATTGGTTTATTCATTTTTATTTAACATAGAGACTTTTTTTTTTTTTGTTTGTTGTGTAGGTTGGTTTTTTTTTTTTGTTTTTTTTCTTTCTTTGATGTTTTAACATACCAAAAGTTAGGATGGTTGATCCAAAGAAAAATCAAGACCTTCACTACATACAACTTGTTAAATTCATTGAACTCATCGGGATTACCTAAATAGAATAGTGTAATAGTTTTTAAAAGGAAAGAAGTGGTCCACCATTGATCATTGAAATCAATGTTTGAATTTAAACTCACTATCTAAAACTCCAAACTTCAAACTTACTTCCTCTTTTTTTTAATTAATTCATTTTTGAAGTTCATTTTCATTTTGAATTAATTCCAATTCTTTTGTTAACAAAAAGAAAAGTTATAACTCTCTATCTCTCTTTCCTTCTCTGTCTTTTTTTTGCTGTAACAAATTATAAAGTTAGAGAATAAATATGTGACTAATTTTTTGCAATTTTTTTTTATTTTTTAAACTTGCAGAACTTCATTATCTAATCAATGAATAATAATCATGTGTATTTTTTGAAACCGAGTGTGTGAGAAAAAAAAAATTAAAATTTTAAAAATATTTTTTATTTTATTTTTTATTTTTTTTTTTTTTATGCACAAAACTTAACGAAAAATGAATTTTCAAATTGATTCTCGTTACTTAACGTTATGTTTTGTTTCAGTCGCACAACACTTGTTATAGAGTAGTAACGTTTTTCTATCTCTACCTATCTTATGAAAATATAAAAATTAAAATTTCCGGAAATGAAATCGTCCAATGAAGATATTCATTTATTCGATGACAGTGAGCATCTCGACTCTCCTGACATCCCACATAAACCAAATATAGATAATAATAATAATTTAAATAATAATAATAGTAATAATAGTAATAATTTAAATAATAATAATAATAATGAAGAATTTATTGAAAATGAAGATGAAGAAAATAACAATAATCAAATAGATGAACAACAACAACAACAACATGAACATCAAGAAGAACAACAACAACAACAACAACATGAGGGTGATGCCGATGCTGATGCTGATGCTGACAACATAGGGATGAATGGTGGTGGTGTACATCAACAACATGAAGGTGAAGGATCGTCAGAAGATGTCGGAGCAGAGACTGACCAGATGGTTACGATTCACCATGAGCATTTACATCAGCATCATGAAGATGCTCATTCTCATTCGCATGCTCATGGTCATGGACAAGAGATGGCCGATGTCGATCAACAACATGAACATGAACATCATCATATACATCACCATCACCACCACCAAATGCAACACCATGACATCGATGATGAGTCGGATGTGGTAGTCGTCCAGGAGCATATGCACCACGAAGTAGTCGATGGTGTCCACCATCACCAGACACAACAAGAGCACGTCCATGACCACGGTGAAGAACACCAGCACCACCATCATCATGAACACGTTGGCATCGGTATTGTCGTGCAACCCGAAGAAATCATAGATAACACTCACCATGTGATTGTCGTTGACGACCAAAAGTCACGTAAATCCCTACAGGACGAGCAGATGGACGTTCACTTTGAATCCGATGGCCAACTTCATCTTCAGTCGATCGAGCACCAACATCAACATCAGCATCACCAACATCAACATCAACACCAATTGCAACACGACGATATGATTGTAGATCAACATCAGGAACAACAACACCACCAACACCATCAACATCAACATCATCATCAACACCACCAACATCATCACCATCAGCCAATCCAGAGTGTAGTCGATGGACTTGTCGTCGACGAAGCAGACGGACATCACTCTGGTCAACTGGAAACAATCGTCCACCTAACTGATGAGGTTATGCACCATGAGCCACAACACGAGCATTCCGAACACCACCAACATCTACTACATCACCAACACCACCAAGTTGTAAGCCAGCACGTCGAACACACTTCTCAGCAACAGCAGCAACAACAACAACAGCAGCAACAACAACAACAACATCTCGATCAACAATCTCTTCACATTGAGCAGATACAACAACAACAGCAGCAACAACAACAATCAGACCAAGATCAACAAGTTGGATTAGTTATTGTTGAGCAGCACGTGATCGATCAGGTGCAAGACCAACAACAAACACCTGTAATTCAACAACAACAACAACAACAGCAACAACAACAACAAGAACAAGACCAACAAATACAATCTGTTCAACAAGTTAAACAACAACAACAAGATAATAATGAACAAATTACACTTCAACAACAATCACAATCACAACAACAACATCAAACACAACAACAACAAGAAGAAGAACAAATGCACATAGAAGAGATTACCAGTCACCCACTCCAACACCCACTCCAATCACAAGCACAACAACAGCATCAAACACAACAACAACAAATGACTATATCAGAACATCCACATATGATTCTTGGTGACTCGATGGAATCGGTTCAGAATCAACGTGCAACCGAGCCAATGAAACCAGAGACCCAAAAGACATCCAATGCTATTAAACAAAAGAAATACAGAGACGGTTTAAAGAGAAAGCAAGAGGAAGCTGACAAAAGACTGAAAGATTTGGTAGAAGAGAATCGTATATTACAATTCAACTTGGATAGATTAAAAGATATAGAAATCGAAAAGAATATATTGGTTCGTGAATTACAAAAGTTAAAATATGATATAGAACATGGACAAATTCATTTGAATAATAATATTAATAGTAATAATAATAATAATAATAATAATAATCATCATCAAACCATTAATAATAATAATAATATTCAAGATATTGAAATGATAGATACACCTCAAACAACAACAACAACTACAACAACTACAACTTCATCAACAACCTCCACACCACCACCACCACCACAACCACTCAGCTCAACACCATCAATAGGCGACATGCCTCAACTTGATCATATACAACCACGCTATCGTGATGAAATCCTGCATTTCAAGGAGAAGAGAAAACTAAACTTTTTCCAAGCTGACGAGGGTGAGCACATAGACGACCTTCACATCATGACCACCAATACCTATCTCAGCCAGACCAATGAGCATCCACAACACGACCAGCATGGCAATATCATAGAGGATCCAAAGCAGATCGCCAGTAGAAGAAAGATAGAGTGTGTCGGTCTCAGTGACGATGTTTTCCACTCGGCTTTCAAGAAAGAGTGGTTCCCGCCATTCAGTGAGACCACCGTAGTCCAGTTGGACGACGAGCTATACATCAACTGCAAAGCACTGGACTGCATGGATCAATCGTGTTTCGGTGTCTGCTACAAGTGTGGCATCGTTCGTGCTCAATTCCTTCAGAAGCGAGACGAATGTGCACTGCAGGAGTACGAACAACATCAAATCATACATCAACATCAATTGCTACAAGCTCAACAAGCTCAACAACAAGCTCAACAACAACAACATGTACAATCACAATCAACCATCTCACATCAAACTCCTTCCTCTTCACCCTCGCCAATTCTAACTCCAACTTCCACCTCCACTTCAACACCGTCCAAATCAGAGAGTAGCAGTAGAGACAATCATCATAAATCTAGCACTCCCAAGAGCACCGAAAAGACGTCCAGTACATCTTCAAAGAGAAAACGTCAAAAGAAAGAAAAAGAATCGAAGGAATCAACTAAAGAACCAAAGGTATCCGCTAAGGAATCTGCCAAGGAAGACAAGGAAGAAGACAAGGAAGACAAGGAAACTAAGGAGCAGCATAAACAACCAAAGGAACCTATTGTAATCGCACCAATACCACTACAAATTTCATCTTTACCACCAACCAGAAGAAGATCAGCCGCAATGAAACTACACCAACAACAACAACAAGCTGCCGCTGCTGCTGCCGCTGCCGCACTTCAACAACAGCAACAACAAACTAATTATGAACTTCCTGAATCACAAACTACTCCACCAGGATCACCATTTTCACAAACCATTTCAACATCACCTGAAATTGTACAAAATATAACAACCACCACAACAACCACAACTTCAAATTCTGTTGATCAACAACAACAAAATACAGATACTACAGAATAAAAATGACTCTTTTTTTTTTTTATATTATATTTTAAAATTTAAACTATTCTATTTACAATTTATTGAACGAAAGTGATAGACTGTCTTCTAACAGTGCATCGAAATTATCGAATTCCTTACGCATGAAAAAGCATCGTATTCCGAGGAGCATTCGTACTATTAGCGATGATTCCAAGGTGATTTGAGAGGAGTGAAAGTTAAAGGTGGTACTCTGGTAGTTACATTCGATGTGTGCATCCACTGAGAGGTATGGTATCAGTGGTTCAATCATTATCGGTGAGAGGTGCTCAACCAGTTTAGGACACACTCTGAACAGAGAGAGTATACGCTGGAGTTGAATCGTTCGGTTACACCCTATATTCTCCAACACATGAAACATCGTAGTGAACTGTAACATATCATCTCTCAATCTTTGTAATTGTCTTTGCTGAATACCTATTCCATTGTTGTTACTACTACTACTGTTAGTACTATAGCCAAAACTTCTCCTGCTGTTGTTATCACAACTGTTTTCCTTTCTTCCTAAACCAACATAACACTCAACGAGCACATCAAAAGGTATTCTATTTTGTAAGATATTGTTCAATTGATCAATATAAATACTCTCGTTCATGTTGTCGTTAAAATCAAACAAACACACCTCATCTTTTGCAAAAGAAAAACATTCATTCAATCGCTCAACGAAAAATTCAAAGTAAACACACAAATTTTGTTGTTATTTTTTATTTTATTTTATTTTTTAAAACAATCAGCCGAATCTACTCGAACGAGTAATAAGTAGTGAGTGTTTAATGAATATAAGTTATTTATTATTAATTGAAATAAACCGTTAACTTTCAACAAATCAATTGGTTAATTTTTCTATGATTGATTTGTTGTTTATTTTTAATTTTTTTTAATTTAATTATTTTCTTTTTCTTTTAACAATTCTTGTTACTAAGAATTTCCAGATAATTATTAAAAGATTTAAAACATTGTTATTAAAAATAGTTTGGTTCTCTGACCAAGTAGATCGCAAGTGATCAGATCAGAGCTTAAAAGTGTCACCAATCATCAGAAACCCAACATTGTCATCTGACAAATTAGAAATGCAATGAAATAAAATACTATTGAAATATTTTAAACCATTTAATGTAAATTATGATCACCCAAAAACTTGATAAGGGGCAAAACTATACTTTTCATTTTTTTTTTTTGTGATATTGATTGACAAACTGGTATAAAAATAAATTGTTCTTTTTTTTTTTTAGATTTTTTTTTATCTGCAACACAAGTCAATCAATTTGAGGTAAAAACCACTTTTAGAACTTATGAGAATTTTTCAATGATTGGGTGTTTTTTTTTATTTTTTTTTTTAATGCATTTTTTTTTACTTTAAATTAAGGGGGTGATTGATATATTCAACTAACTACAACATTAGTCGAGTAAAATCTGATGTTTAATTTTCTCAGATATACCCCCTCCATAATATATCGTTGGAGCATATCATTTTAATTTTGAGTTGGTTGTTAATCAAAGTCGGTAAATATCTCATCAGGAGTCAGACCATATTATTTATGTGTTAGGCGGACGTCACTAATTTCTTTCATTGATTTACCAAATTGTGAGAGTGGATCATCGCTCTATCCAATCAACTTTACAACAAATCAATTTTGTTTAACACTCACACAACAATTGTCTTTCTAAAAATTAAACAAAAAGTTTGCTGTATTGATATGTATGTGGGTGACCATCTTCGAACTCCAATAGGTCGACTCATATATTATTGGACATCTGACTATGATTAAACACCACACACATTATTTTTATACTGTATGCAATATCAACTTTAGAACAGGTTAATATGACAAAAATAAAGGATGATTACAATCACAGAGCACAATTTTAATAATATCAATGTCACGATGTGGGAGATTGCCTTGAATCGATGATGTTCATTGGATAAGCACAGATTAGTAAAAAATCAAAATTAATCGAGTAATCACCAACATAACAACTAACCAACCACCTGCTCTGTTATTAATAACTTATAACGTGTCCAAAAGTACCAAATGGTCAATTCTATCATAGTATCATATTAATTAATGGAATTATTATTGTAAATTTGAGGTGTTAGGAGGAAGAAGTGGAGAATAATCTAAACATCACATTTTCATCTCAACACTGATATTATTAACAGTGTAGGTGATAAAAGAATTCATCCGCTCACCTTTCATGCTCAACAACAACAACAGCTAAACTTGTTTTTAATTTAGAGACAAAACCCCACTAGAACAACAAAGTTAAATCTCAAAACAAAGGACATAGGATTGATTGACTGCCTCTAACCAATGGTTTGATCTGTACATTTTTATCAACATCCCTGGCAGGGAGCTGTTGTGTCAAAGTTAATCCTATCCTTTCCAGATAGAATATAACTGTCCAGACTAAAAATAATTATAAGAGGAATTAAAAATAATTATCTGACTCTTTTGTTGCACAGGCACACAAACAAACCTATTTAAATCAGTGAACACCTTCAGACATGTTTCATTTTTAGTTAAATCCAAATCCAGCTGTATTCCTTAACAGAGTAATATATGAAGTTAGATTAGTCCAACTATTATCACTACTACCACCACCTTATACATTTGTACTACCACAACATTCCAACTATAAATCTTTAAGATTATATAGCATCAACACTTGTAATACTACCAACATCAATACAACATCACCCAAAAATCAACAATCTAATTTATTTATAAACAAAACAACAATCAAACAAACATGTCCAACTCAACTGTTGCACCATTAGTTCCAGAACAATGTTATTGTGATCCATCTGTAGTCCTTGGTTTCTGTCACCAAGGTGGTTGCACTGCTTTCGCAGCTATCTACTTGATCGTTTGGTTCATCGCCATGGCTGAAGGTATCAGACGTATCGTTATCAATCGTCGTAACTGGAAGACCGCCATCTATGTCTCCAATGTCCAATTGACCATCGGTGTCGCTCTCTGGTTCGTCCGTCACATTATGTTGTTAGCCAAAGTTACTGAACTCTACTCGATGGCCGTCCTCCTTACTTTCGGTGTCGCTTTCTGGGTCAGTGCTTACCTCTGGATTCTCGTTTCCTGGTGTGACATCATCCTCTCTGTAAACTTTAGCAAACCAATTCAAAAGACCTTCATCATTGTCAAGTACGTCATCTTGGCATTCAACGTATTGTTGTTCGTCGGTTGGATCATCGGTAACACCATCTACTGGCCATACTACATCACCAATATCTTCTTTGGTATCTACGGTTTCGGTATCACCCTCGGTTTCTTTGCTCTCGGTCTCATGATCTGGCGTGAATACTACAAGGTATCTCACATTGCCGCTCACGGACAAGCTGCCCACGACACCTACGCCAAGGTTCGTAAGGTAACCATGTTGGCCACATACGTCAGTATCGCCGCTATCATCTTCACCATCTGCTTGATTGCTTCTGCCTACAAGCTTCCACACAACCCTGCTGGTGCAGTAGCCTGGATGTTCATCACCCGTATTCCATTGGCACTCTTTGTCTACACCATGCTCGTCGTGTTGATTCCAAACCGTCAGCAGAACCGTGTCAACAAAGACAAGGAGTGGGCCGAGAAGATGCAACGTCTCGAGTTCTCAACCAACGCTCAATCCAACATGTACGAAGAGACCACACTCTCAATGGATACTGCCACCATCACCATCTCCACCGGTACCAACAGTGGTATGATGGAAATGAGCTCAGCCGTCGAAACCAACAAAACTAGCAACGGTTCAAACTCCAATACCAATAGTGAGTCTTCACTTGGAAGTAACAATTAAACTTCCTTCTTTAAAATAATAATAATATAGCAATTCAATTCAATTCATTTCATTCAAAAACCTCTCGCACCGCCATCTTGCTTTTGATCAATCAGTTTTAATCAAACAGGCAAACATCGACATCAAACAACTCCAAACAAATCTAACAAACCAAAAAGGTTTGAATAATATTAATAGTCGTCTTCATCAACATTATCAATGTAACATTAATCATTATTGAATGATATTAAAAATAATAATAACTTTATTCATTTAAATAATCATATTTTTAAAAATCAAATATTTAAATAAAGTTTATTTAGTAATAATAATAATATTTTGACTTTTTGAATTGAAATTTGATTATATATATCTTTAAAATATTATAAAATAAATATATATCTTTAACCTATGTTGTCATTGTGATTATCGTAACTTCAGTTATTCTGAAGGATATAAATATACAAAAGCGGTAACAGTAACAAACACAACTACACAATTGTTGGAGATGTTCTTATTTTTGATTATAATTATTGACATTGCACAATTAAGTTATATATCTATCTTCTTTTATTATCATAATTGTGTGTGTTTCATTTTATAATTAAATATAATTAAATTAATAACCAACACCAAAAAAAAAAAAAACATAAAAATCTGAATTCTGATTTTAAACATACGTATTAATCATTTTTTTAATCACTTACTTTTTCAGTAATAATAAAAAAGTAGAATCAGAATAATAAAAGATAAAGTTTATGAATAGTAATGAAATGATCAACAGTTATTGTTGTTACTGTCTCCCCATATGTTAATAATCTTATCATTCGAATGGAATAATAAATATCATATAATATTCATTTGAATTCTACTTCAAGTATTTTATCATCAACTATTACATCATCAAATTAATATTTTAAAAATGATTTAATCTTTTAAAAAAAAAGATAGAGAGTTTTTTTAGTTTATATGGTTGTGGAGTATGGTGTTTTGAGGGAGTTTACTTTCTTTTTGTGGACAACACATCACACACACTAAGCTCACTACATTTAGACATACACACACACAACCCAACACACAATCATACACACCAATATAATATATTTATGTATAATCACTTTATAATGAATAAAAATAGGGTTGTCTATTTTGTTGTGGTATAGGTGTTTGACAAGAATAAAAGATCAATCAGATCTTAAATATTCTATCTTTTTTTCAAGGTTTACAATTAAAATATCCCAAAACTATTATGATTTGATGATGTATGATAACTAATTATCAATCTCTAGGGTATTTATCATCCAAACGATGGTTTCATATCATCAACATATATATATATATGCAACTTGTTTAAAATCAAAACAAATCAAATCACAAATCATATATTATTTAAGAAGTAGTAAAGTAAACATTCATTTCATTCATTCATTCATTCAATTCTAAATATTGTTTAAATTGATATCAAACTTTACAATTGTTATCAATAGTAATCGAACCTAATAAATCAATCATGTTCAACTTTTACAAAAGTAATAATTGTACAAATAAAAGTAATAGTAATAATATATCCATAATAGTAGTTTTAGTAATTCTATTTTTTATAAATATATCTCAATGTGGTAAGTAGTAGTTAGTAACTGATATACATACATATCTAATTAGTATTCAATCATTAAAATGTTTTAACACTTTCCAATACATTTAGATCCTGTTGTTTCAAATATAGTATATTTTAAAGGATATGCAGATATTTTTGGACAATTCCAAAATGCAAATTCAGTTTTATTTTCTAAAGACTCTTTCGCCAGTTCCAGTGGTATCGAATTTCAATTGGTCGATGATATGAATATAAAAGTCAATATTAGTGAAAATATGGTGTCACTTGGAATGATCCAAGTTTGTACCAAAGGTGGTGACTGTAGTAATAGCGCAATTTGGAATCCAGTTGTTATCGATAGAATCATTGGTACTCCGACAGAGGGTGGTGTTGTTAGTGTTCAAGGTCAATATCTACAGGGTTCCAACAGCAAGTTGAAGTTCTCAAAGACCAATATCATGTTAAACAGCTCCTCAGATTCATCCACTGAATTACTCTTTAATTTCCCAACTGAGCTAGCTCAACAATTCGAGAGTACCGATGTAAATGTAACCATTCAAATTAGATCAACTGTTTTTTCATCTAGATTCTCATTTTTAGGTAGGTTGGATAATAATATTGTTAAATAATCAAATAGTTATAGATTTCTAATTAATTTTACTTATTAATAATATTAGCTCCAAAAATTGATACCATTTCAATCGACAAAGAAAGTTCATTGGTACACCTTGAAGGTAGTAGTTTTGGTGTTAACAGTTCATTGTTAAGTGCAACTATCGATGGTATTCCAATCCCAATCTCGAATATTTCGAAAAATTTCTATGTTTCCTTAGATACCAGAGGTATTAAAGATTATTTCAGTTATGCTGGTCTTAAAAAGGTTCAATTGAAAAGAAATGAACTATTTTCAAAGCCAATGGAAATTAAAATTAGTATGTTAACATTTAAATTGATTACAATATCTTTATTGTTTATTTATTAACGTTATTACTATTATTTTATAGGACCTGTACCAATGAATATTACAACAGTTTCAAGTGATATTGGTGGATTAGTAACAGTTTATGGTTCTACTTTTACACACTTCAGATGGAATAATACTTTGGCTGATGTATCGATTTGGATCGGTGATATTCTATGCAAAGATCCACAACCTCTTTTAGCACTACCAAATCGATTCACCTGCAAGCTTGGTCCAGTCGCAAGAAATAAACAAACTGCCGATCTAGTTGTAAAGGTTATCATCGATGGTGCTGAATCAAACAAGAGTCTACTCTTTTCCTTTGATATCCCAGCTCTTTACTATTCAAAGCAGAACGTTGACATCATCGAGTTGACCGGAGAGAGACTCGGATTCTCCGATGATCTGAATAAAACAACAGTTTATTTCCGTGATTTCACGTTGACTCCATTATCGATCACCATGATAAACAACACCGGTCTCCAGTTGCTCAAATTCAGAATCTCCAACGCCACTGCAGTCGGTATCTACAAAGGAATCACCTTGAAGTTCAAGCATATCCTCTCGAATCCAGTCGATGTCATAATCAGTCCTGTGATTACCGATATTACATCGCCACCAACTACAGGTGGTAGAATTACAATTTCCGGTGTATTCTTAAACACCAAGGAAATCTCGAAAATAAGCATCATTGGTGACGACGGTGGCAACAACAAAAACAACAGCAATACAAATGTAACAGATTGTAGATCTATGGAGAGAGTAACACCTTACTCCATTGCCTGTGTGGTCGGTGCTGGTAGTGGAGGAAACATTCTAATCAACGCAAGCATGAAGGGACTATCGATTGCTCACAGCTTCAGCTATCAATCGCCCAGCGTTCACTCCTCCACTACAATCAATTTCTTTGGAGGTCAAGTCACAGTTTTCGGTGATAATTTCGCACCAAAGAATCTCAGTGTTACCATTGGCGAGATTGAATGTACCGATCCCAGACTCGTATCGGCAGAAGTTCTGGTGTGTTCGGTCGACCAGAAAACAATACCATCGCCAGTACCAATCGATGTCCAGAATGTCACGGTCACAGTCAATGGCTTGGTTGGAAGCGCATCTGTATTCACCTATATCCAACTACCCACTAAATCACCACTCGACAAGCAATTGAAGCAACTCGCTTGGGTCATTCCTATCGGAGCTGTTGCAGTTGCATTTGTAATTCTAACAACTATTATTTTGTCAGTAAGAATGTATAGACAGCACCTAAAGAAGAAAGCTGTAAAGCATTTCTTAGAAGCATAGATTACAAACAAAATAAATATATATATTTTGGACGACTATAAACTTATTTCTTAAAAAGATCTTTTTATTTATTAAATAAAGTATTTTTAATGATATAATCAATATGTTTCTATATTTCTTTCAAATTATCAACTTAATTAAAAAAAATCAACATTACAGTAAATATGTTACTTTCCTCAAATTATTCTTCTATCATCTAATTTTATTAAAAAGCAATAAGTTTGGTTTAGTTCTTTTAACCAAACAAGAAGATTCAAAAAAGTCTGTTTTTGTTGTTTGATCTAATGAAAATCAATGGTGAGTGTCGGCACCGTATCTTAATTAATTTATGAAAAAAAATTACAAATTTACATCTTAAATATATGTAAGGGTATGCTAAAATCTGAAAGAAAAAAAAGTTGAAACTAGATTGAATGTTCATCATCCTTTTCACTTACACATTTCATCATCATCTTCAAAGTAATCTAGTTAACAAACACCATTGTTTAGATATTTAATGCTTTAGGTTGTTAAAAACATTTTTTTACGATTAAAATGCACGTTTTTTTGTTACTTTTTAAATATTTTTTTAAATTTTATATTAATTATATTCCAATTTTTTTCCAAAAGATAAATCTGTCTAAATCAAGATTAGTACAATGATGTCATATGTTTTATTTGTGTGACGTCTCGGTTTTTAAAACTTCCACATCTTTAACAGTAAATACCGATATCTTTTAAATTTTAGTATAATCAAATCTAATCATTAAACTTTTGGTATTGTAGATGGGTGGTTTCAAAACAAAGTTCAAAAGAATGTTCTTTGGAAATTCACCTCTAACAAACGAGTACTGATTCCTTCAACTATTTAAAGCGAAAATTCACTTTACTTTTTCTTGAACAACAATTTTGTTATTTTGTTTATCTCTTTAATTATTCATATAGTATATAAATATAAAAATGATCTCTAAATTATCTTTATTTTTTGTATTTTTCACAATCGGAATGGTAGTTGGAAGTTCTGACACACCTCAATATAATAAACCAACAACTTTGTTAACTTTTGGAGCATATTACCAAGAGATAGATCTTACCACAGGTGAACTAATTACTTCAGATCCGATTAATGGAAACTGGAATGTTGAAAATCTTTTATCATATGATGTAGAATCAAAAGAGGTAAGTAATATCTTATAATTTATAATTTAGTATTAAAATAATAATTATTAATAATTTATATTTAGGCTTTGCTTGTTATCCAAGATTTTATCAATGGAACTTACTGTATTAGTTTTAACTCAGACACTGCAGAATATGTAGAGTTGGGTTCAAACTTGATAAACGGTTCCATTGTTTTGGACGTTTTAGAACAACCATATATATTCAACGAACAAACCAATACCGCTTATCTTATTGGTATGACTCTTAACAATACAAATATTGCAATGATTGCAATGGATTTCAATCAAGGTTATATGTAAGTAGGATTTAAAATTATTTTTTATATGTTAATTAATTTTTATTCCAAACTTTTTGGCTTTATTAGGTATGTTGATTATTATAATTTCACAGGAAGTGAAAGTACTACTCCAGCTTTTGTCTTCAATCCAAGTTTGAATTCAATTTCCACCATTTTCGCAGACATCAATTCCAATGCCATCTATTTGACTCAAGTCGGATTCGCTGGAAATAAATTGTTGTCCCAGACACCATTGGTCAATTTGCCAGAGGGATTGGACAGTTTCATTTTGTTAAACTATTACAACGGTCAACTGTACGGAGTTTTCACATATTCAAATGGATTCGGTGTTGCCATCATTAATACCAATGGTGGAGTCAAAGTTGTCTATACAATGGAGACTGCAACAGATACAAATACAAACCCAGTTGTTCAAGGTGGTGACTACTACATTTTCTTCACCCAAACAACCAATTTTAATGAGTTAGAGTACACTTTCTTTAATATGGCCACTTTGAAGGAAGAATCATCTTTCACCGTTAAAAACCCATTGGTAAACCTTCAGCTTGTATTCTATGCTTTTTAAAGAATAATAGAATAATAGTTAAAAATAATTTCTAATTAATAAATAATCTTTAAAGATCAAAGAATTCAAATTGTTTTTATTTTAAAAACATTTTTTTAAATCAGTTTTTTGTAAACTTTATCAAACCAAGTTCAGAACAACTAACGTGATCATCTTTAAAGATTATTAACAACAATATCTACAAAAATAATAGTACATCTACAATAACAACAATGTATAAAATAGTTTTGAAGTAATAATAGTAAAAGTTTGAATACACTGAGAAACAAAAACATGAGATGGAAACAGAAAAAAAAAAACAAAAAAAATTACCATTTGGTTTACAACTGTGACACTGCCACTCCATCTCTATTTTGGTTCTATTAAAATTGTTTATTTATTTGATACATTTAAAATTCAAATTTTTTACTACTTGAAAATTTCTTTAACTTATATGATGCCATTTTAAATTGATATCTATATTTCTTCTTTAAGAATATATATACACCGAGTGCAATTGCGGCAGCACCAACAACGACTACTACAACAACTACTGGAATTAACCATTTTCTTTCTTTGGATGAACATGTATCTCTATCGCTATCGTTTTGTTCAACTGTAACCAATGCACTATAATTTGGATCTACAATTGCTTCTGTCTCGAAAAATGGAATCGTGATTGCAGTTAAAACATTAAAGTCATCTTTGTTTGATTGATCGACTTTAGTCTTCTCTGAGTCAGTTCCATTGAGATTCTCTACAACACTGTATCTAACTTGTCCATCCACCAACAGACGATCGGAATAAAATGCATAAAGTGTAGATTTATCTTGGATAACATTCATTCTTCTGATTACTGATTCGGTGTTCATTGTCTCTTTGACTTTGGTAATTGGCAGATCACAACTATCGAGCTTATTCTCATTCTGTGTTAAAATGAGGATCTGGAGTGAACTAAGACGGTTGGCAAAATTCCATTTAGAAACTGAGATTTCATATTTCACCGAATTGGCTGGAATATTAAAGATATCACCCTTGAAGTTATAGGTGTTCTTTTCATCAAACAACATCATCTTTACTTTGACGGTAAGATCGTTTTGAGTTGCCAATATATTTCTATTGACAATAGATTGACTTGGTTTTAACTTTCCAATATAGTTGTATACAGTAGAGTTGCTTCCATTGACAGATACCTGTGTCCATTTGATATCTTGAATGCTGATGGTATCTGATACAGCACCGGTATCCAATACTTCTCTAATAGAATGTACTGAAATCTTGAATTCTTGGTCTGAATCTTTTGTTGAAAGTGTGATATTGATTTGATCTGGTTGTGGTGGTGCAACAATCAGGGGTTGTAAAACTTGTGGTTGGTCACATGAATCGCCAGTCCAATCTTGATAACATTGACATACATTGTTGATACAATCACCATTTCCTGAGCAATTGTTTCCTCCACAGTCATAGTTTTGGAGGTCGTAAAGGAACACCTTTGAATTGAACACTAACTTATCAACACTGACAAACACATCCAAAGTTTCATTCTCTGCTTTTCCTCTGGCAATACTTGAATCATATTGACAAGTAATCATTGTTCCTTCGATATTGGAAGTAGCATTCTGACATTCTGCTGTTTCTACACCATTACTAATTGTTACAACTACACTGGTGTTGGCAAAGTTCTCACCAAAGACTGTAATTAAACCACTAACATGGTAGACAGTTGATGTTGTTGAAGAGACAGAAGGTGGTTGATATGACATTTCAGTGGATTCATTTAGTTGAGTAATGGTCGATGCGAGAGTTAGATTGGTGTAACCAGTTCCTCTCGGGGCACTACATTCAATTTGGTATGGATCGTAGTCTGTCGATAGGAATTTGGCATCTTCACACTTTGTTGAACCAATGAAAAGATCATATGTAGGTTGATTTTGGTAGGATACAAAGGAAAGGTAATTACCTGTGATAGTAAGTTTTCCTCCAACTACAGGTGGTTTAGAAATACTTAGAATCTGATAAGCTTTAAAATTAAGTTAGAATCTAAAATTTCTATGATAATAATAATACGGAATTTATACTTACGAATGTCAATGATGGCCGAGTCAGTATTTAATCCACTTGTAGATATGTAGTAGTTGCCTGATCTAGCATTTTTTGGTAGAATGTAAACGGCAGTAGTATAATTAAATGAAAATGGAATGATATTTGGTTGTAAAGTTAAACCATAAAGATATGGTATTACCAAAGGAACAGTTGGATAGGTTGTGTTGTCACTGAAACCTAAAGCCTTACCAGTGATAACTAATTTATAATCACTTAAAATTTCAACTTTGGTTGTCACTGGAGCTATGAATGAAACTGAAATATTTGTGAAGTCAACTCCACTTTCCAATCTTAATTGTTGAGTTCCGGCAAAAGGTGGACAAGTGTAAGTGAATTCCAAACCATTATTGCCTTGTAATTGCAACTCATATCCACTTAGATATGCTTTATCTGTAGATGTAAAGAATAAAACTTGTAAAAGTATATTGTTTGAAGCTTCCAAACTATTTGGATGATTTAATATGACCGGTTCTTTAAAAGAGAAAAATAATAATTAATAAATAATATTATATAATCGGACAGATTATACATACTCCAAGTTTTAGAATAAGATATAGAAAAACCTCCTTGTGAGGTAATTTTGAAGTCACCATTTTGGTTGGCTGTTGAAAAAGTAAATAAAGTAGTATTTTCAGAAACATAGTTAATGTTGGCTGGGGCTGATCCACCAACTGAGAAAGTCCATCCATCTTTGTAAAGATCGAAATTTCTACCTTTTAAAGTTACGACAGAGTTGTCTTGTACAAACTCATCAACCTCAAAAGCTTTTAATAATAAGTTAATATAATTTTTCCTTTCATTTTAAAATTTTAAACCTATTTACCTGCAAAGTTGATGAAAGCTTCACCAGAGACATAATCAGTCATTATAACTCTTGGATAGAATGTAAATTCACCACTAAAAGCTGGAGGTAAACAACTGTAAAAAGTAGTGTTTATCAGGACAACATTGCTACAGTAGTTACTCTCTGTAATCTCAATAGTACTGGTTCCATCATAGTTATAGATTTCAAAAAGTACTTCTTGGCTATCTACTGATATTCTATCTGGGGTAATCGAATTAATCCATACATAAGTTCCACTTGTCACATTTAGTTTTTCAATAGTAAAACTACCGCATGTCATATTGAATTCGTAGAAGGTGTCGGGTTTTCCAGACATTTCACATGTTATAGTTCCTAGAATAGTTTGTTCAATTGCCATACAATTCAATCCAGAAATTGAAATTGGATCACCAAAATTATTGCCAACAATAGAAACTACATTTTTAGTAGCACTAACTGAGATTACAACAGGTGCTAAAATTGAAATAGAAATTAATAAGATATTTGTTTACTTGGAAGCATAAAAACTACATACGAAAGTAACTGAGAGAAACATTGAGCAATCTAGATTGTTGGGCATTTGGCTCTTGATTTCTCACCAAAATTTCAACAAATGAGGGATAAGTTAATTGAGGAGCTGGGAATAGGACCGATTTGGTTGCAAAGTTCAATTCTATTGAAGTTTCAAAGGGTGGATCTGTTTGGGTGATAAAAGTAACTTCGCTTTGTGGATAAAAGAAGTTATCACTAAAAACTACTGTTACAGTATCACCTATAGAAACTTGAGTGGGTGTCACACTAGCAATCGAACCCTTCATCAATCCATATACAGAAACAAAAGGCAATTGCAGATTGGTTGAAAGATCGACACCATATACGCTCTGGTCTGTTGAATTAAAGTAGAAACGAGGACCATTAACATTTCCTTTAACTGGTCCCATGTATTGGGCGTCAAAGAAAAAGTAATCTGAGCCGATCTTGGTAAGCTGTGTCCAGATGTTAAAGTTGGCACCTTGGAAGAATGTTGCTGAGATGAAACTTGAATGTTTCAAACTATCTACTAATGAGAGGTTACCAGTGTTATAGAAAATATTATCCTTTGACGATAGTTTGACGGCTGTTTGGAAATCATAGGTTCCTGGATATGAAGAGTAGTATAATTGATTGTCTGGATATCTAACGGCTGGACGGTTGATTTGAGCATGGTATCTGTAACCTTGATAGGTGGTATAGTCAAGTGTAATTGGGTAGGCTACATCCTGCTCCTGCATATAGAGTGTTGCTTCAAAAAATCCTGGACCATTTGGAACATTGTTGTAGGTTACTGTAACCAAGTTGGTATTGATTGTTAAAATTTGATAAGTGGACTGATCGTTTAAAGTTTGGAAATTATATCCATAGAATCTGAATGATTCCATTGAACTGTTGAAGTACGATGAAATCCATGGCGAGTTATATCGGAAATAGTGTCTCGATTGTGGAAGCGAACCAGATTGGATTTTCAACATCATTGGTGCATCGTATTGTGGATCACTATCAAATTCGCAAGTCACTGACTCTGCGGTTTGAGAGATGATAGAACAATGATAGCTCGACTCTGAGGTGAAGAGAATAGCCAAACTTGGATCTTCTATATCTGGTATATTGGAGATTGTCATTTGTCGTGATCTTACTTCTTGGAGTTGAATAACTGGCATTCTTCCTTGTGGTTCGAATTCGAGAATAACAAATTTCTTTGTGGTTGCATCTGCTGCGTTCCAGGCGAAAGAAACCTGTAGTGATTCATTAGCGGTTTGAGTGTACCAGAGATATGGTTTAGAGATGTCACTATTACCATTGAAGTCTCCACAGTAGAGGTAGCATCTCTGAGGGATTGAAGTATATACTGACTGACCTCTGGTTGATCCATTGATCCAACCCCAATTCAGTTGGTTGGCATCCAAAGGTTCAATTCCAAGCCAAACATCCTTGTTTCCGACATTCAAGTTATCTACACCAAGATATGTACTAAGGAATTGTACTTCATCTAAATCATCAAGTACCAGCAAATATCTAAATTTTTTTTTATGAAAAAAAATAAAAAATGATTTAATCAATAAAAAAAGTTTTATTTTTATTTTTATTTTTATTTTATTTTATTTTTTTCAAATAAATATTTTTTATTACCTACCCATTATATCCTGGATATTCTATAGTGCTAGCAAGAACCAATGCCTCTTCAAATGTAGATGCTATATCGGTATCAACTATACCATACATATGAGAGTTTTGATTATTGATAACCAAAGTTATAGCTGTGGCAAAGTTTACAATTAAACCCAATATGAAAATAGATACATAAATATTATATTTCATTCTAAGTGAGGACATTATTATAATAGGATCAATCGATTCGAGAAAAGATCTAGTAAATCAAAAAAAGTTGCAAAAAAATTTGTAAATCGAAAAAAATTTATTTTTAATTTTTTTTTTGTGCAAACCATGTGATTAAAGTGAAACGCCGTTTTTGTGACCGATTTTGATTTAATGTTGTGTCAAGATCCTCACTTTGGTCTAATTTTTTTTTAATTTTTTTCTGTGAAGGATAACGGGGGTTTAATTTCTTTTAAAAAAAACAAAATATTTTCTTTTTTCCAAGTTACCTGCCTCACCAGTTAAAGATGTTGTTTTATTTTGTATAAATCAACAACATCGATGAAATAATCAATCAACTTACACGAAATCAAAGAATTTTACTGTATTTTTTAGCTTTAGTTACGAGTATGTAGATATTAGGTACAAAAATAGATTGTGAAGTTACAGTTTGTTTTCTCTAACTAACCACCAACCATGAAATATTTATTTTTATTTGTTTTATTTGTTTACTGTTTTGAAGTTGGCAATGCTTCCACTTTAAACAGCTTAAAAGTTACTCCAGGAATCATATCGGGTGTTCTCTCTACCACTCCCTATGTTAATTTCGAGATCGTTGCTTCACCTGATGTCACCAAAGGAATTCTAATGTTTTGTGAGACCGCTTTTGCATTCCAAAAGGATAGTGTTACCTCGGTTTCTGCTTCAAATGCCAATATCTATTTGTGTATTACTCTTGATGCTGATCTCTATACATTGTGCACATCAAGAGGTACCTATAATGTATCATCACTAATCTCGTCGATTCAACTTATGGATACTGTGATCCCGCGCGCCCAAGTTATGGCAGTGACCGCCACTTCGTCCACATTCTATCCCGATGCCTCGCCACCTACCATTTCAGACCTCACCGTTTCAGGTGTACAAGATACCATATACTTTAAATTCGGTGCAGTCGACCAATACAATAGAATCTCAGGTTGTTCTGTTATCTATACCACTGATACTGCAACAGTTGCCGCCATGATATATAATCCTGTTCCAGATGTCAATGGTTATATTTATGGCAGTTCAGTACCAGGCTCAGCAATTGGCGCAATTTTCTATGTATCCAATGTCACTTGTGATGATATGTACGGAAATAGATTCAGATATAATGCACCTAGCCCAATTAAGGTCACTCTTACCATTCCTCCATTTACTCCTTTAACACCAACTTTGGTGAGTTATTCCTTCTCGCCAATGACACTGTCCAACTCTGATATTGCCAAACAAAATACGATAAAGTATGTTGCAATTATCTCTGAACCACAATCACAGTTAACTTCGGTGACCGCCACTATGCTCAGTAATCCTTGTTCAGTTTCATTTGAAAGTAGCACTGTTATCAATATCTATTGTATCGTTAATCCCTACCCATCTACCGGAACCTTTTCACCAGATGTCACCATCAGTGATGTCAACTACCGACAATCTTTCATTTACCTCAATAACAATGGAACTCTTCAAATTACATCGAGTTACCTTACCAACTATCAGATTGTTTCCACCAAATACAGTACTGCAACAATCAATGGTTTACCTCCATTCACATTGCAAACCAACATTACATTCTTCTCTGGTGGTGTACCAATCTCGTTTATTAAATTGAATAGTTTTTTCAAAATCACACCAACTAGTCTGGTTTCTGGCACACTCACAGATGGAGTTCTGAGTGTTTTGCTCCCATACGACTCAAACTTCAGTCCATCCTTGAATACTACCGTATTCTTTATTACTCCACCATTCGGTTCCGGCCAAATTATTTCTATCGCCGGTCCACCAACATTCAGACCAGCACCCAAAGTATTACCTACAATAACAAACTCTAATCCTATAGTTTCATTGGATTTAACTGCACCATATCCATCACCAGTATATGGAGTATACGTTGCAAGTCAACCAGACGAAGATTTTACAACAAGAATTTCATATTTGAAAAATGTAAATTTCAATGATATCAACTATAGCAACAAAGGTTTGATTATAGGTACCAAATCAACAGGTTCCTACTTGATTGCACACGACGCAAGTTTGGGTAATAAATTAGCTAATTTATGGGATGTACGTTATGGAAATGGACCTATAAATTTGGGACTTACTCAGTTCACCCAATTTTCAACTGGATCAAGTACTTTATATTCGAGATGTACTCAATTGAAATTACCAAGTATATATTAGAAGAGTTAATTTAGTAATTTTTTTTATTAATATAATAATATTGTAATTTTTTTTTTTTCTTTAAAAGAAAATATATATCCAAAGATTATATCTTTTGATTATAGTCCAAAAGCTCTTTCCGTTTCCAACGAGACTCAATATGTAGTGTTTGATTTGGTTTTCCAAAACAACTCATTGGTGGGAATGTTTGATGAGGTTTCCATTCTCCTTGTCTTTAAACTAGTACCTACCATACCGACTCCTTGTCTTCCACTTCCAAATGCTATTGATACTTACAAATGCTTTATGCCTGTGGCTCCAGGAACATTCACCAATACCTTTATGGTTAAAATCGCCATTTCATATGTTAATGGTTTCTCCCATATAGTTCCAAGTGAATATTTAATCATGAATTCCAGAGCAAACAGTTTAAGATTCATCAACCCCGATCCATTTGTAAATTATATTCAACCAGTCTTTAGAAACTTGGGATACGACTCAACTTTGAAACAATTAACATTCAAAATCGAGGCAGTCAGCTCATATATTACTTCAGTTATCGTTACCATACACAATGCTTTCGAGATTGACGAGAACCAACAAACAATCTACACCTACTCTGCACAATTAAATCCATCAAAGATAGTCCAGTCGAATGTTAGTTTAAATCTCCCATGTAACTCGAAATCATTCAAATATAGTGAGATTAATCTGGTAAAATTCACCATTGTCGATGTAAATAGCCAGAGTTACACTTTTATTACTCCTCAACTTCAAGAAACCTTCCCTACTTTCAATATTCCACCTATTGTGTGTCCCGATGCATTCCCACCAACAATACAATCGATTTCATACACACAACCACTTACCAACCAAGTGAATTTGACCATTCGTGTAACAGACAATCTAAGTGGTTTCAGGAATATGACTGTATTATTAGATACTCCATATATATTCTCGAAAACAGTAACCATCGATCAAAGCAATCGCATCTCTGGTAATGCCAATGACGGTGTTTACTCTATCCTAATTAATTTCCCACCACCTGGAAATATAGCCTTAACCATATCAGTTCCACATCTATACGATAATCATGAAAACGATAGACCCTACTTAGTTCAAGACGTCGTAATGATAGGAAATACTCAGCCAATCATTCTAAGTGGTGATGGATCCGTACCAGATACTCCATCTATACTGTCTACAACATCACCAAGTAATGTAACTCTCGGTAGTGAGTGGTCAATACAGTTGGAAATGACTGGTGATGTTCATCAAGTATTTGTTGATATTACAGACTACTATGGTTTCTTTAGAGGAGAATTGATCAAAGATTCATCATCAGGACTCTATGTTTTCTCTTATTATCCTGTCTATGTAGGAGTTCACTACTATTCATTGCTGGCCATTGGAAAGAGTCTACAAAGTAGATATCTTTTGCAATCGACTAATCTCCCTTCGTTCACAGTAAATTCAACTAGATACACCAATTCAGCACCGATCATATCAACACTTTCATCGGATACAAGCAATACCTACTCTCCAAAGATGACTTTGTCATTGAAGGAATTTTATCCTCAAGTTGGTCACAGACTAAGATGTGCTGTTATCGATCCAAATAATCAGATTATCAATGGCTCTGACTTGACCACCAGCCAACCATACAAATGTAATGTTAATATCCCTCATTTGTACAGTGGTTTACAGAAATTCTATTGGTCAATCTATTTCGAACACAGTTTTACAGGAAGAACCAGATTCTTCACAAAATCTGAACTACAAGCATTAGGATTGGATCCTTCTTTTGTATTAGATTTCGACTCACCAACAACTACTTCTTCACAAACTACAACTACCACCAATCCGACCACTACAACCAACTCAGGTACAACTACATCATCTCAAACCACTGGAAATACACCAATTACCACTGCTACTACCTCACCCTCATCAACAACCGGAAACCCATTAAATGGTTCTTCCAAAATTAATATTAATATTGCTGCCTCTTCAATTATCATATTATTTATATTATTATTGAGTTTTTAAAATAACAATAAAATTAATTAATTTTTTAATGATGCATCAAATAAACGAAAAGATCTTTATAAATTGTTTTTATTTAATTTTTTCGTCCCTCATAAAGACCAAATTGATAGATGAGACAACACACTTGGGTATTGTGTTATTTCATTATATATAAGTTAGGTTTTTTTGCACAGCTTTTTTGTATTCTCGCATTATTTTTGCACAAAAACTATGCAAAATTTGATGAGGCATAAAATTAAATTACAAGAGATATTTTGTGATAATAATAGAAACTATTAAAAAGAGAAAAGTTTTTTTTTTTTAAAGTGATTTATGTTTTAAAACTTGAATCTGATTTAAGTTTATTTCATGACTAAAAATTTCCAAATTTGACAGAATATGAAAACAAGACATAATGATTTTATGCACAGTTTTAAAAATCTTTACCCATTTTAATTCCTTATCATATCGATTATGGGGTTAAAAAACAATCAAACTATTTATTTCGTACACCACCAGAACTATCTTCTACTTGTATTATTTCATTTTATAGGTTGGGATTTTTTTTTTTGAACAGCTTTTTTTATATTAAAGCTTTGCAAAATTTTTCATTTTATGCCTCATAAAATGAAATTAGAAACCTCAGACAGATTCAACCACCATCCTACCACATTCTGTGAAGAACAAAATCAATGAATTATACTTTTTGGAAAGGGGGAAGTTGAAATGACATCAGCATTAAAAAACAGTTTTCAAATGAGGGATATATTTTTAAGAAAGATATAAGTTGATTAGGCCAAAGTTTGATATTCTAATCAAAATCTATTAAATACTAATTATCAAATAAATATTTTAAACATGAAATTATCTATTATTATTTTAAGTATCTTATTCTTTGTAACTCTTGCCAACTGTCAAGGAACTTGTGGAACTGAATTCTTTTGTACCGATGACACTGCCTGTCAGCAATGCTATGCTCTCAATATGTCTGTATGCTACGAAGCCAAGGTTTACCTGGAAAGTTCAGCATGGGTTAAGAATGATCTCTCTTTGAGCGTCTACTGTGAAGGTATCGAATGTTATCTCAACACGTATTCCGATGGTTCCTGCCAAACCGTAGATTACTCAACTTTACTCCAAGAGACCTCTCAATGCAACTCTTGTTACGGTATTAATGGAGCTATGACATTCGAGATCCAAGGAACCAGAATTTACACCTATGCGTTGTCAACTTTGGAATCAGAGAAACAAATTGGAAAAGAAATTGAAACATTGAAGGTTGTAGACACCATTATCAGAACAACCCCAATCAGTCTAAAAGGAGAAGAATTATAAAAATTCTAACTATTAATAATAAAGAATAAATTTATATATTATTTGTTATTCAAAGTTTACATATTTCATTTACTTTTAAAATATTTAATTTTGAGTGGTTGAATTTTTTTTATCTTGGAGGAATTAAACAAATATAAACTCTATCTCATTATTTTAATCTAAATCAAACCAAATGTTTCTAAAAAGTCTTATCAAAAAATGAAAATAATATCTGAAGAGTGACTCTTGCATAGATAACTGATATCAACTAGATAGTATTAAAAATTTTCAATTTTTTAATAAAATGGATTTAAATGAAAACCATGTTTAAAAGAGCTGTGCAAAAAAAAATTGAAATGGTGAAACCTACAAAATGAAATAACACATTTTTATCCTTGATCATATGAAAAAAATTGGAATTCTAACTATTTAAAAGACACACAATGATTTAAAGAATGATATTAACCATCATCTACACTAAAGATAAAAGAAAAAAATAAATAAAGAACTAAAAAATAGAATTGAGAAAATAAATAAATGTTTTTATTTCATTATTGATTATTTCCTTTAAGTAAACTATTTACCAATCATAATCAAGTAGTTTACTGTTTTTTTCCATGAGTATCCTCATTAACTTTGGTTGTTTCTCGATTACCCCATCCGATCTGTGCAATATTAACTGATAAATTATAATCTGGAATTGGTCGATATTGTAGTGCACTAATATGAGTTATTTTTTAAGGAAACTGCAAAAAACTTAAAAAAAATCGAGACTGTGTGTCAGAATAACATTATAATAGTATCTTCAATAGCAAATCAAACATTTAATAATATTTTATTTCACAGTTGATATTTTTTAAGAATAAAAGTCAAGAGTGTTTTGTATTCAACAGTAATATCATTCTCCCAATGTGAATCGGTAATTTGTTCTTTAAGTTTGAATGAATATTTCAAATCATTGTTTACTCTGTCACCAACAACAGTCAACTTATCGAGTATTGTCATTAGCGAGTCTCTAGCGAATTTCAAGTCGAGTGGTTCTACACCCATGCTTTTGTCGACTCTATAGCGTCCGTCGCTTGCTCTGAGTCCATTTAAAGCGGTATCTATTCTCGTGGTTGCCAATACGAGTCTCTCCAATTTGATAGTGGTATCTTTTGCGATGGCCGTCTGTAGGTTGCAATCGTTAATGATTTCGTTGAAGAGCAGCATGAATTCCTTTGATTTAACAGTCTTGTAGATGCTTGGCCAATCGTTAACATAGCAAGCGTCGATCACCTCTTTCAACTGATTCTTCTGTGATGCATATCGTGTTGGTTTGGTGTGAGACTCAGTTTTATTGTGCTCTGCCAAAAGTAGAGCAAAATGATCTTGTGTATTCTTTAGATCTTCCAAGAGAATCGCTTTAGTATTCAGATGACTAACCTTTCCCCGATAATAATCAATAGTTGCTTTTGATATATATGAATGATTTATAAGATTAGTTTCGATATTACTTTATATTATAATGTGGTCGTTTATTTTCAAGTAATCTATTACCTACCTAAAAATAATGTAGTGATTCCAGTAACACCTATGATCGTTGATACAATTGTCTTTTTAGAAAAATTGAATTTAGAATCAGTTTTTTTTTGATCACCAGTGGTTGTTTCATCATTCATAGTTTGATGATGTTCAACACCACCATCGGTAATATTGAACTTAGTATTCGAATGAGTTGAGTAATTGTTGTATCTTAAATACAAATTATTCTTAATACTATTGCTAATGAATAGCAATTTTCTTGATTTATTTAAATTTAATGAAAACATTGTTTGATTTGAAAAAAAAAAATACTAAGAACTAAATTTCTCAAATACAATTAATTATTTAAAGTTAGATCTAATTATAAACTTTTAAGTAATAATGATGATGTGTTTTTACATAAAAATAATTCTATAAGTTTTCTGTTTTTTAGGAAAATAACAGTTTGTAAGATGGGTTGTCATTTTTCAATTAAAAATCTAATAATATTTGTTTTTTTTTGCCAGGTCATAATGAAAATCAAAAAAAAGAGATCAATGATCGGCTATAGGAAAAAGATATTTTGTTTTATGTGTTAAAAATTATGTGTTAGGTAACAAATATATTTCAAAAACAACCAATCATTATAAATCAATTAAATAAATTATTTTTTTTTTTAGATTTTTTTTTTTATAAGATATTTAAGATATTATTCTTTGTCTTTGAAATCATTTTCTTTATCTTTTGATTTCAGTCAGTACTTGAAAGATTTTAAAATCTAATAGTCTATTAAATTTTATTTCTTTTTTAATAAAAATATATTAAAAAAAAAATGGAAGAAAACCAGTGGTTTCTCTTTGGATTAGATGACATCTTACCGACTTTGAAACGTGTGGGAGATCTACCTGTCTATGGTTCTGAAGCATTCACATCATTCTCTGAATACAACACCTCTCTCAAAAAGATAGAGAAGACTCAAGATATCGATGTTATTCTTGCCAAGTTCCTCGGTGTGAATGAACCACCTATCCCATTGTTTAGTAAAGATAAATTCAAATTACCATTTTGTAATGCAGGTATGTTAGGTTATGTTATGTTATTACTAAAACTTGGTTTTATTTTAAATTGTTTGTAATTGTACAAATTTTATTAATCAAATTAAAGATCTTCAACATAACACATTGTTATATAGATGTTTAGATTGTTCTTTGAACTTCACAGCATGTGTATGTGAAGAGTGTTTTAGAAAAGGAAATCATCTGGAGGAAGGACATCATTTCACGACTCAACTCACTATTCAAGGTGCAACATGTGATTGTGGTAATCCTGATCTCTGGAAACCGAGTGGATTCTGCTGTGACCACCATGCACCCACCACCGAATCTACTCCAAGTGAACTACTCGAACCAGAAATGAGAAAGAAACTTCATCTCTTTGTTCGTTGTCTTCTTAACTTTATGTTGAATGAAGTCGAGATACTCAATATGACGAAATCCAACGATAACGCTGAGAAACAAAGAATGCAGAATCTTAAGAACCGAGTGTCTTTGGTGCTTGCATGGATTCATGGTGCCGTACAGCAATCATACCCATTGCTACATATCATTGCTGAAGAGTTGACATTGCAAACACTCGATAACAAATCATTCGATATCAACAAGCCGGTGCCATTATCCTACACCACCAAAGAAGAAGAGACTGACATACTTCCTCAACTTGCCACTGTCATTCCGATTCTAACTTATATCAGAGGTACTTTCGATCATCCAGATCTATATCAGTGTATGTATCAAACCTTATCATCACTAGTGTGCATCAGACTGTTCAAGATATACCTATTCGATGTTGTACTTGAAAACTACTCAGAGCTATCATTGAAGGTGGAAAAGTTTATATTTCTTTGTGGTTTATTCTATGATTCCGCACCAATCTATACGATGTTCTCCACTGACTATTCAAAGAATAATCTATTCCGTGTTGTTATTGCTGAATATGTAAGTTATATTGATAAACTTTACTAATTAATAATATTATCATACAATTCAATTGTTTAACTTTAACATAATCTTTTTAAATATATTATTTAGAAACAATTAATCTCAAAAAAAGAGATGTTTGATTTGAATAATGCAACTGATCGTGAAACTTTTCAAGCGATTTGTGATCCTCATACAGAGATGGCTTTCTTGATAAGATTCTTTAGAGAACAACCAATCAATCAATACATCTACAACAATGATGATATCATGCATGAATACTTTAAAGTCATCGATTTGATTCAAGATATAGTTCCATTGAAAAGAGCATTGATAAAACCAAAAGAATATGAACCAGAACCTCTCCAAGTAGCAAATGCCATTTCAAGCTGCTTTCAAAATGGTTTCAGAATATTATTGAAACGTTTTCATAGACAAAAGTGTAAGTAATTATACTAAACAAAACAAAACAAAAAACAAAATAATATTAATTAACAAACAATTCATTATTATTAATCAGTACCAACAATAAAGTATTTGAAATCAATTCTCTCTTTATTCAAAGCACCACGATCTACAAAGTATTTAACTTGTAACGAGTATGTATAAATCATAAAATTTTAAAGAGTAATATTAAAGAGCTCATTTATTCATAAATATTTATTTATTTATTTATAGTTATAAATTAATATCAAATAATATATTTAATGCAGTGGATACAGTCAGTTTATACTCACCAATCACACAAATGGCAGGTGTATACTTGTTGAGTTCACTACAACAAGATGATAACTACAGTCTTGATGTTGTGAGATCATTGATTGACAATGACAAGTTACTCTATATGATTAACCAGTCTCTCAAACCAATGATGCTTCTCTGCCAATATGGTAAATGGACCAAGAACTTGAACATCAACTTAGAAACTAGTTGCTACATGCTTTCGTCGATGTTCATAGATTTGTTTATGATTCAATACAGCTCTATCTTATTGGGTCCAAATTATTATTTGAACTTTATGATTAATTCTTTCACTTCGAATTATAAATCAAGTAAGTTTTAATTAACAAATAACAATAACAATGATAACTTTATATCTTATTAATATTAATAATTATATTTTAATTTTAAATCACCAGATGAATATACTTCATGTTGGTCTGACATGCTCAAAACTATCATTCAGATTCAACAACTTAGAATGAATCCAAAGCATACTCCTGAGAATGTACGTCACTATGCTACTCAAAGTCTAATAGCCAATAAGAAGATGGAGAAAGAAAAGTTTGTGGAATTATTGAAAAGTATACTTTATTCTGAAAAGTTGTTGGAAGATGCCATTCTCGAGATATCATCAGGTGCCAATCAACTCAACACAGAGCTGAAACTAAAGCCAGAACGTGTTAAATACTTTGATTTCTACTTCCCACTCTACCTTGACGAACCACCTATGAAAAACTACCACGAACTCATCAAAGATAATGATAACTCTCATCCATTACCAGGTGTATTGGGACCACTTCACCACAATCTCGAAGCAATCAACGATCTCTACAACGAATCACTTCTCTATCGAATTGTGTTCTTCACACTGTTACCACTTGTCCATCCACAATACAAATTGGAAGAAACATTCTCTGATTTTGAAAAGTTTAACAAATTCTCAAGTTTCCAAGAGATGCTTCAATCACAAGAAGAACTTGACAAGAGTGTCAATAATTGTCTCTATCTCTTGTGTTTGGCTCAACAACACTATTCTGAAAAACAATTCAATACTTTATCAGGTGAAGAGAAATCAACACTTTCGACTTCAATCAAATTACAATTGTCTGAAAAAGACAACAACAACACTATTAAATCATCATTTATCTCACATATTCTAACATATCACAAAGTTGGAACAACCAAAGAGAATGATGGTGAGAATAATAATAATAATAATACAACTCAATCGATGAGTATTCTTGATCTACTTATTGATCTTTTGGTGATGACCAACAAGAATAGATATGTTGACAAGAAGAAATTGATTAATCATTTGATCAATGGACTAAAGGATATCGATGAGAGTTTAGTAAATTATATCAACAATAGAAAGCCATCTGATGATATCATTAAAGGTAATGAAGACGAGAAGTTGAGATCAGATCAACTTGAGGAGGTACACAAGAGACAAAAAGAAATCAAAGAGATGATGGCACAACAACAAAAACAATTCCTTCAACTCAATGAAATCGATGAGAGTGAATCGAGTGGTCTACACGATAACAACACTCCAATCTGCGTCACATGTAGAAGTAGCACCGATACAGATACCGATCCACTCGGTGCCATGGGTAATGTTTGTGGATTCCATGCACACATCAATTCTAAACGTAACTCACTAAAGTCCTTCTGTCCTTCTTTAAAAGATAATGAATTCGGATCATACGAATTTCATACATTCGGCTCTTTCTATCCAGAGGAACTAAAAGAATCACAAATCCTCATCATAATGCAGTTCTCACCGTCTTTCAACATCAGTTGTTGTGGTCACCACATCCACAAATCATGTTTGATCAATTTGAGTGGCAAAGAATTTCAAGGTTTCCATTGTCCACTGTGTGACCGTCCAACCAATCTCATTCTCCCACCAGACAACATAAACAAACTAAAGTCATGGGGAAATGATTGTTTCATCGATGTTCTTGTGAAATCCGATATGACATTTGCTATGAATGCACCCGACGTTTCTGAGCCTTTGACAATGAAACTACTCTGGAAGTACGCATTATCCAATATCGAAACACTTGAATTGACATCTCGTCGACAAAAGAGCTACAACCGTGGAACCAGCCATGAGAACAAACCATACTTTGTTTACAATGATGCAGAATTCTCGAAAAGATTGAATACACTGACCATCATCTATCACAACATCATCAATCTCAGAGAGATTCCAGATGATCCCACTGAACTTTGGTCTGATGACAATCAATTGTATGATCCGTTCATCGTTGCAACTTTATCATTCTATCTCAATCGTTCATCCGATCCAAAAGCTCACATTAAGAAAGCATATGAAAATCTAATTTTCTGTGTGCAAGCAACAATAATGGATTCTTATAGAAGAGGAAATCCTTTGTCACCCGACGTCAACGACAGAGACAAACTTGTAAAGTTCTTCTCGAGTGTCACCGATCAATTCATTAGAAAAGCTTATCTTTTCCATCATTGCATATCATCAAGATTGCAAACTGGCAACCAATCTGAAAGCCAGCTAACATTGGAACAATTCTCTGATATTTCTTATCTGAGAACAGCACTGGACATTCCAACTTGGCAAACCACTCAAAACGAAATGATGACCAGAGAAGTTAGTATTACCTTTACAAACGGCATCAGTTTCTCAATACCGCCAAAACCAGCAAAATTCATTCCTTTACCACATTCCTATGTTGTAAGTAATTCTTATTCAATCGATTAAAAGATGATACATAATAACAAACTAATATTATTTTTATGATATGATACCAAAAGGATTTCATGGTGAAATATATGAAAGTTGCACCTCTGAACTCATGCAAGAAATCATCAACAATGAGACAAGTTTGTCTTCATTGTGGAAGTGTAATCTGTACCAATCCAATTTGTTGTCCAAATGAACTTACGATCCACACTCAATTATGTCAAAGTAGTATAGGTCTCTTCATTAAAGTTGGAATACCAGAGGTATCGTTATACTTGCTCCAATATGAGATCAAGAAATACAATGTCTATCATTGTTTGAAAGGTGAATCCAACTCTACTGACTCAAGTGTACTCAATGCAGAAGTACTTAGAGAACTCTACATCTCATGGTTAAGTGGTGAACTTCATCAAAATTGTTTGAATTTAATTGCTGGTGCACGTGAGGATCAATAAATAAATAAATAAATAAATAAATAATAATAAACAAGATGAAAATATATTTAAAATTCTTTTCATTTTTACTATTTTTTGTTTTTTTTGCTAAATTTTTGATCAAACATTGTGATCAAAGACGAAGAAAGAGAAAGTTGTTTTTAATTTAATAAAAAAAAAATACAGTGCAATCAAAAGTTTAATTTAAAACAAAAGTATAATGATAATAATTGATACTGTTCAATTTAAAAGTAAAGAAATAAATAAGAATGATAGTGATCATGCAAAAATTAGCTGTCAAAAAAATAAAAAAATAAAAAAATAATCTTAAGAAAAATATAAATAGTTCTGTTATTTTATCTATAACCACTTTGTATAAGCAATAGTAATACAATATTTATTTATTTAGGCTTTGATTAAAAAGATGAATCGAATAGTAAAGAAATTGATTTTCGAATAAAAGATTTTTATATAATAATGTTAATAAAAGTCAACATTTGTTAAATTGTAATAATATTAAACACTATTCAACAACCTCTAATCAATCACCTCTACAACAAGCAACAGAATCGTCGTCAACAAATAACAGTGATCATACTAAATCAAATGGTCAGGAAAATAATAATTCTGACAATGAAAATGAAAAGAAATCTAATTTTGCACTGATGAAGAATGTAGCTCTTATTTGTAGTATCATTGGTAAATAAATTCTACTTTATTTAAAAAATGTTTGTTTTGTTTAATAATAGAATTATTTGAAATTTCTAGGTGTGGGATACTATGCTAAAACAAACGACAGTCTGATAAATAGTCTGGTTTTATTCGAAGACAATATGTGGGATGTGCAAGACTACTATGCAAAACTAAAGTCGGATCAACAACAGCAACAGCAACAACAACAACAACCTGGTAATGTTGTCAAAGAGCAGTTCACTTATCAAAAAAATTCTCTCAACAAGTTTACAGATATATGCAATGAGAAAGAGTGGGATGTCGTAACTCAAGCTTTGAAATCACCAGAATTCATCAACCTATTCAATGAGATTATGGGCAACTACCTGTTGAGATGCGAACTACTCGACCAATTTCAACTCTATAAGCTGGTGGTTGCAATCAAGAGATTGGACTCTGCACTCAACAATATTGAAGACTTGGACCAAGTCGATGAGAAAACAGGTGTTGTTTTCAATGATGTTAGAATCGCTCGTAATACGCTGATGGTGGTGCTTGACAAAATTACTTGGTATGATATACCTATAAAGATTCGTTACCAAAGTGATTACCTCAGTGAAATCGAAAGAGGTAAGCAAGATCCCGACACCTCCAATGAATGTAATAAATTTCTTCGTCGTCTCGAAGTGAAAATCTATCAGAGAGAATACGATGATATGTTGAATGGCAGAAAAGTGAAGACTTTGTTCAAAAATAGAAAAGTTTATTAAATAAAAAATGTACATTTTTGTAAATACTCCCCAAGTTTTTGAATTCCAAAAAAAAAAAACTGTGTCCATTGTCTGTTTTTGCGGGCAAAGATATTATTTTTTTTTGTTCCCTCATCACCATTTCGCCAAATATTGGGTTTTTGAAAAGCATCGACATACCTTGTCATATTACAACGGTGCTCCTCATAAATTCATACGTCAATGTATAATAATAATAATAGTTAATAATTAATTCAAATATGAAAATAAATAATGAATAATAGTTTTATATTTTTTTTATTATTATTATTGATAGTTGATGTCAAAACACAGAATTGTGCTTTTTATAATGTAGATACACAGAAACTATATAATTTCAATGCTTTGTAAGTTAGATATCGATCATAGAGAAAAAAAAAAATTAATTCTTACAATTTATAAATCTTAATGAATCTAGAACAGGTCAATATTTTGGATCATATCAAGGATATAATTATTACTTTAATATTTGTGGTACTTCTACTCAGTGCGCTAACAGTGGTTTAACGGATTCAGCGGTGTGCTTAACTTCATCGTCAGGCAATTCCGGCTATATTAGTGCTGGTCGAGTCGACCATTTAAAGGTTCTACCATTAGGTATGCTATGAGCTATCATAATAAACAAAAATACTATAAACTCTAACTAATCTTTATTGACAAACAACCTATAAAATATATAATAAATAGATGGATTCCAAGGTGGAAAGATTGAATATTCAGATGGATTATGGTGTTATGATGTACCGTCAATCAATAGAACTACGACGATAGAGATGTACTGTGCATTTGGTCAAGATACAATAATCGATCGTGTCTATGCAAAGTCTACTTGCAACTATGTAATATCAATCTCAAGTACCTATGCTTGCCCTGTTTACTTTAAAAATTGATTCTTCAGATAACACAACACTCAATAAATCTAATCTTTTGTATCATATTCTTTAAAGTGATTGATCAGCACGGTTTTTTTTTTTTTTTTACAAACAAGATTTCGTGTCGTCGATCCGAAAAAGGAAAAAGAATTACTTTACAACTTCGACCAAACAAACTGTTTGACCAATTTTTGCTTAACACCTTCGACCAAATAAACTGTTTGGTCATCTAATATAAAAAAATAATAATAATAATAAAAAACACTTATTTTTTTTTTAAAGATACTTTAATGAAAACATTAAAAGTTGTCTTTGTTATATATATTATTACAACATATATATCTATTATAAATGGTAATAGTTGCGCTTTTTACGATACCTCTACAGGAAAACTATATAATTTCAATGCATTGTAAGTGATTTAATTCATAACACACATTAGATACTTGTTGACAATAACAATAATACTAATATTATGTTCTTTTATTCATTTTTCACTATTTAATTAAATAAAGGAGTGGTCAATATTTTAAAACTGTCCAGGGTTATGATTATTTCTTTAATATTTGTGGGTATGCAACGCATTGTGTCAATAACGGCAATCCGGGTGCTGCCTGCTGCCAAAATCCATCGCCACCCAGACCCAATTCATACACTAGTTGTGGTCAACTAAATCAAATTTCTTTTCTTCCACTTGGTAAGTTCGAGATGATAAACAATTGTTTGTGATTTGTTGATGGATCGCGATTATTAACAAACGAAAATAGATGATGGTGGCGAAGGTGGTGTGATTAAGTATTCAGGTGGACTGTGGTGCTACGCTGTGCCCAATATCAATAGATCGTTGACTATCCAGTTGAATTGTAAACGAGATCAAGAGACAACGATTACTAGACTCTACCAGAAGTCGACTTGTGTTTATGTCGTTGAGATCACCAGTAAATATGCTTGTCCAGTCGACATTAGATATGGTTTCTAGTTTTACCGACTCAGTGAAATCATTTATGGTTGGTTTGCAATCATGTTTACTCTATCAATACCACAACAATAGATAATTAAAGTGGATTATATTATCGAGTAGGTACTGATAGATATTTACATTCTCAAAGGTCATGATTAAAGATTAAAGATCATAACAATATCAACCAAATAAAGTGAATGTATAAATAAATCTATAAAGATAAACATGTTTAGAATGTTAAAATGATGATCATTTTTATTCATTTATTTATATTTAAATTGATTAGATTAGAATTATGTTGTAATATTAATTAAAGATTTATTTTATTGTTATTTTTTTAAGAATTCTATAATAGAATATTGTAATGTAATTTCATTGTCATTAGGACTGCTTTGTTTGTCGACAGTTTTAATGTTTAACAGTCTATTGTTATTCGAATTAGCTATTTTTGTTATTATATCTTCTTTGACTTGCTGTTGCAGACTGTTATCATGTATCTCTAGAGTTAAAAGTGTTGTATTGACTGACAATGACGATATAAATGATTGAATCGATGATGTTTCCTCTTCTCTATTGGTAGCATTGTAACCTCGGTAGATATTTATCTTTAGATGACACAACGACTGGTTAGATGTGATAAGCTGACCGATCGCTCTCAGATTCATCGCAAAACAATCTGTGAATTCTAGATGAGTTATAAGCGGTGAACTCAGAGTGTTTTCTTCTTCTTCTTCTTTAGAGCGCACGAGTAACAAAGGGTAATGGTGATCCGACAGTATCTGACATGACACCGAGAGTGACCGGAGTTTCCTGTTGGCAGCGAGTGCGGTGAGCAGAGGCGATGCAATCGATTCGATTGTAGATGATTGTAGCTTGGCACCATATCCATTCCAATTACAATTACGAACCGTTAGCTCTTCAAGTGTGTTGTTGGTGGCCAATAATCGACAGAACTCGATCCAATGTTCCAAGCGATTGGCATCTGGCTCTGAATTTCCTTTCTCTTGACAACCACATATTCCGTTACGAACTGTAGGCAGAGAATCTAACCTAAGAAAAGCTAATCTTGCATCTAATGATCTTACATTATCGATTGCTAATTTCAAATCACATATTTTTGAATGTTGTTCGAAATCTTGTTCATTCATCTAATTAAACTTTAAGATATGTTTGTGTGTGTCAGTGCCAGTAAAAGAAAAGCTGTTGTTTTAGGTTCAAAAATTTCATAGAATTTTAAAAGAGAAAATATACTTTGTTTCAAATAATCATTTAATCTTTATAATAAATTAGAAATGAATTATAATAACAAAAATAATAATAATAATAACAATAACAATAATAATAATGATTTACAAAGATTAGTATCATTACCACATTATCTATTGTCAAAGATAATCAATCAACTCACAGACAACTTGGATCGTATTGTTTTTAGTTTGGTTTGTAAGAAGTGGTACAATGAAAGAGATCGCTACCTATTGTTCAATAGTGATCATCTAAGAATACCTAATAGAAATAATAGTAGTAGTAGTAGTAAACCAATAAATGCATATCATGATCAAATCAATCGTTCCTATAAATCAAAGACAAATTCAAAGATCTTTTTAGGCATTTTATATCAACCATCGATAAATATAAAAGAAATAGACTATCATTTTAGAGAAGAAACCAATTGTAGTAAGTAAAGTTAAATTAAACAAAACAACAAGAACAACAACATATCTATAGTATACTAATACAAATCTTACTTTAGTAATTAGTAATGATGTTAGTCAAATAGTGATAGGTGTAACTTCAAAGAAATCATTTGATAATGAAAACAGTTTATTTGATAGGATAGAAGCTTCTCCAAATGTCAAATCTCTAAATATACTTGATAGCTATGCAACAACAAAGACAGATCGATTACCAAGTAATATCGTTGATCTTACAATGAAATCACCACATCTAATGTTGTCTCTGACAAACTCTTCTTTGGTCACACTCGATCTAATTTTAGATGGTGATAACACTGTCATTAAAACAAGTATACTGCCGAAAACATTGAAATCGATCATGTTGGGTGGTGTTCATCTAGAGATAGACTGTGTACTGCCTAATCTGGAATCACTAAACCAAACGAATACCTACTTTTCAAGATGTTACGATATCGATGAGACGACACTTCCCTATCTACCGCCAACACTGCGCAGCATCACCTTGGTTCCCAGTTGGCTAAAGTACTTCCAGCACTCGAGTAGAATCGAAACAATGCGAATATTCCAGATATCAAACAGGTCTATTGCGACGCAGGGCGATCACAATATTGCCTATCGCAATATGTACCCGAATTCGCTGACCGACCTCTCAATCTACACACTGAGGAGCTCGTTTGAAATGACAAAGTTACCGTATCAACTAAAATCTCTATCGATCACTCTCAACAATGAATCGAATAAGAAAGCGAGATACATACCCGGGGAGCCTGCGTTGCCTGGCTTTCTGGAGACACTCGATCTTGGATCACTAAACTTTGGCTTAACATATATGATATTCAGAATCAAAAGACCAGGTACACTTCCAAACACACTGAAAAAGCTCTACTTGAACAAAGGCTATGAGGAATTGTCAGAGCTAGCGGTTGGTACCATTCCTGACTCTGTAGAATTCATTGATTTCAAAGATTATACATGTAAAATTCCGAAAGGTATAATACCGCATTCAGTAAAACATATTGCCGTTACTATGCCATTCCTAAAGAATAATAAGCCACATAAACTACCAAACAGCATCAGCACAATAACAATAGAAAACAAACTGCGACTCAGAAGACTAACAAACAGCACCTTTTTAATGATGAACATCAATGACAACTCTGATTTCTCAATCATCAAATCAAAAATGATACATAAACAATTGATTAAAAAAATAAATGGTTTATAATGATGATAATAATAAAAAAAATAAGATTTTTATTTTTTTAAAGTTTGTTTGAATTGAATTATTAATAATAATAACCATGATTACTGTATTGTATTGTTGTATTGTTGCTTTGGTTATTTTATAATTTACTGATCCGGTCAGTTCGCATTTGAAACCAACAGTCGGCAGGATTGACACACACACACGCCACACACGCAGTTGTTAGTAACAACTCGTTTATCTATTTGGATGGACAGTATAGTGGTTCATGGCCTTGTTTAGAGCAAATTGGGCAATTCGGAGTGCACTTGAAGCAATGATTTTCGCTATGCACGTTTTTGTGTCCACACTTTGGGCATTCGAACATCTTTATTTGAAGTAATTAGTTATAATTGAAATATTTACGTAAAAAAATAAATCTATTAATAAAAAAATTTTAAACGATTTATATAAGTTTTAAATCCCCGACCAATCTTTTATCATAGGTTCAAAAATCTTATTTATTTCTATTTTCTAAAAAAACTTATGCAAAATCCTACCTTTTTAGGAAAATATATATTTTTTAATAAAAAAAAACAAAAAATAATTAATATTTGTATTTGTTTATTAACATTATCATTATTTTTTTAGATTTTTTGATGAAAATCCAAATATATCAAAATTTTTGTTTTTTTTAACTGCTTTTTTTTTTTGAAATTTAGAAAAAAATTATAACCCCTATGAACTCTGAGTTCAAAATATTTTTGTTTGCGAATATCTTTCAAGGTTATGTCGCGACTGTTCAAAAACTAAAAAATAAATAAAAATTTTTGTTATTAATTATTTGTTGAACAATAGATAGGTTAAATTTACTGTATCAATTGTCTATTTTAATCATATCACATCGAGTAATAAAACCCAGGGTAAATAAAAAAAAAAAACCTTTGATTATTGATTAATGTGAGAAAAAAAAATTAATTTCTTCCTTGGAATGTTTTGAAATAAAATGGTAGAGTGTGGGGTCAGAAATCTCTTCTCCTTTGGTTTAAAAAATGTGGTTTTCATATTCCTCATCATTTGATGTTCAAGTTATTTGTTAGTAAATTGTGTTGTAGCCTTTCACTTAAATGGAGCGGTTTATATTTAATTTATATTTCGACGGTCGAGAGAGCAATATTATCAAAGTCATCAAACTTGGTCTTAAAGTTCATTGATGATTTTTGTACAAATGATCTTCTTTTAACTTCTGGAAGATACCACCTGTTAGGAAAGTTGTTTGACTGATTATTATAAATAGATCAAACTATAGTTTATTTCATTTATAAAAATAACTAATATCTAGATAATAATATCAAACAAACAAATAATAATTAATGATGGAATCAACTCCCACAACACAAAAAGCTTTAGTACTTCATGCTCGTGATAAACCAATGTCGTTGGAGCAAGTACCAATTCCTCGAGCAAAAGCAGGTCAAGCAGTTGTTAGAGTGTTGGCTGCAGATATTGTACCTTATATGAATGAAGTCCTAACAGGTGCACTGCCATATCCATTGTCACTTCCAATGACACCAGGTAATACTGCCATCGGTAGAGTTCATGAAGTCGGACCTGATTCAGTACTTCTTAAACCTGGTCAATTGGTTTTGTGCGATATTACTATTCGTGGTAGAGATAATCCACATGTAACCATTCTCTTTGGTATTCATGGAGGTGGATATCCAGAAGCACAAAAGTTGATGGATGGTGAATGGAGAAATGCAACCTATGCTGAATACACCACTCTCCCACTTGAGAACCTTTATAGATTGAATGAAGATGTATTGACAAACCAATTTAAATACTCGATTTCAGATCTCTGTTTGTTACCAGTCTATCTTGTTCCTTTCGGTGGTTTATCAGATGGAGAAGTCAAGCCTGGAGAAGTTGTTATTGTAGCTCCTGCAACTGGAAGATTTGGTGGTGGTGCTGTTGCTGTTGCATTGGCAATGGGTGCAACAGTTATTGCAGCTGGTCGTAATAAGTCTGCATTGGAATTGTTGGAGAAAATCCATGGACATACTGGTAGATTAAAGACTGTTGTTGTAACTGGCGATGAAGCAGCCAACGCCAAGGCATTCAAAGAAGCATCACCAAATCCACTTGGAGCAGATGTTTACATTGATTTCTCACCATTTGCGTCTGCAGGAAACACACTCCTTAATTCGGGTGTGGCTGCATTACGTCCATCTGGTCGTGCTGTTATTATGGGCGGAGTATCAGGAAACATTACTCTACCATATCTTGATATCATGTTCAGAAGTATCCGTATACAAGGTCGTTTCATGTATGACCGTAAACATATCATCCAATTGATTCAAATGGTAGAATCTGGACTCTTGAAGCTTGGTACTCATGTTGGTGTTACAACCACAAAAGAATATAAATTAGAAACCATTAATGAAGCACTTTCAGAGGCGTCCAAGTTAACTGGATGGGGTAGTCATGTTGTGTTGCTTCCTTAAATACTTTGTCATTAGCCAAACTTAATAAAATTAGTATTAATTAGTGTATTAGATATCTTTTAATAATATTTATTGATATTGATAATTATTTTATTGTTAATTTGTATTGTAAAAAAAATATGATTGTAAGTTAAGATTGTTGTTGGAGTTTTTCATTCATTTCCTTTCTTTTCTTTAATGCTTCAATCATCTTATCTTCGTTGCTCATATTCTCTTCTGTTTTCTTTTCTTTATCGATTTGATCTACTGTGGTTGTTGTTGTTGTTGTTTCTTGTCTCTCCTTTACATATTTGGTAAAGACTGAATTGAACTCTTGGATGGTTTTCAAAATAAATTTGACCAACAAAGATAAATCATGATTGTCTCCGATGATCTTGTTGATATCTGAAACCAAATCAAGGATATTGAGCAATTGAACACCATCTTCGGTTTCAACTTGATACACCTGGAGGATATTCAAAATGGAGAGCGGTTCAGCTTTGATTGATGGATCTTTTGCCAAAAGAGACTTGATTGTTGGAACAATACTCGATTGTAATTCATCTGATAATGAGTAGATTTTCTTTGTTACAAAGTGACGAAGTGCCATTCCCAAAATATAGAGAACGTGTCTGGCACATGTTTCCAAACCTTTGGAACCGAATTTGGGAATGAAATAGTCAGAGTTTTCAAATGTTAATGCTGGAACTGATGATTGTAACTTGAATTTCGGATGAGAGTATTGCAATAACACAGAGAACACAATATCGTAGAGTAATGGTTCATTGAAGTGGTTGTTGATCACTTCAAATTGTGGAGTGAGACGATCTAGTACTGCTGGCTCTGGGAATTGTGTTGGGTTGGCGGACTTGATATTCTCATTGAGATTCTTTAGAGCAACTTGAGAGTCACCACGAATGTAATCATCGAAATAGTAGTCGAATCGTGGGTAGTACTCTGGCTTCAACTTTAGGAATTTATCTTTTCCAGTGGTAAAGGCTATCTCGTTGATCAAGGACAAAGCTTCTGCTTCTCTCATGATTTGATCTTCAACTAGTATAAGTTTCAATTCGTCAAGTAGTATATTTCTGTTGGCAATCAGATTTTGAATGGCGAATTTACGACATTTCTCATAGTTGGAATTGTTTCTAAACTGGAGGACCCAAATAAGACAAGTTAACATATCTGATAAACAATATGCATATTCCTCTATTTTAAATAAAAAAATATTAATATTAAATTAAATATGAAATTTATAGTTGATTACTTACTTGTTGATTTATAGTTTGATGTGGATGTACTGATTAATAGATTCAAATAATAATTTGAACCCAATAAAACAGATAGAAGTTGATTGTTATTAACATCCATTGGATACATTGAATTCTTATACATTAAAACGAATTCTGTAACGTTCTGATTCAATACCCATATTCCATTGACAGATTGTAATTTGACAACCGATGGTACCAAAGTAGTATTGAAAAGGAATAATAATTGGTCATTATTAAACAGTTGTTTGGATTCCAAAAGAGTCTGGTTTGTTTCCATATATAACACATTTCGAATTAATCTAGCAAAAGGAGCATGAAGAGAGAAACTATCTTTTCCACTCAAAAGATCATTACTTGGTAATTGATAACTGAAAAAATATATAAAATTAATTTTATATTAATTATTTGAAAATTAAATCTATAAAAAGTAATTTCAAACATACTTGTTAAAAGTAAAATAATTTATACTTGATGGTTTTACATATTTAAGAATCAATGGTATGTATTTTACGATTGGTACTAGTTGTTTTGAAATACAATTATTAGTATTGGTAGTTTATAATTATTAAAATAAAACTTGATATTTACATTCTAATTTCTTTAAAATGGTTTCAAAGAGACTACCAACGGCAACATGGAATATATTTTCCAATCTCAAAACAGAATAAAGATGTGGAAGAGAACCTTGTGGTGAATTGGTTTTTAGTCTTTTAATTGGGGCTAGTCCTTGCATTATGGAAAACAATTCAAGGAATTCTTCAAAAATCCAATCGTTGTTGTAGACCCATTCGACAATCTCCTTTGAATATCCAAAAAAATAAGAGATAGCAACTATATCATTGTGTGGAGCCAAGTAGTTGTTGAAAGATTCTCTATCACTTGCATCATCTAAATTAAAGACATCTTTCTTATTTAATAGAGTTTTCTAAATATATTAAAATAAATTAGAATTAATTTTATCATTTAAATTTATAAAATTAAAGCAAATGACTTACATAAAATGATAAAATAATGTGAATGAGATTGCTTGATGGGCTAGGACTTTTAGTAATCAAAGGAATGACACTTGGAATAGAATTTAGAGCCTTCCATGTCAATGCAGCTATATTTTCAGTTTTGCTTGATAGTTGAGGGTAAACCTTGAGTATTTCGCCAATATAGACTGTACTAAATGGAACGATATTGGACAAAGGATCAAACAATAACTTGGCAATGTTCATAATGTCAGGATCGGCTAAGACACCCTTCAATACTAAACCAATTGGATTCTCTTTGGTAATGGGTGGTAAGACATCACGATCATCAAGAGCTTCAAGTTCCAAGAATGGCAATGGTGTTGGTTTCAAATGGTCAAATGTTCTGGGATCCAATGATTGAAATGACATCTCCTCTGCGAAAATGTACATGATCACATAACTTTGCTTGAAGATCTCTACCAACCATTGGCAGATATCCAAGAGACGTCTTGCAACCTTGTTCAGAGCAGCTTCACCACCTTTTGCAGCGATCAACACTTGGATCTCATTTAAAATGAAATGGATGAGATATCTCATGAAAAGATGAATCGACTTTTTAAGCTCTGGCTCTATAAGATCGATTGGATAGACACTCTCTCCTTCTGTTGTAGCGTGATCACAACAAAATCCACTTGGAAGAATGGCCTCGATCTTACCACAGTCACAAGCAGAATCACCTTGAGCTGTTTGCTTGGTGTAGGTATGACCTCTTTCTATATGTTTACCTTTCTTGAAACATCCTTCACACAAGATAGCTCCAGGATTGCTTGAACAGTCCTCACATACATAAAATTCCTGTGTACAATCTTTTTATTTAAAGTTAATTAATTGCAATTCACAAATGTTATAAATGTTTTTGATATTTACTTTTTAGACAAAACGGGAATTTAGCAGCGGCTTTACCATAAACTTGGTCCATTGACTTTGGACTGCACAGGAACTTCTCAAAGATATAGTAAATATCATCGAAAGATTGAATTGATTTTAGTGAAACAGTAAAATTAGAGAATCTGAAGCCCTTGACACCATAACCAGCAGTGAGATATCCAAGTCTGCCGGCTAATGAGGAGTAGGTAGCCATTGCCTGCTTCAACTGTTGGAAGAATGGGTTGTTAGCTTCATTACCAAGACTCTCTTTATCGAGAGATTTTGCCAATAGTTCCATATAGGCATCGTAGTCAAACGGATTCTCTTCGCTGGTCGTACCAATCTTGGCTTTAAAACTAAATCCATTTTCATCTCCTTCTAATGTATAATCATCATTCTTTTTATTATTGAAATCGTCACTATCCATTTTTTAAATCTATCTTTTATTTATATTTTAAATAAACAATGATCTTTTTTTCCTTCTCTCCATTGAATATTTAAACTTTTTATTAATAATATCTTGAGATGTTTTAATTGTTATGTCATCAAAAAATAACATTTTCATCAAAAACCACCCCCAAAAAAGGGACTGATTAAATCAAAATCATCAAAATCAAGATATTTATATTAAACAATTATTGAGCATATCAATTAATTATGATTTTATTTTATTTTTTGGGTTTAACCAAGATATTTTCGGAATTAATCTAATAAAAAAAAGATTCAAATTAAAAATTTTGAGATATTTTAATTATCAAGATCAAATTGTTTAAGACTTTTTTCTCGATGATGTCACCCCTGCTAATGAAAAAACAAACTTTGCCTGGTCAAATTTCATAATACATAAAAAAAAAAATCTTATATATTTATTTTATCATAAATAGTAAATTTGTTGATCTTGCAAAATTATTTTTTCATTGTTAATTTGTATTGTTAAAAATATAATTGAAAGTTAAGATTGTTGTTGGAGTTTTTCATTCATTTCCTTTCTTTTCTTTAATGCTTCAATCAACTTATCTTCGTTGCTCATATTCTCTTCTGTTTTCTTTTCTTTATCGATTTGGTCGACTGTGGTTGTTGTTGTTTCTTGTCTCTCCTTTACATATCTGGTAAAGACTGAATTGAACTCTTGGATGGTTTTCAAAATAAATTTGACCAACAAAGATAAATCATGATTGTCTCCGATGATCTTGTTGATATCTGAAACAAAATCAAGGATAGGGTCCAAATCAAGATCTTTTTTCACTTTATTTTTAAAATTTTTTTAAATTAATGGTCGGTAATTCATATGAACAAATTATCATTTTATTTTTTGGGTTTCATCAAGATATTTTCGGAATTAATTAAAAAAAAATTGAGATATTTTAATGACCAAGATTTGAAAAAAGATTATTTTCTTCATGATGTCACCTTTAGTTTATTTCATTATTTTTTGGGTGAACTTTGCCTGGTCAAATATCATTTATTCATGTTAAATTAAACAAGTTAAGTTTTATCTGCAACCTAAAAAAAAAAGAGATATAATACTGATATTGTAGAGAAGGCAGTGGGTCATGTCATTAAACTATATGATCGTTTGCATGAATTCATTGTTTACCAATAACTAAAGATAGGAACTGCTCTCTCATTCACAACACTAAACTACATCACACTCTATCATAGATATCTTATTTAAACTATTTATTACAAAGAATAAAACTAAGTTTGGTGATGGTCACAAATTTGTGTAGTATTATTTTTTATTTTATTTTATTTTTTTAATTAAAATATATCAAATGGGTTTCTGCGATTAATTCTATCTGCAAGTAATGACTGATCAATAAAATAGAATTTAGATTCGTCATTGTGACACATCATCAAAAAGAGGTCATTTGTAATTCTTCTAAGTTTCATTATGTTGGTAATACTGATTGTGGTGATCGTTGCTGGGAGTTCACCAATCGGATTCGCTTTGAAAAACTCAACAAAACCAGATATATGAGTAACTGATGGCGGTATCTTTTCTGAGATGCTTGCCAACTTCTTTTTGTAACTTCTGAAATCTATGAACTTCAACAGAGTTTGGAATCGATCCAATTGATATATAACTATAATCTTTGTCGTATCGTTTGTTGAGATAGAGTTCGCAAAGTGTGTTTGGAAGTGAATTTTCTATCAGTCTCATAGGTCTATCTGAAGCCCAACCTAGATCTAATATTTCTAATCCCAGTGGTAGATCACTTATCATTTGTGGCTCTTTCGAGTTGGTGGGTGAACATAATTCCAATTCCAGTGATCTAAGCTTCAATGGTAACTTTGTCATCTCCAAAGAGTTTCTGAATACATAGATTGTCAACTTGGTCAGAGAAACCGGATATATATTACTGTCCGGTATATCATGAACAATATCTTGACTTTGGTGGACAACCATAGTTGTGATGGTAGGAGTCGATAGTTTTGATATGATTGGTGACCATTCAGGGCTGACCGATATTTTACGGAGTTTGGGCATCGTCGACATGGTCAAATCTTTAATCTCATAGCCCCTGTTGAGGTGAAGATCCCTTTGAATTAGAACCTCTAGACTTGGAAGAGTTGCATCGAATTCAAGCTTTATATTACGACCTAGTGTCAGTGATTTCAATGTCTTTGGTAAGCTACTTGTTTTAATTGGTTTGTTGTTACGTTCTGCCATTAAAAGGTTAATATTCAGCGCTGTCAGAGATGAGAATGGTAGCAGTGGAAATAATGCAGTATTGGAAATTGCAAGTTCTTTCAAGTTGGTCGGTAATCGATCAGCTTTACATTCACCCTGATTGGTAAATTCTTCCAAGAATTTAACATTGGAGCACTCTAATTTCTTTAAGAAACATTCATTATATAAAAATTTCTTTATAGCGTAGTGGATGGTTAAGTCACTGACTTCATTTGGTATATCTATATTAGGTGTGTATTGAACACGATGTTAGTTTATTTTTTTTATTGTTTTATTTATTTGTAATAGTATGTAAATATAGTATAATATTATAATTTATACGAATGTTTACATACAGTAATCTGATTGATCATCACAAAGAATATCAGTGTTCTTCAAGCTTAATCTATTCTTTGCCTCGAAACCAACCCAAAGAGATACATTTGACTTTTCGATGTAGGATCGAGATATTACATTCCTATAGCTGTTATTGATTAAATTATCTTTTGAATCTATTGATAGGTAGTCACTGTTAAACCAAAGATAAGAATCTCTATCTTTAAACCATCTTTTACAAACTAAACTAAAACATATTCTATCTTGATTATCTGATAAAAAACTATTTATTTTTGACAATATTAAAAGAGGTAATCTATCAAAATCGAATATATGACAATTATTGTCATTATTCATTGTTCAAGACAAACAATTTATATCTTTTTTTTCATAAAAATATTAAAATTATTCAAAGATAAAAAAAAAAAGAAATAAATAAGATTTGAAAGTTTTTATAAAAACTTAAAAAATTTATTTTATTGTTAAGGTATACAACCTGACTATGTTTTTACCTTAACAAACAACACTTACTTCAACTGCAATGACAAATCAAAAAAAAAAATGATTTAATAAAATGGCCAGAAATAAGATTTAAATGAAGATTGACTATGATGATTTTTTCTGAGAGCATTACTCATCCAATCTAGACCTTCAAATAAGCCTGAACCATCGATTGCAACTGTCGGTTGGAGATACCACTGGCGATCTCTGATGGTCTGTAATTTCAAACGGTCAGAGATCTCAGCCATTGACAATGATTGAGGTAAATCTTGTTTGTTGCACAAGAATAAAAGAACGGCACCATTCAACTGAGATTGTGCCAATATCTTTTTGATTTCTTCCGATGCTTCCTCCAATCTTTCTACATCGGTAGAATCTACTACAAAAATAACGGCCGCAACTTCAGAGTAATAATGAGTCCATAATTTTCTAATAGAATTTTGTCCTCCTATATCCTAAATGTTTTAAAAAAAAAACAAAATTATGTTTTTAGAATTTATACTTTATTAACTAATAAAAATTTGTTTTAATTGTATTTACCCAAACAGTGAAATTAATATTTCTATATTGAACACTTTCAACATTGAAACCAACTGTTGGAATGGTATTGACAACTTCACCTAATTTCAATTTATACAACATCGTTGTTTTTCCACTTCCATCCAGACCAATCATAATAATTTTATAATCAAGTCTTGGATCAAATAATTGGTAAATTTTTGTAAACATTCCTCCCATTTTTATTTATTTTTTTATTTTTTTAATAATGTTGATTTTAAGTTTTTTAAACAATAACAATAACTTTTTTAATAGAACTCTACTGAAATTAAATCCATATTTATATTATTATTTCAAGAAAATTAACGTATTAATCTTTGATGTGTTTTAGCATTGCTGGTTTTTTGGAATGGGCAACAAAAAAAAAAAAAAAAAAAAAGGGGTTAATTTTTTGATTTTCTTGAAATGACTTTTGTGAACTTTTGCTCATTTTAATTAAGTTCTCTATATGAGTTCAAAAATTTAAACAGTTACGAGTAACTTATTAACATTAAAACATTCTTTGAAGTTAGTTACAGTCGAAATATCTTTAACTTTTTAGACATTCTATCGGAACCAATTATGATTGTCTATCATTGCCAGAATATCAACATAACCTCTTTTATCGGCTTATTGTTTAACATAAAAGATAATAAGTTTTTTTTTGACTACTAATATTTTTTTATTATTTATTATTTAAATTTTTCAAGTTTTTGTTCTATTCTTTTAACCTCTTTTCTTGTTTTTGATCTCTTGTGAAGATACATGGTAGCGGCAATAACCAACGCCAAAAATACAACAGCACCAACAACAATTCCAGCAATTGCGCCATTACTTAACTTCTTCTTTGATTTACATGTTAAATCGAGATCATCGGTATTAACATCAATCAAATTTGAAAAGTCAGGATCCAAATATACTGATTTAGAATAATTTGGTATTGTAATACCAACTTTGATCGATCTGAATTGTGTTGTATCTTTAGTTTCAGTGTCTTCTTCTATAATTCTGTTGATGATTGGTGTCTGAGTATCGTCAATGATACCATAGTCAATAAAACGTCCATATAAACTTGACTTATCGATATTCATCTTGATCCATTGAATATTGTTTTTGGTGTAGTTCTGGCTTCCAAACTGTGAGGATGAACAAGAATCACTGCTCGATCCTTTGATTGTTGATTCCATAATGATTTGGAGTGAATTCGTTTTCAATTGGAATGTGTAATCTGAAAGTCTGATTGCAAATTTGATTGACGATTGCTGCATTGTCAAAACTTGGTCACCGAATGTAATGTTCGTTTGATTTGGGAAGAATGATATGGTTGTTTCGATGGTTGTTGTTGTTTGATTCAATAGTGATGTGTAAACATATGTTGGATTTAGACTTGTTGCTGATAGATCTGTGAAATTCCATTGGTTTATCATGTACTTTTGAACTGTATTTTCCAAATCGTCGATTTCTCTGACTTCAAGAATAGAAATCATCGTTGAGATAGTATCACCTCCGTTAGTTATATTAGTACCTGTTGTAGGCTCTGGTTGAGGTGAAGGTGTTGGAATGATCACAATTTCCGACGAACAAGATGGTCCATACCATGGCGCGCGGCATTGGCATCCGAAATTCTCTTTACATTCTCCACGGCCATTGCAAACAGGTGTTCCTGGACAAAGTGATGCTGGAGGTGTCGATGTTGGTGTTGGAGTAGGAGTTGGTGTGAAGGTATAACCATATGGAATGATTGGATAAACTATGAATTCATTCGATTTAACTCTATCGTTTTCAATTTGAACTTTGATGAAATTTGATGTGAAACGGTTGACTTTTGGAATTCTAATGCTAACTGAGGAAGTGTAGGAAGCTACGGTTTGTTGATATCCTTTGCCATCTTGATAATCAATTCTCACGACAAATGTTGAGCCTGTGAATGACAGCGATTTACCAGAGATAGTCAATGGTCCACCCGATATGAGAATGGGCGATATACGTTCAATAACTGGAATCGTTTTGTTGAATGTTCTAGAGATCTGGCTGGATACTCCCATTCCTATAAGGTCATCGTATAAATAGCTTTTATAATTGTTTTGTTTGTCAACAATTCCATAAATTGCAACAAAGATATAATCCAATCCGAATCCGTATGGCATTTGATCCCTTGCGATATAATGATTGTCAGTTCCATCTTTGAAGTCAAGAACACTCTTGATTTGGAATTGATCACCATTAGAAGCCGACAAATAAATCATTGGTGTGTGGATATCCATTATGCCAGACTCGCCATCTGTTGTTACAAATTTAAATTCAATTGGTCTTTCAAATCCACCAACTTCTACTGATGAATTGAATGTAATACTTTTCAATTTAGGTGCAAGATACTCTGCAGAACCTGTTTGTCAATCATAAAAGAAAAATCGTTAAATTTAATAATAAAACATTAAAAAAATAGTATTTTAATAGTTACCTCCACATGTATTACGAATTTCTAAAATAGCATTTTGATTTCCTCTGATTGAATTTAATGGATCAGTAGTTATCTTAACTGGACCATTGTCATACAGCTCGAGTGTGTCAAGATAGAACGATTGAGTTCTGCAAATGAAGTTTCCAGCAGGAAGTTCAAATGCAACTTCATAAGTTCCATTCTTATCATCTCCATCTATTAAATTTGAAGAGTTAAATACAACAAGGTAAGGATATGAATCATATTGTGAGACAATACGTGCAACTCCATATTTAAAACCGTTGTGAGTGTCGGAAATCACCAAATTCCAACCAATAAATGATGAATTCTTGAATTGTGAAATGCTTTTCAATATTGGTGGTTTTGTTTCTCCAGCTGACATATGTTTGGAATATTGTTGTTAGTTATCAATTGAAAAAATAACTATTATTTAAATTTACATACTCGGATTGGTTATTATCATTTTAGAATCGCTTGAATTATTAAAAATAGATGCAACTGACATACTATCTATTTGACCTATTAAATATCCAGCAGCATCGCCAATTGTATAAGCATCTCCATCGACCATCCAAGAGTTTATTGGGAATTTGATTGTGAAAAGTTTCAAATCATAGTCATATGATCCAAAATATTGGTATTCATTCTTTGTGTCAAATGAAATGTAAGGAATCATATTTGGAACATATTTAGATGTGTTGAAATACAATGTATTGTTTAACAATACTCCATTATGATTTGTTAAATCGAAAAATGTTTGATTAAATTTGAAATATGTTAAGTCTGTAACGATAAGGTATCCTAAAAAAAAAACAAAATAATATAATTGTTAATAAATGTTAATATATATATGTAAAATATGGTTTTCGAAAACTTACTTGATGAATTAACTATAGGAGATGGTACTAATAGATTTAAATCAGAACTAAATGATTCACCTTCATAAAAAGCTGCGACATCACCCTTTATGTTTATTGGAGTCAGCGACATTGCACCATATGGTAGTGTAACGAACTCTATTTGATAGACTCCATTATATACATCACCAGAAATACGATGAGCTTCGGTAATAATGCTTAGGGATAATTCTATATTCAATAGTGGTACGTTGGTGGTTATTGATATGGTTGCAATATTTGTTGTAGGCGAAGCTTCCTCCATTACTACATAATTTAACACAAATGTTGAATCTATAGATTATTGTTAGATATCTGTGCTTTATATTATAATCTGATTGTTAAAATCATTACTTACTAATACTCTCGAGATCACCACTCAACCCAAGCTCATATTGAGAACTAAGTGGTTTGAACTTAATGGTGAGCTTGTTTTCATAAGCATTTGAAGTAACAAATGCAAATTTATAGATTGGATCGCTGACAGTGTCAAATGCATATGGATTCATCAGAAGAATAGATGGTTGCATTTTGGAATAGAAATTATAGTCCAATTTATAATTAAAAACAAATGGAAGTTGAGTGCTAAATATTGCAAATTGACAAGTGCCAGTTTCTGTCTGTTGGTTGACTGGTATTTCTGGTATAGCTATTTTGTTAGGAAAATAAATTAAAATAATTGTCTAAAAGTTAATGTAATAAGATTATTATTTACATAGTCTAATGAAAGTAGCATTATATTCATACAGCTTTGTACTATAGGTATCTTGAATAATTGTTTGGTATCTGACAGCTGGGATGTTATAGCTTGTTGAATAAGCATACTCTGATATAGTAGCGTTTCTTGATACCAAGGTAAACGGTTCAATTGTATTCTTATAATTTTGAATGACAGAATTCATATTTTGAACTGTTACATATTGTTCCACAGTTCGGGATCGGTCGCTCTGTAATCTAAAATCTTCGGTATACACATAGAGATTAGGTGGATAAACAATGATATCAACTACTCTCGATGATCTTATAGCTATTTATAAAGGTAATTTTGTTTAGTCTAAATAGAATTATTAATTATTTCGTTTGTCTGTATTGTTTAAACATACCATTATAAGGAAAAGGATTGTCGACGACGATGTAAGTCAGATAACCATAATAATACAATGAGAGTGTTATATTTAACTTTGCAGGAAGCAATGCATATGCTGATAGTAAGTTTAGAGAACAATACCAATCTTGAGGAACTGACCGAAGTATTTGGCCACATTGACAGGTAACTCCTGTTGCATCTACTGTAGATTGGATTTGTTTAGAACTTGATTCTTGGGAAAAGTTAAATCTAATGAAAAACGTTGAAGTCGGTTTATAGGTAGCGGGAGCAGGTGGAGTGTAACTGATGATTTTAAAGTTTTCAACTTCAATCTCTACAAAAATGTGGTATATTGGTTAATAAGATTGTCTAAAAACAAAAATAGAATTGAAGACCTCATACTTTTACAAATAAAAGAGCTTGGTAATCGAAATAAACCGGCTTTGACTGCGAGAGTCATTGTAAAGTTGCCTATATTCATATAATAGTTTAGGAGGAATCGCTGTGAAGCTAAATCATCTTGGCTGATCAAGGTGACAGGAGGATATCCATATTCAGTGAAATTGTCTGGTGCGTCCAAACCTATATCATTGAAATTCAATTCTTGAGAATAGTCAAATACAACAGTCACTAAAACCTTGCATCCCTGTCTATAAATAAAAGGTTGGATGAATGGTGTCGACGAAGATATCAGTGATTGTGCATTATTTTTATTAACTGAACAAATAAAAGTAAAAAAGTTTTGGTTAATCTATCTGGATTTTTTGAATAAAAATTATGATAAATACCTTGTAAAAATAAAATTATAACTAAAATAAATAAATATTTATTCATTGTGATATTTTATCAAACTTTATTTAATTTGATCTTTTTGTCAGTATGATTTTTTATGGTTGAAAAAAAACAACCAACATAAGATATTTCCAAAAGATCTATTCTTTTCAAGATTTATCGTAAATTTCTTTATTCATATTTTTGCACTCCATTTTGAAATATCTAAAAAAATTAAAATATCTATTTTTATAAATCAAATAATTCTTTGATCGCAGTAAATCATTAAATTTTTATTTATTTTTTTTTTTAATATTAACAAGGAGTTTTTAATATTTACATTCAACGTTAAATATCTTTCCGGTATCATAAGATTGATTCATTGCATCTTTAACTTTACGAACAACATTTTGACGTTCACTTTCGATTTGATCCTTCTCAGATTTGTCTCTATCAGGTTGACAGCTTGGACTAACAAGAACAGCAGAAACAGTCGAAGCACCACTGATACCATTGATCTGAGCTTGAAGATTGGCGTAACCAGTTGAAGTTGTACCTTGGTTATCTATTCTAATGGGAGTACGTCTTCCAGCGCTATTTGTCATATCAGTCAATTTACTTCTAAAGATCATACTAAAATTTATAAGTGCAACTTCATTGGTAACAGCTAAATAGAATTATTTAATTTTGAATTAATTAGAACATCATCTATCATTTGAATGCAAACCATTTGTTAAGCAATTCGGATATATTATTATTTACCTTTTCTATCAGTGAAGTTTCCTTTGTTACGTATAGCTGCACCTTGAACTACCTTGACTTGTAATGGTCCTTTCTTAGCTTGTTCAGCAGATTGCACAACAGCAACGGCCACAAACAATATAGTTAATAAAACTAAAGCTTTAGAATATTGCATTTATTTCGTAGAGTAAGTGTTTAATTGGAATGATAGAATTGTATTCAAAAACATTTTCAATTTATAGTAAATTTTAACAAAATAGTATGGTGTACGATAATCAATCAAGTTTGTGAACTATTATCTGTGCACGTGTTAGCGATGGAGATTTATACATATTAAATTATTTGATTCTATAATAACACAAAAGAAAGTGCGATTAACCCACTTTGGATCAAAGTTGAATAAAACACATGAACAATTAGTCTGAAGATCAATTTGATGTGCGCACACTTATTCGTTGGTGTGCTGTCAAAAAAGAGAGAATTTGAAGGAGATTAAAAGAAATTGTGATACAAACTCTGAATTAAACCAATAAAATGTTAGTTAGTTCAATCATTTTCTTGTGATTAACTAACCAACTAACTAAGTTTAATATAAGTGGAATTAAGTGTGCTTCTGGTAAATATAAACATGATATTGTTATTGATATCAATGGATGAAAATGTTATTCTTAGTTGTGAATCATGTCATACTACAAATTAAATAAGATTAAAGAAAAATGATAATATTTAATGTTTTATTCGTGTTCACTTTTGCAACTCATTTTTAACTACCAATTGGTAGTTTATTCGTTAAGATATTGCTATTTATTAACAAATCATTTTATAAACGAGAAAGTATAAGTATAGGTGGTGGTATCGAATTTCATTTGGATCGATGGTATTACTTCATTGATTTTAGATGAAATCTCACTTGATATCCTGCTGTAAGAGTCAACTTCCAAGTGTCTGATAGTTTCGTTTATTGCCAATGTATTAAGGAATGACAGGATTGATTGTTCGTGTTTGATAATTGTTTCTCTGAGTTTCGGGTCTCGTGACATTTGTTTTTCGGTATAGTCAAAGTTCTTATCGTATGGCATGATAATGGCAAGCTTCTGTATCGATCGGGTGTGTTTAAACATCTCTCTTAGGTATTCCAGATGCTTCAAATCACAGTGTGACAAGTACAAATGAGTAATCGAGCTATTGTTATGAGAGAGTGCTTCGTAGAATGAGCTAGACAACACTTGACATGATATGGCGAGTGTATGCATTGTTTTATTAGCTGATAGTGCAGCACTCAGTAACTCTGAAGCAAAATGAACCGAGTCGGCAACCAGCTCGTGTGAATGAGAACCTTGTCTCGATGAGAGATGCAGCTCTCTTAGTGTTGTATTGCTAGAGAGCGACTTGCAAAACTGTGTCCAATGTTCGATTCCATTTGCTTTAAACACCTCCTCGGTATCATCGAACGACATACATCCACAGTTCCCAAACTGTGCGAAGCTACCATTGATATTTCTATCCATTTTATACAGGAAGCAATAGGATACATGTGAACTGAACCATTCCACATGACTCTGCTTTACTATTTCAATTAAATCAGAGATGTCAACGTTGTCGTTTAATATATGTATTTTCGAGAGTGAATCCAGGTTGAACAATAGTCGGAAAGAGAGGTGTTTCATCTCTCCACTGAATTCACCGTATTGGAATTGCAGGGAGTTAGCTCTCCACTCTTTAAGATAGCCAGCTGCGAATTGATTGAGATTGGTAGAACTGTCGTATGCTTCAACATTGTGGACGTTTAGATGAACAAATTCAATGTTGGACGATCGTTCATCTCCAGACAAGTCATAGTCCACTATTTCACTTGATAAATCTTGATCTATAGCGACTTCGATCTTTAGTGTTGGAAATCTACAGAGCAACTCCTTAACCAAGATTGGACTATCAGTAGCAACTGTCAGTGTTTGTAGATTACTTAGCATTCCTATCAATTCGTATAACGGTAGGCCTGCATTACTTTCAAATTCAGAGTTGAACATTGAATCTTGTACATAGAGATTTGATATACGGTCGTATTTGTACAGTGAATATTCAGTCGACAGGTTTCTACTATTAAACTCTAACAGTGAATCATAACAAACAAAATATCTACAGCACATGCACTTTGAAATATAATCGAACCAATACCGACTCACCAGCGAGAAATCAACCAACCGACTACCAATTACATTTTCGAAACATCTAAAACTATCGTTCTTCAATAGTTGTGCGTTGTCCTTTAGTTTTAAACTATTGCCATAATCGAGTAAATGTGTTATTATTCTTTGTTGTATATATTTAGTAAACATTATTATTATAACTATTTTTATTCCTAACCTTAATGATCATTTACATTTTGTAGATCAAAAATACAAAATTGAAAGAATAGATATTTTTTTGAAAAAAGATTGATCATTTTATTCTTAAAAATTACTGACAAATTGTTGGCATGATATCTTGGAAACTGTAAGTAGTTTCAAACAAGTGAAAAGGACCAAATAATATGTAAAATAATATTAATATTAATATTAGTATACACTAGTTTATAAACCTAAAGATATGAATGATGAATTAGTTGTTGATTTTCAAGATTTAAAATCACTACCAAATCTTATCAATATCTATCATATATATTTCGAAAGTAAACACACAAAGTTCATTGAAACTAGGCTGAAATGTGTACTACACTTTGTGGCCTATCACAACTACAATAAATATACACATTATTTCGATTTGAATGGTTATTGCAAGTTCATCGCTGAAGTGTTCTTTGATGAATCGCAAAAGGTATTCCATCAAATATTGTCTTTACGTTGTATCAAGCAAACTAAAATTTTAAAATCTATTTATAATATGATTATCAATGATGAAAGAGTATAGTATATATTTAAAGATCAATATGTTTATAATCGTTGTTAACAACTAGCTAACATTCTATATATATTAGTTTAATGACTGGTTTGAAAGAAAGAATGATTTAGATACCAATGAATTAAAAAATAGAATAGATAGATTCAGAAATCAATTGGAAAGAGATCGTTTGCCACAACTAGATACTTTCACATACGATAATCTATATGAAATAGTTAATAAGAATAATAACAACAACAATAATATAGATGAAGAAGAAATAACAACAATAACAAGTACAAATACTATATCTAATGTAGGAATCAATAATAATAATAATAATAGTAAACTATCTGAATTGTTATTGGAAAAGATAATATCCTACACCATTCAGTTTGATAAACATTTTTATAATAATACAACACTTACAAGTAGTAGTGAGGAAAGTAGATACAATCGACTTCAATACCTTTCTTCTCATTTACACGATAGCCATTTTAACAATGTAGAAGAACATCACTCATCCAGAGTTATTGATGGAGCAGTCCTTTTAAACCATTCTTTGGTATCAAAGCAGTTTTTTAGTATAGTTTCAAAGATTATCAGTTACAGTTATTACTACTGGAATGGATATCTCAATATCAGCAACAACAATAATAATAATAACAGATATAATTTAGTAAAATCACCACCATTATTATTCGATTACGAAATGATAAAATATATTCCATACGATAAGGGAATAGAACATGCCAATCAATTGATGTCACGTGTCAAAGTTTTCACAATGAGATCCGATGAATTTGAATTCTCCTCGGATTCAGGTGTATCTAGATCCTCAGTGTTTGACGACGACCATGAAGCCTATAACAACTTCCTAGTCTGTGAAATCTACAAAGAAGCTATCACTAGCGATGGCTACTTGGTATATCCTCCGGTAATGCCAAATCTCAAGGAGATCGTTGTGTCAGAGTACTATGCGTTTGGCGATAACTACAATGAGTTCATCACTCACCTCGTTCGAAGCACTCCAAACGATGGCGATACACACGGCATTGAACGGTTCTCGATAGAAATGGTTCAAGATCCAAATATAGAGCAAGATGAGTGGTCGCCTCAACCTATTGATTTCCTTCGACTATTGGTGTGGTTGCATTCAGCTACATTGAGAACAGTTCGGCTAATCTGTCGGTCATTCGTACGCCTTGACCTTGGCAATCTTGTTGAAATCCTTGAAGATATTCTTCCACACATCAAAGAAAATGAAATCCAATTCGAATTGATATTAAAATCTTCATTGGTACGGGTCGAACAATGCGATCATAGAGATTTTAACAAAGAGGTATTTCAATTTTTATTAGAAAATACTGTATATAAATAAATTTTAGAATTTTATAACAGCTCATTGAATAAAACAAAGATAAATGATAGATAAACTATATTATTCTTGTGTCGATAAGAAACCAATAATTGTTATTAAATTCTATTTATTCATAATAATAAAAACAACTATTAACTAATTTTTTTTTTTTTTTTTTTTTTTTGATGGAATCTTCAAAGAAAATATGAAAAAACAGCTTTTTTTTTTTTTGATGATTGTTTACCAATAAAATTATTTGAATATTATCTATATAACATTTTAAAACAATATGAGTAATATTATGATTAACAATTTAGTCAGATTCAGACAATATATAAATAGAATGGAGAAAGTAATATTAAAACATAATTCAAACAATAAATTCAATAATATAATATTAATATAATTAAATCTTTATCTTTCACTCTTTTTAAATTAAAGTAAAATGTACTATCAAGAAGAACCTGTTTCTGCTTTAGTTATCGATAATGTATGTGGTAACGAATGATACTTATAATTGAAATGAATACAAAAAAACAGTTTACTAATTTGTTGATCAATATTATTATTATTACTTATTATTATTAGGGGATCTGGTATGTGTAAGGCTGGTTTCGCTGGAGATGATGCACCACGTGCTGTATTCCCTTCGATTGTAGGTCGTCCAAGACACACTGGTGTCATGGTAGGAATGGGACAGAGAAGTTCGTATATTGGTGATGAAGCACAATCAAAGAGAGGAATCTTAACTTTGAAATACCCAATTGAACATGGAATCGTCACCAATTGGGATGATATGGAGAAACTCTGGCATCACACTTTCTACAATGAGTTACGCGTTGCCCCAGAGCAACATCCAGTTCTCTTGACAGAGGCACCACTCAACCCAAAGGCCAATCGTGAGAAGATGACCCAAATCATGTTTGAAACTTTCAATACCCCAGCCATGTACGTTGCCATTCAAGCGGTTCTCTCGTTGTACGCATCTGGTCGTACCACCGGTATCGTTATGGACAGTGGTGATGGTGTCTCCCACACCGTTCCAATCTACGAAGGTTATGCCCTGCCACACGCCATCCTGCGTCTCGATCTTGCTGGTCGTGATCTCACTGACTACATGATGAAGATCTTGACTGAACGTGGATACTCTTTCACCACTACAGCGGAGCGTGAGATTGTTCGTGACATCAAAGAGAAACTAGGATATGTCGCACTCGATTTCGAGAATGAGATGCAAGTAGCTGCCAACTCGCTGTCTATCGAGAAATCCTATGAACTACCCGATGGACAGATCATAACGATTGGAAATGAACGATTCCGTTGTCCTGAAGCATTGTTCCAACCATCGTTCTTGGGATTAGAGTCAGCCGGTATTCATGAGACCACGTACAATTCGATCATGAAGTGTGATATCGACATCCGTAAGGACTTGTACGCTAATGTCGTCCTCTCTGGTGGATCTACTATGTTCCCAGGTATTGCTGACCGTATGCATAAGGAATTGACAGCACTCGCACCATCAACCATGAGAGTCAAGATCATCGCTCCACCAGAACGTAAATACTCTGTGTGGATCGGTGGTTCCATCTTGGCATCACTTGCCACTTTCCAACAAATGTGGATCTCCAAAGAGGAATACGATGAGTCTGGTCCATGTTTAGTTCACAGAAAATGTTTCTAATCAGTCATAATATATATAGTAAAAACGTGTAAATAGTAAATTCTTAATTCTTTGTGTAAATATATAATAAATCATTACAAAAAAAAAAAGGTAACTGTTGATTTTATCCGGTTGCCTTTGTTTCGCACAACTTCTAAAAAAATTTTTGATTTATTTGCGAATTGCTATTTTTATATTATTTTATTAGCTGATTTTGTTTAGTTATCCTCTGGGTCTTTATCGAGAAGGTTCTTCAATTCACTCTTGTCTGTAAGATGAATCTTGTATAAATAACCATCACCCATTGGGTCTTCGTTAACCATCTCTGGTGATTCTGCTACTTCTTGATTTACTGATGTGATCTTTCCACTGACTGGTGAATAGACTTCAGAGGCAGCCTTTACTGATTCAATTACAGAAGCCTCACGACCGGCACTGACAGTCTTTCCGACCTCTGGAAGTTCGACAAAGACAATATCACCAAGTTGTCTTTGTGCAAAGTCAGTGATACCGACAGTACCTTCGTCACCATCGACACGGATCCACTCATGTGACTTGGTATAATATGTGTTACTGTAGAATCTGAATGGTGATGCAGAGAATGTCTTTGGGGCAACAGCTCCTCTGAAGGCAGAACTGCTATTGAAGGCCAATCTGATTGATCTTGAGAACATTTTGAATATAAATAAAATGATAATAAATAAAAACTGATTGATGAAGTGAAGTAACACCCTTGCAATAAATGGTCATGACTTTTGGCAAAATAAAAAAATAAAAAAAATAAAATAAAAAAAAAGTTTAAAAAAAACAAAAATTAAATTTACTTTTTTTTTTTGCTCTGATTGATGATCATTTTGTTAACTAAATATGTACAAAAAAAATCTTGCTTTGTGCGTCACTATTTCTTTAAACTCGTGAGGATGAATGTCCAAAAGTTGTATTTTATTCGAAACTGTGTTGGCAGTAGTTTGTGATAGTAAGATATCTAAAATGTGCTAATAATCATGCGACATTTTTTGTCATATTTCAAAGAAAACATGGAAGTTGCCAAATTTCAAGTATTTTATGAACTTGAAGAAAATGAAAAAAATTTGAGTGGTTCCTTAATTCTGTCATTGAATGGAATTAAATTGGTATTTGATTTTCCTAACATTCCAACTCTTTAAGATGACAATGGCCATTTGGTATGTATATTTTTGCGGGAATACTTATTATTGTTTTTATTGGTTGTATCATTGTTGTCAGCCACTGGAAAGAGAGCAAGATGCTGGTCAACCGATTGCTTCACCAGTGAATCGTTCTTCAGTATGGTTGCTATGATTTGCTACAATTGATCTCTAGACAGCGATTTACTGTTGTAATGACTTTATCTCGGTTAATGAACTAAGCAGCTGCTTCAAGAGTGTAAGAATTCTTCTGATACTGATCTGATAACAATATTTTGGGTATAAATAAAATTTTTAAATTTTTGTTGATCAAACATCAGTTCCCCTTTGGTCTAGTGGTGAGGATTTTCGCCTGTCACGCGAAAGGCCCGGGTTCAATTCCCGGAAGGGGAGAAATAATTTTAAAAATATTGTTTCGCATGCGGATACTAATGAATTTCTTCATAAGTTTAACACTAAAGTTTTTTTTCGTTTTTTGTATACAATTAGTAACTGTATACTACTATTTATAATTATTATATTTTCATATTTATATCAACTATTTAGCAATAACTATTAATAATACAACATATTATTGCAATAATATAAGATTTAATATAAATTTAAACTAATTATTACATATTCATCTAATCACCATCAAATCTTATTTTATTCTATAATATATATTTATATACATTTAAATAACAATAAGAACAACCAATTAGTAAAATGAGTACTCTATTCGAGTTCTATAAAAAGAATCTAAAGCTTAGCAACAATGCGACCTTCATGCAACTCATACAACTAGAGAGCATTCATGTACGTCTATACTTTCCTAAATCAAATTACGTCAGTAACAAGATTTTAGAAAAACTATATGATCTCTTCATTATGAGCACTGTATCAGATCCCGAGGGTCGTAGGACAAGCAAAGGAATTGTATTTAACGGAAGGATTGACAGATCACGTCTCAATGATCTACATGTTTACTGTAGTGAGAACCTTTCGATAAATAAACCTAGAAAGATTGTTGCCTATTTCCCTTCTTTCAACTTTCTAAAAGTATCAGCAATAACAACATCAGACAGCTCTAAAGCAATTAAAGAGGATGAATTCAAGAAGATATACAAGAAGAATCATGCTCTTTTTTCACATGTCTCCTCTCTGCTACCCACCAAAGACAATACCACTAAACTATACAAAGCATCTACATGGGTACTCTACGAGAAAGATGTCATCATTTCTGACGCTGACTACAAAGACGAAGAATCGGGTTATACTTCAACTCTAACCAAATACGTAGAACCTACACAAAGAACTTCTTCTACAACTACAACAACAACTTCAACCGATAAGAAGAGAAATAAGAAGAAGAATGACACTACAACAGTTAGACAAAGAGAAGTTAAAGATTCAGAAGATACAAATCAAAACAAGAGAACTCAGGCTCCAGCAGGTAATACGCAGACACATGTGAGAATACCCTTAGCCCCAATTGGACAACCTTAAGCTACTTCTATGGAACTGCAGGGGCGCAGTTCTACAAAAATCACTGGAAGATATAGCCTCTTTAATTTCATCTACTTCACCACACATCACCCTACTTACAGAAACTAATCACGTCACAATCACCTCACTCAACTCATATTTCAACAAAAATAATAATAATAATAAGATAATAACTACTTCAAACGGTCAAGGAACTGGGGTTGCAATCATCTCTCATTCCAAGCATATCAATCTATACCCCTCTCTCATCGATCCTAATGGAAGATTCATTCTGTGTACTATAAGAATATTCAACAATAGCTTCAATCTCCTACATATATATGCTCCAGCAAGCAAACCAGAGCAAAGATTGTTTGCTGATCAACTCTTCAACAACACTTCTCTTTGGTTACCAAACCATATAGACATTTGCACTGGCGACTTTAATTGTATACCAGGAGACAGCTCACCACTATCAACAATATTAGATTTCCTCAGCGATGATCATGATCTTATTGATCTAGATAGTACAAACAACAGCAGCACTTGGAAACGTGGCGATACAGAAAAGAGATTAGACAGAATATATTGCAAATTTACAATAGAAACATCCAACTTCCAACTACACCCTAGAGCACTATCTGACCACTCACCAATCACAACAAACATAAAAATCACACCACCACAACTATCACAAACACAGTGGAGACTCGATAAGGAAACTTCACTAGAACCAGAAGTACAATCACTTATTAATAACATTATCACCACCAAAAACATCAACAACATAGAAGACTGGATAAAAGTCAAATCATTAATCATAGAATGCTACATAAACTATCAAAAGAAAAGGAAAAGAATAAAAAGAAATGCGATAATCAACTTACTGAAAACAATAGACTCCAACCTCCCCAACAACATCATACAATCAGCAAAATTAGATCTTATCAAGTTACAAACAGAAGAAAGGAATCTAAGAGATTCAATTCGCAAGGTCAACCAACAACTAAACGGTGAAATCCCTTCTCGATTATTAACCGCTAAACTAGCTCAATCCAAAAAAGATACCAACATCGTCGGTTTAAGATTAAATGAAACCACGGTTACATCTAATCTCGATGATATGGTGAACATCATGGAGAAGTACTACAGATCGTTATTCAGAAATGTTCCAGATGATCCAACCATACACAATAGACTACTTAACGAATGGAAATGTGAAATAACCGATGACAGCATTGCCAGAGAATTCACAACCGAAGAGATCACAGAAACTATTAATTCATCCAACCCATGGAAATCACCTGGCCCAGATGGCTTAGGACTATGGTTCTACCGAGCCCACTGCGATGTCATTGCCCCTATACTCACCAAACTTTACAACCAATCACTCAACTCAGGCAATCCACTACCAAGCGAATTCAAAGTAGGCACCATCACAACTATTTACAAGAAAGGTGATATATTCGATCCAGCCAATAGAAGACCAATAACACTACTCAACAACGATTACAAAGTTATCACCAAAGCAATCAACAATCGAATGAAAACCTTGGTAGACCTAATCATCAACGACAACCAAACTGGCTTTGTACACAAGAGATATATCATGGACAACATCATCACGATGAATGAAATAATAGAATACTGCAAACTCAGAGGATTAAGTGGCTTAATAACATTATTCGACTTCAACAAAGCCTTCGACAGCATCTCTCACGGCGCTATTAGAAGAACACTACAACACATTAAAATAGACAACAAAATAATCAACCTAATAATGAACCTTCTCACAGGTTCTACCGCCAGAGTAATTGTCAACGGATTTTTAACTAACCCTATTCCTATCAACAGAGGAGTTAAACAAGGAGATCCACTATCACCAACGTTATTTGTTCTAGTCATCGAATGTTTGGCCAGAGCCATACTCAATTCCAAAGCAATCGGTCTTCCACTAAACGATTTCAACACAATGGTTAAATTATTACAATTCGCAGATGACAGTAGCACATTTTCAGCAAATTATAAAGATCTGAAACTAAAATTAAGAATCTTTAACCTGTTCTGCCAAGCCACATCATCCAAAATCAATCCCACCAAGTGTTGTATCATCCAAATAGGTCCACCTTGCAGCGACCATCTTCACCACCCCCCGATCATAGGCGACACAAGAATACCAAAGTCAATTGTCAACGAAAGATATCTCGGTCTTTTCTTTAACTCCGAAGGATTACATCATTCACTTTCATCAATAGTCAGCGAAGTTAAATCATCACTGATCAAATGGAAGAAGTTTGGCACAACCCTAAGGACTAAAATGTCAATACTCAAGTCATACACACTATCAAAACTCTCTTACCACATGTACCTTGACAAATTCACAGAATCAGATATCAAATCACTCAACAAAATAATCACTTGGTTCCTATGGTCATCCAACCTCAGACCTTTCGAAGATGCAAAATCATTTAAGAATACAATGACACTCTCCAGAGCAGTACATCATTGGAAAAATGGTGGCATTTCATTGTGGGATATGAAACTACGAAATGACGCTCAACACATTTGGATACTAAATAGAGTAATTGCAAATCAAGATGTCTATTCCCCATACTACCAAAGCTGGCGTAACCAGATCAGACATAACAAGATAACCTCACCTACACTCAAACATTCCATCCTTCTTTGGCAACAATTCAGACCAATTATGAAATTACCTCCACATCAAATGAAACCAATATTGCGTAATGACGAACCACTACCACTTAAACTTATATACCACGACCTTATCAACCATCACCACAAACCAGTACTTACATCAGGTCAATTCCAACTATCTCTTCCCCCCACCAAAATAGACTTTACATCAACCCGAAACATCTTCTACTACATTAACTCCATCAAACACCACAGAGGTAGAAACACAGTATTCAGATTCTTCTCAAGATCACTTCCTGGTATGGCATACATCAAACAAGACAGTTGTAAACTATGTTCAGCAAATGACTTTGACCCACACACACATTATTTCTTTAATTGTCGAGTCATCCTAAACAAATTCAACCTCAAACACATCACACAACATCTACAAATTGCCAACTACGAAGACGAATGGTCACTGGAAAAATCTACTACTCACTTCTACCTCTGCGATGAATCATCAGACCTAACAGCGATCATCTACCACAACATTTGGAAACATGTCAGTTCAATTCTATTCAGTCAAGATGACAAAATACTCGATTTCTCCAACCAATCTATTATATCCGACTTCGATATCCACAGAAACATTCTAAAATTAATAAACAACACTCCAACACCAGCCAACTAATCAAGTAAATGAAATTAACTCTCTTCCCAACCTGCCAACTAATTAATTAAATCAACCAACAACTAAAAAGAAAAAAAAAAATAGACTACGAAAAAAACTTGATGGTAAATCCATCCTTTTAATACAACTTTTAATAAAACATGTATACCACTTTAGTTATTATAAAAAAAAAAAAATAAGTTTAACACTAAAAAGTGATTTTTTGATTGTCCGTCTATCCTAGGTGATGAATTCAACACCACCATCGATTTTACCGACTTTACTACTACTATTTTTACTTCATTATAGCAGGATATCTCCTAACTGGTCTTGTCATTTGATTCAAAAATTTAAACGAAAAAAAAATATAAATTCAAAAAAATAGATAAATTTTGGTAGATCAAAGATCAATGTAGAAGAGAATTTATATAATGATATTGTTAAAAACAAGTTTTATTGAGTTTTATTACATTTTATTTAAATATATATCCTTTAGAAGTGAGTCTTTATTATGATTATTTTTAATACTATCGATCATGATAAGATGATATATAGTAAAGAGTGACAGTAGTCTTTGCTGTTTTTTTTGGTTTGGAAAATGATTTTTTACATTGTTTATTTAATTATTCTAATAGAACATTCAAGTCTATATCACCGACAGTCTCAATGAAATGAGCATTGAATAAGGTTTGTTCGCATCTCGCAGCTTCTCTGATGTGTGATTGTTTAACTCTAATTGCCTGACCACGTTTCACAAGTCTATTTCTAATGACACAGACATACCTGCCCTGCAAGGGCACGAACGCAAAAATAAAAAAGTCGATACCGGATTGGATCAGTTGAAAATCTTTTTTGACAGCCAGATAGTGAGGTGGTGATACTGGTGAGAAGTTGGATCGCTGAGACGATATCTGCAATGATACTGATGGGTCGTAGGTGTCCTGACTCCTCAACATAACAACTACTGACTTATTGGTGGTATTTAAAATCTGAATTTTATCTGGTTGTCCTTCAAGATAGGTTGGTGGATCTTCTACATACTGTTCACCTAAATCTACGGCTATTTCAACGTGATACTGAGCATCCATTTTATATTTATAAATCTTTGTTGATCAAAAAAATTTAACTGCAAATAACTACACACTGTTTAATATTTATAAAAAAAAAAACAAGAAAAAAAAGAAATCATAAAACTTAAAATATTGATTAAAAAAAAAAAAAATTTTAAAATTTGAGTTTTTGAAAACAAAAAAAATAAAAAAACTTCACTGTTTAATGTCTAGAATTTTTGTGTAGTTTATTTATAGGTTTATTTTTGGGTTTGAACCAACTTGAAAGTTAACTTTTCTATTTTAACCCTTTTTGTACTTGTTGATTCGATAGGATTTGTGTCTTGTGAATGAATTGTTGTATTTACATCTGTACATTGTTAAACACTTGATTAATCCAAAAGAATGCTTGATTATCATTAGGTTTCACCAAGTTGATCTGTCGTTTGATGGTTGCTTTTAATACCCTTTCCACCTCTCAGATCTCTTCTCTTCTCATCATTAGCTTGTTATTAGTTTTGGTCGGTCTCGGTTTGGTTGATGGTGATGTTTAAACTTGGCGATTCATGACCGTTGTCACTGTTATTATCACGATGCTTTTGTTATTGCTTTTGTTTTTATATAAAATATATTCGTGTTAGTGCCAAGACTGTTCCCTCTCCACTACCAACATTGCTACTGTTGTTATCTCAAGGCATCAATCTTGATAGTTGTTTACTGCTTGTTGGAATCATAGTTTCGATCAACCGTTCACCGTTCCAACCGACTACTCAATACCAACCTTTATAAGTGTACACATCTAAATAAACAATTCATTCATGTTTGGATTAGTTTTATATGCATTATTAAATTCATTTCTCTGAACTTATTTACTTTTATTACTAGTTTATATCTTAATCAACGTAGTCTGCTCTTAAAATTTATGTGATAAAAGTAGATTAAAGAGAATTTACAATTGTTAATTTAAAAAAAAAAAGTTAGTAAAAAAAATTGTTACTGATTTGATTAAAACAATGGTTCGACAGTGCATCAACACCGTAGTTTATTTAAAGGTTTTTTTGAATATATATTATGTTTTTTTTTTGGGTTTGGACCATCTTGAAAGTTAAATTTTCTATTATTATTACTACGTTGCTTTGATAGGATTTCTATCTTGTGAATGTGTTGTTGTATTTAAATCTGTATTAGCCTAAACGCTTTGATTAATCCAAGAGAACATTGAGGTTAAGATTTGGGCTTCTATCAATCTCGGTGAAATCAGAGCTAAATAATTTTTTATCGAATCTCACAGATTCTCTTATGTGTGATACTTTAACTCTTAATGCTTTTCCTCTCTCGATATAGCGATTTTTGACCACACATAGATATCCATCATCTAAGGGCACGAAAGCAAATACATAAACGCCGGCATCACTGTTCACTGGCTGAAAGTCTTTACGGATAGCTAGAAAATCAGGGCCGACCACCGGACTAAAAGTGGAGCTTTGAGACGATAAATGAAGTGGTACTTTTGGGTCATATGTTTTCTGATCCCTCAACAAAGCTATGATAGGTTGTCTGGTAGTATTTAATATTCGGACTATACCAGGTTGACCATCGAAAATTGTGGGTGGATCTTCTATATTTACTTGACCCAACTCTACAGCAACAACATGTGCATCCACTGGATTATTATTATATTGCATTTATGATATTTAAGTTGATTATATAAACTATAAAAAGAAATATATAACTATATAGTTAATTATTAAGAATATTAGAGTAAATTAATGCTTTTGTTTGTTAGTGTTTACTTCTATTTATAAATAAAAAAACATTTGCTTTGATCAAAATTTTAAACTTAAGTTTTTGATTTTTGCTGAATTAAAAATTTAATTTGCACCCTCAAAAAAAGATAAAATCGTGTTCACTATTGGATTACTCTTACCATATAAACCCCATTTTCTTAAATATATTTTTAAAATTAACAATAAAATAAAATATTTTGAAAAGATCTTTTTAATTTATTCCCTAACAGTCAAAATGTGATCATTTCGAAACTATTAATACTAATCTGAATTAAGCTCTCCAACTTTTTTTACATATATAAATATGTATTTAAGTTTATTTCTCTCAATGAATTATATGTTTTCTCAAATTGTTTATTTTTTAACAAACTTTTGATATTATTATATTATATAGATACTGCTCATTGTATTCTAGATAATCGATCTCAAGATCACAAAAAAAAAAAAAAAAATAGAGTTGGTTGAGTTTATTAAAATAGTGTAATTTGATTTTTGATCAGGTACACTTTCAAATAAGTGTGGTGGTAATAAATCAAATATTTAAATATATGTGTGGGGATTATAATACATAAAAATGTATTTTGATTTTTAGTTTGTTTTTTTTTTTATCTAAACAATGTGAGTTATTACTCTGATTCTCATATTAGAGGATCATGAAAACAATTTAATAAATATATTTTGTTTTTGGGGCAAAAACACACAAATATAACTATTATATATATAGATTAAAATAGGAAGTTGATCAACACAAAGGAGAATATTTTATTAACTGAAGTTTATTTTTAATGTTGGTTTAAATACCATCACAACATATATATATTAACATCTCAATATGTGTGTGTGTGTTTTGATATTCAAATCAACTGGCATCTTATCATTCCATCAATTTTAGTTGCCAATCCAAAAAAAACAAAACAAATCAATCAAATCAAATTATATTTTTAGTGATTAGTATATTGTTGTTGTTATGTATTACCATAACTAAAAAGTGCTTATTTGTTTCTTCATTCATTCAAAAAAATATTTATTCTTTTACTGTAGTTATTTTTTTCTATATATTTTTATTAAATATTATCTGCTCTAAAACTATTTTAAAAATAGAATTGTAGTAATAAATTTATTATATAAAAATATGAAATCAATTATTTTAATATTTTCTTTGATATTCCTCTTTAATTGTGTATTATCGGTTGATGTCTTGGTGACAGAAATCTATCAAGGTACATCATGTGATCCTTTGAAATTAATTAAAACTCAACTCAACAGTCCATGTACCGCCTACGGTAAACTTAGCTTCAATACAACTCATTACTTTTTGTTGACCACCGATCCCGACAAACTTAACCCGAAATGCGATGGATACAATCAAACCAGTGGAGTACCAGAACCATTAAACAAATGCCAGTCCGACCGTCTCGATAGCAGAGTCAGCTACATCATCAGAAGAAAGAGCGCTCAAGCAGAGTCGGACATTCTCCAAATGGTAAATCCAAACACCTGCAGTCAAATCATTACCTACGGTTCGAGCAATTGCACTAGCAACATGGTAATGTTTAACTTCCCACAACACATCTGTTTCCCGGGTGGACTCTCGGATGGAAAACTCGGATATCTCCGTACCAACTGTACCAGTAACAATACATTCGTCTACGAGTGTGGACAAGATGCAAGCTGCTCCAACTGTACCCTTCTGTCAAGTCCAGCCAACAACCAATGTGTTCAAAGTCCAAATCCATTTTTGAATCCAATGTACAGCTCCTTCCAATACAACAAAGAGAGTATTGTCACACCAACTCCAACTCCAACTCCAATGACCAACAACACCACTCCAAAACCAAGCAAACCAGTTGTTGTTGATTCAACAAACACATCCTCAAATCTATTTGTATCATTCCTTCAACTATCAATTTCTTTATTGATAACTCTATTATTCTTGTAAATATATTCTTAAAAAAAAAAACAAAAAAACAAAAAAAAACAAATAAATACATTTTTTATAAATCTTAATTTTTTATTTTTCAGATGTTCATCAAAAAGAAGAAAATTTTTAAAAAAAAAACATTATTATTTATTCTTGATTTCTTCTCATTTAAATTATATAAAGAGATTTTATTGAAAATTGTGTTTTAGTAAATTAATCCACAAAGAAATACAATGAGTTATAATAAATATTAAATAATATATAAGTAAATATCTATCTATTTTTTTTTAAGAAAAACAAATCTATATAACATTACAAAGAAGTATTCAAATGTATATGAAAAAAACAAAATATGCACCATCTTTGAAGCCGTCATCAGTTGGTAGTAGCAGCTCAAGCGGTGCAGGTAGCAGTCATATCGCCAATGACATTGACTCTTCACCGATCGACAAAAATGGAAATGTATTATATAATCCAGACTACACTCATTATGTTGTTCACTGTCAAAAGACTGAATACGATGTTTATATAGGTAGAAAGAATCCAAAAGTAAGTTACTATTCATCAATTCACTTCATTTTCTATTTTCTATTTTTTATTAAACATTTTATTTTGTATTTTCAGATTGACCAAAGTGGTAATTTTAAGTGGGGCAATCCATTCAAAGTTGGAACTCATGGCGATAGAAACGAATGTGTTTTGAAGTATAGAGATTGGATTTTCCATAAGGATCAGAGTGAGTTGTTCCAGCAAGCAAAGAAAGAGTTGCATGGAAAGATCATTGCATGTTGGTGTTCACCTTTGAACTGCCACGGCTATGTATTGGCTGAGATTGCCAACTCCAGCGTGACAAACATCGATTATAAATCGGTTTCAAAACCATCGGTTAGAACTACCTATGCCGATCCAAATCAGTCCAAGATAACATCGTTCTTTGTAAAGAAAGAGGTCAACGACACTGCACCATCTTATAAACCAGATCCAAACTCATGGGCATCTCTCATTCAAAAAGAACAAAACACCACCAAACAGCAAACTACTTCAAATTCATCAACAACATCTACTGTCACCAGCTCAGTTGTTGCCACAAAACCAGTTGTTGACTCTGAAAAGGATTTCCCAACCCTTGGACTAAAGAAAAAGTAATCTAAATGAAATGATCATCAACTAATCTATGACATTTTAAACTACTTTTTTTTTTTTTTTTTCTAAAGAATAAAGTAAATTATATTAAAATGATTTTTATTTAAACTTTTAATGATGGAATGGAAGTCAATGGAGAATAAAAGTTGCTGAATGCTTCAAGATTGAAATCTTTGGTTACAGTTTTTTGAGCGACCTTTAACAAGCTTGGTTGGAAAGATTGTTCGTCTTCGTCTTCACTGTCAGAGTCGTCGTTGTACTGTGGGTTTGGACCTTTGCATTTGGCAACGAGGTTGGACAATTGCTCTGGGAATGGATCACAGTCGGCATACTTGTTGGTGTCGAAACACTCAGCAGAGGTGGTGTTGCAGATCAACTCGATTGGTTGATTCTGAGAGTTGCAGTACAAGGTCTCAGAGATGTCCTTGATCAACAACCATGAGGTACCGTTGGTGACGTACTTGGACCAGTTGAAATCCTTCTTGCATCTGGTGTTGCTTTGGTCGTATGACTTCATGTAGAGAGTCAACTGTTGCTTTGGTGGCTTGATTGCCTTCTTGGTAGCAGACAAGTAAGCATAGAAGTATGGGTTGGTGACATATCCGTTTCTGAAACGGTAGCAAGTGTCCAAACTACTAGCGCTAACACTGAATTGACCGGTACAGTTTTGAGTCATATAGAAATAACTTTGAAGACTACCATTGACAATGCTATACTTTAAGGCATAATATTCGAATGGGATACTAAATAAATATTAAAAGAGTAGTTAGTATACATATCTTTTGATAATGATTGTATATTAAAGAATTTGTTCTTTCTAACTTACCATTTATCTAAAAGATAACTGGTTCCATGACCACTAATTGGACCAGTGCAATTTATTCCGTCATGTGGCACATAGTTAATGTACTTGGGTGGTTTCTTTGCTGAACAGCAACTGATGATGGCTGCAAATAATAAAACAGTTAAGATAACTTTCATTCTTTTAAAATATATATAATATTGTTTTGAAAACTAAATTAACTGAGCAACATATGTTGTTCAATTTATAGTTTTTAGTTTTGCCCGAAAAGAGATTTTCAAACAGTTCTCAATAATATCACTCAAGATATTGATTGGATTTTTCATTATTTTATAATAATCTTACATGATTTTCTTAATTTTTAAAATCAAATGTCTTTGATTAAGTTGAGTGGTGCCAGATCATGCATTTATTTGGGTGACCCGGGTTTTTCAGGGTCAGACAAATAAAGAAAAAAAGCACAAAAATCTTGATTTTTTTTGCAATGTTTTTTTTTTTATTGTTTGGACATCAATCATTTTAATGCTTTCTTTTCTAAATAGAAACATGATAGTTACCAATAATAAACTTAATATATCTTAGCTTATATAATATATATTTAAAAAACTATCGTGTATTTGTTTGCCATTGTGAAAATTTTAAAAAACTTATTTTCTATCTTTTTTTGCCCGAAAGGAGGGAGATTTTCATCAGATAACTGATTTTTTTAAAAGTTTAGAATAATCCTCTGTGATTTTCTTTAATTTTTATTTGTCAAAGATTGAGGTACCATCTCAAGATATTTATTTTGATTTTATCGGTAAAAAAATAAATAAATTTTAAACCTGGTATATATTGGATGGTAATGTTCTAGAAAGACCAAACCATCTTAACAAACAAAGTGAAGATCATTCATATCGTTTTACCGTCGATAATTATAAAGATATTTTTAATAATATGTTGACTTAATTATTTTGCTTTTAAATTGCAATTCCTCGAAAAAGATTTAAACTTTATTGTTTTAACATTTTTATTTAAACATACATATATATATTGATATATATTGATTATTTTATTTGTTTTCATTAAATAAATCATACCGTAGATGTGCACTTGTTTTTTTTTTGCTTATTTTAAAATAAGCACTGATTCAAAGACAATCTATTTTAATCAATGTTGTAAATTTTTTGAGAATTTCCTTCATCCTGTTTCATTCAACAAAATAACGTCATAGAAACAGAATTTAAATAATGCCTTTTTTTGGAATTAAAGTAAATGGTGATTCATTTGACAAATTTTCATCATATAAAGTCATCATTAATGATTAATTTTTTTATTTTTTTTAGAAAAAATTTTAATTTTCACTCTTCGATAAAATCGTTATGATGGTGTTGGTGAGTCACACTATAATACTTGGCCAATGGTGATCATTCCTAGAAATCGACACCATCAAATGATTACCAAGAGTCTCAATCAAGTTTCAACAGGGAACAAATAAAGCTTTGATATGAGTTATTTTATAAGATTAGATAGTTTTGAGTGAGCTCAATGTAAACAACAAAGGTAAACTAAACTCACTCCTTTGAAATCATGATCATCGTTGGTCTATTTGTTCGTCAACCAATAAGTTTTAGTCTTTCTTGTTTTTCTTAACTTTCATTCATGCATATTAAATAAATAAAAGAAGTTATTTTTTTCTTTTTTTTTTTTTTTTCTTTCAATCAAATTAGATTAAAATTAATTAATTCAAATTTCATTCGATTTATTGATAGGTCACCACCTCTTTACCCTCGAATAATTTTTAACAAAACAGAATATTCTTTTTTTTGTTTTTTTTTTTCAGTGTTTTTGGAACACCACTTCCTTTTTAATTGTTTAAGGTCCAGAAAGTTTGTTTTTTCTTCTGTTTTACATTCCAAGCAAAGCGCTGCCTTTTTTTTAATATCAATACAAATATACATATACCAACATTAATAATAATATTAATATTATTTATCTTATTTATTTTTCATAATATTATCCAATAATCATTCATAGTATGATCTGATTAATATAATATAATCATATATAACACTATATATTCAACTAGTTGAAGAAGTAATTCTTTACAATAGCATTAAATTAAATTTATAACTATATCAATCGAAATTTAATTGTTATTTTTCTAAAAAAAAGAAAACAAAACAAAAATAATATTTATTAAAAATAATTATATCATTACCATTATATTATACGTTAAATAAGTCAGCAGTGCAGTAGTTAGATTTTTATCAGTCAGTCAGTTTATTTATTTATTAGTTCATTAATTAATTAATTAATCAATCAATCTAAGAAATAGTAATAGTTATTTAGTACTCGATTGTTTTAAAATACATATCATTATAGCAGGTTACCAGGCAGGTGTTTTGATAATTGTAAATATAACATTTTTATATAAATATTTGTACGATAGCACATATTCTTCAAATTAGTTCATTTCGTATTCACACCCCTTCCTTACAACATCACCCAATTTCGATCTTTAAATTCAAAGTTTTACAGTAACTCTTGAATTTGCACAGCCCCATTTTATTTATTATGAAACACATAAACACATAAGCACATAAACACACACACATACAAACACAAGACATCAAGCTTATCACTATTAGTAGCGTCATTCAACATCATATCTATGACAACTTTAAAATGATAAAAAAAAAAATAGTAGTTAAATAATAATAAAAAAAGAACATAACAAACAACAACAATAATAATTATAACACATGGCTAAATCTTTCAAATTGTTATTCATCTATCGTTTTTCTTTTAATTATTTATTTATTCACTACCAATGATGATAGAAAAGAATAAATAGAACAAACAGAATAAAATTGATAACAACAATAACAAAAACAACAACAACAACAACATTAATAACAAAAACAATATATATCATAGATGATACAAATTAAAAATAAAAATAAAACATTCTATTCAATTTCAACACTGGTAAACAAAACTTCGACTACTTAGTTTGAATATCTTGTGTGTGTGTGTGTATTATGTTTAACATTTTATCTGATCTTTTTTATAACAAAAAAAAAAAAAAAAAGATAAAAAATAAATAAAATCATATATCATCTATTATTCTTCTATTGTAAAGAATACAAACAAACAAAACATTAAATAATAGATCATACACCATAAATAACTTGTTTCTCTATTTATTAAGTTGTAATAGTATCGTTTTCAATTTTTATTGTTATAGTTTTGGCAATAATTAAAATAATAAAGAATAGCACAATAGTCTTTTTTTTTTTTTTTTGTTTTGATCAAAACAAAGCCATCTTTTTTTCAAAACCATTTAAATAGCCTAATGTGACTAACGATTCTTCCAATTTCGGGCTTTCACAACAACAAGAAAACTTAACATATTCACACTTTTTGAAAAAATTTCACCATTTATTCATTCGTTTTACACAGTTCAAAAAAAAATATAAATATATAAAAAAATCAGAATTTCAATTAAACTAACTTTATTTATTTGTTTATTATTTTATTTATTTATTATTAAACAAAATTTGTCAAAAAAAAATAAGAAAAATTAGACAACAGTAATCAACACGAAGACATTTCATACATATATATTTATTCAATAGTTTTAGAAATATAAAAAGTTTTAAATTCTAAAATGAGTATAGAAACAACTATTAGTAGTAATAATAATCATAGCAACAGTAATAACAATAGTATTAATTTTCAAGAAAAGAAATTTGATTCACCAACCGACACAACAACATCGACATCATCAACAACAACAACAACTACAACAAATATGATCGATAAAATTGAACAGCCAGTCAGCTTAGAGAGTGATATGGCTTTAAAGTTTAATAGTATGAACACTGCCATCGATATTATGAATCCGGCCAAGTATCGGTCACCGATAATGGACAGCACAGGTTCACCTATCAATTTTTCATCATCTTCACAATCGATCGCAAATACATCGTCGTCGTCGTTGTCGTCGGTGATCTCTTCGACATCGTCGTTCTCACTGAGCGATTCGCTCAACTCGAGCTTGAGCATGAGCGAGTCCGACAAGAAGACACGACGTTTTTCACTGTACGTCTACCAACAGCCGACCGACGAGCAACGCCAACAGATATCGGAGCTCTACGGATACAAAGGACACAACGACGACATGGGCTACGCCTATGCACACGACTCTAACATCCTCGCAGAGGACAATGGTTCCTCGTCCGACAGTTACTCCAGCTACAGACCGACAACTCGTTCACGCTCAACTTCGCGTGGACATTCACCCCTCTTTGCAAATAAAGACAAATCATTATCACCAACAACTACAACAACAACAACAACCAACAACAACAATCAACAACAATCTTCACCTTTATCACATGAAACAACATTGGATCCACCAACCAAACAACAATCAAATAAAGATGAACAACAATCACTCATAAAAGGAGATATAGATATTAATAATACAAAGACAAAGACGATGGAAAATGGAAGTAATGCAGTAAATATAAAGATACCGAAAACACAACAACAAGAGTTACAAAATATTACTGCTGCTTATTCATCACCACAACAACAACAACAATCAGCACCATTATTAGCATATCCTCATACAATTGTACCATATACATTACCACCAGCTTCCAATGTAATTAGCGAGTTAAAGACATTGGAGCCACCCGATCCCAATCAACTGCCACAATCCTATTTGTCCACAGTAAAGTCAGCGTATGCTTCGCAGGACAGACCTGTCGGTGGTTATTCCAGCGAGGAGTACAACGAAAAGGAATCGATTCTTAGGCCAATCGCAAAGCCTTTATCCACAGCCAAAGACTGGAATGCCGAGTTCCAAACACTGGTAAACAACAACCGTATGGAAGGTTATCGTGAGATCTCAAAGTTGGCACACGACTTTGTATACACTGCCAAGATCTACGGTAAAGTAATCATTTCCGAGCTAACACTACCACTTCACCTTAAAACCATCAAACCGATTAACATTGGTGGTGTTGCCGGTGGACACAAATATATTGCATTGGGTATTTTATTTAAAGTAAGTAAATCAATATCTTTGTTTTCACCAATATCTTTCAATCAACTAACTTATTACTATTTTTATTTGTAGCTTGCATTAGATTCACAAGGACTCTATGTTGGAGATCAAAACGCTATGAAAGCAGCAGGACATGAATTGAAAGGTTTGATGAGTTATTACAATGCTAGAGTGGAGGGATTACACCATCCACTGATGGCATTGATCGATTATCGTGGTTATCGTTTGGTTGCCATGTCACTGCTGCCCATCACCGGTGAGACAATCGTCTATGGTAGTAGCGATGGTGGTATCACTGTACATAGTGACAATGAACTGTTCAATCAAAAGATGAAAAAGTCTGCATCGATTTTGAATATCAAAGGACATGTCGTCGGTCGTGACACTCCCAAGCTACTGCATTCCTGTGGTGATATCGAAGGTCACATTGGTTCCGACGGTAACTTTTACCTGTTGGATTTCGCACGTGTATTCCCACCCATCGTTAAAATCAATGACAATGGTCCACCTAGTCATCTTTATGAATTAATAAGAGTAAGTTAAACTTCTTAAATCTTGATTGATTTAACCAATTCGAAAAAGTCAAATTTGAATACTAACTTTTTTTTTATGCAGCCAGAGTTGGTAAAATCCAATCATAAGCCTTTGTCATCTGATGCTCTTACTGGTTGGGGAAAGTTTGATACCAACGCGGTCGAACATAACTATGAAGTAAAAGAGGCTTCCTATCGATTGTTCTTACAGGTTATGCCAAGGTTTATCAAGTATTTGGATAGTTTGGAGGTTTGCGAGAAGAGAGAGTTGCATTTCACTCAGGAGTTGCATCGTGTCGGTATAAATTGTAGATATTTCGGTTTGATTAGAAGAGAGCTCAGATGTTCGTCGTTGAGAAAGCTGCTGCTTGCAGAAATCTTGGCACGTACGATGAAGTCAGAGATTATGGCTTTGTTCAGAGGCAAGATGAAGACTGCCGACACACCATCGGAAGAGCCATTCAAAGAGGTGGTAGTCCAGTACTTGAACACCATTTTCAAGTATGAGAACACTACCAAAGGAAAGATATGGCCAGCCAGTCTGAAAGCATCGATCACCAGAAAATTCATGGGTACCTTCCAGATCGTTCCATTGAATCGTGAAGTCATCACATTTGAATCGATTCAAAACAAAAAGTTTGACGAGGAAGCATTGAAGCGTTATATCCGCGCCAGCGAATTGGAGGAAGAGGAGATGTTTGCTGACGACGTCGATGTCCAAGCAGTGATGAAGCGTTTCAATCAGTTGACTGGTGTCGGTTTGACAAAGCGTGCAATGAAAGAGTTGCTCAAGAAGGACGGTATCATTCGTTTGGTGCAATCCGATGTCAAGAGAATGAAAGCCAAGGTCAAGGCTCATCATTTGGTTGAGTTTGCCGAGGGTATGGTTCTCTGGGACGAGGCCAAGAAAGAGCGAAAGATGAATCTCGACCCACAAACACCAGCCGGTGGTTTGCCAGGTTCCGAACCAGAGAGCAGCGATCGTATTGCCGAACGTCTCATGGTGCTTGCCGACGACCATTTCCGATCTGCACTTTCTGTCTCGCCACATTCCGGTGAGGTCTCTGCCAACTGGGCATTGATGTTGGTGGAGCGTGCCAGAATGAACAGAATCAGCAATCCAATGGAGGCGTACTTCCACTATCACGCAGCTGAAGAGAAGTTGAGAACGAGCGTGTGTGATGGTGGCAAGCCAAAGATCACTCTCGACAATGTCCTGCTAGAGTATGCCGAGTTCCTTTGTATTTGGGGAACTCACAGTCATTTGGAGCTTGACATGAACGAGGCAAATGGTTTGCGTGGCAAACTGTTTTCTCGTGCCAACCGTAAGATCTACGAGGCAATCGAAATCAACCCATCGAAATTCACAGTTGTCTTGCAAAAGGCCAAGTTTTTGGAAAAAGGATTCCACGACTCTATCAGTTTCAAAGAGGCTGCCGCTTACTATGCCGGTGCATCTACTATTCTCAATTGCTTGATTCAAAGTTTTGAGAAACTTCCTGCCTCTCATTACCGTGAGATTGCCGAGGCAATCACACAGAATCTCTCACCCTACGAGTTGATGATGAAGGAGAAAGAAGTTGCTGAGGCGCCAGACTTGATCCACCGTTCTCTCGATGACACTGTCGGACACAAGTCGTCGATCTCCAAGAGAAAAGACGAAGAAGAGATTCAAAAGATCCTAGAATCCGATCCATTTGCAATCATCCGTATCGAAATGGGATGTGTGTATATTCGTTATGCTTATATCTCACATGTCTATGGTATTATGTGCTCAAAGCGTAACCATACCAAGATGGCCAGCATCAAACTCCTCAAGAAATCGGGATCTCTCTTCCAGAAGGGTATCGACTTGGATCCATATAACCGTGATGTTCTTGTCGACCATATCAAGAAGTTCACACAATCCAGTCAATTCGTAGAGTTCTACCAAACCGCTATTGGATGTCCATCGATTCTCGACTTTGTCGAAGACAGATTGCTGCGAATTGCACACATGTCACTCAAGAACTGCTCTCATTTGCCAATCGAGTTTATCGAGGGTATCATTGAGTACTCGCCAAAAGTCAGGATGTTGGTCCTCGATGGTTGCACTCAGATCACCGATTCAACAATCGAGTTGATCGTCAGAAAGCTGCCACACCTCGAAACTCTCAGTCTCAGTGGTTGTGTCAAGGTAACAACTATCATTCCAAACTCAATGTTGAAAGAGTGCCTAAGCGAGCGTGCAAGCACACCATCACTGATCGGTCATCAACACCATAGCTATGGATCACTCAACGATATTATCCACCACCCCGAGAAGGAGAAGAAATGTATATTCGATCGTCACCGTAGTTCTACTTCCAATCCTATTCAATCGAATGTCCTAATGAGTTCGTTGAACAATATTCTGATGGCATCGGCTATCTCACCACAAGCTTCAATTCCATTGAAACCATTGACATTCCTTCAGAATATCAACCTCAACAAGTGTAGAGCCGTCACCGACGATAAGATCATTGCCATTGCCAATATGCAACTCCCACTTGTTAATGTTTACCTCAAGAAATGTAACATCACAGACAATGCTATTATCCATTTGACTCAGAGCTGTCCAAAGATAGCAGCACTGCAACTCTCGGGATGCAAGAACCTTGGCGATGCCAGTATCAATGCAATTGCCACCAATTGTCTTGGACTTCGTGAACTGAGAATGAAGCGTTGCCCGTTGGTTACATCAAACTCTATCGATAAGATGTTTAGATTGCTTCACAATATCCACATCGTGACACTTGCCGAATCACCAATGGCCGTCAGTGATAATACTTTGCGTCTCATGGGCAAATACTGTACAGAAATCCAATGTGTCAATGTTTCGCACAATAGCATTATCACCGATGTCGGTCTTATCAATCTCGTTAAGTTCACCAACACCATTCAAGAGTTGAATATTTCACAGTGCGTCAATATCACTGACATTGGTATTCAACACATTGCCCAAGCATGTGGTAAACTCCGTATCCTCAGAATGTCTGGATTGAACAACGTCACTTCACTCAAGCCAATCGGAAAGAGCTGTGCCGATCTTGTCGAGCTCGACATCTCAGAGTGCCACAAGATTTCGTCGGATCTCGGATATATCACCAAGGGTTGCCCCAAGTTAACAAGCTTCAAGCTACGTCGTTGCTACGGTCTTCAAGATGTCTCTCTGCTCAGCGAAGACGGTGAGATTCACGCCATGTCCAAACTATCGGTGCTCGATTGGAGCTATGGAAACATCGAATTCCAAACAATCCATTCGATTACCCACTCTTGTAAATCTTTGACCTCACTCAACATCTCTTATTGCAAGAGTCTCACTGACACCTCGATTGAGAGAATTGCATCATCACTGTCAAACTTGAAGAAGCTAAAGATGGATTCCGTTGTAAATATCACTGACGATGGTATCAAGGCTTTGTCTGAAGCACCGATTGCATCGTCTATCGAAGATCTATCGCTTGTTGGTTGTAGAAAGATCAGTGATGTCTCTGCACAATACATTCTACGTTTCCACAACCTAAAGAAGCTTTCGTTGGGTGGTTGCTTAATGACAACCGCAGGTGTCGAATCAATTGCAGCAGAATCATTTGAATTGGTCAAGATCAGCATACGTAATTGTCTAAACATTAACCCGGCAGCTATCAAAGAGAAGCATCCACATATGAACATCGACACAACTCAAAAGGATAATGCATTTTTCTCTGAATAAAAAAAATAACTGTTCAACAATAAAACAAGCTTAAGGTTTTGTTATAACCCAAATAATAATATAATAATAATGAGTTTATTGTTTGTTCTTTACATCTCGCCTCACGTAGAGTTGTCTGTATTGTAGAAATTCTTTATAAACTACATGATGGTTAGATCGAAGATTTTCAGGGATAAAATCTTCAAGTTGATGTTCTTCAAACAATATCGCAACTTTAATTTCAGATAAAGTATTATTATCGTCTAAACTCGTCAAGAATTCAGCGAATGCTTCTTTTTGATGGGGATCTGCATAGGATGATATATTTAAATATTGAATTGTGTTATTTGTCTTTAGAGCTGCACAAAGAAATTGAAGGTGTAATTGAGTTAAATCATAGAGTTTAAGACTATTGATTGATTTATACTGCGAAAGTGATTGAAAGAATGCTTCGTCTAGTACATAGCATGATATTGCTAATGATTTCAATGTGTTATTGCTTGTGAGTGATTGGCTGAGTAGATATGATATCTGAGTAACATCTTGGCTTTTAATTACGTGTGCTTTGCAATAGTTGCTCAATGATAGTTTCTCTAGTGTTTTGTTTGTGGCAAGTTTAGAGCAAAAGTCTACCCAATGCGATAATCTGTGAGTTGAGATTATTTCAGTCTTGTGATTATACATGTTGTCGCACATGTTGCAATACTCTTTGCTCTCTTCATCATCGACATAGCTAACATTATCCTCTTCTTCCAAACTGAATCCACTAAATAAAACAGAGATCTTCAGTCTTACCAGATGATCATTGATCGAATCAACAAGTTCACTGGCATTGACATGATCGACCTTATCTATTGTAAGATAACGTAATGTTTGAATTTGAAAGAGTTTAGAGTATGAGATATGATAAACACCACCTCCACATGCTTCATCATACTCTAAAAACATTGAATTTACTCTCCACCTATCGAAAATACTGAAATCCAATTCGAATCCAGGTCCATCATAAATGATTTCTCTTGCTAAATCATTGATATCCATGTGAACAAATTCAATCGAATCTAAGTTGCTAAAGCTAAAGTCCTCCATGATATAATCAATCAAAACCAATTGAAGTTTTAAATGTGGGAATGTTCTATTGATCTCTGTAGCAAGCTCATAATTAACTGTGTGTAAATTGATTCTTTCTAATGATGTTAATTTTCGAATGTGCTCCAAAGCAGTACCAATGGATTTGTGATAATCAGTGTCAAAGAAAAACAATTCTTTGATATTGGCAACTTGAAACAAAGAGAAAATACTCTCTTTAATTTTACTTAGGTACTGATTGTTTCTACTATTATAGGCCAAGTAGTGAGCATTAAAATAGTTGATTGATACATATTGAAACCAATTTTTACAAACTAAAGCATAGTCGAGAAGTTGATTTCTTAGCGTGAAACATTCAAAGTAAACCTCTTGATTACCTGTTCGGCCATATGTTTCATCTTCATAATACTCTTTGAATGACTTTGGTTTACTGAATAATTCTAATTGTGAATCGATTGTATTCTTTAAAATCTGTAATTGTATAAGTTTCATTGATCTCTTATTTTTTGTTGTATTACAATAACTACAATTCAATTCAATATCTTTTCAAAAATTTTCAGTAAGATTTTTGGAAAAAAAGAAAAAGCAATATCTCTCATTTTTTATTATTTGTTCTGCTGAATTCAACGTTTTCTCAATAAGAGAGCTCATTCCAACTAGTGTATGGTTACAGGTGAGAATGAATGTCGAAGAGCTCAGTTTAGGACATACATAGAGAATATATATTTTTATTGTACGAAATTATAAACCAATGAAAATGTAGTTCTTATTTGGTATTGTATTGAATCTTAGGAGAGTAGCAACTGCGAAACTTAATAATCAAGTTAAACCAAATGATAGTGTCATCAAACATTTTTTATGTTTCTTTTTTATTTCCAATCATGCTAAAAAAATTCATCTTATTTTTAAAAAAAAACGAAGATTGCTTACTAATTAAGTGGCACTTCATTATTTCTAATAATAAATGCTAATTATTAATAAATATTAACTTTTTCAACATTAGCTATACGGTTCAGAATTATTATACTCTATTTAAATGTCTATTATTAATAAGATATTAACTTTTTCAACTTTAGCTGTATATGGTCCAACTTTATTATATACACCCTATGGGCTTTATATTTTATCTGAAATACCACTTGCAATAAGTGATAAAAAAACGGAATATTGGCATATAGGATGTTGGCTTTCGGCGGCATCTTTACCATTCTACATGGGATCATCATTTGCTAAAACATTCCTCTATGGATTCAATTATAAAACAGCAGGTAAACCTTTCATACCACTGACGGTATATGCTGCTTTTCTTGGTATTGGAAAGTTAACAGTCGAATATAGAAAGAGACCGAGATATGTACAAGATAATAAAATAAGAATATAAAAAAAAATTGTAAATAATAATAAATATGTAAAAACAAAACTTCTTTATTTAAGATTATTCGTTTTATCACTATCACTTTTTTCTGTCTACTAAAACAGAAGAGGTTCGATGTGGGACATCGATTCGGTGTGTTGTTGTATATTAATGGTTCTTCCTCTTAATATATAAAATTCTACAACTATCATCTTTTCGAATGCTGGTCAATGTTTGGTGAGATGTTAATGAGCTTTTGAATATCTTTTCAATTGCATCGACTGTCGTTTTATTGTGCCAATTGTAGATCTTACTAGCTTTAATTTTCCTAAGAATCTGATTTTCGTTGAGATCAATGTTGAATTGAGTGACTGTGCTTTCCATCTCTGCCAAAAGATGGTTGTAATGGTACAATGATTTGTTTAATGAATAGAGAGAAACGATATTCAAATATTTGATCGATCTATTGATCCTGAGCGTTTCTCCTGCCAGCAGTAAGTGCTCGTCGTTCAGACCAAAGAGTTTTAAATGTTGAATTGTTTGGCTCATTGAGAGCGCGTCGTAGAATGGTCGATCTAAAGTCGTACAGGATAAAGAGAGTTTCGTTAGAGTGTCGTTGGTCGAGAGTGCTGAGCCGAGATACTGTGAGAGTTGATGCAATTCCGTAGATCTAAGAGCGTGAGCAATACAGTAGTTGGGCAGCGACAATGATTTCACTGACTTGTTGCTCGACAGTAGGTGGCAGAATTCACTCCAATCGCTCATTTTGTTATTTTTCATAACTATATTCTTTGAGTGTGTATAGCTTTGACATAGATCGCAATAGTCACATGAATAAGAGAATGATGTGTTCTCTGAGTTTTCCAAACTTAATCCACCATACTGTATGGCAGCTTTGAAGCTAACGATACGATCGTTGTTCACAATGTATTTGAGTTCGTCTAGATCGACATAGTCACATCTAACTATAGAGATAAACTTGAGTGATCCTATTTTGAACAGTCTTTCGTAGGATATGTGTTCGACTTGATATTCATCTGGAAGGTCGTATTTAAAGTTGATGGAAGTGACACCCCATTTCTCTATTTCCGAGCAATAATCGATATTGTTTGGTATTCTTGAGAGCACAGGTGTATTTAAATGTATGAATTCGACTGCCGATACCTCTGGCTCCACCAACCTCTCACCATAACAATCGGATTTAAAATCAGGTGTATCTAGCAAAAGTTGAATCTTTACAGTCGGTCGATGATGCAAGATCTCTCGAAACAACACTTGACTATTCGATATCAAGTGTATTCTCTGTAGTCTTGCGCCAAACATATCGAGGAAATCTAGGAGGTTCTTATATACATTGGGTTTCGAGTCATAGCCAGGGTGTAGCGATTTAATATAAAGCTGCCTTACATTGCCAAACTGATACAACGAGTATCTACTGTAGAGCCTGGTAATATGAGATTGTAGCTGATGGCCGGTCGGTGCCATCAGCATACTAAAGTTGATTGCACATTCCTTTGAGATATATTGAAACCATTCCTTGGAAACCAAAGAGTACTCCAAGATAGAGGAATCTAGATTACTGATAGATCTCAGTTTTGAAATCATGTAATGCTCTTTCTTTGTCATATCACCCTTATTCAAATCTTGAAATGAAAATACATCTTTTTCTACATCTTCTGCCACCAAATCAATAATTCTAGTTTGAATTGGCATAAAAGGTAAAATACAATTGTTACTACACATTTTTAATGACAAATAAAATACAAATCATATTAATTATAATGGCTCATTCATTGTAAAAAAATCATTTGATCATGAAAACCAAAAAAAAAAAAAAAAATCTTGTTCTCTATTTTAGCGATGGAATCTATTAAGATCAGATCAATACTTTTGGAATCTTCTAAACATGATTTATTCTATTGAGAAAAAGAAAAAAAAGTAACCAGACTTATCTGTATTGATATTATATTTTAACTGATAACGTATGAAGTCAACTGAAGGATTTGGGTGAATTCATATTTTTTTATTTTCAATTGTTTGTTATAAAAACCATGCTATTATTGCCTAAAAGATCAATTCCTCTATATAGGTTGATCAATGATTTTTATTGCAAATAATTTTTAATCAAAAATTATATTACAATATTCTGTATTCACATATGAACTGTTTATAAATATTATTTAATAAAATTCAAAAAATACAAATCTTCTCATTATTATTTGGGTATCAAATTTTGGTGTTAGAATTACAATCCTATGTGTGAATAACATGAATAAAAAATGTGTTGAAATAAAATAGTAAAATTGTGTTAATATTTGTAATATTTACCTAGTATTTTTGATGGTAATTATGGATCTCATTAAAAATAGCACGTCTGATTTTGTTCTAATGAATACATGATCTACAAGTGTTATAAATTGCTATATTAATTCCATTGGTCAACCAAAATACTATGATTCTTTTAAAAAAATTAATTTAATTTATTCTACGAAACTTTGTAATGTCTTTGATATTTAGTATTATACAATTATTTATCTATATGAAGTCTACATAAACCAATGATAATTTACAATATTTAAAAAACTATAAATACTATGGAAATTCTTCCATTTTATATCATCAAATCAAAATCTGATATTTTATAAATATAATCAAAATAATAAAATCTAAAAATGTTAATTAGTAAATATAGTTTACTTTCAGATACTATTTAAAATAATATTAATTAAAATTCTTTTTTTTTAGATGCTATTTCATCTTTGTTCGGAGCTTCTAACTCCTCTGTTACCAATACAATCAAATCAAGTGGTACTGGTGCAATGGTATCTCAAGGAACCAATCATCTTTCATTAGTTAGTACAAACATTCAACATGCTACTCAAATTAATGCTGCTGGTACCAATACCAACGTAGCCGGTGCTCACCAAATAGATGTTTAAAACAATTAAAGATTTAAAAAAAAAATTAATTGCAATTACAAAATGTAAAAACAACAATCAAACAATTTTAATTAAATAAATTTTGTACAAATCTCTATAATATTTTTAAAATAAGTTTACTTTGTCTTGCTAATGACCTACCAGTTAAAAATATTAGTAAAATAGGTTTGGTTGATTTTAATATATTTTTATTTATTTTTTTTTTGGAAATTTATAATTATGATTTAAATTTTTTTAAATTATTACTGATCCAGTTAAACATCTTGGGAATTGATCGGCATAGAAGTTTACCCATTCATTATTTTCGATGGAGTATCTTAGATTCTGATGAACCTCTCCACCCATTAAGTAGATATAACTCTCGCTTTCCGATATTCTGTCATAAACCATTGAAGTAAAGTATGCCAACTCTATTGTGTCCTTTAAATTGTCTACACCATTCAACATTGAGTCGATGCAGAATCTTATGAATTTACCTTCGTGCGATAGAACGTAGATCATTCCATTGCCATCGGAGCAAGCAGCAGCAGGATGTTCTAAAAATTCAGCACATTGGATGATCATCGATGTCTTTCTTTCAATGTTGAACGCAATTACTTTCTTTTGGTTGTAAGGAATGGAGATCAATTGATTCTTGTGGTAGAATAGAAAAAGTCTGGAAGTTGAAGTGATCTGCCGATTCGTGGTATTTCTCGAAAGTAGTTGTTGTGACATTGAATCGGTCGATTCTTAGCAGATTTCCACCGTTGCGATTACCACCGATCAGATAGATGTAGTTTTGACCATCATGACATGCAGAAATGCAGCAACCGGCATCACCAACAATATCACCACTTTGATCGATGGTCTTTGTTTCCAGGGAGAATCTGTGGAATTTAGATCCACTAAATATGTATACTAGGTTACCAACGACAGCCATCGAGTTGAATGTTAATTCGAATTCATTATTATTAAAGTACAATTGTTCACTGGCATAGTTGTTTTTTAAATCGATGAGAGTTGCACCTTTTTTCTGATGTGTTGAAAAGATGTATTTTCCTGGTGAGGTTGTACTGTTCGAGTTGAAAGAATTATGGCTGCTTTCAGTGGATATTGGAGGGTATGCTAAAAAAGACGAAAATCTAGGTTGACTGGGGTTTGAAAGATGAATTTTGCGTGGACTTCTACTTGGTACCCATGACGATACAAGTGGTGGACTTGAGAGTGGACTGGCTGACGATGCTCCACCGAGATTGTCTAATGGAGAATCGACTGCGATAACGGAATTGGATGATGCTGATCCTCCCATTGATACTTGATCTAAAGAGGAATGGATGTTGTTTTGGTTTGTAGTAGATTCAGAAGTAATACTCTTCACCTCTACTTCAACAACATCTTCTTCTTCTTCTTCCTCTGGTACTTCGTTGGATTGAGAAAAGTCTGGTTCTTTTGAAAGAGAGATGGATCTACTTAGAAGTGATTTCGATTGACTTAAAAGGTTTTGGTCAAAAGAAAGATTAAGTTGATCCTTTTGAGCTTGACCTGAATGTTCTGAAGTGTATTCTTCACAGTATTCCAAGATTTTCTGGGAAATCGATAAATTCAATTGGCTAGCTTCTGAGTATTCGAAAAGGAAGAACGAATTGGAGTATTGTTGAATGAAGTCTCTAAGCGAAGGAGATTCAACAATCGTGGCAATCAGTGCTTCTGGACGGATGGGTTGGGGGGGAAATTCAGGCTCGGCGTAGCAGTTGATATCGTTATGATTTGAATTGATATGAAGAATCTCTACCAATTTTACCAGTTCTCCTCGGCAAATTTCCAATATTTCTATTACACAATTCGAGTTGTCTTCTATTTTCTGGAGATGGAGGGTTGACTCTGTATCTACGAATTGCTTGATATCACGGAAATACTCAAAGACTTGTTTCTTTTGGGTTTGCATCCTCTGGAACAAGTGAGCTGTCTCTTTGATTCTTGTCCACAGTGTTAGAATTCGGTGGTTGATAAAACAATCTTTTCCAGACAAAATAAGATCTACCAAGTCTGGAGGTTGAAACAAAACACCTTTCATGCGCTTTAATTCTTCAAATTTATGATCTCCATGTAGTTGTTTTTGTTCTTCCCAACAAACTTCACACAACAAAATTTTACAACTTAAACATATTATATTATGATTATTATCATGAATACAACTTATTGAAACTCTATTATTATTATTATTATTATTATTATTATTATTATTATTATCTTGATTATTAGAATTCATTGTCTTGACTATCTAAATATATAAATACAACTTTTTCTATTGAAATTATATTTAAACTAACAAAAGACGATAAATTATGCTTTAGCGTTTGACTTTTTTTTTCTGAGGATGTTGTTTTGTTTTCGAAAAGATATTTTGACTGAAATTGATCAACTTGTGGTTCAAATCATTTTCCTTTTTGAACTAATTTTAGAAATCTGTGGGGGCGTGAGAACAGCCCTTGTGAGTTTTTTTGGGTTTTTAAAAAAAATAAAAAAAATGATAAAAGATATTTTTATTGGTTTTTTTCCTTGCACGATCAAACCATCAACAACCCATTTTTAAATTGAACAAGGATTTTGTTTAATTTCGAATCTTTGTATTCTTTTATCAGCCTATCAATATCGATGTTGATGTTGTCTTTTGATTGTTGGCGAAGCATCCACATCAGAAGGTCTTCGTCTTTGTCGATTGTCAAAATTTCGCGGATGATAGATTTTGTTGCGTGTTGGTGATCTTGTTCAGAAAGTCGATTTTCATATACATATTTAATGGTACTGGAGTGACCACACAAAATAGCAATCTTTATAGAGTATCGGTTGCAAGTGCGTGACTCTGTACGATTCTCCAATAGGAATTTTTATTTTAAAAGTGTTCATATTTTATTTAAATTTGTGTTTAATTAAAACAGAGTTGGTTGCTTTAGTATGTTGACTTCTATTGGACATTAGTTTGAATTTTACAGTTTTAACCCTTGCCAGTGGCTGATCAGGCTGGCTGTTCCGGTGATTGAGGATCGGATGATCTTATTTAAAGTGTAGGAGTGGTCTCTGATGTCTAGCTGCTTCAGATAGTAGGGTAGGTCGTGGACAGTAGGTTGACCTTCTTTGGTTGTCTCTGTGTTGTATGTACCAAAGGCACCAATGATTATAGGTATGACTGCTACATTGTGGTCTGGGTTACTCTTCTTAAGTGCGGCTGCTAGTGGTTGGTATTTTTCAATCTTATCTCGGCTTCTTTTAACAATGTTGTTGTCATATGGTACTGATATTTCGATGATTTTGATTGATTTCTTGGTTCGGTTCTTAATGATTAGATCTGGTTTGTTGGTTTTGGTCAGTGCATTATCTATTCTGGCTTCATGTAGGATCTCAATGGTGTCTGACTGGTAGACTGCGCCTGGCTTGTAAGGTATTCTGTGGAACTTCAGCATCTCTTTGAGTATCACTTTCACTACCATGTTGTGTCTTGGTACTATACATAGTAGTTTCATCGCGTGGCATGAGGATACAATGTGCTCTATGGACTCTCTTGCAATGGCACTTTCTACATTTTGGATCGGTTACGGCATTTCCCATGATTCCTTTTGCTGCAGTGCAAGCCATAGGTGGTCAACATGTCGCGGTATGAATCTCCATTGGGCTATCCAGTTTCTTGCCATGTTTTCTCTGTGTTTGATCCAGAATTTGGTTCTAGCTGTTGGTTCGATTGGGTGTTGTTCTCTATATACATTCTTGAGGTGAGCTGAAATGGTGTTTGTGATCGTAGGGCTGCCATCGTGGTTGTGTAGTATTGTTTCTCCATCCTTATCTATTTGCCATTTTCCATCTTTACTGAATATGAGTTTGTAGTCAAATGATTCCATGTGCTGGTGTATAGTGGGTTCTTCTTTTCAAATGCATAGTTCATAAGGTCTTGGTTTCTCCTCACCGAGTGTAGTTTAACTGCTGTGATGATTTTGTAGACCTTATATTCTAGTATTAGTTCGTTGAATCCTCTTCCACCTTCTTTCCTATCCAAGTGGAGGAGATCTCTATTCATGTTTCTATGTAATAGTCCTCTCTTTGAAAGGGTCTCATTGAATTCCTTGTTAAGTGTATCTATGGTGTAGTCTGGGATGTCGATGAACCAGTAGTATCTCAGGTATCCGACTACCAAAGAGTTAAATGCCCTGGCTAGGTTCCATGCTGACAGTTTGGAGTTTAATATTAATTTAAATCTTTCTCTCGCCTCTTTCTGTATATTGAAAAGTGTTTTTTTCTGATCGACCAATCGGTGTTGTAACATTCCTAAGTATTTATATAGATTTTCCTCGTCTACTATCGGTATCTCTTTAATTTCCTCCGGTAGCATATCCTTATTAATTCCTTTTCCAAGAATTCCACATTTCTTTTTGTTGATCTTCATTCAAATTGATTTGAATGCTTTGTCTGTTTCCATGAAGGTGTTGATTATCTCTTCGGTCATACGGGAGTACATCTTGATATCGTCAATGAACATAAGGTGGGACAGTTGGGTGTTACTTATTATTGGCGCTTTAGTAATTATCTTTATATAGTATCCGACTGGGTTTATGGTAAGGCAGAACAGGAAGGGACAGAGGGCATCACCTTGGAAGATTCCATTGGTAATCGGTATTGTAGTTGTGGTTTGATTCTTGGATATGAATAACTTGGTGTTCCATTTGCTCATGAGTTTTTCAATGATTGATCTGGCTTTCCGGTCTATCTTGTGCATTTGTAGTATGTGCTTGATCCACCTGTGCTTCGTTGAGTCATATGCTTTGGTAAGGTCTATCCATGCCACCTTGATGTCTGGGTATTTCTCACAGAATAAATTGTCTATGAAGAGGTTCTCGTATGTTCCCCATACATCGGTCATTCCACCTCTCTGTACTTCTTCCATCAGTTGGTTGTTGACTTTGGTGTGCTGGTGGAGGTGCTTGGTTACTATTCCTGTTAATATCTTACATGTGTTGTTAATGCATGTGATTGGTCGGTAATTGGCTTCGTCCTCTTTGTCACCTCCCTTGTGGATCCGGTATGTTATTCCTTCACAGAACCATTTAGGGAACTCCATGATATCCAAGTTTAGGTACTCATTGAAGGCTTCGGCTAAGTCCTCATGGTATCTCTTAATCCTCTTAATCCAGTAGTTGCAAATTCCATCTGGGCCTGGAGCTGACCAGTTCTTCTTGTTTTTAGTGTAGTTGGATATGTCAGCTCCTTCGATTTCAAACTTGGTCTCTTTGATGCTCTTGAATTGGTTGCTATCTTTCACTCTTTGTATCCATTCAAGCTCGTCGTAGTTGGTTGCTTCCGTAGATGGTGGGTTCCAGAGTTGGCTCCAGAACTCAAATGCTCTCGTTGTTGTCTGTATTTCCTGTTGTTGCGTGTTGTTTTGGTTATTGTAATGAGTATGCTTTGCTTTCATCTTTTAGCATCATTTCATTAATGTATCTAAACTTTGCTTCTTCTCTTATCTTTTTGATGTAGTCTATGTATCCAGTCTTCAACGCTTGTAAATTCTTTATCTTCGCTTCTACACAGTTCGCATTGAACGTCATATACTGTCTTTTGATTAGTTTAACTACGTATCTGGCTGGTTTCATATTCTTCTTGATCTTATCTACTGTACTCTCTAATGCTCTTCTGAGTTTGTTGATTTTCTTGATCTTATTCGCTATTTTCTTTATCAGTTTCTCTCCTTGGTCTTGTTTGATATGGCTGGCGTCTTCGTTGGCTCTAACTGCTGCTGTGGCTGCCGCATATAGTGCTACATTGCATGCTTCTAACATAGGTATATTCTTCGCTATTAGGTATTGGTAGCTGATTGTGTATTGAATTTCAATCTCCTCTTCTTGATCTTTAGTGCTTTGTATTTGCACCCCTTCCATTGTTGTTACCAGCTTGTTCACCTAGTGGTGTTCTTGCCTCCTGATTGGTAATGGTGGTGTTGGTGCTTTGTGTATTTCTATTTCTTCTATGATTTGTATTATTTGTGCTTGTACTGTTCATTTTTGATTTAGTTGACATATCTTAGCCTAGTCATCGACATGATCGTCGAGTTAGTTGCCCAGATTGTACCACGAGGAGGTGTATGTCTAACAATCCGAAGATAACGAAAAATCTCCAGGTGACCTAATGCTGCTGCTGCTGTATCCATTGCGTCGACTTACCAGTAGTTTCAATATTTCCAAATCACCATGGGTGCATGCAAGATTAATATACTTTGATTCTTCATTCGGGATATCAATAGGATGTAAATCAATCTTTTCACTGATTAACCATTTTGACAAATGGATCATTAAGTTTATTTATCTATTTATCTCTTTAACATGTTTAAATATATTATTTTTAACAACTAAATTATTAACTAAAGATAAAAATAAACTTTTATTCATATTTATAAATCATAAATCATCTAAAAAGTTGTTTAGAAGTAAAAAGCAAAATTATCTTAAACATCATTGTTTGTAAAATTTTGGCAAGGATGATTATTAAAAAATTGTCTTAGTTTAACCAAAGCTACATCATTTTCAATGTATGGTATAATAAAACAACCTATTGTTATACTGAAAAATAAAAATTAATTTATAATAGAATTGATATAAAAGGAATTTTAAACTTACTTATTTAAATTCTTTTCTTTTTCTGGTGATTTCGAATCGAAACCAATGTCGACCTATATAACAAAATATAAATATTTTATTGGATATAACTAATAATTATTGTTTTTATACATACTCTGGATCCTAGAATATATTTAAATAAAAATTTTGCGATTATGTCATAATCGATTGTATTATACTTTATATATTCAATGAAAATTTCTTTTTTTTTTTCCTTATTTTTTATGTTATTTTTAATTAAGAAATCATCTATTATCTTTGGTGTACTTAATGGATTATTAAATTTGATTAGTTGATTGGTTGTTATATAAAATTTATTAAAAATAGAATCATAATGTTGTGAAAATATAAAACTCAAAAGGTTTTGGAAATCACTGAGTACAGATAATAGTTGTTTATCTGTAGTATCAATATTTAATAAAGTTGAAGTATATTCTGTTTGATATGACATATTAATATAATTATAAAAAAAATATAGAATATTTGATTTTAAAAAACAAAATCTTTTTAAATAAAAATAGAGTTTTAATAACAAAATGATTAGTCATTTGTTCCACTAAATATTTGCAAATTGAAAAAAAGTGGGTGGTATTAAATAAATAGACATCACAAAAAAAGATATGGTGGGCTATTTTCATTGTGTTTGCAAATTTTTTAAAGATCTTAAAAACAAAGGTGGATTTAGAAGAGATTTTCTAACAATTGTTTTCCTCTCTATTTATTAAATATTCCCCACACCCAGTTACAGATAGCGAAAATAGTCTTCTTCAAACGCCATAAATTATCTTGAAGATAATATAAAAAAATGGGTGTAGTGGTTAGCAAATGACATTTGTTAAAGTATTTTTTATAATCAAAATAATATTATATATTAGAAAAAAAGGAGACAGCTAAAAAGTCAAATATATATCAAAATAAACATTTGTTTAATTCCATTCAATGACAGATAAAAAACAAATTAAAATTTGGGGGTCAACCACCCAAATTTTTTTAATTTGAATCTTTTTTTCCGTGGAATTAAACATTTGAGTTATATAAAAATCTATAAATTTTATATGTGTGTGCAACAGCTTGGTCCTCTATTATTCTAAGAAATTAGAATAAATAAAAACAAATATTTAAACATATGTTAAAAATCATTTAAAACCCCACACCTGACCAGACATAGCGAAAATAGTGTTCTGCAGTCGCCACAAACTTTTTTTCATGCAAAAAAAAAAAAAAATGTGTGAACAGCAAGTGGTTCGCTATGTTGGTTTTTTTTTGTTTTTCTCACTAGCTTTAATTGACTTTTAACATATGTAGAAAAAAATTGAACTGTTTTAAAATTTCACTTACAATGGTTTGTAAAGGATTAGTTGTTTATCTGTTTATGGGGATTGGTTGATAATGATATATTGTAAAGAGCATCATAATTTTAGCTATTGAGTGTGGTGAATTATTCTTATTCAGATTTTGATTCCTTATTGATTAGAAAGATTATATGATATATGTTAAAAAATTGATAGATTTCTAGATAACTCAAATGTTTATTTTGTGGTTCTGGTGCATTTAATCTTTATGAATTAATGAATCCTATAAATAATCAAACAAACAAATTATTTATTTAAAGAAATTAAATAATATTTACATTATCTACAAATATTTTTTTCACTTCATTTAATAAACATCATTTATTTTTTGTCATATTATATTTGTTTTTTTACACTTCATTTAATAAACATCATTAATTTATTATAATATTAAATTGGTTTTTTTACACTTCATTTAATAAACATCATTTATTTATTATCATATTATATTTGTTTTTTTACACTTCATTTAATAAACATCATTAATTTATTATCATATTATATTGGTTTTTTTATTTTATATGTGCATATTCTTTTATTTTATCTAATATGTCTGATTCAGACTTTTACTCAGAAACTGATTCAGAGTATGTATCAGAATCTGATTCGGAAACGAATTCAGAATCTGATTCGGAAACGAATTCAGAATCTAATCCACCACCACCAACCACTTGCGGAACAAGACATCACTCACTTTTTGTTGGTCAAAATGAAGAACCTTCAAATAGACCTACTCGTTGTAAAAATTGTTTAACTCTTGCTTCTTTTCTTTCTACACATAAACATTTAGATAAATCGTCACTTTGTTCAACTTCATATCATTCAATAATAACAGACTCACCTTCAACATCCACCAACAATAATGATATTTGTGAATTTTGTCAATCGTTTCAAACATATTTTGTTAAAAAGTTTAATACAGAACCACCTATTCAAAATAATAATAATCTTCCTCCAACTATTCATTCATCATCAAACGCTTTAAAATATCAAATATTTCAAGATTTATTACGACAACGTAATACAAATCAACTCAATCTTTTTGAAAATAAATTTTCCAATATTTTAAAAAACTCTTCAATCTCGCATGTTTTAAGAGATTTGAATGAGCAATCATCTATCATCACCAACCACCAATTAACACTATTTGGAATTTCCCCACATGAATTCCAAAATCACCAACTTATCGAAAATCTTATTAAAGATCTATCAACTACCAAATCAGCACAATTAAACACCACACAATATCTTTCTATTCTATCAGATTTATATAATTCACCCGATATAATTATTTCAAATAATATATTATTATCATATAAAGTTAATAGTGATAAAATAAAAAAAAGAAAACATGAGGATGAAGATGATACTAATAAGAATAATAATAATAAGAATAATAATAATAATAATAATAATGAATTTATTGATAATAATAAAAATAAAATAAATATTATAGAAAGTAAAATAAAAACAAGAGAACTAAATCTACGACTCATGTTGATTGGTTTACCAATTATAAGATTACATCCACTCACAAATGATAAACATATAATTGATTATTATAAATATATTAAATTAAATAATGTTATAATAGATTATAATTATATATGTAATAATTTTATTTATATAATAAATAAACATTCATCTTCATCATTATCATTATCTTCAACAACAACAACAACAACAACAACACAGGATTTAAATCTTATAAATAATTATATATTTAATAATATAGAAAAAAAGGATATCTCTGGTATAGATTCCTTACTTGATTTCACAAAATTTGTGCAAAAATCAATATCAAAAACACCACTCACATCATTATTGTCAAACACCATTAATAGTTTTATTAAAAAAATAAATAAATCAATAAATGTAGAACTTTTTTATGAAATTCATAAAAAAGTCTCTACTTTTTATTTATTTTTAATAATATATAATATTTTAATTGAAAGTAAAATCATTAAAATAAAATCAAAATCAAATTATAATGGTGAGTTATTTTGTGATAATTTATAAAGTTACTTTTAAAGTAAAGCTGTGAATATACTAATAAAAATATTTAAAGATTTTATTTTATCTTTTTTTTCAATAGATTCCACACCTCTTCAGGTGCTTGAATCCATCAATAAAGCAAATAATGTGGCTTATTTTAAGCCAAAGAGAAGCCACCAAGAATTCGGCCACCCGATTCCCGGCTCTCACCTGTCTTCCAAATTTGTCTTGCTCAGCGAAGAGGTAGTCAAACAAATAAACAAACATGGTAACAAATATTGTCTAGAGGATAGGTTCATTGATAGAATTAGAAAGATATATCCTGGCTTATCTAGTAACCACTTGTGGAATAATTTTCACCACAAAAGACAGGATTCAGATCCCAATCCTCCAGAGTCTTCTGTTGTTACCATTGACTCGCTCCTACAGATAGCGAACAAGCACTCCATTTCTCTCCCCAAACCTACTACTAGGGAGATCACATCATTTAAAGCCAACAGGCTTTGTCCGCACCACCTTTCATCTTCCGATAAGTGCACCAAGGATTGTCAATCAGTGTATGGCGATTATCAATGGAATTTTAATATGTTTATTAATGGAATCACAGACAATTTTGACGAATTCAAGAAAGTGTTACCATCGTACAGATCTACATTCACAGACACCCTCAATATGGGTACTCTACCAGAGTCACATTTGTCAACGAAAGTTAATTTTTCCAATCGATCACCAACTCTTCCAACCAATACATTCGATTTGGATAAACAACAACATGTTCCTCATCAATTAACAAATGTTCCGGCTGTTCATTCATGTGATTCCAACTTCATGCCGATCAATGTTAAAGATCATTTTGATATCTTGGTTATGACCAGTGATCCAATATCACAACGACATCTCGCTTTCAATAAGACGGAGAATGACATATGTCAAACCTTCAAGAGTTTGTTTATCAATTTTGGTATCCCTATGAACGTTAAGCCAAAGTCACCACCTACAAAGAAAACAACTTCATCTACGAAACCTTCGAAAGGTAAAAAGCCGGAGAGAAAGTTCAAGAAGAAGAACAAATCAAAGACAGTAAAGCAACAAATCAAGTGTCCTACAAAATCTTTAGGATTCACAGATACTTATCCACGAGCAAACGTATCTGAACTCTCGATACCTGCATCCGAGGTTGAATCAATCAACGAGTGGTGTGAATTGATAGCTGCGGGTCAACATAAAGTCATATGGTTAACAGGAGAGAACTCCCAAACACTATTCATCTCTACGATGACTGGAAAAGACGACACTCAGGTCTTTGATATCACAGAAAGACTACGTTCCCGAATTCCGATATTTTTAATGAAGCGACGACTGGTACCACTTGAAACAGAGGATTCTGTAGATTCCATTCTGATGTGCCTTCCGCATCCAGCCTACAAGAGCTACGACAAATGGTCAAAGGAGGCGATGGAATTTTCACAATGCTTTTTGGCAAAGAAGGGTTCACCGATCGATATCGATAGCATCCATGCAAGAATGTCGCTGAGACCATCGGTAAAGGGTATCTACCGCCCGAGTTGGATGACCAGGAAAATAGGTGACACCTCTATTTATCTGGCCGACTATGCAGGTCCAGAGTTCAGAAGTAACGGGGATACTCTTTCCATTACTAGGGCTGTTGCTAGGCCATTTAATCCTGCCGTGTCAAAGGATAAGCTTTACCTACCTTACCAAATGCCCGGGTCCAAGAGAGAAAAACAACATGTAGAAGATTTCAGGTCTATATCTGATACAGATCCAACGTGTTACTCTGTGGATCCTGGCCGAAGTTCCCATGTCAGCTGCTCTTCACATGGTTTGGTAAGGAGAGCATCCGTAAATCAGTATTACTCTTGGAGGAGTAACAGGGCATCTAAAAAAATGCGAAGGCTTCAGAAGCGCTTTCAATTATTTGAAAGACAAAATCCCTCCTCAGAGTAGATATATAATATTTAATTTTTTAATTTTTTTTACTAACATTTAATTTTTTTTTTTATTATCAAAGCCAATCCATTGGCTAGATTAGATTACTTTAATCTGAATTGGTCGATATTTGTAGAATATATTGCTTTCAAAATGGATCCAAGGCATAAATATCTTCGCCGAATCAATTATAGGTTTGGCCAAATCGCAAAGAGCAAGTTGGTCAAACAACTTATTCCGACGCCAGCTTCTCATATGAGTGGAGGTTTAGTGTGTAAGTTTATTTTTCTATTTTATTTTTTTTAATTAATAAATTATTTATTATACTAACTAATATATTCAATTTTTTTTTTTCCATCTCTCTTTTCTTCTTTTTTCTCTCAGTTTTGGGTGCTTCAGAATTCCGGCACAACTCCAAGGGCCACCGTAGTTTCATCTCTACCAAGGGGTTGAAAAAACTCCTCGAACAACACCAATATAGAGTCGTTATGGTGAACGAATATTGTACTTCAAGAGTAAGTATTGTTTGATTTAAAAAAAAATTATATTTAAATCTAAAGATCTAAACTAATTTTATTTTTTCTTTTTTTTTTTTAAATCTCAAACTATATTTCAGGTTTATCATGGTACCTATCTACGAGAAGAGAAGAATCTGATGGTTGCTATCAATGACCAGTGCGAACACGAGAGTCTACCAAAGGTTGAACCAACCAAATGGCCACCAGATAACATACCGCCGGTGCCACCGACCAACCAACCATCGACTGTCTTCGAGAAAGTCAGAGCTGACTATGCCGAACTGGTCGAATTTGGTAGTGACTTGAATAGTCAAGGTTCAAAGCAGGAGAAGCTTTTGAACTACGACTACTACAGTCACTACTCTATTTACAGTACCGAGTTGAACCTTAAAAAGACTCAAGTGCCCACCAGAGACTGGAAACGAGTTTTGGCCAAAGATGGTTTCCTATTTAATAGGGATGTGAATGCTGCCAGAAATATTCTATATTTGGGGCTATTCATGTCACTGTATTCCTTCCGTCCAAAGGTGTTCATGTCAGTACGCAAATACACAGTCTAATGTCTACTCCCTAAGTTTTGCCGATAAGTCAAACGCTAACGATCATAAGATTCAATGTCTTATAATACAGTTCGTTAGTCAAGTTAATTGCCGTTTTTAAAACCAATAACTGTATGTATTTTTTTTTTAATTTTTTATTAATTTAATTTTGTTTATTAATTTTTTATAATTTGAATTTTAGTACCTCTAAGTGTCCATTTTTTATTTTTTCAAAACATTCATCCCACACGAATAAAGAAAAAAATTTTGATTTCAGAAAATAATAATTAATTTATTTAAGTTGAAATAGTTTATTTCTATAACTTTGATATGTAACAATATGAGTAGTCTACTTTTTAAATTAATTAAAAAATTATTAACAGCATAGTCAAATGCCATAGTTGTACAACCTTCACTCCTATTCTCATTCAACCATTTTATTACTTCTAATTTAAGAATATATATTATATTATTATGAAGAAAATTAAAAGTATAAAAAGCTGTAAATCAAATCTAGATTTAAAAATGTTTTTAACTTTGATATTTTTTTTAATATCTCTATGTAGCTCTCTCTTTGCTTGTTCATTATATTAGTTTGTATTTTTGTAAAGAATTTTTTGAAAATTGTATCTGAAATTATTTATCCTATAATTTTACTTTATTTCTTATGGCGAATAAGGTACTAAAACATCTAAATTTATAGGTATTCATTTTTTTAGAAAAATATATTTTTATATTTTTTTCTTCACCAGAATTAAAGGGTAATCACTGGAAGGAGAGAAAGTTATTTATATCCCTTAACATTTTAAAAAATGAATCTTAAAATAATACAATCAAAGCTCAGTAATTTTTCTTTTTTTTTTTTCAAGAATTCTCTATGGTTTGACTTATTTGTAGTTATACCAATTACGAACCAAACACGTTTCTATTTATACTTTTTTTTTTGCAATTTTTTTTCTTCAAATAATCAAAATGCTATAGAATGGAATGATTGGTTAGCCAAAAAGTATAAAAGTGTATGTTTTTTTAATTTTATTTCATTGATTTTGAACATCTTTTGACTAATAAGGTAAATAAATGTTCAAATCATACATTTCCATTTCCGTTTAAAGTAAATACAATCAAAGAACTTACCTACCTTCCTTCCTTTCATTGTTGTGTGTTTATTTTATTTTTCAATTTAACTTCGTGCTCCACACAACAAAATTGACATTTACAGGCGGAATCCATCGTTATCTTTGAACAAGCTTCCGTTCGGTTGTGGTGTAAAAACTTTACTATTGAGAAGTGACCATTGTTTGCAGCAGCATCCATAGACGAAACAGATACCATGGTACCGAACACATCCTTCTTAGTGGCATGAAGAAATTCAATGGGTTGCCAAATGGCCATATTTAATAGCGGCATCGTAGAATGCTTTATAATCGATATCCGATCGTTTTAGATCCTTGGAATACACAAACTCTATTAAATCTGTATTGCCTTGGGTTGCTGCTGTTGAGAGTGATTGTATATAGGCATCGATATAGTCATCGAATAGTCTCTGTTCAATCGATGTTTGATTGATAATCAAATAGTTTAACACGCTCTTATATCTATCGAAACACTTATATCGAATCAACTCCTCTGGAAAGCAAGCGAGATCTTGCCAATCACATCTTAATGAATTTCTCATTAAAGCAACATAGTGAATCTCTCTAACCGATCTGAATATAAGTTTACTAATATACACTGATTTAATTATCTTTTTAAAAAGAATAGTATTTCTTATTTCTACTTCTTTTTCCATTTATCAATCTATCTATCTACATTTAATGTATTGTTTTGAAAATAAATAAATAAAATATTAGATATTTGATTAAAAAAAAAAAAAAAAAAAGATCTATGTGATAATAATATGCGTTGAAACAATATGGCATTTTTTTTATACAATTAAAAACCAACTGGATAAAATCAACAGTTGACTTTTTTGGATACATTTAATATGATAATTTGTGAAAAAAGGATATTAAAATATTTAGAAACACTTTCTGTTGACAATCGCAGGACCAGATTCATCGTATTCCTCCTTGGAGATCCACATTTGTTGGAAAGTGGCGAGTGACGCCAAGATGGAACCACCAATCCAGAGAGAGTATTTACGTTCGGGAGGTGCGATGATCTTGATCTTCATGGTCAATGGAGCCAGCGCAGTCAACTCATTTTGCATACACTACAATTTTTTCGTAATTGTCGCGAAGTTTTTACTTAGTATTCAACTCAATAAATGCAAAAAAAAAAAAATTTGTATGAAAAAGCATACTACGAATGGGATTCGTTATGCCCTTACACGTTAAATTCGTAGTTATTACGACAATTTATTTTTTAATATGTAAAAAAAATGTTAAATAACTTTAAAAAGAACACTTGCAACGATTTTATAGATAATCTATATTAAATGAGAATATTTATTTTTTTGTTAGTATTTATTCTGGTGAAGATAATTTTAAATGTAAACATACCATTTGCATTCATAGATGAATCTATTATTGCAAAAGATCGTCAATGCATCATCGATCTCTACATGTCAGTTTCATTTGTCTTTTGTATCTTTTCACCACCTTGTTTGAATTTGATACTGTATTCAAATGAATTATTGATTATACTATATACAATGTTTGTTATTGTAGCTTCCCACCAAGTGCTATATCGACACCATCTATTTTTTTTTTTTTTGTTAGTTCACATTCTAAACATCAATTAAATGGATACACTGGAATGACATACTATCTTGATTTAGCAAAGACCTTTTGTCCTTTTTGGAATAACGATGGGCGAACATCAGATGATCGATAATTCTTCTCTCTCTTTGTGATGTTTGTCTTTGTTGTATTTCAGAAGTTCGAACGATCGTTGTTGTTGCTGTATGCCGCGTAATCCATTGCATTGACAGTTGCCGTTCCCTTTCCATTTTGGTGGAGCCATTTAAGAAGTTCTAAATGGCCGTGTTTAGCAGCGATATCCAAGTAGGCATATTCTATTTCATCGAGGTTTACATTGTGATTGATGAGCCATTCCAACATTTCAACGCTTCCACCCTTGACCGCATTGGAAATCAACGATGATTCATAACTTCGAAGTGTGATCTTACCACGTTCCATAAGTAGTTGTAATATATCCAGACGGCCAATAGACACAGCATTTGCCATCGATCGCCTTATGGTTAGCTCCAGATTCGCTTTGTTTTTAATACGTTGTTCCACTCTACCTATCAGCCACGACAACAACTCGATAGACTCTCCCATTGGCGCTAGCATCAGAGCTCGTTCATAAGATACATCGGTTATGAAATCCGCTAGTAATCCGTCCAAATACTTTACAATCTTTAATCTTCCAAGTTTGGAAGCATACTCTATCAGCTCTAACCTTATATTAACACCAATACCAATATCCAACTCCTCTAGCAGATATACCAATATTCTCATATTATCACTATAGATCGACATGTTTATTGACTTTATAAGATCGATCTGTTGATCGTAGACCAATTGTGATATCTCTATAGATCGATTGCCAGCCATTATATTGTTCCTTGATTGTTTAACATTGAAAAAGTTGAATGGTTTCATTGCTATTCTCTTACAATAGGTGTACCAAGATTGATTCCGAAGACACTCCTGTATGATATATCGATAATATTTAGATAGCTCGTCAAAATAACCGTATGCAACCAACATATTTGGTGTCACCAATAACTGATTCCATTTGTAGACGCGCAATCTTTCTTCAGAATTAATAAAATAAACATTGTCAAAAACTTTTATTCTCAATATTATATTGTTAAATATATCTAAAAATAATTTCTTATCCATTTTCTATACATAAACACTTTATGAAAAAATATCTTTAACTAAAATAATTATTTATTTAATTACTTTAATTTTATTTTTTTTTTTAACTTTCTGCAGAGAATTATTTTTAGAAATTTTTTTACACTTTGACAATAAATTGCATCAGCTAGTCAACATTTTTTTATTTATTTTTATTTAATCTTTGCATTCTCTGGGATTGATAAGTATTTATCACGATATTCATGTACAAATTAAGAATACTATTGCTTGGAATCATAATAATTAGAGAAAAATAAAATATTGACTAATCAATTACTAGACATATTTATTTAAAAAAATAATGTATATTGATACATTAGGTTAATGATCAATAGAATGACTGAAGATAGAGTTATAAAAAATCTATTATTTTATTACATTGGAGTGAATACAACATAGGTATCATCGTTAGCATTGTTACTGAACCACAAAGCATCTCCATTACATTCGGCAATAAGATATCCAAAGCTATTTCTAACTTTGTACATATAACGCTTGTTTCCATTATCCTCCAATGCATATTGAGAGGGAACCAAAGTTTGCTCAGGAGGATAGGATGTCTTACAATCAGATGCAATTGTGTTCCAACCTCGTGCAATTCCATTGACATCGGCATCCAAAATTTGCAAACCTTTTCTTGTCATCTTAAAGTTTCCGGTTACAATATCAATCAGTGACATGATCAGATCTGCAAGCCAAGCGCTACCATCTGGTGCACTACCGTAGGTCCATGTTCCCTGATTAGCACAGCTATAGTCTTCTCTGTTAGTCTCAATGGCGATAGGACGTGAAATATCGATTGAATTCGATGTTCTTGTACCACTGGCAACGGCCAACTTGATTGTATCTTGGTTCCATTTGTTATCTTGTTTGACTTGTCTCCAACTCTTAAAGTACAGCTTCGATTGATACCAATAGTTACCACATTTCTTGACTATACGCATATTGGCATTCTGATCTCTACCCAAGATATAATTTTTTTCGTCGGAACCACGGATAGTATATAATGTTCCTGCAGGTGGTGACACTTACAATAATAAAAAAAGATGTTAATAGACATAACATTAATATTTTATTACAGTTGACAATACATACATGGTGCCCAGACAGTAGCACCTCTTCCATCGGCAAAGATATCGAAATTTTCACCATCGTCAACGGGGGCAACATAGGTTCCATTGAAATCTACAGGCTCACATATATCGGGAGTATAAGGTTGCTTCTTCCAGCTGGCTTCAATGTCACGTTTTGCTCCAGGTGCTCTTTTATTAGCAGAGAGTGTCGTAATAGGTGTTTGGCATTCTTCATCATGACCATGGTGACCCATTCCAGCCATTTCAAGAAGTGTACCAAAGACCAAATTACCAAGACACAAAAAAATAATAATTGTAAATATTTGTTTAAAGTTTGACATTTTTAATAATAAAATATTATTTAAAAAAAGAAAAGAAATTTGAAAGTTTAACTTCATTGAGTTACTTCTTTTTATAGTTTCTAGACATTCATTCTTAAATTTAATTTAATTTAAGAATCAAAATGAATTTGTATTTCTGATACCCATTATTTTTTTTGATACCAGTTTACAAAAAAAATTTAAGGTTAAATGATTTTTTCACCACCAAATTTTCACTCTTTCTTTGAACAACAATGTCACCTTGTTAAAGTGGTCGAACAATAAAACAAGGTAATGACCAACTTACAATTTTCTCTTTGTGGCCAAAAAAATGTGCGATTTTGTTGTGAAACAAAAAATAATAAAACTCTTGAATCTGTGTTGAAATAATTTATTTGTAAAAAAAAGATTATGGCGCATTCTCTGCAAACATGTTTTCGATTTATTGTAAAATTAATTAGTATCTATATATTGAACAATTCTTTATGAAAACGTTTTGTGTAAATTCCCCACAAGCCGATGTGAATCCAACAAAAGCTGAATCATCTTCACCAATGCCAATGGTATCATTGATGTCGATATTATGATTAATAACTTCATCATGATCTACTATTACTGTTAATTGCTGCCCTATTGGTTCATAGATAATCTCGACTTGGTGATACTTGAAGTCACACAGCTTGAACGAGGGTGAAGCATAGGTCAATGCATACTTTTGTTCGGAATTGTTCAGATCGGTACCGTTGGTATGTATTGCAATATGATTGTCGTTTGGATCGTCGTTGTACTTGAAGTCGTCAAACTCTACAGCTATCGATGCTGTAATGCCACTGTAACCAAGTCCGCTGCCACCATAGTACAACCTGCTAACGGTATCGGTACCTCTTGGGTCATTGTGTATGACGAATGCAAATCCATCTGCCGGTGGACCATCATTATACTTCAGTGGATGCTTTCCCATTTTGAAATCGAATCGAACAATGAAACCACCAGAGATATACCGAACCTTTTTCCTACTCCAACAAAAACTGTTGATAGGCGAAATAAAATGTATATCCTTTACCAATCTTAACTCTCTGTATAGATTGACATCGTCTTCTTTTTCTTGTTTTTCTTGTTTCTCTTTCTCTTTCTCTTTCTCTTTTTTATCTACGCCATTCTCCACTGCTCTCTGCTCTTCCTCTTCATCATCTTCTTCCTCTTCATTTTTAATCCACTTTAGATTATCAAAATAAGTTGATGGGTATGCATTGATCACACAGTTCCTTTTTGTCATTACAAATAAAGGTAAACGAAAAACGATCGCATAGAGCAATACTCTATTCTTTAGTACTCTTCCTGCAAGTTGAGAATCTATATTACTTGTTTTATCATTATCCTCCATATTTCCCATTTTCGTTGATTTCTCAGCATTACTATTGTATTAAATATTTATCATTTTATTTTTCGATTCTGTTTGTATGGATAACCACAAAAAAATATATATTCTATCATATGCAAAAAATAATAAGTGTTGTCGATTTCGTTCTGTATCAACACAAATTAATTAATATCCAAAAAAAAAAAAAAAAAAAAAAAAAAAAACAAAATTAAAAATAAAATATATTTTTTTATAGAATAAATCTCATTTTTTTTGTCGATTATCTTCCTAATCTTTTTGAATCTAATATATTTATTAAGATTAAGATATCAAATTCTATTTTTATTTTTCAATATATTATATTTAATAATTAAACTGTAAAGTTTAAGGTGAAGGTGGGTCGTTTGCTATTTCAACTTTAAATTGTTTTTCTATAAAGGTTGGTATTTCTAAAATATTTTGTATTGATATTCTCGAACTATCATTACTGTCAACTATTAAATAATTTTGATTATTATCTATTCTTCTCAGTTGGAGGTTGCCGACTGTGATTCCACTGACTGTTGTTGGTATACTTTTAAGTTGATCAAGTTTATAGTAATCCTTTGACATTGAAATATGTTTGACTGAGGGTGGTATTGAACCAAATGGGAGTATTGAACCATCGCTGAGGCTCATAAACTCTAATGAGTCTGGGAGTGATTCAACTTTCAAATTGAAAACTCCTCCTGTATAGAGTTTCTTTAGACCCTGTGGAAGAGCTCCTGGATTTCCAAAAATTAGATAGGTGAGATCCAATACCTCCAGGTTTGGTGGTAGCACTGCCACATTATCAAAGCTTTGATCATTCTCGGAATGCAATGGAACCTCGATGATGCTAAGTGATTTTAAGCTTGTTGGGAAGCCAATTCTACTCAACGGGTAAATAGTTGTTACAGTTAAATTGGTCAATGTCGGTGGAAAGTCGCTTGGTTGGAGCTTTGATCCATAAGACTGATTGAGAATCATCGATTTGATTGTTGATTTCAATGTTGTTACTTTAGAGTAGTTAAAGTACTTAAGATGCCTTGACTCTATGGAAATGGAATGAAGTGTAGCTGGTAACAATGAAATATTGGTATCGTCTAATTCTATGAGCTGATGATGTAGTACCTCTAGATTAGGTAGCTCTACATCGATTACTAATGTAACATTTCCATTAATTGTAATTGAACGCAGTGTCGTTGGTAGAGAACTCATGTTTATCTCGCAAAAATTTGCAGTAATGGTGATCGATACCAAACTGGATTTCAAAAGTAGTGGCAGAAATGAAGTTGAACAGATTTCCAGATATTTAATATTGGTTGGCAGCCATTTAGCTTTACAATCTATGTTTGTACCACCCATAGTCAACTTTTTGACATTGGAACACTCTAACTTCTTTACAAAGCATTCATTGTAAATGAAATCAGTTCTTGCCTGATGAATGTATAAATGATTTACATTATCATATATTTCTTTTTTTTTTTTTAATAATAATATGAATTAATTATAATTAATAAGATAGATAATAAAGTTTTAAATAAAAGGAAATAAAAAGTTACTTTTGTTATTTGATTGATCACATAGATCACTGATTGATTGGGAATGATAAGCTTCGACTGGTTTACATTGGAAATAACCATAATACAGTTCTACATTTGATTTATATTGATATGATTTCTTGATTTGTTTGATATATGAATTCGGCTTAACATTATTTATATTTCTAATAGATAGTGTATCGCTGTTGAAATTTAAATATTTATTCCTCTCTTCAAAAAATCGTGTGCAAACTAAACTAAAACAAATCTTATCTATATTTTCGGGAATAAAATCAACTATTTTAGAAAGTAATAAAAATGATAGTTTTTCGATCATGATCTCTCCAATATAATAAATGATTGTTGTTTTGAATCTTTTAATTGTATTGAAAATAAATAAATTTCTATTTCACATCAAGATGGCAAGCCATAAATAGGCGATCTTCATTTATTATTATTTAATCCTTTTTTTTTGAAATTTTTAATTTTTATTTATTTTTAATAATCATAAATATAAAAGATTTTTATGATTTTCATTTTTTAACAGTTTTGCTTAAATTTTGCTCTTTTTTTTGTTGGTGCACAAGTGGTCTATCATCACCCATTCATCACTTGCCATGGCACCAAATTAATCAAAAAAACAAAAACCATTGCGAAATTAAAAAAATCAATTAGTCCTTTAGATTCCTATTATTAATTCCGACATGGTGAATTGTTTTATATTTTATTTTAAATTTCATTCTTTAATTAAAAATATATATGATGTTAGAAAATACAAAATTAAAAGTTATATTATTGGTTTTATCAGTTTGCTCTTGTGCTTTAGGTCAATCTTATCTACCGAATTGGGAGTATGTGTGAACATTAACAATAATTTATCTTACATATCAATATATTTACCATATATTATTAATCATTTACAGATCTATTAATTCAAGACCATTACCAGCTTGGTATGATCAATCGAAATTTGGTATATTCATTCACTGGTATGTAAAATAACATATTCATAATTTTACTATTTTTGCTTGATTTTAATTTCATTATATTCAATAAAAAAAAGGGGTGTATATTCGGTACCAGCTTTTGCAGTTCCTGCTGCACCAGGTGCCGAATGGTATTGGTATAATTTAGAGTATCTATTCAACATTTCCATTGGAAACAGAGGAAAAACAATTAAGAATTATCACTAAATTGTATTCTCTGTATCTTGATTCATTTTATCAATATTCTAATCTTTCTACTTTTTATTTTTACTTTTTTAATAATAGATTCAATACTGATAATGGATCGACTCGTGCCTATCATGATGATTCATTCGGTGCTGATTTTACTTATCAGACTTTTGCACCGATGTTCAAAGCAAATCTCTTTGACCCACAGCAATGGGCAAATCTTTTTGTTGCCTCTGGTGCCAAGTATGTTGTGTTGACCAGTAAACATCATGAGGGTTTCACTCTTTGGCCAAACTCACAAGCCTGGGGATGGAACAGTGTTGACATCGGTCCCGGTAAGGATTTAGTCGGTTTGGTATCGAAATACGTTAAGCAAGCAGGTCTACACATGGGTCTCTATCATTCACTCTACGAATGGTTCAACCCATTGTACGATATGAACAATGCCACCACTCCACCAGTAAGTGATTCTTATGTCACCCAGGTTCTCTTGCCACAACTCTACGATGTTGTTAACTCTTATGAACCTGAAGTTGGTATGTATCAAACTTTTATTCCAAAAACAATCATAACAATATTAACTTTTTTTATCTCATATCAATCAAAAGTTTGGGCGGATGGTGATTGGGAACAAAACTCAACCTATTGGAAATCAACAGATTTTTTGGCATGGTTATACACTAACAGCTCTGTAAAGGACACTGTTGTCACAAACGATCGTTGGGGAAGTGATTGCGGTGGTAAAAATGGTGGTATGTATTAAAAGAACACAAGTTAATTCATTAATATCATTATACTTAAAGATTTTATTTTAAATAGGTTATTGGACACCATCTGATAGATACAATCCAGGTAAATTGATTGGACATAAATGGGAAAACTGTTACACCATAGGTAATTTTCTATATCAAGATAAACTATTATTTGTGAAAATTATTAATTATTTAAATTTATTTTAATAATTCTTAGGAACATCATGGGGATACAATCAAAATGAAGCATTAGATCAATATCAGAACACTACAAGTTTGATCCAAACATTGGTATCAACTGTTAGTTGTGGTGGTAATCTATTATTGGATGTTGGACCTGTATGTATTGATTTTGATTATTATTACTCTGAAAAGAAACATTTATATTAATGTTTTTCTTTTTTTTTAATTATGATAATCATAGACTGCTGAAGGTGTTATTCCAATGTTGATGCAAGAAAGATTGATCCAAATCGGTGAATGGCTATCGACTAATGGTGAAGCTATTTATAATACTACTTTCTGGAGAGTTCAAAACGATACCATCGATGAAAACATTTGGTACACCACCAATGCTCACACCGGTGCTGTCTATGCCATGTCATTCTACTGGCCAACCAACTCGATCTTGACTTTGGAAGCTCCAATCGTTCAGAGAACAACCACCATCGAACTTTTGGGCTACGGTGAATCACTCTCTTACAGCACTGCCAACGGACAGAAATCTGGTCTAAACATCAAACTTCCATTCTTGACACCCGGTCAGTATCCACCACACGGTGTATACACATTCAAACTAAGCAATGTATTATAAAATCTATAGCTACTTTGGGATAATTTAACTTTATTTTGTTTATTTAAATTTACTTTAATAAATATAATTATATTAAATTTTGAATTTAAAGACAATACATGCAACTCCTGGATGAAAATTGTCAATCAATTCAATGCTACCATGATAATCACCTAACTTATTGATTGGAATGGTAACACTGAGAGTTAGACTATAATTACCCATTGGAATCAAGCATGAGCTACTAGGACAAGTCGGTTCTATACTCTATTAATGAACTATCTCCTGAATACCATTTTTAAAATTTCCCGCTTTTTTTTAAAAAAAAAACTATAACATTTTGTTTTTTAAGAAGGTTGTTGTAGAAATGGTTTGAAATTATACATTTTATTTAAATATATATAAATTATTAATTGATTTATTATTTTAATTTTCTAATACAGTATCGGTAGTATTATCTAAAACACCGTCTAAAATTTGGTGGAACATTTCGTTCATGTCGAAAAAGTCTTTGAGTGCAGCTGGAATCATTGATTGAAGGTTTGAAAGAATTGGTTTGGTGAGTGGATTGAGGATTTTCATTAGTGTTGGCTTGACGATAGATCTAACTGTGAAGTGGAGTTGATCTCTATATAGGATTTTGGCGTCGTGCTCCAACTTGGATAGAATCGATTGACGTGCACTGTCAATGTTGATGACGGCACCGTCGTTCGATGATTCGGTGATCTCCTTCTCAAAGGTGTAGACTGCATTCTCAGAGATTTGATTCAACTCTCCACGAATTCCATAGACAATGGTCGATGCCCAGAAACCATCGAACACCGGGTACAAAGTCTGGAGGAATGGGTAGAGCTCGTTGATTGGATCGTGTGCCGATCTCATCGGTGAGAAATACTGTGGATACTTTCTGAGATCTGTAAACGACTTGTCACTGCCATCGCCATTGTACTTTGCGGACTGTTCATTCCAGATTTGAACTACTGCGACGAATGACTTTTCGAGTGGCTTTTTAACTTCGTCACCCAAGATGGTTGAGAGATGTGGACTTACTTGCTCACGAACAACTGGTTCAATGACGGAAATCAATTGATCCTTCATTTTGTCGAGCATCTCTTGTTGTAATTTGGCAATTGGATCGATCTCCTCACGAATCTTGCCTTCAGCAGTTGGACGAACACCTGTTACTGTTTTATCCATTGCTATCCAGGCTGGATTGACAGCACTAGTAACGGTTCCAATGATGACTTTCATCATTTGGGTACGCAAGAAATTACGAATAAACCATGGAGCAGAAGGGAGCTTGTAGAGAGCACGATTCAGAATGTCGTACTCCACCTCGTCAGAGATGACGTCGGCCAACACCTGTACTTCCGATCCTCCCCAGCCAAACCAACCCCAACGACCAAGACTCCAACGAGTATTTCTAACGGCCACTCCAAATGCCTTTTGGTGGACGGCATCTGGATTCTTGAAACCTTGAGCATGACGAACGCATGTCTTTAGAACCTCAGTCCACTCATCGAACTGCTCCTTGTTGTCGGCGGTCAAATAATAGATACGACGATACTCATGCAACAACTCAATGGTGAATGGTGGATACTCCTTTGGTTTTGGAATTGCCGAGACATCCATCTTCATTTTCTCTGCCAACTTTGTAAGTCTACCAAGGATCGATTTATTTGGATCAGTTTCAACTTTATATCCTGCAAGAGTAATTGTACCCTTTTTCTTTGTAAGATTCTAAAATAAATATTAAAATTGAAAAGTTAGAAATAACAGTGTTAAAATTTAGATTTTTTGTAGAATATTTACATTTTCACTTTCATAATAATCAATGGAATAATCTTGTCTGACAATGAAATATCTACGTTTTAATGACTTTCTGACTGCTCCTTCTTTTGTCAAAAATCCGGAATGTCTATCTCCTGTTAGTGGTTTCTCGCGGACACTCAATAAATAGGGTGATGGTGGTTTCTTGGCATCTTTAACACATTTTGCTGTAAGAGCAACAGTGTAGGCCTTAGTATATTCTGCAGTGAAGGTTGCTAATATTGCTTTTGTTAGATCAACCAAATCTTGTTTTAATTGTGCGTCCATTTTTTGATTTGTTTATTATATATATAAATATTGATTAAGAATTTTATATTAATATTAAATGGAATAAAAATAAATAAATAAATAAAATAAAATTAGTATAAATATGAAGTCAAGACAATTAGTCCAAACTATATTTGTGGAACCGATGGAACAAAAAAAGGAAAGAATAAAAAAAAAAACTATTTAAAAATAAATAAGAATTCTTGTTTGTGTATTTCTTAAAAAAAACGTTTTTTATTTTAATACCAATCAGATCAAATAGAGACAAGGATTTTTAGATATTTTTTTTTTTTTTATTTCGATTTCAAAATAGATTAGATTTATCATGTGTTCAGATGGACAATACTAGAAAAAATCCAAAAAAAACTGAGAATAATGTCAAAATTAAGTTGATGTAAAACACGGAGACTATTTGAATTTTTACAAAATTGATGATGGCGAGTCCACATAGTGGGTTAAATTTTTCAAAAAAAAAAGATATTTTTGTAAACTTTTTAATCACATCAACAAAATACAAAACACATCAAACCAACTTACACAAAAATGAATAAAGATTTTTTTTTATTTTTTTTTTGACATAATTGCATTGGAAGTCTGTAACAATACATACCACCATATTTATTCTATCATATGATACAATGAATGTAAATGTGGAATTAAATATATTTTAAAACTTTAGGTAATATAATTTAAAATCAAATTACAACAAATATTTATATCAGAAGAATCTATTTCGTTAAATTTTTGATTGTTTACAGAATATCCGATGACCATTTAGTTGGTCATTTACTAACCATTGTTGGTAATGAAAAGCTTGAAAAAAAAAAATAGAAAGAGAGTTGATGTGACATGTTTCAAGCATATGAATAAATTGCAAAAGAAATAGTACAATATGCTTAAATCCAACACAAACTACTCAAATCAAACACCACTATTACCATCTTATATATTTGGTAAAAGAAATCATCTACACAAAGAGAATAATCAATATACCAATATTTTTAATGTTGAAAATGTAACAAAGGCTCCAATAGCTAATGAGTTATATTAGAAGGCTTGCCTTCTCCTATCATACTTTAAACCTAAACAAATCGAAGTTATTGATTTAATGTAAATGTCTTTTTCCAATTTAAATATTAAATAAATAAATAAATATAACAATAAAATGAAAAACAAACTTTAATTGCTAATTAGCAAAAAGAAAAGTGTTTATTTATGTTGTTTTCTGTCAGGGGATTCTTGAATTATTTAACTTATTTACTTAAACATAGACGTGCTCGTGGTGATGTGGCTTGTGCTTTAAGATGATATACACTGCGTGCACCACACCTTTATAATCAAATAAATTAGTTAGATTATCACTGAACTGTAATATTGAAAGAGTGTAATATGACTTACCTGGAATCCAACCTAAAATTGTCAATAGAATGTTGAGTAGGAATTGACTTCCACAACCTCTTCTGATCAAGACAGCAAGAGGTGGGAAAATGATAGCAACTATAATCAATCCAATCTTTGAACAAAGTCCCATTGTTTTTTTTTTTAAATGTATATATTATATGTTTGAGTTTAGTTTTAAAGATAAATAAAATAAATAGCTATAATTCCAATTATTGGTTTGTTTATTAATGTTTTAATAAAATAATATAAAGTCTAGAATAAAATTTAACTTATAACTATCAGTCATTGGATGATTTATACATTCTCATTGAATTTATTTTATTGTTATTGTAATTGTTGTCAGTTTTTTTTAGATGGAATAGAAGCACCCATATAGATTCATTGGTTGACAATAACAATTAACAATTTGTTGTTACATGTAAAGATCTAAAGTGAGGAAAAACAGAAACACAGGGAAAATAAGTGCAATGAAAATGTAGATCCAATTAAGGGTAATATTATAATATATTATCATTACATTGAAAAGTCGTCTTTTTGCAAACACACTATTTTGTAATCCTATTTAAATAAGGTATAAAAGTCTGTTTATTTGCTTCACACATATCTGCTAGATAATATTTCATTATTCATTTTCTATTTTTAAAGAAAAAAAAAACCAATAATTAAAAATATTTTCATTCTTTTTAATGATAATAATAACGTCAACAAAATAAATTCAAAGTTTTAATTCTTTAAATTGTTCTTCAATTAAATGAATGAAACCAATAAAAAGATATATATATAGTTCTCTTTTTAGGTTAATTTTATAATTATCTCTTTTTAGTTTAATTTTTTCCTTACAAAAAAAAAAACCCAAAAATGAGCAAAAATTCAAATAAAATGGAAGTGGGTTTTGAAAAATAAAAACAAAAATTAAAAATAAATAATTGAAATTGTCAACATTGTGATTGATCAGAAATATCATTAACATAGTTATTTTATTTTAAAAGAAAGAAAAAAAAAATTATTTATTTATTATTAAAACATTTGTACAACACTACCAACATAAAACAATATTTATAAAATGGTAGGTATATAGCAAACAGGAAAGAAGAGGAATTGAATATTTTGATTACAAAGAAGAAGTAAACAATAAATTGTTAACACTTTTTTTTTTTTTTTTTTGTAATCATAATATATATATATTAGTCTGATGAAAAATCACAATTGATTGAAGCTTTCTATAATTTCGATCATGATTACGATGGATTCGTCAGTGTAGAGGAGTTCAGAGGTATCTTGAGAGATGGTTTACCAATGTCTGAAAATGAAGTATGTTGTTACGGAAAAGCATAAAGGTATAGCATTCAAATTATTAACTCTTGTGGATTTATTTTCATTTTTCTTATAGATTCAAGAGTTCTTTGCTGCAGCTGATCCATCAAACAGTGGTTTCATCGATTACAAAGCATTTGCCTCTATGTTATACTCTGTAGATGAATCATAAACAATACAAATAATAGGTTCAAACAAAACAAAACAAAACAAAAGGAAAAGAAAACAAAACAGATCACAATCAATCAATCAATCAATCAATAATAATAATACACTTCACAATCTTCATTAAAAGAACGAAGATATATTTAACAAAACAAATAGTCGCAGGAAATGGAACATATAAGATTTTTTGAAGGAGTCGGTCAACATTGCTAAAACCTTTGACTCAAAATCGAATTGACATTATATTTTCTATTTCCGTTAAACTATGTACAACCAACGCACTCAACAAAAAAAAAACATTTATTGTATTAATAATAGTAATAAATAAACTAAAATGTTATATATATTTATACCAAATAACTTATTTCGAATATCTACAAAATTTTTGTATTGGCGGGGTTAACCATTAATTTTATTTTGGTTCACCATTACCACACCACGAAAAACACTGAACCATCAAATCAGTCAGTCAGTCAATCAACAAAATAAGACAGATAATTTATATTTGATGTGTGTGTTGTGTGATATGACGAGTGGTTTGTATTGATATTAGATTAATATAATACATATTTATATATATATTGACTATGATCATTGGAGTATCAATGATGATGGTTATACAAACTAAATTAGAAATGTAATATTGTAAGTTGTACTCCTCTACTTACAAATTTGTAGATGACAATCAGTCAAAGTTTATTGAATTTGTAATGTAATATTTATACATTGTTGATATCAATTCCATCTTACTCTTATTATTTATTTTCATTGACACAAACAATAGCTTGCTTGTCAATACAGACAATCAAAAAAAACTATTATCAACCTATATCATTACTATTACTATTACTATTTATTTATATAGAAAAGAAATAAATATATATGTTTATTTATTTAAAAAGATAAATAAATAATAATGTTTTTAAGATTTCTAAAAAATAATGTTCTAAGTTTATTATTAGTATTTTTATTATGTGCTCATATATTCATTATTCAAAAGTATGCTATTTTCAGAGTGGATGAAAACAATGCTGATAGCACCGGCACAGATTCAGTTCTCAAACAAAAGTTAAAGTTGAAACAACAAAACAAGAGGAACTCCGATGGTTTCTCGAAAAGCGCTGCTATGAACAGAGTGAATCTGGGCGAGCATCTGGATTTCAGAGAGTTGTCTCTGATGTCTGCCAATCATCCATATTCTATATTGTCGGATCTGAAAGATACAAAGGTAGAGTTGCCCGATGTCTGTAGGTATGCCGGACTCGCCGGTACCACCAGACAGCAGGCACCGGATTTTCTTCAGCGTTGTGAGGGTGCCGATTACTATCAGCCGGTGATAACACCGACTCCCGTTCTCGACGTCGATAACATGAACTACTCGATCAAGACCGATAGTGATGCGCGTGCCCGCTATGCATATGCACCGGCCAACTACTCGGCGGAGCCAATCGTCACCATTCTAACGCCGTTCTACAATATCGGTCCGATTCTCCACGAGACTGCCAAGTCGATATTCAGACAATCGCTGCAATCGTTCCAATGGGTCATTGTCAACGATGGTTCGCCAAACAAGACACTGGTCAGAGATTCACTCGGTGTCTATCGTAATTTGAGTTTGACCGATCCTCGTATCACCATCATCGATCTACCAAAGAATCTGGGATTGCCGGGTGCTCGTAACGAAGGTTTAAAGTCGGCACGTGGTAAATACCTTCTCCTCTTGGATCCCGATGATCTCATTGAATTCACCTACCTCGAGAAAGCCGTTTGGTTCCTCGAAACACATCCACAATACTCGCTGGTAAACGGTTGGTCACTTGGTTTCGGTCACAAAGAGTATTTCTGGCAAAAAGGTTTCCAAAATGGTGATATCAATTTAAAGGAAAATTATATTACTGTTGCTTCTGTTATGAAAGTAAGTTATAACAATAATATAACAATGATAATGATAGTGTATTGAAGTTTATTAACTTGTATTGCTATTAATAGACTGAGGTTTTAAGACAAGTAGGTGGTTTCGATGCATCACTGAGAACCGGTATGGAGGATTGGGATCTTTGGATGAGAATGGCGGATAATGGACACTGGGGACATACTTTGGAGGAGTTCTTCTTTTGGTATCGTGTCAGTCCACCTGGAAAGTGGGCTTCCATCTACAATGAAACGAAATTCAATGCTTTCATGGATAATCAAAAGATAAAGTACAAGACTGCCTTTAGTCGTGGTGTTCCAAAGTTGAGTCGTGCACCGCAAGACAAGATGGAGAATGTCGTCTCTGAGATAACCGTGTCCAACGTTCTGAGAAAGTGTCGTCCTCGTATCTTGATTATTCTGCCATATATGGAAATTGGTGGTGCCGATCAGTTCAACTATAACTTTGCTCAGGGATTGGTGCTCGATGGCTGGGAGGTCAGTATCGCCGGAAACAAAGAGGCCGCAAACAAGTGGCAACCGCAATTCCTGCGTGTCACACCAGATATCTTTATTATGCCACGATTCCTGAGGGTGACCGATCAAGCTCGTTTCCTTGTCTATCTTATAAAGAGTCGTCAGTTTGATGTTGTTTTCGTAACCAACAGTGAGTCCGCTTACAACTTCCTACCATATCTACGAACACATGCACCTGGACCTGCGTATGTCGATTACATTCACTCGGAAACACCTGGCTGGAAGAATGGTGGATATGCACGTTACTCTGTGGGAGCGGAGCCATTCTTGGATCGTTCTATATTTGCTAGTGAGCATCTTCGACAGTATTGTATCGACAGGGGACACAATCCCAACAAGACTGTTACCGTGCTGATTGGTATCGACTCTGAGAAGTATCATCCAAAGCCCGAGAATAAGTTGTCGGTTCGCAAGGAGTTGGGTTTCCCAGAGGATGTTCTGCTGATTGTCTACGTATCGCGTTTGGAACACGAGAAACAACCATTGGTATTTGCAGAGGTGTTGAAGAGAGTGCACGATCTTGGTTACGACTTTAGAGCGATGGTAGTTGGTGGCGGTGCAATGTTTGACATCTTGAATGAGACTCTTCACACCGATGGAATTGCTGACAAAGTTAGAATGTTGGGTAGTGTTTCCAACAAGGAAGTTCAACGATATGTCGCCGGATCGGATGTGTTCTTCCTTCCATCGAAAATCGAGGGTATCTCACTGGCTATCTACGAAGCAATGTCAATGCAAGTGTGTGCAGTGTCTGCCAAAGTCGGTGGACAAGCTGAGCTTGTCACTCCGGAAGTAGGTTACTTGGTTAAGCCTGGCACTCCAACTGAGGTCGAGGAATACACTGATATTCTGGCCGAGTTGGCCTCGAACCGTTCATTGGCACTGGAACTTGGAGCCAAGAGCAGAGAGCGTGTATTGAATGGTTTCTCAGTTAAAGATACCATTATCAAGTTGAAGCATGAATTCTGTAATGCTGCCATCGTCAGTAAGCTGACCAATCCGATATTTGATAACGATTTGATGCGTCGTGCCTCTAAGGAGATGGCAATACTTGGATTCGAGTATCATCGTGCTCACGATGAGTTACTCCCACTCTGGAACGAACATGTTGCACTGACTAAACGATGCCAACCACCTGCACCTGTAAAAGTGACTAGAACCGAACGTCCTCCCTCACCATATCCTGTTCTCACACCCGAGGAAGTAATGGAAACGTTGGACTATGAGCAACTTAGACCGGTTACCGATGTTTTCGAAGAGAAGAAAGCAATGGATCACAAGTTAAAGATTGAATTAAAGGATTATCAAGACACTCCAGTGAGAAAGAATCCAAAGATTGCCATTGAGAAATTCAAACACAACGATTTCCTCCACAAGTTTAATCATGATGTCGACGATTGGGATGATGACATTCCATATGCCTTCTCGCACCAAGAGTACATAGCCCATATTCCCGATGCCTTCATATCGTCCGGTGACTCTGGAATAGTATTCGATTGGGAGAGAATGTTTTCGCTTAGTCGTGGTAGAAATCCAGTGTTCAATCCACCACCCAATGAAATATCCAAGTGCCAGATCAGTCGCCACAAAAAGATATTCACTCTACTTCAATTGTATTTCTCATTTGGTAATTTCATTCAGGAACAACTTCCAAAGTTGGCAATGGTTTGGGATGATCTACAAAATGACAGAGATATCAAAGTATTAGTACCAAACATCCCATATGCAAAGATAATCATGGAGGAGCTGCTTAGAATGGAACCAGATCGTGTGTTATATTTTAATCCTGGTGTTGGATGGGATCCATGTAAAATCTACTATGCCAATCATGTAATGTTGCCATCGCCAATTCCTACTGGACATCCACCTCAAGAATTAATGTCGCAACTCAGAAACATCATTACAAAACAAGCAACTGGACACAAGAAACCAGTCAGTCACGAGAAGATTGTAATCTATGCATCTCGATCCGGAACACCGAGCCCATTACGTAAGGTATCGAATGAAGCAGAGGTCATTGCCACCATTGAGGAGCTAATGAAGCCAATGGGATATCAAGTCGTGGTATGGAGTGGCGAAGAGAAACTCAACTCATCTCTCGTACGAATTGCAAGTAAAGCTCAGATGCTCATTGGTATGACCGGATCAAACTTGATGCCAATGTTGGCCATGCCAAAGAAATCGATCGTTATCGAAGTGATGCACGAAAATCCGTGGTTAACTTGGTGGGCAACATCGGAATCACTGGAACATCAACACTGGATGATTCCACTACTGGGAATAGGTTCATCTCATGACAGTGAAACCATACCAATTCCATTGGATTTATTAAAAACAACTATATTACAATCATTAAATTCGACTTTACCAAACTAACTAAATAAATAATTTAAAAATCTTTTATTTTTTGTAGAAAAGAATTTTTTTTTTTTTTCAATCAAATCCCAGTTTGATGATTGATTTAAATCACTGTTTTATAAAATGACATTTTCTAGAATATTAAATAACAAGTATATATTTGAAAGAGTTGTTCATTTCTTGCATGAAGGTCACCATTTATATGCTTGCAAGTACAGAAATAGAGAGATTGACGATGCATTATGGCTAGCAAAGACAGGTAGTTTTGATATCATTAGAAACAAGATAAAGTCATATAGTTCTATTACCAACGATAGTGACTATCCATTGTTGTATTGGCCTGCTAAATCATTATCTATTCTATTCGAAAAGCAGCACTATGATATCATAGAATCTTTGTTCAATCACAGGAGTGTGTCATCACGTAAATACTTGTTTCTTACTACCGATGTTGTTGATACTGCCATTCGATCACAGGTATCGATTGACATGCTTTCTACCATCGAAAAGCTCTTCCCAGAATCAATTACTTGGCGAATCTTTACAACTGCAGCAGAGGTTGGAAGTTTACTGGTTATCGAGTGGTTGCGAAAGATAAGACCACTCATCACACCAGCGGGATCAGCAACGAATAATGCAGCACTCAACGGTCATATGCATGTTATCAAGTATTTACACGATTCTGGCAGGTGGGCAATATTCTCCAGTAGAACATTGGACTGTGCTATAAAGGGTGGAAAGCTAGAGATCGTAGAGTATATTCTCGCCAATAGAACGGAAGGACTGACTCATGAGACAATTGACCTGCTGACTACCAACAAAGAGATGCATGATATCATTGAGAGGATTATACTGGCAAAGAAAAACCCTCTCTACGAGTCGATTCAGTGCAGTGCTAAATCATTGGTTGAAGCGAGCAGACATGGAAATCTAAAGTTATTGCGACTCCTCATTGAAAATGAAAAGCGGCTCAGTGCTATGAGAGGTATATCAATTGTTCAACAAGATGTAGATAATGCCATTTACAAGTCATACTCGTCCGTAACAATGTCGCTGATGAATGGAAACATCAGTTGTTTCGACTACCTCTCAAAGACTCCGATCTACAGCAACTCCATCAAATACATACTCTATATGGGATGGGGACATATATTTAGGTCGTCTTCCTCCTACGAGAATGAAATTGCCTTCATTGATTACCTGAAGGATAAGAAGTATCCTCTGAACAAAGATGTACTTTTCCGTTTGGTATCCAATGGTAATATTCGACTTTTCAAGATATTACTGCCGGAATTCGATGAATCACCGTTGTTTGAGAGGAATACCAAGTTCATCACAAAGGCAATCGAGAACGGTCGTTTAGAGATGACATTGTATCTCTATGATTCGTATTGTCTGGCATTTAATCTAGGCGATGCCATCACTCAAGGATTAATATCAGAGCACTCCGCAACTCAAAAGCAAGAGGTTTTAATCGAAATTCTGGATCGTCTTCATAAGTTTACAGGATGTCCACTGGTGTTGAATACATCTCAAGTGGAATTGATTTCCAATTCTTCTGTGGAGATGCTCAGATATCTCTTTGGTATCTACCAGCAAGATAAAAATAACTATATTTTGGCAGCAGCAAAATTTGGTTGTTTAGATATCGTACAGAAATCATACAGGAATGAACAACTCATCAAGGAAGCCTACAAGATTGCATTGAGAGCTGGTCATATAGAAATCATTGTATATCTCACAGAGACATTCCATATCAGGGCAGATTTAACGTCAGCGTATGAAGCATTTAACAGTGGTCGAGTTGCTTTGTCTTCCTATCTCCTGGAAAACAGAGATATGTTTTTTTTGGATGATTTGGCGGTGTGCTACTCAACAATGCAAAACAATCACTACCTATTCGAGAGACTAAAAGAGAAGGTCAAAAAGACTGGAAGGCCAATCAAAGGTGTTGGCGACATTATTATTTCGAAAATCAAGAGTCTGGTTGAACTAAAAATGGTAACATCAGATTTATGTTCAACCGAGAGTCTTGGTTTAAATTATAAGGTGGACGAAAATGTTTTTTGTGAGATGGCTCACAAAAATAAGATCGATCAAATTGTTTATCTCGAAGAATCCGGTAAACTATCGTATTTTGAGAGATTTGTTGGTGCGAACGCTCTCTATCAGAACAGTATACTTATAGCCCTCCATAACGGAAAAGATGAAACTGTTTCGTACCTGGTCGATCGTTTGAAGGTTCATTACCCAAAGAATTTCCCCAAAAAATTGTATAATATATTGCTCGATGGAGTAGATGACGATTCAAAAGAAACTAATGAAAATTATCGTTTATTTATTAATTTCAAAAAGAGATTAATTGAAGAGATACTACCATTAGTAGAATAAAGTTGTAAATTTAATCTATTTTAATTCTCTCTAAAATTGGTGCTATGCCTTGTTTTTCAGAATTAACAAACAGTTCAATAATTTCATTGTATTTCTTCAATCGTTTAGCATAGAGTGTACTATTGACTGTAGAGAGTCTCTGGCAATCGATTCTGTTGTATTTTTGTTGGTGCTCAACTAAACTTTGTGCTCTCAAGAGAACATCATTGGGAACTCCAGCAAGATATGCACATGATAATCCAAAACTACAATATGATTTGGTTTGAATTATTCTTAAAAAATAAATTAAGTTAATTAGTTTTTTCAATCAGCAACATTAAACAAACTAAATTATACTTGTAAAGTGGTATAAATGTGTCAAATGTAATATTGTTGTTTGTGTTTGAGTTGGCTTTCTCAATAAGAAATTGAGTAGAGTTGAAAGAAATTCTATCTGCATGTTTCTCTGAAATCAATTTAAATATTTCATAGAAATGAGTGCTCAATAGTATTTTGGGTGATCTATCTTTAACTATAAAGTGTATTATCAAACCATATAATAGTGAAATTCCATCTTGTGGTATTGTTCCTTTTCCATACTCTAGAGTATTAAGTGGAGGGTGTTAGTCAATTTTAATTATGAAATATATAAATATTTTACCATCAATTAAAAGAAGTGAGTTGGAGGTTGCGAATTTGGTCATTTGGGCAACTTGTTTACAGTCAATCATAAAAGATGATTCTGAAATTGAGTTGCTTTCTCTAGTTGAGATTCTAGTAAATATCTTGTCACACAAAGATATATTGGCACTCTCTGCAGGTACGAAGCAGCCAAGATGAGCTAAATAAACAATGATTCCAACCTGTTTTAAATAAATAGATTTTCCACTTTGATTTGGTCCAGTTATTATCATTGTTGATTTTGATTCTGATAAATTTGTTAATTGACTATCTTTAGAGTTAATGGTGATATATTTATATTTACCAGTAAGTTCAGTGTCATTTGGTATAAAAGTGTTTGTACATAGTTCTTGTAATGGATGTCTACCATTTTTTATTTCCAAAATACTCTCAGAGTTGATGGTAGGTCTGACAAAGTTGGATTCCTTTGATACAATGGCCATAGAAATGATGGCATCCAACTCTGAACAATAATTTGAAACTTCAATGAGAGCATTGGAAATCTTTAAAATTTCATCGATAACAACTCTCTGAATCCTTCCTTCAATATCCAATATATCATTATGAATATCACCAAAATAATCATCCAATTCTTTTGTTTTTTGATTTTGAAAGTAAATATATTGTGATGTCTGAAACTATGATATTTAATTTAAAAAAATAAATTAATTAAATTCCAAAAAAATAGAACAATAATAATTATTAGCTAATAGCTTACAATAAAATCTAATCCTTTTAAATCTTTTTGTTGAGGTAATGGATAGTTTGGATTGATTGGCACACAAATTAGACATCCTAATTGTGGGTAATAAACAAAGTGAAATGATGTAATCCATGGAATGCCTCCAAAATATGATTTCTCCTCTTCACCGCTTTGAGTCTTTTTTAAAAAAAAATGAATGAGAAATTAATTAATTAATTTAAATAAAAAACTTACCAAGATTGAACCCATTGAGTTATAAACTTCTCTAAGTTTATCTAATTGACTATCTATTCCATATTTAATATTTAATACATTCTTATGTAAATCATCTATAATAAATGTATTTTCGTATTGTTGTAATAATGTTATTATTGGTTCTAATGATAGTGTCACTATCTGCATAAAAAATAATTAATAGGAAATACTAAAAGAAATATATTATTATTATTATTACCTTTACTAAAAATGAAATAGTTGGAGAATTCTGTTCAATTAATATTCCAATTCTCAAGAATGATTGTAAGCTCTTTATTTTTTAATAATGTTCTAGTTTTTTTTTTTTTTTTTTTGTTTATTAGAATTATTTTTAAATAAACTTACCGTATATATATTAATTAAATATCTTTCTGGGTTTTGAGATAAGCTTTAATCTAAGTTAATAAAGTTGTTTGGTTATTTCGTATAAGTTAATACATTACTTTAACTTGTTTAAAATCATATGTAAATCTTTGATGTTGGATAGACAACCAACCAAACTCAAAGTCAACGGAGTATTTGAGTTATCGGTAAAGTATGATATGAGATCATATCTCTCTTCGATGATCTCTCTATTGCGTGGAGGTCTCATAAACCATGACTTTAACTTTCTTTTACCAATAACAGACTTTGTTCTATTCAGAATCCCAAACAAAGATAGTCCTTCCTTTGAATTACCAACCGAATAGCAACTTGGGTGGCTAAATTTAACCATTAATAAAAGTAATCATATTACATGGATAGAATACATACTTTTCATTTGCAAAAATTTGTAAAGAATATAAAGAGTTTGTATTAATACTCAAGAATTGATCACTGTTTGAATAGTATTAATATTAAGATGTGTTAGTAGTAAAACTGATTATATTAATATAAAAGATATCTATACATACAAAGAGAAACAGATAATTTCATTTAGTTTGAAATTCTCTAATGTTTCGAATTCATCAAGAGCAAGATACTTTGGAAGATAAACCAATAGACCACCAATTGCTTTAATCTATAAGATGATAAACATTATTAGTATTGGTTAAAGGTTTTTAATTATCTAATTTAGTTTACCATTTCACTTTGACTAAAATCTAATATTCTCTCTAGATATAGTTGCTTTTGATGAAAGTCATTGCTGTCAATTGGTAACTTGATGTTAAGTAGCTTGTTCTTTCCGTTGTCAAAGCTGAAATCGTTTGACTTTGAGAAATGAACGTTGAAAGACTGCCCTTCTTCCATCTTGTGCACTGCATCTATAAACTTCTCTGGCATTCTAGAGGGTATAATGATCGTCTTTGGACATACTTGTTGTTTGACTAAAGTAATGAATGTGTTAAACAACAAAAAAAAAATAATTAAATTTATTTTGATCTCTAAATTGAAAGTTGTAAGGATAAATAGATGGATGAACAGTTTATGTATTATATTATAAATAATATAAAGTAGCTACCCATTGAAAGACAAGTGAAAGTGTCATCCTCCCAACATTCAGATACATATAGAATCGATAGATTCGAATCGTAATAAGCTATACCCAGTTTAAGTTTAAAATAAATGACAGCAAGAATATTATTATTCTACAATCAATCATTTGATTTATTAGTAATAATGTTATTTAATAATAGATTGATAATTGTATGTTTGTTTGTTTGTTAATGATTTTGAAAGTAATCAAATTCTAAAATTACATTATAGTTCATTATGTTCATTAGAGTATCATTATCATCATCTACCTGATATTCATCATTATCTATATTATATTTGGCAATGCTGTTGTTATATTGCTCATCTTTATTGAAGGGTGGTATGGGAGGTGATAATGTTGTTTCATTATTCTTATTCGCTTTGTTATTATTGTTTTTGAAGTTCAATATAATGTTATCATCAGGTTGTTCATTATCTATCCAATTATATATATTATTCATCTCAATCTTATTAATAATAATAATAATAATAATAATAATAATAAATCAAAATTTTTGTGAAGATTATAATGTTTTTGAAATTCAAAAATTGTTTTTTTTTTAATTTATTTTATTTGATTAAACACCATATACTTTGATGTCTTCATTTATAACAAGAGATATTAAATGAAAAGCTTGCAGGTGATAGGTTTGGTTTGATTTCCACGGAGTAGAAAAACACTTAAAATCTTTAAACCGTTTGTTAACATTCTCGATGATGATTATTTTCGAAGATAAGAAAGCATTGAATTCCTTTTCCAAAGGAGTAAGTGAACCGCCTCTTGGTCTCTTTATCATTGCTTTGAATGATTCTCTCTCACCTTGATAAGATTTATCTCCAATGAATCTTTCTTTATTTTGTAGTATTTCACTTGAAAGAATTCCCTCTTCCGATCGAGCTATGTCAATGTCTGCCTTGCTTCCTGGATATGGTCCAGACCACCAAATAATTTCACCATTGTGGATACTGCAGGTGACTTCATATTTGAAACCAAAATGCTTTTTATCTTCGTTCCAATACTTGTCATTTTTAGTTTCATATAAACATAATGTTGTATCTGTTACAAAACGATTGAAATGATGTTTGCCTCTCTCTACATCTTTTACAGGAGGGTAGTCTTTAGTCTCATCCTATATAATAGTTAATATTTGATATTAAAATATAAATCAAATAGAATTCAAATTACTTACATAAGATAGATAATCTACTTTTTCGTAACATTGATTCAATACTTCTTTGACTATGTTTTTTACAGTTGACTCTGAACATCCATGAACCAATGAACGATCTAAATATGAAGTATAGAATCTAAGATAATTTAAACAAATCAATATCTTAGACTCACTGCATCCAATTAGATTCATGATTGCAGACACTGAACTTTTATGAACACCAAAATGTCTTTTAAATTCTCTTTCTGAATATTGATCAAATCTAGGTGTATTTATTGTCATTTTGATTTCTTATATTTTTTAATTTATCTAGTAGTTCTTTGGATAAAAATTTATACGAGCGCAATATAGATTTAAATCAAATATTCAAACTTAATTTTAGAGTAAAGTTAAATTCCTACTTCTTATTTGGTATTTTCCAATTTATTAATTTATATGAGAAATTTTACCAAAGAAAATGAAGGGGGTAAAAAATAATTGGCAATTTTTAAGAGGGGTAATTGCAAGGTAAAAACCTATATAGGAATTTAACATTGTTTTTCTCTATTTTTATTAAGAGAAAAACCAAGATAATTAAATCATCTTCTCATATTATTTTTAATTTACAAAACCATAACAAATAATTAATATTTTAATATTTAGAAAAATGGGATCAAAAAAGTCAAAAGGTGACAATATCAAATGCAGAATCTTTATATATATGAAATTGGTTCAAAAAAAAAAAAAAAGGCCAAATTCATATAAATCTAAAGTACATAATCCTGATCTTATAGTTAGAATATATTAAGTAAATTAGATTCTTTAGACTTGACACTACATTGGTTTTAAAATTAATATAATTAATATCAATTTATTTTAAATTATATTATTTTTTGTACAAAGGGGGTTAAAAAAGTGTATAAACAAAGAAGTAAAATAAATATCTGTGGGGTTGTGTATTATTTATTGATTTATTTGTTTTTTTATAAATAAAAGTAAATCGATTCTAATTTGATTGATATCAAGATTGGAATAATATAATTATTTCTCTACGGGAATTTATTTGATGACATCATTCAGAAACACCATTTAATTGATGATTATTGTAAAATGCTGAATGATGTCATTTTTCTAATTTCAATACATTTAGCTGATGATTTAAATTATCATTATATTTTGAATTGTGAGGAGTTATTTTTTGATGACAACAACATCTTTAAAATGACAATACTCAAATTTCATAAATTTATTGTGAAAATATCAATAAGTTTAAATTTATTTGTCAAAAATAGTATATTTAAAACAATGAACTTGAGATCATCGAATTTATTTAATAATAACTTAACCCAATACAATATATCGCTTTCAAACACAGTGTTCTCTTCTTTAAAACAAAGAAAGTGTTTACCTACTATAAATATTAATTTTCATCCAATCATTCTGAAAAACCATCAAATCAATTTAGTATACTAAATTAAAAACAAAAAACTAAAGACTTTAAAGTTTATTATTTACAATTAAATTTAAATTAAAAATGTTATTCAGTAAGTACTACTTGAATATAAACCATTTAAATCAAAAAACAATTTATTAATTAATCTTTTTTTCAAAAATAGAATCATTAAGAAATATCCAATTCTCCTCAAACATGTCCAATTTTCAAATTTTAAATACTCATACTGTTGGATCAAGTTTGAATACTAATGGATTGGAATCTTCAGTTAATACTACAGCAACACCTGTTTTCAGTAAACCATTCTATGCTGTATGGTAAAAAACAGTAAAGATAAAATATTAACAATAGAATCATTTGATCAAATTTCAGTCATTCCAAGAGAAAAACAAAAAGGTTCACATGATAGATTATATTTCTATCTAAATTCTAAATTTTAAATATTTAGTTTTTGTATTCAAGTAACCTATTCATTCAGTTCTTCTTCCCATTGAAAATTTTACTATTTTAATCACATTTAAAGTAAAATTAATATATATATTAATTTAATATTAAGATTAAAATTGATAAAATTTAAATAAAATTAATTTATTTAACATTAAATTACTATAAATACTATTATTTTACTTTTTTTTTTAATTAAATATTTGTATAATTTACAAATGATATTAAAAGCACTTTCTATGAACTAAAGTTGGACCAATTTCATCATACTCCTCTCTTGTCATGATCATTTGTTTGAATCGTGGGTGTGCTACCAAGAGTGAACCACCTATCCAAGCAGAGTATTTTCTCTCGGGTGGTGCAATTACTCTTATCTTTGTGCCTTTTGGCGCCAGTGCTGTCAGCTCTTTACTCAATCTCTGTGGCAAACCAGGGAACATCGTGTTTCCACCTGACAGTACAACATTACTAAACATTGCTGATTGAATATCTTTATCGCACTTATTAATTGAATTGAAGATAGCTTTATGAATACCAACCGTCTCAAATTCAATTAGTGACGGATCGAACAGTGGTTCCGTACATTTGAACCGTTCCAAACCGATCGTAAGTACCTGTTTATCTGGTAGATCAAATGATTTCTCTAGATCATTAGAATGCTCTGCCAGCAATTGCTGCTCAGCTTCAAAGTCAAGTGCAACATATGCCAGTTTCTCTTTGATCTCATGATAGATATCACGTTCCGATGTTCCCGTAAGAGACCAACCTCGTTCCGTTAACAATTTTATCATATAGTTTGTGAGACAGTCACCTCCAAAACCTAAACGTGTGATGGCGTGTGACAATGCATATCCTTCGTATATAGGAACAATGTGTGTCACGTTATGACCAGATTCCACTACGACACCAGTCGATCGACCAGATGCATACAACGACAGAACTGGCTGTGTTGCAATGTACAACGCTGGCACGTTGAAGGTTTCAAACATGATCTGTGTCATCTTTTCACGATGTGCTTTCGGATTGAATGGTACCTCTGTGAGTAGAACGGTGTGTTCCTCAGGGGCACATCTAAGTTCATTGAAGAAGACATGATTCCAAAGTTTCTCCATATCATCCCAGTTGTAAACGATTCCATGTGCCACCGGGTACTTCAATACACATATTCCACGTTTAGATATAGCCTCATCTCCAACGTAGCTATCTTTAACATTCATACCCACCATAAACGTGATGTTTCTAGGTTTACCAACCACTGTAGGTATTACAATCCTTGGTGAATCATCTCCTTCAAAACCTGCCTTAAATAAATATGATCCCTGTGCAACCAAACATTACAATAAATGTGTATTTTATATTAATTATCTAAAATCAACTATTAATAAGATCTTTTATATACATTATCTAAAATTAAAGCAAATTCCTCATCCATTTATGACTTTATATATATACTTTGTTAACAACAAAATCAAAAAAATAAACTTAATCAGATTTGTTATTTATTTTTAGATTTTTTTTTTTTTTTTTTTGGAGTAACTTGATAGAGATTTATGAAAAGAAGTTGGAGTGTTGACACTAAAAAATTGTTGTCACTTTTGGATTTAATTGTTGTTGTTTATTTTTGATTAAATATTAAAGATATTTCACCCCTAATATTTTTCACTAATACTTCCTTTTAACCATGCAATATAAAGTTGTTTTAGGAAGGACTTTCTAAGCTCAAGATTATCTTTGATTCTGGTGGATGCTTCACCAAATTTGTTAAAATAGAGATTTGATTGTTCAACTATTTTGTTTTCAATTGATGAATGCACAGTTAGTGTTGACTCTGTAACATGTAAATACAATCCAATTCCATGTGAACAAATTGTTGTATGAAGAACCATAGCAGTTTCTTTTTCTTTATCATATTTAACACTATTTCCACAGAAGAGGCATATACCCTTTGGTGTATTTGCATTGACTGTAGATTCAACGTGTTTAACAAAGAAATCCTATGAAATTAAAATATAATTAGAAATGGGTGTACAAAGTTATTATTAATTTAAAATGTTTTTTGTAAGTTATACTTACAACGTATTTCTGAGGTAGATCAATAAATTTCGGGGTCACAGGAGGAAGAGAAAAGGAAAGGAAATGATATTTGAATTTAGAAAAATTCTTATCTTGGTACAAAAAGTTTGGAAGTACCTCTCTCCAATTGGGAAGCTCAAGTGATTTCAGCAGAAACTCTACAGATGAGAATGTTTCCAATGTGATTGGGACTTGATGTTGGTCAATGTTGAGTGGTTTTTCAAAATTTGTTGTAACGCAATGTTTGAAAAGCAGTGACTTTCTCAAGAATGGAGTTAATGCTTCATCCAATGTATTGGCAACCTTGGCATAGGTTTCTTTTTGATCTCCATCAGAATCCTCAATGAATTTAATGAACGATTCCATATTGCCTTTATACCAATCATCTCCTTGTTTATCTGTCATTCTACCGCTGGGGGTTATCAATCTCTTGATGGCATTTGAAAATACAATAAAAATCAAACGCTCATATGCTTTTCTAATCTGTAGCTTTGAATCTGAGGAATCGTTGTTGTTGAGGTAATGGTTGTAAGTTGCCAAAATGAAAGGATCGTAATCGGCAGAGGAATCTCCCCAGAGATCGAACGGTCCGGTATTCTCCAAATCTACGAATGTCTTTATATTGAAATAGAGAAGTCTTAATGTTTTCAATCTTCTCTGGAATTCAGTTTCACTGAATACATAATATGGCACATCATATTCTTCATTATAGTAATCTATAAGACGCGAAGTTACTTCGATACTCTCGATCAGAGTCAATGGATATTTCCATAGAAACTGTTGAACATGCTTTTCTGTAATGTCCGGCTCAGATCTGAAAACGGTATCACAGACGATAATGATTTCCATGCAGTCTTTTTGAATGTCTTTGTTGCGACTTTGGTTATCAATAGGCAAGAGAATACAAGACACTCTGTTGCACAATGGACATTTAAAGAAAGTTCCAGGTGTTACAAAGCTATCAATACATGACTTGTGAACATAGTGATCACAACATCTTACATTCAACGGATATCCAAGTTGAGATAAAAACAATTTTTCATCTACATTCTGAGGGTCGGTTGTAGATGTATAGTAAATCGCTCCGGTATCTGTATATTCCTTTTCTACTTCCAAAGGTACAGCAGGATAATGCTTGAGAATGGTTTGTCTCTTGGATAGAGAACCTGTATGGCTTCCCTCAACTCCTCCGATGGCACAGAGTGGATCGGAACTGGAATTACGTGAACTCTTACAGGAGAGACATACAATGGCGTTGGCCTCAGTATCAGCGTTGCTAGATTCTTCATTGTCAAATTGGTCATTGTTCTGAAGGAATTGGAGTTGTTGTTGCATCATCTTCTCTTTGATCATCATTTGTCTCTTGAGTGATTCCTCCTTCTTGATTCTCTCTTCTTTTTCTGTCTCAATGTTGATTACCTCATCGATAGACATCTTACGGTTGGTGAAATATTGATTGACACTTGAATCGAATTCATTGACCGAAATCAACAAGTTGCAAATTAAATTCTTCTTGCTGATAAACTTGTGTTTGCACTCGATAATTTCAAATAGATCAGTTACCAAATCAAAGATACTGATTGGTTTGATGGTATTTGAAGTGCTGTCGACAATAACTTGATATGGTTGAACAATATTCAAAATTGAAATTGGTTTCTCCATTTGTTGATTGTTGTTGTTATTTTCATTCAATAGATAGCTCTTGAAAGTTGATCTAATGTTTGAAACTTCATCATATCGAAGAGTATTCATTGTTGATTCTTTAAAGTTTCTCATTGCCATCGACAATAAATAGAGAATATGGTTGGCAGCTTGATCCAATTCACTTTGATTGTTGGTTGGTGATGGTATAAAGTATTCAGAATCCTTAAAGTTTGACAATGATTCGAATTTAACTTTCATCTGGTAGCTTGGATGGACGAATGACAACAATGTTGAGAATGCGATCTGGTAGATCAATGGTTCATCAAACAATTGATTGACTGCCGATAGATTTGGATGAAGTGCATCTAATTTACATGGCAATGGGAACGTCGAATATTCACTCTTTTGATATTCGTGATACTTTTCTAGTGTTGATTCCGGAGTGCTACGTAAATGATATGGGTAGTAATAATCATAACGATCGAAATACTCTGGTTTCAAAGAATGTTTCTTGGAAGCACCAGATACAGTTGAAACTTCTTGGATTGCTTTCTCAACATCACTCTCCAGATGTCTACTATAGAAATCTCTTCTATTAATTACCAATTTTGAATGATATTCAACACTGTCAAACAATGATTGAATGATACTATATCTAACTTCTTCATAACTGTGCATTGAGCTCTTTCTGAATTGTAATACTCTGATTACCAATGTCAATAAATCATTCAAACAATGTGGATATTCCTCTGTTATAAGAAAATATAAAAAAGTCAGTTACTATATTGCAAATGTAAATGTAAATTTAATATTTTTTTAATTTACTTACTTGTTGATTTATAGTTTGAAGTAAAAGTACTGATGAGAACATTCAAAAAGTAGTTTGGACCAAGAAGAATAGATGAATATTGGATATTGAAAAGATCGTTCTGCAAGAATGACCATAGATGAAAGGATTTAAACTCTTCAACATTCAAATTCTTTTGCCAATAGCGATTCTGGAATTGTGATACCAAAACAATTGGCAAAAGAGATTCACTGACAATACTTAACAATTGTTTGTTGTTGATCAAAGATTTGATTTCTGATTGGTTATAATCGGAACCATTGATCATACTCAATATTAAAATACCAATCAATCTATTCAATGGACTATGAATAGATACTGTATCAACACCATTAAAAATATCGTTCGATGGTAATTCATAACTTTAAAACAAAACAAAAATATTAGAAAACTTGTTATTTCTCTTTCCAATGGTATAGTAACTTACTTATTGAACGTAAAATATTTCTTGTTAGAGAAATTCATGTGGTCAAGTATAAGTGATATATACTTTGTTGGATTTACTAATAATATTTTTTGCTAGTTAGAATATATCTAATATTTTAAAATTAATTTGGAAAAATAACTTACATTTTAATTGTTTAAGTTTCTCAAAGAATTTATTCAAAGCATCCAACATATCACTTTCAATCGAAATGGATGAACCCATAATTGGTAGTTCAAAAGGTAAGGCAACGTCTAATGCTCTTGTGATAGGAATAAATCCCTGAATATCACCAAGTAGACTGAGGAACTTGTTTATAATAAAATCATTGTTGTATGCATATTCCGTGACCTGTTGATGTCTAAAGTATCTGGTAAGATATTGGCTGTCAGTAAACTTGGACATGAACTCTTCAAATGATAAACGCTCACTACGATTGGACAGGTCATAGGTAAATCTATGTTCAAAACAAGATTGCTAATTTAGAAAAGTAGTAGACATATTATTAAAATTAGATCTTATTTCAATAAATGGCAATCTTTATATTTAAAGTACTTACAATTTGAGTCAAAATAGTGATAATAATGTTGCTCTTTGAATAACCTGTTGCGAATGGAACAACAATAGATGGTACCTCATACATTTGACAAGTCAAATATGATAGTCCAACGGATATGGCAGCAATATTGGGTTCCAATTTTGAATAGTACTTGAGAAACTCATCACACATAACAATCTTGAATAGAGGATTACCCATCAATGATAAGAACAGAACTTTAACTTGACTGAGGAACAATGGTCTCAATTTGATATATTGAAGCAGAATTAAAATTGGACTTTTGCTGGAAATGGGTGGCATCAACTTGGTATCAAGCTCAGTGTCACCAGTTGTTTGGAATGGAAGTGGTTGTGGTTTATGAAGATCAAAACAGGTGGCATCCAATGTCTGCAAGGTGAATTCCTCAGAGAGAATATGAGATAATGGATAGGATTGGGTCGATACCTCTTCAATCCATTGGATAATAACAGCGAGACGTTCTTTTTTATCCATCTTTTCAGACTCGGAAATAGTAATATCTTCTTGGGCTTGAATTTCACTCAATGTGAAATCAATTAGGAATCGAACGAACAAATGTAGTCTCTTTCTTACTTCCGGTTCCAAAAGTTTGGGTGGATAGGTTGGCTTGTCATGGAGGAAGTGATCAGAGCAGAAACCACTGGTTTTCCAGATGTCTGGGTTACCACAATCACAGCAACCGCCTTGCGATGAATTCTCAATGATGATTTCATGATCGGTATGTTCACCTTTCTTGAAACAATCAACACAGATACAACCGAGAGCATTCTCTTCACAGTTTAGGCAACGAACGTATACTCCACCATTATCCCACTATTTATATAAAATAATGATTATAATTAATATTTTCAAACAGAATAAATCAGATCGATCAATAAAATAACTAACCTCATACTTGCAATAAGGGAATTTGTAGAGTTCAGTTCCAACCAACTCGAGTAGCGACTCTTTGATATTGAGAAACTCTTGGATTAGTGAGCTAATGTCACTTTTGGAGGTGATCTTTTTGAGGGCTTCAGTGTAGGCACCAAAAGTGAATTCATCGGCACCATACTCTGGTACTCCTAATTTAGGTGTGGTTACAGCAGAGTTACCCAATAGTGCTCCGAGGAAGTATTGGTAGGAATTGATGAACTTCTGCTGGTGGTCATCAAATGAGAGGGCATCAGCCATAACATTAGGATCGAGTGAATCGGCTGCATCTTGAATCAATCTAGAAAGATTCGAAAACAAGTTCGTCATGTAATCACCACCAACTTCATCCTCCTCTCCCACCTGATACTCCTCATGACCTTCATCATTAGGTTCTAATCTATCCATTGATTTTTTATTTTATAATTATATATTTTACAACAAAACAATAAATTTAATAATAGTGATAATAAAGAATGTTTAATATTATGTTAAAAAATTAAATTAAAAATGAATTTTCCAATGAGGGAATCATGATGGTTCAAAATATCTTTAAAAAATTAAAAATTTAATTGTTTTTTTGATTTATCATTTTTCAAAAGATATTTTTATTTGCAATCAATTAGTTTAATTTTTGGTTTTTTTATTTAATATCTAATGGGTTACAAAATGGGTTATAGTTATGTTTTGATTAGGTGTTTGTTTTCAAAATCAAGATATAAATAGGAAAAAATAATGAAATTGATTATCTTATTTATTTAAATTTTTAGAGTTGAATTGGTAATTTACACATCATTAATGATATTTTTCATGGATATTACCTTTTAACCAAGAAATATACAGTTTCTTTAATGCAGCTTTGTTTAGAGTGAGATTATCCTTAACTTTTGAACTTGCTTCACCAAATTTGTTGAAATAGATATTGATCTTTCCTTTCATACCGCTGTTGGTATTTACTGAGAGCTGTGGTTCAACTACACTCATCAACAATGCTAGTCCGTGTTGACAATCAACGTTGTGATTGACCAACTCGTTGTCACAGCAATTCTCATAACATACAACTCTACTACAATGTAAACAAACACCTTTGGGGAACTTTGAGCAACTCCTGGCACACGGGACTGATACAAATTTAATTAAGAAATCCTATTTGTTTTTAATTGATTAAAACAATAATTATTAAATTAGTATAAATAAATTTTAATCATTACTCAAAATAAATATGAATGATTAATACTTACAATATAAAGCTCGGGGAATTTGATAAATACCGGTGTCACCAGTGGCAAACAAAAGGAAATGTAATGATTGGAGGTGAGTAACGAGTATTTCTTTTCTTGGTACAAAAAGTTTGGAAGTACCTCTCTCCAATTGGGAAGTTCAAATGATTTCAGCAGAAACTCTACGGATGAGAATGTTTCCAATGTGATTGGAACTTGTTGGTCATTGTTGAGTGGTGATTCGAAATTGGTTGTAACGCAATGTTTGAAAAGCAGTGACTTTCTCAAGAAGCTTGTCGTTACTCTGTCCAATGTGGATTCTACCATTGAAAATTGTTTATCCATTGATCCAGTGCCAAACACATGGGTATCCTGAGTGAACAAGAGGAAATACTCCAAAATATATTCATATGATTCTTCTCGCTTCTGTTTGTCTGGTTCTTCGATAATATATCTGTCAATTGCACTTCCGTATGCATAGAAAATCAAACGTTCATATGCTTTTCTAATAAGTATGTTTAAGTCTGAGGAATCGTCGTTGTTGTTGTTGTTGTTGAGGTAGTGACTGTAAGTTGCCAAAATGAATGGATCATACTCGGCATTGGAATCTGACCATGGATCGAAAGCTTCAGTATTCTCCAACTCTACAAATGTCATTATATTGAAATAGAAAAGTCTGAGTGCTTTCAATCTTTTCTGGAATTCAACCTCACTGAATACATAGTATGGCTTATCGGTATCGGTGTTTAGATAGCATAGTTGACGAGTAGTCATTTCTATGATTTCAATGAGTACCAGTGGATACTTCCATAGAAACTTCTGAACAACTTGATCTTCGATTTTCGGAACCTGATCGTACGTGATATCGAAATCAACGATCTGTTGAAGACCAATCTTTTGCACATATTCGTTGCGACTTTGGTTATCGGTGGGCAAAATAAAGCTTGAAACTCTATTGCAAAGTGGACATTTGAATAGTGTTCCTATTGAAGAGAAGCTTTCGAAACATGATTGATGGATGTAATGATCACAAATACGAATATTAATGGGGAAGTTCTGTTGGAATAGGTATAGCAGTTCGTGGTGATTTTGATCCTTCAACTCTTTAGCTAACATCACTCCACCTAGAGTAGAGAATTCTTTTTCGATATCAGGGCCGATTCTGTCATAGTGCTTGATGAATGTTTGTCTTTTGGAGGTAGAGGTAACGCCCATACCCTCAAAGTGTCCGATGGCACAAAGTGGATCGGAACTGGAATTACGTGAACTCTTACAGGAAACACATACAATATTGTCAGATTCCGTATCGTTATTGTTGGATTCTTCATTGTCCAATTGTTCATTGTTCTGAAGGAATTGGAGTTGTTGTTGCATCATCTTCTCTTTGATCATCATTTGTCTCTTGAGTGATTCCTCCTTCTTGATTCTCTCTTCTTTTTCTGTCTCAATGTTGACGACCTCATCGATAGACATCTTTCGGTTGGTGAAATATTGATTGACACTTGAATCGAATTCATTGACCGAAATCAACAAGTTGCAAATTAAATTCTTCTTGCCAGCAAACTTATTCTTTGAATCTATGGTTTCAAATAGATCAGTTACCAAATCAAAGATACTGATTGGTTTGATGGTATTTGAAGTGCTGTCGACAATAACTTGATATGGTTGAACAATATTCAAAATTGAAATTGGTTTCTCCATTTGTTGATTGTTGTTGCTGTTGTCATTCAATAGATAACTCTTGAAAGTTGATCTAATGTTTGAAACTTCATCGGAATGAAGAGTAGTCATTGTTGATTCTTTAAAGTTTCTCATTGCCATCGACAATAAATAGAGAATATGGTTGGCAGCTTGATCCAATTCATTTTGATTGTTGGTTGGTGATGGTATAAAGTATTCAGAATCCTTAAAGTTTGACAATGATTCGAATTTAACTTTCATCTGGTAGCTTGGATGGACGAATGACAACAATGTTGAGAATGCAATCTGGTAGATCAATGGTTCATCAAACAATTGGTTGACTGCCAATAGATTTGGATGAAGTGCATCTAATTTACATGGCAATGGGAAAGTTGAATTGTCACTCTTGATATGTTCATTGTAGGATTCCAGTGTTGATTCTGGAGTGATACGTAAATGATATGGGTAGTAATAATCATAACGATCCCAGTACTCAGATTTCAGTGTGAGTTTCTTTTCGGTCTCTGTTGTTGCCGTTGGTGTTGAAACTTCTTGGATTGCTTTCTCCAGCTCTTCATCGAGAAGTCTGAGAAAGAATTCCTTTCTGGTGGCAATAATCTTAGAATGAGTATTGATTTTGGCAATCAATGAATTAATGACATTGTAACGAACTTCTTCATAACTAGTCATCGAACTCTTTCTCAATTGCAGTACTCGAATAACTAATGTCAACATATCATTCAAACAATGTGGATATTCCTCTGTAATAAGATAATAGATAATAGTTATTATGTCAATATTAGAATTCTATGAGACTATAAATATGTTGATTACTACTTACTTGTTGATTTATAGTTTGAAGTGAAGGTACTGATGAGAACATTCAAAAAGTAATTTGGACCAAGAAGTATCGATGAATATTGGAGAGTGAAAAGATCGATTGGTTGGAACGACCACTTTTGGAAAGTAGCGACATCTGGTATGTTCAAATTCTTCTGCCAAAAACGATTCTCTGATTGGGACATCAAAACAATTGGTAGAATCGAAAGGTTGAAAATACTTATCAATTGTTGGTTGTTGATCAATGATTTGATTGCTGACTGGCTATAATCGGAAGCATTGATCATATTCATCCATAAAACACCAATCAATCTATTCAAAGGACTATGAATCGATACAGTATCAACACCATTAAAAATATCATTCGAAGGCAATAGGTAACTATTGTTATTTTATAAATGTAAGTAAAAAAAGATGTTTGTAGTCAATCTTATTTTTTATATTTATAACAAACTTACTTATTGAATGTAAAATATTGTTTGTTTGTAGAATTAATATAACCAAGTATTGATGTTATATACTTTAATGGGCTTACTATTATTATTATTATTATTATTATTAATAGTTGTTAATATAATGAATGTATTTAATATTTCGTTATATAGTTATACTTTACATTTTAGCTCGTTTAATTTTATAAAGAAAGAATTTAAAGTGTTAATTAATGATATCTCTATCAAACCAATCGATTGTAAGACAGGTAGTTCAAACTCTAATGCTTCTGTTAACTGTCTTCTGACGGGTGCAATCTCTTGAAGGTCACTTAGAACTTTGAGGTACTCATTGATGATTACATCATTATTGAAAGCATACTCTGTGACTTGTTGGTTCTTAAAGTATCGAACGAGCAAATGATAATCTAGAAGCTTTGTTAAATACTTATCATAAGCTTCTCTCTCCTCTGAATCATCTAAATTAAATGAATTTCTTTTTTCTAAATACTTTTTCTATAATAAAGATGATAATAAACATATTAATACGTATGTTCTATCTGATTATCATCAACAACAACAACAACAACAACAACAATGCAACAAACACTTACAACTAATGACAGAATCGAAAGAATGATATTGTGTTTTGAGTAACCGGTATTGAATGGAACGAAAATCGATGCAAGTTCAAACATTTGACAACTTATGTAGGAATTTTCGATATCTTGGTCTACATCTGCATCCAAATCTTTGTAGTATTCGAGAAACTCGTCGCACAGGACAACTTTGTATAGTGGATTACCAATGATTGCCATTAATAACAACTTTGCCTGATTAAAGTACTCTGGTATTAAATGTAGCGATTGAAGTATAATACCTATTGGAACCTTGGTTGTAAGTCCTGGAATCGTCAACTGACTATCGATCTCTTCGCCACCAGTATTCAAGAATGGAAGTGGTTGTGGTTTCTGAAGATCGAACGATCTTGGATCCAATGTCTGCTTGGTGAATTCCTCCGCCAGTATATGTGAGAGCGGATACGATTGAGTCGATACCTCTTGAATCCATTCGATAATAACAGCAAGTCTCTCTTTAATTTGCAGTGTTATTGCTTGGTCTTCGTCATCAACAACATCATCATCATCATCATCATCTTTTTTCGAAGCTTTACAAGCCATCTGCTGGATGTCATCCAAAATGAAACCAACGAGAAATCGAACGAACAGATGCAATCGCATTCTTAGTTGATTGTCTGTGAGTAGCTCCGATGGGTGAATCGGTTCCTCCGGGAGGAAGTGGTCGGTACAGAAACCGCTGGTTTTCCAAGAGTCGGGGTTACCGCAATCACAGCAACCGCCTTGCGAATGAGTTTCCACGGAGAATGCATGACCCTCTTTGATGTGATCGCCACGCTTGAAACACTCCAAGCAGATACAAGATGTCTGATTCTCTGCACACTCCAGACATCGAACAAACACACCGTCTTCGCCCCACTCGTTCGAACAGAATGGGAACTTGTATTGCTCGGTGCCAATCTTCTCGAGTAGCGGCTCATCTAGGTTCAGAAACACCTGGAGGTATTGATCGATTTCTGCAGTCATCGATACCTCTTTGAGTGCACGTCGGTAGGCATCGAAACTAAATTCTGGATGACCGTATTCTCTAAGAGTGCTCTTAACATCTGGTGGTGGTATGAACGATCCAAACAGTGAAGCAATCATTCCTTGTTTGTAGAGTGTCAACAAATCGTGATTTGGTTGATCGTCGTCAACATCATCTATTTCTTGATCTTGATCAATATCGCTATCATCTCCCTTTTCACTAACTTTATCTATATCTTCCATGAATACAATTTAACTAACTAAAAAAATAACAAAAATCTGAACATGGACAACTTTCAGATTAACTTAAAAAATTAAATAATTAATTAATTTTTAATTTTTTAATTTTTTAATTATTTGAAAGATCAGAAATTTTGAAAATAGAATTTTCTTGGAATGATGTCATGGTTTGTTTGACCAAAAAAAGTTTGTGATGTCGGTAAACTCATGTTGGTTTTAGATCTTATAATTGATTAACTCGCTTGTTTTAAAACCTCATATGAGTTTCCTGACTATTTCTATTGTTAGGTATGATTGTAAATATACTTTTATTTATTGATTGACTGCAGGTGTTGTAGAGGGTGGTTTTATAGAGATTGTTGGTTGATTGCTCACGTTGTTTGGAATTGTTGACGATGTTGTTGATGTTGGTGAAGGCGCCAATTTTTTAGTTGGTGAAGGTGGTTGTGGATTAGGTGTTATGTTTGTTGTATTTATAGTTGTTGTTTTCGTTGGAACTGGATGAATAGTTGGTTTTGGTGCAACTGCAGAGACTACACCATTTGTGTGTTGTTGATTATTTGAAGGTATATTACAATTAGTGGTTGTAGTTGATGGTTGTTTAACAGGTGGCGTTGTTGTTGTTGTCGTGGTATTATTGTTGAAAGTAGGCTTGGATGGAGTTGATGGAGTTGTTAATTTTCCATTTTGATGTCCATTTCCATTGTGATTATTTTGATTTAAATTTTGTTGTTGTTGCTGTTGTTGATTCTGTTGTAATTGTTGGTGGAATGTTTCAAGGTAGGGATATGGATCATCACTGAAAATGGCAGTGTCAAAGCAATCGTAGATGAATCTTCTTGCACCCAGTCTGAATCTGTAGCTATCCATTACAGTGAGAATGACACTGAGTAGTTCGCCCGACGCAAAGTACTCGGGATTCTTTTGTTTGAGACGTTTGAGATTCTTTGAGGCGGTCTCCGCTGTGATGTGGCTGGCAAGATTGATTACGTGTCCAATGATTTCCTGCTTCATCGGATCGACTGTCGCGTAGTTGGGAATGTCAAGGGTGCTTGTTGCCCACGAACCTCTGTACTCGTAGGGCACTACTTTCAAGAAGGTACTCTTCACCAGGTTCTTTGGCACAGAGATACGCGAAGTCAAGTCGATTGGCGACTCCCAACCGAGACGATCCAACAACTCTGCTGCCTGCTCGATGCACGACAACATTCCCAATGCATAGAAGCAGGTGCCCCTCAGTGAGAGACACGGTGATTTCTCAGCGAGATCGACAATCAGAGAGACAACGTTGTGTTCAATCAGGAACTGAAGTCCGGTGGTTGACGAACCGATCTGTCCAATGGCAAAGATCGCTGCACGTCTCTGAAGTGGATGTGCAGCATCGTCACGTGCAATACCGACGAATGTCAAGAAATGACCGGATTGCTTCAGAATCTTGCATCCCTCTTCGGTTTTGGCGAGTTCACCAAAGAAATGAGGCGGTAGGTATACGCAGTTGTTCGATTGGTCGGCAGCTTCTCGCTGGCGGTAGATGAGTGGTGTCAGTGCCTCTGAGATGGCATTCTCCACCGAGATGACATAGTTGGCATTCTCACTACCGAGCCACAGCTTTTGTTCTGGCTCGACAAAGTTGATCTCCTTCAAATAGTTGAGACCGTTGGTTCGCGAGAGGAAACGCAGCAACAAACTCTTACCGGGTTTGCCCAGCTTCAAAAGTGGTGGTTTCAAATTGATCAGTGTCTCAAAGCAGTCGGGATCATCGCAGGCCTCGTCGAGGACGTTGAGCGCGAGAATCGCAACCTTGTTATCGGCGTCGTTGAGTTGCTGCACCAAAAAGTCCACTCCCCAATGACAGAAATCCTGTACACCAGCACGGAATAGGAAACGCATATACTTGGTCGCCAAGTAACGCACTACACGCGAACTGCTGGAAGTGAGAATCTTTTGCAAGATGACACGCGACTCACCGCCCAGATTGTAGTCGAGCGAAGTGATAATCAAGTGAGAAAGATCGTCACGGCCCGGCAACTCTGCCAGTGGTTTCAAAAAGTCAAAGATGTGATAGCGCGAGATGATATCGAGACCGTTGCGATTCGAAGACAACGTTCCCAACATGGTGAAATACTCACGCGCCATTGTCTTCAACACTTTCTCCGGAGAGAGCAGTCTCGGTACTTTGTCGTGTGCTTTCGGTGGTGACGACGGAGTGGTTTGATTCATCTCCAACTCCAACCTCAGCATCTCTGTTATTTGAACGATGGTCTTGTTGTCTTTGAGATAGTCGTGTCCACATTCGTGCGAGATGAGCACCTCTAACATGACACATGCCACACGCACATACTTTAGATTCTCGGGATTCCATGACATCGATGTGAATTGCTTGTTGTTTGGACGCAGGAAAGAGAGCATTCGCTTGATGAACTTGGTCTTCAGTGCATTGGCCATGTGGTAGCTGTTCTTGAGTGGACCCTCAAGCACTTCGAGAATCAACTCCCAATTCCACTTGAGAAAGTCCTTTGTAAAGAGTACCTGAGTGTCTTTAATCTTTGATTGGAAGTGGGCGTCGTCCATCTGATAGTCCATTCTCACCTTGATGGCATCGACCTTGTCCAGACGTCTGTCCTGTCCACGGATTCTTCGCCACTTGTCGGCACCAGTCAAACCAATCAATACCGAGTGATCCACAGAATTATTCGATGCCTTAATATGCGAATAGGAATGTAAATTTGTCACCATAGTACTCGATCTCGATCTCAATCTTGGATCCAACCTAAAAGTAATAGCTGAATTTACAAGTGCTGGTAATGTCTATGTAGACAATCAATTAATTGTGATTAGTAAATTCTCTTAATTTTATATTAATATATTCTATATTAATATATATTGATGTATTATTGCTTACTTGTAGTTTTGCACATTGAGAAGATGGTAATAGTGAATTTGAAATATAGAGTAGTTCACCGAGGAGAACGGTTGCTTTGGTGGCGAGATTGCGGTATTGTTCTTTCTCTTGATCGGAGCCATCTTTGGTGGCGAGATTACCAAGATGAGCAAGACCCTCGATCAATCCACAATCGATGAATGCAATCAGTAGTACTGCGATGTAGTTGTTCAACAGGTTGTGTCGAGAGGTCTTCATTCTCGATGGCAAATCAAATAGTGTATCCGGTCCAAATATAAGATTCTGTGATGCCTTTTGTTGTCTAAACGGATCACCACTCTTTGGCTGTCCAAATCTAAATATTTCAAATAATGCATCCAATATCTTATCCTAATAATAATTAAAATAATAAAAAGTAATATTAATTGATTTTAATATTCCAAATTAATAAAACAAAAGTATACATCTGTTGATGTCACAATAATAATAATAATAATAATTTACATTCAATTCGATTTGAGGCATCTTTAATGCTTCGACTATTGATTTCAAACCTTGTTCATCCGATGACAAACTGATGATACCGATCCAACTCTTCAATAGTGTAACCACTGCTTTGATGCTGCCATTCCACTTTTTCATATTCAACTCGTCGTCTCTTTCCTTTTCCTTTTCCTTCTCTTTACTCATTCCCTTGATTTTCACACCCAAAGTCAATGAATTTGTTAATGGTGATAATATAATCTGATATCAGAAGAATAGTTGTTGTTTTGATGCACCAAAAGTTAGTTATGTATTAAATACGAATATCAATATGAATATTGATAATTAAAAGTAGTTAACTAATTACCTCGAGATCAGATGTTGGTCTAACATATACACGTGTTTTCTCTTCGTTGAGAATGTAGAGGATGGCGATGAGCAACGATTCTTGGGTGCCTTGATAGAAGGGATCGAGTACAGCGTCAAAGAGCATACGAATACCATTCGATTGTGCAGTGGTCTGTGGATTGCGAATGGCAACCTCACAGAGTGTCTCCAAGCAGACACGACAAAAGTTATCCTCTTGATTCTCAGCGATTGCAACCAGTGACTTGACGATACACGGTGGCATCACAGAGCAATCGATCTCCATAATCGTACGAATCAACTTCAACGCCTGAATTCTCTCTGCTTCGCTATGCTTGTCTCGCTCCAACGATCTCGTAATGAAATAATGTATCTTCAACTGAATGATCTCCTGGATGAATCGTGGTGTCGTCGCATAATATCTAATGACACGCAATGCCGATGTTCTCATTGTCTTTGGTGGTGTTGCTAAAAATATTCTTACACTATTGTGTTGTTGTTGTTGTTGTTGTTGTTAAACCAACCAAAAAAATAACCAAAACACATAAACAACAAATACCACACACACACACATACATACATATGTAATTTGAATGTTTTTAAAATATATATTGTTAAAACTTTAGTTGTTGTTTTGCATTGTTTTGCAGATTGTATTGTTTACTTACGTTTTTAGGAATTGTGAAATTGGAATCAATTTTGATATGTCGGTAACAGATTTCTTTAGATCTACAAGCCTGTTGAGATGATCCAACTTGACCTTGAAATTCAATGCTCTATCATCTAGACATGCTAAACTTGCAAGAATCTGTTTCTTAATATCTGATTCTGGATCCATCTTTTATCTTGTTGATTAAATTGAATGTGATCAACGATTCTAAACTACAATAATACTCCTACTAATTATTTTATACTAATAATACATATAATATCATAAAAAAAAAAAAAATACAACAAGAATCAAGAAAAAAAGCACAAATCTTATCTTTCTACAATCCTATCTATTTATATATCTACAATAATAATTTTAACTTTATATCTAATATCTCTTTTACTCTATATAAATAATATTTGCACGCAAAAATATACTAAAAAAAAAAACTATATCTATTATCTGATTGTTAAACCTCCATGTAATGAATGAAATAACTATGTCTGTCTTGAATCTAATAATAATATATCTTTGTTGTTTTGATTATCAATATTATTATGATTGTTCTTGTTTTTACTATCTGATTGATTTAAGTTATCCCTATTAATAATAAACAAAAAAAAACCAATCATTAAAAATAAAAAACACCAAAAAAAAAAATTAAAAATAAATAAACTTTTTTTTTTTAAATCAAAACACCATTTTTAACACATCCAACAAAGAATGGGTTTTTTTTTTATTGATCATGAAGTCAAAGGTTGTTTTTTTTTTTTTGATCATTTAATATATTTTTAAAACAAATAATAATTTATTAACCATTAGTTTGTTTGTCAATGCCAGAAAAATGATGTGATCATCAGATCAATCAAGATCATCAAAAAAATAAAATAAAAATAAAAAAAATATTGAACTAATCTAAAAAAAAAAAAATCAAAAAAAAAAACACTACAAATGAGATGATAATGATCAGATAGAATAATGTAATTCAGATAAATTATAAAGATGATAAAAAAATATTTATATTGTTGGGGTGTTTCATATAGTGGACAACTTGGTTTGGGTAGTGCTATCACTTCACAATATCAGCCAAAGAAACTAAAAGATCTCACTATAAATGCAGATTATAGACATTACCCAAAGCAGATAAAAACTGGTTCATATCATACACTATTAACATGTATGTATGTGTATTATTATTATTTTTGATAGTTTTATTAGATTGATTGATTGATTAATTAAATTGTTAGATAATTCTCAATTATATGTTTGGGGTGATCATAAACAAGGTCAACTTGGTTTAGGTGGTGGTAGTTCTAACAGTTTGGTTGGTCGTTACGATGATCATCATCACAGTCAATTTACACCTGTTCTACATCCGTTCTTTGATCGATCAAAATTTGAAATCAAATCGATCGGCTGTGGAGGATATCATAGTATTGTTTGTGTGTTCAATCTGAAAAAGGATACCTATGAAACCTATGCATTCGGTAGAAACAATGAAGGACAACTCGGTATCGGAAGTGCTCAGTTCACATCCATATTGGAACCAACACTGATACCCGATCTTACTGGCGTACAAATCAAACATATTTCATGTGGACCAAATTACACTGTTTTAGTTACAAATGAGTAAGCTATAATAATAACAATCTTCAATATTCATTATAATAACTTTTTTTTTTTTCTTCATAAATAGTAATATAGTATATTCTTTTGGTATGAATGACTTTGGTCAGTGTGGACAGAAAGTAGATAGTGCAACGGGTGGTAGAGTCACCAAACCGACAGTCATTAAAGAACTGAGCGGAATCAATGGAGTTGATAAGGTTACTAGTGGATGGGGACACACTTTGATGGTTACAAACAATGGAGATTCTCTTATTACATGGGGTTCAAACTTCCACGGTCAATGTGGTGTTGGTACAAAGGGAAAAGATCCGATTACAGTTCAACAAGTAAAGTTGATTAATGGTAATAGTAATAACAATAGTAAGATCATCGATATCTCTTGTGGATCTGCTGCTTCAATAGCTGTGGTTAATGATAATGGTGGTAGTAATACTTTGATTTGGGGATCGTGTGGTGATGGTAAACTGGGCGGCAATCAAACCGAAGACTTGAAATCACCTACACCAATGGATAATCTACCGAACACCATTAATAAAGTTGCATTTGGTACCGATCATTGTTTGGCATCCACCACTGACAATCGATTGTTTGGTTGGGGATTTGGTCAGCACGGTGCACTTGGTGTGGGATCGACACGTGATCAACTTAAAGTATACAAAACACCAATTGAAATCAAGTCAGAGTTGAACAACTATGCTATTGATGATATTGAATCATCTATCGATACTTCTTTTGCCATTGTGTCTGATATTTCAATATAATCGCAAAACAATATAATAAATTATTTTTCTTCAACACTTTAGAATTTTAAATTTTTTTAAGATAAACACCATATTGAATAAAAATATCATATAAAACAATTAATTCAATATAAATAGTTGATAAAAACAAATATATCAAAAAGGAAAATAAAAATAAAAATAAAAATAAAAACAGGTAAATGAAATGAAAAGATAATATTTTTTTAAATAAACAAAGAAAATGGATTTTATTAAATGTCCAACTATGTCAAGTTGGCGGTGCATTCCAATTTATCTTTTTTTTTATGTTAAAAAAAAATTAGTTGTTTTATAAATATATATATTTTAAAAAGAGGCTTTGCATCCACTTATTTAACTGCTCTGAGAGGTATTCAACAAATGCATGAATGACATTGGAACATTTTTGTTGGTATCTGGAACGACTGGTGATCTATCGAAATTCGAGGATAAAAGAAGTGGTGAAAGCTTGATTGGTTGTTGTTGATTACTATTGCAAGAGGTTGGTGATGATGAAAAGTCGAAATCGGTGGTGGTGGCGGCTTGTTTTAAAAGATTGGTGTTGATGTGAAGCTTTGGAAGTTGGTTGTTTGTGATTTGTTGTGAGAATAGGTTGGACGGTGAGAGTGACTCCAAACGGCGTGACATTGAGTCTTCCTTGGAACGAAGATCCTTCTCCATTTGGTCGAGCTTGACACGTAGTGATTCGAGCTCGTCGTGCTTTCTCTTGAGACGCTTGACTTCGTGTTGCTGTTGGATCTTTTGGTAGTCGATCAACTGTTGTTGACGTTCGAGACGGTCGAGCTCCTCCTTCTGTGACTTGAGCTTGCCAAACAACTCTTGTTCCTTTTGGACAAACAACTCTTTTTGGGCTTCTTGTTCGAGGACCATCAAGAGTGACGAGTCGACGAGTGTCGATGGCTGGGCGACGGCAGATCCCGAGGAGACGGCGGCACCGTTGCAATGAGTTGGCGATGGCATCATCAATGACACTGGACGTGGAGTGATGGTTGGAGATTGCGATGGACTTGGAACAAAGGCGGCAATTGGTGAACTGTTGGCACTGTCGTCAGAGAACAACAACTCTGGTGACGATGGTGACTTGCGCTTCATTTGACCGTTGTTGCTGACTAAATCGTGATGATCCAACTTGGAAGTTAGATTCAAAAGATTGATCTTGGTCATGTTGCTATTCTTGAAGGTTGGTACTTCAGAGGCACCATTGCTAACTGGCGACAATGGACGTGAACTGGCTGGCGATGATGAGATTGGTGAGACACTCTCGAACGATGGTTGCTCCAAGTTCACGATTGGTTTGGTAGTGTCCAACATGACGATGCGTTTCTTCATGTTATTCATATTCTTGGAAATGTTATTTTGCTGTTGTGATTGTTGTTGTTGTTGTTGTTGGTAGAAAGCAAAAGATGGTTGTTGTTGAACTTGTTGTACTTGTTGTTGGACTTGTTGTGGTTGTTGTTGATTATTAATCATGTAAACTTTATTTTGGAAGTAGGCCTTGCACTCTGAGCAACCGACAGTGAATTTATCTTGGAATGGTGCGTGTGGTTCGGGTGGATGAGTGACACGACCTTCACAGTTCTCTGGACAGGCTTGATGTCTCTTGTGATGGAATCCACAGGAGACTCTTCTTCTATTTGAACGCTTATCTTTATTGTAGACTGGTGGAGTCTGAAGTGACAAGGTAGCGGCGGAGACAATTGCTTGCATTGGTATATTGACGGAGTTGGACATTATTTAGATTGGATATTGAGAGAAAAAAAAAAGAGAAGATGTTTAAAAGTAATTCGATTTAGCGCGAGGGAAAAAGATAAACGATTGATGAGTGTGTGTATATATATAGGGAAAAATTCTATAGATAATAAAAAAAGAGAATAAACGAAAGAAATAATCGATGTATATAAATATATATATGTGTTTTATATAGGGAAAAAATAAAATTGAATCGGATTTCCAAAAGATTAAACAATTGGAAATTTATATACAATTAAAATATAGGAAAAAACAAGTGGTGTAGATATATGTATATGAATGCCTCGCGTGAAATATAAAGGGAAAAAATTAAAACAATAAGAGGGAAAAAAATTGACGTCGATAGGGGAAAAATTAGGTCACTTATAATCTAATAATCAAAGCTTGTAAGGGGCTCGTTTCTAGATGTAAAGTAGACCTAAGACTGCGGAGAAATTAAATTATTTATGATTGTGATGTGGCGCCAAAGTTATTCGTTTATATTTTTGATTTTAATTTTTTGAGTTTAGTTTTTATTATTCCAATGAAATTATTTATTATTATTATTTATTTATTTATTTATGCGCATAAAATAAAATAAAAAAATGATTGGCTATTATAATTGGTTTCTATTATAATAAAAAAAATTGATTGTTGATGATTAAGAAAAAAATATTTTTTAAGATTTGATTGATTTATAAGATTGATAGGATATTGATATGATTGGGTGATTTTTTTTGTTGTTGTTGCAAAAAAAAAAAATTAAAATATATTTTAGAAACTTGAAATGGATTTGTTGGGATGGAAAACTTTATTTTTTTAATGTGCGAAAGAAAAACAGAAAAAAAAAATAGTGTCAATATTATTATTAATAATTAAGATTGTTTGTTGTAGGTGTCGTCTTGTATCTTTGTGTTTAGTTTAGGATAATTTATAATTGTAGATGGAGATAAGTGAGATGTGTGTTTTGATAAGGAGTTTTGTTTCGTGTGGTTGGGTGCCAATCACCAGTTGCTGCAAAAAAAAAAAACATACACCAAAAAAAATTAAAATAAAATAAATAAAAATTCAGAAAAAGAAAAAAGTAAAAAATCGAATTTAATTCAAAATAAAATACTATTTCATTACTGGCAAACAGGGGATACCCAACACGAGGCAAGTAGTATCATGCTGTAGGACAGGAAAGGTTTGATGCTTGGTTGTGATTACGAAAATTCCAAGCAACACTAAGGTGATGGATCACCGAACCAATAACCTATAACCAATTTGATGATGTTTTTTCCTGATGTTTCATAAGCAGAGGTCCCCCCGTTTCCTCAATCCTGAGTAAAAGAAATTTAAAAAGAAAACAACTAATCCTAAATTCACAACCATCTTACGACACCACACCCACCAACACCATCAAAAAAAACACCACCAGAAACATCTCCAATGATATCAGGAACCAACAATAGCATCATGATTTTTGTTTGTTTTTGTTGTGTAGCGATGACCTAAATATGTGCCATTTTTCAAAAAAAGAAAAATCAAAAAAACAAAAAACAAAAAACCCTATTTGTTGTGACTGCACGATTTTTTTATTTTTCGGATTAGATACTGGGGCACACACACCTTAATTTTAATGAAAAAAATCTAAAAAATCCAATTACAAAGGTGCTTTTTTTTTGGTTTTTGCAGTTTCATTAAAATTTTATTTTTTTTGATTTTTTTTTTTCACTCTTTTGGGTGGTCAAGAAAACAAAGATCTAGATTTCTCAATGAGTTGGATTATTTGAATGATTTTTCTTCGCCTGGAGAAACTCCAATTAACGATCGTTGGCAGTAAACAAACACCAACCCCCTCAAAGGAAAGGTCTTTGCTGTTTCGGTCAAGTGATGAATGCATGCTGGTAATGCAATGTTCCAACCAGTCGAAAAATCATAGAGGTTTCTGTGACACATAGATATTTTGGCACTTTTTCCAACCTTGAAAAGATTTTTTACTCTAATTCCACCGAAATTGAATCATTGACCAGTTTTGACCAATTTTTAGGGTACCAGAGACACAACAAACCTGATGTCACACCAGCAAAAATCTTTACTTTTATTTTCTGTGACATGTATTATTAGAGCTCTACAAAAAAGGTTAGAAACGAAACATTCTCTACACTTCGTTTTCTATACTCCCAATACGGAGAGGGTGGTTCTTTGTTTTTCACTCCAGGGTCTTATATAATCAATACTTATTAGGTGCTTTTAAAATTATTTTTGTTTTGTTTTTTTTATTTTTTTACAATTTGTAATTCATCTTTGCAGAGATTATCGGTACCAAAAATTGTTGTTGAGTTTTCTTCCAACTCGGCGTGACGACGTGGACCCAGTTCATAAATAAAAAACAGTATGGTAATCTATGGCAGTCAGAATCACCATGGTACGCGTCAACATGCCCAAAAACTATCGCCTGTGTTTGGCTCCTACGAACTCCTTCACCCTAGGAGTTCCTGGTCTTAACTCTACCTTTTCATCTTAAGAGAGTTTTATCGTCTGAAACAAAAAAACATCAGATTTTTTATTCTAAAATCATTTGTTTTTGCAATAAACAACAAATTTATGAATCATCACTATGATAGTGAAAGAAGACCCATGAAATTCAAGAAAAAAAAATCTTATTTTTTTTTTTTTTTGTTCCAATCTTCATCACCTTATTTTTTAATAATATTAAATTAAATGATTAATAAAATATATTTACAAATTAATTTATTATTTTTAAAAAAGATATTTTGGTTTTTTTTTTTTTGGCTTATGATTTAACTATTAGATTGATCTATTGTTTCAAGATTTGAACTAATCGATTTTAACACCTTTAACCAATTACAATAGTTTATTATACTGCTCCAACTCCATCTCCACTGTTTTACTAATAGTAAAAAATCTACCTTTCACAATCAAATTAATTTTTTAGATTTGGTCAAAACAGGGCGACCTATTTAGTTGAATTTTGGTTTAGGTGCATGTGTGAACCATTTTTAATAATTGAATTGATATCTTTTATCTTAATAGATTCAATTAAGATAATCTTTAATTGATCCAAAAAAAAAAAGAACCATGGCCATTCCACATTTGTTTAAGAAAATATCCAAATCCATCTAGAAAAAAAGTTAAATATCTTGAGGAGATAAAATCGGGCGAAGGTTGAAAATAATGATAGTGGAGTGTCTTTTTCAACCTTTATCAAAAGATTACAAATATTTTCCAATCTTGGTATAATTCCAAATCCCTATTTAACTCCTATTTAGCCCATTAGCAAAAAAAAAAAGAATATAAAGATATTTTTATTTTGATCCTATGAAAAAAAAAAAAACAAAAACAAATAATTAATCTTTTTCCATTGTAAAAATAAAGATATTATAATCTTTTTTTTTTTTTTTTTTTTGGATTAGTTGTTAATTAATTATCTTTGTCAAATTAATAATATTAAAGTGTAGTGTTTGTGAGTTGTTGTTTTTTTTTTTTTCATTTTTATTTTTGTAAACAATTAATTAATTGTTTCTCCTTACGACATCCTTCGTTATAATTTAAAGATATATCTTTAGAGTTTTATTTTTATTACTATAAACACTAATATTTCTAAAATAGTAATTTTCTATGTTTTAAAAAGTTTCGTAATCATTCATTTATCATTTATTTATAGTTGTGTTTTGATAGATGGAGTAGCTATATCTAAAGAACTTAAATACATTTAAATTTAAGCATCATTTGATAATTCTTTTTACAAGAATGATGACATCTTTAATTTGTTGGTAAATTTTATCATTATTTTAAGAATAAAAATTTAAAACCCTCTAGAATGATATGGTTAAGGGTATAAAGATATCTGATAACATTTCAAAAAAATCATATTATTATGCACCATCCTATCGTGTTATTACTGACAATTAGTATTGATACTGAGTTGAATGTGCTATCAAAATCAAGTTTCTGACTTGTGGAGGTTAGCAAAACAATATGGAGGAACAATAGCTATTTAAACAATTCATTTCTGGTAGTTTATTTCCATCATTCAAAGTATAAAAGATTAATAGTTATATATATTAAACAATTTGAAAAGCTTTTAAAAAATGAAGTTAACATTTGCCATTCTTGCAACTTGTCTAATTGTTGCTCTTGCCAACGCAGGTGACGTCGTAGTCGAAGAACAACTCAGCCAGGATTTGCTGTACCGTCAGGGTCAACAATACCAAGGACAATATAATCCATATAATCAATATGGTCAGCAATACAACCAAGGACAGTACAACCAAGGACAGTACAATCAATACAACCAATACGGTCAGAGATACAACCAAGGACAGTTGTACAACGGAAACTACCAACAAGGACAACAATATCAAGGACAGTATCAAGGACAACAATATCAGAATCAATATCACGGACAACAATACCAATGCCAAACTCAATGCAATAACCAACAGTTCTGTTATCACAACGGTCAACAACCACAATGTTTAGCTCAAGGTGACTGCAAAGTATCGCTCTCCCAAGAGGTGACCAGCACTTTCAATGAGAATGGACAGACCTTCTATGTAGTTCAAGTCGATATCCACAACAACTATGGTGGACGTGTTGTCTCATTGAACATGCGTGCCAACAATCTCCAACTCAGAAACTACAACGCAGTCTACAACATTCAACAAGCAGGTAATGATTTATGGCTTGGTAACGGACAAACCATTGATAGAGGACAAACACTCTCATTCAGTGTCATCGTATTGAATCCAAACATTGAAATCTACGTTACACACGTCGTTCAACAGTAAATCTTGAACTGCAGCATCTGCACCTCCAAACCACTCTAACTCAAAAGAAAAATAAAGAACTTTAAAGAAAGAACTTTAAAGAATTTTTATCATTTATAAATACAACTATATATTGTTAGCCTTATTTTATTTCCAATCAATCTACCAACAACGGTAAGATTTCATTAGTTATTCTTTGTCTGATGTATTGAAATATTCTATAGTTGAGTAATGTCTCTTGTTGTTCGACTGTGACTGTATTTATGAGAGTATTGTATAGGGATCTAGGGAATGCCGAGTGGTTTTTCTTGATCAGACAGTCCAGTAAGTAGTTGGCTGTTTCGAAATTACCACCATATATCGAGCCAAAAAGACTTGCGTTGATGTTGTCTCCAGCACGACCGAAAATATTCTTATCAAAGTGATTGTATTTTACTTCCTCCAATAGAAATACAAGTAGATCGATTTTGTTGGTGGTTATCAATGAGTGGATCGTATTTAAATCAATACTGATTTTACAACTGGTTGACTCTAGATACCACTTTGAGAAAAATAGCTTCAACTGTGACAGATTCTTTATCGCTGATATTCTTTGTGTTTTCTGAAATTGCGAGGATTGTACGTAATCGTCATCATCGTCGCTGCCATATAGCTTCTTAGAAAAAGTGTTGCGACTATTTTGAATCTCCATTAGACTAGCAAGATGATGGCTCATTTGAATCTTGTCGGTGTTCAACATTGACGTGTCTACCTGTGTATTGATACCAGTTCGATGGATGTATTCTACAGCTTTGAGATGACCCTGTTTAATCGCTTCTACAAGTGACTTTTGGTCACCTTTGATATTGTGTTCACTGGTGAGATACTGGAGTATATGAAGTTGTCCACGTGCAGCAGCAGTATAGTAACATTTTTTCAATTCATCCGAGTGTATTCCTTTTGAGCAGTGTTCCACGATATCAAGACATCCAAAACCAGCTGCCGTATCCAAGTATGAAGATGAATATTTTGATACATCACTATCGGATGAATAGAAAGTGAATAAGTATCGCAGCATCTCCTCTGATGTCCTGGCAGCCTCATACACCTGGCTTGGAGCCAGTCTCAATGGATGATTTGGAAAATGATGTAGCCGCTCGAGTATCTCTATTAAGTCGGCGGGTGGTGTCGGATTTAATCGTCTCATTTTCAATCCAAATGCAATTCCTTGTCCAACAGCTCCAGTATTGTTAATCACATATCTAATGTACAGTTCTAGCGTCATTTCAAGATGTACATATCCGACAGCATTCTGAAATAGTTTAACAATGCTGGCATACGTTAGGCAATTACCAAATTGGGTCATCGCCAAATCAAACAACTTAATGTCACCAAGAATAACGGCAATGTTTATCGACTCGATATCGAATGTGTACTTTCCCAACTTTAGATATTGAAACAATTCCATATGTTTGTCCGGAGATATCTGATCGGATACTAGTAGATTATTATGAAGTTGTGTCGTTACAATTCCTATGTAGCTCTTGTAGACCGGTAGTTTGGAAAGGTAGTCAAAACAATTGACATTACAATATCTGATTGCAGTCGACAACGATGACTCGGTTCTTCCAATACAGTCTATATCTTTCTTGGTAAACGGTACTTGACTGACAGAAGTCAACTTCTTTTCATTCTCCATTAGGAACTTGAGCAGCTTCAAATTGCCAAATCGACAGGCATGCACCAGAGACTTGTAGGTACATTGTGCATCGACGGACTTGTTTCTTACCAATGTGAATATCATGTCGTGTAGTTCACTATTGGCTGCAAGTAGATCGATTGATTCGTTCGACAATCCTTCAGGTCTCTTGTCAAGGATAAAATCTATGAGTTGACGGTTTCCACTCTTAATACCAGCATCGAGCACCTTTTTGCTAAAAGTTGCCCAACCATCGTTTTCATGAAAGTATTTGATCAAATGAAGATGACCATTGGCAGCTGCATTAACAGTTGCTTCGCCAGTCGGTAAGATATCGGCACGACTCTTCCTCAGCCACTCGATGACATCTAGACGACCGGCCTGCGCAGCACTAGAATAACATCGCCATGTAATCGATCTTGGCAACAGACTATTGATTCTCTCAAGTAGTGAGATCGGTGCACTCGATGCAACTGCTTTGTCAATGACATCGGTTGTGAAGAAACAGTATTGCAATGAGCCAACACTCCTGTTGGCAAGCAACAACTCTATGATATCGAATCGTTGTTTTTCGAATAGTATTGACAGTGATTCAACTGGCCAATACAACAGCCGATAGCATAGATCATCAGTACTGACGCCATCCAACAATATCTTATTCCTCAAGATTTCGAAACTCCCTGTTTGCACCAGCCATAATGCATCGTCAATCTCATTATTTCTGTACTTGCAAGCATATAAATGGTGACCTTCATGAATGAAGTGTACCACTCTTTGAAATATATACTTGTTATTTATAATATTTTTAAATCTCATTTGAATTATCGCTCTAACAATAACTATTCCCAAAATAAATTTGCAAACCACCACCCTCATAATAAAAAATTATTCTTATTCGAATCACACCTCACACAACAAAAAATATTTAATAACCGACTTTAAAGTGTGTGTAATGTTATTATCCTCATGAAATATTTTTATAAATATCTGTTAACACGGATTACTTCGAAATAAACACAATGTTTATTGATAGATGGCTGTGAGTAGATAATAATAGATAATCAATCACAACAAGAGTATTTTCATTCATGTACATATATATAAATAAAAAACAATTTAGCTACTTTATATAATAAATTCATTCTATTGGCGAATGATATCAAAAATTATTATTACTGTTTATAGTAACAAAACTAGAAATCGAGAACAACTTGGTTGAATTATATAAATAATAATACTCAAAAAAGTGAATACTAACATAATTTGTTATTTATGAAATTGGATCTTTACTTTAAAGTAGAGATTGATCATATAATTTGAATAACATGACACTAATTCGTAGGTAAAAGATTAATTTTATTATTTTAAAAAAGAGTTTATACTTAAAATATATTTGTATTCTTAGAATCTATTACTAATCTTGGAAGAGTTTCATCGTCATCTTCAATCAAACAATCCATTAACAGTAGCGAAACTGGAGAAAACATTCAACAAAATGAAAACAAACCTACAATTGTACCTTTGATATTGTTGTTTCTCTTTCGTCCAGATCTCTTTGATTGGATTGACTAGTTGGAAGTTAGACTTCTTTAACATCATGTTTCAATAAAATAAATAAATATAAAAATAAAAAAAAGATAGGTAAATTCAACCATTGTTAGTTGTCTTTGCAAAAAAAAAAAAAAAACAAATGCGTGACGGTGGCAACTAGAAAAAAAAAAAAAAAAAAATAAGGGGGTAACTGAATGAAAGGTCAAATTTGAGATTTATTTGTTTGTTTGTTGTTGCAGTCAGTAATTGGTCTAAAATATATAATATTATAATTATAGAAGTACACACAAATAATAATTTCATTAAAGAAATAAAATACATATTTATTTATTTTCTTTGGAAATTTGATTAATTAATGATTTCTTAAGAAATCAACCAATTTTTTTTTATACATATATTAATACAGATACAGTAACAACAATATTGTTGTTAATTAATAATAATCATAGAAATCAATGACAGTCGTTCAATCATCGAAAGTTCTGAATAACAATCAGAATAAAACAGGTAAACAAAACGAGCAACACTACACAACCAACAACAGTGATAATGAAAAACTAAATAATAAAAATATCGACAATGGGATCAGCAATCTGCTTGTTCACGAGCATAAAAAGACAAGTAAATTTCAAATGGAGATCATGTTTTTGATATGTGTTGCCGGTATATATGTATTCTATCTTTTATATGGTGTCTATCAAGAGAAACTGTATGTATATCAAATCAATATCCTACATCAAGCATTTAGCAAAGTTTATTAACATTGGTATTTCATAAAATAGTAATATAATACAATATAATGGTGAAAAGATTGGACAGTTTACAGCATTTTTGTTGGGTCTTCAATGTTTGGTCAACTACTTGTCGGCTTTGGTCGTAAAGGTAGCCACCAAAGAGAAGAAAGACAATACACCAATCTCTGAATATAGAAATACAGCGTTGCTCATTGTTATTTCCACATTTCTCTCGAATACCTCGATTCGTTACATAAGCTATCCCACTCAGGTGTTGGCAAAGTCATGTAAGCCAATTCCAGTGTTGGTGATGGGAGTTCTCTGTTTCAAACGTCGTTACTCTGCAATGAAATATTTCATTGTGCTCGTTATCTCGATGGGTGTCGCCATGTTTATGTGGCCATCAGGAAAGAAGCATTCCACAACTTCAGTGGAGTTTGATTCCAATGTCATCTTTGGAAACCTGCTATTGTTGGGATCACTCCTCTTGGATGGTGTAATCGGTCCATCACAAGATCAATACGTAAGAGTCTACAATCCATCATCGAACAGTATGATGCTTTACACCAATCTTTGGAATACTTTCTTTATGTTTGCAAGTAAGTATTATTTGATAATATTTGAATCATTCACCAACAACAACAACAACATTGGTTGGCTAATAATAACATTTTATATTAATATTAAATTCATTTATTATTCTTAGTTTCTGCAATCAAAGGAGAGATTGTACCAGCAATTCAATATATCATTAAATATCCAGAAATCATTGGACCAATCTTTATTTTCTGTATCACAAGTGCACTCGGACAACACTTTATCTTTTTGACGACAAAGAACTTCAGCGCTCTCACATGCACAACTGTAACAACAACTAGAAAGTTTTTCTCAATTCTTATTTCAATCTTTTGGTTTGGACACTCACTATCGGCCCTTCAGTGGTCGTCCATAGCATTGGTTTTCTTAGGTTTATCATTGGACGTAGTTCAATCATACTTTATGAAACCATCGAAATCAAAAGTACAATAGGATAATTAAGAATAACGATTATAAAAATAAACAAAAAAGATCAATTACAAAATAGATAAGATAAAGATTTTTAAGAAGACCAAAGCTTAGGATCACGTCTAAGTAATCCCTATTATATGGTCTGACTTTTAGGTAATAGAACAGGAAATTGAAAATTAGAATGATCTTGGTTGATAACAAAGATAATTCAAAGTTGATAAACGTATGTAATTTAGGACTTTCTTGGTAAAATTAACCAGTTTTTATTGAGGATTAAAAAAAAATTATTATGAGTGATTAATATACTATTATTGATATTAATAAGATAAGATATTGATTCTTTTTTTAGAATCTTGACTCCAACTTTACACCGAAATCATTTGGATGAGTAGTTAATCCAAAGACTTTAAATAAATAAAATAAATTTGAATTCATTAGTATAAAATAATATTAGTTAATCTTTCAACAACATACCCTCAGTATCATCGATTAGATTACCGGATTCAGATGTGATCTTGTAGTTGAACAAGATATTGGCAACAGCGATATAGATTTCGTCCAAAGCCAAACTTTTGAATAACAAGAATAGGTTAATAAAATGAATATCTTTAAATATTTATTAAATTAAATACTTACTTTAATCCAACACAATTTCTTGGTCCAATACTGAAAGGAATCCAATATTCTGCATGATTGTTTGACAAGAATCTCTCTGGTATAAATCTATCTGGTTCAGTCCAGTATTGCTCGTCATGATGCACAGCAAAGATATTCATGATTAATTGGTCCTAATTTCATTAAAAATTATTAATAACATTAACATTGAAAAACAAACTTCTTTATCTGAACCAGCATAAAATTACTTACACCTTTGTAGAATTCAAAGCCACCGATTTGACAATCCTCATTGCATGATCTTGGGATGCTCAATGGTCCGATAGGACGAATTCTCAAAATCTCTTTGATAATGGCGTAGGTATAGGGAGTACTAATTCTATGAGACAAAAGAACTTCTTTATCTGAACCAACGATATCTTTGATTTCGTTATATGCCTTCTCCTGGATGTGTGGGTTGTTACACATGTACAAAAAGAACCAAAACAAAGTAGTTGCACTTGTGTCTGTTCCGGCAGAGATCATGTCGCTACTAATACCTAAGATATTCTTTTCTTTGGCGGATGGATATTCGGATGTGATGATTTGATCAAACAAATCTCTGGGACTTGTAGAGAGAAAATTAATAAATAAAATATTAATAAAAATAATTAAATTATAATATAGTATAAAATTACAACATACTTGTTAGGATCAACATTCTTGAGATGTTCTTCGTATAATTGACTGAGATATCCTTTAATCAAATGGTAATCTTTTTGAACCATGAGTTTAATGAGAAACATTGAAACGGGTCCCAAAATCTTTATGAAATCTAGTGGATTTCCAGTTCCACTAAGTTCGAAGATACGGTCCATTGGTTTAATCAACTGTTCCAAGACTCTTCCACTAACACCTTCGTCATAAGAAACCTCCTCACTGAATACCATCGATAGAATAATATTCAAAGAGAATTTCTTTAAATGATTTCTTGGATAAAACTAATAATAAAAATAAAGAATTAATTAATATTTTCGGTGATAAATAATAAGTAAAAAAAAAGAGATTAACCTACAACTTCACCAGAATCTTGAAATTCCTTCATTCTTTTTAACAACAATTTACATTGTCTGTCGAGGTGAGTTCCAACATTCTTCAATTTCATCTTTGAGAAGGCATTACCAACAATGCTACGATTGTGTTTCCAAAGGGTATAGTCAGATGAAGAGAGATCATGGTAACCATCACTCAAATACTCGAAGGTAGGAAGATGTGGTCTATCAGAGAAGATTTCAAAGTTTTTTACCCATATTTCACGAATCATGACAGGGTCACTAACAACAACAGTTCTGTAATCACCCATATAGAGTCGGAATACCTTTCCATATTTATTGGCCCATCTCATCAAAGTATGATGAGGTAATTTTCCTTTTAAAGATATCATTTCAATTAATTTGACTCTATTGTTACAAAACGTTATAGCTATATAAACTTACCCAATGATAATAAACTTCCAAAGATTGGTAATTGCAATGGTCCTTTTAATTTTTCTTTCGGATCAAAGTTCTTTTTATACTAAAAATATTATAAACACACATTGTTAGAAGAAAGTTTTTTCAAAACCTAACAAAGAACAACCTACAAAAGAATAAATTGCTAAAAACACTATGGTTATAATTGCTATTGAAATTAAACCCATAGTTCACTAAACAAATATAAATAATATTATATTTACAAGATGACTATTTGGTCTGAAAGCAATTAAAATTTATATTTATAATGAAATCAAAATGATTTAAACTAAAGGGAAACTAAACTCCTTTATTTTTTTTTTGTTAAACAGTTTGTATCACCCTGTGGTTATAACAAACAATGAAATTAAATTTAAAAAATAAAAGAAATCGAAGATCAATTTTTTGGGTTTTTTTTGCCTGGGAAAGGTTATAAGATCATGCAAATTATAGCGATGGGTTGATGACATGCTTCGAATAATGTTACCTCAGATGCACAAATTTACAATCACTTTTCAAAATGAACTTAAGTGATCAAAATGGGAATGATCACTCATCCGAATCCAACCTTTACCAAATCATTTAAAAAATTGCTAATTTTAATTTCATTTTTATTTTGACAATTGAGCTCTCATTTGATCAATTAAATTTAATACTACTTCGTTATTTGTACATCTAGATAATAAATAATAGTTCAACATGTTTGTTAGTGATTATTGCCTTGCTTGGTATTGATTGAGAAATGAAATCTTATTTTGACTACTTACTTTTTAGCTACGAAATTTAAAAGATCTAAATTCTTATCTTTGAAAGCAGTCTCTGCAGCTTCACGGAAATATCCAACTTGAATGTAAGATTGGCAACGGTTGACAGTGTCTTGAATCTTTGGAATATATTTGAGTGCTTCGACTTGTTGGTTTTGATCGAGACAGACCTCTACAAATGGTTCATATCCAATGGGCGACTTCTTCTCTTTCGAGAAGTTATTAAGTTCCTCCCATTGACCAGAGATGGAGAGAGCTTTGATCTTGGTCCACCAGAAACGCTTGTCGGTCACTTTGAACTCGGATTTGATCTTACTGACACGCTTCTGCTCACCGAGTAACACCAACTGGTACATAGTGTCGGCAAGTGACAGACCGAGGAAAGAAGCATCGGGCATCGATGTTTCCAACTCCTTCTGAAGAAGTTCCAATTTGATTTGGTCCTCAGTGAGTTTTGCATAGAGATGAATATCTTTGTCCTTTGATGAGTTGAATGCATTCACTGCCATACCGAACGACTTGACACGTTGGTCCAAGTCGCCGGAACGGAATGCTTCATACATAAATGTCAATGCAAGTTCGGTTGATTGTTGTTTGATGGTATAGACCTCTTTCAAGAGTCCGAGATTTCCCTTTTGTTTCGAGAAAGATAGAAGCAGGTCGAGTGCAACCTTCTTTGAGAAAACAGTGTCCAAATAGGTGTTTCTCTCGTTACGCTCCAAGTTGAGCAGCACTAAATGCACCAAGTTGGTATCACCCGACTCAATTGCTTTGTTCAACGCCATGTCACGCTGTTTCATAGTTAACAATGGTGGAACTTGTTCGGCAGCCTTTGGTTCGTACTCTAGCAGCTTTGTGGCGATATGATGACGACCGACACTGTATGCAGCGGAAGCAATATTGGCATAGGAAATTCCCGGTGCCGACTGCAACTTGTTGATGATAATTCGAGAGAGGACTTCTTCGTCTTCGTTGGTACGCACCTTTGTACAGGCCCAGTGATTCAAAACAAAGTCAGCCTTTATCTTCAAGTAGTCGCAAATTCGCCAGGCCAAGAGATGTGAACGACGCTCGATGAGACAACGGACCAGTCCCTCTGCTCCCATGTAGTTGTATTGTTGTAGAGTCAACGGAATACCGACCTCAAAGTGACGAACGGCATTGAGCACACGCAATGCCTTGCAGGTGTGAACAAAGAGATCCGGATTGTAGCTATCCAAGAAACACTTACCAAACGATGCTGCCTTTAACAACTTATTCTGTTCCGATCGACTGAATTCGTAACCCGCTGCAATAATACAGGTATTGACTGCCATATCCAATTCATTTCTAATACCTCTAATATATTCATCTGCTTTTGGACTATGATTCTAAAATTTAAATCAAAAACCTAATTAGTACACGCACACTAAAGTTATTTATATCACAGCAGCGCTTCAACCTACAAGGAAATCTTCGGTTGCAGTATATAATAAAGAAGAAGGTGTAACCGAACCAATTGTGAAAATATCTACTGTTTCATCTGGAACCTTGCAAAAGAAGTCTGTTGTTCTCGAAGAAATGATTCTAAGTCCATCGATTTCAGTAACCAAATATAATGGAACAGTTGATTCTTTATCTTCTGTAACACTGTTTTTATTAAAAGATGATTGATGATGATATATATAAAGAAAAAAAGATATATTAGATATTAAGATTTTAGATTAAGTGGTGTTTGTTTTATATTATATTTTTACTTACATCGTATTACAACCGGATTCAAAATATTTAAGTGAACTATAGAAACCCATCATTACACCGTCGGAACCAGACCATTTAAGAGTGTGTGGAATACGTTTGGAAACGTTGGTGTATTTGATGTGTTGTGAGCAATCGGTACGATAGATGTAGAGATCAATAGAGTCTTGTGCTGCAGATGGACATAGACATGCCATCTTGTTACCACACGGACTGACAACGATCTTTAAGAAGTTCTGTGACAACAATTGATTCTTGGCATCCGAAGAATTCAATCTAAACAATGATCCTCTGGTAGCAACGAACAACTCTACATCCAAAATGCTGGTGGCTGTCATATGTGGCTCTACAATATCCCATGCCGGTTTAACATTTCCGTCCAATTCATGTATTTCTGCAAATTGTACTGGTACAGCTGTTATCACATATCAAAATACATATATATATATTATTAGATTAGATCTATGATTATCAAATATCTATATCTATATAGCTAACTAGTACATACGTCTAAATAATTCAATATAATAGAATCGCCAACCACCACCAGTACTCATATTCATTCTATCGTTGTTCATTCTTGGATCTTGTGGACCATTTGGTGGACCACCAGTTGTTGGATACACTGAAGTGAGGAAGACAACACCATTATTGAATATCTTGACCTCTCTTACTTCATCTCTAATACTAGAGTATGAATTATTGCTAATCTCTTCACAAAATATATTATAAACTATAACAGTTGCATTCCTATCATATTCGAGTAGGTTTAAGTAAGTAATTGAATTGATTACATTGAATTGTGATAAAATTAAGATAAGAATAAGACATACGATAAAACTATAACTAAACGTTCTTGACTAACCCAATCCATACCAACTACACTTGCTTTCCATTCACTTTCTTTTAGCTAAAAATGAATAATATATTGATATATATAGAAATAAAAGTTAAATATCAATCTTTATTGTGTTGTAAGTTAGATGATACATACTATTGTTGAAGATATAAGTTTACCAGAAGCAGAATAAATGAATAGATATGGTTTGGCAGTTTGAGCAGTGATTTCAATTGCTTTAGTTCTATCACGGGTTACTGCGATTGGACCACCATTGGGAGCAGCAACCAATATATTCTTTTCAAAGTCAACATCCCAAGACATATTGTAGATCTCTCTCTTTGAGACCACCCAATCTCCAATATCAATCCAACTACTTGTTGGATTATTCATTATTTCTTTATTTCTTTCAAATTAAAATACAACAAACAAAAACTAACTATTAAATTTAATCAGAACAACAATAACATCATCAAAATTAGATTCAAGACAAGAGAAAATTCTCATGAGATTTTTTTTTTAAATTTTTCATATCTTTTTTTTTTTTTTTTTTTTTTATAAAAGAGAAAGGTAATTGATTGATGATGAACAAACTAAACTATAGTTATTTATTTTAATTTAATCTATTATATATACATATAATGTATTTTTATATAAAATAACTATATATATATATATTTATGATATTTATGATGTTTTTTTAAATTTTTAATAAATTAGAAAATTGATCTATAAGTTTCTCTTTGGTGAGTAGCTTTCTCTCATAGAGCTTGAGTAGATACTTTTTGGTTTTGTAGTAATGACGTTGACGAGTGTAGGGTTGAGATCTTCGTTCTAGTATATGTGGTAGAACATCTAGTTCACTGATTCTCTTGTTGTCAGCAAGTGTTTGATGAACTAGTGGTTCGATCTGTGCAACCTCTGAGTCGTCCTGCAGGTTGTTGTCGAGGTGTATCGCATCAAGTGAACAATGCTGTGGTTGTTGCTGTAGGAATTGTAGAATTGTCTTTACTCCGTCTATTAGCAGTCCTGCACCGTTCATGGTGAGTACTCGTAGACTGCGATTGATGTGGAGTGCACCCTTGAGTGCGAGTGCACCCTCGCCACGAATGTAGTTGCCACTCAGGTTGAGGTAAGCAAGTACGCGGTTGGTGCGTAGCGATGCAGCCAGCAGACTGAGTGATTCGTGTCCCAGACGGTTACGCGAGAGATTGAGGTCGGTCAGTGTGCAGCTGTTGGAAGCGAGTGCGTCGGCGAGCTTGGAGACGGCAGGCAGTCCGAGTGTCTCGTGCACGGTGCAGTTGGAGCTGAGGTCGAGTAGTCGGAGACGGCAGTTGGCGGTGGCGAGCGCGTCTGCAATGGCGATGAATCCGTCGGCACCGATTGCATTGTCGTTGACCCAGAGTTTGGTGAGTGTTCGGTTGCGTTGCAGATTGTTGCCGAGCTGCGTGCCAAAGTCTTGGCCGAGCGAGCAGTAGCCAATGTTGAGCGATTGGAGTGTGGTGTTTGTGGCGATCGATGTTGCGAGAGCGATGGCGCCAGTTGGCGCGATCATGTTGTAGCGGAGGTCGAGATGAACGAGCGAGGTGGAGAGTGCTCCTGCCTGGGCGAGTGTCGCGCCGGCAATTCCAGTGACTGCGCAGGCCGCCATCGAGAGTCGGGCCAATCGACAGTTGGGCGAGCGCAGTGCCGACTCAAATGCTTTCATCTCCTCCTGTCCCATTGCAACGAGTGAGAGTTTCAAAGATTTCATGTTGGATCCACTCTGAGATTTGAGGGCATCCGTAAGCAGAATCGATGTTTCACAGGTGAGGTTGTTGTTGGCAAGATTGAGTGATATCAGATTCGAGTTGGTCTGGAGGTAGCGACAAAACAATACTCCACCGAGATCGTTGATTCTATTGTTGGCAAGTTGCAATGTAAATTGTGAGGTCGCTGATTTCATTGATTCCAACAGCGGTTTAATGGGCTCCGATGTAATGAGATTGTGTGATAGATTCAGGTTGTTGGGTGCCTGGAAATTCTTTACCAAGCGTGCAAGCGTAAGGATAACACTGTTCGATAGTTGGTTATGTGATAGGTTCAGACTACGAAGATGGAGCGAGCGTAGTGATGCCAGATTCTGAAGGATATTAATCACTGTTGCGTCATTCAGATTATTTCCACTGAGATCCAGAGTCTCCAGTGGCCATGCAACCAGAGTCTTTGAGATAATCAAAGGATAGTATGCCTTCCAAGAGTCATGCGTCAATCTTAATTTTTTAATAAGCAATCCACTCTTTAATAGTTTATCCAAATCTTCTTTTCTTAATACATCCAATTCCTTTGGTAGTAAATTCATCAAAGCCATTGAAAATCTTTTTCCAGTACTTAAATTGCTATTGTTACTATTGCTATTGTTTTTGTTGTTGTTGTTGCTTTGAAGTGATGCAAACTCAACAGAGGAGTAAGCTGGAAACGTTGGAAATATATTGGACATAGAAGTGTTATTATAGACTTGGTAGGTTGAAGAGGATGTAGCGCTGACCGACGAGCCACCTCCAACGGCACTGCTGCTGGCAACCCAGTGTTGATGATAGAGTGAGTGTTGCGATGGAGATGCACCCTTAAGCTGCTCGGAGACAATAAAGTTGAGATCAGTCAACTGTGGCAGCTTGTTGATTCTGTTGATAAAGGAGACGAGAAGACGTAGACCATGCGTATCGGTGATGGTAATGCGATTCAGCGGGATCAGATTGATGACACCGTCCTTCCAACGCCGACAAACCAGAGAGTGTTTAATAAGCAGCCGGTAAGCATAGTTCTGACGATCAAAATGTAAAACATAAACATCACTAGTGTTAGTATCACTATGGTTATTGCTGTGTGTGGTCAACTCAGCGGTTCCTCCAACTGTGGCAGTCACCCCATTCTCCAAAACATCATTTCCAACAACACCGCCGCCACCAGTAGCAGCACTATTTTCATTGGATTTCTTTTTACTATAAACAATATTATAATTTCCGGTGTAACTATATTGTTTATACTCTAAAAAGAGTATTTTTGCAATGAGTTGAGGTGATAGATTTTGCATTTTATGTAATGTAATATTATTCCTCCTCCTCTACTAATATGGTTTTTTTTTTTTTAAACAATTTAAATGAATGTTTAAATGATTATATTTAAACTATTCGAAACTAATCATAACTAATAATAAATAAATAAATAAATAAATGTACAAATAAGTTAAATTGGTATAACTGCAGAAAAAAAAATAAATCATGATGTGATGATGTTATCAGTTTTTTAATTATTAAAAAATAAAAATATAATAAAAATAATGGTACTTTTTTGGGCTGAGTGTTGGTGCTGCTGGAAAAAAAAATCAAAAAAATCAATTCCGATGGTTATCAGTCGTTTGATTGGTACTCCCAAAAACATAATAATGATATTACACTCAGTGAGTGATCATTTTCCAAACACATAATTAGCTATATCTAATAATAAATATAAATTAATAATTTTTAAAAAATCTTTAAATATTTTAAAGTTTTATAATATTTTTGCTAACTGATTAAAATAAAATAAAAATTGTACACATCATCATTTTTTACAATTTTTTTTGCAAATTCATTTAATGGTATGATTGTTAGGGGTGTTAATAGACACAAAAAAAATTTCACATTTATAAATATCAATGATTTTTTAATTTTTTTGAAACACAAAATAAAACCGATTATTATTGTTATAAATCAAATCACTAAAAATTTTAATTTTTTTTCATTTATTTAAATTTTTGTTTACTTTATTTTACACAGGTTGATGCATTTCCATTTTATAGATTGAAAATAAATCGTCACCACCACCATTGTCATCAAACATAATAATCGATTATTTACCAGTACAATAACTTAACTATAACTAATAAACTATAATTTATATAAGTTAGCAAAAACAACAACAGAACCAGCCAGAAAACAGAGCAAATCAAGCCAACAATTGTAAGGGTTTTTTTCATTGCTGGTCATATCATCATCCTCTTTTTTTTTTTTTTTTTTTTTTAATCAGTTCAGATTTTTTTTTGGATATTTGCTTGTTCTTTATTTTATCTATTATATTCCCTGTTTTGTTGTTGTTGTATCATTTATTTATTTATTAATAAATCAAATCATTTTTTTTTTAAAATAAATAAAAGATTATATATATATAGTTTATTTATTGATTAGATTTAAGAAATGAATACAGAACAATTAGATCAATTACACCAAGCAATTCAATTGTTTTGGGGATTTAAACTTGGAGGTAAGTTAATGAGTTGTTTGTTATGACGATAAAGTGAGTTCAGAATATTAATATCGATATGACTTCAGAATGTGAACAAATATTGGTAAAATATAATAGTCAATTACCATTGTTTGCTCTATTGTATGCGGATATTGCATTTATTAAAGCAGTATTAACAGAGACAAAGGAAGATAACGAAGAAGCATCCAAGAGAATCGCCGAGTGTAAAAAGTTGGCACGTGCTCTTCAACTCTCACAGAAACCATTGTATTTGAAACAAGAGAAAGACGAAAAGAAGCTGTCGAGCAGCGCAAACAACAATGGTTCAGATTCACAGTCGGCTTTCACCAGAGCCGAGTATCTCATTGCCAAGTTGGTGTATGCAGAGACTATGGTCATGAAAGGTATCATAGAATTCAAGGCACAGAACAACATCAAGGCCGGTATGTCATTTAGAAAGTCGTGGAAGCAGTTTTACCAAGCGTTCGAGCAAGTAGTACAGCTGCCAACTACATTCCCAGCTTATCAACACCTCGTTAGTTTAGCTTATTACGGTGTTGGAATATTCCATTTCCTCGTCTCCGTTGTTCCACCACAATACGTCTGGTTGGTCGAAGGAATTGGATTCAAAGCAAACAGAATGGAAGGTTTGAAGGAAATTAAATTATCTGCAGATGTAACCACTGGAATTAGATGTAAATATAATCAAGTTTGTTATCTATATCACTCTCTCTATTTTTATTAATATGTTTATGTTTGTTATTTTTACGAACAGCTGTCATGGCAAAATGTTGTTATACTTTATTATATGCATTCTTTTTCGAGGATTTCGAAGCAGCCGCTCCAACATTAAAGGATCTGTTGGAGAGATATCCGGATGGAGCAATGATAAATTATATGTCAGGAGCAATCTTGAGAAAGCAAGGTATAATTCAACAGTCGTCGGCCAGCTACAATAATGCTCTGAAAAACTCGGGTGAGTTGAAGCAGCTACAGTTGTTCTTGGAGTCGGAATTGGGTTACAACGAGTTTTTGAATTTGAATTGGACGGTTGCCGAGCAACATCTCTCAAAGTTCCTCAAGGATACAACCTCCTCTGGATTCAAGGCATTCATTCAGTATCAGCTGGCCTATTGCTACGAGATGATGGACAACCGTGAACAAGCGCTGACTGTGATGTCCGGTGTCGAGCAAAACGTCAGAAAAGGATACGATTTCGATGAGTTCTCTCTCCGTAAGGCCAACCGTTACCTTAAGAACAAGAAACTGAATGCATTCGAACGAGCATACGCACAGTCCGCACTACTAAACGAAGCACACAATTTCGAAGCATCCAACAAGATTATCTTGGAGGCACTCACATTGCCATCGCTGACACCTGAAGAGTTGGCCGCCGGAAACTACATGGTCGGTGCAAACTATCAACAATTAGATCAACGAACAGAAGCAAAGAAATATTATTCAGTAAGTAATGAAATGGACATTATTTATTTGGATATTATTTAACTAACTTGATTATTATTCAGACATCTTTGACATATGAAAAACAGATAGGTTACGATCATTTTATCGTTCCTTATTCAAATGTAGGATTAGCAGAGATTGCAATTCTCGAGGATAAGAAATCAGATGCCAAAGCTCATATCAAGAAAGCTAAATCATACAACTCCACTCAATATGATTTCCCATCGATCCTTGACTGGAGAGCAAGAAAATGTCTTCAACAACTTGGAGAGTTTTAAAGGAATCAAGTATAATATTTGATCCCTATCCAAATATAAAATATAGATAATAAACAAGACCTTGAAAAAAGGTATCCCCCACAAAACAATAACTTGCTAACATCGATGTGCTATAACTACTTTATTTTTTTTTGTGAATTTAGTAAGAATTGTGTGACGTATTTCTTTTGCTAAAAATTTCAGAAGGGGAAAGGGTTTTTGTTTTTGAACAGATATAAATAGTTTATTTTTTTGTAAAAGCATCATCATATTTAAACAATGTACAGCGATATTATCAATATCAGATATGCTAAATACAGTGATATAGCTGCTATAACAGATATCTATAATTACTCGATCAGACATGAAATATCAACTTTTGAAGAGGTTGAGATTTCAGTGGATGAAATGAAGGCTAGGTACGAAGAAGTCGTTATAAAAGAGAAACATCCGTATATTGTTGCTACTACTAGAGGCAAAGACGGAGAGATAGTAATTGGCTATTGTTACCTTCTTAGATACCGTGCAAGATCAGGATATCGTTATACCAGTACCGACAGCATCTATATACATCATGAGCATCGTGGAAAGCGTGTTGGTTCATTGTTATTGGAGAGGATAATCGAAATTGCAAAGGAAATGAATTACTATAATATGATTGGTGTTGCTAGTGGTGGCAATGATGTTTCCATCAAGCTACACAAAAGATTTGGTTTTCGATTCCTTTGTTCAATGGAAAATGTCGGTCTAAAGTTCAATCAATGGATCAACACAGACTACTTTCAACTTGTATTAAATCCTTCTAAAGAACTTCCAACTCACCCAATAAAATTAATAGAATATATGGATTTATGATAAATAAATATCCTTTTATTATTTTTATTTATGTTCTAAATTTTAGAAACCATTAGTTGAAATGTCTGGCACTCCAGTATCAACAGAGGATGTTGAAGAGGTTGTACCTGTCGAGGTAGTAGTGCTGGTTGTGCTGTCATCAGGGGATGTTGTTCCAAAATCAGTTGTACCTGTTAATGAAGTTGTGCTTTCACCTGTAGAGGTAGTACTGTCATCATTTGAAGTTGAGCCGTCTGAGGAAGTTGTTCCAATCTCAGTTGTACCTGTAGTGTCACTAGAGGAAGTAGTGGTGGGGGTGCTTTCATCAGAAGAGGTTGTACCTGTAGTACTGTCACCAGAGGAAGTAGTGGTGGTTGTGCTGTCTGAAGTTGTTCCAATATCAGTTGTACTTGTCGTGGTTGTGCTTTCACCAGAAGAGGTTGTACTTGTTAATGCTTCATATGTAATATTACCAATGTGATATAGATTCATTCCATTCCAATTCATTACTATTGGTTTTGTGAAATCACCCATCAAATATGGCGGAACTGAACAATTTACAAATGATGGGTCAATTGAAATGGAGCAATTAATCTGTGATCCTTCAACAATTAATTCTGGTTGTACCGAATAGTTCCAAAAGATATTATTCAATTGTATTGTTCCTCCACTTAATGGAGTTATTGTAATATTATTGAATAGGTCTAAAAAAAAAAAGTCAATATATTTGTTTGATTAATTATTGTTAATCAACTTACCGAAAAAGATCAATTCAATTGATGTTATGTTGAGATTTATAATGGTTGAAGATTGATTATTTCTAATTAAAATAGTTGATCCATTGAGTAAAGTTAATGCTACATGTTGATCTGAATTTGTTGTGAGTGCCAATATTGAATTATTCCATGAAATATTATTAAAGAATGATGAATTGAATTTCCCATATGGGATTGTCAATGAAAAGTTGGATGTTGTAATGTCGTTGAACAAGGTGATACTGTTATTCGGATTGGACTTGAATAATATTAAGTTGTCAAATGTAGTTGAAATGGTTGTTGGTTGTTCAATCGAATATGTTATGTTGTTCAGGGAAATAGTGGTGTTCGATGATTCAACATTCTTTGAAACATAAACGAATGATTCTCCTGGGACATCAGTAACAATGAAGGATGGAACTGAATTAACATTATAATATCTATTTAATTGTTCTCCATTCAAATTCGATTGAACTAGAACTGATATTTGGACTGGATATGTTGCATTATCATCATTCAAACCATTAAAGTTATCATCCAAAAATAAGGTTAGATTCAATTTTGATTCTAGAGGTTTTTAATTAATAAATTACTACTATGTTTTTGTTATTAATTAAATACTTACTGTATCCAACTGTGATTATTGATTGTTGTAAAATAATATTGCAAATAGATGGGAACTGTTATTTGAAAATATAAAGTTAATAATAATATTTAACAAATCAAGTTGACGGATTAACTTACAGAGAAAGTGTGATACTCTGAGCTATAGTTATAATTGAAATTCGATAAATTAAATGATCCATATTGAATAGTAATCGATTCGCTTTCTTCATTGGTAATTGTTCCAACACATCCAAAGATAGCTATTTATTTATTTAAAAGAAAACAAAGTTAGTAAATATTAATAATAATTTATAAAAATTCTTACATTTCCAAAATACCGAAATATTTCTTTTAATTTCAATTTGGTTGGTAACAGTAATAGAAATATATTGGGTTGGCATAAAGTATGGTGTTTCTTCATCATTATTAAGCAATTTAATAATATAGTTTCCAGGTTGTGTGATATCATAAAAGAATATTCCACTTGAGTTACTCGATGTTATGAGGTCAAAGCTTGGACCAAAAATCTGAATACTCGTGTTTGCTAAAAATGATTCTTCTTCATCGTACATATTGTTAAAGTTGGTATCATTATAAATATATCCATAGAAATAGGTAATCGATGTTCCACCATCTCCACCAGTTGTACTATCAGTTGTACTGCTAATCTCACCGGTTGTACTTGTGGTAGATGTAGTAGATGTGGTGGATGTCGTAGAGGTCGTCGGATCGGATGGTAAATAGGTTAGAGTATGAATATTATAAAGATCCATATCATTCCATCTCGATGTGATTACTTTAGATAATGGACCACCACTCCACTCTGGAATTGTACATTCCAATCCAATATCAATGGGATTACATTCTATTTGAACAGAGTCCACAAAATATGATGCCGATTTATATGAATAGTCATTACTAATAACAATCCTACCACCAGTTATTGGAATTGATTTTGAAAATAGATCTATTTTAGAATATTAGGATTAATAAGTAAAATAATATTAATAATAATAATAAATAAAATTACTTACATTGATTAACAATTTCAATGTTTCCATAGGTTATTTTGTCAAGTAAAAACTCATTTCCATTTGGTGTAATGATTCTTCCGTTTACTTGACCATCTTTGGTGAATATTACAGTTTGGTTGGTTCTTGGTGTGAAAGACAATGAGCTTTCTATCCAATCGATATTGTCAAAGAATTGGTTGGTGTACTTTCCAAAGGCGAGTGAGAGTGATTGTGAGTTGGTGCTAGTGAATGCCAATGTCTTGGATGGTGGAACATTTAAGAATCCAAGTGTTACAGAGACAGTTGAAATCTTTGTAGGATCGTCAACATCGATAACATAGTTATTGATAATCGGTGTAATTACAAGATTTGGTTTGAATCTAATAACTGAGCTAGATGGTAAATCAATAGCTTTACTAATTGGATATGAATAGCTTCTGATTAACTGTTTTCCATCTACTTTTGATATAATATCGAAATTGGCTGATGAAATTGAAGTATCTCTCTCACCGTCCAAATTGGTATCTAAGAACAATGATAAATCGAGTGTTGTTTCTAATATTAAAATATATATTAGTCATTAATAAAAATAAAAAATCAATGTTAATACAGTTATACTTACTGTATCTTATTGATATCTTTTGACCAACTTGATTGACTAAACAATAATCTGGGAATTTTAGTGTTGTAGTTTCAAACATATATACTCCATAATCCAAAAGATTATAATCACCATATTGTAATGTTACATTCTTTGAATAGGTTTCAACAGTTCCTAGGCATCCAAGTCCTGATTTTGTAAATAATGGAATATTTTGCTCCCAACCCTCAAATGTAATAGGGATATGGAATCTTGTTTGTGGAAGGAAATATGATGGATTTTCAAAGTTTGGCGATGAAGTGATGAATAGTGTATATAGTCCAAGTTGTTGTTGGTCTACCACGATCTCATAGGTACCATCTTGAGATACCTTACCAAAAATAAAGTCATCTCCTTGAGCAACACCAATTGTAAATAATTTGCCACCAATAGGAATGTCATTGGAATCCAATTTCATGTTGAAGTTTCTATCGTCAAACAAACGACCTTTGATCGTAGTCTTGAGTTGGAGTGAAGGTGGCAATGGTAGTACTTCGGGTATTTGATTTGGATCACTTCCTTCTGGTAATAGCCATGCAGGGAATTTACCCTGATCAACACCATTCTCCTCGCTTGGTCTGGGCCATCCATCTTCATCCTTATCGTCACCGTCTGAACCATCGGTCTCGCATGACCATGACTTGCCACTCTTTAGTTTGAAATTGATATTGAATTTAATATTAACCTTTATCTTTGTGCCAGTGATTACAGCAGATGCAATCTTTCCCCACTCTATTTTGATTAAATCAAAATCAGAGAATGGATAGGTAAAGTCTGGTGGTGGAATCAATTTCATTGTCTTTGAGAATATTTCTATTGGACTGGGACCTGTCAACGTAAAAACAACTATCACAGGTATGTTTAGAATCGGTGTAGATGTCCATTCTATTGGAGGAATTCCAAGAATAAAGAGTTCTTGTGAAGTTATTTTTGGCTTTTCTTCTTCTTGGCTTCCACTTTCACTATTACTGCTACTCTCGCTACTACTCTCACTGCTACTCTCACTACTACTGCTGTCCTCTTCAGTATATTGATAGGTTGAAGTGGTAGATCTTGAATAGAATGTCAACTGGACAGTTGCAATGGTTGTAACAGGTGAGGTTGGAACAATACATGATACTTTGGATGATGAGAATACTTGCACATTAGAGCAGTCTTGAGAACCAACTGTTACCACTGTATCTTCTCCAAAAAGACCCAAATTTGAACCACTTATTTGAATCAATCTTCTTACATCCTTATCTCCTGATGAAGGATCAATACTTGTTATTGATGGAGCTAAATATTTAAAATTGAATCAAATCAATATTTAATTATAATCGTGGAATGAAATAAAAAAAATAAGCTATAAACTTACCTGAATAAGAGAATTCACTATTTTTGTTTGAAATTTGATCTGAAAGTTCAGGATTTATATGCTTAATGTAGATTTCAATGTTTTGACCACCTCCGCGTTTGTTTATGAAAACGACTTGATCGTTGGTCGAAGATACGATTGAACATTCAAGGTTCTTGAAATATACTTTCAAAGTGCTAGTTTCTTCAATTAAATTGGATCCATAGATTGTGATTTCCTCACCACCATCCACAGATCCTTCTTTTGGTTCAATTCGATCTATCTTTGGTTTGTCATAGTAGGTGTACGTGATATCTTGGTTGGACTGTTGTGAATCAACTGTAATTGAAACTGTTTTCGAACCTTCGTTTGTTGATTGTGGCGCAACACATACAATAGATTCATGATTCCAAGTGAAAACAGGACAGTCTTGACCATCGATGGTAACAGTATCTTTGATATTTCCAAAGTTTGATCCAACAATTTCTACAATTGTATTTCTCGCCATTCTTCCTCTATTTGGTTTGATTTCTGTGATTATTGGCTCTGTTATCAAGAATAAAAATTAATTTATGTTATTAATACAAAAAAATAAATAAACAAATTTAACATACTTTGATATGAGAAAAAGGTATTTTGATCATTGATTTGACCTCCAACTTTGATTTCAATTGACTTCTTCTGGCCTGTACCAGGTGGAATCTTGCATTGCAAAGAATTTGAATCTTTCCAAGTTAGTGATTGGCATGATTTTCCACCAATCTTGACATAGTTGTTTTGATCATTGGTCGGTGTCGATGATGCCAAGTTTGAAGGAACAAAGTTTGATCCACTGATAACCAAGTTGAATTCACCTTTTGTTGGTCCGTTATAATCAGAGTTTGATGGTAGTGAAGGTTCTATATTATAATTAAAATTTATAATTTTTAATAATTAATATTTAATTTATAGTTTTGTTTAAATTTTATGATATTTACTATTGTAAGAAATCTGATGATTGATTGTATGTGTTTGATTTCCAATGAATAGCTTGAAAGGTATGTTCTTTCCAATTCCACTTGGAATTTTACATGAAAATTGATTGTAATCTATCCATTGATAATCTGTGCATTTCTTTCCATTAATATCAGCATAGCTTGATGATGGACCACCATCTGGAACATCTTTTGGAATAAAGTTGTCTCCAGTGATTGTGATTATTGAGCCAGATGTATCACTATTTGGAATCTCTGAGATTTCAGGAACTTTATAACTAAAGTTTCCTCTGACATTTTGACCGCCAATAAAGATCTCCAAAGGAATCACTTTACCAATACCTTTTTGGAAAGTGCATGATATTTGCGATTCATCAATGAATGTCACATCAGAACAAACTACATTATTGATTGTCACATTGGATTCAACGGTTGAAATCCCATTGGGAATGAAATTGGATCCTTTGATTGTAATCGATTCACCTTGTGTTGTAACCTTTGGTACTTCGACAATCTTTGGTGGATTATAGTTGAAGATATTTGCTGTTGTGTTTTGATTGTCAATTGCAACAAAGATAGTTTGATTTCTACCAATACCAGCTGGCGATGAACATTCTATTCTTTGATGATCGATCCACTTTATATCTATACATTCACTTGATTTGACGAATACTTTTGAATCTTTAGGATCGAGCACTATTTGTGGAATAAAATTATAGCCATGAATTGTAATCTTTGACCCACCTTTGGTATCACTTGAATCTGAACTGACAATTATTGGTCTGGAATATGAAAAGTTCATAAGTCCCTCGATATTTGGTTGATTTCCAATTAAAACATTCAATGTCAAGTTACCACCAATTCCAGGAGGTAGAATGCACGTGAAACAAGTGGAATTTATCCATGTGGGTGAGGAACAGTTGTTTTCACCGATCTGGAGGTAGCTTGTATCGAGGTCAGATTGAGTCAAGTATGTTTTATTGGTAGGAATGAAATTGAAACCGTATATAGTGATAATATTATTTCCACTTGTATTGAAAGCTCCAACAATCTCTGAAATATTTGGTCCTAAAATTATTTTAAATTAATAAGTAAGTGTATAAAGAATATTTAATTATAAAAACTTACTTTCATATGAGAAATTAAAGAGATTATTATCAAATGGAGAGTTTAGCATTAACTGATTTGCTAAAAACAAAGTAATAGTGAGATTTGCACCAACACCTGGTTGAATCTCTGCAACTATCAATGTTGAATTCTCCCAAGTCATATTCTTGATGTGGTAGTGTCCAATTGAAAGGTTACTTCTGTCGAACCCACCTTCATAATTGATGGTTGGAACCGGTGTTTCAGTATCAGTCTCAATGTCATAGATGAATTTCGGTTCATTTGGTGAGAAATTGATTCCAATAATTGAAATTGTTGAACCATCGGTTACTAAAGTATTGGTGACCACCTTATTGATTAATGGTCTTGGGAATACGAGTGGTTCCGTTGAGTTACCTGATAGTTGATCACCTATTTCGATAATAACAACATTGTCCATTCCAACACCGGCGGGCATCCAACAAATGATACATTCGAAATCAACGGAATCTCTAAAGATAGTACTTAACTCAATGTATGGATCGAACATTCCTGGAGTCTGATGTTTTGGTGTTTCAATGACTTGATAATTTTCGTCAAAATATGTTTTGTTGAAATGGCAAGATTCATCAACGTCACAGCTATCAAGTCGATAGAAATGCTTGGTAATATTAACATATGGAATATCATATGTGAACGTTCCAAAATTAATACCGGCAATCCAAAAGTATCCAGCATAGGCAGTGTTGTTGAATGGCTCTTGTACTACTTGGAGTATGGTTGGTGCGAAATAATCGTAGTTCAAGAAATTCGATTGTTGCTCATCAACAATAATACTGAACTGCTGTGCTTTTCCATATCCTGCATTTGACAAACAATAGATTTCATTGTCACTTATTCTTTGGATATCATGACAATCTACACTTCCAATAATTGTTGGCCAAGATGAATAGTCAAGATTTGGATCACCAAATTGAGAGCCAATTACTCTAATCACTTCTTCACCGCTAGTCTTCCACAATACATTTGAAATTGAATCGATTTGTGGTGGCTTATGATCGATTATCGCTAGATCTTCATAGATCTGACCACCAATCTCAATGGAGATGTTCTTGTTGTATCCAGTACCATTCGTTCTGAAAATGAAATATTCGTTGACACCACCATCGAAGCCACCAGAGACCACTGGAATAGGAATACCACCAATACTCAACTTGATGTCATTGACTGTTGATGATCGCGAGAAAAAGTTACTACCAGTAACGGTCACTTCGGAACCGATCGTATTGAACGGACCACTCGGTGTAATAGAGGAGATAACAGGTTGTAAATATCTGAATTCAAAAGAATTTGGAAGTCGGAGTGCATCTTCGATTGAACTGATTACAGATAGAGTTTTGACTCCAAGACCAGACGGAAGCATACACTGAACTTGGCTATAGTCTCTAGCGGTTGTATATTCACAATTTTCAATGATCTGATCACCGAAATGCAATTCGAAATATTCAAGATTTCTACCATTGATAACGAGTGTTGTTTCATCCTTGGTGGCGGAGGTGAGCGGACCAACCGAGAGAACTACAGGATCCGATTGACATCTAGAGAGAATATCACCATTTTCAAAATTTACCAATGTAGATGGAACGAAATTACATAGCTTGCCAAAGTATGTAATAATGACAAAACCTTCATCTTCACCTTCGACCAATTCACTGGGAATGTAATAGGTTGCCATTTGATCGTTATAGTTAATAACCCGCTCAGTTGTTTCCACCAAGTACAGAAGCATTTCAGTAACGATATCGACACCTAACGGAGTGACTGGGTTGTATGGGTCAAATTCATGTGCCGGTACATCACAAAAATATCGGTCTCTAGTGCCAATGAGATCTCTTAACCATTTGGATGATGCCATCATAGATTTAAAAGGAGAATCATACAGAGTCGACCAAACTGAACTAGTAGTAATATCACTCGTATTGGATTGTGCCCATTTACCAAAAGTATCATACAGTTTACCGAGAGGAATTGAATACAGATCGGTTTCACATACTTGAGATCTTTTAAACTTATCCAAGATAGGATCAATAGGTATATCACTTGAATTCTAAATAATTAAAAATATTAATATATGTTTGTTTAGATATATTAATATTAATAGTTACTTACTTGATTAATACAAAAACTACATTTATAGATATAATTTAAATACATTATACGATCTAGATTATCAAAGATCATAGTAGGATCATCTACCTTGCTGACTATCTTTGTTTTTAGGATATCTATGATTGTAAAGATGTCGGATGGAACATTCTCCTTGATGATCTCAACTAGCAATGGGAATGATATTTCATCCAATCCACTTGTGAATGTATTTTGGTAGAATACCTCATCTTGGTCTGCTTGGTTATCAATTATATCCCAAATAAATGAACTGATAAGTCCAGAGGATTGGGCAACTGGCTGTGCAACTCCATTCTTTTGATAACTTTCAATTGAAATCGGTGAAGAACAATGAATAGTTTGTTTAGAATCTGTTGATAAAAATGGAAACACCTCCTATAAAAAATTAATTTTTAAACACATATTTTATAAATACTTTTTACAACACACACTTACTTGTTTAAATTTAAGCGCGAATGAATAAACTAATGATATAAAGGTTGCAGCCAATTCGTCATTTTCAATGTGTTGAATTCTCTCATTGATATTTAGTTCTATTAATTTATAGTTGGTGTTGAGTGATGTGATGTAATGATAACTATAACTAAGGAATAAGTCATCAATACAAAGGTTATCAAGATCAAATTCGTAGTTTGTGTTATTATTTATAATTGCTGTGTGTTGTGTGCTTATTTTTATATAAAGTTGTGATGGTGGTGTTGTTGGTGGTAGTGGATAGATATCAATTAACATTTGTAATGTTCTATACATTATAAATATATTTGTATCTAAAGTGGTAACAGCAACTACATTCGGTGTGAAAATGTTATCTTGATAATTCAAAACAGTTGAATAAACAGAGTTTTGATTATCCGATGTTATAATAACAATGTTTCTCTTTCTATCTCTAAGTTGTAGTGAAGTTTGGCGACTATGATACTTCTTAATATCAATCATTGCAATATCATCGGTTTGATAGAGTGTTTGCTCTTTGAATGCAGCAATGCAATCGGATGAACAATCGATATTCGATCCGGGAATTGCAGTCACTGTTATGTCAGTATCTACAAAACTAGGATCGAAAGGAGTCTGTGAGAGTAATGCACCGATGTTTGTGCTGACCGTATTGATTTCGAATCGGACTTGACCATCTCCAATGTAATCGTTCTGAACTACATTACCACAGTTAGCAAAAGCACAGGCTTGTGTAATTGTTTTGTAGACCGTCGTTATCAAGAATGTATTGATAGCTTCACTCTGCGTCTTAATACACAATGTCATTCCAAGAGATGATTGGACAGTGGAGTGGAAATCAACCAAACACAAATGTGTTGTGTTGAATGCGAATCCAGCCATTTCCAACTCTGATTTCCATTGCCTGTCTTCAATTGGAATATCCATTTGTTCTGAAAAGTCATATGGAAATCTATTCTCTACTAAACCTAAACTATTTTGTGGAACCAAAGTATCAATTACTCTCTTTTTAAAATAAAATTAATATTATTTCTCTCTTTTTATTTTAAGGAAATTGAATAATACTTACTGGCATTGTTATATAACCTTTCAAATTTGGCAAAGTGTTTGATTGTTTACCACTCAATATTTCGATATTGTTGATTGTTAATAATTTGTTGGAGGTGTCAATGGTATAATTTGTGAATAGCCGATTGAATAGCAAGCTATTGGAACCGGTAAGAGTGTTAAAGTAGATGTATGGAACCAATGGGAGCAATGTGTCTACAAACTTGTCATTCAAAGTATCGAATCTATGACAGAGAAAAGAATGACCAACATTCAAATTTATAGGTTGATCATCTGCTAAATGATAGTCGTTTGGTAACCATTTGGTGTTGCTGGATGGTGTTACAATATTTTGACTGTCAACAACGATAGCAGGGAAACCTGGTAGTGTATGCTTAACATGAATACCATTTCCGGAGGATGAAGATATGGCAATGATACCTTTGGACTGACCGTATTGATTAACATTCCATTGTGAATTGATTGCTGAATATTGATTTCCAAGATTACTATTAATTTTCCATGGTTTATTGTTGAACATTAAAACCTGACTCGACTTAATACTTTCAAGTGTACGACCAAGACTGCTCTCAGAACTCGATAGATCAATTGCATATTGAATAGTTGATTGATCATCAATGTAAAGATATCCATTTGACAATGGTAGTTTCTTGATATACCACCACTGAACTATTTGGTTGTCAGGTGACAAACAATTAGGATCAGCAGCTAAACTATTATTATTACTACAAATAAATAAAAAAATAAGTAAATATATAAATATTTATTCTTCATTTTAATAATAAATTGAAAATCGTATGATCAATCATACATACCTTTTTAATTAGAATTAGATATTAATCGTTCATTTTTAAATTAGGATTCTAAATCGCTCGTTTCACAAAACCTGAACAATGAAATAATATCTTTGGTTCCAAGCTAAAAATCTTTTCAAAAGTTAAAGATCAATCCATCAATCTTTTGTACATTTATATACCAAACGACATATGAAATGATTGAAAGAACGAGTTCCTCAAATGATCACACCAAGTTTGTTGAAGATTCAATCAAAAATAAATATTTCTATAATTTTTAAAATATTTTTTTTTAAAAATTTTGCAGGTCTTCATTTTTGATTAGCTAATCATCTTTATGTTCGTTCACGACTCTTCGAACCAAAATGAATGATTTTATTATTATAATACTAATGATTAGTGATCACCTTTATTTGCATATTTTTGGTGTAGGGTGTTCAACTATGATCATAACGACGAATCTGCAAATGTAACAAAATTATCTTTTTGATTGAATAAACTACTTGGTACAAGCACGAAGCAATCACGACCGAATAGAAGTAAGTGATCATTTGTTTCCACTCTATTCTTTTCAATTCAATTCCTTTAGAAAAGATTTGATGAAAGAGATAAAAATAGTTTTATTATTCTTAACACTGATTGTGTTGCCTTCTGCACTCTCAGTGTTTGTTATTGACAGTCATGTCTATAAAGAAGGTTTCAGGATATCTATTCAACTACCGCCACAATACGCTTTTGATCCGACTAAATTCAAGGTGACAGTAACAGACACCACCGATGTTAAAGACTGTCAATATGTTGGTGTGGTAGGTAGCGGTGATACAGTTGTCTATCAGATACCGGATCTAAGACAAGCGGTTGTCGACACTAATGGCGATGGTCTACCAGATCGACCACTGAAAAGAACCAAGTCAAATACCATCGATAAGAAATACTCTTTGGTTATACTTGATCAAGCAACTACCAATCCTTCACAATCATTCGATTTAGAGTATATCAGTAAGTACAAATATTATTCACAAAACTACACTATTATTATTATTAGTACTTTTATTTTATTAACTAAAATGATCTTGTATTTTTATTAGCACCATCTGTAACTGCATTACCTAATAATATAATATTAGAAGGAATGAAATCATTCAAATTTATTGGGTTGGATCTTTTCTATCCAAATTTCGCACCTAAAATCACTATTATAGATATGATCGATCCAAATAAGTTGTACGATTGTTTTGTAACGCAAAGAGTATCAAAAGATGAAATTCAATGTGATTCTTCTCTTCAAACTATTCCACTTGGTGACTATACAGTAAACTTTGAATATCCTGGTTCATCTATTAAACTAAAATCTCTACTTAAAATATTTAATCGTAAGTTTAAAAAAAATAAAATTGAATATCGATCACTCATAAATTTAATCTAATTTTTATTTATTTTTATTTTTTTATTATTTATATCTCAAAGCAAAAATTATTAAACCACTGGACACACCCACTCTAAACTCTCATCTGATTTATGATGACCCAACTAATTTTATTACAATCAAATATAATTCACTTATTTTTGGTTTAAACATCAATCATGTAAAAGTAAATTTAGTAGGTCAGACCAAATCGGTAGACTGTAAAGTTCAACAATTAACAGGTGACAATGAAATTAAATGTTCATTAGACACTCCAGCCGAGTTTGAAGATGGTGTAGTAAATGCTATTGTCACTATAAACGGAAATACTCTAACAGAGTTTCAGCAATTTAAATTCTTTGGTATGTTAAAATAATAATGTATTATAAATGAATGAATATTAATTATTAACACTATATTTATTAGTTCCAAAGTTTAAAGATTCTATGGTATCTGAATTCATCGGCGATATGACAGGAGGTGAAATGTTTGAGATAGAAGGAACTAATCTTGATCCTTCTGGTACCGTTTACTTTGAGACTCTAAACACTCAAGTTAAATGTATATTCAAGAAAGCAGTACCACAACAAACAGATTTCGATAGTTATGAATGCTTTGCGCCTACATTCTTCCCGACAACAGATCCTGCTCTATGGTTATATTCTATCAAAGCAAAGATGTATGGAAGAGATTATACTACTGTTTATACTTTTCAATATAATTGTAAGTAAAATTAATATATAAATTTAATTTTAAATAAAATCTAATAAATATTGATAATCTGTAAATTAAATAGATCCAAAGATTGATAATACACAAACTTCAATGCCTATAATCAACAAAGGAAGTTCAATCGTAACAATTAAAGGAGATCATTTGACAATGGTTAACAAAGTAGATTTGAATGGCATTACTATCAATCCAAATGACTACCAAACAACTGCAAACTCGATTAACATTGAAATTGATTCCCAAGCACTATCCGTTACTAAAACAATCAAATTCTTTGTTGAAAAGGTTCAAATTGGTGCCGCCACTCCTCTTTTATTTGAAGTAGTACAAAATATAGATTTTAAATTAGTTTGTAAGTGTGTTATTGTTAGTTTTAAAATTTATTTTATTATTTTAACTTTATTAACTTAATTGATAGCACCAAGTATCAAAGCTAGAGATGACAAATCACTTTCAATATACTTTCTCGATGATCCAACCACCAAATCTATTTTATTTGATCTCATTGATTTCCCAGAGAATCAAGACTATTCCATTATGTTGGGAGATGACGAGTTAAAGTGCGAACCAGATACCAATATATCACCAACTCCGATCAAATGCAATGGAATCAAGCCAACCACTGAATTGACACTCCCTAAAGAATATCCATTTAAGATTGTATTTGATCCAACCAATGTCAAACCAAACTTTATAAAAGTGTTTGACACTTTACTAAAATTTAAATATATTGGTAAGTTAAATTATTTTATCATGGAGACATATAAAACAATATATTGATATTCACTTTTTCCATTTCCTAAAGGAATTTCCTTTAATGTTGAAAGTAACAAGGCAATAGATATAATGAAAATCAATTCAGGATATCTAAGATTGGTTAATGGAGAAAGATTGGATGCTGCCAATTCAATTTCCATTGGAGAATCAATGATACCCATTGATAATGTTCTCACAATCAAGAGAGTAAATTCTCCAGATCTTTTTGTCACAGGAAGAGTCTTAAGTAACAACGCTCAATCTCTAAAGATGCTAATAGACCGCAACACTGTCCAATACTCTGACGATCTCTTTATTATTTCTATGGTTGGTCTATATCAGAGTCATACTCCAACTACAGTTACATTCTTTGATATCGATTTGACTACAGATGAAGTTCTTCCAACCACAACAACAATTAGAGGTATATTTATAAGTCAAAAGGATCATCTCGGTACTATATTGGTTGAAGGTGATTACGATTACAATTCAATGTTACTCACTGTTGATACCGTTACCTACGATATAAGTTTAATCAAGCAAGTTAAATCGGTTTATTCAATATCTTTGAGCACTGTTGGTTTGGACCCACCTACAAACAACTATCCAACAAATCCACCAAGAGCTATGATTGAGATTGAGTTGTTTGGAGTCACCTATCTCAACAACGTTGTTCAATTCCCAACAGACAGATCATTCATACTCCAAGTTGATTTTGACAACATCAAAGAAAGTGGTTGTTTATTGGTAACACCCGTTGGAAATAAACAATCAATTGCCTGTGCACTTCCGCCACCAAACTCCAAAGATTTGGAAATAAGACCATTGAAATATTTAATTGGACAAAAAACAATCACCACTGATATATCTATTGAATTTAAAGGTGACTATTTCTTATAAAATTAAATACAAACATATTTTTAATACTAATTTAATTTAGTTCCTAGAATCATAAGTGCAACTCCATTATTTGGATCGAAATATAATGATGATTTATTAACAATCACTTATACCAAAGGAGATATTCAATTCATTGAAATTCGACTCATTAAATTATCTGGTGTTACCATCGTTCTACAATCTTGTACTGTTGAAACAGCAGTACCTGGAACTACTAATCAATTCCAAATGACCTGTACAAAGCCACTTGGAAGAGATAGCGGAAACTATTTGATTCAAGTTATCGATAAACAAACAAAAATGATTTACTCCTTAGAGAGAATCTATTTTAATAACTATGGTAATTACTTAATATAAATTTTACCAACATTTAATAATAACGTTAATAATAATTTTTACTATTTCAAAAATATAAAAAAAGGTATTTCTTGTTTGGGACAAGCAGATGGACCAGTAAATCAGTATAATAACAAACCAGTTTCATGGTGGTTCACCTATAAGCTAGGAAAAAGAGGTACTTTTGATCAAAATGATTATAATAGTTATCTCTATATGGATGAATCAACTGATTCAATTGTAATGAAAGAGCATCTGACTCCGATTAGTAAGAAATATGGAGGTGTTCAACAACAATTCGACAGAAATCAAAAACTATCTCCACTTGCAGCTACTTTTAAACAATTGGATGCAACCAACACCTATTATTATTTGTAAGTAAAGTTTTATGATTATTTATATAATATTAACACTATATAAACATAAACAATACTAGCTGGAATGATCAATATGGTGCAAGAGACTCAGATGGTGCCCGTGGTAATGAGAAATCAGCAGATAATTATGCACATGCTAAAGGTATTTATAATTTATGATAGTAATAATATCAAATTAATTAAGATCATTATTAATTAAAATAACATTTGTGAAGGATTTATCATATATGATATTGAAGATGGTGTTGCCAAAGGAATTCACGTAACTCACTCTAATCCAGTCTTTCCATCTCTGAATGGAAGATTCTATGACCATTTTGCCGCTGCTCCATCCTATCCATCGAAATGGCTTGGTAAAGCTGACAACGGACAAAATTTCTTTTGTTATAACTTTGAAGATCTCGGCAGTGTTGTTGACGATATGGTCAAAACCGGTGTATTCTTGTTGGATCCAGTCGATGGAAATAGAGTACCAGACAATACTATAATGTGTCGTGGAAATATTCCTTGTGTCGATCTCTACAGACTTGGCAACAGACTTTCTATACTTTCAAGATATCAAACCTATATTGATGTAAGATTTAAATTGTTTTTAATTAATGACTTATTGGAAATCCAAAAACACTAACTTATTCAATTGAATTCAATAATAATTTGTAAAAAAGGGATGTACAAATAGAATTAGAGATATATATGATAGAAGACTGGATGAAATAGCAAGAGCAGTCAATGACCAATCTTTTATTAATAAATTAATTGGCAATCGATTGACACTTGCTCAGATACGAACATTGAATATCAATCATCCACCTCAACGATACCAAAATTTGGAAAATCATTGCTATTGGATGTCGGAGAGTAAAATCAAAGGAATTCAAAGACCATCAATTACCAAAACACTAAAGTCATTCCCAAAACCAAATATCAATATTCCCAACGATATCAGAGATAATGTGTTTGCAATCGAATCTGGCAATGACTACACATTAGCTAATCCATTGATTCCATGGGAGATAGTAAACAAAGTCGGGCATTTAAAATATGATGGTGTTGATATTTTTGAAGTGATTGCAACACTCTATTACAAAAGAAAATTCTTTGTACAAACATGGAACAGTATGTAATAATATTTTATTCAACAGGAAAACGTTAACGTTAAATTTTATTAATATTATTATTATAAGCTGGTTCCTCACAATTGCCAGTTTATCAAGTTTTACCATTAAATCAAATCACTCATCTTCGTAAGTTTTCCAAATTATAGAATTCACCTAGTTAAGACTTATTAAATGAAAATTATTATCTTTTTTCAAACTTCAGAGTTCAATGATGATTTAATGAGACGAAGAGATTCTCAAAATAATTTGTTGGGAACAAGTTGGCCTAGACCATCATATTCTGGAGCAGGACAAGATCACTCGAAATTTATGATTGATGCTTTCCCATATGAAGTTGAAAATGCTGCCATTTGTTTTGGAGATGGAAATCGTCACAATAAACAGGTAATTATAATTTTATTTATATTTTTCATGAACAACAAACACTTAATTAATAGTTATAAATTGTAGCCTGAGAGAGGTGGTGGTGCAGTATGTTTCGAAGATGATCAATTGGTTCGCCAACTCTTTAGTTTTATTCGAGGTTATTCGATCAAAACTCATGGAAATGAAGAAATTAATAAATACAAAGATGGAAGAATCTTTAGTCATTTGGTCGACCAGAATATTCGAATAGATGTCCGCAACTTTATTGGAGATGTGAAGCTTGCCGTAAAAAGAGGAAATGGACATCCTTTCATTCCTGAAGTGCCGATTACTAGACACATAATAAACGGTCCAGTCAACACAATGAAACAGATCGACACCCAAATCCGAGTGGTAAGAACAATATCTCCATTTCCAAACGATGCAGCTTCTCCAAATCTAGAAGAGGTATCTGTACTCAAACCGTACGTCGCTCAGTACCTTTGGACGCCTGTTGTACCACCTGCATCGGAACCACCAGGTAGAAAATCAGTAAAAACATACGCTGAAGCTACACATATGACACTTGAATATCTTTCAATGGATCCAGTTGGATTGACAATCAATTCAATTGATTCACTTCAATTGTGTGGCAACGATCTTACCTCTGCAATAGATAACCAAATGAGACAGTGTCTTGATGATAATCCCATATCAACAAGAATCACTTACAACGGGGTCAATCCAACTTTTGCCAATGATAATCAAATTGTGCTTGCTCATCAACAGTATTTTACGGCTAGTGACAGTAGATCCTATATCTTGGATTCAACAACCAACTATGAATTTGGAATCACTTCATTCATTCCTAAATTCAAAAGTACTATAGCAGATGTAACTTCAAGATTCAATATAATCATTGATTCAAGCATAGTTCCAATTTCACAATACAACTATCCGTTTATCTACTACAAACAAACTGTTTCGATCCAAAAAGATATTACATTGGTCTATTTTCTCTTGACTCAAAAGATTATGAATCATGAGAAATACACAACCATCTCAAAAAACAACGACCAATGGGGAAATGCAGTGATCATGGTTATTTCAAAGTTTGTTCATACCCTAATCAACAATCCAATGAACCCAATACCATCACCTGATTTTTCATCATTTTCATTGATAGTACCAATAACTACAATAAATGATATCAGTATTAAACCGTAAGTTTAAAACATATCAACCGCCAAGATTTCAAACAACATAAATACTAATATTTATATTTAGTAATGACAATGATAATGATTTTACAAAAGTTGCTTATTTAATTTGGAAATTAATGACCCAACAAGTAAATCCATTATCTTTTTCTGATATTTTGGCAGATCTTGATCTCTTTAAATCAACAACTACTGTTGATTTATATGAGAGATACAAACCAAAGATCAATCCACCAGATCCAAATATCGAGAAACTATTCAAGCCAGCACCAGCTATAGGAGTGACTGGTACTCGTTCTTCCAAACTTGGAGCACAAATCAAACAAGCAACATCTTCTCAACTTGCCGCACTATTAGAATCTACTCTGATCGATCCAAAGGATATTTTCGATTTGGATTCTCACGAAACTAAACAGCTCTCGGATTCATTGGATATGTGGGCAGAAAATAGAATGATTTCAAGCCTTTTTGGATCATCACATTCAAATGAAATCAAATATCTTGATGAATTTTACAGAGTGTCATTGAAAAATGGTCTTTGTCCACATTATTCAATCAATAGTATCACGCACTATCAAATTTGTAGAGCAATGTCAATCGTAGAATTCACCAACATCATCAGATATACACAACAGTCATTGAAATCAGTGAAATATTCATTTGGTGAATTGGAATATTCCTTTTCACCAATGTCAATAAATTTCAAATCAATCTTTTTGGACACCAATTCTTTTGATGGAATATTGATTGCATCCATCAATTCAAAGCTCTGTGATATCAAACTTATCAGACAATCACAACTTAGGAATATTGAATCAATAGATATTTGTAAAATTCCAGTTATCAATAATATTATTCCAAGCAACACCAGCAATAATAATTTAATAACAATCAATGGATTTAACTTCTATCCAACAACACAAATCTCTATTTCCTCAGAATATCAATGTTTATCACAACAATTCCTAAACAGTACAAATATTGTTTGTGAAATGCCAGATCTAATGGATAACAACAATATTGTTGTTAGAGTTGATAATGTTGTCAATGACCAATCATCGTTCTATGTCACAAACAAATGCCCGATCATCAATGATATTGTGATTCAGACTACCGACGAATTGCTTTCATCTTTGGGTGGTGACATTATTGAAATCAAAGGAAATTATTTTGGAAATTCTTTGTTGAATACCCAGGTTTTCTTTGAACATCAACAATGTTTCATCATAAAAATTGAAGATACATCCATTCAGTGTGTTACACCACCACATTTTGGTATAAATATTCCAATTCGCATTAAAACAAGAAATTGTCCAAACATTCAATCAAATGATCAAAGAATATCGTTCTCCAATCCAACTATTAGTACTGGTCAATCCATTGACTCGTTCAAATTCCCTGGTGATTCAATTTTGTTAAGTGGATCGTTTGGTTCATCTCCTCAGTTATACTTGGAAGAGAAACTATATTCATTTGAACTTATCAACGCTGAAACAATCAAATTTACCATTCCAAACGACGTTTTAATTCCTTTCAGTGCGCTGCCTTTGAAAATAAAGTGTAGAAACTCACAGGCAATTTATTGGTTATCTTTGTCATCAGGCTATTTCGCACCAAGATCTATCCCTCTTATAGTTCCAACTAAAGGAATGGATGTAATATTCGACGGTGATTCATTTGGACTATCATCGAGTGAAATCGACAACATCACACTCAGCAATGGTGCAAAACTCATTGGATGTCACCGACACCAATACTTTATGGAATGTTCAGTACCTCCAGGAATTGGTTCAATCCTCTCTGTAACCGTAAATATCAAATCAGCTCTATACAATTTCAATGAAATTAAATCACCATCAAACTATATATCCTATGAGCACCCGTCGATTGAAAATTATATTATGGATAGTACAAAGATTACAATCAAAGGTAGAAACTTTGTTCCTGTTGGAGTTTCACCTTTGGCATCAAATATATATTTTAGCAATACCCAAACCAATTGGATGATATGTCAAAATACTACGTTTGTTGATGATCAAACAATGGTTTGTAATCAAATTCCAACACTCGATTACCAAACTCAATTCAATACCTATGTGAACGTAGGTGGTCAAACTTCAAACATCATCTCAGGAAAAGTTACATTTGTCCAAGGATATGTTTATTTGGACTCTAATTTCAACAATGCCAAAGATTCCAATGAACAGATATTTACAAATTGCAGAGTTACACTATCGATCGATTCGATTGACAAATACGTTGCATCCTGTGACACCAAAGGATATTATTTTTTTACTTCAATTACCCCTGGAATATATGAATTATCAGCGAGCATTAACAGCGCAACCAAATATTTCATTATTATATCAACTTCAATGCTAAATGTTTCCCAATCACAGTTCATTCAACAGGATATAGGTGCAGTTGAAGATACTGGATATAATTGCTATGCAACTTTTAATTCATTGACATCACCTTATAAATTGACGTTACCTTATGGTGCATATGATCTCTCCTATTATGAATGGTGTAGTGGTTTAGATGTTTGTAAATACACAATTTCAAATGTCGTAAGTTTTTAATATTTTTTTAAATATTTTTAATCAAATTATTAATGTTGATATTTTTATTTCTTTAGGTAATGAGTAGTTCTGATTGTACTTGGAATATTCTTTCCAATTCAAAAATATCAATTACTTATTGTAAGTAATAACCTTAATTTGCTAAGAAAACAAAATAATATTAATATTTTTAAATTTTTAATATAGCATCTACGATAACATTGAATTTTAAGAGAGATAATTTGGTACCACCAGGTTTTGATTCGACTCCATTTAGTGATTCATCTATTTCAGCAGAGATCAGATTCTCTTTCTATCAGAAACAATACATCTTCAAACAATACAACCAGGATTCTCAAATTATCTTTAGAGTTCCAGTAGTCAAGTCAATGGTGAATATTCAAACTGCCAATCAAACACAAATTTCAGTACTCAACAACTTTGCAATAACAGCTCCCAGCACAATGACAATTCCTATATTCATTTGGAAAAATACACAAATTTTACCAGTGGTTTTATATGATAAATCCAATGGACAAGGTTCTACACTAACACTCCCACCTGGTTATCATAATGAATATACACTCAATCATCTTTCCTGGGTATCAAGGGCAATGTCAATCTCGATCCCTCCTCAATATCTTGTCCACATAGATCACGACATTGTTACTGGTGTTCCAACAATCTCTTATTCTGGGGATCCCTCAACACAATTTGTCAATTTTATCAATGTAATAAGTAAAACTATTGAAATTTCATATAAATGTAAGTTTTAAATTAGAATATTAAGAGGCTATCCAAAACTAATTATTTTTTCAAAAAAAAGCAATGTTTGACAGATTAAGTTTTACAGGTGGATACCACTCGTTCCTTAATACCTATATTGATCAAACATTGATCCAATTTTTAATTGGTGGTAAGTCAAAACTCTTAAAAATTATTAAAATATTAAAACCAATCTAATTAAATTATCAATATAAAGATGATCAGTTAATGTGTACAAATACACAGTGTTATTTCACATCAGATGTTGGACCAAACGTTGTGAATATCAAGTACAATGGAATTAAAATTTACACCAATTACACAGTAACTTATACAAGTAAATATCTTCCTCAAAACTTTATTCTTGTTCAAGTAATTAACTAATATATTTTTAGGTCCTTACGGAGATCTTAATCAATACCCATACCTCGACACAAAGAATGCTACCAAGGACAGATTGAAAATTAATCAGTACCTACAAGTCAAAAATGGATCCACTGTTATTTCACAGATTTCATTTGATTCAAACGGTTTGTCGGTAATATCAGTAGGTAGTGCTTTACTAAGAATTACACCATTGATGTACTCAAGTTCATCATGCATCGGTGAAGATCAACTGGTATTCAGAGATGGTGTACTATGTATTTTCACAGTTAGAAACAACCAACAATATTGTACGAGATGGTGTCTGAATAATGAAAATCTCAAGGCCAGATATCTAAGATTACTACCATATGGAATCGTTCTCCAAAATGAACAAATGGAAGTGATCTATGTAAAATATCAAGCGGATAACATAGCCAGTGTTGTCAGCCAAGATTATAAGAGAAGATTTATCAATCCAAGAGTTTATTCTACCGTTCAATTGGATAACCAAAATCCCAACAACAATACGCTTTATGCCTATGGATCGGGAAGTCCATCAGTTCTCACCAATGGAATACACTACATGATATTGGACGCCTCGTTTTGCCAACTTAGAATTTATAGTGATATGAAATTTGGAGTGGGATCACAACTATTGTTTATATCAAGCTATGTTGTTGCACCGGGAGTTCCAACAACCAATTGCAAATTGAATTTCGGTTTGGATGGAAATCTTTGTGCTACGACACCCGATGCCACTAAAATAGTGTGGTGTGCATACACTCAGCAACTTGGTGGTCGGTACTTTGGATTGCCACCCGCATACACTTCATCTCAAATCGGATTCTACATGACCAACTCCAAAGGTAGAATGGTATATGGAAGATTTGCTAATCTAATGGAGACATCGGAATTGAAAATGATTCCAGGAAGTTTCATTGTCGAGTCCACCCAAGAGTTTTATCCAGACATCGAAGACAGAAAGATCAATGTAGGTGCGTTTATAACGAATGGAGAGTCTTATCTCAGACTTGAAAGCAATGGTCAACTTAAACTCTACGACTCCAATCCCTACAATACTATTGGTTCACCGCTACCAAAGGTAATGTGGAGTTCATTTGTAGCGTTTTCAGCACCATACAACGGTCCTATGTACGCCGAATTGAGATTATCATCAATCACTATTTGTACTCCAACTTCAACGTTTTCCGGTGGTAAACTGGCAGTAACCAATGCCTTTGCTTCAGTGCTGCATTTAAGTTGGATGGCAATGAACAAAGAGAATGACTGGGGACTTTTATTCCTAAGTAGTGAAACCAAGATTATCAGTGGTCATCTTCCAATACCTGGTCAAATTAACAACTTTATCCCGGTCAATACTATAACAAAAGATTCGTTTGAAAACGATTACGTTAGATTCAGATTAAATAGCCAACCAGGAATAATCGATCTTTATCACCTCCAAACCAATTTAGTTGTTTGGTCAAGTCTTACCACCAACATTCCAGCGAGATCATCGTGCGCCAATTATAAATCAGACTTTTTAAACAACTCTACACTCCCACAACTCTGTCTCTACACTTCGATAGGATCACCCGTCAACTGTAACTACTCGGGAGCCTACTGGTGCCAACAATTCTCACTAGGTACAACATACCTTCAAACAGCTTCATCCATTCCCGAACTAATAGCAACAAAAGATGACGGAAGAATAACATGGACTGCCAACTCTATAAAATACGCTAAACTGACAAAATAGAATCAATAATAATAATCATCGTTGATCGTTACTCGACTTTTCATTTAAAATCGTCGAAAAACACACACCGCTGTGTCATAAATTTCCAATAAAACAATGTTTTTTTCTTATTTTTTTCGTCTTCCAAAAACGTTAATCGATTATTTAAATAAATAAATATGATATTATTATTATTACTGTAACAATAAATAAAGTTAACTTTATTTTATCAATAATAATAATAATAATAGGCTGAGAATGAAAGATATCAACTTTATTTCTAAATCATGTAATGATACGTATATTTATCATAATGAAGTGGTCAGAATCATGGCTGATTTCAATCATTCTTTGAATTTGATATCATTGTCAGATTCCGACATACAACCACACGAACAACAAAACGATAAAGATAATTTACAACAACAAGCAACAAATATACTAAATAAACAATTCAAAAATTGTAATCAACCATGTTTCACAGAATATAGATCGTTATCTATTTATTCCGATAATAATAATAATAGTAATAGTATCGATATTATTCAACATTTTAATGAATCACAATTACAGACATTACCTGTAAACACATTACTTCTTTCTAAATATAATCGATTAAAAGCATGTTTACATATTGATCTTTATTACACTCTAGACGGTAGAGTAATAGAGAAACTACATACTTTTATCGATGGTATTATAGATGTAAATAACGATAACAACACAACAACAACCTATATTGAAAATATAGAGTAAGTTTAACCATTTATTTGTTTCATTAGTAAAAGTTATAATATCTAATAACTATTCTCTAAATCTAGATCTATTTTCAAGTCAAAAACTAAATCGAATGGTGTAAAAAATAACTTTATTACGAGTGGTAGATATCATTGTTATTTAGAGTTATCAGAGATACTGAGGAATCATATGTATTCTGGTTTATTCGAGATACATATTACTGTGAAGAATGACGTCGACGATGCAGGTAATGACATTGTCGAACATTTCAAAGATGTTTGTAAAACTATCGGTTGTAAACCAGTGCTCATAGAGTTACCTAAAGGTGAACATCCAACGCAGCTGATGACCTCTTTCTATCACCGAGCCGAGTCACTCGCTCACATACAACGACTGGCCTATCGTCAAGCACAACAACTGATAGACCAACGATTTACTATCACCAGAATCAAAGTAGAGATTATGTTCTCCGGTGAGGGTGTTCCGCTTGGCGACGACCAGCAATCACTCGACAAAGTATCATCGGAGAACTACTTTGAATTTCATATCAAACTGACGCTGCCAAGCGATTATCACGATTATTCGGAATTGAATACGATAGTAGCGAGACACAATGCACATCTATCAAAGAACGCATTCAAATCGAGTGGTGGTGAGCAACAACGATTCGTAACGATGCGACTCTATCACACCGGTAAACAATCGGCGGAACACAGATACCTCGCCTGTGTGGACGACCTCGAACAACACCAATACACTATTACCGCTAAAATGAGAGAATACTCAATATACGACTCCAATGTACATTTAGATAAAGGTTGGATTGAATATTCAACAACAAAATAATATTTATAACAAAAATAAATAAATATTAATATATTATTATTAATTAAATAAATCAATAAAAAAACAGTTTTATTTTCTTAGAAAATTTAAATGCTTACGAAAAACCACGCAAGTTCAGGCTGGTCACACATCAACAAAATTCTTTTTAAACAATGAGTACTAATTAGTACTCATTAAACTTTGAACTATTATTCTATTTATTTATATAACTTTAAGATTTGTTGTTATTAAAATGTCAATATTAAACTTATCACATTTTTTAATTCAAAAAATAATTTCATTATTAGATAGTAATATTGATAGAATATGTTTGATATTCAGTTGCAAACAGTTTTTCAGTGTAAAAGATAAGATATTGTACTTTAATCATAAGTACATTACTTGTACAGATTCAGAACTTTACTATCACTCGATATTCAAACTGAAATCATTTAAATCTATTTTAATTCAATCCATTATTAATCAATCAAATGGTGTAAATAGTTTATATATTTCACATGATATCTCTGATAGGTATATAAGTCCAATTGATTTAGAATCAATAAATGATATTGAAGATAAAGGTAAGAATGCTTTATTTATTTTAAATATACTATAAACAAATTAATTTAAACAATATTTTTGTTCAGATCATTTAACAGAGTTAAAGATTAATTTTTATTATAAGTCAATTGAAACTAAACTAATTCCACACAATTTAAAGAAATTGATTCTTGATAAATTCAATCAGAATCTTAAAAAAGGTGATCTATATCTAGACCACCTGGAATATTTGAATCTTGGACCTGCATTTTCATCGATGATCGAAGATGGCAGTTTACCACCAAATCTAAAGTATTTAAATTTAGGTGGTATAGTAGAATTCCCTACTTCTCTACCAGATGGAATTGAATATCTAGAGTTTGGAAATAGATTCAATAAGGTGATTGATGTGAAGCTACCAAGTCATTTGAAAACAATGATTTTTGGTCAGCTGTTCAATCAGTCACTTGAAAGCACTGTATTTCCACCAACGCTAAAGCGAATAGTGTTTGGATACTACTTTAACGAAAAGATATGTCAGTCTGCATTGATAAACTTGGAATCCATTGAATTTGGAAATAACTACAATAAATCATTTACGAGATGTGGTTTGGAGTTACCAGAGACATTGAAAGAGATTATTGCTAGTTTCAAATTCTATCGGGCAAATCGTTATTCCAATATCCCAACGACAGTCAGTACACTAACTTTAAAAACAAGATATAGAACACTAAGTATTAGAAGAGGTGAAGGTGGTTTCTTCACCAACGACCATGTACTGATGCTTAATGATCTTTCTGCTGGTGGACTTATCAATACGATTCAAGCCGATGAGATTCTCATAGATCAAAGTGAAATCCTGTTGGAAATGGATCAAATGGATAGACAATTGCAAATAAAACAAGATAGAGGTATAACAGAGGACCTGGCGCTTCCTGGTGATCAATGGTTTGACCAAGTCGGTGATGGTTCTGATATCGACGACCACGATGATTTCTTTTCGAATGTAGATTTAGATTATTATATGCCTCTTGGAAACAATAACAACTATGATGAAGATCTTGATATGGATGAATCAATGGATAATGATTTATAAAAACAAAAAAAACAAACTATTATTTCCTTTTTTTTTTTTGTATAATTTAAAAAAATATTATAACAAACAATAAATAAAATATTTTATTATTTTACTCTACTTTCTTACGGTTGACTGGAGCGCTCTTCTTGGAGGAGTATGACTTGATGTAGAAACGAATAAAGAGTCCAATGAAGAGAGTGTTGATGACGTATGAGACGATGGCTGGAGCGATTCCACCTTGACAGTTCTCTGTCTTTCTAATGTAGAACCAATGTGATACGATGGCAGTTCCAGTGAGGAACTGAATGATTTGTGAGGTGGTAATGTAACGCTTGAACCAACAGTCGTTTCCGAGGGTGGTTTGGAGGTAGTAGTAATACATGATGGTGTGGATGAATGAGTTGACCAAGACGCACCACCAGGAACCGACCAACCATTGGTCGTTGAGCCATTGCCAGGTGACTGGAACCATTGCCATATGATGGAAGACGTGCAAGAAAATCAATGGCTTCTTTTTGAGTGCCAAGATGACAGTGTCAAAAAGTTCGTAGTATTTGGAGACGTAGAATACATAGATCCACCAACCGATTCTACCGTTGACTGCATTTGGCTTGTTCTCACAGAGCAATGAGAATCCACCTTGCTCTTGTGCTTGTCTATAGGCTGCTTCCAAAACACCAAGCATCATAGTGAGTGACAATACAATCAAATTGAAATTGTGAACAATTGAAACTCCTTTCAAAGTCATTGGTTTTCTATCTTTCATGAATTTCTATAAATATTTATTTTATTTTATAAGATGAGAAAATTTATAAATAATTTGGTCAATAAAACATATTTGAGATATATATAATAATAGATTATCTCTTACGTTCAATCCATAAATGACAACCAAATAGGTGATGGCAGTAGCTGCTGGATAGATTCGACTGGAGAGTGGTGTATTTTCATCCCATTTGAAATTATCCATGAATCCTCCAATTTGACTAGACAATGTTTGGATATCCATCTTTTTCTAATCTAAATAAAATAAAGCAATAAATAAAATTACTTATGACTTTAATTAATTAAATTAAATCTCTCTTAAGTGTCTACTTAAAATGAACTCGAAAAGGGTGGTTGTTTTTTGATCAAAGCAGGTAGGTCCTTGATTTCTTTTAAAAAAAAAAAAAAACAAAACAAAAAAATTATAAAAATTAGAAAACTTTTATTTAATTTTATTTTGATTTGTTTAGTTTCGCCCGCTTCAAATTTGCACTGACGCCATTGCCTCGCTCGATCAAATCAATTTTTTTTTCATTATAAAATTGATTAAAAAAAAAAATCCGAAAAAATATATCTTTTTTTTTTTTGATTTTGCTACCGTTTCACACCCCAACATAACCCTCCTAAGCGCTTATGAAATAAAACAGTTTATGATTAACTTACAAAGCAAATAATAATATAATTATTGTTTTATTTGCATGTGAATTGTGTGTTTTGATGTTTTCTTTTTGCTATATTATAATTGTTGTAATATTATTATTAATTTAAATGTCATCAGTCAAAAAGTCATCTGGAAGAACAATCTTTTCACCGACTTTGAATGCAGGTAATCCTCTATATGGACAACCCTTGCACCGGAAAGCATCACCCAATGAACAACTGCCACAGTTACTGTTGACACCAGGATTATCCAACATCTCCTTTGTTAACTTTGGCTTTGGTGGTTCTTCACCAGCTGCCTCCATCTCTGCTCTACCACAAGTACAGTTCTTACATGCCTTTTTCTTTGAACCAACTTCACAATCGTCCAATGATGCTTTTTAAATTTTAAAAAAAAACAATAATTTATTAGAATTAATTTTTGTTGACAAAAAATCATAATCATTTAATAAGTTAGAACAATATACATACTTGATGGCTTAGCATTCTTATCTGTTTCACTTAATAAATCATTTTCGTCCATTGTAGCATCGTTATTAATTGCGCCCCAACCAGCAGACTTTGCTTCGATCTTTACGGTATCGCTTGTACCTTGATTCCAATCTGGCTTGGTAGCAGATGTAACAAACTATCGTAAAATAAATATATGTTTGTTTTGTTAGTATATATTATTATTATTTTGAGATAGGATAACACATAAATAAGGTAGGTATTTAGTAATGTAGTTGATAACATACCAAACCGTTGGCTTCTGATTGAACGACATCGACTAAACCATTCATCAAGAGGTCGAGTGTAAGGTTTTGTTGTGTAGACTGATAGATTCCGATAGATCCACCTGCATTCAATTGTTGAGCGAGTTGTTGTAATCCTGTTACATTGGCACCACTGACAATGATTATATGGTTATAGGTTTGTCCTGCAGCAGCCAATTCACTAACAGAGTTTGACACTGAATTCAATAACTCTATGATCTGTTGGTATGCTGGATAGTCTTTACTAATCAAAGCAAGAACATTCTCTGTCTTTTTAATCTTTGAAACATCAATAACTGACATTTTTATATATATGTATAATATCTATTTATTTAAATAAACTAATAAAAAATAAAAAAAAAAAGACAAATTAATTTAACTTTTATTTTTTGAAAAAAAAAAAAAAAAAAAAAAACAAAATGTTTTTTACACTCATTCTAGAATAAAACGACGTCTTGATTATTCATAGATATATATTTCTTCAAATATAGCTAAATCTTTAACCATCCCATCTGATTTAAATCATTATCTTTAAGATTAATAGTTTATTAAGATTTAATTTATACATTTTCTAATTTCTTATCAGAATCTTTTTATTTATTTATTTTTTATTATTGTTTGTAACAAAGATTATTTGTTTCAACAAAAAATAGAATTTCATTGTATTACCGATTATCACCTTATGATATCACGATATTTTCATTCACTTTGAGATTTGATTGGTCAATGACATTAATTAATTTCTTTTAACTGCAAATTTTGCAAAAACTATGCATGGGAATGAGTTTGTTAAAAATCCCAAACATTGAAAATGATTTGCTGATTTAGTACTGCAGTGTTTTCTAGCCTGTAATGAATGAACCATGACAATAAAGAATGCTTTTATTAAAATCGTTGTTAAATTGTTTATAATATAATTTGTTTATTTATTGTTATAAAAAAAAAAAAATGAATAGTTTACTTGTATATATAAATAACTTTGAATGGGTCACTGGAGTGACACCGTTCTCCTCGGTTTGGACTCCTCTGATCGCAACTTTTGCCTATCTAGTGGTTATCTTTTCATTGCAAGAGTTTATGAAAAATAGAAAGGAGATACATTTACATTACATCTGTTTGGCTCACAACCTATTTCTATCTGTTTTGTCATTGGTAATGTTCCTCGGTATTCTTGTGCCACTCTTTATCACAGAAGTACCACAAGGTCTCTACCATATCGTTTGTAAACCAGTCACCAAAGGTCAAATCCAATTTTTCTACTACATTTTCTATCTCTCCAAAGTTTATGAATTCTTGGACACAATATTTTTAGTATTAAGAAAGGTATGTAATTTATTTAAAACAATAAATTTTTATCAATAATATATATTAATTTATTTTAAAATAAATATTATTTTATATCTATACTTTTTATATATTTAGAAAAAATTATTATTCCTACATGTATATCATCATTTCATTACATTCTGGTTATGTTGGATTAGTTTAGATCAAAATACAGGATTCCAATGGGGTGATATCATTGCCAATTGTTTTGTACATATTGTGATGTACTACTACTACTATCTATGTGAGCAAGGTCAAAATCCATGGTGGAAGAAATACATTACACGTGTACAGATAATTCAATTCGTTTTCGACATATGTCTACACAGCGTATGGCATTACTTTGCCAGAGGAACCACTTCGTGCAATGGAACTTTGTTTGCTACCCACTTCTCAAATTTCGTTATAGGTAGTTTCTTGGTGCTCTTTATTCAGTTCTACACTAGAAGTTATAGTAATCATAAAAATCAAATTAAAAATAAATAAATAATAAAAAATACTTTTCAACCATAAGCGTGTTAAAAAAAATTTAATTTACTTTTTAATAAAAAAAAACCATTTATTATTATTAATTGTTTTAAATATTAATGAAAAGCTTCTATGCTTAAGACCACTATAAATACAACATCACAATCTAATTTATTAAAGTAGTACTTAGAGTAGAGTAATCATTGACAATAATGAAATCACCTTTGAAGAAAATGTTGATTGGAATCTAGTAGCGTGCATGAATTACAACCACTGTAGTGCAACGATTTTATAGAATACTAAACATATGATTGATTCGAGAGTCTCTGGAGGTAAGTCAAAGTTGTTATTCTTATAAGAATAATGTATACATTTATTTAATTGGTAGTTCACTTTCTAATTATAAACCTTTACTATTACTTGTTGTTAGATGTTTTTTTTTATATAGATGTTAAATGAGTGTTTAATATTTAATCTACATGTATCCAGAAGACAAAGTTTGCAATGTAGGTAGTGATATAATAAAGGAATTTAGTCTAGGAACACCAAAAAGATGTTTCAGTTAATGTCGAGACTTGGGTTTCGCAATATTGCAGTAATAGACTGTACTTATGGGTCACAAGTTCATATGCAAAGTGTAAGCGAGTGTAATATAAAAATATTTTTGAATATACTAATTTAATACACTCTCAAAACACTGTAGAATAGATTCCACATTTTGTTGAACAGCAGAGTAGAGGTCGAGTGAAGTTCGATTCAGAAGGATTTAGACTCCAATAGGATTTGAATTATATGTCATAACAGGAGGAGCAGTACATTATGACCCACTCATGGTCGAATAGCTGGAAATGGTGTAGTAATTGATGCCAATCAGCTTTTTTTGCAGGATACCTGTATTTTTGACAACCCTAGCCCATTCATCGTTCAGTGGGATATAACCAACGGTTACAGAACATCCAGACAGTGCTGGAACAAAGAACTAGAAAGAAATTTTTTTTTTTAAAATAACTAAAGTGGTATACATGTTTTATTAAAAGTTGTATTAAAAGGATGGATTTACCATCAAGTTTTTTTTTCGTAGTCTATTTTTTTTTTCTTTTTAGTTGTTGGTTGATTTAATTAATTAGTTGGCAGGTTGGGAAGAGAGTTAATTTCATTTACTTGATTAGTTGGCTGGTGTTGGAGTGTTGTTTATTAATTTTAGAATGTTTCTGTGGATATCGAAGTCGGATATAATAGATTGGTTGGAGAAATCGAGTATTTTGTCATCTTGACTGAATAGAATTGAACTGACATGTTTCCAAATGTTGTGGTAGATGATCGCTGTTAGGTCTGATGATTCATCGCAGAGGTAGAAGTGAGTAGTAGATGTTGTGTGATGTGTTTGAGGTTGAATTTGTTTAGGATGACTCGACAATTAAAGAAATAATGTGTGTGTGGGTCAAAGTCATTTGCTGAACATAGTTTACAACTGTCTTGTTTGATGTATGCCATACCAGGAAGTGATCTTGAGAAGAATCTGAATACTGTGTTTCTACCTCTGTGGTGTTTGATGGAGTTAATGTAGTAGAAGATGTTTCGGGTTGATGTAAAGTCTATTTTGGTGGGGGGAAGAGATAGTTGGAATTGACCTGATGTAAGTACTGGTTTGTGGTGATGGTTGATAAGGTTGTGGTATATGAGTTTAAGTGGTAGTGGTTCGTCATTACGCAATATTGGTTTCATTTGATGTTGAGGTAATTTCATAATTGGTCTAAATTGTTGCCAAAGAAGGATGGAATGTTTGAGTGTAGGTGAGGTTATCTTGTTATGTCTAATTTGGTTACGCCAGCTTTGGTAGTATGGGGAATAGACATCTTGATTTGCAATTACTCTATTTAGTATCCAAATGTGTTGAGCGTCATTTCGTAGTTTCATATCCCACAATGAAATGCCACCATTTTTCCAATGATGTACTGCTCTGGAGAGTGTCATTGTATTCTTAAATGATTTTGCATCTTCGAAAGGTCTGAGATTGGATGACCATAGGAACCAAGTGATTATTTTGTTGAGTGATTTGATATCTGATTCTGTGAATTTGTCAAGGTACATGTGGTAAGAGAGTTTTGATAGTGTGTATGACTTGAGTATTGACATTTTAGTCCTTAGGGTTGTGCCAAACTTCTTCCATTTGATCAGTGATGATTTAACTTCGCTGACTATTGATGAAAGTGAATGATGTAATCCTTCGGAGTTAAAGAAAAGACCGAGATATCTTTCGTTGACAATTGACTTTGGTATTCTTGTGTCGCCTATGATCGGGGGGTGGTGAAGATGGTCGCTGCAAGGTGGACCTATTTGGATGATGCAACACTTGGTGGGATTGATTTTGGATGATGTGGCTTGGCAGAACAGGTTAAAGATTCTTAATTTTAGTTTCAGATCTTTATAATTTGCTGAAAATGTGCTACTGTCATCTGCGAATTGTAATAATTTAACCATTGTGTTGAAATCGTTTAGTGGAAGACCGATTGCTTTGGAATTGAGTATGGCTCTGGCCAAACATTCGATGACTAGAACAAATAACGTTGGTGATAGTGGATCTCCTTGTTTGACTCCTCTGTTGATAGGAATAGGGTTAGTTAAAAATCCATTGACAATTACTCTGGCGGTAGAACCTGTGAGAAGGTTCATTATTAGGTTGATTATTTTGTTGTCTATTTTAATGTGTTGTAGTGTTCTTCTAATAGCGCCGTGAGAGATGCTGTCGAAGGCTTTGTTGAAGTCGAATAATGTTATTAAGCCACTTAATCCTCTGAGTTTGCAGTATTCTATTATTTCATTCATCGTGATGATGTTGTCCATGATATATCTCTTGTGTACAAAGCCAGTTTGGTTGTCGTTGATGATTAGGTCTACCAAGGTTTTCATTCGATTGTTGATTGCTTTGGTGATAACTTTGTAATCGTTGTTGAGTAGTGTTATTGGTCTTCTATTGGCTGGATCGAATATATCACCTTTCTTGTAAATAGTTGTGATGGTTCCTACTTTGAATTCGCTTGGTAATGGATTGCCTGAGTTGAGTGATTGGTTGTAAAGTTTGGTGAGTATAGGGGCAATGACATCGCAGTGGGCTCGGTAGAACCAAAGTCCTAAGCCATCTGGGCCAGGTGATTTCCATGGGTTGGATGAATTAATAGTTTCTGTGATCTCTTCGGTTGTGAATTCTCTGGCAATGCTGTCATCGGTTATTTCACATTTCCATTCGTTAAGTAGAAAGAAATTAATCCAAATGCGCGCAAAGAGGGGTAAGGTAACAGAAAAAGAAACGCCCAATGTGGGGCTCGAACCCACGACCACACGGTTAAGAGCCGTGCGCTCTACCGACTGAGCTAACCGGGCTTCCGATGCCGAAAATATGAAATTTCACAAATTTAAAATTTCTTTTCTTTTTTAAAAAATTATTAATGATCAAAATAAAACATATTCATCTTCTAATTAAGTTCAATACGTATTAAAACATTACTTTTTCTAAAGAATAAAACAATTTTAAGGATTATTTTAAATTGGTACTATCTTTAAATAATAATTATTATTTATATTTATTAAGCTGGTGTAAAGTAGAATGCAACTACAATAATTAAATAGACAATAACAAGAATTGATCCAATAAAGTAGTTGGTTTTACCGTTGGTGAATACCAAGTTCATAACAACGACACTAAAGAATACTGCAAAGAAATCCATCACTGGGAAAATCAATGTGAACGATCCACTGCTACTCCTATAAGTTTTAAAAAGATAAAAGAAATAAATAAATTGTTAATAATAATAATAATTTAAATAAGAGTCTAGAGCTATAACTTACAAATGGTTGATGATGGCACAAATATATACCAACACTGGCATTTGGAATAGTGTGATTTGTACGGCTGCAGAGGCACCGATTTCAAGTGCCAATGGCATGTTGTTGTGAAGAGCAAACTGGATGGCATTTAGATACTCTGCCGCTGAAGGAATAATACCGAGAATCGTAACACCAAGGAACTCGTGTGTTAGATTGAGTGCTTTCACTACTGGATCGATCGATTCTACCATTTTGTCGGAAACCAGTGCAAACATAGTAGTACACAAACAAAGTACGACAATACATTGTGTTTTACCCCAGAGAACTTCGGTTTCGTGTCCACCACCACCTGATTCATGTGAATCATGAGCATCGGTTGTGCTGTTGTTGTTGTTATTAGAAGATTCTTCTTTTTGGATTGGATGGAGGATATGAGTGTGAGTCTTGAGTGTAAAGAGTAAACCAATAATATAGGCAACTGGGAGGAATGCCGATACGATGTACATCAATGTTCTCGCTTTACCAGTGTAGACTGGATCACTATCGAGACTGTTTTGTACGTATTCGCAAGAGTGGCAGTTGAGTTGTCCACCGTCGTCCAAGCAATTGGTACACTGTAGATTGTAACCACCGTAGATCTTGTAAAAGATGGTTGGAGTGAATGTTCCGACGACGGCAACCATCAACAAGACAGTACTGACACCCATAACGGCTGGATTGAATCTTTGTTCTTTGTGTTTGATACCACCGATAACCATACTCAATCCTGGAACCAAGAGAAGCGCACCCAACAATGAACCTGTAATAGCGGAACGAGCAACGTCTTCTTGTGCACCGTTGATAGTAACAATATAGAGAATCAACTCTATAATTGAACCAAAACTAGCATTGATAAGAGCACCCATTGCAAAACTGGTCTGAGCTGACAACGATGCAATTGCCATACCATTATAATAGGACAGTGGAATGGTAGACAACAAACAAGATACAAACAATACAACTGGATTAATTTTATCTTCTAAAAAGTATCCCAATACAAGTGATAAAATTACAAATGGTAATAAATCTATGAAAAAAAATAAAGCATAATAAATTAATTAGTATTGAATTTTAGTTAATTAAAAAATGTTTTTAAACTTACTGATTAAACAAACATTTAATCCATGAACAGTAAATTTATAGTAATATAGATTGATTGCTTCAACTGGATACAATATAATCTCACAATCGGTACGTGGAATATGATATTCTACACGAACGGCCAATGGGTTCGTAAGCAGGTTTTTGAGGATTTGAGAGTGCATTTTCGAGGTAGGAATCATAACCACGATCATCCATGTTAAAACAATGACAATACCTTGGAATAGAATCAAGAATGGAGCAGCAAGTAAGTAGTACAAAACCATACCGATACGAAGTGAAATGGTTGGATCTGGTAAATGAACACTCTTTCTAAGTGGTTGTCTTTCACCATCTCTTGGATTATGAGTATGCATTGTTTTTTGAAGGTATTTTCCAAATGGCCATAATACAAATTCCTTTAAATTCCAAATAATTTTACCATATGGAATTCCAAAATATGTGACACTAATAGTCGTAGTAATAGTAGTAGAAATTAATTAATATATATTATCTTATTTTTAAATTGATTTTAAAAATTTATCTTACAATAAAATTAAACTTATTAAGGTGAATAAAAGGAAAAATAAAGAACCCAAAAAGATTGCATAAAGATAATTTCCAATTGAATTTACACCTTTTTCAATGACTGGATTATTTTCATACATCTGTTGCATCTCTAGAGATCGATCCTGCAAACGTTTCTTGTAAATCTTTGATTTAAAGGGACGAAAGCCAAACATGTGATTCTGAATGGTGTGTTTGGCCTCGAGTGTGTTGGTTTGGGGTGTGATTCCAAGATCTTCGTAGGTTGGTGGAGAATCTGGTACGGCGGCATACAATGAAACACGCGTTTGACGCAACTCTGACTCGGACTCGCTTCTGGTCATCCTGTTGTGCCCGCTTGGTGGTTGACGTGGAAAACCGGTTGAGAAATTGAGAGCAGATGTATTGTTGTTTGAAGTGTTTGAAATGTCCATTGTTTGGTAGGACTGATTCGATTGTTGATTGAAGTTTGATGCTGGTAGTATAACACCAGAGTTATTAGATGAATTTATTAATTCATAAGTATCGTAATTACCATTGTTATTGTTATTATTGTTGTTGTTGTCAATGTTGGTATAGTAGAATCCATTCTGCCCACCGGCTGAAGACCTTCTCGGTTGAATAGGTGATAGCGGTGGATGTGGTTGAGTTTGATGAGGAGGCAGCTGATCTGGTGCTGTATATCTCTGTTGTTGCTGTTCCTCTTTCGAGAGGAGCGGAATATCTGACATCTGTTTAGTTGCAAAAATGAAACTTTTAAAAAATTTTGATTTGCGCAAATGTGTGATTGTAATTTATATCAATGGAAAAAGATGTATTTTTTTTAATCAACCAAAAATTTTGTGGTTGTAAATTTAAAATGAAAAAAAAAATTCAAAAAAAAAAAAAAAACAAACTTTTGGTGTAGGTTATAATGATTATATGAATAGCAACACTTTTTAAATGATTGATTGAAATCGATGAGTGTTTTTTTTTCTAAAAAAAATATGATATAATAATAATATTATAAAGATTTAAATTGAAACTGGTAATAAATAGATCTAAAAACAAGAAATTATTAATATTGTTGATGTTGTTGTTATTTTTAATTTTTTTATATATAAAATAAGTTATCTATAAAATATATAATTTATAAGTGTCTGGTCAAGAAAGGAAAAAAAATGATAAACTTTTTAACACAACAAAAAATAAACTTGATCACTGGGCGCAATGCCAAAAGATTTCTTTTTAAAGTTGCATGGGTAAGTTTCGATTGAATTTTTTTTGATACCAAAAAAAAAATAAAAAAAAAAATATCATTTTTTGATTTATTTTTTATCTTAAAGATGCAAGGTCTAAAAGAGTGAAAATGGAAATGCATTTTTATTTATTTGCAACAAATACACAAATTTGTGTGCTTAAATAATTCTATTCCTGGTGTAGTTTTTGTTTAAGTTTAATATATAATGGGTTTCAAATTTGCGATCAATAGCAAAAGTGTCGGAGTCGGAAATAGTAAATTTCGAACATGTCTAATTTAAAATTAAATTTATAAATATATATTTTGAATAAATTTAATAAAGAGATTAAAAAAAATTGAAATAAAATAAAATAAAATAAAATAAAATATTTTTTTTGAATAAGTCATCTATTTATGACTGGATTAAAGATTGTTAATTTGAATAAGTCATCTATTAATGACTGGATTAAAGATTGTTAATTTTGATGATCATTTTTTTCTTTAATTAAATTTCAATGAGTCATTGATTTTTGTTTTTTTTTTTTTGTCAGGTTGTCAAAAGCACAAAGAAAGAATCACTCTATTTTTAATTATTACTTATTTTTATAAAGATATAAATAAATGTCAAGATTAGCAAATACAATTTGTTTGTTTGATGTCGATGGTACATTGACTAAACCAAGAAATGATATTACACCACACATGAAGCAATTCATGAGAGAACTAAAGAACAAAGTTGAATTGGGTGTCGTTGGTGGTAGTGATTTAGTTAAGATTCAAGAACAACTCGGAAGTGATTGCCTCACCGAGTATGATTATCTCTTTGCCGAGAACGGTTTGAATGCATTCAAATCCGGTCAACCACTTGCTCAACAAGTAAATAAATAAAATAGTTAATAATAAATCAAACTTCTACACATTTTAGTATTCATTTACTAATCTAATCAACTCTCTCGATTTAGAGTATCAAAGACTTTTTAGGTGAAGAGAATCTAAAGAAATTCTTAAACTTTGTACTCCGTTATCTTGCCGACATTGACATCCCAATCAAGAGAGGAACTTTTATTGAATTTAGAAATGGTATGATCAATATTTCACCGATCGGTAGAAATTGTTCACAAAAGGAGCGTGATGAATTCGAAAAGTATGACAAGCAACATCAGGTACGTTCCAAGATGGTCAGTGTATTGCAAACAGAGTTCTCATCGCTCGGACTAAAGTACTCGATCGGTGGTCAAATCAGTTTCGACGTCTTCCCAATCGGATGGGACAAGACTTACTGCTTGAGACACTTGCCAGCCGAACAATACAAGACAATCTATTTCTTTGGTGACAAGACATTCGTTGGTGGTAATGATTACGAAATCAGTGTTGACCCAAGAATCACCAAATCCTTTACTGTTACATCTCCAGAGGACACTGAAAGATTCCTCAGAGAATTATTCTACCAATAAAAAAATAAACAAAAATTTTATATTAAAAATTGCAGATATTATAATAATACATTTTATAAAAGCAAAGGATGCACACCCAACATGCTTGTGATTTTCTTATTTTAGTATAAGAATTTGAATTTTCTTTGAAGTTTTTACAAAGTAATAAAAGATTTTTCTCAATTTGTTTGCATGCTTTTCAATGTTTTATTCGATGAAATTTATCAAAATAGTTTGTTGTGTCTGTTAGTTTGTTTTGTTAATAGGATTCTCATACAAGTCGTTAGTTAAACAATTTATTATTTTTATTATATTTATCTAATTATGATGATTCCTAAATTAATACAAAATATAATTATATCTATTTTATTAAATGGAATAGAAGAAGAAAGACCAACCTTATGTACAACTTTAAAGGAATATGTTGAAACAGTTAAATATTATGACTTGGGCTTAAGAGATTTAACCTTTTTCAAAAAAGTTAATTTTGGAAGATACATCGTTGAATATTCTTTGGTTTGTAAAGACTGGTTCAATTTCATTTCCCAATCACAATGTAGTCGATTGTATTGCACTATGATCGATAGTTACGATGATTACAAATACAATTACGATAAAGATGATTTGTTAGAGATTTCAGATCCATACTCTTTATATAGATTCGAAAGTGTAACGACACTCTATTTGGATTGTGGTAATGCATCGAAAGAGTGTGAAGAGAATGAAAGAAATACAATCATTGAATGGATCAGTAGATTCACTTCATTGGAGAGATTGGTCATTTCAACCGACAATTCCATCATGATACAAAAGATGTTGGATCGATTCACAACTATAAAGATGGAGGTCTATATAAAGGAAGTTTCCGATATGGATCATACCGAGGAGGGAGTTGATCTTTCAAAAGTCGATAGTCATGTTTTGGAATTTGTTCATTTACATGCGTGGAACCCGTATTTCGAAACAGAGTATAGTGATATCAATTACTTTGCCAAGTATTATGGTCAATGGAGAGTAAATTCCATCAACTTCAATTATGATGGCTTACATTATGGTGTGCACGATGGACTGCCACATCTAACCTATCAGAGTTTGTTCAATATAAAATCCGTCAACAAATATGTTATAAGGAATGATCATGTAGATTCAAGTGAACTTGTATCGATTCTACATCCATCCAACAGTCATATCACATCATTTAAATGTAGTGTGCCATTTGCAATCTATTGTGTAGATGATCAGGCCGAACCAGTTGAAGATCATTTACAAACATGCTCCTGTATATCTTATAGAAATATAAGACAGATTATTAGAGGCAATAGATTGGATCATTGGATTGAATTTTGTTTGGCATTGTCAAACAATACTTCGCTGAAGCATTTGCATCTCGAGAATAAATGTAATGGTTGCAAAGATCCCGATGGACACAACATGAATCAAAAGACCAAGGAATCATTTACAACGGCATTAATCTCTGCATTGACTACCAATAGTACTCTAACTAGTTTGTCTGTTCCTTGTCAAGTTTTATCGGAATCATTCTTTCAATCGATGGGTACAATCAGCCAGTCAATCACCTATCTACAAGTCACTCAATGTGATTTCAATCATATCAAATCAATCAAATCACTATTTAAACATAACAAGAATATAAGACATCTATCGATATGTGGAGATTTTTATGATTCAGTATTTAGAGAATACTATAAAACTAGTAAAACATTATCAACAGAACAAGAAGAAGATTTAAGGAAAAACAAATATGATTCAGTTAATAAAATAATGGGTGCAATGAAAAAAGAAAATCATGGTCTAGATAGATTCGATTTAAGTTGTGAATTTACCAATGATCTAGTTACTTTTATGACATACTATGACAATGAAGGTACTCAAACAGTATCAATAGAATATGATTTTAATAATAATTTACCTTTTTATATATTTAAATAAAAAAAAGTTCACAAAAAAAAAACATATTTAACAAAGTGGTTTATCACACACTATAAGAAATAAATGATTAAACAAACAAACACACACACACAACACACAGAGATGAGAATTATATCTTAAATATTTATTGACCAATAAATAAAGTATGTATGTTTCTGTGTTAAAGTTATAAATTGTTTGTGTCATTCAACACAATGTGTTTGATCAGTATCAATAATGATATTCAACAAATATATAATAGCATTGTATTGTTTAGCAAAATCTTCAACGAATTCAATCAGTATTCTTTATAAAAACATTGCAGTAGTATAACTATATATCGATGACTACCGAAGCACAGTATAATCTAATTATGTAACTAGATGAACATGAATACCCACTGCAAATCATTGGATCATTTCTATCTGATAGTTTTAAGATGACTATACTTATGTACATTGGGGGAAATATATTTATAACCTCTTTTATACTTTCCTAATATAATTAATCTGGTTGTATTTTTATTAGCTATTAAAATATCATTTTCTTTAAATTAAATGTTGTTGGATCAACACTATAAATTGAATTGAAGTTTAATCAAAGAGAGAGATCATTCTAAACAAATTAACTATTTACTTAATTAACAAAACTACTATTTATAATGAAATACATAATATTAATAACTTTATTTATAATATATAATATCTATTTTGTCAATGGACAGTGTGACTTTTCAAAGATTGTTCAAAAATACTATGCTTCGCCAAGTGCACCTTCTGGCTTTATAGTTGGTATGAGAGTAGTCATTACAAAGAACAATGGAGATATTTACTATCTATCTGGTAAATCTTTATCTGCACAATCATTCAGCACCGGTTTGGCAAATGTAGATGCTTTCATTGGTGTTTCTACTCGTGATAATGCTTGTTTAAATGGTAAATATTAAAATAAATTCTATTAAACTTAATATATAGATATTAGTTATTAAAATAAATAATATTTTTATTAGGTGTATCACAACCATTCGAAGCAACCGCTGCCAAGATTACATTTTTCGATGCCAGATCATTTACTATCTCTCCAACTGGTTTCGTTACATTCTATGCTAGTCAAACTGGCAATGGATTGGAGCCAGCATTGTTTAATATAACAACATGCACTTCAAATATCTTGCACGGTCTCGATGATAAGGGTAATAGCTACACGTTCTATTTGCAATTGGGTGAATATCCAAATAGAATAGGTGGAAAATGTTTAACTCTTTCCGTCAGCCAAAAGATTATGAGCAATTGGATGGAGGGTCCAACCAATGTCTACCAAACCAATGTAAACTTTACCAACACAGGAACTAGTCCAGTTCAATCTCAAGATCTTGTTGTTAGCTTTGATGAATCCAAAGTCAGAAACTATTGGGGATTAGATAAGATATCAACAAATAACTTCAAGTTACCTGCTTACCAGACAGCCATTCAACCAAATCAACAATATTCTTGGGGATATGTATCAACTACTGCAAATATAGATATAAAAATAAATGGCCTATCATTAAATGCTTAGATTCAAATCATTAAAAAAAAAATTTTGAAATGATGAGTTAGGTTAACTTTAATGAGATTGGTTTTACTTGCAAGTTTGGAGCAGTGACCATCCGGGTTGAAGTTGATGCCTAAGTATCCTTTTTTTTTTTTGATGATACTAGAGTAGTAGGTGGCGCGCTCCTTTCAAGTCGGGAAAATTTGGAAAACCCCGGTATCGATCCCACGGCCCAAGTCCTCTAAGGCTTATTAAGATTTTATAAAGGAAACAAACAATGTTGTTGTTATGCAGATTAATGGATCTAAAACATTAAAAAAGAGGGATTGCCAAGTTCGTGTGGATATTTTTTTGAATTTTCATCGCTCTACCAATTGAGCTAATTAGCTACTCATTTATAACTAATGTGGGTTTCGATCTCACTGCTTATGAATTTAATATTACTACGAAGTAACGAACTTTAATGGCCCTCCGATTTCACCATTATCCCAGTATCCTATTTATATCAGTATATGTTTAAACAAAATAGAGTTATGGGTTTATCGATGGGATTTGAGATTAGGATACTGGGAATCATTTTGCTAAAAAAATATAGAAATCATGATTTTAAATTTAATAAATTTTACAGATTTTTTTTGTTTCAAAATTTTATTAATTATAATTTAAATTATATTGATTTCTTATTATATTATTTCTTTAGACTTTGTGATAACCAATCTAAACCTTCGAAAATACCAGCACCAGTAGTAGCTGTAGTTGGTTGAATATACTATTTTCTATCTTTAATATCATGAGTCTGAGTTGTTCTATCATTTGTGAAAAGTTTATTGCATTTGGTTGATCTTGTTTATTCAAAAATAGAAGCAAATTTGTTCCTGAAAAAGATTCTTCTGTGGTCAATTTGGCAATCTCCTCTTGAACTTCACTGACTCTTTCGTAATTTGTAGCATCAATAACGAAAATTATGGAAGCAGTATTTTGGTAGTAGTGTCTCGTACGTGACAAAATTTGTATTGTCCACCAACATCCCAAACTATAAAGATGATTAAAAAAAAAAAGTAGTATTGATATCAACCTGCTAGTTCGTGTTTTATATTATATATACATTCTCACACAGGCCGTGAGAAATAGCCAATAAAATATTATTATTATTATTATTATTGTTTATAGTTATTATTAATTAATAAGTTTAGTAGTATTAGGATAGAATAGATCTAACAATAGTTGAGTGTTGATGAACAACAGTATAAAGTGGTGGCACGTAGTTGGAAGGATTTAGATTCCAATCAGATTTAAATTTACGTGTTATTGCAGAGCAATCGACAGTGATTCCTTGGGAGAATTAGCGATTGTGAAGTTAAGCTTGTGGTAATTGGCTTCGATTAATTTGGTGTAATGGGTGACTGCTCTTTTGACGGTATTTTCCAGCTTGTAATGGGTACCATCACCAAACATTTCACAGGACAGCGCCTGCCATAACGAATGTACGATAGCAGCAATAAGGTGGGTGAAGTGGACAGTAGTACGAATAGGACCGTCGAACTTGATGCACGAGTGCTTCCAATTGTGAAGTCTATAGTTACAGTACTTGTGGTATATACGTTTGACAAAGGAAAGGAACTGCTGTGAAAATACATTCCTGCATTTGAAGAAGAAATGCTCATGTAGGTTGCAGAGTTCAGTGAAGGTGTCACCACAGAACTCACAGACATGACCAGTGCTCTTGTGGTTGATGGGGAAGGTGTGAGAGTACAGCCGGAATATGCTGTTACGTAGCATAGGCGCTTTGACCTTGGATATATGCAGGAACTGAGATTGGGGAACCAAAGAGTGACCAATCTGGATGGTTAGTTGACCTTCAGTACGGCGGACACGGGGGTACTTGTGATTGAATAGGACAGAATAGATTTCCTTCCCCTCTAAAATATCATTTTCATTTACATTCCTAATATATCAAGGTTGAAAGTGAGTTTACCAATGATAGATCAAAATAAATAAAATTTAATTAAATTTTTCATTTTTTTTGCTTTTTTTGGTATGTTAAACATAATAATATAAACAATGATATTTTGTAGGGCAGAGTAAGGAGACTACCATCATCAGCAAGGATGGGATTGCCCGGCATGACTCTGGAGAAGTGATTGTTTCTAAAATCCATCCAAGACGAATGGAACAATTTGAAGGATGGTGAAGAAGTTGGATTAGTAAATTTTTTGGCACAATCAAGCATGGATGACCAAGTTTTGAAGTAACCAAATGAGTTGCTTCTACTTAACAACAGGAATCTATTAAAGACCCATATCTTATAGGCAGCAGAACGAAGAGATAGATCCCACAAATTCAGACCACCATCATTCCAGTGAAAGCAAGACCTGTCCAAAGACATCAAAGCGGTGAACTTTGCTTTAGCATCAGGTCCACTGGTGAAGAACCAAGCAATAAGTCTGTTGACAAGCTTGATTTGGTCAGGTTTGGCAGACTGAGTATTTTAATCCTGACTTTGGCACCGCATCCGGTAAGCATGTTTCATGCTTTAAAAATGCCATCTGTCGGGATCGAACCAACGACCTTAAGATCTTCAGTCTTACGCTACTACCAGCTGAGCTAAGACGGCCTGTGTTGATGATATTATTTTTTAAAATGTGACTTTATTTAATTATTATTAAATTTATTAGGGCTTCTGTTACAATAAATAATAATATCTCCTTTTACTTTACTCAGCAGGTAATTTGTAACAGCTTCTGAACAATTTGCAGTCTTAACTCAGCTGTAGCAGAGTAAATATTAGGAATCTAGTTTTTCATATTTTGAAAAAGGTACCCAAGCAAGTTTAAGTTAGTGTGTGTTTGTGGAATGAATGCCGACTATCTTTGTTCATCGATGCACCAAAAAAGGAGATTAATTCCTTATAATATAGGTTCATTTTATATGATACAATTAAAAATTAAGAACACAAATATTATTAATACGGTTTAATAGATTACATTTCCATTCCAATTCGCAATAATGGTAAGAATATAACATGTGTTCTATTATTAAAAAATAGTAAACTCCTCACTATTAAAGATCAATCATTTTGTGTGTATTTGATTTTTAACATATTTTTTTTCTAAATTTATTTGGATTCTAATTCCTTGATTTTGGCATCCTTCTTTACAATTTCAGACTCCAAGTAAGCAACACGGGTCTTGAGTTTCTCATACTCGTCACGGAGCTCCTTCTCGGTCTTTGGACCAGTTGGTGCTTGAGCGACTGGCTTGAAGTCTTGGACAACCTTCTTTTGGGTGAAACCTGGGGCCAAAGAGCAGGTCTTTGGTTCAGCGTTGGCACCACCAGCCCAGGCGGCAGCATCGAGGACTGGCTCACCAGCGTAGGTATCTGGGTAGAGATCGTCTTGGAAGATGTCAGACTTTCTTGGTACACGGAAACTGATTGGTTCAACGGTGGTTGGGGTAACCTTGAGGGCACGAGCAATCTCACACTCAGAGACGTTGACGGCACGCTTTGGAATGAAGCAAATACCACGTTGTGGGGTGGCACTCTTGAACTCTGAGAGGTAGTAGTGGTATGGAGCTTCATTGACCATCTCGTAGTAACGGATGTTACCGTCACCCTTACCGGCCATGTAGAGGATAGAGTTATCTGGGTCAAAGAATGGCATCAACAAACCAGAGGCACTGTCAATGGTGACGGTGGTCAATGGCTCGGCAAAAGTACGTGGATCAAAGATCTTGAACTCACGCTCAGAAGTCTTGGAGAAACCGCAAGTCAAGACGGTGTCTCTCAAGAAGATACCACGGGTACCCTTAATACCTTGATGGGAGAGGGCTTCGTGGGAGATAGTGTTGGAACGTGGATCGAAAAGACGAACCTTCTTGTCCTTACAGGTTGAAACCAATTGGGAACCGTTGGCATTCCACTCGACAGAGAGAATGATATCGGTGTGACTGGCATCGAGAGAGTTCAAGACGCTACCGGCTTCAATATCCCAGGTCTTGACGGCAAAGTCACCGGATGAGGTGGCCAAGACGTTGTTGGCGACTGGATTGAATTGAGCGGTACCAACTTTACGCTTGTGACCAGAGAGTGTTTGGAGTGGCTCATGGACTGCAGCAAGAGTGTCTGGAATACCCCAGACCATAACATTGCAATCCTCAGAGACAGAGGCAATCAAGTTCTCATTGAATGGGTGGAAAGCAAGATCCAACACTGCATTCTTGTGACCAGAGAACAATGGGATGTTGGCTTGATCCAATTTACCAAGTTGGTCGTGACCGAGGACGGCGAATGAACCACCACCGCCAGACTCCCAAATGACAGCGAGATACTTTGAGTTGGCTGCAATATAGTTAGAGTCCCAAGCAGACTTGGTGACTTTGAGGTTTTGGTAAGTTTCCTCCTTCTTGGCTGCTTGACCGAATACGTGTCTGTATTTGGATGATCTTACAACTTTTGACATTATTATAATCTAAGTATTAAAACAAAAAAAAAGATTTTATAAAACTAATTTTATTTAAAAAAAAAAATGTTAATATGAATTGTAAAATAAATAAATAAAAAGTGTTCAAGTTATTATGATGATTTATGAAATTTAAATACACAATGAATAAATTTGTTCAAATAAAAAAATCAAATTTGCTTTTTTGATGGTGGCTAATTTGGGGTTGATGATGGGTTATTTTAACGAGAAAATTTATTTTTAAAAATAATAAAAACAAATATGATCATTAAATTATTTTTATTAATAAAGTAATATAAATAAGATATTTTTATAATATTTTTTTAATGGTAAAATGATAAAACTGGAATATTCTTATTTGATAATTGAATTGATGGATGGATATGATGAAGTTCAAATTGATTTTGTTGTTGTAATGAATAATTGATTAAAGAGATTACCTACAAAGTAAATGAAATTTAAAGAAATAAAATTACAGGAAATTTAAATGTTGTTATAATAGTACAAGGTAGAGAGGAAGAAGTGAAGGAATAATTATCTATTTAATGAAAATGAAAAGTGGTGGTCAGCTGATTGTTGGTCTGTTTGAATTTTTTTAAAAAAAAATACAAAAAAAAATAAAAATTTGGTCAACCCATTTTTCTTCAAAGACTATTTTCAGCATAAAATTTGAAAATCGTGTGATTAAAAAAAGCCACAACAAATAATCACTACCAATTTAAAATAAATGGGATTTTGGTTTTGAGTGAGTATGAAGTTCATTGAAATTTATCAACCAAAAAAATAAAATAAAATAATATATAAATAATTAGAATCTGAGATTAAATAAAAAAAAAAACCAATTTAAAAAACCGATCACATAATAATGACATACAGACCAGTAAATCAAAAAAATAATTAATTATTAATAAAATTAAAAAAATAATATTAATTTAATACAAAGTTGATCTTATTATTTTTTTTATTTTTTTATTTTTCACTATAATGCATTATTTTTATAGTTATATTATAATTATTGTAAATCGGATGTTTGTTTTTTTACTATACTATTTGTTTGTTTGTTTTCCAAGATTGTTTTGATTGATTGTTTTTTTTTTTTTTTGATTTGTTGAGAATGATTGTTGAATTGGTGACAAACTATTATGGTTGATGAAGCTGCTTCTTTCAATATAGCAGTTTTGGTTTTACTCTGTTTATTGATTGACAACAATATGATCTCTTCATATCATCAAAATTTTGTTTCAACCATTGAATCTTGAAATACAATCTATTATTATTATTTAATGAGTGCTATAGTGTTTAATGCTTCTTTTCCAAAACATCGTGAGTAACATCGATATCGTAACCTGGCCAGTATCCAGCGAAATTGTTCTTTCCGACGACTTCACCAGCAAAGAAGAGACCAGTCATACCAGCAACAGTACCAGCAACACGCTTGGCATCACCAACGGTGATTTCGGCTGGTGCCTTGAGCTTTGAGATGAACAATTGAGTGTCGGCCTTGATGACAGCTGATGTGTAACGTGACTTTAAGTAGTTCCAACAATTTGCACCAAACTCGTAGAATTGTGGTTGTGATACGTTCTTCATCTTTCTAATCTGTATATATTATAAAACGTCAAATAATAAAATAATATTATTAATTTAATCAATGAAATATATTTTTTTTTGTGTGGACTGAAAAAAAAAAAAAAAAAAAAAAAAAAATTGCGTAAAAAATTGTTGCACAATCACAATATCAAAAAAAAAAAAAAATAGTCTGATCAAAATTGAACTTCGTTTTTAATCAACTTCTTGGGTGGTTTTAAATATTTTTTGAATGTTATTGATACTTTGAGAAATCAAATAAACTCATCTATCTATATATAATTATATTATTTTTATAAATCATTAATTAATTGTTAAAAAAAAAAAAAAGTTGAATAAATTCTCAAAATATCTTTTTTTTTTTTTCTGATCCGATAAACTTGAAAACTAAAAAGAAAATTAAATATCTGATTGCGAAGAAGCACGTTGTTTCGGAGACTTCACACAAAGTCAAAAACAAGGTCCAGTTTTAATGACCCTTCTTAATGATAAAAGTTCATAGAAAATTCTGATCAAAAATATTTTTGAAAAATGAAAAAAATAATTAAAAAAAAAAATGATTTTTGCATTGTATACAACAACCTCTGGGTACTCTGTGTACTCATTAACGCATCACTAAACTGAATTATCATTTTTTTATTTTATTTATTTATTTTTGATCAAATTGATTAGATCAACTTTATTTATATATATATATTTAACCAAAACACACAACACACTTTCTTCTTTAAACAAAAGTTATTGTAAATCACACCAGACTTGTATTACTTTTTTTTTTTTTGTTTTTTTTTAATTATTTTACAAAGTAATTAGAAAATCAATCAAAGTCGAGTCTCAACTTTACTTATCATTTCGATAACTCTATAGAATAGTATAAGTTTTAAAGCTTTATATATATCAAACAAAACAATGGAAGAATGGGTTATTATTTTGTTGGGTGCAGCAGGTGGTGTAGTTCTCATTGCTGTCATTGCAACAGTTGCTTATTGTGTAGCTGCTAGCAGGTAAGTTGAATTACAATCACGGATAGTATATATATTGACTCAATCTAATATTTGATTTCTAAATCACATATATTATAGAAGAACAGAGGAGTATCAACCTTTAGAGAAAGGAAATGTTTTTGTTTATGAAAGAGATAATTCACAACAAATCAAAGGTTTGTATATATTTTATTCTTCAAAAAAGGAAAAAAAAAACAAAAAAAACAAAACAACAGTCATCAGATAATATTTATCATGTGATTAATTTGTTTCTAATGAAATTTCAATTAATTTTTCAAAGATATTAATCTTTTTTTTTTTTAAAACAATTTTAGAGGATACAATCATGATGAACGCTAGATTCTATTTAAGATCAACTATATATACTTTGGATAAACAATTACCACAATTCGGATCAAGACCAGATAAGAACTATTTCTCTGTGGTTGGTACAGCACAACCAAACAGCAAGAATGAAGGTGAAAGAGTTATGTCGATGGTACCAGTTTCAAAGAATTGGCCAATTCCATTGTCAACCGAACAAGGTAGACAAACATTCCGTACTATTATAAAGTCAATGGAAGTATGTATATAAAGTTGAAATTATAAATCTATTTTGTTATTTACTAACAATAAAATTAGATCCATCCATTTATTTGTGTACCATTGTTGGTTGATTTCCTACCAGATAAAATGATGGCCGTAACAGTCAGACCATTCTATGCAAAGGGATCATTGAGAGATTATATCCATCAATCGAAACCAAAGAATAGATATCATGATAAATACGTACAACAATTCCAATTGAATGACAAATTGATTTCAAAGTTTGGTAGACAAATCCTAGAGGCTCTTTTATTCTTGAAATATCATAATATGCCATATTATCATTTGAATGCTTCTAATATTATGTTGGATGATACTAATTGTTTGTAAGTTTTAATATTAACAAATAATATCGAATTTGATTTTTTGATTTTAACAAACATAACAATTATTATAGAGTAAGTGATTACGAAAATGCATTTTTAGGATTGAAACCAAGATTTTCGAAATACTTGTTGGCGCACTCTGAAAAGTTAGATCCAGAGGTATTGACTTTTGGATGTATATTATATGAAATGGGTTGTGGATTTGAAATGGAGTCACCACAGTCTGTAGAGCAAATTGGAATCCCAAATCACTGTCACCCAGAGGTCAAGAAGATCTTGGAATCCATTTTCAAACCATGGTATGGTAATCCACCAACCTTGGAAGAGTTGACAAAATTAAGTTTCTTTGCTGATTGGAAATTTAAGAATCTACCAATTCAAAGAGTAAGTAAACAACATATTATCATATAACCAACCATCATTTAATTCAACCTTTTTTATTAATCTTATAATTATTATCTCAATTGTTTTTATTATTGCTTTCAATAGGTTACTTTTACAACTAGAGAAAAAGATATGATCGATGCAGTAAACAAACTGAATAAAGCACACATTACACAACAGAAGGCAGAGAATGTTCCATCAATGAAAACACTAAAGAAACAAAAGAAGAGAAAGACTTTGACATTCGTACCGATTGAGGTATCACTTAATCCAACATCCTCAGGAAATACCAGTGTTCCAACGTTCTCCTCATCGATGAGCGCCAGTAATCTCACCAATACATTCAATTCATCGATGTCATCGTCATTCAGTACAACATCACTTTCATCACAGCAATCGTTTGGTAATCTGAGTAACTCTTATCAGCCAACAAGCAACACTTCCTCCAGTAACTTGGCAACTGCCACCACCCAAAAGAGTGCATCATATCAACCAACATCTTCGACGACAGCTCCATCGTCAGCACCACCACCTCCACCACCAGCACCACCCGCACCAAAATCAGCACCACCACCTCCACCCTCTGCCCCAGCACCACCACCTCCACCACCATCGAGTGGAGGCGGTGGAGGTGATCGTAGAGGTCTACTAAGTTCCATCGAAGGATTTAGATCTGGTTCACTGAAAAAAACAAAAACAAAAGACAGAAGTGCACCAAAAGTATAATAAACAAATTTATTTATCTACAGAAAAAAAACAAGTTAGATCAATTTTGAATAGCTTTAAATAATAGAGATGATGATCATGAATGAATTGAATAAAAATAATATAAGGTTGTTATTTTTTACTAGTATTACATAAATAAAATAGATGGGGGGTTTGAGTTTATTTGTTTATAAAATGGTGCAACATTGATTTGGTGCGTTTGGGTCATACTCTATGAAACCTCTTCCTTTGCAGTGGAAGCACTTCTTACGACCTTTACCGTTACAGAAAAAGCACTGGAAATTTCAATAATAATTGATTACGTAATTAAGTAAGAAAGAAAGTTAATGTTAGAATCATGATTTGGTATAAATAGGTTAGCATATTTGAATACTTACACTACTTCCATGGTTTCTTCCTGAACCTTTACAGTGGAAACACTCTTCGTTACCATCACCACGGCAATGCCAACACTCTCTGGTGGCTAGTTGTTTGGGTGGCGCTTGTTGTTGATGTTGTGGTGGATAACCTTGTTGATAACCTTGTTGTGGTGGGTATGCATGTTGTGGAGGATAACCTTGTTGTGGTGGATAGCCTTGTTGAGGTGGATAACCTTGCTGTGGAGGATAGCCTTGTTGTGGAGGGTAACCCTGTTGAGGTGGATAGCCTTGTTGTGGTGGATAACCTTGTTGTTGTTGTTGTGGTGGGTATTGTTGTTGGTGTGATGGTGCTGGTGGATATGGTTGTTGGTATGGAGTTGGGGCTGGTGCAGCAGCAACTGCTGGTTGTTGTTGATAAGAGTTTAATGGCACATCTTCTTGTGGAGGAAAATGTTGATTTTGTTGGCTTGTGTCTTGTTGAACCATGATTTATAGATAATATTGTTAAAAGTAATAAAGATAATACTTTACTTTTGTCTTTAAAGTTGTAAAATTAATAAAAAAAAATTCTCGATTTTAATCACCACATTTATGCAATGAAAAAAATTCGATCGTTTCGTTTCCCTCATTTGCAACGCCCATTCACTTTTTTTTTTCTTTTATTATTAAAGAACAACTTTGGTTAACAAAATGTTATGAGAGGAATAGAATTGAATCTGTCAAGAAAATTTTGGATAATAAAGAAACTACTCAGTTATCTAAAAATATTGTATACCATCTCTATCATATCGATAAACAATTGATCTGAAAAACAAAGATTGGTTTTAAAAAAATAATTAAAATCACTGATAATTTATTTAGGTTAATCAATGACTACTAGTTTTGAAAATAAATATTTTCTGCAATCAATTTTTATATAGATTTATTTTATTAATATTATTAAATAAAATTTATTAATAAAAATAAAATAAATAAAAAAAAACAAAAATGTTCCAATGTTATTTGAAAAAAAAAATAACCATTACAATATTTTTTCATATTTTCATACCATAAAAAATTAATGTAACCTTTGATTGTTGGGTGTGAAGATTAAACGAAGCGGTGTGTGGTTTTAAAAATAATGATCAAAAATTAAAATTAATTTTTTTGAACATTTTTTCAGTCCATAATGATCGTTATAACCAATTAAGAGTTTTTTAAATTTATTAATTTTTTTATAACAGAGAAGATAATTAGTTTTTTCACTAGTAATAATAATTATTTCATATTTAATATTAGAAGGTTTAGAATTCAATGATATAGGAGAAAAGTTTTTTTTTTTTTTTTTTTTTTTTATTGTGAACTACTTTTTTATTATTAGTTTTTTCTTTGGATAGAATATTTATTATTATTAGAAAAATGAAAATAACTAAAGAAAAAATAATGGATCTATGGAGAAGGATCAGATCTTCAAAGACATCAATTTTAATTTCCATTTCATTTGCACTCTTCACAGATATGATTTGCTATGGAATCATTCTCCCTATTATGCCTGGAATTATGAAGAATCATTATCACAAGTCCGAAGCAGTGACCGGTATACTTTTTGCTATGTTTTCAGCTGGATGTCTAATTGGAACACCGATCGTTGGAATCGCTTCAGATAGAATAGGCAGACGTACTCCTTTTCTCATTGGAATGGGTATGCTTGCTGCATCGACAATGCTATTTGCATATGGAAATCACCTCGCCACACTATTTATAGCTCGTTTCGTACAGGGACTTAGCAGTGCTGTCGCTTGGGTGGTTGGACTGGCACTGATCGCGGATATCTATTCGAATCAGGAATTTGGAACTGTTAGTGGATTGGTCATCGGTGGAAACACAATAGGAGCACTCTTTGGACCAATCATTGGAGGTGTCACTTACGATCACTTTGGATATCTTACACCATTCTATATTAGCGCTGCATTTGTAATTGCCGACTTGGTCATACGTGTCCTGTTGGTCGATGACAGCAATATCAATACTCTCAAGAGATTAAAAGAATCGAAATCCAACGACGTAATTAAATTGATTAAAAACAATCAACTTACTCTACAGGACGGTGCCAACTTTATTGGAATGGACGTAATTCACGATTATAGTGGCAATTTGGAACAGGAGCAATCGGAGAATCAACAACATACTATGGAGGTCAATGATAATTTGGAACAGAATTCAATCACTACAAATAATGATGAGAGTATGGGAGCGACAGAGATGAATGAACAACTAATAGAGAAACAAGAGGGAAATGTGGTAATTTCCAATGATTACAAAGTGGAGAGTAGAGAGAAATATTCAAATTCACCAGAGATTGCATCGGTAGCAATAGATACTACCTCCATAGTGGAGGAAAGCAATACCAGCAATGCAGCAATTCTTACACCTACCACTATCGATTTGGATGCCGATGCCGATGAACCATTCGATGAGGTTGCATTCAATGAGGATTCCTCTCCCGCCAAGCCACCAATGATGAGTGAGCGTGATTTTTACAAGATGATAGTAACCCGAGTAGATGTCTGGCTGACGCTTTCCTCTATCATTATTTTTGGCATTGGAATGTCTGCACTGGAGCCGATATTACCGCTGCTGGTTGAAGATGACTACGGTCGTGGAAAGAGTACCAGTTCAACAGCTATTCTATTCGGAATTTTTATTGCACCATTTTTGATTCTCTCGCCAATAGCTGGCTATCTGACGGACCACAACTATATCACTAGAACCAAGATGTCGGCGATCGGTGCACTCATAACATCGATAGCAGTTCCATTTTTCAGTGGTCGACTCCCTCATTTTGGCTTACTATTTTTGGTAATTCCTATTATAGGTGGCGGTCTTGCATTGTTTTTCAATCCAATCATCCCAATTCTTACATATATAGTGGATCCTCAAGAAACAGGACAACACAACGCAAAGATTCTCTCACTATTCTGTGTGGTCTACAGTTTCGGTATATTAGTTGGACCTATCTACAGTACGGTATTCAAACAACATCTCACACTATTTGCATTTACACTCTCCTATTCAATCATTATGTTTGTGAATGCAATTGTATTCCTTTATTATTTTTATAACAAACCAACTTCAAAATATCAATCAATGTTAATAACATTAAAATAATTAATATATAATAATATAACAATAACATAACAATCATATATTCGAATTGAACATTGTTTGTTTGATTATTTCAATCTTTTGCAATATAATAATTTAAAGAAAAAATGTTTGCAAAAAGCAACATCACCAAATGTATCTTAGTAAAAAAAAAACTATTATTATTTTTTTATTAAAAAAATAAATAAATCGATTCTATAAGTTACTACAAGAAAGAAGAAGAAGAAGAATAGGATTCGGTGTTTGAATATTATTGAAAAGACCAAAGAATGAACACATAAATAATATTATGATATATATAACTATTGATTACTGTGATTTAAGTCGATTAATCGCAGCATGTGACCTTTGGTTTGTAACCACGAAATCTACCAACCAAGATATTACCAAAGATGGTACCAGCAATAACAGCAAAGAACAATGCAACATTGAATGTCATTGCAACAAGCATCAATAAATAACTAAGTGTCAATTCAAATCCATGAAGGAATCCTCTCTATAAATAATTGTATCAAGAGTTATTAGTTTCATGATTTTAAATTGAAAAAAAAAAAAGCATAAACTAAAATAAAGTACTTACAAGTATATCAACTTTATAATCGAATGGAGGGAAACTACCTTTGATGAGTGAGTTTTGAATTAATTCTTCACCGTTGATCTCCATGTTACGTTGACGAACGGCTTCCCATCTACGCTCCAACATCGATCTGAGAGTCTTTTCACACTCAAAAATGATGGCAAAGAAGAAAATGAGGAACCAGTAACCGGCGTATTGCTTGTTGGTTCTTGGCACCCAGTCCTCAAAGAGAATGTAATCCAAGATACCGGTGTGGAAGAACATTCTCATCAATGGAATCTGCTTGTTGGCTGGTGGTGTGCAGAATATCGATGACAATGGTGATTGATCGAGTTGTGAACCAGTCATACACATATCGTGCCACTGTGAGCATTGCTGCATGTTTGGCATCGATTGACAGAGCTGAGAGTAGGTGGTGAGGACGTCGCATTTCAATTGGTTACCGGTCGGTGTTGTTGAGACTGGACACTGTGAGCACGCATCCATGTTCATCTCGGTACAGATACTGATGATCAAGTTACCTAAGGTCTTGCTGTCGCCGAGGTTCTTGATCGATTGGTCGTTGGTGCACGATGGTACGGTGGTGTTGGCGACGCAGAGTGTACGGTAGTTCTTGCAGTTCGACATCATTGGCATGTCATATTGGCAACCGTCGGCCAACACACTGAATGGAGTGCAGACGCCGTCGGTGAGATCATTGTCTTGACATACCTTGTCGATGGTACAGACCGGCATGAATGACATCGAGGTACAGAGACCTTCAATATCAGCAGTGATATTGGCCAAAGGATATTGGTAGGTAGCACAACTTGGATCCCATGGTGTTTGTAAGCAGTTGGCTGTTTGTGAACTTACAACTGACAAACATGTAGACACCAAAATGATAGTGGTAAATGAAATGAATAAAGTGTTGGAAAATTTCATTTTTTTTTGAAAGTTGGGGAGTGGTGTTTTTTGAAAAAAAGTAATGATTTGTTGTTACAGTTATATCTAATACTATATGTTAGACTGATTTTGAACTGATATTAATTGAATAATAATACTCTAAATAATTAATTAATTATATACTTCTATTATTATTGTTAAAAGAAAATATTACTTTTAAAACTAAATAGTAATAATAATAATAGAAGTTTATAGTTAACTATATTTTTAATTAAAAAAAAAAAAAACAAAGTTAATAAGTTATTAATTTTAAAAAACAATAGTTCAATTTCATTGAGAAATGATCGGTTTACGTTTAATTAAATTTAAACACGAAAAGAGGAATAAAGTAAAGCTGGAAATCGAGTAAAGTCGAAGAAGACAAAGTAAGGGAAAAGTAGAGGATAATGAAGATCAATATTATCGATATTTGTTTGTTTGATTTATTGATTAGTTTTACTTTAATAACTTAAGTTAAAAGTAAAGTTTGATTTACTTTAACCAAAAAATAAAATAAAATAAACAATTAAAAGTAGTAGTAGTAGTGGGTTATGCAATAAAACGAAGTAGAAGAAGTTGAAATTTCTTTGTTTTTTGTTTTTGCTTTGTTTTATTTTATTGTGATGTTTATTAGAAGAATAACGTGACGTGTTGTATGTAATTCGTCGGTAGAAATGGGTAGACTCTATTTATTCTTTTTAATATACTAAACTAAACTAAACTAAACTATATTATGTCACACTAATTTATAGATAGTAGTAAAGTGTTTGGTATGAAGGGGAAATAATGAGGAGGAGAATATGAAGAGGAAGGAAGGGGTGGGAGGAGGAAGGATTACTTTACTTTATCTGTTTTTATTTATTAACTAGGTCATTCAAAAGTGAAGTGAGATGAAAACAAATGATTTCCTTTGCTTTTATAAAAGGTAGTTTATATTGATTGGGTGTCAAAAAAATAAAATAAATCTTTTTTTAATTTTTTTAATTTTTTTTCGAATTCTTTTCGCAATAACTTTAGAATAGTCATAAGAATGATTAAAAACCAGTTTCGAAAATTGTTTTTTTTTTTTTCGAATATCTATCTTAAATTAACCAGTTTTCATATTAAGTAACATCGTGGTCTGGTTATTAATAACTGATTCAAAACTAAACAGTCAATCTTCATCTAATTTAAAAATTTCAAAAAGGTGAAAAAAACAAAAAAATAATTAATTATTTTGTTTGACAATTAAATAAGTTTGGTTTACTTGATCAAATAAATCAAAAACTTAAGTTATACATACAACCACTAATCTGTTTTTTTTTACTTTAAAAAAACATGTAATGATTTGTCGTTTTTTTTTAATTTTTAATTTTTAATTTTTTTATTGTTGAAAAATCAGAAAATGATATGGTTGTTTATTAATAGTCAGTTGATTTGTTTTTATTTTTGTTTGCTATCATAAATTTATACAAGAAAAAAATAGTTATAGTAACAATAATGGATGTACAACAATCATATACTTTAGAGGAAGTAGCTCAACATAATAAACGTGACGATCTCTGGATGGTCATCGACGGAAAGGTCTACAACTGCACAGAGTTTGTCGATGAGCATCCGGGTGGTGGTGATTACATCATCGACAACGCCGGTAGAGATGCAACTCTTGAGTTTATCGATGCCGGTCACAGCGAGAAAGCCATTGCTTTGCTCAAGGACTTTTACATTGGTGAATGCTCGAATGCCAAACACATTGGTAAGCTTAATGCACCAGCCACAGCAGCTACCTCTAATGCTACCACTACAGAGAAAACAGAATCAGAATCAGTTTCATCTTCACAAACTACAGATAATTCCACCAACAACATCAGCACCAGAAAATCATCATCATCAACATCAGAACCCACCAACAGTTATTTAATACCACTAATCATCATTGGTGCTGTAGTAGTCGTATCAGCAGTCATAGCAAACAAGTTTTTAAGAAGATAAAGATAAAGATAAAAATAAAATAAAAAAACAATACAAAATATAAACAATTTGCTTGTTGTGCAATCAATAACACTTCAATCATGATATTATTTATCATTTTGTAGTTATAGTGAATGTTTATTATCATAGCATTCGAATCACATTATAATAATCTAGAGATTCATTCATCAACACTTTAACATTCGTGGTTGTTGTTGATAATCAATGATCGATGAAATGGGTGTTTTTGAATTGCAAACTTTATGAGAAGCAGGTGGTGTTTGAAAATCATATGATTATTCATTTTTTTTAATAAGAATCTATTTTAACAATGAATATTCGCTCTCTCAGGTAAAACTGAGTAGTAACAATGAATAAATATATTAAAAAATAAATAAATATATTGAATAACAAATTCATTATATATTTTTTTATTTAATATATATATATTAATAAATATTTTTTTATATATTAGTTTTCATATTTTTAATACTAAAAAAACTTAAATAGTGATATATTATGAAGATAATTTTAATAGCAATATCAATTCTATTGATATCTACAGTGGTTCTTTCCACAGAGGTAAACATTTATATATCAAATTAAAAAAAAAGATTATGTTTTTTTATTTACTTTTTTTATTTTTTATTTTCTATATTAGTTAGCTCCGGAATCTCCGCAAAAAAAGGATTATAGTAGGTTGATTTATTCAAAGATGATAATATTTTATTTGATTCTAAAATTTAATTAAATAATCTATAAAATAGGATTATGGACGGTGGAGGATTTAAAGCAAACTGGTTGGGATTTTAATTCGATGAACGCAGATGAGAAACAAAAATTCAATTTGTTAGTTCTCCAAAGAATCTTGGACCAAATGGCGCAACCAAGCCAACTTCGTAAACCAGTTTCCAAAATTCCATATTATGGACCATACACTTCATTCGTCAATGACCCATACAAGACCGATCCTTATACTGGAGCCTATCAAATCAATCCAGTTTTGGGAGGTGACAATTTCATCTCTGGTCTCTTTGGCACTAGTGGTGGTCCACTTGGAGGTCGTTTCGGTGCCTCTGGTTTCAATGGTGGTGGATTGATTGCTGGTGGATACCCAGGTCAATTCGTACTCTCAGCAATCTTCCCTAACCAATACATGGCCAATGGTCCAATTGCCGGATTGCTTACCGGTGACATTAGAAACCCAATTTATGATGCCACAAGACATCCACCACCTTACATTAGCACTGCTTATGGTCCATTAGCTCCATATCTCCAAAAAAGACAAGGTGGTGATGGATGGCAAAACTAAAAACAACATTAAACAATTTTAAATTAGAAAAAAAGACAATCAAAAAAAAAAAACAAAAAAAATAGAAAACAACATTAGGAACATTTCATACAAATAATTAATCATTTTATTCTTATAATATTTGATTATTTTATAACTTTTAAAAAACTATAATAATAAATAAAATATAATTACATTTTTTAAAATATATCTATATAAATTGATTGATTGATTTTTATTTAATTCAATTCATATGGCAATGGAATATCACGAGTTGCTCTGAAACGACCACAATTATTAATGTGTTCGTTCTCTAAACGGTAAACATTCCATTGTCCTCTTCTCAATACTTCAATTACGGCAATGACAACCACCAATTTGTATGATGGAAGAAGTGTGGTGAGTTGTGGCAGTGATTTAGTAAGACTCCAAGTCATTCTAAATCCAAAATTGGTAATGATTGCAATATAGTATACAAAGGTTGGTGAATACATTCTCTTCTTTCTTAATGTATATTTGAATGGATTCCAACTTGATGTCTTTGGTTTAACTAAAATTGACCAATCCATAAATAAATCCCACCAATAAGCTATTTATATTTTTTAAAAAGTTAGATATATTGGTTGTAAAAAAATTATTTATAAAAAAAAGAATAATTTATACATACAATAACAACTATTAATTAAACCTGAACTTAACCAAATGATTCTTGTTGGAGATGTCCATCCTGTTGAATAGAATGAATCGATCGCAGAAAAGAAAACAACAACAATAGAAAGGAAATATTTCAATGCATTTCTTAAATGTACAATATCTTTACTATCATAATAACGACGGAAACATTGTAATAAACGCCAAGTCGCTGGAAGTGCAGACTAGTAAGTAGTATTATAGTAGCAAATTGTTAGTTAATTGTTTGAAAAATAATAATAATAATAATAATATTTTTCAACTTACAATGAATGGATTAATATATCTTCCTTTTTGTATACAAACTGCATGCTCTGGTGAATGATAAACATCGACTGTGTAGAAGCATATAAATTGTGACAATTGGACCATCATCAGTACAAGACTAGACAACTGATCACCCATAAAGAAATGGGAGAATTTAACGGTTTTGGCGGGTGCTGTGACGACACGCCAAATTGTAAGAAGGAACCACTTTCGAACTTCTCGCTGGAAAATATTGAATGGACAAATCAATATCAAGAGGTAAACAACCAGCAGAATGAGTGGAGTGTACTCTGCACTGACGAAAGGGAATGGGAAATTACCCATCGATTTCCACATGTAGATACCGATCGATGTGATCCAGAGCACCGAAAGCACTGTCACCGCCTGGAACACACGATGATAGGTGAGCGTATTCCGACTGAGTTCGAAAATAAATGAATAGTGTACGTGTGCTTTTGTCCAAATGTAAATATCGATACCAAACATCAGTGCCCAGAGAATCGCTAAACCGAGGGTGACAAACAAATTGTAGACCGTGCCAAACCGTACGAAATCATCGTACTCGCCAGTGTACAACACAAAATAAATAAGAATGAGAATCGCTGTTGTCCAACCTGCACACATTCCAGAAAAGAAAGTGGTTCCAGTGGTCGATTCGATAGTGCCTTGCTCTGCGTTCTGTCGGTGTCTCAGGTTCTTTCTGGCATCTCGAAGCTTTCCATTACAAAACACATCGGCATAGATCTTCTCGATGGAACCAGAGAGTTTATCGATCAACTTTGATGTTTTGAACATCATTTTATCGGCAGTACTGATAATCTTGTCATTTAGAACCAATTCAGTATTTTTCTCTGCTTTTTTAATAATCTTTACAAGTGCAGAGTAATTTAATACTTTATAATTCTATAATAAATATAATAAACAATTTCATTAGTAAATAAATCTTTAAAAAACAAATATATTATATAATGTTATTTACCTTTACCAAGATTAAGAATCTATAGAATTCTTGAATCAATTCTTTCATTGTATGTTCATTATTTTTCTTTTTACCAAGTTTAAACCATTTCTTTGCTTTGTTTTCCAGTGGCTGAATCATATCTTGTTCAATGGTTTCGAATACATCGAGAATGATGTTCTTTCTGGTGAGTGTGCTTGACATTGGATTGGCACCGTCGTCTCCGATTGGAACCATCTCAATGATTGTCTCTGGATGGCTGTCTTCCTCTTCCTCTTCCTCTCCACCAGAATGATCAGCTTCACCATATTCTTCCTCTTCTTCTTCCTCCTCCTCGTTATTCGAATCTATCAAGTGTTCATTCACTTGGTGATGATGATCATTATTGGATTTCTCTGGTGTGATTCCTATGACTATTTGTGTTGGACTGTTGGAATCCACTGACATACCTGACATTGATGGAGATGTCGGTATACTATTGGACAGTGATAACGAAGAAGAAGATGTAGTAGTTGGTTTCTTTACTTTCTTTTTCGACTTTTCATTCTCCGTCTTAACTTTCTTGTTGACCAACTTTTCAAATTTATTTCTCGGTGAATAACTCTCTTTCTTTGCTTCGGAGGTAGATGATTCTTCAATGGCAGTCTCTTCTTCCTGACGCAGCTGAATCAACTTGTGAACCTGACTGTAAATCTGATTGAATCTTTCGATCGCCTCTTTCTCGCGCTCCACATAGAACTCATTCACTTTCTTTGCTTCGTCCATGATGATCTCTGTCATTTCACCTTGAATTTCGATGAGTCGTTGCAACACATTCTGTGAATGGAGTGGTAGTACTCGCTGTTTGGTGTTGACACCGGCCGACGCAGCCAAACTATTGACGAATGCCATCTGAAGTTCACCGCTGCTCACCGAATCCAATTGGAGACCGGTCGATTGGTTACCGTCGAATGGCGAATGAACACCCGTACTACTGCCAGTGATGGCAGCACGCTTCACCAAGTTGGAATAGGTGCTGTTTCGCTTGAGTGAGTTGGGTGCATAGGAGTGAGGAGTGTGTGGACTCTGTTCCTCTTGGTCCTCGGGATCATTCTTGAATTGATCGATCTCTGCCTTGAACTTTTTGATCTTCTTTCTTATCTGTTTGTATTGAACATATTTGTCACGCCATTCCGGCACATGATTCTCCTCCAAATACTTTCCAAACTTCATTCCACATAAAAAAAAAAAAATTATTATTTCCAAAAAAAAAAAAAAAAAAAAAGTCAACAACTAAAAATAAAATAAAATAAATAAAATATGTCTTCAACTATTCCAATATGAATATGAATATGCTTTAATTAAAAGTAGTACTTTTTTGAAGTATTATTATTATATTTGATCTCTGACAAATTTATGATAATGAATTGAATTTTTGTTTGAATGAGATTAGATGAGATGAGTTTTTCTGATTTGACTTTGATGATGTTTATAATATATGTTATAATAATTTAAATATGTGTTTGTATGTTTGACTGTGATGAGAAAAATCAAATACTCTGTAAACTTACAAACCCTCTTCTTGAATTCAAAACATAACAATCATCACATTGTTTTTTTTTTTTTTTTTTTAAAAAAAATTTGATTTTTTTTTTTTTTTTTATTACAGTTGCAAATCAAACCTACAATTGTTGGTAGATTGATCAAAACGACGAGGGATGCCCCAATTTTGCAATTGTGGTAAAATAAAAATTTATAAATATAGAAATCGTCGGTACCCCGGAAGTCTGAAAAGACACCAAGTTTTTTTTTTTTTTTATAAAATTTTTTTTGAAATTTTTTCTGATCAGTTTTTTTTTTGGATCAGTTTTTTATATTTAATATTTAAACGTATTTATATTAAATTCTCATATAATGAATTCGCAAAGTTCTCAAGAGGAATCAGTCAACAGATTAGTGAACTCAATTTATGAATTTATTGGTGTTTAATTTTTAACAAATGATATCGATTAAGGTCATTATTTGGTTTTGGTGGATGATCCGGTAGTTAACAATTTTGTTGAAGGAAAAGGTCCAATGAAAAATTTTCAAATTTTTAAAAGTAATTTTTTGGTTTTATTAACATTTTATAGTTTTTTTTTCACAGAATGGATAAAACATTATTCATAGTTGTATTTAATAACAGATTGTTAAATAAGTTGATATTCAAATATGTTGTTGACATATTAAGTTTTAATAGCAAAAGCAAACTCTTTAGGTGGGACGAACTTGTAAACAGTCCTGCATTACTTGCAGGCAACAACTATCTAAAATTACTCAAAAGATATCATCAAGAAGAAAATCAGAGTAGTGATTCAATGGCAAAAGTTTTAGAGAATGCAATCAGAGGTGGGAGTATGGAGATGTTTCAATATTTGTTGGACCACTACCGGATGGACCAACGCGCAAAACTACCAAAGGCATTCGTCGTTCAGAAGCTAATGATAGATTCATCGGTCTATCGTAGAGTGGACTTTGTTCATTATCTTTTGCAGAGATATCAAGAGTTTGCATGGTCATACGGAACGATGATGCTGCACGTACCGTACTCTGGTGATATCGAGCAATTGAAATTCTTTTCCGATCGATTCAAATCCAACGATATCAACTATATGATTTTCGAGAAAGCAGCTTCAGCCGGACAAGTCGAAATGATCAAATGGTTGGCGACCAATCGCTCTAAGGGCATTGAAAAGAGTAATATGTTTACGTATGCTATATATGGCGGTCACCCGAAAGTCATTGAATACCTGCTGGCCGAGCATAGACATCTCCTTAAAGATGAACCGTATCAAGTACAACTGGCGGTTTCAGAGAACCAATTCGAGATACTGGAATTGTTTTTTCGCGAAGGAATTAGATACTCGACCAATCTTGTTGACGTTGCATCTCGCCGTGGAAGAATAGAAATGGTAGAGTTGTTGTTTGCCCATTCAAGTGCAAGATGCACCTATAACTCTATTAGCATTGCTGCAGACAATGGACATTTTGAATTAGTAAAATTTTTGTACGAGAATGGTGGTCGTGGTTATCTGCCAGGTGATAGCGCAGCTAAATATACACTTGAAATGGTAAAATGGTTTAACAACACTAAAGGTAGTTATTTCACAAATATGGCAATGACCAACGCAGCTGAGAACGGTAAGCTCGATATTGTAATATGGCTCAACGAAAACCGAACAGAACAATGTCTTCCGAATACCGTTAACCTGTCGGCGAATAACGGACACCTCGAAGTAGTGAAATGGTTCTACGAGAATAGAACGGAGAGATTCTCTGGTGATATATTTGAAATTGTTAAGAATGGATATTTCGATCTACTCAAATATCTTTATGCTCAGCACTGCAGCGGTGGTGGTGATGGAAACAAGCTACACTTTGTCGAACAACCTACGGTGGGTGCAGCGAGATCCGGCCACATAGATATTCTTAAGTGGCTCTATGAAAATGGAATGGATGGCGGCGGTGGCAGTGGCACCGAAGAATTGTCTCTCTCCGCAGCGATATTCCAGAGTCAAATCGAGGTTGCCGAATGGCTAATCAAAAACAAAGAGATTAACTTTGAAAAGCTACCATACAAGTTTATTTTTCAACATTTTTTTAGATATAAAAACCATCAAACACTAGACTGGCTACTGAAAAACATTGTAATTCCAATAGATCAACTCGTCGAATTTCAAAAAGAATCATACAAAAAAAATTTCCTGAAGCATTTGATACAATAGAAATATTAAATAACTTTATAGAGAAAATGTCTTCTTTAAAAAAATAAATAAATTTATAATTATTCACTTTCAATTGATAATTATTATTTTTAACAAATATTTCCATTTTTATATGGAGGTCCAATAAAAAAAAAAAAAAAAAAAAAAAAAAAAAAAAAAACTGTGCCCAAAATCTCAGAAATTTCTTTATCTTAATTTTTTAATAAAAGTAATTTGTTTAAAACAAAAAAAAATGTAATAAGTTGCAATTCCAAAAACATTAATTAATTTTATAATTCAATCAGAAAAAGTTAAAAGCAATCGAAAATCTAGACATTTAGTTAATTTTAAAAAAAACAAAGAAAAAAAAATGAGTCTAGGTTGTGCCTTTTTCTTTGGAAAGTAAATATCAATAGCATTAGGATTCATCTATAGATGTTATAATGTATAGACAGATTAGATAGAAGTAAAATTAGATTCTAATTATTATATTATTATTATTGTTGTTGTTGTTGTTTTTTAGAAATTCACATGGACAGCTAGGTACTAATTTAACAGATGGTGATCATAATAAATTGGTTTATGATCAGTATGTATCTCTATCTATAGATTAGTTTAGTTTTTCTTACTTTAGGTTTTCTAACCGAAAGTCTTCATATATATATATATGTTTATTTATTTTTATTCTATAGAGATAACTTTACACCTGTTCCAACATTATATAAAGGTGAAGTCAGGTATATTTCAACGGGTGTGTTGCACTCTGGTATTATCAATACCAATGGAGAGTTGTTTACTTTTGGAAGTGGTAGTTTTTTCAAGTTGGGTATAGGTAATTCCGAAGATTACAAGATTCCACAGATTGTTCATGTAGCTCCAGGCCACAAGGTATCAATGGTTGCCTGTGCCAACGAGCATACATTGGCACTTGCCAATGGAAAGATATATTCGTGGGGTATGGGTTCGAAAGGTCGTCTCGGTCATGGAAACACAACCACTCAGATACGACCAACTGCCATCTTCATGCCGGCCGATGTCGTTTCCAAGTCGGTGCATGCCAACGGTGCTAGTTCCGCTGCTATTACAACGCGTGGCACTGTCTATACCTGGGGATACAATAAGTATGGCCAGTTGGGACTGGGACACAACAAGGATGAGGTGACAAGTCCGACGCTGCTCACCTACTTTAACGATATAGTAAAGGTTGCCAATCTCTCGGTGGGTGATCGGCATATGGGTGCTGTTGATACCGACGGCTGGATTTATACTTGGGGTTCGAATGGCGAGTTGCAATTGGGTATGGACGGAGGTGACAAGAACACACCGACGATGAACACAAAGCTGCGATGTGAAATTCAACAGATTGAATGTGGTGGAACATTCACCGCTGTCATATCAAAGGACGACGATAACAACAGTCTCTATGTGTTTGGACAGTTTGCAAACATCCACGTCAGTTCGACGCCAAAGAAGTTCATGACTGGCGTCGAGTCGGTGTCGTGCTCACACGACTGCAGCAACAATCTACTGGCGATAAAGAAGAACGGTGAGGTTTGGAGTGCTGGTTGGTCGCGTTATGGACAGGCTGGAACAGTCGATGAAGTAGCACAGTTTGGAAAGTTGGCATCGATCATAGCCAAGCCTGTAATGGTTGCATGCGGGGCCTACCACAGTGCAATGCTATTCACCGATCCCGTGGAGATTGCATTCCAATTGGTTTGGTCGAATCATCTGGAAATGGCGTACAACGTCGCATCCAAATATTACGACAAAGTTTTACTACACTCCAACTCTGACGGTGACAGTTTCTTGCATATCATCGCCAAGAAAAGAATACAACAACAACCGGAAGTTTTTAAACTATTTACATTGATAAACAAGCTCAATGGAGCAGGAAGACCTCCCTTCTTTTACAATGGTTCGCTACTAAAGTGGTATAAGCTAAATATGCCTGATATTTACTTTAGAGACAGAGAGGGACAGACTTGTCTGCATTACTATTGCAAAAACAACATGTACGACGACATTCCTCATATATTGTCGTACTCTGCATTCGACGAGCGTGTAAGAGACAGTGAAATGAAACGAGCATTCGAGTATATACCAAAGGACATTGCATTCAAGTTGAAGAAACGATTCGATATTGCAGACATCGGTATTATCTATCACAAACAAAACAAGTCGTTGGCAGAGCGCATTAAAAAATCGATAGAGGAGACACAGATCACCTGCGAGCTGATACACGACACTGACAACGTTAAGAAGCGATGTATTGGTTATGTATTCTTGGTTTCAAAGGTATCGTTGGAGACAGAGTTCACTCGTGATCTGCTTGTCAACGTCTTGGTGAAGAGTCCTATGATTTCCATTTGGGCAGAGAAACTGGCCATCAAAGATCCGACACTGGAATCATGTATCTATCGTTCGCAACTCGTAGATTTCTCACAGGAGGGACTCTACCACGATTCTCTATCGACATTACTCGAGGGTATTGACAATCTGATGCAATTCATTCCAAAGGAACAGGCGGAAGCAGAGGAATCCGACTTGAAGGTGGACAGCGAGTTTGTCAAGATCTCCGGTGAGGAGTCGATCTACATCAGCTACGACACCAGTAAACAACAGCAATATTCAGCGCTGTTCAAGTTTCTGGAGCAACAAAAGATCACTGTCGTCTCGAAGGAACAAGGATTGCTATCGAGTTGGGTGGTCGTTGTCATTATCAATTCAAAGGATTTCTCAGCACAGACAAGAGATGAGATCTCTCTAGCAGAGAACAGAAACAAGCCAGTCATTCCCATCTACTACGAAGAGGGTAGTCTTGACCAAGGTTCGATCTACACCTTTGCAAACTCACCAAAACTCAGATTCGACGACGAGAGTTTCCACCAACTACTTACACTCATCAAATTGAACTATCATTATCTTCATAATTCTTCAAAGTTATTCAATTTATTAAAACAATAAATAAAAACTCTGTTTCATTAAAATATTTATGATCACAATGTGCAAAAAAAAAAAATTCATTTTTTTCACTAAATTTTGATCAAAAAAAAATGATCATTTTTTGTTTTTATTTGTTTTTACAGATATATTAATACTACGAATAAAAAAGAATGGAAGCAGAAGGAATCTTACAGCAATTCTTTAGACATACCTCAGATTGTGTTACAATCAACAAATCACAAAAGTTCAAAACAGAACTTGTCGATGCTTGTATTAAATCTACATTTTGTCCAGTCGAAGCCGACATTGTTAGAGATTGTTACCTAAATAAAGATGCTTCACCTGCAAGATGTTTCGCTCAAGTAGATATTTTATCAATAATCGATCATCATCATTATTATAATAACTAATCACTTATATATATAATTATTATTATTATAGGATGCTCGATTAGCTCAATGTTTTAATAGTTTAGTAAATGACTCTTCTAAATTGAATGAATCAACCTCAACCAAATTGGCTTACTACACCACAGTCATCAACAAGGCATCATATTAATTTAGTAATAAATCATAAAAATAATAATAATAGTAAATAAAGATATAGATAGCTAGATACATTGTTAGATAGATACAAAATAAAACATATTTAAACTTTAGTAGTAGTATATGTAAAGGATAAAAGAATAAATACATGTAATATTACTAATTTATCGAACTTTACTCAACAAAATGTTTATTATTTAAAACGATAAAGTTTATAATCATTACAACAACAATTCAGTTTAGATTAGATTAGTAGTTTAGTTTTCAAGATTTCTTATTAATACTCATTTAAATCATTAAAGAGAGATTGAATCTTGCTAAAAACAACAAACAAACAATTGAACATCACTATAGTAATACTACTCTTATTAAAGGGTGGATCAGTTAGTAAGTTAATTTAATCACCTGTACACACTAGTTGATTCCCAAGAGGATATATAATCAATTTTATTATTACCATCTTTTTGTTTTTTTTTCTCTCTGTGTTTTATTTTATGTGCTTACACAATCACACATTTAATAACAAAGTGATAAGCGATAGATAAACTATTTTGGGTGTATTGGGGAGGGGTATTCTCATCATTCTCTTTGGTGGTCACACACACACACAATTGATTGATTGTATATATATAATAATGAATTAAATTATTGTAAAAATGATTATAAAAATTTAATATGTAAATATAAATTATATATAATAATTTAATTTATTATTATTATTATTAAGTTATAGCTATAATTAATTCCTCTAAACTTATTAACAAACAAACAAACAAATAAATTAATTATACAAATAATTATAAAAACAAAATAAAATGGAAGACCAACAAACAACAATTGATTATCCAAAAATTCAACCATCTGTTCAATATTTCGATCCAAGATTATTACCTCCACCACCTCCACCAGCACCAATTGCCGCCTATTACTACTATCCGAATCATCAATATAAACCACAGCAAGCGACTCTCGAGGAGGAAGAGACTGCCACCTTGGAGAATGACACTGAGAATAAACGTGATATGAATGAGGCTTTCTACTATTCATCGTCAAACTATATGAATTGGTCTCTACCATACTACTCAGCTCAGAACTTCACTGATAACGCTGTGCCACTTACACAACCAATTAACTATCAGCCAACCGCACCAGCAAAGCCTAACCCATATAGTACCACCGATTCTAAATTGACCAATAACGAATTAGAGGAAATCACCAAGACTGTAGATGAACAAATTACCGAACATTCAGATTTCGCATTGAGCTTAATCATGTAAATATCAATTATATCAAACTAATTTACGTAGATCAAAAATATTAATTTCTATTTTTTTTTTCTTAGATTTTTATTAGGATTCTTTTTATTTGTACCATGGTTCTTTGGATTCCTATATCTTAGATCCAAGAGTATTGCAGCAAGAAAACTAGCTGTTACATCCTTAGTATTAGCAGTTTTGTCAATGATCGCAATGGTTTTATTCTTCACTGTATTTGAAGATGTCTCCATCGAGATTGAACCAAAGTAAAGCTCAATCAAAAATATAACAATAACAACAACAACAACAACAACGGTCCAGTAGTAGTACTATCAATATCAACATTAAAAATAATCTTTGTAAATAAATAATCTTTAAAAGTTATTCTTTTATTTTTTTTTTTAAATTATAATGTTTAAGTTTGAACAAAAAATGATTTAATATAAATGATATCATTGTATATTGAATTCAAATTCGATTGAATATCGTGGTAATTGAAATGATTATTACTTCTATTGTACATGGATGATCCTAGTGCTGTGGTGGATGCCGATCGGTTAAGCGATGATTGATGTTCGAATCTCTGAAGGGTCTCGCGGATGACGTTCAGCTCTTTGATGATGTCGATCACCGTCTTTTTAGATTCATCAAACTCGTCTTCCACCGACGGACGATTGCGCTGCTCCGATTTAATGTTGTTCTTAAACTCCATGTACTTGGCATCCTGCTCGACCAACTGATTGTTCAGAGCATCTACATCTTGCTCGAGTTGCTCCTTCTCCATTTGAATACGTGAGATCGCTTCGTTCAGTGAATCAAAACTCTTTAGCTTTAATGTTAATTCTTTAATTTGATTCTTTAACTCTATATTCTCCTTTGTTAATAATGTATATTGTTGTTGTTGTTGTTGCTGTTGTTGTCTACTATTATTATTATTAATATTCATTCCACTCATATTCTGACTAATATAATAAGTTGAATCATCAACCATACTTCTATTACTTTGATTATGATTATTACTGTTGCCAATGATTGCTTTCAATTTATTATTCTCATTTTCCAACTTTTAAAATATTGAATGTTAGATAATGTAATTAACATAACGCTTATTAAACATAAACACTTACAGATTGAATTTTATTGTCAGCTTCTACAAGCGAATATGAAAGTTGATCCATCTTTGATTTGAAATCTGATGGTTGTGTGATAATAGCAGTATTTGGTCGTAACTCTAACTCTGTTTTTACATCTTGTAAATCTTTTTCTAATATCTTATTCCTACTTATAAAATTGTTGATTGTCTCATTGTTTCTAGTATTCATTAACTCCCAATTGTGAATAGATTTATTCTTTCTTTCTATATTTTTATTTAGATCATCAATCTTTAATTTTATTGTTAGTTAATAGCAATATTATTAATAATATAATATTATACATACAGTATGTAATGAATTATTTAATTCATTCTTTAAGTTATTGATATATTGATCTTGTGTAATTACTAGACTCTTGAATTCTTGATTGTCTTTGGTGAGTGTCTCTTTGAGATCCTGTAGTGATTTCATTTGTTGTCTTAGAGTGTTGATAGTTGTCTCGTTGTTACTGATGGTAAGCGTGGTTGTCTCTGTTTGTTGTGATTGATTTTTCAGTAGTGTTTTCAGTGTCTCTATCTCTTGTTGGAGTGACTCTTCTCTGGTTGGTGGCCGTTTATGCTTCTCCATAGGATACATCTGTTGTTGTTGTTGTTGCAAAGCGCCAACCGAACCACCAACAGTAGAATCAAACATCGATTGTTCTTTCTTCATCTTTGGTGTCTTAAAGTAATCCTTAAAGTCATTGCTACTACTATTTCCACTTTCATTTCCGTTGGTAGTACTACCATTTACTCCACCACTATTGCTGCTTGCATATCTACTATTTGTATCTCTTGTATCTGAATTATATTGTTGTTGTTGATGTTGTACACCACTATAGTTTCTAGATGTAACAGGTGATTGTGGATAAGTTCTATAGTTATCCATCTTTTATTAATTATTAAAAATATAATATAATATAATATATTTAATCAATCACTGACTTGCTGTTCATAATGACTTTTGCAAATTAATAAACTGAAAAAATTGAAGGAAAATTTATTTTTAAATTTTGGAGGGAAGTGAAATGCATTTTAACATAAAACCAAATAACTTAGTCTATATTTTTTTTAGTCTAAGTTAGTGGTCTATATTTTTTTGGTTCGTTTAAAAATTATTTATATAATTTATTTATTTTTTTAATTCCAATTGATTTTAAATGGAGTTAATAAATCGATTGATGTTACATTGACAAACAATGTTTGAACTGTTGCGTTATAGGTGAATGGTAATGATGTTTGTTGGTTGAGTTGAACTTGTGTGACTGGTGATTGTACTCCGTAGACTTGGAGTGTTGCCAAGGTTGTTGAGGCAATGGTTTGGTTGTTAAATGCTGTAATGATTGGCTTTGATTTAAGTTCATTTTTCTCAACTTTGAATTCAATGAAATCAAAGTCGTTAGATTCGATAGAGTCAAGAGACATTCCATCGTCGATGAAAAGATAGCCTTTGGCTGTCGATGTCTCATCGAGTGCAATCAACAATTGATATGGTAGAGTGCGTGCCACCTTAAGAGTAATTGGTGCTGGGTTATCTGACGATGAGTATTGTGAGGTTGGTTGGAGTGGCAAAACAACTCCACCACGAACATGGACATTGATAGTCTCGAGTGGTGCATCCAATGTTAGGTATTGTCCAGTGATTGTCGATGCAACAGATTCTCCAGTGAAATAATCATACCATTGGTCAGCTGGGAAATAAGCGTTGACGCTGACTGAACCTTCGGTCAATACTGGACTGACAAGGAGATGTCCACCAACCAGGAATTGTTGGTCGATAGAATAGGTATTGGAATCCAATGGGTATTCAAAGAACAATGGACGTACAACAGTACTTCCATTGGTATTGGCTTGATAGAACAAAGTATAGTAGTATGGAAGTAGCGTATATTTGTTGTTGATCGATGCAATAGCAATGTCTGTGACTTGCTGACCAAATACATAGGGCTCCTGTGATGGCATGTTGATACTATTGTGATTACGACTGAATGGATAGAAACAACCGAGTTGAGTCCAACGTGCACACAACTCTGCAGTGGTAGCACCATTGAATCCACAGATATCGGCACCGATCATAGGAATACCAAACATATTCATAACGAGAATACCTGGAATCGAATAATACATATCGGTGTAGGTACTGTCGTTATCACCCAACCAATGTCCTTGATGAGCACCACTACCGGCAAAGGTGGAACGTCCAATAACCAAGGAACGTCCTCCAATAAGTTTTTCAGCGGCGATAGTAGTTGCTACTCCTTCACTGTAACCGTAGAGACTGTGAGTGTTATAAACTGACAATCCACCGTATTGAGTGTCTGTAAGATTGATTGTGTCGATATTCAATAATACACCACCTGGTAGATATGGTGGATTGTTTGGATTGAATATGCTGGATGTTTCAGATTGTCTGGTGTTGGAACTAGAGCTGCAATCGCCATTACAGAAATTTGATATTTCATTCATATCGATCCAAACACCATCGAACGTGATACCCATCTCACGGAATGCAGAGAATTGCTCGATCCAATAGTTGGTTCCATTCGGGTGGAAGAAATCTGGGAAGTTGACTGGACCTGGCCAAACAGAACCCAAGACCGGTGTGACACCGTCAGCTTTAGTAATATAGGCATTCGATTCCAAGAGATCGTTGTGCGATGGGTATGAATTGTCAGAGACGATCTTTACACCTGGATCTACAATCATCATGTAGTGCTGACCGTTCTCATGAAGATAATCGATGAATTGACTGAAATTAGAGACAGGAAATCGAGTTGGATCGGTAGTGAACACCTCGTAGGAATTCATGTAATCGATATCGTTCCACATAGTTTCCAGTGGAATTCCGTTCTTATAGTAGTTGGCAACGACCGCTTCCGTATCTTCGAGTGTGTGGTAACCCCAACGACACTGGTGCCAACCGAGTGACCAGTATGCCGGCATCTTTGGATATCCGATCACCTGGTGATACTGTTGGATTACTTCACGTGGCGATGGTCCTACAAAGAAGAAAAAGTCTAATACACCACCGACTGTCTTGTAGGTCATCGATTGTTCGGTGAGAACAACATCCATTGCATTGGAATTCAACAAGAAGACACCACTTGCAGTACCGTCAGAATGCATTTGCAAATAGAATGGATGTACACCATAAGTATTGATAAAAGGTTTACTAGCAGTACCTTGATCTCTACTGAAAATAGTATAAGTACGATTGTTTTCTAAACGCAACGATGTAGTACGTTCACCCAAACCATAAATATTTGGATTTAATTCATCAAAAGTATTAGAGATTTCTAAATAATAATCTTCAAACTGAATGAATATATTAGATTAAGGTTAAAGTTAATTAGAATTGGCATAAAATGATATTTGAACATAATAATCAATGTTATAACATACAATTAATCCATTTAATGAGCAATCGGTTGGTGGTGTTGTGTTGAACAAAACCATTGAATCTGATGTTCTAATAACTTGAAATCCAAAAGAAGGTGATTCACTGAATTGAATTGCATATTTTAAAGTCGATGGTGTTGTTGTTGGTGTTGAAAATTGATTAATATTTGGAACTTCAATAAATAAAAATGATGATGAATTAGTTGATTTGTAAAGAAACTATAGTTTATATTTAAGATTAATCTTACCTTCCCATCTTTGATTATTAGAATCATAGATCTTAACTCTTAGAATATCTTGTGTTAGATAGGTTGCGTCTACAGTTAGCTGAGTGATATCACTGCCGTATGGACCCGCATTTTGTAGTATCAGACTTGCACTCTGTCCCGAGTTGGTAGGTGATGACTTTACCAAGTTATAGCCTGGACAACTCTCACCATCGTTGTACTGTTGTAATGATCGCACACCATTAGAAAATAACAAAAGCACTGTAGTTATGGTGAACACCACCACTACACGATATCTTTTAGATGTTGTAATGTTGTTGAGTATCATGATTTGATTATCTATTGAACATCACAACTTAACTTAGTTGATTTAAACTAAAAAGTAGAAAAAAAAAAAAAGACAACTTCTTAAACTAAAGTAAATCATTAACATTGAACATTAATCTAAAATCTCTTTAAATTTTAAAATCTCTTTTAATTTTATAAAATTAATCGGGATTGTCAATTTTCACACAATTTTTTTTATTTTTATTTATTTTTGCAATACCAACATTAACACAACAACGTAATAAAAAATTGAGATATTTTTAACCAGGCCTCACCTGCCCAGACTAATTAATTAGATTAGAAAAAAATGAAAAATATTTACAATCTCTTTTAAAAGTAAAAAAAGTTGTGTCTCACAAAGAATTATAAAATATTTATTTGTTTATCTTAATATAATAAATAAAATTTTTTAACCTGTTACAGTTTATTCTTTTGAGGATCTAAAGAAAAAAAAATGTTCAAATATAAAAAAGAGTAAATGACTAATAATCGTACGTAGGGTCTAATGATATTTATTTCCCACCTCAATTTAAAATATCTACTCCTTTTATGCCCAAACTAATGATATTTCTTTTACTTGAACCTTTATTTGTTCCTAATTTTTCGAACTTTTGATGATGTTATTGGGAAGCGAATTTTTGTGCGCAACGTTTTTGTTCCACCTAAAATGTAACAACACTCAGATCTGATGGATCAGATAAAAAAAAAACAAAACAAAAAAAAAAGTGTAAAAATATGTTTTGATTTTTCAGTTCAAACCATTTCTTGTCCAAAAATTGATATTTTTGTTGATGATATAATCGTAATGATTTCCTAATAAAAGGAGCCCACAACATAAAAAATCTTTAAGATATCAGAAACGGACTCCTTCATTGTTGTTTAAACCATTAAATCTATTTTATCTTTTCTAACAGAAAATATTCTTTTGTTTTCTTTTTTTTTTTTTTTTTTATTTTTGTTTAAAACTTTTTTTTCTTGTCTGGTGGTCTGGTAAATCTTTGAAAATATTTATATAAAGAACATTTTTATTTCCAAACCCTTGTTGAACTTACCTTGTTCTTTACATAATAAATATAAATAATAATAATTATAAATAATAATAAATTTTATGTTTTTACTTATATAATTTTCTTTTATTTTAAATAATAATAATCATTATTAAAATAATTTAGAAATAATCATTTCTGTATTTTTAATAATTAAAAATCAATAATTATAAATAATATTTAAATAATAATATTTTTTTAAAAATGAATAAATCTATAATATTGTTTTTATCTTTTCTAATAAATATAATTGTTGTTGTTAATGGCCAATGGCATATTGAATTCGAATATTCAGCTGCTGGATGTGGTGGAGTTCTGAATAGAGCCTCATCATTTTTGAATAATATGTGTTATAATTACGATAATGGTGGTCCATATTCACATAGATACATTGTATCTGGATCTACAACACTCCGTCAAATATTCAGTAGTACTGACTGTTCAGGAGCTCCAACTACACAAGCTACTTTCGCTGGAAATACATGTTATGATAATTTAATGAAATATGCAATAGTAAATGAACCTGCTATTTCGCCAGGTGGTTGGATTTCATTAGAACGTACTCCTGGGTAAGTATTTATTTATTCTAAATAAAATTTAAAATTTTTTCTTAATTGTATTAATTTGATTTTTTCTAAGAAATGCTTTATCTGGTTGTGGAGTTTATGAAAGTGAAAGACATATTTTTAGATTGGCTACTTGTGTCAAGACCTATGATCTTCCTAATTTTCCTTTCAATACTTATTTTAGTAGTGGTTCGGTTGGCCATGTTTACAATTTAGTGTGTCCCAATACTCTTTTCAACTTCCAACCGTGTAGTAGTGATCCCCAAAGAATTACATCAATATTAACACCAACCATTTCCTATTCAATAACCAATCCAACTCTTATCAATTCCAATACAATTCTTTTAAATCCTTTTACCAGCAACTTTAAATATACATACAAATTCCTTACTGAATATTTTAACCCCAACACCGGAAGTTTTGTCGTTGCATGCAATCAATATTCATCACTGGCATGTCAATTCTCTGTTCCAGCTGGAATTCCTTACACCTATGTTAGAGTTAGAGCTAACGGTGATGAATCATTAACTGCTGCTCCTATTTATACATCACCTAATTTTAATTTACCAATGCGTAAGTAATTGATGAAAAATCAGTTTAAAAATTTAACACTAATTGTTCTTTAAAAAAATAAACAATAGCACCTGTTATGAATGCAATTAATTCAATCATTACCACTACAAAATCTGTACAATTTTCATATTCTGCTACCAATTCCCCAACTTCCTATACTGTCAATGTGAATAGTGTTCCTCGTCCTGAATGTTCTGGTTTAACTACTTGTAAAATAAGTGGATTGACACCAGGTTCTCCCTATTCTATTTCTGTCTCTGCTACAAATGGTTATGGAACATCAACTCCTGTTTCTGCACCCGCTGGTAATCTTTATGCCAGTATCAAAATTCAAACGATAACTGCAACTCCATCTGCTGGTCAAATAGTGGTAGACTATACTTCTTTAAATGGTATCCCAGGTCAAACCACTTACACAACCACATTAAATAATTATCCAGGTGGTTGCACAGGTATTTACACACTCCGATGTATAATTAGTAATCTACCAGCACAATTTTCTACAACTGTAACTGTAGTTGCTACTAACGATGGTGATTCAAATAGCGATGTAAGAAGTATTGACTTTTTGGCACCAGCCATGAATCCAATTGTAATGTCCTCAGTCAAAACAAAATCTATTACTTTCACATACTCAGCATCGAGAACACCTACTTCTTATACTGTTTTGGTTAATAATATTGCACACCCAGAATGCTCGGCAACCACTACTTGTATAGTCAGTGGCTTAACATCTGGTTCCCTCTTTTCAATTTCCATAACTGCTACCAATGTAGCCGGTACCTCTCCTGCCACACAAACTAGTGGAACTTTATATCCAGATGTTGTTGCTCCAACTGTAACATTAACTCCATCAACTAGTACCATAGTTGTTGACTATGAGTCTTTGGGTGGTATAACTGGTCAAACTCTATACACTACAAAACTTGATAATACACCAGTATCTACTTGTACCAATATTGCTGCTTTAAGATGTACTATTACCGGACTTCCAGGTCAATTTGCAAATGACGTGACTGTTGTAGCAATTAATGATGGTCTTTCACAACAAACCACTCAAAGAGTTGAGTTCTTAGGTATTTATCTTTATTTTTTTTTATAGATTTCAATTGAATTTTAATTAATAATTTATTTTCATTAATTTATAGCACCTGTTGTTAATCCAATTACAATAGTTGAAAAGAAAACCAAGTCTATTACCTTCTCCTATTCTGCTTCTCGTTCACCAACTTCATATGATGTCAGTGTAAATGGACTTTCCAATCCACAATGCTCTTCGAAAACCACCTGCACATTTACTGGTTTAACAGCAGGTTCATCATATACTATTCAAGTAACTGCTACTAATGGTGCTGGTATTTCTCTACCAATTACATCAACAGGAATTCTTTATCCATCAGTTGATAATTTATTCTTGATGTCTACACCAACTTGGAATAGAATGTTAGTGGAATACAATTCAACAGGTGGTTTCCCAAATAACACTGTTTATACTACACAAATCGATGGAGTCAATGTACCTGGTTGTATTCAAATTGCTTCATTGGAATGCCAAATCAATGGTTTAAAGGCACAATATTCACATAATATTACCGTTTTGGCTTTCAATGATGGTGATACCATTCAATCATCTTTAAATGTTACTTTTAATGGTAAATATTAAAATTTAAAATAGTAATAATGAAAAAAACTTACATTTTAAAAATATAATAGATATGGTTCCTATTACATCATCTCAATTTATTCATGTTGAATCAACTCAAAATACAATCAATGTCAAATGGAGTGCTTCAACTGGAGGTGTACCTGGTTTAACTGTCTATGATTTGTCTTTATCAATTGATAATTCATCATGGATAGTAGAGTTTAAAAATATTACCATCACTGAAGCTACCATTTCAGACTTAATTCCATCGGTCAACTATTACTTAAGAGTATCAGTGAAGAATTCAGATAATCCACCAATTCATACCTATACTAATACTCAAACCTTGGGACTTGGAGCAGAGGATTGTAAATGTACCAATGGTATCTGTGATGCCAGTTTTAAATTCTGTTTATGCAATGCTGGCTGGACAGGTTCACGATGCGAATTTAAGCACGATGTCGTTGAAGGTGAGATGAAACCACCAACTATAACACCAAACCCCACTAGACCTGAGGTAATTATCGACAATGGTGATTCCCAATACACTTTCAAAATAAGTACAATCATTGAAAGAAGTGAACTATTAGAAGAGATCTCTAGAATGGACCTTTCAAGCTTGAACTGGGATCTCCAATCAAATCTTAGTACTATTATTAAACATCCCAATAGTTTAATGAATGTTTCAATGAACCAATGGATTTACTCGGCTAAAATCCAGAAAGCCGAAGATTTAATTATCAAGTTCACTCAAATCAACCCGATATCCAATGAATCAACTCCTACCTTCCCAATGGAATTTGCTGGTGAATCGTTCAATTTGACAATTGGTTCACTTAAATATCAAATTGAAGTTAAGAAATGGGATTTTACAACCAAACTTAACCACTTGGAAATTCAATCGACTGTTGAATCTAAACTTGATGACTGTGTTAACCCAGAATCTCAATTTTCAGATGGTACCGGAATTTCAGATATTGCAATTCGTCAACCTTCTGGTTATTTCTTATTTGGCAGAGTCTCCAAGAGAATTCTTCTTGATAAAATCCCTAGAATGTCTACCATTAAATATAATCAAGTAAATGTTTCAACTGCCACTATTTCAACATTGGTTAGCCATTTCCAAGATAGTTTGGTTGTAGATCCAGATTTCTCTGTACTTTTAGATCTAGATAGAAAATCAGATGTTAAGTGTGGTGGAGAAAAGAAAACCAATGCTGCTGTTATTGCAGGATCCGTCGTTGGTGCAGTTGTTGGAGTAAGTTTAATCACAGCCAGTGTAATCTTAATCAAGAAAAAGAAGATTGCACAGAGATACAATAATTATTTGACTCAAAAGTTGAAACCAAAGATGATGGCAGACAAAAACAACAAGTAATAAAAATTTTATTTGTTTAATATATTATTACTTATTTAATTCATTGCTTGTACTGCCTTTTGAAAGTTGTTCATTGTTGTATTTATTTTTTAAGTTTGATGTACCTCTTAACCGATCTAGGTGTCTCTAATTCACTATAGACTTTTTTAAGAAATTAATTTTAGTTAAGTATTTATTTCAAATAATTTTTCTACTTTTCATTTTTCCTCTTTATATTTAAATTTACTTCCATTCCTATCTATAATTACTTTCTTTTTTATTGAAAGATGATTATTAACTCTTTTATAATAATGTTAATAATGATAATAAGTTTTAAATAAAAATTCAATACAAAATTCAACTGCAATTTCAATAATAAAATTTTATTTTCCTCTTTTGACAAAAATCAACTTCAATGGTCATAATGGTAATACCTATAAATACAATCAATTGATGTTATTTATTCCATTAAAAACTCCAAATCAGTTTTAGTAAGTAGTTGACTATCTTTTTCTTTTGCAAGTTTCCAGTCATCTATGGCTTTGGCCTTACTCATCTGAACAACTTTCTCTTCTATTGTGTTCTTTATGATGAAACGATGGATGAAGCTCTCTTTCTCCTGACCGAAACGATGTATACGATTGATGGCTTGTGCTTCGACAGCAGGATTTAAAAGTGGTTCTACAATAAAGATGTGTGTTGCCTCGATGATGTTCAAACCATTGGCACCTTTCTTGATGGGAAGCAACAAAACATTGATAGCCGGTTCCTTTCTGAATCTGGCAATTGCGTCTTGGAAATGGATACCACTTGCTTTGTCACCTCGCTCATGTTTGATTTGGTTTTCATTGAGAGCTCGTGAGACAATCTCCAGAACATCGGACCACTGTGAGAAGATGATAGTTTTATCAGATGCCTTCTTTTTATTGATAGTCATTAGTGTTGAAATGACAGACTCTATCTTTGTACCCCATGATCCTTTAATATTAAAATTGCCATTCAACGCTCCATCATGATCACTGGACTGACTAATATATGATATCTCATCGATGTTAACTCTGGTTCTACATATTGGACATTGGATAGTTTGAGCATTCGGTACCTTCTCGATCATATACATAATACACTATAAAAATATGATTAAAATTAATTCCAGATTTCAAAATTAATCTATTTAAAAAACTAGTTACCTCGTAACAAAAAGTATGTCCGCACATCAATAGCACAACTTCTTCACCAAATGGTTCCTGACAAATGATACAAGTTTGCTCCTCTTCTTGTTTCTTTTCATCTGAATTGGTTGTGGTAGAGTTATTTGTAGTTGTGGTTGTTGTTGTTGTAGTTGTAGTTTCATTATTGTTATTACTGTCTTCTTGGGGTTGTTGTTTCTGTTTCTTTTTAGCATCAGATATGTTCTTGATGTACGAGAGTTGAGTGTAGAATTTCTTATAATTTTCAAGTGCTCTCTTTCTCTCTTTTTCGAATCTCTCAATGAATGGATTCACCTCCAAAGGTTTGAGAGTAAAGATTTCCTGATGTGGCGCAACGATTTCACCATGATAACGCTCTCTAATTCTAATGATTGCCGAATCGATTTCATCGAATGAGTTTAGGTAGTCTTTGGAAGAAGACCAAAGATCACGTGATGTACGAAGTTCTTTCTTCATCTGCTTGATCAACTTCAAGTGTTGAACACCTTCTTTGGCCAATTGATCATCGAAAGGCTTCACCATTTGACTGATAATCTTCAAAGTGATTTCTACCTCTGAATTTGCAATATTAGTTGTTCTCTCTGTGATATTGAAAATAGTATCATCCATCATATTGTTGTTGTTGTTGTTGTTACCATTGGTAGAATCATCATCTTCTCCTTTTTCTTTTTCTTTCTCCTCACTATCATCTATTAAATCATCAATAGAATCATTGTTGTTGTTGCTATTGTTATTGTCATCGAATTGGAATGTCATAAGAGTATCAAGTCTCTCACGTTCTGATCTGTGTTTGGTGGAGAATAGTTTCTCTTGGAAATCAACCATGTAGTAGTTGGCTTTACAATGTCCACACTGAGGACCTCTTCTTGTCTTTTTATCCCTGCAATAGGCACAGTTCACCGACATCTCTATTTCCTGTGGTCCAAACGACTTGGATAGAGGAACCATCGATTGATTGAATTTCAAACGCTCTTTAAACATTCCATAGATATTGTTGGACAAGATGAATACCAACCCCGATGGCTCTTTGAACTTATCGAGTAGAACATGTTGATTATGCTTGAATACATGTGGTTGTGTCAACTCTGTTGAGATCTTTTCAAACAATGTCGATTTCATACCATTTTCCACCAAGAGATTAATGGATTTGCTCCACCATTCGACATCCTTAAGGAATAGATTGAATTGTTCAAGCATGAGATTGGTCTTTTCAATTTCCTCTTTCATCAATGCTTCATCTCGTAACATTGTCAACTGTTTCTTCTCCTGATAGGCAAGTTTAATCTTCTCTGCTTCTTCACCATAGCTATCATCTCGTAGAGTATGAATGGTAAGCTTACGTTGCTTCACAAGATAATCGAGGTTATACAACACATGTAGATGTTGATACCACTCTGGTTTATAAAGTCGCATATTACCCTCGATCAAAGCAAGTGATTCGCGATAGAATGTTGCAGCACCATTATGATCCTGCTTAATAACCTGACCAGCTGCCAAACAGTTGTACGCATGAACCAGTTCCTTTTGTGCATTCTTACACTCCAGCGAAGCATTCTCCACCAACCTCTCAAGCAGTTCATCCATAGTCATAGTATTCTTTTGTAGATTTCTAGCACCTTTACTTCCGACTTGTGGATGCTGGCATGTCTGTCTGAGAATGAGCAGCGGGTTCAATATCTTTGATATTTCAGAGGTGGTAAGCGTGAGACTTCCATTCTTTTTCTTTCTACTGAATATCTTGTTGAAAAGGACACGCGCAGCCAAAGAACATTCATTCGCTTTCCTCTGATAGTAGAGTCGCTCGACAACACTGAAACTCAACAGCTTGGTGTCTTTGTCGTATTGATTCGGAAGGTTCAATTCATTTGCAACCAACTGTTTAGTTGATCTCAACATCAACTGCTTCAAAAGGTTGACGAGATACTCTACGGTTTCAGCGTTGTTCCTGTCAAACTTGAGAGCAATTGCATTCTTCCACCAGAATCGTTCGGAAAACGGTGGAATTCTCAGGAATTGAACGAGAGAATAGAGGTCATCCAATCCTTTTTGAATGGGTGTTCCGGATAGTCCCCAACGATTGCATGCTTGAAGTGCCATCAAGATCTCTATATACTTGGCAGATGTAGACTCGACCATCTGAACTTCATCCAAACAGATTCTCCACCATTTCAAGCAGACAAGCGGTGACTTTGGTGCTTCGACTCTTACATATCGCAACTGATTCATCTGTTTCGTTGGATTTACACAGTGCGCTTCTTTTGAAAGTGTTTCGTAGGTTGTCAGAACAATATCATACTCTGCCAACTCGTATGGCGACACCAACTCCTTGTAGATACCATGATACTCCTTTACCTTTAGATTACCTCCGTTGGCATGCTTCTTAATCTCATCGATCCACTGCAAGAATATAGGAGAAGGTGCAACGATTAAAGTTGTTTTACATTCCAACAAAGTATTTCTATACCATTCAGTTGATTTGTTATTGTTGTTATTTTTACTGTTTTTGGTTTTCTTTCCTTGTTGTTGTTGTTGATTCAATTGTGCTTGATATTTCTTTCTTCTTGGATCGGTACAATAACTACAGAAATAAAAGTCGTTGATCGATTTGTAGAGGGATCCAACACATTGGACATTCTGCCAACGGTCACACTGATCGCACTGTACCCACATACTGAATGGACTGTGTTTATCTTGATCCTTCTCACAGACACATGCAATAACTTCATTGTTATCATTACGGTACTCGACGATCTCTGGTGGTTTCGGTACTGGAATGACTTCGACATCCATTGGCGTTGTTTTAGCTGGAGTTCCGGCTTCAAGTACCACTGTTTCCTGTTGTTGCTTCTTGTTGGCAACGATTAAACTTAGGAACTCTACAGTCTTGCCTATTCCAGGTTCATCTGCAAGAATACCACCAGGCACTTGTATAGCAGCATTGACAGTGACCGGTAGATGTGACAAACGACCAACATATTCATTGTAATAAAACTCTGTATCTCCGAATGCAATCTTCTTCCAGAGAGGATGCAATTTACTGGTTTGATCCGATGCAATATCCACTTCCGGTGCAATCTCACGCTGGTACATCCACTGGACAGTCTTTAGTTGATATGGCTTCAATGTACTACCAATACCACCTTCCTCTAACTTTGCTTTATCAAACTCAACCGCATCCGGTGCAGGCAACACCTTATCATATATAATCTTTGGATCGAATGTAAATGAACTTGTACTAGATACTGAATTAACATTATTACTACTATTATTGTTACTATTATTATTATTATTATCTTCATTAAAGATTGATGTTGATGGAAATTTAAATGATTCATTATCTTCTTCATTATTATTATTATTATTGTTGTTATTGTTATCAGTTTGAGATTGATCATTGTCAGTCATATCAACTTCAGTTGATATATTCAAACTATTATCTACTTCGTTGTTGTCATTGTCATTGTCATCCAATTCATTGTCATCCTCTACAAGTTCAGCATTGTTGATATTCAAGAAATAGTTTAACAGTGATTTTAGACATTTGTTTGGACGACCCGAAACGAGAAGTGCAGCGTCTTCATCATCGACGATCTCTTCGAATGAAGTATCGCTTAGATAGACTTGAATTGAAACATTGAATAGATTGGCAGTATCGGTACTGGTGGTGCTTTTACCATTGCCAAGCGTGAGCGTATTGCAGCTGCAATCGATATACTGTAATTTAACATATTTGTTGGTTGCCAAATACATTAGATCGTTGAATACATCGGATCTACATTGAACAGTGCAATCGATAAGCTTGCGATTCTTCTGATCGGTAATGAATGACGTCGTAACTCTCTCATTGGCAGTATTGTTATTACAAAATAAATATATTGCTTTATCTTTATATGAAAAGAGAGCAGCAGCAGAAGAAGCAGCAATAATTGTATAAGTATTTATTTATATGGTTTTTTACTTTTAATGAATACTTACTTCTCTTTAGTTTGGATTTAGAATACAATGATATATCACCTATGAATATATCGGTATTAGTGATGTAAGAGTGATCCTTGACATCTAGTATTTGGAAAAGGTGACCAATATTGTATTTCTTTTTCGTAATCTTTAACTTTAGTGTTGACGGTAACTTTGAATAATCTATATCGGTATCATCTTCGATATCCACTATAGTAACGTTATCATCATTATTATTACTATTACTAGAAGTAGTAGTATTATTATTATTATTATTATTAATATTGTTATCTAAATCGATTGAATTTCTATCAGAATTGACATCTTTGACAGTATTTTCATTTTCAAGATGATCTGTTTTCAATCTCTTTAAATCATGAACTTCATCAGTGTTGCTACTAATATCACTACTACTTTCTATAGTTTCTTTACTCTTGTTATTATTATTACTACTATTACCATTACTATCACTACTATTATTGTTTCTATCTTTATTTGTAATAGAAGACCAGGTATTAACTCTTAACTCTCTATTCGTTAGTTTAGTTGGCTTTCTTTTTCTTCTTCCATTGGAGCCACTACTATTATTATTATTATTATTATTATTATTATTATTATTATCTAAGTCATCATTTTCATCGAAAGTATTATTGTCATATGAGATATCCATTGGTTGAAAAAATGATTAAAAAAAAAATCTAAAAAAATAAATCCAAAAATTTTTAGAGATAAAAAATAAATATTTAAAGGTGAGGAAGTCAAAAAAGAATGTATGATTTTCAAATTGAAAATCCTTTATCAAAATTTTTTTGGTTTAAAAAGAAAAATTAAATAAAGAAATATATTTTAAATTCTATTCTGAAACGTTACGTTTAAAAGAAATCAAACTTTAAATTCTGTTGGAATTTAATTTCCACCTTTTAATTTTTTTTAATAATCTCTTTCAATATAAGAAGAGAAAAAAATAACAAAAAACTATTTGATTTATATCTATATTAGAAAGAAAACTTTTCTAATTAGAACTAATATTATAGAATACGCTATCATTTTTTACTTTTATTCTAGGAATAAAGGTCTCTAGTATATTTTAATTTTCTTAAGTGGAATTAATATCAAAAAAAAATGATGTTGATCTACTTAATTTAGATTTAAATAATTTTAAAAAATATAATTAAGATTTTATTTTGTTGAAGAAAATTAAAATTATTTAATAAATAGAAATAGAAAATTAAAAAAATGAAATCCATTTTTGTTGACAAATCAAAAGTAACGTTTATTCTTTTTTAACTAGAAGTTTTATTTATAATCTCATCGACCAAAACTGATTTGAAATTTTGAAATGAAGGAATCATTAAATTTGAGAGTCTTAAGTTCAAAAGTTAAAATTTATTACACATTATTTATAATTAAATTGTTTTTAAACTCTTTTTAAAAAAATTTTTAAACTTTTTTAATATGAGAATAAGATTTAAATAAAATAGTATTATTTCCTTATACTTTTCTCACACCCTAAAGATAAGAGCAAAGTTGATCTCTGGCATATTCTGGCACTCTATTAGAATCGCACTCATTTTTGAGAAACGGTTTTGAACAATCGGCTCTGGCATCTCTACAAATGGACAAGTAACCTGAACTTTTCTTACAACGATCATACTCATTTCGACACACTTTAGTTTGTTCGGAATACTTTGAACTAGTTACTGGATCTGAAGGAACAAAACGTCGGCCTGATGCTGGAGCTTTAGGGCACAAATTTTCTCTCTGATATTCTGGAGCATTTTTATTTTCACATATTTTAGCAAATTTAGATTTATGGCATTCTTGTTTTGCTCTTTCACAAGATACTTTATATGAAGGACCTATAAGGCACTGGGAAAAGAATCTATCACATTCTTTTGCTAAATTTTTCTTAACTTCTGACTCTGGTATCTCCTTTAAACACCAACATCCTGCACTAAAACCTGGTATACTTTCCCATTTTGGAACTTGACCTCATGGGCATTGTCCCAAATGATTACAAGCTTTAGATATACAACCATATTTGTAGTTTTCAAAAAGAAAAGCATCACCTATTTTTAAGAACAAATTGGCTAAATATTTGTTTTTTCAAAACAGAGATATAAGTACATACCCTGACAACCTTCACCTTTCCAAGCAATACTTTCTGAAAAAAAACACAACAAAACTATAATTGATAATATTAGTATCTTCATTTTTTATTAAAATAATTAACTATTTTATTTATAAAAAATAAAACAATTTGAATAAAAGAAAATTATATACATAATAAATATAATATTATTATGTAAATCATAAAGAAATCTATTATATGTATAAACACTTTTTACTAATTTTAAATAGGATAATTTGTAGATTACTAGTTTATTTCAAATTTATATCATATATGTATATTACAACGTTTAAATCTGTCGATTAATAAAGTTGAAAGTCAAACGAATACTTAAACATATATATAACTTTATATTTTAAAATAATACATTCCCTAGATCTATATATTGAATATAATTAAACCTATCAATAACAGAGAATAAAACTCAGACTCAATCAGATAAAAAAAAATAATACTACAAGTATTGATATTAACTTATTTATTTCAATAACCACAACAAAGTTAATTTTATTAAAAAGATTTACCGAGAGTTTGAATACTATTTAAATTCTTATCTATTGAGCTAAAATATGTTTTTGTATCTTTTTATTTAGACACTTCTCTAACACTCCACACTGATTATTATATAAAGTAGAAAAAACAATTTTTTGTTAGGTTTGGTGGTAAGAGCATTATAATGCTCTTTTCACAAATTATATTAAGTAATCATATACAATTTTTTAACACTATTTTGTTGTCCACTAAAACTATATTAACAAAACTAAAAAAAATAATTTGTATGTATTTTAATCAATTTTTATTTATTGATATAGAAATTAGTAGTAAAAAATATTTAGTTACTATTAAGTTTATTTCAAGAGGTTTTTATTTTTAGGTCTTTAAAAAACACTAGAATTTATATCAATAGTTTTAAAATAACTTTTTTGAAATGAACACCTAATGAAAAAAAAACTATATAATAATAGATAATGGCTAGGCTAGTCTATTGATACCAAAATTATCAAATAACTTAATGGATTATTGTGATCTAGGACAGAGAATATCTCTTTGATATTCTGGTGCATTCTTATAGCACATATTTTTAATTAATTTTTCACTTCCTTCTTTGAGACTCTTTTTCAATATACTTCTTTACTTCCTCTTCGGATCTGATTTGTGCACCAACAACCTACAGTTTGACATAAAGCTTATCCGAAGAGGAAGTAACGCTTCCTTGAATCTATTATTTCTTTATTTTTAAACTATCTTAGAATCAACCTGTTATTTAAAGGCATAGTAATTAAACACCTATATATAATCTAGAAAAGATAATAGGATAAATATTAGAAATATGGTTAATCCTATGAATTAAAATTTTTCAAAATATATATTGGCTTTATTAATCACTTAAAAGAACAAATATTTGCAAAGTATGTAAAGTATTTAAAGATAATAATAAAAAAGAATGTTTGGTAAGCGTCATCTGAAAACCCTATGATTCTTAATCACCAAAAAAAAATGCCAATAATTAAAAATTATTTAATAAACAATTAAACAAGATTGAAATTTCGCAATTGTTTTTTCAAAAAAAAAAAATCTAAAGCAATCGATTTATCTTTTTATGGTTATTCATGTTGATTCACTCATAAATTTTTTTATTAATTTTTATTTTTTGTAATAAAAAAAAATGAAAAAATTTTATTTAAAAAGTTTAAATGTCATTAGATTTACAAAAAAAATAAATAATAATTGAAATGTAAGTAACATGTACAATAAATCTATGAATAAACAATCAAACAATCACAAAAAAAAAAAAAACAAAAACTTGTTATGATAAATTTTTTTACTAAGATCACTTAAAAACAACAAATAAAAACAAAATATGAAAAAAAAAACAAAATAACATTAATTTATCATGAATAAAAAGATGATGTTATTTTTTTATAAAATTTAATTACAACACGCACAATGTTTATTGGTTTAACGTTTTATTTTAGTGTTGTTCAAATTTGAAAAAAAAGTTTTAAATTAAACTAACTAATTATTTGTTTTGTTTTGTTTTTTTTTTTTTTTGACAAATATCATTTTAACAGTTAAACATTTCGTAAAAAGAATAATTATATATATAGATAATATATTATAAAAGTCATGGCAGAATTATCATTCAAAGATAGAGTTGTTATTATTACAGGTGCTGGTGGTGGATTGGGACGTGTCTACGCATTGGAGTTTGCAAAGCGTGGAGCAAAGGTTGTCGTCAATGATTTGGGTGTTGCTTCAAGTGGTGAGGGTAAAGATCAAAAGGCTGCCGACAAGGTCGTCAATGAGATTAAGGCTGCCGGTGGTGTTGCCGTTGCCAACTACGACAGCGTAGAGGACGGTGAGAAGATTGTCGCCACTGCACTCAACAGCTTCGGTCGTATCGACGTGCTCATTAACAATGCCGGTGTCTTGAGAGACGTCTCCTTTGGAAAGATGTCGGACGCCGATTGGGATTTGGTCTATCGTGTCCACACCAAGGGTGCATTCAAGTTGACCCGTGCCGCCTGGAATCATATGCGTGACAACAAGTTTGGTCGTATCATTATGACTTCGTCGGCCGCCGGTCTCTACGGTAACTTTGGACAGGCAAACTACTCGGCCATGAAGATGTCGTTGGTCGGTTTGTCCAATACGCTCGCACAAGAAGGTAAAGCCAGAAACATCCACTGCAATGCCATCGCACCGGTCGCCGCCTCCAGAATGACAGAGACCATTATGCCACCTGAAATCTTGGAGTTGATGAAGCCAGAGTATGTTGTACCATTAGTTTTATACTTGTGTCACGAGTCGACCACCGAGACTGGATCGGTCTTTGAGATCGGTGCCGGTTGGGTAAGCAAAGTGCGTTTGCAGAGATCGGCCGGTGTCTTTATTCCACAGATCACCGCCGAGAAGGTAAAGGAGCAATTCGAAGCCATCTCTGACTTTTCCAATCCACAATACCCAACTTCCGCACCAGAGTCTGTCAGTGGTATCATGTCTGCCGTCAACCAACCATCACAAGTCAAGTTCAAGCAAACTCCAGCTGCTGCCGCCGCCGCTGCTCCAGCCGCCCCAGCTGCTGCTGCCGCTGCCAGCGTCAAGGTCGAAGGTTTCAAGTCATCCGAGATCTTTGACACCATCCAAAAGACCATTGCCACCAACGGTGCCGATTTGGTAAAGAAGATCAACGGTGTCTATCATATCAAGGTCACCCAAGGTTCAAAGGCACAAACCTGGACCATCGATCTCAAGAATGGAACCGGTTCCATTGCCGTCGGTGAAACCGCCAAGCAAAACGTTACCATCTCTGCTGCCGATGCCGACTTTGTTGATATCATGACTGGTAAATTGAATCCACAAACTGCTTTCATGAAGGGTAAATTAAAGATTCAAGGAAACATGGGTCTCGCCACCAAGCTTGGAAATATCATGCAAAAATCAAAGCTTTAAGATCATTTCAAAGAAAAAAAGAAAATTATTATAAATACGTCAAAAAAAAAACTATATTAAACATTGAATTCATTGTAAAATAACAAGTATATCAATATCAAATCTTTCTTTATTTGATTTCAATTGTCATTATCTTTAAAAATATTTTATAAAACAAACATCTCTCTTTTTATCAAAAAAAAAGTCAGTTTTTATTCAATTAAAAAAAAAATGTGTAAAAATAAAAAATATGAAAAATAGGTTCATGGTTAGTTGTGAATGATTCGTTCGTTTTTCGCGGATTATTCATTTATTTATTTTTGGATTTATCTAATAATTAATTGTCTGATCAGGGAAGATAAATTATTAAAAGATATAATAATAAATAAAAAAAAACTAAAAAAAAACAAGAAATTTTTAAAAATTTAAATTGTAAAAAATCTCAACTGTTTTTTTTAAAACAATGATTAGTTTAACTACTACAGATAATAATCAGATTAGTGGTGTAAGTGATACTGATAATATTAGTAGTAATAATAATATTAATAATATTAATAATAATAATAATAATAATAACAATAGTGACAAACCATTAAAAGAATCAAACAACAACAATAATAGAAACAATAACAATAATAATAGTAAAAAGAAAAAGAAAAGAAATAAACCAGAGGTTCAAAAATCACAATCACAGCCACAACCAATAGATAATATTGTACCAAGTAGTCCAGAGATGACATTTTCAAATAAATTCGGTGTACTTGCAAACAGTGATGATGATTTCAGTGGTATGTTTGTTTTTATCTCTAAATTAATTTTGAAATTTATATTTTATACTTACTCATTTATTTAATATAGATTCAAATCAGATGAAACAAAAGAAACAAAAGAAAGAAAAGAAAGAAAAACAAACAACCTATAAACAATAAGAAGAAAAAGAATGGAAAGAATAACAACAACAATAATAACAGTAACAACAATAATAATAATAATAATGGTGCTATATTAAACTTTAATAATAATAATAATAATCAACAAATGTTTGATCCAACTGATATATATGGTAAAGATGTATGTGTTTATAATATTGATTAATAATTAATTATAACAACCGACATTGTTGTTGTAGTTGTTGTGAAAATAATATATGTATTAAATAATTTTTAATGTTTTTGCATTTTGGTCCAAAAGGCAAAGGTCGAAGTTACCATATTAACAGAAAAGAGAAAAGTATGCACTGTCAAAGAGTTACAGCATTATCTGATGTGGATGATGAGTGATTTTCAACTTTCAATGCCAACTTGGATCTTCACAAGAAACAAACCGTTACTTGATAAGCTTGTACTCGTGAACATTCCGGGTGTCAGTATGATAACCTACGAGAAGGTGTGTCTGCTCACCGGTAAGCAATGGTTCCAAGACAAACTGCCACACACAATGGAACTGGGATATCAAGGTCAAACTCCATTACAACCACCAGGTTCATTATATCATAGTCTATTCAATATAAAAGTAGCATATAAAGAAACTGCTGCTGCTAACAACAAGAATCAAAAAGGTAAGTAAAAAAGTGAAAAAAAAGAAAGAAAATATCAAAAGTTAACAAACAACTTATATATATATATATATGTTTTTAGTTCATTTACAACCACCTTCACATTATATTCTAACTGAATATGAATTGATTGAGAATGGATATCCTCTGGCTAGAACAAATGGAACGATGGAGGGTTGGGTACAGTCTACAACCACCGATGAGAATACTGTTAGTTTGGTTGCATCTGATGGTAGTAATGATACTACAATGACAATAACTGCAACAACTACAACAACTACAACTACAACTACTACGGAAGTTAATAACAACAATGGAGAGTTTGAAATGTATGCTGTCGACTGTGAGATGTGTAGAACAATCGAAGGTTTGGAACTGACGAGAATCAGTATTGTCAATGAGAAGAAGACTGTGATTCTCGATGAGTATGTCAAACCAAAGAATGAGATTATCGATTATCTGACACAGTACAGTGGTATCACTGCCAAGACTCTGGCGACTGTCACAACAACGCTTGCCGATATCCAACAACGTTTGTTGACGCTGGTCAAGAAGAATACAATTCTGATAGGTCATTCGCTGGAGAACGACTTGAAAGCAATGAAGTTCATACACGATCGTGTCATCGACACCTCTGTTATCTATCCAACGGGATCGACCGCCAAGTTCCCACTGCGTTACCTCACCAAGAAGTATCTGTCGCGTGTCATCCAAGCGAGTAGCGGCGGACACTCTTCGATAGAGGATGCCAACGCCGTCATGGATCTTGTCAAGCTAAAGATTGCCAAAGGCAAGAACTTTGCCACAAAGATGGAGAGCTACGACAGCTTCTTCAACCGACTGCACCACTACAAGAAGAAGTCATCGTTTATCGACACCATCGAGGAGATCAACCAATACTCTACTACCGTAGTATCTTGTTACAAGTGTGGAAACGACCAGCAAGTTACAGAGAAAGCATCGAAGCAAGTAAGAGGTTCATCTAATTTCGTATGTCTGCGATTCAGCCAGATTGCCGAGCACTACAAATCACTCGATAAAACCATACAGAAACCATTGGGTTTGATAAGTTTAGAGATGAAATCAAATGAATTACAAACTACAACAACAACAACATCATCATCATCAGATAATGATAAAGATAGTGAAAAGAATACAACTACTACTACTTCAACAACTACAACTACAACAACAACTATTAAAGCTACAACTACAGAGAGTAAACCGGCTGTAGTTGATGAATCGATATTAAAAGAATTGAATGAATGGGATGGAATACCAACTGACCAAAAAGTTTTCGATCTTTTTGCCAACATCGATAAATCATTGACACAGATTCATGAGAACATGACAAACAATTCAATGATGGTATTGGTATTGGGACCAGGTCCAAACAATGATATCAACAAATTTAGAAACGACGGTAACAAACAAAAAGATTATCTTTTGGCATTAGAAACTGCCAAAGAAGGTTTGGTAATGATAGGAATTAAATAAATCATTTTCATTTCCTTTTTTTACTTATTAAAAACAAACAAAAAACAAACTATCATTCCCCATTATCAATCATATATATATATTATTATTAGTTAGTTAGTTAGTTGGTTGGTTAGTTATTAATAGTACAAAATTGATTTTATTATTATAATATTTATTAATCTATCTTCTTCTTCTTCTTCTTTCATCGATTTCCTTCATTTCTTTTCTTATTTCAATAATAAATAAATAAATTTAAAGATCTTTGTTGTTTGAGGCAGCACGTTCACCTCCGTATAAAATTTTCCTAAAATAAATAGAAAAAAATTAAAAAGTTTAGCAAAACAGAATAGTTTGTGTGTGCAGGTAGATTTGATTAACATACTTTGCTTCATATTCCTTTTTCAAGTTCTCAGCGTCTCTTGCAAAGTTTTGTTCACGAAGATCGTGCATTGGTGCCTCCAATACCTCTGGTTGAATTAATTTAGATCCCCAACGTTGATCTTTCTCTGAGATATCATTCTATATAAATATCATGAATCAATTCGTATAACAATTAGTAAATGTTGTTATTATTAATTATTATGATGATATTAATTAGTGATTCAAATCAAAATATAATAATAATATATGTATATACATACGACATAGTCAGCATCGGTATCCCAATCATCATCATCACTGGTGTTATTTGTATTGTTGTTCAAGGTTGCTGGTGCATGAGTTACTGTCTTTTGATAAACTGACATCTTTGTTGAGTTTTATTTATTGTTGTTATAAAAATAAATGATCAAATAATAAAAAAATAATGTATTCAGATTTATAAACTTTGGGTTGTTTTGCAATGATTCATTCATAAAAACCTGATCAGATATTTTTTTTTCATTTTTTTGAAAATTCTAAACAATTTTTTTTTTTAATACTTATACTTGACAAATTAGGATTGTTTATCTATTATTTTGTTTAGTAGTTAGCCATATATTTTTATTTTTAAATTAATTAACTTTTTTTCTTCCAAAGATTATAATTTTTTTAAAAAAAAAAAAAAAACATTTAAAATGGAATAATTTTAAAAATGATTTCTTTCACAATATGTTGATTATCTTTTACTATTTTTACTATATAATTTAATTTATCTATCTTTTATTATTTATTTCCTAAAATCTAACAAAAATTGTTAAAAAATAAATTTTAGAAAAACGAACGAAAATTTAATTATACCAAATCGACAAAAAAAACGAAAGTAATATTACTTTTTTTTCAAATTTTCTATTTTTAATAAGATCTTACAGTATTTATTATGAAAGGAGGAGTAGGTGGAAAAGGTGCGAAAGCTAGAGGTGCTATCAAAGGTGGAAAACAACAAAACCCAAAGAATGCAGGAAAAGGAAAGAAACAACAGCAACATCAACAAAAAGTACAACAAAAGTTGAATCCAATCAAAGATATTCAGAATAATGAGAGAAAGAAGTTGGTACAGGCACAACTTCAGAAGCAGAGATTGAAGAGCTTCAAGAGGACAAAGAGTTCGCGTGGAAACGATGGTGAACTTGAGGATGTCGATGATATCTCGTTGGCAGAGTACCGTCAGTCGGAGGTAAACACCGACAAACGTCAGAAGGATCATGTCTACGAGGGTGGCGACGAGTACGATGACTTTGATATTCTCAATGGCTCTTCGATGCCCGTCTTTGAGTATGCCGCCGACGATATTGCATCGATGGAAATCCTCGGACAGGATCAGCAACACTTGAATCGTGGCGGTCGAAAGATGCGAACACAAGAGGACATCGACGAGGACAACGAGAATAGCATCGCCAACAACAACAACATCCGAAAGATGAGCAAGAAGGAAAAGGCAAAGCAAAAGTTTGACAAAAAGATCAAGGATGCCAAGATGATTCATCTTAAACAACTGCCGTCGTTCAAGCGTTTGTTCTGGAGAGATACAAACAGACTGTCGGCAGAGGAGCAGCTTGCCATCCGTAAGAAGCACAAGATCAGAATAGAGTTTAACGAGATTAAAACGAATGATTATGTTGTATCGACGACCGAGAAGAAGACAACCGTCATTCCCAGACCGATAACAACATTTGAAGATCGAGATATTCCAAAGGAGATGGCAAAGTTTATAGAGTTTCTCAAGATAAAACACAAGTCCATTAGAGAACCGACACCCGTTCAGATGCAGTCGTGGAGTGCTGTGTTGAGTGGCAACGATGTACTCACCATCGCTCAGACAGGTAGTGGTAAGACACTCGGTTATCTGTTGCCAACCATTCCTCATATCATGGCACAGATGAGAGCAGCAAAGAATCAACAGAAAACAGCACCCGATGGCACTCCTATTGAATCGCTCAGCTCTGTCAAGGGTCCAATTGTCTTGGTGATTGTACCGACCAGAGAGTTGGCACAACAAGTCGAATCGGTATGCAAACCTCTCAGAACTAAATTCGGTATACATTCACTCGCTGTCTATGGTGGAATCAAAGCACACGAACAAAAAGAGATTCTCTCTGAGGAGCACAACGAAATTGTCATTGCAACACCGGGTCGTCTTGTAGATCTCATCGAACGTTCACATCAAGTTGCCGGTCTACTCTCAAGAGTCACAATGTTAATCTTTGACGAAGCAGATCGTATGCTTCAAATGGGTTTCGGTGATCAATTACAAAAGATATCTGAACAAGTATGTTAGTTATAGTTATCTATAGATCTTACAAATACAAATACAAATTTATTAACTTTCTATTCTTCTTTAATTGTTATTATTATTATTATTATATTAGATTAGACCAGATAGACAAACATTGATGTTTAGTGCCACTTTCCCAAAGCCAATGCAAGAAGCAGCTGGAAAGTGGTTAAAGAGACACTTGAAGATTAGAGTAAAGTCTAGTACTGCCAATCAAGAGAATACTTCAGTTATCACAAAGAATGTGAAACAGGTGGTTACCATTGTCGACAAGGCAGAGGAGAAATACGAACATTTCCTAAAGTTTATAAAGAGTGTAAATGATAGAGAACAGAGTATGCGTAATAGAAGTTTGATATTGGTGTTTGTCAATCAGATTAGAAAGGTAGAACCGCTACAGAAGCGTTTGGAAAAGTCGTTGGCTACCGACAAGTCAAAGAAGAGACCAACAAAGATTGGTTGTATGCACGGTGATATGAAGCAAGAGGAGAGAGATCAAACTATCAAGGACTTTAAGAGTGGAAAGACAACCGTTTTGATATCAACCGATATTCTTGGTAGAGGTATACATATTAATAATTTAAGATTCATCATAAATTATGATTTCCCACTATCATTAGATCAAGTAAGTTGTTTGTTGTTTTGTAAAACACTGTAAAAAGAAATATATTTTATTAATAGCTTCTTTATCTATGTATCAAACTAAAAGTATATTCATAGAGTTGGTAGAACAGGTAGACAAGGTAATAAAGGTCACTCTGTATCTTATTTCGATCCAACCATTGATAAAACTATGGCAACTGGATTGGTTAATATTTTGAAGGAATGCGACCAAACTGTAAAACCAGATCTAATAGAACTAGCCAGCTCTTCTCAAGTTCCACAAGAAGCAACACCTGTCTTTACAACTCAAGAGAATGGAGAAGAAGACGACGATCAAGATGAAGATGAATTAGATACAGATGACAGTGATTTCGATTTCGATATGAAAGATAATGATGAGAATAGTGATGATGAAGATGATGGTGATGTTCAATTTGAAGATGCAGAAGATGATGATGAAGATGAATATGAAGAGGAAGATGAAGAAGAAGATGATGAATAAATTATTATAAATATTAACTTCTTTTAAAAACTAGTTAATAGTTTAATTTATTTATTTACATTTTATTATTTTTTTTCTTTTTTCTTTTATAATATAATTATATTTAAAATAATTATTTCTTTGGATTTTTGTTGTAGGAATATGAATTAGCATCACTTAGGAACTCTCTTAGGTATTTGATGGTTTCTTTTTGGTTGTCGTGAACAGATCGAATAAGATCTTGAATGGAAACCATTCCTAAAACTTTGTTGGATTCTTTATCAACGACGGGCAAGTGACGGAATCTCTGGTTGGTCATAATGTGCATGGTATCAACTACACAGGAATCCGCAGAGATTGTCTTTACACCACGAGTCATAACTTCTTTGACTAAGCTCTGACGGCTGCTCAATCCTTGCAATGCCACCTTTCCAACGTAGTCACGCTCTGTGAAGATCCCCTCCAGCTGACCATTTGAATCCAACACCATTATAGCACCCACTTTGTTCTGAGTCATCTTTCTCAATGCCTCTATAATCAGTTGATCTGAATTGATTGTCAAAAGTTCTCTCTTTTCCTTCTTTTCCAATATCTCTTTGATCTTTGTATCACCAAAGACAAAGTAGGTGGATGGAGTTTCTGTTCCTAGAACCTCTTTGGCAGCCGATTTGTATTCATAGAGTGATTTCTTTGCACCTGTCGATTTCTCATTAGAGTCCAAAGATGACAATTGTATATTTGATGTTTTTAGATATGTACAACTTCCTAAATTCTATAATATGTTTTTGAATTAAAAAAAAAAATAATTAAAATTATTTTAAAATAATTAAAGAGAAAGTAATAAATAAGAAAGATAATTACATTTTGTAAATTAGGATATTTAAATAATTGGTTTGATGATCTACAACCAATTTTTGAAATGTTTACCATGTATTTATTCATTTTTTTATTTTTTAACAATAGATAACAATTCAATCTTTTATTTTTGTCACTATTAAATAAACAAAAAAATATTATATTATAAAAATACTTTTACTGAAATACAACAATGAATAAACAAAGTAATTGTTTTGATTTTTTTATTTTGTTTATGTTCATTTTTTTATTTAATGAGATATTCCACATTTATTTTAGGGAAAAAACACAACATAAAAATTCATTCCCACTAAATTATACACAAATTGAACCATTTTATCCAAATATAGATAAAAAAAGATCTTGTTTAGAAATTATCCAAAGAAAGAAAAATAAAATTAGGATTATCAAATGAAACTTAACCAAGTTTGTTACTAAATGATCATAGCAATAATAAATATAAATTTAAATATTAATTTTTATTTTTTTTTTTCAAAAGAATTTATTGTCACAATTTTGTGTTTATTTATCTATTTTTTTAATTATTTACTTTGGATTATAAAAAGATTTTGTATAATAAATATTTTTGATAACGACGGATTGACTATCCAATGATTTTGGTGGTGTTTAATGTTTTTGTTTAGTTACCAAAGGTAATTATGATATTTTTATTTTTCATCAAGATTGTTGGATTACTTTATAAATGTAGATGAATACTTCATATAATTCTATATATATCACCAATCTGCATTATTATAATCAATCAAATCATTCGATAAATGTTTAATTAATAATATATCTTATAAGATTTACTTTGATTCAAATATTTTTTATTAACTATTTTCTGCAATTAATCAATTATTTATTTGTTATTGATAACATTCTCTTTTACTTTTTAATTTATTAATTAATTAAGAAAACAAGAGTACTTTATTACTATTAATATTATTTATTATATTTACTTGTATTTTTTATAATTAAAATTAAAATTTATATCAAATTCTCCTTAAAAATTAATATAAATAGAATAGATAGCCAAAGATAAATAGATAAATAGATAAATAGATAGATAGATTTAATTTAATAAAATTGAATAAAAAAAATAACAATGATAAAAATAAAGAACAATTTTAGTAGTTTTAGTAATAAGTCGATAGATGTATTTTTAATTTTTATTATATTATTATTGTTTTCAGTTGGAGTGAGTCATTGTCAAGAGGAAGACACATTCGATTTTCAAACATTCTACATCGTCAAACTATATCCGAAAGATACAAATATTGAAGCCGGTGTAATACAAGGTTATGCATTCTACTATAACATTGAAAGTAAAGAGCATCTTAGAGAAGGATTTCTATTTGAATCCGCGCAACTCTCGATAGATGATAATTGGTTCGATGAAACACCGGTCGAGAGATTAGAGATTGCTTCAGAAGACGATTCAAAGACAATTGAAGATGTATATGTAAAGGTTTACTATGATAATCTATATCACAAATATAGAATAATTATATTTAGACCATTTAAATAAATAATATTTGTATAATAATAAAGATTATATATATCTTTATAAACCATTTTTTTAAATTAAATAATCGGAAATTGTCAATTTTTATTTTGTTTTATTATTATACTTTACAGATCTGTTCTGTTATTCTAATTAATAAATATTGTATATATATATCAATAGTATACAAATACATATCTTTATAAAGAAATAATCTAATCTTTCTTTATTGATATAGATGGTATACTTAAATTACTACCTGAACTTGAATTATTATTATTGTTATTATTATTATTATTATTGTTGTTGTTGTTGTTGTTTACTGTAACATTTAAATTTGATGAAGATTGACTGTAGGATGAAAGATTTGATACACTTGATTGGTTGAGTGGTGTTGGTGTTGTAAGACCAAGGTTGGAGGAGCTGAGTCGTTGTTGTGATCCAGTTACACTCAATCTAGTGCCATGACTGACACTCGGTGATCGATTCGATGAGCTGCTACCATGTAGTGATGTTCTCTTGCCATGATTGATGAGTGCAATCGATTTGGTACGTGCTGTCATTACACGAGTGTACTGCGAGATTCCTTCCAACCACTCTTGTCTCAACTCTGGTGTCTTGGCAAACAACAACATCAATTGGTCGTCCAACTTGATTTGGAATGCATTGACAATCTTTATCGATGAACAATCCTGAATGGAGGTAGCGGTGATCTCTTTGATCGGGAAGTATCCCTTCACTATCAATTCACTGGAATCCTTGACGGTCTTGAGCAGTCCACTGTTCAAGAGAATGAAGTAGTACTTCTCACCGTCTTGTTTCAACTTGGATTGCTTGATGACACTGTTGCCCGGTACCAATATGTCTGGCACCGGTGGTGATAGTTTCATGTAGATGTCTTGAATGGCGTGCTTGTTCTCGTGTTCACGCTTACGTTCGTTGAGAACAACCGTTGCTTTCTTGAGTGTTTTGACTGCGTTGGTGATTGGCTCATACTCAAAGTGTTGCTGCGGAGTATGCTTGAGTAGATCTTCCAGTAGCAAGACATAACGTGGCATTCTCTGAATTGGCATGATAAGATATCCAGTTATTTCGATTCCCTTACAATGTTTGTCACGACTGTCCAGAAGGAACTCTGATGTCTTTTCATCCTTTCTAATCTCATCGAGTGTAGGAACTACATTGTTGTAATTGTTGATATAGGTTGTATAGATATCTACTGCTGCCGACTCCAAGTATGAGAATACATCGGAGATCGATTGGTTGGTATGCCAACCGTTGACACGCGACTCTAGCTTCTCAAGGAACTCCTTATGATACTGGTGTAATACTTCAATGTTTGAGAATAGGTTGTTACATTGTTCGACACTGATGATATTAGATAATCTCAGTGGCATTAGATAACCTTCGATCGATACACCCAATGAGTTTACATAGGTCTGTTCGGTTGTCATCAATTCCTTGACAATTCTCGATCTACGAATTGCTTGTTTATGTTCATCGATGAATCGCTTACGTTGCAAGAATGCAGCAATCGATGCACCAATAGCATGAATTCCCAGATTCAATTGCTGATGTGAATCCACGACACTCTTTTGTTGTTTGGCCAACTCGAGATTACGTCCGAGATGGTCGGACAACATCTCCTCAATGAAATGAGTTTCTATTTCATCGTCGAAACCGCTCAGTGTATCCATAGAGTCAAAATCTGAATCGAATTTGTCGACACCACTCTCGCCATCACTGGTATTTCCCTCTGCACCGCTGTGGGCGTCAGAAAAGTCGTCGGATTCGTAGTCACTGTCGTGTCTATCCATCGAACTGATTTTCTTAATGAGCGAAATCATACGTTCAATCGGTTTAATCACCATATATTGGAAGTGTCCCGAGAGAAATACCGTTCCAACACACAAGATAATAATGATACAAACTGTCAATGTCAAACCAAGAGCAGCTGAAACTTGTTCGTTATGCTTATTGTTTATCCACAGTTCACTCTTGTCACTGTCAGCCGTTGTCTTTAGGATGTATCCGTGGTACCAATCGGTTGTGTCAATACCGGATTTATAGACTGTCTGGCTATCTATCTCCAGGAAGAGAATGTCATTACGTGATTGGAGGAGATGCTCAACGGTGCTATTGAAACTGGAACTGAACAATCCATTGGAATTGGCATTCAGCATCACAAGATTCAACATGGATTGTTGGTCGTCTTCGTCGTCGCCCACTGGATTGGTAAGTGTTGTGATGAGTACCACTAGGAGTACCATGACAATGATGGTATTCGATGTTTTTGAGAGTAGCTTGCGTCCAACTGAAGATGGCTGCACAGGCATGTTCAGAAGACGTTCGTCACGCTCCTGCACCTCTGCCTTTCTCTTGGCACCGGACGAGTTGAACAAATAAAAGAAATTGATGATACGCCCGATACGAGAGAGACGTGATGCTATACGAGCAACACGCGCCGTTCTACTCAGTGACAGTGAGTTGATAGCTGTGATACTCGAGATGCCAAAGATGAATGCGACAATGTCTGGCACCAACGAAACAATCGATATGATATCCATAATGAAAAAGAATGATATTACATAGTGGAGTCGTTGTGCAAATATATTCAGAATTAAATCGGTTAAAAATATTAGAAATACAATAATCTTGAGGATTGAAACAGTGGTGTAAGATGCATCGTTATTTGGTGCTCCCGAAGCTACCAATATATCGTCTATTAATTGTAAAAGAAGAGTGTCAGAAAGTTGAATTTTCAATGAAAACCAAAAAAACATATTGTGAACAATCAACTTACCAATGAAAACCATAAATATCGATGCCACCATTAATATGATTAATACTAATTTTGTGTTTAAGAAAGAGTTTACTTTCTTTCTACGTTGATAATCGACTGACTTTCTTCTTTGTCTTTTCTTTTTGGTCCTGCATTCTCAACTTTTTCAGACCACGACCACGAAATACTCTTGTCTATATTTTTGTTAATATATTAATTAATATAAATATTTAAATTAAAGTGAGCTTTAGATAAATATAAATACCCTTTTAATATCATGCATCGAAGGTAGATGTGGCATATGAATATGAGGAAGGTGGATGTGTGGACTCTTGATGTGAAGTTTCTTTTTTGGTGAAGTCGAAGAGTGAGTGCTACCACCTATCTTACTATCGGAGACATGGTTGTTTCTTGGTGTCATCTCTGACATTGATATATCCATACTCTGTTGTGAGTGTGAGTGTGTGAATCTGAGATTTCTATGGCTACTTGTACTACTCATCTGATCATCATTGACATTATTGTTATTATTGTCTAACGATGACAGTGAGATTGTTTGCATCTCCATCCTTTTTTTTTTTTTTTTGGTGTTAATCCACTAATAGATAAATAATATAACCTACTATTTAACTATTCCTATCCTTGAATAACAAATAATAAATAATATAATAAATAATAATACAGTTGTAATAAATAAATAAATAGTTTTTAGGGATAGGAAAAAATAAAATAAAGAGGAAATAGACTTATTTAAAATTCTATATTTATCTATTGATTGGGTTGGCAGGGAGGTGCAGATGAGTTTTGTTGATTGATAAACTGATCAAATTTTGTTGTGTGTTTTTTTAAAAATTTAATTAAAATTAATATTGTGTTTAGTTTTAAACTATTATTAAAAATCTAAAATAATGGTAATCAATTGAGGTAGGGGTGCACCGTTTTAAAACAAAATAGGTGATCATTTTATTTCAAAGATTTTGTGATACTTAAAAGAGTTTAAAAAAAAACATGAAAAAAACAAAAATTATTTTACATCAACCGAGAAAAACCTTCGACGAAATTATTCAAAGAATTGATTCAATCAATATCGTATTTTTAGATTTATAAAGATATATGGTAATTTTATAACTAAAATATATATTTGTTATTAATTTATTTTATTTATAAGGTAAAGTGGAAGTGAAACTAAAATTATTCATAAAGAAAATGATATAAATTTGAATAATTTTATAAAAAATATTAATCAAAGATTTTAATAAAAATAATCAATAACTTTGTCTAATAAATATTATTTCTATTGCCAAGTCTGTTGTAATTATCTTTGTTAATAAAGTTTGCTCTTATTTTTTTGAATTGAACAAGCAAAAATTTGAAAAAAAAAAAAATGAAATTTTTTTGAAAAAAAAAAGCAAAAAAAAAAAATAACTGCTAAAAAATTATTAAGTAATTTTATTTTATCTAATTATTGTCAATTTAAATTTGTTAGATATTATATATATATATATATTAAAGTTGATATATTATATTACCACAACACAACACGATATAAGTAAATAAATAGAAAAGAAAAAGAAAGATTGTAAAATAATAATAGTAGTTTATATAAAAAAGAAAATTAATTAAAATAAAATGTCAATTAAATTATTTGTTGGTCAAATCCCAAAGTCATTCAATGAAGACAATCTAAAATCAATGTTTGCTGATTATGAAGGCAGTATTCAAGAGATATCTGTCATTCGTAACAAACAGACGAACGAACCACAAGGTTGTGCATTCGTTACTCTCTCCAGCAAAGACGATGCCGAGAAGGCAATTCAAACACTTCACAGCAGCAAGAAGTTCCCAGGTGTATCAAACAGTTTACAAGTTAAATATGCTGATAGTGAACAAGAGAAACAATGTAAGTATATATATCTTTAATCTTTAATTAAAATAGTATATTACTTTTTTTTTTTTTTTTTTTATTTTTAATTCTCTTTTTTATTAATAACTTTTTTTTTTTTATTTATAATGATAGCAACAAAATTATTTGTCGGAATGTTACCACGTACTTACCAAGAGGATGACATCAAGACATTGTTTGCCGACTACGGAGAGGTCGAAGATATCTGCCTGTTGAGAGGAAACAACAATGAGAGCAAAGGTTGTGGTTTCATTAGATTCCAAAATAGAGAGAGTTGTCTCAGTGCTATATCTGCATTGAACGGTATCAATTTACCTGTATGTTAAAGTTTATATTATACAATATATTATCAAATTTAATAGTTATTAACTTTATTCTACTTACTTATTTTTTTACATAATATTATTATATTATAGCCAAGTCCAAACAACTTGGTTGTAAAGTTTGCAGATACCGAAAAAGATAAAAAGAAGAAACAAAAAATGCAACAACTCCAAGGTGGTGGTAATAATAATAATAATAATATGAGATCTAACCAATCTTCACACAACCAGTCACAACAACAGCAACAACATCAGATGAATGTACCAAAGATGAACAACCAACCAATGTTTATGAGTCCATACAATATAAATCCAAATATTCCAAACTTTAACTTTATGCCCAGTAAGTATAGACTAATTAATTAGTTTTTGTTAGTATATATATATATTCATTGTTAACTAATATAATTTCTATAGATACACCTTCACCTTCTTTATTAGGTACACCACCAATGTTGGGTGATGGTATCTATGATCTCTATTCACAGTCATTCGATCCAATGGGTGGTGCCGGTGTTGGAATGATGGGTATGAACGGAATGGGTATGAATTCAATGGGAGGAATGATGAACATGGGTATGAAACCAGGTGTTGCTGGTACTGCCGGTGCCAACAGAAATATAAACAATAACGGAATGGGTGGATTCCAACCATCGTACAACAATGGACGTGGACAAAACAACAATGGTGGCGGTATCATGAACAATATGTACGGAGGTGGCGGTGCCGGAATGTCTGGCAGCCCGGGATCGGCATCTGGTTCCAGCGGTGGTAGAATGAGAGGTAAGCAACAACAACAATCGGGACCAGCCGGATCGAACCTCTTTGTCTACAACATTCCAAACTACTACAACGATTCCGACATGTTCAATCTCTTCAGCCCATACGGTCATGTCGTCAGCTCGAAGGTCTACACCGACAAATCCACAGGTTTAAGCAAAGGTTTCGGTAAGAATTGAAAACAAAACAAAACAAAAAAAAACAACAACATCTAGTTCTCAATCAATTATCTCGGGAGCATAAGAATTAATTGCACACATTGATACATCAATTTTGAAGTTATTTACTTACTTTATATTACTTAATATTCTCGATCCATAAATATATAGGTTTTGTTAGTTACGATAATTCGATCGCTGCAAATTCAGCCATTGCCAATCTCAATGGTACAACCATGAATGGCAAGCAGCTCAAAGTTGCACTGAAGAATTCCAATCATGGTTCAAACCCATATTAATTTATTAATGTGGTGTCGATAACCATCATCCTTTTGTTCATTATAATTGTTGTTTTCATAACATGATCGTAGTTGTCAGTGTAACATCATCCGCTATTAGTCTCATACATACTCGTCATCATCATTATCATTCACATCTCATCAATATTTATTGTAATATTTAATACTCTATCATTTTATAATGACATCACCACCATCATCATCGGCATTCTTGTAAAAGAATTAACTTATTTCAAAACAACATTATATCAAAATTTTCTCTATATCTATTATAAACATTCAAAACAAAACAAAAAAAAAAATAATCAAAACCAAAACAAAACAAAACAAAACAATCAATCATGGTTATGATGAAATTGTATCCTCCAAAGTATAGTAAATCGTGGTCGTCTCGTCTCGTCTCATCTTAGTAGTAGTAGTAGTCAAGAAACAAATCATTGTATTAAATTAATATCTATTCTTTATATTTATTCAATTGTTGTTTCTCAACCTGTTAATATTATTTCATCATATAAAGATCTAATGTTATTGTTTTTAGAATTCAAACAAACGAAATCAAAAGAAAGAAAGCAAATTGCATTATTGTTAGTTTGTTAGTCTTTTTTGTTTTTGTGAATTGCGCGGTTTCATCTATTTATTATTATTTATTTGCTTTATTTTTTTAACTACTAATGTTTTTCAATTATCTTTGTACAATTCTTTATTATTATTTTTCTTTTTTTCTTTTTTTTTTTTTAGTTAATTCATTCTATTTCTTGGATAGTAATACTGATTTTGAATTTATCTTGTTTGTTGTGATATCATTGATGTGGTTTTGTTGTTGGTGGTGTTGAATTGGAACAAGGAAATTATGTTGTCCAGACAGAAATGATTGTTTATTCCAACTCGTAGTGACATTGGCCATCTTTGTAACATTATTAGAACTTGGTTGTTGTTGATGTTGGTGTTGCTGTTGTTGTGTTTGTTGGAGATGAGCTTTATTAAGAATGGTTGCATTGATGTTTGTTGTGTTGTTGTTATTATTATTATTCTTAACAGAGGATTTCAGACTTTGTACTTGATTGTTGTGAAGTGGTAACATCTTTTGATTTCTCTTCTTTGGTTGCTGTTGTAGTAGTTGCTGTTGCTGTTGTTGCATTTGATGCTCTTCAATCTTTTTTTGAATACTTGTATTTATCATTTAATATTATTAGTTAAAATTATTAAAAATAATAATAAACTTACGATTCTATTTCATTTTGTAATGTATTTATCTGTTCAGTAGTATCATTTATCTCTTTAATCAAAGACTCACTCTGTTCGTATCTACTATTCAATTTGTACTCATTGTCTTCTACGATTTCCTTCCATTTCTTGATCTCCATATCGAGTTCCTTTGATTTCTGTTGTGTAGTTCTTGTTTGATTCATCTTTGATTCCATTTGTAAATTAATTAGTTTCAACTCATCCAACTCGATCTCCTCTTTAACTTTAATCTCTCTAATTGCATCATAGTTTGAGTGTTCATCTTGCCATTTATTAAATTCATCATTCTTTATTAAGAAATCGTTACTTTCATTATTTGATTAATATTGTTTAGTTTTAAACACCTATTAATATAACTTACGCAAGTCTGTCTCTTTCTTTGGTAACCTTTTCAATTGTTTCTTTGGTAGCTATGTAGAGTGTATTTAAATTATTCAAATAATACTCTTTGTGTTCCATTATTGCATTGGAAATATCAATTTCTATATTTAAATCATTAGATTTACTAGTTTTACAATAACAACATGTTAGAAATCTTGTAGTATTAGTCATAAGAAAACTAACTTTTTAATCTCATTCAATCTTTTATCATTCTCTATGATTCTCTGATACAGATCTTGTACTCTTTGCTCAATCGATCCAACTTTTGAATTTGTTTTATAATAAACTCTATCGATATCATTTAATCTGTGTTCAAATTCTTTTGTTTGTACTCTCATCTCTCTCAATATTAAATTATCTTTAACGATATTCATTTTTTATAAAACAGCAATATAAGTATTAAACAGAAATAAAACAACAACAATATTAAAAAGTAAATAAAAATAAAAAATAAAGTATCATTATCTTTATTTTAAAGAATATCTTTTAATTTATTTAATTCAAGATAATTTAATTGTATCGGATACACCAACTTTCCAATTGGGTGATGTCGAAGTTAATAAGGTCATCGGATGACCATTTACAAATTGTGTTATTTTTACATTGCTGAAACCAGATAAATTATAGATAGTCTGTATTTCCGATGTCTATGAATAGGAGGTGTGGTAAATTAGTTAGATTATCATTGTTATTGTTATTTTAAATAATGCTAATAACATACATTTAGTGGTAATTCAATATCGGTATTGTTGTTTGTTGTGCTGGTGTTTTTGTTGTCGGATGTTGAAATCTTATGATTAAATATAGTAATAAAAGGATGATTTAACAGCAGTAGTTTAGCAGATTTCGAACACAGTGAGAGTTGTGTTGTAATTGATGTTGGGTAGCTACTCTCTATGTTGACGATTGCTGTTATAGATGTTCTGTTTGCATTGTATTGGTTGTAGTGCACGAACTCCTCTTTTGTTATACTGAAAACACTGACTGTCTTATTCATTCTATTCAACCACTCTCTATATACATTGCTTCCACTTGCAGTAAATGATTTATACAACTTTTGTGCTATTTCATCTATCAATTCATTATCAATTTCATTATCATGTATTAGAATAATATCGATTGTATTATTATTATCTATTGGTTGTTGTTGTTGTTGTTGCTGTTGTTTAAAATGATCTAGTAATGAATCAATGATTGGTTCAATATAGATATTCTTTTTAAGGTTATCATCTGTCTGCTTTCTTTGATATAGACTATAACCAATGTACAGTGCAGACGATGCTAATAGTAATGATGGTAATCCTGTTGATATCAACTTTGATATATTTAATGTTGATAATGATGATTGCATTCTAAAAATAGTAATAATAAATATATATCTCGAAACAAGTTAAATTAAATCAAAATCATTTTTGTTACATTTTGCAAAGGACTATTTTTTTTTTTTTTTTTTTTTTGACAGATTTAAATTTTTAATTAATTTTTTTTGGTGATTGATCATCAATGTTTACAAGGAAAATGATTATTCTCTTGGCCAATTGTTCCTTATTTCTCTTGCGACTTCTATACAATCATCAATTAAGGCTTTACGTAGATCAAGGAATTTTTCAGAGAGTGCTTGTGGAGCATCATCTGGTGTACCGGTTTTGAATGGTGGCTCTGGCTGGTATTCATAAACCAATGTGGCGTACTCACCATTTGTTACACCTTCTTTCTCGGTCTCTGCCCACAATGAGACAATGGTTAATCCCAAGTCAATTCCCGAAGTTACACCGGCGCAAGTAAGGTATTTGCCGTCCAATGTGATTCTCTTGTTTTGAACTTTGACTTCGAGTAAATCAAGCACATTGGTGACACGGAGTGACCAATGAGTTGAAGCTTTCTTGCCTACCAAGAGACCGGTGGCTGCTAACAACAGACTTCCAGTACAGACCGAAACAACAAAACGTGCATTCTCTGCTAATTTCCTGATCCAGTTGAGTACCTGGTTGTCCTTCATGCACATGAGAGTTCCTTCGAGCCCACCAGCAATCACAAGGATATCGACTTGGCTCGGACAACTGTCAAAGCTGTCAGTTGGAATGATCGTCATCAGATCCAACTGAATGGGATCAGTTGACTTCCACACTAAATGTCTTTTGGAGGCGGTCTTTGTCACGAAAGAAAGAGGACCCAACACACCAACAAGATCTTGGGCAACCATCTTTGGATGAACCAAACAGGCAATTACAGGTTCTTCTTCATTCATCATTTTTCAATAGAGATAATTAATAATATTTACAAACAATTAAAAAAATAGTTGTAACAAGAGTAACAATTAAAATTAAACAAAAGTAAAAAAAAGTTAAAAAATTAAGGGTGGTTATCTCCACAAACTTTGATGTGCCCACTTATTATTGGACATTTTACATTTTTAATTTATAGTAAAGTGACATATAAATTGGTAGAGTGGATGAACTATTTAAATTATTAAATTGTTTTAATTCATTTTTTTTTTTTAACATTTTAAAAATTAATTAGATAAATTTGTTCATTTGAATCCTGGAAGTGAATAATTTATTTCTCTATAACTTTAAAGTGATATTCAATTTACAAAGTTTCGAACTCGTTTAGATTTGATCAACGATAATTTCAATCCAATATAACTCCTAGTTTGTTTTGGATTTTGATTTACTATATAACCTAAAATCCTATCAAATATAATCTTGACACCAAGATCCGAATTTATTGGTTGGCAATGAAAAGTATTCAAGAAGAGATTTGGGAAACCATCGACTTTGTCTGTTTAGTTGAATGTTTTATTGAAATGGGGTGATATCTTAAATAACTTTCTTTTAACTCTATGTAGATATTTCTGAAAAAAAAGTATTTATACAAGTACTTAAACAGTTATTAATAAATAGTTCGAATTATTATCACTAAATGTTAAAATTCAGATGAACCCCCAAACGCAAAACATAGCGAAACTGATCTTCCGTCGTCGCCACCTACTTTTTTTTTAATTTGAATTCAAAGTTTGGTTCGAAAATAATTTTAGCCAGTAAAAACATCAATTTTGAAACAAATTGATCAAAAATTCGAGGTGGATAAAAGTTTAAATTTTAGAATAGCTCAAAAAAAAGTTAAAATTATTGTTGTAACGGTCATTTGAGTCGTACACTACGCTGGCACGGTAGTTTACTTGAGAACAATATGTTAAATATTTTTTTTTATTGTACATCGTATATTAAAATTTATATAAAAACTAAATTTAATTAAAATGAAACATATAGAAAAATACAACTTCTTTTAAATCCGATTTAATTCTTCTTTTAGTTTCCTCGCTCAACTCTTGTCCTCCTCTTTTCTTCTCAACAAAAAAAATATGTTTTCCATCTGCCACATTGATATTCAATTCTGTTCTTAAAATATCGCGTTGTTTTTTAGAGTATTTTTCTATATGTTTCATTTTAATTAAATTTAGTTTCATGGACGTGTTATATATAAATTTTAACCCTTGTAGTTGTACAAGCCGACCAATTTGAGGAGTGGAACGGAAAAATTGTTTCCTTCTTCAATTTGGCTGCTACTCTGCCAGGTGCCATTCCCCAACATATATAGATCTATAGATTCTTGGATGGTGCAGTATTTTGTTGTGCTGAACCACTTATTTGTCACCAACCACCGGTGGATCATATTCAGGCACAAGATGGCTTATTGAACGACTTTCCGACAACAATTACAATATCATCAACACCGCTTCCTTCCTCCCAGGTGCCGATTTGCAGAACAGATATCTTGCCTGTGACTTTAACTCCAAAAATGTAGTACTTACATCCAAGCCAATCCCAAGTACCAAGTCATCGACACACATCATCAACTGGGCAGTCGTAAAGCACACTGATAACAATTATTCCTTCAAATGTATTCCAGCACCATTTATGACTCAACCAGATTCCTATTTGGATGGTGCAGTTTTCCCAGGTCCTCCAGGTAGAGGTATGATTGCTAAATTTTTAAATAATCCATCTTTTCTTAACAATTTTACTAATAATTCTAACTTTATATCTATTAGTTTATATCTCACCATCTTTCACAGGTGGTTATACTGGTACTCATTGGTCTATTGCTCTTATTTAAACATATTGAAATCGGCCAACAACAAAGTTTAAATCAAAAATTAAATAAAATAATCAAGAAGTGATGATTTTTATATTCTCATTTTTTTTTTTTTAATATCTTTCAAAAATCAATCACATGCTACCATATTTATTAATTACTTATATAGTTAGATTGATTTGGGAGGAAGAAAAAGATGATAGATATCAATATAATAGATTTTTAGAGTTATCTCTTGTTAGTAAAGGTTTTTTAAAAGTTATTCAAAGTTTGATCATTTCAATAGATATCAGTTGGAATATCGTAGAGTTTGTCGATTATATTCTAAAAGAAAGATATAAATCGTTATTATGTTTATTTAAATATACAGAGCAAATAGTTTGTAAATTAGAGTATATGTATGAGGATTATGAAGATGAATGCGATAAAGAGGAATCAGATGCTCATTTGTTTCAAAAGTTACTGACTAGCAATCAATGGCAAGATTGGTATCAGCAACATCCGAAATCAATACATCTTCATATCGATGGTAATCTCGGTATCTTTCAGAGCAATCCATACATCACACACCTCACAATCGAATACTATGTACCACACGTAAAGCATCCAAAGTATTGCGAATTCCCACCGAATCTCAAAGAACTTCGCTTGACTACTCATCCAATTGTGCAAGCCGATTCTTTAAATCTGTTCTTGCGAATGATCAGTAAGATTATGTCAAAACCAAGACCACAGATGGAGCTGTTTCATCTTCGATCGAATTTTGTCGATGTCATCGTAGATGAAGGTGCCACCAAGTTCTTTAATTACCTCGATCGATCTTTGGTGAACATCAAAGATCTCTCATTGATTGGTAATGTAGACTCTAGATTCGATCTTAGCAATAACGAATCAATCGATGAATTCTTTGGTTGTTTTAAGAGGTTTCTCGAGAGACATCCTACCATATCGAAATTCGAGTTGGATACCAACAACTTTGCCAACACAGAATCAAAATTCCAATTAAATTCTTTTCTTTTCAATGCTACCAATATAAGAGATATTACAGTTCACCTGCATACAGACTCAGTTCCACAATGCGACAGAATAATCGAGAGAGCAGAAATATTCCTGGTGCCAGTCAGAGACAACGATATAGAAGCACAAATAGTAAAGATGATAAAGCTAATAGAAAAAGCAAAACGAATATCCATATTTGCTTCTCACATCTACGACGAGGATTTCTTTAATTATTATTTTGGTGTAATAAATTCAAAAGGATACAAATTTTAATGTAGAAAGAGCTTCAAAGAAGATAAATAACTTTTTATTTAATTATTTATTTAATTTAAACTTTGTTCTCAGAACCATGGGTTATTTGTTTAAATAAGAGAAATAGACCAATGTGTTCCTGTATAACCACCATTATATGATGGAGAGATGTAAACTGTTTTTATAAATAGTAATGTTGATTTTAGTTAGTTATTAAAAAGAAATATTAAATTTAGATTAGTAGATCATCGTATTAAGATCATACCTTTACCTGGAGTACCAGGAAATACTGCACCATCTAAGTAGGCATCATCTTCAGCGAGAATCGGTCTACATTTGAATGAGTAGTCATTGTCTCCGTGTTTGACTACAGACCAGGTGTTGCTGTATGAATAGACTTTATCTCTTGGAACGTCACGTGATGTAAGGATCACTCTGTTGGTAGAGTAATCACAGGCTAGATATCTCCTTTCTTGATCAGCACCTGGAAGGAATGCAGCTGTGTTTACAATACCATAGAGGTTGTCAGCGTATCTTTCAATAAACCATCTAGTACCAGTGTAAGAGCCACCAGCACTTGGTGACAAATAAGTTGTTCCATAAGCACAACAGAATACCGCACCGTCTAGATACTTGTATTGAGAGATGGCATCTGGCGAGTTGGCAGCCAAGTTATAGAATGCAACGGTTGCACTACTGAACTGTTCAAAAGGATCAGCTATTACAATTTTAACTACTACAAATACAACTAATAACAAAAGTGATTTAGACATTATTATTATTTTGGTTGGGATGAATGAATAAAGAAATGAAGTTTAATATACAGTAAAGTGTAATCAAGGTATAAACTTGCATAACTTAAGTGCAGAATCTGCACGAAATCATCATTTTATTGGAAGATTTAATTGTCTTCTTATGATTTATTTATTTGAAAACAAACTTGATCTCTGATTGATCAGCTTTAATCAAATTAAAAGAATTTCGAAAAGATATTTTTTTGTTTTTGATCACTCTGAAATTTAATTTAAAAATTTTATCTATTGATAAAGAGAAATGTAATCCGCAATATTAATTTAATTTTATTAATTTGAATTTGGACTTCTATTAAAATTCCAATTGTTTTGATTTTGATCTTGTTGAATAGGAAACAAAAAATAATTTTGTTCTATATTAGTTTTAGAATAGATTGGATTATCAGTGTTGTATGATGTTAAAACATTGGGGGATATATTTGTTGGATTGTTTGACTGTGATGAGTCGAAAAAAGGAAAGTATTGTGGAGGAGGAATAGATAGATTTGTATCTTGAAAAGTTGAATATAGAATTTGATCAGGATTAAAAGTAGATGGTTCATGAGGAGATGCAAATTGGGTATAAGTAATTCTTGGTGACCAAGTTGAAGAATTATATATGAATATGTGTATTTTTGGTAGGAACAAAATTCTTTTGAATATCTTTTGATGGTGATGATTTTCTTGAGTATGGGGTTTGTTTTGGTTTATGTTCTATAAAATCTTTATTCTTTTTAATTTTGTTTTTTACTTTGGTTTTCTTTGTAGTTTTAATTTTGTCTCAGCACTGACGATGAGATTTCTCCTTACCTTTTTTGATAAATTCAGCTGACAACCAATTTAATAACTCTTTAAGTCTTGAGAACAAATTCTCTCATAACTCTTCATCGTCAGTGCTGAGACAAAAAGCAAGATTTAATGGATGAGAGTGATCAAAAAAGTGAAGACTTTGAGGATATCAGTCAAGATGAAGAAGAACCAAGTGAGGCTAATGAAGAGACTGATGATGAATTTGAACCGTCACAAGAAGTCAAAACAACACCCAAAAAGAGAACAAAGACAATGTAAATAAAATATAATACCATTCCCATATTTGTTTTAAAATGATGTCACTTGGAGGTATCACAGTATAATTGAATAAATAATTATTTATCTTCATAGAATTCATTGACAGAATAAATCAATATTGGTTGTTAATAATTTATTGCAAAATAGTATCTATTAATAAAGACAAATTTTGTTGTAAATTGAGATAGAAGTCCAAAAAAGAATTTATAAGAATTTTAAGTTAATAAAAAGTAGAGATTTTTATTAGTTACTATTATTTCTATTCAGAGCTCGAATATAAAATGGAAATTCTTGGATGATTGGCTCCAGAACATCATATTTGTTGATTGGGAGTATTCTCTGGATTACTTCATTGTAGTCCCATAGTAACAATAACTGGAAGATTCGCTAGTAAATAATGAAGAAGTGATATATTCTTAAATTTCTATCTGATAACCTTAGGTATTAAGTTTGTTTTTTTCATCCCTAAAAAGAAACTTCTCTAAACTCTTAATAAATTATCTATTATTTTTTTATATAGAATAAAAATGTTAATAACTAACTTTTATTATCAGTAATAAATAATAATAATATCATTTTTAAAATATTGGTTATATTGATTAATTTATAATTATTTATTTGTGGTTTTAACTTTAATCATCTATAATTTAATAACTAACTTTTATTATCAGTAATAAATTATATCAAGAAATGTTATTGGTTTATCAATCTACTTTTTATTTGAATTTTATTATTCTAATATAAATTGAACTAAAAAATCTATTTTTTTTTGATTGTTGGTGAGCAGTTCGAATCAATATTTCCTTTTTTTTACTTTGTTTCATTCCCTCATAAACTAAAATTTATTAAAAAGAATTTAAAAAACCAAAAATGTTGTTACACTTCTAAAAAATTTTTTTTTAAAAAATTTATATTTAGAGGGTAGTCTCCCTCGTCAGTTAAAAATTTTATTTAATTTTTAAATTAAAATGACAAATAAAGAAATAAATGCAATTAACCCAAAAGAAACAACTTGAATATTACCAGAATTGTGTGGGAAAGCTGTTGTGGAAAAAGTGGAAGAAAGAATGGTCGAAGACAATGTAGAAACCGAGGTGGTATCCATATTACCAGAAATTGAGGTAGAGGAAGTGCTGCAGGATACAGTTGTACCTTCATTACAATCTCCACAGGGTTGGGCAATGGAAGTACTTCCAATTCCATTGGAACAATCATTCATATCCTCATAAACTTTACCAATGACAATAGAATTCGATATACTTGAAACGTAATAAGCAGTTATAATTGGAGCACCGGTACAGATATCATCGAATGTACTATAAATAAAAATAATTTGTAAAAAAAAAAATTCTTAAAATTAGATAATTCAATATTTTATATATAAAAAAGTAGTACTTACTAACATGTTCCAACAGGAATTGTAACACAAGTCTTTTGACCTGATGAACCGCAACCTAAAAGAGCTCCACTACTACAAACACCACAAAGTTGAATAGAATCTGCGGAAACACAAAGGAGCATGGCAAGTCCCAAAAGTAATAAAGATAATTTGTTCATAGTTATTTTATGTATTTTTAAAAAGTGTAAAAAAATTGATATTTAATATTGGAATGATAGAATAATTCAAAAGTGTCGCCTATTTATTATCTGTCTTTTCATTCCCTCATTTGTTATTCAAATAATAATATCTAGAAAGCCTCATGAGGGATCTTTCCTTTTTTTATATTTTGGAGGCTAGCTATTCAAATTTCTTAAATCTAAAAGATTTTTTTAAAAAAATTTCTGGTATTGGGAAACAACAGGTTGAGTGTCAAATCGGTAGAGGAATCAACTTTTTTTCTCATTATAATTATAAATAAAAAAATAAATAATTATCTTTTATTTTGTGAAGGTCTTCTGAAAAACCAGTATAAAAAAATAAATAAATAATTTTTATTTGAATTTTATTTTTGCAATAATGCATTATTTTTTTAAAACTATTTCTTAGAATGAATTTAAAATCTTTAGGAATCTGAATAAATTCATTGTTTGTAGGATCATCAAAAAATTGAATTGAAGGGTCGACACCGTTTTACTTAATAAAGAAAAGTTGATATTCAAAATGATTTACAAATTCTACATCTTTGTTTTTAATGACAAAAATAAAATAAAAAAAAGTAAAAAAAAAAATTTAAAATTTAGTTTTTTGATGACATATTTCTTCTCACCTCAGATTATTTATTTTTAACTTGATGTCAACAACAACAACAACGACAACTGCAGTAACAGAAACATCAACAAGAACAGAAAGTCCAAAGCTTCCACTAATTATTTTATTACATATCATTAATATATTGTGTAGCAATATAAAATCAAAGATCTTATTGAATAGATATCAACATGCAAATGCTGACAAATATATACTTAGAGTGTCATTAGTTTGTAAATATTTCTTTTCCAATATACAACGTTTGAATAGAGCTTATATAAATAGAACCTTGATTGCTTTCAAAGACGATGTAATTAATGGGAAGATTAACGATGACTTGTGTCTGTTTAAATTTGTGGATAGCATCCACATTGGAGTTGGCAAAGATTCTCTAGAGAAAGATGAACATGCTCTAAACAAATTGTTTCTCAGCAGTCAATGGGAGATTTGGAACAAAGAACAACCTAAAACAGTTCATCTCTCTGTCAAGTGCTATCACCTAAACTTTGACTTGATCAAGGACGACTATATCACTCATCTAGACATAACATACAATCTCAACGAAGACTCTTATCTCTTTCCTGCCAACTTGGTATCTCTCAAAGTAAAGACATTTGGCTCCAGGCGTACTGGTTTCATTGAACTACTCTCACGAATGTTTCATGTTGATAGACAACAGCTTCAAGTATTTCATTTGCATTCCGATGTACTTCCTCAAATACTAATTGAGGAAGATGGAGTAAGCATACTCTTTGACCGTCTCAATAGATTAGAGAATCTTAAGGAGCTAGGTATTAGTGACAACAAATGCATGGGTAGACTCATCCATTCAGACGGTTTAGACTTGTTTTATGATTCTCTTTTAATCTTCCTTAAACAACACCATTCAATCAAATCATTATACCTTAATCTGTCTCCATTTTCGATGCATACTAAATCTAATACCGATCTATTAGATTACCTTGGTAGTAAACATTGTACAATTGATAAAATCAATATTCCAGAGTATCATCATGTAAAATTTAATAAAGATAAATAAATAAAAAAATGATTTAAACATATTATTATAGATAGTGAAACAAGAAAGTATTTTATTTGAATTGTGTGTTTTATCTAAGTTCTACTTTTGCTTTAAATGGATATGGCATCGATGTTAAACCAAATGTCATTGAATCATCGATTTTCTCTTCAGTTAATCTAGTAAATTTAAATCTCTTAAAAATGATAGCTGTCCAAAGATAGAGTTCATACTCTGCAAGACTTGTTCCTAAACAATTTCTTGTACCACTACCAAAAACTGATTTCACTCTTGATACGTTCTTTTGATTCGATTCACCTAGGAATCTCTCTGGTTTAAATGACATTGGGTCATCCCAAAATTCATCAGATAACATTGATCCATTTATATTTTGAATAATTTGTGTCTAACAACAAACAAACAACAAAAAAAAAAGAATTAATAAAAACCTCGGTGTTATACTACTATTATAAGAATTATTACTTACACCTTCTTTAATGAAATATCCTTTGAAATAACAATCTTTGGTAGCTTGATGAGGTATGCCCAAAGGCACAACTGGGAATCTTCTAAGTGTCTCTCTTATTACTGCATTTGCATAGGGTGTTGAATTCTTATCAGAGAGAGTTGGTTCTTTCTTGATAAAAGTATTCAACTCTTGATACAATTTCTCTTGTACTTCAGGTTGATTGCAAACTACTTTGATCAGAGCACTACCGGTATTGGAAGAAGTATCGGTAGCAGCCAATAGCAAATCAAAGAATACATAGGTTAATGCATTCTTTGTAATCTTATTTGCTTTGTATTCAATGATATATAGGTCTAAAATATCGACTGGGTCAGAGTAATCATGTTTACTCTTTAGTCTCTCGTCGATGATAGTGTCTAGGAACCGACCAATACTTCTATTCGACTCGATGTAATCACGCGATGCCTTGGTTCTTCCAAACAGTGGCTGAAGGAAATGAAGATAGTCAGAGGCAAACGACTGACCAGCCAAACCCAACGTTGATTCAATGAAATCAATAACATTGTTACTGCTATTCTTTTCCATTACATACGGATAATGAATACTAAATAACAATCTAAAGATAATATTGAATGAGCACAGCTTCATTAATCTGATCGGGTCACAAGGCTCACCGGATTTCGCAAACTCTTCAAACTTTGAACAGAGCAAGTTGATCTCGTCGACCATTGAGCCTTCGATCTTTTTCAACTTGTTTGGCACGATGTGTAGCAGAGTAATCTGGCGAATGTATTGATTGTAATCCTCGTTTGAATAGAATATATTTTCAGTTTGACTCCATATAATCTTGCTATGCTTTATAAACCTATTGATAAACACATCGTTGTTGTTGACGAACGCCTCATGGATGATCTCTGGTCCAGTCAAAATCACTCCTTCCACTGATCCAAATTTAAATCGACAAACCGATCCATATTTCTTGTATAATTTAAAAAACAAATGATGAGGTTCTCCTTTCATCAAGTGTAAATTACCAATCAATGGCAGTGGTAAAGGTCCAGGTGCGAATCTATTCGTTGGTCCCTAATAATAATAGCAATAATAATAAAGAATTAAAATTTTGATAGAAATATTAAAAAAGTATAGTGACAAATACTTTTTCTTTTAAGATCCAAAGAAATATTATAATAAAAAACAATAGTATTATAGTTAAGAACATATCTTTTTTTTAAAAGTTGTAGAGTATAGTGTATTGAAATAAATTACCAAAAGTTGGTTATAAAATTGATTTATTGCACCATTTTAAATAATTTTTACAGTTACATTAAAGTAACAACAAATATTTAATAATTGGTTAGTTGATTTAAAAAAGATTGTTTTTTCTTAAGTAGAGAGGTGTGTGTGACACATTAGATTTATTTTATTGTTTTTTGACACTGCATTGTTCACATAAATTATTATGATTATTGCACGTGACAATAAATATTTTATCAAAACAAAAAAGGTAGATTTAACATGTCGATGTTGATACCAACTTAATCTGACTTTTAATTAATTAATTATTATTATTTTAAATTTATTTTTTTTTGTTATCATTCTGTGTTGAACAAAGAAATTTTAAAAGTTATTACACAAAAGATTATTAATTAGTTTAATTAAAATAAAAAAAAATAGTTAAAAAATTCTTTTTGGATATTTGTTATTTTTTGGATATTATTTTGCCCAACGATCATGTCACAATGATATCTCCTATCTATAAAAATGATTAATATTATTATAATTAGTATAAGTAGTTTACCAAATAATGAGTACCCTACCGCTTTTTATTCAAAAGGAGATAATTAAACATACATGGAAACTGGATGTTAAACATTGTACCAAGCTATCGCTGGTCAATCATTATTTTCTATCTATTGTACAGCAGCTGGATGTAGAGTTAACAGAGAACAGGTTGTTGGAACCGTTGATGCACTGTGTAGCAGAGAATCATCATCGATCAGATCTATGTAGATTTAAATGTCTAAACACCTTGGGTGTAAATATCAAGTATGCCAGCGATAAGAATCGAGAGAACTTTAAACAAATGCTATCGAGCCAACAATGGAGAGAATGGTGTTTGGACTCTCCGAAAGACCTACATATCTACTTTAAAGATCTAGAAAGCTATCATTCGTATGATACTAATCAGTATATTACACATTTGCATTTGGACTATGAAATGAAAGATACCAATGCCGTCCTTTTGCCTCCTAATCTCAAAGCACTACGACTCAATGCCTATCAGGGAGAAGATTTAGACTTTGAGACTGCCTATTACAACACGATAAAAGAGTTCACCAAGCAGCCGAGACCTCTGTTGGAAGTGTTGGAGTTGGACGACAACTTTGCTTATCTTATGGCAAGGCAACCACTAGAATCCATCAAGATACTCGATAGCTTTGACAATCTGAACAAGTTGATGATAACCATGGAGAGCAATCCGGAGCATCCTGACCTGAGCAGAGAAGGAGAGCAGTTTCACCATTTGTTCATAGACTACCTTAAGCGACACCCGAAAATAAGCTATCTCGATATCAATACATCGATTATCTCAACTAGACAACAACAGCAATTACTAATAGATTATCTGTTTGGAGAAGAGAGTAATTTACAAACGATTGTTGTTCAAGCGTATTCCAATGCACTGCCAAAAGTCAAGAGAAGAATTCGCATTGCATTGTTGGACTTGAACTATACTTTTAAGAATAATTCACAAATGCAACAGCAAGCAAAACAAGCAACAAAAGAAGGATGGTTTACTGGTTTCAATCAAATCGATCAGTTATTTATCATTCCGAATGGATGTATCAATCAAACACTCACCGATAAATATGAATCGTTGTTGAAAAAAGAATGCTCAACTCTGTGTAGTGACGATACAGAATTACGATTCGACACACCTACTTTTAAATATGAATTCGACTATGGTGAATGTGTATTTACTACCGATGACTTCCAAGAGATCAATGATGAAAGTCAGCATATCGGAATGACCGAAGAGGAATGGAATGAGATTGTTAATTCACAATTCGATGATTAGAATCAATGTGGAGATGAATACCAATAAATCATAACATCTTTATCTATTTGTAATTTTAGAAAATTGTTTTTTTTTATTTTCAATCCTGAGATTAGTTTAAATAAAATTTTATTTTAAATAATAATCAGAATAATGATCATAATAAAGTTCAATAATGATATGGGGACCCAAGTTTGATGTCGATATATATTCCAATAATTTAATATTCTCATTAGGTAACCTTTGATAAATTCTATTGAAAGTTAAATACAAAAAATGGTTTAATATTTTTATTATAAATACTGTGCAACAAACAAAATTTATTATAATTAATATATTTCTTTATAAAATGTTTAGTAATATATCTAAATTTATTCAAGTAGATAATCTCAAGTTAATTTCAGATTATGTTCTTGCTTTAGCTAAGATGTGGACCAGAGATCTCACCCCTGAAGCTCGATACCAAATAATAAAAATTCTTAGCGACATGAGTCCGAATAAGAAAAAGTTCATTGTTTATTTAGCCTACCAATTTATGGCTAAAGATGTAGATAGAATTTTAGGTTCAAACAATTTTATTAAAAATTGGTTGCTACAATCAATGAAAAATGATGGAATCTCTCAGAATTTCCCTGAAATTTTGACTTTTGGATCAACAGGATTAAACCTTTCGAACAAATTGATTAGCTTTGACTCACTAAATAGAACCCATCGTATCCATCGAAATATTATTTTCAATAATTTTAAGAAACAAGGTACAGATTATTATTTTAATGACACACTATGTGAAAAAGGAAGAATTACAAAAATAAAAGTATGGTGTAATCAAAAGGCATCTCCAATTGGAAACTTTACTTTCCACATGCTTAAATCTTTGGAAGAGGAGGGAATGAAAATCTTTGAGATCATAGTAGATAGTGTTCAGAAAAAACATAGATCTTCAAGTAAAGGTTTGGCATATCTTGGTCATCTTGAGTATGTATGATTAGTTTTTTTAATCTCAGAAATCTAATTTGGTTTTAGATATCCATTCCATTTATTCGCTCATTTATATATAGAGATTAACGGAGTTGGAAATTGGTATTTCTATGATAAACAAAAGCTAGGATATAGCTTTCTCCAAGGGGAAATGTTTGTTCAAGGAGAAAATTATTTGATTTATCAAGATATTTGTTCAATTGATTTGAGCATACTTTTTGATATATCAATATTTTTTGGCCTACCTATCTCTTTGAAGGCTCAGTCTAGGTTGAAGGAAGAAAAACCTGATTTTAGCTTCGCTCAGACCATATTTGACTTTTCAGTCAATGTGTGTTGGAACCCAATCGTCGAATTAATTTGGGAACATGATAAGTCAATCGATTTGTTCACTAAATTCTGGCATGATTCCAACACTTACAAAACCTATGTTTTAGATCCAATTGGTCCCCCAGTTATAATACCAGAAGAAAATACAAAATAAAATATATTACTATTTTTATCTTACGATGTTTTATTTATTTTAATCAAGATTTTATTTATCGTATTTCCATTAGAATGAAAAATCGAATATCTTAATAGTTGAATCTTCATATCCAGTTATTAATTTGGAATCATTGAACTTGAGACAACAGACGGCAGATTGTCCTTTGATAGTATTTACATGTGTACCAGTCTTTAAATCCCATAGTCTGATAGTACTATCGGTTGAGCCACTCAGCAATTTATTTCCTTTGAATTGAAGACAATGAATCATATTATCATGTCCCTGTAATGTATGTATTAATTGTCCATTCATATCCCATACCTTAATAAAAAAAAGGTAATAAAAAATATAATTAGTTATTAGTTAGTGACTTTTAGGTCAATTTAATATTGTTTTTTAACTTACTTTTAATAAACTATCATGACTACCACTGACAAGTTGTCCATTTTCATATTGGAGACAATTGATTTTGTGAGTGTGAGCTCTGATCGTGTTAATGCAACGTGCATCCATATCCCACACTTTGATGGTTTTGTCGTAGGAACCAGAGACAACCAGTTCTTGTCCGTTGTGGTTGATCGCTTGTAAACAACGAACTGGTGCAGTGTGACCTCTCATAGTACGCAGACAGCTCGATGTGTTGAGATCAAAGACGCGCATGGTTCCATCGACGCATCCACAAATGAGTGTTCCATTGACAATTTGTAGACACCACACTGAGGAATGGGTTTGGATGGTTTCTACACAAGTTCCCTCGAAACGGTCCCATATCTTTACACTTCCATCGGCACTTCCACTGATTAATCGATTGGGTGTGCTACCCAGACAGATTGTGCCGTTCTTGTGACCACCGAGTGTTTTGACACATCTCTTCTTGCTGTCATCGAGGTCATCATAGTACTGGTGCGTCTCACCGATTCTTGAGCAATCCCAAACCTTGACAGTCATGTCTTCACTACCACTGATTAAACTATTGGTGTCTGACTCGTAGAGAAGTGACCAAACAATCTCTTTGTGACCTCTGAGGACGGTGGTACTGTACTTTCCTCGACGCCAATTGGAATCTTTTCGGAACTCGCCGACATACCAATTCTCGCCCCAAATTGGATTGGTGTGACTGGATGTCTGTGGAGATTGTTGGTTGAATTTATACTTTTGTAGTAGTAGTTGTTGTTGTTGGTCATGGTTTGCATTCGAATCGATTGTATTAGTGATACTTGTGGTGGCATTGTTGTTGCTATTGCTTATTGATTGAAGATTTTCCATTATGGTATCGGTGGAATGTGAATTTGAAGAGGATGTCAAAGATGAAAAAGTAGAGGATGACGATGATGGTGATGGATTGTAGAAACTGGAGCCATCGAGTAGCTTTCTTTGGAGACAGATATCTCTCCAGAGTGAAATATCAAATGCCAATGCACGCCACTTTCGACTGACCCTACAGACACCGCTACACAGATCCATTGGCGAGAGGAATTTGAAAATATGCAACATCACTTCCTCCGGCAGAATCAAGGTGAGCGAGCGTGACTCCATCTGTGAGAGATTGTAACGCAGAGCAAGTGAGTGGTAGCTATTGGTAATGGTTTTAATGTGCTCCTCCTTCTTTTTTTGTATTTGTTTGAGGAACATTCGTTTCATTTTTATATCTTTCTGAATGGCTTCACGCGTTTCATTGAGTGTACATATGGTTTTCTCGACACTTTCCAACTCCATTTCACGACGCTCCATAAATCCAATTGTTTCTTTGATATCTCGAAGCACCTCTGACACAAGAGGATCACCGGAATACCAAGAGTCGATATCCATTTGCACGCATCCGTCCAGTGGATAGCTATCGTCGTCCTCGACAAACGATGGTTCGTCATCGTCGTCGTCGCTGTCCTCGCAACTCTCCTCCTCGGCCATAGTGAATTTTCCACCGATCATGCTCGGTGTTGATTTCTGACTGCTGCAACACTGTGGACTACCATTAGCGTTGTTACAAGAGTGCATATGGTGATGATTATGATGGCTGTGATTATGATGGAGAGACGACGGAGAACCAGATGATGCTGCACCAATAAAATATTCGCCTATCGAAGACTGTTGATTTTGATGGTGATGCTTTTTGTTACTGTAATATCCGCTACTGCTGCTGTTGCTACTTCTAGAGGAGCATGAAGATGATGTAGAATCTATGCTGTCATTCAAGTGGATTTGAATATCACCACCACCGCCACAATCGAAATATGGATCTATTCTTTGTTGTTGATTGGCCATCATTGTAATCTTACGAAAAATTTCCTGTTTCTTTTTCTTCCTTGATGTTGATGTTGTTATTTTTGAATCCAAATTTGCAATACAATTGTAGTTCAATACACCCCTTGCTGTTGATTGGCTAAGTTCCATATATTTCTATAAGAAAAATAGATTTATATTTTTTTTTTTTTTGGAAATTAACTAATATTAATAATTTTTATCTAATATTATTATAATTATTATTATTAATTAAAAATAAATAAAAAAATAAATAAATAAATAAAATGGGTAGTTGATAAAAAAAATAAATGGGTAAAAAATATATTTATTTAATTTATCTTAATTTTGATAGATTGATTGTTTGATTGAATTAAAATAAATAAATAAAAATGTATTGTAAAAAAAAGAATAAAAAATTTTGGATAGTTGTTTGTTTGTGAATGATTGATAGTCAAAAATTGGATGTTGTTGTTGATGATGATTAAATTGTTAAATAGATTTGTATAATTAATTTATTGATTGAATTGGTTAATAGGTTGTGTTGTTGTTGTTGAGCATGTATGTAAGTAAGTAAGTAACAGAAATGTTAAGTGTAGAATATACAAAATACTGGATTGGAGTTAAATTGGAGTGGATAGATGGAAACATATGTTTGTTTGGAAAAACAAATATTTCAATTTTCATAATCACAATAATTATCACACCACACACTCCCACACACTGATTATTGATCTGTTGTCGCAAAATATTTACATTTGATTGTTGTATTCCAAAAAGCGAAATCCTTACTTAATTCGATCACTTTACAAAATGAGAATACAGCAAATTTACACAAGTTACATTATTGACCAATACAATAACAGGATTAATCGTAAAACAATAAAATAATGTAAATACAATGTTCATCATTTATTCATTCTTTTTGAATTATTAATATCATCATCATCAAAAAAAACAATAAAGAAAACAACATTAAAAAAAAAATGATTTAACAACAATCCAAAATAGTCCAAACAAATAAATAATTGTAATGTAACAATGTGAAGTAGTTTCCAAACAATTTTTTGATTTGTTAACATTTGATAGATTTGATGTTTGGTGGGGTGTATAAATTGTTTTGGTTGATCAAAAGGAAAAAAAACAAACAAAACCAAACAATCCTAAAATTAATAATAATTGGAATTATCAAATAATGGATGATTATAAATTATTCTTTTGATCTTACTATTAGTATGACTGATAATGTTAAAGATATAATTAAAATTATTATTTCTATTATTTTTGAATTATATTATTTTGTATATTTGTGTTAAATTATTGAAACAGTTATTTTATTTACTACTATTGTTTTTTTTATTTGTTATTTCAACTGTTGATTTGATTGTGAGTTAATAAATTGAATTGATTTGTTATATTTGATTATGTTTTTGATATATAAGGAGATAACAAGTAATTGTATCAATTGAAAATGTCCAATATTCAATTCTTCTTTATAATTGTTATTATATTATATTATATTGTTAATGTATTTTTTTCTACAAAAAAAAAACAAACTACGTACATCTACTAATATTCTAATTTTTTCTATATATATATAATTGATGAATATTATTATTATTATTTCTAAATTTGTTAAAAATATTACTACTGATAGTACTATATTGTTCTCTTATTACTTTTTTTTTTTTTTTTTTTTTTTAATTAATTTCATATTGGTATACATTTATTTTTATTTCTCTTCATTATTTTCATCTCCTTTATTCTCTCTCACCTACTATATTTTTCACACACAGCACTAAAAACACTGCTACAATACACGACCCATCAGTGCAAAATTTAATTTAATTTTTTTTTATGATTGAATTGAAAGGAGTGTGGGCGAGGTTGTTTTGGTTGGTTTGATCAATTTCAGTAGAGTGTGTGATATATGAGATACACAATCATTATTTATAGTTGTGTTGTTGAATTCATTTGATGGTAATTAACTACTTTTTCAATTATATGTTATTTGTTTTTTTTAGAAGTGATAGAAAGACTGATGTTATCTGTGTGTGTGTGTGTTTGTGTGTTTGTGTGTGTGTTTTTAAAATTAACATCAAAATTTTTGTTTTTTACTAAATAAATAACATCACACAAACAGATGATCGAGTGAATAAAGCATTAAAAACTTAATTATGTTAACTTTTACTACTATTTATAAAACAATGCATGTATTTCTTTTTTTTTTTGGCTGTATAATAATTGATACTGTACTGTCAATAACTTTTTATTGGTACTACTTACTGCTACCTTTATCACGATTGAATTAGATAAAACAACACTAAAGGTAAAACCAACTTAACAAAAGTGAGCAAGAGTATACGCTTTAAATGATGCCAGCAGCCAACTTAAAAAAACACACACTGGTGCTACACTTCGCACAACATTCATCTTGATAATGACCACATAATAAAATTGGTTCTAAAATGATTATAACAAAGGATAGCATGCTACTTGGTGCTACCTTCAATATGAAATTCATATAAAAAAAAATTTGGAGGATTTAATTAAACTAATATGCTGGTCGCATGAAATGTGACCTTTTGATTTACAAACAATAAAGTTAAAGTTGAATGATCATTGTTTCTTTAAAGAAAAACTAATAATATGATTGAAAAAATATTGAATATATGAATGTATGATGGGTACACTCTTTAGAAAGAAATATTAAAGTGATGAACAAGATATTTGCTACTCTTTATTTATTGTGTGAAATTGAATTCCAAAAATGGAATATATCATTGTTTATAAAGACAATTTGAGGCGAAGTGCACTGTACTACAATTAATTATTTTTTAAAAAAACCAACACTAAACTAGATACAACAGGTACTTGGACAACATACTCTTATTTTATTTAACAATTGTTCAAATGTCAAATTTTACTATACATATAAATAAATATTATTTAATTGTTTTTTTTTTTTATTCTAAAAATACTAATAATTGTTTTAAATTATTTAAATAAATAAATAAATAATACTAATAATAATAATAATAATAATACAAACTAAAAATAAAACAGATTGAACACATTTATATAAATATTAATATTTTAAATACTTGTCAAATAAATAGATCTGTTAATTTTTGAGTTGTTACTGTATTGTATTGTATTGTAATAAAATAAAAAACTGATTTTTATATCTGTGTATTAAAATATAATAATGATAATAGTGGTTTGGTTATTTTTTGTTTTATAATCGTTTATTATTTGTTTCTACAAATAAGTGACAGTTATTTTTATACTTTAAATTTAAAAAATGAATGATTAGCAAGATTAAAAGAGATAGATAGATAGTTTTTAAAACAAGTATATACTCCAAACTATTCAATATCAAAACAGTGAGTAGTTACTGGTTAATAGAAAGCTGTACATTGTAAATGAACTGTAATCAATCGTTGGATAAACAAAAAGTATCTATCTATCTTGCAAATGATTAGTAAGATGAAAATTTAGATCCCAGATATCCAATTTAAAAGATTTATTCCAACTATAAATAAATTCTAACAAATGATATTGAAGATACAAACAAATCCATCATTTAATAATAAATACATTTCTCTGGTTCATCATCGTTTAAAAACTATCTAAATGTATTGAATATACACAACTTTTAAACACATATTATTTATTATTTACCATTTAATTACTTAATGTCTAAAGTTATTGGTTTCCCTGATAGATCTAGGAACCCATTTAGGGATAAGACATGTCTATTAATACATTGTTTAGTTTAAGGTTGTTTACCTATCTAACACCAATTGCACTTACCTTTTTTTTTATATTTTTTTTGTTATTCTAATAGTGGTAGGTAATATTGGTGACTCTTCATCAAGACCATGATGGCCACTCTATAGAATCAAGAATCTATCATGTAATACATGTGGTCTAGTGGAGTTGGTATGTCAGAGTGACAAGTGTTGTAGTTGCTATCTTTTTACACTTTGCATCCTTCACCACTTTTATTTGGTATACTTGTCATGCCTATACAAACTTTGATGAAAATTAAAGTAACTAAATACTAATATTCTTTGAATCAATTATCCAAAACTAAAATGATTATTTAAAATTAATGATATTATTATTTTTGAAATTTTCGATCATTTCGCACGGAGACAAAGAAGTCTGTTTGTTTTTTTAAGAATAAGTTTGATTAAATATTAAACAAATATAGGGTGTTGGTTTTTATTAACAAATCTATAATATTATTATTCCACGATCGTTTGTATATATTTTATGAATCTAGTTCTATAGTCTTTGGGACTGACGGCAGAGATCTGTGTCTTGTCAAAGAGTACCGATTTGATTGCATGTTCACCACGCTTCTTCATGTCATAGGTGGTGAGTGTATCGATCAAACCGATGTAATAGATGGTACCCTCCTCGAATCGAAGTGACTCATCTTCTTCGTGCTCACTCATACTACTATCGTCACTCTGCTCAGAGTCTGCGTTGTGTAGCTCGTTCTCCACTGACATTGCACTGAATCGCACTTGATTAACAGAGTCTTGTCTCGAGAGTATCGGTGGCACAGCAGTCCTGCCGTTTCGAATTGGAATGACATGCATCGGTTTCATCGTACTCGAGAGAATACCGTTGCTATCCTTTTTAAAGAATGAAATATCCTTGGTGAGCAACTGCAGTTGTTTCTCTTTATCTGTAGTATTAGTGTTACTGGCTGAACTACCACTACCACTACCACCACCACTACTACCCAGATGTATTCCAACTAAAAGACTGTAGTCGCATATCGAATGATTGAGTAGCCACTCAGTGTCTACTTCAAGTTGTGCAACCAACAGCTTCTTGTAGGGACCAATGTACAGTTTACGCTTGAGATTCAAGTCTTTTAGAGTGTGGAGTGAGAGATCATCAAGCTCGTCGACATCAACGAATCTACCCACCGTACTACCCTTTAGATCATATCGTTCGTGCAACTCCACCGTTGGATTGCAATAGAATAGATTCTCCATGATAATGAATATAACATCTCGACTACTCGTTGTACTACTGGCATTACTAGTGTTACTACTATTGCTACTATCTAAATTTGTTGCACTACCACTATTACTGCCAGTACTTCCATTATCACCACATCCATTATTATTACTATTGCTATTATTGTTATTATTGTTATTTATATGTAATCTACCCTTTAGCCTATATAATCCATAGAATCTAGGCAGTAAATTATTTGAATACTTTTGGATGTGTTGATAATAAGAAGGTAGTATTTTTGAAAATGTCATAAATTCATTGCTTGGCAATGTCTTTAAGAAATAACGTCCATCGTTAGATTGGAAAAAGAAACTACCACTTCTACCAATTGTTTTAACTTGTTCGAAATCTAGTATCCCATTATTATTACTATTATTTGATTGCTGTTTATTATTATAGTATAAATAAAGATTAGATATTTAACTTTATCAATGAGTCCAATTGGTGTTTGTTGATAAGAATAACCTACCAGAAAATGATCGATTAAATAAAACTTTCTAATATTATCAAATATCTTTGGTGCATAACTTGTCAGTGTCCAATTCGATTGAATATCACTAGTAATAATGATTTAATAAATGAACATTAGAATATTCAATCCGTTTAAACATTAAAAAGTATATACAACATACTCTAAGAATTCATAAGTTGATTCCTTTTGATAATCTAAATCAGTGATTGGTTGATCATCTATTGAATTCTGAGAATCTAACATCTTTTTAAAACCTGTAGTGAGTAATGATATCCAAGTATCGGTCTCTCTATCTTTACTATCTTTTTTCTTTGATGCTGCAGGTGTCTTGTATATTGTTTCCTCAACTATAACATTATTAAATAAATAAAAACTATTGTTAGCTAATTACTTTACACTAATATTTTAATAAAAATAATAAACAACAATACATACTTAAAGCTTTTGAATATTTTAAAAATGAAAATGGTGATGATACTATTTTGATTGCACTTGATGTTATTGATGATTGTGTTGTTGTAGATGTTGTTGTTGTTGTTGTTGTTGTTGAACTATTATTATTATTATTATTGCAATTATTTATAAGTGGGGAGGGAGGTGATCCTAATACATTATTCTTATCACTTGTATTAGATGATGACGAAGATGAAACTGAAGAGGTTGACGATGTAAGTGAATTAGTCATATCGTGACTACTATTACTACTATTGCTTATGTTATTATTACTATTATTTAAAGAATTGGTTAAACTTAATTTCCTCTTTACTATTTCTATTGATTTACTGTTGAATATTTGAGTGGCTTGACACTTGCTGATAAACTCTGAGAATGTGGTTGGCTGATGGTTTAGAAATACTTCGATGTCTGGTGATTGTATAGTGGAAATAGGTGACTTTAGATACTGGTAGAATTTCGCTATGGTATCACCTCTGTCACCTTTATAATCCTGTGTAGTCATGTGAAGTTCGTTGTTTAGTACCATTGCAATGTCCTTACCACTCAGACATTCACCACCGGTTATTATATACATTCTATTATCAAGACTAATAGAATTACTACTACTACTACTACTACTACTACTATTAGACTCATTATTATTATTATTATTTGTTGATACAAGCTCTAATGACTGTCTTACAATCTCAACGATTACTTTGATAAGATCGTCGCAGTCAAGCCAGTAGCAACCACCGTCGTCAATTGAGTTACTGTTGACTACATTGCTAAGTTCTACTACTCGATCACTGTTGTTTGGTGGTCCGATAAACAACCACTGCATCAGTGCAGAGTAGAAGAGAAAGGTTGTTGTAATGCCTTCGAATATAGATTCAATAGACTTGCCATTGCTAGAGCATGTACTACTACTGTTTAATGATGATGAAGAAGAGAGCTGAGTTATCGACTCATCTTCCACACCCATGGGGAAAACGACTGCAACACTACGCACCGATGCTGACTTGCAGCAACGCGCAAGCACGTCAAGTTGGTCAAAGAGTTGGCGATACTCTGCCCACTCACAACACAATATAACGAAATCACCGGCATCCATAGTATTTACAATTGAATTCATTACACGTGACAACTCCTCTTGGTCGACCGTTGCACACATATTAGGTCCACTTCTAACCCAACATTTCGACATATTAATTGTTAGTGTATTTATATTATTATTATTATTGTTATCTTCATTATTATTATTATTGTTGTTGTTGTTATTATTATCTATATTATCAGGTGTTGTTGTTGATGTTGATGTTGATGTTGTTGTATGTACAATTAAAGATAGATAAGTTACAGAACATTCGAATTGAGCAAGTACACTTGTGAGTAGGCTGGCAATGAATGAACCCTCTTCACCTACAACAATGACTTTTCTCTCATTGAATAACCGTTTAGTGATTGCTTTGATAATTCCACCTGCACCACCGGATGATGGTGGAGATGCCCCATTCTTTCCAAACAACGGTGCATTTCTTATCTTTGTTTTAAATCTATTAAACTGTAACATACTACTACAACTACAACTACTGCTACTTCCTACAACTACTGCTACTTCCTACTCCTTTGCTTATTTATTGTAATAAAAAAAAGCTAAAACACTACTCTACTACTAAAAAATAAAATAAAATAAATAAATATAATAAAATAAAAATGAATAATTTAAAATTAATTAAATTAAATCTAACATGTCATATTCTCTCTACAATGATATTATTATTATAATTATTATTATTATTGTTGATAAGGGATCTACAAATTTTTTTTTACCAAAAAACAAAAAAATAAAATAAAATAAAAAAAATAAAAAGATAACAATGAGGATTACAACATGATTGTCGGACTAAAAAAAATAATAAAACTGATCTTTTTGTTTGTTTGGTATTGGCAAAAACACCTGGTTTTTTTGGGGGAATGATCTTTTTTTTTTTTGATGATAATACTGTTGTAAGAGTAATGACCCTCATAAAAACTAAATAGAGAGAGTTGTTTGAGGAGGTTTTAGAGTAGCAAGTAATCACATTGTTAATCTTTCAATCTAGATTTTATAAAGAAATGTTTTACTTATTTATTTATTTTTATAAAAATAGATCAATCCAAACCATAGCTACTAGAGAGATAGCTATTCAATTCTTTAAGATTTATGGTTAAGTCTGGATTGAAACTTTTAGAACTGATATTATTTATGTAATTATTATTGTTATTATTGTTATTATTATTATTATTATTATTATTATTATTATTATTATTATATATTATTATTGTTGTTATTGTTATTGATAATGTTATTTAGATAAAGATGATAAAACAACGGGAGTGGATATTACTATTCTTCAATGATCTTTACGGAATACAGAGAGAACACATTTCTTATTAACAAGATGATCCATATCCTTACGACTCAGCCAGAACGAAATTGTACTTTTCTCTTGATTATATTCAATGACCGATAGGATTTGTATGATTTCGTTGTTTGGTAATTGAACGACTTGATGACGAAACTTTTCATCCATTTCAGTACTTAATAGATGAAATCTCTTCATTCGTTGACTTTGTGAAATCGATGGATATTCAATGACAACCATCATTGAAGGAGATCCAGTATGGCCTCCACCAAAGTCTGTAAATGTCACTGGTATTGACCAACGTTGAATTGTCGATGCCAATGGTAGCTTTGAATTGATACGTAAACCACAATACTCCAACCAAAGTGCTGCTTGATTTGTAAACTCTAACTGAAGTGCATATAATGAGAATTGTTTGACTTTTTCCGTTGTATTGGTGATAGGTATTATACGTTTGGGATGAAGTGAATCTGATGAGGAATTGATTTGACCGCTGGCTATTTGTTCAATGATAGCTTGTAACCAATGACGTGGATATCCAATATCAATCAATCTTTTAATGAGACAAAAGAATACTGATATGTTGTTGGGCGCATTTACCAGACATAATTGTCGTACTGAATTTGGAGCTGGTAAGGCAATCGAAATAAACAATCTGGTGAGCCACATTGTTAATTGATCACGATTCAAGAGGTTGTCGAGTGAGTTGGAAACTTGACGATAACCATAATGTTGGTAGGCTGCCCAATGATCTTTTCCTAAACGATGCTCAATGGCCACATGACTAGCAAGCAACGATTTTGAAGGTATTAAAAGGTAGGTGTTGAGAACTTCATCCAGTGATTTAAACAATCCAGTATTGAGAAGACAATTAAAAGCAACGGAACAATGCTTTTCATGTTTGAGTGACAATACTATATTGCTGAAGATTGATAGGTATCCAGTGTAATCCGGTACATTACTCAAGTAGATAGTATCGAATTCACTTGGATACCCACGAGCGATACGTTGATTCTTATTGAGTGCTATTTCATCCAATGCCAAATGTAGATCACCTGTAATCGGTTCGATTGTCAATGCATTCTGTTTGGACAATCCAACCAAACCTTGAGAAGCTTGATAGAATACATGAATAAAGTAATCAAACATACGTGGCTTGTCTTGTGATGGTTCACCAACCCATTTCATTCCATAGAATCTCCCTACAGTCGATATTGGATCAAAGTTATACGATCCAGTATCACGCCAAAACTCGTCGGTCATTGTAATGTTTGTCTTCCATGTCTCGGTGATACCTTGAACCACTGAACGGACTGATATTGGTGTATTAGTAATACTATTATATATGCTTTCGAGTTGCTCTTGATATTGATCACCATCATAGATCAGTGGAGGTAGGATTAATTTTGCAGTATATAACAAACTGGCTTCCTTTGGTATTGGTAGTTCGGTTGCACTTCCCATCAATAGATCCAATATACTACCATCTTTGACCATTTCCAAATAATTCTCTTTCTGTTGATCTGATAAACCCATTTCTGATATGTTTGCAGGATCACTGAGTTCACGCAGCATCCTATTCCTCTCCTCTTTGCGTTTATTCATTGGATTGTCATCGCCTTCCGCCATCTCAGCATCTATGGAATTTTCTTTTGATGCCACTTGATGAGCCTCTATGATTTCCTTTGGTGTGATCCATGATTCACCTTTACGCCAATATCCTAATACCTTTACCAATTTGGTCCATTGTTGATCATCGACAACCAACCATGATGGTAATGTTTTCGTGTTGCCTTGTTCAATAAGTCGATCGATTCTCGTCATCAATAGATCGAATAAAGTTGGTGGCATCACTACACCACAATAGATATAGAAAAGTAGTGCTGCTAGATTACCATATCTATCTTTATCAGTGGTGTAGATTGACTCCAATGATTCAGCTTGACCAAGATCTTCAAGTATTGAAAGTATCAATACATCTCTTGCTAAACATGTTGGCAGGATATCATTGATTACAATGTGTAGCTTCACATCGTCACGATCTCTGATATCATCAAGTTGACGTCGAGCATCTGCCAATGTGTAGATTACATGACGAGCATCACTTACACCACCAAAAAAGAATGACAACTTTGGATGTTGTTTAAATAGTAATCTTGCACTCTCATCCTCTCCATATCTAGGTCTGGAACCATCCTTTTCGGTAAATTCAACAGGCTCTGACTCATCCCAGTATCCTCGCAATGCACTGGTGGCAGTATCGTGTCCAGTTGCAAAGTACTCTCTCGCCGTGTTCTTTCTTGCCGGCGATACACGTGGAATCTGATGAATTAGGAACCGATCTGTTTCCACAGTTGACTCTTCAATCGACACCAATCTGTTTCTAATTGCTTTGATATCGTTATCGTCATCATAGATCGATGGTAGATTCGATAGATATTCTGTTAATCTCGTCTTGCTACCAACGACAGCACAAAGATAAAGTGATCTTGCAATTCTAATGACATTCTTCTTTCTAATCTGTTTTGGATCACTCGACTCTGTGTTATCGATGATGTTGATTGCACGCTTTGATTGTTCAATACACTTTTCATATTGTCCAAGTTCAAAGTAACATGCTGCAATATTCGAAGGGAATGCAGGTTCATTCACATCTTTTAAACTACCCTCTGAGTAGACTTGAATTGCATCTTCAAACTTTCTCTCTGCAAACCATTTATTACCCAATAATTTCAAATCTTCTGCTGATGATGTTGTTGTTTCTTGCATAACTATTATTCTTGATATCTTGATATTAATTTACAAAAAAAAACAAATTACTTTGTTCAAATATAGTTATTATATAATTTAATAATATCAAAAATGAAAAAATACACATATTACATACTATGAAATAACTATTATTAGAACTCAATATATTTATTATTTTTTTTGTTCAAAAAATATTACCACTGATCAGCTATAGTTTGTCATACCCATTCATCATTCGTTTTCATATCACAAAAATTTTTATTAGATGAACGATACAAGTGATGTGGTTAACAAAAAAACAAAATTTGTTATGTTAATGTTCAGAAGCTATACTATATTAATGTCTATTGGGGTGGGTAATTTAATTAAATCTTTTACAGTATATTTTTGAGAAGTAATGAATTGATATAATCTCTGTATATACAATATACAAAAAATCTACTTCATTAATAGATAATAATACCGGAATGGAATGTTGCTAAATTAGAAAATAAAAAAAAATACTCTTTGAAATTAAATATTTCAGTCAACACTGCAGTGTTACATTTTTTTATTTTTTTTATAAAGGTTTTCTTTTAATTTTAGAATATTGACCAACGTTGAATTGTCGATGCCAATGGTAGATTTGAATTGATACGTAAACCACAATACTCCAACCAAAGTGCTGCTTGATTTGTAAACTCTAACTGAAGTTCATATAATGAGAATTGTTTGACTTTTTCAGTTGTACTAGTTAGAGATATTACACTTTTGGGATCAAGTGAATTTGATAAGGAATTGATTTGACCTCTGGCTATTTGTTCAATGATGGTTTGTAACCAATCCAATATCAATAAATCTTTTAATGAGACAAAAGAATATGGAGTTAAGTGCATATACCATAAATTGTAATGGAGAATTTGGAGCTGGTAAGGCAATCGAAATAAACAATCTGGTGAGCCTGGCCGTTAATTGATCACGATTCAATAGGTTGTCGAGTGAGTTGGAAACTTGACGATAACAAAATATAGGTAGTCTTCCCAGTGATCTTTTCTAAAATGATGACTTTCTCTATATTATTTCTATTAAAAACATTATTTAATTTATAAAATATTTGTTGGAGTTCAAAATAAATAAACCAAACAAAAATAACTAACAAATTTCATTATGGAAAAACACAAACAAAACGCCAAACTTTTTATCTCAGACAGTTAACGTTTAAGAAAAAATAAACAAATGTATAAAAAAAAATTTTTGGAGAAATTAATAAAAACATCATCATTCTTTTTTTAACAATCTCTTGCAATGAATGCTCGAGGTCTGTTAATTTGTAGCTACACTACACATTATCTAGTGAGTTGAGAAATCTAGATTATAAATTTAAAAAAAAATTTTTAAAGATAATTTTAATTTGTTAATGATATTTAAACAAGCATTTTTTGATAAATAAAAAAATATCAACTTACTCCTTTTGATAGATAAAAAGATACATAATGGATATAAAACGTGAAAACAAAGATAAGACATTCTTATTGTTCAATCATGTGATGAACTTAATTGAAAAACAAAATGGAGAGGATTGTGATATCATCAGCAATAAAACTGACCTTGGAACAACCGATGGATGCTCAAGCCAACAATCAAAGTAAGTAAATTTATTTTATAAAATCGTCTATTAGATTTATTTATACTATTTATTTCAAGTCCAAAATGAAGAAATAGATTATGTTGGTGTACATTATCTTCAACCAAACGATCGTAAACCAAATAATCAAGTCGTTCCTGATCATAATATTCCTAGAGAGCAACAAAACATTTAGTTATTATTACAATAAATTAGAATGTTATATTGTTTTTTTTTTTTTTTAATATCTGAAGAAACTTTAATTGTTTTTCTTATATTTATTACTAAATATTAATTTTATCTTGCCTAAACAATGATTGATTTCAAATAGAAACAGAAAAATAAATATTATTTTATTTAATTTTTTAGACCCAAGATTTGACAAAAACTGGAAGTTATTTCCGGGAAATACTATGCTTTCAAGATATTTATTATTTTTTTTATGTAATAATTAATTAAATTGTTAATTATTTATCTGTCTAGAAACGAATAACTAAAAAAAATTCTAAAAACAAACGTTTAAAAAAATTTTGGTGAACAAAGAATGAAGTGTTATAATTCGTTGAAAAAAAAAATTGTGTGAACTTAGAAATTAAATTATTTTAAAATTAAATTAAATGGGATTCAGGTTTTAAAATGTTAAGGCCAAATACCATTTTTTTTTCATTTTTCTCAACTTTAGAAGCCCGAAATCCGACCGATATGAAAAATTATTAAAAAATCAATGATTTGATTGTACTTTTTTTTATCTATAAAATGTAATTATAATTTATTTTTAACTTTATTATCAATTCAAATATCCAAATGAATAACCAAGAAAGAAAATCATTTTTGCGATGAATGTTTTTTTTGTAACTGTTTTTATTTGAAGGGGAAATCTAGATTTCACCATTTATGGATATGTAATTAATAATATTTTATTTTAATTTTTTTCTGACCATTGATCAAATTAAATTTTTTTTTAATAACATTTGTTAATAAATATTGATGAAACTTTTTGTTAATAAATCAATAAATAAATATCAATTTACCACTATAAATAACTATAAACAAATACACAATGAATGTAAATGAAGATAACGCTTTATTATTGTTCAGGCAAGGCATGAACTTGTTTAGAAAACAAAATCCAAATGAATGCAAACAAATAAGCAATATATCTCTTACCTTGCATCTACCGATGGATGGCCAAGCCAACCGTATGTATATATATATATATATATGTTTCTAAATAGTCACTTTATTTACACTATTACCAAGATAACGAAGAAGAAGAAGCAGAAATAGATTATGTTGGTTTACATTATCTCTTTCAAGTGAACGAAAGACAAAATCATCAAGTGGTTCCCGATGCTCATAATGCTATGGAACAAAATGATTAATAATGCAATAAAGTGATCATTAATTTGAGAAAAATTTTTTAAATATATTGGTTTTCTCAATTTTTTTTTAAAAGCATTGAATTTTTTTAAACGATACTTTTTAGATTGTTAATACAGAACAATCACCAAATTTTCTCCAAATTACTCAAAGATAAGAAAGTAAAATAACAAAAAGTAATGAAGTTGTATTTTATTTTAATTGTTTAGATTCGATAGTTCCTCATCTAACTCTTTAAGATTTTGGATTACTACTGGGTACAATAACTCTACCAATATTGTTACCAAAGTGGAGAAATTTGGGCCATCGTTACTCAAGTTATCAACACTGGCATTAGTTGTGTTACTGTCGGCATTTGTATCGGGGGTTGAAGCAAGCTCAGCCACAACACCTTTACTTTGGTTTCCATTTTGGGTTTGGTGATTACGTTTGCTGGAAGTAAATTTGGTTTCCATTGGTTTTTTCACCAAATAAATTTGTTTCTCGGCATCATAATGAAAGAGACTCCATAAATCGATAGTTTTATCGATTTTCGATAATATTTCGAGAATGGGATTCCAACAGGCAGAGACCGAATAGTCATATATCGACTTGGCAAAAGTATCGTCTTGTATCTGACTTTTCATCTTTAGGTGCGCGCTAAGAGATATGGGCAGTCCATATGCAATTGAGGTATCGTAGACAAGCGAAGTAGGAATTTGGCACTGAAGTGACAGCAACTTGTAGTTATTTCCATCTGGGAAATACTTTCCTTTCGTTATATCTTCATGAAGAAAATTATATCCCTCCCTGGTCTTGTCGTAGTAGTACCACGCTCTAGATTTGTTTTCAAACTCGATCAGCAACTTGGTGTATAGATGGAAAGGCAGTTCTAGGCTTCCGAGGTGTCCAATCTTGATCCCCTCAAATTGGGATTTTATACAGTCCACGATAATGTTGAACGATTTTATTGCGTCATTTTGCAACACTTGCAGATAGTAGTAGATTTGGTCAGACACGGAAAAAAAAGCTCGATTGGAAGAGTTGGCCCATATGTCGATTAAAACAACTTTTCCTTTTGGACTTTCGGTTCCATCGGCAAAGATATAGCTTCCGGTTTCTTCCTTCTTTGTCCAATTGTGAAAGATAATCTTGGTATCATCTACTTTCATTGGAACAGGAATACCTTCGGAATTTAATTGAATAAGTGAATGAGGTACGACATTCGATACTGCTAAACCCAGCGATGTAGTTCCAAATTTGAAGATGTCCGATGGCAATTGGAAGCTACCTTTGACGTTCGTCATAAAACTCTCCAATCCTTTTGCATTCTCTTTCTGGAAATCATGGGGAAGCATGGCAAATAAAAGTGCAACCAGAACACCTCTTTTAGCATTGCCCATTTCGAAAATAATTTGAGCAATTTGCTTTCGTGCCTCAGAAGAGAGGTCATCTGTCCACAACTTTACTAGCCTCTCAAAGTTCTTGGCATACACCGTCCACTTCTTGTCACTTTTCAATAAATCGGGTAATATATTAAAACCATCTCTCCTTAAAATTGAATCGAATATTTTAATAATATTGTCACACATTTTATTTATCTATTATCAATTTTAATATAATTAAATAAAATGAATATATAATTTAAGAAATAGATGTTTGTTTTAATTTAACAAAATAATAATCGAGAAATTCCATTAAACCTGAAAACCATCATCAATAAATTTTTCACTTATTATTATCTTTTCTAAAAAAAAAATTAAATCTCCTGTTTTTAACAAAAATGGCAATTTTCATCTGGTAGTGTGGAATGATTGTTTTTTGAGCGAATAAAATTCTACAAGTGTTTTTTTTTGAAAAATTTATAAGCCCTGTCATAAAATACCCTTATGTTTTAAAAAAAAAAAAATAAACCCAACAGACAAAAAAATGAAAAAATTAGAGGTAAAATGGAAAAACCCAAGTGCAACATTTTTTTCATTTTTTAGGGGATAAATGAAAGTACACAATTTAATAACCGATATATGATATGCCTGATGATAGCTGTATCAGTGTAGTCTTATTAATTTAGTTGAGTACATTTGATATTTACTAATTTTAAGGACCAGTTCCATTTTGTTGTTTCATAAAAAAAATTTAACTAGGGATAAAATGAAATAACTGCAAAACACATCATTTTTGCGATAAATGATGAATTATTATTATCTACCCAATAAGAATTAACAAACTTAAAAATGTAGTTCACCAGATATTCTCTTGTTCTTATTGCTACTCCCTCAGTTGATTATATTAAATCATCATAAAACAACAACCATATTGCAGATCAGTTTTTGAAGCAGAAGAGAAACAACTCATCGGTTTTGCTCCTCTTTCAAAAATGTTTTCAAACTCAATAAAATAATAATAGTATGATCAATTTGTTGTTATGATCAATTGTTTGTTATTATGTTAATTTTTTAATTTATTTAAAGTTTTATATATATATTAATGTCTAATTTGAGTGTGTAATTTTCTTGAATCTTCAACCTTTTGTGATGCAATGAATTGCTTACGTTTGTATCTGCTCATTGGATCGACAGTTCCTCTCTCGAGTTCGCTGTGATCGTTGTCGACCATCGATTCTTCGTTGAACGATGCGTCGTCTTCGAGATCACGTATAGAGTTGCAAAGGAGATCGGCGGTTTCTTGCTCACGATCGATTGGCTTCTCGAGGTCGTAGAGGAACTTGCCTACGAGACCAAAGTTGTATGGATCCGATTGACGGTTCGGAATGTTCGATGCCATCAAATCTCTGAGAGTCTCACGCTTCTCCTTCAGTGTGTTGGGTGTAACCAGCTTCTTACCGGTGACACGTGCCAATTCGTCGGGATTGATAAAGTCGGGCAACTTCTTCTGAATTACATTGAAAATGTTTCGCCACGAACGACGACCATAAGTTCTAAAGTCGACACCGTGCAATCCCAATGACTCTAAAATAATATCTTGCTTCTCACCGGACAACGACATATCTGTCATTCCAGTCTTGAAGAATCTAATCTTTGTACTTCTAAACTTTAAATCCAAACCACTCGGTAATGTTCTATCCTGTTATCATTCAAAAACAACAAATAGTTAGTTATCAGGAAAACAACAACAACAACAACAGCAACAGCAACAACAATTCTATTCTCTTACTAAATATCTATTAATTGTAATTGCGTTTCTCTCGGCATCTCTTGATGCACGTTGGAGTGCGACACCGGCTGTCTCACCCTTACCATATCCAAGTCCACCGGTTCCAGCACCATTTCCAATGAATACCAGAGTAGAGAATGAATTGATACGTCCACCTTTGGTTACTTTAACGTGACGACCTACATCGACGATAAAGTGTTCGTTCATTTCGTTCTCCTCTTCGTCCATGTTTGGCTCCATCGATTCACCGTCACCAAGCTCCATCTCACCGTTCTCATCGACCTGTTCGTCGTCGTCGATGATGTCGTCCTCGACATCGACAGTCTTGTTGTGTTGTGCATCCAACATCTGTTTGGTAGTACGAATTCTACCGACATCCTTTGGTGAGAATGGCGATTTGAATGGCTTACGATGTGGATCACGCACGTAGTGACCACTGTAAGCGTTTGGTTGATATTGCTCGTCCAGTGCATTCGATACGTGGATTGTCTGTCTGATATCGTCTGCTTCCTCTGCGGACATTGGTTTCTTGCTGCTCTTTGAGTATGACATCAAACCATTGCTATTTCCTGTTGTTGCTGCCAACTGTACCAATCGCACACAGTTGCTATTTACACTTCTTGTCAACATCATCATCACTATTCTCTTTGCGATCGCTATAATCAGTGACAATATTGTCTAAAATCACTGAACTATATTATATAAAAATACAAAGAAAAATAACAATAATAATATCAAAAAAAAAATGATCAAAAAACTATGAAAAAATAATATGATCAAATTAAGTCGACAAAATTTTTATTTTTTTGAATTTTTTTATTTTTTTGAAATCAACCCTTTTTTTTTTGGAACTGATTGTGTTTATCCAAAATTTTTACAATCAATTTGAAGTTCGTTATCACCAACATCATTTTTATCATAATTATTTATATGTTTTTATCTTTATAACTAGATTTAGTTATAATTATGTTGGATAAACAAAATAAAAGTGATGTTAAATTATAAAGAATAGTTTAGTAATTATTAATATTATTATTTAAAGTGGTGAACGTGCGAACATGATGAATTATTGCAAACGAAAAGAAAATCATGATTCGACAAATAGATATATACTTGAAAATATCACTTAAAAAAAAAAGAGTAGAAAGTTAACCCTAAGAGTCAAATTCATATAAAATCATTATTTGATTAATTATCTACAAAATGCTATGCATTTGTCGGCGGTTAAAAAAATAGTAAGTTTTTGTTTATTGTTTTGTATTTTGTTTCTCTATAAACAAAGAATATTGCATTAGAAAATACTTTTCAATTTTCACATCGTTTGCACTTTGCCTGTGGGTACGTGTCTCTATCATGAATCACAGGTTAGTAAACAAATTGGAAATTTCCAGTGCGGTGTGGATTTTGTAGAGAAAAAGAGCAGTAATCTAAAGATGCAAACGAAAAACGAATTTTTGAATGTGTATTCATAGTTGTCAATCACATGTGACATCATTCTGTCTATCTTTTTCACTGTGATCACTTTTCAAACAAAAAAAACGAATGTTTGCATTTGCCAAATTTTGTAGCTACAAAATTTGAAAAAATCTGATATTGCAAAATATCTTTAAAGATTTTTTATCTCTAAAATTGGTACGAAACAGAAAATTTCACTCCATTTTCTGTTTTGCTCTTTAATTACTGGGACTTATTTAAATAAGATTGATTTCAATTGAAATCACTACAAATTCTGAATAAAAAAAACAATCAAGATTTTGTTCGATTAGATTATTCTTTCTGATATTTTTTTCGCTGCGAATTCCCAAAACTTCATATCACTGCTCCCCTCCCTTCACACACCCACTTTAATCTGAAATACATATCATTTTTAGATATCTTCCAAAGGGTTCTACAAATCTTTACTGTCAAGGATTGTTATCCATTATAAATAGAAAAAATGTTATTGTTTGTTCATTATAAAAAATAACAAAAGATAAATAAATAAATATAAATAATAAAAACAATGAATAAATCAATAATTGTTGTATTTTGTTTGGTATTGTTATCAATCAATGCCGTAGTTTCTAGAGATATAGTATATGATTCAACCATAACTGGTTGTTTACTTGACCTTAATGTTGATTCATGTAAGAGAACCAATCCAAACTTTGTGTATGTTTTTTAATTAATGAAATAAATAACAAGATTAAAATTATATTTATTAATATTTGTTTATTAGTGTTTGTCCATCGATTGCTGAATGTATAGGAAAATTCCAAACCATGCCAACTTCTGAAGCATATATTGTTGAAATTCCAGCCGGAAACTATGGACCACAATACTGTGCTGGTGATTTCCAAGATTTCAATATTACTGGTGAGATTATATTCACCTCTGCTACACCAGATGAATATGCCAGTTTCAATTGTGGAAATGTAAATACATTCATTTATAATAATATTATAACTTTAAATTCTCATATATCTTTATAAAATTATAGAATCCATTCATTTCAATCCAGATTGATTACTCATTGACTGGATCTTTCAAATTTGTCTTTGACAATTTAAATTTGACTGGTTACAATGATTTCTTTGGTGGTTGTATCAGTATCAGATCTTCACAAACACTGCAGGACGCCTCTGTTTATTTGTACAATGTAACAACAGGTCCAGCTGGATGTCGTTCTTTGGCAGATGGTGGATTGCTCTACACTACATTCCCAACTGTTTTCATTGAGAACTCGACTATCTCCAACTGTGTCGCAGGTTCCGGTGGTGTCGTCTCTGCAGACAATGCCAATCTCTACATCTACAGCTCCAACTTTACAAACAACAACGCCACTGGATATTTCGGTGGTGTCGCATCTGCTTTGCAAGTGACAACACTCAACTCCAACTACTATTCGAATGGCGCTATCTCTGGTGGTGCGCTCTACGGCATTAACACCGCCTACATTCAGAACTGCTCATTCACCAAGAACACTGCTGAACTCTCTGGTATGGGTGGTGCTGTCTACGCATCGCAAACCACCGTTGTATTTAGATCAAATTTCACCTCGAACAGTGCTGGTTTAGCAGGTGCACTCTACACTCAGAAGCTGAGTGTATTCTATTCGAATTTCTTTGGAAATCAAGCATTTGGTTCGCTTTCATCGGGTGATGCCGGTGCGGTCTACGCTACCGACGACGTCTTCATTGAAAGTTGTCACTTTGACAGTAACTTTGCCAATAGCAACGGTGGTGCTCTCAATGTTTTGACTAGCAGTTTGAGTGTACACAACTCATCCTTCACCTTCAATACTTGCGGACAATCCGGTGGTGCTGTCTACATCAGCAATCGTGCTGCCGCTTCAAACTTGAAGCTTGTCGATAATGTTTTCTTGTATAACCATGCTGATTTACAAGGAGGTGCAATTGTAAGTTAAACAACAACAACAATAATATTACAGGTAACAAATTGTATTTCGTCTTTATTAATATTATATTTTATTATTTTTATATTATTTTTTTAGGCAAGCATTCCATCATATTCAAGCTCAATCAACTTTGATTTGACATATTCAAAGTTTACTGGTAATGCTGCTCAATTGGCTGGTGGTTTCTACTTCCCATACCCACCAAACACTATTGTTGGTGGTGTTTTCTTCCAATCCAAGAGTACCCAGTAAGTTTTATTTAAATTATACAGAAAATTTTAATAACTAATCTTTTTTTTATTAATTACAAATTACAGACCAGGATCGATGACATTTGCAGTAAACTCAATAAAATACATCAATGTTGCAAATATTACAAATGATCTACCATATTACAATATCCCTACTTTTGATGAAGTAGGTTTCTCATATGTAAGTTAACAATATTAATAATTTAAAAGAATCAAGTTAATATTTATTAATTAAATTTTTTCTAATAATAATAATAGTGGAAAGGATATAATATCAATGGTAAATGTGTAAATGGTATTGCAAATATCGATGAAAATGGAAATTTGATAAAGTGTGTTTGCTTCCCATCATTCACTGGTCCAAGTTGCGAAAACTAAGACTACAATTGTTCAATAATAATAATATCATATAATATTTAAAATTTATTTAATAAATAAAATAAATCACAAAAAAAAACAATAATAATTAAAAATATATAAATACTTTAATTTTGTTCTCTTACTGTTTTTTAATGATCATTTTAATGCTACAACATATACATTCCAAGCCGGTGTTTGGGGTATTGATTGAACCTCAACATATTTATCTGGTTCTGAACTTTGATTGGTTGGTTGTTTTTGTTGAGAAATATTGATGTGGTGTTTCATTTGCTTCAATCTCTTCTTTTCCAAATATTTTCTTTTATTGTCGTCCACTTCCTCGTCATCGTCGCCGTCGTCATCAGTTGATTCGTTATTCTCTTTAGTATCGTTGTTTTGTTTTGATAACGGATGCGAATCATTGTTGCAGTCTTTTACAAATGCACTTCTCTCATTTCTCCACCAAACTCTAACCTCTGTGAATCCTGCTTCTAAAAGCATGTCTCTCCACTCTGGAATAGTCCAGAGTCTAAAGTCGTAGGTGAATGCTCTTGGCAGACTGGATTCATCTGGGAATTCAAAGGAAATACTACATTTAATACTGTTTTTCATGGCATCGAAACTATCGTGTCTCCAAATATATCGGAACTTTGAAAACTCTCTGAATTGCACGGTATTCATAGTTGACTCATATCCTCCAAACAAATCACACATCAATAGTCCATCATCAACGAGAGTGTCGTAGGCAATCTTAAAGTACTGCAATACCTCTTTACGCCTATGAAACAAACAGACACTGTAGTTGAACGATGCTATTAAATCTACTTTTCGGGCGGTGTTGATTTTGACATCCATAACATTGGCTTGTATCAGTTGGACACGATCGGCCGCTGCACCTGCTGCCTCTACGTGGCGGGCACGTCCCCAATCGAGGGTCTCACTATCCAAATCCACACAGATCGATTGTCTCTCTGGATCAGACTTGGCCCATTCAGTTCCGAGAATAGATGTTCCAGAGAAGTCTTCTTTGAATATCAGTGCCTTCCTATGACGCAGCTGATGGAACAATAAACTACAAAAGGCGACATCCGATTTTGGACTCTGAACAGCCTCTTCATATAGTAAATGACGATCCGATAGATTGGCAATATCTATAGCTTGGTCTGGTCTATCACCAACACCACTATTTATAAAGAATTTACTTTTTTCTTGATTATTCGATGACTCATTGCTAGCAATCTTTTGTGGTGATTTGTTGTTATTTTCTTTATTTTTAGTATTAATTTTCTTTTTAGTCATGGTATTATTACTTTATTAATATTATTATTATTTTTTTTTGATGATGGTAATGAGTTTCACTTCACACCTAATCAATAACAGTCATGTGATCACACCACAAACTTCACACACCATGCCCCATCTTTGTTTGTCAATAAAAAAAAATCTGATCATAAATTAAATTTTTAATCTCTGAGAAAAAAACTGTCCAACTATTTTTTAAAAAAATAAAGAAATACAGTGAAAAAAGAGATATAAAAAAAGTAAGTAATTTTTAACTTAAATTTTAAATTATAGCTATTAATAATAAAATATCTTGATAAAATGCTATGTGATATTTTTATTTAGTATTTATTTATTTATTTTTTGATTATTTTATTTTATTTATATTAACATTTTTTATTTTTTATTTTTGTATTTTTGTTCTAAATGCCCATCACAAACAATTGAATTGAAGGTTTCAAGGAAGATTGATGGGTTTAATTATGGAGTTCGTTTTTTTCATTTTTTTTAATTTTTTACTACTTTTTTAAAAAATTGATTTATTTAATTAAAAAAGGTGGTGAGTTCACATCTTCAAACCACATTGCAACAACAACGTATTTATCACTATAAGTAAGTTGACAAATTTATCTCTCTCATTATTTTCTTCACTTTTTAATTAAACTCTATCAATATCAATATTTTTAACATTATTATTTAATTTATTTTTCGCAATATTATTTTTTTTTTTTTTTAAACAAAAATTAATCACCATTGTATGTTGTCTTTATTTTTAAAAAGAAAACAAACAACTAATTTAATCAATAATCTAATCAATCAACCAATCAATTATCAATCATAATCATCCTATAATATTATTTTAAATATTAATTAATAAACATTTATTTTATTTTTAAATAGTTTGATTGAACATCATTATAATTGTATAAAGTAATAAAATGTCAGACACAGAACGTATGTATTATACAATATTAATACTATTTGATTGGTGTTATAAATATTAACATGATATATGATTATCAATTCAACTTTGTTTTTTTTTTTTACATTACATTACATTACAGAAACAACAACTCAAGACGTAGAAAAGGTAGTCGAAGAATTCGGAGAGAGCGTCAAGGAAGACATTGCTAGCTTGGAAAAGAAAGCAGAGGAAGTCATCGATACTGCCACCTCAAAGGTAACTGCTAGCGTCGAGAAGGTATCTGAGAAGGTCCAAGAGATTAAGAAGGACATTAAAGAGGATATCAAAGGATGTTGTCCATACTCTGCCTCTGGTGAATATTCAATTTGTCACCAAGCCGGTAAGATTTGCAGCGCATTAAAGAAGTTCCCATGTAACGATTGTTGTATGTATCAATCAATCAATCAATCAACTATCTATCTATCTATCATTTCATTTAATATTCTAACACATTCACTCTCTAAACAAACAATTACAATCACAAACAAACAAAATAAACAGGCAATAAAGTATTACTCTGGGATGACCTCATCCAAACAGGACTCTTGTTTGGTATCATCAATTTAGTATTCTTTTTGACATGCTGTGGAAAATACAGTGTACTCTCTCTCGTTGGTTATGCCTCAATGGTTGCCACCATCTCCACCATGCTCTTTAATATTACCTCGCATGTCTTGAACAAATATGTAAACACCATCTCCATTGACAACCCAATCACGTATGTATTTAATCAACAGTTAGCTTAATCAACAATAACACAACAACCTATTAACAAACTATTAACAATAATAATTATAATATTAAAGCGAAAAGTTAAAGACTCTTAGCTTCCATGTAGATGATGCTGTCATCGAAAAATATGTTAGAGCAACTGGTGAACTCATCAATGCCATCCTCAGCGTCGCAAAGGATGTCTTGAGCTGCAAGAGCTTGTACCTTACTGGTCAATTTGCTTTGTTCTTCTACGTTGTTGCCAAGATTGGTAAATGTCTCTCTGGTAATGCCATTCTTTACATTGGTATGTAGAATTATTATGATCAATAACAATGATTTACTTACTTACTTACTTACTAACAACGATTTGTTGTCTCGATTAAAATTTTATTAGTTTTCCTCATTTCATTCATTGTACCAAGATTATACTTGGAGAAGAAGCAATTCATTGATGAGCAAGTCGGAAAGATCAGAGTCATTGCCAATGACCTCATCAACAAGGTTCACGCATACATCCCAATGCAACAATCAGGATCGTCGTCATCATCAAAGAAATCTAATTAAACAATTAGTAGTAGTTATTATTTTTATTGCTTAAACACCCCTCTTCCATTCTACTCATATGACCCATCCAATGATTAATTTCCATTTTTAGGTTTTAAGAAAAAAAAAAAAAAATTATAATAAAATATTAAATGTAAATATCGGATTAAAATGAGTTTCCAAACTTTTTTGCTTTATACTTTTAACCATTTTCTTCATTAATACTCCAACTTAATTAATTAATTTGGTGGATTAAAAAGGAGGTTCGTTTTTTTTTTTTTTTTCTCATTACACAAACCGTTTTTACTTTTTTTTTTTTTTTTTTTTCATAAAATAATATTTGCTTTTTTCGTTGTTTTTCTATTAATTAATTGGTTGGTCGTTGTAACAACTGGAATGTTACACACTCGAATTTATATTAATTTGGAAATACCTGACAACAAAAAAGTAGCTTTTAAAAAATAAATCAATTCAAAGACTTTTGAAAGTCTTGATTTAGATTTCAAGATCTGATTAGAGTTTTGATACAATAGTATGTCTAGCCAGTCGTATGTATCAACAGAACTGTTGTAGATTTTTGTTTTTCTAATAAGAACACGGCATTAAATTAAAATAAATTTAAAAAAATATAAAATAAATTTTATAAAAAACAATGTTGTCACCATATGGGTACAATGCCTAACCAAAAGACCTTGATTTTGATTAGAGTAAAATAGTTCTTAGTTGTACTATCATCGTCGTTTAGTTTTTTTCGTCATCAAACTACGAAATTATCATTGAAAAAACCCTCACTAAAGAAATAATAAATCTTTATTACAAGCTTTTGTTATTTATTTATAAAGCTTTTTTTTTTATTTTTTTTTATTTTTTCAAAATTATTTTTTATTTTTTGTTTTTTTTTTGTGTGAAATTGAAAAACAAACACCCACTCTCACACACATCAAAACACAACAATTTCTTTTTATTTATAAAAATTTTTAGTTCAGACCATAAAAAGAGAAGATTTTCTTTTTGTTTGTTGTTCTTTGCTTTATTTATTTATTTTTATTTATTTCTTTTTTTTTTTTTCAAAGACAGTCACATCATCATCATAATCATCATCATTTAGAATATATTATATTTAGATATAATTAATTTACTTTTATTAAAAATAATAATAATAATATCTAATTTAATTTAGATATATATTTTTATTTATTTTGTACAATTTTATTTATTCTTAATGATATCTCTTATTTATTATTCACTTATAATCTATTCTTTCTTCTAAATCGATTTTTTTTTTCTTTTCTTTTTTTTCACTTTCTTTTTTTTTTTTTATATTTTTTCCCTCTATATTTATATATTACATTAGTTTTTCTTTATCTTTTTTTTTTTCTCTACGATTATAATTGTTTTTTACCTACGAATAGTTTTACTTCAATTAAACAATAGCACCAACTTCACACTTTGTTAGCAAAAAAAAAAAAAACTATTATACAATAACGATTTTAATAATACAATTATATTTATATATTTCTATAGTTATCAAATCGTTTGTATTTGAATCGACATCATTGTTATCCTCTTTTTCTATTTAAACTATTTTTTCCTTTGATATCAAATAACTATCTACAATCAACCAACAAATAACTATAGCATTACTATCTTTCACCAAAAAAAAGTTAAGAAAAAAAAACAAGTCAAAATTTTTAATTTTTTATATTTTTTTTTTTCAATTACTGATCACTGACCTAATATCAATCAGTCAACATCACAAAATCAGCCATAATAGTGTATATTATTTATCACAAACCACAACAATACAACAGAAGTAGTAATATAATCAAAACCGAATTTTAGTTTTATATTAAAAAAAAAAAACAATTAGAAAAAAAGTCCTTATAATTATAGATTAGAAAGATATTGTTATTATTATTTATTTATATTACAATCAAAAAACATACAAAAATTTGTTAATAAATCCTCGAGTTTTTATACATTTTGTTTGGTTCTCTGTCTTTGGTGTTTTTCAATCACATCCTTGACAGAAGTTAACCATTCATCTGAAATATATCAAAAACGTCGTTTACAACAACTTCCACAACAACTTCTACCTCCACCACCACCACAACAACCAACGCCAATAACAATAACACTGGTTCTCCTATTAACAACAATAGTAACAACAACAACAACAATAACAACAATAATAGCAACAACAAGAATACAGTAACACCAACATCAACAGGTAGAAAGTTATCAATGACAAACAGTTATGGATTGACAGCAGCAGAAGCCAAACAAAAGTCACGTGACATCGACAGAACGATCAAACAAGAGTCACGTGACTCTGTGCTGAAGCTATTGCTACTGGGTGCATCAGACTCTGGCAAGTCGACACTCTTCAAGCAGATGAAGATCATTCAGGAGAATGGTGGATTCACTCGTGAGGAGCTCGCAGAGAATCGTGTGCTCATCTATGAAAACATTGTAAGTCAGATGAACCTGCTTCTCGAGGCGATGTACAACGATCGTGGATCGACCTACGACGGCAGCACTGACGACCTCATGTACTTTGAAGATCCCATGAATTTCGAACGTGCAGTACGTGTCAAACACGCGCATGACCTGCTTCAAACCGGTCAGACACTCACCGCATGGCCAATAATCATCACCGACATCAAGATGCTCTGGCAATCCAACGAAATTCAACATCAATACAACATCAGAGAGAATGGAATAACCAACAGTTATCAATTAAATGATTCTGCACCATAGTAAGTTTATTAACAATTTCTTGAAGCCAATAGCATCATAACAACCATTTACTTACTTATCTATTCTATTCAATTTAGTTTCCTTAATAATTTAGATGCCTATTCAACCGAAACATTCATACCAACCGAACAAGATATATTGAGAATAAGAACTAAAACTACGAGTGTAACAGAAGCAGATTATGTTTTTAGAGGTTTAAGATTCAAGTATGTATTTTATTTGATTTGATAATACAAACCTTTTTATTAATATGTAAATTGTTATTTGTCGATACAATAGGATGGTTGATGTAGGTGGACAGAAAAGTTATCGTAGAAAATGGATACATTGTTTCGACAATGTCTCCGCTGTATTATTTGTAGCATCATTGAATTCGTATGACCAGGTGTTGGAAGAGGACGGACAGACCAATCGTCTCGAAGATTCGCTGTCACTGTTTGGCGAGATTTCCAACTCTCAGTGGTTCGCCAAGAGTGCCATGGTCCTGTTCCTCAACAAGACCGACCTCTTCAAGGAGAAAGTAAAGCGTGTACCACTCTCAAAGTACAGTCCTGGCTACACCGGTCCCAACTCTGCCAAGCCTGCCGCAACCTATCTCTCTGGACTCTTCTCCAGTCAGATCAAAAACAAAAAACCACTCTATCTCCATCTCACCTGTGCCATCGATACCACAAATACCAAGTTTGTTTTTCAATCCGTTATCGATGACCTCTTGAAGAAATCATTGGAGCTGTTTTAAAACATCATCACACATCTTTATTATTTTATATATTATATATTGTTATGTTATTAATAATGTTATTTTTCTCCCTCTCTTTTTATTTTCCTTTTTTTTTTTTCCCTTTATACAAATCCGACCTTATTTTATAACTTATTATATATTTATGTTTCAACAATAACTACAAATCGTTTTTTTTTTCCTTTATCATTATGATATTTATTATATCATAGAGGCATTGTCATTCATTACAACAACAGCAACTTCACCTGTTTATAAATACTTATCAAAAATCGATCAAATTCATCAACTTATAATTAATTTTTTCCTTTTATATTACCAAAGCAAACAATTTAAAATAGAATAGCTATTTTGTTTTTACAAAAATAAAGAGTTGTTTATTTAAATTCTTAACAATAATATTGGTTTTAAAATTATTTTTATTATACATGGATAGAATTGGGTGGTCAATAATAATGATTTCAGTAAATCTTTTTAAGAAATTTGAGAATTAGAGTTGTTATTAAAATAATGTACATTTTAAAGGGAAATTTTTCATCTTATATGACATCAATGAATTCATTGGAAATCTCTCTATCTAGATAGAAAAGTTGATGTATTAATGAAGTTTGCAACTACTCAGCTACAAGTTTCAGCAGTACATGTGAAAACAGGAAATCAGATCTCAGCGGAGTTTGACTTTGTCATTGATGAAGCTGAATCTATTAGAAGAAAGAAGTATAAAGATATAGTTGAGCATGAAATCAAAACATACCAATTAAATAATATCAATTAAATAATTTAACATTTAAAAAAATTTGTTTATTTCTAAAAATTTTTTTGTAGGTATTTTTTTTTATTTTTTAGCTTTTGTATCAACAAGTTGATATGAAGGCATTATAACCGAGGTAATTCTACTCCACAATGAATCCGGAATCTCTTTTTCATTGTATTTAATGAATTGTTGCATTTCATCGGTGTCATCAACTCGGTAACCAGGTTCGTATCTAAATTTTGTCTGTTCTTCGTTGTTGATAAGAGTGTTCCGATTGTCCTCATCATCCATAAGGTTTACATAGTTTTTCAGATGAGAAGCAGTATTGGTCGGTATATTGTCAAGATAGGTTGAGCTATTATTGGGAATTAATTGAATTTTTGTAGATATATTTAATTTATTGACACAATATTCACAGAGCATTGTATTACTAATATTAAAACTAATATCAAAACATCTACAACTATCCATTTTAATATCTATTTATAAAATGTTTCTTTTTATATAATAAAGAATTTTATAATAATTTTTTTTTAGTTGATTGTTAATTATAGTAATAATAAATTAATTAAAATAAATACAAAGTGTCACATCGTTCTATTAAAAAATAAATCAAATATAAATGGATTGATCAGAGTAATAATTTCAATGGTGTAGTTAATACAACAGTAGACAATTCTATCATATAAAATTTAGTATATATTTTTTGAAATAAATGAAAAAAAATGGTGGTTGATCATACATATAATAATATATTGAGTGTGAAAAAAAATAAATAAAAATTATATTTAAACAACAGTAGTTATGACTGTTTGTTAGTGATCATCTTTTTAATTTATCTCCTTAAAACTATTGATATCTCTCATCTTTTGATAAACTTTCGAAATGAATAGAATAGTCTTTACTACAAAGAGATATTATTCATTAAGTTGAAATAATTATAAAAAAATTTTGATTCTTATAAATTATTAATTTTTAAAATTTTTTTTAATTAAATAAAAAAAATAATCATCCTACAGATATTAATACTAAATTTTTATAAGATAAGGAAGAAGAAGGTTAATTATATAATAATTGGATTTTAGAACTACAGATATCAACTTTAATTAAAAAGATGTTACATAAAAAGTGGTCCATTGATAAAATGTTATTTTTATTATAGAGTGAACAAGAGAGAAGATCAGATAGATAATTGATATATTTTTTATTTGTTTTGTTTTTTTTTTTTAACATGTGCAATTTGAAAAAAGGGTCAAAGAATGGATGACAAAAACACACTATTGTGTTAAAATTTAAGTGTATATATAAAATGTGATCATCACAGTTAATTTAGCAGTGAAAATAGATTATATTAATTTTCATATGAGCAATGATAACAAATCTACAAGGTAAGGGGGAGTAGCTAACAAACTATCATTGTATTATTGCTGAATGTGATGATAATAATAATGAGTTATAGTTGTGTTTTTGGTCAATCATTGCATATGCATACTGCAAAATGTTCAAAATGCATAGAGAATATCATAATACCATTTATAATAGAATAGGTAACATTTGAATTAAGAATTTTTAATGTAATAAATAGCTGCATATGAAAAAACAAAAAAATAATAAAATTGTATTATTTAATTCTGTTACTTATTATTTATAATATTTATTTATTAACATTAATATAATATTATAGAAATAATCATTTTAATAGGAAATAGTTGAAACTATTCTTTTTTTTTTATTTTATTTATTATTAAAATGATAAGAAGGAGAGTAATTATTTGCATCCTTTTTATGGTGACAATTTTGGCCATAAAGACAAGTGCTACTGATCAGGTAAGATTAAAAAAATATTGTATAAATAAAAAAAATATATTAATATTTTAATTTCAAAAAATTACCATTTTTGTTTTGCTCATCAATCAAATCAATAATCATCATCATTTACTGAAAATGATCAAAATTTATAAATTAACGATATATATTAGGTAACTAGACATGAGGAGCAAGTTGTAGATGCACAGGTGGTTGAACACGAAGAATTGCAAAGAGAAGAACAAAAACAAAAGATTCCATTGTCAGAGAATGATCTGTCAACACTAGAAACAATTAAACAACAATATATTGAGGATGCATGGAAGGTCAAGGTAATGCTCGAGACCATTGAAGCCCTCGATAAGCTCGTTATCGTCGCAGAGAAGAATGGTATTACCGATTTCAGACCAGCCATCGAGAGCCATCTTCGTGAGAAGTTGGCCGCCGGTTTCATTGGTTTCGGTAGTGGTGGTGAATACACATACTACAGTCCGGGTGGTCTGCTCACCAACGCCGTCAATGCTCTTGCTGGAAGTCCATTCAGTGGTGGTCTATTGTACAATCTGCTGAGTGGTATTTTCGGTGATAAACCAGTGCCAACCTCGATCTCACAACTCGGTGTCACTTCGACCAACGGTGGTAACATTCAGCCAAGTACTGCACCAGTAGTCGGTGTCACCCTCGCTCAAGTAGGTACCAGTGTTATGGCAACTGCACCTCCACAGGCCTACATTGCATCTTCCGGTAACGAGCCAATCACCGGTATCAACCCAGGTTACGGTGGTCAAGCTGGTATTATCGGACATGTCAACGGTCCACCTTTACAAGCCACTTTGGCATCGGGTTTGGGTGGTCTTCCAACTGCTTCACCATCGATCTCTTCGACTATTGCCACTGCTGCTGCCGGTGAATTGATTGCAGGTCTTTCCGATGTATTGAAGAATTCCGCTGCATCTATTCTCGGTTTATTGACCGCTGGTAATCCAGGTCCAAACACAGTCGGTTATGGTTCCAAGACCATTGCTTTGTTACCAAATCCAACTGGTTCCGTAGGACAAGGTATTGCCGGTACTGGTACCAGTGGTAGCATTGCTCAAGTTACTTCTGGTCCACCACTTCCAATCGGTGGTATTCCAATTCCAAATCCAAATGCAGGTATTATCGGACAACCAATCGGTGGTTCTGGTATTCCAGGCTTTGGTCCAAACAACAATGTTATCGGTGGTTCCGGACAAGTCGGTGGTTCCGGTCCATACGGAAGTAGAACAGGTGGTAACAATGCATTTGGATTGTTTGGTTCTTCTGTTGGAGGTGGTCCAGGTTTCTCTTTCGGTCGTTCTGGTGTACTTGGTAAGCTTGTCGATGCAAATGAAGTCTCGGACCTTCCACTTGTTGCAGAAGATCTTCCAGCCAAAGACTTAGAAGACATCCTCCGTGTTATCGTTAAGCTTATCAACACTGACAACGATGAACAAGTCAACAAACAAGTCGCTCAAGAACAGCTACTTGGTGGATTGTTTGGAGGTGGTGGTGGATTGTTTGGAGGTGGTAGTGGTGGATATGGAGGTGGCGGTGGATTGCTGGGTGGTGGAGGTTTATTGGGTGGATTGTTCGGTGGAAACGGTGGAGGTTTATTGGGTGGACTATTCGGTGGTGGAGGTGTCACCCCTGGTGTGCCACCACCAGCCCCAGGACCAAACGGTATTCCAACATTGGCCGGATTGCAACAGCCGGTCGGTACAGTTGTTGCCATGCATCCAGAGCTCACTGCAGTTGGCCAACGTGGTGGCGGTATTCCAGGTGTTACATTCGGTAACACCTTTGGACCAGTGGTCTCCGGTCAACAAAACGGAGTCGACATGCTTCCGACTTCTCACACTGTCGGTATTGTATTCCCAACTGGTGTCACATGGGTAAATCCACCACCCAGAAGAGGTAGATCCGATCTTGAAGAGCAACAATTCTCAAATGTCCAAAAAGAGGATACTCAAGATCAACCAACTGTAGTTCATGATTAAATTAATTAATTATTTTAACAATATTTTCAATACCATCTCGTCAAAATTTATAAGTAAAAACATTATAAAAATAAATAGATTATAAAAATAACCAAAAATCACTTTGATTGAAAAGCAAAAAAAAAAACAATTTGATTTCCTTTTTTATTTTTTATTAATTTTAATGTCGGGAATTGCCTGATTTAATGCCGACCATTTTTTTATTATTTTTTTTTTAATTAAAGATATTTAATTGTGTGTGTTGGAATGATCATGGTTTTTAAGCATTAAAAGAATTGATCTTTTTTTTAAAATATTTAATTAAAAAAAAACATGAAGTTTTCAAATATATTATTTTGTTTGTTTGTACTTTGTACATTCTCACAATATTGCAATGCTGTAATTAATTGGAGTCAGAAGGGTATGACCTATACTAATGATAAATGTAAGTATTCCACTACTTTAACAATATCTAGGTAACTTTGTATTTAAATTATAACATATTTCTATATAGATTGCCCATTTGTAAGATACAATGATTCAAAATCAGACTTGTCACTATATAATTTAAGATCATCAGGTGCCAATTGGGTATCAATTGTAGTAACAAATTTCCAAGACACTCAAAAGTAAGAGTTAACCATAAGGTTGATCATTGATTATTATTTAATATTAATATAATATTTAGTACAACAGCTATTTATCCAGTTCCAGGTATTACTGCAACAGATGAAGAGTTGGAACATGCCATTAACTATGCTCACAAGATTGGATTGAATGTTATGTTAAAGCCACACATTGATTTCATGAAGGATCCAGCTCACTGGAGAGGTGAGATCGGTGTCTACTACACAGAGCAACAATGGGCAGAGTGGTTCGCCAACTACACTCCCAGTCTTGTTCACTATGCAGAGATGGCAGAGAATCTCAAGGTCGAACAATTCTCGTTGGGTTGTGAGTTGATTGCTACTAGCTGGCGTGATGCCCAATGGCGTCAAGTTGCCAAATCTGTACGTGATGTTTACAGTGGTGTTTTAACTTACGCAGCCAACCACGGTGGTGAAGAGACCAACAAGACATGGTGGGATGTTGTCGATATTATCGGTGTCGACGCTTACTATCCACTCTGTCCAGAGACCCACAACGCTACTCTTGCCGACATGGTAAACTACTGGAACGTCATTATGTACCAAGGAGTGAACAATGGTGAGGAACAAATGACATCCAGTCTTCACAATCTCACAGTATTCTGGAATAAACCAATGATTTTCACTGAACTCGGTTATTGCTCTGGAAATTGTACCACCGGACCAGAAGTGGATCTAGGTATACAGGACATACAATTCCAATCGGTTTTCGAAGCATTCGCCAATGTTCCATGGTTCGAAGGTGTTGTAAGTATCATACAAAATAATTTTGAAAAAACATTTATAAAAATAACAAAAATTAATTATCTTTTCCTTTCCTTAACATTTTAATAAACAAAACAAAGCACTGGTGGAATTGGGTAACTGATCCAGCATTCGGTGGTGAAGACAATTGGTGTATGACACCACAATTCAAACCAACAGAAGTATTATTACATGAGCAATACGGTAGTCTTTACCCTCCAATACGTCCAAATTACCCAGCGGTTTGTCCATGTATTCTATAAACCCAATAATAAATATTAATATAATTTAAAATTTACATTAAAAAATAATAATAATAATAATTGTTGTCTACAATCATTAAGTATAACCCCCACTTGGTTATACTTTTTATTGTTTTATGTTTAGTGAGTGTTAATATCTTTAAGATATTCTTTGTTTGTTAGATAATAATATTTTGATGATGGATTTACTTATTTAAATATGTACCAACTAACCATATTAGGAAATGACAATTGAAATAAAAACCACCATAAACACTTATATCACTGACTTTGGTAAAGTTTAATATATATTTATATATAATGACAACATCTAATATAAATTTATTTAGTTAATGGGTCGATAATGAAGTTATATTGGTTGTTTAGTTACTGTAAGATAAAGATAGGTTATAAAAATCAATGTAAATTTACATTTCAAATTGTAGTGATATTACTCTAAACATATCATAGTATTTATTTTCAAACGTAATAATCGAACACGTCAGATTGTTTTAAAAGATTTCTTAATAATTGTTGTTGTGTATTATATAAGTTATTGTTGTAATGGTCATCAATATCTAATGAATATTAAAATAATTCTTTTAAATATAGAGATTGAATTAGTTGTTCATTTTTAACTGTTATAAATTAAAATGCTATAAATACATACAATCAATTACTGAATAGTTATATCTTTTATTAACTTTACTTACTCTTTTTCACTATTAGTATATTATTTACTAATAATTATAATATAAAAAAATATGTTTAAAATAATTGTTTATTTATTTGTATTTATTACATTGTTTGGTGTATATGGTATATTTGGACAATTCAATCCGACAGTTCATCTGACACTGTTGAACAAAGAGAGAAGTAATGCAAACCTTACTTTGTTGGCATACAGTGTTTGTTTGAATAATGCAGCACAAGCTCATTCAAACTTTATGAGTTCAACACGTAACCTTACCACTGCCGATCCACACGGTGGATTGTTTCAAATGGTAGATTACTATGGACAGGTTGATGTCCAAAATGTTGCCCAGAATATTGGAATGGGATACAGAAATGACCAACAACTCATTGATACATTCATGAAAGGTTCACAAAAAAAGAACATTCTCAACCCTCGATTGACAAGTGTTGGTGTTGCCGTCTCTAAAGACCAAGATGGATATCTATATTGGACTCAATTCTTTGCAAATGGTGCCTGCTATATGCAAAATTAATGTACAAATATAAATAAAAATTATAAATATAAATATAAAAGTATAACAAAACTTATCTTTACAATATAATTTTTCTTTCTTTTTATTATTATAATAATAATCAGTACTACATTACCATTTTTATTTTAATTAATTATTAAGATTTCTTTGTGAATGTAGATCAAAATAAAAATAATATTCTAAATGAATAAACTGTAGATTTATCTTTACAATATTTGATTTTCTATGATTATTTATTAATTCATTGATTATTTATTGGTGATCATCAAGAGATCATGTCGATGGTTGTTGTTGTTGTTGTTTTTGTTGATTTGAAAGTTGATCTAAAAGCTGGTTGAGATGTTCTATATTTTGTTTTAACTCTTTGTTGATTGAACCTTCATTCTCATCTATTAAATCCAATCCTTTAGAGTTTAGCCATTTGTCTGTTTCAATGAATTTAAATGCTTGGTTGAATGTATCATCATAGGCTTTCAACTGATTTAGCTTTCTAAGTATAATTTCATTCTTTTTATTCTGTGCTTCTTTATTTACATCTTGTTGATCTTCTTCATCATCGTCATCATCATCTTCATTCTCATCTGATTGAGCGGATTCATCTTCATCTTCATCTTCATCATCATCATCATCTTTACTATTTTTATTATTCTTTGATATCTTTTTACTATTACTGTTGTTACTACTACTACTATTATTATTACTATCAATACTACTACTATTATTATTGTTGTTATTACTGCTGTTGTTATTTAAAAGATTATTTAAATTTGAACTACTTGTATTTGAAATTGACTTTATTCTATCAGTTATTTTAGTATCTACTATCTCTTTTAGATATTCATAGCTACCGTTGATATCATCGTCCAGATCAACGTTCTTTAAAATATAGTCTAGAATATCAAGAGTGTTATTATTTGAACTGTCGTTATGATGTTTCTCTTTTTGAAACTGAAGTACCAAGTCATTTAGATATTCACTATTTTGCTCTAATCTCTCTATATTTCTTATATCATCTTTGATATGATCTAATGTAATTCTAAATGACATTTACTATGTTGTATTAGTTTTTAAAGGAATGAATGAACAAAACAAATTTTAATTTTAATTAAATTTTATTTTTTTATTTACAAAAAAAAATGTGTTTCAGAGACTATTGAGTCAATGCCATAAAAGTGTATTGTTATAAGAAATAACCAAATTACAATTGTACCACCAATGCAGATAATAAGCTTATTACTAAAGTAGATTGGAAAACAATTGCTAACTTTGAAGAAGAACTAGCATCTTCAAATGGATCAAAGCTGTCGCTAGATGGATCACTTGTAGTTCCTGTACCCGGATTAACAGTGGTAGTCGATGTTGTTGGCTTTGAAGTAGTACCAGAAGTGGATGTTGTTGGTTTTGAAGTAGTACCAGAAGTGGTTGTGTTTAATCCAGTAGTTGTAGTAGTGGTGGTGGTTGTGTTGACTCCAGTAGTGGTTGAACTGTCTGAGCTAGAGCTTGTTGTGCTTACTCCAGTAGTAGTTGAACTGTCTGAACTAGAGCTGCTGGAGGTGGAGTTACCTGATGTTGTGCTTGGTACTCCTGTTGTTGACGATGTCGAGTTTGAAGAGGTAGTGGATGGTGCTGTGGAACTAGATGAATCTGAAGTTGTAGAGAATGAAGTAGTAGTGGATGGCGAGGTAGTAGATGGTGCTGTAGAGCTTGATGAATCTGAAGTTGTGGAGGACGAGGTAGTAGAAGATGGTGCTGTAGAACTGGATGAATCTGAAGTTGTGCTTGTTGAACCGGATGCAGAGGTAGTTGTTGATGATGGATCAGCTGTGGTTGATGATGATGTTGTTGTGCTTCCACTTGCTGTGGTGGTAGATGGTTCGGCACTTCCGCTAGTTGTAGAAGTTGCAGAAGCTGACGAATCACCGGAGGTTCCAGCTCCTCCTGATACTTCTGAATTTGGACCACCGTATGTAGTTGATGCCAAACTTGGTACATATTTTCCAGAGATAACTACAGACTGTTGTGTGGAATATTCGAAAGAATTAGACGGACTTTCTGGATTCATTTCATAAGATCCGGAAATGGTACCAATGGAAAGAGGTGTTCCATATCCAAAACCTAAATGATCAATTCAAAAAAATACCAAAAATTAATAAACAAATAAGATTAATGGATTTTATTTGTATAAATAATTTGGATACATACAAATAAAACAAGATAGTAATATAAAAATAGATAATTTTAACATTTTTTTTTTTTTCAAAAAGTAATATAAATTATAATTATCAATTAAAATTTTGGTATTACAAAATAAATATTTCTTTTTAAATTTTGTTATTAATAAATAATAGTAATTGTTGTTATTGTTGTTGATCACTTTACTGTTTGTTTGAAGTATTATTCAATGTCATGGAAAACTTCAACATTCAATCCATCCTTTTATAATTTTGAAAAACCCACACCAATCAATGATTTTAATAATTATTTTTAAAGTTCATTTAATTTTGTCTATGGTCAAAATCTATTGGTTTGAAAATGTAGGCTGTGGGAGTTGATCTGAAAAACAAAAAATATCAAATTCAATCGTTTTGTTTAAATTGCCTTGAGTTTTGTGGGGGTAATCTATTTTTTTTATCATAGTAGTTTCCCCAATTTTTATTAATTTTTCTATTTTATTTTAAAAAAAATTGTTTTAAGTTTTTATATGCATTAATCAGTTAAACCTTTTTGTCGGCAGAGGTTTCACTGAAAAAATTCAGTCATTGACACTAAAAGTAAAGTCTTTATTCCGATTTTATTATAATTGTAAACATTATTGTACTAACTGTTAGGAAATAGTCTGAATTAAACAGCTAGAGTGTGGTTTAATTCTCATACAATTGAGAAACACACCTTTTACACAAACACCAAAAATAACATCATCATTATTATCAAAAATCGATAACTTTAATATGAAACAGATCGCATTGATGAATTTTTAAAACTTATCATAATAATCATCATCTTTATTTTTATTATATGTGAATTCTATTGATAAACTAAAGAAAAATGGGAGGAGGGAACTGAATTATTATTATCTTTTTAAAAGATTTAATCCCAATTCCTAAATATAAACTATTATTTATATTAATTTTTTTTTTTTTCTTCTTTATAATTATTTTTGTACCCCCTCCATATTCAGTTGGTGGGTGGGTTTCAGCTCAACAAATTTTTAAAAATAAAACACTCAAAGTATTTATAAATGTTTTAGTACACACAGATCCCAATGTGTGTGATTGGTAATGCAATGAACAATCTATTATTTTAATATGGTAACCCATTTTATAACAAATAATAATGGAGAAATATTATATTTTCTATAATATTTGTTGAATTAAAATAAAATGTTTATTGCAATAAACAATGTGTTTATTGAGTTGTTGAAATCGAAAGAGTAGAACCTGAACCTAATGTGATAGGTTCATTTAACTGAAGTTGGTATTGTTGTTGTTGATTAATGTTGGTTACAGTCAAAGTAAATGATGGATAGTTTGCAGAGTAATTAATAAGTTCCACCAGAATTTGTTGTGTATCCCAATAGATGTCAAACTCTGCTTCCATATATTTCAGAGATTTCAACTTCATACTTGTTGTACCACCAGGTGGTAGTTGTGGATTGAATGTGATTTCCTGTTGTTTGATTCTCATGCCACCATAGCCAAATATTACACCTTGGAGGAATCCACCTGCACCAGTGATAAAGTTGACGGTGCCACCCGTAGGTGTCTCTGTCCAAACCTTGAATGGCATCTGAGCGTTGGCGTACGAGGTTGCCCACGACTCTTCTGCTTTGCTCTGGTTACCAAGTTCCAGCCAATTCACTGTGAACATTGAGTAGGTCATTGCCGGTCCGTTTGGATCGGTCACTTTTTGGTAGTACTCAAGGTCGTTACGACGAACCTCTTCGCTCATATTGAACATCAGTGGATATCCGAGGAGGATGACATCGGCTTGCTTAATAGTCTGACCGGCGTATCCATCGTATTCCGGATGCATCTGAGTGGCAGCGTCGAATGGTATTTTCAAATTGTCGGAAATCGATTGCCAGAGTTCAGTTGGGATGGTTTTGTCTTGGACTATGGCAGCTGCTTCCAATGCCCATTCAATTGCATACTTGGCAATGACATTGGTGTAAACAGAGTTGTTGACACCGACTGCATATTCATCGGGTGGAATGACAACGTTGATGTCGTACTGTGGCTGCGACGGAGTGGATTGTGGTGACAATACAACTCTGCTGGCCCAGAATTGAGCGATTCCCTTTATAGCTGGATATCCAGTTTCCAACAGCCAAAGGGAATCACCACTTGCATAATAGTATTGTCGTAATGCAAATGAGATATCTCCAGTGATATGTTGTTCCAGTAGTCCAGTTGGAGCGATGGTTGGACAGGTTTCTGTACCGGTGAATGCCGACTCCCAAGGGAACATGTATCCAGTCCAACCTTGGTCGTAACTGAGTGCTTTCAAATGTGATTCGTTAAGACGTTGCATACGGTATTCGAGTACGGTGTTCTTTGCCAATATTGGTTGGAGTGCCAAAATTGGTGGATACATCCAGGTCTCGGCGTCCCAAAAAGTGTGTCCGTGGTAACCGTCCGATGCCAATCCGCCTGGTGACAAGCTCCACGCCCAATCAGAACGAATCGATGAGTAGATATAATAAAATGATGAATTGACTACTTGCGCCAACTCCAAGTTTCCACCGATTTCGACACGAGAATTCCAGATGTTACCCCACGAGGCGATATGCTCTTGGAGTAAACTCGATGCCATAGGATAGAAATTCTTATAGATATCGGTTGCTATTTCAATAAAATAATTGTCATCATTCTCTAAATTCGATGTCATAACGGTCATGAAATAAAAGGTTTGTACAGTGTTGGCAGGAACAGTGATTTCGCTTGGTACATTTGTTGTTACCATTGCAACCGATGTGATATAACCATTGGGTAACTCTGGTTTGGTTATGTTTGCAATGAATTGAGATACAGCTTGACCTGGTCCACCGCCATTGGCAACAACATTGATATCAGAGTTTGAGAGACTCGAATAGTCGATTGTTTCCAAATTCAAATGATAATCGCCACCCGATTGTGAGTTGTCAACGGTAATCTCTTGAATCAATGCATTTCTAATCAATTGGTGAGCATAATACAATTGATTTACAGTGGTACTGTATACATTTGATTTATATTGACGTGTGTATGTAGCATTCTGTAGATCCAAACCGGCATAACTCAATTCGAGGTCTTTGGAAGCAACGGTGATCTGTTGGAAATTGGGTAGTGCAGCACGATGACTAGGTGTGGTCAATGCAGTTGCCGATCCACTATAAACACCAGCCATGAAAATAGGATTACCTAGTCCAATCTGATAAGAAAGAAATCCATTACCAACGGTTGCCATCAGCTCGGCATTAGACGGTTCCGTCAGAGTAGATAATAAGTTTCCTTCATTCACTCTAGCTATCCACCAATCCGGTTGTCCTAATGTCTATCGATTTTTTTATTATTATTAAAATAAATAGTCTGGTCTACAAAAAAAAAAAAACAACTTACATTGGAAATACATAAAATAACTATTGATAGTAGTATTTTAAATCTATTCATTCTTTAAAGGTTGCTAGTACTAAGATTTTAAAATAATGAAACTTGATTTATAATTAAACTTATTTTAGAGAAAGAAGATCATTTATCTATTCTTTCTTCTTAACAATAGAAAGAATATTAATTTAAATAAAATCAAAATGGAACTAAATAAAATACCAAGATACCACCTGCTCCAAAGAGGAACGATTGTTTTTTACAAAAATTATCAACCCAGGATATTCTTTCGTCGCTGGTGTTAAAAAAATATCTAGAAGAAGATGTTTGCAAACACTTTTTGACTTTGATTTTACGACAACTTGTGGATGGTTATAAAAAGATTATCTTATTATAAAATTATTATAAATTTTATTTAAATGATGATTTTTTTTTTTATTGTTGTTCACCTTCATTTCCTATGCCAATTAAAAGATTACTGTCTGGATATTCTGATCCTCTAATTCTTATGTTACAAGATACTAAGTAGTAGAAGATTACAATAAATTAGATTAATTAAAAAATCATTGAATTTTGATCAATTTAACAAATGTTGTTGTTGTTACATACTTTTTTCTGCTTTTTGTAAATTCTGTTCAGTTACGTTCATCTTACTCTGTAGATCTTTAGTTAAATGGAAAAATTTGAACCCATTGTATATCGTTCTAATAAATGTGTTGATTCTAAAGCACTCATTGTAATCCTTAACGTTGACACAATTGGTTGTGTATCTCATTAGTTCACCTGTGAGATCTGCCAATCCCAATAGATAATCTTCATTTGAAATAACAAAGTTATTTAATGTTTCCTAAAAAAAAAAAAAAAAAGTGATGTTAGTTAATAAATAATAAATAAAAAGGTGATATCTAACAAAGCAATATTGCCACTGCTTGGTAATAAACATACGACTTTCAATGATTCTTTCATTGTTGTATAAATATAATCGAGAGTAATCAATCTACCATTGAATTTTAAGTAATAGAAGAAAGAGATTGCTTCAATGTACTCTTGTACGCCAAAGGAGAATGAACGGTGATACTTCCAGAATTCATCGTTCTCCAACTCCTTGATGATTTGTGCAATCAATTGATGTACCTTGTCAAACTCTGACACTGCTTGTTGTAGTATCGATTCTTTATCTTCAAAGGGTGCACGTTGTAACAATGAAATGATCTTCTTACTACTTGCAGTAACATCACGTGATACCTTTACTATTCTTTCTCTCTTATCATTCTATTTAAATAGATTCATGTTATTATTATTATTATTATTAGTAAATAAACTTTATTTAATAATAGTATTACATACACTTTCATTCAATTGATCCCTATATGTTCTAAAGAGTTTAATTGTTTCACTGTCATTCTCTGACACTTGATCTCTATCTCTATCTCTATCTCTATCTCTATCTCTGTTGTTTTGGTAATTAGTATTTGATCTATTATGATTATCATTTCTTTGAAATTTCTGACCACCTGTAGAGGTCTCACCATTGTTATTTCCTTCGTTAAATCTCTTCATCTTCCACAATCCAAATTATATAAATAATAATATATTAAAAAAAAAGTAACAGCCAAATTTGTCAACTTCAATTTTTAAAATGAAAATACAAAATGTTCAACCTAAATAGTTATATATCTACATTATCATCATAAATATTTATAAAAAGATTCCTTTACTTTCAATCAGTGACATAATATTTGTTTTATAAAAATAAAAATATATATTTAAAAATCATTAAATAAAAAATAAACATTTTATTTTTAAATCTAATCAAAAACATATTTTCATTGATCATTTATTATAAAAACAGATAATATTGTTCTATATCATAAAGATATTAATAATTAAATTTTAAAACTATTAATAAAAAAAAAAAAAAATTTAATAAAAAAATCAAATATAAATTAAACGAACGAAAAAATAAATCATATGATTAAATTTGTTATATATTTATAATAATGATATCATCATTGAATTTAAATAGACATGTTAAAGATAGTTTAACTTTATTTAGATATACTTCAAACTATAGTCATTGTTTAGCGAGATCATATTGCTCATTATTTTTCAATCAAAGTGGACATAAACCAAGAAAAGTTGTAAAGAGATACACTAATCTTAATGATAATAATAATAATCAAATAAATACAACTGAAAACGTCAATAACAATAATAATAATAATAGTAAACAAAAAGTAAAACAAAATGAAAGTACAACTACATCTGCATCTGCATCAATAGTTGGTGAAATGATTCATAAATATGAAGATATTCATCAACATAAACAACAACAACACCAAGAGCATCATTCAAAACCATATAAATCATACAATTCTCAACAACAGCATCATCATAATATTCAAACAAAACATAATCATCATCAATCAGGCACAGCATTACCATCAATAGTTTTCGAAGATTTACAAAACAAATTCTTTAATTTAATTGATCCTTCAAATAGTAATAATATAACACCGGCTACAGAGATTAATGTAGAGACTAATAGTAGTGGATATATAAGTAGAATGGCACCAGACACCATTCAACACCCTTTGACTCTTTCAAATAGACCTATTCCAAGTGGATTCCAAGTGTTGGACGTTCAAAACAAACTTGAAGTCATCAATCAATTGGATTATTCAAAGATACCGAAACTAGAACATGGATTGGATCGTGTCATCACCGAGAAAGGTGTTCATCCAGTCAGCGACTTTGATGGTACTCCCAGATTTACAAGATTCCTCTCACAAATTCATGATTTCGATAGTTTAATATTACATAGTAGTTATATGATACCATCTCAAGATAAGGTATATATATATATTTTTTTAATGATAATATTAAATGTTAACTCGATCATTCAGTCATTCATTAACTATCATATTATTTTTTAAATATTTAGAATTTACTTAAACATGCAAAAGAAAATAATTGTAAATATCTTTCATCTACGTCATCAATTACAGCAGTTCTTACAAAACTGTACTTTGCATTGACAAAGAAATATAATGTCGATGTTTCTGGATTCAGTTCACATTTGCAAAGACTATCAAGCTTCACACCACAACTCGTCAAACCAGTCTCAATCTTTCTTAACTACAACAACTCTGTATGGGCAATAGACAACAACAGTGGTACATCACCAAAAAATAATCAAATCTTAATGGATCTTGTAAGTTTTTAATAACAACTACTAGTAACATATGTTTATTTAAAATTCACATATATATATATATATTAACAATTTTATGATCAATAGGGACATTCATTAGAAAAGATGTTAACATTGAATGAAAATGAATTCAATGAGAAACTTTTGAAATCAAAGAACTCGACTGCTCATGAATTCGATGAATCCTATGTGTTCTCAAAGTTTGGAGATATCATGTATCGTTCACAGATCGATTGTTACTCTGAGAAGTTCACTGGAAAATCAAAGACATTCGATTTGAAGACGAGAGCAACAAGAATGATTCGTTTGAACTGCGCAGATCATGAGAGTTACTTGGGTTATCATATCAATCAGATTATGGACGACGGCACCTCTGGTTCCTACGAGAAGGAACTCTACGACATGTGTCGTTCCGCAGCAATCAAATACTCGCTGCAAGCCAGAATCGGTAATATGGCGGGTATCTTTGTTTGCTATCATAACACCAAGCGAATTTTCGGTTCAGAGTTCTTGCCGCTCGAAGATCTCGAGAACATTGTGTTCTGGGGTAAGCACCTGGCCGACGACACCTTCAACATCACCAACACTCTGCTCAGTAAGATACTCGGAGAGATCACCTCGCACATGTCCACACAATTCAAATACCGACTGTTGATAGACGATCATCGCGGTGATGAAGACGGACTGCTTGTGTTTGTGGAGGAACTCTCAGTGTCAGAGTCATTCGAACAACATTCATTCTCGTACCAACACCGAAAGGAATACGAAAAGATGGAGGCAAAGCAAATCGTCAACCCAGTAACACTGTACAAACTCTGTCTGGAAACACAAATCAACGGATTCACAACAGAGGGTCCACTACACTATTCACCCAAAGATACTCTCAAAGTTTATTATCAATTCAAAAAAGTCAATCTACCAAGAGACGACATCACACTACTCTATGCAAATTCATTAAGAACATCAGGTTTATATCCTGAATTCCAAGAATAATAATAATATTACAAAAATAAATAATCTTTTTTTATTTTATTTTATTTATTAGCCTAATAAATATAATAAATGGTCGTTGCTCGTTTGTTTGTTATTATCATTGCGTTGTTTTGTTTTTTCATAGTAACGTTTTTTTGTTTTCGAAAATTAAAAAAAGTTTTTACAGTTTGTTGATCAAAAATTTCTGAATTATCAAAAAAAATAATCATTACAAATTATCTAATATTTAAATTACAACAGTAAAAGATGGTTGGACAAGAATACAAATTAAGATTCCCACGTGGATTCCATGCTTACCCATTCAACACCCACAAGCTTGAAGGTGCTGGTCTTCCAAAGGGTTACCTCACCCTCATCGGTGTTGCTGCTACTATGACTGCTGCTTTCCTCGTTTCAACTGGTGTCAGAACCAACAAACGTATGTATCATATTATATTTATATTTATATGTCTATTATAAGTATAGAAAAGAAAGATCATCATTATAAGAATTGTTGCTGCTGTTATTATATTCTCTATCTCTCGCAAAAAATATTAAATAAAATAAAAAAATAAAGAAAATAAAGAAAAAATAATATTTGGATGTTTGTAGCATTACACTATATAAACAGAATTTAACATACAGGAATAGGAATGAACAGAATTAAACAGAATAGTAATCGATGAACGTAAAGAAAAACATTTAAAGATCAACTTTCAGTTTAATTAAAAAAAAGTGATATAAAATACAACAGCAGCTATTTTTTTGAATGTGATCGATCATACAAGCTCTAGTTTATATGTATCTAACATTTTAATAATATAGGTCCACATGTTACTCATAATGCTGAATGGGAAGCTGCTACCATCAAGTATGCCCACGAAGTCAATGCTGATCCAATCTACAGAATCCCACACGAAAAGAAGTAAATCAACATATAAGACCATAATACCGAACATACTATATCACTTGCATTAAATAATTTAAAGATTTTCTAATTGCATTTTAATGTTTAAATAATAATAATAATCAATCAATTAAAAAAAAAAAACAATTTATATACAAAGCAATGGCAACAGATATGTTAAAATATCTTATTTATTTATTCATTTATATACAGAATCTTTTTTAATAATAATAATAATACTAACAGCATATTTTATAATAACAACCGATTTAATTTAGTTAATTAAGAATATTCAGATTTTTATAAAGATTTCGGTGATAGATAGATTGTTTCTTTTTATTTTAAATTTATATGATGCTCATTATATTGAATTGTATTGTTTATTATTTTTATATTGATTCAATTAGTTTGTTTGTTTATAAATTTGTTTATATTAGGGTAGTGGTAGTTGATTTGATTTTACAAGATGATTTCGTTACAGTAATTTCTATCTAATTGTTTGTGTGGCATGACGATACAGTTGGATACGATGATTTCACCGTTTGCCTGTGCACCAGCACCAATGATTGTGATACCCTTTCTCTTGTCTTGAGAGTAGAGGAATGGTGTATAGTTTGGAACACCTTCGATTCTTGCCCAAAATCCTATTTCACTTCTCCAACCAATGATACTGTAAAGAATACATGCATGACCCTAGAGTAAATGAGATCGAATTATAACAAAAAAGCTGTTAATAAAAATGTTTCTATATGAACATCATAATCAATCAATAGATCGAACAATTTTACCTTGATTTCAGTTTCATCTAAAATGATAGAGTGGAAAATTCTAACACCTTTACCGACTTTGACGTTTGGTCCAATGTAAACATCTGGTCCGATCTTTGCGGTTGGATCGACTGTGGCTGTTGGATGGATGACAACATTACCAATGATATTATCACCCTTTGCTAACAACTCTGGTTTAGTCTTTGCGTAATGACTCAAATATAATTCTTGGCAATATACTGGTGAACTGTGATATAAATCATTAATAAATAAAAATGTTTTATAAACTTAATTCTAAAGATCATCATTCTTACCCAGCATTTTTAATTTGACGCCAGAAACCAACGTATGGGTAGACAACAATAGAGTTTGTACCGGCCAATGGTACAAAGATATCTTGTTCTAATCTTAATCTACCTTGTTCAAATCCTTTCTTTGTAATCTCTCTGTTGTTGTTGTTATAGATGATATAGTTGTTTTGTTGTTAAAATTAATTTCAAACAATATATTTATATATATATTTATACATACGGATAACTGTCTAATGTAACATTTTGTAAAGATTCTTGAAGATCTTTGGTAGTCTTTGCCATGATATCAAAGAATGAAGGTGAGATACAATATACACCACAGTTGATCATGTCGGATACGAATGTCTCTGGCTTTTCAGCATAGTGAATCAATTCAGCTGTATTTTCATCACGAATCAAACAACCATATTGATTGGCATACTCCTTCTGAATACGAGTACCCATAATGGTACAGATACGTTTGTGTTTGATGTGGAAGTTCAACAAATCCTCCAATGGGAATGCACAACAGATATCTGAATGCAACACAAACAGATAGTCTGGATTTCCTTGAAGAATTTGCTCGCGATATCTACTTAATCCACCTGCAGTACCTAATACCTTGACTTCATTTATATATCTTTAGATTGAATTTTATTTGTCAAGATTAATAAATCCGATCGATCGATCTACATCCAACTGACTGACTGACTGATTGAGCTGATCAGCTAGATGATCAATGTCTAAAAAAAAACCTACCTAATAGGAACATTTAATTCTTTTTGAGATTGTTCGATGAATGCTGATAGTTGATTCTCTGGGAAGAAACCCAAGAGAATGATTTCGGTGATGCCTTTGACTCTGCTGCATGCTTCGATATGATGATAGATCATTGGTTTACCAGCAATTGGGAACAACAACTTTGGTACGTCATCCAATGATAATGGACGGAATCTTGTACCTTTGCTTGGTCCACCTACTAAAATTACTGCTTTAACACCTCCCATTCTAAAACTATACTATTATTCTATAAATATATATTAAACTTTGATTTCTATTAAAAGAATAATTTTGATTTAATTATTCTTCAAAAATAAAAAAAGACAGAACTTTTCAAACCCCAAAATTTCATTTTAATGTAGATCAACACAACCACATCACCAAAAAAATTATCCAAAAAATTATTATTAATTATTATTAATTAAATAAAATTAATTAAAAATAAATTTTAAACAAATTGAGAAAAGAGAATAAGATAAGATAAGATTCATCATCATTCATTGTTATTTGTTTAGATTATTTTCTTTTTTATACAAATGTGGTGTTTTGTTGGTAATTTTTATTATTATATTTTTTGAAACTATTACATTATTATAAATAAATTAGATTGGTTGGTTGGTTGGTTGGTTAGGTTGGTTGTTGTTATGATGATTAGATAGTTAGTTTTGTTTATCTTTTTTGAGAATAACATAATAAACAACCTTGTTCTTCGATACAGTATTGATGATATGAATGTCCACAGTATGGGAAAATAACTACACTGGATGGAGTGACACCGACGAATGTTGATTCAGGATTCTCTACGAGTGGAAGTGTACAGATTGGACATTGACCACTATGTATCTCTGTCTCTGTTCCCCAGTGGAAACTAGAGTCTTCGAAAAACTGTGGGGTAATTCCGAGATTCAATTCGTTGGCAGTTGACGATGTAATAGATGATGAACTATCGATAAGTTGATTATTTTGTTGTTGCTGTTGTGATTTAAGTGAGTTTGGTGAATGGAAGTTATTGAAATCCTGATCTACCAACGACCAAATCTGAGGTGAAAGATTCATTGGTTTCTTGGTCCAGAGATAACTATCGAGACGCGACAATATCTCGTGAGAAATCGACTTTCTATTGTAGAGTGCCCATTTTCCATTGCGTACCCATTCAGAGAGGAGATTCGATGGAATCTGAGTCGATTCAAACAGTGGCGATGCAATGAGAATATCGATGGTTTGCAATGGACCGATCGATCTTCCCATCATAGTGGCGACCAACACTTCAGAGATGGCGAATTTGGTGTCACGTGAGTAGAATACATTGAAGTAGTGATCACGGTGTTCTTGCATCTTGGTGACTAGCATTGACCATAGTCCAACATCGATGTTATTCTCCATAAGATTGGTCAGTCCATCGACATTATCTGTGGAAACTACCAAGTGGACGAGTTTACGTGCATATTCCAAACTGGCTTGCTCATGGAAGGTGACCGATTTCGATGAGTATTGTTTGTAGTGGTGTAGGTAAATCGAGAGAAGTCCCTCAAAGAAACCATTGCTCTCACAGAGATCTTCGAGTTTCGACAAGTCACAGAGATACTCGTTGGTCATGACACCGCCAATGATGGAAAGCAGCTGCTGTGCATTCTTCCACTCGACGTTATGTGCACCAACTCTTGGACGATGTTCATTGGTGAACAACTGATCTTTCGGTGGTTGATTAAAACTCAGATTGCATGTGAACCACTCCTCTACAAGATTGCTATCGTATTTACACTCTTCAACCAATTCCAACAGTTGATTGAGATATTCAAATTTGATTGGCAGACGAACGGATGGATTCTGGTCGACCAGTTTCACTATATTTCTTGGGAGAATGACTGGGTAGCGATTGGCATAGAAAGTGGCAGCTTGTTTCGGTTGCAACTCAAACAGACGCTCCATGTATCTAAACAATAGTCCAACGTCATCCTTTTGTGTTTCCAAATAGTGGATGCATCCTTGTCCATCGTTGTTATCGATGAAGCTGTTGAGTGTTGAAATGACTTTCGATCCATGCTTGGAGAATGCTTCCATCTCCAAGATGGTATCTATACAGGAATCCCATTGACGTTCATTGACATAGGGATACACTTTGTTACAATCCAGATAGGTAAAGTACTTTCTAATGGTCTCACGTGCACTACTCTCATTCCAACACATACAAAGCTTTCCAGTTGGATCTTGTACGAGCATGTTAACACCACACAAGAAACAACCAGTGATAATCTCATTGATCATCTCTGAAGGAGCGACATACTCCACTTTGTAAAACGATTGCAGCCAAATTTGAAGCATTGGGAAGAATGCCTTTTCATTACGCTTGAATTTGTAGATGATCCAACTGTCGTAGGTTCCTTTGGTTAGCTTTTCCAGCACTTCCAATGGAGTTGGTTCTGGGATTGGTTCTACTGGTTGGATAGGTGCAGGGGTAGGTGCAGATGCTGCAACGGTTGGAGTGGATTCTGTTGTATGCTCAACGATTGGCTCCATAGTAGGTGGGGTTGAAGAGGCTGGTGTTGAGCTATTCGATCCAAACGGCAACTTTTGGGTAATGCTAGTAAGCTCAGATTTGATTTCAGAGGTTTGCTTTTGAATTTTAGTGATAGCTTTCTGTTGAATGGATTCAATACTGGTACTTAAACCTTTGAATATACCACTTGCTTTTGATGCTGCCGCTGATATTGGTTGTTGTGGTGTTTGAGCTGATGTTTCTTGTGTTGGATGTGGTGGTTGTATTGGTTGTGGTGGATGAGATAGAGATGGTGTAGCTGTTGTTGTTGGTTCTTGTATTGGTTGTGGATGTGGTGGTTGTTCTGGTTTGGTGGGTGATGCTGGTTTACTTGTATTCTCTGGAGTTGATAGACTTGAAGCGCTGTCGTTGATGGATGAACTCGATGTATTGGTTTTCTCCTTCTTTACAAGTTTCTTTTTGACTACTGTACGCTTGACAGTGGTTGTGGTGGTATGTTTTGGATCCAACGATGGTTCCATTGGTGAATTTCCTTTAGATTGTACTTCGTCGAATACATTGACATTGGCCCATGAGCTGGCTTGAGTTGATGGGTCTTTTGCAATCGAGATGGTAGCAGTTTGATCGTTGTTGGTTGGCGACACTGGTGATGGTGTTACGGCATCGGATCCCGATGTCTTTAGAAGATTTGTAGAGCTATCGGAAGTCTTTGCCTTTTTCTTTTTGATAATCTTCTTTGTGACACCGCTCGATGTTGTTGTAATCAGAGGATTGGTATTCACTTCAATCTCTGAAAATATATTCTCTTTTGAAGTGTTTCTAACGTGTTGACTTGATGATGCTGCTGGTGGTGGTGTAGTGGTGGTAGTTGCTGGTGTTGGTGTTACTGTTGGTATTGATACATTTGGTGGAGTTGTTATTGTTGCTGTTGTTGCAGTAGATGGTGGTAATACACTCTCTTGATTTTGTTCGTTGGTATCATCGATTGTCAATGAACTTGTGCTATTTGTCAAACTATTTGTATCGAGACTATCCAACTGACTTCCATCTGTATCTTTATTCGATGTTTGATCTGAATAGGTAGCTGTTGTATCTAAGATAGTTTAAAGAATGTTAATATAGATATTACAATACCATTTTCATTTTCAAACCAACATACCTTTAGAATCATCTGATTCAACAACTGAAAATGTAAGAGTATTAACATATGATTGTTGTGGTTGTTGTTGTTGTTTTGATTGTATTGGTTCTGAATGAATTTCTTCTGGTTTTTGTTGTTGTGGTTGTTGTTGTTGTGTTGAATGATGTTCTTCTACAGCGGCTGTAATAGTTGTTGGAATTGGAAGTGCCGATATTAAAGTCTGTGAATACACTCTTGAAATACTTCTGTGTTGTCCGTGGAGAATGTAGATTGCATTCTCGTGAATACATATATCTTGGATGGCAGTGCTATCTACACGCCACTCGATGACTTCGACCTCGTCAACATCGATGAGAATCAACGATTTCTCATCCCAAGAGATCAAGTTCATTCCATACGGTAGCAGTCTCGCAAATGCCATTGCGGTCACTGGCAACATCGGTGTGTTAACAGTGTCGGCAGCCAGTGGAACCGGTGTCACCACGACACTGCCTTCTTCGCCACCCGACTTGAAGTTCATAGTCGACAGAACCGTACCTTCCACCGGGTCAGCCAGCCAGATTCTCTTACCGGGACGCGAAGCATAGATCGAAGAATTGTGAAGAGGATGATAGCAAGCACCTTGTTTAGTTGGTTTCTCACGCAGCTTCTTTCCGACTTGGATCTGTGAGATCACCTTTCCTGTTTGTGAGTGTGAGATGGTGTAGTTGATTACCACCGACTTGGTGAGTGACGACGCCAAGATCGAGAAGGTGTCGGCAACCGTCGTTGGAATGACGTCGAGCTGAACCAACCGACTGTCACACTTGGTGACGAAATCGGCACTGAATCGCAAGATGAAGTGGCTACTACGACCCTTGGCGACCGAAGAGCAGTAGATGTTTCCAAGGTCATCGCCACTGAATAGATAACCACCGCATGCACTCCAAACGATCGTTGTAATCTCTGCTTCACGTGGATGATCGATTATCTTGAAGAGTTGTTTCTCTTTCTCACGACGACGTCCTTTGTCGGCGGCCAAGTTTGGTTCGATGACATAGATGATCTTGTTGGTTGCCATCGCCACTAGATTGTCGTTGCAAGGCGCCAGCTTTATACTAAAGATAGAATCACGAATCTCATTCAACGAGAGAATCTCAAAGTTACTCTGTAGTGTCTCGTTGGTGAGCAGAGCATTCGGTTTCCTCTCAAAGAAGTACAGACTACCTGTGTTGGCACCCAACACCAAGTACTTCTTTGAGACATCGAAACAAGTGTATTTAACACGTCCACTTGCACCTATCGGTGCCAAAACACCATCCAAGTTATCGACCGACAAAACATATCCATTTGCAGGTTTAGTAATTGTTGTTGTCATTGCATATAAAAACTATCTTTCTATATCTATCCTATCTTTCCTAAAATTATTATTATTTACAAAAACATATGGTAAAACTACAACCTTATTATTATTTAATTATTATTATTAAACTACAAATTATAAATATAAACTAAACTAATATATTATTATCTTTTTATCTAAAAAAAGAGAAAAAAATGATACTGATAATGAAAAATAAAAATTTCTTAAAATCTAATTTTTGGGGGTGTTTTGCAAAAAAACTCTTTTGACTTTTCACTTTTTTATTTGTATAAAATGGGTTGTGTAGATTATTTTTTTTACATCTATAGATTTACATTTAGAAGCAATACTCTGTTGCATGTTCAAATTCATCATCATCATCATCATAATAATCATCTTCTTCTTCATCTTCATAGTCTTCTGATTTCATCTTTCTTGATACGACTCTGCTGGTAGGTGAAGCGATTGAAAGATTATTCAATCCAAACACAAATGAGTTTTCGTTATCGTAATCATCTCCTTGGTCAGCACTGACTGCAAAACGTGGTGTAGTCTTAAATGACTGATTGAATTCAAAAGATGGCATCACACCACCTTGTCTTATAACCATTTTATCTTTGAAAAACTTATCTAATTCATCGTCGTTTCCAATTGCAACTCTAATATGATGAGCTGTTACTCTCTATATTTGATAATAGTATTATTAATATATATATATATGAATATTTACTTATTGTACTATTAGAATATGAAATAACATACTGTATTTCCACCATTACCAGCAATATAGATAGCAAGAGTGAGAATTTCTTTTATGAATTCCTCTACCACACCTGTCAAGTGTGCAACGGCAGCCTTTCCAATGTGACACTTTGAGAATTGCATATCTTTAATGGTTTTCTTCATTTTCGATTGACGAATGAAATGCTCGGACTCTCTAACCTTTCCGCATTCCTTTGCTTGATTTGACATCTCGATACCATTGCCATTTGCCATCATACAGAGATTAGGTGCATCGCTTAGCAACAGTTTAGTGGCAAACAATACATCGTTGGTATTTATTCTCGTACGTTTCGATGTTTCTTTCAGTTGCTGTGTTTGCATGATCAGACTTCGGGTAAAATCACGCATCATAGAGACTATCACCTCTCTGGCCTCTTCGGACATCGATTTACCTTCCACCATTTTAAAGGCTTTCTTTACACTGTTATCTTCCCACTTATAATTCTTTGAGAATGTAGGCATATTTTCGATTAATTTAATTATTATTTTATCAAAATAGTGATAAATAGATATCTATTTAGTTTACAATACAAATAGGTGCACAATAAAAAAAAACAAAACTTAATCTTTAAAATATCATTAGATAAAGAATTTTTACAAATATCTTTTAAAATCAAATTTTTGAATCTATTCTTTTCTTGTAACTATTATTTGTTATAAATTTTATTGAGCATCCTAGATGACCAAGAATATGATTTGTTTGAATCCTATCAAATACTAACTTTATAGAGATTTTATTTATTTAAGTTTAATTGTTTTATTCCTTTGTAGTAGCTTCTTAAGAGGATAAGGAAAATATTTCTATTTCTGATATTGTGAAATATTCAGAACTTGCCAGCCCTTGACCAGTCGGATCTTTGTAAGATTTTGGTCTCTGGTAACTTGAATGGTTGGAATTACATTGATCACTTATGTGAATATCATTACCTTCTCCAAAAATTGGTCCAGACCCAGCAATACCATAAACATTGTTAGTTGAGCCAACAGCTTCAAATTTAATTGGTTGACCATTCCTAATTGAGAATAAGAAGCAGCTATTATCACCAAAGTAAGTACTGTCACTTCTCCAAGAATCATTGCTATATCCACCAAAGATATCGCCAGCAGTTGTTTTAATAATAGTAACTGTCGGTCCTTTGCCATCACATGCTGTATGAAATTTTTTGGCTCCAAATCCATCTCTAGATCCCTTAAAAAAAAATTAATAACTTAATTATTTATACATTCATAGAAAGTTATTTACTTTATATAATTCAGATAGTTCTGCATCACCTATCCATTGTCGGATAGTTTTGAATTGGCTATAGTTAAGAATGTCAGATTTGGAAACAGTGTAAAAGTTAATATGATCGTTAAATTGACTCTTGAGTGATGGTGGAACATTTTCTTTTTCTCCCTGGAGTAAATTTAAGATGTAGATGAAAACTTGGCCATCTCTTTAGAAGGAAAAAAATTAGTATAAGAAATTAAATAAAAAAAAATTAAAAATTTTTAAACTCACTTTGCAATATAGAATGGTTTTAGATTTCCATCTGCATCACAAGATCTCTGTTGTTTTGTTACCATCGTATAAAAAAAAGAATCTTCTTTTTTTAACATTGTTGCCATATTTGTACAAAATTTCGTTTGGCCTACCATCAATTCAATAGGATCCATTGTCATAGAAACATCTATTTTCTTTTGTACTTCTTCCAAATTCATTTTTTTAATTTCCAATTCTTTGATTTCCTCATTTAATGTTTTAATATCTTCTGTGTAAACATTGACTACTTCTTTCATTGACTCTTCAATTTCTTTTACTTTTTTGTGAGTTTTGTCTAACATGATTAAATTATATTTATATACATGAATAAAAACAAATAATATTTATTTTTGAATAAAATCTTTATCCAACCCTTATTTATTTTGTTTTTCATCTCTTAAAGTGCAAAAAAATTTAAAATTGTTGTTTTTTTCGCCAAAAGAAGGAAAATATGAAAATTAAAAATCCTAATATTTAAAGGCCAAAGGTACATCTTTGTATAATAGTTCTACAAAAAGTTAGAATTCCATTCATTTGATATTTACTTCTTATAGATAAATTTTTTAAACTAAATTTGGTAGAAGTCTAATAAAAACAATCTACTATTACTTTTGCAAAAATAAAATTGAAAAAGAAAAATGTATGTATTTATTTAATATTAACCAAATAAGACAATTTTAAAATTCTTTTAAGGAAACAATCAAGTACCCAAATAAAATTAAAATTAAATTTTTTATATTGTTGTGTATTTTTAAATATCCATATTAAGAATTCTGAATAATATGAAAACATAGGCCTCCATTCTTTAGGTGTAACCTCATTGCATTTGTACTAAAAATAATCATAAAACACAACACGTCCATTTATGTAGGACTATGCAAGATGTCATGAGCAACAAATATATTTTGATTATTTTTAATGTGTTAATACACTTCAGAGGATTGATATTGTTATATATGTGATTTCAATCACATATCTAGATATATTAGGGATGTGAATGCAAATGATGTTTTAGAGCTGGATGAAACATTTTGATCTAATGTTTTAATTAACTTAAAATATTTTATTTGATGGCAAATTATATATTTTTAATTGGTTTTCTTTTGACTTGGTCTTGGTGATCTGTAGCTCTTGAAATAAAAGTTAAGGAAAAGTGCCAAGAAACTACCAATAACAAAGTTGGAGAATTGTGTTCCAAACATTGAACCGTTGCAGGTAGAGGTGTGGAAGAAGTAGTGCCATACTCCGTGCAATGAGATGTCGAAAACGAATTGGATGATTTGGACTCTAGTAATGTATTTCTTCCACCATGGGCTTTGTCCCTTTTCACACAAATAATAGTAGTAGTACATAACGATATGTACAAAGCAGTTGGCGGTAATGTCTCCCCATTGGATACCGGTATTTTGATCAAGATTTACCCAGCACAACCAGAAAGTAATGAAATGATGGTAAACATGCAAGAAAATGAGTTTTTTCTGGAATTTAAAACAAGTGTTAATAATTAATTAGATATATCACAATATTAAAAATAATAGTAATTATTAATTACCTTTCTTAAAACTAAAAAGACGGTATCTAAAAATTCATAGACTTTGGAGAGGTAGAAAATGTAAAAGAAGAATTCGACTTGACCTTTGGTGACTGGTTGACAAGCCAAATGGTAGAGACCTTGAGGAGCCTCTGTTCTGAAGAGTGGTATCAAGATACCGAGGAACATGGCCAATGACAACAATGATAGGAACAAGTTGTGTGCCAAACAGATATAATGTAATTTAATTTCCTTTCTGTTCTTCATAAACTCTTGCAAAGCGAAAATGACGACCAAATAACTGATTGTAGCGATTGCTGGAGTCCAAATCGACGAGAATGGTGTCACTCCTGTTTTCCACTCGAAATTATTGACATAATTGATGATGTCTTGGCTATTGATATTTGAAATATCAATTCTTAATAAACTGTTCATCCTTTATTCTCTATACAATGCTGCACGTAATATACAACTATGACAATCGACTTTTATATTAAAAAAAAAAAAAAAACTATCTAGAATTATTTAAAAGAAATAGAAAAAAATAATGTTATTAATTTATTTATTATAATAAAGAATAATTTTATATAATGTTATTATTACTATTATTATTATTATTGTACAGTACGATCGAAAATAGATATATATACAAATAAGTATAATAGTTTTGTTTTTGTTATAGCTATAAAAAAATAATCAACTATTTATAAGATTGTAGGATTGGATGGTTTATAAGGTGGTTGATTGAGACATCCATCTTCCTTCTTCTTTAAAAACATTAATTACAACTTTAAATTTGGTAATTTGATATTTCTAGAGGAGGTGTTTATTATATTAAGTTTCTATCAAACCTTGAGATTGGGATTTGAATGGATTGGATAGATATGAGATTATTGCATATTTAATCAAAATGTTTTAATAATTTAATTTCTTGGTGCGCAATAGAATGAATAATAAACCAAAAATAATAAATATTTAATAATATCATATCTGGATGTATGTATAGTTTTGTTTTTTGGCAGGTGTTTGTTTAGATGATGGTGGGTGTGTGGTTAATCAAACTTGGGTAAAGACAGACATAGAAAAAAAAAAAATAAACACATTGTGTGTGATATTTTAATAGCAAAAAAGTAAAAAACAACAACAATTAAACGATATATAAGAGATAAAGAGAGAAAGTTTAACTACTCTTTTACTTTTAAGCTAATTTGCAAACAAAATTGCTCTAAATTTCAATCCTGATCATGTTATTAACTATTGGTGCAAAGAAAAGTAATAAAACTAGTTGCAAATGATATTATTTAAAAATATAAAAAAAACGAAATAAAAGTGCTCTTAATTGGGAATTCTGGTGCTGTGGGATTTGCAAATCTTTGTGTGGGAGAATGAACTTTAGATGATATAAGAGGATAGCAAAATGATATTTGTTTAAAATATAGAAAGATTGAAATGTTTACTTGTATATAATATAGAATATTAAAAAATTAATCTGATATTTACATTTTAAATATAAATAGATAAGATAATAAGTTTTCAAGCTCGGTTGCCTTAAATTTATTTATATCTATGTGAAGAGGATGTGTAGAGATGGATGGTGCCGGTCGGTGGTATTGAATTTTGTAAAATGATTTAACAAAAATAAAAAAATAAAATAAAATAAAATAGAATAGAAATTGAAAAAAAAAAAAAAAATTTATTATTTGTTGATTTTGTTGATTGTTGTTGAAGTCTAATGAGAAATAATCTGACTTTGCATCACGTAACAACTTTGGTGTTGACCTTATTTTGAAGACTTCAAATCAAATCCTACATGCGGTAATGTTTTGAAATCGGTTAGTGGCGAGGGGTACCTACCAAGAATGGAGTGTCCAAATCAAATGAAAAACAATTGACTATAACTAATATTACATAACATTGACAAATAAAGAATTTGCTTTTTGAAAAAAAAAAAACAAAACTAAAGAAGAATACATGGAGGAAGGATGATGATGTTATCATGAAAATCGTTAAATCAAATTATTGCATTTGAAACGACCTGCATCATCTGTGGAGTGGTGGTAGTATGATTAAAAAAAATATAGTTGGCAACCCAACCAACACACAACGAAAATCTCACACATAGCATGTCGACCAAAGCGAGTGGTGCCCTTGAAAGTAGAATAAAAATGAAAATTCTATCAAATATCTTTTTAAAAAGATAATATTTTTATTCAGCTTTGTTTCAAAAACAAAATAAAACAACCACCCAAATTCACATCGATAGGCATAAGTTGGACAGTTTTTTTTTGACCTCGAAAATTTTGAGCATCAACATCAGCGCATCTTAATTCTTTTGCTACTTTTTCATTTTCATTTTTGTTTTTGCAAAAAAAAAAACAGCTCATAAGATGAGGTTTGGGATGCATGCTTGTTCCACAACAATTTTTTGAACTTTGTTAATATTTCTCATATATAAAAAAAAAAAAAAAAGTTACGTAAAATACCGATTAGTAATTCTCTCTCTAAAACCCGATTATTTGTAAGAGTAATTTTCTTTTGGGATTTTTGTGTTTTTTAATTTAATTCTACCATGGTTTATTTAAATATCAAAACATAAAATTTATTCTAAATATCTTGATTTTATTCTGCTTTGCAAAGAAACACACTTGTTTGATCATTTATTAACAAGTTTGTTGGTGAGTCAGAGGTAATGATATTTTTTTTGATCAGAAATTTTCATGAACATTTGCATCGGCAAACAAATCTATTAATAACCAAACAATTCCCACCATTAAAGCATTAGATTCTGACAATAAGATATTTATTGAATTTAAATGATGTGATATTATGTCAACAAAATAAATTCAAACCACAGATTTAATTGATTGATTTGTGTAAAATGGATGTTAAATTAATGATTTAATGATTTATTTATCTCCTTGGTTGTCTATTATTTCTAGTTGATCGATCTGATTGGAATTGATATCCTTCGGCATCCCTAAACTCATTATCATTTTTACCTTTTAGTTGATTTCTCAATGGTGAGGTATCGAAATTATACTATAATAATTTAAATTACAGATATTTAGATATTTTGTTAATTAAAATATAAATAATAAAAAAATCGGTTTTTTAATGCTTACCATTGATGCTCTCTTTGATACTTTTGAAAAGTTATTTAATCTTTCCAAATATACCATGGTTGCTTTCTGGTCGTTCTCTTTTTCCTGAGCCATTTGTTTTCTTGGATCGTTTTGTTGTTGTTGTTGTTGACCGGTGTTGCTAGCAGATTCTTCATCCGATGAATAGTTGTTGTTATTGTTGTTGAGAGTTGATTTGTTTGTGGTTACCTTCTTAGTTTTGGTCTTTGAGCTGCTACAGTGTGGACAGGCAGTGTGCTTACCCAGACATGTGGAATGCAAAGAATGACCGCATTGGAAGATGATAACGCTATCGGTGGGAGTGACATCGTGAATCTGTCCGTTGAACTCCTTCAATGGACGGTTGCACATCAAGCAGCGAGCAGCGGCAGGCGAGTAAGCACGCGAACGACGCTCGATATACTCCGAGGTGGTAGTATACATATCGCGTTGAATCAACTGGTTGGCAGTGTTCAGTATGCTCGTCTCGAACGTGCAGGTGTCAAGCATTCCACTGATGATCGACTTGAAGTCACCGAATTCATCGCTACCATGATCGTTTACAATCTTTGTGAGGATCAAAGGCAACGCTACATATCCCATCATATTATTAAGAATATAGTGAACCAGCTTGTTGAGGAACGTAGTTGACTTTACATAGACAGCACTCTTTGGTTTGTTGGTAGTTCTATCTATCGATTGATTCAGTATCGATGTATTTTCTTGCATTGCGATATTGGTATTCTCTGTATGATTCAGCGATAGTTTAATCTTTCTTACAAACACAACAATAGTATCCAATAGTTTAAACCAAATCATCTATTTTTAACATTTTTAATAATTAGTATTATTATAGTGTGAAGAAACAGTACAGTCGATGATAAAAACTTACTTGATTTTCAGTATTTTGAAGTTTAGCAGAGTTTCTCTGACATAGAGCAATAGCATTGTTAAGGATATCCATAACTTCCTTTTCTTGTGGTGATGGCTTATCATTCTTTATGTGCTTTACATTTGCAAATATAGTAGAGAATTGTCTAAGAAGATCTTCAATCTTTGTCTTTAAAGTCATCAATATCATTTCCAATGCCTTTGGTACATCACCTGTTCTCTCTAAAAGATAGGTTGCACCTTCAAAGTTATTATATTGTTGACAAATCTATTGAACCAATTAACTATTAGTATTTGTAATTATTAACAATATAGTTATTTTAATGTTTTTTTATACTTTACCTTTAAACATGCATCTAATGGATAATCATCATGAGATGAAAGATATTTATAAACGGCTTGTGGGGAGAACATACACATCAGTTTAATGTAGAGTTCGTAGGTTTCGTTTGAGATATTGATTCCAGTTCGTTGTGTGAATGATTTGCTGTCGGAATTAGTTTGTTTCGGGTCAACACCACCGAGTAATCCAACCAAGTAGGTGAACTGTAGTTTGGGGAATGAGCTCAGTTCCTTCAATATCTTTTCGTGGTCGGCTGCAAAGTGATCCATAATCAATTGGGCGGTCTGTTGACTATCGATGATAATCAACTGTGCCAGAGTGGATATGGTTGTGTTCTTGATGATGTTTCTCGATTCGTCTGAAAGATGTGGCTGTGAGAGTAACTCACGGATATAGTTGAAAGAGTCTGACTTGGTAAGAGGATCTTTCACCTGGCACATAATCATCTTGCTGTAATTCGATTGCAGTGAATAGAGATATTGGATGACACGATAGAATTCATTGCCTTCACACAGCACCAGTAGTCGCTCGTAGTCGAACGCTTCAATGGGGAGTGTTGTGATGATGGACAACAAAGCAGTTTGGCGTTCCTGACTATTGAAAATGTTATTGTCCTTATCCTTGTCATCTTTGTTATTGGTGTTGTTTGTTGTAAAGTAAAGTGGAGCGGCTGCCAGTAATCCAATCATTCTATTCATGAGAACATGATCGATGTGATTGAATAGCTTCTTTTTGTAGCAGTTGGCGAGTAGGACAAATAGCTGACCTTGTTGCTGTAGTGAGAATGGCCACTGTTCATTCTCTTTGATGTCATAGGGCTGTTGAGATCGGTCAATCATAATGAGCAGTAAGACAGAGAACATTGTCAGGTGATTCAGGTTGGAGCTGCTCACGTTGAATGGAATGGGTGGAATCACAAGCGTGGCATTGGGGTCGTGAGTGGCCAGGAACTCATCGTCGAATGTCGTCGAGAGAATCTTGAGTGTCTCTGTCGAGTCAAACTTGATGAGATTGTACAATCTTGGATAGGGTGTTGGATCCTCGGGGAACAAGTTTCGAAGGAACAGATATTCAAGAACCTGTATCTTCAAGGACGGTACACGCGACGCTGCTATCATTCCAGTGGGGAACGATCGACCCGACAAACTATATTGTAGGTACAACAACAATCGATAGGCAACATCTTTCGATTCGTTATCGACCAACTTGAATGACGAGCCAACTGTTGGTTCATTCGAGTTGTTTCCATTGGGCTTGATGAATACTTCCATCATGTCTTCGAGTGGAGTGATATAGTCATCCAAACCCTTGTTGTAAAGATAGATAATTGCACTGTACAATCCATGTTTACGACAGAGAATAACAGTCTGATGGAAATCAAGTGATGCAATATCCAAGTGTAGTAAACATTGTTCGGCACGCGACAAGACGTGTCGCTCTTGGTAGTGTGACATCATGTACTGCATAACTTCTGGGTTCAAGTTGGAGAGACGATCTCTCAGGATGTAGGGTTCGAGGAACTCGAGGAATATTCCAACCATCGATGCCTCCACATAGTAATTGAATACCTCTCCAAATAAAAAGTCGGTTCGCTTCACATCGATACAAAACTCAATCGATATCAATGCCAACTGTTGGTAGATGTTCATTCGGGCGATGGCCGGATCCAGCGGGTAGCTTCCATCGATTACATCATGAAACATCGATTTGGGAATGAGTGAGTGATCTCTAATTTGTTCGGCTGAAGAAGTGAACACCAAATGACAGAGTTGCGATAGGATTTCAATGGTTTTGTCAGAGGTGATAACTTTGGAGTCGACGGTATTCGAGTTGAGTCCAGTGGCTGCCTTGGCTTTGCCCTCGTAGAAATCCAGTGAGAGACACAGCGCTTCGAACCACTGATGGTGACTCACCAAAATCGAAAGTCTCTCCAACCACGTCAAGATATGAGCAGAGAAGAATCCATTCATTCCGAGCATATACATATGAGATTTCAATGTTCGGAATGTATTGTGGAATGAATAGACGTTCTGGAATTTCGAGTGGTGAATCAGTTGCATCGATTTTATATTGACAGACTCCACTTCCTCCAGCGCGAATGGATCGAATACACGAAGTTCATCGCGACTATTCAAGATGAGAATGGTCTGCGAGTCGATCCATTCCAAACCGCAGATATCGTTGTCCGTTTGGTACTCTGCTACAATGATAAACTCTGGCGATTGGAATTTGAGATCGTTGGGATGTGTAACGATTTGAAGCAATTGGATATTCGAGCCCCAGCCAATTGCCAGGATCGGCTCTAGCGGCTTGCTATGTCCGAGCGACTTGTTGTAGCACACACGTCGCCACGACAAGTACGGAAGCACGCCAGTCGATTTTACATAGGCAGGCTTGGAGATCTTGTTGTTCAGAATACTGACACCCTCCATCGATGCAGAGATAATGAGAATCTTCCGCTTGGTAGCCAGTGCAATGATATACGATCGATCGGTTGGATGAGGATAGTTTCCGGGCAGGAGCAGAGCGATCGATAACACAGGACCGAGATTTCCATTGAGCAACAGTTGTTGATCCACTGTGAACGACATCAAACCACGCTGTACAGTGAATATATTGGTGACACCGTGCGCGTCAGAACTGATGAAACGGTGACCGTCAGCAAAGAACTTCAAGTGAAGTATCGGATGTTTGTGATATTTGCTATCCAATATCTTGAGAGGTTTGCCCGATTGCACGTCCCAGAGAATGGTCTGTCCGTTTTGATGACCACTGATAAGCCAATCTTCATTCACCTTGCAACTCGGCAAATCGATAGCAGTGACACTTCCACTGTCTGCACAAATGGCGCCACCAATAATACTTAGCAACTCTTGATGATAATTGAATATCAATATATATCCATGTGAAGTACCTATACAAATATATTTTGCAGTCTAAACAAACTTTAATTAATAGCTATTCTCTATTTGGATGTGATTAATAAAACTAATTAATAATAGTTATCCATACACTAAAACAAGTTGGAAAACCAGTCTCTTTTCTAATCTCAATGGATGACAGTTGTTCAGAGATCTTTGTGTAGTATTGAGGTTCCACAACGATTCCATTGAATGATTTTCTGGCGTTCTTTGACTGCCAAAGCATTGGAAGTGGTGCCTGTGCCATAGACAGCAGCTTTTCACGTTCCTCTGCAAGTGTCAACGGTGATGATTGTGTTACAGGTTGTTGTGAATTGCTATTATTGTTAATGCTACTGTTATTATTTAGTTGTAGTAGATCTAATGTACTACCACTGTGACTGCTGATACTGTTACTCTGGTCAGCAGTTGATTCAGCATCGTCATCGTTCATCATCAACAGATCATCTATATCATCCTGGTCGTCGTCTCTCAGGATATCGTTCAAGTCAATATTTACATTCTCAATATCTACATCGTCGTCTTCCTCATTCAATATCTTTTTCAATAGCTCTTGGTCAATGATATGTTGTGGTTTATCATTCCATTCACTAGAGGTTCTCTGTATCATATTACATAATTAGTTTTTTGATTTATATTTACATTGTCGTCATTTACTAGATATTTACATTGAATGAAGATGAAGATGCACTACTCTTTAGAGGTGAGCTTGTTGATTGACTACCACCACTATTATTGCTATTCTGATCTATTGAACTAATGTTGTTATTACTAATATTATTATTATTATCATTGTTGTTGTTATTGTTATTTATATTTGGTAATGAAGATGTCGAGTTGTTTAAAGGTGAAGGTGATCCATTGTTTGAAGAGCTAGCTGTATTATTGACGAAATGAAACAGTTTATTCTGTTGTGGTTGATGCTTTTGCATTGGATCATAGATTCTAACTGTTGGTGGTGGAGGTGCACTCAATATAGATACCATGTCAATTGTTTGTTGTTGTTGTTGTTGTTGTTGTACATTGTTATTTTCATTTGAAATTGTACTACTATTTCCATTGTTATTATTATTATTACTATTTACACTTAATCTTCTAGGTAGTTGTTGTTGTTGATCTACATTGTTATTGTTATTATTATCATTTTTATGATTATTACTTCCACTGTTACTTCTACTTTTATTATAACTCATAATACTTCAGTATAAGCTTATTACTAATTATAGTTATAATATATATATTCTATATCAGTATAAAAATTGCAAAAAATAATATTATAAAGTTAAATGAATTATAATCTTTCACAAAAAATATTGAAAATTTTGGATGTTTTTTTAATTAATATGAAGATGCAAAGTTGTATTTTTTGTGAAAGATTATAATTCACAAAAAAAAATCTAAAAAAAAAAATAAGAAATAAGAGCAGTATTAAAATGTTGGTTAACTACAAATAAATTTTTGGTGATGATGATCAATTCTTATTCATCTAATGATTTATTGATAAAAAAAAAATCAGCCAAAGTCAGGTGCATACTAATGGCGTCTTTAAAAGATGAAATATCTCTTGAAAAATGGGTTCATACAAATAATTATATCTTGGTATGATTTGAATTCCAAGAGCAGTTAGGGAAATGAGTCAATTATTTCATCATTCTTAATCAATGCTCCAGAAATTGACAGATTTGTTTTTCAAGACAGTAAATCTTGAAAAGTTTTAATTATTTAAATAATTATGAAATAATTAATAAGGATATCCAAAAAAAGTAAATAAAATAAAATAAAATAAATTAAATTAAAATCATGATTTTCATCAACAAATAGAATAAAATAATTTGTAGTTACACTTTTGATATCAATAATATCGTCCACTATCATAATTTTTAAAATGTAATCATTTTATTTATTTTAATGTAATTCGATACCTTTGTTCTTTTTCTTTCCAAATTTATCTTTTAAATTGATAGACATATATTTTAGTTTTCTTTTTAATACAATAGCCAAAAGTACTATTATCGATATGGAGCCAACAACAACGACTACTATGATGGTTGGAATTAACCATTTTCTTGATTCTGATCTACATCTAGAGTCACCAGATCGATCGGTGTTGACCAAAACTGAAAAATCAGGATCGATAATACATTCAAGACAATAGGGCAATGATATTCCAATGAATGACTGACCAGTGAAAACTGTTGTGTTGATCAATTGATTGTTGACTTTGACGACTCTACCATTGTCAACCACTGAATATGGAAGGAATCTACCATAGAATGTCTTGTCATTCATCATCACCTTCAAGTAATTGATATCATTGATATCTTGGCCATCGGCAATCGTATCTGAATCGCAATCATCTTTGGTATTCTCAATGGTTGTTGTCATGATAACTCGAAGATGATTCAACTTGTCTTTATAACTCCAATTGTTAATCTTTATCGTCAGCTTAAGTGAACCTGCAGCATAGGTTGTTGGATAACCTCCGAATTCAACCACTCTATCTTTTGTTGATTGCTCAATCGTTGCATTGATCGATGTCGATGTTGAACCAACCATTATATTATAGTTATACGTTGTAAGTGTATCTTTGGTAGTTGAGGTTGAACTCCATTTCTCTGTGAATATTTCATTGACAATCTTTTCATCTGAATCTATTTCCTGGATTGCAATGATATTGAATTTAAATTGAATTTTCTCCTCTACGATGATTGTTGGTTCCGGTGCTGTTGGTGACGGATTGACGATGACATCACCTCCCTGCAGTTTAGAGTCACAGTAGAATCCACTGTATCCATTGTTACACTGACAGAATGCATTGATACATTTTCCATTTCCACCACAGGCATCGTTAGCACCACAATTATTGATATCGGGTGGTACATAAACCAGAGTATCGATATTCAATCTTGTCATAGTGTCGGACACCGTGATATTATAGTATGGTCTCTTTGATATTGCGATATCACAAACCAACTTTGTATCGGATACCTGTACGTGAATACACGGAATTCTTCTTGAAGACGTATCAAAACTATCATTTAAAACACTGATAATGAAATTGGAAAATGGATTGAATTTACCAAAGATGTTAATTTCACTAAAAGTTTCATTGATATATGTTGCATTTGCTCTCCTAATTTGTGCTATAATTTATATAAAAGTTAATTGACTATCTATTGTTTCATATTCAATAAAAATAAACTTACGTTCAATTCCCCAAACAATATCAAAAGAAAGATTTGTTTTTGAATTTAGAACTATTGTTTCTTTTCCCTGTAAAGTTAATGGAGTGTATCTATTATTTATTAAATAAAATTAATATAATTATTATTTTTAAAGATTTATAAATAATCATTCTATATTTACTGGATTAATTTGTTTGGTATGACATTTGCAACTCTTGAACCATAGTATCTAGATCCCAGATTTTTACCACTAATATATAATGGACCTGAATGAATTTATGAAATTAGTATTTCTAATTTGATTAATTTAATAATACAACAATAATACTTACTAAGAGAGTTTACATAAAATAATGTTTGATTATATACAATTGCTTTGAAAAATATAATTAGTTTAGTTTTAAATGAATTTCGATTATTATTTTGTTATGTTTTTAACTTACGACATTGAAAATCCACTGGTGGTGGAGGTGTGTTCGAAGGTAAGATTTTCTGATATTGGTCCCAATAACAGTAGTAACAATCGGGGACATAAATGCTTAGATTGTTTTGGGCCACTCCCAATTGACTGTCTATTTTAAATCCAAAAATATAACAATTTGATTCATATAAATATCCACTTAATCTTGTATTATTAATGAGAACTATAGATCTTGGTGATTTTGCTCCCAAGTCTTTTACACCTCCACCAATTAAAGAGTCATAGATGTTTCTATTATTATCAAACTATTAGTAAACTAGCATAGTTTTTAAAGAAAATTTTAAATTTACAAATTAAAATCTGGTTTGAACCAACTTTCATCAGGAAATACTCCACTACCATATCCACTCAAATTTCTAAAAAGAGAACCTGTATTAATAAACAATATAAATAAGATAATCTAATCTAATTATGATATTTACAGAAGTCCCAAATTTGAAGCATTTGTTATTGGGGAATCTACATTAATAAAATTTCTTTGAAAAAAACAATAATTTAATTAATAACTATAAATTTGGATGCGAAAAAGAATATACATTACACATTGGATAGTCTTGGAAATTTATTTAGTTCACTTGGTGTGAATTGGCAACTTTCAAAATCTCTTTATTAAAATAGCTTGGGGTTAGTTTATTTTTTATATTTTTATATTGATTAAAAACTTACATATAAATCAATTCTGGTAAACTATTCATATTCACAGTTCCTTTTTTCACAGTTCTACAAAATTTATAAATAAGTTATCATTATTTTTAAGAATTTTAAAATGTAAAAGATACATACAGTCTTCTAAGAGTTTGAGATTCTACACTGATTTCAAAAGGTGTATTTTGAGTATAATACCTAATTATTATTATTAGTATAATTATGTAAATAAGAAAAAATGAGTTTTTGGTAAATATTGTTTTAAAATCAATTCAACTTACAAAGTAATAATATTTGGAAGAAATTCTGTTGTTACCATTAGATTGATATATCCAAAATCACCTAAATCTATTTCTCTTTTATGATAAAGTATCAATAAATTGTAAGTTATCTATAGTTAAATTTAAAATATTTACAAATTTTGAATTGTTGAAAATTTTTGGGTGATCTTGATCATATTACCCAAAACTTGATTCCCGACAAATTTAACAGATTTCATAGGGGGTAGGAATATTGATTCAGTCACATTGCTATTAAAAGTATTTGAACTCAATTCTCTATTTTGGAATAAATGCAATAAAATTAGTTTGAAAATAATCTTTGGTTGTTTATAGAATACTTACAATGTGGTAAGATTTTTAAGTTTAGAAGGGAAGTTATCAATATGACCGGTGATAGTATTCCGTAATAGCGCTATATTATTCAATTTTATATTTTCAGCTTGATCTAGGAGAAAAAGAATGTTGTAGACAGGATCAGAAGCGTAAGTCGAGTCAATTGATATTGATTCAAGATTTGTGAATATTAAAGCTAAAATCGGTTCTACTGATTGAAATGTAGTAGAATTTTGAGGTATTGCGCTTTGTAATATATAAAAAAAGAAAAATGTTAGTAATACTACTAATATACTAGGTTTGATAATAATATACACCTACATGGTTTTTACAAATTCTTTTTGATCAGAATTGACTCCACATTGTAAATATAGTGGATTATTTATAATCTCTACACAGGATGTATTATTCAAATTCCAGATTAAACCGTACTGTTTGATCAACCATCTTAAATTTGACACTAGAGTAAATAAACAATAACAATATAATCAATTTATTGTAAAAACAATTATAATCTTCTTAGTTTTCTTACATTCGGAAGCTATCAAATCTGATTTTACAACTAAACTATTTAAATATATTAAACAAATAAACAAAAATAGATATTTCATTTTATGATAAAAATAAACAACATTTTTTTTAGCGACAATATTTTATCATGATTTTCTAAAAAAATAAAAAATAAAAAAAAAAAACTTTTTTTAAGTGTGATTAATAGTCAAATCTAAAGATCTTGTTTTTCTTCTTGGATTTTTTGGAACTTAAAAAAAAAAATCAAATCTAATTGTGTTGTGATTAAAAATATCATTTGATTTATTCTCATTCTACTTCTTTTTCTTTTGTTTCTTTTTGACATTCCTATTTATTTAAGTCTTCTGCTAAGTGTTAAGAATAATGTGATTAATATTGTTAGAGAACACAACTAAGGCTACAACGAATGGAATTAACCTTTTGGTATGAATGTTGCCTATGAGGTGTGGTGAACCAGGTTACAATATAAAGATGATCAATTATATTGACTCATAGGTATACATAAAAACTATTGTAATAAATAAAGCTACTTCTTTCATATTTAAATATTGAATCGAACTCTCTATCTGCTTTGTTTGGATATGCCTACAGAAAAAAAAAAAAAAAAAAACAAAAATAAATTTAAGTGAATTGTGTGTCTAAAAATATCATTTGATTTATTCTAATTCGACCATTTCTTTTTTGTTTTTTTTTGATATGACATCTTTTATGTGCATTCCCATATATTTAAATTTTCTTCTAAGAGTTAAAAATAATGTGATTAATATTGCCAGAGAACCAACAACTACGACTACAACGATGGTTGGAATTAACCATTTTCTTGATTCTGATCTACATCTAGAGTCACCAGATCGATCGGTGTTGACCAAAACTGAAAAATCAGGATCGATAATACATTCAAGACAATAGGGGCAATGATATTCCAATAAATGACTGACCGGTAGAAACTGTTGTGTTGATCAATTGATTGTTGACTTTGACGACTCTACCATTGTCAACCACTGAATATGGAAGGAATCTACCATAGAATGTCTTGTCATTCATCATCACCTTCAAGTAATTGATATCATTGATATCTTGACCATCGGCAATCGTATCTGAGTCGCAATCATCTTTGGTATTCTCAATGGTTGTTGTCATGATAACTCGAAGATGATTCAACTTGTCTTTATAACTCCAATTGTTAATCTTTATCGTCAGCTTAAGTGAACCTGCAGCATAGGTTGTTGGATAACCTCCAAATTCAACCACTCTATCTTTTGTTGATTGCTCAATCGTTGCATTTATCGATGTCGATGTTGAATTTACTGTTATATAATAGTTATACGTTGTAAGTGTATCGATAGTAATAGTTGTTGAATTCCATTTCGAGGTGAATACTTCATTGACTATTGATGAATCTGAATCTATTTCTTGAATGGAAGCAATGTCAAACTTGAACTTAATCTTATCTTCTACGATGATGGTCGGTTCTGGTGATGTTGGTGATGGATTGACGATGACACCTCCTCCTTGCACTGCAGAGTCACAAAGGAATCCACTATAACCAGTAAAACACTGACAGAATTTATTGATACATGCACCTTTGCCATTACATTGATCATTAACACCACAATTATTTTGTTCTGGTGGTACATATATACCGGTATCAATGAACAAGTTGGTTATAGTGTCATCCACGGTAATGTTATAGTAATTTGCTTTGGCAATTGGCATGTTACAAGTAATAGTTGTACTGTTGACTTGGACATTATTACAAGTTTGGTTATATACTTGAACTGTAAAATTAGAATACATATTGAATCTTCCTGAAATATAAAATTCACAATAAGTTTCATCTACATATAAATATCCAGCTCTTTGAATTTTAGCTATAAAAAATAATAAATATATATTAATTACATAAATAACAAAAAAATATAGAATCATATTAAAAGATATATACGTTCAACTCCCCATACTATGTCAAATCTATGAACTGATTCTGGTGAAAATTGTAAAGTTGCTTTTCCTTGGCTACTAGGTAGACGATATCTTTAGAAATATAGATATATTAGATTACTTTTTTCTTTGATTATTATTATTAATATTAATACTTACGTTAACAACTTGTTTGGAATATTGACACTTAGATTTTTTGCATCATATCCTAATCCTATATTATTTCCACTGATAAGAATGGATTTCAAACCTTTTTAATTGATTATTTTGGTTAATATTGATCCTAAATGATTATTAAACTAGCTATTATATTTACTTAAATCACTTGGAACATAGTATAAACTTTTATCAACAGTAAAATCTATAATTAACAAAAAAAGAATTAATTAATTATTTAGTATGTATACATGTAGGTTGATAGAATTTATGTTTGAAACCTACTACAATGAAATCCCGCTGGTGGTGGATTGGTATTTGGTGGAAGACTTGAAAGATACATCTCCCAATAGCAATAGAAACAATCTGGAACATATGGTGATGTTAAATTACAATCAGAATTATAGAAAGAATAACAATTGGAATCGAAAAGCACAGTGCCTAACTTGGTATTGTTTTTGTAACTCAATAAGTTTGGAGTACGAGATCCATAGTCAACAGTATCACCTTCAAAAAATGAATTTTTCATTGATCTTATAAAAACACAATATTAGTTCCCTATCTATATTTTTGCTTTCGATTTATAATAATTACAATGAAAAATTTGGCGCAAACCATTTTGCTGGTGGTGCAGGTGAAAGTGGATATTGATCTAAAATTCTAATATTATTGTTAACAAAGATATCATTTAAAGTAAAAATAATTATTGTTTTTGAATTAACTTACATATTTTTAAAATTGGCTCCATTGGATATTGTATTATTCGGTGAAAGTAAATATCTATATTTCATTTGAAAAAGAGTGAAGTTAATAAGTAAGTAGAATATATATTTATAAAAATTAAATAAAAATAAATACAAATTTGTTAAACTTGGAAAACCACTTAGATCTGACGGAGAAAATGTTGAACCAGTTATATGTCTTTAAGCGTGTGATATTTTTAAATTAGTATTGTTAATAAATAGTACTACAATCCTATAGGTAAAAAAGATACAAACAATTCAAATAATTTAGGTAAAGGTCCCAAGTTTAAATTAGCATTTACAACAGATCTAAAACATTAAGTATTAATACATTTTTTTTTTCTTAGTTTTTACTAAAAAACCTACAAATTTTCTATTGAATTGGAAGCTATATTAAGAGTATATGGTAGTTTTTGGTCGGTTGATCTATAAAATTATAATTTAAATTATTATTAATAAGTTTATAAATATACTATTGATGTCTAATTGAACATACAAAGTTTTAAGAACAGGCCATTGAGCTGCATTAAAGTCCAAGCTATTTAATCCAAGATTATACAATCTTATAAATCTAAAAGAGATAAATTAGATAGTTAATAAATCACTTGTAATTGATACCAGAAAAAAACATACAGGAAATCCATAGAATCAAAAGTGCTACCATCATTTTTAATCTTAAAAGTACCAGACCCAAATGTATTTTCGTTTAGAATTACTCTTGCCATTGGTGGTTTAAATATAGAACTGGTAAGATCTGATTTAAAAAAATTAAAACTTAAAGATCTATAAGGAAAAAATATTGTTTAATAGATATATATTAAAATAGATTATATTTATATACTTACAAAGATGTAAGATGGTTCAAATTTACAGGAAATATACTAATATAATCGCTAAAGGAGATAAATGAAAGAGAAATGCTGTTGAGATTTACGTTCTCTGATTGATCTATGAGCTGAAGTAGATCATAAGTTGAATTGTAAGAGTAGGTAGTACTGATTAAAAAAGTTGTTAAATAGGGAAAAACTATTTTTTCTATGGGATTGGGTTGACTACCATCTTTCACTTTCTGGGGAATTGATCTATCAAATTGGTTCAATGATTAGATTAGATTTTAAAAAAGAAAGTAATTTCTTTTCAACCGAAAATACAAACAATGAAGATATATGATCAACTTGATCGGCGTCTCTTATACACTTTATTCTTTCAGGATTTGAACTTATTTGTGTGCAATCGGCAGAAGTTAGACTCCAATCTAAGCCAAACTGTTGAATGAACCATCTTAAACAATAAACTAAAGAAAATCAAATACTTTAGTTTAAGTGAAATCTTACATATCTATTTAATATCTATCATACGTTCAGAAGCTTCAATGTCAGATTTCACAACTATTAGATTGAAAACAATAAAAACAATTAAAAATAAAGCTTTTGATTTATACATTTATTTATTAATCTGAATCTATCTAGATTTATATATATAATTGATTTAGAAATTATAAATCAAGATGACGAATGACTTCCAAACAAACATCTGGTTTAAGAAATCATAAACACGGAAAAAAAATTAAAAAAAAAAAATCAAAAAGAGATATTTATTAAAAATCTCTATATTTTCGATTTCTTAGATGGTTTTGGTCGAACTTGAATTTCAGAATAATCTTTTAATATTTCTATTTTTCTTGTTTCATTCGACACATTCGTTACCAATAAAAGTTAACTTCTATAAAAAATTAATTTTTTTTTTTTGAGGTTTTTTATATTTAATTTCTGTTTTATTTAATAAAATTCTTTTTCCAAAACAATTCTACTAAAAAAAGTGTATAGTTGGGCGATCAAAAAAAAAAAAAAACCGATCGGTTTTTGTCGCACACCATTCTGATTCTCTCTGAATAGCAACACAAAAATAAAAATTGTTTAAAAATAAAAATTTATTATGAACGTCGATCAAACTACTAATTATATTTGTAGTAATAATAATAATAATAGTAATAATAACAGTTATGAAATTGGTAATTTATTTAATCAATATAAATTAACTCCAGAACTCTATTTCAATGAATCAAGTAAAGTGCTTGATTATGTGATCAATAACAAAAGCAATGAAAAGAAGCTACAATATATAATATTAATTTATCAGACCTATCATTCACTGTATAGATATGATAAAGATCACCTAACAAGTGTTGAGCACCTCTTACAATCGATCAAAGATACTCCCACATGGAATTCACTTCACAACTACATCATCAATTCACCACTCACCCTAAACATACAAAAACATGGTGACTATCATTCTCTATTTAAATATATTCCTTCATTTGAATCTTTAATAATGAATAATAATAACTATAATTGCTATAACAATAACAATAATAAATCACCAACCATTTCAAATCTACTATTACAATATATTTTGGAGATATTATTTAAAGATAAAACATTAAGTAGTCAGTGGAAAGTATCACTTGGTAGTGTTTGTAAACAGTTTCATATGGTTTGTTCGAATATCCTATCGAACCATCCAATTCCTATGGACATCTACTCAGGTATATCGATTGGCTCACAGTTTTGTCTATATAAAAGTCCTCCTCTTTATTTGTGCTCAACAGAAATACAATACATTCCTAGCCAATTCAAACGCCAATGCCTAAACAACTTACTTTTATTTACTCTCGTCTTCTTGGAGACTGCCGAAATGCTACCAGCAGATTATTCAGAAATAACCAATCTCAAACACATTAGATTCCAAGACTATCATCAACACTCCTATAATAATTATGAACCAAACACCACTACAAATCAACCAACCTACAATATAGAACTACTATATCAACTTGTATTTTCCAATAAATCATTGGTATCATTTGATTTCATTACGGTATCACCGTCATTGCAATCTCATTATACCATTGGCTTACAATTTATTCAATCGATCATAGGCAATAACAAACTGAAAGCAAATACAATTCAATTCATTTATAATAACGATAGTATTCTGGATAATGTAGAGATGTCCGATTTGGCATGTGTTACCAACGCCACGCTGTTTGTTGAAAATTCATTCTCTGACGGCTCTGCACTCTTTAAGTTTGGATCATCGCGAAAACTGACGGTGTTCCTCAAAGCCGCTAGTCAATATAATCTTCACATGCCGTTTCATCTCGGTCAATTCATAGAGCACTACTCTCTCTTCGAGGAGTTGACGTTGGTACTGCCAAAGGTTTCGTACCTAGCCGTGTTACTCCGGAGGGTTACCACCAAGTTCAAAACACTCAATTTAGAAATCGAGGAATCACCTATGGACTCGCTTTTCTATAGTGACAATAACTACGATAAACTGGTTTCATCGATCAACGGTGTCTTTGGTTATTTAGAAGATGTTAAATTTCAATCGATTCGATCACTTTCAATCAAACACCGACACTTTACATTGGAAAACAAAAATAGAAGACAACACAGCTTTATAAACTCTGCTTTAATCAAACAGGAATATTTAGATAACAAACAAATTCAAACAAGATCATTTAAATCCAAAGATCCAATAAACTTTTATAGATAGTGTTTTTATTTTTGGTTTATTTTCTAAATACCCTCAATCTTCAGAGTGTCTGTTTATTATAGATACTTAATATTTTTGAAAACAATATTTATATATATAAATAATTTATGTTTATTTTCTATTAAGATTATTATTCTAAGTATTATTATATTTTATTTTAGTTTTTGTTTAGATTATTTCAAGATGATCCATTTTCCACCTAATAAAGAAATAATTCTAATAGTTGTATATGATAATCCTACCAGGAAACTGAAATTAATAATAAATAAGAATCCTGGTGGTCTCTTTGACCATGGTATTATAATAGGTAGTTTCAGGTATGATAATGATACATATGATACAACGATTTCAGTTCCTAGTGAGAATGCCAATTGAATTGCCATTACTTTAAATTGGAAGCCAATATCTAGCTCCGAGGGTGAATATACCAAATAATAAGTTATAATTAAAAATGTTGATATGAAATTAGCTAAAAGATAAATAAAAAAACAATAATTAATAAATTGATAATAGATATAATGTTAAAAGTATAAACTTACAACTTATTTCGAAAATTAAATCAAAAGATTGATATTCAGCATAAATTGGTAGATTATGCTTCATAATAACAGATGCATTCTTTGAACATCTGCATCTGTAAAATTAAAATTAAATAATAATAGAAAAAAAATGTTAATATTAATAAAGATATAATATTATTAATTATTATTACTTACAAATATTTTACAATAAATGAATCACGAGCTCTAAGTGAACATTTCCAGAAAAGATCTGTAAAGGATAATACAAGTGAGGATATAGTTACACCAAGTAAAGTACCCATACTGTTTCCAAAGAATCTACCATAGAATGTGTTGAACACAATTGGAATGAGTGTGAGTGAAAGGATACTGCGTGGTGGGATGTCATAGTCTTTGATCATGTTTGCACAGAATCTAGATACCAAAAGGCAAACAGCAGTGATTGCTGGATGTATAAGAATACGAATGACCGATCTGGTAATTTCGGTAGTCGACTTCTTGAGGAAAAATGGCAGCAAGGAATAGTCGTATATAATTAAAAAGACTGCCATAAATAAAAACGGTAAACTGAACCACAGGACAAAGAATTTCTTCTTTAGAACTTTATATCCAAATAAATATGAAATTAAAATGATATCTGCTAGTGCAAGCATGTACTTGGGGATGTAAAGCACCGAGCCTTGGAGACGTGTGACTCTACTGTAAATCTCGAAAGCAGCCGAAAGCAGAGCGATCACAACATGGTAGGGAATGAGGCACTTTGTCAGCTTGTGTCCATATTGAGATCGAATAATCGCGAATCCCATACTGTGAAGAAACTGTTCATTGACAATACCAGTTATGACCCAAGAAACCTTGGACCAGAGTGGCCATTCTTCGTAAGGAACATTTATATAGTGACTACCAAAAGTGACATAGAATGAGATATATAGACAACAAACCAGTGTGACAATTGCAACTATCAACAAATGGAATGCATGGTAACCTAGTGCTCCCTTTAGATATTTCCATTGGAAATAGGACTCTTTAACTTTAAACTCTTTGGAATGTCCCAGTTCGTCGTCTTTGAGCTCGCCTGGTGTTGGTGTCTCGTCGGCTCCATCTTTGTCCTTCGATCCAACTACTATATCCAGTTCAATGTCTCCGGCATGAATAGAAAAAGTTCTTGGTGATTTCGGTGTTCTTGGTGATGTTGTAGATTTGTTTTCAATTGGTGAATCCAAAACGGCTGCATTTCTCGGTGATGTATTTGAGCCAAGACTACTGTTACTATTATTATTACTATTGACGCTATTATTAATGGCTGTAAGGTTTAATCGAGGTGGTTTATTATTATTATTGATTATTGGGTGATGTGTTTTCTTTTCTCTTTTTGGATGTGAAATTGTGATCATTCCATCTTCGTTGCCAACCTCTGTATCAGAGTGTCCATCGGTGGAACTGCTGCTATCTGAATTAGTTGGATCATTGTCTGAAATATCTGTAGTTGGCATAGGACCTCCATCTGTATTGGTTTCATTGTGTGTCGGATTTTCCAAATGTTGTCTTTGGTCTATACTCTGCGCTCTGCTAGCTCTTCTTGCACCAGCCACAATATCAAACAATTCAAACATATAACTCATTTTTTACTTTTTGTTTTTTCTAAATAAATAATAAATTATAATATTGATATTGGAAAACTGATTGAATTTGTATATATAAATATTATATTTATTGCTACAAGTTTTTATAGATAAACTTTTGAAAAAAAAAATATATATATATTTTTTTATATTTAATAGTTAAATAGTTTAAGTAGTATATAAAGATATATCTAATAGTACAAAAAAAGAAAGAAATCAAATAAAAACAATCAGAAAATGAATGAATGATTTGATTTGATTTGATTTGATTGGGTTGAGTGGAATACAATCAAACAGGCACACTAATCCAAAAAACAATAGAAACTAAACTCTTTATTTTCAAAAACATTTAGATTTAATTCATCGGAATAAAATATCCTTGCTGGATCAGTAAAACTGCAGAACAACCCTACCACACTAAAATGTTAGTCTTTAATTTTCATTTGAATTAATGTTGAAACATTAATTTGCATAAAATCCCCATCAACAATATGGGTGATATTTTTCATCTTGTAATGACAATGATGTTGGGAGATAACACTAAATCGAAGCATACAATTTTTATTAAATCATCATAGCTGCCAGCAGTCACTTAAACCATCAGGTGGGGTATGAAATTCGTTTCTTAACCAATTGGAACAATAATTTTTGATGATCTCGATGGTTAAATTTATTTTTACCAAAAAAAAGTAAAAAACATCCTCAAAAAAAAAAAAAATATCTATTTTTGATCAAAAAAATGAAAATGAGGGCTCACTTACAATCCTCCTCTTTTTTTTTAGATTCTGTGAGAGATTGTATAAGTTATGAGAATTTTTTTGTTTGTAAAAAGTTTTTCCCAAAACCAGACACAAGAATTGTTACATTTTCAAACAAAAAAATATCTATCATGATTGTATCTTATTTGGATTTGAATGACCATCTTTATTTGAATTTGTATGATTATGATATCTATTATGTAACCTTTAAATTGAAATATCTTAGTTTTTGTTTGTGAATTGGAACATCCCTACTAAACGAGATTGAACATCTTACATCTCAAAAAGACACAACCAAGTTCAAATATTTTAATGAAAGGATAAATAAATATTTTTTATTTTTATATTTTTTTATAATTGTGGTGCTGGTGGTAGTGATCGAATGAGTTGTTATTGTTGGTGTGATGAATGAATTTATTCTATATATATTGTTGGCCGGGGAACATGATCGAGTTCCTTATATGATTGGTAATAATTGAAAAAAAAAAAAAAAGGTTTAAAATGAGTTGTCTTCAAACTGGTGGAGAACTGTAACTCAAGTCGAATCGATAAAAGGTTAGTTGATATCTTCCAAGAATAGAAGATGGTGAAGCAGGAGTTGGAAGAAAATAAATATTTTGTGATATTTGATTTTCCTACAGGAGTTGACAAAAATTGATTCTCTTTCTATCCTTTCTCTTTGATCCGAGTGTTTTCTTTTGTACCTGGGCAACCAAGTGCTCGAAAGCGGCGGTGATGTTCATGTTGGTCTTTGCACTGGTCTCGAGGAATTGGATACCCCATTTACTGGAAAGATTCTCACCTTCTTGTGAGCTTACTTGACGTTCTGGTTCCAAGTCGGATTTGTTTCCAACGACAATAATAGGCAACTTGGCAACGGTAACGTCTTTGACTCTAAGAATTTGGTCTTTGACCTGTTCGAGCTCTTGGAAGCTAGTTCTTGAGGTAATACTGTAGACGAGCATGAATGCCTGTCCATTTCTAATATACAAGTCTCTCATGGCTAAGAAAGTTTCAGTTCCGGCAGTGTCCATGATCTCCAACATGAAATGATCACCGTTGAGCTCAACGACTTTTCGGTACATATCTTCAATGGTTGGGTCATACTAAATAAAAAATAAAATAATGTTAATAAAAAGAATTTTAAAAAATTTTTTTTTTTTTTTTTTTAATTAATAATATTTACCTTATCAATGAATTCATTGTGGACATAACGAATGGTAAGAGAACTCTTACCGACACATCCAGAACCAAGAACTACAAGTTTAATACTATTCATTTTTAAGGTTATTTTGGAATAGTTTTCTTTTCAGAGAAATGAAATACAAATAATAATACTAGTACTATTATTTTGTGGTGTTACAATATATAAGAATGGATAATTAAGAAATAATCTTAGTTTTGAAACTAAAATATATTTTATAATTATAAATGATTGGAGTCTGTGAAGTGACTGATTATTGATACAAAAGTAATATTAAAATTTATTTTTTTAAAAAAAAAAAAAGATTCTAATACATAAATCTGCTAGAGACAATACTGATTTGGATTATAATGTTATAACTAACAATAATAATTGAAGGTAACAGACTATAAATGTAAAAAAAATGTAAACTAAATTGGTTTATAAATAAAGTTTTTTGTTGTTATAATTTATTTGTAGAAGTGAGCAATGATCGATTTGATATAACACAGGTTGATCAGTTATGGTGTTATTTTTGTGTGTAGTGGTAGAGAAAAAATGTAATAAAATGAAAATAGAGTGTTAGGGTTTGAAGTTATTCGTGTGTTGAAGTTGGGATTGTATGGAGAGATCAATGATTCTTGTGGTTATTTAAAGGGCGACTATTGTTGTTGTTACAACTGTCTACCAATTTAGTTATATTGGTTATTTGATATTTGAATTTTTTTGAGAAACAAAGATGTGATGATATATATAATCAGTTTGATATATAAAAATTATATTGATTGATTTTTTTGGAGAGGTGTGAATAATAATATAAGGATATAGGGAGGTATAAAAATATAATTATATAATTATGATTATTATTATTTAAATGGTATTACAATAAATTAAAAATTTAGTAAAAAGCAGCGATGCTATTATTAATAAAGTATAAAAGTGAAGTTGTTGTCTTTTAATAAAAATTATTTAATTACGAAAAGATTTTATTTGATTGATTGATTGTTTTGATTGTTTAATTGATTGAGTGAAATTTGGTTTGGTTGTATTAATAAACACAGATAATAGGATTGGGGAGCAGATAGAAGTTTTGGAGTGATTTGCGATTAAAAATAAGTTTTGGTCAGTGTACTGGTAAGTATTATTGGTTTGATCATGTGATGATGTCTTTGGATACTTGATTAAAAATATATTAAAAAAGATAAAAACACACACTTTTTTTTTGGAAAGACTTTGAAAAACTAAAAAAATCTAATTGGTGCTTTTGATTGAATCAATATTTGGTGGGTGACTTCCATAGAGTGTCACCTACGGGTCATATAAAATATGTTCTCGCATGTCGAGCTAAATCGACTATATTTTTTGCAAAACAACAAAAAAAAAAAAAAAAAGTTTTTTTGGTTTTCAATTTTTTATTTTTTTGGTTTATTTTCGTCAATTTGGTGGTGAGGATACCCAATTAATTAATCTTGTTTTGCGTGTGAGATCGCTTTTATCAAAACCAAACTGATAAAGAAAAAAAACTTTAATAGATTGTTTGGTTATTTTTGGTCGAACACCAAAAACTGTTTTGCTTTGTTCACCAATCAGAATTCAAAGATGAAGCAAAAACAACACACACGGCAAGCCAACTATTGTCAGTACTAGTCCTCTTCGTCGCTACTCTCATACTCTTCATTTCTAAATGAGTTGAATTTGGCTGGTTTACGCTTGTCAGGGTCGAACTGTTTGATGGTGAAATAAATAAGAAAAAAAAAATCAAAAGTCGCGTTAGTGATTGAATTCTATCCTAAAACAACTATTGTTTGGATGTCAGACCATACGCTGATGGTGAGCTACCAACAAACGAGCCACAAAAAGAAAATAATACCAATATTAACACGAGGTGATGTTTTTAACTTTTTTTAAAATGAAGTGCATGCAAATCGGGTGTCTGATCCTCTTAAATCTGGAATTTATAGCAAATGAAATTGATCATCATATTGATATTGTGCAAAGAATTGATTACATTATGATAAATCTTTGGAAATTTGCAAGTGACAAATGATTTGATATTTTATATTGCAAGATATTTTTTGTTTTTGTTTTGGATTCCTAACCTGCAAATCTTGGGAAGGTTGTCCCGGTGTTACACACTACAAACCATCATACAAATACGAAAGGTGAAAGTGTTTAAACAACAAACAAAAATTGTAACCCAGAAGATTAAATTAAAATATATTTTCACATAAACAATATAATATTTTAATTTAATAGTTAACTAGCTAGTTATTAATTATATTTTTTTACCGTTAAAAAAAAAAAGTGTGTACTTATTTGAATTAACCAATAATATCATCTATATTAAAAAAAAAAAAAAAAAAAAAAAAAAAAAAGAAATCACAACGAAAATAAAAACATTATGCTATTTTTTTTTTACAAAAAAAGTAGATATACTTTGCAAGAGCTTTTTCGACAAGAACAAATGGAATGTGTGAACGAATGACTTTTAAAGTGTGGTGAGTGGTTGGAAGATCAGACCTCATTAATAAATGAGTGGTGTTTGTGGAGTGGTGTTGTTTTTTTTTTTTGACTGAGCGAAAGGTTTGACCAAACATGTTAGTCGACTAATAAGTATAAACTTATTGTCAGCTGAGGGATGAGCTGTTTGATACCAAGCAGACAACACGCACCCGCGATGATAAAATGATGATGGTGCGAACAAGAGAATAAATAACAAACTAAATGATCTTTTAAGTGGTGTCATAGCAAATTTTGACAAAACACAAAATAAAAATAAAAAATATAAATATTTATATTACTTACACTATCTTCATCTTCTTCGATGTTCATAACATCAGGAGGGATATCTTGAATTTGAACGCTTGGTGCCCATTGCAAGACACGCAGATTCTCGAGTATTTTACTCTTGAGATTCTCGAGGTATTGCTTGTTGTTGAGGTTCTGATAGCGGTATGGTATTCCAGAGTAGTCTGGGTGAAGCTGGAAGTCGGGACTGTAGAATTGAATGTAATCATTGAATGGAAGTTCATTTTTGATCTCTGTGTCCAACAGTACGGACGTTTCGTAGGTCCAGCAACGTGCGACATTACGCACGGTATAGCCACCGCCACCCAACACCATAGTAGGCAATCCAAAACTCTTTACAAACTTTACACACTCTGCATGACCTTTGAATGTCAAATTGAAACATCCCAGTCTATCGAATCTCAATGAATCAGCACCACATTGCAGCACAACGGCCGATGGTTTATAATAGTCCATTACACCCTATTTAATACATTCATTATATTAGTTAGTTAGTTAGTTAGCTTGTTTGTTGCTTGTGTATATTTGGATTATTACTAGTACTACTTACTTGTATAACAGGTTTGAATATACTTTGATAACTTCTATCGTCTATACCATCACGAAGTGGTACGTTGACAGAGTATTGTTTACCTTTGCGCACACCGATTTCATCCCAGTCACCGGTGCCAGGGAAGAAGTCGTTGCCATACTTGTGAAAGCTTACGGTCATGACACGGTCGGTAAGGTAGAATGCTTCCTGTACACCGTCACCGTGATGAATATCGATATCTATGTACAATACACGAGGATGGTATTTGAGAAGTTCAATGATGCCAAGTACGATGTCATTGATATAGCAGAATCCAGATGCTTCGTCTTTTCGTGCGTGATGCAATCCACCACTCCAATTGATAGCGATATCGTACATCTTGTGATTGAGTTTGATTGCACCCTCAATAGATCCACCGGTATAAACCTGACAATAGTCATAGAGCCCCGGAAAAACAGGACAATCTTCACCAATGTGAAATTGTTTAACAGCATCTTTATAATCATTTAAAGTTCCAGGTGTAACTCTAAAGTATATTTAGAATCTATTAGTATGATTATCAATGTGTTTTTTTTTGTTCATTATGTTATCACCATGGTGTTTTATTTTACCTCTCCAAGAAATCAATGTATTCAGGTGAATGAAATTTTAAAAGATCTTGTTTGTCTGCTCTTCTTGCTTTGTAAACATCCATCTTTTTATGTAGACCATAGTTTAGAACGAGACTGTTGGTGAGACAAAGTCTATGTGGTTTCATAGGATGATATATTCCATAGAAATAGTTGCCAATATCGTGATCATGAAAGTAACACACCTTTGTCTTTGATGTATTATTAATGATTGTTTCTTTTTCAAAATTTGTTGATTCTTCTTTCTTTTTCATCTTTTGATATCTTTTCTTCTTATCTAATGTTATAATCTAATCTAATGTTATAATCTAATCTTATCTAGTCTTATCTAATCTTTTCTTAAAAAAACAAAAACAAAAACAAAAACAAAACAAAACAAATAATCATTAAAACTAAAAATTGAAAGTAATTAAATATTTGAAATGAATGTTTTTAACGGTTCGTTAGTTAGTCTGTCTAACTTTTAAATTTGAAAGTTCAATTTAATTTCATTAAAATTTCAATAATTAAATTAATTTATTGTTTTATTGTTCAACAACAACAACAACAACAACAGGCAGAAGAAACTTTAGTATAATATTTAATTAAAATATCAAGTTAATTAGAGTATAACTTCACAAATTTTTTTTTTTTTTTTTACAAATAAAATAAAAATAAAATAAATAAAAAAATTAATTTTCGCTCGTTTTTTCCAATTTTTTTTCAAAGTTTTTAAAGAGGTAAAAAAAAGGATTGATTTTTGATTGTTTGTTTTATTTGTTGTTAATTTATCTTTGATTACTTTTTCCACTAGCTACATTTTAATCTATAGTAGATCAATATAGATAGATAGAATCAAAAAATGGCAACCAATGAAATAGCAGAGGTAGAGCTCAATCTTAGAGGTTTCTTGGAACCAAATACAGAGGTTGTTCAGAGAGCAACCAACAACATGAACAGAATCCTCAAGAAACCATCGGCATCTTTGATTCTCATTCACTTTATTCAATCTTCACCATACAGAGAGGTATTGTATTGTTCAGCGATCAACAATTAACAATAATTGTTTTTACAAACAAACAAACAAACAACTAAAAAAGTCTGAGCAAGAAATATTAATATTAGAATATTATATACTCCTCTATCTAATAGATCAAACATTTGGCAGCAGTTTTGTTGAGAAAGAAGTTGGTTGTACACTGGACCAAGTTGTCATCGAAGGATCGTGATACTATCAAACCTATGTTTATCGACTTGTTCTTGAAGGAGACCGACGGTCTCTTGAAGAAATCGATTGCTGAAGTCATGATTATCATTGCACGTGTCGAGTTGCCACTCGGAGAATGGAAAACATTCACACCGTTCCTCTTTGGTCTGAGTGAGTCACAGAACCCGTTGGATCGTGAGTTCCAGATGTACACCATCGAAACACTGCTCCAAAACGACAGAATCACCATTGCAAAGAACGCAACCAAGTTGGTCAATGCCCTCAACCTCGGACTTGGCGATCAAGTTGCCAAGGTGAGATCGGCTGCATTGCGTGCCGTCGGCAGTGCAATGATTGCACTCAGCGGTGAAACCGACACCATTCGTCAACTCATCCAACTCATCCCAAGAATGTTACAAGTCTTAAAGAGCTCCATTGAGAATGAAATGGAAGATGATGTTATTACATCGTTCGAGGTATTCGATGATCTAGCTGAAAGTGTAAGGTGTTCAAACAGTCAGTCAATTAGCCGTTCAATGGAAAACTAACTTGGTAAACATTCATTAATATTTTCTAGCAATCACCAGCTGTTTTCCAACAACTTCCAGCAGTTGTTCAATTCTCTATTGAAGTTGCTGCCAATGTAAACATCGATTCTTCCATTCGTACTTCTGCTTTGGAATTCCTTAGAACCATGATTGAATTGTAGTGTATCGAATAACTAACTTGTTTTTGATTATCAAACAATTTATATATTAATATTTATTTCGTTATATATTTTTAGTAAAGGAAAGATTTTAAAGAGAAACAAGTTGTTGGAACCAATTCTTCAGGTTTTGATTATTATTTTGGGAAGTGAAGGAAATTCCGATGATTTGGACGATAACTACTTGTATCAGACTGCAGGTATCGCTTTGAGATATTGCGGTGAATCGTTCAGCGCCAGATATATATTCCATCCATTGGTGCCAGTGTTGAAGGAGTTTGCTCAATCCAACGATATGACCAAACAGGTTGCACTCCCATTGATCATTCAACAACTCTCCTATGGTTGCGCAGAGGATATGCGTGACAACATCGAGTTGATCGCTCAGTTGATTCTCCACTCGCTCGGCCAGCAAGACAAGATCGTTCGTCAGAATGCATGTGTTGCCGTTGCTCGTCTCTCTGAGAACATTCACCCAGAGTTCTACCGTTACTCCAACCAGATCTTCCCATTGGTTTTCAAGTCACTCGATGATCCAGACGATGCTTTCATCCTTCGTTGTTGCTATGCACTCGAAAACTTTATCGTCAATTTGGAGCGTGAACAAATCGTGCCAATTATCGATAGTGTAATGTCCAAGATGGGTACTCTCCTGCAACGTAACAATATCCAGGTGAAAGAGTTTGCGCTGTCTGCAATCTGTGCTGTTGCACTCGCATCAGAGTCTGACTTTGCTCCATATTTCGACAGTGTCTTGAGTACTATTCGTGATCTCTTGATCACCAAGGAGCCAAACTTGCTCTCTCTCCGTGCCAATGCGTTCGAGTGTGTTGGATCCATGGCCAAGGCTGTTCCAAAGGAGAAGTTCCGTCCACTCATTCCAGATCTCATGGCTGCTGCACACGATGGTGTTGAAACTTTGCATAATTCCGAGGTCAATGAGTACACTTTTGAGTTCTATGGTAAATTGGTTGAGCATTTCGGTGAGGAGATGCAAGCTTATATCCAGCCAATTATCAAGCAGTTGATGGATTCCGCAATTTCAGACGATGGTGTCCAGAGAACCAAGCACAGCGAAGATCAAATCAGTGGAATCGACAACGACGAAGAGAGTGGTGATGAGGAAGACGACGACAATGTAAGTCTTAGCGTCAGAACATCGTTCCTCGATGAGAAGTGTGCTGCAATTCACACCATTGGTGTCATTGCCCAGTCGGTCCCCAAGCTCTTCATTCCATACACCGAAGCAGTGATCGTAAATATCGAAGCACTCGCCAGCTACTTCCACGAGGATGTCCGTTTCGAAACCATGATCGCCATTCAATCGCTTATCCAAGCGGTAAACGAAGTATTCCCGCCAGCCACAAAATGGGTCAAAGGTGACTTTGGAGCACCAGTCTCTGAACAACTCAAAACACTTTTGCAATTCTCATTCCAGGTATTCGCACAGGTGCTCTCCTACGACACAAGCAAGAGTGTTGTATCACGTACATTTGGTTGCATTGCCGATATCATTGCTTTGATTGGTCCAGGTGCTATTGCTCCCTACTTGGAAGCTGTCGGTGGAGCCGTCCTCCAAGTGGTCATGGGTAATCTCTACTGCCAGACTGCCACCAGTGGTGACACTCACGATGATAGCGACGAAGAAGACGAGGAAGACGATCGTCAAGAGGATGACCTCAACGAAGACGACGACGACGATCCCGACTACCAATTGCTCCACTACGCGTCAGAGTGTATGATTGAAATCGCCACAGTTTCCGGTCCAAAATTCAAGACTTTCCTCGAGAATTCACTTCCACATCTTTTCAAGTTGACCAAAGCATCCACTCACCATTCGATTCGTGCCTGTGTCATTGGTACCGTCGCCGAGATCATAAAGGTTATGGAGACCGACTGCAGTAACATCATGGACAAACTCTTCCAGGTCGGTATCAGCGGATTGAAGGACGATTCATCTCAAGTCAAGAGAGTAAGTTGTTTCCTCTTGGGTATCTTGGCAATCAGATGTGTTTCCGCCAAGAAGGAGCACGCCATTGCCGTTTTGGAAGGTGTTTTCCCAATCTTGAATAGCGACGAATATGAGCCAGTTGTCATCGATAACGCCATCGGTTGTGTCTGCCGTTTGGTTCAGGCACAATCTCATTCACTGCCAGTTGCTGATATCTTAAAGAACTTGTTTACCAAATTGCCAATCAAGAGTGATTTGGAAGAGATCGAAGCTGTTTTCAATACCATTAATTTATTATATTCAACACAATACAATATTGTAAGTAAAGAAAAAAATGATTATTTTGCTTTTATTTCTTTTATTAACTCTTTTCCTTGTTTTTTAAAAAAATAGATTTCACCATATACTCCAATGATTCTCCAAATGTTCCAGTTTGATTTACAACATAAGAAATTGGATGAGGCAGTTGCCACTAAAATTAAGACTTTATGTACCACTTTGACCCAAAACAAATAAATAATTAAATAATATTTTAAAAGTATATACATTTATTGAATCATCGCGAGTTGTTTGAAAAATTATATTCTATTAGTTTAAATATCACCCCATGGATACCAGCTTGGGAAGATTAGAGATCTACGAGTCACATCGTTATTTGTTTGAATTGTAGTTTGGTTACTAATTCCACTGGAAATTTGGTCATTATTTTTCAAAGAAAAATTGGACTGAGATGAAAATGAAACAGAACCGAGTTTAGTAAGAGAATCTAGAGAAATAATGAAAAATAAATAGTTAGCAACTTAGTTAGAGAAATTTAAATCTTTAGATACATACTTAATAAAGTCATTTTGATAGAGTATATTGAAAAAAATTGATTTTGTTATTCTATTTAAATAGTTTGGAAATTTTTAAAGATATTTATAAATGGAATATTGGATCTATTTAAAAAATCTGATTTCAAGATTGATATATATCTTATAAACTTTGTTGTAATTTAAAAAAAGAATATTCTTATTTTTAATATTTAGAGAGGATGTTTTAGAAGAAAATGATGATAAAAACTGATAATCTGAAGCCAATTTATATGTTTTTGTTTGGCATTATAAGAATTTAATTTATCATTTTGACCTATAAAATATATAGAGATGTTGTTCTATACAGAATTCACATGCTCGTTGTTACCATTAACAGTACCACCAATTAATATTTTAATTAAACCATTGGGTTTATTATAATTTATAATAGTTATCTGAGGGTATCAATGGTATACACATCACAACTACTCTTTGATTGCTCCATCCTCATTAACATTTCATTCACTCAAAATTGTATTGAAGGAAATAACTTTCATCAGTACTATTGAAATTCTTATTAAACAAATAACAAATCCTTGATCAGATATATAAACTCCACACCTCGTATCTCACACAATCACTCTTAGGTGTAATGTAAATAAACCCCGTTCTGTTCCACTTACCCTTCCCCACCAATAAATATTTTAAGTTCGAACAACAGCAACACCACCACACTTCCCTTTTATATTGACTGAAAATTGGTGATTGATCAAGTGTGTTGTTTAGGTGTGGATCATTGATATTGAAAACAATAATTTGTAAGTTTTTGAATGTTCCTCTTTGAACAAAATCACAGGCAACTATCTACTTTAACAAAAGCAAATCTAAATTTAAGATTCAATCTTTTTGAATGTCTATATGTATGTTTGTTATTAATTACCTTACCTTAAGTCAATCTTAATATATATATATGTGTGTGTGTGGTTTTTTTATTGATTGTTAGTTCCAAACCACACTACTTTTAAATTTGAAAAGATTGTAGTTGAGTGATACCACATTAAACAAGTGATTACCTTTTACAGACATATACAAAATACTTATATATATGTGTGGTGTGTGCGTGGGGAAGTTATAAATTAGACTATTTACAGTTTGTTCATCCTTAAAAAACCCACTAACACAAAATCTTTACTTTATCTTTATATACATCTCAATCGTTATCTTATCTTCTTATTTTATAAAGTTGCATGATATCCACCATTACTTCTTTTTAGTAGTGGTTGCTGTTGTTGTTGTTGTTTTGAATATGAGGTGACTTATACAATAATCATACCATGAATCGTGTATTATCAAAAGAAATTCAACAAAAAAAATAGGATGAGGTGTTACTCAAGCTCCAATCAATGTTTGCTTTACTTAGCATCCAATCTAAACCGTATTACAAATTATAAATTAGTAGTACTACTACTTTATTACCACTGGTATCTTAATTCGAATTTGTAGAAGAAGTGGTTGTAGTAGTGGTCGTGGTCGTAGCTGAAGTTGTTGCTGATGCATTTGTAATTTTAGAGAGATCATATTTCAATGCAAACTTTGTGCTAAAATGATTCAATCATTTAAAATGGTATTAGTTAGTTAGTTAGTATCATCATTGGGCACTAAAAATTATAGTAACAATCATTATTAAGTAAATAACATACCCGCAAGTTGAACAAGAAGAGGAGTGTTTACAAAAAACTACAGTGGTTTTTAAAAGAAGTTAAAGTGTGTCAGTATTTTTAATGATTTAATATTAATGTGATATCAATAATAATAATAATAATAATAATAATTACTTGATAAACAAACAGAACAAACAAAACCAATATCAACAATCTTCTTATGACAGAAACAAGATGCTCTAAAATCAACTGTCTTCAAAGTAGGAACACTTAAATACTTTCTTGAGAATGAATCTACTAAAAATGTTGACTATAAATAGAAATCATGATTAGATTAATTGGATTGCTATCAATTGACTATGATTAACCATTCTTCAATGTTAACATACTAATAGGTATTGTGATAGATTCTCTTGTCTTTGAGGTTTTAAATATATTCCATTGGTGAGATGAGATGCTTGTTGTAAAAAGGTAGAGTCTGTTGTTGATAAAACACAACTGTCCACTGGAATCGATTGTTTCTGTGCTGAGAAAATACAATTCATAACCGGTATATACTGTGTCGACACATCCGGTGACAAATTAAATACAAGAATTCTAGCTCTTAAACTTGGAAACTCTTTCTTTATTCTATTTATATCTATTATGCATTAAACTATTAATACTTTATTAAAATAACCAAGGTATTGTTGTTGATTACTTACAACATAATGCCAATGACATTGCAGCAGAGAATGAAGATGTACAATCTTGTTGTTGTTGTTCTTCACTTCTTTTATCTAAATCTTTTTTGTTTTATGAATGATAAAAATAATAATAGTGTTAGTGTTAAAGATTAGATAATTCATATTGTTGTTGTTGTTGTTGTTGTTGTAGTTGCTGAACAACAATTATACGATAAGCAATAAAAACATACTCTCTAAACATATAGTATTGATTCTTTCCAATGATGATTGTATTTGTTCTGATATACAACGATGATCGGTGAGTGCTTGTTGTGGTTGTGGTGGATATACAAAGTAACTCTCTCCAATGACAGAAGATATCAGTGCTATTTGATTCTCTTGATTCAACATGAGATAGGCATTGATGAATACCAATAAGTTCTCAATAAAAGTGGGCAGTGTAATCAATGGGAATCTACGACCGTCTCTTCCTTCGCTTTGGACTGTCTGCGCTCTCTGACCCCATGAATATATATTGAAATCTGCCACTATAACCAATAAACTATTATCATCATCTTCATTCATTAAACTTGTAATTGAATCCATTATTATATCTTTATCTTTATCTATCCACCAACAACAATGAACTTCTTTCTTTTAAAACATGAAAACATGAATTACAAAAAAAAAAAAAAAACAAAATATTATTAAAATTTTAAGAAATCGTTTAGATTGTATTTGTAGATATATATTATATAATAATGTCAAATAGATGTATAAAGATATTAGGTATAGGAAATGATATTGTTAAAATATCTAGGTTCACTGTGAACTCAGAGAATGAACGATTTTTAAAGAGAGCATTTCATCCTGTGGAAATAGAGAAATTCAAAGAATTGAAATTACAAAGTCAACAGAATGCTTTACAATATTTAGCTGGAAGGTATGCTATTTGCTATATTTACTTAACTCATCTAATAATTGATTATACATTTCATATGATCAATATTAATTAATATATTTTTTATTTTAATCCATTAAGATGGGCAGCAAAAGAATCAGTTTATAAAGCATTCAAAGGAATTGAAAGAGCAAAACTAAACTTTCAAAATATACGTATACTTTCGAATAGCGATGGATCTCCGTACGTCGATCTAATCGAAAACTCTTTGGATCTGTCGAAGCAGCTGAATGTAACCGATATACACATTTCGATATCACACGACACTGACTATGCTATTGCCAATGTAATTATAGAACATGAACCAAACCAACCAACTCTTCTAAAATAAATAAATAAATAAAATCAATAATAATACATAACAATCATTCTTTAAAAAGCTGGTTACCCTCCATTTTTCATTATGATAAACACTTCAAAATTTTTTTTGTATTTTTTTTATTTTTATTTTTATTTTTCATTTTTGTTTTTTTCATGTGATGATCATTGCTTTGTATTGGTTATCCAAGTATCAATCTAAAAAAGACTATTTTGACTATATATATATTATTCTATATAGAAATCAATATCAATATCATAAATTAAAATATATATTTAATTAATTAATTTTTGTATTGTATAGGTGGTGGATAATAGAGTAAAGATATTAATCATTGTATTTATAAACTGTATAAATAATAACAAGAAATATTGAATTTGTTTGACTTTGACTATTGGTTAGTTGATTGATTGGTTTCGAAAAAAAGAAACTAATTAAAAACATATTTGAGAACATCACAAAAATGGATAGTGAAGCTATGAAAAATCAGAGAAAGAAGGAGTTGGAAGAGAAGAAAAAGAGAATTGCAGAGTATAAAGAAAAGAATGTAAGCATCGTCATTAACTAACATCATCTATTCTATATTTGTCGAAACATTCAGCCATTCAGTTAGTTAATATAATGAAATAACACTATTTTTATATCTATTGCTATAGAAAAATGTGGGACAGAAACCATCATCTTTATCATCACCAACTACCACTGCAGCTGCATCACCATCGCCAACCTCCAAAGGAATGGATTTCGACAGTCTAATGGATTCCATTCACCAAATGGTACCATCACCAGTCGCCACTTCACCAACACAAACAGAGCAATCACAACAAGTTCCAGAAGACATTAAATCACCTGCAGCTGATGAGAAGAAGTAAGTAATATTGGTCTGGTGTGGTGGATGCACTAATTTTTAACAAACTTACTTAGTTGTGCTAACTAACTAATCGAACTTTAAAATTGTAGATATAAACCAGTTTTAACAGTACAATCATTGGTTATAGATATCGATTTACCACCAAAGGAGATTCCAAAATATTCAAAGGGAACTCAAACTATTGATCCAGAACCATTGACAGAGGAGGAGATTGCTGCGAGATCAGTGCAATCGACTCCATCGAAATCAAAGTTGAAATATCAACCTTCATTCCTCACACAATCACAATCACAGATGCAACAACAGCAGCAGCAATCCTCGAATCAAGGAACAGATACAGCGATACCAGAGGCTGCAGAGGAATCTTCATCGTCAAACGAACCTGAAATTATAGTGTTGAACGATCTCGACAAGAGCAACATCTTGGAGTCTGACTCTTTCAAATCGTTCTTCTCCAGAACCTCCAAAGTAATTGAACGTGCACTCTGTCTTGATGATTCAATCGATATTTTAGTTGACTATACTAAATCTGATGAAGAGTATGTATATATATAAACAAGCCAATAACTATTTTATTTCTATTTTCTTCTAATACCAAGATAATAATATCGAAAATTCGCTTATTTTGTAGGAGTAAATCATCATCTAAAGAATTAACATTGATTGGAACATTACAAGATGAAAGATGGTCGAAACATAGATCAGTTACCGATATCAATTGGTCACCTAAACATCCAGAGTTGGTAGTGACATCATACTCTGCAAATGAGGCAGGTTCTCACGACCCAGATGGAGTTGTCCTCGTTTGGACTGTAAATAACTATTTCCAGAAACCAGAATACGTTTTCAATTGTCAGTCGCCAGTGATGACAACCTTCTTTTCGAGATATCATCCCACTTTGATCGTTGGTGGTACATACTCTGGTCAGATCGTTGTTTGGGACACCCGTTCCAAGTCGACACCAGTACAGAGGACACCGCTCTCGTCAGTCGGACACACCCACCCCGTCTACAGCATGGCCGTCGTCGGTTCGGCAAACGCCAACAGCTTAGTATCGATCTCAACCGATGGTAAACTATGCAGTTGGAGTCTGGACAATCTCTCACAACCCATTGAAACACTCGACCTCAACTCTCGCGCCAACACCGCAACTGTCTCCACCACCACCTCGATCGCCGTGACATCGCTCGTCTTCCCCGAGACCGAAATGAACACATTCTACGTCGGTACCGAGGAAGGTGTTATCTATCAAGCACAAGCACACGGTGCCAAAGCTGGTGTCAACGAGCGTTTCAAAGCACATTACGGTCCGGTCACCTCAATCGACTTCCACCCACCCTCACGTAACAGCTCAGAGTTCTCGAATCTCTTCCTTTCATCGTCGACCGATTGGACATGTCGTTTGTGGTCATCGAGCAAGCCAGATCAACCTATCTACTCGTTCGAAGACTACACCGATTACGTATTCGATGCACGTTGGTCGCCAGTGAATCCATCGATTTTCGCAACCGGTGACGGCAGTGGACAACTTGCACTCTGGGACTTGAACGAAGAGACCGAAGCACCGATCTTCCGTGCCAAGACATCATCTCGTTCACTCAATCGTCTTTCATGGTCTGCCGATGGTAGACGTCTTCTCGTTGGTGACTCTGGTGGCCAACTTTCACTCTATGACTCAAGTCAATTCGCATCGCCACAAGTTGACGATTGGACAAAATTCGGTGAAGTCATCAACAAACTTACATCAAAACCACTCAGTCTTCAACAAGATTCACCAATATTAGGATCAAACTTACAATCGTCCGAACATGATTAAAAACTTTACTTTTGAAAATAAATAAAAAACAAAACACAAATATATAAATATCAGAGTTTTATTTGTTTTGTAACTACTACTATAAAAGACTAATAATACAACAATATTCTTCAATATTGGTTGGTATTATAAGTAATACAATACAATACTAATTTAAACAAATTAAGAATAAAAGTCAAATAAAAGATAGTTTTTTTGTAGATGGTTATTTTTTATTTAATATCTAAAGATCTAGATAAAAAGTAAATTTACTTGGCGAAGGCAGTGAGGATATCAGAGTCACCCTCGTTGGTGATGCTCATGACTGAGACTCTGAATTTCTTACCGCAACCAGTACCGAGATCAATGTTGTTACCGTTGAAGAGATGGACGTTGGTCTTGCTCAACATGGCGTAGTATTCGATTTCAGAACGTCTGAGTGGTGGGCAGTTGTTGGAGATGAGGATCAACTTTGACTTACCAGATCTCAAAGTCTTGAGGGTTGACTTGTATCCGAGTTGGGATTTACCGGACTTCATGACGAGAGCCAACTTGGCACCGATGTTTTCTTGGGACTTCTTCTATAAAATCGAAAGAACTCTAGTTAGTTAAATTGTTACTTTTATTAAATTCGAATAATAATAAATAAAAAAACAAATAATAAATAGATATATATAAAATGTTATAACTATTATTATTATTATTATACCAACAATTATAATTGGAATTAATCAAATTATAATTAATCTAATTGACTATCTCTCCACCACTGATAATCTTAAAAAATAAATAAAACAAATCAATCATGATTTGTAAATTTGATTTTATAGAATTATTGGTATCTTTAAGATATAGATATAATTATAAATATTGATTATGACCTATCTAACTGATATGATATTTTATAAGCAATCACACATTTGCATATTGTGTCGAATCATACTTGTTTCTTTGTGCTAACCATCTCTGAAACTGTATAGAATTTCTCCGGTGAGGATATACAACTATTGATAGAATAAAAAAAAAGATTAAAAACTTGAAAGTGGCATGAGTTAAGCGAGAACGATGAAAAAAAAATTCAAAAAAAAAATAATTTTTTTTACAAAATAATTATTGAAAAAAAAAAGTCCTCCTTCTTCAAACGTTACAAGTAAGCTCTACCAAACTAAAACAATAATTATCTCTTCACTGAGGTTCCGTTACAAATGTTTTCTAACAATAATCATTGTTATTCAAATATTATTAAACTATTTATTTGTACTTTTAATCAAATCTCAGTATTTCATCGCTATATGAGGATCATAAATCTCACAGAATAAATTAAATAATTATACAGATATCAATATCATGCTCTTCTTTAGAAATTAATTTAGCAATAATCACTTTATGATTATTATCAAACAAATAAATATTGTAATTGTTTAAATAATAAATTGTTTGAATATATTATGCCCGGGCAGTAGTAGTTGATTGCTAATTTTTTAAAAAATAATTTTTTTTTTTTTTTCGTTTCAGTTTAGCAGATTTTTTTTTTTTTTTCTTTCGTTTTGCTCTTGCTATCTGTCATAAATAATCGATTTGTATCTATTCATTTTCATTATTTCGTCTTGGTTACTAATTTATAGATGCATTGCATTTGATATTTTTTTTAAATTGTAAGTTTACACAATATATAGTTGGTTATAGTTAGTAGAATAGTTAAATATTGTTTTGATGATGATACAACGACCTGAACTTACATCAATTCTGGTGACAAAAATCGTATGGTTATTGGTTAAAATTTTCTGATCCTAAACAATATTATAACTTTTTCTTAACAAATACCACTAAATTTTATTTAATAATCATTCAATAATACTAATCTTCTTTTTCTCTTCAATAGTTTATAGTGAAGCTTTTTTCAATGTTGTTGAGTTGCCTTTGATCAGAATTTTAAAAATATGATTATAAATAAACATTTTTTATTTTATTTAATATTAAATATTCTTTTTTACTTTATTTAATCTTTTTTAATATTGTTTGTTTTTTGTTTTTTTTTGCGCTTATTTAGATATATTGTAATTTATTTTAAAATGAAAAAGAGAAGATTTTTTTTTTTTTTTTATAGTTTATTAATGACTATTTATCTCTTTGGTACAGGAGCAATCTTTGGTGGTAACTTGGGTGGTGGAGCAGCGACTTTTGCAGGTAATTTTGGTGGTAAAGCAACTGGCTTTGGTGGTCCAGAGCTAATTGGTGCTGGTGGTCCTGCTGGTTTTTTCTGTGGAAAAGTAAATGATGATTGATTGGATGTTAGTATTTTATTATTTCCGCTGTAGTATGAGTTTAATAAGTATTTACCATTCCTGGAAGAGCCATTGGTGGGGGTCCTCCTGCACCTCCTGGACGTGGCATTCCTCCCATTGGAGCACCACCTGGACGTGGCATTCCACCGGCACCACCGCCACCAGCTGACTTGTCTGGTGCCAGTAATGGACTTGATCTATCGTTGGTCTTTGTTTTCTTTAATTTGGAGCCCTTTTGAATAGAGTTTAGCAATGCATTTCTCTCTGATGATTTGGGTGGTGGTGCAACTGGTGCCGCTGGTGCTGGAGGAGGTGGTGGAGCTGGTGGTTTCATTCCCATCATTGGTGGAGCAGGTCCTTTACCTACTGGTGGTCTTGGTGGAGCTCTTGTTGCCATTATTTTATTGTTTTCTTAAATTATTGTTTGGAAATTAAAATATATAGATTTTCTAATGATACAAATAAATAAATAAATAGTTTGTTTATTATTATATTATACAAATAAATAAATAAATAAATAGTTTTGGATGTTTTACAATTGACAAATAGTTTGTTATATTTATCAGTTATGTCTATTGAAAAAACAATTTGATGGTGGAAAAAGTAAAATAGATCTCTACAAAAGAAAATGGTTTAAGAGAGTTGGAAATTTAAAGAGAACTGTTGGACAAAAAAAATAAATTTTGAAGATGATTGTTTTGTTTGGTGGAACTGAGTTGGTGGATGGTTTGGTGTTCACAATAAATTGATATATATTATGTTAATGCACAAAAATAAATCAACAAAAGGCAAAACATTGTTGACCTCAATTATTTTATTAATAAAAAAATGTACAACTGCAGGGTCAAAAGGTGGGATTTTGAGTTGGAATCCAATAAAGGATGGCTAATTTTTCTTTTTTTTTTTGCAAAAATAAATATTATCACACACCCAATAAATTTGTTATCATAAAAAATTTGATCAAAAAAATATCTAAATTGCGATGCTATATTAAAATTTTAATATATTCAAAAAAAAAAAAAGAGAAAGGTAATCTTGATTAGATTATATATCTATTAGTTGTTCTTTTTTTTATTTTTTTACAATAATAAAAAGAAGTTGGTCGTTTGTATTTTTATATATAGCTTATTGTTTACTTTTTTTAAATTAATGAATTAGTTTTACAATAAATATTATCTTATTATATTATTTATATATTTTGGAGCGATAGTATACTATATAGGAGGGAAGTCATCTTGATTGATTGATTGATTGGTTGATTGAATAGATTGTGATTGGTATTTCTGTTGTGAGCTTCGTTATGCTTGATTAATTCTGCATATTGAACATCCATAGCAATGTTCCTCTCCATTGAGTGGATGGATGTTGCCACATGTACATTTAGGTAGGTCAGCTCTTGGTGTACGAACCATTTCCGTTGATTTCTTATGACAATCATCACAAAAGTGTGTCTTACCCCAACAAAAGAATACAGATGTATTACAACAGAATTTACATTTATATTCACTACAAGTAAAGTAAATTAGATTTAGTTATAATATTACTAAATAATAAAAATAAATAATAACATACATATAGTCTTTTCCATGTTTTTCACAATTATCTTTACCATCACAACTACATCCACCACATAAAAGTTCTTCAGCTTTGAAATCTACATTGTTCTCTCCACATGCTTTTTCACCACCAAAGTATGGTTTCTTGCATTTGAAGCATGGGAAATAGGAGAGTCTTTCCATGACATAGAGTTCTTCGTTTTTGTACCATTTACATTTTGGATCTTTGAGATCTACACCCTTCTCTGGACCATACGACACCAGTCTCTGTATTCCTTTGGTTTTAATCTTATCGTACAGCTCCAGTATTGGATCCAATTCGTCCTTCAGAGATTCATGAACTATATTCTGTGAGCACAATGCACACTTCATAAATCCAAAAGATATTCTAGATGAGTTCCATTTGTTTACAAGTTTCTTTTTACAACATTCGTAGTGGAACTATACAAATAATTAATCATTAGTAAATAGATTCTTCAAATGTTGTTGTTGTTGTTGTTGTTGTTGTTGTTGTTGTTGTTGTTGTTGTTGTTGTTGTTGTTGTATAAACTAATAAATAGATTCAACACTTACAATATGTCCACAATTTAATTTTATACATGGCGCAGAAGCAAGATCTTCTACCCAACAGATATTACAGTAGTCTGTTTCGACTTGGTTGGATTTCGCGCAGTTTGGATGTAGACATGGCATGCATTGTTTCTCGTCGGCAATGCCATGGCAGTTGTGCCCACAAGCCAGTATCTTTTGACAAGATTTCTTTGACTTTAGCTGACACTCCTGTGAGTTGCAAATCTGATCTTTGTTCGCCTTGACAATCGCAGTCTGACAGAATCTACAGTGACTCGATTGCGAGTAGGTCTTGAATTGCTCGCAGTTGAATCCCAGATGATAGGGATTGGAGTGACACTCTGAACAAAACACAGTCGAACAACTATAACATCGTAGTCTACATTTATTCTTGTGTCTAATTGCTTCTTGACTCAATTCATTTCCATTGTCATCCTAAAAGTAATTCAATAACAAATAATCATATTAATTAACAGCACAATTAGACAATATAATAATAATAATAATAATAATAATAATAATAATAATAATATAGATATCTATATTAACATACATATTCTTTTCCATCTTTTTTACCATTACCATAGTTGACAATACTCTCCATAAATATATTACATGATGGACATTTCGTAAAGTTCTTATTCTTTGTAACCACTTCGTCGAGTGAGGCGTCTTCGTAGACTTGATACTCCTTGTCACTGAGTACCTGTTTGATATCGGATGATGTCAAGGTTGCATCTGGATCGCTAATCTTACATTGCCGACATTTGATAGATAACACATCCTTCTTATTGATCTTATTCATTATATATGAATACAAACATGATTTACAATATACATGACTACACTGTATAGTTTTAAATATTAAAATAAATCAAACATTAGATTACATAGAAAAAAAAAAATCAGATAATCAAAACTTACATCTAAAAAAATAATATCTTCAACCTTTTCCTCTATCTTTTGACACTTTATACACTGAGTGATCAAGTCTTTTGATGACTCCTTTACAGATTGTTCGTGTAGTAGTCTCTCTTGTTCCAACATCTCAAGTACTAAACGCTTGTTCTCCTCCTCTTCTTTTGCGAGTTTTTCAAGTCGATCTTGCTCCATCAGTTGATGTACCAGCTGCAATGATTTATATTCTTCGTCAAACTCGCCATTGCTCATCAACACAAAGCTTGAAGCACCATCCATCGTCACAGGATCACCTTCATCTACATTTATAATTGTATATCTATCTTTAGCTGCTATCTCTTCATTATTATTACTATTACTATTATTATTATTCGTTGTTGTAGTTGTTGTTGTAGTGGTAGTTGTTGATGATGGTGATGTTGCATTACTTTCATAGGTTCTATTGAAAGCATCTTCATCATATTCTTCAAATTCATCATTATCATAGTTTTTGTTATCTATTTCCATCATATCTTCATCATCCTCGTCATTATTACTATTATTTACATTATTATTATTAACCACACCACTGATACTCATAATCATATTAACCAGATTACCAATGACACCACTACCATTACCATTACCATTATCAGTTATTTGATCATTGTCTTCATTGTTATCCGATGATTGTTGCTGTTGCTGTTGCTGTTGTTGTTGTTGTTCTTGTTGTTGTTGTTCTTGTTCGATATTCTCATCTTCACCTATACATCTATTGAAGTGCTCTTGAAATAAAGTACTATGAATATCAAGTTGACATTCAGGACATTGAATTGAATAGTCCATATTACTTTCTATTTCCATTTAATTTAATTGTTTATTATTATTATTATTATTACTATTTTTTATTGTTAATATAAATTAAAAAACACAAAACTAACTATGAACAAACTGTATGATATTATTAATTGATTAAAAGATACTACAAATTATTATTAATAGGGTTGTGTTAAAATTAAATGACAACAAAAAAAACAATTATTAATTAATTGATTAAAAAAAAAAAAAAAAACATATAAAATGAAATTAAATTACCCCTTTCATTAGTTATTCATTAATAATATTTTTCGCGATGATTTCTTGACAATCAAAGTTTGATGTTTTTTTAAAAACTTTATTAATTAATTATAACTGACTCAAACCGTCGTACATATGATATTACATAGTATCATCAATTAAAATAAAATAAGATTAAATAAGTTATATATTTTTTTTTGTAATTTTTTTGCAACAAACATTTTTTTTTTTTTAGTAAAGTCAACAAGAACAACAACACAAAAAACATATAAAGCAATGAGTAATACAAATACTCAAGAACAAAGAAAATTTAAAAAGCAAAGATATGACAACAATAACAGCAATAAAGACAGTTTCTCACAGCTAGATGCAGATGCAGATCACTCAAATGATGAGTTGTATGGTTTTAAAGATTTATTGAATTTACTTGGCAATGAAAAGGGACTGATAGAAGCTGATAGTAATAATAATAGTGATAATAGTAGTAGTAGTAATAATAATAAGCACAGTGAAAGTGAAGATGATTTAGATTATATAGAAATTCTTTCAAATTTAAAATCAAAAAACGATATTAATAATAGTAATAATAGTAACAGTAATAGAAATAGAAACAGACATATAAGTCGAATACAGTTGGATCCTTATGATAATGAATATGATGATAATGAAGATCAAAATGATAATAACAATAACGGTGATGATAATGATGATGTATATTATGATGATGATGGTGATAGCTATGATTACGATGACCAAGCAAGAAAAGAACAACAGGAGAGAAGACTATCAAACTTTTTGCTAAGAGCACAATACGAACTTCAATATAATCAAAAGCAATCTATCTATTCAAGCACAGTCGATAAGTTACAAGAAGAGATAACATTTCTACGGTAATCATCAATCAATCAATCAATATTTTTCGATTTTATCATCTTAAATGCTAATCAATCGTAATCTATACATATATGTATATAGAGATAAAATAGAATCAAGAGAAAATGAAATAATAGATTTAAACTACAAGTTGGAAGCAAGAAATCGTCTTTTACATTCATTACCAAAGGAATTGGTTTTCAATTGGATGATGACCAACCAAATTCTTCAGCTTAATACAGAAAAATTCGATTTTAACAATAATAATAATAATAATAACTCTAAAACTGTACAAAATAACAATAATAATAATAATGATAATATTAAAAGTAAAATATTAAATACCAATAATAATAATTTTAATTTTAATAAAAAACCGAAAAAATAATTAAATATTTAGTTTATAATAATAATTATAATTATTTATTTAAATGTACAATTTCTTTTTTTTTTTTTAAATAGCAATAATATTATTTGTTTGATATTTGATACTTGATAATTGAATTTTGACTCTGTCTGACATTGTCATTTGAATAGTTATTTTATTTGGTATGTAATCGATTGTTTTATTGAATTATTGGAAAAAATAATATAATAATATTTTATTTAATTATATATTATTATATTATAATTATTTTTTAATTATTTGATTATCGCCAATCAAAAAAATTAAAAAAAATAGTTTGGAAAAAAACAAAGAATTGAATGGTTTCTTTGATAGGTTTAGAATGTTTTTTTTTTTTTAGAGTTTATGTTGTTGGTAGATCATGAGCGAGTGATGGAGTTTATAAACAAAACACTTCGTCATATTCAATACGAATTCTTTGTGAACCAATCTTTGAACGGTCCAAACAGTGTTTGGCGTTGACTGCATGGTCAACATTGGTGAAAGTGATAATCGATTGGAATTTGCCCTCGCCACTCTTGTTGATCTTTAGGCTTTGTAGTGATCCGTAGTTGGAAAAGGTTTCGTAGAGGTCCGAGAATTCAATGTCTTCATTGTATGTACAGATGAGTGTGGTTGAGTTTGGATTGTCAATGTCAATGGTCGAGAATTCCATTGGTGGTTGTTGATGTTGGTGGTGATGATAGGTATAGGTTGGGTGGTGGTGTGGTGCATATATATAGTAGGGGTGGTGTCTGTTGGAAAAATTTGGTTGTGACGGTGTGGTTGGATAGTGGGTTGGCGACGCTGGGGGTGATGGTGATCTTGGTGGCGATATTGTGTATTCGGTTGCATAGTAGTGTGGATGGTATATATAAATATCTTGGTGGTGTGGTGGTGCATATAAATAAGTATATTGGTGTGGTGGAATTTGTGTTGGTTGTTGTTGTTGTTGTTGTTGCTGCTGTTGTGGAACAACTGGAATCATTCTTGGTGAGTGTTGTTGTGGTGGTGACGACGATGGCTGTGGGGAAACAGATCGGCGATGTGGAGATTCGTAGTAGTAGTCGATACCAGTTGAGCTGGCGAGATTGTTGATTTGGGCGAGAAGAATGGTGCTGTTGTTGTTGTTGTTGTTGTTGAGGTTGGAAAGTGATTGGTTCAAGATGTTGACTGGTTGTGGAGAGGTAGACTTTTGGCTGAGTCTACCGTTGGCATATTTAACAATTAATGGAGTTTCTCCAAGTTGTAGAGAACCTTTCATCGAGTGGATGGCAGAGGTAGCTTCCTCTATGGTTGAGTATTTGATGTATCCGGATCGCTTTGATTTACCAGAGACTGAATCGATGTGGACTTGGCACTCTTGGATTTCACCGAATGGTGCAAAGGCCGCTCTCAACATGGCATCGGTAATGGTTGGCGAGAGTATTCTGACGTAGATGGTGGGAGATGGGTCACGGAGCTCACTGTCATCCAACAGTGAAAATGGATTTATAGTTGGGGTTTGAATTGGTTTCGAGAGTTTGCAAAGTAGCACTTTATATCCGATTTGTACACGATTCATCTTGGCGATGGCTTCTCTTGCTTCGGCTGGATCAGAGAATCTAACGAATCCATAACCCAAACTTGTTCCGGTTTTAGTATTAATCATGACTTTGGTATTGACAATATCACCATATGGCTGAAAAAGATTAAACAAATCTATATAAATAAGAAAAAGTATAATAAAAAAGAAAATTAAATTAACAAACTGTCGCAGATAAAAATGTATGAAATAATAATTACCTCTTTCAGTATATTCACATGGTAAGAATTTAACAAAGACATTACATTCATCAACATCGGGAACTGGAGATTTCATTTTGTTTAAAGGCTTACTTGATAGGGACTAATAATACAGATAACTTAAAGTTAGTTTTATTTATTTATTTATGTTTTTTTAAATAAAGTAAAATGAAATGATTTCTAAATATAAATATTTATAGATGAAAGATGATATGGTACCTGGGAAGGTAAGAGGATAAAAATTATAAATTTGAATGAAATATGATTTCGAAAGAAATCCTATTGGCCAATTCAAAAAGACCATTGTAATGTTGTGTAAAAGATGGAACAAGGATGGATTGAGGAAAGATTAACATTTTTCTTGGATTGGTAGTAAAATTGATTATTGTTGTTTAATAGGTTTTTTCACTGATGGATAGTTACACTTTGGTAGATACCACAATGCAAAGACTACCATATTGGTAGGGATTTTAATCCAAGAAAACCAAACCATAGAATGTTGTGGAAATAATGGTGGTGTCAAAAAAATAAATATAGTAGTGGTCACCCAATAACTTTGCACCTCTCTGATCAGATCAATATCTGAAAAATCTATTTGACAATCTAAATTGTAAAATGATCGTGAGAGAGCAGTAGAAAATAGTTTTCAATCAAATACAACACCAAAAACATTTCAATGTGTTTGCACTCTGGCTCACACTGAAAACCAACATTTGCACACCAAAAATGATGGTACAATGGTTTTTCAGTTTGGTTGCGGTTTGACAAGAAAGCAAAAAATCGTAAAAAAAAAAAACAAAAAATAAAAACCACTTTTTACCTTTTGGAAAAGATTTTTTTGTTTAAAAAAACAATATGGTTGAATTGCAAAATTGATTTGGTTTCTGAAAAAGTTTGTAAAATTTTTGAGTGGGTTGATGACATTATATGCAATCAATGATAACACATTTATGTGGTGTTTAGAGATTTTAGATCTATAATGAATATTGTTTCAAAGAAGTGATACAAAATGGAGATGGAACTGGACCTTAAGGATTTTTTAGATAAAGAAATCCATCAAGATGTTCGGAAACATAGGAATTGTGAAGTTGCGGTGTAGGAGTTACTTACAATTTGATTAAAATAGATTTTCTTGGGATAAAATGTGGTGATTCGATTCGATTTTCAATTGAGGATAAAATTGGAAAAAATAAAAAGATTTTTCTTTTATAAAAATATTTAGAAAAATTAATTATGAGGGGAAAAATTATTATTAATTGAGTTTTAGGTAGTTGGAGGTTCTTAGTTTTAGATTTACAAATTATTATTATTAATATTAATATTTATAAATATATAAAAATATTAAAAACAAAAAAAAAAAAAACAAAATTAAACAAAAAAAAAAAAAAGGAATGTGGAAATATTCAGAAAAAAAATAAAAAGAGGATTGTGTATGTGTTATTATGAAATTTGGATTGAAGGTATCAATTAATTATTAATAGATTAATATTAAAAAAATCTATTTGTAAATTTTTTAAAAAAAAAACAAAGTTTTAAAAAATTGGTACCAAAAAAATAAAAAAATAAAAAAAAACAAACTTTTCCAAAAAACTCGATCTGGATTTGATCAAGTAAAGTCGTTTTTTAATAAATCAAGGAATTAGACGATTGTGCAGGTCGTTTTGTTGATCGGTGGTTGATCGAGCTGTCCAGGAAACCTTTTAATTAATTAGAGTTGTGTGAGATGTGTGATGATGTTCTGGTATTTGTGTGTTTTGGTGTTTGGTGCTATTATTTATGGTATACAGTTGGTCGATATTAGAGATCTGGACTATTTAGATTTAAATTGGAGTGATTTGAAATTTGAAAACTCGTAAACTGACTATGATGTGATGCGATTTGGTTTGAAAACTTTGAAAAATTAAACAAATAAATGTCTGGTTTGGTTTGTATGATGGTTGGCCTGAGTAGGTTTGCTTATTAGGATATTGGGTATGATTTTGTTGATTCTGGTTTTGGATGTCGAAGGTGTGTCTTTTGATGATAAAGAAAAAAATAAAAACAAAAATTTGAAAATAAATGCTACCCCATATAAATATTATAAATAATATAAAAAAGTGATTGATTGATTATTTTTGAAAAAAAAAATGATAAAAAAAGAAATCAAGCCGATTAACAATTAAATCACCGAAGAGGTTGTTGATTAGAACAGTAGTGATAAATATAAATAAAGTATAGTAATGATGATAGATAAATATTATTATTAAACTAAGAGATTGTAAATTTGTAAAACTATTAGCTAAGAACTATTAGAGTTTGATTAAGAATGTATGAATGTAGGAATGTATGTATGATTGATTGTTAGAGAGTTATAAGAGATAAGATATATATTTAAAACTAAGTAGTTGAAAATGAAATGGAATAAAAGACAATGAAGTTGCTTTAAATATATTAGGGTAAGTGACCCAGAGAGACAAACATGGCACAAGGATTTAGAGTTTGGCGTGACCTTTTCGACCGCAATAGTTGTCGAGTTGGTGATATTTGATGTAATTTGTTTGTTTGGGGAGGGTCAGTATTGGATCAAAAGGTAAACCTAACCTATACACAATCAGCAATCAAAATGATGTGTTTTGTTGGATGAACTTTGAATGCCAAAACTATCGCCACCAGGTATTTTGATGGTGTAGGAAACGGGGAGATTATCTATGATTGTTTGTCAATTGATTGATTACATCCACTTGGTTGTATTCTTGACACGATGTGATAATTATATTTCTTTCGACCAAACTAGTTGGTTGTTGTTGTTGTTGTTGTTGGTGTGTGTGTTTCGTGTGTTACGATAATATCGAAATTGCAATGATCATTTGATTGAATTTGGGTAGAGTTGTGGTGTTTGTTTTTAGCATTGAAATTCCACCGATTCAATACATATTGCACACACTTATTCACAGTAAAAAATGGACCAACACACACAAATATTGTCCATCTTCTAAAAATGGTGCTACAGCAGATCACCAAAAATATGCCAAAAACAACACAGCTCCAAAAATAAGTTTTTGATTTTTCTTGTTATGGTTAACACATGCAAACGGTTTGAGGTTTTTAATAATAGATCCATTACAAAAAAAAAAAAAAAAAAAAACCAATGAAAACAAAACAAATTTGTGTTTTTGAAAATTAAAATAAAATGGGGGTGTGTGAATTTGTGATAAATCATGGTAGTGAGATTTTTTAGTGTCACACATGACTCTTAGAGATATAGTGAGATTCCAGAATATCAAGTATGATGATGAATTAATGTGAACTAACAATTGTCAACAACCAATTCTTAAACAAAATAAAACAAAACAACACCAATAAAACAACACCCATATAAGCAATGTATACCAGGTCACTAATAAACATCGAACTATTTACTAACCGAACTTGATTTAGTTGTGTGGTTGTTGTTGAAATAAAAAAACAAGTTCTTTAAACACACCCATATTAATATCATCATTAACAACAACAACAAAAACAACAAACAACAAACAACAGCAACAACAAACAACAACTCATAGATCTATAAACATCTATAATGAAAAATGATAACAACAAAACTAAACACTATCCCCCACTATATTATATGATATATAGATATGGATCAAAGGGGCAAGTTGTTGAAAACAACAATCTACGATCCATTAATACCTTGCTATTCAATTAATTTCACTTTGAATTTGATATTATTATTGAATTTGCTCCTGGTATTTAAATCGCTGAATTTAAAGATCTTTTTCAAAATATATTTTAAGCAATGGTTGATGCTTTGTTGTTGAAGATTTATTTGTAGAATGGAAATCAATATATTTCGATAAATAAAGTAATGTCGTGAGATGTGTTAGATGGTTACAGATCCACAAAGATGGAAATAACAAATGAGGAAACGTATTGTGGAAAATGATGGATATGATGTAGTGTGTGGTTGTGGTTAAGGGTAAGGTTTGTGGATGGTGTTATAGAAAAGTCACAGTTTGTATTTATTTAGTACTATTGTTTTTGGAATTTTTTCTTATTAGATAATTTATTCGATAGATCAGATTGATTTTGTTCAATCCGATTCGTGTTTTCTTTATTGTAATTATTGTTATTTTATTTTACATTGTGTGTTATTGTTTTTATTTTGTTTATTGTTTTTTTAAATAAGTTGTTATTTGTTTTGTGTTATTATATTATTATATTATCTTATTGTTATAATGAAATTTGGTAATCTTGTTTCTTTCCAAACAAAGATGGAATAGAAAATCTGTCTGTTCCAAACATACTAAGCAAAACAGGTAGTAAAACTAAACCATGAAGACCTCCTAAAATTACAATAGAGATATACATACGGAAATAGTAGACCTGGAAGATTTCAGAACTAAAGTTTGTTTATAAAGGTAGATATTAATTAAATGAATAAAATATATATTGACTAGATTATATTATATTATATTAAATGAAATGACGATTGTATGAAATGAATGCAATAGAATTTAAAAGAAAAATCATATCATATTGATCAAAAAAGAAATATTAAATTAACGATGTTTTTGTTTTTTTTTTTTTGATAATATTAGCTAACAAATTGATGTTGCCACTTCTTCTTTCTCGTTTCTAATTGATTAGTATAAATCAATTATCAAATATGGATTTGATTTAGATTTTGTATTTAGAGGTGTGTATGGCAACCATTGTATTATTGCCCGCCCCCGGTATATTAAAGACAAAACAATACCCCATCACCATAAAGAGTTCAAATATGATGGTTGGTAGTTGTTGTTATTTCAAATTTAAATTTAAATTATGTTATGTTGGTGATTGATGAGGATCGTGTAACAACAAAATTTAAAATAAAATAAAATAAAAATAAAAAAAATATAATCGAACAAACACAAAAACAAAAAGTAATACAAATATAGAACCACTACATCAAGCAAAAACACATTTATAGCATTAAATGGGCACGAATGGTTATGAGGCGCCAAACATAATATATCAATAAGCCACAAATAAAATCCACTAAAAAAAGATTTCAATCAAATGACGTCGGTCATTGGTTGACCTTCTGTTGTAAAAATAGTGTGGTGCTGTCTGAAAAGCAATTTGTTTGGTTTTTGATCGATTTTCGTCATATGCAATTCTTTCGAAAATAAATAAATTTTAAAAAAATTACTTTTTTTGATAAAATTTTGCAAAAAAAATGATCGTCACATGGACATGCCTTGCCCATTTAAATTAATTTGATTATGTAATTTGAAAGAGCAGTGGGGTGAGTGGGGTGTGATGTTCAAACATAAATATCATATTATATGATATGATATTTCAGCGTTTGAATTACTATTGGTGTGGTTGTGGTGGTTGGAATTTGTAAACTGAAAAAAAATAAAAATAAACGATGGGCTGTGATCAATTGCAAAGATTTGGTGATTTAAGCATAAAATCATATGATAGTTACAACAATAGCGTGTGATTTCAATAAGATTTCACAGTTGATTGGATTTGATGATAGGTTTGTGATTTATAACTGGACCATTAGTGATTTACGTCCAAATAATTTTAAAAATAAAACTATTATTATAAAAATAACGACATAGCTAAAACAAAATAATAGAATAATAAAAAAAACAATAAACAAAAAACAAAACAATATTATAATAATAAATTTTCTGATAATAATAAAAAATAATAAAACAACCGAACAAACAAACAATAAAATAAAAATATGAGGTTAAACTAGACTAGTACTTACTTTGAGAAACCTAATACGACGACACCAAGTAATTTGGTAATGAAAATACCACTGACGATTGAGCTACCGACTTCGGAGACTGCATGTTTGGCCTTTTCATCATTGGTGTAGTGCTTTGGAGCATTGATAAAGGTATGGGCGATGTGTACACAGAATTCAATGGAGATACCGATGGCCATAACTACGTTGACCAGTGACACTGCATTGAGGTTGACACTCCAGAGTGCCATGACACCGAGGAGATCGATGGCAACCAAGAACACACAGAGTACAACAATCAACGAGACAATTGGATTGGCTAAAATCAACAAACTGACTACAAGTACACCAACCAAGGCAAGACCAATATCCAAAATGGCAACATTCACAATGGTGAGATATTGTTCAAAGTATACATAGAATACAGAGTATGGGAAAATCTCAAAATCACCATGGAAATGGTCAGCGTACCAATATACTGATTTCATTGACTAGATATTATTAATATTAATTTTGTAAATGAATTAATTAGTAAATAAAATTGATTGGTTTTTGTTTAATAAACTTACGTTGATGAAATCTTGTTGATATCTAAGGGTTGTGTGATAACCATCGAGTTTTGAGGCAACGATGACACCATCTTGGATGTCGACGTCAGCAGAGTAACCAAGACCAGAGATTTGACAGGAGTTGGTGTTGGCGTAGTTCAAAAAGTTTGGAATGAATTTGACAAAATTCTGTACACTTGGACGATTGGTTGGGGGAACTGAGATTGCACCACAGTCACTGACAGGATCGTTTGGATCAACTGGTGGTGGAACACAAGTGCTACCGTTCGATTGGTAGATTGACAAGCAAGCTTCGTTCAATGTCCATTGGATGTAATCGTCGAGCCATGAAGAAATACCGGGTTCTACGTATGGAGCATTGTTGAAGATATTGGCGACGGAATCCATCTTACAACCGGGCACCGTGCAGATTTCGTCTTGGTCCTGAATGCTAGAGTAGTTGTATGCACCTTTAATAACGATATAGAATGGTGGTCCTACCTCGAGTTTCAAAGCTAACTCGGCAAAATAGTCTTGAAGATAGCTATCTCTTGGTAGGGCAACACTTTGTTCTAGACCGAGTTCAAGCTGGAGCGAATAGGTAATACCGGTGAGCAGTAGACCGACAAAGAATACACAGACACATACTTTGGTGATTGGATGGATGAGGAATGGAGCGTAGTATTTCTTAAAGATGAGTTTGAGGAATCCGTCTTTCTTTTTGTAGGTGACGTCGTAGGTGGAGTTGGTAGATTGATCGAGAAGAGTTTGTTTCTCTGGCTCGTCGTCGTCCGAGAGTTCTCCGTCGAGTGGGACACATGGAAGACAATCGATACGACGCGATTCAGTACGTCTGGTATCCATAACCAAGAGACAGGCGAAAGCACTGATTTGGATGAGGAAATCAAAGAAGATGGCAACCGATGCGTAGAAGGAGAAGGCAACGACTGCTGGCATCTTTGTGAGTGTTCCCAAGAGGAAAGCAAGCGATTCAGAGAGGGAAGCAAGTGCCATGGATGGACCTACCTTGGCGAGGGCACGTGCCAGTGTTTCCTCTGGGAGTGGACGGGTGGTGGTTCTGGTGGAGGCGTTGTAGGTGCTGACGTGGAGTGACTCGAATGTGTTGACCAAAATGAAGATGTTATCGACACCGATCGCAAGCACAAGGAATGGAATAACCTCGGAAATGATAAGAGTGGCTTTGATACCGATGATACTGCAAATACCGACGGAGATGGAAATGGAGAAAGCGACAATGATAATTCCACAGAGACCAAGGGTGAAACGGGAATTGACGAAAATGGAGGAGATTCTCGATGGGAATGGATAGTAACGACCGAGAGCAATCGAGACGTACAAGAACATGACAGAGTAGGAGATGAGAATGGTTGGAATATCGGCCTTACCTTCTCTGGCGAGTTCGTCTTGAACGGAACGTTCGGCAGAGTAGGCAATGTGGAAGGGGAATGACTCATTCTTGTTGTAGGCGGCAACTTTAGCCAACCAGACATCTTCCCAAGCTTCGTTGACGGTCAAATTGGCCGGTTGATTATTGAGCAAGAATGTGGTGACAAAAGCAGTGGAGTTCATGAAATCGGTTGTGAAATTTCCTAGGACGACGTTATTCTGAACTGGGACACCAATGGCATCCATACATTGTGGAGCGAGATTACTGGTCTGGCAGTATTGAAGACTGGCGTTGAATCCAGCTGGTCCGATACTCTCGAGAAGTGTTATATTACGTTGCCAATAACCAGTGACTGACTCGACGATACATCCTCTCTTGGTTGGTTGGAAACAGAGGTCGGCCTGTTCAATGGTTTTACCCTCAAATTCGACTGTGATTGCCATGAGATCGATTTCCAGTTGCATCAAGGTCAAGATGTTGTCGTAGGTGATAATGAAAGAGGATGGATCGGAACGGTTACTGATAATCAATTGCTCAGTACGATAGAATGGACCAAAATGTTCATCGAAGTAAGCTTTTTCGATGGCGGAACGACTGCTTGGTGATACCCAGAGTTTGACTGGATCCAACTCGATTTGGAGCTTGATGATACCGATGGAAGCAGCGATGGTGAATACGACGGTTCCGAGAATGATCCACCATGGATGTCTACCGATGAATTTGGCGTATACAAAGAACATCTTTTGGATGAGAGATGGATCCTTGATTCCGATACCTTGGAACTTTGGGGAGGATGGTGGAGTGGAACTTGGAGAGTTGTCATTGAGGTAGAGTGAAGTGATGTTGGAATAACCAGAGTCATTCGAGTTGTTAAAGTTAGTGGACATGGTAGAGAGTCTGTCTTTGAAGAAGTAGAGGAATAGAGTGAAGCAGATGATCAAGAGGGCAACCAAAGGTGGATAGATTGCTACGAAAAGAGCAAGACTGCAGTCCCACTCGACATTGTATGGCATCTGGTAGGTGCAGCTAGCAGAGTGTGAAGGAGCAACACCAACTGCGAATGGAACAATAATACCAGACAAATAGAAAATAAGCAAGAAATAAACGAGAATCATCCACTTCATCTTTTGAGTTCTCTTGAAAATATTGAATAACATCCACATTGACAATGCTGTAAAAGTAGTCAAAATGAAACCAACATAAGAGTAAATCATCCAAATTGATAAAACTGGTACTCTATAATAATAATTTATATATTAGTATAAATGTTTGTTGGATAGATAATAAATAATAATAACAATGGCAATGGCAATAACTTACTGAGCATCAAAGAATGTAGTATATCCAAGTGTTTTGTTGAAGGAAAGTCCATCACCTTCGGTTGGAACAACACATGAATCTCTGCAATATTCACAGGAGCAAAGTTCAGAGCATGGGATAATGCTACCATTGTATCCAATGACTTCGTCGTAGACAAAGGTAAGTTTGAATGCTGGATTGTAAATCACAAAGACACCAACAAAGAATTCCTGATAGGTTGGGTAAAAGTGGGCGAATGGAGGTCCACCACTTGTTTGGACGTCACGACAAGAGTTGTAAAGTCCTTCGGCGAAAATTGGGTTGATGTTGTAGTTGATTGAAATGATTTGATTGGTGTTGTTGTTGACGTTGGTTGGAACCATGTATGTGCTCTGATAGGGACTGCATGAAGATGCGCACCAAAGCTCCCAGACATTGGTCATACACGATGAACACTTTCCAAACATACCACTAGCAATCTCCATATTATTGAAAAGTACCATACTTTGATTGTAATTACAACAGACATCACCTGAATATGCTGGATCGAATTGGCATGTACCCGGTGCAATAGGTGGATCGGGCTAAGAATAGAGATTAGATAAAATTGATTTTGTTTCTTGAAAAATTAATTATATACTTACAATAAAAGGTGGGAATGATTTATCTAAAATGAAATTTGAGTTGAGACCATACATTGAGCAACCCATTGTCGGGTTATTTAAATGAACATCTGAGTGTGTCAATGATGGAATTGCTTGATATAAAACGACTACCAAAAGTAGGTAGTAAAAAATGTATTTTCATTTTTTTTTATTTTTTTTTAATATAAATGGATTAAAAGTCTTCTCTCTTCTTCTTTTTCTTTTTCTTTTGTTATCTAACTAACTAAACTCAATAAATCCCTAAAATAATAATAAGTTGTATTTTGAAATGTTAATATGATTTTTTGATATTTTTCTTGATTATGAGGGAAATGAATGAGGAAAATTGTTTGATGGTCATAGGGAAAAGTAAGTAATAAGAGTAGGAATAAGGAAGTATGTATAAATAGATAAGATATGTAGTACATACCGAATGGAAACCAAAGAGTTTAAATATTTGTATGCGAAGAGAGCTCCTACAATAAAAAAAATAATAAAAGATAAAATTGTGGGTGATTAGTTACTAGGATTTGAAAATCCGATAAACTTGAAAATAAAAATAAAAAAATAAAATAAATTAATAATTGCAAATTGAAAAAAAAAAATCAGAGTGTGGGGGTTTCAATCCGCCCACGTTAATTGACAGGAGGTATCTCTCCATCAAAAAGGTAGCGCCTAAGACAAAAAAAAAGTGAAAAAAAAATGAAAAAAAACTTTTTTTCGGGTCTTCAAGCACACAATCCATTGGAGGACTGTACACTAATATGATATTGATCAAATGTTTTGAATCTTCTATTATGATTGAAATTTTTTGATTTTTTTTTTCTATTTGGAAATTTACGATGAATAAATGTTGAATTAACAACATCATCCAATGTATTACTTTTGGTGTGATGGTGAATTGTTGACGATTAGATTGACTTTTCAAAAAAAAATTGAAAAATATTTTAGGACCCAACAGCTAAACACGAAAATCACCTATTTCTTTTGAAACCCGCAAAGATATTTTAAAATAAAAAAAGAGGTTTTGCTTTGCTGCAAGATATTAATAGTTTTTATTTTTATAAATACCTTTATCTTTTTTGACTTGTTATTATTATTATTTTGTTTTTATTAGTTATTAGTTAACATTAAACAATATTGTCTTTCTTTTGTTGAAACCAAATTAACTGAAAAAAAACATCAATACAATAAATACACCTTAATTAATTAAAAGCAAAGTAAAGTAATCAAATCGAGGTCAATGGGCAACAATGTTAAAGATGAGGGTTATAATTTATTTCAAAACTTGGAATGATCATCATTAGTGTGTATTCATGATGTGCTATTTTTTGTTTTATTTTTTGTTTTAAAAATTAAAAATAAAAAAAGGTTCTTTGGAGGAAGTAGTGGGTTTTTAATGTGTGACATATCTTCATCAGATTATAACGATGTCGGATCTCATTTTGTCTGATTAAAAATAAATTTGTTTACCTTTTTTTTTATTTTTATTTTTATTTTTTTATTTTTATTTTTAAATTGAATTACGACATGTCTCGTGATCATCAATCAATTACCTTTTATAGAAGATTCGAAAATGACATTCTCAATGGTAGAAAGACTATAACAGTTAGAGATAGCAGTGAGTGTCACTTTCAGAAGGGTCAAGTCCTGAGTGTCTTTAGAAATGAAGACCAAACCTACATATGTAACATCGAGGTAGACAGCGTTATCCCAGTCAATAAAGATGAACTTGATGATCAACATGCATCCCAAGAGAATATGTCATTAAGTGAATTAAAACATGTAATAGATACAATCTATCCAGGTGTGAATCAATTATATGTAATTTCATTTCATTTAACAAACAAATTAGTATAAATAATCTAAAAAAAAAAGTATAATAAAAATAAAATTATTATTTATTTATTTGATCGGTTTATTATTGTTGTTTTTGTTGTTGAGTTGGAATCAATTTTCTAACAGAGAGATCATAGACTACCTCTTCTAACTTTTTGATATCATATTTCATCGAGTCGAATCTCTTTCTTAGTATGTCATTCTTTAGGTTTAATAAACGGAATCCTGCATAGAGATCGTTAACAAATGTTGAAATGAGAAGTGGTGTTTCAAAATCTTGTCTAATTACACAGTTTACACAATATCTTGACTATAATGATAAAGAAAACAATCATCTTTTGATTAGTAGGAAGATATACATATATATAATGTTCAGTGTTACTATTACCATTTCATTTGTAACATCACATAAACCAAGTAAATAATCTTCCAATTCGACGGTGATAGAACCTTTGGTGGCAGTACTTTCGAAACCAAGATGATTTTGGATCACTTCGATCTTTAGGAGTTGTTTACATTCGAGCCAATATGAAAATGCAAGACAAAATACGATCTGTGTGAGATGACGTTTCCAGTGATCACGATACTTGTAATAGTTGAATGGTTTTATGAGTGCTTTCAATTCATTGAATGTAGGTTTAAGTGAAGTTGCAAGTTCCACTATCTGTTTATACAATTCTTTAGAGTTATTGATATCTAAAATGATTCATTGTATTGACATTAACAACAACAACAATAATAATAATAAAAATGAACGTTAATAATTTGATGATTCATTTATTTCTTTTCAGTGTATCATCAACAAACATACTCTGTGTATGAGCCATCTGTACGATTAAATTCATCTTTCTCTCTGTTTGGTCGATTACGGTGGTTGAGTTTTTAATATTCTGTCTAAGTTGGAACTCTTCCTCCATTTCATTCATAAAGCTATTAAAGATGTTGTTGACCTCTAGCATCATGCTATTACTATTGTTATTGTTGTTTGTTTCACTCATTTTTGTTTAAATAATTATTATTAATCAATAATAATAAAAATAATCAAATTTAATTAATGTTTTTTTTTGTTTTGATCAAAAATTTTTTTTTTGATGATCATTAAATTGAATTAAAACTATTATTATTTTATTAAACTATGTAATGACAGTTATAGAGTGTAAAACATATGTTTTATTAATATTTTCTACAGTCTACAATCATTTAGGTGATAAACAAAATAACAAAAAAATAAAAAAGTAATAAAAAAAATTAAATATGCAATCATAAGTTATAATAGTAAATATTTTAAAATGTTAACATTTCAAGATCATATTTTATCATTTATATGTTCTTTGGTTGTGTAAAGTTAGTAGCAGATTATTTATTCTAAATATATCATTAACATTATTTTATAAGTTTTTTATTTACATATTCTTGTATTTACTGTTTTTTTTTTAAATAAGCACCTCATTAAATAAAACAAAGATATAATGATAGATAATCACTTGTCGAATCTATTGATATTAAATTTATAAAGAAATAATAAGAGATACATAACTTTATAAAGGAAACATATTTATGTTTTTTTTTTTATAAAAAAAACACCGCTAAAAGATATTACTATCAGCATTCAAAAATAAGATATAGTGATAGACAAACACTCAGGATAGACAATATCATTGGTTTTTTAAATTAATCTAAAATAATTATTAGATTTAAGTTATTAATCGAAGGCATTGGATAACATACACAGATACAATGTACGAGATAGTCTTGTTACAAAATATATTAAATTCGTGTACACTGCAGTGGTATTGTAGAGTTACATCATAAAAAATAATATTTAAACCTTTTTTTTTTTAAAAAAATTATACATCACAACAAACATAACGACAAATCCAATTATAAATTTGGTATACCGCAAGCGGTATGATGAAACATTAAAAGAATCGACCAATGAGGGGCTCGAACCCGCGACCTACAGCTTAGAAGGCTGTCGCTCTTCCAACTGAGCTAATCGGCCTTGTTGAAGTCTTTTTTGCAACATTCATTTTTTGAAAGTTTTGCAGTTATCCCCAAAAAATTTAACAAATTGTCACATTTTTAATTATATTAGCTAAAATAATTTTATTGATGCAATTTACAAGGTTTTAAATAAAATTTTTAACCTATTTATATAATTAAATGATCCATTAGATGCAAGATAACATCTTTACCGGCAGAGTTCAAACTTTCTCTCTTCATGATGACATGAGTATGTGATAATGCATTGTCAAACTTCATATGATGTCGTGAGTATGTCAGTGTTTGTAGGTTCTTTAGCATCTCTCGCAGGATCGGTCCTTTCTCATCGTTGGCAAATGCCAAATCGTCGGAATCTGTCAGAGGCTTGAATTCAGCGAGTGAATCACTGTCGATAAAGTGCGGATACTTCAAAGATAGCCTCTGTTGCGTTCCTCCTTGTTTGGTGTATGGATTCTGATGAGAGATATTCGATGTATTGAATACCACGTGAATATCATTCTCGATAGTTGAATAGAGTGATCGGTTCTTAAATAGCTGCAATCCCAGTAGGTATCTAGAGTCTAGTCTTGACATCTCCAACAAGATGGGATTGGAATCGTTGTCTGTCAGCATCAATTGTTTGCCGGTGACACTGATACATTTGTCGGTAAAGAAAGATACGGTGACGTTGAATGCACCCTTCTGAGGACGTCTACTACCGCAGTGTGGCGATGAAAGAGATATATATTGAATGGGTGACACGTTATTAAAGTAACCCTGTTCATATAGAATGCCGATGGCATATCGTGAGATTGGACCACCTAAACTGTGACCGACGATCGATATCTTTGTGGGTTTCAGTAGCTTTGAAACCTCTGTGACTTCATGTGCCATTCTCTCTCCACACTTGTCAATACCCTCACGTGTCTTGACTCCACCATTGGCAGATCCACTCACCAACAAGAGATCAGGGTATCTCTCCTTGAAATTCTTTATCATAACATCGTAGTCTGCAAATGTACCATGCAATCCATGTTGAAAGAATATCATATGTTTTTCTGTCATCTTTGTTTTTCAACCTTATTTTATAATTAAATAAATAATAAAAACTATTGTTACAAATATTTAATATTATAATATATATTTCGATTTTAACCTTTTCAAAAAATGTGGTGAAGTCTTTGCAATGTTTTCTGTAAATTAAATTAATTTAAAAAAAAAAAATATCTTGCAAATTTAGGAAGGGTAAAATATGTAAACTTATAAAAAAAAAGGATCTGAGTCATCTTGCCAAACAAAAAAAAAAATTTATTGTTAATTTTTGTGCACAAGAACAATTTTATTTTATATTACATTTATTTAAAAAAAGAATAAAAGTAGTAAAACACAACAAAATGATACAGTTACTTTCAATTTTAGACAATTCTATCTTCAACAAAGATTTCGAAATCCTTTGGTTTAATAATGATATCGTAAACCATTTCTTCACTAATCGGTTTTGAATCAACAGAATTGAATTTAAAGTTCAACAATAGGTTTGAGACGGCAATAAATATTTCGTCTAGAGCCAAGTTCAAACCGAGGCAATTTCTTGGTCCAAGTGAAAATGGAATGAAGAACTCGCTGTGGTTGTCATAGAGGAATCTGGAGGGATCGAATTCCTCTGGGTTCTTCCAGTGCTCTTGGTCAAAGGCAATGGCATAGTTGTTCAAAAGGAAAGTACTGTCCGCAGGGAAATAGACATCATTAACGACGACAGCTTCTTTACATTTTCTTGGGAATGGGAATGGAGCGACAGGACGATATCTCAATACCTCCTTGATTACCGCCGATACAAAGGGTAGATTAATACGATCTGATAGTAATACTTGATTTCTGTCTGAACCTATTACATGTCTCAGTTCGTCGGCACACTTTTCTTGAATATGTGGATTGTTTACCATGAGAATGATAAACCAGAGGATTGTATTGGAACTGGTATCGGTTCCTGCCAATAAAAAGTCGGTGCATAGATAGCAGATTCTGGTCTTATCACCGGTTTCCTCTGATGCAAGAATGAAGGAATCCAAAAGATTTCTAGGATTATCTGGATCCAATGATGCTAGGTGTTCATCATAGTATCTTTTGAAAATCGATACCAATTTTGTATTTTCATTCTTAATATACTTTATATACAATCGAATCAATGGATGTAAGAATGTAAATGATTCGTAGTTGGCATAGATACCAGAGTTCTTGGCTACCGCTTCACAGTAATGTACAATATTCTTCATTTCCATTTCATTGTCTTCATCATGATAATTCAATTCCTTTGATATTATCATTTGAAGAATGATATTCATAGTAAATCTATGACAATATTCAATTGGATTTAACTATGATTATTTAAGTTTTGAAATCGTTAGAAAGAATAGTTAACAATAAGTTTTAATAAAAAATATTTACTCTAGTTTTACCATCTGCATAGGCTCTGAAATGTTGAATAAATTTCAAAGATTGTTCTTCCATTAATGGGATTTGTGATTTCAACTTTGTCTTGGTGAATGCTCTTGATGTAAGCTTTCGTAAACTATACCAATCTTGATCTCTGGCAACAATAATATCTTGATAGCCATTGGAAATCTCCTTCCATGACGGAGAATCAGGTCTATTTATAAAATTGTCAGAATGGTTCACCAAAATCTCTCTTGCCAACTTTGGATCGCTACAAACTATAGCATATCTTTAAAAAGATATATCTTATTAATAAAATGATTTTGAATTCAATCTATTGTAACAACTTACTTTGAGGCAAAATAAAATCCAAATACTTTACCATATTTGAAACTGAACTTTTGTAAACTAATAAAAGGCAAATCAAAAATAAAACTTAACAAGTTTCCAAATAGAGGTAGTGCAATCTGTTTTGGAGGATCTAGATCGGAATATCTACGATTATTTCTATACTATAAAATAATTTAAAAGTTAGTAAAAGAAAAAATATCAAAATTGTTTTTTATACATACAAATGACCAAACTGTCAATACAAATAGGATTGTAGTAATAAAAATCAACATCTTCAGGTTTATTAAATAAACAAATTGTCATTCTCATCTTTTCTTAAAATAGCTTAAGTATTAATTGGAGTTTAATTTAAATATATTTAATTATTACTTTTTTAGAAATGAATGGTGTTGAAAGCCCCAACAAAGAAAAAAATCTTCATCAAAAAGCCCACTAAATTCTCAAAAAGTGTAAAATAAATTAAATCACTCAAAGCACACTATTTTTTCATGATCATTAAATAGAAACATAATGATGTTTTTTCAATCACCCTTCATCTAATAAAATTAGTAGTAACTCATTACCACTTTTCTCTCTATTTCTCTATCATTTATTTGTGTGTTTATTTTTTAGATAATTATTTCCTTACACCTGAACTACTTTAATATTAATTAATTTAGTAATAAAATAATAATAATTTTGTTTATTTAACTCTTTCTTCAAATTTAATTTCATATTGACTGGGTTTTAATAAGATGTCATAAGTTAAACCACCTTCTGATATCGGATTGTTGTCAGTTGATTTGATTTTAAAGTTTAATAGAATATTGGAACAGGCAATAAAGAGTTGGTCTAGCGCAAGATTCATTCCAATACAACTCCTGGGACCTGTACCAAATGGCAAAAAGTTCTCGGAATGATTGTTATTCATGAACCTATTGGGGTCAAACTGATCGGGATTCTGCCAGTAGTTCTTGTTTCTGGCCATTGCATAAAAGTTGACTAGAACATTGGCACCCTTTGGGATGAAAATATCATTTATAACAATCGACTCTTTTGATTCTCTTGGAAAAATAAAAGGTGTAGGTGGAATATATCTCTGGCACTCTTTGATAACAGCACATAGATAAGGTAACTGTGTCTTGTCTGGAATTTCAACTTTCTCTCTATTGCCAACAACTGATTTTATTTCATCGAATGCCTTTTCTTGACAATCAGGATTGTTCACCATTAATAAAATGAACCAAAGTATTGTAACTGATGCTGAATCCTGTAATTAATAAATTAATAAAAATTTCATATAATTATAAATTGTTTAATACTTACGGCTGCAACAATGAAATCGGTTGATATAAATGAAATTCTATCTCTGTCACCCAATTCTTCGGCAGATAAGATAAACTGATCCATCAAGTTTCTTGGTTTGCTTGGATCAATAGTTTTCAGTTGTTCAAGATAGAATTCATTGAACTTGGCAATTATTTTTTTTATTATGATTACCAATGTACTTGAGGTAGAGATAGACCAAAGGCTTTAAGAATTCAAACGACTCTAATACAACACTAGTTCCTATATTATGTGCAATCTTCTCACAATATTGAACTATATTACCAAAATCCTTATCTACCTCCTCTTCATAGGAAACTTCCTTTGAAACGAGAATTTGCAAAGCAATATTAATAGAATATTTATAACATGCATCCTTTGGATTTAACTATTTTAAAATTTCGATATTAATAATTAAAAAAAAAGTTTGTTTGAAAATAGTTACATTAAAATTTGATTTTGCAAAAGATCTAAAGTATTCAATCATTTTGTCAGCTTGATCATAGATCAATGGTAGTTGATATTTCAATTGTGTGGTTGTGAATGACTTTCCCATGAATTGTCTAACAGTGTACCAATCGTTATCTCTAGCCAAAAACAGATCCTTGTGTCCACTAGAAAACTCTCTCCATCCAATCGAAGAAGGTTTGTTTATAAAATTATCGGAATTGTCTGATATGATAGCTTTTGCCAGCGGAGCACTACACACTACCACGGTGTATTTCGTTCCCAAGTACAATCCAAAGACATCACCATATTTCTCTATCAATTTTTGAAATCCAATATACGGTAAATCAGAGATTATCCAAAAACTATTACCAACGATAGGATACGCCAAAATTCTAGGTGGATCCAAATGATGAAACTTTTTATTTATTTTATACTAAAGGATATTATTAAATTAATAATAAAATATAAATATCAATTTTTTCTATTTTTTCACTTACCAAAGAAATAAAAAATATAACTACAAACAAGAAAATTAACATTTTTTCTAAATAATTATATTAAACAAAACTATAGATATATTTTATAGTTAACAAATTTATCATTGTCTCAAATCCAATCCTATTCTAATTTATAGCGGTTGATTAAAAATAATTGTAATTTTTCCACCCACTCTGAAGTTTTACTACATTGCGATACACACACTAATGTGATAATTTTACTAAATGAAAATTTTCAAAACTAGAATTTTGAATGTACAGTGTTGACATCATCTATTTATTTTTATAAAGACGTACCAAAATCTATATTCAGAATCCTAATATTTATTAATCTGATCACGTAAACAAACATTTTTTTATATTTGGGATGGTGTCACTATGTATGGTATGATGTTATATTTTGATAACATTAATATAACTATTAAATGTAAATCTATCTGCTACCTCTTCTGAATCTCCATTTAATTAATTAATTAATTGTTTTCTATTTTTTTAAACATTTTCATTTTTCATAGATTTGAGAAATAGTCAATGTTTATAGAGATTTGAATCTTTCTGCAAACTTTTACTCTAAAAAAAAAAACAAAAAAACTAATGGAAATTTTTTAAGAACTGTGATTTGATATTTTTCAAATTTCTTTAAATTGATTTTTTTTTTTTTTTTTGCAAAAATCCTTTTTTTTCAACCATCTCTATCCAAATCCAACCAACACATCACCAGTGATTTGATAAAAAAAAAAAAAATTTTGTTTTTCAGTTTCTTGAATTAGATATAAAGAAAGACAGTATTATCGTTGTGTAGCAAATATATATAAACACTTTTTTTTAATTTATATTTGGTTACCTGGTTCAAAAAAAAAAACAACAACTCTTTTTTATTTTTATTTATTTTTATTTTATTTAATATTAAGAATCAAATATAATAATTTATTTTGAATGACATCGATCTCACCATTACATACTCATCATCCACTAGGATCAAGTGATGACTTTAATCATACCAATAACAACAACAATAATCATAATAATATCATAAATGGTGTTAATAATAGTAATAGTAATACCAACATTAATCCATTAGGAACAAACAATACATTCCATAACAACAGTAGTGAATCTTTGCAAGATTTACAAAAACAACAACAAATTCAAGATCAACAAGATAGCGGTGATAATATTCCATTGAATTTACCAGTGAATAATCAAAATCAACAGCAACAACAACAACAGATATTAGATATGAATGCAACTACTACATCACTTAGTTACTTCTTGCACAATCATGATAGTCATCAAGGACAGTATCATCAGTTCAAGACGTACTGCAAGCAGTTGGGTGATATCATGTATCATCGAATGTTATCGTGTCACTCGTCGATACGTGTCTACAGGAAGCACGTGAGTGCACTCGAGATCGAAGAGGCATCGCAACTCGCCAAAACCATATTCTCAACGTATCTTACCAGACAGTCGATGCAGCTCGACAACCAGACATACAACACCATCAAGTTCTTGGCACCGGTAAACTCTGGTGACACCAACAAACTAGAATCACTACTCAACGATAGCTCTGGTGGTCTATTCACTAACAGTGGTTATGAATCTGGTTTATTCGCTTCACTCAAAACATCTGGAAATAATACTGTACAAAATAATAATAATAATAATATCGAACAAAATAATAATAATCAAAATAATAGTGATAACACTATCAATTCATCTGATAATACTAGTAGTAATAATAATAGTAGTACAAACAATCTACCTAGTTTATTTAGTAGTACCAATAGTAATAACGGAGGTACTGAACCAGTTGACTTTAACTCTAGAATGACAGTTGACTTGTTTGATAAAGTAGAAGATTACATACTTGCCAAACTTGAATCAGAGTTTGCTAAATTTAAACAACAACAGCTACAACAACAGTTACAACAGATTCAACAACAACAACAGCAACAACAACAATTACAATTACAATTACAACAACAACAACAGAATATAGATCCATTATCACCTTTAAAAGTAAGTAATTGCAAAGAAAAACAAAACAAGTTAATTTTTTACTAATTATCATCATAAAAATTAATTATACTAAATTAGGATTTAGATATAAATAATAATAATAATAATCATAGTAATAATAATAATAATAATAATAATAATGTTATAAAATCAAATGTAAAAAAAGTTGATTTAATGATATTACCAGGTGAAGCTTTAGATAAAGAATCTTATCCAGTTTATTATACAGATAATCTTTCGAATGAAACTATTCCATCGATACTTTTCACTTCGAATTTCAGAATTATTTTCGTTTCAAAGTTGACAATGACCGAGTCGTTCTCGGTACCTCTCACTACCATCTATCGTATCGATCGTCTCAACAGTTTTAAAGTGGATCAATTGATTGGTATCTGGTGTAAAGACTTTAGAAAGGTGGAGTTCTTCATTATTCCACGTGAGGTCTATCCATTCTCTGAGCCAGCACCACAACATGACCACACCGCTCCACTTATTGGCCGTCTCCGCCACATTGCATTCCCAACCGATCCACTCTCGGTGTTTGCATTCAAATTCAGTCCACCACCTCTCGCTGACCCAATCAACGACGACGGTTGGCGTACCTACGACCTCTTCTCAGAGTTCATTCGACAGGAGCTCAATTTCAAGCTGTGGCGTACCTCCGAGGTCAACTGCGAGTATGCCAGTCCGACTTATCCTGCACGTCTAGTCGTCCCCGACAGCATCACAGACGACGAACTGCGCATTGCCTCTGGATTCCGTTCGAAGGGACGTCTTCCAACTGTTTGCTGGGTGAGTCGCTCCGGTGTTCCACTGGCACGTAGCTCTCAACCAATGGTTGGAATCACTCGTGCCAGATGTGCCGAGGACGAAAAGCTTGTAGAACTCATTAGAAAGTCATGTCCAAGTAATTTGCCACTACACTTGCTCGACGCTCGTCCCAAAGCCAACGCCATCGGTAACTTTGCAAAGGGTATGGGCTATGAAATGTCATACAACTGCAACATTGAGTTCCTTGGCATCGGAAATATTCATGCGATGCGTGATTCCATCAATCGTTTGGAGTTGCTGGTCCATGGAACCTCGACACCATCGGTCGACGACGGCTGGCTCTCCCAACTGGAAGCCACCAAGTGGTTGGACCATATTCGTGCAGTCCTACTCGGAGCTACACGTGCAGTCGAACTCATCCAGTCGGGACACCCTGTATTGCTCCACTGCTCCGACGGATGGGATAGAACCAGCCAACTTTCCTCGCTCTCGCTCCTACTGCTCGACCCATACTACCGCACCATTCGCGGATTCCAAGTGCTCATCGAGAAGGAATGGCTGTCGTTTGGACACATGTTTGGAAACAGAGTGCGTCACGGTGACAGAAACTTCTATGCCGACTCCCAGCGTTCGCCTGTCTTCCAGCAATTCATGGATTGTGTTCACCAGATGCAGGTTTACTATCACGATATGTTTGAGTTTAACGAGCAGTATTTGATTGCTATTTTGGATGCTTTGTACAGCTGTCAGTATGGAACTTTCCTCTGTAACACAGAGCGTGAGCGTTCACAACTGAAGAACAAGACCGTCTCTCTCTGGACACACCTCAACACCATTAAAGATCAATTTTTGAATCCATTCTACAACGCCGAGAAGACAGCAGTGCCATCGCCACTTCCAGTCTGGCGTGGTGAATATGTACAGCTTTGGCGTAACTACTACTACAGATACAGCAGACAGCCATCGAAAGAACCATTAACCTTTGAAAAGATTGCAACCTCACTTAAAACCGAAAACAACGATCTAAGGTCAAGATTACTACAACTAAAACAACAAGTTGAAATGTTACAACAACAACAAAAATCTGCAGCATCATCATCATCAAACGATTCTACAACAACAACAACAACAAATGATGAACAACCACCATCCGAAAGATGATTTGTGATTCAAAAAAAAAAAAAAGCTAGTGATGAAAGATTAAAAGAAAAAAAAAAGCAAAAAGCAAATGGCAAACCATAAACCAAAACCATAACATTAGATTTAACAAATAAATAATATTTAAATCAAATACCATTTATATTTAATACAAAAAAAAAGTTTTATTTTTACTGATGATTTCCTTTGGTACCAATTGAGATTACACAAGTACCTTCAAATGGAACGATATCACATTTATATTTTTCCAGTAGTTGTTTCTTGATGGTTGGTAGGATTAGATGGCGTTTTGATTCTGGAATTGCTTCTGCTAACGCTGCAAATATTGGGCTTTTAAAGAAATCAATTAGGGTGTCAAGATTCATCATTTCCACTCTCGTAGATCTATGAATTTCCACAGATTTGAATCCTGCATTTATATAGAGATCCATTAACTCCTTATCATCAAGGGTTGTTTGTTTGCTGAGAATTTCATCTGGAATATCTCTCTTTTCTCCCAACTCTTCGAATGCATCTCTAACCATTTCATACTCGACCCAATCTCTATCAACAGTTGAGATCGATGCTATTCCCCCAGGTTTTAGAAGTCTGTACATTTCTGATATTCCTTTTTGTCTGTCTTTAAAGATATTTACTCCAAATGATGAATAGGCAAAATCAAATGACTCTGGTTCCAAAGAATACATGTCCTCTCCATTCAAACAGTGCAGCTCCACATTCTGAAGGTTTTGAGTAGCAAGGTTAGCACTGAGTCTGTCTAACATGGTTTGGAGTATATCTACAGCTACAACAGTTCCATGATGTTGAGAAACTCTTTCTGCTGCTTGAATTGTTAGAGATCCTGCTCCACAGGCAACATCTAATACTCTAAGTGATTTCTCTACATTTGGAATTGTCATATCCAACATATCACAACTAAACTGAGCAAATAGACCTTTACTATTCATTACCTTTGTAAAGTCATCAGCTGCAGCCGACCATTCATTTAAATCATTCATTCTTTTCTTATCTTTGAATATATTAAAATTAGATTAAAATTAAACTTTACATTTTTTTTTATTTCATTTAAATAATTGGTGTGTGATTTAATTTTAAAACACACTTTTAAATTTTATTAATAATTTGTAAATACAATAAATATATTTGTTATAATAAATACATTCAAACAAAAATGATAGAATCTAAACTTAGAAAAAATTTTAATATATTGAACATAGAAGGAATTAAGAAATTTTGTAATTTGTTATAAATTTTTCTTCTCGTACCGCATGCAGTACATAAAAATTTTAAAGTTTAATTAAGTGCTCGGACCTGGAATCGAACCAGGGTTAGGAGGACCACAACCTCATGTACTGCCACTATACGATCCGAGCATATGATGATTGCCATTATTCCATCCGATCATACGATGGTGGCCACTTTTCGATTCAAGTATATTATTGTTCATTGTACCAGGATAATCAAAACCATTTTGAAATATGTCACTAAATGTAGAATTTTCGAACTTCCAGTGATCATTGGTTTCTTCAGCAAAGATATCTGATAAAAAGAAACAGTCCAGAATTTCGATAAACTGATCCACCTAAGAACATCATTTTTTAACTCTGGCTTCTTCGAGTATGGTATTTGTAGTCCTTGGAGCAAAGACAACAAAGATCCTTTGGCAGTTCTCAACATTACGACGTAGGTCAATAACTGTACCTCATTTACCAAGTCTTTGCAACCAAGTATGCACCGGTACATGAGATTATCTGTGATGAATACCACGATCTTAGTCATTACCTAGCTCGACATCAAGTGTCGTTTTTCGAGACATTGATTTTAAAATCATTAGAAATGACATAGTTGATTTTAACAATTGAATCTTTCCTTTCACAATAAAACAAGGTTAGAATTCTTATTAACTACTCAAAACATTTTGATTTACCTACTCTCTCATTATTGTTATTTTTTGTTAAATATTTATATAAGTTTACCCACAGGACATATTACATTTGGCGACACCTCATCTGTGTTGGGTGGTATTATTATCTAAATTATACCATAATGTTCATCTATAAATAATTAACAGTATAATAGGAGGTTTTTTCGAACCATCATAGCACATTTTGGTTTTGGGGAAAAAAAAAATATTAAATTTTGACAATAATGTCATTTTTTGAGTTCCGACCACTCACTATGAATTTTAATTTATCAAAAATTTGTTTTACATATATATAAACATAATGTCATTTAATTTAGATGATTTATTAAATAGTGCTTTAGATGAGTTAGAAGAGCAGCAAAATGAAAAGAGATCAAATACAATTAACCAAGATTTGATAATCAATGAAATAACTTCAAGTTTCAAGAATAATACAACATTAAACGAGAATAATTCTAATATACCACAAACAACCACAACAACAACTACTACTACCACGTCGACGACAACAACAAATACTACTACTAGTAATAATAATAATAATGAATCAGCATTACCAATAAATAATGAAACATTTATGAAAGATGTATTCGATGAGGTATTCAACGATCCAAAGATGAAAGAGTTGATCGATGGCTACTCTGCAGAGTCTGGTGAATCATTCGATCCCATCTCATTCAAAGACAACATGAAGAATCTTTTTGGTTCAATGGGTGGTTTCGGTGGTGAAGGTGGTGGTGACAATGGTGGTGACAATGTTGGCGGTGACCCTCTTGGTCAACTGTTTGGAGCAATGTCTGAAAGCGAAAAAGAAAGAACTCTCAGAGACAATGGAAAAGATGTCATCGTTGTTTAGCGGATTCGATGGATTCGGTAAGCCACCTGGTGATACCAACAACGACAGTTCCGCACCACCACCTGTATCCGGTATCGACTTTAAAGATTTCGAAAGTAACGTTGGCAATGTCCTAAAAGGTATGGCAGAGAACGCCGCCAACAGTAACAACCAAACAGCTGCCAACAGCGACTCTACAGCAGATCTCCTCAAGAATCTTGCAAGCATGATGTCTCAAGATGGTGAGGATCTATCGGGTATGGGTGATTCTATCAATGATTTCTATGATGAATCAATGAAATATATAGTAGAAAATGTAAGTTCAAAGCAACAACAATATAAATATTGATAATTCAACTATTTCTTATTGGACTCTTTCTAACTCGAAAATGTTTTAGTATCCCAAATGGATTGAAGACAATCAAAATAATTATTCAGCCGAGGAAATCTCTAAATATAGAGAACAATGTGAACTTTTTATAAAGATATTCAGTTCCAATGACGAGAAAGCAATGGGACAAAATGAAATGTTAGATAAGATATCGTTGTTGGGTCAATTACCAGAGGCATTTTGTGATCAATATTGTAAAGATATTCAAAATAAACTTGAGAATCCAAACTAATAGTCAAAGAGCAACTTAAGACCCAATCATCATATATGATAGTATATATATATATAACAAAATAAACAAATAAAAATACAATTGTAAATGAAAATACTATGAATTCAATGATGCTCGTTGTTTTTTAAATAATAAATAAATTTGTTTTTTGTTTTTTTTATTATTATTATTATTATTTCTAATACAATAATTAATAATATTTTTGTTATATTTTGTTTATAGTTTGCTTGTATTTTGTGGTGAGAGGTATTGTTGTTGTTGTTGTTTGAGAGTTACATTATCTATCTAACTATAGACCAGATTCTAACGATGAAGTTGAGCTTTGTACAATGATTGGATTGTCATGGTTGGTTACCAATAGATCATCCAGTTTGATCGGTGTCAAAACACTCTGGCTACGTACTCTTGTAAATGGATTTTGTTGGTTCATGTTCAGAATGGAACCAAACTCTGATGATGATATCGATGTTGTTGTTGTTGTTGTGGTTAAAGTGTTCGAAGCCTCGGCATCTTCGGCAATCGATGAAGAAGATGTTGAAGCGCTCAACGATACTTTACGGAATGGTGTAGACATTGGTGATTCTACACTACTACGTTTGGACTTGTTGGTTTTGGTGATCATCAAATTCTCGGAACTCGATGATTTATCGACTTTGCTAGTAGTATTTCCACCGTGTGGCACCAAAATAAGATTGGAAAGTGAGGACATCGATGACGAAGACAGCGACGATGACGATGACGATGATGTCAGTGAAGATAATGACGATGTTGAAGTGGAGGGTGATCCCTTCAATTTTAAGATGGTTTTAGATTTTTTGGAAGTGGATGAAGCGGATGTTGGCGATGAAGCGGTTGTCTTTGTTGGTGTGGTGTTTGTTGAGTGACTGTCACCGACTGTCGCCAACTTTGGTGGTGACTTTGGTGGTGTCGTATAGCCATTAAGAGTGGAACAGTAGTTGGTTGCAAACTCAAGATTCTGAATGGCATCGAATACCTGTTGGTGAGTGACAGGCTGGTCGTGTTGTCCACTGTTTAGCGTGTCTTTCGATGACTTTCTATATGAAGATGTTGAGCCGGTGGTGGTTGTGGATGTAGGTTTCGATGGCGAAGTATCAAATGCTGGAATCGATGGATACATTGTTGATTTGGGTCGAGGTAGACTAGTCGAGTTACTAGTTAACAACGTATCCAGTTTTGATGTTGAAGCGAGCATACTATTGACTGGAATAGAATTTGAAACCAAGCTAGGTGCACCATTGTTATCCTCACTGAATGGAACGGGAGAGTTACGTTCACTTCTTGGTAGTTGAGCAGCCAACACATTGGGTGATTCACATTTATTGGCATTGATAACTGGTGTAATAACTGCTGGACTATGATTATGATGATAGTTATTGTTATTATTATTGCTGTTGTTATTGTTGTTTGATATTGGTTTCTTCGGTATCGATGGATTGTTGTTTGTTGTTGTAGGCGGTCCTATTACTACGTTATTTGGATTAATGGCATTGACAACCGATGATTTATTGAGCTTCACTGGAACCTTTAGGAATTGCGCTAGTGTGGAAATGGCACTCTGAGGATTTCCATTGCGTTGTTGCTCTACTTTGAGTTTCTGATGTGCAAGAATGTCCGCTGGTATGGGTGTGCGCGGATAGAGCACGGTTGGAGTCTGAGGGAAGAAATGGTCTTGTTTTCTAATGGTGAAACCAACTGGGAGTTTAGCATTTATACAATTACGACGATCGGAATAAAAGAAGTTGCCATTGCCAATCAATGCCATCTGTATTTTGCTGATCAGCAGATAGATGGAAACACGACGAACCGGATCGTCAGTAGCAACAATCAACTTTTCGAAATCTGATCTCGGGTAGATCATTGAATGAAGTCGAGAACGAACGGTTGACACTGGAAGTGTTGGTGAATCTTTGGCTGTTGATTTTCCAATCTCTGTGAGTGACATCAAGATTTCATTCCATCCGACATTGGTGATGGCGTTGGCATCGATGTTTATCGCTAGAATACTACGGTTACTGGCGAGTGCCTGTGCCAAAAGACTGGCACCCTGATCGCCAAGTTGATTTCTAGAGATATCGAGTGAAGTAACCGAGGAATTCTTTCCAAAATATGGAATCAATGTCATTGTGACCTTTCCAACATTTGACAAGCTTAGAGTACGAAGTTCCGGATTCATATAGAGCTTTTGTAGCGATTTGTTAAACAGTGTACTAAAAGATTGATTATAACTTAAACCTGCTGCAACTTCTCCTACGTGGTTGTTGCTGTTTCCATCGGATTCATGGAATCCATTTGTAAAATCATTATTGTTGTTGTTGTTGTTGTTACTGCTTGATTGACGATCCTCCTCATTTGGATTGTTCAAATCGATGGATGTTGCTAAACTGAATACCAGACGATTGTTAACTACGTTGGTTGTATTGTTTGATCCACCACTGCTGTTTATTGGTTGTGAGTGCGGACTTGTTGTAGAAGAGGTCGAAGTACTGTTGGAAGTTGCATCGGTTTTCAATGGGTTGCTGTTATTATTGATACCAGAGTCACTCGATGAGCTATCGCTACTGCTGCTGCTGCTGCTATTACTGCTGTTGTTCTGCTGTGGATAGACAATGGTAAGTCCATCCAATGTTAATTCGTTCACTTTTATATCCGAGAGTGTTTGGAGCAGTGAGATGATTGTCTTCTCAGTGCCTCTGATGTGACGCAAGTTGAAAACCTTAATCGAGTTCTCGCTGTCACGGAACAATGAAAGCGCGTTGAAGAACATATCAAAGTTATCTTCGGCATTGACCAAGTTCAATCCCTGGAATTCGAGGTGAACCGACGGTTTCTTGTCTGACATCTTACAGATGATCAAAGCCAATACCTCTTTACTCAACGGACAATGATTGCAATCCAAACGGTGTAGAGTTGGAATCGAGAGAATCGGAAGTAGCTTATCCAACTCACCGCCAACCTCCAACTTGTTATTCGAGATATCGATATGTTCGAGCACCACCAGATTTCGTAGCGCATAGAAACTGTAGGTGGATACACCGCAGCCGTTCAACAAGAGATGTCTCAGCTTACTGTATCCCTGTGACTTGATAATCCAGCTGGAGAATGCATAGTTGGTTTGGTCGTCGAATTTATTGTGTGACAGATTGAGGTACTCGAGGGTGAGCGACATTCCATAGTTCTTTTCGAATGCCTCAAACAGCGCAGTCACTTGTTTCGCTGGAATCTGGCAGTTGGAGAGATCGAGATACACCAGTGCATGTTGGAACTGCTGCATGCAGCTCACCAGCGAGGTTATGGCTTTCGAAGACAGTGGATTCTCAGAGACGTCGAGGATCTGGATTGCATTCTTCTTGTTGAGCGACAGCGAGAGGAACACAGAGTGGAGCGCTTCACTTCCACAACGGCGAATCGACAGCTTCTTGAGATGCTGGTTGTGCAGTACGAGATCTGAGAGTGCTTTGATGACCGCCTCTTTCTTCAGGTCACGCAGTGTCAGTCCAATGAAATAGCGGTCGTGTCTCAGTGCATTGAGCAGCGGCACCATGTCCAAGATGATGTCAGAGTACTCTGATTGCTGCAGGTCGGTGTAGAGATCGATCTCACGGTTCTCCTCGCTGATCATCTTGGTGAGTAAGTTGGTGAGAGGGATGTGTGGGTTCACCTGGTAGTAGCTGCACCAGCCTCTATAGATATCGGTGAAACTGTCGACAAAGTTGAGTTTGGCGCCCGTCGGTGGATGAAAAGCAGTCGATGCCAGCAGAGCATTCGACTTGACATTGACAGCCAGCTCCGCTTGACAATGCTCGCCATTCTGTGCATGTTTCAGACGTCTCAGAACTGACAATATAGTATCCATACCCTCTGATTTAAATTTCAATTTTGTTTTTTGTTTACCTTTTTGAAATAATACTGTCAACTATATAATAACAATATGTAATATGTATTTATTTTGATTAGTTCCAAATGTATATCGAAATTATTTTATTTTTTTCGATTCCGATGCCGATTCCCGATCCAATATAACTTTCCAAAAATAATGTGATTGATTGATTGATTGATTAATACATACAACAAATTCAACTTTATTAGTTAATTCCTTAATATCATAGATATGATGATCTTTTGGTGGTTTCTTTGTCATTTCTTTGCCCTCTGTGAATATCAAAATATGATATTGAGTAATGACAATGATAGAAGATGTCCATTTACTCTCTGATTTTCGTTTGGTCATTACATATCCTCTATACATAATGCTCTCATTCCACATTAAATAGTTATTATTTAGCCATTCTTCAACATGATCTAAAAATATTTAAAAGAATTTAAATAAATATCTTTTTTTTTTTTTTTTTTTTTTTATAAATGATTACTTATTATATCCGAAACTAAAACTTACTTAATTCGATTGATGATAATTCAAGTGGGTGTCCCATTTATATATATATATATTATAAATAAATAAAAATAATATTTAAATTATTCTATTTTTATTATTGTTTGTTTGTTACTACTAACAATAAAAAGTTATAAAACTAATTATTATTTTTAAAACAATTATTTTTTTTAAAAAAAAAAAACAAATTTTAATATTTGTATATATTTATATATAATGATTGAATTGTATGTCACCTCTCTCACTCTTCTTCCCTCCTCTTCTTCTTCTTGTTTTGTTTTGTTTTGTCGAATCTATTTTAATATTATTTATTGTTTATGGTGATTGATTGAATCTGCCTAGTGACTTGTTTTTTCTCTTTTCAATTGTTTTTTTACAATATTTATTTAAAGGTTGACTGACTGAACTGAACTGACCACCTAAATGATATATATGATTTACTTTTTACTTTGTTTTTTTGTTATTGTAATTTTTGAGTTGTTGTTTTTACTACTACTACTGCTACTACTACTTTTAATTTAAGTGTTTTGGAGGGAGTTGTAATGTGATGAGCAGACAACACTTATATTGTGTGGTTTGGTTGTTTTTTTTTATTTTTAAATAAAAAAAGAACACAGATATGGTTGGATTATTATTATTAAATATATAATTCTCAATTAATATTGAACCTCCAGTCAGATCTTTAAATCAATTTTTATAAAAATTAAAAAAAAAAATTTTTGAAAAAAAGGAAAGTTATATTTTTTGTTCTGAAAATGAATTGATTTGATTTGACTTGACTTTGAAAATAAAAGATATTCTTTCTTAACTCTAAAATATTTATAAATAATAAATAAGAGGTTGATTATATATGATAAATAATTTTTAAAATAAAAAAACAATCAATTGATTTGTTATATTATAAAAAAAAAAACAAAAAGTATTTATATTTAATTAAAACTTAAGTAAAAAGAGTGTTTGTGTGGTGAAACAGCAAAATGATCAAAAAGGTTTGATTTTTGGGGGTTTTTTCTGTGTGTTTATTTTCTTTGTGAGCATTCAATTTCACACACAAACATTGATTACAGCGTTTTGTGTGTTTGCTTTATCTTTGTATGAGTTTGTGTTGTGTTTTGTTCCCACTTTTAAAAATTATCATGATCATTATTAACAACAATGAGTGGAAATATCTTTTTATTATTATGCCTATATGTTGTTATGTTATGTTATCTGTTTTCATTGTTTTTTTGTTTGTTGTTTTTTTTGTTTTTATTCAAAATAAAAATAAATAAAAAAAAAGGTGTTTTATTTTAAAATTGAAAACAAAACACAATTTTAAAATAGAAAAAAAAAAAAAGACATACATACATCACAACACATACATATATGTATTTAAAATACACATTTATATCATTGTTGTTTTAAATAATAATATCATTAATTAATTAAAATTTTAAAATGTTTTGACAAAGAAATATCATCGTCGTTATAATTATCATCATTATCTTATCACAGATCATATGTTGTTGTCGATAAGCTTACAACCAATCAAAATCAATTATAATTTAGGTGTTTAATCAGTGTTGTGAGATATTGTTAAAAAAGGAACAAATAATATTAGTATGTAAAGAGTTTTTATTGGTATTAAAGTTGTTGAACCGATTCATTCTAGATGAACACAACAAACCTAAATGATTTTGAAAAGATACCATTCATTATTCACAGCTCATAGTTGACTATTTAAAAAATGAGAATGAACTGAACTTCAATGAGAATTTTAAAGTGTACACTTGTGTTTATTGGTTGATTTTTTTTTATATTTCATTTTTTTTTTTTTGGTTAATAAGAAAAATGAATAAAGAAGAACTATTAAACAAAATAGATTATTTATATAATGAAATAAATAATAGATATAACCTACGCAAAGAAAAGAATTCTTCAAATAAAGATGTTGGTAATAGAATGTTAGTTTGTATTGCAGGACCACCAGCCGCAGGAAAGTCAACCATCTCTGTGAGATTATGTGAGAAACTTCAAAGTAGTGGTCTAAAAACTGTAGTTGTACCGATGGATGGCTACCATCTAGATAATTGCATATTAAAAGAACGATCATTACTTCACCGTAAAGGATCACCACCAACCTTTGATGTCATTGGTTTTAAAACAATATTGGATCGTCTATCTAAACAACAACAACAACAACCACAACAGCAAAGCAATAATAATAATAATAATAATAATAATAGTGATGATGATGATGATGATTTAGAATATAATGAAATAATAATACCTACTTTCGATCGTGAGTTGGATATATCTAGAGCTGGTGCAGCTGTTGTCGATCGATCAATAGAGATCCTATTGATCGAAGGAAACTATTTGCTACTCGATGTATCACCTTGGAATAGATTACATCGATTTTTCGACTTTACAATATTCATTGACGCAGATCGATCTACACTAGAACAACGACTCATTCAACGATGGTTAGATCACCAACACGATCATGAATCAGCTGTGAAACGAGCAAAGTCAAACGATATTCCAAATGCAATCTACACATTAGATCATTCAATAAAACCTGATATTAAAATAATAAATAATTAACAAAATAAAATAAAATAAATAAAAATGAGCTAATTGTTCATTCATTCGTTCATTCATTCAACCAGTTGAGTCGACATAACTCTATAAAATGTTTATTAGTTTTTGTTATTAGGATTAAAAAGATATATAAAATACTTACTGATGTTTATCTTGTAGCATTCTTAACGCTTTGGAGAGGTCACCGTTCCACTGTTTGACTTTGGTGAAAAGCAGTGCCTTCTGTCTTGTTCTCTTCTTAACACTTCCATGCATCTCTTGTGAGCAAGGGATGTCGCTTTTCACCTCTTCAATATTAAAGAAAACATCCTTCTTCCATTTCATATTTTAATACATCAAGTTGAAATGGAAGAAGGATGTTTTCTTTAATATTGAAGAAGAGACAGGTGGAAAACGACATTACCTTGCTCACAAGAGATGCATGGAAGTGTTAAGAAGAGAACAAAGAAAATTTCGATTGGAAAGTTGAAGATATAAATATCAAATATTATTTTTAAGTCCAATTAATTAACTTTAATTTCAAATAATATTAAAGATGTATACCATTTCTTCCTGAAATAGAAAGAATTTTCATAGAACATGAAAAGAAAGAACTTCTTTTGTCTTCTAACAATGTACAAAATGAGAAAATGCTCGATTAGAGACTGCTCGATCAATGAAGAACATAGAATTTAGAATAGAACATCTAATGAAAATGTTGATCCATAACAAAGTTGGAGATGAAGGAATAAATATATGGAAATGATTAGTAATGAAATAAAGAAATATGAAGAAGAAGAAAGAAAAAAGACGAAGAATTGGAAAATGATTTGTCAGCGATCGGTCTCCATACAGATGACAATGACGGACTATCAACAACTACAACCACGACAACTAACTCATCAAATATGTTAGTTGATAATAATAATAATAATAATAATAATAATAACAATAGTACGAGTAATAACTCTACATATTCATTAAGTAATGATCAACAACAAAATAATGGAGGGTATAATGATAATTACACTGTTAACACAGATAAATATTTAAATGAAATAGATGAGGAAGCATTAGAACAAAATGAAACAGAGGCATATGATTATAGTGATCGCGAGAACACTCAAGATGTCGATGGAGAAGAGAAACAAGATGAAAAAAACTATTAGTTAAAATAATAAATAATAAATCATTTGAAAACATCTAAAATCGTTAAAAAAAAATTGAATTTAAATTTAAAATTGAAAATTTATAAAAAAAAAAAATGGGGCACCTTCACAATACCTTTGACCCAAGTTTTTGTGTAAAATGTTGAGTACTTGCATTGTTTCAACACGATTATGAATCTATGAGGTAATTAATGGATCTCTTTTTGTGTACTAGTACACAACTTAAGTGCACAGTAAAAAAATTATTTAGACTCATTTTTCAATTTAATATTAGACTGGTGTGTGGGAAAACTGCAAAGCACATTTAATTTTTTGAAATGAAATTTTTTTTTACTCCTATGAAAGCAGAACGAGTGCATGTGACTCACAATGAGAGAGAGAACTTCACTTCAACATATGTTTAAAAAATAATAACAAAAAAATAGTTAACAAAAGAGAGAGTTAGATACAAATGGTAGATACAATTATAGTTAAAGATTTACATGTACAAGCTGTAATTGGTGTAAATGCAAATGAGAGAAACATCAAGCAAAACATTATTATTACATTGAAGTTGTATAAGGATTTATCGATTTGTGGTAGTTCCGATTTGGTTGGTCATACCATTTCCTATAGTACTCTGTCAAAGTCGGTCTGTGCCTATGTGGAATCGTCGCATCACTATACACTCGAAGCACTGGCAACCGGTGTAGCACGTACCTGTTGTCTTGGATTCGGAGTGGAGCGTGTCAAGGTGTTGGTGGAGAAGCCCGGTGCTGTCAAGCTCGCCAAGTGGCCCGGTGTCAAGATAGAGCGTACCCTAGAGTATTTCAAAAAGAATGCATCTCTCGAGATACCGAGTGCACTCCAATCGATTCCGGCAACACCGACCGGTAGTGGCGGTGCCAACATTGTGTATATCTCGATCGGTTCGAATTTGGGTGATCGTTTCAAGAATATCACAGATGCAATTCAATCACTGGGACTGTTCTCGGTGGTTCAAACCACTTCGTTTATGTATGAGACCGATCCAGCATACTTTACAGAGCAACCCAAGTTCCTCAATTGTTGTTGTCGTATCTCGACGGCGTTGGATCCACAGCAACTTCTCGCCAAGTTGAAAACAATAGAGAAGGATATGAAGCGTGAAGAATCCTTTAGAAATGCACCACGTCCCATCGACTTGGACATTCTCTATTACAACAAAATAGTATTGAAAACAGAGAATCTTGAAATTCCACATAAATTAATGTGGGAGCGTGACTTTGTATTGGTTCCACTATCAGAGTATGTAGTTAATTAGCTTGAATTTAATATAACAATTGACTAACAACAAATATTATTCATTTAGTATTGCACCAAACTTTATTCATCCAACATTACATATTACAACGAATCAAATGAAGATCAATCTCGGAAGTAATCTAACCATTAGAAAAGTTATGAGAATCAATCAAACCCTGTGGGATTGGAAGAAGAAAACATTTATTATGGGTATTTTGAATGTTACACCCGATAGTTTTTCAGATGGTGGAAGATACAATGATATGGAGAATGCAATTGCTCAGGTCACCAAATTGATAGCCGATGGCTCTGATATTATTGATATAGGAGGACAGTCTACCTATCCCGGTGCCGTACAGATCGGTGCCGACGAAGAAATCAATCGTGTCGTTCCCATTATCAAAAAGATTCGTGAGCATCATCCAACCATACCACTGTCAATCGATACCTACCATGCCAAAGTGGCACGTGCTGCCTTGGATGCCGGAGCCAATGTTATTAATGACGTGACCGGTGCCATAAGGGATCCCGCCATCATTGAAGTAGCCAGAGAGTATCGTGTACCAATTATCATTAATCACGATCGTCCTACACCTCAGTTCCTCCAGCAACAACATCTCCAAAAGATGGCAGCTGAAACCGGTAATCCAGCGGATCTCAGTGTCATCGAGAAGCAACCGGATATCATAAAGCTGGTTGGCGACTACTTTAACGAGCGTGTTCAAACGTTGGTTGCTTCGGGCATTCATCTCTGGCAGATCATTCTCGATCCAGGTTTGGGATTTGCCAAGACCTACGACCAGTCGATCGATCTGATCAGAAGAGGTAGCGAATTGATATCGAATGGTTTCCCACTGTTGATAGGACCATCGCGTAAAGGATTCATTGGTGCGACACTAGCTAAATGCGAAGGATCCACATTGGTACCAGATGCAAAGAGCGATCGTAGACTATGGGGAACTGCTGCATGTTGTTGCATAAGTGCAGGTTGGGGTGTTAACATCATAAGAATTCATGATGTCTCTGAAATTAAAGATACAATTTTAATTGCAGATACAATTTATAGATAGTTAAATAATTATTATTAAATAAACAATTTAAATAATATTATATCTTGTAAAAATGATCAAACGTTAGATCGTGTTCTTTGCTCAATCAACTTAATTATCATAAATCAAACTCTTTGAAACACAACACTACACAAAGTTCATTGTTGATCAAGATTATTTAAATAATTATATTTTTGTAAATTGGTAATAAGATAATTTTATTTTTCATCAAACACGTTCAAACCACAACTGTTGATTTAAAGGTAAGTTGGAACTTTATCATCATTTTTTTTAATTTTTCTAACCATTTTTTTTTTTATTGGCCTCGATTTAATTTGTGATCACCCCAATACTCGTTGAATCAGATTTACACACATTCATCAGTTGCTTTTTAATAAAAACAAAAACCAACAATGACATTTCATAAATTTAAATTACAAAAAGATAATTTGATTCTTTACAAAATGTGGAGGTTTAAAACCAATCAATAAAAGTTACCAAATAACAACAATGATATTGATCATCAATTTTAAAACTATCAGATTACAAAAAAACACAAAAAAAATCAAAATACATCTGAAGTAATATTTTATTTTATTTTATTTTAATTTTAAAAATGGTTTAATTTAGAAGAATCCAAAATTCATTGACAATAAATAGAGTAGTTGAATTAGCATCCTTTTCATTGTCAACTAATATTCAACAAACAAATAAATCATGAATCCCCTTCAAATTCCCAAAAATTTAATTCCACAATTCCAACAGTTTGGTAAGGAGCTTCCACCTCTCCAAGGAGAAACCGTCGAATTTGCTCCACAGGCATGGTTCCTTGGTCCAAAGGTAAGTAATAAATTTTTTTAGATCTATTAATTTGGTTAAATTATTAATATTTTAATGACATCTATTTTTGTAGGCTGAAAATTCTGATTTGTTCATGAAATTGGTTACAATGGCTTTTGAGTCACACATTAGCTCAAGAAAGAACTTCCACACAGAAGATTCCCCAGTTTTCACTGCTGAATTCAAGAAGACTCCAGAGTACATCAATGCCACCAACGATATGATCGCAAAGGCTACCACTTTGTTCAACTTCTTGAAAAAGTCACTCCCATACTCTTCATTCCGTTATGTTGGTCACATGACCAGTGACGTCACCATTGCCTCTGTGATTGGTTACATTTCCACTATTCTCTACAACTCCAACAACGTCACTGTCCAAGCTTCACCAGTAACCACATTCATTGAAATGTGTGTCGGTAACGATTTGTGTCGTATGGTTGGTTACCCATTCCCAGCTCCAATCGATCCAAAGCTCAGTGAGAAGGAGAAGGCAAAGATAATGGCCAACACCATCACTCCATGGGGACACATTACATGTGGTGGTACTGTTGCCAATGATGAAGCTTTCTGGTCACTCTACTGGGGTAAGTTCATCCCATTGGCTCTCCAAGAAGCATTCTTGCACGAAGCCGTCCTCGCTCCAGCTGCCAATATCCAAGTTGAGCTTGCCAACGGAACCTCAAAGAAGTTGTCTCTCTGTACTCCATGGGAAGCAACCAACTTGTCAGTTGATACCCAAGTCAGTCTTCCATACAATGTCGGAGTTCTCTGTGACATCGACCCAACCCAAGTTACCTACTTGCTCAAGAAGTACCACATCTCCAACATCGGTTCATACACTTTCCTCAAGAAATACGGTTTGAACTGCCCAGTCTTCATGACCCCAGGAACTTCCCATTATTCAATTCCAAAGGCTGCCGCAATCCTCGGTCTTGGTAGTGATGCTGTAAAGATCATTCCTGTCGACAAACACGCTCGTTGTGATTTAACCGTCATGAGAGCTCACCTCCAAGCATGTGTTGACCACCAAATCCCAGTTGTAGCATGTGTCTCTGTTATGGGTACTACTGAAGAAACAGCTGGTAATTATCAACCTTAATTTATTATTCCAATATTATATATTAATTTTTATTTGTTTATTAATATAGTTGATTACCTTGACCAACTCATTGCTCTCCGTGATGAAATGAGAATTAAAGGATTGAACTTTGGTATTCATGTTGATGCCGCCTGGGGTGGTTATTTCTTGTCATGTATTCGTCCAGACTACAAATTGGAACAACCAACCAACGATATCCTTACACCATCTTTGATGTCTTACCCACCAACTGCCTACAATGATATGGACAGCTCTGATCCAGCTGCCTACTGTAGTGACCACTTTGCCAAACAATTGGCTGCCTGTGCTCACTGTGATACCATCACCATTGACCCACACAAGGCCGGTTACATCCCATATCCAGCTGGTTCTGTATGTTACAGAAATTCCAAGTTGCGTGATATCTTGGTCTACACCGCCACCTACATTGGAGGTACCACTGTACCAACTGTCGGAATCTATGGTATTGAAGGTTCAAAGCCAGGTGCTGCTGCCTCTGCTGTCTACCTCAGTCACGCCATTCTCCGTACCTCCAAGTCTGGTTACGGTAAGATCCTCAAGCGTTGTTTGCTCAACACCAAGTTGTTCTACTTGCGTCTCCTCTGGTTGGCTCAACCATCGGACCACTTCGTCGTAACTGGTATCCCAGTTCCACCATCCGATGCAGTATTGGCTGACCTCAAGAAGAAGTTGATCATCAACGGTAAATGGCTCACCTCTGACCAAATTGCCAACGATACCGAGTTGGTACGTCAATTGGCTCAAATTGGTCCAGACCAAAACATCGTCTGTTATGCCTTCAACATTAAATTGCCAAACGGACAAATCAACACTGACTACAAATTGTTCTGTGACTTTGGTGAAAAGGTTTATGTATGTATAAAGAATACTATTCTTTAACTATTCTATACAGAGTTATTAATTAAAATTGTTTTTTCTTTAGGAACGTTTCGACTATATCCCAGAGAAGGGTATGAAGGAGTTCGATTTGGTTGTATCCAACACTGAATTTGGATCTGCTTATGGAACCAGATTCTTGGCCACCATTGTTAAGAGACTTGGATTGAAGAATGTACCAGTTAGCCCATCGATTCCAGTATTGAGATCAACAATTATGGACGTATTTGCCAACGAAACCTCTACTGGTTCATCATTCGATGTCATCTTCCCAATCTTCACCAAAGAAGTCAACAAGATTGCTTTGGCAATGACTCCAAAGCAAGCTGCTTAAATTAACTCCTAGGAGATTTCATTTTTGCCACTAAATATTACTAAAAATAATAAAATTCACAAACTTGTCTTGATTGTAATGAAGAAACAACGATCGTTTTATATCCTTTCTCAACCTAATACAATTGTCTTCAAATATGATTCTATCATTGTTTGATAGTGATTACTTTGTTTTGTTTAAGTTAGGTGAATTCATTATTATTGTTTTATGTCTATAATTGAAGAGAGTGAGGGGATTATATTTTAGTATTAAAATCACTTGATAACTATTTTTTTTTGTTTTTTTTTAATTCAGATCCCAAAAAATTTTTTTTAAAAAAGTTATTAGGCAGAACAACTTGTTTATCTTTGAAGAAACATACTCAGATAAGAAAGTCTTTAATGTCTCTAACTATTTCAAAGTTTATATCGTTTCATAGAAAAATTAGAAGTTGGTAAAATAAAAAATAGATTTGTTCTTTCATTAATAAACGTTAGATATTTTAAAAAAATAAATATCTTAATTAAGATCAATAAAATTTTCAAGATTTAATTTTTTTAAAAAACAATTTCCTTTTATAGAAAAAGAAGGCTTTAAGTCCTCAAGAATAAATTTATTTAAGTCCATTCAAAATAAATAAATTACTATTCAATAAATTCTTAACAAATAAAATAAAAAATGGACCCAAAAAATATGTGTTCTTTACATTATAAGAAATTAAAATTATTTTGTAACGATTGTAATAGATTGATGTGCGAAGATTGTTTTGCAAGAGAGCACAGAGGACACAGATATTATGAAATCACCCAATAAATAAGAGAGTAAGTTTATCTGTAAATTAAAAGAAATTTTAGATTATTAACTAATACATAACAATTATATTAGTTCATTGTTACAATTAAAAAAAAATAAAGTATGAAAATCTTTAAAGAATAAATTAAATATAATAAAAATTTGTATACTTTTATAAAAACCAAATATATATAATATTTTTAAAGATGTAAAGAATTATTTGAGGTATGAAATTACAATTTATTATATTGGAGAATGCATTCCAAGTTTTGTATCGAACTCCAAACGAAGTTCCAATTGGAGATCTGCAAACCATTTCTTATAGAGATGTTTAACAATTTCATCGAGAAGTATTACAAAAGGTGCCCATCCAAAGAGTACTGCATAGATTTCCTTTGGTATTTCACTAAGTAGGTGAACACCACCAATGATCTTTAGAGTAACCAACGTGAAGCATATTTGTAGAATAATACAAAAGATAACGGTTATCACTGCCTTGTAATTCTTTCTGAATGGATTGAATTTTAATACACTACGAGTATGATGAATAAAACTTAAACTTGTTACACCTATTAAAAAAAATAAAAATAATAATTATTAATAAATAATTATCTTTAAATATTTGGATAATTAGATTGATATTATAATTACCTAAATAAAAAACAAAAGCAAACATCATTATATTCTGAGAGATAATTAATGCATCGGAATAAGACAGTTTTTCGCTACTTGGTTCCCATTCTGACATGTTTGCACCGAATATATTTGACCAAGAAGCACCGGAAAGCGATTGTAAACACCATATAAATATTGATACCATGAGAATGAGCGATGGAACCAAACGGATACCAATATATCGAGCAAAAATAGGAATGTGTTTGAATTCACTGTTGTTCTTTGGACTGAGCGTTCGCATAACATCTTCGTCTTCAGTGGTGAAAAGTAAGGACAGACCGACAAGTGGGATAATAAGGAACTGTAACCAAATCAATTGTAGTCCAGTAAGAGGAATTCCACCGACGACGCCATCGACTGGATACGAAACAACTAGGACACCGGCTACTAAACACATCAGTACCAGAGTCATTGAAGCACTGAGAATAAACTGGAGTGACTGACGTGTGTTGGTGAGTAGCTGTCTTCCGACATGGAAAAACTCGAGTATCTCATTAAAGTCGGTACGTCTGTGGAATACCAGCGAGCATGGCAACGATGTAATGTCACAACAAAGTGAGTGAGTAGATGGATGTTCCGATGGCACTCTGGTAGTTGTGTTTTTACGCAGGGGAAGTGGTGCCATTACCGACTCTGTTTCGAAAAAGTTACGAGATGTCAGGAGTGGACGAGGATCCGCTTTGTTCAGTGGGAGATTAAGACAACGAGATACGGCAGGCTCCAAAGAGAATGCCAAATCCGCTTGACAAAAGATAGGTGTATTCTCGTAGTTGAGTGCACTGCCTATGCAGCAGACTACTTCGCCATTCTCCTGAAGGATCTTTATCATCTCCAGCTTTGTCTCGGGGGTGGAGTTGGAAAACATTGGAACGAGCAATGGAACGTTGTCTACCTCTTCGAGATGTCTTCTAATGGCATTGATACCTTTTGGCAAACGAGAGGGACCGTCGGCCACTTGAACTTCATCGGGAGCAGGATCCTTGAGCGATACACAGCAATTCCAATCGGTTTCCAAACCCAGTTTGTTGACAAATGAATTACTTTCTCTGCTGTCTTGATTTGAGAAAAATACAAATCTGATACCGGCAATACGAAGAACCTCTACGAAATGATTGGCATGTGATTTCGGTAATTGTTTCATTCCTGCCATACCAATATAGATCTGTCCATTCTGTAGTTGTTCGAGTGTTTCATTCTCAGCAACTGTATTGGTAAAGCTATGATCATTGGCAAGATCTTTTGTTGTCAGAATTGCTGTTCCATCATCTGAAAGTCCAGATTGAATCAATGTTTCACTATCTTCATTACTCTTGGCTTTGGATAGTTGTTGTTGTTGTTGTTGCTGTTGTTTTCTCTGTAACTGTTGTTGTTGTATCATTTGTTGTTGTTGTAGCTGTTGTTGTTGTTGTTGTTGTTGTTTCTTTTTCAATCTATTATTTCTAATTCTCTTATCGTTCATCGAGTCAGATTCAGAAGTCTCTGAAACACTATAAGAGTTTGTATCTTCTCTTGATAGTCGTTTCAATTTCTTTTGTTTCAAACTTTGTTGTTTATCTGTCTGTGACGGTTGTTGTTGTATATATGGATTATCACTATCTGTTTCACTATCGTTATTAGCATATTCAGATGGTGCTTCTTCTTCATCCGATTGTTCCTTATTATTATTGCTATTATCACCTTTATCAATAACCATTACAACAGTATCATCTTCATTCATTTCCTCTTCTTCTAATTCTTCTTCTTCCTCTTCACTCATTATTACTTTGATGTTGGTGATGTCGTTGGTTGGCTGTGAATGAGTGTCATCTGTAGCTTCATAGTCCAACTCTATTGGTGGAAGAATAATCTGTTTGGTGATAGTTGCAGACATCGACAGCTCACTCTCTGGAGAACCTGAAATCTTATCTTGTTGTAATTGTTGTTCTCTCATCTTATTCTCTTTCTCCAATTGTTTTGCCTTTTTCTTGGATTTTTTCGATTTGTATGGCTTCAAGAACTTGGTCTTCTTGGACTTTACTGGAGCAGGTGACTGTTTTCCACTTGGAATAGGTGATTCTACTAAAATAACAACTGGTTCACTATTATTATTATTATTATTGCTATTATCTTTGTTATCTTTTTTGGTTGGTGATGAATCATCTACTGATGAGGATGTTGAAACACCACCCTGGAATGGAAATGGATGATTGCCAGAGAGTGTTAGTTGAATATCTTCGATTCTGGTGATCGGTGTCTTTGGTTGGGCAAAAGGAATTGGTGAGCTAATAAAGATGTTGGCTGTCTTTGGCTGGGTGTTTTCATACTCTGCCTTCTTGGTGAGTTGCATTCGAAGATTGTCTTTCTTTCTTCTTACAATGGTACTGTTTGAGAATCTGACATCGACCAACGGACTGTTGACACTGCCACCGTCGAATAGCTTTTTGAACTTTTGCTCGATTGGCTTGTATGCAAAAGAGATACCCTTCATTCCGTCGTTGGCCAGCCACTTTGTGTAGACGGCACGCACCTTCTCCTTCTCCTCATCGTCAAACACAACAATGTTCTCGCCATCCCAGTAGTGAGTGCAATGATCGAGAACCAACTCAGTGCTTCCCTTGGAGAGCAATTGCAATGTCTCCGATCCAATATCCTTGGCAACGAGAGAGATCATCGATGGCGACTCATTGTCATCGTCGTCGGGCTGCTCTTTGTTGTTGGAGCGTTGTGTTAGCGTGTGGATTTCTTTTACACTGGCGAATTGGTTGGCCACTTCGTCGGAGAATCCAATCTCCTTGGCGAGCAAGCACAGACACTGGGAGTTGGTAGTATCGGAGCTGTCCTCTCGATCTCTAATCAAGTGAAGTTTCGATACGTGGTCGCTAAGATTACTGGTGGTCGTTGAGTTGGGTCGAGAAGTATCGGTGGTGGCTGTGTACAAACGACACGTCTTGTTCAAGAGACAATCCAATCCCAGAGGTTTGAGTGCATTGATATGCTCTTGCCAATCGTGGTCATTAAAAGTAATAGAATACTGAGTGTGAGAGTACTCCGATGACAACTCCAAACGAACCGGACCATCTTGTTTCAAGAACGATATTTCTCCAACGGTATTGACGGGTTCTGATACGATACCATCTTTGTCGAGACAACATATAGTTGTTGTGCTAGCAATGTGGTGAAGTAAGTTCGAAGAATGTGAAAAAGCAACATGTTTTGTACTCATAATGGCGCGCCAGTAGGTGACTACCAAGTCGAAAGGCACCTTGGGAAGTCTGTCCTCGTCGTACTCTGTATCAAAGTTGAGCGCTGGATGGTCGTCTGCAATCTCACCCTTCAACGAACGCTCTTGTAGCACGTCGAACAGCGCCAACAACTTGGCATGTCCAATGGAATAAACGAGAATCAACAATACACTTGGCAACATAATCAAGCTGAATGCAATGGCCAAGTCCACTTGACGGATAATGAGAAGATCGACCAGCGACCGCTGTTTCTGTAGGATCGATCGAATGATATTCGATACCAAAGAAATCGATATGGTGATCCAGAGGAATCGCTCCATCACCAAATGAATATAGTTGATTGCGTTGATAACCGGATTGATTGGACGCGTCGACGGTAGTGTCGCAGCAGTTAGCTGTGGAAACGACGGTGTCTCGTGCACGACAAAACAACAACGTCCCGAAGTAAACAGTGTCTCTGCCATCTCCTTGGCATGCTGCTTCTCCTTCTCACCGAAATCCGGATTCACCTCCAGCAGTCTGGTTGTCAGCAGCTCCGACGAGTAGGTGTCGCCACGACGCAACACGATTCCGTTAAAGAGCGGTTCGACGCATGCCAACATCACCGGTATCTTCTCACCCTCTCTCAAACTGATGTGATCGCCCTCCACCAGTAGATTCAGTGGCACCTTTCGCCATAGATGATCACGACACACCGACAACACCGAGATTGTCTCTGTCGAGTTGATAACACCGTCCTCTAGAATATCGCCGGCAGCCACATAGTGTTTGAGATGTCCACGTGCCTTTGCAATCACTTCGTTATGTATCAACTGTTGCTCACGAATCCTCATTACGAGATGCAACACAATGTAGAGGAGAAGTACACCCGCTTCAATAATGAGATGTATCGCCTGGAAATGTTGATGCTCCAAAATGAACGCAACCACCAGCAGTATCACCGCCAACACATAAATCAAAGGAGTAACTCTAAACAGCTGCTCCTTCAACATATTCCACTTACTAAATGGATTCAATATTTCTTTTTCATCCAATAGATTCTCTATTTGATTTACCAGTTTTCTGTGTTTTGTTCAAAAACATTTAGTTAACTTAAGATTGTTTAAACAATGGTCCACTACTATCAATATCTCTTACTTACTCTGATGCTTCTCTTGAGGTTAAACCAATGTCTGGATGTAGATGAATACGTTGGTTGTCATTGTAGGTATCTTGAAAGGATACAGAGATATCGTCTCTGATAAAACCTGGTGTAGATCCGTGAATGTTGTAAGAGACACCCAATGATAGAGAGTGTTTGTGAAATGAATTCGACATTGAAGTCGATTGATTCGTATTGTTGTTGTTGTTGTTCATCGATGTCTGGACATTGTAGAACAAATGACTATTGTTATTACTGCTGCTATTGTTGTTGTTGTTGTTATTGCTTCCATTACTACCAACCGATCTATTCTGTGATAAATTGATATTATTTTGACTCTGACTACGTGATAGAATCGAAGAAGATGGTGATGTCATACTATTGTAGTTGTGAACAGTATGATGATTATTGGTATGTTGATGGTGTTGATGATGATTATGATGATGATGATGCTGATGTCCGCCATGTTGATTATGACTATGATGATTCATCAAATTAGGATGACTTGAATTTGGTTTTAAAGAGCTAATAACATTATTATTACTATTATTACTATTGTTATTGCTATTATTATTGATAAGATTCTGTTGTGAAGAAGTCAATGAATTGTTACCATTACTATTCTCATTGCTGTTGTCTGCAGATGCAGAAGTAGAAGTAGTAATAGTAGTGTTGTTTATTGTAGTAGTATTGTTAGATGGTGGTGTAGCAGGTTGAACCGATAGTATAATATCATCGATGTTACTATTAGTACTACCAATGCTACTGATACCACCTATACTATTACTAAGGTTATTACTATTATTATTGTTATTATTAATACTACTCATTTAAAAATTTTCATGTAATATATATAATATTAGTTTGAATATTATTCTAATTCATTGATAAATTAATTAAAAAACTATTTTTTATAATAATAATAATCTATAAGTTTACAATATATATGATAGTATATCTTATTTTTTATCATCTAAAAATAAATCGACACTTTTTTTTAAAGGTTCGTTTTTGTCTGAAATCCTAAGATTTTTTTAACAATTAATTAAAAAAATGTATTTTTAATTTTGTCATCTCCATCATTTCAAGAATCATAGTTAGTTAGATAAAAAAGAAAGAACAGTAAACCAATAATTCTTGGTAGAAGAGGACTCCATTTTTTCTAATTCAATATTAACAATTTGAAATGGTATCAATCCTTTTCATTTAAAAGGTGATAATGCACAACAAATAAAAGAACATTCAATTGAATCTAGATAACATTTACATAGATCTAGTTAAAACTATTGAGAAATAAGATTTTAATTTTGATAGAATAAAAGTGCCCGAAATAATTATAAAAATCTTTGCGGAAATAGTGTACACAAATCCCAATGAAAATTAAAAAATTAAACGAATTTTTGTTAATCATATTGTTCATTTGAAATCGTCTTGTTTAATAATATATAGTTTATACAATATAAATAAAGTTAGATATTTATATATATATATATTATATAAATACATATAAAATATGTTATTGAATAGAATTACAAAGTCAAACTTTATAAATATTAATAAAAGTTGTTTGAAGAACTATTTTTGTTCTGTTTCAAGTGGATCATCCACTACGACTTCAACAACAACAACAACAACAACAGCAAATCTATTAAAAGTGAAACGTGATGATAGATTTAGCTATTTGAATAAAGATGATATTAGTGTGTTCAAAAAGATAATGAATGATGAATCAGGTGTCATTACGGATGCTGATGATCTCGTTGGTTACAATCACGATTGGATGAACAAGTATCATGGCAATTCACAGCTGGTTCTCCGACCAAAGTCAACCGAGCAGGTCAGTCAGATTCTAAAGTATTGCAACGAGCGGAGACTCGCTGTCGTTCCACAGGGTGGAAACACCGGGTTGGTCGGTGGCAGTGTTCCGGTGCACGACGAAATCGTTCTCAGCTTGCAATCGATGAACAAGATCCACGAGTTTGACAGCGTCACCGGTGTGCTGACTTGTGACGCCGGTTGCATCTTGGAGTCGCTCGAGCAGTACTTGGAGCCGCGCGGTTTCACCGTGCCACTTGACTTGGGTGCGAAGGGCAGTTGCCAAATAGGAGGTAACGCCGCAACGAACGCCGGTGGAATACGTCTGCTTCGCTACGGATCGATGCATGCCAACGTCATGGGTGTGGAGGCGGTACTCGCCGACGGAACCATTGTCGACTGTCTGTCCACGCTCAGAAAAGACAACACTGGCTACGACTTGAAACAGTTGTTCATCGGCTCCGAAGGTACACTTGGCGTCATAACAAAGCTGGCTATACTGACACCCGCCAAGCCAACGAGTGTGCATGTCGCGCTGCTGTCATGCGACTCTTTCGACGAGGTGAAGAAGCTGTTGATCGAAGCAAAGAAACAACTCGGTGATATTCTCTCGGCGTTTGAGTTTATGGATCGTTCGTGTATCGATGTTGTGCTGGAACACCAACCGCAAGCCAGAGAGCCATTCGACAGTAAATTCAAATTCTATGTGCTGTTGGAGGTGTCTGGATTCAATGAGCAACACGATAACGAGAAGTTGAATAGCTACTTGGAGGATGTCATCTCGAGGAAGATGGTGGCGGACGGCACATTCGCGTCCGACTCAAAGAGTATCGCAGAGTTTTGGAAACTACGTGAAACCATCACTGAATCACTTGGAAAAGCCGGTGCAGTCTATAAATACGATTTGTCGCTGCCAATGGATCAGTTCTACAACATCGTCGAAGTGATGAAAGAAAGATTGGCAGGAAAGAACAACTCTATGGTTTGTGGATTCGGTCATGTCGGTGACGGTAATCTTCATCTCAACATTTCAACACCCAAGCAGAAATACAACAAAGAATTCCTCGGTTTGATCGAGCCATTCGTCTATGAATTCACCAGCAAACACAACGGATCGATCTCTGCAGAGCACGGTATCGGTGCAATGAAGACAGAACAACTGCATCACTCTAAAACCAACAGTGCAATTCAACTGATGCGTAGTATTAAACAAACAATGGATCCAAACGGTATTCTTAATCCATATAAAGTATTACCAAATTAATTATCATTATTAAAAACACTTTTGCGCCAAAAATAGTAATGGTAATGGTAATAATAATAAGAATAATAATAATCATTAAAAAAGAAATCAAATTTATTTATTAAACAAATTGTGAATTGTATAATTAAGTTTATATATTTTATATCTATTTATTTTATATTTATATTGTTATTATTATTATATATTGACTATTTCCTTTTACTCCTATTTATTCTTTGTTTGATTGATATACATAATTGAACAAATAGCAACAAAGGATGCTCTGCAATCTGAAATAATTGAAATGGTATTGTTTGTCTCGATGGAAATGGTATTCAAAAACTTTCTGGTCTGTGGATTCTGTTTTGTTTTAATGATCTCTGTTAAAATAGATGATACACTCTTAATATCCTATAAAAATAGAAATTGAAAAAATTAGCATCGATGATATTATTATTATAGAGTAAATGTTAATTACTTACAGAAATAATCTTATTAATTAAATAAGAATAATCTTTTGCTTTTGAGAGTGTCCATTGTTTGATATCTTGATCAGCGTTCTCTGGTTTCTCATCTAGACTGGCTTGACCGATGGCATCGATCAACTCCAAACCAAGTGCAGTCAAATGTACCAACTTTTCTAATCCTCTACACAGAGCGGTCGGTTGTGATTGGCTATTGAGCTTTGGGAAGTACTCTTGAATTGCATCAAAGTATTTATTATATTTCGTTTCCAATTCAAATGATTGATTACTCTAGAAGTAGTGGTAGTAGTAGTATTAGTATAATTATTATTATTATTATTATTATTATTTTGTAATGTAGATAATAATGATAGACAATTTACATTTGTTAAATTCTTTGGTTTCTCAGACATATCGATCTCATCGGATTCCACTAGATCTTTGATTTCAGAGAATATGATTTCAACGGATGGTCTATTCTCTTTGGAGAGCTTTCTATTGAATTGGTGAATCTTCATTGTTGATTCGATGGTGATTCTCTCGATCTCCTGTTGAATTGCATTCACCTTGAAATGTTCAAAGCATTTGGTACTGTCAAACTCGCTATCCTTGAAAACCACTTCGTTCTCAACATCTATTTCACCGCCAGCAGCAGCAACACCACCAGAGTTGCTGAGTTGTTGCGATTGTTGATTTGGTGATTTAGGTGACGATGGTGACAATACATTGGATTGTGAGGTGGTTGGTGAAGTACTACTGCTGCTGGTTGAGGTGGTGGTAGTAGTAGTTGGCTGAGAGGCAGCAATATTCTTTTTGGTCTCTGAAAACATTGTATAAGCACGTTGACCAACCGATTCCAATCTCTCCACCGATGTATCCATCATTTGCGAAGCAATCTTCTGACCCTTCTCATAGATCTCAGAGTTGGCTGCTTTTCTTGTGGTTTCAATCGATAGGTCTGCTACATTCTGTGCCAATCCTTTTACATTCTCCATCTTTGCATTCTCTTGTACTGTTTTTAATCCACTCTATATTTATAGTCAAAGAATATTAGTATTATTTATTCGTTTTCAATTTACCAATAATAATAATAATAATAATAATAATTTACTTACCGAGAATAAATTTCCAGCAAACATAAGTGAATCAGCAATTAGATCAGCTGTTTTAAATACAGATTTATCGATTACACCGAGTAAACCTTCTACTTCATCTTCCTCTTCATCTCCTTCACCTTCACCCTCTTTCTTTTCAGTGGTTTCAGTCTCTGACTCTTGTTTCTCTTCAGTGTTGTTGTCGTCTTTGGAGGTGTTGTTGATTGGTTTCATATTCTCATCGACAATGATTGGTTCTGGATCTGGTTCGACATCTGCCAAAGCATTATTGATAGTTGACGAGACTGCACTAGCAACACTTGAAAACCATCCTCCCCAACCTGATGAAACTGGTGCTGGTGTTGGTGCTGGTGCTGGCTTTGGTTGATGTTGTTGTGGTGGTGAAGATTGTTTTTGTTGTTGTTGTTGTTGTTGTTTAGCTGGTGATTTTTGTTTTGGTTTCTCTTCTACTTTAGCTGTCTCTTTAACTTCTTCTTCTTCTTCTTCAATTTTTGGTTTATCTTCAGATGTCTCTGTTTTATCTTTTGTTTCCTCTGTTGTAGTGGAAGTAGTTGCAGTTGGTATCTCTTCTTCTTTAACTGGTTCTGGCTCTGGCTCTGGCTCTGGCTCTGCAACAACATCTACATTTTCTTTTGTCTCTTCTACATTTGGTTGTTCTGGTTCTGATACTTCTTCATTTTGTTGTTCTTGCTCTTGTGTTTGTTCAACTTCTTGTTCTTGTTTCTTCTTTTGTGATTTCTTTTTTGCTGCCATATTTCAATATCTCTATTAATAATAAATAAATAAATAAATAAATAAAAATATTATATAAATAGGAATGAGAAATGAATCATCAAAATGAATATATTTATTTTACCTACCACGCACACCAAACACACACACTTTAATTTTGTAGTTCATCAATCATGATAAAAAAAAAAATCAAGAATATTTTTGACCAAATTAGTAATGATAATTTTCAAATAAAACAAATTGTTTGTTTAGTTATTATTATAAAGTAAAGAGGAGTACGATCATGTCAAATGTACATACATCACCTTATTTAGGTGGTGCAGGAAACAATGCAAATCTACCGTCAGCACAACCAAATACTCAAATAAATCAACAACAACAACTGCAACATCAGCAACAACAAATGCAACAACAACAACAAGTTGCACAACCACCACAGCTGATTATGACAGCAACACCGTTACAGCTGCAGCAACAGCAGATGATGATGTCACAAAAGACACCGATCGACGATAGAATCGATCGACTGATGTCGTTGAACACAGAGTTGATGTCACTGGTCACTCTCGATGGCGATCAACAAGCACACTATCAGCGTTCCTATCAGATTCGCTCGGACATACAGGTGGCTCTACGCGAACTACAAGCAGAGATCATCGCAGCTAACCTTCAATCGATATCACCGATCTACGAATCACCGGACTACCAACTGGCCACCTCAACACAACCGATAACAATGGATCTCTTTCAAAAACAACTAACCACAGATATCATACAGAAACAAATAACACAATGGGATACTGTTTTCAAAGAAAAAGAGAAACTAACAAAAAATATAGATCGTGTAAAACAATCTTTAAAATAATAATAACAAACAACAAACAACAATAATAATAAATAAAAAAACAACTTTGTACATATTATATTTACTTTATTATTATTATTATTATTATCATTTATTTATAATTTGTTTTTTTTTAGTAAATTTTTAGTGGGAAATGAAATTCAAATTTGTTATTATCATTTCTGTTTGTGATTCTAATATCTATTGGTTTGTTTTGATGATTCTTTAGTTGATTTGCAATATGGTTGGTGATGATCGTACCAGTGGTATCGATGATGATGAACATGATCATGTTCAGCTTGAGCAGCGTATCCAAGTGTTTTCTGTCTGTAAATACTTTCACATATGATACTGAATAGAAAGCTTTTCTCCTTGTACAGCAGATCCAACCTGATAAATTTGGAATTTCTTTTTTTTATTTTATTTAAAAGTACTGTTAAAACAGAATATGTATATTATCATTTTACATATGTATATCTCTATTTTAAAACTAAATTTGGTAAAAGGAGAGATAGAAGAAGAAGATGTTTTTTAATTTTTTTTTTATTTTATATTTTTATAATAATTTTTTTTTTTTTAATAAATAAAGATAATCTGATAAACAAATAAACTATTGAATAACAGTTTCGGAATCAAAAGCTTGATAACCAGCAGTTTCTCTATTGAATATACTTCTGATTTTTGAGGAGACAACTTGTGCTTGTGTCTTTCCAAGTGACAAATAAATAATGAAAGCAAAATAAAAGAAGAATCCAAAGCAAAGAATGAAAATCATCCACCATGCTGTCGAAATCTGTGTTGCAAATGTAATAATCAAATAGATATTGATACCAATGATAACAAGTGACAAGAATCTAACGAATATATTGTTTAACCAATGATTTTTAAATTCTTTTCCCATGACTTCTTCACCTGTAAATATATATATTTATATTTTAATTGTGTGTTAGAAATAAGAAGAAGGTTATAATATAATATAATATCATTATTATTATTATACTTACGAGAAGTGAAATATAATACAGGAAGAATAGCAAAGGGAAGTTGTACAGATTGTAATACGTTGAGCCATTGATCGAGTGCATCGAGATGAGTGTTTGAAAGGATGGCAACAACGATCGCTGGAACGATAGCGGTGAGACGAGTCAGCAATAGACGCTTCCATGGTCTGATTTTGAGTCTGAGGAAACCCTCCATTACAAACTGACCAGAGTAGGTACCGGTCATAGTCGAACATTGACCGGCAGCCAACAAACCTATTGCCCAAACGTACTTGGCGATCTTTCCATACTTTTCTTGGAGATAGGTTGCTGCTGTAGACAATCCGATATCCGCAATACCAATGAATCCAACTGCAAACACTGAAACCACCAACAAATTAATAATGAATGAGATAAACAAAGCGATTCCACTCTCAATTGCAAAGTATTTATTTGCAATTCTAACTTGTCTTTTATCTTTTCTTTGAATATCTCTAGACTTTAATGACAATTAATTAAAGAGATATTAGATATTAGATTATTAGTGATTAATATTGTTTTATAAACTATAACTTACTTGTACCAATGCAGAATGTAAATAGATATTGTGAGGCATGATGACAGCACCTAGAATACCGACTGCTTCCGATACGTTACTTCGCGTGACGTAAGGGATTACACAACCTTTGAATACTTGGAATTGGTCGGGTTTACTGATGATGTATTCCACCAGGAATGTGATAGCCATGATAGATATCAGTGAGCAGAAGAATGCTTCCAGCTTTCTGATACCGTAGTTCTCGAGGAACAAGAATGTGAATGTGTCGACCGCTGTAATGAGAACACCTGCCCACAGTGGAATCACGCCATTCGAGAGGATATTGATGGCAATAGCAGTACCTATGACCTCCTGGATATCGGAACCGATGATAGCAAGCTCCGTCATGATCCACAGACCGATACGCGCCGCTCTCGGATAGTACAGACGACAGTGTTCCGCCAGATGCATTCCCGTCACAGTACCCAAACGCGACGCCAGCATCTGCAACCAGAATCCAATGACAGTGGACCACAGCAACACCCAGAGCAGAGTGTATCCACCGGAAGCACCCGCTTGAATATCCGACTCCAGATTTCCAGGATCCAGATAGGCTATACTCATCAGAAATCCTGGTCCTGTGAATGACCACAACGTTCTAAAGTGTATGAATTTCTAGATAATATGGAAAGAAATAGTAATCACAAATCCATATTAAATTAATTCAATACACGTAATTAGGAATCACGACGAATAAGTTTGGCAATGAATAAAAATGATTATTTTTTAGGCAATTAAAAAAATTAATAAACAAAAAAAAAGAAAAGAAATAATATTGGTAAATGAAAAAAAGATAATATTAGAATATTTTAATTTAATTTTTTAGGAATATTTAAAATTACTTACACCTTCGGCTTCCAATATAGATGAATCTACAGTAACTTTTCCATGATTTGTCTTTTCATATCCATCGTCAGTCTCTTCTATAACAAGTGGTTCATCACATTCATCAATTGTATTTGGCACCATTTTGGCAAAATAATTTATGTGTATATTTAAATATAATTATATAGTAATAATAATTGATAAAGATATGTTTAAATAAATCAAAATAAAACAGTCTTATATATATTTATTTTTTGTAAAAATATACAAATTTTTTTTTTTATAAGTTGAACTGTTTTTGAACGAAATGTGTTTGTTGTCTCTTATTTGGTTTGTCTATTAAATAAATAATTTTTTTTTTTTAAACACAACCAGTTATTTTATTTGTTATTATTATTTTTGTTGAAGTAATTATTAGTTTGCAACAAGTAATACTTTAGTGTTACTTTTACTTTTACTTTTACTTGTTTTGTTCACTTCACTTTAGATATTTATAGATGATTTGATCGTTAACGATAATGATAATGATAATGATTTAGTGTAGAATTGAGAATGAATGAAAGATGCTTATTCTGCAAAGGGTATAGATATGTGTGTTAAATAAATAAAGGTTTGTATGTTAGAGAGAGAAAGAGAGAAAGACCAGTCAAGCGAAAAATGAAAAAATGACGATGTTTATTCTTTCGTGTTCTTCTTAGTGATAAATGATGATGTTGAACTATGATGTTATGTTGATAGAATGTTGCGTTAATGTAAAAAACCAACAAACTTTTTTATTTTTAATTTAAAAATAATTATTATTGTTTTTTTAATAAATAAATAAATATAAATTTAGGGGGAGCAAGGTAATTACCTTACACAACAAACAAACAGGCTATTGCTAAAATAAAAATGTTTGTTTGAGCAAAAGCGAAAATGAGAAATTCAGGAGTGGAATAATAATCTATCTAAATTGGCAAAGTTATTATATTATTATAGCGCCAGTTAATTCTTCTCTATTCTTTTTTGTTTTTGATTCCTGTTGATAAGTTGTAGTTACACACACTCACTAATTAATAATATGCTATGCTGGGATAAAAACACCAATCAACCACTCGCGCAATTGCAATAAACCTGCTAGTCAATTTATAAATAACACAAACAGCCGCTGTGGTTTTCAAAAACTAATACATATGTCAACAACAAAATTTGACCAAATTTTTTTCACGCAATTTGCAGATCTAATCTTCTTGATTCACACAAAGCAAAAAAAAAAAAAAAATTTCTATTGGAATTTTTCAAAATCCTTTTTTTTTTTTTTTTTTTTTTGTTACCGCTGCCCAATGACCAGTTCAAAGTTTGTTTCATTAGTTCTGAAAGTCTCTAAAATCTTGATCAATATTAATTAGGTTGATGAAAAACCCTTTCACCAAAAAAGTAGTGGTATCTTATGTTGTTTTAAAAATAAAAAAATCTAAAGCTCCGATTTATTTTTAAATTCACACAAATCATGATGTCCTCATTAAAACTTTTAGATATTTATGAAAAGGTACAGTATATCATGTCCTATGAATTGAACAAAAATAGAACTTGAAGAATAAAAAGAAGAAAAGAATAAAAAGAAGGTTTGTTTGTACGACTCTTGGTGGGAATTACTCCCATTACCTTTGAATTTCAACGAAGATCAAGTAATTGGAGGTTTTTAGATATTCTCTTTTAATATTTATTTTAAAAAAATAAAGAATTATTGTAAGAGTTTTATTATGAATTAGAAATTTCATTTTAACTTTTACTAAAATAATTTATTTTTAAAAGGAATCTATAAAATTATAATATAAAAGGAGATATCTACCATTTTTTAATAATAAAACATAAAAGTCAGAAAATTTGGTTTAATTTTGATGCAACTTTGGTGTTGAGTGGTGATTTGATTTATTTTGTTCTCTTGAAAACATATTACAATTATTTTATTTTATTAATTAATATTAATAAATATATATACATTGTTTATTTATATTTTAATCGAATTTAATTCTATAGGTTCCAGCATGAGTGAGATGCTCGATTTCCTCTTTCAGTGGTGCAAGAATAGTTGGAAGATGTTTGGCAACAGCAGGTCTTTGATTCATTCTGTCCAACCAAGCCATAACATTCTTGTATTTCTGATAATTTGGAAGAAATCCTTCACGAATATAGACTGCCCATGAATAGACTGCCATGTCGACAATCGAATATTGATTGGCTGCAATCCATTCTTTACCTTCCAATTGTTTATCGAGAACTGTGTAAAGACGATCGGTTTCCTTGAGGTATCTCTCTTCAGCAATTGGAACGGCTTCTGGTGCAAAACAAGAGAAATATGTATATTGACCATTCATTGGTCCCAATCCAGAGATTTGCCAAGCCAACCACTGGAGTACATCGGCATATGAGTGTGGATCTGTGTTGAGATCTGGAATGAACTTTCCTTTTCCATGTTTCTGTGCCAAATAGATGAGAATTGCACCGGATTCAAAGATCTTCAATGGTGGATTGACAGTGTAATCAATTATTGCTGGTACTTTTCCATTTGGGAACAGCTTGATAAATTCTTTTCTCTTTTCACTGTGCTCATTGAAGATATCGATATCTTCATAGACATAATCGATTCCCAATTCATCGAACAGGAATTTGATCTTCCATGGATTGGTTGTTCCTGTACCATAGAATTTATATGGTTTTCCTTGATTGAGATGAGTGTTATCGGTTGAATTTGATTGTTGTAGTTGTTGACTCATTTTTAATATTGTATTATTGTTTATTTGATTATATACTAATGTTTTGATAGTTTTATTTATTATTTGAGTTTATTATATGATTGATGATTAACTTGGTTTGATGATATTAAAATGAAAAATAAGTTGTATTTATAGTGTGTCATTTCTAAATTTAATTGTAATAACTGAACTAAAATAGATAATAATTTGATTGTAAATGAGAGAATGTAAGAGAATCATTAATTGATAGAGAACATGCTTCACTGAAGCTACACAACGAACATATAACCCCATTAATTTGTCGTTTTTTAATAAAAATTGTTTTGGTAAAAATTTTGAACGAATAAAAGAAGACCAAATTTTCACAGCGATTTGGACAGACAACGACCTATTTAATTTATCATAGAATTCGTATAGTTTTCCTTGATGTCTCTCAACTAATCAATATACCAAAAGACCAAATATGAAAAGATAATAATAAAAAAATAAATCTAATTAATCTTTAACATTACTTTTGATTTCATGATGCTACAGAGCGATTCGTCAAGGTTTATGTATCACTTTTCTCTTTTTTTGATTTCTGAAATGATACATTAGATTTGTATTTCACCAAAAATTTTTGTTTTAGCAGAAAAAACTTTGAACTTTTTTTGAACAACACTATCATTCGTCTCGTTATTTTTTTTTAAGTTGTTTTGATTAATAGATGAATAAAAATAATAATATTCAGGATTTACCATATTTATTGTTATCTAAAATATTGAGTTTCAAAGATCTTTCAGTTTTAGATTCAATATGTTTTAGTTTAATAAGTAAAAAGTTATACAGCAACAGAGATAGGTACTTGAGTTTCAACGATCAGTATCTTACACATGCTCAAGCTCAATTGATCCACCATCGGAGTTACCATGCAACACTTCGATCATATCATAAACAATTTCAGCGTATATCCGATATTAAATCTTGTAGTCTATTGATATATGGTCATACAACCACTTTAATAAGGAGACAGATAAGATTCTATGATTATTTAATAGAGAGTATGTTATTATTCTCAAATATAACTTTAGATAACCTAAGAATCTTAATATCAATAAAATATAAATATAGTTTCCAAAGTGATAGAAAATGATTTTCTTCTTGGTAAAATACCTTTGAATGTAAAGAGTGTTTGTGTAAGAGAATGGCAAGACGATGTTGTATTTGATATTTCGGATAGTAGTGTTAGTGTCCTCGATGTCCTATCTAAAAATGTAAAGTTATCGCCAGGTAGTCTTCCAAATAGTATTGAAAATATATCTATATGTAGCTCTTTCAATGCGCATGTACTGCCAAATAGTGTTAAAACAATGACTGTCGATTGTCACAATCAAGAGTTTCTACCTGGATTGTTCCCTCATTCTTTGGAGTCACTGACACTCTATATGTATGATAATCCACTCATGGAACACTCACTACCACACAATTTGAAATCACTGCATTTAGGAACTTACCATGCTGAACCTCACAGGGTTGATATTGGAAACCTACCTCGATCACTTGAAACCATTCAATTCCATTATAGTTTTGCTGAACAAATCGAGAACATACCGATTCTCTCTCAATTTCAAAGACTGACAACACTTATTGGATGTCATTTCGAGTGGATCGGTTCACTGCCACCCTCGGTCACCACCCTTAGATTTACTACTTGCTATCTCAATTCCGAGTATATTAAGCCAGGTGCTATTCCATCGACCATCACCGATCTCGACTTTGGTGGCATGAGATATTTCAATTTACAACCTGGAAGCATACCATCTAGTGTCTCAAAGTTATCACTTGGTTACTTTGAACATAGTCTCGAGCCTGGTGTCATTCCAATTGGTGTCATCTATTTGGATCTCTCCCATGCAGCCCGTGATTTTTCAGCTGAATCGATACCAAACACCGTAGAATCTTTGAAATACTTGAATTATTCATATTCTGAAGAGTCGAAATTTTTAGGTATTCTTTCACTGCCATCGATAAAGAAGCTTTTCTTCTATGCAGACATAAAGATAAGCATATTCCCACCGTATTTGGAATCACTTAAACTCTCTGGAAATGGTGTTCCTTTGTTGTACTCATCATTACCACCGACATTAAAGAAACTCTCACTAAATAAGATTTTGTTTGTCAAAGATACTTTGAATGAAACTCCTAATCAACCGAAAAGATTGCTTATGAAAGTGGGTCAATCATATTTTAACAATTCCACACTGGAAGATCTACCACTATCAGTAGAAATCATCAAAATTCATTTGAATATAGAACTTCGAAGATTTAACAAATCGACTACTTTCATTGGCTACAATCGAGAGTATCCTATAAGTGGTGGATTTATAAAGTCAACTTATAACTTAAGAGATTTAATTTACGACAAGGAATTTGATAAATGCGTTAATAATGATAAAATATCCACTATCATTAAATAAATTGTATTTAATTAATTATATTTTTATTTGTTTTTTAAAAATGAAATTTATATTGATTATTTTTATTTATATTTTAATCGAATTTAATTCTATAGGTTCCAGCATGAGTGAGATGTTCGATTTCCTCTTTCAGTCGTGCAAGAATAGTTGGAAGATGTCTTAGATTCATTCTGGTATTTCTGATGGGTTGGAAGAAGTCCTTCACGAATAGACTGCCCATGAATAGACTGCCATATCAACAATCGAATATTGGTTTTTTTAATCGAACAACCCATATAGAATACAAGTAGAATTATTTGACCTGTTTTCACCCATGAAATATTGAAACGTTAATTTTTCTTTTTCCTTTGCTATTTTTTTAATAACTATATCTTTTTAGGTTCACCAGGATATTTTTGATTCTTACCACCACTCTCAACAATATAGTTAATAGATGTCGTAATACAAAGAATAAAGAAGAAATTAGAATCACCTAATAAGAGATTGATTTAGCTAATTCAATCAACTATCATTAACAATTCAGAGAATAAACAAAGCATGCTTATGATAAGGAACCATATTAAATATAGAACTTCAAGTAATAACTTAATGTTACCTCTTCCAATTTGAAACACCTGCTGTTTATTACTAGTGTGCATTTTGATATATGTATATAATTGTCTTTTTGTCTTTTTTTATTCTTCATTTGTGAAAGCAAGCTGCTTTTTACACATACAAAATGTTGCAAAAAGAATGTTTGAGGGTGCTCGTTTAAAATTGAAAAATGATGGATGTTGCAGTAAAAAAAAAGTGCTTATCAATTAGATTATAATTATTATTAAATTTTATTGTCATTTTACTATGTTTGTTTTTTTGTTTTTTTAGACAATAGAGCTGAAGTCATTTCAAAAAAAAAACATTTTTTAAAATATATCAATCAACTATCTAAAGAAAGTTTAGAGATGTGACATTGGAAATGGAATACTATTTAAAGACAATAGATTAAATTATTTTTTATTCAATATTAATTTTAATTATGTTATTTAAAGATTTTATTCTTTTTATTGCAAGAGTTATAACCAGTTTTTTGGAATATTTATTTAACTTTGTAATTTGTGAAGACAATCGTAAGTTAATTTTTTTTTTTTTTGTAAAAATGAATGATATTGACGAAGAAACAGACAGTATACAGCTTCTGGTACGTTTTAATAATGGTATCTTAACCATTGACCAGAGAAGAGATATTTTGAACATATTTGCGAGATATAGTAATTCAGTTGTTCTTAATATCACATCAATAACCAACAGGAATCAGCCTTTGGTTCCAATGAATCCTCCTATGTACACAGCCGGGAACGCACCTTGTGGAATTGGCGATCAATACCCTTTTTTCTATAGATCTGCTCATGCTTTGTTTTTGGTTTTCGAATATATAGGGAATAGACTTGGTATGTGAAAATTAAAATAAATTTTTAACATTTTTTTATTATTCTAATACTCTACTTTATAGGACCCCAATTCAACTTAGAACAAAATGCTATAATTTTAGAATACCGTTTGTCAGAGTATCACTCTTGGCAATCTCTAGTTCATAATTCAGTCCCCATAAATCCTATACAATAAATAATATAATTTTACACAATTCAATTTAAATTTAAAATTAGAATTCTTTTTCCTTTTTATTTAATTTAATATAAGTGATCGAATGTTCTGACAATAGAAGAAATAATACAATTTTATAAATTTAATAATATTTTTTTATTTTTTTTACTAATTTATAACCTTTTTAGTCAAAAAAAAGCTATAAATGTTTTTTGATCGCTGTCACAAAGTTTTGAAATTTTTATATGAGTGGAAGCAACTTTGAAAAATTTTTGAAACTTGCAAAACGAAACTGGCTCCCAACCACTTTCGCCTGCTCATTAATTTTAAAAAAAAATGTAAAAATTAAAAATAGAGTGGTTTTCTTAAAGTATTTTTAATAGCTCTATAACAATCTCAGCTTGACCGTTTGCTTGTTGATGGTCAGCAGTAGTGAAATTTAACTTCACCTTATCTTATCGGCGAAAGTACGCCAAACCTTTGATGTAAGTTTACTATCTCTATCACTAGTAATTTCACGCGGTACATCAAAGTATTTAACATAATTTGACATAAATAGATTATACAAATCTTCGGATTTATAGGTATTATGAGTCAGAATCAATGTGACATATTTAGAGAAACGATCGACAATTACCCAAATTTGATTAAATACATTTCCATTGTCATCTTCAACTTCTTTTAAACTGGGTATGAAATCACATGATATAGCAACAAACTTGTGGCTCATTACAGGTAAAGGCTTTAGCAAACCTCTTCTCTTGTGGTAATAATCGTTACATCTACAACACACAATACATCTATTGCAATACTATTATATAACTTTTGTAATTTAATTTCGTTATTCTCTATCATTTTAGATTCTAAATCATAACCGTATCGGATATCATCTAACAAGTCGTTGTCATACGAAACTTTAAGAGTGTTAACACTAACACCAACAGTATATCGAGATAATCCGTTTGGTACAACGTTAGTTTCTCCTTTAATGTAATGTAACGTAGGATCGAACAACTCGATAAACTGCAACCAACGGTTGATTCTTGAATTGATACCGATAGCATACTGTTCGCGAAGGAATTTAATATTTTTATAGTCTGTATTAATTACAACATTATGACTAATAATTAACCTTTAATGCATGTACAATAGCTAACAATTCCTTTTCTAATACTGTATAATTAATTCACTAGGAATAAAGTGAAAGATTATGTCGGGATGATAAAGATTAAGTCTGAGAATTGCAGTGAATTAAAGAATCAGGATTATCAGAAGTACTCTATCAGTAGGAATGACAGTTCTTAGATTCCTATTATTAAAAGATATAGCCAGTACATTTGAGAAATTAATAATGGGAGAAGTGCAATAACATTGAGTTGGAATATTCAAAAGATCTGGAATCAATAACAACTCTTCAACAATACCAATGAATATTATCAATTAGTATTAAGTTACAATCAACAATTAAATAGTAAGAAGGGTAATTAAATATTAATAATGTATAGTATATAAACTCTTTTGAAATTAAAAAGAATTAACATTACTCATTCATCAGACAAAATATTTGACATCAAATAGTTTGTTGAGAGGTGTTAGTTTAGGATTGATATAACTGAATGGATTACAAACTTCTGATACAGTAATAAACAATCAAATTTAAACAATTTATTTAGTGTCAGACTTTTTATAGACACGATCCTCACGCCAAACATTCTCAAATCGAGACTCTGGATAGTCTGGTTCAAAGATGATGGTGAGTCTAAGTCTTTATTAGATTCAATGGATTTCTACTCATCTTAAATTCAAAGTTTCTGTGCGTGGGATTGTACAATGCTTGGTGGAAATTTGATTGTCAGTCTTGGATGCCAAGATAGTCTCATATATTGGCTGTAACTGGTTCACGTATTTGGCAATATCTACATCATACCAATCACCATTAGTTCCTTTTCTCACGGTTGGGTATTGATTAAAGAGTTGGATTTCTGATTTGGGCAAGAATAGGAATCGATCATTTGACAGTTTATTGTTGAGATATTCAAACTCGATTACCTTGCTTGCTACGTATGTGTTGATGAAAACAGTCGATCTGTACTAGATATTGTCGATTGAATAAATGTAAATCTTCTCCCTGCCAATGATATCGTCGACTTTAAGATTGCTCTGTTTTTGTACTAATACTTACTACTTATTTTCAAATAAAAAAGATAATAACAAAAATGAAGAAGTTTAAAAGTTTGTTTTTTTAATATTAAATTAAATTATTTTTAATTTCTCTGACTAGAACAAATGTGTAGTTTAATAATTGATGATTGGGGTTGTGGTTCATGATGTTGAGTTACCAGTGCTTCTATAGTTAATTGAATCCATTTGGTCTAATATATCGAATGATTTAAGGATGCTTTCGGTAATCATCAAGTTAAATTTAGATTGAATTTTGTATTTTCACAAATGAAGAATAAAAAAAAGACAAAAAGACAATTATATCAAAATGCAGACATATTTGATGTCAAATAGTATGTTTGAGGCTCGTTTAAAATTGAAAAATGATGGATGTTGGAGTAAAAAATAGTGCTTATTTGATTGCCATCAATCTGATCAATCAAATATTCAGCAGGTGGGAATAGACCAACGATTTTATATTATTTCGAGTAAATTCAGTGAATGAAATCGATAATAAATCAATTGATTGCATTTACTTTACTTATTAATTAATTTTCTTTATTGATTATTTGACTGGACCACTACATCTAACTTTAATGTTATCGATATTTGCAACGGTTTGACCGTTGGTAATGTACCCAAGAGTACGACATTCACCAGGCTTAATAGGTAGTAGATAGCTTTGAATGGTGTAAGTATTACCACTGACCAGTACAAAGTCGTAGTAATTCTTCAATGGCTCACCAATAACATCGAATTGGAATGAAGTAATGGGGAGTTGACCTGTATTACATAGAAGGAATGTGACTTGAGTACTGTATGTTCCATCAGCGTTCTGCCATGTATCTTCTTTCGTCTGTGAAACTCCTCCTTGACACAAACCATCGGTTGTGATTGAAGATGCAGAAGTGGGAACCGATGTTGTGGTGGCTGTTGTTGTTGGAACACCCGATGCTGTTGTACTTGCTGTAGTACTTGCTGTTGTTGTCTGAGTGGTAAACATGGTTGAAGCAGTTGTTGACGCTGTGGTTGTTGGAACACCCGATGCAGTTGTAGCTGCTAATGTTGTACTTGGTGATGTTGTAGCTGGCGATGTTGTTGTGGTTATTGTAGTATCGGGAAGTGTTGTTGCTGGCATAGTTGTTGTTGTAGTAGCGGGATTTGTTGCGGTTGTTGATGCTGTTGTAGTTTGAGTGATAGTTGATAATGCTCCCATTGTTGTTGCTGTGGTGGAGGCAGTAGTGCTAGTTACTGCTGTAGTTTTACCTGTAGCTGGTCTTGTGGATGATGCTATGGTTGTCGCAGTGGTACTAGCAGTGATAGTTGAAGCAGAGTCTGTTGTTGATGCTGTGGTAGTAGCTATGGTGGTGGCAGTTGTAGAGGCAGTCACAGGTGTTGTTATGGTCGATGCTGTGGTTGTATGTGTGATAGTTGAGCCTTCTCCAATGGTTGTTGCTGTTGTAGATGCTATTGTAGTGATTGGACGTGTAGTAACTGGTCTTGTGGTTGATGCAATAGTTGAGGCAGTTGTTGTTTGAGTGATGGTAGATAGTGGACCTGTTAAGGTTGCTGTTGTAGATTGTGTAGTGGATGCAGTTGTAGATGCTGTTACAGGTGCTGTTATGGTTGATGCCGTAGTAGTTTGTGTTATTGTTGAGTGTATACCAGATGTTGATGCTGTGGTCGAGGCTGTTGTGGTTATTGGACCTGTATTAACTCCTGTTGTAGATGGTCTTGTTGTCGAAGCAGTAGTTGTTGCAGTAGTTGTTTGAGTGATTGTAGAAATAGGACCTAGTGTTGAGGCAGTAGTAGATTGTGTTGTTGTTGCGGTTGTTGAAGCAGTCACAGGTGTTGTTATGGTTGATGCCATTGTTGTTTGTGTAAGTGTTGAAGCAGAGTCTGTTGTTGTTGCTGTTGTTGATGCGGTGGTAGTTATAGGACCAGTTGTAGTGATAGGACGTGTTGTGGGAGTAGTTGTTGATGCAATGGTTGTAGCTGTAGTTGTTTGAGTGATAGTTGAAGCTGAATCTGTTGTAGAGGCTGTGGTGGATGCTATGGTGGATGCAGTTGTTGAAGCAGTAATAGGTGAGGTAATGGTTGATGCTGTTGTCGTTTGTGTTATTGTTGAAGCAGAGTCTGTTGTTGTTGCTATTGTAGAGGCTGTAGTAGAAACGGGACCTGTAGTAGTTGTGGGTGGTCGTGTCGTAGCAATAGATGTTGTTGCTGTGGTAGTTTGAGTGATTGTTGACAATGGACCTGTGGTGGTTGCTGTTGTTGATTGTGTTGTTGATATACCGGTTGTTGCTGGTAATGTTGTTGTTGTTTGTATGGCGGATATTGGTAAAGAAGTAAACAGAGTTGATGCAGTGGTCGTGGCAATTGTTGAGGCTGTTGTTGAAGCGGTTGTAGCGGTTGTGGATGCTATTGTACTAGCAGTTGTAGAGTAGGTAGTTGTGGCAGTAGTGGCCAATGATGAAGCCAATGTAGATGCCAATGTTGATGCCAATGTAGTAAAGTTGGTTGTGGTAGTGAATAGGGTTGATGCTATGGTAGAGGCTGTTGTAGACACAGGTAATGTAGTTGATGCCGTGGTAGTTGCTGTTGTTGTTAAGGTGTTTGTTGTAGAGGCTGTTGTACTTGCAGTTGTAGTCTGTGTTGTGGAGATTGATGTTGTTGCAGTTGTGGATGCTGTAGTGGTTAATGTTTGTGTTGTAGAGGCCAATGTTGTAAAGGTTGTAGATGGTCTTGTTGTTGCTGGAGTGGTTGTAGACGGTCTTGTTGTAGCAGGGGCAGTAGTAGGCGGGAGCAGTTGTTGCTGGAGTGGTTGTAGATGGTCTTGTTGTAGCGGGAGCGGTTGTGGCAGGAGAAGTTGTTGCAGGAGCGGTTGTTGCAGGAGCGGTTGTTGCAGGAGCGGTTGTTGCAGGAGCGGTTGTTGCAGGAGCGGTTGTTGCAGGAGCGGTTGTTGCAGGAGCGGTTGTGGCAGGAGAAGTTGTTGCAGCAGTGGTAGCAGGGGCGGTTGTGGCAGGAGAAGTTGTTGCAGGAGCGGTTGTTGCTGGGGATGTTGTTGCAGCAGTGGTAGCAGGAGCAGTTGTTGCCGGAGCAGTTGTGGCAGGAGCAGTTGTTGCTGGAGAAGTTGTAGCTGGAGAAGTTGTTGCAGGAGAAGTTGTTGCGGGAGCGGTTGTTGCTGGAGCGGTTGTTGCAGGAGCGGTTGTTGCTGGAGCAGTTGTTGCTGGAGCAGTTGTTGCTGGAGCAGTTGTTGCTGGAGCAGTTGTTGCTGGAGCGGTTGTTGCAGGGCCAGTAGTAGCAGGAGCAGTTGTTGCAGGGCCAGTATTTGTATTGGTCATTGAAGTTGTGTCAGGACCAGTGGTAGATGCAGTGGTAGAAGCTAGTGTTGTTGCAGTAGTAGTCATGGTTTGAGTGGTTGTTGCAGTAGTGGAAGGTATGGCTGTGGTTGTTGCAGTTGTAGATGCGGTGGTGGTTGCTGTAGTACTTGCGGTGGTAGTCATTGTTTGTGTAGTAGAGGCAATGGTTGTTATATGTGAAATTGTGGAAGCAATGGTAGATGCAAGTGTAGTAGCTGTTGTAGAAACATGTGAAGTTGTGCTGGCTGTAGTTGTTGATACAATATCAGTTGTAGATGCTGTGATTGTTGCAATTGTAGAAGCAGTGGTTGCAATTGTTGAGGCAGTGGTTGATGCTGTTGTAGAGACACCTATGGTCGTTGCTGTTGTACTTGCAATTGTAGACGCAGTAGTTGTTGCAGTCATCAATCCTGAGGTTGCAATGGTTGATGCTGTTGTGGAAGCAATTGTAGTGGCTGTGGTTGTTGGTTTACCTGTAGTTGTTGCGATTGTAGAGGCTGTTGTGCTTGCAGTTGTGGAGGCAACAGTAGAGGCAGCAGTACTCGCTAATGTTGTTGCTGTTGTACTTGCAAGCGTTGTGGCTGTTGTTGTTTGACCAATTGTTGATGCAGTTGTACTTGCAATTGTTGTAGCTGTTGTTGTTGCAGTCATCAAACCTGAAGTTGCAATGGTTGATGCTGTAGTGGAAGCAACTGTAGAGGCTGTTGTAGGTTGGTTTTCCAGTTGTAGTTGCAATAGTAGAAGCTGTTGTGCTTGCAGTTGTGGAGGCAACAGTAGAGGCAGCAGTACTCGCTAATGTTGTTGCTGTTGTACTTGCAATGGTCGAAGCAGTAGTTGTTTGACCAATTGTTGATGCAGTTGTACTTGCAAGTGTTGTAGCTGTTGTTGTTGCAGTCATCAATCCTGATGTTGCAATGGTTGATGCAGTAGTGGAAGCAACTGTAGAAGCTATGGTGGATATTGGTGTTGTGGTTGTTGCTGTTGCTGTTGCTGCTGTTGTATATGTAGTGGAAGCAATAGTGCTGGCAACAGTAGATGCAGTAGTGGCAATAGTACTAGCAACGGTACTAGCAGTAGTAGTCTGAGCAATAGATGAAGGAGAGTAAGTTGTAGAGGCAATAGTAGAGGCAACAGTGGAAGCAGTAGATGCAGTAGTTGTTGCAATGGTTGAAGCAGAAGTGGATGAGATATCACCACTACCACTACCACTACTACAGGAAGAAGTATTCTCGCAATTCAGATTGTTACAATTTGTACTTAGACATCTTGTCTGACCTCTGACGACAGCACACACTGATGAAGGTGGACACGCCACATTTCCACATATTTGGTCGTAGTAGGAAGAGGAAGTGGTACGTCCAATATTGATTGGTGGTACACAAGTAGCAATACCAGAGTTATCAACACAAACCAAACCATCTAAACATACTTTTTGGCTACAAGGTGAATTATTATTATTATTATAATATTGCTCATTTTTGTAAAATGTTGCACTGATTAAATTAAAATCTAAAAATAAATTTTTTTTATTTATTTTTTTATTTTATTTA